TCAGTACAAGGCTGGATTAAACCCCGAACTCCGACTAAGGGTCGCCACCCAATTCGCTGCCAGACCCGCGGAACAAAAGAATTATAAGAATGTGTACCCTTCGTCAAGGTGCCTATGGCTGGCTAGGCCGACGGACCGGACGGACACCTTGCGGTGAGAGCGCGACGTGAAGAGACGACTGGAGCTGAAGGCTCAACAGTCGAAGATGTTGAGAGAGTTAAGTTAGACTTAGGGATTCGGACAGAGGATTCGATGAGGGAAAAGGAGAGGGAAGTGATTCCTAGTCGAGATTCCAGATGAGGTATCTACTACAAAACCATACAGTTCTTATAGAGGACACGTCTAGAGAATCTACAACGGAGAAACGATGGAGAAACATGAAGGCGAGACTAAGTGTAAGAATGAGAAATACAAACGACATGAAGGTGAATCGATCCAAGAACAACACAAGAGAGTCGAAGAAGCTATCTATGAACCAATCACAACATGATAAGAAAGTCTAGAGCAAAGTCATGAAGTAGAAAGGTTGAAGACAAGTCTTGAGCAAAGGACATGTGATGAGGAAAGATAAGCCGAAGAAATGAAAGATAATAACATCGATAAATCAGGAAAGTCGAGATATGACGTACAAGGGAACTTCGGACAACAACGAAGAACGAAGAAAGGGAACATACTTCCAAAGAACAATACAGAAGTCGAAGGCTTCGAAATACCAAGCGCGCGCCTAAAGTCCACAAGGCTTCCGGAGGATCCAAGATCATGGAAGGAGCCGAGTCGCACATCTTGCCTGATCCGGTGAAGTCTAGATCAGTAGACATTGACGCGACCAGAGTCTAGGTGGCGGTGCAGCTGAAGACGTTGGGGAAGTCGAGGGTTCGAGTATGGTTGGAAGCGAAAGTCAAGACGTCGGGATGTGAAGTCGAAGTGTCGAAGTCTAAACCGAGTCTAGGGAAGGCGCGAGTGTATATCACAGTTCTGCTAAGTGCACGAGCCCTGACAGCTTAGGGTAAAGTAATATAAGATAAATCAGAAAGAATTACCCCAAAAAGCGAAGAAATGAGTGAGTTATGAATGAAATATTGGTGGAGGAGAAGGATAACATCAAACTAATTAAGATAAGAGTCAATCAGTGATATCAATGATGGACAGCAACAGGAATATGATGTCATGTAGATCAGGTACAGGGGCTATGATGTCATACAATTCAGGAACAGATTATGATGTCATATGACCAGACTTGGCATTGATGATTATATCATTTGACTTCCATCCCCTTCCAACTTCCACTTCTCATGGAAGTTGAAGCCAGTTTTATTAGTGTTTGACTTCCAACAGAAGTTCCAGGAAGTTGACGGAAGCATCTGAATCACTCTTCGACTTCTGACAGAAGTTCCAAGAAGTTACTTTTTCCAACTTCCAACTTCCCAGAGACTTCTCAGAAAAGCTGAAAGGTGAGATACTCCTTGACTCCCACTTCCAACAGAAGTACTTCTAAAGGTCTGAACTGAGAATTGCATGTTGTAATTTAGCTGATTGCAACAATATATTATTACAGAACTGACAACAAAGTCCACTTTTGCATACTATCTCTATGAATATTGAGGAAGTGATTCCTAGAATATACATGTCACAAGAAGTTGAAATTAACTACCTAGGGGATAACTTTACATGTATCCAAGAATGACTGAAGTACTAGTGATGACAGGGTGTGGACATTATTAACTTACATTGGTACGAGGGACCTGAAGACAACTACAATACCACCCGGACAGAGAGAGCTAACTTCCATGGAAGGACCCCAGACACCCTGCCAAGACTAATTCTTAGATGCCATCAACAACAGAATTGGAAGGCCAAAGCTGGATACTAAGAGGAGCTAAAGAAGCCCAGAGGAGGTGGAAGGAGAAGTAGAGGAGGGCCAGTCTTCCCAGCTTACACTAATAGACCCGACTTCCTAGGTGACTTAAGTGCATTCTTGGTGAGGTTGAGGCCATCGAGGGAGGCTTGTTCTCTGAAGCGGGTGGTGGTCTGTTCTGCGTGTTCATTGGGTTGTTGCTTCATGTTAATGAGGGCAAAAAGGGCTTCATCATCTTCTTCGGGTTGCTTGAAAGGTTTGTCAAGTTTGCTGAGCAGGTTGTCATAGGTTCTGAGGTTGAGTTTCCCATCTTTGCGGCATTGTCTGAGGTAATTGGTTCGCGAGATGGAGCCTCTCCTTCATCAAGTAAGGTGAAGACAAAGGCAATCTTCTTCTGATCGGTGTCGCGCTTGTCGTCTGTGATGGAGAAGAGATCCATGGTGTTGCGGCTTTCCCATTGTTGTTCTTCGATTTGTTCTTGGTGTTGTTGTTGTTGTTTCCAGTCATGTCAATATCAAGTCAGCTTCAAGGTCTTCTTCTTCTTGTTTCAATTGAGTCTTTGATGAAGTTGGCTGGTCAATGTTTAGGTTCTTCAGTTGGTCCGATAGGGTTCATTCGATTTCAGTGGGACCCCTCGACCTTGGTGAGTTCATTGCTTTCTGATGTTTCTTCTGAAGTCTTCTATCTTCTTTCTGTTTGTTGTGTCATTCAGTTTGGGATTCAAGGGCTGTCTGGAGAGATTCTTCTAGGATGTTGGGGTCAAATTCAGTTTGTTCCATAGTGTCATAAGGGACTCCCCACTTGGGGATCTCTTCTGGTCAGTTGGATAGACGATGTCACAATGTGGCCAAGATTGTCGGTGATGCGCGGTCAGGGGTGGGAGGCTCTAAAACCACACACACACCAACCGAACTGGCAGGTGAAGGTAAAGAAGTAAAAGAAATGAAAAGGGTGATCCTCTACACCCAACCAAAGACTACGTCTAAGGTCAAATAAAGCTAGACTTCACCTGAAAGGTACAACAGTATGTAGGAAAGGCACTAGAACCAAACAAACCCTTGACAATACAATGGTTCAAAGGGGGTGCACGGGAGTGGGTGGACAGTAGGTAAGAAGGTAAGGTAAGGTAAAACAAGAGCTTGTAGGCTCAAGGCGCGAAGTAGGGAAGGACAGGGGTAACCCCCGGGTAGCCGGACACCTACCCTTACCCCCACCCCCCAAAACCCTTACCTCCCAGTCAGGGGTAGGGGTAGTACCCTTACCCCCCAACCCTGGGGGTTTTGACCAAGGGTTTTGATCATTTTGGCACTAACCATCAGTTACAGTTGTTTATATGGATATTTTTACGTGTTTTATTGCGCATACGCGGTTATTTAGTAGAAACTATATGTAGATGTTGAAATAAATGGGTTTTGCTGGATTTTTATCAAAACCCTTACCCCTGACCAGGGGTAGGGGTTTGGCCAAGGGTAGTCCGAGACCTACCCTTACCCCTACCCCCGCTCTACCCCTGGCCTCTACCCTGGGGGTTTTAAAACCCCTTGAACACGCCGGGACGACTGTTACCAAATTGAATACACCGAGACGAAGTGGCCAAAACCCAAGGCAGACTGACACACCGGACAGCTGCTATGTAGACTCTACGCTGAGACGTCTGTTACCAAATCAAATACACCAAGACGAAATGGCCAAAGAAAACCCAAAAGTCGATCTACGTCGAGTCGACAAACCTTCAACGTGCTGAGTTGCGCCAGACTTCACAGAGTCTTATCCTGGAGAAAAAGCTGCCAGCGATAATCTGTAGAATTTGAGGGAGAACTAGCTAGCATTTATACATGAGGAGGGTGTTTGGCATGCTAAGGCTGTCAACAAACAGAGATGGAAAAACTAGGAAGACTTTGTAAGACAGGTAGACTAAGAGAGAGAGAAATAGAACAGAAGAAACACAAGCTTTCGATAGATAGGACAGAAATAGAATGGTTCGAGTATTAGGCACTCATAGACGTGCGGTTACTTTTGCTCAGGCTTGCCTTATTGGGGCAGCCGAGTACGGCTTGTTGGCCGGGCGCCATGCCATGATTGACGCAGCCGTGATCCAGTCACATTGCTACATAGGGATTCCCTTACAACCTTGGTTCAGTCCAGCCATTTTATTACTCAACATACGTGTCCCAGTCCAGCTCAGCCGAGAGCCCTCCATCACCAACCTACTTCACCTGCCCGAGATCCACTTTCCCTACCATAAAATTTTACATACTTCAATCTATACTATACATCTACACCTCGGCCGAGCCGCCAGCTCCCAACCTACTACACCCGCCCAATATTCCCCCCTCCCCTCACTAGCAGGCTACAAAATGTTACATATTTCAATTCAACCTGTTACCTATACACCCGTTCCCTTCACTTAACAATGCCCATTTCTTTGCGTCTCGGCCGACCCATCTCTATAGGCACGTCTCATCCATGTCCTGCCCGTGAAGACCCGCCCAGGCATGATCAATTCTCCTAACGCAGATGCCTCGCCCAACTCCTCCAAAATTCTGCCCATCACTATCACCATCACCTGTACGAAAAACACCCGGGTACCTTTTCTCTCATACCTCATCCTCCTTGACCACGACCGACATCCGCTCAACGCTGTCCTCTTGAACTTAGGGTCCCCATCGTCCATCTTAGCCCCCAACACCTATGCCACGCCAACCCTGCGCAGCCGACGTCGATCTCGTCAGGCAATGGTTTCACATTGTGTCCACCATCTCCCAATGGAGAGCGACCCCTGATGAGGACCACTTCAAACACCAGTTAATGGAAGTCACAGTGAGCTCCCTGTCATATTCATGAACCACCGAGCGTTAGTGATGGACACGGGTTTTCGATACCCGGCGGGTTACGGGTACGGGTAGGCGCGGGTACGGGTACGGGTAAGGGTTGCCGTACCCGCGCCCTTCAAAACGAGCCCAAAAACGTCCAAAACGACCATAAAATGGGCGGGTTATGCTTGATTTAAGTAAATTGAGTATATCTCGCTCATTTCTGGTCCGTTTTGGACGTTCTTGGGCTCGTTTTGTGCGAAATACCCGTCGGGTCGCGGGTACGGGTAAGCGTGGGTACGGGTACGGGTAGGGGTAAATTTACCCGCGGGTTACCCGTGTCCTTCACTACCGAGCGTATTAAAACTATCCCATTAGCATAAACTACATTACACGGCCAAGGAAGACTGCCTCCTCGAAGACGTCGAGTACCTTGGCCCAGGTCTTTGTCACTGGCTTCATCACGTATCTCACCGCTATCTATTTCAACCCACCTCCATCCTGCTTGATATGTTCGACCACCCATGGTTCTCCAGCCCACCCCCTATGTTACTTTAAAGTCTTAGATTGTAGAATCGCCGAACTTAGATCTGCACATGAGACAACTTATCTAATCTAACACGTTGTTTCCCCCCCTTGACCCCACCTTGGCCCCACCCAGGGTTCTGAACGTACCCTCAGCTTCATGAACTGCGATCGCTGCCTTGCGAAAAGTGATGGAAGCGCTGAGAGTTGCAGTATCCGCTCTGCATTTCTTCGATGGTCGATGCGGGACATCGCTCTCCTGAACGCGCAAACACTGGACGTGTTTCTTCAGGACTACTCTGAACTCAAATCTACTCTTGCCGCTTCCTCTGACTCTCATACTCCACGTCCCAACCCCTCGCTACCTTCAAAGAAGCTTTGAAGATGGGTCTCATATACGAAGAGTGAGCTGTATCTAGACTTATTCATATATGAACGTAATTCCAATCTCATGACCCAAAAGAACGCGAGACAAACGATGACATTCGAGTACGAATTTACAGCGACCAAAACCGAAGAGATTGTACTAAGTTTCCAGCCCCCTGAACTCCTCGACCATTCCCTCCATCCCATCCTCAGCATCCTTCCGGGTAGGGGACCCAGACTTCTCTTCGCACTCCCAGGTATGGCTGGGAGATGGCCAGCGCAGGTGAGGAACCACAGCATCCCAAGCGCTGTCTGAAGACCGACCCCACCCCGGTGGAGATGGTGGAGGAGGAACCCACTCCGAATCCTCCTCGTGGCTGTACACAATTGTCTCGTCCCTGGGAGGCAGAAGCTCACATTGTGAGCTTTGCGATGGCCGTTCGTACGGTACCCAAGCACTTGGATCTTCGAGCCTCACCGCCAACAGAGGCTTGAGGCTGCTACACTTCACCCTGAAGAAGTCGATGGCCTCCAACGCACTCCGCAACTCCGTCTCCGCTGTCGTCATTCGCTCCTCGACCACTGAAAAGGTCTCCGAGAGAGGAGCGAGACTCGAAACGTCGCACCCCTTCAGAAGCATCATCGGATAGGTGTAGGTCAGCCAGGCTTGCGGTGTCTCTCCCCGGAACGCGTCCACGACATCGCGCACCGATAACGAGACAGGGGTGATGGGGCTCAAAGTCTTGAAGTTGCACCACCACAGGCAAATTGTAGGACGGAAATGGTCACGGAGGGGAGGCTGCCTGTCGCGAGCGGCTGATGCTACGTCTTGGAGGCTGTCGATTCCACCAGAAACCAAAAGGCGAGTGATTTTCACAAGGAAGGATGGCGGTGTGATGACATCAGGGTGGGTAATGTTCACGATGGACTGAAGAATGAGTGTAGTGTTCTAAACAGCAAAGGTTAGCACCACAATTCTTCGAAATGACAACCCACCGCACTCCTGATATCGATCTTCAACTGATTCCAGCAACTTTCAAACAATCCAGGGGTTTTCTTGATAGACTCTGAACGACCTGTCAGGGTTTCTGCGCAATGGCGTAGCCTTGAAGAAGCGTAATCCAGCAAGGTCTGGGACTCCAAGGCTGTTAGCCCCTGCAGCGCAGGCGAGGTATTGAGTAGCATTATCGATGAAGGAGGCTAGAGTCTACTGACCGTCCGATAGAACGCCTGGTCAATTTTTGTTTACCATTATAATTCACTGCCAAGTCATCATCGCACGTCGCATCCGGCCCATGGTATGATATCTGGCCGCCTATGTAGTTGTCCCGCCCAGGTGAGTTGATATTCCTCCACACTCGGCCGAGGCAGGCGACGCGGAGTACAGGTGAGATCGGTTGGCCGGGGAGCTTAGGGGAAGGCTCCCAACTCGGCCAAGCCAACCCCAGCCTCGCTTAGATACGACGGATCGGACGAGGTGTGTGATTTCTGATCCCGTCCCACTTTACCCTCCCAACCCCCCCCCCCGCCTCTTCCTCAACAATCACATCTCGCCCAAGTCGCTGCGGTCACCCTCTCGCTCTCTCTGTCACCTCGTTTCAATGTCTGCCAAGCCCTCTACAGACCTGCTAGCCGCGGTCTCAGAGCTGCATCAATTTATTTCAACAATCCCCTCATGGAAGAACACACCCGACGAACAGAAAAAGAAAGAAGAACTTCTAAACCTCACGGTATGTGTTCCAGCTCATCTTTGCCACCATATACCCTGATTGTTACGCCTTTCATTAGATCAAGGCTTATAGGAAAGTGAAGGCCGAAGGGTTCCGCGAAGAGAAACATCTCGGTCATTCACTGATCAATTGGATCAACAGCTGGTCCCGTCCGTACGCCTCAACACCTCACAATATTCCACTCTCCATCTTTTCGGACAATGACTTCTCCAAACCCCCACCCCTGCTCAAGAAATACAGTACCACGACGGCGAAACCCAAAGGATCCTCCTCCAAGCGACGCAAGCGCTCTCCCTCTCCCCCTGACGAGTCCGACGACGCCGATGAGAAAGACAAGGTAGACCGTGACCAGGACGAAGGAGAAGAAGAGGATGACGCTGAAGATGACGAAGATGAAGACGATAGTGAGGACGAGGACGAGGATGAGGACGCGCAGGGTCGAACCCAGAAGGGTCGCAATCAATCGAGCAAGAAGGCTCCCCCGAAGGATTCCATAGTGGTGAAGGTAAGTTTTGTTTTGATTGTGTCATGGAGAACGTTCTAAGTAATTCCCCAGAAGGAGAAGTCGGTCCCGCCTACGAAACCCCAGCCTACAAAGGTCGCACTTAACGCAAAAGCTCAAAAGCAGGTGAGACACAGCCTCTCATTCGATCTAATCTGAATGAGGTCCTCGGCCATACTCGCGCTTTGATGGAAGTGTTCAAGAACGAACGCAAGGATTACCTTCAAGAGAATTGTGACCTCAAGGAACATCTTCACAAATTAGAGGGCTCTTTCAACGAACACCGACTCGAGATGAAGAACATGCTGGCGTCATTCAAGGACCACAGCCTAGGCCTCGCTTCCAAGGCTACACCGGTGCGTAACAGGGCGTATTCGATCTATTACGCCAGTGGGACTTATCCTCATTCCCCAGGACCACCGACCCACCACCAACAGTAACCCCGGCATGTCGAACGACAATGCCTCAACAGCTGCCCCTGATCCTCCGGCTCTGAACCAGTCCACCACCCCTGCTGTACCTGCGAACCTATTCGAAGAATGGAATTACCATTGCGGCCAAGTCCAGCAAGGGTCATATCCTCCACTGCCTCAAAGTCAAGTCGCCAACAACTACATCACCCAACTGACCCCCATGGAAATCAAGACCCTTATTAATTATCCCGGTACGCTGTTTCTAATCATTCCCCACTCACCACATTGCTGACATCTCCGACTCTTAGACGGTGACAATGCATCATCGTCTGGCCCCGGTCAGCCCCAACATTGAATGTTTTCTCAACTCTCATTACTGTAGTCACTAACTCTCTTCCCCATGTACTTCTATGCTCTAACCACTAATACCCAATTTTTTTTCTGCCCACTTCGTGCTCATTCTTTCAAGTTAAGATGATGTTTAGAAGAAATGAACGACCAAGTTGCGAGATCAACGTTATTCCAAATTCGATATATTCTCAGCCGGCTGGCCAAGGCAACCAGCATGGTACGAAGGACTTACCTGCCCAAGTGCCACGAGATATACCCAACGCCTGGCCAAGGCAACCTCAATAAGTGCCCCGACATATACCCGACACCTGGCCAAGTCAAGCAGCATGGTAGCCCGAAGTACCTACCTGGCCAAGCACCCTCTTAGGTCTGTCACATTCAAGTTCCACATTACAACAGGGAATTGCTCAAACCTCAAAGTTCCTCATATGCTGGGGTTCGAATCTATTCATATACACCTATCCAATAACCAAATATATATATATATAAATACAAAAAAACTACACTACAGAAGTCCCAAACCAAGATATATCGAATCACCCGACTAGTTTCTCCTGGTCCTTCTTCATTTCTTAGCGGTCTCTGGGACAGGTAACTCGTCGCCTGCGGCACACTTTCCCCCACTACGAGTCGTCCTAGGATGGTCGACGATGTCGGGGTCCACTATGCCCAACCCAGCAGTAACACTCTTGGGTACGCGATTCTGGCGATTTGTTGGTGGAGCTGGTGTATCGAATCCACCAGGTGACGCTGGTGGCCGTGGCGACGGTGTGCGCGGGTGATGGCTGACTGCAAGATGATTGAGAGGGAGAGCGAGGGTGAGAATGAGATCTTGAACGTTGGGGAGACTGAGACTCAGGACGAGAGCGAGGAGGGGAGGGTGAGGGGGGACGAGAGGGGCAAGGGGAAGGGGGACGAGAGGGGGAGGGTGATCCTTGTCGATGGCACTCATCGAGGGGCGTGTCAAAGCCGCCGCTGCCCGATGATTGAGGAAGTCGTCGAGGCATTGTGGGTGGGGAAGTGTCAAACGTGTCGTCACGGGGAGGCGTGTCGAACCTGACATTCCCCTCTTGCTCAAAGTCATCGTTGTAGGCTAGGGGACCAACACATTAATATCATCATACCAATGTAGCATAAAGCACAATTGCTTACCGTATCTCTTCTTCCTTTAACTTTACCCTTTCTCGACTTCTTCTTCTTGGACGCCCCAGAGTCCCTGACATACCCCTACATCCCGGTGTAGTTTGCGTATTCTTCTTCCGCATCGCTGTCCGGTTCCTTGAATGGGACAAACTCGTATCCCTTAACCAGTCGACGAGGGATGAAATCGAACTTGAATTTCGTTTCGATCGTGTCATCCTGTTGGCGAGAGTAGAAAAATGAGTGGTACGCCTTCTGGACGTGTACGCGCATCTTCCCCGGGTCTCCCCACTCTTCGGCCAGGTCGTCCGGCAGATACTCCTCCTTGATACACTGCCTCAGAACCGACATCTTCTTCATGCAGGTCCAGGGGACACTTTCACGAAGGGGAAATTCGGGAGGGATGGTACACGGAGGAAGCTTCTTTCCATGGGCGATGACTACCCACAAGTCAGTGGTTGTCGAACCGTAAGAGCGAATCACTCACCGATGTATCGCGTGAAGTAGCTGCGCAGAACCTCACCCATCCACTGATTGAACTGGACCCCATGAGGTTGCGCCCCAATCGGGGGGAGGAGGGGTGTACCATCCTCATTACACTCCAGCGCGAGGAGCGGCTTCTCGTCTCGTGCGCGCGGATAAAGTCTTGGTCACAAGCCCCCAACGAGCTATTAAAATCAGCCTCGACAGAAACTGCGGTCCCATCCATCTTCTCAAATCCCAGGAGAAGGAATAGGTGTGCGTTCATGTCGTTGAAACACGCCAAAGCAAAATCTCTACACTGGGAGCGAAGGTACTTCTCCGCCACCCTAAGAACTCCAGTAAGCACTCTGGCCTATGATAGAGCGGGGTATGGACTCACCTGCGCCTCTCCTCCAATGGTGGGCCCTGGACCCTCCACTCCTGGGCTTTCCTATCATACATGTCATGTTCCTTCTGGGTGAGGACATTCCAAAGACGCATGGTCGCGCGCTGGTACCAGCTGAACACACCCCCTCCCTTCTCGCGAGCCTGACGCGTACTGGAGCCCTTGCCTCGCGAGTCGTCATTGTCCTCTTCTTCCTCCTCGTCCACCTTGTCCTCGTTGGCATCGGGCACGTACTCCTCTACCTGGGCGTCCTCCTGAGGGAGGACCAACTCTTCATCATCATACAGTTGGCGAAGATCTGGCAGCTGTTCTGGTTTTCCCAATGCTAGGATTTTGGCGATGTACATTATGGTGTGTGTACGGTCGTATTGGAGGACAAGTCGGGCGTACCACCGGACCGCCCAAGGTTTTTTGTGAAAGACACACGACCCCGACACGTACCTTTCGAACCAGCGCTCAACCACCTAACAGAAATCAGTCGGGATAGTCTCAAAACGCAAGAAAAGGGCTTACCTCTCGCAGCCGTTTCTCCTGACGACGAGACATTGCTTGGTTGGTGAGGTCCGTGTAGTCTTGCTTGAGAGTTGAGACTACCTCGCTGACGAACTTCCTCCTCCTGTCCGCATTCTTCTTGCTGCGATACCCGGTTAGCTTTCCTTGAAGATATGCGACTTGGCTCATGGTGAGGTGGTAACCATCTCCTTCGGTAGACATGGATGCAAGGAAGGCAGGCAAAAACAGGCAGGGGGGGTGGGGGGGGAATCAATGGAGGAGAGTCGCGGCTTGGGGCTTTACATATTTGTAAATTTATGTGTTGTGTCCAAATAAGGGCTACTTCCAAAAAAGGATCCATATCAGTGATTGGCACCAAGATCTCGATCCAAATTAGGTGCCATGTTCGACTTTCATCCCCTTCCCATAACCATCGCCGCCATGGGTTTCGGTCGAGAGCGAAAAGCGTCAGCCAACGCAAGTTCCAGTGGTGTACAATGGATGGAGGCACGGATGGTAACGGCAGGGAGATGGAAGACCGTCAAGTTTCTTCCTACTTTGCCATCGCCCGTCAAGAAAAAACAGATCAGGGCGAACGCAAAGAAGATGTGCCCGCTCACGTTCCCTAGCCCTGGGGATGACAGGGGGGAGTATATACCATTTGAGACAGATGGATATCAGTTGCAAACCAAACGCACCAAGGTGATTGCTTTGGTTTTTCCATGAGTCGCCTCACTGACCACCCATCCACGCTAGGACTTGCACAATTACATGGCGGATTGGATCCCGAAACAGAACCTGTATTTGAACGAGATCGTGTTGCTCGAGGCACCCCCTTCCCCTCTCAAATGCTTGCAATGCGAGAGCTCCTCGTCACCGACCTGGTGGAGGTGCACGGATTGCATTGGGTGGCCCTTCCTTTGTATCAGCTGTTGTTGCGACCGACATTTGGCTACTCCCTTCCATCGCATAGAAACTCTACAAGGCTCGTTCTTCACTCCTTCGTGGCTGTGGCACTGCGGGGTCTCTATCAATCTGTGCCCGCTGAAGAGTTGCGCCCCTAGGGGTGAATTGGATGAGGCAGATCCGGAGACAAATGGGGACGGTGAAAACGATGAGGAACAGGATCTGGCATGGCTGGATTGCGACGATTTTAGTTATGGGGCTAGGCCGCCCAGTAGGAACATAAAAGGCATGAAGGTCGTTGTGGTAGTGCACTCGAACGGAGTTCACCACCTACCGATACATTTTTGCTGCTGCTTCGATGCCCTGGAACCCGAATACCAACTACTTCGGAATGGTTTCTACCCGGCAACCTCAAAGAATGTGAGAACCATCTTCACATTTACCATGCTCGACGAGTACCTGCTCGAAACCTTGGAATGCTTTACGTCCACTCACCACTATTACTCAAAACTCCGGCGCCTGACGAACGAGCCTTTTCCCGACACAGTATCTGTGAGTATTCTGACCAACACTGCATATACAAGGAGGTCTGACTTAACTGCCCGAAGGATTGTACCAGGGAACTTCGCAGAGTTGGGAGACAGTGGAGAAAACTAGGCGAGTTGAAACGGTACGGATTCGCTCATGTTGGCCGTACACCTGGGAAAGGGGATCTTGGCGCTTTTCTGTGCTGCGTGCCCTCAACCAGGGATCAACCTTCCGGAAGGTTGGGAAGACGATCCCGAGGAGTGGAAATATACTCAAAGCTTCGTGGCTGACGGTAACTTTACCTGCATCCATCGGAGACAGCGGAAGGAGGAAGAGTTTGATGTGGGATTGAAGAATGGAGAGGGGTACATGACCGAGGCCGGGACGTATACCGAGCATCTGAGGATTGCTGAGGAGACAAGTGAGGTATGTCTTCTCGACGATACATTTCACGGATTAAAACTAACCTAGGCGACCGAAAAGCCCCCTACGTGCCACGAGCATCGAGCGATTGCCGATAAATCAAAAGTACGCAAGGGGCTCGACGTGACCGGAATAGGCGCCATCGCATGCATGCGACACGGGGCCTTCGCACCGGGCAGCGTGGTAGACTTTCAAAAAGGAGAGAGGTGGGTGTCCAGAACAGTGCACAGGCGCCTATATTGACCTTACAAATGGCAGACAAATCAACATGGACTATGCTCTTTCAGAAGCCCTGCAATTGACGAATATGGAGCAAACCCGAAGAGTTATTCTCGCCGACGACATTAACTGTCAATATAGCAAGCACCTCCTTCGGAGACTGCGAGAGGGAGATCACCTGAAGCTCAATGAGGACTTAATCTGGGTCTTTGGCATTGGTTTATTCCATGTCCACGGTCACCAAGAGGCCTGCCACGCTCAATACTCACTCACTTTCATCCGTGGTGCTGGTGTCTCGGCGGGAGAGATACTGGAATCGTTGTGGGCCGTAGTCAACGAGGTTGCCCGCTCGACCTCGACGATGTCTCTTGCGCATAGGGCCAAAGTTCTCGATGCTATCATGGGAGATATCAACTGGAAGAAAATGCTGAGGCTCAGTAAGTTTTCGAATACCCAATTTAATCTAGTGGTCTGATACCCTCTGCTTTAGTTCCCTTGATTCCAAAGGACTGGAAGAATGCGCGGATGCAACTGTCCAGTGCCAGAGAAGATTTCGAGCTTCTCAACGAGACAGCCACCACTGAACAGACCGAGAGATGGCAGGAGCAACTGAACGCCGCACAAGAAGCACACATCCATGATGTATCAGCTATGGATGTTTTGAATGTGAAGGTGTCGAAAGGTACGAGTTATCTGATCATCCGATATACATGCTCTGACCTGGAAAATAAAGCACCTAGCTTTGCGAACGTCCGCACAAGACTGATGGAAGCTGAGAAGCGAGCAGGCCAGGACGTCGGTTTGACGTCGTGGATAGCATTTGGCTTCAAGATCCAGGAAGCTCAGTGAGTGAAATTTGGCTGAATCACGAAGGAAGCGCTTATACATAGGACGAATCGTCTAAGGGTTCGCCTTCGGTCGTACCTGCAGACTCTACCTAAGGAGAGGACGGAAGCGCAGGAGGTAGAGGTTGCTCAACGCAGAGAGCAACTCTATACCGACGTGAACAGCCTATATGAAATGGCGACAAGCCTCTTCCCGGACTCTGACCTCAGTGCTCTCAAGTACGATGAGCCTCCGGTTGGCGAGGACGTGCAACTCGAGGACGAGGATGACGCTCTGGCTGGGGATGACAACCCCTACTCACTCTCTCAAAACAACATCGAGAACGTGAAGTTACCTCTTCCGTCCTCCCTCGCGCAGTCGGACGTGACACCGTCGCTTCAAAGAGCGAAGGAGAAAGAGCTTACTCTTCGCATCGCGCAAGCAGAGGATGCTCTCGAGAGCATCCGCAATGACATTGGCCACAAGTCCTATCTATATCGTTCAAACATTTGATTGGCCGAAGGAAAAAAGCAGAAGACTCGTGGCTATGCTACAGTGAACACAGTCAATCGCAGCCTCCGCGACCATATACGAATCTATGCGCAGGCTAGGTGGGCCATGCTTCGACTAGGTGCCGACGACGATACCAAACTTTGATACTGACCCATTCGAAAAGAGGACACAAGAGCAGTGACGGCCATCTACCAGCCCAATGCTCGTGGGCAGCGTAATAAGCCCCTCTCGTGGATTTGGAACTTGAATGTACGGGGAGATTCACAGAGTTCTGATTATCTGGAGGAATGTAAGTGATTAATACATCAAACACCGTACATGAAACAATAATGACCCTACTCACAGTGTACAGGGTCAATTGGCTTCGCGCTCGGTCAAGGCTGGACCGGTGGAAGAATTCACACTCCTAAGCTCAGAGATGGAGTGGGTTCTGAATTTCTTCGCTTTCAGGGCAAGATCAGTGCAAGGCTTATTAAACACGTAAGACGATGTACCACTGCAAGTGGGGAAGAGTTCGATGGTATTAGTACAGATATAAATAAGTACAATGAGGACATACCTGCAAGTAGGGAAGAGTTCGATGGGGGAACTCCCACTTGCAGTCACTACCTATATACGTCTGGGGACAAAGGGATGTCTATATACGGTAGAACAATAAGATGTCCGAATTGGGAACAAGGGATACAAGAGAACAATAGAACTACTTAGTATATCCGAGATCAGAGAACAATAGAATGTCCGTATAAGGATACATGAAACGTTCGTACATAATTGGGCATCCTTGTACCCGTAAATGGAATAGATGTGACATGTGCATTGTATTTCCAACACACCCCCTCAATGTAATGTCACTAGATAATTACACAAGTCCCAGTGCGATTCGATGACGTTCAACATCTTCTCGATGGAGTGGTTTTGTTAGAATGTCGGCGACCATGTCTTTCGTTGGGCAGAAATGGATCTCGATCTCCCTGCGCTTGATCTCTTGTCTGATCCAGTGCATCTTGATGTCGAATCCACTTGTTGATCGTCTCGTGTCGAGGCATCCTGCATAATCGGCATCACTGAATGTGTGGAAGAGTTCAGAGGCGAGTTGGGGGTTGTTGTCCATGCGATATGTGAGTTTGAGATCCATGGTGCCCTTGAGGTAGCGGAAGACGTGTTTGATGGCTGTCCAATGTGTCATTCCGGGGTTTGAATTGAATTGTGCTAGCTTTGCCACAGCGAAAGCAATGTCAGGTCGAGTGCCGATTGCGAGATACATGAGTGCTCCCACAGCGTTCATGTAAGGAATGTTCCGCATCTCTTCTCGTTCCTCTTCTGTCTTGGGACACTGATCTTTGCTTAGGCGGACGCTTGGGTTCATCGGCGTTTTGACCGTGTTAGCCGCATCGAGGCGGAAACGGACGAGCATGTCCTGGATGTACTGCTTCTGTGATAGTTGCAGTGTCCGTTTCTCTCGATCGTAATCAACCTTAAATTCCCAGAAGGTAGGATGTTGGTCCAAGGTCTTTCAGTTTGAACACCTTTGCCAAGGCGTCCTTGACCCATTGTATCTTCTTCTGGTCTTTCGAGATGATTGTGATGTCGTCGACGAAGACGGGCAGGGTGACTCGGATGCCGTCTAATTCCCAAATGTAGACACTGGGATCGGACTTCAGTTGTTTGAATCCGAGTCGTTCGAGTTCCTCTGCCAGTTTCTCGTACCAGAGTCGACCACTCTGCTTCAGCCCATACAGTCCCTTCTTGAGGCGGCAAACCCATCGTCCCCCATTTTGGTTGGGGACTTCGAATCCCTCTGGCTGGACCATGTATACTTCGTATTCATCTTCAATTTCTCCATTGAGGTATGCATTGGAGATATCGATGGATTCGATGAATTCACCGTTCATGGCAGCTTGTGCGAGGATTGCTCTGATGGTGGCAAGGCGGGAGGTTGGAGCGAAGACTTGGTCATAGTCAATTCCTGGTGCTTGGGCAAATCCTTTAGCGACGAGGCGTGCTTTGTACCGGTCAATGGTGCCATCAGACTTTCGCTTGATCAGGGAAGACCCAGCGTGATCCAATTGCTTTGCGTCCTTGTGGGAGTTGGACGAGTTCCCAGGTGCCGTTGGCAATGAGGGCATCAATTTCCGCTCGAGCAGCACTGATCCACTTGTCTCTGTCTGGTCGGGCCATCGCTTCCTTCCAGTTGCGTGGCGAGTCCTCTGGTCGTGTGGCCGCTCCGAGTGCTTTTTCCTTCACCTTGTCGAGAACCATTTCGAGTGCCATTTCACATGCTTCAGCCATCGTGAGGTACTCTCCACTCATTCCGTAGACGTGCAGGATGGAGTCGAGGACTGGTGTTGCTTTGAAAGCTGAGTGGAAGTCGGGTTCGTCCTCCTCATTAATGTCGTCGGCTGTGATAGGTGGTAGATTATCCTCTCTTGCACCCCCTTGATCTACTACCTGATCACCCCCTTGGTCCTGGTTCGGTGGATGACCATTTTCCTCTGCTGTTCGTCTTGGGGCAGGCGCAGTGCCCCTGCGTGAGTGTCCAGCTAAGGTGTAGTAATCCGTGACTCTTGCCGTGGAACGTATCGGACGAGGGTTTTGGGATGGCTGTGGAGGTGGTTTTGGCTTGGTTGCTCTTCCCTGTCCAAAGTTCGGTGCAGGGAGTGGAGCGGGATTCTCTACCAGTGGTTCTGGTGACGATGGTGGGACAGGTGGTTGCGATCGGCCTTGTGGTGTGGGTGAGGGCTTCCTCTTCTCGATGATAAGGTGCATGGCGTGCGACTGGAGGTTTTGCCGTTGGGGTAGAAGTGGGTCACTAATTTCCTCTTTGCACTTGTGGAGTGTCTGTTCCAGAGTGTTCTTTCTTGACCCGAGGTTTTGGCGTGTATGGAGGAGTGTCGTCATCATCGGAATCAGAGTCTGACTCGTGCGTGGTTGTGCTCGGAGCGTCCCCCGTACTCCTAAAGCCTGCTGGGGGAGCTGGAGGATCAGGTGGTGCTCCCGGACCATGCGGTGCTGTATCCCATTCATCGTCATCATCATATGGCCAGATGTCTCGGATGCCGACTGGTTTGACCGTAACCGTGGTTGACTTTGTGGATAGGCCAGGAAAAAGGGTCTCATCGAAGACGATATCTCGAGAGATGATGAATTTCTCTTGATTGTGGGTCAAAGCATTTCCATCCTTTGTATCCTGGTTCAAAACCGACAAAAATGCAACGGGTCGTATGGGAGTCGAGGTTCCGTCTATCCTTTCGCTGGATGTTGACATATGCTCTACATCCGAATGTTCTGATCATGGACAAGTCCGGTTTCCGACCTTCCCATACTTCGTAGGAAGTCGTGTTGGAGACCAGATGACTGATGGAGTCATATTGAGGATGTCGACGTAGTAGAGAAGGGCGAGTGACCAGAATGATGATGGGAGATTTGCTTGGCAAAGCATGGCTACCACTCCTTCAGCTGCGGTTCGGTTGAATCGTTCACTGACACCGTTCTGTTGTGGTGTGCTTTTTACGGTGTGTTGGCGAGTGATTCCAAGTTTCTCGCACCACACATTGAATTCCTTTCCAATGTATTCACCCCCTTTGTCGTCTCGGAGTTCCTTGACCTTTCGTCCGTGTTTCCTCTCAACTTCGGCCACAAATATCTTGAACTTCTCGAAGGCTTCGTCTTTGCTCTTCAAGAGGTACACTCGTTTATAACGTGAGTAGTCATCGATGAATGTAATCCAGTATTTGTGTTCCGGCAGTTGTGCGGGTGAGAGGGCCATGGAGGTCACTGTGGATGCGTCCGAGTAGTTCAGGGGAACGGTTGTTGGAGTGAGTTGGGAAGGGATCCCGATGTTGTTTCCCATCCTGACAGTGCTCGCATACGTTATGGACTTCAGTGTTTGGTTTGACGAGAATGCCTGTAGCCAGCTCCTTGTTGATGAGAGTGTCAAGTCTCCCTTTGCCTATGTGTCCAAGTCGACAGTGCAGGGTGTGCTTATCGACTCGTGTGATGTATGCCTGCTCGTTATATGCCAGAGTTGTGCCATTTAATGTGCCAATAGTGCCCTTGATGCTCGCTGTGAATAAGACCCTTGTTGTCTCTTGAAAACTCGAGACTGTTTCCCTCAATAACCACTCGCATTCGACTCTTTGTAACAACGGTGAGGATAGAAAAGAGGTTATTTTGCAATGCTGGTACATAAAGGACATTCTGGAATATAACAGACTCGGTGGGTTTGCCATCTACGACCGGGGAGAATACAACACTTCCCTTCCCGACTGCCCACACTACGTGTTTGTTGGCGAGCTCGACGGGAATTCTGCATGGGACCATATTTCGGATCCACCTGCGGTGTGGTGTCATATGAGAGGTAGCTCCTGAGTCTGTGTTCCAAGATTCGTCAGCATTGGTGTTAAGCGAGCGGATACGAGGGGGACTTGCGAGGTGTGCGACTTGGGCCATCTGGGCCTTGACGATAGCGGGAGGTGTTTCGTCATCCTCTTCAGCGATTTGAGCCTTCTGCTGCTGAGCCCTGCAGTCCTTGTCGTTATGGGACTTGTTGGGGCCATGGACCGAGCAGTTGAACTTGGCCTTCGGTTTCTTGGCCGCCTTTTTAGAGGCCGCGAGGGCAGATGCAGCTGAAGCTTCTGCAAGGGCAGTGTTCTTGTCGAGAGTGTCTGCTCGGCGAAGGTGCTCAAGAATGTCGCTGGCCGTAGTGCTCTTGAGGTGGGCGAGGGTGTGACGAAGAACCTTGTCCTCTTCAGCTATAAGGCCAACGGTCATCATAGCGGCAGCAAAGTCGTTGACGAGGTCAACAGCACTGTATCCCTTGTCGAAGGTGGAACCGGTGACCACAGTCTCCGCTGTCACTGGTGTTGCGCCGGTTGCTTGTGACGTGAAGAAGGAGCCGGATGCTGTGGTTTCCTTGACGTAATTGGGACCAGAAGGGAGGCGATTGATGAGCTGTTGTCCAGCAGCGACGCATCGTGCACCATAATCCGCGTACGTCTCGTCTTCCTGCTTTCGGAGCGTCATGAGTTCTTGGATCGCGGAAGTCCTTGATCCAGAGTCCTTGGGCTCGTATGCAGCAAGGAGAGTGGTCCAAATTGTTGGTACGTCTAGGATGTCGACATCACCAAGGAGGGTCTCCGTCTGCGCATGGTCGAGTGTGGAGCGGAGGTAACCGGCCATCTTGGAACGACGCTCCTGATAGTGCTGGCGAGCCTTCATCTGCCCGCTGCCAGTTGGCGCCATTTCTTCGCCCGTGAGGATATCATAGGCGGCGAACTCGAGAGCTTTGTTGATGCAGACCCGCTTCCATTGTGAAATGGTCGCGGCCGACAGTGGGTTGTCGGTGGTGACGGTGGTGGACGACATAACGGAGTGTGGAGGTAAGGGTATGCGTCAATTGGTTGACTTGGGAGCTCCCAAGTCAGCAACGACGAGGCACGAGGTGGCAAGTGGGCTTAACGAGTCCTGGGAGCTCCCAAGACTGGTTGTAGGCACAGGAAAGGGGAAGACACAAGGCAGGGTTGGTCTCAAGGTCAAGTGGCACACTTGGACGATGAGAGAGCAAAGGGGGAGCCGTAGGCGAGGTGATCGAACAGATCGTCGTGAGTTGTCAGGCGGCGCGAGCAGTAATACTGATAAATCAGTTATGCCCGGGGCTCATAACCTATTAAACACGTAAGACGATGTACCACTGCAAGTGGGGAAGAGTTCGATGGTATTAGTACAGATATAAATAAGTACAATGAGGGACATACCTGCAAGTGGGGAAGAGTTCGATGGGGGAACTCCCACTTGCAGTCACTACCTATATACGTCTGGGGACAAAGGGATGTCTATATACGGTAGAACAATAAGATGTCCGAATTGGGAACAAGGGATACAAGAGAACAATAGAACTACTTAATATATCCGAGATCAGAGAACAATAGAATGTCTGTATAAGGATACATGAAACATTCGTACATAATTGGGCATCCTTGTACCCGTAAATGGAATAGATGTGACATGTGCATTGTATTCCAACAAGGCTTGGGCGACTTTGAAAAAGGACTCACCTGGACATGTGGCTCTTGGGAGAAAACAGGGGGAGATGTGGAGATTGATGTATGCGCAGGCCGAGGCAAAGTTCAATAAGGTCAGAGCTGGAGCGTAGAACATGACATAGTTAGCGACCACGGAGAGTCCCTGAATGACTAAACCGACATACCTTGAACACGAGTCGGAGGGTGCTTGAACTGGTGACCCTGTCACCCTATAAGCCAAGGAGGTGCGACACATCTTTGTATTGATCAAAGGGCCAATCTTGACCAATGCATGCACGTCGACCGTAGAGTCGTGGTTCCGAGGCGAGTTCGAGGATATAGGCGTCTAAGAGTGCCTCACAAGAGGTATTGTCTTAAGACGACTAGAGCGAGTTCAAGAGAAGAAGAGAAGTGGGTATGATTCACGAGAACTAGCTAAGGAACAAGGGAGGTATCTACAGAGCTTATATACTAGTCTAGCTACATGAATGTGAGTCAAGAAGAGTCAGAGAGAAGGGCTGCGCAAGCACAGGTTACTGCGGAGCACAGCAGAAATAAATTAGAGAACAATAAAGAGTGGCTGCACCGCAGCAAGAAAGAGTCATAAAGAGTCACAGAAGGCTGCGCCGCAGCAGTAAGAAGAATTAACAGATAAAACGGTCACGAGATAAAGAAAGAGGTCACGTAAATAAGAAAGAGAGTCATGTGATAGAGAAAGAATGCGAAGAGAAAAGATAGGGACGGAATTCGTAACAATAAGTCCTCGTTGTCCATTGTCCGAAGTCCACTATGAGTCCGGCCACCGGGAGAATCTCCTGTTCTGGAGTTCTTGAGGTTCTGGATCGGAGTTCGAGTTCTGGAGTCGAGTTCAAGAGGCCTGTCACTATTGCAGACAGAGAGGATCAAGCTGAGAGTGATAGAAGTTCTAGGACAAGGTTCTCCATAACAGGCTGAGGACTACCTACTACAGGATGGTAGTATTTATAGTGTGGTATTGGAATGTTTGGAAAATGAGAAAGGTAAGAGTCTGGCGGTAATGGAGCAACGAGTATGGAATACTGGTAAGTAAGGAATAGCAGAAGGAATGGAGGTACGAGGAGATTGGTAATATGGAGGAAACAGATGTACGAAGGTGACATCTTTTATATTTGCACATTTTAATCTTGTCTTCATGTTTCTCCTCGTATTATCCGCATTCTTATCCGCTGTGGATTCTGTAGAAGTATTTCCTATAAATACTGGCAAGTTTTGTAGTACTAAGTAGATACCTCATCCGGAATCTTGACTAGGTTCTCCCCTGATTGAATCTCTCAGTCTTCAGTAATCTTCTTCATCGTCTACGACCATTGAGCCTTAGCTCCTGTTGTCCCTCTCACTTGTCCTCCCGCCAGAAGGCGCTTCTGTCTGGTCCGTCAGCCTTGCCAGCTGTTAGGGTCTCGAACATCCACCCACATCCACCCACAACCCACCAGCCTTGACCCACACTCCCCGCACAGTCTCACATGATCTCCCGCATGATCCCGCACATCCCCACACTCGCCATCACCTCTCCGCATCCCACATCCCCATATCTCTGCGACCCTTCCCTCCACACTCCCGCATGCTCCGCAGTCGATCCGCATGCAGAGTTTACGGGCGCTAGACACTCCGCTCCGCATTTATGTGGAGCGCCGCCGGTACGACACGGCCCGCAACTGAGGGCCGCGTGCGGACCGTGCGGAGAAACCTCGTAACCGCCCTCTAGGCGCCCAGACTCTGCATGTGACCCCCTTATGCTTCCTTATGACTTCACCCTTTGCTTTTACTATTGTTCTTTAGAATCGACTTACTCATCCCTTTCGTATTCCGCAGTATTCCGCATTTCTTATGACTCAGTTTTATCTCTTGTCCCAGACTTTGTCCCAGAGTATATCTAGTGATCACCAGGGGGTTAACCCCGGGTTTCGGAAGGCCGACCCGGACCCGACCCGTGGCTTGACCCTACCCGTAACCCGACGGGTTTTCCGCACGGGTTGAGCTTTAGATCATCCAAAACGGATGAGAAATGGATGAGATATGGTTTAAACACTTATTTGACCGTATCTCTACCATTTCTCATCCGTTTTGGATGATCTATGGCTCGTTTTGAAATTCCCGGGTCTGGGAATTGCGACCCGTACCCGACCCGCGACAGGGTTGACCCGGAAACCCGGAGGGGTCAGCCGACCCTTGGTTTTCACTAAGTATATCCAGAGTATCTACAGATATATAAGCTAGCTAGATTTCTGCTAGTAGATACTCATGCGGAATCTCGAATCAGACTTATACAGAACTTCCCTCTGTCCAGTCTTGAGCCTTTAGGCTTGTTAGAGCTTTCCGCATACTCCGCATATCTGCACAGTGCTCCTGATTCCGCTCCGCAAGGCTCTCTCCTCTCTCTCCTCGTCTTCCGCCACAAGGCGCGTCTCTCTCTCCCTCTCCTCCCCTCTCCTTTCGGGTTGGACCATATACCACCAGCGTGGGCACAACGCAATACGTTGAGGCCAAGGTCCCTTCGACTCCGCAGACTCCGCAGTTCCGTAGAGTCTAACACCAGCCCTTGGAACTGTAACGAAGGGTACACATTCATATAATGTATTATGTGAGACCAAGGCTAAGTCTTCTTGTCACTCATCCGTCGTAATCTCCAACCCTAACAGGGTCCAGGTCCAGGTCCTGGCTTTTAGACTCCAGGTTTACCCATGGTGAACACTAAAAATTACAGGATAAGAAACCTTTCAAATGATAAAATGAAGTGAGAAAATCAAGTCTGAAAACAGGGCAAAATGGGGTTGCAAATAAACGGCTCCTAAAGGGCTGGTAACTTTGGCACGAAATTGATAACATTGCCGGATATACTCTACATGCATTAGGACTGCACCAGAGACGAGGGCCGATGCTATGGAGATCGGCGACGGTCTGTGTTATTGTTCCTTGAACACACCGCCAACTCTGGTTGCAGGAAGGAGCGAGAATGCTACGTGATGGTGTGGGTGTGTCGCAGTCGGAAGACGGTTGATAGACAGTACTGTGCACGGAGGAACTTGAAGTAGCGCTCAGATATAGATTCCATCTCTGCACGCCGTGGGTTCGTTGCTCGTCTGGACCTCGACCTTGACCACCTCCTTCCATGGCACCAAAACCTGACCCACGAACCTCCCCTCATAGACGTCGCTTCCCTCCACCCTAACAGAGTACTCCTCTGGTGTTGATCAACAGCACGTTCAACGATTTGTCGGTCCCCGCAAAGGTGCCTAAAAAAACGCGACCATCCTTTGCTGTGATCCTCAAGACTTGCTGTAAAAGCGATCGAAGGCGTTCGAATTTGTTGTTTATGAGAGTAGTGTCGCTGGAAGAGGATAGGGCTGGTGGTGGTTGCATCTCTAAGAGATCAATCGAGGTCGCGGCCGCTGACACGTCACGATCACGGGTCTGCGTTGACATCTTAGCATCAGCCTCGCCTATGAACCCGTTCGCAAGTCCAGTCTCTCTCACAATGCAAGGCAAATTCAACACCCCCGACACTCACAAATACTCTGTCATCCTCCCCACCTACAACGAGCGTAAAAATCTGCCAGTTATCGTCTGGTTGCTCGCTAAAACATTCCAAGACAAGTTGGTCTGCAATTACGAGTGGTCGTAGAGGAGAGGGCTAATGGCAGACAGTGACCTGGCTTGGGAAATTATAGTTGTCGACGATGCAAGTCCAGACGGGACACAGGAAATCGCAAAGCAGCTCGCCAATGTGTATGGGGAGGACAAGATTGTGAGTAACCGTTCTGTGTCGTCATAACCCGTTTGCTCATAAATTGCTAGGTGCTGAAGCCACGAGCTGGTAAACTCGGACTGGGGTCAGTAGTGCCAGCAGGGTGAAGCTGGAACCAAGGCTGAACTGTGTTGCAGAACGGCCTATATTCATGGCCTCAACTATGTCACTGGTGACTTTGTCATTATCATGGACGCCGACTTTTCACACCACGTACGGGCTTCATCCCTCCACAATCGACTCCCCACTTACTTGCGCAATTACAGCCCAAATTCATCCCGCAGTTCATCCGGTACGCCATCCCAATCCAACGACACTAGCCCCAAGCTTCTCATCAGACCACTCTAGACTCCAAAAGGCTCATAACCTGGACATTGTAACCGGCACCCGGTACCGCTCGACATCAACACCCTACACCACAGATGCACAACCAGGAGGAGTCCACGGTTGGGATCTCAAACGTAAACTCGTCTCCAGAGGGGCCAACTTTCTCGCTGCGACAGTGTTGAACCCCGGCGTGAGCGATCTCACAGGAAGCTTCCGGTTAGCACCCCTGCGTCGTCCTTGAACTTTGAAATTAACGTATCCCCTAGATTATACCGCCTTCCCGTTCTGCGGCACATCATCAGCGAAACTGTGTCCAAAGGCTACGTGTTCCAAATGGAAATGATGGTCCGGGCGCGGGCGCTTGGGTACACGGTTGGGGAGGTGCCAATCACATTCGTCGACCGCATCTTTGGCGAGAGCAAACTAGGCGCCGACGAGATTGTGTCGTACGCAAAGGGCGTCTGGACGCTCTTCAGCACAGTCTGATTTCCATAATGATGTCACGATTTGTCAGCACGTAATTTATACCCCGCAAATTCCAGTTTCCACTTTTTGTTCTCATCCACCACCATGAGTCTCCTTCAAGATGTCCTCAGATCACACACTTCAGACGCTCTTCAGCGTCACTTGGACAGCATAAATATATCAGGTCGCCCACCACCCACCGATAACGACCACAACCACGATTCAGACGGCGACGATTTCATCAATGTTGTAAGTATTCTCCACAGACACCAATCTTTACTCTCTGATATCCACCTAGGTCTCTCTCCCAAACTCTCCAGGCGCAACAAGACCTTCCTCTCCAACCCGCAACTCGTCAAAACCAATCAAGGGCCCATTACTTCTCTCCAACGCCCGCAAAGACCCTCTGAGACGCTTCCCAACCGAAGTATCCCAACGCATCTTCAAGCACCTCTCCATCTCAGACCTCGCACACTGCTCTCGCGTCTCCAAGAAATGGAACAGAAGTCAGACCTTGAACTACGGTACCTTCTCCTCATTCTCTTGACTTGCAATCCTTGACTCATTGCTTATCACAACAGTTTGGTTCCAACATTATCGTAAAGAGAACTTTCACGACGAATCCCTTCCACCAGGGAAATGGACCAGGCGAGAATCGAAACAGAACTGGGTACGCTCCGTTCTTCTCTCCCTCTTTCTCTTACGACTAACACTTCTCCTAGCGCCTACTCTACATCAAAACCCTCAAAGACCGAGAACCGCCCACCACCTTCTCCCGCGCCTCGATGCAAACCTCACCTCTCCAATCCGGCCAACAAACCCCCCGCGAACGACGGGAGGAACAATGGCGCCAAGAAGCCGCTGCTGTGTCCAAGCCCGGCAAACTCGAAATGCGGGAGATGTACAAAGAACTCGGAGGGAGGAAAGCGAGGGGAAAGACCAAGTTGGGGTCACAGGGTGCGACGAGGGATAAAGGTGGTTGGAATGACAGCGAAGATTGGTAGACCACATCCGACTCCCCATAGACGTTTGTATCTATTCTCCCCATCTAGAATGCTATCTCTACCACCATTCGTGCTCCGATTGAAATCACTACGGGCGCCTATCCCCCAAGTCCCCGTATCTTCCGGTGCTACCAACCCATCGACATTCCCAAACTCTACACGGGGCAGAAATTGTCAACATCGGTGATGATCCACCGTGTCAACCCTCGAGGTGACAACCAAGAAGGAAGCAAACCTGGCACTTGTACCGCCTTTGCTCACGTACTACTAGGCTATTTTGACCAAGGCGACCTGGGGAACGAACATCGCGCCATGTTCCAGAATCCCCGCAATGTTTTGCTAGTGCTGGCGGGGACGTCCATGTCCACGTCAACGAATACGCTTCTGCGAAGGCCACGAAGGTGTGTGGCCTCTCGGCTCCTCGAGGTCAATGGAATCGACGGCAACTTCGGAGCAGATAAAAGGGACTCACGGCGCTGATGAAGGCCTCACTCGGGGTATGGTCACGAAGGTGTCGTCGCCTGACGTCCCTAGATCGACGTCAATGCGAGAGATACTAGGTAGCTGGAATGAACACCAACGGAGCTGATAACAACAGGTCGAGTATCAGGAATATGACGCCGATCTCAGGATTTCGACCGAAGTTACTGTAGTAATCAAAGGTGCTGGTCTTGGTGGCATGAGTAATTGATCATTGCGACACTCCTCTGTTTTCGTCCTCCAGGAACGTATTCGTATCTCATCCTTTCAGTGTCCTTTTGTCGGCGTATCGTAGTTAAAGTATGTATCTACGGAACATGGGTTCGACATATCCTGCCAACTATTCCCGAATACACGATCCTCGCGGAACGCTCGACGCTTAGCTTGTCCCTGTACCTCTGCTTATGGTGGGTTTGCAGCCCCAATACTGCGGCAATTGAACGTGATTCTGACGATGCGACAGCCATGTAATCCATTCGAATGACAGGTCGTTTAAGTCGGTAGACCGCTACTGATATTTCTCTTTATAAATCCATGCAAGTCCAACATCACTCTGGCCCTGCTTAACAGCGGCCCGATACCACTTGGCCGCTTCCTTTTTGTTCTTCTTACAGCCCTTGCCATTCGTCAAACAAAACGCCAGATCCATCTGCGCATCTGCGTCTCCCAGTTCAGCCGCAATGGTATAATAGCTCTGTCAACCCGTTAGGCAGAATGACCAAGAGAAAGCGAATCAGTGGACGTACAACTGCCATCTTCTGATCTTTTGGTACACCCCAGCCCTGAAAAAAGCACTGTCCAACCTCGTATATCGCAAGCACCAACTCATTCTACACCAGCGTTTCATCAGCTTCCTTCTCGAACCAAGACACAAAGGAAAGGGCCACTCACCCGCACGACGCTGACATCCTTGACCCCACTGGCTCTCGTAGCTTCCAGATCCCCAACCGCACTCTCCGCAGCTTTCTGCAGCCACTTGAACGCCACTTTCTCGTTCTTCTCACATCCCCACCCATGTCTCAATGTCAACCCCCACATCAACATCCCAACCCCACACCCTCCACCCTCCTTTGCACTCTTCTCAAAGCAGGTCGCACTTTCTTTGAGCCGATCGTGTTCGTGGTGCTCAATACCAAGCAGGAGATAGTCGTGTGCAGACTTTGGGCCAGATGGCGAAGATGGTGAAGAGGATGACGGGTTGTGGTGGCTCGAAGGAGGAGCCAAGAACTGATTCGATTGCTGAGTCGAACTCGCCTGCAACGAACTAGGCTGTTGCGAAGCCTTCCCAGGAGCAGCAAATGGATCCTTCGAATTACTGAATGTACTCCCCGTAGGCGAGGGAACAGCACCTTCAAACGGGTAGTACGAGTAATTTGAATATAGACTGACCGGTGACGCGGGGGGTTGTTGATGATAAGCCCTGGGATCCAGACTTGAATTCGATTTGGAATGGGGATTGGAATGGGGATTGGAGTAGGGATTGGGGAGTGTGTCGGCATATCGATCATGAGGTTCTGAACTCCCCAGAGTAGAAGTCGCAGCCGTACTCGTCGTAGGATTGGGAGATAACGAGGAAGACGAAGGGGAGCGACTAGAGGCGGTCATGGAAGGGGGTGTGGGGAGATAACCTTGATTTTGCTGTTGGTGATCCTGGCGCCCGCTGCCATTCATACCATTCGTCAAAGAAGGCTGTGACGAACTCGCAGCAGCATTATACAACCTTCCTCCATCGCCTATCGACCTGGACTCCGGCGCAGTCGGTGTCTGACCTCCAGCGCTGGTAACACTATCACCGCCCCCACCACTGCCATATTGATTTCTCAACGGAGAAGGCCCCTTCTCCGCCTTCCTCTCCTCCGAGCGATGCCTTCCCGCGTTCCTCAACAGCACCTGTCGCTTCTGCTCTTCCAATCCCTGGAGAGGCGGGGGTGGGGGCCGCCCCATCGGCCTGGAATAGTTGCCAGAAGTAACAGGGTGAACAATCTTGGCTCTCCCCGCTGGGGTGGTAGTCGAACTTGTAGGGGTAGACGGGTCAGACGATTCCGCAACCAGACTCGGAACGATAGACACCGCGTCTGAATCCGACTGGTGGATGTTGGCATTTCCAAACTCCCTATAGCCAGTCCCCATCTTCATATCCAATGCTGCTCCTCCCGCAACACCATTGGGATCTGCTGTAGCGGTAGAGGTCCACGAGTCCCTCAACGCCGCCGATATCCTGGTAATCGTGTCGGGTTGTGAATAGATACTTTCCTCGTACGCACTCTGTTCATACGCATCATCGTAATGATACTGGTACCCGTGTCCATACCCATCGTCCCCCTCTCCGTCAGGATAGGCATTCACATTGGAACTGCTGAAACTGTGCGTTCTCGAGGTGGACCCGTTGCTTGACGTGTCAAGGTACGAGTTGCCTTCATACGACGAAGCAGTTGCCACAGAGTCTCGTGCAAACCGGCCATGGAGGAGTGGGGATGGCAAAGGTGGCTGGTTGTCCCATTGCTGCTGCTGGCCTTGGAAAGCGGCAGGACTAGCATATTGAGGTGTATAGTGCACGTCTTCTGCGCCTTGTAACGTTATTGTCGGTGGTGTCGGTTGCTGGTAGTGGTGCGACTGTGGTGGATGTGGTTCAGTTTCGGATTGCTGCAACCGTGGCGGCGCTTTCGCCCGTCGACTTGAGGTGCGGCGCACAAGGGTTGCCAGCGGTGATTCCCTATAACGCTGAGACATCGGTTGGTCAGACATATTCCCGGGTTATTGAATTGTAGAAGAGGGAAGAGAGTCAAGGCAGCGAGAACAGTATATTTGGCGTTCAGGAATTGTCATCTCGCGCAGGCAAGGTGGGCTCAGGCCTGAGCCGATCGTGTCTACCTATGGCAATTGGGATCCACAACATAAAAATCACCATGGAAACTGTTATTAAAAACATATGCCAAGCTTCCGCGCTCTTCAAAACTATACAAGATATAAATCTACTCTAAATCCCAACTCTTCGTCTAGGAGTCTGTGTAACACGAGCTCCAGCTCCAACACCAGTGTGGCGAGGCGTGCCGGGTATAACCACCTTCTGCTGGCTTGAACCCCCGCTCTTCTTCTGCTTCGCCAAAGCAAGCTCCGCTTCCTTCCTAGCAGCCCTGCGGAACAGTCAACGTCAATCACAACGCCCTGAAGAGAACCGGGGGGAGACTCACTCCTCACGCTGCCGCGCCATCTCCTGCTCAATCTCCTTTTGCTTGGAGAATTCGCGCGAAATTTGACGTGTGTCTGACCTTCCGTCGAAGTTCTTCTCTTTAACAGAGTAGAACACGGGTCCGAGTTCAGCTAGAAAAGAAAGGGAGGATCAGTTCCCTGCCCCGCTTTCCAACTCGGAAATGACGTTTCTTACCTAGCCAATACGGGTCGATAGCAGTGACCTGGGTCATGTACTCTTTCGAGGTGAGGATAAGCTCATGGTACACCACATATGACGGCGTATCTGTCCTCTCGTCAGCACTCCAATTCCAGACAGAGAGACAGAAGTTCACTCACATCCAAGCCCATACAGAGCACTCGTAGGGTGCAAATGCGTCGGCAGGCCAGATCGGATATTGACAAACTCTCCGATACCCTTCACCCTTGCAGCCTGATGGAAGTACCCAGCCGTGATCGCTTTCCTGTTTCACCATCAGAAACCCCGCTTACACCTCGACGTAAAGAAAGGGGACACGCACCTCAAAAGATCATAATCTGTCCCAGCAGAAACGATATCCATCTTCTGGAACTTCATAATATCCTCCAGCTGCGCTCGTACTTCCCGCGCTTTCCTAAGAAGTTTGGGATGCAAAAAGTGCCGCATAGCCCAGCTATCCTGGAATCTGAAACACAGTTAAACCTGCCTGACCCCGAAACGAAGTAAACAAACTCACCCGTGGCTCTTCCACTGGTTAAACACGTTCAAAAGTGTCAAATGATCACTCTCCGGAACATTGAACTTTTCACGCGCAGCATCCGCTTCCTCCATCCTCTCCTTAGGTCGATAAAACACACTCGGAACAGACAACATTGACACAATCGTCAACATCTCCGCCGAGCACTTGTACTCGACCGAAGCAATCAACATCTTCGCCATGGACGGTTCCATCGGGAACTCTGACATCTTGCGACCAATGGGTGTGAGATCACCATTGTTGTCGAGCGCCCCAAGTACCCAAAGTTGGTACATCGAGTTGAGGATATTGGCCTAAACAAGATGTTACGAATTTCTCCCTTCGTTGATACATGTTCAGAACACACCTGAGGTGGAGGATCCATGAAATCAAACTCCAAAAGATTCTTCACACCCAGAGACTTTAGAAGTAGGACCGTGTTCGCCAAATTGGTCCTCTGAATCTCAGGAATAGTGTTCTCAAACAACTCATTCCTGTATGCCATCTCCGTATACAGGCGATAGCAGAACCTGCACAGTCGTCAGTCCGGTCCCACTGAACACACTTGAAACAAGTACTCACCCACTTCCTGTTCGTCCAGCACGACCCGTTCTCTGGTTCGCATTCGCCTGGCTTATCGGCGTGATCTGCAAAGCGTCCATACCAACTTTCGGGTTGTACACCTTGAGCTTCGAGTATCCCGAGTCGACAACATACAGAATACCATCGACAGTCAAAGACGTTTCCGCAATGTTGGTCGCAACGATAACCTTTCTTCGGCCATCATCGGTAGCATCGAAAATCTTCGCCTGCAAATCCGCCGGCATTTGGGAGTAGATGGGTAAGACAGCCAGTGGCGGTGGATCATCCAGCTGATCCAGTCGCTCTGTAAAATATGTCAATGACCGCATCGCCTTCCGCGAAGATAGACTTACCTTGCACGACTTGACAAGTAACCTCAATATCCTCTTGTCCAGTCATGAAAACCAGGATATCTCCCGGAGGCAGCGAAAGATGAATCTGCAGTACTTGCTTGACAGCCGCATCCACATAGTCTTCGCAAGGAGACTTGGAGTGGAAAATTTCGACAGGGAAAGTTCGCCCCGGAATGGTATAGCATGGAGCATTGCCGTAAAAGTTGGAGAATTTTTCAGCGTTCATGGTGGCAGAAGTGACGATGAGCTTGAGATCTCGACGACGGGACAAGACTTGGGAAGACGGTCAGAACGTGCCTGTAGTGGGACAGGATCAGCACTCACTCTTCCTCAATAAACCCATCAACACGTCCGTACTCAGAGACCTTTCATGGGCCTCATCCAAGATGATAACGCTATAACGATCAAGGTCCCCTTCATTAAGCGATTCACGCAGGAGGACACCATCGGTCATGTCTAGCAAGAAAAGCAATTCAGTAATGGACGTATATCTCAAATGTCGACAGAACGTACACTTGATCTTCGTCTCGGCAGACGTACAATCCTCGAAACGAATGGCATAGCCAACGGTCCCGCCAAGCTTGCACTACATCATAAACGTCAATAAATTTGGAATGTCCGAGAATAGTAAAGACTTTACCTCCATCTCCTCGCTGACACGTTTGGCGACGGACATGGCAGCAACACGACGGGGCTGCGTACATCCAACAAGACCGTACTGGCAATACCCATCTTCGTACAAGAACTGGGCCAACTGTGTCGTCTTACCTGAACCAGTCTCACCAACCACGATGACAACTGAAAGGCGGTTGTGAGCACATGCTCCACCGCGAATAGATAAAACGGAAAATACCTTGGTTCTCTCGGATAACCTTCAAAAGCTCCTCCCTACACGCAAACGCAGGAAGATACTCGCGTTGCTCCTTCAAAGTCCGACTCTTCGCGAATGAGCTAACACCGGAAGAAGACTTCAAATGGGTAGCAAATTTGGAGTCGCCCTTGTAATTCTCCTCGCCCTTCTCTTTAGCCTCCCGGGCTTTCTGCTCGGCTTCCGCTAACAAAGAAGAACAGGTAAAGAAAAGCTATGTGAATGTCCAACCTAGAGTAAAAGCAGGGTGGCAGAAACATGACGCACCTTCTGCTTCGGCCTCTTCATCTTTCACACCCATGATGTTACCCAAAGCGGTACCACCAAGTGCGGCCAGTTTGGCAGCTGCTTTCGCTCGCTCGGCTTGCTCGCGCTTTTCTTTGACCAGGGCGCTTCCTTTCTTTGAGAATACGGCCATGTCGCTCGTCGGGTCTCGAATTGGGTTGATAGGGTCCAATTGTTTCGTGAAGACAGTCTTGCCGTCCAGGAAAGGCGGCTTGAGGTTCTTAACCATAACATGCACGGTTGACTCGGATTCATCTTCAAAGTCAAGGTCGATAGTCTTGCGAGTGGCCACACCGGACGTAAGCATTCGATTAGCTTCCCAAAGATCGTTGTCGGCATTCTTTCCAAGTCCGTTAGCCCAAGAGTTCAATACCAAGGGATTAGATTTACTCACGTATTGTGCTTGACGAGCAGAGATCTTCCTCGTCTGCTTCGTCGCAATCTCCGCCTGCTTGGAAGCGGCCAGATCTTCATACTGTGCCAAAGGATTATGATCCTCGTCTCCTGCCACGCCGCCATCCTCTGCTCCAGTATACCAATCCCTATCCAACTTGACCTGCTCTTCCTCCCACTCCCGCATATCAAAGTTGATGGCTGCGCCTTCCTCGTCCTCTCCCGCACGTGCAATCCTGGGTGTCGGCGCGTCCCATCGGCGGTCCCTCGCTCCTCCCCATCCTCCATCGTCCCCCCGCGGGTGCTTAGGTGTCGACTCCCACCCTACGTTTGGAACTCGGACGCTTGGTGCGTCGCGCGAGCTCCCTCCGTCACGGTAGTCTCTATCACGGTAGTCTCGGTCACGACCACGGCGGTCCCAATCACGATTCGATCGACGCTGGAAGTCTCCCAGACCTTTAGGTGCGTCACTTCGAGGTTCGTTCCTCGCTTGCAAACCCTCTAAACGGTGTTCAGAGATTTCCTGGGACTCGAAAAATCACTTCACTCACCTCGTTGTTTTTCCCTATTCCTCTTGTGCTCCTCCAACCGCTTTCTCGCAACCTCTGACAAGCCACCTGGATGAGAGGGTGTTTCCTCTCCACGTTGACGCTGATTGGCTACGCGCGCAGGGATACTGGGGACTTTGAAAAACGGTTCATCTCCGTCATCGAGCCGAGGCCTTTTCCTGCTCTCGCTGGAACCCCCAGCCTTCTCCATCGCCAGTGCAGCCCGCTTCTCCGACGCCAGTCTGTCCAGACCCAGTACCGATGCTCGAGGTGTCGGGGGTTCCAACTTGGCCGGTTGCCTGAACGTATGACGCTATACACGAGGTTTAGGAATGTCAAGTAAACAACCAATGTAATCTTGCGCTCACCTTGTCAGGTCTCTGTAATCCACCAGGTCGAACTGGAGCGGGTTCCAAAACGTCGCTATCATGGACGGTGATTCCAGGTACAGGTTGTGCCGAAACGCCAGTCGTTTCCTCCTTGATGTGAGTTCGGATTTCTGTATACAATTCGAACAGAAACGAGTCCTGGAATTTTCCAAACGCTCTGGCAGCTATAGTTTACTGCTTTCAGCATCTTGTCGGCCGTCAGAGAACAAAAAAGCAGACCTTTCATGAAAGACTCGACCGAGTCATTGTCCCTTGCTAGATTAATGACATTGCGGGCCAACAAGTCGTTTGGATTGACTGAAATAACAGGGTTGAGGGCGACCATTGCCCTGGAGAGTTTTATTGCTATCCCGTGAACAAAATCATCGTTACTTGTCGTCGTCGAGGCCATCGAATTCGAGTTGTTGAAGATTCTAGGAACTTGGTCAATGACAGGGTCAAAGTCAATACGTTCCCCACTCTGAGTGCAGGATTTGGATTAGTCATCCATCAACACAGCCACCGTTGTAAGTGAACCGCCCTTCGAGTCGGACTCTGCGATTGGCAGTCGATTGCTGAAGCGCTGACCCCTGCATGACCAGCGCTACCCAGTGCCATTGTGAACGGGTACACCTTTATGGGAACTTGTGTTCCGCGTTGGCCTTTGACTGGACGGCATATGCGAAGTGTGTGTCTGAGTGCGCGCATCGCACCGACTGCACTCAACCGACGCCACCTCCCGCATGGTAACAGCGGTTCCTCGTTTCATATTATATTATTTTCTCGAGGTCGCCACGCACGTTCGTCGTTCGAGGGTTTCCAGAGCCACTCGCATCAGCACCATCACTAACAACCAACGGATCGTCGATTTCTGTTTCCTGTGCACTCTGGAATCAAAGCGCGAATCTCTTCAAAAGATTCACGAGGGTCAAGTACTGCTATTTGTTCCTCAATTTCAATACTTACTTGGCCGGCCGGGTGCAGCGACGGCCACGAGCGACCGCAAATCTATGTGCGGTCCCCTCAACCAGCTTCGACACTCCTTTATCTAAATAATATATATCAGCAAATACACGTCAGGCCGTCGGCTTCCCTGGCACCCCTCGCGTTTGCAAATATGTTTCCACACAGTTGTACCCAATAAAGCTGACTATGTCGTCACTTTGTAGATCTCGCAGTTCCATATGTAGCACCCATCCCGCCTCGGGTGCTAATGGGTGCAAACCGGCATGGTATGCATATGTCGAGGGCACACGACAACAATGAATCTCTCGAGATTTCAGCAGCATTTTCTTTGCTTGGTCGGGTACCTAGAAAATGAACTCGATCGGAACGCTGTGCACCCGCTTTTTTCACGGTGCCGAGGACTTGCATACTTCAAGGTTTCAACAACCGGCTGCCTCAGTGACCGTCACTCTCTGTCCAAACCCGGTGCTGACAGGGACGCCTTTACAACCTCCCACCTCTGGCCCATTCCGCATCGGCCATTGTACTCCCTGTCGTTCCTGGTCGTTCGCGCGACGTCGGAACGCATGCCTCTGTTCATCGCATCCTCCGACTCGCAAGCCAGAGCGACACATTGCTCCACGTCAATATCACCAGCAACAACCCACCCAACGTCTGATCGTCCATTCCCCACCCCCAAGGGGGGCAACATCAACAACAACCACCGTCAACAACCACCTCCAACCTCTACCTCCGACCATTCTCCGATATGTACCATTCGACGACGAACAAGTTCACAGCAAGACCCTGCACGCGACCTGATGACCTTAACCAATTCCCAACCCCGCATTGTCCTTTAGTTCGTTGCTTTTTACCATCCCTTCAGGCATCAGTCTACATGGCTTCAGACTTGATCTTTCACGTCAATCCGCCGCGCATCAACTTGTCTTGAGAAACTAAACCTGGAGAACAAACCTGGCTGCGGTATCATTAGCTCAGGAAGCTTGGAAGCCTCGGTCAAAATGGTGCCTATAAACGCGTTCAAACGTCGGATTCTCATTGGTCTAATGGCTAGAGGGCCACTGTCTCGATCGGCGGTGTACGTCCATAATCAACATTGAAGATGGCTTTCGCTTCTTCCACCGACATTGACACAAAACCCACAACCCACTCCATCAAGGAACTTTTACTCGAGTTGTTACTCTGTTACACAACTTCAATAATGCAATGAGCTTCCCTTCCCCACATCCACACGACCTCGTCTAAATGATCCACGACCCACTCTAAAACATCGGAGAAAATCTACCAAAAATGCCCTTTAAATTACTTGTACAGATTCCACAACGTCACAATATGGACCAACCAAGCTCGGCTTCGCTAAACGAAGCACGGCCTAACCCGCCAGTTGCCCAATATCGTCCCTAACCCACTAATTCCTCCCCGATTTCAGGAGAACACCTCTTCTATTGTGATCAACAAGCGATTTCTCCAGGGTTATTCCATCGCTTGCATTCGGCGGATGTGCCGAACCTGTATTGGGCTTGCGGATACCATGTATGGGTTCTGTCCTCCCAGGTCGTCATTGCGAGCTTGATGCGCACTTCGCCCTGAACTCGTACCACCATGACCTCGTACTCCCGGGAGAGCTTCCCAAAACCATCTTAATCCGACAAGGAAAGGTCCATACTCGATTTCCTACCCATTCTCACCATCACAGACTGAAACAGCTTCGCCCGAACCCAAGTAAAGTCCAAAACACCATGTACATAGTCCAGCATCGTCAAATGCGACCCAATAATTGGCTCAACGGAAGCTATATTCTATCCACACGAAGCCTACCAACGCCACCGGGCCCTTCCCTCGTTCCTCCCATTCCAGACAAATCCTCCCGTGGGTTCCGACGATTCTAAACACTCCTAGCCAACTCCTAATCACCGACCTTTCCTCGGAAAACTGCCTCACAACTCTCACAACTCTCCCACCATACCTGTTTGTCTTGTACACACGAAGAATATACTGGGACATACACGCACGCCCTAATCAACAAAGTGCTTGCTCGTACACACCAACTACATCATCGACCGGAAGCCCGCACCCGGTTGGACTTTTTCTGACAGAAAACGTGGATGTTCATCCAGTAGTAGTGCCATAGTCTCGGCAACCCATCCGTTTTCCTCTACAAACCCAAATCGGGGCTTGCCGGCGTAAACGTCTGGGATACCACGGTGCAAAAAGCGGGGGGTATGCTTTCCGCGCGCTTCGGACAATTCTGACGGCTGAAGTAAGCGAGGACAATCGCGCTCAGGCATCCTTCTCCACCTCAGACCACGTCCTACACCCCGTCTGATGTATTTTATTCTGCATTAATCCATTCTATAACCCTTGTAATGGACAATCAACCACTCTATGACTGGACCCTAACTGGAATTGGGGAGGACCCTGACTATGAAGAGCCCGAAGGCTGGACCCTCACGTCTCGCAGCTCCTCTCATTTGGGGCCCCTCACCCTCGACATCGACCATTACTTACAAATCGCCGACTCCTTGTCACTATTATCTCTCTTCCAATCACACTTCTCCAGAGTCGACTCAAGCGTACGACAAACCTACCCCACTTTCTCCAGACCATCAGTGTCACGAGTCGAGCCCCGCATCGGACTCGGGTTTACTTGTCCCTTTTGGCACGCTGCAAACGCTTCTCCCGTACCTGCGTCCTCGAACGTTCGAACACTCGGCGGAAGAGGTTCCTGACAATTGAGGTTGCCATAATTCTGGTCGTGTGCCTCTCGACCTGACTCCACACTATCCCGCCTCTCGCTTGGTTCAACAATTGAAGGTGATCACAGTCAAGAAAACACGGGATATACAAATGCCTTCCCGAGGCTTTTCTCACTGGCGTTCGGGCTACCACTTCAAGGAAGCTTCACTACCTTCTCTCGACCGATGCACGACTCTCAACCCCCTGCGATACGGCCTCCAGGCCGCTAGAACCCCCCTCGCAGTCCCCGAGCGCGGTCTTCTCGAGACTCGGATCCCCCTTTCCATTCGTATTTGCCTCACAGGTCTCTTGTGACAAGAGATGCGCTGACTACAAGATCGCCTTCATGTCCTTCAGATACCAATCACCGTTAATTTATTTTATGGTACTAACAACGCTTGAACTCGCCACAGCGCCGGTACCTAGCACACACTAAGCCTCCTATCTCCAAACCCCGGCGCCTCTAACACGTCCTCATGTCATACAGTGGCGATATAAGTAACTACCCAGTACACTGATTAAATTTACGGTATTAATTTGTTGGCACACGACCACCTGCTTATCGCATGGAGCACCAATGTACCCACTTGTACCCATCGCCCTACTCGATAGTCACACCTTCCAAGAAATCCGTCCATAAAGCCGTAAGCAGCGCCGCTATCTCAATGCGCCACAGCTAAAACGAACGTTCGTCAAACCGCGAATTCCATCAAGTCGGAACATAGGCCTATGTTTTGATCGCTCAAGTGAACTGAATAGTTAATCGTGCCTCGAGGCACTTCCAGTAAAAGCGCCCGTATGACCCGCTCTCGACATCCGCTGCTGCGCGACTTAACGTTACCATAACCGCTCCTTAGCACTTTTCTAAGAAAAGTTCTAGTCACATATGTATTCTAATTGCCGGAATGTGGCAAACCCTTTGGGGGCTATACTCGAGCCGAATTCGTCACCGTACAGGGTTTTGTGAAGCGCTCGATTTCAAGGCGGCTGTCGCTGGGATGTAACGATCCACTTCTCCGCTGGGAAATAGCAACACCGTAAACACCTGTCAGATCCCTCGGCTCGAAATTTGACCAGAGGCTAAGATATGTGTGTCTGCATGCTCCGGTGAATTTCTCCAAAGAGCCCAAGCTGTCACGGTATTCCATCCATCCCGGTCAGCTCTACTTCCACAACATAAACCCCACTCTTGATCACCTCTAACCAATCTAGTACATAAAAATGCTATAACGGGACCCGAACTACGCCTCTCCTTTCTGACCGTTCCATTTTCGCAGCTAAGTTGACTTGAAGTCTTCGGTTGGCAACGAATGTGACATGTTCGTAGTCCGCTCTCGTGGAAGCCTGAGAGGACTCTAATAGGAAGCTTGAATGCACCGGTTAAAGAATATGTCTGAGTCCTCTCACCACCAATTGAAGGACTTGAAATGAGCTGCACTGCTAGGCTTAACGTCTCGTTGAGTGGCTTGTCACTCTTCCAGTCTCGCCCGCCGAGCAACGAAGCTTTGCTGATCGAGTCTGAGGGCTAAGCTTGAGCGCCTATCTCTAAATAGCCACCCGCCACTGAAGGCCAGAATGACAAGCCGTCAAACATCCTGCCTCTCTACACTCTATTCCATCATCCCAAAATAGTCAAAACTCCACCTAAACAGCAAGCAATCGCCTCAAGGCAGGTCTTTTACGATAACATCCTCCAAACCCCGAGGAGAAGACGCTCATTGGCCAATCGCTGCCTCCGTCTCTCCCACAGGATATGAACAGAACATCGCAAAGTCAAGACTTGCCCTTTGCCCAGCCAATAGAATAGCGGGAATGCAACGTCTCTGACAGGCCACCTCGAGCTTCACTTAGTATTAGACACTTCTCCACGAATATTAACCTATCAATAAAGAGACCAATATGCTCGCTGTCATTTGGTGCTGAATATTGAACCGTTCACTTTCACTCCCGCCCAGGCTTTCAGCATACTGGTCCTGACTACGGGCGCTTAATCCAGCCTTCAGTCCCCCGTTCGCCGTCCGGAATGGCCGAGCGCCCGGGAGACAGAAACCCAAACTTTATCATACTTACCTATTCTTAACTCTAGTAAGTAATACTCACCTTAGATCAATCGAACGGACGGACATACCGCAGCGAAGGAATCACTGCTCGTCTCCGGCCTCGAGGGCTGTTGAATGATGCAGCAAGATAAGCTCCAGGACCCTCTTTAACCACAACGACCTCTCCCCAGAAAGGCCAAACACGAGGACGATTAAGCTGGGGTGCTTCTCAACAGCACGGTAGTGAAAGCCTTAATCACGCACTCCGAGGCTCGAACACGAGGCACGGAACAAGGGCGAGGTGTACATGGCGTCCTAAAACATGAATGAGAAAAGTTCATTAAACCACACACGCGCATTTAGAGTTTGGTCGCTATCGTTCCTTCTTCCCTTCCTCTCCTCCGCGAACTCCGGAAGTTAAGCATGGCGCCTGATGCAAGCATCACGATCATAAACCACTCTCGACACACCGCGGCGTTGCCTTCACCCCAGAGGGAAGGCACGAGCATACCTTTTCGTTTGGAATGCCCTCAGTGAGTAAAGCGTTACGCTACTCTTTACGAAGAGAGTATCCACTATGATGCCACGGTTTACACGCATCACCGAAAACGGGATACGATACGACAACTTGGAGGCGGTGAGCTAAGACCTTTCCTTATGTGCATGGGCGTCTGAAGTAGGCCGAACCATAGAAAGGAACAATCAGAGCGAACCTGACAAAGACTAATTAGAAATTAGAGAGGGTGAACACCATTCATAACGCCGAGTGTTAACAAGATCGAGGGGGAGCATGGGAAGAAGCGCGCTGGGATCTAAGGGATCGAGGAACATACCTGACCACCTCCGTGTTTGGGCGGTTAAGAAGGTGCTTATGGATGCATGTGTGTGTCCCCGCGTCGGATCGACTATTTACCCACACTTTGCCCCTCCTACACCCTGGGCAACCTTGAAAGGACATAGTAGTGCTCCTTAATATCTATTTGTAACCCGTATATCATCACTTCCCCGTTACTAGGGCATGGAGTATCATCAACCCCTGGTTCCCTGGGGACCGGAGGGAGGGCCAGGGAAAGCACCTTGCGAGAGACGTTCATTTCTGGTTAAGTGGCTTTCCACCATGAGCTGCTGGTGGAATCACAAGTCATTATCAGTAAACTGATGCCCATCCACCGTTTATAATTAGGCAGTTGTGTTTGTTTGACGCCCATTGGACGAGAACGTCGGACAGTGAGCTATTCCGCCCGCTTCGAATCCTCTACAAACGTTCGCATCGCACTGAGTCGCAAGAAGCAGAGATACGCCCATCGAATTGTCTATTGATAGTCCTGCATTTCGTCAGAAGCGGATCGAAAACATGCCTTATGGAGGAGACTGACGCCTGACGCCGTTTCACAGTGTGGTCACCAAAAACCGCTCCACAACACCTAACAACATCCCATATGCTGGTTCATCCACCAAACCTACTGCTACATCGTCCACGGAGTGAACCGCAATGTCATCGCCCATAACCTCCGTCCGCCGTCCCGGACCAGCGGCCTGAACCCGGGTGCAGTCCTTGGACGACTCTGTGGACTTGACCCTGGAGCTGCCTGCTTCATGGGCGTCGGTAGAGCACCGACACGGACGTCGCTGGGCAGTCTGACACAGAACAACAAGGTTCAAGAGCCCATCCCTGATCGCCTGTTTCATGCGCCGCGAACTCGTTTCGTAATCTTTTACACCATGGTCCCCAGTTTGATGAGCATCCTGAGACCAGGAGTCGTCTGCAGCAGCGCCGAGGTTCTCCGGAGTGGCCAACGAATATAAGGTCGTACAAATGAACCAGAGCGCGTCCTTTGTCGCCAGTTTGGTGACTGCCAATGTGCGTTGGGCAATCTTGCGATCTTTTGAACTACTGGTCGACGTCTTGTCCGTGTTCTGAGGTTTACCGGAATGGGTCGAGTCCGCTGCTCGTTCCCACTCCGTGCCGTAATGTTGGCGTATGATTTCAGAGCCAGTCGAAAGAATCCGGTATAGCTCTTTCAAGGCCTCCAAAATGATTGACATTCTCAAGCTGTCGAAAATGTCGGAAAGGCCAGTCGTGCCTGAACTGTCGTAGGGCCGTCGTTTCGAGTCGAAGAGGTAAGAAAAGGCTGTCCGTAGAAGGTCTAGTACTCCGTAACGGAGATCTACTGCAGAATCTTCGTCAAAGGGTTGGATGAAGCTGTGAATGACTTTCTCCGAGAGCGGCAAGAATGACGAGATCGCTGGCAGAGCAACGCCCCTTAGGAACAGGCCTAGGATCTCGTCCAAAACCCGAGGCGAAAACTGTTCACTACCCGGTTCAAAAACCGACGACAGAAAAGCAGGTAAGAGATGGGCCAGTATCCTAGAGAGTAGCTCCACAACCCTGATATGATTGGGACCGGGTTTGGCAACGTTCAAGACCTGTTGAAGTTCCTTCGAGATCGCCTCGAGAGATCGAATCATTGCTGCGGCAATGTGGTCTTTCACATGCACCGCCGTTCCATTCACCAACAAAACTCGGAGGCACGAATCAACGACGCTGAGGAGCGACTCTATGCCGAAAGGATAAGAATGGAAGCCTTCGCCTGCGACCGGTGCAGATAAGCCACAGTCGCACAGCATGCAGGAATGAAGATATTTTCCGTGACTTACCTTCCGGGAGCAATGACTCTAGACTCATCGGTCTGTCGTTCACCGACGCTTGGCTCACTGCCTCTTTCTTCTTCTTGGACTTGCGCTTTGCTGCGACGGATGGCGGGTGCGGGGAATCAGATGGCGGTTGTGATGGCTGTGATGGTACGGTCGATCCCGCTCCCGCCCCCGCAGCCGTTTGTCCGGCGATGAAGTTCTCTAATAAAGTCCCGTGACCGATCAGTAATCGATGTGCGGGAAGGAGGTGCGTGGTGGTCAGTGGTTGGATTGTATGTAATCGCGAAGGGGTGCACTCACTGATCCGCTCGGCCTCATATTCTGCCTTGAGCGCCTTGAGATCGGTTTCCATTTGGAGAGCATGCGTCCTCCAAGACCGATCTGAGGTTGGCGGGGTTGGCCCAGGAGGCAAAAACTTCGCCCGCAGGTCAAGAACATATGCTTTACGATCGCAAATTGAGTTCGCCTGGTTGGTCAACACATGGGCCATGCGTACATGCAATGGATTGGTCCGCTGGCTTGTGCTGCAATGCGGCTAATGCCTTGTTCCTCTGTCAGTCTTCCTTCCATCTTCCAATTAGAAACGGGGAAACATACCACTGCAATGCGAAGGCTGTCCATTGGACACAGAGCAGGCGACATCGTGGTTGGCTGCAAAGAACGAAAATTTGTCAATGTCATTGTCAATGTCAGGCCTGCAAGCGCGTTACATCATCAGTCACGCATAGGTCACGCGGACGCGACAACCAGCGAGACCTGTCACCTGAGGCCTGAGACCTTGCTGAGACCAGCCCCGACACGACGATAACAATGTATTTGAACAACGCTTAGATTCGACGGCAACTATTTCAGATAAGTAGTCTAAAGTAGCCAATAACTAACTAACTAACTAAACAACAAACGTGCAGGTTCGAACAGTTACAACAACAAGATCGCCCTAACGGCTACAAGTTCTTATTCTTAAAAGCGAAATCAACTAACCTAGAATCGATAAGGATAGAGACGTTTCAAACTCATGGATGGAAACCCCTTCCAAGCTCTAATCGGTCCTTTCCCTTTCCCCGCATGACAGGCGACTCGTCCAACAGACGCGACGAGATGGGAGGAGATCCAAACGGTCGACGCGTCCCGGACGCGTCCTTCGATCGATCGCGACGGACGGGAGACACATCATAGGGGTGGTACCGGTGGTTTAAAGGGTCGAGGTGCGTGTTGTTTGACCGCGTTCCATTTTCATCCAATACTGCCGATAACGAACCAGGTCCACCAAACGAGTTTCGATCAGAGGTCCGGTGTTGGTTACGAAGCGGAGTTTGGAAGTTGTAGCTGGAGCGCGGCCACATTTGGGATTTGGGTGTCGCAAAGGGGGCATGGAATCGGATTCCCCGTGAGGGGGTGGAGGTCGGGTCGAAGGGTGATTCTTCCCAAGTGGGTCGTGAGGCATCATAAGTCCCATAGGTACTACTACCTGGCTGAACGCGGACGTGATGCTCGTGGCCTTGGGGTGTCGAAGGCGGGTTTCTGAGATCAGGCCACGGCGACGACGACGAGGTATAGTAATCCAAGTCTGGAATCCCCGAACGTCCCGGACGCGTCGGAGTCTTCGGAATTCGCAGCCAGTTGGGAGAGTCTTGGATCGAGGGTTGGAAGAAGGCTGTATCGACAGACCGTTCGCGGGGAGCATCGTCAGTCGGAACAAAGGTCGGCTCACGCATCGGGATATCATAGCTGGGTTCAGACGAAGGCGAGTGACTTCGTGTCATGCAATGACGACAGAACCAAGGGTCTTCCTCTCTCCCCAACTCGGAGATGTGACGAATACCTATGCATTCGAGGTGGTACCAGGTCTGGCAGTCGTCGCATTGCACAAGTTCGCGACCGTCGTCATACCCGTGACAGATACACAGCTCGGCGTCAGAATCGTCATCGTGCAATTCACGTTCTCTACGTTGCTGGCGATAGGATAGCGCACGAACACTTCGCTTGGCTAGCAAAGCCGCTTTCGCATCGCCGGGGTCGCTTGGAAAAGCAGAACGTTTGAATCGAAAATTCTTCCTCGGGTCTTCTGGATGCGCGAGTAGCGGGACCATCTTGCCTCGTCCTGGTCGAACTGGGGGAGGTTGTTCATGCTCATAGACAGCGCCCCATCTCTCGGGTGGAAGAGCCTCCTCGCCCTCGGAATCATTGCTTGTGGGTGGACCTTCCGGCTCTTCATCGTCGGAATCCCGGTCCAAAAAGCGTTCTATCCACTTTAGGCGCTCCTCTTCCTCAGCCTTGGCCAACTGCTCTCGCTCTTCGTAACGTAGACGCCACGGAAACTCGCCGTCGGTCCAGTTAGGCTTATCTATCGAGTCCTCGGCAACCAAGTTAGCGGCAACGTCGACCAACGACTTCTTGTCATTAGGAGGAGGATCGTTGCCCTTCTTCTTGCGGCGAGGAGTACGCTTTTTGGATGGAGAACCTTCTACTTCGCCGGGAGCCTGCGGCATTTCGTTCGGGATGTCAAGTAAAACCCGGCCTTTGCCTTCTAGCTCGACGGGATAGAGTTTGGCTTTATGCCTTCCCTCAGACCGACTGGAACGGAACGCTTCGAGTCGCCGCAGCTTCTTGAGTTCCTTTTCGGTGGGTGGTTTCTTTTCTTCCACCTCTTCTAGTTGGGAAACGACGTTCGGAGTGCCGGGAAGAGCAGCCAGGTGCAGAGAGATGGGCTGAGGTTGACGCACCCATTCGGCGGTACGCTAAACCAGACGTTGAGAACAAGACGATGTGAAACGGAATGCCACCCACGTATCGACCATAGCCACCTGCCATGAGGCTCTCTTCGAAGCTCTCTTCAGACGTCTCTTGGAACAGCTTGAGCCGACGGCCTTTCTGAGGGCTCTCCATGATACCAACTGGCGCACTTTGCCGCTGATCTTCATCCATCGCATCGGGATCCGCCTCGTCGAATGAACGCTTGGCTCGCTTGAGGTACTCGGGTCGACGACTCTCTGCTTCTCGAATGTGCGATAGTTGATCCTCTCTTATCGCTTGACGAATTCTCTCCATCTCTCCACCGGGAGGACGCGAGGGTCCGAAAGGATTGTTCGAGGGGATAGATGAATCTTGGCAAGGAGCGAGAGGCTGCGAGTCGGTACGGGGAGGCGCAGGCGAAGAAACAGGATGAAGTCGAGGGGATGGACCGGGAACGCTTGCCTTGGCCATGAACGGGGATGAGAGAGTGGACGCTGTGACGGGTTGCTCGGCGTCGCTCGATGAGCTCGCCGTAGGTTGGCCATGGTTCCGGGGAGTCACCGGGTTCGTTATCACACATGAGTCGACGGGGAATCTTCAGACCGGTTAGAAAAGTCAGGACAGCGAATGTGATAAACGCACTGTGGCATTGGAGCAGTGGGTTGTGAAGTATTGGTGAAGCGGGATGTTCTGTACGAAACGGTAAGTTTCATGCAAAATATTGGCCGGATGAAGACTCACTGATGAGTAGGTGTCGCTGGGTTATCATTACGGTTGGATGAAGTTCGTGAAACAAAGGGACTGAGGAGCTGGGTCAGAGAGCTCAGAAACGCGCTTTCGCAGATTGAAGGTACCTTGACGCAGGCGTGAGGATGTGTTGAGATGGGTTAGGGTGCGTGACTGCCTCTTCCGGCAAACTACATCATCCTGTTAATCAATGACTATTGCAGGTGCAATGCTGATACTGACTTTCTGTACAAGATTCGCTGAGGAAAACTGCCTGGCGCAGAGTAGGAGGCTTGGGACCTAACCGACCCGATTCAGTTGCCACCATCGGACGGCATGCCACTGACTTACAAAGGAATTGGCGATTCTGGAGATAAACCGACACCTGCAGCGAACCTACTCGAATCCGACGGACTGGCAAATCGAGCGTTTGAGTAAAGGGGCAAGGATCATTGTTGGTGGGGAATCGGGGGTATAGATAAAGAGGCTACACACCTCTGGGGAGTAGGAAGTTGACTATACTGCTTGGTGGAGAAGGAAGGGAGCAGTCCTTCATGTCTTTTCTGCGAGCTAGATCGACAGCATTCAAAATATGAACGAAGAATGTTGGACCGTTCGTGCGCACCTGGAGCCTGGCTCTGTCTGCTGGTTCCAGCTGCTGCCGCGTGCCTCCCGTTCAGCTAGCGTATCCACCCTGGTCGATTGCTGAGACTGGTTTGGCGGTGTCTGAGAACGTTGGTCAAGAGAAATGCCTGGTGCATTCTCTGAAGACATTTCATCAACCAAGAATGGACAAGGGCCGAAATTAGTCGCTAGTGAACGCTGGAACGCCTGCTTGTCGTCCAATAATTTGTTTGTGGGTATCGCTTGTCGATATTATAGAAAAGTAAGGAACGATTTTGAGAAAATATAATGGTGAGGAGGAAGAAAGAGGCAGAAACGAAGCCCTGAGACCAATTAGCGTCCATCATCATGTTCAAGTTTCCGCTTATCTAAGCAAAATCCAATCGCACAATCCCGCCCTCCTCATCCCATCCATTTCCGGTCAAACTCGGCATACCTCCTCTTCTTTGTCCAACGACTATTTTCAACCGTTTGTTTCCACGGCTTGGACACTGCGCAAAATCCAGCGCGGGCATTGCCAAATCAAGAACGGGAATACCCGTTGGCTCGTCAATGCGTCACTCTTTGCTTTCCACTCCTCACTCATTTATCCATTTTCTCAATCTGTTTCGCTTATCGCCCTTCTAGAGAAATGCTGTCTACACTCACGGTCTGCCTGGTCGCCGAGGGAACCTCGAGAACATCTGCGGACTGCGGACTGTCAGATAAGCTCACCTCGTGGTCGGAAACTCTATCCATAAACTGTCATGGGCGTCTATTCTGGTCTATATAACGTCGTTCGGCTCGTGTTGTGGATCCTCGTGCCCACAATCTTCTGCCCTCATCCCCACCGAAGATGGCAGCGACTTCAGGCCTTCCCCCAAGTTTCCTGGCCTCCTTGAAGCAAATGGCTTCCTCTGAGGAGGGAGTTGTTTGCTTTTTGGAAGGACTGGATCCCCATTGGATTTACAAAACCTCCATCGAAAGCATTCTGAATGATTTGCAAACATTACCACCGCCGTTCCATCGATCCCTTGAGCTTACGCTCTCATGTAAGTTGATTCGCATGCAACCCTCTCCTCTTGTTCAAGCAAGTTTTAGATGGGTTCTGGGCAGAGTACATCACGGATTGGCTCGATCGATCTTTCCCATCGGACCCTCGCCCAGCATTCGCCAGCACTGTTCATGCAGTCGTCCTAACTCGGCTAGTGAACTTCATCTACTTCGAAGTCTTATTCCAGGTCCCAGACATCGGCGAGCAATCTGTCCTCAAAGATAGGCTGTTCGTTCTCAACGCCTTGCAGGCGTTGGACGAGCTGTCTAGTATGGACTTCAAAGACGCCGTACAGCCATCCCAGAATGGTGTGAAGCCCAGTTCACGCAAGAAGAGCGTCAGTCAGGCTGAAAGAAAGCGCCAGCAGAGGCGCGAACGAGAGAAGGATCAGGACGCCGACGACAGCGTGTTCCAAGCTTTGGATATGGTCAAGCCGACCTGTCCTGATGACGCTGATGTCCTGGCGCTGAAACTCGTTTTCAAGCTCAAGGAGGTGCTGGTGGTAAGTCCTTTGATACATTCCTAGACTCTTCGAGGTAAACTTGCCCCCTTTTACAGAAATACCTCGATATCCTCCAAACCCAGAAGGTGGCTACAGCCGTCAGGACGTCGTTAGTTCGCGCTCTCTCCGACGTCCAAGCCGTCAATGCCAAACCGAAACCCGACTTAGCCAAGATCAAAACCGAAATGGGGCCAGTGTGGAACAACATCACCAGCCCCACGTCGGCGATCTCGTTCGCTCAGCCTCTGAAGGCGTATGGTTTCTATTCTAGTGCTCCGTGCGTAATTGCTGACCACTTCCCTTTCTAGAGCGCTGTATTTTGACAGCGCTTTTGGCTTTGGCCAATGGGAAATTATGTTGTCCAGCCGCGGGATCAGCGATCTCAAGGCGGCGTACAAACGCAATCGCAAACTCTTCAACATCGTCATGAAGAAGATCAAGTAAGATGTTGTAGCCTGACACTTCTGGCTCTTTTCTCTGATTGCTTCTTCTGCAGGGAGTTGTCCAACGCTCATTTTTCTGACGACAATCAGAAGCGTCTCAACAGAGGCGAAGGTGTTCCCGTCTTCGAAGCGAAGATGACAGGCGACACTCGCCTAGTGGTGAGTTTCAACAACCAGGTCCTATGCTCTAGTTTTTAATCCCATGAATTGAAGTATCAAATTGATTGTATCGCAGAGTACGATGTAGAAACGAAGGTATGTGTTAACTCTCCTTCTTGCGTGAATACACATCTGACTTTTTTTAAAGGACCACGTTGAACGACAAGGTGAAGGGACTTCTTGCTTGCTTCAACACAGCTCCAACCACTAACCCAACCCAGTCATACGGATATTCGGGATATATACGCACACCCAACTGGATAGGCTCTGGGACTCGCTCGGGTACCAGCTCAGCCAAAAGGGCAGAGAGTACATCCGTCGCTGCGGTGTTCGCAACAAGAACCGCGACGGCTCTCTCATCGTGCCTGCCATCTTTCCTCCTAACCCAGAGGCCGAAGTTATCACCGACTTCGTTGGACCAGAGCTCCCAAAAGAGGACCTCGAAGAGGTGCGTTCTAGTTGCTGTTGTATCTATCTGGTCAAGGCTAGAGCGGTTTGCATTTTCAGATTCATTCGCTTTTGGTGTAAGTGTAGTCTTGAGCTCCGCATCGCCGTGCTAAACGCCATCTCTAGGCTGGAGAAGTTTGTAACTTTTTCCAAAGTACGGTCCTTCCATTGTGCCTCGATGATCAATCTGAGCTGACCGCACGCACAGGAACTTCGAAACAGTGAGTAGCCCACTGGGTGTGCCCGCTACATGTTACTAACATATTCCAGGCATTCTCGCGGAGCTCGACGTCAACCATGTATTCAAACTCCAGTGCGTATGCACGAACCGCCGATGTCCGTTTTACTCACATCAGGTATCACTAGTCCAAACGAGATGGAGATCATCGAACATCCTTTCTCCTGCTATGTCTTGGGTCGCAGTGGTACCGGGTGAGTGTCCGCTGTCACCCAATTTTCGCTCGGGTTTTAACATAGGCTGCATAGGAAAACCACCACTATGCTCTTCAAGATGTTAGGCCTAGAGCGCACATTTACAACCCAAATCGCCCATGGCGAGTCGAAGCCTCGCCAGCTCTTCGTCACTAAATCTCGCGTTCTCGCGAGCAAAGTCGAAGAGTACTTTATGAAGCTTATGGCCTCACTGCAGGCGGGGTCGAAGTCCGATGACGAGTTGCGAGATCTCGCACTCCAGGCACAGGTGGAACCCACCAGCCCTGTCGATGGAGGGCTCTACCATCAGGATGACGATGTCCGCTGGCAACTGCCTAAGAAGTACAGTCTCCTTCAAGACGAGCACTTCCCACTGTTCCTAACCTTTGAGAAAGTACGTCCAACCTCAGTAAGGCGAACTTGGACTCATCGATCCCGACAGCTCGCAGAGCTCATCATCGCTGACTTGGTTAGCAACGACGCAGTTCCCGAAGCCCTCAGACAGGCTTTACATTCCTTGAGCTCGTCCAAGGCGGTCTTGAGCTACTCAAAGTTCTTGATAGAATACTGGATCCATTTCCCTCAGAATCTAACAAAGGGTCTAGGTAAGAATCAATCAGGTACTTTCCGAAATCACAGCCTGATGAAAAGGTCCACAGATCCGGCACTCGTGTTTAGCGAAATTATCGGTATGCTCATATGAACTTTACTGCCTGGATATTCATTCACTTCCTCGTGAATATTTTAGGGGTTATCAAGGGTTCAGAGCAAGCTCTCGAAAACGAGAAGCGTTACCTCGACAAACATGCCTATCTTTCGCTCAGCGATCGCACGCAATATCTGTTCTCCTCGCAACGGGACACGATCTACGCCATCTTCATGAAGTATCTTCAACGCAAAAGGGAGCTGGAAGATCAGGACCCTGCTGATCGGTGTGTACAGAATCCCCACTCACAATGGAACGGGTTAACGAGCTTTGTAGCACGCACAAGATCCTCGAGGCCTTCTCCTTGGAGACAGTTGGTGTTCCGGGTTCGAAAGTTGATTTCCTGTGAGTCGCTCTGACAGTTCGGCATTGAATTCGGTGTGACGTGTGTTACTTCAGTTACATCGACGAGGCCCAGGACAATATGCTTATCGACGGGATGTGTAAGTGACTTCTTATGCCTTCCATACCGCAACGCTCACATGCCCGTAGTACTTCGCTCACTTTGCAAGGCCCCCACAGGTCTCTTCTGGGCCGGTGATACTGCGCAGACGATCTCTGTTGGCAACTCGTTCCGATTCGAGGACCTCAAAGCCTTTATGCACAGGCTCGAGGTGTGTGCCTACCCTCTTCTGGCCGTTACAGGCGCCTGACCGCCTCGATAGGAACGCAGGGTCAAGTCTCTCAACCAAGATCGAGCGGTCGTACCAAAACCCGCAACGTTCTTCCTATCGACAAACTATCGCTCACATGGGGGCATCGTCTCATGCGCTCACTCCGTTATCGAGATCATTACACACTTCTGGCCTTCTTCGCTGGACAAGATGGCACCGGAAAAGGGTATCGTCAATGGGCTGAAGCCCTTCTTCTTCGGCGGAACCAACTCAAATGCGATCAAATTTGTGAGCCCAGCACTGTCATGGCACTCGTTGGACATCTGAACTTACGGTTTCTCTTAGGAGGACTTCCTAACCGCAGGACAGCCGTATGTGTCCTCGAAAGTTGTATTTCTCCTCCGGAACTAATGTCGTGGGGCATCGGTACAGGGAAGGAGACATCGAGTTTGGAGCGCGACAATGTGAGCCATCCCCTCTTGTGTAAGTAGTAGAAGCCTGCTCACAACGAACATAGGCATTCTAGTCCGCGATGACGAAGCGAAGAAGGCACTTCGTCAGCTCGTTGGGAACATCGGTATCATCATGTAAGGGCCCGCAGCTAAAATGTGGTCACGTTGGTTACTCACTCGTTCATCCTAGGACGCTCTACGACAGCAAGGGTCTTGAATTCGACGACGTACGCTTTACGCCGGTTGCATCCTGGCAAATCAACTGATTATTGTGCATCTAGGTCTTACTCTACCAATTCTTCGAGGATTCGACGGTTGACTTCGGGCGCTGGAGAGTTCTTGCCAGCCTCCTTCCCGGAGAAACGGCCCCCCAATTCGATCCTACTCGACACGCAGGCTTATGTAGCGAAGTAAGCGTTAATACCCTTTCCCAGTGATAGCGCGTTTCCTGACTGTGTGGCAGCTCAAATCCTTATACGTCGCTATCACCAGGGCTCGAAAAAAGCTCTGGATCTATGACAATTCAACAAAGGCGGAACCTTTGCGGGTTAGTTGTGCTGCTGTAACTCTTTTTCTCTTACGGTTCTCCTGACACCGCTACAGAACCTGTGGACTTCGAAGGGGTTGATCGAGAACTTCGAACCTGGCCAGGGTGCTCGAGCGTTGCCTCGCTTTGCAGTTACGTCGTCTCGTAAAGAGTGGAAAGATGCTGCAAAGAAGTTCTTCAAGAACAAGAACTTCGCTGAATCCATTCATGCATTTAAACGTGCTGGTATGGACCGGGAGGCAGAAATTGCCCAAGCCTACCTACTTCGAAAGGAGGCCGAGACTCTCACTGTACCCCAGAAACGACGCAAAGCGTTTCTCGATGCGGGCAGAGCGTTCGAAGACCATGCCCATAAGGCTCCCAATCCCGATCAGCGTCGAGTCTTCCTCCACAACGCCGCCGGATGTTTCGAGAACGCGGGTGATTATCCCAAGGCAGCGGAGATATATCGCAACGCAGAGGAATACGATGACGCGCTCAGACTTTATCGAAAGGCAGGAATGTTCGACGAGGGTGTCCAGGTTATCAAGGGTCGTGCAGAGTGTATGAATAACGTTCTCGTGGAAGAGTTCAAGGACGACGCCAAGCTGTTCTATTTCAAAGATCAAGCGATCGAGTATGTGGTCCCTTCGATTTCAGCCTCAGAAAACCTATATAATATGTTGACAGGAAAGCGAAAGATCTCTTTGAGACGACGGAGGACACTCTAGAGTATTTCGAAGAGAATCCTTTCCTTGATGAGTCGCGAGCTCTGTTCCTTGCAGATCTTGGACGGAACAAGGAAGCCGCACAAATTCATCTAGAAGAAGGCCGTTTGTTAGACGCTATTCGACTACTGGTTTTGAACACGGACGACGTGGAGTCGTTAACTCAGGGCCATGAAATCATACTGAAGGCACTATGGCGACTTCTGCCGTTTGGGACGATGGTGGACCCCGGAGCCCTGGACGATGAGTTTTCGCAAATCGACGAGCTGCTTTTCTATGCATCGACTCTTGAAACAATGCGATTGCACCTACCACATTCGTCCATGGACCAGGTAACGTATAGGTAGTATCTCCTTTTTCATGTTCTGATAGTCCTGCTCCATAGATAACTATGTTCCAGGCCATTTGGAAGTCGGACTGGTCGCGATTGCTTCCCCTCGGGAAGCATTTCCTCGGACATGGAGATATCGCGTCTGCGATTCTGTGCCTCAGCCATTACTTTCATCCGGCCCACCTCCCCGACTTGAAGGACCTCGACAACACAGACATATGTCACTTCCTTTCAGATTTCCTCAGTTTCTGTGGACTTTTCCGCACCCTGGTGGAGAGAATCCCTCCCTTGACCGAGACGACCCAGCAACTCTTTGGGATCCAGGACTCAGAGGGGGGGAATCGACACTTCGTGCCATCTAATACTTGGCTTGGCCGTCAAGTTCTCCAGAGCGCCGAGGTTCCTGATGCAGCGAGATCAAGAGAGGGTGTCCTAGTCGGCTCGCAGGAATTGACGTCGTATCTACGAGATAGTCTGCTGCGCTATCTCGCCGAAACGATACGATACGAAGACATGCAATGCCGCCTTGTTTCCTCATTCACGCCATGCGCGGAATTTGCTTTGGCCGGCCATTGTCGCCCAGATGACAGGTGCCGCAAGCAACACATGAACCCCGCGAATCTCACAAAGGAGTGGCTTCAGATGCAGACTCGTATCCACCTCCAGCAAATTTTGATCCTGCAGGTACTATACTGGATCCCTTATCGACTTGGGGGTAGTACTCGTGGAAGACGGTTAGTGTATAGCAGCGATTCATCCTTTACGAGTAACTGAATGGTTCTCGCAGCTTCTGGATCAACCGCTTCTATCATTCGTGTAACCCGCCCTCTCACATAATGGGATCCTGGTCGAGCGTGGACTTCCGGGCAATTCCAGAGGCCGAAGACGGATTGCGTGCCTTGAAGAATTGGTCTCGAACTCTGCTCTACGGTAGACCTGACCCCAACCGTCAGAACGTCGAATTAACTTTCGTATACCAAGCGGCAGATCTTTGTTTCAGGCTAGACAGAAGGTTTGCAGGAAGATACGTCCATCGATCGCCGTTGGTGAATCGGTTCCTCCGATATCAGACGATCTTCAAGCGTCGTTCGTCAGAAGGACGTTGGATCTTCACAATCTCTGAACTGCTCAGTTCCTTAGATGCTTCCCGTCCAAATTTCATTACCGCAGGGATATTAGCTGCCAAGTACGTCGCCCTGAGCGTAGAAAACTTTTCGGGGTCGCTAATATTTAACAGACATATCGTTGACAAGAAGGCTTTCATCGACCTTAACGTCCTTTGCAACTTTTTGGAATTCTTATCCGGTGCCATTGTCGTCGCTCGCAGCAATTTCGAATGGCACAACGTCACACTTCCACGAAGCCTTTGTGGCACACTCCTTCAACGAATGCGAAGGGCACTTCCTCCTTGTGACATCAGGAAAGTTGGAATCTTGGAGTTCTTAGATTGTGCCTACGTCTTGCTTCGAACATTGGTCGAGGGTGGAGAACACGCTGGTAAGACTCCTTATGTCGACTATGGTGCCACAGCAACCTCACATCCGCCTCAGTATACCTCCTCCATGGCACCTCCAACGCACAGTCAGTGGCAGTGAGATCACAGTTCATCCCGAGAGTGTACGTTGTTTCCGTAGAGTCGACGATTCGGCTGGTATGCTGATATCTCTTACTTGGGAAACAGTTGTCGAGCCATGGGCCTGGGTAAGGGTTTATTCGTTATTATCGAGAAGGAGCAAGAGCAAACTAATGGGCTGTCGTCCAGTGGCTTACAATTTAGACAATCTCACAATCTACCGGATGGTTCTCGAGAGGTTGGAGCCATTGAAAAAAATTGAATTCCCTGCTCGAACCTACAGCCTGTGCGTATTGCTCCTTTCCACCTGCTTAGTTCGTCTGACACTGGAAGAAGGTTCGCTCATGCGAAGTTGTGGACTGACGTTTTCTACGCGGTCGAGTCTTCCACCCGCTACTCCCCTTTTGATGATATGATTCACTTGTGGTCGAAAGCAAGCCCACCTCCCAAAAGCGTCCTCCCTAACCACATCACTCGTGTTTTCTTCGAATCCGTCGAGGAATTACGACATTGTCTCGCTGGAATCGAGCCTCGCCGGGTCGCAGTTTACGACGGCACAAGTGCCGCGGTAAGTGACCCATCAACGAAACCCGATGATCCTCGGTTGGACGAAGCCGTCAAGACAGTTGATGCAAGCAATACCGAGTCCACCCCGACGGCAGTAGAGTCCTTTGAAGCAGTGCACACGGGGGCCGATATGGAAGGGGACGACCAAGATTTGGACGAAGAAATTCCTGAAGACCTGCTCGATGCTGGGTTGAAGATCATGAAGGCCTGTCGAATGCTTATCAGACGCCGCGAATGCGAGACGAGAATGGCATCGCAGCAGTTGGCCTTGCGTGACTTCTTCCGGGCTTGTCTCCAACAGTCCGAGAAGATAGAATGGCCACCGAGTTCTGAATACAGACTCTACTACCTTGGAGTAGTCCCCCACCTCTTGGTATGCCTTCAGTGGGCCTTGCAATTCTTCCATGCAGAAAAGACCAAGGCAAAGAAAGCGTTCAAGGAAGCGAAACACACGGAATTGCAGAAAACCCGGGAGAAGTTGAATACCATAGCGTGAGTTTTCTGCTTCTCAACGCCCGCATCCGCCTTTGAGCCGGCATTGTGACCTTGTACAGCGACAAATTGAAGCAAATCCAAAGCCTCAACAGGGTACTCGATCCCAAGTCCACTTTCCATCACCGACGTGATGTCAACGAATTAAAACGAGTCATCGATGATATTGAAACCTTGTTCACGTCCCTTCCTTCCACCTTCACCGACGACGTCGTATTACATCTCGAGATGGCCCTATGTGCCCGCAACAAGAATATCTCAAAGCCCAAACCCAAGTTGAATGTGCCTGACGAAACGCAGGACTGGGAATACGACGAGCGATGATCATCATGTCTTCGGAGAATATATCTTTGCTATTGTATGTCTTACTTTTTCGAATATGATATCATTTTCTTGCGATAAGTTTGTGAATTGGAAATAGTAGCCACTCATATGGGCATGCCCTTGCCTACTCAGTTCTATTTCGACCTAACGTTAGTCCCGATGACGGGTGGCGACCATGAGCTGAGGCGTACAGCTTGTCGATTGGAATGGTCGTTGGTAGTTCCGCTATTGGTGACAGAGAGCGTTCTCTGTGAAGGGGCGCAAGCGGGCTATTGACGGCGTCAAGGGTTTGTACAATGTCCCACCCGTCTGCTCCACGAAATATGATTCAGCTTCAAATCAACGTCGACTTGGTTTTACGCCCGTAGAGGGTGTACACCAAGAATCAAAAGCTGAAGTTGAATTCGGACTGAGATGCGAGACTACGACGGTGCGTAAAATCCCAGTGCCGACGTATCTTCAACACGCTGAGCTGATAATTGTTGAGCTCTGTGATGATATGCTTGCTGCATTTGTTCTTCGTTGTTTCAGTCAACCAGGTCGCGCATTAGATATGATACAAAGGTGGCGAGTGTGTGCGTGTGATTCATATATCTGGTCCCTGAAACTATGCATACAACCTGTAAGTCAAAGGTGAACGTAAATCGAAAGGTTCTTACCAGCTCTCGATACTTTTCCCGCACTTGCTTGATGAAGAGGTATATGTCGGTAGTTTCGTTTAAAGTACTAACGAGAATGGACAGTGAGGGAAGTTGAGGTGTAGATGTTAGGACTGTATAACCAGTGTAAGCGACACTGACGAAGGCTCAAGATCTCAGGGTACGCACCTCGATAGTTTGTTGAAGAAACGTCGACGACAATACTTGCTTCGCGTTCTGGGTCTGAAGGGTCGAGGTTCCAAAAACGCATAAGCAGGTGGTCGGTTTCGATCCCCTCCATTGAAAATGCTAACGCTTGTTCGCAAAATTTAAGTTCTGGCACCACCCGAGATGCGTTCTTGCGCAATATCGAACGCTCCTTGTTTTTCTCTGGAGGGGTCCTTTCAGCTTTCGATGCAGCGAGGTGTGAAGAAGGCATACCTCGCCGCAGGTTCTCCGTGATCGTTCGGTATTGCTCAATCTCCGAGTCTATTGAACTCGTCTTGTCTTTGAGCAAGGCAAGTTGGCGGTTGAATGAAGCAACCGATAGCTCTATTTCCTGGCGTTCCTCCTTCTCCCTCTCAAGTTCTGGAAAACAGGGTAAGAAGGCTGCATCCAGTGCGACATAACATGGACTCACCAGCAACGAGCTCAATCTCCCGCAGCTTACACTGATTAGTTTCCGACTCTGTTGTATGTATCCTGTCCAGTAACCGCTTCTTCTCGTTTGCTTGGCTCTTCCGCCGTTCTGAAATCTTGGTTATTGATTGGTTCTTCCATGTTGTAATCGCCTTGAGAAAGTTCTGTGTGGATTGTTCAAATGTGTGTGTTCTAAGGTCGATATGAGGGTTTGGGTCCTTGAGGACGACAGAAAGGTCAATCTGAGGAACGCGAATGGACATGGTGGTTTGGGTTCAACTCTGAAACGCGCCCAAATGCATTGAACGCGCCGAGATGGCCCACGTGACCCGAGCCCCTATCGCGTCGCGTGTTAGACCAACACCACAGCCAAATCAGGATAATCCAATTATTGGCTGCAAACCAGCTCATTGATTCTTTGATTTCTCCTGTTTCTCAATACCCAACACAGCGACAACGAGGCATCTATACACTACATGGCGCCAGTGTCGGGACTGCCAACCAAGTCGACGTCCAACCTACCAGGATCGCCAACGAAGCAGGTCTCTGGGCTTCCGGAGCAACAGTCGTTCTACAAGGACATCCATATGGAAACCGCCAAGGGGGCTCCAACCATGAGCAGCTACAACGATGTGCGCATGGGCACAGCAAAGGCATTTTCAGCAAATCCGGACGATATCAGGATGGATACCGCCCGCGGGAGTGGCACAACCGTTCGAGCAAGCAAGTTGAAACCCTGGGAGGCCGCCCTGGTTCAAACTCCAGAAGTCAAACGGAAATCTACAGTCGCCCAACTCTGTACGTTACTCGATACTGGTTCTTGCCCAGAATCTAACATCCAGCCACGTGTAGATTTCTTGGATTACTATTTCCAAACATTGGGTTACATTGCAGCCCGGAAGGAGCGAAGGGCAGCATTCGACAAGGATACAGCCTCGCGCAAACTATCATCGGCTGAATACGCCAAAGAGTTCAAATCCTACTGTGGGCGAGAACGGGTTCTCCTCCGGAAACGGCGTACGAAGCTCAAGGTCGACCAATTCCACATCATTGCTCAAGTCGGACAGGGAGGCTATGGTGAAGTCTACCTCGCAAGGAAGCAGGACAGCGGTGAAGTCTGTGCACTCAAGAAGATGCGGAAACGGACATTGTTCAAGATGGACGAAGTCAGTAGCCTCCAACTCTAAATGACGCTCTTGCTCAATATCTTCGGTATAGATTCGCCACGTCCTCGTGGAACGCGACATCTTGACTGCGACGAAGACCCCCTGGCTAGTCCGATTACTCTACGCTTTCCAAGACCCGGAGTTCGTCTACCTCGCCATGGAATATGTCCCTGGTGGCGATTTCCGCACCCTTCTCAATAACTCAGGGGTGTTGAAGGAAGAGCATGCCCGCTTTTACATCAGCGAAATGTTCGCCGCCGTGAACGAACTTCACAAACTAGGATACATCCATCGGGATCTCAAGCCAGAGGTACATCCTCTTTTCTCCCCTCCCTGCGCGTTTGCTTATTGTAGGGGCCCAACAGAACTTCCTTGTGGACGGAACGGGTCACGTCAAGCTCACTGATTTTGGCCTCGCGACGGGTGCTCTCAATCCCAAGCGGATCGAATCGTTGAAAATTAAAGCAAGTGTTCTCTCCACGCTGTATCCTCGTGTCTTCGGTGATTAACCACAGCGACAGTTGGACAAAGTGAAGAATAATGAAATCGTTCATCGATCAACGATGGAGCGAAGGTCTATATACCGTTCGATCCGAAACCAAGAACCCAGGTACGCCGACTCGATCGTCGGATCCCCGGACTACATGGTGCGCCCCTTTCATCTCTGACCGTCGGTACAGTCCTAATGAACTGATTGGTTACAGGCACCTGAAGTTCTGCGAGGTCACGCTTACACCTACTCGGTCGACTACTGGTCCCTCGGTTGCATCCTCTTCGAGTTCCTCGCAGGATTCCCTCCTTTCAGCGGCAGCACGCCCGAGGAAACGTGGACTAACCTCAAGAACTGGTCTAAAGTCCTTCGTCGACCCGAGTACGATCGACCAGAAGACTTGATTTTCAACCTCACCGACACCGCATGGCACGCAGTCACTCGGTATGCCCATGATCGATCCACTTCAATTTAAACCGTTGATTGAATATTGATCCCAAATAGCCTCATCGCAAGCAGTCACTCCCGCTACGACACCATGGACCAAGTTAAATCGCATCCCTTCTTCTATGGCGTCAAATGGGACGACCTACGCTCCGTCCGCGCACCCTTCGTCCCCGCCCTCGACTCCGAAATCGATACCGGCTATTACGACGACTTTACCTCGCCAGAGGATATGGCCAAGTATGCTGAAGTCAAAGAGAAGCAAAAGAACGTGGAGAAGGTCAAGGAGAAGGAGGAGGAGTTTGGAAGGGGTGTGTGGGTTGGGTTTACGTTCGGCAAGAACGGGCCTGGGGTGGGTGCTCGGCCCAACTTCGACGGTTACGATGACGGGTCGCTGGCCACGATCTTCTAGAGGCCGCTTGTTTTCTTTTTTCCTTGTCCTTAACGGGTTTGGGTAATGGGCTACATGGACTGCAAGTGCAGAGCACCATAGCCTCAGCTTCCGAGCCGGCGTAAACCATGTCCACAGATAGGCCCCGCCCACCTTCTCTACAAGTCTGATAGATGTGATCGCATATTACAGATACCACACATCTTGCCTTCTTTCAACATTTTGTTAATTGTCCTTCTCGAGCGCCTAATACCATCCGCTTCCCAGTTCTTCTTTTGTCTTTTCTTCATCAACTCTTCCCCCTACCGTCTTCAAGTCTCTTTTTCCCCCACTATTATTGTCATTATCGTTGTCTTCACCCGCTATTGTCGAGTAACTAGTATCCTTTTCTGATGGTACGTAGATCCCATTGTACAAGTCTATAATTTTGATCAGTCGATCCCTCTACATAGCCTGTTGAATGTCCAACGTTGTGCCTGAAATGGGACTTCCTGGGTTTGAACCTGCTTGGGGTTGAAGGGGACGAAAGAATCGGAGGGTGAGGTGATTTGTGGGTCCGGCGGATACACGTACGTACAACAAGGATGGCTTCCTGTCCTGGAGGTGAGGATCTCCAGTGCGCAAATGCACATGTTTCGGCCCTTCCATCGGTGGAGAACCGTCGATGTCCAGCGTCGGCGGAGGACGACAGGGAGGCTCAGGCTTGACTTCTTGGGCACACGATTGGTCGGGTATCCATGCGCCAGTGTGGGCGACTGTCCTGTTCGTCGGGCACCGAGGACAATTGCGTGGTGTGTCCATTCCTAGCATGAGCTAGATTACGGCTGGAAGTCAAGTCAACGTGAGCTCGAGATTGCAGACGCAAACAGTTCCATTGTATAAAGACGAACGAGGAGATAAATACAAGTACAGGGATGTACAACACTTGTTACAACCGGGTAGAAAGACGAAATATAGACTCTCCTCTTCAAAAGAGAGCCTTTTACATTAGACATTAAAAACGAAGTTAAGGAAAGGGTTGAAAGGAAGATTATAACCAAACTCGGGTACCGTAGGCATGAAATGAAAGTCAAATGAGGTTTGAACATTGATCGACGAATCGAAAATGAATGGATGTGGTGGTATGAATGAATGAATAATGGAAGGCAACCAAAAACGTGAACAAGGTCGTCTCAAGGTCGTAAGAAATGAAAAGGCAAGGGACAAGTCCATGGAACCAATGCGCAAATGGAGGAAGAAGAGGTCCAGAGAGAACCTGTGGTAATGTACAGTACTTGAAGCAGAGAGGAGAAAGCACACTCGTAGACCGGCACGTCTTGGGCGTAAAGCATATCGAGTCTTGAAAATAAATAGTGATTAATCTAGTAGCAACCAAGTCCGTCAGTTTCCACCTCGACGTCAAACAAAACGCAAAACACTCACAATTAAACAAACCCTGAAAAGACAGACATACACCCAACAAACCGGACTTCGTCAAGAAACCGCGTTAATTGAGTGGACGTTTGGAGAAGCTTAAAGTCTTCGAGAAGGTAGCCCCCGGAAAGCCCTAAATCTCGAGCCATCTTGAGCTTGTTGCGCACGATGACCAGGATTAACGTCGGAATGAGAGAACAACCACGTCTTCCTCTCAAACTACAAACCAATTAGCATGGAGTCCAGTAAGAGGAGAACAACGAAAGCGAACCTTGGGCCTCTTCTCAAACACACCAAATTCAGTCACATCCTCCAAATTCGTGCTCTTGCGTTTAATGCTGCGGAGGGCAGCCGACGAAGCCCTGCTACTGCTCCCACTGTCGCAATCATCCTATCCCACGCAATCGCGTTAGCATTTATACCATAGGAGGACTAAGAAAGGAATGGAACTCACAGGTGTAACAGGCCCGCTCGAATTGGTCGAGCTCGAACCCGCATCGCTTGTGCCGCCATTGCTCGCATCGGACAAAGGGGACACCGCCCCTCCATCCTCATAAGCCTTGACCTCACCACACCCCCAGCTCATCGGCCTCCCCACATCCTGAGGGACATGCAACGCCTGAACCGGACGAGGTCGTACATGCAAAGCCGAAGGGACCGAAACCGAACGCGAATGGCCTTGAGTCGGGCCCGACGTGGAAGGGATTGAGCAACGATCTACACCATCCGCAGAACAATAAATCGAAAGTGCGGATGGTTCAAAAGATGGAGAAGGGGAAGAAACAGGTGAACAGGACCGAAGTCTATAAAACTCGTCTACGAATGAAGAAGGTGAAAAAAACGAACTTGGGGAGCCTGATCCTGGGGCGGGACCTGCACTTTCAACATCCGTGTGTCGCAAGGACGAGTTCAAACTGATGTCGGAGTACTCTGTGTCAGAGGAGAACCTCGACCTAAGCCCTCCATTGCTGCTGGTGCTTGAAACAGTGGAATCGAGCTGGTAACCCCTCGTGTCAACGATCGTGATTGGGATAACACATCGGAGGGAAGGTCGGTTGGAAGGTCGTTGGATTTGGGCTCCTTGAGTCGCTTGAATCGGATTCGCGATATTGTCCTTTGAAGTTGAAGCAACGACATTTCGGAAATCCAAAACACCCTGGCCTTCCTCCTCCTCTTCCTCAACATCCACGGGCATACCCTGCAGTGCTCCCACCTGCCTCTTGCCCGAAGGCAAAGGCACGGGTGACGGATCCGTCACAATAACAGGCAACGGAACAACGCTAACCTGCCTATGGTCCAGGTTCACCGCCTTGATGGTGTCAACCCTCAGATTCAACCCCATCGCACGCCTTTTAGCGCGGTAGGTGCGAGGAGGGAAGGTTTGGCGGAGGTGGGTGATGAGGGCATGGGTGCGGGCATTGGCAGCATGGTAGCGGACGAAGGAGAAGCGGCGAGGGCGGGAGGAGGTACTATGCACGTTGGAGTAAGATGATGTGGATTGCCTGGAGCGAGGAGAGGAGTAGGTGGTGGTTGCGTAGGTGGACATGATGGAAGCGATGGGTGCGGATGGAATGAAAAGGTATCCTTTGGTGATAAAAGAGACTTGACTTTGGCGTTAATTGCCGGAGGATAGAAGCACGCGCAGCGTGGCTTTCTTGGATCTAGGGGTGTGGATATTCCAAGGGGTGAACCTCGTCGACGACGGACGTAGAGCGAGATAAAGGCAGATAGCAGCGGATCGAAGCGTCAAGGGTGAGAGGAGAAACAAAAGACTCGTCGGTGCCGGTCAGAGTCCTTTCAGAGCGAGAACGAAAGAGAGGAGAAAATGGTCAAAGCCCACGTCAGAACAAAACGACATGTTAGCCCTCCTAATTATACTTTCCCGGCATAACGCGACGCAACACTTGGACCCACAGTCAAGTCTAAAAGGGAGTAGAAAGAACAAAAAGGACTTACACATTCGACTGTCCGAAGGGGCTTTGGGCGCACAGTAGAAACCATCTGTGTAGGCCCAACGAATCGAGATCCCAACAGGGCGCGGGGTGGCTCATTTGTTGTTTAAGCAGAGGGCGGGAAAAAGACGCGAATAGAATTTGGAACGAGCTAATTGTTCTTGTGCCAGAAAACGACAAGAACAAAGGAAGTGTGGGATTTGGGAAGCCTGATTAGCGCCCATCGAACTAGACATTATCCCGAGGTTGTTGTATTTTTGTCTTGTCAGCACTTGACCATTCGCGCCATCACGAGTGGCCAGAACTCCCATTTGAAGATTCGAGGTGAGCTTTGGGTGAGCTGGGCTCGAGGAGACGAAAGCGGAGACCTTCCATTTTGGGCTGCCTTTTTGTTTTTGGGATTGATGCACGTGATGGGATATTACCGCCGATCCGATCAATTTCTTTACTATTAGCGAACTCTATCCTTGCACAGAGACGCATACCGAGATCACAAAAAGCGCAGAGAAAGCACAGAATGTCAGCGCACAAAATAGGTCAGGTCATGAGTTATCTAGCTCAAGACCGTTTGCGACTCACAGGTGTGCTCGAAAAGTCTAGGCTCCCTCTTGTTCTGCCCCAACTGTGGGACATTGCTCGACCTACCGAAAGACGGAGAGGCAATCGTTACTTGCGAACAATGTCACCATGAAGAGCCTGCTAGCTGTGAGTTTCTCAACAACTCTCTAGCCACTTGAAACTAAGTGGCGAATCCTTGTCCCAGCCTATGAGAACATCGTTATCACGACACGGTCACACCCCGATGCGTTTCCTTCGCCACTGCAGCAAAAACGCAAAACACTAACCAAACGGCACGACCAAGGCGATCAAGGAACGCTGGTAGCAGAGAAGTGTCCATCCTGTGGACACATGGAGGCCTATTCGAAGGAGATGCAGGTGCGTCCAATCATGAAAAACTTGTGTTGCCTGCATGTTGACTCCGAGTCAAGTTGCGGAGTGCAGACGAAGGCTCGACGATCTTCTACACGGTAAGTGGTCTTGTCCATTTCCGAGACCGACCTGGCACTAAAAACGACTTGTAGTGTGCATCTTGCAAGCACGGGTGGCGTGTCAACAACTGAGGAGACAGGGGTATCAAAATGGATTTATATGGTGGCGGTGGTCTACACGTATACGCCTGCTGTACAGAACAAGGCCACGACGCCAAAACCTGCGAGGATACTGGCTGCGGATGCGACGCCCAGCTCCTTGACCGGGACGGTGCTTTTGGGTAGTCTGTATGTATACAAGTCAGTGGTTTGCACGTAGAATATTAATTAGAGAATATTCACGTCGAGAAGTAGAAGGTGAGGGAGAATGTGGCTGCGAGGAGAATGAGTGCAAGCCAGGGGAGCAGAGAAACGGGGATGAGTGGGGAGAAGGGCGGGTGGGCGTTGTGGAGAGCCTGTATGTCATGTATGAGCTCGCTATGGAGCGCGATGAGCAAAGGCAAATACCTTGAATTGGGCGTAGTCCATGATGGTTCTGGTTGGAGACACTGTGTGGTTGACGTAAACATGGTGCGTCAGTTGAGACAAACACGTGTCAACTGTGACCATATCAACCTGCGCAGCTCGCTCGAGTCTGCCACTTTTCTTCCTCATCGTCTTCCACAATGTCCGCTGCTCAGAAACTCCAGCAACACCCTGTCTTCGTCCAGGCCCAGAACAAGGCCTCGTTCTACGTTAACCAGCTCGACAAGGAGGTATGCATTATACCAAAACACCCAAATCCCACATATCTCACCGCATAACACACGGTTACAGCTCACCAAGTACCCCGTCCTCAACAACCTCGAGCAACGCACCCAAGTCCCCAAGGCATACGCTGTAATCGGCACGCTCCTTCTCGTCGTCGTCCTCCACACCTTCAACGCACTCGCTGCACCTGTCTCAAATCTCGTCGGTTGGGGCCTCCCAGCATACCTCTCCTTCAAGGCTATCGAATCCCCCTCTCCTCACGATGACGTTCAGTGGCTCACCTACTGGGTCGTCTTCGGTTTCTTCAACTTCTTGGAGAGCTTTGCCCTCCGATTGGTCCTCTACTACGTCCCCTGGTACTTTGCCTTCAAGTCCGCATTCATCGTCTGGCTCCAACTCCCTGCCTTCCGCGTGAGTATCCACTTCCTCGCGTTTTCACAACCTGGGCCCCACCGCGTTCCTCGACGCGAGCTGGATACTTGTGACATCATGTCCTCCGCGTGTCTAGGGGCGGGTGGTGGCACTGCATAGTAAATTTTTCATGAGGGATCATCATAACTAACGTTACTCCACCATCCAGGGCGCACAAAAGATCTACTTCACCGCCTTGAAGCCCATCCTCCAGAACATCAGCTCTCAAACCAAGGTCGTTGCTCCCACCACCAGCACCAACGCTGAGCAGTCCGACTGAATTGGGAGACGCCGGACGTTTCGGGCTAGGGTAAGACGTTGGTTGTCTGTCTCTGATTAGACAAACTCCAGCGTCTGTACCGTCCTTTTCTATCTTTCGTCTTGTCGTCCGTTCTTACCTATGATAATTCACTCTTATCTCGGACCCTTCTCATCTCTGACTTGCCCTTTTTCGTACCCCTTCGTCCGTTTTCCCCACCCACCATAGAGCCTTACCGTACGTCCCCTTCCCGTACTTTCCGTCCCTATTAGTCGTTTTGTGAACCTATTCTTCGGGTCTGTTTTCGACTGACACCTTCCACGAATTGTATGTACAGATGCCAATGTCCTCACGAATAGCTAATGAAACGACGTCCCTCCCACTACTCACGCTAACATTCCCCGAAACATAAACCTCTCCAAGGGCAGCGGTCCTCACATTCCAGTTCCTTCCGCATAAACCCTGCATATGTGGTTGGACCCTTGACCATTCTCGAGTTCGTCTAGAGCCAAGATTACCGGAGCCGCGTGAGCGCTTGAACAGGGGCTTCGAAAAGCTCTCGAGTGCCTCGTTCCCTCCTCGAGGCTCACTAGTCTCGCATTTTTCCGAGCCCTGAATCTGGTTTCTGAAGGCCTGAAAGTTCAAGCTGGTCCCTGAATGAATCCTGCAGTGTTTGTGGTAGCCCATCTGATACCGTACCACGCGAGATGGAGGTGGGAGATGTGATACCATTCAAGCAGACCCTGGTGGGCGTACTCCACATCTCAGACTTTTGCCTGCCGGTGAGTTGTAATGGTGCACGAGGATAGGAACATTGGAGGGGGCCGTCTCCTCTTCTCCTGCATTTGGTACCCCTGAGTGGGTAGGACAAACCCGGAATCCCTGGAAGATTTTGCTAGCAGAGCCACATCGAAGGATCCAGAGAAGACCGTTCTTGCCCTTTTTCCATTCTACATGGCGCGCATTGCATGTCGTATTAATATTATGCAGTGCGCTATTAACAGATCTTATCGTATAAACTGACGTGTCCCCAAACCCAAATGTTCCAGTAAATTCTTTAAGGTCAGCCGGGGGATGGATGGTTTACCCATCCTCCAGTCCCCATCGCAGTATGTCGCGCCTTCATCGACGCCTTCGACGGCTTCGATGGCGACAGGGGTCGAGAACTTGATTGAAGTTCTCACGAGGTTGGGCACGCGCCGCGCGGCTTGTCAGGCGCGTTTATGGAAGGTGGGACCCCTATTTTGCTACGAGGTTGAGAGTGGTGAGATTGGACGAGGAAAGGGTGGAGGTGGTGCAAACTAACGGTAAACCGGTCTGTATTCTTGAAGATTGTATGGAGAACTCTGAGGGCTGGGACTTTCTGAAGATTGTTTCTCTCAAAATTTAGATAGGGCTACCACGGGCGCTTATCTCAGGTATACATTAACCGCCACAATGCACTCCGCGACTGCCCCGTCACCGGACGCACGACTCCGATATGACGGTATAGTACTTTAGGGCTTTTAGGCAAGTGTCATGTTTAATTGACTTGTAAATCGTTCGGGCGCCTTAATCGGCGTGATTACAAGTGACAATCACTTAATAGTCGATTCCTCGAGTCTCGTTATATTCGCCGGAGTGGAGTGCATTTCTGGTGGGTCCTCGCTGTCCACGAGGACATCCTCCTCATTGGAATCTCGTGGTTGGTAGTCAAGTTTCAGCCTTCGTGAGGTAATGTGGGCACACACACTACCTACTTGAGCCCATTGAGGAGCGCATATCTCTGGCCCGCCGATGGTCCGCCCAGTCTCCTGTAGTGCTATGATGCTATGCGGGGAATTCGAGTCCCAGGTGATATCCAGTAACCTATTGTCCTGTCCAAACACAAGGCCTTCTGCCTCACTCTTTTCAAACATACAAGCACACGGAAAGGCTTTTGCTGGCTGGAGTTTTCTCGGTTTGTAGGCACCGTCGCCCACAGCCTTTATCTTGTGCCCCGAACTTCCAAGAGGCTGTACAAGGCTGATTAATGTGGTACCCTGCGTAAGTCGGGCCCTACTTCTACGCATCAGTGAGCACAAGGGTGATTGCAGCGCCGGACCAGTACTTCCGATGAAGATACCGCGATTTCTCAATTTCTATTATCCTCGTATGCATAATGAGAGGGGATCTGACCTACTCTCAGTTCCTCAAGCTCAGTACTCCGTAGACAATATACTTATGCCAACCTTTCAACGCCATTTTGTGGGCAGCCGTGCGCGTTCGACCCAGGACCCCTATGTACAACTTTGATGGCACCTTCCTGTTTTGCGCAGATTTTGATCGCTTAGCGGCGAGCGCTGGCCAAATCGCGACGCTTTCCTCCAGGTCTTCGACTTGTTCGTTGTCCTTTTCCCTTCAACATCGCACCTTGATACTTGGGGCCTTTTCCGCGAGGCGTTAAGAATATCATATTTTCTCTATTTGTATCTGCATCAGCGTTGTGTTTCGCGTGTTTCCTGGGTTCCCCTTCGCAAATGCTGTGACAGCGGTAGGACCTCAAGAAGCCACACGTCCAGCGATACATGAGAACCATTGGTTCAAAGACACACAATCAGGTTATCATAACATAACGTCCTGCATACACCTGACATGTCAAACCTCTGCCCAGGTGAGCACGCGACCCGTCTTCGACCTACCACAAGAACTAACGAGCACTAAAACGAACATAGACCTTATTGATCACCTCTACAGCAACATATTCACGTTTCAAAGTCTATCGCCTGTGTTCATCGGCATTCTCCCGTCCAACGAAGCACCCACCAGCGTCTATTTGCAGGCCGCCCCAGCCATGTGAAGAGTCGACTTCCGGCTCCATGTTTCTATCAATTTATTGATAAAAATCTCGTCATGCCGTGCAGGCAGAGTTTAGGACCCGAGGAGATGGGTTTCAAGGCCTTTTGGTCTTGGACTCGGTTTGGCGGGGCTGTAGAATTATTGAAACGTACCGGGCAGAGTTCCTGGGGTGATTTTCAATATCAACCTTCGAATCTGTTGGTCGATAATCGATACCGGTCAACACATCGAGTCTCAAGCTCCGAAGCTCAGACACGAGGGCGAACGAGAAGCCCAAGGAGGCGCGTAATGCTGGTCTGCTGCAGCGAGAAGTACCCAATGGGTGCGTTGCACTCGAGTTGTTATCTATACATATCTAACCCTTCCTTTACATCCTAGTCTCCTAACCCTGTATACCACAATAATGGAAACGTGAAGCCGGTCATAAGCCCCCCAAACCATGTGGGACACTACCCAGCAACTATATTCGTTCAATCAAAAAGGTTAACGTCAAGCCCCATTCATCCTCTTCCGGTAGAGAAGCCCACGGATGGGGGTGGGAGAGCCTCCCAAGACTCCGCCAGAACTGGCTCTGCTACAGACAGGAACAGCCGTTCGAAGCCTACGCTCCCGGCAATGTGTAACCACGCACCTCGCGACACATGACAATGCATGACAGTGGGGTTTACTCCCATGGTCCAAAGCTTCGTGATCGCGAACACCAGGCCATTTGCGAAGCCTGTCCACGAAGTTCCCGAAAGGAGGCGTTTATGCAACTCATCGGCGTTATGGGGCGTTATGGATGCCAGAGCATGTAGTTCAGGGCCAAGCTATTAAAAGACAGTGTTGCATGCGAGAGTGGAGCCTTCGCGCTTGCTCGGACCTCGCCCTCCTTCGTTCTCGTTTACTTCTCCCCTGTTCCTTAACCATCCTTCCCCAACTCGCACACTCGTCGACCTCAACTTCACACAGAAGCGAACAGTGTCAACAACGCGATGGCTGATAAAGACGTGGCAGAGAAGGGCTTGGGCGGGGGGAGTAATGACGACAAAGGTTCTGGTTCGCAGGTGGCAGTTTTCGAGCGCCCGACAGGGCTCATGGGGTTCTATTCGCATCCTCGAACTCAAGTAAGTCTGAAATCCATTTATCTAGCCCTTGCTTTGTTTCAACTGACCAATGATCGCGATTAGATTGCAATGGTGGGATTCGTATGCTTCATGTGTCCCGGTAAGTCTTATCTCTCGCTACGGCTCACGCGACCACAAATTGACATCCATCCGAACCAGGCCTGTTTAATGCGCTGAACGGATTGGGCGCTGGAGGTCAAGTCGATTCTCAGACCAATGCGACATCTAATGCCGTTCTCTATGGGACGTTTGCAGTGTCTGCATTCTTTGCTGGGTGTGTACTATGCTTTATATCTACCAATCCATTTACCTCCTGACGCGGATTACCAAGTTCAATCAACAACAAGCTAGGCTCCCGTCTTACCCTCCTCCTCGGTACAGCCGGTTACGCGCTCTACATTGGATCCTATCTGTACGTCCGACGCCACGCCTTGCAACACCCTTTAAACCTCCCATTTTTGCCCGAATCTAACGACTCTGTAGGACCATGAACATCCACCCTAACGCGGGAGGTTTCGTGATCGCCGCTGGAGCCATTTTGGGGATCTGCGCAGGCCTTCTATGGACTGCTCAAGGCAGTTTGATGCTGTCATACCCGACTGAAGGACAAAAGGGTCAATTCATCAGTATCTTCTGGACTATATTCAATTTGGGAAGTGTCGTTGGAGCTTCTGTTTCTCTCGCTTTGAACTTCAAATCTTCGGCCAACTCTGGTAAGTCGCGGATGGTCGGGTCTTCATCACACATCCACTCACCTGCTTGCTTCTGCCGGTCAGTCGGGAACGGAACCTACGCACGTCTCTTTCACCCATAATCATTTCCCAACCTGACCAATACTCCATATAGATCGCCTTTCTGGTTCTAACCATGATTGGAGTTTTGATTCCTCTGCTTATGGTTGATCCTCGCAAGATGATTCGGACGGATGGGACCAAAGTCAGTGCTCCTCGCCATCCTTCATGGAAAGTCGAAATCTATGGTCTCTGGGTTGCGGTCAAAACCGACCCTCTGATCATCATGCTGTTCCCGATGTTCTTCGCGTCCAATTGGTTTTACACCTGGCGTACGTATCCGTATTTGCCTTTCCTGCTTAACCGATGCGGAATTTGACTCCAATTTCCAACCATTCAGAGTTCAATGCATACAACGCGGCGCTGTTCGATATCAAAGCTCGCTCGCTGAACAACCTCGTGTACTGGATTGCCCAGATCGTCGGGTCGATTCTCATGGGGTTCATTCTGGACCAGAAACGAATCAAGCGCCGCGTCCGTGCTTTCCTTGGATGGGGTATCCTGTTCGCTGCCGTATGGGCAACACATATCTGGGCTTTCTTCTATCAGAAGTATGTTTCCTCCCAACTTGTATCGCCTCTCCTTCGTTCTGGGAGTCCGAGGCTCTGGCCTTTGGACTACATGGGTTGGCAGCGGGACTGGCACCCGATACCCGAATTCTAAGCCCCCAAATCACAACTCTGAGAAATCAAGGATATTGACATTGCTGTCACCCTCAATCACAGACAATACTCTCGCCCTGCAAAGGACGACATCAACACTGTAGAGCGGTACTCCATCGGGGATCCCGGCTATGCGGGACGAATCGTCCTCTATTTCTTCTTCGGCATTGTTGACGCAATGTGGCAAATTACAGCATACTGGGTCATGGGTGCGATGTCCAACGACCCAGCCAAGCTCGCTCACTTTACCGGACTTTGTGAGTTATTCAATTCAATTCCGCAACACCGTATTTTTCTCTTGTCGGCGGTGCAATAGGCGCGGTTTCCGACACCCCGACGCGGGGTGGCGCGCTCCACTACCTGAATTTGCAACTGATGAATTCGAGCTAACCAATATTCTCTCTTCTGTGGACTGTGTGCACATAACGAAATATAGACAAATCGATTCAGTCAGCTGGTGCCGCAGGCGTCTGGGCACTCGATGGGGATGGATATCCGTACGTATCTTGTTGTTCCCTACAGGGCATAATGCTCTTTTCTCACTTAACCTGCTGTAGGTATATGGACATATTCTTATCGACTTGGATCCTCTTGGTCGTAGGTCAGGCGCTCGCTTTGCCTATGATCTACTGGCGCGTCAAGAATCAAACTGATCTCGAAGACGAAGCACTGTATGTATCTTTTTTTGGCTCCACGGGTACTGATGCTTGAATTCTTCTCAGTGCTCGGATGGACGATTCTGGAAAGATTGTCGCAGTGGAAGAAGTGAAGCACTGAAATGTCCGCCGACGGGAGTGGAGGAGAGAATGTGGGTCCGACGGGAAGTGGACGTCTTGGACTTCGAAAATCTTGCCTGGTCTTGCGGTCTGCTCCGCCTCAGTCGGATGTACAGCGTTCGGGAAGGGAATAGGGTACACGTAAGGCACCTTGTGCGATTTGATTTTTCTTGGTTCCCACTATTTCACGATCTGGATGATGATAATGACAATAGGCACTAGATATGTACGATCCCAGAACGATCTCATGATTGTCATTACCCACGATATGGAAGCGTTTCAAAATACATTATCCTGTTAGCCGTGTGGGTGCTTCCGTTAACTTGTCTGGTTACAGCTTCTTCACGACCTTCCCTGAAAAGTGTTCTCCATAAGGCCAAAGGACTGGAGGTCGCAGATCTCTGTGCTCGTGATCCCCGCGCGCTTGCGTGGAAATAGGTTTGTAGGCGCCGAGCGATAGCCATCCTTACTTGCAAGCTCTGATAAGTACATGTGCCTTAGGGTTCCGCAGCCGGAGAGGTGGCAATAACACAATTGAATGGTGCCTTCGGCTAATGTGTTTTCGAACGGTAAGAAGGAAGAGATAGAAATTTGATATTGGAGTTCCAGAAGAAAGGGCGTTACATACAATATTTTACATACACAGTGTAAAGACAGCGAATGGTGCGAGAACAAGCGGATAGATAACCAATGTCCTAGGTCTCAAGGGCGTTACAACATCGTGATGATACAGCAAAGTGTACAACAGAACGTGCGGGTGCGTGAGTGCTATGGGGATCATGAGCGCTAACTACGAGAGGGGGTCACTGTACACTAAAATACAACATAATTTTGAAATCCGGGAGAGAAAGCGAGTCGTTGACGAGAGCGTAACAGACGTCGGGTATTTGTTCGTGAGGACGTGCGTCAGGGGGCGTAACAAAGGGTGCGACACGAGGTTCATTCGGAAAAGGAATGAATGGAAGGGTCACAAAGAACGCGGCGGAGCGTTCAGTTGAACTGGTAGAGGCGAGAAAGGGATAGAGTGAGGGCACAAATCACTGCGATAAGCAGAAGGACGAAGAAATGAGTCCTAAAGGGAGGCAGGCGCTTGGCAAGTGCCATGGCTTGCAACACCTTGGGGGATGAACTCGCGGGAGGGAACCCCTGGATAGCCTTGACTGCGACGGCAGTAGCCAGGCCCCGGTTTCCGACCATGAAGCCCCTGCTAGGGAGGCGGTAGACCCAGCTCATCTCCCAGCCTCCGTCCTCGCATTGGAGTTGGAGTAGCTTCTCCATGTCGACATCGTTGCGGATGCCAACGTAATTGCAGACCACGATGCGCATAGCGATGGAGAGGGCGTCGCCAGGAACACCAATTCTCTCTTGGACGCACTGCCTGAGGACGGGGATGAAGCGGGAGTGAATGGAGCTGTCCGTAGCCTTCTCGAGGAATCGGACGATGGCGTAGAGGAAGTATTCTGGATGGATGTAATAATATGTGCCGTTGATGAAAGCGCGGTTGACGAGAATGTCATGGAGCCATTGCACCATCTGAGGGACTTCTCCGCCACGGCCGTAGGCATAGAAGAAGGTAGCGACGCATGCACAAACGCCAGCATCTAGTCGGGGTCTTCGGGGATCGAAATACGTCTACAGTGCGATTTAGTAACGCGTTATGGCATCAGAGAAACCAAACTCACGAGAGGAAGACCATCCTCCGTCAAGTGTTGCTTGATTTGATTTAGCACTTGATGAGCGACTGCAGGGTTCCCCTCGCCCTTCATGAGGGTGTGGGCCATGGAGGTCGTATCCAAATCGTAAGGGAACTCGTCCTTTCCAACTACGCACTTGCGGTCTAGAAGGAACGTGTCAAACCGATTCTCCAATAGGATTAAAAGGTCCTTACCATGGAAGTAATTCCAGAGACCCATCTCATTTTTAGACTCCACAATTCGAACTAGCGATCTACAGGGAGTTCATTAGTGACCCGACAGCGGGAAAAAAATGAAAACAAACGTACCGGTCGTTGGTGGCCTCCAGAATCAGTAGTTGCGCAAAATTTTCGTTGATAACAATGGCGTCGTCCATCGACTTGCCAAGGTACGAGTCAAGCTTGCCAGCGTTTGCCTTGAGGAAGTTGTTGCCTCTTGAGACGGGGTCGCAGAGAAGGTTGAGGAGCTTGCGCTTGACGTTCACCTTGTTGTCAAACTGAATGCCGGTGAATCCAAGAGACTCTGCTGAGAAGATGTTCTCGAGCTTGTCGTCAACGAAGATGGCGCGGTGAGGATCGAGGCCAGTGGCGGAGATGACATGACGGTAGGCGCCCAGATTGGGTTTCCGCTCGCCGATATCTCCAGAGATAAAGACCTGCTCAAATACACCCCAGTCGGCGGGTTTGAGGCGCAGGACATCAAAGTCAGGGCGGGAGACGTTTGATAGCGCAAATATACGGAGATGGGGACTTGATTGTTTGAGTTGTCGGATGAAGTTGACGAGATCATAGTCGGCTGTTAGGGAGTCCTTCGCTTGCAGGAGGGCTTCGTTGATGTCCTCTGCGCGAACCGCATGACGTTGTGCCAGTCGACTATAGCACTCTTCCTGCGATAGCCGTCCGCACTCGTAATCATACCAAATGTCGGTGGTCATCATCGCTCTCAACGTCTTGGAGGATATCGAGGTCTTGGTTACTGAGGACCATTGGAAAAGGACGTCGCCCAAGTCAAAGACGAGATAGGAATATTGTGAGAAGCGTTGAGCCATTGTAAGGCTAGAGGAGAGGGGGTGGAATGGGAGGAGAAATTGAAGAACGAAAAGGTAACAAAACAGTCCGATTTATACTTCTTTCTACGGCTTGTGTGTACCCTCAGCATCCATGTTTTTTTGGCACGGCATGGCGTCCTTAACCGGAAATGAAAAGATACGCGAAATAGATATCGCCATCATCACACAGTTGGAGGAAAGGTTGTGATGGTGGGCCGCTTCTTGCTATCGCTCCCGGCCTCTTTGGCTTTGGCGCCCTTCAAACGCTGAACCAGGGGGTTCTAGGCGCTGAAAAATTCGGCTGTCGCTCTCTGTGTGGGGTTGAGAGTGGAGCTGTTCGGTCCCTCAGGCGTGCATAAGAAAATTATAGGACAGAAGACGACCCAGAAACACACCATCTGCAATGAGGCGCCAAATTGCCGGCGTAAAATTGGCATTAGAAAGCGGTTGAAGCCACAGGGCGGCCTACACGGCGCATCCCGCTTTGGAACCGCGATCCCCAGAAAACTCCTTCCATTGGCTCTCCTTTGACCTGGAAGATCTTGGAAAGTAGTTGTGTTCCGTCATCTGTTCTCTCTATACCCTTTCGGTCGCCCGTTATCAACATTTCTTCCGCGCATCGCACCTTTTCAGACCTTTCATCTTCACTGGCGTTATACCCACCGCAAATACGATGCACACATAGAACACACACTTCATTGTTTTTTGTAGGCGTTAGCTTGATGGTTCACCACTTCGCTGTCTGTCGTGGTTTGTGCGCCCATCCTTCGCTCTCCGTATCACGGGTTGCCTCGCATTTGACAGAACCTGGCAGAAGATGGGACGGATCGGAAGAAACGGACAGAATTGCGCCCATCGCCTTTCTTCGAAGTCGCCGCACAACTGCTTTTTTGTCGTAAGAACCAAAATAAGGAATTCAAGAACCGGAAGAACTCACATGAGCAAGCTCAGGCGTTCAAGACCATCTGGATGGGTATAAACAGAGTGGTCGCCGGCTTCTTGGAGCCTTTTACAGGGTCTCGCGGGAGGGGATGACCAGGGATGATCCTCGTGTCCAAGATTAAAAGATAAAAGATTGGCCCGACGCATGAGCAGTGCATGGTCAGCTCCCCTTAGCGCCTCCATCGGGTTCCTACTGGCCACGGTAGATCAGAAATTCTTTTGGAAGGGTGCATGCCCAGAATTATTGAATTAGCAAACATTGCGACAACGAGGCAACTGGAGCCTGCTGGAAAGAGTTAAACACGCACCGACTCGGCAGAAACAGAGGATTCTAGCCAGCTGCGTGACATTTGAAAGGTAATGACCATTACAGACGGTGGGTGTTCAAGACAAAGGGCTTTACGTGAATATCCATCACGAAACGATGGTGGAATCTATTAAAAGAGCCACTTGTGGGCTTAGGCGCCCACAGCTCAAGTTGACTGACATGCTTGCCTTTGGCCAGTCCCAGGGGGGGTGACAGCCAGGATCTGGCAACCTCGATCCAGAAAGTCACTTTACCTAGCCCGGTCTTTTAGGAAGAAACTGTCTGGGTTGGATTCCCTGTCGGTGTAACTTTTTCATACCCCTCCGATTTCAAAGGCCACGAGTTGGAAAGTTGAAACCGGCAAGGGTCGCACGTTGTTGTTGTTGTCAGGCCTTTTGGTTGGGTTGGGTTCGGTACGTCCACACTGAAGGAATGTTCCCGCTGAATTCGTACGGTGAACCCTGAATTAATTGATCCAGTAAACGTCTAGGTTAAGCCAAAAGTGGACGCCATCTCTCAGACACGAACACGACTACTTGAACCCTCCCCAAAGGTCTCCAAATACGTCATCCTTCTTTGACTGAACAGGAGGTGAGGTGGAAGTATTAGCCGATGACGACCCGCCCCAGATATCGCTAGTATCAAAGAGCGAAGCGGGTGGTTGCGATGTGTTTGTGGGCGTTGCCCAGACATTGTTAGTCTGAAGCGCGGGGGCAGGCGCAGCGTTCCACCCAGAGTTTGCACCCCAAGCTCCAACTCCGCCGGTTCCTATCATGCTCGTTGGTTGAGCTTGAGGTTGAGTTTGCGCTTGAGCAGAGAAAGCGCCTCCCCATGCGGCTGTCGCCGGCGAACTGAATTGACCGAACCCTGCAGTAGCTGGGGTAGTTGCGGGGGTCGCCGAAAATAGCGACATGATATCTTGCTTTACATCTTTCTTCGGTTGAGGTGGTGCTGCGGCGGGAGCCGGGGTAGTGGCAGGAGCATGGAAATCGAGGGAGAATAGGTCATTTTCGGGAGCCAACAGTTGTGGAGGTTGGGCAGCTGGTTGGGCTTGGGCGGGTGTGGGCGCCGTCCGAAGAGCCGGAGCAGGAGGAGAAGTCGCGGCAGACCTGTTGTAGGCGCTTGACAGTAGTTGATGTGCCTGTGGCTGGCGATTAATTGCACCTCTAGATGAACTTGAAGCATATGTGGGGGTTGATACGGGTGGTGGTGGGGCTTCCGCCTGCGTTGGCGCCGCCCCTTCTGGCGCTGCGTGACCGCCGCCTTGCTCTAAGACTGATGGATCCGATGGGGGTGGACCATCCATAGCCCATCTTCGCGATTCGTACTTTGACCGAACAAACGATTCCATTTTACTAGGTCATAGGATGTTATCGTCAATTCAATCCAGCACCTTCAAATTGTGATAAGAGAATACTGACTGTTCCGGAGGGTTGTGGCCGGGCTTCAAATGGGCCTCCCAATACAGATTGGCTCGACGATTTCCCCATTTCTGAATTGACTATCAAGAACCGAGCGATTCAACGGACGTTCAAAATCAATCATAAGACTACACTCACTTCCATTTGCTCGGGAGTCCAGACGTCCAGATCCACGGATTTGACTTTGGAGATGTGCGTACCCATGCCCCGATGAATCCCTGAGCATCGGATACAGAGGAAGACTCCACTGAGAATAGAATTAGCGCCTCTTTACAGAAGCGATAGACGTCGACATACAGATTCCAGGAGGCCCAACGAGGATCTGAACGTAAGCAGTGAGCTCGAACGCCTTACTCGTCGGGAAGGCGCTGCGACGTACCATTTCGCTTGCAATCCGCACAGACCTTGTTTTCTGGCCGCCTGACCATTTCTCTGAGCGTTCTAGCGAACTTCTCTTGCGTAGCTCTGTCTGGTTTCGACATCGTGGAGGCCGGGCGCGAGCGGTTGTGGACGATGTGGTGGTGGTTACAGGTTGAGCTGGCCAAATCCGGTGCTAATACCCTACAGATCAAAGCTGCACCAACCAGCCAGCAGCAACCTTGTTCCGACGAATATCCTCCTGCTTCACCGCCTAAATCCAACCAACAGACTATGAATATTAACGACTGTGGCCAGTCCACCAGGTATCTTCAGGAGAATGAGTTTACCCTAATGTCACAGAGCCATGAGTGCCTGGAACGAGCTTGTTCCGTGGTCATCGCCGTCCCATCGTGCCTTGGGTACAGGTTGCAATATAATCATATTATATATATACGTTAGTGTTACGGAGTACTGGAGAGCAAAGGAAGACAGAGAGAGACAGAGAGGAGGGAGACATGATTAAAATAAGCCTACAGGAAAAGAAACAAATTTTGGTTCAAGCTATCGAGAACGAGAAAGAAAGAGCGTAGAGAAAGGAACTGCATTGAGAAATGTCCGTCCAAAATCAAGTTGCAAAGTGTAAAAACGAGTGGAAGATATGCCTTCAATGAGATACTTATACGACCATACGAGGGGAGGAAAGAGCATCAAAAGGAACAGACTGCATAGGCGAGCAGGCGAGGCGATGGTCACCCTTGAAGGGGTGGCGCATGCGCTATGGAAGAGAAGACTAAAGACATAGAAATGACAAAAGTCAATAGTCACAAAAGTCCGAATGGTGAAGGGGGCAAATAGATTGCTGTAATAACCCACATGAGGAAGGTATATATATTTATGGACTGGGTGTGTCGAGGGGCGGGATATTGCTCTGTTCCAGAATGAAATTGCGCGAAGAACGATATGTGTTGCGGGAGGGTTAGATCGGACAGCTTGTCGATGATTTGCAATGCTTGTGATATAGATATATATGAAGTGATTATCAATGGTGGGTCGTGAAGATGGAATCCAAGAATGCGGGTCGTAAGGTCATTTAGACGAAGAATTGGGTACTAGACATAAAGCAAGTCAGTCAGCGTTTAGTAACAGCGAAAAGGTCCTTACTGAATGCGACTAGCAGCGTGCACTTCCATCTCTTCCATTTTGTAGGAATTTAATTCCTCTTTTATCCGCTGCGCCAGAGCAGGGGTGAGTCGACTCCATGTAGCGGGTTCGCTGCGACGATCATAGACCGTAGCTGCAAACGTATCGTAAACAGCGAGGCTGGTGGCGAAAGTCAATCGCTTCTGGGGTGCTGTCGCGGAGCGTGGTGGCATCGTTGATGCAGGAGAGGCGATGTTGGACAGCACCGGCGCAGATGAATTGAAGCTTGGATTCTGGAAAATCGACGTTCTATTCCCCTGCTCTGTTGAGTGTGCAGAACCCGATGGTGTATCTGGAAGTTCTTTCGCGCTTGATGGGAAGGACATGGCGATTGGTGATGAATTTGAGTCAAAGGAGAGTGGGGGTAAGGAGGGTACTGATTCAGTCGCCTGTGACGAACTGTGTTGAGTAGAGTGTGAGCCATGCCTGTGGAGTCCATCGATGTGGTCAGGATCGGGAGAGGGAATGCGGGCCAACGGTCCCAACTCTGATTGGGTTCCAGGAGAGTTGTACGAGTTTGATCGCGTCCGTGTTTGGGATAGGGTGCTGTTGGGACCATAGTTGGACTGGCAGTAGTTCTGGGCGTCTGAGAGAGTCTGCGATTAATCGACGTCGCAGGAATGGAACCCCGAACGATAACTTACTTTTCAGTATACCCTTCTTGGGCATCTTAGTCCGCTCTATGCTTCGCCTGACGTCGACTGCCCATGGCTCAACTTCGTCGTTGCTGTCCAAACTTGCGCGCTGAAGTCCTTGTCGGATAGTCACATCCTCTTCAGGGTCTGCATCCCAATCGTCGTCGTCCCATCCATCAGTGTTATAGTTCTGATGACCATGAGATGAAGCATAATGCCCATCGTCACTTTCCTCTTCATCTTCTTCTACCAGAACACGGGTACCGTCTTCGTTGATGTGGATGCCAGGCCCAGGTTGTGTCGGAGATGGGACGCCATTTCTAGTTGCCGTATTTTTGTCCCAGGCAGGAACTCCAACTGCCGTTCCATTTATGCCCCCAGTCCCATTGACAGTCGAGCCATTGCTGGCGGCGGCAGCAGCAGCTTCCTTCTCCGCTTTAGCTTTAGCAGCAGCCTCCGCGTTGCTTTTGAGGGTGTGCTGACGAGCGAGCTTGGCTGCGGGTGTGAGCCCATTGAGATCAGCAGAGGTGCTCCAGTCACCACTGCGGTCCAACTCGGCTGTAACATGGGACACGCTCGCCTCGCTCGCCTCTGCCTTTGCGCCCTTTTTGTCCTTCTTCTTTCCCTTCCTGTCCCTATCCCCGTCCTTGTCCTTGTCCTTGAAGAGAGACGTAATACCCGCTAACGAGTTCCGCCTCGCCAAGTTCCCCAACGAACCGAGCTTCCGAATCATGACACTGGCGCTGCTGACGGTGGACGACAGAGAGATGTTGTCAGTCGAGGCGTTGAACCGCGCGTTGAAGAGGGAGGCCGCTCGACCCTTCTTTTTCGTTTGGACAGTTGCTGTCGAGGCGCCGTCGTCAACGAGACCGGATTGGCTAGAATCAAGCTTTGAAGAGCCAGCAGCAGCTGGGAACTTGCTCTTGGGTTTGCTAGAAGCGCCATTGATAGCAGATGCCTTGATGGACGCATCGTCATCATCCTCCGTTTCTTCTTTAAGTGGTTCCCTAAATGTTTGCGATGGATTGAAAGATAACGCGCGCCGCAATCTCGACTTTAATCCGCCATTGCGGGAGGAAGTAGCATCTGGAGGCGGGGAAAGCATCGCTGCCAGGTCACTATCGTCACGGGACATGCGCTTCTCAGCGGTAAAGTTGCCTTGTGACAGCGGCGACGGTCGCGTTAAACGCGGGGCCGGTGAAGAACTGGAAGATGAAGCTGATGTCGTGGTGGGCGAAGTAGCGGTTGTAGGGACTGATGGTGTGATTCCCGACGGGCGTGTTGTTGTTGTTGCCGACGAGTTTGATGAGGAAGACGATCCATTGCGATTATGGTGGTTACGAAGGGGACTTGGAGTTGGGGACGAGGATTGGGCGGGAGAGGGTGAGCCGCGAGCTGAGCTGGAGGCAGCACTGGAAGCGGTGTTACTCCGTGACCTACTTGCGGGGCCAGTAGCAGGTGCACTGTGACCGCTGTGACCGCTTTGGTTACTGTTTGTTCGCTGCCGACTTCCTGTGGAGTTTACTGAGGAAGTTGAGCCAGATGCGTCTGATCGCATGTAAGGAGCATGGGGTAGTTGATTGTGGCCTGCACCGGAACGCCAATCGTTGTTGTTGTCAGAGCTATTGTGTGATTGCTGGCGGTTCGGTCGACGATAAGGATGGAAGCCAGGATATTGAGGAGTCTGTCCTTGGTGGTCGCCAGCGCCACCTCTAGGGTTGTGTGGGGGCGGCGTACCGCTAGGAAAGTTGTTAAAGGGAGAGGGTATCTGATTGGCAAAATAATCGCTAGGACCTAGTTGACCACCACCGGCCCGTTGTGCTTGCAGTGCATGCTGCGGGGGCAGCGCTGAATACCCATGCTGCTGGGCGTTGAAGAGCATCTGCTGGTACGCCCACTGTGCCAGTTGCGCATTCGCTGGGTCAAAATACGGAGCTTGCTGCGGCAATGGTGAGGGATATGACTGAGGCGACTGCTGCTGCAGTTGCTGTTGGTAAAACGACGGGTAGAAAGGGGTGGCATTTATTGACGGCGTCCAGCTGCCTTGAGCCTGCTGCTGGGCCGGGAACGTGTAGGGCGACGGTGGCATACCCTGCTGCTGGGCCATAAACAACTGCTGCTGCATGTTCTGATGGTTCTGCACAGAAGACGCCGGTGATGAATGGTCGTTGGCAGGCGACGAGCGCTGTCGGGGAGCATTCTGGAGGTCCATAGTCGATTCTCTGCCTGGATACTTCCAATCCTGAGGAACAGCGACGGCCATGGACTGCTGGACGACGGGCAGGCGGTTCGACAGTGCGTGCCCTGAGCAAGCCTGCTGTTATATATGCCTTTGATGGACTGGGTGGGAAGTTTAGGGACTCACGGACTGTTTACAACCAAGTCCAGCAGAAAACCCGGGCGATGTTGACTAACTCGCTCGTCGCTGTCGTGAACGACGAGGACGGAGGGGCGAGAGTTTGTGAAGGAGGCTGGACGACGCTGGCAACGACGAGCGAAAAGATCTGTTGCAATCACGGTCACGGAGCCCAAACGGAGCCACAATCAAAATCCAATCCAGAAGCAGTCGCACGCCCTCTCAGCCCAGCCCAGCTCAATCGATTCTCCAATTTCTCTTATTTCCCTGTAATATGACCTTTGTTTCTATCAACATGTGCAAAACATAAAGGCAGTGCCAGAGAATCCCTTTCGTGGGTTCTGAGCGCTCCTTGAACGTCGACAAACGCGATAAATGGAGTTGCCTGGCACCACCTGATTGGTATGCGTCCTTCTTTTGGTACTACATACATTCTAAACACTTATATACGCCCCATACATAGTCATTATGGCACAAGGTATGAGCCCATCAGGTCCTCAAACTCGGCCTGCCTCCACCGTTCTTCCGTTATCCTGAACACTTCTGGGAACCACTCTCCGATATCACTATCAGTCCCCGCCTCGCATGTCGCTGGGCTCGACCCTGCGTCCAAGCCGAGTACCATGTACGCCAGAGCCTTCGCACTCATCCAGGCATGCACCATCCCCTCTCCCGAGTACCCTGCCGCAATCCATTCGCCAGGGGCTGCGAGGCCTGATACTGGCTGCTGGGAGTCACTACCAGTGCAATTCAACGAATGTGATCGCATCTCTTCTTGCACGGGTGATCGACCCGTCACGTTAGCAGGTATTCGCCCCACCCACGGCCTCTCGTCGGCTGAAAAGCCCAACACACCACTCCAAGCGGCGAGTAACTCTTCCTTGCCCTCCTTCGCTCCGTCGGGGGTGATGGAGAAGACACCTCGCAGTGCGGTAGAAAGATACTCCTTTGTCTTGGATGTATACTCTCTATCGTCTGTGCACCCCAGATCGGTTGTAATCGCATCCGCGAATCCGCCGCCGAACATGAATTCACCTCGGGGTTGAGGATAAGATGTCGACGGCCCAGTCGAAGGAAGTTGCTGGGTGAGATAATCGTATGCCGTGACCGTCGAACGTGGATAGATAACGAACGAGCGTCTTCCCGTCCACGAGGCGGATGACGACGTGGGTGTCTTGTCTTTAGTGTCCGCTGGTGTTGGATCACCGAGTCCAGGCCGGGGGAGCTGCGCAGTCATAACTCCACGAGAGGGAACAATCCGTCCCCGCAGACCCGGGAGAAGATGAGAGACCCACCCATTGGTCGCATGAATGACATGTCGAACTCGTATCGATCCTCGAGGCGTTGTCACCGTGTAGCAGTTGTCAGTCGCGTCAAGCGCGCTGATACCAATACATGGCGTGTGAGAGAATAGGTCGAAGCTGCAAGTGGTGGCAACGGTATGTGAACTTGTACGCTCATTCGAAGCTCCTTTGAACTTACCTAGTTGGATAAGAAGCCAGTAACCGAGAAAGAATCCCAGTCACCAGTCGGTATGGGTGAATGGAACCAGCTGGCGTCGAAAGACAGCCTGCGATCGATTGGGAAAGTTGCAAAGCCTGTTACGGAATGACGTCAATTCCATCCACTGAGGGGAACGAAAAGGCGCCTTACCCTCAGCTCCTCAGCGCTCTCATAAACCCTGTACTCCGCACTCTCTTCGGGAAGATCCTTACGATATTCATTCAACATTTCTTTTGCTTCCGCAAATTGACGCTTGTCGAAGAACACATCGAAGGCTTCAACTCGACGACCTTGGGAATCATCCAACAATCCCTCCTCCTCTGCGACTCTCAACAGTTCGCTGATATGGGATAGTCGGAATCGAATAATCTTCTTCGCAGCCTCCTTTCCATGCTTTCTCTTCAGATTGCTGTAATCCTGGTACAAGATTGGCGTAATGTGACCTCCGTTCCTATAAGAAACACAGAAAGTCTGCTCGGATTTTCAATTCGTCTCGAAGGGGTGGCAATAGAACCGGGTAAAGAGAAATGAACCAGGTAAGAACACACCTTCCAGTAGCACCGGAACACGTTTCCCGAGCGTCCAGCATTACAATTTTTAAAGGATTCCCCTGAAGGTCGTGGCCTGACTTTTGGTCTAGAATTGTCCGGGCAAAAGCAGCACCGGTTATTCCACTTCCAATTATCACGATGTCAGCGTACTCCGGGAGTTGGATATTGGGGTCTGCATTGCGGTTGGCGATGGGTGCCTCTGGCTGCATCCAGTAGGACGGTAGAGGGTTCGTTACCGGTAGACCCGGTGAGGCCTCGACTCGTTTGAAGATTCCGTCGACGGGCGGGTACACGAGGCGGAGCAATTGAATGAGAACTCGAGCAAAGAGGTGTCGGAGGGAGTGTCGGAGGTTCTCCAGGACAGAATCCATGGTGGCCGATGGGTTTTGAGAGCGACGGTGCTGGTGCTGAGTGAATCGGAAGGTGGTCCGTATGGATCGACGGCCTGTGGGGTTTTATATCGATTCCGGTCAAAGTGTGATTATGACTGATTCAAGTGCTGGGGGCGCATCGAAGAGACCGTCGACGGATCACTGGATACCGTCGAAATGAAACAAGAGTCAGAGAAGCAGGCGAACTAAGCTTCTTGAGCCACGAACCTGCAGATGAGGATACAAGTCCAGAAATCAGCGGAAAGAAATGACCTGAGAACTTGGACTATGGAGGTTTTTGATTGCCGCGACATTGGTCGGAAGATGCCTCGATCTGGACTCAGGGGCGAATCACCCCAATATGGCAGGTCAAGACTGCGCGAGATGAAAGTATCTGTGAAAGTGTACTTCCAATTCGCTACATGAAAGGTAGATAAAGCAAGGAGGGAAGTTCTTTTCAGGGTAAGCTAATCCGAATAACTAAAGACTCCGCAACAACGGACGATGGGTGCAAGGGAGGCGTTCTATCATGCAAGGTCTGCTGGCTCTTTAGCAACGCCCATAAGTACCGAATACGTTCTAGCCAAAACATAACGAAACGTATTCGCTTCACGGTTCCGCAAGCGTAATGATTCTTTCCAAAAGGTTCGTAGGATTAGGAACAAAGCAAGGTGGAGGGTGCTTATGCACTCTGGCTCGTGGTTTCATCGATCCGTCCTAGCCAATCCGTGAGTTAAATGTGGGGAAAGCCTCCCCCCATCCTTGCCCGAACCAGTGAAAGTCTCGGCTCACCGAAGCTGCCAATTTCTTCACGGAAATGATGGTATTTATTCAGCAACGACCGGGCCAAGCATCCAGGGAATGAAGGGGGACATATCTGGCAAGGACGTTGTAATGTGAGACGGTCCTCTCTCGCGTAAGAGCTTAGGAAACAGCGAAAGAACGTTTTCAGAATAGCCTTGCAGATTTTATTTGCACGGCGAATTACCAACGGTCTAAGAGTGAGATTGCTCGTGCTTGGTGGACTGCGAGAAGCTCTACGGTTTTCATCGATGACTATCCACGATGGATACGTACTGTATTAAATCCCTATAATTCTCCCTGCAGAGTACCGCTGCCGCCATTGGGGTCTTCCGAAAAATGTTGAAAGGGCGGTCGGAGTTGACCAACTGGACTAGCTTCAAGCTCGCGTTTGAGCGAGTCCTGGCGAAGTCATTATCAGATTGTGACTCTGAGTCGTTCTTGATCCAGTCATGTCCAATGTCATTGAGGGTCGAAGGCGGTGCAGGGCCCCAATGGAGGTGGCCGTATCGCTATCGATTGAGGCAAGAAAAAAACAATTGAATAGTTGACCAGCTGAGGATCTTCTGGGTCACTGAAGGACTGAATCGAGGAACAGTTGAATAGCATTTTAGCAGAAAGGACCTGTTTCAAAAGAGGGTGGTGAAGATTGGAATGCATCAGAAATCAAGGGTCTCCTTTTGTTTTCCATGATGCACGTGACTCAAATGTGTCAGTGTTTGACGGCCCCGACTTGAGGCGGAGTCGAATTACAGACCGCATCGTTGGTTGTCGCTCAACCACCACGCAACTCTTTTCGTCGTCGTCGGTCGCCCCGTCGCTCATCGTCGTCGACGCCCTCAGGGACTCCAACCTCACAGCATACGGCCCAGGCAACTATTTGCCGCCTTTTTCCCCCGTTTCGCGCCCATTTTCGCGCGTTCTGGGGTGTTCTTTCGTTTTCGACGTTTTCGACTTTTCACCACCAAAAGGCTGTCAAAAGTCCCTCAAAACTAGCGCAAGATCTTTTTAATACCTTTCTTACCACCGTTAATACGATATTGGACGCTCTTTTCACGAAATTATATCATTTGTCACCGCCTGGACCACTCGACAACCCACTCGCGACTCACCTTCTCCACCTATAACTGCCCACCATGATCGGCCACCAGTTCGCTTTTTCCGCGGCGCCAGTCCGTAAAGTGAAGGAGGTGCAGTTTGGTATCCTCTCCCCAGAGGAAATTGTGAGTTTTCGCCATATTCGTCACACCATCCCCTTTCTGATCCCTCCCCACAGAAAGCTGTATCTGTCGTCAAAATTGAATATCCAGAAGTCATGGACGAAACAACGCACAAACCGAAGTTGCAGGGCTTGATGGATCCTCGGATGGGTACTATCGACCGTAACTTCAAGTGTCAGACGTGTGGCGAGGGGATGGCAGAATGCCCAGGACATTTTGGTCATATTGAGTTGGCGAGGCCGGTATTTCATCCTGGTGCGTTGCACATAGCTTCTTCCGTTGAGTGCGTTGCTAATCTCGAGGGGATCCGGTATAGGCTTCTTTAACAAAGTGAAGAAGATTCTGGAATGTATCTGTGTAAACTGCGGGAAACTGAAAGCTGATATCGTGAGTTGCGCCTTTTAGTTTTCGTTTACTCGTTTCGCACCCCACCATCCCATTTTCTGGGGGCTCTCTCCACACCATGGAGAACCCCAAACCCACTCCACGTTAGATCCCTTGACAACGAGGGCGTTCTTCCACCTGGCAGGGGATTCAGCGCGCGTTTTTCGATCGCTTGATCGCCGCGCTAGCCCATTCAACTGACCAGGAGCGGTTGGACACGAGGATGTGTGGTGAAAAGGGGGGCTGAACGAGTGCGGAAAAGATGTTGGGTTGTGCGTACCGTGAAACGTCGTACACCCGATCGGTTGGATATGCCGCCCATTGTCCCGGCTGTGACGCAGTTGGCAATGTGTCGAGGCTCTGCACTTGGAAGAAGACCAGCGTCTCTTTGCCCCCTTGGGGGAACGGGTACTTCAACCTGTTCCTATTATTTGACATTGCGGTTGTTCGTTCGATGTGATGTAAACATGTTGCTGACATCCCAATTTTCATATCGTGTTTGTCAAATCCACATCCCTTTTCATCCCCTTGTCATTAGACGGATCCCGCATTCGCAGAAAAGATCCGGCACATTCGAAACCCCAAGCAGCGGATGGCTGTCGTCTGGGATCATTGCAAGACGAAAACTATTTGCGAAGCAGACGAACCCCGAGAAGAAGGGGCTGAGGGTGATGGTGATGAGCCCAAGAAGGGCCATGGAGGCTGCGGCCACCAGCAACCGCAGATCAGGAAAGAAGGTCTCAAGATGTTTGTACAATACAAAAAATCGAAAGACGACGACGATGTTCGTACCATCCCCTCAGCCCTGTACTTCCTATACTCACTCTTTCCAGGAGATGAAATCCTTGCAACCCGACAAGCGACTAATCACACCGTCGGAGATTTTGACGGTCTTCAAAAAGATTTCTGACCACGATCTGCACCTCCTCGGTCTTTCTGACGAGTATGCGAGGCCCGAGTGGATGATTCTGACTGTCCTTCCTGTCCCTCCGCCACCTGTTCGCCCCAGTATCGCGGTCGACGGAGGCACAATGCGTAGTGAAGACGACTTGACCTACAAGCTCGGCGATATCATCAAAGCTTCGAGCAACGTGAAGCGCTGCGAGGAGGAGGGTGTGCCTGCCCACATTATCTCTGAGTTTGAGCAACTGCTGCAGGCAAGTATAGTATTGGTGACGAGAGATATAATGCTGATATATTTTTCTCTTCAGTTCCACGTTGCCACCTACATGGACAATGACTTTGCTGGTATCCCGCAAGCATTGCAAAAGTCCGGTCGTCCTGTCAAGGCAATCCGAGCCCGTTTGAAGGGCAAGGAGGGTCGTCTGCGAGGGAACCTGATGGGAAAACGTGTGGATTTCTCAGCTCGTACTGTCATTACAGGTGATCCAAACTTGGAACTCGATGAAGTCGGTGTGCCGAAGAGTATTGCCATGAACTTGACATACCCTGAACGAGGTAGGTTCTATAAATTTGCATTATCCTGGCAAATTTTACGCCTCCTCTGCCAGTCACTCCGTACAACATCGCCTACCTACAGGAACTGGTTCGGAATGGGCCGACGACGTATCCTGGCGCACGTTATGTTGTGAGGGACACAGGAGAGCGTATTGACTTGCGCTATAACAAGCGTGCAGACGCTTTCCTGCAACTTGGATGGATCGTTGAGAGGCATCTGAAAGACGGAGAGTGCGTAATGGCCGTTTATGCTTTCTAGTTTTTACCAACGCAACTTCGCAGCTACGTTCTGTTCAACCGTCAACCCTCTCTGCACAAGATGAGTATGATGAGCCATCGTGTGCGACTGATGCCTTATTCAAGTAAGTTGCCAACCTCCTTTTCAAAGACCGCCTTCTCATGTAGCATTACCAGCGTTCCGTCTGAATCTTTCTGTGTAAGTTTTACCGGCGTAGTGGTGATCGTCCCTAAGTTTACATTGCGCTCAGTACACCGCCCTACAACGCTGATTTCGACGGTGACGAAATGAATATGCAGTGAGTATACATTTATCAGATTGTTTGCCACCATGCTCACATACTTCAAAGCGTTCCGCAGAGCGAGGAGACACGCGCCGAACTCAGTCAGATTGCTTGGGTACCCCGGCAGGTAATGGTACAGCGTTTCTGTGTTTTGCATCGTATTTGACGGGGCATCTAGATTGTTTCTCCGCAAGCCAACAAGCCCGTAATGGGCATCGTCCAGGATACTCTCTGTGGCATCCGCAAGTTCACCCTCCGCGACACCTTCCTCGATTGGAACCACGTTCAGAACATCTTGCTTTGGGTACCCGAATGGGACGGTGTCGTTCCTACGCCTGCCATCCTCAAGCCAAAGCCCCTCTGGACCGGAAAACAAATCCTCAGCTTGACGATCCCAAGAGGTATCAATATTCAACGCGCTTCCGAAAACAAGTCCTCCAATCCAGTTTTCGATGACGGCATGCTAATTGAGAACGGCGAGTTCATCTACGGAATCGTCGACAAGAAGATCGTTGGTGCATCAGCTGGTGGTCTCGTCCATGTTGTTTTCCGAGAGAAGGGCCCGGAGGCAACGAAGCAGCTATTCACTGGTCTTCAAATGATCGTGAACTTTTGGTTGTTCCACAACGGGTTTAGTATCGGAATTGGCGACACCATTGCCGACGCCAGGACCATGGAGTTCATCACGAAGAATATCGCGGAGAGTAAAGCCAAGGTGGCTCAAGTCATCGAGGACGCCAATATGGATCGTCTGAAGACCAAGCCGGGTATGACTCTCCGAGAGTCTTTTGAGAGCGAAGTCGAGGGTATCCTCAACAAGGCTCGCGACAGTTCCGGTCAGTACGCCCAGAAGCATTTGAAGGAAGACAACAACGTGAAGCAGATGGTGGTCGCCGGTTCGAAGGGTTCCTTCATCAACATCTCCCAGATGTCCGTCTGTGTCGGGCAGCAGTCTGTGGAAGGTCGCCGTATTCCTTTCGGTTTCCGTCACCGCACCCTCCCTCATTTCACCAAGGACGACTTCAGCCCTGAAGCCCGTGGTTTCGTCGAGAACTCGTACTTGCGTGGCCTTACACCCCAAGAGTTCTTCTTCCATGCCATGGCCGGTCGTGAAGGTTTGATCGATACCGCCGTCAAGACCGCCGAAACCGGTTACATTCAACGACGTCTCGTCAAGGCGCTCGAGGATGTCATGGTCTGCTACGATGGCACCGTCCGGAACTCCTTGGGCGACCTTATTCAGTTCGTCTACGGCGAAGATGGTATGGACGCGGCCTTCATCGAAAAGCAGAACATCGAAACCTTTGCGCTCAGTGACAAGGAATTCGACCATCGATACCGCGTCGATGTCATGGACCCTGCCGGTGGCTTCACAGAGAATGCCCTCCAAGTTGGTATTGACGACAGCTCGTTAGAGCTTCAAAGCAAGCTTGATGAGGAGTATGCTCGACTTGTCGAAGACCGTCGCCTATTGCGTAACTTCATCTTCCCCCGCCGCTCAGCCAACGTCGACTTCTACCTTCCTGTCAACCTCCAGCGTCTGGTCCAAAACGCCAGCCAGATCTTCCATATCGATCGCCGCAAGCCCAGTGACCTTGACCCAGCCTACATCGTCGATTCGATCCATGAACTCGGCAAACGCCTAGTCATCGTTCGCGGCGATGACCCTCTGAGCAAGGAGGCCCAGGACAACTCGACATTGCTTTTCCGAATGCACCTCCGTGCCACTTTCGCTGCACGCAAGGTCATCGAACAGATGCGCTTGACCAGGGAGGCCTTCGAATGGATTTTGGGAGAGATTGAGACCAAGTTCAATCAATCCATTGCCCACCCCGGAGAGATGTGTGGTACATTGGCCGCTCAATCCATCGGTGAACCAGCCACTCAGATGACCCTGAACACGTTCCACTACGCTGGTGTGTCCAGTAAGAACGTTACGCTCGGTGTGCCCCGTCTCAAGGAAATCATCAACGTCGCCACAAACATCAAGACCCCTTCCCTCACCATCCACCTCCAACCCGAAATCGCTGTTGCTCCGGAACTAGCGAAGAACGTCCAGCAGGAGCTTGCCTTTACCTCACTGAAAACCGTCACGTCGGCAGTCGAAATTTGGTACGACCCCAATCCAACTACGACTATCATCGAGGAGGATGAAGTGTTCGTCGAATCCTTCTTCGCTATTCCCGACGAAGAAATCGAACGAAACCTTCACAAACAGTCACCCTGGTTGCTCCGTCTCGTTTTGGACAGGTCGAAGATGCTTGATCGCAAACTGACTATGCATTACGTTGCAAGTCGGATTGCCGAGTGTTTCAAGTCTGACCTCTTCGTCATCTGGAGTGAAGATAACTCCGAGACGCTGGTCATTCGGTGCCGTGTGTTGTCCAGTGGGGACAAAGACGATCCCGAAGAAGTTGGGTTGGAGGAGGACATCTTCCTTAGGCAGTTGGAGAACACTATGTTGAACTCGGTCACTCTTCGTGGTGTCCGAGGAATCAACCGTGTGTTCTTGACCGCTTCGGACAGGGTCACTCTTGCTCCAGACGGCAGTATCAAGACCGAAAAGGGTGCAGAGTGGATTCTGGAGACCGACGGTACCAATCTCAAGGGCGTCATGTGTCTCGATGGTGTTGACTCAACAAGGACATACTCGAACAACTGTGTCGAAATCTTCACTGTCTTGGGTGTCGAGGCTGCTCGTGCGGCGTTGATGAAGGAAATCAGGAACGTTATTGAGTTCGATGGCTCTTATGTCAACTACCGACATCTGGGCTTGCTTTGCGACGTCATGACACACCGTGGTACGCTGATGCCCATCACTCGACATGGTATCAACAGAGCAGACACCGGTGCCCTCATGCGTTGCTCCTTCGAAGAGACCGTCGAAATCCTCATGGAAGCTGCCGCCGTTGGCGAGAAGGATGATTGCCACGGTATCGCGGAGAACGTGATGTTCGGTCAGATGGCACCCATGGGTACAGGCGCATTCGACGTCGCGCTCGACATTGACATGCTCAAGGACGCCATCGTTGATCACAGGCTACCCGTCCAGTCGATGTTGGCCGCACAGATCGACGGCGCTATGACACCAGGACAGGTTGCCATCACGCCCTATGCCACCAACTCTCCAGATTGGATTCAAGACGAATTCTTCAAGGGAGATTCAGGTCCTTCGGCCTTCTCTCCTCTGGCATCGAACGGTGCTGAGGACACAGCCAACTTCCAATACATGTCATTCCCCCAAAGTCCCCATGGGGCAGGTGGAATGTCACCTGGGCCTGGTTACAGTCCGAGCTCACCGAATGCTTACTCCCCTACGTCACCAGGCATGGTTCCTCGATCGCCGTATGGTGCACCCACATCGCCCTTCAGCAACCAATACGCTACCTCCCCCTTCTACGATAGCCGCAGACAAGCGACGTCCCCTACCTATTCACCGACCTCACCGATTGCTGGATTGACGTCGCCTGCGTACTCACCGACCAGTCCAGGCTTCTCCCCTACATCTCCGAACGGTTATAGCCCGCAATCCCCCAACTTTGGGAGCCCGGCATCACCCAATTACTCGCCTGCCAGTCCATCGTACAGCCCTGGTAAGCGCCGTCCACTGAAGCTCCCCCTTTGTCCTCTGTTAATGACTCTTTCAACAGCTTCCCCAGCGGGAATGTCACCCACATCTCCCAGATACTCGCCCGCCTCCCCCGGAGCTTCTCCTATGTCTCCCAAATACCGTACGTCGCTTTTCTCGCCATTGTTTCACCCTTTGCTGACGGCCTTCTTCCTTTAGCTCCCGCATCTCCCTCCTTCTCTCCCGCATCTCCCGCTTACTGTATGTTTTTACCTGCCATATAGGCCCGGTGTAGTTGTGCTGACGATTATCCTCTTTTAGCTCCTGCATCTCCCAATTATAGCCCCAGCTCACCGACATGGTCACCCACCAGTCCTGCACATGACCAGAATGGGCCCACCAACAACCGCAGCTCTGCTTACCAGCAATCCCCGTCATGGGACAGCTAAGCAAGCGTGGACGTTTTGGGCTTCGAGCCGGCGCTTGACTTTCTCCTGGACTCTTTTGAAGTTGTCTGCGATTATCTTTACCCTCGATTGGCGTCGACTGTATCTTCTTGTTGCTGTATGGCTTCTGGCATCACAACGCGATTTATATGGTTCCCTTTTCTCTTACCGCTTCTTTCTCGGTGCCTCGTGTTTTACTTAAAATATTTGCAAGTCTGTTCTGTCCTGTCATCCATATTCACATATCACCCACACATTACTTGTCTCTCCGTTGCCCATGTAGATTATTAAATTTGTTGGTTATTAGACACATTGGTCTTACCATTGGAAGTCTGTAAGAGAAGCTGAATCGCAAGCAAACTTGCCGACAGTTTGTGCCGAACGTGTGGGTCAAGTTACTTCTTGCACGTCTGCCAATGGAAGTTGAAGGTCTAGGAACAGGATACCAGGGTCAGAACTCGCTCTGTGTTGGTATCCAACTCAATAATACAAACCTGCTTCAGCGTAGTATCGATCTAACGGCGAGATGAGTACAATGTTACCCAAAAAGCACAAATACTTACCGAATCTGTCGCAATATACCCAGATCCCTTTGTATTCTTAGCGTTGCTCGCCCGTAGGTCAGTTTGGATGTTCAACACCGTGCTGGATCCGCAAGGCGCCAGAACCATCGATGCCAGATCGAACTTATCGCGGTAGAGGTAGTCTGCGCCTGGATGTCGAAAGTTGGGTGATTAAAATCGAGGCACGGGTGAGGTAACAATGACATAGTCACGGGAACCGAAACAGGGGTTGGACGATGCTTACCATCGACAGGACCGACGAGTTCTGAGCGGGCTGTGGCTGGAAAGGTGTCAGATCTAACCATCCCTGCGATGGGCAAGATGCTGCGGTCTAACCTTGGGCCAGGAGACCCTGGACTGGTAGTTGGATGAGGTCAATGAGGTCAATCACGGTAACGTTGGAAGGAGAAGGGATACCGACAGTAATACATGGATTGCTGTGAGGCAGTAACCTTGTTATCGAGTTGATAGTACCCGCGCTTTGGGATGAGTTTTTAGTCGACTGCACTTGCAGGTCGAACCAGTCAACACGCACGTAATCGACGGTGGCAATTCCAAAGGTAAAGCCAGCTGGGACCCTAGCAATATTGAATAAGATGATCAGCACACTACCTTCACCGCACAGGACACTCTTGTCCTCACTTTACGCCAAAGGTTAGTCGGCAGTTCTTCCGGTTGGCACTGATGGGAATGCCTGGTCCTGCTTCCGCGTAATACTGACTGAAGGTGACTGTTACAGCAGTTCGCTCCTCTGTCCGCGGTAGGTTAGCTGCGGACACTACGACAGCCGTGAAGGAGGTCACCGTTGAGAACGTAGTAAGTAGATCCAGGAGGGCAGCCCGAGCCATTCAGATTGAGACTCGTGCTATGAAAACGAGGTTAGGCTGCTCTTGTTGGCACCGAAAAGGAGCTTTCGTACATGTTGAATCCCTCCGGCACAGAGGGAGGGGGTGCAGCCTTCCCCTTGGATTGTGGAGATGGTAGGGCTAAGACATACGAGGCCGAAGCCAAAGCAAAGGCAGCGGAGAGAGCAGAGAAGAGCTTCATTCCGGACGGGGTGTTGGCAATTTCTGGCCACCCATTGACCTATTTTATAGCCCTCAGTCTGTTTCACCGCCTTTATCAATATTGTGTAAAGCTGTCAAGACTAGAGTCATGTTGCGAAATCCTAGGCCGTCGAGTACTTGGAGGAGAATATGGTTGCCGTCCAAGAAGCGTGGGAAGACAACGTAAATGCAATAAACTGGGTTCGACCTCTTCCAAAAATATGTTACTGGGCAACCGCACTTTGCCTCGACGATTCGACGGCCTTCATCGCCTGGAGAGGTAATATGTAATACCGAACTCAAGGAGTAAACTCTAACAGGTTTTATTCCCCTAAATCCATCCGACTCGGTGGTGAGCGCTTGGCTGGTCAGCCGACAACTTTCGTTTCCAGGTCTTCTTGTGCTTGTTTTTGTTCCGTTTCGCAATGTTTTCTGTACAACACACTGCCACTGCAGCATCGGGTGCAAATGGTCGAGTGCATGCTTCTATTCTCGCCAATTTGGTAAACCGCTTCCGTGTATCCTTCGGCAACACTCATCGATGCCACATCCCAAGTTGGCCATGAACTGCCACAGCTTCTCGAAGTTCGAAGGACAGACTTTCAAACGAGGTATGATCTGTTACATACTACTTACTAACGCATGACTTACATACTTACTTCATCTCAAGTTCGAAAGTCCAACCGGCCGCCTTGCGAAACGGCCACCGGTACCTCCAGAGAGTGTGCACTTGACCCCGCATAATCGGCATCGTAATAGCTCCGTGTACTTGAGATCAAGTACGCGCCCCGAGAGTTTTCCAAGAAGTGGTCACTTGCGTGTTTGGTCGCCCTAACAAGCACCCTGTCCCCTGACCTGACTGCATTCTTCCCGGTCTTGTCTATCTGAACACTCCCCAACAAGCTCCTTCACGTGGACCAGGTCTCATCCACCAGACACAGTGACACCACAGGGAGCATCGTGTTGCTTTGATTGATCTCGTTCGGGTACTTTACTCTGCGACTGTACTTAACCCCCATACCCACGTTGGAACTTCGTTTCCTGCCGTCTGCCCCTCAAAACACGCCCTCATCGAACGAACACCACTGGGACGATGAGCAAGCAACAGCTCTCTGACAAAATTGTCCCTTGGCCTGCTAACATCAACTATGACAAGCAAGCCTTCCCTGTGTCGGGCACTAAGAAACCTGGTCAATCTGCGCATTATCGAAATGGTGCGTTCATTGACCTTATGCCTTGTGGACGCATTATTCCCATCCGCCTCCCTATTCGTGTTCCCGAGGGTTGACACCTTGTAGGGATTTGGGGGCTAATTGACGAACACACCCCTAACGTCTTCATCACCCTGGATCAAATCTGGGCAGACGGGTTGAGGTTGGCTGAATCTCAAGAATTCCTGGGATGGAGACCGCGTATCGGCCCAGGTTCGTTTTGCTTTACCTGTTACTCGTTCATTCCATAAATATTTCCACAGGCAAGTACGCGAATTATTACGAGTGGATCACCTACGCCCAGGCGGACGTAAGGCGAAGGAATATCGGTAGCGCTGTCCACAAACTGTTCAAAGATGGCGTTCTTCGAGGAGAGGACTACGAGACCGTCGGCATCTGGGCTCCCAACCGACCAGGTCAGTATTCGGATATTATCTTCGTGTCAGCCGCTTTGAAACCTGACTAATGAACCCCTCGCGTCAACCTGTCATTTTCCTTCACGCCTTTTGCTTGCTGTTCCCCTAATACTAATAGAGTGGCAACTGGTCGATATTGCCCTCCAGACTTATGACAAGGTCGGAGTTAGTTTGTACGACACTCTGGGCAGGGATTCTGTCGGTATGTCTAATATTATCATGGGCTATTTGTATTCATAACTGATTAATGTACTCCACAGAATACATGTACGCGTTTCTTCACATTGATTCTCCCGGGCATGAACAGCTGACTCCTTTCATGTAGCATCAATCATGCGTCCCTTTCGATCGTGTTTTGTTCGCAGGACCATATCCCCACCCTGCTGAAGTTAGCACCCAAAGTCCCTGTACTAAAGTACGTGGTATGCTTCGACGCCCTGTTGCTTGAGGTGGAGTCTGCCATCAAGGAATGGGGCTCAAGCCATGGCATAACAGTGTTGCAATTGAGCGAGCGTACGTCTTGATTTGCACCATGTCGCCTTCAGGCGCTTATGTCGTTGATACTATCCAGTGGAAGATCTGGGCAAGGCCAACCCCATTGAGCCTATCCCGGCAACACCTGATACAGTGGCCACCATTTGTTACACGTCGGTAAGTCGTCCATTGCAATGATTCTATCGCCCGTCTGAACACTTCCACTTAGGGCACCACCAATACACCAAAAGGTGTCGTCTTGAAACACAAGACACTGGCCATGTCAATCCAGAGCTACTTCTACGGACGGGACCTCCCAGCAGACGCCGTTCTGTTCTCCTACCTCCCCCTTGCCCACATCTACGAGCGCATGGCGGAACTGGTCGCTATCGCCAATGGTGGAAAGATCGGCTACTTCTCCGGAGATCCTCTTCGACTCCTGGAGGATGCTCAGATTCTCAAACCCCACTTCTTCCCCTCCGTTCCCCGAGTTCTCAATCGAATCTACCAGTCTGCTATGTTAGCGAAGGAGGCCCCGGGTGTCAAGGGAGCTTTGTTCAGGAAAGCGTTGGCCACCAAGCTTCAAAACTTGGAACAAACGGGAGAGATGAATCACGCTCTCTGGGATAGACTCGTCTTCAAGAAGGTAAAGGAACTCTCATGTTATTTGACGCGCACATCTGACTGGCGTTCTTAGATTCAAGCAGTCTTGGGAGGTCGAATCCAATTCATTGGATCAGGCTCAGCCCCTATCACACCCGACGTTCTCAAATTCCTCCGAGTCTCGTTCGCATGCGATGTCGTAGAAGGTTATGGCCTGACAGAAACAGCAGCCTGCTGTTCTCGAACATGGCAAGGCGATCCAAACGGGACTGGTACCGTCGGCCCTCCGTCACCAGTGAACGAAGTCAAGTTGGTCGACGTCCCCAGTATGGGCTACACCGCTGAGGACAAGCCGTATCCTAGAGGAGAGCTATGCGTCCGTGGCGCTATTGTCTTTTCTCACTACTACAAGGATGAGAAGAACACTAAAGAGGCTCTGGACGCCGATGGCTGGTTCCATACTGGAGATGTCGCTTCCATCGATTCGGCAGGCAGAATCAAGATTATCGATCGAGTCAAGAACATCATGAAGCTCGCTCAAGGCGAATACGTCGCCCTCGAGAAAGTCGAAAACATCTACTCTACTGTTCCCGTGGTCGCCCAAGTGTTTGTATATGGCGACGGCACCCAGTCGTATCTCGTCTCGGTCGCTGTCCCCGAACCCGTGGCATTCAGCGCCTTGGCAAGCTCAGTGCTAGGCAAGAAGGTCGATGTCGTCAACGGTGGTGAGGAGGGACGAAGAGCTGCGGAGGAAGCCGTTCGAGACCCTAGGGTCGTCGCTAAAGTGCTGGACATGCTCACTAAGGAAGCTCAGAAGAATGGTCTCAAAGGGTAAGCTGTGCTCGATCTCTCCGACGCTGTGGTAAAGACTCACATACAATCATCCACTAGATTTGAGATGGTAAAGCGCCTACATCTTACGCTGGAACCATTCTCCATCGAAGATGGGACGTTGACACCGACGATGAAACTCCGGCGTAAGGATGCTTACAATAAATACAAGACTGAGATCGATGCGCTGTATGCGCTGGGAGAACCGGTGGGTGGATCTGGAGGCGCAGGCGCTGTAAAGCTATGAGATACTGTATATACCCTTTGTCTGTACTTCTACCCCGATGAAACACCTTTTCTTGATTCTGGAGTTCGAACCCGCATGGTTGATCCTGGGCGGCAATCGGGTTGGCTGTCCCTTATCTTATCTGATCCGATCTTCCGGGATGCGTGGACTTGCTTGCGTTCCTCAGGCCTGAGGTTTTTTACGGTGTATTTTATATTCACCATTAACAGTTCGTTCTCTTTTCTCTCAGCTTCGTAAGGTTTTCATAGTGCCCGAAATATGTATAGGATCCTCCAAGCCCCACGATCGTGCGCTGAACGGTGGCTACCTGCCACCCCACGTTCATCTGTGCCCTGTCGCTCAATGTCGCTCGCCACTCAGCGCTGTCAGAGACTGTATATCTTTCCCAGTTAAATGAATCAATACTTCTACTTGGATAAGAGCCGCAGCGCGCTACGAAATGTGCAGCTCCGTTTAAAAGTTTGTCTGAAAGATGGGCGTCTAGAGCCTGTCCACTTCCGAGTCGTTCGGTTGCCCATCGAAAGATATGATGACCCTGGCCAGTGTAATATATCGCATCGCAGTACCGTAGAGCGACTGATTGCACAGCAGTACTCACGTTCGAGAAAATGGCAAGTCGACGGGCTAGACTGCACAGTGTATACAGCTGTCTTTGGGCTCCCTCCTCGGAACGGGCCAAGACCCGGAGATCGATCCACGGACTTCGAAAGTGGAAGGAGCCTACAGCGCAGATACTCTCGTAACTAACATACAGCGGAAAGGAGATCCACCATTTTCGAGCTGTCGTTCATAAGGCAAAGTTTTTTTTTCTACACGTAACATGTATCCTTATCCACCTCGCACTGGTTGAGGTTACGACCGACGCAAACCGGATCGCAGTTGTGGTTCTGGTAAATCTTGGGTAAACCTCACAAAGCAACAGTGGGGGAGTGGAGTACTGCGAAGATTGTGAGCAATCAAGGTCGCCTTAGACGGACGGTATGTACTTATGGGTATGTATTAGAGTGGAGAAACTGGCAAATCATTCTGTGGCGTCCGCTCTTGGAGACGTCGCTTGGGATTCCATGTAGCGCCAGCAAGCTCACTGTCAGTTCACATTCCTCGGGTCGGTGGAACTCTCTCTTTGGTGGTGGCACAGTCTACCAGAATACAGCAGTGCGCAGTCCATCGGCGGTGCACCACTTTGCGAATAGTGGATGTGCGCCTCCAGTCAAAGTTTGGGTTACGTTAGTCGAGGACGGTATCAGAAAAGCTGGGTGAAATCGATCTTGAATCGATCATGAAAAACGCCTTGCTGATTGGTTATGTAAATGCGAGTGGCGAAGGTTTGGGAGGGGTTTATGGGAAAGCCACTGAATGAGAGATTTGTAACTCGAATGTGGCTGGAGAGATCCGCCAGACAAGCTTACTGGCTGAGTCGGCCCTGCAGAATGCTCTTCCTGAGCATTCAAGGCAAAGTGAGTGTCCTGTGCAAGCCTAGACTACATCCCCTAGAGATGAGAATGAGGACAAGCCGCGGGAAACCAAGTGGCATCAGAAGGGCTTGGTCGCACGAGCTAGAGTGAGTGCCTTGAGAAAGACAGTTGCCTCGAGGCAGCCATAGGAAATGTGCAGCTTGCTACGAAGCCCCAAGGTTGCAATTGATTCACACTCGTCTGGGAAGATGATGATGGCGATTGTACCCGTCCTGGCCTCGAGGACGGGGGATGCAGATTCGATACCCAGGATCTGGCACTGTACCTGGAGGGATAAGGAAATGTTTGAAGCGGGGATGCTCAGAGGGGTCCTGCGATTGGCCAAACGTAAGGCTGAGCAGCCCAATGACAATCGACAAGCCTCAAGTTGGCGAATCATGATGAGCAGTCGTGCTCCGGGCTCTTCGACAATGGATGCGGCACCGGGCGACAATGATTATTTGCGTCCATCCTCCGACTTCCGAGAAGCCGGGCTGGTAACCGCAATATTTTGAAGGCCTGTACGCAGCCGAAAAAGCACAAACACTGAGCAAAGTCGAGCAAAAAGAGAGTAGTAAGGTTATGAACATACAACAAGGACTGTGGCACTTTCAAATAGACCAAGTACAAGACGTTTCAATTCGAGCGCTTCAATGGAATGTTTGCCCATTACTTGCCCTCTTCAGAAACAGCTGACTGTGAATGGACTCCGACGTGGAGCACCTCAAGACCATCTGGCAACGAAAATTAGACTCAAAATGCGCTAGAAGAGGCAACGGTAGCGAGTAACGGTAAGAGCGATGCTGTTTTCGAGATACCGTAAATAAACTTGAACCGGCGGACTTGGAAAAAAAAAGTTGGAAATCCCGCTGCCTTCCTTTCCTCCTCGATCCTGTACACTTCCGCTGTTCTCTTTCTCTCGACCAACTCTCTACTAGGCGATGGCGACGCCGACAGGATCTGGCTCGCGCTGGCTTTCGTTGGACGAATTCAATGACCTGGTCTCGGCATCATTGGCGCCGACAAATGCGGATATCATAAACCCTGAGAGCGCCGAAATCCCAAAAGGGGGCCAAATGATTTCCCCTGAAAACACGAGAATTGAAGTTCCAGATGTCCGGAAGACAAATTGGAATGCTGTATCAATTCCAGGAACATCCACTTCTTGTCTTTCACCTTCATCACCCTTTGTCCCCTTCAACAATCCTTCTTTAAAACCCACCGTCGCTGGCGGCCTTTCGCCCAACTCGAGGCTTTCTTCCCTGCCCTTACGACGCAAATTCTCCCCGAGAGCGGGCTGGAAAAGCAGGGGTCCACCCGTCGTCGACGACAGCACCATTAACTGGCAACTAGAGCCTTTCCTTGGATCATCCGAAATCATGGCAAACCCTTCAGTGTCCACTTCGACCCTCTCGACAGTCGACACGCGCCAATGTCCCGGTCTTCCTGGCAGTTCCACCAACGGACGCAAGCCAATAGCGTTGCTACAGAAACTAAAGCGACAAGCCTCAGCCCTAGTCAAGCCCTCAAGCTCGACTCCCAAAGCCAACACGTCTTCGTCAACGTCCCGCGGTAACCATCCCTACCTGACGGATTCAATGGGCGGCATGTCACGGCCGCCGTTCGACAGAATGGTCTCGTTCGCCCCGACGCCAGCTCATTCGGTTTCCACCTATTCGACTTCGATTCATTCACGGAGTAGCATCGATGACGATTCTTCATTCCTCGACTACGGTGATGAACACTCGTTTTCAATGCGAAGACTGCGGCACGGCAAGTCAATGCCCACCCTCACCCTGTTCCGGAACCGTAACGCCAACTTCGTCCACAATGGCATTGCGGATGCAAGTCAGGACGACTTGCGATCCGTCATGACTAGCGACACAGCCGAGACGACAACCGAGGAAGCAACATCAACAGAGTCAGGCGACTTCATCCCATACATTCCCCTGGTATTGCAACACGAGCGCGGAATGAAGCCTCTTCAACTGAACGCCGCCGGCGAAAGTCGAAACACGTCCCGACGAAACAATAGGCGTAATGAAGACACACCTTCGCCCACGCAATCGAATTCAGATGGCTCCGAGTCAACGCATTCGCCCATTACACCGAAAACGCCTTTCTTTGCGCAGAACGGATCGATATCTGTCAGTTCAGACGATGATGAAACAGAAAGTATATCATCTTCGTTTGTTGCATCTGATCATGACGTCGCTCTGGGGAATTCCAAAAAGGTGCGATATGCTTCTGCAATATGCTCTTGGTGATCGGAGTCTGACCTCCATATGTTCTCCCTCTTCCTTCATTTTAGTCGGAGCTTTTAAGGCAGAGGTCATTCAAGAGCAACTCTCACCTCTATTCATCGCCTTTCGCCTCCTCTCGACGATCCTCGAGTCCTTCGCCGCTCTCCAGATATCAGTCATCACCACATCCGTTCGCTCGAGTTCCAGGCCAAAGCTCAGAGGATGATAACTTGTCACAACGGGAGCGCAAAAAGCCCAGCAAACACCTCCCCGTCGAAGATGATCGGGTCACGATAGCCACGACCTCAGAATCCTGCTACTCCATGGATTCTTACGGCTACTCGCGCCCTGACCCACTGTCGTCTTTCAAACCCCACTCGCCCACACCCACTGCTACCACTTTCATCACTGCTCTCGAAGACCCTGGATTCCCATCTTCTTTGGAGGTCGAAACAGATGACGAATTCATGCTCCCGTCGCAGTCTCGTCGCAGCATCGTTCCGCCTTCCATCCGAATTGAAGACGCATCCGGTTCTTCTGATCTCTCCGAGCCCACCCCGACTGCTGCCAATATGCCCAAGCCATCTGAACCTGTTTGGCAAAACCACTCCACTCCTGAAATCCCAAAAATCGGAGTTGGGCGCCAGACGGTGGATCCCAAAGTCATCCAATCACCAGTCAAAGAGAGTCAACCGAAGGAGTGGACTTTGTTGCTGGGCGCGAAGAATGACGACCTGTCCAAGCCTGAACCTAGACCACGGACACGCAGCGCGGTTAGCAGAGACATCAAGAGCCGGATTACTGCGCTGCAGGAGAGTGGCAGGGCTAGAACACAGAGCGCGGCGACCCCGAGGCGCGCTCAGGAAGCCCGAGACGTAATTGGGGCAATCACTTCGTCTCCTGCCCGTTTCTCACCGGATAAACCCTCTCCAAAGCCACTTCTCCGCGTCCAACCCATTATCGACACAGATGCCAGTGACTCGGAAGCAGACCCCTTCCATAATGACTTTACCAGCGGGGAAGTGCTAGACAAAGCAAAGGAGCAAGACCGCTTACTGCGACGCAGCGGGAGCGCCCAGCCATTCGTAGGGGCCCGGAAGGACTCCGAGCTGACTGACCCAATTGATTGGACACTTATGCTCCCCCTCCCTATGCCGCAGTCGAAGTATTCTGTTGCCCGCCTTCCTGACCCTCCAACCGAGATTTCAGCTTCCAGGGCCGGCTCAAGGAGGAGGTCTAGCGGAGCGATCACCAAAGCCCGGTCCAGCGTCGACCTGACGGCTGGCATGAACAAGGACCCGTGGGGTACCAAGTCCAATGCCAAGACCGAGTACTCGTCTCTCAAGTCGATCAAAAAGGAGCTCGAGAAGCTTGAAGAGACGAATGCGAAGCTGGAGAGTCGCAGGAAAGCGAGGGAGGACACCAGGTTGCGCGAGGAAGAGTATCTAGCTGCCATCCTTGGCGACAGCGAAGACAACGTCTCCGACAACGACAACAGGCAGAGTGGTGACTCCAGTGAGATGGGTGGAGAAAGTAGTAGTGGGGAGTCGTATGGAAACGTTATCGCCGTTACGGAGAAGGAGCGGGACGACCATAGGCAGAGGGCCCTGGACACTTTATCTGGCAGGTCTACGCCTTGTTTGGGCAAGGCCATGGCGGCGGCGGAGGGTGAGGTCCCGGAAGTACCATCCCTCCCGAAGAATCTTGATATTCCTTCCAGTGGCGAAGGCTCAAGGAGCTCAGGCTCATCTGACGGTCAATTCGAAGAGAGACTGGTGTCCTTGCTTCAGGACAAAGAGCAGGTGGAGCAGAGTGAGTCCCCCAAGAATACCGAAGTAAGTCCCCTTCCTTTTCAAGGAGTACCAAATTACTCATTCTCCTCACAAGACCTCGGAATCTCGCCCCATGGCTGTCGAAAATCACCAGCCTCCTTCCAAACTCAAGGACAATGTTCCGAAGGCCACCCGACCATCCCTCAAAGCCAACACCAGCATCTATGCCTTCCCCTCCACTTCTTCGCCCCTCTCTTCCCCGACCCGCCTCGCTATTGGAGCTTCAAAGCCGATTTACGTCCCTCCAGCAGGCTACCTGCCGTATTCCCGGCCCAACTCTTTGACGACCAGGGCCCCTATTGGTCCGTCTAGGGACTCGCAGGGGCTGTCCTTCTCTCAATATGGCCCTCATGCTTCCGCGCAAAGGCACCAGCCCAAGGGAAAGACTCTTGTGATGCCTTCAACGATCGCTAGCGTTGTCACCCCGGGAAGCAAGGTGTCGAAGGCAGCACGGCCTGGCACTGCACAGACCATCAAGGGAAATGCCACTCCTCACACGACGGATGACGGTGACCGTGTATCTATTTGCTCGGTGAAGTCGACTGCTTCATCTTCCAGTACGGACACCGTCGTGCCTTCCACGAGCAGTAGGCGAGGGAGTGCGCAGACAGGTCCTTCCGGCGCTGATGCCGCCCCTGATGTTTCAACTGCTCCATCCAAGGAGGAAGGGCACGACGGATCTCACCTTGACATTCCTGCTCGGGAGAGAACGATCAGCACTTGCAGCAGCTTGTACGACCAGCCCCTCGAGCTTGACTTCCCCATGCCTCCTACATTCAACCCGGCTGTAACCAACAGGACGTCTCCCGACCTGACCATACCACAGGGTAGCCTTCGACTGACTATGACGCCTCCCATGCTCCGACGCCAGCCCTCTTGCGGTGAGACCTTGGGGCTGGATGAAGATATTGAACTGCCGCCTCCGACACCATTGCAGAGATCTTCACCCCACAAGAACAACTCGCCGCGCAAAGCGTCGCCTCGCACATCTCCCATTCCGCATGGACATCCTCACCCAGCGCCTACCCTTTCTGCCAGTGATCCTTCGATGTCAGGATGGGAAGATGATGGCGATGACGATGAGCAGGACGATGAGAATAGCGAGAGCGAGGATGGCGATACTGTCTACCTCTCAATGTCGGAAGACGATTATGAAGACGCTGTGTCGATGTTGTCAGGCATGTTCTATAGCGCCAGGTCAAGCATGGACTCTCGCCCATGACCGACCTCTGGTAATCCCCGCAACCCCCACTATTTCTCTCCTTATTAACGACACGGATGACCTTGCTTTGTTTTCCTGACGACTTCTCGTTTCACCTTCCAATTCAGTCTATATTATTAGTCAACTATTCCAGTCTCAACACCGGACTACCATTCGCTCTCTACTGTTCACAATTTTACCTTCTTCCTTAAGTTATAATTCTAATTCTAAACCCTCCCACCTATTTATTACTTTGAAAACTGTCGCTATCGCTCATTGGACTTTGGTCACTAGTACTGGGCAGCTGTTACTACTGTACTATCAGGAGACATCCAACTGTTGTGTAAATCATATTGGACTTTGAAGAGTTATTCTATGCCGCATTGCAGACTCAGCTTGAAGAAACGGCAAGAAACCTGGCCAGCGCCTGGGGCAAGGAATAGGGGCCGAACGTGACCTCGATCAATTTACTAATTAGAGGTAACGAGGCCATGTCCACAGTCTTTTCTCGAGCCGCCACTCTCTTCTCTTCATTCACTTGGGTGGTATCGCTGTATTCAAGATGACGAAAGGATATCTTATGAATAGTCTCATCGAAAAGGTGCGTCCAGTCCACGACTGCTGGGATAATGCTGATCGAGTCCTCCACCTTCAATAGATGCAGTCCCCGGACCAGGACTTTCGGTAGGCAATGTCGACGCGTCATTATCAGATCGAGCTCTGAATTTCGGTTGAATTTACAAAGGTTCATGGGACTGAACGATCTTATGACAGAGATCAAGCAGGATCCTGCGTCTTTTCAGGGAGACGAAGCCGTTGAGAACAAAGTGTTGAATCAGGTGCTTTCCCTTGTTGAAGATAAGATTTCAGAAGTCAAAAACCAAGCAGTGAAATGGTGAGCGCATTCATTTACAGGCATTGTACGCTTTCTAAACCCCATATGCAGCTTGGGGCAGCTGATCAAGATTCTGCGTCAAAACCAAATGGAATTGGTGGTGGACAAGCTCATTGACTTCTCTGGTGGAAAGGACGAGGAATTGCGTGACATCTCGGGACTTGGTGAGCACGCTCGTTATCACTGTTTGATATCGGATTTGACGCGCGCGTTGTAGCCCTGAAGACCATCACCGCTGAACTTCCTCCCGATGGGCGTATCGCCGCAACCGCTTGCGCCAAACTGACGCCCAAGTTGCTTGGTCAGGTCGAGAATGTGCGTAACCTCCTTAACTTCACTGGGGCTCGTCTGAACTTCACGCTAGACTGAAACGCCTCCGGAAACGCTCGTCGAGACCTTGTCCATCCTTTCGATCCTTATTAGTCGATTCCCGAATCACCTGTCGAACGCAACGCTCTCTCCTCAGCCACTGAAGGTCCTTCCTCCGCTACTCTCACATTCAAGACCCGTCGTTCGCAAGCGCGCTATCACAACCGTCTCCCAATTCATCCCCATCTCCCAAAGGATCTTGTTCGACGACCTGCTCAAGAACATCATTCTTCCCAACTTGGCTGAAGGTGCAAGTGTCGAGAGACAACGAACAATCGTTCAACTTGTCGCTGCAATTGTCCGACACTCTCCCGGTCATGTCGCTCCAGTGCTTGGGGACATCGTCCCTTGCATTCTGAAGGCAATCCAGAAAGATGATGAAGAGTTGCGCGAAAGTTGTTTGCAGGCTCTCGAAGCGTTCGTCCTGAGATGCTCGGCTGAGGTCACGCCCTATCAGTCTGCAATCATCCAAGCCGGAAACCAATTCATCAAATACGATCCCAATTATGCCGGAGACGACGAAGACGAAGAAATGGCCGATGCTGATGATGACGAGGACGATGATGAATTGGACGACGAGTACGTTTTCGATAAAAAACAAGTGGTAATCCTACTAACCCCGGGTCAGATACTCCGACGACGAGGACACCTCTTACAAGATTCGTCGTTCCGCTACCAAGCTCCTGGGCGCTGTTATCGGCACGCGGCCAGAATTGTTGGCCTCCATTTACAAGGACATTTCTCCTGTGTTGATTTCTCGCTTTGGGGACCGTGAAGAAAATGTCCGACTCGAGATCTGGTCAACCTACGCAAACCTGCTCAAGCAAACCTCTGTCTACGGCGGTGTGCCCCAGAACAAAGACGATACCAGCCCTCGCGGAAAGAGGAAACGCGATACCGAGGAAGTCATGGACATCGAGGAGACCGCCTATACACTGCTCAAATCTCAGGTCCCAACCCTGTCCAAGGCACTTCTTAACCAGATTAAGTCGCCTAGGACGAGCCCTGTTGTCCTTCAAGCAGGATTCTCTCTTCTCAACGCCCTCCTCGCTGTCCTTCCAGGCTCTCTGGCACCACAGATCCCCCAGATTATTACTGTGGCCAAGAACGTGTTATCGCAGTCCCCATCAACATCCACAGCGTCTCTCCACTTGACGACTCTGTCCTTCCTCTCCCTCCTGTTCTCCAGTCACTCTCCCGCGTCGTTCTCGTCATCTTTGCCGACCGTCACTCCAGTACTTCTCCAGTCCGTGGGCGAGAGGCATCCGCGTATTGCATCGGAATCGTTCCGTGTCTTCACTTCCTTATTGGCATCCCTCGCGCCTATCAAAGGAGAGGCGCCCTGGGTCGACCAAGTCTACCAGCAAGCCTTCTCCCGCCTTAGTAGCCACGACACGGATGCCGAGGTCAGAACAACTGCGGAGGAGTGCATCGGAGAGCTGTGGATTGCTGCCCCTGAGATCATGAGGACTAAGGACCGCAGAGAATGGGAGTTCATTTGCAGGAGCTCGGGTAAAACTGATGGGGCAGTCAAGGTTGTGACCAAAGTGGCGAGGGAGGCTCCTGTTGGCGATGACTGGGTCAATGGATGTGTACAGTGGGTTATGGGTTTGTTGCAGAAGAGCGGAAGACTCGGTAAAGTTGAAGCATTCGGTGCTTTGGAGGTACTTTTGAAGAGGTAAGAGTTCACCTCTCATGTATCGAGCTTCACACTTATCAATTCGCCCTTTTCAGCTACACCTCTGGCATCCCGGCCGACCTTCCACCAGCGCTTGTTCCACAACTGAGGCACTATCTCTCGACCTCCGATATCGCCCTTCTTGCTCAAGCTCTTACCATTCTTGCTTTGCTCTTGGAGTTGTCACCCGCAGTCACCTATCCTCACGTCGAGTCCACGTCTCTCAATGATATCTACAAAGTGTCGGCGTCTCCTCTGGTCTCCGGCCCCGCTCTTGAAGCTCTGTTCAAGTTCTACGCTAACCTCGTCCAAGCTGACAATCAAATCTCCACTCACTTGGTCCCTAACTTGGTGATTGCTGTCCAGAAGGCGCCCAAGGCTGAAGCCAGCCCCGCGAACGTGGCGAAGTGTATTGCTCAAGTGGTCAGGAATGCACAGGGCGTCGCTGCTGGCACGATTGCGGAATATTCGAAGAACATCAGAGTATGCTATGTTCAGGCTTTATATTCGTCCACTTACTGACCTGTGAACCTTAAGCCCAACTCCAAGGCCCAGCCTTCCTTGGTCATTCTCAGCTTGCTCATCGTTGGAGAGCTTGGCCGCTTCATGTCAGTCAGACTCGCCTCGACACCTTGTTCCTCAACTGACGAACCCTTTCAGTGACATGTCCAACCAAGCCGAAGTCTTTAACAACTCGATTGAGCTCTTCGCCTCTGACCAAGAAGAGATTCGCTCTGCTGCCGCCTTTGCTGCAGGTAACATTGCTATCGGCAACTTGCATCAGTTCCTGCCTGTCATCGTCAAGATGGTGGAGACGGATCCAAAGAAGAGGTTGCTTGCCCTCCATGCTGCAAAGGAGGTCGTAACCCACTGTTCAACTGGTCAATTGGAAGGTGTTGCGGACTTTTTGTGGAAGCCTTTGTTTGAGAACTCTCAGAACGCGGAGGAGGCGACCAGAAATGTCGCGGCTGCCTGCCTCGGCAAACTTGCCACCACTCATCCATCCAAGTACCTTCCTCAACTCCACGTCAGTCGTATTTATATCTGCCTCGACAGTCGATACTGATGATCAACTTCATCCAGGCCAGGGTCAAGGATGACAGTCCAGCTACTCGTGCGACCGTTGTTTCGGCTATCCGATACACCTTTGCAGATGTTTCCCAGTCTTACGACGAGTTGTTGGCTCCTTTGCTTGTCGATTTCTTGTCTTTGATGGTCGATTCTGATTTGGTGCGTCGATCCCTAGACGTGATATCTCGACCTTGCTGACATCCCCGTAAAGACCGTTCGCCGACTTGCTTTGTCTTCACTGAACTCTGCTGCTCGCACTAAGCCCCACCTCGTCAGAGACCATCTTAAGACACTCCTTCCAGACTTGTACAAAGAGACCCACATAAACCCTGACCTTGTCCGAACTGTGCAGATGGGTCCCTGGACACACAAGGTCGACGATGGTCTCGAGACTAGGAAGACTGCATACGAGACCATGTACACCTTGGTAAGGATGCCCCATTTCAACAATCGTCTGAGTGCTCATGCTGTTCCCATCAGCTCGACACCTGCTTGACCAAACTCGATCTTCACGTCTTCCTCAGCCGGGTGATCCCAGGTCTTTCCGACGACTCCGACGAAATCAAGGTCATCTCCCACATGATGCTGTTCCGTCTTTCCCAAGTCGCCCCAGCTGCAGTCGCACAACGTCTCGAAGAAGCCACTCCGCAACTCGAGAACACCATGAAGGGAGCGACTGTCACTAAGGACACCGTCAAACAAGATTTGGAACGTGCTGCTGAACTGCAAAGGAGTGCCCTCCGAGCCATCGCTGCTCTGAGCAAGATCGGGGCCGGCGTTAGTACCAAATTCGATGCCTTTGTCGAGGACCTCAAGAAGAATACGAAGTGGAACACTGAATTCAAGGAGTTGATCGGGTAATGGGAGACGATACTACTGGACAGGGAAACGATGTTGCTGTACAAGATAATTATATTTTCTTACTCCGTGTACATATACAGTCTACTCAAAACGTTGCACATTTGACCTTTGATTCCTATGACGTTCAGGGGCCAGACCCTGGTAGTGCGTCCCCGAAAAGATCGGAGAGTAAACACAAGCAAACATGATGGAGGCCAAGTCGCTCCCACGTTCCAAAGGCTCTGCACAAACCTTGACCTGCATACGAAAATTCAGCTTGGTCAATATGTCGTCGCCAAACGAGAAAATGGATGTCGACCAATCACCTCAGCATCGCTCGTAGGTTTTCTTTTATGTTTTGGAACGCAAGAGACTCAAAAACTCAGACGCAATCGTTCATCTGATACTTACAGAACCAAAAGCTCGAACAGGTCACCGTCCCGGGAAGACAGAGATAGGGACAGAGACAGAAAGGAACGTCGTCGGGACAGAGGAGACGATGATAGAAGGCGGCGGAGCAGAAGTCGAGACAAGTACAGTGACCGAAGCCATCGCGACAGGGATCGTTCTCGGGATCGTCTGAGGGACAAGGACAGGTCCGACCGGGACAGGGATCGTGACCGCCGTCGAGACAGGGATAGAGATAGTGATAGAGGCCATCGCAGCTCCCATAGCGGTCGTGACCGAGACTATGATCGTGACCGGGACAGGGACAGGGATAGAGACGACAAAGACAGAGATCGCCGTCGTAAGCGGGGTGACGACGACTACTCTGACAGAGGTGGAGACGACCGCGCAAAGCGAAAGCGCTCCGACGATGATGACGAACAGCCTCAGCCACCCAACGGTGCACCCCCACCGCCGCCGCCTGCACGGGACAGCCCTCGTCCTTCCGACCGCAGAAATGGTCGGGACGACTACGACGCCTCTCCGCGATACAGGGACCGTGACCGCGACCGCCGTGACAGACGTCGACGGGATTACGACGACAGGGACAGGAGCAGACGAACCAGGAGTCCTATGCCACCTCGAAGGTAAGCTCAAGTTTCCTTTCCAAAGAGGACTTTTATGTTGACTCCGCTCGGCTTCCCCAGGCGACACTCTCCCATCTATACCGGTCCTCCTCCTGATGATTACAACCCAGATGAGCCCAAAGACGATGACTCCGAAGCCCGTTCTGTCTTCGTTTCACAGCTTGCCGCTCGGTTGACCGCGAGGGATCTAGGTTATTTCTTCGAAGACAAGCTCGGAGAAGGTACAGTCATGGATGCAAGGATCGTAACTGACCGTCTCTCTCGTCGTTCTAAAGGGTGGGTACGTTTCTGTGCTTTGCCTTGTACCTTCGCTCACGAAATGGGTAGAATTGGATACGTTGAGTTCCGCTCCATTGATCTTGTGGAAAAAGCCATAGCTCTGTCAGGAACTATCGTCATGGGCCTACCTATCAATGTTCAATTAACCGAGTCGGAAAGGAACAAGAGCCATGCTGGCGATGGGTACGTCTTATATTTTCTTGTCTTGCGTTCTATGATGACTGACGCATTAGCAGGAGTCTCCACCTTCCTCCAGGAGTCACAGCATCTGGCGCCATGTCAGTCCTTTTCCTTCCCTTTTCAGCAAACCGGGACTAACTGTTCTTTCCAGTCTTTACGTTGGGTCCCTACACTTTAACCTCACAGAATCGGATATCAAACAGGTCTTTGAGCCTTTCGGAGAATTGGAATTCGTGGACTTGCACAAGGATCCTATGACCGGTAGAAGCAAAGGCTATGCGTTTGTCCAGTACGTAAATTGTCTTCTATTTTTGCATCTCGCTAACATATGTTTATAGGTACAAGAGGGCTGAAGACGCACGCATGGCCTTGGAGCAAATGGAAGGCTTCGAACTCGCTGGGCGAACTGTAAGTCCCTTTTGTACCACTTAATTCCTTGTTACTCATCGTTCTTTAGTTGCGTGTCAATACCGTGCACGAAAAGGGATCTGTTCGATATACCCAAACTGATTCTTTGGATGATTCAGGGGGTGAGTTGCATTAATTCCTGTCGAAGTATTGTACTGAGTTTTGCTTTAGGTGCTAACTTGAACGCTGCTTCCCGTCAAGCGCTGATGCAGAAACTTGCTAGGACTGAGCAACCCGTGGTACCAGCAGAGCCAGTGTACGTGTATAGAGCATCTCCCTCATGTGATGTACTCAGGCTTTTCCCAGTAAACCCATTATCCCTCAAGCTATGCAGTCCAGATCGGTGCTCCTCAAGAACATGTTTAACCCTGAAGAGTGAGTACCCCGCTTTTCGTCATACCACAAACACTGACCCTCTGCAGGGAAACGGAACAGAACTGGGATAAAGACTTGGCGGATGATGTTAAAGGCGAGTGCGAAAACAAGTATGGCAAGGTCCTTGCTATCAAAGTTGAAAAGGACTCTCAGGTCAGTCTCTTGCTGCGAGAGAGGTACCAGTATCCTGACTTTTTCTCTGCAACAGGGAGAAATTTACGTCAAATTTGACACCGTTGACACTGCTAAATCAGCTGTTCAGGGTCTCAACGGTCGTTGGTTTGGAGGACGTCAAATATCTGCCAACTTCATCTCGGATGCGATCATGGCAGCCCACCAGTAGGGTTCCAAGCAATTCCTGGGCATCCGATGCTCGACATCCCGCCATAATACTGAATTACTTTGGAATGTTTTGCAGATCACTACATTAAACAGTTTCTTTTCTATTATGCATGCGTCGATTACTTGGACAGATCCCCTTACCCAAATTTCGGACGATTCTTCCCCTCCAGAAGCCAGGTCAACCAGAGGCAGGTTCTATCTTGTCTTTCTCTTGCTACTCTGTGGGGACCTTCACTTTTAAAACATGTTAGATTATGCCGAAAGTAATATTCATACGTCCCCCATTCGTTGGCACGTTCTTGACTCAGGTATACACATGACCTCTCCTGCAAATCCGATTGGACCACTCATTGAAAACGATCAGGCACGGTGTGGTCAATTTCAATCGTGGAAGAAAGGACCTGGGAGTGTAATGACGCAACCTACAGGCTTCTCACTGACTTCATTTAGGACAAAGCCCACCCTCATGACCTGGGAGCAGCATACAATTCATGGCGGTGGAAAGCCAAGGGTAGATAACGATGGTTCGTTTCCCTTCTCGAAGTCCCGTTCTCGTCGTCGGAATCGCGGTGTGTACGGTCCGAGAACGCTTGTTCACGTCCTGGGACCGGGATGTAAAGATAGGTCATGTTTCTGTCTCTCTTGATAATCACCAAGAACCACCTCTAGTCCCTTTTGCGTTTTCCCGAGCCATGTCCATCGAGCACATTAACTCGAATGAAAATGCCACTTTTTCCCATATCTTGTGTGGGTGATTCCTTGGAGGCGCTGCACGCTTTGGTCAAGCCATTCATTTGCCTTAGCACACGCGACGAAAATTGCATCTTCGACTGGTTTGGTGTTTGTGAGCGGACAGGTCCCTGTGGATGCAACTGGGAACCTTATTCAGGGTACTATTCAAGAGAAGACTGTAGGTTCAGGCAACGATACTTCGAGCCGTTCTTCTGAATTGCACGAACCTGATGCGTTTTTAGGTTGCTTGTCTCAACAACATTGCCAACGTCCTTCGTGCGTCGGGAACGGAATGGACTAAGGTCGTCAAAGTCAACATCTACCTGAAGGATATGAACGACTTTTCGCGGGTCAACCAGGTCTACGAGACGGTAAGAGCGTCATCGACTATGCACCATGGCACTCGACTTATAGGAATGAAACCCAGTACGTTCCCAGTCCCAAACCAGCAAGGACCTGTGTCCAGGCGGCGAAATTGCCTAATGATGTTGACATTGAGATCGAAGCTATCGCTACTACCTAGTTACATTCCTTGTCACAACTAAGATGTAAACTACACGTCCATTCCAATCTCAAAGCTACATGTAATGCCCCGCCCAAACACCTCGGTCATTCACAACGGGCCGCACATCCGTCAAACTCACAATGAACCGCAATGACATCTCCGAAGAACTCTTGAAGTGGACATTCCACATCTCAACATTGAACCACCACCATCGCAATCGAGGAAAGCCAAAACCAATGGCTCAGAATCGTGACCACTACCAGCTATTCAAAGACGAGGAAACTCGCATTCGAGCTCAGCTTCGGGAGCGCTTCGTAGGGAAATCGATAGATGACGCAGATCTTGTACGGACTCCGGCGTTAATTATCGATAGGGGTGTTTTCGAGGCCAATTGCGCGGGGATGATGAAGAAGGCGAGGGAGTGGGGCGCTGAGTTCAGAGCACACTTGAAGACACACAAGGTTGGAGCTCCGATTGCCCAGTGTTATGCCAAAGTGTTAATACGAATAATTTCGCGTAGACGACTGAAGGGACGAGGCACCAGTTACAGACGAGTGAAGGTAGCACTGGAGCTGTTGTGGTTTCCACTGTGAAAGAGGCCTGGGAAGTATGGAATGCAGGGCTAGTTGAAGACGGGGTTGTGAGAGATGTCCGTGATTTCAGCTCTTTGCCGATAATATGTATTTACGACACTTTAGATCCTCTACGGACTTCCAGTTGGTGTCAACAAGGTATCAGACTTGGCGGGCCTTTGGGACAAGATGCAACCGTATGGGGGAATTGTCCGCCTGCTTGTCGATCATCTAGACCAAGTAAAGTTGTTGGAGAATTTCGAGAATAAACGGGAAACTAAAAGGCGCTGGTCTGTCTTCGTCAAAATCAACGGAGGCCAAAAGTGAGACCATTGCGAATAGCTTGTAAACCTAACAGCTTACCCTTTCGCAGTCGTGCTGGGGTTCCCCCCTCGTCTGAAGAACTAAGGGTCTTGCTCGAGGCTATTCTGCGCTCCCCCGCCACAAGCCTCCATGGATTCTACGCGCACGCAGGCAATTCGTATGCGTCCACTTCGAAGTCGGAAGCGACATCCTACCTGTCTTCCGAGGTTCAGATTGTCAACGAGGCGGCAGCCTTCGCCCTGTCCAATTTCGGAGAGCTGTTGAAGAGCGCACATCGTACCGAGCCTTTCGTTCTGTCTGTTGGTTCCACTCCGACGGCTCATGCTTCCGGTGCCGAAGCAAAGGAAATGCTCGACCGTGCCCTTCACGGTAAACTGGAGTTGCACGCAGGTGAGAGATGGACTCGGACGCCAAGTCAATCCCCGCCGGTGCTAACCATTCGCAGGAAACTACCCCATGTTGGACCTTCAGCAACAGCACACTACCCTGATAGACTATCCGAGGATAGCACAGAGAGTGCGCACCACTGTCATCTCTTATTACCCAGGAAGAGGAAAGGGAGGGGAGGACGAAGCCTTGATCGACGCAGGCGCGATTGCATTCAGCAAAGACACAGGTCCATCTGGCTCGTTCGGAGAAGTAGTAGGGAAGCCTTGGAAGTTGGCGAGAATATCCCAAGAACATGGGGTACTGAGTGCTACAACTCGCGGTGAAAGGCTTGAGGTTGGATCCACGGTGGACATCGTCGGGCAGCACGCGTGCTTAATTGCTGCTGTAGGTGCTTTCAATTATATCGCGAGTCGCATTAATCTGGGCACACAGGCACATCCCTGGTTTTACGTCGTAGATTCTACAAGCTCCGATAGCAGCAAGATTGTAGACATCTGGGTTCCGTGGAAGGGTTGGTGAGAGTATGCGAGCAAGTGGCCGGCCGAGTCCAGGCCGAGTCGGAACCGGGGAGGAGGTCCGAGGTGACAGACGTCATGTCACGTGAGTTGGCCGGGCTGTGATCCCGAAACAGGCACTTCCCGGTTTGGAACCTGGACAGGCTTGAACTGGTCGTTTGACCTTGGATATTCTACCTCAACGACTGGCTCTTTCTTTCTTGTTATCTATCTCCACCATCTAGTCCTTTATATTACTACTATTGCGGCAGATCATGCCGTTCAACGATTACGATGCAGACGCCACAGAACTGGTAGAAACCTACGGTTTGTGCGGTCAACCAGCCAGCACCCGCAGTACTGACAGGTCCCAATAGATTTCTTGATGAAATATATAGTTATTGGCAAGCTTTTCACCCCAAGCATCGCTCGTCCATACCATTAACCTCCAAATATCCATAGGGGAAGCTGGAACGGGCAAATCATGTCTTCTCCACCACTTTACACACAATTCATGTCTGTCACCGCCCAGCCATTGTCTCCGGCTCATGTCTGACACCCCAAAGCAGTTAAGGACCATTCCCAACATACTATCGGCGTCGAATTCTCCAGTCGGACTGTCAAGTTAGGAGAGAAACGCATTAAGCTTCAGGTCGGCCAGTGGTTCGATTCTGAGTTAGCAGCGGCAGCTGATCCCGATTATGATAGCTATGGGATACAGCAGGTCAGGAGCGATTTCGGTTCGTACTCACTTCGTTCCAATCCCTTGAAGCTAATCGAGGCATTGCAGCTCAGTGACGAGGAGTTACTATCGAGGAGCCGCTGGTGCCATCCTGGTGTATGATATCACCAAGTGCGTAGTCCCCATCCCAACAGTGGGCTTCTGACAGCTCTAACTCTGGCTACATCCAGTCGCAACTCCTTCATCAACCTTTCGAGGTGGTTGGCGGACGCGCGAGCCCTCGCCAGTCCACACCTTGTTGTCGTATTGGTCGGGAACAAGTCAGATAGGGAGGAAGATCGGGAAGTCGAATGGTCGGAGGCGAGTCGGTGGGCTGCGGAGAATGGTGCGTTCAATGATAGTGAATTCAATCAAAGCCCACTGAGGTCATACATATATAGACGTTCACTTTCTAGAGGCATCATCATTGACCGGCGAGAACGTCGAAGCCCCTTTCCTATTGGCCGCAAGAGCCATCCTTCTCGCAATCGAATCCGGTTCACTGGACCCAGAGAAGCCGGGGAGTGGTGTGAGCTATGGAGATCGGGCGCTCCGGCGTGTCAATAGCTCGAGTCGCCTTAGCTTCGGAAGTCTGAGTGCAAGCAGGAGACGAGGCAACATCAAACTGAGGAGTTGGGACCCCAGGTCCAAATGCTGCTAGCCTCTACGTACGTTGTTTTCACCTTTGTTCGTTCCTGCTTTGTTGATCCCTCCATGTAGTATCTCTACATCTTGGAGTTCCCCGTTTATCTCCACATTCCATAATCACTGATACCCGTCTGTTCAAGATACCGGTCAGGATTCAGCCTCTCTATGTAAGTGGCATTCGGCTTGTCCGGAACACGGTACCGACTGACTTGTTCCAACTTCCCCAGATATCTCCTCTATTCATGCCGCAACGTCTTAGAACATTATCATTGTATTCGTAATTCCATTTGCTTCTACTAATTATCTCTGTATGTACTGATGCGCCTCGGACATCTTATGACAAGCCACACCAGTTCTATCTTGTATCTCGTGTTTCTTTAGGTCTTCTCTTTAGAACGCCTCTGGAGGCTTCTTATTGCGGTCGTATGGGTGGTTGCACCTAGTGCTCCAGCATCGAAGTCGCTATGCAGCATGAATACGCTGCGCCTCATGGTCATTCAATGGTGCCGACATCTTTCCCATACCGGCCCCTAGCAGACCTAAGTTTCTACAGCTGATCTTACCCGTGTCAGAACTTACTTTACCTTTCCTTCTTAACATGGATCACTCTAGTCCCGCACCGGACTCCAACAACCCGGATATAGTGGTCGTAGAAGTCATTGTCTTCCCAGGTGTCGTGGAATATTCAATTCCTTCAAGGTCATGCCCGGACTGACTCTTGATATCGCTTGCTCTTCGGTATAAAGATGCATTCTGGTTCCCGGATATATTGCTCCACTCTTAGAGAGGTTGTTCTTGCCTTTTCGTCGGCCCCATGCTTCTCACTGGATGAGTGGTTATTGAGAACTGGGTTCAAGGTAGGTTGTGCTTCATTATATTCGTTCTCCCCCATGTCTTCGGTTCTTCCTCCTCCCACTTCCTCCTCCACCTCCTTTGCTCCTACAGCCTCCACTAATTTTGACACGGTTCATCATCCTACTTCATCCCCCACTTCCTCTGCCCCTACATCCTCTGCTGGTCCTGACGCATTTACTTCCTCTTCAAGTCCAGGCACGACGAGTTCTAGTTCTTCTTCGAGCTTTGGCGAATCTACATCACCAGTCAGCTCCTCATTCCGCCCGTCGGCAAGCCAGTCAACTGCTGTCAGTGCCATCGTTCGTGCCTTTTTCTTTCGTAAAGTCAAGATGGTACTCATCTTCCTCTACAGATAACTTCGTCCAGTCCATTACTCCCCTCTCTTTCCTCTCCTACCACGGATCCGTCAACTGAATTCCAGACGTTGTCTTCCTCGACTACGGTATGGCAGCAACTGCCTTCGACATCTCAACGATACTCATCGATTGTCTCTCAGAGTTCTTCCGACGTTGTAGCATCTCCTTCTTCGAGTACCGTCCTTCCTAGCGCAGTAAGCCCACACTCGTGACAGCTTCGTTTCGTATCTCTCATATCTTTTTAGCCTTCTGCATCACCTTCACCGCCATCCCCTCATCCGATCCTCCCCACCAACCCTCCAAGCACCACTACTAGAGGACCTAACACTCTTCCGTGAGCAAATACTTCATCGACACCAAGTAGTGATAGCCATCTAACACGATACGTGTTCAATAGCGGCATGTCAAGCAGCAATTCCGTTCCGGATGTGGACGAGACCTCATCTGTCCCGCCGCCTCCCCCGTCGTCAACTCCACCAAGCGAACCCAGCCCGTCGCCTTCATCATCCCCAATTTCGACACCACCACCTTCCTCCAGCCGTAGTCCTAGTTCCACTGGAAGCCCATCCAGCAGCACAAGGCCACCATCGCAACCTGCTATTCAGCAGCCGCCTCCTCCAACAAGTACCATAACTTCGGGTGAGTCCCGGAACTTTACCCCACATCTGGAATTCTCCGAATTTTAACAGCTAACAGTTAATTCTCCTCCCCGCGCTTCTTCTACTCCTTCAATCGTTCTTCCATCGCCTTCTGATCGTGCCGTTCCACCAACACCCTCGTCCCCAAACTTGATCGACGACGACGATGACGAAAATGACGACACATCTACTTCAGTCTCTGTAATTCGGCAATCCGGGGGCTCTGAGAGGAGGACAAGTACGGTGACTATAGACCCAGAAACCACGTTATCGACACCCGTGGTGCTCACTTTGACTGTGGGCGGGGAGGAGATCACGACTGCACCCTCGTTCGTGACTGTTGTTCATACTTCAACGGAGTTGGATGGAGATGTGGTCCTCCATACCGAGATCGCGGCCAACCCTAGGCCTTCGGACGATAGTACTGTGGCACCAAGTGGAGGGTAAGTTGTGAATTGTTTTTTCAGGGGATACTGAGACTAACGACATCCCCATAGTATCCTTAACAACAAAGGTGCAGCAGCGGGTATCTTTGTCTCCATCGGCATAGTCTCGAGCATCATTGCTTTCCTTCTACTCATGATTTGGCGTCGACGCCGTCGCACCGAGCGACGCAAGCGATGGTTTGCAGGGATGCGCCAGCATCGCCCCGCCGAGTCCACCGGCAGCGGCTACGCATTCAATCATCAAGGAGGCCAGGGTGGAAGCGGCAAATCCTCACCGTTCGAGGGATTGAGAGTTGAGAAGACTGTGGAAGACGATCGGGGAGACGACCGGAATTTCCATGGAGGAAATGGTGGAATACAAGTTCTTCCATGGGGGACCGTGCCATCGCGGCAGCCATCGCCGCCTCGACAGCACTACAGGCCCCATTCGACGCTCAACGGTCCTAGTAATGGGAACTACACTGTGGGCATGGGTGCTGCCGCAGACTCCGTGAGCACGCTGGGGTTGACTGGGATTGGGTCGGCGATGTACGGCTTCAATCAGCAGAACGGTTCAGTTTCACGAGCAAATGGCGTTCCCAGCCCCGTTAGGAAACCTGTCAGCCCTCATTTGTACGACGAGGAACTGAAGGACTTGGACACGATGCTCAATAAAGCCCAGCTTAACCGGAGCAACTCGACATCGGAACCCACCAATGCGATTCGAACTCGATTTGGGCTTTCGCCAATCGTTGAGAGCGGTAACACTACGACCAAGGCACCGGAGTCCTTGTCCGTCCCGCCTTCGAGTTATCACTTCAACCCTCGCTATGCTCCTTCTCCAGTTCCTTCCAGTCCTTCCCTTTATCCTCCCACGCTCGACGAGGACAGTCCTTACACCGGGTACGATGATGATTACGATGACGATTGCAGGAACCTCTTCTACCAGAAACCAGCGTTGTCGCCTACCGTTCCACAGCAAGTGGCCACCTCCCTCCCTGCACCTCCTCGTCCCCCTCGTTCGAGGTTAAGAGACAGTGCGGCCAGTGTCATCGGTACGACAAAATCCACAGTGCGCCTGGCTCCCTCGTTAGCATAGGCAGCATCGGCGAGATAGCAGGAATCCCGAGGCAGCCACAGCAGAAGCCTAAAATTGGGATCAATGTCGGTGACCTGTTCACTAGATCCAGATCTGGAAGCCACTCGAGCCCGAACGACCCCACCGGGAAGAAAGAGTTTATCCCGCTTACTCCACCTTCTTCGGTAGGACACACGTCGCCTTTGCAGGAGAAGCACCAGGATATCTTGACGAACAGGAGGACCCTGTTGGATGTAAGTTGTTATTCTGCTTTTTAAGGGCTTGTGCTGATGCGCTTGCCAGGTTCGCCCCAGGAGTGTGCGAAGCACGACTAGTTCGAACTAGAAATCACAGCTATCCATCTGATTTGTAGAAAAATGCGACGTCCCCTGCTCATGCATATCTGAACGGCATATTGACCTGTATCCAATCTGTATTTTTATCGGGACCGATACTACTTTGCAATCGTCCTGACCTACGGACAGTCATCGTTGTAATTGTAGCTTTGTAGCTTTGTACTGCTGTTTTGATGTCAACTACACACGTGTGGGACTTGAAGGGTTCATAATGCATAAACGGAGGACTACGCCCCGCTTGGCCGGGTTTGATTAATCCAATTTCCCGTACGACCTGCCAGTGGGGCGCTGGATATAGTATGCTGGCCGCTTAATGGGAGAAGCTAGTGATGGCATGATCGGCAATTACCGACAGCTCAGGGGGACAACCGCCTGTTCGCTTTCCATCTGCTATCCCTTTCTACCAGTCCTCACCCTTGCCCCTAGAATTCGACATTTGGCTCGGAAATTACTGCCACATAGGAAGGCGAAGTCATGAACTGTGTAGATCAGACAATTCCTGACGACACAGCCCACGCCACTGTCGTATTTTTTTTGACTTGCAGGAGTCGATGTGTTACTGTGTAGGATCGCAGTGGTTCACGTACTGAAATACTTGTGTGATGCTCCAACGAAACGAGGGGAGCCGATGATTCTGGGCGGCTTTGGGCGTACGTTACGGTGAGGATACCATTGACTGTGTTGTGTGGAGCAGTCTCGAACTGACGTCAAACCCAATGTCTAGGTTCAATATATACCTCATGGAAGTGGACTGCCCAAGATCTAGCAGTCACCTAGTCCGAATCCTTCCTTTCCCCTCTCAAAACATGACGAAGCAGCACGATGACCGCGACCGCGAGGTCACTGACCCCGTCACCCACCTCCCTGTACGAATCCACGATGCAACCGACGTCGAGCTAGAACGAATTCCGCCGCCGCCTTCTCTCACAGAAGATAGAAAGGAGAAGCAGCGAAGAGACATACGCCTCCCGCGACTTGAAGAGAAGACGTTGGGAGACATAGTCAACGAGATGACGGAGAACGACAACTTCTGGTGGGATGATCCTCTGGGTGACCAGAACCGTACCAGGGTTCAGACGGCCATCATTGCAGCAGCAGCAGCAGGCTTTGGTGGCTTGGCTGGTCTCTTCGTTTATCGCTTCCTTGGTCTGCTGTTTGGCCATGCGGGCTTTCTTGTGCATACGTTTTCTGCGATAGTTGGATCCACCCTTTTGGCCGTCGCTGTCGGGTGTTGCGCCCTTTCATTCCACACGCTGCAAGACAAGAAGCCTCGCAGGCCTGATAAGGCTAGCAAACACCCAAAAGCAGACCCTGTAAGTCTCCCGACCGCCTGTCCCTGAAAGCAGTCGGCTAAAGGAGAGAATCCCAGTTTCACTCTATCCACGCCTTTGGAAAGAGCAAAGGTTTCTCCAGCCACCCTGATTCCGACCCCGAATCAGCTATTTGGCTCAATGGTTTCCTTAAATCAGTTTGGCCCCTCATCAACCCCGGCCTCTTCACTGCTGTGTGCGATATGCTCGAGGACTCTCTGCAGGCCTCTTTGCCCGCCATGATCCATGGTGTCAAAGTCGCCGAGCTGGGTCAAGGTTCCGAACCCGTTCGTATCCTCGGCATTCGCTGTCTCGACAAGGGCGCAGCAGCCACTGCTACCGGAGATGGAATGGAAGGGGAAGAAGGAGATTTCGTGAACATGGAAGTGGCCGTTGGATATCGAGCGAAGGACACTAGTGGTCTAAAAGGTCTCCGAGCACGCGCTGCCAATCTTCATATCCTGATGGAATTCTGGTTGTCTGGAGGAGGCCTTAAACTCCCTGTGTGGGTCGAGTTGGAAGGATTGCTGGCCATCGCGAGGTTCCGCATTCAGCTCATGTCAACACCCCCATTCCTCTCCCTCATGACCATGACACTACTCGGTCAGCCCAAGTTGAAGATGAAATGTACCCCTTTGAAGAGGGGGCTCCTCAACGTCATGGATATCCCGGGGTTGAGCGGATGGTTGCAAAGTACGATCGACGCGACTATCAAGGACATGTTGGTGGCTCCACGAAGTATGAACGTGGACCTCAAGGCCAGTTTGATGGGGGAGATGGAAAAGGACACAGCGGCGATCGGTGTTCTTGTGGTCACCGTCAGGAAGGCGATATTGAAGTTCAACGGTAACGAGAAGCACGATGCCTATGTCACGGTCGGGTGGAGCAAGCTGGGCAAGCCAATGTGGTCCACAAGGTTTGTCTATTTCTCCCCTAAGCCTTGACTGAATTGACAAACAATGTAGAATCATATCGGACTCGATTGTGCCGGTCTGGGAAGAAACGACTTTCTTACTGGTGGGGTCCAACGAAGTTGACATTCAAGAGGGATTGAGACTACAGGTGTGGGACTCTGGTACGTTCTCCACTCCTTCCAAAGACATTCCATCTCACTCAGCCATGTTCTTATAGACCGCTTCACGGCAGACGACCTGATGGGAAATGTCGATGTCCCTCTACATGACATAATGCACAATCATGCAACCCGAAACCACGTCTCAAGACGAGAAGACCACCTCGTTACAGACAAAGGCCAACCTACCAAGGGAGACTGCAGGATTTTGTGGGAATGTGGATACTACGAGAAGACATCTTTGGACGACTACCGCAGCGAGGAAGCGATTGAACGAATCCGGTCGGATGTCCACAGGAAGGCGGAGGCCAAACTCAGGGAAGCTATTGGGGCGGTCGATATCGAACATGAACAACAAGAAGAATCGGAGGACAAGGATATATTGATGGAGGAAATCGAGCAGCAGAAGGAGGAGGATATGAAGGCTAGAAGCGACGAGTAATCATGGGTGAAAAGCCGTCGAACGACTATGTTTCTGGCGTGTTGTCGGTGACAATAGAGCAGATCGTGGGATTGGAGGTGCAGAACATTAGGAAGAGTGGTGTCAAAGGCGTTGAAGACCAGCCGGGTGATGCATGTGGGGACCAGGACAACTTGCCTTGCGCATACTGCGTCTGTTATCATCCATCAACGCAAGGTATATCAGACAAGGACCAAGATGAAAGACGACAACCCATACGTGAGTTACGTTGTACCTGTCTCGTGTCCCATTCTGATTAGAATTCCTCAGTTTGGTGCAAGCACCGAAAAGTTCATTCGTGACTGGCGAACAACTACTGTCATCATCGCCGTTCGCGACAATCGCCAACATGAAAATGATCCTTTATTGGGCGTCGTTGTCCTTCCACTCCGAGACCTGTTCAGACGAAACCACTCCTCGATGTTTGTCCAGACTGTACCCATCACAGGAGGCATTGGGTATGGTAAAATGAAACTGGCGCTGCTGTTCAGAAGCGTCAGGCTCCCATTGCCCAAGCGGTTACGAGGGTGGGATGTTGGAACTGTCGAGGTGTATTCGGGTGCCAAGGTGGAGATGAAGCAGGGCCAGGGTGGCGGGAAGGTGCTGGAGGGCTGCAAGATGACATTTAGAATCGGCGCAGGGGAAGGGGCAAACGTGGGCAACAGCAAAGGCAAGATGGTCCCTCTGCACGAAAGCGACAAAGGTCACCATCGACATCTCCACTATCACCACGAGGGCGAGGTCGAATGGATCTCCAGGTCCAATAGGCCGGTCCGCCTTCCTGTCAAGAACCGCTACGCATCATCTGTCCTCGTCGAGTTCAAGAAGAGCACCACCACCGTCGACCAGACCATGGCTTTTGGGACTGTTTGGCTGAAGGACGTCCCAGACGACGAGGAGGTGGACCTTGTTGTTCCGATCTACAGTTATCGCCTGCGGAGTGGGAGCATGTCGAGCGAAAAGCAGGGCGTGAAATACGCCAAGATGAACGCGGCGGCACCGAAGGACTCGAGGGTGAAAGGCGGGCAAAACCTTAACCTGGAGGAAGAGGGAAGCGTCACGTACGAAGGAGACGGTGGAGAAAGTATCGGTCATGTCAGATTGCGTCTGTGCTTCCACTCGGGCTTGAGTGGGTATCATAAGAGCTTATCTGGAAAGGACAAGGCCATGGTAGACGTCATGCAGGTTCTGGACTGTGTCATGGCTTCTCCTCATGGTGCAGGAGCAGCTGCCCAGGGTGTTGGCGATCGCGGCTCGATGTCAGTTGCCAGCTCCATCAGCGATAGCGAAGGTTCCAGTGAAGACGATGACGAGTATATCGAACGCCATTCTATGGGGTCGGTGGTGGACGCGGAGTCGACCACGTCAGGAAAGTCCAAGTCCGGTATTGTCGAGAACTTTAAGCAGTTCAAGAAGCACCAAGGAGATCTGAATAGGAGGCACCGAGGCTTGATGCAGTGGAAGGCAGCGCGGAATGTGGCATGGATTGGGAAAACTGTCGAAGAGAAGTCGAGCGCCGTGGGTGGGAGGATACTCAGACCTTTCGTGGGGCATAGGGAACGGCAGATTGGGATCGATACTGAGGTATAGGACTGTTCGGGACCGTATTTTTAGTGACACTAGTGTCTTTCGCTATCTCAGTTATTCATTAACATGGACAAGATGCTCGTCCTGGAACAGCGACGAAACAACCTTTTACCTCCACAGAGTAAATGTCGCAAGGATTAAGTTAAGCATGCGTTGATATCGACAATCTAAATTATCCAACGAACGCATAACGCATCCGTACAGGAAAGGATCGAAGGAAGGGGTGTTCATAAAGCCCTAAAGATCACCGACATCTGGATGTCGAACCACACCTTGCCTCGCAACGCAGACACGGAGGATTGGTTTCCGACCGGATTATGGTTAGCTCGACGAACTGGTTGATCAAATGGGCAGCGGAAGGCGATCACATCCGTACTCGGAACGTTGAACCCTACCCTCAAGCCGCCGGTGTTCCAAGTCTCCTCACTCCAATCATACAAAGGTCGTTAATTATGCTAGAACATCAGCAAAGACAAGGAGCGCAAGGGCATCAAATAGCAAAATAAGAGAATAGGGAAATAACGAGGGTCAGACTTTACATATAGCAGAGGTGGTGGGTTCGAATAGCGGGGCGAGAACGTCTAGGTCGTCTTCCGCCCAACAGCAATAGATTATCAGGTTGCCAAATAATAACCCGAGATTTAAAAAAGAAACGTGAAAGGTCCATCGTCCAATTTTTCAAAACACCTACTACTCACAGCAAGCGTCAAAGAAAAGACCGGACGCGAAAGGTTAACACACCACATTCAAACCCACCAGTACCACATTGCCTCCCACGACCCCTCGTCCTTCACACCATCCCTCTAGCGACCATTGCCATTTCCACCTGCGGCAGCAGGAGCACCACCCTGCAACACTCCTCCAGCCCAACTCTTAACAACACCCTTCACGCGCTCGTAAACAGTACCCACAACAGGGGGGACGCCGGGCCTCTTGATAACAAGCTCCTCGAACTTCTTGTCAACAGTGGCCAAAGCGTGCCTGGTGAACGCGCTCTGGTAGTACCTCTGCTTCAAGAAGTGAGCGTAGATGAGAGGGGTGAGAAGAGAATTTTGGAAGGTGATAGCGCCGAGGAGGACGCGAACGAGGATGAGGATTTCAGCGTAGGCGACGAGAGACATGGCGCGGTCGTAGTTGGCTATGGTTATGGAGTCTCTTAGCATTTCCGAATCGTACAAATGGAAGCCAACTCACCTTTGACCCAGACCTGAAGCCTCTTGGCAAGTGGTGGGGGAGTAGGAGCACCACCATTGGCGGCAGGAGGACCAGGAGGGAGGAATCGAGGCATTAAGGTCGTTCGTGCAAATGTCAGAGCATGGAAGAGCGAGAAGATGGCATATGGGAGCAGAGCAACTGGAAACAGATCGTCAGCGCCCAAGCCCACAGACACAAGATAAGATGCCACGGACAAGTCACGGGTTTCGAGGTCCACCAGTAGAGCGCGAGCAGGAAGTATTGGACGTTCTGGAATCGATATTTTCAGTCAACCGGAAAAGTGGGATGATAAAATGAATAAATACTGACCTCATCGAGGAGGGCCCGTCGGAGGTAAGCAGCGTTGGGTTGGGGCGTCTATTAATGGATATGTCATGTCATCATCACGTAAATTGGACGCAAAAAAACGAATGATATGGGCGGCGGTTAGAAAACGCGGTTGGGGTGAGGATAGCAGTTGCAGTACATACACCAAGCGATTTCCTGGAAAGACCGTCAGTAAAGACACAAGTTAAGATTGAGGACTACGCACTGGCAAACGATGGCATAACTCAACAAAGCACCGGTAAAGCTGACTACGGGCGGAAATGGCGTCGGTTGAGGGCTACCAGGCAAGTTGGAGACTACGCACGCTTGTACCACCACGTCGAGGGGCTGCCAAAGGTTACACTTGAGAGGAAGATCTTGAGTGCGGATAGTAGGAGGACGAAGTGACCTCCAGCCCAGAGATAGTGCTGTGGGGGATCCATTGTAGTTGTGGTCAGTGTCATAGTTCCACGTTATCGTTTATATGAGAAGGGCCAAATCCAGAAATAGTGGGGAGAATTTCGGAGCAAAGGAGTATAAATGTTTTATGCACACAAGTCAGTGCTCACCTGTGTCGTCGCCATGATTCAAATGGCCGATTACAAATCTAGATATCGGTTGGTGCGGGTTGGTCTAGTTTCTGTACTCGAAAGGGCTCTGTTCGTTGCGCGACAGGACGAGAACAAGGTCAACAGCAGTGACGGTGAGCCGGTGAGCCTCGAGCGATCACACCACGTCACGTACAAGGTTTCGTTCCTTGAGAATGGTTTTGCCGAAGTCGAATACGTGTCCTGTAACGAATGTGGTTGTTGTTTAAGAAGACAAGCTGTGTGTGTCCTGCGCTGCGACGACGAACCTGAATGCGGCGAAGACAGACGACGAGCTCAGCACTGGAGGCACCTGCCACACAACACAACACTCAACGTGTTGTCGCGAGTTTCCACGGAGGCACGTGACTCTCTGCGCCCACTACGTCATCGCTCGTTCTCCACCTTGGACGATTCGGATGATGACCTCGAGCTCCCCGACGACGTAGACAGTGACCAACGAGAATCCTTCGAGGTAGGTACGTCCAGGAGGTCATTGGATACGGAATTAGCAGAACTAGATGGGCTTGTAACTCTTGATATTACGTTGCGTTTCTGTCATCAATCTCATCGATTGGACGTCAGAACGAATTGGAGCTTCTAGCCTGAAGAAAAAGGCCAACCGCAACGTCGATATATCGGGAATAACCAGAGCCATATCCAACCAATTTCTAGCTTCGAAACATATCGCGGGGGAAGCCCCTAAGTTCCCAATTAGGAAGTACACCGTCGGGATCTCGCGCCCAATTCGGTGATTCGGAGTTTGCTCTCAAGCTTGACCTCGAGCTTGTACCATGTCTCCGCAATCCATACGAGAGTGTATGTTTTCCTCTTTTAACTTCAAATTAGCTCACTTTCAACTGACCTATGAACTGTATTCAAACGAACTTGCTTCACCGTCAAACCGCTCAATAAAACCTTGAACACGAATCAGTATCCCTACCGCTGTCCATAGCGCTCTCATTAGCGTCTCTGGGACTAGGCTACGTCCTCGGAACTCTCAAATCCCAACCACAACCCCCATCTGCCCCAGGTCCCTCAGACCCAACCTCATCAACGACGCTCACCTCCTCAACCACAAGCCAAACAGCACCAACCCCCGGTCCAACCGCGGCTTCAACACCAAGCTCAAGTTGGATCATAGAAGACGATACAGACGACGAAGATGAGACCCTCGCAGACGGTGATCTGTCCGCTATAAAAGCTGGACTTACCGAGCACTGTAAAATGGTATGATCCAGTGTCCACCGCGTTACCTCAAGTCTCCAACCGTAGTGCTCGTGTAGGTCCTCGTCGTGCGAACAGACCTGGGGATGTCCACAGGGAAGATAGCCGCTCAATGCGGGTACGTTCCCCTCCTTTCCACCCTCCCTACCTCCCATAACAGCCACCCCAGACACGCGACACTAGCATGCTACAAAGCACTCATCAAAACCAACCCCGGACTGGTCAGACACTGGGAACGAACAGGGTTCGTCTCCCATCCCCTTCTTACAACATAGACCCTAATTCCACACCACCTCCCCACAGCCAAGCTAAAATCGCGCTAAAAGCCAGCTCCGAAGACCAACTCCTCGAACTAGAGGCAATCGCTAAAAGCCTCAACTTGTGTGCTCGAAGCATCCTCGACGCGTGGGTATCCCATCCCCCTTCTCACCGTTGCTCCCTTCGTTATTTGGGCTTGTATGGCTAACCACTCTCTCTATCCAGCGGCCGAACCCAAATCGCAGCAGGCTCACGAACCGTCCTCGCCATCGGCCCAGCTCCCATCCCGATTATTAACCAAGTTACAGGCCACCTCCGGCTCTTGTAATTGACAAAGTTTAGAATCTGAAGGGGAGCTTCGGAATACGTAGGCCGGCCCATACGTTCTACCCTTTCTAGACCCCACATCTACTTACCGAGTGTAATACCCAACCGTCGATGTATCGGTGTCGCTACACTAAATGCACCAAGCGATGACTGCTCATGTCTTCTTCCAATAACCCACTTGCACTCGCTTTCCCCAAGTCAGAGAAAAAGCCACTGGCATTCCTACGACGTATGTGCTACACAAAAATCAAGGTCATACTAATACCAAAAAAACAGTACGTAATGATCTGAAATTCGTGAAGGCTACACAGCGTTGAAGTGAGAGAGAGAAAAAAAAAAGGTCATTGAGATTGCATTCAAGTTCGTCATCTGGGATATGTCTATAATAAAACATGATCATGCTGGGTTACGTCGTATGTACGTGCGTCAAGAGAACTAGTAAGGAGATAAGAAAAGTACGGAGATCATCGGGACGTCGGATGGAGAGAGTAAGACTAAGAGAGAGAAAGGAAGCTCTAAGTTAAAAGGGAATCGTAATCGTTATGCATATGGATGAGACGTGTCAAGAGCGCAGACGAGACGGATTAAAAAGTACAACATATCCACCCAAAACACAGATTGACGAAGGCACCTCGTGGTACCTCCACCTTGGATGGTATAAAGAAAAATAGAAGAGCGCGAGAAGAACAGAGGTAATAAGATTAAAGAAAAGCCCAAGGAAACGACTAAAAGAGGGCAAAGAATGAAGGAGAGAAGAAGAAAGAATAGGAAAAAAAGGTGAACGTCTAGAGCTCTATAGATACCTAAATTAAAAAAAAGCGAGGGAGGAAAGACCACAAAACAACAAGATGAAATAAAATAAGTAAAAAAGCAAAGCATACGGGATAGTAACGTCCTTCTCGTTCACAACACCACCAACGAGAGAAAAAAATAAAATACGAGACGACCAAGGAAAAAAGCCTAAAAACCCACATGCCAAAAGGGGAGGAAGGGGAATACCACACAAAGCCCAAACTAAAACACTTCCGAAGCGCATTTGCGCTACCACTCTGTCACCTCCTCCTCATTCGAAACATCCAACCAAGGATGGTCAAGCATATCCCTCGCATGCGCCCGCTCCCTCATATCAGCCTTCAGCATCGGCTCCAAAAACGCACAAAGCGCATCCGAATCCTCTTCCGAATAAAGGTACTTCTCGATCATAACCCTCTTCAAAGGCCACGGCTTCAGCGTCCGGATATACCTCAACGCACCTGTACCCATCGCAACACCGTCAGCAAACGAAATCCTCGCAATCCAAACCTAATCGAAAAGCAAACATACCAGTATGATCAAACAACTCCCTGCTATACTTCCCACCCATCTTCACGTCCAACGGGAAATCTCCCAATAGCTCAATGATCTGCGCCATATGATCATCGTCCTTCGTGAAGAGCTCTCCCTGCCCTTGCGGGTCGAACAAATACTCGGCCGTCAAAAGCTCGAAAACGACACACGCAACACTCCACACATCCGCTCTTGTATCCCAATCCTTGCGGCCTACGATAGCTTCGGGAGCGCGGTATTGGCGAGTCTGGATATCCTCGGTAAAGTGTTTCTTCGACGGAGTGGCGTTGCCGAGGTCAGCGATCTTGATGGAGATAGGGGGAGGATTGGGGAATTGTGAAGTAAAAGGAGGCGGTGGAGAAATGGGGAAAGAACCAAACACAGGGCCGTCAACGGGTGTGGGAGGGGGAGGAGCAGGACTGGAGGATGTACCGAAAACTAAACGTTGGGCAATGGCAGTGGAAACGGTGGTGAAATTCGGTCGGGAGGTTTCGCTTGGGAAATGAGAAGACAGCACCGAGTCATGCGAGGGAAGGGAAGGGCAAGGCTCGGAATGCATGTGCGCTGAGAGCTGGGAGATATGTTGGGGAGGCGAGGGTCGAGTCGTAGTCGTCCGAAGAGGTTCCACATTCGCAGATATCCGTGTGGGTGCAGTTTGCGTCAGGAGGGAGACATGATTAGTCGTAACATTTGTTTCGCCGGATTGCGGCGTCCTATTCGTGGTGTTGGTATTCGGCTTCGTTTCGCTAGTGGGATGAAGACCGGTGGAAAGCATAGTAGAGGTATCACTGATAAGCTTGCTAACGCCATTGATAATCGACATCGTCTTGGTCTTTCTCGGTCCCAAGGGTGTTCCCGTCGGCGAAGGTTGCGTGGCGGTGGCAGTTGTGGAAGAGCTCTCCGAGTGGGCTATTGTGATGGTGCTGGTACTACTGCTCGAGGTACGGAGTGAATTGAAAGCCGTCTGTGACGTTTCTTGACCATCAGCACTGGCTACGGCATTGACGAGTACAGCAGGAGCGGGGGAGGCAACACCAGGATCCTGCCAGGGTGCACCAGATTGTGAATGAGAGTGGCCGTGTCGATTGGATGACCGGGGCTTGCTAGATTTGAAAGGGCTTCCTTTGGACTTGTACGACGACGAGAGAGAGGAAGCCTGTTCGATCCAAGATGACGGCTTGAGTGGGCTACTTCCAGCACTTAACCCTTCAGGTTCCTTCTCTTTGCCCTTCATTTGAATAGGGATACCACTCCGTGTAAGCTCGTCGAGTTCCTCAAGGGTTTGTCGGACCGAGGTCACTTCCAAGCATGTGCTCTTGGTGAAACCTACAACCCCACTCGTCATCGATTGGGATAATGATGTCGGCGGGGTGCTAATGAGGCTCCCAGAACCAGCAAGGGTGGAGACAAGTGCGGAAGATATGGATGAGGAGGAAGAGGGAGGTGGATGGAGATTTGGAGTCTGGTGGCGGGACAGGAGCCGCATTGGCCGCTGTGGTGCTCGCACGCATTGGAGACTTTGGGCGGGGCACGGCGAACGAACATGATAAATGGCTAGGGACCTTGGGGGCGCTGGAGCCAGTCGGAGCGCCGCTGATAAAACTGGATATGGGCAGGGAGACCATGGCTTGAGTTTCCGGAGAATATTCATCTGTGCAACGTAGCTGTTGCTCTGGCTGTTGTGTCCACTGGCACTTCCACTACCGGGGGCGCGGGACATCGTCAAATTTGAGTGCCCACCCGCACTGTTTCTTCCTAAACTCCTTCCAGGGCTGGATAAAGGCTGAGATTCGAATATTTGCACCTGTCGTTTGGAGCCCTGCCTGTTGTTGTATGGTATGGTAACTCCGGCACGGGACTTGGTGGGTAGCGGAACGCCCACTCGGCGTGAGGCCGGAGAAGGCGATAGGGAGAGTTCTTGGTGAATATGTGCTTCGATATCCGGGATTGATATCACTAAGTGGAGATTAGCATTCGTCCGAGTCCGAGAATGATAAGGCCACAACTCCGGATAAGAAAAAAAAGGCCGTGAAAAAAACACTCACAGATGTTCTCCGGTTTAATATCAGTGTGTACAAGGTCGCATTCATCGTGGAGATACTGGAGACCGAGGAGAACCTGCTTTGCAATGATCTTGACGAGAGCCTTGGGGACCCCCTTCTTCTTGTTCCGCTCGATAAGGGCGAGGAGGTTTTCGCCGAGGGGTTCAAAGACGATACAGATGTGGGATGATTCTGGACCTTGGTGGGAAAAGGAATCGAGGAAAGAGACGATATGTGCTCTTCCAGGATGGTCCGGAGAAACAGAAGCGACCCGGGAGAGGAGCTTGATCTCGTCTCTGGCTGTCTCTGCATAGCGTCCGGCGGACTTGACGACCTTGAGTGCGCTGTGTACGCCGGACCTGATTGAGAAGATGATAAGAGATGAGAAAGCGATGTCGAGTGTGGGATGGTGCTCACTGGGAATCCTTGACGAGCCAGACGGTTGAAAAGTGACCCCAACTATTTATTACGTTCGATGAGTGGATAACGAAAAATATAATACAACGCACCCAAGCTTGCGAACGACTCTATATCTGCCCTGCTTGAATGTATCATTGACCTTCACGGGGAGATAACCGCCAGCATTGTAGTCTGCGGGGCTCTCCTCGTCTTTGCACGATGGCTCATCGACGGGGACGATCTTTGGGCCTGCTGGAGTGACGACGTACTGGTACTTTGCGCAGGGAGGCTTGGGGGCCATCAACAGACGACGACGGGCGATGGGCTTTGTGCTGAAAGACAGGAGCAGAAGACCCAACCAACATCCATGACAGTGGCGTATCCCGTATTCAACCATTTTCACACGCTCAAACAACACCATTCCCCGCTTCGGCCCGCCAGTCAAAACTTACCCCATCCTTCTCGATCCACCCGACAACCCCAATTTTATTATTCTCAGATGACTCTGAAGAGCCTCAGTGACTCGGCGTCCAGAATTACAACCCAGAGTGACCAAGAAGCTAGCAACAGCCTACAACCCAAGTGAAACCGTGATGATGACTAAGCCAATTGAGAACGCGACGCGATAGCTTGGCGCCGGCCAGTTGTTTGGTCCAATCGTCTCTGCTCAATTCCTCATGGGCAAAGGTGAAAGAGACGAAGCTTGCGCTGCTCTGGTACGCTTGCCAGACCGTCTGTCACTGTCGCTGCTCATCGTTACTGCCTTAGACTGGTCTCATTCTCTCGTCGCTGCTCGACGAATTCATCCTCGACTGCACGCTCCAGGCGCACCGCGAGGTAGCCAAGAGCACAACCATTTGCAAAGTATGCAACACGAGGTTCGTTAATCCTCGGACTCTGAACCAAAATCAACCTAACCTCCTATGTCTTCTTCAGGTGTAGTTCTGGTATGTTCCAGCTCCTAGGCTCCGAACAAACAATTGACTCGTCCAAGTCCACTTGCCCAACAGCCTCGCCGCCGCATGCGCCAACCAGAACGGCTCGAGATCGGGCACACCCTCCTCCATTGGTGATAAATCGCACACCGGCACTAACACACCGACCAACGGGAAGAGCGACGGGAATCTCTTGCTGGAATGTATCCAATGCAACAGACAGGTTGGGATCTCCGTCAATTTCACCCGAATCCCCCGCTGGTAACTGACCACGGGTGGGCCGACCTTAGATCGCCTCCAATAGATATGCACCCCATCTCAGCTCATGCATGGGCCTCTCCAATTCCCGGCGCGGTGCTCCGAGGTCTGGTACCAAGCTAAAGTACGTTCCCCAGCGGGTGTCTCTACGTCTGCTGTTCACACTTGTGCCAGTAGGGCGCCATCCGACGCTGGTCGATCGGCGTCACCTTCCTCCGAAGCCTATCTCTCCGACGACAGGAGCGTCGGTAAATCCAAATCGTACGGCAAAGGTAAACAAGGTTAGCATCTGCCGCCCGTCGGACATGCCCATACTAACATGTAATGCAGACGACGAGTACACTCTCAAACGGAAACGAGTAAGCCCATTTTATCTCACACTATTGACCTGCCGATTAATCGCACTAGCCTCTATCACCTCAAGTCACGCCAAGCAAGAAGAGCAAGAGCAAGCTCTCTGGTGAATTCGGGCTTCCGTCGAACGTATCGTATACTCACCGAAGCCCAGGCTCCCCCATCTCCCGGGTCAAAGCCGACCCCGTCAGCTCAGGTGTCCCAGGCGGCGTAAGTCACTCCCCCAAATATCCTCAATCACATCCACTAATTCCCTCTCACAGTCTCACTACTCACCAACCACCAAATCACAATCACGCATCCCTTCCAAACTGCGCGACTCTTCGATCGCACCAGACCACTACTCTTCCTCTTCTCGTTCGTCATCACCCGAGGCCGGTTCGATACCCACACCGGCTTCTTCGTCTTTCACTCGAAGTCCGAATTTGAGTTCTCGTCCCGTTACAGGGACAGGGAGACCAAGAGGTCGGCCTCCCGGTTCAGGCACTGGTCCACCTAAGCGCCCAAGCCCTCCACGGCTTCCAGCTGCTCCTGTTATCCACCATTTTGGCATGGGTGAGTGTCATTTTACCGTTCTCGAAGGCACACCAGGCATAACAAGAGAACACTGGTCACAGACGTCGATGGCGAAGAAACGGTTCTTCAACCGACTCCAGCTCAGAGTGATCTTATCGACCACGTTCACTCCTTTCCTTCCCTCTGCACGGATCGTTACGCGCATGTTGTACTTTATATTTATACCAAGTCTCTACGTCCATGATATCATCCTCTAATGTCTTCCCAAAACGTCATACCAAAAGTCAGGGCACCTTCCTAAACAAGATGCATTGAACATCATGGCGCCGTGCAACGATGAGAACGTCTTCCCCGCATCTCTTCCTCTGTCGTTTTGGTGATACCCTCATATAAGGCCCTGAACACCGTTCTGGAGCACCATGAATGGCAATGTCAGTAAAGGAGCTCGTTAGACTCTACGAGTCGTCGCCGACCGTGGCGGCAGATGAAGGTTCTGGCGATTACAACCGACCTGGTTCTGAATCCACCGAGACCACTGCTACTACAACTGCTACAGACTCGACGCGACACCCGTCAGCGATATCAACTTCAACCGCTTCAACACTAATACCCACACCCGCTCGGTTCATCCGCCACAGCATCCCTTCACAACCCACAACCGACCCCTTGCTCAACTCGCCTAACGAACATAACGGAACTCAATTCACGAACCACGATCACAATACTACGCTTGTGCCTCCCAGTAATACCCTACGACGACCAGGCCTCCCACCACGCACCAGTACCCTCCGCTTCCTCGACTCCCTCCCCGAAGACAACTCCTCTCTCTTCCCCAACGACCCCGGAGGCGACGCCCGCCACACATACCCACCGCACATCCACATCAAGCTACCCAACGGCTCCCGTCTAGCTCCCAACGCGAACCACAACTCTAATCATGATACTCCCAAGAGTCCTGCAGGCCCCCATTCGTATTTCACCAGGGGAACGACGACGACGACGATAACCTCCACGTCCGGTACCAGCACGCGCTCTCATATACCTATACCAGCTACGACGGTCTTTGCTCGAAATGCAGCTCCTGTTCATCTACCGCGATTGAATAAATACCTCTCGAATATGCCCAAGCCCGAGTTTCTGGAGTCGCTCCATTCGTTACAGCAAGACGGGGATATGAAAGGGAGGGAGGCCGTAACTGTAGAAGAAGACGACGAGGAAGAAGGGGATGAAGATGAAGATGGGCTTTTAAACGCCCAAGGCAAGAAGAAGAGGGAGGGGAAAAAGAAAGAGAAGAGGAAGAATGACAAAGGAAAGAAAGGCAAGGAGGCACTGAAGGGGAAGATGTTTCCACCAATGGATAAACTCAAGGAATGCGGTTCGAGTTTGGAAGATCTCGAGTTCAATTCCAGCATCATACCAGTGTGGAGGGATAGGAAGACTCTTCTAAGAACGAGCATGAATATCCTCATCGGTTTCCTGGTGCGTTTGAATGCCAATACCCTCCCGGAAGCTCTAACTGATGTCACTTTATACAGGGATCCAGCGCTATAGCATCCTTCTACAGTCTTCAGGGACTCGTTAATACAGTCCAAGTCTTCGCACTAATCTTAAGCACCATTGGTACGAGCTTCCACAGTCTCCGCCTGAGACTGTTGACCAATTCTTTGTTTCAGTTCCCTCGAATATAGACGTCTGGGACAAATGGAAACAGCTCTTCCTCGGCAAAATGTATGCGTTCCCTCTTCCTGCACCTTCTTCCTCAATTGACATGCCTCTCCAGCCCCAACGTCCTCGCTCTAAACTTCGCCTCGACCCTTGTCCAGTCCCTCCTCTACCTCATAATCTTCATGGTCTTAGCCGCTTCTCTCCTTTACCACTTCTACCGCTCTACCCTCCAATGCAAGCGCTACACCACCCTAGAAGGACTCCAACAAACCGAGACCCAAGGGCGGCAAATCGGTCTAGTCCTCACCACTTTCCTCCTAACCGTCATCTACCTCCCGCTGAGCACGATGGCTGTTCATGTTATCGTTTGGTCTGAGGAATTGTGGCCCGTCCCCAATCCCTATACGAATACGACGACGTTCCCGCCATTGGTTGAGCCCCTGGGTCCCAGCGAGGAGTTTAGAAATCCTATGGACTTTTGTTGGACGACGACGATGAAGAGGAATGAAGTCAACTATGCGCCGGTAATGGTCATCCTAGGTGCCGTTACTTTCCTTTTGGTGAGTCTTGGTCTCGGCGGTCTCCACAGTAAATTCTTCATGCTTTAAACACACCCGCTTACTCGCATCTCAGTTAGGGATCTGGTTCCCTCTCGCTCTCCGTCGTGTGATCCGACTATCCGTACCCAAGGTGGAGAAGTACAGTGGGATGGGCCGTATACGTTCCAGCGCCGACTTGGATGCAGAATACCACCGCCTCCTCGAACGAGACCGCAATCCTTTCGCGTTCCTCTACAGCGGTACGTATACCTACTCGATCCCAACTCCCACTCTACCTAACCCACACCTTCCCATACAGCATTCCGCCGCGGCTGGGGCACCTACTCCTCCACCTACCTCTTCGCAAAACTCAGCACACTAGTCATCATCGCAGTAATGGACACCAACAACTGCCTCTTCCACTCCTTCTCCTCGCACCGCACGATCCCAGTCGCACGCCAAATCATCCTCCTCATTTCGACTATAGGTTTCTTCATTGCTCAGTCCGTTTACGCGCCGTTCTTGGATCCGGTAAACAATGCGAGTGAGTGGACGTCGAGGTTGAACTATGTGTCCACGGCCACGACAGCGTTGTTGGTCCAACTGGATGTTCCGGGGAAAGAGGTGGTTGAGACGTATGTTTTGTATAGGTGCGTTCATCGTTTTCTGTTATTCGACACTTCAGTTGAGGATACTAATGCGCTGGGCACGTTGGCAGTATTTATGTTGTAACTTACGGACTTGGTTTCTGTGGGTACCAATTCTGTCAAACCCTGAAGCGTGCTTTGCTGATTGTGCTATAGATTTTGCTGTTATTAATGTTGGATTCACGCAACGAATCGTCAAACGACTTACACGACGAATCGATTTTAGTATGCTCCATCTTCTCTTCACCCATTATAGTCTTCTAACCCACCATCACATCAGGCATCGACATCTTCTCTCCACGGTTCGCATCCCACCATTCACTCGCCAGACCGGGTCACTTAACCTTTTGAACAGGCTAGACGTCTCCCCCTCCTCCGTCCACATCCGCCGTCGCATATGGCAAGAATCGGTAACAACCCTGCTCCTCACCGACCCCCACTGCCGCATCCCCTCTTCCCAACCCATGTTCTTCGCCCAAGCTTCCTGTTCATCCTCACCCTCGTCCTCTCCCGATACCAATCACCAACACGACAACCCCGAATACCCACCCTACCTCCTCAACTTCACCGGCACTCCAGGCGAACGCCATGCAGAAAACATGAAAATCCTGCGCGAAGTCGGTGATATGTCCTACCGGCAAGCTGCAGCTCTGTTAAATGGCCCAGATTATGCGTGGTTCAAGTATCTGGAAGAGCAGATCCAGAAGTGGTATTTGGGTCCGGACTCGTATTGGCGCCCGCCTGATCAAGGGGATTGTGGTGTTGAAGACGAGTTGGATGGGAGTGAGGGTGGATGTAAGAGTTATTTTGGGAATGCTTGGTGGATACCTTTTCCTCCTACGTTGGTGAGTTACATGAATGCTTTTAGAGAGGGTGGGCGGTTAACGAAGCTGTTGATAGGTCATTCGCTACGATGATGGTCCTACTGCGGTGGTCAAGGACGTACCCGACTTGGAGGCCTACATAGCTCAGAATTCAGATCCAGTCATCCAACAAAGAAAACAAATCCGTTTATCGCTTCGAGCTTTGGACGGGAAGCGGGTATACTGGCCGTACGAGCACAAACAGGTATAACACCCCCTTCTCCCCACATTCAACCAACCTAACCAATCCTCTCTCCCAGCCCATCGGAACCTCCAAATGGTTCTGGAACAGACGCGGCAACTTCAAAGCAACAACCTCCACACACTACCGAACCGCCACTTTCACCCTCAAGCACACCGGGTTCCTCCTATGGCAAGGCGTCCACCTCGGCAGCGGCTTCACCCCTTCCCTCTCCTACACCAAACACCTCATCCTCCCCGCCTCCTCCACCATCGGCCTCACCCACACCTTTGACCTCACCGCCCCGCTCGCCAAATTCCTCACACTTAACCAAAATTTAATCGAGGAACACCTACCCCGTATCGAAGAGGCGATGCAGAGTTATAGACTTTACCATCGGAAGGAGTGTAAATGGAAAGCGAGGGTGTTGTCGTATCGGTTTTTGATGCATGTATGGGCACAACCGCGGGATCCGACGGGGCTTCCGCAGAGTTCGATCGAGTTCGAGAGGGACGGGAGGGTGAGGGGCTTGATGTTGGGGAGCGGGGAAGTGTTTCGGAGTACGTATGAACGCTATGTTGCGGTGGCGAGGTCGGAGGCTGCGACGTGGTGGTATATCTTCTGGGTACACATCTCGCATTTTTTATGCGGAGCAGGGAGCTGACCTATTTCGCAGGACGACTTGTGGCGAAGAAACCACGATACCATCGCTGGACTACGTCGATACGAAGAGGACTTCAACCCACATTATATGTCTTCCATCGCCTATACACCACTCCCTCGACCGGCACTCGAAGCCTTCCTCACACAACGCGGCTTACTGCACAAGAAACCCAAGCTATTCGACTTTTTCCATTCCGGATTTCTCAACAAACTGTATATCAGGCTTAATGACTGCGTTTTCCGTGATTCTCAACGCGTACGTTTCTCTCATCCGCATCTCAAAACGAAGCACACTGACCTTGGTCATTATCTAGGCGGTAATGTTCCATTTAGGCCACGACAGACGCGAACTCGACATGGAAGAAATCGACGCCCTCACCCAAGGGAACCCTTCCACTCTCGGGACAGGTGGTGGAACAGACCACGATGTCTCTTGGATCCGCACACGGCCCACTTACCGCTGGGAAGGCCTGCTCTCCGACCCCGTGCGCAAACGTGAATGGGGCCAGCGTCGGTGGTTCGCCAAGCTCGGTGCGTGGTTCGGTTTGACACCGGTGTGGAGGTCGGGTGTGGTGTCGAATGGGCTTTCGGTGGATGTGAGGTTGGATGAGCATGGGAGGTATGTGCTGTTGGACGATGCCTCGACTGTGGATTCGAAGAGTGTACGTAGTGCTGGTGCAGTTCGGTGATGATACCCTTGTAGTCAATTGTAAACGATATCCTAATGACAATAAGCATTGCAAACACGCCTCTATGAGAACCGCTGTCGTTTGTTGGGACCTCCACCACCAAACGACTTGGAAGGGATAGCTCGCCGCTTGGACCCGCTGTCTTCCAGTCCCGCACCTTTGGCATACGGACGAGACTTTTTCTCTTTTTGACCAATCTTCTTTTGTTTGCGGTCAATAGCTTTCTTGACTGCGCGGTGACCACCTTCCTGCGACAAAGCTTCGAAGCGAGCCTTTTGTACCACCTTTCGTTTTTCCGCTGGGGGAACAGGTGAGTTCGTATCCTGATAGAAAGGCTCTTTGGTACTCACATTGTTTCAAGAACCACTTTCCTTTGCCCTGCTTCTGTTTCTCCTTCTCCTCCTTCTTCACTCTTTGCAAAGCCTGTTGCTGAATGGCGTCCATCCTATCCTTATTAACCAAACTCTCAGTTCGCTTCACAGCCCTCTCCAACCGCTCGATCTCCTGCTCTCTTTCGTCGCGTAGATGTGCAGGACAGGAAGACATTGCCTTGCGAGCTTTAGCGAGGGTTTCTTTTAGTGTCTTGAGTTCTTCCTTGCGCGACTCGGCTAGGAAACCGTATGACTTTTGGAATGCTTCGGGTTTGAATTCGCCGGCCGTGGGCAGGAAGCGGGGGTCTCGAGGTACCTGTTAAACGTTAGTTGTGGAGTATACTGAATCGGTAACAAGGCGTACAAGTTTGGGCACTTCGACAACTGTTCGTTTACGAGAGACGGGCTTTTTGGAAGTCACTTCCATGGGCCTAGCCAGAACGTTAAAAGAGTGAACAGCACCGATAGATAAAGTGGACATACGCATGCTTGTTCGCCCTAGCGTGCTTTTTGGTATCTCTTGATATCCACTCGACCTTTTGCGGTTTCGTAGATTCCTCCTCCACTTCTGATCCACTGTCTTCATCCGACTCTTCGTCGCCAGACTCTGATTCAGAATCACTCTCTGCCTGAACTTGCGCTAGAGCTTTTTGTGCCTTGCGTAGTGCTCCCAAAGGAAGACCGCGGAGGTCTACAAAACGTCTGTCAATTCAAGATAAACCGAGCACCTCATGAATCACGCACTATTTTCTAAAGCAGACTATCAATCAGTTAGAAGACACGATTAGTGTTGGTGGAAATCACGCACCAGCTGCGAGGGTTGTTTCTTGGGTTCTTCTTCTTCCTCTATCTTGTTGTATATATCATCGTCGTCTGGCTCCCACTGGGCGATCCTAGGTGCATCTGCATCGTCCGAGTCGACGTCCTCGAAATCCTCTTCTGCGTCGCTTCCGTCCGACAAACCGTCTTGGCTGGACCCCTGTTCAAAATCACTTGATGATGGCGAGTCTTCCAACTCCTCCTCCTCCTCTCTAAGACGCTTCAACGATGCCTTGGAGACGGGTTGGGCCTTGGACTTGACCGGCATTCTAGGCGGATGTAAGGGGAAGAAGAGAAAGCAATCGTGGGAAGGTTGGAATTGGCGAGATCACCGTCAAGAGACGCTGGTCCGCCGCAGCCGCCAACAACCCAAACCTCGATGTTATTTTGACTCGCTGACGGGGCTTTCTATTGCCCTAACTGGACTCTTGACTACGCTTTCGACAAAAGCAATAGATATCCCTTGATGATTGCCATTCGACCATGTCCCCGACCCCAGGCGACCCAAGGTTCCCAGAAAGACCCCTTCTGTCCGCCATACAACCTCCAAGGCACCTTGACGGCCCTCCGCCTCTCCCACCACAACCCACCGCATTCGACATCGACGACGACGATGACGGCGACATATACCGTGGAGAACACCCTCGCGCATCCAGCGATTTTGCAAGCACCCTCTCAAGCTCATCCTCCGGTTCATCCTCCTCGTCTTCAACTCGACATGGAGGCCCACTCGGAGCTATAACCGCCATCGTCGAAGTAGCAGTCTCAAGATGGGCAAGGCGAGTCCGGCGAGGCTCATCAGCGGGTTCAACCACCTCTTCTTCCACCTCCGAAACTTCATCGTCATCGTCTTCCTCTTCAAATTCGCGATCATCCATCAACACCCTCGCCCGCACCAAACGCAGACTCAAGGCACGATCCAGCCAGGCGAGCTTGCAGACGATTCAATCAGAGCGGGAGATCATTGCGCATATAAGCAGGCTCAAGGCTCTCGAAGAGTCCAGGCAGATCCCGAGGCAGTTTGGGTTGTATCTCCCACCTACACTTGAAATACCCCGGCAACCTTCGAAATCGGGTGTGGTATGGGAGGGGAAGGATGATGAAGGGAAGAATCGAGTACTCTCCACGACCTCCTTGTCGACGGTTATCAGCCATTTGGAAGCCGTGATGAGGGCATCCAGAGGCCGCAAACCTCGAGGGAGAAGCAAAGGCCCCCACCAGCTCGTCGGTAGCAGCAGTGGATCTCGAGGTGCGCCCAATATGGACCAGCAGACCTCTCGCCGCCTCAAGCACGACGCCAAATCGAGGGCATTGGGCTACTCTCACCCACCCGGTACCAAAAAGAAGAAGGGGAAGCGGAGAGCGGTGTCGTCATTCGCGCGAGTTGCATCAGGATCCTCGAAGGACAAACCCCAGGCTTCTTCATTAATGCCAAAGGCTTGGTTCTTGGACGTCGCTTCTCCGACTTGGGAAGATCTTCGTGCACTTGGAAAGGTGCGTCTTAGAGAAGTCAACAATCGCTAACCAAGCTAACAGGTTACTAGTTGCTTCATATCCACCCATTGACCCTGGAAGATATCCTCCAACAAGATCCCCGCGAAAAGTTAGAGCTATTCCCAAAACTCGGCTACTACTTCATCTCGTTCAGAGCCATCGAAAGTCAAGCGGAACGGACGAGGATGCAAAAGGAAGCAAGACGCCATGCCGAAGCAACCGGAAACGACCCAGACGCAGTAGACATTCCTATCGGCGAAGCAAATGTATACCTGACTGTTTTTAATGACGGAATTTGTTGTGTCAGTCTTTTCTTAAAGTTTCGGGGATGTGTCGAGTACTCACTTTTCCTAGTTCCATTACAGAGATATATCAGGTTTGTTCCAGACAATGCTTTCCTTCCACAGGTCGGGATTGACCAACCACCGCTCGGACAGACCATGTTGCCCGTGTACGAAATCGTATTGTTATGCTGGACGAAGTAGTAAACATGTCTTCAGGTGTGCATCCCTCCTCCTGATTGTGTCAACTCCTCTAACCCTCTCCCAGACTGGATAGCCCACGGGATTATCGACTCCATCGTCGATTCCTTCTTCCCTTTTTTAACCGAAATAGAAGCAGAGGTCATGGCCGTAGACGACCTCGTATACAAAGATAGCGACATGACAGGCGAAGAACTAATTGAAGACCCCAAACCTCCACCACCCACCGAACCACCTACACCCTCCACACTCAAAACCGAACTTCGGCCAGAACCCGATCCATCACCCGCAATGGACGAGGAAAAGGCTGTAGCAACTGCTCCCTCTGAGAAACGACTCTCTAAAAGCTCGGAGACATCACAAGAGAGCGCCAAACCGCACTTTAGTGCACCACGGCCTACGCTTAGGATGTTGCTTCGACGAGGGAGACGGTACATCGCTGGCCTATGGCCCCGTCTAACACGCCGGACACAGGAAGTGCGGACTAGGGCTAGTCCCCGTGTCACCACACTACGTCGAATGGCAAAGACGAGACGTTTGGTGACATCCTTAGGTCGTTCACTGGCTGGCAAGTCCGAAGTGATGACTCAGATTAGGAAGAGGCTGTTACAACAGGGAATAGAGCCCTCCCTGGGTAACGGTGGAACTAAAAGTGAAGAGCTAGAAGTCGCTATTTATATGGGGGACGTGCATGGTACGTCATCTCCCCTTGTCCAGCACTTTAACTGACGTACGTTTAATCCATAGACCACATTCTGACCCTTCTAAACTCGTTAAACCACATAGAGAGGATGTTGAGCCAATCACATCCGACTTATTTATCGCAGCTACGGCTGGGAGTAGCTAAAACTAAGGGAGGATCCGACATGGCGTTTCTATACCTGACGGTGATCAGTATAGCGGTTTTGTGCTGTCAAGCTGTTACCGGTAAGGCCATCCATCCTCACGTCACACCAACCGACCACTAACGCCCGCTTCTCCCCTACCACTAGGAAGTCTCTCAATGAACCTCCACGTCCCAACCAACCGCCATGAGCCAGGCGCACCCTACAACGTCTTCGGAATCGCCATTAGCCTCGTCTGTGTTGTGCTCACCAGTTACCTCGCCCTCGTATGGTACTGGTGGAAACGAGCAGAACGCAAACGACTTGGAATGTTGCGCAAGGACACTTATTATACCCTGCAGCCTATTTGAAATACCCATTTCGTTCTTTTCACCGATACGACATTCCTTTTTAGGCCCCTCTTTTCGGTTTACGAGATGTTTTTACCTCTTGGAGGAGATTCAACGTTTTCGCTTCTGACTTGGAGCCCGACTTCTTCTTTCCTTTTCGCTAGGCTCTTTAGACTTGTCATTCCCGCATTTTTATGCATGCATACGAAACGTCACGATACTTTTGTTCGCAACGGACTCGAGCTTTGAAACAAACAGCATAGAACAGACTACAGGATGTCGACCAACCGTCGACAGTTGCTGAAGCAAGTACATTATATACAAGTGGTATAATACTAGATGAACACATAGATCCAACACATGCTGGTTCAAGCTCGTGTTTGGAGGAAGGAGACACGAGGAAGGGTATGAGTGGAACACGATGGTAATTTTAGCCAGTGTGGCAGAAAAGGTCTAGGCAGTCGAGACCACGAAGCAAGGAAGACGAAAGTAGAATTTACATACATACATAAGAGATATTGATAGATGAAGAGTCCGTTATCGGTTCATAACAAGGTCGTCGAGTCGTTAATTTTCGTCAATTGGTGGTAGCACAGGTCTACTGCTACTTCCGTTTCCGTTCCCAGTGGAACTCCCAACTCGAGCGAGGTTGTCGTTGGCTTCTGTTAACGCTTCTTGTACTACAGGAATAGAACGCGGGTCGGTCTTATAGCGGCACAGACAATCTACGAAAACCGGACGTGTACTCACCTTTGTCCTTGAACAAGCTACTGCGATCCTCAAACTCCTTAAACGCCTTCTCCAATACCTCCCTCTGCCTCCTCACACCCTCTTCAATCCTCTGTAAATGTTCTGTCTCTGCCTGTAGATGGTCAAGTCCTTGTGTAACTTGCTCGTGAAGGCTTTCGAGGCTCTTGATCTGGTCCGTGTAGAGGGTGCGGAGTTCTGTCCATGTTCCTGGAGACAGCTAAGTTATACACCTCTGGGGGAGGATGGTAGAGGCAAACGCACCAGAATTCTGAGCCTGTTTATCCAAATCCTGCGGGGCATCGGCCCATGAGACAGTCTTGACCAAATCACTCATACTACTCCTCTTGATACAACTTCGTCTTCTTCGTAGTGGCTTCCCGTCCGGTCCCAGGGTCACACCTTGGCCGTTGCTTCCTCCAGCCCCGTTCGCGTCGTCTGAAGTTTTAGCGCCCGAGGAGCCATCGCTGGGGATGTCACCTGTGGGTGAGGTCGGGTTAGGCGCCGGTCGCGGGGAGGACGAGGATGGTTCGCCGTTCGGAGTTTGTGGGGAGTCAGGTGGGAGAGGCAGTAACGGCGCAGGTTTCTCCGACGGATCCACAGGTGCATCCGCTGGTAATCCGTACTCCTCCCTCTGCGACAACAGCAGAACCGGTAGCGGGAGCGGGGATAAAACAGCCGCTGGGGTAGGTTTTGATACACGAGGTGTTGAAGCTGGACGAGAGGTTGGGGTTGGGAGGGAGACACTTCGTTCCGCCCTTGAGACGCGTGCAAGCTGTTGGTTCACTGGTTTCGATGGGATAGTAGCAGATGACGACCTGTCCTTGCTCGAACCTGGTATATTCGGTGGGGCGCGTATCAGCAATTGTGGTTTGCTCGATGAAGGGAGTCTCGGCTGAGCACCCGACGAGGTCCCTGCATGCCGCCTCGTTGTGTCGTCTCCCCTGTCCCTTTCCTGACCCGTACTCGTCCTCCTGGCAGCAACAACCTTCTTCTGCTGGTCCCTAAACCACTTCTCCATCTCCTTCAACCTAAAATCCGAAGGCGCAACCAAGGTCTGGAACACGAATGGCTCCCCGCGGCTAATCTTCCTGCTGCTCCCATGGGGTCCAGCGAGCCTCTGGCACTTGCGAATCATCCTATCCTTCAAGTGTCGAATCTCCATGATGCGTTCCCAGTTTATCGAGGTGGGCTTTTTGGTCAACTCGTAGTTTTCGAGTTTGAGGAGTTGTTCATACATGGCTGCTGTACCCGGTGGGAGGAGGACCTGTGGAATATATATTAGCGTAAAGTCAAAAAAATCTGGGTTTTGATGCTACTGACCTTGAATTCTCCTGGTGTATCTGTAGTCTGAATATAGCGCCATCCGTTCGGAGCCTTGGAGTCGTATGGCTCTAGTTGGCCTCTGACGGGACTAGGACGCATATACTCGGGGGAGAGGTTGGCGGGGACATGTGGATTGCGGGACATAGACGAAGACTGGAGAGAGAGAAAACGACGGGGCGAGTCCCGCTCTCCGAGTACAGTTCGAGTCCAAAGCTCGCTGACTTTGGCTTCCAATTCCACTGCTTCCGACCATTGTCCCCATTGTCCGGCCGATCCTCCGAATCTCCGGAACTTCGGGGAGGCACTGCATTGAGGTCTCCGGCGCCGGTAAGCAGCCAAGCGGATATCACATTGCTCTTGACTTGTAACTTGAGAGAATCCATTCAACTTGCCTTCCACTCTTTACAATACGCCTCAATGGGTCTTTCCAAAGCCAGCTATGAAGCCTTCCTCATAAACAACGTCGAAACAATCACCAGTCTCGAGTCAACTCTCCGCTCTATAACTTGGTTTTTGCCTGGTAGATTCAAGGATGCGGAGCTGGCTTCCGAAGCTCGTTAGTTTCCTTCTTTAACAAGTCGCGTTCTGAAATATACTCATTGTCGCAGTTACGACAAGTCTCAATGTCGTGAGCATGTACCATGACACTCTTCTTGCTCGCATGGTCAAGGAGAATCCGAGTTACAAGCCTCTCATTCCCGTTTCGCTTCATACGAGGTTTACAAGGGCATGGCTCGACAAGTCTTCGCCGTACAAGTGGATATCGAGGGCCTTGGAGATCATCAAATTCACCCAGCTAGTCGTCGAGATGGGTCTCCGACGCAAGGTGTCCGTGCAGACCAAATGGCGTTGTATCGTCACGCTCGAAGTCGTCAAGTGCGCTACCTAACCCCTGCGTCTCTTCCTCGTTTACTGACAATAGCACTAGAGCTGGACTCCGCCTCTTCCTCCTCAAACTCACGCGTCGACCTCTAGTCTCCCCACTCATCCCAGAACGCGACTTTGACCCCGCAACATTACCTCCACCCAACCCAGACCTGCAACCCAAAGCCTCAACCTCTGCAACCCAACTCCCAACTCCCCTCTCAACCCCCGACCACCTCAAAAACAATCAAGTACCACTCGACCCCCACCCGCTCCTCTCCACCAAAGCTGAGCGCTCGACAACTGCAGCGGAAGACTACCTTCTCCCCAAGGCGCTTACCACCTCGTCCATCAAACCATCTTCTTCCCTCATCCGAAACCTCTCTGGAGCGAGAGACTGGCTTGCAGAAATCATCTACATCCTTCGACCTCTCGTCTATGGTACGTTCACATTTTCCTTCCATTTCCCTACGCCGAAACTAACAGTATGCGTCCAGTCTCCCTGCTCGTCTCAGACCGCAAGAAATCGCGCCCAAGCAACCGAGCACTTATCACCGCCCTCGTAATGGAGCTCATCTCCCGAAACCTCCGCAGAACACCACCTCCCTCTGCCGAGCTCGAACGAGCAGAGTACGCTAAACGGGATAAAGACATGATTTGGTACTTGCTCAGAGGGTCGATATGGGAATCGTACACTCGGTGCGTCCAATTGTCCCTTCTATCTTCTTCATCTACTGATACCTTGTTTGCAGGCCCAAGTTGCAAGGATTCGCTGAGAGCACGGCTAGCAAACCCCTGCTTGGCCTCTTTGGTTCCCTCGTCCAAGATTGGATCCCCTTGATTGACGAATATTATTATTGTAAGCCCCTCCCTCCATCTCCTCCTACCTCCCATGCTAACCCTTTCCTCTCAGATACTGCCCCTTAAATATGTAATATACCATTCCCTCCCTACCATGTACAAGCTCGTCTGTTTGGTGATTTTGGTATGTTCTATTGAGATTGTGTATAGCTATGGCACGTATTAACCCTTGACCCTGCTTGTTGAGCCCAATGTGTGTTTGAGGTGTAACCTAGGAAGACAGATAATATTTTTTTCTGCCCTTCGAGGGTCTGATTTGAAGCAACAGTTCGTTCGAGTACTCCACTGGGCACCTTCAAATAGGTAGGAAGTGATCGAGTGATCGGTCAATGGGCGCTTATCGCGTGCGCAGGTCTACGTTTTCTGCAAACGCATGTCCTAACCCGCCATAAGTGCCGAAAGTATTACTAGTCGCTTCGCCGTTCGTGCGTCTCTGTCGTCCACCACAGCGGCGAACGCGTGCGCCACTCTGAAGACGAAGGAAGAAAGGTCAGCCACGCACTAGTACAACTCGTCAGCCTCTCAAGCACCAATAAAGCGTCCCGCCAAAGTTTGCCTTTCCTTTTCCTCAGCCTTCTTTGCTCAACCCCAACCTACACATCCATCCTATACGCGCATATCTATTCCATCCTATCCATTTCATCTACTCACACCAATCTAACCCGCCATTCATCTATCGCCATTATATCCTCGACCTGGAGCACAACGCCTAACGTCTATCCCAACTGACTGAACAGTACCCATGCGGAACACGCCTCCACTCATATTTCTTCTGCTGCTCGCGCTGGGCGCCTCCACGACTCTATCTTCACCTCTCCCCTCTGGCGTCCGAGACAACTCAGGCGGTGACAACTTGGGTCATAGCCATGGCACTCATGTCGGCCGGGCACCCATTTCCAACACCCACCAGGGTCAGGTGCATAACCCTGACACCGTCGTCGCGCCCGACTCCCCCCGCGCGCACAACCTCCCCGCCGAATACGCATTGCGCACACCTTCGCGACTGTACCCTCGGCGTGTGTATCCTCTTCCTCAGCCTCCTCTGCCGGTGCAAGAGGTTCCTTCGAGTCATGCTCGTAGAGAGGCCATCGTTCCTCGAGGTGGGGACACCCATGTTTCGTCCAACGCCCCCGTTCATCCTCGAGAAGATGCCAGAGCGGAGGAATTCATCCTCCACATCAACCCTCTTCCTTTGTTCCCACATGTTAGGCGAGATGTGCTGGACGTAAAGGTCAACACGAGACCTTTGACGAAGGATTATGTTCATTCCGACTCTTCCTCTTTTGCTTCACCCTCGGACGGTTCACCGGCTCCCCACTCAGATTCTTCCATCGCCGCCGACTCGTCCACTTCGGAGTCTACTTCGGCTACTTTGGAACAGCGCAACGTAGGCCCTGATAACGTCGTTTTGAGGGGTGCAAAGACTGGTCGAAAGTTCCGCGGTGGTTCAAGAGCCAGACCCAACCGACGACGTGATCTGCTAGACGTCAAGGTCAACACCGCCCCTCTCACTCGACCCGAAGTTCAGGGCGCAGCCGGCGAACCTCACAACGCGCGGTCCTCCCACGACGGCCAAGATGAAGGGGACAACAACAACCACAACGACCCTCCCCGCCCCGTCCTAGGTGCCCGCGCTCCAGACACCACCCTCACCGGAACCCTCTCCTCAGGCAACAGCTATTCAGGCGCAGCGGGTAACGCAGCAGGTGGTTCTGTCAGTGCGGTCCTCCCACCCGGCGGGAAACCAGCTGGTGGACTCTTAGGTGCGCTGAGTCCTGCATCTGGAGGAAGTCTCGTTAGTTTATTCTCAGGTGCGTTTCCATTCACATCTTTGCTTCCTGCCTTTGCTGAGGTTGCCCTTTCGTCCCTGCAGGCAACGCAGGGAACGGCGGTACAGCGTCCTCCGGTCCCTCGTTCGGATCTGCTCATCCAATCGGGAACGGCAAATACCCTTACCTACTCCCTCCCAACACCAAAGCATCTACAGCGAGCCTCACCACAACCGCCAACGTCAACTCCAACATCAACGAGAGTCTCGGGAATGCATTCAGTGGTACTGCAGGGAACGCAGCCGGAGGGAATGTAGTCCAAGCTGGGGGTTCGCTGATCGAGTTGTTCAGTCGTATGTCTCCTCTCCAATTACATCGATGGCTCGTCATTGACACGCTCTTCCCGTGTGTTAACAGATAATGCTGGAAATGCAGGACAAGCGAATAGTGGAGGGAGCAGGGTGTTCAGGAGGTCGACCAGGTCTCCGCCAGTGTCTCCCGCTCCCGCTCTCGGCTCTCCTTCTTTCGAGCACGCTCATACGGAACGCGTACCGTCCCAGATCTCCACTGCACTCGAGGATGCCTCAGACAACGATCCATCTGAATGTCTCGAAGCACGCTCTCCCTCCCCTGACCCACAAACTGCTCCCAAACACCCAGTGAACCCATACGTCCTCGGGTCCAACGCTCACTCCACACCATCGACACCTGCTCGTACCACCACTTCACCATCGAAGGAAAGACGAATCTCGAGCCGGATCGCGCGTCGCACCAAGAAAACTACGTCGAAGAAAACCACTACCAAAAACAAGAAGAGGGCGGTCAGCAAGCGGGATATAACATGGGGTCCTCGTCCCCGCCCCGACCTCAGCAAGCTCAAAATGCGCCTCCGGAAGGACGCTGCTGGCTCCAGCGGTGAGACTCATAAACGGAGCATGCGCAACACCCGCGACTACGGCTACGACTCTTACATCGAGAAGAGCTTCTTCCGGAGACCGTTGTCGGCTTTCGACAGGGCCGAGGAGGCGGCAGTGGTTCCTCTCTCTTTCCAGACCTTTGGGTTGGAACATAAAAAGTCGACGGGTCTTCGGGGATGTCTAGGGCGCTTCCTCGCGCTATTTTCTCCTTCAGAAACGTCCCGGTGGTTCTCGTGGTCCTCTTCCTCTGAAACAAATCGTCCTTCCAACCCGTCATTCGTCCCCGCCTATCCTTTCGCTCGCGCCTTCCCTGTCGGTGACAGAGGAAGTGGTAAGGATCCGAAGGAAGAACCTGAGAACCCAGAAGTTGGGATAAACCCGCCTCCTCCACCTCCCGCCCCAACTGCTACGGCTTCCAACAGTGGCCGTGGATGCGGTTTCAAACCACAAGATTCAGACCTTACCGTCTTTCCGCCTTCTTCACTCTCTCCTCTGACCCCTAACACTTCGAGCAATTCCACCTCTACCTCGACTCCTTCCATATCCACTCCTGATTCGGACATACACCAACCCGAGTCGGTCGATGTCGTGCCTTCAGAGGGTGCTGTGTGCGACGGGGAGGATTGTTGCCTATGGGGGATCTGGAGTCCCACTTGCCGGCTGTTCAATTGGCGTAGAGTGTTTGGCTGGGAGACGCCTAGAATGTCAACGAGGACGCGCATCGTTTCGTTACGAGAGAAACAAGGTCTTCTTGATGGCACAACTTTGAGGAAGTCTGGGTTCCTTGGAGTTGAAGCGTGGAGGGAAAGGTTCGCTAGGCGGCTGCGCTGGTGAATGGGAGGAATCGCTGGCGATTTCAGCCTTCCCTGAGCCTGGTAGAGGTTCTAGGTACTGAATGTTTTACTGGACACTGATTTGAAATGGACTATGGACCTCATGTATTTCTTAGGAAGATCTGGATTCTTGCTTGTATTTTTAGTGGTCATGAAGTCTTCCAACATCTTATCCCTCACACTTACTACTTACGCCATGGACAAACTATCCAACTAGACTCCACATGCTTGTATGTCAAGGAACAGGTTGCTTGATGATATTGTACAACTCCAACATAAAACCCCAATTCCCAATTCATATCATTGGTTTGAACACGCTCAAGCCCTTGACCATTCGCATTCGATTTTGGATACTCCGACTGGAAGGGCAGACTGTACGACAACAACAGCGTTCAATGTTTCGTTGGTAATGAAATAATGAAAAAAGAGTAGAACGGACCTTGTCGTCGTAATCATTCCACTCTCCCTCCGAAAGATCGACCTCGTCGAAGACAGTCCCGCTCTCCGCGCCTTCGCACTTCCAGATTCCCTTTAATTCACAAGGACACGATTTCAGTGAGTAAAGTGAAGAGCCCGTAGGGTATGAGATGGCGTACCTTTGGATCAAATCCGGTAAATTCCAACCCTCTGCACTCAACTACCAGCAGAGGCTGCAGTTGCTCATTGGCGGACGTGTAGGCCTTGACGGGGACGGAAGTGTCGAATTTGGCAGAGCTTTCTCGTTTGCCTGTCACCGTGTCAAATTCGTTCCCAGGTCGTGTGAGGGTATGAGAGGGAGGTGCATTAGACACAGATTCGTCGCAAAGAAGTCCATCAATACCACAGGTACGACGGGAAGATAAGATAAAAAAAAACACCACTCACACAATCCACATCTCCACACAAAGTTGGCCTTTGCATTCTTCCCTCCAGATACTTCATACTCATCCTATTCCGGGAAAGTCGCAGAGTAGGTCAGGGTCGACATTCCTCGTTTCGAGGTAGTAGCAAGTGCAGTGCTGACTTTTCGGTTCAAAGAAACGAGCTTGGGGTGGACTTCGTTGCAGCTCGTGCATTTGACCTAGGTAGCATACAGAGGGTTGAGATAAAAAGCGAGAACGACGACGAGACACGGCGTTACTTGGAAGAAATACTCGAAATCATCAGAGGCAGGGATGAGATTGGTGACATTCTCGAGTTCGGCTTTGATCGAAAGCTTCAAGCGCTGTACACACACGATCTGAGCATCATTGTCGTACTCAACTCCTTGAAGGTACTCACGACCATTTTTGAATACCCTAACAGTTGAAGGTGACGGAGAGTAAGAAGGGTTTTCCACCAAGTTCTCTGGAGAACGCACCAAACAGGGAATCAATCGCCCCTATCTAATCCCATCAATTTGCCTCTATTTGGTCTTCAACCGCCTGCCAAGGGCCTTGGCACGCGAAAACTCGCTCCGGTCGCGTCAAACTCAGGCTCGAGTGTGCTGTCGGGCAAAAGGGTCTTCAACGTCGTCTGCCTCGTCGTGCGCAAACTATGGCATCCACACTCACGCGCTCGCTCGGCTTCTCGTCGCTCCGAGTGGCCAGCTCTTCGTCTGTAACAGCAGCGAAATGCTCAACGCACCACGTCCTCAAAAGGACCTTCTCCGTGTCCTCGCCCGCTCTCGCTCGACGGACTAAAAGTGTCATGGAAGAGTACCTCACAGACGACGACTTGTTCACTCTCATGACTGAGCAAGAGAACGTGACGGATAGTCCTGTATTGGGCCACAAAATGTTGCAAGCGCAGAGAGAGGTCTTGCATTATATGAGGCTGATCGAGCACGAAATGCCAAAGCTTGTTGGTGCGTCTATTCAACCTCCTCCTCAACTTCACGAAATTCATACAGCTTTATAGCCTACCGCCAACCTTTTATCCCACCTTCTTCCCAAGAAACACCACTCGTCGTCCGCTCAATCGAGTACCTTGGCGAATACCACCCCGCTGCCTCTAAACGCAGCATCACCGTTGCAGTGGACTCTCTCCCCCTCAAGGACGCCAAAGCTATCCATAAATTCAAACTGATCGCCGGGCCGCGCTGGACTCCCAACCCTCCCAAAGACGCGGGCGTCTGTGAGCACGAAGTATGGCAGAACGGGAATGGGTACTTTAAAATCTCTTGCGACACCTTTTCGAGTCCGGAGATGAACGCGAAATGGGCGAGTGATGCGTTGGATAGGTTGATTAAAGAGGCGAATGTACGTATGCCTGTTTTTGAAATGCGGAATGGTTTACTGATGGGCTTCTTGTAGGAGGGACAAGAGTCGTTTGAGGGCCTTCCGCTTGATTTGCGTCATGTCTATTCGCGAAGCCGGAAAGCGAAGAAGGGAGACCATCTCCGCAACCGACCTCTGAACCCCGTCTCTGTCAAGGATTTCCCCAAGGAATGGCTCCCTCAGTCTCAGCCAGAGGCGCAGACTCAGGCCACAACCCAAGCTTAACTTTTGCATCCCTTTCCTCGACGACCAAGTCCTAATGCACATATAGACGGCCTATTCACTCTATTAATAACAAATAGCCTTAATCCTTGGTTACTTTTGTATCTGCGTCATCATTGGCAATTGCCACTGCCGAAAAGATGTGTGCGGGCAATGTATAGTGAAAGGTGAGCGTCGTTTCGTCTAGCACACTTCTCCTTTGATCCTTTGACTGGAACGACCGCCTTCACAACTTGAAATTAAAATTCTTGTTCTCTGTCATTCGAACTCAGGTTTGTTCCGTTGCCTATGTCTCTGCTACAGTCGCCGATCCCCTTTGCTGTAAACTCGTGACCGATCCTCTCCTTTGCCACTCTTCTGCTATGTGGGTGCGTGTACCCAGTTAGCGACCTTTGTCTAGTCTCCATGGTAGACTTAGCTCCTTCCAGGAGGTTGGTCCAGGCTGAGATGGTAGATGGTATTAAAGGTGGAAGATGGGCTATCGGTAATACTCCAAAGCCAAAATGATTCCAACCAGTGCTAATGCCAATCCCTCTACGCCTCCGTCGAGCCTCCAACGACGACGCTATGACTGCCATACCTCTCCTATCGTTGACCGATACCTTGGTCGGGTTAGTAGTAGCGGAAGCCGCCTCCCCTCCACCTCGCCCCGTCACCACCCTACACGCGGAAAAAGCCAAACGCAAAGGCTAAAAAATTCATTTCCGGACGACGTCTTCATCGAAGGTTGTTCGACGAGCCCGCTTTCAAGCTCTTCCCTTTCCCCTTTCACTTCGCATATTCCTTGGTCTTCGGCTTCACCAACAAATTCGGCTTCCACATTCCCTTCCGCTTCCTCTTCGACTTCTTCTTCCCCTTCCCGTGGTCGCCTAAGCGCCGCCGAAGTAGAACGCAGATTTCTGCGTGATTCGCTCGCTCGCAACGATCAACTACCTGCGACACCCCAGAAGAGTCTAAAGGCCTCCAAGTCCGAGAGGGCGCAACGGGTGCTTGAACCGCAAGCTGGGTTCGATTCTTTGTTTGGAGCTAGAGGTAGAACGATTTATGGGACGTTTGGAGGGGATGGGGGTCTGGGTCATGGTGGATCGATAGCATCGTCATCAACAGCATCGTCATGCTCATCACCATCATCGAGTTTACCTCTACCATCGACACCTCCACGGCGTAGTAGTAATACGAATCGTCGGTGGAATCCTTATCCCACTCCGACATCAACGTCGAAAAGGCACAGGGCGGAGGCTAGTCCGGAAAGGAGTGCCTGTGTGACGCCGCCACCGTTGCAATATGCGGATACTTTCAAGGAGGAGGGAGTCACGTCGCCTGGATTGCCTGCCTCACCTGGAGGATCCTCGGACTCGTCGAGCGATGAGGAAGAGGAACCGACTCCAATCGTGACGAAAGAGCCAGAAGTGAAAGTTGTGGACGAGACGGAGTGTCCCCCGGGATGCGTGTGCACGGGGTGCACGTTGGTTGGGGAGCTTTTCTCATCTTTTATTGACGTGACGCAGTGTGACGAGGAGTGGTGGAAGGTTTAGGAGTATTTCTTAAGCTTAGAGTACATGTACCGCACGACGACCGCGTGTTGAGTGGAATGTTGAAAACACTTGGAAAACTCGCAGCAGGCGACATTACACTGCTCTGAACATGACTATGAGAAAGAGAATATCCTGGGTAGGGTGTAGTCAAATTGTTTTTCGGCAAAGAAGCTAACGGGGAAGACAGTCGCTACTGCTGCCCAAGCCGCGGCTTGATGGGCGATATCTTGGAAGTGTTGCCAAACAAGGCCAAAGACAGGATGGCCCGACTTCAAGTTGTTTGGAGACTGGATTGCCCTCCAACTTAAAAGTAATTTTTTTTACTTTTCCCTGCCTCTCGTTTCTCTTTCTTCTCACTTCAACACACTCCGTTTCGGCCAGATGGCAGAGTCTTTCACGTCCCGTTCCACAGACGCCTCAGGAAACGGTTATGCCAATGCTTCAAATCCGTCTCTAGTGCCAACAACGCAATCCCAGCCCTCAAACATTATCCGCAAAAAGCTCATGGGCTATGTCGGCTTTGCCAACCTCCCCAACCAGGTCCATAGGAAGAGCGTCAGGAAGGGTTTCCAGTTCACTTGCATGGTCGTCGGTGCGTAGTTGCTACCCTCCTCGTCATCAACCAACTCTCACACTCGAAACAACTCATCTCAGGTGAATCCGGCCTCGGCAAGTCTACCCTTGTGAACACGCTCTTTAACACCACCCTCTATCCGCCCAAGGAGCCCCTCCCGCCCTCAGCGGAGCGGCCCAAGACCGTTGCCATTGAGAGCATTGGCGCTGGTGCGTCCCCCTCTTTCTCTCCACACCCTTTATCTGACACGCAAGACGTAAACCAGACATCGAGGAGAACGGCGTCAGACTCCATTTGACCGTCGTCGACACCCCCGGCTTTGGTGACTTTGTTAACAATGATGACAGGTCAGCAGCACGCGTGTCGTGTCATCCTCGCGTCGGCTAACCCACCCCCATTGTCAGCTGGAAGCCCATCGTGGAGAACATCGAGTCCCGCTTCGATTCCTACCTCGAGCAAGAGAACCGTGTCAACCGGGCCAAGATTGTTGACAACCGTGTCCATGCCTGCCTCTACTTTATCCAACCCACCGGTCACTCGTACGCCACTCTCCTCTCTTCTCGCTCACACGGTTTACTCACCCAAGCGTAGGTTGAAGCAGATCGATATCGAGTTTATGCGCAGATTGCACACCAAAGTCAACCTTATTCCCGTCATCGCCAAGGCAGACACCTTGACTGACGAAGAAGTCGCAGAGTTCAAGCAGAGAGTGGGTATTCCCAGCGCTCGACTCTTTCCCTCGGTTTCCAACTCATTCCATGTTCTAAATTTAGATTCTCGCGGATATTGCCCACCACAACATTCACATCTTCCAAGCCCCTACCTACGAGAACGAAGATGAAGAGACCCTTGCAGAGGCTGAGGAGATCGCCAGCAAGATTCCATTCGCCGTTGTTGGTTCGAATCAGATTGTCACTACTCCTGACGGTCGTGAAGTCCGTGGACGTGTGTACCCCTGGGGTGTTGTTGAGGTCGACAACGAGGACCACTGTGATTTCGTCAAGCTCCGCCAGATGCTTGTCCGAACTTACATGGAGGAACTCCGAGAGTACACCAACGATGTACTCTACGAGAACTGGCGAACAGAGAAGCTCTTGAGCATGGGTGTGGCTCAGGACTCGTCGGTCTTCAAGGAGATCAAGTGGGTCCCCTTCTTTCCGATCTGTTCCACCGGTACATTCTGACGCGTCATTTTCCTTTTTTAGCCCTGCTGCTCGTCTCCAGGAAGAGCGCATCCTGCACGAAGCCAAACTTGCCAAGATGGAGGCCGAGATGAAGATGGTGTTCCAGCAAAAGGTGCAAGAAAAGGAGTCCAAGCTCAAGCAATCCGAAGAGGAGCTGTATGCTCGTCACAAGGAGATGAAGGATGCATTGGAGAAGCAGCGCGCCGAGCTCGAGGACAAGAAGAGGAGGCTCGAGACTGGACGACCCCTGACACCAGAGAAGTCCTCTGCTGTAAGTTGCCGAACTTGTGACTATTGCGGAAGTACTCACTCCCTCTTTGCAGACTGGCCGAAAGAAGGGTTTCCTTCGTACGTGATGACCTTAATTGAGCAGCACTCTTGGCGCTCGTCCCTGGCGACCCTGGCTATGTTGATACCTCCCCGTTTTCTTTTTTTACTCTACCTGCCTAGTCTTTTTGTACACCATCCCGTAAATTACTCGCCGTTCTTTTTATCTTGGTTCGATCATGATTGCCCTCCACACACTCCCTTGCCTCGATTTCTTTTCGGATAATTGTGCTCTGGCTCCCCTCGTTTTAGTATGCGACTACTTCTTTCTATACGGAACCTCGCCATCCTTATAGTCTTATCCAGCGGACCTCTACTTTTTTACGACAATATACCATCGGTTCTGCTTAGTTGTAATTAAGGTGTTTGTTTCGCGATCTGAGAGCTCTGATCTTTCCAAGTTGCTTATGCGAAGTAAAATGGTGTCAACAACGACAATCAGCAATCTCTTTCTTCTTCATTCTCTCATCTTCTCCTCGTTTCTCTCATTTCCTTTCCTCTTTAACGAAATAACTCATACCTGAACGACGACGACGAGCACGATGACTGACATGCAGGCTTTGTTATCGGCCCTGGATGTGTTCAGTCGAGCACCGGACAAGGCTTCGCTCGAAAGCGCAAATTCCTGGCTCCAGGATTTCCAACACTCTGTAAATGCGTCCCCTTTTTTATCGCCTGTGGCCTCCAATTTAATCCGCGACCAACGACCTTCTGACTATCAATCTCCTTCATCCTCGCCATTTGGGATTGGATATGTATCGATTTCTAGCCGGAAGCCTGGGCTGCTTGCAACATCCTCCTTCAAAACCCCGATGCGCCACCTGCAGCCAAACTATTCGCTGCTCAGACTTTTAGATCTAAAGTACGTTCACTGGTCCCATAACACCTCTTGCTTCGTTATCAGTCGTTTATCTGTCTTCGTCGTCGTTCCATTGAAACTCGAAACTCGCCACAACGACCACTTCTAGGTAACATATGATCTCCACCAAGTCGCCCCTGAAAACCTACCCTCCCTTCGCGATACAATCATCGCAGCACTCCACACATACCACACCGGTCCCCGCAACATCATCGTACAACTATGTCTCGCGCTGGCAGGGTTGGCGCTCCAGATGCCGGATTGGGAGAACCCTGTGCAGCAGATGGTGGATTCGTTTGGGATGAACCCCGCTACGGTCCCGACTTTGCTGCAGTTTTTGACAACGCTGCCGGAGGAGTTGACGGGGAATACCAAGATTCCTGTTACAGTGCGTTTATCCAAGTCTCCTTTGGTGTTGTAGGCTGATTCAGGGTTCAGGATGACGAGTATCGGGACAGGGCAACGGCCTTGATGACCAACAATGCACAGCGGTTGTTGGAGCTCTTGTCGATGTACTATGGTGCCCATGGTGCGTGCCTTGCCACACTCTTCTCTGTGGCGATATCTAACCCAACGATCAGGCGTCACAATCACTGTCCGCACCCAAATCTTCCGCTGTCTCCGAAGTTGGCTGGTCGCAGGCGAAGTCAGCGCGTCCGATTTCGCCCAGACACCCTTGTTCGCAGGTGTATTCGAGTCGCTCGCGTCGGATGAACTCTTCGACCCGGCCGTGGACGTCATCTGTGAACTCATTCACGAAACGCAAGAGATCGACGACAACATGCAGGTTATCCAGCTCATCGTACCGCGTTTGATCGAGCTCAAACCCGACTTGCAAAAGTACCAAGAGGACCCCGATAGGATCAGAGGGTACGCGAGGATCTTCACAGAAGCCGGAGAGACCTACCGCTTGCTATTGCTCGAGCATACCGAGACGTTCTTCCCCATCGTCGAAGCCATCGGCGAATGTTCCGCCTACCACGATCTCGATATCGTCCCTCTCACATTCCCCTTCTGGATGCGCCTCGCTCAGAACATCGGAAAGAAACCCTCTGTCTCGCCTCTCTTCCTCGAGGCCTACCAATCCCTAATGAGGGTTATCATTGGCCACCTCCACTTCCCCGCCGACCTGAGCACCATGACTGACCAAGAAACCGAGGCGTTCCGCTCCTTCCGACATGTCATGGGCGACACACTCAAAGACTGCTGTTTCGTCCTGCGTGCTGACACTTGCCTCCTCGCCGCGTACCAGATGATCACCACTGCACTCGCACGCGGGCCCGAGGCTGTAACATGGCAGGAAATCGAGGCACCCCTCTTTGCTATGCGGTCGATGGGAGCAGAGGTGGATCCGCGCGAAAACGTTGCGTTGGCGCAGATCTTGGATTTGATTCCGTCGTTGCCTACGCATCCAAGGGTGAGATATGCGGCGTTGTTGATCATTGCGAGGTACTCTGAGTGGATCGCGGAGCACCCGAGCTATATTCCGGCGCAGTTGCAGTATGTTTCGGCAGGGTTTGAGGATTCGGACCCAGAGGTGTGTGCGGCGGCTGGGCAGGCGTTGAAGTATATCTGCCAGGATTGCAAGGCGGTAGGTGATATGTCTTGGTTGTGGAGTGACTGTGTACTGATTGCTCTGGACAGCATCTTGTCGATTTCCTTCCGACGCTGCACACGTTCTTGGGCACCACTGGGCCGAAGCTCAACCAGGAGGACAGGAAGCAGGTGTACGAAGCTATCGCCCATGTCATCTCGGCGATGAAGATGGAGGCTGCATCGGAGTCGCTTCGAACGTTTGCTCTGGATATCCTGGCTCAGGTCCACAAGATCACAACACAAGCGACGCCACCCACCAAGGAGGATATGACTACTGTCAACAGTACGTTCGCTCTAGTTTTTCTGTTGACGATCATTACTGATTCCTTCAGACGGCCTGGAAAACCTCGACATTCTCCTTCGCACCGTCGGTACCTTTGGCGAACAACTTCCCAAGTCCTGCGAAAAGACATGCGAGCAGGCCTGGGCAGTGTTCGATGCCTTCCTGGTCAAATTCGGCGGAGACGTCGTCGTTGCCGACCTCGCCACGCAAGCTCTCCGTCGGGGCCTCGATTTCTTTGGTGATTCTGCTCTTGCGGTGGCACCGGCTGTGATTGCAAGGATGTCTTTCAGCTTTGAGGCGACTGGGATTTCGAGCTACCTGTGGATTCCGGGCAAGATTATTGCGAGGTTTGGGAATGACGATGATCCCAATTTGAGAGGTTCATTTAAAGAATTTTATGAACGATCTACTCAAAAAGTGGTTTCTTTACTTCAGGCTAAGGATCCTAGACAGATCCCTGATGGTGGGTTTTATTTGTTCTGTGTGGTACACAACCTAATCCGTTTGATGCAGTGCTGGAAGATTATGTGCAAACGCTCGTCCAACTAGCCGAGCTGGCGCCAGACATCTTCTTCGAATCCTCATCCTTCCCGTACGCCTTCCGTGCGAGCCTCGGTACCCTCCAAGTGGTCCATAGCGACGTGATCTTTATCGGCCTCGAGCTCTTCCGGATCATTCTCACCCACGACGCGCTCGAAGTACCGCGGGCAGGCAAAGTGCCTCCGCCCAAGTTCCCCATCTATGCAGCGGCGATCAAGAGCACGGTCGAAAAGGAAGGATTCGATCTGCTGACGTCGTTGTTGACTGGTCTTACGGAGGATCATTTCCCGGAGGATAGTATCTCGAATATCGTGGAGATTTTGAGGGCGTTGGTGACGCATTGGCCGACTGGGGTGGTTGGGTGGTTGCCGCCGATGTTGGAGGGGTTGCCTGCAACGGCGGTTCCTGCAGAGGCGAAGAGACAGTTTTTGACGGATGTGCAGGCGTGAGTTGCCCCCTTCTTTCCATGCGCGCCATGTACTCACTGATTCCCTCCAGTGCTGTCAACAGCGCGCAGTACGATAAAGTAAAGTATGCGATCCTGGGCTTTACCCGGGCGTCGCGAAAAATGCGCGATCGAAGGAGGACGGGACTGTAATAGGTAGTAGTTTTACTAAATGTATCATACAAGCTGCAGACTTTTTCAGTAGGTAAGGAACAGCCTTTCATTGGACATGAAGTCCGTAATTCTTGGATTGATGTTTTGTTGTATTGGAATCTAATAAGTAGTAGATTTTTTTTGATTTTTGCACGTTCGTGCTCTAAAAACACGGGGAACGGGTACGGACGGAACAAACACACTCAAACATCTTTGCTGTCATCGTTAGCCGGAGAGCAATCATCGCAAAAACCGCAAAACAAGCGAATCGAATAGTTCTTCTCTCTCCGGATTCTCTCTATTTTCACGAAGAAAGTAATGTTCCGTCAAGCAGGGCAGTCGGTTCTGTCGCGCGGTACGTCGCCATAACATTTTCTTGCCGCCTTGTCGCCACGGCTTAGAATTGACCCACCTCTCCTACTTTTGGGTGCCTTCATCTTCCGACGCCCTTCCTTTCCATCGCCTCATCACAAAATCGCAAAAAAAACCGTGGCCTGGGTTCTGCTCGGCTCCTTATTCCAATCCTTGGACCACCGCGACCTATATATCACAGCTGGACGCAGGGCGTTCTCTTCATCCGCGTCACGGAAGAGCTATGACGATACAATACGCAACCTCTTGATCCACAAGGACACAAAAGTCTTGTGTCAAGGCTTGACTGGCAAGACTGTGCGTCTTTTTATCGGTTTTCTGCGACGACGGGATGCGTATTGAGGAGATGTAGGGTACTTTCCATGTCCGTGAAGCGCTGGCGTATGGAACGAAGATGGTTGGAGGCGTCTCGCCTAACAAGGCTGGGCAGACTCACCTCGGTTTGCCTATCTTTGGGTCTGTTCGTGAAGTGAGTGGTGTCTTTCTACCTTCAAGCTCTTTGGAATACTCATTCTCAACTTGGAACCACCCCTGTACACGTCAACGAATACCTCCTGAACTCTGAACGCGCTTTGGAACGGATCGTAGGCAGTGAAAGAAACCCAACCCGATGCAACCGTCCTCTACGTCCCTCCACCCACTGCCGCAGACGCCATCATCGAAGCTATCGAGAACGAAATCTCCCTCATTGTGTGTATAACCGAGGGTATTCCTCAAGCCGACGAGATTCGGGTGCGTACCAAACGCTCTTTTCTAGTACTTTTGGGACTAATACCGTCCTTCATTTCATTATTCATTCATAGGTTATGAACGCTTTGAAGAGCCAGTCCAAGTCGCGTCTTGTCGGGCCCAACTGTCCCGGAAGTGAGTGCTTTTACATGTTTGGTTTACTGTTACTTTTTGGTGTTCCGTCCTCCCCCTATCCGTTCCTACCAATGAACCGAGGTTCTACCCGGGGTCCTGTACTACGCGCTATACGCGTCTTATACCTTATCTTTGCACTCGATTAACACCGTCCACGATGCTAACCTCCGCCTCTGCCAGTCATCAACCCACTCGGCTGCAAGATGGGCATTCAACCCGGTCACATCCACAAACCAGGCAAAATCGGCATTGTCTCCCGGTCCGGTACACTAACCTATGAAGCCGTTGCTCAAACCACCGACGTCGGCCTGGGTCAGTCGTTATGTGTTGGAATTGGTGGTGACCCATTCCCTGGAACTCAGCATGTGGATGTGATCAAGGTGTTCCTTGAGGATCCCAACACTGAGGGTGCGTCGTATTTCAACTTCTCGGGGTGTCAAATAACTGAAGTCTGCCCATGGTCAGGTATTGTTATCATTGGTGAAATTGGCGGCACGATGGAGGAGGAAGCCGCCGAGTACCTCGCTCAGTATAACAAGACCAGCGCCAACCCCAAACCCGTTGTTGGCTTCATTGCAGGCCGCACCGCTCCCCCCGGAAGGCGTATGGGACACGCTGGTGCTATTATTTCTGGTGGAAAGGGTGCGTTCATTCCCGGCTGTTCAAGGCCTGTTAACTAAACCACGGTTGGCTCCTCTAGGTGCTGCCATCGATAAAGTCAAGGCATTGGAAGCTGCAGGTGTCATCGTCACCGACAGCCCCGCCAAGATCGGTTCAGAGATGTTGAAGGTTCGTTTCTTCCTGCTCTCTTTACACACCCATTTCTGACTTTGTGCCCAGGCAATGCAAGCGGCCGGTTTGGCATGAAACAAACCCTACAACCGCTCAAACTACACATAGACACTTGACTGCCCTACCGTTCAAACCATAGAGTAGTATCCCTTCACGCTAGTAGTCAGTCTTCTCTCGCTATATCATTCTGTCACTTTTCATAGAGCTGCTACTACTGCTTATATAATACCCACTTTGGTTTTCATGCCCACTGTCTGTCGTTCGTTATCTATTGAAGGTTGCGTCTGGTTTTGCGATATCAGGGGAGACTCTTGGACTTTACCCCCATTCGTGCTGCGTGATCTACAACAAACTCCGTTTCTCTACATATTGCTTGAACCCCTCGTCGGCCAGATACCATGACATCCGGGACGTACACGCCATCGCCCTCGTTCAATGCAGCAGTTGCCTACCTCTCCTCACCGTCGTACCGAGGTTCACCATCCAACGCTACAAAACTCGAGGTTCATACGCTCTTTCCTTACTCTTAAAACTTGAAACACTCAACATTCTCTCATCTTCCCTGGCTACCCCGAAACTCTTGTGACCACATTTACGAATAACAATCCAGCTCTACGCCCTGTTCAAATACACAACCACCCAATCGGCCAAACCGACTTCTTCAAGACCTGGCATCTTCGATTTCACGGGACGCGCTAAATGGGATGCGTGGGCTGAGATAGGGAGTAAGTATCGGAGTGTCGAGGAGGCGGAGAGGAGGTATGTCGAGCTTGCGAGAGAGTTGGGGTGGGACGGCGTTGTTCCCGTCGAGGCTTCTTCTTCAAGTTCTTCAGGTCCTGAACGATCGTCTGAGCGACCCAAAGCAGAAGAAGGGGAAGAGGAGGAAATACAGTGGGATAGTAGCGACGACGACGAATCCTCGCAACCGCCCAAAGCAGGTGGGAGCGGCGGTGGAGGACGGGGAGGAGGGCAGGGTTTAGGCGTAACAGTAAGCGCCGTCGCTCGACCTGAAGAGGAAAGCAGCGGGGATACCAAGAGTCTGCACGGCGTCGTGCTCAACGGAGATCTCTCACTGTTACAAGACCTATTAAACAAGGATCCAACACTGAACCTGGACGCGCCAGACGAATATGTGAGTCCCTCTTACACATTTCTTTATCCTCGTTTCCTGACTGCTTTCCGGCTGCCTGACCACAATCACACCTTACTTGTCATCGGCTCTTCGTCGCAATAACAGGGCTACACACCCCTGCACCTCGCAGCCGACCGTGGACACGTCGAGATCGTCAAATTCCTCCTCTCAAAAGGTGCAAACCCAACCCTCAAAGATCCAGACGAGTTTACACCTCTTGAACTGGCGCAGGTGTCGGGGAACGAGGAGATTGTGGCGGCTTTAAAGGAGGCGACGTGAAGTTGACACTGCTAAATCCATTTGCCTTTGGCCCACCGCTGGTAGATGTCAGGAAGTCGGAAACGCGTTTGGAGTTTGCGGGGATGTGGATGGCTTCACGCGGGAGTGCCGGAGAGGTTTGAGAAGTGATTAGTAGAAATGAGATGCGTTACAGTTGTAATACTATAGAGGATGTAATGAGAACAGTCGAAGTCGGATTTCTGGGTGATAGATTCCCGGATGGCGTGAAGAGAGTCGAATAATAGGTCGTGCTTTCCCCATCTATTGTAATTAGTCTATGAGAGGCGACCCGTGATCCCCGCCAGGGTGAGTTGCGTAGTAAAGGCTGTGGCGTGGGTTCAGTCGCCTATGATGATTCTTTGGCGGCCTGGGCTTGCTTGACAGCCTCGAGTGTTGGTGACGATGATGTCGACGGCTTCTTCACACTCCTCTGCGGCTTGGGGTGGTATGGCGAACCAGGTTGCAGAATACCTCCCTGCAAATAGACAAACAATCATTAGCACCTCAAGTCTTTCCTCTTTCTTTCCGCGACGCATTAACCCATCCCACCCCAACCCATGATTCCACCACCCAGAATCCACACACCGAAAGCAGAAACCACTCACCAACTCCAACAACTTCAAAACCGGCCGACTAGGTTTAGCACCCACACTCAACCAATACCGAATCCTATCCACACTCCACTGCACATTCTTCACATTCTCCAAACTGCCTTCTGGCACATGGGGGTCGTACACGCCCAGCAGCTCGGTGGGTTTGGCGTCACGTTTGCGGGTGCCCTCGACGACGTTGATGTGGAAGATGCGGTAGTTGGTGCGGCCGTGGACCGACATGCGCATTCGAATCGCCATGTTTTTTTTGTTTCCTCTTGTTGGTTTGGTCGGGGGTGCCCTGGGAGGAGTTTTCGGAGGGGTGGGTGGACGGAGTAGGCGCTGGACGAAGCGCAAGCTGTCGCGCTGGAAATATTTCAGGCACGTGATCCGGCGCGGGAAACGCGGACCCTTGCCTGGTCGCGCCCGACTGATAACCAAGTTGCTGTTCTCCAAGTTACCCTTGGTCAATACACGACCGTGACGATGGCCTCTCAAATCCTCCCTCTAGGTACTTTACCTTCATGTAATTTACTCCATCTTATAACTGACTAGGGGACAGAACTCATCGACCGATGTATCGGTTCCAAAATCTGGGTCGTAATGAAGAACGATCGCGAGTTTACAGGGACTCTGCTCGGTTTTGACGATTTCGTCAGTCAGTCCTTCCTCACCTCTTCTTAATACCCTTGCCCTCCCTCCAATTCTATTGTGCTTACCTGTTTTATTATTACAGACATGGTCCTAGAAGACGTCACCGAATTGTACGTCCTCCTTGGTCCTCTTCCTGCCCTCGATCATTAAACTCACGATGGTATAGTGAAAACACACCGCAGGGTCGCAAGAAGACAAAACTAACACAGACCCTTTTGAATGGGAACAATATCTGCATGGTACGTCCGTCCATATGCACCCTCATCCCTGACCTTTTATCTTCATCTTCGCACTTTCTAAACCACATCTTCGTGTTGCAGTTGATCCCAGGAAGCGATGGACCTACAGACTAGATGTCTTATATCTCTTCTCACATCCATCCCTTTTTCAACACTCCCGGGCAACACTCGATCTCTGTTAACCCAGTGCATACTTGCACACGATCCTGCAGAGTCAACCGGCACAAACCCCATCGTCGATCCATTCTCCAATACCCAGGATCATGTCCCTCCAACCCAACACCCGTCCACTGCACAGATCCTCATTCACCCGACCACAACAAACATATTACCCTTGAACCCATTGTATCATACCAGATTACCCTCGAAATGAAAAGACATTGAGAACAGCGCCTCACTCACACACGTTTACACTCCGGAGAAAAAGGAAATGGGATTGCGTGTTTGTGCTACTGCGATTTTCAACTTGACACTAAGAGAGCAGAGTGAAAGAGCTACAACAAAAAAAGAGGGATAAGGAATCGGGTACAAGTGATACAGTTGAACACGGTGAACATGGCACGTAGGATTGGGATTGCTGAAGGCGAGCGAGTGATAGAGTGGAAAACAGCGAGAGAGAGATATGATCGTACAGGCGAATTGCGCGAGACGCGTAATATATAGAGGGGGGAGGGAAAAAAGAAAACATCAATGTACAAAAGCGTAACCTTTGCGATCTTACAGCAACACGAGTCAAGAAATAGAGACCCTACAAATTTATCTTTATTACTACTAGGTCCACGACGACCAACACCCAAACTAAACTCGGCGCATCTACTGATTGCCAAAGTTGAATCCACTCTGAGGAGCGCTCATATCCGAGAACTGAAAAAGAAAATACGTCAGTCGCCAGAAACTGGACATAAAATAGATGGGACGTACGGCAAAGGCACCAGAAGAATCAACAGTAGGAGCAGCAATGTTAGTGTCAACATCATCCTCATCAGGGAAGTATTTGTCCATGATGTTGAACGCCTTCTTGTAGATCTCCAAGTTGTCGTGTTGCTGGAGATTGTGGATCGTGACCATTCCACCTGCCTCCTCAACATACAACGCATACTGGTTCACACCACCAGGACCGTTGGAAAGCTTATCGGCTTCACCGATCCTAAGGATGTTGTCCAATCCATCAAGAGCGACCTGGATGATCTTGTTGTCCATCATAGTGAGGAGGTCGCATAGGGGCTTGATGCAACCCTGCGAAACGAGATAGCGGATGATAGAAGGCTCTTGCAATCCACCAGAAGTAGCGTTCGAAATCGCCCAGCAGGCCTCCTTGCGGGTCTTGAAGTCGGCGTGTTGGAGGATGTTGATGAGAGGAGGAATGATGTTGGCGTCGATCACGGCTTGGATTTGAGGAGGGGAACCGGCGGTGATGTTGGAAATGGTCCAGCAGGCCTCCTTGCGGATACCATCTTTGGGAGATGAGAGGAGCGACAAAAGAGCAGGGAGGGCACCCGATGCAATCACAACCTGGGTTTGGAGATCGTCACCGGTGACAATGTTTCCAACAGATCGAAGGGCGGGAGTTTGGACGGAAGTCGAAGGGTGCATCAACAGGTCCACGAGGCGCCTGCACACACCCGACTCGATCACAGCCTGAATCTTGTCGTTGGATCCATCGGAAAGGTAAGAAATAGCCCAGCAAGCGTCGATAAGGATTTCATCGTCGAGCGAGTAGATCAATTTTGTCAAAACAGTCAGAGCAGGCGAGATCTATCCACCCACGAGGTCAGTAATGGAGCGATCAATGCTGTTCAAACCCCAAGCGACGCACCAATTCCCAGTCAGGTTGGGGAGATTTTCCTCTGCAGAAGTTGCTGAGTGTCCAGGTGGCATTGCGGAGCATGCTAATCTTATGGTTTTCACTCAAAAGAGTAAGAAGAGGGCGGAGGGCGCCTTGTTGGAGGACATAGTCGCGGCATTGAGGGCTATCACCCGCGATGTTACCCAAAGCCCAGACAGCCTGCTCGCGAACATCCAAGACGGGGGAAGAGAGCAACTTGATGAATTCAGGGACGGCCTGAGCGTTGATGACGACTTGGGTGTGTTCCGCAGTGCCAGAGGCGATGTTGGTGAGCGCCCAGGCAGCCTCGAACTAGAAACAAGCACGATAAGATCCCTCCGATCAAATGCAGCCACAAAACTCACCTGAAGCATAGGCTGGCCATGCTTGAGGAACTCGACAAAGCGTGGCACGACACCACACTCGATAACACGCTCGATCGGAGGGTTTTTCTCTTTTGAAAGCAATTTTCGGAACTTGGTGGTGGCATCCAACTGTCGCTCAGGATCGTCTGAGAAGACACCGGAAATCATCTCCTCAGCGAGCTAGATAAACACAACAAAATCGCCACATTAAAATTGAAATCCAGACAATCCAAAGGGTGGAAGAGGTGACTTACGGGAGCCTCCCAGTTTCCACCGCCAACCTCGTCATCGGAATCAGGACCAGTCGATGGGAGGAAGTTTCGCCTCTTGGAGATGTTTTCTTCACGCTTTTGACGCCTGATTTCGACTTGCTGCTCTTCGCGACGACGCCTGAGGTCGTCCGCCTTCAAAGCACCTTTGCTTTTGTAGGCTATAAAGAAAGATCCGATGTGAGCATCAAGCCTGACGCGTCCCCGACTGCAAACGAAAAGGCAGGGCAAAAGCCCCAATCGCGATAATGAGGAGAAAAGATCTGACCTTCCCTACGCGCCTTCATCGTCCTAGATTCTCCAGCCTCCATGATGAAACTGAATATGTGGTTGAAGTGAGAAGATTAGAGAAAGTGGCAGCTCTGTTAAGAGTTGTTGGGAAAGAGAAGAAGAAGAAGAAGGGCGAACGCAAGGAGGCGCAAAGGGTCCAATCAAAGAGACGCGTGACTCAAACGTGATCAAACACTCCATCTCCCCATTGCCCAACTCGAAACTAAAATCATAAATCATTTTGAATTTTCGTATGTAACCTATTCTTCTTCTTTGTTTACTACACAATGCCCAAAGGACGCAAAGGCTTTCCATCCAAAAACCCGACAATGTTCTCCACAGTCTCTCCGTAAAACACCTAGACACAGATGGAAAAAAAAAATAAAATCGATCAGCTCCCTTTGTTCCTTCTTTGAACCGCACGCGCCAGAGCCCGGGAATCACTGCAACTCACCCCAAACATCGTGTCCGTAAGATACCCAGTGTGCGGACTCAGAGTAACATTCTTCAGCCTACGAAGCGGATGATCAAGCGGCAAGGGTTCAACGTCAAAGACATCCAACCCAGCACCTGCAAACGTCTTCTTCTCCAGCGCCTCCACAAGTGCCCCTTCATCCACCAAAGGACCTCTCGATGTATTGATCAAGAACGCAGTAGGCTTCAAAAGAGCCAGATCTTCCTTCTTGAGGATATGTCGTGTGCTCTCAGAAAGTACGAGATGCAAGGAAACGATATCGCTTCTGCGCAACAACTCTTCCTTAGTCGAGACATACTCCACTCCAGCTGCTTCTGCCCTCTCCGGAGTCAAGTTCGGAGACCATCCGATGACTTTTAAATCAAATGCTTTCGCGATCTAGACAACGCGTCAGTTTCTTTTAAACAACTAATATTGATAGGGGTAAAACGCGAACCCTGGCCGTCTGCGCCCCCAGTCGCCCAACACCAATTAATCCCAAAGTCCGCCCAGTCAGTCCCAGTGGGAGAGTACTCTGCCACTGCGGATTGCCAGACTTGACATTCTGGTCTTCCACCGCCAACCACCTCACAGTGGCCAGCAAGAGCGCCCAGATGTGTTCCAGAGTCGCATTTCCAGCTCCTCCGGTTCCGGAGACAAAGATCCCCTTCTCCTTTGCATACGCGGCGTCGATACCGCGATTGTATGGACCGGTGGTGGCAATCAGTCTGGAGAGCGTCGTCAAGGTTTCAGCGAACTTTGATCATAACTCCACTCACTTGAGGTTAGGCAGCCTATCCAGCAAGGTCTTGCTGAACTTGGTTCTCTCCCTCATGGCACAAATTATCTCGTATGGTTCCAGCCTCTTCACAAGCGCATCCTCGTCATGGAGCGTATCCCTGAAGACATCAATAATAACTCGATCCTTCAATGGGCTCCAATCAGCACAAGTCAGCGCAATGCCCTGGTAATCATCCAGAATCGCAACCCGAGGAAGGGACATGGTCTATCGAGTGAAGTTGAGTGCAAGTCACAAGAGAGAAGTAGAAAGAAGAATCTGCATTAAAACGTTTTACGAAAGAACCTTAAAATACAACGGCAACATGTACATGCCACATCCGATTGCGTGATACCAAACCCCTCTAAATCACTCAATCCTCAAACGGGTACTGTAAAAGATGACGAAACCAGTCAGCATTCGGGTCACTAGCCGCACAATCCCCAAAATAAGAGCATGCTTACCTCAAATGACGGGGGCGGTGCAGCTTCTTCACCCTCATCCAACGCGATATGCCGTCCTCTAGGTTGCCCTCCTGGTGCTTGTTGTGCAGGCGCAGCAGCAGGTGCTTCAGGCTCGGGTATAGGTGTAGGCTCCAACGAGATGAACTCGGCCTCTTCCTCAGGTCGTCGATCAATCAAGAGCAGAATACCAGCCCCTCCCGTTCGCTTCTCTGCGCTCAACGCAGCAGCACTTGAAGGTGCTTTGGTAGCAGGTCGTGTTGAAACAGAGCGTACCGGTTGGTATCGCCCATCAGCGGGGAACGAGATGAAGGGAAGTTGGGCAGGAGTGACACGAGAAAGGTTAGGTTTGGTTTCTGTTGAAGGCTCCGACTTCTTTTTGGGTGGGGTAGCCTTTCCTTCTTCTCCTTCCTTAGCCTTGCCCTCCTCCCCTTCCGCGGGCTTCATTTCCACATCACCCTCACCCTCTGGCTTGTCCTACGGAGCGTATCAGCCATGTTGTACAAAAGTCATTATTCATAAAATCCAACGTACCAAGTCCATTCCCTCTCCCTCAGCAGCAGCCTTCTTCTTCTCCCTGGCCTTCACCTTGGCCGTTGTCGAAAGAACAGCAGTGGTGACCTTCGTGACAGTCTCCTTCTTGGGCGGAGTGGTAGGTGCAGGATAGGCAAACAGGCTGGGCTTGGAATTCGAAACGAACTCGAACACGGGCGCCTAATAATGATCTCGTCAGCTCTCCTCGCCACCCCGAGCCGAGGGCAATGCTACGTACCTTCAAGTCACCATTCAAACCAATGATACCAGTAGGAGAGAATGCCAAGCAAGCACAGTGTGCAAGAGGATACCAGTACCAGAACTGGCAGAACAAAGCCATACCAACAATCGCACTTGTGTTAGAGCTTCCAGCATGGCTCTGCAAGCTGATGGTAACGTTACGGCCACCAGCATCAATGAAGCCCTGGCCCAGGGCAGCACCGAAGCGAGCCATAGGATCTTCGTGCTTGTCAGCAATGACCTTGGAGTATTTGTTGCGAGTGGAAACGAAGGATGGTGAAGAGGCTTCAGATTGCTCGACGAGGATCATACCGAGGGCGATGAAGGCACCCTGGCGGACAAAGTCGACGCTGTCCTTGGTCATTGGTTCCAAGATCTCAATGGCATCCTGTAACGAAGTCAGCGGCTGCTTCTACGGGAAATACTCGACGCGTACCTGAAGACCAGTTCCAGCACATGCAATGCCGAGAGCAAGAGTGGCACCACATCGGACATGGGGGTTGTAACTCTCGCTGAGCAATTGAACGACGCGGGGAACTTGCGTTGGGTTCTTGAAGAGCAAAAAGGCAAGCGAAGTCACAGCCGCTCGACGTACGTCGTCGGACGCATCAGACACGGCAATGTGAAGCAGCTGTCGGACAGCGTCATTGTCGGCGGTTCCCGCATATGCCAACGCGAGCGTGTAGACACCACCATATCGCAGAATAGGGTCCTGGGAGTCGTAAATAAGCATGTCAGTCACATCGAGACCGAGTTCAAGCACACCTTCTCAGCCAAAAGAGTCTTGATGATATCATCCGCCTCCTCCTGTCGGCCATAGTAGATGAAAGCAGTTCCCATCGCCAAGCCACGGATGATCTTCTCGTGCTGGGTTTCCCTAGCATACTGCAACATCTCTTGGACGGCATCCTCAGCAGCAGTACCGAGCATGACCAAACCCATTGCGTATCCAGAAGCTTCACCCGCCACAGCTGAATCGGTGAACAACACTGTCTTCAAATCCTCGAATGCCTCAAGACTCTTCGATCCCATCCCAGCAACACCCAAGCCCAAAGCAGCACCGTGTTGTACAACCTCTCCCTGCGCTGACTTCAAAGCTTCGCGAAGGTCGGTGGTGATATCGCTACCGCAACCGGCGTTGATCAGACCAAGAGCGTAAAGAGCACCGCCCTCGGAGTAGGCGGCACCTGGGACATTGCTCTCTCCACCGGCTTGAGGGAGGTAGGGGCCGAGGATGACTTTGCCTTGCTCGAAGAAGCCCTTGTGGATGACACCAAGTCCTGCAGTGGCGGAGAACTTGGCCCAGTTGGTTGCATGTCCCAACCATTCCAAGTTTTCGCGGAGGAAGACGTCGGAAGTGGTGCCTGCGTTCATGAAAGCGTTTTGCAGAGTCAAGGCGGTGTGATATATCGAGGAACGGGCCTCCAACGCGTCCTATGACCTCGGTGAGTGACCAACTACCCGTTGCATCGAAGATGTCCCATACCTTGGAGTTCTTCAGGATGAGAGGGTCGGTGTGGTTGTTGCGCTTCAAGAATTCCAGATAGAGCTTCACAGACTCCTTTCCAGTAAGGATCTGTCGCAGCTTATCGTAAATCGCCTTGGTTTTCTACCAAGATATTGTCAGCACCCCGTCTAACCTCAGCGGGTGATAGACCCACCTCGTCGCCCTCGGGCAGAGCACCGCGAAGGTTCTCTAGGAAGTCCTGAGAACCGCCTTCCACCAAATCAAATCCAAACTGGTATGCCAACAGCGGCTCTTTGGAGACGAGCGATGAGAGGAATGGGATGGTCAATTCAGGGTCGCTGAGCGAGATGAGGAGTCGAGTAACAGCATGGACGTGTGGAGACTGATCGCCAGTCTTGGGTTGCGGGAACAGAGGGAAGAGGAAGCGGAGAACTTGATGTCGGTACGAAAGGGACGCGGTGGTTGATAGGACACCTTCCATGGCATAGATGAGAAGGGAGACGTCATTGGTTTGGCTGTAAATCTTGGAGATGATATCCAGTCGGCGCGATTCTAGTGCAATTCCAATCGCCTTGTGTCCTCACATTAATCACCAGTTTTAAGAGATACAGTAGTGAGACTTGCCTGCTTAAACTCGCCTTCAGAAATACACCGATCAAAGATTCCCTCAATGATAGCTTGTAACCGAGGGTCAATCTTCTCTTTGCTACCCGCGGCCTCTTCTGTTCGTACTTGAATGTATCGATCAATTGCTTTGGCTGTATCGTCTTGAGTATAACCTCATTTCCAATTGATTTCGGAGACGCACAAACGATGGTTTCGACATACTCCTCTGATCCATATGCTTTCGCTTCGGATTGGAACGCGCCACCGGCACCAAGAGCAAAAGAGAGGGCTTCTTCGTATTCACCCAAGAAGTAGTAGACCTTGGAAGCGAGCAGAGCAGCCGCGTCGCGTGCGGGTTTGGGGAGTTCGTTGCTTTCGTACAAGGCTTCTCTGAAAGTGGTTGAAGTTGAATTATTTATTCAGGACCAATTAGAGATCGCATAGAATAACGTACATCGAAGCGATATGCTCTGAGATCTCAGCCCAAAACTGAGAAACGAGCGGGATGAGGGCCTTGAGAGCGTGTTGCTTGAATATGGGGTCCGGTTCCTGGAGCAACGCCAGTACACCGGCTGCTGAAGACTGTTGTCGGACCATAATAGCTATATCCTTGTCGTTGTCGTCTTCGTCTTCCAACTGAACAAAATTCAAAACCCAGGACACGAAACGATAGAGAAAGAAAGGCGGTAATTACCTCCGTTCACCAACTTTGAAGGGCCAATTGAGGTGACGCGTCGCAACTACGCAATCAATCTGATCACGCTACGCCTCGCGTTCCTAACAAGAACAAACAGGATGGTCGCTCGCGGTCGACTCCGAAATTGCCCTGCTCACCCAAAACACTAAAAACACAAGACCTTCTTCCATCCAATCCCCACTCAGTCGTTTCTTTCGAAATGTCCTTCGCTATGCTCAGGAACGCTGCCAGGTCCGCATCCCGTCGGGCCACTCGTCAGTTCTCTGCTACCGCTGAGAACCCAGCCTTGACCAAGTACCTGGCCGAGGAGAAGGCCTTGACCCAACACGCTACTCGTGCGTATTTCTTTTCTCGTTCTTCTACAACTCCTGACATATCTTTGCCTTGTAGAAACCACCGACCTCTGGAGGAAGATCAGGTCCGTTACAACCCACCGCCCTTGAACCAATTTACTGACATGAACTTTTGGAATTACCAGCTACTACGGCTGCTTCCCGGGCAGTATGTCATACCCCTTTCCCATAACATCTTCAGTAATTCACGCGTCCTTTTCCCACTCTAGTCGTCGCCGTCGTCGCATGGGTCTACAACGTCGAAGTCGAGCACGCTGCCCACATCGAGCACCTCAAGGAAGAGAACGGTGGCGAACTCCCCGAGACCCCTGCCTACGACTTCTTGAACCGCCGAGCCAAGCCCTTCCCCTGGGGCGCCAACTCCTTGTTCTGGAACCCTGACGTACGTTTCCCGCCCTCCCCATCGTCATTCCAATTTTTGCGACAGGTGCTGATGGCGTTTTTTGACTTGGACACAGGCCAACAAGAACATGGAGGAGTAAATGTGCTTTAGACGTGTTGTTACCTTAGACCCGAGATATCCAATCCATGTCTTTCTTTTAGGCTCCTCCCTCAACCTCTCGCATTGACCATCCCGTCGCCGTGACGTTCGTTCGGAGTGAAGGCCCCCATCATCGCGCACATCATTCCGCGGGACCCCTCTAGACCGACCTGGACACCACCTCGCGCGTCGGTCTGCTCTCCCCTCTCTCCTCGACTCTACACATTGCAAAATGCTGCTAACTACCCTAGCAAAATGACATGACCTTCCAGAGTCCAATGCTCGAAACTCGCGTTAGTTGAATCATAAAACACCAATCCTTTTTTACAAATCCCAAAGCTCTAGGGTATCTACAATACGAGTCCAATAGACAAGAAGAGCGCAAAAACGGACGCAATGAATGATCCGGACATGCGAGGGCTTGCTGCACTTGACCTAAACAACCGTTCAGTCCTGCTCGCTGCACAAAGACCAAGACAACTTACAATTCACCAGCCGAGGTAATCTGCGCGAGTTCGGCTATAATGGTCCTCGTCTCAGTTCCACTGATGACCGTGAGGGTCTGAACACGAGGTCGGCCTTCGTCACCTCCCGCAACAGGCGTGGGTTGGGGAGCTGGGGTAGCACCAGGCGGTGGAGTAGCGAGCGTCCTCGTTTCTGTTCTTCCCTCAGAGGCGAGAATAACGATGTCGGGGTTGGGTTGGGGAATAACAGTCACGACGGGGGCTGAAGATAATTCGGTTAGTCATTCCGAGGTGAGCTAGAACTGAGAGCGCGTCTCACCTTGAGGAATCGAGCCAGACCTGCCTCCCGCTGGACTTGGAGCAGGAGCAGGCGGGGTCTGCACAGGAATATCGTCGAGGGGTTCAGAAGTCGCTCTAGGAACTTCAGAGGCTTCGGCCTCAGGTTCGGCCTCAGGTTCAGTTTCGGGGAGAGGTGAGTTGGATGTGGACTCTGGCTCTGGGGCACTCTCCGTCTGCGTCTCCTCAATTTCCGGAAGCTCCTCCGAGTCCTCCTCGACAGGCGGGAGTTCACCGTCCACAGGAACACCGTCCTCAATACCAGGTTCCTCTGTGGGCTCGGGAGTTTCTGCAGGCGAGTCGTCCGACGAGGTGGGGGTGGGTCCAGGAGGAACAGTGACGACAGAATGGAGAGTCGCGACGCCATCCATTAGTTCTAGGACTGAGCCCATTGGTCAATCGATGCTCTCTGCCATCGCGAAGAGGGAAGAAATAGACGCACGTTCACGGGCTCTCGCGTCCATAAATTCGACGATACTATTGAACAATTCGCTTCCTGGTGGTGCTAAACAACCATACCCGTCAGCGAAGCCATCCAAGCCCACTTTATCTCAACGCGAACGAAGTGGAGATACACACCATTCTTGGCACCGTTCTCGCCAATCTTCCACTGGTCCAATAGATCCACAAAATAATCTGCGTTAAGAGCAGTCTCAGTATATTTATCTTTTACCCTCTCCCCTCCTCAGCTTGCTCTCGAGAGCCTGCACAGACCCAAAAGGAATAACGACACACACCTTCTACAGGACCCCCGTCCAACATCGTGATGACATACTGTCTCTTCTTCATGAGATTCCTCAACCGAGCACTATAGTATCCTCCAACATGGGCAGTCGCAGTGGGCGTTCGCCTGACAAGCGGCCGTCCTTGCTCCATTGGAATAGGACCAGCAAGAACAAGAACCAATTGGCTCAAAAAGAGCGGTATGATGCTCCATAGTGATAGTGATAACAAGAACTTCATGTTCATTCAACCTGTGCTCCGGTTGTCTGTGTCTGCCAATGCCAGTGTCGGGTGTGTATTTGTCGAGCAGGGATGTGTATCAACGTGTCGGTCTTGTGTGCGCGTGGTGTTGAGACTCGTTGCAGGCGTGGTGTTGTAAAGAGCGAGAAGTTTCGAACGAGCGAGGCCAGGTATGCTGTAGGATCCAAGAGGCTATGAAACCCGAAGAGTCCAGCTCTTCTTCCAGAAGAGAAAGGCGGAAAGGAAAGGAGCGGTGTGCAATACCAGTGCACGGATGAAGAAAGAGCTTAAAAGAAAGAAGAAGAGAGGGAGAGAAAGACACAGACAACAGCGCACAGATGCCGATCGTCGTTGTCCGTCGTCCGGCGTCTGTGGGTAGTCAGCAGAACTTTGATTCCATCACACATACTCTAACACTTGGAGATGGTCGTGAAGTTGAAGACTGGTCAAGAATCCTTTTGTTTCTCTACAGCCTTCTGTACAGCGGAACTTGGCCTATCACCAAAGTAAACATGAGAAAGACGGGTCTTCCGTGAGCAGATACAACACGAGTTACAACACTCTTTGAATTGAGACGGCAACAATGGGTGTTAATTACAGGAAGTAAGTGCGAAGTTTCTATGGTAGATGGGTACACTAAAAGATCAGGCTAACTCGAGCATTTATATCCAGCAAAGCGTCCATGCTCCGTAAGCAAATGTGTCCATCGAAAGGAACGAGAAGGGGGTATAATATCCCAATAAGTTAACCTTGAAGGCTAAACATGGCGCCAAAGGCGTGTGATGTTGGCGGTCGTGATCGCAACTCCAGGGACCGACCACAGGTTCGTGTTGCGGCCAGACCATCCCAGAACGTTTTCAACGCGTGTCGATTCTGAATGCGCGTGTTTAGAGAGTCATGAAAGCACCAAGCAATGCGCTTCCCAGCACAGTGGCGGCACCAACGACCAAAGTGGTTTGCACCTGGAAGGTCGAGGCAGACCCGGTATCGTCTTCGTTGTTGGCGATTTCCGAGGCGACGGCAGCGGTAGCAACGGTGTAGACGGAGCCAAACTTGGAGGTAACAACACCAGCACCCGCCTCTGCGAGGGTAATGGCTTCACCTCCGGCACTGGTGACTACGGTGAACGCCTTGCCACCAACAGCTACAAGTACGGAGCGAAAGCGAAAGGATTTGGTGAGTCGAGGCTTGTCAAGCGCAGGGATAATCGAGAACGTACAGGTAACGGTAGAGAAGACCTCGCCTGCAAGGCTGGTAATGTCGGCACCGATGTCCCCAGCCCTGCTAGTAACAGCATCTCCAATTTCACCGGCACGGCTGGTGAAAGAGTCTCCAAAGTCGCCAGCTCGGCTGGTTGCCTCATCGAAGATGGAGGTTGCGGCGGATTCAACTATGGTAGATCATTCATTAGCATCTCCGTGGATACTCGCTTGGGACTCAGGATACGCACTAGCAGAGCCAATAACGTCTCCCAAATCTATGGTCGTTGTAGTCAGCTCTGTGTTCTACTAGACAAGAGGCATAGTACAACGCGTACCTTGTCGCTTCTCTTGCTGAGTGGGAGAGGCCAAGACGGCAGAGGCAGAGAGGAGAGCAGCGGCGAGGTACTTGAATTGCATCCTGGACAAAGGAAAATAAAAAGGGTGAACTGGGAGACGGGGAACGAAGGGAATGAAGAACGCTGCTGCGGCCAGAACCTGGATTAAATACGGTACCTCGATCCGACGCCTCGGATGTTGCTGTGTTGGGGCAGTGCCTTGCCAAGCGCCCGCATGTCTTTTGATGCGGATGACGTCAGCACAAATCTAATTAATCGATGAGAAGTTTCCGACTCTGTTCCTGTTTCTTTCAACTTTTGAGAAAAAGCTTATTCCCTCCTTACAATGCCTCGAGCAATCATTTCTCCGTCAGTTCTGGCATCTGACTTTGGTCAGCTCACTGCAGAATGCAAGCGCATGATCAAGGGAGGCGCTGAATGGCTCCATATGGACGTTATGGACGGGTGCGCCTTCTAGCCTCACAAGTCTCTCCACGATATCCTAACGACCAACAAAATACACTAGACACTTCGTTCCTAATATTACTATGGGTCCGTACACCCTCTGCTACAACCGAAAATTCTGGAAATGACCAACGACAAAGTTTTACACCTACTTTAGGCGCACCGATCCTCTCCTGCGTCCGCAAGGGCATCCCGGACATCTTCATGGACTGCCACATGATGGTCGCGCAGCCCGAACGCTGGGTCGACGATATTGCAGATGCGGGTGGAGCCATGTACTGCTTCCACATCGAAGCGACTTGTATGTACCGAACAGTTTATATCTTCTCGACCCTCTACTCAACTTCCTCCGGGTACCCCACGAAACCCCATACCACAGCCGACCCTATTGCCCTCATCCACCAAATCCACAAACGAAACATGAAGGCAGGCGTCGCAATCTCACCCGATACACCCTCAACCGCTATCACGGATGAAATTGGCCAACTGGCCGATATGCTCCTCGTCATGACAGTCTACCCAGGTCCGTCACTCCCTTCCCAGCCCTATCCCATCGGCTCAATATGTCCCGAAACCATGTAGGCCGAGGTGGACAAAAGTTTATCGAAAGATGCGTTCCTAAAGTCTCAGAACTCCGGGCGCGATTCCCTGACAAGGATATCGAAGTCGATGGCGGTGTAGGACCCAAGACGATCGATGTGTGTGCCGAGGCAGGTAAGCATTTCCCCCATTGTTCCTTTCCACGCGACAATCTGTCTTGGACTTTGTACTGCGGATTCACTTACTGACTACACTGCACCGCATTTATAGGAAGCAATGTAATCGTGGCAGGGACAGCCATCTTCGGCGCCGACGACCCTCCAGCGGTAATCAAGTCTTTGAAAGAGACAGTCGAAGCTGCGCAGGCCAAGTTTGCCGCTGCCCGTGCACAGCAGCAAAAGTCCAATGGGTCGAATGGAGCCAACGGCAATTAATGCCCTTCCCCGTGCTGCGCAAGGACGGTGGAGATGACCTTCTCATCTTATCAATACACCGCAAAGCTTGACCTACCAGACACCCCACATGCAACGAATTCGGAAATGCTAACGATCTAAACCGTAACGGAGACCACTCATCTGTATTTACAAAAAGGCTGTATATGTACATTAACAAGAATCTACAGAACGATGAACAAAAAAGTTAAAAAAAGAAATTACTAGCAATTCATCTACTCTACAGCTAAGATCAATTCACCAACACGGGGTCTAGCAGGAAGGTGTTGCATACTTCGGACTGGATCTACTCCTCTCCCCAGTCCAACCACTCCCCATACATGTTAGGTCTTTCTCCTCTCACATACGCCTCGAATGTTCTCTTCAGCACCGTGGCCCAGGACAGGTCGCGTTCATCTACGTCAATGTCAATCATATCGTCAGCCATATCTTCCGTGCCTTTCCCTCTCCGCATAGCAGCCCGAGCCTTCCTCTCCGGCTCCTCGAATCGAGGGCCCAAGTCCGGGAAATTGCGCACCGGATCGAAAGGCTTCCACCTGCAAGCAAATAACAACGATGTGAGATTTAGTTCAAGGGAGTGGGTCATGTGCCCCGCAGTGTCAGAAGTCTACAAACGATGGCCTAAGGGAAGTTAAAGGACAACGAAACTCACCAAAAGTTGTGAAAGTGATACGAATACGCGCCCTTGAAGAAGCCATCAAACCCAACAGCCTGAGGGACAGCGCTCTCTTTAACAGGTGTTTCGAAGAACTGTTCAAAGCTAAGATAACGTCAGCTCTCGGAAGGACACAAAAGGTAGGGTCCACCCACCTGGTGAAGTATGGCATAGGGGGCCTCTCGATCTGGTACTCTTCAGCATTTAACCACGCCGAATCAAACATCGCATCCGGCAACCGCACCAGTAACCTCTGCATCCCCGCATCCTTCAAATACCTCGCCACACTCATCGGGTGAAAATCCATCCCGTTCTTCACGGCCGTCTTGATGATCATCTTCCCCAGGGCACTCCCTTTATTAAGTTTGAGAACGGCAGTGTTGTAGAGAGGGAGGCGGGACCACCGATAGGCGAATGCGGAAGGCTGGTTGAGAAGTTCGGTGTAGTCCCGGAGGAAGAGGGTGTCCGCATCGAGGTAGATCCCGCCGAAACGGTGGCATAGGATGAAACGCGCAGTGTCCGAGAGGATTACAGAGAGTCGGTCATAGGTGGAGGAGGAAGTGCTACCCGCCCTTTCCTTTCCCTGGGACTTTTTGGTACTAGCAATCTTCTTTCCTGCCGAGTAGAACCATTCCCTACCCCTCCATTCGTCTTTCAACTCGGGCACAGAATCGAATTGCGCAGTCGTGTTCCAAAGCTTGAATTGGATGACGTCTTTGAAGCGCTGGTGCAAGAATGGAGCAGACCACGGATTTGACTTTAGCTCGTCCTCCATTTGACGAGTCGCATCTGGGTTGGGGAGAGCCGCAGCTGCAGGCCTAGGATTGATCCATAACCAAATCTGTGGTCGGCAAGTCCTTTCCCGTTGACCAGGTGCATGGTGCATCCCGAGGTTCTGTGTGAAGAGGAAAGAGAGAAGCGAGACGTATGGTTTGTCTGTGAAGGGACCTGCCCAGAACATGTGAAAGAGACGGGGTCGATCCGGATCGCACGAAGTCGAAGCTGCCTTGGGAGGGGAAATGGGAGGTAGTCGGATCGGAGGAACTTCCCATGGGACCCCACGTTTCTTCCTCAATCCTTCGTTAGGATCGGAGTCGTCGTCATGTCCAACGTGAAGACGTGAAACAGGAGCCTCGAGAACGGTTTGATCCTGTGAAGCGGCTATAGGCGAATCTTCGATGTAAAGATATCTCCAATCATCCATTCTTCCCCGACGCGTTCGTCGTCCGTTATCCAGCCCTCCTCCAACGCGTAACACTTCCAAGCAATCCCTTACATACTGGAATGATCAGCCACTACTGTTGATTTCATTCAAGAATGATGATCTCACTTTACCCCGCGAAAAGTCACAATGTTCCATGATGATGTCCAAATCAGCCACGCTCCCTGGCAGGGGACGGTGTGGGTACGCGACATTCGGTGGTTTGCGAGTCATATCTAGGTATATTCGCTTGGGACCTGCCCCTCGCGTTGGCACACCTCCATCATAACTCGGCGTAATAGGAACACCTATCCGACTCGGAGGCAATGCTGGGTTTTCCAAAAAATTGGGCATCTTTATGGATTTGGGAACTGGGGATAAAACGGGCAGAATGTCATCATGTCAACAATCGCATTCGATCAGAAATTACATTGGGGCGAATAGATACGCACTGGTTTGACGATGGGGATAGTGGCCACTCTTTACCTCCCATTCCCATATTCGTTGTAGGTCTTCACGTTGGTAGATTAGGGTTGGTGGGGGGCCTACTATGATTGTAGGCAGTTGTATTGCAGACAATGGAGTAACTCCGAAGAAAGAGAGAACAAGACAGAGAAAGGAGAAACCGAGGAGAGAAAAGATAAGGGCGCCGCGCGGTGTTGTGGCCCCGAGGCTAATCCCGAAGCGTTGCACGGAGAATCGGTGCAGATGCCGAAAGTTGAGCCAACAAAGACGTAATGTCCGACCTCTCAGCACCCTGGGCAGAGGAAACTGGAACGACCACTTTGGGCGTCGCAGACGTGATTGAGCAGGGTATTTGGCCTTCTCCGAGTAGATGGTGGTTGGAAGCGGGGTAAGATCGCGTAGAACGAGGCGAGTTTTGGTCGAGGTCGAGGTGGATTTGAGCCTGGAGAGGCCAGGGTGCGCGTTCGACGGCATTGATCGCGAAAGAACCAGTTGAACACGGCTTGGACGATCGTCTGTCTGCGATCAATCGTGGGATTTCTGGCCTCTGCTCGGTGGCCAGTGAGACGTTCTGTGCGGTGTTTCGAGGCTCTAAATTAGTACATATCTCAAGTGTATTGTGATAAAGGAGAATGTCATTGGACAGGATTGTGAAGGAACGAGGGACGAAGGCTAAATTTAAGGGTCGCACGTTGGATTTGGCTGATATCTCTGATAAGAGACGAGTCGTGGGGCGTTGCCGAGGCTTGTGCAAAACTCCGCCACTTAAAGGGACACATCATAATCATTTTCCAGACTGTCCTCTGCACACCCAACTTCCTTTCGAAAAAAATGTATCCCGTCGATGGCGTCCGTTCTCAGCTCGAGTGGAACTCGGAGCTCAGCCTCAACACTGTCACCCCAACAGAGACAACAAAGTTCTTGCGCAAGGTATCTCTTCTTTTTTCGCCCTCTAGACAAAATCAGTAATGAACGCGCGCAACGTCAGACCTCCATCATCGCGACTATCGGTGCGTCCAGCGACCGCCATCTTCCTTGACTCGTCGTTTATGCTGCGTCCTAGGCCCCAAGGTCAACACTGTCGAGAAGCTTACTGAGCTCGTCCGCGCCGGTGTCAACATCGGTAATTGTCGTCGTCAAAGATCCATAGTCCGCCCCTGAGTCTTTGTCTAGTGCGCATGAACTTCTCCCATGGTTCCTACGAGTACCACCAGAGCGTCATTGATAACACCAGAGCCGTCCAAGCGAGTACGCACCTCATTTATCGCTCTCGTAAACCCCATCAGTGCTCAACGTCGAAATCTAGACGATCCCAAGGGCCGTCCCATCGCCATCGCCCTTGACACCGTATGTTCCTTCGGCTCTCCAGCCACTCCAAATACTGAAACGCACCTCAGAAAGGACCAGAGATCCGCACTGGCGTGACCAAGGAGGGGAAGGACGTACGTCACTCCGATCTTGCAGCCCAACTGCTATATATAATATTGCTTCCGCTCACACTTTCTTGTGATTATAGTGGCCCGTCTCCGCCGGCCAGGAATTCATCGTTTCGACGGATGAACGGTACGCCGAAGCCTGCGACAGCCAGGTTATGTATGTCGACTATGTGTGTTCTCTCCGGTTTGCTCCTATGGCCCTCCGTCTCACCCACATTACCCCTAGGCCAACCTCCCCAAGGTGACCGCACCCGGAAAGTTGATCTATGTCGACGACGGTATCCTCTCCCTCCTCGTCCTCTCCGTCGATGGCAAGAACATCCATGTCCGCGCCTTGAACAGTGGAAACATCTCTTCCCGAAAGGGTGTCAACCTCCCCAAGACCGACGTCGACTTGCCTGCTCTCTCCGAGAAGGACAAGAAGGATCTTGAGTTTGGTGTCAAGAATGGCGTTGACATGATCTTTGCCTCGTTTATCCGCAAGGCTGAAGACGTCCAGGACATCCGAACTGTCCTCGGTCCTGACGGTGCCAACATCAAGATCATCGTCAAGATTGAGAACGAGCAGGGTGTCGCCAACTTTGACGAAATCCTCAAGGAGGCTGATGGTGTCATGGTCGCCCGTGGTGACCTTGGTATCGAAATCCCTGCCAGCCAGGTCTTCCTTGCCCAAAAGATGATGATTGCCAAGTGCAACATTGTCGGCAAGCCTGTCATTGTTGCTACTCAGATGCTCGAGGTACGCCTACCTCCTTCATGTCATTGTGCCACCAGCTAACGTTGGTCTTAGTCCATGACGTACAACCCTCGACCCACTCGTGCCGAAGTCAGCGATGTTGCCAACGCTGTCCTTGATGGTGCTGACTGCGTCATGTTGTCCGGTGAGACCGCCAAAGGCAACTACCCCATCCAATCAGGTATGTTTTCTACCTTGTCGTGTCTATTACTCCTCTCACATCTCCTTCAGTGTTGATGATGGCCGAGACCTGCCTCCTCGCCGAATCCTCCATCTGCTACCCTCCCCTCTTCGACGACATCCGTGCCATCCAACCCCGACCCACTGCTACCGCCGAGACCGTCGCTATCGCTGCTGTCGCCGCTGCCAGTGAGCAGGGTGCCAAGGCCATCCTTGTCCTCTCCACCAGCGGTAACACTGCCCGCCTGGTATCCAAGTACAAGCCCTCTGTGCCCATCATCACCGGTATGCCAATCCCTCGTATGTGCGACTATCTCTGACCGTCCCTTCCAGTCACCCGCAACCAACAAACGGCAAGGCAAATCCACTTGCACCGTGGCTGCTATCCATTCTGGTACCCCGAGCCTCGCGGCATCGAGGCTCACCAATGGCAGACTGATGTAAGCTTTACTCTCATCCCACCCATCCCACTTTTCCTGACGCCTTCCCTAGGTCGACAACCGTATCCGGTATGGTCTCCGCAACGCCTTGGCTCTGCACCTCATCACCCCCGGTTCAACCGTCATCGCCGTGCAAGGCTGGAAAGGCGGCTTGGGCCACACCAACACCCTCCGTGTGCTCTCCGTTCCGACCGACCCTGCCGACCTCGAACTCCAACCGTTGGGAGCTTAGACGATCATCCTTCCTCATTCATGGACTATTGAAACTGAAAATAAAAGCTTTCGCCATTCTACTCGCTCTTTCTCCAGGCTCTATACTTCGATGCTGCTGCTGTATCTGTACAATCAACCACTTTTTTCGTTCCGTGTCACCGATAATGCACATTTTACCTGCTTTAGATTCTGAAGTTTCGGGTAGTGTGGTTTGGTTCAAAGGCTCGTGGATAGGATTCGCGGAGAAACTTCAAAGGGAAGGAAGTACACCTTCCCTTTTTGATTGCATGGATCGACTGGGAGTGCTGTATGTAATAGCCGGAACATGGGGAGATGCGCGAAACTGTACGTACCCTCGCAGAACATCCCTAGAAAATGCCCGATACCGTCGCACGTCCTCTCTCTAAGTATTGTGCGGGAGGAAGGCAAAAGCGCAAGCATCTAAGAAGAGGCAGAAGAAGTAAAAAGTAGTTTAGCATGTGGTGTATAGCCAACTAGCTTACTTGACGCGCTCGCTCAAAAAGTCTTCCATTATATCAACTTCGCACATGTATATAGTAGCTCTCCTCCCCTCAGCCCCTTCTCTACTCGCGAACCGTGCTCATCTTCCGAAGATTTCGTACTTTCAATATGCTTGGCTCACGGTCGAACTCGGCTGACAGTACCAAGTTTACAGATTTACCACTCTTTTAAATTCCTTCTGCGCAGCCCGAGAGACCGAGCAACGTTCGAGCCGATAAACGTTTCGCCAGCCCCTAAACCAAAAGGTAATCTGACTTGCCTTCTCTCGGAAAAATCCATCCTCAACGTGAAAAACGCTTTTTCTCGGACGCGTCATGTACATAAGCGAGCGGTCATTACAGGGTATAATACTACACGGAAATTAGATACAACGGAGCTACAACTTGGGTCAGAAAGCATACAGACGAAACGAAAGCGATGGTACAGGCACAATGACGATCCAAGGTCGATAGACAGGCAAGGGAAAGAAGAGTGACTGAGTGAACAAAGCACGAGTAGCACAAGAACGACTCAAAGCGAGCGCCTTGAGAACGAAGATTACACTTTGTAAACGATACCTTCACTAATCATCAACTCATCATTATCCCCCATAATCTGGCAAAGCTCGGTAGCTTCTCCGGTGCCAAACAGTGACTCTGCGGGAAGCCCTTGATTGATATGAGTGAGGATGTCCTTGAGGAACATGGATTCTTCGTCTTGCATGACTGTGCTGAAGACATGGGCCATTCTCGAGCGGAAGAATTGCAGTCTAGAAACATCTATGAATTTCATAGTCAAGAAATGGACGGAAAAGGACTTACCGTTCTTGCTTATTCTGACCACCTTCCGCGGGAGTAGACGCCACGACAGTAGACTGCTGGCTCTCTTCTTCGTGCATGGTGACGTCTTGGGTCTCGTCGCCCCAAATGGGGTCTTGGGGAGGAGGGGATTTAGCCGCACCAGCGCCAGAAGCAGCGGGTGGCATGCTCATCCTTTGGTCAACATTTTCGTTCTCATCCTCCGATTCGCTCTCTCCCTCGTCACTGCTGCCCTCCGCGTCTCCGTCCGTGCGTTTTCGAACACCACCGTGGTTGAGCTTTCGCTTCTTTCGTCGCTGGCGCTTAGGCACCTGCCTGAACAAGGCAAACCGCATAATCTCCTCAGCCTTGATCGCATCTCGCTCTTCAACCTTGGTTGACAATCGAGCTTTTGCATGCGCGGTGGCGAGACGAATAAGAGTTTCCAGTGTACGAGCCGTTAAAGGTGAAGTCTTAAAGAGAGAAAAGAGGGTTGGGTTAATTGCGATGGTTCATCTAACGTAGAGAGTGGTTGATGCAGTCTTACCTTCTTGGTACCTTCCATGTCTTCGTTCCTTAGGGTTGCGTAGACCTGGACGATGTAGTCTGCCGCGCCTTTTGTGAGGACAGGGGCCGGCTTGCTCTTGGCATACTGGATGTACTTCTTGACGAACGCTATGCTGAGGATTTCCTTTTTCTTATTTTTCTTACTGCTACGCGTCTCTCGCTCGCGACCTGCCTGGGCCAAACCCATGTGAAGCAGAGGGTCGAACTTCTCGTAAGGACTGGTCTCCACCGCCTCAACCTCGGCGGCCACATTGGGTCCCTCCATGGAAAGGGGTTGGGAAAGGTTGTCGTGGCATGGCGTCCCTTCTTCAACGCCAGGGGGCAAGTAACGATGCATCCGAAGAACGTGGTCTGCGATCATGCGGTCTTTCGTCTCTTCTACATCATCAGTTACGATGAAGAGAAGATCGAATCGAGAAAGCAAAGAATCGGGAAGTGCGATGTTCTTGTGGGGATCTTTATGAATGTCGTACTGTGAGTTTGTTTAGCGCCAATTACTTTGTCGCCACAAAAAGCAAACCGAAACTCACCTGGCCATAGATGGGATTCGCCGCCGCAACAACGCTGCACCGCGCGTTTAAGCTAGTGTGAATACCAGCCTTAGCGATTGTGACCGTTTGCTGTTCCATGACTTCATGGATCGCTACTCTGTCGATGTCGGACATTTTGTCGAACTCGTCGATGCAAACAACTCCACGGTCGGCAAGAACCATCGCGCCTGCTTCCAGTCGCCGTTCGCCTGTTTCCTTGTCGGTAGTGACGGCAGCTGTCAAACCGACGCCCGAACTACCTCGACCGGTAGTGGCGATCGCCAGAGGAGCAGTCCCCAACACAAAACGCAAAAGTTGCGATTTGGCAGTCGAAGGATCGCCAACCATCAGCAAGTTAATGTCACCACGAATGTGCGTTCCATTGGGTAGGTTCTTCTCCGCACCGCCCAGTAAGAGAAGGAGAATTGCCTGCTTGATTTGTTCGTGACCGAAGATCGAGGGTGCCAGCGATTCAGAAAGCAAGTTGAAGATGTTGGACTTCTTCGCTAGCTGGTTAATTGTACGGATGTCAATATCCGTCAGGGGTGTCTGGGCAATTCCGCCTCCGATTTTTGAGGACAGAAGGTTGATGTTGTTGGCGAGCAAAAGTGACCTGCGCGAAAGTTAGTACGAATGATTGCAATTTGGCAGCAAAAAGGCTCACTTGAAGGCACCGCTAGCCCCTCCTCCGACGCTCCGATAGACTCCTACTAGCTGGATTCGATCCCCAGGCTTGCATTTATCGACGAGATCATCGTCTAAGATGATGTCTGTGCTGCGCGGAAGTTGGCCTGGTGGAGCGCGCTCAGGCATCTCCTGGATGCTGATGCGCTGATGATCCCTGAATGTGCACAACCCGTACTCGGTCTCCAAAGGATTTCCATCTTCGTCTGTTTGAGGGGTAATCGATGTTGTCGGTGGCAAGTTGGAGTTTGAAGTCGTAGCGTCGCGGTATTCCCTTGCATGGAAGTTTTGGGTTTGCGGGCAGTAGTGGACGGATCTGAGCATCTTTGGCCGTACAAGGGAACATCTTGTGATAATGCCTTCAAGGCAAATCATCTTCCCTAGGTGGCCAGAGTTCAAGGTTCGAGGGCTGACGTGGTGGTCACCAAATGACCCGCTGAACCCGACGTGATAGGTTTTGCCTTCAATCGCGTGCTTCTCCGTATTGTGAACGTCCTTGACGATCTGGGACAAGGCATCCTCGATAGCTGGAAAATATTCTGTCGGCTGTTTGAGGAGTCCGTTCGCGTATTCGCGGTTGAAGTCGCGCAGGTCGTCGATATTGATAATTAGCCGCGTCCTGTCCTCGCGAAGCATCCGCAGAATTTCATCCTGGTAGTTATAGAGTTCAGAGCCCTCGGTCAAGAAATTCTTGAAGACCCTGCTTCGCTCCTCGAGAACAGCGTCTTCTGAGCTTTGCCCAAAGTTGGCGGCCATTGTGGACTGTGATGGGCGGTCGTGGAGGATGAAGAGGAACCGTGCAAAGCGGCTTCGAAGATTGCAGTCACAATCTCGCGTTGTCACGCTCACGTGCCAGCGTGACACCACGTGTTGCCCTCCCCTGCCTGAGCGTCCGAGTCGTACCTGGCTTAAGTAGGAGAAGGGATTGACGTGAAATGGACAAAAAGACGGTAATCAGGCGCCAACAATGTCCATGTAATTGAGTGACCGGTAGTCCATAGCAGTTCGTAACGATTACTACTAGTGTAAACAGCATCACTGATAGAGAGTGTAGTTCCGAGGGACTAGTACCAGGGGTTCGACGAAGCAAGGGGATAGCGGGAATCCATAGACATAGACGCATACGGGCATGAAACTCGACCGGTCGTCGTAAATCGTTAGCAAGATGACCAAAATTATGCACAAGCGAATGCAAGCGGAATCGAAGCAAGGAGCGTGGTTTTGAAAGGCCGAAAGAGATGGCGAGAATTGTAGTGATATGACGAATGGGAGATCCAAGCAAAGCGACTAATAAAGCCATCCACCATCCAAATAATAGACCATGAAGACAGACGATTAGATTTATGCCCAAGAAACTGTACAACCCATCGCGATTAGCTTGTCACTTAGAACCGGCTCCACTGAGAAAACTCACATAGGAGGGATTATGCTTTGAAAGCGACAGCGAGAATGCAGTGATGTGGTTTGAAGCAGACCTTTCAGGACGGATTAATCAAGGCTCTCCCCCGATAGAGAGCCAACTGGCGGCGGGGTCGGTTTTCTCCAGTCAGGGCCACCTCGACCGGCTTGTGCGCGTCGCCAGTCGGGCCCTCCTCGACGTGCATCGATCAAGTCGACCTCGGGATCCACAGGTTCCTCTGGTTGAGCTGGTTGCACCGTCCTCCAGCTGGGTCCAGGAGGACCTTGTATTTTCGACTCTACACGGCGCCAACCAGGTGACCTTCCAAACCCGCGGGGAGCAGTATTATCCCGAGAAGTCTCGGGTATGATGGCCTACGAAGCAAGTTAGTCAATATGGCATTCTTGAAAAAGTCAACAAGAGCGTTTGTGCGTACTGGTAATGCAGCAATAGAGGAAATAAGAGTAATGGGAACCAACAATGTTACTAGTCGCATATTAGAGAAAGGGACGTGTGGTACGGAGGGGAGAGAAGGGACGAGAACGTAAGAGAGAGAGAGAGGGATTCACTAGTGGGGAGGATGAGAAACGGATGGCGGGTCACATTTAAATACTTGAGAGGGATCCTCTCGATGACCTCGTAGCCGATCCGCTTTGCCACTTGAGCTCCAGGAATCATGTCACGTTGGTACGATTCTGACGGGGTGGCGAGTGCCTGTCGCTGGAACGATGGACCGAATGATATCGTCCCACACCATCTAATTTCCTGAAAAAGTCGGTGTTCAGTTTGGCTATACACTTCCGACAGTCCCTTACCGGGATATCGAGATATCCAAGGACAATGCCCGACTTCCCTTCATCGCAGAAGTCAAGATGGTGGAAGCCGATGTGTTGATGTTCCGGTCAAAAGTGTAACTTACATCAATCGCCTAACCTCCATAACTCAGTTGACCAACTTTTTACGCTGTGCCTGGGAGTGGCAACCCGCCTAGAGATTCTGGATCGAGTTCCCATCTGTTCTGGTTTCTTCCGAGGATTGAACTTTGCTTCTGACCGTGTATTCAGTCATCGCAATTCGCTGCCTAACGATGCCGCCTTTTGTTAACCGTGCTGACAGCCCGATGTGTCCGAACAGTGCTGGCCATCCGATAAGGAAAACAACGAGATACCCATCGCTTTGAACCCATGGAGTAGGGAAAATGTAATCCAGCTCGATCCACACATGATTCACAGATATTGGTGAAAGGATCATCAGATAGAGGTCAATGGGCCACTATCACCTCCTAAACACCTATTGGAAAGGAGTAGAACGCCTGCAATGACGTGAACAGCAATGAGCACTTACGGTTGTCCAAAGTACATGACCTGCTTTATCCGGGATCCTTGGGCGGGCGTTGACTGGAGTGGTGCAACTTAAGCCAGGGACTAGTGCAAGGCACAGAGCTTCAAAAGGCATGCACACTGGGTACCCCTTTCTACAACTAGAGAGTATAAATCAAAATCTATAGGGCGTTCCTGCCAGTCGTCACAGATCTCCACAAAGGCATCTGAGTTAACTCCTATGCGATAGGGTGACATTAGATAGAATTGGGGCACAGGAAGTAGAACTATTGGCCATGACGTCGCACTTGCGTTTGGAGCATACAGCTTAATCCTGGCGGTGAGACGGGGTGAGTTAGTCCATCGCCCGAGTAGAAAGTGAAGCACGTACCCAAAGTTTAATGAGACCATCCCATGATGCAGTGATGACTTTCGACTAGTAGAAAGGTGATATCAGGAGCGTACTCGGACAAGAGAACCGGCGCCACTTACAGTTTCATGGGGAAGCCATTCGTGCGCAATCACAGGTTTCGAGTGAGCCTTCAGACGTGACTTGATACGACCTGTCTTCCAGTCCCAGAATACAACGTTACCCTCTCCGTCCCCGCTGCTTATCCATTTCCCGTCAGGAGAGAACCCGACTTGACAAGCATAACCGGCGACGGAATGTCCAGCAAAGCGCTTCTTTCGATTTTGACGGAAATTGTCTGTGCTGTAGACGAGGATCTGATTATCCAACGATTGGGCCGCGAAGTATTTATCTAACAAACACGTCATTCAACAAGGGAGCGAAATGAAATAAGGGGTAACACTCACTAGAAGGATGTAGTGTAACAGCAGGCATGGAGTGCATGTGAGGCTCGGCAATGTATTTGATCACAACAGGGATGTCGAAGTCCCATGCACGAATCGTCTTGTCGTCGGAAGTCGTCACGAACCGCCGATTTTCGTCGACGAAGGTGATCGTATTAACAGGGCCTAGATGTTGGTCGTATTCTTGAGTGATTTCCCCAGAGTTCATATCATACTATGTAGCATATGGTTAGCCTCGGGCCGTCAAGGAGATGGTGAACCCAAGTACCTGGATGATCTTCTTGTCTGACATTCCCGCCAGGAAGATGTGCTGCTTATCCTCGTCGGGATGGAATTTGACGACGTATGGTGTCTTGCCATTTCCGAACCGTTGCAGACACTGACCGGTTTCCGTATCCCAAAGCTTCATGGTCCGGTCGTAGGCACATGACAAGAATTTCCGTCCATCGTTGGAGAAGCAGATGTCCTTCACAGCTTTGACATGGCCGTGGAATGTGCGCAAGCAATTCCCATGAGTGTAAACGTCCCAAAGCTAACGAGGACGGTCAGAATCATGTTAACACGGGAGAAGAGAAAGAAGCGCACTTTGATTTTGGTGTCCATAGAGCCACTGATCATAAGGTGACCAGTCTGAGGGAAAGTCCTAATGACAGATACTCCTTGGGTATGTCCGGTCCAAGTGTGCACGCACACCTTTGGAATGAAGCATTCCTGGGATCCGGCTTCGTGAAGAAGGTGGGGCGCCTCTGCCACGGGAGGCGACATGTACGTCCTGCCTTGGTAATCTGTCATAGACTTGCCATGGAACACAGAGGTTTCCTGGCCTGGGGCACCGAGCTTCGGCTTCGCTTTCCGGACAACAGCACGGGGTTCTTCCTCTTCACTCTCCTCCTCTTCATCCCCTTCAGTCGCCTCCACGCCAGCCAAGAAGTGTTGTTGCGGCTCCTCGCCTTCCCACTGAGCCCAAGGCCCCACATAGGCACCCTCGCCTTCAACAACGTCCAAGTCACCCCGATTCTTTCGTTTCCTCTTCAACTCTTTCTTTTCCTTCCGGCTAGTACGAAGTGCATCGAGGGTTGCAAAGTTATTGGCCTGCGCCTTCTCTAATGAACCAACGACAGCAGGTGCGTTGGGGTCCATAGAAGGATTGGCGGAGTAGCCGAGGATTGCATGGGTGAGATGTTGTGTTCGGAAGGCATGGTCAGTCATGGATTGCTCTTCGACATGGCCAGCAAGCGCATTTTGGTTGAGGAAACGGTTTCGGTCTGCAAACGGGTTTTCTGGACCCTGTAAAGGGAGCATCATGTCTTCGTACGGAATATTGACATTCATTTGCGTGTCTGTTGGTCTCGTAACGAGCGTTTTGAGATTCAAGGGGTCCTACAGATTGTTAGAACCTGTAGGTTGAATTTTCTAACACTGTGCGTACCTCCGAGAGAACATCTGGTGCCGCTGTTGCCTGCGATGTTGAAGGACCGTCATCAACTCGAGGTTTCTTGGAGGCCGGCAAGGAAGTGAGACCAAAAGCATCGGTCGCGACGCTTTTTGATATTTCCTCCTCGTCTGACGAGTAATTGAGGGCAGCCAAAGGCATTGCGGAAAACACGAGTTGGTGGTTGAGTTAAAGAGTTGATCCAAAGAGCGTGCCGCGGCTGAAAGCAGTTGAAAGCAGTGCTGGAGCCACCTAAATTGGGACCTGCCCTCGGCCACTCTCTTCCACAGTCATTCATGCAGAGTCGAGAGTGCCTATGAGTCAACGAAGTGTTAGTCGCCCATGGACAGCTGAAGAAGGTATGTCTTCAAAAATTCGAGCATCCCACCAAACTCACTCCTCTCGTAAAGATGCTCAGCTACGGGCAGCTGTCGCTCAGCATGGCGAAAAGGGTGCCTGGATACTGGTCGCAGACTTGGTCCCAGGGCGAACCAACAAGGCCTGCAGAAAGGTAAATACTCTTAGAACCTGTCTAGATCATGTCTGATTATTTCTGCCAGCGCTGGAAGCATTCGTTAGCGCCAGAGATCAAGAAATGCGCCTGGAGTAGCGAGGAAGACCAATTGCTCATCAAACTGCATCGGGAACATGGTCCAAAATGGGCAGTAATCTGCGACTTTATTCCAGGCCGCACCGACGACGCTTGCTCTAAACGTTACCGTGAGGCGTTGGACCCAGCGCTCAAGAGGGCCCCTTGGACACCCGAAGAGGATGCGAGGCTGATCAGCGCTTTTGAAAGGCTAGGCAGCTCATGGGTACAGATCGGACAGATACTGGGAAGGGGTGGCTTGGATTGCAGGAACAGGTATGCTCCTTGCGACATGCTCTTTGGGCCATATCATTAAAATTCGTTTCTACATAGGTGGCGATGGCTGGAGCGCAGGGGGAAAACACGAGTTTCCCCAAAGCAGCCATCATCGACCTCAAGTCAGAGGCAGACCCTGGACCCTTTACTGACAAGTGTCCCTTCGGTCTTCCCCAGTCCTGCTGCAACATCGGCGCCGCTTTCCGCGCTCCCTGTCGAGGGACCGGATTTAATGAACAACTGGCCCCCGTACTATCCCCCGGAAATGTATCCTTTGCCTTCGTCGGGAGAGTCGTCGCACACGCATGTTATCCGCGAATCCACTCCAGAGCACCACGTTACGGTTTCCCCTCACGTAGCCCCGTTCAACTTCAGCTCCTCTTCGCTCAGCACTGCCCTGTCGGCACCACTGCGATCCAAGCCCTTGCCCTCGGACAACTCGGATGCCGTACGACCCAGTCATCACCGCCCATTGTTCCATTCACAATCTCAGCCCCAATCTCAAGCAACTTCTCCTCTCATCCTCAATGGCACTATCAATACCAATACCCAGGATATTGTTATGTCGCAGGACGACACTATCGATACCACCATGGACAATACCGACAATGGATCTTTCCTAGGTTTACAGCAATTCGACAACTTCAGTTTCACCGGACCGTTGCAATCATTGCCCTTCCCCTTCCCGAGCAAAGATGTCACCTTTCCCGAACCCGCCATTAACCACGCTGTGTCCCCTATATCTCCTTCAGTGGTCAACCTACCCGAACCACTCCAGTTCGGCGAAGTATGGAAATCCCCTAACTTGTCGGATTTATTTGCTCCAACTTCGAACATGTCGGAGTATTCACCATCCATCTTCCAATCTGGATTCTCCTCTACGAGCGATATTTTGGACGACCTATCTTCAGTTGCATCTACACCATTTCATATTACATCTTCACTTTCACCCACGGCTAGCCCACACCCTGCAGGTCCATTTGATCTATCGACTACCCCTCATGTCGATCCTTCTCCAAAGACGGATCAACCTGCTACACAAGGTTCTTTGTTGTTCTCTGTCGCTCCTCCCGGGCCTATCAGGACGAGGAAACCCCCTGTTCAGTCTCAGCGTAAGGCGACGCCGAGACTCTCTTCCACTTTGAGGTGTTCCGAGTACGTCCTTCTCGGGCTTGTCCCACTCTTCCCCTGTTTTCTAAAGACACTTTATCCACAGCCCGAACATTCGTCCATATGCCTGTGGTTACGAATCGTGTTGGTCAGAGGCGGACCCTAGTAAACGGGTCTGCTTTTACACTTCAGGAGAGCTGAACACCCATATCAAAGAGGTACACACATCCGACAAGCCTGTTGAATCTCCTTGGAGGTGCGGCCTCGAAGGCTGTAGACAGAAGTACAAGGTACAGTGGACCAGGTTCATTCGCTGGACTGCAGTCTTAATGTCGTCTTTGCAGTCCGAGAATGGTATACAGTACCATTTGCAAGCGTAAGTGATACTCTTCGCTCCCCCAATGTTACGCGGTTCTTAATCTATTTCCCAATAGGTCCAAAGTTCACTTCCAGGACGCAGTGCAGTCCTTCCTATCCCAACATAGTACCGCCGCGGAAGCTTCACAAGATCCTTCATCTTCTCCCGGAAAAGACCCCGAGAAGAAACAAAGGCGGTATATGTGCCCTCGACCTGGATGTGTCAAAGCCTTCAAGCAGGCAAGTGGGCTCAGATATCACCTTGCTCACGTACGTGGAATTCTTCCGCATGAGCTACCTATCCGCAACTTATGTTCATCTCAGGGCCATCCTTCGTCTAAGCCCGTACAGATAGCGGAAATGCCTCCGGAAATACGCAACGCTATTCCAAAGCCTATCCGGAATCTGCGTCAGAAGTCTCCCGAATTGCCGCCTGCCCTAACCACCGCCATCTCCACTGCTTGATCTGTGGCTTTTCATGCTCACGAACCAGCTCGACTTTCCAGCGGTTTGACTACGACTATTATTTCTCGCAAATTCGGACCTTCTTTGTCGCAAGAGCGCGTATGTGCCTGCAGGACTTTGCTGTGTGTCGCCCTTTTCTTTCTGGCTTTGATACATTTGCTCCAGCGCTATAATTCTAACTCATATATCCTAATCTTTTTCGTCCATTGGTTATGATTCCTTGTGTCCCAAATATCATGTCACGAAATGCAATTATACATCATGTTATCCAATTAAATGAACGGTCTGAAAGATGGGTTAATCCAAGAGTGGAAAGTAGCTGTCTGCCACTGCGACTTAGAGCCCAGCTCCTCCTCCATATTGTTGTGCACTATAAGACGGGTCAGTAAGGAATGTATATTGACAAAGAGACCGTTCTTACAGGTTTCGGAGTGCTGGATTGTTCATCATCTCCTCCATGGATGGCATGTTGCCACTGCGGAAGCGGTTTGCCTAGTGCTGTTGTGAGGATTGACACGGAGAGGATGGATACACGGTTACGCACCAGGTTAGCAATATCGGGACTCTGCATGAGTTGATCCAACCCGCCGTTCTGTGCCAATTGGCTGGCCATTTGCATGATGGCGGGGTTGCTGAGGAGGCTAGAGAGATCGGGCATTCCACCACCGCCACCACCTGCTCCACCTCCGAGGCTTCCTAGTAGATCATTAAGGTTTGGCGTGCCTCCTCCTCCAGCCCCGCGAGTTCCTGGCAGAGAAGTCAGAGCGTACTTGAAGTCATGTTCTTCATCTATCCTGACCTGTGGTGGGACTAGCAGCAGGGCTTCGAGAAGCGCCCCCCTCAGAGGCCAAGCGACCTTTGGCGCTTTCCAAACTGCTCTTCAAATGAGCGTTGGTAGGATCGAGTTTAAGACCTCGCTCGAAGGCATCAACTGCTGCGGAGTAGTCGCCGATGCTGAACTGCGCATGGCTAATAACCGAGGATAAGGTCCTGCAAACGGGATTGGAATTCGAGCAAACGTACCCCAGTCGAGAATAAGCCTTGACAAACTTGGGATCGATGGAAATAGCCTGTTCAGCATCTCCAATCGCAGATAAATGATCACCCTTGCTCGCATGGGCCGCGGCACGATTGGAGTAGAAGACAGGGTTGGTAGAAGACAGGGTTGGTGGGGTCGAGGTCAATCGCCTTGGTATATTCATCGATAGCTTCATCGTACTTCTTGCTCGACATCAGACCATTTCCCTTCTGTTTGAGTTTCTCAGCTTCAGCTTTATCAGCCTCCGAGGGTCCTTTAGGGCCAGTGGAAGAAGACGACGCGGCAGAAGAGTCCTGGGCTGCAGAAGAAGGGGCTTGTGTCCGTTCCCTCGTCTTCAAAAAGACATCGAAGATGTTCAGCAATTTCGCAGGTTTGATGGTGAGTTTAGCAGCTTGTTCTTCGCTCTCTGGGTCTACGCCAAATGCTTCACCGATACATTGAACTACAGAGATGATGAGGTCGCGGACAATTAGGATACCGGGGTAACTTTGTACGCACTGGCAACCTCCAACCCTTCCTTGTCGTCCTCCTTGACAGTTCCATCTGCAATAGAGTCGTTGAGGAACTCGATAACCGAGTACACCAGTCTTTGTTTCTTGTCGTCAGCCATAGTCGTCGTCCGAGGGTGTGGATGGTGGATCTTGGAGGAACTTTCTATGAGGCGCGGACATCATCGTGGCTGTGCAAACCCAAACAAATGCAATCGCGCATGCGCTCGCGGCGACACGAACCTTGGGATTCAAACCAAAACAGTGACTACCGCGTCACATTTCCTTCCTCAACCCGTTTCTCTTCTTTTCCAGAGAAATATCCGTTCGTCAGGATGTTCTTCTGTGCTATCTCTGGAGAGCCTCCCCAGGAGCCCGTCGTGTCTGCAAAGTCAGGCAAAGTTTACGAAAAGCGACTCATCGTCAAGTATATTCATGAAAACGGAACAGATCCTATTACTGGGGATAAACTGGAGGAGTCTGACTTGATTGCGATTAAAGCCAGTGAGTAACACCTTTCAAATATATTTCCGAAATGCTAACCGCGTGGTTTCCTGACTAGGCCCTGAAAATGCTCCTCCTCGACCTCCAACAAACACCTCGATACCTGCTTTGCTCCAACTTTTGCAGAATGAATGGGACGCTATGGTTCTAAGCACACATGCGCTGGAACAAAAGTACAACGCCACTCGACAGGAACTCAGCTACGCACTCTACAGCCAGGATGCTGCCAATCGTGTGGTTGCACGATTGATTCGTGAGCGTGACGCGGCACGAGAGTGCGTACATTACCATATAATATTGGCATTAAATGGGAGCTAACCGCTGTTATGCTTTCTGTAGGGCTCTTGCAAACGTGCAAGCTTCCATGGGAATTGCACCTTCCCAGCCCACCGGCGGCGAGGACGTCGAAATGGCAGAGAACGGAGGCGTTGAGGAAGGACTTCCCGCAGATATCGTCACCCAAATCGACGAGACGCATGCGGTTCTGTCGGCAGCCCGAAAGAAGCGAAAGACTCCTCCAGGATACGCCGCCCCGGCAGAGGTTAAGACTTACAAGGCTACCCACACCATCCCATCCCTCCATTCCGCTTCTCCTGCCGGCATCACCTCCATTGCTTTGTCCACGTCCAACCCTTCGCAATTCCTCACGGGCGGTAATGACCATATCGTGCAGCTCTACGATAGAAGCACCGACAAGGTTCTCGCTTCACTTAAGGGTCATTCGAAGAAGGTGAACCACGTCGCCTTCCGAGAGCGCGAGGGTGACAACACCCTGCTCCTCTCGGCTGGTGCGGACAAAATCGCCAAGATCTGGGGACATGACGGCGCGTCGGGCGAGTACATCCCCAAGGCCACCATCCGAACCCACAAGGGTGAACTCACCGGCCTCGCGGTCCACCCCACCAAGACCCTCCTCGCCTTGTCCTCTGTGGACAAAACCTACTCGCTGCACGATCTCTCAACATTCCAGCAAGTTTTCCGGTCTGCGCCAACGGACGAGCCTTTTAGCTCGATGGCTGTTCACCCCGACGGCACCTTCTTGGCCATTGGAACGCCCACCTCTACTATCCACATTTACGACGTTCGCGCTGGTGCTATTGCAGCCTCATTGACACCCCCCGATGCCGTCCCCTTCACCGTCCACACGCTGTCCTTCTCGGAAAACGGATACAATCTCGTCGCCCCCAACTCCCTCTCCTCCATCGCTCTTTGGGACCTCCGAAAGGAGAAGATTACCGCTTCCATCGACCTTGGAGATGACTTTAAGGTCAACAAGGTCCTTTGCGATGCTTCCGCACAGTTCATCGGTGTTGCTGGTAACCAGGGTGCTCGAATCTTCGCTCAGAAGTCGCGCGAAGAGCTGTTGCGCTTGGAAGAAGGTGGAGAAGTCAGCGACTTTGCGTTTGGAGCACAAGGCAAGGAGATTTGGGGTGCTACTGGACGGGAGGTCAGGATTTGGGGAGCCTCCGCTTAATATCACTTTTATCCATTTTGTATCTGCTTCTGTTGTATGTAACTCGAATAATGCTCACTTTCCACCGGCTATGCAGTCTGATGGCACGATTAAGAAGGCTCGCGTTGCTATCAAGTTGGCGATGCTTCAATGCCATGAAATTCAGTGGTTTCGACTACATACATGGAGTAAAGACAAGTCTTCTGCTAAGACTATGGAGAAGATCGAAGATGACTAAAATTACAACAACACGAAGTGTGAATGGCGTGAACAGTCGTGCAAGAATCGTATCCGAGTCCTTTAATGATGAAAGGCATTACCGTCAGAGATAGGCGGGGAAAAATAAAAACTACACAATAATCTACACGTCAATGGAAAGGGGTTTCCATTGAGCTCATGGTCTGTTACCATGAACTTGGTCCAATGATTTCCCCTTCTGCGAGCGTTCTTAGCGGTACGCCGTTTGCATCGGCGGTATTCAGCCAGACCCTGGAAGAAAGGGGAGAAACAATAAGTGAAAGGTGATTTAAAAATACAAGGCGAAACTAGACGTACTCGTTACCCCACCAATTCAGCTGAACGCCGCCTTTAGGCATTTGCAGGGTGAAGAAGACAATGATCATTCCGATACCCAGTCCAGCATCGAGAGCAGCGGAAAGAATATAGTTGTATCGCATCCACCATCTGAAGTGGAACCGTCGGATGACGTAGTTGAAGATGAAGCCGGTCAAGGCCCAGGAGATGTAGTTGATACCAGAGGCGGGAGGCATGGCACCGAGCGACGCGAAGAAGATGGGGATGTTGATGTATCTCCAGATGGAGAGGGGGAAGCGGCGAGCAAGGAAGTAGAAAGGAATCGGGAGGATTGCTCCGACGAGGAAGAACCAGAGGAGGCCGGAATACCTGGAGATAAGTAAAGGTCAGCTGGGATTCAACAACATGCACTGTCAACTAGACCATACCATTGACCGGGGCTGAACAATCGGACGGGTGACACGCCTCCCCAAATGACAGAGGCGGTGAAGAAAGTGGTGGAGCCAGGGCACCGGAAACCATCCTTCTGCGTCGGGGTGCACACATCCGGGATGTTGGAAAGCATCCAATTCTGCATGCCGGTGACGAAGAAGCACGAGACAGTGGCTGAGAATACTTGGATGGAGAACATCATGCGGGGTGGGATCTTCATGTAGTGGCCGAGTTTGAGGTCTCCCGCGAAGATGATGGCCTGGTTGGAACCAACGAACATCAAGCTCTTGAATAACATGTTCGCGATGGGACGGCCAGGGAGGATGTAGCCAATGATGAGCTCGGCCATGACTTGCGTTGGAACCGTTTGATTCGTGATAGCCTGGAGCATGCACAGCGGGATGGCGAGACAAACAGCGAGGGCGAGAGCGAGGAAAAGGCCCCAAATCGGCAGTTGGCTGTTGGGATTGATCTCGATGGCAATAACCAGGAAGACGAATGAAATGAGACCGATGGTGAGGTACCACCAAGCGGGCGTTTCTGGGTAGTATTGCATGAGGCGGGAATGAATATCTCGCTCATCCTTCAATGTGGTTCGGAACCGGCGAACAATATCCTTGCGGAACCAGACTGGAAGGAAGTGTGAGTGTCAAAAGGGAAGAAGAGACAGGTACCTGTACTTACGGAAAGTATGAACGAACACTGATGGGAATGCCGCAAACGCAATACCGTACAATAGGGCCAGGGCGGTAGACATGAAAACCGGCGAATAAGCTGAATATTTAGCTTGGTCGAAGACGCCATCCGTCAGGACTTCCTTGACTTGATAGACATTGCCGGTGTTGTCAAATGAATAGTACGAGGAAATGGGCAAGTAGGCCGAATCCCAGGTGTTGGTGACTGTTGGGAGAGATTAATTTTGAATGCAAGAATAGCAAAGGCATAGGAACGCACAATAGAGAATCGGGCAAATGATCCAGTACATGATGATGAAGCCTGCAGCGGTGTTCATCTCGGACCACCACTGAAACACGATATTAGCAGTGTGTCATGCGCCCATATTCAAAACATACCGGTGTGACGAGAGGGCTACCAATGAAAGCAATCATCGACCAATCGAAAGTCAACATACTCATACCCAGGCCAGTGTTGACGCCGAACAATGCGTTGACGGTGACATTGTCCGGAGCGATCCAGCACACCCAATTGAACATGGTGAGTGCGGTAAAAAGATAACCTGGGACAAAGAACCACACTGCACTCCCGACCATCGCCAGGACGAAAAACCTCTCTCGACTCATATGTGACTTGTCGCGTTGGCCGTAATTCTTGTGCAGGGTGTTGAAGAGAGCCGAGTTGACTAGCGCGCCTGGCCAAATCATGCTGGAGGGCCAAACCACAAATTGTCGCATGATACCACCGAGGGAATAGCCCCAGATTTGTGAACCGATGGCGATGAGAATTTGGAAGGCGTAGGAGACCTGCTGACCGTAGAACATACGCTGACAGAGGGCGACTTCGGTAATATAGACTCCCCCCGTAGCAATGTTACCCATGACGGTGATACAGACGTGCTCCTTGACTGAGAAGGGGCCGGGGTTCATCGACCATTTGTAGCCGAAGAAGTTGAAGACTGTCTTTGGCAGGATACGTTCCATGCCCTTGCCCAAAGGGAGCGCAACGAGCTGAACCACGATACCAGTTAGGTAAACAGACGGGTCTGTTCGAACGGGTGAGTCGGGGATGCGGCAGAGCCGTGAAACCTACTCACATCGCATAGCAAAGATTTGGTTGAAGAAAATCCCAACGATCATAAGGAAAAGACCCAACGTCCAACTGAAGGGGAATCAGAAAAGAATGGATACCGAAGAAGAGGTGGGACTGACACTCGGAAAGTGTTATATGGCATCAACGGATCGTCAACACTAGAGACCGCAGCTCGAACCTCAGGGTAAGGAGATTCACTAATTTGCAATGAGTGGGATATAGAGACGCGGGAAGATGGGCGACGTACTCATCAAAGTCAATTGCTGACTCTGCCTGCGTTGAGGAATAGCGGTCGAACTGCGACTCTGTATCGAAGTCCGACTCATAGCCCGTGTGGACCTTCCTCTTCGGATCCAATCCAAAACTTCGAATTGAGGATGGCCTATTGGCCCTCAAGTCAAAGTTGGGGTTGTTGAGATGCTCGAGGTAGAATTGGCGGTCCTCTTGCAGCATTGATTCGTCCCAACCCCGTCTGTCGCTGAGCCCAGAGTCCCGTCTCGATTCCACATCTTGCCCGCTGTTTGAGTCGATGGCCGTCGTGAAGCCCTTTGGTTCCACTGTCTTAGGTTCCTCCATCTTCTAAAGACCCTAGTGCAGGAGCGATACCGAGTAGGAGGGGAACAAAGATAGAGGGTGCACCGCGATGGAGAAGAAGGCGGGTGGGGCCTCAAATCTTCCTCGGCTTGACTTATGAGGGCTCCGTTGACAAGGGGCGTCCCACATTGCCCCTCGATTTCCATTTCCATTCTAACGGAAGGTTTGATCTGTCCCTCATATCCGGAGAGGGAAAGGACCAGGTTCACACCGAAGACGAGAACAATAAACTTGACGCAGGCGAGGTCCGTGGTTGGACCGTCTCCAACGTCCTCTGAGCCAAACGATTCTGTCAGGCGTTGAAATACCTGCGTATTAGAAGGCTTTCTGGTTAGCTTAACAGTGGCCAGGAGAGCAAAAACCTACGATAAAACTCTACTTGGTCGCATACGGTGTGGAATATTACGGTAACCGTCGAGTCAACACTTCCAAAACGAGCGCGAACTTCTCTCTTGTGGCGGTTTCTGATGAACGCCCGGCGCGGCTCCTTTCGCCTTATTGTCTTTTATTGTTCTGTCCGGACGTTAACGGGCTTCGCCCGGAAATACTAGATCAGGTGAGAACCATGGTCCTTTGGGGGAAATTCACGCCGATCCGCTCTGTCCTGCAGGCCTTTAAGCGCTCGTTGAAGTACTTCGCCCGAAATGCACACTGTCCAATTGCAACTCACCCAATGTTGCAGAAACTTCGAGTTGGGGTGGGGTCGTCCCGCTGGAATGAGTATGTACCTGACAAGAGTTATTGAGTGGTGCAAATGTTCCGGGTCCTTCGTCTCGCCACCAAGCTTCCCAGGACACCTACCAATTCAATCTAAGCCCTACCGGCCATCTATGAAGTAAGCGTTCCCCGTTTGATCCATTTAATTTCTGAAAACGACTGTTCCTTTGTTGTTCCCGAATATGCTTCTATCCATTCATGGGCTCATCAAGGATAATGATACTCCAGGCGGCGACTGCAGCATTCAAAGAGCACTTCAAACGGACTACGGTAGACACACTCTTCGACGTAAAGACAATTGCAAAAATGAGGGTGTGGTGTTCTGAAGTCTGGAAAAGAGCTTCATAGGAAGCTTAAGGAGTTGCATTTGGCGTATGTATTTATAGAACCATGATTCCGTCCCGACCCCCTAACAGCTTCTGGCCCAATTCATTTCACACGCTGTGCTGGGCATCGATCTCACTATCACCGGGGATCGTTGGGTCCAAGCGCTGGGGATGGGCGCTTAGTGTCTGGTCGATCATTCGCGATCACCGTGGCCTTGGCTTCGGGACCGCTGGTTTCACGCGCTCCTTGATTGTCAGCCTCAGCAGGTTGTTCGTTAAGGAGCGACTCTGAGACTTCGTGGTCAATCTCAGTGTGTGACCATAAGATCACCTGCATTTCGCGCATTCCACCTTGACCATCCACTTCCATTCAGTTAAACGGCCCAAGAATGCAGATTGGAGCTCGGAATTGCAAGGATCTACATTGCCCCTATCTCTTAGATGAGAAGTTAGTAGTAGTAGTTCTCTCATGCAGGTAGGAGAGCCGCGGCCATAGGGCAGCAAGATGATGGGCTTTCTGACTAAGTAGTAGCGGTGTCGAAACGCATTTATCTCTCAGGATAATCGATGTAGTGTCCAGGAACTTGAAAATGCTCTGCGCCATTCTAGAACTCTGTTGCAGCAGTTGGAATGCAATCCCAGCAACCTCGCGGCTCAGTGAAGACAGGTGTCGCACTCAATCGCCGCCAAAAATTGAAGGCGGCTACTACATCCCTTGAGAGGAAAGGTGCGGTGGAGGCAGAATCCCTACTAAAGAAAGGTCTGACATGCCAACGTGTAAAGGCCACCATCTCAATATAGTGCACAATCCGCGTTGGAGCCACCGGGCAATCCATGGCCGAGCGTTGACATGTCCCCCCCCCCCCCGTGCGTGTTCGCACTGAGCCTTGCTTGGGAATCACGAAAGTAATGACCACACACTTGTAAAGAGGCCAGCCAGAGGCTGCCAATGAGCCCACAGATAACGCAAGATAAGTGGCCGGCAGCGCAAAGCTGGCGGAACCCATGGTCAACAGCACGGGAGAAAAATCAAAATCACCGTGCAGTTGCCTTGCAGAGGAAATTGCAAGGGTACACCAACAGAGTGTGTCTGGACCATTCTGAAAACCACACTGCTGCGCGCGGCCGCACAGCGCTAACATGAGAACAGTATGAGGAATCGGTTATGTTTCCGTGTTGGAGTGGAGACATCATCGTGTGATGATGTGCTGATTACGAAGTGAAATAGGGGCTTCGAATCCCATGAGCTATACTGCTCTCTCACAAGAGCACGTCGAGACTCGAAAGTGAGTCACACTAACAGTCAGTCCTACGATTATCTTTATTTCACAGGTGAGCATCTTCAACCAGTGCTCTTCGCTGCTCCTGGCTATTATACGGTAGATTTCCCCTGTTCAGTAGTGCCATCAAACCACTTACCATATTTGATGATGCAGTGACCAATTGCAATCGCAAGGCCGTATGGCGAATTCGACTTTGGGAATGACGCACATGTGCGAAACGATATCGACGTTCTTCTACTGCCTACAGACTGTCACCTGCCTGTACGTGTATTTAAATAGTAGCTGGAGAATGAGACGAGAACCTCACTTCCACAAAGCGCAGCGAGCTTCTTTCCCGGTCTTCCCTTCCACCACTCCCATCCCCAACTTCAGCCATGTCGACAACCACGACCGTCACTGAGAGCTCTGCACCTACAGCGGAGTTCGAGACCCTTCGCATTCGAGCCCAAGGGCAACCTCAACCCCAGCAAGAGAGCCAGAGCTCTAACGAAGAACCATACAAATATGCCCACCTCCTGCCCCACTTCTCCAAGGACAAGTACCCACCACTTGAGCCCTACGAGCACGTGGACCCTGGCCTCCGCGCCCTCTCTCACCCCAATCCTCGTTCCTTCCTCGACAACGCTACCAGTGTCTTCGAAATCACCCCATACCTTGGCACTGAAGTTAGCGGTGTAAATCTTGCCGATCTCGACTCTGACGGTCGCGACCAGCTCGCCCTCGAGGTACACTCGCTCACCCAATGTATTTTCTTCCGGGAAAGTGTTGTAACATGCCTTTCTTTTCCGTTACCAGGTAGCTCGCAGGGGATTGATGGTCTTCCGTGACCAGCAAGACTTCATCGACCGTGGTCCTGAATTCTACCTCCAATGGGGCCGCCACTTTGGACGCCTCCACGTACACCCCACCTCGGGTCACCCAGAGGGTTACCCTGAGTTCCACTTGGTCTACAGGTATGCCCTATCCTCCGCCACCTGTTTCTGACGGGCTGACCACCCCTCCCGCAGAGACCACAAGACCACCTTCAACTTCGAGATTGACGAGAGCATCAGCAGTACCATCTGGCACTCTGACGTCTCCTACGAGCTCCAACCTCCCGGTCTCACTACCTTCTTCCTCCTCTCCGCTCCCCCCTCCGGAGGAGACACTCTCTTCACTTCCCAGGTCTCCGCACTCAGGAAGCTCTCTCCTCAATTCGTCGCCTTCTTGAAGACCCTCAAGGCCGTCCACTCTGGCTTCGAACAGGCTGACTTCTCGCGGTCCGGAAAGCGAGGCGCTACCGTCCGCCGTGAACCTGTCGAACACATTCACCCCGTCGTCAGGAAACATCCTGTCACTGGCGAAGAGGCTCTATACGTGAACAGGCAGTTCACTCGTCGCATCGTCGGTCTCAAAAAAGAGGAATCTGGTAAGTTCCCTGCCTCGAAGTGCATACCGAACGAGAGTACTCACCAACACCTGCAGAGGCAACCCTCAAGCTCCTTTACGACCACATTGACAAGAGTGCCGATAACCAGGCTCGCGTCCGATGGACACCCAACACCATTGTCCTTTGGGATAACCGAATCACCGCTCACGTATGTTCCTCTACGCATTAGCCTCTGACGCAGGTAACTCACTACCACTTTCTAGTCTGCAACGGTCGACTTCAAGGAACGGGGTCAACGTCGCCACGGTCTCCGCATCACCCCTCAAGCGGAACGCCCCATCCCCGCCTTGGATGGATGGGATCTTTCTGCCTAAAAGCCTCATTGTCATCTTGCATCGGTTCTCTTCATTCTTTACACTAGCAGCGCACCATCATCAGCATCGTATTTTTGCAACCGCAAGCAAAAAAAGTCGAGAAGAATGTAATATAGTACATGTATTTGCATCACACCTTTCAAATCAACCATCCCGTTCTGCCCTCGTGTCCTCTAGTACCCGGGTCCTCCACATCAAACATCGTCCCTGAAGCTCAGGGGTCCTGCATGCTCGAAGAAATTAGTGCGAATTAGAGAGTAGATTAGTGGCACGGGTTGTTAAGCCTGGGAGACGGTCGAGGAAGTCGAGCGTGGCAGCGTGAATTGTAAGCTCGAGTCCGTCCGCAATGAGCTGTCGTACGTTTTGGTATTGATGGAAATCGAGCAATTCAATATCGTCAGGCGATTCCTTGAGGCGGAGTGCCACATGCTTCAGAACCGCGACACTTTGTTTGGGGTAAAGGAGGTGGGTTTCGTTTCGTACCACATCGACTCTGTCGAGCATGGACAACGAGTTGGTGGTCGGAAGACGTTTGAGGCCGCGTCTTGCGATCAACATCGCGACCATCTGCGGCCATGAGAATGAGAACGCTCCAACATACTCGAAGCGTGTCATGTTAGGCAGTGCACAGTGTCCCCTATCATCAGGGATGAGCATGGCCATGACGCCATAGCCCAAACACTGGCCCTGCGCCTCGATAACGTTGAGCTTGAATTCAACGACTGTCGGGATGAGAGCGAGGATTTCCATGACGTCCGCGGACGAGACGACCGCACGAAGAATAGAGAGGGTCGTGAGATGCGCATGCGACCTCTCGACAAATTCTCTGAAAGTGGGGATGTGGAACGGTCGCTCCGCAACGTCATAAGTCAAGTTCTTGAGCCCAGGCGCAAATATCTTGTTAAGGATAGCCCCACCGTCGACAGAGCGTTCTGTTACGAGGGTGAGGGTTTGAAGGTCGGGTACGCTGATGGGATCTCGTGGAAGGGAATGCCCATCGTCTCCCCGAATGACGCTGTAAAAGGTACAGTTTTCGAGGCGAGGTGTCCGCTTCATGAATTCGAGGCATTCGTCGATGTAAAATGCCTTGGCATGGACGCGCGTGATGTTATCCCACCGCACGCGTACGGCATTGAGATACACGGAAAACAAGCTGATATCCCTCAGCTGGGGCGTGCAATTGGACCATTCAAGGATATGGCTTCGATCGCCTTGACCACCAGAGGGATTGACTATGAGACGTCTGAGGGACGAAAACGTGGCCTCCGGGGCCGACAGATTCTCGTAGTAGGCAGTTGGGATTTGGAGATCAATCGCTCTCCACCTGCTCGCATGGCGTAGAATGGTCTTGAAAAGACCTTGGGGTATGTCGGTGACTCGATCATCGTCGCTCCCGCAAAGGAGTCTGAGGGTGAGGGTGAGGTCACCGGACCGACCGATCCATTCCTCTAATAGCTCGGCCTGGATGCGTAACTTTGGTTTGCATAGTAAGAGGGTCGGGGATGTCCATAAGCTGGGTGTTGCCCAAGCTATCTGTCTCCAGGAAGAACAAATAGAACCTAGGAGGAGTGGGCATATGGATCCGTCTGAAGGGGGAAGATGCGGAGAGAAATCTCCCAGGTTCGGAAGACAGTGGGTAAATATCTCGGAGACGAGTTCGGTTGGAAGGATCTGGAGGATGGGGGAATGAAGTCGATTGATGTCGCGACGAAGGGTTGGCTGGAAGGATCTCAGGCGAGAGAGTACTCGCTCTACCCTGGATATTTCTTCATCCAGTCCAGCCAATCTTTCCCGGGGGTCCTCGGTTCTCTGGAAGATCTGGGTGAGCGCGTTCTCGGTGTGGCGGAGGACAACGTTCGACTCTGAGATTGCAGACGCCGCTGAAGGATACGCAGTCATGCTGACTGACTTGAATGAACGCTGCATGTTGAAACTGTTAACAGGGAGACTCGAAGATAAAGTGGGCTTTATACTGACAGTGAAAGAAGATTAGAGGAGACTTAGCAATACGAGCAGAAGCTTGCAAAGCTACAACCATGCCCGACTTGGCGAACGAATGATGGATGATGGCATCACTCTCACAGGGGCAGACGACCATCCCACCAGTGAACTCTTTCAAACGTCTACCGATCTACCCACTTCACTAGATGTCTCCTCCCTATGCAGTCTTTGCCACAATATGTGTAATGGTCCTCAAGCAGGTCAACCTCATCGTTGACGAGCCCTACATGGTGTTCACTTCCCATCAAATCACCCCCGCCGACCACGTATTGACTTGCTGAATTTCTCCAAGGACGAACCGTTCCACGTACCGCAGGCTCAGGCTTACTGTAGGGGCGAGTTTGAAACATGGGATCCAAAAATCACTACTCCACCTGGCCTGTGAGTCCTGTTGCCTGTAGGACACCTCTGATACTAAATAAACTCCAAAGATACCTGATGTCGCTGTTGTTGAAAAAGATATTCGTGTTCAAATGCAACCTGTCCATGCTGAGGTTGACCACAATGTTGGCTCTGCTAGCTTTGCCACTGGTGCTTACCCGTCTGTTGTGCTACCACAAGCGGATACGACCGCCGACGACCTGGCTGTCGCCTTCGCTCGAAGCAGTCGTCCTGTCGTTCTTCCCCATCGCGTGGTTCTTTGGCTTCCTCTACTATACAGAGGCTCCCAGTCTCTTCACAGTAGCGCTGACTGTGGTTGCTGCGACGCAAAACAGACACTGGTTAGCGGCTCTGGTAAGCCACCACCCCAAGTTCTCCGTTCCGGTGGAAGCATAACCTCTTTAGTTTGGCCTAATTAGCTGTACCTTCCGCCAAACCAACGTCATATGGATGCTTTACGCATATGCCTCGAGTCAAGTGATGATGCTGCGTTTCAAGCCTCCGCCCAAAGAGGGTGAACCAGACAAGCGATTGCACGACCCGCCTGCATTACACGCGTCGTTAGGTGCGAAGACAGTGTCATGTCATGGGTTCGCGTTGCCTAACGGGTTCTCCTCAGCTGACATCCCTCGAATTGTTTGTGACGTTCCAAAGATTGTACCCCAGATCTTGCCGGCATTCATCCCATACATGTTCGTGCTATGTGCTTTTGCGGTGTTTGTGATTTGGAACGGGGGCATCGTTTTGGGTAAGTCTCCTTTAATTTCTGCCAGGCATTTCCCGTTCAAGAATCTTGCAGGTGATAAATCCAATCATGTTCCGACTTTGCATATCCCTCAGCTGTATTATTTTTTTGGGTTCACGACGGCTCTGGGGTGGCCCGTCCTTCTCAGCTATTCAGGTGGTCCCCGAAAGCTCATAGGCGATGTTTGGAAACGGATGTTTGGTGGCAAACGGTGGGTGGCGTCATTTAAGTATATACTTCCGCAGGGATAATTAACTCCAGCAGCCAAACCCTGGTATCAGTGATCGTAATGCTTTTAATGGTATTCACGGTTAAGAATTTCACGTACGGCCCAATGAAAGCTATAAAGACACCCTTGATCTGACTTAAATTACAGGATCCACCATCCTTTCCTTCTCTCCGACAACCGACACTACACCTTCTATGTCTGGAGACGGGTTTACCTCCTTCATCCAGCTGTTCCCTATTTGCTAGTGCCGGCCTATCTCGCCTGTGCTTGGGCATGGTATTTGCGGGCTGGTGCGTGTTTTCCTGCTGGTGTTCGATCGCGACTGATCCAACACGTCACTAGCAAGCGACCAGACGCTGTTGCAGAACCTGCTCTTGCCCGTGTTTGTGGTCCCAACCTTGCTTCCAACTCCGTTGTTGGAACCGCGTTACTTTTTGATTCCGTACATCCTTCTCCGGGCGCAAATTAGCGATGTTCCAGAGTGGTCTATTGGGCTCGAAGGAGGGTGGTATATACTCATTAATGCAGCGACTATGTTCATATTTTTATACCTGCCCCGAGAGGGAGTTGGACGGTTTATGTGGTAGAAAGTAGGAATTTAATCCTGGGAAACAAACAGGTGGCAAACAACGCGGTGATGGAGGTTGGTTGGAAAAGTTGGATCATTTGAGTTGGACCCGAGCCAAGTTTGGGCAGAAACTGGGCTGCGGCTGCATCGCTCGCCACGACAATCACGCCTTGCTTTGTATACGACCCACCTTACGACCATTTCTGTGCAACAACATTGCTATTCCCATGTCTTCAGACAATGCCAAATCGGGTGGCAGCCCCAGATCCAAACCTATAACTAGGAGCACCTCTCTCCGCCGTTCCCTGAATCTCTCCTCTTTAATAGCGGGAGTCAGGAGCAAGGACAGCTCTGACGACTCGAAGGCCTCCAAGAAATCCAAGGTCTCCACCAGACGACAGAGTGCCATCGTCGCGCCCTCTATCAGCGCACCGCGGGCATCCCTCGACGGCCGCACCTCTCAATCCGCTTCCAAACGCGAAAAGACGCCCGACTCCAAGACAATCACTCGCAGGCGAGCATCCGGCACCCACACACGCGCTTCCGCAGAGGAACAGGCCCCCATGAAGTCCTCTGAGCCAACCAGCATATCCGCCGTCCGCGCTACAAGCGCTCGCACCAGGGCCGCCAATGGAATCCCAAAGTACCGCCCCAAATCTCAGGCAATCGAGCCATCCAAGCCATCGACCCCAGTGAAGTCAGGCACTCGTCGCCGTCTCAGCACCTCATCGGAAGATGGCGGGAAAGAGCAGCGGAAGCCCCAGACGACGACGCCTTCTCCCAAGGAAAAGGAGAAACGGCCAATCAGCCCATTGCCTCAGCGTGCTGCGTTGAAGGCATCTTCCGCTGTGAACTCTACCCCGCCAGCGACTCCGTCGACCCCGTCCAGTAGGATCAGGCCCCCGACTACCCCCTCCGCCAACAGTCTCAGATCATCACCCACCCGGCCAGCGAAGGTCTTGAAGACTGCCACAGCGTCAGCTGCATCATCTGTCGTCAGGCCTTCTTCCTCTGCTTCTTCTTTGTCCAGCTCTTTCACTCCCCGCACTCCCAAAGGCTCTACCCTAAAGTCCGCACTGACACGCTCTGCCAAGGACAAAACGATAACAGGTTCCACGCCAGTTAAAAATTCCCCTATCACACCCTCAAGGGATTCGCCCTCTCCTCTTGCTCGCCATTCCCGGAACGCTTCGAAATATGCCAGCTCTTCATCCTCACACGTCGGCAACATGTCCCACATCTCAGAGGCGAACAGCGAAGATAGTGAGGAGGACGACGTGTTACTGTTATTAGCTCCGGTTGCCAACTTGGCTGCCCCGACACCTGCTATGCCCCGCATCCAAAGGACCAGGAGACGTCAAGCCCCCGAAACGCCCTCCAGGGAAAAGCCCAGCGACAAGAAGGACAAGTCTCGTTTAGCACCCCCGCGTTTGACGACATCAATTTCTGCTCGAGGACATTTGCGACCTCCGCGAGCGCAGTCCATTACCCCCGTCAATACCCGACAATCGATTCTATCCTGGGAGCAGCTGAGCAACGATGCATCACGTACCTTAGGCGAAGGCGAGGTCGAGCGCATGATTACCGATGTCCCTGCCCCGTTCTCGGGTCCAACATCACCTGCCCTCAGCTCCTTACTTGACATCCCTCCCAGTCCCTGTTTGAGCGCCATCGATTCCCCTGGTGGTTTCGGCTCTATTTCCCAGGTCCTCCTACCCGATGTCACACCCTCTCCAGCTCCATTCCACAATGCCTCGACGCGTTTCAGCGTCTCCCCTGAAGCAGCAGGCGAATCATCAGCAACTTACCTTCGATTACAACTCGTGGCAGCCGAGAATCTCGCAAACGATAGGTTAGCGAGGATCCAGGCGATGGAGGAGGAGATCCATAATTTGAAGCAGGTGCATGCGCAGCAGATGGAGGAGATGGCATCGCAGATGAGGTATATGGAAAAGGAGGATGAAAAGGCAGGGTACGCTGCGGCATTGGAGGAGCAACTCTTATCGGCCCGGGCAAGTTACCAGCAGGCTATAGAGGCTGCCATCTCCCAGACGGAAAGTGCAGCGAAGTCACAACAAGATAATGCATTGAAAGTACAACGATCTCAGTTCGATGTGCTGGCTGCTGTCATGGCCACAGAAAATTCATGGCTCTCGGTAGGAGATTCATGCCAGGCAGAGCTGGATGCCATCCAGGGAGAAAGGGAGACACTCGCTCTTCTCTTGGCCGAGCTGGAAACTATCAACATCTATTCTTGAACTCAATTTTAAGTCACGGTGCGTTTATTGCGTCTCCGCACTCTTCTTGTCGACTTTTCGCTCACCACGACCACATAGATATACAACGACGTTGCCGTTTTCCCTTTCGACCAGTGTATTACTAGCTGCACATTATTTGCTATTATCACCTATTACTCTGATGACGTTTACGACGGCTCCTCATCATGCCTAGTTTTGTTGTTCCATATTCCCTGGATATGTTTATATTTTCTACAATCCAACTACTTCATACCATATACCGTTACATTAAGAATAAAATAGGTTTGAGTGACCATCAAAGAGCGAAGAAAATAGAGTATCCCCATGACATTAGGAAAGAAACATAGACGTGGAAGCGTGCAGCGAAATGCCAGTGAAAACAAAAAAGAAATGAATTAAATAATGTACATGCCGGAGAAAATTGTCAGCGATGAATCTAACTGTACAGCGACTGTGCGTCAATGCATGAATCCAAGAGGGCGTAATTATCGGAGGGAGTGGCCTGCGTAATTCGGTTGACGATCGCTTTCAAAATTTCTGAGCGACTGTGAAGAGTCAGCAAAGTACAGCAAAGTAACAAAGGAAGGAACTTACTCAACACTTCCGTACGATACTTCAGCATCGCACTCGAGAGAGTCAATAGATAAAGGCCATTCACTAAATGTCTGAAGATTGAAAGAGAACGAGACGATCGCTTTGCCCATGACTTTGGGGAACATGAGCGTAGCGCGCGCCTTGAACGTTGGCGTCGGGGTTTTCGACGATGGCGGAGCAATCTCCACCTCAACGGGGTATTTGATGTTCAAAAGGCGAATATGCGAACGCAGCTGGCCACATGCGACCCAATAGTCGCTTAACCGGCGAACGATGTGGCGCACGGTTAAGTCCCGCTCTTCGTCGAGAATGGCAGCTGCGCAAGCCACGAATAAATTCGTGAGCTTGGGGAAGTCGTCTTTGAATGTCGTCCGTGTGTGTTCTAAGCGCATGATGTTGACTTTAGAGACGATGGGCACGAAGTTGGTGCAGGGAATCGAGACGCGATATGTTGAGTCGTAGATAAACTCGAAGACTTGCGCGTTGACTTTGATGATTCGAGTGAGGTGGAGATCTTCAAGGGCGTCCAATTCGTCTAAAGGCCAAAATGTGAATACAAGGCCAACACGGAGCAGACTGTACTTACCTTTGAGCTGGAAGACTTCCGCCCGCGTCGAGCTTTTTTGGATCTGCAGTACGCGTTCCGCTTTGGCAATCGCAGAAGATACTTCCTGCTTCTGTTGCTCGGTCTCCCGCAAACGCTCGTTGAGCCAAGTCAGCTGCTGCTTATGCTCGTCAACTTCTCCTTTGAGGGCTTCAATCTCGAAGCTAGAATCGACGTCAGAGATTTGCGAACAGAGGAAGAGACGACGTCGACTTACTTTTGATCTGCGATGGATGTCTTCAGTTCAGTAAGGTAGTCTTGGTCGCTTGCTTCGATATCGGCCACTTCCGCCTGCTCACGCTCAAGCTCAGCCATGATCTCTTCATATTCCTTCTCGAGATCTGGAATGAGCTCCTTTGCAGCCGCATCCAAGGCTTCCAGTTTCTTCGCGTCCTTTGAAAACAATGAGCAAACGCGTCCATGGCAGACTAAAGTGACAACGTACAGATTGAAGATCCTCGAAGGCCCTGTCGGCAGTGCTCTTTAATCCTTCCACCCACTTCAACTTCCAGTCATACCAGTCAGATTTGGCTGACCCGCGAGCATTGGTCTTGATGAAATTGAGTTGGTGCTATATGAATCACCGTTAGTGGAGCTTTCTTCTACATAACAGAAAACACTTACCAGCAACTCTGCCTGACCCTCCTCATCCGCTCTCGAGTATTCTACAAAGAGCTCGGGCGTCACTTTCGCTGCTTCCTCCTCGGCCTCAGCAAAGGCGATCTTGCTCTTCTCCATCCAAGCCTCAAGGTCCCTCGAAACCCTGGTGTACAGCTCGAGCTGTGGAATGTCAATGGCCATGGCAACGGCATATTCAGCAAGCCCAATGTCCTCCTTTGGACGAGGACGCCTGGACAGTTGCTGTCCAGGGTGAATAGACCTTCGAGGGGCGGCAATCTCGTCCATGAACTTAATGCCAGTTAACTCGAAGAATTGGGCAATAGAGATTGCGGGAATGTCTTCGTCCTCGTAGTCGTCCTCTCCAGCGGCCTCCTGGACACCGGCTCGCCATCGTTCAGCCTTGTCTTGTGCAGTGTCGACGTCCTCGTCCATGTCGCCAAAGGTAGGCCCGGATAGTACCGCAGAAAGGTCGACATTCCTTGGGCTAGCCACAGGTTCCTCCCTGGGGGATGGCGATCGCGTCTGTGGATCGGGTTGTGTCTCGGGGGCGGGGTCTTCATCCATAGGCTCTCGTTCTGGCTGCGAGGGTGTTGGCACCACCGTTGTGGGGGGCACAGGAGGATTTGATTTATCGAAGCGCTTCCAAGCATCTTGGGCTCCCGAGCCCATACTCGCCCGCCCCGCCGACACAGCTCTTCTCATAGGCGACTGAAAAGCTCCAGGTTGCGAGCCCAGGCCTGTCGCCAGACTCTTGCGGCGAGCCAGATAGCCTGTTGGTTGTCGCAGTTGCGACCCGGGCCTTTCGGCCGCTGACGTCGATGCCTGTGCCTGCTTACTGGGGGTGAATGGCTTGGGCTTGCTCATGGTTGCTGAAGAGGATGCCTGTGCTGTCGTTGGTTTGTGAGCAGTATCTGCTCCCTTGTCAGCCAACGCTTGCCGCTTGGCAGGACTGGGTCGGTCAGCATCGACGTTCTCAATGTCGCTCTCCTCCCGCTGCAGACGCTTAGATGGGACCTTTTTAGGCGAGGTCTTGGAAACGGGAGGGGCGAAGGCAGCAGTAAAAGTGGGCTTGGGCCTTGCCTTTGCGGCGCTGGAGGGGGTTGTCGGCCTGGTTTTCGAAGGTGAAGGAGGAGGTTGAGAGAACACCCTTGAAGTGCCGCTTTGAGTCATTTGGGGAAGAGACGAAGGGCCCGCAGAGGGAGGGTTGGAAGGTTGAGGTGGATGGAATACGGACGGTGGTTGGGGTTGTTCCTGGTTTGAGGACGGTTCATCAGCCACTGGAGGGGGGGCAAAGGACTGTCGACTGGGCCCCGACTGAGCTGCAACGATGTTGCCATACACTTCCGACTCGTCCATATTGCTTTCTCCACCAGTGCTCATGCGGTTGTTGCCGCCCAAACTAAAACGACCCATGACCTTGCTTATGTTCAGAGTGTGGTTACTGTTGCCCCCTTCGTCGTGGTCTATACTTCCCATACTGGAAACCGTGTCTTCCTGGATCGTGCTGAGTTCGTTCGTTTCGTCCCATAAACTCTGTGATTGCGACTGTTGAGATAAAGACTCTCGAGCCCGCATCAAGCGTTGGATTGCGCTGTCCAGGGGCATTTCTGGCTGGGCGGGAGCACGCATAAGGCTTTCATCAAAGGACTCTTCCTGAGGCTCTATTGAAGTGTCCCCCGAATGGGTCGCCTGTCGCAGCGCCAACCATGCAGCGTCTTGTTCGGGTGGCGGTCGGAGGGATTTGCCCATCGGAACCGTGAATTCCATTTGCTGCGAATCGTCGTTGCTCGTTTCAGAGATAAGTGAATCTTCGGCGACAGAGGACTGAGTCAAATCGGGATCCTCCCCTTGGTCCTCCTCCATTTGTAGTATTGCCGATGGTGGGTGCCCCAAGGTTTCCCTCCTTCCAGGTGCAACCGAGGACCTCCTACGAATGTTTGCAGGGATGGCCTGGGTGACGTCCATGTCGTCACTCATGTCCATCTCCATATCGTCGTCAAATTCTTCGTCCAGGATGGCCGAACCAATATCCCCTGGCCCACCCAACATACCACCAACGCTGGTGAGGTCCATATCACTTCCAAAAGATGTACAAACAGAACTGCGACGTCGGCGAGCAAAGTTGGCGGCGTTGGGATAGTCGTTCTCGTCATTGACTTGTGCGGGTGAGTGGTCATCAGGTTCTGAAGAAGCAGAGCTGGGAGATGAGTGGGGAGACCCTGTGGAATTGGTATGGTCCTTGTTTGGAATTTGGAAAATCCGAACATGAGCGTGTTCAGCAAAGCTAACCCGCCGATTGAACCCCAGGGACTTGCGCGACGCATCGTGCACTTTGGTCAGTTCCATGGACTGGGTACCATCGTTCTCGTCTAGTTCTTCCGCCGTAAATGAGGTCTTGAGAATACTCTTCCTGGGCACCTAGTTCATGTTGTGAGAAAGAATGTGATCACGACAAGAGGGTCGCGACGTACCAGTAAGCGACGTGCTTTGGCTTGAGGACTAAGACTTGTCCGGGGGGCGATGCTATGTGCACGTCGTCGCCGAGGAACCGCTGCCGGTTGGCTGTTCGAGACAACGGCGAGTGAGCGTCGTCGGTGGGGGGAATCTTTGGTGACGACCATTATCGACGACGAAGAGAGACTAAACCAAGACGTTGGTGAGAGGCAAGAGTGGTAGTAAACGCGGCAAATCATCAAACCCGCGCTTGATCCTACACGTGATCGTGTTAATTCCAATAAACCGGCATCAAATCTATTGTTACGCGTTTTGTCAGTTAGAACGGCAACCAATTGGCCTTTCAAGGAGCTCAGAAGACAACAAGGATACATGGACATTCTTAGGGGAGATTTTGAAGGCTAATTTATCAGTAATTAAGACGTGTTCTACGAGAACTTGTGTTTATCATGTGACTGGGCATCGCGTCGCGTACAGCGTCACGCATTTTATGTTCGCTGGCTTTACACGCGGCTGCCATCAACTCCATTTATCTCTCGACCACGACCATCTAAATCGACAAGATGGCCTCCAGACCCGTGGCGACGAGAGCTTCCTCAAGATCAAGAACGAATACACCAGCGCCAACACCGCCGACGACACGAACGACACGAACTCGCGCGGCCTCAAAAGCACCTGAAGAACAAGCACCTGCACCAGCAAGGAAACCTCCGAGCAGCAGAAAACCGTTGAGCAAAAGGGACAACCTCGAGCCGCCCCCGCCTTCAAAACCGAAGGCGAAAGCACCCAGCTCTAAGGCGCTCAAACAGGCTCAAGCTAATGAAAATGAACGTGAGGCAATCATGGTATGTTTTCCCAACCGTTGCCAGTACCCGGATTTTGTCTGAATCTCCCTTAGGCATACCTTCGCATCCGCCCTCGAATTGGGGAGGAGCCTTCCAAAGCACCGTATCTTGTCCCAATCTCAGACACTTCAGTCCGAATGACAGACCCTAATGACACACAAAACCGATCTCAATATCGTGCTTCAGTAATCCAGCCATCTTCTATCTACACTTTCTCGCATGTATTTCCACCGGAGACACAGCAAGTGGACTTCTTTACGAAGACAACACTCCCGCTGGTGAAGGATCTCCTCCAGGGACAGAATGGTCTTCTGTTCACGTACGGTGTGACCAACTCTGGAAAGACCTATACCGTTCAGGGTGGCTCCGAGCCTGGCACTGCTGGGATTCTCCCCAGAACCCTTGATGTCATCTTCAATAGTATAGATGGCCTTCACGGTGACGGAAGGGTGCGCACTCTCCCTTTGACTTTCAAAACTGCTGCTGATTCCGACCACAGTACCGTCCCGTTCGCCTCTACGGTGTCGAACCCGCCGACGCCTCAGATTCCGCTCCCCCGCAGATTAGCTCTGCGCCAGCCGTTGCTCAGGTCCTCCAATCTCTCGATGATCCTTCTGAACCCAATTTCGAAACCGATCCGACTGTCGTTGAAGTTGACCGCAACTACGAGTACACGGTCTGGCTTTCTTATGCAGAGGTCTACAATGAAAAGGTGTACGACCTTCTTGCCTCGGCCAAAGATGACGAGACGCGCGTGGACAGCCCTGCTCCACGTGCAGGCCAGCACAAGATCCCTACCCTTACCCGACAAGCCCTAACTCTGCGACCATCGCCGCCGGCGGACAACCCCGACACTGATATTACTGGGAAATACATCTCGGGCTTGCGTCAATTCAGGGTGACAAGCGCCGCCCAGGCCAAAAGCTTGGTGAAGATAGGTCAACTTCATCGACGCGTTTTTGGAACCCTTGCGAACCAAGCGAGTAGCCGAAGTCATGGAATGGTCATCATCAAGATCATGCGAGGTCATCGTGGCGAAAAGGATGTAAGTTCACTATCTTCCTTCTTATGTGTGTCGATGACAAACCTTGTCTCGAGGATCCCACCAGCCTTCAAATTTCTCGTCTGACCCTCGTCGACTTGGCTGGCTCAGAGAGGACGAAGCATACGCATACCACTGGTGATCGTCTCAAAGAAGCCGGAAACATTAACAAGTCATTGATGGTCTTGGGTCAATGTTTGGAGGTCCTTCGCTCAAACCAGCGGAAGCTTGCCATGAGCCTTGCTCATGAAGGGGTTGGAGAGAATGGGCGAATGGATACACGGGACGTCAAACGGACGCTTGCTGTCATTCCCTTCCGCCATAGTAAGATGACCGAAGCCCTAATGGACTATTTCATCGGCGATGGTCGGGTCGTGAGTTCTTCCAACACCTGGTTATGTGTATTCTTGACGAATTTTTATAGGTGATGATCGTCAATATCAACCCATACGACACAGGTTACGATGAAAATTCACATATCATGAAGTTTGCTGCTCTCGCTAGAGAGGTCCACACCAATCCTGGACCTGCACCCGTATCGAAGCTTCCCCCCAATTTTGGGCCTGGAAAGGCCAAAGGCAACAAGATCAAGGAACCAGGGCCGCTATCTCTGAGAGGAAGCGATATTGCTCCCAAGCCGTTCTACCGAAGGAAGGTCACCATCTCTATGGGTGGTACGGAAGCCGGGAAGAGGGTCAACGAAGCCATTGTTGAGGTTGTGGAAGGTAAACTGCCCTCTTCAATCTCCTGGCATCAATTACTCAACTCTCAGCAGAGGAAGAGGATCAACTTGACGATAACGACGGTGAGGAGGGTGAAGAGCCTCCCAACCCTCTCGTTGATGCTCTATTCGAAGAAATCGAAAGACTTCGAATCCAGGTGATTCCCGGTCCTCCTTCCCATCCGAGTCCGCCTAATCTTCTTGTCTTAGCTTTACGATGCAGAGATGAGATGCGCGTTGATTGAAGCCGATACTCGTGAAGAGGTGATGCACGAGATGGAGGAACGCATGCGGACAATGGAGCAAATGTATTCGAGGCGGTTGATGTCCGAGGTCAGCTCCTTTTCCAGGCATTCATGAAACCATTTCAATGGACTCATGCATGTTGACTCAGATTGAGCAAAACAACTTGAAGACTGATGCAAAGATTGATATGCTGCATCAAGCAGGTCTCTTTTCTAGTCCAGTCAAGCGCAGCGACACGATCGAGACACTGTCAGAGGCTGAAGAGGAAGACGTTGAGATGAGTTTGGTACGGCTGGTTCTTCCTCAAACTTCAGGAGGTTCTGACAAGATGCGTAGATCCAAGAAGAGTCTGACGAAGATGCAGTCATGTCTGATGCTACCAAGTCCGTATCAGCTTCGCCATTGGCAAGAAAGGACAAGACTGCCAGAAGTTCCAACCCGTTCAAAAATATGGGAACCCATCCGATTGGCTCTGATGATGAAGAGCTCACAGAGATTGAAGACAGCGAGCAAAGTGAGGAAGACGATGATGAGGACGACGAGGAGGGCACGGAAGAGGAAGAAGAGGAAGGGATTGAAGAAGATGACGACGATGACGACTACAAAGAGAGTCAGAATCAGTCTGAGGAGGAAGACGACTGGGAGCCTTCATTGTCAACTAAGAAACGCACACCTGCGAAACCGCGTCCTTCAACCTCCAAGGCAGCGCCTCCTTCTACGACCAGAAAACCATCTCGGGTTTCCAAATTAGCGACTGAAATCGATACCCTTAAACTCTCCGAGTCAACATCGAAGAAGGATGGTCCTCCACCAAAGAAGAAGCCCCGTTCTTCGCTGGACACTGACTCTGAGGATGAAGAGTCTGACGTGCCCGTCGCGCCTAAAAAGAAGAGGCAAGTCCCTGTTGACCTTTGGTCGTCTCCCACTAATTAAATTCTCTTCATTAGGCAATTAGCTAAGAAGGCGATTATGACGATGGACGGGGTCGAGCAAGTCAGCTGGGAAGCTGAAAAGCTAAATGCACAGGGCAAGACTATTCGGCGCTTAGGCAAATAAACTCTTTATCTTTCGCAGATTGACTCTACATGTCATTTCATATCTTGTGCAACGCATCTTCCATGTACATACCACTCATTTTTAATTTGTGTCGAATCAGTATTACTATAATCTATGTTCCACGACTTGTCGGGAGAACCTGCGTGACCACATGACTGTGACCAGACGCGTCTGCGGCGCGTAACGCGTTTTGTGACACGACGGCACCGCACGCAGACGGTGATGGCGGCGACGCCGCAATTCAATATATCCCTTTGCCTCTCACTGACGTTGCTAAAGGGTTCCTGGCTACGCTGTCCACTCACCCGTACTTCGTCTCTCCTGTAACGAAATCTTTGACAGCGCGTCTTCAATGCCCAAAGTCGACACAAACACCGCAGAAAACGAGATGCGCGTCGCATCGAGCAGCACCGTAACACAGACTGTCAAGGCTGCCGCTGCTGCGAGCTACACCCAAAAGACGATTAGCTCCATGTTCTCCAAGGCACCTACAAGGACAGTCTCCTCGGCGAGGAAGAAAGTGCTCGAGGCGCAAGCGGAGGCGAAGTATGTCGTCCTTGGCCCCCGTCGTGGCGCTGTAACCTGGTATTGACGCGTCTACAGAGCAGAAAGTCAAAGTTCAGCCGTATCCCCACCTGAGCCTGTACCGAGCGGTTCAACATCCCAAATCAAAATACCTATTCAAGTCACTTTGGACACATTGGAGAAGGATACGATGGATCCGACGTGGTATGAAGCGCTCAAGAGCGAGTTCGACAAAGGGTACTTCAAACAGGTATGATTCCAGCGTTGGTGAGATATACTTGAACTAATAGGCTCGCTTTTCGCAGTTGAAGAAATTCTTGGCCAGTGAAATGGCATCTCATACGGTCTTCCCAGCCAGTATGTGAACCGTGTACGGCCCCATATGCGCGACCAATAACACAGTAGCTTGCTTCAGTGGAGAATATCTACTCCTGGTCTCGACTGACACCTTTGGACAAGGTCAAGGTTGTCGTGATAGGACAGGTGTGTACTCTGTTTTGCAATCTGCTCGAATAGCGATCTGAAGGGTTGCCGCTAGGACCCATACCATGGCGTTGGCCAAGCACATGGTACGTAGCCCTTCCAACTCTCCTTCTAACTCCTGCTCACTGCCCTACCGTAGGCCTTTCCTTCTCAGTTTTACCCCCGACCGTTCCTCCACCTTCGTTAAAGAACATCTACAAGCAACTCCAAAGTGATTTCCCTTCTTTCATTCCACCCAAAACCGCCGGGTCCGTATATTTTTGTAGTTTCTCCTTTCAACACGACTGACAAATGGTTGAGCAGGGACCTCTCTCCTGTGGCCTCGCAAGGCGTCCTATGGCTTAATTCTTGCTTGACAGTACGAGCGCATAAAGCTGCATCCCATGCGAAGAAGGGCTGGGAGACGTTCACTACTCAGGTTCTGAAGGCCGTCCTTCAACGAAAAGGTGCTATTCAAGGAGTCGTATTTCTGGCTTGGGGAATGCCAGCCCAAAAGACCTTCGATTCGCTGTCCATAGACAAGGTAATTGTAGTCTCTCCTTTGTCTCGACCCTTTGCTGATCGCCTCACGTCGTTTTTTGCAGTCGAAGCATCTCATGTTGAAGTAAGCTTCGACCTGCGAACCTTGACCCTAGCTAATGTCTCTCCTTCCAGGTCTGCACACCCTTCTCCTCTGTCAGCAAACAGAGGTTTCTTCGGGAACGGCCACTTCAAAAAGACAAATGAATGGCTGGAGCAGAAGTACGGAAAAGGTGCAGGGATTGACTGGATGGTTTTGAGCGCGAAGAAGTGATTATATGCGCCCCTCCTCACGGAGTATGGAAATGGTTTCGTGCATATTTACTTGTATATCTTGACTATCATTACCCTGTACATTGCTTTGTTTGGTATCATATACTACTGCATTCCACGCTGTTTATATTTGGCTAATCGATTCCTTGTTTTCGACCAATATTGCGATCAACTCCCTTCTTGCCCCTCGACATCAACCTCTCGACCAGATGATTCCGACGCCAAACCTCTCACATCTCACTAGCAAGGATTACGATCTTGTCTATGAACCTGCAGGTGAGATGAAATGCCGCGGAAGTAGTGGTTCGAAGACACTGAGCGGTTCGCGATCAGAGGACACGTTCCTGTTGCTTGACGCCCTCGAGGCTGACGAACAGGCGCTTAAGGCAGCAAATCCGTTGGTCTGCCTCGAAGTGGGGTAACTTTTTCCCTTTTCTCCATCTTGACACATCGAGTCACCACGCTTCGATCCAGATCAGGTTCAGGATGTGTTTCGGCGTTCTTGACAAAAATCATTGACCCTGCCCGTACGTTTCTCTCCCAACGAGCCCTTTCGCATTGAAAACGCCGAAATCCAGTATACATCTGCACGGATATCAATCCTCATGCATGTCGTGCATCACAAGCGACAGGGAGAAACAACAAGGTGACTTCCACACCCCTTCGTTGAACCCACATAACTCAACCGCATATACATGACCAGGCAGAATTAGACGTTCTGAACGGGCCCTTCGCTCATCCTCTTCACCAACGACTGAAAAACAGCATCGATGTGATCATGTTCAACCCTCCTTATGTGCCTACTTCTTTCGAGGAAGCACAATATGCCCAAAGCACCCATCACCTGGAGGGCGCATGGGCAGGAGGTTTGGACGGTATGCAAGTCACCAATACGTTCTTGAGTCAAGTCAAGGCAAGTGGTCGAATTGAGAGCCTTGATAAAAGTAACTGACTTTGGTGTAGAGTCTACTCTCTCCCCAAGGGAGATTTTATCTGGTGGCATTGAAACAGAACAATGTGCCCGAGATAAGATCAAGGATGCTCGAGGAACAAGGACTCTCAAGCGAGGTAAGCGCCCAACGACGGAGTAGGAGCAAAATTTTCACAACCTGATACAGATCGTCCTCGAGCGGAGAGCAGGGAGGGAATACCTGTACATCTTACGGTTCCAGCACACAAGGGGAGATAATGTGACAGAGTAAATGTTCAATTGAACTGTATTGTACAAGTTGCCATAGAAAGAAACAAAAGATGGTATCCATCAGACTGACGCTCAACTCGCTGGTTAGTCTGTCAGGCAGCTCTTGCGAGCGAACCCAACGAACCAACCAAACGTCCTCGAGACTCGATAGAGCCATGTTCTCAGTATAACGAGAGAGCGCGTATGTCATCGAGTGGATATGAAGATGCGGCATTTGTAAAAATGCGAGACTCGGTCAGTTTCTGTAAACAGATCCTAAAAGGTCCTGTCAGAGATCAAGCGATACGGAAAGGCCATACTATAACTCACCTGTTCGAGTATGTTCTGAAGAAACCAGGATGCCTGGGGAGACGTTTATAAAGGAAATTCCGTGGGAATTGTGGCAAAGAGATACAAACATGCCTTTTTTTTCGCTTGGTCCGTGTGCAATGGAAAACCATATGGCGCGTTTCGGGGAATCGGGCGAAGCACACGGTGCGCACCCGAAGCGCGTGGCGGGCGCTCAGGGCATAACGTCCTCCCATCCTTGAAATACCTTTGCAAAAAGTTGGCGGTGACTATTGTCCATGTATTGAGTGCTATGCATACTACAAACAGATGAGGGTAAACAAAAAACATTACGGTACGTGAAACATTTAAAGGGGTAAAGAGATTAATAACAACGAACGAACTTCGAGGAGAATATTGCAACAGTGTCCGAAGCCCCTCGGACTAATCATCGTCCGGTCGTTTGCCTCGCAGACTGAACCTGGATGGAGTCACTATAGACATTGTCCTAGTAATACCATTCTCTCCTGATGCGATGGATGCACGACTGCTTGAAGGGTTGGTTGACGAATCGAATTCCAATCGAACACGGAAGAGGCCACCCTGCTTCAGTTCCGCGAGAACTTCAGCAGATGAAACACCCGCCGGTTGGATGTGTCTCCAGATCTACGGGAAAACGTTAATTCGGCTTGCTAGATCCCAAGACCTGGCAGTACTTACATCAATTTCACCGTCCGCCAATTCCTTATCTTTGCCTAGCGTCTTGTGGTCGAAGATTGTGACGAATAGTTTGGGTGTCAAGCGCGAAGCCGCAAACTTGAACGATTCATTCCTGCCAGATTGAACAGATCAGAAAGAGAATTACTTCGTAAAGCAAACCCGGACATACCACTCAGGCGTGGTCGTTTTCCCAGCATGCTTCGTCTTATATTCCCTGTCACCAAGTCGAACCACAGCATAAGGCTTGACGTCTGAGTTCGAGAAGTCTTTGGCATCCATGATAGTAACCCGCAAAGTTCCAGGCTCGTTCGAAGGCGCAGGCGCAGTTTCCGAAGTGGGGAAGGCAGCCAAACCAGGATTCATGGCTTCAGCCGTTGCACCGACAGGTTGTGAAGCCTGTCCAGCTGGTACGTCGGCCAGAGCAGCAGCGATCTCGTCACCACGATCCTTGTCCCGCTTGAAGACTCCCGTAACGCCATGGAAGACACCCTTGCCCGCAGATACAGGCAAGCCGCCGATCTGCGTCATCGCCCGACCGGCAGTAGAGAACGTCGAAGTGTTCTTTCTCTGTTTGGCGATGATCATGGGTTGGAAGACAAGCGACAACCGGACGTAGCCCTTTTCACCGTGCTTGGCGGAGGAGAGGGGGATGGTCTGGTCCACTCCTTGGAAAGGCTCGAGGCTAACCACGTCGATAGTACCAACACCCAAGCTCTTTGCTTGCTCAATCTGGTTCCAATCGAACACCTCCAGCTTGAAGTCGGCAGCGACACGTGAAGGCTGAAAATATCGTCAGCCTTTCAGCCTACAGAGTGACGACCGCCGATACATACCACCGTCATTTCAAAGCTCTCGTTCCACTCTGGAGACAAGGTCTTCTTTTTCGTTTGCGACTTGTAGACTCTGCTGCCGTTCAAAGTGAACACAACATATGGATCAGATTTTCCTATCATTGGCGCAGGTCAGAAACGAGTAGATCCCTCAGCGGCGAGTACACCCACCTCCACGGTCAACGCCTCGGATCTCGTGGCCATCGTGGAGCTCAACACGAAGGATGCCTTGGTCTGCAATTCAACGTTAGTACAACGTTGTGCTTTGGGATTGGCCAGACTCACTGTTGACACTCTCTCGAGGCTCCAACTTGACAGGAACAGGAATGAAGCGTGCCTCAACAACTACAGTCGATGATTTCCCTCCGTCCTTATCCATGAGTACATAGCTCTGAGGAGCAGCCTGGTCTCAAGTCGTCAGTTGTCACCTATACCCCAACAAAAGGAACGTAACATACCAAGGTAGCCTTCAAGAATTCCTTTGCATCGCCTTTCCATTCTGATACGACATCATCCTTGTCGCCCTCGTCAGCCTCGTTCAAGCGCAACCACACTTGGCCAAAGTCCAACTCCTTCATGAAGCCTTCACCGACAGTGTCCCATTTCACCTGATGGCTACGAGCCTTCTCGGTGCTGAAGCAAGGCCAGTACCCATCATCCAACAAAACTTCAATGCGACCTTTCTTCTGCAGTTGACCTGACAGAATATGGAAGACAATGATACCAGATTCTGCAAAGCCAGTCAGATTTTCTGAACGTCTGCATAGTGAATGGACGTACGCTGCGACAGAAGCTCGTCAACCGACATCTCCACGCCACCATCTTCCTGAGCAGTACTATGCACAGTAGACGGCGTATCCGGCCTGACCATAGAACCATCACCTTCGGCAGAAAACTCCCCAGACCGAGCAGTAGTAGGCGTTCCGTTAACACTCGCACTATCAACAGAGGTATCGATACTAGCCGGCTTCTTCTTGGGTTTGATAGTCAGAGGGACAGGAGTGGCATGATCGTAGGGGGATTTAGGGCCCTTGTCCAACACCTCTTCGCCATCACTATCACCACCACCATCCACAGCAAGTTGACTAGACTGCTCGAACTTGACGCCGTCCTTCAACTTGAGGGCAGGGATGAACGTTGCAGTGTAATATAGAGTTCCCTTGGTTGATTTGCCCTTGTCGAGTCGGATGGGGTCTGCTGCGTTCTTGACACCGGTGGATTCGTATGGATATTTGGGATCGTCGCTCTGCTTGGCCAATTCCGACACCGTGAGTTCGACAGAGCCCAACGAACGGTCCTTGGTCAAGTGCTGATAGTCCATGCACTCCAACATCAGCGATTCCTTCAACGAGTGAACTGGGATGTAGATGATTTGGTCCCACACTGGGTTCAGGTTGTTGTTGATTACTTCCGTTCGGCCCTTGGTGACATTCCTGACTTGTACACGGACGTAAGGATCGCTCTTTCCGCCAAGTGCAGCCTCGACGTTCTTGACATCCACGGCCTTGTTGATATGAAGTCTGACGACGCCGATAGGTGGGACGTATTGTCCAGAACCTTGCAAACTGCCAGGGATGCTGACCGGTTTCCATTGAGCGCTGACACGAATCTTGCCCGTCTTGCATCCGCTCAACGGGAACCAGTCGCGACCACCCTCCATCTTGGCCTCTAGCAAATCCTCCAGGCGAATAGACATGTAACCGACGACAGGGTCCTTGAGGAAATCGCGGTCGTCAATGACTTTAATGGTGATAACATCCGACTCCTTGTTCGTGCACAGGAACTCGTAAGGGACCTCCCAGACAGGGTTGTTGGTGTGCTTGAGCTTCTTAGAAGTGAAGGAAGCCTTGCGGTTGGCGTTGATGTAAACCTTAGCGAAGGGGTTGAGTTCATTCGACAACGACTTGGTATGGTCGAGTTCCTTGGCCTGGTGGATCACGAGGCGAACAATTCCAACCGCTACAGGTATAATCAGTAAGTCACCCGGCCCACATTCAATACAAGCAAAACATACTGGATTCAGGAACCTCGCCAGTTTCAGCGTCAGGACCAAGGACAGGGAAAAACGAAACGTCATAACGCAATTCTCCACGATCTTTGCCATCCTTGAGTAGTTGCCCGTTGATGCCTTCGTGAGTTGCGTCGTCTTCCAGCTGCGAGAGTTCGAAGGCAGTGGTACCGAGCTTCTGGTCACTTCGATGGTCGTTATAGTCATAGAGATCCAATACCAATCGCTCATGGAGGCTGTTGACGAGGATATACTTAGTTTCCACCCACGTCGGGTTATACCTTTATCTTCGTATTCAGAGGTCTGCGGTCACCAGAATAGAACAAAGAACATACGTATTATGCTTCCATTTCGTGCGAGCAAGTTCGGCGCGGTCGTTGATAGAGAGGGAGACGTAAGGATCAGGTGTGCCGCCACCGATCTTGACACCTTTGATTCCGCGAGCAGAATGGATAGTGACTTGAACAACGCCGACTGCGGTGTCGAGAGGCTGACCGGAGAGTAATTGTTCGAGGTTGAGCGTGAAGATGTTCGGATCATACATCATGGGGCCGAGAATCGAGTGGGTTGTGTCGCGAATAAAGGATGAAAGGCCCGGGATCTAGAAGCGGGTTAATACTCGCGCAAGGTAGATGAGTTACACTTACACTTGCGATGTCAACGCCGAATGTGTCACCTCCGAGTGGTTTGAGAACATAGTCGATAACCGGCTTCTCCAAGAAGCAAAAGTCAACGATTTGGATATGTGGGAAGTTGGACACGAGTTTCATTCGAATCCTCATTAACCCGCTGAACGTAATGTCCTCCACAAGGACCGGGAGTGCTGCAGTCGCGAGACCTTTGCCGAGCCGAATAGAAAGGACGATCTTGGGGTTGAGCTTAGCAGCGGCTTGGCGTTGTGTCATGTCGCTCTCGTCGGTCGGCGTGAAAGAGACAGCCCAATCCATCATGACAATGTCATCGTCGGTCTTAGGGAATGTCCGGACTTTATCGATGCGAGGGGCTTTCGTTCCAAGGGTGAATTGCGTGAGGCGGAGTGAGTCCAGGAACGCAGGGGTGTATGCTGAGAGGACTTGGTCGACGGAGGCGACGATGGTTGAAGAGAGGACAGGTTCATAGATAAGCCAAAAGCGTTCAAGGAAGTGGTTGAGCCAGTCGGCAGTTTCGTGTTCTGAGCCCAATCGAGTCTTGACGAGTTCCCGTTGAATGTCGTCGCGTGCGTTCCGACGGAACCTTTCCATTGACGCCGTGTAATACGTGTTGCAGACTGCCAAGAGAACGAAGATCCATCCCCAACCGAAGCCAAAACGCGTGAAAAAATGGGAGGTGAACACGGCCTGTGTCTGGAGTTGAGGGTTGCGAGATGCTTGCCAATTAAAAATATACGCACGAATACGATTACCGCCGCATTATGATACCATGCACCATAGTACTGCTCGGAGAGGAACTGGTCGAGGACCGACTTGTCTTTCTCTTCCCCTTCGGGAGGGTGCGGTTTGTCGATTCCGGCCATCTGTCGCCAGCCAACGATATACCAGTCGGGGAGTGCACTTGCGGTTGTGGCAGGAATGGCGCCAGGTACGGACTCCGCAGCCTCCCCTTGCACTTGTTGAGCAACCTGAGTGGTGTCGTCTGCCACCACCTTTGCGTCGTCCGCATCTGAATCTTCAATGCGAATGGTAGGAATGGCCCCGTTGTGTCCGTTGTGCGCACCGTTCTCCAAGCTCACAGCTTGATTACTCCACACGTCAAAAAGCTTTCGGGGCGTGTATAGACAGGGGCGCCGCACCTCTTTCAGCCAACGCTGGTTGGGGAGTCACTGACAAATTCTGTGCCCGTTTCTCTGGCACAGATGCCTTCTCCTGGGGTGAATCTTCAGGGTTGAAGGTGTAGACTGTTGCGCCTTTGGCTTCTTCGTGTTTCATGACATTGCTGGCATCGGAGGGCTCTGTGCTGGCCCCCAGAACCGTCGCCATGTTGGCGGGGAATTATAATGAGAGGGGAGAAGAGGAAGACAGGGGCACCTGGGGCAGTAACGAGGCAGAGGTGGGGTGGTAAAGAGCGTGGATTCAAACGATTTGAAAGGTAATGAGGTCTCTGATGTCACCTTCACTTTCCAAGTAGAGGCCGTACAGCCCCCCGGCACCACAACTTCGGCCGGCGAGCACATTAACCATATATGGTTATCCACCGCCGCTTTTGGGAAAGCACCAAGGCGCCGCGCCGACATAGCCCTATCGCCACCTTGTCTTGCGAGCCCAGAGTCCTGCGAACGCCGAGTGAAAATGAGATCACCGTTGAAATGCAGAAAATGACTATCAAGGCCTCTGGCAAGACTCTTCAGCGATGCAAAGAACAGTATGACTTGCCAGTTTCGCCCGACAGTGCCCCAACTTGAATAAATTCATCTCCACTGTAACATCTCAATCGTGCCCATGCCATAGAAAGCGCGTTCGTTACCTTGCTACTGGGAAGCTTTGGCTTGGGATAGCTTCCCGCCAACGTGTTTCATCTGTCAAAAGGAACATCTGGAGTGGTGGACAAGATCGCATACCGGCCTTGGCAAAGGAGGCATCCCCGTGGCTGTGCTATGGAAAGTCACGGGCTCGTCTCGTCGCTGCGGTCAAGTGGGGCAACTCTCTTTGCCAACGTCGGCGACAGTCTCGAACTCTTTTTTTTTTCGACAGCAACTTTAGGACCAGCACAGTGGGCTCAAGGTCTACACACATGCCATGACGAGACCAGGCTCGCTCCGAGACCTGTACATCGACCCATCTTCTGCGTGGACGTTCGTTCCAACCACGTCCAACAACGCGACAACGGCTGCTCAGCCACCAGAGCCACCATCGGCACCAGCCTACCAATGGTCATCTCGTCCATCTCACAACTCTATATTTGATCTCTCGCCAGACTTGAACCTGTCCGAGCCAAGTGGGACAAATGTAGCAAACGTTTTCAAGGCCTTGGTGGCTTCCGCCGTCCTTCAATACACAAGTACGGCCATTGTCATGCCTTGGGAAGTTGGAAAGCTGCTTCTTCAAGTCCAATGGGTTCCCCGGGATGCTGGTGAGCCTGCACCGGGTGAACCGGAGCTTGGCGAAGAAGACGTTGACGATGCAGTACGTGGCCATTCCCATGCAAACGTCCACCCTGCTCACTTTGGCCTTAGCTAAGTGACTCGTCCAATGATAACGACTCTTATTTCGCCGACCCCAATGCCCCGCCAAGTAACCGCCCTCTGCATCGAACAGACGAGCAAGGTTACGTCATCCGAAGATCTGTGCTGGAGGAAGGAACGCGTCCAGAGTACATTATTCCAGTTGGAAGCGCAGATGGCGTTTGGGACATGATGAAGCGAGTTGGAAGGTTCCGACCAGAGGGCTGGCTGGCTCTCTGGAAAGGTAGGCATCTCGCTCGATATCCAAAATCATACTAATAGCCATGGCTAGGGCTTTTGACCTCCTGCGTCACGGAAATCCTTTCCTCGACGATGCAACCGTTCATTGACGGATTCCTGCAGTCCTTATTGTTCCCATCCATGTCGCCTTTCCACCAACCACCTCTCATCCTGCCGGTTGCATCCCATCTCATCACCGGCTTCCTCCTCTCGCCTCTGGACCTGATCCGGACCAGACTGATTGTTCAGCCGTTTATGACCCGTTACAGACGATACACTGGACCAATTGATGCCCTGAAGCAGATTCTGAGGGAAGAAGGAGGCGTCAAAGGAATTTATCTCCACCCTCAACTGCTTATTCCCACTCTTCTCGACAATGCACTCCGACCCATCGTCGCCCTTGCTCTTTCAGGATGATAGCTCGACGATTCACCCTGTCAACATCAGCGAAGACACCCATCCTCGGGCCTGGAGTATTGCCGAACTCGCCGGAAGTTGCGTCGGACTCCTTATCACGCTACCCATCGAGACTATTCGACGACGACTCCAGGTTCAAGTGCGTGGTACCGCGAAGCCTTTGAAGGCATGTGTCGAAACTCGCCCTGCACCATACAACGGTGTGGTCGATACGTTCTGGCACATTCTTACAGAAGAACGCTCCGACCTCCCCATCCGGTATCCTCAGCGCCGACGTCGTTCGAGTTCTGTGAGATCAAGGGATGAGAGGAAAGCGGAGGAAGATGTGGCTAAAGAAGAGGCTTTGGATGGCGATGGCTGGTCCAGACACACCGGTCTAGGGCAACTCTATCGCGGATTGGGTATGCGATTGGGTGCCAGCGCCATAGTCTTTGTCATTGCTCTGTGGAGTGGGGGAGCTGAGACAGACAGTGGATGGACTGAGATTTAAGGCTGGACTAGATAGGAACCTACAATAGTTATCGTTATTCAACTAATGTCCAATCTCCTCTCCTATTTGGCGGAAGAAGTGATGAACGCGAGAGCCGGTCCGGGATCGGGACACTTTACCCCAACGGATTGAGAATTGAGAGACCCTGACGTTGACCAACTTTGTGTACCTCCGTTTCTCATCGTTTTCTTCTTGACACTCCTTTAACGACTTTAACGACTTGAAATGTTCCAAGGTTGGTTGTTCTTTCTGCCCAACCTATACAATTGGTATTCATGAATCACAGAAAAACCGTATTCGGTGGTACCGCTGCTCTCGCGAGCACTCCACCGCGTTCGCTCGACCCCTCCTCGCATTATCGCTTCACCGCCAACTCGTATGTAATGTATACAGCGCCAAGGAACCAGCACTAAACCTCCCAAATACAGAACCACGACGAGCAGCAGTGGCTCTCATTATTCGCGTCGTCCCATCGCCTCACGCGCCAATTCCCCCTAACCCTGCAAATCCTCCGACCTTATCCGAATTTTTCGAGCTTGACTGGGTCAAAGACCCCAACGCCCAAGCTGAAATCCTCTTCCTTCATCGGGAGAACCCAGCCAGCAATGGAGACGGCCCATTCAACCAATCACGAGTTCGCGTTGGCAAAGAGGCACACGTAGCGTTCCCCGGTGGACGCACAGAACCCGACGACGAAGGTGGTCTTTACACCGGTACGCACTTCCTTTTACCCGTGGTCGATCCACATCATAATCCAGTTCTCGACCTTTAGCTATGCGCCAAACATGGGAAGAGATTGGAATAGACCTCGCTGAGAAAGACTACATTTGCATTGGACAACTAGACGACCGAGAGATTACTACGTCCTTGGGGAAACGGTTACTTATGATCCTCTCGCCATTTGTATTCCTTCAAGTCACGCCACAAGCACCAGCTCCCGACCCTGTACCCACCACACAGATTCACTGGACGCCCCTCAACGCCCTCGTGTCACCCTACTCGAAACCCAAATGGTCTACCGTAACAGTAGACGCCGCGTCCCGCCTCACACCCAAACACTCGGCGTTCCTTCGTGTTCTCGTACGCCTCCTGGTGGGCAGCATGGAATTCCCTGCCATCCTTCTCGACCCTTCCCCTGCTTCCTTCGGCGAGAAAGGACTTAACGGCCACGCCTCTTCTCGCAGGTTGCAGCAACTGAAACTTTGGGGATTGTCGCTGGGTATGACATTGGATTTGATGTCATACATGATCCTTCCTGCACCTTCGTCCCTGGGAGGCTCGAGAACCCCTCGCCGGAGCGGCTCGTCAACCCCTTCGACGCCTCTTTCCGAAGTAATGCAGCTACCTTACCAAGAAACAGTCCAGGACTTCAATCTAGAATATGTAGCGCCAAGCCTCGCGAGCGTCTTCCCCAGGTTTTCGTACCCTGACGTCAATTTCTGGATATGGTATGTGGTGTTGTTCTCGTGGTCACTTGTTCAAATTCTAATTGCCTCGGTTTCCGCTTCTTTCTACGACATCGCGCGTGATCTACTGGCTCCGGTTGCTCATATTTAACTTGCGTCTTTTAACAGGGTGTTTGGTAAGCGCTACAGAGAAGTTATTCGCGGCTGGGAGGCTAGCGTTCGCGTCGGCGGAACGAATGACCGCAGGTGTGTTGAATCGCCTCTATTGTTGTACTCACGTGGAGATCTAACCACGATAATGCAGAATAAACTGGTCCGGAACAGCTCTCAGCACTTTCTATGCTGCGATCCGCAAGGCTCTCATCGTGGTCATCGTGGCGCGCGCCTTGGGCATTCTCTTTGGTTTGGGTTTCGCTACCTGGTGGATCTTTGGGCGGTAGGTCTTGAGCATTGGTATTATTGCTGCCCCCTGTCACCGCATTGGACCCACACATAAATTATCCCTCCCTTACAATCACATATTTTGCATTGGCTCTTCAACCACTAACCTGTGATGATACCTCCACTTCAATGAATCACATCGATTGCAACGTCGCATGTTGGAACCATGACTTAACCCAGTCCACCTATACCTCAGGCTCCTTGTGCGGCGATCGATGTGGATGGCCATCGCAATTATGTTTTACGCTTTCCGCCAAACAGGTACCGTGAACGCCATTTTCGAGAGAAGAGACTCCGGACTCTACATGGTCAGACATCGAAGATGCCACTGGCAACGTTTTAACCTCGCAGTTTAGCTCAACCGCGTCCCAGATGACGCCAACGGGTATTGATTTGACGACCTCGATCGACTAGATTACGAATCACCCAACGGCCAGTAGTCAAGCTTGAACGCGGAAGGGTGATGTCGTTTGAGCTAATAATCCCTCGGAATGGTCAACTCACTGCCGTGCATCTGCCCACGTATAGCAGTCGTGTGACCAACTTTGAAAAAATCAGTAAGAACTTCCGAGTTCCATTCAGCATGTCAAGCACTCTTTTGTCCCTCCTGAGCTCGGACATCCCTGCTTGTCATCCAATCCGGTGGTGTTCGATTGATTTTGGAATACACGAGGTGCGAAGGAAGACCGCGATGCAAAGGGCTACAGTACAATGTTCAAATCCGCCGGCTCCTTTCCATTACTCCAGGATACTACATTCCTTATCACAGTGGAAGCCCACAGACTTCGCAATCACTTCCGCTGTGAGTGTTCTCAAAGGTACAATGGGGGCAGATCTTGATACCGCCCGCACTTCCAGTACGTGCAGCGTCGTCTGCTGCAATTTGGTCAAACACCTCGGGCGGGATATCATCCACGTCCATTGCCGACGAGCTAGAGCCTGCAGGGGCCGAGGATATCGGTCGTGCAGCTGTTCAACGCACCGAGCTTGGTTAAAGGGGAATAGTCGAGATAGGAGGGATTACTTACGTGCACTCTCTCGAGTAAAGGTCATCAGAGTCTGCCATCCATCGGTAGAAAGGAGAGGGTCCAAAGCTGAGGGGTCCTCTTCTAGCTTGGGTGAGGTGATCGTCTTCATCATGACCTTGACATCGTCCTAATGCTTTCATTTTAGACGATCTTCAGTAGATCAGGCGGCCTGCACGCACCACCGAGAATAGTTGGGTCGTTTGAAGGTAGGCCGCCAAGTGGAAATCGCTGAGCCAATACGCTAGTTCTTTCTTCTTGTATGAATCTTCGCCAGGTTGGATAGAAGGCGCCTCTAGCTTGGACAACTCGGACATCACCTTCTCGACCGTTTGGTCTTCCAATCCTGGCCTGTTCTCGATCGGGAATTGTATCGAGCGGAACATGGGCGACGGGACTTGTGGGAAGCCGTGGGTGACCTGGAAAGCTCCTGAGTATCCAGGGAATCGGAAACGAATCGATATTGACTTACGTTGACCAACAGATATTCGACAGGGAATGCCGGCTTTGCGCTCTTCTTCACCTCTAACCCATACTCGTTCTTGTAGGAGAAAAATACGTCTGGAACGTATCTTGCAGAGTCCTCTTCCCTGTTCTCTTCTTTAACGCGAACGATCCCAGGGTCCACACTTGCTTCAATCATGTCCGCTTCTACCATTGCAACAGCTTGTTCCGAAACCTGATACGCCGATACGTCCACCTGCCCGTCCTCCGTTGCGGTCAAAACAGCGGTGACCAGTCGGGAAGCATACTTCCCTGTCGGCGATGATTTCGAGTTGATTGGATTCTTCGCTTGCAAAGTCGCAGCAAAAATGACTTCCAGTGACGACAGAAAGAAGGATTGTGGATGACGTTTGTACACGTTCTTTGTTCGATCTTCCGGAGTAGGATCCAGATCTGTGAAGATGTAGCCGACAATGCTGAGTGGGGTCGATGCGTTGAATGAGAGGTCCCGAATACGAGCCTCTTCTTCCCAAGGCCAAGCCAAAGTTAAGCCATCGATTTCGCCTTGTTGTAGAGGCTCATAGATTGCCTCGACCACAGCCTTCACGCCCATAGGGACCTTGTCATAGGGTTCGTACCGACCAATGAGCCATCCAAATCGTTGCATGCCCGTCTTTCGCCAGGCCTGTAGGAATCGGTCGATGATGTCCATGGAAGCAATCTCGAGATGATCTACCATCCGGAATGGCTGCGATTGGAGAGTAATGGTAGATGGTTGACAGCCAGTACAGATACCAGCCGGCCACGGGGGATGGTTGCCTGTCGGGCAAGGTACTTTGACCTTGTAGGAAAGAGGGTTCAAGGGAGGCAGTACAGATGTACTGGATAGGGTCTGCTTCGGGGTAAGTTTTCGAAGATAGGCGTGATACGAGAGATGTTTAATCGAGTTCTCCTTGTGGTATGCGGCATCATAGGGCTCCAGAGGCATGCAGTAATCGCACATTCCTTTTAGGCCATGTTTGCAGAACTGGGTATCGCGACTTCTTGCTATCTTCCCCGACTGTGACCTCCAGTACTCGTCGACTGGATCTTCCTTTACAAGCTCCCATGGGCGGGTTGTCGAGACCGCACTGCTCGACGTAGGAGGTGCCGCAGCGGGTGCAGTGGTTTGGCTCGACTCTGCTGATTTCGGTTTATAGTTCACGAAGACCAAATCTCCGTGGCTAATGCATATTGAGAACTGCCTTCAGAACAGATCAGCGTCTGACATACCTCAATCCGAGATTCTGGAGAGTCCTTCCTTTCAACGTGGACACTAGCGCCTCATTTCCGCGAGGTTGGTTCGAGATTGTGACGGTTTCGGGGTCTGCATCGGGAGAGGATTCTAGAATCTAAAATGTCGTAATTTCAGTCAACTCTGCCTCCAGGGCATAGTTCAAACAGCACACCTTGGCCAATAATTCAGATACGTCTGAAGTGGGTTCCATAGGGTATCGAAAGTTGCCATCTCTTGATCTGACTCTGATTAACTGGTAGTCATAAGAAAACGGGCTGCCATTACCAGTGAGACCGTGCTCACCATTTTGATATGCAACCAGGACCTGCGTAGTTACGTTGATTGGACTTTTACAAGGTTGTAGGAGAGAACAAGCTCTGAAGTCATTTGGGACGCGTCCATACGCGTAAGTGCCAAGCCTCCTTCTGCTGACTAAGCAAACCCCTTTCCCGAATCTGCCCAACTGCTCCGTCAAATCTGAGGGCCTTCTCGCCAAAGTCTAGTGGGCATGACTGGGGATTACCAGAAGCGCCGGTAGCTCGGATCCTGGACCATCCATCTTGGAATCTCTGGTTCCATTAAAACAAGGCCCTCCACGCGTTTCACCAGTTACGGACGCGTGTTGGTGACGCGATTGGCAACACGTTGACGTATGTTTGACCTCCGACGGTCCGGCTCTTTTCTGCAACTCAACGTTAACTTTTTGTCGTCCTCGAAAGCTAACATGCGCAGCGAACCTCTTCAGCTAGCTTTGTTGCCTCTCGAATTTCTCCCTGCATGTCGCGTTTACACCTGTCTTAAGCCCAACCCTCGGCGGCAGTCGTTGGACCGGAAATAGAAATTGACAATTCGAGAAGCAGCTGTGGCGTATTACACGCCGCGATTGGCGCAATCTTGTGTCTCGATGGCGAATTAATGCTCTTACCTAGTGCACATCCACCTTGCACGGTGAAATGGCTGTATGGCGTCTGGTCAACGGTCTCTTCGGTGGTTATGCTTTTCCTCAAAAACGCGCTTGCAAGGGATATAAACCCACTGGACAAGCAAACGTCTGCCTCATCAAACGAACTCCAACGCTGGAGAAACCTGGTCTTTACTTTCGACATGGATCACGACCCTTCGCGCTCTGCTCAACGGAACCTCCAAAGGTCACGCTCCGAGGCCAGCCCGGGAGCTGCTCAATCTGGCGGCGCCAATAGGGTCAGTAAGTGTCTCTGTCTTTACTAAACATTACAATCCTGTTCCGAACTCAACACAGTTAGACGTACAGGATGCGGCTTTGCTTGCTCAATTCGCCGCCGCCGCTGGGACAGGATTAGATGTGAGCCACGGCTATGCCCACGGCGTTCCCTCCACGGGTTATCCTAATCTAGGGCCATCCCCCGGTTTTTATGGCAGCTTCTATCACCATGATAGCATGTCTCAGCCGACATCACTTCCACCCTTATCCTCACTTGATTACCCCTGGCCTCAGCTGGCTCCGCAGCAGCAGCACGACTTGAACCAATACAGTCACTCAATGGAGGCGGGTGCGATGGCATCTTCGGCCTCTACGTTCATTCCATCCCAATACCACCCTCCGCTTTCGATGCCTCACGATTCGCCCTCCCCTCCCGCCTCGGTTTCTGGTAGCTCCGTGCGATCTTCCGGCGGAGGACGTTCACGGTCGGGAACGAACACAGAAGACCTCACAGAAGCTGAAAGGGCTGCTATCGCGGAGGAGAAGCGCCGTCGAAATACAGCAGCCTCAGGTAAATATAGTCCCCAGTACTGTAATGAGATCAGGACTGATTGGCTCTTTGTCTAGCACGGTTTCGTATCAAGAAAAAACAGAAGACTATCAACCTCGAGCGATCAGTGTCAGACTTAACGGGTCGCGCAGAAGAGCTGGAGCGAGAGGTTGCTGACCTTAGGCGGGAAAACGGCTGGCTCAAGGAGATTGTCATGTTAAAGGGAACGCGTTTCGCTGCTCAAAGGATGGCGCTTAATCAAGCGGCAGCTTTGGCCGCCAATGGCCAGCTTGGGCCCGAGGGTGCATCTAGTGTAACCAATGGCGAAGGGTCGTATTACCATGGTGATGACGGAGACGAAGATTCTGGGTCGTCTGATGACGATAACGAAAGGACCTCGAAGGGAAAAGGAAAGGCAGGGTCTTCCAAACGTTGATTCGGACATTTTCTGCATTGCTTTCGGGAACTGCTTTGGGCTATTGCTTGCTTTTTGGGTGCTTTTGCTTTCTCTGTCGCATTGTATTCTATCACGCATATTTTTCTATCGCTTGTATTACCATTCTATCTATAGTAGACCTCATACCTGTATCGTGTCGATAAGAAGTTGGCGGACTCGATTGCTTTTTGATCGCATACTATTGCGTATTTTGATGGGATTCCCACGCTCATTCTAATTGCCGAGACCAACCGTCCCTTCCAAGTTCCAGTGTGCTTGTTTGGTTCCTCATTCGCAGCCATGTCATTTGGTCGACCCCCTTCAATCAACGTCGGTTTTCAAGTCACCGCTCCAGATAGAGGATCATTTCCCCTCGACCACTTTGGTGGGTGTAAATGCCTTTCGATGCTCTATTTGCTGACCCGTGAAAAAGGTGAATGTAAAGACAAGATGACTCTTTACATGAAGTGTCTTCGTGAAAATGGGAACGACTCTTCACCTTGCCGCACCCTGACCAGAGATTATCTCGACTGTCGCATGCAAAAGTAGGCCCAATTTTCTACCATTATGTCAGTGCGTATGACGTTGCTCTGCAGGGGACTCATGGAGAAGGACGAATGGAAGAACCTGGGACTGGCCAACCTCAAAGGAGACAAGACAGCGTCTGATTCAGCACCATCATCTCCTCCCGACTCTACGACCAATCCTCCGAATTCGAAATGAGAGGGCCATAGCCCAACGGCGTCGCGGAACACCCATGCCACGCTCATGATCCCATTCCGGTCGATACGGAAGCAAGTTTATGGTGGACATTTGCATATTTTGCCCGACATCCAGGCTGTTCTATCCACTTATCATTCCAAAGGAAGGCACCAACAGAAGCCCATACCGCGGCCACGATGTTCAACATCCTTCGGCATAGCGATGGTCGCGCGATACCCCTGCTAAGACGCGCGCCGTCCGTTCTCGGATGGAATAGCGCAGTTATCATTTGATTTTCAAGGGGTTTCTTCCGTGTCGTGTAGTCTAACACCCTTCCAATACTATTGGCACTTGCACGTTTGTATGTCCTCTGTATACTTCAAGGAGTGTCTGACAGGCTTCGAGCTTCTTTTCTCGGGCCTCGCGCTGTCTGTGACAGTTCTGTCTCGTTGAATGGCCTCTTCCACACACGTTCAACGGATGGCTTGTCGGTCCTTAGCATATGATACGGTTTCATTTTTTGATGACTTCGCACGTTTCCATCGCTTCGTGAACACCTGAACTACGCTGCAGATCCTCGGTCTGTATAAGTAGCTGCATGGGATGACCTTGCGCTCCCTAGTCTTTTCCTTTCTACGCACCATGCAGCTTTCAATTTTCGTCAAGGTCGCCCTCGTCGCTGCTGCGGCTGTGAACGCCAACGTTATCCCTGTTCGTCGTCAGCGGACATCTTATTTCGACATTCAGGTACAGGTTTTACAGCTGTCTTTACCACCTCGTCATGCTTATCGCTTTTTTGTTTGGAAAAAATCTAGGGACATCGTGGAAGCCGAGGAGAGACTGTCGAGAGTACCATCCCAGCCTTTGCATGGTATCTGCGAAGCGACTTTCGTGTTTGAACGTGTTCCTTACACCTTCTATAGGGCATTGCTGGACGGCGCCACTACACTCGAGCTGGACAATGGCATCACCAAGGTAAGCGCCCGATATTTCCCACCCTCCTTTTCCAGCACTGACATGCCCAAATAGGACGGTGTACCAGTCGTCTGGCATGACGAAGAGATTAGCGCTGAGAAGTGCAGGGACACGGCACCGGCGGTAGGTTTTAGTTCCCACGTCTTCTGCTTTTGTCTTGGTACTTATTGAAAATCCGTTGCCTACTTCCAGTTCAGGGGAGACCCAATGTTCCCTTACGTTGGCAAGCTCCTTGTCAACCTAACTCTGGCGCAAATCAAGACACTCGATTGCGGTTCCCAACGGTTGTCTGCTTATCGTATGTGATTCCGTGTCGCCCACCACTCCCAGCACTCATCGCAAGGCAGCCCTTCAGCTTACCTATGCCGGCGCCAAAATCCCCACATTGACTGAAGTCTTTGACTTCGCCCGATGTGTCGACTTTGAACGCCGTCTCAAATTTAATGTTGAATCTAAGATCAATCCCGTCTTCCAATCGAACACCAAGAGTGTCGACGAATTCGTGAACGCTCAGTACCGCGAGTTCTGGCGCAGTGGCTACCCTCTCGCACAGATCACCGTAAGTTCCAATTTGCACATAATTTTTCGAGGTGATCCCTGAAAGTGGTGTCCAGTACCAAAGCTTCGACTGGCGAACACTTGTCGCTATGAAGGCTCTTAACTCCAAGATGCCTACTGCTGCTTTGGCCGATCCGTGAGTACTAATTTCTCTCCAATACCTTTATAAAGGAGTTGTACTGAGCACGTAAACCAGTCAAACTACTACTCCCTATAACGGAGCCTATCCATTCCTTGCCGGACTTAACTTAGACAACTTCCCAGGAGACAATCTGGGCACCAAGGTCGCTAACGCTGCGAAACACATCAAGGCAGATGTTCTGTCCCCAAATGCTGGTACATTGGGCAACATGTATACTACGAAGGAGATGGTGAATGCTGCTCACCGACTTGGCATGACGGTTGTTCCCTGGACTGTAAGTGGCGCATTATTGAGAACTCCAAAAGGCCATGGCTCAACATGATTCCCCTTCAGGTCAACGATCTGAGCGTAGCAGACGCTCTCCTCGACATGGGTGTGGACGGAATTATCACCGACTTCCCTAGCAATATGCGCCGATTCGTCTCGCAGAAGGGTCGCTCTGTTGCACCTCTGTTTAATGAATGGTGGGTCAACGAGTGCCTCAAGCGCCATAACAAGTAGTGTACCATATATTGTATTTATTCTACTAATTATACCGCCCTATCGTTACAACTACACTTTGTGTGATTTGAGCGTGAACGTAGTACTTGAACCGAGCACAAGCTGTCTGCGCAGAGCCTGGATTTGATGGGATCGGGGTACATGGGGTTAAGGTTCGGCCGGCTTGGCCTGATGGGAACGGGACGGATCGGGACAACAAACTTTGGGTCTCTTGAAACTTGCGCGCCAGCATTGGCTGTACACTAAACGCTCTCCTCGTCGTCCATGGCGTCCTTCCAAGTCGTGAAAAAGGCGGTGTCGTTGGGGCCCGCCGTCCGTGCCTTGCCTAGCGGCGTCCCCCACGTTCCCTTACTCAACCTCGCAGCGCGAGCTCCCCACGACAACCACCACTATGACCCCCAGGCTCCTCGCACAGACGTCGCTCCTCGATGGGTGGGTGGCGCCAGCAAGGTTGGCACCCAACTCCTCTCCAAGACTGTCGCCTCTGGTACACGTTCATTTCAGTCTATTTCGGACTCTGGGTAGTGACACGGCCGTGCTCTGGTTTCCATAGCCCTCCCCACCGTCAACTTCCAACAGCGACTCATGCACACCTCCGCCGTCGTGAAGAACGCCAACGAGACTCCCGACTGGTCTGCATACCGAACCAACCCTGAGAACAGCCGTGCTCTGTCGTATTTCATGGTTGGCTCCATGGGTGTCATCTCTGCGTCTGCTGCAAAATCATCCGTTTCGGAATTCCTCCAAACGATGGCCGCCTCCGCCGACGTTCTCGCTCTTGCAAAGGTGGAGGTCGACTTGGCTTCCATCCCCGAGGGCAAGAACGTCATCATTAAATGGCGTGGCAAGCCCGTCTTCATTCGACACCGAACTCAGAGTGAAATCGAGGAGGCCCGTGCCATTGACTGGAAGTCTCTCCGTGATCCCGAATCCGACGACGCCCGAGTGAAGAAGCCTGAGTGGTTGGTCATGCTTGGTGTCTGCACCCACCTTGGTTGTGTCCCCATTGGCGAGGCTGGTGACTATGGAGGATGGTTCTGCCCTTGCCACGGTTCCCATTATGACATCTGTGAGTTTTTGGTTGTCCTAGTCATTCTCCGCATCGCCGTCGCTCATCCAGTTTCCCCTTACAGCTGGCCGTATCCGCAAGGGTCCCGCTCCCACCAACTTGGAAGTCCCTCAGTACGAACTCAACGAGGCGGACAACAAGCTCGTCATTGGTTAATCACATTATATTGCACTCATCTCGGTTTAAATATTCTGTCCCCACGAATACCTAGAGCCCTATACATACAGACAATCCTTTCAAAACGGTTGGCAGATCACTAGAGAGTAATGACAGCCGTTGTAATTCTTCATTGAAGGCAATTGCCGGTCGGACAGGGAGCGTGTAAGAGCACCGAGTAGCGAGGGATATGTCGTAACTGAAGCTTCAACCTAAACCTACACCTTGTTCCCCCTTCACAGTCGCCAAAACGATTTACTTACCGTTAAACGATATGCCCCACAATGAGCTCCTCACGTTAAGTTCGTTAAAGGAGCTCGTCAACCTCAACGGGCTATACCTCGCAGGCTTTGGGTGGTTATTTGGAATGTGTGAGTAAACGAGGATAGTTGGAATTGTTCAATGTGCTCAACGTATACTAGCTGTTTGGGTGACTTTCTTTGGAGGCTAGTTCAAGTATTCGTTGACGTACCATTGCTTAACCTCGTCTGCACAGGCGTGATTGCGTTTAGGACCCTCCGTGAGTAGTGAACGTTGCGCAGGCACAACAGGCAGCTGAGACCTCCATAGCGAGACAACAGTTTGGCGCTCTCCAGCACAAGACTTTCCCAGTTTATTTCACCCAGTCTATCGCTCTTTCCGCTGCCCTGTTGAGCATTTGGATCTCCAAGCACCCCAGCGTGCTCGCGAACCTCCACCAACCAAGACTCGCCGATGTTGCCCAGGCGTATGCACTCGCTACAGTTATCTTGGCGCAGGGGTCCAACCTCTTTGTGGTTGGCCCTTGGACCAGCAAGTGAGTGCTTGGAGCTTATACTGCGACAAACTTGCGCTCATCGTTGGGAAGGGTAATGTTTAAGCGCCACAAATTGGAGAAGGAGGAAGGAGTTCAGTACAATGATCCCAAGGTCTGTATAGCATGCATTTAATGTCCGGTGTTCTGCACCTAATACTCGCACTAGGCATCTGCCCAGATGAAAGCTTTAACCAAGCAGTTTGGAGCACTCCACGGCGTTAGTTCCTTGTTCAACTTGCTGGCGGTGATTGCACTAGGCCTGCACGGTCTCTGGCTTGGAAATGCTACCTCCCTGAGCAATATCTAAGCAAGAAGGTATATCTTTCGCCTTGTATGTTGTACTTGAGATCCCATATATCGTACCTTGATTGGATAGCTGCCGCTCTCTGGTGTACAATTGTCGATGGCGTTGAGCGTGAATATGATTGTACAGTATTACATCGAAAGATTAACAAACGAAGAGAATTTCAAGCGCCTACGGAATCCAAGTCTGGGAGGTAGCCTTCCCGTAGGCTTCTCTCCAAGCGTCGCACTTCTTCTATCGAGGTGGCCTTTGCGATAGCGGCCTTGACCTTCTCTTGATCGGCCTTCGACATCAATCGACCGGCCTTGACTGGGGCTGCCTTGGGCTCATCGATAGTGAGGCTGAGTTTGCCTGTGGTGGTAGTGACGGTTGTTGAAATGGTGGTCGCAAGAGCAGTAGGCAGCTTGTCGGCAGTCAGGAATAATGACTTGGCTGCGTTTCGTTCCTGTGAAACCAGCACGTAGGGTGTTATTACCCAGGAACGATAGATGGACAGGACGCAAATGAGCGCACCTTGTCACGAATCTTCTGGAAATCGAGAACGCGGAGACTAGGGATTCTGTATGCAAGCCATTCGCGGTAGTATTTTTTCTCTTGGACGGGATTGCCGACCAGGGAGAGGAAGGTCAGGTGTTTGAGTTCCTTCAAGGGCTCGAGATCTCCCAGTTCGGAAATGTTGTTGTTGGTGAGGACTAGCAGAGTCAGGTTAGGGACGGAAAGGTGAATCGAAGGCGATATCGTTTGTATTCTGTTGTTCGCAAGCAGGAGGGTTCGTAAGCGCCTGAGGAGGGGCAGATTGCCCAATGTAATGATAGCATTATCTGTAAAATCTATAGCATCGTGTTGATCCTAGACCAAAGAGATAGGTTTGACAGTGGAGAGATGATATTAATGAAGAACATACCCTAGTAACACCCAGGTTTTCGATTGCAGGGATTTTAAAGCCTGTCAGTTGGATGTTGTGAGCGAATTGAAGGGAGGCGAGGTTGTACTTACCTCGAAGGTCGAGTTCTCTTTCCTTAACAGCGTTGATGTACGATTGCGCCTGCGCTAGAAGCTCTGGAGTGAGCTTCATTGTGTCGACTACGCGTCTTTGGCAGATCCAGGGTCGAGTGCTGCAGCCCCGTTCGAACCGAGTTCAGACTCAGATCAACGCGTCTTTCGCACACCGCCGCCTTGCCACCTGCCTCCATACACCTTCCCCTCGTTTCACCTCCTGCAATCATGATTCCTTTGTACCACCGTCTCACTCTGTATGCTTTAATTCTCTCAAAATCTAATTCTATACTGAACATGTCTCCTACAGCTACTCGGATAATGACACGTACATATTTGTCCCAGAGGGCACAGATGCCAGGAATCTGACAGTCCACCGTTCGTCTGGGGATATTGTGCTCAATGGTGAGCGCTTTTCAATTACCAAATGGCTATGTTCTTAATCGACGCAATGAAGAGCCCCAGACACCCCTCCCAGCCTCAGCTCGCCGCTCTGGCAAAACAGTCTATGGAATTATGGGCCTCATCTCCCTCTCGCTATGTGAGGCTCAATTCTGGCTACACCCTAGCAGCTGACTGAATTTCGATAGCCGACTACATTATCGTCATTACTGGAAGGGACCTATTATCAAGACTAATGGGACATGATATCTACCGCGCAACCAACTTTGAAGTCCTTCCTTTACGCCCCGGCATCTCTGTTGACCAGCCGCCTCACGTCGTCGAAACCAATTTCCTCTCCCTCCTCAACTCGCACCTGCACAGCGGCAACTTCCTCTTCTCCTACGATTGGGATCTGACCACTCGACTTCAAGTCCAATATCACCGGGCTGCGGAGTCGGAGGGCAAGGCCTTGTGGGAGCTTGTAAGCGGACAGCCTTGCTTTTGCCCCCCGTTAACAATCTGATTTTGGTGCAGGCAGATGACCGTTTCTTCTGGAATCGTTTTTTGCAAACTCGTTTTATTGATTCGGCCACTGCATCGTCCGACCCGTCAGCAGTGCGTGAACCTGGTCTTCCAACTAGCAACGTGTCGCTGACGCTTTGACATAGTGGGCTTCGTACATCCTACCGGTCCTGTACGGAAGTGAGTTTGAGTCGCGACCCGTGGACGTTCCGATGCTAAACCTTCTAATTAGCCTTTGATTTGCGACCCATGTTCCTGCATGGGAGGCATATGCAGCTCTGCCTCATCAGTCGACGCTCGCGTTACCGTGCAGGCACTCGTTATTTCCGTCGCGGAATCGACAATGACGGCAACGTCGCCAACTACAATGAAACGGAACAAATCCTACTAGTTGAAGCTTCCGCGGCCTCCGCAGCTTCAGCCAACCCAGAGTCAAGATACTCTTCCAAGTTCAGCTTCGTCCAGATCCGTGGAAGCGTCCCCTTGTTCTGGTCGGAAATCAACACTTTGAAATATAAGCCAGACCTCCAAATCATGGAAGTCCCTCAAACGGTTAGTCCGTTTATTAGCCCCCCTTTGCCATACCTTACGGTGTTACCTAGAGAGACGCTCTCCGCAAGCATTTGGACACCCAAGTCAATACGTACGGCCCTGTCAAATTGGTCAACTTGATCAATCAAAAGGGACACGAAAAGCCAGTCAAAGATGCCTACGAGCGTTACATGGCTGAGGTATTTGAATCATTTGGCCTTGTCAGCGACAATTCTGACTTTGTTTTCCAGCTTGACCGACCTGACATCCAATACCAATACTTTGACTTCCACGCCGAATGCAGGAAGATGCGTTGGGATCGAATCAGCGTCTTGATTGACAAAATCAAAGACGACCTCGAGAAGCAAAGGTAGGCTAAGATACCATCCGTTTCACCCTTACTAACCAGGGCCTAGTTACTTTGCCTGCCAAGTCAACGATGATGTTCAGGTGAACGACCAGACTGGCGTCATCCGAACGAACTGCATGGACAACTTGGATCGCACGAATGTTGTACAGGCGACCATTGCCAAATACATGTTGAACAGGCAGTTGGTGGAACTAGGCATCCTCGCTCCCGGTGCTGGCATTGACGACTATGAAGCCGTCAGCAAGGACTTCAGAGAGAGTAAGCTCCCTTCGATGTCGTTCCGTTGACTTTGCTAATTTTTTTCTTTCAGTGTGGGCTGACCATGCGGATGCTATCTCGGCCGCTTACGGTGGTTCAGGAGCTTTGAAATCTGACTTCACGAGAACAAACAAGCGGACTCGCAAGGGTATGCTTGAGGATGGCGTCAAGTCTGTGACGCGATACCTCAAGAACAACTTCTTCGACGGTACCAAACAGGATGCCTTTGACTTGGTCACTGGCACCTGGGTACCCGGGAAGAGTCCTTCAGCGTCTCTGTTCTTGGTGGCGGACCGTAGGCCTCTGATTATTCGATCGGTGGGTGAAGCCATACACTCTTTCGTCCCCCAGACTAACCATATTGGATAGATGCCTGCTGCTGCCTATTTCTCGCTATTCATGATCTGCGCTGGCATGACTCTGCCTCGATCGTCTGGTACGCATTCCGTCAATATTCCTTCCAATCATCATGCTCACTTGAATCCTTAGACTATTCCCTCTTCTATTACTTCCTGCTCTGGTTTACCGTCTTCACCGCCGCTATGACCTTTATCCTCATTCACGGTATCGATTACGTCGCATGGCCGAGGTTGAACCCCTTGACGGATATCATCTATTACAATGGACCGGGATTCCGTTCTGCGCGCAACGGTATGGGATGGGCTGGTTCCCATTCTCAGACGGGCAAGAAAGCTCTCTGGGGATCTAATGGCAAGGTTCTCACCGACGAAGTCGAGCTTGGAGGTTTGAAGAAACGGGTGGATTAGAGTCATTGGAATTTTCCTTCTCACTATATCACTATTTATTAGACATACAGGGATCCCTCGACTACATACTCTGCGTATAATTGGTTGATTATTTTATGCACCACATTCTCGGATTTAGTTCTCACATGCTACGTTCGTCGGTTGCTTTGTTGAATAGGTGCTGTGATGGCGCTTTTAGCACTGACAAATTCGCGGAGTTGCAACCTTGTGTATTACCCACACAAATTTTCGGGTTAACCACTTCTTTCTTTTCCTCTTCCTTGCACAACTACCACTATCGACATGACCAAGGGCACGAAACGCGCGTCTCCTGGCGCTGAGGAGGAGAAGAACCCCTTGAATGTTGAACTCAGCGAAGAGGATGCCAAAAAGCTTGAGGGGATCCAGCGCGAACAGGCGAAGATGGACTTGTTCATTGGTATTGCTCTTCTCTAGGGTTTGTCTGTCTGCTATCATACTAAACCCCTGACATCTAGAGCGCGAAACCCAGTCTAAAATGTACCCAGTGTACGAGAAGCGCCGGGCAATTGTGAAGACGATCCCCAACTTCTGGCCTGTTGCGTTGTTGAACCATGGCATGGTCGCCTTCCATGCCCAACACAACGCTGACCAGACCGCCCTCAGCTACCTTGAGGATCTCTGGGTGACGAGAGACCCTCAGGACCACCGTTGCTTCACCTTGGAATTCGTGAGTAGCTTATTTCATCTCCCACCCCCAATCCGGGCGGTGTGGTGAACATTCATGCTGATCCGCGGCTATCTGTACTACAGCACTTCAAGGAGAACCAATTCTTCTCCAACACCGTGTTGAAGAAGGAGTATAAATACGCTCCCCCCGCTTCTGCCGCCGACGACAAGCCTGATGAAAATGGTATCACTGACGCGATGTTGGATTTTGCTTGGGGAGAGCATGTCAAAATTACTGTGAGTAGCTTGGCATAGGGCTGCCGTGATAGAGTGGGGAAACTAAACGTTTGGGCAGGGCACCAAAATTGACTGGAAGAGCGAGGACAAAGCCTTGACCAAGTCTTACCCTCGTGAATCTGGAGATGAGGACGACGAGCTTCCCGCTGAGGCAGGCAGCTTCTTCAACTTCTTCGAGCACGATGACGACCCCTTCGATGTACGTGGACCTTCAAGCATCTGTACTAGTGACAAATGACTGACTAGTTTATTCTCGTAGATTGGCCCTGCTATTGGCAACGAAGTCTTCCCTGACGCCATCAGCTACTTCTTGGGCAACGTTGACTCTGACTCCGAAATTGATTCTGAAGAGGAAGAAGAGGACGATGATGATGACGCTGAAGAGATCGATCTCGAGAAGCCTCGTCCCAAGAAACAAAAGGTCTAAAGCTAGACTGACCCTCCTGTCCGCTTTCCTTCACTAACTGTTATTTGTTTGCTTTACTATATCACTCACGTTGTTGTATAAAGGTGTATCTGGCTTTCTTTGAACTATTTCCCGTCTCCGCGATGAAATCTAATGACATACATGTATTTTCAAATCACCCGACCACGCGATCGCAGCCGTCCAGTCATTGCAATGCGGCAGACAGTATTTACGAAGCCGCCACAAGGCAGTCTTCTATTATTAGGTCGCCCCAGCCCAGGCTGATGATTAAGAGACGTGGTTATTTTACCTCAAATCACGAAGCGGGCGAGAGGTTGGGTTCGTACTCTCTCCTTTTCGCCGTCGATGCGGGCTGTTATACTCTCAAGCTTGCTTTCCCTTTCCCCCGCAATCCTTGTCGCCACAGCACGCGAAAGCGGCGCTAATTGGCAAGCGCGTCAAAACCATGCGCTTGAGGCTCGCCAGGATCCCGCTGGGGTGGCAGACGATGCAGCGGTGTCGACTTCATTGCCGGCTTCAAACCCTGTCGCTGCACCGACCCCAGTGAATAGCGGTCTGGTGATTGCACCCCCAGCGACCACGCCGGTGGGTTCAGTGTCGGCCCCAGGCGTGGCCCCGACGACCTATAGTTTCTCCTTACAAGCTACCAACCCAACCGCCGTGCCGCTTTCAATGATTACAGCGGCTCAATCCAGCTTTCCAACTCGCCCCCTCGCCTCGACGGCAACCGCAGGAGCTAAACCCTCCTTCATCCCCGGTGCCCCAGACTTGCCAGACGGTATGTGACCCCAAACCCAACCTTAACTGTCTTCAGATTCTTAAACACTCCTTTACAGCGTCTTTACTTCTTCCCATCAATTATCCAGTGATGGATGCTCCCCCACCGACGGATTCACCTGAAGTCCAGCAATGGAAACAGGACGTAGCCAATTCTGGGATCACTATACCCGACTTTGCACCTACGATACCAGGTTAGTCCGTTCGGGTGACTGGAATTGGTGATCATACTGGACATCCCCACAGGTGGCTGCGCCTTTAATCAAGCGATTGCGACTGATCCCAACCGATGCTGGTGGACCTGTACTGGGTGCACCCGTGACGCAGACATCACCCAGTGCCCTAAACCTATGCAATGGGGGCTGACCTACGACGACGGCCCTGGTTTCTACACCTCTAATCTCTTGCAGTACCTCGACGAAAAGAAACTCAAATCGACTTTCTTCGTCGTGGGCTCGCGTGCCATCCAGTTCCCTCGTATCCTCCAGACTCAATATCTGGGTGAACACCAAATTGCCGTGCACACTTGGAGCCACACCCCACTCACCACGCAGACCAATGACCAGATCATCGCCGAGTTGGGTTGGACGAAGAAAATCATCAAGGATGCCCTGGGAGTCACACCCAATATGATGAGACCTCCCTTCGGTGACATCGAGTACGTTTGTGAATCCCGATGAAGAGTCGATGCTCACTGGCACCTTGTCTCCTAGCGATCGAGTTCGAGCAATCTCTATCGCCATGGGCTTAACTCCTGTCATTTGGACGCGCACTAGTCCAGTCTCTACTTTCGACACCGATGGTACGTCCAGTCTGTCGTCTCGTCGTCTTTCGATGGTTTCTGATCTCTTGAAATTGCTTCTAGATTTCAACATCCACAACGGCGTGACCCCCGTCTCAAAGGTGCTACAGAACTGGCAAAACATCCTCTCCAGTGCGCAAGGATTGGATCACGGATTCATCGTCCTCGAGCATGACCTCTTCCAGGAATCAGTCGAGGTCGCCACTGGTTACATCCTTCCTGATGCCCTCGCGCACAACCCCCCTTTCAGCATCCAGCCTGTCGTCCAATGCCTGGGCAGGTCAATGGGCGATGCGTACATCGAAACCAATAATAACAAGACCAATCCTCCTCCAGGGACTTCCGGAGGAAGTAACGCGCAGGATGGGGACTCGGACTCTGGTTTCGCTGGCCGACAGTTTGAACTACAGATGAATCCTACCACGCTAGGTGGTATGATTATAGGCATCTCTGGCTTCGCTGTCGGATTTCTTGCGATGCTTCGAGTTTAGTCGGACCGATGTTGCGACTCCTTTTACGTCTGAACATAGATCCCTGCGACCCGTCCCCGTTACTCTTACGCAACTTCTATCCTCGTTCTTCGATATACCGGACAGTTCTTTATAATCATGCTGTTGTTTTTGCCCCTCGGCCACTGTACAATATTTTAGGATTGCCTATCCGTTCAGTGATATTCCCTCTCGAAATACATCATATACTCGCATCATGTACACAACCCAGCAGATCTTCAAAACCCATGCATCAATGTGTCCCCTGTTCTTGGCTTCGCTCCTTGCTCCTACCCTCGAGTACCTGCCGCTTCCATTCGGCGGGGTTCAACGCTTCGACTACGTCTTTTGCCGTCTCTTTCCCAGCCTTTGTTACCTGGGCTTGCTTCTTCTTGGCCCTGGCCAAGTGTTCGACTCTGAATGGCACGCCTTAGCTTTATCTAGTGGGCATGTCATTCCTACTTACCCTCGAAGAATAGCTTCTTCTTTGCCAATGTGTACTCTGCTCATATCCACCCCGCGTTCCTTGAGAACATGAATGAACTGACGGAAATGCTACGAAGCCTGAAGTTAACGGGCTTCACTAGGCGATCGCGCGGTCGTCGTTACTTACGTCCACCGATGTTCTGTGATTTCCGTGTTCAACGAGCACAAGGACAGTCTAAAGGCAAAACGCACCTGTAATGTCCGGAAAGAGGTGATAGGTTGTATATTTGGCCATCCTTCACTTTAATGAGCCCTGCGGATGTAGCCAAACCTCCCGCCAGAAACGAAGAATGTTGGAAGTTCCCCGTCTCTGTTGGATGAAATTATCAGCCTCTTGGCCTTTCCAGTGCACCATGGACGAGCACAGTACCTTTAATTCCGACGAATATATTAACTGCAACAGACGTTAACGCGGCCATAGTTTTACATTATTTCTAGTCGACTCACAGTTTCGATCCTGGGATTTGCACCCGTTAAAGGTGAACAACCGGATAATAGGAGGCCACTGATCCGACTTACCGAAACATACATCCAAGTATTCCTCTCCACAGTCTTCCTCAGCAACCGTTCGACAGTCCCCTTCAGTGTGAATCGACTCCATAGACACCATGACCAGGAGTGTTTAGCCTTTGTTTTACCGCTGGTGTAATGCGTATCAGCGGCGTCCCGGTTTCGTTGGTCCGTGTCGTTTTCGTTCGCGAGAGCGAGGCTTCCGGACGCTGGCTCAACGCCGGTTGGGACATCATGATGTTCTGGTATAATTCCAGAGCCATCACCGGCATCCTTCCAGTGTCCAGCCGTGGTGTCGACCAATTGGTTGTTCTTCGCCCAGCGGAGCCGTCCCTCTTTGTCGATGTTGACGAGATAGTTCAAGCCTAGACAGATTTCATTTCCAGTAAGGTTTATATTCCAGGATGAAAATAAACATCACCGTACGCTGTTCCGCAGATAGATATCTGGCATCAAAGAATGAGTATGCCCTCACGACTGGGACCGGAAGACCCACTGTATTCGCTATATATTTTTTGCAAAACAGTTAGCTCACCATACACACAACTTGGACGGGTCGTCACCTCTTCTTCAAGTCGTTCTCTTGGACATTCATCCAGAGAGAGCTCTTTACCTCCACCACGGTCTAGCCTGCAAGGTTACTTGAATTAGTTGAAGAGCCTTCCACCACATGGTTTTTTGCGGGCCTGACCAATGGAAGAAGTTGTCCGTTGTGTCGTCCTCCAACCATTTCTGGTGATAATACTGAATATCTGAAGTCAGTATCGTCAATCAATAGACTCCGGGAACGCACACCTTCACTAGCCGAGAAAGACAGAAGTTTATAGGTAAACAAGAGATGGTTTCACGGGAAGGAATGTAGTGGTTCAAGACCTACGATTCGATCCATATCTGTGTTTCCTAAAGCCACAGGAAGCATGAAGTTTGCTCTATACACCCGCAATGGTAGAACTTACCCATCAACCAACTCTAGCCAATGTTGCTTTTCCAGTTCCTTGCTTTCTAGGTTCTTCGAGTCAACGTGAACGCCTTCGTCTCCGAGGACAGAGTCATGGTCTTGCATCCTTCCAATCAAAAACGTGGCCCTCTTCCACCGACGGCGCGGTGAGTTTCGTCCGTCCAACGCATCCTCCCTTTCAATCTATCGAGCGTATAAATTGGCACTAACGCTCCCAAACGACAATTGGGCACAGACCTTGAACTTGGCATTTGTCACTGCGTCATCCCACCTCGCTCCGGGATTTAGATATTTCTCCTTGGCCTCGTTGTTCCGACTTCTCCACAATCTTTTAATGGACATTGCCGCTGCAGTCCGAGCTTCATCGTTCGTTTCCTTGCTTGAACTGGAAGCGCCCATCGCTCCGTCGAGGTTTGAATGTGGGGAGAGGAAGAGTCAAATTAGTGTGACGTCATAGGTCCTCTCTGCTACGGTACCATGGTTCACTCCTTCCATCAAAACAAACTCAAATGCAATTTTGGCTTTGCGATTAGTACGACAGCATTGCGAGACTGGTAGGTAGAGATCCGATAGTAATGCCAACTGGGAAGGGACGAATTGTAAATGGAAGAAAACTGGAAAGCAGAGTGGTTATAAGGGCTGTTGCGAGTGTCAGGAGCGAGGAAAACTTTTGAAAACAATGGCAAAATGGGAAAAGATATTGTGGGAGAAAAATGATACATGTAAGTGAAGATTGCAGTGAGCGAAAAAGGGTGCGAAAACTAATCGGAGGTAAACGAAGTAAAAGTCCAGCCCGGTGGAAGCTCGAGGTATGGGTGAAGGCGAAGCTCTGCCGCGGGTGGTCGTTCATCGGGATTGCTGCAAGCGCCATCAGTCATGAAGCTAAACAGGGAGAAAAGAGAGCCCTTACATAGCGAAACACTTCCGCCTGAAATCATCTCCCAACTCAGACAACACAACATCGTCAGGAACGGGAGGCGGTAGCTTGGCCTCGTACAGCTGTACAGCAACGTCAGAATCGATTCAATTCGGTCACCTCGATCGCATACCTTGAACATGACCGTTACCATCTCCTGTCCAGTCCAAGGTCTTCGCCCACCCCACATTTCCAGCACTACACAACCGACACTCCAGATATCGATCTTGAAATTGTAGCCCTTCTTCTGCGTATTAATTACCTCTGGAGCCATCCAAAATACGGTTCCCTGCATAGCAGTAAAGGCACCTCCATGCAGATCGTCCGTTCGTTTCGAGATACCGAAATCAGATATTTTGCATATTCCTGTCATTTCCACAAGTATGTTGTCTGCCTTGAGATCCTAGGGGGAGTGTCAAACGCCAATGATCGAGAATACGGATCGAAAACGTACTCGGTGAAGAATCCCTTTAGAATGCAAATACTCGAGCCCGCTCAGAATTTGACCAGTGAAAGACTTCGTAACGTTCTCTGAGAATTTGCCATGTTTATGAAGGCAACTTCCAATAGAGCCACCAGGCACATATTCCAGAAAGCTTGAAAGGAAAAGGCGATGAGCGACGTGACGAAAGAGGTGTTCCAAGGAAATATCTTACATGCTCAAGTTCGCCGGTGTCTCCTCGAAGCCCAAATACTGGACAATATGGGGATGGTCTAAATCTTTCAGCGTCTCACTTTCCAACTTCAACGCCTGCACAACTGTATTCTGACGCGAATCATTTCGATCACTCGGCGTTTGTGGAAGCTCCACTTGCTTGACTGCGATCATCTCTCCCGTGGTCGCGTTGAGGGCAAGATACACCCGACCGTAGGTGCCTTTGCCAATCAACTCTCCTCGTACCCACTTGAATGTGGCTAAAAAGGGAACGGTTAGGCCCATTTGGGGTAAATTCTGCATGAGACTTACGAGGCGAGCCTGCACTGGACGGTGATTCGGGAATCGTAGACGATGTCCTCACTTGCATCGTGGTCACTTCTTCCAACTTGCTACCCCACATCTTCGTATTCCTCTTCCTCAGCATCGCGTTCTGACCATACGGCGCTGGATCCACCCGGGACGTTTGGTCATTCATCTTCCTCTTCTGCTCTTGAGCAACAATGCGAATACTCTTCTTGTGTCGCCTATGAGGATGCTGTGGCATTATTACGGTAGCATTGGCAGACACTGGAGTAGGGATCGCAGTCGTCGGCTCTGGATTCGTGGGCGAATTGCCACCAGAATTTGCTTCGATGACTAGCTTGTCGAGATCATGTTCGGGGAAGAACTCTTCTAGACGGTCGTAAACATCTTCGGGCGGAGGTCGAGGGGCCCAGTCGTCATCGCCGTCAGCAAACCCACTAACGCGATGGTCCCTATGTTGCTGATTGCCCGGAGGGAACCTCTGTGGTGGAGGGAGCTGGTATTGGGACGAGGGTCCGCCGTTCTGGTAGCCTTGCGATTGTGATGCGGAAGGATTTGGCCGTTCCTCTCGAACTTTGTCTGCCGGGTCTGGTGTCGATGGGAGGTCGGTTCGCAGCTTGGTAAGTTCTGGACGGGCTGATGGAGGACGGTCCTGGTAGGGTTTGATCCAGGTACCACCGCTACCTTCATAATCCGATTCGTCTGAGGACGACAAATCGTTAACAGCCATCGAAGTCTCGCTCGCTGACACCGGTAGGCGATCACTAGACATAAGCGCGTTCATGTTATTCAACAACGCTGCCAACTGCGTCTTGTCGTCCTCTCGGATTGTCTTCTCCGAATCGACACTGCTAACATTCGAGATGTACGTAGCGTTACCGCTGTCCGACGCGGGCGATGAAGGTTCAATGACGAGAGGCATCTTTCCAGCAGGACTGGACTTGCAGCTGACTGGACTGATAGGCGTCCGTGGAGGGGTGGAATTGGAAGTTTCAGGTCCGCTTGGAACGTCTGAAGACCTGTCAGAATGTCCGCTATGGTGCAGCAGGGTTCGAGGTCCACCGATTCCATAAGAGCGGCTTGGAGACATCGTACCCCCGTATGACGGAGATTGGTTGCTTCGCTGAGAATATGTGGGTGATGTAGTATGATTGTCAGATGCCGAGAGCGGGCGAGGAGGATGATCACGGCCATACATATCACGGTTAGGTGACGTGAGGTTGGTCGACAAAGGGGTGGGCATATAAGGCGAGGGTTTGCCGTAAGACGGGAACCCAGATCGACTGTTGGCATCCGGAGATTGTGGATAATGTGAGCCTTGCACTGGCAAAGGCCGGATGGCACGAGGGGGTTCGTACGACTTTGGTACCCCAAAAGAACCCGCTGCCAAGTAAACGGGCTCACGGACTACAGGAGGGCGAGAGGGCAATTGAGGGTGTGGAGGCTTGATGGTCGGGGCCTTGCTACTGTTGTAAGAAAACTGCCGCAGGTTGTCCATACTTTTCCCTTTCCCAAGGGATTTCAACGGCACTGTAGACGAAGTTCCCTTAGGGTAAGAATCAGGAGGTTTAGAGTGGACAGCTTTCGGCAAGTATATCGGTTTGCTTGCAGACCGAGATGACGATGACCTGGATTCTGTGCTGGATGAGGGGAGAGACTGAGGTGGCTGCTTAGGTACTCTGGCAAACATTTGGGAGCGGTGACCACGAGATGAAGCCAACGTTTTGGTCGGCCAAATGGGTTCACCAGAACGAAGTGGCTCTGTGACGGGAATGTTTGTGTCTGGTGGGTTGATAAAAGTCCAGTCATTAGGATCCGTCGGCGTAGGCTTGCGATTTCGAGACAGCAAACTGAGATTGTCCCTGGATGGCTCCGCTCTGAGACGGGTTAAGGAAGCATCTCTCCTTCGGCGCTGCTGACTGGCGGCCTCAGCTTGTTCTGAGGCAATGAGCAGCTGTTCGCGCTCGGCCCCAGCGTCTGAGCCAGAACGTATATGTGCCAGGGGTGACAGTGATGAATTGGGTTCATCCAAGAAGTCCCCTCGCCGTGGGGAGCTCAACGGAGGCGGAGGAGGGGGAGCGGGCAATACCTGACCGTATTTATCGATGTAAGTCGATCGAGAAGCTGAAGGAAGATGAGGGCGGTCATGGAAGAATGTAGGCGGTGTCGGAGGTTTGGACACATGGCCTTGGGATATGGGCGAAGGAGGGTGAGGATAATTACTGTGGGATGCTGAAGGTGGCCCCAAAGGTGCTATTGGCAAAGGTCCATTTGGAGGTCGCCGGAGTGGCCCCGGGGAAGGTGGGGAGATGCCGGGGCCCGTGAGATGGGAACGACTTGAATGGTTTTGCTGCCTTGAGCTTTTACGAGAGTCGTCGGGATTGTCGAGGTCCGCATCGTACCCCAGCTCAGCCGGTTGCTCGCTTGAAACCGACGACACGCTCCCTTGTCGAGACCTTGGGCGGCGTCGGGGGCGAAGGGGGAGAATTGCAGGGTGAGTGGGCTGTTCCACGTATGGGAAGGGGAAGGGTGGGGGCATTTGTTGAGGTGGTGGAGGTATTTGCTCCTTCGTTGACCGCGAAACAAAGAATTTGAGGGTGCCTCTCGAATCACCTTGTCGTTGAACCAAATCCAACAACCGCTCGTCATTTAGAGGATCCCCAATCACGGAAGCCCCTATCTCCGTCAAATAGATGGAATAGCGGTTGAGGCCATCGAGAAGGTTTGTCTGGTGCCGCGTAAGGATTGAGGAAGACACTGCTGAGAAAGAATACGGTACCTTTGAAAGGATGGATTCTCTGATAGAGGTGGCATCCTTTGCCCCACTGACATCGACAATATTCAACCTTTCTGGATCGGCTTCGGTGGTCACACAGATTAGGATCTTGTCAGGATTTGGAAGGTTCGAATTCGAGGACACTGCGGAATCCGGGGTCGAAACGGAGGGCGACTATCGTGGCACATGAGCAATGTCAAAAACGTAAGGAATGGTTAAAAGCTCACCGTTCTCGGTCTACGGGCAGCACTGGCTTCGACGGGCGTTCGGGGAGTGCTCCCGTGCCGCCAGTTGCGGAGGTTTGTCAACATGTTTGTAACGGTCCCGCCGCGAGCAGAGGTCTGGTGAACATCGGGATAGTGTCGATCGTTGATGGGAAGGGCTTCGTGAAGTGGGTGGACGGGTTTGGCTGGAATGGTCGGCGGTGAAGCAAGTGGCAGGGAAACGCCTGGGGTTGGGGGCGGTGGGGTGGACTCATCGGCCGCATGTGAACTCAGGCTGGACGGGGACGACAGGGATGGCCTGTGGTTATGATCCTGCACGTAGCTGGAACCCAGATCTGTTCTCAAAGCTGGTGGATGGTGGTCGTAGGGGTCGGTTGGAGGAGGCTTTGAGTGATAAGGAGCCGAATAGTGGTAAGAGTTGAAGATCGGAGGCTTGTCATTGTCGTCGTCGCTGTCGTTTTCAGAGTCGGAGCCCCGGTTTGCGACGAAGTACTTGCGGCCGTGTATCTTGCCATTTCTGACGTCCTCCGACATAGGGACAAGGAGCTGTCAAGACCGCCGTGGGGAATGTGAGGCCGTTGCGGTGGACGTTGTGTCCAGTGGTGGTGATGGTCAAGAAGAAAGAGAGGAAAGCGGATTCGTGTCGTGCCACAGGACGTTGGACAATGAGCTGGACGGGTGTCGACAACGAGGACGGGTTGATTGGAGTTGCCGTCGTCGTTGACGCCAGAAGAAAACAAGCAACTGAGAAGAAAGGTGAAGGGGTGTCCTGCTTACTTAACCCTCACTCAAAGTCAGGAACACTCCAATGGAAAAACAACCCACACGTTGCTGTCTGCTAACGTTAAACGGGTCCATTTGTCTGCCGACGACAACACAATTATACAATGTACATATTTTACATACAGTTGGGTATTATGATTTAAAGTCGAGGTTGAACTTGCATCTCTACCTTGGGAAACTCTGCCTTCTCCTCCAACAAAGTCTCGCCCCAGCAGAGCAGCTTAAGCAGTCCCACCAATTTCACTTCTTTCCCTTGGCTCAGGCTCTCCAGAATCGCCGCGTTCACCTCTCCGGCAGTCTTCATTCTTTGTGCAGGTGATAGCAGCTCGGCAATCGCGGGCGGCGCATTCGGCGCAGTCTCAAAGGCCAGAAGCGACATCGTGCGCTCTAGTTCGGACAGAAACTCTGGGGACTCTTCACCTCGTGGTGCAAGCTCTTCTTGCGCAAAATGCAACGCTTCATCAATCCTTCCGGCGCGTATGTATTCGATAAGCTTCTGCTGCTGCAATCGAAAGTATAGCGCAGGATTGGTGTCCAGGATCTAAACAGAAAGTGGGGCATCAGCGGACTATTCGTCGATAGAAAAAGATAACAGTGTTGAAGATCATATTGAAGACTGAAGTTTTGGTGTTAAGTATCATCACCGACCTTGCGGCCTGAGAATGGTGCATGAAAGGTATAATCCTTTCGCCAACAAAAAGGCGACGGAGAAAAGGGCAGGCAGCTTACCTCGGGGTTAAGGTCGTTAACTCGGGTTATAGCGTCCTCGACATCCCCTCGTTGTAGGGCTTCGCGAATGACCATTCGACTCTCGATGCTCTCGAAGTCGATGGTTGGTGCAAGATTGGCTTCCTGACTGAACTCCTCTGCAGCAGCCTTGTACCCCTCGATCACAAGGTAATCCATAATGAGTTGGTTGAGCTCCCTAGGGTAAACAAGACATCTGGTTAGCACCGGAAATTTTTCTCCCAAAGCAAAAAAGAGAAAATTATCAGATAATACATGCAATTTTTTGGCTCTACAGTGCCGAAGCTCAGAGAGATTCCCATTTGTTTTTTCATCGTGTCAAAGACAAGTGAGAAGTGGGGTATACTCACTCTTTCGATATGTCGACTTCATGAAGGCGCCTATCCCAATCTTCCTTTTTGATAACAGGTTTCGGGGGCTAGGTCAGCGTTGGGATGAGCGACCATTGCTTCACAGCAGAAGAAAGGATGTACTAACCATAGGGAACGGAATTGAGGTGAAACCAACTTTATATAGCGCGGAAAAATGTCGCTTTAGGGCAGGTCGATTTGTTATTCCCACGCTTACTCGACGACGTGGGCGCATGCGACTCGGACTAAACCGCTCTAGATTCGGGAATGCACTTTGCAGGGGAGTGGCCTTATAGGTGGTAGGATTATACGAAAAAGGAGCTATACTAACTATTTAGGTGGAAAGCGAAGCGAACAAATCGAAAGGGCTGACGCCTCCTGGATACTCCGATAAGCACGCCCCGCCACGGACACATGTTTAGGTGACCCTATGTTCCTAGCCCCCAATCACCAAATCATGCACAAAAGGGATCCCCCTTTCCTCCTCGTATTGTTGTTGCCAAGAGTTAACACGCGACATAAGTTCAGACCAATTCTCCTCGGTTTCAACCCCTTCCAGCCATTTTCCCACTTCTCCCAATGTTTCGATCCTCTTCCATCCGCGCTTGAGGTACGCGTAACTAAAGATATCCCTTCTCCATCGCTCCACATAGGGTTTCCCGTCATCGGGCATGGCTCCCTGAAAAGTGTATGTTAATGGGCACAAGAAAATTTAACGGAGAGGAATCCTGTCCAAGAAGGGACCGTATACAACGTGGACTTCCAAATGGAAGACGAGGTGAAAACCGTTGCGGCTTGAAGGGCCGAGATTTCATGTATAAGTACTTGTCAAGGGACAGAAAGCGTGTATACGCGTGAAGAAACGCGTGAAGGTCGTGAAGGTCCAGGGACACGAGATGAGCACCTGAAAACGCACCTTTTCCTTCAAGAATTTCACCAGGGAATCTTGATAATCACTTGGACTCTCGTCGAGCATTGCGTGACCAAATGTGTAGGGGTCATAACCATGGCGTCGCTGCTGTTCTTCACGTTGTGTCAAATCTTTGAGGAGTTCCTTCCTGTCGGGAAGAATCGATGGGTTGACGATCGCGTGGGCTACGAATAAGCTTTGAGCGATGTCGGACGGGCAATTGGCGATCCTAGTAGGCAATCCAATGAATGCAAGGGCATTGGTCGGATGCTCGGGGCTGAGTGAGAGGATGTGCCGATGAAGGGGGAAGATGTATCGTAGATTCGTGGTCAAGGTTCCGGACGAACTGGAGTTCGAAGTGGTCTGGGGGTCCACAGTGATGACCCCACCGGCTTCCAGGAACGGTTTCCTTTGGACATAGCCGGTAGCGAGCAAAACGGAATCGATGTCGGAGAGCTCAGTCCCATCCACGAACACGACACTATTAGGTGTAAAATGCGATACATCCGGGACGACGACGACCTCATCACTTCCAGGAGGAAGGATCACTTCGTGCCGGGCAGATAGATAAGTCTGATTAAAGGCGTTAGAGAAGAAGACCCCAGGTGCTGCAATACTCACCCTCTGCGTGTAGTTAACGGTTTGGACAGCGGCGTCTTGGGCGCTTGCAGCACTGCCAATGATGAGCAGAACCCGACCCGTATACTTTACAGGACTTCGGTAGTAGACAGAATGCGTGATTTCTCTGCGATCCCCGCGTGCAGAAATGCCTTTTAGCCACTCTTTCTGTCCTGGCCAGCTGAGCGTTCGAGGAATATGGTGGTTTCCAGAGGCGACAATGAGGTGGTTGGCTGTCGAAATATGCGTTCTGTTTGCGCGGTCGGACACTGTAATGTTCCAGAGTCCGTCTTGACCATCCCCGACCCATTCTGCACGAATCACAGTATGATGGAACTTGATATGCGGTAGAAGATTGTGGTGAGAAGCATAACGGGAGTGATACGCTCGGATATGTTCATGACTTGGGTAAAGAGGCGTCCCGGGAGGGAATGGGAAGCTCGGGTACGTCATAGAGGGGACGGGTGTATTTGTGTGCAACAGTGGATATAATGGACTAAACGGTATCTTGGGGGGTTGCACGGGGTGCGGGTCGGGGAGCCTGAGGGGCGCTTCAGCTAAATCACAAAGCGGCTGAACGAGGACGTACCAAACGCCTGCAACGTCTTCTCGCTGCTCGTAGAGAACTATATCCCATGATTCGCGTATTTCAGGAGGCAAATCCAGAAGGGTCTTTAGGGACGCAAGTCCTGCACTACCTGCTCCTATTATGGCGATGGACTTGGAAGCGTCATGCTGTGACTGTAGACCTGGGGACCACTGTGCAGAAGTGAACCCGAGCACAAAACGAACAACTTGGAGGATAGAGACCATGTCAGAGGTGTGAGAGAAGAGGTACTTGGTTGCAGCCGCTCTAGATGTAAACCGGCAGTGGTAGGTTCGCTAAGACATCTGAAGGCATGCCATTGCTGCTCGAGATTGCGTCATTAAACAGGCATACCAAATACATCGTTAGAAGGAGGTAAAGGCTGTGTGTAATGCACAGGAGGTAGTTATCGAGCACCAGGATGACAAAACGGGCGGGTGCACGTCCATACATTTACGCCTTGGAGACTATACCACCTGATTTAATCATATTGAAGAACTCGTCCTTATCTACAGTTGCTGTAGGTTGTTATTAGAATCTGTTTGGACGGGGTATTGTGGTTACTCACTCTCCTTCCCTCTCCCAATCACATTGTCCTTCTTCTTGCCCTTCTTCTTCCCTTTCTCCTCAAACTGGGGTGCAGGCAGCCTTGGTTTGCCGGTACCCTTTGAAGCCTTGGCCTCCTCTGCTACTGCTGCAACAGTAGCCTGCGATTGTTGAATCGCATTGAACAATTTCACGACTGAAACAGTACAATTAATGCTTGGCGAGACATGACATGGACGGTGGCATACCTCCACGCTGGGCCACTTTGCGGAGCGCACGCTCGCTCTCTCCGCCCCACCCGCCAATGACATCCTTTATCCTCCGGTTGTCTTCCTTTTCCTTCCTCTCTATTTGGAGGGCCCTTTTCGCTTTCAATTCGAGTTTTGAGTCTTGCTGTTTCCTTGCTATTGAAGGTTTTAGCGATAGAGGAAGTGATGAAGGTGCTTCTGTCTGGAGTAGATTCTGCAGCGTCGTCCCGAACGTCGACGGGGCGGTAGCGCGAATTTTTCGTTTCATCGTTTTCTTGGATTTTTGTCTTTTGAGATCTTCAATCTCCTCCGCTGTATCCATCCCACTGTCATCGCTATTCTCGTCCCCAGAATGCTCTTCCGCAGAACTCGCAACTGAAGCACCTGACAAGGAGGCTTCGTCGGCCGAACTGTGGTCAGTGGCAGATTCCTCGTCGTCTGAAAGTTTTCTGCGTTTCGCAGGAGGCATGTTGTTGGTCGAAGTGTTGGAGGGATGAGTCAAGCTTGAGAGAGCCAAATTTGTGTGTGAAGGCAATCACTTCAGCCAATTGATCGCGGCGTTCATAAACCACCATCGTCGCAACCACAATCTGCTGTCTGCTGGACCGGACTGGTTCCCCATCTTGTTTCTATTCAAGCGCCTCAGAATCTACATGGCTAAAGTCTAGATCTAATTTCCTTGATTTCCCTTCTCCAAAGGTTCATCAGATCGTGGCGGTTTCAGTTGCACCGACTTTGGAGGACGTTTCAGTCGACGACCAACCTACCCCGGACAGGGCCATGGCTACCCAACAGCCCCTAAACTTGGAGCCAGAACCAGACCTACACCCCATATACCCAACTAGCGCTCAGATACAGCAGCAACTTTCTTCTGATTCCGGACTCGACTCTACGCAGAAGGCGTCGCTTGTAGTTCACTGTCTGAAGCGAGCCTGCCTGTTTGCCGATCTTTCCCTCCTACAATTCCTACTCACCGATCCCGTGGCGCAAGTCTATATTGACTTGGGAATCAAAGACGAAGACGGTGTTGGGCTTGTCAGTTTAACGATCCATGGATTTGGCGGTGATTTAGATCGCGACGTCGAGCGGGAGGAGTGTGTCAGGTACCTCGTGTCGCAAGGCGCAGATCTTGGTGCAGATAAAGGTGAATATCCTTGACATCGGCCCACGGCTACAGCAACTGAAGTTCAATATTGTTAGCTGGTTGGACACCTCTGCACCACGCCGCAATAATCGCACCACCGACGCTGGTGTCCTACTTGATGACCCACGGCTGCTCTCCTTTCGAGGCGACAAAGAAGAACTTGACGGCTTTGGATATAGTGACTGCCCACTCGGTTATCCCTGACAGAGAAGATGTGGCGTTGTTGCTGGAAGAAGCTATGAGAGGCGAAGGTTGGACCGGAGGTCGGGTAGAGCAACGACGGAGATTACACGAGAAACGGGAGAAGCGGCGAGGAAAGAGAAGGGCTGTTCGAGACGAGGTCAGTAGTGTCCTTGGTGTCCAGCCGAGATGGTGGGAGCCAGAGGATGTGGACTCAGACTCAGACTCGGATGAAGAAGAGGAATTCAGTGAGGAGCCCACTTATGTCAGTACATTCGTTTCTCGGTCAGTTACCGGTCTGATTTCTCGAAAGACGCCCCCTCCAGACTTCGCGTCCATGCTTGTCTTCTCGCCTACGACATTACCCCAAATCTTCGATTCCGTGATTACAAACTATCCAATATCCTTGAAGGATCCCACACCTGCCCAAACACTGTACCTTCTGGCCAGGTTTGCGTGTCTAACATGCGACCACATTTGGCTCGAGGACTTGATTATGGGCGCTGCAGACGCCATTGAAGACGCGTTTTTCGTGCGTTGTGTCTCTTCTACAGTCACCTCTCGACGTTGACAAGGCTTCAGAACAATGCAGATGACCTACCCACGTTGGTTTTTTGGTTATACAACACTTCTCTTTGGCAACATTTCATGCAGTGTGACAAATCTATCCGTCCTGCTTGTGAAATGCTCGGATCCTTCGAGTTAGTGGAAGAGGTCATTAACTCGGTATTCGGTGAGTATACGCAGTGTGTTGAGACTCCAGCTGTACTCACGGTCCGCCCAGTGTTCATAATCCGGTTTGCCGAGAGAAGAATAGACCAGCTTCTCGATGTTACCATCCTGGATTATGCACCATCTGGTTCCGAGTCCGAAACAGTGCAATTCGAGTCTGAGTGGTCGTTTCTCCGGCCATTCACCAAGAAGAAGGGACCTCCGCCCCCAGTATCAGTAGATTCCCCCCGAACTCAAAAGAATGTCACTACTTCGCCTACGACATCTCTAAGGACGCTACCCCGCAGCTATGGCAACTCGCCATCAACTCGAAGATTCTCTTCATTGCGGCAGACCATTGCTCGGGCAAATGCAGGAGCGTCCGGCATCCCACTATCTGCATTATTTGCAGAAAATCCGACCGTTCCATCTCCTCATGATCTCACCGCATTCCTCACCGCCTTGCATACTCTGTTGGCCTTCGCTGACATCAACCCTATATTCACCACTCAGCTTTGGTCGCAAGTTTTTTATTGGACTAGCTGTAAGCATTTTTCCTCGAGATCATCTTTGAGTCCTTCGAGCTCACCGTCGTTTTTTTAGGCGAAATCTTCAACCGGGTTATCACGAGAAAAAAATATCTCTGCCGGTAGGGTCTCTGCCCTTTTCTCCGTCGCTTCGTGGACTGATTGCCTCAAGCTCCCGAGCCGTTCAAATTGCTGATAATCTAAATGTGCTCGAGGAGTGGGTGGATGAGATAGGCCTCCCTTCAGGAGTTCTGGCGCACTTTGCTCCCGTCAAGGATCTGCTAAGTTGGTTGCAAGTAAGCAAACTATGACTTGGTTTGAGGGGACACTAATGAAGCTGTATTCAGTGCTTGTCCTCGGTGTCCGACTTCCCCGATCTAGTTGCAGTTATTCAATCCCTCAAACACTTAAACCCTCTACAGGTACCCTCGGCCACTTCCACATCCACTATGTTTACTAACCAGCGGAAAGATGCGGCGGGCTGTCAGAGATTACAAGTACGAGGTCAACGAGGGTAAAATGACCGATGAGTGTATCCAGTATATCATACAGCTGCAGAAAGACTGGGAACGACATCGTGTGAAGCTGGGAGTGGAGATTCTCCGGAAAGAGGTGGGTTTTCTTCTGCATTAATCTGAAGATTCATAATTGACCCCTTCCTAAGATCTCAGAGCGGGAGCGAGAACGGGAAGACAATGCATCCACCCACCGCGCTGAATCTGTGAATGGGGACGACGACTCCTTCGCGGAGTCCAACACATCAATAGACGCCAGTCAACGAAACGGCATAGACGGATTGCTGGACCGAAATCAAGACAAATCCTGGTGGCAGCCAATCCGTGCGCCACAAGCACTCGGAGAGTTGCTCGACTCACGTTACATGCTCCCGTTGTTGTTTCCCGACGACCCTCGACTGTTAGCGGCTCTTCCAAGCCGCGCTTTTCTTGAAGAGACTGCAATCAACAGCCAACCAGCTAGCGCCACCTTGTCTCCAAGGTCAACAAAGAGTAGCATTGATTTCGGACGTCCGGGACCTCTGCTATGGAGGGCACGAGATCGCAAACTCCGCGAGAACGGGATACGGATATTGCGACTTGTGGACGGAGCGCATTCAGTCTCTCAGTGGTGGAAGAACTTCGATTCACCGTTCGATCACGATGACCACGACCATGACCACGACCACGACCATGACCACGACCACGACCCCGACCACGAAATCCACCCGCATTCTGGACAATCCGAAGACGGCGAAGATGCTGTATTGAAACTTGACACGGAGCCGACCCCGTTCACTCGCAAACCGTCCGGTCGAAGTAAAGGACGACATAGTTTTGGAGACGTGACTCCCATTGATGGTCCAGTCAAGGGTCGATCCCTTCTGGGAGACATTACGCCTGTCGACGGCACCTTCAATTTTCATTCTTCTCCGCAACATTAATCGAACGCAAACTATGGACATTGGGCCCCCGCATAGTTTTCTTATTACTACGGTACCACTAGAATCTCGATGAAGGATCAATCTAAGTATTTATCTGATGCCCTCTCTGGAATCATGGATAAAAAATATTTACCTTGTTTCTGGCTCCTGTAGGAGTTGTGCTGCGTGCGGCCATTTGTATCCGATGGGATCAAATCAGTGACGCAGGCGGCTGTGCGGAGCGTGCGCGGGTGGCGCACTTAAGTCTGCTTGAGCAATTACACTTTCAACCACCACCACGCAGGCGTTGAATAACCCGCAACATATCGCATCGGACTGGTATCCAGTGCTTATATCTCAATCACACCTACCGGATATCAAGGACACCTACTGCAAACCCTCAAGAACATGGCATCTCAGCCTCCGACATATAATCTTAATGACTACGATGCAACCAACGACACACGACTTGGACAGGGAGATGGCAAGGATCCCAATATCCTCGACCACGGCAGCGACTCGAGAAACCAATTAGATGTCAATCATGTTGGTTCAAGCTCGAATGGCGGACTAAGGCACCAATCTTCGCCCTCAACGAGCGACATCACAACCATGAAGTTCCCTGAACCTATGGACGAGCCTTTCAAACCACCTAAGGATTCAGGGTACATGGGCTATTCCCCACCACCGAACGCCGACGATATTGAGCGGAATCCCTACAAAGAATACCACCCTCAGGAGCACACCTCCGCTAACTTGGATGAGGCGGCTCGCACACCATTGGTAGGAAATCCATATAAATCCGGTGGTTACCATAACCTAGGTACGCTATCGATCGGTTTCTTCGAACTCACTACTTGACTTCCTCGCAGAGTACGACGATTCGAACACTCGCAGTAAGCCGAGTGGTCCGTTGGCCAAGTTCTTCGGGAATACGAGATACCCAATTGAACAGAGGATCGAAAACAAGAAAAGAGGAATCGGTGTGCAACGGACCCCATTCGCCGGTTCGTATATTTTCTTGATATTTTCTCCTTATCTTGGGAATGTGGCTCATTAGTTGCGAGATAGTTTATACTCTATCCGCCGTGATGATTGGAGTATTCATCTATGAGTTGGTTCTGAACGCCAGGCAACAAGGGAGCCCGATCTCCCTCAAGGTAGGCCCAGGCTGGTTATTGCTCGCCCCTTCTGTCAGCTCATGTAACTCTGCGACTAGCCCACCATCAACCCAATGCTGGGCCCATCTGGAAGTGCTTTGATTCACTTGGGCGCTAGGTTCCCCCCATGCATGAAAGACGTCCTCGAGGTCCCTACCTCGACCCCCATAGCCTGTGAGTACCTGTATATATAGGTAGGGGCGATGATATGCTCACAAACTACACCTTGAATTAGGCATGGACAATGTAGACAATCCAATCACAAAGTTGTGCACCGTGGCTGATCTTTGCTCATTCGGTTTGTCCATGCTACCTTAGTTTCGAGCCGTTGCATCCTTACACCCTTTTCAGGATATAAAGCTGGTCAGGAGCCCAACCAGTGGTTCAGATTCATCACAGCCATATTCCTACATGCAGGAATTATCCACCTCTTATTGAACATGTTGGCCCAGTTTACGCTCTCTGCACAGGTGCGTGAAGGTTGCGACAGCCCGACTAACACTCTGACATCCGTCGCAGATTGAGAGAGATATGGGATCAACTGGTTTCCTCATCGTGTACTTTGCTGCAGGTATCTTTGGGTACGTAACAAAATGCTATCACACAGAATCTATCTCATTGGCTCTCCAGAAATGTTCTTGGAGGGAATTTTTCCTTGGTCGGAATCCCTTCGGTCGGCGCCAGTGGTGCGATTTTTGGAACGCTGGCGGTAAGCATGGCGCACTTCCGTTGACCACTGTGTCTGACACGCAAACAGGTCACCTGGGTTGATCTCCTCGCTCACTGGAAATATCAATATCGCCCTGTCAGAAAAGTGGGTGTGCGTTGCAATTGTCCGTAACCTTGTCTGATCTCGCTCTGCTTCAGCTCGTCTTCATGACAATTGAACTGGCCATCGGTGTAGCTATCGGCTTCATCCCTTGTATGTACATCCTCGTCCCTCGTTCTTCATGCTATAACTAATGTGAACCTTGGGGATAGATGTCGACAACTTCGGTTAGTTCTGCACTGTCCCGTTGTTGCAGAAACTAATCCCATCCCTAGCTCACCTTGGAGGCTTTTTGATGGGGCTGCTTGTAGGAACCATATTCTATCCCGTCATTAGCGCCTCGAAACGCCACAAAACCATCATGTGGGGCTTCCGTCTTGCAGCCATTCCCCTGGTCATTCTCTTGTTTGTTTTGCTCATCCGGAATTTCTATACCTCTGATCCCTACGCCGGTAAGTCGTACCCCTGTCGACGAATTGGTTGCACTTACGCCTCGTTCAAGCCTGTTCTGGGTGCCGGTACCTGTCTTGCATTCCAATGGCTGCCAATAATTATTGCAAAGGGTGCGTTCAAGTTTGATGTTTTATCCAACCAATGCTGACTACGATTGCTCCTCTTAACAGAACTGGTATGACATTATATTAACCCGCGCTTCGACTCTCGAGCTAAAAGCCATTGCAGGACTTACCACCGCACCCGCTTCTTGAAGACAATCACTAATACAATTCTAATTATCAAGTCATTTTTGCACGGACTCAAGAGACCCATGTTAGCATACAGTACCTACTACATATATTGGACCTTTCTTCCGGCTCTATGTCTATATAATACCCCTCGTTCATTGGTTCACGCTCCGGGTCTGGATTCTGGCAATGCACGCTTGGAGATGACGTTAATGATCGTCCGACTTGAATTGCCTGTAAGATGCGGCAAGTGTGGGTTTACCAAAATGAGATATCGTTGATCGAATGCATCCTGTCAACTGGCAGTCCCTCGCAGAGCACTGCCAACGGTTCCGTCCTTCTCCCCTTCCAACACCATCACAGACTTTCAAATTGCTTCTTCCCTTGTAGCCGCGTGCTGTAGGGCACGTAGAGCCAACACGCCCTCGTTCAATACATTAAAGAACACTGACGATGTCCCGCAAATTCAGCATTCATCCTGCGTGGCCTCATTTCCTAGGCCTGTTTTCGATTCTAACCGCGTTCCTGGCTGGAATATTTAGATATGCTCTACTCGGTGCGCCGATAAATCCATCCCTCGGTGCTTTCGACGACTGACCGCTGTGCTTTTTATCCCTTGACCAGACCTTGCCGATCCCCTTCATTGCGATGCACTCCTGAACACTGGAACGTGGCTAGACTCTTCCCATCGCAACTGGCAGCCCGATGGTAGGCGCAGACTCTATACCAAACCACACGGGAAGACTAACTCTCGCTCAGGATGTATGCTACACTCATACGGGCCAAAGGACGGAGCGACATGCTTAGCATCGCGGGACGTGGCCTTCGTTGGGGATTCTGTAACTCGGAAACTATTCTTCCAATTTGCCCGCATTCTGGATTCAACACTGCCATCGGAAACGGATAAAGAGGACAAGAAACATCAAGACCACGAACTCCAAACGACCAACGGCACGAAACTAAATTTCTATTGGGACCCTTTTCTCAACGGAACATACATCACCACGGCTCTGGAAGCACACCTGAGAAATGGCAAAGCGCGCCCTCCTGCCCTACTGGTCTTGGGATCTGGTTTATGGTACTTGCGTTACGCAGCCACCTCTGGTGGAATCCCTGCATGGGAGGCCAACATCGAACAAGTATTCCTCAAGCTATCGAAATCCAAGACCATTGCCGATTCGGTTGTCATCCTCCCCGTGGAAGAGCTCGTTCCTTCCAAACTATCGGAAGAAAGAGCAAAAACGATGCACCCCTCTGACATAGACGCCATGAACTCCGACCTCTACCACCGTGTCGCCCGACTTTCCCCCATTTTCACCCAGCACGACTCATTCCAAGTCCATCTACCTCTGGTCTTCAACGACATGCTTGATCCGTCGGCTACCGAAGATGGAATACACTACTCAGACCCACTCGTGAAGAAACAGGCAGAAATTCTACTTAACCTTCGCTGTAACGATGTTCTTCCAAAGAAATTTCCCTTCAACAAAACATGCTGCAATAGTTACCCTTGGCCCAACTACGTCCATTCGTTCCTTCTCTTCGCCATCATTGTCTCGGCACCCTTAATTTGCTATCTCACCGCATCCCCCGGTAAGCTCAGTCGATTAGCCTTCTTAGTCCATCGACTAACCGCCATCGTAGGAACCCGAAGCGTAATGCTCAACGCTACCAACCCTTCTAACCTGCCATTGCTTGTGTTGAGTGGCGGTCTTATTGCGATCTACCTGTCAGATCGTTCGTGGTTATGGTTGAAGGAACACAAGCAATTCGATGCCATAAACTTCACCTTCCTGTGCCTTCTGGCTGTCGGCATTGGCCTGGCCTCTCTTAAACGCGCGGACAACGATCTAGGATTCTTGAATAGGGATCAGACCGATGAGTGGAAGGGCTGGATGCAACGTGAGTCCTTGAAGCATTTTGCTCTTGCCCTACTCACCTCAGTACCACAGTGGCAATCTTGATTTATCACTATCTAGGTGCTTCAAAGGTGTCTGGAATCTACAATCCCATACGAGTCCTTGTGGCTTCATATTTGTTCATGACTGGTTATGGACATACCACATTTTACCTACGCAAAGCAGACTTTGGATTTAAGCGTCTAGCCCAGGTGAGAACAGCCTCCATGTTTCCGCTTTTCACTCGTAGCGCTGACGAACGCCTTGCTCCAGGTCCTGATTCGGCTCAACCTACTCACCGTTCTCCTTGCCTATGTCATGGACACTGACTACATCTCCTATTACTTCTCTCCACTCGTTTCGATGTGGTACCTCGTCATCTATGGGACCATGGCCATCGGCTCTCAACTAAACTCGCGCACGCCAATCTTACTCCTGAAGATCTTGGTCTCGGCAACCCTGATGACATCCTTCATGTGGAAGTCGCAACCTTTGGAAGCTGTCTTCTCCTTTTTGGAGCTGATTTTTGGCATTAGGTGGTCTGCTCGAGAATGGTCATTCCGAGTGAATCTTGATCTTTGGATCGTGTATGTGGGGATGCTCACATCGATCTTCGTTGTCAAAGCTCGCGAAAACCGGTTGACCGATCACCGTTTATGGCCCTTGACCACCAAGATTGCCATCGGCGGTTCCATCCTCGTGTTGGTCTGGTTCTTCGCCTTCGAGCTCTGTCAAGATTCAAAATTCACCTACAATCGCTGGCACCCGTACATCTCACTCCTTCCCGTTCTGGCGTTCGTGATTTTGAGGAACGCAAGCGTCATCTTGCGGTCCGCTTCCTCACGCGCATTCGCCTTTGTGGGGAGGTGCTCCCTCGAAACCTTCATCATTCAATACCACTTTTGGTTGGCGGGGGACACTAAAGGTGTTCTCCTTGTCATTCCAGGGACACGCTGGCGGCCTGCCAACTTTGTCCTTACCTCCATCATGTTCCTTTACCTGTCGGATCGGATGGCATGGGCGACAAACCAGGTTACAGCGTGGATCTGCAGCGATGGTGCACCAGCACCTCCGACATCTCTCCCCAATCCCGTTTCGACAACGATTCAACCTCGTGGAACCAGTACTGCGAACCAAATCGACAGAGAACCTGACAGCGAGCACGTTCAGGAAGTCGAACTGCCATTGCTTCAATCGAAGGAGGGTGAAGATCGGATAGTCGAACCAGATACACCAATTCGGCCTTCACGTCGCTGGATAGACCGACTGGCAGAACAGCCTTCGAATCGCGAGTCATCTTCAGGGTTCCTTACCGGCAATTGTCGGGCTCTGGGGCTGAAAGGAAGGGTATTGGGTGCTTTGCTTGTGATGTGGACATTAAATATATTATGGTCATATGTATAGATGGTAGACAGCGTGCTCGGTATTGTTATGTGTAATACTAGATGTTGACAACGCAGACGTTTCTTGATACCTGAAGAAAATTCAGTCAGCAAAGAGTCGTTTAAAAAGATTTAGGAAAAAAAGCGCATCAGTATTAGCATGGGTTAATCCTCATCGCCCGTCCTTGAGACGGGGTCAGGGCTTGACTTCTAGATATTTATAATCCCGTGCAACGATCATGGAGGATGCTCACATTTATGAAACGAGATGAAGAAGAAACATGCGCTCTAAAAAAAAACACCGTCAGACGAGTCTGCCAACATTAGGTTGAACAGAAGATGGCTCGGAAATTTGGGTATATGAAGAAAGTTCATTAGCCCTTAAGCTTCGAAGTAGCGATTCATTTTCTCTCTTCATCGCAGCCCGACAATAGAGCGAGACATACCTCAAGGAACCAGAGAACACGGTGGAAGAAGAAAGAGATGAGTTTCGAAAATTTCGAACCCCGCGGAACCTAAAAGGCAAACTATCACGTGACCAATTGTTCGCGCGTGCCAATAACAAGTGTCAAGCGGCAAGATGAGCCTGGGAGTCAGTGGAACCTGCCGCCCTCCTTGACCTTCTCCTTAACCACTGCCATCGTCGACGGGCAGAACGGCCACCGACATCATGCAACACATCGAATTCCAACCTCGACCTGTCTCCCATGCTCCTTCGCCTTTTGGTTTTGGTTTTGGACTCGGTGCAGGGCCATCGACATTGCCCACGGTTGGAGGGTGGCAACCTTCGACTCCAGGCCACACCAACGTTGCTGCCTTTCAGAACCTAGCCTCATCTATTAACCAAACACTTAGACCCATGAAACGCGGAAGGGAAGCTGACGACGAGATCGAGTCCAATTCTGGTTCACGAGATGCATCCATGGACCGAAGCCCAACACCTGAACGACCCAAACGAGCACCACCTAAGCGTGCTCGATTTGTGGCCCTAACCAACGCTGCTGGTCAGAACCCTTCAACACATTCGGAGAAAAAGGACTCTAGAAGTTCCCAAGAGGATGTAGATGTCGGCGTGCTTCTCGGTGAGTTCTGTGTCTTTACTTGAAAAAAGAGTCGGAAATACTTATGTTTCTTCTCAGCGAGTTTACCCACCCAGTCTCTGCTACCGTTGCTCACATCGCTCGTCAAGGCCCAACCAGAACTTAAATCGACCATCCTCTCCCTCATCCCAAAACCGACACTTGAAACTGCGCTGCAAGCCCTGGATCAGTCAGCAAGGAAGCTGCGGGAGGCGTACCCATACTCCAATGGCCCATCATCCTCGTCGAGTTTAACGTTTGGCTTCGGAACACACGCCTCGCCATCCCAGATGAACCATGCACAAACTGGCATGAGGGACTCGTATATCATTTCCCGGTTGCGCCCTCACATCACCGACTTTGTGTCCTGCTGCATGTCCTACTTGCCATACTTCTCCTCCGCGTCAGCTCCAACCCAAACACCATCAAGCTCCCAGCTGACGCATGCCATTCAAACCATGCACAAGGACAAATTCCACCCCTCCGAAAGCTTCGTGTTCCTCCAAACCGTCACCAACCTTATTTTATCACAACCTCCGCTTACTGTATCATCCATGGGCCCGCTCCTCGTACCACGACTGATGGAAGAGTGGCAGAATTGGGTTAACAAGATCGACGAGGTCGTCAACAGACAGGCGGGCATGTTTGGTATCGAAGCTGTGCGCAGCTGGGAGAAAGGCTTGGACGATCTTGCAGGTGCCAAAGCTGCCGAAATTTCGACGCCAATGAAGCAAATCAGAGACACATGGGTGGCAAAGGTCGGGTGGCTTGTTGGTCGGAGCCTTCGAAGCTCTATGGATGGACTGTAATGATTTACGAACGTCTCCGGCATGTCTGTCATTCTCATCTCTCTTTGCATCGCCATTCATTTCCAATCGTCATTGGTTCATAATGTCCTCCTAGGTTAATTATTCCTTTTTCCTCTGGTCGATACTGTTCTTCCTTTACATTCTATTTTCGTGCACATCCTTTAACATACCATTCATTTTATCCTTGACCGATGTTGACATGTACACCTTCAATTGCAACTGTTGTAAACGGATACTCGGACCAGCGTGTACTCAAGGCTTTTGAGTTGGGTTTTCAAGCTTCAGATCGATGGCCATAACCTTCAGTTATTCGATATTCGTTCAATTTATGAAGAATGAATGTGTCAATGGATGTGACATTGTATCTGCTATCCGACCCATATTTAAAGTTGATACCTCAACTTGACATGCCTTCGGTGAGTGCGGCACGCCACCCAATAACCGTCACCTTGTTGGACGTCGAAGATTTCTCGAATGAAGTTAACACCGCGGTGAATGGTCGAAGGAAATGTTACATGCACTTATGTAGCTGAAATTGAATTGCATCTTTGCTTATACCAGACGTTTATCGGACACGTCCTCCAACGTCGATCGCGTCCCTGTTGTCATTACATGTCGGTCCAAAGGCTTGCATTCTGCACATCCACCATTGCGGGCGGTGCATGCCGAATTTAGGCCGACTCGGATCGGGGGCACATAGAGCACGTGATTGGGAAAAATCTGAGCACGGAGGAGGGTTGGTCTGACGCGAGAGTAACACGACGAGTGCCAACATTGACGCTCTCCCGTTTCATAGGGAGCAGATTCCCATGCATGCAGCATCGAGCTGTGGCCCTTGTAGCGTCCAGGGCCTCGTCACAACATACACAGCTGCCCTCCTTTTCCACAGCGTTGCAACTGGCAGCAGCGAGAGCATGGCTTCGTCACAGTTCGACCGGGTCACCTACCAGTTACACTATTCGGCCCAGGCCTCATGGAATGGCTCATAGCCATGGATCGACAGTAGAGACCAAGCCAGAGTCGTCGAGTATTGTCAGGTGAGATAGCTTGTCATGGGTTCGGGTATGAGTCGTTCAGTTCTGACTTGTTCCAACAGACGGGATGGTTCTGACGTACATTCTGCTTCTCGTCGAATAGAGACCCCCAAATCCCAACCACAACCTTCCAAATCAGGGGACAATTCGTCTATTTCTATCAAGCCAATGAGGCAGCTGGACTCTGTCAAGCCTACAGCCGACAGGCTGGCTGGGACAAACTCTGGCACCGTTGGTGTGACCCAACATGGCTTGGAGACTTCCAGAGCTATCACTCTTCCCGATTCCGTACCAGACATCTCGGACCGAATACCAACACCACAACCACCACCTCACTCTATACCACAACCGCATAATCACGACGCGTTCCATCAAATGCTCCTTCGACTAATTTATTTCACCCGTCCTCCCCTCGATCTTGCAGTAATTCTCGATTATTTCACCTGCTACCCCCGCTTGCACACCACTCAAACCTATAACGTTATCATGGCCTACACCCTCAGACACGGCGCCTACGGCTCATTCCTCTCTTTGGCAAAGGCATTGCACGCGTCGCGCCTCCCTCGAAACATGGAAACGACCAAATTGGAGGTTCGGTATATGGTTCATAGAGGCGCATGGGATCAGGCATGGCGCCTCGTCACTGAACCAACCAGCACCCGTTCTCCCAACACCATTCCCCTGCCTATCTGGGTCGAATTCTTCCAGTTCCGCAGGCTCGGATATGACCCTCCCAGGCGCACCAGGGCTCGACTCACGGGCGTTATGCCGTCACGACAACAAGGGGATGCACTGAAGGACTGGGATCCTCGGTTGAAATTGTTGTTCGAATGGGCGCCAGCGGAAATGTCTGATCCACGACGTATCCCACCCCGCGTTATCCTTTCGATCGTCACCCATCTCCTCAGGTTACACCGCTTCGACCACGCCATGACGCTAACGACATCATATCTTCGCTCAATCCCTCGGAGACTCACTCCTCGGCGGAGAGAGGATTGCATTAACATCGTAAATGCCCATGTCGCATTGGGGTCCTCCGCAACAGGTTTACGCAAGCTGCGTGATGGCGAGAAGACGCTCAAGATCCTTTTACGACTTCATTCAAACATCCGACCAAATGCAACAACTCTTTTCCTACTTTTGTCGGGCCTCCGAAAGGCGAAGCATTGTGGGACCAGGGCAGAGAGGGTGGTTCGGAAATTTGCTGGGAAATGGGGCAAGGAGCTGAAGGAAGATCTACGCGTTCGGAGGAGGGTTGCGTCGTTGGCCCTGAAAGAAGGAAGACTGGATATCGCCAAAGCCTACAGCACTGACCCGAAAGGAACCAAGACCGGTCGCTCGACTTCAGAATCCCCAACCGAAGCGAACCCCACCCTCAGATTTCGGAGGTTATCAGATAAAGTACTACTTTCCAGGCGAGGCGAAGATCGCCGACTGTGGCAGAGAGTGCGAATGCGGACGAAATTTGCACTTCGTAGGGCGCCTGAAGCGGAGTCGAGCGGCCGGAAGCGACCGAAAGTACGACAACAGCAGGTGTGAAATAAAATTTGTCCCCAGGCTATCTTTGAACATATTGAGGCAATAACTGCATATCGTTGGGGTAAGGCCGTGCACTACCGTGCACTCATCTGGTAACGGACCTGCCATGGAATTGCGGCGATTTAAGCATCGGTGCGGACTTTCCACCATCACCGTTTCTTGAATTTCAATGTCCATAGCCGCCTCGTTTCACGAACCCTCTATTCGCCGTGGTTGGGCAACGCACACGAGGACACCCCAGGTGCGATTATTGCTGCAGCATGCTATGATGGCTATTTTTTTCGACTCAAATCACTTCGACCCTGCATCATTGCTTTTTTCTCTAATAACCGGGCAATACCACAAGGCAACCTTGTTTACGAGCAATTTTTTGGTTGGATCGCTTGTTATGTAAAGCGAACGCTCTCGATATGAAAGCAGCTTTCGCCTTGCTCTGACGGACTACGTGCAACGAATCAGGCATGCGGTTCTAGTCATCGGTACTGCATTCCATGTCGTGACCAGGATCTGCGGGTTGGATGCCGCTCGGCTACTCGAAATAGGCCAAATTCGAGGGACCACTCCGCGCGTTCTTTGGCGCCTCTTTATGAACCTGCTCTGTTGCCTCAGTCAAATAATTTTCTTTCCTCTTTTGGGATATCGACGGATAGGGTTCACCGTCAGCCAGGTCTTCGATATTGACAGTTCCCAGAACCTTCTCAAAAGAGATTTTGTGCTAGCCCCCGTCCCTTTCGTGATCTGCTGTCGGGTGCAACGATCCAGCAGCTGCTCACTGTATCTGACCTCCTTCCCAGTGACTTCCTTCGAACTCCAGCGAAGTTCTAGATAGAGGGCGGGGAAGCGGTACATTGATTTACGTCGCAACTTGGACAACGGATTAAACAACACGATGCAAGCTCTTTGTCCGCACGATTCAACCGGGCGCCGATCGCAATTGCTTTCTCCATTGATATAACCTGCAGACTCCTTGTCTTTGCATATGCCGAGTCTTTGGGGCAATCATATCATGCTATTTTATCTTGGAAAAGCTTTCCTGACCACTGGTGTTGCATCTGGAGCGACGTTTGCCCGTCTTTCAACCTTTATTGGCTTTATATACATTATGTCATGCCAAATGACCGTCAACGGTATCCCGACCTGCTTATTTCAGTTAGGCTCTCCCTGGCGCTCGCGAAGGATTTAAAGGACGAGGAAAAGAGGTGAGTGCTTCAGTGTCACATTTACTCCCAATATTTACCCAATGGCTCCCCCCTCCATGGAACAATTCCTCGCTCTTTCCTGCACCAACGTCGGGGTGGGACCTGGGGGTACAACTACCATGCTTGCGTTAGTATCCTGTCTCTTCCCGCTATCGTGCTGTATTCATGTCTGCCTCAGCAGGGTCAGTATTGTAGACTATCGCGGAGCAGTCGTTTACGATCACTACGTCGTCCCAACCCTTCCTGTTCGTATCGCCTTCCCCTTCCCCTGACTTTCCATCTCTCACCAACCGCACCCACAGGTCACGGACTATCGCACAGGGGCAACCGGAATCACGGAATCTCTTCTCCAACCTCGTTCGTTCATCCGCTCCTGAGACCGTCTCCTTCGCCGTCTGACCATTTTTCGCCGCGTGTTTTAGCACAAGCCCGTTCCTTCCAAATCGTCCAGCAGCAGGTCGCCAATCTCATTAAGGGAAAGATCTTGGTCGGACATAGCCTCTGGAATGACCTATCAGGTGAGAGAGTTGTTTCCAGGAAAGTAGAGTGAACGATCGAACCGACTTGCAATCTTAGTTCTTGGCATACCTCATCCAGCCGTCGCCACCAGGGACGTTGCATTGTACCAGGTTCGTCTGTTTTTCGGGATGAAAAATAAAATAAAATTGTATGACGCTGACAGTGTCATAATTAGCCCTTCAGGAATGCCCTGAGATCGCCTCATCAAGTGGTCGGCCTTCAAACTTTGGCGTGGCAACTTATGTGTCGGCGCTGCCAAGAAGGGCAACTGAATCCCGTATGTCGGTCGTTCATATTTATTTCCGTCGGCAACTCATGTCATATAGATCGAGAACGCCAGAGTTGCCCTTGATCTATACAGGTCCGACGAGGCAGATTGGGAGAATGCCGTGGCCAGGAGCAATTGGCCCTGCGCGTTGCCCCCGAGCACTTTCTCTCGCTGTTATCTTTGAATGTCCTCCCATTCTCTCATTCTCGTTTTTGCCGGGTTCTTGCACAACTCTACCTTCCGACTCTGTCCCCTATTTGTATATTAATGTAGCCATAGGTGTATTTTCGAGCTTGACGGTTGAAGCTGTATATTCTATTTAAATGTTTATTGAGATGTTGGTCTTCTCAATATGGTATCTGCGTGACCAAAAAGAGTAGTCGCAAAGTAAACCATCACGGAATACCTTATGTATGGTCGCTAACAGCAAAGAATATGAAGTATAGCCAGCGCCCATGCTTCTACCATCATTGCTGATGTGCAACGATGTAGGTCTCTGGGGAGGGTTATTGTCGTGTCTGCGGAAACAATCGACCTTAAGTTACCGTAGAACAATGGAGAGAACGAAGGGTTGCACTCACCTGTTCGGCACCAAGTAGCCGCATCAGACCTTCATAGACGAATAACGCCGACGCATTGACAGGGAAGGCCCGCAAAAGACAAGGTCCCAATCCACGGAAAAATCCGACGTAGCCGTCGTGGAGAAATATCTCTCGGGCTGTACGTGAAAATGATGGGACTTTAAGACCAACGGTCGAGTTGGAAGCGGGATATGCGTCAGGATAAGGATAGGCCATCATACGGCTAGTAACACACAGAGACGAGTAGTCAGAGTTGAGACACGACCTCCCTATGAACGAATGACGCACTTCTTCACATTGTCAGCGGGGATGGCCATAATCCAATATGTAAAGGCCCCGAAGCCTCCAGAGAGGAAATTGGCCAGTCCGGTATTCACCTATCTTTCGGTGAGAAAAAGGCAAAGCTTTGGGCAAGGCTTATCGAACGCTCACTTCGAATGGAGTACCTGCAAGTTTGCCAAACCCACGCATGAACACCTAAAAAGGTGTTAATCGGCCCCGGCAACACGACATATACCGGAAGCGCACCTCAAAGGATAAAAACATCCAGAAAAAATTTACCCTTGATGCCACAGTGCCTGTGAACCCTGACCAGAGGCCAAGGGGGCCTTGAACTCTGGCAATTTCACGGGCGCAATGAATGGGACCAGTGAACCGCCGATCGACCACGCTTTTTTGGGACTGGAGCTGCAACTTGACTGGGAAAAGGGTTCTTCGAAGGTGAACGTGCGATGGCCCAAGAGTACATACCTTTCAAGAGTTCCATTGGTGTGGCAATGAGGGCACTAGATTGCATTTTCAGTCAGAACGGGGATATGTGTTGACAGTTTGTACCTCGTGCACCCAGCAAGCAGACCGGCGATACCATGGCCAAGGATGGTAAGCCTAGGGGCCCCCGAGTGTGGGGTTGGTTCTGACATGCCATGGCGGAGAAGGAATAGGCGATAATTGTGTAACGAGCCTAGCAAGACGGAATCGATAGCTGCCCACCCCACAGCTGGTGGAGTGGCCCCTTTGTATAGCGCAAGGGCACCCTAGACGTTGTGTCGGTTCACGTCGGCTACTATTGTCCGGTGGCATGAAATTCACGACCAACCTCGTTCCGGACGATCTGCTTGAGGACATCCACTGCTCCCCGGTAAGTTCCTGGTGGAGCACATTGCATACGGGTTTTGATAGTGTCAAAGCTGTTTCTTGAATCAGCTTACTGTCATTGACTGTTTGTAGTTGAGATTGAAACTAAGTGGGATGCGCCATGAGTGAGAGCAGGGGTATCACGAACCGACGGGATCCTGTCAAGAACAGACCCATGCCCAACTGCGACCTTGAGGAAGGCGTTACCAGCGACTCACGGGAGGCTAGAGATAGCAAACCTTGGTCAATCCTGTAAGATATCTTGAGAAAACCACCCGTACATTCCACACCGTTTCAAGTGAACGCACCACTTCCCATTCCACAGATCGCACCAACTAGTCGAACATGGCCGGTTTTCTCCGCATTTTGGGTCATTCGTCGTGTTTAATTCCAAATTTTGGTGTCAGAAGCGTTCCTAAGCGACGTGTTTTGAAAAATGGGCTTGATCTGACCAGACTTCTCGAGAAAGGCGCCGTTAACGGTAGAGAGCTCACTGGCGCTCCGGACACTCACTCGGGACGTCGGCGCGGGGATGACACCGTCACCTGACCTTCGGCTACCATCAAGTCACCGGATGATCTCATGGCTGTCCGGACCTGTGTGTCTCGATCCATAACCATTTCCAATGCCTCCCTCTTGCGACATTCATACCTGGTGATAGGTACATTGACCAATCAAGAACAGAAGAGATTAAGACCAATGGAGAAGCAGTCTGAACAAGATTCGGACGAGAAACAATGCAGAATCTGCTTGGATGGGGTCTCAGCTGAGCGAGAACTCGGGCGCCTCATTTCGCCTTGTCAGTGCAAGGGGTCAATCAGAGTCAGTGGCCATTGTTCTCTGTCTCGGCGTCTCGACGACTGACTTTCAACTCCTTCAGTACGTCCATGTGAAATGCCTACAGCGATGGCGAAAAGCTGCAGCATCCAACCGGAGCGCGTTCTTCGCATGCCCTCAATGTCATTATCGGTACCGTTTCGCCAGAACTCAGGTGGTGGGTCTGGCAACCAATCAGTGTAAGCAACAGTGTCCATACTGGCTTGCTGTACTTACGAAGTGTCCCAGTCATTGTGGCACTGCTCTCGGGTTTGGCATTCACAGGACTCGTCATGTTCGCCTCCGCTATCACTAGCTACTTCATGCCATGGTTTGAAGAACCAGTCGACTATTCGTGGTCATTCTTCAGGATAGTCTCTCCGCTCGATGTAGCACGAGACCTCATTACCGCTGCTTTTCAAATTCTCCGTGATAGTGATGTCGGAGGGATCCTGGAGGACGATGGGCTTCCACCACCGACCCCACGTTTTCGGTACTCGAGTGCCTATCACGATCTCTCACAGTCTCGCCCAGGAATTGTCATGAGATTCCTCCGACGCTTTTTGTTGGGTCTACCCCTGGTTGGGGCGGTCTCGATAGTGCACCTACTATTGTCTTTCCAAGCCCTTGCTCCGGTTCACTGGCTGGCTCGATATCGTGGTGCGCGGAGACGAAATGGCAACGACCGAGATATCGCTACCTTGATCGTGGTTGCACTAATTGTCGCCGGCTCTGCGAGGTACGCCGTCACGACGGTCTTCTTCCTGTACGCGGTCTCTATTAACCTTCCATACACATCCAGGGCTCTGTACAAGATTTACCAGAAAATTGAAGAGTTTGTTAGGTCCTTGCTCACCATGGCCGAGGATGCAATCCTGGAGGTGAACGGCTAAGGATCAGCGGGTTCGCCTCGCAAAATCGGCGTGAGTTGCGAGGCGCTTTGGGGGTGCTTTCAGATTCATCTTTATTCACCTCAATGTCTCCTCCACCCTGTCTCCGGTGTTACGTGGGGTCCACCGACCAAGTAATATGTTACGTGAAATCTAAACAGATAGACAAACATGGAGTGTACGCGTACTGTTGCAAGTCGAAGAGCGAAGGATATATAATGGGAAAATATGGCCCAGAGACAACTGAAACAATCACCAGTAGCGGCGTAGCTGACGCTTCACATCTTCGTACGCCGCCTTGGTCTCGAGACGAGTAGGTTCCAGCTCGGCTAGGTATTGATCGATAGCAGCATCCACACGCCCAGCAGGGAACTCGGCTCGAGAGATCGAGGACTGGGGCCGTAACACCTCGTTCAGCCAATCCGTTAAAAGAATGGCAATTTCTTCGGAGATTGCCTGGACATTGGCTTGGTCGTTGAAAGGGGGTACCTGGTCGGGGATTAACATTTTTTTTTTTCTTTCAAAACCCCGGGAATTAAACCACGACTCACCTGTGATTCATACATGTTGTGAAGGATCTCCCAAATCTCGACAAATGGCACCTTGGATTGCACCAGCAACCGACAGAACCAACCGGAAGGAACTTCACCCTTATTGTCGAGCCTAAACTTCACAAGGAGATAGGAAACATATCCTGCGGAATCCCGTCAGAACAAGTGTCCGGGAATAATGGACCACGGGCTTACGCAAGGGGAAAGCGGACTCCGAAGGGTAATATCTCTGGCCGAGTTCAGCTACTTCTTTGAAAATTACATCCTTCTGCGTAGACAAGTCCGGGGAGGCACAGCCTGTGGTCGCAGTCAGGTTGATTCCTTGCGATAGGGGAAGGGATTCACTCACATTCTTCGATAATTTGATTCCAGACCTCCTTGAGAGCGGCCTCGTCGTAGTGTTCCGACACATACAGACAAAGAAGCCGGAGTTTGGGCATGCCAAACGCAACAGCGTACTGGTGATAGAGCTAAAATGTGAAGGATGAGCACTGTTACTACCGACTAGCGCAGTGTCGAGAAACCTACCTCTGTCAACGTAAGAAGCCTCTTGTTGAGTTCTTCAACTACCGCGCCAACTTCTGGTGCATCGTAAATGTGAGGCGACAGCTTTTGATAGATCTCCAGCTGAACTTGAGCGACATCGAGTTTCTCTTCCAGGTCCGTCAAGAACGTGATCGCAGTCTCGTGGCGGCCACCCGCAGAGATAGGATGGGATTTGGCATTGCCCACTGCGAGGGTCAAGTACTCCACTCTGGAAGCGAGCTCCAAGTCGAATCTGCGTTGTACACGTTAGAGTGGATCGGTGGATGCTGTTTGCGGAAAACCCACTCTGTTGACTCTGCCAAGGCACCCAGAACCTCGGCTGCCCGCAAATACTGGCCATTCTTGACATAGAATTGCCAAAGTAGCTGGTACTTGTCAACGGTTGGTGGATCTCGTCGGAGATGGGCTTCAAGGTACGGTGGGCGCATCTGCACAGAGAAATTAATGGCAGGCGACTGAAGATGAAAGGGATGTACAAACCTCCAATAGATCATCAGCCAGATGTCGGCCAATCAACCAGTCATAGAGAGTCGAATGGAACATTTCATCCTCGCTCGAAAAGGCGAGCTCATAGGCATGACTCCGAATGGCCTCTGGAGTCTCCGACGCTTGGACAGCGCCTGCTGCCTTTGAATCACTGCATTTCTCTTCGAAGACCGAGAGAGAATCCAGAATGAGATCGTAGGCCTGCAGCCTGTGTTTGATGAATTCTGAGCGAGGATCAGTTGAGTTTGCTGGCGGGGAGGTGTGCCAATACGCCAGGCCGATGTTATCAGGGTCTTGAGCTTGGGCACAGGCGAGAGGTAAAAGGACGGCGCCTTCATAAACCGTGAGCACGTTCTGAGCTGCTATAGTGGGAGGCCAATAACATACCCTTGGCGTAATTAAGCTGCTGGAAGTCACCAATAATCTCTCTCAGCTTTTCAAATTCCATTATTCGGGCACCCTTGGTGAAGAGCCTGAAGTGGCCATCAGTGAATAAATGCAGGAGGCAAGGGCCACGACAAAACCGTACCGGAGAGCCTCGGCAAGGCATTTTTGGCGTTCATTGGGATTTCTCGTCTCAGCCGCCCTGCGGATGTTTTCTTTGGCCTGACCTCATCCCGTCAACAACAAAGGTCCTTCCCCAAAGGATGTACTTTACCTTGTACAGCATTACATCGTCGGTGCTACAGAACGAACCACAGCGGTGCTGGAGCACCTCGCTGATGGTATCAACCTGATGGATTGGTTAGTCGAATTGTGTCAAAGAGGACCAGGTGAAGCATACACTTATTTGCTGGCCAATTTGTTGGTCAATGACGACGTTTACAAGGGCACGAGATATCGTCATGCCATTGGTGGTCGTAACAAGGTCTTCAAAGGTCGACGCTTCAATCAATTTCTTCGTATCAGCATCACAACTGCATAAATGGAATCAGGCAACTGGATCGATAGGCTATAAACGTTGTAACTCACTTTGCAATCAAATCGCCCAAGCGATAATCATTGAGGAGCATAACGAAGGACAGCGCCTCGATAGTCCTACTGAGCAAAGACTGTAGTTCTGATACGGACGTGTTCTCCGCCTAAAAGTATGTTAGACAGTCCTTGCCAAAGAGTAGAAGTTAGAGTTACCTTCCATGCTTCCTGGTCGGAAATGGACCCTCGACCGGCGGCATTTTCGCTAGGCGCCGATTGGAAGAGGTGTGGATTTCTATCGAGGAAGTCTTTCAAAGCATATAGGTTATGTTGTGCTTGAAGAAGGTGCTTCTCAGAGACAGCCAATTCACACGTGTTCAGAGGACTGCGAAACTGTGATTTAGATCGAACAAATGCCAACCAACAGGTGTAGGAGCATACCTCAAGACGGTCAATTTGGACTTCCAGAAGGGACGAACCAATCGCGCAAAATACATGGCCAGCCCTTCCCGGCGACCACTGTAAATTGCGGTCCCCTTGTTTTCAGCTTTGAGAAAAGTTCGCTTCAGGACAAAAGCTTACGACGGACAATTAGGAAAACACTGACCAGTCCCATACATCGCCCTCTCCGCCCATATCGGCCTCTCTCCGAAGTCGTAGAACGCTTGCTTTGCCACTGTAGCGATTTCGGGGCTAACATTGCTGACAGAAGCAGGCGATGGCCCTTCCACTCCATCCAAGAACGTGTTACCGCTTGCCAGAGCCAATAGCATTGCACACGTCTGGTCGCGACCAAAACTACCATGCCAAGTGAGGTCAGGAATAAACCGCGCGTGCCAGGAAGCGACCCACCTATCGCGGAATTCGACAATTGGTTGCACATTCCCTTCTGATTGAAGTTCCTCGAGGACGGCTTTCAGGTAGTCCACGGCCCTTCGCTTCATCAAGAAGGTCAATCCAACGTTGGTGAGCAACATGAATTGATGCGAGGGCTCGTTGAATTGCGTTGCCAGCTCGTTTATGGACGAGTATGAAGGCGTTCCTGTGGGGAGCGGGGGAGAAGAGGACCCTGCTACACTGGCAACAGCCCAAGTGCGACCTGGAATAGACAGCAAGGTGGCATACTCGACCAGTGGTAATCGATTAGAAGGAGCTGCGGCATTAGAACCATATTGCTGCGCAATTGGCTGGGCATTGGGAAGATTCAGCTGCCCTAGGTTGCTTATATGCGTCAAGTCCGGCGAAAGACATAGGATATAATCCGTTCCGTCAGTATCCCCCGGCTGTGCTGCAATCGTCAAACCATTGTGGTAGCTGGAGCTGTCCAGTGTCGTGACGACATAAGGCCGGGAGGTAGGTTGGGTAGCAACTGGGGCTCCACCATACACCACGGGTGGACGATACCCGCTAGCTTGTTCATCGGGATGAATTAAGTTTGTCGGAGGTAGTCGAACGTGCAAGAGCGACAGCGGGCGATTACTCGATCCGGTACCAGATGAATAACCGTAGTAGGACTGTGAAGGACCAAAGAAGAGTCGGATACCATTGGCGGTCAATCCGATGAGTTGTATGCCAGAACGAGATTCGGAAGGCGAGACGACGTGTAACGAGACCAGCGCGAAACTTTGCGGGGTAAGGGCCGGGGAACCTGGCGCTTTGTCCTGCGCGGCCTTGCACAAGTTCGACAATGTTTGAACGTGCTGCACAGCTTTGTCGCCGTTTGGCTTGTAGATTGCGATGGAGCTTCGGGATGTGACAGTGTAAATCAAGTTTCGCTCCGGGTCGGATATCACTTGGACAATTCGTTCTGTGGTTGTGAATTTCAATAAAGACAAGGAATAGGCGCATGGGAACAAAGGCAGAGTCCTACCATCTGGTGAAGTTGAAGCAAATCTGGGAAGGAAACTCTGGACACCGCCCACGGAGTGATTGATGAGTTGAACGCGCTTCGCGAACCAGGATTCGTTTCCTTGATAGTGGAGTTCGTATAGATTCCCATCTGAAGTCCCACACATAAAGATGCGGCCCTCCGGCGTCCCAACGACGGAGGTCATCTCCACATCACAAGGAACAGTGAAATCAGTGGCATATAGGTTGATGTTCTTCGGCCCTCGCTCTCCCTGCGGACCGGTGGACAGGGATACGCCAATGAGCAAGACAGACACGGGTGTGCATATCACCAACAGCGAAGTGATATCGTCAATGAATAGTCCTGGTTTGGGCTTCACAAGCGCGACATGGGTGATCACGTCTGGTTGGTCCACAAAAGATGCGATCTCTTGGCTGTGGTTTATGAGCAGAAGAACTCACAAAACTATGCTTTGGCACTTACCCGTCGTTGTAATCCCACAGGAATAGCTTGTGGTCAATTGAAATCCACACTCGCTCGATCTCTGGCATGATACCCATGTTTGTCGTGACATTGACGCCTAGTCCCTGTTAGAGCCATTGATTTTGGAGGACAGTGGGATGACGCACTGTCATAGAACTGGAACAAGCCGTCTGGAATTCCAATGAAACGGCGCTTCTGGTACGGTACGCGAATGTCATCCGGGAAGATGCTGTAATTTCCCGAAGCCTGTCCAACGCCTAGGCGACGTTGAGTTCGAACAATGCTGGGTTAGTGATAGAGGCTCACCACCAGTCAGGGTTTCCCCTAGGTCCGGTATGACTTGGGCGTCTTTTGCCAGTTGATCCACCAAGACTCGGCTTGCATTTTGAAGGGCGTTGAGATCGACAGGCGCGGGCCTCGGCGCTGGCGCTTGTCGAACAGAAGACCCCAATACATGGCTTCCACTTGCGTTCTGTGGGCCAAAAGTCGAGAAAGTGGAGGCCATGCGTGGGGGGAGATATTCCAGAACGCGGTAGTAGCCGTCGAAACTGTTCGCAGTCAGTCCGACCACAGGCCATGCCTCGAGTCGCGCAAAATCGGTCACGTGACATGTTCAAGCAAAACTCCGCGGTTCAACTGTCCCACGCAGGTCCCACGGCTGCAAGAGGCGGGACAAAGAGTAACGAGTCTTTATCCAACCGTTATGATCCTGGCATCCACTGTGTAATACATACGTGGTTTACAGCGCACAAAATTCTTTGACCCAAACATTCCAACATTTGCCAATGGATCTTCCTCTTCGGCGCACACATAGCGTGATGGGATACCTGCTTTCATCTTTCATCACATCATGATTCAGACCCTCATCTCCAGCCAGCGGCACCGTCTCCCGACACCTTTGGGTAGGAATAAAGAACGGGAATGGTCAGGCCTGGGGGAAAGAGACGCTGTGACCGGCTGTGTGGTCGGGTAGCTGTGACATGTGTCGAACAGCGATGGGAAAGTCAGCGGGAAAGGGAAAGAGAATAGAAGGGATCAATTTCGCCATCTGATGGCAGGTGAACCGCCGTAATGGACGATAATTGGTGGAGAAGGATTTAAAGCACTGTGCTTCATGCGGTTCCGTTTGCTCTCTGGCGATCCATCTCCAGTCCACTGTGATTCCCTCCGGCTAACCAGCATCTCCTAATCCACCCTCTCCAGTTTCCTATACACTCTGTCTCACCCAGGGTCGCCCACCGCCTTCCCCGTTCTTCCCATCTGCGACGGATGGATAGTAGGCCCGCGTCCACCCTGCGCACCCTCCAGACATGGGCTGTCCCTTTCAGAGAGACAGTCCCACCCGTTCCAGATCTTCCTGGTCGCCTACTGCCCCAGCCATCTTCGTCTCCTCACAATTCTGCCCTTGACAATGCCCCGGACTACTCGGACTCGGACGACGATGATAGTATCTGGCAAGCTAGACCTCGCGAACGCCAACCTCGGAGATCTTCAGGCCAGCGCCTGCCCTACCAGCGATCGTTTGTTAAGCGTATGTCTTACTCTTTTCTCTGAACATTCAACAGCTGACACGGATCCATAAGCAACGTTCCAATGGATCAGAGGGGAGCTTCTTGGGAAAGGAAGCTATGGACGGGTTTACCTTGCCCTCAACGCAACCACAGGGGAGGTCATGGCAGTCAAGCAGGTCGAGCTACCAAAGACCCCCAGTGACAAGATGAAGCCTCAGCAGCTAGACGTTATGAAAGCTCTCAAATTCGAGGGAGATACCCTCAAGGACTTGGATCATCCCAATATTGTCTCTTACCTCGGGTTCGAAGAGAGCCAGGACTACTTGAGCATGTAAGTGGTAACCTGCTGCTATGGAATCCCTGCTGAGAGCGGACAGTTTCCTGGAATATGTTCCAGGCGGTACAGTCGGGTCTCTCCTGGTAAAAAATGGTCGACTGCGGGAGGAAGTCACCAAGTCATGGCTTAGACAAATTCTTCAAGGGTTGGACTACCTCCACGGTAAAGGCATCCTTCACAGAGTCAGTTCCTCTTTTCGGTCTAACAGAGTTGTAATAACCGAATCGTCTCTCAGGACTTGAAGGCGGATAACATCCTCGTCGACCATTCCGGGGTTTGCAAGATATCAGACTTTGGTATCTCCAAGAAGGCAGGGGAAATTAATCGTGCAAAAGCGCACACCGGAATGAAAGGTACCAGTTTCTGGATGGCACCAGAGATACTGTCACCCGGAGAGAAAGGGTACGATGTCAAGGTTGACATCTGGAGTGTGGGCTGCGTGGCTGTGGAAATGTGGACCGGTAAACGCCCATGGTACGGCCACGAATGGTGGCCTGTGTTGATGAAGGTAACGGGAGACTCGTCTCTGTTGGCGCCATTCACTGACCTGTGCACCACAGGTTGCTGAGGACAAGTCACCGCCCCCAATCCCTGAGGATATACCGATGGGTCATCTGGCACAGAGTTTCCACAATCAATGTTTTCGCCCGTGAGTAATGTGTCGAAGTCCACCTCGTTCTTCTTCTCACAAGCTCGGGCAGAGATCCCGCCGACCGACCACATGCCTCTGTGATGCTTAAGCACCCTTACCTGGAAATTCAATCTCCCTGGGTGTTCAATTGGGACGATCTGGCCGACAATTCGAGACCGCCACGGATCTATCCTGAGCTAGTCCCTCCAGTAGTCCGCGAGCGGACCGTAACCCAATCCACATTCAAAGCTAATGGCCCACCTACAGAGAAGCCCAGGGCTCACAAACCCCCACTGGAGCCCCTCAAAATTCCTGCGTATGGACCCACATCAACCCAAAGAAAACCCAGCGTCAATGGGGCTGGACCTCCAGTCGTGTGGATCACCCCTCCGAACACCCCACGGAGAACAGCCAAGCCGGAAGACTCTAGCGCTTCCACAAGTACCTCTGACGCAGCCCCTTGGAAGAGCACTTCTAAGCGTCGACTTGTCATCGTCAACCCCGACCTTGACGACGACATCGGACCCGCACCCCAGAATACCCCACCGAAACCCAAGTTCGTGTACACACCGCCCCCTCTGCCGGACCCTCCTCAGCCTCCGTATGCTTCTTCACCCCGACCCTTACGCCATGCCGTTAGCACGAGTTTTGCTTCTGTGTCGTCGATGGGATCGATTTCCTCGAAGGCGGGCTCACCCTCTCGCCCCCGTGCCCTGGTCGACCCAGGACTTTCTTCCACGCGGACACCCCCAAGGCCACTCCCGAACCCCTTGTCTCCTCCCCTAGGTCGGTCCCCTGCACCCCTCCCCGTCTTGCCCTCCCCTTCAAAGCGAAGGGGATCCAGCCGCGACAGATCACACACGGTACATACTACCTTTGACGCCTCGGCCTCTAAATTATACGAGGAAGGTAATCCAACCGCCAAAGCTTCTGTTCACAACCTCCCGATCTCCTCTTCCGGCTCCCGCACCATCCGCCGCCTTCCCATCTCGCCTCAACAGTTGAACCACGGCAGACCTGCAACCACGACCACACCTTCGATGCCAGGCTCCTCGACCCCTCGGCCACTGCGACCACAGAAATCAGTCCCTGATGTATCCATCTTTGCTTTCAGCCGCGACGCTTATCATTCCCGGCATCATCCTTCGTTCAAGTCGAAGAGCAATCGTCCACTTTACACCTCACGCGGAAGCTTCGACTCGGAACCAGAAGATATCAACGGGGCATCTGACAACGACAGTGTTTCTTCGACGTCTACGACTCATACCAAGCATCCGCAGCGAGGCGAATCACTGTTGGCGATGCGGCCACGGACGGAGGACGTGTATAAAGATTTAGAGGCTTGGTTCCCGAATCATGATCTCGACCGGCCAGTGGATGGCGCCGACACACCCGCCTCGGGAGCGCTGGAACCCAGGCATCACAGGGTGGACGTCAGGAAGAGTATTCGAATGATCGCCAAGGAGCAAAACAGGCGCTCTCATAACGATCCAGCTTCTTCTCGTCGGCGAACGATGCTGTGGAACACACATATGGAAGAACTTTCGAGCGACAAGAGAAAGGACAGCATGCCGCGCTTTTAGACAAAGCAATGTAAAATTTGTTAGTCGTAGTCATAGTGGAATCCTTCGCGCGCATATCATCTATACGGACACTTTTCTATATGGACTTTGTACTGTTGTACCAATAAGTAACCTTTTTCCATGACAAGGATCACAACTCAGCGACGAGGCACAGCTTGCAGAATCCACGTTAAAATGATTAGGGAGATGCACCACATAAATCAAGCATGATGGCGATACAAGGAGGGTATCAAACTCTTCAGGCATTACTACTACATAACAAAGTCCAACTTCCAGTTGCTTGCAACCAGAGGTGTAATCAGAAGTGTTCCTATTGGCCGAGAGTGGGTAAGGCCTTTGAGACAAGACAGGGCTGGGAATACGTACCTTGGCGAACGAAAACTCCACGTTGGCGTTGGTATTTTTTATCGTAGCTTCCTTGATGGCTTTGGCAAGAACGCTGGGACCGCAGAAGTATGTCTAAAATGCCACAGGTCAGCCATCATCAACGAGACAGTAAGGCTCGGACTGGGTACGCACTCCAACCTTGGTCTTCAGCTGAGCGGTAGCGCCGGGGATGTACTGACCACCCTCGACAGCTTGCCTGATGCGACTGTAGATAGAGTTCCAATCCGGACGACCGAACATGGTACGAGATCGCAACAATGTCAAGGGATCGTAATCAGCTCCGGCATCATTGACAGCGATGTTCCACAACATGTCCTCATTAATCTTCTGGGTGAGGTAGATGTTAATGCGCAAGAAGTTGGCTGTGAACAAACAACACATCAGTGGACGATGACAACGGTGGAGGAGGTGGGGAACTTACGATCCGCTTGGGCAGCTTCGACTTCCTGAAGGAGAGACTGGAACCAACCGAAGGAGGGGGCATCACGACAGACCCAGAAGAATTCGACTCGGCGGAGAGAACCAAGCTTTCCTTTCTTTTGGCGGTACCAAATGTGCTTCAAGATGGAGGCAAAAGGAGTAACACCGATACCAGCACCGACAAGGACAGCAACTTCATTGTTGAAGACGTCTTCGGCGGGAGCGCCATAGGGACCATCAATCCTGACTTGGGGTAGGGTGATTGACATGGTCGCTGGGTCAATCTCAACGAAGTCGCCACGGGAAAGGCTGGGACCATCCTTCTCGGCACCCTTGACAGCGGCCTTGGTCATGGAGGCAACGGCGGCTGGGCCTACACCGAGACGTTCACCGAGAGCGTTGGTGAAATCACCGACCTGACGAATGTGAACTGAGACGTAGGGGTCCTCGGGGGCAGACGTGATGGTGAACTATCAAGTTACAGGAATAGATGATCAGAAAATATGATGCTGTGAATCAGAAAGCGATACGCACAGGATGCCATTGGAAACGGGAGAGCTCGGGGACTTGAAGGAAGAGCCACTGACCGGCGGTGTACTTGAAACTGGGCTTGACAATTCGGAGCTCCATAGCACCTGCAGGGTACTGTGAGAAAAAAAAAAGGTTATTGTCATAAAAAAAAAGTTGCTTACCACTGGGGTGAACCAAGACCTTGGAAAGGCGAGTAGCACGGCGAGCACGGATTTCACGCCACACCCGCTCTCCGAAATAGATGATACCAGGCCAAATGATGAACCTCCAGCTAAGGTATCCAATGCAGTTCTCTGTCGAGTAGAAGGGGAACGTCGAGGTCAAGTTGGGGTGGACAGAGTCTCGCACGAAGCAACCGGTTGCATGGGTGTAGAGGCCGAGCATGAAGAAGAACGCGAGGTGGTGGGTGTACCAGAAAGCTTCGAAACATTGTTTGCGAATCTTCTGGTGGGCAGTAGTGTACATAACGACCATGATGAGGAGCATGAAGTGGCCAGTTATACCACCAGGTTGGGTGTAGTGGATCATTTGGGCGGTTTGTTTACGAATTTCTGGCAATGAAGGTGAGCAGGGCAGTGTTTGGGGATGATCGGAGGTGACATACGGGTGCGCTCGACGTTGATGAAGTTGACATAGTGAGCAGTCGTGTGCACTACGGACCAGAAAGCCATGGAGTATGCCACTTGTCGATGGAACCAAATGTTCTCGTCGGCCGGGAAGAGCCAGGTTAGCTTGGGTCGAACGACTCGAATGATGTTGCGGAGCATGGGGATGAGAATGAGGCCACCATCGAGTGCAAGAACGAGACCGGCTCCTCGAGAGACCCAAACGGACCACTGGAGAGTATTGAGGCCAGCTAACCGTTGATTGGTTGCCTGTTGCGGTACTATCAGGGTTGTTGCCCAGCACGGTATTCGCTGCCTAAGACGTACCTGACTATACCATCCATAGGCGAAGATAGCCAAATGGAGGCCATAGAAGAGGACATTGAATGTCAACCTTCGAGCTTGAAGAAATTCTCTTTGAAACCAAGTTTCTGCCATATTGTGGGAGGAGTAGATATGCCTGAGATGTGGTGTAGGACGACTCTAGTACCCGCCAGGAGTGCTAAACGAGAGAATATTAAAAAAGAACGTAGCCAGACGGTGGCAAAGAAAACGAAAAAGAGAAAAGAGGGTGGGGGAAGGGGGAGGAGCGTTGACCGGAGTGGGTGAGAGAAGGGCCCAAGTTGGGAGGCGGCGCTTTATTGGTGGATCAGCCGTTGCCACAACTTACAAGTCACCAATTGTACCATGACAATCGGACAGCCAAGCTACTTTTCAGGTCAATTCTCGAACCAAAACAAGGGGTTTTCACTTGGAACAACATGATGGCCCCGTATTCTCGCCTATTCTGGCCTCACAATTGATGTACCGTTATTATGTACCGTTATCCAAACCAGTGGGCTGCAAAAATACCATCATTGTGATCTACTCCTCGTAACGATAAGCAACCATCGCCTCAATGCGGTGAATATCCGTGCTAAAGCTTCGCATCTTCACCTGTTGGCTCTTGCCAGCCTCGATCGCAAGGGGGTCCGTGTCCACCCACTCCCCTGCAGGCACATCCGCCGACTCTGACGTATACGCAAGGATGTTGAACACCGTCGGCTCTTGTATAACTGGTAGGTATGTAACCATCGAGATGATTTGCTTCAAAATCGCACGAATTTCTGATTGGATTTCCGCCTCAGGTTTGGGTGGTTGGCTGTCGCTCCGTTTCGGTCTCTGTTGGCACGACGGATGGAATACCACACTCACGGTTTTCCTGCGCTTCCAGCTGGTGGCTCAACCAATTTCACATCGAATACCCATCGTTCCAGGGGTGTCCTGGAATCTTTCGAGATAATGGCGAGCACGAGTTGCGTGATCTGACCGGTCAGTAACCACTCTGTTATGGTGTGGATGAGCACTGTATGGTATCGTCGAGGTATGAGTGGCACATACTCTCCACTTGCTTTAAGATCCTGTGGCAACAGTGTCAACGGCGGAAAGCCTTTGAGAAATAACAAGACTACAGACTTTTCGAGGTAATTCTGCAGGGCCAAGTCTTGGGTTACGAGCACCGTCTGACCATACTTCTTGACCATATGAAAGTCATCCGAAGGGTATACTTCTCGTTGGAAAAGGATCCTTGAAGCCTAGCTATGGGCGTGAGGTTCACTACGCGAAAGGGTGGCGAGCGTACGTGTTGACTGCATAGTTGAAGAACTCGGTGACGAGTTTGCAGGATCCCTTGAGGGTAATGGCCTGTTTGTTTGCCTGTCTGCTGGCCATTGTCCCTGGTGTCGATGGCGGGCGATAGTTGGTGGTCGCTGCAAAGGTGCAAGTCCTCGAGGCTTTGTGTAGGACCTGGGACCAATATGAGGGACGCGTTGTTTGAACACGGCCCTCACGTGAAGACGAGTCTGCCAAGCCATACGCAACCAGCTTCAGAGCTCTGCTTAGCTCGACCATTAACATCCAACAAGTCTCACCAGAATGTCGGCGGCTACACCAGCGTCGTCGCAGTCGCCACCTGCTGCTTCGCCAGGAAATGCATCCCAGGACCCAACACCAGCTTTATCATTACCTGAACGCGTAATCTTGGACTACCTTCGAGCAAGAGGACATACTTCCGCAGAGAAAGCATTCCTCGAAGAGGTTGAAGATCGCCCACCAGAGGAAAAGTCAAAGAATGAAACACTTGGTCAGGAAGAACTGGTTCGGGCTCTAGCTGTCTATGCCCAGAAGCCTTCGAGGCCCGGGGAGAATGCCCTCAAAGAATCATCGACAGTCCTGCAGGAGTTGGGCACTATGGGCAACCCTGTCAACATTCAAAGCCTTATTGCCAGTATTGAAGATGTCGGAGCTGAAGAACTACTTGCGCTTGACCCCACGGACAAGGAGATTGGCTTTGCAGAACTCGAAGCATGGGTCGATGGATCGTTGGATATGTACCGTGTATGTATCGCCCATGCTTTGTTGCAATGTAATACCATCTCACAGAGGCCACCAGCCCGAGTTCAGACCAATTCTCTTTCCTATATTCTGCCATTTCTATCTGGATTTGATTCAGCAAGGATTCAAGGAAGCAGGTGCGACCGTCCCTTCAACTAACACCACCAGAGCGCTAATCCTGCCTACCAGCACTCCGATTCTTTAACACTTTTTCCCCATCCCTGGCAACATCACATACAGCGACAATCCATCACCTATCTACCCTCCTCCTCCCTGCTCATGTTCAAGCCGATGAGCTTGCCCAACGTTTCAGGAATGAGAAATACGTCCTCCGAATGAGCCGTTCTGGTTTTAGTCTGTTGGTCGGGTGGTTAACAGAGGGGTTTGGCGGAGAGGCAATGGGTTCTGGAGATGGATTCACCGGAGAACAGGGCAAACGAGGTCGTGCAGCAGTCATGCGAGTAGTCAACAACCACCTCAAATTTGACGGTAAGTTCCTCTGTTTTACCAAGCCATCCCCCCTTTGCTTACCTCCCGAACCAGTAACATCCTCAAACCCTACTTCTGTCTCGCCGCATGCATGGGAGGAATCGACTGGCCTCCTTTCTTCCCTCATCCCTTCAGCTGCCGGGGGAAAAACTGCTGCAAACCCTCAAGCCTTCAATGCCAGTAAAGGCGAACTGAAGCTAGGCCCTGCGCCGATTTCAGAAGAGCTGCGAAATGAGACAGAACGAGTCCTTCGCGAGCAAGCAATGGTCAGCGGGGACCCCACAGCGCACATGGATTTACAATACACTCGACCGGTCCCCCCTGCTGGACTCGTGGCGCCGACAGAAGCAGACCTTTTACCCCACCCACCCACCTTCAAATCCGTCGATGTCGAGAGGGAAGTGAGTGCCGTCCGAGATGCTAGGAAACGAATTCGTCTGGACCCTTCGGCAATCGGCAATGTTGACTTGAACTCTCCTCAAGCGACTTCACTTAAAGTACGCGCTCTCCCGAGCGTATGCGCATACACGTTACATGATGTAACCGAAGGGTACGCGTCTTCGTATGCTAGCTGTTCAATGTTTTGGTTAACCGCTTATAATCTAGCGCACCATGCATGACATTCTCCCAAGACACTTCTCTGATGGCAGCTGGCTTTGCAGAAAGCTATATCCGTTTATGGAGTCTCAAAGGCGAAAAGCTTAGAGGTTTGAGAAGTGACTTTTCTTCAAGCTCTGTCAAAGATGGTTTGGGAATTCCTCTCTCGATCGATCTCGTGGCCTGACTTGTCTGTCTATAGCCGCATCTCTGCAGAAAATCAGGGAAAAGAAGGGAAGCACTACACGGAAACTAATAGGCCACAGCGGGCCTGTTTATTCCGTAGATTTCGACCCTGTAAACGGCTCCGCTGCTCCACCGAAGTATTTGTTGTCCTCCTCAGCCGATGCAACAGTCAGATTATGGTCTATGGATACCTTGACAAACGTCGTCGCCTTCCGAGGACACGAGAACCCAGTGTGGGATGTTAAATGGAGTCCCATGGGAATTTACTTTGCGACCGGAAGCAGGGATCGCACGGCGCGGTTGTGGTCGACAGACAGAACGGCGTGCTTGCGAATATACGCCGGTCATTTGGGAGATGTGGATGTACGTCTCCGTTTCTTTTTTCACATCGTTGTTTCGAGCTCATATTTGTTGTCTAGTGCGTCGGGTTCCATCCTAATTCTTTATATCTGGCTACAGGGTCCAGTGACTGGACAGCTCGTCTGTGGGATGTCCAACGAGGCGCGAGCGTTCGTGTCTTCGTCGGACATCAGGGACCTGTGTCGTGTCTGACGCTGAGTCCGGATGGTCGTTATCTCGCGACAGCTGGAGAAGACCTCGCCATTAACCTGTGGGATCTTGGCTCGGGTAAACGCGTCAAGAAGATGACAGGCCATACGTCGTCCATATACTCGTTGGCCTTTAGTGCGGAGTCGTCACTGCTGGTCAGTGGTGGCGCTGACTGGACTGTGAGGTGTTGGGACGTCAAGAGTGCTGGTGGTCTGAGAGCCAAGCCTACAGAAAATGGAGACACTGAAAACAAAGCTCGGCCAGGGAACAGAGAGGAAGAGAGCATTGAAACGTATGTTATCTTCCTTTGTTACTGGTTTGGAGTTTGTGAAATGACTTTTTTTCAGCGTGGACTTGTTAGCTACTTTCCCGACGAAACGGACACCGATAACGAACGTTCAGTTCACTCCCCGAAACCTTTGCTTAGTTGGTGGCAACTATCTCTCTTCAGAGCAGAGATGATTTGTCTCGTGAGTCCGAATTCGTCATACGAGTCACATTTATGAGGCTAATGTGTCCCAGAAGTCCATTGTATTACTCGCTATCATAACCAACTTTCAACTAGATTTGCTTTGGAAGAGTCATTCGTCGTCATCGTCGTCGGTGTCCTCTAGGAGGTCATCGACGTATTCTTCGTCCGCCACGCTCGCGCTCCAAGGGTTAAGCTGCTTCCTCCCATTGTCTGGGATGTGGTCTTGGCTGGAACTGTATGCTGTTCCATCGTCCCAGTTGCAGGAGGATTCCTGGGTCAAGGTGCCATGGGAAGAACCCGATGTTTGTGAAGAGCTATAGTCGTATTCGGTGGCCTGGCTGCTTTCAAAGTAGTCAGAGTCATCTTCCTCTGCCTGCGGGTTATCTTAGTGTTTCATTTCCTACATTCGGTTTACAACGGCACGTACTTTTTCGACCTTCTTTCTGTCCCTTTCGTCTTCCTCTCGCATTGCCTCTGCTTGACATTCGACGTCGTCAGAGTACGCGAGGTCTTCGGGACCATAGCTTGACCATTGCTGGAGTGCTCTCATCGTGAAATGCTGGGGTGGTTCCTGGTGTACGTTGGACGCGTGTTGGCTGCCTTTTATGCCCCAGAGAGAGCCACACGCAATTGGTACATAGTGTGAGCATGCCACAACCTCCATGCCACCATTTCAAACTGTCAAAGAAGGTGTCCTGTGAATGCCATTGAGTCTTTGGTGTCTTACTGGTTTTAACAAAGACTTTGAACGCGATTAGGGTAGGGTAGCAGCATGGGTTAATGGAGATCACGTGAGAGCTAATTGGGTTCGCGCAAGTGAGCGAGTCGCTTCGCTGCTTCTTGCCATTAAACGACTTTCACGATCTACTTGAACTCGACGACCACCACAGTTTCAGGACCTTAGATCAGTCGAACTTGTGAGGAACAATGGTATATGGTCCCCGTTGAGCTTGGCCTGCGATGTCGCTGTGACTGACACATACCCCGTGTTCCTCAGGCAGAGTCAATGGATGTCGACATGGGAGGCGTCGCCCCTGCCGCACAACCAGAACCCATCAAGCAAGAGGGTGGAAATACTTTCATTGATGCTCTGGCGGCACCTAGTATGTCCCTTGCATTCTCGTCTTTGCAGCCTGGCGACGACCACAACTAACGCCCTAACCCAAAGCGCCACCAGCCTCTCACCGCGACAACTCTTTCCGCGAGGTCATGGTCAAAGTCCACATCCGTCGGCCAGAGAAGGACTCGTGGATGTACCTCGGGAGGGGCATTGCGACACAGGAAGTGAACGGACATTCATCTCGTGTCGGTGGGTGTCCCTACTGCCATGAAAGAGATTACTGCGCTGACGTACCTAATGCTCCATCGTGCAGTCGTGCGCGCACAGTCCTCAGGGAAAATCATCACCCAATTCGACGAGGTAATGCATTCGCCATATTGATTCTATTGAATCTAACGATTGAATGGGATTAGACCTCCGATCTTCAAGCAGAAAAACGGGGGAACTTTGTTGTCATTGGACTGGTGGATGGCTCACGGGTAGTATCCTGGTCGTTGAACGTAAGGCGCCGTCTTCTATTCCTAGTTAAAGGAACGGACTTGACAAACAAAATAGGCACCCAATAACTCGGAAACCCTCCGCCTGCTTGCTTCAATTGAGCTCGCGTGCTACAGATGCAAGCAGGCACTTGTGGATCCCCGTCTGCACGTCAAAGCTCGCCGTCGGATTGAGCGTATTATCAAAGACGACAGGCGACGGAGGCATCGTCGCCGCAAAGACCAAGACGCTCTGATTGACGCATTTGCGCGACAAACGTTGAGTGCTGACAATGTGCCTGATCCAGCACCCCCCAATGAGGCCGGTATGCCACCGTCATGAATATATGATACATTTACCGTCCTCCATCTCCTCCGTCGCTTTCTGTTCTATCTAGATCCTTACTCGGCTCTGAGCGTGAAACCATGTAATTCTTATATATCCAAATCGTTTTCACTGCCTTTCCTTTGTATGTGCTGCTATTATGGGAATACAATGCATCCATTTACTGTAGGCTGCAACACATACCACAGAAGAGACGGTATCGTATGTGTGGTCTTTCTGGATGCGTCGAAACGCAGATGATACACGGGGTAATACACGCGATCCCAAATAGGGAGGGTATAAGAAAAATCAAGCACGAGTCAACGAGTGGTCTATGAAAAGAGTGTTAAATAATGCACTGCACATTCTGAAGAAGAGTTCATTCAAATCTGATGGGAAGACGAAGAAAAGCAATTATCGTTTACGATCACCAGTGGGTTGAGAGCCAGGCAACCCAGGTATTGGAGCCCGACTCTCCGAGTATTGAGGTGGAAGCTCGTCGGGGAGGTCCATAGTCTCTTCAATGTCCTGGTGGACTATCAGGCGTTGCGACGGCGCGGACGGTGGGGAGACGCTCTTTTCCCCAGAGCCCGAAGCTTGCGGTCGTTGGGTGCCCTGGCTCGAAGCACTGTACACGCTGGAAGGTGCTGGGTCTGCGTTGGTGGCGTACAGGGTACCCGTGGTGCGGGAGGGGGCATAAGAAGATGCACTCGCCGGGTTATAGCCATGCTGGGGATGTTGGTGGTATTGGTTGTGCTGGTACGAGTGCTGGCTCTGAGCATACGGATGAGAGCCTTGTCGATGGTGACCTTGGGCGGGAGGGTACGGATTGGAGGTTTGACCACAATGGTCCTGGTGGTAAGGTTGTTGTCCATGTTGGTACTGCTGGTGGCCTTGTTGGTACCCGCTGTACTGTCCGTAGCCGTAGGCACCAGCAGCAGCAACACCTGTCGCCATAGGTTGTGGGGGGTATCCCGTCGCTGCGCTACCACCGTACAAGTTGCCAGAACTATCGTTGTACTGTCCCGGACCGCCCTGGGTCGCGGATGAGGATCCATATCCACCATAGCCTCCCATTTCATCGGCTGTGTAAGGGTTGTACTCAGCTTGCTGAGCAGGGAACGATGAGTTTACCGTCGGGTTGGGACTGGCATGCTTAATGAGCGGTGTATGCGACCCATTCGTGGAGTAGGTGTTTTGTGGGTATGGTGCTGCCGCTTGTGAAGGTGCAATGTTTGCACTGGACGAGTTAAGGGTGCTGGGCAGAAGATAGGTGTTGGAAGGGGACACGGGCAGAACAGAACCTCCGGTACCGTAGTCTGTGAAGGACTTCCCTTCTTGAGGGGGTGAAGGGGAAGACTTGTTCCGTTTGAAGCAAAACACCGCAAGGAACGCGAAGATTCCGAGGAAGACGAAGCCACCCGCAGCGGCACCTACAATGATTCCAACGTTGGGCCCGTCCTTCTTTTCATCATTGTCCTCATCCTGGTTATCACTGGAATCGCCGATTCCACTCGCTGTTGGTTGACGGGTCGCTGAGGAACGAGTCCCAGTCTCCGAGGCCGAACGAGTGGATGATGGAACGGGAGCGGAGCTAAGCGGGAGGCACGATGCATCGCTTGACGACGACGCTGTCTGGATGGCAGATGTACCACCGTTTCTACCTTCTGCATCTGTCATGAAGAAGGCAATCTGAGTACCTGCAGGTATCGTTGCCCTCCAATCGAAAGAATCGCCGGGAGGAGGTTGCACGGCAAACGACAGGCCTCCGGGAACGAAGCCCTATACACAGACACTTAGAGAACATGAGAAACAAATGCGGAATGCGGGCCTCACAAATATTGTCACTGGTTGTACCGCTCGGCCGTAATTCGTGAAGGGGTAGTCACTGCACAACCAGGTCGATAAGTGGGTCTACGGAGAATTCAATGGCAAGGAAGGCTCACGAGCATTGTGCGAGTTCTCCATCCAGTGAATAGAAGAAATCAGCCCCTGGCAAATGGTGTGCGATGTTAGCCACTACATATAATATGAGGTAAAGGTGTTTGCTTACCTGGATCTACAGTGTCACACTCGGCGCCGCCCTGGGCTGCGCCCACTCTCATTGCCCTAGTGATCCCTCCTGCGGTAATGCCAGTGGAGTCGGACATGGCGAAGAGGATCTCTTGGTTTTCTGAAAAGGGGAGTTCGTCCACTGTAAACTCTCCTTGATCGCCTAGATACGCTGAAGTGGGAATCGAGATGTTGCGCAGTGTTCCCCCAGGCTATATAGAGCGCTTAATACACCTCGTAACTGAGCTTTTGAGAGACTGACTGGTATGATTAGCAGCCTAAAGGGAGGAGACCCTCCTAGGAAGGTGGTGAGCAAAAGTGACGGGGGCCTAGCGTGCGGGGTCTTTCCGTACCTGACCAACGAACTCTGAATTCCCCGCATTCCGTGGGGTCGTCGTGCTCGAACTCGAATCCATAAGCGCCCCGTAAGATCACAGAGACCGCAAAAAGTAAAGAGGGCACGCGAGGCAGCATCGAGAAATGCGCTGACCGCTGAAAATTAGTCGAACATGTATGGTGGGAGACGGATGGCAAGGGATCGTTTGGTCGAGCTTGGGTCGAGCGACCAGCGCAGCAAACAGCAAGCTACAGCAAGCGAACCGAGCACCTGGTTACCGATGAATTGATAGATCGGTGGCAGTTCAAACTGAATTCTCACACAAGCTTCTTGCATGCGAGAGGGAAAATAAGTATGTAGTATTTAAGTACAGCGGGCGACAGACCACAGCAATAAAAAAGCCAACGATTCCAGCTTGGCTATGAAAACGGTTGTGAACGATTGGGTTGAGAAAACGAATATGTGTGGGTAGCGGAAGGTGGAGGGGGTAGATCTTCGGGGGTAGTGTTTGCGACGGTAAAGTTGGATGGTCCTCGACGTTCGGTATACATAGGCGGCAGCTCGACAACTTCATCTTCGCTGGGTGGGGGGAGCGCATCCTCCAAATCTGTGTGTACAATGAAGCGTTGAGGCTTGTGGGACGTTTCGCCGGCCATTGCCGCTTTCCTCTGTGCGGAGGTCATACTAGTTCCCTGAGATCTTTCCGTCGGAGAAGTCGGTCGGCCGTCATTCATATGTGTGGGAGGTAAAATGGGAGGGGCCGATGGGTTGAATGGATCACTGGACGATGGTGTGGGCAGTGCGGGTGACGGTGGGTAGGCAGGTCTCGATTGGAAGGGGTCGGAGGATGAGTAGTTGGCGTACGCTGAGTGGATGTTGGACGTCGAATCGGCAAATGGGTTTTCACCAGATACCAGATTGGTAGATGATGGACCGTAAGACGGTGGACGATACGAATTGCCATAGGGGTCTTGACTGTACGCAGTGGCCCCTGACCGGCGCTTTGCGTCCTTCATTCTGTCATGCTTCTTCTTGAAATTCTTCAGGAAAAAGAGACCCAAGGTGACGATGACAGCAAGGAACAGCAAAGATCCAATGACAGTGCCTGCAATAGCACTAATCGGTACTGAGGCAGCCGCCGTGGCAGCCGCTGATTCTGAAGGCTCAGTGGTAGGGGACGCCGTCCTTGAGTCCTCAGTGGACGACGTGGGAGTACTGGCAGCAGTGGAAGATGTCATCGTCGAGGATAGAGCCTGGTCGTCAAGGCAGGACCTGTCGTCAGATCGACTCGCTGTTCTGACATCGGATGCTCCTCCTTGCCCTCCTCTCGCGTCGGTCATGAAAAACATCACAGAAGTACCACCCGGCACATTGGCGGTCCACTCATATCTTGAAGCGCCCATTGGGACTTGCACCGTGGTCGAAGTCCCGCCAGGAACGACGATCTAGAAAAAAGTGTGAACACGTCGTGGAGGCGTCAGCTACGTGATTGACATACCCAGATGGTCACGGGCTGTGCAGCAGTCTCAAATCCTTCAAAAATGAACCCGCTGCGCCCTCCATTAGTTCGAGTGCGTAGGTAGGAGCCAGAAAGCCGACATACCGACATTGCTGAAGCGCGTAATTCAGCTGGAAGGGAAAGTCGATGCCTAAACGTGTCAATATGGGCGCCATTATGGTAGTGAGCGGCTCACCTATATCTGTGGTATCGCAAGAGCCGCCTTGCGATTCCTCTACAATTTGGACGGGAGTACTGCCTCCAGCCCCAAAGCCTGTGGCATCGCTCATCGTCAGCAGTAGCTCAGAGTCCTTCGCAAAGTCCAGTCGGGTGGTGAAGCTGCCTCGGCCATTGGAATACGCGGACGGGGGTATGGATATATTTCTTGGTGTTCCAAATGACTTGAGAGAGAGTAATTAGTGGTGAACCAGCGCTTCGAAACGATATATGGCATACGGGGACAACGAGAAGCTGATATGGACCGGTACCACCTGTGACGCCCCAAGGTTTAGTGAATACGGTTTGGTGACCTGGATCAGCTTCTTACCGGACCATTCGACAGTAAAGTCATCGCACTCGGAGAGAGTTGTGTGGGTGAAGCTGAAGGCGCTGACGAGGGCGCTAAAGGATAAAAGAGTGTAGAATATACATGAAAGAGCGAACATGGATAAAGAATGGGAATAAGGAGCGAATGATTAAAATGAATGCAGAATGGAGGATAACACTCGACATGGCAATTCCTCCAACGCGCCTCCATGTCTTTGACATGGGAACCAACTTATCTAACACTCCTTGGCGTTTCTTGGCCCACACAAAAATCTCTCCAGTCTTTCAACACAAACCTTGCACAAACCTTGAAACAACCACCCGCTGAAAATGATGGAACGAGATATCAGCCATTGATCCACCGGGTAACTCAATTGAACTCATGGGCTTGGTAGTGCAGCGCACGGAGGTCCTTCAACGTTAACGGCTATTGTGATTATTCTTGTCAAAAGTTCACATGTATCCAAGAAGCAGAAATGGATATGGAGACCTCCTCGAGCTCGCAGCGCAACTTTTATAACGTAGTTTTCTGCCTCGCAAAAGTCCTCAGTTAGCGGTGCAAATCTGTAATTATCTCAAGGTTCTATCACAGTCGAGTAACCTTGTTCTTTAATCAATCGAGTGTACGCTTCCGGTGGATCCTCCCTTCAACACGCTGACTCCGTGATTCTTACTTGTGGCACCAATATGAACCCCCCGTCGTGCATCTTGCTTCGTGCCGCCATCTAAACCGATCCCAATGGGATCGTCTTTTGCTTCCCGACTCATCAAGCGAAGACCTAGCTGGGCGCCCGCAAACCCTTGTGTAACTAAACGCTCTCCAAGGCGTGCTCACTTACTGTCGGTTGGATGCGGACCCTCTCCCTTTTGTGCCATCTGAACAGGATGCAAGACCCCCAATATTAGATGTCAGAAGGATCAAGAAAGATTATCTTCTACATGGGATCAGGTCTGGTTCACGAGACCAAAAGGGATAGCTACATCCACAGTGTTTTCGACACTAAATCAAGCTCCCGCATCCGTTGATAGTTTCTATCGATTATAGCCAGGCCTTACTAGTCTAATCCCTCGTGCTACTAGCCTTTAAAGATGAGCTTAACGAGGGTTCTGTTCCGAGCTCCAACATTGTCTATAGAACCGACTATGGTCGACGGGGAAAGAAATCGAAGATTGAACCGAGCTAGCGGATACATAGAACCGCAAACCATTGGCAACAAAAAATGTTGAACTAAATCTGTGCTAAATATCCAAAATATTCCGATTAGATTCATGTAAACATGCAGGCACCCCCGCTAGGCTGTACCCCAGATCTCTTCGGCGGCCTTGACGAGGAGCGATAGCTTCCTCTTCTCGTCCTATATGAACGATATGAGAATATGGTCGACGATCTCCTACAAACCTCGAACGCACCTCTTCCGTCAACGGATTTCCCTGCCATACAGAAGCAAAGCCGCATTGCGTGCTAATGCATAGTCTTCATAAAAGAGAAAATCGTCAGATTGATAACCACCCGTCAAGCCCGGGCAACCGAGAGGACACCCACTGGTTCAAGGCAACTTCTTTGCTGCGTTTGGGATTTCCCTGCGACATTATCTCCACGGCCTCGTTGACGCGAGCCTTGATGTCTTCTAACGATTCCAGCTGAAAGATGTGAGGATCGCTCCGTGTTCCATGACTCAAGGATGATTACAAACCTTCGGGTTCTTGGTGGTAACAAGACCCAAAACCGCGACTTTGTCCAAGGGGAAATGCTTAAGAGGTGTAAAATCACCCGCCCTTTCTGTGTCATATTCCAACTAGAGTCCCATCCAAAGTTAGTTCGAATGCGGCCCAAATAGAAGGTCCGGGAAATAGATATACATAGAACACGTCAACGTCGAGGGTGTTGAAAACCTTCAAGGCAATTCTGTCGTAACTCCCCTCGGTGAAATGAACGCCACCCTAATAAGAATAAGCAGTAAGTACACCAGAATAGCCTTGTCATGCGTCAGAGAAATGAATTCCGACCTTGAAATTGCCTCGACACATATGCACACCAATGCGGAGATCCCGGGGCCTTCCCTCGGTACATAGGTTGATTGCGCGAATGTAGGTGTCCAACAAAGCCTCATGGTCCACTCCCGAGCTCTCCATACCGATGATCATGTCTTCGTTGCAGAAATAGCAAAAAGTGGGATCATCAATTTGGATGTTACCTGTTTTGTAAAAGAGTTAGCACCACATAGAACAGAGGCTTTCAAAACACCGCACGGCAGCCAAGATCGTAGAGCTCCTGAATTTCTGCGCGATACGCCATTGCGAGATCGTCGAAATACTCGTCTAAAGCGATGACATAGTTAAGAAGACGCTTTCACCCCAATCCTATTGAACAATGAAGCTCACCATCATTGTTATAAACAGACAAGTCATATGTCATGTCGGACCCGTGCCGTTGGTGGAACCAACAAGGTGAGCAGATCGTCAATTTAACGTTCCTGACATCCTATAGAAGGAGGGTCAAGCGCTAGCTTAGCCAAATTTGAAGAGGGTCAAACCTCTGGGGGCACAATTGACTTGATATATTTGAACTCGTCGACATAGAAGGGCTTGGTTCGTTTGATTTTACCCTGGGTTTGCCGGCATAACTTTGAGCATCTCGGAACAATAACGCAACCTGAAGAGATATTTACGTACCGTACAGAAGATGCTCGGGGCTTCCTGCATACCAGCAGCGTACATGAGCCGCTGATGAGGAATATATGGCTAGACTCGTCCCAGTCAGTGTCCACCTTCGTCACAAAACACGCCGAATCATTACCTTGAAGGTGGTAATCGGTCCTTGTAGCAGTGAGCCGGCGCGTCAAACAGGGTCGGAGGTTGGATACGTACGATTCGGGATGAACGTCATCCCCTCCAATTTGTCGAACACGTTCTCAAAGAACATTTCCCTGGAAGGCGGAGAACAACAGTTGAGTTGCCCACATTCCGTTCCGCTGTCCGACTCGGGAAGTCACGACCGACCTTCGTAGCTCACCGTCGGTGATAGTCTTAATTCCAACCTCACGTTGGAGGTTCACCACATGTTTGATAGCGTCATCTTCAACTGCCCGAACGTCCTCTCGCGTGCACTTTCCGTCCTCGAGTTGTTGGCGCTTTTCGAACAGGGAATCAGGGCGAAGAAGCGATCCAATATGTTCGGCGCGAAAAGGTGGATTGAGATGCATAGTGGTTGGGGCGAAGTAGTTCGAACGTAGCGAGCGGTATGTAGGGAAAGGGACCTGGGAGCGATTCCGTTTCGAATCGCGCCTTTTTATAAGCGACCGGCGATAAACAAATATCGTGAACCTAATGAGAGAATTCTGAGAAGAAGCCTCAATGCAAGCGGACTTCAATCACCTAAATGATCTGGGGCCGTAATTGGCGTTCAACTCAACGCAAAGGGGTAGGCTTCGTCCGAATAACGCGACACAGGTGACACGGAGGTATTTAGGGCAAACAGTGACCGCACGCAACGAGGGAAGAGGAGGAGCAACAGACCAATATCGTGTCCAAAAGGTCGCGAGGAGCCGATTTGACAGATCACTGTGAAAGATCCTTCAGAAAAGGTGAGGTCACTGTTACTTCGCAATGTCAGTAACATGCATTATTTGACGGGTATCCGCATTGGGATTAAGTGTGCACGCCAGACTCCAATGATCACGTACACTGATAAAGGAGGGCAGGGGTGTGAGCGCAGCGGTGAGAACCGTGAACCTGAGAAGCTGAGAAGGCAGTTAACTTGAAGAGGAAAACAGTGACCAGATCGGTGCGTAAATTGAGAAGCCAGCCTTCCAGACGGTGTTTGTGCGCAGCGCCCTGCCAGCCAGTCGATGGCGAATTAGGTAAACCATACTCAATATCGCAAAGAGGTTGGAGTTTAGTGAGATCTCCTCCGCCGACAGGATCTCGAAGGCGCGTGAAGCCCCAGGGTGCATACGGGATTCACTCAGACTGGATCTTGGTGATCCTCCATCATTGCACAGGTGGTAAAGAGTTTACGTTGGCGGAACAGATGACCCAGTGTGTAGACAGGTTGTTGCGAGATAACGGCGCCCACGAAAGGCGAAGAACATGGGCGTTGAAACCGGACGTGGTGGCAGGACCTACGAGCCAATCGCGCGGCCAACCTAGTCGTACAGCCGTGGACTTCTCAATCTGGACGTTTACGAAAACTTGTGCCATTGGCTGGGTGAACACGGTTCTCGTTGTTGCCAGAAACAGCCCTCGATATACTTTCCTGGAAGGCAGAATGGCAGCCACTGAGTGCGTGTGTTGTGGATGAAAATAACCGCCACTTCCAGTCCGTTCAAATCTCGCGTTGTCAGAATGAGCAGTCAGCAGGACTAGTCAGGGGTTAGGGTCTCGGAGTTTGACACCACCGCATACAGGAGCGACGAAGAACGTTTAGAACCATTCACCACCAGCTACATGGGACGAGTCGAACATGGACAGATATCGATTCATAAATAGGCGCAGAGCAAGGGAAATAATGCTGGGAAATGTTATCACTAACCAGTTAGGAAAACAATTCCGTGAGGGTTGATGACAAATCAGATGGACTGTACAGTTTCAAGCCACAGCTCAGAATTCGCACGATTCGTCTACGCATTTGGACGATCAAGAAGAATACCGGCGTCGACGACCCTCGAATCCTCAAGGTACGCTATTGGTCGTCGTCAACAACATCGGAATCGACATCTAACGTGCTCTGGGAACAGACTAAGCCATGGGTTTCGCGCACAACAACGGTGAGGCCGCTCGAAACACCCACTTGGCACGAAATTGACTTGATAAACAGTCCTCCACGGCAACCACTTCCGCAAGGACTGGCAGCGCCGGGTCCGCACCTGGTTCGACCAGCCAGGACGAAAACTTCGCCGACGAAACGCCCGCAAGGCCAAGGCCGCTGCCCTTGGAGTTCGCCCCCTCACCCTTCTCCGCCCCGCCGTTCGTGCCCAAACCGTCCGATACAACCGAAAAATCCGTGAAGGTCGTGGCTTCACTCTTGCTGAATTGAAGGAGGCTGGTATTGGAAGGAAGGAGGCCAAGTCCGTTGGCATTGTTGTTGACCACCGAAGGAGAAACCTGAGCGAGGAGGGCAAAAAGATCAACGTCGAGAGACTCCAGGAGTACAAGTCTCGATTGATCATCTTCCCCCGCAAGGCCGGCAAGCCCAAGAAGGGCGATTCCACTGTAAGTGATCCTTTGAACGCAGACCTTTATTGGAATTCACTTTTTGGCATAGGGCGACGACCTCAAGGCCGCCACTACCCGTGCTCCTCTCCCCCTCCCTACTGGTGTTGCCCCAGAGGCACCCCGCAAGATCACCGACGAAGAGCGTGCCTTCAAGGCCTACCGCACACTCCGAGATGCCCAGGCCTGGCAACGACACGAGGGTGCTCGCAAAGTGCGCGCCGCCAAGGTCAGTAAATCACCTTTGACGAGCAATCCTTTCCTGACCATAAAGATAATCAACAGAGGGAGGAAGAGGAGGCTGCCAAGAAGAAGTAATCTCTTTAACACCATGGCTTTTCTTGTGCATTCGTTACTCTCCTGCTATTTTACGTCCCATCCACGACGCACCTACTCCTGGCCAGAAAAATATGAGTTGCTCAGTCCATGTCGTCCCGCCCAACATGCCTTATGCCCGCAATATGACGTTTTTTTTTCATCCTCCAGAGTTGACCAGCCATTGACGGAGCGCATGAGCTATTAACAACCATGAGTACTTGCTAGACCAGTTTCCCAGGGCCGGACAAATGTCCATTAGTGCTTTAGACTAGTGTCTTAATGTAAGTACGTAGTTTCTAAGATCTAAGAAGGTATCTTTTATCTAGTTCTCCTTGACCATTCCGTCAATACTCTTTTCGACCGCCTCAACGACCTCTGCTTTCGCAACCTTCCCAACTATCTTGACCTGCTCAGCGACATTGCGAAGAACTCCAAGAACGTCCTTGTTGCCCTCGATGAAACCAAACTCGTTATAAGCCAAGCCTTGTTCTTCGCAGTATTCTTTCACGAGGAGGCTTGCCTGGCGCAGATTGTGCCTGGGAAGGCGGGGGAACAAGTGGTGGGTGACTTGAAGATGGAGACCGCCGTGAATGAAGGCAAGCGATTCCGGGCAAATGACGTCGCTAGTGGTTCGTAATTGGCGGTGAGGAAAGGATTCTGTGGGTCCCAGATCGGTAGTCGACATGCTAAAGTGGGAAAGAACGATCTACGCGAAGTTTGAGTATCGGAATATGCAGAAAGTCGCAGTGACACGCACCTGCACGTGTAGAGGACTGGGCACGATGTTACTGATGAGGAGATAGACGATAGCGTTTTGCCACGAGCCGGTGTTGTACAGGACGCGGAGGTACCAGTTCCAAAAGAAGATCAACCCAACGATTTCCAGACGGAACGCCCAGGTACCTCCTCTAGCGCGTCGGGTATCGAATGCCTTTTGGTATAGGAAGATGTACGAGTTGGCGTAGAGATTGAACCGCGCGAAGGCCATGATGATGTAGTATAGCTTGTGTTGCATAGAAATCAAGAACTTTGCGAACCGGTCGAAAACCATCGTCCGTTTGTAGTATGACGACCACAGCGAAGAGAAGAAGTTGGTAGAGATGGCGAAGAAAGGGATATGTTGGATATCGGGATCACTGTTATGGAATTCAGATCAAGTGTACAATCGACGTTTAACGTTACTCACTGGGTCGGATGATTGGTAACAACTTGGTGGAGGTAATATTTGAGTAAAGTACGCAGAATCGATAAGGACACACTTACGATGATGAACATTGTGATTCTAGAGGATCAAAAGGTTAGTGTCCGGACGGACCCAAGGGTAGGAAAATACACGCACGTTGACCCACCACCCAATACTAAGCCCACCAATGAAATCAGCAATAATAATTGCAATGATTCGGTCGATAGCCCAATTATGAGTAACACCCATGTGGCCTAGATCATGGGCTGAGAAAACGAGCTGGTGCCAGAGCAAGCCTAGAAAGAGGGCGCTGGTCTTGAACCATTGGTGCCAGTAGGCATAGACGGACGCGCACGCAAAGAAAGTGTAGCGCAGAATTTCTGGGCCATAACCTGTGATATACCGTGTTGAATAGAGGCCAGCCTCGGTTATACGTTTGTGCAGCTCCTTGTAAGCTTTTGAGTGCCTAGCCTGGACCGCTGGCGACAGGTCAGAGGCCGGTGGTGTTATCGTGGCAAGTGTAGGACCCTTCTCTGGGCTTGGTGACGAGTTGTTGGGCACGAGCAAGACTTCGGAAGCAGGGGAGGAAGATGTAGCATTATTCCGGGGCCGATGCTCATGGGCTTCCCGAAACCAATAGGGGTTTCCTTGGGCGTCGCGTTTTCTGACCCAACCCGCCATGATAGGTGGCAGGAAAGGCTTCCATGGGTGTTCTGTGGAGTTCACGACACGTCCGACGGAGTATCGAGGAACGAGTTTGAGGGTATCGTCGAGATGGTATGCCTCAACCTCGTCGGTGGCGTCCCTGCCGACAAAGTGGAGCAAAGCGAGGTTGCCGCCTGGGTGGGCGTTGAGCCACTTGTCGGGAATTTTGAGGAGGTGGTCGCGGAAGACGATGAGGGTGTCGCCGTCGAGGATGGCAGCGGCGACGGCGTCCCTTGACCAGAGCCTGTGTTTGTCCATAAATCTCAAGTGACGCGACTTGTCAGAGCTTGGTCAGAGCCAAGTCGTTGCATGGCCAAAAGCAGATGCTCGGGGAAACTTAGCTGCACCCGTGGGTAAATTCATTCCAACCACCACCACCGGCATCAAGTCGGTGTTCGTCCTCTCACCCCCACCACCACAGTCCACAGATACCCTTCCTCATCGTCTGTCCCCTTCTCGACAGCGCATTTGACTATCAAAATGCCCTCACCGTCCTCCAAGCCCGTCCCTGCAGACGTCAGAGAGGCTGTGCGTGACACAGTCGCATATCGCCACCAACAGCCAGATCCAACAAGAAACCGCGCCAATCGTAGCCACACCTCTGCGTATGTCGGCCTATTCTATTTTTGCTGTCTGATGGACGTCGCCGTTGGCTAATGCTAACCCCTTTGCCCCAACAGGGCAAACCCCGCCAGCTCCAGGCCCTCTGGCAGAGGTCGTTCTCATTCAGAAGACTCCGGCAATATCGTCGAGAAAGCAAGATCGAGCGGCAAGTCTCGCACCAAGAAGGGCTCGCAACACGCAGATGTCATTGACCGGTTAGATTTCACTGGCGTTGGTCCCAGTACGTTGTTGTACCAGCTTCATCGGATTGTTCTGACCTTCCTCGGTTACTGTCAACAGTGTTCCACCACGATGGCCCCTTCGATGCATGTGCGCCATCTCGCAACAAGCACAAGACCAAGGCTCCCATGCATGCTTGGTCAACCAAGCCTGAAGACCTTGTCCAGCAATACGGCAACGGGGCTTATCCGTCGCCTTATGCTTACCAAGCGTTCTCCAACGATTATCCCGAACCGCCCAAGAAGAAGGTCGACGCCATCGCTGAAGCCTGGGGTATCCACGAGCCAGAACCATACGAGGAATTTTTTGCTGGTGGCGGCAAAGCCGAAGGCGACACCCCGGCCAGTTCCATCTACAATGGTAAAGACGGGCGCAATGGGCGCTCCAAGGACGACACTCGAGAGGGGCGGTCCCGTGCCCCTGTCGCCCGTCGCCCCGGTGTCCCTCCTCCACAGCCCATTTTTGTACCTGAAGCAGAAATCGAACAGCCCTCTAGTTCGCCGCCAGCCAACGCTCCAGGATTCCCCAAGAGATCCAAGTCTCTCATGCATCGGATTCGCAAGATGCGTGACGCTCCCAATGTTCCCGTCTCATCTGATTTCGAGACCCGACCGCCTTCATCTCCTTCCTCCCCATCCATCCCCAATCAAGAAGGTCAATCCTCGAGACCTACCCATCGCTCGCAAAACTCGTTTTTGGGTCGTTTCGGCGTAAAGTCCAATCAAAGTGCGCCCATCTCTACCCAAAACGAGACCCCGGAACCTTACGTCTTCATTGATAACCAGAAGCAGGACAAAGCTCTACCCGCGACTCCTCTAGAGATTAGGGCTGCAGAGAATGCCTATCACTCTGATAGTCAGCAACAGGGTGGTGCTCAATTGGGGAGGAAAACCAGCTTGATGAAGAAAGTGGGTCGAGTAGTGCGGGGAAGATAAACGACATTCATGGGTATCTCGATCATCCCGCTTCCCCTTCCGCACCGAACCGAATGTTAATCAAGAAACGATCTGAATGACACGACGCAGCACGTCCTTTGTAAAACCCCCTTCTGTACTCATTCCTTTTATTACTTTCTCCCGGTGTAATGCGCCAGGGTCCCCTTCTCTCTCTCGATGTTCCGATTCGATTCTCCTTTGGCATTTAATTATTCTCTTCCTGCACCATCCTTCATTCGTCTCTTTCCCGACGGGTACACATGATCTTCTATTTATCGTCATATCATTGGTTACCAGCACCTATGACTGCAATGTATCATCTGTACTCGACGGCCAGGAATGTGTTGTACTCTAACATTTTTTGATCTCACTGACTTCCGTAGTACTGTCTCTTTTGTAGCTCAACTTTAACAAAACCGCTTCGGTTTACATCTTGATTCTAATAATGTAGCCTTCCTATTCATCTCGTTCCAAAATCCCGCGAATCATACATAGTGAAAAGATGTTACGGGTCTCGTACGTTGATCCTTGCTTCCTTCAGCGCCCGCTTCACGTCTTCAATCTTCACCTCTTCTCTGTGGAAAATACCAGCGGCGAGAGCAGCTTCAACTGGTGTGCCGGTAAACACGTCAACGAAGTGCTGGGCACTACCTGCTCCACTGCTTGCCACCACCGGTATTTTGACCGTCCGCTTGATGAGATTGACAAGGTCAAGGTCGAAACCCAGCCCGGTGCCATCTCGATCTACCAGATTAACCAGGATTTCGCCTGCGCCCAAAATCTCCACTCCTCTCGCCAGTTCAACTGCTGACACATCTCGGGTCTCGCGGCCACCTGAAACTGTACACTGGTACCACCACGCCTTGCCTCGTTCCTTCTCTGGCCCGTCTGGTTTGCCGTAAACCAACTCGGCTGCATAGGGTCCCTGGTAAGTTGCGGGGTCCACATAGCACCGTTTCGGATCGATGGACACCACAACCGCTTGCCTTCCGTACGCATGGGCAATTGTCTCGATGGCGCTCGTACCGTCTCCCTTCTCCCATCCAGATGCTCGAAGACGCTCGACAGCGTAAACTGCTTCCGAGCCAATGCTAACCTTGTCCGCTCCTGCTCGGAAGTAAGCTCCAGCCACTTCGATCGCCGAGCGTGGGGTGCCGTCAGGGTCAACGCTATCTTTGATGCCACCACCGATAGTCAATGGGACAAAGACGCGTTCCGCTGCAGCGCGTACCACAGCCAGCATGGGTTGGTCACGGAGTGGAGAGTGGCGGAAGGAGGTGATGTTGAGAAGGCACAATTCGTCTGCGCCTGCTTCGAAGTATTTCTCTGCGAGGGTGACGGGTTTGCCGAGATTTCGTACTGCACCTGCAGTGTCTGCGGTGACGGCCTTTTCACGAACATCGTATTGGTCACCTTTGGTTACGACGAGATCGCCCTGGTCGTTCGCGCGAACGTCCATGCAAGCGACAATGCGTTTGGTCAGTGAATGGCTGGGCTTGGGGAGGATGGTACGAAGGGGTGCGGGAGGTGTGGAGGTGTGGGTGGCGGGTGATTCCTTCAACCAGGCGTCGATGAGAGCAAGGCCGGCTTCACCAGATTTCTCTGGATGGAATTGGGTGCCAAAGACATTCGCTTTTCGTACAGACGAGAGGAAAATCTCTTGGCCATATTGTGTCGTGGTATAGGCCCATGACATAGCCTCGGGATATTTCTCGGGATTGTACTTGGCGCAATACGAGTGAACAAAGTAGTAGTGGGTAGAGGGTTTGGCGCCATCGGAGCTCTGGCTAGGATCGACGACCTCTGCAGCATTCCATCCCATATGAGGGACTGCCTTGTCCGAATCGTCAAAGCCTTCTATCGGACATGGGATAATACCCAGTCCTTTGAGCGATGCTTCGGCCGACGACTCGAAGAGGACCTGCATTCCGATGCAGATGCCAAAGTACGGTTTGCCTGATTTGATATACTCTCGCAGTGGTTCGAGGAGACCGCGAGATTGGAGGTGTCCGATGGCAGATTGGAACGATCCTACTCCAGGGAATATGAGGTTCTAATGCTCAATGTTGGTTGTAAAGTTCGTAGAGAGAATGTTAGATTTGGCACGCACAGTGGCCTTTTGAAAATCTTCTGGTTTTGAAATCCATGTAAATTGATAGCCTAGCTTCTTCAGAGAGTTTGCAAGGCTCTGGACGTTTCCAGCGCCATAATCTAGGAGATAGAGGCCCGACATGGTGAAGGAAATGGGGGAAAGAACAAGAGTCGAGTCAGTGAACAGAGTCCGGTGATTGGCGCCAATTCGTGATCGACAAATTTATCAAGATCATATAATTAGATCAACTGGTCACGGACTAGTGTTGCGTGCTTATGAGTGACTTGGTATAAAGCCTAGACTGACTCTGACTTGACTCTTCATCCAAAATGTCGATTCCCATTAGCATCATCCAGTCTGTCGCCACCTCTGTCTCTCCAGCGAGCTCGTCGCTCCACGACCACTTCCGTCGACGAGCCATTGACCCCGACCCAGCTGAACCCAGGATCCTCCATCCCCTGGAGAACGAAGGCCTCAGACTCTTGATCCTCGAGAACATCAGCCAGGAGGCCGTCGCTGCATTCCGAAGCCAGGGCTATCATGTGGATCACCACACCAAGGCCTTCACGGAGGACGAGTTGGTCGAGAAGATCGGCTCTTACCATGGTATTGGTATTCGTAGCAAAACCAAGATCACAGCCCGTGTTCTCCAGGCTGCCAAAAAGGTCTGTACCAACTGCAGTTTTCGAGTGGACGGGCCGCTAACAGTCTGTCCCCCAGTTGCTGGTAATCGGATGCTTCTGCATCGGTACCAACCAAGTCGATCTCGAGGCAGCTGCCCAAGCTGGCATTCCCGTCTTCAACTCCCCCTTCTCCAACTCCCGATCCGTTGCCGAGTTGGTCATGTCCGAACTGGTCGTCCTCTCCCGTCAGCTTTTCGAGCGAGCATACGAAATTCGGACGGGCCTCTGGAATAAGCAATCCAAAAACTGCTACGAAATTCGTGGCAAGACTTTGGGCATCGTCGGTTATGGCCACATCGGCTCCCAACTCTCCGTGCTTGCAGAAGCGTTCGGAATGAGGGTACTCTTCCACGATGTATTGAACATCATGCCTCTCGGCCAGGCTCAACAAGTGGAATCTCTTGACGCCCTCCTCGCTCAATCAGACTTTGTCACACTTCACGTCCCCGAATCACCAGACACGATCAACATGATCTCCCGCGGTCAATTGTCGAAGATGAAGAAGGGCGCCTATCTCATCAACAATGCTCGCGGCAAAGTCGTCGATATCCCCGCCCTCATTGAATTCCTTGAATCGAAACACATCGCCGGTGCGGCCATCGACGTCTTCCCCAACGAGCCTGGCGCAAACGGCGATCCATTCGACGACCAGCTCAACTCTTGGGCCTCCAAACTGCGCAATCTTCCCAACGTCGTCTTGACCCCACACATCGGCGGGTCCACGGAAGAAGCCCAACGGATGATCGGTATCGAAGTCTCCACATACGTTAGTCGATATCTTGGTACCGGTTCCACCATCGGTGCAGTCAATTTCCCGGAAGTCGACTTGCGTGCCATCACCAAGGACCAGCAAAACCAGATTCGTATCTGCCATGTACACAGGAACCAGCCTGGTGTCCTCAAACAGGTCAACGACGCGTTGTCCCCATACAACGTCGAGAAGCAGTACTCGGATTCCAAGGGCGAGATTGCATACGTTATGGCCGATATCTCCAACGTCAGCACTACCGACGACTGGGCCGCCCTCAAAGAACGAATCAACAACACCGATGCGAACATCTTGACTCGCTTCCTTGCTTAGCCCAACCCCCTCCAGTTATCAAAAACCGACATGGACGGTCTGTACGTAGTTTTGCCTGCGCATACTCCGGATACCACTCAACGGGATCCCTCACCATTCAACTGGAATCCATCCCTTGCAACTATATAGAACCCATCTCAGCATTCCACATGTTTAATCGCAGTCGCAAATGTATGTACAGTAATGGTAGCAGTGAATAATCGAACTAGGAACGAAGCACTAGGATTCTTCCTCTGGATCTCCAATACCTCCTGGCAGAATAGCGAACGTGGTCTCGGACTCTGGCAAACAAGGGGAATCGTAGATCTTGCAAGCACGGGTATTTCCACGACCCTTCTTCAGTTGCAATCTAAAAAGCGCATTCAGCCACACATCCCGCAGGCTTGGAAGCTAATTGTTACCTCGTGGTCGATGCGTGGGCCATGATGTTTCCACCAATGGGCTTCTTCTCGTTCCCAGCGTAAGGGCCCGGCGCCGCATCCGGCGTCGACATAACTTGGTTGGTCACCACCACAGCGATACCAAACTAATGTGGGTTAGCGTGCGCCGTTAGTGCCTGGCTATATGCTATCGCCCGCCACATCTTCACTCACTTCATCAGCTAGTCTCTGAAGAGTTCGCAGGAACTTTCCCAGATGGGTTTGACGTGACGAGAGCTCGCCACGACCACTGAAATCCGTACGGTAGAGTGCTGTACAGGAGTCGACGATTAGGAGACAAAACCTGTCAAGGGCGTTAGCGCACTGAAGAGCCCAATCATGCCCGCGCTTACCGTGATTCTGACATGAGAGCACTGGCGCTAGTGAGTAGAGCTTGTTGATGATCGGCGTTGTATGCACGAGCGTATGCCACATTGTCCAAAACCTCTTCTCCGTTCAGACCAAACCTTTCCGCCACAGCCAGCAATCGCACAGGGCGGAACGTCCCTTCGGTGTCAATGTATAGACACTTCCCTTCACCACCTCCCATGCTGACTGGCAGTTGGCATGTCACAGCAAGCGTATGACATATCTGGGACTTTCCTGTCCTGAACTCGCCAAAGAGTTCAGTAATGGCTCCAGTTTCAATCCCACCTATAGCATACTTCAGTTGGCTATCCATCGGGAACCTACACAGAGGCTTACCTCCCAACAGTGCGTCCAGCTGTTTCGATCCAGTTGTTATATGCACCAGTTCTGACCGCCTCGCGTGCACCTCAGTCGCACTTTGGAAGCCCAGCGGTACAATCTTCTGGGCTGGAAGGCGGTCAAGGGTTTTCCATACAACCTGTAATTTGGAGCTCACCCTCTGCTAAAATCTTGTCGGCCTTCTGCTCAGAGATACCCCTGATAGCGAGCAGGTTCTTCTTGGGAGTGAATGCGACTGCCTCGACCGTGTTCAGGCCAGCATCTGCTAGCTTCTTGATGTCGTTTGCGTGAATCCCAGCCTCCTGTAGTTTGTTGACGAGTAGTGGGCCACTGAATTGATAATCTTCCTCATCGCCTTCGGGAATTTGTGAACCGTCGTATCCTTGGGACATTGCTGCGTGCTGTGAATGTGTTATCGTCGTGGTCGTTGGTCAGGAAACACGAGTCACCAAATCACCTTGTTGTTGCATCGCTCATCAAATGAACGCGACCAGTCACGTCCTCGTCACGTGCTCGCGTCGCTTTCGCGTCTGGCGTCAGCGATAAGTTTCAATTTCAAAGGCAACTTCAAGCTTCACGTTGATTCAAGGCAAATGACGACGTCGAACGCAGCAACGGTGAGCAGGACGCACCAATTGTTCAGCCCCTCAGGGCCCCATTGACATCAAAACGTCGCGTACTTGAAGCCAAAGAGCAACATACAAAGCTGAAGCCCAGCGAGAATTCCCGCCGCTGAGATCGTCTGAGATATGATAAATCGGACGCGTCGATTTTGTCATCTCAGATCGTTTCTCAGCGCGATTTTTACCCACTTTTTCGTGCTCAGAACGGTTCAGAAATGATAGAAACAACATGTATCAAATTTATCATCTGTCGTACAAATACATAGCGTCCATCGAATCCCAGAAACGAACCAAATCGCGCGCTCAGAAATGCTCCAATGTGACTACAATGGCTTGTAGTCACGTCAGAAGCAAATAACTGAGAAATCGCGCTAAGGCAGAGCCAGAGACAGAGGAGAACAGCACTCACTAAAGGTACAAGGAGGCAAGGATACTGTTACAAGTGATTTATGCGATACAATCTACGGGAAGGTAAGCAGAGAAACAAGATGCCAAAGAATAACTCACTAGAAAGTCCATAGGTCCATTAGGAAGGTATGCAGTCGGCGGGATGTAGGTTAGAATCTGCACGGACTCTGTATTTCTGTTAAGTTTCGCCATTGCAAGCTGCAAGGAAGAGACACTCACCAGATGCAGATGCACGACTGTATTGTGAACTTCTCGCTGAGCTAAAAGGTTTCTTGTCAGGAGAGAATAGATGGGCAACTTGAGGCAACTCACCACTCTAGCAAAGTCCGGCGGGTGGAGGGCGAGTTGGAGGCTGTTTGGAGGCTGCAAATGTCGATGTATTCGAGCACGCCGGGCCACGTTCGTGCTTTGCTTTAAGGGGCTATTGCATTGGGGAGCTTGAGAGAAGGGGATGTAGGTCCTGGGAGGCGCCAAACATGGTGGAGATCCAGAAGACGCCTAGACACGACGGGGACGACCTCCTCTCCCCTTCTCTGCGTGCTCTGTACGCTGAATCACAAACTACCTGGATATCGCCTAAGACAGTTTTCATCTCCCGCGATTTCGATGTAGACGACGGCGGGGTGGTGTATGTGTGGTGGTGGTAGTCGAGAGGAAAGTAAGTCACAGTCACCGCGCGCCGCGTTCTGCGCACTCGTGACTAAGTCCGAAGTCCTTCGGCTTGTGGTTCAGAAAACGAGGAACGACATTGGACAATTTCTAAGTCAATTTGAATGGGTCGAAATTATCATCTGTGAGCGGAATCCAGCGAACACGATGGCAGCGAGGAAAGAAAGGATGCGTGGAAAAGCTGGAAAAGTCGGGCGTATCATTTCACAGCATCTGTGAGCGGCTTACACACGCGTTTTCGCGGATTTATCATATCTCGGACGATCTCAGCGGCGGGCATTCTCGCTGGGGCTGAAGGAGAGGACAGCAACAAGTATTGACAAAACTGGTGGCCGAAGATTGGGTCCTGGACATGTTATAGCATTAGAAGGAATTAGGTTACATGGCCCGACACTATATCATTCAATATCTAGGCGTTAATAGAAGGGGTAGCGGAAGCTTGCTCCGATGTTTGCAGGAGCTCCGGTGTGACGTCGACAACGGGTAGAGATGCGAGGGGGACTTCCTTCTTGAGGGTAGTTTCAAAATATTCGACAGCTTTGAGGTCCAGAATAACTCGCTCCCACTTCAGGAGCTCGTAAACGTTGACCTCGGCCACTGTGACGGCAGCAGCATACTTCAGCATGTTGATCGCCCGCTTGAGACCGGTTGTTACTTCATTTTCGCCAGTGATGAAGAGGGTCTTGCGTAGCCCAAGAAGGTCAATCTTCTGCTGGAGATGCTTGGTCTTGCCGTTGGGCCAGTCCAGGCGGGACATAACTCCCAAGTGACGCTCCTTCACTTTGGCGCTAAGGGCGACCCGCATTCCCATTTGGATCACCTTGCGGGGCAGCTTGGTGCTGAAGTCTCTTGGTTTGGGGCCAAACGCAATACCTCCGCCGACAAGCATAGGCGATTGACCGTCACCAAGACGGGCACGACCAGTACCCTTCTGCGGTCGAATTTTTCTACCGGAACCTCTCACTTCACTACGGGTTTTGGTGTTGGCGGAGCCTTGCCGCAGAGAGTCGAGGTGGTGGGTGACGCATAGGTGAAGAATGTCTCGGCGTATTGGATGGTCAAAGACAGTCGGGTCGAGCACGACTACGTCCTTATCCGGTTTTGGGTCATTGCGGAACTGCTTGAGCGGGGGAGTCAACTCCAGAACCAAAGGTTTCTTGATTGGGGCAGCTAAATTCAATTAGACGGCAGGTATTGAGATCAGTTAGGCGACTTTCGTACCACTTGAAGTTGGCGAAGGTTCAGCCAGCGTAGACTGAGCGCGACAGCAATGAGCAAAGGCACTGCCCACTGACGTGCCAGCCCGCTGTAAGAATAGATTGGGGAGTGCCTAAGTATTTTCCAAGTCAGCACTGAGCAGTGAAGTGCGGTACCCGAGGACTCACCCCTGCCAGCCTCCTCGTCAACATTGTCCACGCCGTCGAGCTCGAAGGTTTGAATCGACCCGTACCAAATTATCCGAGGCCACATCACAAGCGCTCCGCCTCCCGGTGCCCACGCGGCATTTACGGTGATCCCGGCCGGAAATCGGATGTTTTTCCGGAAGACCATAAGCACAGCCATTCGGGCCGTCGGCATTCACCGACAAAACTATCTAGTCATTCCCAGCCACAGCACGCCGTCTGTTGACGATAATATCGCTGAAGCCGTCGACGACATCAAGGACAAGGTAGGCGATCACCGACGCTCTGCACGACTTATAGACGACGTTAACGATCCCCCAGACTCCCCACCTCGGCCCTCGTATAATCATGGCTTCGTCAGTCAAGGCCGTCCAAACTTTCGGCAAAAAGAAGGTTCGTGGTGTGTGAGGATCGGTCCATGAAGTTCTGGCGCTCAACAGGTCCCTAGACTGCTACTGCAGTTGCCCACGCAAAGGAGGGTCGTGGAATCATCCGCATCAACGGCTCCCCTATCCACCTCCTCCAACCCGAAATCTTGCGACTTAAGGTTTACGAGCCAGTGCTGGTTGCCGGCGAGGAGTCGTTTGGAATTCTCGATATCCGTGTGCGGGTGAAGGGAGGAGGACACACTTCGCAAGTCTACGCCATCCGACAGGCTATCGCCAAGGCATTGGTTGCCTACTACGCCAAATATGTCGATGCCTTCAGTGCAATCGAATTGAAGAAAAAGCTCGTCAGCTACGACCGAACACTCCTCATTGCTGATCCCAGACGGATGGAACCCAAGAAGTTCGGTGGTCCAGGTGCTCGTGCTCGCAGGCAGAAGAGGTACGTATGGTTTCTACACTTGATGATGCCTTGTTTTAATCAATCCCCAATAGTTACCGTTAAGCGTACATGTATTCGCTATGGCTCTTTATGTCTTTTTGTCTCCATTACCATCCACACATGCAAGCAATATGAGCAATATGAAAACCCGCTTCCCGTTCCGAATACCATGGCCACTATTGAAGGGCCATCTCCCTGTCGGACCAAGGACTCAGGGACCACCTTTGAGCTTATGCGCTGCTCCCAGACTTGAAGAATGCTATGTTGAGCGCCGGGAGCTTGAAATTAATCGTCCTGATTTCTTTGTTTATTGTGTTAGGGGTTGTGAGATCCGTTAAGTAAGCTGGTTGAATCGCGTGTCTCGCGCCTCTGTGTCCCGAACGAAGCGGCTTCTTCACGCTTTCCATGGACCCTTCTGCTTCATCTCGGTCAATTCCTCGCCTAGAGTTGTTCAAGAAACCAGATGGTACACCAATCAAGTTTTTCTCTCAGGCAGATGTCAGTAATCACCCTCGCCTTGTCAGGCAGCTCAAGGTCCGTCCATTATTGAATCTTTCGTGAATGTCCTCTGTAGCTGATACAAAGAGGTGGTAGAATGGCGGTGGTCAAATAGGATCGATAAGGGATGCGGATATCATCTTGGTGAATCAGAATAGTTCAGCAGGGCAACACTTTCTGGGAGTCTGGAGAGACGATCCAGGAAAAGTGATCCTCCATTATTCATGGGTTCAGAGTTGTCTGGACGCTAGGAAGTTGCTGCAACAGGAAGACAATTGGGGTGGATGGCTCGCTGAAGTCAAAAATATATCTGAAGGCGACGAGGATGAATCAGGGAATGAGGGAGAGGCGCCTGCTGACAAGTCAGTAGAGTTTCCTGAATCCGTCGCACCAGAGACTGATGTTTCGCGAATAAGAAGTGCGTTGCCGACTCCCCGTCCAAGCCCTGACCATGTTCAACGACTTCAATTACAAGGTGATCCCAAACCAAGTGGTGTAATTCCGCATTCAGGCTTGATTTCGACTTCCCAGCCACCAGCTGCGACCCCTGCTCAAACACATCCCGCTACGAGTTCAATGACAGCTCTCAAGCCCACACCCAATCCCGTACACTCGAATCATCTGATAATGCCCGTACCGTCGGATTCAACATTCCCGTCCATAGGCAATACCCAAATGATGTTCCAACCAGGCCAATACCCGCAATTTGGAGCCAGCGGCTCAGAACTTCCCTCTTTCCTCGGCGACAGTGCAATGGACGGCCAGCAACCCGTATTTAATGCACAGTTGGAAGCCGAGCAATTCTTAGCCCGACATCCTCGTGTCCATCCTACTGTAATGGCAGATGTGTTGGAAGCGAATGGGGATCCAGCGTCTCGGATGATCGCAGCCGCCATGAGGGCCAGAGCCCCTCCTACCAACGGTTCCTCCGGGCCCGATAATAGCCACCATGCCAGCAGCTCATTTGTTGCATCTTCACGTTCCCCTTCAGAGGAGCCCTTATCGGCTATTCACAAGAAAAAGCAGAGGGAGGCCTCCTCTTCAAGTGCCCAACGAAAACTTGGTCTTTTCTCGCGAAATGGTGCACCGATCTCGTTCTTCATCCAAATTGACCATGCGAAACGTAATTCACTTGTCCAGATAGTCAAGGTATGAGACTGGATGCCACAGTCCAATACACGCCTTTTGGCTGACAGATGCTTAGACCCGCGGTGGGACCATCGTCGCAGACGTGAAGGAGGCGGACTTTGCCATCTTGTACTCTGCTGCGCCTCACAAGATGAAGGACTACGAGAGATTTCTGAAGGCCGCCCAGGCGCATAACGTCCCCGCTGTCCGAGGTCATTTCGTCGAGCACTGCGACCGACAAGAGAAACTTCTCGACCATACCGAGTTCCTGTGCGAAATTCCGCCCAAAAAGAAACGCAAAAAGCCTGTAGCGGTCAGCTCTTCAGAATCGGAAGATGAACAGCCCATCTCCAAAGTGACAACATTAGCAAAAAAGAAAGCACAGCTAGAAAGGAAGGGGAAGGGGAGGGAAAAGGAAAAGGAGGAAAAAAGAGAAAATAAAGAGAAGATGGAAAGCACGGTCATCCAGGCAAAGAAGATGAAGCAGACTATGTCACCGGTACCTGCACGGATGTCTCCTCCAAAGCACAGGCGAGCACCCAAGCGATTTACTGAGCAGGAAATCCAGCAGGCATTGAAGATAGCTCTGGATGTTTATTCCCAAGACCCAGATACTACTCATACATCCCTAATGAAGCAAATACACGCTCAGGTCAGTTTTTTCTATCCGCCTTGCAATAATCAGGCTGAGGCTTCTCCAGCTCCCCGACCATCCGGAGCGATCATGGTCCACAACACTCACTACGAAATACAAGAGGGAGTTGGAGGAAGCTCTCAAACGGGGAGGGATCAATTATCGTAAACGGCAACGGCAGTTACAAGAACAACAAGCTGGGCACAGTCGTGGCCCAAGTCTGGAGACCAACCCAAGCCGCATGAGTGTGGATTCGTTCCATACCCCACGGCCGTCATTTTCCCCTGTCCCGGTTACTCAGAACCATGCTCGCAGTGCTAGCCATGCGAGTACAATGCTGGAGCAAGATCTGGAAGTAATTGCGACTTTCTTCGCTCTGGGCGAAGACCAAGATTTTGGAGAGGGGGATGAGCGTAATGAACATCGTGACGCTATTTTCCAGACGTTGGAACGCAAGGTGAGGCACACTGGTTTTGGTCGGGTGCATCAAGCTGAATGACATTTGCAGAGAGGTCGCTGTCGCACACTTCCCACTTGGGATGCATTTCATGCAGCTCATGCCGAGGAAATTCAAAGAAGAGTCAATCTCAAGGTGGAGCAACCGACTTGATTCTGGCAACAAGGACTACTTGGTCATTAGGATGGCGGAAAAGACTTTTCAGTAACTGCATCTTAGAGTACGACATGTATGTAATTAAGGCAGCAGCCTCATACCATTGTAACACATAACTTTGCGGGTGGCCGGGATGCGTTTAGCGTTTAGTCGTGGCTCGCTATCTCCAGCACATGGAGACGAGGGGATACGGGAGATGTCGTTTGCACCGGCCAGGCATTCAAAGGGCAGAGATAGCGGAGAATTGTATTGAAGCGTCTAAACATCTAGATGCAGCCTACTCGCTGGCTGGTTCAGCCTCGAAAATAGGTTTTGGTGGCTTCTTGAAGAATCTCGCTCGTTTTTCGTCTCTCGACTCTTGGACGCCAGCGAGTTGTCCCGAGTAATCGTAAACACCCATAGTAGCTCCCAGTGCAATACATCCCGCGAAACTTGCGGGTAGTGATTTGGCTAGAGGGGCTCAGGTCACAGGTCTGATACACGTCGGGTGTAAGAAGAACTCACCTCTCAGTCCAGCAAGGAAACCAGCGGCGCAGCCACCAGCAGCACCGTTCCACGCATCATCCTCCTCCCTTGAATTTCGGACGGTGGCCTCTGTGAACGCGAATGTTGCTCCCATTGCAGCTTCAGGCATTCACAAGCGTCAGACAAGGTGTCTCCGTCGCAGAGAGTACAAGTACGCACCGAAGAATCCAATGGTTCCGCCAGTTCGTGTCACGACACCCATAGCGCCGTGGTTGTGCTTGCCAAAGGCGGTTTGGAGGGCACTAATGAAGAGGCCAAAGCCTCCAGCCTGGAGGCCAACCTTGGCCGCATAGTCCAGAGCAGGTTTCGGGGTGAAGCCCTTCAGGGCGTCTGCGGCCGGTGAGGATGACATGGTCGAACTTGAAAGTGTTTTCAACGGGAAAGACTGGATTGGCCAATCGGGATTTGTTGGCGAGACCTACCTGCCTTTTTCGGAGCCCGCCCAACTCAGCCCAAACGCTGACTATACTCCCCTGTCCACCGTCTAAGATGTCAAACGAGGACGATTCTGAGCAAGTAAGCAACCAGAAACCCTGGTATAGATTACTACACAATCCTCCACCGTTTCGACCAACCAAAAGAATATATGTCTGTCGTTCAAAGTCTTTCGATCGCGAGACGAGCTGATACTGAACCGCGTCTCCCCAGTCGAACGCTGAAGATGCTCCCAACTTTCGAACTCTTGCCTGCTTTCCTTGGGGAAGAGACTCTATAAATTTACTGTTTAATGCCCAATACACTGAGAGGCCACATAGCCAGGTGTGGGCAACCATGGTTGCGAGATACTGGGACGCCGTTGCAGTAGCTGCCGAACACAGTGTCTGGATATTCTTTACTCACCATCCAAAGAGAAAGCCAGTCCGCATAGATCTACCCAAGGTATGTGCCCAAATTGCTATTCTTGCGCTTGCCATTGACGGCTTCAAAGGAACCACCCGAGAAGCTCATCGCAGCGGATAGAATATGCCTTGCATGGGCTATTTGCAATACCACTTTATCCCAACCTCTCCTCATCATATCGCGAGGCAGTCTCGTCTATGTTTACAACGTTGAGCTTGAGGATATTTGTTCCTACCTTCGTGGACATGGCGGAGTAAGCATCCCACCTCCTCCCGTGTTCGATGGCGTTGATTGTCATTCCCCTAGGCCATTACTTCCATAGCAGTGCATCCTCGGTACCCTGACCTTTTCTGCACTACTTCGAGGGACCACTCTGCGCGGATATACAACTTGAGACTCCCTCCCGTTCAAGCACCGAACAATCCTCATTGGCCCCCGATGCCGAAGCAGACCCCCAGTCGCGCTGGACCTGCACACGGATTGCACATGAACCAGCCCGAAGGAAGCGGATTGGGCCGCTGCATCATCGTTTTAATGGGTGGTCGCTCGGGTGGGCACAATGCAGCAGTCCTCGGTGCGGTAAGACACTACTTATTTCAACATCGCGAGTCGTTCAATGAACCTGGAGGTTAGGCTTTCCACGAGGATTTGCCAATAATTGCAACCTGCGGCGTAAGTCGCTATCCGGAATGGAATGTACCATTGCGCTGACTACCAATTACCAGATGGACAGAGCCGTCAAGATATGGCATATTCGAACGAACGAGGCCGGCGATCGAATGCTGCGGGAAGATAAGCCGCTCTTCAGCAGTACGCGTATTCACAAGGGGAGGGTGCTTTCCGTTTCATGGTACGTAGACTCTCGGTAGTGGCTGAGATGTTTCCATTCACGCTCCGAGTCCGTGGCCAGGATAGGAAGTGACGCTACCCTAATCTCCCACTGCGCACCTGCCATCATGCGCAAAGACAGTGAATCCGACGACATAGAAACCTACCTTGAAGCAGGCACCGTCGTTGTCTGGCGGTGGCTGGGAATGGACAGGTTCTTCCCAGCGAAATATTACCATTTGCAACAGCAAGGGATTCGGCAGACTGTACTCAGAGGATGCTCATCGGTAAGCGTTTCGTGAATCATTAATGTTCCTAGAGTGACACGCTACTTTCCAGGATTACCAAGAGAGCTGTAAGTTGCATGCGAAATCTCCGTATCGCGCGTTCTGACGTGTGTCGTCTCAGCTTCATTCAAGGTCCTCACTGCATATGCATTCAGAGACATGCCCGACCAGTACACCGTCCCTCGAGGCGTTCTGTATCAATCTCCTTACCACGATCCACTTTTCCTATCCATCTACCCCGAAGACGACCATTTCCTCATCACTAACATCGCACTAATGAAGCCCAGACAAATACCTTCCTTCGATGAAATGTTCGCAGGAATCTTAAATACCAATGTCGCTCCTGCAGCAGCAAATGAAGCGGACGAAACGGATGGGTTAACGGCTATGGCAGAGCGCATGCAGATTGCTAGTACCTGGAAACTACCTGAATACCAACCTCCGCTATTGAGCTCTGCGAGTTGGAAGTTCGACCTGCACAAGGACCGCGACGAGGAGGCTCGGATTAACTGTGCAGCTGTCATAGCTGGGGGACGATTAATGGTCGGCGCAGGCACCAGAGGGAACCTGTGGGTGTGGGCTCTGGATAATCCTGATTTGTAGGTAAAACTATATCACGTTCTTGACCTGGAGTTGTAGGTTCGTTGCAATGAATGTCACAAGCTCTAGAGAAAGACAACGATGTTGTATATGTACTAAAAATACGCAGGAAATGATCCCAAGTAAACGTCACACTCTAACCTACGCTCCTTCGGAGAACGTGCTTGCTATGACCAGTCATCTCGTACACCCGCTGATGCAGCCCGGTGGAAGGGTAGATATATGAATAGGTCGGTGACGTCGCCGGGGTGGGTGGGGAGATGGCCACCTGTGGATACATCGGGCTCATCGCTGGTGGAGACACCATGGGAGTAAAAGTATATACTTCCGGGTATGCGGATTGAGGAGGGGACACTGCTGCACTCGACGAAGAATACGCGTAGATCGGTACACCGTGATGGATGGGAACAACGTTCGCAGGAGGCGGTGCCAACAGGGACGAGAACGAGGAAGCGTGTTCTTGGTGAAGCTGTGTCTGGAAGTATTCCGTTGGCGATGGTGGAGCGGTGACTGGCGGTGGCATGTTGGCTACGGTGAACGACGTTACGTGTGCTGGAGCTGAATTCGGGACTGGCGGTGGCGACTGTCGCAGCGGTGGAACGTTTCGTTGACATGTAGCAGAACAAGGGTCGCCACGCATAGAAAGAGGGATTTTAGCGCCGGACGTACTAGATAACGAAGTGTAAGAAAGTGAAGTGAAACGATAGGGACAATCGGAGCGAAGGGAAGACCTGGGAGACACATGACAGAAGGATAGTTTCACTCACCATGATGGGCATAGGGACTTGTTGTTGCTGTGGCATCATCACATATCCCCCTTGAGGGTACACTCCTGGTGACACTGGAGGAGACAGTACGAGGGGCGGGGGTGGTTGGTAGGAACGGGAGCGCTTCTGGGCCTTGACTTGCTGTATACTAGGTGTCCCATAGTAGCTGGGTGGCATCTGTCCCTGAGGGGAAACGAGTGGTGGTGAAGCCAGCGGGCTAGTGTATTGGTAGGGCATCTGGTGCTGCGGGAACGCGCCAGAATGTCCAGGAGCAGAGCGCATTGGCGGCATGGGCCCTGGTGCGTAGGGTGCCCTCCCGTAGGCTTCATCGTCTGATGAGTGGGGAGTTGACGAGCGAGACCGATAACGCGACCGGTGAGGAGAATGTTTTGGCCTGGACTGAGGGGACTCGTAGCCCGGCATATGAGTGGTGGGGGGCTTGATGGCGTCGGCGAACTGTGGCCTGCAGACCTCTGTTTTGTCGACCCACTTTGCAATGCGCTGCTGAGTCCTCAAATAGCGTTCGTAGGCCTCGGGGGAGTAGTCGTATTCCGTCATGGCGAGTGAGATGAAAAGAGTCTACTTGAGGGTGGTGATCTCGAGGAAAGACGTCACCTACAGGACAGCGCTTTTATAAGGCCGCTGGAGGCAGAGGGTTGCCAGGGCAGCGGTATGCGGGAGGAACAGATATCCAGGCCACCGCCCACCGGCGATATTAGGGGACAAGGCAATACACCGAGGTATCCAGGTTTATATAGTCCTCGTGTCCGTCTTTATAAGAACCGCACACGATTGACCACTGGCAATGCTTCCGAGCACTTCAGCACGCCACGGAGGAGTATTGGAGCTGAAATGGAGAGGTGGAAGACAAGGAGCACCATATTCAAGCGGGTCGGAGGATTCCAGCAGCAACAATGACAGACTTCTGAGAATGAACCCCGTGATGGTCTCTCCACGCTGATATTCCTGGATCCTGAAATCACCAACTGGGAAGATATAAACTGATGATCTGTGCTGGAGCTCTTCCTTGTCGTGTAAACTGAAGCACTGCCTCGAGATCCATGTCCGGACAACGTGCGTTATTAAGTATCACACTTCCTAGACTCCATCACGAGCGTTATCAATCCCTTCCAAACCTCAATCCGTGTTCAATGCAGTAGCTAATCGACTAAAAGGAATGTCTGCCTTCGACAAGGTAAAACAAAAAAAGTTGTGCAAATCAAACAAAAGAGAAAGGAAGAAAGCTCTCCAAGACTAATCACAACGGTACGATTTCACCGTCAACGGACCTGACGGCAATCTCGCTTGGGACGTCGCGTAGTTCGACGATGATCTCATCGCCTCCAATGGACCTGATAGTTTCGTAGCGCACTCCCCGCTTGGTCTTGTAGGGTTCGATGTTGCCATTGATAGACTTGGTCGGCAGTTCGGCTGGGATTTGGCGCTTGTTGAAGGGCACTACGATGCCATTGGGGGCGGCAGCAGGCTCGTCCACGGGGACCTGGCGGCGAGCCTTGTAAGGCTCAATGTTGCCGTTGATCGACTTGGTTGGCAGTTCAGCGGGGATTTGACGCTTGTTGAACGGTACCACAATCCCATTGGGTGCCGCAGCGGGCTCGTCAACAGGGACTTGACGGCGAACTTTGTATGGCTCGATGTTGCCGTTAATGGACTTGGTCGGGAGCTCAGCGGGAATTTGGCGCTTGTTGAAGGGCACTACGATTCCATTGGGAGCGGCAGCAGGCTCATCGACAGGGACTTGACGGCGAACCTTGTAGGGTTCGACATTCCCGTTGATCGACTTGGTTGGGAGCTCTGCAGGGATTTGACGCTTGTTGAACGGCACCACGATGCCATTGGGAGCAGCAGCAGGCTCGTCCACGGGAACCTGACGGCGAACCTTGAATGGTTCAATGTTGCCATTGATGGACTTGGTGGGCAGCTCAGCTGGGATCTGACGGGCATCAATGTTCTGTCAAAACTATCAGTAAAGTTGTAGAAACAATCATTGGCAGTGTATTGCTCACCGAGGCAACTGGGACGGCTAGGCCCTGACCAGTCAGGGAGAGGGCGAGGGTGAGGAAGACGATAGCGCGAGAAAACATCGTGGAGGACAGCGGGGAGACGGCGAAGGAGAAAGTTGCAAAAGGCAGAACGAAAGTGAAAAGAGGCTGCTGAAGAACGGCGCGCCTGCGGCCAAAGGCTTGAATAGAAAGAATGGCTAGAAAGGTGGTTAGGAATTGTGATATTCAGGGGAAATTGCTGGGCACTCACAAGGGAAGGAACGAAGAAACGATGGGAAAACACCTGACCAATGCCAGGCTTATATACACCGCAAACGGTGGAAACCAATATCTAATTGATGGTCGCGCTGCACAACATGATCGCCAGCCATTGGCTGCTATTCTTAGCATTCGCACGCCCAACCGCGACATCACAATTTTGTATACGATTTCTCTTTCTTCACAAACTTCAAAATGTCAGATCCACGCTTTAAGAGGCTAAAAACCGATCCTCGCTTCCGTCCAATCAAGAAAAAGCAGAACAAGGTCGTTGTCGACGAGCGCTTTAAGAGCATCCTCGACCAAGGAAAAAAGAAGGACAAGGGTATGGCAATATTACATCTCATCAAGCATCCTGTGCTAAAGCAATGATACTCTTTCGTCTTAGTCAAGGGTCGCGTTGACAAGTATGGCCGCACCCTATCCTCGACGCACGAGGAGGACAACCTCAAGCGATTTTACCGCTTGGAAAACGAGGACGAAGACGAACCCCCCGCTCGGCCAGACTATGCTCGTGGAGGCGTCCTCATGGAATCCTCGGACGAAGAAGACGACGAACCAGATGTGAGGGCAGGCGATGACAGCGACAACGATGAAGGATTCGTCACTCTTGGAGGCGACGATATTAACGAACCAGAAATTGATCTCGATGAGGACACTATTGCCGACTTAGATGCCCAAGCGAAAGCCTACGCAGAGGCAAACCCAGAACAAGATGACGACGACGAAGACGAAGTCCCTCGTACACGGCGTATTGCAGCTGTAAATCTTGACTGGGACCATGTCCGAGCAGCCCACTTATACAAGATTTGCGCTTCTCTCGTCTCTCCCACTGCTCCCTTGGCGAAGCCCAAGCAGGCATCCAACTCTCAACGGGACCCCAAGAAAGCTTCCCAGGTGAACGTGGCTCGTGGCCAGGTTCTGAGTGTCGTGGTATACCCTAGTGATTTTGGAAAAGAACGGATGGCAAGAGAAGAAAAAGAGGGTCCACCTCCAGAAATCTTCAAAAAGCAAAAGAACGAACAAGAGATTACCGAGAAGTCCTTGTTCGAAGTCGGCGGCGAAGACGAAGTCGACGAGACAGCTTTGCGAAAATATCAACTAGAACGTCTTCGGTAAACTTTACACTTGCATTTTGGAGCCCCTCGCTAACAGTGTAACAGGTACTACTATGCGATTATCACTTGTGACACTGTCGAGGCTGCATCACACATTTACGACGAACTCCAAGGTACAGAATTGGAGCGCTCAGCAAACGTCTTTGACCTCAGCTTCGTACCGGATGATATGACCTTCGAAAATGAACCAAGGTATGGTCATCCACTCCGCCATTCAATGAACAGAATTCAGCTCACACATCGTTTCAGAGATGAAGCAACTGAAGAGCAAGCTGCCACCGTAAAACCTCTGGAATTCGTTACCGATGTAGGTACAGGCATTCTCACTCGCTTTCTTGGCTCACTTTGCTCCCCCAGGCCCTCCGCCATTCGAAAGTCAAATTGACATGGGATGAAGACGACCCTGAACGAAATCAAGTCACACGACGCGCACTCTCAAAACAAGAAATCGAGGAGGGCGACTTCCGCGCATACATTGCCAGCTCCTCCGAGTCTGAATCTGAAGGGGAACCGTCTTCCTCTAAAAAGAGCAAGAAGAAGGACAGAGAGAAGTTACGCAGTTTGTTGTTAAGTGGGAATAACGACGCCATGCCGGAAGGGTGGGGAGACGACGGTGGAAGCGACGTCGACATGGAGATCACGTTTACGCCGGGCCTGACAGGGAAGGCAGACAACGGGGACGAGACGACTCTGGAGAGATATCAGAGGAAGATGAGGGAGAAAAGAAAAAAGAGGAAGGAGGAGCTCAAAGAGAAGGCGTCCTCAGGCAAAGGGAAAGAATCTGCGATTACGGACGACTTCTTTGAAGCGGACAGTGATTCGGACAGTGATGCGGCGGCCAATCGCTCGAAAGGCAGCAAGGGCAAGAAGGTACAGAGCGAGGAGCCAGAGGATGAAGGGAAGCGGGAAGCTACGGCAGAGGAGCTGGCCCTCCTCGTGGCGTCTGATAAGCCAGGCGCGGAGCCTCAGCATTTCGACTTCAAAGCAGTTGTCAAGGCGGAGAAAACCAAGTCAAAGAAGAAACGCAAACACCAGAAGGGCAAGGACGACAAGAATGATGAGCTCCAGGAAGATTTCGTCATGGATGTGCAGGACGATCGATTCAAGGCCCTTCACGAGGACCACCAGTTCGCAATCGATCCAAGTAACCCCCAGTACGTCTTTCTCCTCTGCATTTCGAGTGGTTTTAACCTTTGCCTCAGCTTCAAAAAGACTAAGGGGATGTCAGCGTTGCTGGAGGAGCGGAGGAAACGATTACACAAGCAGTCCAACGAGCCATCCAAACGCTCGGCTTCTGAATCGAACAATAATGAGGACAAGAGTCTGGAGAAACTGGTGGAAAGCGTTAAGCGAAAAACCCTCGATGCTCACACTCACGGGAAGGGAAAGCGGAGGAAGCTTTGAGCTCTATTATTTGCCCTTGCTATATACAGTCCCTGACTATTAGACAGATAGGAATGCAACCTTTAGCTGATCTTCGCATTCGAGAAATCCAGTTCAGGGTGGGCCGCTTGGAACTTCTTCAATGCCTGTGAGAGACATATTTAACAACGCCATCATCGGGGAGAAACCTTTCGAGTGTACCTCCATCTTCTTGAGCTCATCGGAAGTGGGCTTTCCCATTTGCTAAGCTTTCTGTCAGCGATTTCCCAATCAATTGCGTTGTCATTCCGGTCGTACCTTCTGCTGGTTGTCAAACTGTGCACAGCGTTGGTTCAAGCATCCATGCTGCTGTTTCGAAAGAAGCACTTACCATCATTTTTTCAACCATTCCTCTGTGCCGATGCTCAGATACAGACTCGAAGCAACGTATGAGTAACGTACCTCGTTTCACCGTCAAGATCGCTCAATTTGCTGTTCGCCGGTTCAATCTTGCGGGTATCGATCTTGGGATGATGGGTGAGGACGTTCTCCCACCATGTTTGGTTGTTGAGCTTTTCCAGGTGCACAAGGACGTTTTTCTGGTCCTCTGCAAATAGATAATCAGAAGTAATGCGGAAGAAAACGCTACGACTGCACTCACGGAGCGTCCAGGTGCTATCCTCAACCTTGATCTCTTTGCAGAGGTCCCCATCCATGATCGGTTCCTGCCCTTTCAAGCCGACTCTCAGCTTCTTCTTTGCGATAACCACGTTGAGATCCTTGGCGCGCGTCCCCTCTGGCACGGGGATTGTGACATCGACCTCACCGAGCTCTTGTGTCCATCTGTAGGGCAAGGCTGATGGCGATACGAGTCAGACACAGCAATGGTGGCATACAAATGGGACAGGTGGTACTTACTCGCTTGCTCAGCTGCTTCACGTTCTCTTTCCTCCTTGTCGCGCTTTTCTCGCTCCTCCTTAGTGAGCCTCTCGTAGTCGTCGTCGGAAGCCATTGTACAAGTGGTGAAAGAAAGAACTGAAGGGGGTGAGGAACCCCAGCTGCGCGTGATTAGACGCCCATTGATCGCCGCTTACGCGAGCAGTCTGTACAAATAACCATAAGCAAAGCGCTGCTTGCGGTACTGTCGCCCGTGTTGAAACTTGACTTCCAATTTCCGTTGATTCTCTGTCATTTTGATGCTCAATGGCGAGCACAGAACTATGGAGGGATTTTGAGGTATGTGCGCAAATTGGAACAATCGCCCGACACGCCCTTATCCGCCTTAAACGCGCAGCAAATCCGGGACATCGTAGCCCACCGCTTGACTGTCGACAAGCTCAAGTCAGTCATCTCCTCTCTCAACGACGACTGTGCTGCCGGCCTCCAAAAGACTGGGAAAAAGCAAGACCTTATCAACAGGCTCAGTAGCTTCTTGGACAATCTGAGGAACTCGCGCATGGACAGCAAGTGGCAGAGAGCCAAAACCATCATAAATGAAGTTAAGAGCGGATCGTGAGTATCTTGTCATTAGTCCCTCCTCCTCCACACGACAATTAGTCGGGCAAATTCATTTGGGTGGATACTAATGGCAACACTTTTAAAACAGACACATTCACCGCATTTCAGTGGCTAGTCTTCAAACTTCGTTCCCTTCGGTTGCAGGATCCAGTTCTTCATATTCTGGCATCAAGACCGGTGGTTACCCGTCTCCTATTATTGGGACCTCTGGCCCTAGTACTCTGCATCGCTATGACCCATATGCACCACCTGTTCCGAATGGCGCCTCTGCCTCCGCTTCAACCTCTTCGACGTCATCGAGGCCAATCGGTGAGAATGCCGCAGTTTTCGCCCCAAATTCCATCTCATTCCTTCCAGCGATTCGATTCAAGGATTCCCCTTTCTTTACCATCGAGCAGCAGGTGTCTTCTGTCGTCGAATGTCCTGGTTCGTGGCTGATCCATGAGATAATTGTATGTCCGCTGACCTTTTTCCTGACACAGAGTCAACAAGCGCCATGGACCGCAGACAGCAAACTCTCACATTTACCCTCAACAATGACCAGGTATACAAATTGAAGTCCAGCGGGTATGTTGAGTGATACTTCTGCTTGTGCGTGATTTTAAATTAAAATCCTAGGTCTCGCTACCAGCTTCGATTATTCTGCACATCGTCCGTCTTCTATTCCCCTTCCAGAAACAGTGGCTTCCCGTGTCCCATCGAGTTCCCCCCGACATGCGAAGTGAGGGTCAACGGCGCTCAAATTACAGCTAGCTTGAAAGGCTTGAAGAAGAAACCTGGGACCGCGCCGCCCCCAGACCTCATGAAGTACGTGCGGCTTTCGACACAGCAGAACCGAATCGAGATGGTCTATGTCAACAGCACGCAGCCGGTGCAATCGAAGGTATGGCGCCCATGCACCTCATGTGAACACGTTGTTTACTGGTTATCTTAAGAAATTCTATCTCGTGGTGATGCTCGTGGAAACAAAGACGGTTGACAGCTTGGTTGAAAATCTGAAGGCGAACTGCCGACGGAGTAGCCTGGAAGTCCGACAGAAAAGTACGCTCCTAGTACCTCACATATTTTCATGGCTCATATACGTTCTCAGTGCTGGAATCCCTCAATGACGACGACGACATTCAAGCAGGTCCCCAGAAAATGTCGCTGAAATGCCCTGTAAGCCTCCGTTGTCTCCAACTGTTGTCACACTGATTGACAAGGTGGAGGTTAGTTGAGCTTCATGCGTGTAAATACCCCATGTCGTTCGTCCAAGTGTGTCCATCCACAATGCTTCGATGCAGCATCGTGGTTCTACATGATGGAACAAACCACCACATATCTCTGCCCGACATGCGAGCGGGTTCTTGATCACAGGGATCTTATCATTGATGGGTGCGTCTTTGCTGCCTCGTTTATTTCTGGTGCCTGTGATATATCGTCATCTTCCAGTTACTTCGAGGAGATACTTCAGCAGACTGATGATGACGTTGAAGACGTGATTGTCGAGGCCGATGGAGAATGGCACACGTCTGACAACAAGTACGCCTCCGCGAAATGGAGAGCTGGGCACCCTGTTGCACCCAAGACAATATCTCCGAATCCGGTACCAGCAACGACCACCAACGGTGCCGAACGCGACAAAGGCAAGGCCAAAAATCTTGAAGTATTCGTGCTATCAGATGACGATGATGAGGATGCTGTGAAACGAGAATTGTCGCCTTCGTTGTCTCACCGACATTCACTGGATAGCGCTTCGCATCCCCCTCCATCGGTGCGGTCGCAGTCGCACGTTGCCGAAGAAGTAATTGACCTCACACTGAGCGACGATGACGAGCCACAACCCCAGCCTCCCCCGCCTCCCGCTCCCGTGCTAAAGCGGAAGGCGACGGAGTTGGATTTGCCGCCGATTGATACATGGAAGAAAGCACGAGGAGACCTTCAGGAGCAACAGCCCCATTCAACGAGGCCTTCCCAGCATCACCAAGCGCCGCCTCCGAATCAGATATCCCCTGTGTATCGAAACCCTCCCGCGAATGATATCCGGCCGCACTCCGGTTTCGACCACAATACAAGACTGCCTGGTGTCAACGGCTATCCACTGCCACAGCCGCCGCCCATCCCAACAGTCCCTTATTACTCGGGGCGTCCAAGCTTGACTGAGTCCCGACAATTGCCTCCACCACCGCCGTACCCCGCTCCTTATCAGCATCAGCCTCGGGGGTCCCGGTGGGGAGGTCAATAAAATACAGCTTTAATTCCTAGGTTTTGCAACCCATAATATTCTGTACCTTATGCATCCGTAGATACTTAGTTCGGGAAGGGCGCTTGTTGGGATTCGAGTAATTAATGCGACCAAATGGCACACGATGATGAACCCTGAAGCCTTGAGGCTCTGAGGGAGGTTCCGTTACACGGGTTGTTCGGGGATGCCAAGGGAATCCCCATTGGTCAATGGTGTGCCGTCCTTGGGCCTTGCCACAGAACAGCATTGCTCAAGGAGGACGCAATTTGTGTCCTTTTCAGCGCAACTGTTTGTGGTATTTTTCTGCTCTGGACACATGAATTGGCAGCCCCGTTGCTCGCTGATTGGTGGGACCCTGAAGGCAGGGATGAATTTCATTTGATTCCGAAAACTTTAGGCGGTGTCATTGGTGGTCCGAAGCGGTGCCAAGCGGGGCTGAGAATTTTACTGCGGAGTCCCAAATAGATGATCCGGTGGTTCCCGAAGTGCTTTTGACAGCGCGAAATTCTCGTTTGCTCTTCACCATCGTTCTTTCCCTCCTCCACTTTCCTTCATTCTCCTCCAAAAATGGCTGACGCGAAGAAGGGCAAGACTCCTCAGGAGTTCGCCGGTGAGTTCTCTCGTCGTCGTCGCTCTCGTTGTCCATGTCTTCTCAACATCGTTGCTCTCTATAGTCGACTTCTTGATGGGTGGTGTCTCCGCTGTACGTTGTCTTTAGCCCTTCACATTTCTATCGCGTGCTCACATTCGTATCATATAGGCCGTCGCAAAGACCAGCGCTGCTCCCATCGAGCGTATCAAGCTCCTCGTCCAAAACCAGGATGAGATGGCGAGTCGTTGTGGTCTACACTCTTCAACAACAACTGACACGTCACGACCCTTAGATCAAGCAAGGCCGTCTTGCCACCCCCTACAAGGGTGTCACCGACGCTTTCACCCGCACCTACAGGGAGGAGGGTCTCGTCTCTTTGTGGAGAGGAAACACCGCCAACGTTATCCGATACTTCCCCACCCAAGCCTTGAACTTCGCCTTCAGTGCGTGATCTAGCACAAGTTTTTCAACCTTTTTCTCACGTTTCTACAGAGGATTACTTCAAGTCCTTGTTCGGCTTCAAGAAGTCTGAGGGTTACTGGAAGTGGTTCGCTGGTAACGTCGCCTCTGGTGGTGCTGCCGGTGCTGCCTCTCTCCTCTTCGTCTACTCGCTCGACTACGCCCGTACCCGTCTCGCCAACGACGCCAAGTCCGCCAAGAGTGGAGGAGCACGTCAATTCAACGGTTTGGTTGACGTCTACCGCAAGACCCTTGCCTCCGACGGTATCCGTGGTCTCTACCGTGGTTTCGTCCCCTCCGTCGTCGGTATCATCGTCTACCGTGGTCTCTACTTCGGTGTCTACGACTCGCTCAGTACGTTCTTTCAATTGGTTCGCTGTGGGTCTGAATTCTGACAACTGTTCACAGAGCCTGTCGTTCTCGTCGGTGCCCTCCAGGGCTCTTTCTTGGCTTCCTTCGCTCTCGGCTGGGGTGTTACCATCGGTGCTGGTCTTGCTTCATACCCTCTTGATACCATCCGGTATGTCTGCGCGTTATATGCTGTCTGTTACATGGTTCTCACTCGACTTCCAGTCGCCGCATGATGATGACTTCCGGTTCCACCACTCACTACAAGTCCATGTTCGACGCTGGCTCTCAGATCATCGCTAAGGAGGGTGTTCGCTCGCTCTTCAAGGGTGCTGGTGCCAACATTCTCCGTGGTGTTGCTGGCGCTGGTGTGCTCTCCTTGTACGACAAGCTCCAGCAGGTCATGTTCGGCAAGGTCTACTCCGGTGGCTCTGGCTAAAAAACTAGAGGCGTTCATGCATAGACGACTCTAATATATTCGCTTTATTCATAATAGACTTTCATTTTTGTCCTCGCTTTGGGGTTTAGTTTTGCTAAGTACCCGTCACGTACCGATATCAATCCATATAATTCCTTAGCATCACATTGCCGTTGTTCAGTGAGAGATATTTGAACCGAAATCATTAATCCCGTCACGGGTACCTCAAGGGACGCGCGACTTCGGTTCACGTTTGACCGTCTCCCTTGTACTTGCACCAACTTGACACATGCTATATCTCCGATGTAGCAAGCTTCCTCTTGCGCCCCGGGCCCGACTGGCTTCGACTGCTATCACTCTTCGACCTTACCAGGAGCATTGTCTATCGTCTTGCCTTGAAGCGCTGGGTTCTGGCGTCTCTCGGATAGGGGTTTCTCTCCCAACGGGCTCAGGCAAAACTACCGTGTTTATAACCCTTCTGTCCAGACTTCGGGCAACCAACGACGATGCAACCAGAGCCTTAATCATTGTCAACAGTATTGAGCTGGCGAGGCAGTCTGCCGCCACTGCCAAGCTTCTGTTCCCGGGTTGGTCTGTCGAAATTGAGCAAGGCGCAAAACATATCGCATCTGGGCTTGCTGATCTGTACGCTTTTCTAAAGGCTTTTGTTGCTGTTCATCCCTAGGCTTATGCTTCGCACAGAACTGTAGCCACGTATCAAACGCTGCTTAACCCTTCGCGCTTCGAGAAATACAATCCACGGTTATTCAAAGCTGTCGTCGTTGACGAGGCACATCACGCGGCAGCTCCTTCGTACGTTCTCTCCAAGTCCTACACGCGTCTTTGTCCTGTTGCTCAGTCTCCTCACTAGGTATCGGAGGCTCCTCTCGCGCTTCCACCATGAAATCCACCCGCCAAAAGGCGATGAGCATAGGCCACATAACCATTCCGTCCCTATCATCGGTGTCTCCGCGACATTCAACCGACACGACCAACTTGCCCTCAGTGCTGTATTTGAGAAGATTGTTTACCACCGTGACTTTGTCGAAATGATTGACGAAGAGTGGTATGTGGCTGCTCATCTCGGTGCCAGTGTTCCCAGTATCTTGACACTGTCTATTGGATAGGTTGTGCGGCGTTCGCCTTACTTCTGTCCGCGTCAAATTGGATCTGGACACAGTCGATACAAATCCGGGGGCAGGGGATTTCAAGAGCAAGAGTCTCGCAAAGGTTATGAACACGCCCGATATGAACGAGATTGTTGTTAAAGTCTGGTTGGACCGAGGTCGGTGTGCGCTTGTTCTCCGTATTATCCTTGTATTAACCAAAACCCCTGCAGCCCAGAAGCGCAAATCTACCTTGGTGTTTTGTGTCGACTTGCGGCATGTCCAAGAGTTGACGGACACGTTTCGGAGGTTTGGAATCGATGCCAGGAATATCCACTCTCACACCCCAGCGGTGGAACGGAGGGAGTTGGTTACGGCTTTCAGAGCTGGAGAATTCCCAGTTTTAATAAACTGCGGTGAGTCCCCTCACCTTGTTGCAAACGCCACCCACAACTCATTCCTTTACCTTAGCTGTACTCACAGAAGGAGCGGACATCCCCAATATCGACTGCGTGTTGCTGGCTCGTCCGACCAAGTCACGGAATGTCTTCATGCAAATGATTGGAAGAGGGATGAGGTTATCACCAGCGACAGGCAAACAAGACTGTCTCATCATCGACTTCGTTGACAGCGCGGGTCGCGTCGACTCGGTGCTGTCTTTACCCTCTCTGTTGGGTCTCAATCCTTTGGACATGGACCCTGATAAGCATGGTATGTTGATGACCTTCTAGGCCTTGTCATCGTGACTCATGTTTGTGTTCGTAGAGATGGACCTGAGTGAACTCAAAGCCCTCGCTGCGCTCAAGGCTGACCGAACACCACAACTGCAACCTGACATTCGAGAGATGGGAGAGGTGACCAATGCAACGCCAGCAGCCACTTCAGTATCATTCGTGGAACACGATGATATCGCAAAGGTCTTCGATTCAGTCAAACTGGACGATTATCGCGCTATCAGTCCTTATGCTTGGGTCAAGTGCCAACCGGACGTCTACATCCTGGAATGCGTGGGTAAAGGCACTGTACGGGTGAGCCGTGCCAATGACAGTAAGTACGACAAAGGAGATTAGTTCAGAAAGCTGACGATTAAATCGCAGAGTACATCGGAGAATTCGTGTCGCGGGACAAGGCCATAAAATACAGGATGCTTTCGGCAGAAGATTTGCCCAGTGCTCTTCGTGCAGCTGATCAGTACATTCAAAGGAAGCTGTACGGATACACCGAGATGGCAAATCTCTTGTGAGTACCCCTGTTGCTCGCCCAATAGCTAAAGTTGACAGCTATTCCAGGCGCTCAGCGGCATGGAGAAAGTATCCAGCGTCGAAATCCCAGATAGATCTGATATCATCCCGGCTTGAGAAGACTATCGCCTCGGGGAAAGATGCTCCATTCAAAGCCATGATCGCTGCATCTCTCTCGGGTTTACGCCGTTCAGAACCAGTGACCCTAGAAAGTCTGAAGGCGTTGACCAAAGGAGAAGCAAGCATCATTCTCTGCAAATTAATCCACGGCAACCTTGTGAGTCCTTAAATCTGATTATTCTGGTTATGCCATTTTTACACGCCTCCAGCGCATATACCAAGCCCAGGCCAAGGCTGCACAAAAAGCTGCCAAATTACAAGCAAAGCATGTAGCAAAGGCGGGCCTGTCAATACCATTTTGGAGACCAAAGTCGCAGACCACTACTACCACAAGGACTCCTGCTAGTTAGATACCTTCGATAAGCTCGACACCAATGGAGAGACTGCATCATGCGATTCGAGTGTAAGGCAGGCCGCCTTTTGAGCAGTATTGACAACACTTTCAAGGCCTTGGGTGTCGTAGATTTGCTTTCCATCATGGGCGATGCCGGCAAGGAGAGCGCCAACAAACGTGTCCCCAGCTCCCGTGACGTTGGCTGCCTTCCCAATCTTAAGGGGAGGGAAGTGTTGCAGGACGAGTATCTCGCCCCCATTCCCATGCGCGACGATCCTCCTCTTCGCGATATTGGTATGTTCATTTGCGAAACCGGATGACGATGCTTCTTCAGCTGATATCTGCATGACAGCGATAGCGCCCTGTGCGCCGCACTTGATCCAGATGTGCTGGAAGAAGGGTAGGAGGTGGACGGCCATTTGTGCAATTCCTCGCTCCGTCAGGAAGGCAAGGGTTCCTTTAGACGCATCATGATCATCTACAGCCTGTCTTGCTAGTTGTTCGACTTCAAGCCTGAAGTTCGATCCAAGGGAGAGACTGTTGACGTTGTCCCACCACCAGTCACTTGCCATCAGATCGTACTCTTCCGAGCGTGCCTCCTCGTAAACGTGTTGAAGTTCCAAGACGTTGGGGGTAAAATGATTGACGAGGGGCTGTGTAGGACGTGCCGTCTTCAACCAAGAGGCGAGGGTTGGGAGTATCCTTGCCGATTTGACCACAGAAGTTGGTTCACTGGCAGTTGTTAGAACTTCTCAACGCGATTAGGGAAACGAATGAAAACTGACTAGAGCACTGTTTCCAACGGGTCAGCTTCTCAACGGCCTTTGACCAGAAGAACCACTTACTCTGTGTTTTCTGCTCTTGACAATAATGAACCAAGGTCTGCATACTATTAGCATCGAGATTGCCGTCAAAAGCAACATATTTAGGAGAGTGGGCAGCGAGTCGCGGGACGAACTATGGGGGGGATTCTCCGACAGAGCACCGCACTGTCGGACCTGTTGCCTTGGCCGTTCTTTGCGGGAGGACAATCAGCCCGTCGTTCTCTTTCCAACTCGAGTGATTTCTTCGGTCAGGATGTGGCCCAAGAGGTCTTCTCCGACGGGGGAGACCAAAACTGAGCTCACACCTTGGTATGCAGCCTGGGCAGCGCGGGAGGATGCTTCAGCAATGTTCCGAGCGACACCCCCGAGCGTCAAGGATACAGATCCAGGTATGGTCGAATGAGGGGCAAGTGACGGGTTGACGCTGCTGTCGGCTTTGGCTGTGATGTCCAGGGCTGCAGATCCTACCACTGCAATATCGACCGGACCCTGGAAAGAGAAGAGCATATTAATGGATATCCTCGCCGTATGCTCATCCACTCACTGGCTTCGGTGGGTTCTTTGTTTGGCCTGCGTTATCTTTCGAGAAGGGGACGGTTTTTCCGGGCGGCGGAGTGTAAGCCGTGGTATCAGACTGTTCTCCCACCTAGAAAGAACTGTAAGTGGGCGGCGGGCTGAACGCTATAGTAGACAACCAACCCCGATCAGTTTCGCATATTCAACGGCGATCATTCCACCTGGAAGTGCTTCAGGACAAAGAAGGGATTTCAGTCGCAGCGAAACGTACCAATGACAGCATTGTTTCTCAAGAGTGCAATGTTTGATTCAAGCGACTGCCCCTTGCTCAGTTCCAGGACTCGGCCGAGCAACCAAGGTGTTGCATCTTTCCCACTCTGTGCAACACCGTTCTCCTCTGACTCACGGACAGCTTGATTTACGCATTGCTGGATCAATTCACCGGCGACCGAGTATTGCTCTGGGATAGGTGCTGCAAACAGCATTCCGTTCTTCATTCCCAATTGAAGTTGCGCGTCTAGAAAGTGTTAACCTGAGCGCAATATGCGCGTGGCGGACAGACACGACTCACGAAGCATCTTGGCTGCAATTGAAGGATCTTCAACGTTCCATGGAACCTGTGCGCCTCAGTCAGCTTAATTCGGGGCCTCATGGCTGCTACGCACATGATGGCCACTATGTCGAGAAAAGAAAGCAGGGAACTCTTTTGTCCCTCCATAGGCGATGACAGGAACGCCTGCGGTTTCCTGTGCTTCGGTCAGTCACCCGAGGGAAGTAACAGAGAGTGGAGGCATACCAGATATTCCAGGGTCCTGCAATTGTTTTGTCAGAGTTAGGGGCCTCGTATTGACCTAGGTGACTAACCTTCCAATATCTAGAATTGACTTTACGCCCGAGGACACTAGCCCAACAGGGCATCTCGTCAATTCTTGAAGGTCCGCAGAGACGTCCATGGCTTAAGTACATTTTGTCAGTCAAGATTACGATAAAGGATTGAAGGAAATCGTACAATTCTCTCCGCCACGATGGACACCTCCGAGCCTATTCGATTTTGAGTTCACAGTGCTGACATGTCTGAACAACTCAAACGACATACCCGCCGGTTGCAAAGACCTGTGGCATAAAAAAAAATCAATCAGTTAAACATAAGGTTACTTAGAATGTACCAACCTTGATTCCTGCCAGAGAGGCGAGTAGCAAAGTAGCACTGCAAGTGGTTCCTATCAATGCTTCATTAGGCTGGATGGATGGTGAAGCATCATCCCACAAACCTCCATCGGATTTAGTCGCAATAGCAGCAGCAACATCCCGCCTTGAGATTTTTGCGGGTTGAAATGTCCTCGTTGCCAGCCTTTCCAACTCGTGCTCCTCAAGCCCAATCTTTACGCGGCCGTGGACAAGGCCAATGGTGGCTGGAATGGCACCAGTGCCTCTCACAGCTCCCTCAAGTTCCAGCGGCACGTCGAAGCTGTATGGATGAGGTAGACCATGCGTCACCAGAGCAGTTTCAAGTGCAACGACAGGGATGTTCCTCGCTAGCGCGTCTTCAACTTCTGGGTGGATGTCTACGGGGGCACCGGTTTCCTTGAGAGACTTTAACGAGCTGAATCTTCGAAACGGTTCGCGATATCGAACGCCTAGTAGCAGTCGACGGCGGATTGGGATCATGGCAGAGCAAAGACTGGCGGATCTGAGCAAAGGTTGCTGGCTCGGAACCAAAATGCGGTCATCATCTTCATCACACGTCTATTTATAGAACAGTCTTCCTAATCCAGTGATGGTCATCAGATACCGCCTATGCAAGGTCTCCTCCACTCCGCTTCCACCGATGCCCGCCTCGAGCTCGCAGAAGGCATATGCGTCCTGACATATTCAAAACTAATTGTAGAAGATATTACAAACATCGTGAGGGACGATGGTGCTGGTGCGATCGCAGTCTTCATAGGTAAGGAGCAAGGCTCGGGCCTACAGACTCTGAATCTGACAATTCATTTCTGCAGGAACAACGCGAAATTCATTCAAAGGTAAACTTGATAGAATATTGCAGTTACAAGTCATCAAATTCCGTGTATAGGAAAGGTAGTTACGAAGCTGGAGTACCAGGCCTACTCCAAATTAGCAATCAAAACATTGGCCCAAATCCTGCAAGATGTTCAGCAACTGTCCCAGCGCTCTGAGCACCAGCCCCCGAGCAGTGACAAACCTGTCACAGCGTTGATCAAATGCGCCGTGTACCATCGCCTCGGAACGGTCCCTGTCGGTGAACCCTCCATAGGTCCGTTTCTGGGTGTCCGCGTATATCGTCCTAGGCTCAACGACCCTACAGTCATTGCTGTCTCTTCTCCACACAGAAAGGAGGCCTTCCGCGCCTGCGAATACATTCTTGAAGAAGTGAAGCAGAAGGCGCAGATCTGGAAAAGGGAATTTTACGAAGGGGAGGATGAAAGCACGGCAGTATGGAAGGAGAATGTCTAGTTGGCAATGTCTATAGGAAGGAGGGACATGGTAACAAAAATGGTGAATCGATGAAAGTCTTCCCGTCAACATCGAGCCCTATGTGTTCCTTGCTTAATCGATTTTCCATTCCTTGCTGACTTCGTCGTCTGAGCTAACGACTAGTTCGATCGACCAAATGAAGAGAGTGAAGAAGATGTTGATCCAGCGCCACCAAATTTGAGAGGAATGGTCGAGCACTGTGAAAGCAAGGTCAAGCGCGGCCGACAATAAAAGAATGCCACCGGGACTCACACAGTAGGTGGGAGTATACCGTCACAAAGATGAATTGTTTATAAGTCAGAAGCAGCCGAGTCAAGGTCGAGGTCTGACAGAAGGGTTAATACAGTGCCAGCAATATCGGAGATTGTTGACTCACTGGTCGTCGATCCCACTCATTATCCTCGTCTCCGTCACCTTCCCAGCTGTCTGCTCCGATTGTAGGAAGGATGCGCGATGCCGAATGCAGTATCGTCAGGCGGTACAGAAGGGCGATTAGGACTGGCTTGTGAAGTGTGTTTATGACAAAGTTAAGAAGCGTTTGCAAATGAGGGACGAGATTCCCTAGAAAGCGCAGTACTACAAGAGGTTGAACACTGTCGCAATTACGGGCTGCAGCTTACATGATGACGCCGGGTCGGTAAAGAGGCCTGGTCAAAATCACACAGCCATACGTTGTATGCAATGAACACGGCAAGGCCGGAGGATTCGATGATATTGGTTCGCCTCATCACGAAACCAATAACGGTCAGGAACAAAAAGGTAGTCAATGCCACTCCCAAGAGCGTGGAGGACAAGGGGGATGATGCTGCTGAGGGATACGACTAGGAGGAAACAGAACAGTCAGTCAGAGATACAGCAAAGAGAAACGCGTCACGAACATCTACAATCCAGTACGCCGACGCGACAAATGCCACTGCAGTCCCAATGAGCAGCGCAAACTGGTAGAATTCTCCCTTCGGTTGCTCCACTCCGATGAGCTTCTTCCCTTCCTGACCCAACTTCTGCGCCACCAGCAGGCTGGACAGGCCCTCCATTGCGATGAAGAGTGGGCCGGAAAGGGTCAGAAGTTTACCCCACCAATCAACAGCGGTCAGGACCCATGGGTTGACTGAGGATGAGAACACATTGAATGACAGGAGGAGGAGGAACGGGTGCATGGGGACCTGGAGCACTGAGAGTGCTTGGGAGCCCCAAAGGAGCGCCATTGTTCCATGGATAAGCGCGTGGGCCGAGAGTAACAGCGAAAGCAGGAGGAATGCATGTCTTGATAGTGTTGCTAGCGTCAATGGCAGGAATATTAGAATCTGAAGGGCGGTCGAAAGTCTGTTCAAACGCCTGAGATCTGTCCTTTCAAACGACACGAACAAGTCCTTACCTTGCAGTGTTGGAGATGACACTCCAGATGAACCACAAGTTTAGCATCCCTTCACAGCAACTGGGATCCGACAAAGGGGGTCACAGGGCTCGACGTCGATGGTCACCGTGCAACATCCATTTCCAACAATCCATTTTCTGCGAAACGCCGTCAGTCCCATTCCCTCGTGTGACACATTTGCCGCTTCCGCGCAAGCATACCACGGTCCGGGGTCGGTCCGCGTTCGACCGCAACCTCGACGACAAGCTATAGGAATTAAGGGGAATATACGAATAGTAGAGTACACATGCTACACAGTACAAAATATGCTCGAAAACAAGAAAACAAGGGATACTGGTCTATCGGAAACAAGAGAGTAAGAAGTGACTTCCAAGCAACTTAGCAGCAATGGGATCCAGAGCTGATTGGAACCATCATGGTTCGTCGACCGACCACAGGCGTCTGTTCCGCTTTATGAGATTCCTCCAAAGGTGCCGGGTTCAGAAGCCCTTTCTCTCGCGCAAACTCGTTCGTTCGATGGAGAGATGCGGGATCTGAAGGTGGCACGTAGAATTCGTCGATAATAGGGATTTGAAGCATATTCATCTTGGGTGTGATGATTGCCATATGGTTCGTCTTGATTTCCATCCAGTCCGCTGGGTGAATACGCCCTGTGTAAGCAGATGAAGGCCATGGAGAGGACGGTGTCTTCCTCACCTCGTTCAAATGTGAGTGGTTCACTGGCAATCTAGAGGATATGTGGGATCAATGGCCTTTTGTACAGCATATCTGAGCTTACCATGATGATGTTTTCCCGCTTGTCAGACTTGGTCATCTTGTAGTGGCCCCCTTCCCCATACTCGCTAAACTCACTGCCGGACGAAAACCACTGAAATCTGTGTCAGAAATTATCAAGCGATGGAGCAGGTCGAGATCTCACCAGAGAAGCAGCTTCGTCCGTCCGCGACGACACATATCTTGTCACGACCACACTCTTACCATCCGTCACACAGAAGTTGAGCAAGTTAGGCTGCACAGGACATATTTTTCAACCAAACTACATCGACAGGACAGATGTAACAAAGGGATTACCTCGGACGTGATGTTGAATTCCTTGCGATACACGTTTAATGTTGCAATCGTTTCTTCCATTGCTTTCTGTAATATGGCCGGTGTGAAAGACTTTGCCTTTGGGTCGGGAAGCTTCGAGATAAACAACGCAAACGCCCATTCCGAATCTAGGCGATGAGCCAACAGCTCAGCCGAGTAAGGGTCTTCAGGGAGGAAGAGTAAGCGTACCAGTATTCCCCAGAACTTTGTCGAAAGCGATGTCTGGAAGGTCGCTCTGCAAACGCCTCTTGATGGTATTGAACTCTGCAATCCCGCCATTGTGCATCCACTGTAAAAGACCATCAGGATCACGTCCCGCGCTGTTCGGTTATTCACCAGGGTTGCAACTGACCATCAGGTTCCCAAAGACGAACGGATGGCAGTTGTCCAATGAAAGTGTTCCAGCGGTAGTTGCACGAACATGGCCACTATTGAAGCACCACGTTTCAGTATAGGGCGAGCTGGACGAATAGCCTTATTCAATGCTCACAAGACCAGAGGCGACTTGATCTTCTCCGCTAATCTGGTTAGGTTGATGTTGTTCCAAGCCTGGCATGGTCTCAGCAAGGTGTCGGGGTAACTTGGCAAGAGTGACAAACTGGAGTTATAGATGTGAATATGCATGGCTGGCTACCGAGTTCTTCGTCGTAGACCGAGTCATACCAACCTGGTCAACGAGCACGAGGTTCAGCCACAATGTCTCACAAAGCCAGCCCAAGGAGAACTCACCGACTCCAAACCCATCGCCATTCATAGGCCTCCGCTTATCCAAACGCAACCTCGAGTCAAAGGCTTGGTTGATGATTGAATGACATGGTCGCGTCAAGAGCTAATGACATTGGAACGAGGTAAACGGTTAGCCTATATACAAGGGTAACACGTGAAGCATAGTTGTGGACGTACATGGGATAGCTGAACTGGTGAGGTGCCTTTGTAGATGACGAATCGACACATAGGTTCCCGTTCGTGCCTAGCGCCCTGACACTAGACGATGGTGAAAGGTCAAAGTCAGGTAATGACTCTATCTACATGTCGACCCAAGAACAAATCAATTACGTGCGATCGCGCGAGCCAAAGACAGTCAGAGCCAGGGACTCGGATTCTGATTTGCCAATCACGGATCTTCGCTCTTGCCTCTGAGCCATTTCGAATACATACTTAGCTTCAAATATTGACCAAGGTATCATTCGGGAGTATATACAAAGTTCATTCTGAAAGCTGCCTTTGGTTTACTTATCAGATTATCGTATCCTATCACTGCAATTGAACTTGACTCAACGGCCCACGGCCTACAAGAATTCTTTGGGACGCTTGTTGGGGTCACCACCAGCCTCGTCGTACACCAATCCAGCGACGCGGAAGGCAAGTTCTAAAGCACGGCACGATTTGAGAAATCGATAAGGGTCCGAAGTAAGGTTACTCACCATCCGCTTGGGAGCGCAAGACTGCTTCGGCATAGACACGAACGACATCCTCTGTTCCACTGGGCCGTACGAAAGATCTTCCGCCATCGTATCGCCGGGATAACTCGTCAATCTTGGGCTGCAAACCTGGAGGGCTGACCAGGCGACGTTCGGCATCCTCCGTCTTGAACAAGTTCCTGTTTGGGACGCGGACCTTGACGAGACGGTTCGGCAAATCTGAATAGAGCGAGTTCCACTCCTCGGCGTTGTATGATTTGTGGGCCAAGACGACCTCAACGAGCAGCATATCCGACAGTGCATCTCCAACAGTCTGGTTGATCAACTCCACTAGGTTGTTCAAGTGCTTCAAGGCGGTAGATTGGGCCGGGGTGGAAGGCTCGTAGGTCTCCAGCTTCTCGAGAGTATTAGGCGAGAAGATCACGGTTCCATGACCATTAGCTTCGAAGTACACACCAACGTCGAATTGTTCGGCTGCGTGATGGAGATGCTTAACTCCGGTAGGAACACACCTGACAGGCAGACGCTGCAGGAAACGGTTTGAACAGGATGACTGGAACAGTATCGGAATCCACGCACCTCTGATAAGTATTTGGTCGAAGCTCCGTTGGCGTACGCAGTTTGCACTACGCCTACCTTGATCTTATCGGCCAGACCCGCAAGCTTGACCAGGTCGACAATAAAGGCGGCAACCAAGGCAGCGATCTTATCTCCATCAAGCATCACAAAATAACCTCGCTCATCGATGAAGTAGTACATGAGGCGATCCGCATCGCCATCGAGGCTGCACGCTCGCTGGCCAGGACGAAGGACGCCTTGAAGGGAAGGCGGGATGGTTTGCTTCGTCTTCACAAAGTCAGCTCCGCAGTTGTGATTGAGTGCGCCTGCTGTGTCGATTGCAGTGTTGTGCAAAATCATGGGCATTGTTTCTCCGAGGTATTCGGTCAACTGCTTCGCGATGGGTGCACCGACGCCATTGGCACAGTCGACGACGAGGGGTGGAATTCTGGGCCGTCCGGACTGTTGTGGGCGCTTAGAATCCACTCAGGACTACCTCATTATTGCACACTTACCACAAGTTTCCTAAATGCTTCGCTCATCTTTTGGAAGTAGCCGTCCTCGGAATCTTCACCGTATGCTTCTTTGGTGCCCTTGGTGTTGATAGCTCGGACCAGGTAATGGAGGATGGGAGTCGTCGTCACACCGGCATTTCGACCCTCGGCGCCTATCGCGGCGAGTCCATCCTCAAGTGCCTTGGCTAAGGCTGGCCCAGTGGGACGCGTATCACGCGCATACACGACACGAGCAGGCTTGGACAAGTCGATCCGAGCCACATTGACGAATTCGGTAAGGACGTCAAGGAACTCTTCGTTGGACGCGTTGGCAAGCCATGTAGCATGGGACTCCCAGGCGGCCTCCAACATTTCACCGCGCGGGTCGACGAGTTTGACTCCGTTATCCTATCGATCGCTTTGAGCATCGTCATCATCAGGCTGAGAGAAGAATCGTGGTCACCTCTTCGGGATTATGAGAGGCGGTGATCATGACGCCAATCGTCCTACCATCGAGCCTCTTGCTGCGCAAGGCTGCAAGAATACCGACCCTGAACAGCACCGAGTCCAGCACCACGCCTCTGCCAGCGATGTTGGTAAAGACATGTTAGTTTAATGCGATATAGCCAACTCACAGAGTCCTGAACCCCGCCGTTCCGTATTGAAACTGTAGATGAGGTGCCTTTGGATGCAATTCCGCATAGCGGGCGATGTTGTCGAGAGGGAGAGTACCGCCCCTAGAGGCCATGATGGAGTTGAAAACAAAGAAACTAAAGCAATAACAATCGTGATGAGCGTCAAGACAGAATCTGCCTCTGATCAGATGATGCTGTGTCACTGCGCCCGCGGTTCACCAAATGGTCCTTCCCCTTCTTAATCTTCAACCATTATAATGGCACCCAAATCAGCTGCGCAAGCTTTATTCGAGAAGGCCGATAAGAAGGCCAATTCATCGGGTGGTTGGTTCTCTTCTGCCAATTCCAAATGGGAGGAGGCTGGGGACCTCTACCAACAGGCCGCCAACGCCTTCAAGCTCGAGAAGCAGTTCAAGGAAGCAGGAGATGCTTTCGCGAGGGAAGCGGAATGCAGGGAAAAGTGCAAGGAGAGCCTGGATGCTGGGAACGCTTGGTGGAATGCTGCGAAGGCCTATAAACGAGGATATCCTGATTGTATGTATATGGCCTCCATTAGCATCGAGTTTGAGTCTGTATCCCGGCTAAACCCCTCAATAGTGGCCATTCAGGCGCTCCAGCAAACAATCCAACACCTTGTGGCAGGCGGTCGATTCCGACAGGCAGCGGACAGGGAGAAGGAGATTGCTCAGATATACCTTCAGGAAACCCATGATCTCAGCAGGGCTTGCGAGAGTTTCCTGCGCGCTGGAGATTGGTATGCCGAGGAGGATGCGACAGCGTAAGACTCTATTCTCCTGTCTGCGACACTCCTGATTCACCTGTCGCTCAGAACTGCGAATCAGTGCTACAAGGATGCTGCGGACCTCTATGCCGAACTAGAGCAGTTCCCGCAGGCCATTACGCTCTACGAACGAGTTGCAGATCACTCTCTGACCTCCAACCTCACCAAGTACAGTGTGAAGGAATACTGGCTCAAGTCTCTCCTGTGCACGGTAGCTCTCGGGGTGCGCTTGATCTCACAGCTCGGTTGAGACCCTGACTGATGTGGTTCCAGGACATCGTAACCGCGAGGAGGAACGCTCAGAAGTATATCGGACAAGATAACACTTTCGTCGGCACTCGAGAATTTAAATTTGCCGATGCATTAATGGAGGCTGTCGATGCTGGGGATGTGGGGGCATACACGGCTGCCGTCGTCGAGTTCGACAGGATCACGAAGCTGGATAACTGGAAGACAGCGATCTTGCTCAAGATCAAGCGAGGCATCCAAGAGGAACCAGGCCTCACCTAAGTGAAACTTGAATATGATCTATAATACATAGCATATAATAAACACATTCTGGAGACTTGGGTCGGTTGCTGTTGAGTTATGACGTTGTTTGATGGCGGCTAGAACTGGCCACGAACCTGATCGACCACGTCAACAAAATTCTTGTATCTTTTCTCTCTCGCCCCTGTGCTCCAACGCGCAGCCTCGCCATTCTTTTTATTTCGACTACATGGCCATCCTATACGCCTTCTGTCTCCGACTAATTCACGCAGTTTACTCACTGTATCTACTACTTCTCTCCTATCGAGAACGCCAACAATGGAGTCCCCCGCAGCCATTGAACTCTGAACGCCGAAGAACTCCAAGGCATCTTGCAATTGTACTGGAAACGTCCCCAAGCCACTCCAAAGACTCTACAAAGGCTGCGCTTATCCAGAGCGTTTCAAATGCAGCGGCCTGGTGCCGTGAAGTTGGAATTCAACAACTTACGGTGTATGAAGAACATGGTACAGTCACCTCTTTGAACACAAGTGTAGACCTGACTGTTGTTTGACAGGACTATTGTCTGAATACGATCAGGACATTCGCTTCCAATTACTCCAAGGAAACACAAACTCGGCTATTGACGATTCGAGTGAATCCGAAGTTGAACCCTACCATCCTTTGACGCCACCCCCCTCGGACTACTCTGACTCGAGACCAATCTCGCCTTTGCAAAGCTCAAGGCCTGTGATACCGTCTATTAGGATCGTTCTTTCTGAAGGTGATGGCTCGAAGGAGCGGTCGAGCCGCAAGGGTGGTCTCAAACGCCGAAATAGTGCGTCCTGTTTCTCTAATTTGTGAAACCTTACCTGATGCATTTCTGCGAAGGAAACGAGCGAACTGTCCAAAAAAGCAGCCTTACACTTTCTCTCATCTCCAAGGACGCGTCGAAGAATGCAATCGCGGTTGCCGCTACACTAATGTCGCGCAACGCCAAGCTACAGCGCCGCAAGAACCGGTCACGCAAGCCATTTACACTTACAGTCAACGAACTCGAGGGCCTGTTGGAAGGTGAGAGTAGTCGCATTCTCTGAGATCATGCAATGTTTTTGATCGCTTTTTAGGAGAACACGGTCTCTCGTCGCCGGATTTCATGATTGTTCACTCCCTGGATGTCTCCAACACTCGGAGAAAGGTTCCTTTAGAACTGTACAACTTCCCTCCATGGCACATTCGTCTGACAGAGATTCAGTGAGCAGTCATTTCCATAATCGAACCACGAATTATTGACCTTTTCTGCAGTCATTCGCGTCTTACCCTCTCTGCGCCCTACCACGCCTCGGAAACATGTTATTCTCTCGACGAAACCGTATTCCGAGAAGCTCTAGATGAATTTGCGGGTGCAGAGTTTCGATTTGGAAAATAGGGTTTTGTATGGTGAGGCGGAGATTTGTGTGCTACTCTAGGTTTTTGTATAATACGACGGGGTTTTGTTTTCAGCGTATGGGTGCCCACGGTTCCTTAGGTACTGTGCGAATGACCGTCTTTTCCGCACCTGAAGAACACGATCGCCTTCGCGTTGACCACTTTAGCTCCTTCCTTCGACCACCATCTAATTTCCCAAGCCTTCAAGGCTTGTATTGCAGCACCCACATTGGATCCAAGCATGCTGACTTCCAATTCAATGGCAACAATGAAGCCCCTTCTCTTCGACGACCCTTGTTTCATCGCCCTTTTCCAGGGGGTTCTTGGCTGTTCCCTGGTGTGCACGTCCACCTTCGCAACCAAGAGCCACATTCCGAGTGCATTTTGCGCCGCAGCCTTCCAATTGTTGGTCAATGAATTCAGCGACACTTTCTGGTCTCTCGCCGTACACAGTATCAGTGCTGAGACCGACATCAGATCCAAGATTCACGCCTCTCGTGCACCAACACGTCAGTGACAGCGCATTTGCCTCACAACACTAGCATTTCGAGCGTTTTCCCCTGCGCCACAGCACCAAGTCAGAGACGTGGAGTCAGCTTCTCTATTGCCAAAATCCCATGACTCTTTTTTCGGGTGCGTCTCCCTGCATTTTCTCCGTGCTGTAACATGTTCCTGTTCTGCCGGCGTTACAGCCCATTGCGAAATTTGGATCCCGTTCCGTGGAGAGGTCGGAGGTCAGTAGCTTGGGATGCACCAGCGTGATGGAGCAAAGAGTTGTGATCCGTATCAGCGTCTCCCCAACTCGATTTTAAAAAAGGAAACCTGAGTGCTCTAACCGCGCTGCGAGCTCTAGGCTGATAGGTAAAGTCGAATCTCTGGTTTGTGCTGCTTTACATTCCAGATAGTCTCGTTTCCAGGAGCTACGACGCTGCGTCAATGTCAGATGCTAACGTTAACAATACCGACTCGACGCGACAATTAATTCGACGTCGACCCTCTGTACACTGGCTGCCCACACAGGCCCCATAGCGAATTCAATGTATTAATCCGCCAGAACCGGTGCGCCCACACGAGTACTATTACCACAATACCAGCGTATCGCCTGGGTAGATTAGCATCAATCAGGGGATCACTGAGCGCTGTGGTATGAGCTCAGAGTGCGCCGAAAGTGGGGACCGCTCTCGCCATCACCTCCAAGATCTCAGACGAACCTAAATTTATCTTCTGGGCGTCTTGTTGGTGTCCCACAGCAAACTGGATGAACCGAAAGCTATATAAGCGGTCGCCCGTCAACCTGTGTTTCCATTATCTCTGCACCTCTTCCTCGCTTTCTTAACACTTGAAGCACTGGTTGCTACTCCCGCATATTTGACATCACTTTCCTTGCTACATAGTAAACATCGACCACAACCTAAACCCCATCGTAATATCAACAATGTCGGCAAGCCCTTCAACAAGCCCCCAACTGGACACCTTGGACCTCCCACTCGTTCCCATTTCGTCAGACTCCAAGTCAAGTCTGCTTTTCCGAACGGCGTCGAGGGACTCACCCGGACGCCCGCGAAGCTCGTCCCCACCCAAATCGACTAGCCCTCATGGAACGCCTAACAAGTCTCCTCGCCGAATCAATACGAACCCGGACATCGCTACCTCAGACGAGTTGCGCCTTCGAGTCAACAAGCGCATCATCCTATGCTGCGACGGGTAAGCCGTTTGATGCTCGCTTCATTGGACCGTTTGAGCTTACTCTCTCCTGGTGACTAGCACATGGCAAGATGGGATTGGAGAGCACAGGTCCATGTACACCAATGTCCTCGTGGGTCTTGGCACTTTCTCGATGTAGACATTTGCAGGGCATCTCACGATGACTGTCATAGCGTCTTGCCCGAACGATCTACCATGCCGACGAACGGTTCCAGCCCCCAATCCCACAGATTGTCTTCTATCAATCAGGTATCGGGACAGAGAAGAATTTTTACTCCGAATACATCGAAGGTATAAACTCTCGCTACTAGTACCCAGCGCTCTTTACTCACACGTGTAAAGGAACAACCGGAGGATCTTTGGGTATGCCTCTTCTGTCCGATATTCTCGCAAAAATGGTCGTCTAATCACCTTTGATTCTTCCTCTTACCCAGCGGACAAGGTAGAAGAAGCGTATGCCTTCATTGCACAGTAAGCGCCCATATCCATGTGAGAGTTTCATGGCGGCTAATCCCCATTTTTAGCAATTATAATCCTGGAGACGAGGTGTGTCCTACACATACAAGGAAACCCTTGTCCACTAAACAATTGACCACGCGAGCTAGATCTACTTGTTTGGATTCTCCCGGGTAAGAATCCCAACCATTCTATGTGCCAAGAAAATCCCATCAATCTGATGTTTTGGTAGGGCGCTTATACTGCTCGGATGGTGGCCATGTTCGTTGTGGGTGTGCTCTCTTTACTAAGCTCCATTCAATGCGTTGACCCTGTCTCATAGGGTGAAATTGGTGTCTTGGATAGAAAAGAGATGGACCACTTTGGCAAAATCTTTCTATGTTACCAAAAGCTTGGCAAGTCCAAAAAGGCCGAGGGTGAGTGGGCGTCAAGCTTTGATCGCGACAGAAGCTCGAGTTGCTGACGGTTGATTCGACTCATCAGAAATTAAAGAATTACAGGAGCAGCTGCACCGTTGGCGTAATCCTCAGGCCCCCGGGAAATTACGCGCTGACTGCGACGGAGATACATTCACCGTCAAGTAGGTGCTCTGCTGTCTGTGATAGCGGAATCGCTGACTGATTGAACCTGCTCGTTTCAGATGTCTTGGTGTTTTCGATACCGTTGGATCTCTAGGCCTGCCCGAATCGCTCACGCTGAGGTCCTCCAGGGTTAGGACAATCTTTGGATTCCGCGATCGTATTTTGGGCGAACACATAGAGAGGGCATACCAGGCCCTCGCCCTTCATGAAATGCGTGCAGACTTTGTGAGTTGCTTTGCAGTTGAAAGCGACCTGTGTGCTCAAACACTTCCTTCAGAATTGCAACAAGTTCACGCAAACTGAGAAGGGCTTTGCAAAAGGACAGGTCCTCAAGCAGGTAAGTTGACATCGGGACTCGGCTACTGCCTCGATTCAGAGACTAATGTAAAGTTAGTGCTGGTTCGCCGGTGCCCACTCTGATGTACGCGTTTATTTCCAACACAACCTCAAAGCGGCACTGACCCGTTGCATATAGGTAGGCGGAGGCTACAAGGAGCATGACCTTGCTGATATTGCTCTGACCTGGATGGCGGTACGTTGCGCTGGCCACAACTACCAATCACGCGCTACTAATAATATCTCCCCCAGGCGCACGTTGGCGATATATTGGCCATCGACACTGAATATCTCTTCCACCTACCACAGCCCGTTGCTGAATGGGGCAAGCAGGTACCACACGAGTAAGCCTTCCGAGACTTGTTCCCCCGAGTCCTCGCTAACACATGGTTAGTTCGAAGTCCGGGATCTTCCTCCTGGCGCAAAGGATTCAGAGAGAACTTCCAAGGCAATTGGGAGGGCCGCACCACGAATATATCCATCCATCCGTGCTCGAGCAAGAATCGCACTACAAGGCCCTCAAACACGTCTTGGACAAGCTCCCAGGCATCGTTTGCCCACTCCTTCCCTTGGAAGAAGAGTTGAAGCAGAACTGGCCCTACACGTCCGAGTCACCCGTCGCCAAAACATACACCTCGGAGTTGGAAGAGCAGTTGAAAGGCGACACCTCGACCAGGACTGTAATCAGACGTTCAGGAACACTCTTCCGCCAATCGATCTTCAGGAGTCTGAGCGTCACTCGAAAAGGGCGTGGGAAGGGGGAAGCTGACATCGAGGTGGAAGTCGTTGAGGAGGAAGACCAGGTCGAGGAGAAGATAGAGGAGTCGAGGAAGTTGAAGAAGCAGAGGAGGAGGACTGTATATGCCATCAGTCGCTCGGAGGGCTGAAAGGGACCAAAGAAATGAACTCTATAATCCTATATGATATGATCCCGATAACGAATGCCCCGAACGAATGATACCCATATGCACTATACAATCATTACCCCTTTCTATGATATAGCAATAGTAATACCCTAATAAACCCAACTGAAACGCATACTCTGCAAGTGGTGACTTGAGTTCGACACGAAGTCGAATTTTTATTGCCCTTTTGACAACCATCGAGAGCCTTGCCTTGGTGGGGAGGACGGCAGGTAAATCCAGAAGACGATCATGGCAGCAGTCCCCGCGATGTTCCAATATGGAAGCATGTGTATCCCTTTTGCGTTAAGCATGACGCCAGCACAGAAAGACAAAATAGCTAAAGGACATGATATCAGCTAATGCGAGACCGCACGTAAAATTCACTGGTCACACGAACCGTTTCCAAATGAACTTCCAGCAGATCTACACGGCATGCCAATGAACTCAGAGAATGTGCGCGCGAGTACAGCGGGTAAGACTCACAGGAGTGCCATTCCGACCAGATGCTGTTCGGCGGGAAGGATGTCGCTCAGCATGTTCATTGCAGAAGGGAACAGGGGGCCAAAGGCTAATCCCACCATGGACACGGACACTGCGTTCGCGACCACGGAAGGGATGAACCGAATCAATAGATGCATTGTCAAGGCGATCAGGCTAGGGATTGCTGTCAGCCATTTCACAATTGGACTGAGGATGCGGCGTGCTTACAGGCACCCATAGATCGCAATCTTCCGTTGTTTGAAGGTAGCACTGAGCATAATGAATCAGTGACTCCGTTACAGACAGTGAGGGGAAATACGTACATTTGGGAAAAGGAGCCCCAGGCAAAGCGTCCAACCATCAGCCCAGCGTAGAATCCAACAGAAACATAACCTGCTGTCTTTGGGTTCGCATTCTATCACGCAGAAGATTCAGTGAAGCGTCCTATTGATTCCAAGTGGTCGAGCTTACCCTATGACCCAAAAGGTAGGTCACAATCTAGCCGTCCGCTGATCAATGATTTATGCAATTGGAGTAATATATCCACTTACGAAACCCTGAGATGTCGTTTCCCTAAACACATTCTCAGAAGGACTGATAGCGGACGAGAATACGAGAACTCACGTTCCGAAGGTGAACCCAACAAACATGGAGATAGCCCATTGGAATGGATGGGACAATACACGCTTAAGAACTGGGATGGCAGTAAGTATAATAGCCCACTCGATTTCAAAGGGCGGAAGATGCTCACGATTCGCGGGTTGAGCTGGCTTCGGTACTGGATAGAAAGCGTCAGCTTTGCCTTCCTTTTCACTTGACGGGGTTGAACAGCTGGTATCGTCGGTCAATTGGCGGCGCTCGCTATTGAATTCGAGGTGTGTTGGGGCGAACGCGACGGCCAAAAGGAGGGTGTTCATCCCGGCCAAGACCAATGATCCAAAGTAGAAGTGTGGCCAGGGAACTCCTTTGGAGATAATGGTCTGACAGACGAGAGGGGCGGCGACGGTACCAAAGCCTATGGACACTGGTGAGAGGGGCAACTTAAAATGGGGCAATGAAGTTGTACTAACTCCACAGAGAATGAGAAAAGCCTATGTGCATCGGTGCGACAGAGCCAAAATAGGGATTTCTAGGAGGAAAGTTAGTGCTTGCACCAAGGGAGGTCCCGGGGGACTCACAGTGAACCTAAACAACGGGAAAGGTCATGGTGAGCTACTTCCAAAAAGGCTAAACACTAAACACACCAGACATGATCGCCCTAGCGATGGCACAGATGCAATAGGCAGAAAGTAACGCGGGGTAACCAGTTCGCAATCCCATGACAACAAAGTACAGGGCAAAAACGACGCTAGCGTAGATCAGGGACAAATGACGGGCCTGCGAGGGGGAATGTCGAGACGGGGCCACTGCATGCGCGCGCCTTGATGCGAGTCGTTTTATGTGATGAGGAATCCAAGAGGATGTGCTTTTTGTTGAATTCGTCTGGCCTAGTTGTCGGATAAGAAGCTCTATAATGAACGTGCCAAAGATGAACCTGCGAAAGAAATTAACTGGTTTGTCTGCTTGGAGAAGACAATGGCGCCTACCCAACGGTAGCGGCTGCGTATAGCAGAGAGCTCGTCATGAACGTGATATTGAATTCCTCCATGAAATCTGACATGTAGAGTTAGCGAGGAACCTTGCACAGTGATCACAAAGAACTAACATGGCAAGACCGTTGCTGTCACTTGGGGATGGTTAGCAGAACGACTGAATGTGGAAACGAACTGTACTTACCACCGTCACTCCATCCACAAGCAAAAAACGTGAAGTATCCAACAGCAATACGGATAGGCACCCTTTCCAACCCAGCAGGAGCGAGCCCAAGCTCCGAGCGGATAAGCCCTCCCCGCTCAGAACTTGGGGAGAGCATAGAGGGGGTCGGAATCTCGGTGACAGAGCTCCTCCCAGATCCAGTGCTCCCATGGCGAAGGACGGTCGTTTTGGTATGGTCGGGCATACGCGCCAGGGACAGCGGTAGGACACCGTCGTAATGGATTGTGGGCGTGGTAGCACCGGAAGCAGTGAGCTCACTGCCATCAGCAACGAGACTCGACGATGAAGCGACACTGGACGAGGAAGCCATGGGTGGAGATGGAGAGTGTAGTTGCACAGCGCTTCCACACTGCCCGCTGAGTACGGTTGCGAAAGGAGAGGTGGAAGACGAGGTAGGCATCTCTGAAATAGCTGTGGCATCGAGGGGAGACCACCTGCCTTTTAAACGCTGGAGAAACGGAAGGAGACGTGACTGTTGGCCGAAGACATTTGGTACAATCCATCCACATAATGCACGACGACGGCGGTAAGATGGAAGGTCACTTAGAGCCGGTTAGAGACTCGTGGCAAGAGGTCGAGGTTGCATCAGGTAATATCCCGACAAATGCCAGGGGTGGAGTGAATTGCGAGGCTTCAAAGAACCCCCCAGAGAACGGCGTTTGCTGCTAGAAACTCTGTTTAGTTGCCGGAGAAAAGGATGGGGCTGTCAGTTTCTGTAGACCTCGTTGCTCTTCTAAAAGATAGCCGGCGGTCGAAGAGGGAACGTGGAGCCTCCCTCAAGATCCGTAGTCGAGAGCGCCTACAAGAGACCCTTGCCATAGCGGAAATCCCGAGTCGCTAGCAGTTGCATGCGTGTTTTTTTCCAAGACGTAAGTAAATCGCTAGATAAAAACATCAGAAGTCTTTGAGAGGACCCTAGATAGAAGTAACGGAGCATCGAGTTGCAAGAGGAACGTTGGGGAGGGGTCAACGTTTCGGCCGGCCAACCATTGACCATATTGGTTGGGAACAGACATCTTCAGGGACTATTCGGACCGTCGGATCCGAAAGCATCACCGCGCTTAAGTTTTCTGAATCGATGGTGTCTAGTGTTGTTGCGAGGTGGAGGTCCCTCAAGGTGGAGTTACCTTGAGGTCCCGTATTTGTGATGGTGGCGTTCTCAAGGTCCCTTGAGGTGGCCTTGATGTGTTTTCCCATCCCTGTAACGGAATCTCCGGGACGGTGATGTGGCAGCGAGCGCGAGCGCTTGTCGATGCAGAGTGCATTAAACTTGCTATACTTCACTTGCTATTCTCATTTTACTACCTTATGACTTCAAGGATATGCAAGAGTGCTGTGCTTCCCGACCTCTAATACCGAATTCCCAATTCAACGTGAACAGGTGCTTGGGGCAGCTCGAGACCTTGGGATATGGCCGACAAACTACGGAATACCCTTCATTTCATACTAATGACCTTCTGGATAGACAAACACCTTTGAATAGTTAAGAAACTTGCTCTTACCGCGAGCGTTGTTCGTGTTCATTGCAACTTTTGATTTTCTCATCCCCAGTATAGAAATAGGTATTCGTGGGAATGGACCTCAAGGTCCAACGAGGTAACTTGAGGTAACGCCACCAATCACCTTGAGGTACCTCCACCTCACCTCGCAACAACACTAATGGTGTCGTGTACAAGGTTGCGCTGCAGAGAATACATGGAGGAGTAGAGGTGCAAGGGCTAACTACTCGACGGGGATGCGGGTTTAAAAATTATGACTCGATGATACGCGAAGAACGGTCGAGATTTTATACAGTGCAACGAATGGTCCGTGTGCATGCGTGCAAAAAGTGGTGAGTTACTGAGAAAATGTACAAGAGGATGGTCAAGTGAAAATGAATGTTGCATGAATGAATGGGATCATGGCAAGCTAGTGTCCAGTGAGAAGTGCGTGGGGTCGTCAGTGAAAGACATGAACATAAGACTGAGTAGCAAAAAAGTTCCACAAGGGTGGCAATCGGAAACAGGGAACGTCAAAACGGTTCTCGACAACAAGAGTGCTGTATCGTGGAAATTGATAGCATGACGGCGGGGATCGCATCTACAACGCCTTAGGTGTCCAGCTCTGCCTACCCAGATCCGAATCGACCGAGTCAACCAGATCTGGATTGCATACACCCAACACTTTAGTCTTGGGGTTTTCGGTCCCTTTGGTGGTGTCTGAATCTTCTGCAGACAACTTGGTGCCTTTGATACCCAGACCAGTGGAGGGACTCAACATTCTCCGGGAATAATCTTCATCATCCCTAAGGTCGCCGTCATCCAGTAAATTCATGCGCTCGCGTAAGCTCGGGTCAAGGATGCCGTCTCGAGGGGTGATGACATTGCGACCACCCGGCGTAGATGAAAAGAACGCAGATGTGGCGAGCGTATCTCGGGTGTCTGGAGGGATCTGTCCATTTGTCGGCGCCGAGGCAGTAGCAGTGCTTTGAGTGTCGTCGAGACTGTCTCGGTTCGCACCGAAGAAGTAATCTTGGAAAGCATCTCTGGATTCAGTGTCGTTCGTCGAGGCGGCGATACCAGTATAGGGAGTGTCCAATGCACTGTTGCGACGCTCCAGATTATTTGCCCCGTTCGCATTTGAAGCGGTACTGTAGACGGAGCTTCTCGCACTCGCTTCTCCGTTATTTACAGGGAGCAGGAGTGGCGGTTGGAAGGACGGTTGTTGTCCATGACCATTCGAAGTTGATTCATGACCCGTATTCGAGCTGTAGGGCGGCGGGGGGAGAGTGTCTTTCCTTTGCAGCCCCGTGGTGACACCGTTATTGCCGTTCTGTTGCATATTGGAGTTGCTGCTTCTGTTGCTTGGAGGATTCGGTTCGGTCCTTTGTTGTTGTTGTTGTTGCTGCTGTTCGCGGTAGGCAGCGAGTAAAGGCTCGTAACTTCCAGCACTATGGTAGCTCGTACTCTGCGAACGTTGATGTCCACCTATGGCCCCTAGCTCGTAGTTGTATTTGCTCCCTCCGCTTGCACCGCTCACTCTCCTATCCCTTTCATGACCGTTTGCTAGTGCGGCGACGGTTGCAGCAGCCATAGTCGCTCCACTGCTCGTCCGGTCGCGATACGCTCCCATATGGAACGCGCTAGGTGGAGGGACGTAGTCGGCGTACGGATTGAACTGTGCGTCTTCAGTCATATTCGGAGGCGCGGGTCCACTGGGATTGGCGGCGAATGGATCAGGATCGTGCCCGAATCCAGCTGTCGCCATCGGTGCTCCACCCGCAATGCTCATGGCCAAGGCCGAGCTGCTCCTCCTGCCCATCCCAACGCTCCCACTCCCGTTCCGTACGTGGCCATTAGGGTCCAGATAGCTGCTACTACTCCCCCGTTCGTGATTATGGTTGCTTAAGCTCGGGTGATCCCGATAGGGACCAGGATCATCATCATCGTCATCATCAAGAGGTGCGCGATGGAACCCGGCTGCTGCCAATGTAGCAGAAACAGCCGTGTCATGTTCCAGTCGTCGAGTTCGGCGTCTCCTACGGACGGCAAAGAAAATCCATAGGAAGATAGATGCGGCTGCTAAGCCTACGAGGACGAAGACGCCCGCTACGGCCCCTGTATTGGAGAAGAAACTTTGTTCCCAAGTAAGTACAATGGAATGGAACGATGTCGGGCTGTACGTACGCGTTTTCTTTCCCTCCGCCGCCGCCGCCGCCATTCAGAGTTGGATTGGGATTAGCGACAACTTCCGTTACTGTAACAAGGACACCGCTACTGGTTGAAGTTGCAATTGTTGTGATGAACGAAGGTGCTGTTGAGCTTGGCTGGCCTCTACTATCTGTTGTTGTGATCCAGACAGTGGTAGATAGAGTGGTCCTGCAGTGCGGTGTTTAGATGTGATGTTGACAAAAAGAAGCGCATGGTACAGAACGGAGGTTTTGCCATGACGGAAATGCAAAGAATATTGGGACCGATATGAAGAAATGAATGACGACTTACGACGGTGTAAATGGAGGGGGTGACGAAGTGGTTGGAGAGGAGCTGGAGGACGGTGGGGGCTCATCAGACGAACTGGGAGGAGGAGGAGGAGGGGGTTGACTACTGCTAGGGGGAGGGTCCGTTGAACTGGATGAAGATGGTGGAGGTGGCGGAGGACTGGATGAAGACGGCGGAGGAGGTGTCGAAGACGAAGACGGAGGCGGCGGTGGTGTAGACGACGAGGACGGTGGTGGAGGGTCGCTCGAGCTTGGAGGTGGGTCGTCGGTGGACGAGGGCGGTGGTCGTGGGTCGGATGATGGTGGCGGCAGGGGCTCCTCGGTCGACGACATGGGAGGAGGGGTCGCCGATGTTGACGGTGGTGACGAGGACGTCTCTGGAATAGACGTTGGGGGCTCAGACGAGGAATCCACTGTGGACGACGGCGAGGAAGTGGTCGACGGTGGAGTCGGCTCGGTCGATGATTCTTCGAGACTGGACAAGTGACGTGAGAAAGAAATGCAGAGAAGCCGACGCCGGCATTCATCTTTACCTGCCAGAAGAAGACATTGTTGACGCTGTTGACGACAGAGAAGACGGCTCGGGAGATGAAACGGGCGACGACGAGGACTCGCTGGGCGTTGGGGACGGCGATGGCGGTGGCGAGGAAGAATCTGGGATCGCACTGGACATTGGCGAGAGAGTGAAGAGAAGGAAACGTGGTGCTTTTCTGGACTCTACTTAGCCCACTACAAATTTTGGCCCGCGAGTCCATAAATTGACGTAATTAATTGCCTTTGATCCAAACGTGTTCCGCAGCCAACCAACTCCTTCTTCGCCAACCTCAACCGTGGTCGTCATCGTCGTCGTCGTCGTCGACCACAATGATCACCCTTCCAAAGGATACAGAGGCAGCCAGGGTCCCCTTTCGCCAGGCTGAAGAAGAGCCCCTGCTTTCTCAACACGCCACCTCGAGCGCCAGCGTCAGCGCTCCACCATTCGAGCCACCCCCTAGGTTCACACCGTATCGAGCTTCCTATTTCGAAGTTGGATACCAAGATATCTGCTCGCATGACCCCCATCTCAATACAGATGGCGAGGCGCTCTACCGTTTTCTTCTCGAGCGTTCACAGCGGCCCCCCTTCGTCCGTGTTAACGTCAGGGGCACTCACACCGAACACCGAACTCATTGGGTTACCCAGCGGGACAGCGATGGGCGAACTCGACAGGTGTCGGAAACCCACACTGAAACCGTCACCGATTTCGACTTCTGTATCGACATAGCCCCGCCATTGGGCACAAAGCCTATCCAATGGAGCGTTCCTGACCGCGAACCAACGTACCGAGGGAAGATGGTCAGGGAATTGGAAGAGATTGCCCTCCCTGGTCTTGGTGGAATTCGTCGGTCGAAGCGTAGAGCATCCAGGAAAGAATTGAAGCGACAGAAGCAGTGGGAAGAAGAGCGCCGTGGTCGAGGACTTCCCCCTTGGTGCCCGCCAGAAGACATCGAGCGACTCCTGTTAGAAGAATCTTCGGGATCTCTTTCAACTCCTTCCCCAATCTCTGTACCGTATGTCAATACTCTATCCGCCATCGAACACAACTCGCTGCGCAGCACAAAGTCTCTCCGCCAATGGGCAGATGAATATTGCCGCTCACCCAAACGCCTCAAAGAATTTGTGTACGATCAACACCTCTACGGCTGGAATATGTCGCAAATCGAAAGTGCTATCCGCTCCACCGTTGTCGCTACCCCTTACAATGGCGACTTGGAAATTGCCTTCATCAAATACAGGTCAAGAATATACATTCGCCCCGATAACCGGCTTTCCAAGTGGCTCTCGAATAAGTGGCTCTTTTTCCTTTCCATTGTGCTCCTTGTATATCCTTTCATCTGGCTGTTCAAACGATTCCATTCGAGGGGAGGTGGAAAGTGGGAGGTTTGCGGTGCTGCTTATCCAATGAAGAGATGGGTACCGGCGACGGACGATGGTGAACCAATCCCACCCGAGACCGACGAGCAAGGGTTACCAACTCTGCCACCCTACGAGCCCTACGAATCTCGCACTCCGCAATACTCCCAGGCATCCCCTTCTTCAATGCCCTCGCCTCGAATGCCTCTTCCATCCCTACCCAGTCCTAGTGGGTTCGGGGCATCCTTCCCAACCCCTACGTCCACATCTTCTCGGCTTGTTCAGACTTCCTCAGGGCCCAAGCGACTCGTCGGAATAAGGGAAGGAGAATGGTTCAGAAAATGGGAAGGTGCTATAACGAGGGCTGTGCTGAGTAGATATCGATCGACGACACCTCTCGAAGATCCTGGGGCTATCCCAGGTACTGTTCGTACATTGGATGGGTATTTTGGCTGAGGTCATAACCTCTTTCTAAGGATTATTTCTGCACTGTGGTCCGTTTCTCCATGGCCTTTATGCTCTCTGTTTACTTATATATCCCAATCTACTTGTAGGCCATGTACTGGATTCCCCGTTGCTCTCCGGAGTTCCCCCTATACATCACTGATTCACTGACGAAATCTGCTAAGCCCTTGACGTCGTAGCCATTAGCCACAGCCAAGTGAGCGCCCAATGTCGATGATATCTCAGGCGCTCAGCGCTCTCCGGAAACTGGATCAATGTTACAGTACGAAATGATGTATGTATTCCGTCCGACCTCGTCCCTCTTTCGACGATTCCTGATCTCTTTACCACACCTCAGCTTCTGGATTTCTTGTTTGAATTCGATACTTCCCTGCTAAAAAGGACAAATGAACACGAACACTCCGGTGTACCGATCTTGGCTCCTGGCATTATAGTCCACCCAAACTTGATCATCGGATTGTGATGACAGCTGCCTTCCTCTTCTCTGGAGTCTGCATAAGGAAGTCGGTCCACTGCGTAGTTATCGCACATGTCCAACATGTTCTATCAAACGATCTCTTGGCCGACTGGTCATATATAACCTTCCATTGTTTCATTTCCATCCCCAACACCTCCGCCGTTATCCCATCTCAGCAACAATGGGGAAGTCAGACGACGGCGCCCGTGGCTCTTTCGACAGCGATCAGCCCCCTCCGTTTAGCATCTACAAGGCGAAGACCAACCAAGTCGACAACTTGGAAGGGAGACATGATATCGCCGCCCATGACGCCCACCTCAATACTGACGGGGAAGCACTCTACCGATTCATCCTGGACCAAAGCAGCGAAAACAAGCCTATGCTGCGATTGGACATCGATGGCTCGAGCATCAGTAACATGACTGGGTGAGCCATCTATTAGTGCACCTGCTGAAAACGGACAACTTACAGCATCCCAATGCGTTACAGTACTCCCCTGACAAAAACGGATTTCTCGTTCTACATCGACGTCCCTCTTCCGGCTGAACTGGCTTCGCAGGGCGTCCAGTGGTCTCTCAGCGATGACGAGCCGGCATACAGAGGACGCAGCTCCCGCGAGGTTGAAAAGGACAACAAGAAAGACAAGGCGAGCTCGAGCCAAGTCAAGGCTTACCTCAAAGAACGTGAAGCCCGCAGAGAATCCGGTCTGCCACCTTGGGCTATGAACCTGCCATCTGACCAGCTGCCCATTCGAGGAGAAGGAATGTCAGAAGCTAAATATATCGAGAAACTCTGGGGCCTCGAACAAAACGCTTGGAAGAGCTCCAAGTCGTTGAGGGAATGGGCAGATGATTTTTGTAATGCTTCAAAGTCGCTCAAGGAGTTTGCATTCCAACAAGAAGTTTACGGTTGGGATTTTAACAAGCTGCGGTCGCTTCTCAGGAAAACTGTAGAGGAGCAGCTGGGCTACAAAGGGGATCTGAGCTTAGATCGCTGGAATGTCAGAGGGCGTATTTATGTGCGCCCGGACAGTACATTCTCCAAGCTAGTGTCCAAAATATGGTACGACTCATAATCATGAAGATGTTTCTCGACGCTGACTTTGCTTCAGGCATGGAGGAGGAATCTGGAAGGTGTGCGGTGTAGCTTATCCCCTTGTCGGCTATGTCGATGCCGACGCTGACGAAGAGGGCGCCATCAAGACCTCAGCCGGGTTCAAGAAACGAGTTGGACTGACCGAGGAAGAATGGTATCATAAATGGGAGAGCACTATCGTCGAGGCTGTGAACCAAGAGCTGCAGACCAAGAAGCCATTCGTTTGCCCCATGTATGATTGAAGGACTATGTAAGGATGTCCAAGAATAGTTTGTGTGTCCTTGCGCGCGACATGAGTAGGCTATGTGTTTGAAATCCAAAGGTGTCCGAAGAAAAGAAACCTTGCGAATGGACGGTAAAGCAGTGTAATTGAATGGAAGGATAAGATGAATGTCTAGGTCTGCGTCATTCTATGATCATGTCCGTCGGAAGGCGCTATCTTGCGTCCATGGTGCCCAACGATTTATGTTGGAGCGGCTGAGGTGGAACCCGTCAAACGTCGGCAAGTTATATTGCTCTGCCTCGGATTCTTCTTCTCCCTCTAGGAGCGCAATCGCGGCCTCCAGATACCAGGCGTTTTTCTTGATGAAGTGGACAGCTACTGTCCCGCCAACGCGTTGATTTTCATATTGTGTTCTCCTGCCCTCCCGATGCAGCCATGCCTGTTCTGGTGTAATTGGTCCACCTAGAGAGACCATCAATTAGCGGAACATATGACGATTGAAAAACCGTCAGTTTACCTCTTTCCAAGAGCGACATTTCGCTGCCTTCCACCAAAGCCTCGATACTCTCTCTCTCCGACAACTCTCGCAACGGCGGCGTGTACCTCACGCCAAAAGTCGACACAGTGGATCGAGTTAGAGACTCTGGTGCCGTCGTTGAGCGCCATGAGCCTCTTGGTCGGTAGTACCGATGTTCGTTTCCAGTTCCAAAACGCGCCCCATTAGCAGCGAACTCGCGATGGCCCCTATCTCGCATCAGGTCTTTCACATATGAAGTGATCTCCTTTTTGATGCGCGTGACTTCAGATGGGAACAGAAACCCATGTCCGTAGCTGTATCGGTACCAATTCAACACCCAGGCTTGAACTCGAACCAACAAGGTGAAGGAACTCACACTGTGCCAGATCGAGGATGGTCGTATATCCAACACCGCTCACTCGTCCATCGAACCCTGTCTGCTCGTGGATGTAAACGCATCCATTTCGCCGTTTGCTTGTCCTCTGCGCCCTTCGTCATGCCTTTTACAGCGGCATCCTTGGCTACCCAATCGACCAGGCTCCAGCTCAGTGCATACAGTTCTCCTGCCATAAACTGATGCAATCGATTCGTGACCAGATAGCCCCAGTATATGAGAGGGTCATTATCAGTCATGGTTTCAGGAAAGGGGGCTGATATAAGTGGAACCCTGTCTGGGGATACGTCTATCGGCGAGGCTTCTGTCAACAATGTTGCCGTTGGGATTCGCCTCGGGATTCTGTTGGTGCTGTTGCTGAACTTTGGTTTATTATGAAGTTCGACTCGCAGTCGTGCTTCTAGTTCGGCCAACATAATAAACGCGTCGTCATCTGCTTTGACGACATAGTCCGGTCGAATCCAGGGCTTGGGTCGGTGGGATCGAATATTGTGCCAAGCTGATATCGGATCGTGAGGAGCAAGGGGAGGTGGAGAGGCAGTATAATTGGAGTAGGAAAACCGGGGAAGTGGGGGTTCAGATACGTTGTAAACTGGTGGAACCCAAGCGTTGAGTGACGCCCATGAGAAGAAGGTATGGGTTTTGCCATTATTCATGTTCTCTGGAATTGGGAGGATGACGACATCATTATAGGCTGTGGATGGACTCATTATCTGGCGAAAGGACAGTGAAAGGCAATCAACACGCACTGTCCATCTCGAGCTTTATCCTTCTCTCCCAACTTTGCCTCGGCTGACCGAGGATAAATCGGACCACTGTTCTGGACGTTCCTCGTCCGCCATCACCTCCTACTGCGCCATTTCGGCTTCGAGCATGGGCAGCCCACGTCGTTCTTATCAACATGCGACGTTCAAACGCAGAGTCCACGGAGAACACGCCTATCAGGATTCCCGCGGGGGGCAGGTTCTCGAGGTTGGCAGGGGGAAAGGGAGGAATAAGCTCCCCGGGCTCTATCTCAGGGTAAATGCGAAGAGGGTATGGGTGGTCGCGAGGGGCCGCCAGTGAAGGGATCGAGCAATACGCTCGCCATGGCAAAGGCTCCTTGTCGGGATTCAGCGTGTAAATCAAGAATAGGGCCAATAGAATCGCCAATATCAAGATGGAAATTAATGTCAAGATCTCCAGGAATTGACTTTAGCGAAACCGCGATGAGAAGAGAGAAAGAAAGCACGACACACCAGGGTAACAGGTTGCGCGGGGAAGAATCGGTGGCGTACCATACGTCTCCTCCATTTTTTCAAGATCCTCATAAATCTACTATCGCGTCGCCGTCGTCGTTGTGGTGTTCCCCACCAACTCGTCCCCTTTCTGGTTTCGGGTCTGCGTCTTGGAGCGCTCAGGTTGCTGCTGCGGATGAGGGGCGACAGTGACTCGCTGTCCGTGTCTGACAGACATGATGACGAATTATGAAGTCCATGGTAGTACTGCGGGAGCCTTGGCGATGTTGGACGCGACGGTAAAGGGGTCGAGGAGGCGGTTGACGACATCGAGGTACGTCCGTTTCCCTGGTGGTACAAGAATGTCGCTGAACCAGTGCGCGGTGACGGTGGAGCCGTTGCCGACGATGAGGCCATACAAGTTGAACAGACCCTGGAATTAGACCGGGGGACTTTAATGTCGTCGTCGCGGTCCTTGGATCTCTGGCTTATGGGAGAAGTCGAAGGAAAGTCTATCGATCGAAAAAGCCAATTTGTGGTGCAACTGTCAAACACAAACGCTTATTTCGATTGATTACTCGAGTAGAAATGAAAGCAAGAAAGCAAGAGCCATAGCAATCAGTGTCAATCCAAATTTAGCCGTCCACTAAGGACAATATTAGCCCGTCAATGTCCCATGTCAATCGTTTCTAGTCTACCAGATGACACATCATAAATTCCTTGGTCTGATGTTCTTAGAACAAGCCTTGTCCGTACAACTTCTGCCAGCTCGGTCTCTCCTTCAGCGCATCCCAGAAGGCCCCTAGCTTCGCTTGCTTTTCGCCCCTTCCTCCAGCATCGCCAGAGAAATCCCGAGGAAGAGCGAGGACAGCGCCGACGTATTTCTCGAGTTTCTCGACGACAGTCTTGCCATCGTCGTCGACGGATCCACCAGCCAATTTCACAACTCGTGTAAACCAAGGGGCAAGATGCAAATCGGCAATGGAGAATTGGTCACCTAAAATTCTGCTTAACAATTATCGCAGCAAGAGGGGAAACGCAGACGCACCGAGGGAGAATGGTCCAGTGGTTTCCTTCGATAACTTCAACAAGATGATGGGCAAATCCTTTTCCCATGCCTTCCGTCCAACATCGATGAAACTCTGTCGTTCCGCCTTCTCCTCTTCGCTCAACTCTTCCACCGGTTTTTCGGCGGCTTCCAAGACACGCGACGACAGATCGACGGACTCGAGCCTTTCCTGCCAGAATTTCTTAACCTTTTCACTGACATGAATGACTTCTCCCTCTGCGTCTGCCAGGTGTTTCTTGAGGGCGTCTCGTTTGGCCTGGACAATGTGCAAGACCTCCTTGGCCAGCACTTTCAACGATGCATCATCCCGAGCATTCTTGTATCGTAGATGGTTCGGGTTAGCTTCCTCCGAGTGAAGGAGCCCAATGACGACGCGTGCGATGTCTGTGGCGGCAATCGTTGCCGGTGCAAGGGCAGGGGCGGGAGCGGAAGAAGTAGTATGGGTCCTCGATACCAGGGAACGGGATTTGTCCAGGAATTCAGCAATGGCCTACGAACGTGCGGGTCAGTCCTGATCCCTCTTTCTTTGCAAGGGAGGCACCCACAATAGACTCGGTTATGGCCTTGTACCGACTATCGATTTCGTCCGACAGGGTGTTGGACAGTGGCACCACAAGAGTTGGGACGGTCGCTGAAGAGTCGGGTCAAGCCCCGTCCACTGTGGCTCAGGAAGAGAATACCTTTGGGATTCAAACGAAGGAAAGTGGGATCATAGTTCTCTCCTTTCCCTTGGACAAGTTAGTTACCAGGCATTCAGCTGTAAACGGAGGGTCTACTTACATATGTCGACGATCCGAAGGTCGACTTCATCGGCACCATAGCCCTTCTCTTCCCTTCAAGTCATATGCGATCAAGAAAACCACGCTTCTTTGAAGGAGACAACCACTTACAACGCGAGGAGGGCTGGGATCTCGTCAGGCGCGCAAGAAAGATAAGGGCATATGGACTACACTCACCGACTGCCGACCAGATCGATCGAGGGTAATAGTAGAGCGCAGCCTTCGGGATAGAAGTCATTAGGAAATATCAAAGCAATGAAAGTATGGCCTATGGTCGAGAGAACTCCTGAAGCAAGCTTGCACCACTAATCGATGGGCCCATTTATGACGTCCCTGTCCCCATTTCAGTTATTTGTCACACTTTGGTCTTCATAAATGGATTTTCTTTTATGGAGATATTTCGGTTCTACAAATCAGACATCATGGGTGAGAGGAAAGGGCGTTAGAACTGCAAGCCACAGTTCAGCGACTCTGAATCCCAATTCCTTGGCGCAGAGAGCGCGTCGACGCGATCCTGAGGATCAGGGACGCGTCGCTAAAATGAGGTCAGGTGACAACACGTATTTGTTGCCGATTAATTAGGTTACCGAAAGGGGTATCGAATGTGCTCGAAAATGATCATGTCGAGCCCTACAAAGGCGAACTGGAGCTGTTAAACACAGCACACTCTTCTCTTTTCACCTTGTGTTTCACTATGGCCACTATCCGGTATGTACAGGACCCATGGATACCGCCGCTCAGCACGCTGGACGTTTTCCTTGCAGACATGAATTCTACGAATCAGACGAGAGACTCACTCTCTCAATCTTCGACCGTGGCGCGGACCCCTCTCAGGTCTCTATCACATTCGAACCTAGAAAGGTAGCTGGTTAGGCGGGGTGGGGGGATTCTAGTCTCGATTGCTGATGATGATCCAGTTCACTTATACGCACGGCGAGAAATCACTCGTCCTCGAACCTTTGAAGGGACAGATTGTTCCAGAGAAGAGTGACTACACAGTTGGAAAAGTCAAGGTGGAGGTGCGCTTTGCAAAGGCTGCCATTGGAAGATGGGGAGGGTTGATTGGCGATTCCCCTGATCGTAAGTCATTCCGATTTCCCCTCCACTCGATCCAAGTTGTACTGAATGACGCGCTTTCTCTACAGCGTTGGCAAACAGTGCAGCACCTAGCTCGTCGGATCCAGCGACTCGCCCAGCACCGCGAAGAAAGAATTGGGATGCATTAACCGAGACCATTCTCAGTGCAGAAAAAGAAAAGTCGTTGGAGGAGGACCCCAATGCTGGCGGGGATGCATCGCTCAACGCATTCTTCCAGAAGATCTTTGCAGACGCCGACGAGGACACCAAACGCGCCATGATGAAGAGTTACCAGGAGAGCGGCGGCACGACCCTGAGCACTAACTGGGAGGAAGTGAAAAAGGGCAAAGTCGAAGTGAAGCCACCCACTGGATCTGAATGGAAGCGATGGGGTTAAGCCAAGTAGGACTTTGGGATTTGTGTTCGACGTTCACATTTCTTTTGCTTTAAACTTTGCTGTGTATTGCTTTCGAATCTACAATAACATCGTTAGTATCTGAGCTTTTGTTTGTACCTGGTCTCGCGAGAACCATCAACTTCCCTCAATCATGTCTCGTCTTACCATCATCGTCGCTGCGACCAAGGCCAATGGGATTGGCAAAGGCTCTAATTTACCATGGCGTCTAGCCAAGGAAATGAAGTACTTTGCCCGCGCTACCTCTGAAGCACCTGAAGGCACGAGAAATGCAGTCGTCATGGGTCGCACCACCTGGGAGAGCATCCCCGAGAAGTTCAGACCCCTCCCAAACCGAGTTAACGTCGTGGTGAGCCGAAACGAAAATTATGAACTGTACGGATCTCCCTCATCTCATTCGAGGGTCCAAAATCTCAATGACATCGATCCCGTAGTGAACCAGGCAAAGAGCCATCCCCTATGGCGCGACTTGCAAACAGCCTTTCTTCAGGGCTCAGACACCTTACGACAACGGATGGCCTTACTGTCAATCGTATATTCGTGATTGGAGGCGCGTCACTGTATCGAGAAACGCTTTCTCTGGCCAGGTCGAAAACTGGCCCATTCGTAGACCGCATACTCCTCACTCGCATCGCACTCGCATCGTGAGCCCGGACTTTGATGCCGATGTCTTCATGCCAGAATTCAATGCGGACGGGAAGGAGTGGACAAGGTCGACACACGCAGAATTGCAGGAGTGGGTAGGGTTTTCGGTGCCAGAGGGAATCCAAGAGGAGAATGGGGTCAAGTACGAATTCCAGATGTGGACAAGGTCCTCGTAAAAGTGTGGGGGAATTAGGATTACGGTGGTACAACGGAGTGGATAATATATTGGGTCGCATGGAGAAACCTGGTGTGGGATGGCGGTATCGTTCTTCATGATTAGCCTTGGCGCTGTTTATGGTTGTGAGCTCGCCAAAGACTTTTCGTACAGAAACTGGACACACCTGCTTATGTTTTGGGTTTCTGGAGCACACAACATATACCCTCCCCTTCCGTCGGACAACGCTGCACCCGTCGCACATCACCTTGACCGATGCGCGAACCTTCATCCCTCTTGCCAGGCTGGGCATTGCCAACGCTGGTGAAACTGGCAATGGGTGGTGATGGAGGTGTTGGTGAGCATGAGGGAAGGCTGCCTGTCGGAGGCGCTGTAGCAGAGGTCTGCTCGAGGCAAGCAACGGTCGCAACATGGTCGTTTCGTGGTTTCTAGAGGAGAACAGCTCAGCGTCTCCGGTCCGCCTTGGTCACAAAATTGCTGCCACGTGACAACCTTCGAATTTCGGTCCTTGCCGTAATCCCGCCCAAGGCTATTGGCACGTTCAACCGTCACTGCGAGGTTCCGCACTATAAAGTCTTGTCTAGCTCCTGAAAACGTTTGCGTCTGGCTTTAGCCCTCATGCCTGCGCCAGATATATAGCGGTCCTGTTTCAAATGGTTTCTAGATCCACCTCCCTCTCTCGGCCCCCACACATTGGTGGGCAGCCTCAAGCAATCGCCATCTTCGTCTTTACACTTCTCGCATTCGTGGTGGAGAGCCAGTTTACACAAGTATGTCCTATCTCGACATCGTTTGTGTTTGCCTCCATGACCTTTTTAACAGTATGTCCAAACAGACCTTGGATATCGGCAGCCATTCTTCATATTGTGAGCGCCTCTGACCGGCCAAAGAAAACGCTCTGCTAACAACCGACCTCGCAGCTATCTTGTGCACGCATCTTTCACCATAATCTTTCCCTTGCATTTAGCCTATCTCACATGGACCTCCGGTTATCCTGCATCTGCCATTCTCAAAGGACTCTACATTGCCATCACTAAGCACCTCTCACCCAAAACATCGGGATCCTCGTCCTTCAAGTTCCCCCGCTCCGAGTTCACAAAATTGATTACCCTGTTGACAATTGGTATTACCTGTCCCGGACTACTCTGGTTTGCCGCTATCTCGCTTGCGACGTGAGTCAAAATGCTACTCTCAAGGTCCGCCCATTAACCCATATTCTGCAGTGTAAGCGACGTTACCGGTAAGTTTACTTTTAACCCATCGTCGCATATCTGCTTAAGGGTTCACAGCCATCTGGAACACCAACGCCTTTTTTGCCTATCTGATTAGCGTGAAACTCTTCCGACTGAAATGGGAAACTCGGAAACTCTTCGCCGTCGTATTGGCTACAATCGGCACCCTCGTCGTTGTCTATGGCGGCGTTTCGAGTTCAACTCCAGAGGAAGTTGCGAAGGTCGTGGACCCTCCGACTTCGACAGTGATAAAGCCCAAAGCACCTCTAATCGGCAACCTTTTGACACTCGTTGCATCCTTTGGCTATGGACTGTACCAAGTTTTATACAAGATCTACGCCGCCTTACCCTCCGACCCCGAAGTCTCCTCCGATATCCTTTACGAACAAATCCTAGACGAAGCCGATGGTTCAGAGGAAATAGAGCCAATTAACCAAACTGGAATGCAAGACGCTCTGTACCCACCGCCATTTGGCCTCCATCCAAACTTCCTCACATCGATCATGGGCTTTATCACCTTTGTTGTGCTGTGGATTCCCATTCCGATTCTTCACTGGACTGGAATCGAGCCTTTCGCTTGGCCCTCCAACTGGCTCACCGTATTCTCGATCGCGGGGATCGCTCTCGGAGGCGTCGTTTTCAACGCGGGCTTCATGGCAAGTCCCAAATCCCTGTTCTCGGTGATTCCCATTGACTCTGTCACACTTCTAGATCTTGCTCGGCGTGTGGGGCCCCATAGTAACCTCTGTCGGAAATCTCCTCACCATTGTGCTGATGTTAATTTCTGATGTATGGCTTTCCATCCCATTCATTCCGCATCCCCCTGATATTCAAAATGTTTAATTTTTAGGCAATCTTTGGATCCGGTCTCGAAGTCATCACAATGTGGAGTTTAATTGGGTCAAGCGTCATTGTAGTCGCTTTCGGAGTCCTTGTTTATGACATGGCGTTGCAGAGAAGGGCGGGATGAAGGAAACCTTTACAAGCCACCTTGGAATTGTACTATTGTAGACTCACAATAAAAACAGTGCCACCACACCCAGCCAGTGTAGTGATATCAATATAACAGGACCGAGGTGAAAGGGAACGGAGGATCTGAGTTTGGGAGTGTATTAAATTATGTAACACAAGTCATCTCGACGCAGAGAAGGGAGGAAACCGAGAAAAAAGAGGAAAGAGAAACAGTCATTAGAGCATCGCACAAGAGATGAGGATGTAGGTGGACAGAAGAGGGGGGCCGAAAAGCTGGTGAACAGTACTACAAAAATGGACCCAATACCTGAAAAACTGGAATATAGTTACAAGTCCTAACTTACTGCAGCTACGAAGGACGAAATTAAAGAAATACAAGCGAAGTGAGGCAGAGAAACAAGAGTGTGGTACGGGGTGTTATGTGGTTGCAACTCGAGAAACCAATGCGATGACTCTTCCGAGGAATATTGCTTCGGTAAAAATTCGTGGCGATAACCAGCGTTCGTGATGTCGTTGCAAGCTCGGAGCAGAGGCGTGGCAATGGTTCATGTCGAAGAGGATAAGTTATGTCAGCGAAACAGGGGTCTTCTACGTGGCTGGCACGGCAGCACTGGAAAAGGAGACGCAAAGTCAGACCAACAGTCCATAACGACCGGGATAGACAAACCTCTTCCTCTTCGCCTTCGTCATCTCCTTGCGAAGCTGTGCCCCGTCCAGCGGTTTGAGCAGTTCAAACGCGCAGAGAAGGTCCTCAGACACACTAAATATAACCATGATCAGTAAAGGCGACATCGTAGAAGGACAGAAAGTACATACCTCATGCATGCTCCATAATTGTCGAATTCTGAGAAGAGTTATTATTCCTGGAGCTGAGGAAGAAGTTTGCGAAGACGCACCCCCGCAATAATTTGGCGCACTGAACACAGTTACCAGCGTTCGATCATTCCAGAATTCGTACCCATCTTCAACCACCATGTGCGCTCGACAAATAAGGTCCATGTCATAACGAACAAGGAAGTCGTTAATGACACCCTTGCCGAAGCAGTAACTGACTCCTCGCTCGTTATCTTCCCAGTCCATTGCAGTGTCGGACGGATCCGACCAGAGAAGGTCGTTAAGAAGACCAAAGTCGGGAACATCAGTCGGTCGCTGTATACGCTTGATATCATCCATAGCGTGAAGAGACGGGGACAGGCCCCCGTGAACGCAGAAAATTTTCGATGCAACGATAGCCGCTATGGGGAGGCAGTTGAATACATCGATGAAAGTCTTCCAGGTCTTGATGTTGCACCGCCGTTTGCATTCGTCGTAAAAGCCGTAAACTAGCAAACGTTAGCAGATATAAGCCATGGTAGTTATGGTGCCACTCACCCCTCGTTACATTGGCACACTCGTGATTCCCGCGCAGGAGGAAGAAGTTCTCGGGGTACTTGATCTTGTAGCACAAGAGGAGTAAGATAGTTTCCAAACTCTGCTTGCCTCGGTCGACGTAATCACCAAGGAAGAGGTAGTTAGCGGCTGGGGGGAAACCGCACATTTCGAATAATCGGATAAGGTCTGAATATTGGCCATGGACGTCGCCAACGATCTTGACTGGCGGTGAGAGTTCGATGAGCGTGGGTTGACTCAATAGCACTTCTCGGGCGGCTTGGCAAATATTGACTATTTCCTGACTCTTGAGACACAGGGACTTGCTGACCTTTCCTGTAATCCGACATCCAAAAGCCGCTGGATCATGTCATCCCCGTCAACGGGGGTTGTCCTGAGGGAGCCGTTCCCATGGCGTCTGCTCCTGGGCTAGCTCCGGAACTTGGGGCAAAAGATTTGCTGGAGTTGGAAAGAATAGTTGGTACAGGCGCAGGAATGTCTAGAGGGGCTGAGGCGGGGTTGGGCGATGGCTGGGAGGATGATGACGAGGTGGAGGAGGCGGGCAGTTGAGCGGCTTGGTCCTGGGATTGAGCGCCTTTTGAAGGGTACGGTGAGCCATGCGTCCGTCCATCTGCCGATGCAACAAGGTTTCCTGTGGGATCGGATACATTTATCTCGGGATTGCCATTTGGTATTGAGCTGGAATCAGAGCCGTTTGCTGTTGAAGATCCCGTGGCACGCGAAAGCGAACCCTGAGGGGTGCTGCTGCCTGTTTCGGTGTTGAGGTCGCCATCGAGCTGCCGCTGCACATCCTTGTCCTTGCTTCCCTTTTTGCTCTTTTTCGACTGCTGCTGACCCATCTGGCTTCCTTGGGAGCCGGGGGGTTGGGGCGATTGTGACCGCGCTTTCGAAAGGCGCGAGGTGAATACGGAAAGGAGGGTAGGCGCCAGCTTGACGACGGGCAGCGAGATAAAATAAGAAATAAAGGAGCGAGTCGGACGTAGCAGACAGCGACGACGAGACTGACTGTCTGGTGGAGGGAGAATACAACACTCGCCCAACAATCATGACCTACCAACTCGTTGTTGCATCTTGTTTGCATCAAATGGCCTTGGCATCCTACACCGCCCATTTTGGGACGCACGTCTCCCTCTCAAAATCTCACTCAGTCCTTTCGGAGAATAACATAGGTTAGAGCATGGATGGCATGGCATATTCATTGAATTGCATGTGGCATGGGACAAATGAGGTACAGAATAACAAAATCTGGTCTAAGCTCAGAACTTTCCGAAAGCCTTGGATGCGGCCTTGTTCTTCGCTACCCGGAGGACGTTGAATCGGACGGTTTTTGATAGTGGCCGGCACTGTCCTACACAGGTGTTAGCTCAAGGGAATCTAAGATCACTGCCAAGATCTGCACGTACCAACAGTGACGGTGTCGCCGACCTCAACACGGAAGGCTGGGGAAATGTGGACAGCCAAGTTTTTGTGTCGCTTTTCGTAACGGTCTGAAGACTTGGATTAAGAGCATGGATCGGGCCAGCAAAGAGATATTGACGCACTGTATTTAGGGATGTAGTGGAGGTAGTCCCGTCGGACGATGATGGTTCGGATCATCTTGGTAGACACAACCTTGCCAGTCAAAATACGGCCACGAATAGAGACGTTGCCAGTGAAGGGGCACTTCTTGTCTGTTCATAGGGGCATTTTGGATCAGTACTTGGGCTTGGATCCAGCAATGAAGGGGGCGCACCAATGTAAGTGCCATTGATCGCCTCTGAAGGCGTCTTGAATCCCAGACCAACATCCTTGTACCACCGCTTGTCCTTGGAGGAGACCTTCTTGCCGCCTGTAGTTCAATTTTAACACACCGCCATCGCAATCATAACTCTTGTAGACGCACCCCGGACTTTGGCGTTTTGGAAGAGGTGTTGCTTCTGGAATGCCTTCTCGACCTAGCAGAAATTTCGCGTTAACTGGGTTCTATTGGCGGCGACGTCGGGTGGAGCGTAGACATACTTGAGCGTCAGCCATCTTGGGGTCTTGAGGTCGTTGGGAACGGTGCAGGCGGCGGAAAGCTTCCCTCTGTTTCTTGTTGACGATTGTTTGCCGAGTTGCCGCAGCCACCGGGCACAGAGCTGTACAGGACCTCGGTAAACTCCGAATCGTAGTGAAATTTCGAATGCCTTTCATTCAGTCTATACAAATGAGTAAATGGTCTTGAATTGACATTCAACGTTCAACGTTCAAACTTGGTCGAAGTCCTGAGTTGCTTTCCGCATTTTCTTGCCCTTGACGAGGCAACTCTGCAAAAATCTCACAGAAGGTGTTGGCAATCAATCGAAGTGAGCATCGGCGTTTCGTAAGAACATAGTGGAAATGTAATATTGAATTCGCTCTTGTTGCTCAGGAGGCCAGCTGCAGGTGGGAAGAAGCTTGGAGATCAGGAATGACTTGATGTGACCGAACAGGGACCAAGCGTTCGCGTCGCGATGTGTACATATGTTTGTCGCACGCGCCTTGCGCTTGAATTGGACACGGCAGACCATGGGGCGCCAGCAGACTCTCGGTACTCAACCCGTTTCTCACTAGTTCCAACGCCGCTCATACTTTTCCAGGGAAATTCTTTGAGATGCCCAAATCCATGAAACCAGCACCGCCCCAACAGTCAAGTTTGACGGAGATGTGGGGCAAGAAACGCGACGTGAGCACGAAGAGCGCGCCCAAGAAGGAAGAGGACGCGATGGAGGTAGATTTGAAACAAGAGGCACAAGGTGCGTAAATAGCTTTCAAGGGATTCCTATTCTTATACTGTTGCCCAGCTGGACCGTCTAAGCGCAAGGAGAGCGCGTTAGAAACTAAGAGTTCGTCCATCCGCGTTTCAGGAACGCTCCGACTAAACGCGTCGTAACACAGACTCCCCAAAGGTGAAGAAACGAAGGATAATTGAGTCATCGGATGAGGAAGATGAAGTAGCGAGCAGAGGTTAGCTAGTCCCACTTGTGTCGTCTTGCCATGCTCATCAGCCCAAGCAGCGAGTCAGTCGATTGCAACCAGTTCCAGACATGTCACACCTGAACCTTCGGAAGCCGCATCCTCCTCCCCTGTGAAGAAACACGTCGAGGGCTCACGTGCAGTCAAGCCACCTCATAGTGACATCGACGAGGAGTCAATAGCAGCAAGCGAACCGGAGGCGGACGAAGATAGGGATGATGTGTTACTGGAGGACGACGAGGAACTCAACCCTGTGGGAGGTACCGAATCTAAAAGGTCGCCCTATCCATGACTCCTAGTTGATAACGAGACTGATGTAAACCTCACAGCGCTCGCGCAGCACTCTTGAAGAAGGATGAAGTCGACATCAAGGGCGGTTGGAAGGTGGGACAACCGTACGCCAATAACTCAATCACTTTCCTTGTTGAAACTTACAACGCTGCATAGTGTACCTTATGCCGCCCTGGCCAAGACCTTCTCCCTAATCGAGGCTACAACAAAGCGGCTGGAGAAGAATGCAATCCTCACGGCATTCTTGCTCCTCGTCATCCAGAGGAGTGCCAAGGACGACCACAAGTCGCTCCTCCAAGCTGTTTATCTGTGCATCAACAGAGTTCGTGCCTCTCGTGTATCCTTCAAAACCATTGCTAACAATGTCTTACAGTTGAGCCCTGACTATGTCGGCATTGAACTAGGTATCGGCGAGAGCTTGCTCATCAAGGCCATCGCTGAATCCACGGGTCGGAGTCTTGCTGTCATTAAGGCTGATCTTAAGAAGGAAGGAGACCTGGGCTTGGTGGCCATGGTATGCTCGATGTCGAACCATTTGAGAACAGTTCTGACGTCACAGCAGAATTCAAAGAATAGCCAAAAGACGCTGTTCAAACCTAAACCGCTTACTTTACCCTTCGTTTTCACGCAACTCAAAGATATCGCATTGACTACTGGTAATGCAGTACGTGGAAATATGTGGCCTCGTCGTTCCCACAAGTTGAACCCATACCTTTTAGTCTCAGGCAAAGAAAGTTGGTATTATCACCAAGTTGCTGGCCGCTTGTCAAGATGTCGAGGCAAAATATATCGTCCGCAGCCTTGAGGGCAAACTTCGCATTGGAACGCAGAGCGATCTGTACTGGTTTCTCTCGCACTGCTGCTGTCTTGGCTGAACGAGAACGAGGTAAGCTTGTAACCTTGCTGTATGCTTTCCCCACTCACACTGTGGTTTAGCGGACAAGAAATGGAGCCAAGATAAGCTGACTGCCCGCCTCGAGGAGGGCGCAGAGATCATGAAGGCAGTTTATAGGTGAGCCTCAGCTCAGCAGTAATGAAGACTGACTCATAACCTGTTACTACTAGCGAATTGCCGTCCTATGATAGTGTCGTCCCTGCACTTCTTGAGGGTGGTATCAAAGGGTTGAGGGAAAGATGTAAACTCACCCCTGGCATCCCTTTGAAGCCGATGTTGGCCAAACCCACAAAGGCCATTGGCGAAGTCTTGGATCGCTTCGAGAATAAGCGATTCACTTGTGAATACAAATATGACGGAGAGCGAGCTCAGGTGCGCCGTCTCGAATTGACATTATGTATTTGACTGAATGATCTGCTCAGATCCATCGTCTTGATGATGGCACCGTTGGTGTATTCAGTCGAAACTCTGAAGATATGAGTAAGAAGTACCCCGACTTGGTCGATCAACTGTCAAAGGTATGAGCGACCAGGGCGTGTGCAAAGACGAGATTTGACAGTCCAATCAATCCAGTGTATCAAGAAAAACACGAAATCCTTCGTACTGGATTCTGAGGCAGTCGCCATCGACCGCACGACAGGCAAACTCATGCCCTTCCAAGAACTGAGCCGGCGGAAACGCAAAGATGTCAAGGTCGAGGACATCCAAGTGCGAGTGTGCATATTCGCTTTCGATTTACTGTACCTGAACGGCGAGGTATGCTTCCGGTCGTCTTAGCAGTGCACTATATTGAGCGTCTTTCAGCCCCTCATTAACAAGCCTCTCGTTGAACGTCGAGACCTTCTTCGAAAACACTTCCAAGTTGTGCCTGGAGAGTTCGACTTTGCCAAGTCCTCTGACGGCGAAAGTACAGACGAGATTCAGACTTTCCTTGAGGAAAGTGTGAAGGATGGGTGTGAAGGTTTGATGGTGAAGATGTTGGAATCTGACGCGAGTAACTATGAGCCCAGTCGGCGCAGTGTTAACTGGCTGAAGGTGAGCCATTGCGGGCACCTGTGTATTCAATTTGGCTGATTGGCTTCCAATAGCTGAAAAAGGATTACCTCGCTGGTGTGGGTGACTCCCTCGACCTCGTCGTTGTCGGGGCCTACTATGGCAAAGGCAAACGAACCAACTATTACGGCGCCTTCCTGCTTGCCTGCTACGACGCCGATTCAGAGGAGTATCAGACCATTTGCAAGATTGGAACCGGGTTTAGTGACGAGGCCTTGCAAACCCACTATGAGACACTGAAGCCGCTTGAGCAAACCAAACCTAGAGGAGACATCAAGATTGGAGGTGCCAAGCCTGACATTTGGTTTGAGCCGAAGGTAGTCTGGGAAGTGTTAACGGCGGATCTCAGCTTGTCCCCTATCTATACGGCTGCACAAGGATTGGTATGTGACACTGTTGCTGCTTATGACGTGAAGCTCATGCGCGTTGTAGGTGGAAGAACGCGGTATTTCCCTTCGATTTCCTCGGTTCATCCGAGTACGCGACGACAAGGATGCGGATGACGCAACGGCGCCGGAACAAATTGCAGAAATGTACGAACGACAGAGCCTTGCACAAGCTGGTTCCAAGAAGAAGGGTGGAGACGACGACGGATTCTGGTGATTACCGACGGGTATTCGGGCATTTCAGGACGTAAATGATAGCTGTATATCTAGGTTATAATATGCTATTAGGCAATATAGAGCGCACTTTGCGACAAATCTAAGCGTCGGATTTTTTGGCCTCGACGGCAGCCTTGACTGCCTCTGTGACCTTTCCCTCCTCTGCGGCCTTGGCTGCTTCCTCCTCGAGCTTCTTTTCCCGGCCACCCATGTACCAGTACTTGACGAAGCGGGCGTCGTTCAGGGATTGAGCCGTCGCGTTGGTCGCATGACATGCGAAGAGGAGGTAGTTCCGTGGCTGAACTCTCCAGGCTAGAGAAGGAGTGTTTGAGTGAGTTGATGATACTTAAAATTCTGGTTTATGTCGTACCGAATCGCATGAAGACCATCCTTGGGGCAAAGAGTTAAGATCCATGCAGGTAGCTGAGGGAACGTGGACGTACGAATAGCAGGCCAAAGCGGTGGTCATTGTCCCTGAAATCATCTCCTCATCCTTCTTCAAGTCTGCGAGGGCGGCTAGAGGAAGACCCCAGTTTGCTACCTATATTGTCACGGTCGGCCGAAGAGCAAAAGGCTATTGGAAATGGGTGCAACGTACTGGACCCCAGAAATGTGTGCCTGCAGCGTGTCAGACAATAGCAAATGGTTTAGAAGGATGGATACGCACTGAAGAAGTAGTCTCGAGCTGCGGGTGTTCGCAGCCAGGTGAAGAATGTGGACGCCATTGGGGAAAGAGACAAGCCTAGTCCAGGGTAAGCAGTGTGACTTGGCCAATAATTCAAGAAACGGTCCCCTTTCTCACGCGTTCCCCAAGTTTGGTCCAGTTTACGTGTAGCCGCTTGCCCCTTGTCTTCGTTCAACCCAGGATCCCCTCCCCCAAAAAAAACTATGCCTCAATGGGCGCCAATTCGACTCTTGTAACTCTGGAACTTGTCGACATCGAGCCAACGGCCAATTGAGAAAGCGCGAAGAGCCCTCGACGAAGCAGCTCAAAAAGGAAGGTGGGCCCAGCATATTTATCTGAGTGCATCTCCGCCTGGAGACCCCTTTACATCCAACAACCATGAACCAATATCCAGGATATGGCTACTATGGCCAGCCAATGCATCACCAGCAATACCCCCACCAGCCAGGGCCAATGCAAATGCAACCAGGCATCCAGCCAGGGCCTCATGGCTATCCCCCATTCTATCCGCCCCATCCCTCCCAACAGATTCCTCCAGGCCAGGGTCCCATGCCCGTGCCAAGCTACGATGCAGAGGCCTACACGAATCCTCAGAGTATACCTTCATCTTCCAACCACCTCAGGAAGAGCAAACGTGCCTCGGCTCCTGCAGCTAGTGCGTCACAACCCCAGCCACTGAAATCGGCGATGAAGCAACCGAAAGTGACCGCAACGCCTGTAGTCAGTTCTATGGAGTTCCCTCAAGCGGCGTACAGTGGCTACCCTCTGACAAGACCGAGAACAAACTCGGTGGGGCATCACAACGGCGATGCCAGACGGCGAGCCAACTCGAACGCTCCTTCATATCACGACCATAGTGGGATAGATCCACCTTTCCAGGCTGGTGAGCTCACTATGCTTATCTATCGAGTTCGTTGCTTAACCGTTATTGCTCGTAGTACATATGTTCATCTCGTTCCATGGCCAGAATGAGATACGGCTTGAGAATGTTACGGAACTAGCCATGAAGGAGCTCCGAGAGAAGATCTGGTGTCTCTGGCCAGATGGTGCAGACGCGCAGATGCTAAGTCCTGACGAATGTGTCGTCAGGTTCCGGAATCAACCATGGGACATCTCCGGTCCAAACTATTTGACGTGAGTACTGATCCTAGGCTAGGGTATGTGGATATCTTATTTACACTCCGTTTCAGTGCTATTCGAATGCTTCAAGAACTTTTTACATTGTGTTGTCGCAGGGTTCGTCATCCTTCCCATTTACCCTGCATAGGCGGAGAGTGACTAATCACCCTCGATAGGGATACGTATTCCAGACCGCGATTAACACAGGTCATCAGGTGGGTTCCCTCAGCCCAGAGCGCTGTCAATTCCTAACCGATAGAATCTATAGCAAGTCCCTCGGTTAATATTCCAGGTTGAGAACCCCGATCTTAGCAGCCAGTTCTTTTTGGCGTATTTCTCGTCCAGTGGACGGCGGTTAACGATTATTAACGCACCCAGCAATGTTGAGCTCGGGCTAAACGCTCAGCTCAAAGCGGCATTGCCTCGGAAGATCGACACCCAGCCAGTCATGCACCCTGGCTCCACTGACAATATCCGATACTACGAAATTAAACGAGGTGTCAATCCGTCAGGTCTGTCGCCATTCCGCTTGCGTTCCGTCCCTTCTAAAATGCTCATCCCTCAGTTGAAGTGGCTCCTAGCGTCTTCCTGGCTCATATTCTCAAAATCCTCACTACTCTCGGCTTCGAACTGAATTTCTCCATCGCCCTACAAAAGCGACAGTCCCTTGGACTCCGTTCTACAACTCAAGAAGTCCTCGTCTTCAAAGGTGCTCCGATTTCTGGCTGATTAGATTCTCGTTTGCTTTCGCTTTTGCTTTCGTTCGCTCGGCCTTTCTGGGTTCTTTCGGGTTTTCTCTATGTCCTCTATCCATCCTATTTCAGTGTATCATATAGCCAAGATATCGTCAGTAAATTACAAAAAGCATTGAACACTTGTATTAAGTACTAGCGACCAGCTAATTATGTCATTTTCACGACCTTGGAGCCATCTGCAACATCGTGAAGGCTTTTGGCGTTGACCTTGCCATCAGGCCCCTTCCTCTTGTAAAGCTCGTCCCACCAGCCGAAGAGGAAGTCTCTTGCAATGAGCTTGAACCATGGGGTAAACGATTGGGCTAGACAGAGGATCATCAGCTCGACGTCGTCGGATAATAATGTGCAATCTCGTACTCGGATCCTCGAACATGGCTCGCAGCTCCTCCTTGCTCACCCATTTATGGTCCCGGATCTCGTTGGGGTTGATAGTGACATCGACATCGGCGGTCAAGAACAGAATATAGTCGACTGTTTCCCGTCAAAATCTATCAATCATCCCACTAGTGGTGGTAAAAGGCACATACTTTCGTGTTCTCCCCAAGGACCGTTGGACGGCGCGACATAATGGATGCGGGTGAGATATTGATATTGGTCGATAGGGGTTTGGCTCAACGGAATGCCCAACTCGTGCTCGAGCTTTCTCGATGCAGCGACTTTGACTCCTAATTGTCCGGCCTCTACCTTCTCCTCTTCAAAGTCGTCCAGCGGGTGCGAACAGCAGGTATTGGTCCACATGTCTGGGAAGGTGATCTTCTCTGTGGCGCGCTGCTGGAGGAGAAGTTTGCCATCCGATGGTCTGAAGAGGAAGACGGAGAATGCGCGGTGGAGGAGGCCCTGGTTGATGTTTTCCATCAGGTGGCCTTGAGCAAAGCATGAGGATCTGCCATGGAATAAAACGCGTAAAGGTGGGACGTACAGGTTTTTTTGTCCATAGCACCGATGGCGTTGTCTTCCTCGTCGACGAGGATGCATCGCTCCTCCATCAGCTTGCTCTGGGTAGGATCATAGTTGGTCAGATCGATGCTCGCAAGAGCAGCTTTGGCAGCAGTAACAGCTGGGGAGGTCATTTCCGCGAATCGTGGTGGAAGTAAGAGGTCAAGGCAGCGTCCGGTTAAATGATTGGGTCGAGAGATGGATCCTCCTTATATATAAAAGTCCGTCGGCCAAGATAAATGCCCGCACAGATGCTAGGCAGATTAGATGAAATGAATCCATCCTAACAGATCTAACGACTAGATTTTTGAGGCGGAGATTTATCGTACCAGAAACGCGGTTTGACAAATGATATGTATCAGCTTTGGGGTATTTATCTTCCTTCTTACACACTACTCCGTCTACACGGCTTACACTTTATTACTCTGGACCATATCTACTGCCCCCCAACCATCAATATGAGAACGATTTTCGTTCTACCGCAACCTTCTAGTAAAGAGACGAGTACCGTTCAAACGACTTCTAGATGATAGTCATGAAGACGGTGGCGAACGGTTCGTCCTGCTGGAGCCGAACGAGGTTCTTAGTTGCTAGAACTTGGCAATGGCGATGGATGTTCAGTCGATGACTCGTACAGCCCACAGAATCACGGAGGATGGACCTACCCAAGCAATGATGGAACGCCGCAGCTGCAACATGCCGGGTGCTCGTATCGGGCGGAACGACGGTATCGAAACTCAGCTTCCCGTCGGAATCGCCGGGCAAGGTACGCGACTGCATCCTCGCATACCTTCAAAATTGGACCTTCTTGGTTAGTTTCCCTTCAAACGGTCGCAGGAAATCCTTACTCGAGGAAATTTAAGGAATTCTTTTCCAACACAATTGCGTTGTCCTCCGTTTTCTGGGTATCGTCCTGTGTCTCTTCTGGCAGGACATCAGGCACTAGTCCTCGATATCATCAATTTCCCTGTGAATACATCTAGCCTTGGAGAAGACACACCGTCGAACTCGTAATCGGGCTCCTGTTGCTTCGGAGAACCCAGTCGGACAGGGACAGGAGAGAAACCCTGTCCCTGGGGCGTGCCAGGCCTTCCTTGCTGACTTCCTGGCACCGAACTCCTTCGTGATTGGGAACTTCCTCTTACCCTGGTCTCAACCGGGTCGATCACCACGTCGTTGTCTCGGAAAGGGACGTTGCCACTGGAAGAACTGTTTGCGCCAGCGTGGTCCCAAGGAAATAAAGAGCTCCTTTGGGAACCGTTCGACCCGTTTAGTGGTCCAATCTCAAGCCCGATATTGCTTCCTCCAAAGGCGGAACTGGGACGGCTAACGTAGCGACCTTGGCCGGGTTCCTGAAAAAAGAAACTAAATGGGCGGAAACTTGAACACCAGTGTGCTGCTCACCTCGGAAGACCTCCGCAATGCACCCGGGTCTTCACCTTAGTATCTTTCAGCAGTGTTGCTCAGTGCGGTCAACATGCGACATACCTTGGGCAGGATCTCCCATGAAGTTGAAATCGACATCGTACTCATGGTCTACAAAGGCTGCGGGGCCGTCTTGCACAGCTGGAGTTGCCGTCTTCCGTCGTTTGGAGACCGGTCTCTCTTCCTCGTCTAATCAACAAGTTTAAAGGTCCCACCCTGAACAAAGAGACCCAGCGCTTACCATGAATGCTCAACAGTCCAGCTCTCGCATCAACTTGGACCTTGACTGTGGATCGCCAAAACTCGATTAACCCTTCGTCCTGAACTGAGTGACGAGTGAGTTTGAAGTGGACTCTTGCTTCAATTCGAAAGACTCACTGCCTTTTGGTGCAGCGTAAATATATTGGTCGATTAATCTGTTTCCTTCCTTTTCCGCCCGTTTGACAAGGACCTCTCGCCGCAAGTTCTTCTGATGTTCGAGGTATTTTGCCCTTGCAACCTAGCCACCGTTCGAGTACAAGGGATGGCTCAAGCAGCAAGTAAGCACGCACCTTCAATTCTTCGTCCGTGAGTTCCGTTCTAGCGTCAAGTAGCAGCCGGGTCCTCTTTTTCCGGTTCTTTGGCCCACTCTGGTTTGTGTCCTCAATCGTGACGTCCTGCAATGGCCCGTCCATGTTTGTATCCCGTGCTAGAAATTGACTGGCGAAAGGCGTGGCCGGAGATGCATCCCGGGTCAGCGACTGTTCGCGCTGGATAGAGCCTGGATATTGATTCTCTGCAACAGTCCATGCTCAATCAGAGAACGAGAAGATCCAGTCACGACGATCCTCACCTTTGTTATCGTTTATCTGGCCATTAAATACGAATAATTTAAATCAGTTGAAATCCGCGAGCAAACAGGGTTGACCTTTGTCTTTCTTCCGGGCGTCCTTGGTAAAGAGACGCCTCGGTCAAGGGCAATAGACTGAAGGGGACCGCAGTCATTACCGTCCTCGAACTGAGGTGTAGTTGCCATGTCAATATCAAAATTGAAGGGTTCCTCAAATGCACCCATTCTGTCACGTTCAAGTCGCGCCTCGGGAGACCTAGCAAGGCGGGTCAGTTTCTACAGAAACGAATACATATTTTCCCAACAGACCTCGACATTTGTTTCTCTGGGGATGCCCATCCAATCTCACGAGCGAGGTCATCCCCGAGCCCTCCCAGCACATCACCTACATCAATCCCATCGGAGAAATCGAAGATATTCTGGTCATCGAAATCAATGACAGCAGCAGGCTGGGACGAAGAGTCGAAACCAGGAAGATTTCCGACGAATGAGGCATCAAATGACGTGGTCAGCAGATGCTGGTGATGTTCTTCGAGGGTATGTGCCTCCTTGCGAACTGCTTCAACCGCCTGAGTAGACGTAGGCTTCGCCTTGGCTTTAGGCCCCTTGTTAACTTTGTTCGGGTCGTAGTCGTCGTCATCATCTTCGGCATCCTGGCCCCTTTTAGGAGCTGGGCCTATGCAGCCGTCAGGCGATCCGTTCATCCGGAAATCACCGCAAGCCAAGCTCACCTTCGACAATGTTCAAAAACTCGTCCCAGTCCTGGGTCGGCTTCAGCATATATGAAGTGTTTTCGGAGAGGGATACTAGATACCGTGACAAAAGCTTCATAATCGACTATATGCGCCGCCCTGGAATCTGGGTTGATGGTAATAGTCGATGGCCTAGAGATCGTCGTGAGATGCGCTGCTGGCCGGTCAAAAACCAGTGCCCGAGGTACCTAACAGAGCTTTGGGCTAGCTGAAGGCGGGAATCTTCCACCTTCGAGTTCATCTCCTGTACGACCTTCTTCAAGGAAGTGGCACAATTCGTCACGTCTGCAAGGAAAATTTCTTGCTTCACTGCAACGACCCCGGGGGCGATTAGTGCGAAATCGCCGGGGGTCCTGTATCTGGCGGTCCAAACCTTTGTATACCCTGCCACCAACCACTCTTTACGTCAGTCGCGATACAACTGGTACACGGAGAGAGAGAGAGAGAGAGAGGGTCTGGCGTACCGCACGACTCCAAACATCAAGTTACTGGAAAGACGGAGCGCCAGCGGTTCGGCGGGCTGGGAGATGAGGTCGCATAATTCAGATATGTCCGCTGTTATGACGGATCGCCTGGGAAGCCTTTTGAAGGCGGATTTTGAGCCGAGCGTAGCGGCTAGCCTATATCAGAGTCAGTGAGCGGGCCAAGATAGTGTTGATTCTGGACAGGGCAGCACCAAAGTAGGCCGAAACCACTGTCCCGCTTCGCAAGGAGTTCGGGCGTGAAAAACATAGCGAGCCAAGGCACGAGAATAACGATAGAGGGCGATATATATGTTGGAGTGTTTCAAAGAGAAAGACAGTCATACATAATGGATGAGAGTGTTGAAGGCGTGAAAAAGAGCCCCAGATTAATGTAGCGGAAGGAGTGGCTTCTATCTAAGTGTCCCAGATTGCATCACCTGTCATTAATCGCTTAGGTTACAACCTGTCAACCGCCTTCCAAGAGCCATGCTAGATGCTCTTCCAACGCTGCTTTCCAAGCCCGACAAGTCTAGCAAATAAATCATCCCTGTTTGCAACGTAAGAAAATTTGACCTCCTCCTCTGTGATTGCCCCAGCCGAATGGGCAGTGATGTGCAATCCCTTGAGCAATCCTGCCTTCTTGACGCCGGAAATATCATCGACAGCGATCTCTTTCTTCGTACTGTCCGAGAAAAGAGAGGTGAAGTAAAGTCGCCTGGGCGTTAATGTGATCAGTCCTGGAGTAGTTGCTCCGTAATGACAGGGATATGCTGGACGGGATGGCTCAGCGAGGGAAAACGAAAGAAGGGCTCAATAACGTACTGTGGACGTCCGCGTTGGCCGTGGGATGTGCAATGGCGATTGCATTCGCAATAACCGGATGCAATCTGCGTCTCCCTCCGGATGTATGTTCCGATATGTCCTGAAGTAGAGGCTGAGCATTTCCAGAGAGAGGTCGGGGAGGGGGCAATAAGACATACCGTTGCATATCGCTGAATCCGTTGTGCCTCGTGGGACATCAACTTGCCAATTTCTCCTATTCCTTTAGCGTAAAAAAGCTTCTTCGGCTTAGTCTCTTCAGACTTGCTACGGGAATGGAATTTATGAGGAGACGGCGGAGGCAACACAGGCTGGCCAGAGGCAACCCGTTGAGAGATGAGTTTCATTGCATAATCGGTATCTGTTGGAACGTCTCCGAAAAGAGGTGGAAGCCTGGAGGAAGGGTGGGTCTGTGTCGTACAACTGATTGACAGAAAGATTTACCGACTGAACCCTCGAGGACTGAGGCTGTCAATGACAGGGGTAACATGCCAGAAGACAAAGCCGACGCCAAACCATGTCGCCTTGGCCAGATACCAGGTCGGCACAAGGAGAACGGCAACGAAGAGAAGGAAAAGGGCCTGTGAAAGAGATGAGCACTGCGAGGAAAGGGACAGTAATGCATAGTACCCTACCAGAGTGTAGCGCTTGGAAGCAGCAGGGTTCCGCCATTTGAATATACTGGGGGTTGCATCAGACTCCATCGCAGACCCGAAGGACAAAAGAACAAAATACTTTTGGAATCTCTCATGCAAGTCGACAATGCAAGTCGCAACATGGAGGGCAAGCCTCTTGAAGTCTCGCAGTTCAAGGTCGTCCTCTTGTTCATCGACGCTGGAAGGGACTTCGCGAAGAGGATTTCCTCTCCCAGGACGTGCATCAGGAGCACTTCGATCGCCTTCTGGGGTTCTTGATCGTGTCCTCGCTCGACTTGATCCCACTTGGAGTTTCCTTGTTTCATTCGCGAGCTTCATGAGGCGATACACCTCCTTTAAATCGAATGAGGTGGAGGAAGAAATGCGCTCAGATAATTTGTTTCCAAATTGGTCTGCTTGCATGACATGTTCGTGGTAGTCTCGCAGCTTTTGCCCGCGGGGATATGACTGTAACCTGTTGCTGGTAGCATATAGAACAGGCCACAAAATGAGGGCCGGTAACAAAAGATCATTCCACCACAAGAGCCAATACAGCCATGGGCCCGAATATAAGAGGCGCACAAACGATGTATATTGCAAAAGAATACCCACCAAGCAGTATATAAAGCTTTGCCTCCGGTACTTCCAGCTTGCGAGATTGTAGCTGGATACAACAAAAGGAACGAGCGCTGTCTGGATTGCAAGGTACAGCCGCTGCGTAGTCAAGCGAACCTTTCCCAGTGTGAAGGGGGGCACGACATGCCTTGTCGGCGGAAGCCTGGGTTCAACCCAATCCTTTAAAAAGGATGATAAATTGCGGTGGTATGGGGATGGGGTGCGACTTACCCGAGCAACATACTCGGACAGACACTGATCATGGTTCTCTGGCCACTGCGGCTCCTCGTCATCTGGAGAGTCTACGGCCCTAACCTCAGAGACATACTGCGCTGAAAATGAGACTTTGTAGGTGAAGTGGGCAAAGGGACCCATACCGATGAGAAGACGTGCAAGAACCGTCTAATTTCCCCATCCTCGTAGATCTTACGGTATTCATCCTCTGTCAGGTTCTCTTCCTGAGAGACGTCCAAGTATTCCGAGAGGTCAAGGTCTGGCGGTTTATTGGAGCTCGACGACATGTACTTAAATGGTGAAAGGGAGGGAAGCAAGTAAGCCGTGAAGTTCCTCACCCTGAGAAAACGACGTCATTGAGGCTGATATATATGGTAAAAGTATTACACGATTTCAAGACACGATCACATGACGGACGCGTTTCACCGTGCGGGTTAGTATTGTTTTCCTGGTCGCCACTCGCTCAATTGAACTTGAACGAGGTCCTCTACACCCAACGATGGGTAGCTTATTCCACGACTCAACGTCGACGCCAGCGATGAACACCATGTCACAAGACGGCTTGCTCCAATGGGCAAATTCGATCCGCTTCAACATGGCCAGTGACTCGGGTCGACAGATATTCCAGCAGCAAGTTCAAACCCATGGATTTCTCTTCTTGGACGACTACCTCGACAACATACTTTCAGGCGCAAAACAAGAGTGAGTATGTTTCTCTGCGCCACTAAAGTCGTGTGCTTACCTGGGATTCAAGTCCACTCATTGAACTGGTCAAGACGCCCGGACGGCGGAAAGCTATCGTGAAGAAGCCCAAGTTGGCGTCCAAGTTGGGAAATCCGATATCTTTTTCTTTGGTATCGTGCATTTGCTATATCTACTTGGAGATGTGGCTCAAACAACCAACAGGAACCCACACAAGACGAAAACGTCCCACCGAAAGCATCTGCAACCAAGTCTTTGTTCCCCCCAATTGCGAAGCGCGAGAAGTCGGTGGAACCAGCTACGGAGCCCGTGCAGCAGAACGAACATGTACACCCCTCGCCCGGTGATGGCGGTCAATCCAAGGATCTGCGTGCCGAACACGATAGCGCACCTGCCCCACCCAAACATCTGGCAGTAGAATTAGCAGTACCCGTTGCATCGAACCAGGAAGCAAACAATCTCTCTATGATCGCCGAAGACGACGAGAACGACTCCGCGATGTCCATCGAAGACCCGACGCCAGCTACCACTGTCCTACAGGCGCCACCAGGCCAACAAGATGAACCAGCACACCGCACATCAGCCACCGCTGAGAGAAAATCGAGTGGGCGGGATACCTCGCCTCAATCCTCAGCACCATCCCCCTCCGAATATCACTCAGCCAACGGAACCCCTGTATCTTCCACATTCCCTACCAGTGCGGAACCACCTGTCACCGAGGAGAGGTCTGAGGAAGAGCAGCCCAAGCCGCAACCCGAACCACCCAAATGCGCCGAAATGCAAGAAGAACAGCGGGTTCAAGACGATCTTCTCAAAGTAGAGGAGGTTGTGGACATGCAGGTTCCCCTCAAAGATGAAGACACGACCACCAAAGGCATCCTTAACATTCCCTCTCTTCCTGAACCCGGTCCCCTTCGCAAGTCTACACGCACATTCAAAGATCCATCCATGGGTGCAACCACACTCGGCACAACCACGCCTGGCCCTGGGGTGGGAGGCAAACGTACCTCTTGGTTAAGGGCGGCTCGCGAAGTCAAGGCACTAGAGTCGACCGCCAAGAAGTCCAACGTCATGCAGACTGGCGTGACCCCCGCTTTCTCATCATATCATCTCACGCAGGCCACTGCCGGAAGTTCGAAGCGAAAGAGCGACGACGTCAACGAATCCCAAGGCACCACCACCCCTTGGGATTCCTCAGAACGCAAGTCGAAAGCCACCAAGAACTTGGAAAGCGATGTAGCGCCGCTAAAGTCCCAAGCGGAGCAGCCGCCAGCGCCGGTCGATTCAGGGCCCAAGTCTACAGCTGAAACACTGGGCTTCTTGCCCTCCCCACAGGGTGTACTGGATCGCCTGAAGAAGACAGTCGAAGGCCTCGGGGCTCGCGTGAACAAGACGAACCCCAAAGGTTCGGAAGACACAGTAGCGGCGAACACTTTCGCAGAGGCCAAGGCGGCAGCGGAAGCTCGGATCGCAGAAAGAAATTTCAAAGAGGACGAGACGATGCCTTTCCTGGGAGCTACGACTACCATTCAATCCAAAGAGCGCGATTCCGACTCGAAGATGGAGGTGGACAAGAAACATGTTGCACCACCTGCGAAAGAGGTACCGCGATTGAGCATGTCCGATCTCTTCCCGAGCGATAGTCGTATAAAGGAAAAACACAAGATTCCCGAGAAACCCTTGTCCTTCTCATCCAAATCTTCAGAAAGCAAGAATGCCGCTTCCAGAGAGAGTACGAGCACCACTCCTCCCAATTCACCGCCTCCGTCGGGGTCAAGCTCGGCCCCGAGCGCACCAGTTTTCAGTCACCCGACACCTGTGTTCGTTGCACCAGCACCATCTGCACCTCGCCCTCTGCCGTCGCTGCCAGCAAAGGAGCGCGTCTTCCACCCACAACCCGGAGTGTTCTCCGCGCAGCCGCAGCTTGGGCTTGGCCTAGCGTCAACGTCGCCCAAGTTCAACGCCTTCAAACCTCCCCCGGCTCCCCTTACGGCTCAGTCGACTTACGAGAGTGTTAGATCCGACAGCATCTTCGATAAGGTGGATGACGCTCCGACATGGGTGCCCAGTACTCAGGATACCGAGTATACGTCGACCTATGAAACTCAACACGAGCACCCAATGAATGTCTGCGACGAGGATGATAGCTGGCCTGTGGATGAGAAGCTCGCGGCTGGGATGCAATGGACGTTCGGTGCGAACATCAAAGAGGACAGCATGACCTGGAGTACTTTACCCTCGCAAAGTCAGAGGGCAGATACTGGCCCGTTGGAAAAATCCAACACTCAAGTGACCAATGACAGTCGAGAAGCAGACAAGGCCCAGGATGGCCGCGCGATTCCAGGAGCTTTCGACGTTGACATGGTTAACGATGGCGCCGAAAGCGACAACGCGGCAGACGATGAATTGGAGGGGAGTGTGCTCAGTGCTGCAAAATCCACTAGTCAGCATTCCGAGGTAGGTTCGTTTGGATTGCTCGATGGCTGTGGCACTAATTTTACGTGCGTGTAGACCAAGGCGTTCAGGCCTCAGAGTCAGATGTCAATGGCATCTTCTTCTTCGTCTCAATCGCAAGGCGGAGGATTCTTGAACCAGGCATCCAAGTTGATAAGTAGTGCTCTGGGAACTAGCAAGAAGAAGCCGGAAGTAAAAAAGGTCTTGCAAATGGCTGCGGTGGCGGCGAAGAAGGTATGCCGCCCAACTTGACTTGGTATTGGAGTCTGAGCACCGATATAATTTGTAGCAACAGGAAGAGGCCGACAAGAAAGCAGCTCGCCTCAAAGATATGGAAATCAGACGCCAGGCTGCAATGCAACGGAAGGCCGAGGAAGAAAAGGCCAAGGCACTGGAAGAGGAACGCAAGTTGAAAGAGGAAATCGAGCGTCGCAAACGGGATCGCGACGAGATGACTGATAAACGCCCGCTTAAACCTGCGGCTTCCTCTAAGAAAGTATGTCTGGAGCCATTGAGGCTGTGTCCAGGAATTGACGTGTCTTTCAGGACGAGGAACCACCTAAGTTCAAGAAGCCTGAGCCCGAGAAGAAGTCGATTCTCAAGAAGACGGCCTCTGGAACGCTGGGGAAGCCTCAGTTGAAACCTGCGCTCAAATCCGCAGCTACGTTCTCGTCCTTCACTACTCCAAATCAACCGACTCAATCACAAGGGTCTTCGTCCGGCAAACCCGTTGCGGAATCGTCCAAGTTGCCCAAGGCTGCATCGTCGTCCTCTCATAAGGGCAAATCCAAGATGCCTGCGGGTGACGATGACGTCTCTCAACCATCTCAACTCTTGCAGGGTCAAATGGCAGCTCGAGCGAAGGCGCAAATGAAGGCAGCTAAGCAGGCAGAGCCCCTCATTCCAAGCGAGGCTATCGAATTGCCCGACATCAACAGCGAGTATTCTGATTCTGAAGATGAGGATCGACCCCGGACGTTTGATCCCCCTGCTTGGGCACAGTCTCCGGAACTTAAAGAGGCGCTGGAGCTGCAAAGCACAATCAATCCGGATGACATCTTCGGGGCTGTTAAACCGCTCAGAATGGAGGAGATCTTCAGGACGCGGACGAGCCGGTTCAGGGCCAGAACAAGCTCGGCGAATTGGACTGGGACGGACATGCTCACAGTGGAAGAGGAGAGAGAATACGCGAAACGGATGGGTTTCAAGTGAAGGGACTGCTGGGTTGTTGTATTTATTGTACATGCCTTAAGCTATGCACATCATGCTATGCTATTTTATGTCTTGTCCAAGTCCGCTTGACGACGGAATTTAATTGAAAAGTTGGATCGGATCACGTGAGGCAGTGTGGCTTCGGCTTTGTTCAGGGTTGGTGCTCCAGTGCTCCTCCCACCAAGTACTGCCGCTATAATCGACTCTCACATTCTTAAACTCAACTCATTCAATTCCCTTTGCATCTCATTTCTCTCTCTGTCCCTTGACTTACAGAAGCGACGTTCATTTACTTTCTTCTACTCACAAATCATGGCCTCTTCCTCGCCAGAGCTGCCAGCCCCGTTCGCCGCTGAGACGGTCAACACATTCTCTTACAAGGACGCAACTGAAGAAGAAATTCTCGAAGATCTGACAAGGTCGGTCTGCCACCTCATGATCAGAGTCTGTTAACAAACCATCCTCGGTCCAGTCGCTTCATTCTCAACCTACCGGACGAAGAGCTAGCATCTCTGGAACGGATATGTTTTCAAGTCGAACAAGCGTATGTCCATCCATTCTCTTTCGATTGTGTCTTGCTGAACCGTCGGCCTCATAGACATTGGTACTACGACGATTTTATCCGAGAGCAAAATCCCAAATGCCCGTCCCTTCCACTCAAGAAGTTCACTGCAATGATGTTTACGCACTGTCCCATATTACAACATTGGAATCATGAAGAAGCGTTCGAGAAGTTCATGGCATACAAGACGAAAGTACCAGTGTGCGGCGCAATCATGCTCAACAGCACATGGGATAAGGTAACCTTCCGTCTTCTGGTATCATGCGTCCAGGACGCTGACTCGATATAGTGCGTACTTGTCAAAGGTTGGAAGTCGTCGTCTGGATGGGGCTTCCCCAAAGGAAAGATCAACGAAGTGGAGGAGAAGCATCTATGCGCTGTCCGCGAGGTAAGGAGAGATCTTCTGGAAATCGCCACTATAGCTGAGTTTGCGGGTTGCAGGTTCTCGAGGAAACAGGTTACAATCTAGCCGGAAAAATAAATCCAACACACTATCTTGAAACCGTCAACGGTGGGCAACTGGTCACGCTGTTTGTTGTACCGGGCGTTCCAGAAGATTATCCTTTCCGGACAAAGACGCGCAAGGAGATCAGCGTAAGTGATGCTCCATCACATCGCAGGCTTTGAGCGCTGACAGTTCTCCAGAAAATAGAATGGTTCCGTTTGGTCGACCTGCCAGGGTGGAAGCGAAACAAGCAACCCGCCGGGAAGTTCTACCTGATTTCACCGTTCGTCGGGTGAGTGATTGCGATCCCCCTTCTCATGACCCACTCTGAATGTGTATCGATAGCCCCTTGAAAGCTTGGATCAATGCTCATAAACCGAAGAAGGGTCGCAAGGGTTGTTCGACGGAAAGTGCGACGCCCAAGAAGGTAAAATCACCCGTGCCCGTTCCTATCCCACCATCGGAGCCCGATGCCTTGCAAGATTCAAGCTCTCAGTCATCCTCTATGGACAACGGCGACCCTCAGACACCTTCACCGCTCTACGCGGAGTCGACAGGTGTAAAGATTGTTGGAGAAGAAGGCATGGCAAATGACCATCCCGACAGTCAGCAGATGGAATCGATGGACCCGCAACTTGCCCGCCTGTTGACTGGCCTTACGCTATCTGCCAACGCTGCGCCTTCCGACAAAGCTGGGCTCGTGCCGCAGAATAACCCCCAACTAGGCAATGTTTCGTCTACAACGACGTCATCGATATCCACGATTGTTCCCATCCCTCCGGCCCCCGAACCTGTTCACGGACCTAACCAACCTGCTCAGCAAGACCCCGGTGCTCAGAGTGCGAGCAATGCAGTGGTTACAAGCCCTGGTCCGTCTGAGGCAAAGCCGATGTCACCAACAAATTCGACGCTTGCTCCTCGTTCTCCTGTCGTGCGCAAAGCAACGGCGGATATCTCCCCTTACCTTTCCCGTGCAACAGCAACCCCATTATCTGCACGCCAGCTCCAACAACTCGCCTTGTTGGAATCCGTTGCGAATGAGTCTGCTCGTAGGACGCCTGCTATCGCTGGGAACGCTCTAACGCCAGACGCCCGAAGTCTGCCACCGACCACATCTCCTTCACTCAGCCGACCTAACATAGCATCTACGGGCCATTTCCATGCTAATCATACGACTGGCCCACAGCCTCTCCCGCCTTTGCCGAACAACTTTGGCAAACTTCATCCCCTTCAGGACGTCATGGCAAGATCCAGGACAAGCCAGGGCGTTCACCGCGGAGGTCACCACGCTCCGGGTACCATGAGCATGAACCAACATCAGTTGCTTTCACTGATTAATGGAGGACGGCCGAATGCTCCCCCAAGCTCTCCGCCATCGCATTTCTCTCCTCCCTACCCTACTATGTTTGGCATGCCCCAGCCCATGTACCCACCTGGTCCACAGGCCATTTACCAACCTAACCCAAGCTTCCCTCCACACTTTCAACATGATGGCCCACCTCATCCTGATGGACTCAACCCGATGCTCCGACCTCGTCCATTCTCCACTGCACCTATGCCCCCGGGCCCGTCCCTTGCGACTAAACCCATTAATCCCTCTGCCAGTGCTCTGTTGTCTCTCTTGACTTCGAATCCTGTCCCACCCCAGCAGCCCCAAGGTATGCCAGCACCCTTACCCGTTCCTCCTCAACCTCGACCATTGGGCCCACTGTAACTTAAACCTATTATCGCCCTTGTCTTCCCGCTCTCGACTTAGTCGTCCATTCCTTTCGTGCTTTCCATCCACTGCACGATGATTCTAATCTATCACACTCGTTTTCTGATCCGTGGATCTAATTTTTGTCGCTGCAAACGTCGTCATTGTATTGTGTAAACATCCGTTGTATCACTTGTCTACCCAGTCTTAGCCTTTGTATCGAATACACAAATTGTTATCCAGAACTGCAACTTCTTCAATTCGGCCCAGGGAATACTTGATTGGGTCGAGTGGGCATCCAGTAAGTTTGAAATGTCCACTTCGAAACTTCGCTGGCTCCATAGCCCACAATACCATGGTCACTTCGGCGGCCAGAGTCTTATGGCGAGTTGGCCGAGGAAAGGGGAATGGTTTTACCTGGATTAATCCGGGGGCGAGTATACCGCGAGCATCTGGTCGAGCCTCTCGTGGCCGAACCAAGTCGCCTGTCAGATTCGGATCGACGAGAGCGCCCGAATATACGCGGGAAAACACTTGGAGATAACTTCGTCGGACTAATATCCACTACGAAGTAGGTAGGATTTTCATTCAAGCAACATCACGACAATCGAGGAATCTGTCTATGACATGCGGTGATTCTAACATCTGTCCTTAGCATAACGAGAGGATGGGACCGTAATGGGAGATTGTGGTTTCGAGGCTCGAGCTGTCTTCTTGTCATGAATCCTTTGGAATGCCCGAGTCAACTCAAGGTTTTTGCGACCGTCGTGGAGGGAGCAATCATTGCCATTCGCGGTTACTTCGAAAAGGTGAGATCGCTGCCCACGATGAAGAGCTCCGCAGACAATCAGTACATCCATTAGTTGTTTCTAGCAAGCTGGGGAGTGTAGAAGACAGGCAAACGCTAGAAACGGCGGTTCTGTAAGGACAAAGGAAGATGCGCACGCCTCTTTTGGTTTTGGCGGAGGGGGCTTGGACGCTAGACACGCGCATTACCGTTCGGGGCTGTCTTTGGACATATGACAGAAGGCGCTGTCAAGATAAGTGGCGTGGCGCCAGGTGTTATTCCATCGCATCAAGAGGCTCCTCGCAGGAAGAAGCCCGTTTCCGGGAAAGTTGAACTGGAACATTCAAAACAAAAGATTGATAAGTAAGGTGCATGGGAGAGCACCGGGAGCCGACCATAGGCGTAGTAGAACAGTCGGGTCCGTACAAGAATAACCTCGAGTGGCAGCGAGGGTCCGGGTAGCCTCCTTAAAGAGGCATTTGCTGAATTTCCATAAATTCCCATCATCATGTGACAGTGACCAGGACTCGGGATCTTATCTGGGTCCCCGCGCTCTCGACTAGTTTTTTCAGCGGAGTGGGTAAACCATAACTTCTCCTTTACATTCTCTTGCTTTCAGTTCCCTTGCGCTGTACTTTATTCGTTCTATGGACTTGTTTCTGTAACTAATTATCACCACTCCTCAACGCCCCAACCCATAACCAACATGCTAACAGGAAGCGGAATCAAAATTTTTGCTGGTACGTTTCTGAATCGTTCTAGGGGCCCCGAATAGCTCACGGTCTACGACCATTGGTCTGTTTTGAACAGGGACTAGCCATCCAGAACTAGCCGAGATTATTGCACGACGGTACCTCCACTTCGCTGCTGCTCAGGCAGTCTCAGAAGTCATTGACTTTCGTGTTCAGCATTGGTCTTCCTCTGGGTAAAGCAGAGGTTACCCGGAGCCCCATTGGCGAAACCACTGTCAAGATCCACGAATCCGTTCGAGAGGACGATGTATACATCATCAATACTGGTTGCGGGGCCGTCAATACTTCACTCATGGAGCTCTGCATAATGATCCATGCCTGCAAGATTGCCAGTGCGAAGCGGATAACAGCCGTCATCCCCCTCTTCCCCTATGCCCGACAAGACAAGAAAGACAAAAGCAGGGCGCCGATCACTGCGAAGCTGGTAGCGAACATGATCCAGAAGTCGGGATGCGACCACGTTATCGTCAGTGGTCCCGGTTAGCTTTGTGCGTAGCGAATGGAACTGACACGCACTTCACAGACTATGGACCTACATGCATCTCAAATCCAGGGTTTCTTTGATGTTCCGGTCGACAAGTGAGATTCATTTCATCCCTTGCCCGAGATACGCTTTCTCTGACCTATGCTTTGAATTAGTGTAAGTTGATCGCCACCCTTTGGTTAAGATTTGTGTTTAAATCATGTTCTTTCGAATTTCGGATGTAGCTATATGCAGAGCCTTCTATCATCCTCTACATTCGCACCCACTTCGATATCAAGGATGTGGTTATCGTCTCGCCCGATGCAGGCGGTGCCAAACGGTACGGCGATGATCTTTTAGCATCTGTTTAGACAGCTGACTTGGTCGAATGCAGTGCTACGTCGATAGCGGATCGACTTGGGGTTGACTTTGCACTTTTCCACAAGGAGCGCAAAAAGGCGAACGAGGTCTCGCGGATGGTCCTCGTTGGGCATGTCACAGGGAAGATCGCGATTCTTGTTGATGACATGGCAGACACCTGTGGGACACTCTGCTTGGCGGCATCACACCTCTCGGAAGCGGGGGCCACCAAGGTCTTTGCGTTTGTAACGCACGGTATCCTCAGCGGTAAAGCGCTTAAAACCGTGGAGGAGAGCACTCTGGAGAAGTTGATTGTGACGAACACACTTCCGCAACAGCATAACCAGGCTTTGTGCAAGAAGATTGAGGTCATTGACGTCGGGAAGGTGCTTGGGGAGGTGATTCGACGTAGCCACTACGGAGAGAGCGTTTCGAAACTATTCAACGAGGTTCCATATTGAATTTAGTGTAATTATATTGTAGAGTTGTTCAACGTTATATCACCAAAAGCGACTACGATCCGAAAAGGTTGCAAAAAATGTATGTTCACGGATGTTTTTGGCAAAGATATTCGGTTCAATCGGTTGCGAGTGGAAGCTCGATGGAGAATTGCTTGGCGGGGGTACTAATTGGTGTGAATAACTGATTCGCAGGCTTCCTTTTCTCTGCTGTCCTTCTTACACACATGTCCCTCTGACTGCCGGTCTCGACGACGAAGACGACGACGACAACCACAGGACGAACTGGCCGATGCCAGCCGTGTCATGTACAACAACACAAATGCCAATCCCACACGCAATAGGCAGCCCCCACTTAGAGAGACTATCACCGTCGTCGGCATCCCCAGCGTCTCTATCGACAATGATCGTCTCGTCGTTGGCTCCTCCCAGACCAGTATGTTCTCCTCAATATCTACTCACATTACCCTCTAACCGGCCACTCAAGGCTCTACACGGTCCTATACACCCATCAAAGTCCTGGGGGATGGCTCTTTTGGCACCGTCTGGCTCTGCGACTGGCATACAACCTTGCCCCCAAACACACCCCTGTCCCCGATGCAATGCGGCCAAGGCGCTCGACCAGAATGGGCGGGGAAAAGGCTCGTGGCCGTCAAGCGTATGAAGAAGCGGTGGGAAGGAGGCTGGGACGAGTGTCAGAAATTGAAGGAACTCGAGGTGAGTCCCCAATTATTTTTGACGCCCACGACCCCCTCTTCTGAATCTCTTCCAGTCGTTACGCGCAATTCCTTTTCATCCAAACATCATTCCTCTCTACGACTTTTTCCTGTTGCCGACATCCAAAGAACTTTATTTCGTCTTCGAGTCCATGGAGGGCAACCTGTATCACCTCATCAAGGCGCGCAAAGGCCGACCGCTTGCTGGAGGGCTTGTGTCCTCAATTTTCCAACAAATTACGCTGGGACTCGACCACATTCATACACATGGCTACTTTCATCGAGATATGAAGCCGGAGAACGTTCTCGTCACGACTGTCGGTCTTTTTGATTACACGCCGGTTTCCCCAATCGCGCCCCCAAATGCACCAAAGGAGAGGGATGTCGTTACCATTATCAAACTGGCTGATTTTGGTCTCGCAAGGGAGACGAGGAGCCGTCCACCATACACCGAATACGTGTCGACGCGATGGTATCGGGCCCCGGAGGTCCTCCTCCTCAGCCGCGAGTACTCCAATCCAGTCGACTTGTGGGCATTGGGAACGATCATGGCCGAACTAGTCAACCTCAGGCCACTTTTCCCCGGTTCAGATCAAGTGGATCAAGTTGCTAGAGTTTGCGAGGTATTAGGAGATCCAGCGGAGGACTATAGAGACAATGGTGGGAATGTTGTTGGAGGCGGTCAGTGGCCACACGGGGTTTCCTTAGCGAGAGACGTCGGATTCCAATTTCCAAGAGTCAGTCATAGTTTCATTCATACGTTCTTGGGAAGAAAGCTTATCACGCTGCTTTTCTAGATTGAGCCAAAGGATATTTTCTCGCTCTTCGACGCATCCGTGCCGCGCTCTTTAATCCAATGCATTCGTGATCTACTTCGGTGGGATCCTGCCAAACGACTGACCAGCAAGCAATGTCTTGACCACCTGTATCTCCGCGAAACAATCCATCGCAACAACATTCCAATGCCTTCAGGACTTAGGGCGGCCTCCGTGTCACAAACCTCAATCCCGATGATGTCGTCCCACCTCAACGGCTCTTCCTCGCACCCATCATTATCCTCGCACACTCCACGCAATGTACCTCCTTCACATTCAAATTCCGCACATCATGTCCGCCCTCCACCCGTACCGTCGCACTTCCCGGAAGTCCCGCCTCCACAGAACTCACAACCTACACCCTTACCTTCCGTTCCACATCAGCCGATTCCTCTACATGCTCAGAATGGTCGCCGACCACACCCTATTGTTGGGTGGACAGGACCCTCACCTCAACCTGCATCGGACTATCCCATGGACACATCACCATCGGAACCTTATGCTAATGGTCACGCTAATAACGGACACTCAGAGCATCATCCACCAGCCGGGCATTCCATGCCCCCACCCAAGTCACTCAAACTTGGTCCGTTCGGGAAAAAATCGAGCAGATGGGCGCTTGGAATCTTTGGGAGTGAAAAGTCGCACCAATTACCTCCTGTGGACGAAGTCACTACGACTGCGCTTGGAACACGCAAACGTTCACAGTCGTCGAGTACAGATGGCAAATCTGTGCGCGACCTGTCTCCTGAACGACCCCAGGATCTTCGAGAGGTTCAGAAGCAACAGAAGAAGGAAGCCGAGCGTATCAACCGCGAGGCTGAGAAGGAGCGTCGTAAACTTGCAGAGAAGATGGCCCGAGAACAAGCTCGGGCAGTCATGTCCAAACGTAACCGGATGCTTCGGGAAGCCGTTGGAGAGGATATCGACTGGTCTGGTGGAAATCAGGAGCGTGTGGTCGACAAGGGGACCAAGCAAGCATCGTCTGGTCCTATCCGGCAGAAAAGCATGGGGAACCTCGGCAATTCTACCCTCCATGCAGCTTCTGGAAAATACTCTGAGCCCCCAGCTCCTCCTGTCAGCTTTGACCGGTACCGTGATTGGAGGGGAACAGGTGAGCGTGTCGCGAAAGCTCGCAGACGCGAGTACGACGACGATCATTCGATGTCTTCGTCGGATGTTCACAGTCTCAGTCGGGTATCTTCAATATCTTTCGCTACTGTGGATAGCGATCCGGGCCCATCACGCCTACGGCACCACTCGAGCTTCCACCATGCCGCCAGCTCACGGACATCTCGGTCATCATTGCGCACTTCATTTGATGATTTTTCCCCCTCTGCTCGGTCATCTAATTCCTTCTCCCTTGAAGGGTCCTCATCTCTTGCTCATGAATTCGGTGCTCATCTCAACGTCAACCCTCACATATCCGGGAGCGTGTCCCCACCGCCACTTCACATGCTGTCCCTCTCCCCCACATTATCCCCGCCGCTTTCACCCAACCCACCCTGGATTCAGGTGCAAGACATCAAAGAGAACGGGTTAGGTGGACAGTCCCCACCGTATATTACTCTACAGAATCGTCAATTCAGCCCCAGCCCGCACAGTCCTTTGGACATACACAACTACCTGCAGCAACCACCCAGCCCTTTCAATAACCCTTCCGCACCTGCTCAACCGCCAACCACGGGGCAGACTCCGCGATCCGCAAACTCGGCCATAAACCCAATATTCAAAGTCGTAAGTCTCGATCCTGATGTTATGTTGTTCTACCGTTGTCTGACCTATTCGACAGCCCTTACCTCCCCCTCCACTACCTTCATTACCGCTCCCTGCCGGCCAACCTCTGAGTTCTACATCCCTGACTAATAAGTTACCGCCCTTTTCTCAGTTGGAGGCTGTTGCAGGGGGCGAAATATCTCCGACTTCGCCCATGTTTGCGGACCCTTGATCCTTTTCTCTTTGGCATTGGTTGTTTATTTTGGGTTTTATCTTTTTTATTATTTTTCTTTCTTTTGGTTCTTCTGCCACGCGACCTATCATAGACGTTTGTTGTCTTGCTGCCACTGCCCGTCGCCCTTCCACCTCCTGCCTACGGACCACACTCGTTTGATTTTCTCCTCGTTTGTGATATAGCCACTTCACTCCTTTCATATTCCCTTCGAATGTCCTTGTGCTCTCATTGTTCGCTCATTGTCTGTTCCATCACCCTATTTTTTTTTTTTTTGCAAGCAGCTCAACACGTCGCTCATTGTTCGGCAGCTCCCCGACGCCCAGGAGGTTGCAGTCCCCCCAAGCACAGCAAGCAACACTTTATAATGAACCATCGACTCTATTCTCTTTCGCACTTCGCAGCATAATCCCTTTTTGTTTTGCCGTTACATACCTTACTTGTTCACCTAGTGCACTATTTCATAGCCGGAAGCTTGGTATAGTAGACAGCCCCGTTGTATTTTTATGCTCACTGGCTTGTATTTTAAGCAAGTCTCGGGTAGGACAATCCAAAAAGACTCGAAACACTCAAAGCACTCTGTGTGTGGTTGGACAGAAAGTTTAAATACATTCGATGGGTACCACGAATGAAGAGAATAAGATTGTGTCCCACAGGCTGTATACGGCGATGAAGGCATTCTATCCGTTGTCTGGCGTGACAAGGCCCCAAGGTGGAGACCGACTCTAATGATGATGGTGGGGGTCTTGCTCGAATCGAATTCCACTGTAAAACAGTCCAAGCGATTCCAACATGAGGCGCGAAACGAGCGGAGTGAACCTGAATTAACCCACCAATAACTAGGTAATTTCATTCATCAGCTCAAGCGTGAACAAGGACTTGGGTGAGAAAAGTGACAACTTACCCGCATGCTCGTGGACCAGGTTGATCCTGTCAGAAAAAAAGAAAGACAGCAACGTCAGTCAAACGGTTACTTGCAGCAACGAGACAAGCCACCAGGGTCCGGATACCCCGGCGGACAAGGGAAGTAACCCAAGGACAACGAGGACGGGGTTCCGATGGTTGGCAACAAATTGCTGAGGAAGGTTTCGACGTACAAGATTGATGTAGATCTTGGGATGGCCCAAGGGTCCTCCTCCTAACGTCCGCAAAAGGGTAAAGTGGGTCAGTAAACCGTGTCTCCTTGTTTCAGAAAAAGAAGTTGGGCAGGGAGGTTATTGAAAAAACTTGTGCCATACGTTGACGAAAATGGTTAGAGAGAGGGGTATTGCAATCTCCAACTTACCTCCGTCGCAAACAGCACTCCTGCCTTGGACAAGGCGGATTGGTTCTTGAGCAATGAGTTCCATCGCGCTCAGAGGTTGCGGTTGCAAGTCCATGTTGGTTTGTTCAAAGCGGGGGGAGGAGCCAGCTTGAGGACGCGGTTTCTGGCTTGTCGACCATGTACTGGGAAAGTTGGGAGCCTGCCATGCGCTCAGTGGAGAGCTCTCTGTCTTCTTCTCTGGGACTGAGGTCTTGGTGGATTCGGGCTTGGTAGACGAAGCTGAGCTGGCTGCTCGAGCAAAGAATTGCGCAGAGCGCTTCAGTTGTGGTGCAATTCGACGGCTGAGCATTGCCTTGGACGGTGAGGAAGGAATAAATAGCAATGGTCGACGTCGAGCAACAGTGAGAATCCAGCTCAGCCCTCTCCCGATCCCCGCCAACAAGTTCCCACGCGTCTTACCGTCAACCTCGCTGCAACTTTAAAGTATCGCAACTCGCACATAGTAAAAAGTTTTTGAGTAGAAAAAGAAAAAGAAAATGGACATATAACATGCGACTAATATACAAATGCAGACGGAACTGTTTTACAATGTTCTAAAGCTTTTTTTAATGACCATGAATCGCGCCCTGTACTAATGAACCAAGTTCTTAATCCATCTCCTCAATCTCGATGCCATCGTCCAAGTCCGTGTCAACATCCATCCATTCCTCCTTCATCTCGCCCTCGTGGTTGGGAATGACTTGTAACCGGTTGTGGGGTCCATCGAAGCGGACTTTGACGGTCTCGTTTGGCAACACTCGGCCAGCCAGCAAGTGCACAGAGAGAGGGTTCAGCAATTCACTCTGAATCGCACGGTTTAGAGGACGAGCACCGAATTGCGTCGAATAGCCCATGGACATGAGGTACTGCTTCGAATCGGCATCAAGGTCGAGTTTAATCTTCCTGTCTTCCAGGCGATCTTCAACCTCCTTGAGGCGAAGGTCGACAATCTTGAGGATGTCCTTGTGGGAAAGAGCGCGCTAGAAGTCGAGTTAGTATTCGTGAAGTAGCATAAACGGGTAAGATAACTTACGAAGACAATGATGTCGTCGATACGGTTTATGAATTCGGGAGGGAAATGCGCAGTTATGGCACCCATAACCAGCGAGCGAGTCTCCGGCAAGACGGGTCCTTCTGGCATATCATGAAGGTAGGCGGCGCCCAAGTTGGAGGTCATGATAATCACAGTGTTCTTCATGTCCACCACACGACCTTGACCGTCCGTCAGGCGACCATCGTCAAGGACTTGTAGGAATATAGTGACGAATTCCCGACAGGCCTTCTCAATCTCATCAATGAGGATGATGGAGTATGGTTTTCGGCGCACGTATTCTGTAAGTTGGCCACCTTGGTCATAGCCGACATAACCGGGAGGAGAGCCAATGAGCCGCGAGATGGAATGCTTCTCGGAGTATTCAGAGGCGTCGATACGAATCATGGCATCGGGAGAGTCGAACAAGATTGTGGCGAGCTAGAGAAATATAGTTAGCACCTGAAGCTATCAAAATGACATTTATTGAGACTCACCGTCTTTGCCATGAGCGTCTTACCTGTTCCCGAAGGCCCAGCCATCAAGAAACTGGCGATAGGTCTGTTCGGGTTGGAAAGGCCGCTTCGAGACAGGCGGATAGCATTGGCCACAGACTTGACTGCATCCTGCTGGCCGATAACACTCTCCGACAAGATCTTCTCCATGCGCAACAGCTTCTCCTTCTCGGTGGTGACCAGACGGGTTACCGGAATATTGGTCCATCTGGCGACGATATCAGCAATGGAGTCGGGAGTAACAACGTCTGCCCCAGTCCCTTCAGCAGCCTCGGCAGCCTTCTGCTGCTCAAGCTTCTCCAAGCGGGCTTGGAGGTCAGGAATGGCGTAGTATCGCAAATCGGATGCGGTGGCGAGGTCGTACCTAGTGGAACAAAGTTGAGTGTATCTTCAATCAGTTAAGCATATTGCGACATGGCGTACCTTCGCTCTGCATCCTCAATTTTGGCCTTAAGTTCGTCGATCTTCCTCCTAACCTGGTTGATCTCATCGCCACGTTGCTTCTCGGCTTCGTAGTGAGCCTTGAGAGGTTTCAACTGGTCCTCAATCTCGGAGATGTTTTTCTTGGCAACCTTGAGGCGTTCTTTGCTAGCAGCATCTTTCTCCCGTTCGAGAGCGTGGATTTCGACCTCGATTTCTAGCTTGCGTCGCTGAAGTTTGTCTATCTCTTCCGGCTGGGTTTCTCGCTGCACTCGAGCACTGTAATGGGAAACGATTTAGCGTCTCATAGTGGGTTGTTAATAAATGAAGACTTACTTGGCACAGGCCTCGTCGACCAGGTCGATGGCAGAGTCGGGAAGTCGTCGTTGAGTGAGGTATCGATGAGCGAGGGTAGCAGCCGAGATCAAAGCACCGTCGAGGATTCGGACACCGTGATGAACCTCGTACTTCTCACGAATACCACGAAGGATGCTGATGGTCTCGGGAACCGAAGGTTCGTTGACAATGACCTGAGCGAACCGTCGTTCCAAAGCGGGGTCGGTTTCGATGTACTTGCGGTACTCGGAAAGGGTGGTAGCACCGATACAACGAAGCTTGCCGCGGGCCAAGAGAGGCTTGAAAAGGTTACCAGCGTCCATGCCGCCACCTTCTGCGCCTCGTCCGGCCATGATGAGATGGAGTTCGTCGATGAAAAGGATGACGCCAGGACCGCCCTCTTCTGATGCCTTCTCGACCTCGTTGAGAACAGATTTGATACGCTCCTCGTACTCTCCCTTGTACTTTGCACCGGCCATGAGGGCACCCATGTCGAGAGAATAGAGTCGGGCGATGAGACTGGCAGGGACATCGCGCTTGACTATACGTTGTGCGAGACCTTCGGCGATGGCGGTCTTACCGACACCTGGCTCACCAATGAGAACGGGGTTGTTCTTGGTCCTAAATGACAACACGTTAGTGCATTGAGCAAGTGAAACAACAAGAGGTAAGACTGAACGCACCTTCGACACAGGATACGGATGGCACGGCGAATTTCGTTATCGCGGCCGATAACAGGGTCAAGCTTTCCCTCTTCAGCGAGAGCGGTGAGGTCAACAGCGTACTTCTGCAAGGCATCGAAGCCCTGCTCAGCACTCTTGGATTCGACGCGACGATTACCCCGCGCTTGCTCGATGGCAGTCTTCAGGGAGGCGGGGGTCAAGTTGTTCTCCTTCAGAATGCCCTCTATTGATGAATCCTTCAATAAAGCGAGAAGGAGGTGGTCTTGAGCGATGTAAGAGTCGTGCATGGTCTTTTGGAGCGACTGGGCCTCCCTGAGGACTTTGAGAGCAGTGCCGCTGAAGCTGGTTTCATCGGGCGGTGGGCTTTGCTGGGGTAGTCGGACGATGAGTTTCTGAATGCCTCGACGAATGGCAATCTGAAAGCAGAGGTTGTAAGCTACATGGGAAGGATTGGCCAAGAAGCAAAGGTCCACATACCGGATCACCACCCGCACGTTGTATCACGGAGGTAAATAGCCCCTGTTGGGACGAGGCAGATGCTGTTGGTGCACCTGGCATTGCCTCCCCCATACCCTCATTTACGAGGACAAATGCGATATGGGCGGGCGTTACTGGAGAACAAAGGATATCAGCATCTTGACCTGGACCTTAGCAATAGATAAGTGAACGAACCTTGGGCATTGGAATAGTCTTTGGCCAACTGAATAGAGTCGGCTATTGTCTGCTGAGCCTTGTCTGTAAAGTCAAAGTTTGAGGACATTGTAGTAAAAGAAAGCGGTGAATCTGGTGATCTGTGGGTTTTGGAATCGTCATCTATATAACCAACCAGACGCCCTTATTTCCAGAACGTCTGGGTCACTCCTGTGCTTTGCTCGAATGCACTCGAATGTGACGTCACCCCAAGCTTCTGGAACGGTCCAGATGTTCCCACACCTTTGACGCGCAGGCCGTGATTATAAATAATAATAATAATAATAATTATTGGGGAGGGGCAACGGTGCAGGGGCGGCATTTTGTTTGCTCGTGTTTGTTTGGCCGGCCCAGTGCGTCAATTGGCGGACAGCCCCTCTCTGGCCGGTCCCAGGACCGATGGCCTTCCAAATAGAGAGAAAGCCGGTAGAGATCACCGACAGGCCCAAAATGGCGTGAGTTGATTTTTTGGAGTCGCGTCCGAAGTGACTGTCCCTAGGCGCTTAGCCCACATTATATACACTTAGGCAAAATCTATTCACAACATTTTTTTACTACCCTGGAATGATACGCTATGGTGAAAGAAACATCTTGAGATGTGCTGTCATCGTGTCCAGACATTGCGAGCCAGAAATCGAGGCTCGACGCGCTCATTTGATTAGTCATCGATTAATTTGACGCGCCAGGCGCAGCACCTCGAATCGCGTATTTTCAATGCAAATTGGCTCACAGTAGGTGTATTGCTCTCGTTTTTTTATATGTCGTTCATAAATACATTATCTAGTAGATGACAAAAGCGCTAGGCGGTAAGCGCAAGCGTCGGTCCGCATTACAGAAAGCTATCACAGAGGCAATGAGGCTAAAAGCCCTTGACCTGAGGCGCCAGAAAACCACGGATTCCTCAAGCACTTCGGCTTTAAACGAATCGCCTATCTTCAGTCAACATACGAGTCAAATATCTAAGGAATTGGACGCCTACAAAGCAAAATACAATGCAGTACAAAAGAAGTACCACAATGAGAGAAGGAGGAATAGGAGACTGGAAGAGGCGAACAGGGAATGGAAGGACAAGGCGAAACAGGCGAGGACGAGTCACAGTAGGACCCAGGGGTATGTTCTGCAGCTGGAGAAGCAATTAGGCGTGGTGCAAAGCGATGCAGAACAGGTGGTTGGGGCTCTGGAGGACCGGGTACACAATCTGAAGGACAGCATGAAGGACCTCAACAAGAAGCATTCCATTCTTCGAAGACGATGCAGACGGCTCGAAAAAATGAATCAGAACCTGAAGCAACGAAAGAAGAAGATGATGATAAACCGACCTAGCGCATTTCGACTTCGTTATAAGGGAACCTACACTGCAGAGGCAAGGGCACTGGCCCGGTACATGGTTGCTACTGGAACTGCTGAAGCGAAGGTTGGAGAAGCGATTCAACGCATAGGGTCGGTTATGGGGCTGGATGTTGAGCACAAGATGTCGAAACGGACGGTACAACGCGCGGTTATGGAGGGAGGGATTGCTGGAGACATTCAACTTGCAGTGGAGATTCTTGGGGCGAGCAGTGAGTGGAGGTACCTCAATAAATCGATAGTAACTCACCAAATGCCCCAGAACTATGCTTCAGCTCGGATTCCACATCACACAGGCACATTGAGTACGAATCCCGAACGATTGCGCTTCAAGTTATCGATTATAACGACCCCAATGCGAAACCGGCGTGGCGAATGCGTACTCTGGGTGTAGACACGTCGGTTAACCATACAAGCGAGACCCAGGTCGAAGGACTGAAGAAACGACTTCAAGAAATCGCCGAAATCTTCAATTCATCGCCCCTGGCCATACGGGAAGGCCTTCACTTCGATTCGGACGATTTTGCATTCCGCCTTTATGGAACAAGCGGTGACCACGCTGCAGACCATCTATAATTAAATTATAGATGGCTATCTACCCGTATAGACTCTGAGAGACTTGCCCGCAATCCTCTGCGCATCTTTCCCTGTGACTACGACAGAGAGCTCGCCCCCTTTCTCTTCAAGCTCTAGTCCCCACCGTGCCAAATGCTCCTTGTAATGTCCCGACGCCAAGTCCCACAGTCGCCTCTGCACCTGCGGCTCTTTGGTATGGGACCACAGGGACCGCGGTGGCATGGCACTCTTCAAGTCGATAGAGTATTCACAGTCTTGGAGTGGACAGCACCACTCAAAGCAGCCTGGTTCAATGATTGGTTCTGCCAATAACACCCTGGGGATTGCTCTTCCAACAAGTTCAACTTCCGACTCTGATTCCGACTCTGAGCTCAGGTTGGAGTCGGAATAATCATCATCATAGATGAGTTTTCCCGACCCTACTTGCTCCTCAGGGTCCCCCATGATGACATCCACATCAGACGCTTCTGAAGTCGATGTAACAGGCACCTTCTGTGACCAGTGTCAGCAAGCTTGTCGAGACCGACGAACCTCACGTTGCGTACCTTTTTCTGCCCTGCCTTTCTTTGAGAAGACACTCTTTTCAATGCGTTGTGCAGCTTCTTTTTCCAATAAGTTCTATGCGAACCAAACCTCTCCATACCGAAAGGATTGTCCGCACTAAACCTGAGTTCCTCCAAGTCATAGCCTGCTGGTATCCCCCATCTCACCCCCTCACTTGCTGCCCTTTCCCGCGCCTTCTGAACCTTTTTGCAGAATTGTGTCCATTTCTTCAAGTTCACAACATCAGTCTCCTTGGACGCAGTCGCTATCTGGTTGGCCAGTATCCATTCCGCCTGTGCTGCAAACCGTGCCTTCAAATCCGAACTCGCCAAATGACGCAGGAATCGTGGTCTCTTCGACGTTCCGTCCTTCAGGGTGTGATCGGTATCGTCCTTGTCGCAGATGAGACGTCGATGCTTGTCGGCGGGGCGGATGATTTCCTTGTACTTGGCAATGTACCACTCCACAGTGCAATCTTCCAGGGGCTGGTTGTGGTCTTCCTTCAACCTCTTCATCATCTCGTAAAGTTGGGTTCGGTCCATGAAGTTCCGACATCGTTCGTAGGTTGCAGATTGTATCGATAAAATCTCATACTGGAGGTAATTACTGGTGCATAGGTTAACGGGTGATGAGAACTCAGCAGTCGAAGATGTTAATACCCACCGTGACCTAATGGTTAAAGAACTCCGGTCTGTCCCCCTCTCCCGAATGGTAGTGAAGTTGGCTTGCATATTGTTCTTGAAGCAGATAACGAGGCGAAAGGGTATTCGAAGGAGCAAGCCTTCCTTCTGATGAAGGCGCTTGACTTCAGCGAGGCCCTCGTCCGAAAGTTGCTTCAAGTTGTCGATCGTCATGATGCCATAGATATCGGTTTTGTGAGCGTTAACCATCTTAGTATGCGAGGGGTTCCGGGTGTCTGGCGGAAGAATGTATGTTATATCATCCAGGCTACGAAGAAAGTATGTTAGCGTTTCAACTGCCCGAAAGCGCCGAGTCGAGTGCAAACTTGCCCAACCGTTTCTGCCTTATCCCCCTCCCCCTGCGTCATCCACACATCGGTCAATTTAATGCATGTGTTCTTGAGAGTCTCCTTGTCCAAAAAACGTTCGTCAATTGGGCCGATTGGCTTGGGCATTGTGAAGGCGGAAGACGAGAGGCAGCGCGCGAGGCGCGGCTCTGGTGTCCTTGATTGATGATCACATGATTGAATGGGCCAGACAAGGTTGATAGGGCTACACTACAGTTACCACCTGCGTTCCACCTTCTTCTCCGTGGTCATGAGTCAATGAACTCGTTCCCAAGTCCATGTCCTCCAACAATTCCGTCCACCAGACCCGACAATGCTGAGTAGCATGCCCCAAACAATAATGTCTGCCGACCCCAGCCCAGCTTCACCCTTCTCCATCCCCTTTGGCATCATCATTGGCCTTCTCGCCTCTTTCGTCCAGTCTTTGGGATTGACTATACAAAGAAAGAGTCACGTCCTTAACCAAGCTCTGCCCGAGCATCGCAGAAAGGTCGAGCATCGACGACCGTAAGTCCAGATTCCAAACCATGCGACCGAATGGACCAAGTTGGTACTCGTGTTCCCCATGAAATACTGACATTGGTCATTGTGTATCAGGCTATGGCTTCTCGGTTTTGCCATCTTCATCTCTTCAAATGTTCTCGGGTCTCTAGTTCAAATTGCCGCCCTACCCGTCGTCATCCTCGCCCCGCTTGGCGCAGTATCCCTATTATGGAACGCCTTCTTTGCCCGTTGGATTTTGGGCGACGTGTTCTCCCCGTGGATGATCCTCGGTACTATCCTGATTGCTGGAGGTGCCGTGCTGATTGCGGTATTTGGTATCGTGCCCGAGCCTACTAGGTCGCTCGAAGACCTGCTAGAGCTATTCAGACGGCCGGCCTTTGCTGCATACTTCTCAGTCCTCGTGTTCGTGGTGTTGCTCAGTTTAGGAGCGGTAAGTATATTTATATTCAGACCATCATGCGTGCTAACTGGCCTCAACCGTGTATGCTTATAGACCCACATCGCAGAATTCGCTCTTTCTCGCAAGCTCGGCCAGAATGACGACGACTGGGAAGCTTCTGCCTTGTTAACCCCGTCATCCAATATAATCGACCTCTCAGCAACTGACGACCCGCCCCGAAACGATGGCATTCCAGGCCCGGCGAGTTTCGTAGCGGATGAAACGACGCCTCTATTGCAAGATGTTAAGCCTAATGGCACAACAGAGGACACCAATAGCCGGGCTGGGCCCAACAGTTTACATCGCACACGCATTCTCATTGCAATCTCCTACGCTTCATTTTCGGGCATCCTATCCGGCATGTGCCTTATCTTTGCCAAGAGTGGTGTTCAGCTGCTCCTCTTGACCTTGGGCGGTCAGAATCAATTCTGGCGCTGGGAGTCGTGGGTCCTTGTCCTCGGCCTCGTCGTCTTTGCCTTATTGCAGCTATGGTACCTGCACAAAGCGCTTATACTTGCTGATCCGACTCTAGTCTGTCCCTGTAAGTGACAGGTATTCGAATTCATGGTGACTTGGGACTAACGGCACTTTCCCAGCTGCTTTTTGCTTCTACAACCTATCTTCAATCCTTAATGGACTTGTCTACTTTAACCAACTGTCTTTGATCAGACCGCTGCACCTACTTTTGGTCAGCCTCGGTATCATTGTCTTGCTCTGTGGTGTGTGGGTTGTCAGCATCCAAGCTGGCGGAGGAGTCGTTGATGTGACACCATGGACGGACGAGCCCGAAGAGATGCTTTGTAACGAAGCGGTGTCCCGTGAAGAAGACGAAGAGACATGTCTACAAGAGGTTCCCGTTTCAAGACCAAGCGGGCCTCCTAGAATTGGGCCTGTACCTCTCGACAGAGGCACGCGTTCCGAGTCGAGTGTTCCCAACATCAACGCGTCCACATTCAGTGACCTCCATCCACACAAGCACCATCGAGTATCAACAGACTCGGAAGCATCACAGCCTTGCAGACGACGAAGAGGTTCGACCACCTCCGATGTTTCTCAGCATCGTCTATCACGACGAAACACGACGCATTTACCTACATCACCAAGCCTAGGCTCGCGTTATTCTCTCAAACACCGGCTTGCGTCTGTGGGCAACGAGTTGTACCGACACTCTCATGGATCGACAACACACGGTGGCCCTCTATCACCCCCGTTGAATCCAGCGGGCTTCCAGATAGGGCTGTCACCTGTAAGCCCTGGGTTCGCAATTATGCCAATGGAGAGGCGGTCGAGGCATTCGCAACAGCAAGCGGGATTGGGGCTTGGGTTGCCGCCAGGGTCATCGAATCGGAGGAGGACAGTCAGCGAAGGGGATGCAGCAGCCAGGAACGGTCTTAATGCCGATGATGGAGAGCTTGAAGGAGGAGCTGGAGACGAGCAAGAAAGAGGGGAAGGGGCGGATGGTGCTGAGGAGGGTTTGCAGCGGGATCGTGGTTCTGATGAAGACTCTTCGAGGTGGACGAGGTGGATGGTTAACATCTTCAGATCGAAAAGTTAGATTCTTTTATCTTGAATGTTATTGAACCTGTCAATTAGATTAGTAGTATTCTCATCGTAAATGACATTCTTTGAGGGTAGGTGTTTCGGAAATCGCGATCATGACTGTCCATTCCCCCGATGACGGTGTTGACAGATTTACCTGATGATTTCGCATGTAGGCTGGCACTGGCCGATGGCCTGGGCTGGCAATTCGTATTGTATATTGAACTTCTGTATGCAAAATTGAACCCATTCCATATCCATTCCGGCAAAGGTGCGGTCGATAAGCGCAAGGTCAGGCCAGCACACAGTTCGTCAGACCCCACACCATGTCATATCTTTGATTCTGTTATATGGAACACTGGCTTCTTTTACCTCTCCACCACCGTCCTGAAAGACTCGGAGCCTAAGCTAGGACCCCCAAATATACCCCTCAAGGCCGGATGAGATTCTGGGCTGGCCGTCCGGAACCAGACGGTCAAATTTTGGATTTTTTGTCCGGGAAATTCACCATCCTCGAGCCCTAAAATCGCTCTTTTCTGGCCGGATCAGGGAATATTTTCCCACACGGGCGCTTTTTTTCGGGGTCGGGGGCCAGAAAATGGCATTTTTGTTGGACTTTTGTCCGGATTTTATCTGGCCTTCCGCGATATTTTGGCCTCTTCCTGTCCGGATTTCGCATCCGGCCTGTGGCCAAAACCCAGTTTTTCTGTCCGGATTCTCTTCCGACCTTAAGCGCGATATTTGGGGGTCCTCCTAAGCTCAGCGACCTCTTCTGCGCTTGGTTCATGTTGTGGAAGCGCTCATTCCGGTCAACGGAGAGTACCCATAAGAAATAGCGCCGTCTGATATATACTATATGTGGATATGTATGGGTTTCCAAGGCGCCAGGGCTTGGGTGTGAGAAGTGAAGGCCGTCTTCCGAAGGAACTTTCTTGTGTTTTCGTCCAGGTCCTTGGTGGCGCCGTTTAAAGTTAGCAGACAACTGACAAACGCGTAGACTTGATATAAGCGAGAGTTCACGCTGTCTGACCCTGCGAGCGAGGCTTTCGTTTGAGTGGAAAATGCGGTTGACGCCTTCCAAGCGGATTAGGGGGCCGGAGGAAAGCGAATAGCGGGCGAGTTTGAGGATTTGATCTAATCAATCGAGATCCCGCCATGTGCGGTTTTCCCAATGAAGACGCGCGCTCCGCGACTTCTGCACGCTCGTTCCTCTTCGAACCACAAGAAAACGTCCTGGAAATAGCATTTCAAGGGGGAGAGAGGAGTAGAAAGGTATGGAAAACGAAGGCGATTGCTGTTTGGCATGGGATGGTGCAGAAAAGCAATGAATTGGAGCAAATAAAGCAACTTTGCGTAAGGCTGCCGGAGTGTATAGTGTTCGGACTACATATGTTGATTGTGCCCTGAGGTTTGTTTGACAGGGTCGCCCAATTTTCGCTGTGGAACAGATCCTTCTTCTCCACCCTTCTCGTCGTTCGTTTTCCCCTCTCTTTTTTAATAGTTTCTTCACCATAGCGTAGTTGTGCAGAGACGCGCTACGTGAATGGTCTCAACGATGCGGCAGCAACGAAGTATGGTGCCAGCGAATTCGCTTGGCCCTGAGCAAATCCTGAGGTCGCGGTTTTCGGACCAGTCACTAGAGACAGCGGCAAAGAAAGGGTGGTCATCGAGGTTGGCATCGACGAAGAGCGAGCCTAAAATGGAGGCGTCCAGGACTGTGAGCTCAGGCACGCAGGACTCGTCACTCATTCCGATCATTAACGTTTCGAATAATAATACACAACACCCCTCTTCTTCCACAACCACCATCACCACTGTTCATAACCACCAGTCTCAAGACAATCTCCCTGCTCTCGCCGATGAGCTCGACTACATTACTGTGACAAACCAGTCCCCTTCTAGCCCAAACGACCCCAACTCAAATCGCCACGACAAGGCTTCACGCATCCTAGGCATTCGACACAGACGCAGCATGGAGCCTATTCCCGCATCCACCAGAAACTCCATCGTCTCGACGCGTTCCTTGCGTGACATTCGCGACCCTCCAGTCATTTCTCATGTCCCCAACCTACCTTTGACTTCCCTCTACGTGGTTTCCGGCCTTCCAAAGTCCCCCCACACATGGACCTTGGCCGACCCTGACTCCGTCATGGGTTTACACCACAGCGAGGGTGCAGTCAACCGCTGGTGGAGGCCAGAGGTCCTTGGTAGTACTGTCACCCCAGGTGCAGGTGGCGGAAAAAAGAAACGAGGTCGCAAGGGCGAGGAGACTACGAAAGGGGCTGGAGCTCTCAGTAAGCAAGAGGTCGGGAAGATGCTCTCCAAAGCGCTTAAGGTTTGTCGCCCTCCGTCTTTTCGTCAACAACTCCCCTTTACTGACCACGTATGTTCCTAGCTTTCATTTACCCGCGAAGTCGAAGTCATTGCTTCTACCCTCCAGCCGGCGTCCACTATTCATACTTTCACATTCACTTTACCTGCACCCAGCACTCCTTTGGCGCCAACTCCTTCCGGCGATTTACTTCGAGCTTCGATTTTATCTACAGCGGACAACCGTTCCTCCGCCGCCACATTCGCTTATCCCTATTCGGACGATCCTTTTGCACGTCCATCCTCAGCTTATCTCGGACCCCCTAGCATACTTGCCCGGGGCACTCATAATTCCTCTGCGACAGGTCCCGGCGCAAGTGCCACGGACCTTAATTCCACCTCATCCTCCAACAACGTAACCTACCATGGCGTTTGTCTCACAGTTTGGTCGCACGCCGATGCCGAACGTAGCGTGGCCATTCGTCGCACCCTCGAGGCTGGGCGCTCTCGCAAGGAGTCGGCCCAGTCGGCGGTCACCTCCCGCCTTCGACACCTTCGATCAAACCTCTCTGGATCCGCTAGCGAGGATCACCCCACTGTCCAAGCCCGCAAACAAGTCAGGAAGGGTGCCCGCGGTCCTTGGGGCGACGCGGAGACCGATACCGAGACGGAGGGGGAGGGCGCCATCTCTGAAAGTGACTTTGAAGTTGCCAGCACCATCGGTCACGGCCCTGGAGAAAGCACCCTTTTCCTTCCCGGCGGTACCGTGTTTTGGTTACCTTATGCTCTGAGTACGTCCCTCGTCTCGCTACTTCTGAGCTAGGATATTGACTTCACTCCAGCCCTTGTATCCCGACACCCCGTTTACGATCTCATGCGCGACTATTTGACCCTATCTTGGGCACGGTTCTCCAAGGACGTGCAATCTCATACTCTGCAAATATCTAAAATCCTTGCGCACCCCGCTCCTAGGGCGGGTGAACTCGTCAAGCTTGATGCGAGTCCTAAAAGCGATGGCGGTGACTCCACTTTGGAAGTCATCGCCCGTTTCCCCGGCGGACTGGACTTTGGACGAGGGTTGGTCGACATCAACTTTACAATGTGGCCTCTATTTAAATGTCTCAACATCGATAACATCTTGACTATTTGTGAGGTACGACACCATGTCATGACCCTTTTATCAAAGCTTATGACCCGCCTCAGATTGCCCTGGCTCCGACTGGCAAAGTTTTATTTTTCTCGAGATATCCTGCGATGTTGGGTGTAAGTTGCTAGATGCGTGTTCATGGATACCAACTAATTTCCCAATAGATCGCCGTAAACACCATCAAGTATTTAGTGGAACTGCGGGGCTGGAATGGAGTTGCCCTTCCCGCTGTCCACTCTCGGGACGCAAAGATTTACATCGATGATCCTGGCCCATGGATCATGGGTCTCGCCACAGAAGCGAGGTACAGCGTCCACCCCTCTCCCGATGTCTGCGTATGCGACCTGGACATCAATTACCTGTTCGTGGATTCCTATCTGATTCACCGCATATTGCTGACACTCTACAACAGGAGTTGCCCCTCTCCTCCACCTGGCGTTATTTCAACGAAGCAGCAGCGTGACAAATATCGCCAGCGGTTGATTGCTGCCTTTGAATCTCACTACCATCCTGATCACTGCATTCCAAGGTCTGTGATGCTTAACTTGGTCTTTCGCTTCTCACTCATCCTGCTTGCCACAGTGAATTCAAGGAAGCCTTCCCAGCTGGACGCTTCCGCCCCGTGTGCAAAATTCAGGCGAAACGGGGCGCCTCTTCTGCTGCTGTTGCGGATCAGATCAAACCTCCCGACTGGTGGCACTCCACCCGTATTATTCAAGCGTTCGATTCTGTTTTGGCAGACAAGGTAGATGGGCAGATATATCCCCGTGGACGTTACTCATTTGGTGTCGCAGTTCAAGAAACCTTCCCTGCTTAAGCGAATCACCTCGTTTGGTAATCCCAAGAGACCCCCACAACTGAGCGCGGCGGAACAGCACATCCAACATTCCATTCGCAAGCGGGCCACAGCGTTTGTCGACGCACGAGATGAACTCGAGACCAAGATCGGACGTCTTTCTCGACGCTTGAATTTCTTGATGACGGAATCTGACTTGTGGCGAGACAAGTTCGCAACCTTTGAGCAATATGCAAGCAAGCTGAGCAATGAAGCGTCTCAATTGAGGGCCAAGATCAACAAGGAACAGCGGGAGACCAAGCGTTTGTCCGGACTAGTGTCCTTGACCGCTGCTGAGAAGGCCAAACTCAATGCTCGTAAGTCTTTCGATTTGGGTACTTAAGGCTCATTCTCACCCATCATAGAATTGCGGGAAACGGAGGCTCAACACAAGGAAGCTTTGGTCGAACTGGAACGTATGCGGGCCAACATGGAAAAGATGGAAATGGAACGTGCCCAAATGATTGCCGAGGTCGAATCCCAGATCGAAAAGGCGTTAGCATCGATGGCCGTGGACATTGATGAATCCGACTACGCCAGTTCCCGACCCCAGTCTCGGATGTCAGCACGTTCCGGAGTACGCTCAAGATGCGCTAGCGATGCGGCCAAGTCTCGTCAGCTTCGCTCCTTTGCAACAGATTCCACCCTTGCCGAGTCGTATGGGGAAATAGCCGAACAGGAAGAGACTATCCGCGTTGACAAACTGCAAGAGACAATCCCGGAAGAAGAGCAGGAGCCTCCACCGGTCAAGAAGAAACGGTTCTCCGCTTCCGACATGGATCTTCCTCAAGATGGTATGAGCGCTGTCGATGAAGGTATCAGCCTCAAGAGCGATAAAATCGCTCAGAAGGTGCTTGAGATTCAGCAAAAGGTGTGCGGTAACACTGTGCATACTTGAGGTCTGGCTAATATCCCCACTTCAGCTCGAGACCGCCCTCAAGACCGAACAAACAAGTCCCAAGTACAAGTCTTACGGCTCAGCTCATGAAAGTGAGGAAGATGACCAAGTTCCTAGCCACCCTCGACCACCACGAAGCAAGCGGGTTCCCTCACGAGCTTCCAAGAAGCGAACTCGCAGCGGGACTACTTCTTCGACTCAGACTAGCACTCCCCTGGTCCACGCTGATGACACTGCCTATCCGTCCCCGACTTTCTCGAAGTCGTCTGTTCGGTCGTCAGTCGAAGGTAATCGGACACCAACTCGAGAGGCCTTCGATCCGTCCGAGACTAGTCACCATGACACCGTCCAAGCGGGCTCCAGCTCTTTCCTTGAGATTGCTCCAGAAACGATCGTCGAAGTTGAAGAATCCGGTGCCAAAGGCACAGTCGGCGGAGCCGATACTAAGGCTATCACTGATGATTCCGACACCGACTTCCAAAGCGCATACTCGGCCAGTCCAAGAAACAGTTACGGGGAAGCCGACAGCGATGACCACGACGAGCATCTGTCCACAGGAGTCATTCGCAACCGAGCCTCTAGTACGGCCACAGCGATTCTGTCCACCAATGGCCAGGAAAATGTGCAGACCACTTGAATTTACACGCGGACTAACTTCATGCTTCGTTCCACCTATAGTTTATACCCTTCCAATAGTGTCCCTATCTTTATTACAGTTCCATTCTTGCCTATTATACAGTATGGTATTGTCCTTTGGTCATTTCGTTACATGGTATTGAAAATTATCGGCCCGTGATTCATGCATCCATCCGTCGGCGAGCGTTAAAAGATCGTACTACAGCGGCCACTTGGTTAAAAAACCAGGTTTGGGCGGCCTTGTCGGGGATAAGGGCGAATTTGTCGTGTGCACGGCCCAGTCGATGAGCGAAACGAATTCCATTGTCTTCAGCGGTTACGCCCTGGATTTGATTGAATGGCAGTTCCCAATCCAGTCGCAGTTTCCTCGAGTAGAATGAAAGCACTTTGGACTGCGTCAGTAGCACGACATTGTCCCCGGTTGGAGAGTCTAGCACGCTCGATCAGTTCATCGAGCCCTGTACAGCAATTGCTTTGGCTTACTGATGTGAGCAACGTAAAAATCTTTTCTGTAAGCACCATTGTTCAAGTCGCGCATCCAGTATTGACCCTGCGCCTCCCGGGAAGAATACGGCTGGAAACAAGGGTCAACATATAACCCCATTTCAACGATGTCATGCTCACTTTGAGAACGCCGTCAGCAGGGGTTAAACGAGGCTAGAAGAAATCGTTAAGTCGACGGCGGCGAGGATGGGTTTGATGTACTCACTACTCGAACGCGGTCCCTTTCAGGATTGTCGAATACGGTCGTTGTGTTTCGGATGCCTGGGGCGACGTGAGCTCGCTTGAAATGAAATTTTAAAGTAAAGGTACCTTCGGAGACATTGGATGCAAGGTCGAACACTCCAACTACAGGCTTTGTGACGGCACTAGAAGGGTTTCGTCAACCATAGTGCGCAAGCTCACGGAAACGACTTACCCAACGAGGCCTTTGCCAACACCCTTGAAGAATCCCAAGGCACCCTCTGTTTCTGCACCTTCGATAGGCTTCATCTGTTCGCATATGATCTCAGCGGTATGACCCCCTCATAAGGGGCGTGGTACGTACAAATACTCCTTCCATCGCGCTGGTGACACTGCTGGCTAGGGCCTCGCCTCCAGCGGCCACTCCGTATCTATTCATACGTCAGGCAAGCAACGTCTGCACACGGGTAGGAAGGACTTACATGGCGTGTCGAGGACGGTTCCGTCGTTGGGTCATCCTTCGTCGAGCTTGATATTCGGAATCAAATGTAGCAGCCGACAGGCCTATTGCATTATCAGTCCCGCAGTCCTGAATGACGATAGTGCGACAGACCTTTCCCAACGCTGCTTGTAAATTTGGTTAAGCTATCGCTGAGACCGAAGACGGTCTTCTTAACGAAACTTGCGGCTCCCTGGATCCATGTTTAGTTGACAGTCTGGTTGGATTGGCGGATGCGAACCTTCGCGATACCTATCCCCAATTCTCTGTTTCCATGCATGACGACACCTTGGAAAGGTTCATAGAATATGTCGGCAACCCCTGAACTGACGTTCGTGAAGAGTCCCACTGGGTTTCCAATGAAATCGGCGGAGCCCAGGATTCGATAGAGTTGGCGCAAAACATCCTGGCGGTAGTGGTAAAATATCCGGTTCTGCAGGTCCGACGTCGTCAACCGCATGTCCTTAATTCCTAGAGCATTCATTTCCAACGGGGCGTCGTTGATATTGCCAACGGCCATTGTCAATGCATTGACAAGTACGGCCAGTGGGTTGCGCAAACTCAGTCTGCGAAAGAAAAGAGTCAGTCCAGCCCACAAAGTCGTGCGATGCGGGCGCTCCCTGACCTCGTCTCGCTGCTCACCCGCTCTGTGCGCATAAATGAGAGCGAAAGTTTAATTGGCTGAAGCTCTAGGACTTCGAAATAGAGCTCCTGTCCCATCGATGAGACGGTTGGATCAGAGATTGCTCCTGGGTTGGCGATCAAGACGCTGGGTCAATGGTCAGCCGAATACGAGCACAAAGAGGACGGTGTGGTCTTACTCAGGGGAATCTATTTCCCAAGACGCCCCTTTGATCTGGGTGAGGTCATAGATGGCAAACAGTAAGTCTTCATCGGCTTCGATTGTCAAAGCCTGTATCAGGACCGAGCAATATTTGACGAATAGAACTCCGTGGGCTTCAAAACCAATTAGTCACTGCGCAACATTTACAGTACATGGAAAACGCTTACCTTGGTCTTTGAGCCAGATAATGGAAGCCTGGATGGTGGGAAGGGCGCCAACATTTCCCGACTGTTTCCCAAGGGGCGTTGGTTGAAGGATGACTGGGAAAAGGGCATCGTGTAGTTGGTTGTCTATTTGAAGGGAGCCGAAAGTCACGTTGACGGCCTGCGCGACAGTGCTGTCCGTATATTCTACCTTGAGGCTGTCGATCGTCATATATATCACTTCAACCAAACGCTTGTTGACCAACGAGAGGCCGATTCCAGACCATTCCAATGTAAATGTGAAGGTGGTCGTGACAGCCTCAGTGATCGCTTCGAAGCCTTCCGCGCTGGAGATGGTATCTTGCCTCGAGACATTGACAGAACCAGACCTCTGTCGCGGGCGATAAAGACTATGCTCTGGGTTGTAGTTCGATATCCGGAGGACTTGCTTCTGCCCATCTGCGCGAACATCGAGGGATACGGCCCGACTTTTATTGTTGTCCTGCTGACTGTGTTCAATGAGGTTCAAAACGCCTCGACGTCGCCGCTTACCATGAACTTGAAGGGCATGAGGTCACCTATCTCCATGATGTCGATAGCGCGTCGCGAGGTTTTGGTGGAAAGAACAAGCCTTTTCTCTTTGGCTGCGGGGAAGTCCCATGCGTATTGCACCTTGGAAAAGGGCGGCACGGCATAGCCCGGCTGGTCCTTTCCATCTCTTGACTCATCCTGCATTCAGTTTAGCAACAACACATCCTAGGTGGTGGGGTGCGGACCTTTTGGCGCAGCTCAAACCGGCAATCAGTCTCGTTCTCGATCACAAATGGCCACTCGTCGGATTGCGACAGAAGAACGAAAATGGTAGATCCTTCGATAACAACGTCTGCACGAACGAGGTCAGTTATACTCCCATCGCGTGCCAGGCGGACGTAGACGGAGCCTATGTCTTCCAGGGAGATCGGTGGCGTCCTGGGGTCATATGTTTTCAGTTGGATACTTTCTTGAGGAGAGGTGACACCTCACCATTGCGCATTGATCCCAGAGTAGGCAATGGTCAGCAACTTGTCCTCAGACGAACGAAGGACACGCAATGCTGCCCTTTCACCGGGGGGAATTACAGCACGTTCTCGAGGGATCACGCCGTGCTCTCGGAAAACAATGGGATAAGAAAGGTTGTTTCGGATCAGGAAACGAGGCGTCAGGACTATGACCTTTGTGAGTTTGTATTTGCCCTGTCCTTCACTCCAGGACAACCCAGTAAAGAGTTGGTCCGGTGAGTTTCTCGGGGTAAAGACGGACACCTCCGTCTCGGCAGACGGAGCCTCTAGGGAGATCATCTGGGGAAAAGGGTAAGGGAAAGCAGTAATGGGTGGTCAAACCCGACTTCCTACCTTGGACCAGGTCGATTCGCCAAATTTGAAGATGAATTCATGGCCGTCGGTATGTGAGTGAGAGAGCACTACCAAGGGGTGAGTGACATGGCCACCAACGATCGCGAATGACCTACGGAATGGCGCAGAGGTTCGAGTAGTATCTGGATACATTGAGTTTTAGTGAGTGCTCCAGTTAATTGAATCTGCTGCAAGCAGACCTGGTTGCGTATCCCCGGCTGCTTCCTGGTAGCCCGCCCGAGTTGACCTTGTCGATCTTACAGAGAATGGCAATCCGGTCTTGTTGATGACGATGTAGGGACTATAGATTTGAACCTTAAATGCGCCACCTGATTCAGGGTAACGACTAGAAAGCGATGATGAGCAGTATGCACATAGCAGGATGTACTATTGGGACCAACGTATAGTTCAGACGCAAGTCCAGTTTCCTATCTTGACGGTCTCGCAACGTCAGGCGTTTCTCGATGTCAAAGTCAGAGTGGCCATCTGTGTTTATAATAGCGAATTCGCTGGGTTTGAACACTGCAGACAGCATGTAAGTAGGAGTTGTGTAATGAAGGTAGTCATGATTTACCGCTGTCTTGGAGCGTGACATTCAGAAGGATAAAATGTCCAAGCTCGACAGAATGGATGGGCATGACGCCACCCTTACGCAGGTAGCTTCGCCAGTTCTGATCAGTGTTCTTGTCATAGATCCTGTATTCAAGATTATACGGCAATAAATTCTCTAACTCGAGAGGAGCTCGGAGGCGAAGATTGATTTTCGGGTTTTTCCTAACAAAATCTGTCAACAATTGGCCAAGGCCAAAACATTGGACATACCCAGTGGCGATGTCATTGCTGTCCGTCTGTACCCAGGCTTGGAACCTGAACGCAGCTTCCTTCGGATCACTGTGGGCACACTTGATGGTGAAGCCCTTCCTTGCAATCAGATCCTCCCAGCGCAAAGGATGGCACCATTTGTAGCCGAAACCCTCTGAGAAAAAGGCGGTTGGTGGTTGGTGGGGTTGATTTGTTTAACAGCGAGCTAAGATAGATACTCACGATCAGGTTGGATCCGGACTTTGTTTTTAGTAACTGCATCAATGGGGAGGGCATAGTCGTGTCCAGGAGGTACCCTCTCCAGGGAGTTCACTGGTTGTCCATGCTCATCGATGAGCATCAACTCTAATGGGTATAGGGTCAGATTTTCGATCTTGTAAGTCGATCTGATGGTGACGATTTTGGTATTGTCGACGACTTTCACGTCAAACAGAACGCGAGTGGGATATTTTTCTGTCCTGGGCCGTAAGGAGAAGACGTATTCCCCTTCACGTTCGACCGGGATCCCCTTCAATGCCTCCCAGTTATGTTCAGTGAATTGGATAGCAATGGTGTGCTGCCCTGAGGATACGTGCTACTTTTGAATTAGCGACAATCCGGAAAGAGTCGATATGCTGGACTTACCTCTCGCGTTGTTCTCCAATCTCCGAACCTCCAATCTACGATCTGATTGTTGGCAATCTTAACCTTGCTATCTTCACTCAACTGTGCGTTGTGCTCTGCGTCAGACCAGACAACAACTGGTGTGCCGGTGCAATTCCTGATGCGATATGGTGCATAGACGCCACGAGGCTTCTGAAGAACTTCTGCCCCTTCCTTGCTCCAAGTGTTGACAGTTGTTAAGGCCAGCTCGACGAATGTTGTGCTAAGATTTATGTCGAGTTTCTCGCTAGCGGAGAGAGAAACGTTCATGCTCCCTGTAGGACTGTCTTTCGAGACGCGAATGGTGAAAGTCCATGGGTCAATCACTGTGAAGGAGCGGTAGCTCGTTAGTATCCCAGTGCAATCGTGATTTATTCCGAGCGCGCTCACGAGGCTCCCAATGAGAATTGGTCAAGTTCCAATAGGTGATCTGGGTAGCGAGGGTCGTCGTCGCATGCAGCTTCGAAGCGAATCTTAGATGGGATTGGGACAGGGTAATTGCAACTTGCTCACCGCTCCTGACCAATCTTTTGCACCGACAATGAACGGCTTGACTTTGAGGTGCAGCATTGGTTGTTCGTGCATGTCCCCGATAAGAATAAGACGGAACCCATCGAAAGACGCTCGCAACTGAGGATTTATTAGTTCAACGTAAGGTACCAGAAGCCCAGATAGATACTCACTTGCTCCTTGGACATCATGACCCTCGCTTTGCCGATTGCGGCGGTCTTCGAGGCGGCGGATGCATGAATGACACTTGTTTCAGCCTTTCGTCCCTGGATCGCCCTGTCAATGGAGTAGCTTGGGTCGTGGTTTGAATGTTCGCTCGCTGACGGGGAGTTGGCGTACAGCTCAATAGCCTTGTTGACGATGGTAGTAATTAAATTGATGTCGCGATAAGATGCTCGGAATACGATTGGTTTGGCGTTGATCTCAATGCTGGTCATTTGTTGGGCAGCTGAGGAACGGGTATCCAGGGAGACTGTCAAATCTACGTCGTCGAGGAAGCGGGCACTTTCGGTGTGTCGGCCCATTTGAATCAGAGACATCCCAAGTCGTTGTATATTGAGTGCCATGATTCCCTTGAGAAGCAAGTGAGTTCCGAGCACGTTGGAGGAGGTAAAAAGAATCCACCTGCTGCGAGAACAGGATTTGGTTGATATAAAGGCGAATGGCACGGGTGTTTGGATCCGCATCATTTTCGAGTACGCTGATTGACACTTCGTGAAGGTCAACTCTAAAATCCAATTGACTTGCCGCGTCGTTCGCTGAGACATCGTTGTTTCCCATCCCTTCTTCGGTGTAGCCTCTGGATTGTTCGAAAGGGCTGGTAAAGAACTGGGTCAATCTAAAGACTGGGTCGACTGCAAAGATGATTTGAGGGGAGTCGATGGTCAAGACTGCTTGTGAAGTCGATGCCGAGGACGTGTACAAAATCATGAACTGGTTTCGATCATGTTGAGCTGCTGGGATAATTTCTCTGAACCTTGTGGGACCAGGGCGGGTGAGACTCATAGTGAACGATCGAAGGATGACTTGAGCCTCCATTGAACCGTCGTTCAACTGTTTTAAGCGTAGAGTTTTGTCGTTTAGAGCAAATCGGACAATTCCATGTTCCTTTTGCTGGGCCTCGGAAATCACTGAGCCGTCGTATAGGTGTAGTTTGACGGCGTTGATAGTGACCACCAAGTCGAGTGCTGTCCAGACAACAGACCCCTCAGAGCCAGTTCGAAGCTCTGGCTGGAGATTGACCATCGGTCTTTCGAGACGACGTTCAGCCTCTGTCCCGCCACCAACTTGCTCGAGTGCCGATTTCTCTGAGGAATCGAGGGTGTCAGAGAAGGTCCGTGGTATAGAGTGAGAAAGTTGGATCAAGAGCATATACTGTCGCTGCGTCAGGTGAAGTTTGACATCAGACACCTTTACAGAAATCTGTTCGCGGTGTCAGAATTGATGTCCTATAAACGTGGATATGTCGATGCAGTATCATACCTGAGTATCTGGGCGGACAGTGTCCTCCTCGCGTTCTATCCCAACCGTTTGCGCTATCTCAGCGTCAACATCGATGTTGTCAATGATCTTGAGCGAGTGCGGCTGTTTCTCTGCGTCATGAAACAGAGATTCCAATTTGATTCCGTGAAGGCTGGCTGCAATCTTGTTCGTCGCGTCTTCAAAAGAATTTCTGGCCTCGATATGTCCTAGTCGCATGGTCATGACATCAAGGGACTGAGAAGGGTCTGTTGGGAGCACGAGGATTGGTGTCTTGATAGAGATGTCGAATTGAGTTCTGTCCATTTCCGCGGCAGTCTGAACAGCAGCCGACGTCGCGGCGTCGTAGAGGTATTTGAGGCGAGCGAGCTTGAGGAGGAAGACGTAGAGTGAGTGCAAAGGTCCTTCCAGGAAGTTCACTTTGAGGGACGCTGCGTTGAGTTTGAAGGACGACCTGATGCCTGCATAGTTTTCATCACAAGGGTCGTATGTTTGATATACAAAGTCAGCGAAATTCTGGCCCTCGATCGAGAGTAGTCGATTGAATTCAGGGAGGATAGCATAGCGGTCGTTGTCGTTCGTGAGGAAGAGATCACCTAGGCGCCCAGAGACACGAAGGGTTGGGCCCCGAAGGAAGACAGCCACGTCGGCGACGGAGAGATTGAGCGTTGCCAGCACGTTGGAATCATTCTCAATGACCACTGCCGTTCGCGTTAGCCTCGAGGTTGTAGTACACTCTGAAGGCAGGGACTTACTCTTTACTCCCTCGAGCTTCACCAGCACGCGAATTTTGCCGTCGTCCGCGGCTTGTTGGACCGCATGTTCTGACCCTAAAGCGTCTAATGAAGCTCCATTCGTTGAAGCGTCATTGGGGGTGTTCTGTGGTACAAATGTAGTTATGATGAAATCATAAGTCGCCAGTATCGGTTCTGGTGCGACTCGGAAGACTAATGTGGACATCTTTACGTCGATGTTCTGATCGATACCTTCATAGACAGGCTGGAATTCAGGCGACTCTCGCTGCGCGCGGGAATATTTGACTTTGAGGAGATCGGGTGACCCTGAGACGTCGGTAGGCGTTGAGATAAGGTTGATGGCCCCATCGTTCTGAATGATGTCGGTGGAAACGGAGCTAGCCTTCGCGTTAATTCAAAGAAGGGTAACCAGGGCGAACATACTAACCGTAATGTAACGTCCACGTCCATGTGGTACTTGTACAAAGCAAAGGAGAGCGCAAAGCCTTCCAGAGACAGCTCCCCTAGTGGTTTCTCAATATCCTCTCGATTGGTCTTGGAAAGAGAAGCGCGAAGTGTTCCGACTCGGAATTCAAGCTCGAAGGCGCGCTGGTGTAGTTGAGGCTATGAAAGAGGTTTAATATTCGTTGATAAGAGTGTGAGAAACATCATACCTCCGAAGAACCGCTATCCGCTTCAAAGAACTGTTCCTTGTCATCCGAACCATCGTCAGTTCCCTCACCATCGTCGACATTATACTCTTCATTGCTGGGTTCGAAGAGTCTCGGGAGGTTGTATCCAGAAGCTGACCTCCTGTGAGGCATGGGCCGTTGGGCCACCGCGCCTTCGGGTGTATCATCCAGCTTGGGAATGCATACGTCGATTAAGCGCATCAATGACCGGTACTTCATGTCCGAAAGATTAAGCTGCAAAGAAGGCAAATTGCCAAGAACCTTGAACTGCGTGAGAGTGGCGGCGGATGGCACGATTGACTTTTGAATTTGAAGCCCGATACTGATTTTCTCCAGAAGGTGGAGATTATCGCTAGATGGATTGACCATAGCATTCCGCGACTCCTTCAGGTTTTTACCAAGGATGAACTGGACCATAGCTTGTTAGCAGCCGGTCGGTGTTGAGATGAGATCCGGAAAGCGCACCTGGGCATCTTGCAGATTAAGGGAAAGCTTATCATACATCAACGATTCGAGCCTGCGATAGTCTTCATCCGTGTACTGTTGGTTGCGCTTCTGGTGAATATCGTGGATAGCCTTTTTGTCGCCCAGCTCGCTCTCGACAGCGATATGGCCTGCATCGACTATGAGGTGAGTGCATTCGGTGGTAGTGATGCTAAAAATAATTTAGCTCGTCCCTTGAGCGACGAGAATGGAATCGACCCACTCCTCTGGAACAATGATGACGGGGGCATTCATGTCCACCTGGATGTCGATGGTCTTGTGCGTTTGCAATGCATACTCGAGACCAGCACGGGTCTCTTTACGCAGCCCCTCCAGAGTCTGACTAGCCGCGTTCTAGGTGATAATAGTCAGGTGATGATCCGAAGATCCCAAGTCTAACATACCAATAGAGCTTCCACAGATTCCAATTGGCTCGCCGGTGGTTTGAAGAACTTGTAGACGGCTTCCACATAACCTTTGTAGTAGATGATCTCCATGTGTCGCATGCGAATAGTGAGAGCAGTGTCGGCTCTGTCATCCAAAGGATTGTTCTCGAACTTGATGAAGAAGAAAGGTTCCTCCGTCTCTGCGCCAATATCGCTGGAATTTTGTTCAATCTCTTCCACGGCCGTATGGATCCTCTCGACGTCTCGCTTCACACGGACAATCTGAGGATACAGCGTATTCTCAGTCGTTCCGTCAAAAACCCGAAGGTCTTGTAAGGATACCGTCGTTTCGAAATTGCCGTGGCGCTGGATGAAGGTGGCGTTGAAGACGTCGAAGACGACAGACATCATTTCCCTGCATTCGCCATGAGGATCGGTCCGAAGGGTAAAGGACCCTCTCTTTAACTTGGCAGTAACCTGCATCTTGAGCGAGTCCCGCGGCGCTTGCAAGGCCTCCATAAGAGAGGACTTTTCGTCATAATCCAGGACGTCGTAGAGTTGCTTTCGCTGCTCTTCGGTCATATTCTCTCCAAAGATAGATGCTTCCTTGGGTGTTTCCGAGCTTGAGCCCCACAGCCATGAGCCCCATCCTTGCTTTTGGCTTTGCTGCTTCTTCTTCTCTGCTTCGATTTTCTTCCTGAGTTCCTGGTCCTTACGCAGCCGCGATCGTGCGATAGACCGGTAGAAGCGAATGTCTTCATAAGAGAGTTTCTTCTCTAGATTCTCGATTGCTGATAATTCCTATAGCGTGTCATCAGCACCGGGAAGCAATACACGGTATAGCTCTGGAGCACCTTACCTCTCCTACCAGCGAAGCCAAAAGCTTTTTTTGAAACAATTCCACATAGCGATTGCGATCATCGCGCCTTTCGGCAAAGTACTGCCAGGTCCACTTCCTCCTCTTCTCCCGCACTCCTGCAAGGATTGCAGTTGCCGCATATCGTAGTCTTGCTCTGGCCGGAGATTGGGCTATTTCCTCCTTCGACGGTTGGTACTTGCGATACTACAGTGGTGCATATTGAGGGCCAAACCAATCTAAATGAAAAGCAATCTTACCTGATGCTTCCGCATGTAGACATGATACATGTCGATGAGGGAGATGGCGTCACGGTACTGGTCATTATCGAGGGCTACACCGATTTCATCGAACAAGAGTTCAATATTGAACCGGGGGGTATTCCGGTCAATTTTGTGATTGACAATAATCTACCAAAAGGACGGTTAGCCCTGTTTGAGCTGTCGCATGAACAGGAACTCCTACCCTTCCTTCTCCTGATACGGGTTTCAAGATATATTGGTGGTTCCATCGTCCGTCCTTGTCGTCGATCTAGAACAGTCCACGTTGGTTTTGTCTTGTCTGAACAGTCTGTCCTTACGACATACCATGGCTGAGAAGTGTTCAATTGCCTCGTTTCTGGGAAGGCCTGACATGCTTTTAGCATCGGTATCCACATATACGGCGAGTGATTCAAGTTTGGCGAGCTATAAACGTTGCGTAAATGGCCCCCCAATCGGCGAAAAGAAGTCAGCCTACCTTGTGAATGGCACCAGCAGTACTCTCGATGAAGACAGGTTGCCATTTCTCGTTCACTGAGACTGCCGCGAAGCCTGCAAGGGTAACGCCGGCTGCGAATGGGTGCTAGTTCTACGTTAGAGACCTTCTGATCAAGGGTTTGGGTCGCCCTTACCCCGGGAACGCTGACGTTATCTTCATATCGGATGTGAATGTTGCAGATGGTGACTTGCACGTTGTTAATGACTTTAGTGATGAGGGACTGGATCAAACCCTGAGTTTGGGGTGATTCTACAGAAGGCGAGTGAGCAACACATGAAGGAGATCGGGGATTGACGACGCACCTGATTGTGTTTCCGCCTGCCCTTTCATGTGCAGTAGCTCAGCGTTCTCTAAACGCTCAGCCTTTGCAGCCTGTGCGCGGGCCTCTTCTTCCTCCGGGCTAACATTCGTTTGGGCGGAGGGGACCACAAGTAGGTAGACGTCTTTAATTAAGATTTCGACAGGCTGATTTCCAAGATTCATCCAGTGAAGGGAGAGCGTGAATTCGCCCAAATGCCCTGAAATTCGGCGCCAATTAATTTAATCGATGTACAGCCCGTATACACGCAGTATACTCACCCTCTAGCACATCGACGGGTAGCTGAAACTTGTCAAGCACGCCACGCTTCAGCCTGAGGTTCCTCAAGGTCAACTGACCTGCTCAATCGGTAAGGAACTGAACATGGAAGCTGAGCGAGAATGTACCTTGGGCGATACCATAGTTGACCTGATTCAAGTCCAAATTCTCGACATACGGAGCCAGAATCCTGTTAAAGAGCTGCGAAAAGGTTTGTACCGATCTCATGGAGGAGCTGGGACTAGTCTACACACCACATTGAGGACCTCTTTGCCAGGATCCAACCACCACATTTAAAGAAGACGCGTCGAATTCAATTGACAGTTACTGGGGAGTCCGTTCGAAATGATCCCAATATTTTACGGCGCGTTGGGCGTTGGTTATACCGGTTGATTGTATGGGTCACAGCAGAGCTTGGTCCAGGTAGGTGGAGAATAGTCCAACGCACGTCGGCTGTAGGTAGTAGATGGCAAGCCTGTAACCGTTCACTGTGTTGGAGCATCACGTCATGGGTTCTTCCGCTCTGGAGTCCGGCCGGCCCGGGGTCCAAGGAGATCTTGGCTTTTACAGCAACTCGACCGAAAGCGTCCTCTTTAAAATCTTTGCCATCGAGGTCACCTTGACTAGAGTTCAAACCGTTAGTGTAGCCAAGATGTCGAGACAGTGGGCATAGAGAAGAACACCTAGATCCGGCGCTTGGGGAGCTCATTGACGCCGAGGCCGGAGCTAGACCAAGGATATGCGGAGGCATCGTTACCCCCTTTTCCCTAATCTCGCTGTAACAGTTCACCCCAATCTTCGTCTCGGTGGAGGAACATCGAGGAAGGCCGATAGTTCCTACTTTGATTCGTGTAGCTATTTCTGGATGCCAATAGCGAATATCCCGTATTCGAAGAGCTTCTCTGGCAGATAGCACGCGACTAGGGTGGTCGACCTGGTGGTTGGCCGATTGATATTGTAGGCCGGCATCTGTACCAGGGTTAGGAGGCAGGAATGCCTTAAAGGGCAGGTGAGGAGCGAGTGTCGGAAACAGGAGGCCAAGAATAGGGATCTCATTAAGAATCGAAACAAAGGGAAAGTTGCGTTATTCCAGCCTGCTTCCAGAACATTTTGAAACGGACCCCATGGAAGACGTTCCCAACGTAAAAAAAAACCTCTTCACAACGTGTATAATTGCCCGATCAGTATATCCATTTTCGTGACAACCCGGCTGGCGTGATGGTTCATGTGAGGACCCTGAACAGCCAGGTATTTAAGACGACGGAGCTTGACCCCACTAGTCGTGCTTTACCCCAGATCTAATCCCCCTCATATTATGCTTGAGGTCTATTCCCAACCAATATCCCGCAACGACTATCGCCAGACCGCCTACAAAATGACAGTCCTCCTTAACGAAAAGGTATAACCTCTGTCTCCTTGTTCGCCGAATGATGCTAAAGATCTTTGCCATACGGTGCAGCCTGCCAATTTCCACGATGCGGTCGAATCCTTTACAAAGTACTTACCTCGCTTTCCCGGGCAAACCTATCACGAGACGCTGACGCCGATGTTGCACCATCTAGACTTGTTCAACGCTCCCGCAAGACTTCGACACGATTACTGTGCACAGTGCCAACATGGGATCCTTCCGCAGAAGACTGTCAGTGTCATCGCCAAGCGCGCCCGCCTCCCTTTCTGACAATGTCGTTCCCTAATAGGCTGGGACCTGCAAGACTTTCAAGAGTTGCGGTCGAGATTCCTTGTCTTTGTCCATGAAGTTATAACGTCTTTGCGGAATGCGGGGGTAAGTGTGTCGGATGCAAATTAGTTGGTGCGGCGCTAACCGCCGGGATCTCCCTCTCGCTCAGCTCGTGGCTTCATATTCGCTCGCGCCTTCGGGCTCATCGCGGGGGATGATAGTTGCACTCCCCTCGAATACTGCCGTTAACCAACAAGTGGTTAGCGACTCTTTCTCAAAAATTGGACTAGGTCCAAGGTGCGTTTGGGTCTCCTGTCGTGGAAGACTCAAGACCGATACTCATGGGTGTGGGATTGCTTTTAGTAATGGGATCACCGTAATGGACACAAAGGCCGGACCCTCGATCGTTATTAGCTGACTGAATTGCTATATTGGTGTTATGTTTGCCTCCCTCCTCGCTCTGATCTTCGTAGTGGCCTCGATGGACTTATTGTATGTATTATTAGACGACCAGCTTTGCATTTGTACCACTCGATAATGGAATTAATACCCCCAAGTTTTGTCCAAACGAGTGTTGGAATAAATTTGAGGAAAATGATTGGCGTGTATGGAAGGAAGAAGAGTGACACGTGAAAAGAGAGGGAGTATTACATAAGAGTTCAAAAAGACGTGGTGGACTTGTCTCTCAGATCTCAGCTCTGTTCTCTCAGCTTTCCTTTCGACGCCATGGCTCGTCTAGCAGACCTCATTCTGTCGGCAGTGCCATATCGCCTCCCCGAGCACTACTATGTCTATACTCCAGGCGTCACTCCTTTGTCCACCGACGCTGTCGTCGTCGCAGCGCTCGTCACCTACCTTGCAACGATTTTCGGAATTCAGGCCGTCATGAAGAACCAGCAACCCCTCAAGCTGACCACCCTCTTTCAAATCCATAATGTCATCCTCAGCTCAGGGAGCTTGCTCCTCTTGGTTCTCATGCTCGAAGAGATCATCCCAATCTGGTGGAACAACGGTTTCCACTACGCACTCTGCCACGAGAATGCATGGACTCCAGTACGTATCACAGTCACTCGACGCGTTTTCACTTTCTAATAACCCTCTTCTTCTCCAGCGCCTCGAGTTCTACTATATGGTCAACTATTGCTTCAAATACCTCGAATTTATAGACACCATCTTCCTTGCTCTCAAGAAAAAGCCCCTCCGTGAGTATTCCTCGACACGTCTACCTCGTCTCCCGCCTCATATTTTCCAGAATTCCTGCATGTTTTCCATCATTCGGCCACCGCTTTGTTGTGCTATACTCAGTTGAACGGAAAGACTAGCATCGTACGTCTTTTCGCGCGTCCGAATTGTGCCAGCGAATTCACCGTCATCACTTAGTCTTGGGCCGTCATCGTTCTCAACCTCGCTGTTCATGTTGTTATGTGTAAGCATGGGCCTATTCATGCTACTCGAACTAGCCTGACACGTCTACAGACTATTACTATTATGCAACTGCCGGTGGACGTCGGTTCTGGGTATGTCGTGGATCCTTCCAAGTTTTGATGCCAGCGCTAAATTCCATATCCCCTTCCAGTGGAAGAAATACCTAACCACCATGCAAATCGCTCAATTCGTCATTGATATCTCCCTCGTCTACTTTGGCAGTACGTTTTTTTTCGAATGTCTTTTTGTTTGCTCGCTCTAACTTGGACGCCAAAGCCTACGAACACTTCGCAGCTACCCGCTGGCCACACCTTCCCCACATCGCCAACTGCTCTGGATCGGAGGGTGCTGCCTTGTTTGGTTGCGCTCTATTGACAAGCTACCTTGGACTTTTCATCAACTTCTACTTCAACACGTACAAGAAGCCAGCACAGAAGAAATCAGCAGCTAATGGATCGGCTAATGGTCATGCTAATGGGCTTGCTAATGGGTAAGCACGCGTTCTATGCGCCTAGGTCCATGCCTAACACACCCTCTAGGCATAAAAAGGATTGATACCTGCATTCATTATTGTTAGTATAGTAATGGGGTACTCGGGCAATATACCTCCCCCACCTTCGCCTGGTACTAATGTCAGACTTGGCTTGTATACTTGCTGTACATTCACCTTGTCCACGACCTATCACGATAGTCGCGAATGTACAATCTATAGTATTACGAGGATGCGCGTATGAAATACAGAGCACGTCGTTTCGAACATATGACGGGTCACCGAGTATGTTGCGGTTGGTAAATCCAAGCGCTTGATTGGATATTTTCAAAATCACGGCACTACGAATATGGTGAATGGCGGTGCCTATACCACCGCAACTGAGCGACGACAATTCGAATTGACGACCAGCATCGCCACGATAGACGACGATAACATGTTGTCCCAGCTCACTGAAACGCCCTATTACAACGTCTAAACTCCACAACAACGGTGTGCCGGTCGCTTTCGAGGCTGAACTTGGTCAATGAAGTACTAAAGATTGCGCTCGCAACAGCCTTTCGAACGACCACTCTTCGTCGGCCACATTCTTTTCTTCCCCCAACCCGTCATCATGTCCGATACGTGGGACCGTCTCTCTAGCCAACGTGAATATCTGGTCTCTGTGGAACTATATGTTTCGACAACGGCGGGCTCAGCACTGCGAAAGGTGCCTCTCCTCATATCAGCTTATCGCCCTATCCGGTCGCTTACACTCCCCGCAGCCCGTCTCCAGTCGAAGGAAAGCCGAAAAACGCGACTCTAGTGCCGTTGTATTGGATGATAATAAGCTTCGAGGTGAAATGAAGCCAATATAGATTCCCCATCGGTCCCGACTGACTCCCTTCGGACAGACAGAGCAAGTTGGCAAGCTCTGCCCAAGAGCCTCAGTGGTGCCGGGCAGTGGAGAAATGCCACATGTAAACTGTCCGAAGAAGGCGATAGGTGTTTCTTGAATATCTATGTCGACGTAAGTCTTACTGGTGGACATTCTTTGATCGCGTGTATGTTCATAGCGTCCCCACATTGTAGGAATCCATCCTTTACCAAACAGTCTACATCCACCTACTCAACCAAACCGACATCCGACCTGCCGATCCGTCATTGTTTTTCAGAAAGGACTGCATAGGACTATATTGCATCGAGTGCGCCTACCATCCTTCCCAGCCCATTGCTGTCGTCGAGAGCTAACGTTGCGGCCAAACAGGGGGCAACGCTGGACGTCTGCAACAACTGCAGAACCGATATACCTCCAGTTCCCTAACCCGGATACGTGTGCAACTTGGCTCGCCCTGCTTAAATCATACGCTATCCCAGAGATCTATGGAAGATGGTTCTTCCCTGTCGACGGTGGCTCATACAGGATGTGGCGGCAGATTGAACTATCCGTTATTCAAGCACGACATATCAGGGCCCAGAAGGCGGAGAATGGTTATGATATTGGAGATGCTGGTGGAGATGCTGAGTTTGATGGGGAAGTCTCATGCGAGATCCATTTGAATAGCATCCTCTGCGGGAGGACGACGGGGAAGAAACGACCTGCTGGAAATTCGTTGTTGGACTGGCATGAGAAGTTTGTCTTTCCCGACTTGCCGCCGTTCGAGACTCTGGTTATCAACATATGGAGGGAGAAGAAAGCGACGAAGCCGACAGTGCTAGGCCTTGTTCGAATCGAACTCTTCAACTTTCGACGAGGAGAGACGACGGAGGGATGGTTCCCAATCATCCAGGGGATGAGCGGTTCCTCGAGAGAGACGCAGATCGGAGAATTGAGGTTGAAGCTTCGCGTCGACGAGTAAGTCTCCTGACCTTTGGACAAACCCACCGATTTGCTCAATCGCCCCTTAGAGAAATAATTCTACCCCAAGCAGCGTACCAAGGGCTACTGGCTGTGCGTCCCTTTGTAAATCCGCACACTTGTACTATGCTGAAGACTTCTCGATTGCTTAGACGTTCGACTCACGAAACTTCTTGGATTGGATGACAGAGCTCGAAAGCAAGCTCAAGCTGAAGCATATCTCGAGCCAGCTTATGGCAGTCGCAATCGCTCAGGACACTCTAATCGTTCAAGTGCAAGAGTTCGCTGCCAGGGAAGTGCTGGGTGCTCCAATTTGTACGTAAACTCTAAAACGTCCAGTGTGTTTCTCAAACTGACGAGGTTGTGTAGCCCACCAGACCCTCTTTCGAGGGAACACCGTTTTCACCAAGGTCATGGAATTGGCCATGACGTGGTATGGGAAAGCATTCTTGGAAGCCAGTATCGGACAGGTGCTTCGGAGACTATGTGCTGAGAAAGTCGCCATCGAGGTTGACCCTGTAAAGAGCGGCAAGAGCAACAAAGAAGTCGAAAAAAACGTTGAGCAACTGATATACTGGTGCCAAGAATTTTGGAATCAAATCTACGCTGTTCGAAACGAATGTCCGATGTACGTCTTCTCACATTTATATCCTCACAGGTACCAACGTCTTTACAGCGAGCTAAGGCGGCTTTTCTTGACGATTCGGAAGCTGGTAGAAGAACGATGCCGCAATGAGAATGGGTCCATAGGTGCAAATCGCGATTTGCCGAAGCAGAGTGTGTCCGCGTTCGTCTTCTTGCGTTTCATTGTCCCAGCCATACTGCATCCACATCTTTTCGGCTTATGTCCTGGTAAGTCGTTCTTTTTCCATGATCCTTCCGCCTCTGACCTCATGTCGTGTTCATCTGTAGGTCTTCCATCAGACCCTGTGAAACGAAGCTTAACGTTAATCGCCAAGGTTATCCAGAGCTTGGCCAACTTGAATGCAGTGCGTATACGCCATTTTTCAACGGAAGAGCGCGTTTCATTAATGACAATTTCCAGTCCGCGCAAAAGGAGGCATTCATGCGAGGCATCAAGGATTTCCTGGCGAATAGCTTGAGCGCAATGGTCGATTACATTGCAGCAGTGTCTGGCCCGATTGACGAACACCAGGCCAACCATTCCAACAGAGAACATCGGCATGGCCGCCTACGTATTGCCAATGGACTTCGCGAACGGCGGGCAACCATGGCAGTCCTCGATAGAGAAGCAATTCCGACCTTACCCCATCTTCTCGACGTCCCGCGCCATCTAGCTGTGATAACATCAGCTGTGATCAGGAGTTGTCGAGATCCCTCGATCCATCCCGGACTTTCTGGCGACGATAGTGTCCAGTTAGAGGAATTCTGTACCAGATGTGCGGAAGTCGAAGAGCAAGCGCTCTTCAGGGTCACACAGCTGGCATCCAAGCTGTCCATACGAAGACCGTCCCTCCCCAATGTCCATTCGCCTAATTCAGCATTGCCTGGCCTAACCTCACCGGTTCAAACTCAACCCTCAAAGCCACGTTATAACCACCGGCAAACCAAATCGGCTGCTAGGCCGTCGACAGCACCATCTTCCGGCTCAAACACTCCTCGACAGGGTTGGAACGAGATACCACCCCCAAATTCTCCTGTTGCACGATCGAAACATGGTGACTCCAACGGGACCAATGATGTCAGGGAGCGACTTCCTTCCCAGCCTGGGACAAATCGCCCCCGTCACGTCAAGGTCCCTTCGTCCGACGCCGTTCCATTGTATACTGTCTCTACCGTCACCACTGGTCGGCCTGCGATATCGACCCCACAAAGGGTGCCAAGTGCATCCAATGAAACCCCTGAAGATATCACGAAGAGAAAACGAGGGTTATTCCGGGGGATCCTGAAGCGCTAGTCTTCACACACTCGAGGTCATGGCGGATATATTTACAGATCATGTAATAATATTTGTATTCTTAGTTAGGTTTTGCTGCCAATCCTTTCTGCACGAGCTTCAGCACTTCAGCAGCCACCTCTTCAGAGGTGCTTCGGCAAGTCAACCGACACAGCTAGCACAGATCGAGAGTTGTCAGCCAAGGTGCAAGAGGGCTGAATGAACCACGTACCTTGGCTTCTCGATTGGGCTCAACTCTGAGTAGACATCCCACCTTGCCATCCACCGAGGTGTGTAGAACTCCTCCCGCGACAAGGTTGCTTGGGTTTGGATCGATGTTCTCCAGGATGTTTAGACGATGCCCTGACACCACCTTGCTTTGCTTTGGCAAATCTAGTTGGCCTGCAGCGTCGAGTGTGATTGGGAAAACGCTCTGGGCTTCCCGAGGGGGGCCACCGATTAATTTCCAGCGCTCGAAGAAGTCTGCTTGGCCCAGTTTGACATGCTCGAAAAACTTCGTTATTACAATGGGGAGCCTGAGTGATACTGCTTGATGTGAGCCGGAAAGGAAGGATATCGTGAGGATCGGAGGCTGCGTGAAGATCTTCTTGCATTCAATATTGAGAAGTTGTTGCAGTTGGCTTCGGGAGTCGATGGTACTTGGAGGAATCTTGGCGAAGGTGACAGAAAGTGCATCTGGCTCTGGGACATGGACAGCGGCAGTGAAGGATGTGAGAGGAGAGGGTACTTTGTTTCCCAGGTATACCGCAACCTGGCCCATGTGTCCCTGGTATCGAGATTTGATTCCAACTTGAATCTGAACGTCTTCATACAAAACCCCTTCAGAGGAGTATAGGAGTTTGTCGAACCATTGATCGATGTTGGGACCGACTGCGGGTCTTGGAACTCCCTGGGCAAGTGCACTGGCATCATGCCCTTGCGAAGCTGAAACTCCCGGTGAAGAGAGGTCCAATCCTGCAAGGGAATCCATGATGCTCTCTGCACCATTGGCCTGCCCGCCTCCCTCCCCCTTGCGGATCGCATTGCGTTCCACGTTGGCCTCCTTTCCACCATGCACCCATGTTCTCTTGTCTTCTGTGTCACCGTGCTTGCGGTCAAGTCGGCCGAGAAGGGCACTGACCCTCGGGGGGAATGGCGGCATCTCTTCACAGACACTGGGAAGGAAATCGTCGTCCTCTGGTCGTGATGCTAGGGTGTAAAATTCGCAAGCACGTTGTTGCAGCTCGGCATCGAGGACATGTCGATAACGGTCGAAGATGTTCAGTAGCTGAGGTTTGATCTCGGGGAAGACATTCACCCATTTGATGTAAGTCGTCAAGAGGAGCGACCGCGTTGGGGCAATGCAGAACTGGGACTTGGAGTGGAGAAGTTGGAATTGCTCAATTGGGCTGTAACCCGGCTCATTCGCGATAAGATGGCCGTATTCTCCCAGAATGTAACCTGTAAAGAGGGAAAACGGAACATTGAGTACTTACGGCGAGGCATGCGAAGTAGGCACTTGCCTCCAACCTTGACTAAGCTTTCATGAGTTGAAGGTGCTTTGAGATGTTCGAAAACGACCTTTGCGGCGTATTCTTGTAGGTCTTCTGTGTTCGTCACAATCTGAACAACCCGGTACCACACCTCATCGCCAACATGGTCCCCTGCTGCGCTAATGAGCTGTAATATGGTGTCAACATACCACTTGTAAGAGGTGGCGTATTTTTCCGTTAAAATCGCAATCTTGAGCACCATCTCTTCTCGGAGAGCATAGTCCGCGACTTTTAGATATCTCAGGAGCTCCCCTACGATAACTTCCGAGTTGTCGACGTCGCACATGCTATACAAGAGATCTAGGGCACGTCTCCGAACAGAGATATCCTTATCCCGAAGTGAAAGGATGATTGTCGTCTGGTGTTTCTTGATTGCATCTAAAGAATCCGCCCGTGCAGCCAAGTGTGCCATGGTGTCCAAACCGAGATACCTGACGTTGGTTTCCTTGGATGAAATGAAACGTGCCAGAAGAACAGCTGCTGTGCCAACTAAGGGCGAGTTCGTGTCGAGGTGTATGGCCAAGCTGATTGCTTCGAATAGAACGGCATGTTGTGCATTGTTATGCTGGACATTCCTGGATGGCTCGGCACAATTGTTCATGATGGTTTGTAAAACTTGGTATAGGACAGAGCGTATTGACGGGTCCTCTAAACGTTTTTGAGAATGGTGCTATTCTATTGAATGTGCCAGCGCAAGCTCACCGGAGGGGGGATAGTATTGCAGCAAGCGAAGAAGTTTGACCTGCAACCAGGGCGATGGGACTTTGTAATAAGCATATGTTGCGGCGTATTCGTGGCCAATGACAAGCTATCTCCTGGTGAGTATCCATCCATGGATCCAGATATTGGGATATATGACTACACACCCTATGTAACCGATCCACCGCTTTGGTGTAGCACACTGCGTAAGCATCGAGGTGATCCTGTGCCAGTGCCATTACAAGGCTCGTTACACATATAACCACACCCTGCGAGACACGGTAAGCCTGAGAAGGAAACGCGTCGCGATGTACTCACCAAGTCGTGGTCGTCCATTATGGACACAATCCGAAGAGCCCACTCTGCAGCAGGAATGACGTCTGGATGCTTTCGATACAGACGAAGTAGTGTCAAAGCAGCCTTCTTCTTCACGAAACTCTGTGACGTGCTGGGATAGGCTATAGCAAGCAACAGACAACAGGGATAGGCGAACGCACGGAGAGATCAATAGTCGATGGACGTCATTCGCCAAAGCCTCTGCCATTTCACTGCCTCCTACATTTGCGATCGCGTGGAGAGCCAGGCAATTGTCGACCTCGTTGTTCGAATCCAGGTCCTTTCGTATTGAATTGACCACCAGTCGAAGGAAGTCGGAGTTCTCGTGCATCAGAAGAGTCATTGCAAGGTATCCCTGCGCGAACGAAAGATGTGAGATTGTGACGGAGATTGCAGAACTTTGCACACCCACTATCTGTTTCTCGCTATACTTCGAGCTGGATATGAGATTGACGGCCTCCATGTGACCGACATCAACCTTGTAGCCTAAGATGTAGGTGAAGATGATCTTTGCGACGTATCTGCAACATGGTAAGTAGGCAGAAGTTGCTTCTCGAGGAGAAAGGAGAGTTACTTCTTCTTCTGATATCCGTCCAGATTGCCATCTGGTTCGAGTCAGAAATCGTGGAATTCGCTCGAAGGACAGAGTCGAGTACCTTTAAACTTCTTCCGTATATTGGCCATTTCCTTGTTGATCCTCTTCTCCTCGAGTTCTCTCACCCTGGCCCCTCGAATGTCCGCAATGAACTGAGGGTCGTCAGTACGTTCTCCTAGACCCACATGCTGCTAGCCAATCACCTGCGTCAAACCTCGCATACTCGTCGCCATCTTGACTAAAATTAGAGGTGTATACAGTATAAAAGGTTAAGGTGCGTTGCAGTAGAGTTATAGCCAGGTGGTTGGCTGTTGGTGGTCACCAGTTGGCGGGTTAAGCAGGCCCAGTGATGGGTCGATTGCACCCATATGTCGCTGCCTTGGCATCAGCTTTGTCACGTGATACTCTGGCGCTAAAGTCGACCGATGGACAAGACCTTGCTTGTTTCCGGCAAGTCGTTCTCCATATGCGTACACACTGACGTTCATGTGGCCTCGTCCAACGATCAATTGCGTTGGAATCAACATAGGAAAGTTGTTATATAACCTTGAAGCTTGAAGGCTGCCTCTACAAATCAACGCTCGCGGGCGCGAGGGAAATCACTACTAATAAAAAACCTAGAATACAGGAATGGGCTCTTGCACAATTTCAAACTTGGCAAGAAAATTGGGCACGGCATCAAATGCACAAGCCGAGGAGTTCCACCCCTGACCTACATGCTGTCGTTGATGCCTGGCCGATCAAGGCCTGGAGGAGGGGCTGTAGTCCGTTTATGAGCGCATCGGTTAGATTTTCGACGGCATTGAGGACATCGTCGAGAAGGCACTTGAGCTCATACACGACTGGATAATCTCGAGCGGTCAGTATTGACACCGGGCAGAAGAGTAAGGCCTGGGGCTTACTAGGTCCAAGCACCGGGCCTAGGATGGGCAGATTGTAGACGAGGGCATCCACTGCGTTTAGTGTCTCTTTGTTGAAATTGACGACGTTCTTGAGCAGCGTTTCTAGATCGTTGGTACGATCATAATTGAGCAAGCCTTTCTCCGCCCCGAGTTGGTCCAAGATGGTCTTTATTCCCAGAAGGCTGGAGTCGAACGCAGTAAGCTCGGCTACCGCTCCTTGTTGGAAAGCGAAATCTGCCTCTTGTAGATACGCCGACTGCGCGGCATAGGATTCTAAGGGGTCGTTGGTGAGCTAACGGACGGTAAGGGCGGGGATGCACTGACTGAGGTTATTTGAATGATCTCGCGCTTTGGAGTAGTATCCGTGCAAGTCCGACAGGGCGTTTAGACTGCGCTCTTCCATGTTGTAGACAGAACGCCTTTGATGCGAAGGTGTGTCGCGGAAGTGGTGGCTCGAGTTGGCGTTCTCGCCTAAATCAGAAACAGAGCTGGTCAAGTTCATCGAGTTCAGAGCTTGATTGGGTGACATAAATCGGCTAGAAAAGTCGGGCGCCATCAAGGCGAGCGGCATTGGAAGGGGTACGGGCGTGGCGAGGGTGGCCAAAGGGTAGACCAAAGCCAAGAGTACGACGGGTAGGAGTACGAGCATAGTGAATAGAAACGAATGGATGTCCACGTAGATCGCGGGGGTATCTGAAGGAGTGAGAGACTGGGACAATTATCGCACAGCGAGCGAGTCGACAGAAGTTTGGGGAAGAAACAAATACTGCCCGGGCGTGGTCAATCGGGCGTGCCTTTTATTTGCTCGTTCTTGCCTCTTGCTTGTTCCTATTTACAGTTCTGTCAGAGTCGCGATCGACGCAACCGCGTATCCGACCGATCCTTTGATGCTGCTCAGGTCGGCCGAGATGTCATAATACGACAATAACATTAGCAACAGTATCAACGCTAGAGATGTCCGTACACAACAACGAGAAGCGCAACACACAGGCCGAACTAATAAAGTCCTGCTGTCAGAATCACACAGCCAGAGTTCGACAGTAGCGGCGGGAATGTCCGGGATAGAAGGCCAATAGTCCAAAAGCATTACATACCGGCAAACAAAAGAAAAGGGTATCAAGCTCAAGGTCAAAAAGTCAAAAAGGTTGTAGGGCCCCCGAGAGGAGTATACTCATTAAGCAGTGGGTTGGCAGGACATTCCGCCGTCGGCCAGCTCGAAGCCTGAAGCGCAGGTGTACACTGAGATAAAGTCAACACACTTGCGCAGAACGGTAGACGATATTGATCAATCACCTTTACACACTCCTTGCTCACAGCCTACATTCCAGGCACCCTGGATGGCTGTACAATCTTGACCAGTTCCGTTCGAGGCACACCCGCCGCACGATTCCAATTCGACGAGAGTGTCAAGGCACTCATAATCTTCGGCGCCTGAACCTCCGATCGGACATGCTTGCAAGCCTCGCGGGCAGAGGGATTCTCGCAGAGGGACGTTTCGCTTAGGATAGTGAGGGTGCGACCATGATTTGGACGGTGTAGGCTTGGGAGGCTCTGGCTTAGGCGGCGTAGGTTTGGGAGGCTGAGGCTTTGGAGAGGTCGGTTTGGGTGGTTGAGGCTTTGGAGGGGTAGGTTTGGGTGGTTGAGGCTTTGGAGGGGTAGGTTTGGGTGGTTGAGGCTTTGGAGGGGTAGGTTTGGGTGGTTGAGGCTTTGGAGGGGTAGGTTTGGGAGGCTGAGGCTTCGGTGGCTCCGGCTTAGGCGGGGTAGGCTTTGGGGGCTGAGGTTTGGGAGGCTCCGGCTTGGGTGGGGTAGGCTTTGGGGGCTGAGGTTTGGGAGGCTCCGGCTTAGGCAAGGTGGGTTTGGGAGGCTCCGGCTTGGGAGGAGTAGGCAAGCATCTCTTTACAACAGGATTCCATTCCCAATCTTTCTTGCACTCGGGCTTCGAAGGTTTATTAGGTGGGTTGTGCCTAGGCACGCAGCATTTCAGCTTTTCACCCCAGTAGTACCCCGTAGCCGGACACTCGACACCGGCAGGTGGGCGAGGGACTACCGAAGGACCTCCGTTCGGAAGGCAAGCGCCCACGTCTCCCCACCTATAATCAAATCAGACGGATGTACTCATGATCGAACGGGAATTCAGTACTCGTACCAAAACTCATTCTTCTTGCAGTTGTTGGTACCGGTTGGCGAAGCAGTGACCAATGGGCTCGTCGCGACTAAAGCGATAGCGAAGGCAGCGAACCAATGGGGCGTCGACCGCATGTTGGCTTGACACGAAAGTAAGGAGTGACCTAAAAGGAAGGACTACGCGGGAGGCGTCAAAGGAAGGCGAGGCTCAAAAGGGTAGAAAGGAATACCGGTCTGAGCTTTCTCACTGGAGATTCTTGAAATTTATAGCAAAGTCCTAGGCACGCACCGGGATGTCAGAACTCTCGTTTTGATGGTCATCTGCCGTACTATATCAGACACACGCAATCTTCAAAAATAGACAACCCACTTGACAACACTGTTCCAGGACGATTGGAATTTGGGCCGGGCCAAAACCCGCCCGAAGCTTTAGCACCATATCATGTTGGAGGGCGTGATGATTCGACAGCGAACTATTCTCATCCCTCGGTCAATGTGAAAGCTCGATGAGGATGGAGGAAGGCTGGGAATTAAGAGGAGAAGAGGTCTTATTGATTAGTGTATAGCGCGCGAGTAGAGCGATCTTTGTCACCAAAGTCGCGGACAAACTGTGTGATAAATTTCATGCTTGGAAACTCCGAGTGTCATTGCCAAGTTCTCGTGTCATGGACCGGATGATGATCAGTCAATTAGATTCAGCCGTTAGACAAGCATCAAGGTCGCGCCTGATGCGGCGTTGAAATGACCTTGGTACCCTTCCGATGCTGGTTTAAACCGCTGTTGACGAGAACAAAGAAATCACTCTATTCTGCGGGTAACGCTGTAATTATTACACAAATATACCTGGTCACCTATTTAGCACATGCTTCACGATGAAGAGTCGCGACGAACCTCCAAGGGGACACTATGATTATATCTCACGATTTCAAGCCGAAGTTGTAGCTGCCTTTTGAAGCCCGCGCGTCGCAAAGTACCGAACATCAGCGTCCGTATCACCCTTCTGGCGTTCCAATGCAGGAACGATCCATTCCGCTACAAACTTGCGGCCCTCCGGGGTGTTTCCATGGGAAGTGGCGATGACCTCCAGAGCCTTCGCAACATTGAACCGTATATTAGGGATGGGATCTTTGGAGAGCTCAAGGAGGGGTCCGATCACGTCAGACTGGATGATGTCGAGGGTTAATGAGGGTGAAATGGTCTGGAGGTGAAGATGAGTACAGGGCTTTCCGCAGATAGACCTCTCCACGCACCGTGATCGCCTGAACTGTGGTCATTCGGAAAAGGTAATTGGTATGTGAGCCCATGCCCATGACCTTGGGAACGATGGAAGTCTTTGCCCACTCAACGCCGAATACATCAGTCAACTTCTTGAGGTTGACAGTTGCAGACTCTCGAATACTGTACACAGTATCGCCGAGCCATGACATGCACAGGTTACCCAACTGTTCATCAAAGAAGGGCTTGCCCAGTTGATTGGCAAGGAGAGGGATGTATTCGATGATTGCTTGTCGGACACGCCACGACTTGTCTTCCGCAAGCTCAACGATTGCAGGGAGAAGGCTCTCGGAAAGGAGCTCGATACCAATGACTGGATGGAACGTCAAACCGCGCTCCTGTTCAAGGTGGCGAGTACCTACCGTTGTTGACAGTCTCAAGCTTGCTGATGATATTCAAGCGGACTTCGGGGAAGTCGTCCTTGAGCAGGTGCAGAAACAGAGGGAGAAGGTGCTCGATCGTTGCCTCTCGTCCAAGGAGGGGGGCAACGCCGCTAATCTCCTTGGCCAAAGCTGCTCTGACATGCTGAGATGCGTCCTGTGACATGTCCCTGACACAAGGTATGATTCTTGCGAGGATGACTTCTTTCTCAAGAAAGCTGGAGAATCCTGATCCTTTTCAGTTCGACTTGTTCGATTAAGCTCATATACCCACTCACCTGGAATTTGTGTTGCAGCGGCCGTGCGAACCTCTGCTTCGTTGTCTTTTAGCAGATTGACATAAAGGGCCACCAATTCTTCGCGAGTGACTTCGGCACCCACAGCACTGGCCAACTACAAGCTGGTGAACATATGGGGAGGCAAGAAGAGAAAGCAGGACTTGCATCGTTGAAGTGTGTTGCGGCCATGTAGCGCACACGCCAGCTCTTATCCCCGACGCTTTGCTTGATTTGTTTCAGCAGGTGTTCCTTGACCTCTGCAGGGGTGATTCTCTTTGCGATGGCAATCAAGCCTTCAATGGTCAAAAGTCGGACGGAGTCTTGGTCGTCAGATTGGAGCCTACGATAAATCGGCAGGCCATCGGACAGGACGTGTTGTTGGGAGAAATGGGCGACGAGAGGCTAGTAATGTTGAGAACGACGTCAAGTGTAAAAGCAGCACCAACTTACTCCTAACCACTTGGCAGAGGCACGTCGGACCATGGGGGTGTCATCGGAACCCAGAGCAAGGAATCCCTTTCGAAGGTCGTCTTGGATAGTGGAAGAAACTTTGGGATAGACAGCAGCATAGAGAGCCGCAGATGATGTTCGCGATGTGAACCATTCACCCTGCGAAAGCCTCTTCACCAGTGGGATATAGTAGTCTTCGATTTGTTTTTGTGAAAGGACGGCAGCCACTTTGGTAATCGATTCGGCGGCCTTGGAAAAGCGTTGATTGAGGGACGCTTTATGGAACTTGGCTTAGGACTCACTTTATCGCGCACGAGCGTTTCCTCCACAGCCGATAAATTCTCCAGGGGACCAAGAAGAATATGGGCGTATTCACTTCCGCCAATGTATTCTTCAAAGTTTCGCCCGAGCTCCTCAGCCAGCGCGAGCAAGACCTCATCCTCGTCATCAACCGAGTCTTGAAGGAAAGGGATTAGTTCATCTCGAGCACGATCGGGACCGAGCGCCAATGCGATGGTTGGAATGCTATGGATTGCGTTGAGCCTCAACTGCACGTCTTCTGAGCGCAGTTCATCCATGAGGATGGCGATCGGGGCAATCTTTTGGAGGCATTAGCATTGGAATCGGTGCAGAAAAGATAGCGCATCTGCACGAACGTCTTCGACTGGATAACCAGGTTCCATGGTAATTGACGGCACAAACTGATATCGATGCCTGTGTTATTGGAATACTTGAGACCTGTGCGACGACGACTAGGTAATAATTGAAAAGTGGAAGACGAAGTTGGCTGTGGTTAAACGCGTGATGAGGAGAGAGCGAACCTCTCGAATGGCCAGCTGCACCCATCAGGCACGTGTCCCACGACCATTCTCTGTTATTATTAACATCACCACCATGTCAACCCCACTGTCCTTGCATACTCTTTACTCTCTCTGCTCCAGCCATCATGCCAGTTCATCAGCTTCCCGGTAAAATCATTCTCCAGCATCCAGAGGTTGGCCGTTTTCTTTAAAACAGTCCCTCGCCCGGTATTGATCAGGCCCTGATAGGGTCCCTCCCTCGAAATCCTACTCTACGGGGCCACCATTGTGTCATGGAAATCGCCCAGTGTCGAGAACAAAGAACTCAAAGAGAGACTGTTTCTCTCATCCAAGGCGATCCTCGATGGCACCAAAGCGATTCGAGGCGGCATCCCTATTGTCTTCCCCTGTTTTGGCGCACCCCAGCATCCTGAACACCTGAAGCTGGCCCAGCACGGATTTGCTAGGACATCCCTGTGGACTTTCAGAAAAATTCTTTTGGATAATGAAGCTGGTGTCTCCGTCCAACTGAGTTAGTCCTGCCAGTACAGGTCATGCACGAACGATTAGTTGATATTCTTCGTTAGCTCTCGACCCCACTCCAGAGATCGCTGCAGTGTATGACAGGCCCTTCCAACTCACCTATGTCGTCACTCTGGCACAACACCAGCTTTCTACTGACCTCCATGTGGCCAACCCCTCGGAGAGTGCCACGCTCCAATTCCAATCTCTCCTCCATACCTACATCGCCGCACCTGCCCAAGAGCTCACCATCACGCCGTTGCAGAATGTGAAATACTATGACAAAATGGAATCTATCACAGAGGCACAGCAAACCGCGAAGGTGGAGACGAGGGCCAAAGTAGATGTCCGTCGTCCAACAGATTCCGTCTACGAGGATGCCCCTCTGGACTACACCGTGTCTTGGCCTGGCGGCACCGTCAACATCCGGGCGAGAGAATTCAAAGACGTTGTCGTCTGGAACCCGGGTGAGGGAGGGAAGAAGATTGCAGACATGGAAGATGGCGGATGGTCAGTACTTTCCCCCTTCTCTATGCAATCCAATTTCATTTTTAACGCTTTAACAGGAACAACTATGTCTGTGTCGAGCCCGGCTATGTTAGAGGCTATGTTAACCTCGCCCCTGGCCAAACATGGATCGGACAGCAGGTTATTACCATAAAGGCATGACTACAGGGCAGAGGTACTCTAGCCATGTTATGATAAGAACGAAGAAACAAAGTGTACAATATTCCAATGTAAATTTCAGGTCTGCGTATGAATGGCGCGGAAGCAACCATGAGATGGGAAATCAATTTCGGCCACGCTTGGCCTCAAACCACCATGTCCACGACACATGAATCCGGCTATTCGCCCCCATTTCGAGTTTCTCTCGACCAAATTGACTACACTGTTGGCCCTTCAGGCCCGTTGGACAACGTCAATATGCCTGTGGTCCCAATACTCAGAGTATATGGTAATTCATCAACGGGGTCTAAGACATGCGTGCACATCCACCAAGTTTATCCTTACTTTTTCATTGACTATGTCGGTTCTGTTCGGCCTAAAGAAGGTAAGCAATGTACCTACAGAGGGATTTACTTCTCGCTGACAATATCCCAGTCAAACGTTACATCCATAAACTTGTCAAGTCGCTCAATCATGCAATAGCATTATCCCTCAAACGCAACCCAGAGTCCCCGAAATCCCAGTACATTCGCGCCGCAATCCTTGTCAAAGGAGTTCCCTTCTATGGCTTCCATTCTTCCTACTCACCATACCTCAAGATTTATGTTGCCGACCCAGCATTGGTCAATCGAGCAGTCACCATCCTACGATCTGGAATCGTCATGAAGGCGCGTTTCCGCATCTACGAAAGCCACCTCAGTTTCCCCCTTCAATTCATGTGTGACTTTGGGCTATATGGCTGTGGATTCTTGGACATGGAAGGCGGCTGGGAGCGCTGCAATGACGAGACGGACGACGTCCATTCACCCTTGTTCCAGCGTTCGCCGCACTTTCGTCAGTCCACGCTACCTCTGGAAATCGATGTCATCGCTCCTCAAATACTCAATAGACATGCCTTGACTCCGAGGCCTGTACCTTTCACCGGTGGAGACTCGTCATCGCCAGCTCCGCCAGACGAAAGACTCGTCCTCAGCGTGAAGGAGCTATGGGAGGACGAGAGCAAACGGCGGCGGGCTATGGGCCTGAATCCGTCCCCAGAAATACCTGTGGAGCTCAGCGACAAGTCTAGAGGGGCAGGAGGGGACTGGGTTGCTGAAGCCAGGTATTGGGAAGCAATCCGTAAGAGAATCGAATCGGAGGCCACCGTTGACTTTTCGAAAATGGAACGTCATCTGTGGGAATACAGGGTCATGACGACGTTTGAGAGTATAGAAGCGCTTTGGGAAGACCAATGGAAGACGTGGAAACCATCGAATCCACCAGAGGGCCAGCAAGGTGAACAAGAACAAGGGAATCTGGACCACCAACATGCGGGAGACGGTCAGGACACGGTGGAAATTGACATGGAGATGTTGTCATCGCAAACTTTCGAGCTACCAGAAGAACAAGTTGACGCAGAAGAGCCGGTGGAAGACCAGGGGCAGGAAGACCTGTGCGACGTGGAAGACGAAGAACCAGAGCATGGGGATGAAGAGGAGGAGGAGGTTCAGTCGGACAATGAGATAGGGCAACGAGATATAGCAGAGTGTGTGGCACATACTCTCATAGTTTTTAACGGCTAGTCTCATCAGTGCTGTTAGTGTGGAAAATCCTTTCAAACAGGATGAATCGTCCTCAGCGTTGCAGCCTGAACGAAACAGTGAATATCGATTGAAAACGTACGCTAGACCCTCATTCATAGCTTGGAATGAACTGACGTACCTGGCCAGCCCTCCCCTTCTTTCCCAAGTTTCCGGACCACAGTCGAAAGGAACATCGCCCACACCTGGACAGTAAGTCCCATAGTCGTTCTATTTTTAGGCCCTGTCGTTGACCTGAACCAGTCGAATATCCTCCATGCTCACATCTGACATTGAGTGCGGTTCTTCTTCTCAGTATGCAGTATTTGGACTAACGTCTGTGTGCTAGGTCTGATTTCGAGGAATCAAAGCTTCAGGGTCAATCAGATCCAGGATCCCCAGTCGAAGGGCACCGTCGCAAGAGGAGAGGCATTAGATTCGAAGAGGACGTCCCAGATTCGAGCCCTAGAAAACGACAGAAAGTAATGTTCTCTGAGCCAGGAGAAACTGCTGAAGTGCCTTCTTCCACGGCAACGATGCCCAAGCGAGGACCGTCTATCATCCCACTCCGCACTGTGCACCTTTCACGAGCCTATCATACTTGCGCCGCCAGCAATTTAAACCGCTATCAATATTCGATATCTCCGCCAACTCATCAGGAACTAAATGCGACAATGGAGAGCTATGGAGTTGCTCAGCGATTGTACCGTGTTCCGTACTACTCAAACCCGGACGACGTACCAGACAAGCCGAAGGAGTACGGCGGACTCATCTTCCATCTCAAGGGCGACACCCTGGACGCGCTAGAAGATTGGGCTGCGCCAAACCTTGATGATGCCACCGTCCTTCCATACTTTCAATTCGATTCGGATGGAATCGCGGGCTGGGAATATGCCAGCCATCCTCCAACTATGAGAGAAACCAAGAAGTGGCTTCAGCGAGAAAATAGAAAGGATTTAAAAAATCGACCCAAGAAGTTGCAATCCCAGGTCTGCTCTCTTTTGCCTGGCCTAGTTCTTAACTGACATCCGGCAACCCTAGATAGAAGGGCCTACTCAGGCTAATATATACGGCTTCGATGAATCCCCGGCTAGAGACACGCACGGTCTCCGTGGAACCTCCAATTTCACCATCCTCTCCCTTGAAGTATTCGGTAGGGCATGCTTTGCACTGCACCGACGTTGTCTCTAATTGCAATCATAGCCCCGACGGGAGACGGGGGTCTTCCTGACCCAGAGAAAAATGAAATTGCTGCTGTTTTCTATGCTCTCCAGACTGCCGGGGAAACATCGATCCAGGCTGCAATAATGGCAGTCAACGCTCCTCCCTCCGACCCTAGAAGACTGCGCGAGCGCTCTATCGAGTACGCACACAGTGAGATAGATCTCATCAACAACATAGTTGATGCAGTCGTGGACTTGGACCCGGACATTATCACAGGATGGGAAATACAGAAGGGTTCGTGGGGCTATCTGGCGGCTAGAGCAAAGCACATAGGAAAGTACCGTTTAGCTACCTCGACCTCCACCTTGTTCTTACCTACTGTAACTAGGCCTGGACCTCAGTGAATTGATTGGCAGAGCCCCACATCGCTATGCTGGTCGCTCGAACGATCAGTGGGGATTCCGCAAGACGTCAACTTTCCAAGCCGTTGGACGTCACGTTTTCAATACATGGAGGATCATGAGGTCAGAACAGACCCTGACCATGTACAGTTTTGAGAATGTAGTCTTTCACGTCTTGCGGAGGCGGTAAGTTATCCCTGTTGACCATATTTGAGACTTGATAACACGGCCTTTTGCTAGGTTTCCGAAGTATAGCCAGGAAACACTGTCAAGGTGGTATAGGAGCTCAGTGCCCGCTCACACCTTCCGTGTCTTTGATTATCTACAGAAAAAGTCTTGCATGGTGCTGGAGATCTTGGAGGAAACGGAAGTAGTGACCAAGACGGCGTGCGTCAGACCCTGGACTCCAGGATAGTCTTTGACTAACTTTGCGCTACAGTGAATTCGCTCGTGTGTTCGGAATCGATTTCTTCTCAGTTATCAGTCGGGGATCTCAATTCAAGGTTGAATCGTTTATGCTTCGGATTGCAAAACCCGAAAGTTTTGTCCTGATCTCTCCAAGCAAGGCCGACGTAAGCTGAACCTGCAGATTCCCTGGCGCCCCTACTAACAATGCGTAGGTTGGAAAACAAAATGCTGCAGAATGCATGCCCCTGATCATGGAGCCGAATTCAGCTTTCTATACGAGCCCTATGATTGTCTTGGATTTCCAATCGCTCTACCCGTCGGTTATGATTGCATACAATTATTGTTACTCGACTTGTCTCGGTCGTGTGCACCATTTCCAAGGGACGTGGAAGTTTGGAGTCGACAAGTTGAATCTTCCAGAAGGTTTACTCGGCTACCTGAAAGACGATATTACAGGTTCGATGTCCTTTACTGTTTGCCTTCACAGTTACTAATTATCTGGAATCCAGTGGCTCCCAATGGGATCATGTATGTTAAGAGCAAAGTCCGTCAAGGTTTACTCGGTCGCATGTTGACCGAGCTATTGGATACTCGGGTGATGGTGAAGCAAGCAATGAAGGGTGTTAAGAACGATAAGGTGCGGTGCCATTCATATCCTTCTCATTTCCGTCACTAACGTATCACATAAGGCTCTGAAACGAGTGCTAGACGCTCGCCAGCTAGCCCTCAAATTCATCGCCAATGTCACCTACGGCTATACAAGTGCAACGTTTTCCGGAAGAATGCCGGCCGTAGAAATTGCGGATAGCATCGTCCAAACAGGACGGGAAACTTTGGAGAAGGTGAAGCCTGGGCGATTAGAAGTTTCCTCGAAGACTTATGATCCTGGTTACGATTTACAGGCAATTATGTTGGTGAATAACACCAAGAAATGGAATGCACAGGTTTGTTAGAATCACAATTTCCATCCGCGACCGATTGACCATCGAACTTTGAAGGTCGTCTACGGGGACACGGATAGCATGTTCATGTTCGCATATCCGACTCGGCTGCCAAGATACCAATGGAACTGATTTTCAATCCAACAGCTATCTGCGTGGAAGAACAAAGGAAGAGGCGTTTAGAATAGGCCATGATATAGCGGATACCGTGACGGCCATGAACCCGGTCCCGATCAAGCTCAAGTTTGAAAAGGTATGTCGTCCTCGATTGTCAATTCCGAATTCTGTTAGCTGAATTGGCTTAAAAAGGTCTACTTGCCCTGTGTCTTGATGGCTAAGAAGCGCTACGTCGGATTCAAGTATGAAAGCATCGATGCATCAGAACCCGGCTTCGACGCGAAAGGTATAGAAACTGTACGGAGAGATGGGGTTCTAGCTCAAAGGAAAATGACGGAGAAAGCGCTCAAGCTACTGTTTCGAACGCAAGATCTGAGCCAGGTCAAAGACTACTGCCAACGCTCTTGGACGAAGCTTCTAGACAACAAGGCCAGTCCCCAGGACTTCGTCTTTGCGAAGGAAGTGAGGATGGGAACGTACAGGTTCGCCGCTTCTCGTCTCTGGATTTCGCCCCTATGTTGATCGTATTTAGTGACAATGGTGTACCCCCTCCTGGAGTCATGGTAGCCGCCCGGAAGATGCTGCAGGACCCGAACTATGAACCGCAGTACGCGGAAAGAATTCCATATGTGATTGCCAAAGGAGAGCGCGGTGTGCGCCTCGTAGATAGGGCTATGGACCCTACCGACTTTCTGGCGGACAAGTAGGCAAGTTCAACTCCTCCTCGCGAACGACTCTCACCCCTCTTCAGGACATTAGAGCTGGATGCAGAGTATTACATCGAGCGAGTGCTGATTCCACCTCTCGAGAGAATCTTTAACTTGGTAGGGGCTGACGTGAAACAATGGTACCAGGAACTGCCCAGGGCGGTACCTGCAGATAACGCTTCTCCGAAAAAGATTCGCGCCTCCATGAGCCCCGAAAAGCAGGAGACGGAAGCGTTCAATCCAATGGAATGTTTAGTCTGCGGAGAGCCTTCCAACGGAGGTGCGTTCATAGTCATCAAACACAGATTTTTTACTGACCGCGAGACCCAGATCTGTGCTACGAGTGCCACTATATTAACAGAGAGGAGACAATTGCCAACCTCGGGGCACTCATTCGACGATCGGAAAGGCGACTTGTCACTGCGCAATTGGTTTGCGCGTCGTGCACCGGCTCGGCCACAACAGAGTTAATTGAGTGCGAATCGTTGGACTGCCCGTGGTTCTACGACAGAGAAAAGCAAGACGAGGACCTGGCATTGAACCCTATATATGATGCTTTGATCAAGGACATAGAGCTGGGCGAGGATCCGGAGGTCGAGGCAGAGGAATATTGATTGCCCTCGAGTTCATAATATGTATAATTTAGACGTTCTGGTATGCACCAGGTGGGGCCGGAGCGGGGTTTGCGGGAGCAGGTTGAGGCATCGGTGGGTTCGTGGGTATCGATTGATGTGCAGGGCGAACGAAGGCGTCGTCATCGACAGGCTGATATCCGTCTCGACTGTTGGAAGTGAATCCACCAGGCATGGCCCAAACTAACGTCGCGGTCTCAGTCGTCACATTGATGAAGGGCTGAAAGAAGTAGGCTTACGTGTTGCACCCTGGATGTTGGCGCCTCCCATGCCCAAGCTCAGCTCACTTCCTCGTTGACGCAAAGCAGCCGTGAACGCCAGGAATGTAGGAACCTTCAACAGAGATAGTGAGCGCCAGAAGGTTGGTCAAGAGACCTGTACAGACCTTGAGGAGGAGCAAGAAGACGGTGAGGATCGATGTCCAGAAAGTATGTTGTATGGTGAAAAAGGAGATCACGTCGAAGAGTATGGATGCAGCCAATAATCCGGTGAACTGAGAGCGGGGTCAACGTTGTTGTTTCAGGGAATGGGAGGTATACACACTGTTTGCAACGATTGAACTGCATCGTTCTGTTCTTGAATGTATGTCCCAAAGAGGAACAGGGGAAAGTTGTAGGATAGGGCTGGGGTGGTGCTCAATAGGAACGACAAGGCCTGTTTCAAAGTGCCTTAGTACATGATCAGATAATGCTGCCTCTTTACTTACCGTTCCATAGAGAGTCAGTTTGGAAGAATCGAGAGACTGGATAAAGTCCATAGTTTCGACGGTGAGTGTTCGAACACAAGCGTCACTGCAACAGCCCAGTCTTGGCGGCGGCCAGCCGCGGACACCGGGCCGTATCCGGAAGTGTTGCACCTAAATGGGGATGGCTTCCCGCGCTTCTCGATTTTGGATCTCGAGCCGCATCCACATCGACATGTCTCCTGTATTCGACACCGACTACCCTGCAGACTCGGTTGAGTTCTGCCCAAATCCAGGATTCTCAAATATTTTCGTCTGCGGCACTTATAAACTCGTTGAAAGTCCGAAACCACCAGCCCCAGGCCTTCCAACCCCAAAGGCATATAGGAAAGGACAATGTCTGGTATTCCGATTGAATGAGTCTGATGACCTGTCCTTGTGAGTCTAAGAAATAGACATTTATGGCTACTAGGCTCATTGAAAACAGTGATCATGTACAAACACTGGATTATCCAGCGATTCCCGACCTAAAGTGGTACGCCCTCTTCCAACCTCAAGCAATTCTGCTCTCTTCCTCAGAACTAGTCGAGGTGTCACGGAAGAACCTTTCCACGACCTACATTGGCTATCGCGGACTCTGAGGGATCGGTATCTCTGTGTCAATGGGATCACGATACTGGGGCAATGATACCAATCAACTCGATTCAATGCGCTGATATCGACACCTTATGCCTATCCTTGGACTGGAATAACCGACTCGTGGATGCAAAGTAAGGCATTGGCCTCGTAATAGGGCTTCGGGATCATTAAAAATTACTCCCCACATCCAGGCCTCTTTCTCTTGCAGTATCTTTGTCCAATGGAGAACTGGCCTACCTTCAAGTAGACAGCACCGGTGACCTGAGAGTTATTGGGACTTGGCACAGTCATGACTACGAACCATGGGTTACAAGTTGGAACTATCATGACCCCAACATGCTGTTTTCTGGTACGTTCGCGATAGTATATAACCCACAGCACCAACGCTTAGATTCCTTCACAGGTGGCGACGATCTTACACTAAAGCTCTGGGATATCCGTAATGGGTTCGAACGCCCTGTGATGGTCAACAGAAAATTTGAAGCCGGCGTAACCTGTATCCAGAGCCATCTCGTTGATTCGGATCTAGTTGCAGTTGGAAGGTGAAAATTTACCCTGGTCCTTTTGTCAGGTCTTCAACTGAAAGACTCTGCAGTTATGATGAAAAGGTCCGATTCTTTGATACTCGAAACTTGCTCAGACCCCTTGACGAACTGGGTGTCGGTGGCGGGGCATGGAGAATTAAATGGCACCCATCCGCTTCCCGTCAAAACGAACTTCTCATCGCCTGCATGCACGATGGGTTCAAAGTGGGACGGTACTCGAAGGATACTCCATCCTCCATCCTGAGCGAGTTCAGAGAACATGAATCGTTAGCTTACGGGGCGGATTGGTCTTTCTCTGAAGGAGGAGAGAAGACGCCAATAGCTACATGCTCTTTTTACGATCATAAACTACACGTCTGGTCGGCCTGACATGGTCTAAATGGATGGTGATGACAAGTTGTAGCAAGTGTTGGGTATCTCAGGAGTTACCGCAGTACATTGGTATCGTGGCGGCTATATGCCACGTTCCGCGGTGGTATCTCCTTTTCCAGATTCTCTACCATTCAACACAAAGTCCAACGCCCATCGGGACAACCCTCGAAGCGAATCAGGCCTCTTGGATCCAGCCTGGAGCAAAACAGACATAGACGCGACGAAAGCGAAACTGGTTGCAACAATCAGCATTTTGAAAGGGTTGGCAAAAAAAAAAAGGAGTACCATACCTCTCAGCTAGTCTTGCAAAGGGAAGTGATTTCTTAGACAGATTCTGAGGCAGGCAAGTTCGAAGAGCGCGGGGAAGGACGTAAAGTGCCATCTCTCCGCGCCTTCGTCCATTCTCGACCCAGATGCTAGTTCCACAGGCAAGAGAACCTGCAAAAAGGCAGCCATAAGGCCCATCCCAGAACTGATGAGAGATGAAAGGGAGGAGTTTGGCGAGAACCATGGTCCTCGTGAAGCAAACCGTGTAGAAATACAAGGCGAGGAACGTCGACAAGAAAGCCGAGCTTCTAAGCGCTGCTCCCGTGGTCTGCAGAACGCGGCTGAGCTGGAGGAGGCTTCCAGGCCTAGTGAGGAGGACTGGAATGAAATGAGCCTGGTATAAAAGGTTTAGTAAAATCTAATTCGACTTTCGACGGACATCTGGCAGAGCATACCGGGATGTAAATAGCCAAAGCTTGCATGAACCCCTTCGCCCCTCGCAACGCAGCATTAGCGTGGCAGCTACTTGCAAGGCCCATGCTCTTTCCAAACTCGGCGTGAACGAGTTCGCAAGGAATGCCTCCCACACCCGGTCTCGTCGTCACTCCGAGTGACTTCCACGCTTCATTCGCCGCCGCTCCACCGTACGCTGGAAGCAGAGCAGGGTCACCCCAGGAAGCCGGGTATCCTAGATCCTTGGCAAAGCCCTGAAGCATCTCTGAATGTTCTTTGGACCCGGAGATGTATGACCACTTTTTGGCGCGGATTAGGCGGAGGGCTTCAAAAAGCCTGTCATCCACGTTTGCAAGGGCCGTTATCCATTTGACGTAGGAGCCGGGTAATCTTAGGCCGTCGTGTTAGAATCCATTCGAGATTAGAATTAGTGGGGAACGCACCTATATGGCTCGTAAAAGTAGCACCACATGATTCTATGGGCAGTGTTGAGTGAAGGGCTCGGGAACACAGAGACCAAGACTGACCTCGAGCTACAGAGCCAGAATGCAAAAGCATCCACCTGCATTGAGAGTTGCCTTGCATGTTTGGAAATACGATTGGGTGACGATAACGCCTTCTGAGATGTTGATTCCAACGTCGCATCGCCAGGCTTGTCGGTCGGACGGGGATCTGTGCTGAAACGGTCGTGGATGAATCCCTGCACCTTGGCGTCCAGAGCTCGAACCACGAGGAACAACGTAAAATCTAACGTGGGGAACGAGTGTAAGCCAGTGACTTTCCTCCTACTTCGAGCCCGGTTCGCGATTTGTTGCCTCTCTCTACCTGACCGAAGGAGGAGGAATCCAACCAATGTCGCAAGAGCATTGGTAAGGAACAACATTTGGTTGGACGCCGTTTCCAAAGTTTTGAGCAAAGCTTTCAGGCGAGAATACGACTGCTGGCAATATGTTCGCTGACGGTTTTGCTCCGTGACGACCGCAGCATCATCCCTTTCTTCAGCATCGAGTGCCTTCTTCCACAACGTGCGCAGCACGGGTCCTCCAGCAACCGCAGTGGTGATTGCAAATGCGAAACCATCGTGTCGTAGTTCCCTCTTTAACACATCGAAGAACTTTGCAATGCTGATGACCTTTCGACCCCGAGAGAACAGCGGTTTGGTTACGAAGGGGATGAGAGCCGGTCCGAGGGTGAGGGTGAGTGCGAGGCCATAGGCGCGTAGTGCAATGCGTGTTGGGTGGTTGGGTTCGCTGGGTAGAACAGAACCCAAGGATTTCAGCCACCGTTTAGGGTTGTCGTGGTCAGTGTTGGGCATAGCATCTGTGGAAGAAAAGCGTCCTGTCGCTAGAGCTTAACCGTTTTAATCAAACGCGTTGACTGGTGGTGCGGACGCAAGAACCGTAGGCGCATGTGATAAAAATATCCCCTGTCGCGTCGCCTTACTCCTTTCGGTCTGTTCACCAACTGGTTCCTAAGAGTTGGATCGTCGTACACAGAATAATGTGCAGAGCAATCGAATCATGCATGAATGATAAATATGAAATACATGGTGCGATGCCGTAGTAGCTAGAATAATGTGCTAAATATGTAGCGTCCATAGCGCAAACCAATACCCAGAAATCAGAACCGATGCCAACCCATGGACTGTAGTTTGAAAGACAACGAACTTGAGATCTTGAGATGCGGAGCGTTTAAGTAGTGTCGAATTGTATGGACCTGAGGCCGGCCGGCGAGCCGGTGACGCGTACTCATAGCAAGAAAACAGGTGAATCCTCACTTTGTAGGGATTCCCTTCTTCTGCAATGTGTTCGCATAACTGTAGAAATCAAGTTCCGCAGTCTCGAGCGCTTTTCCAAATGGAATATCCAATTCTTGAAGGAGATCCGCTAGCGCCAACAGCTTTAGGAACTCTGCGCGAGAGTCTGGATAAATAAACGACCGCAGAATACGTTGCCCCTGGACGACGAGGTCAGCAATGACGATGAATGTGTTTTGAAGTGCAAACGCACATATTTCCGCAGGACTGGAATGAGATATTCTCTGGGGGCCAGCGCGACGCTATCTTTAGAGAACATTTCTAGAGCAGCCATTTCCGAAGGAAGAGGACCTTCATCCTCAGTCCATTGCTTTTCGCGCCGTTTGCCCTTGGCGTCTTCGACGGTGAATTGATCTTTATATTCTGGGTGGTAGTAGCCCAGCCACAGCCGCCACACTTCGAGTTTGCGGCCATCGCGACCAAAACGTTTCATAAATTGGTGGCAGCGTTCCCAATCTGCCTCTATGCTGTCACCCAACCAGACATCATCTGGATTCATGTCTTTCCAACGGCTTGAGACCGTAGTTGAGGCGGAGAGGACAGATGTTGGCAGCAATGAGGAGCCCACAGATTGCCGGTGTCGCGCTTTCTGGGAAGACGTTTGATGGGAGGAGGGCGTGCTGGAATGGTCGTGGTCGACATCGTGTCGATGAGGTTTACCACTGGATCTGACCATGAGGCGTATCCAGCGACGGCGCCGCACCCAACCTCCTGCACTAAATGCCCCCACTTCGGCCCGCCAATTGTGTTTGCGGAAAATCCAATTGTATTCGAAGCCGTCATGCTGGACTTCACCAGAATCGGAGCGCATGTCAATCATCCAGCATCTGGAGACCCAGCGCCAGTTTCCGTCAGGCAATGGATAGTTGTCGAGAGTGATAGGTGGTTGTTCTGAACGACGTTTGGACGCGTTTGGGAGGGTAAAGGGGGATGGGTCGATTGGGAGAAGTGACTGACTGGAGTAATAAGGAGTGGAGAAGATAGTGATGCTGATTGACTATCGTCATTAACACCCCTTCCAAGGCACAGGCACGGGATACTCACCCTCTTTGATTCTCGTAGACCACTGCCCATTCGTAGTGATCCCTGTCGCTCTCAGGAACTAGCGACAGTGAGCTGTTGAGATGGATCGAGTCGGTATCGTCGAATGCCTGTGCTGCTGGCTCGGATACGTCTTCTAAGTCTTTTGGAGAGTCTTGTGCTTCTTTCCTCAGGGACCTCTTTGAAGTACGGTCGCGTAGGCGGGAGAAAAGGCCGGGTTTAGGGGAGAAACGACGGCGGACAGGATCGACGACGTTGACATCGTCCAGCACGAGAGCATTGGGTTTTGGAACGTCGGAGTGAGCAAACTTTGAGAGGGTGACGGGTGAAACAACGACTGAAGAGGACATTTCTGTCCCTTAGCAAGTGACGGGCATTTTGGACTTGAGTGCTTGTCGTTTGACAAGCCTTTTCAAATGGCGGAGACAATTGCAGCACGTGAGTTTACGTCATTGCAAGTTGGGGAAGGGACGGGGCGCGGAGGCTATTCCCGTCCGACATTGACCATGTTCCGCGGTTGTACAGTCTGGGCCGTCGCTGGTCGTCCCCTCACACCGCGCCTCCTGCATCGCCCTTTGCCAAGACGCGTATACTTTCATTCTTCACCGCGGTCCCAACAGTCCAAATGCCCAGGCTGCGGTCAACCACTTCCTTCCCCTTTACCGGCATGTAGCAACTGCTGGAATGTCTTTGCCTTGCCAAAGGACATTACCCACCACGAGCTACTTGGTCTTCCATATGGTCCTAACCCATTCGTCGTTGACTTGCCTGCGTTGAAGCAACGATTCCGTGCAGCTCAGTCGGTCTGCCATCCAGACTCATGGGCATCCAAGAACCCCGTCCGTCCTTCTCTTCCTCATTTGGAGTTTGACTGAACAGTCGAAAGGAAAAACTAGACGTCGCTCAAGCTCTCTCGGCACGCGTAAATCATGCGTACCAAACCCTGCTAGAGCCCTTGTCCCGCATAGAATATATTTTGGAGCAACACCGCCTCCCATTGTCGGAAACAGAGAAGGTTCAGGATCCCGAATTCATGATGGAGATTATGGAGGCCCGTGAGGCCATCGATGAGGCTGAAGACAGAGCACAAGTTGAGGCCATTTTCGAAGAAAATACTGGTACGCTGTCGCAATTTTGTGACTAGGGCACAATTGACAACTTGGTTACAGGCCGTGTTGCAGAGACCATCAAGGAACTGGAAAAGCTCGTTGAAGAGGAGGATTGGCCGGCTGCTAAATTGGGTGCTATCAGGCTACGATACCTTCAAGGCATCCAGAGGGCAGCGAAGCGCTGGCTGGATAACCATTAGAGATCAGAGCTACTGTAGTATATGTTACGGTTCAATACAAATTCGCTAGAACTGAAATTTCTCGGCAATGGCCGAACATGACGCTGCGGTGTAAGCCATGTCACGGTGTCAAGGCTACTTGGACTATGTCTCCCGCACCAGCCCCCAGGGAGAGCAAAGCTCGTAAAGTACAACCAAAAGCCTAGTCTGAAAGCACAAAAGTAGGCCTCACCCATACAGTCACTGCCAATGTCTGACTGAATCTCCAGCATTTTGGTAGTCCGTTTTGAATGAAACGTGCCATCACTGGCTCACTCTGTCGCAGAGCCTATTTCTCCATGCAAAGCCCATCGGACAAGGCAGGACTATATCCTGGTCCACCAGTGAAGCGCTCTCTGTCTACCTCTCATCCGACAGGCTCACCGTTAGCCACGGCGGTCGCGACTTCCAAGGTCCCTAGGGTTGATGCTTCCGTCGTCCCGTCTCCGTTCTCTGCATCACGAAGGTCGATGGAAAAGAGAGCAACGGTAGACCATCGCCCTCACCCATCCGGTCGTGGAAGGGGTCACAGAAATGTACCTTCGTCACATCCACACTCCTCTCGTCTAGCTGGGCCGAGCAGTGGTCCACTTCCCCGTGCTTCAAAACGTTTGGGGTTCGGCAAGAAGCTTGAGCTGCCTGGACCATTCCATGATGAAGCGCATGTCACCGAACTGTACAACAAGTCGCCAATACCTATCAAGGAGAAACATACAGCAGCCCCAAAGGGCACACTGGCCAATTTTTGCTCGAACATTACCAAAGAAGCTCCAAAATATTCCTCGGAGAACGGTATAATCAACCGCGGAGGGCACATCTCGCTGATATGGAGGTAAGAGCATACGTTACCCAGAATCACGTATCCCGTTCTGACCTGGTATCCAAGGTCCACTGTGACAGTTCCAGGCGTCGATCCACTTATAACAGCGACCGGAGATGCAAGCGAGAAAAAGGAAGCTGAAAGGATTGCCGCACTTGGAGCCTTGTTTCAGTTACAGCATCGGGGCTTGGTGTGTAGATCCCTCGTTGACATTGAACATCATACTAACCTTGCACAGCTCGACCAGCCAAAGAAGTCATCAGCCGCAGCATTTAAACCCGAAATCACCCTCTCAGACGGTAGCGTTATCAACTATGAACGCGCTCGCAACTTTATGGATTACTACTGTCGCCGGTACAAATTCGGAAAGGTTGACCTTATCCAAACGCAAACCACGGGGGGCGGCCCTGAGCAATGGGAAACCATCATGGAAATCAACAAGAGTCGTATCGGCGTAGGAAAAGGTCCCAGCAAACAAGCTTCGAGGATTCAGTGTTACTTGGACGTGACACAGTATCTACAAAGCTGTGATCCCGGGCTCTGGAATGACTTTGTTGAAGCTGCGAAATCCGGTGCCGATTTGGGCATGGCACCCCGAGTACGAGTGAGCATCAGTAACCAGCTCGACGAGGCCATTCAAGATCTTTGCTATGACATTCGAACGAGTTCCTTGTTTCGCAAACGACCAGCCAAGATTGTACAACAACCTTCTGAAGCTAGTGCCGCCGCCATTCCGACTTCAGGCCCTGGACCAAACCTACGTCTGGAACCCAAGTCCAAACATCTGCTACACAAGCGCCAACAGTACCTCGTAGACCCAGCAATGGAAAAGATGAGGAACACTCGCCAGGCCCTGCCAGTCTACACCCGTTCCAAGGCGATCCTTGACCACATCAGCGACAACGAAGTCACAATATGCATGGCTGCAACTGGATCTGGCAAAACAACGCAGATTCCTCAATTAATCCTCGACGACCACATCGACCGTGGCATAGGCGCTGAATGCAACATCATTTGCACACAACCTCGGCGTTTGGCTGCTATATCCGTTGCCCATCGTGTCTCAGCCGAGCGAGGCGAAGAGTTGGGTGGTTCCATAGGCTACCAAGTGCGGTTCGAGCAGAAGCTTCCGGAGGAGCATGGGTCAGTAACCTTTTGCACCACCGGCGTGTTCCTCAAACGACTCCAATCTGTAATGTCGGGCACTGACCCGAGGAGGAGGAGGGAGATGGATCGCGTTACACACATCATAGTGGATGAAGTCCATGAACGGGATGTCGACACCGACCTGCTATTGGTGGTACTCAAGCGTATCATGGAGGATCGAAAAGCGCGAAACCTACCTCTCAAGATTGTCTTGATGAGCGCTACGGTGGACCCGACCCTCTTCCAAAGCTACTTCAAAGATGACTCAGGGAATCCCGCTCAGGTCATCGATGTGCCTGGCCGAGCGTACCCGGTCGAGAAACGGTTCATGGACGACTTCATCCCAAAGTTGATCTCGGGACCGTCAAGGTGGCTTGTTGGGCAGGAATCCGTATCCCGGTACATCTATAAGCAGCTTGGTGCCGAGGCGGCGCGAAACCTTGGAATCAACCCCGCCAATGTGCCCTCGGACAATGATGATCTCGAGCTTCCCTATCCTCTCATCGCAGCCACAATCGCCCATGCGCTTCAGTCTTCCGATGATGGCCATGTTCTTGTCTTCCTTCCAGGATGGGACGAGATCATGGCGACTCAAAGAGCCCTCCAGCAACCGCTAGGTCCTCTCCCGATCGACATCAACAACACGTCCAAATACTCTGTTCATCTTCTCCATTCCACCGTCCCGTTACAAGAACAACAAGTCATCTTCGAGCCTCCTCCGCCGGGTGTTCGAAGGGTCATCCTTGCCACCAACATTGCTGAAACCTCCGTCACCATCCCCGATGTTGTCTACGTAGTGGATTCAGCCAAGGTGAAAGAAACACGATACGAGCCGCAACGACATATGTCTGCCCTCGTTTCTGCATGGGTCGGCAACTCCAACTTGCATCAACGAGCTGGCCGTGCAGGCCGCCACCGCCCTGGGATTTACTACGGGATTCTGAGCAAGGCACAGGCAGCCTCGTTACGTCCCCACCAGACGGTCGAAATGAAGAGGTCGGATTTGAGCAATGTAGTGATGCACGTCAAAGCGCTCAACTTCCCTGGCATGTCGGTGCAAGAAGTTCTCGCAGCAACGATTGAGCCCCCTGAGGCAGAGCGTGTTGAGGCTGCCCTCAAGAATCTGCACATGGTCGGGGCCATCGATGCTGAACAGACCTTGACCCCACTCGGCAAGGTGCTGCTGGTATTGCCCGTCGATGCACAGATGGGCCGCCTAGTTCTCTATGGCGCTTTCTTCAAGTGCTTAGATCAAGCCCTAACACTTGCCGCGATCCTATCCAACCGCGACCCTTTTGTGTCACCTCTTCATTTGAAGAAGGAATCTACTGCCAAGAAGAATTCGTGGGCACCAGAAGGGTTCCGTTCAGACCCCTTGGCCACCCTGCGAGCATTCAATGCCTGGTGGGATCTGCAGTCCAAAGGGCAATATGTCGCTGCCAACCAGTTCTGTTTCGATAACTTCCTCGCCAAACCGACCTTGCTTCTCATCCAAAAGGTCAAGCAACAACTTCTGCAGGCGATGGACTACGCTGGTGTATTGGATGTTTCAGCAGGCGGACGAGCCAGGATGGTTGGTCGTTCGGTTCCACCAGAATTGAACATCAACGGGGAGTGTTGGCCTTTGCTGGCCGCTCTGGTTGCTGTTGCGTCGCAACCCAGGTTTGCTCTCCGGACCGGGGATGTGACTCTACGGACGGCGACAGACAGGGTATGTTTTTTTTTTCGCTCAGTTGATATATAATTGGCTTTGACTGAAGTACTTTCAGTTGGCTTTCATCCATCCGTCAAGCGTCAATAATCGGAGACGACAGGCCGCAAAGGAATCACCAGACGCCCCGCCAGAGGAAAAAGCCCTTTACGCTTACGCCGAAAAACGACAAAACATATCACAGGGCCAAGGATCGAGCGCTCAAACATTTTTGGTTACCACGACGCGTCTGGATCCATTGATTTATCTGCTTTTCGGTGCATACAATGCCGAGATTGCTGAGCGTGGATTGGAATGCGACAGGTGGCTCCCCGTTGTCGGTGATGTCGATACCCTGGACAACATTCAGCGGTTGAAGACGTACATGGAGGATTTATTCCTCCGAGTGTATGAAGGCATTGTTGCAAGCCGTAACCGCATGCGTGAAACCATGCCTCTGATCCCCCGTGAACGAGAATCGGAAGACGACTACGACTACGAGATCGACAGAAACGAACTGCCACTCTCCAACCAAGAAATACAAGAGCTAGACCGGTTGACTCAAAGTATCGTTCAGATTTTAAGGAGGTACAGCGAAGAGAGGATGGAGTCTCAATCCAGGAGTAACTCGAGACCTGCTACACCAATGACTTCGCCCGGAAGGTTTTCGGCGAGGCTCCCTGGTGGATCTCAGACCTCGGGGTACAACACCCCATTCCAATCACGGCCAGGAACCCCTAGCAGCCTTGCACACTGGTGGTGAACTATCTAGGACATATTAGCATATACATATATAATTTCCGACTATCCCAGCCACCTAAACTACGGTCATAATTAAGCAAGCTTTAACACGAGGTGAATGTCTGAGTCTAGAGTGGGATAGGGGTCTCGGCATCGTTCGGCGAACAGGACAAAGCGACTGTACAGCACCAAGCCACCACCGGAATTTGCCGAGAAGGCTCACAATCTTCAGGTGTTGTTGGCGCCGACAGGACGACATCAAGGACCCCAAGGTAAGGTATGTCGGTTTGCAACGTCAACAGGGAACAGCGAGCTAACGTGTTTTTATAGCGGGAAAAATCGACATGGTGAGTGGGAATTGTCATTGGGCGATCCTTAAAGCAATCAATCGATCTCGGAGAGTTTACGGGGAGGACATTTAGTGTGGGCTTGCCGGGTCGATATTGGGCTTGATTATTGCGCTGGGGCTCTGAATGTCGAGCTGGGAGGCTAATTCGACTCTTGTCTCTGTCTAGGCCGACTCATCAGCACCCGTCACTCTGCGAACACGCAAATTCATCACCAACCGACTCCTCGCCCGTCGCCAATTCGTCGTCGACATCCTCCACCCTGGTCGTCCCAATGTCTCGAGATCTGATCTCGCTGAAAAGCTCGCAGCACTTTACAAAACCGACAAGGACCGTGTCGTAACATTCGGTCTCCGAACTCAATTTGGTGGTGGAAGGAGCACGGGTTTCGCTCTCATCTATGACGATGAGGAGTCGCAGAAGAAGTTCGAGCCCAGATACCGACTGGTGCGGGTGCGTAAAGCTTTTCATATGAAACATTTGCTTTGCCGATTAATGGGATTCTGTTAGTCCGGTCTTGCTCCCAAGGTGGAGAAGGCTTCTCGCAAGCTGAGGAAAGAGCGAAAGAACCGTGCCAAGAAGGTTCGTAATCGTTTTCCGATCCTGTTACTTGGAAAGCTCACTTCGTTGTTCAGCTCCGCGGCACCAAAAAGGTCAAGGCTGCCGAAGCTCCCAAGAAGAAGTAATCGGCTGGCCTTCTTCTGTATGTATGTTGTTGGTACTGCTGGTGTACATCCCATGTCCTTGTATGCCCGTTATGAAATATGCCTCGAAACCTCCGCGCTTCTTATCAGCCGTTCCTCACTTGTGCTGGATCAAGGGGCTTTCGTTGCAGAACCATTTGGAAGCCGATTGCGTGGAGGAACTCCTCCCCAGGGTTTCGACCTCCTGTCTTATCGAGTACTAATCCATATCGAGATCATTTGGCTTGGTCGTGAGTTCGTTGATTGTTGGAGCCCAATTCATTAGAAAAATATATGTTGCCAGGTAAGGTATGTATGCTCGAGATGGTACAAGAGATGAAAGTCGACAACACGAGCAGGGTATCAAAAGCCAAACTTTTTGTGAATGATGTCGGGATCTTCTTGGTATTCCTCCGCAGAAACCCACATCTACCAGGACAAATGAGATAAAGGGAACCATGTTTCAGTCGCGATAAATATTGCATACCTTCTTAAAAGTACTCAATCCTGCCAGAATCGAGCCTCCGATCCATGTCGAGTATTTCCTCTCAGGTGGTGCGTAAATCTTGATCTTGATATCTTTCAAGGCCAGCTTCTTGACCTCGTTGAGAAGACGGTCACCGAAACCTGCAAGCTCATTTAGCAACGGGCAAAGGGCACCACAAAGCAGCACGAACCCCTGCACAGCGTGCTTCCGCCACTCAAAACAATATTGGAGAAAAGGCTCTTCCTCAAGTCAAGGTCGACTCTGTTGATAGAGTCCACGACTACTTGATGGACGCCCGCATATTCCTGCCCAATAAGCTCTGGATCGAAGAGAATCTCTGGGGCGCGGAAGCGCTCTGCACCAAGCTATATTTCGGGGTTAGCCACCATTCACTTCCCTTCCACTCCAGAGGTCATACCTGGACGATGTTTCCATCCGGCAGCCTGAATTCTTCTGTTCGTCCCAAAGAGTCCTTCTCCTCCTTGATGGGGTTCAGAGCAACATAACAACATTTCTCTTTGATCGTTCGAACGACTTCGCGTTCTGCACTGGTATGTAGATGGTGGCCAGCTTTCCGTAGCAATAATTGGAGGTGATCAGTCACGTCTCTGGAGAAAGGACCGTGCTCTGAGCTATAACAGTACAGGTTGAGAGAACGCTCGCTTACCTGCCTGCTACGTCCACCCTCCGTATTGCGTGCGACATAGAGAAACCCTCGAACACAGGGACGGCATGTGTAACACCGTCACCAGAGTCCAGCACGATTCCAGTTGTTCGACCTGATGAATATCTGGAGGTGGTAGGATGAGCCCGAGCCTGATACTAAGGCAATAAAATGCCTCTCACAGTGACAATACAGCTTGGACTGATATGAACAGTGCTGGGACGTTAAAGGTATCAAAGAAGATTTGTGCAGCAACGTCGCGGTTCGTTCGAGGGTTCAGCGGGGCCTCTGTAAGCAGTACTGGATGCTGTCCGGGACAATTTCAATGTGACGGTGACAAGAGAGTGATGATAGCGCATACCTCTTCGCTCAGAGTCCCAAGCTCTTCTGCATAGACCCAGTTCCATATCCGTTCCATGTCGTCCCAATTGGTAACAATACCATGTTCCATAGGATACTTGATCTTTAGGAGGCCACGGAACTCTTGGGCTTTGCGACCGATGAAGACATCGCCTTCCAACGCGCCGGCCATGACGCGCTCATGCTTTGGCCGACCGACACTAGCAGTAGAATGAGATGGATAGTATTCCTCGAGACCTTCAGACTCACAAAGAGGGGAAGAAGCATTTGGGATGATCTTGACCTGCAAAACCCGCCTTTATGGTTCCAGATCCCTGTTGTCGACGACGGTGAGGTGGGCTGGGTGCCAGGAGAAGGAAGGGGACCTACATTGTCGATGACGACGGGCTGGTTGGTGAGGACGTCGTCGAATTCAGCCGACATGCCTCACTTGTCGAGATGATGGGACTTGACGCTGCCTTGGTCGTTAATGGATGCGGTAAGTCTCAAGTTTCCAAGGCGCGTCGACCCAGCTTTGATCCATAAACAGACCCTAACTCTGACCACCAACATGAATCCGCCTTCGCTCTCCGCTTTTGCATTTTTGCTATTCTGCTTTGCCTTTGACCTTATAGTGAGCTTCTGTCCTCCTTATGGTCCTCAGGCTTGAACCCTCATAGTCTCCAGGTCCCAGTCAACGCCGCCGCCGGTGTGCATAAATGGGAAGCGACCAACTTTTGCAAATGTACGACTGAGAAAGGATTCTCAGGTCAAACCTCGCCTAATTATCTTTACAGGCATATGCTTTGGAAACGAGTTCAAAATTCTGCCATTGGACCTCCCAGACAACCCTTCGCAGCCGTGCCAGTCGTGTACGAAGCAGTGGTGCCTCAATCAGAACCTACCGATTTGTGCCAGTGCTTCCCTGGGTGATACGAACCCCGATACCGCAACAGGAAAGGAGGGCGATGTCGAGGCTCGATGCTTCCGTATGTGATCTCCCTATGAACCTCTCCTCTCATTGATTTCCGACCACGAACGATATTAAATAGAACGCAATTCACCTCGGGACCAACTGATCGTAATTCTATTCCTTTTGACGGTCTTTGGGCTGCTCCTGGGCGCTGGCATCAAGAACCGCATGATGAAAGCGGGAATAGCACCGACCCTACCATGGCAGAATGCTAACCGCAGGAGGTGGTGGCAGGTGGGTCCATCGCAGAACGTTCTTTGAAGTGGTTCTGATATCAAGTCCTCAGTCCTGGCTACCCCGAGGGCGGGAACACTTTGGCTTGGAACGGTTCGGTCGTACTGCAGATAGAGAAACATTCTTGGCGATGAACCAATCCGAGAGATGAACATCGTTTTGTCCTCGCTGTATTTCTATAGATACTTCACAAATATGAAACCGCAGTGTTATTGGCATAAGGCTCAGAGCACAGCTATATATGGCGCTGCCGGCCCCTAATTCATAGTCGTCACATGGCGGCGGTGACATTTCCTCCGTTTCTTGGCTTATAAGAGACCATGTAATCTCACCACAGCTTCCAACGCATAACCTCCACATTCATGGGCGCCAACCAATCCAAAGGGCAGAAACTCGGAGGGGGTGGAGGAAAGCATCGCAAGTCTAGCTCCCAGCCGTCCAATTCCATTCAGACGAGTCCACCCGCAGCAGCAGTTGCTCCGGCGCCCTCTAACAAACCCAAAGACAAGAAGAAATCCGCAGGAACGACCTTGGGCGGAGACTCACAGCCTAAACCCAGCGATGCGAGGTCGGCAGCGGCAGAGGCAGCGGAGCGAAGGCTTAAAGCAGTGAGTCACTCGTTCCGTCGCATCGATGCATAACAGTGTTCAGCAAGGCAAACTGCAGTCCCAGCAACGAGGTACCAACGCCTCCAATCCCAATCAGGGTCGCTTAGCCTCTCAGGTCGCGAAGCAAACCACTAAGCCGTCCATTCCTCAACGGGAAGAAGAACGTCTCGTGGTATGTTTGAACCTTGAGACTTTGTGCCTCTTGTTCCATGCTGACGACCGCCTTCTCAGTGGGACTGATTCTGGAAGATATATCTCATTTCATTGGGCTGCCCACTTTCGAGGCCTCTCTGGCGCCCACGATATACTGGTTGCAATCCTTGAAGCGTAGGAACCCTTGCAGGCTGCTTCGTGCTTTGCAGCTCCTTGCACCTTTGACACTCACAACTCTTCCCGTGATATCTATACAGCCATAAAGTGTACTTACATATGTAGATTCCGGATGCCCATATCCATCTTGACCTGCTTTCTCGCAGACATGACCGGAGTAACCGGACCTGGGAGGCTTGTTTGGCGCAGACTTTCCCTTTCGGAGTCGCGGAAATGAAGCTCCCCGTTCTCTCGAACCACCAGCTCATTTCCAACAGGGGTTTAGTTTCCCTCCCCGATGAACCGGCCTTTCTTCTTTTGCTCCTCGATTTGAACACCGTGGTCCCAGAACACCCGAAGTTGGCGAATACGAGTCCAATGGCGGCTAGTGGATACCACTCTCAAATGGGCCCCAGAACGTCTTCTTTGCAATCTCACCGTTAAGCAGACGAACTGCATCCCTCAGGCCGACCAACTTCTTTTTCGCTTGCTTGCAACAACATCCTGCTCGGTACCTTCGAATCGGGGTATTGATTGTGACCGTATACTTCATTTTCAAGCCCCACACCTCAAAATCACCCTGCCACCTATCTTCATTGTCTGGTCTCTTTGGTCAACCGAATGCCAGCTGCTGGTCCCTTGTACCTTGATCTTCTGTTCTGTCTCGTTGTGTTGTCTGCTTCCTTGTGGGATGTACCCCGTGGGTCAGCCTCGCCTGTTATTTTCAGCGCCGTTTCCCCATGTCAAACGCTCGGGAATCAACCACTGATACCAAGCCTTTTCCACAGACTTGAAGGCCGTAAAACCCTCCCTAGATCCTTATGCAATGTATTTCACTGCTAACTCTTTCCCGTCCTCCGGACAATGCCTGTGACCATCTTGTCGGATCCCACTTCACCGTCATTCTTTTTTCGCTGAATACCTTATTATCTGACTATACTTGGACTACTGTTACCGGAGAGTTACGTGGTCCGCAAGTGGCCATCTGACTCTCCATGGGCGCCTCTTATCCTCTTGGCTAACCGACGCAATCCATCTCCGGCTCGCTCTGTCATCCAGGTTGACCCTCCGTGCTCGTTTGGAACGCCGCCAACTGGACTCCAGATATCGCGGTCGCGTATCGATGCCGGTATCTCCGTGTTCGCATTAATCTCCTTTGCAGTTCAAAGTGCAAGTACTTACTGCGAGGGTTGTCAGTGGACAGCATACAAATCGATATCGAATTGGCTGCCGATGTCTTAGATGTACAATCATGAATACAGGGTTGGTTGACAAGATAATAGCACAGCTATGGTACAGGCATACTTTTGACATATGGGGGGAAGCGGGATCTGGTACATACATATAAAGTCCACGGAAGATCTACAAAACGTGCAACCCATTCCACGGGGTATCGATGACGAGAGAGCAAGAATCGAAAGCTGCAAGCAGAGGAAGGAGAGTTCCATTACGATTCCATCGAGTCACTGTCCGTTCGTTGGCGTTTCGAACCGGTGGAAGGCCCGCCAATCCCAATGCCTCGCGCTTCCAAAACATCCATGGCCACCTTCGCAGCACCTTCAGATGACTTCTTACCCCTTGCCCGGGTTCGCCGCAAAGCTCCAAAGGCCTGTGCCTTGATAACCGCTACGGTGCTGGATAGAGAAGGGAGACCTGGAGACGGCGATCGGGAGGATGGCATTGTGCCTCGCCTTCGCCGCAACCGGGATGCGAGTGAATGGACATCGTCGCCGCTGGTTCGGTCGGATGATGCCCCACCGTTGTCGTTGCCGGCAACTACTGGTGGTAGCTGTCCTAGGACATCCTTTCGGGAATTTAGGCGGTACCTGACGGCATCGGATCCTGCGAGACCAGCCATCGTGATGTCGGCAGTACCACCATGGAGAGTAATCTCCCCCTGGGGCAGGGAATGGCGTCGAAAGTCGAAATCTCTGCGGTCGTTAGATGCAGAGCTGTCAGGAAAGGTAAAATTAAAGGGCGAGGTCAGGGAGGTAGCAGAGGAGGAGGCTGTCTGAGCAGTGGAAGCGGTCGGTGATATCGACCTGCTGTCGCTGGGGATGCTACCGTCATTCAATCGTTGTGGAAAGCGTTCGTCAGTCGCGAATCCATAGGGCGCCCTGTCGAGAACGTTATGGAGTGCAGGCTTTGTTTCTTCAGCCGCGTATCCGGTAAATGACATTTCGGGCGAGGTGAGGGTAGGTGATTCGCCGTAAATTGGTGTCTGTGTGCCAGACTCACCGCCAGGGTTGACCACAGGGAGAACTTGTAATGGCCATCGTGAGTCACGCGGAGAACCGTTAATCGTGTTGGTCGGATAGGAATAAGCGCCGTACTTGGCGAGCCTGGAACTTGACTCGTCGTGGCCGTTCTCTTGTTCTACCAGAGGAATGGATGGCGATGCATACGAATTTTCAGAGCCGTTGAAGGGAGTGGATGTGGAGGGTTCATCCGGTCTATAAGATACGCTGTCGTCGGGGTATTGAACTGCATGAGAGGGCCCGATGTGGACATTGGGAGGCGCGAGGGCGGCGGATGGTAGCGGCGGCAATGGCGGGGTAGCATCGTCGGGATCTTGTCCCGCTTTGCGCGATTGCCACAGGACCCTCCAGTATTTTTCACGCTCCCGAAGTTCATAACGCAGGCGGACGTTGTCCTGACGCAACTCGAGGGCCTCTGCGCGAGATTCTCGACACGATTCTTGGAGTTGGATGACAACAGATTCCAGACTCGTCACTGGCAAACACCGTGACGGTCAATCAAAGTGCCGGGCACTGAGAAAACGGAAACCCACCTGTTTCTTCGAGAGTAGCAATATAATTGGCTCTTCTAGCTCTGAATGCAGCCTGGGCATCTGCGTTTTTCTTTTTCCTGAGGGCGACGTCGGAGAGGCGAGCAGCGTTGTCGTCGCCAGAGGATTTTGCGTTGGAGTGCTGTGTCCTCGGGGACGCGGATGGATTTGATTTTGGCATGGGCACTGTGGAGGGAAGAGAGGGGTATTGAAACTTGATGCTAAAAGATGGTATATAAGAATCAAGGAACACGAGGGCAGGAGGGTCCGCGGCCCTTGTAACAACGACTTAGCCGATGTTGTGGACAAATTAAGTTTGGCTGGAGGTGTGCGGCGCTCACACTGACAGCATGGCCAGCTTTCTCGAAGATGCCTTTGGGGACCTGAAGCGCGGCTTCACTGTCCTGGCTTCTCCTCTGCTTGCTATCTCCATTCGACTGCCACGGACTTTCTCAGAATCTCAGTCTATTCTGCCCACAATATCCGGTCAATTCCGGTCAAATATCCTTGATTATTCTGCCAATTTGAGCTAGAGGTTACAACCCAAAAAGTCACACCGAGCCGCCTTTTCTCATCCTTCCACACCAGTTCGTTTCCCGGTCCGGCTCACTCTTCCTCCTCCACTTCCTCACCCTCATCTCCAAGATCAAAGGCCTCCAACCGATTTCCAACCCCATCTACGACGCATGCCACTCTCCTGTTTCTTCGCCCATTAACAGCCAGTTCCGCTTCTCCATGCCGGCACCCACTCAAAACGCGACGCCGGGTCAGAAGGACGGGAAGAGATGTGATCTAAAAAGAGTTAGCAGCTTCTATTGAGTTGAGAACCTTATCCTTACATTCCCCGCCTTCCATTCGTTTATTGCACTCTGAACAAGGTCTTCGAGCGTCGCTGTCACCCCAGTACGGTAGGGCACTTCGAGGTACACCAAATTCGCGTAGGCGAAAGTGGAAACCCAGGCTGTGATTTCGTCATCCCGTGAGATATTGGCAATGTTAGGAACACCTGGAACCGAGGGGACGCACCGTCTTTGTTAAGTCGAACTACGACGACGACACTCTCATCATCGAAGTAATCGGCGGCTAGGATAGTTGCAGGCAGTGTTCTGCCTTGATCTAAAACGCAGTCGAGACTGACTATGGCAACTCTAAGAGACAAATCCGAGCCGCTATCACCATAACGAGATTGGACGAGAACCACTTGATATTCATGGTTATCCGTCAATCCAAAAAGCAATTGAGATGGCACCTACAAACGTTGTGATCCTTCACAATAGTAAGATAGTTCTCGATAAATTCATTCGCCTGGATTAAACAGTTAGCTTCGGTAGTAGTGGAATTTGAAACAAAGGGCTTACTTCTTGGGCGATCCGTTCTCGGAATACAAGCCCAGATTGATTATTGCTTTTAGGTTCCGTTGTCGTTGCGATTGCCGGCTCGTGATGATGGACACTTGCGGATCGAGATGCCGCCCCAGCGGCAAGGGAGAAAATCCGACTGCATCTGGTGGCTAAATGGTCGGCCAATGCCACCAAGTTCCGTTGAACCCCTCTGTGATCATTTTGCATAATATTCTACTTGAGATTAGAGTGGGGATCGATGTGAAACGAAAACAACACACCTCTTGCCACTCCAAGGCAGGCGGACTTCTTGCCACTTGGGCAGCGCGCTCCATCACAGACTCCAATTGGTCGTTCTGTGGCTCGGGCACGCCCAAATCGCGCGGTCGAAATTGGGGGACCTCACCTTGGAACCATAGATCAATGGAAGAAGACGTGAGGCCGGACACGAAGTAGTTATTCACTTCCAAGATGTCGTGGCGAGACGTCTGGTTGTCGGTGGGATTTTGTGCGTTGATGTTCGTGCTCTCTACAAAACCGTGAGTCAGAGTTTAAAAGGAGGGAGATATTTTTCATTACCGAACCGCAGCCAGATGATGAACTCCTTGAAACGGAAGTGTTCGCGTCGAACTGCAGCCGCCAGCCAAGTGGCGAGCACGATGCCCCTGCCAGCAGCTCGGATTGAATCCGCGATCTCCTTGGAATCGAGTTGGAAGTCTGAAAATCGGGACCTGCGGTTTTGAGCTCGGTAGAACGACTTGAGTGATGGGGGTGAGCCTACATAGTAGCCCAGCCTTGGAGTTCCTCGAGTACCAAATGGACTCTTTGCAAAGCGGGAGCAAGACGCTTCTCTGAATAATCTCTCAATTTTGTCAGAGCATCTGACATCACAGTTTCCCACTTTTGAATCCCCTAGGCGATCAGCAAGTTAAACAAGCAATTGACGTGTACAGTACAGTTGAAGGACGCACCCTATCGCTCATCTGCTCACCGCTTCCTAGAAAATCGGCCAAGGCTTCCGATGCACGCCCTGTCGTAAGCAACCAGGTGAGGTCGAGAATGGGATCAGCGGAGTCCTCTAAGAAGGCGGTCTTAATCTTGCGCCATTCGCTAAGAGGAGTTGTAATCACATACGCCCGAATTGCTCTTTCTGCTTCTCCTCGAGCGCGGCTACCCAGCGAGGGCCTAGTTCTCGTGCACCTGTCGAGGTCTCGTTACCGAACCAAGCCTCCTTCATTTCCCTGACAACCCGCATTATGTACCATGTAAGGTCTCGGACAATAGAAGACAGCCTTGCCAGGTCACGGATATTCCGATTAGCAAGGAGAGGCATGTCGACGATGGTAGGCGCAATGAGTATTCTTGGAGATGAAAGAGAGTTGAATTTCGCGTGCCCGAAGAATTTAAAATCACGGCTGGACTTCTCAACGGTCACAAAGGACGCTTCTCGGCCTAGAGAAACCACACCGAGAGGAAAAGCGCCGTCGAAAAAGCTATAGATGTTGCCAAGAGTGTCTGATATCATTAGAATGCTGTTGAGGTTGGAGTCGTCCTTTTCATCCAGAGTTCCTTGGGGCTTGATAGAGGATTGATGTTGGATAGTCGAATCCACTGCGGCAGCCTTCGAGTCGGGAGAAAGAGTCGGCCATGTGTTGATTGCCTCGGGAAGCTGGGACTTGCTGTGGGATCGGGTTTGGGAGCCTTGAAAAGCGAAGAGATTGGTTGCGCTGTCTGGCATTAGAGTGTGACATGCATCGAGCATCGGAGTCACTCAACGTTAGTTTATCAGAATCTTCTGGAAGAGGGTCAAGATAAGGCAAGTTCTTGAGGATGGACTCTGCAGAACCGGTCTACAGGAATCAGAAAGCCAGTACCAAGAGGACAAGGAGCAAACTCACTATGATGTTATTTCGTTTGAAGATGTCGGGAATAATCGAATTCTGAACAGGCTTTGGAGGGGGACAAAACCACCAAATTCCTTCCAGCTGATTCCTAAGTTTCGTGGCTGGGAGCTGCAAAGGCAGACGGGTTACGATGCGACCGTCCTGGATGGAGTGTAGCGAAACCCGAGGTGGGTCGAGCATGCAGGCGATTGTTTGACCTAAGTTGTTGTATTCAGTCGAGCCGATAGCTTGTGGAAAGCGAGTATGCAAACCATCCGGACTCCAAGCGATGCCGTTGACGTTGACGGTTGCATCCTCTTCCCCTACATCTGTCTCCCAGACCTTGGCGCCGGAGTTCGAGTTCCAGAGGCTGATGCGATCGAGACCACCAAGACGAGAGATTAGAAGAACCAGATCTTTGTCGGGACAGCAAGACGTGCTCAGAACACGACTTTGAACTGGGACGTGGACGTTGGCTAGCGGAGGATACGCGTTGGATTCCATTAATTTCAGCACAGAGTCTCTCCCTCAATTCCTTTTCCGTCAACTGGAGCGCCGAGTGTCACGTGAAATATCCCCAAATAGAAAGGGCGAAATTTCGAAAGAGACTCGGAGGGGGAGGATGCCATCCAATTTGAATACGCTACGACAATGGCCGACTATGTTATGACCATAGACTCGGACACTGAAGATCCCCCTTCCCTTAAAATCTCAAAAGAGACGCTAGACGATGCCCTTAATCCCGACTTCGTATTCGATGCTGGTGCAGACTATGAAGACATCTTCGATGGTGCAAACATTGTCAATGACCTGGTAAAGGCGGGTAGCAAAGCGGTACGTCTTTTCTACTAGCTTGTCTACCGGATCTGACTTCCTTCGAGGCCCCTATATCCGTAGATGAGATCATTGCCAGACGGCGCTTGTCACTGAAGCGGAAACGAGCTGCAAACGCAGAAAGCGACGAGTCCGAATCTGAATCTGAAGGCGACGACGACGAAGAAGAAGGACATGAAGAAGAGTCTGACGATGACCCTTTGGCTAGCTCTGAGGAAGAGGACTCTGAAGGTGACGAGGACGAGAACGAAGAAACCGCAGACGAGGATGATCTCTCGGAAGGAGGCAGCTCGAGTTCAGAGGAGGAAGAGGAAGAAACAGAGGCAGACAGGTCGCGGAAGGCAGCTTTCTTTGCCGAAGAAGACGGTGGTTCAACAACTTGCGATACCTTTCTTCAGATGAATCTCTCGAGACCCATTCTCAAGGCTATCTCGTCCCTCGGCTTCACAAAACCAACACCCATCCAGGCTTCGACTATCCCAGTTGCTCTCCTCGGGAAGGATATCGTAGGAAATGCTGTGACTGGTTCTGGAAAAACGGCGGCCTTTATGATTCCTATGCTCGAGCGTCTGCTGTATCGAGAAAAAGGAAAGAGGGCCGCTGCTACAAGGTGTTTGATTCTTCTACCTACTCGAGAATTGGCTGTCCAATGTTACGAGGTCGGAAAAAGGTTAGGGGCGCACACGGACATCCAGTTCTGCCTTCTCGTCGGTAAGTCTGCCGGGATCCTCTCTATTTCTTCAAAACTGACTCTCCCCAGGCGGTCTCTCGCTGAAGGCTCAAGAAGCCGCACTTCGCCAAAGACCAGACGTTGTTCTCGCCACTCCCGGTCGTCTGATCGACCACGTCCGCAATTCTGTCGGCTTCAACTTGGATTCGTTGGATATCCTCGTTCTTGACGAGGCAGACCGAATGCTCTCTGAAGGCTTTGCAGATGAATTGACAGAAATCATCAAAGCCTGCCCCAAATCCCGACAAACCATGTTGTTCTCTGCCACCATGACCGACTCTGTCGACGAACTGATCAAAATGTCGTTGAACAAACCCGTCCGACTATTCGTGGATCCGAAGCGCTCGACAGCCCGCGGCCTCATCCAAGAATTCGTTCGTATCCGGAAAGAGAGCGACCGTCCTGCCATGCTTGTCGCGTTATGCAAGCAAACGTACAAGCACAAAGTCATCATTTTCGTGCGTAGCAAGAAACTCGCCCACCAAATGCGCATCGTCTTTAGTTTGTTGGGAATGAAATGCGCTGAATTGCATGGCGATTTAAGCCAAGAACAGGTGTGCACCCAACTCAACTGGCTTCCTCATTGCAAGCACTAATTTTGTGCTCGAAACAGCGTCTACAAGCACTGCAGTCCTTCAGAGAGGGTTCGGTTGACTACCTCATGGCAACGGATCTTGCGTCTCGGGGTCTAGATATCAAGGGAGTGGAGACCGTGGTCAACTATGACATGCCCGGCCAAATGGCGCAATACCTACATCGTGTTGGACGAACAGCTCGTGCTGGCCGGAAGGGAAAGTAAGCCTCCCTTTCAACAACTGTCACAATTCAATTCAATTCAATTCTCACCCCCCTTCCTCTAGATCCGTGACGCTAGTAGGCGAAGCCGATCGAAAGCTCCTCAAAGCGGCGATCAAACATGCAGCAGGTGAAGATCAAGTGCGACAACGGGTTCTGGATACGACAGTCGTTCAGAAGTATGCGGATAAACTGGAAGGGCTAAAGGGAGAAATTGCAGAAGTCATGCGGGAAGAGAAAGAGGAGAAACAGGTATGTATTACTGTCGTGACTTCTCGCGTCGGGTCTAACCTCTCTTTTTCTTTCTTAGTTACGGCAAGCTGAAATGGAGTTGACGAAGGGGGAGAATATGATGAAGCACCAGGACGAAATTTTCTCGAGGCCGGCGAGGACGTGGTTCCAGACGAATAAGGAAAAGGAGAAGGCCAAAGGTAATGACATTAGTTTCTTGTCAAAATGCCTTGCAGGTTTTGAAGTATTGTGCAGAAATCAGCAAGCAGTTACACGAGGGAAAGAGCGCCGCCAAGGGAAAGCAATCGAAAGCCGACGAATCCAAGGTGAGATCGTCCGAACCTCGTCCAAGGCTTTATAATCGAACATATACTTTTAGCCCTCCCGAGACAAGTATTCTGGATTGTCGCGGAAGGCGAAAAGGCGGAAGATGGCGATGGAGGAAGACAAGGAAAGTGGCGTGCAAAAGTCTGTCAACGCCGCCATTCGTTCCGCGAAGAAAGCCTCTCGGCTGTCAAAAATTAGCATGCTACCCAGCAAGGGATCATCGTCCAACGCTAATTCGTCTGCAAAACCAAGGTCATCGAGCAAAGCGAAAAGCAATTTCGACACTGACCGTGGCTCTCGCTCAAAAAACCAGTCTTCTCCTTCCAAGCCCAAGTCTGCTTCAGGCGGCAAGGGGAGAAAGCCAAAAGGGCACAAGAAAAAGTAGGAGTATGATACCGCGGCCTCATTGTTAGTTATACAGTTGCGCCACCTAATATCAGAACACATTCTCAAATTAGAGGGGATACCTTAAAATCGGTGGAAAAGAGACATTACAGGTATGTACTGCGAGGAGTAGCAATGGAAATAAATTAGGAGACATATTATAAAAGGAGGGTAATAATCCAAAAAAAGTTACATATCCCGGAATGAGCGACAACATAGGCGAAGTAAAAGAGTGTGTATCGGTTAAGATAAAGAGTCCAATGTCCACGTAACCGGTGTGAATCACCAGAAGAACATCTTGCGCAAACCGGTGATATCTGACTTTGCCTGATTGGAGTTGCTTGGTTTCGAGTCATCAAAGTCAGAATCGAGCAAAGCCAGTCTCGCTTTCTGAAGCTGCAGCGATGACTGATTAGACATATTAGACAGAGAGACGCTGGGAAGGCTTACCTCCGGACTCATCACAGGTCGCTTCACGAACAGCTCAGCCACTGCCGGCCTCTCGGGAAAGTCGTAGTCGTTGGAATTGCTGCATTGGATCTGGCACTGAGTGGTGGTGTCCACGAACCGACCCATCATATTGAACTTCCCCCAATGTATCTTCGAAGGGTCTGCATCGTTGAAATCTCCGTTACCTTCGTTGGCTCGGATGAGATCAGACATATGAACCTCCCTGATCATGAGCGTCAGAAAGAGCAATGTGTGCAAAACGAAACAACAAATACATAGCGGGGATACAAGCGCCCTTCGAATTCCTCAATGCTAACCGGTAGGCGCGATGGGCTCTGATTTGCTGAAGGAGGACGTCGAAGGATTGCAAATTCTTCGCCTGTTCTGGAGACCTGGACTTGAATATCTCCATTGTCTCGTCACCGGGGAAGGTAGCGCTGTTGATGCCCGCGACGACGGCGCGTAGAGCAGAGTAATTGTTCAACATTCGCAAGCGATGTGCAATGTCCACGAATTTCTCCACTTGGCGCGCTCGATGACGGGGACGATCGTGACACAGTATCAGCGAGATGACCCTAGAACTAAGGTGAGAATGCTTTAATGAAATTCAGTGCACTAAACTCACCAGTCGGCAAGGTGAGCCGAAACTACATTGAAGGCCGTAATGGGATCATTATCAGGTTTTTTGTTCGAGATAAAGGTGTAGTGAAGCCAGTCCCTCGGCTACGTTTTGGTGAGTCGACCAGATGTCATGAGAGGGCGAGAACATGTACCTTGATCTCCATGAATCGCTTTACCCACTGACGGGTGATTTCCTGGGCGATTTCCTCTGAGTCACAATTCAGGACATCTTGAGCAAGTTTGGTGAGGTCCTTGAGCTGCTGTTTCGGGGAAGGATCGGTTGAATTGGCGGAACTTCCACCAAGAATGGACTTGGTCAATGGAAGACTAGATTTGCGCTCTCGCAGATTGGACGGGGGAGACTGGTCTTGCGTTGCGGATTTGCTTGACGTAGGAGACTCTGTCGCATCCCGCGGCGGAGATTCGACGTCGTCCTCTTCATCCTCCATGAAGCTGTAGGAATCATCGCTCTCATCCGCGGATACCTCACCCTTGAGAGCCCATGGAGAGTCGTGATCCGATCTCGAAGGTAGCATCTCGAGGAAGGGCAAGAATTCGGAGCCATAGTGGAGAAGATGTGTTTTGGAAATAATCGACTTGATCAATGCGTTGAGGGCACCTGCTGTCCCTTTCACCGCAAAGTCGTCTGGGTAATCCCGAATCCATGTTTCCAGTAGATGACATATCCTGCCCAACACGTTAGCATCGAGGCAATGAAAGAGATGAGGGAAACCAACCTCATCTGGGCAAAGCAGGCAAACATGGGATCTCCAGAAGGGTTGTCCAACTGGCGCATCCGCTTCTGCATCGCCAGCAACACGCTCCGTGGGGTAGCGAATCGCCGATAGGTAAGGAGAAAGTGAGAAATGAATGCGGGGTCTGGTGGGACGATCAGATTACAGGGTAGGAGGACGGGACGGACGACCGTGCTCTTACCATCACCGCTGACTGCCAAGAACAGCAGTTTATCAAGTAGCTCGTCCAAGGTTGCCCATTGAGCTTGAGGTCTAAATTTTCATGGGTTAGCGACTAATGACATACGGACTAACAATCTACGCACGGATCCTTTTTGGGTCTTTCTTGTCTGACCTCCGGGGCCGGGGGTATTCCATTGGAAGGTGCGGATTGCACTTTGTGATCCTTCGAATCTGCTTGAACCTCACTGCTGTGACGGGGGCGGGGTAGGAGATCTGGCGGAGGAGGCTGGGGTTCCGACGGTGCAGAACGCAGGCGTGTTCTCTCCTTCTCATACAACAAATCTCCGGTTGAGCGAACTCGCACGGGCGAAGTAGGTGATATCGAGGCGATGGATGTAGATACAGATGATCCCCCTGTTGATATCGAGGGACCAAAGGGGACAGTGCTGACGCCCTGAGAGGTGAAGGCTGTTGGTGTTGTTGTCCGTGACGGTTCCCATGGATGGCCAGGGTTGCGCAAGAACTCTGGAGATGCTGGATTCCTGTCATCACCGGTCTGGGATTCTAGGGACCTGGGTTGGTGAACGCAAGGTGATATAGGTGACGACACTCACGACGCGCACGAAAAACAGCCTTGACAAGCCAATCGAACGACTGACGCATCTTCCCTTTACCACTGTCCTGAGTGCTGGTCACCTCTACTAACCCTACATCATACTCTTGGAGAAGTTCCGAGGCGCGATCTGGCTCTATGCGGCGCTCAAGATCAGTCTTGCAGGCCAGAACAATGATCGGTAACTTCTTCGCCCGGTACCCTTCTGTTAACGCAGTCAGCGATACGAAAGCAACCAGCGCATACGGCTGTCCACTCACTGAGCAGCATTTCAACGGGTTGGAATGAAGTGGCATTTGACGAATCGTAGCAAATAATCACTCCATCCAGAGCAGGCAGATCTTTAGGGAGTGGAGGGAGAGCTGTTATGGATGAAGGAACGTCAATCTCTACGGCATGTAAGAGACAGTCGGCTGACGATTCGGATGGTATGCGACCCGTGCGCTGAGTATCTATAAAATGGTCATAAGACAACTGGCGCCGTTAATGCAAAGACGACAGAAGCCTCACATCGAATGACGGGGTTATCAGGGGCATGCGAGGTCGCGGCCTCAGATAAGGAATAATTGGCCAGCCCTTTCCGAATGACGGAGGATTTTCCGCAGCTCGCTGTGCCGATAATTGCCAAAGTGATAGTGTGTGCTGGCTTTGACATGCTGACCTATTAAAATGGAGATGTTAGCAATAGGAAAGGGTGGGGAAAGGTACACGAACGTGAGTGTTAATTGTCATCCGCCTGGACTCATGGACTGCGGGTGTATAGACGCCCAGACTCCCGCTCCGCGCCCTCCCAAAATGTTCCTTTTTCGTTGGCTGATGGGGCCGCATAGAGGGTTGCAAAGATGATAGGGTGCGGGGAAGGGACTGTGGGTCTCGTGGGCTTGAACTGGAAGAAGCGGTCAGGACGCTGCTCATGCTCGAGGCGGCACTCAAGCCCTGAGTTCTGGAAGGAAGAGGCAGTTCGCCTCCACGAATAACAGGCCGTTGGGCTTCTTGACCCTTGAGTGACGCGTGTCGAAAACGGTCTATTGGTACATGTGGATCGAACCGTTCGACATCGGAGTCGAGGAAGGACGGGGAGTCATCGTCCTCTCGCACGGAGCTGACACTGGCGCCTCGATTTCGGCCAGACCACGGATAGTTCCTGTCAACTTTGGGCTGCGGGGCTGCACTATATCCCCGGCTGCGTGAAGGTTCAGGCTCTGGTGGATGTTTGGAAGGGCGAGAAGGGTTATGGCTGGCGGCGACGAATGAGTCGACGGAAATTGATTTGCGCAAGAGGTTTGTGGGCGGGGAGAGGAGGCGCGATGGGTGGTTGTCCTTGTCGTTGAGGGTGGACGTCGGTGGTGTCGAGAAGTTGTCTGGGGCGTCGGGCGGTGGGGAATTGATGTTGTGGGATTGTTCTTTTGTTGTTGTTGACATTGAGGACGGTAATTCCAGCGGGGGTAACGGTGCTACGATCGGGAGTTCATGAGCAACAGTCATTCAGGACGATGATGATGGCGCGATGAGGACAAGGCACAATCCCCGCTGGCGACACCCCTTGTTGCCATCTTCGGTACAACTTGCTCCGAACCATAATGTCAATTTCAGTCCCAACCATTCTTTTGACTGTCAGCTATCAACTCTCTCTATACAAATATATCACTCACTTCTTTTCAGAACGACGACGGCCCTCCACATCCAAAAGAATCTCCATATGTCCTTGGTCTTTATCGTCACCTCACAGAACGCTTAGGTACTTTCCCAGCATCCCTAATCGACCCTTTCCTCACTCATAATTTCAGGCTGGAACGTCAAAGTTGTTCTCCCTAGTTCCCAGAAATCGTGGATAGGCACGCCTCTTCCCCCCTCTTCTCGTATCCTAGGCGCTTATCGTCCACAGGCAAGGCATATCACATTAAGGAGCTGACCGCAGGCCGATACTTTTACCCCAGGGAGGATGGCAACGGGGAGCAATCTCCAAAGTCACGCCCTCTGAAGCCAGGAGAACTGGTACGTCCCAGCTCTATAACCCACGTCAGGCTTGTCCTCATCTATCTCTTACAAGGCCGAGTGGATTCTTTTAGATGGAGTACGACGCTCGGTGCACTACTTCCTTCAGTTCTGGTCTGACACAGCCTGTAGACCCCAGCCACTTGTGCGAACGTCGCTTTGCATAACCTCTACCCTGGGCAAATCGACTTGGTGGTATCCGGTCCCAACCTGGGCAGAAACACTTCGGGTACTTGTCCGCCGCAAACACAGAATTCCTGCTTTTCTTTAACCCTGGCCTTCTTTAGCCGCGTTCGCGCTCTCCTCTGGTACTATCGGCGCCGCCCTGTCATCTTCATTATCAAAAGTTCGCTCTATTGCCCTCTCATATGGTACTGTCGTACACCCAACACCCACGACCTACTTTGAACCGGCTCACCGCATTGGCTGTCGAATCATCCAACATCTATGGCACAACTGGGGCTCCGACGATTGTGGTTTACGAAATGGCGAAGTTGATCTCTACAGTGTCAACATCCCTCTCATTGAAGACATCCTCTCAGAAGAGGGCTTAAAGGTCTACTGGACAACCATGTGGAGAAACTCTTATGGTAGATTGTTCAAGGACGTCTCCAGTCGGCGTAAATCGATCGATGGCGCGACTGTAAACCCCGCAGGTCCAGATGCTGCGACAAGTCCACAAACTGCGGTTAAACCCATAGACGAGGAAGGTCTGCTTTTCAAGTGGGCACCAGAGATGCGGGGCCTCATCCAACCACTCTCTGACGAACTCCCAGTCGGATCCGACGCATACGCAATTCATACTGGTTCCGTGCGTCCATTTCACACCGCGATACTACCTTGGTTCTAATTTGGTTTTCTAACTTGGTTTGCGAAGATATCTGTCACCGCTCTCAGAGCCTGCTTCGCTGAGCCGCCCACTAGTGTGGTCGACCCCGTTCTCCGACAAATTAAACTGTAACTTACGAATCTCAACTTAGATCCCTTTTGAATCAAACCCCCAAACATTTGCGTGCGATGATGGCATATAGGATGGATCCATAGCATACTGACGTTACATGAGGCATGTGTGTTCGGTGGATGTGCAAATTCAGGATGGCCATCACCTGATCGTGATGCAAGTACAAAGTACAAAAATGAAGAGAGGTGGAGTGCGATTCGCTTATCGGTATCGACGCAAGCTGAGGGTGTTGTGCCTCTTCCAGGTCGAGCGAGCAGGAGCATGGTTGTGTCGGTGTCCCTTGCCAAGTCCACGGTTCTAACAGCAAATTAAGACGCGAAAACTTCTGAGATAAGAGAAATCGTACCTGCTTGCCAACGCTGGTGAGACCACGAGCCTCGCGGCGCTTGTGCACGGGCTTGGTAATCCAGTTGATTCTGGGATCCCTGCGAATCTGAATAGAGTGCCATGAGATTTCGATCGCGTACGATAGGCGGAAAGACGTACAGCCTTGTGGTTGGGGTCGACAAGGATGACCTCGTAGTACTTATACACACTGTCCTCATTAACCCAGTAAGAGTTGAGGACACGCAAGTTGCCACATCGTCGTCCAACACGCTCCTCAGCAACACTCCTCAAGCCACGCTGGGGCTTCAATTGGTTGACACCATGGCGGACGGGCTTGCCGTAGGTAGCACCTAAGCGCAGAAAAATCAGTTAAACGGGAGGTATTCGGTGGTGGATCAGGACACACCCTTAGGAACGGGCTTTTTGCGGTTTCCGCGCCTCACGCGAATTCGGTAGATAACATAGCCCTGCTTGGCCTTGTAACCGAGTCGACGGGCCTTGTCAGGGCGAGATGGGCGGGAAGCACGGTGGATGACGTTCAATTGGCGGTATTCCCAGCATCTATCCTCCTCTCCTTGAGTCTTCATTCAAAGCAATCTCTTCCAACAACATACCGAACGCGGAGGAGGAACCTCAAGACATCCGACTGCTTCTTTTTGTAGAGCTCTCCGATATATTTGTACGCGCCCATCTTGCACCTGGAATATTTCCATTAGCGCTATCCATGACCATAACGACCAGCACGACGCCCTTACCTGTCTTGATGTTGTCGTCCCCGACGCCGGTGATAATTTCGTGTATAGAATCGCTGGTTGTGGCTTGATACTGTGCAGTAGTTCTTCGGCATTTCCCGTCGGCGTCGGTACCTTTGCGAACGGCCCATACGGAACAGTTATCGGCCTGGGCTGCCCCTTGCCGACTCGGATCGCCATCAACCCTTGCAACTGGCGAAGGGAAGGTCGAAACAAACTGGATATGCGTAGTAGGATGGACATATATGCCTACAGCAGACTCCTTGCCTTCCCTAGTTTAAACCACGCAGTCCACATGAACAGAATCCAGGCTGTGATAAATAACGCAAAGCATAACATCAGCATCCGTCGTCCCCGCCGCAATTCCGCGGCCGTGCAGATAGTCTCGCGGCTCTCGCTATTGAAATCTGTTGCTGGGGCGTTGGTAGAGTTTGTAAGATACTGGATTTCGTTGGATGCGTGAGAGCGTCGTAGCAATGGTTGCGTCTCTGTCGGTCCGCTTGCTATTGACGGATCCAGCTCTGTCGCGGACGGGCACATTTGACATTCGTCGCAGGAGTTGGAGAGGAGACATGCACCTGTGGCTATTTCCTCTGCCGGAGATGATATCGGTACATTCCTCTTTGCTCGTAAGTAGTCAAGACAAAGGATGCTGACAAACTGAAAGGCGTTCAGAATAAGGAATGCGTTGGTCAGATATTGGTAGGTGTCGAGTATCTTGAATCCTTTCGAATCAAGGAGGAGTCCGGCGAGAGTTTGAAAAATAGTCGACCCTGTTTGTTCCACCTGTATACGACAATAAGCGAGGCATAGAGGCAAACTCTGTTTCGCTCACACTCTTGTGAACCCCCAAGGCAGTAGATACAAACTTGGACGGAACAAGCTCCGGAACTATAACCACCAACAAGACTGGGAGAAATGATGAGTGTCTTCAACGCCAGAGCATCATAAGTCCACGTACGAGGAGAAAATCCATGCCCAAACGCGTACGCCAGGATTCCAGGAAATGCATCTTTAGTCCATCGAGGGGGGAGTGCAAACCACAGGTACCCAATGGCAGTGGAGATCGAAGATATGAACAACAGGCGGAGAATGATGTTCCGTTGCTTGATATTATCAACAAGGTATCCGCACTGGGATGGACCAGTGAAAGGATGTCCTCAAAATTGCGATAATGACCTACGATTGGATATAAAACGATGCTTCCCACGAGAAGGTATGACGCTTGGGTTGCGGCTTGGTGTTCCGATAACCCAAATCGATGTTCAATAAGATTTCTGGAGAGACGTTAGAATGGGCGTGGGCCACAAGAGAAATAGACGCGTACGGAGCGAGATGTATGAACGGGGACCAGATCATCCCGCAGAGTACGTTGAGCCACACGTATCTACGTTAAACAGAGTTAGGGGTCCCTGTGGGGCAAAAATGGCACACAAAGATCCACGCACGCCCAGAACACATCTCCGAGCGTCGTGATGGCACGGAATTTGACATATCGTTTCTCAGCGACCTTTTCCAGAGCCTGCGCCGCTGACATGTTGTCGATGGCCAACCGACGACGAGCTTCCTGCTTGATATCAGGAGCTTCAAGCTCTGCCCCTGCACCTGTGACGAGCCAACGGGAGCAGGCGAGATAAAGTAAGTTCGTTGCAACAGAAAATGCCGTAAGGCCTGTTGCAACATAGAAAGGGGCACGCCTGCCGAACCATTCGGTCAAGGGGTACGTTGTTCTGGCCGCTACGAAGGAGGAGCCTTTTCCGGCTATGAGACCGAATGCCATCGAAAGGCCCAACCCATGCGACTTGAAAAACCGAACGATAATGGTCTCTTGGATGACTGCCAGTGGGCTTATACCAAGCCCAAACACGAACAACCCCAGCGCCATGAAGCGGACATCTCCCAAGATGTCTCCGGTGAGTAGGAGAAGCTGGCCTAGATCACCAAGAATCAGAGCTGATGTCTCGAAAACCAAATGATGGGACTGACCTAGGAAAATGACTCCAGTCGCAAGGATACTGGCGAAGGTTGTCCCAAGCCTATTCGCCATGAGCCCACCTACGAGAGGCGTCCATGTGCTGTTCAGGCTATATGCTGCCATCAGCAGCCCGAACTCCGTATGCGATGTTCCCAGTTCTCTGTGCAACCGACTCTTTAAAGGACCCAGGATATTCGATGCACTAGATGACAGTTAAGGGTGCTCCTTCTCGCAGCCGCTAGAAGAGAAACGTACTAATGACTTCCGACACTCAGGCTGCAAGCACAGAGCAGCGCGATTGTTCGTAGGATGAACGCTTTCCTACGGGTGTTTGCCAGCAGCTTTGGGTCCATCGGCATTTGTATGTCCCTGGCCTGTCGGCCAGGATCCTCGGGAACCGGGTCGACCTGCCTGCTTTGTATTTGACCAATAGTGTCAAGATTTCCGGGCTCCGTCTCCCTTGAGGCCTCTTCACCGTGAATCAGAACGACCGAATGGTGGCGATAGGTAAGGTTGCTTGATTGGCTCGCCATCGTTTCGTTACAGTTGCCGTTGAATCGGATGCCAGTAGGGTCGGGGTAACACAGAAGAGGATAAAGGTCGCGCTGTGGCAGATGGCACAAGACAAGCCTTAAAGAGGTGCCTCGGCCTTTTGGGCAATTGCTGCAGACATGCTGTTCGCGATAGCGCATAAACCTGTTCCGGGGGGGGGGGCAGCGGCCCGAATCCGGTTTCTTCTTTTTGTGCCAACCAAGGGCGCTTATCTCCCTTTCTTCGGGCTCGCGCGATCCATCAGTGTTTATATCCAGCACAAATGGTCCATCGACAGGGGACGTAGAGGTAACACGTATATATACGCAGTAAAATCCATGCCCTACACGAGTCGAGTAGAGCTATCTCCAATCTGCTTCGAAACCCTCCGACTTGCGAACATCCAGAAACCAGTTGCCATCAACGTAAGGAAGCAGATTCCACACTCTGTCCATGCGAGAGCTTCGACAGCCTGGGATTGTCGACATCTAACCCATTCACTTTTAGCTTTTCAGCACGTTTTACAGATGATGGTTGATCACCTGGAGAGAGTAGGCTGTCTTGCACAGTTTCCACCCGGTCTCGTGACATGCATGAGACCTGCACCAACGCCCTGGCGAAGTGGTAAGTGAATTGTGCTCCTTTTCACGCCACAATACCGTAGGCTGGATGCTTACCCACATAGCGAACGTGACGAGTAGCCAAGCCACTGAACTGGCAACGTTGGCCAAAAGGTGCCCTGCCCTGTCAAAGAACCAAAGCATGTATGTCGTCGCGAACAGGGTGGTCCATGACGCCATGAAGCAGATCGAAATGATGCTGCAGACCGAAAGTGAGCGGTGTGGTCAACGATTCTGAACACAAGAAATTTACTTACATTGCTTGATACCGTTCACTTGGAAAGGAATTGTGTTCGTTCCCCTCATTGATCAGGTAGGCGCTGAGTCCGAGCTCAGCCATAGCCAATAGAGCCATCGTGCTGTATAAAATCGGGTGATATTGGGCTTCCACCGCTGCCATTTCGTCTTCTTGAAACTTAGAAAACAGCGAAAGAGGGTTAGCCTACGTTGCTCGGCGGGTTGAAGAAGGTCGTGTCGAACGAGTGAGACGGGCGTCGTCCCTTATAGCCCGTCGACCGCGCGGTTTCGTGGCGTTGGCACGGATCCGAGACTGACCCAACCCTTAGCGTGACATGTGTATGCAATGCCTTTCATCTACAAGAGCTGTATGTGTCGTCAGCAGCACGAGGCGATCGGAAACCGCAAGCGGGGGACGTGTGACAATAAATCGCACCGAAGACATTATGCCTAAATTTGAGGCATGTCGATTTCTTCCACTCCTCTAATTGGAAAACAAGGCGCGAATGGGGGAACCACGCGTGTCTTTAATGCGAAATCGACAAGATAGGAGGACGCTGGGAGGACGAAGACATCAACCCCAGGGTATAGGCCCTGTACGGTGAGATGATATCCACGTGTATCCCATGAGGCCTCCATCAGCCCGATAACCGAAATGAACCAAGTAACACACCGGATGCGTGCACGGAAAACCATCGAAGATGGCTAGTATTTGCTGACACAGAGAGAGGATGGTTGAGTATCGACCGACGTCAATTCAGTACTGCAAGGCACGTGCTATACAAGGTAAAGCCTTGCGAAATCGAAGGCCACACGAAAGTCTTTTAAGAGACATTGGTTTAAAGTTCCAAGGCCTTTTTGGCCATCTCTAATGCACCTTCCTTGGTTTTATTCCCTGAATGGCAGGTTAAGGAAAAAGGAAAAACGCGCGTGAAAGCGAATGCTCACCTCCGATGAACCCAGAGGCATGGACGAACACGCAACCTGCAATCCCAGTTAATTGAGACAAGGCACCGTCCCTGACGCCTCTCCAAGCCTCGGGAAGTGGCTTTCGACTTTCAAAGCTCGAAGGCGCCACAGGAACAGCCTGGACACGCCAGTTGCCTCCAATCTCGTCAGGATAAACGACATAGATGGCTTGATTGGGCTCAAGAGCACCTCCACCTTCGGAGCTCTCGAGTTCGAAAAGGTGTTCCTAGAGGCAGAGGTAAGCCTGGAATACAACGTAGGAAAGTAGATATCGTACCTTCCAAGGGGCAAATTGCTGGAACAAGATAATCTTACCAGAAGAATCGACGTTGGCCTTGCTCCAAGCAATCAACTCCTTCACAAGGTCTCCTGCAGGAAGCCAGCTATCACGGTAATAGTCAACGACTTGAAGGAATTCTTTTCCCGCAAGGGAAGAAGCCTCTTGGAACCGTGCCTAAGGAAGCAGTCATTGAGGAATTTTCCTCTCGTCTCAGCCTAATGCCGACGTACATCGAGGATAGTTGAGTCCGTGGGCTCATTCCAACGAGGGTTGAGGCTACCGACGCGACTCGAGAGGTCAGTCTTGTTGCGATAGCGGGGTTGGATGTCAGTCGGGTACTGAGAAATACCGTTGTCGATTGCATCCAACGCTTCAATGAAATCCTGTCGCGGCTTAAGATCTTTTCTTCAACCATCTCCACTATTTTGGGCGGACGTACTCGATAGACCTTCAACCAGACGTACTTGACCTTGGGATCGTCTGGTGCAGCATTGAGCCTATTTGCAATAATCTCTTGCCCGAAATGTCTGGGCAAGCATCTATATCAGTCCTCCTTCCATCGGGGAACAGAGAGGAACTTGCTTGTAAATCAGGCCAGCCGAAGACAACTTCGTTTCGAATCCATGACCAAACACGTCCGTGAAGCCACGTTGATGATGGTCGAAACGCAGTTTTTCAGCATCGTAGACAGCACCCACGTCCACGACAATGTCACAACCGTCCAAGATTGCGGGGTCCCGAGTTCGAACAACATCTGATGAAACCGGTTCCAGTATGGTTGACAAGCAGCAGGGTCCAATCACCAACCTGCAGAAGCATAGGTTGCGGTCTGTTTTAACAAGAAGACGGCCAGCGCTTCATCGCAATGGAAGGTGCCGTTGTGAGTGCCGATCTAAGAAAAAAGTGGTTCAATGTTGCTCATTGTGAGCCTATCTGAGACAAGAACCTTCTTGGTCAGTCTCTGGCGCTTTGGTTGAGGTTCGAGTTGGGTAGCAGATGTCATGAATCTTGGAGGAGAAAATTGGCAGGACCTGGGCAAGGTTGCGCGTCGAAAGCCAAGGAAAGCATTGCGAAGGAGTGAGGAATGTAACATGAGCTGTCCGGTGATTGCCGCCTGTGACTACAAGTGTCCTTTTAAATGTATACTAATAATCATTACGGAGGGTATAGACAGATGGTCTGGAGTCATTATATGTTGATGCAGTAAAGGAGTGTCAAGTGTAATGTCCAATGTCCAACAAAGTGCTCGAGCTTTACAACAGAACCATGCCTGCACCAACAGCTGCGCCGGCGACAGAGACAGCGAACGCTGAAGTTTTGAGCGAAAGTGCGCCGGCAATGAAATCATCGTCTGGACCATAGGCCCCACCGACCCCAGTTGCTCCTGGGACTGGGGCGCCATTTGTTCCTCCACCACGGGGGACGTCTTCAGGAGCTGTTGGAAGGGGAGTGCTTCTGGTTGATGATGGTCTGCGGCTACTGTTGTCGCCGGCGTCATCGCCGTCGTCACCACCGACTGGGACGGTTGTGGTGAGGACACTGGTGCGGGTGCCGGTGCTAGCCTCGCCGTTGCGAGTTGTTACGAATTCAGAAAGGACGGTGGTTGTGATGACTGTTGAGCGAGGAGAATCGGCGGTGGGGCGTTGTGTGGCCGAGGGGCTTGAGGAGGGAGAATCATCGTCCTTGAACAATGTGAGAAGGTGAAACTGTGGTGCAGTGAGAAAGCTGACATACCTGAGCTTGGGCGAGGAGGGGCAAAATCAAGAGGAGGCCGAGGAAGCGCCTGTTCATGGTGGTTTGGAGAGAAGAGCGAATGTTCACACGCCAGTATCTCTGCCATTGCTTTGATCATGTCGACGGAGCCTTATCCCATCTCCATCGCCACTGTCAGCCACCTGCTCGAGCTCATCGTCAACCTCGATGAGCCTCTGCCTTCGACCCTCGTCTCGATCCCGTTGCTGCAGCGGCACCATTTCCTCAACATCACAATCAACGATGCCGCAGAATATCTTGCTTGGCCTACCAGTTTAGAAGCCGCCACCCATTTTCTAAATACATTTCCCAAGGCCCCGCATTCGGATCTCAGCCCTACGGTCAAATATTCAGCAGACCCGGAGACGCTGGAAGCCCATGTGTCCATTACAGACACCGTCCGTCTTATATTTCATTGGGATCAAGCTTGGAAGTACCACAATATCGCCTTCATGCCTTTCCCCTCCAACACCTACGAGTTCTCTGATGCCCTGGGCATCTTTCAGTCCACCAATGATTTCCTCCAAGAGGCCTCTTACCCTGTGTCCATCGCCAGTGGAGACGAGGACGACGATTCTTATTGGAACTCATACGGCCAGGAAGACGACCACGATCGTTCTGTGAAAGTCCCCGCAAAACCCCACACTCCTCTGAATTCTGAGGATGCCTATTGGGCACGCTACTCTTCTATCCATGGTAATGCTCCCCACCATTCAAACGTCTGTTCGCACCTCTGACCTCTTCCAGGCACTGCCGACTCCACGATCCCATCCCCTCTTCCCGTAAAGCGCAACCTTGACCAACACTTGGAGGGCGAGCGGGTGTTCGTCACGTCGGGATCGCTCCAACCCAACTCCACCGAGCTATACAACCCCCTTGTCCCACCCTCACCCGGATCTCTTGCCAAACGGCTTGCTGATCTCTCACAACGTCCATCAAGCCCTCCCATGAGCCCCATCGACGATGATGAAGAAGCCTCCACCGATTCCAACACCACATCCCCCACCCGTGACGCTCCTGAGTTGGAGTTTACTGGAGCCACCCCCGTCGATTCGCCCTTGACAGCCGCTTCTCAAAACAACCTCGCGGGTGAAAGAAATTCCACCACCGATGAAACGGATGTGGCACTCCGGCAGACGATACAGGGCCTCTATCAACTTTGGAAGGCCGACCGTCACCGCACAGGTTTGTCTTCAGACACCGAAGCGTTCGTTGCCTTGGTACGAAGTGCGATTGAGGAATGATTTTGGGTAAGTAGTATGTGAAACAACACCGTTCAACCTTCGCCTGTACGCGGGCCGCAAAGCAAGAATAATACCATTCACGGTACTGATGTATTGATTCCGTCCATATGTACTTGTAGAGATCCTAGTCACAATGCCGCATATCCATCGGGATAAGTTTGTTTACGCTGCAAGACTAGTACCAGCGAGTAAACGTCGACGCGGGTCAAGGTGTCCATCACATCGCCTTCTACTTGTTCGACCCTGGAACACTAATGCCTCCCGCTGCAGTGGAACCCTCATTTGGCATTCTCTTCTTTCGAGGGTATTGGAAAAGCTGGGGCGGGGGCGTGTCGTCATTGTCCTGATCGTCACTGATAGGAGTACTCCATCAACGGAGTAAAGAAGTTGCAGAGCTTGGCCTGGAGAGCGGAGGAGGCGAATGCGGGGATGAAGTGGGGCAGGTGGGGTCAATATCATCCGCCCTCTCCGACTTTCCCCATGCTTCCCATGCCCATAACCCGGAAAGTTTGTCCTCGTCAACACTCATGGTCAAGATCGGTCCTGTGGATACCACACATACATTAGATTGCTCGCGATCGCTGGTACATATGACAAGCACCTCAACCTACCCATCACTGTGGAAAGTGTAACCACTTACCATACAACTATCCCAGGGAAGGACAATGCATGAGCAACGACCTGAGTTGGAGAGCGGGCAAAAAGAGGTGCTAAATCTTACATGGGATAATTTGATTTCCAGTAGCCGGCCAACGAATGTAGCCTCATAAGCCACCTTGGCCTCTGCTCAAGCAGCGGCGAGACTTGCCGGATAGTTCCAAATAGAAGTCTGCCTTCCAAATTCGGCCGATCAAGTTGCTCCACGCCAGCCCTTCAACTGGGGGGTTGGGGATCTCGCCATAGAGTATGCCAGTGAGCCTTTAATCACAGAAGTACAAGCGCCACGGGTAACAAGATTGACAGCGAAAACGAAGAAAGCACCACAAGACACGATATGGGTATCAAAAAGGTATTATCGGGTGCCGGGAGTAGGTATCAGACAACCGAATCGAAGAACAGCAGGAAGGAAGGAGAAAGACAACTGATGTTGTATCTGAGGAACCTAAACTATCAAATATTGTTTGTCAGGTTGTGACACTGGTGGTTTCTTCATATTCATTGACGCTGCCTTCACCGCCCTGCTCAACGATAGCGGCTTCTTCGGTCTCCTCTCGAACGGGAAGAGGAGGCTGTCCGGGGAGGCGCTGGTACGGGATTCAGCAGCAGAACAGGTTGCTGATATGAAGGAACCGACCTTGAAAGCGTATTTACAGACGAGGAATCCGGATAACCCCCTTTCCATCCATGCCTATATATGACAGCAGGTGAATAAAACAGGATCCGCCATCCAGAGTGAGAGCAGATCCAGACCTTTTCGACAGTATATAGCCCGTCGTATCGATAACTGATTCTTTCTTCAGCACTAAGTTAACTGGCTCGAGAGGTGAAACTGTTACCCTTCGTATGGAGCATACTTCGATGGCACCTTGTAGCCTCTGATGACTCGAACGGGCTTCTTGGTTTCGGTCGATTTCTGGCAAAGTTAATGAGGACCTATGTCACTGACAAAAGCCTTACCAAAAGGGCTTTGTTGGCTAGGTTTTCAAAAGTTTGGTCGGAACTCTGGGGTGCCGTTCGCAGCTGAAGAACACGTTTTAGAAAGGGGGGAGAGTTTATCAAATACGGCCAGCTTACATTTTTCCTGTTCGACGGGGTGCCTTTCAAGTCCCTACCTCCTAAATCACCTGTCAGTAACAGCGACCTATCCGAAGAACCAATCGACATGCACCAGAACCAGTGTATGTGCTGCTTTACGTTCAGAAAACGGGCAGATGTGAAAGTTTGATGCTACTCACAAAGCGTAACCCATATCAACGTCATCATCGTATCCACCACTCAGAGCCACCGAATATGCACCATTTTTTCCTCCCGAAATGCCTTGAACGTACGGGCTACAGGCTGGCTGTAAATCAAACCAACAAAACCACTGGTCTAAATGCACTAACGCATGAACACCATCCGCACTGCATTGCGCCCTCTGTGCCCACCAAGTTCCAACCTCAATTCCTGGAATGTGTCCAAAGATTTTACTGCACGGATGTGAGAAGCTATCGTCGACAAGCAAAAGAGGGCTCACAATCTGGAGGGATCCAACGTTCCTTTCTTTGGAATTTCATCGCTTCCCTGTTTATCGTAGTCATTGATAGTGGTTAGGGGCATGTTCCGCGCGGTCTTCAGCTCTTTGGTGTAGTCAATCTTCTTCCCCGCATTTCTTGCGCTGCGTCGCGGTCCCGGTATTGGTGCCTCTGACACATCATTGGCTTGCTCAGATCGCTGAGCCTTTGAAGCAGGCTCCTCAGTGTCGTCGCCATTTCTGGTGTCGCCCAGCTCCTGGGCCTCTGTTTTCCGCTTTTTACTCTTCTTGGGAGCTGGCTTCGTCTTTTGAGCCTTGGGCTCGAGGAGAGCGCTAATGGGACCATCTAACCCCAGCGACTTGAGTAATTCTTGATTCTGCAAGTAGAGTGTGAGAACGTCCGTCGGATCCAGTGTTGCGATGATAGCGCACCCTTTTGATGTTCTCTTGACGCTGTCTCTCGTATTCTGATAGTGCCGGCATGTTAATGTGAGTTGCGTTTGCTGAGCTGAGTCGTGGATGAAGGCGACAGCTGGCAAGCACGACGCGTCGTGAAAGGCACCGGATGTGACATTACTAAAAGAGACGAAGCACGTGAGGGCCAGGTGATCGTGTTAGGCAACGGATTAGCCCCTATCTGAGGCTCAAATGGAAATTCCAAGCCAGCGTCTGCGCGGAAAGAAAGTCACAATATTGTAGGCCAATATCGCTAATTATTATACAATCAGAAATCCAAGCAATCCACAACCGAATCCGTCCGAGGTCCAGCCCCTCCAAGCACCGCGTGGTAGCCACATGTCATTAGATTCGTTTTAGCTGCAAAAAGTACAATCAGGACGTATATGTGGGCAACCGATAGAACAACACCCACCCTCTCAGTGTTCCTGTGAATTCTGCTGTCCAGGGCATCGGTCTTGCCAGCAATTCTGTCGATGCGGGCGTTCTGGTTGTCAAGCTCTTGGCCCATAGCCGTCCCAAGTGCCTTCAGACGTTTGCTAATGTCACTGATTTCGTCGAGGTTGGTATCCAATTCATCTTCTAGCTCATCATCTGAAGCGGTGGCTTCGAATTGGTAGCGCTTGCGTTGCTCACGACTCTGCGCCGAGTTCTTGAACCTCGATCCTCCCAGAAGCTCCTCTTCGTTGCTACGACCATAGGTCGAAGCTTGTCCAAGTCGGGCCTGGGTTTCGCGGATATCCATCATTGCTTTCTCGCGCTCGTCCCGCTCCTCCTCGTAGCGCGCCTGAATCTTGGCCTCTTGAGCAGCCCGCTTCGCGTCCTTGTTCCAGGTAATGACAGGACGGAAGATGGAGCGATTGAGTTGCTTAAGTTCGTCGGTCTTGTCATCGGCACGCATCGAGTAGCCCTTGGATACGTCAAGGTGACGTTCCGTATTGGCAAGTTTTTCTGCGAAGAGTGTAAGTCTTGTTAAAATACAGGCAAAGCACACACATACCGGACTGGTCACCCAGGCGAGTAAGAGTGTTTCTAGCAGTCTCTTCGGCCTGACGGGCCATCTGTAAGGCATTTCTAGTAGAGTGAACACTCTCTTGTTTGACGAATCGAGTTTGCTTCTTGATTCCTTCTATGTCTTCTTCCGTCTCTTGCCCAGGCTCGCGATCAGGGATGACACCACCGTCAAAGAATCGACCAGAACCTCCGGATTTGCTTGCATCATAACCAGAGAATAACTCGTTGCGATCTTCGGTTGCATCACCACCACCACGGGCGTAAACATCCCCCACATTCCTACTCCGGCTATACCTATCATAGTAGTTGTCATTGGGATTTGGCTGGGGGCCTTTGTTTGTCGATGCAGAGTATGCTACGCTGTCGAATTTGCCGGCGTCACGACTGGGGACGTAGGTCTGAGGTGCATAACGCTGGGACGCCGGGGGTGGGCCAGATGGTGCTGCTGGTGGAGCCACAGGAGGAATTGTTTCTTTCTTTCTGAAGAAGTTCATGCTGTAGAGTCTAGTAGCAGCGGCTCAATACTTGAGTGTTGGCGGTAACGAGGATACTCACAGCCTTGCGACGGATTATATAGCGGGATGCACGTGATCCTGTTATCAAATTGGGTATGTACGACCCCTATTATGGGATAGCAAGCTACGCTACTGCAAACACTCATGATGACTTCTGGGACCGCTTTCCCGCCAGAGACTTGAGGTCTTTCGCGGATTTTCCGACGACCGTCACGCCTTTTCCATGCTTCGCGATGCTGGCCAAGGCCGCTTCTTTCTGCTTCTTCACCCCTCCGACACCCCGAGCCTTTGCAGTTTTGTCGACCGTCTTCTCTAACATATCCCTCTGTTTCTTTTTGAGCTTGCGCTCCTTTGTACGCAGAGCTCGTTTCTCTGCGGGTGTAAGCTCGCTTCGAGCGCGTAGTTGAGAAGGTTCGGCGGCGAATACTTCTTCTGGCGCAAGCATGGACGTCGCCGACTTGGTCGTTGGAAGGGCCGATTCCAATGTTGCAGTTGAGACATCGGAAACCGCAGATATAAGGGATTTCGGCTGCAAATAGGTCGTAAGTATTGCGGTGTGCATCCACGCTTCGTTCCACTTACTTGTTTTGGAACGAAATGGGCATTGCTTAACGCATCAAGCTTTTCGCAGAGTTTGTCCCAGAGTGACTCGATCTCTTCATGCTCCTTCCTGAGCTTGCCGTCACGGTCGTCGACTTTGGAAGTATCCCCTTGGGCAGCCATGTATTCGTCCTCGTAGATCTGGGCAAGCGACTGAGATGACTTGGAATCTTGAAGCTCCAATATTCTCGATGGAAGGAAAGCCTTGTCATCCATAGGTCGTATTCTGACCACATCATCGAACCGATTTTCCAAAATTCTCGTCTTGATCAACTGTTCCAGAGACTGGACCTTTTCTTCTGTGATGACAGGCACTGGCTTCATAACACGATCGAAGTCGAGGTCTTCTTCAAGCAAAGAATTCTGTGGGCGTGCACGAGAGTCGGCTTCACCCATCAGCGCCCAGTCCTTGCGACCAACATTCTCCTGCTCGAGCTCCGAGATTTGCGCTTGTAACGCTGCCATGCGTCTTTCGTAGGTTGTCATATCTACAAACTGTGTTAATTGGAACGCACAACATGAATACACAACACTGACCTTTCTCAGGACCTTCCTCGTCGTCATCTGCGAACAGATCGTCTTTGAGCCGCTCGATCGTCGTCCTCACCCGGTCTTGCGCACTCATCGAGGACGCGTCGTCCGACTCGAACTCGGATTCCTCTTCCTCTTCCCCGCTTTCCGGGGATGAAGAACCAGAACCGGACTCGTGTTCCTCTATCAGGTCATCCAGTGTTCGTTTCTTCGCAGCTGTTTTCTTGACGTTCACCTGGTCATGGAACCGAACGTTTTGTAAAGCCTTAGATGGCTTTTTCGTGGTTTCCCTGGGGGGCTCGAAGAAGTCGCTGTAGAAGATTTCTTCCAAGGCGTCAGAAAGGGAAGAAGGATGCCGAGTGGTTATTCACCTTTAGCATCATCTGCTTCCGTGTCTCCTTCCTCGTCTACCGGAGCAAAAAGGTCGATATCGTCGTCCAATTCATCATCCGAGTCGTCGTCCGCCGCCAAATGGCCTCGCGACGAGGATTTCGCCTCCGCCCTCTCAACCTCTGCCTTAAATTCAGATAAGTCGAAGAAGTCGTCATCTACTTCTGACTTGCGATGTCGCTGTTTCCGCGCTGGAGGTGGCGACGGTTCGTCTTCTTCAGAGGAGTCTGATACTGCGCGAGACTGATGTCCCCCGTCAATTTCGTCCTCGTCCGAAACTTCGTCGCTCTCGTCTTGAAAACCATCTTCCAACAGCTCGCTGTCGTCGACCGATTCTTCTTCAGAATCATCCTCCTGTATATCATCTTCATCCTCGCCAAGTTCATCGTCTTCTCCATCCTCGTCCTCGTCATCCTCATCGAAGGAGAATCCGCCAGATTCCAGCGCTTGTCGGATTTCGTCATTTTCGTCAGGATCTGCAAGTTCTCCCTCCAGAACAACGTCTAACAGATCGCAAATATGTTTAGTGCGGAGCTCAAGTTGAGCCCATACTTGTTCTTCCTCCAAGTCGTCGACGAATAGGGAAGCAAGGGGCGTTGGGTTGAAGGAAAGGCTTGGGGCGGACGGTTGGTTCGTGTTGCCTGCTTTGGACTTGGACCGGGTTTGCGGTGCTTCGAATGGGGTGAGGGATGATAGTAGTGCATTGATATGCTTTATTGAAAACGACTCTTCCCGTAAGGCTATGTATTGTAAATTTCATACGGTTTGGTATGATTCCTGGGGACACTCACAGACATCGAACACGGATTTGGCGGCCTGGATGGCTGCACTCCGTATATCATTGCTTCCCAAGGCAAACTGCTCTGGCTTTTCTAGCTTCTGTTTGAGGTCTGAGAAAACCTTTTCGTAGGAAGATTCGACTTGAGCCATGGCGGTAACTTGGAATGTCCAAGAGTAGATTAAAATTCCACCATCACCGAGGGTGTTGTGTTGCCGTGTTTGGCGTCACCGAATCTGGAAGGTGGACGACGCGCCCAAGACAAGACTTTGGACAACGACAACCCCCGTTTCTAACGTCCCCCAGCAATTACAAGGCTCGCGAGAATCTACGGTAGCGAACATGCAACGGACAGCTTAATCTAGACGGATCCATTTCACAGAAGAGCAAGAACAATAAGCTATTGTTGATGTACTCTGGCTTCGCTTTGTGCTCGAATGTGACACTGTTCCGTACCGCGCTGTTGGGAATTGGCTATATAACCCTCTGGCGTCTCACAATAACCCTCCATCGCTCGATTGCGACAGCTCCTCATTTCTTCTTTTCCCTTTCTTCTCTCTGGTCCGCTAGCCGGGTTCCCGCATTTTCAAGTTCAACGACATTCATTCACGATGATTGCTGGTTTCTCGAAGGCTACTACTCTTTACCTTGCCCCTGTACTGGCTCTTACTGCCACGATCCTCTCGCTTTTTGCTTTCCTTGCGCCCACACTTCTACTCCATGATCGTGTGGCCTTGCTCACGGTCACACCATCGACTACGTTGTCCCAACCAGGACCCTCAAAGTCAATCGATGGTCCGAGTGTGTTTATCGGCATATTGGGTCTGTGTATAGCGATCTACTCTCCTGCTCGTGGATGAACTAACACTTTCTTTGTCTTAGGCTCTTGCTCTAGGTCCAATAACAATGACACAGTAACTTGCACTGCTCCCGCACTGGCACCGGAATACGGTGGGGAAATTGCTTTTGACCCTTGGGTTGCTGCACCGATCTAATATAGTCTCTAGCGCTTGGTGTCCTCCCGGAGAATGCTCCCCGCCTTCTGTTATCAGCCCCGTCCGCTGCTGCTCCTGGACTCATCGCGGTTGCCTTGGCATTCTCTGTCGTATTCCTGGTTACCTTTACCCTCATCTCCTTCCGTCACAAGATGCCTGGAAAGGCTTCTAGCGTCTTCGATGCCCCTCATTTGCAGAACGCTTCAGCTTGGATTGGCGTCTTTGGATTTATGATTGGTACTGTTGCTGCGTTGCCTCCTCCAGATTCACTTTACTGATGCTACTTCAGGCTTTACTGCGTTCCTAATTATCCGCATGTGGTTTGGGAAAACCGTCAAGGACTTCAATGCCATGATCTTGGAGCAAGGTCAGCAAGGTCCGCAGCTTGTCGCTGAGATTGGCAATGCCTTCGTTAGTATGTAGACCCGCCTACAGCTGAAGGACATCGGCTAACTGCTTCCAGTGGTATATGTGGCTTACGCATTTTTCGCTGTGCCGATCATCAGCTCCCTAACGAAGCTGAACGTCAAGCTCAGCAAGTAAAATACTGGAAGCACTTTCAACGATCCTACGACGCACGATCTACTCTAACGTCTCTTGCTTAATGTCCCTAGCGTACGCCATCTGACCTTCTAATACATCATTCAGTCGCCCTTTTGATCGATATCGGACTTTCCAGCGCTTGCAAACCTTCACCTGGTGATCGGCACGTAACGAGCACCCTGTGAACCCGGTTACCCGGCGTTTGTCCACCCAATACTTACATCAAGAAGTGCACTACGGCCACAGGTCTTGCCAGGTTCTGGTGTCCCAAACAAGGCATTTCGGCGCACATGCAGACACAACCGTGTGTGTGGAAGCCTCCACCAGTGCCGGTTGGGCTTTCACAGAAGGTAATTCGTCAGCTTCTGGTGACCAATAGGGTACAGAACTCGAAGGGGCAGGTTGACGTGATCATCGACGTCGACGTTGTGTGAGCATTCCTTTTGTTGGACGATTCTAAACCAGACCGAAACGACGATAAAATCCCACCCCATCTCGTAGTGAGGGACCCCTAGCCTAGCCTTTCCTACCCTGCGCCTTTCACCACTGCAATATTTGGTCACAACCCTTTCTTGACATGATGCGTTTCGGTTCTGCGGTGGCACTGAGTGGGTGCTTGCTTTCAATGCTCCTCATTTTCTCCTCCCTCCTCCTGCCTTCCGAGTTTCCCTCGCGATCGCTCTCGGGCTGGCTTGCGGCTGTGAAAGGTCGGGGGGCCTTCGACTACCTACTGCGCCATGGTTCAGGTCCCTCCCCCATGCAATATCGGAGCGCTTCCAAGATTACTAGACAGGTCTCGGAGGATCTGTCGGTTCTTCACCAACGTCGGGTTTCCTTGATAGTCGGTCAGCTCAGAAATCCTTCGAACATATCCCATTGGTGAGTCATGACATTGCCAATGGCTCTAGCGGGTGTTCACAAATGGGAATTGGCTCGTTGTAGGCTTGACTCGCTGGACAATTTGACAGGCAAATGGCCTGATACAGAAGTTGATTACACGACCGGCTGCGGGGCGCGAAGGGCTAACTGGCCTGCTCAGGCGCATTGGCAGAGGATCCGTGCGTCATACATGCAATATGCCATTTAATCTTTGGTTCTGACATCTGGACAGTGGTCATGTCCGGGGCTTGGCACGGAGGATACAGAGGAGCAGAACAATGGGTCAAGGACGAAAGGCTGAGAACTACCATTGGACGAGCCATGGAATATTGGTTCTCCCGTGATATCACGAATGTTGACTGTCTCGATTGGGGTGGAACCCCCCGCTGCCCGTGTGACAACGTCGATGATTCTCTATGGTAAGCCGTCTTCCCGTCATCTGCATCTAAATGTCTCTCTGAAGGGCCACTCCACAGGAATACCAACTGGTTCTCAAACGTAAGCTTAAAGTCACTCCATGTCTTGATGAAGATAACGTACTGACCTCGCAAAACAGATTATCCTCATTCCCAGACTCGCAGGACAATCATGTCTGCTCTTAAGCGATTCGCTGACCTTGAGGGAAAGAGAAGTTTGTTCGAACATTACTCGACGATCGTTTGGAACCTTTGGGATTAAGCTGAATCAGGTTGGATACCTGACTGGCGCGAATACACTCGATGTAGCACGAGTCGGAATTGACTGCGGGCTGCTCAATAGCAATATTTCAATGATCGCCGACGCTTATCGTCGAATCCACGACGAATTGGTCATTCAAAACGTCACAAAAGTAGACGGAATACGGGCAGACGGTTCCTTTGGTGCGTCTATGCGTTCACTTCACGAACGTATTTCAAACATATTTCATCCAGCGCAACATGCAGGTGTTCTTTACAATGGAAACTATGGTACGTTCTATGCCACGTGGTATATTGTCTAAACCAATTAAGGTGCGACCAGGAAAGGACTAGTAAGGGGTTGACAGTTCTGTCGACCTTGCCAGACAATGAACACTCCTCTTAGCTCGAACGCAGTGTTGGACGTCGAGGTGATTGCGGCGGGAACATCGTTCTCGGCAGATACGACTGCTCAGACCGCATTCGAGACGTTGTTCGACGGACATAGGTGGATGATCTTCTCCAATACGCTTTCCCAGGTCTTGCACTTTGACTTTGTGAGTTCGTTCGCATTCGCGCAAGCTGCGACTCATGAGGCCGTCCTTCCAACTAGTCCGTTCTTGGGCGATTTATCACGTTCCCTGTCATCGACGACCAGTAAGTCCAAACCTCAATAGCCTGTCAAATATCATGTCTGAGCGTTTCTAATAGGGCTACTGGGAGCATCCAAATCAACCTCACCAAAACTTGGGAACTAGGGCGCCTATGGTCTTCCCCATCCTTGACTACATTCGGGGAGTCACTCATGCAGAACTTCTCCAGCGCAAACGCAGGAGGATTGACGGGAACGAGAATGTTCTTTGCAAATGATTATATGGTGGGCCACCACATTCACTAGCAGCTCGCTCAACCGGATTCGAGTCTATGATTCACAGGTCCACAGAGGTCCAAACTTTTTCTCGTCTCTCAAGATGTACTCCAGTCGAACGCTTAACACAGAATGCATCAACTCACAGAATGTAAGTCGTATTTTAACGAACGTATGTTATCTGGGCTGATCCTTGCTCCGATCCGATTAGCCGCTCGGGTTCCACCTCTCCGATGGAACGCTTTACACTTACCTCCGAGGAAATGAATATACCGATATCTCTGCTGCATGGGACTGGGATCTGATTCCCGGAACAACAGTGGATTACCGCAACACGCTTTTACATTGCAGTGGGGCCACGGTCACAGGCCGGGAGAGTTTCGTTGGCGGTTTATCCGATGGAAAGACTGGAATAGCGGCCATGCGTTATACGAACCCCACCACTCGATCGCTGCGATGGCAAAAGACATGGTTCTTCCTCAACGACGGTGCCCAACACGTCGTGATCAACATTCTGGCGTCCAGTAGCGGGGCCCCCGTATATTCAGTTTTGGATCAAAAGCGTCGCAACGGACTCACCGTCGTAGACAGGAGGGAAGTATTGAACTCGTCGACTATCACTGGCCCTCAACGGCTATGGCACGACAATGTCGGGTATGCCTTCAGGAGCTTGACAAATGCCACTACTCCCTTGCACGTACGCATGGGCGAGAGGACTGGGAGCTGGTCGGCGATTGGTACGTCGACCCAACCCCCGGTGTCTGTTGACATGTGGGCAGGGTTGCTGGAACATATCGACCTGTCGCAACCTCTGGAATATACCATCCTTCCTGGAACTTCATACCCAGACTTCCTGCAGAGAACCGAATTACCCAGAGTGGAGACCATCGCCAACAACGACAACGTTACCGCTATTTACGATCAGCGAACGGGAATCGCGATGGTCGTATTTTGGAACAACGGCGAAAGTTCAATTGCAATCGATACCCGGACACCCATTGCTCAAATGACCATTACATCCACAGCCAATGTCATTGTAATGTTTTCCACCAAAAACGGCACAGTGCTTGTCTCCGACCCGACCCAAATGCTTGACACAGTCGTACTGAAATTCACTATCGGCCGGGGCAAACGACCTTTGTACTGGAAGGGGCAGGCGGAAAAATCGCTGGTATTTCAGTTGCCTGGTGGAGGACGGAGGGGAGACAGTGTATCTGGCACCATTCGATAACTTTTCAATCCACATTGGTTGATCATGGCTCGAGAGAATAGTGTCATTGCGTGCGTATATACTACAGGGTGAATTAGAATTGCTCCGCATAAGCCTCCTGTGGGGGCTGCTCCTGAGGGGGAGCGTATGCTTCCTCAGCTGCCGGAGCGACGGCGACAGCAGGGAGTTCGCGCTGCTCGGAAAGAGGCTCGGAGATGATCTTGTCGACGGGGGGCTCGAAAATTTGGACAGAGTCGGGGAGGGGTTTGCGTGGGCCGAGTTGTCCCTCACGGTCATAACCCTTCATACTATTCGAACGATCAGAATACGGCACGTGGGCCAGGAAGTAGGACGTACATTTTAACTTTGATTCCCAACACACCCTGTCGGAGGAGAACGTGTCGGACAGCGTAATCGACGAACTCAAGAGCAGGTTGACCAGAGTGGATCATGAAGCCGTCGGTGAACTTCATGGATTTGGCACGAGCGGCACGGAGTTTGCCGCTGACAACTACTTCGCAACCTTTGGCACCAGACTCCATAACGAATCTGAGGACACCATAGCAGGCACTAGAGGGAACTGAGTAAATTTGCGCCGTAAGTGGATATGGGTTGGACGCACCGTCGGACGGCAAGACCACCCAAAAGCTTGTATCGCAAGCTCTCGCACTGGGCGATAGCAGAGAGACCACGGTATTGGACCTTTTCGGCGTAGAGCTCCAAGGAGTTTTCTGGGAACTTGAAACGTTTTTGAACAAGGGCAGTAAGTTCACGAATGCGGCGGCCCTTCTCGCCGAGGACTTCTTGGGTGTGGGTAGCACGGATGATGATCTGGGGACCGCCAATGAGACTTCTGGCACGATAAATGAGACTATCGATGTACCTCAGTTCGTGCATGGGTGACCCGAACGTCACATCCAGAGTAACCCTCCTCAGCAAGCTCCCGGGTGAAGAATTCGTTGAGTTCGGCACGGAAGACACCGTCGGCGACAAACTTTCGCTTTTTGCTGATTTGGGAGGCCATGTTGGTGGAGGGCTAACAAAGATCCAATTTAGTCGTCGTCTTGGACAGCAATTTGGGCTACTCACCGTTGCTGGAGGACGTCGTCGACACAGATAACGATGATCTCTGCCGTGCCTCGCTGTGGCTTGATCAACTGTGCAGTTGATGCCCGGCCAACACCGGCACCTCCACGTGATGACCTTTTAAAGCGCACTTCCCTTTCGATCAGCTTGCCCCTTGCGAGTGTTCGCTACGCTTTTCTTTTTTGTTTTCGCCAAGGTGTGTGATCATTTCCTTTTACTTCACATGACGAGTGTTGTATTTCAACCCATTGGCACCTCTTAGTCGATCTGCGTCGGTGTACCTGTACATTCGACTCAATGACATGAATGACCGTCTGATCCTTTTCCCTTCATTGCCATTAATCCCATCTCAACCTTGCACTCACTCTTTCAACAGGGTATACATTCGCTACCGTAGCAATATATCGCCAAAATGCATGTCGTATTCTAATGGATAACTTCGTTGACAAAGATACCTGCTGCGCCCATACCACTTCCAACGCACATACTTGTGCACAAGACTCGCTCCTTCCGTCTCTTCAACTCGGCCAATCCGGTGATTACTTGTCTAATACCAGCTGAGGATGCATGTTAGCAACGTCAGAGCAAGAACCAAAGTTGCATACACGTACTCATTCCAACTGGATGGGAAATGGCAATCGCTCCTCCACTGCACATCAACTTAGTGAGCGTGCTGCAGCCTTAGAACGGCAAGACTCACTTGGGATTGATTTTGTCCATCGAGATGCCTAGCTCTTCGACACAATGGACGAATTGCGAAGCGAATGCCTCGTTAATCTGAGCAACAAGCCGAGTTAAATAAGGACTCTGCACACGTGCGTCTGACCCTTACCTCGTAGATGTCGACCTCATCTTTGGTCAGTCCGACTCTCTCCAGCACTTTAGGGATCGCTGCAACCGGAGAAATTCCCATGTACCTCGGCGCAACCCCTATGGCTTGTACTGAGCCCAAACGTTTCTAACTGAAAGCAAGGACACACTGACCGACGACAGAAGAGGCAACCCATTTCCCAAGTATGGGCATACCTTCGCGTTCAGCATTCTCTCTCGTGGTCATGATGCACAACCCAGCCCCGTCACCAATCCCGCTCGCATTTCCTGCGGTCGTTGTGCTAGGTTCCCATTGCGGGAATGCAGGCTTCAAGCCTGCAAGCTTCTCTGCTGTAACACCGGGACGGATGGTGTCATCCGTTGTGTACGTCTTCCCTTTCAATTCAATGGGGATGATCTCCTCTGCAAATATGCCGGCTGCTACTGACTGAGTGCAACAGGCTCAGCGCTGTACAGCTAACTGCCCAAGGAGTTTAGAGCCCACCTTATTGGCTCTCGTGTGCGAAATCAACGCGTACTGGTCCTGCTTTTCCCTTGGAACGTTGTAAGCCTGGGCAACCTGTTCAGAGGTCCATCCCATAGGCTTGCAACATGGTCAGCACATCAATCACGAGTATAGCATAAAGGCGCACTTGAATACAATCATTGGCCTCTGGGTGCGCTGAGATATGGTCTACAACCTCTGGCGTTGGACGAGGGCTAGGTGGCGTGTAAGTGGGATCTAGGGCTAGACCCAATAAGGTACATACTTGAGACTCATACTCTCTGCAGCAGCAGCGACGCCAATACGTGCCTCGCCTGCTTGGATGTGATGGGCAATGTTACGAATAGCCATCAAGCCAGACGAGCATAGTCGGTTTACGGTGGAAATGGGGACCTCGGGAGGGATCCCAGCGGCCAGCGCCGCTGCGCGCGAGACATACAGTGGCGAAGGAGGATGGCAAGTCCCTGTACACGGAAGTTAGTAGTTGACAAGGATATCCAGAACGAGTGGACAGTTGCGTACCGACGCATATATCATCAATCTTACGAGGATCCAACCTGCTTTCTGCAAGGGCGGCTTTGAAAAGAGCGTTCAAGAGTTCGTCTACAGGGGTATCCTTGAATTGGCCCTTCCATGCCCTGCCTATTGGTGTTCTCTTTGCATAAGTAATCACAACGTCGTCGGGTCGTTTCTCGATGATATTCTGAAGGCCACGAGGAGTACGAGTGCTGGCTGCTCGACGAAACACGGGGCCACCAGGCGACAGGTTGGCGACACGTCTTAGGAACATGGCTTAGGAAATGACGGTGTGGTGGAAAGTTGGAAGGGATGAAAGGATTAGCCCTGGTATCTTATAAAATCTTGTGGGGACGGTAAGCCGGACCTGGACCATACATCAAGTTCTACCGATTACACGTTCACATGAGCGATGTCAGAACGGAGAATAAGGAAGGTGTATCCGTCAATGTCTGTGAGTATTGCATGGAAAGAATGATATGCGAAAGGTAAACGACGAACACTAACAACTACCAAGGGAATAAGTTACAAAGGCAGGCTTTCCAATCGTCTTTCCGATACTTGCACGGGAGGCGGAATGGCCAGGGCCGACAGAAGCGGATAGGCTGATGGAAGAGAATCGGGACTCTATGAAATGTTCTGTCGCTTTTCTGCTTTCCAATGCCGCGTGAGTTCACTGTAACAGGTTTCACAGTAGTGGTGGGAGAGCTTGGGTGAGCCACAACCCGGGCAAGCGACGATGTCTGAGAGCACATGGAGCGCGGTCAATGGCCACGTCTGAATAGTACCAAACCGAGAGACGCACTTTGCTTGTCTTTCAAGCCCTTGTTGGAACTTCGCATTGCCTTGCGCGAATGGGAAACCTTCTTCTTGGGGACGGCCAATACGACTGGTGGAAACAGGTCAAGGAGGGATTGTATTGACCAATTTGAAATTCGAGGAAGGGTTGTGGCGAAGAGAGCTGTTGCTGGGAGGAGAGTTCTCGCCCAAGGGAGAGAGAGCGATTTCTGGACGCTTCGCAGTGCCAAAGCCATGGTTGTCGGCGTCTGACAGTGAGAGACAGGGATTCGGATTCGGTGCTGTTGACGCGAGAGGAAACCACTCAGCCAAAAATTTATACTCCGACGCGCCGAACGCTGTCAGACCGTATCCGTCTTCTCGACCGCAACACCAACGTCAACGTCGTCCGCCATGTTCCGCTTCACTCGCCCACTTCTCAGAGCCGTCACAAAGCAAACAACAGGAATCAAAGGCCTGAACGTCCACCCAAACCCTCTCCCAGAGCTCGTCAAGACGTACCAAACCACACTCTCCGTTCTCTCCCAAATCCCACCAACTTCTGTCTACCGCCAGGGCGTTGAAGCTCTGACACGGCAACGTTTGAAGATCGTAGAGGACTCGAACGGGGACATTGCGGCCGTCGAAAGTCAGTTGCAGGATGGTCAAATCGAACAGTCGTTGAATATTGCGGCCGATGAACTGAGCTTGGCCAACAAGATGCTTCAGTGGAAAGCGTACGTCTTTGTTTGGTTTATTCATCTCTTCTTTCTCAACGCCCTTCAGCTGGGAACCCTTGGAGGAGAAGCCTGCCCCGGGCCAATGGGAATACTTTGGAACCGAGACGACAGCCTCCACGGCATCATAGACGGTCCGCGGCGGTACACGGATAGGGCAAGGCCATTGATTTGGCCATGGTATCACCATGTTACTTCTACCACCAATATACACACCTAGCTTGTCCATGGCGAGCCGCAGAGCTTTGGTGACTATATGTCCTCACCGCCGGCGTGTGAGGGAAGGGATGACAGCGAGCCACATTCGAATGTACTCGCTCTCTCCTTGAACAACATTGCAAGTTATTCTGGAATCCAATCAATTCAACATCGACGGGTTCTGGTCGACCTTCAGGGACTTGTTCCCCTTGCTGAAAACAGGGAATCCAACGGAAACTAAAGCATCGGTTATGGACTTCGACAAAGGACTTGCCATCCTCCATTATTCTCCTAGTTCCCGTACATCCCACCGTAAAAGGAACAAAAAATTCGCTGGAAGCAGGATTTGAACCTACGCGGTGAAACACCAAGTGATATTGAGATGCATTCAAATCACTCGCCTTAACCACTCGGCCATCCCAGCCTTAAATCAAGGTCCACAGGTGTAATTGAGGACGTTACCGCCTGTGCACGAGAAACAATCGCACTGCTCCCCTTGGAGCTTTAATTAGGTCCCTTCGCCAAAGGTAGAAGTGAGACTTGAAGGCACGGCCTGGATGAGTGTCACGGCAGAAGAAGGACTTGCTTCGAAGCTTGAAACCCTCGAAATAATGTTTACCACCGCCAGCTCCTTTTGACTAAGCATCACAATGCGGTGGAACTTTCAATGAAAAGTACCTTGTTCTCGTCCCTTTGCCTTCAACGATATGGATTCGCTGATTCCTTTCACTACTTCTGGGGCCTTGGTAGATTGCGTGGACAGTACGTCTGGTTCACAACTCAGCTGCATTCAACACCTTGCTGAGCGCAAAATCGTCTCCATCATCTTTCTTGCTCGTGGATCCCGCGCTCTGGCTTGTCAACGACACGTTTGCCGCCGTACACTCGTCTCGACTCCCATAGGGAAGATGCTGGTTGTCCTTCGAGACGGCAGAAAGCTACACGGCGTATTACGATCTTATGACCAGTTTGGTGAGTTCCGTACCGATTTCATTGGAACACACAGACTAACATATCGCTGTAGCCAACCTCGTGTTAGAAGACACCTACGAAAGGATATATCATCGGAACATGTTTGCAGAACAGCACCATGGTCTCTTTTTGATTCGAGGGGAGAATGTCGTACTGATGGGCGAAATCGTTAGTACTCAGGTTGCTGTTCGAATAGGTCTTGACCCGATATCGCCGCTAGGACCTGGATAAAGAAGATGATGTTCCTCTCAAGCAGGTAGAATACCACCAGCTCGAACCATATCATATCAAGGAACTTGAACACAAGAAACTGCACGAGGAAGCGAAAGCGCAATACCTATTCGAACATAATGGTTTCTCGCGAGAAGGTGGTGAGGGTGATGGATACTAGCTTGAATCAGAGCGCTATCGTCGGTGGCTTCATCGTGAATTGCTCTACTCTCGCATTCTCAACCGCTGATGGGCTAGTCCAGATCACAGATTCAACCTTCATACAGATTCAACCTTCATTAAAGCGCTCCGAACAAATAGTTAAAGAATATGAAATTGTATCGAATGCCAAAAATAAATCAAAAAGTCAACGAAAACTGACAACTTGGGAGCAGGTGATTCTGCAAGACAAGCTTGAGACAAGCTCCAATCGGTTAGGGTGCCTTCCGCTTTTTTCCTTTCTTCACCGGCTCACTGGCGGCGCCTTTACCCTTGGATTGGCCATTTGGGAGTCGCGAATTTATGGAGGTCAGCGGTTTATGGGTCGTCTTGCTGGTATGGGTCGGTGGTCCTGTCCCTGAGCCCCTCGCGTTGGAAGGACGGCGCTGCTTCTCATTAGGGACAGACGGGCTTTCCAGCTCCTCCAGCTGCGCGCGGACGTCTTGTTCACGACCGTGGAATTTCGCAAAAGCCTCTTCCCGTTTCTCTTTCTCCTTGGCGATGTCCTTGAAGCGCGTTGTCTGCCACCTGGATCAGATACAGAAAGTTAAGAGATTTAACGTCCGTTGAAGTGTATAGAACAGTGGCGTACCCGACATGTCTTGCGCAGCCCGAATCTTGAGAACACCACCAAGAGCCCTCCACTGAAGGTGTTCCCTCAGCTTCATCGATGTCCATTCGATCGGACCTGTCGTAAGACTCGTAACTATCCGCAATGGTTTGACCCAAGCCCTCAGTCCATTCATCATCCCCAAAACAGAGCCGTTGATCCCATCCGCATTGAGAAACCGTTTCCGACCTCTCCACCGCAAGATTAAGTAAACGCTCCCTCCAGCTGAGGATCTCCAGGCTCTTCTTAATCTCGTCCTGCACCTTCGCAAGGTGGTCCAAAGTCGCATTGAGTCGTTCTTTATCCCGCTCGACTTTGGTCTTGACGGGCTTCCCTGCTTTCAGCTGCGAGGTCTTTTCTGAAGAGCAGAGAACTCCGTTCTTGGAGTCTTCGTCATCTGTTGGTGTGACGAGATTTGCGGGTTTGGCGCACTCGTCCGTAGCTTCGATCCTGACCACCACTCCTTCCCTTTTCTCCGCATGCTTAACACTCTCCCACAACTTTTCCTTCTTCCCGCCTTTCTTCGCCCAGGAATCGATGCGAGATTGCATGTACTTGACACCGCATTCTTCAGAACAGTATTTCGAAAATGCACCGCGGGCAGGTTTGTGGCACGCAGCCACGGAATCTGGGTCTGGGTGCTTTAGTCCCCATAGACAACGCGCCTTGTACGTAGTGGTCAGGTTGAGTTTGGGATTTTCTAGACAGGGTAACAGTTAGGACCATAGAAAGAACAGGGCCCCTGATGGCGTACTTTCGATGCAAGGAGGGCAGAAGAATTGGTCAACGAGGTCTGCAACAAGTTCGGGCATGTTGACACATTGCATGTGGTACCAGTCATCGCAGCTGTTCCAAGGGATCAATTGTAAGGAACCAAAAACACGGTCCAACCAATGGGCGTACCGGTCACATGCAATCATGGCCCTTTCCTGATCGTACTTGGTTTTGCATACGCAGTACAGCTTGTCGTCCTCGTTCGTGGTATCCTGCGACTCCTCTTCGTCAGCGAGCTTGGAATCGGCCGGGCTTTGAGGTTCGTCAACAGCAATACCAGGCTTCACGCTTGTCGACCTGGAGCGCGAGACCGAACCTCCCTTGGTGAAGATAGCCCCAGCGGCAGATTTCGTCGACTTGGAGCCCGTATCGGAGGGGGTATGGACAATAGAATTAGTCGTTTTGTTCCCATCTAGATCACCGGAAGCCTTTTTGACTTTGCTGGACGACTTTGCTTTAGCCTTTGGGACCGTCGAGGTGGAGGACGAAGGTGTACCCTCTTCAACAGAGGTTTGAGCCTTGGACTTCTGTAAAACATATCAATTTATAAATTTGAATGATACATAGTAAGCCATCAACAACATACCTTCGCGTTCTTCTTCTTGACCGGCGCCGTGGTGGTTGGGGCAGAGGGTGGCGAATCCCCGTCGATATCTTTCCCTCTATCATCGTCCTTGACCTTCTTTTGTTTAATGCTCCCGTCCTTCGCAGCTGCAGAAGGCGGCGCGGAATCCGACAGAGGTGGCAGGTCTCGGGAAGCGGATGTGGGTGATGCAGACGTGGCTGTCGCAGATGCCAAATGGACTTCGCTCGAGATACCGGAAGTCTTCAGGGGAGGCGGCAATGTTTTGCTCGGTTTCGCGGGCTTGCGAGATGCTTTGCTGGCGGCCTTCGCTGCTTTGCCACTCCCAACTGGGACATCGTGCTGTTTGGGCAGAAGAGTCGCCGAGACATGAGAGACATGAGTTGGCTTGTCTTCCACCAAGCTGAGTAATTCATCCTCGACATCATCGACAAGGGTTTGCGCTTCCGGAGCGGTGGAGGCAGGTCGCATGGCAATGTCCCCATCTTCCTCCTCTTCCTCCTCCTTCGTGAGATTCGTCCTAGGCCGGCGATTGGCTTCCTTCTGGGGGGCGTGTCTCTCCTCCAACGTTTCAGCCACGAGATCGGCGACAGCAGAATCAACGTCGACATCCATCGAGTCAGGAGGAGTCGGCTTGTTGGGCACCTTGACTTCAGCCAGCAACTCCTCCAGCTCCTGGTCCAACCCACCATCGTCATCGTCGTCCGCTTGGTCTTGGTCCCTCACTGTCGACGGGGGTGGTGGCGGCTGTGCAGCTTGCTTCTTGAACGGTACCGTTACGACTGGTGACTTTGTGCGACGAGGCACTGTGGAGGAGGACGGAGATTGTGTTCGTGGTCGAGCAGTACGTGATGAGGTGTTGGAAGATGAGTGGCTTGGACTATCTCGCCCCTGCTTAGCGGGTGAAGCGTGGGCGTAATGTTGCAATAGCCAGTCATGCGCATCTCCCTCTTGCGCCGTCCCTGTGCCATGCTCCTTCGGCTCATCTTTCTCCGGAGGTTTATGAGGCCGAAATTGCTCTTTCTCCTTCCCATGCGTTGACGGAGTCTTCTTCCGCGGGGCTGGGACAGGCCCGTCGAGTGCATGCTCTGAGGATTCTTCCTTATCGCCTTTATGTCGCTTCACAGGTACGGAAGGACGGGAATCTTCCACTGAGGCCGCAGTCGTCGGAAGTGGTTGAGGGGATAATGGAACTTGCAGGGATACTGGTCGGTGCACCTCGGGAATCGCAATGACTGGGTTGGGATGGTGAGCAGAGGGAGGGGAAGAGGTGGGCACGGAAGGCCGAGATGGTGGGGGATGAGGCGTTTGCGAATACTCTTCCGCTTTTCGAGAGGCTTTAGCTCTCCCGATTTGACTTCCGGGCGGAGAACGCCGGCCTAAGGGACTGAGAATCCTGTGATGAGCAGATGGAGGGTGGGGAGGGTAGGAAGTCGGGGCTGAGGAGGGGACGCTCCCCGCCGTACGCATTGGCCCGTCGCGCGAAGGAATGACGACCATCCTCGGTGAAGGTACTGACATGGACGGTGACGAGACACTGGATATTGGATCCTCATGGTCCGGCGATAAGAGGTCAGAGACAGATACGGGTTTCCTTCCACCGGAACCGGAACCTGAGTGAGGACGGCGAGGGGCAACGGGATTGAGGACCACGGACATTGGCGATGGAATAGTCGTGTACGTCGGTACTGACGAGGAGGAAGGACCTGCTATCGGTGATTCAAAACGACCATAACCTATCTCCCCCGCGGACATCTTCTCCCGTTCACGCTGAATGCGGTCATGACTCTCATCGACGAGCATGGGAGCCATGGAAGGGGACTCAGAATACCGCCGCTTCTTGGTGGGCCGTTGATCAGGTGGTATATGTGAAAGCGGCTGGATGATGGGCGACTGTGACTGAGAGGACTTGAGAATTGGAATAGGATCGGATTTGCGGGATGTTGTCAGCTGAGGTCCAGGAGGTATTTCGATGCGGGGCGGATGCTCGTATTGCCTTTGGTTTGGTTGTTGGTGCTGATGCATCGAGTGGTGTTGGAGAGATAAATGTGCATGGTGTTGCTGGTGTGGCGAAAGGAGACGCCGCTGGTGCTGGTGGTGGTGCAGTCGAAGTTGCATATCTTCAGATCGTTGAATCTCCTGCGCATTAAAGTACCGTTGCTGTTCCTCCCTTCTCTGAATCTCCTCTCGTTCACGACGTTGTTGCTCTCGACGCTCCGCCTCGCGAATGGCCGCAATCTCTCGCTCACGGCGCTCATGCTCCCGTCGCTCCTCCTCCAGCCTGAGACGTTCCGCCTCCCTGCGGCTCTCCTCCTGCCGCCGCTGTTCCTGCTCTTGCAAACGTCGTTCTACTTCCAACAAGCGCTTTCGCTCATTCTCCAACTTCTGTCGCTCCTCTTCCATTCGTTCCCTCTCCAGCTGAGCCTTTCTTTCGAGCTCTGCGAGTCGCTCTGCTTCCTGAGCCCTCCTCCTATCAGCCTCTTCCTGCTGCAACCGGTGTTGTCGCTGGATTTCTTGGGCACGGTAATACTGATGGTCACGTTCCTGCTGTTCCAATTGTTGTTGTCTTAATTGATGAAATCTGTGTTTATCTTCGTCATAAGAGTGAAGCCGGGACTGCTGGGGTTGCTGATAAGGGGATGTAGGGGCTTTGAATGTCTCGCGGGGACTATGAAGGGTAAGTTCATCGATTGACTTGGGATGCAGCGGGCTTTGGGGTTGACGCGGGGGATAAGATGGCTCCTCTTTCCATGAATTGCGATGGAACTGCGGAGACTGTCGTGCCTGTTGCTGGTGATGCTGGTGCTGCGAGAACTGTTGGGGTTGGTGAGGGTGAGGTTGCTGGGGTTGTGGTTGGATAAGGTCACTGCCCGACAACCGCCGACGTTCCTGGGTTGCAGCGTGGACGAGGGCCTCGAGACCTAAGAAGCCTTGAGGTGACTGTTGAGAAGACGATGGGCGAGGGGACTGCTGCTGAGGTACTTGTTCATAGTGAACGGTGTTGGATCTGCTACGAGACGCGGGTACCTGGGAAGGTGCTCGCGACGAAGACGACGACGATGAATGCTGTGGGTACTGACTCCTGAGATGTGGAGCAAGAACGACATGGTCGTCGGGGGTGTCGTCGCAGAGCAGCGACGATATGTCCAGTCTCCTGGATCCGCCAGACATCGTGGACGAGGAACAAGAAAGGACCGTGTGAACACATCAAATGTGGACCATATGTGTGAACACTGAATCAGAACCCGAGCTCGCTGTGTGGGACTGCGCTGAGCGCTGCGGAGACATGGCCATTATGTGGAAAGAATGTATATTGGACAGGTGACGATAATCACAACGGAATAGAGTATGTACAACGAGACATTGCGGCACCGTCCACACACAACCAACGAAGGGCTGCACGACGACGACACCGCACCCAAGTCCCATCGGCGTCGTTCTCCAGACAAAATACGGTCTCGCGGTCATCGATGCTGCCAGTCCCGAGGGCGGCTGCGTCGTCGACGAGATGCTTTTGTTGTCTGCGAGACAAACGTAAGCAAATAAAAGAAAAATGAATATTTTGGCAGGGAGCTCACCTGTGCGAATATGCGTTTGACCGGAAGACCGGCAGTGGAAAAGGGCTATATAGCAAAGTGAACTGTACAGTTTAATCGTGGCTGCTCACACGTCGCCGAAAAAGGAAAGAAAGTCGGACCCTCCTTGGACACAGATTAGTTTTGGTCCTCCTCGTCGTCCGTATCGCGCAGCAAACGACGCTACACGACAGCCCCGCCGTCTTTTCCCAGTTCAACATTACTGACTGAGTGAACAAGGGCCCCGTCACAATGTCGGTGGCCTCGAAAAACCCCTTTGCCCTCCTCGATGGTCAGTGATAAACTCTTGATCTCCCATATCTTTGTTCATCATCCTTTGTCATACAGCCGAGGACAACTCACGGCCAGCTAGTCCTGCACCAGCACCCAAGCCTGCTGCTGCGCCTCAGGCTCCCGCCGCCGCCAACCGAAATCAGCAGAAGACTCGAGGTGGTCCGGCTTCGCGCGGTGGAAAATACTACGCTCGTGGTGGAAAGCCCTCCACCGGTCCCAAGGACGCTTCTGGTGCCGTTGGCGCTGAAGAGCCTGTCGTAGAGGGCAGAAAGTGTCGGTGCTCACTTTTTCCTCTGGCGATCTTGCGTTGATCTCTCTATAGTCGAGGGTGGTCGCGGTGGTCGAGGCGGTCGCGGTCGCGGCCGTGGTGGAAACACCGGAGGTCGTGGTCGTCAATTTGACAGACATTCGGCAACCGGCAAGACGTGTGTCTCCCCGTACATCCGAAACTCCTGCTTTTCTGACCTCCCTTGCTAGCGACTCCCAGAAGAAGATTCACCAGGGCTGGGGCGGTGACGAAGGGAACACCGAACTCACGACCGAGCAACAGGCTGCTGCTGATGCTGCTGCCGAGCCAATAAGCGAGGACGCCACTCCCCCTGCTGACGGCGAAGCTGCCGATGGCGAAGCCAAGCCTGAGGGCAAGGCTCGCAGAGAGCGAGAAGAGGAGGACGATAATACTCTCACTCTGGACCAATACCTTGCTAAGAAGAAGGAGGAAGAGCTCGCTATTCCCAAGATCGAGGCTGTTCGTCAAGCGAACGAGGGTGCAGGGGACGATATCTGGAAGGATGCGGTTCCTCTGTCGAAGAACGAAGACGAGGAGGCCTACTTCGTTGGAAAGGTCCGTTGTCTCTTTGGTCCTTCTTTTTTCGTGAATTCTCATCCTTTGTGTTAGCAAAAATCCGCTCCCAAGGCCAAGGCTAAGAAGGAAGACAAGGTTTATCTTGAAATCGATGCCCGCTTCGAGCGCCCCGATCGTGGTGGCCGCGGCCGCGGCCGTGGTGGTGACCGTGGCGATAGGCGCGGCGCCCGTGGTGGAAACCGTGGCGGTCGTGGACAACGCCAGAACGGTGCCTCTCAGACTCCCAATGTCGATGATCAAAACGCCTTCCCTTCGCTGTCCTAGAAGGCTCTGGCACTTTGAAAAGACCGCCGTTTGCTCATGTAGTACATCGTATCGTTACGGTTGTCGATTGTCCTCCACCATTCTCCAGCGTATAGGCAGTAAAGAAATGAAGCAGTATCACTTCTCCCCCCACGACCCGCTTTCTTGTAACCTGTCTCGTGCTTCCTTTATGAACATTAGGGTTATACCTTTTATGATATTGGATTTTCTACCAGAGCTTGTGTGATGTAATAATTTCCTTGCTCAGGGCCCCGGATCATGCTTTTCAGAGCAACCGCAAACACTGGCTTTGAGCCGGAAGCCCCCTGCCATCGCTGTTTGCATTAAACGGCCATCTCCTTTTCTTTTCTCTTCCTTAGCCTCAAAACCATGGAACGAATCTATATTGCAAGGCATGGTGAGCATGCTCTTTTCATGGAAACTTAAAGTCGGCGCCCTCTGATCAATTCCCCCTATCCATAGGGTTTCGCCTGAATTGGATCAACACCAATTGGTATGTTCGTCCTAGCTTGATAGACAATTAAACGTTAAACGCGCGTTCGATCTTCATTGCAATAGGAAGAGCGAGACGGGACTAGCCAGAGATCCTCCTTTGGCTGCGTATGGTTTGGTGGGTGACCTCCCCTGTCCTTCCTTCCAAGGCCATCGGACTAAACAGATTTTCAGACTCAAGCACAAGAGCTCGCCGACTACTTCACGACCCTTCCCGAGGACGAAAGACCGACGGCCATTTTCTCGTCTCCATACTGTATGCCTCGCATCGTTGTTGTTCTGCCTTGAAGCAACTCCTGGTGATCACTGAACAGACCGTTGCCTCCAAACCGCTCAACCAACTGCAAAGGCCCTTAACCTACCCATCCACGTCGAACATGGTAGGTCCAGAAACAATACAAAGACTTTATGCCCTCATCCTCTACTGTAGGAATTGCCGAATGGTACTCGCCCGTCGTATCCGATAGCAATCTGCTCCATCCTCGACCGGGATCGGCTGAATCGCTTCAAAGTTACTTTCCTGAAGTCGACACCAAGATCTGGACCACCCCAGTTTGGTACCCTTCCCGCAAAGGAGAATCGGTGGAAGAGGTTCATGCTCGCGTTGACGGGTTCCTGACCGCGTTTGGAACTGTCCTCTCTAAAGTGAAAGAGATCGACGGGAGACGACCTCTCTTGATCACTCACGCCGCAACCGCTATCGTCCTGGTGCGCAGTCTGACAGGAGACCGTAGGTTGCCTCTCAAGGTTGGCTGCTGCAGCCTGAGTGAATTGCACCCTAAACCCGACGTGAAGAGCGTCTCTCCTCTGGGTTCATATTATGGCGTCAAGCTCGCTGACGGATCTCATATGAAGGGAGGATCGTCCAGGGAATGGGGTTTCGATGATATCGAGATCGAAGAGGGTCGGGTATGTCTCGATAGTCTGAAGCAATAGAGGCCCGCATGCTGACACCATATTTATATCAGGTTGTCGAAGATCCAGGTGAACCGGGGACAGAGAACGAAGAGGACTTCCCTGTCGGGTCACAATTACAACTCCTCAGCTACCTCTAGACGAATTTACATCCGGACCTTCTGGGGGGTGCTACTGTACATTCGATTCTGCTTTATCTCATTCCTTGTACACAATCTAGAATTTGATGTAGGCGCTCGCATAGCTCACACTCGAATCCCGAACGGTATGACAGTGACTACTCTGCTCGTATCTGACCCACTTGACGATGGGAGTCAAAGACTTTGTCTTCTCCAAATCAGCCAGGGCCCCAAACAAAACACCAATGGGGTGACGGCCACAGATAGTGTTTCCTGTCTGCTTCAAATACTTGGCGAACGCCTCGTGTGCTTTCGTGGCAGTGCCAGGGGGGACGCTGAGAAGTTGCATGGCTTCATGGTCGAGGCGTTCGATGGATTTGTGGATAGGGTGGGACGAGGTGGGGGCAGTGGAGCGGTTAAGCGATACTCCCGACCCAACCGGCGTATCCGCCTCTGGGTAATAATAAGTGTAAGAGAATCGTGTTCCCCTGTAGACGGTGGTCAGTCTGGCGGGCGGTCTAGAATGGAAGGGAGTGTACCAGTGGCAAAAGTCAGAGGAAACCACCGTAAACGTATCTTGTCTTTCGAGATATGGAGCGAGCAAAGCCCCAAATTCGGCCTCCTGGCGTTGATTGATAGAACCTACAACAATTGGTACAATCTTTATGTCCTTCCTATTAAACGGATAAACATGGAAAATCGCGTAGCTATGCCAGAAAGACACACCCTTGGAAGATCTTGCGAATATACGGCAGGTGCATCTCTAGGCTATGTTCGTCTTCATCGGCTTTGCGGGACATGTTAGCAAAGCGACCACTTGCTTTCAACTCTTGGATGGCTATGGGGCTGTCAGTGCTATGTCAAAGAAATGGACACGCAAGAGGTTTTACTCTCGAGATCCAATGGGAGATTCCCTATCGGTGTTTCATATTCGGTGCAAGGAGACAATGCACAACCATTGAGATAGAAGTGATGCGAAGGACCAAGGATGAAAACCCGTTTGCTGAATCGATTCAGTTCAAATGAAGGCGAGAATAAGGATGGGCTACCCACATTCCGGTGGTGTCAATCGCCTTATACGCCCATGCAGCGGCGGGCCCTGAGTACGAGTAACCTGCGTGTCTGATGGAATGAGGCAAGAGAGGGCTGGGATGGCGAAGGAAGAATGCTCACGGTGCGATAACCGCCTTGGACTTGGTGATTGGAAAAGACTCGTCGGTTGGGTTGACTTTCTGCAGCCAGCCCGAGAGCTCCTGGTCTAATTCTCTGCCTGCTCATGCTGGTTAACGATGACGACAGTCGCGCCGACCAAGCGTGCATACCGTCTGCTGTGTACCAACTACCAGCATGGGATGCTTCTCTAATGCTCCTGAAGAACCAAGTAAGTACAAGTTACAGGAACATAACGACAAGGGGGCTTGCATCTCAATGTCTTTGGCAATTGGCTATCGATGTGGGTGTGTGGGGCAAGTTGAGAGCGTTGGACGCAAGATGTCTTAAAATAGCAATTCTGCAGCTCACACGGGTCGCATCACCAGGACGTTGGGCATATTGGAATTTTTTGGAGGGTAGCATTACAGGGCATGAGGACATGTGTGTATGGAGATGCTCATAGAAAAGAGTACATGGAGAAAGTAGAAAGTCGACCAGTGCGCCATGTTTACTCTTCTGATCGGAGGCGAGCGGTAGGGTTGGTGACCTTGATGGAGAGGACCTTTGCCCTGAATACGAAAAGTTCAGTAAAACAGATAAGATCGAATGGTGATAAGAGCTGACCGGTCGAGGATGGCGGTACGGTTTCGGCTGCTAACGTTGTGGGCGATCTCAGCAGCGAAGGTTTTGTTGTGGAGAAGAAGGACGTCGAGATCCCGGACATTGCTCACAAGGAACTTCTTGAGTCCGTTGGGGAGGAGATGGCGGGTCTAAAAGAACACGGTTACGTGAAGTTCGCTGGGCGGTGCAAATCGACAAACCTTTTTGTTGCTTCCGTAGCCAATCTACAAGGAAATGCATCAAGTCCACACCAAAATGAAATGTAGCTCGAATGGACGAACCTTGGGCATGGCGGTCTGGCCCTTGAAGCGTCTTCGCACCCTGTTGTCAATACCCTTGGGCTTCCTCCAAGCCTCCTTGACGCCATGGTACCGGTCGGACTGGTGGCGCCTAAAAACGAGCACGAATGAGAATCCTTCTGAATTGCGATAGATTGGCCGGTACGAACTTGAACTTGTTGGTGCGCTTCTTGACGATCTTGATGGCCATTGTGGACTGAAAAAGGATGAAGAGTAAGTTCAAGTCCAAAAACCCGTCCGAGAGCGCTTTATCGAGCCCAAAATGACATCCATCAGCCCAAAATCCATCCAGCTGGTCAATCCACGAAAATGGGCTTGTTGGATATCATTCTGCATGTATTTCACGACTGAGCGCAGTCGATGCACCCTCGGACAGCAATTCGTGCAGCATAACGGGACTTACGGGTGGAGGAGTGTGAGGCTGTGGATGCGCGATTCTATGCCGATGTTAAGGTTGGAGTCGCTGCCGATGGTTTTTAATCTCCGCTGATCCGCCTGCTCCAAAGCAGACTCGGGAGTCAAGAGGGTCGACACCGTCGACGAATAGAATGTTCCGTGTAACTATACGCAAAATGATGAAAGTACTCCAGCAGCTCCTGTTCACTCCTCTGCGCCGCCCTTCGGGGTTAATTGCCGCGTTTGGGTCTTAACGACCGACCCACTAATTCTCATCCTTTGCGTGAACGGGAACCCTTCTTCAACACTAGTGCATTAAACGAGGACGATCTTTAAGCTTTTCTTTTCGGAATGATCATCGCACTCCCAATCTAGATTTCAAACAGAACGAGACCGGGGGGCTAGGTAACAGTTGTTGTCCAAGAAAATAGCAACAGTGTTTTGAGCTCGAGACATTTTGGTATCGAATATCCAGGCAGGACTGATTTGAGGAGCGCACGTGGGGTGGGGAAAAATGCCAACAAAAGACTCGGACGCCCCAAGCGATTCTTGCTCCGAGCATCCCTTGCAGCTGTGAATAAATCATTGGTCGGACCTGGGCATCGCCTCGCACAGCGACCAAGCCTCTTCTTTCTCTACCACCTCCTTTGATGCTCTCGACCTCGAGTTATAAGCTGGCCTTCGACGAGTATGATTATGATTCCGATTGGACCATTCCGACGCAGCCACCAAAAGTGTATCGATCCGCCAGCGTGAAGAGCTGGGGCGTGACGTCGATTGGGCGGGGATTCGACTGGGACGAAGAGAAAAACAGCAGCGTTAATCTGGACGAGGCGGCGGCGGCGGCAACGAGCAGCAGGCAACCAGAAAGGGCGAACGAAGCCTTCGATTCACATGTCCGCAAGCACCACCACCACCACCACCACCATTCGCAGCCAGGCAAATCTCCGGTTCCTTCCTCTGTCTCATCATCTGCCTCTCTCACCAACCCCAAACTTTCCCAGTATCCCAGCCTAATGGCCCAGTCTCACTCTCTGCCCCAGTCCCGTTCCGCCTCCCCCAATCCCTTGTCATCCGCTGCTTCCTTTGCTTCCTTCAGAAGCCCGACCAGTGCTTCGACGTCGCCGGTCCCCTCGTCGCCCCGACCACGTCGCAGATCGTCTCAGCAGCGCGTTTCGCTCATTGCCGGCCGAGTCTCGATAGCGCCCATCGAACCACCTCCCTCGCCCCCGCCCTTGCTGCCCCAGAGCTTGAGGCGCACACCCAGCTCGGGCAGCATCCTGAGCACAGCGGCAAGCACCCGGGCTCCGTCCCCTGCGTCCGATAACCAGTCCTTCATCGGAGGAAGGAGCATTTCCGAATTTGAAATAGAAGGAGAGATTGGCCGGGGTGCCTATGGACTCGTCAAGCGGGCGAGAGAGATCCTTTCCGATGGTTCACTTGGGGTGTGTACATTATCCTCGTTGCTTAAACGCCATTGATATCCTTGTCTAGCCACCGCTTATCATCAAGCAAGTCATCAAGTCTCGCATCCTCGCCGATTGCTGGAAGAAACATCCTCGCCATGGCACTATCCCCATCGAAATCTATGTCATGTCCGCCATCTCCAATACTTCCTACATCCTTCCACCAAAGCGACCATGGGACCCTTCCCGCTTCTCGCAAGAAAAATCAAAAGACGCCTTGCAACTTGATCTCGTTTCAGAACAGTCCGACGATGACTGGGTAGAAGGCAAGGTCGTCAAAGGACATCCTAATATATGCCCCCTCCTCGACTTCTTCGAAGACAATCATTATTACTACTTGGTCCTTCCCTTCACATCCCCAGACCGCAGGCCGGGTCAAACGTCTGCTGCCTCTGATCTCTTCGATCTCGTAGAAAGTTATCCTAACGGCTTGCCCCCATTCCTCGTACGCAGCTACCTCGGGCAAATCGCCGACGCCCTTGCCTTTTTGCACTCCCATGGAATCGGTGAGTGTCGCCTCCTCATTCTCGATTGATCTGGTTCTGATTTCTCGTCAGTCCACCGTGATGTCAAGGATGAAAACGTTATCTTAGGCCCCCGAGATAAAGCCATCCTAATCGATTTCGGAAGCTCGGGGTTAATCAAGAAAACGGGATGGGATACTTTTAGCGGGACGTGAGTAACTCGTTTCAATGTTATCTATTCACTTCTGATCGGTTCGCTTTGTAGACTGGACTACGCAGGCCCTGAAATTCTCCGGGGCGAGCGCTACTATGGAAAAGAGCAAGATGTGTGGGCATTTGGCGTTGTCGCTTATGTTCTCCTCGTGGGCGAGTGTCCATTCATGACAGCGACCGAAGCACAAGAAGGCTTTTCTTCACCTTTCGCCAATGCCTCCATTTCTCTTGATGAACGTTGCGGCGAAGGAAAGGAAGGTGAGGGCGAGGAGCCAGATGGAGGTGGAGCTCTTGGCGATGCTGCTGTGCTCGTTCGAGCATGCCTGGCCGTGGATCCCGCTGCGAGACCGACGTTTGAAAAAATCATGCAATCCCGATTCTTGGCTGGAAAGGGCGGATGGGGAATGGAGAAGCCAATGTGATTTTCCCGACATAGTAGACGTCCATTTTCGCACTAGATGAAGGCGATTGGGAGTCAGTCTTGTGACAGTAATGTTATCGATAGTGATTGTGACCGGCGAAATGTACCATCCCGTGTCTGTATTCTGTGATTGAAACTAGCCTATGTAGACTTAGGAAGATGCCAATGTTGTAGAGTAGATATTACAGTGTACCTCTAACTCATTGTCCTATTTATTGCAAAACTGCTACATGTCTGTTCGAAAGATCGGCAGCGGATGAGAAGGAGGATTGGAATGCCAAGCTGATGGAACGAGATTGGGCCGTCGAGGAGCGGCACCGGAGCTTGACTCGGCGATGACCGAGTCAGATCACGCGTCTTTTATCAGCCATCAGATCTCATCCTATCGATAAATTTTTGGGAATATAAACTCTTGTCTGCGGTCTTTCCATCTCTTCTTCCAACCACCACCTTCGCTTCCTCTCTTTCACGACTTTTTTTAAAGTGAGTCCCTTTCCTCATCGACATTGACGTCCTCAACCCTCTCCACGATCCTCTCATACATCGTTGCGATGTCTGGCGATGGATCTGTGAAACCCTTTTCTCGATGATTGCCTTGTTTCTCTCTCTCTCCCTCTTTTTCGTCGCTCCCGCTTCTCATCCACTGGTGCGAGATGGATGCTGACGATTTCGTCCATCCACAGAACTCCTAACAAAAATGGGAAAGGAAAAGGCCCACGTTAACGTTGTCGGTATGTGTCTATCTTATCGTCGTCGCTTATCATCACCCATTGATCTCGTTCGACAGTTATCGGCCACGTCGATGCCGGTAAATCCACCACCACCGGTCACTTGATCTACAAGTGCGGTGGTATCGACAAGCGTACCATCGAAAAGTTCGAGAAGGAAGCTGATGAACTCGGCAAGGGTTCCTTCAAGTATGGTGAGTCTGCTTTTTTTTTTTTTTTAATCTCCAGTAGATCTGACTTTGTGATAAGCCTGGGTCCTCGACAAACTCAAGGCTGAGCGTGAGCGTGGTATCACCATCGATATCGCCCTCTGGAAGTTCGAGACTCCCAAGTATCTCGTCACTGTAAGGACTTATGTTCGGATAGTATGATCACCTTCTGATCAATGTCATTCAGGTCATCGATGCCCCCGGTCACCGTGACTTCATCAAAAACATGATCACTGGTACCTCCCAGGCTGATTGTGCTATCCTCGTTATTGCCGGTGGTACTGGTGAATTCGAGGCTGGTATCTCCAAGGATGGTCAGACCCGTGAACACGCCCTCCTTTCCTTCACCCTCGGTGTCCGTCAGCTCATCGTCGCCGTCAACAAGATGGACTCTACTAAGGTTCGTTCTGTGTTTTATGTTCTTTACAGCCTCGATTGTACTGACAATATATCCAGTGGAGCGAGGACCGATTCAACGAAATCGTCAAGGAAACCTCCAGCTTCATTAAGAAGGTTGGTTACAACCCCAAGACTGTTGCCTTCGTCCCCATCTCTGGCTGGCACGGTGACAACATGATTGTCGAGACCACCAAGTGTGTTTTTTTCTTCTCTGCGCTCGTCAATAGTGTACTGATGCTTTTCACAGCATGCCCTGGTACAAGGGCTGGTCCCGTGAGACCAAGGCTGGTGTCGTCAAGGGTAAGACCTTGCTCGATGCCATCGATGCTATCGAACCCCCCGTCCGCCCCTCCGACAAGCCCCTCCGTCTTCCTCTCCAGGACGTCTACAAGATTGGTGGTATCGGTACTGTGCCCGTCGGTCGTGTCGAGACCGGTATCATCAAGGCCGGCATGGTCGTCACCTTCGCTCCCTCCAACGTCACCACTGAAGTCAAGTCCGTCGAAATGCACCACGAGCAACTCGCACAGGGTAACCCCGGTGACAACGTCGGCTTCAACGTCAAGAACGTCTCCGTCAAGGACATTCGCCGTGGCAACGTCGCCTCTGACTCCAAGAACGACCCCGCCAAGGAGGCCGCCTCCTTCACCGCCCAGGTCATCGTCCTCAACCACCCTGGTCAGATCGGTGCTGGCTACGCTCCTGTCCTCGATTGCCACACTGCCCACATTGCTTGCAAGTTCGCCGAGCTCAAGGAGAAGATCGATCGCCGAACTGGCAAGTCTCTCGAAGACTCTCCCAAGTTTGTCAAGTCTGGTGATGCCGCCATCGTCAAGCTCGTCCCCAGCAAGCCCATGGTTTGTCGTTTTAGTTCATTCGTTTGGCCTCTGGATATTTACCGCTACTTTTAGTGCGTTGAGTCCTACAACGAGTATCCTCCTCTCGGTCGTTTCGCTGTCCGTGACATGAGGCAGACCGTTGCTGTCGGTATCATCAAGTCCGTTGAGAAGACCGAGAAGTCTGGTGGCAAGGGTAAGTTTCCTTATCGTGGTCGATCCTTGTCTACGATGTCTGACGACCATATACAGTCACCAAGTCGGCTGAGAAGGCTGCCAAGAAGAAGTAAACTAGATGTAGAAACACCCTTTTGTATCACCACCTCGTTCTCGTTTTTACCTCGTTTTCTTCATTTTCGGTTGCTCATCTGCATTGTGTCATTACCATCACGCCTGTATTTTTGTAACGATCACGAACAACGGCGATTTCTTTTCGTCTCATGGCCCGCCATCGTTTAAATTGTCAGTCCTCCGCCTAACATTGAAGTATCTCTACATTGAAGTACTCTTTGGAGAACTGATCTCAAGGTTCAGTTCAGTCTCCCAAGGTCCAATGAAGGTTCAATCAGAAACACGTCTGGACAGTTCCGTTGAATGTACATTGGCTAGCCTTCCTGTTTGGCCAACTGATTGGATTATTGGCGGCTCTGTGGACAATATGTACAAATATCCTCAACACACATGCTCGGGGGCTTGAGTGCGATGGTCTCGAGGCCCAAGGTCTCTTGCCACTGTCCTGTCAAAGACTTCCATCATGAAGGTGAACAAGGAGCGGGTTAGAGCGGCATCCCATCGACCTTTTGAGGATTCGTCCCGGATAAAGGCATGTTGCGCCTGAACTTCGATGAACTACATACAAACCATTGTCAGTAACTGGAAACCGCCCAACTCCAGAAAACCCACTGATGAGGTCACGTTCGCATCTTCCAGCGAGCGTCTGATCAGGTCTCGTCCCTCTCGAGGAACGTGGGTATCCTGGCAGAAATGTCATGAGATTTAGGCCGATATCCGTCTCATGCCTCCGGTACCCACCTGCTTGCCAAAGATCATCTAAGCAGTCGCCACCAAATCAGGAAAATAAACAGGAAGTGAGGGCTTTGCAGAACGTACTACTAATTCACCTTTCCCGGTCAGGTCCCCTCGTTTGACTCGGATCAGGGTATCGTCCTGTTTCCCTTTCCCAAGGGTTGCACTGTGGATATCGGTGGCAAACCAGCAGACGGAAGCGAGGACGCGCGGGTCAAAGGCAGCCTAGTCATATCGCTTGTGACTTGTTTCAAACGTCGAGGAGAGTATTCTCACTCTGAAGGCCTGTGGGGAAGACGACGAAACGGTTGGGTTGTATTAACTGGGTAAGGAAAAGGACAATACTTACAAGGTGGCCACCAAGGCACATCCCCGTCGCTGATCAGTCGAAGGGGGTGGTTAGGAGGAAATGATAGGAACACGAGGGGCACAGCAACTTCTTACCTGCAATTCTCCCATTGCAGTTCTTATGGGCGGACAAGAGATCGATGGCAAGAGTGGCATCCTGTCCACAGTCAGTGTCTAGAGTCAACTTACGCAGGGGACATGTAGTACCTCATCGTATGCATCGACAGTCTTTTCAATCTGCATGCGCAAAGAGCCAAGGGTTGGTCAGCGTGTGTGCAAGGGACCATGGCGATCGCGTTACCTTGTAGCGATTGCCTCGATCTGTTCCTGTTTCCGGTGGTGCATTAAGCCTGGATGATAATGTGGACCAATGTAAAGAGCAGTTCACCTTCAGTATCGTAAGGTATGGGCTCTGGGCCTTCAAATTCGTGGTAGACGGAAGGGCATGCTATGGAATATTATCAGTATCGCTGCCAAACAGCGCGCAGTTCACGGGTCGAACCGACAACGTAGCCCTGGCTAGCAATCTGCCCAGCAAAACGCTCGACAGGACCTGTTACTTGGTATATTTCACTGAGAAGTCGGTTTGATCTCAATTGAAACTGGACTGGAAGTGTGCACTTCTACCTGAAAACTACGACGCCTGCACGATTCCAATGAGCGAGTTGAAGGGCCAGGACCATTAAGAGATGCAACAGACCTGGAAACTTGGCGTTCGGATAATCAGGAAGGTTCGGGGCTATAATGAAGATACGCAAAGGGCGACCATTGGGGTCGAGTTTGGTTTGAAGATCTTGGTATGTTTTTGTGACCAGCATCTCTATCTGAGGACAAGGAGCGCGTCAGCCAAGCCTTGTGAATCGGCAATCCTGGATTGATCAACAATGACTCTCCTTCAATCTTTCATCTCGGAATCCAGGAACAAGCCGTCGACGGTCATTTTCCAGTCGTCTCCAGCACAGACAACACTACCGGTCCTGCGACAGCTTTTAACTTCGGAAATCCTCAAAGATGAGGCACAGACGAAGCAATTTCTGCTGTTCAGTTTGCTCTATTCTCCTCATGCCTCGCTAAGTCCCGATCACCCTGTACAAGTATACGACTGGCTGGAAAATGTTCCTGGCTACGGTACTTCGTCTGGGCCATGCCCCGGGGAAGCCATGTACACTGTTGTAAAACAAGGTTCATCTCCTTCCGTGACATCCACGATATTGCCCTGATCCGACGCGACAGCATTGAGCAAGTCCACTGGGCCCGTTTATGTCACCATTGATTCTCTCGATACTCTGGCCTCGGACATAGGTTCTACATCGGAAGCCTATAAAGCTCTTCGAGAGCTCCATTCTCTTCTATCCTCCCGCGCAGGTCAGTAGTATCCCTCCCCATCGTCCTGGGAACCAGAGCTAATCGCAAAGGGCAAACTCGTCAGGGTCCCTGCTCATATTACATGGATTGGAGCCCAAATTGATCTCCCTGCTCATCCAGCCTTCGTTCACCCCATCGCTGATGTACCTCAAGGGTCACCCTCCAGGAATTGTCGCCCATATCGCGACTGAGTACCTTACACCACCTCCCCCCTACTCTACAATCCCGAAATTCTGGAGTATCTTCACCCCGCTCAGTGAGCGACGTTATACAGTCAACGAATTGGTCTTTGGAACCAAATCCGAGATTCATAAAGAAGTCGAGGAAATTCTACTCGAAGTCTTGGTACGAAGGCCAGGAGGACAAGGTTCCAAGAAGCGGAGTATCGAGAGGGAGTTAGAAGCGTGGTCTGCGAATGTCGGGCCATGTGAATGGACCCAACTGGATACCCTTCGGTCCGTCTGGTCGAAATCAGCCATTTCAGAGGTACCCCCTCCTCCCATAGACGTAACCCGTGGCACTAACTGTTTTCCTCAGCCTACGACGGCGGTGGACCCCACGGAGAATCTGTCGTTCAATCTTTCAATGACGACCGCGCAACAGGAAGCACGAGCACAGGTCCCCCTTCCCTATGTACACGAAGGTACAGTACACAAGAGTCCAACTCTAATATGCAAGACATTGACAATACCTATCGCAGGTGATCAGACCCCCAAGGCGGCGCCTTCCGCGAACCAAGGAGTTATTTTGTACGACCCCGATTCAGCCGACGATATCGACGATGACGACCCCGACGAAGATCTAGACATCTAATACAAAATTCCAAACCTTTGTCGGATTGGCTTGGGAACGACCCTCCCGTGTATAAAATGACTTGTGTGACAAGAAATCCAACCTGATTGGTAAAATAATATACATCGATCCTATCGCTTCGACGATTTAGACAGGAAAGAAAACGACGACCAGCGTGGTTTCTTCGGTCTCAATTCTGCAGGATGCTCATGCGAGGACCAATACCCGAAGTCATTCGACAAGCGGTGGACACGCGACCCATAGTTACTGCCAAATGAAAAGACAGGAGATCCTTGGATGGTGTCAAGATGTCGCAGCTCGTCGTATCGACTATCGACACCGCTCATAATGACGAGGGATGAAGGGCGCGGCCGCCGTTCGAAGGGGGCAGATGGAGGCAAAGGTTCCTGCGCGTTCTCTATCGAGGAAGGTAGCGTTCGGCGACGAATGCTCTTGATTTCCTTGATGTCCAGAGAGTTGACCTTGCTGAAGGTCAGCCCCGTCGAGGGGGTCGGTGGCCGCGGGTGCATCGAATGCCTGTTGCTCACAGCATCGATGCCAGCTCTCTGCAGGTGACTATTAGGTCATCTGAGTTTGGGATATATGGAGAGGGGCCTACCGGATAAACTCGAGAGTTCGCGAACTCAAGGTTCGTGACACGGCAAGTGTCCGCGGAATATCTTGCATATTCTGTCGACGGGGGATATAAGGGCTCTGTTGCTGACATTGTCATGGAAGGCCTCTCTGAGGAAAAGGATACCCCGGACGGTCTCCGTGAATGTGTTTTCAATATCTGGTCCTTCACCCTCTGCCCCAACTTCTTTACGTCCCCCAGGATCCCTTTGAACACCTGTCGGGGACGTGACGACCCTTTCGGTGTCGGTGTGCAACCAACGTCGTTCGTGGGCGCGTATCGTACTCCGATCGCTTGAATGAACCGTTGTGAATTACGGTCCGAGCTTTGGGTCATACTGTACGGAGGTCGCCCATTGGTTGGTTCCCATGGCTGGCAGTCCAAAGTGGCATCCTCCTCGGCAGGATGGCAGGTCCCTACGGACGTCATACTCTCATTTTCCACCGAACTCACGGCAGCCAGTGGAGAGAGGGTCGAGTGGGAGCTGGGGTCATCAGAAGACGATGGGTCCCGCGGCAATGGAGGAACACCTAGACCAAGCGTCCACGAGTTCCTTCCATCAGGCTGAGACAAGTAAGATAAATCGACGCCGAAGTAACGCAAACTTTCATTATCCAGGAAGCGACCGTCGCGTTCGTCGGAATCTTGGGCCCGGTGGACACTGGGTAAGCCCAGAAGGTCAACAGAGAGGCTTAGTGAGCTGCGGGTTGCGGAATATTCGGGGATGAAACGTTCGACGGCGTCGCAAGATGTTTCATGGACAGAGTAACTGTAGCCGAAAGAAGAGAGGTTGCTTCGCGAGGTCGAGGCGACGTCTGCTGAAGCGACGGAGACGGTGGAATTGCAGCCAGTCGAGGAGATCGTTTCATGGCTTTCGGCGTCGGATACACACGAGTCCAAATCGGATGGATCATCGTCTCGTGGATATATTTCCGATTGCGACATGGAAGTAGCAGGCCTGGAAGAGAAGATGGTGCTGGGTGTATGTGGAATCGTTCTTTTGGTCACGGCTGTCGGTTCATCGCGGGCGTGGTTTGCGGCAGAATCGGGGAAAAGCTGGCAAGTGCACTAGAGCAAAGCAGAAGCGGGGTCAATAGATCGGTTTCCGTGCGGTAATGGGGATGAGTCACTACCTCTGCCTGGGTTGCAACTGTGACCACGTTGGTTTCGCTGCTCTGCACCACATCGCTCTAGATACAAAAGTGCTATCAATTGCCGGACGTCAAAGGCGAGGATCAGAGCAAAGGACATACGGAAGTGTCATCACTGTTGTGTCCCAACTGGCGTTGTCCACTTTTCGCCCAACCCGGCGTCGTTGGATATGCCCCTGGAAAGGCTGGCATGAGGGAGGTGGTGCTGGCATTTGGCATGGACATAGAAGAATGAAGCCAAGGAGGGGATTGTAACGTATGAAGATTTATGGCCCAGAGATACATGTTTCCTCACAATGAATGCTTCTGACCAGAGAAGGCCGATCGACCGCAACTGTATGGCGAATCTTGATAAGGAAATAAGCTTGCCTTAATCACAAAGTATAACCAACGTATCAGTAAAAAATGAAAATGAAGGGTATGTCGGAATACAAGGTATTCGCAGTCCGTCTAAATCTCTCTACAAGTTGCCTCTAACGGCGGCATCAACACTCTGGGCAAAGTACTCGACGTTGCCACCGTTCAAGCCAGCCATAGAGATTCGACCGTCAGCAGTCATGTAGACATGAGCCTTCTCCGCAAGGGCCTTGGTTTGGGCGGGTTGGAGACCAGTGTAGCTAAATTCAACGTAAACGGCTCATGCAAACTAGCGATGACAGGCGGGTAACGTACCTGAACATTCCGATCTGGCTCTTGATGTGGCCCCACTCGCCGGGGGTCTTCAAATCGTGAGTGAGCAAGTTGTAGACCTTCTCTCGCATGCTAATGATGCGGTCGGCCATCCCTTTAACTTCAGCTTCCCACTGGGCGTACAAAGTAGGGTCGCCAAGGATTGCGTTGGCGATGCGGGCACCGTGGGCAGGAGGGTTAGAGTACATGGGGCGAATGATGATCTTGAGTTGGGAATCGACACGAGCCTTCTCCTCAGGGTCCGCGACGGTCAGGGAGAAGTTGCCGGTTCGCTCGCCGTAGAGACCCATGTTCTTGGCGAAGGATTGGGCGACGGCGACCTGGTGGCCTTGGGCCACAAAGTGGCGCAAGGCGAAGGCATCGCGAGCGGTGTTACCAGAGGCGAATCCTTGGTAGGCCATATCGAAAAAGGGGAACAGCTTCTTCTCCTTGACAATGTCGGAGATGACGGCCCATTGTTCGGGGGTAGGGTCGATGCCGGTGGGGTTGTGAGCGCAAGCGTGGAGAAGGACGATGGCATGGTCAGGAGCGGCCTATGAAGCAAGGTTAGCTGAAGAAGGCGAAGGTCAGAGTAAGGCAGGAGGCGCACCAAAAGATCGGCCTTGAGACCTTCGAAATCAAGGCTGACGTTAGTCTTGTCGAAGTAACGATATCCGCGCACTTCGAGGCCTGAATCACGGAACAAGGGGATATGGTTGCCCCAGGTAGGGGTTGGGAGGTAGATAACTTTGGAATGGGGGTAGTGACGGGCTAGGAAGGCACCGCCAATGCGAAGAGCGCCAGTGCCAGAGATGGACTGGGTGGATGAGATCTAGATAGGAGGGGAACTTTTGAGCTTCAGTAAACAGAGGATGAGTGGGCATGACTCACGGTTCCTTGTTGGAGAGGGGTGCTCTCAGCGCCATAGGCAAGAAGGGTGGCCCTGGCGGTGAATTCTGGGAGACCAGTAATACCGAGATACTCCTTGTCAGGGTTTTGGGAAGCAACGATTTCTTCTGCCTGGAAAGGAGTGAGTGGGTGTTGTAAGCTATACGGTGAAAGGAGGGACCTTCTTAACAGTCTGGAGGATGTAGGGCTTGCCGTGCTCGTCTCGATATGCGCCAACACCGAGGTTGATTTTGCGAGGGTCTTTATCAGCTTTGAAGGCTTCGGTAATGCCTATAAACAAGATATGTTCAGTGTCGGTGAAAAAGACTACAAAAGAGGCAATACTGACCAAGGATGGGGTCAGGAGGGCCTGCAGGAACGTTGGCCCAGGCGGAGATGGACCTGAAAGCAGGCGCACGAAGGGTTGTGGCAGTTCTGCGAGCGATAGTTGAGGCCAACATCTTGGAAGGAGAGAAAGAACGATTCACCACTCTTCACTTGCAACAGGCGCCCTCTTGCATGCGTGTTCGAAAATCGGCGAATTGCGTATTACTCCGAATGATCCGAAATTTACTGCTACCGCCAACCATCGACTCATAGACTGGATTCGAGTACATTGGTCAAAAAAAAAAAAAATGCCCAACGGAATGATAAGAGCCAGCCCACACAGTACATAATATCTGGAACAAGTAAGTAGCTGGACGCTGGTCTGGGTAGCGCACTTGAGCTGGGAATTCGCATCTAGGCGCACGGCAGTTACCGATCTGATTATCTCAAACTCTGCACTGACGTTTATTGACTCGAGCTCTCTTTAACTACTATCTTCTCATGTCTGATAATACAATCCAACCGCCTCAGCCTCCCCCAGAAGGGTATATTCTAATCAACTCCTTCATAAAATCAAGAACTGAACAAGCGCCAGCTCTGCACCAGCAGGTCCAAGCAAGAGCGAGCTGAAGAAACAAGCCAAGGCCGCAGAAAAAGCGCGCAAGGCCGCAGAAAAGGCTGCCAAACAGGCTGAATTGGAAAAGCAAAAGGCGGCTGCAGAGATTGTGTGTCCCATCCATCTTCTTTATTAATCGGAACTCACATCGCCCCAGGACGATGCAGCAGACAACTATGGTCCTTTGCCTCTGAATCAGTCGCAGAGCCGACCCAAGCGCGAGCGTATCCAGATTTCATCTTTGAGCGACCGTGTTGGACAGAATGTGCTATTCCGAGCTCGTGTTCACAACTCTCGTGCTCAAGGCAGCAAGATGGTCTTCTTGAACCTTCGACAACGCACTACCTCGGTCCAAGGCTTGATGATCGTGTCCCCCGGCAAGGTTTCCAAGCAAATGGTCAAGTGGGCAGCGGCCGTGCCCACCGAGAGTATCGTTCTCGTCGAAGGAACCGTTGAAAAAGTTGATGAACCCATCAAAAGTGCCAGTGTCAGCGATGTTGAGGTTCATATCAGCAAGGTAATCGGACGCTTTGTGTCGTGTTTCTAAGATCTTACGGCTGACGCCCCTATAGATGCATCTTATCTCTGGAATCGACGGCCGTCTTCCCTTCACAGTTGAAGATGCCAACCGTCCAGAAACAGCAGCCGAAGCAGCTGATGCCCAATTCAACCGAGTTTTGCTGGAGACAAGGTTGAACAACCGAGTAGTCGATTTGCGAGTTCGTGTTTGACCTACAGATTTGAAAGAATTTGACCTAACTACCTTCGCCAGACGCAAACCAACCAGGCCATATTCAAACTCCAAGGCGCGATCGGCGACCTCTTCCGTGACTATCTGCGCCAGCATGGTTTTATTGAGATCCACAGCCCTAAACTTCAAGGTGCCGCCACAGAGTCGGGAGCTTCTGTCTTTAAAGTTGGCTACTTCAAGGGTGCGTTTGGGGATCTAGTTCGTCGTTCACCCTGACTCACATCGTGCGCTCCTGCAGGCAATGCCTTCCTGGCACAATCACCTCAGCTGGCGAAGCAGATGGCTATCGCCGCTGACTTTGAACGAGTTTATGAAATTGGCCCAGTCTTCCGTGCGGAAGACTCCAACACCCACCGCCATTTGACCGAGTTCATCGGTCTTGATTTGGAGATGGCAATCGAGGAACACTATCATGAAGTCATGGAAATGCTTGACGGAATGCTTGTCAACATCTTCCGTGGGCTTCGTGATCAGTACAAGGACGAACTCGATGTTGTTCGAAAACAATTCCCTGCTGAAGAGTTCAAGTGGCGCGAAGGTCCTGAAGGCACTCTCAAAATGACCTTCAAGGAAGCTGTCGATCTCCTTGTCGAGGACGGCGTCCCAAGAGAAGATTTGGACGATATCAAGTACGGTGTATCATCGACATCATAACCCAGATCTAACCCTGGATTTAGCACCGAGAATGAGAAACGGCTCGGACGAATCATCAAGGCCAAATACGACATCGACTACTACATTATCGACAAGTTCCCCATGGCGTTACGGCCCTTCTACACGATGCCGGATCCTGAGGACCCAGTAAGCTCCATCATACCCTTCTTCGGGTCACAGGTCGCTTTAACACCTCTAATATTAGACGTTATCAAACTCATATGACTTCTTCATGCGTGGCGAAGAGATTCTGTCTGGAGCTCAGCGAATCCACGACCCTACTCTTCTGTGCGAGAAAATGAGAAGCAAGGGTGTTGAGCCTGATTCTATGAAGCCCTATGTGGACGCCTTTAGGCTGGGCTGCCCTCCTCATGGAGGAGGAGGAATCGGTTTAGAGCGTGTTCTCATGCTTTTCTTGAAGCTTAACAATGTCCGACGCGCCTCCTTGTTCCCTAGAGACCCCAAACGCTTGGAGCCTTAGGTTACCAATCATCGGTGTAAAGGATAAAGTTCTAGACTTGGTATACAATTGCTTGACCCTCCTCGCGTTGATTTAGTCACCGGCCCCACAAACTGGCCTTTGAAGAAGCTGATGTCCCGAACAGAAGGCGAATTTGCTACACAAGCGAAATGAAAGAAATACTTATAGTTTACAATATCCACAAATGTGGTTTAGTCCATCTGGTGGCCCACCGCTACTTATATTTTGACTTCAAGCATGCCCGCGAGGGCATAACCCCGCTGTCCACCCTTCCACGCACGACCGCCACCGTCGACCTACCACCACCCCAGCCCCCCAAGGAATCGCTGCAATGTTCATCCCAGTGCGCAGGGCAGAAAACGATGCCGACCACAGGTGTTTGACGAGGTTCCTCTCGTCCTGTTCGTCCACCTCAACCGACCATAGCCTCTCAATGTCAATGTCCTCGGTTTCTCCAGAACCAGACGACGTAGCCGACTCTTCGCCGGGCTGGTATCTCAAAGACGGACCTCACAGATACGTCGGGGTCATCTTGGTGGTGGTGATGGTGACCATCGTCATCGGGATTTACCTACACGTCGGGAGGAGACCTAGACAGCTAGCCCAGGCTTTACGACAGAGACTGCGGAGAACGGGGGAGAAGGAGACAGCATCAATTCCTGCAATCAACATCATCTCCACCGACAACGAAAAACGGGTCTACGAGCATTCGCATCCCTCCACTATTTCCACGAGCAAACCGAGCGCATCAGAGCGTCCAAGAAGCTATCAGATAGCACCAGAACAGGTCTGGATGCCTGAGAAGCCCGCGCCCTGCGTTAAACAGTCTATGCGGATGACGGTAGAGTTCGATGAATTCGACTGGGGCCATGTTGAAGCGTTGAAACGACCTTTGTACCCCCAGCAGGACCGGAAATCCTACCCTCCACTCGGACACAAGCACCCGCCTCGAAGGCATCATCGGAAAATCTCACACCTCTAGTTCACGAGTAGGGAGCAGCGTCCGTCCATACCCATGATCATAGCACAGAACTTATACCCTGCATTTGTACATTATCGCACATTCGTTTAGCTCCAGGCCATTTGCTTTCGTCACAGAATAAAAGCTCGCATCCATTGAACACAACTGTAGAGAATAGCAATGAAGTCTGTTAGGTATAACTGCGCAAGTCCCAAAAAATGAATTAGGGAACGACGATCCCGGAAGACTGGTGTCAAAGGCTCACCATGAATGTAAACATATAGTACAAGTAGAAAGAACGAAGAAAGCGAATGATCAACGGCGTCTCGTTTGCTGTGACGAGTCAGCTTGCTGCTGGACATTGCTCGGGTCAAAGTTGTTTCCCTCGATGGCGGCTGCGATAACCTCTGCAGGAAGGTCCACATGCACACCGTCTGCGTAGGTGTAGGCATCGAGAGGCGAATAGGCTGGAGGATCACGTCTTGACAAGGGAGAAGAAGCAAATCTATCGTCCGCAGTAATTGTCCGACTGCTTCCGCTGCTACCTGTTCGTCTATGGCCTGGCAAAGCCTGTAAGTGAATGTCTCGTTCGTGGGGGGTGGGGGGATTGGCATTTGGACTCAAGGGTGATTCAGGAGGTGGGTGCAGATGCACGGTCAACTCTGATCTCGGCCCCGAAAACGACGAGGCGAAATGGTTTAAAGAATTACGTTGTATGCGAGTGTTGGTAAAGGGGTTGCGCGCACCTGCGTCGGGGGATACCGATCTTGTAGATGCGGTAGGAGATGGAGGGGAGGAGTAACGACCTTCCGATGTACGTGATAATAACGGTTGAGACGGGCTTTCTGAGCCTTGATCTACCTCATATTCGTGCTCCGGAAGTTCATCAATAGGAGTGATTGGAGGCGGTGGTGTGAGAGGTGTAGGCGGGACCAACGATGATACACGAAGGGGTGATGAAGGGTTCCCGGAGGGTCGGCGGCGCGAACGGCGTGCAGAAGATGGTGATGCGGACGGGTCATCTGAAGAGCGTACGCGGCCTCCTACGTCGAGAAGAATGCTACCCCGCTCACTGCCATATGCGGGTGGTGGAGCGAGCGTGCCGACACTGGGCGCCAAGCCCCACTTCTTGACGTTGGCTTCAATGAAGACAAATCCAGCCTGCCCGAGGTTGACGTGCACGCTGCATGGGCCATCAGCGCCAATGGTGGGGAAAAGGTTCCACCGACTAAGGCCAATGAAAGCATCTTCCATCTTCCTGCCGTTGCGAGTGAAGAAAACTGTTCCTGTGCGAGGACGGTAGCCGACACCTAGGACATCGCCTTCTTTGAGCACTGGACCAAAGGGCGTGGCAGTGAAAGGATAATTGTGAGATTTATCGCCGTTAGAGTGGTACCCAACGGAATAGCGACTTTGTCCAGGAAGGCGGAAGGGTGGATATGGCTTTGTGGCAAGACCCACGGACACAGTAGTTGTTTCTGGCAAGTCGAACATCTTGACTTCCCAATAGTAGACTTCGTTGAGTTTGGGAAGGGGAAGGTTGGATTGGACACATGAGGCACTGGCAGGGTCGGGCAAGAATGTGATCTCAGTCCGGGCATGGACGAGAAGCGAGTTGACAGTCTCGTAATCCGGCTCGAACGACCAGGCCGAGACGCCTTTCTCCTGTATCGAGAGGAACTGGGACAGCGTGATATCGGTCGGCAGCGAGTTGGGTGGGTATTGCAGTTGATAGTCTGTGGCCAGCCAATCAGTCATAACACAATAAACCCAAATCATTCAACACACCTCGCGCGCGCAGGTATTCTCTGGCAACGTTCTCCGAAACGCCCTCAAGCCACCTGGACTCGACTCCTTCGAAACCGCCCTCGCCTTCAATGAGTTCCTCACGGCTCATGTCGACAGGGCCGTCGTTGTCGCGCAACATGATCCCCCTTCGACGTCTGACAAGGAGAACACATATCAAGAATGTCAGAAGGAGGAAGAGGAATGTAGACAACACGATGAGGAGAGGTAACAGAACGAGGAGTGCGTCTGGTTGCTGGGGCTGCTCGGTGGGAGCGGGGAAGGGTTGGTTTGTTCTGACATTGTTGACTGCGTCGACGACGGCCTGAATATTTTGACCAAAAGACGAGTCGGAAATATGTTCAAGGTCGTCCAGCGGCATTCAGGTGTGTTGAGCTACAGTTGAATGGTCGGTTCAGAGTTAGACTCTGAGTCCCGATGGCTGTGATTAGGCCCCTGCACAGCCTGCCCACGTGACACACCTGCAGGCCTCAGTTGCCCCTTTGATTATCGTGATCACCGTGACACTGGTCACTGTCGCCTTCAAGTCCTCGTCTCCGTCGTCGTCGTCGTCCCCGGCCATCATGGCTACGCTATCCCCCGCAACGTCGCCCAAGATCGTCAAGCGAAAGGGCTCAGTTCGTCGTCCTAGAAATGTTGATGCTCTCGAAACACACAACGCCGGCGTTAATGGCATCCGGAACTTTCTCAAAGGACACACCTGCTACGAGGCTTTTCCCGTCAGCTTCAGACTCATTGTCTTGGATACAGAGCTCAACGTCAAGAAGGCGCTACAATGCTTGCTCCTCAATGGTGCTTTTTCCAGTCACATCTTGTATGATTCAATTTATCAACTCGTCCTGTCAGGTGTGGTCTCTGCACCCTTATGGAATAGCTCCCAGTCCAGGTTCGCCGGGATGCTAACGGTACTGGACATTATCCACTTGATCCAGTACTATTACCGCACAACCGCCTCTTATGAGTACGCCACGACAGACGTGGAGACATTCCGGCTCGAATCCTTGCGAGGTGAGTCGGCCAATGCCATCCCCCAATATAATGCCCAGTCTCATAGTCTTCGAGAAATCGAGAAAGAACTTGGTGTCGCTACACCGCCCCTACTTTCAGACCATCCTTCGAGCTCTCTTTACGACGCCTGTAAAGTCCTCATGCAAACACACGCTCGACGTCTTCCCCTACTCGACTACGACACTGAAACCGGTCATGAAGTCATTGTGTCCGTCCTGACACAGTACCGAATGCTCAAGTTCATTGCCATCAACGTCTGTTCTGAATATTCTCTCATTGGATCTGGTTTGACCATCTAATTAGTGTCATAAAGAAATATCCCAGCTCAACCAACCGTTGAGAAAACTCAGGATAGGCACCTATGTCGCGTCGGCCCCTAACGAGCCCAAAGATGGCCCCAATCCATATTATCCCATCGCGACAGCAACACTCGACACCTCCGTATTCAACGTCGTCCATATGTTCTCGGAACGTGCTATATCCGCTGTCCCAATCATCGACGATGACGGTGTTGTTTTGAACCTTTATGAGACGGTGGACGTTATTGTAAGCCTTCCCCTGTCTTTTACGGATCTTCGCTGAGGAAAGCAGACACTGGTGAAGCTGGGTGCATACCAATCCCTGGATCTCAAGATTAGGGATGCCCTTACACAACGGTCGCCCGATTTTCCTGGAGTCGTCGTTTGCACAGCAGGGGATTCTCTCGGGACCCTCCTACAGCTTATCAAAATAAGAAGAGTACATCGACTGGTGGTTGTGGAAGGAGAGGTATGTGCTTCACCTGCTTAGCATCCACATGCTAATGTCATCCCCTGTCTTCAGGAAGAGGAGAAACAAGGCGGTAAGAAGGGCCGTCTTCTTGGCATCATTACTCTCAGTGATGTTCTGCGGTATCTCATCGGCGATGTCGACATCCCTGAGGTGCAAGAACCACCAGAGTCTTAGAACAAACCTACCTGGAAGACGCCGCTCTGCACCTACCCATGACCGCACCGTGCGACCGCACGAATCCCCATCTCTCATTGCTTACTGATATAGAATTTTTGGATACCATATTACACAAACGTCCCACCGCAACACCACCCATCGATTCGATTTTCTTTGCTGACGAACCATCTGCTTTCATGATACTGTATAGTAGCACTTGTAACAATTTACGTAAATTCCAGGCACAGCAACGACTTAGTGCCTCCGTTCACCTTGCTTTCCTACTCCCATGTCATTTCTGTTCACCTCTCGCGACCTCGTCCTCCAAAAAGAGGCCGGTGCTTCCCAAACTACCATTTTAGAGCTGATTCAAGACCCGGTCAAACTCTGCACGCTCAGCCCGCTCGTGATCGGAGTAGAAGTCGACAAAGACGACCCGATGGTGGTTTATGTCACCGAGAAGCTGGTGTTGTTGGGCTTTTTCAAGACAACGACAAAGTTCACCTGCAAAGTCAAAGTTCTGCCTGGCGGGGTCGTCGCGGACGTCACAGCGGATTTGGGAACTCGACTTATAAACCATATGTGGGTGGAGAAGAACACTGATGGAACCACTTTAATCAACGAGCACACTAAGGTCGAGGTGAGCCTGGTGTTCTGTGGTATAAATGTTGCTTAAATCGAAACCTATTCTCAACAGGCATTATTCTTCTTCATGCCCTTCGTGTACTCCACGATGTCAGAAGCTCACAATGCGGTCATGGACAAGTTGGCCGCAATGTCATAACCGTTGCAGCAATCGAGCGGTCTCTGTATGTACAGTGTTGTCTGTAATCATCCGGAGAATAGGAGTCGGGGTTGCTCAGTGCTCACTTTTGTTCCCGTAATTCCATCACAGTTTTCCTACAGGATCCTATTATACCACCTTCAAACCAGAAGCGATGACAAACCGAGCACCGGAACCCACGTAAACATCCAACATAACGGCAAACGTCCACCATCCAAACCCTTGTGTTTTCAAGAACGCAATGAACGGAGAAAACACGTCTGCAGTAATGTCCTCCACCTCCACCTCTTCGTATCCTGTCTGTTGCATGTGAAGTTGATACTCCTCGAGCGAGACGCGGTTGCATAAAGGCATCATCCGAAGTAATGAGGTGACGAGACGAGTTTTGAACGTGTCAAGATCATTCTTGGAAAAGCAGATATCAGCCAAAGCTATGCGACCGCCAGGGTTTAGTCTGGCGAATGACTGCTCCAGGAATAGCCGGCGGGAGTTGAAGTGGTAGGCACAGTCCAGTGCAAGAATCGCATCAAAGGGAGGAAAGAGAGTAGTTGGTGATAGGGGATGGTCGGGTGCTCCGTCGCTGATAGCATCCGCATTGACGAGGGACACTATGTTTTCCGTGAGATGTGGGTGTGCACGCTCCACTCTCCGCCGTGCACGTTCGCAGTGAGAAGAATTATTGGTTATGCCAACGATCTTCGAGGGTCGAGGAATCGAGGGGTCAGAAAGCAGAAAGAGAATTGACTGCCCAGTTCCAAAGCCCACATCTGGAAGGAGATGTCAACGTGTTCAAGCAGAGATAGGGTTCCAAGTTACCCAGGATTGTAGCGCCCTCTTTCAATCTGGCCGCGGATACCAGTTTCGACGCCAATGCTGTGACAAGAAGCCCATGGCGTTAGTAGAGTGTCCAGTCAATCCGATGTAATTTACCTCTACAGGCATGTGAGAAGACGCTAGTTCCCTATACAAGCAGTTGTCGGCCGTGCTTTGCGACATAATCGTAATGCTAACCTTCCAATACCCCATATTCAACCATTCTGTGGCTGGGGGGGATGTGGCGGGCTCGCCTGGAAGTCTGTTCAAGGCCAGATGGAAGAGCCCATAGCTCTCTCCAAATAGACCAGAGTTCGGTAGATGAGAAGAGATAACGGGAACACAAGAGCGATTCCAAGTAAAACAGAAGAAGAGGCCATTAAAGGACAAGAGACATTGATAGCGCGAGGAAAGAGCGTGTAATCCGAATGAAGTAAGTGATTCCCACATCTATTGACAGGCAATAGAGCCCAGTGACGCCGGTCGTTCCCCAACGTTGACCATGACCGCCATTCAAGCTGTGTTCATCCGCAGCTATGAGGAACGCACGACACCCAAATCCCACATTGTATACAAGATTGACATCCAAGCCCATGTTCGATCATGGCAAATGTGGCGGCGCTATTCAGAATTCGATGATCTCAACACGGAACTCACCAAATCCACCAACTCACCTCCACCTTGTTCCTTACCACCGAAGCACGCGTTGACCGGTTTTCTGCGATCGAAGAAGGACGAGAAGGTGCTAGAGGAGAGGCGAGCAGGCTTGGAGGCATACCTCAGGGCAATACTTGGAGCCAAAGAAGACAAATGGCGGGAATCGTTTGCATTCAAGGAGTTCCTGGGTATACCTATAGGTCGCCAGGCCACCATTCCTTCCGACCCCAACCAATTCACATCGTCCTCATGGCTTGACGAACACGCAGCACTCCAAACCTTGCTCCGAGACGTCTGGGCAGACATCAACAAGCGAGATGCCCTCTCCGCTCAGGGAGATGTCGCCGGGTCACACAAGTCGAACCTGGCTGCCAAGTCCAAGCTCGCAGGGGTGTTATCCCGTATAGGGTTGTTGGGCAAGTCTTTGCAACAATTGGCTATGGCTGGGATGAGCGAGGGAGAACTACAGCGACGTACGGATATGGTCGGCAGGTTGCAGGACGACTGCGAGAAGCTGGGCAAGGTTGTGGCTGTTGCACGGCAGGCAGGCTCAAGAGGGCAGATATCTTCCAATCCCATGGAGCGCAGTGCTGCCTCCGAAACAGATCGACGCGCTCTACTCGGTTCGAGTTCTTCCTCGAAACCTGCCCGCAGAGTGTTTGGTGCTTCATCGTCCTCTCCCCCCAAGGAATCAGAGACCACTCGCCCACTGGATAACGTCGGTCTGTTCCAGCTACAGAAACAGCAGATGGATCAGCAGGACGACCAACTATCACAGCTGACCACAATTCTACAACGGCAACGACAACTCGGGGAGGCTATAAACCACGAGGTCACCCTCCAAATCGAAATGCTGGACGATTTATCAAGTGGAGTGGATCGCGTCGGGAACAAATTATCTGCAACGAACAAGAAACTCAATAGGCTGTCGTGACACGATTTCCCAGCTAATCATGTACATTATTGCGTACGGCAGTAGATCTAACACGCCTGATAGAGCTGGGGCCATGCATCATTAACAATTGAATATAATACAACATTAAATGATTGTGTAGAATGTAGCTAGTCTCCAGGACAGTTTAAGGCTGAGACAAGTACTTGCCAATACCCTGGAGAAAAGTCAGAATGAATGGTCAGTGCATCAACGGTAGCAGCGCACCTCGTAACAGGTTATCATGATGCCACAAGCTGGAGCAATTTTGGCCATCCGGGGACCAATTCCAGCAAAGAGAGCAGAAGCACCCTCCGATTGAATGATCCGCAACAGCAAGGGGAATGTGCGAGTGAGGTCGCTGGCTGTGGACGTCATTATCAGGGCTTGCCGTCTCGTTTTCAGTGTGTCGAAAGGCGAGGTCACAAGGGCAGCGGAAGTGCCACTAATTGCACCACTGAGGAATGCAACAGAGGCCCCCTCGTAACCCCGATTGCTAAACGCTTTCTTCGTCGCCTCGTAGCTGGCCCAGTAGAAGCCTGAGAAGGGCACATCACGCCACAAAGTGGGACCCAGCCCTCGCCAGAGTGAAAGTGGGCCTTGTGAACGCACGAGGCCTCGGACAGAAGAAAGAACGGAACGAAGGGTATGGGGGTTGTTTGACGAGGGCGGTGTGGATTGAAGGTTAGTCCGGATGAGCTCCAATGGCGATGTTAAAGTCGCTATCGAAGAACGGGCAAGGATACCAGATACGAGAGGAATAAGGGATTGCGCCGGCACAAGCGGTGGGAGGGCGGTGTTGAGGAGGTAATCGTATGTCAGAATATATGCTGTCGATGATGGAACACCAATAATCCTGAAAGACAATTGAGTTAGAAGGTCAACACCTAAGGAAAGAGACCTACAATGACGTCCCAGCTCCTTTCCAAAGACCGGGGAGACCTTCTGCTCTCCATACGTGCCTGACAGCGTCATAGAAACCATTCACGCGCTGTGTTTTGAAAACACCCTGATCCCAAAGGCACACAATGTCTCCCGTGACTAGAGGACGAGCTAGAGAAGACATATTCCGGACACATGAAGCGGCATTACTTGGTTGGCAGCAGGTATTTGGAGGGGGTTTGGGGAATAATGGCTGCCTTTTGGGCGGTTGGGTCTGGAGCCGGGTTTTCACAACGTCAAACGGCGTCACTGAAGGGATTTGTTAGCTATGAAACCCGTTTCATTGGTACATAAGCGACGTACTGGTCAACGCCGTGAGCGTTGAGCCCGTTGCTGCGGCTACGAGTTTGGCATGGAAAGGGTCCATGAAAGGAGAGGAGCAAGCCGGAGACGTCGCTCGTCGTCGTCGGCCGTGGCCAAGTTGGTTGTCGGAACCAAAATCGTAATCTGATATGATTCGAACGATAGATTTGTCAGCAAAAATCTCACGACGCGGGGACCATCATCCTTCCATTTTTCGAGATACTGATGTTCAATACAAACTTGCAACGACCTCCGCCAAAACATTAACCTCGTCTGGACTTACCTGCGAAAATCTATATCATATTCTTCAACTTACTCTGCAGCTGTGTCCTCTGATCGTCCCACAACAAAGTTCAATATTTCCCTTAATCACTTCAACTCAATTTCGAACGAGTTACTTTGTATACCATGTCCGCCAACTCCACTCTCCCCGGCCCTGCCCTCCAAGCTTCGAGAGCTGCGCTCTCAGCAGCTCTGGCCGACCAGGAGGCTGCCAATACCCAGCCCTCAAAAAGCAAAGATGAAAGCACCGAACCTGGCGAGATTCAGGAAGTAGTGGTTGATATGCAGAGCCAAGCGGACGCGATCCGAACGGTTTTCAGCGACCCTACTAATTTCAACGTTAAAGTATGTCTAATACGGCTTTATAAATGAATCCCTTTCCTGATCCTTCCGTATATTAGCATCCCTTGTTTTCTGCTTGGACTCTTTGGTTCGATTCGCCATCAACCAAAGGTCGAAATCTACCTCAGACCCCAGTCTCTGCCTTTCCCCAAACCCCTGTTCTCCAGACGCCAGGAGCAGCTGCCGCACAGGGGTGGATGGAAGACATCAAGAGAGTGATTAGCTTCGACAGCGTCGAGGAATTCTGGGGGTATGTCATTCGCTGCTATCTTTTCGATGATCAGCCCATTCACTGCCCTCTTTGTTACTTTAGCCTGTATAACAACATCATCCCTCCATCTCAACTCCCTCAAAAGGCGAACTACTATCTTTTCAAGGTACGAAATAGTGTTCGAGTGGCCATAGTCTCAGAAGCGCTGAACTTCCCCATCTCTCTGTGTTCAGGATGGGATTATCCCTGCCTGGGAAGATGAGGCCAACAAGTATGGCGGGAAATGGAGCATTCAATTGCCCAAGGACAAGAACCGAAACAACGTCGACAAGATGTGGCTGCACACCGTATGTGATTTCCCTTTGCACCGCCCCCCTGCGTACGACTCATGCTTGGTACGATCCTGTGCAGATGCTTGCTGCGATCGGCGAGACCTTTGACCCCAGTCCTAGTGGCAACAACTCAGAGTCATTAATCACAGGGGTGATTGTATCGACGCGTCCGCAGTTCTACCGACTTTCGATATGGACCCGACTTGCACCTGGACTGGGCGAAGAAGATGCGAAATTGCGGGAGAGGATTGAAGCGATTGGGCGACATTTCAAGGTGCAGGTGTTGGCGTACCCGGAGAGTGCGCGCCTTGCAGGGCCTCTTGCGACTGAAGTTGAATTCCAGTCGCACAAAGACTCTGAGAAGAAGGGCAAGTCTGTGCGGAAGATCATAGTGTAAGGCTGTGGCTGTGTGTAGTGTAAATGCTGTGATTAGTATGACATCACGTTTTTGGATTGATTCGTTAAATACGTGCTCCATTTCCATCTCCCTGCTCAATCCTTTTCTTCCTGCCCAACATGCCTATGCCATCTTTCCTCTCATCTATTGCCGACAAGGCTCAGAGCGCTATCCAAGCTTCCCCCTTGGCTGGCCATCTGCCCTCCAGCTTGGGCCCACGTCCAGCCAGTCCAGACGATGCATCCCAGCCCCCTGCCAACCAAGCTGCTGCGCAGGGTGGCCATAAGTCTCACACCCTCGAGGCCATCTCACACCAGTTCAGATCGTTGCAGCAGCAGTATTCGTGAGTGACATCGCCGCGACCCTCCATATCGTTATCTAATCTCTCCATCGCCCACGACCCAGGTCCACCACCCCTGTACAGAAAATTATTACAGCCTCAAAGGGAGTTGCTCTCGATTTTGACTGCGTCGCTCGCGACACAAAGGCCCAGAGCAAGGAGCTCTATACCTGGGGTCAGAACGAGCCCGAAGATCTGAAGGATGGTGTGTGGCAGTTGGCACCACACATAACAACAGTTTAACTGACAATTGGAATCTAGTCACTGACCGATTGGCATATCTGAACTTTGTCCACGGTTCCTTGGCTAGCACCCTAGCTCAGAGGCTGAACACTGCCCGTGGCCCGTTCAAAGCCCTTCGGGATGCCGAAAGTGCTCTTCAACCCCGGCGTAACATCAGGGCTGGGCTCCAGGCCCAGATCTCCAAGGTCGAAAACGACCCCAAAAAGGCAGCCGACCTCAGAGAGCAATTGAGGAAGGCGGAACTCGAAGACGCCCAGGCCGAGAAGGAGATCGAGCTCTTGAAGCGCAAGGCAGTCCGGGAGAGCGAGCAACTCAAGTGGGAGGCCATTCGAGAGGTAAGGGCTTCTCTTATGCCGAACATGAGCCCTACTGACATCTTGTCTAGTACGCCGAGAAACTCGTCCTACTTTCGCAAGCATCGTTGCCCATAACGGCGGCTTTGCCTACCCTTCCGCCTGACCAGCAACATCCTTATCTCGGTGGTACTGCAACCGCTGCTGCCCGAGCATCACTCCAACGCGCATTGGACAACTACAAGACTGGCCACATCAACCTTCCTCCACCCGGAGCGGACCTCAGCCGATCGGATACTCGAAGCTTTGGCGAAAGCCATGCCACCGAACTTTCTAATATCACTCCATATACCCCTGCTCACCACGCCCAGACTCCCCCGATCCAATCAACCTCCGCGCCCCCGTTCCCTGCTGCTCCTCAAGAATCCAAGCTTTCGCCCCCTATTGATCCTTCAGCATTGAACCAGGCTCCTGCACCAATCCCAGCGGTCTCAACTCCTGTCGCCCCAGCTGTAGCTGACACCACATCACCTGCGGAGAACACGGCTCCCGTTATGACCCCAACTGTTGCTGAGACTGGCATCCCTGTTGACGGCCCTCCTGGACCCTCAAAGGGATCTCTTCACGACTTGAAACACGCCTCATCCCAGTCAGGCGCCTTGCAGTCGCCTCCCGCATTTCCATCCGAAGCTTCTGTACCGACTTCCCAGCACGAAAGTGCTGAAGAGGAGAAGCGACGACTGGCCGCTGCCTATTCCCACGCGCAAGCAGCCCCTTCCACTACCGCTGGCTCTCCTCCACCAGAGGCCTCCAAGCCTGAAAGTGCAGAAGAGGAGAAAAAGCGGCTGGAGCGAGAAGAAAGGGAAAGGATCCTTCGAGGCGAGCAAGCGCGAAAAGACACCAACCCCGACGAAGACTTGCCTCCTTATCAAGAACCCACTCTCCAGTGAACAGGGAAGTGAATGGTTGGCATGAACGTGATTAAACTTGTTGGAGTACTACAATACGGTGTCTTCTTGTTCTCTCTTCGGAAGTATATGACTTGTGGAACTCACTTTGTACTGAATTCTTCGCTTTTTGAAATTGACTATATGCGTTTGGACGACCACGCTGATGCATGACTCGTGACCGACAACAAGGTGTTACAGAGGAGGGGTTAGCAAGTAGCCTTTCCTCTAGAAGAAACTAATTACTCGCGCGTTAAGTCGGAGCTCTTTGCAACTCCTTCAAATCCGGCACCAGGATTTCGGAGACGGTTGAGCATTACGATATCAAATACAACGGATGAGAACCTCGGGCAATGGTAAAAGTGAACGTCACTGTACTATGGACAAAATCAGGCAAATATTTTGAGCAGTACAAGACACGAGGGCGTACCATAATCAGAGCTCTTCACCTGCTCCCTCAAACTTGTGTTTCGTCTTAGCAGCCACCTCTGTCATTCCTCTGCCACTGCCTGTTACTCCAACTGTAGAAAAGGGGATGTCAATGGTGAAGATGCCACATCCGAGAGAAAAACAGACTGACCTCTTCCCATAGGGTTGTCTGGAGTCTTGAAGATACTAGTCCCCGCTACACCAGCAATATGGATGCCCTTCTTTTCCGACTTCTTGGCGAACTTCTGCCACGATTGCTGTTTCGCGGCCTGCTCCTTCGCTTTCTGAGCTTTCATCTCCAGCTTTTTCTCATTCTTCTTCTTCTTCCTTTCCCGCTCCTCTTCCTCGGCTTTCGTTAGCTTTCGTTTGCCGGTGACGGGTGCCGTGCTAGCATAGTTTGCGGGTAATGGTTTCAGGTCGGTAGATTTGACTAGTTCGGTTGTGTTGTACCCCTTGAACACGATGCTGTACACCCGGTTGTCGGCAGCACCGCCGACAAATGTGATTCGTGCAGGATACCACTGTCCGTCGGCAGAATATCGTGCTAGGCAGTCGTCTCCTGCTGACCATACATGCGCAGGGGTGGATGTAGAAGACGAAGCCTTTTTGTTGTCAGATTTGGATGAAGAGGAGGCTGCTTCGGCTTGGGCGATAGCGGCCTGAGCAAGCTCGATGAGCTCTTTCAGCTCTGAATGAAGGGCTGCGAGTTCAGCGTTGTCGGGATCAGCTTGCAAGGCGGCCTCAACTTGTGTAAGCTTGAGTTGATATTCCTCGAGATCTGACTTGTCCATTTCGTTTGACTTGAGGAGAGAGAAACAGAAACAAAGGGTAACAGGCAAGAAGGCGTGGGAACTAAATTACATTGCAGGGCGGCAATTTAACTAGGGGTTCGTCATCCGTTACTTACGCCCAGAAACTATCCAGTTTGACTCGTGTATCCTGTTTCCCCTTGCTACCCTGTGGACGGCCCGCATTTCGAACAGACTTTTTGGAGTGATACTTGCGTCTTTGTTGATTCTGCCGCTTCGAGACTTCGGCAGCTGCCCTCGCCTTGATATCATCCTTGACGGTGTCGGGTTCTGGAGAAGCTGACCTTGAAGACTCCCTTGATATGTTCAGGACGGAAATGTCAGGCGTTCCATCTTCCTGCTGGGTGCTCTCGGAGGTCTTTTGCCGTGATTCCCCTTCTGAAGGACCATCGTATGTCCTTTGCGCAGGCATACTAAGGCCGCCTTCCTCGCTTTCCTCTCCTTCCTCCTCTTCCTCCTCTTCCTCCTCTTCCTCCTCCTCGCTCTCCTCGCTCTCATCCTCTTCATCTCCTGTTCCCTCTTCCTCCAGATCCGCAGCCTCCATGTACTGTAAGGAGAGTTCAGCGTCACTTCGGGGATAGAAAAAATGTCGACACTACCTCCTCCAACACCTTCATGTCATTCTTGCTGAATCCGCTGGCCTCCACGATGACATCTAAACGGAAATCATTGCCATCTGCAGACCCTTCAGCCATGGTCCTTTTGAAACGAGGATAAAGATTGCTTTCGTAGCGGAACCGTCGTCGGAAGAATGTGCGGATGCATTCTACGTCGCGGTTGAAATACCTGGAGGGACGAAGGTAAAGATCCTCTGTTGAAGGGGGACAGTGCCTCGTACCATTCTGCGTTCTCATGAGACGTGCTAACCATTTGAGGGAAATCAATGACCACGGGTTCGCCTGTTTCCTCCCGAATGAGGATGTTGAATTCGTTGAAATCGCCGTGGATAAGGCCTGCTTGTGCAAAGCGGACGATGAGGTCCATCAACGTGGAATAGAGCTTTCCTGGAGACGGCACTTCTGATATCTGTCGCCTATTGTCATGTGAGATTGGGGCATGAGATCTCATAGGGAAAATAATCTTACAACGGGTAGGCATTTATGAATTCCATCAGTACGCAATGTCTGGCTTGGTCGATGGGCTTTGGTATGGGGAAACCATGTTCATAAAGCACCTAATCGAGGGTGAATTCTCAAGGACGGAGGAGAAGAGAGACGTATATACTTTCATGAAGGCATATTCTTTCTGCGCGGAGAGACGCGAGAGGTACATCCAGGATGCAGATTTTCGTTTACCCATATAGTCTCGCTTTGTTTTGATACTCCGGAAAGAAATTCGTCCTAGTCTGTGTAGACGGTCAGTCACAAAGACACGCGAACAGAGAACCACACTCACCTGTGGAGTTTTAGGACCATCTCGTCGCCTTCAGCATTGGCAACGACATAGATGTCTGAGCAAGGGGATTAGAACTTGGCCTCGACGTCAACGATTGACTACACACCGGATTCCTTTCCAACGCCAATTTGATTCCCAACAGACGTCATGCTGTCCCTCTTGGACAATGCGCGCATAGCCAGGTAATCGTACCCTCCATATGTAAGGCGATATCCTTCGTCTGGAGTCAGCCAATGTCATTATTGGTCCGTTTAGCAGGATAACATGGAAATTATTCACATTTTGCGTTCTGAACCTTGGAGATAAGGTTTCTCTTCGCCAGAGAACCAATGAGCTTGTTTACTCCTCCTCCTCGAAGCCCCGATATCTGGACTATCAAGTGTGTGGGGACAATTTCATGGTTTTTCGAGCCCATTTCGACCTAGGATATGGGGTAAATTGCAGTTTTACATATGAAGATCATGAGCGAGCGTACAGCGGTGAGGACTCGGAACTCCTCCGAGGTGACATATCTCAGATCTGTTGCATCCAGCTTCATAGCGAGCAGTGTTTTTGACTGTGCAGTAAGAGATAGAAGAACACTCAATGCATTAAGTTTCTAAATTCTGGCACATCGGCGATCTCCGATTCAAAGAGCGCTAATTATACAGCGACGCGTCTGGTCGTCCGCCGAATGTATGTCGCGATATCTCGTCCGTGAAGCCCTCAAGGTATGTACCAGAATATATAAACACATTTTTTAAAACCTTATCCGGAAGCCCAGGTCCCTTCTTCCCAGATTCAAGAGACATGTGTTGGTGACGCGCGACCAGATGCATTGTGAGGTCAGCTGTTGTCGATCCGTATCCTCGTTGCACTGAAAGGCCAGGGGCTTGCAATATGTTGTCAAGCGAAATAGTGAGCTTACAGCAGTCGATAAAAGCGCCATTTGGGACCTTTGGGACGCCAACATGCGCATTCTGTGAGTACTTGAGTTGGCCCATCCGAGCGGTCGATTGTCCGTCCTTATACCGAGGCTACAGGATGGTCGGGTCTTCGCTTGGTTATGATCCTCCAGCCAAGCGCGACGAAATATTTCATCGGCTCTCGCGTTTTATCCTTGTCTACAAGTCCCCTCTGGAAGAGGGTGAAGCTCAGAAGCTTGTCGCATACTCTACGTTTCGATTCGACCGTGAAGACGAGGACAATGTGGTTTATTGGTGAATTATCAACAGCCAAACATTCTCTTGCTTGCTCCTTAACCTCCCAGCAGCTACGAACTGCAGGTCGATGAAATTATGCGCGGTGTGGGAATCGGGCGCAAATTGATGGGTTGCCTGGAGTCCGTCGCAGAAGCCTACGGGATGGATAAAGTCATGCTGACGGTACTGAAAGGCGAGCACTTGCCAGCTTTATCTAAACCACATCGTCTTACCGGAGAATTTAGCCAATGAGAAGGCCTTTCGGTTCTACATGCAATGCGGGTGAGTTTCACTGGCGGCAACCCTGGCTGCCAGCGCATTCGCTGAACGAAGGAATGCAGCTTCAAAGTCGATGAATCATCCCCGTCTCTTTACGGTGAAGAAGTAGACTACGAGATATTGTCCAAGGTTGTATCTGGCGCTGATTTATGATTTATGATACTGTAGGGGCCGCGTGCCGCGACTACCGACCTTGCTTTAGCGTCATTTAGGGACCCTGTTTTTTGTTGGGAGCATTGAACATTGAACCACTCACACTTCTGCCCGGAAGGTGTCGTTGGGAAGCGGTACTGAAACAGATTGCAATTGACACTCAGACTATGTACGCTGTGAGCGAACAACTGCTATTTGGACGGGCAAATGAGCCTATGCGTCACGCGACCTCTTCAACATTTAAAGTTTAAACGAAGGTAGTCGGTCCTCCGGTTAAGTAGTATCACTGTCGAAATTGCGTGCAAACACGGATAGCAGGCTTTTGCAGGTCCCAGCGCTTAAACAGGCTACTGAGAAATATACGATAGTGTTCAAATGTGCGGCTATTTTGTCGTTCCCCACTCGAAGAGACTATTCTCGAGAGAACAAAATCTCACTGAAGGTTGGGAGAACCGAAACAACGGTAAGGACCAAACCAAGTGCTTGCATTTGTTTGTTTTCGCGTTTCTATGTAGTGAAAACTTACATAATATCCTCCCCTAAGGGACCTAGCTAAAGCAAGGTCGATTAAACATTTTTGTTTCGAGTCGGGGTCGGAAAGTGAGCGTGGGTAAACAGATGTAAACAGGTACGTTTTGGGCTGTCAGACAAGACACGGCTCAGTTTGCAGCGGTTCTCTACGTTATGTTGGCCTCCTGTACATCCCGAGCGTTGCGCTCATCAGTCACCCGTCTGCAAGGCAGACGCTTTGCTTCCCATGAAGCACCGCAGTACAACGAACCCACCGGCTGGCTTTTCGGTGAAAAGGTACGTCAAATCTTGCGGCTTGACTTTCGTTCTGCTGTCTAACCTTTCGAACCTGCTTCAGCCACCACCACCGGGACAGAAACGAGTGAAGGAGGACTGGGAGAACATTTGGGTTATTGGAATGTTCGGCACCATGGCTTTCGCCAGTGTGATGTTGTACTACAAGCCTGACACCAGGTGCGTTCCGGATTCTCTCGCTGGTACTCCAATTTCCTCATTCTTTTGTCGTAGCGTTCAATCCTGGGCCTTGAAAGAAGCCAAGGAACGCATGGAAGCTCGCGGAGAGAAATACCAATACGAACCCTCGACCTCGACGTCGTCCTCATCAACGTCTTCCTAATAGCAACCACAATATTCTTCATTGTCGCCATCCTCATCCGCTAGAAAGTACCAATAGAATATATTCTATTCGAGTTTCTTAAACTTCGGTTCAGATCAGAAGGTCTATGAGCAGCTATTCTACGACCACTATGGTGGTTAGGTGAGGTTGGGGGAACTATGACTCGCAGTGCGCCTTGTAGGCCTCCTCCGTCAAAAGTTCTTCGAGCTACATCAGGGATATTCAGCTTCCGGTATACACCAGAAGTAAATAGACGCACCTCAGCGGGGGACGAGAGCTTAATCTTGCAGAGCCAGCCCTTGTCTTCAGGAGACTTGTTGAGAAGGCTTGGCTCGGAAGAGAGGGCCTCGTTGATTGCCTCGACAGTGCCAGAAACCGGAGCATACTGGGGGAGTTCCGTCAACGGATTAACACGGTCAATGCTGTGAGGTGGACACGCACGATATCAGAAGCAGCCTTGACACTTTCAACGGCGCCAATTTGGTCTAGAGAATAGGTTAAGAACGCGGCCGATGTGGTGGTGGTGGTATCTGCAAGTCCTCACCTCCTTGCGCAACTTCGGTGCCTTCACTCGGCAGCTCGACGAACACGACGTCCCCAAGAGACGACTGTGCATAGTCCGTAATCGAGACCGTGCCGATACCAGTCGAGTCGTCGAAAGCAATGGCTTCGTGGTCGGTCGTGTAGCGTTTGGCTGTAGGACCACCAAGTGTCAAGCGCCCCATCTTTTTGGCAGCCAGCGGGTACTCACTAACGACAGTCCTGAATTGAGCAGGTCGGAACGCGGCGGTTCTCAAAGCAAAGGTCCTGGCAGGACGAGCACGAGCGACAGTTGTTCTGAAGATGGCTTGCATGGCGGTGGAGTGAGTTCAAGGCGTGTCGGGGGATGGGAGAGCCAATGGCTTCGCGAAGAAAACCGTTGCCTTATTTGTAAAACTGCGTTCCGCCCTGGAAGCTCGTGTTAAGGGTCGACCGTGTGGCTAGACTCTCAGTGATGGACAATTCATTCAGATACAAGGCAATAAATTATGTCTCATATTAAGTCTAGGTAGCTCGAACCCGGATTACTTTTGTACATGTGCTAGGTAACGACTAAATGGTAAGTGGGGGTGAATAGCTGTATGCAGCGGCGCAACGACGATAACTGAACCGTTTACTCGAAAATCTTGGTAACGATACCAGTTCCAACTAGAGAAAAGGTCAGTGTCGGCCCACCGAAGATGAACGGGGAGCTACTTACTAGTCTTGTTAGCCTCACGGAGTGTGAATCGAGTTCCCTCCTCGAGAGCAACGTCGAAGACCAAGTCGCAGACCATCTCGACGTTGTCACCGGGCATGACCATCTTCTCAGCAGCATCGGGAGTGCCTTCAGGGAACGAGAGAGAAACGGTGATATCAGCGGTACGGACGAAGCATTGAGGGCGGTAGTTTTGCATGAAGGGAGTGTAACGACCACCCTCTTCCTTGGTCAAGACCTAAATATAGATTGTGCGTCAGGGGTACGATGACGAAGAGGGACCATTGGTAACTGACGTAGATCTGAGCGAGGAACTTCTTGGCGGACTTGACGGAGCCGGGGGCAGCGAGGACTTGACCGCGTCGGATTTGTTCACGCTTGATGCCACGGAGGAGAGCACCCATGTTGTCACCAGCCTCAGCCTGAGTGGAAGGTCAAACTTGCAATCCACAACGAAATGTAACGCAATACTCACGCGGTCGAGTTCCTTGTGGAACATCTCAATACCAGTAAGAGTAGTCTTCAAGTTGGCACCAAATCCGATGATTTCGACATCAGTACCCTTGGTGGCAACTCCACGCTCGACGCGTCCAGTAGCGACGGTACCACGGCCAGAGATAGAGAAAACGTCTGAATTTTCGGTATGAAATGCGAATATTCACAAGGACAGGAGATTCGAGACATACCTTCAACGGGCATGAGGAAAGGTTTCTCGAGGTCACGGACTGGGAGTTCGAGCCATTCGTCACAAGCCTTGACGAGTTCGCGGATCTTGGATTCGCCAATCTTGTCGTCACGACCTTCCAAAGCAGCCAAAGCAGAGCCCATGATGATAGGAGTGTTTTCACCGTCGAAGTTGTAAGTCGAAAGCAAGTCCCTCATTTCCATGTCGACGAGTTCCAACATTTCCGGGTCCGAGATTTGGTCAACCTTGTTGATCCAAACTACCAAACGCTTGATACCGACTTGACGTGCGAGGAGCAAGTGCTCACGAGTTTGGGGCATCTGACCGTCCGTTGCAGAGACGACAATGATAGCACCGTCCATTTGAGCTGCACCAGTAATCATGTTCTTGATGTCTGAAGGAAATGTGAGCAAGTAGTGGTGATATAGGACATGGCAGCGTACAATCAGCGTGTCCGGGACAGTCAATGTGACCGTAGTGGCGGGAGTCCGACTCGTATTCGACGTGGGACGAGTTGATAGTGATACCACGGGCCTTCTCTTCTGGGGCCTTGTCGATTTGGTTGTAGTCGGTGAACTTGGCACCACCTTGAGAAGAGAGAACCTTGGTGATAGCGGCGGTCAAAGTGGTCTTTCCATGATCAACATGGCCTATGCTTTGTCGTCAGGGACGAGCAGAGTCTGGGAATGACGAGCGACGTACCAATGGTACCAATGTTCATGTGGGGCTTGTTCCGTTGGAAGACCTCCGCGTAGCCACGTCGGAGCGCTATTGACACGTCAGAAGAAAGTCGAACAGAAGAGATGGGACATACCAAAGCCAGACGAAGGATACGTTGGCAGAACGCGGTTGCGTTGGCAAGCGCTGCGAAGTGAAACTGGAGAAGAATGAGCATTGGGAATAACGGGGACGACGAGGAGTAAGGGACGAACGTCTGGCACAGGCAAAAGCCTGGGAGGCCGCTTTACAGTTGGCGAGAGACAGCATGGCTAAGGATGCTGACTGCAACGGAGGTCAGACGCGAAGACAGCTCACCGCGAAGGAATCAAAATTTATGGTCCCTCTCTTTCGGCAAACACCGGTGCACACACCGAACCCATTCCGTGGTTAGGGTTAACCCCACTTTAACCGACCACATTGATCATGGCAGCCTCGGATCGTCAAGAACTCATTCGAAATGCTGTTTCCTTCTTGAACGACCCAAAGGTGTCCATTAAAGATTCACGACCCTATAAATATTCACTCACTACCTACATCTTAGGCCCGTTCCTCACCTCTGGCTCAGAAACTTCAGTTTCTCGAAGCCAAGGGGTTGACCCCTGCTGAAATTGACATTGCTCTAAGGCAATCTGCTGCGAACGTGTCAGCTCCACAACAATACGCACCCTCGTATGGTCAGCCTTATGGAGTGGTTCCTCCACCTCAGCAGCGTTGGGACTGGAGAGACTACTTCGTTCGTATTCACTGAAAGTACGTTTTAACACGTGCTTACAACAGGTCCAACAGATTACTGCAGTGGTATCCGGAACAGTAGTCTATGGTGCTGTTTCATTGTTCAAGGTGTGTACATCCCTGTGGCGGTAGAGTCATTGCTCATGTTACTCTTTGCCAGAAATACATTCAGCCGCATTTGCAACCCCCGAGCTCGACCGCGTATGAACAAGACCGAGATGCACTCAATGCTCAGTTCGATGCAGCAGAAGCCTTGTTAAAGGAGATACAAGCAGAGACTGCTGCTGTCCGTGCTGCTGTTGCCGAGCAGAAGGAGAGGGTGGACCAAGCAACTGACAATGTCAACGCGGCGGTGGCCGAGATGCGGGAGGGTGAGGCAAAGACTCGTGACGAAATCAGAGAGATTCGTGACGAGGTTAATACCATTCGCGAAATGCTTCCCAAGGTGTGTATTCGTCCGTTCCATATATTTAAATGTTTAACCTCGTTTTGCTAGATGATTGAGAAGAACAAGGAATCCCAGAACCAATCCCTCGGTGAATTGCAACAGGAGCTCAAGTCCCTCAAGGCACTCCTCCTCAGTCGTGGGCCCACCGTCGCCAGCACTCCCTCACCTCCTATCCACTTTGGAAGGCCCTCAATACCAGCCTGGCAATTAGCCAGCACTCCCCAGGCAGAGACGCCGGCAGCTTCTAGTACTGCCCCTGCCCCTCAGGTGGTTGCAAACCCGACCCCTGTCAATGGCAAAGGGAAGGAAGTTGAGCGGGATTCTGAAACAGACAGCTCTCCGACTTCCTCTGGTGCATGATTACTGTGTACCTTGCGCGTTAGTTTCTGTGTAGTTTACGCTGAATTATTAGTTCTTCACGGTCCTCGGCAATTAAGAGGTTTTGATCCGGAGTTGCTAATAGGGTAAGAGATTCTCACATGTATCGCCTCCGCGACCTGATTGATGAGGTGTGCTGGCCTTTAGCACTTGCAACCTCATTCGCACCGAGCCTTCACGTCTTTTTGTGAAGCTGAAAGGTATTCCAGACCATGTTCAGCCAGTTCAAGAATGCTGTTGAACAGCTTGCTCAGCAAGTCCCAGTTCCACAAATCCCAGGAGTCGACGAACACCTAGTACGGCGCGGTTCTACAGAAATCAACCGTTCAATATCACCTCTGTCCTCAGGACAACTAGCCGAATCCGCGCTTACCTCTCTCCGGAGATCTCTGTCCTCCCAACGACCAGACCCTGTTTCTCGCTCCAATTCTGGCTCAAGTGGAACGCCTCCACCTGCTCGCAAGTCCAATTTAGAGGAACGGCTGCGACGGGCTGCACATAATGCCATTGTAGAGGGTTCACCTAATTCTTCTTCGAGGAAAGGAAGCTCCAGTCGCTCATCCTCACCGGCACCTAACAGTATCAACCAAACGCGGTCACAGTCCCCTGCATCAGTCCCGCTGCCACAGTCACCGCTTTTAAATCCCACCAATTCCTCCATTGTTCCGGAGAAACTCTCAAACCTTCAGCATACAGACGAGGGAAACCCAGAGCCTTCAGAAACAAGTCAGGAACAAGTCAACAAAGCCAAACTTGCCTCAACCTCTGAAGAGAGGGCATCCGAATTGAAATATACAGCCGGAGATGTCAGCAAAGACAACGATTCCGATACCCAAGTGGAAACAGACAAAAAGAAGACCTCACCATCCAATTCCGAGGAAGCAGGCGAAAGGCTGGGTGCTGATGCAGACTCGCCACGGGCCATCGCCCAGGCGGTCGACGGGGACAGCGCCTTCCCGCCAAAAGCGCCCAGTCCTGAGGCAACGAAGCCGACAGAGAAAGACTCGCCATCTCCTGCAACGCCGTCCGACTTGCTGCCTCAGACAGATTCGCCTGCTGAATCTGAGCTACCCGATGGGAGGCATGACACTGTTTCTGTCCTCGCCGTTGCTACTTCGCCTTCGGTAGCCGAACCCAGCGAGTTGGTACCAACAATCACCAAGGAGGGACCAGAGTTGAAAGGACCAGGGGTCGAAGAGCTTCAACAACGACTGAAGCAAGTTGAGCAAAGATTCTCGGGTACGCTTTGCCGATCTGTAATGATGATACCGAGCCTTAATATCTCTGCAGATGTTTCAACGTCGTTCAAGCGCCTTCAGGCTGAAAAGAGGGCTGCAGATGCCGTTCTGCGCGAACTTACGCCCCTCGAGAGTATTCAAGATAACGAAGGACTTGGTGATTATTTGAAGAATGTACAATCGAAGATCTCGGTATGTCACTGCAGATATATACAAACGACCAGATAGTGATTCTAGTGGACATCAGATTTTCCAAGAGGAGATTAAGAGATTGAATGCCAAGATTGGTGGTTCGTACCGTTTGTTTCCACTGTCGAATTTCGACTTAACATTCCCTCAGACTACGAAGGCCAGTTAGAGGATCTCCGGAATACCCACCTTTCAGAAACCAAATCCCAATCCGACCAGATTGAGAAACTCCGCGTCCAGCTTAAGGAGACCGAGGCCCTCTTCCAAGCCTCTGAAAAGGCTGTCACCCAAGTGGAGGATAACATTGCATCCCACAAGTCGGAAACCGATCAGCTGAACGCCCAGATCGAGAAGTTGCGGACCCTGGCCAAGGAAGAGGAAGAGAAGCGAGTGAAGGCGATCAGTCTTCTGAAGACAGTGCGGCAAAAGTTGGTCAAGACGGAGAAGGAGAGGGATGAGGCACTGCAGCAGGCTGCGGCTTCCAAGGATCTTGACAAGGATGAACGGGACAAGGAAAGAGCGGAGCGATTGAAATTGCAGCACGATCTAGAAGCGATGCAGATTGAGAAGGAGAAAACGGCAGCTGCGCAAAGGGCTCAGTATGACCGGGATTTGGCCTTGATGAAGGAGCGGTATGAGAAGGAATTGTCTGCCGTTAAAGGCCAACTGGAGTTGGACATCATTACACTCAAGGTAACGGGAAAGATCGACAATCTCGCATATGCTTCGGTACTAATCTATCGTTGTAGAGTTCACACTCAAAGGACATCGCGGCCAAGAATTCGCAGATATCGACATTAGAGAATTCCCTCAACAACGTCACACGGGATAAGAACTCGTTTTTCGAGCAGCTGCAGATAAAACAGGCCGAAACTGAATCCGCTCAGGGCCACTTGGAGTCGCTCCAACTGCAGAATACCGAGCTCGAGTTCCAGCTACGGGAGGCCAACGATCGCCTAGCACTCTTGCGTGAGGAATACGCTGAATATCAGCGCGAGCAAGAAGTTCGAGCACGAGAACCCGTCACTTCCGCCGACGACATAGCACAAATGATCTCTGCGACCGAGTCAAGATACGAAGTCAAACTAGCTGAGATGAAACGTAGCGTGGAGGTGTTAGAGAGGGAGAGGGGCGAGAGCGAAGCTAATTGGAGCCGTAAGTTAAAGGAGAAGGTGAAAGAGGTGGAGGACCTAAGTCGTCTTTTGGGTACTACTGCCAAGTCGAGAGAAGAGGACATCGGGATCGCCGACAAATTAAGAGCAGACCTTGCTCGGTCGCAGGAAGAAATCAGGTTGCTCAGGGAGCAAGTTGCGGAAGTGCCTGTACTGCAAGATCGGATTCAGGAATTGAAGGTACTGCCTCTTTGGTTGATTGGAATATGTGCTGGATTCTGATAGCAAACATACAGAGAATATCGAAGGAGCAGGAACAAGAGTCCCATTTGAAGCAATCGCTGGTGGAGAAGCAGATCGAAGACTACAAGAGTCGAGAGAGCCAGTTGAAGCAGGCGAACAAGGTCAGAACAGTATCAGTAATAGTTGGACGCTGACTGACGCCTCCTTCAGACTCTCAAAGATGAACTGCGCAAAGTACAAACGTCAGCGGCGTTATTGGAGCGTCAAAGGAACCCTGGGGTGGGCTATTGGAATAACCGTGCAGCTGCCGAGTCCGAAGGCTCCCAGCAAGCGTCGCCAACGATTGGCACTTCGTCTCGCGTCAGTTCTCCTGCTCCTGGTTCTGCCAAGCAAGAAGAAGAGGTCAACCTCGAGTATCTTCGAAACGTGATCCTGCAGTTCTTGGAGCATAAAGAAATGAGAGTAAGTCACGTTTTCGTCAAATTAAACAGTGTCTGATGGCGGTACCTGTAGCCGAACCTCGTCAAGGTTATTTCAATAATCTTGCATTTTACTCCTCAGGAAACACGTCGCTTGATGGCTAAGGTGTAATTCGTTCTTTCATAGGTCGTTCGGGTAAAGCAAGGGCGGCTCTCAGCCACCATGCTAGACTAAAAAACCATGCTTATAGGGACAGACTAGTAACTGGGTAATATACGGGTGGGTTTAATACATGGGCAAGATAAGGGGGCCTATTATACGAATGTTACGGCTACAATGTCGGGCAGATTATTGGGTGGGCAAAACGCCTTGGGCAAGCTAATTTTGGGATTGGCTGAGAATGGTCTGCAGGTCGGCGTTCTGTTTCATTGGAAGCCCGGTCATTGACGCGTGATAGTGAAGTCTTCGAAAGGATACACTTACAGCGCGTTCCAGCTCCAGCAGCTTTAATTTCGAGAGCGACACGTCGTGCTGCAGACCGGCAACCATGCTCTAATATACGGCAGATAATTAATGACTGTTGTATAGGACGCCGGTCGGAACAAGGCACTAACCTTCGCGGTTTTTGAATTCAGACCCTTGAATTGTTCGAGGGCCGAGAATGGGACAGGGTAGTACCCGATACTGACGGCCTGTTAGAGTCAGACGCGCTCGAGAGGACGGAAGCTCACCTTAGAAGCTGCGCGTGCAGCTCGTCGATGTGACTTTCCAGGCTTGCCATATAAATGACGCGTCTGTGTGGGGCTCCTAAGGTCGAGCTGGTCCGAAAGAAAATGAGCACCTGACGGCCATTGTGTGTAGAACTTGTACCTACATCTCGTAAGGCGTGAAGATGGATTTTTCCAATGCGTGATTCCAAATTTTTCGGCGTTTAACTTCGTCCTTTTTAGCGACTAGTCGGGCATACGGGTGGGCAATCTGTAGACGCGACTTGGAGGACTTTTGGGTAGAACGGGAGAGATTGTCGCTAGTGATGTGTGGTAAGTAGTCGGTGGACGGGGTGTAGGAGGAGTCGGAGGTGGCTGAGCTGGAGGCAGGGGAATGTGCTTGGGTATAGACTGGGTAAGTATAGTAGGTTTGAAGTGAATCCATTGATGCTGGTGAAGAGCACAGAGAAAAGAAAAAACGTATAGACCGACGACTTGGGATGGAGCGGCTCGGTGTACACAGACTATTTAAGAGGCCCCATTTCACAGGGGAATTGGAGACACGGAGACGTAAACATGTCAAAAACCAGGGGCCAGTCTCGATCCGCGCCATTGAGGGGGTGCAGATTGCTCGTTTCGTAGAGATCTCGGTGGTGTAACCTTGAATCTCCTAGATCTGCCATATGCCCCCTCTCTTAGGCTTTTAGTGTCCGGTCTTTATTAGGACAGCGGATATTCCATACACACTGTCCAACAGTCTCAAGCGCCCGTGTTCGAGGTTATCGATCGTCAACTCGCCATCGATTGTTTCCAAATGTCGATTATCTATGTATTTGGTGTCATGACCCAGCCAGGATCAACTTTGGGGACCAGATCTATGGAAGCGACGGCGGTCACGGGCTTCTTGTTGCCAGCTTTCTGGTGAATTGACTGTCATTCTTCTCACTCTTCCTGCGCCCAAATCGCGGGACGACTCCCCGTGCAGACATTCTCTCCTGGGTTCAAGTGCCCTTTATATTCCCCCCCCCCAGAGGTGAACGTTTGAACGACGGTTAGATAATTTCAAACATTTTTCGAGAAGCACGGAGATTGGTTGCTGGAGGATCTCTTGCTTTTCGAATGCATCTGTGATCGGATCTGCGAATAGAAAGCCCGTTTCCAAATTGATTGACAGTCCGATGCAACCCCTTGTGGCTTCCTTTAAAAAGCTCGAGACAGTCGCCTACGCGTTCAGGTATCGCAGTATGATGTTCACTCAATATCCTACCTGTTTTCCAGACCAGGAATATGAGCCAGTAAGTCCACCTTCCTACTCCCAACTCGTACTATGCTGATAAGAGCTCAGCAAGAGACCGCGTCTACATACTACGATCCTCATTACTTCGCTCCTGTGGTGCCGCAGAACCTTCAGCCCGTCCAGGCAGCACTCCCACAGCGAACAGACATGATTGTCCATGCGCCCATGCCTACACTACTCGGTCAAAATCCTCTGTGGTCACGCAATTTCGAGGACCTTTCGGAATACCAAACACAGTACTCGGCGTCACCATTGAGCGTCACGGGCTCGGACACTGTCTGTTACTACCCGGAAGCTGACCAGCAGTCTTTGGCATCTGGACAGTGGTCGGATGAAGTGGATCAAGGCTCTCAGCACCCCATCGCCACCTTCCCCACACCCAGCGAATTGCTTGTCGAATTATCGACTAAGAACGACTTGGCTCTATCCGCTCCAGGCTATCCGTATGTCAAGTCCGAGTCGTCCGCCCATCCGACTACGAAGCACGAGAACTTGGACTCAAACCATTCTTATACTAGCTCCAAGAGTCCGTCGCTCGAACCTCCGCAGTCAGCGGACGACGCTAAAAGCGAGGCAAGTCGCGGCAAAGCACGTCGACGCGTTACCAGCCATAGCATCGGTCAGGCGACGACATCTGATCCGTATGTCCTCCTCCTTTCCGTCATACAACTTCTAGACTGAATTTTAATGATCTAATTGACAGGGAAACTATCTCGTCGCACGAAAAGAAAAGGCACTACCTTGAATGCCTCGAACAATATGTCATGTATCTGCACCAACAGCTGGAGCTACTAAATGTCTCCCCTGTGCCATTGAAGCGCGTTCAAAGTTACGGCGGCCTCAAGAGCCGCTCTATCAGAGTGAGTCAAGGTTAATCGGTGCTGAGCAGAGGAGGACATCGGAAACTTTCCCCCAAGTTCGCCTTCCTTTCTTCACCACGGTTTGCTTCTTTTATTCCGAGACGGTGGCTGATAAATACCTGCTCATAGACATTACTCGTGCATATGGAAAAAACGAGCCGGGGTTTAGCTTCGAAGACCAAGGCTGAAGAAGACAGGGTACGCTCATCTCTTCGATGATTTGGCCTCTTATGGTATGGTAACTGACGACAGCCACTGATACCCGTCTAGTTTGCTCAACTGCGGGAGGAAGTTATGAGCAGGAACTTTTCGAACGAACACCCGGCTGACTGAGTGCCCATCGCATTTGAAGCTTTGAAGGTCTGAAGACGAACCAAAACTGTGGATGTATATCTAGACGTTGAGAGAACCTTGTAAAATGTCCTCTCGATCCGGAGTGAGCTTCCCGCTAATTTGATACCACTGTTTCTTGTCGCTATTTTGAGTGTAGCGCTCGTCGCACTTGAAGTACTTCGATGAAGGACATGGCTCAGTAGATTCGTCTAACTGAGATTTGGAGGTAACCTACTCCGAAGTGGGGCAGTTTCTCCATCCCCACGACACCACAACCTGACACTGGCAGCGGATGGACTTTGTCGAAGCGCGGCGTCGCGATGTTCGGAATGCTTAATTAGGAAAGGACGGTCGCGTACGGTAAAGCATCATCATCGCGGACTGGGCTTGAACTTGGACCAGGACGGTCACTTCCTTCGTTAGGCTCTAGGATCAACTCAAGACGGATACAAACGCTCAAGACATTATGTCACTTACGGAGATCACAAGGAATTGCTTCCAAAGTGGGATATCTGCTCAGAAGGTACTTCGTCTTACGGTGTACTCAATTTCATGGGTTAGTAGTAGCTGACAGTTGAACATGACAGTGGCTAGCGTTGTGCAAGGACTTTGTGAACGAGAACCCAATTCTCGGAAGCCCAGAGTCGGTGGCAAGTGGAATCAGTAGTGAGTTAGCGTTGCCTGAGTTGGGGTTCCATAGGGATGCTTATTATCGTTGTATTTCAATAGATTCCGTCCTGTTTCTCTACCGGTCTTATCCCGCAGACTCAAGCCTCAACAAGTACCTTGTCTACGCACTGAAGGATGGGATACTGCCCTTACATGTCTACGTCGCCACTTTCCTGTCTGCTGCTCGCTCTGCCGACTTCCATTCAGGTGCCACTCTGGATTTCCTGTGCGACCTGGCCCTTCGGACACACGAAGAGAGCAGCCAAATCCCTCCCCCCGCCCTTCTGTCTCCTTCAGCATCCCCGCTCGCCAACCTCGAGACCGTTCAAGACGCGCTCTGCCTGGTCCAAACATCCCATACGATGATTTTGAACTATCATCACCACAAACTCGTGCAGAATTCGGAGCGATTGTTATCCCACTTACTGTCTTATAACACGGACGTATCGCAAATGACGATTACCCAAGTATGGCTGGCATACTCTACCACCATTGACATTATGAGAGTAATCCAACTCGACGCTCAAGTCCGCGTTCGGCTCAAACAATTCGCCATGGAGCTGAACAGAGTCATTCAAGACGATGCAAAGGCTGCGCGAGAAGCTCAGATGATGCAAAGTATGCAAGTCGCGAAACAGAGTGTAGGATCTTTGAACTCGGAGACGGACGTAGTTAGTCTGGGTCTGCTATGGCAATACTTGGTACGATTTCTAGGCTCGACCTCCTCCCTGTCCCTCGAGCACCTCACGAACCACAGTCTGCCTAATCAGGTCAAACATCGAGCTCGCGACTTCGGAGCAGGAAACACAGAGAAGGTCGTTGCTCTTCTTGTCAGTGCCTGGAGATGGTCTTCATGGACGGCGCCCGTTTTCTGCACTCAAGTCTTTGTATCCCTCTTTACGTGCCTCACATCGTGCCCTACGCTCGGCGAGCCGGCTCTCTGGAGAGCGTTTATTCTTGGACGGGTGGGTTACTTTTTCCTATTATCATTCTACAGTATCTGAATTGCGTCATTCAAGGTGCCTTCCTACCTCGCCGCTTTCCAAAAGGTCGTTAGCACCGATCAAGGCCTCTCTACAGACTTGGTTAGTTTATTTCAGTGATCAACATATTCCGCTCTCACTGGAACCATACAGCGTACAGCCTTTCGTCAAGGCATTAGGGCGGCCCTCAGGAGACAAGACCTTCTGGTTCCAGGCGACCATTTCATTTCGCAAGCCACAGGGTCCAATGGAGCGAGTGACGGGTGTGTCCATGCATTCATTTGTTATCTGTTTTAGTTCGAACGTTGATTGGTATGATAGACAGACATCATTCGCCCGCAAATTCGTCCAACAATTACTGAAGGCGGACCTAATCGAACAAACTGTGGTACAAGAAGTCGAGCCATTGCTAGGGCCCTCGGCGCCGGCCCATGAATCACAGGATATGAACGTGGACTTAACTGTGAGTATTGTATAGAAGGATTCAGTCTGTTTTATGCTCAGCGGCGCATGCAAAACCTAAGTGTGATTTCGACGTGCGACTAGCCCAGGACCCGGATCTTCTCGAGGCAAATCACTGGCTTGATCGCATTTGGAAGGATGAGAATAGTCATCGACCGTTAGCCGCATTGGTGTTGAAGGTACGGCAGAACTCCCACTTCCCACTTGACCCAGCTGACTGTTTCAAAGCGTTTCGAACTTTCTTCCACAGGCGGAGATGTCGAGCCTTTCGGTCGACTTTGTCAACTGTTATACACCCACCGATTCGCATTGGATCTTGTTTCCCTTCACGTTAAAGTTTCCGATCTAGTGTTCTACGCACTCTCGTTCTTAGAAGCTTACGACTGTGAATCAGTAGGCAAGTCAAAACGTCATACATACCGTTGGGAGAGATTTTTAACCGGGCTCCAGGTGACCCCCAAACTGGGGTTAGTCAAGTAGGAAACGTGGTACTGTTTTTGCAATACACTATCATTCGGTTCCAGGTGCGATACCCATTTATTCCTTTCTTCTTAGTGGTACTGAGCGCCTGCTAGTTCGAGGAGGAAGTCTTCACCAAAGATGGCCAGAGTTTCTCAACTACCTTCCTTCGTCACACAGATGAAGTTCTACCCATAGAATCAGCACAGTTACCCGAAACTGCAGCCTTCCATTCATGGTTCAAAGCTCTTTTTGACAGTAGCAGCGAAGGGATTGAAGATAGCATTTTGAGGCAAGCTTTTCATCACCCTTGAGCTGAGCCTTGTTTTGCCAACATCTTTTCGACCCTGCAGATCTACCCACCCAAAGGTCCTTCTCCGAATTTCAGCCACCTTGTTCTCGCAAGCGATTAAGGCTGCTGCCGCCCACAAGATTGATTCTGATATTCTTACCAATGGTGTTTCGTACTTCACCGGACCTATCCTGAACTGGACCTTGGTCGGGGTCATTAAGGCCCTTATCAAAGAAATTCGATCTTCCACTTTCAAGTGAGTTGTTCATCTTGCGGACATTGTCAGAGCCGTCGCCAACGACTTCAACCATGTAGACAACCCCCTCCTGACCCTCAGACCGTTGAGATTCTGCAAACGTTGATCACTTCGACCTCTTGCCCTCAACCGGTACTTGCACTGTGCAGTGCGCAAGTCCTACGATTCTTAGCCGACGAAGCGAACAACAACTCCGCCCACCGTCAGTCGTTGGACATCGCAGCCGTCGAGGATGTCGTCAGACGGGCATCAAATCGAACAGGTCGGTTCCTTCTCCTTGAAGACTGCTCCCGGAATTCTAACCAGCTTCCATGTCCGCTCTCTCGCTGAAATAGGCAACAGCCCCTTCATAGACTGGGAACAGTATCCCAAACACCAAATCCGAACTGCCTTGTCCATGGCGCGGGATGGCAAAATAGTCGACTTGGATGTTGATCGTTGTCTGAAGATTTTGCAACCCACCACGTTCTTGCAGGTTCTTTGGGCAGATTTATCGGCAGAACGAAACGAAATCGAACTCTGCCGCAGAGTTGCGACGTTTGTTCTTGCGATGCCGCGGAATTCGCAGTCGCCACCGTTGCTACCCCTCTTTATCCACCTTTTCCTGCCATCGCTTTTGCATGCCATGGACAACCAGAAGACCCAGGACCCAACAGTGGTCGAGCTCACCAGCTGTATCATTCTATCGACCTTGACAGCTGCTTTCCATTTGGAATGGTCGATGACGACCGTCTTGAAAGATAATCGTACTATTCTCGGTGCGAGTAGTTCGTCGATGGCTAGACGTTTAGCCAATGACCTCCGTAATCGAAGAAATGGGGCGGCCAGCCAAGCCATTCTTCAACGTCTTGCTTCCTCCCAGGTGTTCGTCACCAATTTTCCTTATTTTGCACCAGAGTTCGGGAATTAAATGTCATTAGACGCTCTAATCTAACTCACTCGCACGCAAAGACACCAAAGTCCTTCCCTAGACCTCTACATTCGGGGGTGCTATGTAAAAAATGAGTCTTAAATTGGAGGAAAACGTCAACAAAAAATTGCAAGAACTCACGACAACACGCGTTCTCCGAAGGATCACAATTTTGATCAGCAGGACACAAGATCAGGCACGAATCTTCAGAAATCTGTCGAAGATTGATGTATAAGTGGGGAAGTGGAAATGGAAATGGCTCTCGGGCTTGCCTTTTGGGTGCCTTCGGGCAATTGGTTGGGCGGGAGTCGGTACTCGGGCTGGATGGTGCTTGAATGGATGCCGAGGTGATGCAGCGCTTTACGGATCTTCGCTGCAATAGGCATGAAGTCGTGATTCCGTGATGCGAGGACGTGCACGGAAGCGACTAGCTTGTTTTCAGAAAGTTGCCACACATGAAGCTCATGCAGAGAGATAACGCCATCGACAGCGAGGATAGCATCTTTCACCTCGTCCAAGGAGACAGTCGGAGGCACTCCCTGCAACAAAATGAAGGATGCACTTCGGACTGTAAAATACTGAGGGTTAGCGCTAGAGCCGAGCATCCTGGTGACGTACCGAGAGGCATTGAGCTAGAAAAAATGATAACGGTAATGACCAAACTAATGACTGGGTCAAAGTAATACTTCCAGCTCCAATCGGTCAGCCAGATGACTAGACCGGTTGCGATAACGCCAACGTTTCCAAGCGCGTCTCCAATGACGTGCAAAACGAGAGCTCGCATGTTCATCGAACCATGCCCATGTGCATGTGAACGCTTGCGGGCTTCTGTTGGTACATCGGGAGTAGTTGCCAACAAAGGTGATTGTTCGTCGACCGAGGTACGGTTGTCTGTAGTATAAATAATCTGAGAGTCATTGTGGCCATGTTGTTGACCAGCAGTCGCCGGCGAATCGATGGAAGCTCGACCCTGCGACAAGGAGGGGACATGTGACGGCGCCGGAGGCGATTGAGCAGCAATCTCGTTGGCGGTCTGGACAAGGGACGCGCGGGTAGCAGCAGGATGGCCATAAAGTATATCGTCCTGGGAAGCAGGTGATTGAGAGCCAGAGTGGGTTCGAATTGGTTTGGGACGAGGACGCGAATGTCCATCCTTGCTAGCACCTGTGGCACTGTTCCGAATTGAGCCTTCGCGAGAGCTGGAAGGGCTGGGCGACTTGGAATCGTGTTTATGGTCATGGGAATGGGGATGTACATGCTCTGCATGGAGAGACATTAGGCGAAACGACATGTGAAACGGGAATATAACGTACCATGGAACAGTAACAGTCCAACAAGGTTTGATGCGAGCCCGAAGGAACCAACGAGAGCGATGAACTTTGGGTTTGAAATTTCTGCATTGTAGCATTGAGGCCTCGTGAAGGTCAGGTTCAAGGTGATGCATACCTGGTTCTTCAAAGAAACGGACGATGGCTTCAAGGGAAATGGAGAAACAGAGCGCAAGGAGGAATACACCATTGACCAATGCTGCGACAATCTCAGCACGGTGCCAGCCGTACGAATACCGGGAGTCAATAGAGTTGGCGTTGGTGAGCTACGAAGGGATTGAGAAACTGTTGACCAGGGTTTGGGTAGTATAATAAACACCTTTATCGCGTAGAGCGCTACGATCAGGCTCAAGACATCGCTGCAGCGATTGCTCAGCGCTGGGTCCACGAAAAATGGACGAAGACATACTTGAGCATGTGAAAGGCATCTGCAATGAGCGCCAAAGACCCAACCGCATAACCTACAGAGCAAAAGTCGGACCTGTTAGGCTGTGAAGGACCGAGACGAGAATGGGGTCAACATGCCTGCAATGAGTTCAATAAAGAAAAAGACAATGTCTATACATAAAAGGATGGTAATTCGGGTAGACCGCGACCAGGCCATCGGTGGGACAGCGGGGCTGCGGGAGCCAGAGTTGGGTGGTGGTTAGTGACTGAATACAGAATCTGCACCACACTGGGTCCAGCTCTGACAGATAAGTACAAGCTGAGTTTCAATTTTGTGTCATACCCTTTCCGGAATCTCTCCGTAACGTAGTTCTTTATCTTCTTTCGTGGATTTCCTCACACGAGGCAATCATCTTCCTCGAAAAATACCCGACCTTGCACTCTACTGTAGCCCTTGCCACCGTAACTCAGCGCTCACTGAGGGTCGTTGCTGTCCACCTGCTTCCCGGAACTCCGGTGATTGATTGCCGCCCATATTTGTACATGTATGGTAACAGCCTTGACAAGAGATCAAGTTTCAGTGGGATAATATCCATCAGCTGCAGGTCTCCACAAAAAACCACCTTCGTAAAGCAAAATGGCCGCCCCTTCAATGGCTGCTGCCCTGGCAGCCTCGCTACCTGCTGCTCCGGTAGCCCCTGTTCAAGTTGCCCCTACATATGAGGCTCTCCCATCTTCAATGGCCAAGGTCATCGATATCGAGGCCGAAATCCCTCTTAACGTTGTTCAATTAGATGGTATGGTGCGTATTGGTTCTTTTGCTACTTGCTGGCATCTCCCTTATAATTAACAAACGATCAGGCTGTCACTAAAATAATCAAACACGCGCGAGAAGCTCCTTCTACCACTGCACACGGACTTTTGTTGGGTCTCGATCTCGACGGCGTCCTCGAAATTTCAAACTCATTTCCGCTACCCCATGCTGGCGATGAAGCTGAGAAGGCTTCCAAGTCTATTGGTAAGCCCTACATTCCATGCTGGGCTCGGAGAAAACAATGGATTGACCCTTGCAACTCGCATAGCGCGTCATCAAGCTGCGATGCTTCGCTCATTAAAGGAAGTGCAGGCAGACGATAGCGTGGTCGGCTTTTATCAAGCAACGACCCTGGGTGCATTCTTCAACCAAACATTGCTTGATACTCAGGCTATCCACCAAGACAAACTTCGACACGGCGGAATCGTCATTGTGCATGGTGAGGGTATTTGTATTCGAAGGGATTGGGTCAGGTTGATTGACTCTAGTGCCCTAGACTTGTCCCAGACTGCAAGGGGCAATGCATCATTTAGGGCATTCCGGCTAACTGTCGCATTCCTCGATGCCTACAAAAGATCAAACTTTAGCACACCCAGGTGAGCAAACTGGGAACGGCTTCCATTGTCACTGTTCGCTAACGATGCTCTAGTTTGATCAGTCACCGACTCACCTTTTCCTCAATCCTGGAAGAGGTTCCTCTCAAAATCCGAACGAATCCCCTGTTGAGTTCGTTCCTCGGAACTTTGACAGAGACCAGGAAAGAACCTGTTCAGGACGCCACATTACCATCTGGTTCCGCCCTCGCACCCTCGTTCTCGGTCCTCGATCTTGGAACAGCGGGAACGACGCGCAACCTGGAGCAGATTGTTGAAGCCTTGGAATCGTACAGGACAGAGGAAGGCAACTTGTCGTACCTGAGCCGACAAATTGCACGAGAGCGGGCAAAGGCAGAGGCATACATTGCAAAACGTAAGGAAGAAAACCAGGTACGGATTGCGCAGGGCTTGGCACCTCTTCCGGAGGAAGACGTGAGCCGAATGTTCAAGATCCCGCCTGAGCCGAGTCGCCTGGAGAGCCTGTTGTTGCTTGGACAGATTGACGGGTATGCAAAGAACTTGGAGAGCACTGCAAGCATGGGTCTGGTGAAGATGTATGGGGCAAAGGCTGGGAGTGCGTAGTACTTCGTCGAGCGAGCGTAAAGATTGTAGAAATGTTGTATTTTGCGGTGTTACGTTATCCAAGGTCAACATTAGCCGTGATGTGATGAATTTTGATGGCTGGAAAACTCTTTAGCGTGCATCGCAACCTTGAGCTTTTTCCATTCCCTTTCCTTTCTACTTAAGTTATCCGGTCTCTCTTTTTTTCATCCCTCACCGCTCGTTCTTCAGCCATGCCTTCCTTTGTCAACGCTGTCGTCGTTTTTCTGGCCGCCGTCGCCTCCGTCAACGGCCTCGTCACTCCCCACATCGCCAGGCACAACGCGCACCACAGGTCAATCGCTGCCCGCGTCGCTGAGCCTCAGGTCCAGCCCGCGCTCGTCCCCAGGGCTCCAACAGCCACTCTCAGGAAGCGATGCAGGCCCAGGCTCGTCTTCGTTACCCCCTCTCCTTCCCCCAGCACCGCCCCAGCTCCCAGCCCTGAGGTCCCTCCTGTCAACGTTGCACCCTCCCCGTCCCCAGAGCCCCAGCCTGAGCCTGAGCAGCCCGCACCTGTCCCGTCCCCGGAGGCCCCTCCTGCACCTGTCGAACCTGCTCCCCAACCTGCCCCACAGCAACCTGCCCCACAGCCCGGCAACGGCGGCGGTAACCAGCCAGGGTTCATGTCTGGCACACAGACCGGCCAAGGCACCTTCTACGACGGTATGCAGCCTGATCTACTTGAGATGCACTTTTTCTAACCTTTTTTCTTCGTCCCAGCTGGTCTTGGTGCCTGCGGTATTGTGAACACCAACGCCGACTACATTGCTGCCGTCTCCCACCTCCTCTTCGATAACTACCCGTGCGTATTATCTTTTAATGAATGAACTAGTCCTGATTACCATTGATCTTCCAGCGGATACAACCGTGTCAACCCTAACACCAACCCCCTCTGCGGCAGGACTGTCACCGCTACCTGTACGTCCATGTTATTTCCTTGTCCATCGAATTGCTGTGTTCAACGACTTCTAGACCAAGGAAGGAGCGTCACCGTCGCCATCACTGACCGCTGCGAGGGCTGTGCAGTCACTGACCTTGACTTCACCCCTTCCGCGTTCGCCCAACTTGCCGACCACAGCCTCGGCCGCATCAGCGGTGTTACCTGGCACTGGAACTAGGTTTCCAACCTCGCAATAACCAACCCTCATAGAAACTCGTAACGAGTTCAAGCATACCCAAGCTTTCTCCTCTCTCTATCATTTCCTTTCCAAGAAAACGCTACTGCCAGCTCAGTGGCGCTATTGCAATCATCAGGCTTTCTGGCACAAGTCGACACACACTTGCAAAGGGCGCTCTCCGTGCGAGCGATCGTTCACCAGTTGGCTGCTTGCAGCTAACCTGACGTTCGAACGACTGGCCTTGTCATAGTTTAGTTTGCACTCGCTTTCGAGCCAGACTCGTTAGGATCATCACTGTCAGTCTTTTGTAACCTCAGTCATGTACTTGCTGTAGCCATGTATCATGCTTTCACTCTCTTGTTCTCGTCCTGGAATAAACTCATATGTTGTATAAGTTTCGTCTGACCTCACAATCACCTCTCGTTACGCAGACACCGTCAATCGCGGCGATTACAATCCCTACATAGTCGTGTGCGGTGTAGGAATACGAATGTGCAGATAAGAAGTTAATGTGAAACAAGCGTAATCATTCGCCGCCTAGGAGTGGAACTCCATGGATACTGCCCATACCCCTGACACTCGTAGATGGCTACAAGAAGCACCTGCCCACATGTTCCCAGTACTTGTGTTCCGCCGTCCCTTCGACAGCATCATTAACAGCCAACACCAAATTCCTGCTCGTTTCAGAATTGGTCATTTTGGCTGATTTACCCCACCCTCTCAGCAGCAATACCGAAACCATATCCAAGACTAGGCGACGAAGAGGCGAGCCAGGTGGCAACTTGCAGTAGGGACCTGACACCCCTCCGCGGACTGCGTGGTTAAATTTAAAGTAGGGTGCCATTCGAGCTTGCAGTTGGGTAATTGTCTTTGATGCGAAGTGGAAAGAAAAGTATTTTTGTCAGTCTTGGCGTTGGAGGGGAATCGAGAAGAGCACGGAGAAGTATGGACGTACTTCGGCTTCTATCAATATGGAACGGCTTTGAAGTACGCGCAGGAGGGCTAACAGGACGATCTACAGTGTGCGTCAGGTGGAAGCCCCCAAGGTCTGTGTGCAATCAGGGACTGCTGACCTCTGAAGTAACCAAGTTTGAACTTCCTAGCTCCCAAAGGACCTGAGGAAGGTGGATTATCCAATCCCGAAAACGCTGATCCTCAAGACTTCTCCTCCCGGTCCTAAAGCTCCCTCGGTACTGAGGATCGTTATCCAGCTGTACCCCAAGCGATTGTGATTAGCATATGGGACTGCACGCGGAGCATACGGGAGCAACTCGCCAATATCAATCTTGCCACAAAATCGATCGTTAACCGCTTGCTCGCCGCTTTGGAGGACATTTTGGTGGCATGATCAAGCAGAGCCAAGAGAATCGCATTCGACCCTCCTTCGTTATCCTCCCCACTGGGCGTCGCGAATTCGTTGATAAAAGTCCAGATGGTGGGTAAGAAATCGCTATAGGCAGAAGAATTGATCGGGGCAGAAATTCCACTATTTCCTGATCGACCTTGAAGCTTTTCGTCAATGAACTCCCCGACGCCTCCCGCTTCCCAAAAGTTGCGTAGATGGAGCTTGACAGGGGATTTGGTTTTGTACCTTCGAGCAGATGGGGCTCGCGAAGGTTGCCTTGATGTTGTGATCAATAGGAAAGACACAAGCTCGCAATAGACGAGGTTGTAGGTGTCTACAAATTGCACGAACTAGAGCAACGTTAGAATCGAGGCTACCATTGGAGTTCGAGTATCTACCTTGATGTTCTTGCCGGTCGATTCTGCAGGGAAGTACGGTGCCATAAAGCCGAGCAATGCCTCTAGTTCTTGAACCCGGGCATCCGCAACCTGCACCAATGCAGATAAGTAATGACGGCGCGGTAAGCACAGAGAAGCCGTCGCACCTTATCTGACTTCTGCACAATTGCTTGATACAGAGTGCGAACCAGTTGGACAACGGTAATCACCAGACCCGTCTCCGTTTCTGAAGGGCTTCCGGAGGGTGAAAAAGCCAATGGAGCATAATCCAAGAAGATTGCAACAAGGCTAGAGTGCAGGGTTCGAGCGAGTTGCTGTTGAAACGGTCAAAGGTCGGTTCGTGCTCGAGAGGTCAGAAGCCCACCTCAATGAAAGAAGTCTCGTTTGTGGACGTTGGAACTTCCGAGGCAGACTTGGAAGCAGTGTCTATAACATTCTGAAGCGTCCAAATCTGGTTGGACTGAAGGTCGACGAGAGTGGATGTTGGAGCCAGGAAATCGTCATCAATGTCTTCATCCTCTACGACCTCCTTCCATGGTTGTCGGATGCTGGGCACGGAGCTCGAGGATCGCCACGGGCTAAGTTTTTTCTCAAATTCTAGGAATGCGCCTTCGTTTTCAAAGGCTGGTTTAAGGTACCAAGCCAGAGAAGGTTTCGACAGTGATGAACTTGCCTCCGGGAAGGGGCTTTTAGCTTCGCTCGTTCGAAGCGCATGCCTCAGAAACGTAGAAAGGGAGTTGAGAACGACATATTTCGACTGAAATATCTCGATAAGTCGCGCTTAACGGAGAGTGTATTCGACGGGCTTACGGCGGGTGTGAGGGTAACGCTAGCTGACGAAGTGGCTTGAACAGGACCTGATCACGGGTTTAATGGAGAGCTGTTAAAATGCGGAGGTAAAGTACTCGCCTTCGTTGCCCCCAAACTTCGTACCAGCGTTCAGAAGGCCCAGATAACCATCCAAGATCCTTTGGCCGTGACCTTTGACAGTGTGATTAAGTCCGTTTACGAGGACTTCAGGTATCTTCTCTAAGAAGATGTCCAGGAACCGAACAGCATCGATCCTGATTTCGGGGAAGATGTGGGTTTGAGCAGAGGTAGTGTAGAGCAAAAGGAGATGAGAGTGGGGGACGAGGTTCTCCTAGTTTTAAGGTCAGAAGTGGATTAGGTTGGTGGCGGGCGAACTGACTGTTGGAATCCGAGGGATTAACCAGTTGAAGAACTGCAAAAGTGTTTTTCTAACGTCGCTGTCCTGAGGTATATAAGAGATTCTGCGCTTCTCTTTTAGGACAAAAGACATACCTCGTCCCCGATGAGCCTGACAATTGCACCGACAAAGGCGGACATGTTGGATTCCAGGACGTCCCAATGCACCTCGAACAGTTCCCTCAACCCCAGGATAGCATCTATGAGCGTGTCTGTAAGATAATGTAGCCACAAAGCTAACCAAAGATCTACCTCTTCGTACCGTCGCATTGTGGTGCCTGAGGTGGGAGATAAGGTCTGTGAACGAAAGATGTCGTTTCGTTAATGGAGTAGAGGCATCCTTCTCTACGACGATGCTTTGGGTGGGCAGCGCAATAGCTGTAGCGTCATTCAGTCTCCATGTAAATGAAAAAGCTGTATTTAACGTACAGCGAGCCTTGAACGAAGTATCAATAACATTGGATGGCTGCTGTTTCCCTTTTCCAAGTTTGAGCCTCGCTTTCTACAACCCCCGACCACTCCAAGATTAGTCTTGTATTTTCCCTGGAACATAGAACGAGGGCGTACCGTAAAGTCGGCCGCCTTGTCTTTCTTCTTCTTCGAACTTTTTGGCATCTGGTAGAGAGGCCGTGACGGTCAAGTGTCAAAATGATTGTGGACTTGACGCCCTTGGCGCGTCCAAATCCCAATCCGGCGGCCCGGCAAATGCTTGAGAAGCGCGGATGGAGTTGGGACAGTCTCTTCTCTGCCTAAATCATGGGCCAACACCTGGTCCAAAGACCTCGAATTCACGCGAAGTTCTGCCGATAATATTTTACACTTTGTTTTTCACTTATAACGAGGAGGACAACATGTCTCAAAATCAGGCTATTTCGCACCCAAAATGCGTCAAACCCTTCTCGCTTGGTTGCTCTGCCTCGGCTCTCTCATCGGGACGTCTTTTGCCGCCCCTGGTCGTCCCTCTAAAGCCCCCCGTGGTTTCGTACAGACAAGGGGAAGGTCCTTTGAATTGGACGGGAAGCCATTCGTGAGTGTCACTGTATCCTTCAGGTTGGGATGGGCCCTCTGACAGACGCTACATTCTAGTACTTCGTTGGGGCGAACTCTTATGTAGGTGGACTCAGCTCAACGGGTCTGTCGCGCGTAGGATCCTGACTGGTTGTCTAGTGGCTTCCACACCTCACCAACCAACGCGATGTTGAGGCCACCTTCAGAGAAATGAGGGACGCTGGCATCAAGGTCCTTCGAACCTGGGTACATCAATACGAATCCTTCATGGTCCAACAAGCTCTGACTCAAGTGGCGTTACAGGGTTTTAACGCTATCAACGCGACTGAACTTCCAGAGGCACTTGCATCCAACCTGACTTACTATCAGGTTTGGGATGGCCCCAAGTGGAAGTTGAACGATGGTCCTCAAGGTTTGCACCGCCTGGACAACATCGTTGAGACTGCAGGAAAATACGGCATCAAGGTCATTATTGCGTTCACAAACAACTGGTAAGAAGCCTTCTGATAATCCAGGAGTAACGGATTTTGAACGTCGTCCTTTCAGGGGTGCATACGGAGTGCGTCTCTGGCATTCTTCAGACCGTACCGTCAGTATTAACACGCGGACAGGGCTCCTCTCTCTATGTTAACTGGATTGCTGGCTCCCAAGGAACCCACGATACCTTCTATACGGACCGAAGGATTGTCGCTGAATACCGTAAAGGATTGTCCTTCCTTCACTGTCCCCACGGCTAACCGAGCCTAGAGCGTTATGTCCGCGTGCTGGTCAGCCGCTACAAGCATTCGCCCAACATCTTTGCCTGGGAGTTGATGAACGAAGCTCGCTGCAGAGGCGACATGCAGGGCGGACCTGAGTGTGTTGCGGGTTCTGATATCATCACACATTGGTATAGGGAACAATCTGACTTCATTCGCTCCTTGTAAGGTCCGTCTGTATCGAATCACCCGCAGTTGCCTGATGATTGTTGCTTATAGGGATCGCCACCATCTCATCACCACCGGAGGTGAAGGCCATTTCTACAAGCGAGATGAGGATATTGGTTACTGGTTGAATGGTCAATGGGTCTCTGACTACAACTACAACGGCGATGGTAGGGGATATTCGTGACCTGAGATGCGAACAGAAACTCAATTGGTGTTATTACAGCTGGTGAAGATTTTGACGTTGATCTCACCCTTCCCAACATTGACTTTGGAACCTACGTGAGTGGTGGTTGTCACGAAAGGATTATCATGCTATACTTAACGAAACCTACTTCCAGCACATCTATCCTCAATACTGGTATGCACTGGTTCTGTTTCACTTGGGGCTGATTTTGACCTGACAAGAACAGGTACGCTAACTTGGTGGGTATTTTCTGTGCTCTTGTTGGAAACAACCTGGCTAATGGCTCTAATAGGACAACCCCGAGCGAACAAACTTCACTATCGGCGCTTGGGGCCTTGACTGGATCCGTCAACACGCCGAATGTACGACCTCTTGTTCCTTCCAGTCCATGGCTTCCCAGTGACCTGTTCCCAGCTGCCAAGAAGGCGAACAAACCAGTCGTCCTTGAAGAATTCGGTACCTGGGGTCTCCGTAAGTGTCCATTTGCTATCGCCGACTTTGATCGCCTGAAGCCAATTGCAAATCAGAAAACAAGACAGAGATCTATCCTCGATGGGTCAAGACTGCTCTTGACACTGACCATGCGTGAGTGGCCCTTTTTTGCACATACTCAACTTAAACTTTCCTGACAATGTAATAGAGGGTGCGTGCTTTAGGTTCGCAGACATGTATACGATCTCATCTTCCTCCAAAGAATCATGCCCTGGCAATTCGGTATGCTCGGCTTGAAAGAGCACGGGGGTAACAGGCATATTAAGTATGGTGACTACATCATCGACGGTGTAAGTATTGTCTCTTTTGGGGCGTATGTAAAGATGGCAACTCATGCTGCTCTTTCAGGCCTCTCCCAACGACAGTGAGCTATGTTGGCGAATATGATTTCTCACAGGTAACTCATTGCGCATTAACAGGCTTCACTTACTATAAGAACCAGACGGCCGTGTGGAAAGTTTTCACGTAAGTCCTTTTGTTTCGTTTACAGGAACGAACGCGTGTACTGAGAGCACGCCCAATAGGGATGCCGCGAAGGTTCAAGCTTTGAAATCGAGGCGTTGGTGAGGTTGTCGACGAATGCCAATTGCCATTCTATCATCCGTGTTCAGCTCCACCGTTCCCGTGACTATTTACTTTGACAGAGTTCTTTGAACTACTCGGGAACTAAACGATCTCGGCGAGTCCTGTCTGGAAACAATAAACGTTTATTTGTACCTGTGATCAGTAACGGTGTCAGTGTCCTCGCATTTTCTGGAAAATGGCGCGCAAGGGCGGTACTTGCCCTTTATGTATCGTTCGATAGGCGGAGAACGGTTACATTCTGGCTAAGCGGTGTCCAAACGAGGGACATAGACGATCGGTCGCCCGAAAAGACGTCTGACACACTGCATTTGGTATCCCGCCAGCTCCGTATTCTATCATGGTGCCCAATAAAGATAATTCGAAGGAAGGGATTATTACTACATGTATGATACCTTGGCGACTTGAAAATACGCACGAGATCTGTGCTTTCCGAGTGCTCTGCTTCACCATGTAGTGATACGTGGCCCCGGCGTTTAAAACCAACGAGACGCTTTCTTTAGGGTAGAGTCGAGTAGTCGGACCTTCTGATACCGAAGGGGAGGAAGTGACATATTCAGTTGTGGACCCCGGTGTAAGTTGAAGCGTGACGAGCTCCGGACCATCGTTGGTGAACTCGAAGAGCACCTCGAAGGGTTCTGTGCTAGTTGGCATGGGGGTAAGTAACTGAGGGTCAGGAATCACGCGAGAGTCGAGTTTTATCAGGTCGCTTTGCCCTCCTGCGACTTCGAAGATCGAATCATGAAGTCTGGGGGCGAACGCTTATTGTCTTGCCGAATCAGGTATGGTCCAATTGTCTCCCCGGTGTGGAAATTTGGCTGACAGCCTTATGGAGAAGCAAGAACGAGGTATAACTCGAGTAGTTCCCTGATCTATAATTCAAAGAAACCGATGCAGTGGGTACTGAACGGCGAGTTTGGAACTCGGAGCGCAAGAACCAATGTCGCCCCTTTTAGAGCGGTCCGCCTTCCTCATTTGTTCACCATTAGCTGACTCGGTGCCCTGGCTGTCTGGTTCGAGAACGATTGTTGATAATGCACAGTGAGTGAAAGGTCATTACATGGCGTATGTAGTACATGGAGTCATGACAGAAGGATCTGTGAAAATAGACGTAGGAGGAACGAGTAACATCAGCGGCGCTTACCACAACTTGCGCGGGCGAGGGAAAGGGATCATGAAGTCGACCATGAGCTTCAAGCACAGCAAAGGGTCATCGTCCGGACTATACCCCTCGATATTGACGTGGAATTTGGCTACCACGGTGGTAAGCGCGAGGGACAATTGTGAATGACGTGGTGGAACTCACCCCGGGGAACCTCTCTAGGTAAAGCAACAGTTTGCTCGATTTCATAGACTCCTGGTTCAACTGGGCATTGGACAGTGACGTTGTTGTCGCGACTACACGTAATGGTCAGGGCAATGCACCAGGATGCCATGGAAAAGAATGGCCTTACGCCTCCTTGCAAACATCGAACGTCTTGTCCAACAGCTTTATGAGGCCGGTCTTGACGACAACATCCGCAGTGGTTCCCTCCTATAGATGTGCTGTGAGTAACCCATGGTTACACGCGTATGAAGGGAACAAGAAATGCACCTCAATGGTCTCCGCAACCTTGGCCTTGACCTTGACAGTCATGTCCTTGCCTGGTTTCGGGGGATCCGGGAATACATCCAGCGACAGCACTTCGATTGGAAGGTCGTATTCCCTGCCTACGTTCCTGTGAGTAATGTTTCGACTTGATATGGAGGGGAATGACACGGACCACAGTCCTCGTAGGCCCACTTGTCGGATGTGGTTGTAACAGGGGCGTCGAGGGGCCCGAACGCAGCCTGGTCCTCAGGAGTAAAAATTGGATTGGCCAGGCTGGAAGATGCAGCCAGCAAGAGTGCTAATGAGTATAGGCGCATTGTTGGGTTTGGAGGAGAGAGAAGAGAGAGCGCCACTGCCAACGGTTGGAAGCGAATGACATAACAGCCTTCCTATTAAGGAAGTGAACACAGCCCCTATGCAGTGGACGGGCGATACTGCCCTTGAGACAGCTCCAGTTTCACTTGTTGCTTTACTCCCAACTAAGTACCATTCACCCACTCACAGAGATATGAAGCCCAGGGACTACTGCTGCTGCGCCATACCAATGGTCAATGCTGGCATCTATGCCACCCTCATCGAACAACTTGTGGTCGCAATCGTCGTCGGCGCGCTCGCAGTAGGCACACCAGCCAGTGCGTAACCATCCTTCATCCACCAGGCCTTCCCATTAATTATCTCTCTAGTCGTCGGCGCATCTGTACCATCTTTTGCCTCCACAGTCCTAGCCATCGTCTGCTTTGCCGTCGCGGGCATCCAAATCCTTGGGTTCATAGGTGTATCCAGGGTAAGCGGCAGTGGTCCGAAGCAACGACACGGGTCGCTAACTTCAGCAACCACAGGAAAAGCCCAGAGTGTACCGAATCTATGCACTACTTCATGGCTTCGCTACTGCCGCAGCATTCTCTGTTGCTGCAGTGTGGATCATTATGTCTGCAACCCGCCATAATGATGCGAAAGAGCGCTGCATTCAGGACTTTTTCGAGGGGGATTTGGAGGACAGTCAAGGAGATGCCTTGTGCACCATTTTCCCTTGGGTTGATATCGGTATCATGGGAGGACTTTGGGTAATTCTAGGCATATTCCATGTGAGTTGATTCAGGTTTATATCTCCCAAATTCGGATTCTAAAGCGAATTATCAAGATTTACCTTCTCGTCGTCGTCACTTCATATGGAAAGGCGCAAAGACAGGACCACGACGATTACGACCATTTGTCGACACAACCGCTTACTAAAGACACAATCCCGTTAACAGAGCGCAAAGAACCCTGGGACTCCAGGGGGTCAGACGAATATCTTAAAGCCGATGGCAGCAATGATTCCAGATATCATCACCGCAATCCAAGCACCGCCAGTGCCTCAGATGTACTCAATGAACCCTACCAACAACCCAACAGCAACTACTCCGGCGCCTATACCCCCTACTCCGACAATGTCCACGAGCCTTCTTACCCAACCTACGCGTACACACAGCAAGGATATCCTACCCCAGTTGCTGGTACCTACAGCAGGGAGGAAGATCCACGTTTAGGGAGGCCGCCACAAGCCCAGGCCCACCCCGGTGAGTCCTAAATATACTATCTATCACTCGCAAGGGTGGGTCCGCCGTCTGTCGATATGCCCAGCTGACCATCCTCTCCCTAGCCGAGGGTCAGTTCGGACGTAAAACACCTCGAATGCTCAGGGACTAATGACGCTTCCTTTATCCCTCCGTCCCTCGTATTACTTGCCTCTTATGGACATGACTTCTCTTACGGACGCTGTATAATTAATGGATTCTGGAATTCCAGGTTATTTCGAGAACGATGACATTTGCGAAGATAAATCGATTGGGCTTCTCAGATATTTCAAGCTATTCAGCGCGAGGCAACCGCGATTTTATCGGTGCCTAGTGAGTAAGATTTCGTCAAACTTGGCCTATCCCAGCGTCATGATATAACGTTTTGATACAACGTGTTCGACGCACTGCATGCACGTCGTGAGAATAGTAGGTACCGGGAGGAGAATCGAATGTCGGATAGTGCTTCTTACCGCCTCGTTGTCCCTGCACACGCACCAAATATCCGTGTCGCGTTTCTCAGATGTCCTTTTTAGCCGTAGACCGCCCGGGAGGCTTGACATTGGGGAGAATTTCTCACTCGGCCTCAGCTAGGACAATAAGTGGGACGGAACGTGGCAACATTCCCCTCTGTTTCGTTTCTTCCGTTCCATGATATAACTTCATGTGCGCTTTTGCCTAATTGTTGCAGCGACAAGCGAGAAAGCTTGCGTTGCTGTAAAGAGGCTCAATCTGCATTCTTTAGTTCCACATCAATATCCAGCCGAAACCCAAGCCAACTATATAATATTGCACACAGGTGTGTATTGTGGGCGAAAGCCTCCCACTTGTCTTTCCCTCCAACTACTATACCTACCCTCTAATAACTCTCTATTATTTCTAAGCGTCAGGGACGCACACTCATAATATTTCCTACAGAACATGCCTTCGCTGGTCCAAAGCTATGATATTTGTCTCGACATCGTCAACGACATGCACGACTCGGTGTCCGTCCAACTATTGCGAGACTATGGTCGGACTGGAGGCGCCGTGGTTCTTCTTCAACCCACAGAATCGGTCACACTCGTCCTGGAGTCCGGCTCATCATATCGATACGCATTCAAATCTCGAACCAGAGTGGCCAATGTGACGTAGGCTCTTTTATCTTATACTCCATCCAGCTCAAGCAATGCGCTTACCATTCCTGAAAAACAAGGGCCCGATCGTGGAGGGATATCCAATGTTACATCTCGCAACTATTTGCGGCCACACCAGATGATACATCCACATCCCCGTCCTCAGTTCGTGATCAACCCGTCAACGGCGTTAGCGTCGATCGCCTTTGGAGAGATAATCGTTTCTGCATCTGGAACGACCCATGAGGTCCAGAATTCGAACGGTGAATTGCCATGGCTCGCGCGTATTCGCCCTTGTAACTGAATAATACCCAGGAACCGACCGAGGAAGCTCCTGTCGGAGTATTTCCGATCTTCTTCTGGGTGCGCAAGGTGCATGACGGCCTCCCAAGTGTGCAATATCCTGGCTCCCAATTTCCCTCATGTTCGAGCTGTTCGATGACCTCAAGCCAGTGCTTCGAATTCCTCTGGTGTGCCAGAACGGACACCGATTGTCTTGAAGACCCAGTCACCTCGTGTCCTCAAACCCATCCGGTCGCCTCATGGTGTCCGGAGGAAGAGATTGCCATCTGGTATGGTTCATTGACCCGGTCCAGGTGACCCTCTAGTCTGGTTGGATTGGGTGAGAAAGCCAAGGGTCCCATATCTATCACGTCATCTAGTCATGGAACCGACGGACTTCTTCAGAAGATAGGTAGGTTGGAACCCTATCTGTGAACGGGTGGCCAACCGAGATGGATTGGCAGGGGTGATCTGCTCGCGTTGTTGACCAAGTTATTAGCATTACATTATAGAAGCGTCCGTAACATACATCATGGCAAGGAATGACCGAAACCGGCGACGGGGATCTAAGGATGTGTGATCTGTTGCTTGTACTTCCCGTTGAATGCAGTCGACATCGTCAACAATTTCGCGGGTGGAGCGCGTGCGTGACCCAGTCGTCCGCGAGCGAGATCCAAAACGCTTCGCGTCTCTCCAACTTGCTTCATACCAGCAATGGGACGGGGAGGTGGGTTTCTCTGGTTCTTCTCCTTCTTCGCTTCGTACATTGTTTTCAAGGCGAGGGGCGTAGCAAGAAGACGGTCCTGAAAAGGGTTTAGATTGACGTGAAATGTGAAGGGCCAGTGGAAATAACATACGGCGTGTTCTTTGGCCTTTTCGCTCATTTCCACAAGAGCTTCTGGCCCCCTGAATTTCAGCAGTTTTTGGACATTCATCGCCGTTTGTGGTCGTAAAACTGTGGATTCGCCTTGCTGCGCTGCCTTGAGAATATCTTCGGCATTCTGGGCACCCGTCTTCATCACCGCGCCCAGCCTTTGGTTATGAAGCTGGTGCTGAACAATATCCCAGCCAGCTGCACGCGCCGTCATTTCAAAGCGCAAATCCTTTGGGTTGTCAACGAGTTCGAGAACGGCGGCGGGTGCGTGGTCTCCCTTTCTGTTTCCGAGCTTCAGAATCCGGGTGTAGCCCCCTGGTCGGTCTGCGTATCGTTTCGCGTAAGTTTCGAGAAGTTTATTGAGCGCCGTAGGTTTGAGGAGGAACGACGAGGCCTGGGATTCACTGCCAGCAGTTCCCTTCTTGCCCATTGTGATGATCTGGATGGCAATTAATAAACCGGGTCCCTGGTAAAAAAAGGGATGGGGCTGCTGACCTTTTCAGCCAGTCTCGCGGTGTCCCGGGCCTTGGGCAAGGTAGTCTTAATCCTTTCATGTTCGAACAAGGAAGTGACTAGGTTCCTGGACAAACACATGGACAACAAAGACCTGACATGGATGAAGCAGGTACTTACCGAAGCATAAGCATTCGGTGGGACGACGTCCTCGAGAACTTTCGGAATGCTACGCCATGCTTCATGGTTGGAATGTGAAGGTGACAACGTCAGAACCGTTAAGCGCGTCAACGGGCCTGGAAATTTTGAAGTCGAAAGCTTCTCACGCCCCTAACTCGCGTCGTCTCAAGATACTTCGTTTCTCGACAATGAACGTACACTAACACTAGGCCGTATATACACATTGTAATCACTACCCTGCAAACTGGTGTTTCTTAAGGCCTTTGAACCGTCCAGCAAAATCTATCCTGAATACGTGTCCGGAATCAGGGTATTCGGCTTGTCTAGTTGCGTCACCCCCGATTGCTCCGCAATGCGCACTGGTCACGAACAGCTGGTCATAATTTTCTCCTTCAAAAGTGCGGGATAAGTGACCCCATGACTTTGATCACAAGGGATTGTGACGAACCTCCAAAGCAGCAAGATGTGATGTTTAGCGCCGTTCGAAAGACGATCTCAAAGTCGACTCTCCCATCCAATGCGAAGCGCACAATTTTGGACCCGCCCCACCTGTCAGCTTCCTCAATAAGGCGATGACGAGCAAAATGTGGTCAAGAAGCACGAACCGAGCACTCCATATGAATCCTTCTTCGTCTACGCATAGTCCGTCACAGAAGGTATCGGGAGCAAAGCCTTTTGCGACCGCGTCAATGTGCACTCGCCTATTGGAGAGTTGACCAGAGTCGTAGTCATAGGCGAAAATCTTATTGACCAATGAGTCGGTGAAGTACCTTGTTAAAAATAAGTCAACCGTCGGGTATAACCAAGAAGACGTAAGGGACGGACATTGTTTTACCATCCGCGCTCCAATCTAGACCGTTACAATCCTGAGCCTCTCATCAGCCGGGGACAGAATGAGAACAAGATTTAATGTGCACCGTGAATGGGGAGTCGACCATTTCGCAAGAACGGTCCGAAGGGTCATACCGATACAGTCGACCGGGAACATTGTGCTCAGGAGACGTAATGGTCCCAGCGAAGAAACGACCCTGAGAGTCGCAACCACCGTCGTTGAACCGCGTGTAGGGACGTTCACTCTCGGACAATGGCTTCGCAAGATACCTTAAAGTGGAACCACCTTCCAGCAAAGCAAACCCTTGGGCCGCCGCGCATGCGAGCTAGACGAGAAAGTGAGCGAAATGATAGGCGCAAGTAGGTAGGACTAACCCCGCGTCCCCCTCTGCGAAGAACGAGACATGACACTGGTTCGTCAAAGGTCTCCACTTCCATTTCACCGGAAGACAATTCGACGTGAAAAACCTATAAGGTGGGGCATGAGTTGACAGAAGAGGACCCGTCATATCGAGAGACTTTTTTCTCCGTGATGTCAACAAAATGAAGAGTGGACGTGCTTGCATCGTAAAGCGGGCCTGCACCGGCTACAGTGAATATGGTGGTCGATGGAAGAGGAGAAGACGCGAACCCTCTCCCAATGTGCACCCGACTTTGAGCCAAGGTTCGTCCACAAAAAGGGTGTCCTGGGTGGTCATCGGGGGCCAGTGAAGTGAAAGTCAAAGTAAAGCTCCAGAAGATTGCATCCTTCCACTAGAATCCGGCTATCTTTTAAAGTCTTGACGGCGTTCAAAGGAATGCGTCTTTGGTGACCCAACAATTCGGCCACCGCCGATCATTGGGGAGAACAAGGACTGGATGGGGTGTCGCCTGACGCAAGAATGGGACGGAATTGGATCTGAGGTCGGGATCTTGTACATTGAACAACTGGTAACCCGGTTACCAATCTTGCAGAAATCGCACAGATCTTGTCTTACGGAGCCATTCCAAGAAGCCAAATGAGAGATGATGATTGGTGGCAGCAATCTAAAGTACGGATTATTCCGACATGCGTGGCTCTCCACTACTAATGAGCTAAGAGAGAAAGAACAATGAATGGGCGTTGATATTGTTGTATATATGCAGCTCACCTTCAGGGGTTTTGGCGATATAGTCAATAGCTGACGAAGAATATGTCAATTTTGGGAACACAATGATGCACACAAGTCCAGTGCCTACCTTGTGCCACGGTTTGGATTTCGTCAGCCTCAGCGTCAGGGATTTCAATTGAGAACTCCTATTACAGTTCGAAGCTGTAATCAGTTAACCATTCAGATAATGTGAAAGAGAATACTATACCTCTTCCACCGCCATTACCACCTCCACCGCGTCCAAGCTGTCGAGGCCCAAGTCTTTCGAGAACGAGGCTGTTGGTGTAATCTGAGGGCGTAGTTCAGGAAGTATCCTTATGGCAAACGACCGGGTGCAGGTACCTTGGAGGGGTCAACCTTCTCATAGCCCTTCAACACGTCGAAGATACGCGACTGGATGGCATCCCGAGAGAGACCGGAGCCAGAGGCATAGGTAGCACGGGGGAGAATGAATCTGGGGGTTGTTCGCGCAGACCAGGCGGCGCGAGAGAGGGCTGTTGACCTTGTTGCAAGACGGAAGAGAGACATGGTTGCTTGTGACGACGACACGAAACTGAGCTTTGACGAGGCCAGCAGTGACGGAACCATTGGGAAAACCGGGTCGATTACATCAGCATACCGGCGTTTCCCGCGCTTGGCACACATGACCGTGGTGACTGCCCGACAGTTCAGGGGTCCATTGACCCCGACACCCCATCAATTCCGAGGCAAGACGGGGGGTCAAGGGCGCTCACCGCCGTTGTCACTTTCTGCTCAGTGTCTTCAGAATTTTGACTAGTTAAACATGGATTTAGGACATGGACACCGTAGTTTGCTGTCTCCAAGGTCGTAGAGGCAGGGGCGCTTAAGAGTGGAAAGATACGGAGAATGCCGAAGAACTATAGAGTACCAAGCCACTAGCGGTGTTTGCCGAGCAGGCGACAGAGCGTTGACTCCGAAGTGCAAGCCCAGAAAGGCTCAAACGCTCGACTCCTCAAGGTAAGAAATTGCTGTTGTTGCGGTACACGACGTTCTCGAGCTCACTTAATTTTTGTTCTACCCGCTAGGTTCGTCCCCGCTCCCAATTTACGCGGTGTAAAGACACCAACTTGACGTCGAATTCTTAGACTCCGACCATGGCCACTTTCTCATCGACGCCCATCGTTATTGATGGCAAGGGTCACCTCCTTGGTCGATTGGCCTCCATCGTCTCCAAGCAAATCCTTTCTGGCCAAAAGATCGTCGTCGTGAGGTGTGAAGAGATCAACATCTCCGGCAGCTTCTTCCGCAACAAGGTTCGAGTTTACGGAGCGCAGAGTTGGAACGACAATAACTGATCAGCCTCCAGCTCCGGTACCACAACTTCCTCAACAAGAGGCACATTGTTAACCCCAAGAAATCCGGCCCCTTCCACCACCGAGCCCCCTCCAAAATCCTCTATCGTGCTATCCGCGGAATGGTGCCCCACAAGACTGCACGAGGTGCTGCCGCTCTTGAACGCCTCAAGTTGTTTGAAGGTGTTCCCCCACCATACGATCGAAAGAAGCGAATGGTTGTCCCCGAAGCTCTGCGAGTTCTGAGGTTGAAGCCTGGTCGCAAATATTGCACCGTGAAGGTGAGTTGTGGCTGTCAAGAGTATAGGGTGGGCGGTTACTGACGCTACGTGTAGCGTCTGTCTCACGAAGTCGGCTGGGGTTACAAGGATGTTGTTGATCGTCTCGAAGAGAAGCGAAAGATTAAGGCTCAGGCCTTCCATGAGCGCAAGGTGGGTTTCGTGCGAGGATGGATAGAGATGCTGTTCGAGTTGCTAACCGCTGAATCCAGCTTGCCGCCATCAAGCTGCGCCAAAAGGCAACCGCAGACAACTCGTCGTCATTCCCTCAACTCACCCAGTTGGGATACTAGGGGTATACATAGCATCTGTACAAGCGAAATGACCATGCCGTTCGTTCTCTATGCACATTCAGCTGTAACCCTGCGAGTTTTATGTCTACACTATGCCACACGATTATTGCCTTGCCGCGAGTCAATTAAGATAAGACGTTGAGATGTTTGAGTAAGCGACGGCCATGCCCGAATTTGGCGACGTGGTAAATTTGTCCCACACTGCTTCTGTCTACGCCTACCTCGCTCTGTTCTTACCTTTCTCAATCCCCTCTTCCCCCTCGTCGTTCCCCTCAATTTTCCTTAAAAATGGCCTCTGAATCGTCCCAAAACCCACAGACCAGTAAGTTTCAATCCTCTTATCTTGTTTCCCTTTTTTTTTTAACAGCAATCGCCACTTTTCCCCTGAATTATCAGCCTCTCCGCCTCGCTCACGCTCGCCCACTCCGGCGCCAAACGAGACTTTGACTTTGCGCGCTCTGGTCAGCACCAAGGACGCTGGTGTTATCATTGGAAAAGCTGGAAAAAATGTCGCCGATCTGCGAGAACAGACTGGTGTCAAGGCCGGCGTTAGCAAGGTTATCGCTGGTGTACATGAGCGGGTCCTCACTGTCACAGGCAGCGTCGAGGCTGTCGCCAAGGTAAAAACAAAGTCCATCATCATTCTCTGCTCGTTTTGAATTTCTATCGCAAGGCCTACAACTTGATCATCTCCCAACTCGTTTCCTCCAACCCCGCCGCGCCCCCAGCTTCCTCATCCAATGTCCATACCTCGATCCGACTCCTGATTTCCCATAATCTCATGGGAACTATCATTGGCCGAAACGGCCTCAAAATCAAAGCGATTCAAGACAACTCGGGCGCTCGAATGGTCGCTTCCAAAGAAATGCTGCCGCAGTCGACAGAGAGGGTGGTTGAAGTTCAGGGTTCGCCCGAGGCGATCGGACGTGCTGTTGAAGAAATTGGCAAATGTCTCTTGGAAGATTGGGAACGAGGGTTGGGCACTGTGCTTTTCCACCCTGGTCCTCACGATGACCGCAGCAGGAGCAACCGTGGAGGCCAATATTCAGGCTCATATCCTACAGGCGGTGGAAGCCGTCGCCCGAATGGCGATTCTGCCAATCGCGCCAGGGCGCCTTCACCTGGATCACCCCAATCTCCTTCGTCTTCTAACCCTCCCGCCACCAATCTTCGCACTCAAAACATCTCCATACCGTCCGATATGGTTGGCTGTATCATCGGTCGAAGTGGAACCAAAATTACCGAAATCCGACGATTGTCTGGATCCAAGATCTCTATCGCCAAAGCCCCGCATGACGATACCGGCGAACGGATGTTCACCATTGTCGGCACTCCCGAGGCCAATGAAAAAGCTCTCTTCTTGCTGTACAACCAGCTTGAGAGCGAGAAGGAGAGGAGGGTAGGCAGGGAAGCTCAACAGCAAGCCGAGCTCCAGCAGCAAGAGTAAATTATAGACTCCTCCCACAGTCGATGAATTTCGACCAGCACTAGACGTTTCTTGAGGGAATCTGAAGCTACTGATTTTTGACCTGGGTGTATACATAGTCCTCCTCCCCCGTCCCCCACTTCCACCGTTCTTGACAGACACTGTATCCCAAAAGCCAGCCTTTTGACCGCCCTGCTTTGCGATCGATGTACCATTTGCTACCTGTCTCGAATACGATATCTTGCTGCTTCCGCGCTTAAACATCTAAAATTTCTCACAAGCTTCTCGCCTGAACTTGGCGTCTGCCGTCATGCACAATTCTCATCCTTCTCTTCCCCCGCGTCCACAGACATGGTCTCAACCACAGCAGCCTCCATCTGTGCTGCAAAACTACTTTCACCAGAATGCCTATTCCTCACATTACGCTCAGGCCTACCTACAGCAATTCCCCGAGGCCCAACCGTCCACAAGTAACTACTATGCGCAACCTACCCCAGCCGCTGCTGCACAACACAACGCGAACAAGCCACGACCTGCACAACAGGTAGGGGCATGGTACCAGCCAGGCAACAAGCAATGCACATACAAGGACTGTCGGTTTACTGGCTCACATAAATCTGTCGAGCTGCATATGATGGACCGTCATCTCATTTACCCTCCTGGCTGGGACAAGCGACCTAAGAAGGAAGAGTGGGATGCCGACCCTAGTCTCAAAGGGTGTGTGTCATCCCTCCAGTGCTATCGTGTACCCTTAACTTACCCCCTTGAACAAGGAAACCCATCCCAATCCAAGGAACCAACCTTGTTCTGGATACACCAGAATCGCTCGAAGCATGGATTGCCGAGCGCAAAAAGAGGTTCCCTACGGCCAACCGCGTGGAAGACAAGAAGCGGAAGATGGAGGAAGCTGTTGCCCGTGGCCAATTGACTGCAGAGGATATGGGTGTCCGACCAGAGAAGAGGCGACGCCACGACGAGAAAACCACGCGTCCCGAGAACCGAAACAACCAAGGTAATCGGGGCAATGACAGGAAAGGGCGTGCAGGCGCTGCTCAACGGCCTACGGTCTCACACCCGCTGCCAGCTCGTCCCTCCCCTCCAAAGCCATCAACCGCCGTACAAGATGACGCGAATACTTCATCCGATAGTGAACCGGAGGTCGTCACTTCGAAGGCGCCAGTTCACTCTTTCGAACCGCCACAGTCACTTGATGAACCAGAAGAAGAGCCCGCAGTCCCTCCTGCAGAGCCAGCGGGTACCGACCCTCCAAAACCTCGACAGCAACGCCCCTCACAACCTAAAAGACCGCTACATAACCCTTTCGACAATCGTCCACCTTTGCTTCGCAACGTCCGTTCCTCCTGCTTTCCTTTGACCATGACCGTTTCTAACTCTTCTCTTAGCTTCTCCTACCCGAAATTCGCGTAACGGTGTCAAACCTATCTCAAGCAATCCGGTTCCTCGTCGACAACGACTTCTTGCGAAGCGTCGAGCTCAAGCCCGGTCAAGCACAAGAAATACCAATCCAGGTCATCAGTAGTCACGAAACAGGAGCGTAGGCCACTAGCGTGTATTGTCATTAAGTCGGGGATGGGGCCTCTATGCAAGGCATTGTCTAAATTAAATCAAATACATCCTTCTACCTACTAGAGTCGCTCTCGTCGCCACTCTCTGACTCCTCAGAACCGTCCTCCATCTCGGAAGGATCCGCCTCCAGCGAGCGTTGCGTAACCTCGAAGCCTTCACTCTTCAATGACTCGGCGATAGCTTCTGCTTTGGCTGGTGCAGTGACGACGACTGCCACTGAACTCTCAGAATTGAACAGCGGCAGGTAGTATTTCTTCAATGCGGCCAGAACATCTTCTTTGGTGAGCTTCTGATATTTCTCCAAAAGATCAACCTGGTATCGTTGGGGAAGGCCTTTGAGGGCTTGGTTAACGAACGAGACGAGGGCCTGGAAAACAAAGTTAGCTGGTTTCATCGACTCGGGGAAAGACCAAACATACTGCGCGCCCACTCGTTGACACATTCCTGGCCACTCCGTACACAATGGTACTCTTTGCTGCATCGAGCACGGAATCGTTGAATTCGACCTTGATAAAGCCGTCAGAACGTGGGCTACTTTGGTGCCCATCTGTGTGACTCACTGTGCCATCAGCCAATCCATTGATAACCTTCTTGGCCTCCTCAAAGGCGCCAATGCAGTTGGAGCTCTGAGCGAAAGTTCAGTTTCAGCGTGGCAACTCTCGAAAGGAACCCGTACCCTGTACACGGAGAAGGTCAACAGTCCTGTTTCAGGATCAAGGCTGACGTATGCTCCATAAGCCAGACCAGAGCCTCGGATGTACCGCTAGGGGAGCCAAGTCAGAATGGCAATGACATGCCGATCGCGAACATACCCAGAGATAACTTTCTGTGGCGTTCAGCACCTCGGCAGCGAGGCGTACAGCAGGGTATTCTGGGTGGTCGAACCCTTGAATGCTCTTGGTGGTATGGGAGACGAAAGCGCTTTCGATCGTTGGAAGGCTCATGACAATAGCCTGAACCCAGGTCAGGCACGAAACGCCAAGGTAAAAACAGAGTGCAGACCTTCTTGGATGGAAGATTGCCAATTTCACTCAGGGTTTCCGATGCCATTGGGACAGGGGCGAGTTCGACGGGATGCAGTTTAGAGAAGTACTTGGCCCAGGTGCTCCTCGGCTTGGGAATGTCAAAGACATTTCCGGACACAGAGAAGCGAATTCCAGCGGGATCGGTAACTGTCAGGATGGTCAGTACGACATTGGATATCGGATTCGAGTACCAATTAACTCACCATGTTTGCGGATCTCCTCGAATTCCTTGATCACCTCCTCTGGACTCTCTTGCAAACGCTTGACGAGTTGGGGGATGAATTCGACCTGGGGGAGCACAGTGCTCGCCCGGGAAGTCGACTGTTCGCTGAAGATCAAGTCGCTCCATAGCGAATTCAGAACGGTGTTGCCATCTCGCTTAAGCTCCGGAAGGGATTGCTGGATTTTGGCAGCAACTACAGCCAATCTATTTCATGCGACTCAGCCACCTATTCATCAAGCTTTGGGGGGCATACGCACCGATCCTTGTCGAATTCAGCATTGTACAACAAGTCGTTCAGCCAGGAGACCGCCATTTCGTATTTGGCCTTTTCGACCTTTATGCTCACACGGAAGAGATCGGTGAACGATCCAGAGAGACCGGCAGCGGCTTCATATGACACTGTCTCGTCTTCGAGTCTATTGACTACCTCTTCATGCGACAAGCGCTCTCCGGAGGAGCGTGTAACCGGGAGGGAGAAAAATGACGAGAGGTAAGTGGACATGAGTCTAATGCGCTTTGTCAGTCGAAGATACTTTGAGTGTCGTACGAAACATACGGTCGCAGATGGTCCGGAACATTTTTCAAGGATAGGAATGCGTTGATAGTGGTGAAATCGGACTGCAAGACGCATCAGATGATTCAGAACACAGGGAAGAAGATATAGGGGAACGAACCTCAACATGGTCATACTCCACGAAGAACGGAAGTAGTTGGCCGTCAGAGTCGATGTGCTTGGACAACTCGGGTGACTGCTGAACGTATTTGCCAGGCTGACGACCCTGTCCCGGTTGCTGCAGGGTACTGACTGGGATCCAAGAGATGCCCTTGACGTCAGGAACAGGGAACGAAGTGAGGATATCGTCGGGGATAGGTCTGTCGTGTTCAGCCTTGGCGGCCTCCAGCTCAGCTTCTGCCTTCTTCAGGCCTTCTGGGCCAAGTCTGGCAACTTGCTCCTCAATGCGCTTGATTTCATCCTTTTCCAGCTTCTCAGCAAGCGTGCCCGAAGGCCTGCCAACGACGACGACGGATGGGGGATCGATGTAGTACTTTTGGAGAAGAGCTTTCCATTGCTCGGCTGTCCATTGGCGAAGTTGTTGGTAATAGTTGATTTCGTCCATCGAGGGTCCCAATTCCGACCCGTCTGTTTTCCCATAGAGGACATCGCTGATGATTGTACCAGAGAAAGTGTCGCCTTTAGCAGATTCCAATTTGCTCCTGAGCTAACCATGGTCTCAGAACCAAAGCTAAACCGTCCCAACACCGTCCCCAGACACGCACCTGTCGCTCGTCGCGATTGATTACTACCTGCATCCTCTCCATATCGATACCATCCTTCTCGACGATCCGTTGCAAGGTGGCCTTAAGTTTCTTGGGAAAATCGTGAAGTTCTTCCGTAGGGACCGAGCCGATATAGACGGGCAAATCGTTCCGAGTGGCCCTTACGTCTTCGCCAAAGTAGATATATGAGCTAGATTTTCTTTAGATGATGAATGGTGATCATAACCCGAGACAAATACCAGAGAGGAGACTCGATTTCGATGAACTCTTTGTTCAAAGGTGCCACCGGCGAGGAGGTGAGATAGATGCTCAGCATGTCCAAAGCCTGAGGGTCATCAGTATGTTAAACAATGCTTTCGGCGGGGTTAAAAAACTCGCCTTGCGTTCGAGGAAATGATTTGAGGGAGGACCTGGGAAGCTTATGATCAATTCGCCCTGGCCTGGATTAGCGGTCAGTGAAGCCAACTTGATGTAACGGTTCGGTCCCCTTACTTTCATCCTTCTCAGGGAATTCCACGACCTCAAGGGTATCCTTCTCGATAGGCAACCGTTTGGCGCTGTCGGTTTCAACGAACGGCCTCTTCCACCCGGTTGGTCGTGGACCCTTGTCTTGGCCGTGTTTAATGAGCGTGGGCTCAATCTCATTTTGGACAACCCGCAACAAAGATTCCGTTCCCTTCGAGAATTTGCCGCCAACGACGAGGGCGAGATTGTGGGGGACGTAATACGTGGAGTGGTAATCTCGTACTGTGGCACGGCGTCAGCAAAACCTGCACCGATTTCGACAAGACTGGGCACTGACTTTGCTGTGGTGTGAGGACACGCAGGGCCTCCATCAGGCCGCCTGTTTCGCTACGGTAGGCACTCCCTAATGGATGCAACAACCGTTGCAACCTGAGCAAATAATCACTGAGTGAGGGGGAAAGATTTCAATGCCAGAGAAACGCACTTGAGAGCCATCAAGTCCCCTGGGGTATTTTCACGACCTTGCATTTCGCTGTAGACCACGCCAGAGTCTTCGCCTTTGCCGTTGATGTGGTGTACCTATGGCTGATTGAGATCCTGAGGATGAATCGCAGCTGATTTCAATATTTACCTCAGTTACAAACCTGGGGCGAAGGGGGCGGCAAGGTATCAGAGTTTGTACCAAAATCAAAGGACGGAACCTACCCCGCATCAGTGATAGTTGGATATAGAATATGATCGAGGTAGATGGGAAGCAGCTGGAGGAATCCCTGCTCTCCAGCAGTGGATACGGTGTAGGCGGTGTGGTCGGTGTCCGTCCATGCATTGGTTCCATTCGAAAAGCCTCGGTTGGCGAAGAGATCTAGGATCCCTTTGTAGGGATACTTTTCAGATCCCATAAAGACAAGGCTGCAGAGCGAGATTAGCCAGGGATAGGTCGCAAAAGCGCTGGTGATCGTACTGTTCCAGCGTGTGTGGGCACCCCGAGTCGTCAAAAACTAGACCGCCGTGAATGAGCTGCTAGTGTGAGAATAATTTGAGCTTACTTTCAGTTGGCACCACGAAGTAGCCGTTGATTATTGGCGCTGACGTTTGGTTCGACATTGAGACGAGGTTGTACAGAAATTCAAATTGAGCGCATACCTTCGTAATCCAAGTGAATGACGGTGAGGCCCGTTACGCGACTTTGCCATTTGGAAACGGCGACATCGGTGAAATCTAGTTTGTGTTGCTTGACGAGGTCAAAGTTTCCATAGTTTTTTGGCAAAAACTGCATTTGAAAAGATGGGCGTCGAGTCGAGGGCGCAGAGTGAGTGAGGGTGCTTGCTTCCCGAAAACGGAAGGTGCGGTAATTTGGATGTGACGGTGATGACTTCCAGGTGGACGCAGCGACTCGTGACAATCTCCTTGCGTTGGGGTTTGCAAGGGACCTTCGCCACAAATTCGCGATACTTAGCATCCAGCAAACCCAAAAGTGTGGACAGAAATCAGGACTTGAGGCAGTTTGCTGTCACCGTCACAAAATCCGGAGCAAAGCTCACCGCCTCCAAACCTCCGAGCCAGTCATCCCCTTCCTTGGGTCACGTGGATGTCGTGGGCGCTAAGTTCTCTGCCAAGACTTTCTTGTCTCTTCCCAAACGATCATGGTCACCAAATCAAAGGCTCGCAGCAGATTCAGGGCCCCAAAATCCCCGGAAGAAATCGCTGCCCTCCAAGAACAACGCAGGCTGAAGAAGGAAGCAGATGCAAACAAGCCTCCGCCTAGTACACCAGGTGCTGCTTTGCTGGAACGAGCATGGATCCCTTTTACCGTTGAGGGCGAATCTAATCTTGACCTCAAGATTCTAACGTGGAATGTGGGTGACGGTTTGTGTTTTCAAACGACCTATCTGAACAATTGAAAGATCCTCGCGCAATGTCTCGTTCGTACGTCCAACTAGCATCCTTTCCTCCACAACCACCGTATAATCCATGATCCCTTCCAGGGAGGGAACTCTTTCCAACAAGCAACTGCCTCAAAGTCGGTCAAAGAGAGCCAATGATCCACCAAGAAATACAAAGACTTGACGCGGATGTACTCTGTCTTCAGGTGCAAGCAGTTCCTCTCCCTACCTCAGCCGCGAAACTCACCCCCGCACAAGTAGGAAGTGGATAGAATGGACAAGCTGGGACCTATGCTGGAGGCCGCGGGATACTCTTACCGATATGCTACCGGGCCTAAGAAGCTTCACGGGTGCTTGATTGCGTTCAAAGCGTCCAAGTTCGTCTTCGACGAGGAGAAGGTCGTCTATTACGACGATGAAGACGTGCGATCCGAAGGCGGTGAAGCACACAGGCGGGGCAAGTCCTTTCAGACGCGGAACATCGGTCTGATCGTGGCAGTCAAGAGAAAAGAAAATCCTGTTCATGGAGTTATCGTTTCCACTACGCATCTGTTTTGGCATCCACGGTAAAGCTCGCCTCTTCGTACTTCCAAACACGCTCCATACTCAATGGTGAGGCAGATATACTTACGAGCGAGCTAGGTAACTAACTCCGTCGTCTCCAATTTCGTGACACTGTCCTGATTTAAAAATTAGACAGGCGGGAATCCTCGTAAGGGAAGTCGCCAGATTCAAGGCGATAGATCTTGGCCGTCAGAATTGGCCATGCATCATGGCCGGAGGTAACGCTGAAACCCTTGCTCCAATTACCGGAACTGACATTTTTTTTTTCCTATTTCTAGATTTCAACTTTCCACCCGACGATCCCGGCTACTCGCTTCTCACAGGATTCCCCCTCCTACCCGGGCAAAAGGACCGCCTCCTTCCCTCCTATGTCGTTCACAGGACCGTTGACCCGTCGATCGCGCAAGACCAGCCCCAGGTGGCTGGTGACACGGAGGAAGGCGGGGAAGCAGAAGCTGTGGACCCGGATAGAGTCATCACGAATGCGCGTCCTGCGCAACCGTCGGATGGTCTGTTAGCCACTGACGAACTTGTTTCGTTCCACGGTCAAAACCTTCGGGCTCGTAGTGCTTACGCTATCGGATCGAGAAACCATCTCGCAACACTTTCAGATCCTTCGAAATCAGACAACCCCATTTACGGCTCGCACAATACTGTCCCTGAGGATAGACCAGGGTACTATGAGCCTAAATACACAAGCTATACCCATTACTGGCAGAGTGTTCTTGGTGCGTCTGTATTGCCTTCCCTTCGGTATTTCAATGCCTAACAATTTACACCAGATTATATTTTTGTCCTCGGTGACAGCCAGTTCCAAGTCGCAGGATTTCTTGCTGCATTAGAAAAAGAAGCCCTCGAACCCGGGCTGCCACAAAAGGGCGTCTGCGGGAGTGACCATCTCCCGCTCGTTACACAGCTCAAGTTCGCGGTTTGAATATGCGTCATCACCGTGTTGCCCAGTGAGTGTTGCATAGAATTGAGTAGAACACTTCCGATCCTTATTAGGCCAACGATAAGGCAAAAACTCTATGGCTGATGATTGTAATGCAGTAAAGGATATAAGTAGACACGTCGTGAAAGGTTGATATCGATAGATTCGACAAAGGAACGGTCCCATGGTTCGAGGTAACCAAGCAATCAAAAAGATAGAGTGCGACCAACAAACGAGCGGAAATGTTTAATACGAATAGTAAAGGATTGTAGTGTATAGATAAAGAAAACGTCTGTTCGTCGAGTCATGAAGAAAACGGAGAAAAGAATGATTAAGTGCTCCATCCAGTTCTAACAGTATCGCCTCCCAGCCCATGAAAGCCCTATCCAAAGAAACCGGAGAAAAGAGAGACGTGCGTGGACGCCTGCTGCAGTGAGTCAGTCGGTTGGCCGCCATAAATTACCTACCAAAGGACCGATCCGAGCCAGCCAAAAGACTGTTGAATAGCCCACCAGCGGATTCCTCGTTTCGCAACTGGATCATGTAAATGATTCCAGTTCTAGAACCGTTATCACTGAGTTCAATAGCAACACCCGTCTTTCCAACGCGTTCCACTCCGTCGGTCAGAACGATAGTCGAGATCAAGACCTTGCTATCCGCTTCAACCACAAGTTGCTTAACGTTGGTAGGATCCTGACGGTATAGCTTGAGCTTGGCCGAGCCCAAAGACTTCCATTGAGCATGCTGCTGCTGCAAGAAGACTTTGCACTTCATTTGCGCGGAAATGACAGACGTAACGGGCCCGGTATGTTGAGGCATTTCAGGAACAGGTGAGTTGGGAGGGCTGGGTTCGTCGAAGGAAGGTTCCATCATCGAAGCAGCACGAGAAGCTGGCTGAGCGGATGGCAACAGTGGGCGAGCCTGAGGAGCATGTAGACTGGGTTGCGAGTGATTCCGGCCCTGGTTGTAGAAGGCCGGCATTGGGGGTACCGGTCCTGCATGAGGGTCGTGCTGGGAGAATTGGGAGTTCATGGACCTCAACGAAGGAGATTTGTGGATATGGTGCATGGGCGGCTCGGACGGAGGGCGAGGAGGGACACCTGGTCCGTTTGGTGGGAAGCCACCCATACCGGGTCCCATAGGCGGGCGACCGCCTGGTGGGAACCCTGGGCCTGGAGGCAAACCAGGACCAGGACCAGGCCTGCCATTGATTGGATGCACAGGGAATGGTGCTTGCATTGGATGCGGTGGGAGGCCGGCGGGCCCATGATGCCCAGGTGGGCCCGGTGGGCCTTGCATGTGTGGAGGGGGAGGACCCATTGGACCAGGACCCATTGAGCCAGGGGGGCCCATTGAACCAGGAGGAACCATTGAACCGGGTGGACCGACAGGGCCACCCATTGGAGGCCCCCCACGTACCATGGGTGGGGGAGGCCCTCCAGGTCCAAGCGGGCCAGGAGGTCCGCCACCGTTGAAACTTGTGCTGCGGGGTGGAGGCGCGAAACCGGGAGGCGGGCCATTTCCGAACGGTTGGGCGGAGGCCGAGGTGCGTATTCCAGGTTGGAAGCCGCTAGGGCCACCGGGTGGGGGTGGACTGTTGAAGCGAGGTGTGTTTTCTTGATAGTCAGGAGGCGGAGGTCCTTGATTTGGTGGCAAAGGACCATCATTGCCGCGGGGGATTTGAGGCACGGGCGGAGGAGGAACTTTGGACAGCGGAGGAACTTAACAGAGCACAGTCAGCACTACCTCCCATGGAATTAAGAAGTTGTATGCTCACGGGATCCAGAAAACTCGATACAGTCTCTGAAATGGGCCATGAGCTGATCTCTGCGCTGAACAGAGTCTGTCTCCACGATCAAGTGCTCCTTTCGCATTATCGCAATTTGGAATGCATTTTCTGAAGAGACGATAAGTTGACAATGTTCAAAACGTCCAAAGGCTAACGCACTGACCTTGGCCTTCGACCTCAGAAACTCTCAAAACCTTTCCTGCGAGCGGCGGGTAGCAGAGCCACATGTCACAACCTTCATTTCCAGGCTGCGCCTGCTCCTCCTGGGTCATGCGTTCGCAGACCAAGAACAGATCTGAAAGGAGGTAAATATGCCCCTGGCGGTGAACGACTTCTTGGCCAGTAGCACGGGGAACAAATCGAATGACGACGTCATCTGACGTTCTCAATTCACGGGTGAAGGTAAGAGTAGGCGGTGACATTTGTAGCTTGACAACCTGTATTTGAGCGGTGAGATGGGATGACAGCAACTCGCAAAATGATTGATACTACCTTGGGAGTCATGGTGAAGATGTCGAGGGTGCGGGCGGTGGATAGACGGCGCTCGAGGTGAGTGATAGGCATCGAGAGGGTGGCATTAGAGCCCCTGCTAATCGAGGTGTTTGCGGTCTCGCCAGAGAACCGTTCCCTGTGAAAGGAATCAGCAACGTTCGCCATGATGATTAAGCTTGGCACATATGTTTACCCTGCTGATGTTAAGCTGCCACGCGCAGAGCCACTCTCGCTTCCGGGATTGGATAACGGCTCGCTTGGAGGGAGAGGTGGAAGCGAAGGTGCCTGGTTCTTGGTCGGAGGCGCCCGCAAGTCTACAACCACCTCATCCTCTGTCTCAACTGTCGGAGGGGCAGTACTGGACACCGAAACTGTAGCGCGACTGTCCAAAGTCGCGAGTAAGCGGTCCAGAGTTTCGACTGCGCTGACCAACAGGCGATGATCACTGCGGCCTGGTGCTGTGCTTTTGAGCAGACGGCTGTACAGCTTTCGGTAGTACTTGAGGCGGGCCTTGGGGAGAAGGAACAGGGTATCAAGGGTCCAAACCTGGACTTCGGGACTTCCGGTTGGGGGATTCGTCGCGGAGAAAGCCTCGAGGATACCGGGAAGCTTCGCGTTGGATTGAACAGGGCCCCAAGTGTCGAAACCAGTCGAGTATTTCGCGCAATAGTTGCTATATGGCGTTTCCAGGTCCTCGATCTGTAAGGTGTATGAGACAGAGGGATGTAACAGACTGGCGAAATCGGCCTACCCATTTCATCAGCAGGTCTCCCAGCGCTTTTGGTGATGACGGATTTGCGCCGATTTCTTTGAGTTTCTGTGGGGCGACACGGTTTGGAAAGACAGTTCACGGAAAGACTGATTTCCCCTACCCCATGAAGACCACGATTCGCCTTGTAGACGCCTTCAATGCTCCTGAACATGGTATCGAGCTCTGGAGGTGGCAGGTTTGACCTGGACCATGCACCCGCTACTTTCTGTGGGCAAACTTAGCTACTGAGGTTCAACTGTGTGAAGCAGGACGTACCCTAATGATGCCTGTAAGGTTGTCGACATAGCTCTTTTCTGTGTCGATGAGGTCTGTGAGTGGGTTGGCCTTCTTTGGTTTGTGGCCCGGAGAATGGGGTGTTGTTGGAGTTGTTGGGGTTGGAGGGACTAGATGAAATAAGAAAGAGTATATAAAGTAAGAACAAAGAATACTGACCTTCTACGGCGGAGAGGGAGGTGGGATCTGTCATGAGGTTGGTGGAAGGAAGAGTTAGGATTTTCAGGACAAGTCCGCTGTCCGTGCGAATGATGGTCGGCCTGACTTGGCAAGTCGACCCTTGTCGAACAATGTCATCTCCTCCGGTCCTTTTGATTTCCCCTGAATTCCACAAATGTCGTCCCCGAGTCGTCAAAAGCTCGAACGCGACCTCATCTTTATGGCGAGGACCATGAGGACCCGCCAAAACGTCGAGCAACTCCTTGGTCCTGAACGACACACAAATATCACCGACAGGGACTACAACCGCGCTCTCGCTTTCCTTCCGGGTCCACATCGACACTACAATGTAACAATACCTCCCTTTCGCATTCGACTGCAACTCACATCTTACACAGACAATTGGTACAGTCGTTGGAGCTGTATCAGGCTACTCCCTTCGACACCGTTCCTGGGGTGCAGCCAGACTCGGTGGGGTAGTCTTCTTCAGTGCTCTCACCGGTCGAGCAGTAGGAAGCGCATACGCCGTCTTCTCCTTCTACAGGTTCCTAAACGGCCTCGAAAACCCTGACGGATTCGCCAGGGCACTGGAGAATGTCCAGCATCGTCTCGAGCAGCCCGGAGCAATCCCTGCACCTCAACAATCCCAAGACGATAGCTTCAGCAGTACGTCATACCGTATGTCTAAACCCAGGGAATACCCTCCGCTAACCATCGCACCTGGGAACAGCGCCTGTTTACCCAGAGACCGCATCTTCTTCGCCTTCTTCGCCTGCTGCCCCACCTGCTGCTCCTACCAGTGCTTGGGATCGAATTCGGGCAGCCAATGCTCAGCAAACTCAACAATCATCCTGGGACGCCCTTCGGCAGTCGCACGAGAGGTCTCGCGTTCCTCGCCCTCCCCAAGATGGCTCGTCGGACAATAGATTCTACGATTCGGACAGAGCAGCAGAGCAGGCCAAATTCGACGAGCTTCTTGAGAAGGAACGAAACTTTGGCAAGTAAAGCACATTCCATCCCACCGAAGCATCCAAATTACTGTGTTATTATACATTTTAAGAGTAGTAGTAACAGCCATAATAATAACAGTCCACCTGCTCTGCAACTCAACGACCAGTATTCATCCCATAACCAGAGTGGTTAGGAAGCTGATCCATGTGTGGTGATTGAGAAAGATCGCGAATCGGCCAGCTCGGCGGTCCTGCGTTTGCCTGGCGATGGATATTCGGCGGGGACAGTGTCCTTTCCGAACCAGACGAAGTCCCTTGGTGCGTTGGATACATCGCTGTCACGTTGTTGGGTATTGAAGGTTGTCCATTGGGAGCATCTCGCTGGATTGGACTCTGCTGGTCATCCCTTTGGAAAAGCGACCGGTGCGAAAATGGGTACATGGGCACGCTGACTTCTAGTGGATGTTTCTGTGCCGTCATTCGAACAATCTCTCTCATCAGCCCTTGTAGGAGTCTTTCTTGCCGTGCTAATGTGAAAAGGATTAGTCATTGGCAGACAGGCAGGCAAGCCCGAACGTACTTCCAATTGGGGACCGACTGCCGTATTCCAGCATTGCAAATCTTAAGGCCCGAGTCAGTCAATTGCTGGGGTTCTCGCCTCATCACTCTTTTCTGGCTCACCTGAGCACGTTGATCTCACCCCAAATACGGGCCTCCTTCTCTTGTTCGTCCGTTTCGATATAATGTTTGCATAGTTGGACCAATACCACGGCGGCAAGATACCAACAAATCTATATACAAATGGAGTCAGCGTATTTCCGTCGATAATGCAAAAAGGACACACTGTCACAAAGGGATGGAGTCGAGTGATGTCAAGAGACGCTTGAGAAACCGTATAAAACGCATTCAAGATTTGCTTCGCTGAGTTAACGCAGCGTGTCATGGAGATGTTGCTGGGATCAGCGAAATCGATATAAGGGTTATGCAAAGTAATGGTTGCGCTGTGAAACACATCAATAGCATTCCAGAAATCAGGAAGAGAGTTCCTTACGCATGTGGGATGATGTGGACCATGTAAAGGTCAGTATCCAAAGTACTGCCCCCATCGGGTGATTGGGTTACGCCGTTGTTCGTTCTGAAGATTTGGGGAAGGTTGGCAATAAAGTCTTCACAGACCAATTGATCCAGTTCTTTGAAGCCAGCCAGGGAGAAAGGGTTCTGGTTCTTGCTGGGCGCTGTGGGCGCACGCAAGTTCCCTCGAACATTGAAGTCTGTCACTTTCCCAAACAACATGACCGCCTTGATCAGCAGTAAGAACGAATCCGTGTATTGGGGTGGGTGGCGAGTATAGACGTCCGCCTGTCCCAAATGTTGGGTGTTGCTAGGGATCTGTCGCTGTATCAAAGAATGAGAGTCAGTAACGGCATAAAGTTCATAAGATGGGAAAACGTACACCTGACTCGAAGTCTTCTGTTCTGAGCGGTAGCTCCGTCCCTAAATCCCTCTCGTCAACTGCGTGTATCCATCCTCCTACTGAGGCTATGCGATCAAAAAGGATCGTCATCCACCAGGTTCTCCTCCGCGATTCTAGATCACGGAGATCCTTGGGAGGCGCTAGATATGCTCCTGGCGAGTTGTTTCCATGGGTTGAGAAGGTTCCAGGGTAGTTCAGGCGGAGGGGGACGGCAACCCTGGTTTGGAAACCAGCGAAAATCCAGACCTCCACCCAGCGTCCTTCCTGATAGAAGTACCAGGAGAGTAAAATGCAAGCTTGCATGACAGAGAAGATGTCTTCGCCACTCGCCATCGTCTTGTCAATGTATTGTCGTGTCTTGCTGGCATGGAATTCCGCGAATTGATCCCGGCGCGTGCTATCTGGCAACGTTATAACATTTTGAGGATACCACCGCGATGCCGAGGCGCACTATAAACGTGATGTCAATATCGCTTGGGTATTGTGATGGAAGAAGCAAGATGCTCAACTATAGCGTGGAGGATTGCAGAGTGGGGGAAATCGGGATCTTTGGGTGTTAACTTCATGGCGGCGAGGAATGATGGTTTATGGAGCACTCGAGAACCGCACGGATCGCATTTGAAAAAGACGTCGATGCTAACAGTGCGGTTAGTACCGGAAATAGTGGGAAACAAACTGAAAGCGCGCACTAATGGTCGAGGACAGAGGGTTCGGGGAGGTCAGGGTTCCAGCCTGAAAACAATAGATCCATAAAAGGATCTGTATCTCCACTCGAAGCTTGTTTCCCTGCTGTTGCATCGGGACTACCCGTTTCACTCCTGAGACGCGATTCTGGAGTTTCCGGTGCTATGAGATTCATGGCGAGCGATGCTCTTGGAAGTGTCATGTTGGCAGAATCGGAACCTGTGCATTCCAGTCGATCAGGGCAAGGTGTAACGATGGTACTTCCGGAAAAGCCTTACTTGGAGTGATTGAGCGGTTTGAACCTCCTTGTTCGTATAGGCGGTTCTTGAGTTGTGCTGTGAGCCCGTGGTGAGGTTGACTTCTCGCGAAACATACCAGGCTGTACTTACTTATCTGGTCCTCCAACTGCTTTATCTTCTCAATAGGATCGGTATCAGGAGCCAGGGTCAGGCCTTCGATGGGGTCGTATGAGCATTGTGGCTCTGTTGGGTGGCTAGAGAGCTTCTGAGTTAGCACTCGGGCGGTGGCCGAGGAAGTAGCGGGAAGCCATACGCATATCCCACAGGAGCAGGAACGCTAATGGTGGCCTGCCATTGCCTGGAAACGATGAGCGCGGTAGATGTGGGGATGCGAGTGGATACATACTTGACACATGTACCACAATGCGGTCTTGCAGCGTCACATTTCTACGTTATGTGTGCGAGTTCGGACCCACTCTTGCTCGCAAAATAGCCAGGCCACCCACCAATTTCCGCTTCCTACACGTCCGACAGGCCTGTTAATGATGTTCATGAGTACTGTGTTTTAGTAGAGGCCTGTGTGACATGCCTGGTTCCTTCTCAGTGCAGGACGCCCATTGCTGCTTGTGCTCGGTGCCTTCGGCATTGGGTTTGAGTCGGCGATGAGCGCCTTGTTGAAACAACGAGCGCGATAAAGTTTAGTGGTTTGTAGTCGTATGTACTGGGACCAGGGAAGAGAAATATCGTGGAAGTTGCTTTGTGGGGAAGATGGAGTGCTGTGTAGAAGAGGAAGAAAGCTGAGCGTGCCAAAAAAAGTCCGAAGGCAGAGGTTAGTTATCTTGATCGGACACTGTCCCAACACTAGTCCATGCACTTCCTGAGCTCAGCCAACCTATGTACTCACCCGTGTCCCAGTGATGCGGCAGCCGTAGCATCATACTGCTTCGCCCCTTATATTTCCGCCCGCATATTTTGGGACTGAACTCATGGCAACCTCCCGTCCGAATCGCCGGGACTTTCTTATCAAAGTTGCTGCACCTATTTGGTGGGCTTTCGGCGGTCAAGCACCAGTGCAGTTGACCCTCTGCGTAGGTTCCCACTTGCATCATTCCACTGGTACTACCGCCTGTGACATGATTGTAGAATAAATGATGAGGAGGAGGTGTATGTAAGAAAACTTGGGAATCATCCAACGAAGAGCGCTAGCTTAGGATCTGATCCTGGTTAGACGTACTTGTCGCGAATGGGGACGTCGACTAGAAAAGGCAGCTCACAGGATGGTAGCCACTACTCTGCGGGAGTGGGCCATGTGCCGGAACTCAGTCAGGTAGATTCCTAGAGTTGTTAAAATATATAAGCGCCAAAAGGAATGCATGGACTGAAATACCTTGCCAGGTCCCCAGGTTCAACGCGCCATTGGTAATGGGGATGGAAATAGTGCTTCCCACAAGCGACGCTTTCGTGTGCGAGACCCTGCGAGAGACAAACCGAGGATCGAACCACGTAAAGCCTACAGGCATGGCAAAATGCATTACAACTTACGAATCACTGTCAAGATTGTGATGAAAAACGATGAATCTCCGCGAACCTCGGTTCGTTCAGTAACGGGCAACGCACTCGGGACCCTCATCGGTATGTCGCCAATTCAAGCTCTCCGGGACGATGTTGTCCAGGGCCATGTCCATATCTAGATTGGCGAAACCAGATCAGCATTTCCACGGAATAATGAATTCATAGAACTCACGTACCCCGACGGACATCTGTTCACCGTGCAACGGGAACGGTAATCAGAACCGGGGAAGACTCAGTGGCTCTGGGGAGGATGTGAAGTTACCTTTATCGAAGTTCTCGTTGATTGTCAGTGCGGCGGAGGTATGCTGACTGTTCAAGACCGCAGCGTCAAGGAGGATCGGCGCTCGAAGTGGGATGAGATTCCTACATGAACAAAAACAACATCCCAACCTGATTGCAATGATCGATTATGGTTTCACGCCCTCGTTCACACAAGGAGTAGTCAACTGACCTGGACATCTTTGAGACCAGGGCGTATGTGCTCCAAGACTTCATCTGTCACAAGGTAGCATCCCTTGGATCGCTTGGAGAGGGTGAAGGTCTTCTGCCAGCCCATATCCTGTACGGGGTTTTAGTATTGCAGGTGTCATTGAGGTAGTCGGGTTGGATCTAGTGACCAATCGCTTACCTATGTGACGTTGAGAATACAGTGTGCGCTCACGCAACGCTCGCGATCCAAGAGTCCAAGACGAGAAGGGGAGGACCTTGAGGTTGTCGCGGTACAATCGCAGATGGGACCTTAGTCAGCGCCGATCAAGGCTCATCGGCGCTTAGCGCTCTTCGGAGTTGCTCACAGCGCTCATGAAGTTTCTCGTCGTGTCGATGACATCCTTTCTCATGGTGCTTAATGACACGGGCTCCAAGCATACCTGATGGGACTATTACAACGGTGAGTACTCAGAGGCATGTATCTACTGCGATAATCATCCTTCCAATTTAAGCCAAACTTGAAGCTTGAAGTTCGTGCGGCGGACCAACATTGAGACTCGAGCAACGATGAGCACATATTCTCTGTTTACCTGAGGCTCGCTCATGCTTTGAAAAAGTCTGCATTTGGCCGGAAAACAAAGCTGAAAAATCCGCTGTTTGACAAGGACCTAGATTGTTGGTACAAGTTACTGGCCATCCTACTCGCTTCTCGACGTTCGTTCTGTAGAGCAGAAACTCGTGTCTCCATGCTCATTGGAGTCAGATCCCTCGAAGGAGATCCGCTTTCAACGTCAAAGCAGCTAAAATTGACCACGATCGCCTGGTGCGGCTATGTGTGGTGCTGCGCACGTATGTAGACGGAACACGCGTGAATTTACAATTGCTGACTCCTTTTTTGAGACCAGCTCCTAGCAATCCTCTCCTGAAAAGTGCTTCAGATGGACTCGTACACCACGCCTGTTACAACTGAGGAAGAGTGTTTCAATTCGCCCCATGCAGACAGTAGGCGCATCCAGTCAAGCCCGTCTCATTCCGTGGAGTACATAGGAAGAACCCACGAAGGGATATTTGACGAGCTAATAGCAATTGAAGGCTCGCCTGGGTTGCAGATCGACCGAGCATCAGCGCCAGCTAACCATGCCATTGGGGGTCCATTGTATTTAGGCGCCTTGGAGCGATGATAACAGATGTCTGATTTACAACACAGTGTATCACACGAAGAAAACGCCCATTGCCGTGCCTTTCACATTTGGTCATCCTTAATGGCGGACAGATAAAGCAGTCTCCAGACAATCATTGTATTAGTATACATGTCTGGACACTTTAGTGTTCAGGTTTATCTGTATACATGTGAAACAGTGACCTACCGACTAAACGAACGTCCTGATGGTTCTACTCTTCACCAAATCGTTTCGACCTATCTACGCCACCGCGATTGCCAGGTACATTTCTGTTTCGACAATGGTTGGCATAATGGCCCTTCTCTCCGCACTGTAACAAGTTTGGTCATTTTCCAATCCGGGAAGCGTGAGGTGCTGGACTTGCCTTGAAGCACATTACTTCGTCAAGGTTGCGCCTTGGGGGGCCGCCAGCTGCCATACCGCCTCCGGCTTGTGGCCCGTCGTAGCGACCACTACCATACCCTGGTGGCGGCGGCCCGACTTCCCTGTTAGATAACGAAGCTTGGTTGGAGTAGTCGCTGGCTGACGGCAACTGCGGCTTTGGGCTTGGAAAGACATTTGAGTTGAAGAAAGAAGGTTTCGAAAGAGACGACTCACTGGCCCTTCGGACACTCTGGGCCGGCAGGACAAAAGCCAGTCAGATACAACTGACAAGCGACTTTACGTACGTGTTTCCGAGGGCATGTTGGTCCTGGAACGGAATCAGTTTCCACCTAAAAGCCTTGGAAAGGCAAAGCATTCAGCCACTGACCAAGCTTGCAGAAGCCCCTATTGTAATCCGGACACTCAATCCGCCTTTCTTTGGGATGCGCGTAAAGGCATTCGTCACCTGCAGAGCAGTATCCATACTTTGCAAACCACCAACATTCAGGCATCCGCCGAAGGTTATACTCGTGCAAGAATTCACAGGCATCGCCCTTTTTGCAGAGACCGCGCAGCCAATGTTTGCACACAGTGGCAAGCCGTTCTCGTTCTCGGGGGTGAGTCGGAAGCTGTCGTGGAGGCTGGAAGTTCTGTACTGATGGTGTGGTGTGCCTTAAAGGACAGTGGAGAGGACCGAGGGGGCATCCAGCCGGAGTCAGGGCGAGGCGACATATTTGGTCGTCTAACAGATGTATCGGTGTCAGAACGAGTGTAAAGACTGAAGTGACCGACCTTTGTCGAGCTTTATCCCAAGCTCTGTTTTGGCATAAATCTCAGCTGGAAAGTTGTTTTGATGAAACTGGGGATTTATTACGTCTCGGAGAGCAGACGGCCCAATGAGCGGATTGGAGGCCATGATGACTGTAAAGAGCAAGGAGCGTTTCAAACTCCGACGCGACTCGGAGGCGCCAAGGGTCCACCTGCGTGAGACTTACCTTGAACCTTAGTCCTCCGTTTGGTTAAGCGCGGAACGTTGCCTATCCTCTCTCGTAATAATCACTTGTTACAAAAACATCCATCTCCCCCTTACAAATAATCGTGGATCCCGCAATGCCCTCCATCTGTGCCCACAATTCTTCCCCCCAGTATCCCAGGTCAACATGGCCTCTGTCTGCGCTTTACTGGTCCCAGCCGCTGCTAACCTCGCTTGGGGCTTCGTATCATTCGCTATCCTGCTTGGTCTATATTACAGAAAGTTGAAGACGAGTCTTCCCTTGCCTCCTGGGCCACCATCGTCTCTCTTCAGAGGCCCGACGTTTCCCAGTCCGTATCCTTGGGTGTCATATGCAAAGTGGGCCGAGGTTTATGGTACGTCTTCCATTGCCAGCTACTTAGAAGGATGGATTTGTTGGACTCTCACTCTAGGCGACCTCATATACTACAAAACCTTGGGCAATCCAGTTCTAGTCTTGAACTCTCGTGAAGCAATGACAGACCTTCTCGATAAGAGAGCCAGTATCTACTCGTCTAGGCCGTATCGCACCATGGTGATCGACATGTGAGCTCCTTCACCCTGTGGGGCCCATTCACTTGCTGAACCCAATAGGATCGGGCTTAACTACCTGTTCACCTCAATGCTGTACGGGGAACGATGGAAGGTGCGTCGGCAAATGTTCTGCACCTGAAAGGATATGACATTGATCAACGGCCGGGTTGCAGCGACATCGTAACCTGTTTTTTAAGTATTTCAAGAGAGCCGATAGGAACGTCTATAACGCAGTTCAAACTAAGTACGTGCATACAATGCTGCGCGAACTACTCGAAAATCCTACAGAATTCCGTGCGTCCGTCCGAAGGTGAAGAACCGCCTCCCCCAAATAGACCTCTAACTAATGCCCATTGACCACTCAGAACCGCTTCTGCGGTTGTCCTTGGGCTTGTCTATGGTCACGAAGTCGCCGAAGAAGGCGATCTCTATGTGGACCTTGCAGAGAAGGTTGCTAGAAACGTTGCACAAGCAGGGTTGTACGGGACGTACATGGTGGTAAGCTGCTCCCATTCATCACAACTGATGTCATATGCTCAGAGGATTATCAGGATTACATTCCTTGGCTGAAACATATCCCCTCCTGGTTTCCGCTCGCCAGCTTCAAACGTAAGGCCAAAGAGTGGAGGAAACCTGTCATTGAAATGTTGGAACGCCCTTTCGCCGTTACCAAGAGTAAGATGGTGGGTCCATCTGAATTCTCAAGACTTTTGGTGATATCTGACTATATTTGCACACTAGTTGGAGGGAAAGGCGACCGCTTGCCTCGTAAGGGAAGAACTGGACGATCTTTGGTCTGGAACCAGCACCTTTACAGAGGATATCATCAAGAATACAGCGGCAACCGCTTTCGCGGGTGCGTATACAACCTGTTCATTGAATAGACATCCCTTAAAACGTGTTTCCAGCTGGATCGGACACTGTTGTTTCTGGGGCACTGTCTTACTTCTTGGCTCTCGCCAACTTCCCTGAGGTCCAGAAGCTGGCGCAGGAAGAGCTCGATAGAGTCTTGGGCGGACGGCTACCAACTCTCCAGGATAGACCCGACCTACCCCTGATCGTAAGGTCTCGCCTGCACTTGCAAAGTTGGAGACTAATGAACCCTTGGGTAGGAAAGTATTTGTTACGAGGTTCGCAATATCAAATTATCGGTCCTAGGATACCACTGAAGAGACTTGCAGGTTCTCCGGTGGAACCCCGTGACCCCATTGTCGCTCAGCCACTATGCTTCAGAAACTGACGAATACCGCGGCTACCATATTCCAAAGGGGACTGTGATTCTCCCTAACGTCTGGGCGGTTCTTCACGACCCTGATTTATACCCAGACCCCTTCACCTTTAAAGCAGATAGATTCGTCGATCGGGAAGCAAACGCTAGACTCGGAATCAACGCTCTTCCGGATAATGTCTTTGGTTTCGGTCGACGGTAAGTGCATATTGTCGTCTACAGTCTGGAAGGCATATCGAACGACAGGCAATGTAGCTTCTGTCCTGGGCAACACGTCGCTTTCGACTTTATCTTCCTGGTCGTTTCTTCCCTCAGTTCCGTCTTTGACGTTACGAAGGCAGTCGATAAGAACGGTCGCGTAGTCGAGCCAGTGATAGATTACGCACCACTTGTGCTCAGGTAAATGCCGTCCTATAATCCTCGTGCTCAGTGGCGATCGCTTACCAGGGATGCATCACATCAGTCACCCTAAGCCATTTCAGTGTAGCATTCGCCCGAGGTCCCAGCAAGCCGTGGTACAAATCCAGCAAACGGCTCTCCATGATGGTTGACAGATTTATGACATCTCGAACCTTGTATATGACACCATGACCCGGTCCGTGTACTTTTAGGTAAAAGAAAATCGATGTATCCTCGATAGTCTTCCATAAAAACATTTGGAAACACGTAGCTGGTGCATTCGTCTCTTTCGACCCCCCGGAAGTAGCAATTCCAGCGCGAGACCACCGACATTGGTTTCTCGTCGTCCCTTCTCGCACAAACTGGATCTACTGCGAAGGTAAGTTGCTTTGGTACGGATCGCTGCTGAAGTCTTTCCTCAAGTGCATCTGACAGTCTTTCCCCCTAGACCTCATGTTGGCCACACTTCTGCAGGCAATGTAGATAATCTTTCAGTTCTGCTATGGGCGTTGAAAGAACCGTTGACTAAAATGAAAGTGAATGGGCGAATGGACGAATATACGAGCCCTACCCAAACATGTATGCTTTAACAGTTGGCCCAAACTGTATCATTATTCTTCCAAGACTGCAAAATGTTCGAGATCGAATGCACCAACAGCCAGTCACGGCCTCTAACACGACTGTCTCCAAGTCTGTTCGAACCTGCACTACCACGCTCCAATTAGGTCGACTGAGAACCCAGCCTTCAATACCTCTTCAACCTTCGTTTCGATATATTGTTTCCACTCTGGAACGGACCGATGTTGACCTTGTTGTTCGTCTTGTACTTCCACCAAGTACACGAAATCGAAAGGAACGCCTGCCAAAGGCCTTCTATCGATCCGCGAGATGCTTGTATTCAGCATGGCTAGGGCGTCCTGTATTCCTGTCGAAGATGAAGTGTTTGCAGCCGTCTGTCGAATTATGATTCGAATGACGCCCGTTCTATGGGATTCAGAAGGCCTCGGGCGATTCATGGGTAACTTTACATCCGGGCCTCTTGCCAGGACGTAGAACCTCGTGTAATTGTCTGTCGGATCGAATAAGCAATGCGAAAGACATGAAATTCGGCAGATAATTACTGGAGTCTGCCTGTATCGCCTCCCTCAACACTTCCAACCCCTGGAACAGTGTCGTACAGACTCTGGAGCAGATTGCAGCATGGCCATGGGGCCGATCCAGAAGTGCACGAGCGGCTCCAGCAGTAGAGGTCGTCCGTTCGGTAGTGGCGGTCGGTAAATGTTTTGCAATGAAAAGCCGACACTGACCCAAAGCCTGGAAGATAATTAAATCCCCAGTCCCAAACGTACCTGGTTAGAAATTAACGCTATGGCATCCACATAGTTTCGCACCTGTTCGTGACTCAAAACTGTGTGGATCTCGTCCAGTCGAACTCCGGTCCTCGCCACTAAACAGTGGTCTATGCGAAGGGTAATTTCTCCGACGATATACCCTCTACCCATGGCCCGCAAAGCATCATAGGTGTCGACTACACTGCCGAAAATCGTGTTTTCCTGAGGCACCACGCCAAAGTCCGCGCTAGAAGAGGCCAACGCGTGGAAGACATCTATGATTAGCTTTACTACTGCCACACTCGTGCCTGTAATAGGACGCGCAAGACATACCTTTGATCTCCAGCTTTTCATTATATCGCGCAGTTGGTCCAAAGTATCGGTCAGCTGCCTGGGGAAATGGGCAGTCGTCAATCGCGGACGGGGCGTCCGAGTCGCTGCGTGCATACCTCGTGGCTGTATGTTCCAAAAGGGCCAAGAATTGCAACTCGAGGTAAAGGTTGCCCATCAGAGATCGCGTTCCCTGTCGAAACCATGGTTGATAGTAGTGGAGAGAATGGGGAGCAAGTCCTGCAAACCGGAGCAGAGTCATATGCGATCGATCCATTGGCATCACGCCCGGATCGGAGAATCTATCTCGAGGAGAAGCATCAATCAACATAGTACTCCCCAAAAAATACAGTCGTCAAGAAAATGTCCGTAAGTGCTTATGTTACAGGCAGTCATACAGTAATGTACACACAAAAAAGGGTCATTAGTGTCTATGGCATATGAAGGTAAGTACCGGATTCATGTAAGGTTTGGTGAAGGTTGATCATGTCGTTATTGTCGGTCGACCCGTCACAACCCTCGAACAAAGTTCTAATGGTCGCACTGGCATCGCTTGATCCCGCGAACGAGAGATTCATAGGTATGGACGAAAGAGGGCCGCATCGTTTCTTAAGAAGGTCCTCCAACATTTTCCCAAAACGATGTGCAAGGGGTATCCGTTGCCCAACTTTGGCGATAGAGGTGCTTTTAGATGAAGTCGTCAGCATTGAATGCAAGGCAGGGACGTGGTTGTGCCTACTGAATGAAATCTATCTCTGCCTTTAGAGTCGAGATTTGGTCCGGTATGCGAGCATCCAAAGCCACCTGGAGGAACCTAACCAATACGCGCCCACTGAGGAACCAGCAGAACTTCAAGAGAGCTTTGAGCATCTTAGAAGGGCACGAGACATTACAAAGATCACTTACGGAACAGAAAGAGTCGAGGAGGGTTATGTCGAAACTAGTCGAAGACACACTGTATATCAGGTCCAGAATCGCTCTGGCGGAAGTGAGAATTTTTAGCGCTGATATGCACCCCGACTGCCTAACTTCGGCGTGGGGATCGTGAAGCACGATCATAGCGCTAGAAAAAATATCATCATCAATTCCATGAAGCAGTGACATAGATTAGTATTTTGCACCTACACGTGGGGCATCAGGAAGGCCGTGTATAAATGATTGTCGACGACGTTATCGACGATAGGTGTTTTCAAATGAGCCGGGAAAGAGGACTTGAAGGAAGAAATGGTAGTGTCCAGTTCAACGAAAGCTGGGGAACCTCGAGGATCGACCGGGTCTGGAGACTGTATGTTCTCGCTAAAGGAGCAGGCGACAGCGGCATCTCCTGCGAAATGCCTTGAACGGAACCTCATATTAAAGGCTTTGACGCGAGCTGGAATTATGGTCAGCTCAATGGCTAAATGGGATGTCATTGGGACCTACAGATCAGAATAGTCCCCTTGATGTATAGCATGAAGGAATCAGTCTGGCTATCTGGGTGGGTTAAGAGAAGGTCGCGTGTATGGGCCCATTGGCGATCTAATGGAGGCACGAGGGTCTTGGAGCGATTTAGCCGCCACCACGAGAAGCTATAGTGGAAAGTTTGCTCACTCCTTGCTCGAATAAGTCCCCACGCACAGGAAGAAGCTGTGAGATATCTTGATCATCCAAACTCAGAGCCCATCCGTTTCCGGCACCGTGTTGGCGTTCGGTTGCATAAGCCAACCAAAACGCATTTCTTCTGGTTTCATCTTCGATGACGGTTCGAGCGGGTGTAAGAATTGAAGGCGGCCTTTCGGACTTGGTTATTGAGTGGAATGGTGGGCACATATTTAACCCAAGAGGGACTGTGAGCCGCATGGAATGGGCAGATCCGAGGAAAATCTGTGAATGGAGCGTTAATGAACGAAAAGAAGAACGGGATGCTGGATATCACTTACGTCGACCCATCTATTGTGTTGATTGGGCAATGAGATCAAATCCATGGGCGAGAGAAGCGGACTTACCTGCCATGCGACCAGTAAAACCAGGTCAATACGATATTAGCTATAACGTTCACGTAAGTACTGGCAATGCCAACGTGTCGCGCAACTCTACCTTGCAGAACTTGGAAGAGGTTCTCGCCTAGAGTGTTCATGTGCTCCGCCGTCTCCCGCGCGAGTTTGGCATGTTGTTCTGCAAAGGAATCGGGTCGCTGCTCCTTCGCGCGAAGGCGCTCGAGGAAGATTTCATCTACCCGGGATGTAAGTTATCGTCCAGGAAACTGATTAGGGAACCATACCAGGCGGGACTTCATCAAAGTTCGGGAGAGGAGGAGAGGTCACTGCGGCGGTGTAAAGGCTTCCTATTGCACAGATGGAGTGAAGGACGGGTGTGGCTGGGAATTTCGGGTGTGTGGGGGGAAGCGCAAGAGAGTTCATAAAACTCGGCACATGGAAGAGTCGAGATGCGTGAGGGTGAAAGAGGAAAAAGACTTCCACTCTAAGAACTCAATCAGTGACTGCAAATAAGGGAGCGAGAGTCGCGCACGTACAAGTGCCGTAATAAGTCGGGTGCAGGGAGCCTTGGGGGCCAATTAGGCCAAATCAAATCCAAACCAGAGGGAGAACCATTCAAATTGGTTGTCGTGGTGAGCATGGAGGTCGGGCTATTGCCTGCGTCAGAGAGAGCAAGGCTGTACTGCCTGCTCGTGGCGCCTTCTAATGGTTTAGCATCGGACAAGCATCACGCAGAACTATCAGATGCATACCGGGGAGAATATCACCGAAGTTCGCTGTACTCAAGGAGTGGGGGGCAACAATACTTCCAGTCGTCTTCGCTTCAGACGCTTGTCTGGAGTTGAGGAGAGCGTGATCTTTCTGCCTCAACAAAGTCTCCAACTCGTCTATTAAAGAGAGTGATCTGAGCACATTACCACCGGAAATGACCAAATGAATAGGCATACTGATTCGATTTTCCAGGCGTTCGTACTTGTTTTTCGGTCCCTCAGAGACAGTCGGGTTATGTTCAGCGACTAGAAAAAAATCAGAATGGGCCAAATTTTATAAAAAGCTGCAGCTCCCGAGGTTCAACTGACTTTCGTCGAAAGTGCATTCCGGCTTGGGAGGCAGATTAGCGCCGGGCGGTGCATGCGATAAGGCATGTGCATGGGACCGAACACATGTTGAACACGGTCGTTTGGCGTCGCTGTTGTGGAGTGTTGAGCCGCCTCCTAGTCAAGAAATGGGTATCTTCATACCATTTCTGCCACGCGCGTCAGTTCAGGGCCTTGAAGCTTGGCACACTGGCGGAAAGACTTACCAACTTCCTCCGTCGACACTACACAGCGATGAGAGAGTCAGGATTGTGTTGAGGTGTCTTCAGCCTACGTACCTGGTGACACGCCTGGAGCACGAGTGGTGGTGAGGATCCAAGCAGCTATCAGCACCCGCCGGAGGTACTCACCTGGTTTCGCTTGAGGACGTTGGGGTGCTGAGGAGGCATCGTCAAGGGGTCTGTCGACAACGACGGCTTTGTCGTCGCGGACGATGCTCTGGGCATTGGCGAACTATGAAGGAAAGGAAGAATCGAGTTGGATCAGGGGAAAGAAGGGAATTTAGCCTTTCGCCAGTCGAATTTGGACCCAATAATGGCAGGCTCTGAGTAAAGGTGCCAAGCCCACGTGTCGTCCGCGTCGGGAAGTAGCTTCCACCACCCAATTCAGATCTCACTCGGTGCCTCACTTGTTTGAAAATTCCCAGAGCATAACCCTCATAATTGACAAATAAACACTACTAACTAAGAGGAACATGGCTGATCAACATAAGTATTAGGACAAGTATCCGGTCATCAAGCAGATACAAATTTCCCTGTCGATTCGAAACTGGACACAAGGGCATCCAAGGGGAACAAATCTCGCCTTATGGACTCGGCAGTGGCCTCCCAAGCTTCATTCATAACCTGGTCATTGAATGAATCGTCCTTGACTATCCGTGGAGCATCCGCCCTCTCAGCCCAATGGACTGTACCACCATAACCAGAAATTGTCCATCTCCGCAAGGCGGCAGCAGGGTCTGACCCGTAGAACATCGAGTCGGAGGTGGTGGCAAGTGCCGACACAGTTCCAGCCACGTCCGGGGGGCCAACCGCCCCGAATATCGAGACCTCAATCACGGGAACGGTCGCTAGGACGTTGAATAGCGGTGATGAAGGAGCAGGGGGTGCCTGAGGACGATTGCTGATCCCCAGGAGGTACTGGACGAGTAGGATGGCGGTGTCCACCGGCATGGAGGTAAGATATCGCAGTATGACATGGTTAGAGAAGTTGAGTGTTCCGAAATTTCGTGGGTCCAGTTGCGAGGCATCGAAACTCGGGGCCTGCGAATTGGGGAAGGTGGCGCTAAGCACTTCACCTGAATGAATGACGACTCGGGGAACGGCATCCCTGTGGAGAATAGCGCCTTGCCGTGGGAGGTCACTTCGAGAATCTAGGAAGGGCAAGCGCAGGCGCAATACATCTAGAACGCCATAAATAGGACGATCCGGATAGCACCCAGTACCAAAGTTGGACGGCGTTTCGGATGCTGGCAATTGGAAAACAGAAGTTTCCAATGAGTTGAGTCGATCGCGCTGCTGTGATGATAGGCCTGGATAACAGGCCAATGGCGGTGGAAATAGCGATGATGAGTCGTTTGAGAACAACCCCCGGATCGATGAAGAAGTGGCATCAAATGGGAGTAGGATGGGCGAGGCGCTTAAGAGCGCCTTAAACACAGTCAAGTCTTCGCTCTTTTGAGAAAGCGTGGTTGTCCAGTAATTTCTCAGAGCGAGTTCACGTTGGACCGAAGAGGCTGATAGAGGGGCTTCAGACAACGTCACTCAAAAGAAGGCGGGGAACTTACCCTGGGCAAAAGTGTACATTCTGTCAAGGGTAGATTGTGCTGTCGATCCGACTCGGGCGATCTGTTCTCGGGTGGGCTGCCCTTGAGAAGCGAAGGTCGCTGAGATTGGTGTGACTGTCTGAGCAGCGAAGTTGTAGATAAATCCCGAGAATGAAGCGGTGAAGGACTCTTCTTTGACGTTTGTGGGAGCATCGCCGGGGAGAGAATCCCAAGGGGCGCTTTGGACGAACTTCAGCATGTCTTCTGAGGACTGGAGGTCTTGCGCTTGGACAACGTTCCATAGCAAGGCTGCCCGCACCCACTGTGTTCGCGTGGGGTATAGCTCCTCCTTCAGCCGCTTGCCGGAATCTACCAATAGTGCCTGTGGAGAGCAATCATTTGAACGGGTCCTGCCTTGGGAGTACCAAAGGCTGGTGTAAATGTCATGCGCAGTGAGGTTGCTGGAGAAAGCTTCGTTGACTGATGGGATCAGGTCGATGAGGTTCCGCGCAAGAGGGTTACATCGAGAATCGTCTGCGGTACAAACACATGTGGAGTCTAGCAACAATGCATCAGGAGTTAGTGCCCGGCAGTCAAGGACTATGAAACATGCTGCTTACTTAGAGTGCAAGTAGCTCCCGTTAGACCATTCGGACAGTTGGGCAATGCCGACTGGTTTCGCTTCACGACGACTACGATCGCTGCGATAATACTGGCAACGGCCGCTATGATGAAAATTGCAATGCCCATCTTCATCCGCTTACTGAGGAGGGGCAGACGGGATGCCCGGGCTGGTGATCCTTGATTACTGAAGGTGAGCGTGGGTTTATCTGAGGTACGGTCGGCGAAGTCGCTGTAGTACTGTGGCCTCAATGGCTGTGTCGAGTTCGTGGTACCCATTGTATTGACAGTATCTTGGTGGTAGCTATGCTCGCCTCCCTCGACTGATACGGGGAAATCTTGCTGTAGTTGGTATTGTTGGTATGAGGATAGACTGTGATGAGGATGGTAGCCCTTTTCCAAAAGGGCGTGAAGGGTGTCCGCCCGATTGGCCAGATCTGGAAGTGGCGTGGATTGGTCTGCTCTCCTTGTCTGGTTTTCGACTGCGAGGGGTATATCAGGGATCCGGGGTACTGGTGGCAGAGATTTCTTGCGCCAATGGAACATACGCCCCACAGAGGCCATAGATATCTTGGAAACAAACGAAGGAGCCAAAGAATAAGTAGATTGCCGAGCCTGGGTCGAAGGTTGTGGGTTAAAGTTCGGGCGCCTATGTGTGGCATTTGATGGCGGTGTGGGATCTGGAGGGGGATAGTATGCGTTCTGTGCCTTGAATCGAAGAATGGAGTCGTCGTCCATGTCTTGACTCGAGAGACCATATTTCGCCTCCTTTTCATCAACAGACAGAGGAACCGTCTGGGACGATGGAGGACGGCTGGAGGCCGGGATACTTCGGAGGGTTGCCTGTGCTACCCCAACGACGACAGGAGGATTGTTGGGAGTGTAGCCAGCGATTGACGGGTGGCCTTGCGTTGAGTGCAGAGTTTCGGAGTCTGAGGTCGATTCTCGGTTGGGCGCTTCCCGGATCGGGCTAAATGCACTGGGAGGTGCCCTACTGGTTCCATGGGTGCGGTTAGGATTGCCTGTTCGATTCTGAAGTATCGCCGGCCGTCCTGAAGAAGGTTGTGGATAGGGAGGGGGAGGGGGGTACGTGAGTTCGGAAATCCCACTAAAGGCGTCACTCGCAAATGAACTGCGTTGCTGTCGACGCAGCTCCTTATTCTCCTGTAACAGTGAAGTGATGAAGGAGGTTGGCAGCAACCGGGCCTCTTGTGTGTCGATTCCGTCTATACTGGATGATCCATCGTGCCAGTCGTGCGGAGAAAGCGGGTGGGTCGGGTTCGGATTGCCTCGAACGGTTGAAGAGGAGGCAGACGGTCCCCTGGGCTGGATGGAACGGGACGAGGAGGCAGTAGCTGGTCCGTTACGGTAGGTTGACGCCGATAGTGGACCCCTGCGAGGGACAAGAGGCTGGACTGGGGAAAAGTTGGACCGAACAGGGGAGTTGGAGAAGCCAGCACGGATCGGGGTGGTAGGTATTTCTGTCGGGACAGCGGGGAACTGGGAGAAGGAGATAGTGCTTTCAGCTATGCCAGATGCATTTGTGTCAATCGAAGGCCTTGAACTGTGTCTCGTGGAGCCGTGGGGAGCGTTCGAAAGGTCCCCGGCGCTGGCTGACATAGAAGCCTCCCGCAGATTGATGCCAAAGCGCCAGCGTAACCTCCCTGTCTAGGGACACGCCAATGAAAGGACGGACAGATGGCGGATAAGAAACGAGAGACTGCGACTGTGAAAGAGTGGCTGCAGATGGGAACTGTGGACTGCTGTGAACTATTCCGTGTTCGCTGTGATACAAATGTCAAATGATCAGATCCCCTACATTGTTCCTGAAAACCATCATTTCGGCAGCTCTGGTGTCCATGCTGTTTCCCAGAACCCAGGGCATCCCCTAGCACAACAGGGTTGGAACTTCCAATTGAATAGACGTGCTCTCGGCCGGCGATGCATGAAGCCAGCGAGGATGATTGGCGACAGTCAGAAACCATTTGAATCACAGTACCATCACTCCCTTGTCGATGCACTGTTTTCTCCGACCAAGGCGTAGGAAACCGTCATTCAGGATGGAGACCTTCAAAAAGGTTGTTGATCAAACTAGTTGTTACGCATATAGAAACCAGACTGTCGATAGAAGGTACAGAGTCGTCACAAGAAGAGTTTATAAGGCTGAGCAAAGACATAAATGGCGTGATATAGCAAAAAACTGAAAGAAATCCAATCATGATGGACCAACGCAGGAGTCGTGAGAGGGAAGTGATGTCTGTATTTATAGGATGACGCAGCGACTCGAGTTCTTCTTGCTGACACGAGGGGGTGGGTTCACTGTTCAAACGTTTGCCATCAGCGTTGACGAAACAAGGGCGCTCACTGAGCCCACTTACAGACTGCGCGAATAGCCTCGTCGAAGACTGTCTTCAAACCCTTCTGGGTGAGCGCGGAACATTCCAGGTATTTCACTGCGCCAATGTCTTTCGCCATTGCAACGCCCTGGGAGTATTGGATAGGTGCCATGCGGCTAGGGTGTACGCGTTAAAATACGGGCAGCACAGGGGTCTCAAAGGAAGACGTACCGCTCTCGCAACTTCTCAATGGTCATGGGGTCTTCCCGCAAATCAAGCTTGGTGCCAACCAGAACGATGGATGTCGAGGGTGCGTGATGAGAGATCTCAGGGTACCACTGGAAACAATCAATTAGACCACATTTCAGGCTGAAATGAAACGAAAACTCACCTTTGTCCTGACGTTCTCATAACTAGGGGGACTAACAAGCGAGAAGCAAATGAGGAAAACGTCGGTCTGAGGGTATGACAGGGGTCGGAGTCGGTCGTAATCTTCTTGACCAGCAGTATCCCATAATCCCAGAGAAATGGTCTTTCCATCTACCATCACATTCGCAGAGTAGTTGTCGAATACTAGAAACCGAAAACATCAACTGAATTGCTCAAATTCGGTTTATGGACGGTCCAGCGTACCAGTTGGAATATATTCACCCTGGCAACAGTATCAGAAGATCCAAAAAGGGACGAGCAATGGGCGAGTGCTTACGGGGAACGCGTTTGTTGTATAAGAAATGAGAAGACAGGTCTGTGATGTTCCGGGTTAGAGCGAGCGGCAGCCTCGGTTGCGGGGGATCCACTGACCTTCCCTACAGCACCGTCTCCCACAACGACACCTAAAGAAAACGAGCATCGGGTGAATCACCACTAGAAGGAGCACGGGGCAAGGGCGCACATTTAATGGCTTGCATTGTAAGTTTAGAGCGACCGAAGAGTCCTAAAAAGAGAAACAGAAAGAAGAGAAACTGGTGTCGTTATCGGGGTGAAACAGGAAAGCGAGTCGAAAGCTGGCGACGAAACCGAGTGGCGCGATACTTCAGTTTCGGTTGTTCAACTGGTTCTTGGACTGGGACCACACCTTCTGGACGTCAAAAAACCTGGAGGACGTGAGGGTATCAGACGGGGAACGAGAAACAGAGGCTGATGCTGAGTGCAACTTGCAACCGTGACAGCATTGTTGGGGTCAGTCAGGCATCCCGCACCATTTCAAACTCCGGCGGTTACTCCGCTGGTATCCAATCATTCATCTCCGTACCACAGCTCTCGACAAGAAATCCCTTTGCTAATGGTAAAATGCCCATACAGATACAGTCTAAGACTACTACAGTCACTACAAAATTTACATAGGTCAGATGCGAATACGAATGTGCTAGTGTACAACGAGATAGCGATACGACGATAGAAATGTCCAAAAATGCTCAGAAAACTAGATACTCAATCCGAAGACAGTCTCCGCTTCTTGAGCGGAGGACTTGACTCCAGGGGTTCGGGTGAAGGATGTTGCTTGATGGGTCCGACGGAATTACGTCTTTCGCGTTTGGACCCCGCAAGAGCGTTGATCTCAGCTTCGATCTCGTCGACTGTCGGTGGCTCATCCTCAAGGACGAAGGGGTCCAGGAGACCAATACCCAACTCGACGGTGCTCGAGGTCGCCCGTCGAACGACAGGGCTTTCTGGTTCAATAAAGGGCTGTGTTCTCTTTGATGGACTCCCATCATCCGAGAGAATGGCAGGCCAAGGGGTTTGGAATGGGGCGAGGTCAAGGTCACCGGTCAGCCAATCATCTGACCTTCCAGGAGTCCTACGGTGTGAACCACTGCCAAAGGTGCTGCGGGAGAGGGGGGAGAAGTCCTTGAAGGTGCGTTTGGTATGCTTCTCAAGTGGCGACCCCAAAGGTCCTTTGACAAGCCAACTCCGCGGGAATCCTTTGGCCGAGATATTAGAAGTCGAGGGGGTCTTCAAAAAGGAATCAAGAGGCGTAGAGGAAGGCGAAGACGGAACCGGAGGACTAGACCCCAACGTAATGGGAAGCTTGACCAACGGGCTAGATGTGTCGCACACAGCTAGCATCGATAGGGAATAGTCCTTCGTTGGTAGGTGAAGGGGGTGGTTAGGGCTACCAAATCGCCATGGCCGGTCAGAAGGGAGTTGACCTGGGGAATGGCGGAATGAAGGAGTTGCAAGAGGGTCATAGGGAGAGGCGAGGAGGTTGGATGTGGACGTGGAGGCCTCAATGACTTCGGGTTTGGAAACAGCATCATTGTCAGAGCTGAGGGTGGGTTGGGGCGAAGTAGGCGGAGTGGAATGCCTGATGTCCGAGTCGACTGGTGTGTTTTCAAGATCTTCCTTTGAAGGCTTCTTGTGGGATGCGGCCGTGATAGACGGTGGAAGGCAAATAGTGACTTTCTTTTCCTTGGGCTCTCTGGTGTCAGCAGCCTTCATCGTAGAACGGAACCGCGACTTGTGCGAGACGTTCTCTGGGTCGGTTTGGGGCGCGACCTGGAGGTTAAGCACGCGGTCGTGTTGCTCCTCGCGCGCACGTTCACGCTCACGAGGTGCAGTACTAGTGACCTGCTTGTTTTCCTCTGGAGACAGGGGTCAACAACTGGACTAATGAGGAACAAGGCGGACATACTTCCAGAGCCCCTACCCCTGGGTCGGTCGTTGCCATCTCGTCGGTTGGACATGGCGATCTTGTGTTTCTCGTAGACGTGACGCCGCCACATACTCTTTGCATTGACGCCAGCGTACGTCCTCCTACAGAAGGTACAGCGCAGGCGTGGTTCTTCACCCTCGGGCCATCCCTCGGATCCCCGTTCCTTGAGGTCCTTCTTTTTCGCGGGACACCAGCCTCGAGGGGGTTCGAGAATGTTGGGATAAGGGATTGCTTGAGGATTGGTATTGCCAGGGGATATAAAATCGGTCGGATCCAAGAACCAATCTGGATTGTCGGCCATGAGCTGATAGGAGAGGCCTTCAGGATGCTGATCAGAATTGGGGAATGCGGTGAATGGGGGATGAATAAAGACAACATCGGGATCGTTAGGCTGGGGATCCATCCCTGGGAGGGCCAGCGAATCGTGAGTTCTGGATTGATGACGTGTGGAAAATGCTCTCGAGCGGTTTTCTGATTGTCCATAGGGCGCATGAGGAGTGTACGGTAAAGGCTGGAACGACTTTGCCGCTGGTGCAAAGAACTCGAGTGTGGACGTCGAGGCGATTCTGCGTTTGGCGACTTGGAATTTTGCTACAAGGCTTGTGGACGTCGATGGCTCTGGGAATGAGAGGGACGGGCCCAGCGGTGGGCGCGACGGGGTCATGATTCGTGGTAGATTGTTGGTACAAAAGATAAGGACGATAGCAAGACAGCGAAGCGAGTAGAGAGCAAAAAGAAAAAGCAGGTCGTGACGATGATGATAGTCGCAGTCAAAGCCGCCGCCTTGTACAGCCCTAACAAATCGCGATCAACGAACTGCTTCCAAGTCGCGTTACCACGCGTCGCTCACGTGATCGCTCATGTATTATTATCTCTACTCTACCGCCCTATACAAGCTCAGAAAACCAAAGAAAGAAAGCTGCATTGTCCCGTGTAAACACACTCAGATCCACCTGCCACAAAGGGATTGCTCACCCTGCTATCATCACTGTTCCACCCAGCGGCGTCACTGGGCCGAGGAACTTGAATCTGGAAATACAAACACAAGGGCCAAGTTCAAGACATTCCCGGAGACAAGAGGCAATGCACCATACCGATCTCTCGCAAGAACCAAGGCAAGGATACTTCCAGAGAACACGGCACACCCAGTCGCAATGGCGGGCCCAGCAAATCGGTGGGCTGCAAATCGGGGATGGAGGGAAATCAGCATCAGTGCCAGACCATTATAAATCTGACGCCGTCGGTTCAGTGTTTGTCGGAACTCAAAGGATGTCAGGTCAACAGACCAGATAACTGGAGGCAGTTTCCCAAGCATGGATAGAGTCAGGAGTGATCCCCGGGCGCTTGCGCAGACCATGAGCTAGTTCTGTTATCAGGCACCTGTATAACACCAACCCTCAGTTGGACGACAAGCTAACCTCCGAAAGCGCCAGTCATAATTCCAGTGGCAGCTAATAAGTAGATGCTATGAGTGTCGGGCGTTAACCGGTGGTGCTGGAGTAGTAAACTCACCATAGGCTGCACCAGTCTTCCACCAAATAGCCTGTCGAGAGGAAAAAGAAGAAGTCCGACCAAGAAGCGGGGTAGAGGAGTCAGGATTTACCATGGTCGTCGTAGGAATTGCAATCGAATGTCAAACGTGGCTGCCACTCGATTTCGCGCACTCGGGAGACGACATACGACTCGGCCCCTATTGGGCTTGAACTCAAACGGTGACAAACAACCTTCTATCGTCGAATTTTCAAGTTCAGAGTATCAACGCTTGAACTCATCTATACCCTCAACGCACCATGGGCAAAGGCCAAAAAAAGACCGGAAAAGGTCGTCTAGATAAATACTATAAACTAGCAAAGTATGATGATCTTCTTCTCTGAAATGTTTTTCTGCTAACAAACAGGTTAGAGAGCAAGGCTACCGTGCCCGTTCGGCCTTCAAGCTCATTCAATTGAACAAGAAATATGGCTTCCTAGAATCTGCAAGATGTACCATAGATCTTTGCGCAGCACCTGGTGGCTGGCTGCAGGTTGCTAGCAAATACATGCCCCCCAACAGTTTGATCATTGGTATGTCCTGCCATCTCTGAACAGTCCAGTCCCGTTTACGAGTCACTTTTTTCAATACAGGTGTCGATCTCGTCCCCATCAAGCCCATTCCTCGAGTAATTACATTTGCGTCAGACATCACGACGACCCAATGTCGCAATTACCTACGCGGGGAGATGAAAGATTGGAAGGCAGATGTCGTACTCCACGATGGTGCCCCAAACGTCGGTACTGCCTGGGTTCAAGACGCCTACAGTCAATCTGAACTCGTCTTAATGAGTTTGAAACTCGCTGTCGAATTCCTCGCAAAGGGCGGCACTTTTGTGACCAAAGTTTTCCGCAGTGTGGACTACAACAGTCTCATTTGGGTTTTCAGCCAGCTTTTCAGCAAAGTAGAGGCAACGAAACCACCCTCGTCCAGGTGCGTTCCTCCAAAATACACTTCCCTCTATCCAACCTTATCGTCTTCCTAGAAACGTTTCGGCCGAAATCTTCGTTGTCTGTCGAGACTTTCTGGCTCCCAAATTCATTGATCCCAAATTCCTCGACCCGAAACACGTCTTCAAAGATCTCTCATCGCTCATTTCTGCCGATAAAGGACCCACGGTCAACGACACCCAATCCAATGTTTTTCATCCAGAGAAGAAGCGTCGACACCGTGATGGTTATAACGACGGAGACTACACTTTATACCACTCGATCCCGGTTACCAAGTTCATCCACTCTCCCGAACCCATCGCCATCCTTGGTACATATAACAAAATCACATTCGATACCGATGAGGAGAAGGAGTGAGTACCTCTCGAACATCACAATATTCTCCTCCCACCGATATATACATTCAGGTGGCTTAAACTCGACATCACCAAGCCCGATGTCAAGTTGAACTGTGACGACCTGAAGGTGCTCGGCAAGGGAGATTTCAAGTCTCTGTTGAAGTGGCGGTTGGCCCTCCGGGAAGAGGTGAGCCTTGCAGTTTACCCCAGCGTTATCTTGACCAATCTCACATGTCAACCGCAGCTCGGTCTCGAAGTCACCACGAAACAAACAGAGGACGCGACTGAGGTCATTGACGTGACCGAGGAAGTGGACGAAGAGCAGCAATTATCCGAAGAGGTGAGTGCATTGAACAGTTTTCCCGTTTATTCCAACGATTGAACATACGTTAGTTGGAACGGTTGAACGCGGAAGCGGCTGCCCGCCTGAAGCGCGAACGACGAAAGGCCAACGAAATCCGGACGCGCACCATCCAGCGTATGCAGCTTCAGATGACTGCGCCCTTGGATATCGGTCTTGAACAACATGACGCTGCCCTGAATCTTGGCCAAGAAGACATTTTCGATCTCGAGCACACCCAAAAGTCCTTACGGAACAGGCAAGAGTTCATCACAGACGCCGATGGTGACATCCTGGTGGACGACGATGAGGGCCTTGCGGGACCGGACGATGACGGCGATGACGAGGTCCTGGATACCGAAGACGAACGGGAGCGTAAAGTGGCCCAGCTGGAAGCCGACATCGACAACCTCTACGACGCCTACCAGGAGCGGCTCAGAGAAAGAGATTTGAAGTTCAAGGCCAAGGAAGCCCGTCGTAAAAACGCAGAACGGGAGGAGTGGAACGGCATCGCCGAGAAGGGTTCTGACGATGAAGACTCCGACGAGGACTCGGAGGGTGGTTATGACTTGGTGCAACAGAGAAAGTTGGAAGACGGCACTTCGTCATCTGACGACTCGGACTCTGATGAGGATGAGGATGTGGTTCCCAAGTCGAAGAAAATGAAGCGGCCTCAGAAGGGAGATGAGAGCTCCGCGCCCAAGTCGAAAAAACGGAAACTGTCGCCGGGTCCTGGAACATCTACAGCAATACCTGCGCCTAGTGCGGCATCCTCGCTATGGTTCAAGCAGGATGTCTTTGCTGGGGTAGACGGTCTTGACGTATCTGACGAAGAGGACAGTGCCATGGAGGATGGTTCGGAGGACGGGGACAGCGGCTCGGATGGAGATGCTATGTCAGTCGACGAGGAGGTAAGTTATGCCCGTGAAGTGGTTGCCGCGCTTGAGTTAATACTGCGACAGTCCTGGGACTCGGAATCTGGGTCTGATGATGATGACTTTGAAATCGTGCCACAAGACCATTCTGACGACGACACAATGTGGGATGTGGAGGATGACGACGAAGACGAAGCCAAGCGAGAGAAGATAAAGAGTAAGTTCGAAACCTTCCATTATTGAATTTCCTCTAATTTATCACTGTCTACACCAGAGCATGGTCTCGCTACTGCGGAAGCCGTCACTCTGGCACAACAACTCGTTAATCGCCAAAAAACCAAAACGGAACTCATCAACGATGGGTTCAACCGGTACTCTCTGAATGCTAAAGACGGTTTGCCATCCTGGTTCGTCGAGGAAGAAGCTAAGCACTATAAACCCAATATCCCTATAACCAAAGAAGCGGTTGCCGCTCTCCGCGAAAAGCAGCGCGCATTAGATGCTCGACCTATCAAGAAAATTGCGGAGGCCAAGGCTCGCAAGAAACTCAAAGCTCAGCAACGTCTGGAGAGGGCGATGAAGAAGGCTGAGGGAGTAATTTCAACTACCGATATGACTGAGCGAGAGAAGGCCCAGCAAATCGAAAAGTTGATGAGAAAGGGTACATCGAAGAAAAAGGAGAAGAAAGAGGTCAAGGTGGTTGTCGCCCGTGGTGCTACCAAAGGTGTTAAGGGCCGTCCCAAGGGTGTCAAGGGTCGATACATTATGGTAGACAGGAGAGGAAAGAAAGAGGTGAGCTTGTCCTTTCGCTTGCTTTGTTCAGTTCAGCGCTCTTACGCTCACTATAGTTGCGCGCCAAAAAACGGAGGGAAAAGGCTCAAAAGAAGCGCCGATAATCTTGTTCTTGGGAACTGGGTTTTTTATGGATCATATCATGTTATGTTTATGCCAGATGCTGTTCATACGTTCACTGTATAATGTGTAGTACTTAATATCAATCCTGTCGGCACGATCACTTTTCTGAGAATCTGCACCCCGAACTGTGCTCGCCAGATGCCGCCGCCAGGAAAGGAAAGTCCTCAAGGTGCCTCGGCTTTGTATACTTTTCCATCATCCTCTTTCTTTGGCCACAGCCTCTTTGGGCTTCCTTTGCCCCTCCTGCGCTCTTCTTGTACACTTACTAGTCATTCTTTCTCCCTTCATATGAAGAATTATCTCGCTCCTTTACGACAGGATTGATTCCACGTTGAAGAATTTGACCCAAACCAATTGGCCCTGAACGGAACATTCCTGTTGCTTCACGCAATGCCTCGGAGGACAACACCACTCATAAACGAACTGGAGCTACAACCCAGACATGCTACACCAAATCTACAGTCGACAATAGAACCGCCGGAAAAGGTTAAAAAACCTTGGTATCATCTTCTTCCTCTAGCAGGTGAGTTCGCCCCTCTCCTTCAATCGCCTACCAGCGCGTCCTGAACTAACCGACTTCCAGCGACCGTCGGCTTAATTCTAGCACCCCACCCTTCCATCCTATGGGTTCTCGTTGACCATCACTATAAAACGCTCAAGAAACCGCACCTTCTCGTCATCCACCTCTCAGTTATCTATACCCTGACGTTCCTCATCATATCCTCCCTCATTGTCTGCGTTGCAAGAGATCCAGGTCCGGTTAACGTAGAGGTAACTCGACGGGAAGAATACGGAGAAGACCAGAATGACGAAAACATTGGAGTGATGGAAGCTCTAATGGAGGACGACGATGATATTTTGGCACCGGGGAGATGGTGTAGAAAATGCTGGGTAAGACTCGGACTCCGTCTTGTTGCAGGTTGTATGGCATCCAGGTGCGACGTTAATCCGCTTTTAATAGGCTCCTAAACCAGAAAGAGCTCATCATTGCTCTGTCTGCGGTCGTTGTGTACTCAAAATGGGTGAGTTCAATCTAGGGCGCAAGACAAGTTGCTCAACTCGCTCCAGATCATCACTGTCCATGGCTAGGGTCCAATTGTGTTGTAGGTGTTCTCTTCTCACACACCCCTCCTTCAGAGTTCTGATCCCATCCGCCACTTGCGCAGGGCCACAGGACGTATCCTGCATTCGTCCATTTCCTCACGTGTATCACTATTCTCGCTGTATATGTTGCCGGAGTCGCCATCGACGCGCTCGTGTATTCTTTCCGCAACCCCATATATGTGGTGCGCCCAAACTATAGTTTCCTCCCCTCACCCGTGTTAAGGCCGTCTTTAGAATGAAATAACGCCCGTCCATGAACTGGTGCTGTCCATGTATGGCGTTATCTTTGCCATTGTAATCGGACCCTTCGCAGTTTACCACTACTATCTTATAACGTGGGTCCCGTACTTCTAAATAACTCGGCAGTGTCGTTTCTGAATCGATTCTCGTGCAGTACGAACCAAACGACTTTGGAGAACATCTCACCTTTCATGTTATTGCGACATCTTCCCCCATTACCCCGAACAGGTCATTCCCTTTCCGACCCTCCTCTGGAACCCGAGTTATCGTACGAACAACGAAGGCTCGTTAAAGATGCCCATGGTCAAATTTACATATATGATATCGGATGGAGGAAGAATTGGGCTCAGGCTCTCGGCTGGAGCACCAAGTATGGTTGGATCCCGCGTCTCCTCTATGGCGGTGCTTCGTAAGTCCTCGCCTGAACGATATACCTGCCATATGCTAATTCAACGGCCAGACCTGGCGATGGCAGACACTATCCCCGCAATCCTCGTTCCGAAACAATGCTAGCCAAGCTGGCCACGGAATTGGTGAAGATTGATAGAAATATGTAAACGGATGACTGGGTTATCAGGATCGGTCTATACTACTGGACAGTAACATTTAATCTATACCCGTAGTCTTTCAAGTTGTTTACCCTTCTTTGCATTACCTATCCAATGCGACTATCGAAAAATATTAAAGAACTAGTAAAATACGCGGTAAAGTAGCATTGTGCAAAGAGTTGTGAGTATGTTGTTATCGGCCGCCCGTGTTTCGGCGTGGAGCCAGGTCTACGACCAGGCGGGTAGTGGTTTACTGGCAGAGTAAAGGACGTTGGGCCTTGTCAATTAAGGACTGCTGGGAAGCGATGCCCATGCAGCTCCTGTCTCAAGATTGGCTATTTGAATGAGCTGCTGGACAAACCGATCCCAACTCTCCTCAGAGGTATCCAGGGTGGTAGAAGCCTAAACGAGAACGTCATTTCCAGACATAGTGCGGTAAAGGCGATGGACATACGTGGCAAGTTGATTCCGACTTACGCGAATTCATGTCGACAGCGATTTCGGTAAAGAGGTTTCGTGACGCGGGACCTTCATCGGTTGCGCGAGGTAATTCTTTCAACGCACTTCGAACGATTTCTGAGGATGTCAAGACGTGCAGCTGACCCTCGTGGTAGAAATACAGCGGCGGCTCCACGCCGGGGATGGAGTTGTCGAACGACCTGTACGACCGATAAGCGTGCACCCCTCCTGCTCATACGACTCGCGTACCTCGCATTAAGTTCGTCGATGTAATCTTGGAAAGGGGTTGGTAGGCGTAGAGTCTGCATTGCACTCACGCATAACTTCACATCAAACGAGCTGAAAGAGATTGCTGAGATAACGCAGACCGGCAAAACAACGCTCGGCCTCTTACCTATCCGGGAGCAGAAGGTCGACACCCTGTCTCCAGCCTCGGTCGCACAAGGCATAGTAGGTCGTACTGTCGCCACCATTTTCTGCAGGTTTCAGCCCCACAAAAAGGTCCGGATACTGGTGGGCAAGAAGGGATTCCCGCGTGAGGTCAACCACCACAAAGAACCTGAAAATCGAGGGAGGACTGGACTCAGTCGAAGAATCAGACGGGACCGCGCTGTATACTAGGCGATGATATGTTTGGTTCGAAATGTTCGATAATTTGAAGACAGTGTCTGGGAGGCTGTAGATTTGGGTCAGAAAGAGGTGGCACTATGGACCTCGGTCAACATACCGAGGGTGAAAGCTCGAATTGCGAGGGAAAGCACTTCGAATGGACTGAACAACACTCTGGGAGGAGATGTCGCAGTGAGGTATAGGTGGCTCGTTCTGGCCTCCAGCCTTCTGGAAGACTCTGTTACCGGGGCTGAAAAGCAATTAAGATGCTGGAATGAATTTACTATGAAGCGGCATACAAGGACTCAACAGTTACTTTGGCGCCGTGTTCCAACTGAATGGAATGGAACCATTTGCGCAAATCAAGGAGATTCCTACACCAGAGTCAGCAACTTGAAACTTGGTGAATTCGCCGTTTCCAACATACTGATCATCTCTCGGAGTAGTAAAAGGAGCTGGAATGGGGCTGTCTGCGCTCCTGGATATCCTGTACACCTTTGACTTGTCCTTTGTGTTGAAGAGGCTTTGCACAGGTGTAAAAGGATAAGCTAGTAAGGGGGTGCTTTCGCTGACATTCGAGGAGTTCAAGGCAAACAAGGGCTCCTGGATTGAGTTCATATTCTAAAGGGGAAACGGTGAATCATGATTTACGAAAGCTTTACTTGGACGTCGCATACCGTGTAGCCAATCTTGATTAAATTCTGCCTCGCTCGGGTGGCGGATTCGGGGAAGGACCTCGAGTAGGATATTCGGAACTATGTAATCGGTCAGTTGACGATAGTGGAAGAGGAACGTTGACCCACATTTGTATCATTGAGTTTCTCCACGAATGCTCCAGAGGAAAGAAATATGCCGTCCAATTGTGCTCCATTTACCCCCGAGGAAAATGGCAATCGGAACTCTTTCTCCACTAGGTCCTATAAGCGCTTAGTTGCCCACTTCATTGGCTCGAGATGTGGGCAAAGATACCTTCTTGAGGGCGGTAACAGCGGACGCGACCTCTTTGACGTGTTCTTCCTTTCCGGAGACGTGCAAAGACAATGTTTCACGGGAATAGCGGAGGTTAACACGACGACTCTGGGCTAGTCGTTTTATGTTGTGACCCCTGGTGTCTGGTGCGTTTTAGAGGGCTGTCCGTAGAACTACAGGATGTTGTCTGACCTCTAAGGACAAGTGAGGCTTCGTTGGCCTTCAGGTGGACCACTGAGATGAAATTTCGTTTAGTCGTGCTAGTGTGACGACTCTAGAGCACCTACCGGACTCGGTACTCGTCTCAGGCTGTGTCCACCCCCACTGTCTGAGAAGCATCGCGACCAGGCTGTTTTTCGTGGCCTTGGCTTGTGATGCTACGACGGTTCTTGCATCGTAGAGCTCAAGGATCTTGAGAAGCTGGTCTCTCTTGAACGACCTGGAGATGTGTTGGGACAGTTTCTTGTAGTTCTTTTCATAGTCTGCCCTGGCTGGGTTGGGGGGGTCGGCTGGTCGATACCGTTCCACATCTTCAATCGTGATTGGTTGGATTTTCTCTAGTTCGCGTACTTCTTTAAGGAGAGATATCTCTGGTAGACTAATCCGTTCAGGCAGGGGCGTGGGGTTTTGAGGAACCTTGAGTGTGCGCGACTTGCGTTTTTTGGGATTTGGACGGTCTGGTTTGGGTGACGTAGCCTCTACAGCGTTTTTGGCAACTGTCGATGACTTTTCCGAAGAAAGGCAAGTTCTGGTGACATGGTAAGACCGGTGTACCGTTCGGAAAGTCAGAAACGGTCGGTCGACGAGGGCTTTCAGCATCCCAGTATGAGTGAACGAATTCTCGAGTTCTCCAAGGCGCGCGGCGCGTCAGAACGGATTCCGTGACGCCGTCATTTTCGGCCATCAACGCGGGCCTGATCCTGAATTCAAATTCCGTCGCCTGCATGGACATCACGACTAGCGAGCAAAATTTATCTGTAAAAATTGTGGAAAGACGATGAAATACTATGCCTGCTGTACCATCGGATAGACTAGATAGAGTGAACATATGAAAAGAGATGTCTTAAAAAGAGAAATGCATTTCCGTTCTGCGTGACTCGATCGAGAAATGTGAACACAACAAGAACAAAGAAAAAATCCGCAATCAAGGGAAGGGCCAATTATCAGAGGTTGCCCTGAATCGCGTTCATTCGCCCAAGATGCCAGCACAAAATATCGATGATATCGACTACTCAGACATTGAAGCAAAGTAATCTCTTTTATTCTGCTTGATTGGCCCAGATTCGCTGAGTTTGCCGTACCAGATACCAAGTTCACTTTGATGATAGCTTGGACAATACCGTCGTCGTCGATGGTCTCCCCGTAATCGACCCCTCAAAACAGACGAAGCTTTTGTCAAAAGTCGTCAAGGAATTTTCCAAGCGCGGAGTTGCAGTCAAGGCCGATGATATCTTTTTGCCTTGGGACCAGGCGTCAGGAAAAAGCAAGGGGTGCGTTCGAATCATCTTCCCGTATGTATTGTCCTAATTTCTTGTTTTATCTGCATGAAGCTACGCTTTTATCGAATTCCGAAATATCGACGATGCTAACCACGCCATCGCTGTACTGGATCGCCACCCATTCGATGCCAACCATACCTTCCGAGTGAACAAATTTACTGACATCGAAACACTGGCCAACTTTGATGAGCGGTATGAAGAACCCGAAGACGAGGAGTATGCCCCTAGGGTGCGTTCTGAACCATTTATATTCAACTGTGCTAAAAGTGTTGCAGGAGCACTTGCGTTCATGGCTCGCCGATCCCCAAGGACGTGATCAATATGTAACTTACCGCGGAGATGAAGTCGCTATCCACTGGCACGGGAAGCCTTCACAATGCGAAGTTGCCTACAAGCCGGTTTGTCCACACACTTCATTAATCCATTCAAAGTCCCTGATCTCTCGAACAGGAGTGGAAAGATTTCCTTTATGTCGCCTGGTCTCCCCTTGGCACCTACATTGCAACGCTTCATCGACAAGGTGTTCGCTTGTGGGGAGGCGCGTCTTGGAAACCCATCCAGCGATTTGCACACCCTATGGTAAAACTCATTGATTTCTCGCCATGCGAAAACTACCTTGTCACCTGGTCGAATGAACCCATCGTCGTTCCCGAGGGAGCTGTTCAAGGACCTCAATATTTCTCTCCCGACGACGAGGGTAACAATCTCGCTGTCTGGGATATCAAATCCGGCGATTTGCTTCGAACTTTCTCCACTTTGAATGACGGAGAGGCAGCTCCCAAGAAGCAGATGCAATGGCCCACCCTCAAATGGAGTCCCGACGATAAGTTTGTTGGTCGTGTAACGCCGGGCCAGATGATTAGCGTCTACGAATTGCCCAGCATGGGTCTTCACGGAAAGAAGAGCATCAAGATCGATGGCGTCGTCGACTTTGAATGGTGTCCTCAGGGTGATAAGGACAGGGATGACGCAGAAAAAGACGCTAAGGCCGCCAAATCTGGAAGCAAGGCCGCGAAGAAGGCTCGCGAAAACATGCTCGTTTACTGGACGCCCGAAGTCGCCAACCAGCCTGCTCGTGTGACGCTCATCAACTTCCCCACTCGTGCCATCCTTCGACAGAAGAACTTGTTCAATGTTACTGAGGTGAATTTCCATATTCTACATCTCTCGTGCCCCTACTCAAACTCTGCATATCAACCAGTGCAAACTTTATTGGCAAAATCAAGGTGACTTCCTCTGCGTCAAGGTAGACAGACATACGAAGACCAAGAAATCCATCTTCTGCAACCTCGAAATCTTCCGTCTGCGCGAGAAGGACTACCCCGTCGAGGTTGTCGAGCTCAAGGGTGGGCGAATCATTTTCGGCGACCAAAATGTGCACTTACTCTTATGATTCATATTTAGACACCGTCCTTGATTTCTCTTGGGAGCCTAAGGGAGAGCGATTCGCTATCGTTTCTAGCTCTGATCCCAACCTCGGAAATCCGGGTCCTGGTATTACCATCAAGACAGATGTCAGTTTCTACCAGCTAGACAGGGCAAAGAACGACTTCAGGTTACTTCGTACGTATCTGTGTTGGTCCTCAAATTGCCGCCTAACGTCTTCCCAAGGCACCCTCCCCAACCGAACGAGCAATGCCATTCGATGGTCACCTCGTGGACGGCACGTCGTATTGGCCACTGTTGGCTCCTCCACGAAGTCTGAACTCGAATTCTGGGATCTGGACTTCACCTTGGACGACACGAAAAAGGACTCTGAATGGGGCAGCAACATCCAACTCCTTGGTTCAGCCGACCACTATGGCGTCACTGATGTGGAATGGGATCCCAGCGGTCGCTATCTTGCTACCAGTGCCAGCGCATGGACACATACTGTAAGCTTGTTTTCATGCGGCGGGAATCCATGCTCACCAGAGTGTCCTTGTTAGCTCGAGAACGGCTTCGCTATTTGGGATTTCAGGGGCCAAGAGCTCACGAAGCAAATTCAAGATCGCTTCAAGCAGTTCATCTGGCGTCCTCGACCACCGACCCTCATCAGCAAGGAGAAACAGAAGCAAATTCGTCGCAATCTCAAGGAATACAGTCGTGCCTTCGACGAAGAAGATGCTGCAGAGGAGAGCAATGTCAGTGCAGAGCTCATTGCCCTTCGCAAGCGCCTCGTCGACGAATGGAATGCTTGGCGTACCTTGCGCAAAAAGGAGCTTGGAGAGGAGAAGGCCAAGAAGGAGACTAAGAAGAGCGAGGTCAAGGAGGAGATTGAGGTTTGGATCGACGAGGTCATCGAGCAGACCGAAGAAGTTGTCGAGTAACTTGCTTCATTATTTAGTTCATACTGTATCGCGAGCTCCTTGCATATTCCCGTTTAATGCACTGATTCGCCCTTGCATCATTTCATTCTGGTTCAAGTTGTCCGGACTCGGAGATTAGATTGTTTTCATGGTGAGTCAGCGGATGGCCCAGGCCCATCTCCGAATATTCCCGATGCAAAGATGGTCCCACACTTTTTATCTGATAAGACAAAGCCAGCTGTGCTCCTCCAATCGTAGCTCGTCCCCACCTGTCACCGCTTCCCGGATGGCATCCTCTGGTACAACCCTGTGGGCAACAGGTACTTCCTCCATTCCTGCTGTCTACTGCGAACTTTCTCTGAGGACTTGAGTACAGCTTCGAAAGAATGGGTTATTCCTTCGAAGCCCAAACCTGGTCGCAAGCCTAAGAAGGACCCTCCTGTGACCACCGCTGCCAGTGGAGACAAAGATGAGGTACGTCCCCAAAACGAATCATTCGTCGTGTAATTCATGGATAGTTGCTCAAAAGGCGGACGCAAAGGGTCGACGCATTCAAAATAGGTACGTCCATTCTTCTGCACAGGCTGTTCTCAGTTGCTAACTAATGTATAATGACTATAGGGCAGCTCAACGCGCTTTCCGTGAGCGCAAGCAGTCGCAGCTGGCGGAGCTCCAAGCTCGGATCCTATCTTACGAACAGGGGGAGATAGAACGCAACGTCGCTCTTCAGAAGATCGCTAAACGTTTGAAGGAAGAGAATGACCGATTGCTCCAAGAAAACATCGCGCTCAAGGAGCGATTGGCTCAGGCCGAGCAGAAGGCCAAAGCCGCAGAGGCCGACAAGAAGCGGCCTAGGGAAGAGTCACCCAAAGCCCACACGCAGGCTAAGAAGAGAGCTAAGTCGTCGATGACCCCTGGCATCGCACCCGAATCCCCTGTGGAATCCATTGCAACGGCTTCATCCCAGAGCCCTGAGCCAATACCTACACCAGCCGACAACTCTCAGCCCACTTCCCAATCTGCCTCGTTCCCACAGCAATACGACATCAATGTCGCCTCTCTCGGCGGAATCCTAGATTTCTCTTCCGCCGTTAAGGTCGATACCATTCAACAGTTCCCTCCATTCGATTGCGGCTTCTGTTCTGACAACACACCATGTGTTTGCCGCGACATGCTCGGTGATTTCAAAGCCGACACCTTCGTCGGTCCTACTTCTCTCGTCTCCTTCGAACCTTCGCCGTCTTCAATTGTCGATACCCCCTTGGAGCCGTCGAATCAGCCGGCTCCTCCCCCTCCTGCACCTTCATCCTCGATCTTAGACAATCTACCTGCATACCAACCACCCGTGCCCCTCCGTCGCCGAACGACAAGACCACTCACTAAGCCGATATTCCCTGTATTCCCCCTTTCTTCCGACTCTGAAGGCCAGGGCGCTGGCGCTCCAACATGCTCCGGCGACCCTTCCAACTGCGCTGCCTGCGGCGACGACAGCTTTGGTCAGGCGTTCTGTGCAGCCATCGAAGAGACAGTCATGTCACAAGAGAGATGTGGAAATTGCCCGGGTCGCAAACAGGACGGGGACGGATCTAGTAGTTGTTGCGGGGTGCCGATGTTCTGTCGTGGTTGCCCGCTAGCACCGGGTCAGCAACCTGGCACCAGCGCGGACATTGAGGACTATATCCCAACCAACAAAGCTTGGCAGCAGATTAAGGAACACCCCAATGTTCAATTTGCTGATCTGGCTCTCCTCGCCGAGGTAGTCGCAAGTCGATCCAAATGCACTGGCCCACGGATCGTCACGAGCCCCGCCCCAGAGGTACAGCAACAAGAATCCAAGTTTTCGCACGCGGGCGGTTCGAATCCCCCAAGGTTGGTGCCTCAGGAGATTCTCCTGGAGTGCGGTCGCAGACGAGTGCGCGAGGTACACTCGGAGGCCGTGCGGGATGCCCTGCGATTGTTAGACGCCAAGTTCACCTGATGTATCATTACTACTACTATATTATATATAATAACATGGTGTCGTATTCCATCTCGCACCCGCCTTCACCGCTTAGTCCGCGTCGCCGCCCTCCAATCTCGTGCTAAAACTGTCAATTCGTCACGCAACGCGATGCTCTTCTCCCTGGACAAGGCCCTTAACGGGCGTCCTCCCGGCTTGCGATGAAGTGTTCGGAAGTCCTTAACCAGGGCGAGCAAATCATCCTGGAATCTAGAGGGAGGGAACGGCTCGACACACTCCCACAAGGACATTAACAACCGCTTGGCGAGTCCGAGCGCACCAACGGCGTACCAGGAGCCTACGAAAGCGTCGATGGAAGGAACGTCTGGTGTGATACCCCGGTCGAGCATCTCTTTGAATACCTTCTCTGCTTTCCGTGGCCTTCCCGTTCGGGCGTAGCCTGCGATAAGGACGGTGTAAAGAACCGGATCATTGACGACTCCCAGGTCCTTGGCCGCGTCAAAGACTTCATGTGCAGATGTCATGTCGTCAATGAGCGTGAATCCCTCCATCATGGCGCTGAAGTGGAAAGCGTCGGGTTTCATACCTCGGGCAATGAGGTACTCGAACAGCTTTCGAGCAGCATTCATGTCCAATCTGACCACCGCCTCGAACCTCATAGCCATGCCCACAGTCGCGATATCGGCATTGTACCCTCTGTCCGCAATGGCCTTGAAGAATATCTTGGAAATATGGCGGTACCAGTGATCGGTCGGGAAGTTGAGGTGACCTTGCTCGACAATGCTATCGGTTTGTGGAGGGGCGAGGAAGGAGGGTAGGGGGCGTTTGCCTTGCTTATGATACCACCATTGCCAGCCGAGGTTGCGATTGCGATACTTTTCGATCCGAAGGATAGAGCGAAAAACAATTCGCATGAGTTTGGGAGTCGGGGTGATGCGGTCGTTGAAGGATCGTTGAAGGAGGCGGATCAGACGCTCTGGCCGTACGTCCCGGACACGTTCCAGGTAGCCAAGGATAAGCTCGAGTGTGCGGTTGTCTGGAGGGACTTTGTTGACTTGCATGATATTAAGGACGTGTCTTCCCCCTTCTATGCCATATACTGCGAGTGTTCCTTTCATGAGCGCGTTGAAGATTTTGATGTTAGGCTTCATGTTGGGGACGTGGATCTCGAACCGAGGGCCTTCCCAAGAACCCGAGTATATGGGTTCAAAGAGGTGTTGTGGGGTGGTGTCCGAGTCGCACAGGCCAGCTACGAGCTGGACGGCTAGGTCTGGCCTGTCACCGGAAAAGCACGCAGTAATCAACGCGGCAATTACTTGCGGAGAGGGGATGATTCCTTGGGACATCATGTAATGGAGGAGTTGTAGAGAGCTGCTGAAGTCATGTTTCACACTGCAGAAATGGATCAAGACTGCAAATGTTGAGGCATTGGGCTTGGGCGGACTGGGTAAAACAACTGGAGCAGTTGGGATGAAATGTGCGCCTGGCCGTTTGTCGTGATCTGCGTCTTTTCCAACAAGAATGCCGGGAACCATCTCGACGCTTTGTTGGTCGTACAAAGAGAGGATGCCGAGGGCTTTGTGGAGGTCTCGGTTGTCGAGATGATAGCGGAGAAGACTGTTGAGGACTGCAATTTGTGCTGCTGGTCCCATGTAAGGCAAGCTTTTGAGGCCCTGCTCTTGGACAGCGTCGTCGATGCCGAGGTTGCGGTGGGAGCAGACGATGATGGCGTGAGTGGCAGGGGTCATTGGAAACCCGGCCTTTATCATCTGTTTCAAGCATTGCTTCGCTCCCGGCAAGTCTTGATTGCGGATGAATCCCTTCAAGAGATAATGGAAGGTCAGGCGATTCGGCTTCAGGTCGTAGTAGTAGAACTCTTCTAGCATTTCTTCCAGCTCGCGATACATTGCGAGCTCCACCAAAGCTTGTGCCCGCCGATTGAGCAGGGCAGTCGAACACCGTTGTGTGTTCTCCTTGCACAGGTCGACTACGTGAATGACGAGCTCCCATTCGGTGCGGTCGGCCAATTGGAGACAGAGATCCTCGTATGTCCTCGGGTCGTGACGCAGACCGAGGCGGAATCCGAATTCCAATGCCTCCACAGCACGAGAGAGATGCTGCGATTCCGCTAATGCAGAAATCAATGAGGCATATTGGTCGGGGAGGTGAACATAGGGTGCAAGGGAAGGGTCGGTTTGGGAAAGAAGAAAGGGATTCCGAATGTTGTGGCCAGTATACACTCGGACAATATGAGAGAATAGGGCTAGCGGCGACTGTATGTCCAATTTTGAGTCTTCTCCTTGTCCTGGAACATCTGCGGGTGTGTTGGCTCGTCGCTGGCAGGCCTGAGGGTCCTCCGGTACACTGGTCGTTCCTGCCGGATTCGGTGAAGAAGGCAGAATCGAGTGCCGTCGCGTCTTGTTGAGTGCTGTGACAGTGCTGTATCTTGCAATCTTGCATCCTAGAGGATAGTCCCAGAGCTTCAAGTTTGGCCTTTGCGCAAAGAAGATTGTCTTGAGCTTGAGCATGGACAAGGGGCGCCGTCCGACCACTTGTTCCTTTTCTACACCTCGCCCATTAGAAACGACTATGCAGTATATAAGACGAACACGGTTACCTTATGAAAAGGGCTGTAGTATTATCATGGACCGCGTCGAAGAGCAGAGAAAGTTGGCCTGAGCAGACGAAAAACACAGAGGTCACCGTGACACGCTCGAGAACCCGACCAGCGGTTTTCCCGTCCAACTTTAGGGTTAGGGTCACATCACGGAACGACCGGGTCCACCCATTTTCATCTATTTTCAAGGTCAAGTTTTTCGTCCACCTGCGTTCAGAGAGTTCAAGGATATGTACTATTTAACAGGGGGTTGAGGTCACCATTAGGCCTTGCACTTGAATACATCTCGCAGTCCAACACTTTTGACTTGAGGAAGGGGCGGTGATGATGATCGCTGTGGTCCAGACGCGGCTGGATTTGAGCTGCAATTATCAAGCGAAATGTATTCCTTCAGCTGTAACTCTAAACATCATTCTACTTCGTTGGTTACTCGCAGCAGATCTGATGTAACCGACAAAGCTACCAGGCACTTGCAACGATGGCGCTGTGGTGATATGCAAATCGACGATGAAATGATTAGAGGTAGATCGCGGTTGGTTGTAGCCTTCGGGAGCTTCAGAGAACGTGTCAGGGTAGTACGGAGTGAGGTGTTGGCGATATAGTACAGGGTCTTCTGTCTGTTCCAATGGAATGAGGCCCCAGTTGGAAAGGATCACAAAAGGCGCAAGTGATATCCGCAGACATTGTAGGGCATGGATGACATGTTTAAGTGGATTGAGGGTTTGCTTATTCAGTGCTGTCCGTTCCGAGATGAAGCGGTCTGGCCAGTAAAAGCTACTCAAGGAGTCGACGATAACAATGCCCAGCTCTTGGTTGGGGAAGCGAGTAGACATGATCTTCTGTATGTTGGCTAGAGATACCGCCAGTTGTTGGGTAGAGTTGGGCCGCAAAATGCACAGTCGTGCCAAAGACATCGCGACGAGCGTCGAGAACGCGTTAGGGACAAGGGAAGTACTGGAGAGACGGTGGAGAAGGATATCCTTGAGACGAATGATGTCGAAGACGCTGTCCATGTCGAACAGAAAGACTATTTTCCCCCATCCTCCTAGGCGGACAGAATGAAAGATTGGCGGGAGTATGCAGGTTGTGATGGCAAAGTAGATCAAACTTGTCTTGCCGGATGCTGGTGGGCCTTGAATCTCCAGAATATTTCCGCGGTAGGAGATGTTTGCCGCAGAGCAATATGCGTCTAGGGCTGGTATGGCCGTCGCCGGACCTGTTGAGCCTGGAGCAGGTCGTCAGAACCAAGGAAATGCAGCCGGCCAGGGTTCTGTACCTTGAGAGGCCACGGAGGTGAGGAGCTGGTTGGGAGAAAGTTAGTCCATGGTGCAAATGAACGGAGACGCCGCAATTACATTTAATAAAGACTCTTCGTGGACCTGATCAATAATAGAGTGTGCAGACTATAAAATGCGGGGTAAGATGTGAATTGAGGGAAGGGAAATGAAGGGGAACATACGAAAGGCATGTTGATGATGGAGACTGGGAGAGTCGCGAGATGCTGTGTAGGTTCTTGACGACCCTGCTTCGATCGCTTCGTGACAGTCACCAACGTCTGAACTCTCTTCCACAACTCAAATTTATTTTCCTTTTTCTCAATATATCATAGACGACTTCGACCACGACATTCTGCAATGACCACGATATCCCCCAAGGCCGTCCCAAGGCGGACACCACCATCCACCACATCCCTCTCGGGCAGCCCTACCATGAAGGCAACAGGAATGGCTCGCCCACTGAGCACCTCTGGCACTCCAGCAGCCCGGAGACGCCCTCCGTCCAAGATAGTCTCTGTGCCACACGTAAATGGCGACACCACCGAAGCATTGTCGGCATCGCTTAAACAGGAGACTGACAAGAAGGAGAAGGTGTGTACCCTTGTGTCTATCATTCACCCCTCTTCGTTAACCATGCTACTCTAGCTGCTTCTACAAGTCCAGGACAAGGAGCAGACAATCTCAACCCTCACAGCCGAGAATGCCAACCTCAGTTCTGCCCTAAATGCTGCAGAATCCCGTCTCACCGATCTTTACGCAGAGCAGGCGCGCTGGGAAATGGAGCTGGCTCAGCGTATTGAGATCGCGGAGAAGCTGAGGGAGCAAGTCCGAGAGCTCGAGAAAGAGAAGAGAGATTTGCAACGTCGATATAACGAACAGGTAAGCTCGTCCCCCATCAAATCAAAGTTCCCTTCCTGACTATAAGAAACTCGTGCTTCCATCCTTAATTCCATAGACTGCGAGCTTTGACGCAGAACGACAATCTTTCTATGATAACGAACAACACCTCAAGTCCCGCATTCAGTCCCTAACACAGGCTCGGAAACGTGCAGAGACCCTAGCTAGTAGGGCCGAACCCCCAGCTCTCCCTGTTGTGCAGGTATCCGAGAAACCGGACCCTCCTCCAGAGCCTGTCAAACCCACCACTCCCGACTTGAACGACCCCGACAACGAACCAGCTGAAATGACCGCATTGAAACTAGAACTATCCACTCTGTCGACATCTTATGCCTCTATGCAGAGCACACTCGTGATGCTGCAGTCCCAACTGGTGGACCTTAAGCGCGTCAATCAGGGTCTGCAAGAGGAAAACGAAAGTTACATGATCCTACTGAGGGAGAAGACTCTCAGTGGCCAATTCGACTTGATGAGACAAGTCGGTGGCGGCAATAGAAGTAGCGATGAAGACGACCTCGACGATGATGATGAACGCGGGACTAGTGCAGATGGGCGAAGTCTTCGAAGCACGGGCAAGAGTCTTCTCGATAGAGTTGACGAAGAGCCAGAAGGCATGTCTATTCCTATTGCGGACGAGCTCGACTTTGCCAAAGACATCCCCGTATCCCCTCGACCTTCACGCCATAACAGTCGGCAAGGCAGACGCAGGACCACCTCCACTTCTACTCCCCGTGGTGAATCGCTGGCCGATTTGCCTGTTGCCGGCCCTGGTCTTGATCTAGCTGCAGAGCTTGGACGTGCGCAGAACAAGGATATTCTCGAAGGTAATGCCATTGATGACAACGACGACCGGAACCCTTTGGGCGTCACAAGCCCAAAAAAACTTCGCAAGTCCGACGACAAGGCTGCTGCCGAAGTCGAGGCGCTCCGCAGCGAAATCAAGTCTCTCAAGGATGCCAACAAGGCTCTATCACTCTATGCTTCGAAGATCATCGACCGTATCATCGCACAGGAAGGATTCGAACACGTCCTTGCAGCGGACTACGAAAAGGAACCACCGACGCCGTCTACTCCCGGTCCCATTGCGCCGCCCAGAGCTTCCCCTGCCAAACCCCGACCTCAGTCGGTGCTCATTACTCGTACTACCTCCACACCCGTTCCTTCCACCCCTACCAAACTCATCTCTCCTCCCATGGCCAAACCGGCAGCCAAAGCGAACAGGCGCTCGCTTTCGTTCGATTGGAAGTCGTTTTCGTTCACGTCTGAGCCCAAGAAGGCAGAGCCTGCAAACCTTCGCCCCCTTACTCTCAAACCCGGCTCCAGCCCTATCGTAACTGGCGCTCGTAAACTTGACACAGAAGAAGACGAGGAGGACCGCAAAGAGAGGGAACGCTTAAACGCAACAATGAAGTTGATGGGGATTCAACCCCAATCTTCCATCCACTCCAATGCTTCCACCCGCTCCGTGGAGAAACCTGTCGACTCGCCTTCCGCTAGTGCCAGCACCAATCGTCGCTTCTCTTTCTGGGGGAACCCCAAACCGAGCGCCGACAATTCGGACGCAGCTTCCAATAACTCTCGACCGTCCACCGAGTCGTCCCGCCTCGGTTTGGGCTTAGGTCTGACCTCCACAGACCTCACCCATGATGCTTTGGCCCAGGCGGAGGCTCAGAATTCTCTTGCAGCCCTCGATGCTCGCGAACGAAACCTCACGGAGGAGATCGCCAAGGGCGCTAATGGCGGGTATACCGAAATCTCGCGCCGCAGCGCTGGTCGGAGGTCTCGCCGCAGTGCAGGCGGGAGTGGGAGTGGAAGCACGGTATTCAGCGCTGGTATGAGCGTTGGAGACGACGACTAGTCATTCTGGAAATCCTTTGCTCCCGGTCTGCATTCAGAAGTAATTTGTCTGTAAAACCCGCTGTCCTCTCATCTCTTTCAGAGACCCTAGTTCATCTCACCTATTTATACGATGCTGCTCTCGTCTATGCGGCAGGAGACACTCGTAACAGTGCCTTTCCTTCATTTCTTTGCTCTTTCAATTTCATTGTGTTTGTGGAACTGGTATATGCTCATGTAACGATACCCTGACTGTTCAAGATGTTGTTGGACTGTATTATGCTACCTCCTCCAGTGTATAATGATGACCTTTTTCCCTGTGACATATGGTGGTTTGATTATTATACTATACATTACCGATACATAATATATGGTGTATCTCGTCCACTGGCACCGGTGCAGCAGACCGAGAACGTATTTTTGGGCGCACTCAAGTAGTGGGGGGAGGCTGTTTCTTGAGGAGGGTATTTTGAGCGTGCAAACGGACAGTGCTGAATGGATTAGAGGAGAAAGATGGATTGGTGAGAATGAGAGGCTGCCTCAGACGTTCTAATTGCCTATAAAACAGTTCAGCTGGTATTTTCGAGTAAATGGACATCAGAGAACGCACAAAGCTTTCTTCCGCTGCGCCTTGCTCAAAGGTTCCGATTTGCCTGCTCCAATCTTCAAACTCTTGGATGATGCCGTCTGGGAGCTGCCTGAAGCAGTCGTCGTCTCCCCACTTTCTCCTGCTTTCGACTCTGTGCCTTGAGGTTCCTGAGGTTCTTCAAGAGCTGCCAGGACGGCCTGAATCTCTGTCATGCCGCTCGCAAGCTGCTCTTTTGCCTTTCGCTTCATCCTACGTTCATGGGATTTGGAATGCGTTTTGGACAATTCCAGCTCTGATTAAAAAATAAAATGAATCAGGATCAGTGCGTCCTGATCGTAGGCGGTGAGGCAGACAAACTTTGGAGAAAAGCTTCTCTCTTTAGTGCGAGCTTCTCTTTTTTGGTCAGGGATACACCGATACTGCTGTCCTCCGGCGAGGACATAGCCTGGAGGAGAGCATTCGCCTAAACACAACGCTGTTGATAAGTAGAAAGGAGCAGAAAACGACGAATAAACGCACTGGCGCATCTTTTGCAGAACCAATATCGATATGCTCGACTGCTGAATCCCCGACTGCATAACTGCGTTTAGGCAGCTTCACTGATGATTGATGCCCATGGGTCCTCGTCCGACGTTCCTTCGGCTATTCAAATGTTCTCTTGAGTTCGTGGATGGAATGGCAGGTGGTCTCGAGCCTTACCATGGATAAGGATGGTGGTGGCGGGGAATAAAGTTGATTCTACCAAAAGGTTCCGATCGAAATCACCAGCGGGCAACTGACATGACGACATGGAAGAAAACTCTTAAGGACGGAATGCGCAAGGTCGTTATCGCGTAAATAATACAGTGTCTGTGGTCGTAACTAAAGTCGTCTATGGTCATCGTGTTCAACACCTCCAACGGGTATCTGTGGTACTTGTTCTCCTTCTTCCCTCTCTCCAGCAATTCCGAGGGCAATAAAACTGATAAGGACCAGTAGAGCGCCCAAGACGACTTGGATTTCACTTCCACGGCCTTTGAGAAAGTCCCCGAGAACGGCAAATGGTATCGTCAGACTGAGTCCGACGGTCACCACTAAGGGCGTAGTCTTGAGCATCGACAGAACGTATAGATAGTCGCTAGACCATGTGATGGCCATCTACATGCACACGTCAGTACGAGTTGAAGATTCTGTAGATGAGTACCCACGTTAATCAAGACACCGGCCCACAACCTGCTGCTACTAGGAAGTTCAAACACTTCCATTCCAGTCAGATGGAGCACAAGGCCAACGGGCCAGCAGAGCAAGATATTGAACAGCCCCACGAACCCAAAGAACAGCTGCATATCTATCCTGGACTCTGACTTGATTCGAACCTTGAGTAAAATCACATAGATAGCATAGAAGACAGCCGATATAAGAGCCAGTGCGTCTCCCAAGATTGGGTTCTTCGGTCCTGGATTTGTCGGCGGCTGGGATGGGTCTGGGAGACTCGTCTGTTTCCCATGATCTGACCAAGAGACTAGAATCACACCCAGGAAACTGGAAAAGGGGGAAAAGATGAGCCGCGGGGAATAGAATGGGAAAGACAGTACACTTACCTGACAAGGACTGTTGTGACCTTGAGCCAGGACAACCTTTCCACACGGAACAGCCTTCCAATACCCAGAGTAAAAAAGCCTGGTACCTACTCGTGAGCTTCTAGGAAGGATACCAACCGTCAGAGACAGACATACCACTCATGCTTGACAAGATTGTTGCACTAGCAACACTGGTAAAGTCCAACGAGGCATTGACAGTCCAATTGGCGATGAACCAAAAGATACAAAACACTGCCGCCAAATGTGCTGTCTCCTTGGGCGTGAGCGGGGGAAGGGAAGTTGAATGGGGTTTAGAGACGGGGGCTCCTGGCGCATCATCGTCCATGGACAAAGGTTGGTACCCTGCCAAAAGTCTGGTGCTGGGCGTTAACGACAGTGGACTGCAGCTCGAACAGGGGCCATACCGACCGTATGGATTCTGTGCCAGTGCCCCAACGCCGTTGTAAAACCTTCTTGACAGCAAATGGGAGTAGATACAGCGTGAATGCGCTCGTATTCATATAGGTGACACTGCGGGAGCGTCAGTCGTGTGACCACAAGGGCTGAGAGGGAACACTTGCAAAAAAGGCTTCGCGAATCCATCTTCAAACAGGTCCTACATCGCAACATATTACTTCCATACCCTGGTTCAGACCTGGGAGGACTCACCTGGGTTATGAAATTGGATGCTGTCCATAGGAGAACCACGCAAAGTAGTAATGCAATACCGATAGCATAGTCCTTCCTGTTCAGTACCCCAGATGCCAAGTCGTGCCGTAGTGGCGTACGGTCCGTCATATCACCAGCACCCTGGGTGCGTGAATGTTGGTGGTGGCCCTGGGAGAGTGTGTCCATTTCGTGGGCCTCTTGGCTGGGGTCGTTATTCCGAGGATAGATACTACCGTGTTCGTCCCTGGGACTTGGTGGCATTCATCGGTCTGAGTGGTCCGAGTCAAAGTCGCGATGGACAGCGTGACGCGATATCAACTAGTGATTTGATCATATTTGTACCACCGATAACGAAGAAGACTAGCTTGAATTTGGCACAAGGTGCAGTAATTAAGGGGTGTGTAGAGTAGGTACGGGGTGCAGGTAACGCTGTGATAGCGGATGAAGGAAGGAGCGTGGGCCCATTAAGAGGGCAAGAGGGACAGTGTCTACACGATTCAAATACTAATACATGCTCTCGAAGTGAAATCCCAGGCCCAAACAATGATATATATATATAAAAGATGAAAAGTAGGAAAGAAATGTCCGTGCTTAACCTGTCCGTGCAGCTGGGTGGTATTTCACCTTTTCGAAGATCCGATAGAGACTGATGATGAGGTTAGTGCAGTATGCAATCAAGCCGACCCCAACTAGACAGATAAGAGCCAGCTGGGAGTCACATATTTCCCGCCCAATGTTCCCTTCTAGTACCGGAAAGTCGAAATCCCGCGGTAGTTCGTTATACCAAGAGAGACTGGACGGGGATGCACAGGGGACTAGTGATGTGAAAAAGTTGTCGAACGAGAGGGATAGGGCAGCAGACCAAGCGCAGATGAAGAGGACTTCGGATAGGGTGTGGGCCAACTTTCCTGATGTTCTCCAGAGGCCAAGAGGTCTCCCAAAGTACTCCAACTGTCAACCAAGCATTAGTGTGAGGAAATTTGTGGACATTTCTCGGAGACATACATAAATAGCCGCCATCACATGGACAAGCGTCAAGGGCGCAAAGATGATTACGACAGTACTGTGGAGAGAAAGTATGAGGTGAGATACGGGATAGTTACGGGGAGTAATGGGACCTACGGTGAACTGCCCACTGCTCCCATTGCATGGTTGGCGAGTTCGATTTGGCGAATATGGATAGCCATCCCGAGGGCAGCGGTTGTGAAGGAGATATTAATAAAACGGAACAGCTGTGACCAGGGAGAGATTAGCAAAGCGGGCGAGTTGAGATAGGGATCGGGGTAGCTCACGAGAGGGACGTATGCATTGGTCAATATGAATGACCGCACCCGCTTTCTTCTGGCGGCCCAGCCAGACTCCCTGGTGGGCTCAGGTGAACTGACGCGGTCTTCTTGGCCCGAGTCGTAAGAGTCCTGATACTGCGGGTGGGGCCCCTGTGCTGCGAGTTTAGCCGACCAGGGCATATACCAACTGGGGGTGTTCACTGCAGAGGGATTGTACGTCGATGTTGGATGTTCTGGGATGGATAGCGGTGGTGGACGATCGCCGTTCTCGAGATCTCTCTCCTTCTCCTTGTCTTTACGCCCCGATGATGACATGCCTTCGCGGAGGCTCGTTGACGCTTGTAGCCATGATATAGACCTATCTCTGAAGCCTTTGCGTTCTGAGCGAGGTCCTGGATGGCTGTGAAGACCCTGGTAGTGGTCTCTGTAGCGCGATGTGAAGCCCCACCAGCGAGAATGGTCGTCTGTTGTTGTCTGGAGACTGGCAGCGTCTGACGCATGTGACTGAGGTGCTGGTTGTATGGCGTCTGTTGGAGAGCCAGTCTGTTCTTTGGGAGAAGGAGGCTCGTCGCGTGCCCAAGCTGCAGAGGGAATGAATAAATGGGAAGGGGAGAGAAAGTGGAGCTACGCACGGGGGACGGTGACGACCTTTGCTAGCGGTGGGGGAGGGCGTCGGGAAGCGCGTGAGGCCGAGGCATTGTTGAGAGAAAGAGTTGAGGCGGATGGCGCACGGTTTCGCGAGGAGATGGACATGCACTGTTACAAGGAAAAGAATAAAGTCATGGAAGTACGACAAGAACCTTTGCCCATTCCCAAATTCGGAACAACCTTACCCCTCCAAATTCGGAAGTCGGCATCTTGACCAACAACCAAAATGGAGTCGTCAATCCCTTCCCTCTCAGAAGGCCCCGTTGGCTCTCGTTTCGTCACTCAGGACGAGATTGACTCCGCAAGGGCACGCAAGGACGAACAGTGGAAGGCTGCATACGCTAGGCATGTCCTCGGAGCCCTACTACGACTATTCCACAGCCCAAAACTCACTCTCTCCCCTATTGTTCTAGATTGGGCCAGGAGCCGCCACAACTACAACAGCAGGACGAGGTCTACGACGGCCGCAGCTTGGCAGAAGTATGTCCGATCCAATTGTATATCGAACTGCCCGTATTGACTCTTCCAACGATTTGCGCATCCATGTAGAAACTCGCCGCCAACAAGGTGCGCAACCTGATGCCTTTGCTTTGGCACACGAGTCCTCAGTTCCTCGTAGATTGCGAAACAAGAAGAGTGGGAGGAAAAGAATAAGCTCGCAAATCAATTCCGCGCTCTCGAAGAGGACGAAATCCATTTCTTGGACTCAATCCGAGAGAAACAAGAGCAAGAAGAAAAGCTTCGCAAGCAGACAGAGGGTGAAGAGTTGAAGAACTTTAGAGAGTGCGTCTGCCAATCATTTCAACTTTATTTGTCTCTCATTGTCCTTGCGTTAGAGCGGTAGCTGCAAGAAACAGCGCGGCAGCAAACCCACCGCCCTCTCTAACACCTTCTGCATCTAAACCTGCAGCCCCGAAACCACCTAACCCATCCTCCAAGAAGCCCGAAGGTAAACGCGTCCTCAAGGGTATCATCGTCAAGAAAAAGGTCGCCAAACCCGCAGCACCAGCGAAGAAGCCGGAACCTTCCAAACAGGCCGCATCCACTGCACCGAAAGAAGCAAACAAGGAGGACAGGAATGGGGACGATGACGCTCCCAATCCCAAACGGCGAAAGATTGATTCTGGCTCATGACCGTGTACTAGTCTACTCTAATCTAATTTATCCCCTCGCACCAGACGGCGTTGGCGTCCATCGGACCCGGTTGAGGTCTCTCTCCTTCGAGCCTTCCCATCCAGCACTCCTCTCCATGGCGTCCGCTCTCCTCAATCCGGCCGTACTCATGGCTGTCCGCTGCAAGAGCCTCTTTGCCGCCGGTGTCAGATTGCCAGCCGCGTCCGCTTTCTTTGGAGTCCAGGTTGGAGGGGCCATGTCGCGCTTCCCTGAAAATCCAGTCGCCGGTGTCCTGTTCAGAGCCAGTCCCGGTGTACGAAGGCCGAGTTTCTCTGCCTTTTCGCGAAGGCTTCTGGATGCTTTGGTGGACAGCTGTTGGGCAAGGGCTTCCCTTCGAGAGACCTTTGGGATATGGAATGGAGTTGCGGGAGCGATGGCTTCAGCTTCGTCCTCGGATTGGGATATAATCCTAGGAGTAGCGTTCAGGGTCCCCCATGTCATGAGTTGCTTCACAGCAGTAGGTCCGAGCTCTGCCGGCGTTGGTGAAGGGAGATTAGGTACCAGTGAAAAGCCATTCTCCTTGGGAGACTTGGGTCGATCTGCAGCAGCCTGTTAGTGACATCCATACTATAAGGGAGAGTCGAAAGATACACATACATGGAGTCCCTGCGATGGCAGCGTCTATCCGACTGCGAGTAGGACTGGGTGGAGCAGATGCTGACCTCGAGACTGCCCCACTGTCATCCTGGTCGGGCAGCCTCGTATTATTGTATTTGATGGTTTTAGGATTCTTCTCTGGATCCTTGGGGGTCGGTACAGTATGGTACGGTGATACGTCTGCATCCGGTGCAAACATGAGCGAATTCCTGGCCTACAAGAAACGTTAACATCACTCCTTTACTGCTCAAGGAATGCATACCTTGAACTTCCAGCTATCTACGCCGGCAGAACGAGTGTCCTTCTTTGGCTTCATGACATCCACAACCGTATCTTGGTCAGATTTAACCAAAGCCTTGTCCCCCTCCTCCTCTTCCGCAGTATCCAAGCTCCGTTTCTTTCCCTTGACTTTCTCGCTCTCGCCCTCCTCGTCCTTCCCATCAGTCAATAGTCCGGCCACAGTAGGTGCCTCAATCTTCAACTTTTGCCTAACGCCAGCGGCAGGCGCAGGCTCAATCAACATCCTCTCCCTCGCCTCCAGCATCCTCTCATTCTGCTTCTCCACCCTCCGCTGCGCCTCCCACGCCCACCCATACTTCTCCTTCCTCTGTCTATTCTCTTCATCCAGAATCTGCGTAAAGCTCGAGTTGTCTTCCGACGTATACTTGGCTTGGAACGCATCGAGACTCATGTTGATATCGTATTTTGGACGCTTGTTTGGTCTTGACCCCGAAGCTTCGCTCGTACCGCCGTAAGCTGACCATGGTGTACGAAGGGGTGTTTCATATCGACCTCGTTGGCTGGACGAGACGAGAGGTGTGTCGCTGAGCTGTTGCAAGCGTTGGACTGTGCGTTGGATTAGGTTGGGGTCTTTAGAGGAGATGGCATCCAGGTATTCGTTGGTGGCGTCAAGGTGGACCAGTGAAGGGAAGAAGTCTCGGGCAATGATCTTGTCGAGGGCTGCTGTATATTCGTCTTCTTCGAGTACGACTTGGCGGTTGAGAGAACGTTCTGGAATGGGAGTCGAGTCCGGGTTGGCCATTGCGGTCAAGGTTTGTGGTCGGTGGTGGGATGAGTTCAACCCTGATTGATGATGACGCGAGTTCGGTCTCTTCATGACTCTTACGCTGAGCGAAGCACCAAATACTCTCATTAAACGTAGTGGTGGTCATTCAACTCCTACTAAAACAAAAAATAGGGTCATAAAGATGTTCGTAACAAGTAGTACTTGTAAAAGGTGGGTAAGAAACACCAAAACAAAAACGTTCCTCTACCTAATAATAGCTTAGGGGTACAAACAACAAAAAAGAGGGTGGACGAAAGATTGAAGGAGTGACGAGATCAATAATTATTTAAACTAGTGTTCCGGGTACCAAAACGGGAATAGAGGACTTTCCATAGTAGAAAGCAGACAGTACTGAAGGTGAAGTGTAGGACTCGGTATCATAGAGATAAGAACTGTAAAACTACCAATCGTCAGGCGAGAGCTCCGACATAAAGAATTCAAAGAACACATACCCAAATTACCTCCCATAATTGCCCGACCTGGGTCGCAAGTCGTTCAGGTCAAGCGGACTGAAAGGGTCCTCCGAGTTTCTCCTGCCTGAGCTACTCGGTGGTCGCCCAATTCTGCTCTTCGAAAGTACCGAGCTGATATTGTTGCTAGTGCTCGATGCTTTCGGGCGATAGGATCCATTCATCTGAGTAGGTAATTGTGGAAGTGCTTTGTTGTCATCTCTGTCAAACAAGGGTCGAGGGAGGGGTGGTTGAGTGGCACATCGATCTCGTCCTCCACCTGGGCCTGTACTGGAACCTAGCGATGTTCTCTTTGACTGGTTGTATGGGTTGGGGCCACCAGGTCCAGTGGAGCGCTTCAGCCCGGACGAAGAATATGATCCACCAGTTGGGACCGGAAGGAAGGTGGGTGTTGTTGGCCGGGATACAGGGGTGGGTATCGAGCTACCTCCGCCACCACTGGAGAGCCGTGATGGTGGTCGCCTCCCAACACTCTTGGCCAGTGAATTCTGCGGTCCGCTGCTAAGAGATGGTGATTTCGCTCGAGTAGTACCACGGAATGCGGTGGGTGCCATGGGGTTGGAGAGCCGCCTCGATTCTTTCTTCATCTTCTGTGGAGACGGAGAATCCTCCATGATAAGCACCCAGCCAGAGTCACCTCCCGAGTCCTTGTCTCGTTTGGTCACCGTTCTGTCAAAGTTGTCAACGCTCTTTCTCGAGTCAACGCTCGGCCGCTGGGATTCGATACTTGTCTTTGCCGTTGAGGGGTTGGACGCCGCCGAAGACGAGCTTTCGCTGATACTGGGCACACTCGACGCGGATGCGTTGGAGCTCATACTGGTCCGATGGTTTCCGGTAATGCTCGCCATGCGTAGTCTAGGAACCTTGGTGTGAATTCTTTGTTCAAGGTTCCGGACACGAGCCCGCATCTCTGAAACCATCTGAACACCCTTATTCCTTGAGGCGGTGGTACTTGTTGATGACGTCGAGGTGGAGGTTCGAATAGCTGTCGGCGTTCCACGAGTGGGAAGCCTAGAAGTGGTTGAAGCTGTTGGAGAATACAGTGACGGTGCGGTGATCGACCGGGTAAAGCCAGATACTTTGAGTGCGCTGAGTGGGCTTTCTTTGCTATAGAGGGATGCACGCTGTAGCGATGCTTGGGTAACGGATTTGGAGAGTCCAGAAGCTTTCGGCGTCGTGACTTGCGACCCTGCCGCTTTCGACCTTGGTGAGAGTTCAGATAGGTCAAGGTCAGGTGGCCGCGATGTCTGCCGGAGGTTTTCCTCTGAGCGCCTAGTTCGCTGTAAATCGAGGAGTTGTGAAGCCTGTTCTGCCGCGGTTGCTTCTGCAGAAGAGAGTTTATTCTTGAGGACAGAGTTTTCTTCATTGGCATCTGCAGCGCAGTGAGCGAATGTTTCGGAGCTTCTAATCAAACAAGTACCTCTTAACTCGTCCTTCAATCGTTGCGTCTCTTCTTCCAAATGAACCTTCTCTAACAGTTCCTGCTCCAACAAGATCTTCTCCTCCAACACGCGCGAATACTTGGCCTCCATGTCCGCCAGACTACAGGATATAGCACGCTCGTTCCGCTCCAGATCGTCATTTCCCATCTCCAATTCCCGCAGTTGAACTTTAACAGACTGATATTCCTGACGCAGCTTGTCTAGTTCCCGTTGAAGCGAAGTTGTTGTCGTATTGTGGTTGGTCTGCAGAGACATGAACTTGGACTAAAGGCGTTGTCAAGGTCAGCTGCGCCTCTCGCAGCGGGAGCACCAGAGCACAAACACACCTTCCAGTCATCCCGCTCTGATTCGGCCCTCGAGACCTTTATCTTGAGGTCTTGCTGGGCCTGTTCTGTGCGTGCCAATTCCGCTTCCAACTCTGCTTCTAGTTCCTTGCTTGCGTGATGAAATTCGTCAAGTTCGGCCTTGGTCTCTGCGAGCATATCAAGCACCTGGTTGATAGCGAGAAATTAGAGGAGTTTTTATCGATCAAGAGAAAGATCCCACTTCATTGTACTTGGTTCTCCAGTCTGTACCGCCAGGAGAGTAGCTGGTCGCTGGGTTAGGGTGTGGAACTTGTGGCATCAAATAGGGACATACCTGACGGCGTTGTCGTCGAAAGACATTGTCCTCTCCTTTCGCAGGGGGTCCATGGATGAGAGCACTGCTGTCATGACCGTTGAGGACCCTGCTAGAAGAGGAGACGAAAACAACAGTCACCGTCCTGACGGTTCGGTTGAAAGTTGCTCATGACTTGTTTGGGCCAAGTCGAAACCCTCAATTGCCTTTTTCGGATCGTTGTGTGGCACGAGGTTCAGAGCGCACAACCAGAACTCGACATAAATCGGTTTATTCCTTCTGAAACTACAGGACAATACTCTACATATTCTCCGGCTTTGCACACTTGCGCTTTTCTATTTTTCCCGTCTTTGGACAACGCATTTCCTGCCAAGAAACAGGCTCAAGGGTCGCTCCTGTAGCGAGATCAGAGACTAATCTTATTGTTAGGTGAGACCTGGACTTGCCTGCTTCACTAGTCGCATAAATGACGCCCAGATCGTTGCGCGCGGTGGTGATAAAGTAGCTGCGGGCGTCACCGAGCGATATCTTACAGTGAATCAGCGTCGATAATAATCATTGGGTCGCGATAAAAACATACCACCACGCCGCGAACGACGTCGCCGCCTCGGAAGCAATCGCCGATTTTAACTCTATCTTTTTCTGTGGCTCGGACATCTTGCGACCGAATTACGCCTGTAAATTCCTCTCCTGCAGGCAGTGGGATGCCATCGACGACGGTTATGGATAAGAATGCTTGTAACGGCGAGAGACGGGTTACTGAGCCCAGGACCACGGAATTTGGAGCGGGGGGATGGGGCCGAACTTGGGGTATTGTGAGAGTCTGCGGATGGGTAAGTCCTTGATTGAGCCATCAATTCAGCGCTGGACACTAACAGAGCCTTGGAGCTTGGGGGCTCCGAGCAGACTGGCTCTTATTTGAGCATCTCTTGAATAAGTACCTGTTCCCAGCTGGGGTGCTGGTGCACGGACGGATATTTGCTGGCCAGGGAGCAGGACCTGCTGTTGGGTGGACGTTGTAGACATGATGGACCCTGAAAAGACTCCGCTTGTACGGCTTGCCTCTGTTTGGCACTGAGTAAAAGTAATATCCCCAAAGAACCGCCGTGCGCAAGTTTTCTGCCAACTGTCTTTCTTCTTCTTCTTCCTCAATCCTCCTCTTCCTCGTCGTTGCCTGCAATGCCCGTCTCCCTCGTTCGCGTTCTTTCGCGCGGTATGTACATCCTCCTTCACCGTCTGATACCTTATGATTAACCGTTTGCACCCAGGCCTCCATGTTTCGGCCCGCCGTCATGCGCTGTCCCAATTCAACATGCCAGCAATGAGTCCGACAATGACCGAGGGTGGTATTGCTTCCTGGAAGAAGAAGGAGGGTGAAGCTTTCAGCGCAGGCGACGTCCTCCTCGAGATTGTGCGTTTTCTTCCGCTCCGTCACGCGTCATCCTGATCCTCACCCCGTCCACTTAGGAAACCGACAAGGCTACAATTGACGTAGAGGCTCAAGATGATGGTATCCTCGCTAAAATCCTTGTAGGTGCTACCTTCGACCCTCCAGGCATGCCGCTGACGCCTGTTTAGGCCCAAGACGGTTCAAAAGCCGTTCCTGTTGGCTCCGTCATCGCCATCATTGGTGAGGAAGGTGATGACTTGTCCGGTGCTGCTGCCCTTGCAGAGGAAGCCGCCTCAAAGCCTCAAGCATCACCACCCAAGGCAGAGGAAAAGGCTCCAGAGCAACCAAAACCTCAGCCTACACCTGCCCCCGAACCTGTCAAGGTGGAGAGCAAGGAGTCCCTGCCCAAGGGCGACCGCATCTTTGCAAGCCCTATTGCAAAGAAGATTGCCCTCGAACGTGGCATTCCTTTGGCCAAGGTGAAGGGCACTGGTCCTTCAGGTCGCATCATTCGTGAGGATGTCGAGAAATGGAAGGCACCCGAGGCCGCTGCACCTGCTGCATCCGCCACCACCGCTGCTGCCGCTGCCCAACCTTCTGTTCCCTCCACCGACTACGTTGACACACCCGTCTCCAACATGCGCCGCACCATCGGTGCCCGTCTCACCCAGTCCAAGCAAGAGCTTCCTCACTACTACCTCACCGCCGAAATCAACATGGACAAGGTACTCAAACTCAGGGAAGTCTTCAACAAGACCCTCGGCGAGAAGGACAAGTCTGCCAAGCTCAGTGTCAACGACTTCATCGTCAAGGCTACTGCTTGCGCCCTTTCTGACGTGCCAGAGGCCAACTCTGCGTGGTTGGGCGAGGTCATCAGAACGTGAGTAAACATCTTTCCTATGTACCCTGGTCTGCTCATGACAAGATGCCGGCTCTGCAGATACAAGAAAGCTGACATCTCGGTGGCCGTCGCTACCCCCACGGGTCTCATTACACCCATCGTGAAGGATGCGGGTGCCAAGGGTCTTGCCTCGATCTCCGCAGAGACCAAGGCCCTTGCAAAGAAAGCTCGCGATGGCAAGCTTGCTCCCGCTGAATACCAGGTAAAGGCTTCGTTGATGGGATTCAGTGCTAAGGCTAACACACCTTTTAGGGTGGTACTTTCACCATCTCTAACCTGGGCATGTACGGTATCGACCACTTCACCGCCATCATTAACCCCCCTCAATCCTGCATCCTCGCCGTCGGCGCAACCCAAGCTCGTCTCGTACCCGCACCTGAGGAAGAGCGTGGCTTTAAGACAGTTCAGGTCATGAAGGTTACTCTTAGCTGTGACCACCGTACTGTCGATGGTGCTGTTGGTGCCCGGTGGTTGAACGCGTTCAAGGGCTACCTCGAAAATCCTCTGACCTTCATGCTATAGACTATGGTCATACGTCTAACCCTTTCCATAGACATTTTATAATGCTACTGGTGTTTTTGGCTACTTACATTATGTGCCCACAATAGAGTTTTTGTATGTTCGGAACCGTGACGGAAAACCCTAGAATCCTTTGAGAAATCGAGTGGGTCAGGACTGACGCGACTACGTCATCTCGATGCGCCGTCACGTGGGAACATCTCGCTGCCCCTGAAAGTGACGGCAAGTGAAGCTTGTTGACCGATGGAAACTGTTTGAATTTGTTCACGATCCTTGACGACCACCATTCCTTTGAAACTCCAACCTTGTCTATCCTTCAACCTCCTGTGTTGCACGTCCTCGCCTGCTTCGTGCCCTTGAAGCGTGGTTTTCCCGAATGATTGATCCATTCTGCAACGAAGCGCTCAAGCGCTTAGCACAGGCTGGGGACCAGAACATTAAACTCCAGAAAGAACGCGACGATTTGGAAAGAGAGGTGCGTGTCCTCGCTCTTACAATCTCCTTTAACGTGTAAGTGACCCTGTATTCCTAGCGAAATGAATTGCGGAAGCAAGTGGAAGAATTGAGACGAGAAGCCTCCCAGAAACGCGTCGAGGCGCCTTCCCCGCAGGATAAATCAAGCGTCGACGCCGTTAAACAGCTCAGCGAGCTGGAGATGGGGATTAAGCAAGCGCAAGAGAGCTATCGGAAGATTGAGAACCAGGTCAGAATGCTTCTTTGGGATTTCCTTCTGTCGCTCACCGATTGCACGATACAGTTGAAAGAGAACCATGCCAAAATTGGTGAACTGGTGGCTAGTAACCAGCGACTGCGTAATGAACGCGGTCTTTTCCAGCAACAATGTCGGGCTCTAGCTGCGAGCTTGGAAAGCAGTGAAGCGAACCTCAAGGATGCTCTAAGGCAGTACGACGAACTGCGTCACCAGGTGCGTCCGTTAAGACCTATACCAACTGTTGTGGTAGCTTAGCCTACTCGTGTCAGCTTGCTCACCCTGTTAAGACTGAAGCAGCGCCCGTCGCGTCTGTAATCCGGAATACCCTGTCTCCTCCAGTCGAAAAACAGTACAAGGCTCAAATAACAGCTCTGGAGGCTGAGGTAAGTTTGAACCTTTTTGGCTTGGACTCAACCTGATGCTCTGTCCTCACCTAGGTGTCTCGATTGACATTGGCCAACAAAGAACTGCAGCAGGAGAAGGAGCGCTATAGACAAGAAGCTGAGACTGCGTCACAGAGACTCAGCAAGTACCGGAACAATGATCATACGTTACGGGAAAACCTTGTGAAGCTTCAGGGAGAGTTGGTAGGGAACCCCTTCAAATTGTACCCTTTACCCACGCTGAGCGTAATGATTCCAGACACGCAAGCGGAGCACTAGTATCCATAGCAGAGATTCCTCGATAGCCTCTGGCAGCCAGGTGGATGCAGCCTCTATCAGAAGTCAACGGTCGACCGCCTCGACCTCGGCGATACCCTCGGCGTCGTCATCTGCTCTCTCTGTAAAGCAAGAATCGTCTTCCAGTGCCCTTGCGAAGCCCCGTCATGGGGCCTCAACCGCCCTGCCTCTTATTGATCTCGCTCAAATTGATGAAGGTGCAGGGGAAGAAGATCAGGCGCCCACGCCGCGGCCGGCTTATACAGGTTTGGAGTCAATACCTGCGCCTAGGCGACGTGAACTCGCCAGTCTCCCTATTATTATTCCAGCCGTCGCGATTTCAGATTTAGACAATGCATTCAGTCGGGACTTTATATCAAATGTACTGGGTGGGAGCATACAGCCTCTAATTGTCAGGTACGTATAACTCCAATGCAGCGGCTACTTCGAGCTAACCATTGCCCTTGAAGCGTGAGTAAGCAACCTCCTTTGTCTAAGGAGAGGGAAGTACGGAAGTACCTCTGCCCAGGGCTTGACCACAACCCGTGGTGCCCCTCAATTCCCGGCCACCACGGCTACATCTTCGTTGGCCTCGGCCGCGAGAAGACGACTTTCCAAGAGCCGGAGATTCACAACGTCTTCGTCGGCGTAAAAAAGGGGAAAGAAAACCGACGGTTCAGGTACCTTGGCAAGTATCGTGCGGTCAGAGTTAACCCTCTCACTCCTGACGAGTGGAATTTCTTGGATGTCAAGGTAGGTTCTTTCTACCCGTATCCCCCTTCCAGACATTGAAGGTGCGACAAGGTGCGAACAACATATGCGAAGACTACGAAGGACAAGACCAAGGATTCCCGTTCGGTGGAGGCTATAATGAAAGCCTACGAAACGGGGGAACTCTCAGTTCCTTGTGTTATGTTGCAGTGTATAGGATTTGATGAAAACCTGTATACCGCGTTGGTGGCTCAAGCTGCAAAGCCGCCTGCCAGCGCACAATGGAAGAAGATCTCGTCTTCTTCCAGTTCTCGGTCCAATAAACGGGCTTTGGATGACTACGATGCCGATCAAGACGATTCGAGTCGCCATAAGCGGCGTACACTAACAACTTCAAGGCGGGCGTCTTGACCAGTGTGTTGGACATGCTCTCACTCGTGCTCCGTGTGGGATGCTGTATATTGCTGAATCACTCTTTCCCATGTCCGTTCAATCATGCTATCGTTTTTAGGTCCTTTTTATATTGTTTATAGTCTTCATACGTATCGTCTACTAATGGCCGTCAATCTCCATGCAGTTTTGTGGTGATTTGGGACTGCCTTTCGGCGTATCCCTGCGGTCCACCTGCCAGAGAACAGGCTCGCTTGTGATCTCGCTGCGTTCTAAATTGAGCCAGGCCGTACAGACACGAGGCGACCCGTTTAACGTCTTACCAGGGTGATGGCTTCTCGGCGCTCTCACAACACTGCATCTTACTCGACACCCGTATCAAAGCTTCCCTTGACATTTGCTACTGCTAGCCTCAACAGTATCCATCTGGTGCACTTCGACCCTGCTCGACAGACCCCACAGACAGCTAGTCCCTAAACATCCTTCACAGCCATGGCACGAAACGACCCCGGCCCCGATGGTCGAGTCCATCGCACGCGAATCGCCGACCAAACCATCGAAGTTGTACGCAAACAACAAATCTGGGATCGAGTCAACCGACGCACATACGACCTGAAACCGTCTCTCGAATACATGCTTAAGAAGACGACGGTGTACATGCCTGACGATTTCGGGTCCTCTTTTTATAGCCCCTCTGGCTCTTCATCGTCCCTGCGTTGGCTTGCACTTAGCACAGCGGGTGTGAAGAGGGACATGCCGGTACGGATTGACATGCAAAGAAAGACGACGTTGGAGGGCATCACATACCTCAGGGGGAGTCTTGAAGATATTGACAGTGCAGGGAGGAATCGGCGTATTGAATTTCGCCAGTGCCACTAAGCCTGGCGGTGGGTGGAGGAATGGAGCGCGCGCTCAAGAAGAGAGCATAGCGCGGAGTTCGACGTTGTGGAAGAGCTTGGAGGGGTCCAATGCTCAGCCATTCTATGAGCTTCATAAAAGCATCGAAGCCAGCTGGGCGAATGCTGCGAGAGGCGGGGGCCGAATCGGAATTGGGAAAGGACCTGGGTGGTACACCAATGCGATGGTTTGGAGTCCCAGAGTAGTAGTGTTCAAGAACGACGACGGGAACTTGGTGCGGGAGATCGAAGTGGACGTCGTAACCAGCTGCGCGGTGAATGCAAAGGTGGTGTCATCGCAGGCTGGCAACAGTGCGGCTACATGGTATTCTCATAATCAGCCAATCCCGCAACCTCATCCTGGTTATTCCTTTCCCACTTGGAGCCCACACTACTCGCATCCCCAGCGTTTGCCACCTCAACAAGCAGTGGACCTCAATGGCCTTCTCTACATCGCCATGAAGCACCGAATGACACGGATCCTTGCCCTTTTCGAATCCAAAGGCACCACCAACCTCGTCTTGGGTGCTTTTGGAACAGGGGTATTCGGGAACGACGTTCAAATGGTGGTACAAATATGGAGAGAGCTGCTGCTGGATCGTGACGCGAGGTTTAGGTGGTCATTTGAGAACGTAGTTTTCGCAGTGAGGGACGAGAGAACACTGGACATCTTCCGGAGGGGCTTCGGGGATTATGGCCAGGGCTCAAGGGGCGGCGGGGGCAGGGCTGTTACTAGGCCCGGGAGAGGGTGACTAGGGCCGCGTCCAAGGGGAAGGCGTTCGACTGTGGCTGTCCCGCCCGAGTTATTTCTATTCGCAATCGTTCTCCTCGTTGTGCTCTACATAAATATTCTGGATTAATCTGTTGTTTTCCTCGTTGTACCATACCCTATCTGTCCTCTGTCTTGTGATCCATGGCGGGCGCCTCCCGGAAGCGCGCATTGACTCGGACGTGGTTTGCGGAAGAACAGATTCTATCTGACTCGTATCGCCGAGATAACAGATATATAGAGGGGACCACGTCCCATTAACACTGGCGCCTATCGTTTCTTGGACCCAATTCTGACTTTTCCAAACGTGGTTCCTGTGTGTCTTTCCACTTTGGGTTTCAACCTCTCACCTCACACCTTGGCTCCCTTCCATCGCGAACAGTTCTACATCTTCGGAATAACACAAGGGGAAGAGAAAAAGTGATACTCACCTCAATCAATCCAACAACGAGCAAAATGTCGGACGCCATGCAAGTTGACCGTGTTGATGCGGTTACGACCGCGCCCAACGCTGGCGAAGACGCGTCTCATCGTTCTCCACCCTCGGATCTTGTCAATGACCAACATCACAGCCCCAACACCAACAACGATGGAGCCTGCTCTCCGAAAGATAACACTACCTCTATATCGCCACGGGACGGGAAAGAGGATCATCGACGATCTGAGGAATTGGAGGACGCTCGCGAGACCAAACGGGCGCGAACAACCGTGAAGCAAACCACTCTCACAGCTCATTTCAGCAAGAAGGACAAGGACAGTAGCATAGGCACAAAGAAATCCGGTGTATCGCACAACACGGATTCACCTCCCATTTCTACCTCGACTTCACGAGACTCGTCGACCAACCGAGACTCACGCTCGTCGACCAAAGGAAAGGGTACCAACAACACATACGCAGCTATCAAAGAACAGCTCAAGGAAATTGCAGCTTCGACATTGGACGCCATCGACGAAGGGTCGTACGAGTGCGATGGGAAGCGATACCAACTCCGCGACACAGTGGATGACATGATCCAGAAAACCGAATACTACCCACCCGAGTCCGAGTTGAAGGAATGGCGGACTGGTGGGCTCGCCAAGCACCTGAAGACAGTAGGTGAACGAGTATGGGCGCCTTTGGATGAGCACAGCAGGGGTGAGGCGGATGTGTCTCTGTCGGAACAATCGACGCTGGAAGGAGCGAGATACTTGTACGCGATCCTGGATTCATTGCCTGATGAAGAGGGCGTGGATAAGAGGATTGGTGTTCTCAACTTTGCGAGTGCGAAGAAACCTGGCGGCGGGTTCATCAACGGTGCTCGAGCTCAAGTGCGTTTTCCCCTTCCGCCCCCATAGAGAGGAGTCATTAACGGGGAACCATGCTTCTACTTAGGAAGAGTCAATAGCGCGCTCGTCAACTCTATATGCATCCCTCATGATCGATGTAGCCCAGAAATTCTACGAGTTGCATAACAAGGACCCAAGACAAGGATACTACACCCATGCAATGATTTATTCCCCGGGTGTGCAACTCCTCAAAGATGATACAGGGAACTGGCTGGAACCGATCGCAGTCGACGTTTTGACCAGCCCGGCCGTCAATGCAGGCATCGTCCGACGCGATGGTCGGGACAGGAAGGAAGATCAGGACGACGCCGGAGGATCTCCGAAGGACCAAAGCAACGGCGAGGACAGTAAACATTCAAGGACATCGAAACCCAGGGGCAAATGGAGCTGGAAATCCGCCTCGAAACACAAACGACTGACCGACTCGGAAATTGAGTCTGCAATCACCAGGACCATGTACGAACGAATGGCCCGACTGCTCTATCTCTTCGAGCTCCAGGGTGTGAAGAATCTCGTCCTAGGCTCGTTCGGAACAGGTGTTTTCCAAAACAAAGTCGATATAGTGGCAAGCCTCTGGGTAGAGTTGGTCATGAAGGAAGGGGCGAGGTTCAGATGGAGTTTTGACCGCGTGTTGTTCGCAGTCATTGGGGATGAGACGTTTAAAACATTTCAAAGAGTGTTCGGGGAGAAGAAGGCTGTTGGTGATGGTAGACCGAGGTTCACATTAGACGACTGGACCGATGTCGCCTTGGAAGTTGCTTCTAAAGGCCAGGCGTCACCAGTGGAGGGCGACGAGAGCCCAAGTAGGGAAGTAAGTCAGCAAAACGGAGAGAAGGCAGGGCAGGCGTCGGCGAAGCAGGCTGTTAGTTTGGCGGCCGACGTCTCCATGCAGGATATTTCGGTTTGATTCAGGGTCGTAAAGTCTTCTGTACGTTCAATCCTTTCCTTGCATTGCCCGTATCTGAATTTCAATGTGATCAGTTCAGATGTATCATATTGCGCTCGCAGTCTGTTCCCTCTAGAACGATTTTCTCTGAATCTACCCGCTATCTCACGAACAAGCGCCCATGCCTCTTTAACCACGGCTCGGAACACGACAGGGCACTAACGAGTCGACGCCATTGTCGTCCCTCAAGTGATTTCTACTGGCCTACTAATCACAAGCTCCGCGACGGTCATCACCTTACCTTCTTAAGCTAGTTCCTCCGAAGATACCAATACTTATGTATGTACACAGGTCTGTGTGGGAACAGTGGAAATCAACAACGCCTCGTTTCTTTCATATCGCAGGTTATCACCACACGAGGCCGATGAGTCTTTTTGCCTCGATTGGTCTCTCTCTTTTTTTCCCCTCATCAGCAGTCCATCAGACTTGAGGAGTGGATGTTACTGTGGATAGGAGCCATGTATACGGGCAACTCCATGGCAAGAGCAGGTGAGTTTGCGACTTTTTCTGGACACTTCTGAGCTAGAAACCTGATTTTTCCTAGTGGTGTCAGAAGGCCAGCCCCGGACCAAAACCTAATCTACTTCCAATAAGCACCGTAAAATCACACCATGGAAACGGTAACTCGGCCTAATGGAAGGAGGCCTCATGGTCTGCACGATGCACTCATCGATTGACTGACTTCGACGGCAGCTAATGATGAACCCCGAGGTGATGGATCGAGGGGTAGATGGGAATGTGGGCATCTGGGGTTGGGGACTCGTTATGTTCGCCGTTCTTTTGTCTTCCTTGTTTCCGTCAACGCTGAAGTGGTTGAAGGGTTCAACGGTTGCCACTGACGTCCGTTGTTTTCTCTCTCTCCTCGCCTCCAATCAGTGATGTCTCGTTCAGTGTTCACATCGCTCTTACGTCTTTAATCTTAGGTCGCCACGGTCAACATTTATCCTCATTAAGATAATCGCTCAGATCTGCTCAACTCATCGCCCCCTTCTTCGTCTCCCCTCCCATTCGACCTCCTGTCTTTTATCTCCCCACTCCTCGTATCCCCATTCCACTTTCGTACCCGTCAGGCGTTCATCCCAACCGCTTGACCAGGGTCATTTGCCCCTGTGTTTATCTTCATTGCCGCGTCTTCGGACCTCAGGGTCTCTCCGCGTGAGCGTTTTCAAGGGTGGTACGATAACACGTCATTGGAAAAGGACCATCGGCTAATAAGCGCCCATACGATTCACAAATTTGCAGTTGCAGGCACAGTTCAGGGTCGGTACGGATTCGACACGTGCTCGAACGCGCCGCCATAGTTTCTCCCATAGAACGGACTTTGACGACCTCGAGTCGAGCGAAGTAGCGATACCAAACGAGAATAACCTTGGTTTTGGAGGTTCGGTTGTGGAAGGTTGAAGTGCCCGAGGATATTGTCAGCAGGCTGTATTGTTTGCTGGAAGAACGAGGCAGCGCGAGGAGGAAGGATTGGAGAAAACAGTTTCGAAGAGCCAGGTAATAGACATCTTGTCGTTGCACGGCTCTACACGTGCAGGTCGAACTAAGAACGAAGCACTGAACATTTTCATCCATTCTACCCTCAGGTCTAATCGATTTTTCGACTGCACCCCCTCTCATCTGTCCCCTTTTTAACAACCAACGTCGAACCCTAAACGCGAGGTATAAGAAGCAGTCAATTCACCCACATCGTCCACTCATCCCCTCTCTTCGACTTTCCAGCTTCAACAACCCGCACTTTATATTGAATTTCCGTGCAGCCACACCCTTTATCCTCGAGCGCTTCCTCTAGGCCGCAGTTGCAGGGATGACCAAAAGCAATCTGAACGGTTCCACCTCGTCATTTGAGACGAAGCAAATCAAGTCTTTAACTCATCATAAAGACTACTACCTCGTCGGAGGAGATCTTTACATCATGGTATGTCGTCATTACTTGGGTATTCGCATATGTTTCTTCTTGAAGGCCATCGCCACCGTGTTTTTCTTGAGCATTCTGATACCATAACGTGCCTGTCCATTAACTGCTCTTACCATTTTAGATCGATACTACAATCTTCAAGATTCATTCATACTTTTTCCGCAGGGAAGCAAAGAATTTCTATTCCAACATCGATCCGAAGTCGCCTGGTGATGATACGACAAAGGGGTTGACTGAAAACACTGCTATCATCATAGAAAACGCGTCTGTAAGAGAGTTCGAGCGGTTCTTGTGGATTTTCTACAACCCGTAAGTCATCTCTGTTTCCTACCCACTTCAAACTTGCCTCTCACTTACTTGTGCAAAACCCGTTCACTCCTCCAGCCTCTACGATATCTACAGTGCAGCCATCTCGGACTGGTTCTCCATTCTCCGTCTCGCTCATGAGTGGGACTTTCCGCAGGTCAAGCGCTTTGCGCTTCGAGAGATCAAACGCCGCGAGGATGAAATTGACGTCGTCCAACGCATTGTGCTGTACCGAGACTACAAGGCCCCTGAGGAATATCTGGTCCCCCTGTACGCCGAGCTGTGCGCCCGGCCGTATCCTCCCACCATTGATGAGGCGGAGAAATTGGGCCACGAAACTACGTTCAACATTTTCAGAGCACGAGAGCAAATAAGGAGCGACGGCAGCGTCAGTCCCTTACCAAAGGGCAAAAGCGCTGTTGATACCTATCCGACGGTAGCCGAGGTTATGGGGGTTCCAGAGTTCAAGCCTGATTTCGGTGAGTTTGTACTCGCTTCGACTTACGTTTGTTAAGAGGATGATTGGGTTCTGTTGTCCCCATCCGTTCTGCTTGTCCTCCCTCCCCGTGCTGCGGTTCTTCCCTTTTGCTGCCAGTCACAGATCACTAACCATAGTTCGCTGGACCAGATGTGGACGCTCTAGACTTGGACGACAATTCAAAGTCCTCGAACAGATTTCATAAGAACTCGAACGGGCGCACCAAGGTGAAGCCTGATACTACGAAGTCTCCGAAAGGGTTCTCCTTGGGAAATTCATGAAGTACGCGAATTGAAGCACTATACCTGTATCTTGTGTATCATACTTAGCCATGTTTTGGGTTTTCTGCGGTCTTGATTTTTCGTCGTTGCGCGTATATTATCATTCTTCAATTTCTTGCGTGATAGGGGCGCTGTTGTTTGATCCAACTAAGCGGCGGGCCACGTCAAAGTTTGTACACCAAGGTATGGCAAACAGTGAGTCAAACATTGTCGATTAGCAGGCATTTCACATCGAAATCTCCGAGAAAAGCCTCATGTTGATGAAGAACAATGGAAAAGGTGAAGGAAGCCGGGATGAGTCCAATCGCCGCAACGTGTTTGATACACGTGCCCCAGCGTTCATCGACCCTTCAAAACCCACCCCGAATTGACAAGTCCAACCCAACTTTCATTCATCCGTTTCCCTCTCATCTCTCCCTCTCTCCCCCTTCTCTTTCTATTTCAACTCTTTACTCTTTTTTATTACCTTTCTTCTTGTCACCGAATTGAACGATGGCTCCGTCGACCACTTCCAACTCTTTGAACGGCTCCGCCGACCCCTTCAAGACCGTCGTCCGCCATCCCATCTATTATATTCAATCGGCTGATCTCTCCTTCCTTGTAAGTCGTCCAGAGCCTTGCTGGACGAAAGAGCTACTCAAACTGACCACCTGATCATTAGATCGGAAATGTCCAATTCAAAGTTCACCGTTACTTTTTCGAGCGCGAGTCGGCGTTTTACCGCGGCAAGCTCACTCTTCCAGTCTCTCCTGGAGCCATCCGACAAGGCTCAAGCGACAATGAGCCCATTTTCTTCGAAGACGTGACCCCAGAAGCCTTCGAGAAGCTTTGCTGGGTCTTCTACAACCCGTAAGTAACTATAATTTAAATTTCATTGTGAGATCCCCCTTCTAACATACAGCCCAGTCGCTACTCGCTTTACGACGCATCTGTTGATGACTGGTCCTCCATTCTTGGCCTCGCACACAAATGGGGCTTCCCGCAGGTGAAGGCTCTCGCCGTGCGCGAGCTCGAGAAGAAGGACTTTGACGACATCGACCGCATCGTTGTCTACCACAACAACGACGTCGATCGCAACCTCCTCATCCCTCGATATGCCGCCCTCTGTGCTCGCGAGACCCCGCTCACTCTTCCTGAGGGTATGAAACTCGGCATGGAGACTACCCTCGCTATCGCCAGCGCACGAGAGTACGTCCGTGCCATCAAGCTCGCCGATGGCAGTCGCAGCCCTATCTCCCCAACCGTCGAAGGCGAAGAACTCGCTTCTATGATTCGTGACCTTTTTGGAATACCCCCTCCCGCTCCCGCCGCGGACGCGGATGTTACAGTTAAGGACGCGTCCAACGCGTCCTCTTCTTCAGGTGGTTTGGTGACGTCTCTTTATTCCATTCGGATTTTCTTAACTGACTAACACCGTACATTGGTTTAAACAGTTACAAAGACTGAAGTTGACGGCGAACGTGATCCCAGCGCCAACGATAACGACGGCTCTGCAGCAGTCGTCACTGCTTCCGCTACAGAAGCAGCAGCAGCCTCCAAAGCAAAAGGTGCGACCGCCGACACCTCCAGCGCCGGTGGAGGAGACGCCGGTGGTGACAACGCAGCCAACACCGACCCCCTTGACGTTACCAACGGTGCCCCCGCCCATGGAGGAGACGCCAACTCCGGCGACGCCGACGCCCCTGCCGAAAAAGACACAGAAAAACCGTCGTCAGAACCTGCCAACGGAACTGACTCCCGACCTAGCTCCCCGGTTACCCGAAGGAAGGGAGGAAAGAAAAACCGATACGTCTGAGGTGGAGGTAGAGCAGGGCAAGGTGGAGGAGTCGGGAACGGGGGGGACGGTGGCGAACGATCACGGTGACGAAATCCAGTCGCAGGCGACCAAAGAAGACGAACCAAAAGAACCAGACACATCTAAACTAAACGCAAAACAGCGCAGAGAACTTGCGAAGAAGGCGACAAAGGCAGCAAAGAGGGCGGAGGATGAGAAGAAGAAGGCAGAACAAGAGGCGGTGGAGGCTACGCGTGCGGCGGAGAAGAGGAAGACTGAGGAGGAGGCAGCGCGCAGAGTTGAAGAGGAAGCGCAGAGGGAGGAGGAGGCGATGCGCAAGGCGGCAGAGGAGGCCAAGCGTAAAGCTGAGGAAGAGGAGGCGGAGCGCAAGGCGGCAGAGGAGGCCAAGCGTAAAGCTGAGGAAGAGGAGGCCAAGCGCAAAGCCGAGGAAGAGGAAGCCAAACGCAAAGCCGAGGAAGAGGAAGCCAAACGCAAAGCCGAGGAAGAGGAGGCCAAACGCAAGGCCGACGAAGAAGCAGCGCGTTTGGCTGCAGAGGCTGAAGCCAAGCGCAAAGCTGAAGAAGAGGCTGAGCGCAAGGCCGCTGAAGAGGCGCGTCTCGCCGAGGAAGCGGCTGAAGCAGAGCGGAAGGCAGAAGAAGCTCAGCGTGTCGAAGAGGAGGCCAAGAAGAAGGCGGATGAAGAGGAAGCAGAGAGGAAGCGTCTAGAGGAGGAGAGGAGGGCGGAGGAGGAGCGTTTGGCTGCAGAGGCTGCGAAAAAGGCTGAGGTGAAACGCCTCGAGGAGGAGACTGCGAGGATGGCAGAGGAGGAACGCAAGGTGGAGGAAGTTCGTTTGGAGGCTGAGAAGGAGGAAGAGGAACGCCTAGAGGCTGCGAAAAAGGCGGAGGAGCGCTTGGCTGTTGAGGATGCTGCGAGGAAGGCTGCGCAGGAGGCTGAAGTGGCTAAAAAGGCAGAAGAGGCTGTCGGCAAGACTGCAGACGAAGACAGAAGCACGGTCGCCGACGACACTGAGTCCGTCGCTCTTGATGAAGAGGGTAGCTCCAAGAAGAAGAAAAAGAAGAACAGGAAGAAAAAGGGTCCTGCCGCGGCGGCCGAAGCCAAACGTGTTGAGGAGAAAGCTAGAAACGACGCCTCGGAACCTGCGACGACAGACAGCGCCGAACTCATCAATCTTTCATCCCCCGCCCTGAAGAACCCTTCCGACTCTACCGAAACCGTCCAGGATGAGCCCAAACCCGACGAGTCTTGGGGTTTTGAACTCGAGAGCTCCAATGACTCTTCCAAGGGCACCTCAGCTACCAACTCTGTTCCTGCCGTCCCTCCCAAGTCACCCGGAAGTCAACCGAGATCCTCCAACGCATCTTCGATGCCAACGGTAGCCACTCGACCTCATGCAATTGAGGCCGGTCCCAAATCAGCCAGTGGGCACCCACCGTCGAGCCCATGGGGCAAACAATCGCCCCAGTCGCTTTCTATCAACCCTGAAAATATCCCCCTTCCCGCCACCCCCATCACCCCCACGAGACCAGGTCACAAGGGTTCCTTGAATGACCGACTGGCCGAATCCATGGCCAAAGCTGCTCAGCCGACGCACATGTCGCCGGGCAGTTTCGCTCAAAGAAAGCCACGCGACAGTAGTAGTTCTAGCTGGAGCAGTTGGCTCACGAAGTTGGCTGACGGCTAAAGCGCTCGATGGACGCCGTCATATTGTGCTTTGCTCGACTCGTTTGGATATTTTGGTTCCTTTTCCTTTCCGGTTTTCGTTTTACTTTCGGTTTCACTTTCGCTTTGGGCTCCTTTTCGCCATGAATCTGACCTTCACGACCCTTTTATGCCGACTGACCATCATACCCTGCTGTAGCACTCAGCTCTGCGTCTACGGTATATACTAACGGATACATCTAGGTAGCCTTATGGTACTCTTACATCTTGGAATTTTCGCGCCGTCATGGCGCTCATGTCTTAGTAGGATCACATTTCATTTTCTCTCTCTATAGTTTACGCATTTACGATTTTTCATGGACGCACGTAGAAATGAATCAATCTGGGATTGGAACGGTTTCCGCTGGGTTAGAATTACAAATTTCGTCAAGGCATTTCGGCAAGGAGCGTACTGAACCGGCTAGGAGGTAGAGGGGCCTTCGGCCCCCAATTCAGTCGCAAACTCGTCTTCCACTGCCTTGGCCACGTCGTAAACACCCCGACACCTCAGCATTTTCTCCCTGATGAGATAGATTGTGACAGTGATCTCCAGTCCCAATTGCGCCGCTTCATCCTTCGAAGGACCTGACCATCTTGTGACGAGATGCATGCAACCCTCCTTGAGCCACGAACGGACGTGATATTGTTGGCCAAGGACCACCTTCCATACATGCTTCTCTTTGAGGATTGGAGACATGCTTTCAATGGCGAAGTTCCGCATATCATCGAAGTCCCATTTGGTGGATAAGGCTAAAACTGATGTCCATTCTGCGAGTGAGAGGTCGTATTTGGCTGGGACGGACCTAGACGAAGTGGTCGGGGGTTGTATGTCGAATGGCGAAGGGATGGACCTACTTGGGTATCAGGACCTTAAGGAACGCTCGAAAGTCATCCACTTTGGTCTGGTCCAGTCTGATGGGATTGGCATTGCTCGAGCCCTCTGCTTCGCCGCATCCGGAGTCGGCAGGCGTGGGCAAAGAGAACAGCGTACCAAATACCCCACCGCTGTCTGTGAAAGGGTATTTCGGGACCTTAAAAAGTACGTTCTCGACCTAGCAATCAATTGCGCAAGGAGTCGGAATCATTGTTTTAAGCAAGAACTGTGAGCTGATGGTGAACTTGCGAAGCAAGGTTGGGGGGCAACAACCCCGACTGACCTGAAAAACCACAACGTCAAGGTGGTACTCCTTGTCCTCGACGATGGCGGCCATCGCTTCCCCATCAGATAACGATACAGCAACCAAGGCGGATTGCAGCTTGTGCAATCCCCCTGGGTTCGGCAGCGGCGCGTGTCGCGTCGACGTGTTCATTGGATCTGCGTTGTGCATTTGTATACAGGGTGTTTCGCACAGGAGGGGACGAAGAATGGCATGCGCCCACCGATAAGTCGGCAGGTGCTGTGCGTGGAAGATCTGAGAAAAGCTGTAACCCGTATCAAAATTAGACGTCAGACTTTGGCGCCACGTTACCTACCCGCTGGTTGGTTCTCATGCTTATAAGGCAGTCAAGGAGCGGCACAAGGCAGAACTACTGAGGTCTCCGTTAGCCGTGGCCGAATGGTTTTATTTCAATGGTTATCAAAAACTAGATGTTTCTGGTACGTGCCACGGTCCTCGCAGTCTGAAATGTGCTCGCCTCCTCTTCAAGCGGCAGAGAGAGCATACTGTATGATAATATTCGGACCAGCAAGTCCACAGACGGAGCGAGAGGATGCGAGCTATTCTCACCATGTCGCAAGTCTTCGTGTATTGGAATCTTTGAGAGAAATTCGATGTCGGAGGTCAGAGTCTGCCATCTCGCAGGATCAAACAAACACAGGTCGTTTAATTCACGGATCCATCAGACGCGCGCTTATCAAGTTCGCTCCCAACGTCCACCATGCCAGGAATCATTCGCAAAAAGTGCCAGCTCAAATCCTCAGGTTTCTCAGTTCTTGCTCCCAGATAATCATTGTCAGTACTAAACCAGCGAATAGATCGTCCGTATCTGGCGCTCGGACTGGAAGGCTCTGCAAACAAACTCGGCGCAGGAATTATTCGCCACGAACCAGATGGCACAGCTACGGTCCTTTCGAACGTCCGCCACACCTACATCACTCCTCCTGGAGAAGGATTCCAACCGAGGGACACAGCCCTTCATCATCGAGAATGGGCTCTCAAGGTGATAAACGATAGCTTGGAGAAGGCAGGAGTGTCGATGCATGACTTGGATTGTATATGCTACACAAAAGGTGCGATCTCCTTTAAGCCTTTTTTGCAGCATTCTCACTTTTGGATAGGTCCTGGAATGGGTGCGCCGCTGCAGTCTGTAGCTCTGGTTGCGCGGACAATCTCCTTGCTCTATGACAAGCCTCTGGTTGGGGTGAACCACTGTGTCGGCCGTTCGTTCTTTGAACCTCTTTTGACCCATCAGGATTTAGGATGCTGACTTCCGCATCATCCAGACATAGAAATGGGTCGTGAAATTACCGGTGCGAAGAACCCCATCGTCTTGTATGTCTCTGGAGGAAATACACAAGTCATTGCCTATTCCCGCCAGTGTTATCGGATCTTTGGTGAGACTTTGGACATCGCAGTTGGTAACTGCCTGGATCGTTTTGCTAGGGTCATCAACCTCAGCAACGATCCAAGCCCAGGCTACAACATCGAGCAGGAAGCCAAAAGGTACGCCATCCATTTATCTGTTCGATTTGCCATCGAGTTCATCGAATACATATTCAGGGGAAAACGTTTGGTGCCATTGCCCTACGCCACGAAGGGAATGGACGTCAGTTTGTCTGGGATCCTGAGCTCTGTCGAGGCTCTTACCTACGATAAACGTTATAGGCCAGATGGCAAGCCTAGAGGCCCAGATGACACCGACACCATTACACCGGCCGATCTTTGTTTCTCCCTCCAAGAAACGGTCTTCGCGATGCTTGTGGAAATCACAGAAAGAGCAATGGCCCATGTCGGGAGCAAAGAGGTGCTGATTGTCGGAGGCGTGGGGTGTATGTTCCTTTCCCTCGAAACAATGGTCGTATTCTTACCATAAGAAAGGCAATGAACGATTACAAGAGATGATGGGCATCATGGCGGAAGAAAGGGGTGGCCAGGTTTTTGCGACCGACGAAAGGTAAGGATCAATTCGACGGCGTGGCTCAATTAATGATTCATGTGCAACAGATTCTGCATAGACAACGGGATCATGATTGCTCAAGCGGGATTGTTGGCCTTTCGATGTGGTATCACCACCCCCTTCCCAAAAACTACATGCACGCAGAGGTGAGTGACAGCACCTCGACTCCTTATCTATACTCACTTCTGCCCCGTCGCAGGTATCGCACTGATCAAGTGGAGGTTCTTTGGAGATCGTAATGCCTATCGAATCTGTACAAAAGCATCGATATTCTTAGCCTCCTTTACCTCAAGGGCGCCATTCCTTGTCATAATCGACGTATGTTTCAATGAAGTCGGCTATAGCTGGATCGCTTTCCTTCAAAATCTTATGTGCTGCATCGTAGGAATCCCACCACCATTGGTTAACCCTCGCAAACGCTTTGTCGTGAATCATCAGACGGGATTGCCATGGCTTGTCGGCGAGAATATAGTGTACGCAGCGAACTTCGTCGTCGCTCCACATAGCTGGGTGGATGTTTCGCAGTGGACGAAGAGCGTTATAGTACCAGGGCAGCGTTTTCCATTTCCCTTTGAAAACCGCGGCGAGCAGGTCCTGATCGGGGAACCTATATGTTGGGACTGCTGGGGCGTAGAAGAGGTGGTCTAGAATAATCTGGAAGGTGTCTTTGGAAGGTTGCAAGACCACTAAACCTGAATTCAACAGGTGGTATGGCCTCGGGCTCGATGGAGTAACATCTGGAGGAGGGGATGTTGGTGACTTGACAGCTGTGTGGGCACAATTTTCTGGGATCCTGTAAAGTGGGGTGAGGTCCTGCTGCGCATTTATTTTTGGCAAACTCACCAATCTTTGGGATAACTGGGAATCTTGCGAGGGTTGCAAGCGCACACGTGCGCAGCTGCAATATGCCCAGGCAATAGCTCGAGCGCGTCAAAAAGGTCGTCCATATTCTTCTTCACCACCATGTCGCAGTCGAGTAAAACCACCCGCTGTTGAAGAATGAGTACCGGTGCTAATAGGCCACCGAGGGCATCTGACCTTGTACTCGAAGAGCTCGAAGACTCTGGCGCTAAGCTCAGTGATGGACAACGATAAACGGTCGAGCACACATACCGAAGTTTCGTCCATGTATCCGCGAATCGTTCATCAAGTTCCTCGGTCGATGCTTCCTTGGGATTCAAATAATCAATTTCCCTCACAGGGATATTGAGAGCCTTCAAAGCGTTTCGAGCTTCCTCCGGCAAGGTGGCTGGAGCTACAACCACCAATGGGTATTTTGACTTGACCTCCCGTAAACCATGGTTCAGTACCAAAACACCAGGAAGGTATTTGCTCTTCGTGAGCAGGGTTGCATAGGCGAATTGCCTGGACATGGTAGGTTGGAGAGTGATGGTAAGGCGATAGGATTAGGCTTAGATTCGGCGATACAAAGTCGCGATCCGGGTTCAATTGCTTGGTGCGGTTACTGATTGTGTTACATACAATGCACAAGGTAATCAAGGGAAAATCGCAACAGTGAGATGGTCGACTCCCTCAAAACGAAAGATGGGGACTGGATTGGGGACTGTGAACACAGGTCGTTTTTGCATTATAGTAGCATGCGGCTGGATACAACATGGTAATCGTGCGATGGATAGAAAACGTAAGAAAAAAAGCCCAAAAAGACTTTAGCGCAAACGACTGGAATAAAGAGGGTAAGAAAACAGGAGTAGTTGAGGAGGAAGAGCTGCGGGCGCACCGAGCTTCACGTTCACTCTCTAGCAGAGCGAGGATATCGTTCTCCCGCACTGGCCCCTTAACGTTTCGAATAATCGTTCGGGTAGTGTCGTCCATGAACTCCACTCGGACTTGGGTGACACCACCACGAGAGCCAGTCCTTCCAAGGACCTAAAATACAATCGTGAATTTCTGGTCGATTTGAGGTGCAAAATCTTCAGACCTTGATAACTTTGGCGAGCTTGACGGGGGCCTTTGATGAATCCTGCAGATATCGTTCAGGATTGGATTCTCATAACTTCAGGGGAACGGCGTACCATCTTTTGTGTCGAGCCGGGAGACGATGTGAAGACGTTTGTTGATAGGTTCAATAAAGTTTGGACTGCCCACTTTTTTAAACTCCGCTTGCTATTTCGGTGATTGCCCTGCGGCTTTACTGATCCGCGGGAATAGCTCTGTCTTGGCGGGCGCTTGTTTGACGGGCAAAGTGGACGTATTTTCCATGAGAGTGGTATCGATGGTATTGTGGGTATGGAGAGATCGTACGACCAACAATTTATGAATGTGGTAACTGATAGGAGTCCGCAGGAGATCAAGTCAAGTTAACAGTGTGTCGGGATGCAGCCCCTTCACAGCACCAGGTTCAACAATGTCTCGACTCAGTAGGTGCAATGCCAATCTTCGAGAGCCCCATGTACAGCACCGTTTGTTGCATATCATTCCGGAAGCGAGATATTCTTTTTTATGTTTGATGATATCCTCCAGCATCTCAGGTGTAATTCCTATGCCCGCAATCCTTCTCATGACCTTTGATGCCACTGACTCGACGAGGAGATCAGAGGACGTAGGTTCTTCACGACGCTTGAATGGGGAATCATCGAGAGGTATTGGAGGAACCTGCAGGAAATCAGTCGAACACGAGACAACCGAGCCAGGGGGTCCTCTTGTAGCCTCCGAGTCTTGGCATACGTCGACGACCAGCTTGAACTCTGAATTTATAATTCGACGCGCTCTTGCAACACCAGTCTTTGCACTCCTCCGAGCCGAATTAAGGACTGCTACAACGATAAAAGTGTCTGAATCCGTTTGATATCAGGTGCAGAAGCTCACCTCGCTCCCGGGAGGCGGGCTGCGCTATTCCGATGCGCAATACGCGCCTTTGCTCCTTGTCTCGGGGATATAATGTACTGGAGAATCCGCCGGAGTGGTTTAAACGAAGGACCTCTTTACGCGACGGCAGTTGCTTTTCTAGACGACAGTGAGCGTCGGTGATACACAGCTGTCTCGACGCACGCACCTTTGCTAGTGCCAAGAGTGCAGCGTTCTGGACTCCATTCATGGCAGACGCCGCGAAGCCATAGCCTGACATCCTCCTTCTGCATACCATGAGCAACAGGGTGTGGAGACTGTGAGATCTGCATATGGGTGAAGGTGTGACGCGGAATTCTTGCCACCGACGACCTGTGTCTCCAGTTTTTATAATGGAGAGGAAGTTCAAGGCAATCCATCCACAGCACTTTGAATCAAGGACCCACAGCAAACGCAGTGAAATGCGGTAACGCCCGGAAAAGGGGAAAACAATAGACACGTGGATGAAGCGAAGTTACTGCATAGCGACGAGAGACCTACAATCGACATCGGACCTGAGAAGGTCAGTAGCATGTTGTTAGAGAGACAATGCGATTCACAAAATAAACAAAAGATTACCAAAGAAAAGGGTGAAACGTTTTCGCGCTAGGCGGGAGACGACCACAGCGATGTCCGGCGCCATACTTGGAGAACAATGGCTTGGTACAGCGCTGTGCAGTGTGCACACAGCACTGAAACTCATTCACGCACACTCTATCACAGCTCTATGCGGATTAAAAGGATTATAAGTGCATACAATAGGTCCACAAACTGGTCTAGATCAGAGCGACGCCGAGGCTGATTTTTCCGAGAGCTCGGATTCCATGGTGAGGTTCTTCACCCTTTTGTTGACACTCTTGCCCTTAAGGACGTTCTCAATGTAAAATTCACCGGCCTGCAGAGTAAGTGTGAGAAAGATGCACAACGACGATAGAGGAGGCCCGCTTCGTACCTTGTAGCTGCTCCTGACCAAAGGTCCGCTAGCAACATACAGGAACCCGAGATCCTCTGCAACCTGCTTCCACCTGTCGAACTCGGCGGGTTCTACGTATCTGTCGACCTTCATGTGTCGCTTCGTTGGTCGCATGTATTGGCCAAAGGTGACGACGTCAACATCAACCTTGCGTAGCTCTGCAGTAGCAGTCATCAGCCAATGCACCAATAATCCCAAGCTGATGGTATATACCCTTAAGTGCGTCGAGAACTTGGTCCTCCGTCTCGCCCACACCCAACATGATGCTGGTCTTCGTGACCTTGACACCTTCCTCCTTTGCGCGTTTCAGCACACTCAGGGATTGTCGGAAGGTGGCTCTTCGGTCTCGAACAAACGGAGTCAAGGCTTCCACGGTCTCAATGTTGTGAGCGTAGACGTCAAGCCCAGATTTCGCAACAAGGGATACATGTTCAAGGTTTCCTGCAAAGTCGCCGGTAAGTGCCTCGACGAGAATATGGGGCGCTCTTAACGTCAGGTTAGTGCTGAGTAGCTGAGACAGCGGAGAAATACGCACTTTTGTTTGATCTTTGAAATCGTCTCTGCGAAGTGGCGAGCTCCGCCGTCTGCAAGGTCTACATGCGATGACGTATGAGCGCAGGGTTTCGGAAAGAAGACGAAAGTTAGATACCGTCTCTGTCAACACTGGTTAGAACAATGTAACCGAGACCCCATCGACTGATAGCTTCAGCAGTGTTTTCGGGTTCGTGAGGATCGAGAGGAGGTGGTGTTCGGGAAGTCTTCACTGAGCAGAACCTGCAACCACGAGTGCATGTGTCACCCATAAGCTAGTAAAGGCAGAAATTGAGCGGATGTAACAGTCCGGGCTGATAACCGAGGACATACCATGATAGTAGCAGTGGCAGCGCTGCGTCCCTCTGCCTCGGTAGCACCGGGCTTTCCTCCCCAACAGTCCCCAATGTTCGGACACCGGGCTTCTTCGCACACAGTGTGCAGGTTGAGCCCACGCAAGTCTTTCTTTATTTTAGAAAATGATGCTCCTGTAGGGATTGAAGTCTTCAAGTAAGATGGAAGGCGAGGTCTGATAAATATACGACAGCGGAACAAGGTTAACTTGGGAACAGGTCGAGGAACAAGAAACATGACGCACGCTGAGGTGTTTCCCAATACAACCCTGTTGTTGGGTACATCTCCAGCAATAAAGTCATCGAGGGTGGGACCCTCTTCCAATGTTTTGCGAAACGTCGAGGTCCGTGACGTCGAAGCAGCGGCTGGGGTGGTGGATGCAGTAGCGAGACAGCGGTTGAGCAAAGAACGCTGGAGTTTGGGTGCACGGTACAAAGCCATGTTGAAATTGTGAGCTCGTTCCTGTAGTTATAATTTGAGGGAGAAGCAGAGAGCGAAAATGGAGAGTGGTGAGTAATAGTCCCCTACTCGGTGCAAACACCAAATGGAGTCAACCGTCCCGTTTGGCCTTGCTTGCCGACGAACAAATCCAAATCCGCGCAATTTCGACTCTCTCCGATTCTTTCTTCACCAGGGCCAACATGTCTATGAATTCACTATCTCGACGCGAAGAAGAAGCCCTTCTCAAGGCAACTAAAGCGAGGGCTATGCACGAATGCGATGATTTGGTCAAACGTGGGCGTTTTCTTCCGACACGACAAGATTGGGTATTGACACGAAGACATTAGAATTTGCGGCATGTGCATCTGGTCGCACTGTATCTGTCGCATGGGCATGTAAAGATGCTCTGAGAATGGTTCAAGAGTGCATGGTCCAATAGTGAGTCCCGTGTCATCCTATCTTCCACATTTGACGCTTAGCACAGTCTAGTACCGCACCAGAGCCAATGGAAAAAGTACGACAAGAATATCTCCGCCTCCGACGGGAACAGCAACTCAATTCACCGACGGATTCTTCAAACTGGCCTTCTTCATGACGAGCAAGACCCACCAAGACCCAATAGTATCTGGCATGCTATCAATACTATTTGCAAATAATTTACCCGAATAATACACGCATAGACAACAGAACGTAACGCAGCAGCACCTCCCGCTTCCAATATACAACAAAACCGCCCATCGTTGCCACTACTTTTTGTTAACGGCGTTCCACTGGTTTTGAATACCGAGGATAGAAGAGAGGAGACTGGATACCGCTGATTTAGAGGCCAAGTCGCGACAAAATCAATAACTTTGACGCACCCCAAAAGACCCAAAGTGCCTTCATTGACACTGACAAGTTCAGAGCCAGTAGCCGGAATCCACACGTCCAGCAAATCAATCGTGAGTTGTTGGCGAGTGGCTAAACGGGCGCTAATAGACCGAACATCAGCACTTTCCGCTGACGCGCAAACATTGGGAAGCAGCTTACGTCTGGACAGCTTCCAACCGGGTCTCCCGAGCAGCTTCTTCTGCGAGATCCTTCTCACCCCAAGGTCGCGATTGCTTCAATTTCTTCGCCTCGGCGGCAAGTCGTCGCGACTTTAGGATACCGTTGATGAGGCTAAAGACAATTCCCGCAAACCAGAATCGGAACGAGGTCTTTGCGATACGTTTAGCAGTCTCAGGGGCAAGGTTAATGAATTTGATTGTGTTGGCCTGAGCGAGACGTCAGTTCCATTGTTGATAGCTGGGGCGGTTGCGGTCCATACCCAGATGGCGACGTCATAGGAGAGGTACCCAAAGTATGCGACTTGTCGTGCGACGCTAGTGATGGTTTCTGCTGGAGGAGCAGGCGCAAATGCATTTTTCAAAGCTGCCTGGAGGTGTTCAACAGGTTTGCCAAGTCGCATCACTGGCGTGCAACTATCAGATTAGCCAATGCCCTAGAGTAGGCGCCTCAACGATACGCACGTTTGCGAGCCGTTCCAAGATGGGATTTGAGGGCCGTCCATCGTGCAGCATTGGCCTTGTCGTCACCTCTTGTGAGGAGATACCAAGCATAGAAACGAGCAAAGTATTGAACAGCACGGTAGACCTTTCGGGATGCGATATGTCAGTTTTGTCGGCTTCTCTCAGTTCAGGTCGTTCCAGTCCGAACCTTGTCGCGGCCGACAGTGGTTGCAGCGTACTTCAAGCTCTGATTGACTGCAGGGTGGAAGACAAGTTGAGAAGCGATAGCTGCCATTGCGAACGAGTGAAGGTAGAGAAACAAGGTTGTGAAGCAACTGGGTTGTCGGTCCAAACCTCGATTTACACGTGATAGTGGCCGCGATATACAAAAACACGGATTCAAATTCATACTCGACAATGACATCCAGCTCCCTATTAACCCCAGTCTTCTCCGCGCCCGCCGCTGCGAGCAATTACCGGAATGGAACCGGGGTCTAGCTCATCGCAGTGTAGGCCAAGGCTCCAGGTCAGCAGGGGCTCCTGTAAGCGGCATTTGTAATATCGTATTCATGCTGATTCCAATGCACCAAGTGCTGAAACGCGAAAAAATGCAGATTCGGGAAAGGGATACGATAAAGGAATAGTCGTGCTCATCGTCGACGACGACGAGGAGGCTCTGATTGGGTTCATTATGGTTCCGAACGGGTCGTTCCGGGTGATCACGGACGGAAAAGTCCGGTGAAATGAAAGTGACATAGTGGACAGCTCTGGTTGGCTGCACGTTGAGATTCTGAAGCTACCTACTAAAATTCCCTCAACGTCTGTTTCCTCGTTCCCTTCGTCGCGGCCACATTTGCTGTCATACAAAATGTATTCCAGATCAAGTTACCTATTGTCAGCCGCGCGAAAGGTAAGCCAATGATCAGCTCCCGTTTTTGCTTCCCCGCACTTCTTTGGCCAGTTCAGTTCTGGAGGTACCGTCCTCGTTCCACGTGATGCTCATTTATGTCTCCACTAGTTTTCGTCGTCAGCCGTGGCTAACCGGACCAACTACGTGAATCTGAGGTCAACTGTCCTCGTTCCTGCTGTCGCCGTCCGCCAATTCTCCATCTCACGAGCCAGAATGGTATGCTCACCTGCCCCGGGGTCCTCGGGAAGACGACTCAACTCACTTTTCAGCAGTCTGAACAGAAATACCGCATCGAACGAGACACCTTTGGTGAACTCCAAGTGCCCGCCGACCGATATTGGGGTGCTCAGACTCAGCGGTACGCGTTCGCGATCGATTCCTGGCCCGGCGCTTAACTCATTGGCCTGCACAGATCCCTACAAAACTTCGACATTGGTGGACCAGCTGAACGTCTCCCACCGCCCCTTATCAAGGCTTTCGGAGTCGTGAAAAAGGCTGCCGCCATCGTCAACACGGAGTTCGGCCTCGACCCCAAGATTGGTGGGGCGATCCAAAAGGCTGCCGATGATGTAAATTCTACCCAAGTCCTCTTGAGGTGTCGTTGTTGACAAAGTCGCTTTTGCAGGTTATCTCTGGCAAACTGATGGATCACTTCCCTTTGGTCGTTTTCCAAACCGGAAGTGGCACTCAATCCAACATGAACATTAACGAGGTCATCTCAAACCGAGCTATTGAGCTCCTGGGAGGAGAGTTGGGCTCGAAGAACCCTGTTCACCCCAATGACCATGTGAACCGCAGCCAGAGCAGCAATGATACGTGAGTGTTTTCGGAATGAGATTAGGTGGACATGCTCAGATATCCGTGAATAGTTTCCCGACGGCAATGCACGTTGCCGCCGTGACCGAAATTAGCAACGACTTGCTGCCTGCCTTGGAAGAGCTGCGAAGTGCCTTGGACGCAAAAGCCAAGGAATTCGACAGCATTATCAAAATTGGTCGAACCCACTTGCAGGTCCGTACCGTGTTGGTATATCGAGTTTGCGAGACTGACATTCGTCAAGGATGCCACTCCTCTCACTTTGGGTCAAGAGTTCAGCGGATACGTGCACCAAGTCACCAACGGTATTGAGCGCTTGAAGGCAGTTTTGCCTCGTGTGAGCCAGCTTGCCCAAGGTGGCACTGCCGTTGGAACCGTAAGTACCGAAGATAAATTAATGAAGCACGAGGGCACGTTTTAACAGGATGTTTCAGGGCCTCAATACGCAAAAGGGATGGGATGTAAAGGTAGCGGCCGAGATCTCCAAGCTGACTGGCCTTCCCTTCGAGACTGCACCTAACAAAGTAAGTCCCTCCGAGGGTGGGCACGTTTTATGCGAGTTGACATTGTTGTTCTAGTTCGAAGCATTGGCCAGCCACGATGCACTCGTCGAAGCTCACGGCGCGCTCAATGTCATCGCTTGCTCGTTCATGAAGATTGCCAACGACATTCGATTCCTTGGATCTGGTCCGCGATGTGGTCTCGGAGAACTGGCTTTGCCGGAGAACGAGCCTGGAAGCAGCATCATGCCTGGAAAGGTGAACCCCACGCAATGCGAGGCGCTGACCATGGTCGCGGCCCAGGTCATGGGCAACAATGTGACTGTCAGTGTCGCCGGGTCCAATGGCCAATTCGAGGTGTGTTCTTTCCCGATCTGACTATAGGACGGTGCGCTGAAGATCTGGACTGCGCGGTAGCTCAACGTGTTCAAACCCGTTATCATCAAAAACGTGCTCCAGAGCATTCGATTGCTTGCTGATGGTAAGTAGAACCCTGCAATACGGAGACAGGTTATGGGGTGCTGAGACAAGGGGAACCCACAGGTGCTCGATCGTTCACCAAGAACTGTGTTGTTGGAATCAAGGCCAACGAAAAGCGGATACACACCTTGTTGAACGAGTCGTTGATGCTTGCGACCATTTTGAACAGCCATCTGGGCTATGACAGTGAGTGGCGTTGAATGTGCCGGGATTGGACATTTTTAACATGAGCGATGACTAGACGTTGCGAAATGCGCGAAGAAGGCACACCGGGAGGGAACGACATTGAAGGAGGCGACCGTTGCTCTTGGATTCCTTACTCCTGAGGAGTTTGACCAGAAAGTTCGACCGGAGTTGATGATTAGCCCTGACAACTAGAGAAATGTAGTACTGGTAGCTTCTGGATTTCTTTTCTTAGTCAAAAGTGACGAGCTGGCAGTGTGACGTGACCGGAATAGGCAAGTGTGATGAATAGGACCGAATGGGAGAAGGGAGGGCCCAAGTGGATGAAAGTGGTGAATTTGAGAGTGGCAACTTGAATATAGCGAGGGGGTGAAAATGAAAAGAGAAGAAAAGAGAAGAAATGAGGAGAGTAAAGTGGAAAATGAGGGGAGATTTTAGGAATTCGAGGAAGGGATGGATGGTTTCCTATTAGGGAATACTATTCTTTCGTCAACTACTAAGATCAGACTTTGGTTGGTTGCGTGTCAGGCAGATTCTCTCTCTCGGTCCCACCACTGAACTGACTCTGTCCCGTTCCATAAGAGTCTGCCCAAACCAACTTTGCAGCCAGCACTTTCTGGCAATTCTCTAAATGTCTCTCAGCAGAATCCTCAACAACGATCCCGCTCCCGCCGACTATCCAAAATCCAACTTGGACGCCTCTCCACGACAACGCCCGCCTTGCCCATACAACGACTATCCAGGCCCACACCGACACCCCTCCCCGCCCTACCCACATCGTCCTCCGCCGTCGCCCCCGCCGAATCCCGCCCCCCACCCCGGCCAGCTCAGTCCCTGGCCCCACGACGACAGCGCCTCCTGGCGATATTCATCGTACAACGCCGTCCACCCATCGTCCAGCCACCCTCGTCAACACGACTTTCCCGACGATTCCGATAGCATCCCCGATCCATCCACTCCCTACGACCAAGCTCACGACTCGGCCCGTTCAAGGAAGAAGCGCAAGGGCATCCACGACGACAGCGACTACCCGCCAGCTACATCCTCCAGACGCGTATGTCCCTCCTCATTCCGTGCATTTCCGGCCTGTATTCATGTCTTGACAGAAGGGCAAATCAAAGAGACGGACAAACACCGGCTCGCGAGCACTCGATGAGGAAGAACGCCGGCTCCAATCGTCAGACCTTGAGGATTGCAGAGAGGTCTGGGTCGACGACCTCAACGACTATATAGGACAGACCAGGAGGCGTCAGCAGCAAGTATCCCAATATTTCTGGGACACTGTTCTTGTCAGTTTGTCCCTGCCTTTGAATGATACATGTACAAAGTATTCACGGTTATTCTCTACAGGAACGCAACACCAAGACGGCTCAGGAGCTGTCCCACAATTACTCTGCAAAGATTGCCAGTATTCCCCTCCGCGCAGCCTCACCTCCCCCACCTTCTGCTTCTTCCCGCTATAGACATGGCGAACTTGATGCTGGCCCATCACAAGACTATCCCAATACCAATGGCAACCATGCATACGACGACTATTCTAGACACAGAGCCGAATTCAACCCAGGAGCCGAAGACGCCGCCTCCGAGCTTGAACGCTCTGTACTGGGTGACGACGTCTCAATATCCACACCGGTCGCTGCGGCTCCTGCGGGCAAGCGCAGAGCTCCTCGAACCAAAGAGTCCAAAAAGCGTGCCGTACCCGATGCCGACCGTCTCTCCGGGAATGAACTCGAGCCAGCTGCTGCCCCGGTTGACCCACCTCCGACCAAAAAGCGCAAACTCAATACAGAAGTCCCGCCCGAGGAAGCTGGGGTTCATCCGTCCGTCGTTGAGTCGGCTGGCTCAGCCTCTGGCCCCGTTAAGCGACCAGCAAAGGGTAAAGGCAAGGCGAAGCAACTCCAGGCGGAGGAGATCTCCCGCGAACCCAGCCAAGACAGTGTCTCCGCACCAGTCAAGGCTCGCAAGAAGCCAGGTCCCAAGAAGAAGACTGGCCTTGCTCCTGAAGTCGAGAGCGAAGTCGCAGCTGCTGCGGCAAGCGCCCTCGCCAACATGGGTCAGGACAGTTTGTCTGTTGCAGGGTCGTATGCTGCTTCGGTCTCGGGAGATGTCACCCCTTCCGCTTCAAGGCCTTCCTCTCCAGCGCCGACAAACACTGGCTATTTGTATGATCTCGAAGAAACTATTCCGCCGCTTAGGAAAGCGAAGAAGATCGACGACCAAGCGATGGTCAAGAGGATCAAGACACTCGAGGAATCCCAGAGAAAAGTATGGACCAACATCGCCAAGCGAGACGTTGCAAAGGTAATGTCTGCGTCCAATGTATGCACTTGCTTCCACCTCGCTAATGCACCCTGCAGGTCTACAAGTATGTTACCCTCGGCTATCAGGCACGCATGTCGCAACTTGAACGAACCGCCAAACTCGCATCCATCCAAGCTCGAAAGCCCTACACCAAGACGACCAAAGCCAACAAAGATATTCAAGCCAAGGCCAAACGTCTCATGCGTGAGATGCAAGTCTTCTGGAAGAAGAACGAGAAGGAGGAGCGCGACGTTAGGAGGAGAGAACAGAAAGAAGCGATGGATAGGCTGAAGATCGAAGAAGAGAAGCGAGAAGCCGCTCGACAAGCCAGAAAACTAGAGTTCTTGATTTCCCAGACTGAACTGTACAGCCATTTCGTCGGGAACAAGTTGAAGAGTATGTGTATCTCCTGTTTATCTGCTCAATGTTTTTAATGGTTGTCCAACCACTGCAGCTGCCGAGATCGAAGGAGACGAGGCCAACCAGCAGGTTCCTGCTGGTGCACAGCTGGAGGATGTGGACCGCGAAGCGTTGCCGGAGATCGACTTTGATAATGGTGAGTATTTGGAGCGTATGCTGTTTAACAGGTCGCTTATCGATTCTTTAGAGGACCACACCAACCTCCACCTTCACGCGAAAGCCAATGCTCAAGAGGCGATCGCGCTTGCTAGGCAACGTGCTCAGCAATTCGATACGCAAACCGCTCTGGAGAGGAAGACCAACCAAGCTCTCAAACTCGCCAAAGCACAGGCTCATATCCGCGACGATGCTGATGACTTGGGCGAGCCCTCGGACAAAGCACCGCTCGTTGACCGTACGTTGTCGTCCAACCTTGACCCAAATTTGTATATTCACCCGCCTCACAGTGGACTCGGACGAGCTCAACTTCCAGAACCCCACCTCTCTTAGCGGGCCGTTGACGATCGGCCAACCCAAGATGCTTATGGCGACTCTAAAAGAGTACCAATTGAAGGGATTAAACTGGCTGGCCACCCTGTACGAGCAGGGCATCAATGGCATTCTGGCAGACGAAATGGGTCTCGGAAAGGTGCGTTGGTTCCCGTTGAAATGACGACCTGGCACTTATCTCCTTCGATGATCTGCAGACCGTCCAATCTATATCGCTTCTTGCCTATCTCGCCGAAACGCACGACATCTGGGGCCCATTCCTCGTGGTCGCTCCTGCTTCCACATTGCACAACTGGCAGCAAGAGATCACTCGATTCGTGCCAAACCTTCGGGCTCTGCCGTATTGGGGTAATGTGAAGGATCGAACGACACTCCGTAAAGTATGGAGCAAGAAGGATCTCACTTACACCAAAGACGCTCCGTTCCACGTCTTGATTACGAGTTATCAATTGGTAAGGGGTTCTTGATTTCACCAGTAAACGCGATCTTACTGATGCATTCTTGCAGGTAACGCAAGACCAACAGTACTTCCAGCGCATCAAGTGGCAGTATATGATTTTGGACGAGGCCCAAAACATCAAGAACTCATCCAGTGTCCGATGGAAGACTCTTCTCGGATTCCATTGCCGAAATCGACTCTTGCTTACCGGTACTCCGATCCAGAACTCTATGCAAGGTGCGTACTTGGTTCTATTTTCTTGCCACTGTTAAGCTTACCAGTGGACCTCCAGAACTTTGGGCTTTGCTTCATTTCATCATGCCGAGTCTGTTCGACTCTCACGACGAGTTTAACGAATGGTTCTCAAAAGACATCGAAAATGCAGCAGAGAACAAGGGGAGCAAACTCAACGAACACCAGCTTCGGCGTTTGCACATGATCCTGAAACCCTTCATGCTTCGTCGCGTGAAGCGCCATGTCCAGAACGAACTCAGCGAGAAGATCGAAATTGATATTTTCGTGGACCTGAGCGCCCGCCAACGGGCGCTCTACGCTGCTCTGCTCGCCAAAGTCTCCCTACAAGACCTCTTGGAGAAGGCAGCGAATATGGGGGATGCGGAGTCTGCCCGATCCCTGATGAATTTAGTTATGCAATTCCGGAAGGTCTGCAACCATCCCGAACTGTTTGAGCGTGCGGATGTCGTCGCTCCGTTTTCCTTTTGCAGATTTGGAAGGCCCACTGTCCCCAGTCGTGAAGGCGACTTTGTTATCCTTCCTTACTCGGCCAGGAATCCCATCGAATATGAAGTGCCCCAGTTGATCTACAAAGGAGGAGGGATGTTGGATGTTCCATCCGAGGATTCGACTCTTCCACAACATTCCACTGTGTTGAGCAAGCTCTGCAATATTTGGACGACGGAGTGGATTACCAGGTCTTTGGAGGAATCTCGTAGGTTTCGGTTCATTACGGCTCCAGAAAATGATACTTACTGCTCCCGTTAAGATTCGTCAAGTTTCTCGTTCCTTTACCTTTTGGGAATGTCTCCACAAGAGGCTCACCAACTACATGTGTCCCCTTTGCTACGTCGAGAATTGTTACGCACTGAGCAAGAAATCAAATTGCGTGACTCTGCAGCCTATCGGTAAGTAGTTTAAAACGTCCCGTTTGTCCGTCGAAGTTAACACGCGGCAACATCAATAGCGACCCCGACTTTGTTCTCGGCTGTGTGTCTAATCCTTTTGATATCATCACCTTCCCATCGCTATCGGCGCTTGAGGCTGCAGACGGATTACCTCACCTTTCCGAAATATCTACCGCCGTTTGGAATGAATCCAATCTTTCCAAGCCCGACATGAAGTGGTACATCCCCTCCGTTATCGCCCCACCGATTTCGTTACAGTGCACCGACCGACTATTCAACGAACGGCAAGCGATCCTAAAGGAAGCACCTTTGGTAACGCTCGCGCTCTACGGTATACCGGAACACTTGCGCGACTCGGAAGAAGCATGCACCGCGTACCGCACTCGCATTCCTCTCTTGCCTCCAACTGGTCTCATCGAGACTTCACCGCCCGAACAGTTCCCCGTCGCACCCATGCACGTTCCCGAGGCGAAGCGGCTTATTTACGACTCTGCCAAGCTCGCTCGGCTGGATTCTCTATTGCAAGAGCTCAAGGCTGGAGATCATCGCGTGCTTGTGTACTTCCAGATGACGAGGATGATGGATTTGATGGAGGAGTACTTGATTTACCGACAGTACAAGTACTTGCGATTAGACGGTTCGTCAAAGCTAGAGGATCGTAGGGATATGGTCATTGATTGGCAAACGAGGTATGTTCTTTCGTATTGGTCCCATTGCAGTGGTTCTTAAACTCGAGTACACAGACCGGACATCTTTGTCTTCTTGCTTAGTACCAGGGCCGGTGGACTTGGTATCAACTTGACCGCAGCAGACACTGTGATCTTCTACGACCACGACTGGAACCCATCCAACGACGCTCAGGCCATGGATCGTGCTCACCGTCTCGGACAAACGCGACAGGTCACTGTCTACAGATTGATCACCAAGGGCACGATCGACGAACGCATCATTCAATTGGCTCGCGTCAAGAAAGATGTGTGTTACTGCTTTACTCTAGCGATGTTGGGTATGCTGACGATGTGTCTAGGTCCAAGATATTGTGGTTGGTAACAAGACGTTGACGGATATGACCAAACCAAGCGAAATTGTTCAACTGCTTCTCAACGATGAGCAACTTGCTTCATTAGACCAGTCCGGAGGACTTGCAGCTGCCAACAATCAAGCGAGCGCAAACAAAGGAAAGAGATCTGAAAGGAAGGAAGGAGACAACATGGGTGATTTATGGAACGATGAGGGTGACGACTTTTTCGGAGGTGGTGCAGGGCCTAGTGGTGAGCAAGGGGATGATGAGGGAGGAAACCCTGCACCGGCCAAAAAGCGAAAATCGAGGGCCACGGGGGCACCTCGAGGGCGAAAGCCTGGTACTGGCCGGAAGAAGGCTGACGCTACACCAAATGGACTTGCCGCTGATATGTAAACCTATATAATCGTGATTGTTCTTTTCTTTTTATAGTCTGCTCGCATACGCTTTGGACACGCTACTTTAGATGTCGTTTCTTGGGTTCATAATGTCTTATTTCCTTGTGTAGTTTCCTAGCATGTATTCTGTACATTGATTGATCTGGTACCCTGTGCGCTAATAGTAATATCATTGGTCATTTGCACTTTCCGCATAGTATTCGGTATTATCGCTTATATTTTATGTTTGTCACAGGACAAGCGCTAAGTATGTACAGAGATCGAACAAATTACAACAGGGCAAGACCAAAGAGAGCAAGAACAAGGATGCGAAGAAAAGAAATGAGGGAAGAGCATCATGAGTCGCCGCCTAGTGACTGTCTGGCCTTCTTTTCCTTCTTCAAGCGCTTTCTCTCCCTCTTGGCCTCCTCCTCGTCAATGGACTTGTCTGCATCGGCGGGTGCATCCTCCTCCTCCTCCTTCTTGGCCTTTTCCTTCTTCTCCTTCTTTTTCTTCTTCTTTTCCGCCTTCTCAGCGTCCTCCGTAGTGTCCATAGCATCATCCTCCGACTTCCTCTTTCGCTTCTTCTCCTTCTCTTCCTTCTTCTTGTCTTTCTCCACTTTCTCCTCTTTCTCTTCCTTCTCCTCATCCTTCGCAGGGGCGGCGGGAACAGCAGGTTCGGGAGCCGCAACAGTGCTAGGTCCGGCCTCGCGAGTGTAGTCCTTGTAGTCGCGACTCCATTCTGCAGGAGTAACACCCTCAATCTTTTCACCGTGCTTTCCGAGTTGGCCATCCTTGATCATCTTCTTTTTCTTCAAGGCCACTGGACCGAGACCCCAGCGGCGAGGGTAGGTGTCACGTTCCATGATACATCGCTTGACCTTGGCGACAACGCCATGGTCGCAGGTGGCAAGTTCGACAGTGGACATCTGGGCAATGGCGAGAGCAATGGCTTCACCTAAGGAGTAAGGGCGCATCAGCTAACTGTGGAAGTTAAATTTTTAAAGGAGCGAGAACGTACCTTTTGTCGTCATCAAGACGACCTCTTCGTTGAGAGCGATGTCTGCTTCATATCGCAATAGACCAGGAATCATGAGTTTGGCACCATAGCAGACGGCGTTAACTGCCGAGTCTTTTACTACAATTCGCTTGTAGCCAACGAGGAGAGATTCGAGGGGACGAATCACACGGCGGAGGTAGGACTCTAAAAAAGACGTGAATAACGCGACAAAGATGGCTCGAAAAAACAACGCACCATCTCTAGTGTTGTCGTACATCCACTGAGCGTCCAAAACGTCGTGCATGGTGACCATGTCGTCGTTTTCGGACATGGCTCCGCTACGCACTCGACGAAGTTCTTGCATGTGTCCACCGACACCGAGAATGAGACCCAAGTGAACACATAGTGTCCGAATGTATGTTCCAGCTTCGCAAGAGACCCAGAAAACGGCGAGGTTACGCTTGTCGTCGAATTCAATGAGCTTGGAGTCGTAGATAGTTCGTATTCTGAGTTGACGTTTTACGGCCGAGATGAGGGGAGGGCGTTGGAAGAGTGCTCCGCTAAGGGTTTGGAGGGCACGGGGGAGTGCAGCGGGGTTAGGAAGACCAGCGTGAAGACGCAAGACGCAAACGTATTCTTTGCCTTTGGGCAGGTGAGACTTGGTTGGAAGAACTTGGTTGAAAAGACATACCGGCTCCTTGCTGGGATTTAACGAGACGGGTAGCACGGTCGATACATACGATCAAGCAGCCAGTGACTTTGGGATCGAGTGTACCGCTGTGGCCTGTTTTTTCAACTCGCAATATGCGTCGAAGCCAAGCGACGACTTCATGGGAAGAAGGGTTGGAAGGTTTGTCTAGATTGATAACACCAGACCTTGATGTAACGGTTAAAACTGACTTGATAAGAATTTCTAGGACAGAGAGTGATACATACTTGACATAGCTGGTAATGTCGCGCTTGAGAGGGCTGCAGCCCGAGGGGATTGGGGTGAAGTGGGCAGAACGAACAAGGAGTTTGTCGTAGTTTTTGAGCAGCAAAGGCCACTGAGAAGTATCTAGTTTTGGAGTTGAGCTCTCTGACTTGATTGCATAGTCGCCCGTGAGCTGAGCGGATGCGACTTGCTCTCTCGTCAATCCTCCCGCCATTTTGCAAACTTGCAATTCCAGTTTGAACACAATCGACTATTTTCCAAATCCCATGCCGTCGGACTCTGATTATTTTGATTTCGCTGATTGCCGATCAAAAGTCCAAACCTTATTGTTCATCAGATTAGGTAATTAGATGGACAGTGTATACAAAAGGCAAAAGAAAAGGACAGTCCTTCCTTTCTACCATCGCCGTCCCCTCAAGAGTAGTCAAGATGGTCAGTACACAATGCAGGCTACCGCTTTGCTGAGTTCCCTTCTCAGTAGGCTAATGCCCTTCTAACCATTCACCTATTTCTTATAGCCCAAAGCTCCCGCCAACAAGGCCGCTGCCGCCTCCAAGCACAAATTCGTCGTCGACTACTCCAAGCCTGCCGCCGACGGCGTCTTCGACGGTGCTGACTTTGAAAAGTTCTTGCACGACCGTATCAAGGTCGAGGGCAAGGCTGGTCAGCTTGGTGACAACGTCAAGATCGTTCGCGATGGTGCGTCGAGTTGCTTTCCACGCAATTTCCAACGCCTTATACTTTTTCCAGGCAACACCAAGATCACCATCACCGCCAACATCCCCTTCTCCAAGAGGTACATCAAGTACCTTACCAAAAAGTTCTTGAAGAAGAACAGTTTGCGGGACTGGATCCGGTGAGTCTCTTCTCTGCCCAACAGAGACACAGTACTGAACCGCCCCTTCTCTAGTGTTGTCGCTACCTCAAAAGACAACTACTCCCTCAAGTTCTACAACATTGCGTATGTCACTTCCTTCAGTGACATGATAGCCTGTTCTCACTAACGTCGTTCTTAGTGCTGGTGACGATGAGGAGGATGACGAGTAAACTGTCTGTAGTGCACTGTACATTAGATGCTCGGGCCCACACTTCGATATACTTCGGTTTGCCTGCATCACATGGCTGTGCATAGGGTTCTACAATGTATCCTTGCGAAAACGGGCACAATGTCTTGTTTGAGTGAAGTTCATCTAATTGACGATGGTAATCGACGTCTGCTGTTCGGCCCTCCCCTCTGCAGGCTTGACCTTACCGAGCACCATCATGGCTAACTCGTACCAGCGCACTTGGCTTTCCACCATCGGCTGACCAGCAAACTGCATAGACAGCAGCTTGATGAGTTCCTCTCGAAGGATCTTCAACGCAACATTCATCTTAGGGGATAGTTGGAACCTGATCTTGCGGTCAATAGACGCGCTGTTCGTGGCCAACTGCACAACATCAATCAACGGATTTACTCCCCTTCAAGGCGAAAGAAATTACCTTGAAATCCGTTTCTCCGCACAAGAGAAGCATTGCCAGATCATCGACAGGTCCAGTCTCCCAAGCGTACAACTTCTTTGAATGCCTAGTAATTCACCGAATCAGAAGCGCGTCTCATGAAACCGCATGAAACACGAACATCAGCGTAAAATATCCAAGATGGTGAACGCCAAAATCTGACGCCCGTTTTCCAAAGTTGACGGAGGACGGATGGAAAGAAACTGCTTGGTTATTGCTGATAGTCTTCATCTGCCCAGACCTGGGGTCTATAGACAGAACTTTGGGATACAATCCCGCTACTAGCGCAGCGTTGACGAGCGCGAAATTCTTCGAGTTGACGTCGTACTCTGGAGGGAGGTTGACGAATCGTGTACGGTTGCGATTATACCGTGATCTGGGGGCATTGTTCGACCAGTCCTTGGTGAGGAACGAGAGATGACATACCGACTCAATTCACGGACGAACGATCTGTCCACTCGGATGAACGACATGTCCACCAGGAATCCGAGGAATTGTTGACGGAGTTCCTCGATCTGTTGCAAATTCTGAAGCAAAACTATCAGTGTTGGTGCAAGCCGACTGAAACCTCAGAACACTACCTGATGGCTCAGATAATTGGTATGGCAGAACTTGCGAATGCTGACGGCCGGATTATTGCAAGCATTTCTCCAACTCGAATATGCATTATGGAGAGTGAGGAAGTCCGAGTTTTCTGTAGGCATCATTAATAAATCATAACCATGACTGAGGAAGTTCGGGGACGAACCAATCCGGAAACTGTTCTTCGCCCTGTCTGCTTCTTGTTCCAACCCAAGAGGTGTCACGAACGGCGATTTAGAGTTCAACACAGCCGCGATGGTCAACGCTGGATCCAAACACCGGAACACTGTCGCGACGAGCAAGAACTTGCCCAGATGCACATCGGTAGGGAGTTTGCTCAGTAATTGGCCAAGAGGTGTGATGTCTTGGGACGGAGTCAACGCTCGCACTTCGACAAGCATGGAGATCGCCCGCTGAACGTTGATGGCGATGGGTGGATCAAGCGCTCGAGAGAGCACGTCTTCGATCGATGATCCCAGTTTGACCTTCATGATCTTGATCTTCAGCGCCAGGTCGGATAGACTCAGTCGCATCATCTCGGGAAGTGGGTTGTCCGCCATCTGGAATGGAAACGTCAGGATCTAACCAGAAGAACAAATGAATTTCATACCTGGGCATCATGTCGCATCTTCGTGAAAAGATGGAAGCAGAGGCCACGCTGGACACGACCAGCTCTACCTCGTCGTTGGGCCGCATTGCTCTTGGCAATGAAAGATTCGACAAGCCTGCTTATTTGACGCTTTTCGTCAAATCTGGAAGGATGTCAGTCAAGCAAGCAAGGAACGACAAGGGGCACCACACGCCTCATTTCTCGATGCTTGCCCGAGTCTATCACACAAGTGATATCAGGGATAGTGATACCCGTTTCCGCAATGTTGGTCGCTGGGGGGCAATGAGTCGAGGCTCTAACGATAAAGGGTACAGCGCCTACCGATGACAATCTTGCGAATGCCGGGAGGAGGAACGTCGAACACCGCTCCTTGATTCTCGCTCGAAAGTGTAGAATGAAGAGGGTATAACCTAAAGTCATTCGAGCCAAACTGCGGATGCTCAGACAGCATGTCATGGAGACGGCGAATTTCACCTAGTCCAGGCATGAAAACTAAGATCGCTGATGAATACGTCAGGTAATCCGGGTTGCCAAAACACAGCTCTTCCAGTAGGCGAAGGATGAGGTCGTAGGGAATCACTCGCTCGTCGATGAGGTTGAGTGTGGATATCGTTGGCGGCGAGTATCGTTTCTCCAACTTGATTCCATCTTTATCTGTCGTGTCATCATCTTCGTCATCTTCGTCACGTATCTGCAGCTCTTCTCTCCAGTCTGGACGGTTCTTGCCTTTCCAATACTTGTCGCCTTCTGAAGACACCTTGAGTTATGCAATTGATGTGCATAGAATTCATGTCAGCACTTACGTCTCCTTGCATAGGGCGAGTTCTCCGTGATGTTCCAATTCGTGAACTCGACGGCATCTTCAAGAAAGCGAACATCGACGGGGAACGTCCTGCCAGGTACGTGGAGGGTAGGACACCTATCAAAGTAATCGGATATCTTTTCCGCGTCGACAGTGGCCGACATCAATATAACCCTTGAGGAAGGTTAGCTCCACACGGTGAAAGCAATGGGGTGAAAACTGACTTCAGATCCGGTCGTTCCCTGATAAGCGACTTGAGGACAATGAGGAGGAAATCCGACTCTATAGTTCTCTCATGAACCTCGTCGATAATGATGTGCTAGTTTAACGAAGGAATGAGCGGTCTAAGAGGGCGAAGTCACGGACAACCTTACAGTAATCTCGTCAAACGCAGTTCCTTGTCCATTGCTTGCAGAGCCGCCTTCCAGCATTCGAAGCGCAATGCCGTTCGTAACATATGCTAGCCTCGTATTGCGGGATATGTTGCTTTCCAAGCGAATAGAATAGCCAACAAGGGAATTGCTGGTTCCCACTACATTGGCCGGCTCGCCCAGCTCACGAGAAACACCTATACTTGTGCGTTAGTTTCGTTAGAAAACATTACAGAGGTGGATATGTACGTTGAGCGAGGGATACCGCCGAAATACGGCGAGGCTCGGTGCAGTAAACCCGGCACGGTTTGCCCTGAGAAAGACTGTGTTCCAGAATGAAGGCGGGCACCTGCGTTGATTTCCCACTAAAAAATCAAGTGGTCAATGTCAGAAGCAACACTCTATTGTGAGCTTGCAAGCCCACCATCCAGTTTCTCCGCTCAGCACGAGGACTTGTGAACTCTCGAGAATGTTGATGATGGTCTCTCGATATGCAGCAATTGGGAGACTATTGCGTTGCGCCTGGAAGAATAAAACATGAGTTAGCAGCATGATATCCAAGATGAAGGGCACGTACGAGCATCTCTTGATACGCAGCGCTAGCTTGGCGAGCTGCGAATGCCTCTGCGAGCTGAGGATCCACAACATCCCGAGGTTCGGAAACGACTTTAGATTTCCCTGCAACCGGCTGTCCATTGGATGCTCTTCCCATGGAACCTTGTGCCTACGGAGGTCTTGAGGATGGGCTGTTGGTGGAGCTGGCAAACACTTACCTTGTCGGCCATAGCCTTCTTTTCCTCGACTAGAGAACGCAACTTGGACCAAAGGGCAGCGTTTGTTTCATCGTCTCGGGCTTTCCTGACTGCCTCCAATTCGTCCCAAAGATCGCGGAATGCTGGTGGAAGGGCCCTGAAGAATGTATGACTGGCCCCTAGAAGTATGCTTCCAGCTGCAAACCCGTCGGTTGGGGGATAGGTAAGAGCATGTAATGCAACAGTGGCAATATACTGCTCTGCCTGAGCCTCATCCGGGCAAGCAACGTCTTCCATAACCCAGTCGTCACGCTTCTTGCCATCCCAGACGACACTCACGGCGGCACGAACAGCGCGACTCCCGCCCGATACAATACTGTAGGAAACAGCAGCATAGCGGTCAAGCTTCTGGACACAGTCCCGTAAAAGCAGTTTCGGAGTTCGTGATGACCACTGTTTGGGCATTCCCATCTCGCGAATGGACACGACTCGGCCGTCGGTGGTCGTTTCAGGCTGCGGGTCCAGCAAGTCAAGTAGTCCAAGAGAAGGTTCGTCGTCATCGTCAGGAGTGCTAGGTGTCTTTGGCTTGGAGGGCTGTTTGGATTTGCGGACCGGCTTTGTCCGGATGGGAGTCTGCGTCAGTTTGCCGCTCAGAAAATCCTGGTCGAACTTGGCTCGTCGCGAAAGGAAGTCCCTGTCAGCCGCTCGTTCGTCGAAAAGGATGTCTTGTTTGACCGTCTCTATCCGTTCCTTCAATCGTCGCAGCTTTGGGTCATATTCCTTCAAGCGACGGAGGGTCTGAAGCTCGTGGTATTTGAGCTTCAGGCGAACATATTCACCGTTGGGATCGTCGTCGTCACCAGATGGACCTTCGCTTTCGTCGTCACTGGCGGGTTGACTGGGCCCAGCTGAGGATGGAGGTTCGCTGGCAGAATCCGACCGGCGCATATTATTCTCACTGCCTGCAACACTTTGGGCATCAGATGAATCCGGTGTTTGCAGTCCACGAGGTACGAAAACCGCTGCGTTTGCGTCAAGAGCCTTGAGTTTGGATGTCAGCGAGGGAATAGGCGTTGTTGGGGTCGAAGAAACGCCGAATGATCCCTGTGGGGTCCGAGGTGTCTTGGGGGGCTCTTGGGGATCTAAAATCCAAGGTCAACGAGGGTAATAGATAAGATTCCGAATGACCTACCCCGGAAGCGTGCACCAAGTTCTTCTTCCGAGCAATTGATAGCAAGCTGGCGGATGTTGAATGAGCATTCTGGATCAGGTTGTCGAAAACGCATACCCATTCATATGCTTCGTCAAGATCAACACCTGAGATGGACCTCAGGCATTCGTCAACAATATTTTCGGCGAATCCAAGTCGCCTTAATACACCGTAGGTCAATGCAAGACGCGTTATGATCTTCTCTTCAGAATCGTCCAATGGCTTCTGGTCTATCGAACAAGGTGAGCATCTCAGTCCGTTGAAAGGAGGTGGCAACTACCATCCCAGCGTCTAGATTCATGAATGAGGTCGAATATCCGCTCCTTGATTTGGGCTTCTAGCTCCAAAGAAGGGAAAGTTTGCGAATGACGACGGTCGGCTTCAATCAACTAGAGCGATACCGATAAGGAACATAATAGGGAGGCGGAGAGAGTTCCTCTGACCTTAATGGTGCTTGTTCAGGGAGAAAAAAATAAATACAAGGAACTGGCCGAGCCTGGGTTAAAGCGTTACATACCGTGTTATTTCCTTCTCTAGTTTTTCTTGATGCTTTTCCATGATCGCCTGGGATGCTTGGTGCTGAACATCGACCGGATCTGGGCTAAACGGGCCAGGAAGGGACGTCGGCTTCTCAACGCCGTCCCCCGTCGCGTTGGGAATATCATTTGACTTTCCTTCAATTGTCGGTGCGGGTTCTTCCACCGTCGTGGCGGTCGGAACGGCTTTTTTGGGCACCGACGTTGTTGCAAAACCTCTAGCAACAGGCTTGAGTTGGGTTTTCTTCTTTTTTGGCGGCATGTTCGATGTTGAAACGTAGAAAGGATCAGAGATCCTCAAAGGTCGTGGTTTATATCAAGTGTCGTCGAGCAGTATTCCAGGATTATCGCAAATGTGTTGACGAGTGGTTCACGGATTCAGCAAGTAGAATGCACACGTCGGCAGCGATTATCTTGACTGGTACTGGGTGGTCGTTGAGGCAATGAGAGGGAGCAGAGAAGCATTAGATAGAGAGAAATCGATCTCCGAGGTGCGCATGTGGTCAAGTCAAGATGAAAAGCGCGGACCAGGCGCCTTCTTGTTTTTGCCTGTTGCGTTTGATGCCCGAGTCACACACCCACACACTTCAAATACTCAGGTCGATTCAAGAAATTGCAATCATAAAGTTCAAAGTATGAAGGGGTATACAAGGTCCAAAGGGTAAGCAAAGATCGACTATGCAACTGATAATACGTCAAACGTCTGTACTCTCGTCGTCATGCCATCGAATGAACTCAAAACAACGCAGCTACCACCAAACCCAGCACAGCAGTGAATCCAATCTTGCTTGCACCGAGTGCCATGGCGCTACCATCATCGTCAGCATCGTCGCTGCCCTCGTCCGAGGTGGACGGAACAGCAGTGCCGTTGAGGGTCTCCGCAACGTTTTGGAAAGCAGCAAAGCTTCGGCCAGAGGACTCGTCGCTGTTGATGGCACTATGGGATGGTTGGTGAGAATCAGTAACACTATCCGTCAAAGCGCGACTTACAAGACCATGCCAGCTCCACAGTGGCTTGTGGGAGTCCTTTGCCTGCAGTAAGCCCACTTGGGTGCAGTGTCGGTCACAGTGTAGTTCCAGGTAGGAAACTCAGTTGCGTCTGCAGCGACAAACTGGAAATCACTGTCAAAGCCGCCCTCGAGCCTACGGCAAGGATCCTCAAAGGAGGACTGGGTAACGGTGTGGTTCTTCTGTCTCTGGGTATCAGTACCTTTTCATAAATAAATCGATGTTTGTTCATCCATACCTGTCGGAACTCAAAGACGATGGTGTCCCTAGGAAGAGCGGAGACGAAAGGAGGGTCGAAAACAAGTCCGCTCTCACCACCGACAATGACCCTGTGGACCTCTCCCTCGAGGGTTGCTGGCGTAGCAGCCGGTGAACCAGGATATGAGCTATAAGTGGTTGTCCAGGTCGACGTCGAGAGGGTGATCACCTGGGTGATCAAAGTCGGGGTGGGTGCAGCTGGGATGGTCAGCCCTCCATATGCGGCCGTAGTGTGCTCGACTGGAGCAGGGGGCGCTTCGGCTTCGGCTTCGGCTTGCAGTTGTTTCCCTACCTCCAGGGCTGCATTCCGGAAGTTATGGAACGAGTTGGGTGCATCCTCGGGTCCGCAGTTGACTGCAAAAACCTATGGAATCGTCAGTTTCTTGGCTCCTGCGGGCTTGGCTAGGGGAAGGCTGCGAGTCTGGCCCGGCTCATCGGACGCAGGGTTCAACTCGATTGCCATCGGGAAAGCAGACATACCATGCCTTGTCCACAGTGCGAATTGGGCGTTCCTGCTGCCTGCGCGCAATAAATCCAAATAGGGTCGTGCTATAAGGGATGACATGTTGCCAGAGAGCGGATCCGATATGGCGACCAATGGATTTCGGATGAGAGGAGAGGGCAGAAGAGCATAATCAGAACTGGCCCAAAGTGATGATATACGTACATACGCTTGTAACATCGATCGTATAGGTGGGGAAAGTCGTTGTGTTGGCTGGGACAGGAACGCTAACAAGGGTTATCAATTGGCGCCCAAAACGAGGCCAAGCTGATACTCACAAGCCGGAGTCAATGTGGGTGCCTTCCCTACGGCCGCAAGGGTGGGCAAATGAGCTCTCCGTAACGGTGTGGTTCTTCGCCATGAAGTGGAATACGACTTGATCTCCAGGATCAGCATACTGAGAAGGAATGCGAGCCGTCAGCACATAAGCGCCCGTGCATAGCACTGAAACTTACGATAGCTTCTGGGCTGAAGGTTAGGCCGTTTGCCCCAACCTGAACATCGTGGACAACGGCAAAGGCAGCGGGAAGAAGCGCCAGGCCAACTGCGACAGATGATACGAACATCGCTTGCGATTTCGTCGAGTGCAGGAGTTGAACGTGAACGATTACAAGGGGTGGTAGTGAAAAAAGGAAAGGAGGGTCAATAGGCCTAGCCTAAAAAAAGTGGGTAACGAAGGGAAGAAAGAAGTGATGGGTTGTGAGGACTGTGCGCGAGGCAATTCTTATATACGGACGATCCGGAGTGCCTGGTAACCCTGGTGGCCATTGTTCGGAAATAGGATGGTGGGAATTACCATCAGACATCTTCGAGGGTTGTATTGTTTGCGGGAGCAGATTATGTATGATGCCTCAAGGCCTCACATGTGCACCGCCTTCATCAAACGTCGCAGGTTTTGGAACAGCAACAGTCACGCAGTCTGATGATGAGCAGCAAGTACATAAGAAAGACCATCCACATCAGTCCATCTCCCAAGTCCCTCATCGACCATCCCCCGGTGGGTTTCTGGTGTACTAAGAATGTCTTCTCGTAGGAACGCAAAACCTCTCCCAAAGTTCGAAATCGGTACGGCTATCTCCTCCACAATCTGGTACATCGCTTCACCGCCCATATTTACTAGGTGACGATTATCAGCTACTGCATGCGATTGGAGAAGGCGCATACGGGACAGTCGCTGCTGCTCTTCACAAGCCGACAGGGCGCCAGGTCGCCATAAAGAAAGTCCTCCCTTTCGACCATACATTGTTTTGCCTCCGAACCCTTCGAGAGCTCAAGTTGCTCAAGTTCTTCTCGGAGACTTGCGTCAACGAAAATGTAGATCCAGCTCCATCGTGCACCCTGTTACCTGCTGATGGCTTGCCAGATTATTTCAATCCTGGATATTATCAAGCCTCCTTCCCTTGAAGAGTTCAAGGAGATATACTGTAAGCTCGACGCCCGTACATCGTCCCTCAGTTCCGATTCCATGCCTTCCCTCAGTTATCCAGGAATTGATGCAGACTGACTTGCACCGTGTTATCCGTACTCAGCACCTCACGGACGACCACTGCCAAGTATGTCGCTTTCAATGACCCGTTCTCAATACACTACTGACCGTCTGTGTAGTACTTCGTTTACCAAACACTCCGGGCGCTCAAATCAATCCACAGCGCCGACATCGTCCACCGTGACCTCAAACCTGCTAACCTTCTTCTCAATGCCAATTGTGACCTGAAGGTTTGTGACTTTGGCCTGGCTCGCAGCGTGAAGACCAGCGTCCCCGCCGGGAAAGAAGTCGGTTTGATGACGGAGTACGTCGCCACTCGGTGGTACCGCGCTCCCGAGATCATGTTGTCCTTCAAGATGTACACCAAGGTAGGCGCCAGAAGTACGTGTCGTTGCTCCCGCTGGCTGAAATGTTGCCTAGGCAATTGACATCTGGGCTGTGGGCTGTATTCTTGCCGAACTTCTCACTGGAAGGCCCTTGTTCCCGGGTCGTGATTACAGCCATCAACTCGACCTGATCCTCGATGTGATTGGTTAGTTTTGCACGTTCTTTTGTCTCAAGATGGGATGTGCTAATTCCTATGCAGGCACGCCCAGTCTCGATGAGTTCTATGCTATTACTTCGCGGAGGTCTCGCGACTATATTCGTGCACTTCCCATCCGCAAGAAACGCCCTTTCCCCACACTTTTCCCGCACGCCTCGCAGGAAGCTATCGATTTCTTAACCAAGACCTTGGTCAGTGCCCATTACCACGATAATATATTGCAAATCGTATTTACACGCCATTCACCCTGCAGACCTTTGATCCAAAGAAACGAATGACTGTGGACGAGGCCTTGGAGCACCCTTATCTCGCGGCTTATGTACGTATTGATCGACCTTCCTGTCGATCCTGCAGGACCCTGATCAAAATCTAGCACGACCCCGAAGATGAGCCTGTCGTGACACCCCTTAGCCCGGACTACTTCGAATTCGACAGTAAGTCTTTGCGAGTGGCAAGCTATACGCTGACTTTGACACCTCTCGTCATCAGTGCACAAGGACGATCTCAGCAAAGACCAGCTGAAAGGTGCGCGCGAGTTCGACATACCATCCACTGCTGCGTAACTGACCCCCCGAGTAGAGCTCCTCTACCAGGAAGTTTTGTCTTTCACCCCTTCTATCTAGGACATGTTCTCTGTACTGCATCTAATGATTGCTGTGATATATACATCGATAATTGTATTTGAATACCGGAGGCACGAGGATACTGGTACAACTGGGTGTAGGATACCCTGATTAAAGCGCAAAATAAATATTAGCAGAACACGGAACGAAGGTAGAGGCTTTGCATGAAGATGTTACAGATACGATATGAATAGTGCCCAAATGCTAATAAAGGAAATTATAGTTAACTGAGAAGTGAAATGAAAGGAAGTTTGGGATGTCCATGCTGACGGCGCGGATCACCTGTGATCATCGCCGACCGCTCCAAAACCCAGAAGCAACGCCCTCAACACCAAAGTCACCAAACCGAGTCTCGTCTTCCAGTTCGGTACCGTACATGGTTTTCTTCGCCGGAGGTGGCTCAGGGAAGTTCATTGGATCCGTCGCGGACGCTGTTCGCACCATGGTCAAGCCAAGTCCAGCGGCAACATCATTGCTGCTGACTTCCCTTTGCTTACCATTCGAGGTGCCGCGTCCCCCTAGTACAGCAGGATCTACCGTCTCATCAGACTCAGATTCAGGGAAGCGGGGTCGACGGGGTGAAGGCAAACCGAAGGATTTGAAAATATCCGTCCGATCATCCTGGACACGTCCGAGATAGCCTATGCTATTGCTTGCGGGAGAAGGGGAGTTGGGCGGTTCAGGAAAAGGAAATGGTGGCATGAACGACGCCGGTGGGCCTGAAGGCCCTGCAGGGGTTGACGACATTGGCACAAAATTGAAGTTAAATGGGTTTTGGTTTTCTTCTTGGTGGGAAGAACCGGTTCCGGGTCGTGAACTTGAGTTGAGTGGAGGAGACGGAGCAAAGAAATCGGGGAGGGGGTTGTTGGGCGGAGGCTGGTCGACGAAATTCTCATCGAAACCCTCTTCGACTCCGTTGTATACCGTAAAGCTTGGAATCCTTGGAGCTGACAATTGTGCTGCAACGTCACTGGGTCTCCTGGATGGGCCAGCAACCGGAGGGTCAACAGTAACTGACAATCTTTGACGTTTCTTGTTAGGTCGCAGCACCTTCCTCGCCAACTCCTCTTCGGAAAAACCGTCTTGCTCACCCTCTTCCAGGATGCCTGTCATGTCACTCGTCCCTGAATCTCGAGGTCGTTTCCCTAGTGTCGTCGCGGTCGATTGCGGATGAGGCAAAGTACTGGGAGCAGTCGAAACTTCACGCCGCGGTGTGTTTAAAGGTGAAACATCGTCGTTGATTGGAGGGTAAGTGGCTGCCTTGAAAGCAGAAGGAAGGACACCTTGACTTTGAGAAACGTTAGGCACATGAACTCATCGAAGCACACACCAACGTACTTAATTAGCGGGATTTTAGGACTCTTTGCTTTAGGCGTAGACGGGAGAGGTGTCAACCGTTGCTCAGCTATGCCCCCCTTCAGCTCCTTCAACTCCTCTTCAATGGCGGACACCTTTGAGGATTCGGAGCGAAGTTCTTTCACTTCCGCTTCGAGTAAGGCATACCGTTTTTCGAGGTCTTCGAGTTTGGAAAGCTGGGTTTTCAACTCCAGAAGTTCAGCATTTCGCTGATGCAAGGACCGCAGCTCTTGCTCCATTTCCTGAAGCTGCGCCTTTAAGGGTGCAACCTGTCAACGGGATCGTTCAGGAAAAGCGCTCACAGGATGAAGTGATTGTAATTACAGCTTCAGAAATCCGTTCGGAGATAATGGCGTCAGAAACTGTGGCCAATGACCCTGACGGACCTGCAGCGCCAGGCGGGGGAGATACGTTGGGAGTCCCTGCGGTGTCCGTGAGGCTCGAGTGCGAACACATTCGACGGATTATACGTACCAGGCGATCCATTTACGCCCACCGAAAGCGTCGTCTCGGGTTCTGCGAGAAAGCATAAGTGGCTCAGATTATTCAAAATTCTACGACGGTCGTACCTTCTTCGATGGTGGGCTCCACTGGGTTCAACATCCGGCTAGGTTTTCCTCTCCTTGAGCGTTGCGTACTTGAAGCCCTTGTTACAGCTCGTGCACCCGCTCCTCCTGCAGCCTTTGGTCGTCCAACCCCCAGTCTTGTTTGAAGTTCCTTGGCCTTTCTCGTTCGAACTGGTGGTAAGGCTGGCGGGGGTGGCGGCTGTTCTAGGGCTATCGGGGTCGATTCCCGCGTCGACATCGTTTCTTCTTCCTGTTCTCTCTTCTCTTCAATGTCATGAATGACGAGGGAGGCCGTACGGCTTGGCTCGGCACGACTGGATCTCCTCGTCGAAACGGACCGTCGAATGGGTGAAGGAGGTGGTGCCGATCTTCAAAAGCATGAATGCGAGCCATGAACGGTTCGGAAAACACTATGACCCACTGAGTTTCGAGGAGCAAATCGATGAGTGCTTCAGTTTTTAGATTTGCCCGTACACCATAATCCTGTGACCAAAGTCAACATGCGAATAAATTCGAGGAAATAAACACCAACCTTGCACAGTCTCTGAAGGTCTGCCCTCTTCATCGACTCTAAAACCTCTCTCGACGGTAGCGGCGGCATCGCGTCCAGCGTTGAACGCCAACTGGACGATATTCGCAGTAACCGTTGGCTAATCGTGAGTCGGTTCCGAGTTTGGGAATCAAGCGACGTCGACCGAGGCGGCGTCGGTTCGAACTTCGAACCCATGCTCGATTATGTAAGAATTCTCACCGTGTTGCACAACAGGGAAACGATGCAGGTCACTCATAGACGATCTGCACTTGTTCATTTTTTGTAATTTGTATATGTAGCTGTCTAACAGTATTAGTTTCCGGAAGCTGGCCAGTGCGCTCAGAGCAAACACGGTGGAACTGGCAGTCGCGACTGTGTAATATGAATAAGTAAACCGCGAAGTAGTCACACCACGTGATGGGAGCAGCGGCTACATACGTCGTGTGACTCGCGTCGGCCTGCTCTCGTAAACTTCAGACTCGAGGGAGTCGGCTACCAAGCAAAGTGTCAACACCTATCGAGAATGAGGGCCATCCAATACCTCCCTTCTATTATTATGCTAGTTTTAGCAGTTTACCCGATTTATCTTATTGAAGCTCATTTGACTCCTGGTCATCTGGGCCGGTAACTGGTGCATCGGACCGATGTTCTGCATCTATCCGCGCACAGTTCCCGAGTGGGAGCATTTCGCAAAGGGTGCATGATCAGCACCTTCAAAGGAACTGGAGGGAACTGGCCATTTGTCTAGGTGACTTCCGCTCATGGTTTCTTCACAAGATCACTGTCGATTTGATCACTCGCCAATTCCGTGGGACGGTGGGGGCTCCGATATCTGAACACCGCTGCGCTTCACACTTCCTTCGTCCACTTCCACCCCCTCTCGCAACAATGCGCTCCTATAAGCTTCAAGATATTGCAAAGCACGACTCCGAAAGGTGAAGAGCCCTGTTACCGGGACCAATGTCACCAATCTGAACTCATTCGTGTCTAGGTCGTGCTGGGTCATCATCCACAACAAAGTCTACGATGTTACGGATTTTTTACATGTAAAGGCCCCCCTGATCACTGAGCGATGTCTTAGTGTTTATTGACCTGTTTTCTTCGTTCAGGAACATCCTGGTGGTGCCTCGGTAATTCTGAAATATGCTGGAAAGGATGCTACGCTGGCGTACGAACCAATCCACCCCCCTGACGCACTGGACAAGCACCTATCCCCATCCCAACATCTCGGCAATGTCGAGGCCGACGCGGCTCAGGCCCTAGAAGAAGAAAGGCAGAGCAGGCGCAAGACAAAGGACGAGATACGCACCGAAGAAGCCCATAAGCGCAAACCACCCCTCAGCAGGATTTTGAGCTTGGCGGACATGGAGGTGGGTCATCGCCACGAGGCTTTTGTCTGTTCCTAAGTTGATGGTGTTCACCGCAGAAAGTCGCAAGCCAGGTTCTCTCGCATAAAGCATGGGCTTATTACTCCTCTGCCGCCGACGAGGAAATCAGTACGCAACCTTCCATTTGGTGGAGTACCGTCTAGTAAACTGTATTGGTTGATGCATGTCTCCTCCAGCTCACCTTGAGAATGCCCGGGCATTCTCCCGGTTTTTCTTCCGCGCCCGCGTCATGAGGCCTGTCGGGGAATGTGATCCGTCTACTACCATTCTTGGATATCAATCTGCCATTCCCGTATTCGTGAGCGGTGCGGCGCTTGCGAAATTGGGACATCCAAAGGGTATGTTTGTTGGTATACTCACCAATTGACCCTTTCGATTTATAACACAATGCACTCCATAGGGGAAGTCAACATTACCAGGGGCGCGTGGAAGGAAGGCATTATTCAAATGGTCTCCTCTAATGCCTCTCTATCGTATACCGAGATCATGGCAGCCGCTGCACCATCGCAGGTATTGTTCTTCCAGTTATACAAGAACAAGGACGATTCCGTGGCAGTGGAGCGTGTTAGAGAGGTTGAGCGCTTGGGGTACCGGGCGATCTTCCTGACAGTCGATGCCATTGTAGCAGGAAACCGAGAGGCGGACATCCGGAGTCCCTGGACACTAGAAGACCAGGAAAGCGGAACTATCCCTGTCTGGGACGAGAACGTCCCCGTGGATGAGGTAAATCTCGGCGGAACGGCGGGAGCTTTGGTTAACAGGGACGATAAAGATATGACATGGGAAAAGGTATTTTCTCTCGATCGGGTCCGTCACTGTACCATGGAACTCACGGAATGGGCAGACCATACCATGGTTGCGAAGTATAACAAAACTCCCGATCGTCATTAAGGGTGCGTTCTCCGATGTCGCCTCACTCGGCAGTCGCTCAAAGGAATTTTAGGGATTCAATGTGTTGAGGTGATCTTTCTCCCGTTTTCGACTTTAGCAATCATATAAATGGTCAACAGGACGCTGTGGCCGCGGCAGACGCTGGCGTTGACGGAATCCTTCTGTCGAATCACGGAGGTAATTCCACTTCCATGTTATCGTCTGTTGCACGCTTTAACCAAGACATCGCAGGTCGACAGCTCGATTAGTACGTACCCGAGTTAGTTATGATGCAGTAGAACCTAATTATGCCTGATCAGCTCGCTACCCCCGATCGAGGTTCTCCATCGGATACGGCTCGAAAGACCTGACGTCTTCGACAGATTGGAAGGTGAATATTGCGTCTTTACTGCATGGCAATTGTGTACTGACATAGTCCCACATTCAGTCTACATCGATGGTCCGTAAATCCGGTATTTTGCCTTGCATATCACCAATTGACCACTTTATTAGGTGGTATATATCGTGGGACTGGTAAGGAGGGGACGGTGCTATCCGGGTTTGTGTTTTGACGCAGCTTTAGATGTTGTTAAGGCACTGTGCCTGGGAGCAAGAGCAGTTGGCCTAGGCAGGGCCTTTTTGTACGCCCAAAGTGTGCGTCGAATGTTTGATTCCTATGTCTGAAGGGCGACTCATAAACCTCAGGCCTATGGAGAAGCCGGAGTGATAAAGATTACTCAGCTGCTGAAGCGCGAGATCGTAACCGCGATGCGGCTGGTCGGGGCTCGTAATGTGGCCGAACTCAAGTCAGAGATGGTGCGGACACAGTTGATCGTTTGCTTCACTTGCTGATGCCGTCTGTAGGTTGAGCGCGTTGATTGGCAACCCCTGCTGAGACCTAAGTTATGAAACGGTCCCCATCGTTCTCACCTCGAAGAAACATTTTGATGCGCAGGAGTCGTAGTGTTCGCGTCGATGGTATCAAAGTAGTTTCTCAGTCTTCTAAAGTGAATCAACTTTGAACTCTGTACTGTTCCATACCACTGCTACCTTGGACATATGCTATCAATTATTTCATAGTCAATTCCAGTCGGCACAAGTAATGACAGTCCGACTGCCAGGGCCGACGCCCGAGTCGGTTCTCCCACGTGATCGTTGTTCAACGCGGTGAGCAGCACATTTATGGGGGGTCAGGTCCTTGGACTCATTGTTCAAGCTGTCTCCCTCAGTCAGCAGATTGCATCCCTCCTTTCGAGTTGAATTTCTGGAGTGATGGGTTTCTGTCGTAGATGTGGCGAGATAGTGGCCGGAGAACGCTGCAGATGCGGTGGCTCACCAGCAGGTAAGTTCACTGTGACGTATGCGAGGCAGACTAATGATACTCGTTTTCAATAGCACCCATCGTAGCTTTCAAGAAAGCTCTTAGTGACGCATCTGCTCAAGACAAATGGACAAAAACCTACGTTGCCTGTAACAGGTCACCCTCCCCAACGCGTCCTGGGACGGTTCAGAGCTCTGTAGAGGCCCTCAATCGTAATACCAGCAATCCCCCTTCACCGACTAAGAGGTTCCCAAGACCTTTGCAGTCGTCTACCAGCAACGCACCACAGCTAAGCAGCCAAGTCTCCCAGCACATTGCATCCACGACATCGACCTTGCGACCCAAATCACCCTTGAAGCAAGCGATAACCGTTCCTGATCCATCCTCCGACATCATTCCATCACTCGTGGACAACACGCTGTCCAAGGTCTATGGATCTGTATTGCAGCCAAAGGAGACGCTTTCTAGCTACTCGTGTGCTCTCTGTTCAAGTCGCTTTCCACCAGACGCCACCATCTATCCAGATCCTTCACGTCCGAATGCGAACAACCCTCGCTTCCTGTGTCGACCATGTTATGAAGAGAATGGCGGGTCCAAAGGTCCTTGTGGTGCCTGCTCTCGCCCAGTCCTAACCCTCAAGTCTGAAGGGGGATTTGTCCAGGCCGCCAGCAAGTATTGGCACAAGCGCTGTTTCGACTGTGCAGGTTGCCAGAAGAACATCGGAGATAGACCCATGGTGGACCTGTTGGGACGGCCGTGCTGCGTCGATTGCTTCGACAACTGTCTCAAACGAGAAACTCCCCAGAAACCCAAGCCTAGCTCGAGTGTTGCTGCCAATGGCGCTGATTCACCGAAGGCAGAAACGAAGCCGAGCAATGTCGGGGGGCTCAGCAAGACGCCGCCAGGAGTGAAGGTGGCAAGGGAATCAAGTCCTACAATCGAAGAGCTTGAGCATCGCTTGGGGATTGCCCGTCGGGAGAGCAGTCCTGTTCTCGAAGAACTCTCGCAGCGTTTGAGTTCGATTGGGAAGGACATCAACCATAGATACTCCACTGGCAGTCCTTCCCCTAGCCCTCTCAACAAGCGGACTGGGGGACGACCCTCATACCCACTTGGGGAGAGCTCGTCGCATTCCCAGCCACCCTCTAGCCGGCTTCAAAGCCCGGCCAGGCGGCAAAGCAGTCCTGCCCCCACTGCCGAGGCGATTCAGGAAATGAAGCAACGTCTTTTTGCAGGCGCGTCCACCCCTTCATCTCCACCAAGATCGCCCGCCTTTCCCTCAGTACACATCGTTTCCCGTATTGACCGTCATGCCAGTTCAACTGTTTCGTCATCTTCTATTAGCGACCTCGATTCCTTGTACAGCCCTCTGCCTGTCACCCCTGATTTGATCTCAGATTTCTCGGACAACACTACCCAATCCTCGTTCTCCGAGCCTCCTGATTCCCCTCCCCGTCGACCTGATGATGTTGAGCTGCTCATGTCATCGGTGACACAGAGGAAGACAACCGCTTCCCGATACAACCGGAGTGACATCTTTAGCCCGCTCGATGATCCTATCATCGAGGAAACGAACAGCCAGCTCAACACCCCAGTCAAGACGCCAACAAAGAATGGCGCGACACCTTCAAGGACCCCCGTGGAAATCAGTCCATTGCGCCTGAGGAAGAAGTCGTCTACACCTCTCAAACGCGATCCAGAACCAGCCGCTGTTCCTTCAGCCTGTCGGAAATGCGGCGGCAAGCTGTTCACCGTCGGAAATGACTCCACGTTTGTGACGTTGTCTTCGGCGGAGCAAGGCAAGCCCTCGGAGGTCTACCACACTCGCTGTTTCACCTGCAGCATCTGTAACGGGACGTTCGAGAGCGAGAAAAAAGGACAAGCAAGCTTCGTCAGACACAACGGTAAACCATGCCACGCTGAAGTATGTCCCTTTCATCCATTCCCAAACTCAAATTAACTGCTCTCTTCCTAGTGTGCACCTAAAGAACGGATCACGATCCACAAATCGCCTAGTACGCCCGCACTGAGGAGCTATGTCACAAGTCTCAAACGAGAAGAAGATCCACCTAGCCCCTCACCTTCGCGAGCTCGTTCTTCAACCCATCGCCCCACTTCAAGTCGATTCGAGCCAACTGCACTGGCCGCTCCCACCAATCCTCAGCCAGCCCCTCGCTTTGGCAGTCGGACTGTTTGCCCAGGTTGCAAGAAAGCGGTCTCTCCCATGGAACGCGGCGTTATTCCAGGACCTCAGGGTACGAAGTGGCATTCATCTTGCCTTGTTTGTGGGGGAAAGAAAACCAGACCCGTGAGCTGGTATGGTACCCGAAAGGATGAGAAGAATCCTACTCCTGGATGTGGTAAGAAACTCGACAGCGCTGCGAAGAGTGATGGGGAAGGCGGTGTATGGTGTAGGGAATGCATGGTATGGTGCTTTCGATTGACGCGACGTTTTCTGTGCTGATGTTCTCGATTTCATTCGTAGCTTCTTCTAGGCTTGGCAAGTTCTCCACAACCGTCACCTGTGCGAACCGTACTCTCCCCGACTTATACTGGCTCCGGAAAAGTGGTCCCGCAATTCACGGGCACGACGACGATTGCCCGTCAGTTTACTGGTGCAGGTGGAGGAGGCGAGGCGGCCCTACTCCGACAGCTTACGGGCGGTGGCTTAAATCCAACTAGAAGCATCAGTCCAACCAAGCAACTAGGCAGTGGCGGAGTAAGGCCACGACCCAAGAGTGTTTTGGGAATGAGGAACACCAAGAGTGTGGACGAAGGAAGAGGGATGTTTCTGGTAAGACAATTTACCGGCGCTTCATCCAGCACTGGTTGGAGCCATGACCCGTAGGCATGCATTCGGGTTCGACCCAAGTAACGAGCTTTTCGCATCAAGAATTTCATGGACTGCAGTAGTTAGTATCAGTAGTGGTAGTGTCGATTTGCTATCCTGTTTTCGTTGTTTTAGGTTGTGTGATTTAGATGTACATCTCCCTATGTTGACGCCTCTGCGTTCGTTTCTGTCATTTCCTGCTCGAGCGATGGTGATAAGGTGGTCGTCCAGGAACCCATCACTATGTAAGTAGGTTCAGACGTTGCAGTTCCAATGAGGCCAGACAGAGCCTGGGAGCGACGCGGTCGCGATGTTGTCAAGGTCTATTCGGCTGTAATCAAGGGTAATGTTGTCCCTGATGCTGTCTCCATCTTTTCTTTTCTCCACTCGAGTTCCTGCATTTGACGTCCTGGTCGACCAGGGTTCGTCTTTTCGACTGCGTGTTCAGTCGCAGTCGACCCATCCTTCCTTCGTCACTCTTTTCGACTTCGCTGTGGGGCTCGCCCGGGTTTGACGATTATCAGGCTCGAGCTTCCTTCCCTCTTGAATTGATTTCCACCCAGCTCAGGAGCTGTTTACATTTACTCTGTTACCTGCTGTAGAACAACCCGCCGCCTGTTAGGGTTGTCATACATGCAGTTATCACAACCCGCGACCCCGTACCATGACCCGTGTTCTTGTTTCTCGAGCGGCGCTGGCGCTCAGTGACGATGCTGGAGTGAGTGCTATCCGGTCCTGAACGCACATCGGCAACTCACAGCGATAACCAGTTCGAATGTATCCTCACAGCAATTCCTCTACTGTCCACAGGGATTATGTCCATGGCCATCTTCACCTTTCTGTTGATTATGAGAAGGACAGACCGGTGCGCCACCAACCTACTAGAGTCACTGCCCTCGCACTATGCTAATTCTCAGACTAAATCAGCCTTGTCACTCTGCTGTTTTCTGCATGTTTTATCGGTTTCCTTGCTGCAATTATCGACTTGGGGCAAATCCTCATCCGTGGCCATACCAACATCGCCAATGGCCTTGGTCTCCGAGCGGTTACCGGCTTCATTCGTGCACGCGAAGTCTTCCTGTCTCTCTCTGCCGGATTCCTGTATCTGTTTTACTGGTCTTTTGCTGGCCATCGACCTTACCCAATGGACAAAGAAGCAGAGAAGAGCGTACCCATGGGATCCATGATGAGTCCAGTGCACTGTGCTCAGTGGGAACGCTGGGGTTATATCGGAATAGCCCTCAAGTGGTCTTCTCTCGTCGCATGCCTGCTCATCGTGGCCCTTCAAATGGTTTGGAGGCTTGCACCACAGCACAACCTCTATGGAAATATTTATGTCGCTTCTTCCACCATTGAAACCACCGTTTCCGCCATATTTATCCTTAAGCTATTGCTCAATTTCTATCTAACCCCAGCGGATTCACAGAAACGCGTTCTTCTGAACTACATAACACCAATCGTCGCCTTCGTAATCAGCGCTGGGCTTGGTGTTGGGAATCTTGTCGTTTGTTGGTGGCTGTCTCTCATGCCTGTACAATTGAATGCTGACCCTTGCCTCGTAGTTGCCTTCACCGAAACCTCGTTGGGACGCTTTCTCCGAGGAGTCGAAGTTTACCTCCTGTTCATCTATTATCTCGTCTTCACCTTCCGCAAGCATGTCCGCTCGACGGCAAGCACACGCCCGTCGGTCATCGAGATCTTCCAGGAGGACGAGAAAGAGCGGTTTGGCGGCCGCCCTGGTTCCCAATGGATATTACCAACAACCACTCCGCCTTTGGATCCTTTGAGCCGCCTTGCTCACCAGAGTAACCGCACCTCAGCATTCTCTAAAGTCTCGTCATGGATTGCTTCCGCTCGCAATTCACGACGGTTGACGGTGACGGAGCAGTTTACCCGACCTAAGAGTTGGCGCCTAACCCTCAACCGCCCAGAATCGGGCATCTCTCTGGGCTCGGACCTTCTTGCAACCCCGACGATGAAGACAGCACAGGAGGCCGACTTGGGCTCGGATGCACCTCTGGGGAACAACACCAACACGGCTACATTGAAGACCGCTCCTTCTTGCACCGGTGATGATAGGTCGATGACCGAAGTCACCTTCTCTTATTATGGCGTGGAGCATAGTCCCATGGCTACGGGACAAACCATTCCCCTCCCGGATCGAGATTCCAGCATCCTCGGGACTGCATCACCAGTATACGGTCTGAATGGGATCATATTGCCCACGAAGGCGAAGGTTGATGCAGAATCCACGCTCCAGGCTCCTCCTCCCGCCGTTACCTCTCCTTCCCCCGGCGACGTGACTCCGGTCACCAAGCTTTTCCAAGAACAAAGCATACTTGACCAGAGCATAGCCGTCTTACGTCGTGTCCGTTTCGAACAGGACGAAGATAAGCGGCCCAATAATCCTTCAGCAGATTCGGTGGAGTCAGCGAGGTCAGCGGCGACTCGGTCAACGATCTACAGCAGCAAAGTGTCCTCCCCAAATGCTAGCGACTTCTCTCTGTCCGTGTTTCCGGAGCCACCTACCACCCCCGCACCGCAAACGCCCTCAGCAACGGGGTTCAGACAACTCCCGCCTCGTCCCACGAGCCCGGGAAATTTCTTGAGACCCAGTCTCAAGCGGACACCGCCCACTGGCATTATTCCCATCCAACTGGAACTCTCACAACGCCCAGATAGTGCTTCTGGGCTTCCATTCTCTCCAAATTTTGACTCTGCTGGAACCCAATACGATGTCACATCATTCATTGGCGGTAATTGTCCCCCTTTCCCTTCGACTTCGACTTCGACATGCTAACGTGCGAGAGTAGATCTTTCCAGTCCTCGTGGCTACCCTCCGTTCAGCGGCTATATCGCGTCCAGCGGAATAATGCCCAATAGCGGCGCTCTCAGTATACAGTCGACCGACGATGGCGATGGGTGGGAGCGCCCGGCCGCTGCAGACACGCCCCCAACGTCTACGACATACATCGAGGACAGTTCCCCGCCTCCGGCTGTCGCTTCGGAAACAGGTTTGGAAACGCCCCCTCCGGCACCAACTACAACTTCAGCACCCCCACTAAGAAGGACTCCCAGTCGCCCTCTTGGGTCAGCAACCATGTCGAGCTCTTTACCGAAGCCAGGACAGAAACCTGTCGAACAACAGTCGCAATTGCCCCCACAAAACTTGGCATTGAGGACGTTCCTGACGAGAAATGGAAGTAACTCATCGACGGGAAGCCGTGTTGTCCCTCCTTTGGGGCCTCGGCATTCTCGCAACAACTCGCTGGCGAGTACAATCCGGGCACCAGGGCGAATACCCACGAATCCTATCTAGGCATGTTCTGCTGTATGTACTCTTTGTTTAGAAAGGAATCCTTGTATGTGCGTAGTATTGTTGTATCAAGCGATGTACCTTGGGATCATGACGTCACCGTCAATCACTATAACATCCCGATGCAAGTCACGGTCGGTTTGACTACATAACGCGCCAATGTCTTCCTTCCCCGACTATTACGAGCTTTTGAATGTGCCCAAGTCTGCGACCCAGGACGAAATCAAACAGGCTTATCGCAAGGAATCTTTAAAGTATGTTCGCATTTGGATATGCACGACCTCGCGTGTTGACTCCGGTGTCGACGTGCAGGACACACCCAGACAGACTGGTGAATGTGACACCAGCAGAGAAGCGGAGAGCCACTGAGCGCTTCCAGGTTAACGTTTAACCCTGCCGCGTCGAACCGTCGTATCTTACTGAAAGGGGCCCATAGGCTGTCGCCGATGCCTACTACGTCTTGAGCGATCCTAAACGCCGACAAGAGTACGATCACCTATATGGCGCACGAGCAGACCGCTCCACCGACCCTAATGCCTCCTCCAACTTCTTTACCCAATTCACAAATGCCTTTGCCGGTGCTTCCTCGTCTCAGACTGGGCCTTCTCCTGCTACATCAGCCGCACAACCCGACGCCAACGGTGTCTTTGCCGATGCTTTCGAGGAGGTGTGTTCTCATCCCCTTCATTTAATGAACCGTCCTCATGCCTCTTGCACTTTAAGCTGCTGAGACCAGAAGTCGAACGAATTGCGCCTTGGTGGAGCTGGGTCGGTGCCCTCAGCGGCGCAAGTCTCGGCTTCATCGTGGCTAACCTACCCGGCCTCATGGTCGGTGCAGTCGCCGGCAATAGACTTGGGGCAATCAGGGATGCCAAAGGCAAGCCCGTTGCTGTTGTCTTCTCTCAGCTGGCTGGTAATCAAAAGGCGGAGGTAAGGTTCTAGTGTTCGAACCAGGGAAAGTAACTAAATTACCACTAAATCACTGTAGATCTTGAAGGCTTTGGCTATGAAGGTCTTAGGAACAGCTTTCAGTTAAATCCAGTACTGGGTTCGTACTGCCTTCAGACGATATCATAGTTGTCCAGGGTATTTTGGAAATTTAAATGGCTTTTCGATGATGCATGTGCATTGTGCACGGTGTGTTCTGCTTTGTACTCAACTTACTGGCGTTTAACGTTTAACGTGGTAATGTATCTAAATAATGGTTACATGAGAGTTCTATGAAAACAGGTTTGGGCGTTAACTAATCTATAGTACAATAAATACGGCGGAACTGACCGAATGCAAAAGGCTGTTGGGCGTGACGATGAAAAGTCCAAAAGGTTGCTACTACTTTTGTTCCAGGAAAAACCTCATACAGAGTGTCATTAAGTTAATAGTTTGCGTAACGTTGTGTGCCAGATCGAGCGTGTCCCGTCTTCATCGCCAAAGGTCTCCAGCATCATGCGAGAACCCGTTATGGTGAGGGTCGCTGTGAACTATTGAAGCATAGTCGTTTATACTTCCAGCGCCGTTGGCGAATGCGAGTGTAATCGCCGCCAGCGTGTGATCCGAGTCCTTTGCATTCATGATGGATGCTCCACTCGGGGCGAGGGCTGGAGCAACGGAAGGGCTTGGTGCGCCTGCTGTAGTGGTGGAGACGAGATGGGACGAGATAGACCCGGTCGTTGTGCTTGGCCAGTTGTCCATCTGGACATCGCGGCGCGTCGATTCGCTCTGTGCTCCATTTCCATATATTATTTGGATGTCATCGTCGTCAGACTCGTCGGAGGTGGTTGAAGAGTGGGGCCATGGATGGCTTGTGCTGGACATCGTCGGTGAAAGCGAGTGTGAACGCAGGGTAGGCCTTCCCCGTTCACCAACCCCCCGATTCGACCATACATGCTCGTGCTCGCGCATACGATGTATAAGACCTTCCCCGCTCTCTGCCACACTTCTCTGCAAGTCCCAAAACGCAATAGAGTGCGAGTTACACGCCTCGCCAAAGTTATTGTCTGAGACGTCCATAAAGCTTGAGCTCGAGGATTGCGTTGGTGTTCTCCGCGATATGCTCTTCCTGTATCCCTTGGCAAGCGGAAGATCGAAGTCGTCCGATGTCGTTGCAAAAATAGTTTGCGCTGAACGCAAGTAACCTTGCGCAGAGAGGGGCCCAGTGTCTGTGAAATCGTTCCGCTTGTCAGGCAACTGGAGAGCTGTGTCCAGAGGCTTGAGCACGCACCTGAGCAGACCGATAGGTTCCGCAGCCGCCGTTTGCTTCGCCTCCTTGAGCTGGCATCTGATTTTCTCCTGGAGGAGCGATCTTTTAAAGGAGTGGATGGGTTGAGGCCATAGCTTCGCTTGAGCGAGGCGACTTTCCGAGAATGAGTAGTGAGGGAGGCTGGCGAAAGAATATAGCGTGCCGACGCTGAAAGAGATCTGCGACGATAACAGGCGGCTTTGTGAGAGGACATTCGGTCGTGGAGAAAACGGAGGAAAGAGCTCAAGACGCGTCAAGATATTTTGTTTTCCAAAATTCCATCCTCCTTGATTTGATATGACGAGTAACATCCCGATCCGGAAATGGATTGTCTCTGATCAGGAAACTCTAATCTCCCAGAAACACAATTATCAATGTCTGCGCTATTGTACACTGTCTACACTGGCAATGAACCGTCCTTTCCCAGATTCAGTTCGAAAGAACAATAATCTCGTAGAAAACGAGGGGAACTCCTAGTCAAAATGTCAGTATGCCGAACTGGAAACGATTCATGGGACCTTACATCCCGGAAGGTACTACTACCTCCCGATGACCCGGGCGATAATGCCTTCAGCAATGCCTCTCCGGGATGTCTGAGCCGTTCCCTCAACCTCATCAAAAAATCTGTGGTAGTTCTCTTCTCGTATTCCAGCAGTTTGCTGAGCGAGCCATACAGGCTGACTGTCCACGGTGTGGGGAAGACATAGTCCTCTGTGGACGGATTTAGTATGGACTTTTTTTAGACAGAGGACCGCAAATCCCGGACATACTTAGCTCCGGAGAAGAGTGCAACAGCTTGACGAGGGCAAAGCAAATAGAGGATGACGCAAGAAGGGCAATGGTCTCCGCTTCGCCTGTGTACGTGAACGTACCCGCCAATATAACGGACAAGGAAGTTTGGAAATAATTCCAAGCTAGAGTGACCAAAAGTCTGGATTTAGTCGGCACCTTTTTCGTCAGAAGATAATGTGCATATATAGCTGAATGGCGATGTTAAGAATTATTATCCGAGTTTAAAATGGCTACTCACAGGCTGTGGTCAAGCAAATGCCACCAGACGCTACCGATGATGATAATTCATACAACTGCGGCTTCGTCACAAAAGCGAGAAACCCATCTTCGTCTCGAACGATTGATATGGCAATGAGAACTGTGTTTCGTAGTTCGCAGTACCCGGGAAGTGTTTTGTGATTTTCTTCCCCTAGCACCTGCACCACCGTTCCCAGCAGTGACAGCCCGGAAAACAAAAGTATAAACTTTCCGCTAGAATGCCACATGATTGCCATAAAGTCCAGAGTCAACTTGGCTGCTCGCCAGCCTCCTGTTTCCATGCTCCCAAGAGAACTAAAAAAATCGTGAGAACAGTATACCTGTGAAGGTAGTCGTATAGCGAACCTTCTGCAGTGTATGATTGCTAGGACAATGTATCAGCCACGGCGACGTCAAGTCTTCTTGTAGCTCACCTCGATCGAGATTGTCCAAGTAAGAGCCTCTTCTTGGTGACGTCAATAGTCTCAAGAAACAAGTTGCCAAGATGGTCGGATCTGTCAGCGTAAGAACCTCCATGATGACTTCTTTAGCTGCGAAGTGGGTCAGATACGAACACAATGCAGGGCTGGACGGAACAACCTTCCAGTTCCTGGTAACCGTGACCGAGATGCGAATATACATAGAGTATTGAATCAATACACTGCAGCATAATGCTATCTTGGTCGCTCCCGGAAAGCTGAAGTATGGCTCGAAGGGAACAAGTACCCATCAGCAGAACCTCAAGCAAGTGGCTAGGCCCCCCGTCTTCAGGCGTGACGACGAATTCCTGTACCAAAGAAGAGAACAAATGCTATCGCAATGTCAAGATTCATGTTTTGATTGTAAGTTTTATTCTCACCGATAGCATGAGCTTGGAGGCCGCGACATTTGCCAGCAGTCCAGTTCGAATGTGTGACTCCAATGCTTGTTCTTGGGCCATGTGCTCGCGGCTTTTGGATAAATGAAAAAACCATGTGGCAGTCTTGTGGTGCAGTATCAGCATAGGATCAAAGGGAGGTCAAGGACACGAACCAGAGCGATGACTTGTTCCGAGTTTGCAGCCCGAGCATCGTTCCAAACAGTCCAACACCACGGGACAAAATCGTCGAACAACACCAATAGCCTCTGGGGGCCGTTCAACGTGAGCAGCGGCATGCAATGGGCCTCCTTCCGAGAGCCGATGACTATTCCTACAAGTTCAAGTAGGAAGCTTAGCGATCGAGGGCGGAACGAAGGGGGTGGCACGGCCCCAGATGCACCGGAGCAGGCCCGGTGTATTTTCTATAACGCCATGTCACGCGTCAAGGCAGTCTATCCGTTAAGGATGGGTAGATCGCACCGAAAAGAGACAAAGAAAGACACTGGCGATGACACTCTTGTGAGCCATATTCGAATCCCGTGCAAGAAGACATGGTCCTTGCTGCGAGTTCTCGATGCACCGGTACAAGTGCTCCAAAATCTTGTTACCAGTGTCCGTCCTATAAATATTAAGCATATCATCCCTGCAACGCAAGGAATGTCACAAACGGAATGTCATCCTCTTCGCCCAGACAATAGGCGATAAACAGGAGGTGAAGCGCACATCTTTGTATAATGGGGAAGTGGGCAGTTTTCGACAGTATAGACGGCAGACTATTCCATGAATCTAAGGATAAGTCCCGGGTTGTCAGAGAAATCAAGGCGGAAATGTGATCATGCATTTGTACCTGGTAATTGTCTTATCGCATTCCGGAGAGCTGTATATTGTTGGGCGCGAAGTGTAGAGGGCAGCTTTTCGTCAAGTAATTCACCAGAGCACTGCATAGTCAAAATGTTGTTGACGGTCAACAGCCGGAACAGGATGCCCTCCACTGTCTGAACTACAACGAATTGCTTCCCTCGAGAGGCCTGACGCTGCTTGAAAAGCGACCAAAGGCTACCGGGCCGCGCTCGGTGCCCAAGTCAATACACGTAGAGAGGCAGGAAGAAGAGAAGTACCAAGAAGTAAGAAAACAGCCATCGTCTGCTTCGACAACAACTCCCTAGAAGACACGGCACGTTCGATCCCGTCCAAGAAACCGAGAATCACTGAAAGGTGCAAAGGAACCTCATCCCTTTCGAGCTAGGTACAGGGTGTTAGCGACATTCAAGGAGTATACAGACGCATATATTCACCATCTGACCGCTCTTTTGCTCCAGCTCCCTTATGGCTTCCGCTGTCCTTTGGTTTATGTCGTGGTTCATAGGATGAAGAGCGATGCTTCTACATTCCGCAGTAAATTCTTCAAGTTCGCTGTGCGACGAAGAGGATTCCGTCTCAGACTTCTGGTACATAGTCCTAGTAGGTGGTGGATACGATAAGAGAATATTTCCTGCGGCTGGAAACGAGAGATGTGCGCACCCCGTGACCAAGTGACCAAGAGCCGCCGTTGACATCGAGTTTGCTAAGACCCCAGGATAACACCTCCGATTTTTCAGGGAAAATCACAATCCATTAATGTCTTTCACAAAAAGTGTAATATCGCTTTGGCACTGTAGATGTTCATCGTTATGCGAGAATACAGCCTCAAAGGTTGCGCCAGATGCCTCGGTCTAGTATACATTAGTTAGGCGGACTACGATTGACAAGAATGAAGTACGTACCATAACATCGCAGAACTCCAGGTCCTCCCATGCTTCATCATCTTCATTTCGAATAATCTGTAGCATTTCTCTTCTTGCTGCAGAGATGCCTCCACCGGGAAAGCCCTTATCATCAGCACGTTTAGCAGAAACTTGAACTTCTTTCGCCTCTCCCGCTGGAGCCTTCTTCTCCTTCTTAGTCACGACCACAGGGTTCGGATCGTCGGGATCTGGTGGTGGACCGTCGTCTGAGTCAGAGTCGTATCCGCCCTTGCGTGTTTTCCGTGACTGCGCGTCGAGGTATGTCAGAGTCGGTCGGAATTGGTGAGTCTGGCTGACGGGTTGGAGGTGTAGTTTGCCTTGGGACCAGTTAGTAGATGATTTTGAGTAATCGCGCTAGGAGATACCATCTCTGACGATACCCAACATGTAGGTCCCTCGCTGTGGAATCTCCTCGCTTCGTAGTCGGATTTCGTTCAGTCTCGGCTCTTCTCCTTCCTTCAGCTTCAATTTTGGCTCTTGATTCTTTTCGCGGTCGTCCTCTACTCGCGCAGCACCAAGCTCTTTCGATTTGTCGACGTTCCACACGTCCGGACGTGTGTCAACAGGAACGTGAATTTCGAACCGTCGCGTATTGGGTTTTAGACGGCTAGTGATGTGTTTTCCTGCTCTTTCTGCAGATGGTGGCACTTGAAGTGGTCGTGTGAGAAGGGGGAATTGGTGCAAATGGAGATTCGGCGTGAGCGAGGTCGACAGGTGGATTGGAATAGACCTGACGAGTTCATCTTGAAGAAGTTCGTCATCGTCCATGGTTCCTACCTTGGGAGTTCAAGTTGCAATCGAGCCTGAAGTGAGGCCCTGAGACCTGAAATTCTGATACTTCTCACGCCTGACATATCGACAGGGGCTCCTTCCCCAAGCAGTAACTTCTGCACTATTTAGCTTTTCATGGGGTATCGTAAATAATCCATTGTTCTTTCCTCATTCCTGGTGACATGAGGGCAACTATTAGTACATGTGTTATATCCATCGCTGCGTAGATCCCATTCGGGTTTCCTGCCCCGACGGATCTGGTAATATTTCTACTGAGTAGATGCTCAGAGAATCGCGACCCACTGCTCGGAACGACGCGCCGTTAGTCAATACGATAATGATAGATCGAATCAAAACCCACCTTTCGATGCAGTGGCATGAGATTGCCACGATATCTTCCGCTGTCGAACGGGCTCCGACTGGAAATCCTGGATGTTATTTTGGTCACCCTGCTTCGTCGCATTCCTTGCGGACACCGCGGCAGGGGTTGTATGAGCTGGTAACGGTGGTGAAGGCTCGATGGTCCCAAAATTCCATGAAAATCGTTCCTCCTCGAGTGGTCGTGCCTCGTCAAATGGATCGCTGGGGTCCCTGTTGCTAGCAGCACGACCAGGGAAGGACCGTTCCCTCTTCTTCGAGAGGACGGACCGTGACCGTCGCGTAGCCACAGTGCTTCTACTCTCCCAAGTAGGGTTCCTAGTGGGCCCGCGTGTAAGGGCTGTTCGAGATGCAGCGGAGTGTTGTATCCAACTCTCCCTCTCGTGTCGATGAATTACCCGTCCAAGACTATGGACGATAAGAAGTGAGATAAAGGCCCCTAAAAACAGTTGAGCCAAGCTCGTTATATCGGAATGAGAAGCTTACAGTTTACTGCAATCCAACCAGTGACACTCAGGCAAGTCTTGAAATTGACACTGATGGCTACGAGAATGGCGACGACTGTGCATGTCGACGTTATAAATGTCGTGTAGAGAAGCTTTGGGCACTGGTTAGCCACTGGTAAAGGTCATGCAGTGTAAGCCTACCTCATCGCTCAAGACCTGTCGAAATAGTTCCATCCGAGGGAATAGGCGGCTCAAACCACTGTTGATTGATAGCGAGGGGGACGAGGAATGGTGAGTGCGAGGGTGATTGGGAAGGCCTCCGGTCAAGCGGGTATGGGGGTCATCATGGAGCTCCTTGGGTTCCGCTGTCATTAAATGCGAAGGGACCTGCAGTGGGCATTTCGTGCGTCTGACGAAAAGATGTTTCAGCCACAAAAAGGACCCTTCTCGAGGAGGCTTCTCTCGTCTATTGGAATCATTTGTCCGTGGAACGTAATCCCACCAGCCTCGTCCTTGAGGTTGCTGACGAATTTCTTCCTCGCAACACGCTGGCAACTCGAGCTCCGTGTCTTCCATGGAAAGTCTTAGCGAGATGCGGCCTCTTGCTGCAGGGTTGCTATGTGACCTGTAAGAGGCGTACACGACTGGGAGAAGGGTCAGTATCGTTGGTTGCGCAGATTAACTGGTTTGCCCTTACAGCAAAGACAAACGAAGAGGCCCTGAAGCACCTGTAAACCGACGAATATCCGCGCATAAAGGAGATTGATTCTCTGCACGCATCCGCCTATCATCAAAGAGATCTGATAAGTGGCCATCGGCTTGTCAACGACATAAGGCTCACCAACTAAGCGGCGAATTCCACGGGTTTGAATCACGTCGGCAATGACTACAGCTGATGCAGCTCCTTGGAGCACGAACAACACGAGTGGAACGATTCGAGAATTCTCCAGACATTTGTAGGCTTTGATACCCAAAATTCCCGATATCTGTTAGAATAAATGAGATCTTCCGGAGTTTGGGAGACAACCATAAATTCTCTTACCAGGATCCCCAGGGATACCATTGCCCCTAAGCATGATAACCTAACGACACTAAGATGGATAAGGTCAGCGCAGATGCTTCGGCATGAAGAACAGAGCAGCTTGCCTGGTGCAGTCGATGCTTTCCCAGAAATATGACAGGACCAGCGGTGTCAAACTGACTGGAGCCACTAGCTGGCTGGTGAGGAGGAGATAGAATAATATTTTCTTCTTCACCTTTCCTCGTCTAATGTAGTCGGCGGAGGTGATGATGTTTCGAATGAAGACCGCCGAAAGAGCACCTAGTACGAATAGGCTGAAGCTTGCATTGAAGAGATCTTCGCTGAATGGAGGTGTAACGAGGGAGCCGTCCATTAAAGGTCTGTATGTAGGTTGAAACGAGCGTATTGGCGTTGGCCGATACCACATTTCGTAGTCTTGGATGACCAGCGTCGTTGTTAGTTCGACAACTACTTCTGAGTGCCTGCATCGCGTCGGAGTGGGTGTTATCGATGGCTGGGAAGAACTGGATGCCGGCGAGGAATGTGCGTCCTGAGGAGACGAAGGGGTGGCTGACGCCGAATCTTGCGGTGGAGGAATAGCGTTAGGATCCAGAGCCCCCGTACTCATGGTAGCCTGAGGCCGACAGTGGGTTGAAAGAGAACGACGAAAATGTCTGAAGAGTAGTGACAGGAGGGTTGAAGAGACTAGCTCAAGGGTACTCGAACGCCAGCGTCATGAAAAGAAAGTCAGGAGAATGGATAGACGTGGGGATATTAGAGATTTCGCGGTATGCGAAAGCATCTGGAAGGAGTTCGTTGACAGGAGGGTGGGGAAGGCTCCCGTAGCCATGCGCACCATAAAAAGGTTAAAGTCTCCCGTGCAATAACAGACAATTACCCTTGATTCACCCCTCGTGGAACTGCAGTAAATTAGAGCGGTCTGATCCACGCTAAGAGGTACATGTGACCGTGGAGGGTAAGATTTTCCCAGTGTTGCGATAGCAGTTGCCTTGGCCAACGAGAGATGCCACAGCGGCTGCGAAACTCTGCGAAACCAGGATCCAACGACAGTTATAGAAACGCTGATGGAAATTGTGGTCATGATGGTTAGAGGTCAAGAGAGCATCCGAGCAACTTTCCCATGATGCAAGCGAAATCGGCAAACCGCGTCCTCCACGATCATCGCGACTGCCGTCACCTAAAATCTTCCCAATTCCCCACCTTCCCCAGCTGAACGCTTTCGAGAAGTTTTTTTTTTTACCTATTCTATATACCGCAATGTCCGCGAAGGGTCCCGTTATTGTCATCACAGGAACACCAGGAACAGGAAAATCTACCCATGCGCAACTGCTGGCCCAGGAATCGCCAGTCCCGTTGAAACACATCAACGTAGGCGATTTGGTCAAGGAAAAGGGATTCTACGAGGAATTTGATCAGGAGTGGGAAAGCTACACGGTGGATGAAGACAAGGTTCGCGCCGAACGCCGCCTTTTCTACAAGCTTAGGCCATTCAAACTCTTACTAGTTGCTGGACGAACTCGAATTAATAGTGGAAGAGGGTGGTGTCATCCTCGATTGGCACACATGCGAGATTTTCCCTGAACGATGGCCCGACCTGGTGGTCGTTCTGCGATGCGACCATGGTAAACTGTGGGAGCGACTCGAACAACGGTTGGATCTATTCACATTGACGTGAGGGTCAGCAACTGAGCGCTATCGTGTTCACAGGAACTATCCATTGAAAAAAATCCAAGAAAACAATCAAGCAGAGATCATGCAAGTTGTCCTCGAAGAGGCTCGATCCTCTTATCCGGAAGAAATTGTAGTGGAACTGCAAAGTGAATCGATGGAAGACTTGGAAGGAAATGTTGGGCGTCTAGTGGAATGGGTTACACAATGGCGAAAGGAACACTGATCTGAGGTTTTGACATGGTTCGGTCAGTCACCTTTCAGGCCAGTCGCCAGTCTGTATCAGGAATGCAAATTACTGAAAAAGCGCAGACGAGCAACCAGATCTAAAAGAAGAAGCTAGCAACTGTTAGAGTCGCAATGATCAACGTGTTCTTGACGTCAAACGGAGCGGAACCACTTGATCCATCGCTCTCTGCGGCATTTACTGGAAAGAAGCTGGAGAGGTCTTGTGTTCTCATGGCCATGGTCGTGGTGAAAGTCGTGGTGGACCTGGATCGGATTGACAATGAGAATTACGCCAATATTGCTAGTAAAACTCACGTTTTCATATTGCCATTCTCCGAGAACACTGTCGGCTGCTCAACAACTGCCGTGATGGTCGTCATTTCAGACGGATCGCCGGTACGGGTAGGAACTGGTTGACCCTCGCTCATAGTGAAAGTATAGATGGTTGGAGCGATATCTGCTGGGATGAATGGGGGTTCTGGGAGTGCCAGATCTGCTTGGGGTTGGTCCTCAAGTGCGTTCTGAATGCCGGGGCAGTCCTCTCCAGGGGATGGGTTTCGGATTGAAATCGGAATGGGAGTTATGGCATAGACAAAATCACCGTCGAAATTGGACTTTTCGTAAAACGTCATCTGTTCACCCCTGTAAGCGAGCGATTCGGAAATTGGGAGCGGTCAAGGATTCAAGGAACGCCTACATTATACCGGCCGGGTCTAATGCAAGAGGGTATCTGCCAATTCAAGTGACGAACAGTGCCCGTTTCGTCTGTCAGAAGCTGGGGACCAATGGACACCGTGAGATTGGTGTCGGTTTGGGACGATACAAGGAATATGTTCAACTCCTCATATGAAGTCGGAAGCCCAGATTCTGGCAGCAGGCCGTCGAATGGTATCCTGCCGTTTCCAGAAACCTTGATACTTGTCAGTCCGGGCTCAACCGACAGTAAATTGGAGGGAGCGAACAGACCTCTATTGAAATAGGTAAAGTACCCGGAGCGTTATGTTCGCTGTGAATCTAGTGAGCCAGACTTCCATAGGACACGTCAAGAGTATCAATCGCACGAGTTTGGAGCTGGGGCATTTATGATTGCCAATCCTCGACTGTGTGTCTGGCCATTAACCGGAGTTTGGGCAAAAACTTGAAGGAGTGTCGATGTAAACGAGTGGAAAAGGACGGCGCGACCCAGCGCGCGAACGTTGAATTTCATGGTGATATCGAGAGTTCAAAATGTAGGAAAAGAGGCCAGAAAAGTGTCTATCGACTCCATCAGACGTGTTTATATGGATGCAATAGGGTTGTGAAGTAAGTTGATAGAGAAACGGATGACAGTTGAGTGACGGCGTTACCGGTGATGATCTCTCTAGTGCCTCCGACGGTCCACTCCCTTCATCCTGTTTGTTCTGATCTACCATTGAACTCCAGCCCGTTTCCCAACCGTTTCCACTCCATGGCAGCGTCTGCACCGGAAGCGACAGCAACAGATGCACAACCGCAACAAACCGCTTCGTCTTCAAAGACGCCTTTGTATGAGGCGAGCACTCAGTACCGGAATTGGAGATTCTCTCGAGAAAGCCTCGCCCAGATGCGAGCGTCAATGAATGAAGCCGCTGTCAAAGCTATTCGTAGCAAGATTGAGGCAAACGAGGTGCGTTGTTTTAGGTGTACCCAAGTCACCAAGGCGTACAAGGCTCACCAGTGAACGTGGTAGCCAGGATCCTCGGCAAATACGACTTTCCTGACACCCGACGAGGAGGTCTTGCTGGTCAAGCTCTACGTGGCCCAGGTTATCGCTGCGGGTAACAAAGTTAGAGCCCAACAAGAAACTGTGTCGACGGCAATGAGTTATCTTAAACGGTTCTACCTGAGGAATACTGTCATGGATTGGCACCCCCGAAACGTTATGTACGGACCCTCGAATTCTGGTTCCCGTCGCAACGCTGGCTCATTGACGTTAGGTTAACTTGCTTGTTCCTCGCAACCAAAACATGCAATGCCCCGTTATCCATCGAGTATTTCGTTCAGCAATTCCAGAAAACGGAGCCTTCTGATGTCCTCGATCTGGAGTTTCTAGTCGCTCAGTCACTGTCCTTCGAGTTCTCAGTGTGGCATGCACAGCGAGCGCTGTGGGGTATATGGCTGGACATTCAGGCAAAGTCATTTATCGCTCCTTGGGAACAGAATACTAACTTACTTCTAGTCCCTCCCTGATTTAACCATAGATCTCCAAGAATCTGTGTACAATGCTGCAATGGCTCAGGTACAAGCTTCAAGGTTCACCGACGCAGAATTCATCTACACCCCATCACAAATTGCACTGGCAAGCCTTGCCCTCACCCTCCCAGATGCAGCCAAGGCATGGTTCAACTCCAAACAATCGGAAGCTCACCCAATTGATTGGGCTGTCATCGAAGAAATCATGAACTTGATCACTACGGAAGGCAGGCCACCCAACATCGACACCGTTCGCGAGATCGATAGGCGCTTGAAGTTGTGCAAGAACCCGGAGAAGGTGCCTGGAAGTAAAGCCTATGTTGCTAAAAAGATGCTCGAGGAGAAGAGGGCGGAGGAGAGGAGGAACAGAAAGGCTGCGGAGGCCCAGAAAGCAATTGAAGAGGACCCTTTCGGAAGCGATGTTGCCAAACCACGGATAGCTCTTGTCGATTACGATGATGACGACGACGACGACGATTAATTGCCATTACACCTGTCGCCTCCCTCGCGCGTCAAATTGTTACGAACGAGGCAGCATATCGGATCAGGGTAGTTAGGCCGGTACCACTACTGGTTGAGGCCTGCGAAGGGAACGCCGAGGGAAACGTCAATGACGCTCTGATTCGGGGTTACCTAGGGAATTTCGTCAAGATTGAAGGCTCATTTGACGTTGTGTATGATAGTACCTTCTTCGACTTGTACTCTTTGCACAAAGTGCCAAGTGAGTGCTACTGATATGCACGCGTCTGCCATCAATAGATCACGTGTGGAGAGTTGATGGCCGAGTTACTTTGATTAGCTCCAGTCAGATTCGAGGAGTTGAGTATTCCTATCACATCATGGATCCACCACAAAGCTCGTCGCGGACCTCATTCTCTGGCCCTTATAGCGTCGCACAAGGGCCAGTACCCTTATTTGACCTCCACCTCAAGTTCATTTCAGATTCCTATCTCAGCTTCTTCCAAGAACGGTAAGCATTTGGGGCCGGAAGTTGAACCAGAGTTCTCTGACGTCTTCTAGGAAGCGGATAGAGGAAGTATAGTATGTGTGGCTCCTTTTCTCTTCATATCAAGCCTAAATGTACTCTTCAGCCTAGAATCCCTGAAGAAACTTCATCGCAAGATCAAAGCTGTCGATGCATCCTTGGATGACAGGAGCGACCTCTCCACAACCCGCAGCGTTTGGTCTGAGGTCGTTGAGAATGTCGAACGGGGCAAGTTCATCGCTATGGGTCAATATGCACCTTTCCCTGACTTTCAGTAGAGGCCCAGGCACGCAATGCATTCTGTGCCACCCTTACAAGCGATGTCATCAACCCTCTCGTTGCATTGAAGGCAAGCATGCCGCACCAATCGTTGAGGGCTGGGATGATTTACCAGTGAATAGGAAACACAAGAGCGAACACGTAAACGTATAAAGGAAGACATAAAGGAGTCTACAACAGCGTATACGGAGTATGCAGAGGGTATGCTTCCTCGATTGAAGAACCGATACACCAAGAAGTTCAGCGAAGTAGAGGTGGGTCTATACGGCCGTTCTTTACTCGAGCTCACCGCACACCATATGTTAAGGAAGAAAAACGGAGCAATGCTCTTCCCCCATTAACCCCTGCGCAGTCACCTCCGGACTCGAATATTAACCCCCATTCGAGGTCTAATCCCAACCTGCCTTCAAGACCTGTAGTGACTGGTCCCCAGCCGCTTCGCGCCCTTGATCGCCGCCCATCCGCCAGTGCTCCTCGAAATCGCTCACCCTCTTCCTCTGGTGCTCTCTCAGACCTGGCACATCATGGTATACGACCTACCAACCTTTTTCCACTGAACTTGCTGACTCCTTCAAAGGGAAGAAGCACATAAATCAACTCATAGGAGGATTCCTCGAGAAAGGTGGAGTCAAGGAGACGCTCTCCGGCGTGCGGGAACACCAGGCCCTTCGAACGGTGAGAGCAAAGCGGGAAGCCGATGAAGCAGGTACAGCGGCATCGTACGCGTGCAATGGGTGTCGAGGTTGACGGTGCTTTCAGATAAAGAATATCGGAAAGGTGTACATTGGCTCGAGACACTGCGGTTAAGGAGGACAAAGATATTGGAGAGTGGCTACAAGGTTAGTTCGGATGCTTGCCACTTTATCATATCCGCTAGAACACCTCCCCAGAGTTTGGAAATGTTTGTTGAAGAGTCTGCGACGGCAGTTAAGAAAGTGCTGGAACGCTATACCGACCATCTGACGTGCGTTTCTCTACATGTGCGTTCCATACATTCATCTCATCTTACCCTTCAGAGCCACATACTCCACTCAATCCCATCTATGCGCCCACGCACGGACTTATGTCGATCGGATTTCTCCAGAAAGAGATTTGGTCAAGCTGAAAGCCAACATTCCTCGTTCTTTGGCGTCCGCCATTCCCGAACCCATTCTTTACGAACACGGACAGGTTGGCGAATGCAATGACTTGATCTTTGGCTTCAGTCTGGTGGATTATGCCACGGCAAAGGGCCTAGGAGAAAGAGAAATACCAAAGATTGTTAGGTTGTGCATCGAAGAAATAGATAGGCGAGGGTTGGATTCCGAGGGTATTTATAGGGTATGTTTTATTCAAGAATGTTCGCGTGGTGATCTGAGCAACTAACCTGAATTGAACAGGTATCGGGCCGTCATGCAGTAGTGCAGGCAGTAGGTATCTTTGTATCAGCGGGATCGTATCTTAACATCAATACTGACTTTGTCCCAAGCTTCAGCACGACATCGAAAAGGACGAATCGGAATTTCAATTTACCCCCAAAGACGATATATACGCTGTAGCGTCATTGTTGAAGGTAGGTTATTCAGCCGAGCGCCAATCACTTGTAAACTAAATTGGACCCGTCTCTAGCTATATCTCCGCGAGCTTCCAGAGCCTCTTTTCAAGTTTTCATGGCAGGATCGCGTTCAACACACCTTGGACAGAGGTAGGTGACAATTCTCTGCTACTTCTCCTCGTACACTAAAATCAAGATGTAGCTGAGCATGTGGCCAATAACTTTATGCTTCTTCGCTCGAAAATTCGTCGACTCCCTTCGGTCCACCAGGCAACGTTGAGGGCGCTCATCGAACACCTGAGTAGGGTAGTGGCACGCAGCGAGAAGAATAAGATGGATCCTAAAAACGTGGCCATCGTGTTTGGAGGGGTTATATTTGGCGATGGCGACGAGATGCCTAAAGGAGGGGACCTTCTAAGCATGCAATCCGTCAAGGTAAAAGGTTTTGAACCGTACTTCAATAGTCCTAACAGTGGCCTTTAGGATACTGTGATGGAGGACCTCATCATCCACGTCAATAAGATATTCGGAGACAACGAGCAGAGTGGTGGCCCTTATTCCCCTCCTCTCCCCCCTACACCGGCGACGGAAGCGCCTATACCCCAATATTACGGATCCAAGAGCACCAAGGTCGCCAGTGTACCTCCAGGCAATAATCACCCTGGCTCTCCTCAAGATTTCACCCCTCGTCTTCCTCCAAGGCCGACGAACAGCATCCATCCATCCGCCCGCAATGCTGGTTCACCGATAAAACCCCGAGCAGACCCACTGCCCATTCCGATCCAAAGAGACATGTCTATCGACGAATTCTCAATCCCCCCATCCCCTTCAGATATTTCGACATCGCTGGACACCGATGAGGACATTGCCCTACACACGCGGGAGACCACCTCCAGCAGTACAGGAACAGAGAGCGGCGAGAAGAAGAGAAGCACTCCACCGTCTCCTCAGAAATACCCTTTCCCGTCTACCCAAACCCCCGGTTCTACACCGTCGAAGAATCGTACGGAGCTTCCGGGAAACACATCTCCAAAGGACACAGACCCATTCCGGTAGGGTCATTGAAGGGATCTTCACTTCCGTTTTCCGACCACCGTTTGGTCCTTCGCTCCACTTTCATACTTCGACTCTTTGTTATCTTGGCTTTTGCAGGGGTGAGAGCACTGTGGTACTTATTAACTTTGTCCTTGGTTCCAATCCACCAATTTGTGTATCCTTTCTTTCTCCTGTACTTTTCGCTAGCGATGGTGCGTATACAGGATATCTGTATGTATGTAATAGTCCATAGCATGTCGACCATTAAATTTGTGCCCAGGTCACGTCAAACTGCAGGCACTTGCGGTCAACTTTGAGATGCGCTATTCCATCGGAGAGAAAACGCATGGCGTCGAGATATATTGTCGTGGCATTCCTGTATGCTGCATTGCATTGAGGTAAAACATAGTCTGTCTCCTAGCCATGAACACAAAGAGTTCGCAAACAAAGATATGAATGGGACACCAGATCTTGTTTTGCATGGTAGGAAAACATTGCTGTTGGCATCTCTTTGACCTCCTCGACCCATTGTCCGAGGACGGTTCGGGAGGCTTCGAAAGAGCCGTGTCAAGGCGATACGGGTGGAAATGGGTATCATTCGGGGGTGTGAGGTAGTGTACATTGCATTAGAAACCTGAACCGAAAATCAGCGCAATACATTGAGAAAGGATGAAAGACACATACAACAATCACAATCGAAAGGACACAAGGGGGTGTCTGACGTAGTGGGATGGTGAAAAGTAGAAATGTGCCGATTGCAATACGCTTACCACCTCCTTCATGAGATATTCCGAGCTCGTCTTCTTTGTAGATCGTCCAACCCTCTTCGGTTGTCCGTCCTGATAAGAATAAATGTTAGTCTGCGATGCTATGGTGCGATGACAGAATAACCCAGATACGAACGGCCGCTGGTGCCCCGCGAGTCCTTGAACTTTTCTTCTTCCTCCTTGTCAACCTTTTTCTTCTTTGATTTCTTGCCATCGCCGTCCAAAGCTGTGTTCGGTTTATGGCGTTTAGCGGACGCCACTTGCTGGCTGGGGTCAACAATGGTTTCTGGGGCAGGGCGCTTTTTAGAAGACTCCTTCTCTTTTGGCTGGTTTGCTGGTGCCGGATCTGGTTTTGATTTGTCCTTGGACTTTTTCTTCTTCTTCTTGGAGGAGGAAGGATCTGATAAGTCTTTGGGATGTTCAGTGACAATCTGTTTCGCCTTGCCCTTCGAGGCAAAGATGTCGTCGATTTCCGACATTTTTTGAGATGTGGATGAGAGAAAAAAGCAGCGAGGCGTTGATTGCCAAATTTAGGCCGGCGTCATGTGATTGCCTGCCACTGGTTGTTTATCGGAAAGACCGGTTACAGGAAGAACGGAAATGACGGAGAAAGCGAAGATGGAGCAGGAAGCTGACTGTCCCTCGTTGTAAATGCAAAGATACTGTTCAGAAAGAGACGCAGAGGCGCAAAGTAACATAGAATGAGGGATTGGTGGATTTCATGAGCGGGATCCCGATTCGGCAAGTCGCGGCGATGCGAGGAAACAACTCAACCCTGAACCACACGTCGGAAGTTGGAAAAAGTGAGCGCGGCTTCGCAAGGATGCTGTAAGTTGGCAGTTGGACTCGAAATTGACTGTGGGCTGATAACCTGGTTGTATGCAGCCCACAGACGCAGCAGCAAGGCCATGGCCATGGGTTTGGGGTGAATAATTTCAATCTGGACCCATCACAGGCCGCCAAGCAGATGGCACTGTTAACGGCTGCTCAGAATGCACGGATTGGAGGAAATCCTCGCCCATACCTCGGAGGAAATCAGCCTCCAAACCATGACCTCTTAAGCTCGGGGGCTGCCCCGGTTCCACATGCCCGACATCAGATACCGAATACTGCTAATCCCAATGCTCCCATCCCGCCTCTTCTTGAACCATCAATGTCCAACCCTCCAAATTCCCGCGTATCCCAGCAGCGTCAACATGGTTTCCTCCAGGGCCTTCATAACCTAATGGCCATCAGAGGCATGCCTTTGCCACCCGCTCTCACAGGAATACCCGTTCCAAACTATGACCATTCAACTTCTCCGTGGTCAGCTATCGAACCCGGTTCAGAAGTCGGCACATTCAAAGTTGCAGGAAAGGACGTCAATCTCTTTCGATTGTGGGGCACCGTTTTTCAGAACGGTGGCGGTCGTGTAGTAAGTCTCATCCTTTTCCCGATTCCCGCCCGTTATGGTTGACCGCGTCACCACAGCTCGAAGCCAACAACGCCTGGGCTTCACTTCTGCCCCAGTTCGACCTCCCCGAAGAGTTTCCCACCGTCCAGGCCAATGGGTCAACTTCAGTGGCAAAGATGCTATCCCAGTATTACATGGCTATCTTGCTTCCCTTTGAAGAGTCGTACCGGAAGAACATGCAGGAGAACCAGCGCAAAGCCAGCCTTGCCAATCGTCAGGCAATGATGGGAAACGCCCCAATGCCTGGGTCCCAGCCTATGCCTCAACAGGCTATTCCCAACAACGCCGCACAAATGCAACGCAATGTGAACACACCGGTGCAAGGAATGGTGGGAGGAGGTCAACCTGCAAATGGCATGCCACGTTATCCCTCGATGCCTCCACAACCCCAGTCTCGCCCTGCATCTGGGATGTTAATGCAAGGGGCAGATTCAATGCTTCCAACGAACCACGCTCCAGATTTGAATATGCTTGATCAGGACGGGCAAGGCATCAAGAGGAAGCTGGAAATTGGTGACCTAGAGAAAAGAGCCCGACCGAGAACAGGTCAGTTAATCGTAATCAGCCCAGATACAGTCGGACTCACTTGTCACTTCTCTCGTTAGAACCTCAACCTGGAAGTCCAGTAAGCAGTTCCACCTATCACACCTACATCACAATCTGAGTTTTGTTTAGATGTCCATACCGAGTATGGACCGAAACCCTTCAGAACCCCCGCCCCAGGTCCCCCAAGCTCCTTCAGCCCCGGCAGTAGCCCCACCGCGACCGCGAACTCAGCCCTCGCGCCGCAAGATTGAATACATCCCCCTTGCACGCGAGGTCGATACCTATGGGGGTAGGGATCTTCGGTTCATCGAAGGAGAGACGGTATTCAGCGCGCAGAGAAGACCTCTCCGCGAGTTGAACGATTGGGGCACGGTGGATATCGAATGCCTCACCATGTCGATTCGTTCACGCCTTGGGCCTGAACTGTCCTATGCTCTCACCACTTTTACGCTCCTTTCGACTATGCGAGGGCAAACCCCAGGATCAGGCTTCCCAATCCAGCAATGCCCCGATCTGTTGGAGGAGGCGCTCGACCTCGTGGAGGATATCGCATTTGGAGGGTATGAAGAGTCACACGACCCGACGCTCGACTCATTCGATGACGACGCATCCATCGTCACAAACCATCAGCTCGTCAACCACATTCTGGACGAGCAAAGTCTTCCCTTTGCTGGCCTTGAACCACATCAAGGTTCTAAAGACGCCGATTTGGGCCCGCAACAGCGACCCGCCAATTATATTGTCACCGTCTTCAATATTATCCGCAACTTGACGGTTATCGACGACAACATCCGGTATCTTGCCCACCATACCCGGCTACTGGACGTGCTACTGCGCACCTGTAAAGTGGTGGAAAAGGATGGCGCCTTCAAGCCTGCCTCCCCGGCTCTCTCACTCAACGACTTGGTCCTCATCCGGAAGGACATGTTGTACTCCCTTCTCGCCCTTTCTGGGTTCACCAACCTCGCATCACCCGACATCCCCCCGAAAGCCGCCTCTCGGATAACGAAGCGTATATTTGAACTCATCGCCTCTTACCTGATTGATCCTCAAGAAGCGGTCCCTCCAACATACTCCGTTCAGCATATAGGCATTCCGTTCGGTGGCAACATGCGGCCTTCGACATTGGTCCAAATTGCCCTAGAAACCTGGAATCATTTCAGCCAACCCGATCCCATTCGCAAATTGATGGTCAAGGCCATTCCTCATCATTTGCTATGGACTCTCTTCGAAGCTCTGGTCCATCGCCTTCCCATGTCCGACCTCGACTTCCAATTGGTTTCTCGCGAGATTTGGCTATCGCATCTCGAGGCAATCATCATGGCCATCTATTCCCTCGCTTTTATGGCGCCGCCGGACCTGAAAGAAAAGATGCGAAGTGACAGAAAGCTCAAATTCAATGCCATCTCTGCTCGGATGTTGCAGCGATTCTTCATGAATGGTGCTGAGCTCAGGGCGATCTTTCTCGTCTGTGCGAGGCGTGTTACGGAGACGTTGAAGGTCCTGGACGACAAAAAGGACCCGTTCGAGAATCCGGTAGATTCAACGGGACCGACGTTGTCTTTTGGAATGGGGTTCGCGGACGCATCGGATAACGGACCAGAAAAGGGAACTGGGCTTCTCGGTGGTTATAGCAGGGATCTCTGGCCGACATTAACACTGAGAGAGGTCCAGAGCGATGAGATCATGTTTGGGGAGCTGGAAAGCCTTGTCCGGGTGGAGTGTCAGTGAGCATTTTGATTATTTAGCCATGTATGCTTGTTATTAGTTGTGTTTTTGCTTTGCATCTCTTCGTCTCTTCGTTTTTGTGTACATGTACATACCACCAGGGTTCCAGTTATTTGATGTCTGATTCAACCATATCTTCAACTTGGTCTGCTGGCATCAATCGGTATAAGTGATCGCGACCGCACGTGAGGCTGTGATGAGGCAACCAGTGGTGAAGGCTGTTACCCCCGCTGCAACCATTTGAAACAGGATTCTACACTCATGGCTTTGTCAACCACAATCCATGGACCACTCAATCCCGCCCCCTCCAAGCTACTCTCAGCAAGACCCAGCGTATGAAGAACCTCAAATCATTCTGGTCCCGACTGTCGATGCAGTCAACTTTCAGAAGGGATATCTGGGTGCTGACGGTGAACGCGCAGCAATCGAGGGAGAAATACAAGTTAAAGGTATCGATCCCAAGCGGTGGACACGAGTGTGAGTCCTTTTCACAGTTTCTTTTCTACCCGCAGCAGCTGACAGTCATTCAGAACTGTATCCCTGCGCACATATGAGATGGCCTACCAGCATGAGATCGAGCTCACTCTGACTGAACTTGAGCTGTACTCGCGGCGTTCAGGACCGCTTGGGACGTCTTCCTTTCCTTCGACGTTTCCCTTCTCGATCCCATTGATGCCCGACACCCCCCAATCCATCCAAACCCCGCATTCTGTTCTTGCTCATACATTGACAGCATCTTTGCATCCTGTCAATCCAGCAGAAGCGCCTATTTCCAAGTCGCTCACGGTTCATACCCGAAGATATACATCGTCTTCGTCTACGATACCTACCTCCCCAGAGACCTACGCCTTGGACGAACCGACGAGAGTGGAAGTTCAGGTCCCAAGGACGACGTTCTCCTCAGGTGAAGACATCCCCCTATACATCACCGTTCCACCCCCGACCCGCGAAACTGTGGTCGATAAAGGCCTGAGGATCCGCAACATTCGCGCTGAATTGGTTCGGGCAATCAAAGTCAGGCGACAGCTCGATGCTGAATCTGAAGGTGATTCAGACGTTGACAGATCCGTTGCATCAGACGAGGCCTCGTTCACGAGCAACAACACTCTTGCAGAGCCCGACGACCCTTCGTCATCTTCCAAGGCCCCATTCTCTCCTCTGTTTCTAGGATCCACCTCCCGCACGGTGATTGCACGCTCTGGCGCGTCTTGTCGGTTCCACACTTCACGTCCCATCCAGTTGCGTTTTATACTCCATCAAACGCCGGGAAATACCACACCCTCTGAGTCCCGTACTAGTCTAGCAGGGACAGAATCCAACCGCCTCGAAAGCGATGCAGAGAGTGCACTCATCACTCAACTGACACTTCTTCACAACGTGACATTTCATATCAAAGTATACATATCGCTTGTGGACACCACCAACCACAGTGAGCGTATCTCAACAATCACAATACCTATTGTGATATCGCCCCCTCCTGCACCGCTCCCCCAGGTGTCTCAGGCCATAGACGAAGCATACTCGAAGAAGCACGATCGACCACCTGCCCGGACGAACAGATACGAAGAGGACAGCACGGTTCCTTACTACACGGTGAACGAACCAGGACCTAGTATGTACCCCGGAGCCCCTCCCCCGTTTGACGACCGAGAAGCTCCTCCACCATTTTTTGCTACGGAACTAGAAGCCTCGACGTCGTCACGCCTGCCAACATTTCAAGAGTCGGAGAATGAGATCATTCTTCCTGATCCTGAAGAGAGCAGTAGTTCTCTTCCGCCTATTGTCCCTGCTATCAGCGGGGAGGGGACTCTGTTTGGATTTCCGGCCTCACAGCAATTCGATGGACATGCCGAAGACATGCAACGCTCTTCCACTCCACCACCGACCCTCGAGATGGCGAGCCATGATACTGATCTGACTTCGTTAGCGGATCTCCACGACTCTGGACATGCCACGATCGAGGCTATTGGCCTAGTTCTGGAGCCCAACAATCAAGTTCTGAACAGAGACATGCATGAGCTTCATGAACCGCCTCCGCCCCCACCTCCCATGGACGACCCTTTGGACCCTCCTCCCTCCATTGATTCGGCGTTTAGAACCCCAGAAACTATGGGCCAGCGCCCAACCACACCGCCCTTACCACCGTATCTTGTTCCCGAACATCACCACACTCATCTGGATCATGGACATCATGAAGAGCACGAACACGTTAGTGGACCCCCGCCATATGTGGACTGACAGTTATTCTTGAATCCGTCCTCTAGCGTAGTGTATAAAGTCGGATATTAAAACAAACGAGTACGGGCAATGCGTAAACGGGACGGACATGTAGAGAGAGGATAAGAGGGGCTCTGTGGTTCCTTGAAGACCGTATCATAATATAAAAGGGAAGTCATGACGGAAGCGTAGACCTTGGCAGAGGGAATGGCAACCATTTCTCAGCAGTTGCAAGCATCCTTGGGTTTCGCTGCATTCTGGTCCAGATTGACGTTCTGGGATTGTGAACCTTCCGCACGGGCTCCGTTCACACCTGGTCGTCCTGCGTTGCCTCTAGAAGAGGCTAGGATATGCTCGATGGGAATTTTCTTGGCTGCGCAACATGAGCGCTCAGGATGACCGATGTGAGGAGATAGGCACGTACCAATCTCAGTGAAGATTTCCACAATTCCTTCGCCTGTCTTCGCAGAGGTTTCGAAGAAGAGGAGGCCTGCTTCCTGTGCGTATGCCTGAGCCTCCTCTCGGGGGACCTGTCTCAAGCTTTCAGGCTCGGCGGACGAAGCAGGAGCTTCTCCACCCGTCGCGGTAGCATCATCCGCCTCGTCCTCTGATTCTGAGGAAGCACCGGTACCCGAGGAAGATGACGAAGGCTGGACGAGATCGACCTTGTTTCCGGCGAGGGCGATGACGATATTGGGGTTGGCCTGACGCTGGAGTTCCTTCACCCATGACTTGGCCTTTTCCAGACTACTGGCCTTAGTAACATCATAGACTACGACAGCGGCCTGGGCGTTGCGATAGTACATCGGCTGAGGATTATATGTGAGCGACCGGAAAGGTGCGTAGCAGCGCCGCAGTTGAACGAAGGGGAAGGCGTACCGCGAGTGAATGGAAGCGCTCCTGACCAGCAGTGTCCCAAATCTCATATCTGAGAATACGATCCTCCAAGCGACATTTCTGGGTTAAGAATGCAGCACCAATGGTAGGCTCCTTGTTGGGTTGGAACTCGTTGTTGACCTGGAAGCAGATGGATCCCATTGAGGACGAGAAGCAGTGGCGGTAGTTTGGATAGATAGACGTACAAATCTGAGGACTACTGAAGACTTTCCGACGGCAGCCTCACCTAGAGGACATTGAAGGATAAGTTTGGACTCATTTACCGGCCAATATATAAGAGAATCTGGGCCTCCAGAGGGCCCAGTGAAGAGAATAGGGGATTATGACTTACCGAGTAAGACGAGTTTGACCTGAACAGACTTGTCGGCTGGACTAGAACTCTCTGCCATTGCAATAGGAATGAGTGTGGAGAACGAGAAGAGCAAAGTCACGACGGTGGCAGGGGGGCGGTGCCTGCCACTCGTGTTTGTTCCGTATTTGTTCATCGCGTTTCTGAGTCTCAACCGCTTCCGGGCTTGTTCAATCCCAACACGTTCACAATGGCAAGTCTACTTTCTCCCTAATCTCAACATGTTTCTGACAATATATTAAAGGCATTCTATTCAGAGGCGCTCGCTAGACGAGGGCCTCTGGCCCGTATCTGGATTGCTGCCCACATGGAGCGCAAGCTTTCCAAATCACAGACTCTCCAAACCGATATTGAACAGTCCGTCGGTGCGTACATATTCAACTCGGAATCCTTCATCAATCTTAGAAAAACTCCATAGACGCAATTAAGGACGGAAATGTCGAGGTTCTGGCTCTACGTCTAAGTGGCCAGCTGCTTCTCGGCGTGGTTCGAATTTACAGTCGGAAGGCCAAGTACCTATTGGACGATTGTAACGACGCGTTGTTGAAGATTAAGATGGTATGGCACTCCATTGGGTGTATCTCCAGCTGCCAACTAATGGATGCAGGCCTTCCGACCTGGTGTTGTCGATCTCACCGAAGATCAATTGAATGTGAACAAGACAGCTATCACTCTCCAGGCCAGTACCATCGACATCAACCTTCTGCTTCCCGATGACAACTGGTATAGCTTATCCGCCCCCTTCTGATTATGCGCCTGACCTTGCTCCAGGGATATGGACATCGTAGACCGTCCCCTCCGTGAACAAGGCCAGCACCAAGCTCAAATTGAGGATATCACACTTCCTCAAGGCAACAACCTCGACCAGTTCGGAGCGATAGACCCGTTCGACATCGGCCCTACTGACGGAATCGGCTCCCAAGACTTCTTGGACATTGACCTTGGAATTGACTGGGATGAAGCGCCGCAAAAGGCCAGCGAGGATGGAATGAGTGTCGACGACCTGAGCGTTGGCGTAGGACGAGATGCTGCAAGCGTGCATAGTCTCAGAGATTTCCCCCATCTCAATGGCGTCAACAAGAGCATCGATCTGCAGTCTATTCGTAGCTTCAGCCGGGACCCTTCAGAACAACCGTTCCAGCCTACCATGGACATGGACTTCCCTGACTTTGGTGGCATGGACTTGGGGGACTTGGGCATTGGATTTGACCAGCCTGCTGAAGAGCCTGTCATCGAACCTCTGCATGACGATAAGGCGCCCTCGAGTCGATCTTGTCAGTGACCTTTATGTCTTCATTTTGTCTTCCAATCTGTCTGACGTCTTTCTACAGTGTCCCCGCTAACCGAAATCCCAGACACTCCTGTTGCTGAGGAGATTCCGTTGCCCGAGGTTCCTGAAGAGCCCATTAAACCTGCCAAGAAGCCCAGGGAGAAGAAACAGATCATCGACTCGGTTACTGAAATGTATGATGGGCCTGGCGCCTCGTCCTCTCAAGCTAACCGCGACGGGCCCATGAAAGACGTCAGTAATATCATAACAGAGCAACGCTACCTCCCGCGTTCATCTCTTGCTTTGAGACTGCAAGAAATCAGAGAAGATCCATTGGCCCACTTCTTGCCCACAAAGACGGTGGACAATCATCTCTTCTTCTCGGCTGGCCCTCCAGGACTCACATCGGAGCTCACCGAACTTTTCCTGCGCCCTATGGAGCCAATAGCCACTAAACGCCGGTATGCGTCTGTCACGGAAGATGGTAGCAAGCGCATCAGGTTGGACGAGGATGAAGTCGAAGCCGGACGTCGAGCAATGAGCATTGCATCCAGCGTGGCAGGAATGAGCGACAAGTTGGGGGAGGAACACAACGTCACTGGGGACTTCGACTTCGCGGACCAAACTGCAGCTCTGGATGAGTATCAATTAGAACTTCCCAACGAAGACGGCAATGTCGATATCACCTTGGGGGCGAGGGAACGCTCTGTTTCCCTGGCTCCGAGTGCTAGAAGTCGACTGTCTACCCCTGGGGCTGAGGGGTGGATGGAGGGTGAGGAGAGCTATGCAGACATGAGTTGCCCGATTGCTATGTTCGACAGTCGCCAACCCGCCACTCAAACTCAGACGCAAGAGGAATCTGAAGTCGTTGAAACTCAGGAAGTAGTCGCTGAAGAGAAGGGCTACAGCAAGAATACTGTCAAAGCTCTCTCGTTTATTCGAAAGGAGCTTCAACCGACTCTCGACGACGGTGCACAGGATTCTAGTATGAGCTTCAACGCAATGGCTACTAAGGTGAGTCAATCAAACAATTGATCAGAATGATGATTTCTAACTGTGGTGCAAAGGCGTCACGTCGCGCGGCAGCCTCTTTCTTCTTCGAGCTCTTGGTTCTTGGTACCAAAGACTGCCTCCATCTCACCCAAAACGGGCCATTTGAGGACATCACGATCCGGGGCAAGCCTCGACTCTGGCAAGCCCAGCAACATGCTCCGTTGCAATCTCAATCTGAGTGAAGATGTACGAGCCCATTTCAATTCATGTACCGAACGAGTTCTTGTTTTTACTTCGTAGCTTTCATGTAGTTAGTTGTATTTATCCTGTATATATGATACCCGGCCTCCTGCTTCGTACGCTCTTATCTAGTCCATGAGCCCGCCACGCATTGGCGTTGTTGCTAAATACAATAAGGTCTTCTTGTACACAATTGGGCCCTTGATATTCGCTACGTCCCCTCAGATGGCCAACTCGTAGGCAGCAGCCACAGCGAGCTTGGTGAATTCAAGGAGATGGCTCCAAGAGAAGCCTGCCAAACTGGTGGTGTCGCTGGCCGAGTGAATTACTGTATTCATGTTGACGTCGAGAGACTCGAAGGGATACGCTGCAGGGTATCCTTGCTGGTGCCATGGAGCGTGATCCGAGCAAGCATAGTTACACTGAAGCCCGTATAAGTACACACGGATAGTGCATTATGGAGGGGGGAAGAAAAGACGCACAGGATCACCTCTAACCCAGGGCAACCTCAGATAGGTGTCAATAATGGTTCCAAGCTGGGTATTCAAGTTGGCGTTGACGTAGTCGGGGACCAATGAGATGACCTCCCTCGATCCTGGCCTGAAGCTGCGCCCATGTCATCAATGTGAAGCATTTAAATCTATTGAATGAAGCACTAACAATGCGGTCATGTCAAAGTTGATCATGGCTTTGACTTGTACACCGTCAGCTTTGTATTTCCTGGCAATGGCCTGCGAACCGAGTAAGCCAGCCTCCTCGCCACCGTACCAATGGAATTCCACGGTTGCGGATGGTCGGAAACCGGACGAAACGAGAACGCGGAAGGCCTCGAGCAGGTTAACGCAGCCGCTACCATCGTCATCGGCACCAGGAGCCCTTCCGTTCGTTGGGTTCGAGCTGTTGATAGAGTCAAGATGAGCACCGAGGATGATGCGGGGAAGGGACGGGTTTGTGCCGGGGATGGTGCCGATGACTGAGCCTTGCACGAAGCTGTTGGTGAAGAGGGTGGCGGTTGCTCGGCTTGCAGGATTCTGAGACGCGATCTGAAATAACGGGAAGAGGGTCGTGAGTCTCCTCGTAAGCAATGAATACAGCCTAAGCTCTTACAGCAGCAATGGTATCCCTGATCCAGATCGCGGCGTTAGCGCCATCCTGAGTGCGGTAGTAACGGTTGTTGTAGGCGGTAAGGGAGTTGAGGTAGGACTGGCTCTGGCTTTGGGAAACCTGTGCCAGAAGAGCAACGACCTCTGGTCGTCGAGCAGTAACCGCGGTGTCTACGGACGGGCTGTTCAGTCAACTACCTTCGTCGGCCCGTAAACATGAATCAATTCTTACAGGTAATCTCCAACGCTGCAGCGACTCGTCGATCGGAGGCTTCTTCCTCAGGATCGTAAAATTCGGTGACATCGAACTGTTAAAAACAGAGACGTTGGGTCCTGCAGAAGCAATATTTGAACCAGTTCACATACGAAGTTGGTGTCGTCGGCCATGAGCCTCAGCTTTTCTTCTTCAGTCATCCAGATAGGGTCGACGCCATCCTGAAGACTGATCAATCTGAGGCCCTTTGCGGTGTTTTCCTCCAATTCGGTCTGCGAGATCAAGCCATACGCGGAAACGACGAGGGAAACAAAAGTCAAGAGGCGCTGACTGAACATTGCTGAGGCTGAGGCTGGGGAGAAGGAAACAAGCTTAAGATTGGAGTTGGGATACCAAGGGTCCAAGAAGCGACGCTTTATATCACCGACGCTACATGATTCTTATATAGCCGGATTCGACCCGAGAAAGTGTAACATGCACACGGCATGCGCATATGGACTTCATCTGGTCGCTTAGAATCCTATTCCAAGAAGGGCATCCATATCAGAGTCTGACAAGAGAATCAACAATAAATAGCAACGCACAGCGCATGAAAAGAAGCCGTAAGCCCACCAATGACCATGCAACCGCGTTTCCTTTCCTTTTCCATTCATTTCTCCACATGCACCCATGGTTCGATAAGCAGACTCATCCAAACCTCCACGATGGTTAGTCTCGTGTGCCACCAGCTTCGAAACCCGAGATAGGCCACTTTTGCGGTATTGTGCATGGTGTTAGGACGTCCCGCTGGACTGCCATGAACGGGCATGGCGGTGGTCGGTGAGCCAGTCACCGTGCCATGCGGTCGTTACATGGAGCTCGTTTGCAAACGAAACCTCAGGAACAGTCACCAGCCAAGGGTATGTCGGTCAACCGAGTCGGGAGTGAGGTGAGGCCAGGCGTGATGTTACGGATTGAATAACATGAGTGGAGGAGAGTTGACGATGAGGTGCCCCGGAATCAAGGTAACAGGATAACAGCGCGTAATTACGGGCTGTCCTCCCTGAACACAGAGCAGAATGCCGGTCAGGAAGAGCCTGACCGAAATGATCAAGTAGAGCATCCGAGATGCATCACATGGAATAACCAGCGGATGGGAGGGGACCAAGGCGGGCGAAGCAACTAATTGATGTAGCGTGGGGTCAGATTTGAATCATATCTTATCGCTGACGCCCGCTGGCTGTGGGTAAGTAAGTGTTACAGTTCGGGTTTTCAGAGGGCAGGAATCGCTTCAAGGGCGGACCTGGACCACGTTCAAAAGCATGCGTTTGGGACCTGGTACAACTCACCTCGAGGGCAAGAGTGACCTATCTCGGGCGACAAGCTTTCTATCAGTGGGAGCAACTCCACCTCGAATCGACATTAGTTTTTCTTTAGACTTTACAGGCTGCTCGACGGCCATCGAGGGCCAAGTACCCTGTGGTCAGACGGACGAATCTGTGTTCAGTAAGGCTATGAAGTTCAATGACGACGAACCTTATCTTCGGAATCCCGGATGTATGAGGATGGGTTCAAGAATGTATTTTGGGGCACTGCCAAGACTGTGCTCGAGTGAAATACGCGTCAAAGGACATACATGTACATAGTCTCTAGATTGGCATAGGAAGCTCGTAGAACGGCCGAAGCTCGTCACAAGTCACAAAAATCCCATTGTCGATCTCCACTCTCGTCGCATCTTTAAACACGTCGGGGCAAGTGAAGGGTATATTCGGGGATTTTGGTGTACCAGTAGACGCGCCGTCGTGGTCCGCCTCTTGGCCATTTCCAGAGGCATCACTTTGCTTGACCATCTTCTTGGACGAGTCTCTCGAGACTGCTCTAGGCTGATCGTAAAACCAGAAAGGCTTCGACTGATAGTTGCTCAAGTGCTTTTTAAGGAAAGCAGCGTACTTTCCCTTCGGATCGCCATAGGCTGCCGCTACAGCCGCGACGTGGGGAACAGCTTCCGATGCCTTTTCCCCCTTGGGGTCCGACGCGATGATGAAGTCCATGGCGGTCTGTATCGTTGCGCCGTACTTGGAGCGGGAGGACCACAGATCGAGACCAAGTTGATCGCCGAGCTTTGCATTCGTCTACGAAGCGTCAGGCATCGGAAAATGCGGAGAAGCGAGACACAGAGCTCACGATCAACGCCTCTATATTAAAGCAGCGGTAGTGATACGGCCGCGTTCTGACTGCTTCGAAGGGCTGCTCCCCAGAGGCGGCGATTTGATCTATGAACTGTTTCTTGAAGAATTGCACAAGGATCGATATCGCTTCTTCCTTGGACCCCTCGAAAATCTTCGCAGCCGCCAGCTGAGAAACGTAAAAGGTTCCATGATTGCTAGGAACATGGTTAAGAGGAACCCACGAAGGAAAGATTGGTGCATACTTGGGTCGTGAGCCTGTCATTTTACCAATGTCGCTGTGAGTTAACCACTGTCCATACTGCGATAGCCACGACCGCATAGCCGAGTCCCGTTTATCCGTCCAGTCCGGGTGAGCAAGTTCTCTCAATAGCATCAGTCCATTGACGATCTTAACGGTTCCGCGTAGATCAAGAATCCCGGTAAATGTGCCACTAATGCCAGCTGGCCCCGGTCCTCGTACAACTTGGCCATACTTCAGGTTGGGATTCATACCAGTAGAGGGCGACAGGAAAAACCGGTCGACAGCGGCCACCGCTTCTTTAGCATGTTTGGAGTCTTTGTTGACGACAGCAGAGATGCAGCCATAGAGGACATACTGGGAGAGGCTGTTGATCGCGGACGGCCCGTTCAAGCCCCTGACGTCTGGATTCACCTTTCCGTCCCGACCAATGTAACGACATGTCGTCCAAGCTTAAAGGGACAAATCAGAGGTTCATCCGTCTGTGAACGAATATATGACCTACTCGCACTAGGAGCCATACTCGTTGTCGGGGACGGAGTGCATGTTGTTTTAGTGGTCTTGGCGGCCGCCTGAGCAGGTGGGCGCGTTCCTTTCGATGTTGTCGAGTCTGTGGAAGAAGTGCCAACAGGATTTATGGGTACGGCCGGTACAGTGATCGAAGCGACGAGAGACGAGACAACATTTGTTGGAACGGACACATCGACCAGATTGAAGGCTGACTGAGCTCGCCTGTTGTGGCTGCGTTTGTGCAATTGCAATGCTCCGCGATGATACGCCAGGTGAAGGTCTCGGAGACCCCTCTCTTCCGAATCTACCGATTCTTCGTAGAGCATATCATCGTCTGGAAAATCACTTGGGTCCGGCGAATCGAAAGCAGTGGACGAAGCATTGGTAGACCCTTCACCAGTATGAGCCAACTGGTTTCGACCAGACTTTGAGCACCATCGACAATCAGGCCAGTGGCTTCGAAGGTGAGGTTCAGAAGGTGCTCATGGAGAGAGATGAGCCAGGTTTACTAGGGTGCCCAACTGAGATAATCACGAGCATCCTTGCTCGGCGGCAGAAAGCCTTTGTCGCTGGCCACAGCTAGGGGGGCGGTTCATGAATTGCCCGAGTATCGGACAGCGGGGAAAGGGGCATACCCCATGGGCCCTTTCGTAACAGTCGGTCTGCTCCGCGCACAATGCTGTTAACAGCCTGATATGTGGGGGAATCGGAGGAAGTTGCAGCTTGGTGGGCTTCCTCCAAGACGTAGTCGACGTTCACCCAGTCATTCCCGTCTCCTATAAAGATGATTTGAGTGCACTGGACCTAGGAAAGAGTAGTGGAAGGAATGACCAAAAACAGTATGTGGGACCCATAGCGAAGCTAGAATTACGAGAAAGGGAGGGAACATGGCGGTAGAAAGTGAATCCTATGAAGGAGGAATTGGAATTGCGAGACTGCCGAAATTGATGGGATCAGGCTTGGAAGCGGGGTAAGATGATCACGAGTCTATTTTTGGAATGCAGAAGGAGGAATCCATTAAAGGGTTGAGCGAGGACGGGTTCAAGCCAAGTTGGCCCACAATGTCCTCGCTCCCCTTCCAGTTCACGCCTACATCAGCCAGCATCCCTCCAAACAATATCAAGCTTCGACTCAAGGACATTAACAACCTCCCTGCCAATCACCAGCCTCTGGTATGTCACCCCATTCACCAGCTTCATCCCACTTCTCACTGTTCGACTAGAATCCCCTGTCCTTTATCCTGCGCGCAGCTCTCATCTACCCCAACAAACTCGCTCTTTTACACCCAGACACCCCGAATCCTGTCGCCTATACCTTCTCTGTCTGGTGCGCTGGATTGGCCTTACCCGGATCTCCCCAAAAACTCACAGCTGTGTTTATACAGGGCGCAGCGAATCCAGAACCTTGCGTACGCACTACTAAAGGCTGGTCTCAAGCCTGGAGACCGTGTCGCCGTCATTGCACCAAACAGGTGAGTGCTTTCTGTCCTTTCGGGTTGTTCCTTTCCCTGATATCGGTATTGCAGTCCATTAATTGCCGGTAAGCAGCCGTCCCTTGGCATTCAGTCAGGACCATCATTCACCGTTCTCCACAGATGCACACTATGGTGTTCTCGCAGCGCGTGGCATTCTGCTCCCCATCAACACTCGCCTCAAACCACATGAAGTTGCTTATATCCTCGAGCACAGCGGTGCCAGTATCATTCTGGTCGACTACGAGTATAAGCACCTTATCGGCAACACGAACGCGCGCGTCATCGTTTCCAACGACACAGGGAGGGCTGGCGATCCCTATGAAGACTTCTTAACGGAGGGCCGGGCTTATAGCAATGAACAAGGGTGGCGAGGACTAGAGGCAGAGCCCGACGAGAACGTTGGAGCCGTTCTCTGCTACACGTACGTGTCTCGACCTCTCCAAGATGCCCTGGGCTTACCGTCTTCCCCCGCATTCCCAGATCCGGCACGACTGGACGGGTGCGAATCTTATCTCCAGAACTTTCGACCGGAAAGTCAACTGACCATTGGATGGCTTCACTTTAGCCCAAGGGGGTGATCACAACGCTGCGAGGCATGTGGTACAACTTCACACCGTCAATGCTGCGAGACTGAATCTAGATTCCATTAGGTTCATACCTCGGGGCAATAGGAAACGCGTTTGAGGGACGGTAGGTCACACTATGTCGTTGACGCTCGCTGTTCGGCGACTAACCGCCATTCTTTAGGATCAACAAGGAATCCACTTACCTATGGTAAAGATCTACAATCCACGAATGATAGAGTCGGGATATTGATTTCCCGGTGTTAACAGGATCCTTCCTATGTTCCATGCAGCTGGTTGGACCTATCCATGGGCAACTGTGTTCGCGTTCGCAACTCAGGTACGACTACCATGCCACCGTCCTGCAATCAAGCTGAGCTCGACACTGTCAGATTACATTACGAACCGTCAACTATACCCACATCTGGAATCACCTTCTCCATTCTGGAGTTACACACTACTGTGGTGCACCGACTGTTCAGGTAAGATCAGTCCTCGTCGAACCTTCGGTATCGAAGGCTAATGACGCTTGAAGATTGGAATCATCAATGACCCATTGGCGAGGAAGCTTTCACGACCAGTCACAGCTATCATTGGTCAGTCAGACCTTTGTTCCCTCTACAACGCTTACTTATACCACTTTGTACAGCTGGGGCAGCTCCTACAGCACACCTCATCGCGGAGCTCGAGAAAAAGGGCATCAATCCTGTTCATGTTTACGGTTTGACGTGCGTCTTCCCCTGGCTTTACATGTTCATGTTCCTAACCACTGGCCGATTGTTCCCAAACAACGGTTCTAATCCCAATTTACAGTGAGGCGAGTTGTATTACACCCTTCGCAACCGAATCCCATGCTTATGTCCGCTTATTAGACATACGGTCCCTTCACCCGTAATTACGACCAACCCCACTGGGCAAGCTTGAGTCTAGAAGACCGGGCTCGCCTCATGGCTCGCCAAGGACACGCATTCGCAACCGCAGAAGAAGTTCGAGTCGTGAAGCAGGACGAAGAGAGCGACGTGCTCGAGGATGTACCTGCCGACGGCAAGACACTTGGTGAGATTGTTACAAGGGGCAACATCGTCATGAAGGAGGTGGGTTTTTACTTCACAACCCCATAAGAGGGAAAGGTGTAGTGAACAATGCATTGCAGTACTACAAAGACCCAGAAGCAACGAAGAAGGCATTCCGAGGTGGAAGCTTCAGGACAGGGGACCTTGCTGTGATGCACCCTGACGGCTCAGTCGCTATCATGGACAGGAGTAAGGATATCATTATCTCTGGCGGAGAGGTATGTTTTGTATACTATTTACCGCTTCAAGTTGACTCAAACACCTTCCCTAGAACGCATCAAGCCTGGCCATCGAACAAGGTGAGCCTTCCGGTTTTCCAGGTTCTTCTTTTATTACCCCCTGCCAACATTCCTCCATCCAGAACTCGCTTCGCATCCCCACGTTCTGGAAGTCAGTGTGATCGCCCGACAGCATCTCAAGTGGGGTGAACGACCAATGGCGTTCGTCATTCTCCATCCTCAGCACGCAGAGAAGTGGAAGGGACGATATCACGAGTTTGAGAAGGACCTCAAGGCTCATGCCAAGAGTCGTCTCCCAGGATTTGCTTGCCCCGAGTGGGTCGAAGTTGTTCCAGAGCTGCCGGTATGGTCGCTACATGCCTTCCCCATCATGCCACTAACATGGCTCTCCCAGAAAACATCGACGGGCAAGATTTTGAAGACAGAACTCAGGAAGATGGTCGCCAAACTCTGAATGAACCAAGTGTAACAGTATACAGCGTGATCTCTGGTGGTATTTAGTTGTAGGTATCTCAATACACATATTACGAATAGAATAACAAAAGGTGCATGTGGGCTACAAAATTGGGAGGGAAAAAAGCAGAGCAGGTTATAGTGCTAACAATGTGGGGTTGAATAGGTTCGTGATCAAAGGGTTCTTGTGTGTGGAGCTAGCTAGTTTAGTCTTGGAGAGTAAGGTGTAGTTTACTGAGGTGCCAACCTGAGAATGCGGAATGAACCTGCATTCCGTTCGCAAAAGTAGATTTCATCCTCCTTCCTTCCAACGAAGAAGACTTCATCCGTCGGTTCCAGGTCACCCGGAACAGTATGGACATCGGATCGTCCAACCACTGTCTTGCCGGAACTGACTGACGATTTTCTACCCGACAAGTGCCCGAAACCTGTCTTCGGTCTCTGACTGGTCAACGCGCTGAAGGGAGTCGGAGAAGCCGCGATCGGTGTGCCAATCTTCCATACAAACGGTGGGCGCCTGTTGGTCGTACTGAGCGGAGGGCTATAGTGGGGGAGCACTGTCCGTGATTCGTCGGCTGGTCGGAGAAGCGCGTCACACAAATCCACAGCCTCCAGACCTCCCTGCCTCAATGCAACCAGCACGGACCGATCCTGAACATCGAACGCCTCCAGCCGCTTGATATCCCCCATTTTCGAGGTGACTTTCGAGTCCTCCGAGTCATCATCGTTAGTCCAGACAAATTTGCCTTTCAGAACCGAACGACCTCTCGAGTCGACGACGGTTGTGCTGTGACCACCACGGGAGGAGAAAAAGAGAGCGGGAGGCCCAAAGTGACGCGGTTGAGCCAGCAGCGATATAGGAGACAGTAACGGCTTCTCGGCTGGCGGTGGAGGTACCGGGGGAGGTGGAGGCGGTGTTGGAGGGAAGCTGAACGGTTGTGCAGGATCAACACTCTGAAGACGAAGTTCCTTCAACAGGGTGAATTCCTCATCTTCTTCACGTCGAATAGGCAGATCGGGAGGAAGTAGCCCTTGCTTGTACCATGCTTGCATAAGTGACGACTTCCATGGGCCTGAACACCAGTCATCATCAGAGCGGTTACCAATACAATAGCATCAAAACCCTCACCATGAACGACTCCCTTTGGGTCGCGATAGTACCATTGGGGCGGCTTGGTCGGTATCGGCACAGGTAATCCAGGTGGTGAAAAGTCAGCGGGTGGTGGCTCATTATTGGTATCGTTGCCGTCATTAGAATTAGTTGCCTCGTCATGTTCGTATTCCTTGCGGTATTCAATGAAGGAGGGGTATGTTGGCGGAATGATGTAGTCGTCAGCAATGGATGCCAAAGGGAATTTGGGAGCAAAGCTAAGTTGCTGGAATGTTGTGTACGGGCCTGCGTTTGCCGAGGTTACAGAAGGGAGATCATCCAGTTGTGACGTGGACGCCGTCTGAGCAGAGTCAACAGGGGTCGCGGGGCGCTCTGTCGGTGCATTAGGATGCTCGCTTGCAACCAGCGTCGGAGACGCAGGTCTCACAGTCGCATCTCCAGAAGTGGCTGGAGTTGACTCGACGGCGACGGACACCCCGACAGTGACATTAACATTGGCCACATCTTCTTCCGGTGGCTCGCCCTCCTGCGGAGCGGCAGCGTGCTCGCCTGTCCCTGTTCGGTTGTTTTCACGAGCTCGTCGCCGTGCAGCTCGTCGCTCTGCGCGCCCTATCCGCACTTCTCGTACCCTAACGGTAGCAGGTTCCAAGCCAAACACGTTCTGAGCGAATACCAAGAACACTTCAACGAGATCGTCGCCTTGGAGTTGTAGTTCCAAAGAACGAGGAGAGTCCGGCAGGATGAAGGTCCTGGATAAGCCCAGTGCAGTTCGGTAGGTACCGGCGAAGAGTTCGACCTTTTCGCCATTATCCCCGCACAGGATGGCCAGGAAGCTGCACGACGTGTAAGTATATCAAATGTTTAACAATCAATATGAAACCGACCTTTTCTTAGCAGTCTCCACTGCCTTTATCATCAATGCATTTTTCGTGCCCGGTAGCTTGACGTATTCCAGCTTCGGAGGAGGAGCCTGGTTACTCGACTGGACGGAGGGCTTGGTTGTTTCACTGTCAGAGGCATGTGCTGGCAAAGCCGCACGTTCTTCTGAGCGTCGACCGTGAAATGCATTGCTAATAATCCGTGGAAAATAGCGCGTGGCGGACCTGGCGAGGTTGGTAACAGGGGTTGTCGTCCTTTGTGATGAAAGGGAGGGAGGATATGCGCTAGATGGTGGGTCAGGAGTAGTACTGATGCTAGCAGGCTGTGAACGATTTGAACGGAAAGAGTGTGACCTCGTGAAACGATGAGGCGAGCGTTCAGTTGCAGGAGCTGTTAGTGGGGGATTGGGAATTTGCTGAGCGTCGGCTTGCGGCGAATCGCCCTCGTTTGAATTTATATTCAACACAGACCATCGCCTCCGTCTGCGCCTGGAAGTACTTGGCGACGTATCGGTTGTTCCCTGTGTATTCCGGCCATTCCAATTACCAACCGGAGATCCAGGCGGGGATTCGACACGATCATTGGTTGTTGCGAGTAGTATGGGTTCTTGTGGACGGGTTGTTCCTAGAGGTGGTAACTCGGGCAGTCGGCTCTCGAGCAATGCTTGAGCGAGGCTAATGCGACCGTCAGTTTCGTCCCCTTCGTCATCCTCCCCAAGGGCTGGATCAGTGGGCTCTTCTCCGCCTTCCCGATCACCGTCCAATGACGCAGATTGCGCCAGAGCTTGCCTGAGGCTCAAGAGGGTGGGAGCTGGAGAAGGTGGTGGCTGCATGCTGGCAGCCGGTAACGCCAACGAAAGGTCGAGATTCGAAGGTCTGTTCCGTCGTAACGTCCCAGAGCGGTGTCGAGTGTGGACCACAGGAGGCTGGGCGAGAACTGGAGGAAGCCCCGCTGAGGCACGACTGGCCGACAATGTCGCGCTAGTCCTCTCATCCAAAGCCTGACTCCCGCTTGCTCCCGCTGCTACAATATCTATCGCCTCGTCTTCACTGGACTCTGCCCAATCAACTTTGGACTGAGGTTCGCGTGATGTCGACCGTGGTCGTCCGGCAAGCACATTGGTGATGGAATTGCCGCGAGTCCGCGCACGTAAAGAGACAGCTGAGGGCTGTGGACGAAGAAGGCTCGCCTGGGAACTGGCTGGCTCCTCTTGAACGTAAGGTGGAGGATCTTCACTCGGGTGTCGTGCAGCTATAGGAGGGGTAGGTGGAAGCTGCACTGAGCTTGACCGTGGTTTTTGCCTGGGCCGGGCTACAGGTGGCCGAGGGATCAACGGTAATTGAGGCGGGACGTTGGTGGGGACTGGGACCGGTATTGAGCCATGAGATGATTTTCGAAGAATATTGGGCCGTCGAGTATCCGTTTCTCCGGGGGGCGGTGTTGACAGAAAGTTTCGAGGTGGTTTCTCAGAAAGTTCTCGTAAATCGATAGCGTCGATGCTACGGACTGTCGCCGACTTCTTGACATTTTCCCGGCGTAAACGATCTCGTTCACGTTTGATTTCGACCTCAATTCGCCATTCTATCGCCTTCTTGACTTCCTCCAATGCGTATACCCGCACTCCATCCCTTCTACCAGCGATCGCGACCAATACACCGCGCTGCTCCATTACGACGACGTTTTTAAAGCTTACGCGACGAACCAGAGCATATGGTTGAGGTGCAGGAGGGGAGGATAGCGGAAGAACGTCAAGGCCCTGAGCATGACATAGCAGTAGGTAGTGAGGTGCCAAGAAAGCCCCGCTTGTGGGTGGTGCACTGAAATGAGATGGAGAAAGGTCGGAGGTGACGGTGGAAAGAGAGAGTCCTAGCTCTGTCAGGGTTGGAGCAGGCAGTGAAGGGGGCGGAGGAGTTGCAGGGCGAGGGGGCGGTGAAGGTGATGTTGGACGAGAAACGGGCTCAGATGGTGGTGCAGACTGGTTCCTGGACGGAGGGTGAGATGATGGGACTTCTGGAACAGCGTCCCTGGCGTTCGGAACCAAAGTGTCCCGGCGGTTCATGAGGTTGTTGAAGAAACCAGACAGTCTGTTGGCCGAGCGACCCTTTTATATCCGTTAGCGCCCGAGCAGCAAGAAAACACGGTGCGGGTGACCTACTTCGAGCATCACCGATCTGTGACGAGCCCTCCTTTGAAGTTGCGTCTGGGAGCTGTTTGCCTGTTCCTGGAGTGTCTGGCTACGGGCGGGCGATGGTGGCGGGCGATGGGAAATCACTGAAGCAGCGGGCGACGGTGCGGGGGATGGGTGGTCACTGGCGAGCGGTGTTGGCGACTCTGAGATGCGCACTGCGGGCATGCTCTGGACGCTGCCCGTTTCTGAAGTGTGGTCTGCTGTTGTCGAGAACGAGGGACCCCTACTGGACTCTGCGGGGCTACCGTGGTCCTTTGGGTCGCCAGACCTGAAATCAGAGACTTCTTCCTGCAACTGCTGGTCTACGGCGGAGACGACGCCTACTTCATCGACCTTTTTCGGACTTGGGCTTGGAGGAGGGTCCTGGACGAGGAGGGCGTCGTGGGTATCGGTGGAGCCGCCGCCGTTTGGGTCGTCGTCGTGGGGCATAACGAGGAGATGGGGGGACGCGGGACGGGGGAATTGGACCTGTCGACTACCACGGTGGGGATTGTGGATTAGGCGGTGTTCATTCGTGCTATGGGAAGGAGACGAAAATACGGTCAACGAGAGGTTGATGGCCAGAGTCGCCGCTGTAACGCTACCGTGTCGCTGACAAATTCCCATCACCTTCCACCAGAATTCAGCGTGCCTTAAGTCTGGTAAAGTCTCTTCTCTGTTCCACCATTTGGAAGTAAGTCATAAATCACTTCTCATCCATGCTTTTTACTCACTCCGGCATCAGGGGCCATGCTCTCCTCCCGCGTCCACAGAGTTGCCTCGCGCATTCCCCATAGGCTTCTCGTCAATGCCCGCTTAGCCTCCTCCGTCCCCCAACTCAACTCTGTCACACCAGAGGACATTGCTCACTTTGCAAAAATACTCCCGCCCTCCTCTATTCTCTCGACGTTGGGTCCAGCTGCCTCTGCAACCTCAGAGGATCTCGACATTTACAACTGTGACTGGATCGGCCGATACAAGGGTCACTCGACCACAGTGCTCAAACCTAAAACCACTGAACAAGTGAGCCAGATCCTCAAGTGGTGCAATGAAAGGCGCATCGGTGTCGTCCCTCAAGGTGGAAATACCGGCCTCGTTGGTGGAAGCGTCCCAGTCAGGGATGAGGTCGTCCTTTCCCTTGCGAACATGAACCAGGTTCGGACGTACGATCCGGTCTCTGGTAAGCCTCACCATCACCGTAAATTTACCCCAGTGCTGACCTCCTCCTTTAGGAATCCTTGTCGCAGATGCTGGCTGCATCTTGCAGTCGTTAACCGACCACGTTGCACCAGATCACATCATGCCAATTGACCTTGGCGCTAAAGGAAGGCAAGTTCCCGCCATTTTCCGTACCACCCCAACCATGCTCACGCGTTCCCCATTCCAGCTGTCAGATTGGCGGAAATGTCGCAACAAATGCAGGCGGCCTGAGGCTGCTTCGGTACGGTTCTCTCCATGGCACTGTTCTCGGTCTCGAGGTCGTCTTGGCCGATGGAACTATCCTCGACCAACTAACTACCTTGAGGAAAGACAACACAGGTTGGTATGGTACTTGCCTCTTGCGTGAATTTTTTATTCAACCCAGATACCCAGGTTATGATTTGAAGCAATTGTTCATCGGTGCCGAGGGAACACTTGGTGTTATTACTGGTGTCTCTATCCTTACTCCCCCTGCCCCGCAATCGACCAACAATGTCATCTTGGCTCTACCATCATACAAGAACGTTCTCCCGCTGTTTCAAAAGGTCAAACATCACCTATCCGAAATCCTTTCGGCTTTCGAATTTATTGACCGCACAGCCTACGATTTGGCTGTCAAACACGGCCAAGGTCGTGCGCTTAGCGAGGATGAAGTCGAAGGTGCCGAGTGCTTTGTTCTGGTCGAGACAAGTGGTGGTCGTCGCGAACACGATGAGGAGGTTCGTGGTTCACGCTTCGAGCGGTGTGAGTGATGCTAATTCCCAAGAACAGAAGCTGAATGATCTTCTGGAATCTTTGCTGACGGCGGACGAGCCACTCATCAACACCGGTGTCTTGGCTCAAAACCCTGCACAATTTGCTTCCCTCTGGGCATTGCGCGAGGGTGTGCCTGAAGCGGTATCAAAGGAGGGCAAGGCCTATAAATACGATATCTCGATCCCTGTGGCCAAATTCCAAGAGGTTGTTGACAACACTCGGGAGCACCTTCGCAGCAAAGGTTTGCTGCATGAAAATGCCGTTAAGCATGTCGTTGGCTACGGTCACGTCGGTGACGGTGGGTGCCTTACTCGAAAGATAGGTGGGGAAATGTTGCTGATAAATCCGGCTCAGGCAACTTGCATTTGAACGTCGTTGCTCATTCATTCCAGCCTGAGATTGAGGCGGCTCTTGAACCTTATATCTACGAGGTCGTCCGTAAGTACTACTGCTTGCAGAATTTGAATCTTTCTCAATCTTTTATAGAATCTCTGCGAGGTTCAATTTCTGCCGAGCATGGTATCGGTGCGATGAAGACTCACGCCCTGCCATACTCCAAGAGCCAGGCTAGCATTGACTTGATGCACAAGATCAAACACATCTTCGATCCCAATGGCATTATGAACCCGGGCAAGGTCCTCGAGTAGGGTATTTTTTAGGACTACTGAGTGGTGTATCTATTAGACGGTGTTTTTCTTGGTTATGTTCAGATTTCGGTACCACCGGATCGTTATGTCCGACGTCGGAAATTACCTAAGCTATTTGACACGGTTTTGGTCGAGTCAACAATGTCAAACCCTAACCTCTTTGCAAAACCCTAACCCACGACTCTTGTTCCCGTTCAACCTTAACCTCAGGTGCCACGATGGTAAGTCGCGCCTCGCAGAACAAATTGGCGTCGCGTACTGGTTCCTGACTCCAATGTCTCCAGATTTTCCAAGATGCCAACAATATGCCAATCAAGTTTTTCATCCAGAAGGACCTGCCTCAGGACGTCCAAGCTGAGCTGTGTGAATCCATTACGGTGCGTTGCAATGACTCGGTGTCAAGCGATTCTCAACGAAACCCCTTTTCTAGTCATTGGGAGGGCGCGTAGAGACCAAAGTGCCGCGCGCAGGCTATATCTTGGTCAACCCAGGCTCGCAAGAAGAAAACCGCCTCCGCCAATGCTGGACTGCAAAGGACAGACCAGAGCGATACTTTGTTCCTTATACCTATGTCGAAGCGTGCAAGGTGGCAGGCACCTTGCTGAAGCAGATCTTCATTGAGGATGGAGTACCGCTTCAAATGCATATTCACCCCAGTATCGCCAACCCAAACGCCCGATCGGCTCTAAGCTTGCGCATTATGGTTGTCATCCACCCTAGCTACCTGCATTGTCTATGAAACTGACCTGTGTTTCTGGTTTAGCATTCGGGCGGAATAGCAAGTGCTTCGCTTCAAGCTGCAAAAGTCATTCTGGCGGACCCAAACACTGAAGTGTTTCAACACCTCGTCAAGACTTATGAATCCGACCCCAATAAATATGTTGAATCTTATCTGTGGGTCAAGAAATGCATCGAGAAAGGGGCTGTGATGTATACCCCTCTGGTGTACAAGAATCCGGGTGGACGTCGACCCGGTGAAGAGTGCGTGGTGTTTACATGCCTATTCACTGATAACTTATACTATTCTTTACAGGAGGACCCAGTTCACGGAGGATGACGAACAGCGACTCTGTCGTTGGATCGCAGAAAAGATCCCGTTCAAAGAGACAGGTGGGCGCACTGGAAACCGGCTTTACCAACAACTCATCGAGCAAGTAAGTGTCCTCGCTATCTCTACCCCCTTCTTCTTATTTTCTCTTCATTAGGCCAGCGATCCTGAATACGCCTGGGTTACCCGCCATACTTGGCAGTCATGGCGCGAAAGGTACAAGAAGAACGCATCCCGTCTCGACCGCGTCATCGCTCGCATTGTCGAGGAGAAACAGCCAACCTTGGGTGAAAAAGGTCAATATGGATTCGTTCGCCAACCAGAGGAGAAACCCAAGCGTACTCGAAAGAAGAGAAAGATTGACCAAGTGGATGATTCCTTCCCGACATCCGTCGATGATGTCCTCAGCCATCTACCTCACGGGATGCAGCTTCCCGGTGGTCAGCATGTCGATGTCTTGCAATTGCCTCACCATCCTTTCCCCAATCTTAATCCTACTGCTGGGCCTTACCCCCACATGCTACCCATCCCTTCTGGATCGGCTCTTCCGGACAGACCTGATCAGATGCGAAAGACTCCAACGCGAGAAGAAGTGGAAGAGAACGAGGAGCCTGAATGGGCTGTTCGAATCGGTCATGCACCACCACCCACCTGGGCACCGCGTCCTGGTGATGATATGAATAAACGACGGAAAACAGGGTATGCAGTTATGCTCCCCTTTTGCGAACAGTTTGCTGACCCGTTAATCGATAGCGAAGGAGAAGAGGCAGGACCGTCGACAGGGATTCCAGGACCACAAGAAGTGGAGGAACCTTCCGCTTTGAGTGCTTCGGCCCTCGTCGCTCTAGCAAGCCTCCATGTCATCGACCATACCCTCAGGGAAATTGCCGCGGAATTCAGGTTTACCGTGGAAGAGGTCAAGGAATACTACGACCGATGCGGGGAGATGACCCAAACCCGTCAGCGATTCCAGCAGATGCGTCGGTTACTCCAAGAGAGATTCGGCAATTGAACTGGTGTTCAGCTCGTGATTTGTTCATGATCTCCAATGGACCTTCGTTTACGTTTCCTGCTCCTGCCACATGTATTGTGTCTACATCCATATTTATGGGATATCGAATTCTGTTATCATCTTGTAATTGGCAGCCCTGGCAGGGGCCGACGGACTGTCCGGTACGACACGGCGCCTAAAAAGAGGTTTATGAGATGCATCAAGCAGACTGACAGAGTGCGTACTTTTCTCCTGCAGCAACGGAGGGGAAAGATCCAAAGAGGTCAGGGTGTTTGGGTAGAGGAGACTCGCTAGGTATCCACGAGGTCAGAGGTTTTCGAGAGTACCGGCAGACCCGGAAACCTACGTGAAATAGGGATGTTGTAAAGCTTCTTCGGCAGTAATCCTTCGCTCTGGATCGTAGGTCAACAAGCACATTAACAAATCCAACCCGTTCGTCGTAAGATACGGAAACTTGGATCTGAACTGGTGCGGCTGTGGTGAAGGCAAGGCTATCGTTTTCGCCATGGGGAGGTCGAAATACTCTGGCCACGAGTTCTTCGTCGGTGGACCAAGCAATTTGAAGATCATAGATATCAGTTCCAGTTCTCCCTTGGCTTGAAAGAGGGGCTCCTTGAGGAGTAGCTCGGCAAATATGCAGCCAACAGACCACATGTCGACTGCTGTAGAGTATTCAGTAGCGCCGAGAAGGATTTCAGGAGCCCTGCAAACCTGTCAACGAGGACTGAAGCCTGAACAGTGGGGACACTCACCGATACCACAGAGTCACAACGAGCTGGGTAAGACCGCCCAATCCAACAGGGTCACCGTATCGCCTAGCGAGCCCGAAATCCGCGACTTTGATCGTCCCGCGGTTGTTCATGAGCAAGTTGCTAGTCTTAAGGTCCCTGTGCAAGATCCAGTTTTGGTGACAATGGTGCACTGCGGACAGTAGCTGCATCATAAGTGTCTTGACTTCGGATTGCAGGAACGGTGCAGGCATCAAAGTGAGCAGCGTCTTCAAATCGTGTTCAATGAAATCCATCACCACAAACACTCTTCGTCGAGGGAAGGCGGGATGAGACGAATTGAGGCGAGATGTAGAGCAGAGGGCGCATCAGTTGAAAGAGGAGGGGGAAGCTAGCGTTGATATACGGATGTGTTGCTGGAAATGTCAAGAATTCGACACGCACTGGGTCAAAGTATCCCCCACCACCACCTCGCGAATGCGAACTACGTTTTCGTGTTGGCAGGTCATAAGGGCGTAGATTTCGCGTAAAGCAGTGATAGGAAATCCGTTCTTCTCTTCGTCGAGCTTAAGCTTTTTGAGTGCGACAATATCACCAGTTTGCCTGTCTCTCGCTCGAAAGACGACGCCGTAGGAGCCTTCTTCGATTTGGTTTAGCCGTTCATAGCAACTGACTGAGCGGGAGGACTGGATAGCTGGATGCCGAGTTCGTTCCGGAACGTAGACACTCCGAGAACGTTTCGACAGGGAGTGACCATGGTCTGCAGCGGTGGTTGTGCCGCGACCGGAATCCTGAGCTGGTGTGCTAGACGACTTGGCTTTGACCCGGCGTTTCTGTGGATGAATTTGGGGTTGCCCATGGTCCAGTTCGTCGTCGTCGCCGTCTTCCCATTTGGAGCGCTTCTTCGAGGGAGTAGAGGGGCCTGCAGAAGCTGACATAGTGTTCGGAAAGAAGGGGTAATGCTATTTCTTTCCCACGAGATAAAGTGTATTCAAGCAAAACATTGTATTGATTTACAACACACTCACAGTGCCTTAGTATTTGTGGTTAGTCGAGCTGAACCATAGTAAGCTATGAACTGGTATTACAGGGTGTAGATATTGTTCCATCCAAATCAGAAAAAAAGCTCAGTCGAATCGCATCACAGAAACATCAAGACACTTGAGAAGGTGGTGTCGAGTCTCGCCAACTGGCCAGTCGTTCTCCTTGTTGGGGGCGAAGAATGGTTTGATAGAGACTTCAGCAATGGACTTGAAAAGATCTTCCAGGATCCAGGTTAGACGGGGACCGGTCAGCTCGATAGCTGGCTCAGCATTGATCTCGAGCAACTTGACCGAGAAGGGCGATGGCGAGTTGGGTGAATGAGAGACCAGGAAATCCACACCATACAATTCGAAAGCGTTGGGAATGGCCTGGAATGATGCATGAGTGGGATGCGATGACGATCGTATGTGATCTTACCTGGAAGTGGATGGGGTTCTCGAGGGCTGCCTTGAAGGTCTCGGACAAAACCTCTCCCATCTGGTTAATGAGAAACTTGATATCAGCAGATGTGAATTTTCCATGCTCTCCATCTCCTGACAGAATCTGGCATCCGTCGAGCTCGTCCAACAACCGGACATTCTCTTCTCCCTTCTCAGCTTGCAGCGAGGTGTTGGTTAGGTGATGCTGGAGATTGATAACTGGTGGTTCGTCTGGTTCAATAACTTCAAAGGTCGGTGGACCATATGGAAGAGAAGCAAATAACGCCAAGATCCTGTCATAGAGATATAGCTTGAGGGCACCAGTTGCAACGCAATAAACTCTTAAATGGAACTTGTTGCAAGTGAGGTGAGTTTGACCATAGAAGGGACAAGGTGTATAAACTGACTTTATGGCCCTGTAGACAGTTTATCTCGAGGTTTTTCTCCTGGGAAACTTCGCGAGGGTCGAAGAGCAAAGGATCTGGGATATATTCCTGATGTCGATCAACACAAGAAAGCGGGATAAAATGAGTGGACAACGGACCTGGATAATAAAGTGGCGAAGCTGGGACGTTACGACGGATGTATCGTTCCCCTTGGTGTCATCGTCATCAGTATCGTCTTCCTCCTCAAAGTCTTCGAAAATTTGCTGTAATTGATCCTTGCTGTCGAAGAGGCGGATGCCCATACCGCGATTAGCCATGCCGCTGAGTTACTGTGAATGAGACCATCGACATTAGATATTCAAGGACGGTAGATTACTGACGGCTTTAAGATCCACCAGGTATCATCGCTATCGAGGCGCTCTCCCAGTTCCCAGAGCTCGTCCGTCCACATCTCATCAAGCTCATCGGCAAATGATATTTCGAGTTCATAGGTCAGAGGAAAGGCGGTTTTCAAGATGGTATCGGGATTTTTGATGCAATAGGCATGGACGATGCGAGATAAAAAGTGTTTTCGAATGAGGGCTTTGCGGAAGATGTAACTTGAAGCGAGGACATGGGATGGACGGGTGAGGAGGAGTTCGTGGTCGATAACATCGTAGCTGGACCACTGGACGATGGCGTCGTCATCTTCTGGGAATTGGAGATATTTTGGATGGAACTGGGACAAAGCCTTTTTGACGAGGGAGTCTGTGAGCGGTGCGTTTGGCCATACGACCACGGCGGAAAACGAGGAGGAAGCCATGTCGACCCGTGAGACTCATTGGCCGTGCAAGGCATATGCATTGCCACCTGCCGCCGGATCCCTGTCGAGACACATACCAAGTAGCAAGAGTTTGCCGATTGTAGATTTTTGTAATAAATATCACATCGTAGTAACAGAATACTGGAGAGGCCTATAATTTTGCTCAGGACTTTACTTCTTCAACAGATGGCTTTTGGGAACAGTGTGCCGTTGGGAAGGTTTGTCGGAGATCGAATACGGCGAGTGGACTCAGGCCCGGGAATTTGGCAGGTGATTTTGCTGTTGCAGGGCGTTGCAATCAGCCAAAAAGCCTATGTCGTTCCCCGACCCCGCATTCGAATCCTAATGACCAACATTATCTTTTCTCTTCAGCCAACCTTTACCCAGGGCTTAATTCTGGGCCAACTGTCGGTTCTCGTCCTCCTTGGCCTCATTCTCAAATACCTTTTCCTCGATTCCACCAAAAACCCCTTCGAAACCACCTCTTACCATCCCCAGTTCGACAGGAAACCTGCACGGAAGCAACAGGCACAAGACTCCCAGTCACAGTCAGAGATAGATGATGTTGAATCTTTGGACTGGTTCAACCTTTTGCTACAACAGGTGAGTCGCTTCGCGCCCTCGCGTCGCGTGCCTTGGCTGAGCATCTCGCCCTCTCTCAGGTTGCCAACGTCTATCGCTCAAAACTTCGCGGAGATCTCGCTGGTGCAGAAGGAGACGAAACTGCGAGGCAGAGAATTGAAGCCTTTGCCAACAAAATACGTCCAGCTGGCTTCCTGGTGTGTGTCGTCCGGCCAGCACACGCATTCTCGTTAACACGCTGCAGGACTTGATCAAAATTCACTCTGTCGATTTGGGTGCGGGTGCACCGACTCTCTTTAATGCCCGGATACGCGAAAGCGATCCCAACGACCCCGATAGTCCTCCTGTCAGTCATTCCTTTACTGTTCGCCCCACCAGCAATCTTCTGACCCGACGTCATAGGAAATCGAATTTGACGCCGTCTACGAAGATACTCTGTCACTCTCTTTATCAACGTCATATCTTTTCAACTATCCTACCGCCTCCTTTGCCCGCCTGCCGATATCCTTGACGATATCCCTCTCTCAATTCAAATCCTCGGTACGTACTCGGTGCGCTCAGCTTTGACGCGATGATAGCCCACACGACCCATCCTAGATACGCGTCATTCCACCAACCCCGGATTCTGTTGCGCCGGTCTTGACGTTCACCATTTCCCCCGACTTCGTCCTCGACCTCACCACTACTTCTCTAATGGGCAGTCGCGCAAAGCTCGCCAACGTCCCAAAACTGCACGAGCTCATCCAGCACCAAGTAAGGAGGGTGCTCGGAGGCCGTGCAACATGGAAGGTTGTCCTTCCAGGTCTTGCTAGTGTCGCTGAGGCAAAACAACAAGTGCTCAAACAAGAGCAAGAAGAATCCAAACGACAGGAAGAAGCATAATCCCCCACTCTTAACTTATGATAGCCGTCGGGTAATTTACAGTAGATACTCCCCGCTTAGTCCTAGAGCAGGCATTCGGTGCGTTCACGGTTGTATTATTATGGTGATAATTTAACATGATCAGTGACTAACGAGTGGTAGAACACCTATGGAGCAGAACAGGTCCCGACTTCCTAGGTAACCGGCGTCCGCATCTTTGGTCCTAGACGCCCAGTTCATCCAACCAGAGGTCAACTGCCTGTAGCAACGGTTGGCCTTCCAACTCGGTCACTGCTACGATGTCGACGAAAGGGTGCGGGTCCTTGCATAACCGATGATCTTTCTTGAGTTGGGCGACCCTCTCCGGTGTATCCATCACTGCGATTGGGAACTTGGGTTCGTAGATGAACTCGTTCATCGGGGTGGGGAAACCCGTCTTCTCCAAGTCGTCGTCGTCCTTGGGTGGTGAAATTAGGACAAGGCCCGTGGCAGGATACGAAGAAATGTATTTCTGGCTGATGAGACAAGAAGCAGAGCGAGCGATGATAACAGGAGGGAAGGGAATGGCATTGAGCCTGACCACTGAGCGTAATTCTTTTGGATAGAAGGTTTCGGTGAATTATTCTGGGACCTAAACGGTATCGGGACCCACGTTCAGAGCATTCTTGAATAAGAGCATCATGAGATTTTTCTTTGGTCGAGGCTGTTGCGTCTCTGGCACTGAGGTCGATTTGGAAACAAGTGAAACCTTTCTCGGAGAGCATCGTCGAGAGGGTTGACATCCTACGAGTTTTCAATATTCTGGCCTGGGTAGAGTTTTCGGGTAGACACACTCTTTACCCGAGTCTGGGTCTAGAGAATTCGCGGAAACAAAGACAAGAGGAGTAGGAACTTCTCTGGGAGCATAGCTAGGTGGACTTCGAGGTATGACACTAGCAGTGATAATTCCCCGGAAGTATAGCCCACGGTTTGTGGTCGCAAAGAGTCGATATCGCGTCCAACTAGCGAATCTGAACATGGTGGTCGTGGTCGTAGTCAGACAAACAAGTGAAACCCTGTGAACAAACAAAATTCTGAGCCCGTTGATGGTCAATAGCGCCTATTTCGACTTGAACAACATCTTCCACCACCAACAAGTTGGTCTTTGCACTCCAGAATGGCCGCTCAATCATCAAACATCCTCTTTGACGACATATTCACAATCAGTGATATCGACAAGGAAGGCAAAAAGTTCGACCGAGGTTCGAGCTCTTCCCTCAACCGTTACACTTGCACTCCCTTATCCATGAAATAGTTTCCCGTCTCTATGCCCACTCGAAAAATTACGACATGGACCTGACCTTGGATTACAATGTCGAGCTGTTCCCGTTGAAGGAAGGACAGAGCTTTGCCCTGGCTTTGGCATCTTCATTAACCAAAGGAGGCGCCAAGGGGGACGACGAGGAAGACAAAGAACACGATGTCTGGCGCCCAGATAGCAAAAGACGAGGATTGGACGACGACTACGAGTATGTGATGTACGGAAAGGTGTGTCGATGCCGTTAGCGAGCCTCCAAAATCAATGCTCATGAACTCGAAAGGTGTATAAATTCGACGGTGCTTCATCTGAGATTGTGTATGTACCATGCCTCCCCGCTTGCCCTTGTCTAATTCCTTTCACAGAACGGCCTACGCCTCTTTCGGAGGACTCCTTATGTCACTGACAGGCTCCTTCCGACACATGACGAGTATTGTCCTCGGAGACCCTGTATTTATTCTTCTAAGGAGGTGATCTTCCCTGGTGGTCACCGCTCCTTTCCTTTCTATCATACCTGATTGCTCCACTAAAAATTCATCAGTCATTGATTACTGCAAACCGAACACGACTTGCCTGCACAGATAAACAACTACCCAAGATCCCTACATTAAGAAAGCCGAACAAATTATACTATAGATGAAGGAAGTGGTATAATGAATGAGTATGGTAAATGTATCAACTCTTCGTAACTGATTAACTTGCTTTCAAACTTCTTAGCTGGTGGATTGCGTCAGCCATGTGCGCGTTCTTGAGCTCAGCCTTCATTGGGGAGCCCCAGAATCTTCTCCCAGTTATCTTCACGTCGATCTCGGTGAGAGGGACTACGGTTGCCTGTGGAGTCTCGGGAGAGCCAGGGGTTGTCATAGTCGAAGAAAGATCGCCTTGGTCGACGCCGAAGAACTTGGCCAATTTCTGCGTTCTCCTTTGCTGATCGTCAGCCGGGCTATCTGGGGTTGGTGTCGGTGGTATTGATCCAGCGGGAGGCTTCTCCTCATCGTCCGTTTCATCATAGGCCAAACGAACAATTTCCGACCTAGAATCCGTCCGGGGCACAGGCGGCTCTTCAGCGATAGGCGTTGGTGGCTCAGCAATGGATTGCATGGGTGTCGCCCTCCTTGACTCTCGTTCTTCCGCCAGTATCGTCATCAGATCGCGCGTTACTTCAGGTCCGAAAATCTAACGAACCCATGTCAGAAAAGCTTTCCTAAAATTCCATTCGACGTGTTAAACGGTACGGACCTTGGTCATCTTTCTGTTTCGTTTAATCTTTCGTTGCAAGTCGTGATGGTCGTCAGATTGGTCGCGGTCGATGGCGTCCTGGGGGCCTCGTTTGTGAAACCCCAGAGATCGAGCCCTTGTGAGCTTGGGGGTGAGTGGTTCTGTCACATCCTCGAAGACGCCTGATAGAGGTCGCAAATCGAGACTTTTAGCTCTCGGCGCGAACAGCGGGTCCTCCAAGCGCACCTCCTTCTGTGGAGGCGCCATGATTAATTCTGGCGGTATTCTAGATTCCCCGAGGTGACGCATCAGCTTGGACATGTTCGCTTTCCGCCGTTCCAACTGATCAGCTGTCATAGTGAAAGAGCGGCCATGACGTTGGAAATGTTCTCGCGACACGTTTCGTGGCTTGTTGAGGTGGTTCAAGGAATCGGCAAAGGGTGGTCGCAGTCGCAAATCTGGCGTAGATTGGATGGCTTCGTGCCGTTTGAGACGTCGAAGGTCGCGATGATGTCCTGATCCTGAGGACAGCAAAGACGCTTTGCTTTCTTGGAATGCCGGTGCAGAGAAAGGCAAAGGTGGGGATGGAAAGCTGCCAGGCTCTGTCTTGACACTGCTTCTGGACCTGGATGTGGATGGACGCCTTTGAAGCTTTGCTCTTTGCTTGGAGCTGGACCTCCGAGTGTCGCGTTCCTCGTGAGATGTGACCGTACCCTGGCTCGACGTCGGGCTCCATACGGATTTCTTGGATTCAGAAAAAGAGCGAAATAGCGATCTTCTCTTGGGTTTGTTAACTTGTATTGCACGGAATGTTAGTCTGCATCTCAGGTGAGTGACAACAGGCACTTACTTGTTTTGAAACCATCGACAGACGGGCTCTGGGAGGACATCTGACAGTTGCCGACGTGGGCTGTGGTTATGAGGTGGTGGGGGGAGGAGTCCACCCGGCTCTTGCTTGGACGTCAGGCGGTGACAGCATTTTTTATGGAATGCGACTGACGGTATTTTTACTGAATCACGTCTCTACGCCCTATATAGTTAAGCATGGATCTCGCTTGTCCAATTGCAACTGCACGCTTAGCAACCTAATAACGACAAGAATGAAATCATTGATCTGGAACGTGGGAGCTCAGGACACCACCCCTAGTAACACTAAGTACCAAACCAGATATACATAACAGTTGTCCCCGTCCTTGGAGTAGGATAAATAGTAATGTACGATGCAGCAAAAAGGGATGCACAAAAAGAATTTAATCGTTACAGATAAATTAACTGTCCAAGAATTACAGTACTGTCTGATGACTTGTCCGCATTGAAAGAGCAACAGTCGAAGGCACACGAATGAGAGAAACCCTTTTGGCAGCGCGAGTTCTGTTCCAGGGTTCGGCTTCTTCGGCTCCGTCTTCGTTTGCTGATGTCGAAGTATTGCCCAGTTCTTTGTATGATCCACTTCGCGAGCTTGAAAACGACGAGGATCGTACTAACGAGGTGCTTCTTGAACCTTGTGGATCGAGAGCTATATTTGGATGTGAGGTAGACATACTGGGACGCGGCGATTCAAACGTCTGAGATGGTCTCCGAGAAGTCGGAGCATCGTCCAACTCTTCCGATAACCAATCAGAACTGTAGTCCAACGCCGAATGGAATGACTCTGTCAGGGATGCGTCCGACATGTGCCTCTGGAGTCCATGCGTGGGGGACAGTCTGTCGTTGAGGCCATGTTGTGTTAATGTCATCCGAGGGATGTGTTGCTTCAAGGTATGTCTAGCGGCATCCAAAGCAATAGTTTTCATCGCATCCAAGGAATCAGCCTCCGACTGCAAATCGTCCCGAAGTACGAGTATGTGGCATGCCAATCTTTGAGAGTCGACGCGAAGCAGCGGCAATTTCTTTGCCGCCACAAAAGTGTTAACTGCGTTCAGAAGCTTAGCCCTTGTGGCTCCTTGGAAGGGTCGAAGAATGGCGATATTGCGAATGAACCGCATTCCCGCTTCCAGTTCTGACAGGACGGCAGCTAATTTCTCCTCCAGTTCCCGCACTTTCTGAGCAATGATATCATAGCGAGAATGACTTGAAAGTGGGACTTGATCAGGGATGGGAGGCGTAGAATCCCTTGGGCTTTCAGAGGGCGAATAAGACCCATCGTCACTTTGAGTTGCAGTTAATATCAAATTGTCGTTGTCGGGGAGAACACTCTACCTGATCGAGACATGGGCGAGGTCAGCCTTCACTTGTTGGAAGGTCTTTTCGAATTGCTCTGTTTTTGCAGACTCGATAGTCGATATGGAGTCCAAGTCGAGGAGGTCGTCACGGGGAGCAGTGAGGCGATGCTTGAACTGAGGGCGCTGGCTCTCTAGACTGGCGACTCCCGATAACATATCCATTAAATCGCAAGGTGGGCTTGAATCTCCGCCGGTGTGGCCCAATGGTGGGCTATTCTGAAGTTGCATGTCATGGAGATGAGAAGCCGCAGCAGCGACACCCGTGAGCTGAACGTCGTGACGAGACAGCGTCAGAGGTCGGATCCTAACCCCAGCGGACTTAAAGGCGCTAGCGTAGTTGATTCTGGCCAACCAGGTGTTCATCTCGGAGCTATTGGTGGCCTGTAACAACATTTGGCGGCCGTCTGCAAGAATGAACCTGAAGGTGTTCTCGTGCTAAGATAAGGTGAGTATGAATCGTATCCAGGGTAACATGGACCTCACCTTGGTATAGGATTTATCGTAAAGCGCAACGGCATCTTTTACTGAGAAAATATCATCCGGTTTAAATGCTCTGCCATCGGCAGAAACCGTTGTTCGAGAAACGATATCCATGAAGTGACTAGCAATCGTTATGTCGCGGAAGAATAGTAGCTGAGAGCCTGTCAGGACCACGCTCCATGTCTTCCACTTTCTAATTGCTGCCCTCTTGCCGCGCCCTGTGATATCGTCTTTCCGGTTGAGCAACCCGGCCTTGGCAATCCTCAAGGCCATGACGCTGGGAGTAGTGGGAGCGCTGTCCGCTGGGGTCGTCGGCGCCTTTCCGTTCGCTGCCATGTCTCCGGTAACGTTTAGGGAGAACAAGGGCTTGTTCGCCGGCGCCTCGATCTCCAGAATTTGAGCATTCGAAAATGCGCCTTGCAATGCGCGGATGTCCCAAGCCCCGTTTGTCCCTTCGAAAGACAGTGTGTCCTCAAGCGTCATAACCTTCTCAACCTCGCTTTGCATTGAACATAGTAAGCCCTATTGCGGAGATTCAGTCGAAGGCAGAGTGAAACAACAAGTGGAAACCAACATTCGCCAGAAGATAGTAAGGATCCACTTTTGTTTTCGCAAGGATGCCGGCGGTGGTCGGTGTAGATGGGGTGCGTTGCTTCTTCACGACTGCATCAGGGGACAATCCAATCTGACCGTTGGTGTCTAGTGGGTCTTCTATAAAAATGAACGGCGAGAAGACAATGTTGTCGTAGAAACACTGTTGAATTATCAGACTAGGTTCTGGCAAGGCTGAAAAAGGCTTACTTACCCCTAGCACCTCTGGAAAAGTTCCGGGAAGGGAAGTATTCTTTATGTAGTCTGCTTTCGTCATTTTGACTTTGTTTGACTTGTTGAAGGCATCGGTATGGAGCATAATCAGACTAAAGGCAAGAATGTAGGCGTGATCTTATTGTATTTGAGTACCGCGTGGGCGAGCGTAGCGTAGAGACCCACTCACCATCGGCGGTGAAGAGGTCTGGGTTGCACTCAGAATAGCGGGTGGAGAATGCTTCGATCACACGATCTATCTGTTGGGTTTCTTTAGGCAGCCCCACTTCCATTAACAGCTTCCTCAAGGCAATGTCGAGTGGCTCGTTTTTAAAGTCAAACTCCTTCAAATACGTTCTGAGAGCATCGACAAAGACAGGCTCTACACTATGTGGTGTCAGAAAATGAAACAACACAGATGATCGCATAGGACTTACCTGGATGCAAGAACGCTTGCAAGTTCCGCTTTGCTTACAATGGCGCGTACCCTTTCTAGATAAGATGAAGGACATTCGCCTCCGTCCGGTCGAGGTAGAGTGGTTTTGCTGGATGGCTTGAAACTGGCGCCGGTGCTAGCGGACGCCGACGACTTCGACGACGTGAAGGACGGTGTACTTGGTATACTCAAGCGAAAAAGATCGATCGATGAAGACTTGGTTGGGTTCGTTTGCGCTCTACGCCGCTTGTGAAGGTCAGAAGGTATATAGTCGACACTCGGGTCAGTGCTTTGGGGAAACGCGACTGCTTGTGGAGAGGAGGATAGGGGGTGTGAGTTCTCCGCAGGATTGGGGGTCAGAACCAGCAAGGGCGGTAACTGTGATGGGATTGAAGCAGGGGAAGCGGAGGCATCAGGGGAATGAACAGTGGACGAGCAGGACCGTCCAAAAGGATTTGGGGTAACCGATTCGGCGGAATGACGCCGGATGCTCAGACTGGTACTTGATCTGCGGGCAAAGCTGGTGAAGGTGTCTCGCGAAAGGTCGACACCGAAGCTCGATATTGACGACATGTTTGGGAGAGGGGGCAATTGAGGTGGGAGCTGGGGGGAGGAGGTGACTGGTACAACCAAACTTTGTCGAGGGGACCGATCCTGTGATTCTGGAGCTTTCGCCCTCTTCCAGAATGAACCTTTCCGAGCCAGTGGCTTCGAGGAGCTCTGAGGCGATCGGGGCGACTTAGTAAGTGCATCAGAGGCCATCTCCTTTTTCGCCTTGAACTCGACCATGCCCAGAGAAAGAAAAGAAAGGGCCCCAAATGACAACCCCCTCGCGCGACGCGGTGCGTCCTCTTCAGACATTTGTGAAGCATACCCGTCTCCCGCGCCGGGAAACCGTTGAGGACTCGGGGAGCGGTGTGCTTCCTCGGACCCGACAACAGAAGAGACGGGCAGTGGGAGATGGCGAGTAGCAATGTCCAGGGAACTGCTGAAAGGTGCTGTATGAGCGGCTTCAGGGCTCACTGGTTCTCTGTGTCCGACCAACGCCATCGCTGATACCGAACGCGTTAAAGTAGGTCTGGTCGGCGCTTTTGTAGGGATATCAAACGAAACCGATCCCGACCGCGGTAGTGGAGGGAGGGCTTTATCGACGACGAGTAAACGCGGTGAACCAGCACTGGCGCCTGACAAATGGGATTGAGACGTCATGGGCGAGGTGAGGTGAAGTCGGGCGGTCGTCTGCGTTGTCGTCGTTGTGGTTGTTGTCGTCGTCGTTATGACTTCCGTTTGGGGTGTCGTCGCGCTCGAAAGTAAGGCATTAGGGAGTTCTGAGATGTATGATGATGATGGTAATGAGCCATCTACACAAACTGGGTCCTGTTCCAAATCACTGAAGCCATCCCGGAACCCGACGACCATAGACGAGCGGCAACCACTGAACTGATCGTGACGGTACTGTGAGCAACGTCAGCGTCAATGATGGCAAAGGCGTGCTCGTCGCCCTTTTAAGGCAGCTGTTGCTGGCCAATCGTTGCGAAAAAGAGACGATAGGTGGAAAGAGTCGGACCAGCACTGATTAGACTTAGTACTAGTAGTGGAAGGTTGGCGAGTGTACAGTCAGACCACATTGTGATTGACGCTGACACTGGCTACGCTGTCTAATATTCCCGATGTAACCACGTGATGACTACAACTTATAGAAAGCCCCTATTTCCCTCCAGCCTTTTGCAGCTGCTTCTTGCGCTGCTCAAGTTTCTCTTTCTGTTGGATTTACTCAGCAACGTATCCACAGCCAAAGAGAGGAAAACGTACCTCAGCGGCCTTCTTTTGTTGACTGTACTTCATCTTCTCGTACAGCTTCCTTTGCTTGTTGCTCATCATCATCTTGTTCATGTCCTTCTCCGCCTCTTCTGTGGCCTTGCTTGCGGTGTCTGGCTTCTTGCTCTTGCTGGCCTTCTTCACCTTGGTTTCGAAGATGTTATAGTCAAGACCAGCAGCTTCGGCAGCAAGCTCAGCAGCCCGGACGCTTGCAGGATCATCCATAGCCACCGACGCAAGCGCTGCCTCCACGGCATCGGTGTTGCTTTCTTTTTCGTCCCCAGATGCATCCGCTTCCCCTTCCTCCCCATCGGTTTCCACATCCATATCTGCGTCGTTCGTTGCCGCCGTCGGGTCGTAAGCTCCCTCATACTCACCGAAAGGACTCAGATGAGGCGGTAAAAGTTTCCCTTGTGCATATGTATCCTCCAAGAGTATTTTTCCTGCGTTGATGCTATCCACCACCCACTGCGGCTGAACATACTTTCTTCGCGAGCGGAGCTCGCGTTCTGCGGGGGTCTCTTCCTTCTGTACCACAGGTCGGTCGATGATGACATGAGTGATAGACTCGTCGCTCTCGTCAAATGGTGAACCAGTGCCTGAGGAAGCGGGCCAGCCGACTCTCCCGCCGTGCGAACGGATAATGAATTCGAATATTGATCGGGATGTTTCTCTTGAGAGCCAGAAGGTGTAGGGAGCAAATAGTCGTGAAGAGGGTGACGAAGGGGTGGATGATAACATGTGCAGTGTTGGTAGTTCAGGAACGGCGTCTGGAGCAGATTTGCTTGCATGTGCGACGAATTGCTCTTCTTCTCCAGGGGAAGCTTCGTCAGGATCCCCCATCTGGACATCCACTTGAGGCTCGTCTGCAGCTACGATACTCTTGATGGTCTGCCGAACATCTTTCACTGAGACCTTTTTGCCATCCACATCGACAGTCTTCCCGGTTTCATTGCGTTTCGGTTGAACATGCGTGGACTGGAGGTTGAAGGCCCCTACGCCTGCAGCCATGTCGTCCTTGTTGATGTCCAGCGGAGGAGGATAGACAAGGTTGGCGTCACTGTAAAGCTTGAAAAACACGAACCCCAGAAGGGTCTGGTACAGTTCCAGGAATGTGAGCATCACGCGAACATCAACGTCTGTAGGGATCTGCATCGCGGTTAGAAACGTATTCGCAAAGTAAACGGTACGGGGAACGTACGTTCTGTGTGAACTGATATGGAACTAACCAAGTGATGGTTTGGTCCATAACCTCAGCCTGATAGTAAACGCCCTTGATCGAGAGGAACACCTTTCGGAGGGAGTTTGTGTGCATAACATAGAGTTGCCATTGCATGGAGAGCCGGGCACAGTTGTCAATGATTTCGCGTGGCAATCTGGCGGTGCTTGGGAGGGTGGCAAAAAGGAAGACCATGCAAAGGGCATCATCAATGTCACGGAGCGCGTCGACGAAAGTAGGATAACTAGGAAAGAGATTTTCGTAAGATCGAGGGAGAACTCGAACTGCGTGTAACATACCGCTCTTTAATAATGTGGTCTAACCGATAGATCGGTTTGTTCTCTTCCAGGCTCTTCGCGGCGCTCCATTCCCCTCTTCCTAAAGCACGAGAAAGCTTCTTGGCAAATGCTTTGTGCTCTCGAAGGCGCTTGAGAACGGGCTCATGCGCAAGGTAGGCGATATCCTTCGCATAATAAAATGATGTTGGCGCAGACGAGCCTTTGTTGGCTTTTTTTCGGTTGTTGGGTTCCCTAGGAAAGATCCCTGCATGGTCGTTAGCCCAGGAATAGGTTCAAATGCAATTGAACCAGGTCGAACCTTTTAAGATACAGAGTCGTCGAAAATCAGCGAGAGAACACTGCAGTTTTCTGACAGCCGCAGTGCGTGTGATGTAGTTCTTCGCTGCTCCTGCCTTTCCTTTTTGTTTTAGTCGACCCATGGCGATGGAATGAAAGAATAGAGTATAGTTAAGATGTCCAAGGACAGTTAGACTAATTGATGTCGAAAACTTGACCGTTTGTTATCTAACGACTTCCGCGCCAAACACACCCGCAGCCGCGCGAGGCAGCGCCAGTCAAGATTCCAACCTTGATCAGTACTTGTGCGCAATATAGTCCACTATGAGGTATGCTTTATGGCTATCGCCCTTTCGGCACCGCTGACGCGATCTCTCGATAGTCAATACGTTCATGTTCCAAAATCTGAACTAGATGAAGCCCAGCTTCGCCAACTCGAGGAGCATGAAATCTCGCAGGGGCCACTATCAGTGCTTCAGCAAGCAGTCCGCAACCATGCTCAAGTTTTGATCTCTCTGCGCAACAACAAAAAACTGCTGGCTCGAGTAAAAGCCTTTGACAGACATAGTAACATGGTAATGTCCTCTGCTCTATATAGTTTTAGGCGCGTATTCACTGTTCATTAGGTCCTGGAGAATGTCAAGGAGGAACGTCCATCCCCTTTCACTACTATTCAAGAGCCTCGTCTGATGGTTAATTCACAGATGTGGACCGAGACCCCCAAGGGAAAGAACAAGAAACCAGTCAACAAGGATAGGTTCATCAGCAAGATGTTTTTGCGGTACCTCTGATTTCTTTCTGCGTTCAATTTCTTGACTGATGATTATATTCTTTCCCAGAGGCGACTCAGTCATCCTGGGTGAGTCCACTCCGACCGTCTGAACGTTTGGGCACACCGCTAACCATTTTGAAAAGTTCTGCGTAATCAGGCATAGTACTCCTACTCCAGAATTGTACATTACGAGCCATTTCCGATATCTCCCTGTGTGTCCTTGCTATTCGCTTTTTGACGTTAATTATACAACCTTAGGCGTTCCCTGTCTTCCCTTTCTTCAATCTGCCGAATTGCGTCGAAGACTGCACCTAGGGTAACCCATCCGAAGCTCCTCGCCCCGAACTCCAGGCCTTTGTCCAGCGACAGCAGCCACGCAAACCATGCCCGTTGGAGATAGTCCTCCTCGGTGTCCGATTCCGACCCCTCAAGTGCTTCCCGTGTTCCCCTAACTAAAATGTCTGTTTTCTCTCGCAACCTCGCTATCAAGTCTTTGCGCTTCCTTGGCTGGGACGTCTTCTGAGTGATCGTACCTATTAATGCTTCCTCTTCCTTCAAGCAAGCATCTCGAGCGGTGGATAGCGTATGGCTCCAGCAAATTCCCTCCAGTTCAGAGGTAAATTTGGCATATATGCCTTCAGTCTCTTCGTCAATGCCGGTCCTGAACGGTTCTTCTGTTGCAATGAACTCCCCGACCCTCCGCTCTATGATTGAGAAGTACGGTTCCCGACTGAGCATGGGAATTGCACTGGAGTGCGTGTTGGCGTTCCTTCCTTGGCGTCGTCTGCTTCGATGGCTTTGGACTCTAGTTCCTCCTTGCGTGGATTCCATCTCTACCGGAAGTTCGATGGCTCTGAATAGCTTTCCAATTGCTTTTGAACTGGTGTAGTAGTTGCCGGATGCGCTGGTATCAACCGTTTCGGGTGCGTTCCAGTCAGGTTTGGTGCGGTACTTCAATCTCGGGATATTCGTTAATGCAACCGGATTGCCTGTCTTTGGATAATCGACCGCATCACTATGCAGGTCTGCAAGCTTTAGACAGTCCGAGTCGTATATCCCTCGTGGACTTTGGTCCGCGATGATGAGCCAGTTTATGGCGATGATTCCAAGAACCTAAAAGGCAGTGTCACAGACTTGTATGCATATCAAACAATGCAACATACGTCGGACAAAATGTATTCCATCACGAATTCAGCCACGTCGCGCATGGTTGCTTTCCGGTCGAGGATCTTCCTCTGAGCCGGAGCATACTGTGAAGGTGCCTGTAACGGTCGAACTGGAGTGAACCCTCTGAGTTCTGGACGTTGGGGGTCCTCCAAAGGGATCAGGTTGTAGATGTCCCCGTCCAAGTCACCACCGCCCAGACAAGATGGTAAGGGTCGGTCGCCTGTTCGTCGTCAGCTTCAACGTGAAGGAGTTTTGATGACAATGTTCTCACCTAGCACGCTGAAAACGACAGTGTTGGCCAATGGCTCGTGTGCAAACGGAGAATCTGGTGGAGGATGTCCGATCGCTTGAACCAGTTGTACATCCCCGGGATGGATCGTTGGTGATCGAGATATAAGGACAGGACCTTCCAAATAGATCCCTCGGGAATTCAGAGGTTTGACGTATGCGAATATTTGCCTTGGTTGAAGAAACCTGTGAACATCAGCGACCCCGACCAGCGTCCAAGCCCCAGGCACGGGAATCCGGGCATGGTTTTTAAGGAGTCGAAGGATATGATTGATAGCGTACTCCATGGCTCTTGATAAAAACCTATCCTGGTTCAGAACTGGAATCCCAAGCTTGTTGAGGCTGTTCATCACTGACGGCAGCCGGAATGAAGCACCCAGCCCGTACGTGTCCAGCATGGCGGCAGCTGTTGCAAGTGACGAAGCAGCCTGTTGAGTTTCACGGACGGCACGGTCCTGGAAGAATTTGAACGTTGAAAGGGGAACGCCCAGGCCCTCAAGTAATGTAATGAGGGGCCTGTTGAGGAAGTACGGTGTCGGTCGGTCGAACGAACGCGCGATCTCTATTGCCCTTGAGTTCGGGGCCTCAAATTTGATCATAGACGGTCGAAGGTAGATGGTGCTCCCCTGCAGCCGATAATCGACAGAAAGCATCCCTTTGGAGCCCATAAAGCGAACTTGATACGCAGCTGGGTGGCCCTTGACGGACCGAGCCCTTCTCTTCGTCCGTTTGAGATGTTTCCATATTTCCCTTGCAAGCTCTGGAGAGAGCGTGCCCACCCCGTCTGTGAAGCAGTACTTTTGGCCTTCCGGGCTGACCACCTCGATGTCGCGCCCATTGATGATTTCTTCGACCTCGATGATGCAAGCATCCGTCGCAGTGAATGCCTGTGAAAGCCTGGCTGCATATCGGGCAGGGCAGTGCATCAACTGGGAATCGAAATCCAACCCATCGAAGTTGCCCAAGCTGTGGATAATGGACTCGGCATTCACAAGACCATGTTTCGTGTCGACGAATGGCTTGACGAACCTGATGAAAACAAAAGTTCAAATTCAATACAGCGGCATGGACAGAAGGAGGTTCACCAAACAGAATGCTCCTTCAAAGCCGACTGAGAGTAAGCAAGGAATCGGAAGTGTCTCTTGGCTATCGTCAATCCATTGAGGAGGAACTCGCCAAAACGTTCGCGAACAAATGCTTCGTGGTCAAGTTCCCGATCGTTGGAGCGATATTGCAACCTGCCCTCGTCGGCGAAGGTAACCCGGAGGAAAGACTCCTGGTGTCGCGGCTCATATGCGCGTATAACTCGATTGGACCGTTCAGGGAAAGGTCCTTCGAGTAAGATTTTGGTAGGGGTGATGGTGACATGCTGTGCCTGGTACAAACTTCCGTCTGTTGGTTCCAAGGTGGGTGTCGTATGAGCCTTGGAAAATTCTTCGAGAGTCAGTTCAAAGCACTCCCTGACCGAGTCCGGGGCGTTGTCCTCGTGTTCCTCGCTTCGGTACAAGGTCTTGACCTTCCGCCCGAAGGTCTTGAGCATGGCAGCTGCGTACTCCTTTCCCTTTGCCTTGGCGAGTTGGTCGATGTCGGGAAGGATATCCAGCATCTCCTTGATGTCCACTGAAAGATCGCGGACTATGGACTCCACTTGATAGGAAACCTCCCAACGGAGCTTCCTGGTCCATCTTTCAAACTCTTCAATAGCCTCCCGAGAGAAAAGACCACGGCGGGCGATGGGGTACTCGTAGGTTGCGCCTCGATGGAAATTGGCGAGATTCCTAAGTTCGTTGAACTGCCTGACTCCATCAGCCGACTGAAAAACAAGGCGGACGACGAGGGACGCAAATGGAGCGACTCGCTCATGATTCGGAATTGGGAGAAAGGTCAGCTGACGGCGGAGTGGTCGAGAGTTGCTATTGGGTTGAGTGCTCAGTGCGGACATGGCCTGTTCCAAGGAAACAGAGGTCGGGACTGTTTCGTATGTCGGAGGATCCGAAAGGAAGAAGAGCAAAACGTTCTCCCTGTAAAGATAGGTGTGGACGGACATTGATTGGATGGAGGATGTTCGAATTGCTATGATGTATTCTTGATTTGTGCTCGCTGTGCTGGGAACGAACTTGATGCGAAACTGCCGACGATCTTCGTCGAAGCAGAGGATACAAACACGAGGTGAATCCTCTGCTTCGATGGATACGACACCATCGCGGCAGTCCCATCCGAACTGGATGGTTCCAATAGGAATTTGTGTCGATGAGAGCTCCCCCGATCGCTGTTCCTCCTCCTCAGCAAGACGGGGGTCACGAAAGGGAAGCAGTCGAATATTGGCCAGAATGTCTTGCTTGACCTGGCCCCTGCTTCGTTCGAATGATATAATCATCCCTCCCATGCTTATCACCCTGGTCCCCCCTGGCCCGTAGATCTGGAGAAACCGCCATCCTAATTCCTCGGTGGGGAGAGTCAAACGACCGTGCCCTGCATGCAGGCGTCCTGTGCCGATCTTGTCTCTGTGTAGTTGGACATGGAAGTTGAAGGGAGCCGTTGGGTCGTCCAGGAACTCGGGGCGGTGGAGATAATGTGCCAAATGGTGGGTAATCTGGGTGTGATTGTAGGAGTAACTGAGTCTGTTCATGAAGATCTCCATGATGCCTTCCAGGATAGGTGCTGGAAGACGAGCAAGAAGTTGGGGGAAATCTTTCTCACCTCCCGGGGCTTTAATATAATCAGATAAGCGCCGGTACCGTGTGATAATACCTGGTCATAGGATTTCCACACATCCTCCACCACGAGCTGGAAAGTGAAAAAAGCGGCTCAGGGGAGCCGTGATGAAATTTCAATGAAAGAAGGTATAGCAAATTATCACTTGAGAAGAAGTCAAATTTATTGGCGCAAGGTTGGCAATATGTTCCGTATCTCTCGACGACATACTCTGAGCCGGTCTTCAATCACAGCCTGGACGAGGTGGAGGCGAGGTGTCTAACAGCGTCGATGACACTGGGAGCAGTGAAACAACGTACCGGATCGTTGATATCTTTGGTCCTCTCGATTTCTGAGCGGATCCAGGCCAGAGTCTCCCGCCTCGTCACGGGATCCTTGATAACTGAGGTGGCCCCTTGGCGTTAGACATGCTGTGACAATACAGCAGAACAATAGTGAGCACGAACCTCTAGAAGCCCTGATTGTATGTTTGTAGAGATCCAAAACCTGCTGTTTCAATATAAAATGTTTGAGAGAGAGGGTAACTGGCCGCATTTTCAGAAACAGGCCCTGTTGGCTGTGACGGGGCAAAATCAGCAAAAAGCTGTGATTCCAATTCAATGCCCGCGCATGATGCGTCCAGGGCCAAACTCACACATCGACCGTCTCCTCCACAATGCCGTCCACAACGTCAACAACACAGAATCCCATGGACCAAGATACTTCACCTTCAGGAGACAACGATGTCAATGCTCTGGCAGATGCTGTTGCCACAACGACTCTCGAAAACCAACCTTCAGCCCCAGCGCAAGACTCGACTGGAAACCACCAGCCAAGCACAGATTCGCCACGTCCATTGAGAGTTTATACCCGAGCCCAGTTACTGAGTCTTCACAACTCACCCCTCGTGAAGCCACCACCTAACATGCCAGATTTGAAGTCATGGTTTGGGTACGTCTTTGGTAAAAGTCGCTGCAATCGACTGCATCCCCATCTCCTGCTATAGCTCCGAAAACGAACAAAACCTGTCCAAAAAGGACTCAGAGACACAGACCTCCAGCGGCCCCAGAGAAAGACGGTCAGTATCTCTCGCTGTTACTCGCATCGGGTATTCATTTTGACAATGTCATCCAGCTTTCGACGGGATCATGAGGACGGAGGTGCGGTGACCATTCATCTGCTTGAGAGTCAAATTAAATGTGCATTGCTCGTTACAGAAAATACTGGCAGAACATCCTTTCGCTCAACGCTCACACAGCCATCTCAGATGGGTAATTTCAAACACCAGTCTTTGCGCGACCGGGATAAGGACAGAGAGGAGAAAGATCGTGAAAGAGATTCCAGAGACAAGGATACTCATGAAAGGTTGCGCCACGTCCGTTGTTCCAAAGTTTGAATCTCTGGCAACACCATACTTACTTCTTATCACAGTTGTCCGACAAATACGACCGGGATCGGATGGGTATGGCCGCTGCAAACTCCCGTAGCAAGGATAGGGACGTTGCACCTCATTTGACCCAAAACTCGGGAAGGACTCTTCAGCCTTCATCGACCACTACATCGTCGAGACGAAATGAGCCGAGAGACTCGGCGAAAAGGAAGGTTGCCGAAGCCGGAGATGATTGGCGGCGTGGTACGTACTTCCTAGGTACACTCCACTCGCCTGCTAACGAAGCGATAGGGGGCAGTGACTTCTCTCGGTCAGGTCGTGAGGACCGTAAGTGCAATTTCTACTTCGCCTATTTAAATGACTGACTGACTTTTCGTTAGGATCCGAAACAAGTCGACGAGATCGGGACGACCGCGAGCGGGCACGTTCACGACCGCGCGACTCCTCAAAGTCTCGGGGAGAGCCAGGCAGAAGGGACCGCGATCGTGAAGACTCGCGGCGTGACCGTGACGAAGACGATGATCCTCGGCATTGGCGGGACGATGGTAAAAGAGATGAACGAATGGCAGCCCGTCGGGCAAGAGAGCGCCCTCATGGTGACCATTGGGAACCTTCCAGTGATCGTGAACGGCGCTGGCCGACCAACGATGATCGCGACTCGAGGTCCAAACGGCCGAATGGGCGTGATAGGCGTCCAGGAAACGAGGAGCCTAAGGAACGAGACGATAGGAAGGACAAGGAGAAGGAGCCGGCCTGGATGGATACCTACGTACCTAGCGAGCCGTTGCCTGGAATCCTTGGTGGAAAGTCTGGCGATGGCGAGTTGGACGGAATCCAGGCATGGAAGAAGGGCATGAAGGACAAGGAAAAGCAAGACAGGGAGAAGGCCTCTGCAGACCAGACCGCCAATGGCAAATCGAATGAGTCACAGGCGCCTACTGCAGGGGCACAGCAGTTGGACGAGATCCAGTTGTTCAGACTTATGATGCAGAAGGAGAAAGAGAAACGGGACACAGAACAACAGGGCGCAACCCCCTTGAATTCGTCAACTGGTGGCTTGTCAAGTCCTGCACACGCTGGTATGTTTCTAACATTCAAAAAAGCTGCAGCATGTTTTGAGCTGAGTCTTTAGTGTCTGCTGGCATGGGTGGGGACACGTCTCGTCCCACTGACCAACCTACAGTGGACACAGTTCCTGCTGCGGTTGACACAGGGCGGCAAGGGTCAACTTCGTTAGAGGATCAAGCGAAGACGCAGCCTGTGGGGGCCGTGCCACGTGTTGCGAGTACGGCGAGTCTTGATAATACATCTGACTCCCAGTTTATTCCTCCGCCTGGCTCTCGTCTCCTTGCTCTGGGCCGTGGACTTGCGAAGACACCCAATGTCCCTGTCCAGGCACCTGCACCCATTGGTGAGACTGGCTACTGTGTAATTTCCCAATGCTTTATTGACAGCCCGCCAGATGCCGGTTCATTCCAAGGTGTAATTCCTGGCCGAAACCAACCTTCAAGGGGCGACAGCGGGTTCAGCCCTTTCGAAGAACAGGCTCGATTGGCGGCTTCTGGCGATGTCCAACCTCCCGTTAATTCTTTCAATCCCGATTCCCAGCAACGCATACAAATGGATCGATCTCCCCTGAATGCCCAGTATCCATCCCATGAAAGCCAGCTGGCTGATTTGAACTCCAATGGTCATATGACCGGAAAAGGGAGTCGGTTTGCTAAATTCTTTGACGCAAAGGGCAGAGAGCAAGCACCGCTCAAACCACAGAGCCCTATCGCATTTGCTTCGGCTTCTCCGAATCTGGGCCAGAGACCCGACCAAGGAGGCTATGCTGGCCCGCCTGGCAATCACGAAGAGCGTCGAACGGTAGACGACCTCTTTGCAATGCTGAGCAACTCACAGGTATGTCCTGATATCCGTTGTCAAGCGCCAGTACTGATTTTTTTGTTAGCCACATTCGGGAATGCATAATCCCAATATGGGTGGACCTTTGGGCCTTCCCCAGCAGAATGCTGGATTCAACGGACACCCCAACATCCCACCTCATCAGCATCCTCATCTAAACCATAACCGCGTCGAATCCTTGTATGACAGTCGACTCGATGACCGCAACTTTGTCCCCAACGACATGGTTCCTGGTTTGCGCACGTTCCCGCCCCCTCGTAATCGCGAACCTTTCGATCCAGTGGACGAACCTGTCATTCAACTGCAACGACTAGCTCAGCAACATCAACAATTGCAGCAACGCGGGGAGCCGCAATTCACTGGCCCTGTCAATGCACTGTTCAATCAGCAAGCCCACCGTTCGATACCTGTCCAGCAGCAATTCAGAGGGAACGGCAACCCTAGTGCATCGCTCCCTTTGCAGAACTCTCAACGATTCCCACCTGGCCTCGCCAATCTCGGCAACCGACCACCTCATGAACCCTCTCAGTTTATTGGGCTCCCCGTTGGCGCACCCCTCAACGGCCTTTCGAACAACGGCCCACTTCCTCAACAATTCAACACCTTCAATAACACCGCCCAATTCAACAGTCCTCAATTCCGAGGCGGCCTCCCTCCTGTCAACCTGCAGGGACTCCAACCATCCGGCCCACCCCTTCCCTTGGGGAGTATCGCCCCAAATAACATCGACCCACGTCTCTCGAACCAGCAACATTTCGGAGGTGCAAACATTGCCGCGATGGGCGGTCAACGTGGTGTACCAGTTAATGCTCAGCCGCGACTTGTACCGCATCCCCAACTAGGTCTCCGCGCACAGCAACAACAGCAGATTCATCCTCAGCTACTTGGACATATGCACCCTCCGAACCCGCCATCCCAACAGCACCCTAACCAGCCTGCCCAAGATCTGATTGCCTTGCTCATGGGTGGATCGCTTCGCGAGTAGATGCCTGTGTCTCTTCCCATATACATATCCCTCAACGTTTTTGTCACTTCTTTGTTTCGCGCGGTTATTTGCAGACCTGTCTATCCACCCCCTCTTGTAATTCCTACTGATTCTAATCATATTTGCAGTACCACTACAAGCGACGAACCACGGCTGTCCACCGTCCTGGCGAAAGCTTGATGTACTTATAACAGTGTCTTGTCTGAGGCCCAATCCAGCCTTAGAATGTACCATATGAGCTTCGTTATCCATAACTCGCTTCATTTGTAGACCGGAAGACTGGCTGGGGAGCCGGAGATAATGCGAAAACACTGAAGCTTTCGGCGTGCGGTTTAGTATCATGGAAAGGGCATTGGTTGTAATCATGCAGTGGGTGAAAGCGTGAAGGGGAGTGAAAATGGAAGGCTCGATCTCATCGACATGTATTCACAGCAGCCGAAGGGATGATCGATGATGCTCGATGTATCGTCATAACGAGGAAGTTGGTGGGTCGACCATGCTACGGTGCTAGTCTCCCACTACGCCTCTCGCTGAAGCTCTGGATCGTTGAAAAGGTGCAATTAAATGCAGTTAACCTTGACGGGAAGCCAGGCGTTAAACCTCGTTTCACCCGAAGTTCCACTGCCTTGGAATAAACTTTCTGGTCCACGGATCCTTTGTGGCCAATACGATCACGGTTAAGTAGGTGGACTGTGTGCGTGGGCCCGAGTACAAGCCACGGCTTGCGTTGGAGCTTCGAGTTCCATCAGAGTATTCATTCGAATCGGACTTCGTTTCGTCGTACATAAGTCTTGTGGCTTTCGCTCGACTCACGTCAAATTTCGTTAACTGGAATGTGAAGTTTCTGGACCTCCCGGAGCTAAGATAAAAACGTGAAATGAAATCTGCTGTTAACTATTGGACTTGTTAAGCATGCACTTAGACGGGAGTTTGGACGACGTTGAAAAGGCCGGTTTCTTCGTCAACTTCGACGTCTCTTCACTTCCCAAGTTACGTGAGTTATCTGGCCAAACCTGAACAAGAAGCCGCTCCCTTCAGAATGCACAGGGTCGTGGCGATAAAAGGCTCCGCCGATGTAAGTGTTGTAGGCTCGGGGTTTGCGTGACATGAGTATTTGATTCGTCTTTGATGTCACGGCGCTGCAAGGACATCAAACGAGATGAAGTCGACAAACGGCGTCCATGAGAACAGCATACACACAGAATGTAACCGGACGGCTCTGCTGTCGTTTTGAAGGTAATAAAAGCTGGCGGGAGTTGGGCCCAGTTTAAAAAGAGAGGTGGAGAGCGGCGCCGGATCGAGAATCGCACACAGAATTTCGCCGGAAGAACCCCTTCCTTGAGCGCTCTTTGACTCGAGCTGTGGTTTGTGCTGCCGAGAAAGCTGCCTTCTTTGCCCATGACAGAAAGAATCCTGGCGTTCCTGGTTCCCAGAGGCGGTTATCGATACTGGGAATCTTTTTGGTCCGCTGTAATCGATGTCCTCCATGACGGTTGCAAGCCCTTGATGGGCCGAGATGGGTAACTACAACAGGGTCTCAGGCATCAGGGTGGAATCAAACGCCGGGAAAAACCCACACGACGTCGGACGATGGCGTTTGGTATATTCTTAGAGGCATTAAGTATCTGGATTCTACCTTCCATCTCAAGGACGAGATGCATGGCTGGGAGAGACTTGCTCGGATGCTTGCGCTTAGAGGGGGTTAGCGCTGGCGGACATTCATAAAATGATCGTACTTCACGCTTCGATCAGAGCGTGCATGGGCTGCACAGCAGGGTAGGCAGGACTTTGGAGGAGGTTGGAAATATCTCTGAGGAAAATTGGCTCTCTACAAGCCCGCAGGAGCCTTGAAGCGAAACTTAGAGAGTTTTAGATAGATAGTTTACGTTCGCGCTGCCAAAGATAAAGCACATGTGCTGCCAAATGGGGGAGTTGAATATGACTAAGGATGCCAAGGGACAGTAATGCTGCCTGCAGGCAGGGAACGTGGTGGATCGAATTATAGGACAAGTTCTCAGAATAAACGGCACACGCCTTGCACGGTACAGGCGTTGTTCCTTGTCCTTGAAAAGTTGTCGTTGTCCAGCGCACACAACTTTTCATTCATCCCTCCTCTGTCTCATACCGTCGCCTTGTGCACCAGTGTCGCTGGGCTTATTGTCCCTTGCTCTCTGTCGAATTTCGCTCGATTGGCTTCGAGCGTTGCAAAGGGCATAGCTGCTTTGTACTCCTCGACGTGGCGACAATCCTCTAGATTTCTCTCTACTCACCCCTAGTCATTCTTTTGTCTCTCTTTCGACTTGCTATCCAACCAATCCTACCATCCAGTCCTTAATCCTTTTACCTCCCATTCCCTTGAACACAACCTCAGCAACTACATACACCCGTCGCTGCAGTACGTCCGCCAGCACGTAGGCCCGCATCGGAAACCGACCCAACTGACTGACACTTGCCAGCTCCCGCACAAATTCCCCATCACTGCAGACCTGTCTGTGTCCAAAGGTGTGTGGATCCCTCTGCTCCACCGCAGCGTTGTGCTGACCGTCCCTTACAGAGAACAAGACTGAACTGCGACACCGCTGGGCAACACAACTTTGTTCGAATTTCTTGAAGGTGAGCGTCATTCAAAATTGTACAACTACGTCATGCACTCTTGGTGGTCGACGCTCGTCGGGAAACGTGGGTCGTGGGAACGCGCACATCCCGGGCCGCGGCGGGGTATTACCGGATTTGGGTGAGGAGGGAGAAGCCGATGGAAGCCGGGACAGGGGGTTCTTCCGGCGCCAGAACTCGAAGATGGATGAATGGTGGTCGGAGAGGACGAGTTCTTCAGGACAAGGAAGGCCCTTTGGATAAGAAATCGCAATTGGATATTTGTCCTTTGTAGTAGCGGGGGTATTGTGGATGGCGACCGTTGCATGTGAAGTTCTCGGTCTCAGAGATTGTTTTGTGGCTGGATGATAACCAAGATCCATCCCCGATTGGGTGATGGGACTCACGCCCTTTTTTATATTCGCATCCCTTTGTCTTCTTCCCCCTCCCTCCCCGTCGTCATCGTCGTCGAGCCCGTCATACTCAGCGACGAGCACGGTCCAGGGTCCCTGTTCTCCTTCCTTCTCTCACTCTCTTCACGACTCGCGACGCTGAACACGATCTTCCCCCCACCTTCCCCTCCCCAGGTCAGAGTGGCACAACACCAATCAACCTTCCAGCACACCGACAACGACTTTTTTGCCGCTGTCGACGTTCGCCAACTGTGAATGCACCATAGTCTCCAATTTGCTGGTGAGTGGGCGCCCATTTTCTGTCCACAAGTTCGCGCGGAACAGGACTACGATCGAGCGGTCACGTTCTTCATTCATCCGCCCTTTCACCACTTTTCGCCTTTGCATCTCTTCTTTCTTTTGTTCATCGTCTGGAACGATGTCCAACGCTGATATCGTTATCTCGCCTAGTGTGGAATCTATCGTAAACTCCTTTGCAACCGTCGCGCTCGACATGAAGGACGCTACCATCACCTCAACCCGTCAATCTCGCAACGCCCTTGTTTACCCAAAGAAGCGTCCTTCTCCTCATGGCATTACAAAGTCTCATAAATCACCTTTGCTCCCTGCAAATGGTGTTTCTCGTGTGTCTCCTCGCGCTGCAAAAGCGGCCTTTGTCCAGCAACAGCGGCAGAAGGCGGCTCAATTGCTCGCTCTTCGTAGAGACGGTGCCTATTTGGAGGAAGAGTATCGCGAGGAAATTCGTCGGTATATGCACGACATGGAGGTGCGCCTTTGTCGTTTGTCGATTTTCTCCGTGGAACTCACACACGACTCTCTCCGTGTAGCGGAACACAATGTCATCAACGCAATCAATGGACCAACAACCAGAGATTCGATGGCATATGCGTCCCTGCCTCGTCGACTTCCTTGTCGAGATCCACTTCACCTTCCGACTGCGACCCGAAACCCTCTATCTCACACTCAACATCATCGATCGCTACGTCTCCCGCCGAGTGGTCTACATCAAGCACTACCAACTTGTGGGGTGCGCCGCTTTGTGGATCGCCGCCAAGTTCGAAGATGCGAAGGAACGTGTCCCCACGGTGCAGGACCTCTGTCACATCTGCCGCGACACTTATGAGGAGTCGGCCTTCATCCAGATGGAAGGCCACGTGCTCTCGACCATCCAGTGGACCCTTGGGCATCCAACCGCGGAAGCCTGGCTACGGCTTTTCTGCACGGGACCCGTACCTGAGGACAACAAGGTTCAGCACGTCGCTCGTTTCCTCATGGAGATCACCCTCTTCTACCGTGAATTTGTCAAATTCTCCCCTTCAACAATCGCTATGGCTTCATTGACATTGGCCAGATACATCTGCGGAAAGCAGCGGCGGTTCTGGGAAGAGACAGACGAATGTCTGGAAGTGGTGAATATCTTGGATACACGTCTCGCTACAAATGTCAACGACCTCTCCGAGACGTTGATCAAGAAGTACTCTTATGCCTTCTACTCGAAAGCCGCCACGTTGGTTGTCCAGTATTATCTCGAGGGGGGACGTTTCTACCAAGAATCGTTCCCTTCACTTCCTTCTTTCCCTTCTCTACCCGCCACTCCCAAGCGAACGACGACATCCGGTGTCAGTACCCCAATGAGCACTTCGAGCACGTCGACCACATCCTCGGATCTGTCTGACGACATGCCCGTTACACCGACGACTCCTTCGTCCCCGCCGCTCTTCGAAACGGCCGAGCCTTTCATAAGCTCCTACTCGTCGGACGACAAGGAGAACATGCCATCGACGACGGTGGAACCGATCATCAACAAGCCTCTTCCAGACGCCGTTCCTGAAAACCTCCTACCGCACGGCTATGTTACATATAGTCGAGCCGCTTTGCACAACCTCAACGTCTGTTCGCCACGGACGGCCATTGTCACATAGCGAGCCACTTCACACACACACATCTCATTCACCGCATCTTCATCCCCTTCTTGTCAAAATGCAAGCAATCGCAAAATGTAATACCAATACACGTCGCATCGACACTCGCATTTCTGTTTTCGCAATCATCCACCATGCCATCATCACTATCCTTGCATCTTCAGTTCTCATCAGCATCATACCATGTATCGGAGGAGCGCATACCTCGCGGGGAGTGGCTGGAGGTGGGAGATATCGGAGAGCTACGCTATTTTATCCGTCGCCGCCGACATCCCCTCCTTTGGACTCTCCTTCGTTCACACTACCTCAATAGAGACATAATCTTACGCGCTCCTTTTCATACATACTGTCGTCGTTCAATTCCCGTCTCCCCATCTTTTGACACTTGTCGTTATGCATCCTCTCTCTCTCCATCTGCATCACCTTTCTCTCAATCCCGCCCCTTGTGCCATTTCTTTGGGATATTCCCTCACCTTAGTACGAGTTATATTTTATTCTTCAACTTATCGTACAACTCCTTTACTTTTCCCGTCGCGTGCTCCCTCTCTCGCTGGTCTGCACCCCACCAGCATTCCCGACTGTTCTTGGACTTCTTTCCTTACTCTCGTCTCTCTCGTACCCGTAGCACGCGCGTTGTATCCTCCTTGCCACATGAGATCGCCCTTTCTGTTAATCCCTTCGCGTGTTGTGCACTGTTATCCTTGTCGCTGCAAGCTGTCCTGAAGTACAATACCAATACCACTGTTGTCGTGTACCTTGAATCAATATACAAGTGTTACAGTTATCCGGGCCCGCTGCTGCACGTGTTGACTCGAGATTATCCGAAAGGCTCTTGTTCGCCTCATTGAAACTAGTGACCCTATCATGACAATTCTTGGAGATCACAACACGTCTACCGGCATTTTACCAGTTGCGTGACCTCCGCAACGACCCTTTCCAGGATTTTTTCATTCATGATGAACTGCATAGAGGGAGCTTCTCCTATGGGTGTACGTCCAGTCGCCTACCACAAGCAATATGCTAGCAGAGAAAGGAGTAGTGATTGGTGCCTGATTGGAACCCCGCCACGACCTTATAATATGGAGCCAATCTTTCACTATCTGTACATCGAAACATGTAGCCTCGCTGCAGCCTATCCATGCACCGCCATTACTAGCGACATCGTGACACGTCCACTCGCCTCTATGAAGCCGCCCTGGGACTGAATACTACTACGACCGAGCGTTGAAGAAAAGGTATGAAATTGGGGCGCTGAAACTAGACCAGTACTAGTAGTGTTCGAGTGAGATGGTCTTACTGGATCGAAACCCCGTATACCCAACCCCAATAGTATTCAGGAGACTTGAAGAGAAATCACGCAGCCCATCCGCTGGGAGCTTCCATTCTATCCAAGTCTCGCCTAGCCAATTTGTTTTGGGCCTGGGTCCTATTGTCCTTGTCCGTGTGGCTGAGAGGGCGTTAAGTCTGTAAAGGAGCCCTTTTGGGGTAAGATCCCTGCGTCACTGGCGAGTTGTTTCTCGATCATTAGCCTCCCCCTCGGTCCCCGAATGCCAATGATGGAAGCGCCCAAGAAAAGTGAGGACACGCGCAATTGAATATACAGCTTCTTCAGTGACGACTTGTCCGAACGTCAGTAATGACACACCAACCCCATTGTACCCCGGATGGAGTCTGTCCCAGGTAGCCGACCGTACTACCCCTGCGCGCCCTATGTCATCCTGTAAGTAATTGGAGGCAATTGGTGACCATGCACCTGAGAGGAGTTACGCATTTCAAATCATTCAACGAGGAGTACGTCCAGGACCGAGAACACGCGTTCAGTATCATTTGGTACAAACCCTGCCTAGCGAAGGCCTGACCAACCGAGATGTTTCCGACCTCTTCGATGCACACACTGCAGCGTTATGTGAAGATGATACGATGTCACTCCGTTCACATAGGAATAAAGATACAACGCATAATCGCCCTCAGATAATACACTCGCCTCATTCAGTGTCCTTCATTTGTTCTCTCGTTCCTCTATTCCAAAATCCACTTATCCCCGTCCTTTTTGATCCCGACCGGTCTCTTCTCGTCCAGGCTGATTCTGCCAGCATGAAGAATTGCAGTGGTCAAGACGGTATTGGCCAGAGTGGGGAGGCCTTGTGAGTCAAAATCTCCGGGCTGAGCTTGACCAGCGTTGACTGCACGAGCAGCCTCAATGAACTTTTCGATCGAGATATAGCCGTATCCGCGTTGGCCATCAAAGTGTCCGCTAGCAGACGGAGAGTATTTCATACTGTTAAACGGCGTTGGTGGTCAGATACGTTTCCAGCAACGCTTCACTATTCAACTTACTAGAAGGGATTATACCAAGCTTTGCCAGTTTCATCGAAAGTGCTGTCGTAACCTCGGTGGGCTTGGTCGACGGTGATATCTCCCTGTGGGCGAGATTAATATTGGTCGCTAACGGAAAAGGTTGAAATGATGTGCCTGCCTTTTCAGCCATGTAGTACCAGTGCTGGGCGGTGTGGACACCGGCCTTGAGAGGAGCCGTCCAACTGGCTGTTGAGATCGCGGTACCCTTGTGCTTGGGGCTCTTGATAGATTGGAAATCAATCATTAGAGTAATCGTATCCTCCGTTTGAGGCACACAATTGTAGGGTTCGCTGGTGGCGATACCAGTGGCCGCGCTGGCAACAACTCGAGTTGGAATAGCAATGTCTTGGAGGATCCAGCAGCAAATATCGACGTGATGGGAGGAGAGGTAATAGCTGCGTCGAATCAAAAAGCAGTTAGCATCCGAAGAACCGGGAGTTGGATAATCAATTTCTCTACCTGATATCTGAATCCTTACCAGCCCAAGCCCTGAAGGTCTCCAATTGACTCTTGGGTTGGCTCATCCAAGCATTGAAGTAGTTGAACTCGCCCAAGGTTGCGGCACGAGCTTTAGCATCACTGTAGACTGGGTCGTATCTGGGACATGGAACGCTAAGCGTGATTGTATAATAGGTAAAAAGGCGACCTACCGCTTGTGATGCTCGACGAAAACGACTACGTTGTGCTTCCGAGCTGCCTCAATCAAGGCATTGTGATGTTCCAACTTTTGGACAGCTGGTTTGGTGACAAGGACATGGATTCCTCGTTCGATCGCATAGATGCAGATATCATAGTGGGTATCTTGTTCCAATAAGTATCAGATAAAGCCAGACTACATCGAGAAACTCACTGTCGGGAGTAAAAACAATAATGGCATCGCCGGGCTTCAGCTTATCAATTGCTTCTTTGTCTATGGATGTGTTGGATCAAGGGCTATGTCCCGGACCGGAATTGGGACTTACAAGCTTCTGGATCGACCTTTCCTTCCTTTGGGAACTCGTCGAAGCTGGACGGGAAACCTTAAGCACAAGAAATCGAGAATGAACGACCTCCGGCTCACGTTAGATCCATGTCCTTGTAAACCCCGCCAATGTTCTGGGCAAGGTGCTGGCGAATGGCCGGGAACTTGCCCCCATTCACCCCAACCATACCCAATTGGTCGACCTAGGAAAGAGTTGCTAAGGTAAAAGACAACGGCCTGCACCTTCAACGCACCTTGCCCAATCTCCGAAGGTCGAAAAGCGTCAGGGCAACGACCTATTTGCATTATCGATATTTAGAACAAAGTAACTGCTCTGAGGAAGGGGTACATGCGCCAATCTAACCGCGGGTGGAGGCATTTAGCTTGCGTCTCTTATAGGAGGCGTGGGTTCATACCTTTTTGTCTGATTTCGACGCTCCAGAACCAGTCCATCCCGTGGTGTACTCTCCCTGTGAACATTCAGACTAGCCAGTTCACCAGAGGTAGGGAAATTGCGTACGGTTCCGCCTAGCCATCTGTCAATCGAGGCAGGTTTAGAGGATTCGGTGGAAACTTACACATAAGAACGTTCAACTTTTTGATATCGGCCATGTTGGATGATTCTTTGGGAAGAGTTAGTAGAGAAGAGACAGTCAAATTAAAGTATCGAGAATTCTGTCTTGAAGTCTCTTCTTAAATAGAGGAAAGGCGTATGAATCTCGGAAGAACAGAAGCAGTGGCCGGACCGCGAAGGTGCATCGAGTCGGGTGATGGCGTCCCGGTGTACAGAGACGCAGTACTCAGTAGGCGGAAAGATCGAATCGTCTTCAAAGCTCCGGTCAACGTCTAGCTTACATGAAGATCGAAAACATACCTATCAAAGACAGGCCATGCGAGGGCAGCTACTCCTCGAGCAATGTAATTGGACTGGATCATTTGCAACTTGAACTTGGCCGGCCCCTCAGTCTGGCAACTTCAGCATTTGGAGAATTATTTAGAGAACGCGTTGTCCATTGTCATGCGTTCAGAAGACCTTTCCAGCAGATGGTTCAACTCGAAGATGGTCGAGTACAGTCCTCGATTTCCACTTTGAGCGGAACGGTCACATGGTTGTTCAGCACGTGCCTTGAATGGACTTGTTTTCGACTTTTGCGAGTGTCCTGTCGAGCGGAATCCGGTGGTGTTACCAGCGCGAATACAGCCGAGTTTTTCAGACCAGCCAATTCGCCTACGGGCTGCTGTCATCGAGAACGAGGAGATGCGCGACTTGGTTGGAAAATTGAGATCATGCCGTATGGTCGGATATGGAAGCAAGGGGGCATCGGGTAAGCTCAAAAGCACGGCGTTTGTGGCGGCTACTTGTGGGTTGGCGGAGGGAGCAAAGGGCTTGAAAGGGGGAATATAAGGAGAATCTGAGAAACTGTGGTGGATTTAAAGGAAGAGGAAAATAGAGGAACGAGTTGTGTGGCTGTCGGAGAGACGCAAACCCGACAAAATTCGGATTGAGGACTGACCTGCAGCTGTGTCCCTTCTCTTTGCCGCTTCGCATCAGCCAGTGCCTCTCTCGCAGGTTCCCACCCAACATCCACGTTGCTTGCCTCATCCCTCCTCAATTCAACCTTCGTCATCGTCGTCCCCGCCCAATTTCTCTTCGCCGCCGACCTCTGCGTCCCCCACAGCGGCCATAAATATGCCCACCTGCCGCCGCAAGCGTGTAGTCCTCACAGAGCCTTCTCCAGAGCTCGTCCAGGCTTTGACAACCGACCCCAAGCGCAAAGTCTTTTTCCTCGAGACAACTGGCGAGATTTTCGAAACATATGAGTCTGTCTCTTTCCCTCCTTCGTTCCCCACATCGATAGTCTAACATCATGCAGGGACTATGCAGCACGCATGTCCTTCTACCGCCTGAAGCAATTTCAGTGTGAAGTAACCGGAAAGAGCGGCCTTGACTATTTTCAAGCCCTGGCCAGCGAGCGTCACGAAGCCCGAACTCTCCATTCTCGATTCCCTGAAGCATTGAAGGCTGCAGTCTTGAAAGCCGTCCAGTGGCGTACGTCCGTTTACCCTTTCCCGCCCGACTCTTCTTACTGACGTCCGCGAAAGAGATCATCGGTCGCCTTGACCATCTCGTAGAAGCAGTCTATGAGCGTTTCAAGGACCGTTATTTTAAAGGAGAGAGTAAGTTCCAGGATCGCTGCGGCTCTATTTATTGATCCGTTGACCAATACCTTCGTAGAAATAATTGTCGATTTAAGTGGTGTTCGGTTTGTGCAGTTCTCCCTTTTCCACCCCGACATCATCTTATGGTTCGCCCTAGATATCTCGCCCAGGTTGACCGAGTATATCCGCCCAAGTACACGGACTCGAAAGTACGGGACTCGTACAAAAACATACCTTCCAGCATCGCAGGTCCTGATGAACTCCATGCTATTGGTGGAGATCTCAAGATCCCTCTCGAGGAAACCCTCCAGCGTGACAATCCCGAAGGTTATTTCTATTGGTGTTATTTGCTCGAGCTGGAAAAGGACAAAAGCCACGAGAAGGGTAAAGCGAAGGCGGCCGACATTCACAAGGATGGAAAATTGGTTGGCAGCCTCGTTGAAGTGAGGTGCCAGATGATGAGGTTCGTGCGAGTCCATGGCGTTCATTCTTTAATTCGTATTGAAGGATTTTCACTTCAAGTCGTGACCGCCTTTCTTTCTCCAAGTCAATCCTCCGGCGTTTCATTCGTGATTGCGTGGACCGGGACCCTGCTGTTGCCTCGCCCTGGACCGTTAAACCTGCTATCGCAAAGAGATTTGGCGTTGATTCTCAAATGCCAGAGGAGACGCGGAAAGACGTGGAAGATGTTCGGAAGGGCGAAATCGACAAACGCAAGAAAATTTGGGAAGACAAAGAAGGCCCCCCGACGAAGAAACAAAAGAAGATGACAGCTGCACAGGAAGAAAAGGGTATGCTTATTTGTTTCTTTTAGCTGCCGGATTCCCTTCAACCTTTTGCTCTCAGCTTTGAAAGCCGCGGCGGCTGCGGAAAAGAAAGAGAAAGATGCGCTAGACAAGGCGGAGAAGCAGAGGCTGGCTAAAGAAGAGGCGGAGCGCCTCGCGGCTGAAAAGAAGAAGAAGAAACCTGTCCGTTATCCAACAGAAGACCTAGACATCCAAATCACCGACAAGGACAAGAAGGCTGGTGTTAAAGTTCAGCGGCCAATGGCCAACCGCGCCATCCTTCCCTTCAATGACAAACCTGGCACTTTTGAATCCTTCCTTCTCGCATGGAATTTCCTGGTAGTCTACGGGTACGTGAGAGTGTTCAGTCGTACTGATCAATTGCTAACCCCTCCGCTTAGCCACCCTCTCCATCTTTCCCCTTTTACCTTGGACGAGTTTGAACAAGCCCTACGACATTCCATCCCAGACATGCCTTGCGCTCTGTTGGCCGAGGTACATTCCACACTTGTATACAATCTCCGAACCGTTCCTTTTGTGCGTCATGGCGCGTTGTTGTCATTCCTAAAGTACAAGGATGACTTGTACGAAAAACAGCAAGAGGAAGACACTTGTTACGGTGTCACCATTGACGAGCTTACTGCGGCGATGGCTGATGTTGGTAACAATTGGGAACGGGTGCCATTACGATTTTCCGAAGGACGGGAAGGTTGGGAAGAAGCAATCGTTGGCTGCTTAAAGGATGTAAGTCCTAGTCACTACTCTTCATGAGGCTCGAAGCTCACTCATTATCAGCACGCAAATCTAACCAATTTCCCTCGGATTCGAGAGATCTTCACCAAATTGCTGTTCGCCCCAGAATCTGAGGAAGACGTTGCTGGGTCAAGCTCCCGAGTTCCAACGCCCACTGGCTACACGTTGTCAGTCCCTGCCTCTCCCCGCGATCGATATTATTTCCTGCCCGTCGAGGACCGCATCGCCATCCTGTCTTTCATGTGCAACCTTGCCATTTCAAGCAAGGCCATCCATGTTCACATGGAATCCTGTGAAGAACAACTCACTGCCCTCCGCAAGGAAAAAATTGAGGTGAACCGCCAAAGGAAACAACTGTGAGTCGTCATCTTCATGTCCTGTTCATATCGCTGAACTAGTGCCTCTGAAGCCTTGAAGAAATGAACACGCTGCTTGGCGAAGCTAAGGAAGAGAGTGCGTCAGGTACTCCTGCCAACGGAGAGGACGTGGTAATGCAAGACGCAAGCGAATCTTCCGACATTTCTGAGAGTGAGCATTTGCTTCTACTCAACCAAGTGCCTCAAACTCGAACTGATTTCAGAAACAGTACGCCCGAAATCCCTCGGCCATTCAAAGGAGCGAGAGGCCGCAAGAGCCAAGCAGGCTTCCCAAAAGCAAGCAATGGCCGAGCACCGTCGTCTCGACGAAGAGGTCAATAAAATCGAGCGGCGTTTGGAAGGGATTGAGCGTGAGTTCAGAAAGCTGCTCGGGGCAGTACGGGTGAAACCTCTGGGGCGTGATCGCTTTTACAACCGAATCTGGTGGTTCGATGGCATGGGATCAGCATCTTTAGTTGGAAATGGCGGGAACACGCTCTACGGAACGGGTAGAATTTTCATTCAAGGCCCCAGCGAATTTGATCAGGAAATATTGGACCGGCGAGAGGAAGACATCGAAGTTCGTCGATTGGAGGAAGAAGGCGATGGAGGTATCTTGAAACCCAATGAGTGGGCGGTCTATTCCGAGCTGGAGGAGGTCCGTTGCTTTCTCCCTCCCGTGTCATAGTCCAACTGACCCCGCCTTTTCTCAGCTGGACGAGTTTATCGCTTGGTTGAATCCGAAGGGCCACCGAGAATTGGCACTGAAGAACGCCTTGACGAAATGGTGGCCACATATTACTGCGGGAATGAAGAAACGAATTGCTGTAAGGGGGATCTCTGTTTATACCGTGACCACTCATGTGTCTCATTTCATATCTCTTATCTGTATAGGATTCGAATCCCGGTACCAAGATTCCTGATGCCAGACGCAGCTCTCGCACGAAAGCAGCAGCAGCCGATATCTCGAGAGAGTCATACATGGTTTGGACCAACCGCAAAGCAAATTCTACGTAATGTGGTAGTGTGTAGATTCAGCTATTTCTACTTTACAAGCGCCCGTGTTAATCTGGACGTGTCGGTCCACCGTAGAGATGTTTATGCACTGTATTGACTGGATTTCAGAAGCCTTGATGCGAAGATCGTAAGATGGGGTTAGGTTGATCGTTGTTTCTCCTATGTGTTTTTGTCTGATGTCGAGAGATATCGAGGTTGAACGAAACACACATTCGTCAGTCTGACTATGGGAGACTAAGGTTGAACATACTGCCTGGGCTTCCGGCTGGTGCTTATCTTTCTCCTAATTTGTCACGGGAAAAAAGCTTCCGTCACGGAGGAAACCGAGCACAGAAGCATTGGCGGATTCTCGGAAGGGTTGACACTATCTATGACTCCCGCACTCTGTCCAGGACGTAACAGCAGTTTTTTCCAAATGGTTCTACGGGATGTTTCTAGACAATTCAAGCAACTAGACACCAGTCTTTCTGTTCTCTCATACGGCGGGCCTCTCCAACTAGATCCGGAAGGGGAACGCCAATCAATTTTCCCGACGGGCAAAATAGATAAGGACGATCCCAAATCATCCCATACCATGCGAGGTCTTGGAGCTCAGCTCCCCTGACACCGTCTCGAATCGCTGAGACACCTTGCTTGACTCTCTTCCCCTCTTGGTCGCGTCTAGCTGTCCCATGGCCTCCTTTGGCACCAGCTTTTCCTTCGGTTCTGCGGTCAGCGCGACTGGTAGCGCTTTCTCTGATGCCTTCGAGTCTTGTGCGTCGCTCCTATGTCTTTCATCATGCCCTTTCCGATCCTGTGCTCACTTTTTTTTCGCTAGATCGAAGGGCCCAGTATCTAGTGGCTGGGTCTGCTGTTGCTCCAACTTCAGAAGCGTCAGACCTTGAGGACGAAGATGAAGAAACTGGTTTCTCAAGCCGCAGGCACACTGCAGTAGAAGAATCTGACGACGAATATGACCCTGACGACTATAGGCAACGCATGCAAATGCGCCCTCGCGATGACTCCTTCGTTGGACAGCTTGACTGGGACGAAGACCAGCACGATGCGGTCTTTCCAGCGAGCCCTCTCCGCCGTCCTTCTCGGCCGAGGTACGATACCCAGCAGACTGTCCAACTTCACCAATCCATTACACCTCGGGTAGAGGAGATACGAAAAGCTCACGAATCCACTCCACTATTGTCACAAAAATCTTCATCCATCCAAGAGCAGCTCTCTATTCATGAACCTGTCAAGGACCATGGCATATTGGTCCAGACGCAAGATCCGAGCCACCTTGCTCCACCCTCATCCTTACGTCGTCGTTCCTCTGCCGCATCCCATGGATCCAGGAGCATTCATTATTCGTTTGGCGGCAGAAGTACCTACGGTCAAACTGTCAGTAACCAGTTCTTCGCCTTCCATCCTGAGGGGTTTATGCTACATACTAACCGCCTTCTTTCCCGTAGCTTTTCAACTCTATCGCCATTCTTTTAGGTATAGGGATGCTGTCCGAACCCCTCGCGTTTGCGTATGCGGGATGGGCAGCTGGAACAATTCTGATAATTCTTTACGCGTTAATTTCGTGCTACACGTGCGTAGATTGCGTCTTTTCGATCTTGAGATTGTTCTGGCAGCTGATGCACCATCTAGGGCCAAGATCCTCGCTCGAATCATTCTTTCAGACCCCCGGTTGCGATCCTATTCTGATATAGGAAGGAAAGCGTTCGGTCCCCGAGCTACTGGGATCATCAGCTTCATGTTCTGCTTGGAACTTTTCGCCGTAACGTATGTCTTGTCAAGTTCTGGGTCGAAGGTTGTGGTATAGTCTGAACTCTTGAACCAGCGTCGTTCTTGTTACGCTCTACGCGGATTCTCTGCACACGCTTATCCCTGCTTACTCGGAAGATATGTATAAACTCCTTGGGCTCATTGTGTAAGTTCCTCAATCCAAGATGTTAGCGGTCTCTAATCGTCATTGTCAGCCTCATTCCTACGGTCTTCATGCCTCTTTCGCTGCTCTCATACACTTCGATTCTGGGCATCATCTCAACGGTCATGCTCGTCTTTGTTATCTTCATCGACGGTTTTACCAAGACGGACGCCCCGGGAAGTCTCTGGGATCCTGCTCCTACCAGAATTGGCATTCAGTCCTACAACAAGCTCGGTCTTGCCTTTGGCTTATTCATGGCTGGCGTAGGTCTTGATTGGGAGTTTTCACGGTTTTCCGTCCTGATAATTATGTTCAGTTCTCCGGTCATCCGGTCATCCCATCTCTCGCTAGAGACATGGCCGACCCGAGCCAATTTGACAACATGATCAATTGGGCATTTGTAAGTGTCGAAACACCCAAGACGTTAATTTAATACTCAGCGCATCTTTAGATCATTGCAACCTTCATCTATATCGCCATTGGAGCAGCGGGTTACTTGATGTTCGGCGATTCCGTGCACGACGAGGTAGGTGTCGGGGTTGAACGCATGGCGCCTTGTATAGCATTGAGCTTTCTTCACAGATCAGCATTGATCTCCTCAACACCCCCGGATATCCAGCATTTCTAAACCACTTTTGCCTGTGGCTGCTGGTTATTAGCCCTTTGTAAGTCCTAGGAATTTCTGGCTATATGATATCGTCAGCTGAACACGGGGAATAAGGTCGAAATTTGGTTTGAATACCCAGCCTGTGAGTACCTGTGTCCTATGAAAGTAACTGTGATTCTGACGAGTTTCTTAGTTAACTACGACCATCGACCTATTGTTGGGCCTTGATACCACGACAATCGCCTCGCCAGAGGATCTTGCTGCAAAGCCAGAAGGCCTTTCGATATCGCCACACGGATCCCACATTATGATCAAGCGATTTCTAGCCATCTTCCAACGGATTTTCATGACGGTTATGTCTGTCATGGTGTCCATTTTGATCCCGGAGTTCAGCTCGATGATGGCCTTTTTGGGATCTTTCTCTGCGTTCATGCTCGCCGTTGTTGGGCCCGTTCTCGCAAAGGTCGCAATTGCAGGACGGTGCGGTTCTGTTGATGGTGCTATCATTGTAGTTGGTGTGGTGATGGCAGTCTGGGGTACACTGGCAGCATTCTGGGCGACTTCGTGATTTTGACGGACCTTCTTCTTCTGGTTTCTCATAAATTGTATATGTATTGCTTTCGCTTCGGGTTCGGGCGCATAAATTTTGAAGGTCAGTGCGACTGGTATATTTATACAGTGTCGATATCGAACATCTATGCTTTTATTGCGTGAGAGATGACCTTCGTGAGCTCTATAAAAGGGGCAGGTCAGCACAGCCTTGCAAGTAAAAGGTGATACGTACGGGGAAGTTTTATTTGCTCTTGAACAACGGTTGCCTCGATCTGATTGTCGGGGTTGGGGGGAACAGCAACATTTCCGGTCGAAGCGTCGATGGACCAGCCAAGCTGTTGGATATACTCAGCGAGATCTTCGCCTGAGAGAAGCGGTCAGACATCGTTCAGAAGAAGACAGAAAGGCTAGGAACCAACCATCGAGATTCAAATAAGAACCAAGACGCTGCGAAGTAATATGGGTGAAGGTTGCTGTCACAGCACGAATGGCGATTTGGCGAATGGCATTCTCGAATCCGACAACCTCTACGGTATAGTTGTCCCGCAAATTCTCGTATTCGTCCGAATTATAGGTTTGCCAGAAGGCTGGGAAGCGACACCTGTAGAGGAGATTTTGGAGGTTCCTGAGAAGAGGGAGGAGGGTAGGTAATGGGTCTGGTTCGTCCAAGCTGGCTGTCGGTGGTCGCTCGTCCAAGAGAGATATGCAGAGGTTGAAATCGGGCATGGGAGTCGCGGTCAAGGCTTTGAGGAGGATATTGATAACCACATCAGGGTTGTAAAGGTCAGGGTTGAACTGATAACTGGACAAGAAGTGGATCAGGAAAAGGATGCAAGTGATGATTGCTGGAGTAAGTACAGTTTCAAGATGGCCAAGTTGGCGAGGCAGTCGTATTCCTCGCTTCGGATTTGGTGATATAGATAATCCTCGAGAATACCGACATTGGAAGGGTTGTAGCGATCTGTACATCGCGCGATAAATTAAGTTGACTTTGGATTTTTTGGGCACAAAGGACTCACCGACGCCCGAGACAAGGTCGTGAATGAGGTCTGGTCGTGAAGCGGGTTTGGTCCAGCTGCTACTCATTTTGCTCTTCGTCGTGGTTCAGGAGAAACAAGTTTTTGTCCAATCTCGTCCCAAGACCACGTGCCTGGAACTTTGGCTTGGCGAGCGCCTTCGCGGTGGACGCGACGCTCAGACTACTCTCAAATTCTTGAACCCATTAGTATGGCGGAAAACGACAAAATGGACGTTGACCCTGCTTTGCCTGAACGGCAGGGGACATCATCCAGCACACCGTCGGAACGTGCACCTAACTACAAGCTGCGCTGCATCCTCAGCGGTCATTCTTCCTCAATCTCTTCAATCAAATTCAGCACCGATGGTTCCATGTTGGCTTCTGCAGGTAACGTCTCAGACGCGCTCTCTTCTGAAAAGCGCTAATGTGGAAGCGAAGGGAAGGTCCGGACAAGACGATAAAACTATGGGATACTGAATCTGGAGACATAATCCATACTTTTCGTGGCCACAAGGAAGGCATAAACGACCTCGCCTGGGCTCCCGACGGCGAGTTCATCGCTTCTGCCTCAGACGACAAGACTGTTATCATTTGGAGCTTAGAGCTGGTGCGTCCTTTGCAGCAGTTCAGGGCATATATTCATTCTGTCTCCAGAGGGAACCGGTCAAGACGCTAAGTCGTCATACCAGCGTTGTTTTCTGTATAAATTACAATCCAAACTCGAACCTCCTCGTTTCGGGCGGTTATGACGAGACAGTGATCATCTGGGACGTCGCTAGAGGTGAGTGTTAAGTGGCCTGTGCAACTGCAGCATGACCGACCCCTCAACAGGCAAGGCGCTAAAAACACTACCTGCACACTCGGATCCTGTGACTGCTGTAGGCTTCAACGATGATGGAACCCTTATCATCTCTTGCGCCATGGATGGTCTAATGTATGCGCATTCAGAATACATCAAGGCGCTGTCTGACGCTCTACTAGACGACTCTGGGATGCCGAATCAGGCCAGTGTTTGAAGACCCTCGTCGATGACGACAATCCGATCTGGTTCGTTCCATTCTGGTCGGAGGGAACGCCCACTCATATCCCCGTTTCCAGTTCTCACGTCTGTTTCTCTCCGAACTCAAAGTTCGCACTGGCTTCTACACAGGATTCCACCATCCGACTATGGAATATTCAATCATCACGCTGTGTGAAGACGTATACAGGACACGTTAACCGAACATACTGCATACCCGCATGCTTTGCCACCAAGTCGAGTAAAGGCCAATACATCGTAACCGGGAGTGAGGATGGGAAGATATACGTGTGGGATCTGCAGAGTCGACAGGTGTTGCAGGTGATTGAGGGACATCGCGGTAAGCAGGGCTCATTCTGTCTCCGATCCTTACTAACGACGGGGCTGTTCATCTTTAAAGATGTTGTGCTCGCCATGGCGGTAAGTGGAACAATGCTGGATCAATAATGAAGCTGACCATAGTTGCAGACTCACCCTACACGAAATATCATCGCCTCGGCGTCGATGGACAAGGACATGACCATCAAGTTCTGGGTGGACTCATAGGAGTGGTGTAGATGATTCCGGTTGCTTCGCCACAAGGCTGTTGTATTCAGTTCTGGACTGTTCTCGAGGCTGTGAGCGGCTTTGATCGCTAATTGAACCATTTATAATTACCAAGAATGAGTCATGGGAGCAATCATTGAAACTCCGCCCCTGGCCCCCTATAAGAGCTGTGGGGTCGCCTTTGGCCTTTTGCCATCTGCGTTTCTCCCCAATTCCGTACAAAGCCTTCTTCATTCTTCAACATGCAAATCTTCGTCAAGACTCTCACTGGAAAGACCATCACCCTCGAGGTCGAGTCTTCCGATACCATTGACAACGTCAAGGCCAAGATCCAAGACAAGGAGGGGTAAGTGCCACCCACCGCCCACCCATTGAGATTGCAGTGACTGACCTTCGCCTTTGTTTAGAATTCCCCCCGACCAGCAACGTCTCATCTTCGCCGGCAAGCAGCTCGAAGATGGCCGCACTCTGTCAGACTACAACATCCAGAAGGAGTCGACTCTCCACCTCGTCCTTCGTCTCCGTGGCGGCATGCAAATCTTCGTCAAGACCTTGACTGGAAAGACCATCACCCTCGAGGTCGAGTCCTCGGACACCATCGACAATGTCAAGGCTAAGATCCAAGACAAGGAAGGGTACGTGTTTGCCTCATGTCCTTATCTCGCCGTTTATTGACTCCGAACCAGTATCCCTCCCGACCAACAGCGCCTCATCTTCGCTGGCAAGCAGCTTGAAGATGGCCGAACCCTCTCTGATTACAACATCCAGAAGGAATCCACCCTCCACCTCGTTCTTCGTCTCCGAGGCGGTATGCAAATCTTCGTCAAGACCCTCACGGGAAAGACGATCACTTTGGAGGTCGAGTCCTCGGACACCATCGACAACGTCAAGGCGAAGATTCAGGACAAGGAAGGCATTCCCCCTGACCAGCAGCGACTCATCTTTGCCGGCAAGCAGCTCGAAGACGGCCGCACCCTCTCCGACTATAACATCCAGAAGGAGTCCACCCTTCATCTCGTCCTTCGCCTCCGTGGTGGAATGCAGATCTTCGTCAAGACCCTCACGGGAAAGACGATCACTCTGGAGGTCGAGTCCTCTGATACCATCGACAATGTGAAGGCCAAGATCCAGGACAAGGAGGGCATCCCTCCCGATCAACAACGCCTCATCTTCGCTGGCAAGCAACTCGAGGACGGTCGCACCCTTTCTGATTACAACATTCAGAAGGAGTCCACCCTCCACCTTGTCCTCCGTCTCCGTGGTGGCAACTGAGCCGTTTGGTCGACTCCAGTGATCTCTCTTTTTGTAGATGTTGTCCGCACCCGTAATACGCACACATTGTAGACCGATGACTTCACGAATACTCGATAATGCATTTATTGTACCATCATTGGCTCATGGAACCGTTCCCTTCATTGCTCAAAGATCAATTGTGGAAGCTCGGTAAGTCTGGCATGAATAGCAACGAAAGGGCAACCTAAGAATTACGCGGAGGTGGCAGGCGTGGCCATATCGTCAGGTTCAGAGGTCTGCTTTGCTTTCCTTCGCCGTTTGCGCTTCTTCTTCGCCTCGCCGGTGGTCCCAGCCCCGTCAGTAGTACCTGCATGGTCTCCTCCCACATCGTCGTGGTCGTCATCTTCCTCCCGTTTTCGTTTACCAAGTTCAGCACCTTTGGAAGAATTCTTCCCATTGTCGGATGTTTTCGCCTTTGGCGGTGTCGGTTGTGTCTTCTTTTTCTTGACGCTGAGAGGGTTAGGACCTTTCGGTCCCTTCTTTTTCTTCTTTGGCTCTTCCTTCGGTGCCGTCGCTTGGACCAATGTGAGATCGGATCCTGATGCGTGTAGTGACTTTTCTTCTGCCTATAACAAGTCAGAAGAGGGAGGACAACTTTCATGTATGGGGAACTCGGCATACCAATAGTTTAGCTCTGAGCGTTGCGTCGCTCGGGGGCTCGAGGACCATCACTGAGCGGTTGATGTGGATTATGGGAGTTGCGGGAATTCGTCTTAGATGATTTCGAAGAGGTTGCGACTGCGTTACTATCACGTAGCGATGTTTATTCGCCTCACCTGTAAACGACACAAAACATCAGCAACTCTTCAAATAGGATGGTATGCGAGGAACTCACCGACAACATCCTTGAGACAATCATCCGGGTCAATGGCATCACGATGATTACACTTTCGCCGTTCAAATGTTTTGGCAAGGTCAACGGCTGGTTGCTGGGATTTACCAGCCAGGTAAAGCGAGTGAATGCAGCATTGGGTTATCACTAAAGTACGGCTTTGTCGCCGCCGACCATCAGTTCTCCGTTTCCTCCCAAAAATTTGCGGGAGCAAACTCACTGAGTTTGACTTCGCCTTGCGCGACGGTGGAGAGTTGTTTAGCGATATCGAATTTGTGTGAGATGGCCATTTTGCATGTTTCTGGGTCGACTGTTGATATTGTTTTGTCAGATTAGATGTTGTATGAGAGGGGACGAAGACGTACTGAGGAGTTGGTACGGCTGACGGAAACCAAAGAATTGACCGTATAGGTGCATGAGTTTTCTATATGCCTTTGCTCTCTTTTGCCGCATTGTTGAAGTGGAAAGGTGTTTTCAGAGTTTGGGTACAGAGAGAATTCGTATCTTGTGGTGGAAGTGGAAATGAGAGAGCGGGGCAGGGACTTCGGAGGCTGTTCCCACTTTGCCATCAAAAACGCAAGTCGTCCTTCTCCAGAATCTCCACTGCTGACCATCATGGCCCGGGCCTTCGTTTCTCTTTGCTTTAGCCTCGCTTTATGGTATGTATGGAATCTCTCAGGTCTTTGTAGACGACACTGACAGGCCTTGTAGCTTGGCCCTCGTCTCGGCGCTGGATATCCAGGGGAGGGTAGCATGGAACCAAGCTTGCGGCAGTATGTCCGAGAGATTCTGTCCTACATAGCATCAAGACTAATTCCACATACAGATGCGTCGTTGTTGGGCCGTGCTAAAGCTGTCCTGGACGATGGACGATACGCTGGCGCTGTGACCCATACAGGTCATTTCACAATGTAAGCACGCATCGTGCTTGTGGAGGATCAGGTGCTGACTGGGGCATCCAAGTCCTAATGTTCCAGAGGGAACGTACATTCTCTCTATTATATCTCATGACCATGTCTTCGACTCTGTGAGTTCTTTTATTCTTACAGTCGAGACTACATACTTACTTTTCGAAGGTTCGTGTCGATGTGCTCAAGGGAGAGTCTAAACCAGAAATTCGACCTTATGTTCAAGGGACACCATTAGACCCACCGTCCACCGTCCTACTCCCCTACCCAGTTACCCTATCTGCCAAGGAAAGCTTTGTCTACTTCAAGCCTCCGGAATCGTTCAACCTAGTGTCCATGCTTTCCAACCCTATGATGATGATGATGGTCGTTGGTGGTGTCATGATGCTGGGGATGCCCTATCTAATGGTATGAGCGGTCTGTACTCCCTCCCCCGATCCACCGCTGACTCCATTGCAGAAGAATTTAGACCCTGAAGCGTTGGAGGAGCTCAAGAAAAACCAGGCTCAAATGGCCGGTGTGCAGAATGCACTCGCAGCTGGTGATCTCAAGGGAGGGTAAGCAGTTGATTCTGGCGAAAATAAAATGGCACAGGTGATTGAACGGGTATGTACACAGGTTCTCGGCGATCATGACCGCTGCAGATGAAGCAAATGGGGAGGCTAGTTCGTCCAGTAAACCGACGCAGAAAGGACCTGTACGAGCACCAAAGAAGGGCAAACGATAGAATAGTATACCCCAGCAGTGTATCCTTGCGTCATATCCTAATCTATCTTCCGGTCTTGAATACAGACAACAGGCTAATAGTTCGAGCTATGTTCACTTTGAGGGTTCTGGAGGAGGTTGTGGTGCTGTGTAGTCATGGTTTGTTGGAGCCGCTCGAGTGTCGGATCCAGTGACAGAGGGATAGTTGAGTGCATGGCGGATCATATCGTTGCTGGCCATTCATTAGCGGATGCGCGTCGTGAGGCAAACGCTCGACATACCGAGCCTTGAATTGGGCCAGAATGGCACTGGCGGGCTTGCGCTCCTCGTGAGGTGGAGTCGGCGGCCTAAACGACAACTTGGGTAACAATGTGCCGTACCAATCTGGGGTGCACTGGCAAACCTACCTATCGTCTCGGGTCGTCTCTATGATATACATGCGGTCATCTCTGCCATCAACGTTCTCTTGACTAGATGCAGCGACGGCGGCTCCAGGAGCATCATCTACCTTGAGCCCTGTCGTAATGAGGTCTTGTGAAATACTGTGGACTGTGGTCGGTGCATTGTCCTGGCCGTGGTTCAGAATCAAGACATGTTCATCCTGGTACTGAGGCAGCAGCGCCAATGGGGAGTCGTCAGTGTAGTGATATTGAATCGCTGGGTGTCGTAGATTGTTAGAGGTTGCTGGCTGAGATGTGCTGTTGAGTGCGACGAGGATGTAGTAAGGAGGACGAGCCATGATCCAACTCCGACTCCTTAGCCGCCCATTCTTGGCCACTGACAGTCATCGCATCCACAATTATATTCATCGGCCTATAAGTTTGTGTTGAAACGCGGAATAACTTTGCTTGCAAGCATAACGCGGGAGTTGCGAAGATGGCAGTCGCCAGGCACCCTAACAACACCGTGACAACCGAAACTTGCTCAAATACTCTCAGCGCTCACTGGGTCTCATCAGGCTACACTTTCTTTCCTTTTCTGCCCTGAATTTCAAACCGGTTTTTCTATTCAGAACGACCACCTTTCTCTTCCCTTTTCACTCCTTCTTCTTCTGAAATCTTCGTAGTTTGTGGGTCATGGCGCGTTTCGCTACGCTGGTTACGTTCGTCGCTGCCGCTGCCTGCATTCCCAACGTGTTTGCTGGCCCTGCTCCAAGTTCTGGCCCTGCGTGTGCTGCCCAAAACAAAGGCCTCGCAGACTGCATCACAAAGTGCAGGCACAAGTGGGGTTGGAACAATGGGTTACTGGGTGCAGATCGATGGGGACCAGTCGTTCTTCCCAAGTCCAATGCGAACCTGGAGGCTCATATCGCCTCGGCCTGTGGAACGACGTACGGACCTCTCACTCGAACCACAACATATGTCATCGCTGACCTGGATCCTACAGCGTCCAACCTCGACCCTCTCAGGCCAAGCCCCCAACAAGACTCGAACAAGTGCCCAAGAACGGAGCTCCCATCCCGTCCTCGTATTACACCGACGCTGTGAACTCGAGGAGCAGTGCTCTTCCTTCTCCTTCATCTTCTCTGGCCTTGCCTTCGTCCTCTTCTGTTGCTCCGTCCACTTCTTCAGAGTCGGTGGCTCCTACCCCAACCGTCGCCGCTGCTTTTGTCGAGGAGCCCGAACCTGAACCCACGACGTCTGCGCCGCCTCCGCCTGCTCCGGAACCGACCACGTCCGACCCTCCTCAAGAACCCAACACACCTGCTCCTGCCCCTGCTCGCAGCCCGGAACCTCAACCTGAGCCCGAGACCCAACAACCTGAGCCTCAACCCTCACCTGCCCCTGCCCCTGCCCCTGCTCCGGCTGCCAGTGGGGACAGACAAATTTGGCTGGACGAGCACAACCGATACCGTGCCGAACATGGTGCAGCACCGTTGACTTGGGGTGATGACCTCGAAGCTGCTGCTCTTCGATGGGCCAGTGGTTGCAAGTTTGAGCATTCAGGTGGAACGCTTGGTCGTCTTGGAGGTACGTCTTCTCCATGGAAGGGTTTGCTTCCCAGGTTTTACTCACTCTGATTCTTTTATTCAGAGAACCTGGCTGCTGGAACCGCCCCTTACCCTATCACCACGGCCGTGTTCCGATGGGTCGATGAGCGAAGTGAGTAACAGCCTGTCCTTCTGTCGACCTTGATCGTTCATTGGTCTACCCACAATCACAGAGGATTATGTGCCCGGACAAGCCTCCCACTTCACTCAAGTCGTCTGGAAGTCCACCACTCGAGTTGGCTGCGCAAGTGTCGTCTGCAACAACTTGTTGCCGATCTTCGGGGTGAGTTCGTAGAATTGGGGAAACTCTAGGACTGTAATCCTGACTTGTCTGAAAACGCAGAACTCCCCCGCCACCTACCACGTTTGCGAATATGATCCTCCTGGCAATGTTGGCGGTCGCTTCGGGTGAGTGTCCTTGCCTCAGAAATGTCGAGCATTCCCTGATGACCTATCTCCAGCGAAAACGTGCAAGTCTAAATGCAACCTAGATGTTTACATGTCACGATTTAGATTTGGAGATTCACTTATACCCTTTCCACTCTTTTCTCGCCGACGCACCTGCGGTGTCGTCGCCTCGTTCACTCATTTACCATTTCACTGACTTCCTTGAATTCTAACTCGCTTGTACCTGTATACCTTGCTTCCTGCATCCTAGATTAGCTCTGCACGTTATGTAGTCTGGTGTTCCGTATGCATCGTTAGGAAATACAAACATGCCGTTGAGAATCGAACTCTGTAGGCGTTACATAGGGTTGATGACATCACAACGTGATGTCCGCCTCCAGCGCGTTCAAGGGACTTGTACCTGTACCGTAGTGACGTGCACTACAGCTGAGCGTCTACTTGAATCTCTGGCGACAACACCATGCTCTCCGGATAGACTATAGGAATGCTTTCACTCATCCTAAAGAGAACGCTTTCGCAGGCGGTCTACATCTTTCTTGTTCTGATCATCGTGGTAGCTGCTGGCCTTTCATGTGCTGCCATACTCTCTCAGGCGGTTCGCACTTCGGACAACAAGTCATGGGACAACAACTTCAATGCCTTGATCATTGGGGCTTCGTATATCATCGTGGTATGTTCAATCCACCCCAAACCGTCTCTACTCTGGATCTCAAGGGTCGATCCAATCTCGGGTTGAAAACCGAAACAATGGCATTGAAAGCTCGTTGCCTCCCTGTTCCTATGCATTAAACGACGCATCGCGGTGCGGATGAAGTTGCAACGGATCTCAAAGACATATAGGACTGTAGGCGCGGAGGATCTTCCCAAGGTACGTGCGATGTTGCATGGCTATCCCCGTATGAAGAAGGGTCGAACTAGAGCTGACGACGTCTGTTCCCCTTTTCATATTCATTTCAGTCTGTACATCGGTACATCACGCAGGAATATGTCAGGGCCTCGCTCATCTCGCATGAGTCGTTACCAGAGGATGTCGTGCACGAGGGCTGGGGTCGACCAGGTCTGTGGTTGTTCACTGTGGTCGAGGGTCTGGGCTATGGAACTGACCTGCTTTCGTTTACCCGTTTTCCGGTGCATGCTCGTCGTTCCTTGAAACAACATCACGTTCGGTTGCGTTGCCTCTGAAACGCAACTGCTGCACGAAATGGCGTGTCGTACGACGGAACCCAACCTTTCCTTGTGTTCCTACTTGCAGGGAGCAAATACCACGGCGTGTACTTCCGACGAGCACTACTTGACACTATACCCCGAATTGGTATGCACTCTCTGCCTTACCCGTTCCATCCCTTGATTCTGACTGTTCCTGTTTCACCCTTTTCTCCCCCAATAACCCAACCACTTCCCTCATTCGGGGTTTGGAATCCGTGGAAATTGTACCACTGTAACCTGAATGGATCTCGCTATGCCCACCCACCCACTCGATTGGTCGATCCAACGGACGGGCACCTCTTGGCCTGGAAAATACTGAATCCTGTGCAACACCAAACGCTGCTCGATTTGGGCCTGAAAGACAAGCTAGCCCGCACTGTCATCCCCATGCACCCAAGATTGAAACCACATGCTCGGATGTTGCTTCATTTCCGATTCCTTGTGCCCTTGCTCCCGAAGGACCAAGACGGGATAACACCTCTTCATTATTATGATTCCGCGATCCAAATTGCCCGAAATGCGGAGAGGGAGCTGAGCGAGGAGGAGTTTGAGTTTGGGATGCAGGCGGCAAAGGAGATCGAGAGAGGGTTAGTTGCTTTTGCACGCGTTGAAAACGCGAAGCTGACGGTCTTTTTTCGATCCAGGTTGGAGGAGTTGCGTCTGGAAATGGAGGATACCAAGTCACATTCTCATTTCATGGATTGATAGTTGTGGTATCCGTCTATTTCGCATGTCAAGTAGAACATGTGGATAGCCAAAACGTGCGAGTCGTAATCATTAGTATCGTCTATCTATACCGTCTCCAACCCAAAAATGATAGCAATTATAGATATAAGATTGTAATTAGAAGACAAAGACCTTGTCTTGGAGCTTGCTGATGGTATTCGGGAGAGGGTATTTGAGTTCGTCAAGGTTTTTCCTAGAAGGGGAGGGGGTCAGCAAAACAGTCCATTATGAAGATGGATGGAGACGTACTTCATGGCGTTAACCATGGGAGGAGGGCCGCAAATGAGGATCTTGCTGTTGGTTTCAGCAGGGTTTGGCAAGAGCTCCTTGATGTGTTCCTTGGTCACGAAACCAGCACCGCCCTTCCAGCCAACAGGTGGGTTGTTGAGGACGTAGAAGATCTTGAACCTCTGTTCGCCATGGACGTCGAGCAGTTCCTCCAATTCGGCGCGGAGGAGGATGTCTTCTTCGTTAACGTTGGCGTAAATGAGGGTGAGGGTAGTTTGGTCGAGGGGGTTTCGCAAAACACCGCGGATGATCTGGATCATGGGCGCAATACCGGTACCGCCGGCGATCATGGAGAGGTGACCAACAAGGTTGGGGGAATACTTGAAATTGCCCTTTGGACCCTTGACTCGAAGCTTGTCACCAGGGTTGAGGGTAGTGACATAGCGAGAGATGTTGCCCTTCTCATAGGTCTATATTATGAAAAATGATTAGAGGATGGACGAGTGAGGGGAAATGAAGAAAGGCGGACCTTGATGAGGAGGTCGAAGAAACCGCGGTCGTCGTCGAGACTGACGGGGGTGTAGTTTCGGACGATGGTCTTGCCGTTAATTTCGGCAGAGACGGAGATGTGCTGGCCAATGGGGAGACCCAAGACGTCGCGCTGGTGGGGCAACTTGAAACGATAGCTGGGGGACGGGTTAGAGCCGAACCCGGGGTTTAACGGGATGATGCTTACATTGCCGTATTAGGCGACACTTTTGTGGTCTTCAACAAGGGGAACTCCTTCCAATTGAGAGGGTCCAGAGGAGCTGTTCGGCCTGAGGATAGAGTAATGAGTAAGCTTGAGCATAATACGTGGTAGTGACGGCGCATACCTGTGTGGAAGAGTTTGACATAGACAGCGGTGGCGAGGACGATGCCAGCAGTGACGAGGACGGTGGGGGACGTGGCGAGCTGGACAATGTCGTCCAGGTCAGCGTTTTTGACGAACTCCATGATGATAGCGGGTATTTTCTCTATTTCTACGCGTCCGTCTGTTGGGTTTGGGTTCTTCTTGTCGAGACCTATTAGGATGAGATCGCCGATGTCGTAGCCCTTTGACCTGAAGAAAGCGACTGCAAAGTGGAGAGAAGCGATGAGGGATGCGAGAGTGACGAAGAAAGAGGCGAGAAATGCCAGCTGGTATTGGTTCGGCATCAACTCAACGCGAGCTCTGGACCTTAGCCAGACCAAAAAATCGGACCACTCAATGTTTGTTCCCGCTCAAGTTGTAACAGCAATGATAGTCTCGGCCAAACAAAGACCAAATAGTGTAATAGGTTGAGAGGCGGTGATGCTTGTTCGCTTTTCATTCGTCGCGACTTTTTCCTTATTTTTTTTTCTGGTTTTCTGTTTCGTCTGCACGCAGGCTCGTGCTTGTTATATTTCTCATATCACCACGCCGTCTCCTCGAGTCTGCCAAACAATGCTGCGACGCAAGGGGAAGCCTGCGTCCCTGGGCCTGCGCATCGACGCACCTCCGACTCAGATCACTCAAATAGCCCTCGTTCAGGACGATGTCAGCTCCCCACAAACTGACGACAGCGACTACCTTCCCCCTTCAAGGTCCTCCTCCATGCGCAACCTCAAAAAGTTGGCCATCAGCATCCCCTCGGCTGCTTCCTCCGACGCCTCCATCCCGTCACCCGGCCCTGCCAGTGCAAGGCCCGAGCCCACAGTCGCCCGTCCCCGTCGTCCCTCCGTCGCTTCCCTGCCCGCCGTGAGCCTCACAAACTCGCTTCTGCATCGTAAGGAAGAGGACGGCGGTTCAGAGACCGTCCCCTACGCCGACGGTCCGGTCCAGATAATTCCTGGAATCTGGATTGGGTCCGAGGAGAATGCCCGTGATTGGCCTGGTCTCGTCGAACGTGGTATCAAGGCTATCCTCAACGTCGCAAAAGAGGTCTATTCGCCCTTCGACACTGCAAGTCGCACTCTCAGATCAGTATCCTCCACCCCAAACTTTCGAAGATCCCACCCTTCCGAGGATTCCACGTACTATCCTCCACACTTGCCAAGCGGCAGACCTGCCATGCATTATCTCAAGCTCCAGTGGTCACACGGTCAACAGGACCTCGTGAATAACGGTTTCCAGTCCGCCATGGCCTTTGTTGATGCCGCTCTCGCCCGCTCAGAAGGCGTTCTTGTCCAGTTCGTCACTTGGCCTCACTGTTCGTTTCTATCTCACTGATTACCATCTCTCTAGTTGTCAATGCGGCATCTCCCGCTCCGCTACCATGGTCATCGCCCTCGTCATGCGTGCTGCCGCCGAAAGATCCCCCCTCGTCCCACCTGAAGTATGGGCACTCCAGGGTATGCAGGGCGCATACTCATTTGTCAAGGAGAAAAGCCCCTGCGTAGGTCCGAACATGTCGTACGTATTATCTTTTGATCGTCTCAGTCGCCAAATTGTCTAATACACATTTCACAGCTTGATTTATCAGCTTTTGGATTACGAAAAGTCCCTTCGTGGCGAGACAGGCTCGGGAGAGTCGGACGATTCCTCCAAGGAGGATGAAGAGTGGTCCCGTCGCCGACGCGAACTTGACGAAGCATCGTCACCTGAGGACGGCGATGATGATGATGATGATGATGATGATCTACAGCGGTCCGTTATCATGCAAGAAGCTCGAGCCCTTGACAAGGCTATGGAAGATCGCATCATTGCTCGCAAATCTTCCTTCTCCTCCATCAACTCGACCGGTTCCGGCATTGGCATGGGTGCAGCTTGGCGTAGTCGCTATGGATCACGAAAGCGCACAGGTTCGATCGCCAGCAGCAGGACCAGCAACAGTATTCTCAGCGAAGACTTGGTTGAGGAGGAGGAGGAAGAAGAGCTGCTCGGCGTGGGCGGAGGATTCGATTCTGGACGTGAACGACAAGACAGTCTGGAAAGCAGTCAAAGTACAGGTGCAGGGGAATCTTCTTCGTCGGTTTCTCCCGACGACGAAGCTGATGAAGCAAGTGACCTTAAATTCTATGCCCCGCTCACCGCGAAAGCTGTTTCGCATTCAGTGCCCCCGCCTCCACCTTCGGCTCCTGTGTGGAAGACATCGTTCCACACCAGCCCTCCCCCTCTTACTGCTGTCCGGTCTACTTTCACTCTTCCTCCTGCACCAGCTGTGAAGCCCAAAAAGCGACGCCCAATGTCTCTGAATGTATTACCCCCTGTTCCGTCGTCCCCCATCGTTATCGAACAAGACGAAGCAGCGCCACCCGCCCCATCACCACCCTCCAAGGTGGCACCCCTCCAACCCCCGCCTGCCGGATCTCGACGTCGCACCGAGTCCACTAAACCCATCCCTCCTCCTCTCCATTTACGAAACAGTGTATTGAAACGCGCAACCTCTGCTCTGGAAGCTATCTCCTCCGCCGTTACCACGCCGTCCCAAACGCTTTTCTTATTCCCACCCTCTCCCACCCTGACAACGCGCACACCTTCCACCATGACATTGACGTCCGAGGCCGCCGGGCCTGTACCCTTCCCCACCGTCTCCACACCCCGGATATCAACCTTCCGTCAGAAGGGCGGTCGAACGCGTTCGTTCATTGGCGTTGCTTCCCCACCAACGCCTACTGTGGGTTTCTCAAAGGTCGACGCTCGAGGGTTCTTCGGTCTACACCAATGATCCATGCTATGCATAACTATCTATGCCCCGACTCACACTATCTATATGCGTTCGCTTCCGAGGTTAAAAGCTTGCTTCATCTCACGAACCACCGCCAAGTTCGCTTTTTCTTTCGTCATCCCCAGGACACTTGTTGACATTTATTCACAATTCGCACATCTGTACACTTACATTCTATCCACGCAGGTCAGCACTTTTTGAACACTTCGTACATTGGCATTCATTGGACTGGAATTCATTGCATTGTCGATCCCCTTTTTATTTTCTTCTTCATCTCCCTCGAGACTTTGGTTCATTTCGCTTCTTTCATCCCTCTGGTATCCTGTGTAAAACACGTTAGATTCTTTTCGTTATCCCTCATTTGTTTTTGGGGGGCGCTTTCGGGCCTGTTCAGCTTTGTCGTGTCGTCTTGCTCTCCTCAATTGCAGTGTATCTGTGTACTATATCATTCAATGAAAAACAAGATTTGGAAGTAGACCTTGACGCCAATTGCACGTTTATGTCAATAATTATAAGGTATACTCGACCCCATCAACCGAAGACACGACCCACTCCCTTTTTGACAGCGGTTGTGAGGAGTTGGCCGCCGATTCCTCCAATGCCACCCCAGGACCCTCCGACAACGCTGTTCGCCCATTTCTGCTTGGCATCTCGATCGCTACAAAGGAACTCGGTGGTTGGAACACTCTCACTACAGTGTTTTTGAGAACACTCACGCATAAGTGAAGCCGACAACGTTGGTAATGTTGAAGACGAGAGCAAGGACGACAATGGGGATGAAACTGTACAATCGTGAGTGTCGATAATGAAACAGTGGATGGCATCCAACGTACGCAAAGCCTAGTTTGAGGATGGAGACGATCAATAGGGCACCCCAGAGTAGGGGGAAGACGTAGAGGGCAATCTAAACCACTGCTGTTGGAGTAATGCACTGTTATTGGGGGACTGGAGACATACCCAGAACATCCTGAAAGAGAGGTGATGGTGAGGATTACGACGGTGCACTACTCGGACGCGTTGAACGTACTTGGAATCAATAGGATTTGCTGGTCTCGAGGGCTGTAATTAATGAATTAGCCGAGAAATGACAGGACAAGGATGCGGGCGTACGTCTCGGCTTTCGAATACCCAATAGCTTTCGCCATCCTCGTCAACCTAGAAGTAGTGTTATTCACGCAGGTCGTGACTCGAAGGGCATTCATACCTGATTCCAGAATCGAAGGCCGACAAGCGTTCGCCCAGCAACGTTCTGAGGTGACCGAGTGATGGTAAGTTCGGTGAAGGTGGGGTCGACAGCTGCAGTGCCTTACTCTGCAATTCCAAAAGTCCATGGCCAGTAATACGACGACCGTCACTGTCTACAAGGGATTGCCAGAGGTCAGCCCAAATTGGACCATCATGAAGCTGAGCAGGAGACGCACTGAAAGAACATAGTTGTCGGTAAACCATCCGCATAGAATGTATACCAAGATGGCGGCTATTCTGAAGAAGTAGAGGAAGAAGAGGGCTAGTGGGTGGGCAGACTGGATGGTATGCAATTAAGCAATTTATTAGTTTCGACGCGTGCTGTATTCACCTGGCGAAATATCCCGGCGATGCCTTTGCATGATGGTATATCAGAGACAGCGCACTTGTAAAAGGAGCCTAGCACTTACCAGCCTCCGCATCGCCCTCGTTTGAAGCCATAGTATTCTGCGCATTACTGTTGCTCGATGTACTCCGCGTTGTAGGCGTTAACACTATCGGTTCTGGTCTGGGCTTTGACGATCGGTTGTCCTGAATATTTCCCGAGGGCGCTGTAGTTTCCTCATCTGGCTCGATTGTCGAGAATAGTGGTTGAGTAACGCTCATGGCGGCGTTTAATCCAGGGTTCAATGAACTTTCGCCGCCGTCGGTTCTGCTGCACGTCACCTAGCATGCGTGGGAATGTTTGATCTCCGATCGCGTAAGGAGCCTCGTGGAACAGGGGCTGCAGCGGCCACTCTGCTTTCGGTACACCACGATCACTTGCTTGGAATGCCTGGCGAACGCACACCCCTCCTCCAACAACCCCATACATCCATTGGTTATGACAACGAGTCCACAGACGGGCCTGTAGAACCCCTTACAGTCGCTGAGGGTCTCGACCAACTCTCAACCATCCCAATTCAGTCCTTGAACCTAGGTTCTGTCCTATCTGGAAGAAGATCCGACTCGAATTCGATCTCCCAATCTCAGCCAGAAATACCACCCATCGACTATGCGTTCTCATTGGTTCTTCTTCTCCAGTTACGACACATAAGAACGACTTCGCGGCCCGTTGGAACAGACCTTTATTCAAGGTGGAACCATGGAGAGGCTTTGCAGCAAGATGTTAAGAGCCTCGAAACTTTAGTTGACGAGCTCTGGAGGGACTTCAAGTCGAGATATAGAAGTGAACAGGACATTGACTGCGTTCTGTGGTCATCTTTTCATGAGGACGGAACTGGGGCTCAGCGGTTGAAAGGTATGAAGGGGTTTCTGCTCGTCCATCGGCAGAATATTAACTCGAACATATTAGCTGTCGACTATTTGACTCGTCCTGAGCCACCTTTGGGGCTTTTAACGGATTCATTAATTGAGGCAGCGTTGCACCGAAGGTGGAAATATGGCCGCTCGTATTCGACGCCCGCCGCCTTGCCGCTCTTGAAGCGTCTGGAAACAGCTGTAGCAACACCGTGGTAAGTCTGCGATCGTTCAAGAAATCCAAGCCCTCCTCACAATCCGAGAAGGAGTCTGCATTTTATGGCCGTGGCCTCCCACTTCACATATCTGATTCTCCTTGCATCTTATCTCCTCTATCCTCCCGATCGGGTGACCACACAGTTGGGCCACTACCCGCGGAAGCCCAGGCTTATTGCACTACTCGTGTTCCTTGCAGCCAACACATTGTCCTCGCTAGCAGCAAACAGGACGCTGCAAGCTGCAGCCGTCCTTGTCTTCGGTCTTTCCTTGCCGAAATGCCCCCAGCCAGAAGACGGCTACTTCGAGGCTTTACTCCTCATTTTCGGGTTGCACATCCTGTTCATCCACCTGCCCACTGTCCCGACCCCGGCACTGCTTTTCTCCCCGCCAAACGCGGTTCCATTATCGGTTTTCATAGTCCGCAACATTGCCAACATATTGCCATCCATGACGTTCTTTGGACCAGCGCTTTTAGTGTCGCTGGTCCTGCTTTCGTACTCTTTGGACGGCGCCTATCAAGGATCCTCAAGCAATCGCATTTATACCGCCTTACGCACGTTTTCAGCATCGCCGATGGAAACCAGATGGGCGTTTCTTGCCATCGTGGTTACCCTGTTCTTGCTCTGGATCATCAGCGTATTCATGGCGAGCATCATCATCCCAACCCTAAATGGGCCTGGGTCCGAATCAGAAGCATCCCCCAGTGCATGGGATAGATATGGTATCACACCTGGTAGACAGGCGAGAGTCACAGGTGCCCTCGCTTGCTCTAGGTTCGATGGACCTTATATCTTCCCTTCGCCACTGAACCTGTTCGAATTCGCCTTTGTGACTCCCGTCGAGCTCAGCGCTCGCGTTTTGAAGCTCAAGCGGGAATCTATCTATCGGTGGAGAGTTTGGGTGTGGCGTATTGTCGTGCTTCCGTTACTCTTGCCAATATATTTTATTTCTGGATTACTATGTTAGAGTAGTTAGTTTGGATGAACATGGGAGCTCAGTAGTCATCTTGGCAGCCAGAAATAACATGTCACAAGCTTCGCTTGTCAAATATGTATGTCATATCCGGGATCGCGTTGTTGGCGGTGTCAGTGACAGGCACATTAGACGTGACTCTTGACCATCACCACGTTCCTTTATAAAGGCTTCAACGGGCGAACAGCCCAACCTTATTCGACCGCTCTGTATTACTATCCTCTTGACCCCGTCTCCAGTCATTCTTTTGCACCGACATGGCCTCAATGTCAAAGCAGGAAGAGGCGACCACCCATAGCATCGAATTCGAGGCGTCGATCTTTTCAGCCCTCGAAACGACCCTACCTGGTCCTCTCTCTCTGGTTTGTTTTCTTTAACGTGAATGCTCTAGTGAAGCGATGACAAACTCTATGCAGAATCTGCCACCTCGAATTGATGTTAAGCACGTCCACGAGAAACGCAGAAGTAGACAGGACTCCAAAGCCTCGCGCCCCCCATCTCTCCACCGTTCCTCGTCACTCGTTTTCCGCACACTGCCGCCTATCAGGCGGATGCCTTCCTTACAAGTCTCGTTGGCAGACATTACCAACCCCCACAGTTTATCCACACCCCGCCGCTCCCTTCACCAGATTTCAGAAACGGAAGCAACAACCTACAAGCTGAAGCTGCCTTTGACTTTGGTGCACCCCAATTCGCCGTATGTCCCATGGGATGCTCCGGTTCGCCAGAAGATTCTTTGTCCCGCTTCTGAAGTTCCCCAAGACGAGTCGGAAGAAGAGACGGAGGAGACAGTTCCTGACCCCGCGAACCGAGGTGACAAGAAGCCCATCAAACATATATGGACGGCGTTGAAATCGGCTCCCAAGACACTCAAGACACGGTGTCAACGGCTGCTGGGACCACGATCCAAGGATCTCAACTCTCCGCCTTCCCAACCCCAACCCAGCGAGCCAGTTCCGGATAACCCAGATGACAGCAAGGAGCAAGTTATCACGTATACCCTAGATGCATCCCATGGTGCACTGTACTCCCCCGCGACATCATTCCGCTCCTCCGACACGAACACCCTCGCCATCTGGCTTGCAGAACGCCAGCGGAAATTCCTGGAGAAGGACTGTGAGTCTGGGAAGATCATGACTATCGAAGATTACGAACGTTTGGGCAGCTGGATTAAACCTGGAGACCCTCGCTTTTGCTCCCGTAGCTCGTACCACTGCAGTTTCGTCGACGGCGATACTGTCTCCAGCATCTGCATCATGGAAAGCGAGCATGACCTAGCATCCTCTCCCATTGTTGAAACCCCGTGCTCGGCAACCCAGTCGCCATTTCTTCGCTCTCCATGCCACTCTGGTCGTTCACCCTACGGCGCGAAGAGGGTATCGGAAGAGGATAGGCTATCGCGCATCGTGCACCGATCGTCACTGCGCTCATACTTGGTCGAACGCTCTCTCAGCGTGCCCAACGCCCAACAACAACCTTGACAGTCCTGTCCCGCCGGCCAACGGCGCACCTCTTCGAAACACGGCGAGGCTGTACTACCAACACTTACACCCGTCTCGTTCTTAATCGTAAGCTATTAGGGGCCTGGGAGTCCTCTATTTATTGTATTACCATAATCCAAGTCAACCGTTTGGGCCTTCTTTGTGGTCTCCATTCCTGCTTTTGTATGATGCGCTGAGCGTGGAATAGGGGCGGCAGTGTTATCGGTTTTGCCACAAAAGGACAACGATGCCACAGCTTGTTGTTCTCATTCTCGGCTCTGGTCAATGCGGGAAACAAGGACTGGCCCTTTGGCCAAAATTCGATCATTTATAAACGACAGTGGTATCTTGACTATGGCCCCCTTCAAACTACGACGACTTGGAACCATGGCCCATCACAACAAATCGGAATCGTTCGAACCTCTAGAGACGGTGTCAGAATGGCTACCTAAATCCAAATTCTTCAAAGCGCTGACCACACCATTCGACTACATACCCATGGAATCCTTGAAATCTCTGAAACGAAATTCCAATGGCGAGGCCTGCCCCCCAATGGCCTCTCATATCAAGACAGCTCGCGGCAGGGGGCACTATTCCATCCCTATCTGGACTAGCGGAGGACCTTGGAAATGGGCACACGGCCTCCCTCTTGTCGACAGTCGAATCATTTTTGCAGCCGAACCCCGTACGCCTATTTATTATCTCGCGCCTGTCCAACTAACTCCCTAGTTTCGATGTAGACCCTTTCAATCACACCAAGGAGTGGTATGGCCTGGGATTTCTCGGAGATGAGCTCCTTCAATTTATGTGTAGGACGTACGTTTCGTTTCGTTCTCTCATAACAAGCAAAATTCCCTCACGCTTAGAGCAGGTGGGATTTCCAGTCAGAAGGCTCTATGGCTAGGTTCATTGCCGACGTGGCGTTGAACAAAGCCCTTTTGTACCCTCTTCACGGAAAATACGTCTCGACTATCATCGGCATCTACGCTGGAAACGAAACTGCGCATGTTGTTACAGAAGTCCCACATCGACGATTCTGGGTTGCAGCATCTCCCGACATGCCAGAAGCCCTGAAGAGACGCTGTATCGAAGCCTATGAGCACCTACACTCCCGTGGGATTCTTCATGGTAACGTTGGTTTGGACAAAATCGCCATTGGGGGAGATGGCCGGGTCACGCTCCTCGACTTCAGTCAAGCCAAAGCCATCGAGCCCGTTCGGGACTGTTATATGGCGATGGCAAACCCAGGGGATTTGCGGATGGAGCTAAGAAAGGTGAAATGCCTGCTGAACTTCCAGGATGCCGTGGAGAAGGAGAGGGACAAACACAATTGGCAATACCATAGGACCTGCTGGAATTCCGAAGAGCAAGAAAAACAGGACATCGATCCAAACTATGTTCCCGACCTCCAAGATATCCCAGAAGAGGAACGCCTCGATCCACCTGTCGACGTCGACCTCGAGGGGTGGGTGGCTGGCCCAGACTACATCCCGGACAGGTTTGTTGTACCTGGAACATCTCCTGAACAGTATGCCATTGCCGTTGGAGAGTTTTACCGCCTGGCCCTGGAAATGGAGGAGAAGGACAAAACACCAACCTCTTCCCCTTCCTCTTCCTCATTTTCGTCTGGGAGCACGGCCCCTAGTCCCTCCTGGACATTGCGTCAGGCGGCAGCACAGAATCTGCAGGCAACGGAGCAACCCAGTCTAGCTGAAACGACTGCCGAGTCCCGAAAGCGCAAGGCCGGCTCCACAGAAAGCGAATCCGAAACCCCATCAAAAAGAATGCGGACTCTGGGAGCCCATGAAACCGTTGCAGCGGGACCAAGTCGGATAGTGGCTGAATCAAGTCACTCTCCCGGTATCCTCAAAGTTACGGCCAGTATCCGTACGCTGTCTCCTTTTCTTCTTTGGCGCCTTTTCGCTCAGTCCTTTACTACATTTGTGACGTAGATCCTTCGATAATGCGTAACAATCTCGACCACGGAATGCCCATGATCAAGGTCATAGACTTTGCACATCACATCCCTCCCCCTCGCGCCCGAGTCCCTAATTCCCTGGAGGAAAAAGACTCGCCTTCAACACGATCCCCCCGTTCATCATCAGAGAATCGCAGGCCCCCTCAGAAAAGAGTTGCGTTCTCTGCGGGACGTGATACCGCGTTCAAGCGCTACAAGGTTCCACGATCGATGTGGCATTACTCAGACATCCAGCTGCGACGAGAGACCAACAAGAGGCTTCGGCGAATTGGGAGTGGCCCGAGGCAAAAATCACTCGCACTCCAAGCTTACGAGCTGCGGAAGAAAGTTCTGATATCCCACTCTGTCGAGCGCCGCATATCTGCAAGGCTACAGGCAAAGCGGGAGCGGGAAAGACGGCCATCCGTAGTAGAATCTCCTTCGACAGGCCCGACTACAGCATCCTTGCAAGCATTCTGGAGGTGGTTGAGTGACACGGGCTCCAGGCTTACGACGTATTGACACGAATTCGGCCCGCTACACCTACTCCGTTTGCTCTGTCACTTCAGCAACTTCCACGTCAAATATGCGCTAAATATATAGTCCTGGATGTCATCACAAGGAACTTGAGCATACCATGCACCTCGTGATGCAACGGGCCTTTCCCAATTCGATTAGTCTTTATCCTCGAGCTTCTATTTCACTGCCGTGTGGAGGGTCTGCCTCGTTGCAGCGGCAGCCATACAAGCCGGCCTAATCTCAGAGGTCGCGCAGTGCAATGGACCACCAGTTCACGCTCCACCACTTGGAGAAGTTCGCGCTCAGGAGCGTTTTGACGACACCCCTTCTTCGAGACTCTTGCTTCTGGCGCTGCCTTCCATCGGCCTTTGATAAGAACCAGTAGTCCTGGATATATATAAACTCTCAGTCCTCCTTTGGCACTTGCTCAGACGTACTGGCCCCGAGTTAGACGTTGACTTCTCAGCAAGAGGCGACTAGTACCGGGACTATGAGCAACGATCAAGGCGAGCCAGACATGGAAAGCTTCGACAAGCACGAGGGGGCACCTGGAAAGCTCGTTCGACAATTGAAGAACAGGCATATCGCCATGATCAGGTAGGCTGTATGCGTCCCTTCGAGAGTGTCTGGGGATAATTGATCAATTTTTCAGCATTGGCGGCGTTATTGGCACAGGTATCCAGATCGTGCCTCGACTGGATGTTGAACTCGTATCACTGAACCATTTGCTCCAGGGCTTTTCTTGGGTACGGCCATTGCCCTTCAGAATGGAGGCCCACTCGGTAATTTCATCTTTATCGAGAGATGTCCAGCGCACACTCCATTGACGCGTTACTCGCCAGGCCTCCTGCTCGGCTATATGGCGATGGGGACGCTCTGTTACAGCATAATGGTGCGTGGGCCCATCTCGAGATACAGGGCGATCTTAACTGAGGTCCTCGGTACCCAGATCTCACTTGGCGAGATGATTGCATTTCTTCCAATTCCCGGAGGACATATCAAGCTGGCAGAGCGCTTCATCAATCCTGCATTCTCGTTCACAATGGGCTGGAATTACTGGTGAGCAGAAATGACAGCCTAGCATCGCAGCACGAGTACTTTCTCGCTCTTTGAATAGGTACAATTGGACGATTATCCTTCCAGCAGAGCTCAGCGCTGCATCCGTATTAGTCGGGTACTGGGCACCGCCAGAACAACTCAGTCCTGCAATCTGGATCACCGTGTGCATGGTCATTGTCGTCGTGATCAACCTGCTTGGAGCGGGTAAGAGAATTACCTTTTTCGTCGGGCTTGGCCTTCCAAGTTCTCCCATGGCTGACTGGACCCCTTGTAGGCGCATACGGAGAGGCAGAATTCATTTTTGCGTGAGTGGCCAAAAATCAATCTGACGCAATCCAGCATCTCAGTGTGTTTGCAGTTCGATTAAAGTTCTGACCATCGTTGGCCTGATTATACTCGGTATTGTCCTCGATCTTGGAGGTATGACTCGGATATATTGCTCGGCACATTTATAGTCGCCGTGACGCGCATTCAAATATTCCATTGCAGGTGGGCCCAACCGTGACAGAATTGGCTTCCGATACTGGAAGGACCCAGGGCCATTTGTACAATACCGCGGTATACCCGGTGCCAAAGGTCGCTTCCTTGGTTGGTGGGCGGTACTAACCCAAGCGGCCTTTTCTTTCATTGGTACGGAAATTGTTGCGGTAAGCTCTCTGCGTCGTATCGAAAAGGGATTTCGTGCCGAATGAGAGGTATCTAGATTGCCGCTGGAGAAGCCAAGAACCCGAGGCGCAATCTTCCTCGAGCCATAAGACGAGTCTATGTTCGTAAGTGGGCTCCCATAAATCGCTCATATGCTGGCATTTAAAGCAACTTCGCCCACTACAGGAATTCTCCTGTTTTACATCCTTGGAACTGCAATCATTGGCCTCTTGGTGCCTTCAAATGAGCCATCTCTGAATTTGGGTGACGGAACGGCAGCGTCCTCGCCTTTTGTGATTGCGATCCAGAACGCTGGGATCAAGGGTTTACCGTCTGTAAGTCTTTTTCGTTCGCGCGCACGGTTGACGATTTACCAAGGTTCCGACAGCTCATCAATGCCTGCCTATTGACATCGGCGTGGTCTGCGGCCACCAGCGATCTGTATACGAGTTCTAGGGCTTTATGTGAGCCCACCCATATTCATCCACGAGCTGTCTTCCGACTCGGTTTCCTCCCAAACAGACGGACTCGCCAGAGCCGGTAACGCTCCTAAGATATTCCTGAAGACGACAAACAACGGGATGCCCTACGTCTCTGTGATATTCAACGCCTCTTTCTCCGTTCTCGCGTACATGGGGATACAGCAGGGTTCCGGACGAGTTTTCGCCTGGTTCGCCAACATGACAGCAGTCGCTGGTCTTCTGACGTGGTTTGGGATCGGTGTCACCTATTTGAGGTTCTATGCCGGGATGAAAGCGCAGGGAATGGATAGGAGCAAGCTCCCTTTCTCGTCTTCTCTGCAACCATATGCCGCTATTTATGCAACTTGCTTCTGTTTCTTGATTTGCCTGGTGTGTTCTTCCTCGGCCCTCTTTATGGCAAGGTCTGGATTAAATCCATGCGTTTTAGCTGAGCGGCTGGGCTGTTTTCCTTGATGGAAACTGGCAAACAGACACCTTCGTCACAAACTACTTCCCCCTTGCTCTATTCCCTATCCTTTACGCTGGTGCACGATGGTATTACCGAACACCAGTGGTCAAGCCGGAAAATATGGATTTTGTCTCTAACCTCGCCGAGATCGAGGCAGATTGGTGATTGTTTTTCATTGGACTCGCGTCCTCGACCAATAACGTTGCCTAACACTCACCAACCTCATCTCTTTAAAGCTATGAAGACCCTCCGGCCAGAAATAAAGCGGAGGCCTTCTGGCAATGGCTGGTAAGCCTTAAATATTGTCTCTACCTAATTGCGGCACTCACATGCAAAAACTTACCCGTCAGATGTAGTGCAGCGACTCAGGGAACCCCGAAGCGCCTGTGGTCACCTTTTTTTTTTTTTTTGATACCGACCACTCAAATAATGACCATGAAAATTAACATTGCTTTGTTTCGCGCTTGCCAACGATAAATACAAAAGTCAGTATCCAGATTTTACACAAAGTGAAAAGAGGTATCAATGAATGTAGGAATGTTGCAATAAAATGAGGGACTACAATTGCAAGGAACGAGGACCAGGGAATGCAAAAGAGTGGAGTAAACGTGAGCGGCAATGGAGGTAGATGGTGATTGAAGCTGAACTCTATAGATATAGAAATACAATGTGCTTGCCCAAAGGTTAGTAATAAAATATGGCGTATCGTTCAAGCCTTCGACGCTGGTATGTGAAGGTTGATAGCTGAAAATAACAATCAGCCACTGCGTTCTATAGGGAAGGAAAAGCAAGCCTACCTCTATACCAGTTGAGCGCATCGGAAGGTGACGGTGCATCGAAGTAAAGGATTGCCTTATTGTCCACGAGTCGTAGAGCTAATGGCTTGTGTCAGTCATTTTCCAATGGAGATCATGATGGAATCCCCTGACCGTTGCCGTGAACAATGCTCGCAGGTTGAGGTAACGTTTGCATTCGTAGGACGGCCCAAAGATCAACGAGGGAGTTGGGATCCTTTCCTTCCGAGGGGTCCCGGCACAGGACCAGCAGATCGTTGCACAGAATGCCAACCAAGGGTCTAGGCGTCAACTCTGGGGCCAGACAATCGACTTGGACTGTTGAAGCATCGCCTTGAGGGTTTATGGCCTCGAATGAAACCACGGCCTTGCGGACCACCCTAGTAAGTAGCAATGGCCCATCCATTATGAGCCGCCTGAACACATGGTTAGTTGTTGAAGTCTACCTGCGATAGGTATCGCCAAAAGACGTACCTATGGGGCTGTACGAGAGGGCTGGGGAACTTCCCGCGTATCCGCGACTGCCATTGCACCAACTTCCTACGGGACTCAGCTTCTCGTTTGCCCTCATTCATGTTGTTTGCAAGCGATGAGATTTCCGCCAACGCACGGTCCAGGGGGTCTTCCATGTACTCATAAGTGGGTGGAGTGCTTCTTACGAGCTCCTCGAGCTGAAATAAAATGAGCATTCAGGAAGGCAACGGAAAAGAAAGACCGCACCAGGAGCTTGTAACGAGGGATCCTCTGAACCGGAAGCAGGAGATACCCTTCAAGATTGAGTTGAGTATGTCGTGGGTTCATGCGACATCGTTTGAGATAAGCCTTGATCCTCTTCCTCTGACTGCTCGTCAAGGTGGGACCAACAATGTCCACAGGAGCCGCCGAGCCCGACATTGACATCGCTAAACTGGACAATTGGGCCGAACTCGATGAGGGAGAGATGGAGGTCCCAGGACTCGTAACACCGCTTGGACTGGTCCAGGATTTGACACGCTGTACAGAGCTATCGAAATTGCTGCAGACACAACACAAGTAAGTCGCAATGTGCTGAATCGACGTTCCCCTGAACTCACTTGATATAACTTGAATACATCCGCATGAAGGCAGCATGCTTGACGAAGATGTCTCCAACTGCTTTGGCAACCTCGAGCGATATCTTCCCATCGGCGTCCCTTTCCTGGTGGTTGGGAAGGAACAAGGGTGCAGCCGCCTTCTCCAACGCGGGCAGGAAACTTTCGTGGTGGAAAGAGAACAGAGCATCAATGCCACCGAAAACAACCTTCCTTTCGGGAGCGGGGACGACGGTTTCTTGTCTCGAAGACACGCCGCTAAGCAAGTTGACCGGCGTTGCAGCCGGTTTAATGTAGATGTCCACGAGCTCCTCCAACCCTTTGACGTAGGTCCGCTCGGTCCTAGCAGCGAGGATATCAGATCGTCATACCGAAGAGAAAATGGCAAGGACACGTACGCGACAATTTCCTGGATGATCTTCGTGCGTTTGCCCTTGTCGTCCTTGTACTTGCGTTCGTCCATCGAAGATGCGCTGTCGGTTGTTGCCACACTGAGAGTCTGGCTGCTTGTGCCACTTCGGAGAGCAGCAATTGACTCCATCGAACGCAATTGACTTCCCGAAGATTCTGAACCAGACCCCGTCGACACCATGGAATTTTCCCGCGAGCGGTCTACCACCGTAGGACGACGGGATCTTGAACCCGGCAGCGACTCGTCGCCATACATACTGAGAGGATTAGGTTGCTGGGACTGAGCGAGATCGTTCATATCCTTCAAATAAGCCATCACCGATCGTAAAGCTCTCATATAGGCTTCACGTGCCCTCTCTTCCTCTCGTCGTACATACTGTTCGGTATCCACAACAGGAGTGGTGGGACTTGGTGTGGGGTTTCTGTGGTCCTGTTCCTCTGATCCATTGGTCGCGGTGACGTTTGGAACAAATGCTGAGGCTTCTGGGATAGGGATAGACAGGGTTCCTGGTTGCTCGAAAGGAAGGAAGCTTCGTCGCTTGGCACCCCTGGGGGTAGGCACGGGGGGAGATAAGAAGTTGGTAGAAGGAGGAGGATGCGAAGCAGGGGCGGTAGGCTGTTTCAACAGATCTCGTGACAACTGCCTTTGAATTTGAGGGGGAGAGGGGGGAGTACTGAGAGCTGGCATATCCAGCATTCCACTAGTCGAAAATCGCAGGTCAATCTGGGGAGTCCTGCTTCTTTCCGAGGCACCAGAAGAGGTCGTACGACGAGCGTGTGGATTGGGGGAAGAGTGGGCAGTAGGAAGGGGAGGGCGAGAAACGGGGATCGTTCTCGTTGGTGGGCCGGGAGACCCAGATGGTGAGGTATTGTCTGGTTTTATCTTGCCCATCGACATTTTCTTGAGGAACCCCCAGCGACTTCTCTCCTTTCCGTCCCTCGATGGTCTCCGGGAACTGGAACCCGGTCTTTCTTCTGGGATGGGGTTGACGACCGTATTGGAAGAAGCCTGCGATATACGTTGGCTTGGGTTCGAGAAATTTGAGTCCGAGGATGCATTCGGACTATCCCACATCGATTTGCTTAGCTGAGGACGTGCGGCATTGCCGGGGGGACGTGCTGGAGTATTCGGATTGGAAGCGGGTCCCAGACTAGCAAATCGCTTCGCATTGGCAGGAAGGGCTGGAGGAGTGCCAAAATTGAGGAGATTGGAACTGGAGGCGGATGTGGAGTAGTTGGAAAGCGGCGCTAACCCGCCTAGTTGATCATGCAGACCGACATTGGCGGACTTGCCTCTCCTTAAATCTCCGGCGCTTTTCATTTTCCTGACCTCGCGTTCGTTGCCATTCTCCTGGTTGATGGGAAGGTCGGGAATAGGAGCCTGCTTCCCAGCCCTGCTCTGATCAAAGTAAGCTCGATTGGGCGTCGTCCGGGTGCGTTGTAGAGGGCGTACTTGGTTCGAGAGCGCGTCATTTTCGGCCAGGGATGACGGTGATGTTACTGATCTTGCAAGCATTGGCGCGCGTTCTGGCGTGATGGTATGGTCCTCTTCTTCGATCGCAGGGTGTCTGTCAGCAACTGATCGACCAGGGCTCGAAGGATCATGGTCCGACGTGTCCTCTGGATCTGTGTCCACCTCGCCACTGAGACGGGCTGAAGGCAAAGGGAACATTGGTGTGGAAGGAGGGTACGAGGGTGTCATGGGTGTTTTAGCCAGAAGGGGCTCGACAAGCGCCTTCCAAGGGCCCTGGAATGGGTTTCCGTCGACGCATAGTGTTTGGAGTACGGGAAGGAGGCAAAGCCAACTGGGTAACGAATTGAGTTTGTTCCGTCGGATGCTGAGGGTATGAAGTTTCTCGAGATCCACCAAAGCTTCAGGTAAAGTGTGTATACCAGTGGCATCAGCAATCAGGACTCGAAGATTTGCAAGCTCTGCAAGGAACACGGGCAAAACGCGGAGCGGGTTGGAAGCGATATTGAGCTCTTCCAAATTCTCACACTCGGCGAGAACGGGAGGAAGAGCACCAAGGAAGTTGGCGGAGATGTCGAGGGCGAGAAGAGTCGAGGCGGTTGTGGGCAAAACGTTGGTTAAGAACTGGGGAACAGCGTTGGGGGTGGTTGATGAGCCGATAAGAAGATGGGTTGTGGCTGTATGATTTCCATTAGGTCGACAACCAGCGTATTGATATATTTTTACGACTTACCTGGTTGTACCTGCAGAGAAATAATTGGTGTATTTTCTGCCTGAACGATAAGGGCGCGCCCTTCCTCTGCCACGACTGCTGCCGCTGTTCGCTCTTCGTGCGCCTCGTCCGCAAATGAGCTGTCTACGTCGTCCAGAGCGTGCTCGTCGTCTGTCTCCTCCTCACTCATGCCCACTTCGTCCTTCTCATCCACTGGTTGCCAACTGATGTCATAACTGGGCTTCTGCTGGAGGGTTGGCATAGCTGGAACGGGATTGTCGTGGCCCATGCTGGAGCTGTTGTTGCCAATTGAGGATGACCGGGAACGAGCACTGGAGGAATATGCATCTGACCAGCGAGACTGGTCTACGGGGGCCCTTGAATGTATTGGTCGTGCATGAGGAAGGTCTTTGGCGAGCAGTTGGACAACTGAATCGGAGGTGATGCCGACAGCAATTGAATCTTCGTCACCTGCTGCAATGTAGACATGGTTGAAGTCTCCGGATGCCATATTGCTGCCTGAGCTTGTGTATGCCGATGAGCGGGGCGAGTTTGACGACGAACCACCCGACGACGAGAGCGTCGGGCGATGGGGATATGGATCAGGAAAGAGTGCGGGGTCTGGAACTTGAGTTGTCGGTCGCAGTTGACGATGGTCACGATTTTTTGTCAAAGGCTGCCTTGTAGAATCCCTGAAATATTCGAAGCCGGCATCATCTGAAATTCGGTCGTCGTCAGCGAAATTCTGCGACATCGCAGCCGTTACAGTTCAAGTTAATATTTTCCGTAAAGTCCATTCCACACCCTCAAAATATGCGCAAACATAGAACTTACTGCTTCCTTTCCCTCGACGACGTCCAGACACCTTGACCCTTAATGATTCTCGAATTGACAGCATAGACAGTGTACAGAACCACACGGAACATGGTCACTATTATAATCTTCGAACACCTTTCTTTTACGTTGTCCTTGAGTTCCGACAGGCATGGACCTCGAAACCCTTCTCGTCAGGTCCACGCACAGCAAACCTCCATTAATCTTAATTATCCCCCTCCGAATCCATCATAAGCATGAGGGCAGCCTCCCCCACCCGGAGAAATTCTCTTCTCCCCCTTGATTTCACAACAACAAACTGATCGTTGCTACAGAACCGCCGACCCATGCCACCCTTGCTGATAACAGGAATACATATTTCAAGACATGGCCGGCCCTCTCGCGTTCCTCCCAAACCACGCTGTCAACTGTTTTTCATCCAGTTTCTCCTATGGACGGACCGGGGCAACCTATGTCTTTAAACTTTGGGCTTTGCCTTTCAGAAGTCATACACGTCTGGTCGATCTGAGAAGAACGCGACCTTCTTCTTTGGTCGCTTGGGTTTGCCTTCAGGAGTTTGGATCGTCGGTTCAGTACTTGTTTTGGCCTTTTCAGACGCAAAGGCACTGGGTTCCTCCGCTCCTTCCAGCTGGATATCAATCTTTGCCCCAGGACCACCATGCGTATGGCTCGTCCTACTCGCTGCTGAGACTTCTGTCGTCGCCATCGAAGGTGCTGTAGTCCGTCGTTCAGACACGCCTCCTTCGAGATCCAAGTGCAGTGTCTCGAATATCAACCGTTTTCTTGTGCACTTGAAAGCAAGGTTGTTCTCTCCCGTACCGCCGAATGCCGATGACGATGATGCCAAACCACGCAAAGCAGAGAAGCGATCGCTCGGAGAAACAAGGGTATTGGGAGAGGGGAGTGAATAGAGGCGAACCATTCCGTGATGAGAAGGAAACATGCTCGATAGGGCAGGATCAGCTACACATACCAATTAGTAACCGCGACAATTAGGGCAACGAATATCATCAAAGTCACCTGGAAAGGCAGCCATACTGAGGAACCCATCCGCTGACCATCCGACCTTCTGCAGCCAACCGGGGCCTCCCCATTGATCGACAGACAGATGGGGGCTGAGCGTCGTCGAAGCACAGGCATATGGGTACTTCCGAAGGAGCCTCCGCAGTTGGTTCAAGAACAATAATATTTCCTGTAATCGTATCAACGCAAGCGACCACAATGGGGAGGAAAAAACTCGTTTACCTGCGCCGAAAGGTCGCCCCAAGCGAGAGATGAGCCCAATGATGGTACGCATATCCGCACTGGCAACGACGAGTCCTCTTTGAGGGTGTTCTCGAGATCTCCAAAAAATGTGGAAATGGCAGAATGTGTCAAGGAGGAGCTTGGTTTCAGGCACTTAAGTTTGCCAGAACCTCGGGAGTCCTCAACCATTGCTCGAGGCACGCGGCTAGTCAAATCGAAGATGTGACAGTAGTTTTCCGAAGTCCTAAGATATCGGCAAGGTAAGAAGGTACGTTCAGAAAGCTTTTGTATATGATCAAACTTGCTCGAGGAATTAGTGATATCGAAGGTGGTATACGTACTGTGAAGGCGTCGAAACCGTGGTTTGAAATTGCTTCATCTGCTCGTATCTCCACGCAATCTTCACTTTGCCTCCAGCGCCTCCTTCCTCTTCTTCGTCACTTCCCCCGCTCTTTTCGTCGACTTTCTTCGGAGTCGTCGACTTGGGAAACCACATAACATCATCAACAAATCCTTCGGGGTCGTTGTCAACGATGTACACCCGCTGACCGGTAGCTAGTCCCTCCGCAATGAAGTACTTTTGAACAAGTTCTCCGTAAGATGAGTGAAGATCCGGAGCAGCGACGACCAGGGAACAGGAGAGTGGCAAACCACCCCCGAGGATGTCGTCCAGAGATGAGATCCCTGTGGATACATTGATTGTCGAAGACGAGGCTGGAGAAACTCTGGTTCCAGGGTAGGAAACGGCCTTCGTTTTGGCTGGATTCTTCCGTTTGAAAGAGGACATAGGACTAGATATGGATAAGAGCAGGAACAGAAAAGGCTGCTGCAAAATCTGTTCGAGATATGATGGCGGGTGATGGACCCGGCCGTGCCGGGCGTTAACCGCAAATCTCGCGTCTCTCCATTAACTCGGTGACAACTCACTGTTGTGACACGGCAGGCGATGGTGAATGGGCGTTATGTCCTGTTTCGACCATTGCAGGCCCTCGGTCACTACTTCAAAAGATCATTCGTCGAGTATGCGAACTTGCCACTGAAAGTCAAACTCAAACGTGGGGGTATTGGTTGTCTAAAGGTTCGTTTCGCTCAGTCTGTCCTTTATTTCCCCTCCCTTACCATTCAAAGCTGGTCAACTTGGCTTGCTTTATTCATCTCTTTCCTGAGTATGTAGGAAGGCCGTCCACGGTAAGCCTTCCGTGTTATTACAAGCGACAGAGGTGACTGTCTAGCAAACAGATGTCCGGTCCTTCCATGTTGCCCACCTTGGCTGCTGGAGGGGAGGTTATTATCGAAGACCGCTTGTCAGTGCGACTTGACCCTGACAAATTCCACCGAGGAGAACTGCTTATTTTCAAGTCACCCTTGCATCCTGCCCGGATGGTGTGCAAGCGGGTTGCCGGACTGCCAGGGGACGTGATTTGTGTTGACCCTACTGGGGAGAAGGCCCCTTCAACCGAGCACGTCGTCGTGCCGAAAGGTCACCTCTGGATGGTTGGAGACAATGCCAGCTGGTCAAGAGACTCTAGAACCTACGGACCTGTGCCAATGGGTCTGATCTACTCCAGACTGCGGGCCCGAGTACGTTCTTCCGTCACTACCAAACTTGAGGACGACTGCTGACATGTATATAGGTGTGGCCAATTAAAGATTTCAAAATCTTCGGAAGTAACCTGTCGTATATCGACTAATGTACGGATATCGCCTCAAAACCCTTATTGCACGAAGTTCATCGAATAACCGCCCTGCCCATTTGGTTCGAACTTGAAGTTGTCTGTCGACAATCCAAACCTGCCTGCCATCTAGGGTCAGCAAGGACGGCCCAAACCAGACATAGTGCCTTGGAACGCACCTAGTATGCTGTTCCCAAACCCCTTCAACTTGTCGACCATCTCCGCAGTTTCCTTCTTCTGAGCTGCCTCCAGTCTCGGTTGTAGATTCTTCAGCTTTGTTTCTATTTCCGACTTTTGTAACGAAGATTTAGCCAATTGTTGGAGGGCCTTGTAATCTGATTGCTATCAAGTAAGAAGACGTTAACCTTGTACCCGCGTTATTCAATTACCTTCTTGAGCTGCAGTCAGTGATGACCAGGTATTGATCGTTTCATTGGCGGTGGCTCTTCGGTGAAGTGCTTTCTCATAGGTTGGGTTATCCTTCAAGGCTAGAGCATGGAAATCGCGTGTGCATTTGCAGGGAGCGAAAAGTGAGCGCAATGGCATACCTTGCGTGCATGCGTCAACAGCTTCTTTGTGTTCTCCCTCTGTCGTGTCAGTGGTCTAGAGTATGGACAGCAACGATCAGACCTACCAACTTGACGTGGCAGGCTGCAATGTTTGCGTACAGCACGGATCTCAGTTGCATCACTTCGCGCTCATTGTCTTCAGACAACAACACCTCTCCTCCACCAGGATTGGCGTCGAGAGATTCCTCCGCGGGGTCCCCTTCAATCGACGTAGCGACTGAGTGATGCCGCTCATTATCATCGTCTTCGGAAACGTCTGAAGTTACATCTGCCTCAGACCTTCTTTGGGGAAGTCGATTCAATCCTGCTTGATAGGCAATTAAAGCTTCGTTCCATCGAGCCTGGCGGAAATGATCGTTCCCGTCAGATTTCCGCTCGCTGGCGTCCTGGAGACGAGCCTGAAGAGGTGATGAGACGATGGTGGAGAGAGAGCTACGAATCATACTCACAACGATGTCAAAATGAGGGTTGCTGGAAGTTGTCATAGTGTTCAGGGGCGACAAGGGAGTGCTTGGCGCTGGGTGTGTTTGATGGGGTCCTCATCAAAGATAAGATAAGATAAGAAGAAGATCTTATCAGTGCGATCGAGTCACTTGAGTCCATCCTTTCATAAACGAGCAAATTCACGGTACGGCGTCGGTCTGCATCGTCGATTCTCTTCATCCAGTTCACCACTCCCTAGAACATGTCAAAACCCACTCTCTGGCTCCGCTGCGAAAAGAAAGAGTTCGAGCGACGTGCGGCTCTTACTCCCACAACTGCCAAAAAACTCATCGAGGCTGGCTTTGATATTTTTGTCGAGAAGGACGAACAGCGTATCTTCGATGATTCCGAATATGAAGCGTACGGTAATCCCTCTCGACGAAATCTCTGTCTAACACCCGATATTTTGACAGCGCTGGATGCAAGCTGGTCGAAAACAACACCTGGGCCTCGGCTCCAAAGGATGTCCCTATCATTGGATTGAAGGAACTTCCCGTATCCGATGAGCCTCTTCCCCACACTCACATCCAATTTGCCCATTGCTACAAGAAGCAAGGCGGATGGTCTCAGGTTCTTGCTCGCTTCTACAAGGGCGGAGGAACCCTCTATGATCTCGAATTCCTGAACGATGAAAACGGCCGTCGCGTTGCTGCCTTCGGATTCCATGCCGGATTCGCAGGTGCAGCAGCGGGTGCCCTTGCCGTTGCAGCTCGACGACAAGGAAAGGATCTTGGGCTGCTCACTCCATACCCTAATGAGGCTGCCATGGTTGACGATGTCAAGAAGTCCTTGGGTGGTAGTGGAAAGGGGCTCAAGGCATTGGTTATCGGAGCTCTCGGACGATGCGGTCGTGGTGCCGTTGATCTCTTCAGGAAGATTGGTTTGGAAGAGTATGTCTATTTGCCTTTACCCTGTTCTCAAGGTTAACTTTGCAACATAGAAACGACATCTTGAAGTGGGATATGGCTGAGACCGCGAAAGGCGGACCCTTCCCTGAAATCTTGGACGTTGATATTTTCGTCAACTGCATTTATCTTTCGTCGCAAATACCCTCCTTCATCACCAAAGAGACTGCCATTGCTGCTGGAAAAGACAGACGTTTGTCTGTCGTGGTCGATGTCAGCTGCGATACCACTAACCCATACAATCCAATCCCTATCTATAACATCAATACTACCTTTGACAAGCCCACGGTTGCTGTGGATGTTGGGTCAGTCACACCCAATCTTTCTTATAGAATGACTGATTTACGACTCCTATAGCGCGGAGAACCCGCCGCTCTCTGTGATTTCCATCGACCACCTGCCGACACTACTCCCACGAGAAGCGTCAGAGCAATTCAGTGGAGACTTGTTGCCATCGTTGCTCGAGTTCCCCCAACGCTCGACTGCGCGCGTTTGGGTCGAGGCCGAAAAGCTTTTCAAGGAAAAGCTTGCAGAGGCAGCCGAGGCAGAGGGTCTGGTCTGAGCGAAGAACGGAGGAGAATGGTCGTTGCTATTTTTACTGGATGATGGGTTTACGAAGCATTTGATCAGAACTGTCGCTATGGAAAAATTGGAATAAGGAGATTAGAAACAAGAATCGAGTCTTAGGCCAGACTGGCGGGGGAGTGAGTAAATGTGGGTCATCTCCAAGGCCAAGAGAATGGGCAATCGCAACGAATTTGACCCCGTAAAACATGATCCCGGACTGTGTCAGGGAAACGTAAAAGGACAAGACGCTTGCAGGCAGTTCAGAACCGCAGAGCGCCCGCCATTTTTGCAGCGTGTGCTAGCACAGCTTTTCCCTTTTCTATTCCTGCCTTGATTGGCATTTCTAGTATTTCTTTCCTTCAACTTACTTCGCTGGCCTCCAGTCTGGTGCTGGTCGCCATATTCTCTTTTGAATCCCTATTTTCTTTCATTTATCGCCCTTGTCTTTTTTTCAATATGCAGATCCCTCACATCGAAATCTCACTTGCTCCCCCCGAGCCAATCCCAGTGGAACCCTATTCGCCCTTTGCAAACTCGACTTTCCAGCTTCCCCAGCAGGACGATGACGGTTTCCGCCCTCTCCATTTAACACCGCCCCCCGTTCACACCAGGTTCATCAGGAACCGTACTCGCGACGACCAAGCCAAACAAGCAGGCAAAGGCCTTGACAGGGCCCGATTCGAGGCACTCCTCAACGCCTCCAAGGAAAGGCAAGCTGGTGCGAAGAAGGCTACTGACCTCCGCAAGGAGGTCGCCCTTAAGGTCCACAAGAACAAGCAAGGTGCGTCGGCGTCGTGTCCTCCTCGTGCGCTGTGGCCGGGACTCATGCGTGTCCATCACAGCCGAGCGTCGTGCTTTGTTTTTGTCCAAGGTGCTAGCACCGCCCTCGCCTACCGCAACCACGACACCCGTCACTCCCCCCGAGTCACCGGCCGTCTTTCATTACAGCCTTCCTTCGCCAGGTCTGGTCTCTCCCCTCGCACACTACGAGTCTCTGCACGACGAGGTTAACAGCGATGGCCTCCCATGCAAGCCGTGGGTCGAGCAAGTCGATTTCAAGCTTCTCTCAGCACCCCCAAAGCCAAAACATATCTCCACACGCAAATTCAAGCAGGGACTTCCTTCTCTCGAACAAATTTCCGCTCGCCTCAACTGCTATCGCTCTGCCCGCGCCTTCAACGATAACAACGAAGTCCCGGCTATCCAATCGGCCCCCGTTTCAAACCACCTCGTTGTTGGTCGTTTAAAGATGCCTGTCCGATCGGCTGCTGCAAAGGCTCCTTCTATCACCGTTACCGACACCACCACCCCCTTGGCCGTAGAACCAGTCAAGATCCAGCCCCCCAGTTCCCCTCTTCTAACTGCTTCGTCGGATCTCAAGATCACTACTCTAGTAGTCCCTCGCACACAATCCGTCTCGCCTACGGAGTTAACGCGAGTCAATTTGTTGGCTTTGAATTCGCGGGAGTCCCGGTCGTCGGCCATGCTCACAACTTTGAGGCGAAGAACTCAATCAACGGCGACGTTTGGGTTGCCTCCTCGCTCTCCTACTGAGATCAAGGCCGCTAGGAGACACAGCGCACCTCCAGAAACGTCTCCCCTTCGTGAGCGAAGCGGTTTCGAGCATCCTATTCTTGCCCTCCCTGGCGCATTCTAGCCGTTTTACCGCCTTGCATGGTCAAGTTTTACCAATTGTTCTCCCTGTCCCTTTCTTGTTTTTGGCAACGTTTTGTGTTGGAGACGGCGTCATCCATCATCCTCTACACTCGTAGCAGGCGAAAATCCCCTGCCCCACCTTCGTTTGGTATATTTATGCACGATTAATGATGATGCAGGCTGCGCCTGCATTCCCTTGTATATTGTACTGCCAGAAGCACGCATCGTATATATGTATGACATTGTTCGAGTTGATATGTCCGTTGCAGATCACCGCACCAAGAAGCGAACAAAATGAAAATGAAAGAGGCTGTAGCTAGTGGGATCCGATGGTGATTGACATTGATATCATGAAAATCCTTTTCCGGAGTTCTGATTACTGAAATCGGCTCTGAAGAGCCCGGCGATTTTCCTCTTGGTCTGAACTTTGTATTTGCTTGAGAACCGTCAGACGTCGACCTTAGAACCAATATCTCAGTATACTGAGGACACGGGGAAGGGGGAATAGATCACAACGATGCATACCGTAATCCAACAAAACGTGTTCGCTTTCACCTCGTTCCCCATCCGAATCATCCAAAGGATCTGTCGTGGTCGCGATGATCCATGCATCTAGTAAAGACCGTGGTTAATTTCATTTTGAAGTAGGCACGAGTAAACTTACGATCCACCATATTCCTGCGCGAAAGACGAGGGCCCGCGGGCACCTCTGCCTCTGTGACTGTTCTCAGCGCGTGCTGGTTCCGACCCCGTTCTGATCTCGCAGAAGTGGCTGAGTTCTGGGACGGAACGTAGAACAAGAACGACCCTTCTTCTCTCGGTGTAGAATCATAAACTTGTCGTTGTGAACGCCGACCCGTTCCGTTTTCGGGAGTGACTAGCAGAATTATAAGATCAGAAGGTCAGCAGGCGAGTCCGATTCCCGATAAGCAACAAAGACGCCGGGAAAATGATAAGTGGCTCGGACGCTTGTAAGGTGTCAACACGGAAGTCACGTACCAGATATGAAAAGTGGCGCAGCACTTCGCCCTGTTCTCTTCTCATACTCGAGGGAGGAAACGAGCTGTTGAAGGAAGGTGTTACGTCTGGCAGACATCGCTCGGCCCCATTGAATTTCTTCCTGGGTGTCGATGTTCTCCACCTCGTTCTCCCCTAGTTCGCGCAGTTGGGGAGCCTTTCCCGGATTCTTTTGAGCGAACTTGTCGGCAAAAGGGTTCGGACCTTCAGCGTCCTCCAAATAATGGTATATAAACCATAAAAAGGCCTGTGCTCGCTCGTACGAAGCATAGCCCTTCCCAGGTATAAATAGATCCAAAAAGTTCAAGGTGCCGTCAAAGTGAGTTGGTGATAACGGCTGTATAGCGCGGAAGGTATATCTATTGAGTTCCAGGTATGGAAGGCATCAAGAAGGAAAGGGCGCCCTACTGCGGCATGTGTGGATAGCACAAAAACGAGGTTAACCACGCTTGTGGGTGGGCACAGACCAGCACGCTGAGTGTTCGAAATTACAAAGGAAGTAAGATACAGGGATTGTTTTGATTCCAAAGGCGCCACTTACACGTTTAGACAGAATTTCCTCGGGGGTTGCTGGTGGGATGCCCTTGGACTCGGAAGCTAAGAGTGCAGCCTTTAAACAGTTTTTTATTCGAGGTGCGTCTTGCGCGTTTCCGTCTGTTTTTTGGAGAGAAGGAACAGGATGATATGTCCTCAAAGCTGTCTTCATCTCGGGAAAGACTGTGTCCATTAGGTGCAAAGTACAGATGCAGGGAAGATAAAGAGCTTACACGCCATCGTGGTATTGATCCTCCCTACATTGGTCAAAAGTGATATCTTGCCCAATTCAATGGCAAAAGCTGGAGTCTCGACCATTTTATCCTTGAGTACCTTTGAGCATTTGTTGGAGTTGTGCAGAGCAGAAATATAGAGGTCGCCAAAGGTGACTTTCTCCTGGTCCTTGAATGGGTCGGTAAAGACAGCCTTCGTATCGGAGAAGATGCAGTCCAGCAAGTCGTACTGGACATCTTCCCGAGTCAGAGGCTCAGCGTCGTTTTTCTTGATCGGCAGTGCTTTGCGACTAAGGTATCCAGGACTGATAATTCCAGGAGGGTATTTGTTAAATGCCATTGAAAGCATAGCTCGAGACAGAGGTTTACTGACGGAGGAGCCGATTCTGGAGGCCAAGATGCGGGGATACTTTGGGATGCGACTCGACTGGAGATGGAGGTCATGAGGAAGAAAGGCAGACTTGGATTTGAACACGAGGCAAGCAAGCAGTAACGAGGTTTAAATCGGCCCTCTTGCACACGTCAAATCAGAGAATCTAATGTGACGGTAGGGACGGTGAGACGCTCGCGAAGGAATCTCACGTGTACTTCGATCCGACCACTGCTTGCACCCAGTTCAGAATAGAAAGGTATCCTGATATTGCTGGGGTGATGCGAAGTTTCGGATAGAACAGCCTTGCAGCCAGACAAGAAAGCCGCAACGAGGCGAGACAAAGACAGTGTTTCTGGAAACGGAATCTGTGGGCTTGATTTGTAAAACCCAGGAGTAGGCTGCGATTTCGCCTCAAAAACAAGGCCCTAGAAGAGATATTCGTTCCATAGCGCGAAAAGAATAGATCGAAAGGAAAGCGACCGGAGTGGTGGTTTTCGGAGAGCCAAAAGTGACGTTCTTCAGGAAGAATCCTCATCTCGCCAAGTGGAAATGTTTACAACGATGCTTCCCGGTTGTCCGTGTCCGTCAAACGTCTTTTCCCACGCACAATTGAATAGCATACACGGAAGTAGGTACACATCAGACGTCTATTGCTCTCGCATACGTTTTAAAGAATACGCGAGTGCTGCAGGCCAGAAGAAACAGAAAGCATCCAGGACCTCCCACTTCCTTCGCAACTGTAAGGGAACCTCCACGACCGTAGTGTCGGGCTGTCTGGAGAATGAACCAGACGAATGGAACGTTTCTATCGTCGAATCTTTCTCCTGCCAGAGTTGGCGAAGCCAGGCGTCAAAAATCTCCTTCTCCGCAGGTGGGATCTCAACCTCAGGTGTAGCGCCCTTCTCACCTGGTGTCGACTTGGTGGACGACAGGTCTCCAATAGGGACGTCGGTTCTGACGTCGAACATCCGCAAATGCAAGTGGATAGCGGGTGGTGGTACACCGTCGAAAAAAATGGAGCGGAGGGTATAGTAGTTCTGACCGTATCCCATGGGTGGTACGCCTTGGACCATGTTAAACGACCATTGTTACAGTGCAAATAGAAGAGAAGTACCTGGGTAAACGGTGGTGGCATCCAGAAGCTTGAGTTTCTGGATTCTGGGAGAGAGCGACCGAAGGCTGTAGTGGAGACCAGTGGATCTCGGAAGCAGAACATGCTTGAGGTCATCCTGATGCAGGAACCTTAGCTATAGGGCTCTAAGAGGAGTTACTGAGAACGCACCACCCCGATCTTGTCTGCAAACTTCTTGCTGATAGGTCTGGTATCTTTGCTGACGAGAGTCCCTTCTGGATAGAGCATGAAGCAGAAAGGACGATGTTCACGCTCCGCAGCCTTTCCTAGAGAAGCCAGATCCGAGGCAAGTTGTAGTCTATCCGACGCCCAAGAACGCGCTAGGAAGATGAAATTGAAGAATTGCATTCCCTGAAGTGCTTAAAGTGTTCAGGGGAAGAATGACACACGCAAGAAGCAACGCACCCAGCCAACAATGGGTACCCATCTCAGGCTCTTCTTCAGGGTGATGTAGACGTATTTGTGAACACCCTTGGGACTGGAGAAGTAAGTAAAGCACCAGGCATACCACCAATCGGCGTAAGTCTGGACGAACCTAAATCAGTATCACGTATGGATTTTACACACTTGTAAACTTCTGACCTGATGGTTGGATATGTACACGAATTTGGTTGGGAGGTTTAGTGACACGGGCTCTCCTTGTTCGTTCCGCTGGATGTAGCTCTCTATGTCTTCCTGAGTAAACTTGCCCAGCCCTTCACGTTCAAAGGTGATCACGAGCTTGGTAGGCGCAAACCACTGGCACATAAGAACTAGCACCGAATGAGGCTGAATCCAGTTGGGTCATAGTTTCCACTCACTTTGGAGACAGCCAAATGACCCCTTGGTATATCTGATTCCGGCATAGTAAAGCTTCCTTGACCAGCGGAATGGCAAAAGTCGCAGCGGTAGCAAGAAGAGAAATTGGGAGAGATTGATAAGAATACAGCCGAGATTGAAGACTATGGCAAAAAGAGTGGCCTGTATTGTCCTTGTCCAGGTCTGTGGTGGGCGTTTGGAGACCGGGATCGTGTAGTACTGCTGGGGATTGCTCATGTCCAATGCCGAACCAGAGAATGTGGGCGCTGTCGGTGCGCCGTTGGCTGTCGGGCTTGGCTGCTCAGGATGAAATGTATGGAGAATGTCGCGACTGGTGGCTCAAAGGCCAGATAACCCGAGTTGAACGAGGCAGGAAAGAGGTACATGTCGCTCAAGTCATGCTCTCAATCACGTGTATGACCACAGTCGTTAATTGACCAAATGGCTTGGCATTGATACCCCCGGTGCCAAGATTATGCTCTAACGCAGTCACTGTCGAGCTGGAGGTTGTCGAAGAGCATTCGTTGAGTAGAAAATCGTTCTAGGAAGGTTGCATAGGGCATTGAAGTCAATCTCTTTAATCCAAACACCGAGCGCGGAGAAAGTGGTTCGTGTGGGCATCTAGTGTAGTTAGTATTACGTCGGTTCATATAAGGGCGAGTAAGTACTTCAACTTGAGTATTCTGAGTAAATTGCGTCGACACTCAGAACAGTTATCTATGATCATACAGCGACGAGGGGCTCAGGGAGCCTGAGATCCGTGTCAGCTGAACATTTGATCAACACTGTTGCAGGGCCATGATTCAACTTGCTCCTAGCTCCGACCACGTTCCCCGTCCCGACTCCAGCTCACACTTACAGCTCATTCGCATCTCCAATCTCGACCCACATCGTGCGCAACACCCTAAACCATGGCAGAGACAGGGAAACCCCAATTCATAGACGACCTGGTACCTCTCATTCTTGAGAGCACGGAACATTGGTGGCCACGCGACTACGCCAGACTAGCCCTGGTATCTCCATCATGGCTTTACTACGTGCAGAAACGGATTTACGCCTGTCCCACTCTCTACACCTTCCAATCCTGCGCTCTGCTAGCGAACGCCCTGCAACGGAATCCGTCTCTGACCCACCTCATCACCGGAATCGAGTTCCGTCCGACACACGACGAATGTCGAGGGCAAGTGACAGGGGAGCACTTCGAGGGAATACGCTTTCTTCTGTCCCTGCAAGGCCTGAAAAGAGTAGTTATTGGTGGCCAACTCTCCAGGAGAGCCGAGAGATTCCTGAATACGCTGTCATGTCCAGAGGCCGTGGAGGAGTTGGTGGTGGATGGAAGCGTGTGCCAGGATTCCCTCGTGGCCTCACTCGAGGTCGACGAGAGTTTTTTCTTCAGGTTTTGCAACTTGAACACACTGAAGTTGGTCAACCTGGAAGTCGATTTGATTCCGCCACCGACAACCATTCCGCTCACCACTCCGATCAATCACCTCATCCTTGCTAATGTCGACATTCTAGGCGGACACCTTGGCCAGGTTATTTCAGGATCGTCCTTGGACTTGCTCTCAGTTCACGCGTGCTTACCCCACGATTATGACGAGCAAATTCGATGCATCCTAGATTCCTGCCAGGTCGAGGCCTTGCACTACAGCGTGAGCCAGGCTTGTGCGGAATCAAATGCTCGATCCTTTCTCTCAGTCGCTGCCACTGAGGGAACGGGCCTACGAGCTCTCTATATCGACGGTCACTTTGTTGACCAAGGCACCCTCTCTGACCTTGCCGAGTGTTGCCCATCCCTTCAAGAGCTCGCTGTGGCTGGGCGCTCTGTTCGTGTCACTGTGGAGGAGTGGTGTAGCTTCATCAAATCCCGTGCTCTTCCTGGACTACACAAACTTAGGCTACCGTCGGGTACGAATACACCTCCGTTCAAGAAATGGACTGGTGGGGACTGGCAGGCGCTAAAGGCAGCATGTCTGGCCAATGACATCCAGCTCTTGGAATGAACATGTCGGTAGCTTACAGATTTTGGATGTTTTATGTATGTTGTTCGGGCATTCTAGTCTTTAGCGCATGTATACCTAGTAAATATTCCTGTTAGTTAATCCCTCTAATACACATTCCGCGTAATAAATCCCATTGTTCGCAACCCTGAAGCTTCGCGAAGTCACTCTCATGGAGCACGGCGGTGATGGTTGTCTGTGGGAGGACCGGCTAAAGGCTCCGATATAGTTTGTTTGCCAATCAAGTGGAAGCCCTTTTTCGCCCTGAACGTTGCCTGACTGGCAAAATACAGTCGTCAACGACGACGACGGCTTCCTGCTGAGCTCGCTGTGAGCGGACGTTCTCCAGCCTGTTCCCCAATTACCCTCCGTTGTATTCCTTGGTAACGGCCACACCAACGCTAACATTTGTCTTGAACGACCCGACACGACATCCATTCCAATATGCGTTCTGCGTTATCACGAAATCATTCAACAACCAGCCCTTCTCACAAGGCGCCACGGAAGAGTTCGTCGTTTCTATCTCTACGACGCGAGAAGGACAAGTCTTCTGCAGGGATAGAATCGTCAGCACCTTATGACCGCGAGCTTTACGGTACCTCCGCAACGCCGCCGTCAAGTTATGTCGACGTGCACCACACAGCAACATCTCGCCCTGCAAAATCGAAGGCTCGGAGGAGTTCGCCGTCTAGGGACCCATTGAGCAGAAGCACAAGCCATGCGGCTTTGGGGGCGTCTTCTCGAACGTCAACGCAGAGTAGCAATATCGCTGTTGGGGCGTCATATGCGTTTCCTAGCTTCGACTCTGCAGAAGACCTGGATACGTCAACACCCACGGCCACTCCGAACCAGTATCTCAGGACACGCTCAAGAACAGGGCCTTCAGGGCGGTCAAGGTGGGATGCCGTTGCCAACGTTCCTGCCCTTCGACTCTCCGGATCATCGTCGACGCAGCACACAGAGACACCCCCACGTACTCCGGAAGATTATATTAGTTCAACAGACTCCTTGGAACAGCTACATTTCCCTGTGGTGGTTGCCGCGCCAATAGCCGGAGTCGAGACAATGGATGCTCTGGTGGATGGGATGAATGGCGGGGGTCCGGACATGCTGTCAAGCATGGGTTTATCATCTCGTTCGAGATATGGTTCGCCCAATCATCACCCGCTCTATCAACCTCCATTGCCTACACCGCCGCCGGGCGTGGTTCTGGGAGGAAATGTGAAGAGCAGAAAGTATCGCACGGCCAGGAGGCCGAGTATCTCGAGCTCTTCCAGTGATGACGATACACCGCGAACCCCTCCGACCCGTGCTGCTGAGAGGCGGCGACGCAGCCGACCGACCAGTCGGTCGGCGTCAACCAATACAGTGACCCCTATATCCACAACCCCGCCGTCATCGATCAGGTCTACCCCTTCGACATCTAAAATATCTGCCCCATCGCCTCCCCCTCCTAAGGTCATCCCACCCCCTACGCAAAGGCCATTACTCGCTCGCCCTTCGACATCCCCCGAGGTTCGGAAATCAGTCGTGCCCTCCATCTCCGAAATTATTCGGACCCATGCGCCTCCCGAAGTACAAGGTCGATTGAAATTGCGTTCCTCATCCCTTTACACTCCTAGCCAAGGTCACGGCACTGTTCATGAAGAGCCAGACTCAGAACCGGAACCACTCAACGCTCGAGAGGAAGCCGGGTTTGTCTCGCGGTCCTCAATTGACAGTGTTGCAGACGAGGTGCAACGGACGTTGCGAGTGCAGAGTGTGGCCAAGTCACCTTCAGCACCCCCCTCAGCCTTCATGAAACGGCAATCGACCTTTTCTGATAACGTTAGTCTGTATTCACCCAGATCAGACCCCGGTGCGAATGCATCGCTGTACTCTTCCTCCGCCGCCTCCCTCTACCAAGCACACTCTCCAGTGGAATCGAGTTTCCAGTCCATGGTCAAGCCCTCGGCTCACCAGGAAATTGCCCAATACCTCCGGTCTACAAGGCTCACTACTATGGTCAAGCTCACTCGACAACCGCATGCATCACAAACGGACCCCTTGACAGTTAGCTTTTCTGACCTCGGGAGTCCCAATGGATACCCTGTCGTCGTCTTCCTCGGACTCGGCTGTGTTCGACACATCATGGGGCTCTATGACGAAATGGCGGAATGTTTGGGATTACGGTTGATCACCATTGACAGGTACTGTCTTGCACCGCCTAAATATGTCAATGTCAATTCCTTACACTGATCGTAGGTGGGGCTTAGGAAGAACGGATGCTCGACCAAAGGCATCCAAGGGCATTATCCAATGGGCCTCTGCTGTTGAGGAGGTCCTTGATCTACTGCACATTGACGAGTGCAGCATTATGGCCCATTCGGCCGGAGCCCCTTATGCACTATCCTTCGCCAACAAGGTTCCTTCGCGGATCCGTGGAGATGTCTGCCTTCTTGCACCCTGGGTTGGAGGCAGCGAGAACAGTAAGTATCCACCAGCCGGAGTCTATCATTAGTTCTCATGCTTTTGGTAGGTGGCTACCGTTGGTTGAAGTACGTTCCAAACGGTATCCTCCGTACCGCACAAGCGGCCGAGTGGAAGCTACAGGCCTGGATGATCGGGAAGCCGCCGACGATTGCCTACGAAGGTATTGGCTATACACCTCCGAAAAAGGAGCCACCCAAGGGCAAAGAAACTTCAACGCCATCGATCCTCAGCTCCCCTTCGTCTCGAAACAGTTCAAAGCTCACGGTTTCGCAAATCTCGAGCACGGAAGCCCATCCGCGACCCAGTTTCGCTTCCAGCACGTTCAGCGAGTATGATGACCTTCGCGATTTCGACGGCAAGTTCGATAGTCGCAGCACGCTAGGTGCTGAATCTCGCCCTGGCACGGAAAATGGACACCCGAATGGTGGTGGGACGATGATCGGGAAAAGGAAGTCCTCTCGAGGATTCTTAGACCGTTTGAAGGGCAACGGATCGGTTGATAGGCCAGAGGCCAAACCTACTGGCACGGTCAAGAAGTTGAAGGGACTTCGTTCAATGGGCTCCCTGAAAGGCAAGGCTCGCAAGACAGAGCCCTCCCTGACACCGCCACCAACATTGCGCATTGAAGTTGGCCTCGGGATAGATGACGAGTGGTCTTCATCACTCGATCTGGAAACAGTGAGGAAGGCGAACCCTTCGCCACCGCCTCGCCTTCCGAGCGACAATCATCGGTCTAATGGCGCTCGGTCGATATCTCTCACCTCGAACTTAAAGCCCGCAGGCTTGCTACCGTCCTCTCCCTCTCCCAGCACTGTTACGACCTCCTTCACATCAGCGACAGGTTCCGCGGGTTATCAGGCTGCCCTTGGGAATGCCTTGATAGCTGCTTCGCATGCCGAATCTGCAAAAGGCACCCATAACGACCTACTCCAAATTCTCAATCACGACAATCAACCCTGGGGCTTCTCTTACGCTGCTTACCCCCACAATGTCCGGGTGTGGTACGGCGACAAGGACGAGAAGATTGCTGAAAACGCCGTTCGGTGGATGGAGCGTACGATGGGTGGTGATCGTTGTTCAGTCAAGGTGGTGAAAGGTGCAGACCACGGTTTGATGTATCGAAGTAGCGTTGTCATCGAAGTGTTCGAATGTCTGATCGCTGCTTGGAGAAGTGAAAATGCACAAGAGCCATTCGCTGCTCTACGTTCCTATTGATTTCAGTTGATGCCTTGTTCATTCGTTCGCCTACTCTTCTTCCGTATATATACGCCTTTGCATGCATTTTCTCTCTTCACGCCGATACCTCTTTGATTGCAGCATTGGATTACTTTAATATTGTCGTACTACTGCATACCCTTCTATCTTCTGTTAGTCCTACTAGTCAAGACGATACTCTAGCACATCACCCGTACTACTTACCGTCAGTACACGCTTGTCTTTGGTTCTGATGTTGTACCATTAGCTATAGGCTCAGCTATTAAAATACAGCCAATTCCTCAGTTCAATATTCAATGTTTGTCGCCATTCTGATTCCGTTAAAGCATCCGCCCTCACGTGAGACTACCGCGACAATGAATCCTACACCCCTTAGGTTGGTTCAAGCAGTCACACTCTACTCCCGTTCTTCTTCAAAGGTTGTACCATTGACCCCTACAGTATTTCTAATTGATAATGTATGACCCAAAATTCCAGTCCTGGTGACAAAATCAATATTCACAGCAGCCACTTCACAGACCTAATATGTCCTCGAGACGACCCTCTCCCACTCCGAAACGACCCCTCGTCCTTAAACGCGCCGACGGAGAGCCACTGACTCGGGCAGACATTCAATACGATGTTCTGCACGCAATATTTTCCGATACAACGCCAGCATTCACCAATCCCTACGTAGGAGAGCCGCACGAATACACCAAGGTCTCCTTCCGTGAATTGTACATTCAGGCCATTTTGAACTCCTCCAAGGCCACCAAGTCCTTTAAAGAGAAAATCATGGACTCACCCGACTTCGCCCGGGATTTCGCTATGCTCGCCCTTCTAGTGAATGTTGGACGGATCAACACCAGTATGAGCTGTGAGTGCACGGACTATTACTGCACACAAGCGGAACGGCTAACCGGTAGTCGCGAAGTCTTTGCGGAAACGAAGACACCCAAGTGCACATATCACCCCATACCCTCATTGCAACGCACAGGTGGCAATCTGCAAGACGGGGCTCGAATCAGACATGTCCTCAAGGCGGGATTACTGAACAACGAAACTCCTCTGCCACCTCATATTCCCGATGAGATATTTGCTCGTGCGGTGAGCTTCGTCGGCTACTCTGTCTAGCTATAGCTCATGTTCATTCAGAGGGCCGGATTCATACCCCCGACAAGTGTGTTGAACCTGCTGTTTATTCTGTCAAGTCATTCTTCGGTACGGCTCGTAATGGAGAACGGAGGGTAATGCTAACTTGTACATGTACAGCTTGTTGGGTCACACTTCTCACAACGCTTCGACTTTCTTGACGTCTTCCTCCGGAATGAGTATTCTTCCGCGTCGAGGGCAAAGGCGTTCCTGTGGACCTGCTTCAATTACCTCGAAAATCCGGGGTCGGACAGTGATGATTATGACGCACAGGAGATTCCGAATCCTTTTGCAGAGCCAAACAAGAGCACGGCTCCTGTACTCATATCTCTGACGCCTGAAGAGATTGCCGCGGAAAATGTCGACACCGAAGAGGAGAAAGCACTGGGATCGCGGATGGTGGCCAATCGCGACCAAATTGTCAAGCAAAATGCTGCCAAAGGCGAGAAGACCAAAGCAAATGACGAAGAAGTGCCAGTCGGCGAACCTGATGAAACTGCAACTAAGGCTAAGAAAGGAAAGAAGAAAGGATCGCGACAACCCTCTGCAGTAGAGAATGCAGAGACGCCCAGTCGACGCCAGAAAAAGGCTCCAGCAGAGAAGGCACAGTCGCGCAAGTCCAAGTTGAAGAACGAAGCCAAAGGAGCCAACTCGACTCCCAGCTCTTCCCATCAGGATGATATGAGCATTGATGACGAGGATCTGCAAGGTAGGTTCTGTTGATACTTAAATCAGTTCCAGTTGGTGACAGCCTTCTAATTAGATCCTTCTCATACCCCGGCGAATGGGGCACGTAGTGGCAAGGCAGATGGCTCGGAAGCTTCAACGTCAGGCTTCCGGATATTAACAGGCTTGACCACTGAGTCCAGGTCCTCCCGCGGACGTCAACATCGGTATTCCCCATATCAATCGAATACACCAGAGGACCACGCCAACGTTCCGCGCTCTTTGAGACCCCCTGTGGCTAAACGGGGCATGTTACAATGTGGGTCACCTTTGCTTCAGCTGCGACTCTTGTTTTAACAGCCTTATAGATGCATGGGACCTGGTCAATACAACCGATCCGCTCGTGGACTCGGACAACGAGCCTGGAGACGACGGGGACCATTTTGAATACAGTGAGTGCGTTTCCTTCCCGATACCGGGGCTGTTAGATCTCACATTTGCTTCAGCTCAACGACTAAAGGTTGTATCCCACCTTGCTCAACGACAGTGGAGAGAGCCTTCCCGTGTATTGCGAGTTAGTGTCGACCCCTCTGCACACCATTGATAGGCCACACTCGTTTCGTAAGTTATCTGTAATTATCATCTGTTATATGAACCTAGTCGTCGCCTTGCCTGCCTTTGTATATTAATGGCCCGTCCGAGAGTCGGTTAGCTCCTCATTTCAACCAGCTTGCAGTAGCTTTAATTCGAACAGCAGATATAATCCAATAATGTACAATCGTGGATGAAAGGACAAGTAACAAGCATTTACAAACAACCAGGTGAAGCACCATAGAGGGAACAGACAAGACGAATACGAAGTGAGAAAATCGGAAGACGAAGTGTTACAGGTATTTATTCTGCCAGCCATTTCTCGCATTTCTTCACATATTTGTCGAGTAGCTGCGAAAGGTCGCGGATCACAAAGGTCAGGACGACAGTAGCGAAGAATTCCGAAGACCGCTTCAGCCTTTGTTCCACCAAGGTCCGAACGTCATTGGGGAAAGCAGCATAGGACGGTGCCAGGGGATGAGAAAGCAGGGCACGGGTGTGTTCGTCCAACAACTGTGAATGGGCGAAGAGTTTCTTGAGGCCTTGAACGTATGCTGCCGGGGAGTCCAAGCTGGGGGAAAGTTGTTAGTCAGAAACAGAAAAGCGATATAAACGGACAGAAGTGCCTTACTTTTTGCCGTTGGTAAACTTGTCGAAGCGCCGGGTCAATTTGTCCCCCCAAGTAGTTTTCTTCAACACAAATCCTTCACCCACGCCCAACTTCTTGCCAAAATTAGCAACTACACCATCACATATGTTGGAAAAGTCGTCCAACTTGCTCAACCAGCCCTCGGCTTCCTTACGACCAATGCTGCCGATGCCCAATGCCATCCCGTTGTTCACGTTTCCAGCGCCAAAGTAATCCGCACTACAGTTTTGGAGATCTTCTAGCGCAGAGCAGAGGATGGCAACCACCCGCACCTTCTCAACAACGTTGGAAAGCTTGGCACCACCCTGCGACCATACTTCGCATGGGACGTGAAGTCGACGAGTGATATACCCTCCGGTTGACGAGGTGATGGTGTTGCGCAGTAAGCCCATCATATGGTATGGTTTGAGCAACGGGTCCGTAGGTGGCAGGGGTGGAAGCGGGGAAGTTGGAGTGGTAGGAAGGTGCGGTGACATGACACTCCCAAGATACGAAGAATTGGTCGTTGAATCAAGAGACAAACTTGGAAGGGTAGGGACGAGCTTAGTCGGGAACGATGCTTTGCGCATGACGCTTCCATTACTTGGAATGCCGTTCGTTGGCAGGGGTGGTGGTGAAGACCTTCCAGCGATTGACGGGCGACGACCGGGCTGAGAGGAAGAGCGACTTCGACCTGTGGTGATAGGGGGCGGAGGGGCGCCAGGGAAAGCCGATGCTCTTGCCTGTTGCATTGATCCTGTCGAGATAGTCGAATCGGCTGGGGAAGCAGATCGAGTGCTGGGAGGCGCTGAGGTTTTAGGTCTGCGCTGGGCAGTAACTCCTTGCGAGTGATTGGAGGTACCAGGGTATCCCTGCGATTGAGAAGCAAACTCGGACCGTGTGGTGAGTTGCGACGTCCCCCGAGGGCGGGAAGTGGCTGCAGCAAGGCGGGGTGATGACGGCGCCTTGCTGAAGCTATTGGTTCTCGGAGTGGTTGGCGCACTCCCAGAGGCCGGAGGCGGGGAGGGCAAGGGTGGCAAGGGCGGTGACTCGCGCTTAGGGTGCCTGGCTGGGTCAATCAACGACGACGACCTTTCACGGAATTGGATTTCATAAGTTCCATTGTCATCCCCCTCCTCTTTCAAAGCAACCAGATGCGAGTTCGATGTCCGTCGAGCTTTATTGACCTCGATTGGGCCAGGTCGCTTTCCGGCACTAGGAAGGTGAGGCAAAGTGCCGACTTCTTGTCTTGGTTCAATGACCACGGGCGCTGGAGGCAATGAATCGCTGGGAGGCGGCGGGGGTGGAGGCAGGTTTGACGATGCGCGACTGCGCCGCAACATGGTTGAGCTTCTTGGTTGACTTGGCTGAGGCGCCGGAGGCTGAGGCGCTTGTGAACCATCGTAATAGGCAGCATAGGGATGTTGAGAGACTGAGTTGAATTGTGGGTTTCCGTTTCTCGACAAAACTTGTTCATCCAGCAGGTATATTGAGCCCCCATCTTGGGTATTGGCAACATCTCCGTTGGTGTCATGCTCTGGTTCATCACTTGAAAAATGCGCTCCGTTCGGAACAGGAATTTGCGGTGAACTATCAGAAGTCGGTGATGCAGATGTTGTCGGAGAGTTGGAGTTAGTGGAATCTGCAGAGTAAACGGATGTTGACGTGTAGGGGACCGCGGGTATACTATAGATGATGCTGAGAATATTCATACGATCAGCGTAGGTGTCGTGCTTCAAGGCATGTCAGCAGGGAGAACAGTACAGTAGACAATCTGGACCCCTCACAATATTCTGCAATCGCCTGATTTCGGCTTCTTGGGCGGCTACACTTCGGCGTCGTCGCCGCCGGGTGTCGGTGCTGTCCTCGCCCCGTCGGACGCGTTCCATCACTTCGCTCAGGAGAGCGACACTCTGTGCATAGGCGTTAACGGCAGCTTCCGGGTTGTCGTTCGTGGAATCGAGAAGAACTGCTTCGCGAGCTAATTCCAAGGCACGAGTAAGGGCACGTCGAGAGGAAGGTTTATGCTCAGATTTGCGATCTGAACGCTCGGCTGCCCGTGGTTGCAGCAGGTCTTCCGATGGAGTTTCACGTTCCTTGCGACGAGAGGACGAGGTAGGTGAAGATGGATTTTCTGAGGTGGATGGCAAGAAAGATTGGGGCGGGGGGTCGGACAGGTCATCATGGGGCGATGTGGTTGGGAGCTGAGGATGGGATGGACCTGGAGCTCCCTGTCGTGATTGAGAAAAAGCGGCGACGGCTGACAGACTTGGAGAGGGCGTCGGTCGTGTATAGGTGTTTGAGTAGACTGGTCGACCACTTATATGTGTCGACTGCAAGCCCCCGTCCTCCGCGACTTCAAGCGCTGCAGGGTGAGCAGCAAGTGCCGGCCTTGATGGCGGCGACGAGGGTATACTTGGAATGGGCAGATTTGGAGGTGGTACTGCTGGGCGACCGTGCGCAGCGGATGAACGGCGTCGTTGGGAAAGAGAGGCCTGGGTGGAATAGGATGGATGAGGGGGCGATGCCGATGTTGAAAGTTGGTTTATGGCGCCATGTTCTTGCCAATCCTGTCGGTTGTAATTCATTTGGTGTCTTGGGTCCCAGTCGTTGTCCATAACAGCGGGCAAAGCGGTCTGTTGAAAGGGGGTTGGTCGGGGGGAAAGCGATAACGCTGTTCAACGATGTTGGCGGGGGCCCCTGACAGACGGTACCGGTATTGTTCTGGTCAACGAAGGCGGCTATTGTGCCCGTCCGAGGCTCAGGACAAAGTCTGCAGCCGCTGTCGTCGCTGTGCCCGACAATGAAGAACGAGTGTGTATACAGAGACAACGGGGGACCGTGAGTAATTGTTACCGCGATTCTCAATTGGTGTCTTATTCCTCATGCGGCGCCCAAACCTGGCTATCACAAACCTCACGTTCTTACTGCTATCCAGCTTTACGCATTATATTCCAAGCAGACCCTCAGGCCTCTGGATATTACCAAAGGACAGTTTTAGAGATAGGGTGTACTGGGGAAAAGCTTGGTATATCCAATCACCAAGCATTTCCAGTGCTGTTTAATTAACATGAAAGACTATTAAGAATCAAGGAACGGTATAACGCAAGGAAAGTGGCAATTATCGAGAAACTAACAGAGTCAACGCGAAAAACAAACGAGTGACGGTTCCTGTAACCGGAATGCTAGAATGTCAGGTAGTGAAAAAGGTCCCAGAACACAGAAGACAAGGGTATATATAGTAGGGTCGGAAAGGCTAACAGGGCGAAGTCGTTCTTCAATCTCGGAATTCGCCTTGAGAGGCCTGAGCAGCGAGACGGCTCTCCAAATTCCTGCCAACAGGGGTAAGACAATCAGCCAGCTAGGAATGCGAACTTCCCTACCTGAGAGATTCTTCTTTGGCCAACAGCTCTTGTCGCTTTTCGTTGATCTCCCTTTGCACTTTGAGTTCGATTTCCCGAAGCTGGTGGAATCATGTCAGCGAAGAACGGCCGGGATGTCAGTTGCATTTGGCTTACCTTTTCTTCTTCCCGGCGGAGTTGTTCTTCTTTGAGGCGAACGCTTTGAGAAGCGAGTTCCTCGGGGAGCAAGGAGCTGTCCCTATCCTAAGTGTCAGAGAAGGATACATGAATAAATAAAACGCCATACGCCGAGTCCGCATTGACAGTTCTCGAGAGCTTCTCAGTACGGTATGTTTCGTAGAGAACATCGTGGGTCAAGGACTTGAGGTCCGCAAGGTGAGAGCTAAAGGGGGGATTAGCTTCAATACAGAGCATTAAAACGTATGACCCACTTCAGAAGGGCGGAACGAAGTCGGCTGAAGTCCGAGTGCTTGGGGTTGTCAACTTCGACAATGCCCCATGGGTAAATGCGAGCCCGAACAGGCTGTCCGTCAATCTCAATCTCCTCCTCCGAACCAACAATGGCGAAAGGAAGCATGGACTGCACATAGGAGGTCAGGTGTGAAGATATTTAAGGCTAGAGGTGACTCACTCGGAGCTCGCTGTTGTCCTGGATGGTCTCCTCGTCGTCTTCTTCCACGTCGTAAGGGAAGTTGTAGATGGGAATATCGTAGTACTCGATGTCTTCCATAATCTTGGGGCCAGTTTTGAGTGCATATTCAGCGATAAACAACCTTGACACGCACCCTCTTCTTGAAGCCCTTGAGCTCGCTAGGAGTAAGCGAATCCGCCTTGCCAATAACAGGAATGACGTTGACGCGGGGAGACAGACGACGCATCAACTCAATGTCCATCTCACGAAGACTGTGTGGCAATACGTCAGACTGGTAGGCAACGGTGATGAATAAAGAAGGAAACTGACGAGTGGCCGGTGGGAGGGATGAAATAGAGAAGGGCGTGGATGCGGTTGTCCTTGAAACGGGGATTACGCTTGATGCGGGACTCCTCTGCAAGAAGATCGTCGTATTGGCGCTCGATGTACCCAACAATCTCCTGAAAGCTACAAAGCGCCGTCAGATCATGTTTCTCCGGGAAGGTGAGCTGGGCGGTCTACATACGCGAATTCGTTGTCGATATTATCGCCAAAGCCGGGGGTGTCTACGACAGTCAAAGCAATTCGAACGCCTTCCTCCTCCAATTCTAGAAGCGCGAGAATGAGCTCTGGAACTAAATCGAAAGAAAGGGAGGCAAAGCGCGACTCACCGACAGGGACGGGCTTGATTCGAATCCCTTCTTCAATGTGTGCGGTAGTTGCATTGTCCGCTACCTTGTGATGAAGAACTTCGGACTCGCAGAGGGTATTCACAAAGGTGGTGCGACCTGTACCAGAAGCACCTAAAATTACAGGAATTGGGTAAGAATTCGAACAAAAGTGGGAGGTGTGAAAGGTCGACATACCGACGACCATCAAGGTGAACTGGACACCCTTTTTGGCCTTATTTCCCCTGCGTCTTCCTGCGAACGACATAGCTGCTTGAATTTGTGGTGACTGGGACCGTATGGGGAGACCTCGACAACCGACAGCAAAGCGGAATACACCAAATTTGAAACTCCGACACCGTGGTATGACCTGGCCTCATTTGCGTCTATTTGGCCTCTGAACAAATCTCCCCTTCGCGTTCATGCTCCACCGATTTCGCGTAAAATGCTCGTGTCGAACCTATAGTCCTCTCTTAAACCGCGTTATTTACACTACACCCAATTTAAACGCGTCAAAAGCAACGAAAAGCCCTAAGAAGATCAAAAAAAGCGTCTCAGAACTGCCCGAAGTCTTTCTTCTGCCCAATGGCCAACCAGCGACACCATTACCACCCTGGAATGCGACAGTTTCTCCGTCTAGAGACTCGAGAGGTGATTCGGAAGCAACGTCTGAGCCAACCCAACCTGTACGGAGATCCCGCCGGCGAAAAACCCCAGTGAAAGCCACAGATGTTCTACCACAACCGGAGTCTGCCCCTGTGATGTTGGAGGCACCTCTCGAGGAATCACCTGAAGCTACTCCACCCGCCTCTTCACGGTCCCCTCTCGCAAAAGAAGTGCAGGCAAACCTTGCCAGATTTCCTCATTGCCTCCTCCTGACACGAGTGGGGTCTTTCTACGAGGTAAACCGTGATATACATTGCCAAGCTCGATTTCTGAAGCGTACTGCAGTCATACTTTGGCCAAGCCAACGAGATCGCGAGCTTGTTGAACATCAAACTCACAAGCCGCAAATGGGACGGATCGCGAGTACCTATGTGTGGATTTCCCATTGTCCATCTCGACAAGTACCTCAAGGTTCTTGTTCAACAACACAAGAGATCGGTCGCCATGTGCGAAGAGTTTCCCCGCCAAACAGAATTCGGAGAGAAAGAGTTCGAGCGCCGTATTACACGGATCATCTCCCCTGGGACGCTCATAGACGAACCCTTCCTTGAGCCATCAGAGAACAACTTCCTCCTGGCTCTCGCTCTTCCGCTAGACGGGGGTGCCTCTTCTGTCGGACTGGCTTGGATAGATGTCTCGACCGGAGAGTTCTATTCCAAGGACTGCCAACCAGAAAATTTGGAAGATGAAATCGTCCGAATCAATCCCAAGGAAGTTGTCTTACCGTCTACAATGCGCACTGTGGACATCTCACGCAATCCCGTCCTGGTGATGCTCCAGCAGCAAAATATTCATTTTGCCTTTCACGGCGTTGAACAACACCCTGATGTAGTTTCGATGTTACCATTTACACCCACCCCTGCATCCGCTTCAGCTGAGGGCGAAGCCGTAGCTCTCCTTTCCAATTATCTCCACTTTACACTTCTAGAACACGCCCCGTCTCTCGGTGCGCCGGTGCATGAGATGGACAACGGTCGATTACACATAGACGCGCACACAATCAAATCGCTAGAACTGCGAGAAACCGACTACGAAGGTGGCACGAGAGGCAGCCTTCTCAATGTCATCAAGCGCACTGTAACGACCAGTGGAACTCGGCGGCTGGCCCGTCGCCTTTGTGAGCATTTACATCCCATCGCATCAAAGTCACATTACTTATACTTCGTAGGTTCTCCCAGTGCCTCTCGTCCTGAAATCGAAGGCTGGCAAAACCTAGTTTCCTTCCTACTTCAACGGCCGCATCTCAGCTTTGACCTTAGAGAATCTCTGAAGAACGTTGGAGATGTCGGCCGCATCGTTCAGCGCTTTCTTCTTCGCAAAGGTAGTATCGATGACCTCGTCACTGTCATGAAGACTATCCAACTATGGACGACAATCACTTCAAGACTACAGCTCGAACGGCTTCTGGAGGGGAGGGGAGCGTTGGGCGATTGGTCAAGTATGGACCCAATGCTGGGCCGCATATCGGACTTGTCTTCTCTGTCGAGGAGAATCCAAGACGCCCTAACTAGGTGCGGTTCCAGAGAAGCGGATGGCGATCCTGAAGACAGCCTGAAGGAGAGTACTGGGTCCTCGAGAGATACCCAAGCCAACTCCGAGTGGACAATAAACCCACAGTCTGTTTCCGACTTCTCAGCCATCATACACGAGCTGACGAGTATTCAGGTTCTCACCCAAGTTGTTTTCTTTATACGCTACTCTGCACGATCTTCAGAGGCAGAAACAAGACATGGAGGACAGGCTCCGGATTAATTATGGTAAGTTTCTCATCACACCCTTCAGAATTTACTGTCTAATGATTTCGAATATAACAGCGGCCCCTTCTCTGACTCTTCGCTCGTCCGCTCAGCAGGGAATGCACGTCCATCTCTCAAGAGCAAAGCGAGATCAAGGAAAGTTGAACGATGACCCTGCCTTTGTAAAGTTGGCAGAGACTGCTTCCACTAAATGTTACCTCTACCAGGTATTTAAAGCGATGTCACCTGTTCACTGTGGGGGTATTGATGTTTGATTCCATAGCCTTGGTCACAATTGGGTGGCCTGATAGGAAGCACGATGCTCGCCGTAGCTGCAGCGGAGAGAGAGGCCTTTTCAGAATTAATTGCCGAGGTAAACATGGCCTTCCGGTCGTGTCGAGATGAACGCGATGTGCTCATTGTTGGCCCCCAGGTTCTGTACTACGCAGACGAATTGAAAGCCAACGTTGCTGCGCAAGATGACCTGGATGTTGCTCTGGGTTTTGCCACGCTGGCCAAGGATTTAAACCTCGTGCGGCCAAAGATAACGGAAAAGTAAGTTAATCGGTGGCTCTGTGGCTAGCTCAAATGGAGGAGGCCATACTTACCAACTGGACTTAGCGGGGAATACCACGTGGTCAACGGTCGCCATCCTGCAGTGGAACTGGGTCTTTTAGTCTCTGGTCGCACCTTCACGCCAAACACCATCGAAATGACCCCATCGTCCAATGTGCATGTCATTACAGGACCCAACATGGCAGGCAAATCAACCGCTCTGCGACAGACAGCGCTGATCGCTGTATTGGCGCAAATTGGCTCATTCGTCCCAGCCGACTCTGCCACGATCAGCATCGTTGACAAGTTGTTCACTCGAATTGGTGCCAAAGACGACCTTTTCCGTGATCGAAGTACTTTCATGGTCGAAATGATGGAGACTGCAGAAATTCTCCGGCGGGCAACTCCAAATAGCCTGGTATGTCCCATCACGCTCTACTATTGACATTTCCTCATTTGGGTAGGTTATCATGGATGAGGTCGGCCGTGGAACTACAATGAAGGACGGACTGGCAATCGCCTTTGCCACAATCCACCATATCGCAACTGTAAACCGAAGTCGATGCCTCTTTGCTACGCATTTCCATGAACTATCAGATATGCTTGGTTGCGACGGGGAATGGCAAGGTAGCGGCGTGTTCAACAATGTCAGGTTCTACTGCACCGATGTCGATGAATTAGACGTGAGCGCTCCGTTACTATCTCGTTCCGCCAGATCACTCAGACGATCATTGTCTAGGAAGATCGTTTCGTGTATTCCTACAGGCTACATCCCGGCGTGAACAGAGATAGCCACGGGCTGAAGGTTGCTCAACTGGCAGGTCTCCCGCCCAGTGCCATCGATGTGGCTAGGCGAACCTTGTCCTGGTTGAACCATAGTCGAGCCATTCATCAAGAGCCAGATGCTGCAAGTCTATCCAATATATTGCAAATGAAACCCCGTCCATAGTAGATATGAGCACTTTAAATGTACGGTGTCTATCCAACCCCATTTTGAATGGGATTAATTTTTAAGGGTAGAGCGGATATAGTTCAAGGCGGACCCAGCACGGAACCACTTGAGTTGGTCAGCCGACATGGTGTGCTTGGTGGCAATCTGGAAGGTCTCGCCGTTGGGCTTGGTGACGTTGACCCTGATTTGAGCATCAGGCTTTCCCTCAAGGAGGTCAGCTAGCCCAACAGTCTCCAATGAGTCGCCGGCGCCGATACGCGAGTAGTCGTTCTTGTCAGCGAACCACAGAGGGAGGACACCTTGTTTCTGTAACGAATGCGATGAGCCTCGGTGCAAACAAAGCTAACAATCCTACGAACCTTGAGGTTGGTCTCGTGGATACGGGCAAACGAACGGGCGATAATCATGGCACAACCTGTACCGCGGTCAGTCCATGCCTGAGTTCAAGGGAGGGTCGAGCGAACCATAGAATCGAGGCTGCAAGGCAGCATGCTCACGGGCACTTCCTTCACCGTAGTTCTCATCAACAATGATAGCCCATGGTTGGTTTCTTGCCTTAAATCGCTTGGCGACCTCGGGAATGGTACCAGTGGTGCCGGTGTCCTTGTCGAAAGCAACGTTCATCTCGCCACCTTCATCGTTGATGGCCTATAGATAGCAATAAGTAAACAATCTCATGAGCGAGAGATCGCCTTACGGTGATGACTGTAAAGCAACGTCAGTAACCGGGAAGACGGAGAAGCATGTTATCACATACGTAGGTTCTCAGAGATGTTGGTCAGATGGCCCTTGTACTTCAGCCATGGCCCCTGTGACATTCTGTCGGTGATGATAACATTTCTCAGAGATGAAGAGAGCTCACCGCAGCGGAGATGTGATCAGTTGTGCACTTGCCCCGGACTCGCAAGAGAACCTTCAAAGATGGGAGTTCCAGTCCACGAGGGTTGTGAGGTCCAAAGTGGCTTGTGAAAGGCTCGAGGATTTCCAGTCGTTGTGAATCAGGTTTGATAACAATAGGAACGTCGGGCTGGGGGGCAGGGTTGCGAACAGGGTAGAAGTCCTGGTTCCCAGGGATGAAGCCCAATTCTGGGAGATCTTGACGAGCGGGTGGCTGGAATTTGAACGAGGATCCGTCGGCGAGGGGGATTGAGTCAGTCATAGGGTTGAAGGAAAGCTTTCCAGAGAACGCCATTGCAGTAACAACCACAGGTGAAGCAAGGAAGTTCATTGTCAACTTGTTGCCGTCGTTCCTTGACTTGAAGTTGCGGTTGAAACTGGTAAGGATAGCTAAGGTCCAACGTATTAGTTTAAACTGACAAGTGAAGAAGCTCCTCGACCAACCATTCTCTTCACCCTGTTTGTCGTCTCTCTTCCACTGAAGCCGAGGTCAACTATAAGTCCGAAAACAACTGGCAAAGGTCGCTTACCTGGCCAATGCAGGGTCCACAGGCGTTTGCCAAAACGACTGCTCCAACGTCTTCAAGGGCCGAGGTAATGTGATCCCGTTCAATAGTTGCCCTGATCTGTTCTGAGCCAGGTGTGCAAAGGAATGGCACCTTGGTCTTCAGTCCAGCAGCCTTAGCTTGTCTGGCCAAATCAGCGACAGCAGTCTAGCGGTGGATCAGCAAGTGAGCGCTACGAGCGGAGAACTGACAGACCATATCCTCGTAGGAGCTGTTGGTGCAGGAACCGATGAGACCAGCCGAGAATTCGTCCTTCCATCCTTGCGACTTAGCGAAGTCGCCGAACTTGGAGATAGGTGTTGCCAAGTCTGGGGTGAAGGGACCATTGATTGTGGGCTCTAGCTCACTCAAGTTCTGCGGAATTCTTGAGATGGGAGAAGAAAGAGCCTTCCTAGACGACTTACAACTTCGATGACTTGGTCGTATTCAATTCCTTCGTCGGCACTCAAGAAACCTTGGGACGCTGCCTTATCTGCCGCTGCGGCTACAGGGGAACGTCCAGTAGCGCGCAGGTAGTCGCGCATCCGAGAGTTGTAAGGGAAAGTCGAAGTAGTTGCACCGACTTCAGCTCCCATGTTTGCAATGGTTGCCAAACCTGGACCATGGACAGGTTGGCGAGGAGAGATACCACATGGGCTGCATAACATACCTGTGCAGGATTGACTGGCGAGGCCAGGACCGAAATACTCCAAGATACTGCCCGTTCCGCCCTGTCCAGGAGGTTAATACAGTAATGGGAAATTGAGCGATGATGGTTTACCTTGACAGTCAATTTACCGGCCAAATGGAGGATCAAATCCTTGGGGGTAGCCCAGCCGTTCAATTCTCCAGTCAACTTGATACCTAGTACCAGATTGTTAATTCAATCTATTGACCCCGCCACATGTCACATACCGATAATGTTGGGTGCTTTCAGTTCCCAGGGGGTTCCGGTCATGGCGTCCACGGCATCTGCACCACCAACGCCGATAGCCAAACCTCCCAGACCACCAGCGTTGGGGGTATGCGAATCTAAGCGGGCTAAGCATTATATCTTTCCTGGAGGCCAACAACAATACCTGTTCCCAGCCTGGACGAGGGTCAGCTTGGCCCCTCGCGTTCATGGAATATATGCACTCACATGAGGATGCCTGGCGCGGCATAGTTCTCGAGAACTATCTGGTGGATGATTCCGGAACCCGGTCCCCAGAATTCAATCCCATACTTCTGTGCGGCACTTTGCAAGAAGTCGAAAACCTCTTGGTTGGTGACAATGGAACGCTATTCAAGGATAAACTTTCTGAGACCTTAACTTTATTGCCGGGAGGCCCACCTTCAAATCTGCACTAGCGCCTTCTGAAGCCTGGATAAGGTGGTCACAGTGAATGCTCGCCGGCACTGCAGATTGGGGGAGTCCAGCACTCATGAATTGCAGCCTTCTCGTGCTTTAGTACGCAACGGAGATGATGCATTACTGTCCACGTACAATGCCATTCTATTCCAGTGTTAACGGGGGCTACACCAAAGGAAAACTGGACTCACTGAGCCGATGCGTCCTGCATGGCGACACGTTCGGGACGGAGTTGAAGATACGTCTCCCCGCGGATTCTTCCACCTGCGGCGAATGCCTGTTCTGGGTCAATTACATGGCTGTAAAGAACCTTTTCCGCAAGCGATAGTGGTCGGTTTAGGTATTGTCGGACGCGCTGGAGGTTCTCCACCAGGGATTCATACGGAGGGGTGATGGTACTACAGTCCTTCTCCAGCAACGACTGGGCTTGGGTTGCCAGCCGTCGTCGAAAGACCTGGGTCGTCCTCTGTAACCCTCGCCTGTGCATAACGTATCCGGCCTTGAGGCTTTGCCAGAATGTGGTAGAGAAAAGGACGGTTGGCCCTCCGGAATCATTAAATTTTGACCATTTCGCCATGCTGCATAATTTCTCTCCCTCTTCCCCACAGTCTCGGCCCGGCGTGGGAGCTCCGTCATCCAATCACAAAATGACAATTGAAATAATATTCTTCGGCTTTATAGGCTTTACAACTTTGGCATATCGGGGGTGATGTATATACTTAGGTAGTTAAAGAGATACTGGGCAGCATGCAATTGCTTAGTTTTCAACAGAGCCGCGGAGGCGAATGTCACGGCTACTAGCACCAACAAGAATGCTCGTGGTACCGCTTGGGACGCGCCATCTCTGACCAGTAGTGTCCCAGATAGCCAAATCGAACCTGGACAGTTCCATTGTGACTTGCTTAGACTGATTAGGCTGGAGGAAGACGGAGTCGAAGCCCTTCAACGACTTGGGAGGAGAGTTGGTATTGGCGGGCAATCCGATATACAGTTGAGGGATCTAGGAGACCATTTGTCAACTGTCAATGCACTTGGGTAATCCATGGTGACATACCTCATGACCAGCAACGGAACCGGTGTTGGAGATTGTGAAAGTGACAGTGACGACCTTCTCGTGGAGCCTGTGCAATACCGTTCATGAGCCTGGCCAGTGCGGCAGCAACGATCAACCACGTACTGTTTGTCGAGGGAGGAACCGGGTCCGGAGGGGAATGTGACTCCACCAGCGGTACCAGTGACTCGCAGGTCGGAGTAGGAGAAGGTGGTATAGGACAATCCGTAACCGAACTCGTAGCGTGGCTCGATATTGTTTTTATCGAAGTGGCGATAGTCGATGAACAAGCCTTCGGAGTAGGTGATAGTGGGGATTTGGACTGGAGAGTTGTAAAGAACTTGAGGACCATAGTCCGCAATTCTCTTGCCAATTGTGTACGGTAGACGACCACTGGAATGGAGTCAGCGGTGACCTGCCTTCCTAAGGGCGAGATGGTTACCTTGGGTTGTAGTCGCCCCAGAGGATGTCAACCAAGCTGTTTCCTGGATGGGGCTCAATACGGGAAAGATGCAAATTATACGACAGCATCACTTACCAGCTTCCTGTCCAGGGAGACCGGCCCAGACCTATTTTAAAAACCAGTGAGTAAAGAGGGTCTACATGTTAGTGCGTCAGCGTGACGTACAACTGCGACAACTGAAAGTAATATGTCGTGTCAGACTGTATCATTTCGGAAAATGGTAAATTGGCACTTACCGTTGGGGTTCTCAATCCAAGCCTCCATATCAACGGGGCCAACGGTGTTCACGACAACGATGGTGTTCGTGTTAGCGGCGGCCACACGTTGGACGAGAGCATCCTATAAGAACATCTCAGCCAAGAGAACAAGTTACTCCAATCAGACGCTCGTACACCATTGTGCCATGCCTTAAGGTCGTTTCGGTCACCAGCGTGGCCCTCGACAGTGATGTAACCCTCGCCGCTGTCAGCTGAAAGAGATTGTCGGCTCGAGGATAAAGAGATACAGGACAATGCGGTCTTACAGGTGATGAAAACAATCGCCACATCTTTGCCAGACGCAGTTGATTGAGCGCGGTTCAAGTCGGTGTCACTGAGGGAAGAAGAAACGGTAGCGCCGTAGGTCCTTGCACGAGCGGTGATAGCATCCAGAGGCTGGTGAACATCTCAGCTTTCAGCGCGTCCAGGGACAAAAGAACTTCTTACGTTGATCAGGTAGGGGTATTCAGCGGTACCACTTCCCCATCCTTGAGCCAAAACACCGTCATTGCATCCACGGTCAACGCAACCGTTGATTCCTCTCGAGTTGGGCCCGGCATGGCTTCCAATGATGGCAATGGTTCTGGGGTTCTTGAGAGGGAGCACGTTCTTGGTGTTCTTGAGCAACACGGTCGAGGCAGCGCCAATGAGGCGGATGTTGCTGGGAAGGGCCTCAGCCACCATGTTTCCCGAAGACAAGAAATGGAATTACGCACTCCTTGTGGTCCTTTTGCACGTTGACGTGCTGTGCGGGAGGGGCGTTGACGTTCCAGGAGTTGAAATTGACTGCGGGATAGCCCTGGTCTTGTTTCAGGAGGTACCATCCAGCCAGAATACGAGTGGCCATGTCCTGAGTCTCCTTTCAGTAACAAAATATCCGGATTAGGAAGAATGACGCACATCGATACGGGACATCGGCACTTGATTGTTTTCGACAGCTCGGACAAGGTTGGGGCCGAAATAAGTGGTACCGGACTTGTAGCTGATATCACCGGGCATGGTCATCTGTCAAGATCGGTTAGACGAAGGGCCAAGCGTGCTATAACGAGGACCTACATCGAGACCGAAGTTGACCGAGGTTGTGGAGTGCTACAACCAAATCGGTCAATACACACTTTCCAAGCGAGATGTCAAGGGACCTACCGTTGCCCACCAGTCTTTTCGTCGCGGAACATGTTAAGTCCCCCATTGAGATGTAATCGAGAAAAATACATACCAGACATGACATCTAATTTCCACGAACGTCAGTACGATGGTCAGAGCGAATATTAAAGGAAATGGACTCACAGCCGGGGAAACCAAATTCTCCCTTCAAGAGGCCGTTCAATACCTTGTCGTTCTCACAGGCCCAGGTTCCGTTAACTGTGGTCGCCGTGTTAGCCTCCGCAGGAGTCCATTGGGTGCATCAAGCCTACTTTGGTCTGAAGATCGAGGATCAGACATGTGAACAACGAAACCGAGAGGGAGGACGTACTGTAACTGCACATGACAGCAGCAACGTTCGCTTGGACGCTGCGAAGGAACTGCGGTGAACTCTGTCAGCGTCTGCTTATCCGCTGAGGAACGGGAAAACAGGGAACGTACGGGATAGGCGTAGATTTCGTGTTGCTAAAACAATGGTGGATTCAGTAATCATCCAAGACCCGGGCACTCTAGATGTATTTACCGTTCTGGAGAGGGAACCCAGTAAGCCTTTGAAGCTGAGTCATAAAATTGCAACAGACATACCGGTCATCAACGACAGAGGAACTGGACTCTCGGAAGTGTTCCTGCTCGTTGTTGAGGAAATGTTTCGCAGCAGCTTGTACTCCCTGCGATTGGATACCAATGATGGTCTCGTATGCGGCCTCTCCATTGAGGTAGGGGTCAGCTCCGAAACTACAACGCAATCAGTGTTTTCTGGTATAAAACATGGAAAGTACTCACGCTTCCCAGTTTCTTCCACCAGCAGGAACACGCTGGACGTTCCTACAGCAACGTGGGCCATCAGTATCACCTCGCGCACAGTAGACATCAATCGAGAGCGCACATTGCGGGAGCCAATGCAACGTGAATACCCTTGCCTCGCATCTCAGAACCCAATTGCTCGGCGCGCTTCCTGATCAAAGTTCGGTTGAAAGTACCAGCTGCGTTGATTGCCCTGCGTAAATTCAAAGTTAGTCGTGCACTGTCCGGGAAGGTCATGCAGTCTATCGATGCGACGTACGCAGGGAACACGGAAACAAGGTCGGCGAAACGGACACCCAAGGGACCATCTGCGACCGAGTGGGGAGGTTCAGCGAAGGATGCGGGGTACGGGTCTGAAAAGTGTGCGCACCCTGCAGACAGAGGCCAGGGAAGTTGATGGAGTTAATGGCCGGGGTATTTCCAACACAAGGGCCTAATCCGATGTCCCGTGAGTCGCTTTGGGTATTTGCATTGAGTCCAGGGTTGTCTTACCTCGCTCCCACTGAACACCGGTGGCCAAGTTGACCTTCTCAGTCAATGAAAGCTTGGGGACAGCAGCTCGAGCCTATCACAAGTACCTTCGTTCAGTGCGCTGGAGAAAAAAAAAAGAATGGTGGTAGCGAACCTTGGCGTAGGCTTCCTGCCATTCGGGAGACATGTTGGCTGTAACGATAGGTGAGGTCTGGTGACCGGGTTGGAAAGGCGCGACATACGAATGGGACCAGAAGAAGGGGGAGACGAAGGATTAGGGTTAGCTGGTGCACCAGTGGTAGTCGGTGGTTGGGTTGTAACTGGGGGCGGGTTGCTGGTGACAGGTGGGGCGGAGCCAGGGAGGCACTGGTGATACCCTGAACTTGGGCATTAGCGAATTATCCTCTGCAGCCCAGCTTCGCCAAACGCACAGTCATTGATCTTGGTGCAGGTTGCGCCCGAAACACAGGTGGTAGCGCCGTTCCTATTAATGGTCCATCCGAGCGTCAACTCCGTCCAGCCCTCCATACAGCAGGGACTCACCATCCTTGACCACCACACTGCCCGTACAGAGGCGACTGGGCCGAAGCCAGAGTGATCGATAGAAGGACTACACTCAGCAAGCGCTGAATTGACGACATAGTGAAGGGGCAACGCAAACGGGGGATTGCAAAGAGCCTCCAACCTCGTCAGCTGAGAGGGTTTTAAAGCACATAAACCGATTATGTGTGGTACCTGTAGCATATGGGGCCTCAGCTTCCGAGGATTCATCTGACATAGTGAAAAGTGCGGAGAAATGGCGGGCAAAAGGATACAATCACGAAGAAGGGCATTCGAAGGTCGCGTAGCAGGGACCGAGCGACAAAAACGCTTGACTGGGTCTGTTTGTTACCATGAAAGGACTTGCTTGGCCTTAAAGAAGCATTGTCCGTGGTGCTTTTTCATGCCTTGATTTACTGCTAAGCTTTCACTGGATCAACTGCACACCGTCATGAGACGCGATTCCGCCTTTATGAGAATTCTAAACACGCTTCTGTAACTCCGAGCCTTGGCAAGCCCGATGTTACAATGTGCACCTGCCTACGGCCAACAAAACGGCACATTACCACAGTGTAATTTATATTCTAGAATAATAGGTTGTACTCATCTACGAACGATTTCACCATAAATGTGGGAGGGACTCTGATTTCCACCCACGACCCCGCGCTTCCCAGTAACCACCAAGATACTCCCACTCCTCTCCTGCTTGTTTAAACCACCTCGGCTGAACATCTTCTCCCCGCTTCCTTCGCTCTCTCTGCAACTCTTCTACCCTCAACTTTTCCTCTTCGGCAACATCCAGATCGCCGTTCTCCAAGGCCCGGACGTCCGGTCGTAAGCGCGAGTCGGTAGGCGGGAGTTTGCCAGCGATATCTTTAGTGACTTCGTTCAGAGTAATACCAAAGGCTGTGAACCCATAATAGTCGGGGGAATTCTTCGGAAAGGCGGAACATCTCCACAGCACTTGGAAGCGATCCCCGTCGAGGGTTTGAGCCATCTGGTCGTCCCATTTTCCTTCCAATTTGCTAAGCACCTCTCCACTTGACGAATTAACAGTTCCTGACACGACGTTCGTGGGACCCCAGTAGCCGTTTTGCTTAAAGTCAAGGACACACCGCATCCCCGTCGTTACATTTTCGATAGTCATCTGCCCTGTGTGTTCAAAGTACTTGGTGCCGACCATGAGGTTTCGGATGAAGGTTGAGGGCTTCCGCCTGCCGAGGGAAGGCATGTCAGTAGTTAACTCTTCATATATGGAGGGGAAGCTGCTCACCAGACATAGTAGTCCGAACCAACGCGAACTCTTGTCGACCCGCTTGGAATGATTTCCAAGCTTTTCCCTGTGAGTTATGAGATAAGGACGCCTTGGTGTTGAATTGGCGAACCCACCCCAGAATTTGGTCCTTCCAGCAGACAATCCAGTAAGATCCCAGTCCTTCCCCTCGGCGTGATACGCGATCTCCACAGGGTTGTGTCGAACCTTCTCGGCAATGAATTTCATTCGGACATCTTCGAACGTTTCTCCCAACATTGGATTGCTAAGCTTTCATTCAGCATGCACAAGATACTGAAAGATCGTGCTTGCTTACAATCCCTTGCGCCCTGACCGGTGCCGCGTGTGGGCGTATCCAGACACTGCAAAGGCAGCGACATAAGAAATGCGCGCGACCGGATCGTCGGTTTTAACCGCTTGATTCAATAAATCCCAGTATTCAAGCTCCTCGGCGGAACGCTGGAGCAGGGTAAGAGGTTCATTGAAAGTAACAGGGAAAGTAATTGTGGAGAGATCCTATTTCTATTGTCAGAGCCCGAGTAAAGGATCATGCAAACAAGGTGACTACTTACCTTTCCAACATTCTTCTTGAGGATCGCGAACAAACTGCCCTCGTCAGCCGGAGCAGGAACGGGTAATTGGGTCCTGTAGGCGATTTGTGTATTGCCGACGCCCGCACTCTGTGGAGGTTCTTCTATATCGGTGTCAACACTGCTACCATCCTGATCGCCCGAGATACTGTGGAAGTCAGCGGTGATTTGGCTCGGTTGTTGCTCGGGCATGGTGGATTCGTCCATGACAAATTCTTCAGGCCCGTCATCCAGGGCATCGTACCATTCGTGGATGCTATCACTGCGAGACGAAGCTGCGACAGAGATTCGGGACATTCTATGTGCATGCCTGCTGGGTGCCCGGGGGGACAGCGGCGAGGGGACTGGTGGAGGAGGCGCCCCTTCTTCGACATCCAGGACTGGAGGCATACGAGCTGGGGCAGGTGATAGGGGAGGTTGGTGCATTTTGGAGAGAGCGGCATGTTGAGCTTTGAGTTGTTCGAGTGCAGTACGGATTCGTTCATGCAAGACTGCGGTGCCAGTGTGTAAACTGTCGGCGCTAACGTTCAACGAATCGGAGTGAGAAGCTGGTAGGGGTTGAGTGATACTTTTTCCAAGCAATTGGGGGAAATGACTGACGTTTCTTGAACAGGGCAAACTTTTCCTTGTAACGTTCCTTCTCGGAACGACGGCTACTACTGGTGCTCGAGTCTCTGCTCATTGCTGCGGATTCGACATGATCAAACAGAGCAGTGCAAGCCTGATCGAGACCTTGGATCGTCTAGTCGTTGTGGATGAGTTGCTGTACAAGGAACACCGCAGCGAACACTGTACCGCAGCCATCTCCTCGACGATGTTGCCTGTTCTATTGAGATGGGCGCTACCCTGGCGAGACGCCATACGGATGCTTGCCGACCTCTTTGCCTCGGCACCGCTGTTGATGAACTTTCTGCAATCGCCTTGACATCAGAGTCGAGAAGAGGTTTGGCGCAACAGGGTGTCTGACCTGAAGGCGGCCATCCACATATCGAAGTCATGGGTGCTGAGGCACTTGATGTGGAATGTTGCATTGCTGGAGTCGATATGGATATCCTTGCGGCCTACTGCTGTAGATATGGCTGCTGTCTGAACCCAGAGCTGGTCACGAACTGGCTGACCTGGCCCAAACGAGTAGGAAAGGACGCCTGAGGTGTGGAGGGTGAAGAAGCGGCGTGCAAAGCCTGTAGAATAGTGGTCAGCGATGAGAGGAGCAAGTCGGCGAGGCGCAGGGACCTTGCATCTTCTTCCTGCGTTTCTTGAGCAGCCATCCTTCACAGACTGTGGACGCCATGGGCGGCTATGGAGAAACTCTGGAGAATGGGGACCGTTGAGTGCGGCGTTATCCGGACCGAGGATGTGGTGATTTGTCCGAAACAAGTGGTTGTCCGGCCGACCAGGGTGTCGTTGCTGACAATGCTGTCATAAGTTACAATCGATTAGCTGATAACCCTGATGACAGCCCATTTCGTCTTTTACTTCAGTCCTCTCCTTTTCTTCCTCAACCACCCACCATCTCTTCTCGATAATCAAAACAATGGCTGAACCAACGTATGTCCTCGCTTCTCCTCACCGTTCCGCTCCATTAGCTCACTCTCTTCGCCAGTGGGGACATTGGCCTCATCGGCCTCGCCGTCATGGTATTTTCCCTTGCCTCGTCCCTTTAGCCTTCATATCTAACAGTATTACACAGGGCCAAAATCTTATCTTGAACATGAACGACAAGGGCTTCAATGTCGTCGCCTACAATCGCACTACCAGCAAGGTCGATCATTTCCTGGCCAATGAGGCCAAGGGTGCGTGGCTGACTTTCATCTCCGACATCCCCAAGTAACCGATGTTCCCCGGTATATAGGCACCAATATCCAGGGCGCCCACTCCGTCCAGGAGCTTGTTGCGAAGCTCAAGCGCCCCCGCAAGATCATCCTCCTTGTCAAGGCTGGATCTGCTGTTGATGACTTCATTAAGCAATTGGAGCCGCACCTCGAGGCTGGTGATATTATCATCGACGGAGGTAATTCTCACTTCCCCGACTCCATCCGTCGCACCAAGGAGTTGGAGGCCAAGGGCTTGCTCTTCGTCGGCTCTGGCGTTTCTGGTGGTGAGGAAGGTGCTCGATATGGTCCCTCCCTTATGCCCGGTGGTTCCACCGCCGCCTGGCCTGCCATCAAGGACATTTTCCAAAAGACCGCTGCTCAGGTCAACGGCGAGCCTTGCTGTGACTGGGTCGGAGAGACTGGTTCAGGTCACTATGTCAAGATGGTCCACAATGGTCCGTGTCCTCGTCTATCTTCTCCGGGTCTCGCTCACTTGTTGAACAGGTATTGAATACGGCGACATGCAGCTGATCGCTGAGGCCTACGACATCCTCAAGCGTGGCCTTGGTCTCGATGAGGATGAGATTGCCGATATCTTCCTCAAGTGGAACAAGGGTGTCCTCGATTCTTTCCTCATTGAAATTACGGCCAACATCCTTAAGTTCAAGGATGATGATGGGGAGCATGTTGTCAACAAGATCCTCGACAAGGCTGGCCAGAAGGGAACTGGCAAGTGGACTGCCATCGCTGCACTCGATGCCGGAACCCCAGGTGGGTCTTCTCGTACTCCGGTTTTGCCCTTTTGTCTTAACCGGGTCCCCAGTCACTCTCATTGGTGAAGCCGTCTTCGCTCGATGCCTCTCTGCCATCAAAGAGGAGCGTGTTCGCGCCAGCAAGATCATCTCCGGCCCCGCCAAAGAACCCTTCCGTGGCGATAAAAAGCAATTCATCGACGATCTCGAGCAGGCTCTCTATGCTTCCAAGATCATCTCTTACACTCAGGGCTTCATGTTGATGCGTGAGACCGCCAAGGAGGTCTGTGATTAACCAACCCGAGATGAAACTGTTTTCTCATTTCCCTATGCAGCTCGGATGGCACTTGAACTACGCTGGCATCGCCCGAATGTGGCGAGGTGGTTGCATCATCAAGGTTGGTCCCGTTGTCATTCCCATTGCACGTTCGTTAACCACGTTCCTTTAGAGTGTCTTCTTGGGTGATATCACCGCCGCCTACACCAAGAACCCTGAACTCGAGTCTCTATTGTTCGACGACTTCTTCAACAAGGGTAAGTTCCCAACGTTTGTGCGGGACCTTTGTTCTAACATCCCTACGTTAAGCCGTCCACAATGCCCAGGCTGGCTGGAGACGCATCATCGCTCAGGCCGTTCTCTGGGGCATCCCCACTCCCGCATTCAGCACTGCTCTCGCCTTCTTCGACGGCTACCGAAGCGAAATTGTTCCTGCTAATCTTCTCCAGGCTCAGGTAGGAAATCATATTTTTGTGGGACATCTCAGACTTAAGCCAGTGCACTTCTCATAGCGTGACTACTTCGGTGCCCACACCTTCCGTGTCCTCCCCGGCAAGGAAAACGAGAGGTTCAAAGCTGGCGAAGACATTCGTGAGTTCTATAATAATTCACACAATCCATATTCTAACTTTCCATCCAGACGTCAACTGGACTGGCCGCGGCGGCAACGTCTCAGCATCGACCTACAACACCTAAACGGTCGATCACCGGAGCAAGTTGCCTGATACCATCTATTGTGAAAGATATAGTCGACCGAAATAGCGAATTTTATAATATGTATACCATTGCTTCGGATTTCATTGTGGTAGCAGTATCTCGACATAGAAAGTGCTGCTCCTTCGCTTTTCCTCGTCCTCGTGTCTTTTCCCGCCAAATTAGGCGCCCGGTCCGACCCGGAGGTATGTACCGTCATACTAAAGCGGGCAGTGATTGATCGATCGGACCCTTTGTTCAAACTCTTCTTTGAAGATTGTTCAACGACCTCACAAACAAGTTGCACTCGAGGGGCTCTTCTGGCTGCGACTCGATACATTACATGTGTGGTATCTTTGTTAGCATTCGTCGAGAGGCCAGAGGATATCAGCCTGACGTCCTCGACGCCGCATCCTTTGCGGCGCTATCTGAAGACCTGCGAGAAGCCAACTCTTATCGAGGTAGGACTCAGTATTCACCGAGAATGCTCGAGGGTCTTTGCGTTGACACGCCATCGTAGGTCCTGATTACCAGCAGACTCTATCTATTGAAGTGCCAACTCGACGGATAGACAAATCCGACGAATCCGAGGCCGAAAGCCTTTCTCCTCCAGGTCATGTACGGGCGGATTTCTATGGTTCGGAGTTGCGCCTCCGAGGGAATTGCGATGTGCAGCAACCGCATCAGAGAGATGGAAACATGCTTTGTTGGAATGGAGAAGTGAGTGGCGATTGTCTGGACTATCGACCCTTGTCCTGACGTCCTGCTAGGTCTTCAATGGTTTAGCGGTCAGTCAATGTCATATCTCCCGTTGGATATATCTCTCACCCCCCTTCGCTCACATCCAGGTCACTCCCGAGGACAACGATGGCGTGAATCTCATGCAAGAATTGTCAATTCTGGAGACACCTGAAGAGATACGAGACCTGTTTGGACGGATAGAGGGCCCGTGAGTGAACAAGTGTTTCCGAGATGTACATTCAATGAGATTTCTGAACGCCTACCAGATACGCCTTTGCTTATTATCATGTCAGTTCATTCTCCCCCTTCGAAGAAAGGACAAGCAGGATAAATTAAACAAATTGACCAAGGCAGCGACCCATCGACTATATTTCGCTAGAGACCCACTGGGGCGCAGATCGCTCCTGATTCATAAGCCTACCCGCAAGCTCCCTGTCCTATTGGTTTCCTCTGTTTCGTCAGGGACATCACCCCTGTTGGAGTTCGAGGAAGTGACGACGGAGGCGATATTCTGCGTTGACTTGACCTCTCTAGAGGATGAGTGGGTGGGTCTTATACTTAATTGGAGGACTTGCTGAATACCGAACAGAGCTTCAGGCCTGGGAGAACTTTGACGACTCCATCATCAAGCTTTCCAGACAAAATGACACAGAGTCTCTACCTTATGTATGCACTTCTTCTTACTGGTTACACGTGGTGCTGACCCCCGACAAGGCCTACCCCGCCAAAGTGAACGCTACGCTACCCCCGGATGACTACCCTGTGTACGACTCCCTCGACATTATTCCCGTCCACTTGGTGGATACTGTGAACGAACTTTTGGAAATATTGGACCGAAGCGTAGCCCTCCGTGTCAAGGACATACCCCACAATTCTGAACCAAATTCTGCGAGACTAGCCATCCTTTTCAGCGGTGGCATCGATTCGACTATATTGACCTTCCTAGCCCATCGGTACGCGCGACTCCCACTCTTTCTCAAACACCAACTCGTAACAACTACCGCACAGACATATCCCAATCGAGGAGCCGATCGATCTTCTGAACGTCGCCTTTGAAAATCCTCGTAAGATCCGGATAGCTCAAGAGGGCAACTTGGGTGGACTCCCCAAGCGACAGAAGAAGAAATTGGAGGACTGGCAAGCGAAACAGAACGCACCAGTAGAGGGGAAAGCTTCATATAATGTCCCGGATCGTAAGACAGGGCTGCAGGAGTTGGAAGAATTGCGAAGACTGTGTCCAGGCCGGAAATGGAATTTTGTGGGTGCCAACAGGTATTGAAAAGGATTCTAACTGACGCTTGGGGTTCGAGATAGCTAGAAATCAATATTCCTTACGAGGAATCTCAAAACGCAAAGGACAAGATTCTCAACTTGATGCTGCCATCGAGGACAGTCATGGACTTGGTAGAGTTTCAATGTCGCGATTCAATCCATCGACTGATTGTTATTCAGTCACTTGCCCTCGCTCTCTATTTTGCATCAAGAGGAGTCGGTGATGTTCGGGATACTCCATCTTCATCAGCGCTGCCCTACACAAGTCCAGCTAGAGTCGTTTTGAGTGGTCTAGGCTCGGATGAGTTACTTGGGGGATATGGACGACATCGCACCGCATATAATGCTGCTGGGTGGCAAGGGGTGATAGACGAAGTACGTCGTGATGGTTTATAGACTGGTGTTTCGATTTCTGACTGTTGCTCCAGCTGCAACTAGAAATAGACCGCATCCCGCAGCGCAACCTCGGCAGGGATGATCGAATCATCTCTTCACATGGCAAGGAAACGCGACACCCATTCCTCTCCCTAGATGTTGTATCATTCCTGGCTGGGTTGCCGGTACATTATAAGCTGGACCCTAGATTGGAGGTGGGGAAGGGGGATAAAACACTGCTTCGTTTGCTTGCTAGGAAGTTAGGGCTGGTCGAGGCTAGTTCGAGGAAGAAGAGGGCGATGCAGTTTGGGAGTCATTCGGCGAGGATGGACGGGGAGAGGAGGGGTGATGCAGATTTAGCAGACGTGTGAGGTCCTTGGTTTATTAGACATGTAGTACTTGAGGTGAAGTGCTTGATTACAATACTTAAATGTCAGAAGCCTGGGAGTGACGTCGTTTGCGGCCATCATTCCATCAAATTCTCGGCTGAACGCGTTGGGATTTGTTTGTCACCGACTTTCCTGTGAGTAGACCAGTGACGTTCTCCTCCTGCACTGTCAACAATGGCGTTCGTTCAACATGCAAGCAGATTAATTGGTCAGTCATAAACTCACCTGTCTCCTTAGCCCTTTTCACTCACTTAGTCCTTCAGTGCCCCTCGGTATTGCCGCCGCAGCGGTGAATGCGAGTTTGTACGATGTACCTGGAGGCTTCCGTGCTGTCATGTTCGACCGTTTTTCTGGTGTCAAGGACAAGGTACGTGTGGTTGGACTCTAAGAACGTCTATTTTCTGAGGTATTCCTAGGCCACTGGAGAAGGAACCCACTTTTTGGTTCCCTGGCTTCAACGGGCCATTCTATACGACTGTCGAATCAAGCCTCGGGTGAGTCCCGTACCTTCCGTTGGCCCACGTCGTCTCTGAGTGTACTCTCCATAGAACATTTCCACTACGACCGGTTCCAAGGACTTGCAAATGGTGTCTATCACGCTCCGAGTTCTGTCGAGACCGGATGTCCAGCACTTGCCCAAAATTTACCAGAGCCTCGGCATGGACTATGACGAGAGGGTGCTTCCGTCCATTGGAAATGAAGTCTTGAAGGCTGTTGTCGCGCAGTTTGACGCTGCTGAGCTCATCACGCAGCGTGAAGTGGTGCGTGTGCTTATGTGTGAACTACTCAGCTGGCTCCTCACGCCGATTTTCTAGGTGTCCTCTCGTATCCGCCAGCTGTTGCTGGAGCGGGCTGGAGAGTTCAACATTAAGCTTGAGGATGTCTCCATTACTCACTTGACCTTCGGAAAGGTAAGAATAATCTCGCCGTCGAGTCTATATGAGTAGCTCACACGAGTTTCTAGGAATTCACCCAAGCTGTCGAAGCCAAGCAGATCGCCCAACAGGATGCTGAGCGGGCCAAGTTCATCGTAGAAAAGGTAATTGCCAGTGCTGCTTAGCTGTACAAACTAGCTAACGAGTCCGCAGGCTGAGCAAGAGCGTCAAGCCGCTGTTATCCGAGCTGAAGGTGAAGCCGAGGCTGCACAGACGATCTCGAAGGCATTGGAAAAGGCTGGTGAAGGATTCGTCGCGCTGCGTAAGATTGAGGCCAGCAAGGCAATTGTTTCCTCGCTGGCGAGCAACCCCAATGTTACCTATATCCCGAGTGGAGGGGACGGGTCTAATGTGCTGCTCAATGTGCCCACCGGTAGATAGATACATTATAGTGTGCTTAGTGTATAGTGCTGTTGAATGGATAATAGCAGTTCAAAGGCTGCGATCAATTTGAATTTGAAGGACCGAGCATTAGATGATCAGTTCCCACGTCTCCCTCTTTCCTCTTGACCGTGACCATCTCCTGCCTCTCAGTCTCTCTATATTTTCCTTTTCTCTTCTCCTTTTATTGGACTTGTATAACCTATACTCTATCCTCTTTCTGTTCTTTGTATGCATCTCGTCATCGTTGCCAGCAGCGAGCTCACCGTTTCCAACAGGTTTCATCTTCATTCATCTTCTGAATCATGAATCCAATGGGCATGGGAGGTGCGGCTGAGGCTCCGGTATGTTCGCTTTCTTTCTCTCTCCTCCTCGATGCACTCACATCGGCTATTATCGATCTTCCTCAAATCAACTCGTCGCTGCAACGTGATTTGCCGATTTCCTAATTTGATCAGCGACGCGCTCATCTCTACGTCGGAAACTTGAGCCCTCGAGTCACCGAGTACATGCTCACAGAGATCTTCGCCGTCGCCGGGCCAGTCCAGCACGTCAAGATCATCCCAGACCGCAATTACCAGCATGGTGGCCTCAACTACGGCTTCGTTGAGTACATGGACATGCGCGCCGCGGAAACAGCCCTCCAGACCCTCAACGGGCGCAAAATCTTCGATACAGAGATCCGTGTCAACTGGGCCTATCAGGGGCAGCAAAACAAGGAGGATACCTCTGGACATTATCACGTCTTCGTTGGAGATCTCAGCCCCGAAGTCAACGATGAAGTCCTCGGCAAGGCCTTTAGTGCCTTTGGGACCCTCTCTGACGCTCGTGTTATGTGGGACATGAACTCGGGAAAGTCTCGTGGGTACGGCTTCCTCGCCTTCCGTGACAAAACAGATGCAGAGCAAGCCATCGCAACCATGAACGGAGAGTGGTTGGGCTCCCGTGCCATCCGCGTCAACTGGGCGAATCAGAAGACTCAGGGCGGTGCCCCTGGGGGTGGTGCTCGCCCCAGCGCTGGCGGCGGTGCCCCGGCACCTGTGAACTTCCAAGGTGGCCCACTCACCTACGAGCAGGTTCTGGCCCAAACTGCTCCCTACAATACGACTGTTTATGTTGGAAACCTCGTTCCCTACACAACCCAGGCCGACCTCATCCCTCTCTTCCAATCGATCGGTTACTTGTCGGAGATCCGTATGCAGGCTGATCGTGGTTTCGCTTTCGTCAAGTTGGATACCCACGAGCATGCAGCTCAAGCCATTGTTCAATTGCAAGGTCAGATGGTTCATGGTCGACCTATCAAGTGCAGCTGGGGCAAAGATCGGGCAGATGGAGGAGTTGCCCAACCCGCTGGCGCAGTGAGCCCGGCGGCGGCGGCCCCCTACGGTAGCATGGTACGTTGAACACCCAGTATCATCCATAGGCTTGTGCAGCTTACCATCGTCATCTGTGTAGCCCATGTACGGCATGCCCCAGCCCAACACCTACGGCCAGTATGGCTTCCCTGGCTTCCCCGGTTTCCCTGGCCAAGCTGCTGGCGCTCCTGGCGCTGCGGGTCCCGCTTCACCCGGTATGCCTCAAGCTAACACCGCTGCCGGTCTTGGACTTGCAGCCGGTGCTCAACCGGGTGCAGGTGATCCCAACGCTGCAGGCCAGCAAGGCCAAGCCCAGTGGGGTGGCGCTGATCCCAGCACCTACTACTCAAATTATTGGGGAGGTAAGAGAGAACGATTACACGGGGTTCCAATGAATTCAAATCTGACCATCACCCAAAGGATACTACGGGCAACAAGTAGCTGGCCAGCAAGGCGATGCTCAAATGCAGCAAGGCCCGGCATAAAAGACTTTTACGAACCACAGTTTCCGTCATGTTCCTGCTGTTTCCGTCATAGGCCGTCAGAGGCTGCCAGTCACTCCTTACACATCACTGTCGTCTCTCGAACCAACTCTGCATTGTATCGCTTCGTTTTCCCCTCTCCTCTTTCCATCAATCCTCTTTTCTTCTCTCCTCTTTGCATTCTTGAGTCTTTCGCTCTTCTTTTCTTGACGAATTCATTTTGTATATGACGTTTCTCCTTTATTATCCTCCAATCTGATCACCTCTTCTCATTCTCTTGTGACATGTCAACAGGTCGAATGGTTGATAATGAGAAGGTCGGCGTTTAGGGATATATATTAGAGCAAGGGGTATACTATAGACTAGATTTCTGAAGACTCAGACTCATCGTCCACAATCAACCATTCGGCGTCAGATCCGCTGTCCTGCCTTTCGGAGACGACACTCCATCCTTCTTGGTCGGATGTTGGCTGTTGTGGAGACGCTCCGCGTTTCCCGACCGGGTGCGCATCTCCTCGTAGAACTGGTTCGCTTCGTTCATCCTGTTCGCTTCGGCCTGCTTGGCGTCCAGCCATCGCTGAAGAAGTTTCGCGTTATCGCGTGAGAGTGTCTGGTTGCGTTCTTCAATCTGACCTAGCTCTAACTGCAGGGTACTGATTTCATCGTGCAGAATCTAGCCAACGAGTGATAAGTACATCGTATAGGTGGAGCGTCGTGCAGCATACCTGGACTGTGCGATCCTTCTCCGCCATGAGTTCATTATGTTGATCAACCTTCTTCTTTACAACGGCCAATTCCTCTTTCGCTCTTCTGTGACTCTCTGCCTCTATCCGAATGAGCTCCTCCTTCTCGCGCAGGGTTTCGTTCATTGACAATAGCCGCTGCGAGTTCTGGCTCTGGGTCTTGTAGACTGTGGCGAGTTCATCGCGTAAGGATGATATTTGCGATTCTAGAGATGAGATATAGGCGGCTTGTACAGGGTTCCTAGTCGTTTGGGGTTGGGGTGGTTAGTAGAATGACGGTGATCGAACTGGGGTAACTGACTCTTCACCAGTGCTGGCTAGCAGAACTGTAGAAGCATTCGGGTTCCCTTTGACTGTATTAACAGCTCGTAATAGCGAGGCATTCCGTTCTTTCAGCAATTTGGTCTGTTGCGCCAGCCGTCGATCTTGAGTTGTGTGAGCTCACGGGGGACTGATACCCGGCCATGTGGACGTACATTGTTCAATAATCCCAGCAAAAACAGCTTCACGTTCATTTCTCTCTGCTAGTCGGACACGCAAAACCTCTTGCCATGATGGCTCGGCCATTTTGAGATTACGCAGTGAAGGTGGTTCGTGGCAGGACCAACTCGAAGATGCAACGGCCATCCCTATAATCGGAGTTTGAATGACGCATTGGGCAGCAGGCTCCGGGGTGCTCGTTGCAACACCGCAACTGTCCGCTGCTCCAGATATTGCATACCCTCATCTCGAACCAGACGACCCTTAGCTACAAGTCATGGGCCGTGTTCTTCTCAAGGTGAACATACATCTTGAACCAGGAGACATAGTTGTACTGACTCCTAAAAGGTTATCATTTTGGGCGATAGTGGGTTCGTCTGTTCCAATGAAACGTCGAGAGCCATAGTGGCTCATAAGAAATATCTGCAGCGTCGGGAAGACATCCTTGATGAACCAATATGTCAACAAGCGATTCAGCAATCAGTACAAGGCAACTATCGGTGCAGACTTGTATGCTCTTTCCCTCTGTTTCAATTGTGGCGAGATACTCAAAGTGACTGTGCACATAGCTTAACGAAGGAGGTCATGGTGGATGATCGTTTGGTGACAATGCAGGTACAGCAAAGCTTCGCCTTTGCTGACTCCAAACTCACTAATACTCGTCACGCAGCTCTGGGATACTGCAGGTCAAGAGCGGTTCCAGTCTTTGGGCGTCGCGTTCTACCGTGGAGCCGACTGCTGTGTCCTGGTTTACGATGTGAACAGTGCCAAATCTTTCGAAACTCTCGACAGCTGGAGGGACGAATTCTTAATTCAAGCAAGTCCTCATGATCCCGAGAACTTCCCTTTCGTGGTGCTAGGAAACAAGATTGATGTGGAGGAAGGCAAGCGACAGGTGCGAGGGATGGTCTCTGGAATTATAATTGTTGCTGAGAACCTTGATACTTAGGTGACCCAGAAACGGGCCATGGCATGGTGCCAATCCAAGGGAAACATTCCTTATTTTGAGACCTCGGCGAAGGAGGCCATCAACGTCGAGCAAGCGTTCCAGACAGTTGCGAAGAATGCGCTTCAACAAGAGGCGGAGGAACAGCTGTGGGTTCTTTTCGAGCTTTCACTCGAACTTTGACTGACCTGAACACACAGTTACGTCGATTACCCCGACCCCATCCAATTGGATTCTGAGAGTTCTCAGAATTATGGCTGCAACTGTTAAGGTTTCTCTGTCAATACTATTACTCAACGTTCAACCTGTTACTGTTATGTTAGTATATGCATTGGGCTCCTGTACACACACACACACATAATTCTAGTTCTTGGACATTAAATCAAACATGCACAGTATTGCTTTCTTCATTCTGACTGTCGAAACTGTTACGTCACTTTGCCTGACTGGCGCTTGTTGTACCTTGTTGCAGGCCTGACGGGCCGCTGTATCGCCGATACATTCTTGTCCCAAGCCGTCACCGCATTCATCCCGATACCCCTTCTACCCTAATGAAAACCAGTTGTATCCCCTGAAATACACATGGGAAAGAGTAAAGTCAAGCAGCTATCCGCTGAGGAGGAAGAAGAAGTCTACATCGTCGGTACGCAGGCAGAACAGTTTTCCAGGGAGCCGCCATTGTATTCATACGAGCACGCCACTAGAGGTCATCGTTGCCGCTAAAGTCGTAGCAGATACGCCCCCGCCCTCTCCCAAGAAGAAGAAAAAACGTGGTAGAAAGTCGAAGGCAGAGGAAGCTGAGGAACCGGAGTCTCTGAGTTGGGTGCGTTTGGATTAGAACATATCTGTCCGAGTTGAAGGCTTAATTAGCGGCTTCTGGCAGCGCTATGAAGTGAAGGTGGGCATTCCAGATTCTACTGTTCAAAGGGACCATAGCTCATCGAGTGTTGTTCCAATCCCTTAGTGGGCGGGATATCCGGACGATGAAACGACGTGAGTCTGCCAGAAGCATTGGCTCAGAATACCAATATCTAACCGCGAGATTCAGCTGGGAACCAGAAGACAATCTTGGACCAGGATGCATGAAGCTTCTCGAACGGTTTTGGGCTGCAGTAGGAACCGATAACCAGGACTATCCGAAGGGTTACGTTGTGCAGGCACCCCAGGCGTGGATCAGTTAAGTGGACCCAGAACGAAGAAGGCCCTCCATTGACAACAATGTCGAACAGAGAAAGAGAAGGAACGCTTCGCCAAAGACTTGAAGAAGGAGAAGGAAAAAAAGGCCTCCAGTGCTTCAGTGGCTCGGGTCAGTGCCTCTAGTGTTTAACCTTCACAGATACTTATGTTCCGTGCAGGAAGCTAAAGAGAAAGAAGAACCCTTGGAAGAACCCAAGTCCTTGTCAGTCACAAAACATAAAACGTCCAAGAAGCGAAAGGCGAGTGTCGCGCCGTTTACATTTGACCTGCTCCCAACATCGTGTCGTTCAGGCCCCCAAGGTACAAGTCAGCGAGGAATCGGACGGTGACTCGGACGCCTCAGAGCCACTCGCAAAGAGACGTAAAACGTCTTCGGTTCAGTTCATTCCCTCATACTGCCGGAAATCGCTTTCTGATCTGATTCCAGGAGCCTAAATCCCACAAAAAATCTCAGAAAGGATCGAGAAAAGAGACTGCAGTGAGAGCCAAAGTTGAAGAGACAACGCCCCCTTTACCGAGTGTGCCGAAATCCAACGTAAGGTCTCCTGGAACATCCTTGCGACTCTAGTTGACCTGCGGTTCAGAAAAAACGCGTTGAATCTACTCCCGTTGAACCGACCTCACCTAATCTCGTTCCTTCTCTTTTCTCCGATGACGATGTCAGGTCGCCAGATGCCTCCCCACAAGCCACTCCGGTACCTGTTGAAGTTCCGCCTCTTCCAACCCGCCCTGCTGCTCCTCCTGTTCCCGTTCCTGCTCCTAACCCCGCCCCCCCGCCTCTACCTTCCCGAATGCCTTTCCAGAGCCAAGTAGCACCGAAGCCCCAGACTTTAAATCAGCCAGTCGACGGACCATCTACGGGTATATCTGCGAAGCAACGCATAGCGAAGCATGCGTTGGACCCACTTCCACCTAAGACGCTGGCAGCCGCTCCCCATTCAAGACCAACTCATCTTCCTCCCACTACGATGGGATCGACGTCCATCATGACAACTGGATTCCGGAAGAGTATCCCGACGCCTGCCATCGCCCAGCGCCATTTTGAACCGACGCTTGCTTCTATCAATGCGCGACCTGCGTCACCACCTCCAACGGAACCTCCCAATAATGAACCTCCTTCACGGACGGCATTCGAACCTTCTAATGATATACAAGACCTTTTCCCCCGTGACGATACTGAATTTGGGTATTTCACTTTATTCGGATGGTTAGACCATATATTTATAGATATTTAATTTGAAAGGAGTTCCGTGGAAGTAGACCAATTCCTCCAGTCAGCCATGCCGAAGGAGTAAGTCGTTTCTAAATGACCGTCGTACCTCGCACTCACTCTGGCCGGACGATTAGGCTTGCTGAAGCTTATCCAACTGTCAAGGAGTACGTCCACCGTACATTGGGCTTCATATCAACTCATTCTTTTCACCTGTAGGGCAGAGACATCCAACAATAGTGAGCCCGTACCTCCACCGGCATTACCTGCGTGGATTGCTGCTCAGACCCGGTGAGTAGATGCTGCTTTTATTCGCATCTTAATCTCAACGACTGGGTAGACAGAAGAAGGCTTGTTGGACTGGCTCCCTGTCGGTTCCTTTTGGGGGAAGCGATAGTATCCAGTTCAAGGTGGCCATCGAGGATGAGGTTGAGATCAGGAAAACAGGCTTCAGATTTCCATTCGCCCTCTCCGGGTCAGGTTCGCAGTTGGCAGTTCAAGGTCTATATGATTTAGTAGACATTAGGGTGATAGTGGGAGCATGCAGGCCTCCTGCATACCGTGCCCAAGTGTCTCGACAGCCACAGGACGAGAACGATACAGCCTGGTCATTACTCATACAACACATGATTCGGAAGCAGCAGGTATATTTTTTGAACCTCCCTATTCATTAAACGCTGATGAGATAGACAGGTTGCCCTCGTCCCCCTTACCCTCAGTGGCCAATGTGTTGCCATCCTCCTCATACACCCTGCCATCACGAATCCCCTCTCGATTGCAACAAAATTCTCTGTGAGACATGTGAAGAATGACGGTTTCGTTGCAGAACTTCTACCCTGGAGTCTGACTGCCAAACAAATCTCGGAGGACGCCATGATGGAACGCAACAGGAGAGATCTACTCTTCGAAAGATGCTACCATGCACTTACTTCGGAATATGACAAGGTCAAGTCCAAGCGACTAGAACTTGAAAGAATGGGCCAAGCACCTCGACAATGGGAATCGGTTGTGAAGCGCAGACCCCTGTTTCAACTGGCGATACGCGTTCTCGGGTTCCCCACCGAAATTTACGAATACCTCAAATTGACGACCCGACACTACGCAATAATTTCTCCTCTGAGTCCTCAGAGGAACAGAGTAGCGGAATTGGAAAGCGAATTGCTGCATAACATACTACAAAGGGTCAAACGGGAAACGCCACCGCCCAAGGACTCAGTCAAGGACAAGGACAAAGAAAAGGCAAGAAAACCTGCCATCAGGATGACAAGGAGTCCTGAGCGTGCTGGGATGCTGTTCATCCACGTCAGTGCTCTTCAAAATCTAGACAAGCTCCCTTATTTCCGCGAAAGGATCCTATCGAAGGAGTACATTCGCATGTACATGTTCGGGTCGAATCCCTCATGCCCTTCCAGTTTCTGGGGCTTGCATGAGATCTACCCATGCGGTAAGAACATCAACTCCACTTGGCAAGATTTTATTGACATTATTGTGTCTTAGGGGGAGTTGTGACATTAACACCCGGAGTTATCCTTCGAAGACCTTTTGAATTACCCGGAAGATTGAAGGAGATCAACGAGCACCCTCTTTGGACAGTTTACGTCTGTCCGGCAGTCATTGGCATGATTGCCACCTTGTGCAACGCCAAATCACCGTAAGCACCTTGTACTCTATCGTTGCTCCCACTCATGCACACCCGCCTGCTCGCAGAAACCAGTTCCTTGTTCCTTACATCCTGAATGCCATCTCCCGGGGAGAAATGGCGCTGCTGGAGGCGCCTCCTGAACCGAAAACATGGTCAAGTCCACGCGATACCCGGACATCGTGGCTGAGGGAGTATATGCACTTCTCGTCTCCCACCCCAGAGGATGTGCTTCTACGTGGTATTGAGGCATTCAATTCTCGTTACGCGAACTTAAATTCCGCTTCCCGGGAGGCTAGATTGGAGGAAGACGTTGTGAAAGATCTGAAGGCTATGCAGAGAAATCCTGCGATTGCGAAGAATTATCGTCGCTATGTATTGCTCACTAGTTCGAGTAGTGACGAAGCAACACCTTTAGACTCGGTGTGTGCTAAGATGATAGTATTATATCATGAGCTGCAGCTGACTTGTTTCACCCTTTTAGATTGAGCGCACCTCACCCATGAAATTCGACTTTAAAGATGGGTTCTCGTTGAATTAGAATTGTATTTTCTTTTACCTGCCCACTTCGCGGATCTGAAGGCTTAATTGTATACTATCTTACTTTAATTCTTAGGGGTCGGGTTAGATGGGCGGATATACTTCTCGTCGTTCCACTACTTGTCCTTCTATGTGACTACATGAGGATATCTTGTAACTTCTCCGTCATGTCGTCAGCCTCTTCCCAAACCTGTGCTGCTTTTGCCTGTGTGGATCGACGCAGGCATGAATTCCAGTCAGTGGTCAAATGTTGGTCATCGGCCGTCGGTTCGCGACGACGCCAGTGAAGATTGAAGCTTGAAGACGTACCGCCTTGAAAGCCTTATCTCTCGACGATTCCTGCAACTCCCCTGCTGCAACCAATTCATCCAGGATCTGCAAGGGACAGTCAACTCTGTGGAACGGATGAGACGAATACACCTACGCTGTAAGCCTGTTGGAAGTTGAAGATACTGCCAGTGTGCACGAGGGATACAGAACAGATCGTAAATTGGACTCGATGTTTGGATCCGACCATAAACCAAGAACCCACATGTCCAACTCGCACACCTACAACAGTCAGTATAGTATGTGGTCTGTCGGATTGTAAAAGAGAAGGCCTTACATTTCCGAAATACCTATCCAGGATCTCCACGTAACGGTGAATGATCTCTAGGGTAAGGAGTTCATTGTCTCCCTCTGCGATCTCGCATACAAAGAACAATGAGGCGTAGCGTTTATACACAATCTGGAAGTAATCAACTTATGCTCCACACCGCAACCGGAGCGGGCGAATTGACACACCTTCCTCCCTGTGTAAGATTAAGCGCTCATTTCAACGAGGACCAAGGTCATGCTTGGACTGTGCTTTCAGGCCCACCTTTGTGCTCGAGAAAGTTACAGACCCTGGGAGGACGGCCTAAGACCAGTTGCGACACCTCTCGGACTATCTTTGCCTTGTCTTTGCCTGGGAGAGTGATATACCATTTGGACAACCTCAGCTTTCCTAAATAACATGGCAAATGAGGACCATTCCATTGCCTCGCCGCGCTGTGTCGGAGTTGTACCATGCCGGACGTACCTTGGCGAGACAGCAGGAAGAAGTAGTTGATCATTGGTAAAGGAAGAGAGGGGGAGTTAGTACGACACTCAGGCTTCGTGAACATGTCTCCAGCGGCGCACAGTTGCCGTAACCACACCTGCTGTTCGGTATCAGAAGCTTACTGCGAACTGCGGAACTACATTTCTTCGGATTGTCCTATGTTACAAGAAGTACAGTTCGGGTTCAGATACGGTTCTTTTGAATCAAGAGTTCCAGACGAAGAACGAAAAGGATGGACATACGCTCTCGGCACGAGAGATCTGGGAATAATTCAAGGAATAATTCATAAGCGACTGTGTCCGACAAGTTCAGAGACGAAAGGGGGTCTTGGGGTAGGCGAGCTTGGACGTGGCGGCGTCGTCGCAGAACCAGTGGAGGGTGCCCGGGAAGGCCGGTCTGACGCGAGCAGCCGGGAGACCAGTCTCAGGGTTGTCGAGGATCTGGGCAAGCATGTCTGCCTTTTCACCACCAGCTGCGACGAATGCGACCCGAGCTGCATGGTTGATGACGGGGAAGGTCAGAGTGATGCGCTTAGGAGGAGGCTTTGGGGAGTCCTCGAGGTAGGCGACCCATCTGTCTGACTCTGAGAGCAGCGAATGACCGGGGAAGAGGGATGCCGTGTGCCCATCGGGTCCCATTCCCAAGAGGATGAGGTCGAAGACGGGGAAGCGGGCCGCATCCTTCTGAGCGAACTCACGGATGAGTTCGGTCTCGTAGGCATCGGAGAGGGCTTCAATATCGTCGAGCAACGAGGGATCGAGGGCATGGATCTGCTCCTTAGGGATGTCAACCTTGGAGAACAGAACTTCGGTGCAGGCCCGGTGGTTAGAGTCGGCATGATCAAGGGGTACAACGCGCTCATCGACATAGTACACATGCCTGGAGATCTAATCGTCAGTTTCCAGCCGTTTCTTCAGGACATTGGGTATAGTACTCACCAGTTACTCCACTTGATCCCTGGGTTCCCGATGAGCCCTCGTAGCATTTTGGGCAGAGATCCACCTGAAAGGGCAATCGTGAACTTGCCCTTCTTATCGATGGCCTCCTTCTGTGCCTTGGCCACGAAGGCTGCCAATGACTCGACGAGGGCGTCGGTATCGGCAAAAGACAACAGCACTGGGGCGTTTGGAGGTGTGTGAGTGGTCGTCATTGCTGGTGGAGCTGAGAGAAAGACGGCGCTTGACCTTGAGCCTGCACGGAAATCATGAGAATAGGTTGGCTTAGCTAAGTAGTTAACAAACAATCCTGACACATTAAAAATCCAATTAAATTCCCCCCGACAATCTGAAATCAAAAATGACCAAAGTAACATCTATTGTGGCTATGAAGGGCGCGTCTTTCCAAGTTTGTTAGGTCTCCGAGGCATATCCGCATCTTCCTCGGCTACCGTCTGGTGAGATGGTGTCCAACGAGAGTCACTTGAGCTCCGCAAGCTCTTCTGCCCGGTTGCCTCAAGATTAGACGGAATTTGTGGCACTGGTGGGACAGGATGTGCATCGTTTTTCGGTAGCGCCGAACGAAGGGATGACATCGAGGCTGGTCGCTGGGGTTTCCGAGACCGTGAAGACTGAACACTCTCTCCCGATACATCAGATGGGGCTGAGCACGACAATAATCAGCAAACCAAAAAATGTCGAACGAAGACAGCAACTCACAATCTGCATTTGAACTTGGTAGTAGCCATGAATCAACAATGCTGCGACGATGGGAAAGTGCTAGGGATTCTCTGCTGTTGTTCGTGGATGCCAATGGTGTTGGAAGCACAATTTGAACTTGATTGTACGGAGAGTGGGGAAGCCCGCGAACAGTGTGGCGGCTTGTCCGGGAATTCATACTCTGCATCGAGGACATGGATAATGGTCGCGGTCTTCGAGCGGGTGATCCATAACGAAGGTCGGCCACAGGACGAGGCATAGGCGGAGCAGAGTCGGGAGAGTTGAGAGGGAATGCATGGGGGGAAGCGCAACTAACGTCGCTGGAATTATAGGACGAGGACGATCCCGGGCGACCGCCATGATACGAAGGGCTAGGAAGCGGTAGGTGCTGTGAAGAGTCTGCACTGACTGGTGGCAAGTCGAATTCCTGCCCTGACTCTGTCGCTGACACAGAGGATGAGGGAGCAGAGCCCGACAACAACGGACTCTCTTTGCCAAGAAGCGACGCCTTGCTTCCCATTGAGTGAGTTGCGGGGAGGGCAGGTTGAAACCATGTCGGAGGCCGTGATAGTGAGTTTTCGTGTGCTGCTACGCGGTGCTCTCGATGGTGGGCAAGTGGCTGAACAGGAGGTAGGGGTGCAGGGTTGGCTGAACGGCGACAGTTGCGTATTGTTCGGTAGAGAAAGTAGCAGAGAATCAGTCCCGCGGCGCTGGAGCAGGCTGCGATGATGATAATGTTCTGGCGGGAAAGCCCTTCGCCTTCGTCGTCAGCGCGGTAATAAATATCTGCGGTAGGTGCTGCGGGCATTGGTAATCGTTTGAATCAAGGAATGAATGTGGTAAAATGAGCGACTGGAGGGTTTGAATCCTTTATGGATTCAGCTGAGCGCTACTCGATGCACGCTGAGCGGCTACCGAGTGTCTATGCGACGAGCGCGTAGCAATAAGTTACTGGGTGATGCAGACGTTCTGAGTCAGTCGACGACGAGGAAGACAACGGCAGCGAGAAACCTACATGGTCGTTGGCAATAAACAAGGCCAGACTGTGCTGTTCCTGACAGCGACGATGATCTTGTCTCCTTAATCGCATCATTGTCTTGGCACCCGCTATAGACTCCGGTCCGCTGTGATTTGAGTACTACCGTTGATGTTCGCTCATCGCCGTCTGCAACGATGACCCCCCCTCCCCGGCAGCGTCAGGCCCACTCAATAGCGTCGTCGGTGCCAACAAAGGCCACCCAACAAACCCTCGCTCGCCGTCTTCTAGTCCCTCCTCATTCCAATGAAGACCTTCCGCAGCTGTTGTCAACGCCAGGGTTACTCCCGGAGCTCACAGCCGAGTTGTACGACTTCATTGCGCTCGCGCTGCGAGCCTATGTAAATCCATGGTGGACAAAGCTCACCCGCTACGATAAAGAGTTTCTTCCACATATCAACAAGATCATCGTCCATGTCATTGGAAACCTGGAGGAGCGCTTGAAGGCCGTCGACCTTCCTGCTCTTGTCTTTCATGACCTTCCTTCCATCATCACCCAGCACTATGTCGACTACCGCAATGCTCAGTCCAAACTATCTACTTCGTATGCATGCGGTGGGGCATCGTCTCTGTCTACCTTGTTTGCCCAGATGCAACCACATATGGCGATTTCGCCCGACGGCAAAATCGACCCCGAATACTATCGCCAAATCTTTGACCAGGTATTGAAGCTCTGCCTTCCCCCAGAAGACTACGAGCCAGAAGTAGAACGTACGATAGTACGAGAAATCCTGATCAAGGTTTTTGTCAACGACGTGATACCCAAGATTAGCCAACCTTGGTTCATTCACAAGTCCATCCTCGATCTCATCGGGCCCCTCGAGGAAACCCTGTATTCAGTGAGTTTATAAATACTTTTGGAAGACATCTGAAAAGCTGATGTATACATAGCCGCCGCAGACATCGCAGAACTCAACCCAGGAATCTTCTTTCTTTCATAACTTCGTAGTGGTCGTCCTCTCCGCGCTCCAGTCCTTCTCTGGCATCTGCCTGGCGCTTATGCACTCTTACAAGCAGACTGTCAACACCATCAAAATGGTCAACCAATCTCCAAGCCACAGCCCACGACCTGACCCAGCACCGTTTGAGTTAAGGCAGCCTAAACCAACCAACCTCCGCCTACCTCCGTCCCTTGCCAACTCGCGGTCCTTGTCCACGACGACCACGTCAACCGTCGCTTCAATCAATGACCCAGAAGCCAACTTCGTCCCACTTTTGCCTTTGCCGCCAAGGGAGTATAACAACTGTGCGGGTCCCCCACTGGCCATGATTTGTGAAATCATCCGTTCAGAAGATCGATTTTCTTCAACCTTACTTTTCACGACAATCTCAATGGTCTCGCTTTCAATATCCACGTTCTTGGACAAACTTTGCCATCATCTTCTTTACCAATTTTTGTCGCCTGCTTTCATTCTCAACATAACTCGATTATCGAAACGCACCCTGTTCCCCAACGGGTATCCAGGACCTCCGCCCGTGGAACCTACTGCCGAAGAGCAAGCAGAGCTGCGCGCACGACTTGTCGCATGGAGACCGAAGGGCGCCTTAGGTACGTCAGCTAGCCATTTTGGCCGGTGAAACTCCTCATTCGAATACTTCGCCCAGCACACGTCCTACCAATAGTCCTCGGTTCGGATCCCAGTGCGACACTTGACATTGCCATAGACCCACTTAGCGAGGCGCAATGTAATACTCGGCTCGTCATATTTGTACTGGACAGGATACTATTGGCTTTATTCCCCGAGTTGCTTGGCTGATGTATGTACCACTTTACCGTATACCCATCTTGTATTTACGATCATGACTTTTACGAACCTAATGGTCTATACTCTACTGTTACAAAGAGTGAACTATTTACAAGAATTACATGAATAACTTGAACGCGAAGCACACCATGATAAGGCTTCCAATTGCCTGCAAGGTGCAGAACGACCACGAGGAAATGTATGCAGTGGAGATAATGTGCAAAAAGGCAGCTGGGAATAGTATGGCTAGAGGTGCTCGTCAGGGGAGACCAGCTTGATGGATTGCACGCTTCAAACCACCGAAAAAGAGCTGTCGCCCGATGTCAACTGGTGCTGCTGAGAGGAATTTGAGAGACTCGACCCACATGCATAACGGCAGAAAGGCGAGACACGCGTTCGACGTGTTCCACCCAACTCACGATAAGGAGCCGCGCCTCTTCTTCCTCCTCCACAGACCGCTATGCCAGTTCGAAATTGGATTCAGATTTCTTTCAACTACTGGCAGAAAACGTACCACTCGCTCGGGAACTCGCAGTATCTCGTATGATTCGTCGTAGACTGTGTTCTAGGTAGGAAGTTGTCAATCAATGCAGGTTTGGATGAGTTGGCATGCTCACATAGTGTAACTTCTCGCTTTCTTCATAGGAAGGAGGCGGGCTTTCCGATTTGCGATATGGATGGAACCGAACGGACAAAGATACCGAACGTGAATAAGAAGGCAACCTTAGCTGGCTGGCGCTGGTCGGAAACGCAGGGCAGCTGGATCCCACCATAGCTCTAGTCGTGAAAAGCCTGAGGTAAACCTTGGAAAATTGAATAGGCCAGCGAAGAGGTCGACTAGCTGTTTGATAAAACTGTCGTTCAAAATGACGGCATGGTCTTTATTTGATACCTGGAATTGGGGACCCAGAAAGCTACCACACATTTAGTCCACAAGGCGGAGCTACGTCAGATATTCTCAGAGACGAAACAGGTAAGCCCGTTGCCCCAGCTATAGCAAGGTCACCGTTCACGAACATGGAACATGTACAGCAAAAGATACCTGTGACACTTCGCGGTTTGCAATCGTTCAAGTGAGGATATCGAGATGAAGATCCTACTGGGTATCACAGCCGCAAATTTCAGCCTGTATGCTCACCTACTATGCCAAGGGTCCGGAATGCCAACCGACACCGCTGGATATGCAGGGACGGCGTCAGTTCCCTTCAGATTATGCTTCCGCAGTACCGTTAAGGGAGAAGATCGGGCGCCACCTACTGACCTTGACGCCAGACAGGGCTTCTTCCATTGAATGAAGCCGGCAGAGTGGACTAGAAATTTTGGAGGGACGTGGGGAAGGTCCAAGGTCGCTGCATCTCTAGATGTGGGATCTCATCAGTACGGTACCTTCAGATCCACGGGAACGTTGTTCCAAAGCGGTCTTTACCGTTTGTGACTCGTACGGACATGGTCATTGCCGATTCTGGGTAGGCAAAAGCCAGACTGTGAACCGACGTCAACGGTCAGGTTAAGGGAATGAGCGACGCGTCAATCGCGTGGATAACACGCTTCCTCGCGTTGGACTGAATGTGGCGGGAACCCAACGGGGACCAGGATTCGCTCTGTTGAATGTTCCACTCCTACATCAGAGGTCCCGGTCCCGCCTGATCGACACCCGCTTCGCGTCGCCTCTTGGGACCATCGTAGGATAATATCCATAATCTGTCGTTTGGAAATGACGCGTCGTTGCCGGGCAGGGTGGGCGCTTGACTTGACAGGAATTGGAGCCAATGAATGCTCGAGGAAGGGTGAGCCAAAGTCCGCTACGTCCACACCTGGAAGAACATGAAAGAAAGATTGTCTCTTCCAAATGCACTTTGCCTTCATTTGAACCCTGTCGCGCCTACAAGACCAGAAATTTCTGCATCGCATCTGAGAGTGTGTGCGTCGTCATCTGAGCTTGGGACTTCGGCGAACGATAACCTACCTTCCACAAGCCACCGAAAACGATACTAAATTAAATTACCCTAAGGTTCGTGTTGCCCCAATCGAGAGTCGTCGTCGTTGGGCTGGGAATGGGGTGCATTGGGGTAACTGATTGCCAGTAAGCCGGTAAGTAGCCAGGTGGCAATCATCCTCTAGGCAGAATGCGGTTGTGCATTCAGTTAGAAGGGATGTCGTGGTTACAATGCATGGGAGTGTCGAACTGGCTCTGTGACGCTCGTCGCTGACAGCTGATATCGACGCTGTGCAAAGCTCGCCCGAAAGCCCTGAAGAACTGGAAGGATCCCGGCTCTCAGTTAAGCATTCACATCCTATCTGCAGGTCCGGACAGACTGAAGAGGCGCTTCTAGTTGGACCGTGGCTATGTAGGAGAATCAGTGGTGATGTCAATTTGAGGTTCTTTGCACTTCTTACCAAATGGCCAAATGCACGTACGTTGTATCCACCAGCGGGAAGCGACAAATGAAATCGATATACTACATCTTGGAGGCGACTGTGGGTTATTAAAATGACGTTCATGACTCCTGTCGGGTTTACAGAAGAAAGTCAACGAGTTGTAGGAGTTGAGAAGGATGAAGAATTGATGGGGATGAGATGAGTCTAGGACGTCGATGGTGCGTTCCCTAGACCTCGGATTTGGTGAAGTATCTTCTGGCCATCTCCCATTGACAGTCGCCTTTAACGTCTACTTAAAAGTGCTTTGATTTTCCACCGTTTAGATCACACAAAAGCAACACCGGAACCCGGCGCGATACCTATTAGTCCGACAAAAAATCGAGGACAAACAAACTTGACGCAACTTATCTTCACTCCGTTTCCTTGGGCCAGCGCTTCTTTGGAGAATGTTCCACAACGGTACGATCGACGGTCTCCAGGCAATAGCTTTATCGGGTTCAACCATTGCATGGCTGTCTCGAGACTAGCCACGACAGCGCATGCCTTCTAGCTCTGCCAACTATGTCCTTTTAGGAGTGCCACGACCCCCACTCGAAACCAGCCGCAAATCACATTCAATTACCCGTCACAATCTACACATTACGATCTAAACCGAGAGCACCCGCTCAAGGTCGGCCAGGGACCTGGGAGCGACTACGTCCCTAGAGTTTATCTCCAAGGAACGGAACATGAAAGTAAATAAGATCCAGTAGGAAGTGCTGTCACTGACTAGGACGTCTTGCAATTGGCGGACTTCTGGAATTGGCCATACCAGTATCGCTTCCTTCTTACTCCTGAAAACCAAGCGACCCTGTTCACCTCGAGTAAGTCGGCGCCAGTGCTCATGGGGCGTTCTCTACACCCACCTCATGCTGAGAAGAAAGACGATGACGGTAATGTTCCCATGTGCCATACCATCCCAGGTCAATGGAGACCACCTCATATGCTCTGGAAGAACATAGAAGGAGAGAAGTAGGCTTGATAAACTGGTGAGACTTGCATTCAATACCCAGAATATCCCACTCACTGAAGAATCTATAGAGTAGCCACAGCCCGGAGGTCAGCCGTGATATCACAACTGGAACCGACAACCCGAGGTACTGACATCTCCCAATCCGAGTGTGCTGACGACTGCCCCAATGATCCGTTCTTGGGCCACAGGATTGTCTGGCAGAGCGTCCCTGATCGCCCTATAAACTAGCAGCGATATTAACCCGAGAAGCAATGAACCTTCATTGGGCACGGAAATTGAGCCTGGCGATTCAATAATGCATCGACGATGGCAATACACTCACAGTTTCCAAGCTGCCACATGGCCATTTCCGCCCTTGGTTGAAAGATCTCTGCTGGTATTTCCTCGCTTTCTTGGAGAAGCTGGTGGTAACACCATGCAGCACCCGGATACCCCCAAATCATGAGAAATGCGACAATGCTTGCTACTGTGAATGTTTCCCAGTGCCTAGGTCAGTTGTGGTGCTCGTATGATCCATTAGAACTCATAAGAACACGTACTTGGCTCTATGTAGAGGAAGTGGACATAATATATCCCTGGTAGAGCAAGAAATTCCTTCTTCATTGTAGGCTTATCTTGAGTTGAGAATGGAAACGAGTCAAGCTTGCCTCGTGTTTCCTTTGTATTCACTAGGTATGGCCTTTGAGGTTGTGACGGGTCCATCAATTATGTACTACTTACATGAAAAGTCGTCGAGGACGGGTAAGTACTTTTGCCGCGCGACACCCGCGCCATTGTTGGCGCTGATCCATGGTTATCAAGCGCGTTCGCAATGGCACAACTGCGGCCACGTATTGCCAACACCTCAGGTTGCAGCCTCATCGTATAAAAGGGCTTTAAACGCGATTCTGGTGCAACTGACTACGCTTAACCACTATATTCAACGAACGCGATGTCTTACACACAAAGCAATCATGGGTCCTATCTTCTCCACGTAGACAGAGGAACTAGGACCTTCGACAGTCCAAGTTCTTCAGTTTTCGACCTACCTCCCGAGCGACCAGACTCCGGACCTGCTCGAGCACCGCTTCCTTTAACTTCTGCACCTGCCGACCTCAGTGTCGTAAAGCCTGGGGATATCCAACAGTCTCGAGGTTCGGGCCCGTCATACATCATCATCTCCGGGGGCACAGGTGGCAATTCCATCTGCTCGAGCTTCGCCGATGCCTGCTTTGTACTGCCAGTCTCAGACGACGGCGGCTCGTCAAGCGAAATCATCCGCGTCCTAGGGGGGCCGTCCGTAGGTAGTACTCGGTTTGACTATTTCCGTTTTCAACTTTACGATTCACACCATCCATGCTTCAGGTGACATCCGCTCCCGGTTGGTTCGTCTGATTCCACAAGCCCCTCCGTCTTCGCCTTTGGACGCAATCAGAAACCTCCTAGCCCATCGTCTGCCTTCCAAGTGTTCTTACAAGGAAGCCCGTGAAGAATGGAGGGATATAGTGGAGGGGCGGAGTCCTCTTTGGAGAGGTATCCCAAATGACAGGAAAGAGACCATCCGGGGTATGCTAGGTTCCGATAAGATTTCGAGGTCTCTTTCTGATTCGTTTCTAGGGTTCCTGGTCTCTTTTGAGAGCGAACTACTCAAGAGAGCTCACAAGAACTTTGACTTCAGGAACGGGAGGTAAGATTGAATATGGCTGGATTGCTGTACCCAGTTGATGAGCGCCTAGCATAGGGAACTATTTCATTGCTGCAGCCCAGAACTTTTTCCGCTCCCTTCCATCCGCTATCTTTCTATTCTCATCGATCACCAACAGCCAGGTCAGTTGCTTCCCTTGGTACTGATTTGAATCTGCTGTTCATCGAGAAACCGCAGGCCCATATATTACCAGTTATCGTTACGAACCACACTGTTACTCTTGCTGCAGAGCTGGTAAAGAGGGTTCCTCAATTCTGGACGACGGTGGATGCTGACCTCCTCGCAGGAAGACGGCGAACGACTAGTTGGTCAATGCGAGATATCACACCCAGTTGCGAGCATATCGGTGCAAGTGTCCAATTCTGACGGCCTAATGTTCGCCCATGACGAGGATTCGGAGGGGATACCAGTGGCGGCCAACAATGTCATGTACGACCGTACAGGGGATGAACCAATTGATATTTTGCCAGCCCCAATATCGAGTAAGTACTGGACGTCACTTGAGCGAACCCCCCATTAACACCTGCCTCCAGAAGTGTACTATATAAATAGCTATGGGATGGAAATCCACCCCACTCCGAACCCCGATTTCATCTTCAATCTGAAGAGCAAGGACATCCTCGTTTACTCATGCGGTTCACTGTGGACGAGGTTAGTGCCTTGTTTTTTTTTCTTTACCTGGTATAATCATTTCCTGACTCACGCAGTATCATGCCTTGTCTCGCCTTGCGAGGCGTTGCAACGGCGATTGCAAGCTCGCATTCTTTACGCGCCAAAGTTCTATTGCGTAAGCGACCAGAAGCGTTCTTATATTACCTCGTGTGTGACCCTTCTGACCGCTTCCTGTAGTGAATGCCGAAAATGACAGGGAGACATACGGATACTCCGCGTTAGATTACATCAAGTACGTCGAAGGATATCAGCTGACCTTGGTAGGCTAAACTAACGACGAACGTTCGTCACTGACCTTACAGGGCCATTGTCAGAACCCTGAACACGAACTATTCGACGCGACAGTATGGTCTGGGGAACGCGAATACAATGTACCCAGCATCAGCTTTCATTACGGATCTTGTCTATCTCTCTGGTACCACAGTCAAGGTCGATCGACAGGAAATAGCGGTAAGATCGTAAAGCCACTGTCAGCTGACCAAGATGCTAAAATAGAGGTTAGAAACTTGGGGTTAAATGCACTGAAATACCCCAGCAGAACGCTGTTGGTGAGAAGGTATTGCGATTCGAAGCCGAGACTGTGCGCGAAGTTCTGGACGAGATTTGGTTGGACAGGCGGGAGGAGTGATGAACACTATATTTAGATTGTACATAGCGCCCAATTCCCACCGAGATCGTATAGGGTGTTGGTCTCTGCATCCATACACCTTTAAGGTTCAGAGATAACAACGCCTGCCATTCCCTTCCCTGTCTCCCTACTCCCATGCGCACCTGTGCTCACTTTCATTATTTTATTTTCTAAATGACCGAAATCGCTGTACCAAGTCTGTCCATCTTTGCTCGACAGCCCCTTTCCAACCCTGACATCATTGTCCAGGCATCAGTTTGAAGGAGGACAGCCTGAAATATGGCGAGGACGCCAATCCCCACTCTAGTGACGAGACGCTGTGTTCACCCAAAAAAGAAGACCTGGGCGAGTCTTCCGATATCCAAGTCGAGATCGAGCACCTCGGCGACGACTCAACCTGCAATTCTGACGCAGATGATGCTCAGTTACGCGCGTTGAAAAGGCGGTCTGTGTCTCGTGTGACCTTTCGGTCCAGGGTCCGGATAACCTCTGGCTTCAATCACCACCGCCGTTCTTCCTACTCTCGACGAACCCAGAGCTGCAGCATTCCAGGATTCACTCCAGACTCGTCTCGATCATGCTCACCCTCCTCATCAATATCGGCCCCTCTCAGATTTCATTCAGAGGAATCAGAGGCCAGGCCAGGATGGGGCACACTTGGCCAACGTGTTGCGCTGTTCGCACAGAGGAGCGCTCAGAAACGCCAGCTACGAGCGCAGTCGAAACAGCAAGCTAGGGCTAGGCGGGCGTACTCCAAGCCCTGCTATGCTGAAATACAAGCCAACGAAAACACGCCGTTACTCGCCGCGGGGGGGATGTACGGAGCCGGCGGCTACACATGCCAATGCGAACGGTGTCAAAAGGACGATGATACCGCGACTTGCTGGTCTACGGGGTTACTGGACTACCAGGTCTGTATCACTATACTGTCCCCGCTCCACCTTCATTGTGTCTAATTCTTCGCCTTGTTTGCAGCGGTGGTGGCATTCCGTCTACCGCCTGATGACTTGTGGGTGTTTCGACGACTCTGACGAAGAATGAGCTATTCTGCAAACACAATGCGCGCAGTTTCTCTTGCCCAAGGGGCAGGTATTTTACATGTACACATTTATTCTATCTCCCAAAGCTTGTATTCTCCCATATTCACATTTAGGTTTCCAAGAGATGCCCGGTCACCATTCACGATCTCCAATCCCGTTGCATTTAGGCCTTGTTACTTTCCAAAAGAACCTCCTTTTTGGGCATAACCATGGTCGGCGGGAGGGTCTTGATGGGCGGCAATCTGCTGGCAGCAGTCTTTCGCGCGTCCTGCTGCAAAAGTTGGTCCATTACGACCAGAGCAGCCATCGCTTCAACGATTGGGACAGCTCGAGGGACCACACATGGGTCGTGACGACCGCGGGCAGCAAGAGTTCCGGGGGTGCCATCATAGCGAGCAGTTTCTTGTGGTTGAGAGATGGTAGCGGGGGATTTGAAACCGATCCTGTGAAGCATCGATGTCAAGTGCCATCAGGAGGGATAACAAAAGAAGACCGACCTGAAGTAGATGTCTTCGCCGTTAGTGATACCACCCTGGATACCTCCACTCCAATTGGTTACGGTTCCAAGGGTGCCGTCGGGGCGAACAACGAAGGGATCGTTGTGCTTGCTACCGGGCACTTCGGTTCCCCGGAAGCCAGAACCGACTTCGAAGGCTTTGGTTGCTGGGATGGAGAGCATGGCGTGAGCCAGCGCTGCTTCGAACTTGTCAAAGACAGGCTCTCCCAGGCCTGCAGGTACATTTCGGATAACGCAAGTGACCGTTCCGCCAATGGAATCAGAGGCGTCTTTAGCACGGATGATACGCTGAGACGGAAATAAACCAAAGGCTCCATCAAGATTTCATTGTGCTTACCTGGGTCATCTTCTCGGCGGTAGCAGGGTGAGGGCATCGAGTGGGATGGTGGTCAACCTCCTCACGAGTAATTGTCTTTAGCAACTGCCTGAACTCTGGAGAAACTGAGTCTTCAGCGTCATCATTGTCTTCGTTGGTATCCGAACGGGTGAGCGAAGGCGGTGATAGTTCGTTGGGGAGATGGATCTTGCCCACGGACGAAACAAATGCAACAATCTCGATGCCAAATGCTTGTTTCAAATACTTCTCCGCGATGGCACCAGCAGCAACCCGACCTAAGCTGGCCGGTCAAGGACTGATCTACTATGGCCTGATGGTGCGGATCACAACATACCGATCGTTTCGCGAGCACTGGAACGTCCACCACCACTGCTGGCCTTGACGCCATACTTCTCAAGGTAAGTATAATCGGCATGGCTGGGCCTAGGGTAGAGGTCGGTCTCCGAATAATCGTGAGGTCGTTGATCTTCGTTCTTGACGAGCAAGGCGATGGGAGTGCCCAAAGTGACACCATGCTCCAAGCCGGATTGAAGTTGGACGAGATCCTTCTCGTTTCTCTATTCAAATCAAATAACGGTCTGATTCCATAACCTTGTCAGAAAGTTTTTCAACACGTACAGGTGTTGTGAGATTGCTCTGTCCAGGCCGACGACGACTGAGTTGGATTTGAATGTCTTCGGCCGACAGCTCCAAACCCTGCAAATCATCAATGAGTTCTATGAAATATCGTGCAGCAGGACGAACTCACGGGAGGGCACCCGTCGATAATAGCACCTACGGAGGCACAATGGCTCTCGCCGTAGGTAGTGACTCGGTACAGCGTTCCAAAGGTCGACATTTTTGAAGTGACTCGTTTCTGAGCAGAGAGATGTGGGTGTCAAGATGGCTGTAGGTTAAGATAAAGTCAGTATTTCAGTTCTGTATAATGGCCAGAACTTGTGACAATCACTCACTGTTTATCTTTTGGAGCAGGAGCGAGTGGAAAGAAAGAAAGCTCCTGGGTCGATCTCGAGTGCTGAAATAGATAAACTGAGTTGCCGGTTTAGATGCCGGCGCCTGTAATTGTGAGGTCAGCCGCTGGTCAGCCCTAGACTGCCTTCTGCCATTAACCATGTCAGCCACCGGACAAGCCTCAGCCTCCCGGGCAAGAACTCAAGCTCGAAAGAAAGTCAACGATGACGCGTCATATTTTGGACCATCGACTTCAACTGGTGGAGCGGGCGCAAAGAGGCAGGCGGTTGACAAATTGGACGGTGAGCCCAGGACAAAACGAAAACGAGCAGAACCTGCAGCGCAGCTTGCTGCGAAGAAAGATGCTGTCGTGGAGGTGGAACCAAAATTGTCGCTGGTATGATTTACTTCAGAGCGTGCTACTCTATCCTTGTTGATTGATATCACAGGTCGAGTTCAACAAAATGTCGACACAAGTTCTCTACCGCTATATGACACAGTTCGATATCATACCGCCTGTTAGCCCGTCACCGCTCTCTGCAGAAGACCCACCATATCCAGGGGCACTGGCCGATCCCCAACGACAAATGTCGAGACCGCCCAGTCCACCACCTTCCCAGACACCCGCGAACCGACCGCGACGCGAATCAAGGGAGCAGAGCCAACGTCGCCGGAGTTCTCGGTTGTTGGACGAAGACCTACCGTATCGAACACCTGTCCTCGCAGAAATCGGAGACCTCCACAACGTGCTTGCCAGTATTGTCGAGAAGCATTTCCGGGAAGTCATGTCGATAAATGGCCGCGAAGAAGTTGACACATTGGCTTCCTTCATGTGCGCTGTGGAGAAGGCGAAGGGCAACCGCAACAAATATTGAGGATGCAGTACCGGGGGTTCGTGCACCGCCATACCCCCTCGACCTGGCTCTCAACCAACATACACTTTTCTCTATCAGACCTCATGCGGCGTTACCTTAACGATCTTATGTATGTCGGCGCATTTTTCTCCTGCCATTGGACGACGTGCTGTAAGCATCCCATTGGCAAGATCATCATCATTACGGACTTGGCTTTTTGGCTACGGGCCTATCAAGTATCAACGAGAATTCTGTCTGTATGTAGCTTGGGGCTCATTGCTCTTTCGACTCGCATCTCTCGACTGCAGGTTCTAGTTGCAGCGTTGGTGTAAGTCTTCAGACCTGCGTACTTGTTGGTAACAAGGCCGAGGGTTCTTTGTGAATGCAATCCTGTTTATAAATAGGCCTCAGCTTGCGGCCTTGTGGAGATCGTTTGGAAACGGTGATGACAGGTGGGAACACGTTGAGATGTACCTCTGTTCTGGGTAGCTGTACCTTTGCCTTGGTTCAGAGCTGTATTCCACACGCTGACTCGCAATCGGATGTCTTTGGAGCGTTTTTTTTGCAGCTGTAAGTGCCGATTTTTGCACACACCATCCCAATTCTTACTCAAAGGTTGACAGTGGCGAACCGAGACGTCTCTGAGAGTGCGCGAGGCAGAATAGAAGAGTTCCAGTGTCGCCGGGTGTCGGCGTGAGAGAACGGTGAAGCGATGTGATTGGTTCGTTGTATCATCTCTCCAGTTTCCGTGGTAACATCTGTCTTCCCCTGATGCCTGCCCAGAACTGTTATATATAAGAGCTTCCGCATCCCAACTTCGTTTCATCCCCTTCTTCACCCCTTCTCTTCGTTCGACTTCCCCTTTTTTGCAGCCGTGCTGCCTGGCTTTTCCTCTCGTTTGTGAGTTCAATGCGCCTAGTAGTGATGTCCTTGCACTAACCACCCTTCAGTTTTTTGCCAATTTTCTCGGCCTCGCTCACGTTCTTTTTCACTTCTGAGAAGTCAACTCCCTTCTAAAGTTTCGCAATGAAGATCCCCACTACTTTGTGCTCTTTGTTGGTCCTCCTTCCTCTGTTAGTTCCCGTCAACGCCCAGTTTGGCGCCCAGGGCCAACGAGGTGGAGGAAATAACAACAACCGCGGAGGAAACAACAACAACAACGGCGGCAACAACAACAACGGTGGAAACAACAACGGCGGTGGAAACAACAACAACAACGGCGGTCAGAACAACGGAGGCCAGGGAGGGGATCCTCAAACCTCTTTGAGTAAGCGCTCACCATCTGCGATGAGGCCGCCATCTAACTAACCTTGCTTTCCAGCCCTCGACCCCCGAGTCATCGCTCAGGGCTTCGCCAACGATGGCCAAGACGTTCCCGCCGAAGGCCAAGTGCGCTCCCTAACCTCCACCAACAACTTCATCAATTTCTGCCTCACTCGACCTGACCTCCCCATTACCAATGGACAGCAGATCCAGACAGGATCGTGCAACCCTGCTCCCATTGGTATCATCCCCAACGTTGACAACATGCCCTCCTCCAAGTTCGTGTTCCCACCGAACGGCGGTTTTGTTACCCCCAACCAGCAGTTCACCATCCAGATGGCGATCAGAAATCTGGCGACTGGTAACTTTGTTAATGCTGCTCAGAATTATTTTGCTGCTCCCCAGCAACTCAACGGACAAGGAATCATCCTTGGTCATTCGCACGTTGTTGTTGAGAAGTTGGACTCGCTCGACCAAACCACTCCCACCAACCCCCGTCAATTCGCCTTCTTCAAGGTTGGTGGTTGATCCTTGTCCGCGTGTGGCAAAGTATTGATTTTGGGCTACTAGGGTCTGAACGGTGTTGCCAATAACGGCATCCTGACCGCTGATGTCACCGACGGTCTTGATGCGGGTGTCTATCGTCTCTGCTCTATCAACGCTGCTTCAAATCATCAGCCCGCCATTGTTCCCGTTGCTCAGCACGGTGCATTGGACGATTGTGTCTACGTGAGTCTTCCTCCCCTTGTTTTGTTCCAAGCAAATGCGTTGTTTTCTCTGGGCCTGGCCTGCGCGGACACCCAGCGTTGTCCGGTCATGCAAAGCCAGCGCGTACCCTGTGTATAAGATGAACTGGACAGAGCTATGAACGCAACATGTCCGGATAACATCCTAGATACACAACCGTTGAGGCAACCTTGTTGACCTGTCTGCCTCACGGTTCGCTTTTATACACCTATCCTTTCCACCATGCCGATTATTCTGACCGTTATCTTTAGTTTACTGCAGGAAACCAACCGAACAACAATGGTGGCCAGCAGAACAACGGCAATAACGGGCAGCAGAACAACGGCAACAACGGCCAGCAGAACAACGGCAACAACGGTCAGCAGAACAACGGCAACAACGGTCAGCAGAACAACGGCAACAACGGCCAGCAAAACAACGGCAACAACGGTCAGCAGAACAACGGCAACAACAATGGTCAACAGAACAACAACGGGGGACAGCAGAATAACCAAAACCGAGGCGGCTTTGGTCAAAATCGCGGCGGTTTCGGTGGCTTCGGCGGTGGCTTCAACCGCGGCGGCTTCAATAACAACGGACGTGGGGGCTTCAATCGCCCCAGGCGTCATGCCGCTCGCGCTCAGCTGTAGGCCTGGCGAATGTTGGAACGGACCGTGATCTAGATGCTCCCCGTATACCATTTTAGTTGCTTTCCACCTTCATCCATTCGCTTTCGCACAGTTGTAGTTTACGCATTTCCATGACCTTCATTTCGCAGCTAGAAGCTGGCATTTCTTTGGCAATAAAATCGAGACGGTTTTGCTTGCTCTCCTTTCCTCTGACCTTGGGTGTGATGCGCTTTTATTGAGGCGGATTGGTTGTCACTCCCACGCACACACTTGGCTTGGTTGGCAGCACGGTGCCCATTGTATGGCTGTGGTTGGTAAAGCGGTACAAGCAGAGTAACGTGTTGTGGACGTGCCAAGTATCGATCAATGCTCTTGAAAACGAACTAGATACAGTCTTCCGGGCTCGATACAACTTGAGAGTTATGAAACAATCCTCCCTGAAGCGTCCATACTAAATCCCTGCCATTGCTGTTCGTACGATGTGTAAGAAAGCGAGGCAGATATGGTCGAAGTACGTAAAGACCGTGAATGTTGCTTTTCACCAAGATCAGGCGACCCAAACCCCTGTAGGTCCATCCCAGGTCGAGAAAATATCGACAAGGACGACAAAGTTGTAAACGAGAGCCTGCTCGACGGTGTTGGTGATGTGTGGGTGATCCCCGACAGTGGGGCCACAGTTGTAGGCGGAGGACTCTTAGCGAGCCCGTCCGTCCATCCAGATCGGAAGGTAGAAAAGCGGGTCCGGCGTCGCTGCTTTGACCGCTTTCGCCACCAGAAAAACAGCCCACAGCCCACGGAAATGAGGACGGCAAACACCCCTACGATGGGTCCTATAATCTTGCCTACATCGGTAGTACTCCTAGCTGTGGCGATAGGCGTTGTGGGCGTCGGGTCACTGGGGGGTACCGCAACTTGTACCAGAGGGCTGAACCAGACCATTGAGGACAATGATTAATTGAGTCGATGCCGCCGGCCGTGGTACTCACACGTATTCAAAGTAATCCAAAGCCAAAGATGTATCGCGCTCGGTCCTTCCCCCTCCAAGGGGGTTATACTGGACTCTGAAAACGCGCTTTCCGGGGGCAACTGTGTTGTTAAAGAACACCAGGTTGTGAACGAATCTGATGTCCTGGTTGATAGCCTCTTGGGCGTCCAGGTTGGCTGCTGCTACAGCACTATTCCATGTGAGTGAAGTTGTACTCGCGAGCTGGTCGTCGACGTAGAACTCAAGGAGAACGTCTGTTACGCTGTTGGGGTAAAATAATGTCAAACGAGTAGACCACTGAGACCTGGTAATGCTTTCATACCTCCCTGCTGGTACACCTTCCAAATCCCTTTTGAATACGATGAACGATGCTGCAATCCTCGAACCTACGAAGTTGGATAAGAGACGACTCGCGGCTGCGCGGTGGGATGGTGGACGGACCTTCAAACTCCAAGGTAGCATTGGATGTGCGGCCGCCCTTGTAGAGAATTATAGTCAGATGGGTCAGGAGACTGGCGTGTGCAGTATTGACGCACCCCTCGGGCGGTATGCCAGGTCCCTGAAAAGGTATAAGCCAAGGTGCTCCAGACCGACCGTCAGAAACAGTCTTCAGAGGATCTCACCATCGAAGGCTACATCTGTTATCTGCTGCCTGTAGGATTCAAGGCCAGCGCAGTGTTCTCGACAAAGGAAATTTGATGTCCAGTTCAAGGAAGGGACCTCTGCCTCGTACCGAATTTGAGGGTCGCCATTGTCGATTCGGATCGCCATTGGCAGAGAAAGTTAAAAAGTCGCCCAGCGACGAGGAAGGAAGGCAAAAGAGAGCCAGCCGAGCCTCACAGGGCAGGCGGTATATGTAGTAGCCTGTATGGCCATTACATAGATCGTAGGCAAGGTGACCTTGGCTAGCGGTGAATGATGATCTTTGACGGTCAGAGATGATCAGGACCAATCCACTTCTCACGCCTATTTATAACTCGATCCCTCACCTTCACTAACATGTCAGAGCAAGAGATCGCAGAAGAAATCCGCATCGCCTTCCCGGGCACTGAAGAGATCATCGTCCAGTATCTTGCGGGCTACCTCATTGATGATGCAGGAGAAGACGAGGACGTCCTTCAGATTGGCCGCGAAATCCTCCACTCAGTGGCGGGAGACGAGAAGCGTCAGCAGCTAGATGCTCTCATGCAAAAACTGGAAAGCATGCTCGAAGACCAGCTCAAAGTGCGACAAAAAAGCAGGAACCAGCCCAAGCTGCAGAAACTGGATAAAGTTATGGATATGAGCAAGACTGCTCTTTCCAAGACGTTAGTTCTAAACGACGCTGTTGATCTCGAGAGTATTAACAAGGGGAAGTAAGTACAAGTCAACCTCAAAGGATGGTGCAGATTCTTACCACGACACAGGGCATCTCGGGTCGATGTTAAGAAGCTCGAAAAGCAAGAAGCCAAGCTGAGGGTATGGGATTCGCTCTTTTGCTTTGTTTTCGCCACATCTGAACCGCGATGACTACAGGCCAAGATCGAAAAACGCGCAAGGAGAGATTTGTACGAAGGTTCAAAGCTCCTCGATGCGCACAAGAAACAGGTAGCGCACAGCTCCTGTCGCTTTGTCGGCCTTTACTGACCCCAAACTCGACAGCAAACGTACGAGGAGATGTTCATGAAGGCAAGTAGGATCCTTACCTTGTAATGAAAGCTTCTCCCTAATGTCCAATAATAGATCAATCCTCTGGAAGCGGCCGCCAATGCGAAAAACAAGAGCAAGGACATCCACCTCCCTTCTATCGATGTCAGTTTCGGTTCCAACCGAATCCTGTACGACTGTCACTTCGTCCGCTAAAGACTCTGTCTAACGACTATCCAAAGGTCTGGTGCAAGTCTTACCCTGGCTCACGGACGGCGATATGGTCTCATTGGTCGCAACGGTACGTGGTTCCTGGCATGACTATTGGAGTATTCAGCTCACGGATTATGTTTCAGGTATTGGTAAATCTACCTTGCTCCGCCACATCGCCATGCGTGAGGTTCCTATCCCCCCGCATATTACCATCCTATTCGTGGAACAAGAAGTTAGTGACGTCCCTCCTCATGCCCTTGTCACAAGCTGAGCCAGCTTGCCTCGCAGATCGTTGGCGACGACACCAAAGCCATCGACTCAGTTCTCAAGGCCGACGTATGGAGAGACCATTTGTTGAAGGAGCAAGCATCCCTGGATACGCAACTCGCTGAGCTGGAATCCGAGAATGATGAGAAACGCTTTGACGATGCCCGTGAAGAGCTCTCTTCACGCCTTGCAGAGGTCCACGCCCAACTCGCAGAAATGGACGCCGCCAGTGGTCCAGCACGCGCAGCGGCCTTACTGGCAGGTGCGTTTTCTTTGTTTCTATGTTTTCCGCAGCGGAAGTCCCATTCTGGCATCTTCTTTACAGGCCTTGGATTCGATGAAGCAGATCAACAGCGGCCGACGAAATCTTTCAGTGGTGGATGGAGGTATGTACAACGACCTTGGTATGCAGAGTGCTCGATTTGACACGACAATCAGAATGCGTCTTGCCTTGGCCCGTGCCCTTTTCGTCAAGGCGAGTCTAACGGTTATTCGTTTCTGCAGCTGATCCTGACACCCTTCTCAAGCCAGCACTTCTGTTGCTCGACGAGCCTTCCAATCACAGTGCGTCTGTTTCCTCAGTGAAGCTTAGCCACAAGCCTTACTGGGAGGTTTATAGTCGATTTGAATGCCTTGGCATGGCTTGAAGATTATCTACAAACGTGGCCAGGAACAATTCTCGTCGTGTATGTCTGTCCTGTGTCGCACGTTGTCTGGCATTGGTACTGACTTGTCGGCGTTCAAAGATCTCACGACAGAGCTTTCCTGTACGCTGCGCAACCATCTGCCATCCCATCGTTTTGGCTAACCATTTACCAGGGATGCAGTTGCCACCGACATCGTTCACCAGCACTCTGGCCGCCTAGATTATTACAAAGGGTAAGGCAGCGTATTATGGTGACAGTTCCGCAGTGTCTGAATTGAAATTATAGAAACTTTACTCAATTCTACTCGACCAAGTCCGAGCGTGACCGCAACTTGCGAAAGGAGTACGAGGCGCAGTTGGATTATCGTAAACATCTACAGGCCTTCATCGATCGCTGGCGATATAATGCCAATCGCGGTGAGCACTTACAACCGTTTTTTAAAACTTCGACTGCGATTATTCATGTATCCTCCAGCGGCCCAGGCGCAGATGAAGATCAAAATTTTAGAGAAGTTGCCTGACTTGCAGCCACCAGAAGAGGAAGAGTCGGAGACATTCAAGTGAGCGCTCTTTTTTCGTCCACAAGTGTGGGTTTAAGAACTGTGGTCCAGATTCCCTGAAACCGACAAGCTTTCACCCCCTCTGCTGCAAATGTCAGAGGTGACGTTTGGGTATACGCCAGACAAACTGATTCTCAAGAACGTTTACTTTGACGTTGGCCTCGACTCAAGAGTGGCTATCGTCGGTGCGAACGGTGCTGGTAAATCGACACTGTGCGGGGTATTTTATGCTATTCTTCACGCGTGTGTGCTAATATGCCCACAGAGTTAAGATCCTAACTGGCGAGGTTCAACCATTATCGGGTCATGTCACTCGTAACGGACGCCTCCGGGTGTAGGTTTTGTTCCTGTATTTCCACCGGCCCTAATGCTGACTTTTCCCTGAAGGGGTTACTTTGCACAACACCATGTCGACACCCTCGACCCCACCATGTCGCCTGTTCAATTCTTAGCCTCCAAGTTCCCTGGAAGGACGGAACAAGAATACAGGAGCCACTTGGGTAACTTCCAAATCAGTGGAATGACAGGGTATGTTGTCAGATGGTTCCCTTGCGTTCACTATCTAATTCAGCTCTCAGTTTGCAACCAATAGCAACCCTTTCTGGAGGTCAAAAGTCGCGTGTTGCCTTCGCACTCCTTTCCCTTCAACGCCCCCATGTCCTCTTGCTTGACGAAGTAGGCCCAGCCAGGTTCCTCTCGTGACTCCCTGAGCTGACTCTCCGCGTTAGCCTACCAACCACCTCGACATCGAAGGTTTGGACGCGTTGATGAAAGCACTTCAAGCTTGGAACGGCGGCGTTATCTTGATCTCTCACGACGAGAGGTTCATTACATCTGTTGCTAAAGAGGTAAGGTCGTAAGTACATTGAAAGGTCAATCTACTTACAGCAATTATAGCTGTGGGTCTGCGGAGACGGAACTGTGACCAAATTTAAGGGAGACGTGCAGGCATACAAGGTTAGTATCCCATCTCGCAGTGGTTCAGGCCTGTGGCTCACCAATCCCTTCTAGAAACTCATTGTCAGCAATGTCAAGAGCAAGCCTTAATATTGCATATTGTTACTTACCTACAATGTTATCTACGATTTACTAGAGTACAAGCTTGAGCAATTTATCTTTCAGTCGCTCCGGGTATTGCACCCGATGGTATGCTAAGCGATGCCAAGATCAGAACGCGTTTAACTGTTCACGTGGGATCCTTTCGAGAATTGCAACGTTACGCAGACCAGACGCGTTCTGCATACACCCTGCTTAGAGTTGAACGACTTCAACAATGGACTCCGAAAGCGACGATTACAATCTCAACAACGTTTCTGGTTCAGAATCTGACGATTATGTCCCAGTGAAGAAGGTATGTTGAGTTTGGGCCTCGAGGCTCGCTAGAACTAATACATCGTGTTCCAGACGGCCACGAAGGCAACAAAGGCGAAGGCAGCCCCGAAACCCAAGTCAACAGCCAATGCCTCGAAAGGCAAGGCGCCAGCGAAGAAGAAGGCTGCTGCCAAACCAGCAGACAGCGACGAGGACGAGGATAGTGGCATGGACACGGATGAACCGACGTCTACCGCAAGGCGGCAGGAAGAACCGGACGAGCCTGTTGGGCAGAATAAGAAGAAATCGACGTCGGAAATGTACCAGAAGGCATGCTCATCATCATTGTACTCATTGGCTCACCAGCTAAATTTACCTCCATTAGCTCACGCAACTCGAACATATCCTCAAGCGACCTGATTCGTACATTGGAAGCATTGAGACCATAACCACGCCAATGTGGACGTACGACTCAGAGACCAAGCGGATGGTCCACCGGGAAGTGAAATATGTCCCCGGCTTCTTCAAGATTGTGGATGAAATTCTCGTGAACGCTGCCGACAACAAGGTTCAGGACTTCTCATTGACATATCCCTTCTCTCTTGATTGACGCGTTTTTAGATCAATGACCCGTCCATGGACACGCTAAAGGTCACTATCGACGTAGAGGAAGGCACAATCTCGGTCTACAACAATGGTCGCGGTATCCCGATTGAAATTCACTCCAAGGAAAAGATGTACATCCCAGAGATGATCTTCGGTCACCTTCTCACATCCACCAACTACGACGACGACGAGAAGAAATTGACTGGAGGCCGTAACGGCTATGGTGCCAAGCTCGCCAACATCTACTCACTGGAATTCACGGTCGAGACCGCCGACAAGAACACCTCCCAGAAGTACAAGCAGACATGGACGGATAACATGTCGAAGTGCGGAAAAGCGAAAATCACCAAGAACACTCGAGGGGAAGAATACACGCGCATCACATTCCGCCCAGATTTGAAACGCTTTGGCATGAATTCCATTGACGAAGACACGGTCAGCCTGCTGAAACGACGCGTTTTCGACATGGCGGGCACGGTCAAAGACGTGAAGGTTTTCCTGAACGACGAGCGCCTGAAGATCAAGAACTTCAAGCAATACGTCGAGATGTACGTCAGCTCTGTTCAGGAAGCTGCCGCCGAGAAGTCGGGAGGAGCTGCCCAGCCGAAGCAAACCGTGATCCACGAACAAATATCCGACCGCTGGGAGATCGCATATACCCTTTCCACGGAGGGCACCTTCCAACATGTCTCCTTCGCCAATTCCATTGCCACAAGCAAGGGCGGTACGCACGTCAACTACATCGCGGACCAAATCTCCAAAGCACTCGTTACCTCGATTTCGAAGAAGAACAAGGGGGCAACAGTCAAGCCTGCCCAGATTAGGAACCACATGTGGCTATTCGTCAAATCGCTCATCGTGAACCCCACCTTCGACAGTCAAACAAAGGAGCTCCTGACACTGCCCTCGTCGAAATTTGGGTCGAAACCCACCATCTCTGACGAGTTCATTAAGAAGGGTGTGTAATGTCGATTTTTGGAAGTTAGCGCAGCACTGAGTCCGGTTTTAGTCGCCAAATCGGGCATCGTCGACAATGTGCTGAATTGGGCCAAGTTCAAGGCCGACCAGCAGATGAAGCGGGCAGATGGAACCAAGCGTAGCAGGTGGGTTTCCCCCACATAAAGTATGGGGTCAGGCTAAATCGTGTCGCAGGCTACTGGGTCTCGCCAAGCTTTCCGATGCGAACAATGCTGGTACACGCCACGCGCAGGACTGCACCTTGATTCTCACAGAAGGTGACTCTGCCAAAGCGTTGGCTATCGCTGGTCTCGGAGTGGTTGGTCGAGACAATTTCGGTGTCTTCCCACTCCGCGGAAAGCTTCTCAATGTACGAGAAGCCCGTCATGACCAAATCATGAAGAACGAAGAAATCCAGAATATCAAGAAGATTATGGGTCTGCAACACAACAAAGACTATACCAACACGTCCAGTCTCCGGTATGGGAGATTGATGATTATGACTGATCAGGTATTTGTTATATTCCTTCGAAGTGTCATGCATACGCTGACCATCTCCCAGGATCACGACGGTTCTCATATCAAAGGCCTTATTATCAACTTCTTGGACCACTTCTATCCCTCTTTATTGAAAATCCCTGACTTCCTCGTCGAGTTCGTCACACCCATTGTCAGGGTATGTTTTTCGTTCATCCTCATTCTGCCTCCCGTTCACCCTTCTCCCCAGGTCAAGAAAGGCAACAAAGTCAAAGATTTCTTCACCATCCCCGAATATGAGCAGTGGTTGGAAGAGACACCAGATGCCAGAAAGTGGGAATCCAAGTACTACAAGGTTTGAGTTCTTCATTGCGACCATGCTAGGCGAACCTCACTGAGCATCATCAATAGGGTTTGGGAACCAGCGAGGATAAGGACGCGCGAGAGTACTTCAGCAAAATGGAGAAACACATGATTCCATTCGCACCAACGCAAGAAGGGGACCGTGAACTCATCGACCTGGCGTTCAGCAAGAAGAAGGCTGACGAGCGTAAGGAGTGGCTGCGCCAATTCAAGGTAATTGGCTGGAAGACACCCCCATGAACCTTGACTGACCTTTTCGCAGCCTGGAACCTTCCTCGACCACCGCCTGGAGGAAATCCCTTACTCCGAGTTTATCAACAAGGAGTTGATTCTTTTCTCGATGGCGGACAACGTTCGTTCAATTCCGTCCATTGCTGATGGCCTGAAACCTGGTCAACGTAAAGTCATTTGGGGTTGCTTCAAGCGTAAGCTGAAGAAGGAAATCAAGGTAGAGATCTTCGCTCTTAGTTCCAACTGAATACCACTTACGTTGACTACAGGTCGCTCAACTTGTTGGTTACATCTCCGAACACGCTGCCTACCACCACGGTGAAGCCAGTTTGGCAGCTACCATCATCAACCTTGCGCAGGACTATGTGGGCTCAAACAACTTGGCCCTTCTCTCACCCAACGGTCAGTACGGTACGCGTGAGATTGGTGGAAAAGATCATGCTGCCCCACGTTACATCTTCACGAACGCCAAAAGCATTACACGTGCCATCTACCATCCCTTCGACGACCCACTTCTCAACTACCTTAAGGACGATGACGTCCCCATCGAGCCAGAGTGGTACATGCCGACCGTGCCCATGGTGTTGATTAACGGTGCAGAAGGTATCGGAACAGGTGGGAAATGTTGTTTCATTCTTCGCCCGTCGAATTCTGACACAGGTTCCAGGCTGGAGTACCAACATCCCTCCCTACAACCCTGTTGACATCGTGGCCAATCTCCGTCGAATGATGAAAGAGGAGGAGCCGGAACCAATGACCCCTTGGTGGCGAGGGTTCAAAGGCGAGGTCAGGCCTACCGGTAAGGGCAAATACGACGTCGTTGGTGTTGCGACCAAGATCAACGACACCACGGTGGAGATTTCCGAACTGCCGATCCACAAGTGGACCCGTACATTCAAAGACGAGTTGGAGGCCATGATCACCGGGGAGAAGAAGGACAAGGATAAGGACAAGGATAAGGATGAGGATGGGAAGAAGGACGTGGTCAAGAATGCTGGCATGGTTAAGGTCAGTGGGTTTGGTTACTCGGTTTCTGATAATGCTAACTTGATCGGGTAGGACTTCAAAGAACACCACGACAACTTGAATGTCCTCTTCGAAGTGACGATGAACCCTAAGGACCTCGAGAAGGCGGAGGAGAAGGGCCTTGTCGAGTTCTTCGGTTTGACCACCAAAGTCAGCACCACGAACATGATCCTTTTCGACTTCGAGGGCAAGATCAAAAAGTACGAAACGCCCGAGGAGATCTTGAAAGACTTCTACCCTATGCGACTGGCCTATTACCAGAAGCGCAAGGTAAGATTTACTTCAGCTCCACTATCGTCATTTTCTAACTGAGGACTGTAGGACTACCAAGCCCTCGAACTCTCAACAGCCTACGATAAACTGAACAACCAAATTCGATTCATCGAGATGATCATCAAGAAGGAGCTTGTTGTGTCGAACCGAAAGAAAGCCGACATCGTCGCCGAGCTCCGTAAGCTCAATTTCCGCCCCTTCCCCAAAGTGGCCAAAACCAAGACCGCTAAGCCGGATGAGGAAGAAGAAGAGTCCGAAGACGAGGAGGAGGAAAGTGGCTCTGAAGCCGTGACGGACTTTGACTATTTGCTGGGAATGGCTATCTACAGTTTGACGAGGGAAAGGATCGAGAAGCTGAAGCAACAGGCGCACGAAAAGGAACAGGAGCTTTTGGCGTTGCTCGAGAAATCTCCTACAGATCTGTGGAACACTGATTTGGACAAGTTCCTGGAGGAGTGGGAGAAGGACTGCATGATCTTCGAGCAGAAGAAGGGCGAGGGCGGTGCTGTTAATGGCAAGAAGCGCAAGCAAAGGACGCTCAAGACTCGCAAGTCCATCGGTATGGGACGAAGGGGCAAAGATTCCGACGACGACGACTTTGTGCCTATCAAACCAAACGCTGCGGCGAAGCGGAAACCGGCTGAACCCAAGAGACCAGTTGCTTCGTCATCGACCAAGAAGGAGGACGACGATATGGCCATTGACAAGAAGCCACCAGCGCCTAGGCGGGCGGCAGCGAGGAAGCCTGTGCTGGATGACTCTGATAGCGACGATGATGACGACGGCGGAGAATATGGAGAGCTGGTTGTCAAACCCGCGCCCAAGGGCAAAGGGAAGGCGCCGGACAAGGATGTTGTAGAGATCGATGACGACAGCGATCCTCCCAAGCCACCTCCGCGTAAACCAGCGTCCAAGCAGGCGGCGGCAGGGGCCAAGCGGGCCGCGACCAAGAAGCTCAGTATGGACGACGACGACGACGACGACGACAGCGATCCCGCGCCATCGACCAAGAGGAAACCTACTTCCAAGAAGGCGAAAGTCGAGGACTCTGACTCTGATATTGAGGTTGTGCCAACGAAAGGGAAAGGTAAGGCAGTGGGCAAACGGAAGAGGTAAGTGAAGATGAATCATGTTTCATGTCTGATGCTAATGACGATGCAAAAAGCCCTGCCATCTCGGACAGCGATGACGATGACGACAAGAAGCCTGCAGTGAAGAAGAAGATTGACGACTTTTTCGGGAAGCCCAAAGCGACTGCGAAAATCTCGAAGAATATGAAGCCAGCTTCTCCGCCGAAGAAGAAAGTGCTGAAGAAGTTGAGCGAGTCAAGCGATGAGGAAGACTATGTGCCTGCACCGCGTGCGGCGAGCAGCCGGCCAGCTCGTGCGGCGCGGGGAGCAACGAAGCAATATGTGGAGATTGTGTCGGATGAAGAGGGCGAGGGAGATTCATCGATGTTCGTTGATGATGAGTGAGAAGGTCTAGACCGTAGATGACGTCAGTTTTTGTATTTACATAATTGAATTGGAATCGAGTTAGGTTTACTACTCCGACCCAAATTCCGCCAGAACCCAAAGCTCTTCGACATTCGAGCGACGTCGGCGCTTATCTCTACGTCCAATTTCTATGGACTTTTTCGGAACTCACCACCCAAACTTGAACCCTTCACTCGACCATGTCGAAGCCTTTGAACGAGCCGTTAACAAGCGCTTTCAGGTACCAATCATGATCCAGCCTGCATTCATCCTCGCTCCGCCCTCCACTTCCTCACCCAACCCACCCTCAACAACGCCCTCCTCGTCGTCCGCCACATTCCCTTCAATATCTCCAGCGGCACTCAGCCCCCTCCTCGACGACCCCGACACTCTAGTCCTCGACATTCGACCCCATGCTGCCTACTCGTCAGCCAGAGTGTCGTCGGCCGTCTCCCTCTCAGTCCCCTCGACCCTTCTCAAACGACCACTTTTCTCTCTCCAGCGCCTGGCAGCAATGCTGCCGTCCAAGCATGCTCGGTCAAGGTTCTCTGCATGGCGCTCAGCGAAACGGATCGTCGTGTACGACGCCGATGCCCACTCCATCCCCGAAAACTCCAACATCCTTGGCCTTCTCCGCAAGTTCAAGAATGACGGCTTCGAGGGGGAATTGTTTTGGCTCAAGGGCGGGTTTCAGTCAGTTTGGCGAGAAAAGAGGGATATGATCGATACCAGGCCACCGACGCCGGACAACGAGTTGGAGGATGAAGAGGACGATGGCACCGCTGCCTCCACACCTTCCAGCAACAACTCTTCCGTGCTCCGAACTCGACATCTTCCCCTACAAGCATTTTCCTTGTCATCGACGGCCATGCACAACGCACCCCTCAACCCAGCAACGTCCAAGCGTGCGCCATCGCTGGTAGATAAACCCGCCTCGCAAATACAATCGACATCGGTCTCGTCGCACGCAGCCAATCCGTTCTTTGACACCATCCGTCAGAATGTGGAGCTTTCCCACGGAATCACTGAGCGAATACCTCTTCGATTACCTCGCCGTGTGCGCCGGAGAATACATGAACTCCCAGTTCCATGGCTCAAACGAATCGCCATGCGTGCTGGCAAGTGCCCCTCCCACCACCACCCCGCATGTTTCGATTCATCATCAGAAGATTCCCCCGATGACGATACCGGTCCAGATCAGTCAGTCGTGGACCACGGCGCAGAGACCCTTGCCATGCAGTTCTATCGCATCGAATTGGCAGAGCAGCGTCGTTTGATGGGTATCATGGAACATCATTCCAAGGAGAGTGGTTTCGGTGACCAGCAGGCAGGCCAGTCAAAGAACCTCTTTCCCTTCAGCATAACTGCAGGCGTAGAGAAAGGTGCAAAGAATAGGTTAGCTTGTCCTCCTTATCCTATTTCATTCACTTTACCAATGCAATCATCAGGTACCGTCACATATGGCCATTCGAGCATGCCCGAGTGAAGCTGAGCCATAAGGATGACGACTATGTCAACGCGTCGTACGTGCAGCCCCTCGGGACGAATAAACGCTATATTGCTACACAAGGTCCTCTCCCAGCAACTTTTGTTGATTTCTGGACGTGAGTATCCTGAAATGTCCGTTCTGGATCCCGCTTTCTGACTAGTTTCCAGATTATGTTGGGAACAAAACGTGCATGTAATTGTCATGCTCACTCGAGAGGTAGAAGGTGCCATGGTGAAATGCGGTGCGTACTGGGCGGACGACGCATTCGGACCGTTGCGATTAAAGTTGGTGTCGACGACCGGTGTGGTCGACTCGTCAGAAGAGCCCGCTGGGTTCTTCTCGGCCTATTCCTCGTTTGATGCACGTTCTACCCGCCCTCGCTACCCTCACGGCAATCCCTCGTCCAGCACTACACACAAACACCATCACTATCACAAGTCGGAAACGATCAAGCGCGTATTTGAACTTTCTCATACCGGCTATCCCGACGCCAAACCTCGCAAAATCATTCACCTACAATACTTGGAATGGCCGGACATGAATGTTCCCGACGATCCTCGAGGTCTTCTCGGTTTGATCAAGCAGGTCGAAGAAGCGGTCATCGAAACCGGCAACAGAGACGAACCTACGCCGTCCGGATATCCCGATTCACCCCCCAATGTCTTGGACTTGGACGAAAAGACGGGCATTGCCAAGCACGCAATGGGGGCGAATAGCCCCGTTCTCCTCCATTGCAGCGCAGGTGTTGGTCGCACTGGAGGCTTCATCGCTGTCGATGCCATCCTGGACTCTATCAAACGAGATGTTCACAAGAAGGCGCAGGCCAATGATGAAGCCATGGTCGTTGATTCCAAACCCCCCATTGAAGTGAAAGCGGCTTCAACTGCCCCGCAAGCTCCGCCAGAAACGCAAACCGAACCAATGCTTTTGGCAGGCGCTGTCGCCGATCATCCCTCTAACGACGTGGACATGCACGTGGACGATAATAGCGATGCACCTCCACCAACCTCAGAGGTTTCGGAGATTGACGTCGTTTCCATGGTTCTTTCCAGAGAGACTTCTGCTCCCTCTTTCCAGAGCACTATACGCTGGGCCCAGACCGTCGATGCGGAAATGGAACAGGCTCGAAAGTCTCCCCGCCCACCCCAGCCATCTCCAATGAGGGTGGACAAGACCTCCATCCGAGGAGGACGTGTCTCTTCCGCAAAACTCCCACCTTTTACCACTACCATTCAGGGCAGTAGCTCCAGCTCTGATGATTCCTCCACAGGAGACCAAACCCCAAGCACGAACGGTAGTGGTAACGAGGTGAATCCTTCTTCCCTGGAAACATCTGTGTCTCCCGAAACGCCTCCAACTGACCGGATCTCCCCTCCTTGCAAGCCAATGGCTCGAGGATCATTACCGGATGACCCACGAGAAAGAACGAAATCGGTCCCTGCGCGACCAAGCTCCGCAACGAAATCGATGACGTCGTCTTTCATGAAGAGGGCAGGAGCGCCTCCGAGTCTATCCCTCAATCTATCTTCCCATCCTAATCCCTCTGCCCCGGTTCTTTCGACATCCGGTTTGGATGCGCGAATGTCCTTCTCCAACAAGGGTTGCAGCGATGACGACAAGTATACATTTTCCGTGGTGGAGTCTCCTAACACGAAGACCTTCGATTACAAGGACCCTCGGCCGCTCCATGGGACTTCCACACCGCCTTCCCTCGACAACTACGAGGACCCGATACTTGAAGTCATCCAGGACATGCGGGAACAGAGGATGAGCCTGTGCCAGAGCCTTCGGCAATATGTCTTCGTTCACATGGCAATAATCGAAGGCGCTTTGATGATCTTGGACGACGAGAAGGAGCAGGCTGAGGCAGCGGCTGGCAGGCAAGCAGGGATTGGCGAGAAGGGCGCGAGCTTCATGGCCAGTTCCAATGCGAATTCTACGAGACAGAAGCGACGAGATGGCAAAAAGACTAGACCAGTACCACCCAAGACAGCACCAGGTCGATTGGCATCGCAGCGGCGGTCGCACTCCCGCTCTTCATCTGTGTCTTCTTCCCATCTTCCGTCGAGGTCGCCTTCGCAGAGGAGATGTGCAGGGGCTGATTCCTCATCCTCAAGACCGCCTTCGCCGTCGCCCGCGCGAGGGTCGGTCAACCTTCGGACCCCTCTCAAGGTACAGACGGCATTGTCAACAGATTCTGGTGGAGAGGGTGTTTCTGGCGCCTCGACAGGAGGGAAAAGGAGTGCGAGTCCGACCGAGTTATTGAAGGAAGGCATGCAAGGAGAGGTGCTATTGTCGAAGCGCCCCAGCATCAAGAGGAAACCCTCGGATACTCATCCGCCGGCTGCGGAGCATCGCAACCCTGAGGATAACACATCTGTACCCATGCCAGCACTCATCTCTCACCATCGATGACGAGGCATCGAAACTACTCTTGCCTCCTTGAAAGGCGGACGATGTTCTGTCGTGAATGTCGTTCTTGTTCTCTTTAATACTATTATCGGGATTGCAGGAACATTCTAGGATTTGTTGGACGAACGTTATAATATTCATTTTGTTTCCACGTATCAGTTTGGGTTCATACTACATATATATTCCACGCTTTATCGCATCTTTTTTTCTCGTGGTTTTGGCTGTCTCGTTTCGTATTGGCATCACCGCTTCCCTGTACTTTTATTCTCCCTGACTGGCATTTACGTGTCTTGTACTTAATACATTTCTTATCATCACCCCTTGTCTCTCGCTAAAGCCAGTTAACCAACCCAGCCAGAGGGAGGTGCTGTGGAACTTGCCGATGAAAGTTGTGTCGCTGCACAAGGGTTATCTGGGCGCTTATGTGCTTTCGTTCGCGCTGTCATACGCCCCAGGCACCGTACACTGCTGTGCAGCTGGGCTATCAGATCTTTCATATTATTATTGCCTTCTTGGGTGCTGTCCCCTGCGGTGTGGCACCAATAATAGGCGGCTCGTTTGTTATTTCTCTGGCGCTCCGCTTGCTGGGCGTTTCTCTACCCATGACATCGTATCGATTGCATCTCTTAGTATGAACCAGGAAGCTCTAAACGACAACCCTCTACCACCTGGTTGGACTGAACACTGGGACCACAAGTGAGTGGATGCAAAAAGGCTGTCTGCAACCGAATGCATGCTACTAATCCGAGTGCATAGACGAAACCTCTCGTGAGATCCAGATTACCGTGCACGATTATCTGCCACCTTAACTGTTTCTCAGATACTATGTTAATCTCCAGACAAGCCCACCAACTGTAACCTTTGTCCGCCCTGGAAGCATTGCCCACTCACCAACTTTATCGCCGGCGCAATCGCGATCTCTGCCCTCGACATCGACGTCGCCTGCTTCGAGCTCCATGTCTGCGGGCCAAGGAATCAGATCGAGGGGTTCCAGTGTTGTAGGATCGCCACCCACCAGCTATCCCTCGAGTTTATCAAGTTCGCCCATCCAGATTCCTCCCACCAACGAGTCTCCGTTCAGCCAAGCCCTGCAGGCGCAGGGGCATCCACAGTCACGGACGTACGCACAACTGCTGTACGCGAGCGCATTTGCATCTGCGACGCCGAAGCCTCAATCCGAAAGCCTATCACCTTCACCTGTTCAAACTGCGCTACAACCATCGTGGGCGAATCCCAATACAACGCGCGGTCCCTCTCCACGTTCAGATTCGCGGTCCTCTGGGAGGCCATTACCTCAGGTCCCCATCCCTCCTACAAGTTCTGTCTCGACCTCTCCGGAAAACCCTTCTGGGTCAGGGCAACCGGAAGTCGGTCTCTTTCCGCATGGCGGGCCAAAATTAATAAGCGCCCATACTACGACCACTCCATCCGCCTCGACGGCCGCGTCTCATACTACAGCACCCCAGACCGTTGAAGACGTATTACCTCGGGCAAGGAGTGTATCTAACGCGGACAACCAATGGCAACTTCCCTTCCTTCCACCAGCAGGGAGAGCTCGAGGAACGCCCAACAGTCAACGAAAGACTCCGCCTTCACCCACTTATAATCAAGCATCTCAAGTTGTCCGTCCGCCCTCACAACATAATCAAGCGAACCTCCTGCATCAGTTGTCGCTTCTTCAATCGCAACCAGTGTCCCTCTCTCAAACCGCGCTCTCCTACGATCGTGATTCTTTCTATGTCCCGGACCAGGCGTCTTCTCCGACCGCGTCTTCCCCGGATCCAGAGTCCTCAACATCCCCCCATGTCTCATCAGCGGTGTCCAATCAAGCGAGTCGTGAAGGCGAGTCCGTGCCGTTACTCCCTCAGACCACACCCGTCGGCCAGAGTGCCCCCTCCGCCTCTCCGTCGATTTCACCCAAGCCTCCCCGTAAAGTACTCAAGAAAAAGGTAATTGGTTTGTCTCTTGTATTTGCATCATATTCGCTGATGGTATTCTGCCACCAGCCTCAAGGTGCACCCTTCGCCCCTCCCCAAATCTACAACATTGCGCAGGCTATAACTGCCTCCCAGCCCCAGCCGCAACCCGAAGACGAATTCGATCCCGCCACATTATATGCCGAATCGTCCATACAACAATGGGCGACCCCCGCCCAGAACCTGCAACTAACCCTTGTCCCAACGAATCAATCTCCCTCTCTGGATCATGGTCCGGATTTGGCAACTTCACCACCAGCTTTGGACGAGCCTCCTAGCTACGCAGCGAGCGTTTCTCCGGGAGAGTCGTTTCAATCATCCAATTCGGGGTCTCCACTCGTCGTAATGAACCCCACTCAGGAATACGACATTCGACAGCCGTCAGGCCCGTCACCGCGGCCAATGGACAAAACTCGAGATACCATGAATCAGAATGCACCCAAGGTCAACACGAATTTACCCCCAGTTGCCAGAGCGCAGGGTCCGAATAAGCTCAGGAAGGCGAATGCGGCGACTGCCAAAATATCTGGCGTCGATTCTGCGATAGCTGAGCGTCGAGCTGAAGGATCTGAAACTACCACTCGAGTCAGTGGGGCCGACTCAGTAACCCTGAAAGGAACGGCAGGGACCGCAAATCCACCTCCCTCGGAAAGGCAGGTTCAGGCACTACTGCATAAACCCTCCGGTTCCAATGAGCGGCGGTCAGAACATCTTCCTGCTCAGCCCCATCCATACGCAGACTCGAGTCACCCTTTATCATGGGGTAACAGAGGCGGTCCCGCTACCTTACCAATCCGATCCCCCATGTCCCCACCCCCTAGCTACGACTCACAAACCAATGGGACCACTCAAATCTATGTCAACTCCTTGGAGCAATTCGCCGCCATGACCCTCAATACCCGCCCGCCACGGCAATGACACCACTTCGCATCGATAGAACGCATTTACCCATGTTCTGTATCATACTACATACAACCCTATTAACTAGTTAGTGAGCCAAGTGAATGAAATTCCAGATGAGAATCGAATGATTATTGCGAATGGTAATACAAAGGCATCTATGAATAGCGATAAAAAGAGTCCGTGCGGTATGGATACATCGTCGGTAATCGTCGGTAGATGAGTAAATCGAATAAGCAATAGCGAGTGGGGGTAAAGATTGTGGTAAGATAGCAAAAGAATGGGGGAGAACAGTGGGGACAAAGTCCGTGGGTTTGAGGATCATGAACCGACGGTAAACGACTCTCCACAACCGCAGGCATCCTTGATATTGGGGTTCTTGAATACGAATTTGGAACTAGAGAACGAAGGGGAGGACAAAGATCAGTTCAAATGCGGGGTAGGGCAAATTTCGTACGATGGCGTACCTTAGCGCGTCTTCCTTCCAGTCCATCTCACTCCCGATGATAGAAAACAACGCTTTACTATCAATTAGAACGCGTACTCCATCTTGTTCGACGACTTCGTCGAACTTTCCAGGTTTGTCCACATATTCTAGGTGGTAGGACATGCCGGCACATCCTTTATTCCGGACGCCTATGCGAATGAGTTGGGGTGTTGGGCTGTTAAGTAGCATTCGTATCCGCTCGACAGCGCCCGGGGTCTGTTAACAGCATTGTATCCTCTTAGATGACTGAATGACTCATAGACAATGGAGGAACGTACCATAGTAAGCGCGGCTTTCGTGGAACGTAATTTGGGTCTTGGTTTCGTAGCTTTCGGTGCAGCCGGTGGACGACCAGCAGTCTGTGGTGCACTTGAGTCGTGTGATACTCTTGTTGTTGCATCTATTGGAACGGTGTTTGAGGGCCCCGAGGAACTAGGCGAGTCTGCAAGTGACTGGGGCGCTGGTGCATGAACCGATGTCTGCGAGCGAAGAGCCGACATCATGGCCCTTCGGGTGAAAACGGACGACGAGGAGCATGGTTTCAGTCGACGAGAGCACGATGAAAGTGAGTTTGTCGCTGTCCGCAACGACGATGAGGAAACTCTGGTGATTGCAGAGGACATGGCTGTTGGTGGTCGAGCAGGGCTGGACTCTGCTGTTCAGTCAATCTGGACTCGGACTGATTTCCTTTGTTTGTCCTTGCTTGAGTCACCGGTTAATGCTCCGTGTCGGCCAATCAGAGCCCACCTATTCCGAAGGAAAAACCCTAACCCGGGCTGCACCATTCAACAAGCGCTGGTGGCCTGCGCCAACGAAATGCCCGGTGATCATAGTTCAGTTTTCGACAAGGATACACCTCACGCCGTTATTTAATAACATGTTTATTAAACCGACTAGTTCTATCCAATGGTCTCGTCCCTTATTGCTCTTGCACATAATTACCTGTAGTGTGTTAGATCAGAAACTATGATTTTAATAGCAAGGAGACTCACCAGGGAAGATACCCTCCTGACCATTTAGTCTGCCAGTCCACCAATCTTCCTGGCTCTCGGTCTTCTTAACCAATTCTATACGATCACCAGCGCGGAAGGAAAGATCTCCCTCGGCCTGAAAAAAAAAGCCTTAGCAAACGGCAGGCAACGAGAAGGAACCATAGTGCTCACCTGGGCATCAAAATCGTACAAGGCAGTAACATATACAACCACTGGTTTCGGCTTGGGTTTCAGCGGAGGCGGGGGTGGAGGAGGTCGCTTCGTAGCCGCAACACTAGATGCGGCAGAAGGAGAGCGCGCAAGCGATGGAGTGGGCATTTGGAGGTGTCCAGCCGAGCTGCTTGCAGATGCCGACGCAGGTGTGTAGGGCGGTGGAGGTGCAGCATATTGCGATGACGATCCAGGAGGAGGAGGCGGGGGCTTCTTATAGGCTGCTGCCGACGATCCGGTACGGGACGGCGGAGGCGCGGGGCGCGATGAATAGGACGATGAAGAGCTGGCAACGGTGTTGGCGCGACTGATCCCAGCTCCCCCTCCTTGCGCGCGTTGGGCTTGCACAAGACGGGCTGTGAACGCCAAGCAAAGTCGTTGGTCAGCTATCACAGGGACAGGGAGCAGCTCAACGAAGACACTCACACACTGAGATGATTCGCTTGACGATGTTCAGGCTTTCGATCCTTTCCCATGCATCAGTCCGCTTCGATTCATACGTGTACTGGATTTCTGCGCCAGGGACGTTCGTGATGTCATACTTGCAGTTGTCGGCAAAGCTTTGCATCTTCTCCAACAACAGATAGTAGATGTTGAGTCTGGTCCGGGTCCGTGAATAGGTGCCTCCATAAGATACAGCCATCGTCACTTACTGCATGTAAAAGAAGGAATTGAATAGAGGATCAATAAATGCTGTCGCAAGTTGCATAAACCTCGGCAAATCTTGCTTCAGCGCGGTGTTGATGTACTCGTATTCGTTGGTCGCAATCTCAAAGTCTTGTTCCAGCTGCCTCAATGTTAGTCGATACAAGAACAGTGGATGACCATAATCTCACCTTGAACAAGTTCTTCTCGTCACTAAGAGACTTCTCCTTCTTATCCCTCAGTTTCGTCAGGGAGTTATTGAATCGGTCATAGTCCGTGAGCTAAAGGAATAAGGTCAGCGGGATCCAGAAGGAGGCAAGGGCGGAACAAACCTTATGATCACGCTTGGTGATCGTCTTGCGGATGGTCTTGACGATAGCTTGGAACTCCTTGAGAGGGGCGTGAATCCTGGTTGTGATAAGTTCCAACTCTGGGCTGATCAACTGCTGCATCTCCTCCATAGCATTCTGGTATTGGGTGACATTTCGAATGGTGTGAGTAGCATCGGGGTGTTTTCCGAGGAGATCGAATTCCCCTTGGATGGGCTGGAAAATGACGGCGAAATGGGTTGCAAAACCGGAAGACGAGGTGAACAAAGCTGGTCACACGAATGGTCGAATTCGAGGGTTAAAATCGAAAACGTTGCAGAGTCAAACGGTTGAAAGCGCCAACGTCATAAGGGAAGCAATCCATATCAGTACGGAAGGATAGACGCCAAATGGACACACATGTAACCGCATCTACGAATGCATTGGTGTCCTTGAGCAATTTCTCAGTTCCCTGCTCTATAGCCTGAAACTGTTTATGCCAGTCATCGAATTCAGGGTCGGAGGATTCTGTATTTTGTGATCGAGACCGTCAGGATGGTTCGGAATGGGCGTGAAACACATTTCAGCGTACTCTTTGCCATGCCAATCCGGCTGGTCACCGCGAACGGCGTCCTGCAACGAGAATCAGTGCTGATCCTTCAAGGTTTCGTGCAGCTGCCTACCTCGCCAATGCCTTCCCTATTCCCTTCATCGTGAATGAGGTGGTTGTAGGACAAGAAGGCTTGTGAAGCCCGCAGCGCTTGTCGCCGTCGGATTCTGGATCACACAGCATTCCTTGTCGGCATCTACAGTTCCCACGACCAAGGCCAAGATCGAAAAGTTGGCCTCCTCCCCAGGACACCTTCCTCCACTACAAGGATCAAGATTTTATGAACTGCTGGATGAATATAAAATATTACTGTCAATAATGAGATCCCGGGGTATGCGATTCTCGACCCTATCCGAGTCAAAAGTACACGATGACGTCAGCTTTGGAGGAGCTCCGGCCCCGATAGGCGCAATCGTTACTCATATAAGTAGTTGCTTCTCGACCCTTGCCTTAGTTCAAACCATCCTCAAACAGTGTTAAAATGCACATAAATCAACCTTCAAACCAGATCAAGTACGTATCTCACTCGATCCTTTCTTTACCTCGTGCTGAAGCCTTGGTTTCTAGATTGACCAATGTATCTATTGTCCGCCTCAAAAAGGGCGGTAAACGCTTCGAGGTACGGTACATAGAATACTGCTCATGAATGAGGTGACAAACCCTTGGATCAGATTGCGTGCTACAAGAACAAGGTCCAGGAGTGGAGAACGGGAGTGTACGTTCCTTCCTATTTATGACGATAAAGTTAGATCCTGACCAATGCTCTGCAGGGAAACCGACCTCGACGACGTCCTCCAAATCAGCAATGTCTTTGTCAACGTGTCAAAAGGAGAGGTAGCAAGAAGTCAGGATCTCCAAAAGGCCTTTGGTAAATCAGATGTGCAGGCTATCATCAAGGAGGTGGGTATCACATTGACCCAGTACTTTGAAGAAGAGTAACTAACAACGCTCAAGATTCTCAAGAAAGGCGAACTGCAAGTCGGCGAGAAGGAAAGAGACCACGATCTCTCTTCGGTTCGGAAGGAAATTGCAACCCTCGTCGCAGAGAAGTCCGTTGATCCCGCAACCCAACGTCCATACCCGGTCGGAATTATTGAGAAAGCAATGACAGAGGCTGGGTTTAGTGTCAAACCTGGAAAGACAGCGAAGAGCCAAGTCACCGAATGCATAAAGCTTCTGCAATCCGACTCGAGTCTCCCGATTCAACGAGCGCGAATGAGGATCAAGGTTTCTATGCCACTGGAAGATAGCGAGAAGCTCAAGGAGAGGATCCTGCAATCCGCAGAGACTGTAGAACACGAAGCGAGCGCGGATGAATGGGAGATTGTGAGTATCTCACACCTGTGCCAGGGTATATTACTTATCACCACCACTCCAGACTATCCTCATAGATCCCAGCCAATTCAGAGTGATCAACGAGCTTTTGCAAAAGGAATGCAAAGGCAGAGGACGCCTGGAAACACTTACTTTCGCCGCAACCGCAAGTGGTTAAACAACAGCGCCGAACGAAACGGAATTCGACTTGTAGCCTTACATTGTTTCTCAGGTTCCACTTGTGTAATATAGTACATTGTCAACTTCTATGCTTCACAAGTTGACATCGTTCAAGATAAGCGGTCTCATGGTCTGCGCCCAGTTGTCTTCCCAGTTGGACCACTTCCAATCATCGTCGCGTGTAGATGTTTTGTACTTTCTCGAGCCGTGGACATTCGGCGTTGAAGGGCGTGTTGCCGTACTTGCCAGAGAAAGACTCAGCGCAGCTAGACTTTTGGCTTGGGGGAATGAAGTGAATAGGTCCTGGAGCGGGACAGATGTCAGCGGATACCAAGGGAATTCTGACGAAGAGCACGTCTACCTCGAGTTGCTCTGCCAACTCGGGAGCGCTACGGAATATTAGACCGTTCTTTCCATGTTTAACGAGTTCTGGCAGGCTGAAGAAGGATCATTTACACTGGATTTCTTCAATGATCGTGACGGGCTTACCAGGAGAAACCCAAGGCGCAGACGGGGAGCCCGCATCCAAACATGTCCACCACCTTCATAGGTAGGTCGAGAGCCGAAGAACTAGAATGCAATGAGACTCCCAGGTCCGCCGAGCCTGTGGTAATGAATCTGTTAGTGGTACACACGCCGTTAATCGGGGGATAGAATTTACCAAGTAAAATTGGATAATCCTCCGCCTCTAACCAAAGGCTGATGCACCGCACCCATTGCCAGGACTCTTGAAGGGCGGACACCTCCTTCATATATCTATCCTTCAGTGGCCCTTTTCCTGTGACAATAGCCAGGACTTTTGGTAGCGTTGTTCCTTTAGAGGCCTCCTTGTTTACCTCCCTTGCGCGAAGCTCGTAGATACTCAAAGCTTGAAGCAGGATGCCAAAGTCTTCATCGGGGGTCCAAGACGTGCTGGATACCAGGAGAGCTGGTCTGTCCGGTCGTAGAGACGGTGCCCGGATTTCAGTGTAGTCTCCGAGCGCATTCACGCCTGGCGAAGTCGGGCGAGAAACGATCTGCACTCGCCCCTGGGTAGAAGCCCGATTCGGGGATCTAGAGGTCTGTCGTACACCGATTTCGGTGAATGGAGTGGAGTATGGAGGATCATCCTTTGGGAGGAAACCGCGCAGGGGTTTGTGGAACGCGAGGAGTGGTCGAAGTCTTTGGAAGAGCTATAGGATATCCAGGATGAGGTTAGCCAAGGTATAGGTAAACAAGGTACCTACTTCATGCGTTTCTTGAGGAGAGGAGCGGTGAAAGTGTCGTGGTGGTCGATCGTGCAGTACAACCTTATGCCCCCTGCAAGCATAAATGAGCAGATGGCGAAAGGACCTGTGAAGTAGGCATACCGGAGATCCCATTCCTTTACCAAGTGATCTCGCATGGCGCGGGTAACGAACAAGTGCGCGTAGGCGGATTGGCCAAAGGTGCGTTCGAACCTAATTAGGGAGACGTTGAGTCGGAAGACATCCAAAACTGGGTATGGACTCACCATTCTGATATCCGGACGAAGATGTGGTTTTGGCCGAGTCTGAGAGCCAAGATGCTATATCCGAGATTGTGCCAGTCGATGATGACCTTGCTTCCACGTATTCGGGCAACAAGCTGCACGATAGCGAGGGTGGGTATACTTGGCGGGTTCTGGCACGACGTCTAAGGATATGCGCTGATATGAAAGACCGAGCAAAGTTACCTGGACCAGCAGGAACTCGGGGGGCTTTTCGATATAGACCAAAAGGATGAGTAGGATTGCCGTTAATTGGTGCAAGATCTTAAATGGCGCAGCAACGACGAAGGGAAGTTTCTTTAGTATCCACGGTGGGTCTGGAAGGTGGCGTATCTGAACTCGCGGTAGGCGTTCGAGAGCAGGAATCACGTCCGACCCTGTGAGTTGTTTTAGCTGGACGATGCATGTGGACAGGACAGACACACAGACCTCCGTACCCAACCAGTTCCGTCATGAAGCCATTCTCTGCGAAGCTTTGCGCGTGGTACATCATCCTAGGACTCCTGCCTATGTCTCCCAACACTAGAATCGCTACAGAGCGCAGAGAATGGCAATTTCGTGGCTTGAAAAAGTACCATAGGAAACACGTCAGAGAGAGCCACCCAAGCGCTAGGAGCACGGCCGGGAGAATTTTGAGAATGTCCTCGCTGTTCATTGTGAGATTGTAGGGCTTGTCGTCGCCGCCGTTGAGCTACATGGACGTTGAGGACAGAGATGTGATATCTGGATTGTCATTGGACAGCGGACACGCAGGTCATAACTCGCCTCGGCAACATTCTGATTTGCTCGGAGCTCGCATTTGAATCCGACTCCACCCACAACTGTCCTCCTTACTCAGCTTCGTACCACCATGTCCTTCTCCTCGTCGCTGCGAACATTAGCTAGCTCATCGCGTATTGCTGCCCGAATATCGCGTCGTCAACATGGCTTTTCTCTAGCAACAAGAACACTCGTTTCAGCGTCGCTGAGGCCTGCTCTCGTTCCGTCATCGAGGACGAGACTACAAAATGCCCTGCCTCGGGTGAATTACCAACCTCGTGAGTCGACTTTCTAACTTATTACTCGAATGTCATTAAAACAATAGACAGAAAGAACCATGTTCATCCAGACCGAGAGCACCCCCAACGAGGACTCCCTCAAATTCATCCCAGGCGTACCTGTCATGGAGGAAGGCTCAGCCGAATTTCTGGATACACGCTCTGCCCTGGCGTCACCCCTTGCCCTGAGACTGATGGGCATTGAAGGTATTACTGGAGTATTCTATGGGCCTGACTTTGTGACAGTGTCCAAGAGTTCGGACCACCCCTGGGCGGTCGTTAAGCCCGAAGTATACGCCCTCTTGATGGAATTTTTCTCGTCTGGGCAACCCCTCTTCAGAAGTGAAGAGGACCGAGAAGCTGCTGGACCCCAGGACACCCGGATATTGGACACGGATTCCGAAACAGTTGCGATGATTAAGGAACTGCTGGAAACACGAGTTCGCCCAGCAATCATGGAAGACGGAGGAGACATCGAGTATCGCGGCTTTGACGAGAATGACGGCATCGTCCGTGTCAAGCTAAAAGGCAGTTGCCGCGGTTGTGAATCTAGCTCTGTGACCTTGAAGAGTGGGATCGAGCGGATGCTAATGCATTATGTTCCAGAGGTGAAGGGTGTCGAGCAGGTACGTCATCTCGAGTTCAGCCTGAAACACTGTTCGCTGATACGGGATCCAGATACTGGATGAGGAAGAGCAAATTGCGCTCGATGAATTCGAGAAACTGGAAAAACGACTGGCGGAGAAGGAAGGCAAAAAGGACTCGCCGTAAGTAGGTGCTTGGCTTTCTCACTAGTAGGCTGTCGGGGCTCACTGATAGATTCTTTTTGCCATTGCAGCATGGCCCAGTACATGTCGGTATGAGACAAGCCCTGCACAGCGCCTCTTGGCTTAGCCATATTGCGAGGATGATGCCCCACGTTCCGTTGCATGGGACTTTGGGTACCTGATGAGTACCAGGACGGACACGCACTGTGGCGAGAAAACCGCACTAAGGACTCAGCTGACTGGTAATTACGGACTTGTGTGGATTAATTAGTATTCGCATTTGTGTTAGAGAGCAGAAATAGAGTTTATGGAGTTGGCTGTATATGCCTTGTGTGAAGTCATCATTTCAGGGGCAAATAGTGATCATGTGGCCGGCCAAATCGTACCGTGGCACAACAGCGACCGCCAAAGTGTCAAACCCAGTTCTCCATAAGACCAACCCTTCTCCAGCCTCTTTCTCCAACGCCGTCCCCGCGTCCCCCATGAGCAATGGTGTGTATGCCCATATTCCCTCAACGTCCCCTTCACCTTGAAAGCCTAACCAGTCCCTAGGTCTATGTCAACGACAAGAAGTTTGCTTGGTCCGTTCTCATCCTTCTCGTACCGGAATGGTCAGGAAAATTAACATCCACTTGCAGTGAATCCTGTATCAAGGGCCACAGATCGTCCTCTTGTCACCACACAGACCGACCTCTGTTCGAAATAAAGAAGAAAGGACGGCCTGTGTCCCAATGCACCAAGTGCCGCGAGCTCCGCAAGTCGAAGAAGGTTCACTCGAAATGCACCTGCGATAACAACAGCCAGAAGGCCCGGAAAGAGCAGCTCGTACCACTGTCTACAAGCTCGAAGAGTGCGTCCCCATATCCATTCTATTGCGACACTGACCCTCACCTGGATCTCAGCACGTCGATACATCCCGATCGTACCAGCCCTTCCCAATGGCCTCAAAGATGCCCTCCAAAGCTCGAAATCTCCCGCCATACCCGCCGACGAGCGTCAACGGGGTGCGCATTGTTCCTAATCTCTCATCATTCATTTAACTCATGGTGATATAGTTGATTCACTACTGAACCCATGCACTTGCCAAGACGTTTGGAACTGTAAATGCCAGGCAGCTGGTCCGAGCTCTCTCGCCCAGCAACAGCCTATCGCTATGAAGAGTCCCAATCCCCTCGAAGCTCTGGCTCACGTCGCTTCGCTAAGACGCAATGAGGAACGCTCGACCAGCCTTTCAGGCACCTCCCGTGCCGGACCATCTGCTCCCCCCACCCGCAAGGCTAAAATCCCTCGCCCTCGTCCGCACAGCCCACAGCATCATACCTCTCGCAAACGTGCAAAGCCGAGCTCCCCAGGAACTTCCCCTGTCCCATTGCCAGATATGGGCACTCCTTCCATGCGCATAATCGCACCTGGCCCCGTTCTACCCACCACTTTCCCAGACTTTGGTGTCCTACCCGCTGCAAGTTTTGCCACTCCTTGCGTCGACTCGGGATGTACCTGTGGGATGCAATGCGCCTGCCCAGGATGCATACAACATCGGGGAGCTTCCCACGCATCAGCCGACCACAAGGATTGCGGAGAAGGGTGTGGGACCTGTATCGACCGGAGCACAACAGAACTCCGACTCAATGCATCCAGAGGGACATGGGAGACAACAGCACCTTCTTTCTCGATTGGGCTTTCCTCATCGTCTTCTTCTTCGGCCTCCCTTTCGGCGTCGTTTCTGGACCAATTCTTTGCTCGAGCGGCTGCTCTCCCTCCTCCCCCTACCAATCGCCGGGTGGCCCTTGACCCGACCGATACTTCCACCACGGTGGAATCAAGCAATCTACCCAAGCTGGATTGCTGCGGTGGTGCATGCCTCTGTCCCAGGGGAAGCTGCTCCTGCCGCGCGAGTTGCGGGGGCGCTTGTTTGGATGACCACCTGCAGCAACTTGCTCAGCCCATACCTCCCGTTGTTGCCACCCCTTCTCACACTCCAAAAAGTTGCTGTGCTGGGAAACGAGCTACAGCGGCACTTTCCATCGCTTAGTTCGATGTATCGTATGTATTCAAATACTTATCCCTTCGTATCGAGCGGTCGAGTCTGCGTTCAGACTGTGTAGTAGTAATACAGATTGTCATGGCATATGGTACCTTTCATAACATGGCTTCTGAATGACAAGCATTGGTTCTTCCATCACAGTCGCCAGTCATCCATTACACGCTGGAAGTTATTCTAGCATCGGCGCTTAAGGAGAAAGATAACGTACTCACGTGTCATCTGAGAGAAAGCAGCAGCAATAAGGAAGAGTCTAATCAGCTTTTGATGCTGGGTTGAAGTTGACCATGCGTACCATCGTAGTGGAACCGTGTCTGCAGAAGACAGTCAGTGACCGGAGGCCTACGATACGTAACACGAAAACGTACCTTCTTTGGATTATCGGGAGCATGACGAACGTAGCGATCGTTGTCAGCGGGTCTACGCACAAAGCACAAAAGACCAGGTTAATGTCCGCTTTTATCCAGGCTTTCGCTTCATCGCCGCTTACCGCTCCTTCTTCTGCAAAAGTGACGGGTAAGGGCCACATACGCTTGTTACATGAAGGAGCGTTATCGACTTACCTTGCAGGATGCCAGCATGCTCTGTAACGTTACGCACACAGCAATCACACTGAGCACAGGAGACCACTCGTTACCCAGGATAGAAGCACAGATCTGGTAATAGATGTGCGATTTAGTCCGTCGAAAGAGGGGTATTGGCAAATACTGTTTCGTACATGTCCGTTGGAGTAAACGTGCTGTGTGATTTGGGATATGAGGGATGGATTATTCACGGCAGTAGAGATGGGGTAAGGCTCACTGGGTGTATTGGCGCTTCTCTCCCATCTGTTACGACGAACTGCACCGCCGGAGATGATATTGGGTATTGACTGTCGAATCTAAACTGCAGCGTATACTTCTCTCCCTATGCGATGGATCGAATGGTAACATGTGAGTCTCGGGTTATGACCACGATATGCCTGTGCCTCCCGGGCATACCTGGTAGAGAGACTCTCCCATGACTTCGATCGTGAACCACCAAGTGGCAAAATCGTCGGCTTTGACAAGCTCGATACCTAATCAAAGGTTTCCGGCCATAATGAGCGACCGCACGCTCGATCCCCACCATCTGGTTCGTTGGTACTCACCGACTGGACATCCCTGCTCCTGGATTTCGCGCAACTCTTTGCCCAAGCGACGGGCAGAAATAGATGCCATGATGTATATCGGAAGATCTACAAGTCGGTTTTGACTTCGAGAAAGAAAGACCTGAAGTTCACAAGGGAAGGACGACAGTTGTGGTAAGAGGTTAACTGCAGTGCGGGCGACGATTATAGACTCCAGAAATAGAACTCTCAGGCACCGGTCCCACGATGTGTTTGTCTCGGTCGTAGAGTGACTTGAGTTTCGTTGAGAGTCGCGCCCACCAATCCAACGGCTTTGTATCCTGCGAGGAGGCTGCAGACGACCTTGGACTCTGGAGGCTGCAACGACCTCGCCGCAATCGCTGCCGATATTGGTATACAAATAAGCGCAAATAAAGCGGTCTTTATAAGGGACTGTCGGCGGGAATCATTTTTTCTTCATTCAACCATTCACCTCCCTGCCTTAGAGTCACTTGGATACTCACTACCTCAGAGAATGCAGGCGCTCGTGGGGAGGAAGAGAAACTTATCGTATCTCGACCGTTAGCCGACTTCGAAATTCCAATTTCGACACTGGCGAGGCTGGGCTGCGGTACATCTTTTACCGTCTTTTTTTCCTTATGTATTTCTACGTCTCGGCAATGCGATCTCTTTCTCCCCACCCATGTTTACCAGTATCAATTCATTGGTTTGCCCTGAAGCTTCTTCCCATCCAGCACCACCACGTTTGAACGAAGATTGCATGACCCTTATCAGAATGTGGAGATGAAGCATATACGCGATTTCGACTTTCTGGTTTCCGACATCCTATCCGGCTTCGAATCTCCTCAACGCAGAATCCTAGACCGATACCCAGACCACCATGGCTTGACGTGATGCAAAATTTCTTCCCCAGCCCGCCGTTGCGGAAATAGCCGGGGATCCGTTGTCGCCGTGTCGGTCTGGTAGTGCAGTGAACATTTGGCGAACATCCGATTTGGTATTGCTGGTCTGAACAACGGCTTGATCTCACACTTGCAGTTCCAACTTTAACAGAGTTCAAATGTGTGCCCTTCGCAACCATCTAATGAAGTTTTGACGACACATAGCCGCTCAATGGCAAATCGAACCATTGTTGTACTGAAAAGGTATAAAGGCTTCTTTCGCCCCTTCTTTCCTGCCCAACTATCTTTCCTTTCTCCTCTCACTTTCAGGGTCTCGCACCACAGGCGCAAGCGCCTTTGCTTTCCATTCTACATTCTATCCCTCTCGACGAGGTTCACGCTCTTTACGATCCACACGTTCACCCGGTCATTGTAACCCCTTTCTTTACAGGTTTGGTCGCTAGTTCGTTAACTTTACTTCCAAACAAGATGCTTCCAAAGTTTGCCTTGCTCTGCACCTTTACTGTCGCCAGCCATGCTCTCCCTATCCTCCGTCGACAAGCACCGGAACCTTTTGTCCTCCCTGTACCTGCTGAAGGGCCCGGTATGTTCTAATCTTCGTGTCACCTTTCGACCTTCTCATGTTCTTTTAGGTCCTACTTTCGATGCCACAGCTACACGCGCAGCCACAGGCGTCCAAATTCGCAACGCCGCGAATCCGAGCGTTTGTTTCGACGTCTCCGACTTCCGTGCTGGAGATTTCAGATTCAACCTTGTACCTCTCGCTTTAAAACCGTGCGATGCATCAGTTGAAGGCCAAAAGTTCGACCTGATCACTAAGGTAAAGTTAACTGCTACTGATTATCCTATTTGGAAACGGCATTGAAACAGCGTTCCTGTCATAGGGAGAACATAACAATGTCCCTGATGGCAGCCGAACGTTGATCGTTTCGAGTCAGCAATTTACCTGCGTTGACCGTAGAAGCAATAAAAACGATCGTACTCGACCTGGCCTCTTTGCATGTGGTACGTGTAGCAATCCGTCCAGATCGTACATATGTCAACGGCTTTTCACCAGGTGGTCGGGCTGCTGGTGACGGCGAGACTACCGCGGACCAGCAGTTCTTCTTCAATAGCACGGCCAACCTAGCAAGCGGTATCGGGTTCACCCTTGTTCGAGATTCCGTCAACAATGGCATTGGTCCCGGGAACACTTGCATGAGCTTCGACGCGGACGGATTCGTTCAGAATACTCCTTGCTCCCCTCCCAACTTCACACCAGAACAGACTTGGATTATTGGCGACGCCTCTGGTGGTTCTCCTCCGTCTGTGCCTACCCCCGACGCTCCAGTGAGCCCTAGTCCAGCCTCGTCTGCCGAGCCTGTCGCTCCGACATCTGAGCAGCCTGTGCCAGAAGAGCCGTCCCAGTGCCCTGCAGATGTGGAGACTGTTACCGTTGTCACCACTGTGACCGTTCAGCCCACACCTACGCAGGTGCAGACCCAAGGCCCCGCTATTTCTCTCACTTCGAGTATTCCCGCGGGTGGTTCAGTAACGTTTGTACCCCTGCCACAAGCCACAGATGCTCCAGCGGCCGAACGACCGGAGGAGTTTGTACTCCCGGTGCCCAAGGAAGGCCCAGGTGTGTACTGTGAACAAACCATCTCTCGATTGACTTCGGCCTCACTCTCCCAATACAAGGTCCCAAATTTGACTCAACAGCTACTCGAGCAGCGAGCTCTGTTCAGATTCGAAACGCGGCGCAACCGGATCTTTGCTTCGACGTCTCCAACTTCAAAGCAGGAGATTTCCGTTTCAACCTGGTGCCCATCGCTCTCAAAAAGTGCGATGCGTCCATTGCTGGTCAAAAGTTTGACCTCATCACCAAGGTTAGTACACCTTCACTGGCGTTGTTTCCTTGCACAGAAACGCATAGTAAATCTGCTCTTCAGGGCGAACATAACAACGTGGCGGACGAAAGCAGGGTGATCATTGTTTCCAGCCAGCAATTCACCTGCGTCGACCGCAGGGGGAACATTAATGACCGCAATCGCCCTGGACTGTTTGCTTGTGGAGGTCGAGCAGCAGGTGATGGGGAAACTAGCTTTGACCAACAGTTCTTCTTTGACAAAACCGCTGATCTCACTGAAGGCATCGGATTCCCGACAGTTAGAGATGCACAAAACAACGGCGTTGGGACTGGAAACCAATGTTTGACTCTTGGCACAGATGGGTTCCTCAGCAACACTCCTTGCTCTCCTCCCAATCTAACCCCGGAACAAACTTGGATTGTAGCGTGATGGGGACTAGATATCGCCCCGTGCCGTGTATTACCGATCCACAACTGTATTCGTATGCGGTCTGAGTACCATTCCTACATCATTGAATTTCTTCACCTGGATATATCTTACATGGATAAATAGTACAAACGGTCAAGTAGTGCCGCACAAAGAAGTGGAGGTGAGTAGACGCCCGCCGAGACGGAAGGGCTGACAGGGCAACAAAGGGACAGTAAATCGGTTATTAGGCATCCAATAATTCTTGCTTCAAATCAGCGAATGCTGCCGAGCCTTCACCAAAAATTCCAAGTTGCCGTACGCAAGCTGCTGCTTGGCGGTACACCGTCTCGAGAGCCGGTTTTGCTGGTCGCCCTTGTGATTCTAGGTGGACTCATAAGCCATTAATCTTGACACTGATGAAGCGAAAACACTCACTCAATATGGCTTGGTTCAATTCATTCGCTAAAGCGACTCTCGCTTCCTTGCTCACAAATGCAGCGACATCTCTCCCGGCTTCCAGCGGTCTATCCCAAGCGAGGATTCCAAACGTCTTCTTGAATAAAGACTGAACTTCCGGCCGCGGGTCGCCTTTGTAGTCGTCTGATATGGCCTGTCCATACTCAATCGCTGCACTAATAGCAGCTTCGTATTGGGCCACCGAGGGTATAGAACCCGACGTTGACCCTTCAGGAACGGGGTTTAAGTGTCCGTTACTAGCGGTGCTGGTCGAAGGTCCCAAGTATCCCGTAGCATCATCGTCAACGTCCATTCCCATATCATCTTCCAACCAGTCTCCTTCGACTATCGACGACGTCCGCGCTGCCGACGATCCAGCGACCGAGGGACCAGGAACATTCCTCGTTTCGGCTTGGTTCATCTCTTTCTTCATCTCCGTCGTGGCAAGAACGAGCTCAACGAACTTCCTACACCGCAGCTTGAACAGCATTAACCCAGCTTCGGCCTCGAATACAGCTGGATGATGTTCCTGTGTTTCTTTCAGCGCAGTGTCAATGTCACCGGTTGCAACAGCGTTAACAATCCGCTTCCGTCGTTCGATGTCGTCCTCGAGGTTGGTTATGGCGAATGTGGGTTTGACCGGCGAGGTTCCCTCCATCACGACATCTTTGTCCTCAATCATGAGCGACTTGCGACCCGATGCACCCTGTTGTTGTGTCTGGAATGCGCGAACGGTTTTGGCATAGCCATGGTGGACTAGGTACGACATGACAAGGTTGTTCAGTGTCGCCTTCGTATCTTCTTCGGAAAGGGGTGTTTTAGAGGACGAAGGCCCTGCTCCAGGCACGGTAAGACTGGGTGTGCGATGTACCGGCGTAGACATGATCTTGTTCCACACGACAGCTTTTTGCTGCTGGACGTGGTTGTCGATGTCAAAGACGAATGGTTCGTGACCGAAGTTGACGCGAATGCTTTCTTGAGCGTGTTGAAGACCTATGGCTGGATACAAGTCGATTCCTTTGCCGACATTTTCGAAGACATTGCCGAGGAATTGGCCATTCTTGGTATAGAACGCACGTCGGGTCGAGAAGTCGATTCCACACCCTATCTTATCGCCACCTTGGGAGTAGATTAATTCCCATTGTGACGTGGAGCCACTGAGAACACGTACTGCCGTAGGTTTGTGAATATGCAGTGCCGTTCCTTTCAGCTGCGAAAGAGCACCCGTCGTCACCGTGATAACCCCATGAGTTGTTCTCCCAGCCGGGTAGGCGAGAGAGTTTGACATTAGGTCCAGAAAACCTGGGGAGTGGTTAGCCGCGTTTCAGGAGGAGCAATAGGTACAACGAACCCAATACTAACATGACTGGATGAAGTCGTTAGCTATGATCCGATGGAAGCTTAGGAACAGTATCACGTACCTCTTTTGTTCTTTTCCGCGGATTTCTACCTCGTAGTAGTAGATGCCACAAACAGGGGGGATGGGGTAATTTGCCCTTGCGGCTGCGCCGTCCTTGTCTCCGTTGGTAGAAGAGCCTGTAACAGTATTATGATAGGGTAAATCAAGAGTGCTCGGCCAGGAACTCACCATTGTAAACGATGTCACGTCCGTCAGAGGAGACTGAAAGAAATTGGTGCCTTTCTTCGACACTCCATCTGGTTGGTAGTTTATACTTGGGAGCTTGGGAAGGGGGTACGGAGCTGGAAGACGGATTGGAGCGAGGAGGCGGACTCGAGATACTCTCTTCATCACTATCAGAAGAGGGATAAGGGCGGCTTGTTCCAGAAGTAGTACCATCGTTCTTTCGGAGTGGGACGAGTGGAGGCGGGGCCTCAGGCACTAAAGCATCCCTGAACGCAGAATGATCAAGATAGGCGGGGCGAATAAAGGCCTCTGAGGAAAGTGAGAGTTGTAGGGGTGGTGCAGTCAGGGTGGTTGGCACTCTTTGCCTTGCGGGTGCACTTGGGCCTGAATAGCCTGTGAAGCTCGCACGACGGTTGTTGGTTGGGGAGACTGGAGGACATGACAGGTCCTGAGCTGGTGGCCCTGCGCGAATGACTCGAGGCTCAAAGTTCTGGCGAAACGATGACCTGGACAAAGAGGCAGACCTCGGTACTGAACGGGGGACAGAGGGTGAGCCGGGGGAGGCTACAGATGACGAGGAGGCGATACGATTTCGTGTGAAGGACGACGACGAAGGTGGTATTGAGATGACGTTCTCGATGTTGCGGACGTTGGCGGGAACGGTTGGAATGGGGATAGTGGATGTCCTCGCCGGCCTCGACGCTGAGGACATGATGATCGCGGAAAGAAAGCCCTGGACTTGGAGTCTCCCACGCCCATTACGCGTCTCTTCCTGTCACCCACCATGTCCCTCAGACTCGTTCCCGCAAATGGCCCAAAGTCTGCCTCTGTCCAGGACACAGCTGGTACTCTAGGCCTCCACGACACCCTCAAACATGGCCCCAGGTCAATTGCTGCTGAAATAAAGGACCATGGTGGCCTTAGGCAACGATTGGAGAATGTGCGTCGTACGCGTCCCTTCACAGACTTGATCGACGCTCATCCCTTGCCCAGTGGGAGGAAACCCAGGACAATCTCAAGCTTACCATGCAGCGAAACGTCTACGGTGTCGCTGCGCCTATGCGGTTACTCATGGAGCGCAAATTGGTGAACACTGTAGGCGCCTTGTTGTCCCGTTCACCTTCGCTTTGATTGACTGTTTCCTAGCACCCCAGCCCTTTCTCCACCTCAAACATTCATTTGGACATTCTCATGGGTCGTGACGAGATCATTGAACCAGCAGACATCTTCCAGGGTGCGCATTTCCATCTCAAACTCCAAGGGCATCTCTAACACTACCATAGGACCAGAATCCAATCTCCCTCTCGATCTACACAAAGAATTCGAGAAACGCTACAAGCATTAACTATGTACTATATCCAGCAACCTGTAGATCATTAAGTGTCCCAAGGATCCTCTCTCAGCTGCAACCCTTCGCTCTTCAAAATACCCTGCTCGACGACATTCCGTGAGCTGACCACACAGCCCTCGAGCAATGGCACGCCTAAATAAGCATAAGATCCGCATATCCAAATTCCAGGTGTCGATTCGTTTTCCAGTCTCCCAGCTCCTTGAAGCTCTCCCAGTTCGCATCGGGTTTCTGTCGGGCACTCCCACCACCACTTTCTCTTTGGCTTGCAGAGCCCGCGTAAGGCTTGTTTTGACTCTGGAGTCAAGACTGCGCGTTCTAGCGAAGATACGCTGAGTACCGTGTCCTTCTGCGGCGGGATGAAAGGGTTGGTGGTTTGGTATACTGATGGGAGGAATGAAGGGTATCCCTCTGGCCGAGGCAACATATGCGTCGCCATGGTGTATGTCGATGGTACGCAGAATTCCGAGTCTTCGCTATCTTCGTCCCAATTGGAGCTGATCAGGTTGAGGTCGCGTCGGTCTTGGGCCACAGAAGGTAACAGCGTGTCGTCAGTATGATTGACCACTATTGTTGAGCAATACTTGAACGTCCGCAAGCATCGGATCTGTTCTTCCAAAGCATGACGTTGGGCCGTGGCTTCTATCGGAAGAGAGCGGGCATAGCATCCCAAAAGTGGGACGGCTCTGGAGGCCTGCGTCGCGAGAACGATGTGACTGAAGCCGTGGTGGGTGAACCTGGTTCCGTCAGGACGTTCGCATTCGATCGAGATTAGCCGTGGGTTGGCAGGGTCGGCGCTGAGAGAGACAATTGCGCTATTGACATGAATGTTTTCTAACTCCGAGGAAAGGCGAGAGACGACCTCCTGCACTCCATTAGTCAAAACGAAGTGGTCCTGGCCCAATCCTAGCCAAACATAGTCTGGAAGCAGTTTCAGAGGAATGATTACGAATGAGAACACCACGACATACCCAATATCTCCTCAACAGGATGGTTGAACACGTCTTCCTCCGGAGCTGTGCACATGGCAGACATCAGAGGGACGAGGATTGTGTGGACATAGTCTTGCCAGGCAACGTCCAATCCAATCCACCTGGACAGTTGCCCATTCGGTGCAACGTCCTTTGCCCATTCCTCCAGCGTCATAGTCGCTAGACGTTTTGAACGCCAAAAAGGCAACGATTGCCATAGAGTAATCGCGTAACACAGAGCGAGGTGGAATGTCAATACGAGGAACATGTACGTTCCCCATAAAGTCCCAGCCCAAGCTCCAAGCCAACTATCGTTTTTCGACCCTGGAAGTTCGTTGAGTACACTGGGTTTACTGACGCCCTTCAAGCCATTCGCTCCATTGTAGAGTGCCGTCGCGGTAACCGTTGGAGGTCGATGCTTCTCTGACGACGACAAAAAAGAAAACGAGTAGGTGAAATTGGATGGCTGGAATGACACCCCCAAGCGTCTGTAGAATGAAATCAAGTTGCGGTAGTAGCCTGGAACACCGGTTAGTGGAGCTGAGAGTCAAAGAAGGCAGGAACGCACCTCCTTGGAACGAACGCATTGGGACGTCGATCCTCCACGAGCCTTTTCCGCCTGGTAGAGGCAGAGCAATCGAAGCGCAGTCCATTCCAATTTCAGACGCCTGTCGTGGTGTCAGACGGTGCATAATTAGACAACGGTCTCCTCTACCTTTTCGAAGAGGTGGACTTCAATCTTTTTTGCTTGCCCCTGTACGGGTTGGCCAAGGAGGTAGCTGGCTGTAAGCCCAGCAAGGCCGCTTCCAACGACGGCGACCTTGATTGTTGTCCTGTCCATAATGGGGGTTGGTGGGCAGGTGAGGGATAGACGTGGGGTGATAACTATAACAGCTACTCGGGGTGAAGTTCTGGGGAATGATGTACTTGATGGTTTTGAGAACCCTTTCCGATTCGTAAGTCAATCCCATACACATGGTAACATTTCAAGCGACGCGACAAAACCATCTTACGATTCTCGATTCAGTAAAGCCGCAAACTTCTTCCGAACACGCGGAAACGTCACAACGGTCACCTCCATTCTGATCCCTCACCATTTAGACGATGAACTTAATATATAGATTATAGAGGCAAAGATGTACTAGGGAGAAGCTAAGTATTCTAGTCCACACGTCTCCGCTTGTCGCGCTCTCGCTCTCTTGAACGGTCTCGCGAACGCGACCTGTAGCGACCACCGCTGTGTTGCCTCTTCTCTGGGTAACGTGACGAATAGTAGCCAGGAGATCGTGAACGCGACCGTCCTCGACGCGAATAGCGGGAGTCGCGGTGACTATCCGAACGGTCGCGGTCACGACGATCATATCCTCTGTCGTAGCGATCTTCCTTCTCCCGGGAACGATCGTAGTCGCGGTCGTCGCGGCGATAGGAAGTCCCTTGTTGACTGCGGTCGTATCCATCTCTTGGACGTTCTCCCACAGGTCTGGCATTCGCGCCCGTAGGTTGATCTTTCAGCTGAGGACAGTCTAGACAAGATTCAAGGAGTTGAAATATAGAACACGAAAGGCAGAGATTGCATACCTTTCTTGAGATGGGGACCCCCGCAATTGAAACAACCGCCGCCTTCCGTACCCATGCCGCCTGCCTTTACATTTGCGACGCCTCCAAATCCACCGGACCCAACTGTCGTATCTTGATCCAACAGGTGTGTATATTTGGTTCGACTGCGCTTCCCAAAGTTCTTGACTTGCATAACTTTGGGCAGAAGCGAGACGTCCACTGTCGATTCGGTCGCCGCCGTGAAGTCGTGTCGCTTGAGGATGTCCAAATCCTAGAGGGCGTGTTGATAAGGACAAACGGTCATCAATAGATAGCGACTTGCCTGGTGGAAAGCACCTTTATGCCAGTACTTTTGCAAGAACTTTTGTTGGCCCTTAGGCTTCTCCTCGCGCAGCTTCTTCGCGTGTTCAAGATCTTCCTTCAAGCGCTGTTCCTCAGGCATGGCCCGTCTTCGCTCAATCTCCTCTCGCTCTCGCTCTCGTTCGAGCTCCGCTTCCTTCTCCTTCTTGATTCTGGCCAATTCCCTTAACCGCCAAGCTTCGAATTCGCCTTCAGGGTCAAGGCCATCAGTATCGTCAACGTCAGGGGTTTCTTCCTGCTTCTCCTCTGCGACGCCATCAGTGTGCTGAAATAGAACATTGGCTGGATACCCACTTTCAGCAAGTTCCCTTCGAATCGACTCTGCAACCATGTTATGGCTCTGTTTCCGCCGTTCTTCAGCCTCCTCTTCTTTCCTTCGCAGGGCCTCTTCCGTATCCTGGGCGAGCTTCTCTTTCTCCGCAATCGTTACACGGGCACGTCTGCTAATCGTCAGGGAAGATATCTCAAAGTACTAAACGTAAGCTCACTTTGGTACGAAAACTGGTCGGAACTGTAGTTTGGGTTTCTCTTCTTCCTCAGATTCTGACTCTTCGCTGCTCGACTAGACAATTGTCAGCATATATCGCACAAAGTTGCAGGTCCAGACATACTTCTTCTTCAGATTCTTCCTCCTCTGACTCATCTTCCTCCTCTTCCTGCTCTATGTGGGCTCAAGCTTAGTATCATTCAACAGGCTCCGTGTCGCAGGCCAACCCACCTTCGTCCTCGAGAGCAGTTCTTCCAGATTCCTCTCGACCAGCGACAATCACCTTCCCCTCTTTCGACACAGCGACATCCTTCAACGCAATGTTGAGTGCGGCTTTGGTCTTTGGGACATCCTGTCGCAATGTCATCTCCTCATCGCTGACCTCCTCGATGAGAGTATCCTCATTCTGCTCATTCTGCACCTGCTCGTCGTCTTCATCAGAGTCCTCTTCGATATTCACTCCTTTGGGTGCCTTCCCCTTCCAGTATCGAGTGGCTGGTTTTGCAAGTCTTTGGGCGGTCTTGCGGGGTACAGTCGTAGCCAGTGACATGGTCGTCCTTCAAGTTATTATTGGAGCTCGAAAGCCCGTCGTGCCGCTAAGCCGGCTGGCCGCCAAGTGGATGATGCGATCAATGATTGCACGTGCCTGGTTGATTCTGTCGCGTTCGACGCGTCCGAGTGACCATTCCCCGCGTACTTATAGCCTCTCGTCCTTCCTGTTCTGAATTCGTTCCTTTCCCGCATACTACTCACTGAGAACTACTGAAATATGCTAATGCATCAACCGAGCTGGAAGGTTGAAGTCATTCCAGACAGCGAAGACGAAAGGCAAAGGTAGATATGACAGCCTTCGCAGCCTTATCCATCGCACTCTGACGCAAGGGACGTATTTAGGGTGTCCGGTTCAAAGATTAGAGCTCGTCAAGAGGTCATTGAGATATCGTCTGAATCGGAAGATGAGAAAGAAGAGTGAGTAATGTCCAACATACGTCGATTACCTGTGCTGAATCCGTCTGGTTGACCACAGACAGGACTCGGATGCGGAAAGCACTTTCCCCGGAGCCTGGAGGCAATCGAACAAGCCAGGTGGCAAGAGGTCCAAGTCAATACCATATCCCTGGGACAAACAATGACAACTGACCGTCCCCCTTCAGCTTGGCCCCGAAGGCGTCAGGACAGATAGCAAGGGGAACATATATGCGTTCGCGGGTAATCGAGAGCTCAGACTCGGAAACTTCAGATCAAGAGGAAGGACTGCCCAAAGGGCATACCCTGACCCTTACGAAAAAGACCTGGTCCGCGAGAGAATCTACTGTCAAAACACCCAGCTCACGCGAGACGACCACTACCACCACAACGTTGTTCTCTTCGAAGCAGACTACAACATCCCGTGTTGTTGAAGCTAAATCCGAGGATGCAGACGACGACGATGCCATCCTTGTCTTGTGCGTTCCTCAGAATGTCTCCCCTTTGGCTGGACTCTCACTGTGCACTCAGCGACGAACCTAAATCCGCCCGGAAGCCAATACCAAAGCGAACATTACTTGGTTCGGATTCCTCCAATGGGTCCTTTAGTGTTCCGTCTACTCCTGGGCGAATCTTTGGCCGGCCAGAAATTATCAACGCCACACCAGGCCCTCCTGATCCACGTCGCACCTCACCCAGGAAACGCGGTGCTGGTACGCCCAGAGTTAGCAAGAAAAAGACTCGTGAAGAAGAGCAGGCAAAGCTTCGCGAGTATGCCAGTGAGCTATTCCAAGAACTAAACAGGACCGTGTTCAACAACGAGCTACCGTTTGATACCAAGTTGAACTGGAACAAACGCTTATTAACAACTGCTGGAAGAGCAAAATGGCACAGGTAAGTTCGCGTGGAATGGCATGGCGGTGCCTTTCTCACTTCACTTTAGATCCAGGGAAGGCGTGCAGACATCCGAGATTGAACTTGCGGAGAAGATTCTGACGTCCTCGGGTGAGTTTTCAATTATCTGTGCGCCTGAGTCTATGTTCAGCTCGACCAACAGAGCGAATCAGAAACACCCTGTCCCATGAGATGTGTCACTTGGCCTCATGGGTCATCGACAAAGAAATCAAAGAGGGGCACGGGAGATTCTGGAAGGCTTGGTAACTGTTGTTCCTGTCAAGAAAAGACCGTCCATAAACATGTTTATGCATTACAGGACACGAAAGGTCATGGCCATGTATCCGAACATCAACATATCGGTGAGGCACCACGTTTCTCGGAACCTTCTCTGAGCTGACAGCGTGATCCAGACCAGACACGACTATGAAATCGAATACCCGTATAATTGGAGTGAGTTACGTTTTGCGAAAACCTGTTCAGCTTCTTTCTGATGGTGTGCAACAGAGTGCGCCAAATGTGCCAAAATGTCTGTTGCAGTTCTGCATTATCTTTCGTCGTCAGGTGTATGAAACTGATATGTTTGTTAGATATGGCCGTTTCAGCAAGTCCATTAAACCGGACGAATGTGGTACGTCTCGGAGAGCCCCACCACCCACTGAAAGCCTGCACCTTTAACTGACAATTGTGTTGCTTAGTGTGCGGTGCTTGTAGGGAAGGACGATTGATACCGCAATTTGAAACAAGAACTCCCAAACCCAACACTCCTAGGATTAGCCGAATGGCTGCTGCAAAAGGCCAAGGTTCGTCACGGTGCATCTGTGTACATTCAAGCTTTACGAAACAATTGCGTTACTTGTAGATTCGCCGTGTGCGTCGCCTATTCGCCCGACGCCCCCAAATAATGCGAAGCGTCCTGAAGTCATCTATATCTGTTCCGATTCAGAAGGTAAAGTCCCATCTGTGCACTTTGTGGGCTTTCACTCAACACGCCGCCCTCCTCAGACGACTCGGTGCCCCTGTCTGGGAAAGCAACTTGCTGCGGGATTGATTCTTTGGGTACTGATTCAGAGGACGATATCGAAGTCCTTGCTATGACTTTGAAGTCCACCTCGTTGGCCGAGGCTGATTGATTTACGGACTTCAATATAGGATAGGTACATCTTTCTAGGATATACATTGTGTCTACTATAGTTACGACGGACTACTAGTGTCCATACGCGAATTCTCGGTAATACTAATACAGATTGATCATTGTGGGTATAATCAGAATGAATGAGTGTGCATGGGAGGTGCCTAAGTGTTGGTAGGTGGAATAAGTTAAAAACCGTTGGCTGTTCGGTATTATGCAAGTAACAGAAAATGAAGAATACGAGGCGATACGAGGCAAGTTCACGGACATCTACGTTGGACCTGCACCGGGAGTTGTGTACCCTCCGCCCATCGGCCCTCGATGTACGGGCGAGTGATGATACAATTATACTTGTTGATTTTTGCGCCTTCAGCGGGGGTGAACTCGAACCTAGAGACGAGAGTGGCGATAATGATTTTGAGCTCTGAGACCGTGAACTTCGATCCCACACAAGAACTTGGACCATAGCCGAATGTCATGAGGTTACCGAGACCAGGGAAATTGGAAGTGACGGCGGCAGGGAGCTTGATCCAGCGAGTAGGTCTGGAGATATGTCAATGGTGGGAATGGCCGAGGGCAAGATGGCGAACTCACTTAAATTCATTAACGTCAGAGCCCCAGATATCCTCGGCGTTGTTGACGCCTTCGATAGGGATATGGACGTACGAGCCCTTCGCAATCTTGACGGACGATGCCTTGGAACCGTCTGGCATTGTCATGGGCTTCGATAGAGGGATTTCATCGTCCACAGTAGCCACGCGGATGGTACTGTGAACAGGGGGATAGAGTCGGAGCGTCTCCTTTACGACGCCGTTGAGGTAAGGGAGGGATTCGATGGCATCGAGGAAGGCTGTCCTGGCACGCGACGTAGCGGCTTGGCTTCGCAACTGGGGTTCCTCTGCGAAGCCTGAATCATCAGAGTGGTCGCTGTCATACTCGTCGTAGACCTTGCTGGCCTTGGCAGCGGTGCAGACCTCGTCGTACAGCTGGTTTTGGACGTCTGGGTGAGTGGCGAGCAGATGAAGACACCACGACATTGCGACAGAAGACGAATCTGATCCTGCCAATAGGAACGTCGTACACTGGTCCAACAGGTCTTTGTCGCTGAGTTGCGACGATGGATCAGTCGACATGTTGGCTTTGACTAAAGTGACATGAAGCTGAGTGGGTTGGGGATAGACTGGAAAGGGGAAACTTACTCAAAAGACTGAGAATGTCTTTGCTGCTGAAGTCTTTGCCCTCGGCGAGAATCCTTTCCCTCTTCTGGGAGATAATCCTTTCGCCTGCTTCGCCGATTAGTTGTCTGCTCTCCCGGACAGTTTTGTACGCTTCGTCAGGCTAAGCGGCCAGGGGTGAGCTTGGGCAATGACCAGGTGAAGAGTTACCCACCCAAAGAGAGTTAATTATCGGGAAATACATTTCCACAATGTCTCGCAGTCCGATACCGTTGTCTGTAGTTCGGAACATGCGTCGGAACGCCATGTGAATGGGTTCAGATTCGTCCTCTAACGAGTTGAACGAATAGTCGAAACCACCGAGGCCAATGATATCGAATGTAGTGCGAGACAGCCAGTGGGCAACATTGAGCACAGTTTTGCCGGAGTCGACACCCTGAGCGCTTATTTCACCGTCCCAGATGTCGCAAAGTTGTTCAGCCTTGTCAAGAAAGATGGGTGACAAATTCTTGACAACCTGAGACGAAAAGGCGGGGCTAATGAGTTTGCGTTGCATCTTGTGCTCGTGTCCTTCAGTAGAGAAGATGCCTAAGACAAGGTCAGGATTTGTCCCAGGGAATACAAGGTTGCTATGCGGACTGACCTCGCCCAATTAGTTTGGACAGATAGTAGCGCGTTTGCCAGGGCTTCTCGTAGACCGGAGAAGTCAATACGTGGGTTATAGCGCGAAAATCAAACGACAACAGGCGATAGTCATGCTGAAAACAGCTCGAGTCGGCTTGAGATTGACAGATAGTAATACCCTATACACACCTTTCCGAAACCGTGAAAACGAACCGTATCGCCATGTGCCCTTCTCCACTCCTCATAACTGTCTGGGCTGTCCTGAGGACTACACCTCCATGAGCGTCCGAGGGAAAGCAAGAGAACGAGAGGAATAACACACTTGGAAGCCTGAGCGAGGTGGCTTTCAAAGAACGCTCCCGTCGGTCCAGGAAGCTTCTGCAGGGGGTCAAAGAGGGGCGCCCAAAGCAGCATGTTCGCGAGCCATACGACTCCGCGCAGCAATACAAGGCCAATTGCGAGCCCCAGGGCGCGCAATAAAACCAGGAAAGAGTGGGAGAGGACGGCCATGATGTTGGGCAATCACAGAGGGCCCTGGGGGGAATGCACACACGCCCATTGCAGAGCGTTCACCTTATATTCAGATCCAACGCCCACACCGCCAACACCAATCCAAATGCTATCCCCATTTTGGGACTCCCTTTGATTCCAAATATAGCTCAGATCGCGATCTAAAACGCCTCCGCCGACTCGGAGCCTGCCGCCGTTTTCGAGCTCAGCACGAGTCGGCGCTTTAACCTTAAAGGAGGTCCTGTAACAGTTTTACCCACGCTAAAGTCGCCTCCACAACCAACACGAGGAATTTCCTGGTCAACGAGGTAGGCGATCGCGGCGAGCTCCTTTAACGTCCATACAACTCTGACAACTACTTGAATAGTCTCTAAAATGACACACGACGCCGTCTGGTTCTCTCGCCCCAGGAAGTTCGGAAAGGGCAGCCGACAATGGTGAGCGTAGTGCTCAATGTTATCAGAACGGTCGACTGACCGAGTGTACTCTTCAGCCGCCTCTGCGCCCACCAGGCTGGTCTCATCAGAAAATACGGCCTTGACCTCTGCCGTCAATGCTTCCGCGAAAAGTCGGCCACCATCGGTTTCGTCAAGGTGTGTAGGATTGTTGAACACAGATCGGGATCGCACTCATACGCCCTTTCCTCAAGCATCGGTGAAAAACCCATCTCGCCCGCCGCCTTTCTTCTCGGATTCTTGCATGCTTTCCACCATGTACCTCATTACGATTCCATATCACATATGCCCATGCCAAATGAAAAGCACCTGAAAGCAGCACGAATCTTATCTCCCTATGTGCAACGAACTGAGCCTTGAGGTTGGATTCCAGCAGGTAATCCAAAGTCAATCCGTTCGCAAGATACATATCCTGGCAATACCACCTCCGAACATAAGGTCTATCACATTCCGAGGAACCACAAAACAAATCTAATTATAATCACTTGCTACATATTTAAGTTGGAAAGAAAAGTACAGGGTGGGTCAGGATAGGGCTGCAGTGAGATACAATGGAACAACCAAGCGGAGCAAATGGTGAAATAACCGTTACATATGTACGACGAGAAATCAAAGTCACGGAAAGCAGGGAGAACAACTGTAAGATAGAAATGCCGTTTGACAAAATACAATGTGCAATGCGTGATGTGTTGGTATGCGGGCAGAACATAGAAAACGTCGAAGGAGATAAAAAGTAAGGTAGATTCGAAGGAGGGAAAAAACGACGATGACAGAAAACGAAAGCAATTAAAATGATGATACTTCCGATGAATGTCCATAATGGCAGACCATACCAATGCATTTGGTGAGTAGAAAGCTTGAGGCATTACTGTCACATCCCATAGGCGAATCCAGCACGTTGATAGTGGTCGTTCATTCCGGCGCCCATCGCTCCAGCGAATGGGTTGACATTGGCAAACGAAGCACCAGCGAAGGGAGCAGGGTGCGCTCCAGCCAGCGCCGGGTTGTTCGCATTTTGGAGAACGTAGCCGTCGATAGGCTGCTGCAATGGGTGCAAGGGAGGAAGAGGCGAGGCCAAGGGATTCTGGCCGAACGAAGCCTGAGGTTGGGGCATGCCATACAACGCTTGCGAGTTGTAGACATCATGCAACCCTCCGTTCGACATGTGATGGCGGTTTCCACCATGTCCGTTGGTAATTCCTATTGCCACGAGACATCAACAACATTCAATCATGAGAAGCTTAGGCGATAACATACGTTGAAGCTTATTTTGGATTCGCTTGCCGTACGGGGTGTTGCGAATCAATGGAAGGACAGGGCGAATGCCCTCGACCAGAAGGGCGCGCTGTCCCGGTTCTGCGTAATCCAAAGCAGTCTATACCACAGGTTGAGTTTGAAGATACGTTTGGAACGGGGGGATCTGTACACACCTGAACACAGTAATTGCCATAAGAATCCCGCAAAAGCTTCTCGAGCCTTGTCCTATTGAGCAATTCCTCAATGACAAGTTTTCGGGTGTTGTGTTCCGCAACACGGATGCACTGAAGGAAGGTTACAAAAGAGATAGATGATCGAGCAGGTGGTGACGAACCTTCTCCATGACGTTGGAGCTGAACTTTTGTACAGATAGCGCACAGATGTTACCCAAGAATTGGCGAATCACTCCATCGCTGAACCTGTTATCATTCAGGTCAAGAATGTATTGCACGACCTATCATGATTTCATGAGCTGACCGGTACACACACGACACCAGATATAAAACTCACGTAGTTTCCGTAAGGGTCTTGAACGAGGGTGAGTGCATTGTAGGTGATTTCGTTGACCAATTGAATCCTTTGAGCCTCCGAAGCATGATCGATGCACCGCTGAAGCACGCAGCAACCATGGCGGTGAGTAGCAACCTCGACACAGTTAGCTGCAACCGCATTGTAGATAAACTGGAGAGGGAGAATTAGTAAAGAATGACAGTGAACAGAAAGTCACTAACCTGGTTGTCTTCTGGCGCAAGCTTGTTCAAGCACTTCTGAATGACATGGTTGCCATTAAGGTCCTTGATAAGCGAAACGACATGAAGACTGAGAGCGAGAATGATCGAATGGATCTGAGCGTTGTACCGATGATCAGTCTACAGCCTCCACGTAAGTGTGATAGGTAAAGGCAGAAAACAAATACGTGCCTGTCGTCTCGTAGACAAAAAGTCGATCATCTTCTGAACAGCACGAGTGCCGTGCATGTTCAAGGAGATATTGACCAGATCTTGAGCTACAGACTCGCAGATGAGGTTGCGCTGATCGTCTGTCGCAAACTCCAAAAGCTTCTGGCACAGGTAATTTCCGAAAGGATCAGTCATGAGTTCCGCGAAGTGCTTGAACGTCTCGCGGAAAATCATGTCGCGGTGCTCGGGAACACCTTCTTCCAGTTTCTTCTGCAAGTAGCGACATCCATGTTGATCCTTGCAAAGAGTGGCGATTTCTCCTTGCAATTCCTCGAGGCGGGTACCAGCGAAGCGGTTGACTGTTCGATGGTCAGTAAATGGTACCCAAAGGCAGAGGGGGAACTGCTTACACTCCCGGTCGATGTCGCCGCGCTTATGCTTGGGGCCATGCAAACCGTTCATTTTTCCGTCCAATGGTCCGGGACCGCCACGACCGAGGCCCAGACCGTAGCGAGAGGCAGGATAACCATTGCCGCCAACACCAGGTCCGACGTGGACATTAGGGCTAGCGCTAATGCTTCCCCTGGGCCCCTCGTAACCGTAGGCTCCGTAAGCCCCCCCATCGACTGCATTGATGGCGTATGTGGCTTCCAAGCCATACTATAAAGGGAAACAACGTCAGCCACGAAAGCAGATGAGATTATATTGGACCCTTACGTCGTCAAGCCCACCGGATTGAATGGAATTAAACGACATTGGACTAGCGTCATGCCCTGCTGAAGGAATTCGCGACAATGAGGCTGAGAGATCGGAACCAGCATCGACAAGGTGCTGGGAATTGGGGGTCCCAATTCGGCCATTCAATTGGATGTCCGGGGTCAGCGGAGTGCCTGGAGAAGTCTTCAAGAGATGAGGCGCGCCATTGGACATGTTCAATGGGGTGGCAGGGACGGATCTCGTGTTGGCAGTCAGGGATTCCAAGAGGGAGTGTGGTGATCCCCGACGCGATTGTGGTCCAGTCTGCTGGGGAGCCCCTTGGGACAGTTGCTGGACGAGAGCACTGTTGGATGAAAGGATGCCCGAGACCAAAGCCTCGTCTGCTCCAAGAGCGATGTTGGGGTTGGTCACATTACGACGATCAGCCCTACCGGCCAAGCCATCAGGACCACGGGGGATACCTCCCGTGAACTGGGGCCACTCTGAAGACTGCTCCCGGCCCTCCAGTCCCCGGTTGGCAAATTGAGTCCGAGGAGAGGTTTGGGACGCATGGGCCAAATCCAAAGCTGCAGAAGTGGACAACTGAGAGCCGATCAGTGTCTAGGACAACGAGAAGATGGGGTGCAGGTGCGAACCTTGGAAGCATATGCATGGAACTTGTCCTCGTCTGAGGTGGGTAGATTGCGCATGGCATCTTGAGGACCAACAAGATGTTCATTCTCGGGTTCAACGGAATGTATACGTCGAGAATACGCACTGTGCATCTCCTGATCCAACTGCTCGTCCAGCATCAAGCCAGCATTATAAGTGCTCGCGTAACGGGCGCCCTCGTCAGCCATCCTACCCCCTCTAAGCAATATCGAGGACGTAACGGTGGATGGAATGGGGGAGGCACGGTTTGAGCGATCTCCCAATAAAGAGAGGCCCTGAAGATGTGCGGCGAGTTCCTCATCATGCTCACTTGCCGAGGTGCGACGGCTGGCTGGCATGCTCTTGGCCCCTGCCGAGCGGGCATACGGGTGGCCATTGGAGCCAGCATTGGTGGCGAGGTCGGGGGAGAGGTTCACACTGGGGGCGTATGTGACGGATTTCCGCTTGTCAGAAGAGCTGCCGAAGGCCTTGGAGATTGAGTCGGGGTCCATGCGACTTTGAGAGCCGATGGTGCCACGGAGGTCGGCGAGCTTCTTGCTGGCACCGGGAGGGGTTGTTGGTGCCGACAGGGCGATGTGCTGGCCACCGCCGACAAGTCCAGACTCGTAAGGGATTGTCAGGAGCTCCTGGGCCTGTTGATGCTCAAGCACCTTCATTTGGTCTTCGAAGAACTTGCGTTGCAAGGCGCGCTGACGTTCGTGCTCAAGTCGTTTTAACTCGACCCTCTGTTAATGAAAGCGGTCAGTGCCTGGTGGTGGGACACGTCAAAGAAAGGATGCCAACGCACTGCCGACATGTCAGGGAGGTTTGTGCCTAGTCGAGCAGCCTGGGGAGCGTCCGTGGATCAGGACGGGAGAAGAAGATAGGAAAAGGAAAGGGACTAACTGAGTCTGCGAGATCCAAGAAAGCGGGAGGACTCTTTTTGCGCTCTTCATTAGGAGATGAATTATCATTAGGTGAAGTAGTATGTTCGAGAGAGTTCATTTGGACGACGAAGAAGCCGGGATTTTGTTGGGAAGATAAAGACAGGGAAGCAAGAGAACGTGATTATATCCTGGTTCTGAATCAAGTCGACCAAGCTGAGTGAATTAGGATACTGGAAAGAAAGTGAGTATTGGGTGTGGTGTGGCATAAGACGACGAACCTAGAGAGGATTGAGAATTGTAGATGTACAGAGAGAGAGCCTTATTCCCGGCTACGATAAGTCGTGTTGGCAGAAAGGATGCTCTGGCGACCAGCAAACCTTGAGACGATGATGAAGCTTGGAATAGGATGGCGAAGAAAGATGGCTGAAGACGTTGCACCTTAAGTCCAGCCCACATAAGCTCGGCATTTTCCTGACTCTAAAATTGATTTCACACACTCCTTCCCCACCCGGTCCCTGACTATGTATATCTCAATTTCCCCCTTTGTTTTTTCTTCCGCCTACTTATCCTCTTCTACCCCGCTTTTTCATTTCAAATTCCATATTTTTTCAATTTTTTCCCCTTCCCTTCCTCACTCTCACCCATACTCTCGCCCTCGGCCTCACCCCTGCCGGATATTCCAACAACATACCATCAAGTTCACACGAACTTTCCTTCATTTAGGGGAACTGGAAGAACTGTATATTCGCTTACTGCCACCTGGAGACATACCGTAAGATCACACCTGCCCATCACAATGTTCGCTCCAACCGCTCCGATGGTACTACCACTCCGGTCACCTATTCCACCACCAATTCACTGTCAGACACAGACCTTGTCATTGGCAGGTATATTAATTACATTCCAAGACAATGCATTAGAACGACTACCCTTCAACCCCCTACCACCTCTCGCGAAACTTCGACATCCCCAATGTTCGGCTCTAAACCATCGGGTCGCTTCTGGTCATAGCTTGGGTCCACAAGTGCGGCATTCTGTGGACCATTCACTGCACTGGCGGTGGCATCCGTCGCATCATTGGCACTCCCGTTCTCGTCACGCGCCACCCCATGGATTGTCCGCCTGTCCTCTTCCTCCTCGTCCCCGTCGTCTTCTGATGTCTCTTTCGGCGACCCTCGCACTGCAGACGGATACCGACTCCGAAGGAACCCTGCAAGAGGTGTCAGCCCCAAGAATGACCGCGACTTTCTGGAATCCTCGGCGTTGCCGCCGGGCGTTGGCGTGGTTGCTCCGCTTCTCGGAGGCGTTTGCGCCTCTTCGCCAACTTTGCACGGCTTCGGCGTGCTGGCCGCCTCCCTCGATTCACTCCTTGGCCCGCTCGATGATGGGTCCAGCTCGAGGATTGAAGATGTCGGAGTGTCTGGTACTTTACGTTTCCTGTCATACGAGTAAGCGAAATGAAGCCCTTCTCGAGAATTGACATACCGCAACTCGGATCGTCCACTGGTATCATGGCTTAGAATAAGCAAAAGATTCTTCAAATTAGGTAGTGTATGTCGCATGTCAAGGGCACGTAAATCTTTTTCTGCCATTAGCTGTCAATGTTTTGAGTACACAAACCGAGTAAAAACCCCTACAAAACTCACTAGTTCTATATTTTTGTTCAAAAGGAAAACACCATACTCGAATCTATACGTGTCGACGCCCTTGGAATACAGGGGGAACCTATTGCATCTCAGTAAAGCGAATTAAGCAAACAACGGCAGAAGAAAGTCGACTCACGTCCTTGGTCCGACCATCGAAGAGATGCCGTCTTTTATCAGACTTCGACTCCCGATGCACGTCACTGGATACAGAAGGCCTATTCCCAGGTACGCAGAGAGCAATTGCAGAACTTCGGCTACATAACCCAGCGCAGCGGCAATGGCGTCCTCGTTGACTTGCTTGTAATCAGGAAGGGTTAGGGGCGGTGCGGGATCGTTGCTCGAGACGGGGATCGGTAGTGGTACATCAAGGATGGTAAACAGCAGGTCAGGTGGGGATAGCAGATCAACAGGGAAGATATCCGCCAGTACAGACACAAGGCCCGCACGAACAGAAGCAAGATTGGAGCGAAGGGTATCAAGTTTGGACCTAGATCGAACATGAATTCGCAATAAACATCGCGTTCAGAAGAAACAGGTACCTTTCCCAGGTGATTTCTTTGGCTTGGCTCTGCTGTAGTAAATCCAACCGTTCCACCTCTTCCCTTGCCAACAGCAACAGCTCTCTTCTCTGATTCAGTTCCGCGCGCCGTTCCTGGATTTCGAGTTGCTCTAACAATTCGTCAGCTGGGAGCGCCTTATGCGGCTCGGAGAAGCACCCACTTTGCGAACACAAATTCAGAACCGAGTGCTGGTCCTTCCTCAAATCCCCTATTCGGTCTTGCCTTTCAGAGATTTCACGTCTCTAGTGACCCTTGGTCAGCTTTACTCCTACTTCAATCCAGTCACTACATACCAGGGGCGAGACATCATCATCGTGGACGAGGTCATTGAGCTTCCGAGTAAGTGCTTCCAAAGAAGTGTTGTTGTCGACAATGCATGCTTGAAGAGTAGCAAGCCTGTCCTCAGTGGTGTGTCAGCTCTCGCAAACAAATAGGAAAGAAGAAGACATTACTGGAAGATATCGGGCCATGTTTCCGTATTAGAAACTTTGTGGGTGTCCTCAACGGCCTTGCCTCTCCTGCGCGGTTTCGAGGGGGAAAGGTCCAACGGTTCGTCCTTGCTCCCGGATTCACTTCGCGGTGTCTTGCGCATTGTGGGCTCGGGATCGGAGGAATAGCCGATGGACGGACTTGAAGGCCTTGATAACGCTTTACTTTGGCAGGGTAGGCGATAGGTTTGTCCATGGGGTGCGAGCGTGAGCAGCAGGGTGTTGGAAGGAAACTCTGCGTGGTCTTTCGCCTGTTTCCCCGTCAGAAAGCGGCGACAAACAGGGCTGCATTCTTGCTCACCTCCACTGGAACGGGAATCAATTCACCCAAGTGAACATCCCACTCGTCTAGGACTTTCCACATAAATCCCCTCTCGTTTGGATATGGTGGGGGACCAGGTGTAATTTGTTGATCCGCATAGATGTCTACAGGCATCTTTCCCCAGATTGTCACGCGAAGTGCCTGTGCATTGAGACATGTCCATTCGGAGAAGGAGGATAGGAAGTGCGAGCCGACACTGAACTCGGGATTGGTAGAGGGTCGATGTATAGGCGAAAGGTACTGTAACTGGGTGGGCTCTAAAGGGAAAGGTTTCAGGGTTAGGGGCGCATGGCCGGATTCCGACCTTGTCCTGGACAGAGCAGGCGGAGAAGGAACCTTGTTCTTCGCATGACCGGAACTTGCTTGTCGGGTATGTTTCCCATCGGGAGGCAGCTTGTGTCTCTCCGAGATGGCTGATGCGTCTGCCAGGGTTAGGCTTCGGATGTGCTTCGACCCTGGTATTGAAGAAGACCGAGATGAAGGGGTATGTGATCTAAACTGGGTCTTGGAGGAAGGTGCGGATTTCAAGGGAGCAGGGAATTTACCCTTGTTATCAGGTGAATTAGGCGGGATGTGATTGGCGGATTGCGGTGCTAAGGGTCCATCAGGGACTTGCGACGGAGGCTCGACGACAGTAATAACCAGGCAGGTCTCGAGGAGTCGGGAATTGATGACCTTCTCGAGACCCTTCTGGGAGTTGTCGGAGAGGAAGGAAGAGGTGGCGGATATGGTAGATATGGCGCTTGCTGTGTTTCCTGCATGACCAGAAGCAAGCGTCCGGACGCTAATTGACGAGGCTTTGGAGCTTGTCCGAGGACGAGGGTTCTTTGCAAGGGGATTCCCTCGTATTGTAGCGTTTCCACTACCACTCGCAGCGGTGAAACTGACCCTTGAGCCAGATGTCTTTCTTGCGCGTATGGTGCCTGTAGTTGGGCTGAGTCCCGCTTCCTCGTCTTCAGGGACAGGGTCATCCCATTTGATGACGGACTTTGAACCAACAGAACTTGTTGAAATCTTGCGGGTGCGTCTCCGAGACGTACTCATGTACATGTCGTCCGCAGCGAATGACCGTGTTAAGGTCGACTCGCTCGAATGCGATAGGGCGGAAGTGAAGGCATCACGGACTGGGAATGGAGTGAGGTTGCGAACTTGGATCGAGGCAATATGTCGAATACGGCGCTGTCAACCAGTTTCAGGCCACAACTGTCTACAAAGGCGATTGGTAGCCACTCACCACCAACAACGGCGCGTCAAGACCATCATCGACGTCTCCAACGGATCTGGCCATATGTCGCGGGGAATGTAATCGGTGGTTTGATGTGGACGTTCAAGGTGAATCTGAGCGAATGTGCGAAATGACGTTGATGGTTTGCAATATACTGGGCTGTCGCATTCATTTGTTGTAGCGAGAAGTAAAGACTATTAGAGTAGCGTATAAACCTGGAAAGGACGGGAATTCTGCATGGTTGATGGTGGTCAAGGACGATTCTGGGTGTTTGGCCAGATCCGGATGTTCGGCGTCACTTGAGCTTGAACTTCAACCACCATGTCGTCCCCAAAACCCCCAGCCGAACAACCCTCGGCATCTCCTCAAAAGACTGCAAAGGAGATTGAGGACTCGATAATGATGCCCCCACCTCCACCTCCAGCACCAAAAGTCATCTTGGACCCAGAAATGAATGCATTGCTGGAAGCGCTGAAGGTTTGTGTACCTCAGTAATGACATTGGACGTTGTTCAAGCTTCACTTAGAATGCGGCTGCGCAAGCAGGATTGGCACTCAAATTCTACAATACCACGCTCCAACAGTGCGTCTAGGACTAGGAACAAGGCGCCAAGGTTTCCACTCACCACTGGCCTCGTACATACAGCGGAGTGAAGCACGTCCAACCACCGCAATCAGTGACCGCAGCCCTTGGACGAGAGATCGAGCGATACGATCAAATATGCGACTGTATGGAGGCTCACGTCGTGCGTCCCGCTCAGGAGGTCTATTCTGTGCAATTCTAACTCGCAGTCCAGCTTCGCTCACTTGCCGTACTTCAACGCGACCTCAAAAAGGAAGAAAAGAGGATCGAGGACGAACAAAAGGCGCTCAAGGCGAAGCAGGACGAGGAGGGCAAAGCGGCCGGAACACCACCGCCGCAAGACACGTCCGACGCTCAGGCTCTTAAAGCAGATGCGACTTTACCTTCTCTACCCAACAGTTCCCCAGTGTCCAGTCATTCAGGAAGGCGCCCCTCCGCCATATCAATTTCGTCTCTACATAGACCATCGCTTCCCGGCAAGCTGGATCTGTCATCGGCCACATTCCGTCTCTCCGCAAATGAGGACGATGCAATCTTCCAAAGTGGACTGGCGTCCCCTGTTACCCTCGCACCCAAATCCGCCCGTCCCCTGGGGCCAAACGAGCTTCCACCAGACTTCATGTCAGCGTTCGGGGGCACAAGCTCAGACCAGGGGGGAAGGCCACCCGACATTGACCTTACCTTGGCCCCGGTCATGCAGGCCTCGACTCAATCTGCAATGGATCTTACCCTGGGGGATTCGTCAGACAAGCCCATCGAACTGGACTTGGACATGGATATGACGGAACTCTTCGGGGAGGAGCCCGATTCCGCTGGAACGGCTCAGGATGCTATTCCTAACACTGATGGCCTATTCTCCCAAGGAGAAGGGCCTCAAGACGCAGCTGCCTTCCTGACCGAGTCTCAGAATACTCTACTATCGGCCTTGGCTGCTGCGGGCCACTCTGGCGCTTCTCAATCTGCGAAAGAGGATATGCCATCTCCAGGTACTTTGCTTCGTTCCTTCCCTTCTCCGGCGAATCCAGAAACCGAAAACAATGAAAACAACGAAGAGTTCAACTTTGACAACTTGAGCCTGTCTCTGGGTTCCGAGTTCTTCGCCAACAATGGGCAACCATCGGCGGACATGAACTTTGACTTTTCGACGATGGGTAATACTGTCGACGAGAATGTCAAAAAAGCAGACGCCGCATAAGATAGGTTCACCTTGCTTCTACCGTCGTAGGATTCGTATACTATTACAATACAATAAGTCTGCAGGTCACGATGACTCGGACCCGTTCCTTTTTTGTGGTCGTGATTCCGGGCTAGCAATATACTTATCTATTCGTTTCCGGAGCGCATGGTCTGGCCGCACTCCAACGGTCTGAAGGGCGTGTCCAAGTCTTGTTATAAGCTGAAGTCGTTCCGATTCTTCAATGTCATCGGCGGTCATGACTGCCTGGACAGCTCGGGCCAATCGACCCTTTGGACGATACGGTGCTGCGGTGCTGACGGCTTTTGGGATTCGGTGTTTTGCCTTGGAGGTGCCCTTTGTCTTTGGAGCCAGTAGGAGTGGTTCGAACACCTCGATTCTGAATCGGCGGTGGGCTAGGGACACCACTGGAACGATTCGGTCAGGGCCGCTGGCTGCCTCTGAGCAAGCTTCTGCGTATGCGAGGCGCTCGCCTGAATCCCCCTCTGAATAACCCCATTTCTTCAGTTCTTCTGCCCTCTTTTCTTTTAATCGAGTGGATATCTTTTCCCGGGTATCTTCAATGGTGATATTCTTGACCACGGATTCAAGGACATCGTTAAGTCGCAGCCATCCCCGGTCTTCATCTACAGCCCTCTTCACGTAGTGTCGATTGATGTAGTTGAGCAGCCTGTTCGCGGACTGGGCGCCTGCACTAAACCGGTTGAACGCCGGGATGAGATAGTGAACGAGGGTGGAATCGTCATCGGGGACCCCAAGGGCGATTTCCTGACAGACTTCCTGGAAGTATCTGTCCAGGTTCTCATATATGTCCGATCCGTTTGCTGGTGCTTTGCCACGACTAGAAGCTCCTACAGATGCAGCCTCACTCTGGGCAGTGAAACTGTGTAGAACGATAGGAATTGAGAAGATAAGCAAAGACGAGAGGATTAAGCGAGCATACTAGTTGTAGCAAGCAGAGTGTATCCCCGAATAAAGAACGACGTCGATTGCTGGAGCCTTGCCATTGGGGTCATTTGAAGGCGACTTTACGATGTGATCGAGTGCGGGCTTGATGTAAGCCCAGAGGGCGGACGCCGACGTCGCAGGGTTTGCGCTTCCCGACGCCAAGTTGGGAATGGCTGGCATGGCTGAGCGAATCCACTTGCTCGTTCTCGAACACTCGAGCTAGACCTGGAGACGGCGTTCTAGTTGACAACTAGAGTATGTTCATGTACGTGAGCGCTCACTCTGTGCGAATGGGGGGCAGTCGCTGTCTCCAGTGCGTTCCAGATGGCGGAGATGGCTTGGGTCGGACGTATCTCGTCGACGGCGTTAGCCAGACTCGAACTCGAAACCACTGCCAAGCAAAAAACGCGCCCGGGCCGGAAGACCGTCGGAGTCTGAATTCCTTTCAGCCTGGTTCTCAGTTCTCCCAGAGATTATGCGCGGTAGAACTAGTAAAACTGTGAAGAAATAGTCATTCCTGCCGTTATAGGTGACAGAAGTAGCACGTACATCCATCTAGTGCTCTAGTCCCATCTTCTCTCCCACCTTCACCAGGTAGAGAGACCAAACCTCCAGATCAATCCCTCGCGAACAGTGGAGGACGATGCGAGCGGCGAAGAAAACTACTAGAAGATTATTTGACCAGTGCAAGCCATTGTTATGGTCGACAGAGCCTGTATTCCCAACCTTTATAAAGGCCCTGAGGGTATCCGGGTTTCCGAGCGGAAGTAAACCACCCATCATTCACTGTTTGACGGTAGTTAGCCTTCAGCTGTCAACTCATAGGACTCACAGTGCCTTTGAAATGGGACTATCAGAGACAGCACCTGCCCCGCGCAGCGACAGAGGATAGTCGTCAAGAATGGAGGAGCCGGACTCACGGAAGCAACTTGGAAGTATTTTGATCAGGGTTAACGGAAATTGATCCGTTCTTTTGACTGTCGGAGCGGAGCAGTGAAGGTAAGGTCGCATGGATAGGTGGTCGTGCGGCTGCGCAGCTGAATTTATGCAGGACCTTTCAGCAACCATCTTGCATCCATGACATGACGATGGTCGGCGGTTATGATCGCATCCGGATCTGGTATGTGACAGATGTGATAACAACGAGGGAAGCAAAAGAGGAAATCGCGGAAGAAAGGCCCCTTTTAGGGGTGGTTCGTGATCGGTTCCTTGAGATTGGACGGAAACAAAGGGCGCTTGGCGAGCTAAATTGGGGTCACTACCAAATCACAATTTCTTCCGAGCCCTTTCGTTTGTCACATACCTTTTCAACGTCGGCAGTCATTATGAATATTGCTCATATAAAGTTCGCAAGCGCCATGGCTCTTTTTTCTCGTCCGTATCCCCCCTTCCGCAATGGTTCACTACACCCAGTTCTCGCTAAATGTCTTCGGCAAGTCTACCGTTTATTTTTTGCGATGTCAATCGGTATTGACGTCCCCACTGCCAGCAGCCAATGATGCAAGATACCACCCGTATTATACCGGCTACGAGGCCAGGTTATCGCCACCACCTCCTCCATTGCTGACGATTGAAAACACCTCGTACTCTAACGCCAATACCGCCCTAACCACCACCAAAGCCGACCACGATCGCGTCGCATCGAAGTCCCAATCACCCGGCGCTGTCGACAATAGCTCTTTGTCACCGTCGGTCCCCAAAACTCGGTCCGGGCGAGTGCCCCGCCCCAGAAACGCGTTCATGATATTTAGGTCGGCCTTCTGGGCAGAGGCAAAGATTACTCGCGACGTGGAGCACGACCACCGGCACATCAGCCGCATCATTGGACATTGTTGGAACAAGATGTCAGAGGAGGAGAAGAACGTTTGGCGCCGTAAAGCAGATGAAGAAAAGATCGAGCACGAGAAGAAGTACCCTGGCTATCGCTTCTGTCCTATACAACGTACCAAGAAGCCCATCAAACGGAAGGTCAAGCGTAACGGCGAAGAAGATCTCATCCGGTGTGAAAGACTTGCAGACCTCTTGCTGGCTGGAAAGCAGGGAGATGAACTTTCCGATGCAATCAAGGAAATGCCGCCGGTCACGAAATCCACCAAGTCGGCGTCAAATCCTGATGAACCGCCTTTCCGCAGTCCACTCCTGCCTCCGCTTTCCTTCGACCATGACAGGTCTTCTGGCTGCTCTTCGTCCGAGTCCTCCCCCCGGGTACGTTCTAGTCGTGTTTCCAGTATGTCCGCTGCTCACGATCAGAACCTTTGCAGACGCCGTATTTCTCTGCATCCGCACCCAGTCTTTCCCTTGAACTAACGCAGCACCCTCTGGATCTCAACTATTCACGGCGCTCTCTTTCCGAGTCAACAAAGACCGAGCACATCGTATTCGAAGCGCCAAACTTCCCTACGGCATCGTACTCTCTATACCAGTCCCAAGCATCAGCTTGTGCCTTGATGCGCTCCAACGATCTTCATGTTGAATCACTGCACAGCTCGGGTCACTGCGCCTCTTATCCCTCCACATACCCTCGCTCTGTTGTGTCCTTCTACAACCCATTCTCCCTCTGCGATCCCGAGGCTAATTCGGCTCCGGTCCTTCCTAGCCCATTGTCAAGTGCCAGTATAATGTCAGAACCGGTTCAATGGAACACAGCATATCCGTTCACGACATAGGCAAGACCACACCAACCGCTTTCGGTGCACCTCTCGGTTCCTAGCGCCTTCTGGACCGACTTTTTGTTTCTTTTAAACTTCAGAAAGTTCCATGGCTACCTTTGATTTTTGCCTTTATGTTTTCCCTCCGTTTGTTTCTTGCACAACGCGGACTTGTGACTTCGGTTCTTTTTATCGTTCGCACATATGCTTCTTTTTCTCACTATACTTTACGCTATGCCCCGACATAACGATTCAAGGTGTAACATAGACGGAGAGGGTTTATCATACATACAACAAATTCAGGGCTCCACCCTTTGTCACGATACTAGAGCAGCAGTTACCATGTACCAGTAATCCGGGGACCGGTTTTATACCGTCAGTATTTCGAACGCTTTCACCCCTTCCTTCCCGTACAACGTCGCGCAGCCGACAACGTCCGCACCTGCATCGCGCATCCGCTTCGCTGCCGCCTTGCTGGTTACGCCTCCGACTCCGATGATCTTGAGACCGGAAAGTCGAGGGTATTGGGGCTCCCCGCCCCGGATTAATGTCGAGAACGTGTGAACGTTCCCCAGGGCGAGTGGATGCAGAAGATCGCCTGCGAGACCGCCTAGGGCGGTTGGGAGGGCAAATGGCCCGACAGTTTCGCCGCTCGCTTGGTCGGGAAATAGAAGCGAACTTCCCAAGGTGTTTGTGCATGTCAGGAACGATATCGGAGAAGCACCATGCGGGGAAGCGCCTGCATAAGACTCCAAGACTTCGAGGACCTGACGATACTGTTCCTTGAAGGTGTATGGAGGTAGCTTCAAACCGATCGTCAGTGTTCGGTCTTGGTTGAAGGCGTCCGCCAACACCTGAATGAGGGGGGCCATGGTGGGGAACGAGTACCCCGACGGAGAGGCGCCTGGGATGTTGGGGCACGAGGTGTTGATTTCTATTGCCACTCTCGAAGGGCGCCCTTTACGGGCGATATCCTTGAGCCGGGTACGCAGAGACTGGACAGAGGAAATCATCCCAAATATCTCTTCAGGCGTCGGAGCAGTAATGCTAACAATGATGGGCTTGTTGTCCTCTGTTCCAGTCAATATGGTCTCAACCCAGCTGAGGTAACTGGACAGTGGGTGTGGAGAATACCCATACGAGTTGATCGTAGAGGTTGTGCCTTGGGTGAATCTGACCTGCATGGCGTGTCACGGGTGGATCCAAGGCGTGTATTAACGACATGACTATAGCGCACCGTATGGACCTCAGGTTCGCGCTCCTGGAAACCATCGCGAATCGCCGTACGAGTTGTGATGGCGCCAGTGAAAGGCGACCCGTACAGCCTTTGGAGATCTTCCAGATCAGATGACCATGCACAAGAAGAATTCAACAGAGGTGGATCGACTTGTATGGTATTGATCGAGACCATACCCAAGTTGACGAAGGCAAGTTGCTCTAGCTGAGAGATTGAAGCGAACCCAAACCCAAGCGAACTGTCCTTATCGTCTGATTGTCATGTTAAACTGATAAGACAGGTTGGTAATCATGATGGCTCCTGCAACAAAGGAATAAGGATGACAACTAGAGAAGCTTTCGACAGAGCGTTCTGGCAATGTCCATACATGCCAGGGCGCGAAGAAAGAGATGTCATTTGAAGAGTTCTTCTCGTTCTAGGACAGACTTCTCGAGCTTGATCAGGATGGTCGTCCGTGACGGGAACTGTGAATTGGGGGTGTTATGTGCTGTCACGCGGGCCGGCTGTATCAACTCTTTCAGTGCATGAAAGAACATGTGGCGGAGAAGGGGAACTTACGAATCCTAATCCATCCAGAACAGCCTCGACGATGCCTGCAGTGAAGGAAGAACAGCTGAGCTGGCTCAAATCGCGAGGGACGGAGATATGTCGCTCGATAATTGGATCGTTGTCGATAATCATGTCTGTCCAGGGGAAGGGTCAGTTTATTGTATGACCTTTGAAAGAAGATGATTCACGCACACTCGTCTGCATTCTCGACACTCTTTTCGATTGCGTCGGCAGCCTTGCCAAAAACCGCTTTCCAGACTTGGGAGTGGATCATCATGAGTACAGGTAATAGCCGGATTTCACGTTTGGGTGCCTTGGAGGAGGATTCCGAGCGCCAGATCATGAGCTCGAGGACGCGCATGCCGATTCGATATCCCAGAGTGTTTAGCCTGGTTCAACTGCTTGGACACAAGTTTGCCAAAGATGAAACTGTTCTGGCAGACCTTCGTTCAAGGTCATTTATCCCGTTGACCCGTTTCTGAGTATACTGCACGATCTCCGAGAACATAAAGGCGAATGCTGAGGCGGAGACCTCTGCACCGCGAGTCTTGTTGAGGGGTCTATCATAGATGCTTGGGCCCGGTCTCGGTGGGGGCTTGAGACTGGAATGAGCTGAGTGGGTTGGAGGGACTGTTGGCAGCGAGAAAAGAGTTGCACTCGCTGTAGGAGACAGATGCTCGACAGAAGACAGGGAAGAATTGGAGAGAACGGACAGTCGAGGATGAGGTTGAGCGTAAGCCATAATTGGAGAATCCGCCAAGCAATTCGGCGACAAAACGACCGCCGCATCAACAGGGGCTGATGGCGACCTGACTGACATACATAGCCGTTGCACCCAACTCTTTCCCTGACTTCAATGTCATCGCAGGGAATCAATGCCTTCGACATTCAGTCTCATCTTTATTCCTCTTTTCTCCAAGGAAGGACGCCAGATGTAGCCCTTCGAGTATCAGGTCGATGGCATGCCGTCTATCAGCTCCATCGGGTTGTCCTCATCCAGTCGGTATGTTCGCCATTATACCGTATGGTATACTAGGTGTTCAACAGAAAACTAGGACTTCTTCCGCTCTCTCTTTACATCTGGATTCAGAGAATCTGTCGAAGATGTTCGAAGCCGCCGTCGTGGAGCAGATGAAATAAGCATCATATTCGACGACGCTAACATCACACGGGCAGGTATGCCCTTCACCTATCCAAGTAATCGCATCAGAGCTGACCGACTGCCCTTTAGCATTCGAGTGCGTCGAAACATGAATTACTGTCATTGTCAAGACTCTGACTGAACGTCTGAGCAGAATATGCCTGTCTAGACTTTATGGAGGCGGGCCACCTCTCCATCTCCCCCAATCTCTGGTACCATCGACATCTGAACCTCTGTCGACTTCGTTCATATCTGGTATCCTCCCAGAGCCAGTGCCTGAGGGATATCATCCTGCAACGCCACGGTTCCTCTTGTCTCTCCTCGCGACCTCCCTCTACCTATCTATCCCAGCCGTCGCCTCGCAAGCGCTCTCCATGATCTTCAAGACCATTGGCCCCTATACGGTCACAACCTACCTCAACTTCGCACTTGGCAAGTCAATTGACTATGCAGAAACCTTGTGGGCGGATCCAGAGGCAGGAGTTGGGCTTGAAAAGGTCGCCGAGCTCCTTGACGACGAGGGCAACTCCTTATCTCCAGAACCAGACGCTGGCGAGCTATCCGCCAAGATATCCTCACTCAGAGTGGAAGGAAATTCATCGGGGTATGACACAACATCTAAATCATCGGCAGTTTCGCTGAGCGAGACAGACTCGGTAGGCACTCCTCATCACTATGGCCCTATCTCGGATAAAATAGGGGCTGCGTGTTCGTGCTGGATTGCCCGCTGGGCACCCGAGATGCTCGCGTTTGAACAAGAGAAGGAGGCCAGTGCATCTCGACCGACTTCTCCGGCGGTACAAGAACGCCCTGTCCGTGCCGAAGGAGTATTGGACGTAGTTTCATCCGGTGGGCCCTACATCTGGCGGAGAGGGGGGTTGCATGCGTCATGGGTGTCCGCTCTGATCTCCTCGGACACTTTCTTTGTAAAGAATGAGCGGGAACGATATGACTTTGCTCGTTCCGTCGTCGAGCTTAGAAGAAAGCACGGGATCATCCCAAACGAAGAGCGACATTGGACAACGATGTTCGAAACTGGAATCTACTATGCCAATATGGTATGTTATATCCGTATGGTCTCGATGTTGTTGCGCTTACGGTTTCCATAGCCAGCCGAGGATCTCATAACCCTCTCTCGAGATACCTCCCCGACAACCAACAAGCCATACGTGTCCAAGGCTACACTAAAGGCCGCAATGTGGAGTCAGTCACTCCTTAGACATCAAATCACATACCGACCCCCTAGCTCGCCTGGCTCCCCTGCGTCACCGCCCCCGCGCGACAAGGAGATCGGTCTAGGAATCCCTACCCAAGACCTGGCCCACAATACTGACGACGAGAGCAGCACTCCTCAATTCTACTATCCAGTGTTTGGAGATGCATCCACCCGTCTCGGAGACAATGGCGGAGAAGCACAATCACCGTCCGACGGCAAATCAGTATCCATGGAGGAACTCTTCCTTTCCCCTCCCGCGATCAACCTCACTCGTCAAACCGTCAGCAGAGGGTCGACCCATAAGGTTCCCGTTGAGGCCTCAACTCCCAGAATACCTTCTTCGGAAGAGAGCGTGTTCGGACTTAAAGCAGAACGATACACGCTCGAAGAATGTGTTGCAGCAGACTCAGCTAGTACGCGTCGCTGGACGTCATTCCCCCCAACGCGGTTTGGAGTCGAGTTCTGGGACATCGACACACTAAAGGAAAAATCAAGGCTGCACTCGCATACAATCTGGCATGCTGGCAGTCTGTTCAATATCTACATCCAACTCGTCAAGAAGAAGGGTCAAATCCAACTTGGCATCTACCTTCAACGCCAGTCTTCTATCGAGCCCATCCCTTCCATCAGCGCGCCCAGTCCGGATTTGTCCAGATCAGTGTCTGACGAAGACTCGGGCACGACGAGTGAGCGTTTTGCGACAATTTCTCACCGTCCGGTATCACCCAGAGAATCATCGATGTCCCCATTCCTGAGTCGGATGGTCGCTGGCCCTTCTTCTCCGACCCTCCACTCCTCGCGCAGCCTCAACGTCCTCGAACGCGCCCGCTCGCAAACTCTACCATCTTCGTCTATCTCCCCTGCATCCTCCTCATCCCTCTCTTCAACCCCAAACAATAACTCCAACGGCTTTGGCACGCAGTCCTCCGTCACCCTCCCATATACCTCGAATGGGATTGCCCCCATCCAGCCATACCGAGACCCTCGACCCTTGATTTCAGCCTACTTCAGCATTACATGCGCCAATGCAACTGGATCCTCCCAAATGAAATTTACCAGCTCACCAGATGTGTTTTCCGTCGGCCAGAGCTGGGGCTGGAAGACCAGTTCGTTGAGGACGGAGGAGTACATGGAGATTCGACCGGAGGGCAGTTCAGAACCAATTATTCGTGGGCGCTTGAAGAGTTTGCGCGCAACGGTGGTGTTGGGTCTGACCTAGTTAAAATTATTCATTTCGAGTATGTGCTACTAACCTTGGACTTCTATGATGTATTAACATGATATCGACGGACAATACGATTTATCTCGGGACTCATTCACTGTCTCTCCTTTGATTTACTAACTTTGAGAACGCAACGAGACGAAACCTTGACTGACAGTACGACGGAATGAATAAAAATGTCCCTCTATTAGCTACGTGTGGATGGATGGATAGGTAGGCAGGCAAAGGCAGAAAAGCGTCGAGCGCGATAATAAAACGTTAAACAAGAGTGAATTATTATAACGACCATATCTTAACTGTGGCATCTCGACCTCCTGTCGCCAGATACCGATCCATATATCTCAGTGTTTCTACCGGCTTTGTATGTCCATTTGTCAACAGCGTAGATTGTTGACCTGACGTGCGGTTGTATATCTAAGATAGCAAGTATGAGATGGCGGTACCGACGAGGAAGAAAGAAGCGGGACGCTCACCCTGACACCATTGTCACCAGCAGCAGCAACGATCTTCCTAGAGTCGAACTGTAGGCTAGTCACCGGGTGGTCAAAGTGGAGGGTCTCGAGGATTCCGCCGGTACGAAGATCCCATATACGGAGCGATTTGTCGAGACTTCCAGTAGCAATATGCAGCTCATCGAACTGGAGACAGGTTATTGGTCCAGTGTGGCCAAGCAACGTGCGGTGCGCTTGACCAGTACGCACTGAAGATGTAGGTTAGTACGAAACAAATGTAAGGTGCACAGGGCGACTCACTGTCCCACATCCGTACAGCACCATCCCCACTTCCGCTAACAAGACCGTATCCCCAGAACTGAACCCCTCCAACAAAGTCGTGATTATTAAAGTCCCATGCCTCTGACGAGGGGGCAGGGTTTCCGAGGTTAAAAGAGCTGGTCAGACTGAATGGATCTGAGTAGATAGAACTTGACGATGCGCCAACCGAGCCTTGTGGATGCGAAATGGCCCAAAGGATGTCCATGGTCATGACACACTGTCCAGTAGTCAAATCCCATTGTCGAAGGGTCTTGTCTGAAGCACCGGTGACGAGACACTCGTCTTCAAAGTACAGTGCAGTGACTCCGCGTGAATGACCCTCCAGCACTCGGACACAGGCACCTTCCTTGGAAGTCGTGCTGTTCTCCCGGCTCCTGGGAGGATGTTCACCTTCTGAACTTTCCGCTGCACCACTTTCATCTTCCTCGACAACATCAGGCAGACGATCCGGTTCGCCAACACCCCAACCTTCATCTTCATCGACTCTTCTCAGATCCCACAAACGGATATTGCCATCCTCCCCACCAGTCAGGCAGACGTGGTCCTCAACCTGGAGGCACTTGACTGCGCCGACATGTCCGCGCAGCCTGCCGATCTCTGAACCTGTCAACAAGTCCCAAACTCGGGGTTGGGCGTCTTCCTCGGAGGCGCTAACGAGGATGCCGTAAGGCTCTGAAAAGTCGAGCGCGGAGAGTGGTGTCGTATGGCTATCCAGGGTCTAAACCATGTTTAGAATTTTGGATGCGATGATAGGAGGTGAGCGACTTGCCATAAACGCAACGCCAGGAGGTAGTTCGTCGTGTTCAGAAGGAAGGAAGGCAGGTCCTAGATCACCATCTTTCAACAACCTGACGGAATGTTCAAATATATGATCAGAGACAGACCTTTCCGCCTCCTGGAACTTGCAGGAAGATGGAGGGACTTGTCGACTTGCGGCTGAAGGTGACCCGTCTGCTCCTCGAAACGAATCCGCTCTTTGACACCTTCGACTATGAAAGCTGTTAGAAGGTCGGGTTGAAGGTGATGGATACGGGGTTCCTCACGTTCGTCGTCAAGCTCGAGCTCGTCCTCTTGCAGCTTCAGAAGATCCTGCTCCAACTTTGTCCGAACTTCATCCAAAGCGCGAATTTTGTTGGTGATCTCTGCGATTTCACCATTGAGGAGGCTCTGGCAGCACGTTAGCGACGATGCGACTACTTTCCTGTAGAGACACATACTCTTTTAACATGAACATTCTCTTTGTCCCGCATTATTTCTGAAATCTGGCGTGTCAGCTCTTCCTTGCCCAGTCGTTTTTGTGCGCTTAAACTTTCTCTTCCCCTCTTCTTTTTCTGATGTGAGATGACGACCATATCCTCTTCGCTCCCAACACTTTGACCGTCGTGATTATCCTCCTCCTCGGTCAAGAGACCCCTCGCACTCATGCCCAACTTCTTCAAACCCAACCGGGGTGTCTCGACATTCCGCATCTGACGCCTTCGGATGCGACCTTGGTCGGCGGTGGGGATGGTGGCCTTGAAGCCACGTAACAAGCTGACATCGGATGCGACCCCTTCAGGTTCCGGAACTTCAACTTTCAACAACTCTTCCGTCGCCTCGAGAATTTGCAAGTCTCCCGACGTGATACGGCGCGAACCCAAGCCGAGGCGTAACGGGGCACGGCCCAAAGTCGCAAAGTCCAATTTTGAGCTGGACATTCGTGTTTGGACGAGTGCTGAGCGCGGACGTGAGGACACGGTTGCTGCGTTGTTGATCATACGCGGAGTCATGATTACGGGGGCTACTGTTGAAGGCATTGTTGGAGAACGTCAGCGTGGGGCTTCATAGGGAGAGAAACAAAGAGGTAAGCACAGTCAGACAGTATCCTGGTTGACTCTGATTTCTTGTGGCTTGTAAAGGGCGCCATGAATGCCTTCTGGACGAGTTCTAGTTTGCTAGGGCCTGTACCGGTTTCTGAAACTGAGGACTGGTCTTGGGAGGAAGGTGGGTTGGAGCGACGACCATCCTTGGAAGAACGAGAGCGAGAATCAGAGGCCATGGGGTTGGGCCAAGGTGACTGCTTTGGCGACGTCGACGACGACGACGACAATTGGAGAAGAACTTGCCAATTTTCCGATGAAGAACGGTTTGGTGTAAAGTGCCAGACAGGCCAACGGTCGGGATCCCGGCTCGCTCAAACGCGGTTCAAATTCTCACGTCGGAGTTCCTGACGTTGGGTTTCTATTGACATCATCCAGAAAAAAAGTATATTTCGAATTAGTGTTTATACATGCATTAGATATCTCGAGCGTGTCTAGGAGGGCTGTCGCTCGGATGACCAGCTAAAATCAATGATGAGATCCAAGCCATACGGTCGCAAGTCAAAGTCTCGTTGTAGGAAGGACAGGGATGACCCTATCAGTTTATGCTGTGGCTGCGGGGCAGGCGGTTCAGGTTCAGGCTGTGGATCGCTATTGGCGTCACCCTTTGCCTGATGGCGAGACCAAATCTCCTTGAACGAAGGCATCTTGAGACGACGTATCCACTGTGCAAGGGGGGATGAGCCCTGGACGCAGCATTGACGGTCGTTCTGGGCTGGCATGAACATCGGCGTACTTGCGTCGGAAGTGTTCGTGGATGCGAGGACCTCTGCCTGTGCGCGTTCCAGTTCGTTCTTGAGTCTAGTGACGCTCTGATGTTCCCAGTTGGAGACGTTGAAGGGTTGGAAGAAGCCTCCAGATGTGAGGTCACACCAGCACCGATCGACAGGGCGTATCATAGTGGGCAATGGCATGGTGTAGTTTGGGGAAAGACTTGAAGACAAGGCTTCAGCAAATGTGGTGATGTTGTCGGCCCATGGAACTGAGAGGGGCGTGTCGAGGGGAAACGGCTGCCAGTAGCACGATGAGACAAATAATGTGGTCAATAAGACTATGCAGTAAAAGCTATCCGGCTGAGTGAGTCTTTCGTTAATCTAAGGAGAATGACGGTTGCTTACCATGGCTTAGCGTGGAGGGTCAATGAAAAGAGAAAGAGGAGGAGGAAGAATGGGGGCGCTGTTGGTATTGGCAGCAACAATAGGGGTAGAAACCATCTTGTACACCTAGAGAGAGTGAGCAGGGGAGTAATGAAAGAGAAGATAGAAACATACCACATCGTCGTGTGGAGACAATTGCAAGTGAAGCAGAGTGTGATGCGAGGCTGCTGACGAAAGCAAGAGTGATCAGATCAAAGACTTTGCCTTCTAGAGTCTTCTACAACCTGTCCACCACCCAATAAATACGCTTCTTCTCTCTCTCAATCTTCATCTACAACAATGGTCCAACACCCAGAAGTCCTGTGGGCTCAGCGCAGCTCAACCTCTGATGCAGCAAAGGTATGTTTCATCATTATCTCTTATCTGATGTCGCGCTCCTTGACGCGTTCTTTTCTGCCAGAACATCATCTACCTTACCGTCAACCTCCCAAACATCGACCCCTCTACCCTCGAGTACAAGCTCACTGCCAACTCGATCCATTTCAAGGCCAAAGCCGGAACGTACGTGCTTTGTTGCAAACACATGGGACCTCGTGCTTAACTGCAATCCAGCCCCACAGCCGACAAGGAGTACGGCTTCGACATTGATCTCTTCGAGGAGGTAGATCCCGAGGTATGATCCACTCTTGCAGTAAGTAAAGGCAAACTTCTGACGGAAGACGAATTAGGCATCCAAGAACAACCTCACAACGCGATCCCTCGTTGCAGTGATTCGCAAGAAGGAGCTCAAGGAGGAATACTGGCCCCGTCTCACCAAGGAAAAGGTCCGCAACGCTTTCATCAAAACCGATTTCGACAAGTGGGTGGATGAGGACGAACAAGACGGCGGTGCACCCGATCTTGATGATATGGGAGATGACTTTGGCATGGGAGGTATGGGAGGTATGGGAGGTCCAGGCGGAATGGACTTCAGCAAGGTAAGTATACTTGCAGCTGCTAATTAACTTCTTCCGAATTCTATGCTAACTGCTTTTCTTAGATGATGGCCCAGATGGGTGGGGGTGCAGGTGGCTTCGACCCCAGCTCTCTCGGAAATCTTGGAGGGGATTCAGGCCCTTCTATGCCAAGCGGTGACGATAGCGACTCGGATGACGACGGCCCACCACCTCTCGAGGACGCCGAGCCCGCAAAGTAGACACCATCCAGATGCAAAATTGAGTACGAATTGTGTGGCTACATTGACGAATGAACAAATGCTGTTCGTAACGCTGGAACAGAAGTACTTTACGGGTCACTCCACATAAAGAGGGCGCATGCCGTCGGAAGCACTGAGCAGCTGGTAATTGCAACATTCAACTGCGGTGACCTCGACTAGATTGTAAGAAAGCTACCACCTGTGCACAAGTCAACTGAGAGGCCAGGGTAACATCGTGGCCTCGGGCATTGAGCAACTTCTCCGCGGTTACTTTCGAGATGCCCCGTTTTACCGTCACAGTGTACAAAGTTTTATTCGGGGAACGCGCGAGTTGCGACGCGCATTGTAAATGCGTTCAGTGACTCTTCCCTGACCAGTGACCAAGACCAAGCTGGTCATCTGCAACCCAGCTGTCGCATTGATGATTTGTCGCCTCCCGGAAACCTGGATCGAGGAAGAGATCGTGCAGTTCCTCTCGCAAAACGGGATCATGTATCGCCTCTTCTTCCCAAAGGAGTCCATCTCTTCCAACCCTTCCCGGAGCCCAGGCATCTATAGAGGCTATCGGTTACCAGTTCGGAGCCTTGGCCACGTCTTCACCAAAGAGGATTATGTGATGACTACGTCGAGGCAAGGACATTGCTACTTGCACAACCGCATATGCAGGCAGCTATACGCCGTGGTGGGATCGTATGGCGCCTAGCGCTATCCACGATGTTGGGTACCGCATTCGAACTACCAAAATTGACCGGAAGATACCTCACCGCTAAACTGGGTGACGGCAACGCTGAGGACAGCGAGTATGTCGAGGATGGATTGACTCTAGTGGAACTGGACTTGATATGCGGAGCGTACGAATGCACCGACGGTAAGTTGCATTGCAAGTTCCTTGTGAATGGCGACATTGACGATCGACAGAGCATGGCCGATTAGCTATAAGGTCTTGGTGGCCATTGGTCCGTTACTGGGAAAAGGACGAGTGTGGAGAGAATTATGGACGTTGGTGTAATCGTCGTGAGGCATGGTATGTTAGCCGGTTGGAAGAAATCAAGGAAGGCTTCGTCGATAAAGGGAACAGCTCGAAACGAGGGAAACCGTTCAGCTATACGGAGTGGAAGTCGTGCCTTAGGGGGCAGAGACCGATTCGCCTGTTCCACCAGGCTGTACGGCAACTTGCAAGCATCTACCGAGTATATCGAAGTTCACCTGTAGTTTTCCGAAACCTGATTTTGCGAAACGGTATCACTATTGTATTTTCCGTGGTTTGATCTATGTGCTATTGACCAACGAGCATAGCTCTATCGCACGAGGTTTCAGCTAGATTCCGAGAGAAATACCGTCCATATGCAAAATGAGTGTGATTGTAAAGCTACAGTAATGGATACAATGGGGGTATAAATTACAATCCTGCACAACAGTGACAAGACAGTCAATGTCCTGTCACCCCTTCAAGTCCTTTACTCGACAGTGAAATAGACAGTGTCATCCAAAGCTCCTGTACATGGAGAAAGCCCACATCAGTACCATTCAATTCTAACTTGTGTATGAGACGTACCGTGTTGTGCAACAGCGACGAGCACAGGCTGGTGGTTGGCAGCAGTGTTGATGGAAGAGAGCCTGTAGAAACCAGCAGGCAATCCAGGAGCGGGAACGTCAGCAGTCAGGACCCCGTTATTGGCAGCGGCGTTCATGCCCTTGAAGAAATCAAATCGAGTAGGGTCAAGAGGAGTGGTCTGTCCCAGAGATTCGAGCTTCTGGATGACGACATGAGAATGGCCACGGATGATACCCTGTCCGTTGATTTGCTGAGGAGCAGAGAAGTAGTTAACATTGGGGTTAACAAAGTTCCCTGTCTCGAGGTTTTGGATCGCCATTTCAATTCGGAATGGGGTACCAGCAGCAACGGTTCCACCATTGGGAGGGAAGATGAACTTGGAAGTGGGCATCCTGGACTTGGCGGCGATCACACCCATAGGCGCCGGGTTACATGAACCACCCTCAACTTGGGCGCCGTTCGTCAGTGGGAGGGGGACGGTCAAGCAGAAGTTGATGAAGTTGTTCGTGGAGGTCAGGGAGGCCACCTGGCCCGCGGAAGCTTCAGCTTGGCCATCGTCATCGAAGCGAGCAATTACAGCAGGGTCCAAAGCTAGCAGTGAACGGTTAGCGCCATGGTCTTTTTTCGCCACCAACAAATGCCAGACACGTACTTGTCGATGTTTGGGGGTTGCCATTGTTGTTGTTTCCACCCTACACCGTCGTCCGATCGTCAGTTGTCGTCGATCGCAATACAAAAGAGGAAAGTTCCCTACCGCTGGTGGTTGGTTGTTGCCTCCGCCATTGTTATTGCCACCACCGTTACCTCCACCATTATTGGGTTGGCCATTCCCGTTGCCTCCGTCAGCACCGTTGTTGCCGCCATTTCCTGCTTCCCCCCCTGTGTTTCCGTTATTACCGCCAGTTGCACCAGTCTATCATTGATCGGGAATGATACGAAATCATTAATTAGTTTCAGCGCGTCGCGCCCAAGGTTAAAGGTTTCGATAGGGGGTGTTACGTACCGCTGCAATCCGGGCGTCACGATCAGCTGCTGTGGTGCAGGTGATGCTCGTTCCAGGTGCATTTACGAGAGGCAAAGCCGCACAACTAAGTACAGATTCAGACAAAGGGTGTGGTCAGTCCTCCGAAGAATGGTCGTTTGTTCTGGGCCGTTACACAGTTTTCACTCACATTGTTCCAGGAGCACATGGCTGAATAACGAATCTCCCACCGACGCATTGAGCGAAACCGTTGTTGACACATGCATTCTCTCCGTTATTACAAGGTGAGTCGGCGTTCAAGGAGGAGAATCGGTTGCTATGGGAAGAAGAATGGGTTGAGACTCCACCGTCAGCGCGCATACCCGGAGAAAATACTGCCGACGTAAAAGCGGATCTGCCTCCGGAAGACTCACTTGAGCTCAATGGCATCCTGGCCGTTCTTTAGCTGGAAGCCACCTTGTTGTCGTCGGTATATCGAAGAATTGGGAAGTCCGAGCACGGCTCCAGCGGTCGCAAGGAGAATGAAGGCACGCATTTTCGCTGTCTGTTTTCAACCAGGAAATTGTTTCGGAGAAGGGTTTGAAGGAAGAACACGAGCGACTTTATTTGGGGAGAGTCGAAGTGGTGTTGTAGTTGGTGTGCAGAAAGTAATGAAAGATAACGATCGCTGATCGTTTGAAGGGAAAGAAAGTGAAGAGGATGAAAAGGGAAAAGAGTGGAAAGAAAGCCGAAGGGGTGGGGATGGATCGGTTCTCAATGCATGAGGCTTTATATACATATGCCCCATTTGAGGCCATCGACAGAACAGTGCCACCCCATCAATAATGGGTGGTGACAATCAGGTTTGTACGCGCTGGCGTGGAGGAACGATACAGTGCGCGATTGTTTGTATTGTGTGCCGGTTGCCGATTTAGCCAAGGGGTGGCATGATCAATAAAAGCGGTCTGTCAAGGGCACGGCCGGGGTTGGCGGGAATTGGCTCGCAACGTGACGATGGTTTCCGGAAAAAGAACTGTCACACAACTGCATAGCCCAAATCATCGTAAATGCCAGGAAACGAAGTCTCTGGAGGTCGAGGAGAGGAGAGATCATCAACCTGCCATTCGACTGAGCGCGGTCATTGATTTGGAGCAGCAATCCAGCATCCAACCGAGATGCAGAACGTGGTATCAAATGGACCCCCTACCAACGAGTAGCGTTATTGACGTAAACGAGTGTATCGATGACAATCGTATTGCCCAGCCGCCCCTCCAGCATATTGATCCAGAGGACTAGGGCCATGCCACACAGCCGGCTTGGCTAGAGTTCAATGAGGATGGATTCCCCATGCTTCGTCGCTTTGACCCTAGTGGGATCAGGGATATTTAGTCGACAGGCATTCATAAGTTTGAGAGCATATGTACCCTTCGAGATTGGGGATGATAACATCCGGTTGAACGTCCGAAGACAGGAGACGATCTTGCGTTGTAGACGTGCAAACGGCGAGGACACGGGAGCCTGCTGCTTTGCCTGCCTTGATGCCGGAGATAGCATCTTCGACCACAAGACCTACGCAAAACATGTGAAGCTACCAGCGAGAAAGAATGTAGAGAGATACCAACAATCATTAGATTTCACTCCACACAAACTTGCGCCAGCCTCGTAAGGATCAGGATGAGGCTTCCCTCTGGAAACATCATTAGATGTGATGATGCCGACACCTTTGGGGAGTGGCAGTCCCGCTCGTTCCAATGCCCTGAAAGCGAATTTGTTGGAAGCTGATCGGAGATTAGAAAATGCCGCAAATACAAGAGCAGCAGCGCCTACGTACCTGAAGTTACAATGGTCCACTTCGCGTCAATAGCATTCAACTTCATTGGTGTTAATATCCGGCGCGCGATGATGTAATGGACAGTAGGCACGACGGACATTGTTTAACAGCACCAGGGCTCCCGGTAGAGCAACAGGACCGCCAGCAATGACTTCACTCTCAAAGCGGTCTATTTCTTCCTGTGCATTGGCCAACCAATTAGAATGCTTGCCGAAGTGTGGTTGTTTGCATGTAATAGGTAACCCACCAACAATTTGGCTTCGTCGTCTACTTTGCAATACTCCCTAATGGTATCGTACAGCCTTCTTCCATGCGTTTCATGTGCAACCTTCAGGGAATCGCCAAGAGAATAGTCTCTTGCGAATATTTCCCATGCTTTCAGGACGCCTGGTGTAGAGTCGATTAAGGTGCTGTGTCGATGCCGGATTCGTCGCTGAAGATTAGATATATGTTGGAGAGCAACCAGTTGCTGGAACCATCACACACCCATCCATATCAAACAGGATCTGATTCACGAGAAGACCTCAGGCTTAGATTTGTCAAAGACGAGAACCAGAACACTTACAGCAGCAACGGATATCTGTTGGTTGTCTCCGGGTTGGCCAGTCATCTTTGGGACGAAGATGGAATGATGTCTGAAGGCGGTGGATGGTTGAGCTGGATTTCTAGGAAAGAGTAGATCGGGAAAGGTATGCAGCAAGGAGGGAGAGATACTTGTTGTTGAACAGAACTAAAGAGCGTCAACCGAATTATCGGCGAAATTTGAAGCTTTGATGGCGGTGGTGATCGTTGAGCACGATTGTACAATCGAAACCAGCGTCTACCCGGGACTCAACGAGAAACCAGAGTATGTCTGTATTGCATAATTCTAGGACTGCTTCTTTCCGAGGTAATATACAGCGAAAATCGGTGTCGGCTTCGTTGCTTTTCCCGGGTAGCAAGCGGGCGAAGTAATGGAAGAAGGTTGGGGAAAGCATCGTGGACAGGTACAGAACCGTCGACTCCCCCACAGGTGCACACCAAATCGTGTACGGAGTGCTGACCGAAGAAGACACTGATGGATACACGGGTTGTTCAGAAACGTTACAACTCACCACGGTCATTCTGGCCCTTTCCAGCTCCCGGTAATGCGGTAGTTCTTTGAAGCGGTCAAGCTGAATGCAGCAAACGAATTAATCAAATCCATAGCATTATAAAGATAGAGTACGGGGTGGGGGTTACACAGTCAGGCAAGTATTCAATTGCCTGTTGCCTGGCGCTTTCTCTCTTGCTCCCATCTGGCTCGCATGAGTTGGGCACCGTGGTATTTTGAGCGGACGACAGGGTCTGCTGCGGCGAGTTGCATTTGGATAGCCTGAAGCTGAGGAACGTCCGTTCGGATGACCTGTAATTCCAAAGTCAGCCAGGACGCAGAGAAACCGGTTAGCTCCGACGTACCGAGCCAATGGCCAAGAAGAAGGAGAAGGTGGCAGCGCTACTCAACATGTACTGAGATAGTGTCGCCATGAACCCACGGGGACCTGCTCCATGTCTGGGGACGGTCAGGGCCAGCGCGACGAAAGGTGAGGAGAAAGCATACCGAATGATACTCCACGAGCCAAAGATGAAACCAATGGTCAGACCAACACCTCCTCCCATGAGGGCACCCATTCTACAACGCAAAAAAATGTAAATGCCTTGAAAACAAAGGATCACGGTGGAACGTCATACTTGACTGCAAAAGAGGTGACGATGTCAGTATGCTTCAACGGGAGAACATTAACGCGTTTACGAACGTTTTTGCCAGATAGAAACTTCATGGCCGTGGTGTTGAGGTGGCGGAGGCATCGTGAACTAGTCGTTGTCGCTGGACGGAGACCTGTGAGCTGGTGGTGGTCGTTGCAAACGAGAACGGCAAAACCACCGACACCGGAAACGGTCAAAGTCACACCCGGTTACATAAACGGCGCGTAAATCCCATGTCTTCCTCCTCCTCCCAACACCGACTCCAGTTCCCCCAGGCCCAACAGGCCCAAATCAGTACGGTTGTTGGTTATTACACTGGAACTCTCTAATGAAAAATAGTCAGAGCGAACCAGAGGGACATATTCCATGTAGCATCGTTAAAGGAGCAGGCCGAGGCAGTCTTGCGGTCTTGGTTAGGTACCGTCTTCGAACACATATCTCAGCCCGGTCTCACATCGAATAGGGACAAGGTGGCTGCAAAGATGGGACAAGGAACTGGATGCAACCATCAGGCTCATTTACTACGGGTTAACCACAGGGAGAGGTAATTAGGATCCGCCGTTGCCCAGTGCTTCTTCCGCTCACCTTGTTCTCTGCCAGCAACGCAAACCCTGGGTGAAGAGTACACTGATATATGGCAATACGACTCACGGCGGACACGATTCCCTCCAACTTCATTACTGCGGCTCAATCTCATTGCATTGAATGTCCTTCCTCCTTATATCTTAGCCAAACTCACCAGCAATGCCAGTCTCGGCGCTCGACGACCAGAACTCATGTCATGGCTCAAGTCGCTGACAAAGGTGTTATCAGTCGTGAGCGAGGTCAATCTTGCCCTATTTTATCTTAGGGGTTCCTATTACGATCCAGTGAAGCGGTTGCTGGGAATCAAGAATGTGAGTGGGCCAGCTCGAATTCCTGGCTAACTGCTTTAACTGACGATCCCTCGCAGCTATCGTCTCTACCGGAGAATCCGCATACAAGGCCGCCTTCATACTCCCTCCTTGGGGTGATGATCGGCGCCCGCTTACTTTACCGACTCGTCCAGGCGCTACAGCCAGTTACCCCGGAGGCAAAACCAACCAAGGCTACCGGAGGCGCCGCTTCAGACACCTTTTTGGACGACCGGTCGATCGAGACCGTCATTCGAATGCAGAATGTCGAAGACCAGCCGTTAATAGATGCCGAAGATGACGAGGGGACTGTACTTGATATTGCAGCAATTCCGTCACAGACGAGACAGTCCAGGAGTTGTACTCTATGTCTCGAAGAGAGAACCAACAGTTCTCTCACCGAATGCGGACATTTGTTTTGCTGGAACTGTATTGTAGGTTGGGGACGGGAAAAGGTCAGTTAAATTCCCAAGTGCAGGCCTGAGCGACATTAATCCCTTGTGTAGCCCGAATGTCCCCTTTGCCGCCAAGCTCTGTCTCTTTCGAAGCTGCTGCCTATACACAATCTGTAATGATACACGAGGAAGACTGTAACATTACATACTTTACAAATTAGGACGGATAACGGTGAAAGGTCGTGAAGCGTTGTGATCACTGTGCTTGCTGAATGAGAGTAATATTGTCGCCCTTGAGAAGGATTCGGCCTGTCGCGAGTGGATTAGGATTGCTTTTTGACAACTATCTGTGTAAAGTGCGCACCAAGCTCCCGTCTTGGCTTAGCATCTTTGACGTAGACCTCTGCAGCGTCGTCGATAACGAGGTTCATGAACTCATCAAAGCCCTGGTGAGAGAATGAGGGTTCAGCAGTCTGTTGTTGATTTGAATCAAGTCCCTACGATTATGCGGCCTTCCAAACGCATTTCGATGTTGTCATACAGCCAGATGACAACTTTGGTTTTCTGTTGAGATTCTGTAAGCACATGATGACCACCTCCCGAGTTATGCTCCTACCTGCTGGAGATTTTTGAAGATAACATTCTAAAGAACATCCTGTTAGCATGTTGAATGCCTGAAGAGATAGAATAATGCTCACGATGGGCTGAACCATCACTCGCTGCTGACGGGACGACATCTTGAGTTACAAGTCTAATGTGTCGGTGCAATGTGAGGAGTTCACCGTCGCGAGATGCAAGAAGTGACCTTCCCAAGAGCGCGTTCTCCGCGAGCCTCAGCGCAAGTGTAGCCCTAAGATAGGGTTAACACTTTCCCACGGATAGTTTGGTGACTTGACAACCCTCAGCTTGCCTCCGACGCGTCGTCGTAACGACTTTCACGATATGGAGGTGCGCCCAAACACCATTCAGAAATATACATCCTATTGACGCTGTTCTTTAGGTGTTCGCACCTTCAAACTCTTCAACAGCAGCAGCTGTCACCTTCATCACCTTTGTCCAGGACCTCAAGAAAAAGACGAAAGCATGGGGTCCGATGATCGAGCTCTGTGCCAGCGGGGAGAAAACGTTGGAACGTTTTCGATACCAGTTCCCTGAAGATTGGCTTTACAGCGACCAACTACGTGGCGAATGGAGTGCATACAACGAGATTTTGAAGAGGAAGAGTGATTCGATTCAGGAGCAGCTATGTCCGTCGCATCAGCCGTAATACCGCCAAATAACTAATCCATCTCTACACCACAGCTGGTCTGCAGTTGAAGATCGTGGCAGAAGACAAGATTGTTGAGAATAAGATCAGTGACATTCTCACTGAATGGGAGCAGACAAGACCGGTTCAGGGCAACATGCGCGCCGACACAGCGATGAACACAATTAACGTGTTTGAAGCCAAACTCACTCGAGTGCAAGAAGAATACGATCTCGTCTGCCGTGCCAAGGAAGCTTTGGACCTCGAACTGACGCGGCACACGCGTCTGGAACCCGTCTTCGAAGAACTTCGAGATCTCAAGGCGGTTTGGACAGCGCTCTCAGGCATCTGGAACCAGATTAACGAGCTGAGAGAGATGTCGTGGGCTACTGTTCAGCCCAGGAAGCTCAGGCAGCACATCGACGGGCTGCTTACCTCTACGAAGGACATGCCAACACGAATGCGACAGTACGCGGCGTTTGAATACGTGCAGGACATCCTCAAGGGACTCCTCAAATCCAATTCATTGGTCTCGGAATTGAAGTCAGAAGCCCTTAAGGATCGCCACTGGAAACAGCTGTTCAAGGCGTTGCGATTGTCTGCACAAGTCCATCTCCCGCTGTATGTCACCTCTGCCCTTCCTCATTCGTAACGCTAAGCAGTGTTCCAGGATGACATTGGGTCATGTTTATGATATGGATTTGAAGAGGAATGAGAGTCTGATCAAGGAGGTGATCATCCAGGCTCAGGGAGAGGTGAATTTCCAAAGTTTGGCCCGTCTTTATTCCCGCTAATCCATCACAATCCAAAGATGGCTCTCGAGGAGTACATCAAGCAAGTGAAAGAGACATGGACCAGCTATACACTTGAATTAGTCAACTATCAGAATAAGTGTCGTTTAATTAGGTGTGTTTGACTGGACATTTCCTTCCCACTGTATTCTCACCGGTCTCCAGAGGATGGGACGATCTGTTCAACAAGTGCAGCGAAAACTTGAATTCGTTGACAGCCATGAAGCTTTCGCCCTACTACAAAGGTAACGAATTTTATTAACTTTCGTCCATCAAGTATTTACATTTGCCCATAGTTTTCGAGGAGGAGGCCAGTTCTTGGGAGGAGAGACTTAATCGAATTCACGTCCTTTTTGGTAAGACCCATCCTCTAGGCAACAATCACTGTGCTTATAAGGCGTGTAGATGTGTGGATCGACGTCCAGAGGCAATGGGTTTACCTCGAAGGAATTTTCTCCGGAAGTGCGGATATCAAGCACCTGCTTCCCGTTGAAAGTGCTCGCTTTTCCAACATCAACGCCGAATTTTTGACGGTCATGAAGAAAGTTTACAAGTCGCCCTTCGTTCTCGACGTGCTGAACATTCAAGGAGTCCAGAAGAGCTTGGAGCGTCTGGCCGACCTGCTGAACAAGATTCAGAAAGCTCTCGGAGAGTACCTCGAGCGAGAACGTTCTTCCTTCCCACGTTTCTACTTCGTTGGTGACGAGGACTTGCTCGAAATCATAGGCAACAGCAAAGACATCCTCCGAATCATGAAACATCTCAAGAAGATGTTCGCGGGAATTGCAACTATCCAACTCGACGATGACCTCACCCAAATCCTTGGGATGGCCTCTCGAGAAGGTGAAGAGATTCGCTTCACGGAGCCCATATTGTTGAAGGACTATCCGAAAATCAATGACTGGCTCGCGAGGCTGGAAGCCATGATGCGTCTTTCCTTGGCCACCCTTTTATCAGATGCAGTGACGGAGCTCCAGACGTTCTACGGCCCTGAACACCAGCTTGTGGCAGAACAACTGATGGGATGGATGGAGAAATATCCCGCTCAACTGGTCACCCTCGCGATTCAGGTTGCTTGGACAGCGTCTGTAGAGACTTGCCTCGAGAAAGGTGAACTCCCCGAAGCGCCGCTTGCTACTGTCCATCAAGCACTGGACCTGCTTGCCGACATTGTGTTGAAGGAGCTGAGCCCGGTCACCCGTCGGAAGTGCGAGCATCTCATCACCGACCTGGTCCACCAGCGAGACGTCATTCGATCCCTCATTCAGCAAGGCGTCCAGGACCCCAAGGGCTTCCCCTGGCTCTATCAAATGCGATTCTACCTCGACAAGTCTATCGAGAACCCCCTGGATAGATTGGCAATCAAGGCCGCCGATGCCACCTTCCCATATGGTTGGGAGTACCTCGGTGTCCCTGATCGACTTGTCCAGACTCCCCTTACCGATCGTGTCTACCTTACTCTAACGCAAGCCTTGGACAATCAACTTGGCGGTGCTCCATTCGGTCCTGCTGGTACAGGTACGCATTGACCTTGTCTCCATCACGCTGGCATATATGTTCTAACGTCTCCCACAGGAAAAACCGAATCAGTCAAGGCGCTCGGTGTCCAATTGGGTCGCTTTGTCCTCGTTTTCTGTTGCGACGAGACGTTCGATTTCCAAGCCATGGGTCGGATCTTTGTCGGGCTTTGCCAGGTTGGCGCATGGGGTTGCTTTGACGAGTTCAATCGCTTGGAAGAGCGCATTCTTAGTGCCGTTTCGCAACAAGTTCAGGCCATCCAGCAGGGTTTGGCTGCCCTTGCAAAGAACCCTAACGTCGAGATTGAGTTGGTAGGAAAGAACCTGAAGATCAACAAGAACATCGGTAAGATTCGTCAAAACATCTCAAGTTCGGGAGCTTAACACCTGCCCGTAGGTATCTTCATCACGACTAATCCAAACTATGCCGGTCGGTCGCAACTTCCGCCCAACTTGACCAAGCTCTTCAGACCGTACGTCCCCAGCTTTTCTCACATTCTGTGTCTGCTCATGTATAACCCTTCAGTATGGCCATGACCCGCCCTGACCGAGAATTGATTGCCCAAGTCATGCTTTTCTCACAAGGTTTCCGAACTGCCGAATCTCTAGCCTCCAAGATCGTACCGTTCTTCAATCTCTGCGATGAACAATTGTCGCCCCAACCTCACTACGACTTCGGTTTGCGTGCATTGAAGGCCGTCCTCGCCAGCGCCGGTATCCTGAAACGGGAACGCCTTCTGAACACCAACTCTGAAACGGATGAGATGGCCCAACTCTCTGACAACATATCTGAGCAAATCATCCTTATTCAGAGTGTCACCGAAACCATCGTCCCCAAACTCGTTGCGGATGATGTTCCTCTCTTGACCAGGTACGTTGTGATGTCCTTCGCGGCTCAATCCTTCATTGACAAACTTGCAGTCTCCTTGCGGACGTATTCCCTGGGGTCGATTACTTCCCGGTTGACTTGCAAGCACTGAAGGAGAAGATCATGACAGTTTGCCAAGAGAAACGACTGGTCCCCGGAGAACGATGGATTGCCAAGATCCTTCAGCTGTACCAGATCCAGAAGATTCAGCACGGTCTCATGATGGTCGGCCCTTCAGGTAGTGGAAAGACCAATGCATGGCAGGTGCTTCTGGCTGCTTTGGAAAGGCTCGACGGTGTGGAGGGCGTGTCCTATGTCATCGACCCTAAGGCAATGCACAAAGACGCCCTTTACGGTACCCTGGACCCCACTACTCGAGAGTGGAATGACGGTCTATTCACCCATATCCTTCGTAAGATCGTGGACGACGTGCGTGGCGAAAGTGGCAAGCGTCACTGGATCATTTTCGATGGCGACGTTGACCCCGAATGGGTCGAGAACTTGAACAGGTATGTCCTACACAACGCGTTTTGGTATCTTCACTCACGAGATATCCGTCTAGTGTCCTCGACGACAACAAATTGTTGACCCTTCCTAATGGAGAGCGGCTCAATCTGCCGCCCAATGTCAGGATCATGTTCGAGGTGGAGCATCTGAAGTACGCGACGTTGGCCACCGTCAGTCGCTGCGGTATGATTTGGTTCAGTGAAGACGTTGTTGACCCAGCCATGGTCTACCAACATTACCTCACCACCCTTTCCAACGTGCCACTGGACGCAGACGAAGAAGACTCTGGGGACCTCGTTAACCGCCGTGGTGATGCTCTGGGGGCTGACGCAGCAGAAGCGGCGCATTTGCAGACGCAGAAGGAGATTGCCGGAATCCTCGAGAAATATTTCGCGGAAGGGGACTTAGTGGATTCAGCCCTCGCCCACGCGGAGAAGATCGAACACATCATGGACTTCACGACAACCCGTGCCCTCAACACGCTTTTCTCTCTACTCAACAAGACCGTTCGCAACGTCATCGAGTACAACCTTCAACATCCAGACTTCCCTCTCACTCCGGAAAAGGTCGAGCAATATGTATCCAAGCGCCTATTGGTCAGTCTCATCTGGGCCTTCTCCGGGGATGCCAAACTTGATCTTCGAGCCGAACTTGGAGAATATCTTCGACAGCGAACTGGAATTGACCTGCCCCCGCTTCTGCCCGGCAGCTCCCTCATCGACTACGACGTGCAAGTGGGGACGGGAGAGTGGATTGCTTGGCAGTCCAGGGTTCCTGACATCGAAATCGAGGCGCACGCCGTCACAGCCTCGGACGTGGTGGTGCCCACCATGGATACAATCCGCCACGAGGAAGTTCTCTATTCATGGCTCTCCGAACACAAACCATTGATGCTTTGCGGTCCTCCTGGTTCTGGAAAGACTATGACGCTTTTCAGTGCTTTGAGGAAGCTCCCGGATATGGAAGTTGTTGGCCTCAACTTCTCCAGCGCAACAACACCCGAGTTGATTTTGAAGACATTCGAACAATACTGCGAGTTCCGAAAGACGCCCAATGGCGTTGTGCTCGCGCCCATTCAGATAGGACGCTGGTTGGTTGTATTCTGCGACGAAATCAACCTTCCCGCCTCAGACAAGTATGGAACACAACGGGTCATCTCCTTCATCCGACAGCTGGTTGAATCGGGCGGATTTTGGCGAACATCAGACATGGCATGGGTTCGGTTGGAGCGAATCCAATTCGTCGGCGCGTGCAATCCTCCAACCGATCCCGGTCGTGTGCCTCTAAGCCACAGGTTCCTTCGACATGCACCACTAGTCATGGTGGACTATCCAGGGGAGGTCTCGTTGAAGCAGATTTACGGAACATACAACCGTGCCTTGCTCAAAGTCGTTCCCAACCTTCGAACATATGCTGGACCCCTTACCGACGCCATGGTGGCCTTCTACCTTGCATCACAGAAGCGTTTCACGACTGACGCCCAAGCGCACTACGTCTACAGTCCTCGTGAACTCACACGATGGATCCGAGGTATCTACGAAGCCATCAAACCCCTCGAAATCCTCTCTGTCGAAGGCTTGGTACGAGTTTGGGCCCACGAAGCTTTACGATTGTTCCAGGACCGTCTGGTCACTGAGGAAGAACGCAACTGGACGGACGAACACATTGACGGTGTCGCTATGGAGCACTTCCCAACGATCAATCGCGAAGAAGCACTCGCGCGACCCATCCTATTCTCTAACTGGACTTCGAAGAATTACATCCCAGTGGACCGGGAGATGCTTCGGGAGTATACGAAGGCCCGCCTGCGGGTCTTCTACGAGGAAGAATTGGACGTGCCCTTGGTTCTCTTCAACGACGTTTTGGACCATGTCCTCAGGATCGACCGGGTGTTCCGACAGGTCCAGGGCCATTTGCTGCTGATTGGTGTCAGTGGATCGGGAAAGGTGAGGCTATCACTGCTTATATACTCAAGACAATGCTAATGCAAAAACTAGACTACCCTTTCTCGCTTCGTCGCCTGGATCAATGGTTTGAGCATCTTCCAAATCAAGGTTTCCAACAAGTATACTGGAGACGACTTCGACGAGGATTTGAGAACGGTGCTACGTCGAGCAGGGTGCAAAGGAGAGAAAATTTGTTTCATCATGGACGAATCGAATGTCCTCGACTCCGGTTTCTTGGAGCGCATGAACACACTCCTTGCAAACGCGGAGGTACCCGGTCTCTTCGAGGGTGACGAGCATGCTGCCTTGATGACAGCCTGCAAAGAGGGTTCACAGCGTGACGGATTGATGCTGGATTCCCCAGAAGAACTGTACAAGTGGTTCACCCAGCAGGTTGCCAAGAATCTCCACGTCGTATTTACGATGAATCCCCCTGAGAATGGTCTCGCGTCACGGGCAGCAACATCGCCCGCCTTGTTCAATCGTTGCGTATTGGATTGGTTCGGTGACTGGTCAGACCAGGCTTTCTTCCAAGTCGGAATGGAATTCACGCAAACCTTGGACCTTGATCTTCCCTCCTACAACCCTCCAGCCAACTTCCCGATTGCCTATCGTGGCATTTCCCTCCCTCCCACTCACCGCACCGCTGTCGTCAACGCCTTGGTCTACGTTCACAGCTCACTACATCAAATCAACCAAAGACTCAGTCGGCGCCAGGGACGATACAATTACGTCACCCCTCGACACTACCTCGACTTGTGAGTTTTAACTCTCGTTCTGCTTGTTTATCTCAATGCACTAATTGCTATATTCCAGCATTAACCATTACGTCCGTCTCTACACGGAGAAACGCGATGAGCTCGAAGAGCAGCAACGCCATTTGCACGTCGGTCTCGACAAACTCAAGGACACAGTCATCCAGGTTGAGGAGTTGCGGAAGAGTCTGGCGGTCAAGCGTACGCAACTCGAGGCGAAGTCTGCAGAAGCAAACGAGAAGTTGAAGCGGATGGTATCCGATCAGCAAGAAGCTGAACAGAAGAAAGCGGCGTCCATTGAAATCCAGGCTGCCCTCGTCGAACAAGACCGTCACATTGAACAGCGTCGCGCCGTCGTCATGGCCGACCTAGCGGATGCCGAACCAGCCGTCCTAGAAGCTCAGTCCGCTGTCAGCAACATTAAACGCCAGCATCTCCAGGAAGTCCGGGCAATGGCTAACCCTCCCGAGGCGGTGAAATTAGCAATGGAGTCCGTCTGTACGTTGCTCGGCCACAAGGTTGACAGTTGGCGCACGGTCCAAGGCATCATTCGACGTGACGATTTCATTCAACGTATCGTCAACTTCGACACTCAGACGCAGATGACGAAACAGCTCCGAGAGCTCATGAAGAAGGACTTCCTCAGCCGACCTTCGTACAACTTCGAGACGGTGAACAGGGCCAGTAAAGCTTGCGGTCCCCTTGCTAAGTGGGTCCTGGCACAAGTCCACTTCTCCGAAATCCTTGACAAAGTTGAACCGCTGCGGAACGAGGTTCAGTCGCTGGAAAACCAGGCGGAGACCACCAAGAAGCAAGCCGCAGCAATAATCGAAATGATTGCGGAATTGGAGTCCAAGATCGCTCAGTACAAAGACGAATACGCTCTTCTCATTAGCGAGACCCAGGCCATCAAGTCAGAGATGGAACGCGTCCAGAGCAAGGTCGATCGTAGTATGAAGTTGCTGGAGAGTTTGTCCTCAGAAAGAAGCCGTTGGGAATCGGGCAGTCGCACATTTGACGCTGAGATGAGCACAATCGTCGGTGATGTCCTGCTTTCGGCCGCGTTTTTGGCATACGGCGGATTCTTCGACCAACGCTATCGAGAAGTGATGTGGCAAGAATGGTCGAATCACCTGACCGAAGCCAATATCAAGTTCAAACCAGAGCTTTCGTTCACCGAATACCTGTCGACAGCCGATGACCGGCTCAGTTGGCAATCCAAGTCGCTACCGTCGGACAACCTGACCACCGAGAACGCCATCATGTTGAAACGCTTCAACCGCTATCCCCTCATCATCGATCCCACTGGACAGGCCACCACTTTCCTCCTCAACGAATACAAGGAACGCAAGATCACGGTGACAAGCTTCTTGGACGAGGCATTCCTCAAGGTGCTAGAAAGTGCACTCCGTTTCGGCAATCCCCTTTTGATTCAAGACGTGGAACATCTCGATCCCATTCTTAACGCTGTCCTCAATAAAGAAATCCGAAGAACTGGTGGACGTGTCCTCATTCGCCTCGGTAGTCAAGACATCGATTTCTCCCCCTCATTCACGATGTTCTTGTCAACCCGCGATCCTTCGGTCGAATTCTCCCCCGACATCTGCAGTCGCGTGACGTTTGTAAATTTCACCATGACCAGGAGTAGTCTCCAAAGCCAGTCCTTGGATCAAGTCCTCAAGGTTGAGAGGCCCGATACCGAAAAGAAGAGGACCGACCTCATGAAGGTTCAGGGCGAATTCCGACTTCGCTTGCGAACTTTGGAGAAACTTTTGCTACAGGCCCTGAACGAATCAACAGGCAATATCCTGGACGATGACAAGGTCATCGACACCCTCGAAACGCTCAAACGAGAGGCGGCAGAGATTACTCGAAAAGTGGAAGAAACAGATCTTATCATGAAGGAGGTCGAGCAAGTGACTGCCGAATATCTTCCTCTCGCGCAGGCCTGCAGTTCCGTCTTCTTCGTCCTCGAGCAGCTTAACATCATAAACCACTTCTATCAATTCTCTCTTCGCTTCTTCCTGGATATCTTCGACTATGTTCTTCTTCACAACCCTCACCTGAAGAGCATCACGGACTACGGTCAACGCAGGGATATCCTGCTCAACGACCTTTTCCTGGTGGTCTACAAGAGAACATCAAGGGCTCTCCTCTATCGCGATCATCTGATGTTAGCCGTCCTCCTGGCACAAATCAAGCTCCGGGGAGTCGAAGACATTACCGACGAATTAGAGTTTTTGTTGGAGAGCGGCGAGGGTGTCACAGCATCATCCACCCCGGCACACAATCTTGGTTTCTTGACGGCTGAACAGTCCACTCGTCTGGAGTTATTCTCGAAGCATTCGATCTTCAAACCAGTCCAAAACCATGTCCTCAACAATGAAGACACTTGGATCAACTTTTTGGCCGCCACAAGCCCAGAAGACGATGTTCCCATGGCTTGGGAACCGGCTACCCGTAAGTCCATCACTATCTAGTCTCTGCTTCGTACTTATCTTGTCCCGTAGCTGCATTGGAAGCGCTCCGCGCCACTATTGTCATGAAGTGTTTCCGTCCGGATCGACTCCTTCAGTCGACAACCCTGTTTACAAGGGCTGTATTCAACGTGGACCTCTCTGCCGAAGCTACATACGACCTCGGGGCTATCGTCGCGGACGAAACACCAGCCAGCACTCCAATTGCCTTGGTCTCGGTACCAGGCTACGACGCCAGTTACCGCGTCGAAAATTTGGTCAAAAACACTGGTGCTCGGTTCTCCTCTGTAGCCATGGGTTCGCAAGAAGGCTTTACGTTGGCAGATCAAGCTATTGCAGCTGCTTCCCGTCAGGGTACTTGGGTTCTGTTGAAGAACGTTCATCTTGCCCCATCCTGGCTTGGTCAGCTTGAGAAGAAGCTCCAGACCCTCAATCCTCATCGCAGTTTCCGACTTTTCTTGACGATGGAAATGAATCCATCCATTCCCGTCAATATCCTCCGCCAATCACGTTTGATCATGAACGAGCCGCCACCAGGCATCAAGGCCAATTTGCAAGACTCACTTCGAAGCATTTCCCCAGGACGCCTGTCACAGGGACCTGCAGAGAAGGTGCGACTGTACTTCTTGCTTGCCTGGTTCCACGCCATCGTACAAGAACGACTCCGATATGCTCCTCTTGGCTGGAGTAAGGTCTACGACTTCAATGACTCCGACATGGCCTCGGCTTCTCGCACCATCGATGCATGGCTGGACGCTGCTTCAAGAGGGAAGGCAAATATCGACCCTGCCGCCATCCCTTGGGAAGCTCTTCGCACCTTGATCAAAGAGTCCGTATATGGAGGAAGAGTCGACAGTGACTTCGATCAAAGGATTTTGGATTCATTCGTCAATTCGCTGTTCACCCCGGCGGCGTACAATGTCGATTTCCAACTTGTTCCTTCCGTCAACGGCGAGCAACTACTCCACTCTCCCGACGGAACGAAGCTCGAGCATTTCCTTTCGTGGGTCCAGGGCCTTCCTGACCGTGAACCACCATCTTGGCTCAGCCTTCCACCGACCGCCGAGCGTGTCATTGCAGTCGCACAGGGTATGTGCTTAGCTTGAGAAGTCACAGTACGTGATACTGACCTGGCTATAGGTAATGAACTCCTCAGCAAGATTAGGAAGATGAGGATGTTAGCAGACGACGACGACGAAGTTGCCACTAGCTCGACTAGCACCGGTACCAAGACTCAGACCTCTCAACAACCTGCTTGGATGAGGACCCTACTCGAGCGTTGCCGTGAATGGCTCGCACTTCTTCCATCCGTAAGCTCTCCAACTTGATCATTGCTTTGTTCTTTATTGATAGCCATTTTCAGAAGTTCAATGTGCTACCGCCGCAATCAGCAGATAGTCAAGATCCTCTCTATCGTCTGTTCGCACGCGAAGGATCCATCGGCCGTCGTCTCCTTGATCAAGTGTCTCGGGACCTTGCGGATGTTGTCAAGGTCTGCCAGGGTGAACTCAAGCAGACGAATCATCTTCGTACCTTAATTAGCGCTCTGACAAAGGGTACGTGTCTTTGCTATTTCGGTAGGTCTTTCTGACGAAGGAACTCCGCAGGTACAATTCCGGAACACTGGAAGCGATACAAAGTCCCGAAGAACATGCCAGTCTCTAGTTGGATCGCCAACTTTGCTCGACGGTTGCAACAACTGGACACGGTCGCTGGCCTCGACAACTTGGCCAATGTTGAAGTTTGGCTCGGCGGATTGTTCTTCCCCGAGGCCTTCATTACTGCGACTCGACAGGCAGTGGCCCATAGGAAGAAGTGGAGTCTTGAAACTCTTAGCCTCTGCCTCGACATTGAGCGGGTAAACGATCCTTCTGCCTTTGTCGTCGATGGTATGTCTAGGACTTGGTCTTCGACGAGACGTGAGCTGACGAGTCCACTCTAGGTCTTGCATTGGAGGGAGCCGCATGGGCGAGCGACCAGTTGGTATTGAATGACGGAGAAACCATTAAACTGAACCCGTCTCAAATCCGCTGGGTACAGAACGAGGAAGCCAACGGCAACAAGGTCAACCTGCCTGTTTACCTCAACTCCGATCGCAGTGACGTTCTCTTCACGGTGGATCTGCCATTCGACCCCAAGGCCGGATCCCTCGCTGCTATGAGGGCAGTTTGCTTGACTGCAGGCGGTTAAACGACGACGTTTCACGTACACTCTGGTTGCCTCATTCATCCGTATCACGACCTTTTTACACGCAATAGTTTAATCTTGGATTCAATAATTATGTACTTCACGAACGATACCCGTTTCCATCGTTAGACTTAGACTATCGATTATGTAGTTCGCACAATCTAATGCTCTACACTGCTACCTGGTGCAACTTCAAGTAATTTCCAATCAATCTCCACGTCGAACTTTTTGAAGATCGCCCGGGCATCCTCGGCAATAGATTCAAACCCTTCGGTAGCCAGAGCCAAGATCGTTGGCCCAGCACCTGAAAGACATATTCCGAGTAGACCTTTATGAGTAGCTGGCGTGATCTGGGATGTGACCTCAGGCAACCCGGGAATCTGGACTGTCGGGTTAACCATGAAACGAAACTCAAAAACGCAACACGTACCAAGGCCGTCCTGTAAGGTTGATGAACACGATCCTTCATTGCTTCATAGATAAGTTCGGGATCTGGTGGTGACTGGCCCAATGCTGTTGTAAGAACAGCAAGGCGTTGCAAGTTGAAGATCTTGAAACGTGGCGCGATGAGAAACATTCTGTCAGATCGAACAGGACACTCACGAGATCTTTCCGTGAATATTGCGTCGGAAGGACTTCCCTCGCCTTGGCCGTGCTAAGCTCAAAACGAGGGACGATGGCGATAGCCTTGATGCTCGGTGACCAATTGAAGCGGATAAAATGGCCTATGCCAAAAGGCGGCACAGGAGGGTTCAGACCCCAATTTTCGCCTGCATCGGGAGGGTATTCTGGCAAAACCTCGCTCAAAGGAACACTCGCAGCCTCGCTTGCCTCCTCGTCCAGCTCTTTGAGATAAGATCCCACAAATCCTCCAACAAGTGCGGCGGTAACGTTGTCTGGGTGTCGCTCGACCATAAGAGCGAAGTCGAGGAGGCGTTCGGTGGGGAGTTTGAGGTCTCCCAGCTCATTCCCCAATATTACTCCTGCAATGACTGCTGCACCGGACGAACCGAGGCCACGGCCGAAGGGTATCTCGTTGTTGCAATGGATCTTCAAGTGCGAAGGGAATCGAGTAATTTTGTGGCATCGAAGAACATAAAGGGCGACGCGGGTGGTGAGGTTTTTGTATGCATCCAGGGGGACCTCGTCGGCGCCTTCTCCAGTGTAGGTGATGGTCGGGGCGACATATGGACCTGGGGGCGGTGTGACTGGGTGGGTGACGGTCAACGTAAGGTAAAGAGACAAAGAGAGGCCAACAACGTCGAAGCCAGGTCCTATGTTGGCCGACGTCGCTGGGACGCGGATGGTGACTTTTTTATCGGCCATTGGTGTCGCAAGAACACTGAAAATCCTGATTGATCGTGGATTCACCGAGATTATCAGACAGGCGCCAAATTAATATTGCAGCCAACACCCAAATGTTTGGCCTTTACAAAAAAAATTGTCAAAACAAAACAACGAATGAATTAATGAGGGGATGAATCTATTTACAAAAGATCGAAGTAATGTAACACAGTGACTACAGTACTACAAGAGCGAGAGTCGAGATGAGGAACGGCAAACGGTCATGTTATCGTGCGGGCGGCGTCGCAGTCTGCGCTTGATACGCTTGGTAAAACTGGTTTTGATACGGCTGATTTGTTCTAAGATGTGAAGGAAGCGTCGGCGCAACTCCCTGAGGCTGATAGCCCGACCAGGTTCCTGCAGGCTGCATGGGCTGGGCGACTGGTGTTGCTTTGTTACTCGCGACCGTATTGGCAACGACTGCTGGCCTTGGGGTTCCGTTTACAGTTGCACCCGGATTGTAGAATGCCCCATAGGCTGACGTAGTCGCGGCTGGTGTTGGCGTCCCTGTCTTGGCAGGTGCTGTACCTTGTGATTGGAAAGGTTGCGTGTACCAGCCTTGATATGCAGGGTAAGTCTGAGCAGTGGATCCATACGGCTGCTGGTTGGAACCCCCAGCATATGACTGGTTGTAGTACGACTGCTGCGTCGCGTTGTTAGCAACACCGTACTGATAATACCCAGAAGTCTGGCCTGGCTTGAATGTGGAATAGGCAGCCGCAGGTCTGTAAGCTTGCTGCTGCTGGGCACCGTAGTTGTAACCGTAGCTGGAGTAGGCCGCAGGGGCTGCTGGCGGCGCAGTTGTTGTTGCCGCAGGGGCGGCAGGGGCAGGAGTGGGAGCAGATGTCGCAGGCGCAACTGTGGGCGATTTAACCTTGATGGTTGAGTCGTCGTGCAGTGCCGTTGCTTTTGCGGCTGGTAAGTTGCCATACCATCCTGCCGTCGGTTCCAGTGCCAGCGAACGTTGAAGTCTTCTGAGGACCGAGGGTGGCGGAATGAGAGGTGCACCATCTGAATCAGACGAACGAGGTCGGAGGGAAGCCAAGGTTGCCAATGAGTCCATAATACATTGGGCTGCAGAAAGTTGAGACAAATTCATTGAGGTCATTACGATTACGCACCTGTCTCCCACTCTTCAGATCCCTCTTCGACAGCGGAGAAGTTGGCACCGCCCTGACTGAAACGCCTCCGTTGCAACTCTTTTAACCTTACAAGGGCCCGTTGATTGCGTTCAAGGAGCTCTTGCACGGCGTTCTCCAGTTCCAGACTTCCCATCGCTTCCTTGATTGCTTGCACTTCTTCAGGCGGCAGCAAACTCTCCATATCCTCCTCTGCATCCATGGACTGTTTGGGGACATCCGGCGAAGTTGGCTCTTCTCCATTCATCACGACGTCCTCCACAACCACTGTAATGGATCCCTTCCCTTCCCTCTCCTCTCTCAGTTCCTCCTCCACCAGTCGCCTCTTGACCTCCTGTTGGTAGATGACTTCTGCTAACTGTCGTTGACCCACAACTTCTCCATTATGATCAAAACATGGAGCAAAACTCGCAAATGGACCATAATCCAAGAATCCTCCGGTTGTCACGCGGCGCTGTCCTGCAATTTTCTTGGTCGGGCCTAGAGGGCGAGAAGAAACAGAACCGAGTGTTGGAACCGAGTCAACCGAAGTGGATGATGAAGAAGGTAAGATGGCGACGAGTTCGGCATGGCCTGTTGGTAGTTGTTTCAACGCCGCAGCGCTTGCTTCCGAGCTGAGTGACGTCCAGTAATCGCCTTGGGGTAGGTGTTGGACTAGGGCGTATTTCCGCCTGACGTCGGTGGCAGCGGGCTTTGAGGGTGGAGTTTCTTCCTCATTAACAGTTTCAAGAATGGATTCCACATCAAGAGGTGGTGAAATAGCATTCCTTGATGCTTGTTCAATGAGTGTGTGCGCAAGATTGGCGAAAGCGAGTTGCTGTGACGCTGCGGTAGATGGACGAGACCTGGGCAAGGAAGATATTGGATGGAGATTGGTAACAGCGGACTGTAGGAGGGTGTCAATGGTCAACCGTTTAAAGCAAGGCAGAGACACGCTCACTTTGATTGTTGGCAACGGGTGCTCTGTTGGATGTTTGAGGAGCGTTCTTAGCGAGACTAGGGCATCTGGAGCATTGGGAGAAGGAAAAACGCGGTCAAGAAGGCCCTGTGTGTCTTTACTAGAGCAAATATAAGACAAAATGGCAGGGAATAGAAGAAAAATCATACAGTTCCAGAATCTCTAGAATCTTTTGCGCGTCTTGCTCTGGGAGAAAGACATCGTGATGAATGTGGTCGTTGTCATCGGTTTTCTGGAGTTTTGAGACGGTTGTTTGACCTGGGGACGAGTTTCGCTTGCGTTTGCGTTGCAAAGGTTGCTGAAGCGCCGCCGTCACGGTTGACCTGGTCGTTGTTCTTGCCATCGAGGGTCGCGCAGACAATTTATATGGCAGTTCTCCCAGAACGTTGCTATCAACACTTTCAACCTCCGATCCTCCCATTTCTCCTGCAATTGAAGCTCCGATCAAACTACCTTGTTCCTCTAACCCATGCCCGCCGCCGCCATTTTCAGAGCCCAGCTGCGTTCGAAGCCAGCAAACGGCCATGCTGCCTTTGTTCCACAAATCCGCAAGCTAGTCTTTGAATACTGCAATTCTTGGCCCTCGTCCCAGAACACACGGACATACCTGCTCACCCGACTGCAGGCGCTGGCACGCGAGAACCCACACGTCGAAGTCGTGGTCAAACAACGGGACCACAAGGAACCCATTATTCGAGGCTTCTACGGTAGTCACCTCGCACTTGTACCCGTGCTGCACGCATTCTGACGCCATTCATTAGCCAATGGGAGGGACAAAGTAATTCCCCTGCAGCGACTCGAAGTCAACGGAATCCAGAAAAAGATTGAGTTGCTGCTCGATTCTTCCGGTGCCAAAATTCGACCTCTCAAGAGTGTACCTGTTCAAAGCACCACCGAATCACCGAGGGGCATCTGGAGCGGACTTCATGCAGAACGGCCATCTCTTTGAATCCCGACAACCCCGCGATCCTCCTCTCCCGTCCCTCAAAATCCAATCACGTGACCCTATCCTGTATACTGTAAAGCTCTGCGTTAATTCATCTCCTTGATTTTAAGCTCTATCTCACCTCTCTCCCATGCTCTCCGAGAATCCTGGCTAGGTCCATTATTTCCAGAAACGAGGTCGTATCCGCATCACTGATCTACACGTGTAAGCCTTGCGTTTTGGGGGTATGTATTCCTTCCACCGGACCTCCACCCGAGAACAGGGCCTTTCCTTGACCTGCTACATATACCAGCTTACTTTAAGTCTTTGCCGTCAGTTTGCGACGGCACAGCTTACCAGCCGTTCTTTATAACCCGACTTCTCCATCATCCTGAAGCACCACCTCTTTGTTCCTCATGCCCTCCGTAGGTCTCTTAATTCCATCCTCTGTCGACTGCCCCAACATTTCTCTTCCAGCCTCCAGACATGAGCATTCTCGATGACCTGAGCGTTGACGAGCTCAGATGGCTAGAAGCCAGTGAAATCCTCGAGTTCCCGACTTCGGTGGGTTTGGGTTTCCCTTCCCAATGACCATCCCCGTTTACCTCATGCCTTGCAGCCGGTCGAGGCCTTTCAGTTCAACGACAGCGTCGTTCCCCGTTTCTCCCACAGTCTCGAAGACCGTAGTTGGTCCGAGGACAGTGCAATACAAGGACAGCCCATGCGTTCCTCTAGGAAAGTCGAGAGAATCCGTCACCTTCCGGTGTGTGCTCATTGTTACCAAAGGTTTCTATTGGACTTGTCTGATTGGCTTTAGTCACAGTCAACTTCGAATGCTTCGTCTCAAGGATCTAGCCCTGCCCATACACCTACGTCTTCTGGAGCGATTTCTTCCCCATGGCCATCGTCGCTTCCAACGCCACCTTCGACCCCGATCCGAGTCACTTCCACTCGGAACAGTGGTAATTCTAAAGACAAGCGTCAAGACTCCCCTTCCGAGTGGCTTTATCGTCGTCCAAGGAATACTATCACCCCTGCGCCGTCCGCTCTCGCATCTTCCCTTACGCTCCATCAGTTACCCTCGAGCAGGTCCTTGACACCCGCCCAAACGTCATCTGTAGCAAGCTTCAGCCTGAACCGTCCAACGGCCGATCCCTTCTGTGACGATCAAGACAGGAAGTCATTGAAATCATTCGATTCCAGGGACTCCCGCTCGACCAGAGGTCCGTTTTGGTCCACGGTGCTCCGTCCTCGTTCTCGATCAATGCGGTCGATCCCACTATTGAAGACAATCCCTTCGCAATTAGAAGTCACTCTATACCCTCCAGAACTCAACGAGAATGGCGCTTCCCAAGATGTCGATTCATCGAACTCCTCCTCATCTGTCGTCAAGGGTGGTGGTAGTGGTATCGGCGAAGGAGTTAGAACGAGGGCACCGTCGATCGCGTCGACCCTTTCAAGCACTTCTTCGCAATCCTCGTCTCGTCCAACAACGCCAGTGACGCCCTTTGATTCAGTATGTGGAATCAACAAACCAGGACATCCACACAGATTCGGCCACCATCGTCGCCATGCCTCCAACCCTGTTCTGCCCCCAAAAGGACTCAACAGCGCTCCCCTGTCCTCCTCCTACCCAAACAAATCGATTCTAACCAGGACCTCGTCCATTTCCACCAAAGATTCGGTTACCACCGCCAATAAGTCTGTCAAGTTCGTTGAAGTTCCAACCGTGCATTATGCCAGCGCTGGATACTGGGATGTCGCTTCGGTGGAAAGAATGGAAGTCGACAGTCCACCCCACGTGGATGATATGGGGATGGATCTCGACATTATGGACATTGACAGTTGCAGGTCTCGATACCGCAACTCTCGCGCCCCGTATCGTCGCGAAAGGACGGGTCCATATGCAGGCAGGGGTGCCGTCTCTCGCATGACCGACTTCATCGACGAACTTCCTGATTGCGAAACACAAGATCCAGAGCCAGACTTTGCTCAGAGCGGCGCTCTGAAACGATTAATGACCTTCAAGAGATCTTCGAGGGCGTCACGAGGGCGGAAGCATGCCTCTGCCTATGCGCAGCTGTCAACTTCACTCCCTCCAACCCCTTCCATACCCCGACCTGTCATTTCCGGGCCCTATGCTCTCGGCTCTCATCCAGTATCCTCGTCACCCGCTCATTCCACCACGTCGTTGCGCAGCAATATGTCCAGATCCAGCAAAGCGTCCAAGTCCTTCCTCAGCTTCTCGTCGGTCACCCCTACTTCGGGGATCACCAACTCGTACGGTACTGGCGTCTCGTCGCTTGAGAACTACAGAAGTGCCAGGAACCCAGCAACACGGAGCGTACGCAGCTTAGGTAGTGTCAAAAGCAGCTCTTCCACGGCTTCGGGATTGAAATCCTGGTTGTCTCGCATTGCTGCTGGCAGGGCTGCGAATTGAATTGCTCTCATGGGGTTTTGTGTATCTGGAACAATTGTATGATACCTGTTGGTTGAGTAACACTAGTCCTACAGCTTCCACATTCCAATCGAGCATGTATGCAAATGGGCCATCTTCATCGTCACAATCCATGCAAAAGAAATTGTACACAACAATCCACAACATTGCGGAAAACAACAAAGCGTAAAGAAAATGTACGATGTCGTCTAGGTCCTGGTCCTCTTGTTGGCAAATAAAGGGTAGGACTGACACCGATATCGAATCGCTTTCACACGTAAAACCACCTCTGCGTCTCCTGGAGCGCCAGTTTCCGGCACCCTTGAAAAGAGGAAAGATTCCTCGCACTCCCCATTCGTCGTCGATTTGAACTAGAGACGAAGTGGAGGGAGGAGATCAACGTGTTACGTTGAAAAGGGCCGTTTGAGGGGCCGTATATAAACTTCCCTGGGTCGGCGATTGCCGATCGCGGTTTGAAAGGGGGTAGGGAGGCTTTCGCTATCTAATGTTCCACAGAGAGTAGATACATAGCGCAGGAAATACAAGGAACAATAAGTTATCCGCAAAACAAGTAGAACACACTATTACACCCGAATAATGTCAGAATAACACATGTAGCGCCAGAGTCCAAAGGTTTCAAAGGGTAAATATTTAAATCACCGCCCCGCAAAACTGGCATGCCTTGAGACAATGATGACAAGCTGATCGTCCTTGTCTGTTTTTTTGGTTGGGACCATATCATCAAGTGACATGGGTAGGGGGTTGACCACAAATGGGCCACCGTGGCCATTCGCATCGTTCGCGCTTGAGCGCTTGCTCCGAGAGTGCCGCGACGGGATGTCTGCGTCGGTGACTTGGGCCACCGAATCCCAGACCGTTCCACGCATAGAAGATTGTTGCATAGGCGTGGTTCGGGCGAGGTTAGCGGCTCTTGCTTGGAGAGTTGAAGCCCGGATTCTGTACTCCGTTCGATGACGTTCCAGTTCCTCCTCTTCTTCTGACGGAATTTCATTTCCATCCGGATCCAAGCGGGCTGTAGAAAAGGTGAGTATCAGGTAGCAAGGCCTAGTGAAGAAAGTACATACCCCATCCCCTTCTGCGCGGCGTTGCGACCGCGGTCTGCATAGCGGACGGCGGAGCCGGCGGAACGCGGAGGGTTCTTTCTTGGAAGTTATTGAGCATTCGGCGTCGAGTGATAGGATTCTCTGTGGTATCGCCTTCCATTGGAGCTAGATATTGACTGTCAAGATCATTCCAATCATATTGGATACTTTGAACGCGTTCCACTCCTCCGGTGTCAACACGCCTGCGGACGATATAGCTGCGTCCCAAGGGTGTGTCTTCAATGAAGACATCATCCTCCGGCCAAGTGCCAACAGGAGAGAAAGTATAGGCTTCCGGCTCGTCAAAAAGTAATGGGCGTTGAGGGGAAGAGTGCGAACCCGAGGGCAACGTTGAAGTGAGGGAGAAGTTGTTCAAGGACATGTTGGATAGAAGGGAAAGCCTCGACATCTGGTCTGCAGGCAAGCTTCCTGATGTTCGGGTAGTGGACGTTGTTGTTTGACGGCCTTCAGTCCTTGTAGGTCTCCTCCTGCTACGATCACGGATAACTTCCTGTCGCATTTGAAGGTGGAGTGGGGAGTTGGCCGGGGAAGCCAGTTGACTTTGTATTTGGCTAAGCCGGCGTAGTTCATTGAGATCGCCCGTTTGAGATGCTCTCTGGGCAGCACCGAGTGCCTCTTCAACCAATGGATCCAATCGACCTGATTCTGGTCGTGCTGGCCTTCCGGGAGGGACGGTGGTGGTAACATCTATTGGGGGTACCACTGGCCTCGGGTTAAGAGGCGAGTTTGAATTGGTCGAGTTCCTGCTGCCAGGCGATGTCCGAGCAGCGACTCTTCTTCCTATGGCAGTAACACCATCGTCTCTCGAGTACTCGCGATGATAGCGAGGCGGTTGTGAATCCGGGGGCAGGGGACGGTGGGGCAGTCTAACCTGGGGTGGTGGTGGCCAACTTCCGGATTGGTGGCCTTGTCGAATGGCGGCGGTTTGTTCCACGAACTGAGTGAGCGAACTCTGTGCCTGTACGGCGCGGCGAAGGGAATCTTGGAACTCGGAGATGACGCTGACCTGTGCTGGATCATAAGGTGCGACATACTCCCCTGGTTCATCCACCAAAGTGCCTGTGAGCAGGATGGCATCGTGCGCAGGTCCCAGGTGACCGCGAGAGCCTAATTGGGGGTTGGACTCAGCTAGTCTTCCGGAAAGTTGCAGCAGACTGGCTCTGACTTGCTCCAGCCTGGCGAACGCGGCGTCGAGGGATGCTGCCGCGGACTGTAGGCCATTTCGGTGTGAAGTGCGCCCATCGGCTCTATCTTGCGGTTGACGCTCCCGGGTTTCAGAAATACTATCGCCTTCTCCCCGTGAAGTTGTTCTTGAAACAGGAGAAGGGTATCCATTGTTGTTCATGTCGACCAGCGGACGTCGTCGGTGCAAAGGGTAGCGCTTTCCACGGGTACTGAAGATAAAGAGGAGCCCTTTTGACTGACTTGGAAATGGTAACAGACCTGCGCTTCGACCAATACAAGGCACTTCAACACAATCCAGGAGTAGAGGGACAAGATTGAAAGTCGTTAAAGGCGGCGAAAGGTTACTGGTTTGAGGACGATACCAGTGGACACAACAGTGGCTGTGCTTTTAACTATTGCAACCGAAGTACTGTCCCGAAAACCGAGGGCGCCCAAAGAGCGCTTTCGAAAAGACGTGCTTGTATGACTTAGGAGTTCGGCAGGATGATTTTTCACTTCTATAGTGTGGGTAATACATCTATCTTCTACAATTATTATAGTCATGTATCTCAAGACCGCCCTAAAATACGTCTCAATAACGGTCTTTCACCAACAAACACAAGGGCAATTAGGGTCCCGAGGGCCATAAGTCCCGTACCAAGGAAACAGATCGCACGCCATCCTTTGGTGAGGTTATCGTACATCTGTAGTTAATCATGGTTAACGACATCAGAAAAGTGACGAACGGTTTTTGGGTTACCTGGCCGCCAATTATCGGTCCAACTGCGGCGAGGCAATTGGTCAATTCGATGCAACTGTCCTAGACGTGTGAAGGAGCTTACTCGTACTACCAACCGCATAAGCCAAGTTGTAGGCGGCGTAGACATGTCCATCTTTATGGAAGAGTGAGTCGAGGCGCGGTAGGAGAGCAACGAGAAGCTCACATCCGACCCCTTCAATGTTCCTGGATACAGCAGCGAGTTCGACTGTTAATGGAGAAACAACCCCTGCCATAAAGAAGCCTTCGGGAGGATTAGTATCGCATCTCCAGCAAGAAGTGATTCGTATCTCACTCATGAAGGCAAACGCCACCACAAACAGGGCAAGGCCCTTCTCGAGCATCAGAACCACAGTCCAGGGGATCGCCAAAAAGAAGCAAGCAGTGGCAACGTATTCGGCCCCTCGTTTATCTGATATGTAACCTGTGGCCGGTGAGGCTAGAGGGAGGTAGTAGATAAGTACGGTTCTCGGTAGTAGGCTTCCTGCAACTGACATATCAGCCCCGGGACAACGGCAGCAATGAAAACGAGCCCGACGCCTCCTGAAGATAGACCCCAGACCCTTTGTAGATGAACTGGCAAGGATGGCTCTAGGCCAGTAAAGATGATTCTGCGAAGGGATGGTCAGATGGCCCAATAAAGGGGTCAAATCCGACTTGCCCCCATAGAAGTGTAGCGAACGATGCTGCAAGCGCTCGCGATGATTTCGAAAGTCTGGCAATGACAGTCACCAATGGAAGCGTCTTGTGCTTAGGAGTGTCTCCTGACGACTCGACAGTCTCAGAGCCTTCCGCAGTCGCGGTTTCCTGGCCATGACCGCGATTGGTCGGTTCGGGTGGGACCGTGGTTGGGACAGATGGTAGACCAGCCTTCTCTGACGGCGGTAAGTCGGATACGGAATCGACTTCTCCTTTAACATAGTGTGGATCGAAGCCCCACTTTATCGAATCCTTTCGCTCGATGATCAGAAAGCGACCGACCAGGTCAAGGAACGAAGCTGCTATGCCAAAAACAAATGGTCCTCGAAACCCGAAGCGGGTGTAAAGAGCACCGCCTAAGGGAGGACCGAGGACAAGACTAAGTATAGCTCCGTCAGAATGCAGATAGGATGTGACGGAGAAATGACTTGCCCCGCATTTACACCCATCATGGCGATACCGAGCTGTTCTGAGATTCATGTTAGCAAGGTATGATATGCAAATGCTGTAACGAAGCTTACGGCCAACTCTCTGCTCGGGAGTCGCATCGGCCCTGGAAAAATGACAGCATAAGGCGAAGTTCGATTCCGCAGGGTCGAGGTTGAACTTACAGCAAGGCCAGTCCGACGGTCCAGACAATAGCTGAACCTATACCCTGTAGAACGCGGGCCACACACATTAATGCGTAATTTGGAGCTTCCATGAACATCACTTGGGACCCAATAAGGACAATGAACCCAATAATCAGGGGCCACCGCCTTTCGTTGTATCTTTCAGATATCTGTGCGATGGGAATAGTGGCTACGTCGGGTATATGAATACTGGCTGGAGCCGCAAAGATAAAAGGGTAGTCACCTCCAAGCAATCCACCAGACTGGCGAGAGGTATTCATCAGAATGCCATTTCCGGGGCGAAGCCTATCACTTGGTCACTCACATAGGCGAACAAAAGCCACCCTGCGAGCGAGGAAATGTTTTCATATCCCAACTTGTCGAGTTGGAACGGTACAACTGGGATAATAATCGAATATACTAGCAGATCAATGGCAATTCCTGGATTGAGAGGTACATGAGCGTCCTAAACAACTTTGAATAATATTCGGGCCATACCACATCCGACAACGAGAGTAGTAAACCAGTATCCTGCCCTCCATGCAAGCCCGATGGGAGGTTTTGAATTGGGGGACATGATGTCGACGTCAACGTCACGGTAGTGGTCGAGTCAATTCGTTCCGGAGGAGCGTCCGCGAAGAAGGAAGAGCCGTAGGGTCTTGAGCCAACAGGTATAGTCGAAACTTCAGGTCTTTAGAGAAGGTACCCAGGTCATATCCGAAGCATACTGAGCGGGACAAGAATATGACCAGCTTTCAATTCTCCAGTTGTTCTCCAGCAAAACAAATTTATTGGTCCCGTCCGAAAATCAAATTGGTCATATCTGTGTGGGGCCGAACAGATGGAATTGATGCCAAGTTCCAGGAACGGTCCTTCGTCTTCCACTTCCACCTCGAATCAACACTCCAATGCCAGAATTACCTGGTAATTGTCGACAGTGTCTTTGCAATAAAGTCTATTGACGATAAAACGTTTACAGAGGTACAGAGAGCGGTAAACACGCTGAAACACGTCGCCAAAGGCAAACGGATCACCAAAGTAGTGACGTATCCAGATCCTATCGTGTTCAATGCGACAACGAACGAGGAGTTTGTGCGGGCCCTCTCCACGCGTCTTGTGCAGATTGTCTAATGAGGAGCAGGGAAAAGAACTTGAAAACAGAACGGTGTCGGATGCTAAGAGGTACGGGAAGGTATTCTACCTAGACTTGGATGGAAAGGGGAAGAAACCGGTTCTGCACTTTGGGATGACTGGAATGCTCCATGTAAGTGCGCATTTCGATATGACGATGTCAAGGCCACTTAGACAAGGGTTAGGTTAAAGGCGTGAAGCCCATGCATTACAAGGAAGCGCCCCGAAAGGACTCGGAGGACACGTGGCCTCCAAGGTTTTGCAAGGTGCCTACCAAGATACTTGCTACTGACATCGGTTTAACATTCTTTCAAGTTCATCCTGCACCTCCAGAATCCTACCGGCTCAAGTAATGGCGAGCCAGAAACTGAAGTAGCCTTTATCGACGCCCGTAGGCTCGCTCGAATACGATTGTGTACCTCTCCAATGGAGGAACGTCCCATCTCTGAACTTGGGTTCGACCCTTTGTTATCCATGCCTTCCCTCGAAACCTTCTCCCGCACAGTCTTGAAACGCTCATGTCCTATCAAAGCGCTTCTCCTTGACCAATCTTTCAGCGCAGGAGTTGGTAATTGGGTGGCAGATGAAGTGCTCTATCATGCCAGGATACACCCAGAACAACGCTGCAACACTTTAACCACTGAACAACTGAAGAATTTACATCACTGTATCGTCTATGTTTGCCAAACTGCGGTGGATGTCGATGCGGACCACAAATTATTTCCAGAAAACTGGTTGTTTGGTCACCGTTGGGTGAGTCTTCCTGTGTATGTACCCGATCCACAGAATGCCTGCTCAACGGTTGCGCCTAGAACAAAGGGAAGAAGAGTTTCTCGGTCAAACCTTTGATGCTGGTGCGTCTGCGCCCAACTGTGTGAAAGATTTTGGACTGAATGTACAGAATAGCCATCTGGCAGCAAGGCTACCATCAAATGGATCACGGTTGGCGGCAGAACGTCTGCTTATGTCCCGGAGCTGCAAAGACTCTCCCCGAATCAGTCCAAGGATACAAAGACTGAAGGAGAATCTGAAGTGAGCCCGATGTGTCCGATTCGTTTACGTTGTTGACCTCGTGATTAGGCCGGTGAAAGCGATCTGACCTCGTTGGTCGATTCTGACGAGGAGGAAATTTCAAAAAATAAACCAGCTATACAGAAGCGCAAGGTTGGTGTCTCCTTGGTCTCTTCTCAGTGAACATGACTGAGAAATCGCCAGGCCCCCAAGAGCACCGAACAACCAGCGAGGCAACAGCCAGCACGCTCCTCCAAGAGATTGAAGGGCATCACCGTCGACGGCGACACCTAAACAAAGTATTAAATGCGCGTGGAATATGCATTACTACAACCCTGCGAGGCGTGTGGCCCGGGAAATTTTTGATTAGAAGGCTTACTCGCTTTCGTCGCCCTCATCTTCTTCATCCGACCACTCCTCCTCTGCCTCGTCATCTATGAACCCATTCATCGAACCGTCCTCCTCGTCGCTTTCATCAAGATCATCATCTTCGTCATCCTCCTCGTCACTTCCGTCTTCATCGTCACTGTCGCCACCAAGTTCTACATCCTCCACGCTTCCCTCCTCATCACCGCTCTCAATCTCCACATCCCCGTCATCGTCGGCTTCACTCGATTCACTTTCTCCCTCGACATAATGCTTGGCTACCGAGGACTGGACGGCTTTGCCCTTGCTCTTGTCCTTTTTGATGGTGAGAGGTGCAGGAGCTGCTGACGATCGCAGTTCCACCTGCGAGAGGACCATGTCGAGTTTTCCGTTCAAAAGGAGGAGGTTCTCGTGCAAGGCCAGTCTTGCGTTGATGGTGGTGTACAGGCCAGATAGACGGGCCACGAGGTCAGGGATCTGGAGAATAACAATGTCAGCTTTCTGGTGATAGACACAGGTTTAGAAATAGGGCAGACCGTCATTAGATGTCCGGCGTGGACTGCAAGAGCAGTCTTTATCCACATAATCAATCCGGTACCTCGCTGAGAACTCGCTCCTCCTCCCCCGCCCTTCATGTTGGCGGCCCGAGCACCCCGCCCAAGTCTCTCGGTGCATGCAACTACCAATGGCACAGCCAGCTGAGGTGGCAGCCGCTTCACAGTGTTCTGAATAAGAGTGGGATCTGAATGGGCGAGACAGCTCTCCAACAGCCTGCTATCCGACGAATGCAAAGCTTGGATCAGTGTCCTTGTCAAAGAATTGGCAGGGACTGAGGAGACGTCGCGTTTTGGTCCTCCCTTTTTCTTTTTAGGTGATCTAGAGACACCTTCTTCGTCGTCGCTGTCAGAGTGCCGCGCTTCACCGTCGTTTAAGGCTGTCAGGCGTTGGCCAAGGGAAAGTTCTGCGAGGTCGACTTCGAGGTCGCCGTCGATGTCGCGCACGGGGACGTCGTCTCCGGATTCTTTGACTCCGAGGTCGATGGCAGAGCCTACGACATTGGCTGATCCTTCAGCATATCGTTGAGTGGAAATACCCTGAAGAGAGAGGTAAGTCGTAACTCTGGAGGGGAAAAAAAAAAATTGACGCAGACCGCATCGGCGTCCTTGACCACTGAGAGATCGAGTTCCTCAAGGGTGATGTCAGAGATATAGGACCCCGAGTCATCCAAGAATTTCTAAGGAGATGATTAAATAGCTTTCGAACAGTATGTAGCCGAGATACTCACGACGTTCGAGAACACTGGACGAACACCTTTGGCGAGTCGTGCAATGCGAAGAGATGTGTTGTCGGTCGAGTTGAAGGCGATGTTAATAACTGGAGAAGTCGAAGCACTATTTTTGGCGGGGGCGACGATGTTGGAGCGGGAGAGGAGGGTGGGGATTTTATGTGAGGTAGTGTTGGTGCTTGCGGGAGGGACGAGTTCTTCAGGGATGGGATACACCGAAACTTTGCCAGAGGCAGAAAGCGCGGCCAACGCCACCTTGCCTGACGCAGGGGATATCGAAAATGTCCGGGGTTCCGAGTCGAGAGGAATTGAAGCTGATGCTTTTCCTTCTGACGTTGTTCCATCTTCGATATCCCAAACGTAGAGGAAACGGTCGCCCTCTGCCATTGTCACGAAACGGCCAGGGGGGATTTCAGATTGAGCCCATTTGGTGAGTTTTATAGATGAAGCATGGCCAGTGAAGGAAGCAATCTGAGTCGACCGAGATGAAGAAAGAACGTCGTTGCTTCTTGATACCAGGCGGACATTGTGGTGGGCGACGAGTAGATCGGTTCTGTCGTCCTCTTGGTTGGGTCGAACTGATAGGGCAGTGTATGGTATCCTGTCTTCAGTCTTCCAGGTGTCTATAATTTCACTCGTTTGGATATTCCAACTTCGAACCACCCCATCGGCGCTTGAGGACCAGATGACATTTTTCGAGGTCGCGAGACTGAGGACGGGGGTTGAACTCGATGGATGCGAAAGCGTTCGCAAAACTCGGCCATGGGAGGGAGAGAAGAAGGATATCGTGCCGTCTGACAGGCCGAGAACGACTACCTCTGTGCCTGCTGAAGAGGGAGTTTCCTCTGGCGCGAGACTCTGTCTCTTCTTCCGCTTCTTCTTGGAGGGCGATGCGACATCTGGTTGGGACTCGGAAGCGAAGTTGAGGGTGTCCCAGTGGAGAGCAGATACACGGGCAGTGTCCACTGTATATTCAGCCAGGGAATGACCGGATGCGGTGTTATAGACGCGCAGACGATGTTTGTCGACTGCGAGTTGGAGATATGCGAAGAGATGGGCGTCTTGAGAAAAGGCGGAAAGGGAAGTGAGGATGGACGCATCCTCGACGTGGGGTTGTGAGATTGCAGCTGTGGAAATTGGGCGTGCCTTGGACGCTTTTGACTTTGTTTTCGAGGGTTTTTGTGAGGGCGCCATCTTGTCCGTCTAACACTATCCCAGTCTCTGCAAATCATCCATATCCAAATTTTTGGAGACACGTGATCATTAGCGCCGAGAATTGGGTTAAGGTCTATCAGACCGGACCCAAATCAGCGGCACAGCCTCGGATATGCACTGATTCCCTCCTTCGTCATCCCACAACGCCCATGTTCTTTCCACAATAAATTGTACACTATTCTCTAACTAAATCGCCATGATGAATTATATTCAGGTAACGTCTGCACCATTTATCGTTGCCCGCATATGGCTAACTCAACATTTCGCAGCTTGAGAAACTTGGTCAGTGCTACCGACAATAAATGAAGCTGTATCTGACGTTTACTTAGGTGAGGGAACTTATGCAACGGTGTACAAGGTATGCGGCAGTCTCTTTCTCGCCCCCATTATGCGCTCACTTCTCTTGTAGGGTAGATCCCGGACGACCAACGAGATCGTCGCCCTCAAGGAGATTCATCTCGATGCTGAAGAGGGCACGCCATCCACCGCCATTCGAGAAATCTCGCTCATGAAAGAGTTGAAGCATGTCAACATTGTCAGACTCCACGACGTGATCCACACAGAAACCAAACTCGTCCTCATCTTTGAATACTGCGAGCAGGATCTCAAGAAGTACATGGACCAGCATGGCGAAAGAGGCGCACTCGAACCAGAAGTCGTTCGCAGTTTCATGTATCAGCTACTCAAGGGCACCGCCTTTTGTCACGAGAACCAAGTTCTGCATCGAGACTTGAAACCCCAAAACTTGCTCATCAATCGTAAAGGCGAGCTCAAGTTGGGTGATTTTGGATTGGCGAGAGCCTTTGGTGTCCCTGTGAACACGTTCTCGAACGAGGTGCGTAGTCTGGCTTTGAGTCTTTGCCATGATTGCTGGAAATGACTCGATCTCCAAGGTCGTAACGCTCTGGTACAGAGCTCCCGACGTATTACTCGGATCTCGGACTTACAGCACCTCGATCGATGTCTGGTCTTGCGGCTGTATATTCGCGGAGATGATTTCGGGCGTCCCCTTGTTCAGAGGGAGGGACAATCAGGACCAACTACTTCATATCATGAGGATAATTGGAACACCAAGCCCCGCTCAGTTCGCAAAGATCTGCAAAGAGACGGTATGTATCGCCTTGCCTATCTGGATTTATGCACTTATCTTTAATATCTCCAGCCTGAGATCCAGCCGAAGCAATTCCCGAACTATCCTCGACTACCCTTCCACCAAGTCCTCCCAAAGGCTTCGCCACAAGGTAGACGTGGTTCCCCCACCTTGAGCACCTTTGACTAACTCAGAGCCGCAGCCCTTGATCTACTCGACAAATTGCTCAAGTTCGATCCTGCCGAACGTATCTCGGCAGCAGACGCCCTTGCTCATCCCTATTTCACAACGGCAACAAACACGCCCTTTGGCTTGAATTCATCACCAAGCTCAATGCCCCCTCCTTCTTTCAACTTCCCTCATTCGCATGTTCATCAGGCCCAGCAACAACATCAGCAGCGACAGCAACAACAGCAACAACAACAGCAGCAACAGCAACAACAACAACAACAGCAACAGGTCCATCATCAACAAATACAACCCCACTACTCCCGCCCAATATACGGACAGATCCCGCAACACCCTCAGAACCCCGCGCAAGTGAAGAATGTCCAGGTTCCATATGGAAACGTTCAATACCCCCCCTATGGTGCACCTCCCCGATAATCGCCTCAGCCCCTACAGCCATGACAAATCCTCTGTGGCCTCCTTGTTCAAGATTCCCCCTTTCTTCTCAATTCGGCTTATCTAGGTTTGTACCCTTAACATTAGTTTTGTGAAACTATGAACCAAATGCCCAGAGATCATATTTCATATCCTACATAAACTGCGTGTATGCACCCTAGCTTAATACAACCATGACCAATAAGTATGTACCGAGTTACCTGTGACGAGAAGAGAGCGAAACCACCAAGAAGACAGAAACGACTATGATACAGTAAGTGTGCTCGTATATAAGTTAGCTGTTGAGATGCCATGGAGACAGAGATGGAGCGAGATAGATGTTTGAAGAACCGACTAGGTGCCTTGAGGGGTTGGCGTTCCGAACATGGAGAGGAGTGAGAGGAGGTCGTCTGCCAATCGACTGGTCAGAGAACTAGTAAACTGTGACGAAATAGAACACCCACTCTTTTTCAGCGGCTTGCTGAAGAACGTGTTCATACCCGCACTCAGGCAAAGATTCTTCGTCGACTCTTGGCAGTCGGCACTGAGCGCAGCGACTGGAAACGAGACACAAAGTGGTCAATGATCTCATCCGCATATCCGCCCTTCGCCACTTACTCGGCAATTGAATTGGGATCTTCCGCTTCCTTTCCAGCAGCCTCAGCCTCTTGGCAGCTTCTACCCCGTCGCAGATAGGCATGTCTTTCAGAACAGTGAGTATGGGGCGAAGGGATAGCAGAAAGGGAGGTACTGACGATGATCGAACAAAGCGACACTGAAGTAGCCTGGCGGGTGTGATTCCCAAGCTGCAATTGCTTCTTCTCCGTTGCTCGTGGCCGTCACAGTCAGCTGATACCTTTCCAGCTGCTTCACCAGTAGGTTCTGGGCGATAGGGTTGTCTGCAAGGAAATAGGATCAGACAAATTCTTAGTATCGCGACCGCCATGGGAAACGCCTACCTTCGGCAATGAGAACGTTTCCATATAGAGTACATCTAGCAGCTGCCTGCTCCTCCATAGCCTTGGCAACCTCACTTGTGGGGTTAGTCGAGATGGTATTCGGAATGTCTTTCAAACCAGCGAGGGTTTGCAGCAAGCGCGCTTTCCGCGGCGGTTTGGTCATTTTGACCACACCGAGGACACTGCTATTCCCAAACACGTCTTGTCCAGTCCGGCTAGTCGTGGGAGTGTAGAGATGAATGACTCGGGTATCGTTGAGCGGACGTGACGAAAGGGACTTTATGAAGCGAGCCATTTCGTCGGCATTGGTCTCGGATTGGTCGTCGAGAATGACAAAGTCGAGGGACTTGTCTTCAGGTGGAAGAGAGCGGAGAAACTCGTGCGACTCTTCCACAGAAGAAGAAGAATGAACATCGAATCCTTCGAGTAGATTGGAGAGGAAAGATCTTGTCGTATCCGACCCAGAGCACACAAGGATGCGAAGGGGGGTGGGGGTTGCCAATACAGCCTTCAGTCGTTCAATGTCGGCAGCGGACTGTCGGACAATGTCAGCTATGGTCAATACCACCGGATAGTCTACTTACTTGTTGCGACTCGGGTGACTGGAACAGCTTGACGGGAATGGTGAACCAGAACGTTGATCCCGAATTTAAATCTGATTGAACACCAATAGCGCCACCCATGAGTTTGACCAACTGTCGTGAGATAGATAATCCCAGGCCGGTGCCTCCAAATCGACGAGTCGATGAGTTCTGAATAAAGAATTGAGCATAGGGACATGTGAGTAGCACCCGACGACACTTACGTCGGCTTGTTGAAACGGCATGAAGAGATGATCAACGTCACTTGCAGACAAGCCGATGCCCGTGTCCCTGAAATCAACATTGGTCACAATTCCTTAACCAGGGAAGGGAGGGCCAACTTACTGGATCTCGAACTTCAGATTCACTTCACCTGGGACGACCTTTGTGGAGTTATCGACAGAGCAGGTCACTCGGACGTATCCTTGTGCAGTGAACTTGACGGCATTGCCAATCAAATTCATCAAAACTGAGGAAGACGTTGAGTATATGCTGTTCCAGCAGCTGGAACGCCTCTTACCTTGACGTATGCGGGCGTAGTCCGCGAAAACCCCTAATGGCAAATGTATCAGTCACTTGAAAAGATTCGCAAAGGAAAGGGCACAAACAAGATGGCACGTCGGGTTCGATGTTAAAAGACAGGTCCAATTTCTTGGCAGCCATCGGTAACAGCAGCTCCATGCAATCCTGATACATCGTCAGTCGAAGAGCAGCTGATAAGGCGATTGGTCATAACTGACCGCGATAATATTCTGTTGCCTGAGGTCAGCTTCTGCTTTGTTGGATACAGGTGATCGGAAACTCACCTCAACTAAAAAGCCGCTCGGCTCGAGTTTGACGGCTGATAGCCGCAGGATAATTCAGAAACTTTTGCTTCTTTATGGGATTTGAACCTACCTGAAGCTTCCAGTTTGCTGTAATCCAGAATAGAATCAATGATCTGTCGTGTGTTGTGAGCGTTATGCAATAAAAACTCGATGCTTTTAAAGTGCTCTACCTTGAGCAGCAATTCACACGACTGCTTTGCCGTTTGGACTACGACAAGGTGTCAGAGGAAGCGTGATCCCATGGCATTAATGGGCAAGCGCATACCGATTTCACTTTGCCCGGGGTTCAGCTCTGTTCCGCTTAACAAATCCAGCAGTCCATAGAAGGAACTAAACGTCCATCAGTACGGTGGTCAGGTCCCGAAAAGGGCAAGTCCTACCTAAAAGGGGTTCTGAGCTCGTGGCTCATCGACGCCAAGAAATTGCTCTTAATCTACGAGCAACCCATCAGCTGCTAGCTCCATCCGAGGGACCGCAGACTGACCTTGGTAGCCTTCAGCGCATCCTCCCGACTTTTCCTGGCTGTCTCTAGAGCATCACGTTGAGCTGCGATCATCTTCAAATTCTCCCTTGTGCCGGCTTGGACTGAGCGGAACAGAAGGGCGTTCGAAATGCTGATACTGGCTTGTTGGCAAAGGAGCGTCAAGACTGTGAGAGTATTCTGCGAAAAAGGGTATCTGGAGGAAAGATAAACGACGCCAAAGGTTTGACCCCGGTTGCTGAAGATGGGGATGCAAATGACCGAGCGATGTATAGATTGAGCAGCTTCCGAAGAGAACCTAGAATCCAAGGAAGCGTCATGGTAATACACCCTTTCCTTCGAGTTCAACGCTTGGTGAGGGATGTCAATACCACAATCAGTTGGACAACTGGACAGGACTAACTGTGTTGGATGATCGCCTTCTGCAGTGGATCATCTATGGTGCGTATGGATTTGGGGTTCCTGGGGGTCGGTCATTAGTTTCGCGACAGGCCGGCGAATTATTTTGCTCACTCGTGGACTTGACACGGATCGGGCTGCGACATGCTAGTGGCGACGATGTAATCCCCGGCTTCTCGAGCGATAACGACTTGGAAAAAAAAGACAGGTACATAAACGAGTACCGACGGCCAAACGACGTAAACGCCTACCGCAAGTCCTGTGTGACCCGGATGTTTCTGATAGACATTCGGAATAAGATCCCCATCTCGACATAATGAAGGCATACCAGTCGCGATCTCTGTGAGACGTCGAAGCGCTGCCAAGCGACGTCAGCTTGTCTTAACTCTAGAGTTTGAGGCCCAATTACCTGACGATAGGTTGATATCGCTGGAAATGTCCTTGCTCCATTTCAGGATAGAGGCAAGATCAGAGGCACTCAGTACAGTGTCGTGATCCTCGTGAAGGTCGATGGTTGCGCTATGGACCTGCATCTGTGATGATGGATCGACAGCAAGAGCTTCGGTTTGGGTAGCGACGTCTGCAGTGAATGCTTGGCGTCTGGGGGGAGGGCGTGCTCGGGATCCGATAAGAGACGTCAGGTGCGACCTGGACAGGGTGTCAGTAGTAGTGTTGAAATGCCTAAATGCACGTACACAATCCCGTTGGCCCCCCATTGTGCATGCCTAGCAATGCCCCTACGTTGTAATTCTGTGCCTAAACTTTCCACTCCACATCGAACGAAATGAGATCCTTGCTATACCAACCTCAGCGCTCGCCCAAACCGTGGCTTAAGAGTGGCGCTTACCAGAAATAATGCCCATCCTTCTTCCATTAACCAGTCATTCTCGCCGGCCAGTCTGGACATCGGACGTCAATAGTCTATTACACAGAACACGGGGAGCTTGACAATACCTGACGGCCACGTCATAGAGACGCAAAGCGTTGGAATCACCTAGAAGGGCCGCCATTTCGGCATCCTTTTGCCCCTTCAGTAGGTCGCCTCGTATTTTATGCATTGAACAACTCACCACAATGGCAACCCAGGCACTGGTATTGACAGGGCTAGAGGACAACCATTTGCGAATGTAGATCTGGTTCAGTTTGATCTGCGAGAAATACTTTGCTCTGGTCTCATTCGTCAACCTTCCCATTCGAATGCATGCAATCATGGAGAGGTTGTGGAAGAAAAGCGCATAGCGAACGTGGCGGTGACTGTTGACATATGTCAGCCGGATGCCATAGTCGCTGATGACCCGACGTACTTGGGATGTACAGAGCGGCTCTCGTAGACGGAAAAGCCAAGAGATGCCGCTTCGTCGTAGAAGCCTACACAAAAAAGGCTAACGACCTTGAACGAATTGTACCTGAAAGGGGAAATAGTTGTAAAGGTTATGATGTTGATGTCAATTGAGACTGTCTTAACTGACCAATTCAGGGCTAGAGATACGTTGCCCGATGTTTTAAGGATCGTCTGGACGTAATTGCTTTCGACGAAGCTGTCTGTGTCGAACAATGTATCAACCGATATAGGAGGTTGGTTGGCGGTTTGTCCGGCGAGGACTCGAATGCAATTGAGAATGCCTGATGTTCTTTGAGCCCAGTGTACATGAGAGACCGCGTGACACCGACTCACCGGTAGCAAGAATCACGGGTTCTCCTCCCGGTGTCAGCAGCGTGACGTCGTTAACACACTGAAGCGCGGCAATGAGAACGGGATCAGGTTCAATGAAAAGAGATTATACCTCTTCTGCTGCACCTAGCAATTCTCCCACTTTGAGAAAGTTAGGAGGGGATCATTTAACTGCGCGAGAGAGAAGCGTACAGTGTTCGCAAAGATACAATTTGGTGGTGATGATGTGAATACTGGCGAAGCTGGTGTAAATGCTGCAAAACAATCAGTCGAGTGTCGGGGCATCAAGGGAGAGTGCGAACCTGTCACCGGCTGAATAGCCATACTTCAGTGCTTCCTCCAGACGAGGAATACTCGACCGCATGTGAACATTGTCGAATCCAGAAACCATGCTGCAATATAGCACCTGCGCGCGGCTACGGGGGTCATCAGCGACGCGTAGTTTCGCTTCTGGCAAGACACCTACCATTTCTCTGCAGAGTTACCATATTTATCCGCAATTCTGAGCGCTAGCTTCGCAAGGTCAGCGGAAAAACGGTACAGTTCTCTCCGTTCCGCTGCAGCTACAGTCCGTCAATTTCTTCTTGGGTAGATTGTAACATAGATGAACATACCTCCCAGAGCCCAGAAAAAGCCAAGCGCCGTGCCAGGAGCCATCCCAGACCTGACCCAGTGTCAAACGGGTCTATGCAGGAGAAAGGACAACATACCGTAAGGCGAGTTGAATAGTCTTCAAATATGGGATATGTATCAGTCCAAGGTAAACTCTTCCACACGAGACGACTTACAGTTAGACCAATGACGTCCAAGAAGATGGAAGGAGATGGACTCCAGTAAGCGTTGATGCCTTGCATGAAAGTCAGAACGAAACGAATAGAATAGCCGTACATTTCCAAAACTTACCAGCATCGTTTAACAGCGTTACCGCAAGCTCAGTCTTCCTATCCGTCGTCCGTGGGATAGCGAGAATCTCATCAAATCCAACAGCCAGTATCTCGTTCTTGATTTGGTCGAACATGACATCCGCTTGTTTCCGTGATGGAGAATGGCAGATCTCAATGCCGAGGATGCTGAGAGCCGTGATGGTGAAATTGAACGCCTCTGTGAAGTTGCCGCGCAACCATTGATTGCGGGACTTGAGCCGGAGAATGTTGCTCTTGTCTTCCGGATGATCTGCACGGGCAAAACATTCTTTGAGGAGCGCATCCGACTCGTTTAGTTCCCCTGAGAAGATGTCAATTACTGCTTTGCTACGGAGCAGGAGGCAAGTTACCTTTCCAGGTATGGAGCCTAAGCAATTGGTAAGGTGAGCTAAAAGTATCGAGGAAAGGTAAAGACAACGCACGCTGCGAGTCGTGAGTACAGGACGAGTGTGCGTGAGGGATGTTGAGCCCATGGGTCCTCAGTTAAGAGAGTTCGGGCATTGAGGAAAGAGCGAGTCGCAAGCTGCAAACACCATCAGCAGAGGATCTCCACCGGACAGTCTTTCACACACACACCTCGTGAGCACCTCTAGCCCACGCCGACTCTCCAGCGTCGATGAGGACGTTCAGCAATTCTTCTTTCTTAGGATGTTCATGGAGGAGGGATAAACACCTAGACAAATATGAGCACATTTACGGACGGCAGTAATAAGTGACGTACTTCTTGGCATGTTCAGCGACGCGATAGACATCAACGGGGTGCTCATGAAGCATCATCAGGACGATCTGGAAGAAAAAATGAGTCGAATACAAACAGTCAGGAGAGGAAAAGTATCACATACGCGGAATGACATCTTAGCAATTATATCGGGCGGCAATGCAGCAGCTTCAGCCTGTGCTGCTTGACGGAATCGATCATGGGCGAAGCTACACATCTCCCTGGCGCGTTGTATAAGCCACCCTTCCGCCAGGGCCAACTGCAGGCCGCGCATTGATCCACGAGTCCTGTCAGAACTCTTCTCTCGGAAGTTTGTGACGGCTTTGTGGACGTTCCATTTGTCATCTGCCTCTTCCTCACTGCTGCTTCCATTACTGGAATCCTCCCAGTCCATCATCAATGCCACTTCAGTAACTTTGAAACTAGGTTGAGGTCAGCACAATCCCTATGCAGATAGCGAGGGGAAGGCACAAACGTTTCGCCGAAGAAAGCAGCCCATGTAAGATACTTCCGGGCCTCTTCGGGCAAATTTCGCATGTAATCAACCAGGAATGAAAGGTCGGCAGGGTCGGATATTTGCTGGTCGACAAAGCTCCCCTCGATTGCGGCCATGTCGTAGCTGTTAACGTCATTAGCAAGTACGTTAAACGACAAGGCGCATAGGAGAGACATACATCCAATGGTTCTTATCCCAGTTGAATTGTATCTACAGATGTACTTCAGTATCATCGCGCGTCATGGGTGGAACCAGGATTCTCACATGGTTTTGTCGATGGAGAGTATGCAAAATGTTCCTGGCCGAGAAGACGTTCCCAGACGAAGCCTTGAAAACGAATTGAGTCAGCGGCGTGCAGTCTTCCTTCGTCCTGTGCAAGGTTTTGGATATCAATGAGAGTATCGCGGCGTATGATAGGGGTTCCACATCAATCCAAGTTGGTCGTGCTTTATGAGAAAACATGGACTTGACACGATCGACGAATCCCCTTGAGAAAGATGTCGTCATTACATCACGACATTCCCGTACGAGACGACTTACGGCTTGTCTGAGCGCAACGTCGCAAAGATCAACTGGTAATTGATGATGAGGAAGTGAGGAATGCGAAAATGGGTACGAGACATACCATCCTGCTGCGAGAGTTCAGCAAGGTCGAAACAAGGTCAAGAGTCCTATTAGTTGAATTAGACCGCATTCGGAAGGTCCGAAGGGGATCATGAACTCACGAATCATCTGCCTCATGCAAGTCGTCCAGAAACAATGCAAACAATCGCGTTTCGGCAATGACTGCGAAGACCTTTTCAACAAGCGATTGGAAGCGGGAGCGAAGGTCAGTGGAATCAAGAGGCTCTTGCGGTTCTTCCAGCACAATGTTGAATGTCGCCAATACGTCCTTCAGCTCAGGCGTCCCTTGGAAAAGAAGCGGGACGTTCTGCATTTGAGGTCCTAAACGTTCTTGAAGTCCGGCAACAAAGCGTTGGAGGTCTGTGTGGAACACCATCAGCTGTCGCAAGACAGCGGAGAGACAGCTTAACTAGAAACCGGGTAAGTGATTCAATCATTAGAACTAGCTGGACATGCTCAATACCAGCGCGGCAAAAGGTGCTGACTCTGCACCCTGAAACTTTGCTTGTCCCCACAGGCCGTGAGCTTTCACGACGTCAGTAAGCTCCACTCCGCTTGATACATGAAAAGACATCACCTCTCCACTTGGCTTGATTTGCAAGAACAATCGAGCTTTTGCCGATGCTGAGATTGAATTAGCCAGGGGAAGCAATGAAACTGGATTTGGGAGACCAACCCAGGAGGCCCGACAACTAGAACTGCTTGCGTTCGGGAATACTTGCTACGCCCGCCTCGAAACGCGGCCCTCCTGAGACCATCCGATGCATGCCTTGAGGGGCTCCCTGATGTTGTCTGAGAGGGATCGTGACCGATATGCGATTCTGGCGGATGCATGACGGAATCTGCTGCCATGCTGGTGCTCGGAGACCCACTACGCGACGAGTTGGACTCGCTGGCTTCCATCGCTTGTGTACCGGAACTTGTAGAGGCGAGGGTTATGAACCCTTTCCCGGGTGCGTGATGTTGAGAGAAGCTTGTGGAAGTGTTGCGGACTACGGCGGTGGTCAGATGGAATAAAGACATGGAAGTTAAACATATATACTTACTAACGTTTCGGATTTGCTCAAGTTCCTTCTCCCGACCGAACAGTGCGATTGGGATGGTGAATTCCTGGTCCACGTTTAGTGATGAAAGCTCCCCTAGGGAAGCGGATAGCACGCACCACGAACCGGTCTTCCTGTGCAATCTCGAAGAATGGGATCAGCTGCAAGGATATGGTGAATAACGCTCGTCAGAAGGCTAATCTAGTCCCGACCTCTTGCGGCTCTCCCGAGAGGGACGAAACCACGGCCAACAACCTCCTCTGACACTCCAGTAAATCCGCCTTCAGTCCGTGTGCGCTTTGATAGCGATGGTCGGGATTCTTGGCGAGTAACTATACGATTGGATTAAACCAAGAATACAACGGGCATTGTATGGTCATTGGCATACCTTGTCGATGATGTTCGCGAGCACCTGGGGTACATCACGACGGACTTCGTGAACGGGCATTGGTCGCTTCTGGACAATGGCGTGTAGCAATTCCAGAGGGCCCCCTTCGAACGGCATCTGTCCTCTTCCCACCAGTAAGGTCCAAAACAAGATTCCAAGGGAGTACAGGTCCGTTCTGTGGTCTTGAGTCATCGTTTCGATGCTGCCTGTCTGTTCTGGAGCGAGATAACATAACGCTTCCTTCACCTTGAGCTTCTCAGGTTCGTCATTGGCGCGAATAACCAAAGACGACGGCGATCCAAAGCTTTCAAGTGAAATCGCACGGTTTCCAAAGTGGACGAGCCGAACAAAGCCGGAGTGAGCGTTGAGGTGAAATGCATTGGCGCGGACTAAAGACGACGGCGTCAGTTTTGAATAGGCGCGAAGGGTGATGGAGCGCTTGACCTTCTCGGTGTACGACGCCAGCCCTGCAAAGAAGGGTGAGTTTAAGTGAAGGCAAGGGGAAAGACATTTAACCTACTTGTGCATTGTTTGTAAGCACTGTGTAGCTTTGATAGCAAATCTAATGTCTGTGAGATGGGAATGTGATAACAGTGCAAACGCTTAACGCACTCGAGGAACGAAGCCAAGTCCATGATGTCGAAAGGTTCCATTTCTTCGGCCAGGTCGGATCCCTCGAAGCTGCCGTGCATAGTGATGTCTCCATTGGATGAACTTGGTCTCCCGTGATTGGCGTCGGCCAGGAGGAGATCGTTGACTTTGGAAGGCGGTAGGTAGCGACCCAAGAGGTTCGGACCAGGATGGGCGAGAAGGAGGACGACAGAATCTCCATGTTCTTTGGGTATTTTGAAGAAATCAATCATGCGCAGAACTGTACTTGAGCCGTCTGCTGCGACTCTGTTCAGACTGAGATATGTTGTGAGCATTGAATAGCAGAGCAAAGGTAGCGATAACGCACATATGAGCTTCCCTCTCCAAGCACATCGAGCCATTCGATTGCGCTGGCGCAATCTTGGCTAGTACGCTTGAGCTGTCCTTTAGACAACTCCCCTCCGCCAATTCAGTCATACTCCCTGTGTCGTGCCATTGAACCGCCTGGTTGGAAGTCGTCAATAGCGCTTGCTTGAGCAAAAGCACCCAATGCCTACCTTCTCAAAAGTGTAGCCTGGGACTGAGAGAACGCTGTCTTTGTAGAATAGCGTCGGTTGCGCGTGCTGTCCAAGCCTTCGTCGCATTGCAGCGACTGCGACTGGCGGATGTCCAAGTTGCGACAAAATTACTCTGTACGGAGTCCAGCCAACTCTGGAGTCTGTTCACATTCCCTGACTTCGAGGCCCGATCCCGGTTCCCACACATCCGGCTCGGATGACGTCACTCAATATGCAATTCCAGCGATTTGACTCAAAAAAAAATTGCAACATTCGAGAATAGACAACAAAATACAACAGGACACGTAGTTTACACAAAGAGAAGTATCTTAAGAGGTCACTAAAGGCGAGAGAGGAGGGTGTATTAGATTCAGCAGTTAGCGAGAACAAAAATGCACTTACTGTAACTGGCAGGGTCGATATGGTCCGGAAGCTCGGGAACAGCAACCTCGAAACGGGATTGGATGGACGCCATGGTTTGCTGGTCCGTATCCGAAGACACGAAGGTGATCGCCAAACCCTTGGTACCGAAGCGGCCGGCACGACTATTACGAAGCATCAGAGAAAGCAGGAGTAACTGCAGCCAACAATACACGTACCCAACGCGGTGAAGATAGGAATCGGCATCGGGAGGGCAATCATAATTGACAACGATGTTAACTCGTTCAACATCAATACCACGACCGAAGATATCAGTGGCAACCAGGATACGCTTCTCGAAAGCCTTAAAAGCAGTATAACGTTTGATACTGTTTCCGAAGTCAATACCATTATTTACCTCGGAAATTTGTTAGAGACTCACCGTTCTTCTTGCTGCAATCCAGAGTGGATGGCGATTGAAGGGAAGTTACAGGACACAAGCAGCTTATCCAGTTCAATTGCACGAGCAACCGACTTCACGAAAATGACAACCTTCACACACGAATCAGGGCTTTTGCAACGGCACGAGGCAGAGAGCAACACACCTGGTTGAATTCGAGGTTGTCGAGCAATTCGTTTAACTTCCTGTTCTTTCCAGCTTCCTCCAGCTTCACGTAGTGCTGTTGTAAACCGTGCAGGGTCAACTTGGTTTCATCGTCGACGAAGATTTCAAGGGGCTATTCGCAGGCGATCAGTCACCAGTCAATCAAGGTCAGATGATAGACGTACATTGGCCATAAACTTCTTGCACGTCGCTCGGATTTCCTTCGCAAGGGTGGCGCTGAACATCATGACTTGCTTGTGGTGAGGGGTCATGCGGAAGATTTCCTGGACGTCGCGGCGCATGTCTATTGTACGATGTCGAAAGATTAGATCGGTCGTCCAAATCAGTAAAAGAGACGGTAAACAAGAAAATCATCGAAGACAAGGGTATCGCGTTCCAATTGTCGACCGTATCGAGAGGCGGGTCCTCGAGGCGAGAAAACCGAAGCTTGCAAGAGTAGGCGCGCCGAAAGCGGAGATTGTTTGTCTCCTCCCAACCCAACACTCTGCCCACACCGTGCCCTGCGTATAGACGCCCAGATTGAGGTGCCACACATGTAGCTCGTTGCAGACGATGGGATGGTAGTTGAACCCAACGGTCGAAGCATGATGATAATAGACGATGGATGATGACTTTAAAGGCCCAAATTCGCAAGACTAACCGAGCTGTTCAAGCATTTTGTCGCACTCGTCCAACACGAAATGCTTCACGTTCTTGGCGTCCAAAACTTTGTCGCGGGCGAGGGCGTTGAGTCGACCGGGAGTAGCAACGACAATGTGGGGGCATTTGGTTTTATCGCGCAGGATTTCGGCATCCTTTGCGACTGGAGTTCCTCCATAGAAGGTGCTGACGCGAACATCCGGCATGTATTTGGCGAAACGCGTGTATTCGTTTTTGATTTGGAATGCCAACTCTCGAGTATGGCAGAGAACGAGTACCGACACTTCGCCATTGACAGGCTCAAGTTGTTGGAGAGTGGCAAGAACGAAGACTGCAGTCTTTCCGTGACCGGACTTGGCTTGACACAGAACGTCCATACCAAGAACGGCCTGGGGAATACATTCTTGTTGCACTGAGAAGACATTAGTACGCTGCTCAGATCGACTGGATCCTGACATTGCCCCTACCTTCCGAAGGATGTTCAAAGCCCAGATCAGAAATGGCACGAAGCAGTTCGGGTTTCAAGAGGAAATCCCTGTAAGTGCGGGTAAGTATCAAGTCCTGCAAGCAACACCCAGTAGCAGCTTACCTGAAACCGGTTGAGTGAATACCAGAAAAGTTTTTCTTATCCCCTGCGTCGCCAGCACCTCCAGCAGCGCCTGCCGAGGCTGCTGCACCACCGCTTGGGACAATGTCGTGCTCGTCCTCGTAGTCGATAAGATCTTCGGCGTCTTGTGCGCTCATGTTGTATCAAAAGTCACAGAAAAAGGAAGAGTTTGTAAGGAAGGAGGGAAGAAGTCAAGAGCAAGAGGAATGGATGGTAACAGCAAGGCACGCGTCGTCCCAAACGCACGGGCCCGTGGGTAACTCAACGATTCCCACGGTCGCAATCGTAGCCTTCTTGTTTCAGATCCAGACCAACGAAGGACAAGGCAACTTTGATCTACGTTCTGCACAAAACTAGCGACTACAACAACGACATAGCATATTCCAGAAGTCGGTCAATGTCTACATTCTGCTTGGAGCGAAGAAACTCCATGGTCTTCTCAAGGTAGCCTTCCAGCACCTCAGGGTTGTCATAGAGTTGTTTCTTCAAATACGCAACGCAACAAATCGTTGTCCAAACTGCTCGCTCGTGTCGGTCCAATTGTTTGCCCCCTTCAACCAAAACTGTTCCAAGGATTCCTTCTAGGTTCCGATTCATGGTGAACGAGCCGTCCACATTCCTCGTTTTGATGAGATCGAATACGGGCGCAGGCACTGGTTTCGGGGGTTCTTCACGATGCTCTGGTTTGCTCACAGGATCTTCGGGTAATGACAGCGTTTCGAACTGAGGAGATGGTGCCTCTTCTTCCTCAGTCATATCACTGTACATTGAGCTCCAATCACTTTCGCTGGAGAAGCCATTCAAAGAACTGATGGTGGAGAATGTCCTCACGCTGGAGCGGTCGCTGTCGTCCGATTCTGACGAAGGCGGGCTGGCCGGACGTGTGTCTTCAAGGTCGTCGACAGAGGCATCCTCGAAATGGAATGGCCAAGAACCAGGAGGGACGTTGGGTGCCCCGTCTGCTGTGGGAATATCGCTGGGAGGGACTAGAGTAAACATGGTCCTAACCAGTCCGCCGAGAGCAGAGGAAGCTGAAGCTATTCCCTCGAACATACCCTCCATGAAACTCGACGGTACGGGCTCCTCGTCTTCAACATCTTGGAATTCAATGTGTACTGGTTCGCTCAGTAATCCAGGGTGCTTGTCAGAGAACGAGAGGGCTAGTTTCCGCCCGGCCTGCCCGTCGTGTATGCCGACCACCGCAATAAATGACGTGCATTGAGTTGCTAGCTGGTATTCGATTCCCAACTGTGTTATGACCGCCCTGTGGTAATCATCCTGTCGGACCTGGTTATCCCCAATCTGCTGGATGAGTTTCCAGGCTGCCATAGTGTGGATCAAGGGTATTTTGGACTCGTCGGTATCGACCAAAGACGTCCGCTGCACCTCGACGCCAAACTGGAAGGGACTCCGAGTTTCGTCATCGAGGACGCCCTTCAGGGTGACCATTCTTGGAACTGAGATATTGGTCAATGTGACGAGGGCGAAGATAGTGAATCTTGTTCCTGAGTGGATGCTATGAATCGTGTGAGGGACTTGTTGAACTTCAGGAAGGGACACTGGCCCCGTTCCGGCGATCGTGCCGCTGTGAGGAAGGTGGGATATTGTCGAAGGGGGTCGCGTTTGTCCCCAGTCAATGACGACGTCCCGAACGAACGGTGTTCGTCCTGCTGTGAACAACTTGGCACACTTTTGGACGACACTGCTAGTATCGATCACCATGAAGGATTCGCCATTCCCCACCCTGGCGATACTCTCACACAGATCGGAAGATGCTGATTCTCCGATGCCCAAAGTGAAGATTCGCTTCGGAGCGGTACAACCGTCGACGAAGCCTTTGACTTCTTGCTTGCATCCGTCTACATCGAAACACTAGTTGCGTCATAGTCAATGAAGATTCGGTGAATGGTATCGTTAGATTTACTCCACCGTCTGTTAAAAGGAAAACCACAGTGGGCAATCCTTTCGAACAACTTGACAACGCCACTCGTAGAGCGTTGCGCATCTCCGTTCCTCCAAGGTCAGCCTGCATAGACTCTGTATATCGGATCTGCCAATGCGAATTCAGTAAGAAGTCCAGATGAAGTATAATGGCACCGCATACCGCCTCTTCAAGAGTCTTCCCCGAGTAGTTTTGGCTGTGCGCCACCCACGACTTACACTCGTTCCCAAAGGCAAAAATATTGAAAATAGAATTGTGACTGGGGATCATTTGCAACATCATGACAAGGCTGTCCTTCGCCGTCTGTATTCGGGGGCCTTCCATGCTCCCACTACAGTCGACGATAAATATGTATTCCTGCGACCGGATAGGGGGCAACTTGGTCCGAGGTACCATCGTCAACTGGAACGCCAAAGTATCTGGTACTCCTCGCTCAGGGTTACGGCGGACCTCTGCAAAGCAGCGAGGTTTATCCAGCCCATCAGCGTGAATTCCCAGAACGAAATCGTGGTCCAGATAATGAGGTGAACGGTAGCGGACGGTGGTTCTCCTTCTGGATGGTCTTCCCTGCGGGGTGGAGTACGGGGATTCTGTGATGCCATCTGGATGACTAGGAGAGACAATTCGTTGAATCTTGCCGTACATCTGTATGTCCGCTGTGATTGAGATTCTTGTCTCAGCGAGAGAAGGTTGAACAGCGTCTTGTAAATCGGATGGGGGGATGCCGTATCGCTGACCAACGTGCTTCGGGAGATGAAACTCGATATGGTCAGTGTAGTCGCCGGTGTACACCGTCATCACATACTGAGAAAAGGTGTTTAGAGGTGCGAGGGCGGAGCGAACCAGAGCGAAGGCTTACCACTACCCTTGTCTCTATTACAGTGCGGGGAGGGAAGGAACCGACTGAGATAACGAAGGCTCAGGACGGAATAAGTCTCGGCGGGCTCCCTGTAACCGGATTAACACTCACTATCGTCAGTCACGTAGTCAAGGAGTCCAGCAGTCCTCCCGCCAGCTAAAGCAGCCTCAAAGTCTTCTCTTGCTTGTTCCTTCTCCTTGCATTCCCCCCTGAGTGTCCGACCGTCTGAAGTTATCATCTGGAAAGCGCAGATTGCAGCTGAGGCAGGGACCGGGAAACAGTATTTGGCTCTTCCAGTCGAAACGGCAGATGCATTAAAGAACTTTTGGATGAGCGTAACCTTTGCGGTCGCTACCACCGAAGCTTAGTATTGGCATTGGTGGGTATGGCGGGCGCACAATGTACCCACCATCGATAATTTGTATTCTAACTTTGACTTCTTCCAAAGGCAAAGCACCGAGGGTGTCCGTTCCTGTCGCGAAGACGATACCTGAGTAATTCATGGTGGAGAAGGCGGGGGATATCGCAATGGTGTGCCTGTCCGGTATTTAAGATCAACGGAATGGCTTCTCCTGAGAATCCACATCGAGACTGCCACGAGGCAGCTCATTTGGGCGCAGACTCGCAGAAGCTGTCGACGTCGTTTCGCTGTATAAAACCAGTTGACATCATTTTGGAGAAGGAGAACGAAACAGCAGAGCGCCGCAAGATAGTTGAGCAGAAAAGAATCAAATGGACTTCATCTAGACTCATGACGCCGCCTATCGCGGGTGTTATACTGCATTTGATTGGCAAGCACTGACTGTGACTTCAATTCAAGCTTGTCTTACAACAAGCCCCACGACGCGTTCAAAACGCCGGTACAGCATTTCGTAGCTGTTATTTCGACCGTCGCCAGCGACCTTCATGCCCTTGAGGTGTATATAGAGGGAGTGTCGTCACAATGCCTTCGGAATATCCGTTTTGGTGAGTCTTTTCCGACCGGCCGAATCTATACATCGACGCTAACCAGGCCAAAATTTTATTTCTCCAGGTTGGGAGGTGCTAACTACATTTCTAAATTCTGGACTACTCAAAGCTCATAACATGTGTACCCGACTCTCTAGGTGTCGCCGCCTCTAGTACGTTGCCGAGCACCCTTCCAACCCCACGTTTACTGACGGTTCTTCCAGTGGCTGCCTCATGCACACACCCGCTGGACGTAACCAAAGTGTACGTGGCCTTTGCATGCACGAAGTGGCTTCATATGCTCATCCGGGGCGTACAGCCGGATGCAAACCCTTGCCAGGGAGGCTGGGGAGAAACGGCCTTCAACGATTCGTGTCATCCAGTTGTCCATCCAGCAATCAGGATTCCGAGGCCTTTATGTCGGCTTGACTGCTTCTCTAATGAGACAAATGTCCTATTCCCTCGTTCGCTTGGGGTCATATGAAACAATCAAAGGGTACATGTCCAAGGATGGCCCGCCTAGCACACTGAAATCGCTTTTCGCGGCCACTCTCGCGGGAGGTCTAGGGGGTATTGCTGGGAACCCCGCTGGTATGTCGTTCACAGCATAATTTACGACCATTTGCACTCACTATGCCTTCAGATATCCTGCTCGTTCGGATGACCAGTGACATTACCAGACCTGCGGACAAGCGATACAACTACTCCAATGCTTTTACTGGCCTGATCAGCCTCGTCAGAGAAGAAGGCTTTGCCGGCCTGACTAGAGGACTGGGAGTCAACATGGTACGTCATTCTTCGACCTCTTTTCTCATTCAGGCTCATGGAAGCTCTTTTATAGTCCCGCGCCGTTTTGATGAACGCGTCGCAAGTGGGATCGTGAGGCAGCTTTCTCTTGAACTGTGTTCGAGCTTTGACATAATTTGTTGCCAGCTATGACCTCATCAAGACAAACCTACTCGGAAAGGTGGTCCCGGGAACCGACTACCATCTTCGCGACAATCTTCTGTTGCATGTAATCTCCAGTACCTTGGCCGGCACTGTTGCTACCAGTAAGTCCTGTGCACATGGCTGTTCCATTCACCTTACTGACTTGCAACAGCTGTCTCATCCCCGGCTGATGTGATCAGGTCAAGGGTCATGGCATCTGCTGTAAGTTGCATTGTGCATTTCATCCAGCCTTGGCGGCAGAGCTGACCTTACCCCAAAGTCCGAGCATACCACGCCCGCCCGAGTCCTTGTAGATTCATTGAGGCAAGAAGGTATTCGCTTCCTGTTCAAGGGCTGGACTCCTGCGTTCGTCCGTTTGGCACCCAACACAGTGCTTCTATTTGTGTTTTATGAGGTATTGACCGTCACTCATCTGCTCTTGCCATGACTGACGAACTTTGTCAACAGCAATTGAGGATCGCATGGAGAACTACCTTCCATTCCAAGTGAACTCCTCAGCCTTCCCATTGACCGGTCGCCGAGCAAACGTATCATCTAATTGGATGCTTCCTCCTATGCTTGCGTAATTTATTCGCCCTTTTACACCAATCTTGCTTTCGCCTACTCGGGACACTGTGCATAGATATAGAAGCATCTTAAAACAGTACTAATGACATGACAAGTTCAGGGCACTGATTGTAGACCACCTATTCCACTCTCGTAGATAACCCTTTCAACTTGCCGTGTAGACAACAATCCTATCCAGATCAGCAGCGTAATCTGAAAGGGTGAATGTCAGTTCACGGGATAGTCGTTCTGGCACACATGTGGATGCTCTCACTCCTCTGGTTGGCACCGATGGTGATAGAATTTGCACCGCTCCTGAGGAACAGCTTCACGGGGGCAGATAGGACAACTCCGCTTCCTCCGGTATTGGGTTCCTGAACGACGACCGCTGCTCCACCGTTTACACTGCATGGTTAAGTCGGTAAGATCTCGACGTCGATGCAAGAATATTAAGCGTTAATACCTGACGGTCGTGTTTCTCCAAGAGGAATCGGCTGGGTAGTTCGTGTCATCATTTCGAATCAAGGCAATCGTGTTGGAGACAAACCATTGGCATAGTAGAGCGAAATCCACTGTTCACGGCCGAGGCCTTGCACATTGTTAATTGTCACACTTCCTCCATTACCTGGAAAGAATCAGCGAGACAGGGACTGGCTGGTGATTGGGGAACCGACCAATGTAGCCAACGGATCTCCCGCCAGAGAATCCGCTGTTGCTGAGCAGACGAGCTGGGCCTGATAATGTACCTGCTTCTGCTTCATAGCTGGTGCCTGCGTCTGCGGTGTAAGTTCCGGCGGCGAGATTTACACTCCATACATCGGCCGGCAAAATGCGAGGAAGACCAGAAGTCCAGACTAGTGGATACCAGACATAGCGGCTACCACCGAGCTGCTGTGGCCTCCATCGATCACCCATGTAGACGGCAAAGTTCTGGCTGATGGGAAGGTTGAAGGTATTCTGGGAGAAGTATGTACGGGTGGCTGGCGGGGCGATGTCGGTTTCGCCAGACCAAGGACCAGAAAGAGACTGTTGAACGCCGACCGGATTGGGGTATGAGGCTTGAGATATACAATGAACGCTATGAACATACGCACATAGGCGGTAAGAACCTTATTGGCGTTTGGATTCCAGCCTGTGGTTTTCGAGGCAAAGAGGTGGTAGACCTGAGTAGATTTAGTAAATGACATCGTAGAAATGCGAGCAACACATACGCCGTTTCTTTTGATGATTCCCGGGGACTCAAGGGTGGATCCTGTAGCGCCTTAGCTTCAAGCAGATGGTTGTCTACAATTCAGGACGTACGAGGGATAACAGCAACTTGCGTAACGACGTTATAGTAGTTGCTATCCATCCGAGAAATCTTGAAGTTCTGGTTATTGTCAGATGCGTAGAGAAGGTAGGACGTTTGCTCCGCTGTTGGTGGATACATGAGCCTGATTGTCTTCAGATCGCTCCTGTACACCCACCGTCGTCTGAAATGGACCAAAGATGAGTTGCTATACTCGAAGGAACATAACAACGGACTGACCATCCTGGAAAACACCCATATCCCGAGACTCTGCACCAAGCGGCCGGAAACTACCTCGCCAAGAGTAGGGACCACAAGGGGTTCGGGAGGTCGCTACTCCGACTTGCGCAGCACCGTAGCTTGGATGGAAAACTGAGCGAACCTTGCCACGCCAAGGTAGGAAGAAGAGGCGTACTTAGAGGAATCTGAATGGAACCACATGACGTATTCCGCATTCTACAGATGTGTTGAAGCGCTAATAATCATAAACAGAAAGAAACAACCTACACGGCGGTTGTAGATGACTGTAATAAGATATGTTAGCGCGGTTGTAAGTGACATATGGCCACCGTGTTCCCACCTTTTGGTCGCTCCACAATCATGGAGGTAGATATATTCGAGTTGGGTATCGGTGTGAGGGCATCATTGTGGCGTGTCCATGTCATCAGGTCAGTGGACTAGGGAGACTCGTGAGGATAGTGGTGTCAGGGACAATGAAGTCTATGGGTGACTAACGGAGTAGCAAGTCACCGCTCGGAAGAGGCCACTGTTGTGCGTCTTGTCTTCCCCGTGCCAGTAGTATGTCGAGTCCACCTGCTTTACCGTTAGATGATAGCATCTTGTCCAGACGCAACAGAGAAGGTACCTTCAAGATGCCTCCGCCATGAGCTTGGATGATGTTCCCACTGGTGTCCCGCCAGTCTGCCCCGCTGACGATGACTGCAGCGTTGCATACAGAGGTGAGCGTGGCCAAGAGGAAGAGGCGAATCATTGTAACCGAGGTGTAGATACATTCCCGATGTCACAGAGTCTTTTATACGTCTGCCGGTTGAGTGTTTGGTAGTTTTGACGGAGACACATCGGCCTCATGACCATCGTCAATTGCATCGAATTCACAGTGTCGATGGACAAGAGAAAATCACAAAACTCGTCGGAAGAGAGAGTTGTCATCGCTCATTCGGTGTCGATCCGCCTGGAAATGCATTGTTCAGCTCGCTAGGTGGTCCGTCACGGTTGCTCGATGCTGGTGCTCGAGTGACCATGGTCGAGAGGCAAGGTTTTAGCGTTTAGTTAGGTGCGTCAAGGAGGAACAACCAGGGTAGAATATCGGCAAGTACGTAGTGATATTCGAACTGTGGTTGCAAGGATTTGACAGAAAGGAAGGAAGAAGGGCAAACCTGAACGCGAATCGACCATCACGCGCACATTGCCACCGTGATTACTTCCCAAAATAGCCACAGATTTTTACATGGGCGGACCGTTATCATACCGCAACTTAGACTTTCTTCCATCAACCTCTCGCTCAACATGGAGGCTTTTCAGCTGCTATCCAGAGGCGGCCTGCGTTTCGACAAGAACAGATTCAAGTCGGAAGTAGGACTGTTCGAGGTCCGTACTGGTCTCATGGTCTTAATCCACGCTTCTCAACTTCTTCAAACAGCAAAACCAGAAACCCAAGCCAACCTCGAAGGCCACCCAAACCAATGGAAATGATCTACCGGCCGAGCTTGACTTTTTCAAGTATGCAGAGGGTGGGAAGGGAAAGGAAAACGAGAAGACGAAACGAAAGTCGTCGGAGAAAACGGACGAGAGGGAGAGGAAACGGCCCAAGATTGCAGACGAGGATGTGGAGATGGACGACATGTCTTCAGACGATGATGTTGAAGAAGGAACCTCCTCAGCCAATGCTCAGAACGTACCAAAGCACAGAATATCAACCAAAGGTCTAAACCCGCCTTCACAGGCGCTCCGATTCGAAGAATTGAAGGAACGCTACTCGCTACCCCCACAGCTATTCAACAACCTGGCAAAGAATGGTTACCATACCCCAACTGCCATCCAATCAGCAGGAATACCCGTCCTTCTAGAAGTACGTCCACTGTCTCTCATCTCCTCTTGTTGTATCTGACCAAACTGCATAGTCTCGCGATTTGGCTGCCATTTCTCCAACAGGTACTGGCAAAACTCTCGCATATCTCCTGCCTCTATTTGCACGACTCGGTGCTCCACTTCATCAAACACACGACCAGTCGGCTGGGAAGGGTGTTCGGGCAGTTGTGGTTGCACCAACGCGTGAACTTGCTCACCAGATATACAACGAGTGCCTCAAACTTGCTCAGGGCCGGAAATGGAGAATCACCCTGTTCAGCAAAGCAACAGCAAGCACTCTGGCAACCAAAGAAGTTCGCGATAAAACTGGTTAGTGCCTTGTCGCTTGGTTCTTTTCCAGCAGCTGAGAAAGGTTCTGCAGACATTATTGTTAGTACACCTTTAAGGCTGGTCGCTGCTGTTCAAGAGGGAAAGTTTGAATTAGAAAAGTGAGTAGAATTCTGTCCCTGAAGATGCGGCACTAACTCGCTTTGCAGCGTCCGATACTTGGTCCTCGACGAAGCTGATCGCTTACTGGATACGGAATTTCTCGAACAAACTGAGGAGCTCGTTGCTTCCTGCACGCATAGCCGACTCCAGAAGGCCATATTCAGTGCCACTTTACCTGCAGGAGTGGAGAAGATCGCCATGGACATGCTACAAGATCCAATCAGGCTAGTCGTGGGACTAAAGTCAGAAATTCCTTCTCCTTCTATAACATCGACCTGACCTATGATTCAGGGATACACCACTACCGCTGATCTCGCAGTCTCTCACTTACGTTGCGGACGACGGTTCCAAGTTGCCCAGTTTGCTCACCTACCTTGCCCAGCCTTACAACCCACCTGTCCTGGTCTTTACCTCATCACAACCTCGAGCGACGTCCTTAGCAGAGGAGTTGCTTCTTAACAACATTAAAAACGTCGATTGTCTACATGCTGGGATGACCAACAAAGAACGCGAGGATGTCATTACGCGCATGCGCAAGGGAGAGACATGGATATTGATCACCACAGAGGTCATGGCAAGGGGTATGGACTTCAAGGGCGTGCGAGAGGTCATCAACTACGATTTCCCTACCAGCGTCCAAAGTTACGTCCATCGAATTGGTAAGTCACGACTAGTGCCTTCCACCTCCTTCGGAACGCTCACTCCGTCTCTAGGTCGAACAGGGCGAGCTGGTCGTGAGGGGAAGGCAGTCACGTTCTTCACGAACGAGGATGCCCCGTTTCTGAAAATGTAAGCGTGGCTTTCTCGATCAATCACACTCCAGGCCAATCTAAGCGTTTCAGCATCGCCAATGTCATCCTCCAATCCGGGTCGCAAGTGCCCGAATGGATACTGAAACTTCCAAAACCATCCAAGATTAAACGGCGATTGATGGGCAAGATAAAACGCCCAGAAATCGTGAATAATGCTAGAAGGCTTGGGCGAAGAGAAGCTATCAAGAAAAGGTAGGCACGATCCCTCGCGCAGGCTCTTCAAAATGGTGACCTTCTTCTTCACCCTCGATAGGGACATGATCGCAGCCAGCAAGCGCCGAAAGGCGAAAGAAGCCTCTGTGCCTATTGCTTCGGAGCCCTAATATATCCATTTACTGTCGGCAACACCCTTCGAAGTGCCGCGAGGAAGGAATACTCTTACTATCACGCTTATCCGGAACGATGGCCGACCTGATTGTGATACTTAACGAGTGCCGATTCGCAAGAGACCCAGGCACGTCGTGTCAACCTTCCCCGAAATAGGAGACTCGTTGTACATGAACCCAGCAAGGAACAAGCATGACCTCTCTTGGCTATAAGGTAGGCTAACTGGGGATACTTTGGGGCATCACACGCCTCGTGCAAAACACGACGTTCTAATATCGAGTGTCTAATGTCTGGCGGCACGCAAAAGGAAGGTAAGGAGAAGATCTGTCCAAAGTTGAAAAGATGAGTCCAACGGTGTGAGAGACATCAGCGATCAGCGAAACAAAGCAGCAGACTCGTAAACGCTTTCGTATACGGGCTCTATTCAAAGCCTCGTTCCTCCAACTTCTACCTCTTTTCGTGTCTATTTCTCCCGCCTTCCGACGTACGCAATCATGCAAGGAGGTACAGTTGTCCCATTGTCCTTACGACATGCTCGGGCGCTAACATCGAATCCTAATAGTAGACAGCTGCTATCATATCCCTCAAGGATATTGGGACGATCGACAAGCACCAGCATATCACATTGCTTCTCCTCCTGGATGTGACAGTCCGGTTTCGACATATTCGGATTCGTCGTTGTCTTCAAATCCGTCACCCCCGACGTTTTCGCGTCCTTTGTCTCGGGCATCACAGCCCAAGAAGGCCAAGTCCCACATTTCGCGACCTCCGAATGCCTTTCTTCTCTTCCGGTCGGACTTTTGGGCGCGCGAGAAACTAAAGGCCAATCCAGTCGAGCGCGACCATCGCGACATAAGCCGCATCGCCGCTCACTGCTGGAGAAACCTTGACCTCGCCACCAAACAAGTCTACCAACGGCGTGCCCTGCATCTTCGGGAATTGCATCAGCAACAGTACCCAGATTACAAGTACACACCGGCTCGAAAGGCTCGCATGATGAAGAAGTCGAAGGACTTGTCGGAAGAGGACGAGCGTTGTGCGCGCCTTGCCGCGATCGTCATGCCCGACGTTGTTGCATCGACGCGATCGAACATGAACCTGTCCCATACTTCGACACCTCATCTCCATGTCCACCAAGTGGATTCAGCCGCCGTACAACATGTTCGTACCTCCCTTAGTCTCTCATACCATCACGTAGCTGACAAGCCTTTAGCAGTCCATGTCCGCTTCGCCCAATGCGCTCGGACTACACTTTCAGAGCCGAGACGCTCACTCTCTGTCTCCCTCTGATACCCAAACCCATGTGGACGCCTTGATCTACCAGATCTATGGCTGCAGCGAGAGCGAACTCCAGGAAATTTACGATATCTTCCGGTAGTGAATGTAGCCAGTCTCGAATTCAGCACTAGTAGATTAATGTATTCCAACATGTATAATTAGTCAAGTACGCACAGATGTTAAGCCTTGAAATAATTCTTGGTTATTGAGACTCCCAGAATTAGGACCAAGCCCAAAGCTAGCGGGGCGTTACTTCTTCCGAGGTCGTTTAGAGGTAGGTTCCACCAACTCATCGATCTGTATCCGACCTTCCTCCCGCTCTCGCTTAAGCCATGCCGTACATTGTTCTTTGTTTTGTTGAGGGTTATCCAATTGCCACTCGACCACTTTAGACAGCGCTTCTGCTAGCCAAGGGCCTCCCTTCTTAGCACCCAGCGCAGTAGATACCTCCCTCCCCTGTAAACAATGAGAAGAGAACAACAGTATAGAACTGCGGTACGAGCTTACATCAAGAAGCGGTCGCATTTCCCCGGCATCGTAAAGTTCCAGTTCTTCCACCAGGGTAGCAAATTGGTTATACCGTTCAACCAGAGCCGAGGCTCGATCGACTGAAGGGTTATCTCAGAGTACGGCAGGGAGTGAACGGATGAGGCACCCACCGTCAAGCTTATCTGCGTTAAGGTCGTAAAGCTCACCCATCTCTGTCACCAAGGAGAACAAGAAAGACGAAGACCAATGCACCCCAGCATTGAGGTGGTGAATGTTTTTGTGCCTCAAAAACATACCTGGATGATCTATAAGTATAAAGGAGAATCCAACAATAGATAGGCGCACCAATTCGCGACCTCTTATGTTCCGTGTAGAAGGTGGGATACTCGAGTAAGAACTGACGGACTTTGGGAACAGCAGAAAACAGGAAAGGCACTCCATCAAGGAAATGGTTTTGAGTGCCGAGTTTGAGAGCCTCTCGGATGACAGCCTCTACAGCAGGCAGGGCTTTCCGCTTCTTATCAAGGTATGTGAGAGAAAGATAGGGCGTCAAGAAGGAAGCAAGGTACAGTCGAGCACGAGTCGTCGCGTCAGCACGGAGGTATCTGTAGTATATGGGATGCAATGGTGGGATTTGATCATCGATTGGGTCGAGAAGGAGGCTGAGGACAGTTGCGTTTCGGCGAGCGAGTTCAGGGTCCTTTGGTCTGTTGGACAGAGTGGCCAAGATCTCAGAGGGAAGGGCAGAAACGATAGGGGTGAAGAGCGAGAGTTGATGGATAAGTTCTATAGATCTCAGCGGGTCTCGACCTGTTCGATAGCTGCATCGGAAATGAACTGAGATACAGATAACAATTGGCACACACCTTTCAGCATCTTACTGAGTTCGACACCCACTCGCTCACGAGTCACCTTGGTGACAAGCGCATCCTAGCACCAGTGAGCAATCAAGACAGCAAAAAGTTGCTTGTACATGACTCACTTGGATGACTGGATCCTTCGCAGCGCTGGATATTTCGTCGACAAGATCGAACCCAAACCTGCTGGCAAATCTTACGCAACGAAGAACACGAAGTGGGTCATCCTTGAAGGTTTCTTTTGGTGGAAGGGGGGTACGAATTAAACCATCGCGGAGATCGTCTAGACCCTATGTCGGTCAGCCCGAGTTCTAGATACAGAAGCAAGAACAAGAGAACCTTCTCCGTGAAGTCTTCCACGGAGTGAGTGTGGACATTGTAGAATAGGGCATTGATGGTGATGTCCCGCCTCTTCGCGTCTTCCAACGGGGTTCCGAACGACTAGGGGAGTGAATTGAGAGGACTGAAGGGGATGAAGTTCAGAAAACTCACAACTCCAGTGGGTATCCGACTGTTTTCTGCATACTCTTCGCTTCTCAAGTTCACCAAGTCTATATCCAATCCATACAATTTGAGTGTTGCAGTTTCGAGATGCTTCGATTGATCTGGGTTTTGTGCAATCTTTGCGATCGTTCCTGTTGCTATGCCCTTTGTTTTTGCAAATTCTGCGAGATGTTCTGCGAATGGCAGGCCCATGATGTTACTGAGGGCAATATCGATGTCATTACTGTCGTGGCCGAGTAGCTATTAATTGCGTTGGTGACCGTGGTCGTACACTCGGAGGAATCCAGATTGACCTTGTCTCTCACCCAGCCGCCTGCTATCCTACACGTGGTGGAGATGTCTTTGTGTTGCTGCAGATGTTGTGTACACTGGTTCAAGAGTTCACAAAGGCGGGTTTCATCCTCAGTTAGCCTGATTTTTGGTGGAGACGGGGCAACGACGCGGTTGACTGGGCGCGTCTGAAGGGAGATTTTAGTGGACATGGAGCAGCGAGAAATAGAGAAATAGGGTCGAATTGAGAATGTGGAAAGGACATGAAGCATGGAAGAGAGATTTAGGCGCTTTGAGAGCAGAACGCGACTTTGCAAGGCTCGTGAGAATTGCTGAGTCTGAATCAGGCCTCAACGGACAGTGACTCTCACCAAGGCCCGCCGTCTTTAATTTTAAGCACAGTCAATCCTCATCGTCCTCCTCGTTTCCCGCCTTCCACCCAACTCGTGTACCCTGTTCGCTGCCCTTGTTGACGATGGGAAACATTACCAGCTGCTGTGATTCTTGCTGTCAGTCGAACAAAACACCCTTCAACGTGATATTGTTACTGACGTCGTTGTTTGTTGGTTAAAGTCCAGGGGCGCAGGTCGCAGTCCTATGAACCGCTGCTGTTGGAGAACGAACGAGAAGCAGTGGCCGACCTGCTACAATATCTCGAGAGTCAGTTTTCCACACATCCCAATCTCTCGGGTCTTGTCTAATGTTCCACAGATCGAACCACCACAAACTTCTTCACCGGTTCACCACTTTCCGCCCTAACAACCCTTTCTTTCTCGGACAATGTCGACCTTCAACGGAGCGCTGCATTGGCTTTCGCAGAGATAACCGAGAAGGAGGTTCGTCCAGTGGGCCGCGACACCCTCGATCCCATCCTCTTCCTCCTCAGCAGTCACGACACGGAGGTACAGCGGGCAGCTAGCGCTGCTTTGGGCAACTTGGCTGTCAACAGTACGTCTTTCATTTCTGATAGAACCCAGTGTAATTACCAGGAACCTTACCCTTCTAGCCGATAACAAACTTTTGATCGTGAAACTTGGTGGTCTGGAACCCCTCATCCGACAAATGCTCAGCCCAAATGTTGAAGTTCAGTGCAACGCCGTCGGCTGCGTAACAAACCTGGCAACACATGGTACTCGGAAGGCAAATTCACACTTGAATGATAACTAATAGACATCGTAGATGACAACAAGACTAAGATCGCGAAGTCGGGCGCTTTGGTTCCTCTTACTCGTTTGGCGCGTTCCAAGGATATGCGCGTGCAACGGAACGCCACTGGCGCTTTACTCAACATGACCCATTCAGGTTGGCGTCCCGTCCTACTAGTCTCAACTTAGCTGACTTCGGTGCCCCTAGACGAGAACCGTCAACAACTGGTGAACGCTGGTGCCATTCCAGTGCTCGTAAGTCTCCTCAATTCGCCCGACACCGACGTCCAATACTATTGCACCACGGCGTTGAGCAATATCGCGGTTGACGGTCAGTCTTCTTGATCGAAGTCGGGACTTCTGCCCTGACAAACTCCATCATAGGCTCGAATCGGAAGAAACTTGCTCAGAGCGAACCCAAGTTGGTTGCCAGTCTGGTTGCGTTAATGGACAGCTCCAGTTTGAAGGTCCTAATGTCAGCGGGCCTTTGCCTTTCGCATCTCAGCAGCGATGGTTGGTGTCCTTGACGCTCCAATTAATCCATTCAACTCACGTCCTAACAGAGAAGTATCAATTGGAGATTGTCAAGGCTGATGGACTTCTGCCACTGCTGAGGCTATTGCAATCAACCTACCTTCCTCTTATCCTCTCTTCCGCGGCTTGTGTCCGGAATGTCTCGATCCACCCGCAGAACGAATCTCCTATCATCGAATCTGGCTTCCTCCAGCCGCTCATTAATCTCCTGTCTTTCAAAGACAACGAAGAAGTTCAGTGTCACGCCATCTCGACACTTAGGAACCTCGCTGCCAGCAACGAGAAGAACAAGTTGGCGATTGTAAAGGCTGGCGCAGTTCAGCAAATCAAGGAGCTTGTCTTGGAGGTCCCAAGTAACGTTCAGAGCGAGATGACGGCTTGCATTGCGGTTCTCGCGTTAAGTGGTATGTATTCGTTCCACTCACAAGACTGATCGTTCCTTATGTAAATTACCAGACGAGCTCAAGGGACAACTGCTTGAGATGGGTATCTGCGAAGTACTCATTCCTTTGACCAATTCAACCAGCACCGAAGTACAAGGAAACAGTGCGGCTGCCCTTGGAAACCTATCGTCCAAAGGTGATTGGAAACACACTTCAACCTTGTTCGTATCGGTCTGATCACCCTCACAGAAATTCGCACTCCTTCAGATGATTACAGCGCGTTCAATGAAGTCTGGGATAAGCCCAATGGGGGAATGCACCTCTACCTCCACCGGTTCCTGACCAACGCTGATACTACGTTCCAACACATTGCTGTCTGGACTATCGTCCAATTGCTAGAATCGGGCGGTAGGTAGCACCATCGTTAACATTGATGTTTGTTACTGACACTCCATTAGATCCTCAGTTGATTAGCAACATCCGAAGTTCGACACTGCTCGCACCTACCATCCGTACTCTGGCTGTCTCCCGTCCCTCGACGCCTACCTCGTCTGTTGGAACACCTCACTCCCACCACTCTCAGCATTCGTACCAGGACACGGATGCGGGTGATGGCCAAGCAGAGATCCAACTGCTTGCCAGGAGAATCCTTGAATTTGTCGACGGAGATTTGGAAGGCGTTCCGTCCAGTCTTCCTGCCTCACACATTCAACCTGGCTCCTCGATTGGAAGCACAAATGGGCGAGAGCACGAAGAGCTGCGACGAAGTGTCCGGGAAGCCTTCCTGCCGGGCTCCCACCGTTAATCATCATTGTCTTCCTTTGGCGGGCTTTCGCGATAGACTTTCACACTCGGACTTATACTTTATTCCATTCGTTCCTTTCTTTCCTACTCATCTTGTTGATATCCTGTCTGCTCTGGAGACTTACTTTGTGCGTTCTATTTTATTGTCTTTGTTTTTCGCTGTTGTTTGTGTTTTTTTACTGTCCTCTTTACGACCTCGTTGACGACCCTTGTGGTAGAGTAACCATGCCTCTATGCAACCTGATTAGTATGCTTTGCCTTTTGAGAATGCTCGTCCCTCTACAGAGCCCGATCAGGACGCATGAAAGGGTCCGATGTTTGCTCGTCCAGCCTCGTTGCGTTGGGCGCGGTGAACAATAACCTGGCATCGAACGGCAACGATGCATAAAACTTTATAAGCCTGGATTGGAATGTCGAATGATGGAGTATCGACTGTTTCCTCGTTTCCCGCAGCGGCCTCACCGGGTGAGAGTCTTCATTTTAGGGCCGCAGGTGCCTCGTGTTTCTGGTGCCATCGTCGGGCAGCCTGCTCCTTGATCCTTAGAGTCATAGATAAACTCGATCCCTGGTCCCTTTGCTTCTTTACCTCTTTCTTCTTCTTCGGTCCCTTTGCTGAAGAGCAACAAGACTCTTCCATCGATTCTCCTCAGCTGGACTGGGCTACCCTCTTCAACATACGTTTTCACCTTTCTCTCTTTGAACACCAGCAGCCATGTATTCTCTACAGGCGCTCCCCGTCTATCTATTGCTTGTTGTGGCGCAAGGAATCACCTTCGCAGAAGCCATTGCGACCCCAGGACCCTCACCAAAGCCGGCGGCTCATCTTCCTCGTCTCGTCCGGCGTGCCCACGCGAGTGCAGTGCAGAAGACCCACTCCCTGGCTCGCGATCTGCGAGTAGCCTTTGGAAGCGTTCTACCACGGTCTCTCGACGAGGGCAGCGCCAACAAGCGTGTTGTCTATTGCAAATCCAGCGGCAAACAACGTCCCTTTGAAGACAAAGGCAGTCAGAACAACAACCCAGGCGACGATAACGATGACCCTACCGACTCTTCTTCTACTCCAACTGGCAGTCAAGGCAGCGCAACGCGTAGCAGTACTTCCACGCGGACAAGGGCAAGCACGGACACTCCTAGCCAACCCACGCCTCAGATACCCGATTCACCCTGGCGGTTAACCAACTCATATGTGCGTTGTCCATACCGACATCATGTTTCATTCATTAATCTCGCGCTTCAGGAGGGCAGGACATTCTTTGAAGGTTGGGACTTCTTTACGACAGCCGACCCTACGCATGGTGTGTTTTCTCCTCAATACTGGCCCCATTTCACGTTACTGATCAACTCCGTCAACAGGCATTGTAGACTACATCGATGAATCCGCGGGGGTAAGTTTACTCTTTCCTGGGACTTCGATCTGTACTTAAAATCTCTCTCTCTAGAGGGAAGCAGGAATCCTAGAAATCAACGACCAAGGACACGCAATCATGCGAGTCGAAACTACTCCCACTGTCCCCGGAAACCGGAAAAGCATACGAATTACGACCCAACATACATTCGACCGAGGAGGTCTCGTCATCATGGACGCAAGTAAGTGAAACTGCTAGCGGTCAGAAGGATTACTATTGACCTTTTTACCCTGGTAGCCCACATGCCGGTCGGTTGCGGGACATGGCCTGCGTTCTGGACAAATGGTGAGAAGTTTCTCCGAGTTTATCGTACAAGATGGCACCATCTTTTCCCCTTTCTGCAGGCGCCTTGGAGCGCCCACTCGAGGAACTTGCGAGCCATGATCCCATCATCGCGTCGCCCCTGTCCATTGTCTGCTTGCTCTGTTTTTTTCTCGCATTCTCCTTTACCCTCTCGTGTATTTGCTGACTCCATTTAACAGGACCTGACTGGCCCAACGGTGGCGAGATAGATATTTTGGAGGGTGTCCACGAGTACAGCCACAATCAAGCGACTTTACATACGTCCACAGGCTGTACCATCACCTCCACCAACTCGGACGTTCTTTCGATCTCTGGAAGGGTCATCCATGGCACGAACTGCGATGTTGGAGCTACCGGGAATCAAGGATGTGGAATTCGGGCCAATTCACCGCGCACATACGGCCGAGGCTTCAATGAGGGCGGCGGAGGTGTGTATGCCAGTGAGTATTATGATTCATTCACAATCTTGGGTGACCAGGTCAGCTGATAGGCGTGTCATAAAGTGAAATGGGACTCCACTGGAATTGCCGTGTACTTCTTCCCGAGGGAGAGTATCCCAGAAGACATCACGGCAGAACAGCCGCAGCCTGACACTTGGGGCGCGGCACAGGCGAGGTGGCCTGCTGCAACTTGCGACCCGTTCAGATTCTTTAGGCAACAACATGCTATCTTTGACACGACATTGTGGTATGTCCGTCGACTAAAACAGCGTTCATTCCTTATTGATTAATGGCATACTATAGTGGCGACTGGGCAGGCGCCGTCTGGAATGTTGGTGGTGTTCCGGGCCAAGAGGAGAGCTGTGCTGAGCGAACAGGATTTTCCACTTGCGAGGCGTATGTCAGGGCCAATGGAGCAGCCTTTGCCGAAGCATGTACGTGTCGATGGAGCTCCGTTCTTGCTCGCCAAGTTACTGACTCGATTCTGATAGACTGGGAAGTTAGAAGCGTAAAGATCTATGCCGAACGAAACTAGACCCGATTCCTGATATGATACGACGCGTGTACCATAGAAATATCTAAGAGGGATAACTTAACCGTTCGACCAATAATGATATTATTTTAGCTTACCCAGGCTACACTTGCTGACCGAGCGTAGACAGACGCTCATGTGTCAGCGAGCTGCGGAGTTACTAAAAAAGGTAATCAGCCCCCGATTTGTGTAGAACGTTCCACGACTTGCGCGTCGCGACGCGTCAATTCCAGTCATGTCAGGGGCGGTTCCAGTCCTTTCCATTGACCGTGTCGCGAAACATATATAAGCTAGGTGCAAAATGAGAGGCTCAGCATCCACCCAAGTATCCCTCCTTGCACCATGTACCAAGTTCCCTACTACACTCGCCACCAGTATCTCGCTGCCCAAGCTGAAGCCAGAGCCGCAGAGGCCGCCGCTAAAGCTGCAGAAGCTGAGTTTCTCGCTGCAGAAGCCATTCGACAGGAAGAAGAAGCGTTGAAGGCCCGCTTGTACGACATCGAACAACGCAAGAGGTATTCTCGGCCCTCTAGTGTCTACAGTCTTCAACCACCATCGACCTTTCAAATTCAAAACCCCTCGCCATTGGCCTACGGTTACCATTCTGATCCAGCACCTCCTTTTGCTCCTTCTACATATGCAGCACTCGACCACGAACATGCCTACAGGCGTCTTCCAGCAGCAGCTCTTCCTCGAATCCGCCGACTCCCTCAACCACCCTCCCAGGAAGAGATCCTCAAGGCTCGTCTAGAGGAGGAGCGTCTGGCTCGCCTCGCCGCTGAGGAAGAACTGAAGCGGAAAGAGAAAGAATTGGAAGCCAAAAGGGCTCGCGAGGTGGGTTCAACTGCATTCCCGATTTTCACGACCAGTGGCTCACGAAACCAAACCAAACAGGCACGGCAAACTGCCGCTTGCTGCCCCAATTCTACCTTCGAGGCGACCTCTTGTCGTGTTAAGGCCTGTCGTCGAGCGGCCCCTGTCTCTCCCCAGTTGAAGGACTATCCTCAACCTGGCCCTGAGCCTGCGCCTGCCGCAATCGAGGGAGAGAACGTCAACGACCTTTTGCTCTCCCTCTTTGGAATTCAGCCCCAACTGGTTAGCAAGCCTACCCAGGAGCCCGCTGCGCCGAGTCCACCGAGAATTCGCAAGGCTCCCCCTACTCAGGTCGCCTCAAAGCCTACCCCGGCGCCTCAGCAGATCCCCAAACCCGCTCCTGCCACTCCTGCCAGGGTGGTCTTTCTCGAAGATGATATTAGGCGCGCAATCCTTGAAGTCATCGACTCCCTCTCCACTCCAGAGCCTTTTACCAAGGCGACCAAGTCCCAGTCCAAGGATTCTGGCAAGTCTCTAATCGAGCAACTGCATGCTCGATACCAAACGGAGGGAGACAAAGAACTCCGAGACACCATCCAGGCGACCATCAACTCTCTTACCCCACAGAGGACCCCATCTACCTTATCCTCCTCGACTTCCAAAGGCAAGGAGAAGGCCACCACCACGCACCCTTCTTCTTCTGTCCGTTCGAGTCTCGAGAAAGTTACCAAGATCAAGGCGACCTTCCAGGATCTCGAGGCCGAGTTCACCTTCCCTTCCCAACTTGACTTTGTCTCCGACCACCCTCCCTCCGACCTCACCCCCTCGACGGCCTTCTCCCACCTCGCGTATACCGCTCGCAACCACCCCCTTCGCTTCTATGAACAGAGCCTTCTCTCACTTCTTGCTGACCTCGACCTCATCGAGAGCCACGGCGATCCTGTGTTGCGCAGCAAGCGAAAGGAAGCGGTCAACCAAATTGAACGGACACTGGAAGCACTCGAGAGGGAGATTGTTGGTCGATGGAAGTCCAAGGTTGCAAAGGAGAAGGTACAGGGCTCATCTGAGGCAACCTCTTCTCAAGAGGTCTCTCCCAAGTCCAAGGCTGCGACCAAGGAGGAACCATCCGAGTCTCCTGTGACAGAGGACAAAGCGACTACCCGTGCGCCTGTACCTTCCTCCACCTCGGAGTCTGAATCCCCTTCCCAAACGCCATTCACCGTCCCCGTCTCCGAAAACGATACCAGTGCCGGTGCGCCATCAGCAACACTGTCTCATGTCTCTTCGACGTCCGCTGCCGTAGTGGGGGTAGAAGAGTCGGAGGAAACCCCTGCAAATACCACTGGCGCTGAGGACAATGTGGAGGCTGTTGAGGTCAAAGTGGAGGAATCCGAGCCCACTCCGACTGCACCCAACTCAGTCGACGAAGAGCCAGCCACCACTGGCCAAGACGCTGAAAACTCCGAGTCCCTGCCCGTGGACTCCCAGAGCACGGCCAAGGCATTGACGGAGATCGAGTCGCCTCTCGAGCCCCATCGAACCCAGAACGCCGACGAACATGTCCCTTCAAGCGACGCCCCAGGGAACAACGATCATGAGAGTGGTCAATCTGACGTTGCGGCTGAATCTGCTGAGGCTCCTTCATCCCCGGTCTCCACCGTTCCCGACTCCATATCTTCAGTCTCCACTCGGGACGAAGACAGTGAGACTGACAGCTTCCTCTTGTCCCACGCAGCCCAAGAAGCAACATCCAAACGCAAGACGTTTCCCAAACCACATGTAGAGGATTTAGGTAGCGATTGGTCGGACCTGGACGCATAAACGTCTTTTTTGTCTGAAGTTGCGCCTGGGATTGATTGATTAGATCATATTTATAACTTTAGACTGTGTAACATTATAATTATCTCGTGTCCTTTAGATACCCAACAATATGTGACTGTCTCATTTAGTCTTCCAAATCCTTCCCCGGCTTCTGATCACTTCTACCAAATCCCTGACATAAGGTAAGGAACAATATGATACAACTGAACGAGCGGCATGTGCTAGATCCTACAAGTAATGTTAAAGTACAGACAATGAAGGGTAGAAATAGACGAATCCTGAAATTACTCTGCTATCACTCTCATATTCAACTTATTAGCCAGCGTTTCCATGAATACATCCGTCTCATGGCGGAGCTTCCAATATTCCGACAATAGTTCATTGAGTTCCTGCTCGCTCGCTCTCAGATGTTCAGCCATCTACCGAAGGCGTGTCAGTTTGTGCGGAAAGGCCACATTAAAATGATTCACGCACCTTCATTTCGACTGCATGTGCCTGCTTCCGCAATTCCTCCACTTGTTTGTCGTTTTCTCGACGCTCCAAGGACATCTCCTCGTACTCTTTCTTCACCCTTTCAATCGCCTTTTGACTCTGGATACGCTTCTCCTCCGCATGCCTCTGGGCTCGCTCCAACTTGTCCTGGGCGTTGACTAACTGCTTTTCTACGCGCTATTCACCTCGATGTTAGTATTGTCGAGCTTAAAACGCCGGCAGAAACGCACCTCCTGCTTCATCCGCAGTTCATTTCGTTCCATTTTCTTGCCATCTAAATGATCTTTGACATCGGCTAGTTCTTTCTGTGCCTGCTGTAGCGAATGCACTTCACGCTCTACTGTCTGCAACTGCTCGACGCATCCTCGTACGTCCTGGCAGAAGTTAGCGAAGACCGAGACAAGAGCACACTTTGGCGCACCTTCTCGATGTTTAGCAGTGCTGTGATCTTCGCTTGCAAGTCCCGAGCCTTGGCCTCATTCATCGCGACCGTGCGCTTGTCCTCGATCGTTGTCTGCGACATGGTGGCAATAGTCCTTTTTATCCGCTCTGGGGACTGAACGATGCGAGAGTTCGTTCTTGTAATCTCATCCTGTACCCTATTGATTTCGAGGTTGATAGCTTCCTATGACAGCCTTTTGAGCTCAGGTGATGGTGAGGGAACACAAGAACACTCACTTTGCGTTTCAAGAGATTGTTCTTCTCAGCTTTAAGCATTTCAACCTCTTGCACAGAGGCAACTTGAGCATCCTTGGTTTTGAAGAGTTTATCACGAAGCGCCTTGTTCTCTTCCTGCAGTTGGACTCTTCGTGGCTCGTCTTCGCTGATCTTTGCTCTGGTATATGTCGTGGTTGGCGGCTTTTTTCGTAGAATTAAAGGAGACTCACTGGAGGACGTCGATGGCTCTCTGAATATCCTCAACTTGTCCAATGAGTTGGTCGCGTTCTAGTAAAAGTGTTGCAGAGCGGTCGCGCAAGTCCTTGACAAAAGCTTCGCAATACTGTTCGGTGAACTTGACAAAGTTTATGAAGGCAGAGAGAATGACGAGTGTACGGTCTCGTTCAGGAGATGAGAGATCCTTGGCGTTAAAGTCGTCAATCCTAGCAGCTCGAGCCAATCGTGTTCTGGGACAGCATTCGGTTTAGAGAGACCGAGACGCGCTTGAACGACATTGGAGAGGGCGCACATATGATATAGCATGAGATTGTTGGTAAATGCATTGGTATACAGGTCCTACGCGTCACTATCAGTGGGTGTGACAGCAATACGGGGTCCAGGGACTACTCACGCACCCTCTCTATGACTTGTGAACCGTCAAGTGAGTTTTGTATTGGTTCTCGCAGCGTCTCTTGGTTAAGATCGGTAACCTGCTGCAAGCAAGCGAAATAGACGCCTTCGACAAACTCCGGGGTGGGATGTATAAGTTGTTGCTGAGTGACAGGAAAGCCCCAGCCAGACAAGGCGTTTATGATTTCGGCCGTGTCCATTCGAGGAAAGATTCCCTTCGCCATTGTTGCAGGTCAAAGTCAAGAGTTGCAATTTCCCAAACTGAGAACGCGTCCCAAACGAGGAGAAGGCGACACGTGACGAACGCGCTGTCTGATGGCATCAGTCCATCATCATCACCCCTATATTAATAGTACAGTGTTTCGGTGCGCATGGCCTACATTGCCAGCGTCCGACCAAGATGACAGAACTAGTAGAGGAGATATTCAATTGCCCTCCAATCTATAACTCCATCTTCGCCTGTCTTTCTCCTCCAGATATTTATCGTGTCCGTTTAAGCTCTCGAATGCTCCGCGACGCCGTTGACCACTTCCACAACCTTGCCTACAATATCAATCGCCATCTCTCCCACTTCTTCAAGGATCCAAAGGCATTCCGCCAACTCCAAGCAAAGGAGCATTTTCTGATTTCAGGATCCAACGCTCTCCAGTTCATGGATAGGTCATTTTACCCTAAATCCGACATGGACATCTTTGCCTATCCCGAGAGCGTCAAGGAGCTGGGACTATACCTCGTCAAATCGGAAGGGTACCAGTTCGAGCCCAGAGAGAAGCAAGCAAAGAAGTTTGAAGATGTTGACATCAAGCAACGCGACCTGACGGCATCCGCTCTTCGCCGCTGGGGTTCGCAGCACGCCTGGTTGTACACGTCGGGCATGAACGAACTCTTCCGATTCAAACGGCCTTCCGACGACGTCGAGGTTCAAATCATCTCTACATCAAAGTCTCCGTTGGACTGCATCCTCCACTTCCACTCCTGTGAGCGCCAATACTTCATCTGTGCTCTCAAGTCTTGACACATTCTCGGTCCCCAGCATGTGTGATGAACTTTATCTCCCACATTGGAGCTTATGCCCTCTACCCAGTCGCTACTTTTGACAAAAGAATCTCGCTTGCGTTTGGGTCTACAAACTACGAGAAGACGCAAGAAGCGTACAGGAAGTACACGGACCGCGGCTGGTCATTCCCAGCTAAGCTGGACTTCCACAGTGTCAAGGGTATGGAGCCCATGTTAGCCTATGACAAAGCCCGCACCTTGGGCGATGTTCACACTTGGATAGTACCCCTTGACACCAGCGATGTGGACTTGGACGTCAACTCCCCTTTCAACTCGCTCTCTCCGAAAAACCCCTTCCATTACAACGGGTGGGTTTTAGACCGCGTTTTCGATTCCTGGGATACGGAGATGGAGCTTGCAATTTCGTTTCACATCTTCCATTCACCGTACTTCCGGGGAACATACTCTGTGCCGAATGATACAGTCCAGGATGTCCTCGACCAGTTTTTGGACTATGTTCTACACGTCAACCCTGCTGAGTGCAGGCTCAACAAGTAGGTGTTGTCGCTTCGACTAGTCATTCCCAGTCACTAACCGTCTTCCCAGACATCTCGACCATTTGCTCCCAAATCTCCATTGCGCTGACAAGAAGGTGCCCAAACGGCTCTATGATCAGCTAGTTTAAGCTGTAGCCGCCTTGGTGATCATATCACATATTCTACACAATCCCTGTTCCGCAACACTTTGGCTCCACAATGCGACAGTGCATCACCCAGAGATACTAAAACACTATGCGAACGCAAAAAAAGCAAGTACATAAAACATTTCGCGTCAATAACCTACGACCGAGCACACCATAGGCGAATAACAACGAAAATAATCGAGCGATACACAGCGAATACAACAACGTTTTGGAAGACGATTATGACCTTCCACCCTTCTTCTTCTTGTTTACAACCTTGAATCCCCATTCCGATTGAGCAGTCTTTGGCGTCGCCTTCACTACTTCTGCGATTGAAATCGGCTTAGTGGGTCCTTTAGCTGCGTTAGGGCCCTTGCGGTTGGCTGCATCTGCTTTGCGCCTGGAGACAAATTCAGCAGCAAACCGACGACCGTCGAGCGTGGTACTGCTGGCGTAGATGGTGTCCGAGATGATCTCAATTGTTGTTGGGTCCGGATCAAGGGAGAACGAAAGGAGCATGGAGATAATCTCCTCGACTGGAAAGACGATCATCAGTCACAACTGGCTGACTGTATAAAAGGGGTACGGTACCATTGACACTACTGTTGAGACCTTTCAAGGACTCGCTCAACCACTTCAAAAACTCATGAGATGGTGAGACAGGGAAGTCCTCAACCTTGGCACCAGGAGCAGGCGAGGGCCTTGCAACGCTGGCAGCAGACCTTGTAGTCGAGGGAGTGGTCGTCTTCATCGAAGACGTGCCTGCGGGAACTGAAGAGATTACCGTAGCAGCTGGACGTGGAGCGGAGCCGACGGGGGTCGATGGTTTACCGCTAGCGCCAACGGTAACCCATGCATTACCGGGACTAGGAGCAGCGGATTGCGTTGGCGTAGCCTGGTGTAGAACTTTCAGAAAAACTGCGGGAATTGGTCAAAAGAACGAACTCACCTTCACTGCTTGTTCAGCATACCCACGCTTGACCGGTGCAGCTGCGACAGATACTTCCTTCGCGGCCGCTTTCTTTCGCCTCTCCTCTTCCTCTTGAATCTCTTTCATGGTCTTCTTTGCAATGGGTGCTTTTGCGACGGAGGTCCATACCGGCGCAGCTGCGGGGGTGGGAGTGGGAGTGGTAGAGGTTACTTCTTTAGGCAAGATAGTCGATCGCGAACCAGCCTGTGAAGTAGGGAGACCCCACGAGGCAGTGAAAGGTTGGATGTCTTCCTTAGAATCGCCGGAAGTCGCGGCGGCAGCTGCAGCTAGTCGAGCACGTTCTTTCTCCTTCTCCTTGCGGGCTTCTGCCAGCTTCGCTTCAGCATCTTGGATCTCTCGAAGGCTTATAGTGGTGGACATCTTGCCCTTCTTCTTGTCCGCCTTGGCCCAAGGTGCTTTGGGAGGTTGAGCAACGACGGGTGATTCAGTACTTTCACCTGCATCAGTGAGAGGTGTAGATGCAGTGGTCGGGGACTTGCTGCCCTTCGATTTGGTGGGAGACGGAGCAGCAGGCTCCGGCGTGGACTCTGACACTTCGACACCAGGCGCAGGGGCAGTCCGGCTTTCAACGGGAGAACGCTCCTCGACTGCTCCCTGTTGATCCACAGTCGGTTCCGGAGCAGCTTGCTGCGGCTCGGACCAGGCAGGCTCGTTAGGACCTTGAGAAGGGACCCCCCAAGGGGAAACCTCCTTAGCCTGAGCAGGACCCTGGAAGCTGGCGCTGGTAGGCTGGCCCCAAGGAGAGGATTGAGATGGAATGGTTGGAACGGTAGTGTTCAAGGGCGTTGGTTGGACAGCGTCGAAAGGACCGGCCCTTCGAGCGGCGGTGTTATCAGAGGGGACATCCCAAGAGGGGGCACGGGCAATCGTAGACGGACTGTCTAATTTGGCTTTATCTTGATTGGCGTTTGTGATATCTGGGCTGAAACTGTCAGCCTTGGCTTCCACTGGTGAGATTTGTTGGTATTGCTCGGGTTGGTTCGTGGCAAAGGTGTCATTTGGATCATTGAGGACGCCGTTGACAATGGGTGTGGGGTCGAAGTAGCCTTGTCCATGAAGTTGTTGCTGTTGACCAAGAATGTCTTGATTCGCATATAAATGAGGATTGACTTGATTGCCTATGGCTTGATTGTGGTGGCCAAGGCCGTAAGCAGACGTAGGACCGAAAGTGCTTGTTCCAAAGCCGACATTGTGATTGTAGTTGGAGAAAGGTTGTGATGGCGTACCCCAAGGCGAGCTTTGCACAGGTGTGAACCCTGAATATCCGTATCCATCGTATCCAAGGTGGTGGTTACCGATGAGGCTATTGTAGGAGGGCGAATGTAGGCGGAGAGGAGAATCGTGAACTAGGTCGGCTACTTGGCGCTGTCGGAGGGGAGTCAAATCAACGCCCCCGCCTGGAAAGCCTGCGTTGTTGGCTTCTCCAGTGAACCCGTGGTTAACGCGATTGGCAAAGGCAAGAGAGTCAGGAGAATTGTTACCAAAGTGGCCGAGGGAAGACGTCGGTGAGTCTGTAGGATTGGATCCATTCAACGAGTCCAAAGTGGAACTGCGCAGATTTCGGATGGGAGCGGGTTGGTACGGATTGGAGAAGGGATTGTGCTCGTTTTGAGAGCCCGTTTGTAAAGGAGAGTCGTTTCGTCGTGAAAGTCCAGGCGGACCGCCTGGCGGGAGCAAAGGGCACAAAAACATCTTGTCTGGGACAGTCGCACGTTTTATCAGTTCTTCCAACGTCATCCAAGTGGTGTCCAGTTGTGTACGCTTCATAGGGAGATCCATGGTGAAGTATCCGTCGTCAAACCACTTCTGCATCAGATCCGCACGGAAAGGGCCTGAGGAATTATGTGAGCTGCATCTTCGCTATGGTGATTGCCCGACATTTACCTTGAACATTACCAGCTGGATCTTTATAGGACCATTCCACAGCAGCGAGGTCTTGAGAGCCAGCGTTCGCGTTGGGAACATTGGCTGAAGCAGTACTTTGCTGAGCGGCATCACTTGAAGCTTGGCCATTCTGTCCCCCGACGGTGTTGGGCTGTGACGTTTTCCCGTCCCTGGGTAATTCGGTGCTCCCGGCGGTCCCATTTTGCCCATCTGCCCCATCCTCCTGGATCGGCTGAACTCTGTCTTCCGTGTCCCCACTCAGCTCGCGCGCGATGCCAACAGGTTTGGTGGTCTGAGATGCTTCCGATGCACGACGCCGAGAGCTCCACGAGTCCCCTGTGTTTAGCACTCCATCGAAACTGGGATATCCCGGACGGTTACGAGGCGAAGGTAAGGCTGCGCTTCGAGACCCGGCGTTGGGCGCCTGCAAAGACGAAAGAGACTGTTTGCGTGGCATCGTGGTGGTGGGGGAATCTGAGCGATAGATGTCGATCATGAAGGTTCATGGTGATGTGACTAAAACCAGACACACCTGCATTACTGTCGCGACGTTTCAGTGCCGGGTAGCGATCCCTGAGTGGACTGGCGGTGGCCGAGTTGGGTGCATGGTTCAAACGCGGTCGGTCGCCCAAAGACGAAGTATTCAAAGGGGATAAATAGTCGGTGGATTGACGTCGACGGAGATCCGAATTGAGAGGACCAGAGAATAGCTTTTCGATGAAAGACCACATTCAGTCATTGCCAGCGATGACGACGATTTAACTCACCTTTTTCTCTGCTTCCCCCATTTCACGGAGTGCGATAGGTTCAGCACCAATCTCGCGGACGACGCCCTCCCATCTCTCGACCTCGAGTCCTAGGCCTCCTTTGGGACTTTCTTTGTAGATTCGTAATAACTCCTCCTTGGTGTATCGGAACGGGTGAGCGTCGTCGTACTTGTCGTTCTCAACGCCAGGGACGGTGGAGACGAGGGCCGAATAGGTTGATAAAGTATTCTGTGAATTTGGGGGCGGAGAAGGGGGTTGCTGAGGTCGAAGCGGCTGGTGCTTTGTGCGCATCCACTCAGGACCAAAATGCATAGTTGTGGTAGCCATTGTGATTGTGGGTTGTTGTTGCAGAAGCTGTAGACGGTCAAGTCGCGAGGTTGTGTCTTTTCTTCGAAAAATTCAGAAGCAAAGCCTGGTCGGGCTCACACGTATAAATATTTGACACAGCTTTACATTTGTTTAGCCCGCGACTCAAGCCACACGACTTCCACACATTCCAAAGTCTCTCTTTGAAAATCCCATGTTTCGCAATCTGTCTACTACATATTACGAGCCAGTTTCACAGGTAGAAATACCCTACTACATCGATTTGAGTCGCCAGGCCGAAATAGGCAGGGCTATTAGGAAACCATTTTACTTCAGCATCAATCAAGATCCTTAATCGGTGAACGGAAAACAAACCTTGCAATTTTCGGGCAGTCGGATAAATGAAGGCGACGAGGAAGAGAATGCCAAAGCCCATGCAAATGCCAGAAACTACATAATATCCATCTTGTTCGAGCACACATGTGCCGTTGATGGCTTTGCAGTGAGCTTTACCGACCTCAGTGACGCATTCTTTGGCTGTAGTATAGCCGAGTTGAGTCAGTAATAGAGCGGAAGACAGAGACTAACCCAACAAACCTTTGATCAGGATCTCAGAGGTTCCATCGGGAATATGGCAATGACCGACGGAAAACCAATCGACGCCTGTAATTTCACATGAAAGAGAAAAAAGGCATCGCAAAGAACAGCTTGTCCCTACCTTTCAGAACAAACCACTTGGGCCATGTTCCTCCCAGATTCGTAAAAGTGTTGAGAAGCTAAACGTTCGTCAAGCTGTGTTCCGTGACATGTCAGGATCACTTACCGTCATGTAAGTACCTCCAATGAGAGGGTCCGAGACACGGGTGTGGAAAGCAGAAATACCGACAAACTGAACGGTCCTACGGCGTAGTGTAAGCGAGGTCTACCATGAGACAGTAGATACTTACGATGTAAAGGACGACCAGATCGTGTGGCAGATGATGAAAGTAAAGAACGCGGTAGAGATGGGTGGTTTGGGGAAGAAGAGAACAGTCAACGTTGAGATGAGACCAAATAGGAACCTTGGCCAGAAGGCATAGAGCCAAGGTCTCAGCGGTTTGTCACCTCTAGACCATTTGGCCGCAAAGTAACCACCGAGGATTTGGAACGGAAAATCAACAAGAACAGCGAGGGAAAGATCTTCCCGCTTAAGGCCCTTTTCAACCAACTTCAACGAGGTCGCCTCATGAGCGACGAAACCGATCTTCGCGAACAGGTGGATGAGAATCAATAGTTGGACATCTGGTAGCTAGTGTCAGTAAATAGAAGGTCAAGTTGCACAGGTCGAACGCACGGCGCAATTGACAGATCGTCCAAATGGTTTGGTAGGTTTCTTTGATACTCATATCTGCCTCTGCTCCTGCATCTTTGTCCTAAGATGTTGTTTTAGTAGGCCCGTGATCCACGGAACGATGGCACTCACCTCTTTCTTGAAGAAAATGAGCCAAATAGTGACAATGTAGCAAATAACTGCCCAGAAACGGAGGTATGCGCTGATGGTTAGCTGTGGAATTCCCCACTTCGCACTAAAGTGAATGTCAACACTTGATTGGATTGAGAACAGTGCAGACCTACGCGAAGGTTTCGCTGTTGAAGGCGAGGAACACCGTAAATGACGCAAAGAATCCGGTATTCAGCCCAATGGTCTGACAGGTCGAGGCATACGAGAGACAATCCTGCGAAAGCAGGGTGAGAGCCCAGCCTAAATAATTCTCTAGGTCAGCAAATGTCATATTTCTCAGTGGAGACACCATACCGTCAACGGCTATGTCTGAAGAATATGTTAGTGATACTGACTACATGATAGGCCACCCTCGCTCACCTTGGGTAGCGGAGAACGTAACCAACATGGTAAAGATCGTCGTCAACTCGGCCAAATGGTTGGCGGGCTGGGAAAGAGGTTAGCAAACAGCAGGGTGCGAATAAAAAACAGGAATGCGTACATCTTTCATGAGCTTCTGTACATTAAGTGAGATGTAGAGCATTAGGCTTCCAACGATAAGTTGCATGGGGATGATCCATGACTTCCGTCTACCAATCCTCTTAATAAAGATAGAATCGACAATAGGTGACCAGAGCAATTTGAGGGAATAAGGATAGCTGGAGAGAGCGAACGTCGCTAGTTGGGAATATGTTAGATGCTCCTTCAGAAGGAATGGGACGGAACCTGACATTTGGAGTGAGTATGTACCAATTAGGAGATCGCCCGTTCGACTTACCAAGAGCGAGACCAAGCTAGTCAAACCCGACGGTGGTATGAGCGCCCAGAAACGATTAGCTGCATGGAGGTTACGCACCGGGACACCCTGGATCAAATCTGGGAAGGCAGGTTAATTCAGCGGCCCATAGCACCCTCTGACAGTCCGCTCACATAGTACACATAGGAGGACCATGCTCCTCTTATCTTTGGCGGAGAACTTCTTGGCGACTGCAGCATTCTTGACCGGGACGTCGGGCTCAGTTTCGAGACCTCTTCGTGCGCGCTCCCGCTCTTCCTCGGCCAAGAGCTCCATCTCCACATCGTCGTCTTCATGTTCGGCAACTACACGCGGGGTCCTTGGTGTACGGGGAGAGATATAGACACTGTTCAGGGAGGACGTGACAGCCATGGGGGTGGGACCAGCAGATTTGGGTCGCGGCATAGTCGACAACGTCGATGTTCACTTCTAGACGCGCCTTTTGCTTTTCGCCGTGCTTTCTTCTAGATAAGCACTTGCATACAATGTTGAATACCGAGCTCGATGGTCTGAAAGATGGGGGATATTGGTCAAGAGGTGCTGGCACCTGCGTTTCGACAACGTGGATTTGATCGCAAGTGCTGCTATGTAGCACTGCCACTGATCTTGTTTCACCATCAGGCGCGTTACCACTCTCTCACTGACCTCCAGTTCTCCAGGGCCTCGGTCGAACGCCAGGCCCAAGCTCAGTGTACCCACAAAAGTAAGCTCTGTCTAAGTATTACCAAATCCTACCGAAGAGCGAAACATTTCCCTGCGCCGTCCTGCGTGCTATTCCTCCGAGAACCTGCATGATTACAACTTGTGCGATCTCAGCGCTCCCATCACTCCGCGCCTGTCCACGCCCACAACCAGAGAGATAGCGCCGTCGCGCATCTCGGCAAACCCATAGCATTAGCCGAAATTGACGCGTACCTTGAAAGCCATTTTCGAAAGCGGCTGGCACAAGCACGATACACCCAGTTCATTTGTTGTGAAGGATGGGACAACTTCGCGAAGGGAGTCAAATTAAATTCATTCTAGCAAAAGGAAGACAGCGTTGTGATGTACAACATACAGGTGTGTGCTTGTCGGTGAATACTGTCGAGTAAGTAAAGTGATAACATGCGAGCGATTCGTTGGGGGTCGTGATGGATGAACTTCTACTGTCGTCATTGTACTGGCTGAGGCTACCCATTGTTTGCTCCGACAGCGTCTGGGAGCGCATATAACATTCTCTGCGCACGACAGTCTGCTTACGACCCCAAGACGATGTGGCTGGTAAAAGCCTTCGAAGTCGCATAGGCAGCCAAATACGCGTCTCATAGAGAGACAGAACGCTAGCCGTGGTGGCAAGGTGTGAATTTGAGACGGCAACCATCCTTGGGGAACAGGGTGGCAATAATTCTAGACACGTCGGTTAGCTTATATGACCAAGGTTCAAGCTGGCATGAATGTCTTACTCGACTTCGTTACTGAGAGGGGTGATTTCATGCTCCCAAACCATCATTGCCGAGGCAGTGGCCAAAACCAACGCCATGTTCATCATGGCGTAATCAATACCGATGCACCGATGTGGTCCGCTCCCAAACACAAGATAATTCTTGGGATGGGCATTGGCCGTGCTATTAGGGTCAAGCCATCGTTCGGGTTGGAATGCTTCAGGCTCGGGATAAACCGAGGAGTCGTGAAGAGAGTTGAAGAAGCTGGGGATAACCATGCTGCCCGCCGGGACAGTATAGTTTTCCGCAATTGGGAATGCCTTGGTGGCGCGATAAGGAACCTAATGGACGAAATCAGGCACGAAGCGCCAAGACCCAAGGTGAAAGTCGTACCATGACCACAGGAGGCTTGACGCGCATACTCTCTTTGACAACAGCGTGAAGATAGGTCATTTGGTCCAAGAGGTCAAGAGTCAGAGGAATTTCGTAGTTGCCTTTTCGGACGCGTTCCTGCTCCTCGCGAACTTTCTGCATGACCTCGGGGTGATCTGCCAAGTGTTGGAACGCGTAGATGAGACCACTGCTCATGGCGTCTTGTGAGGCGAACAGGAAGGAAAGGAGGACTAATGCCATCTCCCGATCACTGAATTCCTTGCGGCCCTTGTAATTAGGATCTGCCAAAATTGTCACCCACTCGTCAAGCATGCATTCGGGCTCCTTTCCTTCAGCCATAGCGATCTTGCTGCGAGACGCGGCAAGTTCGAGCCATTGCATAGCGGCTTTGCGAGCTTGGATAGCTTTCCAGACCTTGGTTCCTGGAATAGCCAGAGGGAAATTGACGAGTTCAAAGGCTTGAGTGATGAGCCAATACTTCTCGTTGATTTCGGCGGCCGCGTGCTCGGGAAGGTGATTCCCGCAGAATACTCTGAGGGATGTATCCATGTTGAGGAAACGAGCTGTCATCATGATCGCGTGCGCTTTGCCATCCTTGCCCTGTTCAATCCATTTACTGATGTGCTTCCTGGCGCTGCCCTCCATGATAGGGAGGTAAATGCTGGAGAGACAAGTGAGTCGATTTGTATCCCGAAACACTCCGGTAGAGGTGGGAAACCCACCTGAGAGCCCTGCGAGTGAACAGTTGATTCAACCCCTTGCGGTATTCAACGTGGGGTTTGCCGTTCAGAAAGACCCTGAAATAACGTTAATCTTGACCCCATGCAGTACCCAGGTTAGACATACCAGTTGTCTTCACAGAGCACCTGGGGTGCGACGTGAACAAGACATGGTTTCGCGTAGGATGGCGAGTTGAGAATTTTGCGTGCGTATTCATTGTTAGAGGCCATGACTATGAAGCTGAAACGCGAATTGGTCTCAATGAAAATGGGTTTGACATCACTGTTTGATAGCCCTTACATGTTAAACACGCTTATGGCACTGAGATCGCCAGACGCCCATTGCTTTTTGTAGTTCTCCATGGATGGAGACATAGAGTCGGCAAATTTGCCAATGATTGGGATGGTCCATGATGCTCCAGGAAGGTGCCTTTTCTTGTACCTGTAGACGGCCTGTTCGAGGGCGAGCAATGAGACAACGATGGCACCCGTTGTGTACAACCAAGTCGCGGATTTGCCGGGATTCAGGGAGAGGAAGGAAGACGGCGTCGGGAAAGACGTGGAGGTCGGTATGGAGGCCAGCGACGTGAAGTTGAGGACCATGGCCGATATGGAGAATGTGGTAGCTCGCAAAGATTCTCTGGAGAATCGCACAGTTATTACTTATGGCACCACCATTTCTCCATTTATTTTTGAAGGCCAATCACTGTTCTCCCACTTCGTCGTAGGGTTAGGGTTCCGGTTCCGCCGAGGACCGGACCATGCAGTCTCCATCCACCGTCGTTTTCGCCGACGTCGAAGCCCCCACACAAGATCTCCGTTGGCACTTTGGATACCACGACCCGCTAACCAAGCTTGTCGATGACTCCCAGAGTGCTCTAATGGATTGGTATTGTGTGCATGTCCATCTAGGCTAGCCAGCAAGAGAGCAGGAGGGTGTTGAATGCCGGACCTCAAGTTGTCCCTGTGAGTAACCTGACATTAGTCAAGCCGGAAGTGAACTATTTTCCAAACGCATACTGACCATGAGGATTAGCAATCGCAGTCGACGGTGACCAACCGCAAACTTCATGAGCAGTCGAGATCGCGGACCAGAGCCATGAGGTGGAGGTACGGAAACAAAGACAAATTCGCCATCACATGGCAGTGCAGACAATCTATCCAGCTCCTCCACTCCTCGGAATAACGTTAACGCACGGCAACTATGACATTGTATGTCAAGTGCCGCGAAGTCCTTACACCCTGCGTATCTCGACACCATCTTCGCGCCTCAGGCCTCAATCGTAGTGCTTGGGCGCCTGGATGTCCGTAGAGAGGTCGGCCTGTCTGAGATCACAATCTGATCGTGTCAATGGTCGCCTACTACGAGTAAAGGAATGATTCTAACCCTTACACATGCTGCCAACTATACACTCTCTCTAGCACTGTCAAATTCAGGAAGGAAGAACAAGCGAGGCAACTGAAATGTAGGCTCACTGAAGGTCTGGAGATTGACGGTGAGGTGAGGGTAGTGGGCGCCTGACGTGCCCTCCTTGATGTAGGGAACGAAGACTCCGGACTCGTGGTCACTCCATCTTCCCCTCGAAGCCCAACTTACTGCCGGGACGTGATGGAATATTGCCGCTTCACAACTTCGCCCGTGTGCAGTTGGCTGGAACCTAATACACGGTGACTTTGGCATCGTGAATGTACACTCCAAACCTCAGCGATAGCGAGGCGCCGGCCCTCGCACCCTGACCTGGATTTCATCGCCAACATTTAAGTATGGTGAAAGAGGTGTAGAATGATGGCGTCTAGTGTGGGGGATTTGCTTGACCGTTTGGAGATTATAGTACGATTACAAGGGCCTGGATAAAGAATACCGATGGTGATTGGGAGATTCGGATCACAAAACTGCTGAGTACATGCTCGAACGGCATGTTGTCGCAAGTAAAAGAGGACTTGGATGGGGAAAGGAAAGTGCCTTTTCCCTTCAAAACGCATAGCCTTGACCCCAAGAAAGCCCTCGGCGGTCGGTTCCGGCCCGCGTGTAAGCGCTTTTGCCGGACTGCGCATGTCGGAGAATCCGGTGCTCGTCGATGACTTTAGCGCCTAACCCGGGCGCTTGCGCACCCTAATATTCTTGGCGTGGTCATTTTGGATCAGTAGCTGTCACGCCATGGGCCAATTAAAGAACGAATATCGTGGTAACGGATACCTTGATGTACGTTACCTTCACCTTTGTGGTTTCAGGGGATAAACAATAATGGGCGGTTGGCGAAACCAAGCATGACGATGTCATGAATTTGGCTTTTTGCTGGCAATGCTCAGCTCGGGACTCATTTCGTGATGAGGAGCTCAGGGCCTTGGGCGGCCCTCACGGCTACTTTCTATCGCCTCCGAGAAACCTTGCTTGGCGAGACAGTCCTGGGATTAACTGTCTGATGAGGCAATGCTTCTCAACCTAACTTGAAACACTACTTAACTCATATATGGGCGGCGTACAATCACCTGGCTGTTGATTCGCTCCTCTCCCGTTCTCTCTGTCATTCCAAGATGTACTCATGTCCTAGATGGGTATTGAGGCTTCTTACTGCCTTTCTTTCCCTTGCTTTGGCCACGAAATGCGGGGCAATCCTGGTCAACGTCACCATCGATGACAGCCTCCCTGACCCAGTCACGGGCGCTGTATTCACTTACTCACCGGCGGAGGCATGGCGGGATGGAAGGATACCTTGTAGCGGCTGTACCGCACGTCCTGAGCCTCTCCTTTTGCACGACAGAACCTGGCACGACAGCACAGTAAGCATATCCTTACTGTTAGAAAGCTGACATTCACCTTGCAAATCGTTATGAGTTTAATCCTCAACCGGGTAGTAATGACTTTCCAAACACACCCCTTCTCGCTTCGGTGAAGTTCTCTGGTGAGCCTTGGATCATATGGCTACAGTCCCTGACAAAAAATGACTGTGGTATAGGCACTGCGATCTATGTCTACTGCGCTCTGGCACGAACTATCAGTGGGCCCACTGGGCTTAGCGATATGACATTCTTCATCGATGGTCAGCAAGTGGGTAGATTTATCAACAATCCGCCAGGTACTCAAGGATACGACTACGACGTCCTCGTCTACCATAATACAACCATTCCCGCCGGAGACCATGAATTCACACTCCAGAATGGAAATAAAGACGGGCCCAAGGCTCTGGTTTTGTTCGATCGTATCGTATATACGTACGTCCCTCCTGACCTATCCACCATTCTGCCCTAGTCTCAATGCACTCGGTACAGATACGACAATGGGCTCAAAAGTGAAGAACAGCGCAAGTCAGAACTGGCGGCAATTTTGGGAGGGACGCTCGGTGGGTTGGCAGTGCTCTGCACTGTGGTCGTCGTGTTCGCTTTCTGGTTCTTCCGAGTCAGAAAAAGGCGAAGCAAGGCGCAGTCCCCGATCCTAGAAACCTCGGACTGGGATGATCCTCGTTATCACGGCCATGCACTTGGCGCATCTGTGACCGCGTACCAGGCTGGCTCTGCTCCTTCCTGGCCCCCAGCGCCCGCTCACGGCATACCCGCAATGAGCATTGCTGGTCATAGCCAAGCGTCAGCCCCAGCGTCCAATTCAGATTCGTTCGATCCATATTCATCGATTCAATCAGGTGCTCGTAAGTAACTAGTTTCCTTATCTTGATTACAAAAACTCTAAGATTCTATTTTAGCCAACGGGGTTTCTGATGAACCTCCCAGCTACTACAACGACGGGATGCAACCAACTACGACTTTCCGGAAAGGAAGGTAGGCGTTATGAAATATGCCAGGGTCAGCTGGCCTCAGGACGGCCGTTGAATGGAATTGAATTCTGGAAGTGCTGTGTCGCCCACAATGGCTCGAAATGATTAAACTGAAAGTGGCGGCAATTGCAATACAAAAGATAATCCAGTTGAAATGAGAAGTCCACAGAAGCTGAATCAAACGCTAGAGCTCGACAGGGATCTGGAGTGGTGATACCAAAGAATGAAGGCGAAGAGATTGAGAAATGGTCCAATGGAAAGTGACCAAAGCGGGACAGTGAAAATGAATCTTGAAGGAACCGATACCCAATGGAGACGCGCGAATAGGAAGTCCCCTGAGTTAGAACAGCGCCGAGCGTCGTTTCGATCTGACGACTAGACACCGAGCTTGTCCATTGTGTAGGAGCATCTGCTGGTCGACTTCTGGTTGGTTCCATTGCGGCCTGATATCTCTCTGAATGCAGTCCAAAATCCAAGCAAGCAGATTGGGGCGCTCTGACGGGGGAGATTCTCCAATGACCCCAGTGGAGGATTTAGAGGCCAGCGCAAGTGGCCTGAGACGTGCGGGTTGAGATGCGGGGATAATCGTTTGAGAGACCTCGCGAATTCTGGACGAAGGAAGCCAGTTCCCGAGAGACAGACGACGAACGAACTGAACGTTTGGGAACTCGAACCGCGGAATTCCAGTGTTCTGGGTTCGACCTACGTCCATATTGCTCGCGAGGAACAGAGGTTTCAAGCGGGATTTCGACGTGGGGGTGTCCTGCTTCTCTAAGCTTAAGCTAAAGGTACGTTTGATTCCATCGAACCTGGATCGAATGGGAGATGGCCGGTGCGCGGTCGGTGCTGAGGCTGCCCGAGAGGCCTTTGGTGCAGGTAGGGACATGCGAAGAGTCGTTTTAAGCACATTTCCTCGATGATAATGTCCACAGGGAGACCTTCCTCGGTAGGTTTGGTCCAGGAAAGTCGTAGAAGAAGTTGAAGGAATCGTCAAGGCCTTCGGTTTACGCATGCGCAGGGCGCCATATGCTTCCAGCTTTTGGCTGTGAAACTGAGGCAACGGAGGGTGTGCTGAGTGACCGTCATCGGTACGGCAGTCGCGCTGGGGAGTCCCCAGGAGTCAACGTTCTCGGCCACAAACAAAGAGGGAACGACTGCATACATCGTAGTTCTCGAAGAGACTCACCAGAGCGTTGGATCCAACGACGGCACACATGGTGAGGATGGCTAGGGTGCTCCCGATAGCCGCACCAAATCAGTCGGGGGTGAAACAGCTGTCCGCCTCTCCACTCGCATTTACATTGAGAAACGGATAGGGGCAGGCCAGGATAACATGGACTAGGCGACTTACGCAGTTGCCAGCAGGAGGGAAAACAGGATCGACGTCATGCAACTGGATGCCACTCCATCTATGACGCTTTGTGCAAAGATCTTCGAATAAATGCCCCAAAGGCCTCAACGTCATTGGCAATCCAGAGTACAAATAGCGCACAGCGGGAATGAATGGGAGCCCATATTCCAGCCGCCATGTTCAGAACCAAAGCCGCCCAAATCTCCAGAATCAACGTCGGGACCGTCTGTCGATCGGGTCGGCCGTTTCATGCTAGTGCTGTTGCACACGAAACAGTGAAGGAAAAGGTTAGCGAAGCTGCCAATGACGTGAGTGTGAAGGTGTCATTGCGAAAGGTTACCGGTACTGACCAGGTTCCAGGTAAACCTCAAAGTCGGGAAAGGTTTGGCCAGCGCCATCGAGAAAGGGGAGCAGTTGACCGAGAAGGCGAAGAAGACATTCGGTTCGTCAAGATTGTTGTTCAAGCGTGCCATGAGTTAACGTCATTGATCCAGGTTCTAAAGCTGAAGAAGCCGAGGAGAAGACCAAGCAAACAGCAGAACTGGGAAAGCAGAAGATGAACCAGGTTTGTCGCAGCTGTTGTTTGTCGATTATGTCCTGACTTTCGCGCTTTAGGCGGGAGCTGGCGCTCGAAAAGCAAAGGAGGACTTTGAAGCTGAAGTTCGGAAATAATGGATTTGACATGTAAATCACAATGTAGAGTGTAGTTATGTATTCCCAAGAAGCCTTTGAGTTAAACCTTTTTCCCCATCAACGGATGCTTTTCCCATTTGCCGGAGCGCGACCGAGCTTTCCGTCTCTCCTTCCGTTTCCGACTGCATGCAGCGATTCGTCTTGAGGCAGGGCCTCTTTGGCCCTCTGCGCCTTTCACGTCCTTCAACGTTAGCAAGGCCATTTTGGAAATCCCCAACTTGCTACATACAGACCGACGCGCACAGCAAGTACAAGGAAAAGCTTTTGCAGCGGGCGAAAGAGTGAGGCTTTGTATCGTTTTCCTGCCTCCAAAATTGTGACAGCTCTTATAGACGATTGGCCATGACCGCTTCTCCGTCTCCACAGAGCTGGGCTGAGTCTGGATGAACTGAAACAACAAGCAAAGAAGACTGCCGAGGCACAGAAAGAGGCGGAACGGAAAGCGCTCGAGGCGACTCTGCCAGCACATAAGCTTCAACAACAGGTCGAAGCTTCTTCATCGAGCACTTCATCTGCGTCCTCGAATCCTGCCTTGAAGGCGAAAGAGCGCAAGGACAGCTCACCAGTCAAGGTACGGCCCTCAAGTGTCTCCAGTTGTGTTCATTGTTGAGAATTTTGGTAGCCGCTGTCGACAATCTTCAACGTAGAGAAATTGGTGTCAACACCACATACACCAGAGCAAATTTCAACATTGTGGACAGCTTACCATGCCTCACGTTCGGGAGGTACTGGTCGAGGATTCGTGTGCGCCTCTATTCCGTCAGATATGTACGGCAAGCTGGAGAAGGTCGGCCAAAAGTACCCAGCCTTTGTTCTCCCTGTACCACGACCCCGACCGGACGACACAGGGCCTCTGAAAGAAGGGGAAAACGACACTGCGTATGAATTCTACTTCATGGAATGGGCTTTCCACGAACGACCACCAGTTCCTCAAGCGGACAGTAACATCCCATTTGAGGTCCCGTCTTCGAAAAACTCTACAAATCCTCCCCTTGCCACCGTTCTTTTCACGCCTCTACAAGAGTACAAGTCTCGGCAGACCTTTGCTACTCCTTACCTCATCGTGACCTTCTACACCGACTTGGTCACAACCCACCAACGGGTACTCATGAGGGGAGAAATAACGCCCGCCGCCGCTAGCCCTACTGGTGCAAATGGGGATCGCTATCTTCTGAGCCAGGAGGACGCTCAGGTGCTCATTATGGGGCTACAAAAGTTCTATCTTTGGACGTCTGAAGGAGAGGGCGAATCCGAGGCGGCAAAGCTATTACGGGTATTCCACGAGAAACCGGAGGACTTCAAATGGGAAGACCTTGTAAAGATTGGCAACCTGACTGGCTAGTTCGGAGGTGATCTACACTCGGTATACACTACATAACAGGTACTATTTTAATATATGTCTACTTAAAATGGAATGTTTGTTTCCGTATTACCATTTACCAAGGGATGAATACGTCTCGCACGTTACTTGGACCAGACAACAGAGCCCTTGACCTCCAATGGCCTGAATCGAACTTGCGGGAACGAGACCTACAAGATAATATGGACCTCGAAATGGTTTGTCAAGAGATGTGTCGTGTTAGAGAGGACGAAATAGTAAGATACTCTAGGCCATACCGTATCACCAGTACCAACCCAGCCCGCGACCAAGATTATTAGTGTAAAGTTATGCTAATGGGAATCCAGCGGTGCGCGATTCCATGACCCCATGGCAGATGCTTCTTCTTCCAGCACCAGTATGGCACGGTTTATGGGTGAATCTTCTGTCAAATCCAATGTCACCATGTCTCTCTCGTAAAGACGGCCAAAACGCTCGATGAGGCCAGGCATCTCTCCCTCGACGGTCAGTGCTTTGCCTGAAGCCCCCTCGATGCTCCCAGCCCTTACGTCGTCCAAGCCGCAAGCGACTATCCTATCAAACCAACGACAAGGCTCCTGGGTAACGTTGATGGCAAAACCATGGGACGTTAGGCGATGGCGGACTTGGACACCAATGCTGGCGACTTTGGTCCGAGGATCGAGAAAGACACCCGTGTGCTCAGAAGGGCAGTGGTCGACGGCGTGAGCTTCTTTCAGGTGGATTTGAAGCAGCCTTTCCATACGGCAGACGTAGTCGCGAGCGCCCATGACTGGACTGTATCGAGAAAGGTCGAGAAGAGGGTATCCGACAATTTGCCCCGGACCATGGTAAGTCAGTTGACCGCCACGAGTAGCAGTCACGAAGTCTGCGCCAATCTGGGTCAGACGTTCGCGCTCATCTTTAATGTATGGCTCTGTCTGACGCCTCCCTGATGTGTATACCGGCCGGTGCTCGAGGAGAAGGAGCAGGTCCTTGTGGTTACTGGATTCGCGTCGTTGCTGCAGCTGGATCTGGTGTATTTTTTCTTGGAGATTCCAGGTCGGTTGGTATGGCAGGGGTCGGCGGAAGACGTGGTAGGCTATCGGCGGAAGACGCATCTGATACTGGGATGTTTGGAAAAAGTTGTCGCGACCGCTGGAAATTGGAGACGCTCGGAAAGAAAATCCATGTGCTGGCTCGGAAGGCGCGATAAGCATCCGCCCCGCAAACCGGACTTATTGATGTTCGCACGTTATAGCTGCCGAATTAGGTCGACCCGGCTTGGCGGGCGCTATCAGCTCTTGGACAGGAAACCAAGAGTTCGTCGACTCAATAACAGGTAGGTGAAGACCCATATTGGCGAAATAACCTCCCAAAGCACAGAGCACAGTCGCGAAGGCCCGTATATCGCCTATTTGTGTTCCTGTATCGTCTAGTAGTCGGCCGGGAATGCGGGTAAGCCGTTCCAGATCACTTTTTATGTCTCCGAACCTGCTTATCGCTGAATGCTGATAGGCTCCAGTATCTTCATGGTCATGCTTGACTGCGGAATGCTAGCGCTAAGGTGACGGTCAGAACGCGATAACCGTTATCTCGTGGCACAACGCCACCCTTTTGCCATTAGTTATCGAAATCCGCTATCCTCCGACCTTTTTCAAGCAGCCTGAAATGCGAATAGTGCCGGCGCAGTCGGTTGATTGACATGGAGTTCGTATACGAGGTTTTATTATCGGTCATTTGACGTCACGCACCGCCGTCGAGGAGATAAAGGTTTTTTATATATAGTGAACACCCGACCATGGACCGTTTCACTCGCCTCCCCGCTTTCTCCTATTCACACAATGTCTTCTACCATACTTCGTCGTACGTCGGGCCCATTACTCCCTGTACTTTACTCTCACTGACAACCAATGTTCCAGGCGCCCCAGGAGACCCGGTGTTCGTCCCCCAAAGTTCCTGCCTTTATCGTGATTTCTGAGCATGGCCGCATCCTCTAGCTATGATCGAGGCGACCTCTCGTTCATCATGTTGTGCGGTGCCTTGGTGTTCTTCATGGTGCCAGGCCTTGGTAAGAAGTAGACCACCTTGTCCCTGTTGAATGTCTTCTGACCGACTCTTAATCCTCAGCTTTCCTTTACTCTGGTTTATCGCGCCGGAAAAGTGCACGTAAGCCTTCTATTTCCCTCTGTCAAAACCTGACCCCATGCTGAGCTATTTCTATATCCAGTGTCCATGATCTGGGCCGTATGCGCGGCCAACGGGGTAGTCATCTTCCAATGGTTCTTCTGGGGTTATTCACTATCGTACTCGACGACCGCAACGAATGGTTTCATAGGAAACTTGTCCAACATTGGCCTCAGGAACGTTGGCGCGCAACTGTCCCCGGGTTCCCCACTGGTACCAGACATTCTCTACAGCTTCTTCCAAATGGAATTTGCATGCGTAACAGCTGCAATTTTGATGGGCGGTCTCGCGGAGCGTGGTCGAGTTTTGCCGGGCATGGTCTTCCTCTTTGTCTGGATGACGCTCGTTTACTGCCCTTTGGCTTGCTGGGTCTGGAGCGGAAACGGATGGGCGTTCAAATGGGGGGTCCTCGACTTTGCTGGTTCGTAAATCCTCGCTACATATCAATCTACATGCTAACGAAATAATTGTCTAGGTGGAGGCCCTGTCGAGATCGGGAGTGGAGTTGGTGGTCTTGCCTTTTCCTGGGTTCTCGGTCGTCGCACAGAACGTCAGCTCCTCAACTTCCGGCCTCACAATGTTTCCCTCGTCGGACTCGGTAGTAAGTATCTTCCGCTTTTGGTCGGACTCCTGTTCAACGCTTAACAATCTTCAGCCGCCATGCTTTGGTTCGGATGGCTAGGTTTCAACGGAGGCAGCGCTTTTGGCGCCAATCTTCGCGCCGTTTTCGCCATCTGGAACACTATGATCGCTGGTGCAATGGCTGGTCTTGTATGGTGTGCTCTAGATTATCGCTATGAGCGACACTGGAGCATGGTCGGCCTCTGTTCCGGCACGATTGCAGGACTGGTTGCAGCCACTCCCTCCTCTGGATTCCTCTACCCATGGGCATCTATCATCACCGGTATCCTATCGGGCACCATTTGTAACTTTGCAACCAAAGGTTAGCACCCCACGTCTAGCTTGAGGTCTCCTTCGCTGACTAGTCTCCTCTAGTTAAATACCTTGTTCGAATCGACGACGCACTCGATCTCTTCGCTGAGCACGCGGTTGGGGGTATCGTGGGTCTCTTCATCAACGCCTTTTTTGCGTCTGGCAAGATCATCGCCTACGACGACGTTAATACAGAGGTACCCGGAGGATTCCTCGATCATAACTGGGCTCAGCTGTACAAGCAACTTGCATATGTTGCTGCCACCTGTGCATATACCTTTATCGTGACTGCCTTGATTGCTAAAGCCATCGACATGATTCCTGGCCTTCAGCTCCGCACATCTCCCGAGGGTGAGATTGTTGGCCTTGACGAGACTGAGGTGGGTCATCTAAACTTGTTTTCTTTGAGCACCATACTCATAGACACTCTTCGCAGATCGGCGAATTTGCAAGTGACTACATCGAAATTCGGCGTGAAGTCACGGATAGCTTCCAGACCGGCTCTGTTGACAAGTTCAAGCTTGTCGCCAACGGTGACCGACACGGTCAAAATGACCTCGCTCTCGAGGGGCATCGCAATGCTACAGTACAGTTTGAAGCTCAAGAAAAGGAGAAGCAAGAGGTTGCTTCCCATACGGGGTCGTCTTCAACCACGGGCCAGCAATAGTCTGTGCAAAACCCTGGTCTGTCACTAGCATACATATATTCTCCAACCCCGTTCGTCGCTTTCTTGATAGCTTTGTTGTTGTACTCTTATTGTTTTCGACCTTCATCACGCGTAGCACGTATTAATGTCCAGGTATCTGTATCTCTCTAGGTGTAATATATAAAATGGAGTATATTCCATAGCACAACATACGCATAGCATTAGCAGTCCCATCCCACAATCCAATCTTCATCTTCAGGAATCCTGGCGGTGGTATTAGAAGCATCGCTTGAAAAGGGGCCACAGATCCCGGAATGGAACTCTTCGTCCAGAAGAAGATCAACAATATTTCTGGAAGAGATGGTCTCCGTCTCCATCGTGGAGATGAAGCTTGTGCCAGAGTCAGGAGGACTATCTCGGATGTGATGCTGCGAATAAAGACTTACGGCTCAAACGAATTTACATAGTAGAAGCCTCGATCGATTTTGACCGGAGGGAAAGAGGCTGTTGGAGGTAGCTTCGGATATGCCTTCCACTGCGAAGAAGGGCAGAGCAATCAGAACAGGCTAAAGTGGTGGAGATTCAAACCCTACCTCCTTGCGATGTACCCAACCCACGTTGCCATCAAACACTTCATTGAGCCATTCGTCAGTAATCCGTTCATTTGAAAAGATCTTGACGGCCCATTCTCCCTCCCGAATAGCGCCATGATATGTCAGGGAATTGAACTCGGGTTCCTTTCCACCCTGCCTCGCGTTTGACCTCGAGGTGAGGATCACTTGCGGGACCTTTTCGTTCGCTTCCAACCCGAAATAAGCAGGGGAAGGTGCAGGGGACGTCGTAGCGAGAAGCGTGACATGGAGATGAACGTAAGGTTGTTGGGGAATCTGGTCAGAGATCGAAGCAGGGACCTTGATTCCTGTTTGATGGAAAGGTGCTGCCAGGATAACGCCCTTGTAATACTGTGTTCCTCTCGAGCTCTTGACAGTCCATTGTGTGGCGGCGGACCCTGACTTGGGTTTGATGCTAGTGACCTGGGTGTGAAGGAACGGAGAACATGGATCAAAGGAGGTCGCAGAATCTTTTTGTCATGACGTACAGGCGTGTTGAGGTACACATTTGCACCTGAACGATTGAGGAATTGCTCAAAAAGCAAGTAATTGCCACCGTCGATCCCTGCTGCACTGCTGGCAGCCATGGAGCAAGCGCCCTCCAGAGCATGAATGGCATCGGCATCTTGAGCATAGTTCACAAGGGTTGCAGCCTCAACAACCTCGTAGATGTATTGACTGGATACCCCTTGAGACAACAGGTACTCGGAAATCGTGCTCGACACGAGGTTGTCGAACCCGAGAGCTGTGGAAAGGCCGGATAAGTTATCCCATCTTGGGGTATCCTTATTGTATAGTTGCACGTAAGAGTCGACCATTCCCTTGACCCTTGACTTAACGTAAGTACCGGTAACGTGGTGGAGGAGAGGCGACTTACAGCGAGTCGGTCTTTCGAGGAGAATTGAACCCATATCGCCAGAGGACCTTGAGTGTGTCCCACCAGCCCCCGTTGAACTGGACAGAAGGTGAGCTTGTGATAAGGGAAGCAACCGCCCACGCACCCTGAAGAGGAACCTTTCACCGTCCCAGATAGTGGTCTCGTAATCCTCCTCTTGGAAGTCACGACGCGTCAAGTTGAACTCGTCGGAAGCCCTCCACAAGTTCTTGTTAGCTTGAACAAATATGGATGCCCCCAGTTCCAACTCTTTGAACTTCCTGTCGTCGTAGGGGTACACCACGGTGCTCCCTATAAGCAAGGAAACGATGAGCACGCCCCATTGCATCACACATACCATCCAACACTCACTTCCTCCAACATAATTCTCCTTGTCGTAGACATCAATTTCGACGTCCAGGCCGAACCGTTCTTTAGCCTTTCCGATCCAGAAGGCGGCTGAGGTTCCACCAGCACCGGCGCCAATGATCGCAACGCGGGGAGTGGCAGCAGGTGTTTCGTCTGGAACGAATGGGATTTGGGAGGGTTCCGTGCCCTTGAAGAAGGGAATTTCAAAGGGGAGCTGTAAGCCAAATGCGCTTGGGATGAGACATAACAGTGCTATTGAGCACTTCTTCATGGTTGTAAAAGGAGAGATCGTCAGAGGTCGTCTGTGGTCCGTTACAAGCGAGGTGAACGAAATGTCACCGCCAATGCCATCACTGCCATCACTCGAACCACGAGGACAGAACTCAAGGCACAGCCACTTTCCCGCATCCTGGGACTTACCCTCATCATGGCTTCCCCTATCTTCAACCTCCCAGTCGAGGTCCTTCAACGTATCTTGCTGTTCTGCACACCGAGGGACGTATCGACGTTTTCAAGGTCGTGTCGAGCAACGTACAGCATTGTCTACCAGGCCGATGACCAGCATCTTTGGCGGGAACTTTACCTTGGCCACCCTCTTGATAACCCATATGAAGTGGTCCAGGAAAGGAGGGACCATAAACTTCATGCACGGAGTGTAGACAAGCTCAATTGGAAGGAACGGCTCACAGAGGTCGTTAAGGCTGCATCCCTGGCTACTTCTTCCCAGCATCCCACTATGCCTGACTGCACACAGGCTATTCGCACATTTCATACGCTGCTCTCCGAACTGCGGGTGGCCTGCCGTTCTAAAAACGGAAGTCTCGCCGAGTGCTACAACTCCCGATGGCTCGAGGACACATTATCGGGCTCTCTCCTCTTGGAAAACCCAGAGGAGGAAGACGTCAGTTCCGAAGTCGCCAAACAGCCTAGCGACATGCCACTGAAACGGTCCCGCCTTCGTATATCTCTGTGCAAGTACTTCGACAACCCATCCAATGTGAACGTCGAGGACTCCCCATTTTACGAGAGGCGCATGACAAGCCGGTGCTTCGTGTACGACCTACGCAATTACACCTCGTCCACTCGCTGGGGACCGTTCTACCCTAGTGGTCGACCAGACTGGGTTCACGTCGATCATCTCATGACGGTTGTATGGATGAACGTCTGTGAGTTATCCGCCGTGAATCTCCCATTGCCACCGCGGGGGATCGAGGCAATTCGAGCTTTCTCTGCTCCGGGTAGCGACCCGAAAGCAGAGGATTGGGCAGGGGCCGAAGGTACAGTTCTCCATCTGCGCCCTACCCTAGAATTATCTAAGCTGGCACCATTTCCTCAGGATCTTGGAGCAGATTCGTGTGCTTCATGGACTACCGGTTAGCCTTTCGATGTACCTTTTTACTTTCGATGGTCACTAATTTTGCATTCGCAGGGATTTATTCGGTCAGTCTCACCTAGTGTTGACCCTGCCCTGCCATGGTCTAACCAGGTCACTTGGAATCTTCGATTATTAGCCTTCAACGTGAGTCACATCCTAGTTGATCAGAGCCCGGTTCCTCACTTCGCATCTCAGTTCTCCGACGATGGCCCGCGGTCATCTCGCATGTTCTCCGACCCTGGCTTCCGTGAAGCGATCCGCCTTCTAGAGGTTACCTTGAAGCTTATCACTCCGGACGAATACAAAGCTTATGGTAGAGGCGCCCCCGATATCCCAGCAGAAAGTGAAACAGATGAGCACCACCCGGTCCTTTTCTTCAAGGGCGGCTCTCGAGGACCTCATGGCGCAGAGTCTATCATTCGGGGCCTAGTTTTCATGGATACCGAAGGCTTCGTGAAGTGGCGCCTTGTAAGAGTTTGTGCCCTTCTTGTACCGAGCTCGGTCTGTCTGCTTACACTTGTGAACAGTTCTCCGTCTATGATAGCACACCGCAATGGAGGTCAGTCCTTCGTTCTTCACCCCGTGCTTATTTCTAAATCCTAAGGCTCGACAATTCATGCAGCTCAAATGGTGTTCAAGTCGGTGATGTTGGAAGCGCGATTGGCCTTGTGGGAGTGTGGTCGACTGCATTCCATGAGACAGGTGGGTAATTTGCGGCAGCAGGCTAAGCATGAGCTCACAAAGCCATGCTGTGTACAGGAGACCCTGTCGGTATGTGATTCCGCTCGCGGGTTTGCTGTTCGACACAGCTCAAGATTTCTCAGGTCCGTTTTGGATGTGGAAGAACGGCAAAGAGCATCCACCTGTCATGGATTTCCCTGATTTTGACGCACTTAATTGAATATCAAACTTTCTACGTCTCTTTTTACGATCACCCCAGAACTCGTTTTCTACAGGGCTTTGTTGAAGAATGCGATCAACCTTCCATAAACGTCTTCGTATCTATGGAACCGGTCAGTGGGATGCGTGAAGATGTGGTTGTTACACCTACGCTTGCTTGTTGTCTTCCTTCGTCAGATCCCCGCGTGCAGCCGCCCATCCATGGAACCTGAGTAATTCCTGAGCTCACAGTTCCCTTGTATACAGAACCTGAATACTCACATATCCTTGTAGTATTTGTGATCGCAAAGATTGGCAAACCGCTTCTTGCTAATGACGTCAACAATTTCATTGTACTGGGTGCAATCGGGGTGCAATCGTCAACATCATATCGGCTTCCGGGAGAAGGATGTCACTTACATCGGATTCCGGTTCGTCTTGGGAGGGGTAAACAGCGAAGGGAATCGTCAAGTTTTTGACGTCCTCAACGGACATCATCCTGGACAAGAGGCAATCAACAGACGCGCTTGGCTGTTTGTCAAGTGTAACACTCACGCAGGGTGAACGATCGCAGAAGCATCGAAGGGAGTGTTCTCTCCCGAGCCACAGACAACAACCTTACCGCCTGACAGGATGAACGTTAAACGATGGTCGAAGGCAAGCCGCTTGAATGAGACCACAGACCCCAGCAGAAACCGTATGTGGCAACTTTCTTGTGGCCTTGGGACTTGAGGTATGCACCAAAGGTCGTGAGTTTCTTGGTGGTTGCAGGAGGGCTGGCAATGCCACCGAAGAAGTCCTGGAGGTCTTGCTTATCCTGATCATGTCTCGGGGGGAACTTCTCAATCGAAAATGCCTCCTCAGGCTCGAAGAAATCGGGCATGTAGACCGTGGTCTTCAGGCTATCTGCGATAATGTCTGCGCCTTGCAGAGTCTGGGGGAAGAATCTGGAGCGCCATGTTAGCTTTCTATGGTGCAGATAAATGAGCACATACCCAAAGATATCGAACACACAGACGATGGCATTTTCGCTCTTTTCAGGCCCAGTGGTGTAGACCCGTTTGTAGTCACCGAGGGATTTGTACGTTCCCTTGGGTTTGTAGTCTGACTGCACAGGTGGAATGGTGCAGCAAGCCTTGTTTGGATTGTTCACTGTCGTAGACATAGCTTTTGAAGGCGATACGTGGTTGAAGACGCTGCGAAGACGCTGAAGAAACATTCCGGTTAACTGTGGCAGCCCCTGACCCCATCCGGCTTCTTATCGGTGATGCGCGATGTGCACAGTCACGACCATGTGATCGTGGCAACCAACGAGCTTGGCACGCTCATCATAGGCGGCGCGTCTCAAGCACTGACGATGACATTGCATGGAAAGCCTCATAACTTCGTATTTCCCCAGAGCCAAAGGGAAGAAGAAACAGACCACTTCAAAGAGGAAAAGGACGACTGCATCTGAACACAGCAATGACGCCGAATCATCATCTATACCGAGCACTAAACGGTCCAAATCTGACACACCCAAGTCGTCCAGGAAGACGGTCGTGCCGAGTTCGTCTCAAGGGAGAACACGCAAAGACGTCATAGTCGTCTCTGACGACATTGATACAGCCGAGGACATTGTCAAAGTAGTTGCTGTTACCCACACGCCGCGGGACAAGAGGGTCAACTCGATTACCATAGGCTCTTCATACTCTCGTGCTAACCGCAAACCAGACCTCCGAGTGGCCGTACCCTCCGCAAATATAGAGGAAACTCCATCCCAGCCAGACTCTGACTCTCCTCTGACACCTCTGCCAGCAGACTACCTCTCTGATCCCATTCGAGCTTCCCCACCCAAACCAGGCGCGATGTCTGATTCGCAGAGGCTGGCGCCTAAATTAACCAGGTCGATGCAACACCACGTCGACTTCTCTACTCCACGGACGAAACGTATCTTGGCTCCCGATAGCGATGGGGATGATGAAATGGACCTGGGTATTCGGTCACCCCACTTTATTGGATCCTCACAGACCCAATACTATTCACCTGTCAAGGTGTCCCCGTTGAAACCAGTGCGGCAGCAAGTCACCCTTCTGGAAGACGACTTCATTGAAAGTTCCCAAACTCAGGAAAGAGAGCTCGACTACCCATTCTACCATCCACCGCAGCACAAGTTAAGGTCGGTTCATAACACTATCTGCATGCCGACCACCACCTGACACCAAGTTGGCAGGTTCACCTCAGAAACGCCGGAGCCAACGGGAGCCCTCAGCAACACATCTTCGTTCTCACAAGAACTACCTGTGCGCAACATGACGCTTGGTGGTTCTGACGCAGCACCCCATCGGGAAGCGGAGCCAGAACCAGATCTTGCCACCCCCACTTCATCCCAACAGCAATGCTTTATGTCAAGCCTCCCTCCTTCATCTTGCCCTGACGACGATTATTCAAGTCGTGGATCTCAGCTTGACGCTTTGAATCGATCTCCATCTCCTCTTCACGAACCATGTGAAGACGAATTCCTTGCAGGCAACAGCCAAACGGAACATAGTGAATCCGGTGACGAAACTCCACTTCCTCCTAGTAGCTCCCCATTCAAATCCCCTTACTCGGATGAAAGGGACGAACCATCGGCCTCGCCGAGCTCACAATATCCGTACCCGTCCCAAATACATAGCATATACAAGATGTTCGAAGGGGAAGAAAGCTATCCTCCAGACTTTCCAATGTCTCTTCGCGTGGTGAGTGAAGCAGCTCAGCGGACTGCACAGTGCTTCTGACGTTTTGTTAAAGTGAGCAGCATACTATCGTTACAGCAGCCAATACTCCCCCGATTTCGTTCGACATTATTTTCTCCTTCCATGATGGCCTTTCGTTGCATATATCTCGACTTGCATGCATTGACGGACTTTAATTCATGTACATATCATTATCCACATCCACGACCCTGTTCTCCTGGTACCTATCCAACCCTTAAGGAATCTTGGCATCATTTGTATCACGTGACTGACACCACGAGATAAATTTCTTCCGCCAAGTGAGAATCCTCCTTTCACCAAACCAACCACAAAGCAGCTTTGCCTGCCGCCGGACGCATGTTTGGATTGTGCAGCAAGGTAACTCTTGCTCTTCTCGACGAGACTGGGGTATAAGCTTTGAAGGAGAATAACATGGGGTTCAATTAAGCCGGAGCGACTCTCAATGCCGTCCAGTTAACCCTGGATGGTGTGGGAGTTGCTTGACTATGAACCCGGATATCCCACTCTTAATGGCGTCTAATATGATGATGTATTGAATCTTTACAACTAGCTACTTATACAAATCGAGCGAAGGTTTACATGGTTTAAATACCACTAAAGATCATACAAGGACGGGATATCGATGAGAAGCAAATGCAAGGATGGAGGTGGGAATCGCCGGGGTCGTAAATAAAGTAAGTGGATGAAGCGTCGTTAAATATCGTGTCCAATCGTCAGTTCCGGGTTTATTGTGAATGGGGACATTTCACTGAGGGTGAAAGTGTTAGCACCAAGGTTTTAGTAGTATCTTCGGGCCATCACTGTACTTGCAAACAGGTACATGGCTGCTGCTGCGAATTCCATAACCAGGCCGAGGACGAGATACATCACCCAGTCACCGGTTACCGGGTTCATCTTTGAAAGCGTTCTGTTCACTGGGACGACAGTTCCATATAGATTACTGGAGGACCATGCGGCCATGATTCCGTATGCGATGCGAGTGCCAAGGAATGGCATTCCGATACCAATACCCCATAGAAGCTGTTTTATAGCAGCACAGTGAGCCAAATGCCAAGGAGGTAGTCGAGTGATACGCACATTTCGTCGATAGCTCCTGAGATGCCAGCGATAGGAGAACGTTCCGAAGAATGCCAGTACTAGTAATACCCAGACTCCCGCATAGACGCATGAGGATACTCGTCGGAGGGTGGTTCCGATGTCTGCGTCGTCGGGTGAGACAGGTGACCCGAGGATCCCTCCTGCGATAGCGAGGCCGAGTCCGATTAGAGTGATACCACCGAATGACCTGAAGATGACGGTGACTCGAGGGATTTCACTGTATGTATGTTGGCCGCTGAACCATGTCATTGGTATAATTAGTACGCGGAGTGAAGCATACGGTACGCAAGACGTACGCCATCCCCAGGAAGCCCAACGTTGATAGCAATAGTAATGATAGCGCTGAAGGTTCAAGGACGTAGGCCGCCGTTAGAGCGTCGAAATTGGGTTGCAACTGTCCTGCGAGAACGAGGGCGCCTCCAGCCATTCGTGCTTAACAATCAGAAGGGTTAGTAGAGAGTAGTTTAGAGATGTTTACCAGCACTCACCCATTGAGAATAGGCTCAGAAACAACCAGCCTGCATCTCTTCTCAATGCATACCGCACTACGAGGTAACTCGAAATGCCTGCTATGGGAGCATAGAATGCCAATTGTGCTGCTGCGATCTTTCCCCTGGTGTCGAGGGACATACTAAAGGTCGTAAAATTCGTGAGGTTTCTTTGAAGGAAAGTATCGCTGAGGAAGGAGAAGCCAAAGAAGCTTCAAGACCGAGCAAGTGCTTCTCCAGCGCCATGTTCGATATTTCCTTTTGGGGATCATTCGCGCCTCGTGTTTGATCGTGTCGTACACGTGACACCGCAGATTCGTTCTGGTCGTCTCGGCGGTCACCGGTGTCGGTAACAATGACCAGCGCCTGAAAATGAGGCTTCCCCGCCGTGTGCCTTGGGCATCGATAAGCGAGCTAGAGCAAGTCTGCTCTTGGATCTACAACGACGAGAACGACTATGAAGCAAAATCATTGGCGATAAACAGGGTGAGTCGGTGTCCAGGTCGTTCTGCTGGGTGGAATTGAATGCTTTGAGCCCAGTTATCAGCCTGGAAAGCAATTACGCCGTTACCTCATGCGTTGGACTCGACGCTCGCCATACTCGTCGTCGTGAATCAAGACAGGTTCCAGACGCAAGGAGCAACGTTACCCTTGCGACAGAGCTATGCAACAGCCATAATACGCTTGGTGAACGGTTTGGTTGATCCTCTCCAGCTGGGAGCTTTTGCACGCTCAATTGCCTCTATTGCGAAACAATTGGGTTTGCCGTCCTGGTTGGTTGAACTGCGACATGCGGCGACACACGAGGAATTACCTAGTCTCCCGGTTCTTCGAGAGGCCGCACGACAGGTGAGTGTAGACATGGAAGACCAACGACTTGAACCTGATCGACGCGTCTACAGTCGTTGTCATGGCTATTACACAATTACTTTTTGCCAACCTTGAACCCACTATCTTCGACCTCCCCAGTATCAACCTCACTGCGCCCTTTGAAACCGATTCTCAAACAATACAAAGAATACATGAAAACCGTTACTCGCGATGCATCTCTGGCGGCTCAATACAAACCGAGAATTACTTCTCTGATGAAAGACGTAGAAAGGTGGATTGCGGAGGCTGAGGTGGCGGCAAACATATCAATGGACGCCGTCGGTTGGGGCTCATCCCATTTTTCCGATGCAGCACCGCAGGAGCAGGACATCAAGGAGAGATGGGCACTGGAAAGGTTCTGCGACGACCTCCTTGAAAAGGGTGGGCTTGTCCCACTGTCAAAAAAGTGCGTCCTCGTTTACGCACGTTCCCCACAAACTCTCACACCTTACAATTTCTTTAGGAAACGATTGTCTCAAAAGGATCGATTTTGGCCCCCTGCGGCGACAATTGCTATCTGGGCACCTCTACTGCAGAACCTTCAAGACCTTCACGCAGACTTTGCATCTGTTCTCTCGCAAAGAATATGCTCTTATCTCTTGGCTCTTGCGAACCCAGACCCATCGGAAGACCACATACCGCTTGAGTCCCTTTCTGACCCAAGCTACGAAATGTGTTTAGCCCGATGGGTTCTGTGGCTGATCGAGGTGTGCACCCCGCAGGGGTCCCAGGATTACGACTTACGGCAAGAGGCAGTCACCGCTTTGTTACGGGGTTTGAGCTCTGCCTTTGCGAGCCCTACAAAGGCCAAATCTAGGTATGTGGGTTTTACTTTCACTCGGGACTCATTTCGCTAACTTGCGACCACAGTGCAATGCAGCTTTTGGAGGTCCTGTGTGAAGGCCAACCTGAACTACATGCAGCACTTGAACTACTGCGACAATCTGCGCCACCCACTCAGAGAAAGGTGACTATCGCACCTTTCTATTTCCTTGCGAAGCTAATACCTCTTTCCTAGGATTGGTCACCCTCCGACATTAACGTCATGCAAGATAGGCTCAACCTCCTGCAGCAGGAACAAACACTGTTGGTCTCAGTTGATAAGATGGAAACGTCGACGGAAGGTCGGGTCGTTTCATCTGATAGTGCAGGCGGATGGCGTCAATTAAGCCGTGGTAACTGGCGACCATGCCCAATTGGCATCTTTATTTCTTCCTGTTAGCCTGTGGTTTGATGCCAAATGTGATTGATTCCAGGACAGAGAAACCCTACACGCTTGAAGACCCAAGGAAGAAAGCAGAAGACAGAGGATGAGGAATTGTACTTGGATAAAGCAGGGGAAAGGTCAAAGGACTAGGTATCACCATGGTTCGGTGTTGGCTTAAACGGGAATTGGGAATATGGAACGGGAATGCAGGTTCGCTATCGCCGACCTTGCCGTTCTTGATGGGGATGGTGCGCTGGCTTGCGAATGTGATTCGGCCTTCTTTGCTGTTGGAGCATCGGAGGCAGGTCGCTGCCATCCGTTCGATTGCCTTCACTCTCCCTACGATTGTCACTCACGTTCCGCGACACAAGCTCGGGAGGTGGAGAATTCGCGGGGTACCTTGGAGGTAGTTCGACGATCTCCTGGCCTTCCTCGTGATATATCGTGACCGGCGGGGCGTTGTTATCATGGTGCAGAACATACACTGCTCCAGGATGAGGTTTCACTGCCGGCTGACCGACCGTTGAAGAGAACGTAGACAGGGATTGTGGTATGGGAAGGGGCGCCTCAGCGTTTGAATGGGGGGAACTTGGGACATTTCTCTGTCCGTCTTCAGTTGGGATTACGAAAGGCTCGACGTGGTATGGGCTTGATCCCAGTGAGTGGTGCCCTGCTCCTCCTGTTCCAACTGAACGGTCTGGGTAAGGTATTGGTGTCGTTGATTCTGGACGATGTTGAGAACGGTTGTGCCAGTTGAGGAGCGAAGAGTTATCCGCACCGGAAGAGAAGTCCAAAAATGCTTGTCTATCCCTTTCCTTCCTTCCCTTCCTTCGCATGACGCAAAACATCGACAACAATCCTACAAGGAGGCCAGCTGCCGATCCTCCCACACCGGCACCAATCGCTACAGCGGGTTCAACATGAGCACCAGTGCTTTTAATGGAACGCAGTTAACATGGTATACTCAGATTTGTATGGAGCTAAATAGGGGCCTCACCCACTTGAACTTCCGATAAGACACTCCGTTGTCCCCGGACCTCCGCTGTGTAGCAACCCATTGGCCCACATGTTCCCAGCAGAGTCGGCAACACTGATGAAGAACGAACTAGCCCATGACAAGGTGACTGTCCAGTTCATCGCTCCATCACCTGTTATGTTGTAAGGTGGGTGTAATGATGGCGCTATCTTCTTATCCCGTCAGAAGCGATGGTCGAGCATGTCCGGTACAGTGCTCACCGTAAACGTGTACGGGGGAGATCCTCCTTTCGGAACGACAGAAATGTCCGTGCACTGCTCGGCTCTCCATTTTAGTCTGCGCTAAGGGTGAAGGAACAGTAATTCAAGTTCTACCTGCTCGATCCATCCATACTGTGATATGGGTCCATTGTTCACGATTCCTTCAACCTCGAGTTGGGGGGGTAGAGTGACGTTGGCGCAAGTGGGGTCTTGCGAGGATAGGGACGGTGTGACTGTGTAGACATCTTGACAGCCCCCAGTGTTTCCGTTTTTGTCGAACTTCGGGCGACCGATATGAGCCCCTAAGAGGGTGGGAGGCGAAAGGGAACGCACCATGCATATTTGATAGAGGGTACCAGGGGGAAAAGGGACAGCCCAGTCCTACGAAATTGTGTCAGTCGGGTTGCTGGGTCTGTGGTCTCTGGTGCACGGACATAGCTGAGACGGTCGCCGGCGGGGATGACGATGGGCACGGTGTAGATTCTGAAGTCAGAGGAGAGAAAGCCATGAACACGGAGGATAATTCGAAATTTCATGGGCTTACGATGCATAGACCTGAAGGTAGTATGGTGGCACTGGGTTTGGACTTTGTACCAAATTAGCCGCGAAAAGACAAAGTTCCGAGGACAGCACATACCCCTGTGCTGGACCTCTCGACCATTTTATATTGATAGTTTCGCACTGTTCTAGCACAAAATGTCAACCTGTGGACGTCGGCAGAATGTGGCCTAAACTTTGCTCACGGGTTACTGGAACGGGATAGAGCTGAGCCGGTGGGTTCCAATCAAAGAAGAACGACTGTCGCCGGCAGTGGGGGCAATGGGTTCAGAACATTGCCAACAAGAGCAAGGGACTACTGCGCACCATTTCCAGATAGTCGACATATGTATCCCGCGTGCACAGGGTCCCCCTGGTTCCGAGTACAAGAATCAAGAGTGCAGATCGCTGGAGGATTGAGTAGAGGCCCATGATGGCAGGAAGTCGACAGTCGACCACGGTGGTTGCGGGCAAAGACAGAATGCTACGATGTTCCAGGACTCACGTCGCGCTAAATACGGACGGTCTCCAATGGCAGTGTCAATGGCAGGTATCTGATATTGACATTAAATAGCCGTGGACCTGAGGCGTTTAAGAGTTCGTTGCTTCACAAGTTGTTGATCACGTCTGATCACATCCATTCACTGATGACGGGTTGTGGTTCAGGGCTATTCGTGATCTTCGAGCTCGTTGGCCAACGACGACCTCAAAGATCTGAATGACGCGGCACCATATTCCCAGAAAAGAGGTCGACGGCGTTTATTAAGGGCGCAAGGCTGACTCGGAGCCCCGGAAAGCATATGCACGTGCACCGGTGACTATGGTAGCCCTGATGTCATTTCCTGGTTCTCACGTGTCCGAGGCGAGTCAAGGGACAAACGTCGACGAGTCTCTGGAAATCAGATTCTGACATCGTTCAAAGAACAGAAATTGAGATGGCCCGGCGCGATCTATCGCAACCGTATGGACAGGTCGGAGTTATAACTATCGGCCTTGACAGCGATCAAGATGTTATGAAGAGACTTGAAACAAGAGTTCCTGATTTTTGCTCAATTCTCGAAATTTTATGTACTTTAGTTGGTATCCATGCCTGCATGGAGGGATAGAAGCCAAATTACGGGCCATATCAACCAGAAAGTTGTACGAACGCCACCAATATTTATGATCCTCCGAAGGGTAGAGAATCTCAATCTCAATAGGCTAAGGTCCATCCCTCTGCCCTCCACTGGGACACTCGTAGAAGGACCCTCCACCTATCGAGTCACACCTCAGCCATGTATGAGATCTGTCCAGCTCCGAGTCCCTGTCACGGATAAAAGGGCAAGGGGCGGAGGTCCCTAGGAGTGTCGGGTTGTTCCCAACTCGAAACCTGCCTCACCCTTGATAATGCTAGAGTATGGCGTCTTCACTTGTCACTGCACTGTGTATGTCGAACTTCCGGGTGAAGAGTCGAATCTTGTTCACTCATCCGGGGTGGTAACTCCTATGGAAGATGACCGGGTGAAAAGTTGTTGATGATAAGCTTGATGACGATGAAGACCATTTCGTACTCGACTATATATTCTATACGCCCACCAGAGATCAGATTTTAAGCTAAAGCTTAATTATGAAGCAAAGATGGTTTCAATCCATTGAAATATTGTAACTTTGTAACGCAATTGAAGGCTTGAGGCAAGCTTTGAGGCCTGCCGAAGTAGGTTCTCCGGATGATCGACGGATCAAGAACATCACGTGGAGATGACGGATCAAGAATATCACGTGGAGCAGATGGCTTCGGAGACATGACACCATAACACACTACCAGGAATACCTTTGCCTTAGCCTTGCTTGAGTTGGTCAAGTCAGCTCTCGATGCGCAAATTCAACAGCCCCTTACCTCAGCCCCTGCCAAAGGAATGTACCAAAGCTGCAAAGATTTGTGAGTCTTTACTTAAAAGCCCAACCTCCGGCAAAGCTGACCTCTCGACAGTCCGCTCTTTCGTGGATAGCAGAAACAATGGACTCGATGGAGTCATCCCCCGCAACATCCTGGCTGAGGCGAAAGGCTTTGCCATTTTCACTATCTTCAAGGCGGGATTCATCTTTTCTGCAAGAGCAGGCAGCGGAGTCGTCATTGCGAAACGTGATGACGGATGTATGTCCTTCACACCGTAGTAGCAGGCCCAGACAACTGACTCAATCCCCGCTAGCCTGGTCAGCACCCAGTGCCATTGGAACTGGAGGGTTGGGAGTGGGAACACAGGCCGGTGCTGAAGTGACAGACTTCTTGGTCGTTTTGAACTCTCGATCCGTTCGTCGTCGTTCCTCTGATTGGCCAACTATGTTGCTAACTGATGCACAACACAGGCAGTCGTAAGTCACTTATGGTTCCATTGGACCTGGAGTGTTCTTACATTTGTATTAGAGCTCATTCATGTCGGCAGGATCGTTAACGTTTGGGGGAAATATGAGCATCGCCCTGGGTCCCCTGGGCCGCAATGGGGAAGCCTCCGGTGCTGTTAATACGAAGGGGAAAATGGCTGCAATGTGGGCACATCACCGAGTACCCTTGTGTGTGATAGCTTACTGACGTCTTGTTGGCGATCTACAGGTACAGCTATTCTAAAACCCGTGGATTATTCGGTGGTGTCTCTTTGGAAGGATCGGTCATCGTCGAGCGCCAAGATGCCAACGCACTCGCTTACAACTCTCCTGTTACCGCCAGGATGCTTCTTGGCGGAATGATCGACCCACCACCCTGGGCTACCCCACTGATACAGGCCCTTGATGCCTGCACCAGGTTTCCAGGATCTCGCGATTGGATCGAGGAGCACAATCGCCACACAGACCAACCCTACGTCTTTGGAACGAATGCGGGATTAACTCCTACCTTGTCGAGGGCACCATCTTCCTCTTCTTCGTTCTTCAGTAAGAGAAAGAAGGCCGAATTCCCACCTACGCATTGGATAGCACCACCCGAGGAAGAACAGTCATCTTCGAACAGCGGGATGACTGATCCCAGTTCAGCACGAGCGAGCTTTAAGCAGCAATTCGAGTCCGATTTTGACCCATTTCCTTCAACGTCACGAGGCAGCCGGGTTTCACGGCCTCCTTCATCGACGAACCCGTTTGCATCGCCGTCGAGCAGCAGCTCTCATATCCGTTCCAATTCTCTGTACATGCCAGCCACGACCTCAAACCAACAGGATTCATGGGACACACAGGATGACGTATTTTCTATGAATCGCTCGAAATCTTTTGCACATCGCCCCCTTCGGAGTAAGCCAGAGCTCAGCAGACCATTAACGCCAAACGAGGGTGTAGCCCGCGCTATAGCTTTGTTTGACTTCGATGCTGTCGAGGCAGGTACTTGTTGTTTCACTCGCCATTGCAGAGCGCTAATCGCCCTTCCGCTCACAGTCGGGGGACCTTTCGTTCTCGAAAGGAGACGTCATTACAGTAACCAAGATGACCGATATGGTTGATGACTGGTATTATTCTGTTATCCTCCCTGTAGTCATGAGACTGAATCAAGCTATTAGGTGGACTGGGAAGCTCAACGGCCGTCAGGGAATATTCCCTGCAAATTTCGTGGAATTGGCATGATCAACTAAAGGTGTCTAGAGTTGTTAACTTGAGCCGTAATTTACTAAATATGCATTAATCCACACATCGGACGTCGCCACTACAAATCATAATATGCTTGCATTGCCTCTTCACTGTCCATCTCATCATCAAAGTCGTCGAATTCGTCGCGCAGGGACGCTGGTGATCCCGCTTTGGTCCGGTACCAATGGAGAACCAGTGGATGTGCTTCCACTCTGAACAACATGGTCAGACCATTGCCAACGTTAAGGAAGCCAGATCACGTACTTGGAAGCCTCGAAGTTCAAGACTTGCAAGTGGTCCATAGAAGTGGCTCGTGAGAGGGCGACGTAGGCTAGAAAGATGGTCAGCTTGACTGCTGGCATCGGGAATAGCCATTAGTAGCCACCTTGGCCTTTCTCGAAGGTCTGCTTGAGGTCAACCTTGACTCGCTCAAGGGTCTGTCCCTGGGATTTGTGCACGCTGAGGGCCCAGGAAAGAATCAAAGGTATCTGAATCCGCTTGGCCTCGACCTCTCCTTCCGCATTGTTGACTGTAAAGTCCGCCGGAATGACCATCCGCTCGATGCCACCAACGAAACGGACGAGTGGCCACAGCATCAACCGTCGAGTAGCAGGAAGAGGGGCATTTGCAGACTCGGACACGATAACGATGTCGTCCTCTTCGTCCTCACCCGACTCGAAATCGTCGACATTAATGGGAGATTCCCGAGTCCCAGCTTTGGTTTTCTCGTTGTCAGAGGGGCGTTCTGCTTCGGCGATCGTGACATGTTCTTTGGCCGCCTCGTCAACGCTCATGAATTTGATCACGGTGCCCACAGAGCCGTTGACAAGTCGCCCTTGTTGAATATTCTGGACGAAGAGCCGGTTCAGCCAATGCAACGGACGAAAATCCCCTTCCTACCTTGACAAGCATCACTTGCGCTCCAACCTACATCAGTGAAAGTTCAGCGGATGGGAAGGTTTTTATTGCTCAAAAACGTACCTTCAGGGTGATGGACTTCGGCGCCAGAAGACGATCCAAAAGTTGCTCCATCTTGGCAGGGGAAGTAATCCTGCCATCCGCGTCTCTTCCGGGTATGTCTTGCGCGGCATACGTTCTGGCTTCACCCTGAAGCTGATTGAGTCTGGACTTATTGGCCTGGTCAACCTCACGCCGCGTAGAGTATCTGCGGAGTACAATCAGAGCCCAGTCAGTCATGTTCAACCTGGCAGGACATACAACTCGGTGGGCTCAATTCCATCCTTGTAAGTGACCTTTCGAGAAAGAGATCGGAAGGCTTGAATGGTGGCAGGTTTCATATTGCCCAATCGCATTTCGTTCAGCATATCCACAAAGGCTTAAAGGAGATTAATTGGTCGCCAAAAGGAAAGCTGTGACGTTCCAAACCTTGATCTTTCTGTCGAAAGACGCGTGTCAAGTGCATCATGGTCGGCACACAGGTGTCCCAGCAGTCTGCTTCAAAGGCAAATTTTGCGGGAGGTCCGTTTCTCCCACTTACGGGAGGGAGCTGGCAGAAATCACCGCATAGAACCAACTTCATTCCATTTGAATAACGGCGCTTTCTCTGTGAAGGTGGATCTCACCTGAATGCCTCCAAAGGGCAGGTCGTTGCGGCGAGTTCGTCTGGCAACCTCTTCCTGAAACAGTGTCGGTGCAGATGGGAGAAGACAATGCGAGAGGGAGTTACCAAGGTATCAAACAAGGAGCCGTCCAACATGGAAACTTTCGCAGAATTTGTTAGCCAGGGGACAACGAAGATGAGAAGTTGGTGCTCTTACTTTCATCAATAATCAACGTTCTCACTCGTTGCCAGCGTTCAAGTACAGGTCTAAATTTAGGCTGACCCCAGAATTTCCCAACCAGTTTGGCGGCAGATTCGTTGCCAATTCCAATACCCGCCCATGAGTGCAAAGTCGTCCCACCAATGTTGACCGAGGCTATACCGGTAGAGGCAGTAATTGCAACTTCCGGAGAATGAGAACCGCCGCAAAAAGAGATGATCTCCCTCAGCAACACCGATTTGCCCGTTCCTAAACCGGCTCAGCAACCTGAGATCAGCAGTTTGTGGCGAAACATTACCAGCGGATCCGGTGAAGAAGACGTTTTGGCCTGCTTTGACGCGGTCGAGCACTTGTGTTTGCTCTGGAGAAAGGACGATGGCAGCGCTTGGTTGGAGCTGAGGTTTGGCCTCAGGCAGCAGTTTTTGACTCGGTGATTTTTCCTTCGTCCGGTAGGCGCTTCCATGTGGCTGGAAGAATTCCTTCTTGAGTTCTTTACTTGAATGATCTGAAGAAAATCGGCACAATGCGTCACAGAAGTTAATCGCCAAACTACCCACCACCAAGCCAATTTTCCGCCTCCTTCCTGGTCTTAAAGCTTTTGTGCACAGCACCGGGGTATCTCGACACCTAGATAGGGTCGATGACCACGTTCTCACATCGTTTTCATAGGCACTCACTTTGTCCTTGCACTGAAGTTCAGACCATTAGCACAGTTGAAGAGGTGGGGCTCGTCCGACACGTACATCGTTCCAATTGTCATAGATTTGGGGACCGTCACGTCCAATTTGAACCGCGTACCACTTCTGGGCCTTTGCTTTGGGCATTCGAAAGCACTTACACTGCGCCCAAGTCGGTGGCAACTGTTCAACTAGAGAACCCGTGTTGATGGCGGTGAACTCATTTAAGCGCGTAACGATCACATGAAGCGTGTCACGGTGCCTTGGGAAAGTTGGCTGTCGTTATATAGGGGCCGCGGCGTTCGACATAGCCGCCTTTGGACTTTGACGTGTGGTACTGGCGTTCCATCTATACGTCGAAAATGCCTTCGGTTCGCATAAATCCCAGGGACGGCACGCACTTGAGCTACAGACAAGTCCAGGCCAAATGGCTGAAGGAACTGAGAGAAGCTCGGAAAGCTAGCAGGCTTCAGCAGGCAGCGCAAAACGACGCGACGGTTACTGACGCCAACAATTCGCCTTCGGGTGAGTACTGTCGTGGGGGCAACGATGTACTGCTATCTTACCTTTCGCAGAACAATCTACACTTCAGACAAACACGCCTCTGAGCACTGCGTTGGCTTCTCCGCAGCAGGCCTCTGCCGGCCCCAGTTCTACTGCAGTCGCCCATGTCGACGATCATCGAATGGGAAGTCCATCGCCGGATGACCACCAAGAGGGGATTTCTCCCGCTGTGCTTTCTTCAAACATACCTGCAGCGGTATCAACTCCATCCGGAGCTATTCAACTGTCCAAAGACCAGCGACGAATCCTTGATGAAGTAAAGAAGGGCAGAAACGTGTTCTTTACAGGACCAGCTGGTCCGTTTGGCCTGACTTGAACCCAGATCATCGCACTCATTTTGATCTGCCTCCCTACAGGAACAGGCAAGTCTGTGCTCCTAAGAGAGATAATTGCATGGGCAAGGAGTCACTACGGTGAAAAACAAGTCGCAGTAACCGCATCGACAGGAATTGCGGGGCTCAGCATCGGTGGCTCGACGGTTCACTCGTTTGCAGGCATTGGATTAGGCAAGGAATCTGCCGACAAAATCGCTTCAAAGATTTTGGACTCTCCAGGCAATGTCAAGAAACGGTGGAGGCAAACCAGAGTCATGGTCATCGATGAGAGTACGCGGTCATGTTATCCGAGATGACGCGCAGAATGCTGACGACCTTGCAGTCTCCATGCTCGATGGATCACTTTTTGACAAACTGGTGAGCAGATCGCACGGACATTGATAGCCCTAGGCTCACCCTGTAGTAGGATGAAATAGCTCGCATCGTTCGAGCTACAGATCGACCTTTCGGTGGCATTCAAGTCAGAGTTTTCCTTTCTGTGGCGTCGCGGGCTATCACTAATTCAATCCAACAGCTCGTCCTGACTGGCGACTTCTTCCAACTTCCGCCGGTCCCGGACAAAAGTCACAATTACGAAGGAAAGGCTACGTTCGCATTCGGGGCAAAACAGTGGCCCAGGTGCATCGGTCAGCCCATGTTCCTGCGCCAGGTCTTCCGTCAAACAGATAATAGTGAGAGAGCTTCCCCATCCAATGGTTTCTTCATCCGCTCAAATTGCGACCAGCTTTCATCGACTTACTCTCATCAATACGCCTCGGCAAGCTAGAGAACAGACACATTGAAATTTTGAATAGTCTGCAGCGGCCTATTCACTACACCGATGGTATCGGCCCTACTCATTTGTATGTGGATGAACCTTTTCGAACCCGAGGCTCTTACCGATGCGTTAGCAGGTACCCGAGAAAGGTCGAAGTAGAAGGGTTTAATAATAGGAAATTAACGGAGCTTCCAGGGCCCGAGTTCCAATACGAGTCGACAGATAGCGGAGGATACGATCCATTTGGAAATGTTGTCCCCGGTGATAGTGTACGCACTCTCCTGGAGAGGATGATCGCCCTCAGCAGCGTCACTCTCAAGGTACGCGACACCGGTTCAATGATACACGGGCGATAGTCTAACCTGCATGCATATACATAGATAGGTGCGCAGGTCATGTTAATCCAGGTAACAGCGCTCCGACTTCTACAACCCTTTCCCACTGATGAGATTTCGCAGAACGTCATCCAAGGAAAGTTGGTCAATGGAAGCACGGGCAAAGTAGTTGAATTTCTCACCATTCACGAAGCTTTGCAACGCGACATTGCCATTGCCGAACTCAACGAGAAGCCTCGCAGGCGACATCCTGGGAAAGATGCAAAGAAGAAGGAAGACCGATCCAAGGATGAGATTCTGGAAGACCTCACCCGACAAATCCAAGGGACAGCGCACGACTATGAGTTGCGCAGAATCAACAACAACGTCTTCAGTACGAGCCAGTATTGGCCCCTCGTCCGCTTTACGAACGGCATGGAGCTGCTTTGTGCGCCGCTGGCATTCACGGCACAAGGATTCATCGGAAACATCGAAGCACACAGGCTTCAAGTGCCTTTGATTCTGTCATGGGCTTTGTCTATTCACAAATCTCAGGGACAGACTTTAGACCGGGTGAAAGTTGACCTTGCCAGCGTGTTTGAGAACGGGCAAGGTGAGTCTTCTTACTTAGATCCCAGACATGATATGCTGAACTCCCCGACAGCATACGTCGCTCTGTCCAGAGCAAGGACGATGGAAGGCTTGGAGGTGGTGAACTTTGACCCTTCCAAGTAAGTGAACTCGCTTCGGGACGCCGACCACTCGCATGACGAACCCCGTTTTTAGGATCAGGGCTGACCCAAGGGTTGCAGCATGGCAGGAATTCTACACCTCGTTAGGATGTGATGACGATGATTTCATGGACAGCGAGGAGGCCATGCGTAGCTACTGGGACACCGATTGACATCGATCGCGCATATTTTGACTAATTTACTGATATTTATTCACGAATAGCGTACGCAACATATTTTTCGCAACATTCTAATCATTCTAATGCATCTATGGACCTTGAACTTGATCGACAGAACCTTATGCGATGGGATGACCCGGTTGCTCGGCCATCACAGTGAACACGTGATCCGTTGATGAGAGACGCGTGGAAATGTCAGTTCGCGTTTCCCAGGTCGTGTTGCTTCGAAAGTCCACTCGAAAATCAACTAGAAAGATTCGGTGATAAAACTTTATTGACTCAGGTCGAAGCGCAGCCGATTCCGAAAAGCCCTTATATTCGTTCAATTTAGAGCTTATCGCTCCCTATTCCCTTCGCCATGAGCGCTGTGTGGTTTCCTCAACAACCACTCTCCTCTGTGTTGTCGTTGCCGGGCGCTCTCGGGCTCCCAAACGCCTGCAAAACCGGGCACACAAGGTAAAGTCAGCATCGCTTGCAGCAAGGCAGAGACTGACAACGCGCGTTGTTCAGCATTTGGGGCAACTCGCTACTTATTCCGGTTGGCGCTGCCCTGGTGTCCTTGACCATCCTCGTACTGCACGTTATCATCGCATCGGGCCGGATACAACGGAGCTGGGTACGCCTCAGGAGGGCCGACCCGACGGAAAGCACGCCAGATGACGGTTCCACCGTCAGCCCAGGTGAAGAAGCAAACATCGTCAGTGACTTTTCTGAACATGTCAAATTACATGGTGGTGCTACCATTTTCGCCTTCCGAGTCCTTCGCCTCCTTGCCTGTATTGCACTGCTTGGTCTGTTCGTTTACAGCTCAATTTTGGACGAACAAAGCTCGCTCTATGTCATATTCGGCGACAAGAAGAAGAAAGGTGGTCGAAAGCACAGAGACAAAACCCCACCTAAGCTCACTGAGCAAGAGTGGATAGACATGATGTTGTCCATGACCAGTGTAAGCTACAAAACCTACGACCGTCTCCTCTTCTAACCAATGACATGTAGTTCTATTTGGTGTCTCTTGCCACCGTTGTACTTGCTGCGACTCCACGATGGTCGCGGATCGCAAACCATCATCTAACCCTGGTCCTATTCGCATTTCTCGCAGTCTACGTCTCTCGAGATGTTTATCCCTTGATCACATTTAATGAAATTCCAATGGATCAAGCGGAGGGTTGGGTCTTGTGGGCGAAAGTCGGTTCACTATTCTTAAGCGCTTGCATAGTCCCACTCTTCATTCCTCGTCAATATACCCCGATCTACCCCGAGGTGCGGCCAGTAGGTTATCGAAATGCCGCTGATATGCTCACATTGACTTACAGGAGCCGACTACAGCCAATCCCGAACAAACCACATCCCTTTTCTCCTTAGCCACATATTCTTTCCTTGACCCGGTCATTGTTGTCGCTAATAAACTTCCGACCCTCCCGTCCGACCTACTACCGCCCCTCGCCGACTATGATAGCGCAAAGCATCTCAAATCTCGGAGTTTCCCAGTAAGACATACTTCAGGGCTCTTTCAGGCTTCCGCACTGATTATATTCGTAGCATGTCGATGCATTTTCAAGGGCTCACAAGCGCCATATCTTCTTTGGCTTAATGCGCGTGTTTCGTACAGAGTACATGATCCTTGGCTTCATGATGTTGGTCCAGGTCCTCGCTGGCTTCGCTTCTCCGCTAGGCGTGAAGTATCTTCTTCGGTGAGTCTTTTTATCGTGATTGGCCAGGGCGCCGCTGATTTGTCGTTCAGTTACATCGAAACGAATGGCGCTGGAGCCACCATAAAACCCTGGTTCTGGATTCTGTGGCTCTTTCTAGGCCCTTTCATCGCCTCCCTCGCCTTCCAATGGTATATCTTTATAGCGGCGAGTACATTGCAGCAATGCTCATTTCCCTATCTGACTTAACTTCAACAGACCAGAACCTTAGTGCGCACTGAAGGGATCCTCACCCAATTAATTTTCGAACATGCGCTTCGCATACGAGTGAAAGCGGAGGCGCCGGAAGATCTTGCCACGAAGACACCGGGCCCAGTGACGCCAGACTCGGCATCAGCCCCCGGAACTCCTATCGAACCTAGCGAACTTGGAACGGATCACTCTCACCTTGCAACTGATAGCACTCTTGTTGCCAGCTCTTCGGAAGGGACGTTCAAACCCACTGGTTCCGATAGTGGCACCGATGCTGCTTTAGATGCTGCTTCAATGAAACCAGCATCCCAACACGATGATGGGTCCAGCAACGCCCAAAATCTTGTTGGAAAAATCAACAACTTGGTCACAACTGATTTGAACAACATTGTCGACGCCAGGGACTTCCTCTATATTGTGATTTGGATCCCCCTCCAAATTACACTCTGCATCGTCTTCCTCTACAATGTTTTGGGATGGAGGTAAGTGGTCGTCAGGTTCTGTCGGAGGAGTTTTCTTTAAGAGAATTTGCGTGGCATAGTTCTTTTGTCGGCCTGGCCGCTATGCTCTTGCTGTTCCCTGTTCCGAGTTACGTTGCCAAACTGATGCAAGACGTCCAAACTGCTCGCCTTAAGAAGACTGACGCCCGTGTCGAGATTGTGTCGGAAGGTGCGCTCCTATCTTACTTGTCCTTGTTGTGCTACTTAACATACTCCCGCTAGCTATGAATGTCGTGCGCATGATCAAGCTTTTTGGCTGGGAGAAGAAAATGAATGACCGGATCGCAGAAAAAAGGGAGGTCGAACTCTATTATCTATGGAAGCGAAACATGTTGGAATTGGTAAACGGATCGTTGAAGTGAGTTGGGATTAACGATGTCGTCTTCGAAACGCAGGAGCTTACTACCCCCCTTTAGCTACCTGATCCCTGTGTGCACCATGATCTCCACATATGCAGTTTTGTAAGATGATATTCTTTCGGTTTTCCGGTCTTAATACTGATTCCGTTCTCCAGTGTCAGTGCATCCCGTTGGACCCAATCCTGGTTACTGACACCTTTCCAAAGACCACTGTGATGAAGCGGGAGCTCACCGCCTCCATCGTCTTCAGCTCGATGACTGTCTTCGACATGCTACGAGAACAACTGAACATCACCTTTTGGTCACTCACGAAGATCATTGCTGGAAGGGTATCCTTGGACCGAGTCAACGACTTCTTGAACAATGTTAGTTGGTTCCCTCCTTCAAGAATTGTTGATTGACAGTGCCCTCCTGCAGACCGAGCTGCTTGATCAATTCGCCGATAGCAAGGAACCTTCGATCGTTCCCCCTAGTCTCGTCACTGAGTCCCAGGAAATTGGTTTCCATGATGCCTCATTCGCATGGTCGCGGGATACCACTGGTTCCTTGACACCCTCGAAGCGCCAATTCAGGCTCAAGATTGAAAATGACCTCTTCTTTCCCCGTGGTCAGCTATCCATCATCATCGGTCCAACAGGTTCAGGAAAGACATCACTTTTGATGGCCTTGTTAGGTTCGACTTTGATTTATTTATTCAACAGCTGCAACACTTCTCTAACTTCTTACGACGTAGGCGAGATGCACTTCGTCCCAATGGCCCCAGATTCCTGGTTCAGCCTGCCCAGATCTGGGGGTATTGCGTACGCTGCCCAAGAATCCTGGGTTCAAAATGAAACTATCCGGGTAAGAGGCAAAATTCAAATGTCTTCGGCGCTCGTTCTTTGACTAGTGCTCCTGAAGGAAAACATTCTTTTCGGGGCACCCTACGACGAGGAGAGGTATAACAAGGTCATTTACCAATGTAGCCTGGCTCGCGACCTGAGCCTATTCGAGGCAGGAGACCAAACAGAGGTCGGCGAAAAGGGCCTTACGCTCAGTGGTGGCCAAAAGGCGAGAATTACTCTCGCTCGTGCAATCTACTCGCGGGCAGAGATCCTACTGCTCGATGACGTCCTTGCTGCCCTTGAGTATGTCTTCACGTGTTACATTTGTTGTCCATCAAGGATGATGACCTAACCTTTCCGCTAGTGTACACACTTCGAAATGGATCGTGGAGAAATGTTTCGCTGGAGACTTGGTGAAAGGAAGGACTATGATACTGGTGGTACGTGGAACCTTTATTGGGTTACAGACAAACAAACAACCTCATGATCTTGAAAGACGCACAACGTCGCCCTTGCCAGTTCTGTTGCCGAATTCGCCGTCTCACTTGGTGGAGATGGGAAAGTGTTAGCGCAGGGTCCAATTTCTGAAGTCGTTAAACATGACAAGCGACTGATTAAACAAGTCAACGAGGAAGAACGGATTCTCCATAAATCGGAAGAGGAAATCGACCCCAAGGGCAAAGCACCACCAGATTCTGCAGACGGGAAGTTGATTGTTGAAGAAGAAGTTGAGGAAGGCCATGTCAGCTGGAGCGCTGGTAAGCATTGGGTCATTCTTCTCCAGGGACCGCTGCAAGCCGTCTTGACATCGCATTTCTTTAGTCAAGATGTTTTTCTCCGCAATGGGAGGTGTGAAGCGCCCGCAGATGTTCTTCATACTCTACATGACTGGGATCGTGCTCTGCGAAGTTGTATCGGTCGCTCAGACATGGTGGTTAGGCTACTGGGCCTCCCAATACAGTATCCACCCCCCTTCAGAAGTCCCTGTGTCGTGGTACGCTGGTCACTGAACTTGTTTCCCTTTATTTTGTTTGATTAACTAAATTCTTCTAGGTACCTGGGATTCTACGGTTGGTTTAAACTCAAGTCGTATCTGCACCGGAATGCGCTAACTATGGTGCTTAGGTGCCTTGCTACTAGTTGGTTCCATTGCATACGCGTCCTCCTACGCTTACTACATCATCGGTTCAATCAGAGCATCTCGGACTCTTCACAAGCAACTCCTCGAGGCCGTTCTTGGGACCACTCTCAGGTAAAGACAGTGGCCGACGCAGAATGTGCCATACTCACAATATTCCAGATGGCTCGATACGACACCCATATCCCGAGTGATCACGCGGTGCACCCAAGACATTCGCACAGGTATGTCGCGCCTGTCTACGCGTCGGATATCGAAACTAACGATGCACTAGTTGACGGGCCCCTAGCTGATCAGCTTTGGTATTTGAGCGAGATGACCTACTCTATGCTAATCAAATTCGGCGCCGTCCTTCTGTTTACCCCTGTGTTCCTGCTACCCGGCATCATTGTGGCTACCCTCGGCGGATGGTGTGGTCAAATCTATATCAAAGCCCAACTGTCGGTGAAGCGGGAGATGTCGAATGCGAAGGCGCCAGTCCTTGGACAGTATGTACACAGCAACACCGAACTCTCATCGGCAACTGACAACATGCCCACAGTTTCGGCGCTGCTATTGCTGGTTTAAGTATGTACCACTCAACCTTCCTGTCGTAATGCTCCCTGTTCCTAATTCACTCCCAGCATCCCTCCGTGCATACGGAGCCCAGCAAGCCTTCATCGAGGAATCGTTGAAAAGGATCAATCGTTATACCAGGGCAGCGCGGGTTTTCTACAATCTCAACCGATGGATTTGCATCCGTGTCGATGTCTTGGGAGGGTTGTTTGCCTCCAGCCTGGCCGCGTATCTAATCTATTTCCGGGATCACAGTGCCTCCAACATTGGATTTTCCTTGAACATGGCTGGTAAGCCAATTGGTCACGATCAGAGTCCACCTATCTATCTCACATTCCCTTTCGCATAGTCGGGTTCAGTACCATGATTCTGTGGTGGATCAGAATAGTGAACGAGTTCGAAGTTCAGGGAAACAGGTATGGCGCTTCCTTGGGCAAGTAAAGTCTCATTTACATATTCGCTGTCAGTCTGGAGCGAATTGGCCAGTACACATCGATTGAACAAGAGCCAAAACCCACCCTTGACGGCATTCCTCCAGCGTACTGGCCTGCAGAAGGCAGTTTGCATGTCGAGAACCTGTCCGCGCGGTACTCGCCTGACGGACCGAAGGTGTTGCGCGATCTATCTTTTGACATCCGATCTGGTGAAAGGGTTGGAGTTGTCGGACGAACAGGATCGGGGAAGAGCTCCCTTACCCTCGCCCTTCTGCGGTGCATCTTTACAGAGGGCAAAGTCGTCTATGCCGGCAAAGACACGAATTCCCTCAACCTGGATGCGTTGCGCTCAAACATTACCATCATTCCTCAGATTGTACGTCCGTTTGACCGCGACTGCTGATCATCCACTGACTTGAACACTAGCCCGAATTGCTCAGCGGAAGCTTACGGCAAAATCTGGACCCATTTGACCAATACGACGACGCCTTGCTCAACGACGCGTTACGATCAGCCGGTCTTTTCTCATTGCAAGAAGGGGTGGAAGAGGGCAAACTTACACTTGACTCTGCCATTTCGAGCGGAGGCGGTAACCTCTCGGTCGGCCAGCGGCAGATCATTGCCCTTGCACGTGCGATTATCCGGGGAAGCAAGCTGTTGATTCTTGATGAAGGCAAGTCGCTGTGGCCAAGATGGATTGTGCTGAGACTGACCCATTTTTCTTCCTTATAGCAACTTCGGCCATTGGTATAGGGTTTCTTTGCCGTGATTTCTTACACGCCCTCATGTTAACGCATTTCAGATCACAAAACTGATGCTGTCATTCAATCCTCGCTGAGAAATGGCCTTGGTAGGGATGTAACGGTCCTAACTGTGGCACACAGGCTACAGACGATCATTGACGCCGACAGGATTGTAAGTTCCGCTCTCTTCCAATAGTGGCACTACTGAACCTGAGGAATCGTGCAGATGGTCCTTGATGCAGGACAAATTGTAAGTACACCTTGGTCAACCTTTCCCTCGTATTCTTTGACGATGCCGCCCAGGTCGAATTTGATAAACCTTCAGAGTTGCTGAAGAACCCCAGCAGCAAGTTACGCGCTTTGGTTGAAGAATCTGGGGACCGGGAGACGTTGATGTCTTTGGCGGGATATGAGGGGTGATTTATTCAGTAATTAGCTATATATACTAATGGACAGCGAAATTGCAAAGCTTTAGAGATATACCAAGCGACATACAGAAAAGACAGGGGCCACAGACTGAGAAAGCACGGTATCGAGAGCAACAAGAACATAGCACTGATATGGTTCGAACAGAAGTCAACCCGTGTTTTAAGGACGACGATAAGGAGGTTCAATCTCGCGGCCAGATCGAGGTGGAGGCCCGTAATCGCGGCGAGGAGGTCCTGGAGGGTTGCCAGAGTATCCATTGGCGGCATAAGCATCATATGGAACAGGAGACCTAGCAGGACCGGGGCTGAGAGAACGACGTCTGTGGACCAGATGAGGCGGGTGTTCGCTAGGAGAGGGCCAGAGCGACAAACCTGTATCGACCAGGGGGAGGTTCTACACTAGCACGAGGATAGTCACCAGGAGGATAACGGGGTGGGCTAGGAGGACGTCCACGGTAATCGGGGTAATCCCTAGAAGATGTATCAGCCAGATTTTCAAGGTATCCGACAGAGTTCTGCGCATACCTAGCAGGAGGGGGGCGATCGTAGTCCCTTCCAGGCGGAGTGCGGGGGCGGCCACCAGGGAGCGGAGCAGGGTACGCAGGAGGATATCTTTCTGCAGGACGTCTGTCATACCTGTCATACGGCGCAGGTGGCGCAGGTCCAGGATAGCCGCGGTAAGGATCAGGTGGAGGGTATCGGCCTCTAGAGTAATCAGGAGGTGCCACGGGAGGGTACCTGTCGCGATCATGCATGGGCGGAGGGGGAATTGGAGGACCACGGCGATAGTCGTCATATTCCCGACCTCTAGGGGGCACAGGTGGATAGTCCCTATATTCCCGGGGGGACGGAGGTCGCCTATAGTCACGGACGGGTGGGGGCGGAGCATAATCGTAGCGGGGATCCCGAGGAGGATACCTTGGAGCGTAGTCATCACGAGGAGGGGGAGGAGCACCACGAGGGTAGTCGCGCGCGATTCTGTCGATCAAGGGCCCATCCGCAGGAGGACGACGAGGAGGAGCGCTATGGTAAACAAGTTTGCCCACGAAAAAATAAGACCAAATGAAATATACTCACGCTGCCGACTGCGTTGGGCATTCCCTGGAGTCAGACATGAATAAGCAAGCAGATTGCAGCAGCAGAATGGATCGTACCTCGCCCAATGGCCAAGTTGACCACATCGGAAGCAAGCCCCGGGTTCACCTGCGTATTTAGCGGTACGTCCACCGCCGTGAGAGAGTTCAACGCGAATCTTTTGGCCCATGAAATAGCCTTCATGATATTTCTCGACACTTTCCTCGGCTGCCTCCCGGTTTTCGAATTCCTGCCAAGGTTGTGAGTATCAACTAATGGTGAGTGCACAAACAATACATACCACGAAGCCATAGCCAACTCTGGGAAGAAAAAGCGGTGAGCTACTTGAAGAGGAGTATGTAGGACAAGTAGCACCCACTTTAGTTCAATGTTGACGATCTTGCCAATTTTGCCAAAACAGTTCTGAAGATCTTCCTGCCTTGTGTGCTCAGGGAGTCCACCGATATAGACCTTGTTCGGCTGCGCAGCAAGAAGTAAACACCGAGTCCAGGTAAGACGTAGAAACGAGAACGAGGAAGAAGCAGAGCGGCGGCACAAGGACGAGTAAAGCCCTCCTTAGTGAAGAGAACCACGCATTGTCAAGAGAGCAAAGACCGAAACGGCTCAATACGAGTGGCCAAGCTCCCCAGGGGACACAGTGGCAGTAAGCAAGATAGACAAGTGGAATCGTAAGCACCTTGACTTGTTTTTCGCCGCGGTAGGTGTCGCCCTTGGTGTTTCCAGAAACGCTCATGTCGCCTACACTGGATCCACGAGGATATTCCGGGTTTTCAGGATCCTGACCAAGGTGGTCGTCGACAGGGATAGACGCTCCTCCGTTTGTCGATTGGCCGTTCCCGACTGGACCTATTGACTGGTCATCTTGAGGACCCCAGCTGTTGTTCTGCAGATTTTGATCTTCCGGAGACGCAGCGACGCCGGCCATTGTTCAGGTTCGAAGCAAAGAGTGTGACAACAAGTTCAACTTCGCGCAACAGCAGCTTCCAAAGTTCACACAGCAAAACTTCAAGCTCCGCGTGATTTTTAATCAAATGTTGAATCTCCGATAGGAGAAGGCCCAAGGGTCCGTGCATTGTCAGTACCAAAAATAATAACTACACAACCTACAAGAAGCAAAAGTCCAGGGTGGGTAAAAGAGCGACTAGTTGAACTGTGCAGCACAAAGTTAAAGGAATATAAGGTATCATATCAGTGTCCGTAAATCGTAAATAGAGTTCAAGGCAAGAAGAGGTTTTTACACCAAGGCCCAAATACCGCTCAATACGCCAACGACAGCCATCGAACTTACGCCAACGAGGGCGGAGACGTCGAGGGAGGCGGCACTACCAGCATCACCATCGTTGTTGTTACCACTTCCTCTAGTAGGTGTGCCGGAAGCAGGGCCACTGTCGGTGGCGGGAGCGGAGGGAGCAAAGGTGGCATCGGGGTTGGCAATGCAAGAGCTAGCGAGTGCCTCGGCGCTCTCGGTGGACGAAGCGGCGGCGTTCACGGTTCCGTTGCCGCTGAAGCTGCAGGCACGAGCGTCCCGGCCTTCACCTTCATAGAACTGGCTCATGACGTACGAGAGTTTGACGACTGTATGGGCTGTAAGCAATCAGGTCAAGGGTCAAATAACACGAGACTCACCAGGGTCGCATCCGGAGAGACGTCCGTAAATGCCGGTGGCGCCACTTCCGCCGATCTCGTCACAGGATCCGCCGCTCTCGCCGAGAAGGGAGCAGCCGATGTTGAGGAGTTCACCATTGATATCGCTGTAGTCAGCAATAGGAGGGGTGAACTGGCAGCTAAGGGCACTCTGCAAGCAATTGCAAGCGCTCTCATTGGGAGTGGCGGGTAGAGTGTTGGAAGCGTCGAAGCCAGCGACGGATGCAGCGCAGGCAGGGTAAGTGGAGGCGGGAACGGAATTTCTGGAAGGGGAGTTGGGACCAGTGACGGCGGAGTAGTGGTCGGCAAGGTTCTGGAATTCCTCGCTAACGGTAACTGTCGACCCGTCATCGGAGACGGTAACCAATCCAAACTGGCCTGCGGCACTTTGGGCAGGGAAGTAGCTGAAGGCGATGCCTCCTGACCACACATCGGACATATCAGAGCTGAAGAGGGCGTCTACCTCGGTCCAGAGACGAGGAGGCCTGTCGATGCATCCGTATTCACTAAAGTAGGCGACCACGTTGTAATCGGCGAACTGGGAAGTAACCGAGGCATAGCCAGAACTCGTGAGCGAGGAGTCTCCGCACCAAGTGCTACAAAAATCCATGAGCTGCTATTTTCCAGGACAGGCAGCTTATTACTTACTATTCGTTGAGGCCGTAAAGATCGATGGCGGTCTCTTCAGAGCCACAGGAGAGGTAGTCGGCCAAAGCTTTGCGGAAACCAGAGGGACCGTTGATGGCAGCATAGCCAACGAGGGCTTCCGAACCGATGGATTTACTGTGAATGAATTAGCCCGGTTCCTCGAGGTAAAACAGAGGCAACGTACAGATAGGCCTTGGTGTCGCGCGCGGCAGCCTTGACGTATGGGGCAACTTCTGTGCTGTCAGTCAAGACGACTTCATTGCCGACGTTATAAGCAATGACATTGTCGTATTTCTCGAAGGCGTCGATGGTTCGAATGTACAGATTGAGGAGATTGGTCGACCATGAAGGAGCGAGTCGGTCGATGGAGCCATTAAGGGGAATGGACAAGTCGATACTAGTGGACAAAGCAATCGGGAATGTTGAGCTGGTTTTGTTAAAGGAAAAAGAGATAAAGTAGACCTACATGGTGTAGATGCCAGCCTCGCTGAACATTTCCATGCACTCATCATGGTTGAGAGAGGAATTGACACTGTAGACGCGAAGAGTGTTGACACCAGCGTCGGTAAGGAGGGGCAGGTCACGGCGACAGGCATCAGGGTCAGCCAGGGGATCTTCAAAGGTGCCTGGTTCGCCAAAGTGGTTGTCGTCGGATTCGTGAACCTCGCCTGGAAGTGGGTGTGAGGACAGGTTATCATTGTAAAGTGAAACTGGGTACCTTGAACTTGGTATCCAATACCCTTGATGTAGAAACGAGTGCCATCCTCCTGGTACAGGTAACGACCTGTGCGGGTGACCTTGGGGATGGCGGCAACCTGGGAAATCAAGGCAGCAACAGCTGCAAAGGCCCGCAGTGAGACGAACATGGCGGGACTGAAGGGAGAAACGAAAAAACGAGTGACGGAAGAGTGGGAATCAAGTTGACACGGGTGCGGGGTCCTTTATATACAACCACCTCCGGAAAGGGTTAGGGTTACCCGCTCACCACCGTTTCGAGGTGGTCCCTGTCCTCTATTTTCCCGTGTCTGTAAGTACAACTACTAGTATGTTTTTTGGACTCGGAAAAAAAAAAAAAATTGGAAAATCATCTCGTAAAGCGACTATTTTCAACAATACTTGAAACAGTCGATCCCCAATCTTTGACTAGACGGCGATCCATGGCCGCCCCGCACTGGACCTCCGGACGGCTCGCACGTATGTATCAAAACTCTGAATTTCGATTCCAAAGGTACATAGTGATGTATGGTATTTGCATCCAGTCGTACAATTAGTCGTAAATTAGTCGTGTGTCCGTCGTTAGCAAGTTAGTAAATTCAACGTGAGGTTCCGAAGAGACTTGGTTCATCCTCTCCAGGTACAGCAGCTGTGAACGGGAGTGAATGAGGGTAAAGGAAGATGAAAATTATCGGAAGGGACTTACGAGATCATATAAGGAATAACCGAGGCAGTCAAAGCTGCAAAGGACACCCAAAGCAGAGTCAAGCCCTTACCCGCGGAGACCTTGATTCCTACAGGAATCACAGTGGGGGCATTTACAATAAGGTCATTTACCGCTTCAGTGCGCTTGATGACGACAGTCCATATGCTGGCACCGATTAAGAGCAAGATACTGCCAGCGACAGCGAACAAGGTCGACACACAAAAGGTATAGTTGTGTTTGGGGATTCCGCTGGTCATGCGAGAGTTAGTGCACAATTGCAACATACCGAATAAGGGAGGGTTCGTACGTGATGAAGGCAAGGCCGGCGCATACTGTTCCAAGGAGAATCATCCAGTACGCAGCTTTGGTGGAGTTTCCGGTATATTTCGCGTCGGTGAAAGAGGAGTCGTCGGGAATGAGGCTTCTGGACAGTATGGAAAGGGCAGGCGAAAGGTCGTTGAGGATAGTGGTCGAAGGTTCATAGCGGTGACCAAGGGTATGATTGCTGCATTGGCCTTCAGTGCCATTCAGGTATCCGCAGTGAGCGTATAGGCCCCAATAGTAATCGAGGTAGAGGCCCAGGCCCTGGTCAAGTGGAGTGGAGGCATTGGTAGCGTAAATTTCGAATGGGTTCTTGGTCGCCAATTCGATGGCGGGCCTGAAACGAGTTGAGTACGCGGTAGTATTGCCCGATACTTGCAGTCTTACTCGTAACCGCTGGTATTCATGTGGACCTAACCGAACCATGGCGTCAGTCGACTCTGGGGGTCGAAAGGGCAAGGTTTGGCGCACCATATAGATACTTCGAGGGACAGTGGAAGTGTTGATTTGGGAAACCTAGGAAAACGGGTGATTGAGCCAATGCCGACGATGGTAGCGTGGGTGAAAGCTGACATGGACAAATATGAGCAAGAGCAAAGACACGAGCCTGAGATGGGCGTCAAGTTGAGCTGACAGGAGCAAAGTCGAGTAGCCAATTGGACTCACGAAAGGACAGAGGCAAAGCCTATACAAAACTCTCCTCGCATGGCATACATTGTGACGGACGAGATAACGGGAGGAAATAGTAGACGGCTATCGTCGGATACAAGTACTCGGCTGGTCAGCGACTCGTTGCAAACTCGTGCTCGCTGAGCGCAGAGCCAGTCTTCGAACCGCGCGAACTGCGAACACGAGGCGCCTTGCCCCATCATTGATGATGGATTAGGTAATCACATCAAATTCTCGGCAAAATGGCCGAGGCTGCGGCACTGTAGTAGCGCCAATATCATTCGTCAGTCCCAAGTAGGCTGTCGACGACCTTGAGCTGACTCCACGACGAGCGGGCACAGAATGGCACGGAGACCGTCATTCCAACCTCTGCTCCATGATCCCCTCGCCGCCCCCACAATCGACACCTCTCCAGAGCGTCTTGGCATGGGAGAAACACACGAGCCAGAACACACCGACGACACCCAGAGTCGCGTCAAGCGGTTATCGTCTGCCGTTGTCGACAAGCTTAGCAGAAGCGTCAACGCCAAGAGCCCATCCCCCTCCCCAACACCTACACAAAGCCATAGACGGGTCTTTAGTCTCACCAGGAAGGGCAAGAACCCACCTGCGGAACATAGTAGTCAGTACAGCAACAGACAATGTCTCCCCCACCAAGCCACTGACCCTCGCAAAGGTCAATCTGCCTCTGCAACAAGCAGTGCAACAGCCGGTCCTTCCTCGAATCTCACTGCCTCGACGCCGGTGGGCATGCCATCAGTTACAGATGATTCGCCTTTCATCACCCCGCCCTCACCCCCGCTTCGTCCCAGTTCGACTCCCTTTCGTGGAGATGGATCTGTGCGTCCCTCCATACCATTCCCTTGACATGCTTATAGATCCGCTCTCTCCAGATGCGAGCCGGAACACAGACTCTCATCCAGGCTCTACAGGCATTACCCTGGATGATGAACGAGGTCGACGAAGACTCGGCTGTGAACGACGTTTCTCAATCAGAGCCTGAGAGCAGTGACGATGATCGACCAGGTTGTACGTCTACATACCCCTACCAAGTATTACTATTCCTGATCGCTCCTTTCCCAGTCAAACGGTTATCCTCTTCAATCCATGCAATATATAGACCCTTGGCTCGCTCACGCCGGATGAGTATCCCCATTCCCAGAAGACGGAAAGATCGCAACACGTCCCAACCGTTGGAAGAGGAGACTTCTTCCGCCCTATCTTCAGAGTCTGAGGACGATGCAGAGGCCGACTTTGAAGAACAACCTCCACAACCTCCCCATTCTCGACCCACTCCCCTACAACACCAATCGCTGCCTCCATTGACAATCACCGATAAATCTGTAGCCCAGTTCCGGCCCCTTTATGATCGAACAGGTAGCCTTGCGACAGTGCGCCTAACTAGAAGAGCTAGACTAGCGGAGAAGCTGAGGGAGATATTCGAATTGGAGGGCATCCAGGAGGTATGGTCCGGTATGTGTGCTTGCTTACGTCTATTGCGTGTATCTATCTAACTTTGTACTCAGAAATGCCATGCTGGCTATTACGATCTGTCCGTGAGTATCCTCACGTACATACTCTGGATCCTCGTGCTCATACAGCGTGTAGTCCTGCAGGGATACATGTACCTGACCAACGATTACCTCTGCTTCTTTGCCCACATGCCCGTGAGAGAGGTTCGTTCTCAGTACGACTTCCGACCAATACCTTTTAACCTCATCATCGTCACAGGACCAAGTTCTAAAGTCAGGCTCCTTGAGTAAGAAAGCTCAGCGAACCAAGCGCTGGATCAAGCACTGGTTCATACTCAAGAATGACGCACTTTCTTGGTATCAATCCTCCTCGGTATGTTGACAACGGATCATTCGAGGTACTTAATTACATATTGATTATCCCACAGGACCCCTATTTCCCACATGGCATTCTTGATCTCCGCTATGCCATTTCGTGTGAAGCCATTGGCGAACGCGAATTTAGAATTCGAACCACCCAGAAGTCTGTCACTTTGTCTGCAGACTCTGTTCCCAGCCGAGACGAATGGGTAAAGTCCGTAAAGAAGGTCATATTCAAAGCACAGAATAGTGGAGATAACGTCAAGGTAAGTTCCCTAGTCAGTCTTTACCGCGACATACTAACTTGCGCCTAGATTGCGATCCCGTATTCGGTTGTCCTCGACGTTGAACTGTCAACAGCAATGGATTTTAGTGAGACAATCGAAGTTAAAGTCGTCGATAAGGATGATCAGTATTCGCTGGATTCGTACTTCTTTGCCTATTTCCATGATATGCCTGCGGCCCTGGAGCAAATACGGGATGCGATCCGCACTCATCGAGCCATTCCTGAACACTCGCAGGAGAAAACAGTTTTGGACACAACTGTGACGCGTTCTCCTCCTCCATCTGCTCTGGAAAGGCCTTCGACGATTGCATCTGACAGCGTCGTCCCAAAATCTACGTCCGGATTCAGATTGTCTTCGATCCTTAAACCATTCTCGGACACCATCTCTCTGACAAGAGCATCCACCGCATCGGAATCGGAATCGCAATGCAGTAACGAAGAGTTCACATATATCTCCCAGCGCGGACCATCGTCCTTCGTTCCAGTGACGACCTCGCCCAAGTCCATTACACCCCAGGAACAACTTGCAAGTCAGCCGGGGCCATCCTCGCAATCGTTGCCAAACCCAGATCACACGTACCCGCCATCCACTTTCAGTTCGTCTATACATCCTGACATGTCTTCCCTAACCAGAGAATCCACCAGCCTGTGGAACGTTGGTGTCCCTTCATGGCTGAAGCCTACTCGCCGGGTTTTCGGGTCCTTTGCATCATCTGAATCGACCCCAACGTCGTATGGTTCAATGGCGGTCAAGGAGGTGTATTCCTCCCCTGCCCCTTCGGCGCAAGGCAGCTCTCTGAGTCGAATGACTGGTGGAGATCTGGCGTACAGCGTCCTCGAAGCACCGGCCGCATCGATCGACCAGGACGTGGTCGATAAGTTCAGAACGGCGTTTGCGTATGATGAGAAAGAAACGCTGCTCGGATGTAAGCATCCCACCCAGGACGGTCGAGTTTCAGCATCTGACCTTGCCCTCTCAGATTTCCCTGGCTATATCTTCCGACTGTTGCCTGTCTTTGGAAGGCTATATGTCTCCACGAACTTTTTCTGCTTCAAGTCGAGCGGGCCACTGGCCGTTCGGACACGAGTTCGTTCACCCTCCGTTGTCTGATGAGTTTTCTGACCTCGCTCACGTAGATGACCTTGCCTATCCGCGACATCGTCGCCACCGAGAAGACCAAAGCGACACGGTTTGGTCATCATGGCTTGATCATTATCGTCAAAGGACACGAAGAGCTATTCTTCGAATTTGGTGCAGCTGACAAGCGTGACGCCTTTGTCCGCCTCTTGGAGAAGCAGATGGACGACGTGAGGGCAAGGCTTGCGGTTGGTGAAACGTTGGAACCCTCTTCCGAGAAGCGAGAAGCCCTCGCGTTGGAAGCATTCGATTCGAAGACTTCGGCAAGCAGTGACTCGGATCCCGCACCTCCACCAGACAACATGTCTGATTCACTTCCGGCTGTGATGTTCACTTCTGCATCTTCGACCTTTTTAACGTTCAAACCACCCAAACCCTTACACTTCACGTTCCTTACTATCGGGTCTCGGGGAGACGTTCAACCTTATATCGCACTTGCCAAAGGTCTCATTGCGGATGGGCACAAGGTTAGGATTGCCACTCATGGTGAATTCCAAGAGTGGATAGAGAGTGTGGGTGTTATCATCTCCTACTCTTTCTTCATTGCGCTCACGGAGTTCTAGTATGGGATTGAATACGGCTGCGTTGGAGGTGATCCTGCCGAGCTGATGCGGATATGCGTGGAGAACGGCATGTTCACCGTCTCCTTCTTGAAGGAGACTCTCCAGAAGGTACCGTGTCTTTCTTTTATTGAATGTCTCCAGTACTGAGGTTCTTCAGTTCCGAGGATGGTTGGATGACCTACTACAGACCTCTTGGGAGGCATGTCAGGGCACGGACATCTTAATCGAAAGTCCAAGTGCCATGGGTGGTTACCACATCGCAGAAGCGCTAGGGATTCCATATTTTAGAGCATTCACCATGACATGGTCTCGGACAAGGGCCTATCCTCATGCGTTTGCAGTGCCCGAACGAAAGGTCGGCTTTCTTTCTCCACTATATAATGCACGACTGACATCGAATGACAGATGGGAGGAAGCTACAACTACATGGTACTAAATCTTGACAAGCAAAGGAGCATTTTGCTGACAGTGTCCTCAGTCGTATGTCATGTTCGATCAAGTGTTCTGGAGGGCCACAGCGGGACAGATCAACCGTTGGCGAAGACACACTTTGGGACTTGGCGCCACCAGCTTGGATAGGATGGAGCCTCACAAGATTCCTTTCTTGTACAACTTCAGTCCCACCGTCGTGCCACCCCCGCTGGATTGGCCAGAATGGATTCGGATCACAGGTATGCTTTGAGTTTGTAAGCCAGGACAGCGACTTACCCAAATGGTCCATAGGATATTGGTTCCTTGATGATGCCGATGTTGGATCCAAGAAATGGACCCCACCAGATAGCCTGGTAGAATTCATCGACAATGCGCACCAGTCTGGGAAGAAAGTAGTCTACATCGGCTTTGGCAGTATCGTGGTTTCCGACCCGAGGAGCATGACAAAGTGTGTCATCGATGCAGTTGTCCAGAGTGGTGTACATGCCATCCTTTCGAAAGGATGGTCGGACAGACTGCACGTTAAACTTGCTGACGCTTCAGAGCCCGAAGAGCCCCTCCCCCCTCAGATCTATCCAATCACCTCAGCTCCTCACGACTGGTTGTTCGCTCGAATTGACGCTGCCTGCCATCATGGCGGAGCTGGTACAACTGGTGCTAGTTTGAGAGGTATGTTCCTCTTGTACTCCAAGGGAATTATCGACTGACGCTGTGCGACAAAGCTGGAGTCCCAACCATCATCCATCCCTTCTTTGGCGACCAATTCTTCTGGGCCGATAGAGTAGAGGCTCTCGGAGTTGGCACCGGTGTGCGAAAGCTCACCGTTAGTGCTCTGAAGGATGCGTTGGTTTCCGCAACGACCGATCAGAAGCAGATCGACCGGGCGAAGCTTGTTGGAGAACAGATTAGAAGGGTGCATTTCTTGCTCGACCCCGGTCCCTTCAGCTCACTGACTCTTGAACATAGGAGAACGGCGTGGCTGTTGCCATAGAGTCTATCTATCGTGATCTGGAATATGCTCGGTCGTTGATTAAACGACAACCAGTGGAGGACGATATTGAAGATGGAACAGAGCAATCCACTATCCGCCATCAAACATCCAGCAGTCCACCTTTCTCCCCGAGTTCTTTCTCCGGTTACAGCTCAAGCGGATCGGCCCATGGTCGCGCTCCAAGTGAAGATTGGAGCGTCATATCCGACCAGGAAGAACGGAGATCGTCAATTGGTTCCCACTTCAGTGACACCCGGGCCAAACGTGATAAACGTAGGAGCTTTACTGCCGCTGTCCTTTCAGTCTTACCGGATTCCTTTGCCACAGCAGGGTCGCCTCCATCGTCACCGTGAACATGTCCATTTTCTTGCTTTGCTTTGTTATCGACAAGAAACATATTGTATTATTCCGACATAGATCTCCTATCCATCGATTCATGTAGTATATCACATCCCTTCGGCAGCGTAATGTTCATCGAATACTTTCTTGCTAAACTCTCCGAATGTTGTACTTCCGTCTAATTGTTGATCAGTGTTCGGTTGCATAAACACGACGAATGTTTCCCTCGAGATGTTTTCTGATCCTTCGCCGCTGACGACCCGAACGCAATGTGGTGTTGCTAGAAGCTTTCCTCCAGTAGCGATCTCCAAGGCTTCTCCGGTCTGGAAGGCGAGGCAATCGGCTGGGATGCTCACTTTGGTCAGGGCCCCTCCTCGCGTTTTGATGTACAGGCCTGCCTGTGGAGAAGGAGAGGGAACAACTGTGGGTTCACCATTTTCCTCTTTCCTGAGGAAAATGGCCTGTCCGGATCACAGTTATTTATGTTGGTGGATGCAGAACTTGTGCTTTGGAGACTTACCGAGCAAAGGCCTGTCAGAAGTGAATGGTCAAGGTGGAATCCACACCAGCTATCGACGGGCTCATCTTCGGACGGCAACTGGCCTTCCTCTGGAGGGAAGTAGTGGAGCAACCTGGCCTTTGTCGTCTGGGACGTGGAGATCAGTTGAGGGAGTGACAGGGTGGAATCAGATAGTCGGGACAAGGCTAGCAAGTCGTCCGTGTCAGCGAGCTGCGATTCACGCCATGATGAATGAGATTTTGCTACCGAATGGCTGACAAGCTTCCGCTAATTCACATCCAACCTTGAACACGAATCTACGGGAGTCGCATAAAGACCTTGTGGATCATCCCTCGCGTCGATGAAAACGTACCTTCCCAGCGTCTTGAACGCCTCTTCGAAGCCTTCGATACTCTTCTCGTCTGAACTGGGCCCTGCGTCCAAAGCAACGTCAGGTGCCGAGCGAGCAAGTTTTCATAAACCATGGTAAACTCACAGATATTGGCACCATAGTATTCAGGGAACTTGGCTTGCTCTTCGTGGGAGACAGTGGGCTGGTCGACAACTGGGTTGGCATAGTACGAGCCCTTCAAGAGGTCTGATACCGAGTTCAGCTTATCGAGGAATAGAAAATTTAGAAACGCCCCATGTACGCACCTGGCTTCCCGTTCATGATTTCCTGCAAGGCGATATCCGCCAGTCAGCGACCGTCCCACCCCCTTTCGAGACTTCTAATACAGTACCTTTCCATGGGACCATCCGAAGCTGTACTTGCTGGGTGCATGAACACATTTTTCGCGAACGGCCGGGTCTGCATTAGCAAACCTGTACGCCAGTTTCAGCAGTCTTTCGCGATATCCTACAAACTCCTGGGGCAGATCGCGGACGATGATGACACCAAGAGCCTCTGGATGTGAACCAAATGCTTGCTCTAGCGATCAGAGTATTAGATCTGCCTAGTACCTTCGTTCTACAAGGACATGGCAGCTGCTCACCAATAGAGGGAGTCAACGACAGGGGCCTTGCCTTCAAGTCATTGTATGAAACGACCACTGCTCCGTCCGGAGTGAAAGAGACGGGAATAGTCTGAGTGGCACGTGCTGCAAGTCAGTAGCCTATACTTTAGCGCTCGTACGGTATTCCACTTGCCTCCTGGTTTCCATTGATTGTCATGATCCCAAGCGATAGTGGTCGAACAGGGATTGCCGTACTCTTGAATGTTGACGTTAAAGGTCAAGAGATGTTGCAAGCAAACTCAAGACACCCTCTCATATATGGCTGGATCCGTGATTCCACATGGTCTCTCTGTCGGTGCGTCAGGTGGATACCTTTGGAGACCCTGTCATATTGACGGCTACACATGTACAAGAAGCAGCAGTCTGGAAACATCAATGGCGAGGCCTACAACACATCAGCTACTATACTACACCGACGTAAACATGTCGCCTTTGTCCAGATCTACAAGATTGAGTTCCTTCACAACATGGCGAAGGGCTTCTCCCGTCTCGTCTATAGAATGCAAAAATCGAAGGAGTTCTTTACAGAGTTGCCAGTCCTTGTCCTCTATTGCATGTCTCAATAGTGCGACCACCTCGGTGCTGTTCTCATCGAGTTGTTCCAAGTTGTGCAGTACCAACAAGTACGAACCGGCCGTCTTGAGCTTCTGGGCCACCAAGCATGCCTGAGTCCTCTCCGTGAGAAGCTGCTCATGTCAATCGCTTTGGGACGTACCTCAAACAGGGTCTTGGGATTTCCAACAATATCAAACAGCCGCCGCCACCGACTCATCTCCGTTTTCCTAGCACACCCTACAACGACTTCCAGCGATACATCAAAGTAGTCCAGGAACTCCACTACCGTCGGGAGGAGGGACTCCGCCAAGGGGCTACTACTCTCGGCTTCGGACCCGCTGGAGCTCGCATCTGCTTCAACGACCGTGTGTAGAAGGATTTCAAGAGCATGAGAGAAGAAGATGAGTTGCTTGTAGTTCTCAGCGAAATCCACTGCCTGTCTGATTTGTTTACCGCCCAGATGATAAAGGAGGATGTGTTGAAGGAAGAGGTGTGACTGTCGAACATCGTTAGAGGGGTCCCATGGGAGGGAGGTTAGAAGCTCACACTTGTCGTATGCCGGAACATCGTAAAAGGAAGGTTCGTCCGCGTCGCGATCTCGTACTCAGCTCCAATAATAATGCCCTTGTCCATCAGAGCAGCTGAGCATATCGTCAGTCCCAAGGCCGGACAGGACAGTGGGTTGAACCTTACACAGAGGGTAGAAATCCAACGGGATGTTAACGCTTTCCTTTACACTCTCCGGAACCACCTCCTCAGATGACCCAGTAGGCTCAATAGCCAATGCATTCAACCATACTCTCATGCCTTTAGCATCGTAGGCCCAAAGGGAGTTCTCCAAAGCCGGAATGCCGCGAAGGTGAATCCAACAGAATTCGATAGAGTCGGCGAACACTTGCATGTCGTACTTGACTTCTTGCTCAGCTGCCTATGGAGAAAGATTGAGAGCAAGACTCTTGGAATAGCTCTGGTCTCTTACCTTCCTCGGCCGCAAAAGGATGAGCTGACCGCCTACTACCATGAGCACGGAGGCTACAGCCAAATCTCCTGCTGGATCTCCCAGTTCTGAAGGAATATCAGAGTCTGTTTAAAATGCCAAGCTGAGAAGAACGTACGTTTCTGTGCACTAGGAATGAGCCAACTGAGCATGCGTACTGCGCCCGGAGTCGCGATGATCCCAGCAAACGAAATGCAACCGCAAAGGTGAAGCTTGATAGAATCGGAAGTGGGGACTATCAAGTAATGATAAAGGGTGTTGTCGAGCGTGTACACCAGGAGCGAGTTATCCACGAGGGAGAGGATTACCACCGGAGACCGCAGAACCTCTCTGTGCAAGATGTTTTCACTAGCCAGCTCCATGTCTCTTGAATACAGCCTGATCTGCTCAAGCATATTTTTGGGTAAGTACTCAAGGTGAAAAGGCAGACGACGAACCTGATATGACCTGCCAACCTCCACTGCAGCAACTAGAACATGATGGAACCACAAAAGACCTCCTCGAACTGTGAATGCCTGTTCTTGAACTTCATCGGCAAAGACTTTCCAACGTCCAGACATTGAACTGTAATGGATCAAACCGCGTCTTCCTGCGACGGCTATCAGTCTGCCATCCGAGCTGAGCGAGGAATATCGGATAGGCCAGTTCATTGCGATATATCTTTGCGGAATCTATTACGAGAAAGAGTTATTAATTGAATGCGGCTGGTGGTCGTCGTGCCTAACCTTCACATGTTGCCAGACATCGGATTCCGGGTTGATAATGCTCATGTCCGGCTGGTCGGCTCCTCGATAGATCAAAGCACGATCGTCCAATTGCAGGAAAGCATATCGAGTGTTGTCCTGAACGCAACCATGAGCATGGCAGTTTTAGATTATGATCCAACTTACGGGGCTAAGCTGGCCAGTAGTCGCACTCTTCGCAAATGGAATCGCAAATAACTGGGCGTCACCTTGACCAATTAGTCCGCTGAAATTTAATAGGGGATGTGGAACTCACTTTGAATAGAATGGTTTGCCAACACGAATAGGTCGAAATTTCCAGGTCCCCAGAACTGGAGCGAAATCAGCATTTGGAACGGCCCGAAACCACAATAGACACACAAGACTCCGAACGCCAAACATGAAGGTATCTTGATATCTGGAAGGCTGTTAGGCCAGCACACGATGTCAGGCTGGATACGCACCTGGACTTGTCGGTATTATGCTCGACATTGAAGCTGGATGCAAGACACCTTCCTCCGACACTGAAAACGCCCCAGCCGTTCGTCCACCCAACGGCGAGAACATATCCATCCGAGCTCCAGTCCAAAGTCTTGACCTCGCCTGTAGGTCGACTATACGGGTTCGGAATGTCGATTTTCTTCGATTGAGGAAGGACCCCTTCTTGTGACGGGAATGGCGTAAATTCCAATTGTCCGCTAGGAACAGTGAGAAGTATGTACTCGCGGTAGCACGGTCGCTCTCACCTCGTTGTCCCGATAGCAAAGAGCGAGAATCTCGGATTAACGGCAAGAGTTGAGGCTCGTCTGGGCTCGTACCACGGGTGTTCGTCGTTTTCAAGGTCTTCGGGGTCCGCTCTCTTTCGCTTTTGCACCCATTTAGGCGTCTCGAAGCTGTGGATGCAACTGCCTTGCCAGCCAAGGAGCGCCTCGCTATCGACAGACCGCCGAGTATCGCTGCCTTCATTCTAGGGAACACTGGTTACAAACGGAGGGGCCAGTAGGTATAGACATGTTATCGCACCTGAGAATTCCTATCGTGGTGACCAACTGACGCGCTCTCGTCGTATAGTTTAACGAGGTACACCCTGCCATCCGAAGTGATCCAAGTTTCTGCACCTATGGGCTTTGAATAGTTCATTTCCGAGATGGAGACTTTACGCATGTATGAGAAACATGAGATATCAATTCTCAAGGTCGCCAACATACCTTCCGTGTCCTGGAGCCATGAGAAGTCTTCTTCATTCAGGACCCAAGTATCGTACTGTCCCTGGCGGGGCCTCGCAGATTCCGGATCCTGGTCTTCATCCTCTTCATGCAGGGGCCATGGCATTCGTTGCACTGTCGAAGGATTCTTCGTCGTAAACAGAAGGTGGTCTCGGCGAGGCGAAACGCTGCATGCATTTGTTATTTCAAGAGTCCGCAGCGCTAACATGGGTTGGCTCACCTCAACAGCTGTCCCTCGACACGGATAACGCCTTCAAAGTGCAAGCCTACCCCCTGCATATCCAAGCCCTCCCCAGGGCCAGGTAGGAAATTGCGCTGTGCATTGGTTGACACCGGCGGTGGGGAGATCCCAACCGACTCTTCAGGCTTGTATTCGACGGAAATCAAGACGAGATATGATTCAGACGTCTGTGGTGGACGTTAGAAAGCGATGGATTGGTACTAGAAACAAATCCGACCTTGATGACAATCCTATCCGAGTCTGGAGACCACCAAGCATCTTGGTTGTGACCATGTTCAATCAGCGAAGTGGGTGTACGGGAGAGGTACGCCAATACAGTGGAGGGCTACTTGACAATGGGTCGGTTATGGCTGAGAATGAAGCCTGTCGGCAGAGGACGCACCCGTACGACCCAAACGCAAACGCCATTCCTTGTGATTGTGCAGAAGAGCGACCTCCGTGGGCTTGGAACTAGAGCGACAACCCTCTCTGGTGGGATGTTTGGTAACGCGGGGATGGACGAAAGCTGCTTTGCAGCTGACGTTGGGAAATACATATGTAGGGATGCTACAACGCGTCTATGAGAGACGAATTAGAGCATAGCATTGGTTGTCAATGTCGACGACGACGAGAAGAGTGCAGGATTGAGCACCAGACGCGGCGGCAATTGGCCCGTGTTGATGACACGGTCACTCTCCGGCGATTCACCTCAGGTTGGATAATTAATACATATATTGGCCTAAGTATCCTGTACGAAAATTACGACTACTACTACAAAAGTACTGAAGGGGGGTGATGTCGATGACACGAAACGCTGAGACGCCTCACAAGTAGGTCGAAAGAAGAGAAAGTATGGAAGATCGTCACAACTGTTCATCATATAGTTATCGGTGTGAATTCATGAAGAAGCTGGTGGAGCGGGATTCCACCAGTTTCTTAGCCTAGACCATGGTCCTTTTCGTTCCGGTTTCTCGTTTTCCATTGTCTCCTGCTGGGCTTCCCGAGTCCTGTTAACCTCCGCCAGGTGGGGCAGTAGCTGACTACCGCCCACACCGTGTCCAAGTGCCATAGGTTGCAGGCGCGATTGTCGAAGCAAGTCGAGAATGAGCGAAACGCCCTCACGAGACTGTAAAATTCGTTAGATTTGCACAAAAAAATAAAAAAAGGGCAAAGAAACGGTCGGACTAACCCGCTGCAGGTTCGCCTTGAATTTGGTGATACCGTAGTTTTCAATGCGCTTGGTAAGACCCCATCCGAACCCGGATACTATTCTAACCTCCGAGTGCTGCAAAGTTTTCCTAAATATTTTCGTTGAGCTTTAGGATTGCATACACCCAAGGCAAAAGACGTACTCCTCTGGGGTCTGCCTGAACTGCACGACTTCCTCCACTCGCATGACCTTGAGGTTGTCGAGGTTTCTCGTAGTGCATTTCACCACCTTGCCGAAGGGGTCCACCTCGCTTTCCTCCACCAGCCACGACTCTGCCCTGGATACAAAGTTCTTGGGGAACCAGCGGGGTAGATTGCCTCGTTTGAGAATGAGCCGGGTTGTCAGGAGGGTCCCGTTTGGAGTCTGTTCGCGAGATATAACGTCACAAGAGATGACATGGGAGGCGTATGGGTTGGGATATCGTAGAAAATAAGCTAGCGACACGATAGACCAAGTATCACTGAGAATCGCTGGCCGTTAGTGGCGCTCAAAAAATGGACAGGTCAGCCTGAGACGTACTCGTATAAAAATGACTGCGAAAAGAACTTCATGGTGGGAGCGAAGGCAGGTGTTATTAGGAATTACACGTCGATTGGCGACGGAGCCTTGTACGGCGTTCACGAATGCGTTGGAGATGCCACGACGGATGAAGAGATTAGACTTGAGGGGAATAGAATGAATCAAAGGGTGGAGACACGAAGCCTGCGCTGAGCCCGTGGCGAGCCAGGAGCCATAAAAGGTACCGTGGGTAATTATGTCAGATTAAGAAGTTGTCTAATCTATTAATAGCTCTCGTCCCTCACGTCCCCTTCCTCCCCAACGAACACCCGCAATCCGTCATGCGACGGTCGAACCCATAGCCCCCGCTCGCTGCCAATAAGCCCTACTCCACGTCTTTCACAATCACTGAGCTCTTCCAGATTGAACGAAGTTCCACCAATGATTTCACCCAGTCGAACATACTCGTCATGAGATACCTCGTGCCCAAAGCCTGTGAGGTATGTTCTAGTCGCATTAATTCGTCTCGCCATTTTGAGAGAATCTTCTAGCCCAAAGTGAGAAGTATGAGGACCCAGCCTCAAGCAGTCGAGAACTGTCACCGCGAGCCGCTGACCGTCTGCCTTTGGCTCAAGAAGCGGCCACACGTGCTCAGGAATATGAGAAACGTCGGAGATATAAACAAGCCTCTCCTGTATCTTGTATCCAAATGACAGATACGGGTAAACGGTTTCTCGAGTTACTTCGCTGCCAGCGCGATTATTCTCGATGACTTCTTTGTCTGGGCGACTGAGCGAAGCCACGCGGAGGGGTGGTGAATCAGCCAGAGGGACAGGCTTCGCAGCTGGAGGTGTAGGATGTTCGCAGACGTTTGAAGTGGATGTAGTAAAAAGTCGACCGTGGTGCACTAAAGAAAAAAAAGAGTCAAATCAAGCCGCAGCATACACGTATGGGGACCCTGCACCTGCAAATGGAACGACCCTAATTCCGGTGTCTCCAATCTCGAATGGGACTTGGTCCTGGATTATGTGCCATTGGAATTCAGGGACCTGGGGCCATCGATGAAGGGATAGGTTAACGAAAATAGGTTGCAACCTCGCCAGAAAATATACGTACATCGCCGCCACCAGAGGCAAATTCTTTAGATACGAGGTAGGGAAAGGAACGTTTCACTTCGGAAAATGTGTCCGCAGAGACGTAGACGTCGATGTGGCTCTGTATGGCGCCTCTTAGTGTCCAGGCTATAACCCCGGTGGAATCATGGGTTAGAGAGAGTAGATCAACATTTCATTGAGACCGTGACGTACCCCGGAGATCATCAAGCCCATTCATGGCTATGAGGTGCCCAAATCAGCAAACAGTGATTAGACTCGTAGCATTCAACTTCGTCGAGGCCATACCATCAGCGTGCGCATGCGTTATTAGCAATGCGTCAATTTTGCGCAGGCCATATTTCGGAAACCATTCCAGCGCTGCGGCTTGGAAGTTCTTTCCAACGTCGATCACAATGGTCCTACAGAGAAGAGGGTTGAGTGACACAGTTTCCCGAGTTCACAATCCACGTACACAGGTTGTCCATCCCTTCCCTTCACCCGCAGAGCTGCACTGGTATTCCGCCTGATATTCCTCCTGCCCGCTGGTGTCAGTGTTGACAGGCATGTCCGACAAGGGGGTTTGGGGTCGTCCGGTGGACGAGTTATGCATGCAATCTGAGGAAGGCTACTCGAGGTGCCTGTCCCTAAAAAGATGAGTTCGATGTTTGCGGAGTCCGCTGAGTTGGAGTAAGTGACGGTCATGGAGGAGTTGTGGGTCTGCTACGCGCGGCTCGCTCGTCCTTTATATATAATCTGGCGCAATGAGGAGGGTCACTTCAGGTGACGATTCATGTTACACGAGGGGCACGGCGATTGTTGGGGATCAAAACATAGTCCTTAGGCCACGACATCTCTTCATCTCAGAAAAGGTCGCTCGCGTAAAAAAAATCGTTCCGAATGACATCAGGTCCATCCCTCTCGGACGTTTAAACCATTGCAGCCACGCATCACACGTGTCGTCCTTCCCGATTGGGGTTTCTCCCGCCCCTAACTTCCGACACTTTGGTCAAGGACCGACTCGGTCGACGCATTGCGGAGTTACAGGGCAGAGCGGACTGTCAGTGAATCTAGAAGAAGGTAGATTGACAGTAAATATATCGGTACACCGTCCCGTTGCATCACTTCGTGAAAACTATGGACCCGAATCGTATCAGTCACACGACAGGCACTCGTCCCTTGGAGCTTGCCCATGCACTTACTGGAAACGACATCTTCGTCTTGTACCTGGTGTGATAGGCTGACTTTCTGGGCATATGGGGCGAACTTGCTGGACTTCCCCTGGAAAAAAGGGTTAAATGGTCCTAAAAATCATGATATCCGATCTTACCCTGAAAGCGGGCCCATTCAAGTTAGTTTTTCACAGTTACAACGCCATTTTAACCATTTCACTCACCAAACAAGTGCATATCGGAAGTTCGGCGCAAGCGACCTGTGAACTCCATTGCAAACATCCTGATGATTTCGTTCCGTCGGCGACTGGAAAACAACCTCCGAAATGGTATTCTTACCTCGATTGTTGCACCTGCGGCAGGGTGTCGTCAGGTAACAAACTACGCTCCAGCTAAAAGGGAACTTGCCTTTTCGAAGGCAAATAGGATCGGTCAGGTCAGGATGAGATCCCCGCTTCTTGGTGTACACTTTCACCAGGTTTAGGTTCTCCCAGATTCGGTCTATGAGATAATCAAGGCTGGAAATCGAGATCTGTAAGTTTGAGTCGAGATGGAGATCGATGGACTTACTTGAGATCCATCTCGCAGCTAATGACAACAGAGTTGGGTTGGCGAGCGATCTTAGCAGGTTTCTCAGTACCCGAATACTTAAACAGGACCGCTCTTTCATTACCTTGTCGACCTGCTCTAGACTGATTGCATCGATTTTATTGTAGACATCTGCAGATGGTCAGTAAAATAATAAGAATCCAGCGTCCATGTTGTCAACGTACAGAGGCATGGAATGTATTTCCTGGTTCCTTGAAAAACGGTCACAATCGCAGCTCATTTCGGCCTGTGTGAGTGATCCCTCACCTATTAGCACATCGATGAATTCATCCGTAGTGATCTAGAGGAGTGAGGACCAGGACCCTTTCCCGAGTAGCATTGTCACTCACATCTTCTCTGATCATCACATCGCAGTTATGCAATTTATCTGCGAGCATTAATCAGTGCGCGCCTGATGACCTGAGGTTCTATTGCCCTACACCCTGCTAGGATTGTCCTGATCGTCTTGTCGTCGGTCTTGGTGAGTTTCACTAAGGAGAGATCATTTCAGAAGGGTGACCATGGCAGGGAGGCGGACAACAGAGTGTACCTGTGGTGTTAATAGTTACCTAGATCGTCATCGTTAGTGATAGAGGCCTTTCGATTCGTTTGAAAAGACATTACTCCGCCGGTTGTCTTCTTCTTGAAGACTACGTCAGGTTTTTGCTTGTTCAGCCTTATCCCGACGGCATCCAGTTCAATTTCCAGTAACCGGCGTTGTTCGTCTGATTTTGTCGCGTCTAACATGATGAGGATGAGGTCCGCTGTCTTGGCAGCTAACGGGTCCAAGTCAGGACAACGTTCACTTGGGATGGAAAGCGGAACACGGACTTGCTACGACTTGACGGCCACGGCCTCGACCAGAACTGGCCCCTTCAAGAATTCCAGGAAGATCGAGGAGTTGGATGCGAGCTCCCTGGTATTCAATAACTCCTGGAATAGCCTAGTAAATTATTGAGTGCACTCGTCGCCTTCTGAGCTGGTAACCTCCCGTACAGTCAAGGTCGTGAATTCATAGGCAGCGGCTTCCGAGGCAGTTTGAGTCGTTTTGCTTAGGAGTGTCGACTGGGCACAACACTTAATTACTGCGGTGTGGTAAACTAAGAAAGGCCACGCACCTTGCCGACGGATGGAAACCCAATTAACGCGACGCGAGCATCACCCGACTTTTGCACGTCAAACCCTGTTCCCTGTCCACCAGACTTCGCGGTAGGTTCCAGCAGCTGCGCGCCTGTAGCCAGTTGATATAGTGCACAATGTCCCAGAAGCCAACTGACTCACGGTAACGGGCAAGCTTCGCCTTCAGCAGACCAAGATGGTACTCTGTGGCCTACTTGGGATCAATTAAGAGGATCGCGCAGTCACAGACAGGCGAATAGCCAAACCTTGTTCTTCTGGGCTATAGGATGTACATGTTAGGCAGGTTTCAAGGGGACAGGGTAAGCGCTTACTTCGGGCCATCTCCTCTAGAGGGAGAGGAGCTCATTTTAGCATTCTGGTAGGAAGATAGACGGCGAACCAACCCTCGATTTGCTTGATCTAAAGACCGAGGATTATCAATTCTGCACATTTGATCACAAAGGAAAACCCGCCTTTTCTAGGATACCCATTTTGAATTACGAGGTACAGTTGGAAAAGTAGAAGGTGAATGGAGGTCTCGAGTCAGGCTTTGAATTCTGAATTCTGGGCAAATGCAATCTTGATTGAGCGTGCGAATATTTGATGAAAGTGAACATCACAGACTGTGAATTGTTTCTCGGCTTCACGTCTTCTTCATCGTCCCTCGATGAGGCCACCCTGATCACAATGCGCAAGCACAACCCAACCCTCTACACCCTCTCCGAACGCGACAGTGACGACATAAACGACGACGACGAGAACGTTTCCTGGCAACATGAAGAACACGACCCAGTTCCAGGCCCTTCCAATGTATCGGCCTCGTCCAACCTGAACAGAAGTGTGCGATCTTCACTCAAAGGACGCCAGTCATCTCATTCGAAGGTACCAACGAACGTCAATACCAAGCAAGACATTTACTCTCAATTCGTCAAGAGATACCGTACGAAGGAACATCGCTACGTTGACGAGATGGAGGATTTCCGGAGCGATCCAGACAGCCACTACTATCACAAAGGACTCGGCCAGCTCGTCGACGTTGGGGATGCCAGTGACGACGAAGATTATATGTCTTTGATTGGAGGAAACGACGGTATCATCGAGGGTTCAATGGACGAGATGGCTCATCCAGTGACGGAGAAGGACCAACGGCGGTTGGAGTGGCAAAGCTTGCTTAGCTCCGTGCTCTCAGGGGAGGTTCTGAAGTCGGAGAAAACGCGCTTAGCCGTCGCCTTGGACTCATTTGGGGACGAACAGAACAACTTCAATATGAACATATGGTTGGGGATTCGCGCCAAATTCCATGGCCGCAGTATAGAGGAGGAGAAGCGGAAGCTCGACGAAAAGAGAATACGGATAGTAGACGGTGTCATCGACGAAATCATGAATTTCCGCGTCGTTCAAGACGAAGCAGCACCGACAAACTCAGCCATGAAGCAAGTAACGAACATACTCCATCGACTGGATGTGGCCCAATCACTGTACCCCCATCTCAAAGCATTCTACCTCGACAAGCCCAAGGCACAAGAGGGACCATTCCAAGCGCGCTGCGACGCTCTCAACACCTGGTTCACTATCCTCTCTTCCCTCAAACGTCATCTCACTCGACTTCGTCGATGGACGGGGAGCGATTCCCTGGACGTCAATCATCCCAACCCGAACTCTGAGATAACGGTCACCTCTCAGGGATCCGTAGAACATCCGGACGGGACCTCTTTTGTCGAGCGATTGTTGAAGGAGGAGTCCATGCAGCGCACCTTCGAGAAAGGTTTCCTGGTCACAGTCCATGCTTTTTTGGGCACTGTTCGCGACGCCCACGTCAACCTTGCTGCTCAACTAAAGGAGATGAACCTGCCGACATTTGAAAACGAGTTGGTGCCCTTAATCTCCTTTCCAACGAAGTTGGCGCAAGCTAGCCTTCGGCTGCGGCTCGATTATGTCGGTAAACTAGAGCCGGACGTCGACGTCCTCATCATTGACCAAATGACAGAGGACTTGAAACTCAACATCGGCCTTGCCTGTACTTTGAAACGACAATATCAAGCCTTCCTGGCCCCGGATCCAGACGGAAATTGGGCATTACCTCCATGTATCAGCGAGGATTACGACAGCACCATTTTGGAAGCATTGACCCAGTTTTTTAAGCTGCTACATTGGAAGCTTAAGAGCGGGGTCAAAGGGATATACCTGAAGGAGACCGACGTCCTCGAAGCGCAATGGGCCACCTATAACGATGTGAGTCTTACCGCGGGTGGTTCAAGTCTGGTCGCGGAACACCTATGGTGAGGTCCAAATTTATTAATACCTCCATTGCTAACTCACAAAGATCCAGCTCATTAACCAACAAACTGATGGTTCGAGTCACGAATTACTTCGACACGCAAGTCCGTGTACCGCTGTCAGATAAGCAGTCTGGAAACCAGTCAAACGGTGGCCCCGTTACATCCAGTGCCCCCTCGAGCAACAGCGGAAAAGCATCATCGGACGCTACCACTTCCGGCCAAAGGTTGACAGATGGTCAGATCATCAATTGGTACAGTAAGATCCTTGACGGTGTCCGTCTTCGCTACAGGAAATTGCAGCGCTTCGCCAGGTAAGAAGCAACGTTGCCAGGCCTTTTTTCGTCTCGTTAACAGCCCACAGGGTTCTTACACAACGCTTCAGTAACTCAGCGGAGTACAGCATCGACGATGTCGCGATGGACCATTTGATAAATCTCCTTGTCCTAACCGACCACTTCCTTGTTTACACCCAAACGATGGAAGAGGAGAGCATCTACATCGTTGCCTCAGGCTCCCTGTACGACCGGCCCGACCTCATTCGAAGGATCCTCGTGGAAGCGTTCCACGTGGACGAAATCGCCAGCGAGGAGGGAGGGGTACGGGCTGTCAGCGCAGACTACCTCCTACACGATTCCGATGAAGTCGGCTATCTTCTCGTTCTCACCCCCCATACGCCGTTCATTTGGCATGGCAGGGTCATGTTTGTCCCTGTCCCCAATATTTCCCTAGATCTGAAAGAAGGTCGAATCCGCCTCATTGCCGACGGTTCATACGGTCGCCTAAACTACGCGAAGCAGGTGTTTAGTGATTGCATGGAGTTGGTCGAGGGAGACGATGACAACAGCGGGGTTGAGCCCTTGTACCTGACATGCTTGGTGGAGACTCAGGCACACCTTCCTTCCGTCAATCGGGAATTGCGAAAGATCGTTCGAGCAACCAATCGCCTCGCGGAATCCATCGTCGACTCGGTACACCATGTCAAGAGGTCACTTCGCGGCGCTTCAAACTCGCAAGACCTTCTAGGCAATTGGTATCTGTTCGCATCAGAGCATGGTGCCCATGCCCATAGGTACATGGAGAAATCGTCCCTCGCTCGTTTCAACCGCCTTTTGGTGAAACTCGCAGTTTCATGGGCTTCGTTCATTTGCGATGACTGCGACCCCACAGACCGGAAGACTTTCAAATGGACGGTGAATTCCTTGGAGTTCATCATGCAGCGGACCAAGCGGAACATTCTCCATATCCCCGACGACCAGTTCGAGTTGCTCAAGGCGAAGGTTGGTCACTGTATGTCACTGTTGATAAACCATTTCGACATCCTTGGAGCCCGTTCCAACATGGAGGCGAAGATGGAGAAAGAGAAGCAGGAGATGCTACTTCGATCGAAGGTCGTCGACTCTCGCTTGGATGAAGAAGACTTCCCGCCTTGCCCTAGCGGTGAAGAAGGCAGTTGGTACCTGGATGGCAGCACGCGGAAATTTTGGGACAGGGTATCAAAGGCGTTGCAAGAGCTCGAGGAACGAACGGTTGTTATCCCGCAGTACAGGGGCAAGGTCCTTGACGACGAGAAGCTCGAAGACCGATCGCTTGTCTTCCTAGCCTCCTCCAGTTCCAACATCTCTATTCGGTGGCAACAAGGTCGGTTCATCGGTGCGGGCGCTTTTGGCTCTGTATACCTGGCCATGAACCTCGACTCCGGCTCACTCATGGCCGTCAAAGAGATCAAGTTCCAGGAACTATCTGGTCTCCCCAACCTTTACGCTCAGATCAAGGACGAGCTTAGCGTGATGGAAATGCTGCATCACCCCAATGTTGTCGAATATTACGGGATCGAAGTCCATCGAGACAAGGTCTACATCTTCGAGGAGTATTGCCAAGGGGGAAGTTTGGCCGCGTTGTTGGAGCATGGACGCATCGAGGATGAGCGAATTCTCCAGCTGTACACAGTGCAGATGTTGGACGGTTTGTCGTACCTGCATTCACAAGGGATCGTGCATCGTGATATCAAACCCGACAGTGAGTACTACCTTCGCCATCCTCGACGGGCTCTTTTAACCGTTGTTGCAGACATCCTGCTGGACCAGCTGGGCCGGATCAAATTTGTCGATTTCGGAGCTGCAAAGATTCTTGCAAAGAACCAGCACACTTTGCAACGATCTCGAAGGAGCACGGACGCTGCCTTCAACGCTGCGAATGGAATTGGCGTGATGAGCAATGGGCTGACCGGCACTCCGATGTATATGTCGCCAGAGATGATCAAGAACGACAGGCGAGGGCGTCACGGTGCTACAGATATCTGGTCACTTGGTTGTGTCATTCTGCAGTGTGCTACCGGAAGGAAGCCGTGGAGTAACCTCGACAACGAATGGTAACAGTCAATCCCTCCCCTTCTAAGCCAATTACTCACGTCTCCCTCAGGGCTATCATGTTCCACATTGGTGTTTCCACTCAACATCCTCCATTGCCAGAGCCGGGACAGTTAAGCCCTTTGGGAATCGACTTCATCAAGCAATGTTTGACCATCGACCCCACCTTCCGTCCAAGCGCGAAGGAGTTGATGGACCATCCATGGATGCTTGATCTCCAGGCAGCGCTAGAAGACGATGGTTTGGAGATCGCGACGAGTCCTCGACCAGACACACAATCAGAGTGCTCCGGCGACTCAAGTACTACGTATGGATCTTTGGCAGTTCCAACAGAAACAAACAGCAATGGCTCATGATGCTTATGACTTTATGTTCTTCACGATTCGGCCCCTTCGCTCTATGCGACCATGTATTGTACAACAGCTGCTTTACCCCCTGTATTGAAATGGATACTGAATAATTCAAATCACGGTACGAATACACGAGTTAAAGTTGCGCCGAGAGGGACAATGTACAACAATGGTCAAGAACAAGATCAGGGGTCCAAACGAAAAGAAAGGTATATCTACTCGATCACCCATCGCTTGGATGATTGCGAAGAAGATTGACTGCCCTTACGCATGTGATCTGAGCCACGGGATTGCATTTCGCGGACAAAGCTCGCATGGCTCTTCTCACTTCCGCTGCTGTCGCTCCGCCTCATTTGCGGGACGTCGTTGAGGTTTCGAGTAACAGCTCGAGGGGGAGAAGCAAGTCCAGGAGGACCGGTCTCATATGGCTCTGGGTTGGACTGGAAGAAGCGGGGACCCTGGGAAGCCGTGGGGCCTTGCACATAGTGGTCTTGGGAACCGTACGCAGAGCTGAAGGTAGGAACCAAGGACTCCACCGAGGGGAACGGGTAATGCTCAAGGTCCCGTTTCTCGTTCCAAACGGACGAGCGGTCATCTTCAACGACCGAGTCGTTTGCGTCAACTGCAGAGAGAATATGAGCAACTTGTTAGGTAGAATTCGCAGCGTACTCACGGTACTTCAGCAGTCCTTTGCCGAAATTGAAGCGACAGATGATCCCAAAGATAAAGGACACGCAAGTGAGGAAGACGGAGGCGCTGGCCATGACGGCAAAGAACCTCCAGGTGACAAAGGTCCAGCGGAAGGTGGTCGAGAAAAACATAACGCCCCAGCCGGTGAGGTAAAGAATAGAAAGAACCAGGAAAAAGAACATTGGAAGGCGAAGTTCACGTCGAACGGCAAACCACCCCTGGCGCTCAATCAGTATGTTTGGAGGGTATGTAGTCATTGCATGTACGAACCATCATAAGCCACGGGACCAGAAGCTGAAATCAAGGTAATCAGTACACAAGGTCACAGCGAGGATTATTCTGACATACTGCAAGGGTAATGAAGGAAGACACCTTGTACAAGGTGGTGAAACTGGCGATGTCTCCGATAGCGCTATTGAAGAGCTGGTCGATCCACAAGCAGACAGTTGTCAACATGAAGAACAATGAGAGCTGAATGGTGACGCTGAGGATCAACATGATCTTGTAGATGCGGTTGATCTTGAGCGATGCTCCAACCCGCTTGAAGGTTTGCCATCCGTACAACTGCGCGTCTCCATGAGCACAGATCTATATTTAGGACATTGCGAGTACAAGCTCACCTTGACCAATTTCCAGGTAAGAACGCATGAAACAATGAGAGCGACAGCATGTAAGGCCAAGCTTGGATACTCTGCGAGAGCTCGCGCTTTCCAGAAATCGGGGAGGAGATTGGTTCCCCGGCAAGCGCCATTGGTGATGATACGGTTGAAGTTCCGGCGGAAGATCTCTGTTTGAGTAACCTGGAAGGATACCCAAGCAGTTACCATGACATGTGTGAGAAGGGACGCCAAAATATGAGGAATAGATTCGTTGAGGAGGGCGATGAAAGACATTCCAAGGACCCAGAATTGGAAGGCGATAAAGACAATATCTTCACGCTTGGTGTTGTGGAGCCTGGGAAAGATGAGAAACCGGATAGTTGTCGCTGTATAGGACTTACTGTGAAGCAGGCCAGTTGAGCGCGTCAAGACAGGTATCGCTCAACGTCACCGTCTCTCCGTCCAGAATAATTGAATGCTCGCGCTTGTACATTTGCTAGCGAAACGTCAGGATCTGTCCACTGGGTCAAAGGAAGGCTAACGTACAGTGGCCCCCAGGCTATTCCTCGTGGTTGCCTGGTTGCTGACGACGGGTACTCGAGGCCTGTCGATGCCCCCATCGTCCTCGTCCTCATCCACATCATTGTCGCCATCGTCATTGTCGTCGTCGTCGTCGTCGTTATCGTCTTCAATAGCGCCAGTTGGTTGGGGAGCGGTCGAAACAGGACGAACGAATATGGTCGTCGTGGACACTGACGGCTTGCTAGACGTTGAAGCGAAAGAACTGGGATACTCCGCGGAAGGCGGCCGTTCCTGAAGTCGCACTTGTGAATCTGTGGCTGCATTATCCCCGGACCACACGACTTTGCAGGTCTCCACGTCGAGATTAAGGTTGTTGGAAACCCAGGTGCACAGACTGACAGTGCTCTTCGTTTGGAACGGGAGGCTTGTAGACTTTGCATTCCCCTCCTCCAGGATGTGATCCAAAAAGTAGGCAGCTTCGGCGTTGATAGTGAAGGCACGAATTTGAAGAGAAAATTGGATGGCAAAATGGATAATAGTGAAAGCGAAATAAAAGATTGTAAGACGAGAGAACGTAATCTTATCCCACTAAATGACGAGGAGTCAGTACTTCAGTCTCGACATCGTCCACGACGCGGCTCATACATACCATAGCTCTGAGTTTCCCGGAGAATTGACCAGAATTAGTCCCTTGCCATGGCTGTTGGAACTTCATTATGCCTCTTGAAATCAAAGGAAATGCCACTGGGGCTGCACGTCGCTGACGCCTTGACTGAACAGAGCTTGAAGCAGGCTACGTTCACAGTGGACGGTCCAGCCGAGCAAATGAAGAAATGAAGAAAGTAATAAAGAAAGGAGAGCGAGAAATATGAAAGATGAAGGGGAAAGGAAAGGAGACTAGTGTCTCCGAGTTCCAGGAATCGCAACAATTAGTCGTTGCGAACCTGCCATCATTCGCTCACACACTATCCACTCCCGTCGTGTGGCAACAGGCCACTCATCTCAGTGCCCCCATAACCTTAATACAACAATGGCTTTTATTGTCCATCCGAGCTTCTGATACTTTACATTTGATACCAACACTTATCACCAACGAACCAAAAGGCACTCTTCTCCTCTTCATCATCCAACGGCGCTGAGGCGCACCACCAAGGTTCTGTGGGCACTTCCCGTCGCAAACTGAGATACCCTTCTAACTGCATGTAGCTAAGCACCTCATGGATCTCTTGTCGGTCATAGACAGCCCGCAGGCGCCATCGTATTTCTGCCTGTGGAGGATCACTCAGTCCAAGAACGACAGTCCAGCACGGAGCTGAATATTTACCTGGGAGATTCCTGGCCTGAAAACAACCACATTACACACTGCTCGCAACGCTGCTTGCCAAAAGTCCGGTATCTTGACACCGTGGATACTCAACCATCGTCGCGGGAATGTCAGCTCCCGAGGCTGTTCAGAGGTCACTACCGTCCACCCTGAGATGAATTCGGCCGCGACAATTCTCAACGCCGTATAGCCAACCCAATAAAGTAGAGGCACCTCGCAGTCAGTTGCCTTTTGCAATAATACGGAAGCTTCGACATCATCCAAGCCCGGTATCTGTGCAAGGATTTAGCCAAGATCAACAGGACATCATGTTTCCAAGATGAGATACCTTGAGGCTGTCCTTGGAGCGTCCTTCTTTCCCTGCATCCCTTACGTACATAAGCAATCGGGAGAGCCCTAGTTTCTGCTCATCGTTGAGTTGCTCCTCAACCATATGCCTGGAGTCCCTCAAGCATTGATGGCAGTCGACAACACCACGTTCACTGGATCTGCGGCAGCAAGCGGGCGACCCTTCTCCGTTGGTTCCATGGGGTGCGGCCGAGTGGGATAGGTCCATTGCCGCGTTCTCGTCAATATCAAGTTCGTTCAGCGGTTGCTCGGGAGACGAAACCAACTCTGGGAGGGCGACCGTGTATTTTGTCAAGATCGACGTTTCAATTTGGTCATCATCTATGAAATCTTCAGCTCTCGCCGGAGAGGTTGAGAAATACGGGGCCACTCACCAGCTCTCTTGCTGTTCCAATCCAGCCCCTCCCGCGCAGCTTGAGCATGAGTCGTATCAATTTTGAACTGGACCTGATGGGGTATAAATACGGGCTGGATTGGGCACAAGAATACCCTTACCTGATTTTCAGCGACAAGATGGATCAAGGTAATCGCGTCGCCGTCCGTCGCCGTAAGAGGCCACTCTCGCCAGTCACCGATGGTGTGCACAGATTCCAGCAAAGATGTTGCGTCTTGATAAGTGTCTCTGGGAATGCTGCCACCTATCGCATTTTGATTACTAGAGGCGGGGCACTTAAATGAGCAGCCGTTATCCAGTAACTGAAATGACTGCCAACCTATCAGATATTTTGAGTTGTCGGCCAGGCTTTTGTTTCATTGGATCACGCTGCGACTTCGACAAGACGCCCCTCCCAAGAAGATTTTGCGTTGCTGTTGATACGATGTCGTCCCCTACGCTTCGTAAAAGCGTTGAGGCAACGTCGCAATCATACGTTTCGGGCGGCGAGCCCATCACCATCTGGCTGAGGTCAACAGATTGAAAATTACAATAGTGAAAACGGTATCACCTTGAGAGCTGCTTCTCCAAGCAGTATATGGTCGGGATCTTGAGTGGTTTGGTGCGGAAGAGAGTCGAGATCCCGGGTGAAAGGTAAATTCAGAAGCCGCTTCTCTCTTCCTTCCTCGACTGCTGCATTCCAAACGAAATCAAACGTAGTGGTCCCGGGGATGTCTTCCAACACATGATAATAACCAAATAGCTGATCAACGCTGTTGGGAATGATTGTTGTGAGCGAACTCTTCTCTTGTCCAAAACCGATTCTCCTGTAGCGGGAGTTGGTGAATGCATTTGAGGTCGTTGAGAGGCGAGTACTTACAAAGCATTCTTGTCAACATGGTTTCTCAGGAATTCGATATGATGTATCAACTCGAAATTGCTTGGACTGTCTGGGTGCTCGTCGGGGAGTTCGTCAGTCCCACGATGTTTCACCCAAAGTTCATACCACCGATCTTCCAAACGTCGCAAGTAGGAGTCGTTCCCAGGAATCTCCCTAAGGTTGGACAGACGTTGTCTGACCGTATTCCTTGGAACCGCAGGGAAAACTTGTTCAAGTGCCGTCCAATCCAATCGTGATTGACTTCGACATCGTGCTCGGATGATGACTGACGCATCCTGAGCGAGTTCGTCAAAGTCTTTGTTCCACTGGAACCGTTGCCTTCGAAGCCCTTTCTTCTCGCCCTCTGGCGACCCCTCATCTGAAACTGCATCAGCGAAGCGCTTCACATATGAAACGGGAAACCTTACCTTCTTCGGCCTTCTTCTTCGACTTGGATTTCCTCTTGTAGAGCCCTTGGTCCAACAAAGGTTGTTGCTGCTGGATAAGTAACTGGATGCTGGCTGATACAGCGGATGTCGGAGGTAGGGCTTGAATACCCATCAACGAAGAGCTGGGAACAGCGGGTCTAACAGGAACCACCCGTTTGGTTGGAACTTTGAGTATCTTGCTTGTCGCAAGTTCTGCTTCCCGAAGGGCGTCCAAAACCTCTCTTTCCCATTTTTGGAAATCGCGGGTACCTGTCTGCATGAACCGAGTTCGAACTCGGTCAACACGCATTGCAGCGGCAGGTGGAATATCGCCTGGGTGTAAACGCTCAATGAGAGCATTCCACTCTTGCTCCCTATGGGCTTTGGCCTCTTCCGCTTTCTTGACAATGGAAGAACGGCCCTCGGCAAGTCGCTTCAGGCGCTTCAGCTCTTTGTTCTTCGACCGAATCTTCTCCTTCTGGCCCTGCAGCTTGCTTGAAGCGGACTTCAGATGTTGTTCGATAACCTCGAGAGGGGCACTGGTCACCCAGCTCAGCCGTTGCAATTGTGCATTTCGGTCGGCGTCGTCCAGGATAGTAGAACCTGTTGCGATGTCTACCGATTTTTCCAAGAATTTCATCTGGTGCCAAGTGAGCACATATCCAGCGTTCCAGGAGACCGCTCTGCGCAGCGAACGCCCGATGCTTACGCTGGTCGACGGAGTCTCGGAAGCAGCACCACCGGCGAGGGAATCAAGGCGGAGGGCGTCACTAGATGCGGATTGTAGCTCGTCCCAGAACAAGCGAGCGGTCGCAACATCGGAGGTCGGAACAACTTTCCAAAGTGGGGGATTCAACTCCGAGGTGTGCCATAAGTGAATAGGGGCTTGCGTATTAAAGTACCAGTATGTCGGGGCAGCATGTGGCGTGCTTGGGGTCCAATCGTCGTCGGTGTAAAACTCAAAAGCGCTCGGATGCTCGCCGCGAGCTGCACAGGTGACGAAAGGATTCTCCCCCGTTGAAGGCTTCATCGGAACGACCAATTGCAGTTGTCGGAGAAACTGGAGTGTATCGAGGATTCGCGACCGCGAACGAGATCGACCGACTTGAAGCATCGCGTGGAGGTCTTGCGGTAAATCCTTCACCAAGGTCTCTTGTCCTCCCGGTTGTTGGAAGAAGCTGGTGAGCTGGTCATTGTGGGCGAGAGCAGAGACGAATTTCGTATATTGCCCGACGGGGGCATCTTGGCAGAAATAGTTGACGTCGAGAATACGAACTTCAGGAAGTATGTGTACTGATTGAGAATTCGACTCGAAGAGTTGCATTGTCAATAAATGGAACTCTTTGGCCCTGGCTGCTTTTCCCACGATGAATCCATACAGTTGGCCAACTGTCGTCCTCTCTGACAAGAGTATGTCACGAATGGTAGCATCGTCGTGTTTGAATAGTTGGGTTGCTCGGGCCACATTCTTGCTCCATCTTTCCTTCTTGTTCTCCGCAGGTTGTTCCATTTGAAGCAATTGGAGGGGGAGTATGCCTCGTGATGACGAGCTGGGATCAGCACCATATTCCAGAGGCTCTGCAATCTTGACCGCTGAAGTAGAAGGGGTTATTGCGGGCTGCGAAGTGCGGGCGATATCGGCAAGAAAGGAATTCAACTGCTCTCTGCTCACGTCAGGTAGGTAAACCACAGTGGCAGGTTTATTCAAACCAGTATGCGTGGCAATGGACGTTTTGAGTTGCTTCACTTTACCCTTCCGTTCCAGCGAGTCGATGGTCAACGTGGCGGTTCTCTTGTCCGTCCTCGTTCCAACAGGGGCGCTGGTAGGCTCGCCACCTTTCGCCAGTGTCTCCAACAAAGCCATATGAGCTTCGTAGAATTCCTTCGTTTGAATGTTGACAATACCACCAGCTTCCTCAATCACCCGCAAGATTTCGTTTTCGCGGCGAAGGTGGGACACATTGACTCGCCCCCGGCTAGATCCAGGAGTGTTAAATTGAGACTGGACGGTGGGCGAAGAGTTCGATGGAGGGAGCGGCGAAGCTTGCGATATCGCGGCAGAGGAAGGTTCAATAGCGGGTGGTTCGGCAGCAGGAGCTGGTTCGATGATGGTGAGCTCCACAGGCGGAGGATTTGTCGACTCCCTTGGAGGGGAAGGAGAGGTCTCAGGAACAGGGTGAGCGCCATTATGTTGGGTCGCAAGGTCATCGGTTACAGGAATCGCGGTGTGTTCAGGGTGTTCTGATATTTCTGATGTGGGGCCCTCTACCATCGGTCCTTGGACGCCACGAGTACGCTTTGCGGAGATTGGGTTATCTACGTTTTCTGCCTTTCTTTTGGGAGGGCGCCCACGCTTTCGTGGGGCTGGCGCTGATTCAAAGGGTTCCTCATTTCTCGCTGTTGAGACAGGGACTGGGGATTTCCCTAAGTGGGAGGCCTGATCAGCTCACGGACGCATACAGGATAAGTGAATGCATACCAAGGGCTGTACTTCCGACATCAGTTGAAACCGCATCAACATCTTGCATTCGAGTACGTTTCCTGGGACGTTTGGAATCATCGTCAACCAGATTCTGGTCTACAGCGTCCTCGAGATCATTCGTCGGTGAAGGGCTCTTCTTGCGCCTCTTCCCTTTAGCCTTGGGAGCCGGCTTGGAGTCTTCCAGAGGTTTCTTTCGAGGCCGACCCTGTTTGACTGTCCCGTCTGGGAGAATCGGGTTTTTGTATTGGCGCTTAGCAGCCTTCCCAGTCTTCGCTGGCCGAGTGAAAGTATCTTGGAAGCGGTGCAATTCGGAGGGATCGTCGTAAAATGCTTCAGCGGATGCGTCCAGAAATTCGCCTTGTTGAGATATATCAACGTTGTGATAGCCAGCTGCAGATTTGTCAAACTGCTCCGTAGCGACTAGTTTCTGGTATGCTGAGACGGTAAAGTATCGGTGTCGTCGCTCCCGTCCATTGGTCTCCATCAGCGCTGCTATGCCAAGGTCAGCAAGATGTTTGGGTGGTTGCGATCGTTCTGCTCGGGTGAGAAGCAACTCAATGGTCCGCTTGTCAAAGTTGTTTAGGGCGCGGGACAAATCCTATAACAAGGTCAGTTTCGAGTAGAGTGGGTGGATGACTTCCATACATTCAAAGTCATGCCAGTAGGCCCCGCCTCTTCCAAAAGATCGATGATTTGCTTGTGAATGGTGACGTTGAACTTGACACCCGCCTCCTCATCTTGCGACTATGTTCAGACAACGCTCAGTCTCAGACTGTTACGCGACTCACCAGCGAGTTCGTCTTCCTTCTCGTCCGCCCCAACGACAATGGCTCCCTCGATTTCGTTGCTCGCTCCTTCACTGACCAGGCGGAAACATTTTACTGAGGTTCCGTTCGCCTTCTTCCGGCTGCTTGGCACAAGGATCTTCTCGATGACCCCTTGTTGGATCAGCTCCCGAATGCGGCTTTGGAAGAAACGGCGGTCAGTCTTGCTTGGATTGGAAAAGCCCTGGATCGAAAGTCAGGCCGCCGTCCCGAACCGATAACTGGGGATTTACCAGTGTAAGGAGCATGTTATTAGATGCGTGTATTTGATTCTTTGACGCCTTGAGTAACTTGACAACTCGGGCCTTGACTAATGGTAAACTCGACAGGTGTCGACTGTCGATGGGCGTGAAGTCGAGGCTTGGGGCCACGCTCATCTCTTCGTCCTCTTCAATGTCGGGGAATGACTCTTTGATGTTCTCTGCTTCTTTGGCTCTGTTCTCTTCCTCTCTGATTGCTTTCCATGACGGGCTTCTGTCGTAGAAATGCTTATGGATGCAGAAGTGTGTTCCGACTCCACCACGTCGAACCTTGACTCTGGAAAAGAAGGTAAGGCGACGGCCCCTGTCAAGATAATAACAACATACACGAGGTCCATTTCCGTCAATTGACGGACGAGGTAGAAACACGTCTTTTGGTCGTACTTGGTCTTTTGGCCCAACTCCACAACCGTTACACCTTCGTCGCGGCCTCGAGTGATGATTTGCAAGGCGGTGTACACCATGGCGCTCAACTTGGGCGTCTGTAAAGAGCGATAAATATCATTCACCTGGAATCTCAATTCGACTCACTCGTATGTGTGACCCTGTAATCCCTGCAAAGATAGCATCTGGATCCAAAGCTACCCTAAGCCTATCTCCGTACAAGTTCTTCAATTCTTCCAGAGGCGCCGTCCGTGCATTTGGGATAGGTTCCAGTCGTGCAGGAGTAGTTTCAACATGTTCTTGACCAGACGCCTTCGCCTTCCGTTTGGCACTCGTTTGCGGTGCGACCCAGACTTCAGAAGTCACACCCTCCGGAATGAGACCGACAACGACGGTAGGATGTTGGACTACCAAGGACCAAACGAAGGAACAGAAGGCATCGTCGGCATTCTGAATAGTGGGGTTGTCCGAGTGGGAGTAGAATCCGATGATAAAGTCTTTCAATCTTGACGCATCGCAACCTGCAATTGTTTTTCAAGAGTCAGAAACCAGAGAAAAGATGTTGAGAGCGAGGTTCGAACTCTCTGCTCCTCGTCGTCCAGGGTATCACATGATGCCAAAGACTTACCGAGGTCGCCATCGAAAGAAAGCTCTCGTAGACAGTGGTGGAGAAGCTCGTCCATCGTGCCTGAGTGAGAGGCCTGAAAATGGGCTGGCCCCGCTCCAACGATGAGCAAGGGAATCCGAGATAAGCTCGCGGTTTGGTAAAGGCGCTTTGTTATTCCTGACGGTGACGGGCGTTCAAGGACGCGTCGCTGCGACGACGATGAGTGTCGAGAGATGCTCGGGGCCCAAAAAGCGATAAGCGAAAAGTGAGGAGGACGTTGAAGCGCTAGGACCACCGTCTTTGCTCAATTGGCGGATCACAACCTCGTGACTTGCGTGACGTTGGGACGAGCGAATTTGGCCATCTGGCTCAATGGTAACCCTCACCAGTAAAGACAACAAATATTCAATCCAAGAGAGGTATTATTCGTGGTCCATCATAAGTAATGCAAGGGATACAGTGGTAGGTATTCAATAAAGAATAATCTAGAAGCTTGGGGGGGGTTTGGTCAGATGGGCGACCATATTTTGACATTCTAAAGGGTGATGATGTCGTCCAAATCTAGGGTGCGTCTTCGCAAAGGCGTGAAGGGGGGTAAAGGGGTCAGGAGGATATCCAACCAATCTATGAAGCTGCGGCCGCTTGTGCCTGTCGTTCCTCCCAGAGGGTTCGCAGCACATCGGTGAACGCTGTTTTACCCAGTTGAGCATTGTGCTCGAACCGCTGTACCAGCCATTTCTCTAGATTGTCGGCCGCCGATCTCCACAGGGAGAGCCTGGCCTGAATCTCCGCTGTTTGGTGGAAGTTCGTGGTATGTGGTGTTGAGGGAGTGTATCGGACGACCTCGTAGCATGTGGCGAATTGGGACAGTGACAGATTCACGGAGGTGATGGTGGTATTTTGGGTTGCTGGGTCGACGAACGAAATCTCTCTAACATAGGCATCTTCTGAGCCACCGAACAGCTGTAAGCTAGTCAGAACATAGTACTTTTCTGAGAATTGGGCAGTGAACACACCTTTATTATCCAACCGGGGGCCTTCTGCTTGCATCGGAACAGTCGCTCTGTCCGCACGACGCCCGTCTGGGGGTTGACCTGGCGGTCAACGACATCCACGCTGATAACATGTGTGCACTTGGGATTAGGATATTTCCTCCACATTCCAATCACGACATGAGACCAAGGATGGCTAGACAACCGTTAATTAGGACTCGGTGAGTAGAAGAAAGCGGACGACGTACTCGTATTCGAAGTGCTGGGAGAAGAAGTGCATTTTGGAGGAATTAAGGGTATATTTAGGATACTAGTGTACAACCCGGGAGACAACAGAGGAAGGGGGAGGAAGGAGCAGCCTGGGGAAACGCTACTTCGAGGCCGGGTAGATGAAGGACGATGACTACACAACCTGTCCTTTCAAATTTCCACCGCGCTCACACTTTACCTCCGAAAAAGGGGCTCGGCATTTGCCGACGCTTGGCCTGTTCTCTCCGAACGGCAACTGATTGCTTGCTCATCATAATCACATGCCAGCTTCATTCGATTACAGTGTGAGATTAATTCACATACACTAGACTATATAGGTATCCTATAGAGACTTGAGTTGCGCCAGTCGCTCCCGCATCTTGGGACTGAACGAGCCAAATTAGCGCCCTTTCACAGTGTAGATCACAGAGGTCAACTTACACTTCCAACAGTTTGGCCTCAAGGCTCTGTTTCTCCTCCTGGAGCGCTAATCGCTTTTCAGCGTCCAGTTTGGTGCTGTGATGCGAGGTCAGGTGCGCCACGGAGCATCGAGTGGGACTATGACTCACAAGACATATCCTCCTTGGCCATCATAATGCAGAATCAGGGAGTGGTACTTCCAAAGCGAAGGCCGATGCGACACTGTCAAGAGTGTAATGCCCAATTTGGTCGCGTGCTCCATCATACGGCCCTCAATCTCCAACGGCACCAGTGAAGTGGCCTCGTCGAGTACAGCATACTAAGAAGGATGAGTAAACAGCGCGCTGTAAAATATTGAAGACATACCTTTGGGCAGTGGTAGAACAGCCTTGCCCATGCAATCTTTTGCTGGTCTCCACCGCTCAGGGCCTCCCTCCACTCCCGAGCTGTGTCCCAGCCTCCCTCGCGCTCCACCACTCCGTCCATGTTCACCATAGCCAAGATTCTAAGAAGATCCTCGTCTCTGATGCCACCTGAAAGGGAAATTGAGGATCGAGGTCACAGACATACCCAGCGGTTGACTTACGGGACTCCATCTCCGCCTTCGAATGAGGATAGGTAACTTGGTCACGAAGCGTGCCGAGAGAAAGGTACGGTCTCTGGGGGATCAAGATGAATTGAGACGCTGCTGGTTTTCGAACAATGCCACCATATACAGGCCAAAGGCCGCCAAGAATACGGAATAATGATGACTTTCCACATCCTATACCAGGTCAATCAGCTTTGAGACTGCGAGTATTCAGCTTAGAACACACCATTTGGTCCGACAATAAGGAGGTGTTGCTGCATTATTTTTCATATTAGCAAATTCAAAGACGCGTGAGGACGACACATACCCCAGGTTTGACATGGAAGCTAAGACTTCGCACAAGGATATCACCATTTGGCGTCACAATCGGTACGTTCTCGAATTGGATCTCGTCAGACTCAATGATTTCACCTCGAGAACGCAAAACTGTAAACGGACTTCAGGCAATGACTCTATTTGAAAAAGGAAGCAAGACCTACTTTGGCTGTTCTCTTCCGTGGTAGCGGTGCTGACAAGCGCTTTTTCGAATTTGCCCTTACGAACGTCATCCATGGTCTCTAACAACTGGGAAACGCGGGAAGTGTATCCGGCCAATTCAGCAATGTCCTTATAGGAATACATAACACGGCCAAAAGCATCTGGAAGATCTTTAATAAACGAGCCGTACGGACTGAAGTATGGCATACCTGAGGACGACAACAACAATCGTCGGTTAGTCACAAAGCCTTCGGTACGACTTCCAAGGTCAATGGTCTTCATTCCGGGAAGTTTGAAGAACGCTGGAATAGCACAGAGGACGAGCTGAACGACAATAAGAGAACGCAAACTTTCAGACTCGACAACGACAACACTCACACCAAAGCTTCCCCAGAGCCATTTGATGACACCCTCTTCGATACAGCCGAACCACCAACGAGCATTGAGAACGTTATGTTCATGCTCCATCACACTGGAATACTCCCGCTCAATCAACAGTTTCTCTGTCTTCTCGCCACCCATAAACGCAACTTCCTCAGAGAACTCGGCCAGGCGAGCATGAGTATGGCGAAGGGATCCAGCAAGTTGAGCAGAGAGCGCCGTGTATGTGCCGAAAGGGGGTGTCAGGTATCGCACTGGGGATTTCAGTGAGCTTATTAATTTCACGACTTCGAAAAGTGGGGGCCGTACGGAGGACAGCAGTGGAGTTGACGAGAATCGTCAAGACAAGTAGACCTTCAGCACCGACATTCTGTGAGAGCTGGTAGTTGTAGAGGATGACGTCTAGTACGGGCTTTGCTAGATTGGAGTAGATCGCGGCGAGGTGTGATGAGAAGCGTTGGATGTCATGAGTGATCATCCTGGACACTGTATTAGCGGGGCACAGGATGGGCTAGGACGTCCTCCTTACTGATCAGGGTTCTTGATTCTGTCGTCCAGATTTGCTGCGAACGATATGAGACAATGTAGAACTTCCAAGCAAAGGTAACTTACATAGCTTATAATAGACTTTGCCATCTGGGCCCTCGTGCTCCTCTCCAAGGTATTGCATTACGACCTCTTGTGTGAGACGGGTACGGTATGCGATGGCCAGCTTGTTTTGAATATAGCTAAGCCAGCTGTTGGTCCATGTTGCGGGAATCGCGACCAAAAGCCATCGGAGGATGTTATAAAAGAACTCGAGAGGTTTCGCTCGAACAAGACTAGCCACGATCCTGGATATCACGGAATTCGTTATTCGTGCGCAGGGCGAACTCTGGAGCATCCACGTACTTTCCATCCAATGCGGCAACGTACAAGGAGATGGCTGTTCGGAAAACCAGCAAACTGGAGTGCATAAACAAGAGCAGAGCCTCTTTCGAGCGGACACCAGGGATGACGATTCTCAGAATATGGCCAAGTCTGGCATAGAACTGTGCGTCAACCTGTGATAATTCATAAGGTGAGGTTACAGCATTTAACCTCGAGTGACATAAAGACATACCTCAACTTTGGTCGGTTTGTTCTCGCCAGCTTTGCCCTTCCCTCGTCGTCCTTTCCTCCCACTATCATCTGAGACCTTCCCGGACCTGCTGGTGAGGCTGAGATATGTTGAACCGAGGGTATAAATAATAAAAGATATGTTTAGCACTCGTTGCACTGTGGGCCTGTGTTTCGAGTAGCTCTGCGCAAACTGAGCAAACTGCTCTTTCCTGAGGGTGGATAAAACAGCCATCTCTACCCCCGCGCTCAATGGTCGTTGGGGCTAGAGAACCCTCGAGTTTCTCGGCTACAGGGTAGGGGTGACGATGAGAAGAAGGAGAGAAAGACAGTAAGCTCGCATTGGTGAGACTGGGATAGGATCCTGAACCATGTGAATACGTTGGGTCATGATGTGCATGATGCTTACGGTCCGCGCAAGCCGTTTACCAAGATCAATAGGGGCTACTAGGTATATCTTATCTCACAACACTAGTCTAATCTCTACATTAAACTTGCAACTTTCCGTCGACAATGCGCTGTTTGACCCAGCGAAGGGCATCGCTCCAGTCCTTGACACGCCAAAGTGGGGCGCCCTCAGGGATTGGGACAGACTCTCCCTTCCAAAACTCTTTACCACCTTCGCGCTTCAATCGAATGTCGAAGGTTGTGTCTTCGTGGCTATCCGCGGGATTGCAGACCCGTTGATTCCATTGGTAGTCTCCGAACAATAGAACGGGTGTGGGGTTTTCTGCGGATGCGACGCTGAGGGCGTTCTCCGACGAATCGTCGATCAAAAGCAGGGCCTTCAGATCATGGCAAACCTATACAAAGAGATCAGCATGACTGACGATCGAAAGCAATAGACACTTACTTGGGCTTTACTTAACCGTGTGACAACTTCGTGGCCTTTTTTATGAGCATCTTTGAACTGACCAGTGCAGACGATGCTCTCAAAGCATCCTAGGACGTGGGTCAGGTCATAATCAAGCAGAATGTAGCGTGAGCGCAAGGCGCACCAGGGAAATATCTCTCCACCCATTTCCAACTCTGATCTGCGGTATCCTCTGCCCTCGCAGTAACGATAATCAGGCGGAAGCCTAGCTGTCGAAGATTCTCGATTCCTTCCCTGGCCCCAGGCACCGGTTTCGTATTGTAGATGATGTCGGTCTCGTAGAACTCGCGCACCTTCTTGAAGGTCTCCTCCGGTGTTCCCCAGTACGGATTCTGTCTCGTTGTTTCAGATGACGTGCTACGCATTGATTGCGTTGGTTCCAGCTTACCTTCCAATAGTAATAGTCTCAAGCCGGCAATTAGCTTCACGGTCAGCAGTTATATGTGCGATCTTCACTCACAGAGGAAGTCAGATAACTTCATGTTGGTACCATACTTTTCATTATGCCCTGGAATAAATGTGAACGCGGTTCTACTCTGACAGTGAAGTTGCTCACATTCTGCAACAGCGACATTGGTCTGACTCAGGACGTCATCCAAATCCACAGCGATCAGAGGGCCAGCCGGGGGAATGAATTGCTCGAGAACAAGGCGTTCTTGAACTTCTTCTTCGAGTTCAATGGGTTTGTGCTGAGGTGATTCGAGCTCATTGATGGACGCAGCGGCTGACATGGTGAATGGTTGCGGTGGTTCAGGACAAGGAGAAATATTCTGACTCGAAGGGCCCACATGGTTGCTTGGAGTCGCGGGAGATTTGGAAATTGCGAGTGTAAGAAGCACATCGGAGATGATCCTAGATGATTACATCAGTTTGTCACTACTAAGTACCGCGCCCCAAAGAACATTGTTGGTAAGTAAGGAGTAATGGGCCTTCTTAAACTGACTGTCACGCTTGTAAAAGGCTGTTCGAGTTCACCTGTTTATTACCGATAATAACAGCCACTACAAATACAACATATGTAGACAAGAGCAACAGACAGAAAGTGATATGATACAGATGTAAGTTGGAAGAAGTTGGTTTCACCTCCAATATATTCGCTCAAGCGACTTGTTGAACCTGTTCCAGTGTAAGTAGGCATCCATCCATTTAAAACGCGCAAACGCACCTTTCCCGAGCGGACGTCATATGTCCATCCAGTGATCTTGGTCTCAGGGAGGACGAGGGGATTCTCCTGCAAGAACTTGACATCGCTCTTGACGCTACCTTCCACGTCCGAGATTTCCAAGAAATCGATTTTGTCCACAGCGCTGGCCACGGCATCGTTTCCTGGAGCAGCGTCCTTGACGATGTCTTGAAGTTGAGGGGTTGTAAAGGTCAACATGCCACAATCGGTGTGGTGGAAGACCGCTACTTCGCGGGTGCCCAGCAAACGTTGGGAGATAACAATGCTTCGCAGGGCTTCTTTACTGGAGAGAACATTCAGACATAATGGTAAATGTTGGGTGGAGAACTACTTGCGCGGAACCGCCGGCATTACGGATGACATGGGCGTCTCCTAAGTCAATACCGAGCTGCGAGGCAGGCCTGAGGGCCTCCGTTAAATGCACGAAAAATAACTGACGCGGAACTAGCGTTCGTACTCGATACGGGCGTCCATGCATGTTACTGTGAAGGATCGCTCGTGTCAGAATGCCGACGGCTACTCCCCAAATACAAAACAAACACATACCAACAGTGTACTTCTTCGCGGGAGGAAGGGGGAGATGACCTTTGTCGAAAGCTGCGACATAGGCAGCATTGTTAGCAGCGAAGGATTCGTGGGCAGGCATGGCAAAAGATGAAGCGGTGGGTTCAAACTGAGTAAGGATCCTCGATTTTTAAGGTCCACAAGGACAAGGACATTTTTCATCATGGTGCGCGATGGCGCAATCATCCCAGTCGAGCAAAGAGGGTTTAGGCTAAAACGACATGGTCAGCGCGCCACCAAGCAGATGTCCAAGATAGTCTGCTGGATGGGAAGACCATGGCTTGACCATCCTCTCCTTGTGGCACCCGTAGAAGGCCAGAAACATGGACAGCAGGAGGTGAAAACGCAAGGACAGGGCGGTGAAGACTACGCTTTAAGCTTTAAGGCTGATAGCATTGTGGGCAGAACTGTCAACGAAGAGAGAGAACCGAATAACAAGGAGTTGCGTTGTTAGTCGCTAGTCCTCCAGCTGATCGTTTGCAAAAAAAATGCGTCAGAAAACGATATAGTAGAGCAATCCAGAGTTTAGAGAAAAGAGAGATGATCGCCCGCTACGCCCGGATAGTTGTCACTGTGTCAAGAATTCCAAAATTCCCACATGTGGTATCCCCTTTTGAGCGTGTCGTCGTAGGACCACCGTGTCAGAATCAGCTCTCAACAGCGACCAAGATGTCGACAGCTGCAGAGCTCAAGTCACTGCTTGCCCCAGCATCTACCGAACTCTCTGTACAGCGAGCTACAGATAGCCTGAATGCCCAATTCACTTCTATCGATGATTTGGATCATCTCGACACCATGGCGCCTGAGGCCCAGTCCAGGAAGGAAGAACTGAACAGAGAGGTGAGCTCGAAGAAACAGTGGATCTGGCTTATTCTGACTAACGGATAGAGCAGCTATCGTCGTCCAAGGCAGCACTTCGTCAATATCTGAACCAGACTCGCGACGTCGCAGCTGGACTTCTGAATACCGCAAAAGAACTTTCACTGGAACGGCATACCTTGGCAGACGAATTGTCTGAACTCAGCAGGAATCTGGTTTCCGTATTGACTGACGGGGAGCCTCAATCGACACTACTCGAGGACCTGCAGACCCTACATCGCAACTTGAAGGAGTTGGAGAGCGTAAGGCACTATGTCCTGATCATTCGGCACACGTTACAACTGAGGTCAGAGCTTGTACTTTCTGGCTCACAGCAGACTAACACGAGACTTGCAGAGAGGCGGCGTTGGAACAACTGCGAACGGTGCAATCCATTTCGTTCAAAGCTCTGGACCAATACAGCGAATTACTGCAGTTCGTTTCCCGTGTTTCAGCCGCTCTCGGCTCTGTCGAAGATGGCTCTGGAAAACAGAAACTCCATCTTGTCAAATTCTTGGAAGAAATGCGGGATAAGACATGGCGTGACATGAAAGCGCAGCTTGCAAGGTGCGTTTGAAACTTCGCGCTTATGGGACACATTCCTCATTTTCGTGCAGTTCTCTCTTAGAAGAGGCAGAGAAGATCGGATGGCCAATGGCTGTTGAATACGCTGCCTGCGACAAAGACATTCGCCTGTCGTTTGAACGTGCATTTGTCAAGTTACTACAACTCCGCCAAGTGTAAGTCTATCTCCACCTACCAGAGGAACCCGTGTCAATTCCGTACCAGAAAGATCAAGTTGCACGAGAAACACAGCTTGGAAGACACTGAAGGAGGGGGATTATATCCTATCGAAGCACTGGTTCATCCTATCGCACTCCGTTTCAAATACCATTTCGACGGCACTCGACAGACCAATCGTCTTGATAAAGTAAGGACCGATGGTTTCCTTGGATGAGTACCCACTAACAACATGTTCAGCCAGAATGGTACTTCACCCACATTCTGAACATTGCACACGAACACCGTCATTTCATGAACACCGCGATACAACACATCCTCGCCGCGTCCGGTTTGAAACACATATCCGCTTGGGTAAGCCAATTCTGGGCTTTCAGCATGCACGCGTAGTGACCCACTACTCCAGCGCGAATTCGCGTACCTCCTCCTACCGATACTATCCAAGAAATTGAAGAAAACGATACCAATGTTACTTTCTCGCCCTTCTTTATTCGCACATACAATCCATCAAGCCGTGATATTCGACGCCGCATATGTTGAAGAGGGTTTCCAGCTGCAAGGAACCTCGGCCCAATCTGAGGGAGACCCTGACGCGACATGGGAAGGCATCAGCACAGTGATACTGAGCAACTATGAATGGTTCAACGCTTGGTTGCAGGCAGAAAGGAACTGTGAGTATATGATACTGGGTGGCGGAGAAAACGGGGCTAAAATGACGATTGCAGTTGTGGAGGGCCAATACAACGAGATCATATCCGCGCAGGACGCCTGGACGGTATCGGACGATTCAGAGGAAGAAGCCAATGCGTGGGATCTCAAGCCCACCAACTCAGCACGGCGTGTCAAGGCTCTCTTCAACCAGATAACAGGTAGCACTTCCCTTCTTTCGTTATTCCTGTCACTATTTCTAACGGAAGAACTAGATCGCTTCTCGCCTTTACCATCTCCCGTCCAGCGGACCCAGTTCTTGGTTTCAATTCAATTGACGTTACTGGAATCCTATCACAGCCGTATATCCTCCTCATTGGACGCCTTTGAAACACTATCCAATGCATTCCTTCGTGCGGTACCTGGGGCCCTAGCGCTGAGCTTGGGGAACCGGGAGGAAGGGAGCGTAAACGTCGACGCTCAGAACCTGACCACTGGAGTGGCCGGTGTACAAAGATTGTGCAAAGCACTGATTAGTGCAACCTACATTCGAGCCGCCATCGAGGCCTGGTCAGAAGACACGGTAAAAATCAATTCTTTCAAGTCTTCATCAGAATCTAACGTGATGCCGTAGTTCTTCTTGGAGCTCTGGCAGGACATTAGCAACGACCCTCCGCTGAGGCACTACGTAGAACAATCTGTTTCCCTTCCCAACCTTGATCCAGAAAACTCGGGAGACGAGGTCGCCTGCGGAACCATATTCGATGAGGTGGTGTCCAAATATCAAAGCCTCATTGCTCGAACGGAAACCATGGTTGTTCAACAAGTGTGTGGAGAAATTGAAGGTGGTTTACGTGCCCACTTCGTTGCTTCTACAAGGTGTGTTCTCTTCCCTCTATCAACGCCTGCGGATTTTGATGTCACCGTTGTTAGTATCGCTGCCGGTGAACCTTCAGATGGAATTGGGATCTCTCAGACGCTGTTGGGGCCACTAGCCCTCTTATCTTCAGATCTCACTTTCCTTGCCGCTTCACTGCCTCAACACATTTTGACCAACCTCTACCGTCGGATCGCCTCTCGTTTATCGGAACACATCCTCCATCGGCAAATTCTCTATCGGGGGAGTTTCTCGAGGCAAGAAGGTGCCAGTCTGCAGGCCGAGTGCGAGCTGTGGGTTGATACATGTCATACTGCATTGGGCGGGAAGTTGGGGGGAGGGCGACAGCGAGTGGAAGCCCCATGGTCGACCTTGCTTCAAGCAGGGAGACTCGTGGGTTCTTCAGGCGAGCCATGGGAGACCATCACAAATGCCACGTTTGGGACCCAGGATGAAGTCGAGTGGGAACAAGTAATGTTGGATGTGACTGGTGTGTCAGAATTGAGTAGGGAGGACGTAAGCAAGCTTCTCAGACGTAGAAACGACTGACTTAAGTGGAGCGAGTTGTGGTTACAATATATCCTTTTAGTTAGGTGAAGGTACCGACACGAAGGAAAGACAGCTTGGTTGAGGAAAGCCACAAAGCAAAGCGGAAGGGCCAATGAAAACGATACATAAAATAGGTTACTCCTGAAAACCAAAAGGGGAGGAAAACAACAGAAAAGCGAGTACACTACGTACACAAAATGGTTACATTACTCTCAGGGTCCAAGGCTGCATGTTTCCATCCGCGGCTGCCGCAGCCTGAGCAGCTGCCAGCCATTGCGGATCAACACCGTTGGGCCCATTGGGAGCCATAGCTGCAAGATCCAGCGAGTAATGGATCGGCTCGCAAGCTATAGTTCTTCCCGAGTGATACCCTACACCGTCACTTGAGCGGATAAAGAGCAATGGGAGGCTTCGTCCAGCCATTGAAGGTGGCGGCGGTGGTGGCGGTGGGACGCCTTCCTGACCTTCGCTTTCCTGGTGAGGCTTGCTACCCGACACGTCAGAGGCTGTCGGCACTGGTTCGTCTTCCATGGCTTTGATGACATCGGCCAGCGGAGGCAATTCAACAATGACGATGGTGTGTAAGGGGCCAGTGGACACATATCGATTGGCAGGGGCATTAGGATCACCCGCAGGAGGCGGAACCTCCACCGGAGTGACAGGAACGAAGGGCGAGATGGACGTTAGCGGGCCAGGGGGACTTGTCTGATACACACGCGTGTGCAAGGGACCCAGGCTGCCTAGGTAAACATCCAACGGAGTTTGCATCCTGGTTTTAGGGTGGGCATAGAAGAAATTGGAGACGGTGAGTTCAATGGTGTTGTTTGCGGCTCGGTAGACGGGGGCGGTAAACAAAGTAGGGAAAGGCGTGATAGGTGTTTCGGGTATCTTGTTGTTTTGTCCGAAAGCATCGAAGAAAGTGTACTGGAATTTAGCTGCAGCCTCAGGTCAGAATACGTCTCGAGTACTGAGTAACACACACTCACAAATGCCAACAATGGTCCAGCACAAATAATCATCAACTTCGTCAGAGATAACCCGTATCCCATCCCTGACTTCGTCCCTAATCCTCGGGTTCTGGAAGAGAAGAGGATGTGTGCCAGCCTGCGTTGACATGCCTGGAGCTGGCGGCGCCACTACGCCAGGTGTACCCGGAAGAGGACCTGCGGCTGAGAGGTAATGCCGAGAGCCATCTGGGTTCACTCTCTGAAGAGCAATCTTCTGCATCTGGCTAACTGGACCTCCGTCGTCGGGGGAAACGCGACCCTTGTCAACTTTCCGGATGACCAAAGGGGAGGTTGAGATACCGGATTGCGTGTCTGACAGGACGATTTCGCAGCCGTAGGTTACTGGCTGGGGCCCGTCTACAAAACGGTCAGAAACGTGGTCATAAATAGGTCACCTGATACATACTCGTGTTTGGTGACCCGTCGGGTCTGCGAACGACATTGACATTAAACGCAGACCAGCCAATGTTGCTTGCGCACAGTTGTCCGTGGTCGATCGTCATATACTTGGTACGGACGGTTTGTGAGTTGATGCGATTGAAGAGCGACACTGGGCCTCCGGCCAGGATGCAAGAAGAGATATTGCGCGTTTTCGCGGTCTTCTTGGATGGCTTGGAGATAATGGTCACAGGGGCGGAGTCGAAGGTAGCCCAAACGCGTCCATTCGCCGAGGTTTCGGAACCTTCTGGGTTGAGGGAAGGGGGTGGGGGTTCTGCGATATCGAGGGACAGCTGGAAGCTTTTAGCTTTCGCCGTTCCTGTAACATGAAGGAACTTGAAGCTCGAGACCATGTTGTTATCGAGCGTCGCCTTCTGCTCAAACGACCTCTCTCCGGTTTCAGAGACGACCGCCATGGAGAGGCTCTGGGTGCGTAGATGCCAGACAGGGCCCTCTATGTGGACAATCGGCGGTGGACAGAGGAATCGCTTCTCGCTTCCATAGGATTTCTGTGCGACGGCCGCGTGGAGACATATTACGGTGGTCATAGGCACGACGCGAGCGGGGTCTTGAGAGACATGGTCGCGAACAATTCGACGTATCTTGCTATGCGTGTCTTCTGACTCGGTTTCATCCAATTTCCGCTTCCCGGTGGAGGTCTATGAAAGAGGTTAGAAAGGCAGACGCGACATAAAGATCAGAATGTTGCTCACAGAGGTTGCGGGAGGCGGAGGGGGGTGCCATGTTGCCTGGGAGGTGCCATTTGTAGGCCCATCCTTCTTCGAGGCGGCTAGAATGGACTGAATTGAGAGGTTGGGGTCCTGAGCGACGACTGGTGACGGTGCGCCGCCAACTTGAGGTGTCGGTGAACGTTTCGGATTTATATCTGGCTGCAAGGAACGTTTATTTGTGACCTAAAGAAGCGTGTCGAAAGGCGAATTCATTACAAGATATTAGGATATAGAGAAGAGGTATTTTACAGATTGGGCCACGTTTGGGGTCGCCGAGCGAGAGTTGGGGTCGCCGTCGACGACGGCGACGGCTGGAGGCATTTGGAGATGATGAGGGTCGCTCAGAAAGAAAGATTGAGCAGTTGCTTCAGCCATTTGCACAGGCCGTTCACACTGGTGGGAAAAGAAAGAGAAGTGGGAAACCAAACACTGCCGAAGTCCAAATGTAGTCAAAGATCACACGGACCCTCCACGTGATCAAACACCATCAAATACATAAATCACAAAACTCGGCCGTCTCCGAAGAATAGCTCCGAACATGGCTCCACTGCCGGCACCGACTTCCCACCCATCCGCCGACGCCGGTGCGCTTCATACAAGTCTTCCCACGTCTCAATCTCAGGTTCGAACCTGCCCGTCTCGTCTACAATTTCGACGTCGTCCAGGTCGTCCTCATCGTCGTCATCGTTGTGACTGTCGCGATACCCTGCGACCACAGTCAGATACGTTCCCATTACACAACTGTCACATACCGAACGACAAAATGCCTAATTTATCTTCCCCCTTTATCGCCTCGCTCATGTGCCTGTCTTCCGTTGGAACGAATATTGCCGGAGAGTCTCCTCCATCGTCACCTTCGACATCTATTGACGCTTCTTCGACTTCTTCTGCTAAAGCTTCCCCTCTCAGCCAGTGCCAGTCGTCTCGCCGTCCAATCCCAGGGGGGAAGAATGTGAGAAGGTTGAAAGGGTCCTCCTGATCCACATTCATGGGGGAAGCGGGTCCCGTAGCCAATGTCGAAGTCAATGGCTTCATGTGCGGCGGGCATTTGTGCTTTTGGACCTGTTCATGCGAGACGGTACGGGGAAGTGGCTGACGCCGGGCATCACTGGTACTGGTCTGCACCAATGAGGCGATCGGTTGGGGCGCTGATTGAGACCGTTGTAGCGGGACAATGCTCGGCATGGTCGAGTCTGGCCAGTCAGTCAACCTCCATTCAACCGTGCAGAGTAAGTAGGACTCACATTATCAAGGTGGGAGTGAAGAACAAAGGGTGCGAATTGAGACTGGAGCGGCCTTGGTGATTAATGAAGCTCCGCGTTCGTTGGGGCAAATTTCTTTGAAACTGGCCTGACTATCTTTGGTCCTACCATTTATATACACAACAACAGCCCTCGATCTGACTCGATTGCTTCGTCAAAATTGCGATCGCAGTATAGGGGCCATTGAAATGGAAGCCCGCCACCGTGATCCTGTTTTCTACGGACACCCTCGTCTTGAACATTCCAGGGCCTTGCAGTAGGAACGACGAGAGAGACATGTAAGAGGACCTTTCCCAAGGCTTAAGAGTCTGGGGCTGTCCAATGATGTCAGGGGCACGTTCTAGCCTATTGGATGCGCGCGGATTGTCAGCCTTTCTCGCGTAGATTTGATTGCCGCCGTCCAATACTCACTTCGGGCAAAGGGCCCTCGAATCGGCAAAGATGTTAAGTAGTCTAGTATTTTACAGTAAACACAGCGGATGTCCCCACGAAATACATACAACAGGGGAAGACACAATTCAACAGTCCGACTGCATAGGAAGAGAGGCATGATGACGTGACAAAATCGTAAACGAAGGGGAAAGGGCGAATAAAAAGCGGTATGTATCGAGATAGTGGATGAGGCTGGAAGAACAAACAGTTCAAATCGTCCCAGTCACGATGCTATGTGTAGGAAGTCGAAGTAATGTGATAGTGATAAGGGTAATGCAGTACGTGTCCAAGATAGGGTATAGCAGCAAAAGAGTCCAAGTGTCTGTAAAACGAGGGGAATTGTGAACGATAGCGAGTGGAGAGAAGAAAAAAAAAGGTGGAAGGTTGAGTATTTAGCTCACAGGGTCTCTCGCCTTTATCCGTCCGTCTGCGGGGAACGGGATTCCAGCTTGCAGACTTGCAGACAAGCTCCTCGAGGTGCGTCTCATCCCGGATGGTGAAGGGGCGCTAGGAGCTATGGGGCCGAGTCCTTTCCCAAGTGGAGCAACATCATTGGATTTGGCGACCTCTTGTTGGTACCGTTGCCAATCCTCCACCTTCATGGTTGACAAACGGCGAGACGATGATTCGTGATGGCCCCCCATACCCAGACGGTCACCACTCATACTCCTCGAATGGCGTCGCCTGCTATCACCTGCACTGCGCAACTTCGCATCATCACTCTGCCTTCTCTTCTGCTTCTCCCGTTGTTCTTTCTCCCTCTTCTCCATGGCCTCCTTCTCAATAGCCTTGTTACGCTCCCATCTCTGCTTAGCTGCTGCCAGTTCGATCTGTTCCCTTTCGGCCCTAGTCAGAGGAGCTTGGATATCCCTCATCTTCTCCCGATGTCGTTCGTTGAGCTCCTCGAAGGTTTTGACGATGGGAGACGGCGAATGATGCTGAGGCGCAGGGGCCGCGATGGTCGCAGATGCACGCCGAGGGGGAAGAATCGTCACTGGTGGCGGCGCATGGCTACCCGTGCTACTTTGACGGTTGTGCGACTGGAGTTGCGGAGGGATTGGGAGATTAGAGCGTGGTTTAGGACCCGCGATCTTGGAGAGCGGTAAATCGTCTGCTGAAGAGCCGGCCCCATCGCTTTCGCGTCCACTTCCACTGCCAGCTTGACCTGCATAGAGTACGGTGCTCTCTCGTTGCTTACGCTTGGTCAAAGCATCTTGTACAGCTGCAGGGAGAGGGCCGCGTGGGGTGGGCAAAGGAGTGGTAGGAATGGGAGGAGTAACTCCCGATGGCGGTTGCAAGAGCTTCCTTTCCTGAATATAGTTGTCCCAGTCGGGGTCCTGTAGTGGAACGCTCGTTGGCCGGCTGATGGGATCAGGAAGACCAAACCCTCCAAGTCGACTTGTCAAAGCAGAAAACTCCATCGAATGCGATCGTGCCCGACTGCCGCTGTGAGGGTCTGTCGCGCGAGGGGGGCGGGTATGGGTGAATTGAAGGGAGCCAGAGGGAACCAGCGCATGATTGGCGTCGACGCTCAAGGTTCGCCTCGAAGAAAGAGACGGTCTTCGCGAAGGATCTGCGGTGGAGAGGGGTGTTTCTGACTTGAGAACGTCGATACTCTTGCGGATGTTCTGAATTTCGGCAAGTAGCTCTTCCTTCTTTCGCAGGTCCTCGAGTTCGCTTTTGGACTTGGCCATTTCGTTCGCGACTACCGTCGCGACGTCGGATGCCTTGAAGGAGGTGATTGGGACATCGCCGCTCTTGGAAGCGATAAAGTTAGCAGGCACGTCCTCCTGTATCCCGAGGCCCAGGTCGAGGGTGGGTAGAACACCCGGATTCTGCATGTATCGAGAAGCTCTGCGGAGTTCCTCCTCATTGGTTGGGGCAACCTTGAAGTCCGAGAGCCCGGACAGTGCACGTTGTCGCTGACCTCCTTCCATGTAGGTGCTGAGTCGATCGTTGGTGGTTGGGGTGGAAGAGCCCTCCCTATCCTTCTCACGCATGAGTGGAACACCCGAATGAGCACTATCCTGCCTTCCGTGCTTGGGGAGAGTTGGGTGTTCTCGTTCCCACTGCATTTGCTCTCGCTTGACGTCGTCAAAGCGTTTCGAGGCCTCCATTTCAGCCTCCTCGTCACGCTTCCTCTCCTCTGCTGCAATCTCCGCCAGTTTCCTCTGAAGAACCTTGAGAATGCGGAACTGCACGGCCATGCCCATCAGAGCCACAGCCCCTGTGAGGCCCAGTTCAATCTGCATCTGCTGGGTCACCGGGAATTGGATCTTATTCTTGATGAACTTTGGAAAGAGTGCCGGAAAGCCGAGGTTCCAGATGTAGAACTAGGTTGGCGTCGTCAGCGGCATGCGAGGAGGGTGAGGTAAGCCTGTTTCTCACCTCCTTGAGTCCGGCAGTAGTGAAACAGTCTACTCCAAGCATAAAGGATGTAGCACCGACGAAGGCCGTGGAAACGAGAAGGACATGGTAGTGAATCTAGTCGGACAGGAGGTCATTAGCTTTCATCTCCAATGCGGTGTTTCAAAAGCGAAAACGAGGATAGGATGCCCACCTTTGGGATTGTACATAATGCAAATCCAGCAACGCCACAACCTAGAGTTAAAGTCAGGAACAAGGCCGATGTGTAGAGGTCCTGGGATGCAGGAGCCGAGGTAGGACTAACCGATGTAGAGTATCCATCTGAACCCTATGGGTTTGATGAGGCCACCGTTGTTGAAGCACTGGATCCACAAAGCTAGTGCGAATCCACCCCAAGCACCAATACCGTAGCGTGCTCCCTTCCAGAAGAAGATGGCGATTGCACCACCTGCAACCCCAGCGATCGTACATGCCAGAACGAACATGCCACGGACTGTCTTGCTAGGAGGGTTGATGGCGGGGAGAACGCCAAATTTGAGGATGAGGACGATGCATACAAGCGATAAGGTGTAAAAGCCGATCAAAAAGAAGGAAGTCCTAGTAGTTGGCAAAACTCTAAGTGAATGTCCAAAGCGACAGAAAATGGAAATGTGTTTACCATCGATTTTTGTGTCCCCAAAACGCCGAGGGCAACCCGGTCAAAATAAGGATTGCACCCAGAACACCAAACGCGGGGTCCAGCCGTGTGTCCTGAGATGATGTCACAAGTCGGTTAGCGACACTGGCAACGGAGAACGACCATCGAACTTACCAGAACTATTGGCTCTGGCGTCTCCGATGCTGACGCTGACGCCGATGGGTCGGCGGTCGAGGAGGGTTCTTGGGAGCTCGTTGCAGATGGCGTGAGGGTATAGGTGACATTAAAAACGTTTGGGACGACGGTGGTGATCTCTGTTGCACGGCCAGAGACAGTGGTTGGGACAGCGAGGGTGATAGAACCTGTTGTGCGGGAGACGGAAATTGGGAAGGAAGAAGTTGTAGTGCTTTCGACGTCAGAGTCGGAAGTCGACGGTGGGTCCTGGCCGCGAACGACGGGGGTAACGAGGAGCAGAGCGGTGAGGGCGGCGACCAACGACGAGCTGAAGATTGAGCGCATCGTGCAGAGGACTCGATGTGGAGGTGAACCCGGGTGTCTTCAGGCCAAATCAGCTCAAGGACATGGTCAGTGGAAAAGGTAGTCAGCCTCAGGCGCTGTGCTTTTAAAGAAGCATTCATGATTCCTCCGAAATCACAAAGTGGACGGTTGGGACGTAAGCTTCGTCCGGCATCTATTACAGCCTCTTTATTTAAATTTATCCTGGTCAAATTCAACCGGAAACTTGACAGGCCTAACATGTATCGTTTCTAATATTCGCTGCATCTTCTTAGCCTCTCCCTTCTTTCCTCCCTCTTCCGCCGAGTCTTCCTCAATAAAGGTGACAACCTTACCGTCCCGTCCAAACCTGCCAACACGCCCTGCGATGTGCAAATAGGCGTCGACGCTTCGTCCGTGCACCCGCTTCTGGGCATCGGGCAGTCCATAAACGAATACGTGGCTCAGTTCTGGTAGATCCACGCCTCGTGTGGTTGCAAGAGTACCAACGAGCAGCGTCGGGTTGTCTGGTGACGACCGGACACGGCGCTTCTCGTGCAGATCCAAGCTGCAAGCATTGATGCCGAGCTCGGCCAGTTCGAACACTGCACGAGAAACAGACGCAGATGATGGGAGGACGAGTAGAGCCATTGAAGGCACGTCGACAGCAAATGCAGTCGCAATGGCCTCGAGTACGTGAGGGTTAAACGGGGACGGTGTTTGAGCGAACTCTGCAAATGCCCCAGTGTCAGACGTTTTCGTAAAACCGAGATGGCCGTCATAACTCACTCAGTCGAGTTTCCACGTCAAATCCACGCGGTGGTTCGAGTTCCGTGGTTGATGATCTCGATGTCTCTCCACTGCGTTGCTCAATGACTGTCGTATCCGAGATCGGGGCAACCACAGCGCCTTCCACGTTTCGAACACCGTGTGCCGAAACGAGAAGTACCGAATGTAGCAACCCCCGTTGCAAGTGATCACTGGCTTCCTTCTTTCCCGGCGTTCCATAGATCTTGACCACATTCTGCCGATCCAGCCATCCGCTTTCCTCGTATACATAGTTTCTGAGATGAGTTCGAAGCGTCGCGCTGCTGAGTATTAGCTGCGGACAAGGCGGTGGTAGATGGCCTGCGTCGTCATCTTCTGCTTCATTCCATTCCATTCGTGGCCGATAGATGATGTTGAGAAGCTCTTTAGTAGGACCTGGGTGTCGAGCTAAACGTTTCTTCTCTCGATCAACCGCCTTCTTGAAGGACTTGGACGGGTCCTTGCGGGGGAGTGTTTCAATAAGATAATCTGCCTCGTCAACACACACCGCAGACAAGGTTGAGGAAGAGAGATGCTTGGACAAGAACCCGCTGTCGGACTTGTGAATATCAAGCAGCGCTTGAGGAGTTGCGATGAGGATATGTGGCGGAATAGAAGAAGCAATCGACTCCCGTAGCTGAACAAGACCAGATTCGAGGTGCATGTTGTTATCTCTGACGAGGACCTGTGCGATAGCCTCCAGCGGAGGTGGTTCCATTCCGCCTGGGGAGGTGTTGACCATCGTTTTGATCCAGTAAAGATATTGGTATGCGAGGTCCTTGTGAGGAACGAGCACCAGGGAAGTGATGTGGCGCTTCCGCTCCCCACCGCTGTTCGTTACAATACGAGGTTTGTTCAAGAGTGCAAGCACAAGGCCAAAAGATCTGGGGCGGCCAATAAGCTGTCGGATATCATTCAGGCGCCTAACCACTCACTTTCCACTCCCAGTCGAGTCTCTGAGGAATACGTTCTTGCCATCCAGGACGGCAGGGATGAACTGGCTTTGAACATCGGTGGGATATTCAACGTTTTGAAATGCCGCCCTCAAAGAGGATACGATAGGTGGGTGCAAACCCAAGTCTTCGAACGTGGTTTTAGGTTGACTGGGTATCGGTTGGCCGCTGCCAGCAGCAACCTCAGTGGTGTGTGCAGTACTGAAGTTTGACGCATGGCCAACCTTTAGTGTGAATGAGGGAGTCCAATGTGGCCCTTGTGTGCGTTGTCTGACTACGATTGACCTCCCGTTGTGTAGCACATTGAGCCGCAGGAGAGTCCGTCGAGCAACACGTAGAGCGGAAGAGGAAAGAGTCATCGAGCTGGCCCTTCCCACGCGCGACGATTTTACAGCTGCAAATGCCAGCGAAACGCGTGACGTCATATCAATTCTACAAAAAGCGCCGATCTCTACATCCAGAACTAACGACTGTACGAACGAAGTCTACTCTACCCAGACGCGGCTCTCCGGTTTGAGGCAAACCATGTGCCAAAGTATCCTTCATCGTCTTCTTCTAATAACTCCTGACGCTCCTCTGGCGACCAACAAAGTTGAGAACGTATAACGAAGGATTACTGAGGAAATTTACCTTCTCCAAACACTTGGTCCATTTCTTCCAATGGGACGCCGCTCGTCTCCGGATACACTATGATAGGGAGGGTTACAAATGCTTTCGAGACCTAAAAACCTTCATGTCACTTACGGAAGTACACTGGAGAGAGGCTTGTCAGCGCGTGTCAGTTACGAGGCAGGATTAAAGCACGTACCCAACACCAGGCTGCAGACGCATATCAATCCGTGCATGGGGTACAATCTCCATTGGATCACTTCTTGGAGGTACGGCGTCGCCTGCCCAACGATATAGTTAAACACCCAGTTGGTCGCAGTTGAAAGCGAAACGCCTTTGGCACGGAAGGCCAGGGGCATGATCTACGCATATTTCGTCAGACAATTCTTCTTTATTGCGAACACCTGGAATTCACCTCCGGGGGATAAAGCCATGGAATAGGTCCCCAACTTGGTGTCCGATCAGCAACAATACGACTTCGTTGTAAAGATGGAAGCGCACCTGTAACCAAAGGCCGCGTTGAAGATGATGATGCAGATGACCACAGCTTTGGGAGTCCCCGGGACGTCCACATACATCCACCATCCTGTCGCCATCAACGCAATAGCCATCTGTTATGAAAGGATTGATTTCGGGCCATGGAGCGGACATTGGGAGGAACGTACGACGACGGCACCGGACATGAGAATCGGACGTCGTCCCCATCGGTCGACCAGGACCCACCTGTTAAGCGTCAAGTCAAAGTCAATTTGACAACAAGTCAAAGCACTTACGGAGGTATTGTGCTCAGAACGTAAACGATCGAGTTAATGCCTGTCATGAGGATTGCATCTCTTCCTATCCATCCGGCCTCTGTAGGTCGAAGTGGTCAGAGCAAGCGTCGTAGTGAGAACTCGGGAAAGTTATCGACCTTCGAAGATCCGAGCTAAATAAAAATAAAATCAATGAGCGGTCATCCATGGGCATGCCGAAGGTCACTTACGGGCATAATACGAAACGACTTTGCAACATCGACTGATAAGTAGCTGGCAAGTGGGCATTCAATGCAAACCCACCATTTATTCCATTCTGAACAGGTGTCAGGATGCATGGAACGATGATCGACTGGAACGCACCAATTGAGCAAAAGCTTGGGACGACATCGCCAAAAGAACACGTTTCCTGTATTTTCGCCAAAGGACAGAGTAGGACCTCTTCTCTCCAGACATGCGCTATTACCGATACAGTGATCAACTCAGCTCATGTTCCGACTTGGATAGTCTCACCTCTTCATGCACCTTCTCACGAATTTCGTCGTACTCGGTGCGAACAAGCGGATGGTTAGTATCCCCGCCTCCATGAAGGTCCGCAATCACTCTGAGGCCCTCAGAGTCTTGCGAGGTATCAATCAACCAACTGGGCGAGCTCTTCAATCCGTGTAGCCAAGGGAAAGGGACACACAAAGTACATACCGCGGACTCTCTGGGATGGCAAAACAACCCAGTGCGAGCACTGTTCCGATGACTGACTGCATGGCCAAGGGTATTCTCCAAGCCAAGTCCCCGTCAATGAAGGAGCAGAAGTAATCCAACCACTAAGATCTTGGCGTGAGTGATGCTCCACAATTAACATAAACGTGTACTCACGACCGACGATGAGTACCCGATGATGTTGAACGTGAATTCCACGCAGGCGAGAGCTCCTCTCTAACGAGCTTCATTGAGAATACTTCTCTGAGTCTGTTCAAGGAGGGACCTACGTTGTCCGCGGGCGAGATTTCGCTTTGATATATAGGGACAATTGTCCTGAAAGCGAATCAGCCAAGGTCGCTACGAGAGCACAGGGTCACTTACGAGAGCAAGCCCACCCCAAACCCGCTGACAATCCGTCCGAGAACCATTGTCCAGAAGCCGATGGTAAAAGTCTGTATGAGGCCTCCAATGGTGAAGACAATTGCTCCAGCGTATAGAGTCCCCTTCCGTCCGATAATGTCGCCGACGCGACCAGACGCCAGCGAAGTCACTTTCCAGTGTCAACGAGCCTTTTCCGGGGCTGAAGGGAGCTTATAGACCATACCGAATGCACCGATTTCCAAGACCGCTACCATCGTTCCAATTTCGATGGGTCCAGGATTGTTGAAGTACTTCCGGAAATAAGGCCCCGTTATGATTCCGCTCATAACGCTTCAATGAACATTATCATCATGTTGAAGAGCTTGAGCAATGGCGAGCATACGCACCCTTGGTCATAGCCAAACTAGCAACCCCGATGTCAAGCAGCAGCATTCAAAAGAATGCCTGAAAACGCACCAGGAAAACGCCCAAGCTAATGAAAACTGAGATAGAGTAGAGCAACGGCTTGCCCACCAGGCGGCGACGACCATGGCGACTACTGTGCAATGGTGTGCGTTCTTGCTCTTCGGCGAGGAGCCTCTCCGTGTCTGAAGAGACAGACTGCCGCCGCCTATTGGAAGTCATAGCTGCGCAGGTACCAGAGCAAGAGGAGAAAGCAAATCCCAGAAACGACTGACAACGTGAAAGCGGCAAACAAATAAAGTGTCATATAACACACGGCGCTGGGCGGCCTGTGTTTGGAACTCACGGGTCGGCTAGTGAGTGGTATGGGGTCACACCAAATGAAGCGAGGGCGGCGCTTATTCAGTGTTCTGCATTACCTAACCTAACCAGCCAAGCAACCCCAAACAGTATACAGGCTTGGTTCCGCCACGGCGGGGGCCGAAAAGTAGAGCAGTGGACTTGCAGTCGACCATGCCTCGCTCGTTGGTATCCCTCGACGACGACGACCTCTCGTCATCAACGTCCTCCTACGACGAGGAAGAATATCTTCTAGCACAACAGGAATGGGAAGAAAGCATCCAACAGCTCCAGCAACTATTCGCGGTGGTTCTTCTTCCATTTGTTGGCAAGTGGTTGGGTAGGCGGTGGAGTCATTCCTGTGCGTTGAACCCCATTCAAGGCCCGGTGCATTTCACTAACAGTTACACAGTATACGCGCGATACACCCAAGTCGGCCTAGGAACGGAATTCTTTTTCGGCCAATTGTTTGGCAAACTCAAAGCAACGAAACAGTGAAGGGGTGTTATTAGACGATGGACTAATACTACTAATCTAATGGTCTATCAATTGCGCATCGCTCCCGTTGCCTTGTTCTACCTTCATAACCAGCCTCGCCAGACTTGCCGACGGTGTAATCTTGGACTTTTTCATCTCCTCCACAATCTCGCGCGCCCACTGCCATTGACGGTGTTCAAGCAATCCCGCAACCAGAATGTACCACGTCGTTTGCACCAATGGAATATTGCGTCTCTTGATTTCCCGATAATAGGACATTGCATGAGAAGCCCCTCCCGGTCTCTCGAAGCACGCCCTGAGAACGGCGTGATATCCCGGAAGGTTGAGATGAACTCGCTCGGCCTTCATACGCTGCAGCACTTCCTGCTCATAATAAATGAGCTTATCCTTCGGTAACCACCCGCCGCGATAGAGGTTGGTTAGGATGGATGTATAGGTGACGTCGTTCGGGCGAGCTGACGGGACCGTCTTCATTTTGTCGAGAAGCTTCATGACAGCGATTAGGCTGCTCTCAGTTCGCATCTTGAGGTGTTCCTCGATGAGAGTCGTGTAGATGGCGACGTTTGCTTTGATACCTCGATCGTTCATGTGCTGCACGACAACATCCACGGCATCAGGCCGACCCGCTCTCAGCAATGCTGTAAGCAGAATTGAGAACGTGTAGACATCCCCGACCACCCGTTCCTTATCCATTTGGGAAAGCATCTTGCCAATTTCCGCAAAGTCGCCACGTCGATGGAAATATCCGAGGAAGATGTTGTAGGTGACAGCGTCGGGAGCGGGACCGTTGATCCTCATCTCCTCGAGTATACGCTTCGCTTGGTCAACCACCCTGTTCATGAGGAGACCATCGAGAACAGTGTTGTAGACGGAGCGACACATTTCTTCACTCCAGCCTTCCTTGTTCCGCAGTGCCTTGAACTGCTGGAAAATGTCCATCCCTGCGGCAATCTGGTCGTCCCTGAGACAAACAGAGATGATAGCGCGATAGCTGAGGCAGTCTGGCTGCACACGCTCAAGTTTCATCTCTTCCCAGAAACTAAGGGCGACGTCGGATAAACGCAAATGGTCGAGCCCGTCCAGGTATGTTGTCCAAAGCCCCACGTCCCGATGGACTCCGAGGTCCTCCAGGGTTTCCCAGAGGCCTTTAGCGAGGTCGTATCTATCGCAGCGGAAGAATGAGGCAAGGAAGGAACCCCATACATATTGGGGAACGTGGGGAGAGGTGGAGGCGGTGTCGCTGGGTGAAATGAAGGGTGAAGGTCGGGTAATGCCTTGGTACATGCTCCAGTATAGGGACCATATTTGTTCCAAGGAGCGGGCTTTGGCCAGAGCCTTGACATGCCTCGAGAACGCAGTCGGGATGGAAAGCCAGTGGGCGATCCTGACATCTCTGAAGTACACGCCGATTTGGTTCCGCAACGCTTGGTCGGAGGGCATGGCAAGACCGAACTGCTGGAGAAAATGGTGGGCTTCGTGCTCTGGCCATCGATTCAGTCCAGACGAACGAAAGGTCCCCAGGGCAGCCTCAAAAGAGCCCTCCATGGCATGTGCCGCAATGGCAGCCAGGACGAGGTTGTGGTGAGCTTCAGCATTGGCAGCCGTCCGGTCGGGTTGATCCTCCATGCTGAACGCCAGTGGTGATTCAGACTGGGGTTTCGGTGAAGGTGTAGTCTCCTTCTTTCCCTCCACATATTGGGCGTAGAGTCGGAGAACGGATTGAGAGTCGTTGGCCTTGAGATGTTCCCAAAGGCAGTCGAGAAGGGGCCACAAGTTGCTTCTGTGCTGGAGGGCTTTGCGGAGAGCGTTTTCCTCTTGTACTTCAGTCGGTGGGCCAGTAAGTTTAGACTTGCTCTGCCACGACGACTGTTTCTCCTGCCATTTTGCTGGTTTTGGTTTCGCAGTCCAGCCGAGTGGCTTAGTGGCGGTGGTGGAGGTGGAATTGAGACGCGACGGGACGGTGAGTAGCGGGGCCAAAGGTTTTGTCAGTGGCCTGCGTAGGGAATTCACGAGGCCATTGATAACGAATGGCCGCCAATGCTTGGAGACAAGTGGAAGCATAGCAGACGTGAACAGCCCGTCCACCGGAACGTCAAATCCTCTCGTCGCGGCTACTAAATGGGGATACTTGCTGGCACCCTCGGAGCGCTGCAAACATGACTTGAACAGCGACACCGACATCGACATTCACCATGGGCCACGGAAACTCGAACAAGCTTTATATCACCCATGCTGAGCACGCAGGTCTGCATGGCTCTCATTCATCGTCCACAGGGTTTCGCGCGTAAGTCTTTGCACCTCCCCAGTTGACCCTTTCCTGAATGTATCTGCCTTCAGCAAAGAAACAGCGTCTTTTAGGGCCTCTATGGTCCCCTTTGACTGCTGTGCAATCTCTTATCAGCCTTTTACACATCCTGTCTGTGCTCGGAATGCAGATGGAACTGGCACAGTATTCGATTTGGTCAACATTATCCCTTGGTTGAAGTAAGTCTAGCTCGACACGAATACCTCACTCGACCTCACCCCTCCAAAGGCAGCACAACAATACACACCCGATTACCAAGGAGCCATTATCTCCCTCCGATCTAATCACCCTAAACTACAGCCGCAAAGAAGCCACCAATGAAATACACGATCCAATCTCATTCAAACCATTCAGCGAACACTCGCACATTGTTGCCATTGCCACTACAGGAAATGTCTTCTTGGCCGAGAGTATCAAGGGGAACAGAGACCTTCTTGCAGATGTCCAATTCAAAAAGTACGTTTGCTCCCAGTTGCACCACAACATCCAACTGACTGAACCAAGGGAGGATATCATCACGCTGCAAAACCCGCATGGGCTACCTTCCGCCTCCGTTCCTGTGGCCTCTAAAGCAATCGAAGCTACCAAGAAGGATGAAAAGAAACCTGCTACCACGACCGCCCCTACTGCTAAGCCTAAAGCGCCTGTCCCTTGTAAGTTTAACGGTGTAAGCTCCTTCTCCTTCCCTGACCTCCTCGTTTCAGGGAATATCTCGCCATACTCGTCAGGTCTGCCCGGGGCATCTCTTACGTCCACCTCAGTGGATCCTACCGCACATCAAGGATCTTCCAAGCTATTATGGGACGAAGTAAGCGCACCCCGCCGCAATGTACCGCAGTCTTAAGCTCATCCTTGTGTAGGAAGAATTGATGTTCGAAGATATCTCGAAACCACCCAAGGGGAAAGGAAAGGAGAAGGACATTGGGAAACGCCGAGCCTATGTCCGCGTTGTTACTAGCTTAGGCGGTGCAAGCTTGAACCTCGAGCTTTACTGCGAAAAGGTAAAATCAGGCCCCCAGGCACGATGCAACCCTCGAATTGACACCTTTTTCAGGCGCCGAAAACATGTTATAACTTCTTGATGCTCGCAAAAGCTGGGAAATACAACAACTGTCCTTTCCATCGGTTGGTACCTGGATTCATGGTGCAAACGGGTGATCCAACGGGCACTGGCTCAGGAGGAGAGTCTTACTGGGGGACGCCGTTCCGAGACGAGTACGATAACAGAAACGCTGCTGCTCATGACAGCCGTGGAGTTGTCGCGATGGCCAATAAAGGGGCAAACACAAACGGGTGAGCTCCATGAACTTTAGGCATCCGTGCATAGCGCTTACCAGTTTGGATTACAGTTCACAGTTCTACATTACCTTCAGGGCAACGCCTCATCTTGATAAAAAGCATACCGTCTTTGGTAAATTGGTTGGCGGGGAGGATGTCCTCGATGCTCTTGAGAAGCTCCCCATCAAGCCTGGAACGGATAGGCCCGCTAAAACGGTGAAGATTACAGAGGTCATAATGTACGTTGCTGGGTTCAACTAGATTCTGACTGCATATTAACTCGCTCTATAGCTATCAAGACCCATTCGATGATTACAAAACCCGATTGGCTAAAAAGCTTGCCAAACGAGCAGAGGCAGGAAAGCCTAGCGCCGCTGCAGAAACAAAGAAGGACGACGTCAATTGGTTTGGTGTCAAGGTTGGGTCGAGCGGTGTGGCTTCCAGTACAGAAGCCGGTGGTGGTGGTGTCGGGAAATATTTAAACCTCAAACGAGGGGCCGGAGGAGTAGGGACAGTGGGTGCTGAAGTGTCGGATGAACCAAAGAAGAAGCGCAAACTGGGCTTCGGGAATTTCGAAGGGTGGTGATCCTGCAGTAGCTATCCAGCCACTGCAACCTTGGCCGGACGTTCCGTCTCGACCTCTGCAAGGAAGCTGTCAACACGGATCCCTGATGAGTCTGACTATAGCTACCTTCTGGTTCTTTGGCTCTGTCGGGGAGGACAGTATCCGGTGCCGATGGCAACTCTACCGCGTGCGCACCCTCGAGCTCCTGGGGACCATGCGTTTGAATACTGTGTAGGGGACATGTACAATACACGCACCATTTCGGACACGATGTGTTTAAGTTCCTCCTGAACAGCTTCCTCTTCCTCCACTGTGAGATTATTAGCGAGCATCTCACTTAATTCCTAAAGTTGCCTGTCAGTCGAGTCAAAGACATGCCGAAGAGCTTCCTACCCGTTGGTACTCTCTGGCTTCAGCCGATTCTTCGAGGAGCTTCTCCACGCTCTCGATGTTCATCTCACGGTGGATATCCTTCAGGACCTCCGTTCCCTGCTTCAAGCCATGCAGCACCGAGACCTCGATAAGCGAAAATTCAATGGTAGAAACCTGAAGTCCACACAAGTCAGGGTTTGGTTCCTGTGATTAATAACCGTACAACGCACTAGCTGTTCCAAGTTCTCGAGCTGCGCATCGGTCTTGAGCAGTAGACTCTGTTGGTATTTGCGTTGTCGGAGGGCAATTAAAGCTCGATCCTTCTGGCCTGCAGCAAGGTGTTTCCGAGCTATTTCGTGTTCCCGGTCGAGGACTGCTTGAATCTGAAGCAGTGTCAGGCACGAGTGAGTTAAGGCGTTGAATCAGACTTGCCTTCTTCTGGTATTGGCGTAGTTTATCTCTCTGTAATTTGAGACTGGGATTGTAGTGAGCTAAACATTACGAGGGTGCAAGTCCAAGGACGAACTCGAGGATAGCACGGTCTTGTGCTGTAATCTTGGGGGTCGACTGGTTGGCCCCCATCGTAGATAGAGACAAAGGAGGTGCTCGCTGTGCTTAGTTTGCTCCGAGCCGTTCAGGGCGCAACTCCGGGCTGATGCTGGACATTCTTACCACTGGAGTCAACCACTGGTCAATTGAAGTCCTGTAGCGTGCGGGACATACCAATCGTTCACTGTCCTCGACAACGGCCAAGATGAATTGAACGGCGGCGAGAGCATGATGCAAGAGATTAAAGTTCCGCGAGGACGGCGGCGTGGGCGTGGCGCGTCAACAATTCAGCCAACGAGGACCACCTTGGAAATCTTCCAACAACAACAACCTCGTACGGCGACTGGGCTTGGGATGCACTGAAGGCCATTTTGCCTCGAGTGCGAATGGTTCCTCAGTCTACCACCCGACTATTGCATCGCTGGATTGTTCGTGCACGGACTACCAATGGACGACGCTTTCACGACTATGTTCGCGCCCAGACATCAAGTACGTGTTCCGTGTGGTGCCCTCCAGACTTTTTTCTCTGACAATTTTCTCTCTCTGTGTACAGACGGTCTCATCCGAATTCCTTTATCCTCACCCAGGGTCATAGGCGTTGTAAATGACAGAGGCGACCGTAGGTGAGAGCGCTCTCGGTGCTCAAATCGTTTGATGGTACTCATGGCGGTTGTAACAGCCAGCAGGAAGACTACTATGCTTATGCTACCCTGTCTCTAGACCCTGTGGAACTACAGCTGAGCCACAAGCGGACCTTTGGACTCGACTGGCAGCCACAGTTGGTAAACGAACAACTTGCTGGACAAGTCGTATTCGTTGGAATCTACGACGGGTAAGAACGCGTCTGTCCCTGCCCTGCCCCGCCTCGACTGACAGGGGAAATTGTGGACAGTCATGGAGGGTCTGCTGTCTCGCAGTATCTTCGACAAGAACTACACGGCCTATTTGAATCAGCGAAGAAAGAGAGCATACCGGACGTCTACGACTGGATTAAGAGCCTCGGCGGATACTTCAAACGGTTTAAGGGAGGGAACCTAACACCTTGGATCAACGAGCCGCCTAGCGACGCACCTCTTGACCTAGAAACCAGGGCAACTTTGACGTTCTTCGAGGTGGGTCATGAGCCGACTCCAAATCCGTCAAGAAACTGAGCCCTTCTCATCCAGGTGGACAAGAACCTGTCTGTTGACCCTGTATCGCAAACATGTGGCGCTACGGCTTCTGTTGCACTCTTGCATTCACTGGACGCACCTGCTACCCCTTTTTTCGCTGCCCAGAAGTTGGCGCTTACTGTAGCTCATTGTGGGTCAGTAAACTCCTAGACCCTTACCCACAACGCTGGTCTCAAGCTCAACGACAGAGATACTCGGGTAATGCTTTGTCCTGTGAAAGGAGGGAAAGCGTTTCCTATGACAGATAACCACCATGCAGATTCAAGGACCGAAAGTAGTCGTTTGAGAAGGATGATGGGTTCTTCGCTGATCACAGATTCTTTCGGTGAATCAAGGTATGTCCCTGCATGCCCTTTTCTACTATTGCCTCTTTTCGTGACTTATCCAACAGATGGATGGGAGCCCTTGTGAACACTCGATGGTAAGTACTTTGGTATCTCCTTGACGTTGATTAATTTTTTGTGCCTTGCAGCCTCGGTGATCTGCGCTACAAAAGATTCGGTGTTACTCCTGAACCGGAGATCCGAACGAAATTGGTGGATGGTAAGTATGGAATCCCCAGATGAAAAGAAACGGATGCTCAAGGAGAGCCGTAGGTTCAGAGTGGGCCTATATGGTCCTTGTTTCAGACGGAGTCTCGTCTATGCTCTCCGACGATGAAATTATCGATTTGGCCAGACATGCTCCAGACCCCCGAATAGCGGCACAACGGATAGTCTCCTTTGCCCAGGAACTTGGGGGCGACGACAACACGACTGCCATTGTCGTCCCCTTGGCCGGCTGGGGGAAGATTGAAGGGCCGGACAACACCAAGGAACTCAGGGAATACAGGCGACTGCAAGCTAGTGAGTACTCAACAGTTTGGACTGATAGCATGGCATTAAATCTGGTTCATCTAGTCGGGACAGAACGGCAGCGACGGATGTAGTCCTTGCTAGGTGTGGCGCTTAGATTTGAGGCGCAGCGTGTCCGTCTGCTCGAGGGTCTGAACCAGCAGCCCATACCAACTGCCCAGAGCTACTCGGAAGCTTCTGGATCACTTGTCCACGGCCCATCATGGCCCTCTTGAAGCCCTTCGTGGTTCTAGCGTCGTGTCCCATTTCTGGCAAGCAAGGATAAGCTTCACTCTTTGGAAAATGGAGTCGAAGTGCCTACCTCTCAAGGCCTGAACAGTGGAGTCTGGGATACCCTCTTCGAAATATACCTCGCTATTGACGTCGCCTGCCCGTTCCGGAGCCTGGACTCCTTCAGCGTGGGGCATGCCGGGGGAGATGCAGAACCTGGGAGCATCCAAGGCTTCCTGCACGGAGAAGCCTCGTAGGATGTTCAAGAGTACTTGGACATGGCCTTGTGGCTACAAGTTCGTTAGATACGCAATCATTGCTTTAATAGAAGAATGGTATACCTGCATGAATCCACCCATTACTCCGTAGGAGAGAAAGAGCTCGTCTCCCCGAGTTGCGAGAGCTGGGATGATGGTATGGTATGGTCGTTTTCCTCCCTTGCAGGAATCAGTTGAAATGGTCGACTCGGAAAGGGCTGTGCATACCTGGAGGGCATTGGGATGGTTCTCATCAAGTTTAAAGTTGCTGCCGCGATTTTGAAGCGCGAAACCACAGCCCTTGGGGATAGCTGTTTCGAAGGAATTGTCAGTATTTGACAAATTATCTTCACCTGCTGATTGAACTTACCGCCAGTCCCAAATCCTTCATACACGCTCTGTATAAAGCTGCAGGCATTGCCCCACTGATCAGTGACCGTGAAATACACGGTGTCTGAGCTGTTCACAGGTGAACCCTTGGTGCACGTTAGTCTAACTCAATAATCCCGTATATTGAAAGCACATACATGTACGACGTCGGAGTTCATCTTGTCTGGATTAAAGAGCTTCGCCCGTTCCGACAGGTATCGCTGCAGAGCCAAGTCGTCAGGATTGGAGCTGATGGCCAGTGGGAAACGAGCCCCACCTTGCTCAATAGTTCCTCGACCGGGGCCTTCTTGAACTCAGGATCCGTAACATACCATTGGCTGTCTGTTGGAGTGGGATGGTATTCGACGATGTGATTATACCGACCCGATAACTGTTGACCTTACCGGCAAAGGCCAGACGGAGTGCTTCGACGACGGTATGTAGATACTCTGGCGAGTTGTGCTCCATCTCTGAGAGTGGGCGTGAAAGACCTTGTTCTTGGATATTTTCCAGAATGCCCAAGGCGAGTAGGGCAGTTATACCCTGGCCATTAGGCGGGCACTAGTGCGGAACTTTGTTAACAGCGGTGGTTTAGGAGTGGTAGACAGGCAGATGGAGAGTACCTCGTATACAGTAACCTCTCCTGCGTAGGTGTATTTGATGGGTTCCACAAAGGTTGAAGTGTGGTCAGCAAGATCATCCAAATCCATCAATCCGCCCTTGCTCTGAATGAGCTCCACGATTGCTTGGGCAACGCGACCTTTGTAGAATCCATCTTTTCCATGTTGTACTAGCTCGCGGAATGTCTGAGCCAGGGTGGGTAACTTGACTACTTGTCCAGGTAAAGGTGCCTTGCCGTCCACCAGCAGTTCGTTTCCGTTGGGAGAGGCATTCTGGATTAAAGTCTGCGAAGGAGGGTTACGTCGACCGCCATTGAAAGGTGATCCAGAGCCGACATACCTCTAGTAATTTCCACTGAAGATGTGGTTTGAAAAGTCATGCGACCTCGAAGCCAAGTGACTGACTTACAGAATGACTGCTGAGCTCCGACACTGGAAAGCTGGTAGGGGAACAAGGTCATATTAATGGTCGCCGGTAACACCCCGAAGACATACCCTTCCTCTGCGAATCGAATTGCTGGTCCAAAAACGTCACCAACACTAACCTTCCCACTGCCGAAATGCTCGATTGTATCCAGCCAAGCAGCAGCGGCGCCTTGTCATTTCAGCATACAGTATCGACCTTGGGCCGCCAACACCTTACCTGGGACGGTAACAGAATTCAGATCGCTCAACGGTATGGAGGTCTTATGGCCCCGTTGTTTGGCGTATTCAATGGTGAGTTTCTTAGGCGCTCGTCCGGACCCGTTGAGCGCCTTGACTTGTTTGGTAGAAGCGTCGTAGAAAAGGCAGAAGGCGTCGCTATGCCTACTATGAGCGTCAATCTGGATGGTAATATGCGGTATAACTCACCCGCCAATGCCACATGAGCTTGGTTCAGTCACAGTCAGAGCAGCAGAAACGGCTACGGCCGCATCAGCTGCAATCGCAGGGTTAGCGGAATGGTCGAATCGTCAGTTATTGCTTGATCGAAACATACCAGCATTCCCGCCTTTATTGAGAACCTCCAATCCAGCAGCCGTTGCAAGTGGCTGAGATGAAGAAACCATCCCCTTGGTCCCGTATACCACAGATCTTCGGCTGTGGAACCGGGAGAAGGGCGCCTTGACTTGGTTGACCTTGGTCCAGTCAATCCTCGGGGCCGGCATGATGATAGGTTGTAATTCCAAGGTGTGCTGGGAAGAATTTCACGTCGTTCATTCTCCGAGAGTTCGCCTTTATAGTCAGGAGGGGACCCAGGTCATGTAAGCAGCCCACTGAATTCGAGGTTCGCTGTGCCGGCGGAAAGGAGCCCCGTGGGAGCCCTCCGTCCAGGAAGGGAATCGGATCCAGGAGATATCAATCCTTCGACTTCCACTACCTTCAATAGCAACTATTCAAACCAACCAAACCAAGTGCTAGCCTCACCTTGGACTAAAAAATGTCTCTAGAAGAGAAGTTTCAACAAGCCTCGGCTGAATTCCAGAAACTCCAGCTGTCGCTGACCACCGCAATCGACGCACGAGAACGATTAGAGGCACAGTTATCGGAGAACGAGCTGGTGAAAAAGGTCAGCATCTCGAAACGATGTTAGATACGAGTCTGAAGACGATCCAAAGGAATTCGCGTCCCTGACGCCGGAAAACACTGTATACAAGCTCATCGGACCCGTCCTCGTCCAGCAAGACCAGGCGGAAGCGAAAAGCAATGTGGATACGCGTCTCGACTTTATCCGGAGTGAAATGTAGGAATGAAAAGATTATTGATGGGGAAAGATTACTGACGGGATATTGTACAGTAAAAGAGTAGAGGGACAGATTAAGGATATCGAAAGCAAGCAGGAGAAGGCAAAACAAGAGGTGCGTCAACCCAGTCCGCCATTCTCGGGCTGTGTACTGACCACGGTTCCTCGGCAGCTCGTTGCACTCCAGACTGCGATCCAGCAACAATCCCAAAAGCCGCCTGCTCAAGCATAAATGTCCGATACCGCCAACTCCAGACTCCAGTCCCAACCTGCACCCCATACGAACGACGGTCTGAATATCCCACAACGCGAATTACTCTAGTTTTGTGCAATGGCGTTCCACCGGAAGCGCAGAAAGTCGCTGGTCCAACCTATGATGACGGCGAGGGTTGCTGCTGGGCCTGTCGGACAGCGTCGAGTATAGGACTCGATGTTTGTTGTTGTTCTGTAGCTTGTTGTTGTAGACGCTTGGCTCTGGCAATTTCTCGCTCTGTCTCCGGACTCTTGACGAGTTGGTGTAACGTGAATCGCTTCCTGGCGGATTTGGGCGGGCAGTTGCGGATAATGACAACGTCGTCCCTGCGAAGCTCTGACAGCGCAGCGTCTTGGTCAGATAACCTGGCGAATGGGGAGTTATGACGCGAACTCACCATTCTTCTCGTCATGTACGAGGTACTTCTTACTTCGAACAATGCGCTGAACATCTCGCTTCAGTATACATGCTGTACGCTCTGGTGAAATGGCTTACCTTGCCGGTCAAGGCGTGGTTAATGAAACGAGAAACAGTGACTGTGACCGTTTTGTTCATGAAACCGGCCTTGGTAACGACACCATTGAAGGTCATCGGACCCATGTTTGCGACTAGGACTGTAGGAGGGTTGCCTTCGGGGTAAGGGTATTTGACTGTCGGGACCAGCGTCACGTCTGAAAGTATCGCGACTCCGTCGCTGGAAGGCGGGAAAAAGTAGCGTGGGACTGTGGTTGCCCAATTTGGAGCGGGTTCGAAATGCCGAACGATGCCGAACAAAGACTTTTGACTTGGTTGGAACCAGTCAGAGTCGCTGAAGGACATCGAATTATTTGCCGAACATACGATTATAATACATTTTACCATGAGCTACACGATTGTGACTCTATAATGTTCCAAAATCCCAGAACGAATAAGTAAGTAATAGCACGTAAAGTACCGTCGTGGTCAACGAATTGCAGCTCTAACTATGCTGCTTCTTTCTTAGACTGGGAAACCGGAGGAGGAGGGTGGTCATCATCGGATGGACAGTACTTTGACTTGCGACGGAGATATGGGCCATATCTGATGCGTGGTGTTAGATAAACCCTGAGATGTAACTAATTGGGAACTGCTCACTTTTTGAGAACGAATGGAATGGGCACAAGGGACACGGCAATGCAACCGAGGATGGTGGATGCCCATCGAGGGTTAAGAACATCGTACATGTTTCCACCAAACAGCTTGGAAAACCAAGTCTCAGTCGCGGGATTCGTAGTGCGGTAAAAAGCTACATACCGGGAATCCAGCACCGAATAAGCTTCGAACGACCGTGGTCGACGCGAGGACGGACGCTGCCACGGGAATGTAAGCGTCGACGAGGTAGTTGAACAAGCCAAGCTGGTTACGATTCAGTAGAGATCCTCTTGATATATTCAAACGCTGCTCACGAAGATCATTTGGATTGCATAACCCATCAGCAGGCCAGACATAAGAGGCGCCCAATATGAGATGGAAGGGAACGAAGTCCAGCTGACAACGTTTCAGTGTCAAGTGCACAGTAACAGAACAGGTATACTCACCCAAACCAAAAAAACGAAAGAGCGAACAATGGGCCGGGAATAAAGGCCACATCCAACCGGAATTCAGGGGGCACCGGTTTCGGCGCCAGGCGTTTCACCTCAGCCTCATACTTGGGATTATAGTGGTAGACATACTTTTCCCCAAGTCAGTATGTTGGCACAGGATAAATGCATAGTGACGTACATGCGCGACTGCTAATGCACCGCCAATGGGAATAGGCAGGAACATTAACCCTGATACACCAGCACTGAACCCACGAGATTTTCCAAAAACAATTGGATATGCAGCGAACAGGAGGTATAGACATCCATAAACGAACTGTGATGATGCGGGTTAGCTCAGATGAAAGATTAATTATTTGGAGGCTTACACTCATGTAAAAGGTGAGGGCAATGATCATAGGTTCTGTGAAGAAGATGACCCAGGGTCGAACCAAAACGTGATACGCTCGCTTGGAAAAACCCCAGTTTTCACGCTCAAAGGCAGCATAGTATCGGGGATCGCCTGTCTCCTGACGCTTCTTTTCCGCTTTCTTCACCAGAAGAATCGGCCTATGAAAGTAAATTAAAAAAAACCGAATGGTGATACAGAGACAGCAGAGACTCACGCGTATGATTCTGGAACGCTAACCATAATCATGATCCAGCACACACCCGCCTGGCAAACGAGATGAGAGTCACATCATTTCGATGGAAGGAAAAGGACTTACAAAGGCAGTGAGAATCCAAAACAGCCATCGCCATGTAGTGTGGTCTCCGATGAAACCTGCAACTGTAGGGCCGAGAGCTGGTCCAGCAAATGGTGCGACTGTGAAGATGGCCATGGCTTTTCCTCGCATGTCGGCCTCCCATATGTCCGACATTAAAGCGCTAAATGATTTCCCTGTTTCAATAAAAACGGGTGCCAGAAGTGGGGATGCCAGCTTACCCAGTGTTGGTAAGAGGAGCAGCCGCGAAGGTACCGCCGAGGAAGCGAAAAAGGAGGATGGCAGCGGTATTAGGGGCGAGGGCACAACCGATCTGAAAGCACTGGTGGGGGAAGGCGATGTCAGTTCTGGCGATCGCAAGGGGTTCTGCGGACAGGACATACCATGAACACGAAGAAAGGATATGTGAAAACGGGCCGGCGTCCAAATTGTTCTGAGAGAGGGCCCCACAGTATCGGGCTAGTAAAAGACGCGTGTCAGGATCGTGGATATGCATAAAGGCTGGGAGGCAAGTCGCACCCAACACAGTATCCCGTAACGAAAAGTGACAATGTCAAGGTTCCCACTATCTCCGACATCTTGAACTCTTCCACCAAGTTGGGGAATATACCAGAGGCTGTAAGATGGAAATTAGTGGACCTTGAACCGTAAAACCTGAGGAACGAAGCGTACGGGAAGAGCTAGCAAAGGTCCTACAGGAAGATGCTGTTCAATAACGCTAAAACATGGATAAGACAATATGCCAAAGACTAACGCGTTGAGTACAAACAGACCACTTGCCATCGTCAAGTACCATTTCCGCCGTGTCGACCAGTTCTACCGCGAGAAGGACATGGTGAAAAGATGAACGAGAAGGGAGAAACTGAGAAAGGACGCACCTTAGGGTTTGCGGGATCGTTCTCATCAAACTCTACAAGATAGGGGTCATATTCGCTCGCTGCGACCGATTCTGCAGTCCTTGCGACTGTCGTCGTTGTTGACTCGCATGGGGAGGCGCCGAACGGGGTCTGGTCGCCTTGGGAGGCCATTGCAAGGTCCAGAGAACGGACGTTCGTGCAGAAAGATAGCGACAAGCGGGAAAGGCTTCACGATACACATGGGCAATGTTACAGCTTATATATGGCGAAAGAGAAAACTTTTTGACGGCAAATTCATGGAAAAGTATGGTCTTTTCCGGGGCGAATGGTCTCCGAACCCGGCAAACATAACCCAAGCGCCAAGATTGATGCCGGTGTCTTTCCTGATTTAGGAGACGCGTCACGCGTCGCGATTCATCGGTGTCACACGCAATCTTGGACAGCCTCCGTCATGGATTTTACAGAGCTCTATCGCCAGTCATCGTCCCTCGTCTCCTTCAGTCCCGGTGCCTCTTTCATTCTCACAGCAGTTCAGGACAGAGTCATAGTTCGTCGTGCAGACACGTTCCAGATAACAAGAACCTGGCTCGTTGACCCATCTCCAACAGCAACCCAGGCTGCCTTGGTGACACAATCAACTTCGAAGCAGAAATCTTCATCGTCCGCCGCATCCTCTTCATCCCCAGACTCCAGAATCACGCATCTAGGCTGGTCTTGCGACTCAGAATATATATTGGCGGCATGTGCAAAGAAGGGCGCTGTTCATATCTTCAAGCTACGCGACGAAGAGTGGAGTGGACGGATTGACGCTGGCGCTGAAGGTATAATTGCATCCATCAGATAGTTTGCCTTGTATTGACACGGGTTAGGCCTTGTAAAGGCAGAATGGGGGCCGGATGGTCGAACAATACTCTGTTTCTCCGAATGGGGGGTACGCGATTTCTGTTCAAGACGGCATGGCGAACTCTGATCTCCACATCCTAGCTGAGGGTCACCGTATGGTCATTAGTGACGGGGTCAGCGACGTATATCCAATTCCCTATTCATCCCGATAAAGGTTAGTTCCTAGCCCTATAATCACCCGGGAGCCCTTTGGAAGTGAACCAGGTCGAATCCCATTCTATAGCCTATGCGTTCCGGTCAGATGGCCGGTACTTTGTCCTGGCTGAACGTCATAAATCCAAGGATACGATCGGCGTATATGATGCAACAGATTCCTATAAGCTGGTTCGAGTGAGTTTTATCTGGTTCCTGAACGAAGGGGTGGTTGGCCAAACTGATAGTGTCGTAGCATTTCACCCTCCCAACATCGTCCCTATCCTCGCTGTGCCTGTCTCCTACGGGCAATCACATTGCAATATGGGAAGGTCCACTCGAGGTGAGCGCGCTCCACGACCGTCGCGCTCTCCCAATCTAAAATGTTTGTGCGTCAGTACAAGCTGCATGTGATGACCTTGGCTGGGCAATCGGTTACTTGCTTCAGCCCAGATCAAGATCCGGGGTTTGGTATCCGCAATGTTGCTTGGCACCCGAACGGCCTGTTTCTGGTCGTAGGGGGTTGGGATGACAAGGTGAGTGGTTTGAAATTCAAAACATGGGGGCCGCCGTCGGTGCATTATTAACTAGTCAGGAACGCCGTATAGATCCATATTTTGGACTGTCTGAGCTGGTCACCTGTTGGCGTATTGGAACTCTCCTCCCGTATTTCCGGGTCTGTTGTAAGCACTTTCATTCAATTCAAAGGGACTTACTCATCCTTTTGCGATGTGAATCGGACAGACTGTGTGGAGAGAGCCTTCCAGGTGGCTGGAAGCAACTGAAGGCCGAGGTTTTCTTTCATGTACGCGGCTATCTCTGATTGCCTTGCCGTTGACTCCTAACATTTCTTCTCGAAGACGAGAAGCTTCAAGGGACGCAAACGCTACAAGTTAACCGCGTCGATTTGACGAGGCCGTACCCCAAGAGCGGGATCCTGCAACTCGAATTCAACATCACTGGTAGTCTGCTCCTTGTCAGATTCGGTAAGATCTTTCGCTACATAACGCTGTCTCTTGAATGTAGGCTTACTCAACACTCTCCCCTGCGTGTTTCCTCTGCAAGAAACTACCCCTAATGTTTTGCACATCTTCGATTTCCCTTCACCCAAGGACCAATTCCTTCCTCGCTTACGAACGGTTCTGATCCATTCGCAACCCATCTTGCATGCCCGATGGAACCCCGTGCGTAAGGGCAATCTAGCCTTGTGTTGCGGAACGCAAAGCGTTTATACGTGGAGTGATGAATGGGTCGGAGAGGCTGGTCAGCAGGAGGATATGGCAGAGTGTATCGGCGTTCCAGCTAGTCCGTGTTTTCTACCGGTTGACCAAAATGAGAAGGCTGACAAGGACGTTGTAGAGCAATTCGAGACGAAGGACATCAAGTGGTCTCCTGATGGGAAAGGTATCATCTTGATGGATCGAGAGCAGTTCTGCTGTTCTTTCGAGGTGGAAGAGGAATTTTGATTATTACGGATATCTATGTGTGTGAGTATATATACGATTTACAAGTGCCTGCTGCGATGTTTTTTGGTTCCGCTTTGATCTGGAACCTGAGGCCTGAGTGTTGAGCATCTGGGTAATAACTGGAACTAGCCGTTAGCTGACTATTCGAACGTGCAATGTGAAAAGAGTTGGATGAGTTGATTTGTGGTCCAAGTGCAAGGAAATCAGTCATAATCGGCACATGATTTGGGCGCTTGGGGCGGCAGGATGACGTGTGCGAAATTGTGGGCGGCATTCTGAGGGCGGGCTTAGGTCAGCGGCACGGGACGGAAATTTAGCAAATAGGTCGGTCAGCGTCTCTTTCACTGCTGCTCCCATCCAGATGCTGTCTCGTTCAATCAGGGCTGGTTCTCTGCTCTCTTCAAGGTCTCTTGCTCTCCGCGCTGCACGTTCTTACGCAACACAGCAGCCAGACAGCAAAAAACAAAATGAAGAAAATAATGCCAACGTAGACAACAAACAACAGTCCGACAGGTCGGCAGACCAGCCTCAGAAGCCAGAACTACCGAAAGCCTTGGAGGGCTTCTTCCAGCAGTACCAGCAGTCTCAGAGGGGAAGGCAGTCTCACCAACATGAATCTTCGTCCTCAGAATCGTCCCAAGAGAATCAGAGAAACCGCAGGAAGGAACCACCACCGCCACCACCCAACAACAACTTCAATAACCAGCAGTTGGCCTGGGTCGCTGCCTCGGTCGTTGCAGTTCTCGCCTACCAAAGCCTCAACAGCACCCACTCCAAGGACATCACATGGCAGGAGTTCCGCACCGCCTTCCTCGACAAGGGCCTCGTCGACAAGCTAATAGTCGTCAACGGCCAATACGTTCGTGTCAAGCTTCACTCGAATGCTACCGGTACTATGTATCCTGGAGCAACCCCCGGCGACTACCATTTCACAATTGGCAGCGTAGAGGCATTCGAACGCAAGCTTGACCAGGCCCAGGATGAACTCGGTATCCCCAGCCACGAACGCATCCCTGTCGCATACCAGGACGAAATGTCCGGCTTTGGTGTTTTGCTCAACTTTGCACCAACCCTTCTCATGGGTGGCCTCATTTACTGGCTAAGCCGTCGAGGTGGAAGCGGCGCCGGCGGTGGAATATTCAACATCGGCAAGAGTCGGGCCAAACTCTTCAACAAGGACAACCAGGTCAAGGTCAAGTTCAAGGACGTGGCCGGAATGGACGAGGCAAAGGTGGAGATCATGGAATTCGTCAAGTTCTTGAAGGATCCCGCCAAGTACGAGAAACTTGGAGCCAAGATTCCTCGGGGCGCTATTCTCTCTGGTCCCCCCGGTACTGGTAAAACTCTTCTCGCAAAGGCAACTGCAGGAGAAGCTTCAGTGCCCTTCCTCTCTGTTTCCGGTTCCGAGTTCGTGGAGATGTTCGTCGGTGTTGGTTCTTCGCGTGTGCGAGACCTCTTTGCATCTGCAAAGAAGAACGCGCCTTGCATCATCTTCGTCGACGAAATTGACGCCATCGGTAAAGCCCGAGGCAAGGGCGGCAACTTCGGCGGCAACGACGAGCGGGAATCCACACTCAACCAACTCCTCGTCGAGATGGACGGTTTCGGCACGAATGAACACATCGTCGTCCTCGCAGGTACCAACAGACCGGACGTTCTCGACCCGGCTCTCATGCGTCCAGGCCGATTCGACCGACACATTGCCATCGACCGCCCCGACGTTTCTGGCCGCAAAGCCATCTACCAGATCCACTTGAAGCCCCTTCGACTCACTGAAGACCTCAAGAAAGACTATGAGAACTTTGCCCAGAAGCTCGCCATCCTTACTCCCGGTTTCTCTGGTGCAGACATCGCCAACGTCTGTAACGAAGCCGCTCTCCATGCTGCACGAAAGGGCTCCGAATACGTCGAATCTGTTGACTTTGATACCGCTATCGAGCGTGTCATCGTAGGTCTGGAGAAGAAGAGCCGTGTTCTCAGCCCTGAAGAGAAGAAGACGGTCGCCTATCACGAAGCCGGCCATGCCATCTGCGGCTGGTACCTCGAACACGCCGACCCTCTCCTCAAGGTTAGCATCATCCCCCGTGGTGCTGGCGCTTTGGGCTATGCCCAGTATCTCCCCGCCGACCGCTACCTTCTCTCCACGCCCCAAATGATGGACAGAATATGCATGACCCTTGGCGGTCGTGTATCCGAAGAAATCTTCTTTGGTGCGGAGAACATCACGACAGGTGCCCAGGACGACCTCCAGAAGATCACCCGGATGGCGTTCGAGGCTTGTGCCAACTATGGTATGAACGATGTCATTGGACCGGTTAGCTACGGTGGAGATCGGGCGACCAAGGAGAGCTGGACGAAGCCTTTCAGCGAGAAGACGGCGGAGATGTTGGACAACGAAGTGCGGAAGATGATCACCAATGCCTACGAGCGCACTCGTAACCTTCTTACGGAGCGTCGTGCGGAGGTGGAGAAGGTTGCACAGCGGTTATTGGAGAAGGAGGTTATCACTCGGTAAGCATCCTTGATTACTGTTTCATGCTTTTCAAATTCTTATAATGGTTTCAGTGAGGATATGATCGAACTCCTCGGCAAGCGACCATTCACCGGACGGTCAGACGATATGGACAAGTGGCTGGACGAGAACCGGGGTGAGAGGAGTGCACCTCCACCACTCGAGCCACCCTCGGACAGCGGCCGTCTAGATGACCCTCCTGAACCACAACCCGCCCTCACAAAAGCACTCGACAGACGGCCATGGTTCTGAATTGATCGACCTGCAAACTAGTACCTCGCAGACATCCGCGTTCGCGCATTCATAGACTCCCCTTCGATTCTCGCATGCCTCGCTGTATTTTAAGCAATCTTTGTGTATCATTCTACGTAATTTTTAACAACACCCTCCTCACTATACACTCCTTACTCACCACGATATACGTACGCGTTCGCTCTATAGATACACATATTTGGGCTAATGGTACTTGGCATTAATCGCGAAACAAACAAAGGAATGGTTTGTCCTCGTCTCGACGCCAAAGAATGCGAGTAATTATGTTAGAGGGTGTATCGGAACCCACTCCATTGGTCACCCTTGTGCAATCGTGCAGCATCGATGCTCTCGTACCGCCCGTTGCCTTCGTGGGCGTATTTGTTATCCACTCCCTCAATGACCTCGTCCCGCTCTCGTCGATCCCGCCGTTCATTCTCCCGTTTCAATAGGATGTAGAAGAGGAGAGAACAAACTAGCCCAAAGGCAATGTATCCCAAGACGATGGCATGGCCTAGGCGGTACCATGGCCTATCTTTAGCCCTGTACTGGTAGGATGTAAGACATCGGGCGCTAAGAGGAAGTGACAGTGGCGTACGATGTTCGCCGTAACTGCACCATTGAGATTTCCAAATCCAATGGCCATCCCCAGGGTGACGCTCCGTTTATAGGAGCCTTCTACATTGCTCGCGACCCAAGCGACGGAATTAGCTTCGATAGAACTTTCAGTTCCGTACACCAGCGGAATGGACAGTCTCTGCCATACTCACGAATCATTGGATAGATGGCACTGCGGACCCAACGTAAGTCAGCCAAGCAATCCCTCCGGGTGAGAAAGACTTTCAGTACTCACGAAACAGCGAGGTACACGGCGAAGTAGGACAACGCGTCAGATTTTGACACTAGGAGTATGATATACGCAGCGAGCCCCGCGGCAAAGAGAGCTCTGGCATTCGGTCAGTCTCATGGCCAATAGGCGAGATATTCTTAACCCACAGGTTGATGTGCGACCGATGGCCGAACCGATCCCCCAGGTACCCAACAACACAAGTCAGGATACATCCCCATGCGTATACAGGAACCGAGAGAAGATTTGCACGGGTAGCTGTGTAACCTGGGGTAACCTGTCAGAGAGCCTCTAGAAATGGTCCTTCAGAGGTATTTACCCAGCTGCAGTTGGTACGAGTGAGCGCCCTGAAGAACCAAAACAGGGTGAAAGGGGCTCACTTGATTGATGATCGAGGGCAAAAACAGCGAAAAAGCATAAAGAGGACCATCACTGTCGAAGTGGCATGATAATTTCAATACGAATATTGGAAGTCCTCGTTGGCACCTACAAACCCATATAGAGGCCCACTGCAATAATTAAGTTGGCGTCCAGAACCAAGGAGGGAGGCTAGGTCACAACTTACTGGCTATATACGTTTTCCAATCCTTCAGGCTTTGCCAAACATACTCACTGGAAAAGGCCTCTCCGGAAGCGCTGAATTTCATGTCTTCCTGGAGGCGACGGATGATAAAAGCACCTTGGAGTAATTCTGTCAGACCAACTGCATGGACACACTGAAATGGCTATACATACGTTCTTGGTCGGTCAGAAAGCGAGCTGTATCTGGAAAGTCCTGAACGACCCAAAAGGAAACGATTGCAAGGAAAACAGTCGCCAGTCCCTCAAGAATGAAGATCCATGCCCATCCTGAGATAAGGGATGAGCTCCAGTGAGATACTCTCATACAGACACCGATGTGTGCATCCAGTCGATCACACACCTGGACGTCCTCCGATGCCATCCATTTTTGCTATCGCTGCGGCCAGGAGGCCACCTACAGCAGCCACGGGTCAGGTGAATAGTAATACTCTTCTCGATGAAGACTATGCTTACTGAACGCCCCTGCCACCGTCGCGGACGAGAAGAAAATGGCGACTTTAAAACCTGTTTCCGAGCGCTTATACCAGCTATGAAGCCATCAGCCTATTATTGCTAGCGCCGGACCGCGATACAGGACGGGTGGCGAACCTTGAGATATAGAAGACAACCCCCGGATAAAGACCGGCCTCGGTCAAACCGAGCAAAAGTCGTAAGGCTGCAGAGGAAGAGCTCATCATAAGCTAACAGTGGGCAAAGGTGTCTGCGAGCCCACCGAGAAGACCGCCGAAATCCTTTACGATGCCATGGAGGGTCTAGATGCACTCTTTAGCTGACACGTTATTTTGGGAATTGAATTGACCTGCCATTACTGTTCCCCAAAGGAGCATCATGGACGAGAGCCATACGGAAGGCCTGAGCCTTTTCAGTAAGACATTACTCGCAGGCTGATCAGAAGTGGGGGTGAGGGAGACAGCTGGGTCCCACAGAAATCCCTTGGCGCACCTCGAACAACGCGTAAGGGATAAAGAACATCGAGAGAGCTAGAAGATACTGTTTGTCTGTTATCCCGAGGTCATTTTCCAGGTTGTACAGCTTTTGGCGATGACATCAGCTCGATGGCAGAAGTCAACGGGAATGTCCTTACTTTCGCATTGCCAATACTGCCTCTGTCCAGGAAGCTGAACAAATAGAGGATGGTCAACCAGGGAATGACGTGCAAGTCGACCTTCCTCATCAACTTCTTTTCGTCAATCCCGGAGACGTCGACCTCTGGTCGATAAATGCTGTTCAGAGTGCCAGTGACGACGGCGTGGGTGTCTCCACTCCCATGGCCCGCAGATTCCACACTTCTGGTCGTCATTGTGAGGTAGCTGGTGTTTGAAGAGAGGCAAGTGAGGAGCGGAGGGGAAGCCTGCATGGAAGGCGGGTCAATTTATACCACGGACGGAGTTTATCTCTCGAAACAGGAGAAAAAGGGGTGATGGGGTATGTGCCTCTTCGAATAGCAGGCAAGCGTGACTGATGGATAGACACAATCCCATTGAGGTGATCACAAGGTGTTTATATGCAGCGGCCGACTGTCTTGAACGAAGAAGTCGGACAGAAAGGTAGATTGTCTGATGACAGGCATCCATTTGGCTTCGGCGATCACAACAAGCCAACACGGTGGGCCTAGTCTCCCAGGTCAACGTTAACCGCAAAGCCCTCGAGCTCGTTCCACCGAACACTCCTGCCCAAGCGGGATGAAGAAGACTCTCGTAAAGATCAGAATCTCCAGCTTGAGGCGGCCCTAGAGCGCCCCAGCGGAGTCAGTTTTAAGTTTAGAGTGGTGGTTTTGGAAGGACTTGCCCAAGAGGTTTATCCCGTCTGTTGATTAGGCAAAGGCTCTCCTGTAAACGTCAACCCCAACAACTCCCTCGAGCTGTCGGAGTATGATCTTTAGCCGAGATCGAACGAGTTGAGCCTCCTTCCCAGCCACGCGCACAATCGCGGCCTGAAATGTAGTCGCAGCGTCCAAGGGGCTGAAAGACCAAATACAGTCTTCGGCTGTTCTACGCTGGTAGACTGCCAAAGGTTCATACTGCTCCGCGATGTCCTTTATCGTGTCCTGAACCTGTGGCCCGCAAAGGATCGCCATAGCATAGCATGAATAAGGAGCCAGTTGATCCCGCAAGGATCGAGAAGGCAAGCCCGGGGTCTGAGGGCCATGGCCCTGATCTTCCAGAAGTAAGACATCGTTGGCGACCAGGTTTTTCCCAATCTTGACTCGGTTCATGCTGTAGTAGCGAGATAAATCCCAGTCTTCGCCTTGAGCCTGACGCCCTTCGGTGATTGAATCCAAGAGGACGAGGGACGCGGTTTCTTCAAGATCGAACGTTTGGATTTGGTTATAGGATGCATTACGGAAACAAGTTACAGGTTCGGGCAGGAGGAAAAGGCTGCTGCCTGACCCAACCCTATAGCTCATCGTTTGCACTGTCAAGGTCCTGTCTTGAAACGTGTGGGGTCTGGTGCCTGAGGCCAATCGAGCTCCGATTCGCGTTTTGAACACCTTTGTGGATCCCTACCGTGCCCTAGGTCGGTGACAAGCGCTTGAATGGTGTATGACTGGCTCACCTGAGTCAAGAGGACCAATGAAGCCTGCCTCTGTACCTCAACGGTCAGAAACACCTCATCTCCCCCAACGAGACCACCGCCGTAGCCCATCACATATACGACAGCGACACCGTCCCCAGCAACCCTAGGTGATAGGAGCTTCAAGGGATAAGTCGATGCCAGTTCCGCGAACACCGCTTTCGCGGCATGCGAAGACACCACAACACGTCCGTGGCCAGGAGGTAGAGAAGAGGAGCTCGCCATGGTCGTGGTCAAGAACAAACCCGCAGGCTCACGATCAAGAACGGATCCCTTCTTAGGCAACTGCAATGCCAAGCGCGTTGTATCTGGTGTGCTGTTTCAATTGTTTCTATTCGATATTGTGCATGTAGTCAACCTATGAAGAGTACAAAATGAGTGTAACAGTGGACTAGATAGAGGTTCCTAAAACAAGGCAAAGTACATGTCCACAAAATTAGAGTGATATACTATCAGACAACCCAAAGAAAGTGAAAGGAGAGTAAGGGTAGGTAGATGCCGAGGCAACGAAGAGTACAAGGCTTTGTTACTTTGTGAGCCATATGAAGAGAGAAGAGATAGAGAGAGAGAAGAGGCAAGCATTACGATTAAATTAAATCCACAAGAAGCATGTTGAAAAAGAAAGAGGGCCATGGGAAGAAATCGAAAGTGAAAATGAGCGGTGTTGGATTGATTGAGTTTGGGATTAGTACTTGCGTGTCGCCAGTGCCCGGATTTCGTAGAGATGTGAACGATCAGGACCATGGTAAGGGTCATACCTTGCCGCCAAGGCGGTCTTCCAACCCTTCATTTCCGATCGATGTCTCTCCTCTGCCATCCTGCACTTCTCGACGAAAGCTTCGTCGACGTCAGCAACAAGCATGGATGCACGCGAGCCTCGATCACTTCCTGAGTCAGAAATGGTTCGAGAATGACTATGAGCAGGACTAGTTGCCCCTGATCTGGGATTGTAGGAGTCGGTGGAGGGCGCATAAGAGGTGATGCTGGACGCATCTGACACTCGTGACGGGTGGGCATTGGCACGGATGGTGTCGCCTTTGCGTTCCCATGCGTCACTGTCATCTTCGTCATCCGCAAGGTTTGCAAACACGTCCGGTTCGTCTTCTTCCGGAGGTAATGTTGAGATCCACCGCATTTGGTTGGGGTCAAAATACATGTTGCCTACAACCCGGGCCCCGTTCGCAAAGGATCCAGAAGGAGAGCCGATAGAGGAGCCCGTTAGGTGGGTGATGAGCGCCGGTCTTGTAGACGTCCCCATTGCCGCATCAAAGTCGCGTAGGATTTGGTCGTTGCCTTCCCATCGCATTGTGCCAGGGTTCCATTTCATGTCGCCAACAACTATTTTCCGACAGCCATTTAGCGCAACTTACGACCACAGAATCAACGCCCCTTACCTTTGGGACCACTTGCACCGCCAAGGTTGCGAATTAGGGTCGGCTTCCTACGGGTATTGCTGGGAGACGATGGCCCCCGTTTCTTCTTTGGAAGAACATCGAGACCGGAAGGAGTTTTGGATGGGAACTCTATCCGCGTAGTTGTACGTCTCAGGGTATTGGTGGCAGATGCCAAAGGTATCAGCGTTGGTTCTGATCCAGCATTTTAGCAAGGTCTAGGGTGTAATTAGAAGGTTATGTACGCACCATGACCAGGGCCTTCGCGTTTGCTTCTCCGGATGGTTCCCTTGCCATCTGAAGGTTTGTCACTTGACCGCGTCAAGGATTTATCGTAGGTGGCGCCAGGAACACGATTGCCATAGCCTTTGGGTTGGACACGGAATCGACCTTCCTTGTCTTGGTCTAGGGGAAGGTCGTCAATTCCGTCCAATTCGGTGCCGTCACCGTAAGTTCGTATCCGTTTCGGTTTGCGAAGAAGTTTAGGAGCAGCAGCAGGCGGAGGCGTCGGTGCCGAGGGTGGTGGGGGATTTTTCGAAGCTCTAGAAGCGGCACGCTGTGACATACTCGATGGAGGGCGAGGTGGTAGTGGCGAAGTTGCCCGCGTCGTGGTTTTAGGTTCGGGCGGTGGCCCAAACACCGATGAAAGTGCGGGCCGTGATTTGGTTCTTGATTGGGTAGGCATCGTGAGCCGGAGGGCGATAGGATTCGAGGAGGGAGTGGATGGCCGAGTGGGAGGAACTTTGAAGTCGTGGATACGGCTCGTTGAGCTCTTGTGGGTTTTAGCTCTGGAAGCCGCTGTAGGTTCCTCGTATCTGCATTTGGAGGATTGTATTATTGGCACCTCTAACGAGTTGCGGGATGTCTGCTTGGAAGAAGATTCGATAACAGATAGAGATGCCTTTCGGGTAAGTTTGCGGGCGGTTGAGGGTGGGGTGGGTGGTTTCAGCCCAGAGTGAGATTTCTGTCCTCGAAGACTACCTGGCTTTGGGGTCAAGAAACTACTAGAGGGTGACGGTGTAGGTGATGGTATTGGTGGTGGTGGAGTCAAAGCCTGGAATGTTTGAGATCTTGAAGGCGGGCGGAGGGGCGGTGAGGGGGATAATCGAATCTTCTGAAGCTGGCGAGCAGAAGAGGGAGGGGGATGAGGAGATTTCGAACGCTCCAACTTGGCGCGTGAAGGGGGACGAAGTGAGGAAGGCCGTGCTGGGGGATGACTTGCACTACGATTGAAGTTGCGGTGCGGTTGACTTTGCGAATTAGATAGAAGTCTACTTGGGCTGAGGTCGACATCATCTTCAATGATGAGGCCAGCTTCAAAGTCATCTTCAGGGTTTGGGGACGCAACTTTGACTTGGTTGGCGGTCAGGTCAACCTTCTTCTTGGATTCCAAAATCTTGTTTAGTTGACGGCCACTTTGTTTGGATTCAAACAGGGCGGTAGGAATGACCAGACCTTCCAGCTCATCCTCGTCGTCATCGGTTTCAGTTTCGGGGAGTGAGGCGGATGATGTTGAAGTCGAGGAAGGGTAGTTGTCAGCGAAGCCAAGGGTGGAATAGGCGTCCGAGGACTGCGACGAGGAGGAATTATCCTTCTCTCCCCACTCCAAAGAAGTCTTTGAGCCTCTATGGCTGAGAGAGGTCGGCGCAAGGGAGAGTTTGGTGAGGTCGGCGGGGAGTGCGAAACCATCCTCAAAGTCCTCCTCGATGGTTTGTTGAAGAGGCTTTTTCGGAATCTTGGAGGCGAGAATGGTTTGTGCTGCCTTGATGGTCGAAGCGCCTTCCTTGATAGTTGAGACGCCTTCATCGTCGTCATCGTCGGAGGGTTGCTGTAGTGGTGGTCGAATAGTGATCATTCCAGTTGTGGATGACGATGACGACGATGCCGATGAAACCAGATTCCTCGCAGCTTCTGACCTCGCCATCATACCCGCTACCACTGCCTTTGCTTTCGCGCCACCGGTTTCGCCCAAATCCATTTCCAAGTCCCAATCCTCGTCGGCATCGTCTCTGTCGGAGGGCGCGTGTATTGGTACACCGTCGGGGAGGTCGAAGTCGGCATCGGGCCATTCCTCCCGGGAGAGGACAAAGGTCGGTGCAGGGATTGTTGGCATAGTTGTTAAGTCGAAAAAGAGATATAGGGAGAGAAGAACGAATAGAGAGGAGAAGAAAGTATAGATTGTAGGGAACGACTAAGTGTGTTGTAGACTACCGGACCTTGAGACTGTTGGCGACGACGACAAGCGACGGCCTAGACGACCGGCCTCCCTGTGGAGACAGAGCTTCCTCGTCGTTGAAGGGGTCACAGCGGGGGGCTGCTCGCTGCTGATGATTTGGTTGTGCGAACAGTTGACTCGCAACCAGTTCCTTTACGCTTGGCACCCCTTGTTTGCTGCGTGTTTGTCGTACCCTCTCCAACACAAACATCAAATCCTTACCATTGTGTGAACGTCCGTATGCCCAAACAAAAACCACCAAGCGTTGTGTACCAGGAACCCCTCGAGGCTCTCGAGCGTAACAGGCGACGTAGAAAAAAAATACGCGGTCGATACTCGCTTTCACTCAACTAGAGCGTTATTTAAAGTAGATAATGCGATTGGAAAGGTCGCTGAAAATACATTTTTCAACATTTTCAACTCGGGTTTCAGTTCGGTAGATTGGGGCCAAGTCAGAGCCTGACACGCCTCCGTTACTCCGAGCGGTGAAATGGCTGGTCGCGAGCGTGTCCTTTTCCCGTTGTGCCCCGCTGTGCGAGTATCTGGCTTGGCACTTCAGTGATACGGCATCAGTCGTCGCAGTTCCCGTGCCCGGTCGAAAATCTCGTCCTCGTCCCCGCTATTGTCCTCCACATGGTCCTCCAAAGGTTCAACCGCCCCATGCAACTCCTGTCGCAGGCGCAACCCACGCTCAGCCATCAAGTCCGCAAGGCTTTGCAGCTCCCGTGAGTCAAACACGCTGCGCATTGGTCCGAACGCCAGCAAATAAATGTCTGTCTCGTTGTTAGATGATGAAACGAGACACATCGCCTGAAGAACGCTACCTTTGACAAATGGACATTCGCTGACGGCACGGAACAGAAGCTTTTTGGCATCCTTTAATTTACCCGCTCGGATTTCGAGTTCGAGATAGGCACGCCAGATGATCGCGCTCGAGCGTGTCCTATGACTCAGGTCAATATCGAAGATAGAACTCACAACAATGGTCACTTACCTTTCGTGTTCCACGGCTGCTGCTAGAGCACTTCTCGCTCTTTCGACCTCCGATGCCCATCGGCCCTTTTCCCATCCACCGACCCACACCTCTTGTAGCACCTTCGATACATCCTTTGCCATATTGTCCCCACCTCCGACAACATTCCGGACTCTGCCCCAGATTCCCTGACCTTTCTCGGCCTCAAGGAAGATGCCCAAGACAACCGAGTTGCTTGGGTACTGCTGCAGAGCTGAGGCAGCTCTTTCGCGGAGTAATGCTGGGGGACCAGAGTTATTCAATACGACACGGTGATGATAAACGAAAAGCAGTGCGGTCAGCGTCAATCGCTCACGAGCGCAGCCGTTCGCAGTCGTCTCGACCTGGCCGTCGAAAATGGATAGTACCGTCTCGATCTCTGCGCCTCTCAGCAATTCCAGCAACGCAAACATCTTTAGCCAAGTCTCCTTGTCCACGAGGTCGGACGTGGAGTCCACAGCTTCCCGAAGGGACTGCCTCGCTCGCAACAGCCCGACATCGCTCACTTTGGAAACACCAGCGGACTGTAGGATGACGTTTAAAGCTTGATCATTGCTACCAGAGAGCCATTCCATTTCCGCCCAATTCCACCACATCTGGCTGCACCCAGGTTGAGTTCTTGGGGTCTTGGAGGCGACAAGTAGTGTTTGATACACCTTTCTGGCACCATCTAGTTTCCCATGTATCCGCTCTAATTGGGCGTGTGCTGACCAGTATTCCAATGTCGCTTTCGGTACCGACAGGAACGCTTTGGATAGCTTCAATGCGCTAAAGTCGGTGTAAGGAATCACATCAATGGATCAAAACGACGCAACGTACTTCTTCACATTTAACGCAGCCTCGAATGCCAGTGCCCACGAATCCCACATATGATCATCGTCTGTCTTTCTCAGTTGAGAAAAGATTCTCCGGACCTGGCGGATGTCCACGGCACTGACATCCGTCGAGTTCCAAAGTCGCTGCCGAGTGACACGTTTAGTGGTCACATATACATCCAAGGGATGGAAGACACCAAAGGCCCATTGTTTGACGGGACCGAACGCATCCCTATACTCCTTTTCACGCCCCACGATAACGCCCGAGACTGATTCTGCCAGTACAGCACGGCTCGAAGACTCCCCCGGAAAGATGGCCTCAAGGTATGTGGGAGCGCAGAGCACTCCGAGGCTCCATCGGTCGTCCCAGTTGATATTCTGGTCATGCGACAAAGACAGGGAGAAGCCCGGGATGTGGAGACCGAGAAAAGAGAGGAAGATGAGGCGAAGAGCTACTTTGCTTGGTCGCGATTCAAGCTTTATGAGGACGGGGCGTATGTCGGAAAACAGGATGGTGGAGTACGGGTCCAGATCGTCCGAGCCCATAGAGGCTCTAGAAGGAAGCATTTGCATCTTATCCGCGGCTGATTCCTGGGCCGCCCATTGGCGATATGGATCCAGATCCAAAGGCTCCGGCGGGGCACTGGCGGATTCGTGCGTCTGTTGCCATTCAGGTTTCCCGCTGTCATACCAAAGCCTCCAGCCGCTTGCCTGCTCTTCGCCAATACGGGGCGTTTCAGACTCCCAGAACTCTTCCAATTCGTCGAGCTGTTGCTCGAATGACGACCCTATGAGTGGATCCGGAAGGTTGAATGTTCTGATCACAAATAAGCGCCTGTCTGGAATGATAATTGAATCCCCTTACAATTCACACTGGGCTTGAAGCATAGCGAATGCCCGTTCCGTATAACCTAGGGGGCTGTAAGCGATGAAGGGAATGGATATAACAACAGCACTCACCCGCATTACGCGTTGCCACCACTATCCTCCAAAATATCCTCAACTTTGCAAATTGATCTTCATCATGTTCCCCAAATGCAGCCAGAGCACGACCAGCATCATCAATGAGCGTAGTGAATTCCAGTTTACCCTGCCTCGACCTCCACTCCAACCATTCCATCCATATTTCGATGCCACCCAACTTCAGCGCCTTCTCCCACTCTTCCGCCAATTGACCCACTTGCCAAATCTCTTCTCCAGCTTTCAAATATTTGATGCGTAAAATGGTGGACGAAGCATTCGCGGGATGAGCGGAAAATGCACGGGAGAGCAACGAAACCGCAATATCGCATCGTGCTCTCGTTGCGTTTTTCGAGGTGGTGGGCACTGTCGAAAGTGTGTGGTCGAGGAGTGCCAGCCAAGTTGCTATTGAGTCTGGCTGTGTAGCGAGTCGGCTTTCGAGGTTCCGAAGATGGGTTTGGTAGGAGGTTTCTGAAATGCCCTCGTCCTGCGAATCCTCATCCTCTTCGTGGCTATCGTAATCCTCTATATCAGAAGCACTGCTCTCCCCTTCCTCATGGCGAGTTATGGAACGGTATGTATCTTCGGGAGCGGATTTCGCGCGGCGAGAGGGCAAGCGAATGACACCATCGATTTCGGGGTACCGATCTGGTTGTTCAACCCGAGCCAAGTGACGGGTCGGAGGGAGTGCCAGGAGTGATTTGGTACGTGAATCTGAAATGCCTGACATCTGCAAAAGTCAATAGGGGAAGCGGTAAGGGAACAGAGGGAGGGATACCTTCTTTGAGCCGCTTAACCCAATTTCAATTCCATTCCCAACTCGTCGAACGACAACGAAAGCCGGGGGTAGACCCAATACACGCCTTCCGCCTGCAATATGATTAGACGTCATGTACAATTAACATAAATACATACCAGCAACCATTCGGTACTTGGGAACATCTCCTTGGTGCAATCCTCCATATACAACGTTCAACTTATCAGGCTTTCGGTCAGAGAAGAACAAACGATACGAAGTGTCTTCGATGGGCGCCGGGCTGCCTATGACCTCGTTGGCAGCGCGTTCCTCGTGTCGAGATTTCTTTTCCTCCCGTCTCCGACGCTTTTCTTCGTCTCTATCCCTGCTCTTGTGTTTCTCTTTTTCTCTTTTCCAATGCCTGTCTTTGTCTCTATCCCCTCCCTTCTCTCGCCGACTTGGTGACCTAGAGTGGCTCCTCCTACGGCGCTCGTCCCGCCTTCTCTCCTTCTTCGATTCCGAGTCCCTGATAGGTTTCGAAGAAGATGGCTCTGGTTCTCTGCTGTTTTCTCTGTCGAAATCAGGGAACGATGCAAAGGAGGGAACATGGATGGACATGTTGGAAGAGGTAATTGGACTGAGAGCTTCCGACATGCATGGCTTACATAGATCAGATCACAAATTGATGGCGACCTCAGTTTTGCAGACCCGCTGCGTCCGCTAGAACCACAGACTACCAAGTTCACCTAGTTCAAAATGCGGCCACTAACAGAAGATGAATCTAAAGCTGTGTTCACAAAGCTGGCCAACTACATCGTAAGTTCCACATACGTCTTCTGTGGCAACCCGAAATATCACTCTTCGACAGGGAAAGAACCTTGTTCACTTGATTGATCGACCAGACGAACCATACTGCTTCAGGCTGCACAAGGACAGGGTTTACTATGTTTCCGAATCGTCTATGCGCCTTGGTATCTCTGTTGCAAGACCCAATCTTGTCAGCCTTGGGACCTGCTTTGGAAAGTTTAGCAAAAGTGGGAAGTTCAAGTTGCACATAACCGCTCTCGACTATCTTGCGCAGTATGCGAAATATAAGGTGCGTTACATTAAAAGCTATCCCTGGAATCTGCAGACTTACATGGAGCCAGGTCTGGATCAAACCCAACGGCGAGATGCCCTTCCTCTACGGAAATCATGTTTTGAAAGCACACTTGGGACGGATAACCGAGGACACACCAGAACACCAGGGAGTCGTGGTTTTCAGCATGAATGATATTCCACTAGTTCGTTCCCAATTCGCCTTTGCGTCGTTCGATTCTCAAGTTGTACCAGGGGTTTGGCGTTACTGCACGGTCGACAATTGATACACGGAAACTCGACCCAACATCCATCATCGTATTCCACCAGGCGTGAGTTTTCACTTGGAAGGATTCCGGCTGTCGTTTTGACTATCTTTTCCAGAGATGTTGGCGAATATCTCCGAGACGAGGTTCGTGTTTTTCTTCAAACAGAAGAACAAATTAACACTGACCCGTTGCGAACAGGAGACACTATTCTAAACAAGTTTATCCGGTCAATTGAGCGCCATATACCTGCATTGCCTGCTATGCATAGACAGCTGTCTAAAAGTATCCATTACTTACTACTCCATAATTTGTATGTACAATAGAAAAGTTGGGTTCAAGAGGTTCGAACCGGTAACTCAATTGAATACCGGTACCAAGGTGACACGCTACCGAATGACGCTGGGTTTCCCTTCTCCATCCACCGGCGACCATGGCTGAGAGCTCAACTTCTCCATACACGACCTGGGAATCAACGGCCGACCATGAAATAACGCCAGAACTTGTATTCAGTTTATTGAGCCCCATCCCCGACGATGTCTGGACCGCAGCCGCCTGTGTCGACCGCACCTTGGACGATACCACCTCACAACAGTCCCTTTTAATCCACGGAATCGCCAGGACAGATAAAGCTGCACAACGATGCGCAGAAGTAAAGTCAAGACCAACATCCGTAGACGTCCAACAATCCCAGCACGATATCCTACGTCAACATTTCCAGAGCAACCACGGCGATGCCCAGCTCGTGCAACTGCGCTCTATCCTCTTGCGACGTTTGGACAGGCTGAACACGTACGTGGAGATGGAAAAGGTGTCGGCAGGAGTTGAAGAAGAGAATGTCGTTGAGGATGAAATTGAGGAATGGGAGGACGATCCGTGGGCAGACAGCGAAACTTCATCCACCAAGCCGACTCCAAAGACCAAGTCGGTCGCGAAGCTTCCGTTGACATTGTCGGAATTCCTGCTCAACGACCTCGTAACTTCAGCACAAAACCTGGCTACTCAGCAGTTCTTCGATGCGATCCAATTAATGTTCAAGAAACACAGGTCCGAGCTATGGCCTTCGCGGTTCGCCATTCTTGACGCCATACCAGAACACGCCGTGCCATCCTCTTACCGGCATCTCCTCCCCGGACTTGACAATGCAACCAACCTTGAACTCGTCTGGCCCCAAGAGCCTTGGAGACCAGAGCCCGACGTCTCAGAACAATCAGAAATTCGAAGCGTCTTGCGAGAAATTGAAGTCGGGTTCAATGAGCTCGTCCTTACCAACGACTTGCCAGTAATCACAGAGCCCCTGGAGGCTGAAGCATTGCGCAAGTGGTACTCCAATCAGGTCGACGTTATCATCCAAGCGACAGGAATTGTTGACGCCGCACTCGCCATCGTCCAGCACGGCGCTTCCCAAGGCATCCCAGGTCTGGACGAGCTTGGGGAAGAGCTCAGCCTTCTCTCGCGCCTCGTCTATGACACCCCGCAGGCACAGTTTACAAACGACGACTGGACCGTATCTCGCTGGAGGTCCATGTCCCCAGAATCCGTCGTCCGCGCCTACCTCGCCCATTCGCCGCCCGAATCACTGCCTCAAGACATTTCTAGCCTCGTGATGCCTTACCTCTATGTTCTAGAAGCCAGAGCAGAAAGAGCGGGATCACCAGACCCCGATTTACCGAACCGCCTCCTCTACGACTACATCCTTTCGATTCCGCTCGAACACGCTGCCGCCGTCTTCGAAGCATCCAAACCAACACTGCCGGCATCGCAGCGCGTTCTGCGCGACGACGAAGATGTAGCTCGTTTGGCACTGGCATGCCTTTATGGCAGCGAGAGCCTCAGCGAATGGCCTACGATGAGTCGGATATTCGAGTGCATGCCCGCGTGGGACACTGTAGACGAGGGCGAGACTGACGAAGAAGCCGCCGATACAACAATTAGGGCACTCGGTAACTTTGTGGCTCCGTCTACCTCCCGTACATCATGCGCTCCGAAGGATTTGTTGACCTTTTTCAAACCACTGTCCATCCAAGCACTATCCCGAGCACTCGACATCCTGGACGTTCATCTGGAGTCCGGGGAGATCCTGTCCAGATGGAGCGTACCCGCCCCTCTACGATGGTTCTTGAGAAGTCACGACGACGTTAACGAGCAACGCGCCTGGGCTAATCGCATGGCTCGTCGGGCTGGCGGCTCGGTCGATCCCCTTACTACCATGGAAGATTGGGAATGGCTTCTCGAAGACATGTTGAAGCTGACAGAGTCTAACGAATCCGGGCTGCGTGGGGCATTCGGGTTGCTGGCGAGAGACGAGGTCTTATCAATCTACTTCAGCGGTTTACTTAGCACAGGGAGTGAGTAACTAACCTCTTTCTTCCGACGGTCCCATTGACTCATCGGCATTTCAGAATTCGATATTGCCAAGGCCATGTTGCGGGGCTCGCACCCAAAAATCAGTCTTTCCCCAGAAGTTGTTGAGGACATCTGCCTGAAATGCTCTCGCGAACTCTACGATAACGCGAGCTCAGGAAACTACAAGATTGGCGATATGAAGCTTGCATACGACTGGTGAGTTGACCGTTCTGAGTTCAAGGCCAGATTGAACCTTTTTCTTATGAACGTTCCCCCATAGCCTCGACGTACCACCGTTGTCGGACCAGATACAGCTCGAAAAAGAGTTCATTGAAGCGACCTCTAGAATTTGTTCCTTCAATGTGATATCCCGCGCTGGCGTTCCGATTTCACCTATCGAAATCCGCTTGACCAAGGACCGATTGTCACTCGTTTCCCAAGTCCTCTCGAGTAATAGCGATGCGTACAAGCACACTGAAGTCATGCTCGACCTTACCTACAAGCTCGGCTTCCGCGACGACGTATCTGCCACAGTCAAGGTCCTCGCCATGCTTGCAGAGACGGCACTTCAGATGGAAGACTTCACACGCGCTTTCGAGTGTACTCAACGCATGGTCGCCATCATCCACGACTTACAGACCACCCAAAGCCTTTTGTCAGACGACAGCAAACTACGGGAAGCAGTAGAGGTCTGTTGGATCGCCTGCTTCCAGCTGGGCCGGCAACCGGAATACCCTAGCCTCGACAACAAAATGAAGTTACTTGGTCAGGCCTTGGACCTCTGTCCCACTGACAGGATGCACGACGTCTTAACCGCATGGAGGAGGATGCAGAAGGAAGACATTGAACGCCGAGAGGAGAGACTCAATTCGCAACAGAGCGATATCATCCAAACAGCGCGTCCCGCCGCTGGTACCAGCTTCATTCCTCGTACTGTCGCTTCCTCCTTACGCGCCCGCCTTCACGACCTCCATATGCCTTCACCACCGCTACTCAGCACCCCCGATGCCGCAGCTTTGGCAACCAAAACCTTCAAAACTGTCGCTTCCAATTTCCCTTTTGCTCTCCATCGCTCTCATTCAGCGGCATCGGATGATAGGAGCGCGGGACGCAGTGAAGCTTCTTGGCGTGATGTTGAGGTATCTTCGCAGGCATCAAGAGCGCTGTCTAAAGGCATCGGTTGGTTGATTGGAGCAGACGACGAGTAGACAGCACCCGACGTGTCGTAGGATTCACGATATATATGCAATTCATCATACTACTACGTGTTGTACAGTAAAAGGAGTGACGAGGGAATGTCCAGGTGGCAAAGAGTGTGAGGAGCTTGACAAAACGGAATACGGAAGGGGGAAACAACCAAAGGCCTTTTTAAATCGGAAGTGAGTAATAAAGTAAACAATAAAGAGGCAGTGATGAAACATGGGTATGAAATCCACTAAAACACTGGACGAATAGAAGAAAGTACACGGGCAATAGAATGTAAGGCACATACAACCATTAAAATTAATAAAGAAGGGAATGAAAGGGTCAATACATTTATTGTAGCCGACTGCAGGGAAAGGGGCGAATTTCGAAGGGAGTGGGGGAATGCGTGAACAGGACGCGATAGATAAAAGTTAGAGTGATGTACAACGGATTCAAAGGTCGTTAGAAAGTCGAAATCGAAACCCTCCAGAGAAGTTCAAAAGATACGTGAGATGGCGCACTCGATCATGGCTGTGGGTTGGCAAATCGCGAGTTGGTACCCGTCTTGGCTCGTGGTCGATTCAATACACTCCTCCCATTACCGGGAGACGTACCGCCTGAAGCTGGAGCATCATTGATGGGAGACGAAGTCCATGTCTTTCGGCTGCAGTGGACGCAATCACCCCCTTGTTTTGATCGAAGTTGTTCCACTTCCATCTTGAGATCCCTAATTTGGGCTTCGAGTTCCCATTTCTGGCGCTGTGACGCCAATTTCGTGGCAGCGAGTTGATCTTGCAAGGATTTGATAGTCATTGCTGGATTCTCGTGACTGGATTTCGAGAGCCCATCGGAAAGTCCTGGAGTGATGGGCTCGTTGGGACTCGCAGATGTCGGGGTTTCGGAGCCTGTGCGCTCATTGGCGTTGGACTGGAAGTCGGGTACGATGTGCTCAAAGCCAGTGAAGAGACTTGAGACGGGGCGAAGCTGCAAGGCAGGGAATGCAGTAACGTCTGCAGGAGCACTCTGCGGTTGACTTCCGTTAAGCCATGGCTTGTCGAAGCCCGTCGGTGTAACGGCACTGAGCGGCGGTCGCTCCACGTCAGACAATCCTCCGCGAGTGTTGATCTGAAGCGTCGGTGGCGATGGCCTGGAACTGGGCGGTGCATGGCCAAATCCTTGCGAGAAAGGTGGAGAGCCTTGGGAGTCCGAGTTGAAATTAGGAACCGGAACACGCGAAATAGAGGGCTTCTTCGATGATCCGTTGAGGTCCGACGACGGCATTGAGGGCACAGGTGGCGGTACGTCAGGTTCTTTCTCCTTTCCAGCGTTAAAGAGCCGCATAAAGCCGCTCTTCTTATGTTTTAATGTCTTGCCGCCGGGTTGGCTGACATTTTGAGGAGGTACAGCGGACTCCGAATCCCTGCGATCGACTTTGGCAGTTCCGACCATGGATTGAATTGCGTTCATTGCCTTGGCACCTGCGCTCGTTGTACGCCCACGGGACCTGGTAGGAGCAAGTGGTGCGCCATTCGTCGACTCGTCGTGGACAAACTGGGGCATGGCGTGGGAGACAGTGTTCACAGTCGTGGTTCGGGACAATTCGTTCGGTAGGACGGAATTTCGCGCTTGCTGAGCTCGCGCCTCCTCGAGGGAGATTAAGCTGAACGAAGGCGGGATGACCCTCTCCGTCCATCCATGGAGAGATCCGCTTACAGTACCGTCTGGAGCAGGAGTGACAATATGGCTTGAAATGTTGGCCGGTAAAGCGCTGCCTTGAACGGCAATGGGTGAAGAGATGCCTTTTCCATGAACAGTTGACCGCCGCGGTCGCGGCCCATCTGCTTGGGAGTCCCTGCGTTGCGGCTCGGCCGGAGTAAAGCTCTCTTTGACAGTGGCACTTGAACTTCCGCGCGCAAGAGGATGATTGTCGAGGGTAGGGGAGCCGGGAGCTGTCGGCTCTCCATCGCAGGTGACAACCAAGTCGGGATTGGCGTAGGGATGTATGGGCGCATCAACTGGATAGCTTGTGAAACGGGTAGGTTCAGGGTCGTAAGTGGTACCGGGTCGGTTGTCGTGATGGTTCGTGGACGTCTGAGAACGATTCAGGGCGGAGTGGATAGGGGACGGCTGATCAGGGGACGACGGTGTCGAAAACGCCTGGTACGGAGGGGCGCGTGGGCGTGCCAACGATGAGAATTTGCCAAGCAGGCCGTCTTTCGCTGTCACAGCGGCACCGCTGACTCTACTGCTAAGAGAGGTGGCTGACAGGCTTTCCTGTGCAAGAGCACTAAATGAAATCATTCCCGTTATTACATGAGGGTAATACGAATGAAAGACATCAACTTACTACAGGGCGCCCCTGGACGACATCTGGGAATTGATAGTGTCGAAGGAGCGCTTGGGGGGGACGTTGGACCTATAGGATTCTGCACTCGGTCTAGACTGGGATTGGCTGGGGCGAGGACTGGAGGAAGGCGATGAACTAGAACGGTGGTTGCCAGCGAGGGAGAAAGGGAAACCGAGCGGCTTGGGACTGTCAGTGAGTTCATCCTCCTCCTGCAGTGCTTCGCCCTCCATTTCCCAAGGGGCGCGAGAATGAAAGCGCATTTTCGGGCCCAAATAACTCATGCGGTCGCCAATATCATCGTCTCGTTGCTCTTCAAAAGAGTGTGGGTCGTCATCATTCGTTTCTTCGGTGCTTATGGAGGAGCGTCGGTCGTCACTGAAATCGAGGGTGCTTATATGCTGGGACTGGTAACGTTCTCTGGCTGAGCGAAAGTCGTAGTCGGCATTGAAGGACCTTGTTTCGAGACTGTCCGCTGCTGGTGGGGAGAAGTTTGCCCTGCTGTAGACGGACGGGGTGTCTGAGAACTGGGAGAGTGCTGAGAAGCGGTCGAGGGGGTTAGCCCTCCGCTGATCCAGGAGAACCCGCAGATGTCCATCATGGGTGTCGTTGTCCGGCGATGAATAGACCGACCTCGACATCGCCAACGACGAGGAAAATAAAATTAAGAAGGGGAAAGAAAAAGAAGGTGAGGGGGAAGGCGAGAGTTGGGCTCGGTATCTTTTTTGGGCAGCGTCGCCTGGGATCTGTACATACAGGTCCAATCAATTTCTCCTTCCACAAACATTTTGGCAGATTCAGTTCATAACCACTCTTCTGCTTTCTTCTCTTTGCTCCACGCTGTTACCGGCAACCACAACTGTTATCAGCGTCGCTCGACCCGCTTGACAGCCGATCCACTCCTCTCTGTACCAACCCGTGGGACTCTTTCAACCCAATACTCTCATTCATTCCCCGTTTTACTCATGAATGTTATCTAGAACCGTCATGGACGCTGAGCCATCTTCATCAGCTTCGGTCGTGCCACTAGCACAGTCTAGCGGCGGGCGTGTTTCAGGCAAGCCATGGAAACTACAGAAGACCGCAACAGTGTACGCCCTCTCTTGATCTCGCTTCACACGAATACCACTAATAACCTAAACCTGCTTGTAGCCGTTCCCATCTCCAGCCAGGCCTTCGAACAAAGTTTGAAGAGAGAAAGGAAAAGGAGACCAAGGCCAAGGCATTGAAAAAACTGCAAGCGGAGCTCAGGGAGGAGAAGCAGGCAGAGATTGACAGGTGCGAACGTTCTTTCTCCCAGACCGACCTGTTTTTTCACATACCACATGCAACTTCAGACGGAGGCAGATAACGTTGGAACGGAAAAGGGCGGCAGAGGAAAAACTCCGCGTAGAGGAGGCAAAGGCAAAGGTGTGTAATCCTCATTCCACTTAACTAAGCATGAGGCTTAGACCACTTCTAGATGGGAGCAAGAAAAGCAGCACGACTGCGCCGACGAGCAGGCCGTAGTAAGACCGTCAACCACTAGTCTCAATTCCGTTCTCCTTCAGTTCCATGTATCAATATCATCAACAACAGTCGGTTCCATTAGAAAAGACGATTACGAGAAAAAGGGCTACAACTCCCAGGACGTGTCCACTTCCCCTTCCTTGATGAACGGCTTGTCCAAACCAACGATCACGCTCTCGCATAGCGGACAATTGCTCGACAACAAATCGTCCAACTCTGCTCGAAGCTTCTCAGCCCGCTGTCCAACCAACCTGTCCTGGCCTACTGGTCGAGTGCCAGCGCCACCCATTCCCGGAATCCAGGTTGGTGCTGAAACCAGCGTTGCCAGTGCATCCGGGACGATCAAGTCGCGTAACCGATCTCCTGCCGAAATCACACCTCTACCGATCAGATTGGCTGCTTTCGCGCCATTCTGCAACGGGTTCACAATGGGTCCAAAGTTAGCTGATAGCAGTGTTCGTTGAGTCGCAGGTTGCGGTCGCCCGATGTCGCTGCTGTTCAATGTCGGCTTCTTCGATTGCCCACCGCCGTCCTTGACCAATTGGTTTTGAAGCGCGATGATCCTACGCAGCGCATGGGAAGGCAGGTATTCCCTAGCCTGTTTTGAAGAGGACAGCCATCACCCAGTCAGAAACCAATGTCAGAAAGGGAACACAGTTACGACACACCATTCCGATAAGACAGTCAGCGTGGAAAGCATGATGGCAAGGGAAGACGTAGAACTGTCGCATGAGGAGCAGGTTGGAGCAACTTGAGCATTGTTCGCCGGCATCAATTGTGATGAACCGATGTTTCAACGCTTCGATGTCTCTCTGAATCGAGTCTGCTGTCTTGGTCGCTTCGTCCATTTCTGCCTTCAAGTCCTCGATGTGAGCGGAATAGCCTTCGAGAGCATGTGCAATCTCCTCCTTGAAGTCGTCGATGACCACGAAGTCTGGGAAGAACGGTAAGATGTCCTCGATTTTGAGAAGGTCGGTATTTTCCAAAAATCGCATGGCCCTGAAAGGAGACATGTCAAACTTGCGCATCCAAGCAGCACCGACCAGTACGTACGACTTGATATCCTTCTTGTCTTGCACCACATAACGAGCGATCTTTAGCCACAGCTTCTTCCGAAGAGGCTGGTCGTCTTCAGGCATATCAGCATTAATCTTCGCCAACTCCAAGTCGCCCTTTGCGAGCGCCAGATCCACGCTATTCTCCCATAGGCCAAGCTTTGAATAGAGGTGCACACAAGCCTGCGTACGACCGGCTGCTGTACACAGTCTAAGCGCGTAGTCCAGATCATAGTACGGTTTGCCAGTAATCGGATCAGTTGGTGCAATCTGTAGGAATCGAAGGAGTGCGCCATCATCATCAGAATCCGATTTTCGAGGAGGAGACGTGGGCGAGACGTGGAAGGTGAGCAGGAGATTGTGGATGGTCGATGATGTGTTGTCCTGTTCAAACACGACGTTGGTCAAATAGCGGATGGCTTGGTTGGGGGATAGAGGGTCTCGAGGTGTGTGTTGCAGCTGGAGGAGACAGGGAATGAGTCGAAGAGGATCAAGTTCTGGCTGTCGAAGCCAGGCGTCGATGGTTTCCTTGGGAGCCTGGCGGATAAGGATGGACCCATAACGGTAGTAAAGTTCAAGATCTGTCTGAAAGTATCAAACGTCAATACTAGTCTTGCGAAGTCGCACGAGATCCGAACCTGCCGACTGATAACTTCAATGGCTTTGAGCCATTCCTCGTCCAAAATCCAATGCTCGACGACTCGCTGGTAGTCCCCGATTAGGTTGGCGTAGTAAAGATACATATCCGTCCTCCCATGACTTTGGATCAGCTCGTAGACGGTTTCCTTGTTCAGATTACTCTAAAACGCACGATCAAGGTGAGTGCAGTGTACAAGGCAGGCAAAGTCGATTTACCTTGTAGGTATCAAAGAATTGGCGCAGGTCGTCTTGCAAAATGGCTCGTTCTGTCTTAAGGTTGTCAACGTCCTGTGAGACGGACTGGGAGGCAATGATGTCGTCCAGGTCGTTGCATTTTCCGAGGTAAAATTCAACGAGCCATGTGGCAAGCATCATCCTCTGAGTCACATCCTGAAACAAGTTGTCAGAGCTGGGTTGTGAAAAGCACTTGGGATGGCGTTACAGTTTTCTTAGTCCGTTCCAACCGTGATATCAGATATGAGCGCAGGGCATCTCTTTCCCCGACGTCCAGTAGTTTGAGGACCACTTCTTCAAATGGGGCCGAAGAGTGTGCATAAGCTTGGGCCGCTTGGTAGTATCGTCCCTGGTCGAAATAACTCGCAGCCTGCGCTTTCAGGATCTGGTCGCGCTGGGGAGCTGTCTAGGGGACATTTAGCGGGCGGGAGCCTCGACAAAGTCACTTGACCTACCTTGGCGTACTGCAATGCCGCCTCGTATTGACCTTGCCCGAGATATATCTTCCAGACATCTCGATCTTCATTTGTTACTACCAACTCGAACAGCGACTGATCTGTGAATACCCAGTATGTCTTGCGAACTGGATCAGCGGCTAGACCGCGGACCTCTTCAGCTGGTTTCTGCACAACATTAACATGGTATATCCAAGATACGGGATAGATAACATACGATGGGCAATATTTCTTCGTACGTCTTCTTGTCGTCGAGATTGCAGATACCTACTACCCTGTCCTTGTAAAGGAGCACGAAATGGAATTCCGTCGCAGAAAGGGATAACGGGAATTCCGCATTCTCCTTGCCAGGGGACACTGCTAGAGGAGGGTATTGCAATAGTCGTGGCGAGTCGATGTGGTCCTCCACGTTGGGGTCGTAATTGAGGAGACCGTGATAAATGCCCTGGCCTGAGCAAAGTTAGTGAAATGAACGCGATGGGTTGGCGAGAAACGCACCTGTTAACCACGCCAAACGCGTGGGTCGGGTAAGAGCTTGGTCGGGATTCGATGTGTAGAATTGTAGTTCCGAGTAGGGAACGTTTCCAGGTAGTTCAAGGATCTCTTCGGAAGGAATGAGCGCGTCTCAAAATAACGGAGTACAGGCCCACTCACTCGGAGCAGATTCGCGGTACTGTGCAAAAAGGGAAGAAAAGACGCGTCCGTGTTCATCAGGTTTGCGGTCAACCGGGCCAAAAAACTGGTATATCCGCGTGGGTGTAGTTACCAACACCAGCGCTTGCTTCGGTTCTGCCGGTGCGTTGTACTCGAACTTGATGCCAGTAATGGGGTGTCTCTCAGAAAGGGTGTATACGTTCTGTAGGTACCGTTCTTGTGATTTGAAAAAGTCTTCTTCCGCGTCGAGAACGGCTTCGTAGATCTTGCCATCCCTTGATCCAATGAGAAGCTCCTTCGTCGAAGTCGAATGCGATGAGGCGAGTAAGGCAGTCTTGTTCCACGCAACACTTTCGATGATCATTCTGAAGCCCTTCAACTGCCGTGGTTTCTTCCATGACCTATACAAATACCAGTTCTCGCCTTGTTGTGAAGTGATAATGAGATGCCGCCCGGAAGGGTCCATGAACAGCTTGTAGATGGTCATCTCGGTCGGTTTCCGTGGTATCTGGATCTTGATGACTTGGTCTGCGTGCGATAGTTCAATGAGGACCAATTGGTTTGAAGTTAATCCCATCGCCAACATATCCGAGCTAATGACGAAGGAGATGAGAGGTGCCGGGAAAGCATATTGCACTCGTCCAAGGTCGAAGACGGCGGCATCTGGCTCATGGAGCATGGAAGGAGTTGGCTGCAGGTTTTCAGCTGTGAATAGCCCTCAAATAGATACTATACACGTACGGGAACATCGTCAGGCTCAAGACCGAGGTCGTTCAAGGGTGGTTGTGGTTCAAAGCCCTCATATTCCAACTGCGGCGCTGTTCCAGGAGGTTTGACTGTACTTCCTGTGGCATGCTCAACATCTACAGACGGTCAAAAGCACAGTCAGAGTTAAGAAACCGCAAAATCTCACATTCGTCGAACATGTTAAGAGGGGAGAGTGACGATGGCGCGCGGCAAACAAGCCCCAGCGTGGCCTGCGTGCGTCAGGTATCCCGATGCCATATGGGGATACTGTATAAATAACGCCAAGGGGAAGGAACCAAGGCCTGAGTAAATGGACCCCTGAGGCCCTTTCTCATGCAATGTCTGTCTATTCGTCTTTCGAGATCGTAAGGGCTTGCATTACAGCTCGGACAGTGACAGAAGGGTCATCGCATCATATTGAACGTTATCCAACGCCACGGTGCAGAAGACATGGACATAAACGACAAGTCATACCACACCCATGGACGATACCGGTACGAAGAGCATTGCGGAAAGACTTGTCGGGCCTGGCGTACGTTCGTTCGCTTCTGTGCTGGAGCAATGGATTGCCATTTCTTGGAGCACTTTGACCGCCGTCGTTGTCTTCGCTTGTCAATCCGTTCGTAAATGAGACGACATAGTCCAATCATAGTCAAAGAATGGGGCTATGGTACATATGGATTCGAACTCTAGAATCCAAGATTCGTAAGATTATCGAGACAAGGCAAGTGTGAACATCGTGCTTCGCAGCCACTTGGACGGCCACGCGAGATCCGATTGCATCAGAAAGCATACGTTGAGAAGAGAGACTCGAGACGTGTTTATAGTGGTGGATGGGCGTTTCAATAGAGTTAGGTTTGGCTTCACCTTCCGCTGGCTGATGACGATGGGATATACTGCATCTCCCACCCAGGAACTCACTTGAAGGCTCCATTGATTTTGAGGGTCGAGAACGGGCGCGAATAAGTTATTCCATGTAGGTTGTTGTGGAGGACGAACCTGTCGTGAGCCGTTAAATTTATTTGGTACAAGAATCTTTGGATCAGAAATGACTCGGGATGGAATTAATAAAAACAAAAACTTGATTCCCACAACATCGTCACTTGGCTTGACAGCGTCACATCTATCGACCTCCAACCTCCAACTATTTCGAAAATGTCGGTTGACCCGCAGAACTCTGAACAGGTTTCAGTGGAAGAACCACAGCTCAGCATCACGCCCGAGGTTGAGGCTGAGCCTGGTGCTGACGCAGCGCTGGATGCAATAAACGACGCTCAATCGGAGACAACAGCTGACCCAGCAACGGATGCTACCTCTGTCCACGGAAAATCCCCATCTGTCACCGACACCACATCCTCAGCCAACGACCCCAAAGACGCTAAAACACCTGCACGTGTCAAGACCACCGCAAAGCCAACGACAACCCCAAGGAAGCCCGGAACAATGGCCAGCAGCGCAGCAAAGGCGAACGGTGACAATCCCTCAGCGGTCAAGAAGGTACCGTGTAATTCACTCTGTTTTCCTGACCAGCCATCCAACATTCACTCTCCAGGTCATCAGTTCTGGAACATTTGGCGCTGGCAGCGTCAGGTCAGCACCTGCGGTCAAAACCGCGACGTCGGGAGGCGCGAAGCCAACAACGGCGGCACCAGGGGTAAGGAAGACAACCACCGCTGCCAGTGGAACTACTTCGAGAACGGCCTCCGGAACGAAGCCAGCGACGACTGCCGCACCAACTCGTCGAGCATCCCTTGCCCCCGCCACTAGACCGGCCGCTTCAACTGTCACCCGCAACCCCTTGTCTTCGTCCGTTAACACCAAGACTGCGACCGCCGACCCTGCAAAGGCTCGCGCTTCAGTGGCGTCCCCCACCGGCTCCCAAACGTCAGGCAGAGGCTCAACAACTCCTGCTGCTCGTCCAAGGGCTTCGATTTCTGAGGCTGTCAGGAAACCCACGGCACCAGCCCGGCCAACCGCGACCACTGCTAGAACCGCGTCGGGAACACGTACCACCGCCTTATCTCGAACTGCTGCCACGAAAACCGCCACTGCATCCATCGGTTCGATCAAGGAGCTCAAGGAGGACACCAAAGCTCTTGAAGAGCTTCGAGGTCAGGTACGTCGCGCCATTTCTTCGACGGGGACATCCAAGTGAATAGCTGTCGCAGCTCAAAGACGCCGAGGATTTGTTGAAGGTGAAGGAGGAAGCTGTGACAGACTTGGAGGAAGAACTTGAAAAGCTCAAAGCTTCGCTTCAATCTGCACTGGACGACGTGGAATCCAAGTCCGCACTCACCGATGAATTGACCAAGGCCAAGGCCGAGCTTGAGTCGCAGCTCGAGCAGCTCCAACAGCTCAAGGATACCACCGCCGCTGGGAATGAAGAGGAGCATGGGCGTCCGTTGAAAGAGCTCCAAGACGAGGTAAGTGACTTTATTCGTGGTTTGCAACCTTGGCTAATGGTGATTCTAGCTCGAGTCGGCCAAACAGGCTGGATCTGAGCAGGCGTCCGAAGTCGAGAGGCTTCGTGCCCAGGTGACTGAGCTCGAAGCTGCCGTTTCCGCTGCCAAGGCGGAGCTTGAGGCTGCGCAGACTAAGGCTGCAGCTGCTCTGTCAGACGCTTCACAAGCTTCTTCGGTTGAGAATGAGGCTTTGCTCAAGGCTCAGGAGGACTTCAAGGCCATTTCCAACGAAATCGAAACCCTAAAGGCGGCCCACTCGGAAGCATTGGAGAAGGCCAATTCGAATGTCGCCGAACTCGAAGCCAAGGCAGCGCAGGCTGGCACCCTCCAGGAGCAATTAGAGGCGTTCAAGGCCGAACGCGAAGAGACGGCTGGAAAGGTGTCAGAGCTGGAGGTTGAGGTTTTGGAGCTCAAGGAGCAGATCGAAGAGCTGGAGGAAGAGCGGAACGAACTCAAGTCAACCATCAAGTCTTTGGAGGAGCAGTTGGCCAACGGTGCTACCGCCTTGCAGAATTCCACCAAAGCGGCCCAGGATAAAGAAGCTGAGCACACTGCACAGATCGAAGCTCTCAATGCCAAACGCGACCAAGACATCAAGGACGCCGAAGAGCGGTATAGCGCACTGCAGGAAACGCTCCAGTCTATTCAAAACCAACTTACAGCCGCCCTGGCCGCGCAAGAGAAGGCCGAACAAGACATCATCGCCGCACAGAACGCCCATGATGAGCAGGTCAAACAGCTCACCCTGGCGCACGAGGCGCGAATTGCCGAGCTGAATGCCCAGATCGCTTCCATTAGCGAGACACTTCAAGTAAGTTTCAGGATGTCCACTGGTAACCAATTTTGATCTCCGTTTCTCTAGAACCAAGAAGCGATCTACGACACTAAAGTTCAAGTTGTGAAAGACGAGCATCAGACACTTCTCAAAGAAGCGTTTGAACGCGCGAAGGTGTGTTTATCCTGGCTGCTCCGCATGCTCCTCCTCATACTTGATTCCAGTCGGAGGCTGCTACCAATCATGCCCAAGAACTGCAAGCTCTTCGTGCGGAATCCAAGGCAACCATTGAGGAAATCCAGCAGTCGAACAAGGTTGCGCTGGATTCCATCAAGAACGACCACGCATCGTCCCTCGAGTCGACTGTCAACGACTACACTAAGAAGATCAACAACCTGAACCTGGAGCTCAAGGCGACCAAGGACGACCTTTCAAAGTCCAAATCTGCACTGGAATCCCTTCGTGCGGAACTGGAGACCGCCACCCAACAACGCGATGAGGCGAGGTCTGCCGCTAGTGCGACACCGACCGTCCCTTCAGAACACCTTGAAGAAGTTGCACGCCTTACGCAACAGCTGGCGATCACCAAGGACGATTTGGCCGCAGTCACCGATCAGCTCAACCTGACCAAGTCATCGATGCAAGAGATGTCTGAGAAGCACCAGAAAGACTTGGAAGAAGCTGCGCAGAATCGGGCTGCAGAAATCATCAGAATCAACGGTGCTCACGACGCCGAGGTTACCTCCTTGGCCACGCAAAAGTCGGAGCTCTTGATCAAACTTTCGGACCTCGAAGGAGAGCTTGCGACCGTCAAGGCCGACCTTGCTGCTGCTCAGACGGCAAGTCCCAAGACCAATGGGGCCTCCCAGCAAGCCCCTGCATCGCCAGGCGTCACGAAGGAGGAACTGGCCAAGTTGCACGAGGCGCATAACCTCAAGGTTTACGACCTTCAGGCTGAGCACGAGAAGGCTATCAAGGCGCTGAAGCAGCAGTTGGAGGATGCGTTGGAGAAGACCGAGCAACTGAACGCCGATGTGGCACGCAAGGCCATGGAGATTCAATACCTCGAGCAGGAGCAAGACGAGAATCAAGAACAAATCAGGCAGTATGTTGCTTCTTTTATTTCGACTTATCACGCATCACTTACCCCTCTATTTCAGGCTGACGGAAGACCTAGAGGCGGCGAGAAATGCCTCCGGTGCACCCGTTGCAGCAGCATGATAATGATAATCCCTTCGCGTTGGCTTCACCTTTCTCCGCTTACTCTAGCCATTGTCTCAATCTACTCTACCCCCGGCAGACGATTATCAGTTGTTTTATAGGTTTACGATATCGGATTACCCATGCATTCCCGCTATGTTAGTTGCACGATACCCCGTACCATAATGAAATTTGTTGTTTGAAACAGAGTAAGATGTTGGCTCATGTTTTTTTCTGGGGCGGACAAGCGAAGACGGAAAGCTGGGGCGATGCGCTGGCATGAAAAGGCCCCGGGGGAAGATGCCGATTGTCGTCCGATTGGTTTTTGAATATTTGAGCCGAAAAGGTATTTGAGCCCCGCGTGTGCCTTGCTCAAAAACTCAAGTCTCTTCCCGTTTCTCTCTTCTCACTCCGTTTCCTTCTTCCTCTTCCTCTCCGAGTAGTTCGTCATGGGTGTCGCCAAACAACCAGGTCAAAAGGGCGTTAGCTGGTCCAACATTGCCGTCGGTCAGTCTCTCCACATTGTCAATCATGGTCCCGCCGCTGACAACCTTCCTCGTATCCAGGTGGCATCATGAACATGGTATTTCTTCTTCCTTTTAGACGCGTTTCAACGTGTAGTTGACCATGACTCCCTATTATCTGTCCTGCAATAGTTTGTAAGTCCTTCTCGTCACACAGTCTTTGACGTGTCATGGTTCTAACAGCATTTTACAGGAGGTTAGTCGTTCTACTGCTGCATTCGCCTTCCAGTAACCAATGCAATATCCAGGTGACGACTCTCGGACAACCGCTCGAGGTGCTCAAGACCCAGATGGCCGCCAACCGTAACCAAACCATGTACCAAGCTCTCAAGAGTGTCTGGGCTCGGGGTGGTGTCGTTGGTTTCTACCAGGGTCTCATTCCTTGGGCATGGATAGAGGCCTCCACGAAGGGCGCTGTGCTGATCTTCACTGCCTCGGAGGTTGAGAACGCTACCCTGGCCGCGGGCATCAACCCTGGTCTCGCCGGGCTGCTGGGTGGTATGACGGGTGGTATTGCTCAGGCATACGCTACCATGGGTAAGCGCTCGTTCCCACCCTTCCGTACAGCCCGGCCCTGACATTTTACTCAGGTTTTACGACTTGTATGAAGACCGCTGAAATTACGCGCGCAAAGACCGCTGCCACCGGTGTGAAGCCTCCATCGACATGGGCTGTGTTCGCCGACATCTACCGGAGAGAGGGTCTGGCTGGCGTCAACAAGGGTGTGAACGCTGTGGCCGTCCGACAGTGCACTAACTGGGGTTCCCGGTACGCCCATATCGGCATATCAATTAGTTTCGACCTAAATTCCTGTTTTCAGAATGGGTTTCGCTCGCCTGGCCGAGGATATGATCCGCAAAGTCAAGGGCAAGACCGAAGGCGAGAGCCTCGGAGCTGTTGACAAGATTATTGCCTCGACTGTTGGTGGCGCTCTCGCCACCTGGAATCAGCCTATTGAGGTTATCCGTGTTGAGGTGTGTCGTCTTCATTGCTCTTCATACCATCGTTACCGACATACCCTCGCTTGCAGATGCAAAGCATGGCCAAGGGTGCTGCTGCCGACGTGAACCGACCCGCCAAGCTCACCATCATGAACACTCTCAAGTACATCTACAACCAAAACGGCATCAAAGGTCTCTACCGTGGTGTCACCCCCCGTATTGGTCTCGGTGTTTGGCAAACCATTTGCATGGTCTCCCTGGCGGACTATGTCAAGGCATGGTACGTATAGGATCTCGTTTGAGTTATCACGGGCACCCCTAACCTTCTCATTTCTACAGGGTCAAGGGGCAGTAGTTTAGATCTTTTCCTTACACTAGTATTTTTCCATAGATTATTACCTTACATACCACGACTACATACCGGCTATGAAAATGCAATTGCGGTTGCAATTGGAAAGACCCCGTGAAGTGAAACTGAATCCGGATCCGGTAACGATATGCACCCGCCCATGTATACCCCAGAAGCTCTTAAACTCCGGGGTTGAGTCTGCTTCAGGGTATCGTCTACCTTGTCTCTTGCCGTCATGAGCGCTGCACCTGCAAAGCCTGTCCACCCTCTTCTCGCCAAATACCTCACGCAACTAGCTCTCCATCCTCTCAGGACGAAGGCTATCACAACTGGTTCGTCGAAAGCCATATCCAAGCTGGCTTAATCCTAATTGCCGTCATCTCTTGCATTACAGCGACCTTATGCTTCTTGCAGGAAGTACTGGGAAGTAACCTTGCTGGAGTGCCAGCAAGGCCTTCCAAAGGCTCTCCCGCCCTCGTACGGTCATTGCAAAGCGTCCATGTCGACCTCAAAGCCGTCAAGATGGCCCTCTATGGCTTCCTCGTCTCTGCACCCCTTAGCCATGTCCTCGTATCCCAACTTCAGAAAGCCTTTGCTGGAAAGGATTCCCCGGCCGCCAAGCTAGGTCAAATCGTGGCCAACAACCTCCTCGTGGCCCCCATCCAAACATCTGGTTCGTCATTTCCTTAGGGGCTCCGCATTCGTCGTGTTGCTAAACAGTGTGGTGTTAGCCTACCTCGCCTCTATGGCTGTTATCAATGGAGCCACCTCGATTGCTGAGATCGTCAAGACTATCAAGGCCGGGTTCTTCTCTGTTATTAGGGTACGCCTGGTTCATGTCGTCCAGGGCGTTCTGGATCACTAATAGGGTCCATTCAGGTATCCTGGATCGTGTCGCCCCTCTCCCTCGCATTTGCCCAGAGGTTCGTTCCCGTCGAGCTCTGGGTCCCATTCTTCAACGCCGTCCAATTCGTCCTCGGGGTACGTCTATCACTGGATGTCAAGTTGCGACCATATGTTTATCCTCGCCTTACAGACCTACTTCAACTACCGCGTCAAGCAGCTTCGGCTGGCAGCTTTGAAGAAGGAGCAGGAAAAGAAAGACGAAGACAAGTCCTCATAATGAGGCGATATTCGATACCAACGCTTCACGACGTGTTATCCCTATCCTCGCATATATATGTTGCATACCCTACTACGATGACTGTCGAACTACGATACAAACATGGGATGGCGAGACCTGTTGACTGTACGAGCGTTTGCACTTCGAGTCGGGAATCACCAATTCTGTGTCCACTGCAAAAGGTCCGATGCTGTAGAGGCCAGGTCGGTCAACGAATAATCGCGGCTGAACAGTCGCAGATTCCCCTGGGGGGAGTTCATTCCTGAATGTGAGACGCCCAGAATATGGTGCAGTATTGTGTGCGGGCCTTCAAGCAGATTGTCATCAGCTTTCAGCGTCCCGCGTAGAGATAGGGGAGAATACATACGTTAGATCAGGGGCCGTTGGTTGACTTCCGGGTCGCAGCTTCAGGGTTACCCGGGCGTCGTACAGGGGTGAATGGTTTCGAAGAACAATGCTCACGGGAACATGGCATGGACTAGGAGCGCATCAGCAACCTCGAGGGCACTACTCGCACCGTATACACGTACCCTTTTCCAAAGTCATGGCTAATCTCATTACCCTCTACGGTCGCCACAGTCGGATCCACATCCACGTTCCACTGACTCGTCCGAATTCCTTCAAGAAGCTCGGCCTTTTCTCGAACTGTCTCCGCGTACATGCTTCGCTTCACTTTAGCGTTCTCTGCATTGGCGATGATTTCGTTCAGCGCGCCGTGGGTCGCACCGAGATTGATACCGAATACCATAACATGTCCTTTACGCTTCTGGGCTGGCATTTCCCAAAATATGGCAAGGTCGACGGAGGTGGGACTGTAAAGCGGGAATATGTTCGGATGCGAATCTTCAGGGATATGTGGATGTTGCTGCCTTTCGATTTCAGCTACATGTTGGCGTCGCTCTGCTTCGATCAAGCACCAGAGGTCGGAGGTATGTATCGAGTAGCGCTGGGAAGGCTCCTATGAAGCAACCAATGAGTATCTCTGTCAGGGCAGGCAAAGACATAGCCAGTACCTGAATAATATGGCTGCAGAAGAGATCAAGTTCAGGTGGTTCTGAAGAGGAGATAGGGTTTCCTGAAAGGACGTCGCCCAGTTTCTGTGTCAAGAAATCGATAGACTCTTTCTTGCCCTCTCCGTCGAGCCATTGTTCTGCGCTCAGGACGACCTTCGCTTTCTGTGATGGTGACACAGACCTTCGCTGATATTTGAGCTGGATTTACCTTGAATTGAAAAAAGTACTCACGACTGTGCGGCCTCTACTGTGTGGAATTTCCACAAAGGGCTGATCGCAGATATTTGTGTGATGGAGACAGTGGATGAAAGGGAGGACGACGTTGCCTCTACTGTTAGAATGAACGGACAGTCCCGCGAAAGTGATGGTGTCGTGGAAACGGCGATATCGAGGATGGGCTGCACTTCGAACGTTCTCGACAATCGATCGGAGTGGAATGGAGAGGAATCGTTCTGCTGGAGAAGTCAGCAATGGGCGTGAACATGTTAGGGGAGTCAGCAGTCACCTCGCGGTACAAGATTAGGAAAAGTAATTCATGAGAACCTGTGCGATCGGCGTGCAGGCACACCGAAAGTTCCTTGTAGGAACCCGATTCGAGTGGGACATCCAGTGGTACTCGTTGCGGTTCTGGTAATCCGAGCGTATTCTTTGAACGGATGATCTCGGACGTCGATGATGCTACAGCAGATTAGCCCCGGTCAGCGGGATTGCTGAGAGAATACTTACATATCAGACGCTCGTTCTCTTCTCCAATGCAAACGGCCTCTTCGCCTCCTAATACTAGCCAGACCTCGTTTATAGGTTTGGTCCCAGTGTTGGTCAGAAGTATTTTCATCTCTTCAATTTCTCCTTGCTTCAGTATAAGGTCCCCGTCATCAACAAAAGTGACAGACAGCTTGTTGTCGGCTGGCGAGACATCAACTTTAAGATAAACGTCGGGAGCATACGTTGGCGTTTGTCGCTGAGCCAGGGTGTCGTTAAGCCGGCGACCTCTCGAAGCGAGGGACTCCGTCGAAGAAAGAATTCCCAAAAAGTCATATTGGACCTTGGAAATTAAAAACTTCCCGGACTTGAGGGCCTTTAGAGCTATCGGAATCTGGTGGAATGAGAGGTCAGGAGATAGGCCACTCCCATAAAATGCTGCTTACCGTTCGTGATTCCTTGGCCCCCAGTACGATGTCACTGACTCTTTCAACTTCTACCGTTGACTCGATGGGGCCCTCCGAAGGGCCGTTTGTCTCAAGGATCAGCGTCAAGTTGTTCAACTCGACATCCGCGTCTAGAGGGTTTTGCACGGCGAGGTCAACCCAAAATGTGTCTACAAAAGACCATCATTAACGCAGTCGAAGTGATGCGGATCTGTAAACTTACCCCCTGCGCACACCTGCCGCCCGGATGCCAGGCGTTCCTTTCCTCCTTTGGACTTCCAGAACGACTGCCATTGATTCTCACGTTTTTCCCAGATAACTGGATGAGAGGATATGCTGTCATCTGAAAACCTAATTTTCGATTGCCTGGATTGACAAAACTTGAGTGGAAGACTGAGATTGAGGGTTTTCAGAGCCTCAGGTTCCGTTGATGCAAGATGCTATGTGGAATGTGAGTACAGAGGCACCCCTGCATTGCAAAGTGTTTACCGCAAACGCGACTCGGAAATCGTCCAGAAAGGTTCTGTCGTGAGAAGATCGGTTGGCTTCCTCCGTCGCACCTTCCAACTGGCCAATAGTTTGTAAGGCTGGACTCTTAAGAACTCTCAAAGCGCCTAGGAACATTTGAACAGCCCCGGTGATGTTGCCCGTTGTATACAGCAGTCGAGCTGGAACACATGTGTTAGAATCGGAATGAGCGATCCATTGGTTTCACTCACCCAGAGGATGTTCGACACCCGCCCTGATGTCCACAAACTGCTCTACGGAGGATGTTGGTGACTTCCCTTCAGAGTCCCAGAACGATGGTGACAGCTCCTTAGGCGGTCGTATCTGGTAGAGTTCGTGAGCTTTACGGAAGAAGTAGACTGTTAATGGTTTCTGTGATACCCAAAGTCAACTTAACGCAAAAGTAAGAACTCGGAACGACATACGATGCCACACTTCTCCAACCTATTGGCTGCCAGAGTGTACCAGAATCCAGCTCTTCTAAAGGCCCTCTTTCTAACAGAGCTCAGCAAAGCAGCATGGGCCAAAAGCAACGCGGATGGGGCTTCTTCTGCCTTGAGTCTGTTGGTCAATCACTGGTTTTGAAAGGGAGACAGAAAAGCACGGACATTCCCAGCGGCCCAAACAAGCCATCGTTCGCCTTCTAAAGCATCACTTAAGAAATCTCCTTGATCTATAGCAATCTCCCAACGGACAGCATAAAGCAAAGCGCGAAGCTGGGCGTGTGGCGGGAGGTCGTCGATGGAAGGGTGGATGCCGACCAGCGCATTGGACGCATGGAGCTGCAGGGCAGGAGATGGAGCTGACAAGATGGGAATAATGTCCTGTAGATTCGCGAGGTGAGCAAGCTATAAATCACTGGACAACTACTGAGACCAACCGATCCTCCCTTGCTCTCCTTCCTTAAAGACTCCCAGAGATTGATGGCAAGTTTGAAATCACCAAGGATGGTACAGAATTCTGCTAAACGTCGAGGTTGTGACAGAGGCGTTGGGATTCCATTCGCTGATGAGATCGATCCACTTCGGCCGGGTAATGACGAAACGGAAGAAGAAGAGGTATGCCCAGGTCCAGGGGAGGGCGATGGGGATGAACCAAACAGGCGGCGAGTGGAGGAAAACAGTCGGGATGGAAGCCTTCTCGTCGATGAATACTTCAGGGCGGTCAGAGACTTGGAAGACTTTCAGAAAGGGCTCACTTACGGCCTCGTTCCATTCGACAACGCAGCGTTCCATCCAAGGGATTAGACTCATTACAACAAATTCACGAGTAAACCGTAGCACAGCTTGTATGTCTTTCTCCTCTAGCCTCAGTGTGTTCAAAGCATATGGATTTCCTGGAATCGAGGGTGCGTTGGCGGTCGCAGGAGTTGGAGGAATCGCACCGGTGTGACGCGAAATATATGGAGATTCAGGTCCTGGTGGCGGAGGGAGTCGTGGCATAAGGGCAGGGACAGGTACCGGCGGAGGCGGCGGAGAAGGAAGATTGAGCGGTAACAGGTATGTGTGCAACCCAAACTGCTTTTTGACCGCATTGAACAGTGCGTTGGCTCTGTGATCGTCAGTCAGTTAGCGGTTTTCGATGCGAGACGCGAAATGACAGACTCTTCGTCAGAAAGCGGCGAGTTCTTTGGATGGACAATCACTGTATAACGAAGATGCGTAGGGTCTACCCATGATGGGAGTTGGGGTTGCCTGGCGTGCAGGGCAGTTATGGCCTGTAGTGGGTTTGGCGCCGTTGTCGACACCGCCAGAATGACTACAGTATTGTCAACAACGGCAAGACGTCAAGGCAAATGTGCGTACCTGAGACCGGGTGGTTCCAACCTTCGTTCTTATCAGGAACGATATCGCCTTCTGCACATCTTCGTAGCTCGTCCCACCAGGGCGACCTAACCCGCCCATCCTTCCCCACCTCTTTCTCTCCCCTCTCCTCTACGTCCTGCACCCATTTCTCGCATCTCTTCGTAATACGGGCGGAGATCCAGTCCAGCGTTCGTATGGCGCGTTGCTCCTCTGGTTCACGACAAGCCTCTTCCACCTCAGCCAAGTCGGAGAACCTCAATGCGAAAGAACTGTGCGGAACTGGGACAAGTGACGCTGTTCTCGTGGTAACTGTCCAATAGTCAGGTAACGACGACATCAAGTATTGACGAGGCGTATTACCTTGTGGTAGTGGCGAGAAGGCCTGGAGAATATTGGGTAGAGGAGGCAACCCCGATTCTTCCAATAGCTCCGATAGATCTGGAGAAGGCAGTATACATACGTGAGGGCTCAACGAAGACGGTATCACTGGCGCCATTGTGGAAGCCCTTCTCCAGTTACGGTCTCAGTGACCGACAGAATTCAGAGCCGTCCTCGATGGTGGTCGAGACGAAAGCGACAATGGAGGATGAGATCAAGGGACAGATGCCGTAAACAAATAATATTTGATCAATACAAGTACATTACTTATGCAAAGCTAAGTTGATCACTCAGAATAATCCCAAACCACCACCACCAAACAATCCACCGCCGTCGAATCCACTGTTGTATAGAGCTTCGTCTTGGAGAAATTCATCTCGCTCGTGATGATCGATTGCATCTTCCAACAGCATTCCACCAGCAAGCCCACCGAGCAGCGGGAGGGCACCACCGAATCCTCGACGACGTCCGGAAGAACTGGCCGGAGGTGCTTGTTGATATTGAATCGGAGCAGGCCCATACCCACTCGCAGGAGTGTACTGCGCCTGTGGAGCAGCGTAACCTCCTGTCGGTGGTCCATAATAACGTTGCTGAGGACCATACATCTGTCCTTCCGTCATATTCGATATTTCACCTCCAGACACAGGGACACATACCATTGGACTTTGGTTTCGGCGTTCTTCTCGAGCTTCCAACGACGTAAGTGCTTTGTCCTTCAGCTTCTCCAAGAATCCCTGTTTGTGAGGTGCCCTCGCATTGTTCATCGACGGTTCGACGGCTGGTGTACTAGATGTTCCACCGAATGACCTTCTCCTCCCAAGCATGGGTCCTGGAGGCTGCGCAAAAGTACTGTCCCTCGCCTGGTTCCTCGCTTCTGGATTCTGTCTGAGATATTCGGGGTCCTCGAAAGGATGGTACCATGTCACTCTGGGAGGCGATACCCGTGTGTCTACCTGGAGACGGTTCACATCGGAGGTCGAGGAGGATGATTGGAAATTGCTCACGTAGAAATTACGACCTGACTGGGGATCGTACTGCTCGATCCAACCAGGCGGCAGGGCCATGTTGTTGTACGTAGAAGACATGAGATTGCAGGAGAAATGAATAGGTTTTACAGTGCATTAATATAATGGTAACTTCGGGTGGGCAGTGCGTCACCACATGGACTGTGAAACATCCGAGCACACCACCATTACTCGTGGAAGCTCCTCACTAGGTACTATAGGGGTTTAGTGCATAGTAATCCGGTCAAGCCTTGAAGCTGGGGGGCATAGACATTGTGAATGACATCCTGGTCTTGCGATCCTCCTTGTTCAATATCCTCTCTGGCGTCCTCTTCGCCCTCGTTCTTCATCATTCCGTCTCCGATACTGGTTTCGCCTGTCGTGTTGGTTCCACCCTCCCTTGCGCTTCTCGGTCCACTGAACCCAACCGTCTCCGTCGTTGCCTGTCCGTCGTGCTTGACCATTTCCCGTACCATCGTCATCGTTCCCAGTTAAACCCCATGTGGCGGCCGGTGAATCTCCCCACACTTCTGCGTTAGGTCCCCAGCCATTATCATCTCCCGGGTCGTGGTTAGACGCCTTGTGGTTGCTCCAGCCATCCCCCTGTTGCTTCTCTTCCTTGTCGAGGTCACTCTGTGTCCAGTACCACCCTGTCGCCTTCCTCTCCGCAATCTTCTGGTTCAGAAAAACTTCCAGCTTGAGCTCTTCACCCCTCTCCGCCGCTTCCATCCCTTTAAGCCAGTAGGGAACTAAATCCCGCAGGAGGTCTTCGTGTAGATGTGCTTGGTGGGCAAGGATGTCTTCCATTGTCTGCGGCTTGGAAGGAGGCCTTGTCCATGCACTTTCGTCAATTCCTCCCCACCTGTTCGACTCGTCGACTGGGCGATTGTCAGGGTCTACAGACACCCATCCATCCACTTCTGGCGCTACAGGTGCGGTATGACCATTCAAACTGTCCTTTCCTCCTTCAGCCTTTCCATGTCGACGATTGCGTCTCCTGTTCCTTTTCGCATGATTGTCATAGGAGGTGCTAGGCCGTTGGTGGTCATCGCCCCGGAGGAGTGAACCACGGCGACGTGCATCCGAAGAACCCTGCACAAGAAGGCGGGTCGACATGTGGCAGATACGGTGTGGACAGAGAGACGAGGTGTCCCAGAGATAAGGGCCTGTTGGTTTCTGGTGGTGATGAGGAAGCTCCAGATCCAGGATGGGGGCTGCGCACAGTGCTGCTGACTCGAGCTTCGGGGAATGACTAGCGATGAAGAGTCGCAGCGTTGATCATCAGTCTTATTCCATGGACCCTGTGCTGATATTCAAGTTAATTCCCAAGTTAACCTTGAAAGCCCGCGGTGCTTATCTGTTTCGATGGTGGGACTTGTCACTTGACGAAGAAGCAGGACCAGGTAAGGCAGGTCACCAGGCCTTAGACGCTGGTCGGTAAATGCCGACCGAATTGATGGCAAGAGTCGGAGAAAACTCAGAAAAGTGACAGTCAAGTCGGTGTCACCGTGACGGAAAGGGAGGAAAGGGGATAACGAGTCTACGGTACAGGAGAGGGCGAGGCAACCATATATAGGATAGCAATATGGGACTGTTAAGAAGGAATGGGTATAGGCAGGATAGGAGTTGGAGCTATTAAGACGAGCGTCAATTCCGTGACTCTTTATCCATTTCAGGACGGGCCCAGTTGACAACTGAGTGTAAAGCCTACTTTCATGGCATTCTTCTCTGAGAAAACCGAAAATAAAGGAATGCATGAAAAAATTTGGGCTCCCCCGTCAAGATCAAAGGCTTAGGAAGGTAGTGACCGAATGCTTGAGACGGTTGCCTCTCTACTAGGCTCCTTGCTAGGAGCGGAAGGCTTCACGTTTTCCCCTCCCGCTTTGAATGCGAACTTGAGCGACAGAGGCCCAAGACCTTTCAGTATAGTACACGATGCTTTGAAAGTTTGATTCACATGTCCTAACCGCTACTAATACAAGTACACATTCTAAGAAAGACTGAAAGCAACACTCAGGTCGTAAACGTGGAGGCAACCAAGTATTTAATAAGAAGGCCCTGGAGCAGGATCCACCCACGTTCCGTTGGGCCACAATATGGCCGCCTTTGTGTAGTCTCCAAGGGTGATATCCGATTTGTACTGAGCGATTAACAGTCACTTGGTGCCACGAGTCATTAAACGCACTTGATCACTCACCGCAAGACGGAAGAAATGGGGGAGGGTGGGATCTAATGACGCCAACGAGTACTCGACAGCCAGGCCGACATATCGCTCGACGTCATCCACGAGAAGTGAGAAACCAACCCAAGGGTCGCCTGGAATAATAGGTTCCCAAGCGAGAGTCTGGTTGGCGAGGGGTATACTGGAATTATACGTTGTGGAATTGGTAAGGAATGTGGGTAGCACGGAGCCCAGGACGGCATCTTGGCGAAGCTAGAAAGAGACGCAATTTAGCTCCGATTGGAGGGGAAAGATAGTGGAGACATACGCTAGCTGCAGTCTGAACGATCGAGTCATAGCCCCATCTTGCGACGCCGTGAAGGAACAAGCCAATAAGGACGCCTTGATAGATTGCGGATAGGCGCGTCGGGAAGGCTGTGGCGGGCAGAAGAAGCATTGGGAGAATGTAATGATGGAGACGAAGAGACAGTGTCGGGAGTAATGCGAGGACTAGAAGAACGACGCCCGCAGCCGCGTACCATCGGACGTAGAATAGGAGCCAGCCAGTCTTGCGCATGATGCGAGCTTGGTTGACACCACAGATAAATACGACGAGGAGAAGGATGATGAATGTTGCAAGGCTTCCCGGCCTCTTGTTAAGGTCGGAAGCTGTGAGTCGACTCAATGGGAGTTGGTCGAATGTTTTGTTATTCAGGACACCGACCCAGAATCCGCTCCCGTAAAGGATAAATCCTTCTATAGGTGCCTTCACGATGGCAGGTAAGGTGTAACGTAGTGCCCCCCTCCAAAAGGCGTAAGATATAAATAGCAGCGGCAAGAACCGCCCGAACTGACGTTCGAGGTCAGGGACAGCAGTTCCAGAGTCGGTGAAAAGGCTGATGGTCCAAAACCCAATGCAAATGAGGGACCAGTAAAGCACAATCGGCTTCGGTTGGAGCACGAGGAAGAGTATAGCCGTCGCCACAACACCGACAGCTAAACCAGCATCGCGCAAGTCGTTGCATTTGCCGATTCCAGTGTCTTTAGAAAACCTGAATGCGAGGGGAAAGGTGGTGGGAAATCCTGACGATTCGACGCCGTTGGCCTTGTGGGCGAGGAAGTTGGTAAATTCGCCGACGAGATGGAGTCTTGCACATTGGTCTCCTTTGGCTGTCGTGATTATGCCACTAAGGTCGGGGTTAGTATTAGCCTCTGGAGGTGAGAGTTCGTTGGACTCACGCTTGGCTTGCGGCTGAGCAGATGAAGCTATCCGCTCTGTATGTTTTCTCTTCATCTCCCCCACCGACAACCAAAGGGACGTAGTCCATCTCCTCTGCTCCAATGGTACGTGGATTCTGAAGCAGGGTCCCACATCCAGGAGGGCAGCGGAAATCGTATGTCGCAGATGTGTTCAATGGTAAACATTGTTGTCCGTTGAGACCACATTGGCTGTTGGCGAGCCACAACGTCGACGTGCATCCGAGGAATATTGCGTCGTCAGAGAGCGAAAACGAATGTGCGTGGCTGAGGAAGGCAATGCCAATGATATAGCCTATAGCTACGAGAGCAAATACCCAAGGTCTTCTAAATGGTCGTGCGGCGTTGACCAAGGTGGTTTCGATAGGGATGGATACGCGATGAGCGCGGGCAGTGAAATTTATGTCAAGGAGGGGTGATGGGGCTAAAGGTGCAAAGTAAGGTAGAGCAGCTTGAATTAGCATGGGGCAACGTACGAGGAAGTTCTATTGACGGTCGTGGTCCTCGAATCCAAGATACAACCCGCGATAGCTTCGAGTGTGCGCGAGGATGGGATACTGCGAAAGTATCCATTCTGAGAGAAAGCCATGTTCTAGCACGACTTTTGCGGGAAGACGGTAGAAGAAGATCCCCGCTTGTTTGATATAGCGCTGCAGGTTGCTCTTCTAGATTAAGAGTTGCATTTGACCCTAAACGGCTTTCCCCAGGGTAAATCTCCTTAGAGCGCCGGGTTTCAGGTCTTGAGCAGAGTGTCGATGCAGAGCTTTCTGCCGCCATAACTGTATCCAAAGTGAAACGAAGGAATTATAGACGGGACTAGGAGGCACAGGACATGGTCGTTGCAAATGTGTAAGCCGTAGGGCGGAAACATAACGCTTGTCTTGGCCTGATTGATCCCGTTGCCCTCATGGTTTACGAAGCGATCAACTTGCTGTACTGAGACAAGATTGCGGGGTACTACATAATGTTACAGGGACGATAATTTACAGATTATATTTATGCTTCAAGAGGGCCAACTAGAAGTGCGGAGGGTGAGAACGGTGGGTCAGTAAAGACGTTAAAAATCACATACGATAATCGTAAACCAAGACGGCCTCGATATCTTCGCCCTTGGGGCCAGTGAACTTGACGTGACGGACATATCGTCGCTCGCCGTTGACATCCTTGATACCCCACGCCTGTGCATTCTACCGTCAGCAAGTGGCAATCGTGAAATAAAGGAGAATACAACAAACCTGGTTGGCAATCCAAGTGGTTCCACTCTTGGGGGTATTACTCTCAGAGTATGACTGGATAACACCGTTCTCGAGAGTGTCAGCGGTCCATCCGTTCTTCAGGAAATCGATGTCGATCTCAGAAGGCTTGACACGCCTCGACTTGGTGAGTATGGGACCGAAGACATGGTCTTCGTGCTCCTTCTCCGTCCATGACAACGTTCGCTGTTCGCTGGTTCCAGGAATACCACCAGTGATAGTCTGGTCAATGTTGATCTGCTCAACACCGCTCTCGTCCTTGAAGTGCTTGACGAACAGAGTGATGGTGCCAACGCTGATGGCCTTCCTCTTAAACCAGCCGACGCCCTGGTGGGACAGGATAGCGTCGGTGCTATCGCTGAGGGATTTGTTCTAGGGAAGTGGTTAATAGTATCAAGCGCAAACGACCTGACGAAAAAGAGGGCTCACCATGGTATATCTACCAGAGATATCCAGGGAGGTAAGTTCAGCAGGAACGGCCATGGTTGCAGACGATAGAAAGCGGGGTAATGCAATGGAATGGAATATGGAGAAGGACGAGTTCTTGTTTCTTTAGAGGCAAGACGGAAAATCACATGGAGAAACAGGACTACATGCGGACAGAAACCAAGAACGACCATCGTGACATGTTCTGCTGTCATAGACTCGGCGGACGGAAGAGGTTGTCAAGCGCGTTTGGGTGCAAATACTGTGACAACTCTCCAGATGGCGTCTTTGCCGCGTTCCCAAGCCTGGGGACCCCGCGCTTCATCACCGCCGAATTCCACCATAATACCATCTGCTGACCACTCGCACCAAATTCCAATTGACCCAGAAGACGGCCCCGCTCCTCCGCCTTTCCGATCAGGTTCTCCAAGGGTACCAACGAAATCTTTGCCCGTCGACTCCTCCGTAATGGTTATTCTTGCAGGACGAGAGATCGCGTTGCCGTCTTTATCATTGATATTCGTTGCGAGGTCGAATTCAAGCGGGAGGGCTTTGTACGTTGCGAATGCGATTTCTGAAGGTCGCGACGAGCCAGGCTTGGACGTGTCCCTTATCTTTGCCGTATTGTACACGTCGATGCTGTCCAATGCAAGACGACTGAGCTCGAGTTGCTCGTATTTGAGACCCGTCCGGGGTTTGTAGCCCGCGTTGGGTGAGAACAGGAGACTAATGCCCAAGGGATAATAGTTGAAGTAGACAGCGTCCGAATATGCTTTGACTTCTGGAATAGGCGCGCTGCCGCCACTCAATTCAGACAAGAAATTGACGAGAGGAGCGGACGATGGTGAGGCGCCCAGAAGCTGGTGGATCTGTGGCGAGGACATGGCGAATTGGAGAGAATAGGAGGCCAATCAACGCGATCAGCTGGCAGCGCTCATGATCATGTGATTGGGATGCGCGGATGATCGTGATGTTGCAAGGCATTCACTTACACACGTTGGCTTGAAATGTCCTCCAAGTTAGAGCCAGCAGATACAGAACTGCCCTTCGATTCTGACGACTCCGAGCACACCAGCTTCCTTCTGTCGTCGTTCCAAACAGGTCTCAACCTAGTTCGTCCCTGGGCACCGCAGCTGGTCCCACTGGTCGTCTGTCTGGTCTTCATCCCTCTTATCTTGGCATTGTCAACCATTGCTGGCTATGTGGTGTGGTCAAACCTTTCAGCGCAATGGGAGACGCCATTGTACATGCAGTATGGGTTAGTAATGTTCCTCTAGTGCAAAGATTCAATCTGACGACTCTACAGAGACGGTGTAACACCGTATGCCCAAATTTCGATCCACAACCTGCACTCCCAGCAGCGCTACGACGTATCTCTTCATCTCAAAGTACCAGCCACAGAGTCCAACTTCCAACTTGGCAACTTTATGACCACCTTGACATTGACGACGATGAACAACGCAACACTGGCGACCGTCCGACGACCGGTAGGGCCTCTCTCTTTTTAGCGCCCGACAGACAGAGGAAACTGACGCGAATGTTTAGGCCATCGCCATTGAACCAAACCCGAGTGGATGGTGGGCCTGGTTCTTTGGAAAGCCCAATGTGATCAACATCGATGTCCCACTTCTGTCGGCCTTTGTCCCCGGGAACTCAAGGATCCAAGGCCATGTCCAAGTTGGTCGGTTCGACCAATGGAAGAGCATTGGAAGTGGCCAGGGACGTGAACTGAGTATCCTTTCGGCGTCCCTTCGAGGATTGGCCGTACCGCATGGTATCCGGTATGTTACAAACCCAAACTGTATGTTCTAGGATGCTAACCACCGTGTACAGTGGTCTCGCCATTCGATTCCGTTTGCTATCCTCGTTGGTCGCAGGGTTCACTTTCCTTACGATCCTCACTGTCATCATGGGCACATGTGTCCTCCCAGCTGTACTTCCTTCGCAAGACGCGTTAACTGAAGGGGAAGGGAAACCAAAGCGCAGGGTCGGCTCAAATTCCATTGCTTTCCCGTCTTACGACAACTTGAAAGTTCGTAAGAAGCGGAAATCCCATGCCCGGAGGAGCACTAGCGAGGGAACAGTATGTTGATCTCTTTGACAAATTCTCGATGCAATTCGTTGACACTTCGTTTAGGGATTGGGACTAAAACAAGAAGAGTCGTTCTCAATGATACCGCCTGCCGAGGATCCCATCCCCGAGAGGATTCGCCAGCGCAGGATTAGTACCAAACGCGAGTCCCAAGAAGAAGATTCTTAACGCCCGTAATTACCCTTTCCACTGTATCATACATTATATCTAACGACTGGATGTCGGTAATGCCCCTAACACTGAATGCAATTACGCAGTGTCGTCCTTACTAGGCGGCGCCTTGGAGGTATCTTCCTTCGGTTCTTCGTCTTTCTCCCCCTTCCTTTCATCGGCCCCCTCTTCCTCTTCCTTGGCCTCCGCCTTCACCTCAGACTTAACTTCCTTCGCCGGTGTCGGTTCAGCCTTCTCCACTTGCTTCCCTTTAGAACCCTTCTCATCTGACAAAAGACCTTTGGCCAAATCATCAGCCTCATCTCCACCCAGTCCAAGCTGCTCGATCAGATCCTTCAATTCGTCCTCCGTTACCTTCAAGCCCTGCAGCTCATACCCCGCTATCTCCTCCCCCAAGTCAATCTTCTTGGAATCATCCTCTCTGTTCACGGGAATCGGTTTCTTGTCCTTGTTCTTAATTCTGAGGGGGGACTGCTGTTCAGCGATGATGTGTTTCTTGATATGGTCGGGTGTCATTTCCATGGGGAGGACGGCGCCTGGAACGCCAATCGGTTTGGCGACCGGAGGCGGACGCTCTTCGTCAATTGCAGGGTCCCAAGGTTCCTTGAGTTTGAGGAATTGGTCTAGTTCGCCATATTCGACCGCTTCCTCGCTTTGAGCTGTACATGAGCCGTGGTTCAAGTCGGCAAAGCGGAGGGACCTACAACTGCGCGAAAGTCTGGAGAAGAGGTTACGCTTTGCTAATGACAAAAGAAATATAACACGCACTCCAACGAACTGATATCCTACCAAAATTCCAGGTAACTGTTGTTTGTCTAACCTACAATGTCAGTGCCATTGCTGCGGTTGTCGTAAAAACACGCACCCAACGGCGCTTTCCTCCTCCACAATCGCTTTGCGTCCTCGTCCGAAGCCAAATCATAAGATGTAAATGGGATCTTCTTCATTTGGAGTATCCGCAGGAGGTATTCTGTCGACCACCGTGAATCAGTCCTATCGTTCTAACGATATTCCCCCACGGCTTGACACTCACCTTGCCTCTGTCTCAGAGCCGGCTGAGAAGCAATGGTCGTCAGAAAGAGATGGATCGGCGGCCCCATGGTATATTGATTCTGCGCAGTGTTGTTAGTCGAAACCAATGGTTAAGAGACAGCCAGCGACAGACACACAACCGTCAGTGATCACGCAGCTGCATGCAGCACAGGGGCCGTTTGTTAAGATGCCGGATTGGGCATTTGTCAGAATCATGGAATCGATCGTGATCAGGGGCTAATTTCCCTAATCTCCGAGTCAGCAGGCGTTTTGCTTCTTCCTCTCCAACCTCTACCTTCTGCATAACCGATATACGTAGTGCACTGTGAAAAACATGACTCGCCCAGACCCTTCTGAAGTCAAAGTTTTGGTGGTTTGCCTGGGTGAGTTACAGTGCCTGCTCCCGAGAATAGGTTGGTATGTTAATGGCCTTGCTGCAGGAAACATTTGCCGTTCACCGATGGGCGAAGCTGTTCTAAGGCATACAGCAAAGGAAAGAGGTCTTGATATTAAGGTAGACAGCGCGGGAACGGCTGGCTACCATATTGGCGAAGACCCAGACGAAAGGTATATTGCACGCCATTTGCCGTGAACGACTAACGCTGATAATCCCCCAGGACAACGGCGGTTTGCAAGAAAGTAAGTCGCTAGCCATTTCAAGGAAGCACTATTCCAACCGTTTCACACACAGAGAGGAGTTGCTATTGACTGCCAAGCGCGTCAAGTCGCCACTTCCGACTTCATCAACTTTACCCACATTCTCGCTGCCGATCAGAACAACCTCAAGCACCTCGAATCCATGAAGCCTGCAAATGCAACAGCGACTGTACGTCTATGGGGTTCCTACCTCGATGGGAGACCCATTCCAGACCCCTACTACGGCCGCGCAGTAAGTCACTTCGAGTTGATGAACAAGAATAAATGTAATTGATTGTCTATGGGTGTACAGAGTGGATTCGATGACTGCTTCGAACAATGCGTGAAATTATCCAATGCCTTCCTCGATGATGTTTTCGGGAAATCCGACTAGATACCTTGGCCCTCTGATGGTCGGAGGACGCCATCCGTTTAATGGTGGGTAGGCATGTTGACGGATGCTCGGTTGCCAAGGGCGTCTTCGGCCTTCCATAGGCTGGTGATGGTCTACAGGCAAATGCGGTTAGGATATAGCTTGGACAGAATAGGTGCCAGCGACTTGCCTTGTTCTGAGTGTAGAAGTTGATACCGCTGTCGATACTATATAAGTGGAAACATCGAATGAAAGACGAATGGAATACGCACCTCTTGCCGTAGAAACCAATATCCCCCAACACACTGGCCTTGTTTCCACTCCATGAGAACATAGGCAAAGGTACAGGGATGGGGACGTTGACACCAAGCTGGCCGACGTTGACCTCAGTCTCGAACTTGCGTGCGGTCGCACCCGACTGAGTAAAGATGGCAGCACCGTTGCCATATCGGTTGTTATTAATGATGTCGAGGGCATCATCCAGAGTCTCGGCTTGAAGGACGATCAAGACAGGACCGAAGATCTCTTGGCTAAGATAATAAATGAGCGAAAGCTTGCGAAGTCATTCCATGTGGACGTACTCGTAGCACTTCATACCGACGCCACCCTTGATGATAGTAGGACCAACGAAGTTTCCGTCAGGATAATCGGGAACAGAAATATTTCGACCATCGAGGAGAATTTCGCCACCATCTGCTTCGGCGGAGCTGATGAGACCGAGAATCCTCTCCTTAGCGGCGGGCGAAATAACTGGACCCCTAGGTCTGGTTAGTAAACTGTAGCCGTTGATGCGAAGGCTCACTCACAAATCAGCGCCTGGCTCGAAGCCCCCGCTAACCTTCAGTTTCTTTGCTCGCTCCACCAGCTCCGGCAGCCATGCCTGAGAGTCGCCGACGAGGATAGCTGAGAACTGGATCACTAAAAGAGAACTACAGCTCGGCAGTCGGAGACTTACCGACAGAGACAGCCATACATCGCTGGCCAGCGGCTGTTTGCATGCTCAGTGAGAGATAACAGGATTGTATGAATAAGCGTACCTCCGAAAGCAGCACCGACAATAGAGTTCAGGGCAAGGTTCTTGTTGGCTACGATGGCATTAGCATTAACTCACAGCAAGGATCGCGAGTAATTACCATCAGGCATCAAGATTGCATGATTCTTAGCACCAAGGTTGGCCTAACTTGTCGTCAGTACGATGTGGAGGACGCCACGGATTGAAGACATACCTGGACACGCTTGCCATTTTGTGTACCTCTAGATGGGGATGTCAGTGGTGGGCCCTAGAATTCCGCTAGCGCTTCATGGATCTTACCGGTCATAGATATGTTTGCCAGCCTTGTCACCACCCACAAAGCTGATAGCCTTAATGGCTGGGTGATCACAGATGGCATTGACAGTAGGAACGCCTCCGTGGACAACGTTGAGCACCCCGTCAGGAAGGCCTGAGGAGGCGAGAGCTATGAGTTCGAGACCCCGACAAGGTGAGGCAATCTAAGCTCACCGGCTTGCTGGCAGAGTTCGGCAATCATCATAGCTGCACCAGGGTCTCGTTCCGAAGGTTTGAGAACCAAAGTGTTACCAGTGACCGCTGCCAAAGGAATTGTCCATAACGGAATCATCCTTCAAACAGAGTTAGAGCGTGGAGACGTTCCGTCCAAGAGTCAACTTACGCAGGGAAGTTGAAGGGGGCAACGCTGGCACAGACGCCCAAGGGGACGCGTCGAACATAGGTATCCATGTCCTTGGTAACTGTACAAAGTCAATTGAAGTCGCGCTCCGGAAGGTCTGTTGTGTACCTTCAAGTTTGTCGCCAAGCAGGTTGGAGGTAATACCGGCAGCGGTCTCTACCACCTGCAGACCACGCAGCAAGTCGCCATGAGCATCTACAGTGCCGGGTCAGAAACAGCAATACGATAAGAGCATTGCAATACTCGCCTGCCCAAGTCTTTCCTTGCTCCAATACGATACTCGCTGCAATTGCATCCGCGTTCTTGCGCAACAGGTGCTGGAGTCTGGGGAAACTGTGAACACACAGAGAGAGCTCTGAAGGCTGGGAAGACGCACTCCAAAACAAATTTCTGACGCGTGAGGAGACTCGTCCTGCTCCATGTTTTGAAAGCCTGAGATGCAGCATCGACAGCTTGCTCAAACTCAGTCTCGGTGGTTTGGGGAACCCGGGTCAAGACAGTTTGAGTCGACTAATGGAATAGTAAGTAACGGGGATTCTCCCGGATCATAGAAACCAGAGATAGACGTACAGGGTCTTGCACCTCTATCCATTCTGTGCTCTTGCTTTCTACAAACTGGCCGCCAATAAAGTTCTTGGTGTTAGCCCCTGTCGCGCTGGTGCCTTTCCACTCTGCTGAGATTTGCTCGGCTTTCGGGCGAGCTGCGGCACTGAGAGCCTGAAGACGTGCGGTTGTTGAAATTCCACGAGAACCGATTGACCTGAGCAAGGCGAAGCGAGGGCCTGGCATTGTTGGAGTGGGGAGAGGGAAAGACGATATCCGCTGGCTTCCGGCAACAGGGGCTTCATATTTACCTCCGGATCTTGGCGGCTCCTCAAAGTGGGGAAGCCACCACGTGCTCCCTGTCGCGCGGTGACCAAACCCAGGCTTGGCGAAAACACGCCTAACTTGTCATTTTCTCGACCTTTCCAGCGACCCGTCTTCATATTTTTTTTAGTGTTCGAGTCCCTTTTCTAGTTTCTTTGCGTCGTGGTGCACACGACCCAAGACATGAACACTGCTTTCTATTCAAATCATGGCGCGTCGACGAGCTCCAACCCTTTTCCAAACCAGTTCACCACCATGAACCCTCAACATTTGACCGCGAACCTGCCTTTACGCGATACTCATGCGCAGCAGCAGCTCAACCCACAAAACAACTGGAATCCACAGATGAACGTCCATCAGCAGCAAATGCTGAACCAGCAACAGTTCCCAATGGGTATGCAGCAGGACCAGATGCAATTTCAACCACAGTCGTGGTTGAACCAACAGAACCAGTCTACCAACGGTATCAACCCATTGGGTGGTTTCACCATGAACTATCTGTCACCACAGGTCCTTCAGGACGCGATTGCCCTCTCAGTACCCGTCGGGCCAGAAGATGAATCTCTTTTGGTGAAACATATCCTCGACGGTCTTAAGCGAGGAGAGAACTACAAAGTAATTTTGAATGGCCTGCACGGGGTGAGTCTCCCGCTACTAAACTTTTGGGTCACGACTGATCTATCGTCTTGGTCAGAAAAACGACCATTCGGCTAGTCTATGGAAAGACTATTACCTGGAACACAAAGAAAGGATCGATGCGTGGATTAACATGTGTCAACAGAAAGGGAGCAGCGCCTCCTCAACGCCGATCGAACCACCCAAGCACAAAGAACGGACACCTTCCATCTCAGCACCGATTCGCAACGGCCAACCCCAACCAACAATCAAGGCTCCTACGATAAAGAAACCCTCACCCTCCGCCTTCCGAGTCAGTTCAGCAACCCCTTCAGGGTCAGCCACGCCATCCGTCCCTCTTAAGAAGCCCAAAAAGGCACCGTCTCCAGACCGAACGACTCCTCAAGCATTGGCTCAAGCTGCAGGCAGTCGGAGATCCACGATAAACAGCCTAACTGTCAGTTCTCCCGTGTTCAACAGGCACCTTCCACCACCACATGCAGAAATCAAGATTCCGCCGCCACCTTCCCGCTCTCCTAGCCCTCCAACCATTATCATACCAAAGGGACGCGGACACAAGTACACCGACCAAGACCACGAATTCTTCATCAAGTTCATCCAGTGGCGATTAAAGGACAATCCCGAACTCACTCGAACACAGCTATGCGATATGTTGGGCGAGAAGGTCAGATCACCCTATTGCGATTCAGTCAGAGATTCTCAAACCCTCACTAGGCACCTCATCATACTGCACAATCTTGGGCATCGTACTGGCATTTGAACCACGACCTACCCGATAAAATCCTGGCGGCAGCTAGGGAAAGTACATATGTTGATGATGTAAATGACGCTGTTTCAAGTGAAGAGTCACCACCTACCCGGAAACGCCCCCGATACCGAGACGACACGACGACTGAAGAGGACGATTCTTCAAGTGAAGAAGAAGCGCCGAGGCGGAGGGCCAGCAACAAACGGAGAGTTGAGGTCAAAGTGGAAGAAGGCAGTGACGACGACACGCCGGTGCGTGTCTGGAAAGAGCATCAAATGGGTCAGAAAGGCGGTTCCTTCACCGAAGCCGACATGTATATCACCGCAAAATACATCGCTGACTTCCCCAACTGGGGAGCTACCATGTCGAAGGACCGATGGGGGCCATATGCACGGAAGGTATTCTCACTTCATTGCATTCGATATTGAATGGATCCTAACACGTCCTCAGTATCCTCAAAGGTCAGAGAAAGCTTGGCGTGAATACTATAGGCGGTATGAAACCGGTGAGCAACTCTCTCGAGTCTCAACTAGTGGTGCCTTCTAACGTTTCGAACAGAAATAGACCGCCTAGTGCATAAAATTAAGAAAGAGGAGAGAAGAAAGAAGTCTTCTCGATAGCTCTGAGCTTGGTCGGGATTCGCGACGCGTCGAGATTTTCCATCCACCGCACACATGATGTACATTCTTCCCTTCTTGGTACCGCGCACACGTCTATTTTTGCACGTTATTCTTGGCCATATCGTGAATTAGCACTGTATAATTCTATTCACTACTATTTACTGTCCCTATTCTTGCTTTGTACATACTCTCTTGACAACGATTGTCAAGTTTGGTGATGCCCCTATAAATCTGGAGTGGTGCTTCGTTCACGTGGGGACCATCATATAAGATCGATCCAGCAACGACAACGCGCTTGTCCTCATACATCTCAGACTTTCTCCACAACATCGACCATGGATGAAGAATACGACGTAGGTATCATTCCCATCGTCTACAGGCAAGAATGACCTGATCGACATTTCCAAGGTCATCGTCTTGGGCACTGGGCTGACAGAATGTATCCTGTCTGGCCTGTTGTCGGTCGAAGGAAAGAAGGTCCTCCACATGGACCGCAATGACTACTACGGTGGTGACAGCGCCAGCTTGAACCTCACTCAGGTACGCAGTTTCAAAGTCCAACGACGCGTCGACGGAAATGCCTGACAGCGCCCTCCAGCTTTATCGCAAGTTCCGCCCTGATCAGGCTCCACCCACCGAGCTCGGTCGCGATCGTGACTATGCCATCGACCTCGTCCCCAAGTTCATCATCGCTTCAGGAGAACTCACAAAGATCTTGGTCCACACCGAGGTCACTCGCTACCTCGAGTTCAAGCAGATTGCGGGAAGCTTTGTGTATCGCGATGGCAAGATCTCCAAGGTACCCAGCACGGAGATGGAGGCCGTTAAGAGCCCTCTCATGGGCCTCTTCGAGAAGCGACGTGCTAAGAAGTTCTTCGAGTTCTTGCAGAACTGGAAGGACGATGACCCTACCACCCACCAGGGTAGGCCTTGATTTCGATGAGCTGTAGAGATACACGAGCTAATGGCCTCGTGATACAGGTATTGATCTCGATAAAGATAGCATGAAGACCGTCTATGAGAAATTCGGCTTGGAGCCTGGTACGCAAGACTTCATTGGTCATGCTATGGCACTCTACCTTGATGACGAGTAAGACCTTCCACCCTTCTACCTACCGTCCTCCTAATCCACCCTCCCAGTTATATCACCAAACCCGCCCGACCCACCTACGATCGCATCGTCCTCTACACTTCATCCATGGCGCGATACGGCAAATCCCCCTACATCTATCCTCTCTATGGCCTCGGCGAACTTCCTCAATCCTTTGCTCGTCTGAGTGCCATCTACGGGGGTACCTACATGTTGGACAAGCCCATCGACGAAATCGTCACTGACAGCGACGGCAAGTTCGTGGGTGTCAGGAGCGGCGATGAAGTTGCCAAGGCCAAGCAAGTCATTGGTGACCCAAGCTACTTTGGTGCTGGAAAGGAGTCCTCGGATGGTAAAGTCAGGGTTATTGAAGAGGGCAAGGTCGTCCGGGCTATTTGCATCCTCAAGCACCCTATTCCCGGAACCGAAGACTCGGATAGTTGCCAGATTATCATCCCTCAGAATCAAGTCGGGCGACGCAATGGTAAGTTATAGTTTGAGAGGTTCACAGATGATCCCTGCTCACTCTATGCCGGTAGACATCTACATTGCCATGGTTTCCTCGACTCACAATGTCTGCGCCAAAGACGTTTACGTCGCTATCGTCAGTACCATCGTCGAGACCAGCACTCCTGAATTGGAAATCCAACCCGGTCTTAACCTCCTCGGCCCCATTTACGACAAGTTCGTCTCCATCAGCTCTATCTACACCCCCACCAGCTCCGGCCAAGCCGACAACATTTTCATCACTCGTTCTTACGACGCAACGTCTCACTTCGAGACTGTCGTTGACGATGTCCACGATGTGTTCAAGCGCGTCACTGGCAAAGATTTGGTGCTGAAGAAGCGGGAGGTCGAGGTTCAGGAGTAAATGGAAACGCTGCATGCTGATTTTGCTTAATATCATGAAACTATCACAATTCTCACTTTTATCGGTTCAATGCAGAACATGTAATGATCATAATGATTTAGTTCCAGGGTTCCATGATTTCATGTAGAGGACTGAAAGAAGAGTGGTTAGAAGAATGCGTTCATGTCGAACTCGGGCACTTGAACGTCCTGTTTCGCCGACTTCATCAAGCTTCCAAGACCAGCCTTACGTGCGAACAAATCATTGTCTGGTTTGGCAGTTGCAAGTGTCTCCCCCTTGTCGTCATTTCGACTGGGTGTTTCCGGTCTCGTGGGTGGTAGTGCAGCGACGTCTATGTCGATCAGAATCGAGCCGCGTCTGTTAACACCAGTTTCGAAGGGGAACGACGAGCGTGTCATCGAGGGTGAATGCAAAGGAGAGCTTGGCTTTGCACGAGATGCGATTGACGGCCGGGCAAACGACCAGGAGCGCACAAGATCCAACGCCAGGGCATGGCAACCTACCGGAAATGAGTACTCAACTCGCACCAAATCGAGAAACGCACGCACCCATCCGGCAAAAGACACGAGCCATTTGGAGAACAAAGTTGAATTCTGAGCGGCCCGAAATTTCGCTGCTTCCCTTGACAGTCTGGAGTGTTTTGTCACGAAGTTGGGAAAACATCAAAGCCAGACTAGGGTCATCATAGTGAGGCTCGACGATTTCTTCGACAATTAGGTTGAACGCAGTTGCGATATCCCGGAGTGGAGTCTGGAACCGAGCATTAGTCCCGCCTTAAGACACCACACGCCACCGACGTACCAAAAGAACGCGGACCGCAAAATCTCGTCGATGAAGCTGCCAGAAGGCCCAACTCGCCAACCATCGGTTGCCCAGCCTGAAGGCGGTAGGCAGCACCGTGTTGGTCAATATACCTTCCAGTATGGGTCCGTCATTCCTCTGTTCCACGACCCGGGCAAGAACGATAGCGAGCTGGAAGTCTTTCATATGTTTGATGCAAACGTTTACCGCATCTTTGAGAGACCCGCCCAATAGGAAAAACGCTGCAGCGTATTCTAAAAGGAAAGCACCAAAGGGTTTAGCCACAGCCTTCGCATCGGGAAATTTCACGTACCAAATCTTTGTTTGCTGAGGAGTGCATACGCATTCTTGAGGGCTGCTGTCTTCCATCGACGCTCCGAGAAATCATTTGAAAGGAACTTGAGCATAATATTCTGTTCCCTGTGCCATGCCGCTTGCCGCCACAGCCCTTGCACCAGCTTGTACTTTCCCAGTGCAAAATAGAAAATGGAACAAGCGGTGGGATCACGCGCTTCCCCAGCCATGTACTCGTTGCGAGCAATGACTTCAATTTGTTGTTTCTGTATACACTGTCAGTTTCGACATTACCCATATATTCAATAAAAACGAACCAAGGTCTCCTGGGAGGTCAACCATAGAGGTAACCCAAGTGCCCGGGCATCTGACCAGGTCATCTTCCCGTTGCATGCGGCAATTGAAGCATCCAGCAGCAGGTTCTGACTCTCGCTATGGAACGCCCATAACATGTCCCGAAAACGCAGTCTCTCGCGTTTGCCTGTTGGCTGAGGGAAATGGCTCGAATTGTTGGCGATCTTTTTGTCGGCACGTTGGTTAGTGATGTAAAATGATCGCATGGAGATGAGGTATCGCAATCCATTGGCGTCCAGGGCGCGGCGTTGTTCGTCTATCTAGAGCAAGGGTTCAGGACTTTAATTGGAACACACGTACCCTCTACTCACTTCTAAGGTAGTTTGAATGAGAACCACCAGGTGAGCCTGTTCATTAGGGGTTAGATGGGATAGTGGATTGTTTTCCAGGTATGCAATCAATCGAGTAACCGAATTCCTTGAAAAGCCTTCCTCATCGAGCGCACTGGAAAGGATAACGCGTTGAGAAGGCTATTAAACAAGGTGACCTATCGGTGTACCTGTCATACGCATTGCCGTTGAAGAGTGTTTTGTGGTAGTTGTTTCTGACACGCTGATACGACGGTGAATGTGGGTTAAACAAAGATATTCGCGAACTTACTTCAGGGGCCTGTTTAGTGGACTGCAAGAAACGCTCTACGGGTAACGTCCTCCATCGATCGACGTAACCGAGCTGCTCATGTCTCTTCACATCTTGGCAAAGATTGGTGATAATTTCCTTTGCCAACTCAGTTTTCTCTGTATAAAAGGGAATTAGACATATGCCCTGGACAGTGAATGAAGACATACCCCAGAGTAGACATTGAAGTAGCATCTGGGGATGAAAGTCTGCCAGTGGCCCGTTGAGCCGGGCTATATGTTCGAATAACCTTTCTTGCGGTTTGCCAGTGCCTGGGTCCGGTGGGTCACTGAACAAGTACATCTCCTTGCCTGCTGCGATCAGGAAAGACCCGTGCGACGTCCATATTGAGTCGCTGATAGAGTACGGTGTGATGCTTCACAACAGATTAGCCAAGATTGGGATATGGGTGGTTTATATCCCGCTTACCTGTGGATCTCCAGCCGTTGGCAAACAGCCCAGCCAGGACCTTCGTCGAAGTAGGTTGATCGCTGTTGGCAGAGGAGGTCCACATGGTGAGCGTAGCCGACAGCCAAAATAGACTGCATATCAGGCGTTGAGCTCCAGTCCAAATCGAGTATTCGGTCTCTGCCATCAGAGGTCAGTGGGGAAGGGGGGCACTGGCTTTCCACTCACGGTCTGATCTCCGTGTATTCAAGTCCTGTGGAAAACTCGGACACAGTCGAATCCCAGATAGTCAACTCGTCGAAATCAGCCTTCTCCACAACTCATCATAAGCAGGTTGTCAGTCCACATGCTATCATCACAGCGATGCACGTAGCTCACCTAGCGCGGTTTTCTTCATCGAACTACATTTAGCCTTTTTGAACCCACTCCGTTCAGTTCTCACTTGTCCGGTACACCTCCAAAGCGAACCATTCACGGGTTCAGGGGCCCAAAACCCCAATTCACCCTCATGCGACACGCTGAGGAGCACGTCATGTTCAGTCCACTCCCTTGTGCTGGACACCCATGCCATTGGATCGACGGGCTGGATGAACCTGAGAGGTGAAGATACAGGCAGTTTTCCTCGAGATATTATCTCAAGACTGGGTTGCGGTGTATTGGTCGCCATGATCTGTATGACTGTGAAATCCGTGCCGATTGCGATGATGTATTCACAGCCGTCCGGAGAGGGCATGGTGAATAGCGATTCTAGTTTGGGCAAGGTCAAGTTTTGAACTGGGTCGGAATGCAACGTAAGAATGCCGGTTTCTTGCAGGAAGGTTGCCCACTGGAGCCCTACATCGCACACAAGCGTCAGTATTCAGCAGATGGGAGATAACCAGTAGCCCACCTCTCCAAAGAACGACTGCAAAGTCTGCATCCTTCCAATCGCCCGTGCGTTTCAATGCGGCACCCTTTTTGGCGACAGTCCAAGCCTGACCGCCAGCATTGGTCCGAATGACGCCAACGCCTTTGCCTTCGGGAGTCCTCATGAGTCGGACAACAGGGAAGTCCTCTTCGGCAATCCTATCAGGGAAGCTGGCTATAAGTCGCAATCCATGAGATTGCGCGTCAAAGAACGCCAGTGGTGAGAGAGAAAAGGTAAGGAGGGGAGTACTGGTCACCAACGTTAGTAGGGAGGGATCTGGGTTGGGGAGAAGATATAGATAAGTTGGAGGGCGGGTGAAAAGGCAAGGCTGGGATTGTTGCAATGTGAATTGTCTGAGGAGAGTTGGAGGTCGGCGATCGATATTCTGGGCGTAAATTAGGTTAGACGAGGTGAATGAATCAGAATCGCCTTACCGCAACGGCAGTGACAACGATAGATCCGTCGCTCAGAACTCGTAAGAATAAGTCCCAACCCTCTTCATGTATTTCTTTAATTCTTCTCTTCCGGCCATCGTCTTCATGGAGTTGGTTCTTGAGAATGTACTCGATGACTGTACCAACTATTCGTCGGTCTAACCAAAATATCGTCGAGGTGGAATCGGACTGGTCGGCAGCCACGGAGTATGGGAGTGAGGAGTATAAGTCTAGAGAAGCATGGAGCTGAAGATACTCCGGCGCGTCTAGGACCGGCAGGAATATCCTCAGCACTGCGTCGGAAGAGATGGTGTACAGTATTAGGTCGTCGCTACATCGGATGAGCATGGATTAAATTGATTATGAAGGGACGTACCGACTAGAAGCCTGTGGGCGTCTCCAGGCCATTTTAATTACTGGACGAGGGTGAGGTATAACTTGGGTCTGGCGGCCTGATGGCGTGGAGTAGAGTCTGACGGCGGCGTCATTCTGCAAAGCGGTTGAGCTTCTATGCGAGGATTGGCCAGTATAAACGCACTCTTGAAACAGTCGCAATGCTCATCAGGGAAGGCGCGAAGCTGACGTGAATGATGGGCCCAGCTCTATTGCGGTCCTTGAGCGATAGCCAGAGTAAAGCGCAGATGGAGAACGTACGATGTGGACCACTTTAGTGACCACGTAGGGAGGTCGTTTTCAAGAACTAGCGTATATATGGATAACCCGCGCTCCGTCCCGACAGCGAGTAGGCCTATCACGGGTGAGTTCCAGTCTTGGTACGCTTTTAGATTTCGCGTACCGGCTTTGTTGTCGAGAGACGTGACGGTGTGGCCTTCCCGCAGAATGAGCGTTGAATGCAATCTCCAGGTATCAGACTGAACTTCGGACAGTGCCCAGGCCACTATGCGAGTGCTTATGGCGGCGACTATCTATAAGCGAGCCTGAATTCAGAGTCTAGTCTTCAGGATTCGAGGTGGTTCGCCCATACCAGCTTCATACCCGAGTCGACGGAGATACAGGAGACCGTTTCTCCCGATTGTTTCGACCCTGGAAATGCCTCCCAAACGGCGAGGACCCTCCGGAGGGCCAGAGTCTGCGCATTCCTGATGATAATTGCATCTGTCGAAGGATAGAGCTGCAATCCCGTTGTCAATATGACGGGGAATCCGACAGCACGAACAGTGCGACGAACCAAGAGGATCTCCTTTGGGAGCTGGATGAATTGGAGGCCTGCAGCTGGGTAGGCTGTACAGGTCTGTTGCAGGTGAAGCATGTTCTCAGGAAACTATTGGGCACATGAAGAGAAAGAACCAATATTGCGACTGTCAAGTTCGGCTGATCGCTAGCGCTGGAAAGGAAATAGTGCCGAAATTGGAGGGCACGTGGCTCGGTCACATCCTCTTTCAAAAGAGACTCCAACTTTACGCTGGATCCTGCTGCGCCTTGATTTGTTCTTTAATCCTCTCCTTGTCCTTATATTATATCCCTCTGCGCTCGCTCATGCGCTGGAGCTGTCTCCCGGTAGCTCTCGCAGCTGCCCTGCTGCCGGCGTGTACAGCGACAGACCAAGTGTCTTGGTCGACAACACAATCGCCGTCGACGTCCTCCACAACTCTCGTCGATGCTCTAGGAGCAGATCCTGACTACCTATCGCTCCTCAAGCTCGTGCAGCGTGCACGGCTGATACCGACACTCAATCGTCTAAACGGTAGCACTTTCTTCGCCCCAACCAATGACGCCATCAAACGCTATACCAAGCAGCAGCACCTGTGGGCCACCGTCCTCGAAGATGACTCTTTCACAATAACCGACAACATCCAGGAGCAACTCAGACAGCAGCTGTTCTATCACCTTTTGAACTACACCTTACCCCAGTCGACAGATGAGGGTGTTCATGTTCACCACACCCTACATTTCCCTTCGACCTCGCTGGAACCGCCGTCTCGCGAACCACCCCCGCACCCTCCGTGGATGCCAATTCCTGGTGGGAGCTTGGGTGGGAAGCCCCAGAGATTACGAGTTGCAACGCGTGACCAATCTCTCCACGTTGGGGTCGATACTTTCGGCGAGTCAGGAGCACGCGTGGTGAAGGAGCGACACGATGCAGGGAACGGCGTTCTGTTGGGTATAGATAAAGTGTTAGAGCCTCCACCTGACCTTTGTACGTATGCTTCTGTTCAAACGAGATTTTCATATCATTGACTATTGAAAAGCCAAAGTTATCGAGAGTCAGCCATCCCTTTCCTACTTCAACAAGATTCTAGGCTCCGAGATTTTGAAGCGTCTCAACAGCACCGCCAATCTTACTCTATTTTTACCGGTCGATGAGGCGTGGAGCAACCTCGACCCATATGAACGCCTTTATCTCGAAAGCGAGTTCGCGAATGATGACCTCAATCGCATCCTCAACATGCACGCCGTTGTCCAGCACAGTGTCAAGTGGTCAGATTCGTTCCATTCAGGTCTGAACTGTGAGTATCATACGTCTCGTTGCGGCTTTTTCTTTAATCCAGGTTTCCAGTGACATCGCTTGACGGGACGAAGCTCGAAATCGAGGTCACTCCTGAAGGAACCAAAGTGGCCACAGCCAACCTTGTTCAGCCTGACATTTATGCTTCCAACGGCGTTCTACACCTCGTGTCAGACCTTCTTATCCCACCGGACGCTCTTCAACTGACGCCAGAGAAATATCTGCTGGCGTTGAACTGCACGACCTTCGTATCTCTGCTTCGCTCTGTCGATCTCAGGAGTCTTGTGAACGACACGGAGAAGCACTACACGATTCTTGCACCCAACGACGACATATTCACTATCCTCGGCGACTCTGATTTACCAGAACCAGGCAGCGACGAACTTAGGAAGCTGCTTCAATACCACTTTATCCCAGGGAAGTGGACGCCCAAGAAGCTCGAGGACGGTCTGTTGTTGGAGACTGAATTGAAGGAGGAAGGTTTGGGAGGAGGTCGTCAGGTTCTGTCAATTGATGTTAGTTCAGGGGATCCGAAGAAGAAGCAAATTGGCCCTATCCGCTTTGGTGGTGCAGCCGTCATCGGTGAACCAGGTGAGTTCCGGGTCTGTCTAAGCTGGAACCAAGTTTGCTGATTTTGCTCATATGTAGTTCAAGTCAACGGCTCTGTCATCTACTTCCTCTCTCGGCCTCTTGTACCTCCAGCCGACCCGCTGGAGACAGCTTTACCCGACCTCGACTTGTCATCCTTCCTGGCGGCCGTATTGTCGTCATCGAAGGCTGAAACTCTTAGGAGCACCCCACAAACCAGCTTACTGGTCCCATACAACGCAGCGTTCCAAAGGCTAGGCCTATTGGTAACCAACCATCTTCTGTCATCCTCCGCGAAGCAGGACTTGGAGAATGTTCTCCTTCACCATACACTCAGTTCGATCGAATACGCCCCAGACTTGCTCAAGGGCGGCCAACACACGTTCCCGACACTGGAGGGTAGTGATATCAAGCTCGAGAAGACCAAGAACGGGACAATCTACGTAAGCCCGAGCGGAGGATGGGCCGGTATGCGAGCTGAATTGGTTCCTCGCAACCTCTTAACCAAGACGGGGGTTATCCACGAGCTTTCCGACATTCTCATTCCTCGATCTGTCGATATCACAATCGGCAAACTCATCCGGGCATCAAAGGGGAGCACTATGGCCTCTTTGGTAAACAAGGCAGGGTTCGACTGGGTGTTGAACGGTACCGCACCTCCTGAAGGGTCTGAGTGGGAAAAGATGGGTCTTGAGGGTGTCGGGTGGACATTGTTGTGCCCACCGGATGATGCCTTCAAGGACTTCAACCTGACTCAGCTCTATTCAGACGTCAATGCAATGAGGACCATCGTCTCTCAGCATCTCATTCCTGTTCCTGTCGCGATTCCCAAAGATATCCAGGGGGAACTCGACACTGATCCATTGAACAACAACCGACCCCTCGTTCTCGACGATGCAACCTACTCAACCGTCCGTTCCGAAGCCTCTGCGTACGGTGACCTCGTGTTCCAGAAGCGAATCGACGACGGGCAATACGTCGTCGGGATCAAGGGCGCTCGCGGAACCAACGGTGATCAGGATTGGGCCCGCGTGCTATCCTGGGGTCGATCGACCACGGGAAGTGGAACTGGCGGTGTTATTCAAATTGATCGGCTTCTTGTCCCTTACCAGCCCAAGTGGTGGATCGAGTACGGTGCACCAACCGCCGTCGGTTCTCTAGGGGTACTAATTATCTGTGGCTTCTTCTATGGAGTTCGTATACTCTGGCAGAGAGACACAACGGAAGCTACGTATGAGCCCGTAGGAGGGTTTGGCAGAGACGATGATGAGGATGTTTAGATAGACACCGAGGGTGTTTAGCGCGCTTCAGAACTTTCATCGTACCGTTCACGATAGACGAGACTCTTCTCGCAGTCTTACTTACATATGTATTGGCATTTCCACTCACGATATCCCAGTCGTTGTATCATTATATATGCTGTTGTCCCAGTACCTTCCTAGCTTAACTTTTTGTCTATTTAATACGAGGATTTAAAGATGTTGAGCCAAGACGACCGAGGTTCCGGTATTCGGAAGGCAAGCATGTGAAAAAGCCGCATTGGTCCGGTGCGGTGAATGGAGCGCATTGAAAACTTGGGACATCAAGGTGTCATGGACGAACTGAAATCACTTTTCCTCTTCCCTGACTGCCACCAGCCTATCCGCAACCTACTGGAAAGATGGTGAGCACGCTCATGCAGCCCAATACCCAAGTTTTTCTCAAGGTTTTTCCAAATTACAGAGCACCGAAGGGGCAGTTGAGGAGAAGAGAGTGTCGGCGGCAGAGTCTGTCAAGTCGTTCATCGCAGGAGGTTTCGGTGGCGTGTGCGCCGTCGTAGTCGGTGAGCAACTACTGTATGGAACAAGGAATCAGCATAGTTATCGAATCCAACAGGTCACCCCTTCGATCTCACCAAAACTCGCTTGCAGACTGCACCTGCCGGCACCTACACCGGCGCAGTCGATGTTGTGAAGAAAACTGTTGCCAAAGACGGAGTGAGAGGGTATGTTGATGCTCGGGATACATTTTTGGACGTTGTAGTCAACCAGAATTCACAGTCTCTACCGTGGCATCGTCCCTCCCCTGCTCGGCGTCACTCCCATCTTCGCCGTTTCCTTCTGGGTGAGCTACCATTTATCTCTCGGAACCATTCCCCGCATTTCTAATACGGGGCGCTTGTCTTCCACTAGGCCTATGATGCTTCAAAACAACTCATTTTCGCTGTGACCCCCAACCGAACCAGCCAAACGCTCTCCATCCCCGAGCTCGCTACCGCTGGTTTCCTCTCCGCCGTCCCGACCACTCTCGTCACTGCCCCCGTGGAGCGCGCCAAGGTCTTGTTGCAGGTGCGTCGGTCCTCACCTTGCGCTCCACCCTGTTTATCTTATGTGCGGGTGCTAGGTGCAAGGCCAGGGTGGCTCCTCGACCCAATACAAGGGCGTCACCGACGTCCTCAAGCATCTCTACCGGGAAGGCGGTCTCCGAAGTATCTTCCGGGGTACTGGAGCAACTTTGGCGCGAGACGGTCCTGGAAGCGCCGCGTAAGTCCGAACAGACCTCCTTCCTGTCACGGATTCCCGCTTACCCATGGTGATTATACGATAGCTACTTCGCTGCCTATGAAGTGACCAAGAAGGCGTTGACCCCTGCTGGCTCCTCCCCAGCTGACCTCAACCTCGGCGCGGTTATTGTTGCTGGAGGTACTGCCGGTGTTGCGATGTGGGCCATTGCTATTCCCCCTGATGTACGTGCAGTCTAATTACTACGGCCGATTGGAGAATCCGTATTGACCCGTCTCTTCTTCTTTCTTCCTTGCAGGTCTTGAAATCACGATTGCAATCCGCGCCAACGGGAACATACTCGGGTATTGTCGATTGTGCACGAAAGACTATTGCTCAAGATGGGTTGCGTGCTCTCTGGAAGGGATTCGGCCCTGCTATGGCCAGGGTACGTTGTGCGGGCAGATCTTATCTAGCTCAAAGTTAAACTGACGATTTGTTTCCAGGCTTTCCCCGCCAACGCTGCTACCTTCGTGAGTCTGATCATTTATCTACTTGTGCTATTCACTGACGATTCTCTTCACAGCTCGGAGTTGAGGCTTCAAGGAAGGTTCTGGACGGTCTTTTCTAATCTGGGAGACTTGTCTGAAAGACACGTCGCACTCCTATTCATGTGTACCGCATTAATCATGATACCCGGGGAGAGGGTTCAACTGCAGTCTCGCAAAGTGCCGCAGTCAGATGCAGGATCTTTGGATCACCTGAACCAGATTTTCTCTCGAAAATTGGCGACTGACTCTGGAGTAGTGTACATCATTCGGATTCAGGTTCTTCTAATTGTTGCCGTAAGATATATACCCACAACGTGGCAATTCCTTTGTTGTGAAATAAAAGAGAAGGTTCATCGACGGAAGAAATCCCATTAGTACAACTAGTAGTGGTATAGTCTATAACTCGTTTGGTTTATTTCCAGCTTGATGGAATTTTGGTGATAGTGTCTGCCCACTTCCCAAGTCTACCGTGCTCCCAGTCTTCGATGAAAGAGAGACCGGCACTCCCCCGAAGACTCTCCTCGACCTTCAACCTCTTCTCCGCATCCGCCCAGAACAAGACCCACTGGCCCATCCGCAAATGACCCGTGCTCCGCTCAAAGTACCACTTGTTCACAGGGTTGTTGGAACGACTGCGCCAGACCAGATCGCGACCTTCTCCCTTGCCTCCCTTTCCTCCGTTAGGGTTAGCTGAGAATGGATGTCCGAGGCCATATGATTCGTCATGCAACGCGACCCAAAGGAAGTCGACCGTTCCATCGCCCTGATGGCTCGGAAGAACCGCAAATTTGTCGAGGTACGAGATTGGTTGTGAGGACCCAGGGCATACTTCGTTTGTCACGATGGCAGTACCATCGTAATCACCCGCAATGATGACAAAGTCCAGAGTCTTCTCGAGACGCCCGTAGAAGGCTTCTTGATCGAGGACGCGTCCAAAGGACTGTTCGAGTAATGCTGTCATCTTTTCTTTGTCGATATCGGATACCGACCGAACAACGCGAATGGGGAGTCCCCGTCGCAAAAGGGTAGGGGTGTGAGGTGTGAGACGGAGATTGCCTTGGAGAAGCGCGTGAGGAAGGGAAGAGCTAACTGCTGGCTTGTTCGTGATGAGGTTGCCGATTAGTGAGCTCGGTGACTTGTGGGAGACCATGATAGCTGAAGAAGTTGGAGGCATGTAACGGAGACATGTACGGGCGAGGGCGAGGTCTGAAAGAGCATGTGGGTGGGAGTCCTTCCAACGAGGGTCGAAGGTCTGCAGGATGTGGTCGTATTCTTGCTGCAGGTTGATCAAAAGGTGGGGGTATCCTGAGCGTGCGTACGAAGGAACGCCGCCTCGTTGATTGATGATCATGAGGCGAAGGGGTGTGAGGTCAATAGCATCGGAATCCGAGGACCCATCCTCGTGGGCAGCTGGTGAAGGGTTTTCGGATGCAGCTTCCACCATTCCACAGGCCAGCCCAGCAATGGCATCGTTGGCATCCACTCGAACGGACCGGCAGCGAGAGTCGAGGGCAAAGGGAGCAAGGACAGGGATTTCCCCTGCGCGAAGCGAAGATCGGATGGGGGTGAGATCAGAGGGATATATGTGGGTTTCAGGAGGAGAGAACCCTGGCTCGCTCTCCTCTTCGGACCCCGGCTTGGGCCCAAGACGCACGACAGCCCCGACGATGGGACGGGCATGGGCACCTTGCTTCTCGAGACTAGTGACGACACGCATAATCTCGTCAATGAGAAGCTTGCGCTCCTCTTGTTCGCCTTTGGGAACGCCATCGCTTTCGACGACGATGACGCTGACCATGCCAAGCTTTTCGAGGTAGACAAGACCACGGGTGATGCTGTCCAGCTGGACATCGGTGAAAGGGCCCTGTATCTTGACCAAAGCAGTCCGTCTATAGATAGGGTTGAGGATAGAGTTAATGACTGGGCTAGGAGCGTGCTTCTCCTCCTTGACGACTTTGGTAGAGGACGCTGTGAGCTTCGGGGCTGGTGGGGGTGGAATAACGATCTCGGGAAGCTTTTTGTCTTCTAATGTTTTGGGTCGCTGAGGCTGGACGCCGAATGAAGCCAAGTAGGAGCGGGTATCCCGCAGCGACGGGTTCGCCTTTAGGATAGAAAGGATGAAGTCCTGTATATGAGTCAGTACACGAGGCTCTTGGCGCAACAATGAGAGCGACCTACATTATCGGCCGCTTGCGGTGACTCTGGAGGTTCAGGTGGAGGCTGCCTGAGGCTTCGTATTGTCTGCGGACAATGAGCACATAGACCTGACTGGGTTGGGGAAAACATACAGCATAAAATGCTTTGAAAGTCTGGGACCGTTGGTTCACGGCAGTCTTCGCTGAGAAAAGCTGGGTGGACGGTGGGGCACGAGGAATCATTTTGGGAGGAAGGACTGGGGATGAAGCGAGGGGTATACGGAAACTGGAGGCATTTCACAGGGCTTTAAAGAGAGATTGGCTGAGGGGAAAACATATCCAGTGCCGGAAGAAAACGTGGATCTCAATCATTCGCATGATTATCATATCTGATTAGATCCTCTCACGTGACTATAGATCCCTGAGCCAAGGATAAAACTCTGAGCCTCTTCTGACCCTTTTAACACCTTCTTATAGCATAACTACAGCCTATTAATACAAAGAAGCTGAGCGAATTCATTAACTGCAAATGGCCCAAATCCCTCATGCAGTCAGAGGGCTAGGAAGTCAACTGGATCTAGTCAAAAAGGCCCTACGTCGCCCCATCCTGGAAATATTACGTGCCCCAAAATCTCCGCATGTCGACCAATCCAGGGCCTTTCCCTTCGCCCTAGGCCCACAAGATACGCACGTGCTTCTGCATCTGGAAATGAATGCACCGCGAGCATTTATCGCTGCGTAAAGCTCGGATACTCGACTCGGGAACCGATCTAGGCGCCCAGATGCAAGCGCTAAGCCCGTTCTCAGCCTCAGAAGCTGTGAATGATATACTCATTGTTCCTTTGCTGTGGAAATCGAATGAGCCTCCGCATTCATCGGTTAATAGAAGGCTCAGAGAATGACTCACGTCAATAACAATCAGGTTATCCTCTGTGCACATCACGGAATAACTGGTCTGCAGCCTGCCTGCCACATCTCCGAGTGGAATGGATCGCCAACGGTACGGTAACGATGTTCGTACTTCCCGGGCAAAGATGTCTCCCTCTGGAATCACGGTCGGGGCCAATTGGTAAATCGTTTCTGTTGACGTTTTGATCTCTTCCCCAACTCCTTCCTCCCTGACAATCTGACTCTCGTCTGCTGTACGCAGTGCCCTGCGTAGCCCGGGCTGATTGAAATCGTAGGTTCTGCACAGCAACTCGTCCCTTCTCAGAACATTGTGCGACTCCAGCGCAACATATCGTGTGCCGTATACATAGCATACCCAGACATGTGAGTGAGAATGCGGTGAAATCATGAGGCGGGTCCCGGTGGGTCCCCATTCGTCCCAAATCCGAATTCGGTTTTCTTCTTTCTCCAATGGAGCCTGCTCGAGATGTTTCATGAAGGTGGTGAGGGGAACAAACATCATAAGGCATTGGATCCCCTCCGAGACCTGTACCCAGAGCGACACGATATAAACGCGATGATTCTTGGCGAGATGGAAAGGGACGTTAACGTCAAAGCGAGGTTCCCAAGGCGGTGATGGATCAGAGCGAACTTCGAAGGCGACGGGGATAAACAGATCGCGATTTAAAGGAGGATAGCGGAACGAAATCGTGGTTTTGAGTTGGTCGAAATTCTTTTTCTCGTTGCCTTCCTTCATAAAGTTTACGACGGTCAGAGTGGGTTCTGCAAAGTTCTGATCATCCTCGTCCAGGTCCGGGAGGATATAACATATCAACGCGTGCTCGTCGGATAGAAACGAGAACGACAGAATGCTCTCGCTGACAGTGTCCTAGTATATGGCAGTGTGAGTTTGAATGATTCAAACACGATAGATTTGCACTGACCAAGAGCATGTTGCCCGTTTTCCAGTTCCAAATCACAAACTCGTGCAATCTGTAATGGGCGGTTATTACAAGCAGCCCGATATGATCGCCAGAGACCTGGATAGTATAAGAAAATCCAGGGTCCCTGAATCCTTGGACGAGATGTAGGACTCTATTCTCGGGGCGAGGAAGGGGGTGAGGTTGGCCAGGATTGTTTTCCAGGGAAAGCAAATGGAGGGTGTGTGTGGTCTCTCCACGAGCCCTTGACCTGCGAAACTAACGTTTAGATCATCCTTTCAACTAGCTCGCTCCCCACAAACCATTTGGGCCTTTCGATCATAACCAAAAGATCCTGGGACGGATCCATACCAAAGTCACGGACCTGGAACGACGGAGGCTCCATGGTCCATGCCTTTGCCTTGATGCCTCGAATCGTGGACGGAAGACGATTGAAGTAAAAGGTCCCCATTCGACTGTTCTGAGCGAGAACTCCACCATAGAGTTCCCAAACACCCCCGCGTTTCATGGGGATGTTATCGCGCGCAGAAAAGGCGAGCTGGGCCCATCCTTTATCGTAGGACTTCAACTTTTCCAGACGGGATGCGACATTGCGATTGTCGAGGATGCTGCTTTCAGTCCCGGTCGCGTATAGTTCGATTTTGTACTGAAGGACAGAGGTCGAGTCCACAAGGGTTTTCAGATCTCGACAGACCTGGGTTGCGCATTTCAGCCATGAAAGTTGGGTTTGGTCGAAAAGGAACAATCACCTCTCTGCATCGACACAAGGAGGCAGCGTCGAGGAAACTGAGAGTTTCGATGAGGAGCTCTGTAGGAATAGTGAGGAGAGGAGAATCAGACATGATACGGAAAAACATGTATGGTGGTGGTGGTTTGTGAATGACGTTTGGGATTGGGCGTCTGGCGGTGGCTCTTGATTTGTGACTAATCCTATTTATTCGGGCGTAGCTGCCAATTGCAATTGTCGACCTTGACTTTACCCGCCTCACATGCCCTTGATCCAACGACGACTACAACTCAAAATCTATATCTGAACAACACGCATGACTTCCGATTCAACGAGCTCAGTACAACCAAGGGTGAGTTTCAAAGTGATTCTTCAAAATATCGTATCTAACCAATCCCTAAACTACTCAGCCCAAGTTATTCCAGAACGATATTGTGCATGTACCAAAAGTCACCTCAGGCGACTCGTATGCGATAGTTGTCGTATGTGACCCAGTCTGTGTGCTTGGTGTGCGTCCGATGCTGAAGGATACCTCCTTAGCGGTGCTGGCATGATCCCGAGGACATCCCCCCGCAGGCAGCTCTCGCCGACCCCCTTCTCAGACCGCTAAAACAAGGCGAAGTCGGAATCTCGTATATATCTCACCATGAAGCACGCGAAATCATCGACGAATCCGAAGTCGTACTCATTGACCGCGGTTTGCGGCCTGGAGATTATTGCAAGCGCTCGGTCGACGATCTCCGCTCTGGTGTAGTCACTGGCGTTAAGGTCAAGGCCCGAGTTGCCCATGTCATCAACGGCGTCCCAGTCGATGGTTGGAAAACGACAGAAGATCTCGTTGAAAAACAGGGTGCTGAAGTGGGGGACTATGTTGTCTACGAGGATTGGATTGGCCAGGTGCGTTCTCTTCACACGACGTATTTGTGGAATGTGCTAACAACTTCTTTTCTTTCAAGATCATCGAGGTAATATAGTCCAATATCCAAAGTTGAGAGCGTTCTCACAATCCCGCTATACCGCAGGTCTTCGACGAGTCTATCATCGAGGTCGCAAACGGTCGATTGGTACGACTTCCAGAACTCGGTTCACGATTGGCTACTGGCGACGTAGGCACAGTAAGCGATCAAGCAGTCAATCTGATAGACAATAGACTGAGCCACCCTCCTAGGATATCTTACCCCCAGCACCAGTCGCCAACAATGTCTCCAGTGCAATCCGCTCTCTCTTCGGTGGACAGAACAATGGTGTAGACAGGGTCATCCACGCCAAGCACACCGGATATGCCGTCGCATGGCTAGCGCTCAACCAGACTGTTCGTAACTTACCACGGGATCGTTCCAAATTTACTAACCCGAATGCTCTAGTTGGATGTCGACGACGCCGCAAACCGTACAAGGCCCCCTCGCTTCTGGGTTGGTTCGGATATCAGCAAATTGACTCTGGTTAGGGGCAAAGCGGACGCGGAAATGAGGGTTGGGGACAGAGTCAACTTGAAGAATACAGAGGACCTTCCAATGACTGAGCACGGCAACGAGAAAGAGCCTGCCGGGATAGTCCACGTTCAAACCTTCAAAGTCACTGACACCGAAACAACGATTGACATTTTGTGGCAGGACGGCGAGAAGGAGACGGTTAGGTCGGTCGATGTGATACCTTACGTCAGTCCAGATGAATACGATTGCTGGTGAGACGTTATGTTCGTCAAATGTCTCGAATGATCTACTCACATCCATACAGGCCGGGCGACCATGTACTCTGGAAGGCTGAAGGTCAACAGCGCTTCGCCGTCGTACAAAGCGTCAACCCCGCAGAGAGGACAGCCAACCTCGTCTTCGAGGACAAGACTCAAGAGCTAGTTTCTGTCTTGGAGTTGGATCCCAATGGAAACACAGATCCATTCGCGAATCAAGCCCCTCATGATGCGCTCGGGGTTCGAAGAGGTGACTTCGTTTTCATCCATCCTGAAGGGAAGACGAATGGGATGACGCCTCCTAAGGTGCCGCATATCGGTGAATTAGAACCGTGGGTTCGCGAAATACCCATCATGGACGGCCAATACGTTGGCTGGAGGAAGGATTTCGCTAAGCTGGGGAATGCGGCTGCAGCCGCACGAGCCTCGTCTGAACTGTTTGACTCGTCAATCAAACGTCCTGTGAAAGGGGACGAAAGCCTTTATTGGATTGGAGAAGTGTCAGATGTAGGTATTGCATTTTCTTCCTCCAAGCCATTTCTAATACGCATTATAGCTCAGGTTGGATGGCACAGTCGAGGTGACACATCCTGATTGGACGACACGGATTTACCCCCTCGAACGACTTACCCGCCTTTATGATGGAATGGACCAGCTGGAAGATGATCCTTGGGCAGACTCGATGAGTATGGAAGATGAATATGAAGCAGGATACGAGGCAGGGTATGGGCCCGCGTATGGGGACTATTACGTCGACGAGTTAGGAGGCGAGTGGACAGTGGATGAAGAAGGCCAGTGGCAAGAGGAGGGCGAGTTCGAGCATGATCATTGGGAACACGACGGGGTCGTTGAAGGAGGTCATTTTCACCCTTGCACTTGTCGGCACCATCCAGAAGACGGCGAGTCACAAGAAATGGACTCGCCCGAACCTGAAAGCATTGCAAGGCGCCCGCCACCCGAGTTGGAAACATCGCTTTTACCGACACCTGATTCCTTCGAGAAGCAAAACACCCCAAGCCCTTCGGATATTGCTCTTCCTCCATTGGAGGAGGGCTCAGTTCAGTCACCTTCTGTCAGCGTGACGGCCAACATTCCAAAGGAAGCCGAGGAGTGGAAGCGATTCGATATCCTAGAATCTGCGCCCGCAGACCACGCATTCTATTCTACTACCCCAGCGCAGCCCTCCAAAACGTTCTTGGGTCGACTGTCGAAGGAATACAAAGCCCTTTCATCCAGCCTACCTGGTATGTACATGCTACACGCTCCTCTGGAAAACCTGTTGACTGGGTCTGGAATTTAGATTCGATCATCGTTCGAGCCTACGAAGACCGCGCAGATCTTCTCCGTTCTTTAATCATCGGCCCTGAAAATACGCCGTATCAGGATGCTCCGTTCGTAATCGATTGGATGCTCGATTCCAACTTCCCTCACAGTCCGCCTATCGCACACTTTTTGAGCTGGACAAATGGAAATGGCCGAGGCAAGTTCTCTTCATCCTCCGGACATGTAAACACTTTTTGACATTTTACCACGTAGTAAACCCGTAAGTTCTGTCGGAATAGCCGCAGCTCATCCGGTGCTCACGAACCCATAGTAACCTGTACGAGGATGGCAAAGTTTGCTTGTCTATTTTAGGGACTTGGGTCGGGGATCAGAGTGAAACATGGAGTGCCGCCCGTTCCTCCCTCCTTCAAGCGTTTGTTTCAATTCAGGGCCTCGTCTTAGTGAAGGAGCCGTAAGTCTGCCCACCCTTCAAGTCTACTTTATCTGACACGTACCATAGGTGGTTCTGCGAGCCAGCGTATGACAAACTGCGCGGCACCGAAGAGGGTATTGTGAATAGGTGCGCATTTATTCCTACCCCATTGCCGAAGTTCTCACTCGCCTCTACAGCCGACTCTACAACGAGAAGGCATACGTCCTATCGCGAGGTTTCATTCGTCGTGCGCTCGAGATCCTCCCCGGAAGTCTAGAAGAAGAGATCGAATACCTCTACTATACGAAAGGATGCCTCCGCAAGGTGCTGGATGATTCAAAGGCACTCGTCGAGAAGAGCAGAACCAATGCCGAGATATCGCCAGAAGAGCGTCATTTAGCAGTGCCACGACTGACGGCCGGTGGGATCCTCACATTAGAACGGACATTACAGAAGCTTCAGGTGCTCCATGACCGTAGACAATCCGGGACTGTATAATGTAGAATTACCGCTATACTCTACACCCACTTCCGCTATCTTTTCTATTTAATCGACGTCGCAGTAATACTTTTCTCTAGCTCCGAACATCAACATTGTCCCAAGAATCGGTTTCGCGGGAAAGGTTGGTGGTAGTCATCCCTCCAGGTGGTAATGTTGGGATTGGTATACACATCGACGTAGCTATCGGTCATTGCAAGTCAGTCTAGCAAAGGAGGTGGAAGTAATGGCTCGATTACCGGTTGATGTATGCTTCAGTTGGAAAATCCTTTGGGCTGCACCCGATGTTTATCGCGTTCCTGGGCTGGTAGACGCGGATCCAGTCGACCCTCATTGTCGTTGGGAACGTCAAATGGTCGAAATCGACCAAACCAAAATTCTCCGACATCCCAAGATTGATGATTATATACTGTTGAATTGGTCAAGGCTTTTCTTTGTCGAAGGAGATTGCAATTGGGTGACTCACCATGGGTTCCTGGGGAATAGGCCTCGGTCCAATCTCGACACGAGAGTCGGCATCCATGCCTCCCGACCTGAGTGTCCATGCAAGCTCCCCGTCGGCGACCCAACTGATGTACTATGGTCAGGCCTTAGCGTGATATTTCCGCAGGCAAATTACATTGTTACTGACAGCGCTGTCGAAACCCGGCCTGTATTCAAACCCGTAGACCGAAGAACACCCGCCTTCCAGTTCATAGCATGCCGGGTCTGGAGAAATCAATGAATGTTCCAACAAATTAGGGGAACGGCATACTTGTATCCGTCACACATGAAGTGGCTTGTTGGAAGGCGCCACCAGCGTAAGTGTTGAGGACCGTCCGAGTATGATTGGCAATGAATAAATTATCGGTGTTGTTAAACCATGCGTATCCTGCGTTAAACGGCTTCTCGGGATGTCACGGCGTGGCTTCGAGGCACAACGTGGTAACGCTTACCGCCCACTGAGCAGACTGAGAAACGCCGCCCGCCAAGGGGTCACCAGATATCTGGGCTTCAAAAACGTCAATTTCAGGCGCTGCACGACCTACGTAGGTCCCGTCGGAGTGCTTGGGGCCAGGATGTGCTTCTCCGGGACAAGTGCAACGGGAGAGCCTCTGTCCTGGCAGATACGAAAGTGCTCCGTTTTCCGACGGATCTCCATTAATAGTGGCTTCAATCGGTAATCCATTGTGGGTTTGGTTAGGCGCTGTCCCCACGTCGCAAGAGTCGTATGTGTATGGCCACTGAGAAGTAGCAGATTAATACAGTGTCTCCTATTTGTCAACTCCGAGACGCACCATCCCTTCCAGGCTCCCTCCGTAACCTGCGCGGCCTGTTGGAAGTGTCTCAGTGAAATACAAGGTCATGCCCAGAGCGAACCATACCCAGGTTTCCCATTGACCAGATGGCTGGCCAAAGACCCATCACATTGTTAACTCCTGGTAGGACGACGGCCGCCTCCAAAAGTCCACCAGTAAAACAAAACTTGTTCCAGGTCGACATCATCCCTCCTTGGTACTGTCTGCCATGGGTGTTCTTCTTGGAAAGGGTGACTTCGAGGAACCCGCCCTTGGTCGTAATAGCTTCAGGATCATACCATTCCAGATTATTGGTCTACTGAAACTGAGTCTTGCACTGGCAATACATATAGACAGTACATACCGCCCAATAATGAAGATCCACAGCTTCCCAATAGGGGTCGTCCCCGGGGTAGAACGACCTTCCGTCGACGTTAAACTCGTCGCTAAAGACAAGTTGCAGAGTCTGGCTTGGATTAGTGTAAGAAAGTTTCGTATACGCGTTTTTTGGTGTATCCAGGTCAATGAGACCCCAGTTGCCAAGGTTTGGTACCTGGCCAAGCCAATAAATAAGGTAAGCGACATGCTTCATTTGGAAAGAGCTCACTTGGCCTGAAGCGTTGATGCCGCCATAGTTGAAACCGCCCATTTTCGAAGGTCGAGGGGAGGTAAAGTGCGAAATGATGGGATATCCCGCACTAGAAGCCACGTTATATGTCGGAAAGTCTTGATAAAGTCAATACATACAACAGTGCCAAAACGCCCAGACAGAGCGTGATCATGCATCCCAAATTCGTAAGGCCCCTATAGGTACAGAAGTGCCCTCCTGCGTCGTAATTAACGTCTCGTTTTGGGTCCGGGTTATGAAGGTAGTCGTCTGGCTCTGGGTAGTCGGGAGAAAGATTGGAGCCCCATGTCATAGGGTCCGGGGCAAGGGAGAACTGCAATCCCGGGAGACTTGCATTAGGACGGGAATGGATTGGGGATGACCGCGTTCCTCGCCTTGTCAGATACAGACCCAAACTGGGTCTGGGACCCTGAATTGTTGAGGGATTGGGTAAAACCTATGGATTGGGCCTGATAACCGCTCGGTTGGGTGCTGGTATCCGAGTCGAGCCTGCCGGTACCAAGGGCGGGATGTTCAGTGCGGAATCGTGGGTGGTTGAAAGGATGAGACTCGGCCAGAAGGTTGCTTGTCGAGAGCTTGCTTGCTCGAGGAAAAAAACGGCGTTGCGACATGGCGAGATGCTTAAACAAAGTATTTCGAAAGCAGACTGAGCTGAGAGTTGCGTGAAGGCACCAAGCCGATTACCTCATCCGGAAGACGACGATTGACATCCGCCGTGTCCGAGCCCTGAACCCTCCAAGAGCTCAAGGATACCTGTGTTTTTGCCCTTGTGGAAGTCCTGGATGGCACTCTCAATGCGTTGTATGCCGGTCCCGCCTTCGAGGGGATCTGGTGGGAAGTTATCGTTTGAGAGGAGAGTACGAACTTCTTTCAGGCGAGCGAGAACGGAATGGTTCGCCTTGGCTATCGCGGAGCGACCATCGGAGGTGGGCAACTGAGCGTCGATAGACTGTAACAGCTTTGTTTTGTGTTGAAGATATTCGCTGAACTGGGTTTCACTCGTCGCGCCGTCGGAAGAGGCTGCTGTCGCCCAAGATTCGGTCTTGCTGAGCCATGCTTCCACATGGTCAATCTTTTCTTTTACCCTCCTGGACTTGTCGTTCTTAGATGGGCGGCCCTTCTTCCTCTTATCTAGGGAAATGGCTGATCCTTGGCCGAGGTATATCTCGCGAGGAAGAGTGCGAGGATTTTGTGCAAAACACTGGGTAGGGAGAATCAAAAGGAAGGTATTCTTTTCGGAGAGGGTGTTGAGGATGTAGACAACGGATGACTGAATAGCTTTCATGCTTGGGTCTTGCAAGCGACTGGGCAGAGAGTACAGTTCAGAGTGGACATTCAATGGGATCGGGATGTGATGGAGACGCCAGAGACGAGGAACAGTGTCTTCTGGCTGACTTGAAAAGAGAGTATACAGTGCAAGCAACGCCGCTGACTGGGACAGAGGGTCGTTTTGATTGTGTGCTTTCTCTGAGATGAACGAATAAGCCGACGTTGTGTATTCATCCAGGCCAAGCTTACCAAGGAAGAGACGGCAGGTTACGTGGAGAAACGCTTCTCGACTCCTATCGTTGATGGTCTTTAAATGGTACCATTTCCATCCTTTGGCGCACCAAATGGACTTGAAGAGAGAGAACGGTGCTTGAGGACGCTGTCGCCACTGATCACAAACTGAGGAGAGGAGGTCATCAATGTCAGAGCGTAAAGGATCGACAAATAGGGAAGAAGTGTAATAGCTGGGCTGGATAACGGGTTCAGTGCGGTGTGGCGAGGGCGCAGGGTACAAGGCCATTGAGCTCGCTGTTCTCGGCATCGTCGCGGAGGATGACGACGGGGTGTTTATGGTTATTTGTTCAGGGTCAACAAAGTGAATTGGCATCGTCATCGCGTCCAACTTGAAGTGATCGAGTCCAACTCTGATCTGCGCTGCTTCTGTGCTCTCTCTCTTCTCTGGTCGCTGGCGCCTAATTGTATTTATATCTCCGACATCTACTCCCTCGACATGGCCCCATTATTCCGCCGAAACAGTGGAATTCAATGCTATTATTGCAATTCTCAAGTTCCCTCACCCCGCAGCAAACGAAACTTTCGATGCCCAAGCTGTGGCTGCTGGAATCGCTATACAGAAGACGGTGACATTATCTCAGACGACCCAGCAATGTATCAGGAACACCTGAATCGTGCCAGTTTCTCGAAACGCGGTACGTTGGGTTCCCTTCCCACCCTGACCAAGCCTAACCAGAGCGGCCCATAGCCTCCCCCTCCAAGGACCGGCTACCAAATCTACATCGGCCTGGTCCGTTTTGCCACACCTGCCAACTCAACCAACAAGTCATCGTGAATCTTCTCTCCACCTATCTACCACCACCAGAGGTCCGTTCTGTCCCCCTCCACACCCTTCTGTTGGGTGGCTGAACCCGTCTGTGTAGCATCCCGAATATAAGCAACGTGTTAAGAACCTGCCTCAGTACAAGGAATCATTATACACTCGATATCCTCCACTATGCGAAGCATGCAGGCCCGCCGTAGAAGAGGAAATACAGCACAAGGACCAAATGGCACGAAGGAAGGCCCTTGGTGGATGGCTCAAGGGAGGAAAAGAGCGGCAGCGTCGAGTATCCGGAACTCCTGGTCTTAAGGAAAAGATCATCGTCGAGAGCATCCATTGGCGGATACGAGGCGTCCTCTGGCTCTCCTTCTCGTTCGTTTCGATTGCCTCCCTCATTCTTGGTATGTACTTTTGCCACTGTCTACACCTATTGATCTCACAATCTTCCAGAACTTATGCACTATCCTACTCTCTCTCGATTGCCATCACTCCCCGCCTATGTACTACCGATTCTAATATTCGTTTCGCTGCTCTGGACTGCATGGGACCCAACGTACCTGCAAGTACAAAAGGCTCAGCTGCAAGGGCGGGACGTCAGAGTTCATGGAAAGCGAAACTACATCGTACGTCGATTGATTTCACCATTTGCGCCGTGCTCATCCTCGCATAGATATGCCAAATGACCGCTTGGTTCTCCCGCCTTGTCTTTTCAATTACCATCGCACTGCAACATAGGCAAATCCAGATCATGCCCGGCGTTCTACAACAATACCGTTTCCACCTTGCACTGGGATTAACAATTGAGATTATCGTAAGGGTCTTCGTCTTCTCATATTCTCGGACCTAACCAACTGGTTTCCTATCCGAAAGGCTCTTTTGGGTCGCTTCCTCTTCCTCCAAATTCAGCACCCTCCACCCATCCGACTGATTGACACCCACTCCCACCTCAACACGCTCTCGCGATCCGCCACACCCGCCACATCCGCCTCGCAATCCTCCACTCCAATAACAACTTCGTTCCCTAAACTTACGGAACATGACCTTCTCGCTTCCCTCACTCTGTCCTCCAAGCCGGTGATGACTCCACCAAACCCAGTTTTCGGTCTTCCGTCATTAGGTTCTTCGGCCTCGATGCCTCTCATCACGAAGGACGATGACGCTATGGACTGGTCACCCATTGACGATGAGCCAGGTGTCAAGCGGAAAGCAAAGGAGGCTGAGGATAGCTCTTCCTGGCTTCGGCCCCAGCGGTTCTTCGCACCCGAAAAACCTACGGGATTGGAGAACCTGTTTGCACGAACGCGACTCGATGACGATGACATGATGGTAGACCAGCCGCCACCACCCTCCCGCCTCTCCTTTTCAGCAATGCTCAAGCGCGGCAAACAATGGTGGATACCTATCCTCATCACGGTCCTTTCCATGCTCTTCGCCTACCTTGGCTTTTTGCTCATTCGTCGGAGAGCGGTCGTTCGAGCCTACTACGATGCACAGACTCATGCTGAACTGTAACCTTCATAAGAATGATTGTGATGAAATAATCGGTCGTGACATGAATGCCAAATGGTATCCAAGGGGAGTGAGCAAGAGTTAGCAGTACTCGGCAATAAAGGCTAAGTTGTTGAAAATTTGAAGTCGAGGCTAAAACGTCCGTGCCCTTTATTATAGGAGGCAATAAAGGGTAGTTTCATTATCTCAAGTGGGCGGAAAGTAGGAAGAGTTCGGGGTATGTATGAAGTGCTCTATGGATGAATAAACGGAATAAGATTACAGTCGGGTCAAAGTGGTATGATCCACTGGATGGGAGAACGCGGGCGACAGTGGTGACCAGTCACACCTGTCTAATCCGCAACAAAAGGAAGTGTGAATGATGGCTATGACTGACGCCTAGATACAATTAATATCTAGGCCCAGCGGCGTAACCACCAAATTGAGGACCTGGACTGGGACCTCGGGACATGTCCGCGTAACCACCGACGGGGCTGAGGTGAGCGGGGCCAGCAGTGAAATCATGCTCAGGGAGACCAAAGTTGGTGTTGCTGCGAGCGCTGCCGTGACCGTGACCAGAAGAGTTGAGGGATGATCCCGAGTGGCGGCGGTGAGAAGGGATAATACCGGGATCGCGGTCGTCCTCGTGGGTTGGTTTCTCCCAATCGATAGGCTGCAACCGCCTGTCGAACTTCTTGGAGCTTCCGAGCTTCCACTTGCGGAAGACGGTCCAGAGAATGAAGACACCACCAACAGACGCGACGACGGCAATGAGGATAGTGACGATATTGCTCTTGCTTTGATCGTCAGCGGCAGCACCAGCCATTGAAGGAGGAGCGGTGGCCTCGACCTCAACGTCGTGGATCACAGTTTTGGTTTGAGCGACACGGGTGCTAGTCGACCTTTCGGTAGGTTGTGCAGGAGTGTCGGTGACGATGGGTTCCTCTTCCTCTTCTGCGGGGGTGGCCGATGGCGTGGCCGAGGCGGATTCTGATTCTGAAGCAGAGGCAGAAGCTGAAGCAGAGGCAGAGCCGGAAACAGAGCCCGATGCAGAGACGCTGGCAGAAACACTGGCAGACTGAAAATGATGTAAGAAACCCTGTTCTTACACAGACAAAACAAAGATGAACATACCGCCGAGGGCTCAGCAGAGGCAGAAACGGAGGCAGAGGCGGAGGCGGATCCGCTCAACACGCTACTGGGTGTGGCGGACTCAGAGGCAGACTCGCTAGCCGATGGGATGGGTGCAGCGCCGATGATGGGTGGGAAAGGGAAGCCAGAGTCGGTTGAAGCATCCGAATCTTGAGGAGCTCGTTTCCTGATGATACGTTTCAATGAAGCATGGCCACCGCGGGCGCGCAGGGGCTCGTGGGCCTCGACGACAGCGGCAGAGACGGCGAGAATGAGTGTGAGGTAGGCAAGGAACGTGGTAGTCTTGGACGACAAAGGAGGCATTGTGGTTATATTCTTTGAAGAAATATAAGTTAGCGGTGCCTGCGGTCACAAGAGGGGTCAGCGAGAGGACAGCAACGAGGATAGGGTGATGCTCACTGTGCAGGGGGGTGAAGAGGAACGACTGTAAATCGTGAAGGACGTGTCAAACGACGATGAACAACGTTCTGGGAAACACCGCGATATGAAGGATAAGAAAAGAAAGTAAGTAATGGCAAACAGGTGTTTGGGTGGCGACGGCCAAGGATACCCTTGCGGCTTAGTCAGCATCAACAACTTGACAACGCCTGTCAAGTTTCAACCCTGTCGAGAAAACAAAACTGTCCATTTTCAATATAGCCAAAAATATGAACAGTGCAACAAGATAAAGCGACAAAATATTACAGAGTCGTAAGTACGTGTCCAATCAACACACACACACAAAGTCCACTGAAAATCCAACCAAATGTACATGGAATTAGTTGTGGCTCGTCAGAGACCAATCATCCAGAGCGACCGAAGGCGGTGTTACAAAGTCCCCATCCGACATGCCTGGCCACTGAGGGTTAAACAGCACCTGCAGTGTGTACCGCCCCGCAGGAAGGTCGATCGCCAATACTGTCACTCCTGGATTCTCTTGATCAGCGACAGGCGGCGTTGGGTCGCTTGACGAACGCTGTGCAGGCCCAGTAGAGAATTCAGCACCCTCAGGTGGCGATAACAAAGTTATCCTCATGCTCTCTCCATCGAGGCTCAGCGTGGCACTGGTACCCTCCACTTCCACTGTGGCATTGGTGTGCATCCTCCACTGCACCGATCCCGACGCGTCAATCTCGTCTTGAAGAAGCACCTGCCGCCTTCCATTCAGGAGTCGGATCCCTCGTTTAACCGACGTTCTACATCAATGAAATGTCATTGGCTGAAGATTTAGGAATGAAGGAATTTGCAATACGTACGCGGAGAAGTATGCACTCGTCATGTCGGTCACCCAAAACGCCGTCGAGTCGTTTGGCACCTGTAACACGGTACTTGACCCCTGCGCTGTTCCTGAAGAGTCGTGTCGAATGCTTGGTGCAGCTTCAACGTTTTGGTTCGTGCCGTTAATGACGATCGTATTCTGTCCCGCAGTCATCTTTCTGTAATAGAGCCAGCGGACAGAATCTTGAGCATCGCTCGAGAAGTATCCGGGGGCAAGGTAGTCGGCTGAACCCAACTCTCCAGCCCATCGCGTTCCAAGGGCATCGAGGACGAAATCACCGACGTCCAAGTCATTATGGGCCTGGTGGCCCTGGTTGGAGCCTGCCTTGATAGCGACATACAAAGCGTTGCTGTCCGTCCAGCTACTGCGCATCGAAGCCCATTGATCCAGGGCATTGTCAAAGAAGTGGTCAAGCGCGGCACCATCCCAGAACGCCCCTGAAACTGAAGGGTTGTACCAAAACATGCTCCAGGGTTCGGCGGCATCGAATTGCTCGCGTTGGAAGAGAGCGTATTGGGGTCGTTCGTAATGCTCGGAGTACAAGAACATGCAGTTGGCTGTTGCTGAGTACTTGTTGGGACCATGGTCACCGTAGTCGAAGAGGGAGGTTGCACCGAAGCCATACATGTGGGCCAGGCCGGTTAGGGCAAATCCTGGATTGGCACTCAGGAGCCCGTAGTCAGAACCGGTGGCGGTCAAGAGGGCAGAGACCATTTCAGCATGACCTGTGGTCCCGAAATACCAGTAATTCTTGGTCTCTGACCAGGTCCCGTCGTCGGATGGACCGAGGGCGCAGTTCTCTCTAGCGTTGTCGACCGTGAGCCCAAGAATTTCCTCTGCTACCCCTGTCGCGTCATCTCCAAGGATGGCCAACGCGCCAATGGTCAACCCTCCGTTGCAGACGCAATTCCAGTTACCATTCACTCCCGTCCTCCACCAACCATACGAGGCAGCGCCAGAATATGCGTCGAGGCCAGGTCGCAGGCCGTATCTGATCAAAATGTCTCGAAGGGTGCCCTTCTGTTCGTCGCTAAAGACGTCATGGAACCAATCATAAGCTATGCCAAACGCCGCTGAAAGTTCGGCGGCGTCGAGGAAATGGGAAGGATTCCATTTGTCTTCAGCAGGCCCGAATTCGTCGCTGGCAGCGTTCTGTTACTGATATCAGTGCCCAATTATGAAGTCGAAGAGTACCGTGACGAACCTGAAGTTCTCTCCAAGCTCTTTCCGACCACCGTGTGTCCTTGGTCATCCTGTAGGCGTAACCAAACGCTTTGATTCTCTGCTTGATTTCTCGAGCAACATCCAAGATTCCACTGTCTCCATCCATGAAATAGGGTACAGGATCCCTTTCCAGGTAATCCGTTGCATTGCCGAAAATCGTTTCATTCCATCCTTCAAGGTAGGGGTCGTTTCGGATGAGGTCAGGGAGAGCGTCCCATTTGTACTGAGGGGCAATGATTCGCGGGCGATCCTCCCGGACGGCGAGTACATTGGGTGTAGTGGGTTTGAAGGGGTCTTCAGGCCACTGCACTTTAGCGTCAGCGGCGAATGTCGGTGAAGTGAACGCCGCAGTGTTGGTCTGTTACATGAGAAATTACAATGATTAACCTCATTCCGTATCACTGGCGCACTGAACGGATGACGAACCGTTGAAGGGTACACGGGGATCATGTACTTGCTGTCCGTCGCGGTAGCGAACCGCCCAATGGCCTTCTCAGCGTTGGTTCCGCCGGTCTCTGGGTCAGCACTGTCGCTGCTGCTACCACCGCTGGCAGAACCACTATTGCCATCGTCTTTGTCTCGAACTGCCCGGCTGCCAAGGACCCCGCCAAGGACGGCTGCAAGGATGATTACGACTGCTGCAGGGATCCCAAATTTGACCCATTTGCTCAATGGCTTTTTAGCAGGTGCCTGTTGCCCAGCGAATCCGGTCGACTCCTTGTAGGCTGGGTTGCCAGCGGCGTCGCTGTAGCCACCGCCATTGTGACCCAGACCTGAATAGTTATAGTTCGACGACATTGTCGAGAAGCCCAAGTCGGGGTATCCTCAATCCAGGGTGGAGAGAAGGGAATGTTGAAGGAGTGAAGGGGAAAGAGAAATGAGGGAAAGAAGATGTGGAGATGAAAGAAGTCTAGAACGGCTTTTTCAACAGGTGTTTGAAGTAAAGAGCGGCATGAGGCAACTCCGATTTTAGGTTTGAACTATTTTTAGATCCTCTGCGGACCTCCTAAATAATCATGACCCAATTCCCGCTCTCTGGCTAGTTTCGCAGCAAAATGTTTCTACCAGAGCTCTGGCATCTCTGGTACTTGAACCGCTCGAGTTGGTAAGAGTTGGGACTGTCCATCTGGGCCGCGAAGCCGGTAGCCGCTCGTCCATCAAAGCTGTCGTCATTGATCATGGCGCTCTTCACTCGAGACCCGACATCCTGCTCATCGACATTGCATCGTGTTCAAGAATGTCAACTGATTCTAGGTTCATCGGTAAGACCCCCGTCGATGCCTTCGTTCATTCAAGGACCTCGATGATCATATCGCAGACATTGCCAGTGAGTTCCGCTTCAGATCTTTTGGAATCGGTCGTCATTTACTCTTTCACCAGTAAACCTGACAGACCCCGTTTATCGGGGACTCTATCACGGAAAGAAGAAGCATGAAGGTGCGTCCCCACATCTTATGATGTGCGTACCTAACCCATGAGCAGATGATATGACGGAAATGCTGCAGAGATGCAAAGTTGCCGGTGTCAAATCTATGATCATTACAGGAGGAAGCCTGAGCGAATCAAAAGAGGCACTGGATTTAGCAAAGGAACTCGGTACGATGGTACTGTTCGCCTATGTGCATGCATGTCCAATGATCGATGTCAGGTTTGTATGCAACCGTGGGCTGTCACCCAACGCGTTCCGGAGAATTTGAATCGTACAAAGAGGGCCCAGAGGAATATCTGCGACAGCTAGATCAAATGATCTCTGAGCATTTGAAGGGAGAAGGAAGGGTGGTAGCAGTGGGAGAATGTGGACTTGGTAAATGGTTTCTCCTTCCTAAAGTCCTGGTGTTGAGGGGCACATCGCAGATTACGACCGAACACACTTCGCCGACCCAGAAACGCAGAAGAAATACTTCAGAGTGAGGCATATCCTGGCAACCTATCTACGGTCGCTGACCAACGAAGCACTGGTTGTCTCTCTTTTTCAGGTTCAGTTAAGCCTTGCGAAAAAGCATCACCTTCCCTTATTCCTGCACTCTCGTGCTGCTCACAAGGATTTTGTCCAAATCCTCCGAGACGAAGGCTTCGGTGTCGATGGTGGGAGAACTGTTGGGGCCAGGGGAGGAGTAGTACACAGCTTCACCGGCCTTCCCGAAGAAGTTTCCGAGCTCGTAAGATTTCCTGTGAATGCCGGTTTTAAGTCTCACCTTACCTCGAACCTAGACTTCGATGGGATTTCACGTTGGGTAAGGACCCAGGTACTCCTCAACGACGTGCTATTGATGTGTGATCGCCAGGATTAACGGATGTTCTCTCAAAACGAAAGAGAACCTTGACGCCGCTAAATCAGTTCCACTCAACCTCCTCATGCTCGAAACTGGTGAGTTGTGGTATCTTCCAAAGAGGCGTGTTAATGATAACGGTTGTGAAGATGGTCCATGGTGCACCATGAACCCTACACATGCGTCAAAGGCTCATCTTGATACCATGCCATCGGTTCTTCGCAACGCATTCTTCCCTCCTTCTGTGAAAGCAGAAAGGTTCGTCAAGGGAAAGGTTGTAAAAGGGAGAAATGAACCCATAGCAATCGGTGGTGTAGCTTGGGTCATGCATCGCCTTCTTCAAGTTCCCTACAAAACTCTGGTAGACACGACCTGGGACAACACCGTGAGGACCTTCGGGCTCTCAGAACTCGTGGATGAGACCCCGACGATACCTGGTGCAGATTAATTCCTGGGTTCGATATAGATTGGTGATCATGTTATCCTATCTCAAATAAAACGCGTCGCGATCGAGAAGTGGCAGCTTAGGGGCTTTCCTTCCCGTTTAGGAGTGAAATCGCCCTAAAAGACAAGTGCCAAGCCGGCGCAAACAGTTTGACGCGCAGAGCGTCGGGGTTGTACGACTTGTACCAAAACCATCATAGCGCCTGTGACCGGCGTTGTCGGCAGGCCCATCTATTGCCAGCAAATCCCTCCTCGCTTTCACCTAGCCTAACGACCTATACGACCTTTACGATGCCTTCATTAGAAGTAGATGACGATCTCCGCAACACTCTTTCTTTCGGGTTCGCGATAGCCGGGTTGGTCTGGTACTCCGTGTTGTGGTGTATAGGCCTATTGGGTGCCGTGGCAGCGTACGGAAGGTCTTCTAATCTGATCGTATGAGGTTCTGAACCACCCCCTCAGATACCGCAGATACCGCAATCGCCCGATATATGTCGACTATACGCCCGCAAGGGAAGCGCCCGGTGTATCGATCTTGCGGCCCTTGAAGGGACTTGACCCCAACCTCTACACGAACCTGGAATCCACCTTCCGACAAAATTACCCAAACTTTGAAATTCTCTTCTCTGTCGCTGATGCAAAGGACCAAGCCATTCCGGTCGTCCAGGAGCTGCTGCAGCTCTACCCGGACGTCAAGGCTCAAATCGTAGTTGGTAAGTTGTCGTGCCGTTCGGCTTCGCTATATTGGAGTTAAAAATATTCATTACAGGCGAGGAGGTTGTGGGGGTGAATCCCAAGGTTAACAACCTCGTGCGGCCGTATCGAATGGCAGCCCACGATATCGTCTGGGTACTCGATTCCAATGTCTCCACCGACCCTGGTACCCTTTCCCGAGCTGTCGAAGCACTCACATCTCCCCGAAATACTTCCAAACGCCGAATAGGCGTGGTGCACCACATCCCGTTTGTCGAATCGACCACAGCGTATTGGGGCTCCCGCATAGAGGCCGCCTTCCTAAACACATTCCACGCAAAGATGTACATCGCTATTAACACCGTCGCCATTGAATCTTGCGTTGTCGGCAAATCAAACCTCTATCGACGGTCGGACGTAGATCGTGTCAATGGGACTTTAAAGCCTATTGATCCCATGGACCTCGACGAAGGACGAGTGAAGAGAGGGTTCCCGTCGTTTGGACGGTTCTTGGCAGAAGACAACATGATTGCCAGCGCTCTATGGCACGAACTTGGACTACGACACGACCTCTCGACGGATGTTGCTTACAACGTCGTTGGGAACATGACGATCTGGGATTATGTTTGGAGACGAGTTCGATGGCTTCGCGTTCGCAAGCGAATGGTTCTGGCAGCGAACCTGGTGGAGCCATTCACCGAGTCCATCATGCTCTCCATCATTGGCAGTTCCAGTGGCAAGTATCTGTTCGGGATCCCAAGGGTGTTATTCATGGCTGTACACTTTGTCCTATGGTTTCTTGTGGACATCAGTGTCTACAAGTCACTGGCAGATCGGGTACCCGTTGTGATTGATCGATATTTTGTCGTGGCTTGGCTATTGAGGGAGGTGGCGAGTCTTCCAATCTGGATCTTTGGATTCTTCGGAAATACAGTCGTGTGGAGGGGTCAACGGTATCGGATGCTTCGCAATGGAGAGGTAGCGTTGGCTTCGAGCAAATAGATAATATATAAGGATTGGAGTGACTAGTAGATTATTATATGCGATGCTATGTGAGGAGTACATATTAGTAGCGGGGTAAGTGAGATAAGTAAAGCGTCTGTCAAGATTAAAGAAGTGACTAGGGTAAGTTCTGTGTGTGTGTGTGAACGAATGAATGAGTAAGTGGGTAAGTAAGAAAACGTCTGATGATATCTGCACTGTCCATGAAGAATAAGTGTCCGGAAGCGCTTCAGGAATCGTTTGAGACGAGTCGTAAATCCATTAAAACCTTGTAGTCGTATATCATGATGACCTCCTCAAAGAAGGCATCCGACCATTCAGGACACCACTGCTGAAGTGCCATGGGACGGAGTCGTACTTTGTCACCCTCCTTTGTCTGTGTTCGTATGCTGCGACCCTCCTTGTTCTTCTGTCGCTCGTTGGAGAACCAGTTCTTGACTTGCTTGAAAGCGCTAGCGGGCGGGCATAAGACGCGCATACGGGGGGCAAGTGGTATGCATAAGGGACTCACCGACGGATGACGATAGCCAGGAGCACCATCCAGGACTCTGGAGGGTACATGGTGATCTGGTCGTAAACCATGCGCAGAACAAGGAGCTGGTGGTCGTTGACCGGGGAATTGTCGAGAGACTTGATCCTCATAGCCCTCTCCATGAGCATCTGCCTGCGTGCGCGCATCTGCTGCTTGAACTTGATTTGAGAGAGATGGTCTGGCGAATGTCTCTTTGCGGTCTTTCTGCGAGTTGGGGAGGGCGAGGACACGTCAGAACTGGTATGGCTTGAGTTGGAGGAGGTTGAATGGCGCAGTGGCTGCATTTGTGGTGGTTGGAGTATGTGGTCTGGAGCGGTGCATGGGATGTGGAGGTCCATGCTACTGGCTGAAGACTGCCAGGAGTCTGCAGGGGATGAGGGTGCCGGGGGCGGAGAAGGGGAGCAAGGGGGTGAGGTTGGTGGATGTACGGTGTCACAGGCAACCTGGGCAAGAAAGTGAAGAGGACTGTGTACAGAAGTCATTACAGCGTCGTTAGAAGAGACAAACGAAAAGAAAGAGGGAGAGATAAACGAAGGACGACGGCTCTGAGCCTGGCAGAGTCGTGGCGAGACAGAAAAGTGCAAGAAGAGAACGGTCGAATTGGACTCTGTGAAACCCTGCGTCTATATACCGCACCCATCAATCTCAAGACGATTGTCACAGAACTGATCCCTTGTTCTTCGGCACTTGCCGTCACTTTATTATTGTCGTCCTTATTTCCCCTCTTCAAACTAAGTATATTCTACAAAACGTAGCCATGGTAGCAGCAATGTATACTACACCGACGATATGAGTCCAATTCCACATCAATATTGCCCTTCGGACCCAATCATTTATATTATTATAAACATCCCCATCACTTCCGCCCCTCGCCCCTGCGCCCTGCCCCTCGCTCGACCTGTCCACCATGTCCGACATAGAATCCCAGAGGCAGCAGATCATATCCTCTGTTTTTGCCAGGCGCAATGCAAACGGTTCAGACGAAACTTATGTCTGCCATCTCAAGATCTGGGAGGACGCAGGCGACGCAGGAGGACGCAAACCTCGCTACATACTCTTATCACGTATGTCCCCTGCTGTCGCCCTATGAATCTACAATGAACATGTCATTAGAATCAAACAGCGAGGGTGGCTTTATGCACAAGTCTAAACTCAACGCAAACGGTACCTTTTCGGTAGGCAAAACCTGGCGGGTCCGAGAGCTGCGTGCTCTCCAGGTGGTCAACGTACGTCGTCTTATATATTCACTCTGTTTCAAGTCCTATCTGAATGAACGACGCCTAGCCACTCTCGCTTAATATCACACTTTCACGCAGATATACATGGGACACTGAAAGTAGAGAAGAGCAAGCGCAGTTCCTCGAAGCACTCGTCAGACTGTTTCGGACTACAGTTGGTCCCGCAGCGCCTCTCCACTTGGAGGGCGTAAATGACTATGAATCCCAAGGTCCGCTCAGCACGCATCCCAATTTACATTTCCTAACATGGACCTAGATGCCCGGCAATACCAGAGGAGCGCAGGCCCATCGACGTCTTCGGCCACACTTGCTTCTTCGAGCAGCCAATTTACCACTAGGAATAGTGACTATGAAACCGCTAGAACCAACCCTTCTCCAGCTCGATCAAACATCCGTAATGGCACTCCCTCCAACCAACAGTCGCTCCAGCCGCCAGAGGCCAGAGAACGCACAATATCTGCACGTTCCCGCGACGGTGGCCGAAATCGTCCACCCTCGATCACCGTACCTCCTCTCGCCCCTGCTCCCACCCCTCCGAGGCAAACGCGGAGACCGTCCAACGCGGCTTCTACCCACAGTCAAACCACTTCACAGATTTCCCAAGCCTCGCAACCACGACCCCAAGCCGTTTCCAGCACATTCTCCAGGGATTCGCGCGCCAGTGGAAGCACTCGTGAGGCGACTTATTCCCAGATTTCTCAGTCATCAGACACCATCCCACCACGATCGAGTGATGCTTCCCCGGTTCCTTCCCAACCCACAAGAAAATATACCGCACGTTCTGAAGCATTTCCAGTCGAAAACACACCGTCACGTCGTGATCAGAACGTCCGAATCTCTTACTTTGATCCCACAAACCAAGCATCGCTAGATCGTCTCCTTGCTCAAAACACCGACAGTCAGATCGATATTGATGGCGAGGAAGAGAGTGCTCGAGCTACACTAACCAATGTCGAGGAGATGATTGAAGGTTATGAGTGGGCCAGCGACGATGTGATCGGTCGGAAGTCCACTCGAGGTGCTGTAGATTTGATCCAGGCGAGACTTTTGGACGAGTTGACCGCCCTCGAGAAGGTTGGCGCTCCCTTGATTGTCCGCTTTTGTTAATTGGCACTCAATCATATCTAGGCCAACGTGCACTCCTTCCTCGAAAGTGATGATCGAATCGGTATCGTTATGAAGTTTCTGGATGAGGCAATTACGGAGCTCGACAATATGGACAGCCTGATTTCCTCTTACAAAATTCACCTGAATGTACGTGTGGATTCCTGTTTCAAGTTTCTGACCCGCCGTGTTCATAATCGTCATTTAGGCTGTCAGCGAAGACATCCTCTTCATCCAATCTCAGAACAGAGGTTTGCAAGTTCAGACTCAGAACCAACGCGCTCTCCTGCAAGAGATTCAGAATCTCCTAGTACGTTTCGTGCCTTGTGTGAAAAGCATGTCGTTGACCTCTTGTTAGCGCACAGTTCATGTCGATCAAGACGCGTTGATAACCCTTACGCAAGGATCCCTCGAAAAGGCACAAAGTATACAACGATTGGAAGAAGCTGCGGCCGAGCTTTACAAGGCTTTGCAAGCTGGAAGAGACACTGGTACGTTCCGAAGATACATGCGGGATCCCACCGATTCTTACCGTGTCCGTTCTTAGACATGGCTGCCACTATGGAGCGATTGCAAGAATACCGAACACATAACGCTCAGTTCTGCAAGCGCATGTTTGACTTCTTGACCATCATGTTCACAGCCCAGGTGAGTCGATAACTGGCTTCATATGCAAACACTGATTACATACATTTCGGATCCAGTCCAAGCTACTTATCGGGGACACCAGCGGGTTGTCGAAATCGGCCAGAGGGTATCCACTGTTACTCGAGCACCAGGCTATTGAAGAGTATCTTGGCCGCTATGCTGGGCTGATGCTGTACCTCAAAGAGATGGACGAGAGTGTCTATGCCAAATTGTGTGCAGTCAGTGCATTGACAGAGACGCTATCTATTGCCCGCTGATCATAATCATAGTCATATTTTTCAACAGTCAGTGAACTGCATCAAACGCAGATCACTGGTCTTTTGTCGGCCTACCTCGGGTTGATCAAAAAGGCTCAGGACGACGAGCAAGATGCCAGTCAGTGTCACTTTTGTCGTTTCCAGGTCCTTTTGCTAATCATAGGGATAGGCGGGTTTGCAGGAAGTGGTCCTCCACTTTCGAAGAGTGCTGCTGGTATGAGGCGAGCAGGAACCATTCTTCGTTCGCCATTGGAGAATCGACGAGACAAAGAAAAGCCGGTGGATGGCGAGCTCCGCGCTTCTGTCGTACGTGTTTAGTCTGCTCTTCCAACGCCACACCTCAGGTCGACCTAATTTCGTCGCATCTTCCTAGGCATTCGACCTAGCTCTGGAACAGATTCAGGCAGCGGTATACCGCGAATTTGACTTTATTACCGACTTCTTGCAGATCAATGATGCTGGCCTCACGTTTGCGGATTACATGGGACTTGACAGCTACTTTCGACGACAGGCGGCTCGAGCAGCTGGTCTAAGCCAGACTACGCTAAAGCTGATTCGGAATGCGATGGATCTGATTTTTGGTTTCTTGCCTGCCGAGTTGAAGACGTGGCTGGATAATGCAATTGCTAAAGATAACATGTATGTCTTTTTTCTCATGTCGTTCGCCCGGCTCGTTTAGTCTGATTGGTCTCGTCCGATACCGCCTTTAGCGAGATTGTTGGGATTCTCGTGACGCTTGAGCGGTACTTCGCTTCTGCGGAACAGAAGAACACCAATTTCTTGCTGAATCTTTTGGACAAGCAGCAAACGCGACTCAAGACGGCATTCGAGCGGCATATTGTAGGTCTTTTTTCTCCATGTTCGAACCGGCTTGATGTACTCATTCCTCCGCAGAGCGATCAATTGAAGGGCATTGAGCAGACCAGGCTGGTCGGCAAGAAGCGCAGAGGGGTTACCCATTTCATCAAGTACTTCTCTTCATATGTGACTCGGGTGGAAAACCAGCTTGGTGGTGCCGAAGGTTTCGAGATCCGAACATTGGTTGACTCTGGTTATGAAAAGATTGTTCAGGCCATGTTTGAGTCACTAAAGCAGCTCGCCAAATTGGAAGGCGAGGGGGAAGACAAGGGTCAGCTGAACTATCATATCATCATGATTGGTACGCAGCCTTTTTTTCGAATTCGATATCTATGATAGCAGTGCTGACACAGACTCGACAGAAAACATGCATCACTTCGTGACGGAAATATCCAAGATGGAGCTCGGGGCGACTCGAAACTTTGCGCAACGTGCCCAGTCTATTTACGACGAAAACCTCAATGCATATATCAAGGTACTTATGCGCAGACCACTGGCGAAGCTAGTTGTGAGTAATCACGCAAGTCTAAAGGCGATAGAGCTTAACCTTGTCCTAGGACTTCTTCGATGCAGTGGAACGTGTTGGTCAAGACCCAGGTGCCCTCGCGGCCAACAGCAACTACAGCAAATCCTCGCTTAAGAAAGTCGTGAAGGAGTTCAATGCGAAGGATATGCGGAAGCACATTGACGGCATGTTTAAGCGCGTCGAGAAACACTTTACGGAGGATGGGACTGAGGAGATGGTGGCCATCGTGTGGAAGGCATGCGAACAAGGACTAGTGAACATGACCGGGCGCATCGGAGGACTCATTTCGCAACACTACGGCGACAGCGGGGTCACTTTGGAGTTTACCAAAACGGACATTGAGTCGGCTTGCAGAAAGCAACTTTGAAACATTGAAAAGACATTTTGTCTAGTATGGACACTGTATTATAGTGCTTTCGAATTTTTGGAACAATGAACACTATGTATGCACCCAACAGGAGGCGAGATTTACTGACTGGGAGTAAAGTGGTGGGGGACAGGGAAAGGAGGAGTAGGAGTTTTGAGTTCAGCCGAAGGGCTGGAGGCATTAGAAGCACCAGAGTGGCGGGGCGTCAAATTAGGGGTAGTGGCTGGGTGTTGGGTTGCTCCGGTGGCCGTGGCGGCAGAACGCTGCTGCTGCTGCAAGGCACCGAGCAAGGAACCTCCATAAGTCTGCCAGAGACTTGCAGCGGTTTGCAAAGGGTTGGCACCCTGCTGCGGCTGACCGCTGTGCCCCTGAGTGTTTCCTTGTTTGTTCAAAGCGTTCGCAGCGAGGGTCAAAAGATCAGTGAGTTTCTGTTGAATGAAACCAAATGCGTTTCGCTGCAAGGCGACAATTCCGTCATCAAGGGCGGCCTCGTTCTTGGCCAAGAATGGGCGGAGATAGTTTTGATAAATGTAGGTGGAGCCCTTGGGGACAAGATTTCAATTTGTGTGCGCTGGAGTTGACCAGAAATAGGCTAACCTCTGTTTGCGGGAGCGCGAGGTAAAGCAGGAACAGGGTCTTGCATTCCCAATAAAACGGGAACCTGGAAGCGAATTTAATTGAACAATCTGAGTGGTGTGCGCTCAGTGTGGGCGACATACCAGCTAATGAACCATTCCGCGATGTACTCGAAAGCGACAAAAGCCCCTACCACGGACCAATACATGCCCCATCGTTGGACGTCTGGCTCGGACTGCGGGAGACGCGCGAGGGCCTTGTAGGTCGCGAACGACGGCAACAAAAATGCAAACCAGGCGCTGTCTTTTCATGAGCGTTTACTAGAAAGTGTATTGGGCTTGTCTGACCTCACTAAATGGGAGATAAGAGACATAAACATGACTGTAGAAGGGGATGAAAAGCGACAAGCACGGTGGGCGCGGCCATTGGCTGGCGTGGTAAGATAGCAGTCGGGCGGTGCCGAGTACCACATGACCGTTGAGCGCGATCACACGGAGTAGCGCTTCCTTATTTGGCAGGGTGTGATTGGCTCAGTTTGGCCAGAACTGATCTCAGCCTCTCAATCCCATCTTCGCCCCGCATTCTCTTCTTCCGTCTCCCAATGGACGCTGCCAGCCCCTCCAGCCCCGTCGTCAAGAAAGACAACGACGACAGCAACAACAAGGACGAAAAACGCGATGTCAAGCCCGTCGTCAAAACCCTCAATCGCGTTCCCCGTGCGTCTCCCCAGTCTCCCTTTGCCCTAGCCCTACTCACCTCTTTGGCTCGTTAGGTGCTTGCGTAAGTATAACGTCGTCCGGGACGCTTCGCCTGCTAATGCTGTGTAGAATGCTTGCAGGAAACAGAAGATGAGGTGCGAGGGCGCGGAGAATCCTCCGTGTCGTCGTTGCCGAAATACCGGTCTCGAGTGTCTGTTTGAGAAACCTTCTCGCGAAGCCAGTCTTACCGGCGAAGCAGGCTTGGAGTATGTACCCGCGTCTTCCCGCTGTAATGAGGACTCTAATGGTGTTTTGTAGGCGGATGCGGGCACTTGAAGCTCAGGTCGCCGAGATCAAACAAACTCAGCAGACGATATGTGCCACGCTGCAGGATATCCTAGGTTATGTTCGTGCAACAGCACACTCTTCTCGGTCACCTTCTGCCTACCCCCAAAACTATCATCACTCCCCCCCCAACATGAGCTCACCGTCGATGTCAACACCCACCGCAAGCCATCAGCACGTTAACGAGATCCATCATCCATCACCCCCTGGCGGTCTCAATGGGCCTGCATCGCACCCGATCGTACATCCTGCACGACCCACTGCTCGTGCTTCTATGCCAAATATATACCCCTCGTCAAACCAGGTGCCACCCACGGCAGATTTACCGCGGCCTCATGCCTCTCAGCCGCCCTTCTCGAACTTCAATCAGCCTGCGGCCCCGGCTCCTGGTCAGCCGTATTCGGGGAACCAGCAGGCGTCGAACACTGTGTTACCACCGTTCTCTAGCATCAGTATGCCCCCACCATCATCTGGGGCCAATGTTTCCTCGTTAAGGTACCACCAACCCTCCGATCATAAAACAGGGCACCGATATCCTCACCCGTCTCATCCCGGGAACAGCAAACGCCACGCTCCTCCGTCCACGGTTACCAGCGCGGATTCTTCGGATGTTGAAGACGACGACGATGGGGGCCTTCCTGCTTATGGCCTCGTTGCTCCGTGGGAAGTGCTCCGGGGCCTGGCCGATGTCGCAATTGAACGCGCGGCCAAGGTACGCATGGACATCCGAAATCCGTCCTTGGGAAGGAGGTTTGATCCAACCGATTTTCTAGGAGAGTGGCGAATCTAGTGAACCGCATAGCCGCACGAGAAGCCCTTCCCCTGACAGGTCTCGGCCCCAAAAGCGCCGGAAACTGCGTCACCTTCCTGCCCCCACTTTCCACGACGGTCGGTCACCAGAAGTTGTCTTCGTTCCATTAGTGAAAACTAAACTGTTCCACAGTCGTCACCAAAAGTATTTTGCCCGAGGATGAAGCTCGAGAGCTGTTCAAGATGTATGTCACCTGTCACGTTACTTCAGGGACAAGCGCTCACAACTACCTTTTAGCTTCTATGATGGTTGCTCGACATTCCTGTAGGAGTTTTGGAGATATGGTCTGTTCCACTATTAACATTCATTCTAGGCCTGTTTTCGACGTCAATATGGACACGTACGAATCTCTGCACGAACGTTCTCCATTTGCAGTAGATGCTATCTGCATGGTCGCTGCTCGCGTCAGGGACGGCGGAGGTAGGCGTCTTCCTGCGTCACATAGCTTGCAAACTGTTAATTTCGTAATAGGCCAAGCAAGTGAAGTTCATTTGAAGCTCTTAGAGGAAGTTCAAAATATCGCTCGAGCAAGTCTCTTCGCCCCAGTGCTTCGTATGGAAGCTGTTCAAGCCATGAGTGCGTGTCCCCCCTCCCTGTTAGTGGAATCGCCCTGAATTGTCCCTGTAGTTCTGGTATCCGGATGGTCGGACAATGGCTGGTTGAGCGGTGGACATGCCGTTCGTATGGCTATGGAATTGTGTACGTCTCACAGATGTCGAAGACGATTCGCGTGCTTAAATTCTTCTAGCAATGCACAAAGCTTGGCCTCGTTTGCATAAGAGAATCAACCAGGGGAAGACGAGTCGAGAGGACGATAAGGACCTCGTCATCATGTCAAGAATTTGGTTCTGTCTCTATCTTTTCGAGCATCAGTAAGTTTTCAATTACGCGCATTCCCACCCCTTCTAACATCGACCCAGGCTTTCATATGGAACTGGTCGACCTGCAATCATGAAAGACGATGAAAGCATCAGAGATTGTCGAAAGCTACTTAACCACCCTCTTGCCATCGATGACGACATGCGCCTCGTATCCACGGTCGAACTTATCAAGATCCGCGAACGAGTCCATGAAGCCATGTCCCCCCTAGAAGGACCTGTCAAGCTTGATCATTTCGACATCCTGCGCAATGCTGATCGTGAATTCGAGCAATGGTACAGTACCTGGGATAGTGCCTTTTCTCAGAAATGGCCTGGCGCAGGTTAGTAGCTGCCATATTTGATACACGTCCTCTGACTTACCATTTGAGTTAAGCTTTCTACCGTCAAAGTCTTCAAATCCAGCAGCTCCATGCTCAGCTGTTCCACAATGCGACTGCCTTGCGAGGTATCAATGGGCCGGAAGATGTCCAAAAGATACACCCAGCGCAGAAAGATCTTGCCATCAGGTCCATTGCTATTGCTCAGAGAGGCCTTGATATCACTGTGAACTCCCCATCGTATCGAGAAGGAATGAAATATGGTAAGCTCGCTCATCTCCGGTACGAACGTGATCTGAATGTAGCCCCAGCTGTCCACTATACTCATGCAACGGCCACCTTTGCCGCGTCATTCCTGCTGCGGCTAGCTCGCCTGTTGTAAGTCCCCCGCTAAACCATTTACATTGTGTTGTGAATTAATTTGGACAACGAAGCCCCTCGGACTGCAACATTGTGTCCATCCGAGAACAGGTCGATCAACTTGCTACCCTAATGTCTGCCAGTACGTGGCTTTCTATCTTGATTTCTATGAATACTGACACTGTATGACTTCAGTCCCTGGCAAGCGCTATGCTTTAACCTTGCAGTTGATGCTGAAACGGTCCAGAAAGCGAAAGCCTGGATCCACGTCCCGCTCCCCTAATGGCTCCCGGGAGCCTCAACGCAGCTTGTCTATGGTCATCGATCATCAGCCCAACAACCTGCCTCCATCTGCGATGATGCCGCCACCTCAACATCCTCGCAGTAGCGATACTTTCTCGCCGACCTATGAACCCCCTTTCGCCGGTGCTAGCCACTCTGTGACCAATCAACACGTTCCTGTCGTAGCTCATCCCCAGCATCCTCAGCGCCATCCTGCACCTGGCCATCCTCCGCCCGATGCAGATCAGATATGGCAAGGGTTTGAAATGACCGCGCAAGAACAACTACCCGTCTGGATTTCAGACCAGAGCTTAGGCGGCAATTCGTTCTCTCAGCATGGAATGGATGCATTCTTGCTTCCTACCAATTATCTTCCACCAGCTCCGCAAATCTGGTAACCGCAACATCCTATGTGTGGACGTGTATCATCTTTGTGTATCATATCATCTGTCTGAATTCCCCACCTTCTACCTTCGAAATTTTATGCCTTTGATATTTGTATGACTACCCTCATTTGGAAGCAATATACCACATCAGGCCATTTGCATCTGTTCAAATTTCGTCATGGACTAGTGGCTGAAGGGTGTTTTATGCCATTTAAACGTCGGCATTTCCCAGTAGTGAAAGCTCCTGTCCTCGCATTTGATGACGTTCGAGACGATCCTGATAGTACATCGTTTAGGGGCTTGGGCTACAGACTACTAGACAGGAACCCGATAACGTCGGCTGCGACCTCCTGCGACCATCCTCTTCCGTGCTATCTTATTGCACTTTCACACTGATGGCTCTGAACCCCGAACAGTTGACCTTACGCGTTGACGATGAACCCGGCAGCACCGAGGAATTATTGCAAGGTGATGGATATCCAGAGTCGAGGCACAAGCACAAGCTCTCCTGGCCTTCGGACAATCCCATTCCAATGTCCAAGAAACTTGGTCTCAATTCCGGTGCTCCCATTGATATTGAAGGTACGCACACATATTGCTACTTGATTCCCCCCAGACTTTGCGCTCACCTTCGAAGGACAGAGGCAAACAAACGAAGGGAATTTGTCCTGACCTTGACGAAAGCACTTATGACCTTTGGCTCACCATCCCATCGAATAGAATCACAGGTCAAGGCAGCTGCGACAATTATGAGCCTTGAGGCAGGTCAGCTGCTTCACCCTATGTCCCGATATACCAATACACCTGACGGAGAAAAATGAACACGTCCATTCAGACTGCATGTACCTTCCGAACATGGCGATTATCTCCATGCGACTAGGGGAACATCTGGCCATGCGGACGTTCTTCGTCCGGGCGCGAGGCCGAATTGCGCTCACGTCCCTTCAGAAGGTCCACCAAATCTATCGAAATGTGCTGCACGAGAACCTGCCCGCGAGTGCCGGAACACAGGCGCTTAAACGACTCCTCAGGGCGCCTCCAATCTATAGCCTTCCAGTGCGATGCTTCTTGGCCTTTATGAGCGCTTCTGCGATCTGCGGTCTCTCCTTCGGCGGCTCCATCCTGGATATGTGGATCAGTGGCATTTGCGCCTGCGCTTTGCAGTACCTGGGATTGAATGCTGCGAACAAGAGTGCGATGTACGCGAATGTCTACGAGTACGTACAGGGCGCTTGGATGATGTTACGACGGGTTTATCATAAGGACTGTAGGCTGACATGTTTCAAGGATATCTGTGACGATCATCGTTGCGTTTGTTGCGAGAGGCCTGAGTAGCATCCCCGGCGACGTGTTCTGCTACACGGCCATTTCCTCGGCCGGAGTTGTGGTCATATTGCCAGGGTTCACAGTTCGTAAGCAAGCCACCGTCCTAGTTTTAAACCGTTGCAGGATTTGAGCCTATTTATTTTGACGCTGAAGTGATCAGCTCCCTAGAGCTCATGTCCCGCAACATATTCTGTGGCTCCGTTCGTATTGTTTATGCTGTTATTTATACTCTCTTCTTGGTCAGTAAAGGTCTACTCGTGCCCTAATTGACGTTGACACATGAATCGCCGACGTGCAGGGATTTGGCCTTACCATTGGATCGGATCTGTATCTATTAGTGGACCCAAAGGCACGGAATCTCTACTACCACATAAATAACGACGAGCACGGCAACAGCAATAGTAACAGCAACGGCTCAGTGCCCATGACATATCTTCATGGAACCTTCACCATGCTGAATGGAACGAACCCGCTCACCCCTATCGGCGGCGTTCTCGGCATTCATGAAGTGGCAACAAAGGGATCTGAAAGGGTCATCAAAGGTCGCGGAATCCACTCTATTCCAAAACGTTTCTAAAACTTCAGTAGGCTGCGTGAGGGACACCAACTGGGAATGGTGGCGTCAGAACCTACCCTGGTGGACTTTATTCTTGCTGGTTCCAATTTACTCGATCTGTTCGTCACTTTCAAACCTCCAGTACTGGCGCAGTAGGCAACTTTTAGTCATGGTCTTCCTTTCTTGCTCCTCGTATGCTGCCAACCGCGCATCGGGCCTAGTCCTTCCTGGACGTACTGACATCGTTTCCGCTGCTGGCGCTTTCGTACTCGGGTCTCTGGGCAATGTCTATTCTAGGCTCGGACGTGGGACAGCCTTCACCGTCATGGTCACGGGTGTTCTCTTCCTAGTCCCTGTTAGTAATTTGCAGTGTCTTAAACCCTCACGCCTTGCTCTAACAAATTGTGTCCCGATGCAGTCCGGTATAGCGCAAGGCGGCGGTGTAACACAGACTTTCCATACCTCCGAGGAGCAGTATTCCAGTGGTTTTTCGCTCGCTCTTCGGATGATAACACTTTCAGCTGGAGTGACAATTGGCCTGTTCGTCAGTCAATGCCTTGGTAGGTGCAAGCCAAGAGAAATTCGCTAGGTGCTGACGATGTTACTCACTTATAGTCTATTTATTCGGAGCGCCCAAGAATGCAGCACATTTTGCATTTTGAAGCCTTGTGTTTCTCTTTCTTGTAGGGTGACCTTGCCATCATTGTAACCCAGGAAAATTCGAGCATTCTTTGTGGTTTACGATCCCTCGAGCGCTTCTGAGATTCAATCGACATTCAAAGTCAGAGTAGATCCGATCTTCGGCCCGATAATGATGCTGAGCGATCAACAAGACGAAAATGACCTTGGAGGCACAAATGACTGGAAGTTGGAGCGCTCTCCCTTCTACCCTTGTTACCTTACATCGACACTATGGTAAGGAGGTAGCCTGTACCGTTTATATTACAGCTGTTAATGATCTTTTTAGGCCCCGGCTAAAGGCAAAAATCACAACCCAAGTGGTCTGGGAAGGGCAATTATCAACCGAAAGGTTAAAGATGCACAAAGACAACAGCAATCTGGCCTTGTGAGTTTCCCTCAGATTCGCAGAAAGATGGTAATTTTGATCAATGAATTCAGTACTCTGTCGACCTGGACTCAAATCGGTTGAAGTCGGTCACGCAAGAACGGAATCTGGAGGAGTTTTTGAACACAGCCGAACTGGCAGGAACAGATTTCACTGCCGGTGCGTAGTTATCTCATCTATTCGTAGGCATTTATTAACATGGGACATAGAGCGTCGCAATGTTAAGATAATTAACCAAACTGCCCCCACTTCCCAAAATCCCTATCTATTGACTGAGGCGGAGGAAGTAAAACTACTCGAAAAGCAAGAAAAGAATAAGAGTCGCCTTCAAGTACCTCGTCGACCGGCATGGACCAAATCTATGAAACACGAAGAGCTTGACCGAAATGAGAAGGCCGCTTTCTTGCAATGGAGAAGGAATCTAGCACAGTATGTCCTTACCTCGTGGGTGCTTGTCAATCGTCTCACCTCTCGGGCGCAGACTGCAGGAATCGGAAAACTTCCTACTCACTCCCTTCGAACGCAACATTGAAGTTTGGAGACAGCTATGGCGGGTCCTCGAACGATCTCACTTAGTCGTGCAAATTGTCGATGCAAGGAATCCACTGCGGTTCAGGTGTAAAGATTTGGAAGATTATGTTAGAGATGTCGAAGGGAACGAGGGAGAGGCTGGGTCAGGTCCAGGAAAGCGCGAAAGCATGTTGTTGATTAACAAGGCGGATCTACTTACTGCCAAGCAAAGGTAAGTCGTTAATGACAACCCCGAGAGAGACGTTATGAACCCAACCACAGGCTCGAATGGGCAAACTATTTCGACAAGGAAGGAACGAAATACGCTTTTTACTCGGCTGCGACTGCCAACGCTATTCAGGAAGCAAGGCGGGAAGCTGCGGCCGCCCAACTTGCGGCCCAAAACCGGTCTGGCGACGAAAGCTCTTCTGAATCCGAAGCATCAGATGACGAGGACGAAGATGATGACCATTACTTTTCTGCGCCAGAAGATGAAGGCGAGGACGAGGATCCAAGGACGAAGATCCTTACCGTAGATGAATTGGAGAAGTTGTTTTTACGCCTTGCACCTGATTTGCATGGTATGTTCCGTTCTTCTGGAAATCCCACCAACCTGACCATGGCATCCAGAATTCAAGGATGTGACCGGAAAACCCCCGAGTAAGCTCACACTGGGACTGGTTGGATATCCCAACGTCGGCAAATCAAGCACCATCAACTCCCTTCTCGGCCAGAAGAAGGTCAGCGTGTCCGCTACTCCAGGAAAGACGAAGCATTTCCAAACTATCCATCTCTCCGACTCCATCGTCCTTTGCGATTGCCCTGGCCTGGTCTTCCCTCAATTCGCTACAACGAAAGCGGACCTTGTTTGCGATGGTGTCCTTCCCATAGATCAATTGAGAGAGCATACCGGACCAGTTGCTCTAGTGGTCAAGCGAATTCCTAAATCGCTATTGGAGGCTACCTACGGCCTTACGATTAGAACGACACATGCGGAGGACGGTGGTGACGGTTTTGTGAAAGCCGAAGATTTCCTGCAGGCGTATGCCAGTGAGTCCTTCGTTGTCCATTACAGTTACCTCGTGCTCACCCCTCTGCTCTTCCAGTCGCAAGAGGTTTTATGCGTTCAGGTTTTGGAAACCCTGACGAATCTCGTGCCGCTCGATACATCCTCAAGGACTACGTAAAGGGGAAACTGTTGTTTTGCCACCCACCACCAGGTATCGATGAGGACAGGTTCAACGAGGAGACGCACGAGCGACGACTGAAACGTTATGCGACGAAAAAGAAGGCACCTGTAACCCGCGTTGGTAAGAGCGCTGATACCTACATGGCGACGGAAGAGGAAATGGCGGCTGCCTCACAGACCCTTCGGATGGGTCAGAAGTCCCGGGCCATTGATGATGAGTTCTTCCAGTCTCAAAGAGACCGACCTTTCATGGCTGGATCGAAGGGAGGGAAAGCCTTTTCAAGATCGATTCTTTATCCCAACCAAGTCTTAGTCGCTGATGACGGGACCCCGTTATCTGGTGCCCAGGCTCGCATGCAAGTGATGATGCAAGGTATGGAGTTGGGGGGCAAAAAGCACAAAAAGATTCGGAGGGCAAAGCAGCGCAGCGGGAAGGGATATGATTGATTCTGCTGTTCCATTACGTTTTGTTTTTACCTGGCAGGCTCAATTCTATGCGTTCTTTGTTTGCTCGTTGATGGCGCCAGATTTAGCATCGAAGAACCCAATTTTGATCTTGACAGCACGGTGTCTTTCGCTCTTGACCAGGACAATGGCCACCGCCTCTGAATTCCGACCCTCGCAGAGAAAAGATATATGCGCAAAGTTGGTGACGACGCGCAATGGGCGTAAGGAAGGCAAGTGGGATTTGAGCCATCCGAGCGACAGCCATTGTTAAACGCAGCTGTGTAGTGATCAATTTGGGTTTTAATTGCCCAGTGGTCATTGGACGGCACCCTGAGCTGTGGTAAAACTTATTCTCAGACATATATGCGCATATCTGAGCTCCCTTTTCCTAGCACCTACGTGATCAGCGATAGCATTATCTCTGGTGTTCACTGCAAGCTATATGCGTCAGTTTCCGAGAACGACAGTGACCCGGAACTGACTGAAGTCGCAGAGTACCGTCGCCTTCTGGAGGGATCATTGTTTCTTGTCAAGTGAGTTCTATACATTGTCCTTGAAGACATTCTGTTTACTCGTTTCAGGACTTGTCACGCAATGGAGTCGTTTTGAACAGCTATCGGATACGCAAGGCTTCTGTTATTCTTATGGACGGAGACGTCCTTGTACTACCGAATATGCTGGGTCTCAGCTATTCCCTTGCTCTTTCTGGCATCGGTCTAACTTTGTGCAGCATTCACTTGCGTTCATATCATAAAGGGACCTGCGGAGAAGCTGTCTCTATTCGATCCAACACCTCCAAGCCACGCTAGGACGCTTGCGCAGAAGGTCTTTCATCTGTTCCCGAAAGACCTGTGTTGACCCTCTTCAATATTCTGTTGGCTGACTATGGAGCTCTAGAGCATCGGGAACTATGTCGTCATGTCGCAGTGCCTCGGAACGGGGTCCTTCGCCACCGTCCACCTGGCCTTCGATCCTACTCACCACAAGCAAGTAGCTTGCAAAAGCATTCGAACTCGCCGCGAGAATGAAGTTCGTCAAGTTTTGAAGGAAGTAAGGATTCTCATGACATTGAAACATGTAAGACTCCATTCCTATTACTCCGTGTATCTTGTTTTTCATGACGGCCTCTTAGCCTAACATAAACGAGATATACGACACCGAGGAGGACAACGGATTCATGTATGTTTTCGTCTCCCCTCCAGAACTCTGGAATACTCACCCAATTCGTAGTCACATCTTTCTGCAACTTTGTACAGGCGGAGATTTGTTCACCTACATCTCTACCGTGAACCTCAAAGCCGACAGGCCAGGTTTATGCGAAGCAGAGTCCAAGTATATAATGTTTCAACTCTTGACTGGGCTGGCATACCTTCATAAGAAACATATTTCCCATCGAGGTATGCGTGTCCTTCTCACCAGTGTTCGAGGTTGCTCATTTGCCGACTGTGTAGACTTGAAAGTGTGTTACCATCTCCACGTATGAAGCTTGGTTTACAGAATGTTGTTCCAGCCTGAAAACATACTACTGCACGCACCGGGCCCATATCCACGGATACTAATCGCCGACTTTGGTCTCGCTCGGCCCAATGCATATCAAGAGACGCTGAACGTATGTGGGACAGTATCGTACTTGCCTCCAGAAGGTATACTAGCATTAGACAACAAGCACCTGGGATACATTGGGTATGGTCTCTTCCCATTCCAACCCACTGATTCAGACACTTGGTATTCACTGCAACCAGAATGCCCGCAGACTGCTGGAGCGCTGGCGTAATCCTGTACATCATGCTGTGGTAAGCAATGTCCTACATTACTCGCGAAGAAATGTTATGGTTGACTGTCTGGACTATAGCGGAAGCCATCCGTTCGACAATGACGCTACCTACCAGTCATCTTGGGCGGACGATGCGGATTCGTATACAAGTGTGCCGACAGAATCACAGCAATGTCTGGGATCGTTCAGTGAGCACAGACAGGCAAGACTGAAAGCGAGAATCGTGGAAGAGGAGGTCGTCTTCTTACATTGCCCCTGGAGCAACTTACCACAAGGTGGGTTTGAGTGTTCGGGTCATTCAATGAACTGACACCGTCGTTTCAGCCAAGGCATTGGTGCAGAACTTGCTCGTCCATGATTATCGCCGGAGAGCCAACGTCTTCGAGGCACTGGACAGCGAGTGGATGGTATCGGAGATCAGCGACCTTCAGCTACTTTACCGGCGCAAGATCTTGGGCAACAAATGATTGCTTGGAAGGGTCTCTTCAAAAATATAATTATATCGTCACGTATGGAATGTCCTTCTTGATGTGTTACAAATTCATTGGTCTTCATTGTCACGGCCTCATTTCACCTCATTTGCTTGTGTTTCAAGCTTTCAAGAAATTTGCATGGACTATGCAGCTGTCAGAAGTGCAAACACGGAGCGACCGGGTCGGGACTTACAGTGAACATGATCCGTAGCGAAGGTCGAGATCTGGGAAAGAAGATGTTAGAATCTGGGAGAAGGATTTGAGAGAGGGGGCGGCTTACAAAGTAATAACTGTGATCATAATCTTCATGACTTCTTACGCGGACCTGCACTTCGTCATACCCAGCACCCCTAGCGGCCTTGAGGAAGTTCTCTGGGAGAAGTTGCCCTTGCTGGTAAAACTTATCTCCGGTACCCTGTGGACAGGAAAGCGACATTAGTGTAAGTCGAAAAGGCGCTAAACAAAGTACTTGCATAATCAATGAGGATGTGGAGAGGGTCGGTGTGTTTAGCGACGAGCTCGGTGGCGTCATACTTGTCCGCTCCTTCCTGAACGCCGCCTGCGAGATAGCCTTTGAAGGCCTTCTCACCCCAGGGGCACTTGGAGGGATTGGAGATCGGAGCAAATGCAGATGCTGAGCGATACTGCTTAGTCTTAGAGGACAGATATAGGACGAGAGCACCATGGCCTCCCATGCTGTGTCCAAAAACGGATTGCCTAGTGATATCCTGACCAAAGTAGTTCAGTATGAGATGAATCAAGGAGAGACGAGGATGGCACAAGAGAGACTGACGATAGGTAATCCTGCGCTTTCGATGACCTTGGGAAGTTCCTGGGTTATGTGGTCGTACATATTGTAGTGTTTGGCGTATTCGGGTTTGGTGGCATTGAGGTAGAAACCAGCACCGGTGCCGAAGTCCCAGTCATCATCTTCGTTTGGTGCCCCGGCACCCCGAGGAGATGTGTCGGGGAACAGGATGGCGAGTCCCTGCGAGGATGCCGCCCCGAAAAAGCCGCCTTTCTGTGCGCTAAAGGAGGTGGGTTCCGTGATCTTCGTACCTGGAAGGGAAGGAGACCTACCCGTTATCTTCGGTACAGGTGAGACCGGCCAGGTAAACAAGCAAGGGGGCCTTGTGTCCTGGCTTCAAGGCAGGCAGGAAGAGGTTGAAATGGGTGTCCAAACCACCGAGGGCTTCTGACTGGGAGAGAGAGATAGGCTCGATCAGTGAACTTTAGAATTCGGACGAGTTTGGGTTACCTTGAACTTGTACTTGACGAGTTCCCCGGCAAAGGTTTTGGAGGACGAAACTTTTTCGAGAGGGCCAGCCATTGTCACTGTCGTGGAGGTGAGTAGACAAGTTGCAATATCGCGCTTCTGGACGGGGGATTCTTGGGGGATTCAGAAGATCTTCATCACGTGGATATGATATACGAATAGGAGGACTGGCCAAGACTCCAAGACTGAGCTTCCGAGTCATCGTAATACGAGGGGCACCTGGAAAGGAGTTGTACATAAACGAAGCGGTGGAGCCTACGTATGAAAATGCCACTCGGTGCGACATGACCGTCGATGATACAGGTGATCGACCGATCAAAATGCCACAACGTTATGGGCGCGCATGTAACCTAATTCTTCCTTCTTCACCGCCATGGACATGCAGTACCTGTCCTCGCCACCACCATCATTCAATACCGCATCCCCTTATCCTCAGCTCAAGAAGAGAGCCCTTCCAGACCAGCCTCCAGTTGTCTTCAACAGGACTACGGCCCCAAAGCTACCACCAATCAGCAATACAGATCTCGTCCTTCAAATATTCACCCATTCCTCCCTGAGAACGAGGCTGACATGCTCGAGTCTCGACCAGTATGACAATGAGAGACTTTCCTGGCTGGGAAAGCATGTACTAGACTCGGTGGTAACAGAGTTACTGTTCGACACCAGACCGATGCTGAGAGCTGGTGAGATAGTGGTGAGTGCCACACTCGATTGCCCGGATTCACTGTAGTTCAACCAGCTCTAGGAGAGGAAGGAGGAACTATTGTGCGATGACCTCTTCGAGGAGTGGGTAACACACTATGGACTGCTCAGGAAACTTCGCTACGACCCCGTTCTGCGCGAGTCATCAGGAATCACCAAGCCCCAGGTAACCATCGTTCCTTGCGCAGTCCTCTACTTGTGCTGACCATCTGCTTGTTAGGAAACTCGCGATATATTCTACGCTTATACTGCAGGCGTTTACTTAGATTCAGGTGCACCTGTTGTACGGGAATGGATTCAGACATTACTTGGCCAGAACCTGAACATTCCCAACAGGGACAAGTTGGGTCAATCTTCAAGCCCTATGCACGTTGAAGAGGGTCCGATGTCCCCTCCGCGACAAGCGTTGACTCCACCTCCTACGAAGAAAGTGAAGGCCGAAACCATGAGCCCTGGTCCTGAAACTATCTTTTTTGGTTCTCAGCCTGGTCCCCCTGCTCCAGCTTTTAAACCGCCACCGCCACCACCTGTGAGCAGTCCACCTGCAATGCAACAGGTGTCTCGTGCTAGTATGAGCTCGCACGGAACTCGCCCAAATCCTTTGGCGCCCGCTCGGCCGAACCTACCATTCCTTCCTCTGTTTAATCAAACTGCAGCACAAAGGCGGGTATCGGTGGAGTACGACGCACAATTCAGCGGTCCTTCGCATGCAGGAACGTGGCTTGTGCGCTGTATTGGTGTGTGATACAGTTGCATAAGCGCCGAAGTATATTCTGACCAAGCTGTTACACCAGTGAATGGGATTCCTAAAGGAGAGGGAACAGGAAGCAGCAAACAAAATGCCAAGGAGGAAGCTGCCCGACAGGCTTACTATGCGATGGGTTGGACTTGAGACACTTAGGAACTTTTATCCATCTGTATCTCGTATTCCGCACCAAATTTCAAATCTGTTTGATAACGGTCAAATGGGCGACTCAGTCGTTCCCGAATCTCAAAGTCCAGTCAGTGATGATGACTTATGATTACTAATGAATCAAATCGCCGTTATGGACTTGCGCTTTCCGCTCGGCTTGACTTCTAATTTCGCCCTCGACGCTTGCGACCCTCTCGTCGTTGTCCACGACCGCCTCAGTGTCGCCAACAATGTCCGCCGTTCTCCAAGAACAACGACAGCCCTTCAACAACGTCCCTTTGTCCCCGCGTCCTGCTTTCACTTCATCGAACCACATTGATCTCACCGCCGACGATGACGATGAGATTTCGGACACCACAACCTCTGAACGCGACATTGGACGACTGTCGAAGAGGCCACGTATAGAGCAACCCCAGCAATCTTCGAATAACCAGTCTTCTTCCGCACAATCTCGTTTTACACCGCGTACAGGTCCTGGCGCTTTTCCATCGGGACCGAGCTACTTTGGTGCAAATCCCCCCATGGCCCATCTCCCGGCACCCAACCAAGGATTCAACCACAATGAGTATCGCCCCGCATTTGCAGGCCCATCCTCAGCTAACCATTTTGGACTGCGCCAACAACACCAGTCGTCGCCGAACGGTTTGCCTGGCCCTTCGACGGCGCCTTTTCGGCCTCAAGTACAAGGGCGTCAACCTCCGCCAACCCATATACACAGCAGACAAGTCATTGATCTCACAGCATCGCCATCGCCTCCACCGCATCAAGTCAGACAATCGCAGGAACTGCAGACTGGAGGAAGCAGCTGCGGACTCCCTCCAGATTTGCCGCCGAAAACACCGGTTTGCATTGGCCAACTCACAGTTACGGCGCTTATCTTGTACCCCGTTCCATACATCGTCCCACAGGACCATAACTCGGATAATGAATATGCTCCTGTTCGACTTCAGTATGAGCATGCCGCAAACAAACCAGGCGGTTCCGAAACCATCCACATACGCACACCCACTAGCCGCACGCCCAACGGGGAGCCCACTGGCGGTGAAGGTTTTGGAGTTGTCGAACAAAAGGTTGCTACTTCTCTTGGCCCAATGCTAGGCAAGGGTCTTATCCGACTCGACGCCAAAATACGCAAAGGCCGTCCTAATGTAAGTATGCGCAACTCCGAGTGCCAATGTTCCAGGTCGCTTATCTATCTTTAGCTTCCCATCTTGCCCTTACAAATGTTGGTGTACACACCGAAGGGAAATATCCCTGTTGTAGGGAACTTTTTGCAACAATGTGGCTTGCTCCTTGATCACCCTTCGCCGACATTTGACATCAAGATTATCTCGCATTACCACTACTTCAATCCGCACAACCCCCCTCCTGGCGGGCACGCTAGTCGGGGCATACACCGTGACATGCGGTGGACCACTCCTTCCAACCCCGGAAAGAGTGTAGAGGTTCAAAGGAGTCAAGTAGACGAATTGTTCAAGAACCTGAAAGATGGAGAAGAACTAGCAGAGACGGAAGCATGTAGGTGTTCTGTATCGGTCCTAGCTGAACACGCGTATCTCATTATCATCTAGCGCCGGATGTTGCCACGAAGCTATACCCTCATCAGAAGAAGGCTTTGACCTTTTTGTTGGAAAGAGAACGCGAGCGTTGCAACTCGGACGGTACATATTCTTCCCTGTGGCAGAAGCGGATGCACCCGATAACCCGTCGGGTCTCGTGGTATCACCCCGTTACATCACAAGAGGTTTTCGAAGAACCTCGAGAATCGAAAGGGGCTATTCTGGCAGACGATGTAGGTTTTCGCAATTTCTAGCGTTGATTCGCTTTGCTCATCCTCGTTAGATGGGCCTTGGTAAAACGATCACCTGTGTGTCTCTCATTGCTGCAACTCTACCCTCTGCTCGCAATTTCGCCACCACCCCGTTGGAACGACCGCCGCCACTCCCGGGACGTGATGTCGAAATGTTGGATCCTTCCCATTTTGCTGGGAGCGTTTGGGGAATGCCCGAGGTCAACCAGAGCGCGTCATCAAACAAGGGGAAGGCGTCAAAAGCGCAAGACAAGATGGAATCCGACTACGTCCGTATCTGCCGCATCAAGGCAAAAAGCAGAGCCACTCTTATCATTTGCCCGCTGTCTACTGTGGCAAACTGGGAAGATCAATTCCGTGAACATTGGAAAGGAGAAGTCACCGTCGTCGGCGGAAATGGAGGCTGCCCTCCGCAATCGAATGGCCACCAGTCTTGCCCAGCTGAGAAGTCGGAAGCTAAGCCGGCCCGGGTACGCGAGGGCACCCCTTTGCGCGTCTACATCTACCACGGAAACGCCCGCCGCCCCGACCCTGCTTTTCTTGCAGACTTTGACGCAGTCATCACCACGTACGCAACTCTGGCGTCCGAGTTCTCCAAGCAAACCCGCAGCACAGCTGTCAACGAAGACGACGAAGAAGACAGTAGTGATGTTGGACCAACGGAGGTCGACGAGAGGGGGAATGCAGTCATCAAGCTTGGGAAAGCAAAAAAGGGTAAAAAACGGAAGAAAACATCGGTCCTTGCCAACGTTGCCAACGAAGTGTCGAGCCCACTGCAAAGTATTCATTGGTTCAGGGTCGTCCTTGACGAAGCTCAGTAAGTAATTCTGTACATCAGCGTATTTGGCACATACTTATGTCCCCAGCTCGATCAAGGAGATTAGTACCGTTGGAAGTAGGGCGTCTTGCGACCTAATGGCGGACAGGCGCCTGTGCCTAACAGGAACTCCAGTGCAAAACAAGCTGGATGATGTGTTCGCACTTATCAAGTTCTTGCGTCTTTCTCCTCTTGACGACAAGAATGTTTGGACAGAACACGTTGGAACGCCCGTCAAGTATGGCCATGCCCTCGGTATCGCCCGTCTACAAAGCATCATGAAGTGCATTACCCTTCGGCGGACAAAGGAGAGTAAAACAGCAGATGGGAAGAAAATCCTTTCATTGCCCCCTCGGCGCGACGAGTTGCGGCTCCTCAAGTTCGATGCTCAGGAACAGGAGATATATGATCGCTTCTTCACAGAGTCGAAGGCGGAATTTAACGACCTTTCTAACAAGAACGAGATCATGAAGAATTACGTCGGTATTCTGCAAAAGATCCTTCGACTTCGCCAAATCTGCGATCACTTCGAGCTTGTTGAAGGCAAGGAACCCGGCGGACAATCCACGGAGCCGTCACTGAAATACGAGGACGTCGTCGATGCCATAACGAAGGAAGGCTTCACCGCTGCACGCGCCAACGCTATCTTCTCCATCTTGCGAGACTCGGCAACCACTCAATGCGTAGAGTGCGGAGGAGAGCTCTCACCTCCATTGGACCAGGCTGACTGCCCTGATGCTGAAGCGACTCCCTCCAAACCCAGGGGTCGCAAGCCGAAGGCGGCCCAATCAGCTTCCTCATCCAGGGGACCGACGAGAGCGAGCAGCCCCGTAGTGCCGCGCATTGTGTTGACCAAATGTCAGCATCTGTTCTGCATCGAATGCTATCGAAACTCAATTTGTCCGGGTTGGCCCAGTCCTTCCTCCGACGCCTGCCGCTCGTGCTCCGTCTGCCAAACTGCCCTTAGTCCTACGGACGCCATCGAAATCAAATGCGACACTCTTGAGAAGAAAAAGCCTCAGAAGAAGGAGAAGCGTCAGAAGGGCGTAGCATTGGAAAACTTCAGACCATCGACCAAAGTCAAGGCTCTCATTTCCGATCTGATCCAGTTCTCAAGGATGAACCCTCATTCAGCCAACTACGACAACGAAATCCAACTGACCGACAACCAAGGGAATCACGTAGAAGCCGATATTGTCAAAACCGTTGTTTTGTGAGTAAAATTGTCGCCTTGTAGTATTGTTTTTCACTCACGTTTGGACAATGTAGCTCGCAATGGACGACCATGCTTGACAAGGTGGAGGACGCGCTAGAGGTTGCAGGAATACGCTATGATCGACTGGACGGCACGATGAAGCGCGAGGAGCGCATCAAAGCTATGGACGCTTTGAAGTTCGACCCCGGCTGTGAGGTCCTTCTTGTTAGTTTGAAGGCGGGAGGTGTTGGCCTCAATTTGACCGCTGCCCAACGAGTTTATTTGATGGATCCCTATTGGTACGCAGATAGTCGGCGCCATCACTCTCTACCCTTACTGACGGATACATTTTCTCTCTTAGGAATCCTGCCGTTGAAAATCAAGCTGTTGATCGTATTGTACGTTTGGAAAGCATTTGTACTTGGGATGAATCTAACATTCTGTTAGCATCGACTTGGCCAAACCCGACCAGTTCAAACAGTGAAGCTGATCATCGAAGGCTCCATCGAGGCGCGACTACTTGAGGTGCAGAAGAAGAAGACAGAACTCGCGAACATGACTCTCGGCCAGAACGTCAGCAAGTCTGAGATACTGGCCAGGCGTATTGAGGAACTCAGTCAACTGTTCAACGACGGGTAAATTATTTAGAACACGGAATCCGGTTTTATATTTAGAGCCTGTATAACTACCCATACCACCGCCCTCCTAAACCCTCCCTATCGTAAATCACACATTACATAGTATCTGTAACCTGTAGTACCCCTCAACTTGTATGTACCCCTTCAACCTATTCGGAAATTGATTCCACGCGAATGCGTAGGCTCGGTGTCTATGTAGGGTGCCGTCGCGCGGGAGCTCTGACGCGAACTTGTCTCATGCCACCAACACCAACACCTCTTCAGACCCCTTCTCAGATATTCTCGCTCTATCGTACTTGTCTGAGGGAAATCCGACAATTACCTCATGTCTATTTGCAGTAGGCAGCTGTCTAATGTCACGATTAACTGTTGCTGAAGTTGGTGAAGACAGTTTTACAGAATAAAGGCGCGAGATGACATTAAGAGGATATTGAGTTGTCGTCGACCGCAAATCCACAACCGGAGGTTCAAACAGATGCAAAAGGTACCTTGGACTCTCCTCTCCTCTACACTTGTTTGCTCATTGCTGCAGGAAGTGAGGAACTTGGAGAAAGCTAACAGTGGACAAGTCGGAGCGTTCCAGCATGTCCTTGGTGTCGCATACGGTCGGAAGGGTAAATTGAAATGGGAGTTGCTAGAGGTAAACACTTCCACATAGACATTGGAAAAATTGACCAACTCCCTATTCACAGCCTCTCGCAGACCAAACATCTCTCCCAACTCCACCTCCAATTATTCCCGGGGTAGAAAAGTCTCGACCTCCAGTTTATAGCCCGGCGTTGACAGCACTCTTGACCAGTCCCGATGCAAGGAAAGCTCGTCGGGCCATGAGACAAGGCGCGTGGAAGGCATCGAATGTTCTTCCGCCTCGTGCAGACCCAGAATCCGAGCTCGCTCGCCTTTTGGGCCCATTCAGCAAGCGGCGGGAAGTCAACCTCCAGCAGCGGTTCTTCAAAAAGGCATGGTCCACAGTTCATCCACCCCTGGAGGTCCAGGCGGAAGCCGAATCAGGCTGTTCGCCCCGGCCTTCGACAGTCCAAGACTTTGGCTTAGTAGACCACATTGAATCTATCATCGGGTCTGCTCCCCCACCTCCGTTGACACGAAAAGAAATGGCGCAATTGCAGACAACACCTTCAGAAAACCAGAATCAGTCACAACGACACCCTTCCTTATGGGTTCGACGACGATACCGTGAATTGTTGACTCGCTTGCCACTTCTGAAACCAGAACTACCGTCTCCAACGAACTCGACTAACACTATAGACGCTCAACCGACCCGGTACACGGCTGGTTTGTCCCCGTATGCCATGGGAGCCAAGGTGCCCCCAACAATGCGACAAATTGATGAAGCGAGTCTAGCATGGTTACAACAAGCAGACCTCACCAGCACCAGTAAAAAGAAGCAAAAATAACAATACAATACGGGTAGTGAACGACAGCGAAACCAAATGTCAAACAGCACTAGATTAGGGTATGTATGTCTGGACTAATGGAAGGTGCGATTCGTGCGCTATGAACCTTGAATCTCCATGCCGTGCAATTCAATGATATACATGCTGTAGTTCCTGTCTGCAGCCTTGGGCGCATTTTCACCGGGCTCGCCTGGCACGACGCCACATTGGAGGTTGAGCATGGTTTGGTATTCGTCAAAGCTGAAAAGCTGTTGCTTTTTGATGCCGTTCAACATTTCCTGCATCCATGTCAATTACTGGTTCGAGATACAGAGAAGAATACTCACCTGTGGAGAAATCCAGAACATCGAGTAGTAGCGTTTGGCACGTTCGAAGTCTGCATCTTGCTGATCGCTGTTGAGCGTCTTGATACTCTGTTGCAGCGCTGAAATGTTGCGCAGGACCTTCTTGATGCCGAAGTCGTTGGGTAGATGAAGATGCCTAGCGTTATGGATCATCATATGCTCCATTAACTGACCGAGCCCCGCGAACACAAATCTAAAAACAGTGTCGAGGTGAGCTGCATCAAGAGACGGTTAGAACCGACGCACTGTCTCGCTTTCTTAGGCAAGCTGATCGAAAGCAGTTCGTCGCATTGCACGAGTTCCGTGTTCAGGTCGACGATGTGGGAGTCAGGTTCAGCCGCTTCATATGAAGCACTATAGTTCCCCTGCATAGTTCATCAGTAGTCTAAAGATGTGCAGATTCATACAGACGCTCACATGTCTCATGCACGAGTCCAAGTAGTAAAGCGTACGACACCGGATCTCGATGCGAAGAGTGTCCAAGATGAGACTGGATAGCTGGTCATATGTTCTCAGAAGAGCTTGGAATCGTCTGTACCGATGTCAAGATGGGCAAGCACGGAAAGGTGGATATGTCGCTCACAGTGCCATCTCTTTCGACAGAGCAAGTTTGAGGTCTGCATCGTCCGTCGGTGGAGGGGGCAAGAAAGGTGTGACAGCTGTCGCTGCAGTCATAGGCTCTAAGGTGCCAGGACTCATTGGGGACAGAACATCTTCCGGTCGCGCCTTTAAGCTGTTCAATTCCGCTGTAAACCAAGCCTAACGAACTGGTCGGCGACGAGTTGTAGAAACAGGGAATAAAACATACGACGCTCCGGTAAAGGCTGGCCAGTGCCGAAAGGTTTCTGTTGGATGAGATCAGGTCTGCCTTGGTGATAGTCTTCTGTCTCATTAGCTCCAACTCAATGTTGGTTTCCTGCTTGCACAATTGTTGCTGCGTGGAAGCAAAGGCTTCCTATACCAGAACATCAGATATCGTTAGCTTTTGATAGGTAAATGCGACCTACGTCGGTGTTTCGGAGTTCAGATAGAGGCGGCTGCAGTTCCGACCTTTGGGCCCACTGAGCAGACAGTGCAACATCGGTCCCATTTGTTGTGGTTGTCAACATTTGGAATCGATCGCTACATCGTTGATAGAATTGGATCACCACACCGAGCATTAGTCGAGAGTAGCTTTCTCGATGGAAGGGGCTTGTTTGAAGCATCGCGCAAAGCGAGTTAACAAGAGCCATCAATTGCATGGAAGCCTTCACCAGAGGCTCGGGAGAGAGTTGAGCGGAGACCGGGTCAGGTTGGAATGCATCAGGACCTGGGTAACGGTGTCAACATGGGCGCCTAAACCTGTACCCCAAAACCCTACCGGAGACTGCTTCATGGAACAGGTCAAGAACCTGTTCTTCCAGTTGCGGAAGGTAGACCTTCAAAACGAATTCATCGAGGACAGCAGAAGATGTGCGAACGGACTCCACTCCAGCAGGAAGAATATCTGTCACCCGTTCTAGGAAACTGAGCGTAGGCTGGAACAAAATCGTAACGTGGAACGCATCCGGTCGGATTAAGAGCCGATGGTGCTGGTCGGAGCCAAGGAGATGGTCGTCATTGGATGATATGATGGACGATGCTGAATCACTAGTTCCAGCGGGCGCTAGACCGGGCATCGTGTCTTTCAGAACCCTAGTCAGTCCCTCTTCGTGAGGTTTCAGGATTTTGATTAGTGACTTGGCGTCCGTATCCGAGAAGCGGAATACAGGTTTGATCTTGTCCCTGGAGAATTTGCCCTCTCTCAAAATTTCGTTGATTGAGGTAATAGGGTTGCGACTTGCTGCGGAGCCTTGTTGTTCGTCGGTCAGATAGTCGGAAATGAGGCGTCTAACCTGGAGATGGATGAGCTTGGTGGAGAAGTACGTACAACATACTTCGTACCTCTGCCTGAACCGGGGACCAGACCTCGGTCAAAGGGAACAGTGAGTTGGGCTTGCTCCCCGACGAATCACGGTAGTCCCTTCTCTAAGAGTAATCAGGACGAGTGGCGCCAGCATTAATGATATATCCACTCACTGAACCTATTCGGTTTGCGACCTCGGAGACGACCCGTAGACCCTGAGCAACGGCTTCCAGCTTGGAATACAGCGTCCAGAATAGATCTCTGAGGATTTCATGATCGATCCGTTTTGCTGACGATTCCAATGCGGCAAGGCGTAGCGCTGCAGCCGGAATTTTGCCTTTGACATCGGACAGCTTGCCTCCATTGGCAAGGATAAAGGCCGATTCTGACTTGGTGCCCATCCCATGTAGTGAGAACAATGATCGTCTCCGACCATATTCTGCTCGTTCTTCAACCTCATCAAGTGTTGCGTCCACAAGATTGTAGATCTCCCCAGGAAGCCTTTGTGATATGCTGTCCAGAGCAGTTCCCAACTTCCCTAGAACGGCTAACGATTCTAGTAGGGTTTCCATGTAAGCGAAGGAATCGCTCTCCGGATTAGAGTTCGTTGTCATTTGGGTGTGGGATGTCGAGAAAGGACCGGTGTTCAGGAGTAAACGCTCGCCAGGGTTGATGGAGGCATCTCCTACGTCTAGCGGGGGTTCATTGGGTCGGAGGGCGAGGTCGTTGAGGAATCGCGTTAAACGAGAGGGTCGGAAAGAGGGTGATGTGGGAGAAGCTGGGTCTTCCGTTGGGACTTGCTCATCACCGTCACCGTCACATTTGGGCACTAGAGACCAACGTAAGTTCACGCAACCATCTGAAACAAGGGCAGCGATACTGACGTGTTTGCTGATTGGGAGTATAAGCAGCCCACCTGGACTCGCACCAGAACGACTTGAGATATAGATGGCTTTGCAGCTCGTCAACCAGGATGTCACGTAGAGCCTTGACGACCGTTTAGTTTTGGATTCGTGTCATTCAAATTGGACTTACCGATTCTTGGCCCACAAGGTAACTTCGCAGATCAGAAACTGCCCCAATTTCTTGCATGTCGCTGTTGTTAATTATCTTCAAGCTCTTGACCAGCAGCACGGATGCTTGCAATAGGCGTTTTTCTGACATTAAAGTCTCGAGCAAATCGGGGACCGTTTTAAGGTATTCTCTAGGGGCGCCGATTATTAGGCCGTGAACTGAGCGAGGAAACAGAACTCACATTTGGTCGAGTATGCGCAGCATCTCTTCAAGCACCTGGCCTCTGTTCCATAGTTGGACGAGATCTGTTCGTTTGCTACCCAGAGCATCTTTGGTTTCGGTCAATGCTGATCTCGCCAGTGATATCTGTTGCTGGGTGTCGTTAAGGTGGTTGAGGAGGGACGCGTGGTGAGGAAGAGAGGCCGCGAAAGCCTGGTAGTGTTCTAGTGGATGGGGATCGGACACAGTGCTCTTGGTGAATGACAGTCGGCGAACACTCACTATCTACGGACCCTTTCAACGCCTTTGAAAGCATCTGCTTAGTGTTCCTGAAAGAATCCATGTCCTTTCCGAGCGCAGATTGGTCGAGTAGTTGTAGCGCCAGTTCCACATTACTGAACTAATCGGCGCAGGTCAGACCAACGCCAAATCTTGAACGTAGAGGATACAGACTTCAGGATCGATAACAAACTCCCATCCATCTTTCACTTGATCCAGGACAGCTAGGATATACATGAGGATGGGTACGCTGGGGTAGAATTGTTAGCAACACACCGTCGATTTCGCCTGCCCTCTTCTTTCCTTTGACCACATTCAAGCCAGGTACCCTGTCCCGAATACGCTGTTGGCGTGCCTTCTCTTCTTCGATTTCTCTCTCTCGCTCCCTGGACCAGTACTCTGCATCGTCCGACTCGAGCGTCTTCTTGCGAGCAACGGCCGACTTGAATGCAGACAGGGCAGAGTTTAGCGATGTCGGCGTTGTATTGTCACCATTTGCAGAATACGGGCTAGTTGCTTGTCGAGGTGTTCTGCTTCGTGAAGGGGGAGCTGGGTTGACATTGTAAGCTTCAGACTCGGCCATACTTTCACGGTACACGTCCGATGAGACGACCGAGCCTCGGTCAGACGAGTAATCGGATGCTCTTGCGCGCAGCTCTGATCGCTGTGGCCTCGACGGGCCTAGGGGTGCACTGTTTGGTGGAAGGCCATACTGTTGCGGCGAGCCCGAAACATATGGGCCGTTGCTGTTGGTGGGTGTCGATGATCGAGGAATGTGCAGAGGCCGTGTGTTTGAATAGCCTGGTGCAGATATTGGCGGCGAGATTGGACGATTTGCGTTGGACGGTGACCTGCGACGACTCGTCGGAAACGGCGGTACTCTGGACATTCGCGGTTTAAGCAGAGGAACGCTGATCTCACTGCCTCCGTCCTTCCACACTTGATCCAAGATAATGCTCCCACACTTCCTTCGCTCAATATCCTCAACTCAAAAACACAAAACATCTGCTGCACTCAATGCAGTTTTTGAACACAATCCACCGTTAGATACTGCCCATGCTCACTGGTGGCCACCTAAAATTCAAAATACACCACCCAAGTGTGTGCTGCTTTTTGTACCCGGTAAGTTACGTTAGTCCATGCCATTGTTGACCACTATCACTGAACACTCGTTGCAGGGAATCCGGGACTCATAGAATTCTACACACCATTCCTCGAAGCTTTGTACAACAGGGACACCAGCGGACGACTCGCCATCTTAGCTCATGCCCACATAGGCCATACTCCTGGCGTTGGCTCTGCCAAGTCAGACCACGGTCTGACGTCGCAAGTGCAAAGCGCCATAGAGGCTTTCGACGCACTCCAGTCAGCGTATCCCGCCGACACCAAGATTGTATTGATTGGACATAGCGTAGGCTCCTGGATATGCTCACAGGTATGTCACTTCGACACGACCATGGCTTTAGCTCATGGTGCTGCAGGTTCTCAAAGCGCGTACAGAAAATGTACACGCAGTCTTTTTGCTTTTCCCGACGCTCAGCTACATTGGCGACACCCCAAATGGCAGAAGGCTTTGGGTGAGTTTGTTCACTGTCACGCCTTTGATGCTCTAACGCGCTCTCAGAGAATTTTCACTCCGACTGGTCGATGGATTGTATCCAAGCTCGGCCATCTCGCAAGACTGGTACCTGTCCAAGTCCTGGGCCGTCTGTTTCCTGAATGGCCAAGTAGCCAACTAGAAGTGCTAAAGGACCTCGTCGGGGATCCTAGGAGCATCGTGGCCGCTCTTACAATGGCCAGTGATGAAATGCACGCCATCAAAGAACTAGACGTGGCTCTTTTTGAGTCGTGCAAGGGCAAGCTTCGTTTCTACTACGCCGAGCGTGATGATTGGGTTGGGGAAGAACGGGAACGCGTTCTCAAGGTGCTCCACACATCAGAGTCAGGTATACCCGTGGAAGTCGTTCACGATGAACACGGAATCCCCCATGCGTTCTGTATCAGTATGTCTTCCGCTCTCTTACTGTGCCGGAGTCCTTTCTGACGCCAAAATAGATCATAGTGAACAACTGGCAGTCCAATGCTCTAAATGGCTGGAAGGGTTAAATATGTAAAGACTAACGGTCGCCTCAGTAGACTACCTAAGGCCAGAGCACCCCGTCCATGTAGAATACATGAACATTGAACACGAGAGTTGTCGCAACTTGTCCAGCGCTTGATTTGGCAAAGCCCGGATCGGCGTCTCGGCCGAAAGGAAAAGGCTCCCGGCAGGATGTAGCCTAATGGGGAACAAGGCCGGCCGGCACCTAATTTACACGACCGCGCGTTTTCCGATACTTGCTCAAAACACATTGCACAACCGAGACGCTGGCAATGAATGAGCCAGAGGCCGATTCACAATTGTCTTCTGTTCCGCCATCTGTTCCCCCAGTGTCCTCCAGTCCCGCCAGGTCAGACATTCAAGTCGACGACAACGTCCCTGACGACCTGCCAGAGAAGCGAGAGCCCATACAGTCCAAGCCAATAGTTCTCGTTCCTTCCTTGTCACCATCCACAAAGGAGAAGTACAAACCCAGGGAAGAGACGAATCTCGAGATGGAGATGGACATTGACCTCGACGAGGTCATTGGGGAATACAGGGAAGGGAACTCGCTCTACTATTTTGCTCGTTTTCAGGAAGGGATCGCGCATAAAGTGAGTTGTCGACAATTAGTGAAATTGAACGCGTCTGAACGCGTCTTTACTTTACCCCAGTATCTGTCTACGGCCTTTGTCAAACGCCATCCAGATCTCGTTGAAGCATACAGTGAGTTCTCAAATTATTGGGCCTTTAACATCAACGAATGTCCCCCTGTCACAGAAAAGGCCAAAGAGGAGGGCAAGTACGCCGACTTTGATCCCTCTGCGCATTACGTGCATCCCATGTCCCGAGTTAAAATGAAGCTCAACATCTCGCGCGATAAGGCGACGGTCAGCATCTCTTCAGCGAGGAGCGTTCGTTCAGACGACGCCAGCGTTCTGTACATTTCCGACTCTGAGGAAGAGCGAACTACTGGTAGTGGTGCAGAGAGCTACGTTGGCACACCAGGGCCAGCAAGGAGAAGCACTCGTCAATCGACTATGAAACAAGGAAAGCTACCGTTCAGTCCCAGGAAGACACGCTCGCAAAAAGTTATCGCGGTCGACTCGGATTCTGACGACGATTCGTCACGTCCATCCAGGCGGCGGTCAGCTCGACAAAAAGCCACCGTCAAGGTCAACCTCGACTCGGATTACGAAGAAGATGAGGAGGGGGACGACTACAGCGAGTATAGCTACGCCAAACCGTCGAAAGGGAAGAAAGTTGCGGCCAAAGTTCCCATTCCTTCGTACGGCCATATTCGAAAGGTGCAAGACCTCAAATATGATCCCTATCCCGACGACGAAGATAATATCGCCTTGCGTGCCCATCGCAACATTTGCGAAAAGTGTCATCTCAGGCCTGCACATATATTATTGCGAAATTTGAACAAATCGAAGGGAAAGGGAAAGAAACGCAAGCGTTCACCAGAGGATGACTTTGAAATGTCCGATAGCGAGAGATTTAACAACCTTGGAGGATGGGTCCAATGGTACGTTGTTTGAAGAGGCATCCATCACCATGGTACTGAAGCCCCTTTCAGTCTGAAGTGCCCGGTCGCTGTTCATTGGCAATGTTTAGCTGGCACGCAACAAGGCGAAATCCTCAAGGCGGCGCGAAGTAAAGATAAAGCGGACTGGGTTGCCAAAGGCGCAGAAGGAAACCCGCCTCGTCGGTCAGGATTGGACACGGAAGAAGCCACGGAGTTTGTTTGTGGTGCGTTAACCTTTTGTTAGTGGACATGTAAAGATGCTGAATGGCTCTCAGCCTCATGTAACAGGGGCGGTCCTTGCATGGGCTGTCTGGAAACCGTGCAACATGTATCCAGTGTGCCTGAAGCTCAGCCTGACGAGAATGGCGACGTAGAAATGACCGATCCATCCAAGGATAAATTGGAGTTGGCCAGAATTCTTCTGTTCCGCTGCTTCACTTGCAAACGATTGGCTCACTACGAGCATCTCCAGACCCCTCCTTCTCTTGATCCTGACGCGTCCGTCAGCGAAGTCGCGACCTACTACCAGAACAAGAACTGGCTTTGTGCCGACTGCGTTTCGTTCCGATACCCTCTTGACAAGATTCTCGCCTGGAGACCTTATCCCCCCAATGCAGCACAGCCCGAGAATCCAAATATCAAAGATCAACTTCCTCGAGAATACCTCGTCAAATGGGCGGAACGCAGCTATCGGCGTCTTTCATGGGTCCCTCATATGTGGCTCTTGTCAACGAACCAGCAAAAGCTCAAGCATTTCCTTGCAGGAGGCGCCAAAGTGAACTTACTGAAGGAAATTCCCGAAGGTCAGGAAGTTGATGGGTCCGGCGAACCCAATGAATTCGAGATTGGCGCAAAGGAATCGCGGGCATCATCGAGTCATCCAGGGAGTGTCACTACCCATGGACCTCTGGACGCGCTACCCGACGCCGAGAAACGGATACCACCACCCTGGACCACTGTTGACCGCGTACTGGATTTGGTGTTTTGGGACGACCAATCTGGCAAGAAGGGCAAAAAGAAGAAAGGGTCGGCTCGCAACTCGAGACGCCAGCAAGTCATCGAATCTGAATCTGAAGGGGAGGACATGGAGGAAGACGAACCTGAGGAAGTTACGCGTATTTTCGAGACAGGAGAACTCCTCGAAGACACGCCAACATTAACAGCGGCCGAGTGGGAAGCTGCATACGGGGATATCGCGGAGAAGGATATCGACAAGGTGGTCTATGCCTTTATTAAGTGGGATGACCTGGGATATGATGAAAGTATGTTCAGCGGCTCGTCTGCCGATAGTGCAGCTGATTTATGCGATTGCAGCATCCTGGGACTCGCCTCCACGCCGCGGCGAACCTGGATACGATGCCTTCGCCCGAGCTTTCAAACGTTTCCTGCACTCGAGGACGGTGCTGGTACCGAAAAGAAAGCCCGCTGAGCAAGACAAGTTTGACAACCGACCTTTGAATGGGTACGGAAAATACAGGCTGAAGGACCCGGCAGGGTTGGAACTCGGTCAAGATCCAAGTTTGAAATTGATGCCCTTCCAGGTAAGTTGTTTTGCACTGCGACCGTCGTGGAATGACTCTGATGTTCGACGAGGTTGATGGTTTCAACTGGCTCTGCGATAACTGGTGGAATCGTCAACCTTGCATTCTTGCAGATGATATGGGATTGGTTAGGTGCCCTTCAGTGAAAATTGACTGGTATATCTGACCTTTAATTTCCCAGGGCAAAACGGTGCAAGTTTCGTCCTTCCTCGGTACAGTAGCTACAAAATGGCAGGCGTATCCGGCTCTCGTCGTCGTCCCCAACTCCACAATCACCAATTGGGTTCGAGAGTTCGAACGCTGGGCTCCGTCACTTAGGGTGGTCCCTTTCTATGGCGAGAAGAAGGCTCGAGAAGTCATCAAGCAATTCGAGCTGTTCCATGAAAGGGTTCCGGACGGGTATACCAGCGCCAAATTTCACGTTCTTGTTACTACATACGAAGGTATCACTGGCACTAAGGACTGGGGTGCTGTCTTCAAGCGTCAACCAAGATGGGAGGTAAGTTGCGGTAGAAAACTGGACACGGGCACGGTATTCATTTCCTTGTTCCCAGGTGCTTGTCGTCGACGAAGGTCAACGATGTGAGTACCATGTCTTGTTCCGTTCGAAGCGTTCCTCATCAAGTTCCAGTGAAAAGCGATAGCAGTCTCTTGTTTAGGAAGCTTAACGAACTCACTAGTGGTCATCGGGTGATCATGACTGGAGTACGCTTCGGCCTAGTTCATATGTGTAAAGGCTCGACTGACATACATTTTTAGACTCCCTTGAATAACAACATGCGAGAACTGTTCAATCTCATGAACTTCCTTGATCCCGAGGAGTGGAACAATCTGGAGGAACTAGAGAGACAGTACGAGGAACTAGACGAAGAATTGGTCAAGCAACTCCACAACCGACTTCGTCCTTACTTCTTGCGTCGCATCAAGAGTGAAGTGCTGCAGCTCCCGCCCAAGAATGAGGTCATTGTCCCTGTCAGTATGGCACCACTCCAGAAACAAGTGTATCGCTCTATTTTGAGTAAGTGACTTGTCCCATTCTTGACCATTCTCGGGAACTAACGTCTCCAGGTCACAACCTCGACCTTTTGAAGGGTCTGACACAGCCGAACCGGGCTTCCAATGCTTTGACTAAAGGAAAGCTGAATAACGTCCTCATGCATCTCCGCAAGTGCGTGTATTTCATTACAAGTGGCCACATAATTCTGACGACCTGGTCAGATGTTTGCAACATCCCTACCTCTATGCCGAGGACATAGAGCCCCAAGGTCTTCCTCCTGACGAGGTGCACCACAAACTAATCGACGCGAGTGCCAAACTTCGCTTCCTTAAACTGTTATTGCCGAAGCTGAAAGCTCGAGGACATCGCGTCTTGTTGTTCAGCCAGGTAAGAATGAATATAGCTTTGTATGTGCCTTGAAAGTGAACCACTTGGCAGTTTGTTCTGGCGCTGAACGTGATCGAGGATTTCCTGACTGGCGAAGGGTTCAAGTACCTCCGACTGGCAAGTGCTTCCTCAACGTCGTTGCACAGTAACTAACGTCCCCCCAGGATGGAAGCACTAAAGGCACGGAGCGCCAGAAATGCATGGATGAATTCAACAAGCCGAATTCCGAGTATTTCATCTTTCTGTTAACTACCCGCGCTGGCGTGAGCTCGCTTTTCTAATGATTCTCAAGATCGTGCTGACACAAATTGCCAGGGTGTTGGAATCAACCTCTTCGTGAGTTGCTCTGCGCAGTTTTACTATGATCGCTGATCCTTATACTCGATTCGCAGACCGCAGACACTGTTATCATTTTCGATCCAGATTTCAACCCTCATCAGGTAAATCCCTTCGCCAGAGTCTATGGAGAAACATGTCACTTATTTCAATTCCAGGATCTTCAAGTAAACGTTGATGCTACTTCACATGTGGTGACGTGCTGACAACCCCTTAGGCCATTGCACGAGCGTATCGATATGGTCAAAAAAATACCTGTCTTGTTTTCAAGCTGATGGTCAAGGATTCCGCTGAAGGTATGCTTTTGTTAGCGAAGCGAGCTCTCATCTAACTCGGCCTTTTAGAGCGAATCATGCAGATTGGAAAGAAAAAGCTCGTTTTGGATCACTTAATTGTGCAGAAGATGGATGACGACGAAGATTCACCCGGAGAGAATATACAGTCGATCCTGACGTACGGTGCACAAGCGTTGTTCGATGAACAGGAATCCGCCCAGTCTAAGGATATCACCTGTACGTGCAGTCTCTGGCATGATGGCCGCAGCTATCTAACCTATTTGGCAGACTCTGAGCAGGACATCGAAAAGCTCATCGAGAAGACCGAGACGGAAGGCGAGCAGACTGAAGGCCCCAAGGAGGGAGGAATGTCCTTTTCGTTCGCCAAAGTCTGGGCAACGGACAGGAATGCTCTCGATGAAGTCGGCGACGAGGATCAAGTGGATTCGTGGGCACTGACTTTGGAGATGATTAACAAGGAGCGAGAAAAGGAGAGGGCACTTGAACAGGCGCTCTCCGGCCGTGGTGCTCGACGGAAAGCCGCCGATGTCGCAAAGGTAACACTCTCATTGGCCATGACTGCCTCCGTACTCATCCATTGTCCTTCAGACCAAGATGGTGGCCCAGGATTCATTCACGAACGACTCCCCTGTCAAGCACAAGAAGGGTTCGTCTGTCGTCGACCTCGACTTTGAGGATAACGATTCTATCGCGAGCGAGAGCACATCCCACGTATCAATAAGATCGGACGATGAAGACTTTGCTATGGACATAGACAAGCCAAAGAAGAAGTCCCGACGACGTCCAAGCGCTGTTGTTCATCTGGAAGACATTCCCGACGTTGCTAGGCAAGACCTTCTAGATTGTGGCCTATGTGGCGGAAAACATGGAATCAAGCAGTGCTTGATGACGGACAATTCGGAAAATCTTGCGGAATACCGAATGATGTTGATTTACCATGCTGACGATGAGCCCTACGAAGAACGGGTAAGTTATTCGGCGACCTGGCCATAAAGGAGACACTGACGTGATATTCTTTCAGTATGCTGCTGTTAGAGCCATCGACGAACTTCTCAACTCCAGAGGACAGCTTCGTCTGATTCAAGGACAACCTCTGCACCCCCTTCCAAAGGAAGTCACTATCCCGCCTACAAAGAAGCCCAAGCAAGCAGCCGACGCTGCGAAGGAGTACATAAAGAAGCAAAAGGCTGGACAGGTACATCAACCCACACTGGCTGACTATCGAGGGGGAAGTGAAGAAATCGAGGTGGTCCGGAGCTTCAGGACAGTAGACAAGAATAACGCGGTTGCAGGGCCGTCCCGCCCTCGACCCGCCCTTCCAGCAGCAGTTCCCACTGCAACACAGTCTGCACCAGTGACAACCGCGACCCCTCAACAACTCCCACCGCAACATGTAGCGAATTCCTCAAGTAAGCAAAGCACTTTCAGACACGGACAGGGTACAGCACCGCTTGGAGGAGTGTTGCCCGCTGCCGGGCCTTCAAACTCGAGTGTGAATGGGACCAGCAATCAGGCCCAGACTCGACCACACGCATGTCGCCTATGCAATCGTGTACCCAGTCACAAACTAAAGGAGTGTCCGAGGGTGAAGGGCAAGTCACCGGCCGAGTAATTTTTCAAGTTCTCTCTCACATGGTCATTTACTGACATGCCCATTATTCAGGCTCAGAGATCTTATTCAAACATTGGAAAATGGGGGTAACCCTTTGCATGTCGACATCGCATTCGTTCTCAAAGCGCACCTTCAAAAAGCGGAGAAGAAGACCTAAAGAATAGACACCTTTAAACTACTGTATCTGGCAATTAACTCCTAATCGCTTAATTCTCTTGAACTGCATAATATATACTCTATTTTGGCAATGGCTTACAGTTCGCGTCACTCTCTCCAAGGTCCCGTTTGACTTGACTGTCAGGTTGAGTTCCAGGTAAGGCAGTCTGAATTGTCTTCTGGATCCATGTCGGGGTGATCCCGCTTGCGATGTGCTGCTAGACGATCGCGGTTAGGGAAGAGGCGGTTGCAGTCTACTTGGATGTTCAGCAATCATGTACATGGTTCGATTTTACGAAGACTGACCTGCGACGACACATATGAAAATTGGGGTTCTCGAAGACAATTAGCGTTAATAATTGAAGGGCGCGCCAAAAACGTACTGCTCAGGGTTTGTGACTTTGCCTAATGAATCTGAAATAGCTGCGTCGACCTGGTCCTTTGAGGTTGTCCCTGCGGATGACGGCAGTGTCCCCACATGGACCTGGAACAACAAAAAAGGGTGAAAACATACCATCATCTACTGCTGGGGACGAGGACAGAACAGAGGGGAGCCGCATTTAGTGGAGTGGACCTGACGTTGGACAGTGGGTCCGACCAAGGAACGCTTCAAACGTTCAAGCTCAAGTCAAATTGACGTCACGCTTCATGCCTTCTCCGCGACCATCTCTCAGCGACAGACTTGATGCACTCCTCGACAACCCAAAATCTTCGTCCTCGTCGTCCTCAACAATGCCCCGACCAAAGTCGAGGCCTGTCCTTCGCTGGCTCACTGGCCCCATATCGTCCTCACCTCCATCCCCCGACCTCCGCTCGCTGTCGGAGGCAATGACTGAGCCCATAACACCACCACCTCCAATAAAGACACCCACACCACCACCTTTAGCTCGTTTGCCGCCTTCATTTAGACCGTCCAAGAATCTTACACGTCCACCCCCCTTCTTGGTAGATGGATTGACACGAACGACCCTGCCCACCTCTTCTCTTTCACCGCCGTTACCTGTTTCATCTTCCTCGCAGCCGACCAGTGTCATCCAAACACCTAAAGACGTCCAGAAACCTCCGCCGATTGTGCTCAATCACTCTAGTCTCACAAGAAGTTCTTTGGATTCGTTACGGAGCGTGCAGACAAGGACGTTCTCGGGCGGGTGTGCGACCTCTCTGCATTCTGTGCAGTCACTTGATGTGAGGGAGGAGACTGGTTCAACCGTTCAGCGAAGCAATACCCGGACATCAACGGTTGCTAGTTCTTCGAGCAGTACTACTGCTGCATGGTGGTGGTTCCAGACGGATACGAATAAAGACCACCTTCTGTCGGAGGAGGACCAAGCGGATGGACAGCAGGCGCCTGCGCAGCAGGAAAAGCGTAAATGTGAGTTCTGCGATACTGCTACTATCTGGCCTAAACCTGATTATGTGTTTGTTCAGATACACCCACTGCGAACCCAGTTGTCTTTTGCCATGGTCTACTCGGATTTGATTCGGTGAAAATTGGACCTGCAATTGCCCCTCTCGAGGTCACCCACTGGCGAGGTATCAAGGAAGTTTTAGAGGCCAACGGGACCGAGGTTTTGATTACTCGGGTACCAGCAACAAGTAGTCCAGTCGACCGAGCCAAGGTCCTGGAAGAAAGGATCAATGCCGTCTACCCAGGTCGGAGTGTTCACTTGATAGGACACAGCATGGGAGGATTGGATTGTCGATACCTCACGACGCACCTGACTGATAGGAAGTTCAAGGTTTTATCTGTGACGACCATTGCTACACCACATCGTGGGTCGTCATTTGCAGATCATTTCCTGTACGCGGTTGGAAAGCATCGGCTTCCCCAGGTTTTGGCGTTGTTGGACTTGCTGCCGAACGGGGGAGGGGATGGGAAGGCATTCGAGTTTTTGACGTTGGAGAGTATGAAGAAATTCAACGAGGATACACCTGATGTCGAAGGAGTCAAGTATTTCAGTTGGGGAGCGGTCTATGAACCGGGGTTGATTGACACTTGGAAGTGAGTAGATGAACTTTGTCAGATGGTTTCTCGTTCTCAAATCACCGTCGCTTTTCTGCCAGATACCCACACTCTGTTATCCTTGAACGTGAAGGTCCAAATGATGGACTTGTGTCCATTGAATCGGCCAAATGGGTCAGTCGATTGACATTGTTGTTTGATTTGTATTTGCCTCTGAACAGTCACTAGGGAACGTATCTTGGGACTTTGAGTCAAGTAAACCATCTTGATCTCGTTGGCTGGATCAACGAAGCGAGATACAAATGGGCAGAGATCATGGGCAAGGAGATCAAGTTCAGGCCCGCAACTTTCTATCTGGGTATCGTCGACATGCTGGCAAAGGAAGTCGAAGGTCACATTGACGCTTCAAAGGAGCAAACAAAGAGGATCGAAGAGCAAGCAGATGGAGTAAAGGCCAAAGATGGAGATGCTTCAGGTTCTCGAGGGGCGGGGAAGGGTGATTTTCCCCCTTCGCCAACAACGGAGCAGCAACATGAAAGAGAAGTGCAGGGTCAGATGGTGGAGAGTCTGGATATCGCTGGCGGGAAGGTAGAAGGGGCTGATGCTAAAGGCAAAGGTCGGACACCACGAGACTAAACATTTAGCCTCAATCCTCGTTTTAATAGTAGCTAGTGGTTATTTTTGATTATGAGCACTCTATAATACCGACATCTAATGGATAGCTCTGGCACTGTAGATAATAAATAACTTGGGATCAGCGATGGCTCAAGAAGAATCAAGAAGCGAGTGATGCATCTGCTTTCGAAGACTTGACGTCGATTTCACTCGATGACTTTTCTGCTACTAGGAGCGCTTTACCTGCGCAAATGATTAATGGCGGGCGTAGAACTCCCTGACAAGGGGCCCGTGTTCTAGAGGTCGAGGGGATCCCAGACCCACATAGGAGGCTCAAATTTCCATCAGGGACTGTATTGGTCGGGTGGAGTTAGACCTGGGACGCTAGCGATACCGTTGCGAGGGTAGACGCCGAGCAACGGAGGCTAAACGTGTATCCGATGGTCTTCGAAGGTGCTGGCGGGGAGGAATTTGGTGAAGAGAGTTGGAAGAGAGAAAGATAAGTTTTGAGTAGTAGTAGAGACGAATAGAATTGGATTGAAAGAGGGACAAAGGTGAAAGATAAAGTGGGGAGGTATTTAGATTGTGTATAAACAAGGCCAAAGATGGGTTGGACAGGTTGAGTGAAAATATCTCAGGGTCAGTGTGATACTTGTCTTGAGCCAACTTGGGCGACGACGAGCAGCCAGCCTCTTAATATCTCCTTTTCTCTCTCTTTCTTTTATCATTGTACTCAGAATCTAATCCTCCATCCTCGTCCGCGCCTGCGCCTGCGCCTAAGTTGGCTACAATAATAGCCGGTCTCTACCAACAACTATATCCAATCAGCCACGACGTATAATCCACAACCATTCCGTTCAACCTCTTCGGTGGTTCGTCTCCCGCCTCCAGTTCTAGAAACACAGCAACCCCCGCCAGGGCCAGGAGAATGTCTTTCTTCTCCAGGAAGAAGCATCAACAGCAACAGCCAAGCCAGGCCCCCTCCACCGTCACCGTCGCGCAGACACCGAGCCAGGCATTGGCCCAGCTTAAACAACCTTCCGGTAGCATTGGCGGGAGTAATGACGGCCACGCTATGGGCAGTCTGAAGAACGAGAGCCCGTTGGATTCGTGAGTTTTTGTTCGCTTTCCGCTCTGTCAGTTTGCCATTCTAATATTCATATCGCTCTTCCATTGTCTTAACCACCACCACAGTGCCAGCAATTTCCAACGCCCCTCTCCCACCGCACAATCACAGCGAACAGCAAGTCCCCAGCAGCAACAGCTAGCCACGACTCCGCCGTCACACCAGTCGGTTGGAAATCCAATGGCCCAGCAGCAACAGCAAGCGCCACAGCAACCGCCCCAGCAATCTCAGCGACCGGGCTACCCTTGGGCAGTAAAGCGCCTCAGCCTCCTCCCACCCGCTGTTCTCCCCAAGCCAGGCGCCGTACCACCCTCCTCACCGTCGCCGTCACCTTTCCCACGGTATGGCCACGCCCTGCCCGCCAGCCCTACCGTTGGAGGCGAGCTCTACCTGTTCGGAGGTCTGGTCAGAGAATCAGCAAGGAACGACCTATATGTCATTCACACCAAGGACAACACTGCCCAGTTGGTTCAAACTGCCGGCGAGCCTCCGAGCCCGCGAGTAGGGCACGCCTGTGCTCTCGTGAGCCAGGTATTGATTGTGTGGGGAGGGGACACGAAGATGGACACTTCGATGTCTGGCCCAGCTGGGCGAATGCCTGGACGACCTGGAGACAAGTTGGATGATGCACTGTATCTACTCAACATTTGTGAGCCTTCATATTATTTCTTATCACACTCGGCTAATCCAGCGCTTTGCCACCAGCTATCAAAGAGTGGACCAAGGTTGTGGCAGGTCCAGGACCAATAGGACGGTACGGACATGCTGTGACTATGGTTGGCTCCAGGTTCTTCGTGTTCGGCGGTCAGATTGACGGCGAATTTTTCAACGATTTGTGGGCCTTTGACCTCAATTCACGTTAGTATCTCCTTCTAGACTTGCCTTTCGTTGTTCGAGCTGACTTTGGCCTCCCACTCTGCGCTAATCAATGCACAATTCCCATCCGTGATACGCTTCCTCGACCGAACCTTATGTCGACGCCCGCAATACAGTCCGAACTCGAGCTACTTGGGAATTATACGAGCCCACAACTCCCGAAAAGCCGGCCCAACGAACGGGCCATGCATGTATCACATTTGAGGACAGAATCATCATGTACGTCGCATTCAAGCCGCCTATCAAACTTTCCCATTCCTATCCAATTCGGTCCTCGATTCCAACATTCTTCCTTGATCAATATTCTCCGACAACTTGTGCCTATCGCCTTCTCCGTTTCTGACCCGCTCTTGCTACAGTTTTGGCGGCACTGATGGATCGTATCACTACAATGATACATGGGCCTTTGATCTTAAGACTTGCAGGTGGACAGAACTCCAATGCATTGGGTTCATTCCGTCCCCGAGAGAGGGACATGCCGCTGCATTGGTTGATGACGTCATCTACATATTCGGTGGAAGGGGTGTCGATGGCAAGGATCTGAACGATTTGGCTGCCTTCAAAATTTCCAGTGAGTAGCGCAATTCTAGGAGACTTCGAAAGCGCTGACCCTCCAAAACAGATCAACGATGGTACATGTTCCAAAACATGGGCCCCTCGCCCAGCGGTCGATCTGGCCATGCCATGGCCTCACAAGGAAGTCGGGTGTGGGTTCTTGGAGGCGAGAGTTTTACTCCTTCCGTGAACGAAGACCCAAATAGCTTCCACGTCCTGGACACAAGTCAGTGTCGTGCTGATCCTGTTATTCCTTTTGTTGACCACCCTTGCAGAGCATATCCGGTATCCTGATCCAAATCGAGGACCACCGCCCCCAGCCACTGTACCGCCTGCCAACCAAAACACTGCTAGGAAACCATCGCTGACCGGTTTGGCGGGTAACGGACCTTCACCCGCCCAGCAAGTTGCGCAAAACGCAAGTACAGCCGTGAATGGCCAGCGCTCCATGTCACCTGCGATGGAGAGAGAAAGTATGGAAGACCCTCGTCGCGCCGTTTCTCCTCCCAATGGAAGGTCGACAAAACCCAATGGCGTCGCTCAACCGTCCCAACTGTCTCAACAAGCGCCTATTGGCACACCCGCTTCGTACGATCCCAAGGGAAAGGCCCCTGTGCGCCCCCACAGAGACGAGAATCTTGACCTTGACGATGGCTACGACAATGGCACCACTGAATCTTTCACCGGAAGAGACCGTGCTATGTCGCCCGACGCTGCGCAAAGAGCACGAAGCCCAGCCCAGCAATCACAACACACTGCTGGCAGTCGTGCCATTTCCCCTGACCAGCAACAAGCTCAACAGCAGCCTATGATGTCCGTGGTGAATGGCGTCACTGGGCGCTCTTCGCCTGCCGTGGCACACTCGGCTACTGGGCGTGCCTCCCCTCTCACTACAGGTCGATCGTCACCTCTGACTACGATGGGCAACGCTACTGGTCGCGCCTCTCCCGTCGTCGACAGGGCCAAACCTGCTCAACCTCCCGAAGGCTATTACGCTCAACAGCAAATTGCTCAGCAACAGAACGGTTACCCACGGCCCATGTCCCGTGGCCATGGAGGCAGCGGTTCCGTCGGAAATGTGGCTGCAGACTTGATCCGTGACCTCAAAGCGAAGGATATTGAGCTGGACGACATGAAGAAGCAGATCACTTGGTTGAAGACAGCCCTTTCAAAAGCTAGCAAGGCTGGATTCGTTCCAGAGGAAGATGAAGGTGCCGAAGTACCCCCACTCAACTCCCGAACGTCGCCATTGGACGAGTCGAGCGAAGGGAAATATGCAGAGTTGGCCTTGCGGTTCAAGCAGTTCAAAGCGCAAGTTCAGGTAAGAAAACTGAAATGGTTCCAGAGTCAGTCGGTATTGAATGCTGTGTCCAGGCGTCGATGGTCGAGCAAGCCAGGCAAATGTCGGAGAAGTTGGCGGAGGCCGAACGGGGGAAGACCACTGCTGCACAAGAAGCGGCCTGGTACCGTGCCAAACTAGCGGCTGTCGAGGCTGGTAACGAGAGCGAATCCAGCCGCATGGAACGTGACCGTATCATCGACCTCGAGCGGCATTTGTCTGCTTTGATGAACGAGCGATGGAGCCAGGATAGGATGATGAGGGAAATGAGCGATTCCTTGGCTCTACAAACTATGCTTTACGAGCAAGCTGAAGCGCGAGCCAACGAGGCCGTCAAGCACATCGAAAAGGCCGACGACTCTTACAACCGAACAGTCCAGATGTACAACGATTTGCTCGATCAGCACGATGCCCTCGAAGTCAAGCTTCGCGAAGCTACCGACCGACTACTGCAGCAGAGCTCACTATTGGAACAACGAGAAGCCGACGAAGTCGGCTTACGGAGCCAAGTCGACGAGCTCCTACAAGCACGAGATCAACACGTTCGGGCCCTCGAACAAGCACAAGCTGCTTTGGCGGCCTCTGCATCTCGCACTGAAGAACTCGATCTGCAACACACACGCGCCCAAGAACGTATTCGCCTTCTTGAAGCAGATTTGGCCGAGGCCAAGACCGACTTGGAAAAGAAGACGATGGAGGAACAGATGGCCAGGGAGCGATTGACCGACGTCGAGAACGCCTGGGCCAAGTCTCGCGAAGAAGCCGACTCACTTCGGGCATTGACCACTGGTGGTTTAGGCGAGCTACTCGACTCCCATCGTGGGCTCAAGGCTGATGAAGAGCGAATGCTCCGCGGTCACTCTGAGAAACTGCAAGCTGTCGAGGCGGAGGCTCAACAATTGCGCTTGTTACTTCGCGAAGCGAACAAGCGGGTGGACGATGTCCAGGAGAAACTTAACGAGGAACGACGACGAGGCCACAACCACGAGCTCGAGCAATGCCAACTTCGCGCTCAACTTGTGACTTTGCGCGCCCAGCTTACCCGCGCATTCTCCGAAACCGGCAACCTGCGCAAGGAGCTCGCCGAGAAGGAGAATGCCCTGCAGGAGAAGGGTAAGAGTCTCAACGACGCAAGCGTCAAACTCGCCGTCCTTCGCGGCTACGCCTCTGAGAACGGGGTCTCCGTGGAGGAGGACGACTTACGCCCCTCGTCACGTGCTAACGGTGCCGCTTCCCCTGTGGTCCAAGACCTGGAATCCCGACTCGCTGAGAAGACTCGTCAACATGATAACCTCCAACGTGAACTTGTCCAGGTCAACAGGAAATTCCGCGATGCAGAAGCCCAGGTTACCGACCTTTCCATTCAGCTCAACCAAGCCCGATCAGGTCAAAGTCCAACGAACAACGGCGACGCTGACACTGATGCTCGTGTGGCCGAGATGGAGAAGAAGCTGGAGGAGACTGAGCGAACCTACAAGGACCGGCTGCATCAGATGGAGGAGGACTACCAGATCGCTGTTCATTACGTCAAGTAAGTGTCTGCTGTGCCGTTTCCTTCTTGCCTTGACGCTTATGCCTCCGTAGGGGAACTGAGAAAATGATGCGCAAAATGCGTGATGAGCTGAACAAACAGAAGAACATCAACCAGCAACTGCAGTCGGAGGCTGAAGGTCACAAACGCTCCGGGTCTAGGTCCGTGAACGGCCGCAACACTCCTTCTGAAGATGACTCTGGACTCCGCGCACAACTGGTTGACACGCAACGTCAGGCCCAGCGTATTCAGAACGAGAACAAGGAACTTCGTCTCCGCCTGGAAAGCCTGGAGAAGGACTTGTCCAACCTTCGCGAGTCCCTCGTTTCCTCGCAACGAGAGTCAGACGACCGAATGCTCCAGATCGATGAGCTCAACCATGAAGTCGAGCGACTTAAGGCTTCTCTGGTCATTGCCCGTGGTGGTCACGACGAGACCCTTCTCGAGAAGCTGAGCAGCGAAAATACTACCCTCCGTCGCGAAAACGAACAGTTACAACACAAGATCCGTCTACTCCTAGAGGTTGACCAATCGCCATTCGGTCAACGACCCTTGTCGGGTGTTTCTGGACGCAGAGCAAGCACGTCAAGTTCAGAGAATGCCCTCGCCTTTGAGCACCTATCCAACGAACTCGAAGACTGGCAAAGGCAGCTGGCTAGCTCGATGAGCACGCGCAGACCGCTGAGCGACTTCGACTCGACCCCAACAGGACCTGAGAGAGCCAGGTCTCCTCGGTCATAACATTCGTTCCTTTCATCTATGTATATCTTGTATATACCCCTTGTGCGCGTCGTTTTCATACATTCGTTTGGATTTTGTCACAGTACAGTATTTGCTCCTTTTACTCATATGCTTTGTCTTGGTATTCACGTAGTCATTTTCTCGTTCGTTCAAAATTATATAGCTCATGACTGTCACGCTCCAGATATTATCCGTATTTATTAGCCTCAAAACCATCGTTACATTGTACTCATGATGCGTTATCCGACGCCGCAGCTTTTTGAGTCCATTCCACTGCCTTTCGCTTCACGTTCTCGACGCCTTCATCATCTCCAAGACGTTTCTCGAGGTCAAGCCACTTTTTGAAAAAGGATTTGGCCTTGTGACTGGTCATTTTGAGTGTAAGAACGCGCTCGAAAAGGTTGCTGAAATAACTGGTCAGTCGTGACAAGTCTTTGAGCGGGGTATTTGCACTCACCGAATTGCTGGAATGTTCTGCTGAACACCCTCCATGTCGATGTACACGGACCAAAGGTCCCACCGCTTTGGATGAGAATCGACGATTCCTTCGAATAGGGTTCGGCCGCGCTCAGGCTCGCCTAGCTTGTATTCCAACTGAGCGAACCTAGAGATAGTCTTGAGGTCTGTTGTGCGCAAAGATTGTCGATTGGTCGGACACGGTGGAAATTTGGCTTGGACTCACGCTTTCGCTTTTCGAGACTTTGTAGACTGCGAGGCAGTAACTTTCTCGACTCCTCCAACTTCCCAAGTTTTAGGTAGTGCTCGCTGAACAGGGTCCAGACCTTGCAACTCTTGCCGAATTTCTTGCAAGTACGCTGGAATTGTTGTTCCGCTTTCTGTAGAAAAAGTTCTGTTGAGAAAGCTCCAAGATGCCTATGGCAGTTCAGCTCACCTCGGGCTTGCCGGATTGGTCAAAAATGGCTGCCAGACGAAGATGAATAGTCTTCGAATCATTCGCTCTTGCTGCATCCTTGAAAGTGGCCTCCAACGACTCCTCCGTTCCGTACACATTCTCCAAGTTGAGAAGTGCAATCCAAACGTTGAGGCGCTCTTGTTCTTCGCGGAAGTTGATGGTCTGAATTGCTCTCTTGGCGATTTCTCGTGCCTTGTCGACTTCGGAGATCTGGAGTTGGAAAGACATGTACTGGATCCAGAGGTAAGAGAAGTTCGGTGAGCCAAGGAGAAGACGTTCGAAATCAGAGTTGGAGTCCGGCAACTTGGTGTGCATGTCGGCCGTGAGGTCTTGCTGAATCTCTTTTTTCCTCTTCTTCCTCCTTTTCTTCGACCCATCTTCATGCTCATCGTCAGAAGATTCGTCGGCCTCGCTCTCATCCCCCGATTCTTGATTCTGGTCGAACCACTGGAATCCACCTGATAGAGTCAGTGATGGAGCGGATGTCGAGGGCTGTTGGGATTGCGAAGGTTTTGTTGCCGATGGAGTTGGCATGGCCAAAGAGGTGTCATCCAAATCGACTTGCATTGCGTCGTCGTCACTGTCGGATGCCTCATCCTTATCACTAGGCCCTTCTTGATGTTCTCCCTCTTCTTCACCTTCAGATTCATCGTCAGTGATGACTCCAAACGACTCCGGGGCCTCAGCTTGGGAGCCGTCCTCCTCTTCGTCCTCTTCGAAGTCGCCTTCACCAAAGAGGGAAGGTTTCAAGCTCAAGGAAATGCGGCCCTTCTCTGACGCGATGACAGCAGCTTTCACAAGGTCTCCGACTCTGAATTGGCGCAGAGCTTCTGCGACATCGGCGTCCGGATTATCAGAGAGCTGTAGGGGTGTTAACTTCAGCTTCGCGTAGACGGAAAGAACCAGCTTACCTGAGTCTTGTGGCAGAGGCCAGTCAGCTTTGTTCCCTTGATTTCGATGAACAGCCCATAGTGCTCAATTCGCTTGATGACACCGCTAATCTTTTGGCCCTCTTTGACGGTGTCTTTGAGAGACTTCTTCTCTCGAGATAGGTCGCCAGATTTGAAGGTTAGCTCCACTTGGTTGTTATCGACGTCGATGCTGATAACGATTGAGTAAATGGTGGATTTAGAACTATAGCTACTTACCTCAGAACTCTGCCTTTGACCAGCTGTCGTTCTTTGAACCGAGGTTTCCAGTCTTTGACATACTGTCGAGGACAAATAAGCCTTGAGCGTATCATTAGTCAGGAAAAGCACCATACCTCGTCGAAGAGTTCGCGGATCTGAACACGAGCGTCAATGCCTCTGCCAATGGTAACGAACAGGCCCTGGTTTGCAATGTTCTTGACGAAACCGCGGACGGTATCCCCGACTTGGAGGTCCGAGAGCTCGCTTATCTCCCGGTCAGTGACATCGTGACTCTTATTCGGCAAGAGTCGAGATTCACGAGTGGAGAGAGTAAGCTGCTGCTTGTCCTTGTCAACGCGCACCACCGAAGCGGTAATCAACGAGTCCACAGGAGGGAAGGCCTTGTCGACGTCGTAATCGTCAGCAGTATCGGTAGGGTGGAGAATGCCACTGATTTTGGAAGTGATCTTAACCAGGGCGCCCTGTTTGGTATGTCGAAGAACACGACCGCCTACTTGCTGTCCAACCGCGACAGTCTCCAGTGACACCTGTCCTTTCAGCGGTGCAGCAGCCTTGGGTTTGGGTTTCGTGGTGACGATGACGATGCCTTTCTCTGGATTCTTCGTGGCCACGATCAAGTCCTCAATGGAATCGCCCGGCTTGACCAGTTTGTGAACTTGGGCAGGAGAGATGTTTCGGTGGCTGGCTAGACTCTTGACGGTCAGAAGAGCGCGAACTTTAGTGGGTTGCAATGTGATAACGATGTGTTCAGCATGAACTTCCGCGATAGTTCCCCCTACGGCCTCTCCTTCTTCAACGACGTTGACATCCACCACGGGCGTCTGGCTCACGGCTGCTTGCCGGATGCTCGCAGTGATACGACCTTGCTCCCGGTCAACGGATTGTATCCTAACACGGACAGCTCTTCCAACCGAGAATGCATCAGCAAGCTTGACAGTGTGCGACTCGCTGTATTGCAGGTGTTAGGACAATATTTAACATATCAGTCAACTCGACGACACACCTCGCTTCTTTAGCGGACACAGAGGCCTTTAGATTGTTGAAGAATTCGACCATCAGGTGCTTTTCGAGTACTTTGAAGATGACACCATGCGTGACAGTTCCGACCTTTACATCCCCAACATTGGAGACAATCGGTAGATCAGATTCAAGTAGTGTTTTCTTCGCGGTCAAGGATATACGTTTGCGGTCCGAGTCGACAACTAACACCTAGGAGGAGACTGTCAGGGGAGACCAACGACAATTTCACCAGACGTACTTTGCATTTGATAGGATTACCGGGTTTGAATCGTCGAGTGGGGTGCTTCAATCTGATGTCCGCAAAGTGATTGGGCCAGATGACACCGTCAATGTTGCCGGATAGAGAAACGAAGATTGCCGAATCCGAGACGCTCTTGATTGTGCCCTTGACAATCTCGCCGGGTTTGAAGTCCTCCAGTTGCAAGAATTTTTGTTCGAAAATTGAAGGTTTCAAAGACAGTTGTAATAGGCCGTCGAAAGAATGGTATCCCGTCACACGTGCCCTGTGCAAGGTATTTACTTTCCATGGCCCGGTGGGAGACACGCTGGGAAGATGGTCGTCGGAGATGTGTGAAATCTGAAGGCAGGATGAGTGACGGGAACCACGTTAAGAACCGAACTCCTTACATGTGCAAACCCTTCCTGCCCTGGAGCAACTTCCAGGAAAAGACCTCGCTCAGGTTCAACCTTGACCACCTTGACAGAGTCCAGTATATGGCCAAATGGATAGGCTTCTTCAAGGCGCTGCGTCGAGGCAGGGTTTTCATCCGATAACTGAACATTGGCGAGGCCGACAATGTGCTCGGCGAGCGCTACCGCGAGCCGAGGTGGCTCTGTCGAATATTGGTATAACACCCTTCCCTTGACCTTCTGACCAATTTTTGGCGGCCCGCTTCTCCTCAGGTGAATGCGATCAACAGAGCCTTCGAAGAAGCCGAGAATTTGCAGGATAACACCGTCGGCGCCGACATCGGTCACAAGTGCTTGAACCAAGGACCCAGGAATGATAGAGGTAACGGAGGAGACTTCCGTAATCTTTGGCAAAGTGAGGAGACGTTGCGATTCAGAGAGCTGAGGATACTGACCGCAGATGATGTGAACGTTGAAGGCGAAGCGGTAACAGTGCACGTCCTCTTGTTCGCAGCGAGCTTCGATACTGTGACGTTGCAGAGTTGTCCTACAGCGAGCTTGGAGCTGCCCTCGACTTCCTTGGCATCCTTGAAGGACAGGAATCCATCGGCATTCGGGATACCTAGGTCTAGGATGTAACCATGGTCTTCAACACTTTTCACCGCAGCTGTCAAAGTCTGTGAAGAGAATAAGAATTGGTTCAAAGTTCACGAAGCTTGACGTACGAATCCAGACTTCAAATCATCGACTCGCACTCCCTCGTTCACTAGGTCAGGCGAAAGCGATAGTTCCACCCGTTTACACAACTTTGCCAACTCGTCCCGCGACCTGTACAGCCCTGACGGGTCACTTGCGCCGCCCTGGAAGGTCGCCGTAACCACTGCCCTAACATACTGCCCGATAGCGAACATTTGGCCGAGGTCTGGTGTCGTCTGTCGGGGCCTGTCTTCTTCCCCATCTGAGTCTGAATCCTCCATATCTTCATCTTCGTCCATTCGCTCAAGCTGCTGCGTGTATTCGCGAGAGATGTTGGTGATAGGTATATGACCCAATAGTTGATTTGGAAGAGATACAAGCAAGGTCAATGGGAGGATCCCAACAATTTGACCCATAATCTTCATCCCAGGGTTCAGGCGCTAAAGGTGATGTGAATATAAGGAACTGACGTGGATTTACTTGAACAATACCTTGTAGTTCAGGTGCTCTATCCGAATTTTGTCCTTTTTTCCCTCCTTGGACGTGGACTTCTCAGTAGTCTTTTTGCGTTTCTTGGAGGGCTTTGCCGATTCCTGTATATTGTGAGCAGGTTGGAGGCTCATATAGAGTGCGTTCGCACCTTGAATAGCTCAGCATCTGCCTCTTTGGCAGCCTCCGCACGGATAGTCTTTACTTCCAAAGCGGTCAGCGACGACCCCCCGCCTCTTGGAAAGTCAATCTCGTCCGCATTGAGGAGGGAGCTCGTGGGTTGGGCGGGTTGCAGATTTTCCTTTGGCTTTACGCTGTCTTCATTTTTGCGTTTCTTCGCCTTGTGTGATGTCGATGAATCTTCCAAGGCCCGCTTTTGTGAAACCATTTCACTGGTTCCAAAGGGTTAAGTTGCGGTAGAGGTTGAGGACAGAATTTTTTGATCGCGAATCAAAAAGGAAATGCTCGTGTACTGGCCGCGCCCATGCCAAGCGCTGACAAACCCCCTCACCCCTTGCCTTCTACTTTCAACATCTCTGGCTTCGACCAGCTTGCCGCGCAATTAAATCATGGGTACGTGAAGACTACAATATTTATACGATGCCCTACTGACATACTATGAAGATTACCAGGTTAGTGAAGCAGCAATTCATGCTCTGTCAACTACACCGGCTGAACCTCTGTACAGAATCGTGTTGGCTCCAAGTTCGGAGGCGGTGGTGTCGCGGGCGCGTCTGAATCGAATGTAGACAGACGAGAACGTCTGCGAAAGCTTGCCTTGGAGACAATCGACCTTGCCAAGGTGCGTAACTCATATACTGAACTCCAAGCGTTTACTCATCCACAATCCAGGACCCCTACATCCTTCGCAACCACCTTGGTTCACTAGAATGTCGTCTCTGCTTAACGTTACACACAAACGAAGGCTCCTACCTTGCCCATACACAAGGAAAGAAACATCAAACGAACCTTGCGCGTCGTGCAGCCCGAGATGCGAAAGAAACACAGTTAACGGTCACTCCCGCACAAAGCAATGTGCAACGAAAAGTCTTCTTGAAGATTGGACGGCCTGGCTATCGCGTCACTAAAATACGTGATAGGGACACTGGAAAGGAGGGCATGATGGTCCAGGTCCATTTGCCTCAAATCAAGCCCGGGGTTATGCCACGGCGGAGGTTCATGAGTGCATGGGAGCAGAAAAGGGAGCCACCGAACAAGGCATACCAATACCTCATTGTGAGTTACTCATTGCGTGTTTCTCGAATGAACCCTCATGCTGTCCTCAGGTTGCTGCAGAACCTTATGAGACGATCGCATTCCGCATCCCCGCACGAGAGATCGAAGATGAGAGCGACGACGCTGGTCACTGGAATTGGTCGCACTGGGACCCAGACACCAAGCAATACAGCTTCCAATTCATGTTCCGCCTTCAATACTAACTTCCTTTGTACATTTATTTTGTCTCTTTTTGTAATCCCATTGTATATTGAGCCCAGGTCTTGTGTGTGCTACAGGGTCCATAAACTGTGCTAAAAGCCAAGTCCAGAAAATCGAAGAGAGAGAAAGACGTCTAATGGTTAAACAACATCGGAAACGAAAGCTAGAGGTATACACAAGGATATTACATCGTCTGTAAAAGCGAAGTTGGTAATACATAAGGTATATGTCGTGAATGTCGTGCGTGAATCGTCGATAATGATACACATCATCACAGGTTTGTTCGGCGCTTGCTCAGCCTTTTCGCGCCTGGCTTAGGACGAGGGGGTTCCGGAGGGAGGATGACAGGCTCGAACCTCAGAGGTTCTGAAGGAGCAATCTCTCCGGGTCGCGGTACGGGAGGAATGTAACTATTCCTTTTCTTCAGCTTACGACCGGCGGCGGAAGTAGAATCCAGTTTTGATTCTTGCGAAAGAATAGGGAGAAGGACATTAGGCGGTGAAGGCTCTCGACTCGCTAACATCGATTGGGGAGGAGCAGGGACCCCTGGTGCCGATGATGGATGTTGCACTGGCTCAGGGCGAGGACGGAAGATCCCCGAATACAGCTGCTTTCCTGCGGCAGCCTGCTGCTGAACCATGTTCTGATACTGGGGTTGGAGAGGCGTTGGCATGACGAGCTTCTTGGGCAGATGTCTATGCACGGGAGGTGGTCGAAGAGCCATGGAAGAAGGGGCGTAGGATGTGATTGATCTGGCACGGTTGCTTGCGCTGTCTTCTGGGCGAAGAGATGACGCATTATCGGGAAAATAACGTGGCTGTTGTTGCGATGGTGGAACGCTGGGTCGGGACATCGGCGGGCGAGCTTGCCTTGCATTTTCTTGCTCGGGTGGTTGAGGGAAAGGTGGGTTCGGCTGAGGAGAAGGTGACTTGATTCCTCCATAAGCTTCCATATCCTCTTTGTCTGGCCCAGCTTGGAAGGTGGGTTCAACAGCGTTCACAACTCGCAGAGGTCGTCGCTCCTCTTCTGATTCGGTCGATGAACGGGGCGTAGTCTCCTTCGGGTGTGCTGGGATTTGCCCATTTCCCCTATTTGTGGGCATATACGCAGGGGGCTGACGGTTGGGTTTGGTCGAGACGGCTGAGCCATTTTCCATTTCCTGACTGCCAGGGCTTCGATTAGTTGGTGGTGGGACCTGTCCTCCGTTGAATGTGAGAGACGACATCTGAGACGCAGGCATCAAAGGTGTCCTATTTTGGGGGTTAGGCGCATGCGTAGCCGGCTTGAGGCTTGCGGGGACCTGATAAGCGACAGGCTGTATCTTCGTGCCAGGTGGGTAGAGATGTTGAGGATACACCTGTCCAACTTCGACGCGGATGTGCGAACCGTACGGTGCACTGGGCACGTTGCTCGAGTGGGACGGTACACGAGAGGACTTGGACCTATTCGGCGACTGAGAAGGAGCGACGTTGACCTTGCGTGATTTACCGAGTGGTTTGTCATCCTCCTGAATTGGCGAAAGTTGTGAACGCGAAGAACTTGCGACACTGGCTCTACTCTGCGACCGTGCTGCATAGATGATGTTCGAGCGGGAATCTTGTATGGAAGGGGCCGGTCGTTTCTTAGATGCAGGCTGCGCTGGTTGAGGGTAACGATCGAATGTTTCCGAGCCGAAGTTATGCATGAGGGTGGGTATCGAGGGAAAGGCCGGCGGGATCATCTGTTGCTGCCTCTTCGGATCCGTCTTCTTCTTGAGCAACATGAGGGCGGTTACAGCTGGCTTGCTATGGGGCACCACTGCTGAATGGCCGTCGTCCGCCTTGTTGCTGGAATAGGACTGGTAGCTGCCTGAGGATAGGCGAGTCGATATGGTGTCACTTCTTTGCAGTGGTTTCTGCACCCCTGCAGGTCGCCGATCGACCGGACTTTCAGTGTTTCCAGAACGAAGGTGAGGAGGAACGTAAGTAGGCTCGGGACGTTGCGCAGGAGGGAACGTAGTGATATCTGGAGAAATCGGGGGATTAGGTGGGAGCTGTTTATCATATCGTGCTGCTCGAGAAGCATGGATCTGAGTTGATGCAACACCGACGTCATCGACTTCAGGTTTCGCAGAAACCTCGTCAGGCAAAATATCGACCCTGTTCGTCAGTGGTTGACTAGTTGATATGGGAATCTGTATCGCTTCGCCGATCCGTTCCTGGTCGAGATCCTTTAGTTTCGGTGGTGAGGTGTCCTCGACGTGGAGTTGAGCATGCTCGTCCTCCTTGGCAGTTGTGATGTCAGTTCGCACACCTGCCTCCGCAACTGGGACAGCCGCTGGCGTAACTGGGAGCTCCTCGTCTCTTTGAACCAGTGTTTCTTCAGAACCTGCACCAGCGTGTAGGCGGGGTCGTGGGGATAACGAATCAGCGGAGGCGTCTTCATGCGGTGATTCGAGTAGGTGGGTAAGGTCCTCTGTCTGTACACCAGCCGGAAGTCCGTCGAATTGGTTGTTCCTGACGGCTCCAGCTCCATGAGCGTGGAACTCGTCCTCCGACATAGGGATGAGACGGGGGAGGGGCATGAACGAATCGTCGTTAACATCATCGTTTGTTGGCTGGTGGGCTGCAGAAGGGTGCTCGAGACTTTTCGGGTCGTAAGGGTCGAACTCGGGTTCGAGCTCTTCGATCTGGGTGGGTTCCACGACTGGTATTACTTCACTACCAGCCACCTCTACCCACTCTTCTTCCTCCTCCTCCTCCCGTTGATGATTTCCGTGGGCGGCGGGTGGGGGGCTGTCTTCACTGGCCTCTTTGAGCATGGCCAGACCTATCACCGACATGGGGTCGAAAGGGGGCCCATCCAGTGGGTTATCGTTCGCAGCAGCCGGGTTACGATTCCTTCGTCCATTCTTCGCTGGATTGTTATGGAACGGGATTTGGTTGTAGTTCTGGTGTCTCGGAGGGATGGTGGGCTCAGATGCGAATGGCTGCGCAGCAGTCGACTCGGACTGAGGTGGGAGCGGTGAGACGATGTTTCGGAAACGAGGCGCTTTGCGTTGTTCCCGCTTGAAATTGCGAGGGAGGAGTTGGCCGGGTTCAAGGTTCAAAGGAACGCCATCAGGGGCTTTGGGCAGTTCGTATAGCTGCGCGGTTTATGATTTAGAAGGGTGGATGTATATGGTAACAGAAGGACTCACATGCCCGCTTGTCTTCAAGGTCTTTTCGTGATACTGATACAAGCGCCCGTCATTCTGATAACCTAGTGGCATGCGCGAAGAGGAACCAAGTATAGCTTTGATACCTTCGTAGGGGCCGTCGTGGTGTAGAGAGATGCCAAATAGGTTGCTCTCATCCAACTCGTCGATTCTGTCCAAGTCATGCTTCCGTTTCAGATTGGCTGTGCGGTCTTGTGAGGCCGTCGTGATTGGCGATGGCGATGCGATGTTCCGGTCCCCGGCTTCTGATACCTGTGGTCGTGGTGCGGCTTGGCGTGGTTGGGGCGCTGAGTTGTGCCGTTGCAGTTGAGGCTGCTGCTCCTGTCGTCCCAGGGTTTCGAGAGTGACATGTCCATCATGGCTCTGGCTCGTCTTGTGCGTCTTCCCATTAATATCCTTGTTCCCTCTCTTCTTCGTCAACACCCCAAGTCGTTTCACTAACTTGTTTCGCTCAGGCTCCGCCTGCGGGCCTGAGGTGACCATCGATGTGGGTGGTGGTGGAGATAAGATATGAAGACTGGAGGCAGGGTCGTGGCCGTGGACTTTGGTATTTGTGGAAGCGCGGAACCGGTGTGTCGAGGATGGACCATGGCTATTGTCGCCCGCACTGCTAAGCGACATAGGGGAGTTGGGTGGTTGTATCAGCTCAACTTCCGAATCTGAATTCGAATCGCTATTGTTGTCCAAGGCTGTCCTCGCAACTGGTTGCCGTCGCCGTCGACCCAAAGTAGGATGCCCAGGGGGAAGCTGTTGAAGGGTCTGTCCCGTGACATAGTTATATGGATTGGATAAAGGGTCTGCTGAAAAGGCGCTATCCTCTAACAGGGACGGCGGCAAATTGAGCGTCTTGGGTGGAATCCGTCGAGGGGTTTGTGAGGATTTGGGAATTCGAAGGCGTAGCTTCATCGACGACAGCGTCAACGTCGTGGCAGGAGCGCAAGAACGGCACCCATTCGCTAGGGGAAGACCGGGATTCTTTACTGCGTGCTGTGGACCGACTCTTTTAAGATTTACCCTCCGGCAAACATCCACGTTTCTCTCTTGCCTGATCGGATAGGTGTTTTTAAGACATCTACATTGATAGTACGGAACCGCAGGCTAATCCTCAGCCGAATGGACTTGAGATTCGGACAAATAAGTATATTACTTTGCTAGAAAACAATGTCGACAGCTACAATAAGTTATATGCATGGTGACGTCCAAAGTTGAAAACAGAACAGAACTTGCTAGAACAATCTTTCAGATGACTCTGCGGATTGGGACTCCTTTCACCCCCTCTCTGGCGGGAGGGGCAGTTGGTCGAACAACGACAGAAGGGGCAGGCAGCCTGCTGATACCGCTACGCCCGGAGGGCAAAGGGATCGAAGATGCTCCCGTGGCTTTCGAAGCGGGTCTCGGGAGGCTGGTGGCAGGTGCTGCAACCTGCCTCAAACTGGACCCTCTGGCGCTGGTACCCATAGTTGAGCCTGCAATCGGCACACGACGAGGGCCACCCGTGGCTACCGTGGACGACGGTACAGCTCTACCGGAGTTAGCTCGGGGAGCAGCTGCCGGTGGTCTCTGCTGGTCGTCCACCAAGACTCGACGAGGTCCGTCAGAACCTAGGGGGCGCCGTGCGACTGGAGCTGGGTTTGAGCGGGCAATATCTATTCTGGAGGTTGATGGGCGAACGGCTTTCAAGGTCGAAGTTGCCGATCCTGGCTGCGTCATAGGCTGAGACAAGCTCGGACGACGACTGGCGGAGGCGATCGGTGGCGAGGTCTTCTCTTTCTTCGGGACGACAGCCTCGATGGATTTCGCAATTGCTTCATTGGTCTTCTGCAGAGCAAGCTTGCTACGTTTGACGATCCGCAACCCGGCAACAGGAGGAGGAACTGGAATGGAGCGAATGTTCCTTGGAGTTGCAATGCCAGGGGTAGAAGGCTCGGAAGTCCGTGGAGGGCTGGGTGTTTGGAGTTTGCTGGCCCTAGCTTTGTTGAGACTGACTTTGGGAGTGCCTGCGCCAAGGAGTAAATAACGTTAACCGAAGAGGGCCTGGGTAGAACCAACCTGTATTAAAGACGTCTGCGGAATGCTTGAAACCATCATACCGAGGGAAGCTTCCTTCTGTAGGGGTCTCGGGACCTTAAGGGCATGTTAACATATGGAAAACGTAACTGAGATGAACGACTTACTGTATTCGTCAGGAAGTCCAAAGAGAGTGCCCTTGGCTTGTTCAACAACGCCGCTTTCCATATCTTCACAGTCTGAAGGGGATGGCTCTCGGATCATACGGGTCTCATCTCGAGTTTCCTCCTTGTCTGTGGTAGAAGCGAGAGCATCTAGCCTGGCTTCTTCAAAGTCCAAGTCGAAGCTTCCTTCACCAAAGTCGGGGATGCTGCACTCAAGTCCGTTTTTGTCGGTATCAAAGAACGAGATCTTGTCGTTGAGCAAATCGAAAGTGACTTCGGAATCCATGTGCAGTTGGAATGAAGCTTGAAGGTCAATCGAATGGCGACTAGAGTCAGCCGACGATGTGTTAGGAGGGTTTGGTCTCAACATTGAGAGATCCAGGGAGGTTGAAGCAGGTCCGGAGGCATCGCTGCTGATGGACAGGGAAAAAAGAGACGGGCTTGCGGCTTCGTCGATGAGAGACACGTCTCCGGCAGGCAAATTGGAGATATTCAGCGATGAAGCCGAGTTTCCAAGGGATGCACAAGGAGCGGGTGGGGACAAGTTTTCCTGAAGTGGAGGGCTCTGAACGGTTTCGGCCTTCGGCTCATCTTCGACGATATCCGGTTCGGTGATGACGATTTGAGGAGACACTACTTGGGCCAGCTTCGAGGGCACAGACAACTGACCCTTGAGAACCTTGTTGCGGAAGATAGGGGTCGCTTCTTGCTCGAGGGGTAGGTCAGCGAGTGGGGTTCTGGGATGAGAGGGTGAGGTTACGGGTGAGGTTACGGGTGAGGTTACACCGTGATGAGACGCTTTTGGTGTGGTCCATTTGGGTGTCGCGGCTTCAGCCATCTGGCGAAAGGTGAGCGTATCGTTCTCATTATCCTCCATTCCGGCCAAGGCTTTGTTAAACTCTTCCTCGTCCGAGTCCTCCTCGGTGGACCAGAGGGGTGCCGCGATGTTGTCGACGGTCACGTCTCCGACATCAACCAAACGGCGAGTCAAACGCTTCGGTGAAGGATGTTGGACCTTGTAGGTTCGATTAAAGAAGGTTGTTAAAGTGAGTTCGTTCCTTGGAGGGTCTTCGTTCTCCTTGTCAGAGTCGAGGTTGGGCGATTCCGAGTTGCGTGGAGGGGTCGAGGGCTCGGGCGTCGCTGAGAGTGGGTCGAACAAGGAGAGAATGCTGGGTCTTGGTCGTGAAATGTTCATGTCGTTCGTAAAAGGAAGAGTTTCGTAAAAAGAATGGTGTTGTGAGCGATGTGCGACGGTGTTGGCAAAGGGCAAAGTCCCGTGAGACCAACACGAACTGTTCAAGTGGCCTTGTTTGGCTCAACAGACGCGGCACGCGTCAAAACTTGTCCCCGTCCACCTTTCTCGCGCCATCCATGTCTGACCTCGCCTCTTTACGTGCTGAGATAAAGCAATGGGAACGACAATTTCGTGCAAAGGAGGGCAGAGACCCAGATGTAAACGAAATCAAGAAACGTCCAGAGATTGGTAGGTTTTCTGATCCAATATTCTGAAGGTGCCGGTTTCTAATATTCTCTAGCTCAGAAATATAAACAATACAAGAGACTTCAGAAGGCTGCAAAGGAATCGAAAGCAGCCCCCGAGGCCACCTCATCTGGATCCAGGACACCACCACCACCGGCCACGCCCTCCAGAAATGGTGGAAAGCGGGCAACGGCGTTGTCCACCAAGCGCGTCCTTGGTTCCACGGGCCCACTCTCGACATTCAATCCGTTCTCCCCTCAGAAGGCTAAAGCCAAAGACCAATTTCCAATTGCTCCCAAAACACCGCGTCCCCTCTCCAACCCCTTCACCAGTCCAGTCAAGTCAAGACCCCGAATAGAACAACCGGTGTTCTTACCGACAGGCGCTTCAAACAGTCGGTTTACATCTACCCCTGAGCCTCCCAATACCATTTCTCGAGCTAGAAAACGTCTACGCGGAGAACCCGTCTCTCCATCGCCCAACAAAGAGAAACGCAGGAGAAAGACAAGCCCAGAATTGTCGCTGCCTTTCCCTAAGCTCACCTTTAATATGCCTGACAGCGACGATGACGAGGAGGACGCGGAAACCCTGGTCGGAAATTCGTCGTTTGTTGACGATTCACCCGTTAAACCGGTGCCCTCGGCGAGAGGGTTCACCACCCTCTTCGAAGACACCGCCATTCCCTCGGGCGACATCTTTGGCTTGAATAAACGGCCGGCGAGCGCTGCGACGGAGGCTGATGTGTTTGATGGCCCACTACCCGGAAGCTCGACTCAACCCGGTCAACGACGAGCAGTTAAACAACCAAAGAACGCGAAGGCATCTAACGCAAAGTCGAAGATCTTCCCTCAGGCTAATGGCAAGCAACAAACCCTGACGCAATTCCTATCAGGTCCCAAGACATCTTCCGACAAGTCTCGTGCAATCAGTGAGGGTCCTCAATCAGTCCCTTCAGGGTCTGCTACCCCATCTGAGGAAGATCCGTCTACTCGTTCCCCAAAGCCGAGGAGCAAGTCCCCGCTCCTTCCCCCATCCCCTCCAGCAACAGGGACGACATCGTCAATAACTTATAAGAATAAAGGGAAGCGCAAAGCCGACCCCAATGGCGTCGATGGCAGGAAGAAAGCAAAGATGGCCGCTGATGAACAATCGGAAGACGACACGACCTCGGACGACCTGGCTGGCAAAGTCAAAGTTGTCCATCGAGCACGAACCGTGGAAGTCGCGTCCGATGATGACATGGGTTCAGACTACGACCCTGTTTTGACTTACCTGCGGCATGGGAAACAGCAGGGATCACACCTTTCAAGTCAAACGCGACCTGATACTACAACCACTGTGATCGATTTACCTGACAAGCTCCGAAACGTATTAGCGTTAGACGCGGACACGACCTCCACCGATCGCGAGGCGGAGAAGGTGTTCCAGTCCCTTGTTTACCGTCGTCGGGTATCACAGTACGACCCTAAGAAAGGCGAGATCTGGGACGTTGGAGAAGAGGAAGGGAGCGACGGGGAGGGGAAACTAGCAGGAGAGGATGATGAATGGGAAGGAGAGCCGGTCCCTTGGGAGGTGGCCGAACTGTAAAGGCTATGTCGGATATCTATTGAGTGACTTTTCGTTGGGTATCATTATCCACTGATGGTGTTTGAGATTATCTCAAGCTTCACAGGCAATATCTAATGAATGCAAGGATTCTTCATGCCATGGAACTGCCCCCGGCACGTGTGTGCCTCCTGGCTTTGACAGACGAACAACTAACACGGCCTCGCGACCTGTTCATCCATCGCCTACCACCTCGTCCCTGCAGCTGCGGGAACACAACTAACGGACTTAGTCCTGCAATTGCGCTGGCAATGATTTTCATGACCATGAACGTCTAACCAGCAAGCTGGAGGGTGACGATCTCGGTTGGGACCCCAACTCGGGATGAAGTTCGCCTCATGTTAACCTCACTCGACCCTTTCGTAAATGAACATGAAGACTCGTGTTCGAACTTATGATCGAAAGCAGCATACCAGGAAATGCCTTGCAGCAAGCAGCATGGCCACCTCGCTGCTGCGCCGTTTAAGTATCTTCGAGCTCCCTTCATCTCTCTTCACTTTTGCCCCTCTAGTGGGTTTTGCAGTCGCCATTCGACTGCCATTGCTTTGTGTCATTTCTAGGGAACGACTTATTTTCATCGACTACCTCTATGGCCACCCAGTCTAGGAACAAAAAGGGCCGCCGGACGTCTCAACACCCTATCTCGAAGGGTGAGCAAGCTATGCTCCCCGCTATTCTTCGTGACCCAGAGGCCGCCAAGAAACTCTTTGAAGCCATCTTGGACACACCCAACGGGAAGCGCGCTCTTTCCCGCCTTGCTCGGACTTGCCGTGCAATCTCTGAGCCAGCCCTCAATGTCCTGTGGAGGGACTTGGACTCCATCGTCCCCCTCCTTGGCTTGTTCCCTAACCATATTTTGAAGAAGGCCAAGCGACCTGGCCTGGGTTTCGTAAGTCCTGCTTAAGCCAGTATTTTTGTACGAGTCCCTCTGAGCTGAGCAAAATACTCGCATACAGGCCCAGATCCCTGAAGATGCCGACTGGGAAATCGTCTGCAAGTACTCAGAGCGAGTCCGACGCATCGCCTACGACGAGACCGCCAATAACGTTGCCGCCTCCGTCTTCCCTATCCTCGACGAGCAACGACCCTATTTGTACATCCTCCCCCACCTTCAGGAAATCATTTGGAAAGCAGAGACCCCAGCTGGCCTGGACCGATGCTCCATGTTCCTGACCCCCGAACTGCGGACTGTCCACCTTGAGTTGGGCGCCAACTTCAAGCAGCAACAGGTTGCAGCCTTTTTGGCTGACATGTCCAGCAGGTCGCTGCTTTCGTCTTTCTCGTTCAGCTCTCCTACCAGTTTACCAGACTCTTTCACGGAACTCCTCATCCGTCAAGAGAACATTGAGAAGATAGTCCTCGTTGCTCCCGGCGCTCTCTCGTCAGGCGTTGGACGTTGGGTTTCCAGCCTTCCCAAACTCAAGTCCTTGCAACTCGACCTCACCGGTCGTTCTCCCATTGCCGTCGAAGGTTTCTTCGACGAAATCCACCCTCGTTCGGGATGCTCCACCCCCAGCTCTATTTGCTCTACCGACAGTGGCATTTTCTCCGGCGAAGAGCTCGACTTTGCAGAGCTCCGTAGGTCTGCCTTGCGCTTGACCGATTACCTTCCCTCCAGGGAATCATTCGCACAATTGCGCCGAGTTCAACTTACAGGGGAGGTTGGCAACATTGCCGTCTTTTTAAAGCACCTCTCGAGTCCACTCGCACACCTCGACCTCCTCATCGACGACCCTCCCGACAATGCTGACTGGCAAGACCTCTGCTATCTCATTAGCGAGGCATTCAGCGACTCCTTGCAAACTCTGAAGATTTCTGCGAACGGCGCTACTAGATACGCCGACCTTCTTCGCTTGTCTTCGCGGGGGGAGCCGGCGTCCAACCGCCTTTCGTTGAAGCACCTCACCGACTTGACCTCTCTCACTCGGTTCGAGATCGACCTCCCCGAGTCCATTGTCTTCTTGCCAGAGGACTTGGAGGCTCTCGCTTTTGCGTGTCCCCGATTGGAGGTGCTTCGCCTCTGCCCGTTGGCGCGATTCGCACCCAACTCCACCGGACCCAGGATCACCCTGGAGAACCTCTCCATCCTGACCAAGCGCTGCAAGCACTTGCACACCATCGCCGCCGTTGTCCAGGCTGCTGAAGGTACCCCAGCCATTATGGAGTCGCCATCTTTTGCCTCCCACTCCTTGGTTCGCTTGCACGTGGGCCACTCTTGGATTGGTGACCCGCTGCAGGTCGCTATCCTTCTCAGCCACTTGGCTCCTCGCCTGGAGAATTTGCGATGGTTCCAAGAGAAGAATCGACCTGGGTTCAATGAGGCAAATGCCAAGAGCTGGCAGACGGCGTGTGATATGCTGCCCCATATCCAGCGTCTCCGAAGCCTCGAGAGGTCCTTTGCTCGTGCACCCCCTCCCAAGTACCCGAAGACTGCCAATGTTGGCATTGACGCCACGCCGATCTTGGTCAATCGAGGTGTAGCTGCGACTGGGCCTCGCATGGCCACCATGGGTATCCAATGCAACCCTGCACTCGTTAGCCGCTCAGTTGATGCTGTCAAGACTTCTGTATCCGCCTCTGTCGATGCGACACCACCCACTTGCGAGATGGCCGTTGAAGCCATGCCCGTGATGGTGTCCACAGAAATCGACGCAACAGTCGAGTGCGAATCCAAGGGTATCGACGCAACTCCACCACCCGCTGATGAGAAGACCCAACGTATTCTTGCTAGCAGCGTTCTCCGACAACTCTACCTCGTCCCTTCGATCCTCGGGTTCTTCTCGTTCGTCTACAAATACCTCATCACCTACCCCATGGCCATTCCTTCACGCGTCGGCCTCCAGCTATTGACCGCAACCAAGTACCCGTTCGCTAAAAGGGAGCCTAACTTCTCGCTGGTCTCCAGTGGAACGCAGGTAAACAGCGCTTCTCCAAACCAGACCGAAATACCTTTGGACACGATTTCGACCGTCTGCATCTAATGGCTTCCACCATATGCCCCTATATGCCGTTCCGTTTTTTCGTACCTTCTCTTCCAGGACAATCAACCCACTTATGCTCTATGTATCTATGCCCAGTATGCCTATGCCTATGCCAATACATTCTTTTCCTTCCCTGCGCGAAAGTCCAAGTAAGGTGGCCGACCGAGCCGGAGACGTCATCTTCCCCCTGACACAAACAGAGACCAACAACACCACGACGCGTCACCGTGACCGCGAATGCACTAAACGTCCACTTAAATCCTCCACTACTTACCGCTTCATTATGGCCGACAACAAGAAACAAGAGAAAGACTTTACCAAGGAGGTCGATGCACTTCTTCCAGAGGCTGAAGCCCTCGCTAAAGTGCGTGGATCAGGTTTCTCAAGGTACCTGAAGAGACTAATTAATGGGATGGTCGATAGTCCGGCAAAGTACAAGAGGCGCTCGACAAGATTCTAGCCCAGGAGAAGTTGACAAGAAATGTTAGTCGAACACAATAGACGATGCAGCAAATCTAACATGGATTTCTAGGCAGCCGATCTATCTTCTACGACGCGATTAGCCAAAGCCGCTGTCCAACACTGTTACGATGCCCGCGATTACCCGCTTCTCAACTCTACCATCCTCCTCCTCAGCAAGAAGCACGGTCAGCTCAAGGCCGTGATTCAATCCTTTGTCGAGCTGGTCATTACTTGGCTACCAGAAGTCAAAAAGCGGGATGGGGAGGAACGATGGCTTGAGCTTTTGGATACGTTGCGAACGGTGACGGAGGGCAAGGTTCGTGCATCCCGATGTCAAGGCAAGACCTTGACTTACGCATGGCCAGATCTTCCTCGAAACGCCCCGAGCTCGTGTAACACTCCTTCTCTCCAAGCACCATGAAGAACAAGTGCTTTCAGGGAAAGCTAAGGACCCCAAAGAGGCATTGCAAACTGCCTCTGACCTCCTTTCGGATCTGCAAGTCGAAACCTACTCTTCGATGGAGAGACGGGAGAAGACTGAATTCATCCTCGAACAAATGCGACTGTTGATTAAAGTGGCTCGATCGAAGGATGCAGAAAAGGGCAAGAAGGACAGCAAAGATGCGTTGGGTGGAGGTGAGGCGGAATGGGTCAAGGTGCGAGTCGGTGGACGAAAGGTCAATGAGGAGTTCCTCAAGGAGGAGGAGAACGAGGTATGCAATCTAGTTTTCTGCCTCAAAACACAGATCTGACTGTTCAATAGGACCTCAAACTCAAATACTACGAAATGATGATCCAATACGCCTTGCAACACGACGCTTATCTTGACGCTGCCAAATACTATGAGAAAGTATGGGAAACCCCATCTATTAAGAAGGACGACGAGATTAGAGGCCGAGCTGTAAGTGCACCTCTCATCGAGTGTTTACTCGTTCTAATGACTTGGAATAGGCACTAGAACATATTGTCTACTACGTTGTTCTCGCACCATACGATAACGAACAGTCAAACATGTTGCATCACCTTCACGCGAACCCGGCTCTCACCAAACTGGAATTGCAAGCGTAAGTGGTCGTTCCACCGCATAGGAAAAAAGTGTTAATTCTGTCGCAGCAATCTCGTGAAATGTTTCGTGACGGAGGAACTGATGAGATGGCCAGGGATCGAGGCTATGTATGGCAAGGTCCTGAAGCAGACGCCCGTATTCAGCGTGGAGAAGCGCTGGGAAGACCTCCATACGCGGGTTATTGAACATGTAAGCACCAACTGCCTCAACGCTTGGTCGTCCACTCAATTACTCTTAGAATATCCGAGTGGTGTCCAAATATTACACGCGGATAACATTGGCCCGACTTGCTAGTCTGCTCGACCTCTCAACCAAGCAAACAGAAGAAATCCTTTCTCGTCTCGTCGTTTCGGGAACCATCTGGGCAAGGATCGACAGGCCTGCGGGTATCATCGACTTCCGAAAGCCTCGCAATACGGAAGATGTCATGAACGACTGGAGTTCAGATATGCAGAAGCTTCTTTCGTTGGTGGAGAAGACGTGGATGGGCATGAACGCAGCGCAAGCTGCCCAGTCGAGAATAGCTGCGGCAAAGACAAAAGCATGACGCGGCATCTAGCATCTTCATTAGTTCATAATACCAGTACTTCACCTCGCCATTGTACCTTGCCATTTCTAGTTCCAGGTGCCCGTTCAGTGTTTGAGATGGTTCAGCGTTAGAGTCTGGAGTAAGATTAAAGATGAGTATAACCGGATTAGTCTAGTGGTGTACGATGCATAGCGCTGGCAAGCGTCTACTCTGCCAATATGGGTGAATAGTCTGGACGAACACCCTCCTTCCACAGCCTGACATATTCTTCTCCCTTGGTCCACTGGTCTACTCCGTCCCGCTTCTCTACAATGGCCTTCCATCGTTTTCGAGCAGCCAATGCACCCTCATCCTTCTTCTCCTTGAGTTGCCAGGTTTCCAGCGCCTCTGCTTCCTTTTGGAATGTCCTGTCGACCTCGTCAGGTGCAAATGTTCCTCCGAGAGCCTCTGCTTCCATTACTGCGAATACGGTGGCGACGTGGTGCTCAGAGCGGAGGGCACGGAATTGAGCGACAGAGCGGGCGTAGGCTTCGCTGAGCGAAACTCCGTGGTATTGATAGAGATTCAAGGCATATTGGATGGCGCTATAGTCGGTCAGAACATGAACAGCAGTGATATATCCTGTGTGACATACTCTTCAGGTGTGGGATTCCTGCCTCGCTGCCTCAACCGCGTCCAGTTCTCGCCCTTGACAGGGTGAGCATCATGAATCCTATCCGCCTCCACAAGTGTACGTGGTCGGAACGCTTCAAAGGGGTGGTCCCGGAAGAATTGTCTTCTCAAGTCATCTTCAATATAGTAAATGGGTAGCGGTTTGGGGTTTTTGGGATACGCCTGTAGCGGTGCGAGCTGGGGTTTGCGGTCGTATGCTGTTCGCGCTGGAGGAGCTTTTGGTGGCAGGGCGAGCGGGGGGTTGTCGAGGACGGCTTTGAACCAGACAGGCTCTTTCTTGATGTAACCTCCTCGCATTAAGCGGGAGACTTGTTGGTGCACCTGCGACGCGATTCTACGAACCATCCTGACACCGTCCCTCGTTTACTCAACTTGGTTTCGTGTAACACCGCGTCCGTTTTTCTGACCGGTGGCAGTGTCGACTCCAAACATGTGCAAAGAAAAGACTTGGGCGCTTTTACGGATCACACCCAGTTCAACTTTAGACGCTTGCGGGAAAACAAGTTGAAATGTAGAAATACTGATACATGAAGCGGGTAGTATTAGAGTCTAGATAAAAGGGCCCTCTTGCTAGGCAGAGTCTTCGCCTTCTCTCTCAAAATCCGGCGCAGCTGATGGCAGGTGAACCTCACGTCATCCTATTCAAAGGCTTAGAGAACACGTACAATCTTTCCCGAAGGGTTCTTAGGAATGGCGTCGATAAACTCAACCCCTCCTGCAAGGCGCTTATATGGGACCTTTACATCGGCGACGTGCTGTAGGAATTGAATTTAGATACTATTCGTGCTCTTTAGTCTCGGAAAACCCACCTTTGCGATGGCTTTCTTAAGATCCTCCGCCTTCCGCGGATTGTTGCCTATCCGTTCGGTCGCTGGTCTTGAAAGGACTACGTAAGCTAACGGAACCTCCCCACTATACTCATCAGCTTTAGGAACGACGCAAGCATCAGCGACGTCGGGGTGCAACAACAAATGTGCTTCCAGTTCTGCAGGCGCCACTTGGAAACCACGAACTTTCATAATTTCCTGCACAAGGTTGAGCTAACTGCACGGCCGAAGATGTTTGGGACTCGCCTTCAGTCGGTCGACAACGTAGACCTCATTGTCTTTGATGACAACTTCATCTCCAGTGCGAACCCATCCATCCACATACGTTTCAGCAGTAGCTTTCGGGTTGTTCAAGTAGCCCAGAGACATTGAAGGGCCGGTGACGACCAACTCTCCCACTTCACCCTCACTTGCCAGACTTCCATCCTCCTTCACAACCCTGGCTGTAATTCCGGGGAGTATCTGGCCGGCACTTCCGATGCGGCCCAATTTGACATTGGGAGGCACCATAGAAATGGTGGTGCAGGTCTCCGTCAGCCCTGAAGACGGTCAGACGCCGCTCTAGATATCGCGCCCAAGGGCGACTTACCATAGCCTTGTCCGATGACTGCATTCGGCAAGATCTTGGTTAGCTGTTGCATCAGCTCGCCTCCCAACGGCGCCGCTCCAGAAAAGCAGAATTTAACACGGCTAAGGTCGTACTTCCTGACCTCTGGGTGCTGAAAGAGAGTTAGATCGCACTCTGTGTGGTAGAGCTGTGTGGAAATACCTTGCAGAGAAGCACCACCTGCGGAGGTACGACGCTATTTCGTGAAGTCAGTTTGTTGCGCTCGAACCTTTCGAGGGAAAGTTAAAACACCTACAACAGGTGGGTCACACTGTGTTGAACAATACTTCGAAGGTAATCGTCCAGATTGAACTTCGGTACGACGACAAGCGTAAGCTGTGCGGAATATTAAGTCAGATGCTTCGGTCATGGTTGGGCGCTTGCCTACCGAAGCAAACAATAAAAAGTGCATCTAGAATGTTTCCATCAGGATGCTTCAAACTCTGCATGCGAGTTCGTGGACTTACCGTTACTACGAGTCCGTAGATATCTAAATCCGAAGATAAACAAGGACCTCGGCGGCGAAATTTCTATAGACTACTTACGGAAGAAAGGCAGAACTTGATAACACCGTCAGTACGCCAAACCAGATCGAGAGACGGGGTTCTCACCTGCGATGGCTACATCACCGGGGCTGAGAGTTTTGGACGGATTGTTGGGGTCGTTGACGTTGTAATGAGTGGCCATTTGTATCACATTTGCTATGACAGAATAGTGACTGATAGCGACAGCCTGGAAGAGTTCAAAGTTGGAATAGACCAGACTGTGGGCGTATGTGAATGGCATTCACCTTTGGTTTACCTGTCGTACCACTGGAAAAGGACAGCAGGGCAACTGTAGAGCGTGCTTCTCCGGGTTTAAAACGGACAGCACAGTAATTCTCTGGACGCCTCGCGCCGAATTCGACGAGTTCATTCAAAGTCGGAAGTGATTCACCAGGCAAGGGATCGAACAGAACGATCGAGTTAGTCCCGGAGAGGTGGGTTGCATCAGCCGCTGATAACGCAGTACTGAAACACAGAGGATGCGCAACAATCAGTTTCGCCTTTGTGGCGTCCAGCTGATACTTGAGTTCCTCTACTGTGTAACTGGGGTTGGACGGACTAGGATAGAAGTCAGTTGGGGCAGACGAATGGGATACAGGCAAAAGACTTGCGTGACGATTCCTCCAAGAACGTGGACGGCCCACACAACAGGAGCATAGTCTGCACGAGAAGTCTCTTTTAGGACGCGTTCATAAATAGAGGGTGGTACACACCGATATGATTTGGACTAAACACACATACTGCCCTCCCATAACGATAAGCAAGGATGGTAACGACAATGCCATTGTGCACTAACCGACGTCCCCTCGACCTAACCGCGTGCTGTTAGAACAAGAGCCTCCATTCGACGTCATGGACCACGAACCTATCTTCCACTTTAGACTCAGAGCATTGGCGATCGAGTAGGTTCGGTGATGAGCCTGCCAGCGGGAGTCAGTGTGTGCCTGGCCGCCAGTCTCATGCAGCACACACCTCTTCGTATCCTATGGCACGACCGGTAGCATCCTCGATGAAGAAAGGGACGTTTCTGGGTCGTCGTGGCCGACCAGTGATCTCACGAAGCATGAACTGGGGTATGGTGAGGTCATCGGGGATGTGTGGCAATGGGATTGGGTTGCGGAATTCTGTCATTTGAAGGGGAAGGGAGGAGAGTTCAAGGGAGGGATAAGGAACGGCATTTGGTGAGTTCTTTTATTGAAGGAGAGGAAGCGCCAACCACCATCTCGGATCTTGTAACGCTGGTGCCGGCACTTGAACGCGGGGAATTGCCCGTTTTGGGAGGAACATACTCTTGTTCATGGACGACGACGAGGTCAACGAGGTCCGGAATCCGTTCCCTTCGCCCCCTTCCCACTACACGAGATACTCCTCTCATAATCTCAAATTACTAGCTCTCCTCAAAGAAAGGGCCCCTGACCACCAGGACCACCCTGTCAACCAACACCAGCTTTTATCCGACCAGAAGGACGTCCCAGAATGGGACTTGGGATTGTTGGAGAAACCTCGCGTTGATTGGATTCTAGACGAACCCGACGCACACTATAATGTCTTTGGCGAAAGGTGGCCCGTACGACACCCACTGTATACCTCTGCTCGCATCCGAGTAATGTCTCGTCCCCGATAGGTGAAAGAGAAGCATCCCTCCCTAGCCGAGGCTGGGATCACACAGCTGTACTCAAGTGACCCGTCTGTAGGTATGTCGCCGTCCCTGCTGGCATCGTCGTCTTCATTTCCTCAGAACCTGTAAAGATAGGCGACCAGCCCTTGTTTCCGTCCTCAAGTCCCTGCTGGTCACCTATTCCAATCTCATCTCATCGCTACTGGACCCACCACCTCTGGAGGGAGCGCCCGAATGGAACAGACACATGGCATGGCTGAAGACTCTGTCCCTGAATCTTCTGGCCGCAGCAAATGACCTGCGTCCCATGCAAGCCCGATGCAGCCTTGAGCTCATGATGCAAAGACAACTCGAGTTGAGGAGAGAGGAAACTAGAAACATTCATGAGTGCGTTCCTTCTTTGAAAAGCGGAATTATTTTCTCATACGTTCACTCAGTAAATGCGACGCTCTGGAAGCCAAGTTGAAGGAACTTCGAGCTACACCCCTGCAATCCTCTCAAGACATCACCAAGGTTAGCATAAGCGGATTTGATTGCCTGACATCACTGAACGAACGACTTGCGTCGACAGGCTTCCGTATCAGGGCCATCCGAAATAAAAGGAAAGAAGTTAACCAAACAAGATGTGGTTGCTTGGGTTGAGCAAGTCTGAATACTTGCCAGTGGCTTCTGCCTCTCAGTGTCCCTCCCGCCTGCCCCAAACCTTGCCAAGACCATCTCTGTACAATGCTTACATAATACATCAATCTTAACTTCTTGGTCAACCAACTCGAGTTGAACGTTGAACTCGACCCAACTTCTACCAGCCCGTGTATACCACCGTTTAGCGAACCCAATGGCAACGAGAAGAAGAATTGGAGTTAGCTTAGCTAGCACAGAAGCGGCGCGTCGTCAGTTAATGCAACCAGTACCATGTTGGGAGAGAATACTCGTTCCGTCCGACATAAACGCCAACCTGAAAGTGTACAAGTGGGTGAAGACGGACAAAGTCCAGGTACCCTATCTCGTGGTATTATATTAAAGTTCCGTTCTGAAAACAAACCGAAGCATTTCAGCGATGATGAAGGCGACGCCGATGAACCGCTAGCGCCGTTACCTGACGAACCCGAAATCGTGGACGGTGACGAAGAAATGGAACAAGACGAAACCGCCGCTCCCTCAAGAGCGGAACCAGCATCCAAAGAAACTGCTGAACCCGAGCCAGAGGCCACAACGACAGAAGAAACTCCCTCTAAAGCACCCTCGCCCAAACCTCAACTTTCAATGACAACAGCGGAAGACCCTCCACAGGGCAGCGAACTCGATCCGTCATTGAAACCTATGGACGTCAATATGGATGATGGCGAAGAAGGCGAGGGGAAGAAAGAAGGCAAATTGGAGTTGAATATGACTGGACTTGGGCCAGACGGCCTGCCGTTGGAGGGAAGCCACGACCTCTCTCAACTCGACCCGGCAGACTCGCTCGTGGGTGGTAACCTCATGGACCAGAGCGGAGACCCTTTTGCAGAGGTTTCATAGAACGGTCATTACACTGGTATGTTTTACATTCATCTATTGTACAACTCGTCATTGTTGACCTTCACGCAGATATACGCGCTCTCCTATGTCTTCCACGTCTCCCAGAAATCTTTGGTGTTTAGCACTTGCATTCACCGGCCTTGCAACTGCAACTACACGCGACGCGTTGGTCAAATATCCCTGTCTTCAGAAACTAAGGAGACGTACGATGTGCAGGTACAGCTGCTGGAGCCGCATCCATTGTTCTTGTTCTTGGTGGGGTCTTGGAGGCAAGCGCAGGTCTCGGTACCGCAGCCTTCAGCTTTGATGGTGCACTCGGGCTGTGGATGGGAACCATGAGCGACGCGACGCTCCTCGTCTAGTGGGGATAACACCGTACCATTGTAGACGTTGTTGTGTTAATGGATTGGCGATGAGTGCGAAAAGGGCTTTGGGGAGTCTTCTTGCCCCAAATACTCTACTTTTATCGCTCCTGCCCTATCTGCACCCGTGCCTGCTCCTTGTATTATCGCAATCTAATCGTCCACGAGTCTACGAGGCCGGAAGGCCATGATCCGCCTAGGCGCACCTTGGTGAGGCTCGGCTCGGAGGCAACGCCAGAAATGGGGTTGAAAGACCAATGGAAGACACGGTATTGGCTCTCAACGTCACAGAAATGATAAAGACGTATATTGCCGCTAGATAGTACATTAGATCTTTGAGCGCCCGCCTCTAGAGCAAATTGTTCGCTCCCGAGTCATCTATAATTTCGCTTTCGCCGGTTTCGCTGCTGCCATCGCCTTGGCTCTTTCTCGCAACTCCCGTCGCAACTACGGATCGTTTTCAGCGGAGACAACGGCGTCGTAAGGATACCAGACTCACCAACTTTCCTGAATTGTTTCTGGGAATGACATCTACAATTTCGACTCCTCCAGTAAGCCATTTGTAGTGACTCTTCGCATCCGCGACATGCTTTTTCAACGTCAGTGAAGCGCAAGGAGAAGCAGCCATGATGTCTGACCTTGATAACAGCGTCTTTGAGTTGCTTATGTTTAACAGGGTCATTGCCAATTCGCTCCTTCACCTTGGCCGATGGAACGACGAAGGCGAGGGGGACTTCGCCGCTATAATCGTCGGGAAGACCAACGACACAAGCGTCAGCGATGTCGGGTAGAAGAAGGATATGACCCTCCAGTTCCGCAGGGGCTACTTGGAATCCCTTGACCTTGAGGATTTCCTAGGATCCGGAATGCATGAATAATATTGGACATTCCAACGGGGTCTGTAGTCTCACCTTGAGACGTTCGAGTACGTAGATCTCCCCGTCCTTGATGACGCACTCGTCGCCAGTGCGGAACCATCCGTCGACGAAAGTGGTGGCATTCCTACAGCGAGTAAGGAATTTAAGCGTCCAACGCTTGACTGACAAACATACGCTTCTGGGTTGTTCAGGTAGCCCAAGGCCAGACAAGGACCGGCGACTAGGAGCTCCCCGTGCTCCCCTTCTTTACCGAGTGTCCCATCTGCCTTCACGATCTTGGCGTCGATTCCCGGTAGAAGTTGTCCAGCGCTGCCCACTCGGGCGATCTTGACGTCCGGGTCTATGGAAGAGACACTAAAGGTCTCCGTCAATCCTGTGATTCCGAGACGGTATTCACTTTCTGATGACAGGAAGAAGAGGGCTCGCACTCACCATATCCCTGTCCAATCACCGAGTTCGGAAGCACTTGGATAACCTGCTTCATAAGTTCTCCGCTCAACGGCGCAGCACCCGACATGCAAAACTTGACATGGCTGAGATCGTACTTCTTTGCTTCTGGATGCTGTCAAACGGCATAGAAGCCACGTTAGGGGTGCCTCGGAAAAACCGAATAGACGTGGCTGTGAATCACTTTACAGAGAAGGACGATCTGTGGAGGAACCATACTGAGAAGCAGGAATGTGGATAATTAGAACCGTCGGTTAGCTGGGCCGTTGACGGAAGACATACTAGAGATGGGTGACGTTGTATTTCACGATGCTCTTCAGGAAGTCCTTGAAGTTAAACTTCGGGACTACAACTATAGTCATCTGATAGCGGTGAGATCGTCGCAGACGAGGTCAGAATTTGTCTCCTACCCCGATGTACATGAGCATATGCATCTGTGGAGGGGCATTAGAATAACGGGACAGGAGGGTCGATGGTTCTGGGACGTACGAAGATGAAGAGGCCATAGATGTCTGGCAGAACGGGCAGTAAGTTGTCTCAGCCTTCTGAGAATAACTCCACGCGACATACGGAAGAAGGGGAGGACTGGTGCAAGCTTCGATTAGAAAGATGTTAGAAGAGCGTGTCGTTTTACTGGCTGACCTGCAATTGCCGTATCTCCTGGCGTCAGCTTCTCACTCTTGCGCTTCGGGTCTAGGGCCCTGAAATGGGCTCCCATTTGGACAATGTTAGCAATGAGGGCATGATGGGTGATAAGAACGGCCTAAGGATCCCAGTAAGTCAGAATCAGGGGCTGACGCGTTTGAGATACCTTGGGTTTCCCTTCAAGAAGGATAAGCGGATAGAATAAATGCAATCGTACGAAGGCTTACCGGTTGTCCCGCTGGAGAAACAAAGGAAAGCGAGCTTCGTACGAGCTTCCCCTGGCTTGAGCTTGACTGGTGTGTAGGTTTCAGGCTCTGTGCACCCAAGCAAAACCAATTGGTCGGTAGTAATGAAGCCTTTTGGTCCCCGAGGATCAAGCAATACAACTGCTGATGTTGGTAGCCCCACCGCTTTGGCAGCCGATAGTGCAGTCTTAATGCAATCGGGATGCGTGACGAGGACTTTTGCCTTGGTTGTTGACAGCTGGTACTGAAGTTCTTCGACTGTGTAATTCGGATTTGCAGGACTGTGACTCAATGAGCTACGATATCCCTAGGATCCAAGAAAAACGACAAACGTGATAATTCCTCCGAGGGTATGCACGCCCCATAACACAGGTGCGTAGTCTTGAGAGACGTTAGGCAGGCTTCGTCTAGTGCGAATACTCCTCGCTCACCGATATGGTTCGGACTGAATATGCAGACTAAGGCAAAAATCGAAGGGTTCAGCTCATAGCATTCGTGAAGCGCGCATCAAGGTATGACGTATACGTACCGACATCCTCGTTTTCTGAGAATCGTGACTAGTCAGAAGAAGGAATTCGGAAAAATGAGGCATACACGCACTGATACCCCACTTGAGGTGGAAGGCATTGGCGAGTGCAAATGTCCGGTAATGCGCCTAAACAGATATTACAGATTAAGACGGGGCTCGTAAAGCCTTGTTGGGAAGCGGGTTGACCTCTTCATAGCTAACGCGTCGACCAGTAGCGTCCTCGATGAAGAAGGGGACATTCCTTGGCCTCAAAGGCCTATTGGGCGCGGGGCTGAACATGAACTGGGGGACAGTAAGATCATCGGGGAAGGCGGGCAGCGGCACAGGGCTCCTGAAAATGGTCATGGTTGGAAGGCGGCAGGGTCAAGGAAACCCTGCAGAACAAGGCTGGGGGAGGCGTAAAGGACTAAATCCACTACGCCTTACGGTTTAAGTACCTCTAAAGGGTCTTCGGGTGTGCACGAGGGTAATAGGCCCGTTGGTGCCGTCGAATCATTGATGAATATGTGTACGAGAGAACCCGTTCAACCGTTGCCTAAGAGTCCCAGCTCTGGCGTTCAAAACCCGAGACCCGGAAGGAAGACGTGTCTCGAAGGATCATTATTGTCATTGTTCTATCTTCTCGCAAGACATCCCTTTAGTGGACGCTTGACGATATGGGTCAATGGGAAAAAATGGACGCGTGAGGTGAACATCCGAACTACATCCGTTTTAACCTAGATAATGTGATCATGAGCTTTGGTGGATGGAAAGCAAAGTCAAGCCGATAACTTACGGTTTGGCCAGTGCTTGATATGGATCTCTTGATACGACCCTGTCATTGATTTCTGTGGCAACTATGTAGGTGCTAGATTGGAATAGCCGCGACGAATAGCACATTGCGATTAGCTATCCAGTTACATCCCCACAATCAGTGATGCCGTGGTAGTTACTGTGCAAAGTCCCGAGAAGAATGTGACCTGCGAGCTCCAGTGAACGAGTCTACCATGATCATTGCAGTCTGCGTCCAAGAAGGTGCTGCGCCGCAGCGGAACATTGTTTGGTCGCGATAAGCGCGCGGCCAAACAAAGCGCCACGTAAAAGGACTGTTGACCGTGGGCGCGGGTTCTCTCAACCCTGTCTCAAGGCCACTTGCTCACAAGGATGCGTCAAGTTCTGCGCCGTGCTGGTGACTGGTCAGACAGGATCTCTACTGTACTCGCTCATGTCCCTAGGATGGGCGACTACAACTACAGTCGAGTCTTCCTTCACGACTATCAGGATTATACCTTTTTACTCTTATCTTCGTTGTCGTCAGCCCTCGCCTTGAACCCAACAGCTACCCTTGTCCCGAGCGTATTGGCATTAGCGCTCCTGCGAACCTATGCAGTAGTCCTTTTCCCAAGCAACCACGCGAAGTCGAAGATCGCAGCATTCCTCTTGGCCATCTCCGTCGGCAGCGCAATCCCGCATTTCACAGCCTCGCAACAAGCGCTTTCCACAAGCGCGCTTTCTTTTATTCTTCTGGCTTCCGTCTCGTCATTGACTTCTGCTCTTGTGGTGGGATCATTGTTCGTAGATTGGCAGGTCAGCAGAAAGTATCCAGGAACAGCGCTCGCCATCTTCTTTTTCCCGGCGCTGTGGGCAACCTTGTGGAGGACCATCACATACACCAGCCCCGTTGGAAACATCTTATCCTGGAGCCGCCCACGCATCCTCGAAGGATACCAATGGCTGATCCCGTTGGTCGGGCCAGCTAGTCAGGATTGGATCACCGCTGCTTGGGCGGTGGTGCTCTCCTTAGCTTTCCAATCCTGGTACATGGGGCCACCGCCCACCGATGATGATGAACTCCTGGAGCCAGTCACGCTCGCCGAACGCCGCACGCACACTTCTCCTTCTTTCCTGGGCGCTAGCCTTCTAGCACTCCTTGTCCCATCCTTCTTCGTCAACCAGCTACCCCTCCCCGTCGCAGATGTCGATCATGCCACTCCATTTGGTGTGGGATGCATCCTTCCCACATTCGATAGGTATAAACGCCACGTCCCGACACTGACTGACTACATCAACGAAAGTAAGAAACTGCAAAACAGCGCAAGATTGCTCCTATGGCCGGAGGGAGCAGTTTCCTTCGCCTCTGATGAAGAGCGCAATAAAGCCTTCGAGTATGTGAGAGGGAATATCACTGGCTCATACGTCGGTGTTTCCTTCAACCAAGTAGCAGCGGATCCCAATGACCCCTCTGGACGCAAAGGTTACGAGCGTACAGGTATCGCGGTTGTCGGCAAGGACTCTGAAGAGCCCTATCTCCTTTACTACAAACGTCACCTCGTTCCTAGTACGTTCAGTTGCTTACAGTATCACGGGTAGTGCTAACCTGTGTTTCTCCGCAGTCGCTGAATCCTACCGTCTTGTCCCCTCGACTGAGCCGCCAACATTGGCTAACATCACCATCCCGACACCCAAGGGCATCCCTCCATCGAGATGGGACCCCAGTCCCTCTCATGCTCGTCCCTTGAGCATCACTGCATCAGTCTGCCTCGATTTTGCCTTCCCCAATAATTTCGACACTCTGTCATCGCGCCCAGGCCTGATTCTTGCACCTGCAAAGACCTGGGAAAGATCGGTGGGGATTTCGATGTGGTTGCAGGCCAAACAGAGGGCAGCAGAGTTGAACAGTATGGTCCTTTGGTGTGATGGAGGAGATGATGGTGTAAGTGGTATCGGAGGGGGAGGATTTGACGACCCCCAGCAGGTCGGACCTGGGTCATGGGTCAAGACAATTGGCATCCAGTACCCATTTAACGACAAACGAACAGTCTATGCTCTTCTGGAGGACTCGTCGGTGTTGTTTTACTGGCTGTTGGCTGGAAGTTCATTGGTAACTTCGGTATGCACCACAGTAGCTTTTTGGTCCACGGTTGTACTGACCCTAACTTCAAGTTCCGCCGACGGAGAGAGGTCACCTCGTCCCCTACAGGCAACCTCATCGATATATGAACACCCCGCTTTACTCTCTTTTGACGAATGTAGTACCCAGCTATGCCTCATGTTGTACAAATATAATCACCGATCACGAATTTATTCGCCGACTATCATGTTAAGGGTATTCCTGACCCTTTTGAACCCCCACGCCTTTACCTCGCGGCCTTTGACACGAGTCTGAACAAAAAGCCCGCAGTCAGGACGACAGGATTTCTCCTTGCAAGTCCATCGAGATTGGGCTTGTCTGTCTACAACGTCGTCACCGAATCCTCTGATCCAGTCGAGATTTGCAAAAGGCCTCCGTGGGTCTTTTCGCAGCTCGACTAGAAAGTCACCTGCGGCTTTCGTCCAGTCCTTCAGTCGTCGCTTCATATCTTCCAAAGAGTTGGACGCTGTCCAGAAGGATACGATTGACGACTTTCATATCATAACCAACGACGATCTTCATACACCTCGTATTCCTGCGGAACCACTTGAACAGCCCAAAGCGTCGCCTTTGAATTTGAAGACAAGCGAAGACTTTCTTTCAGCAAGGCCGATTTCTCTGGGTCCAATCTCTGCCCATACCGAACTATCGTCAGCGCCGTCCGAGCTTGCAGATATTGCGGCCAACTTCCCACCGCCACCAACGCACATCCCCTCTCCCAGAACTGGTGAGTAGTCTCGGAGTCGCGAAGAAGGTTGTCCCATGAATGACGGTTATGGAAAGCACAACATCCTTCGACGCAGCCATTTGCGCCAGCAATTGAAGCTACCCAGTCGCAAGCACCAACAAGCCGCTCGATAGATCGCTTTACAGCCAATCTCAAGCGGATACTCAAGCGATCTCTTCGAATTCCGTCTCTCAAAAGATCGGCACCCAATCCAGATCCACTTACAGCAGCTCCGCCAATCCCGACAGCGTCCAACACCGAGGCATCCTTGTCACACCCACCTCAGCCGGCACTAGCGACCAGACGACTCGACGACGACGTCCCTGAGCCCCTATTCCAAGTCTCCGCTGTCCCATCGCTCACCTACGACTTCGTCGACCCAGCCACGCTCACAGCAACCCCGGCAGTCCACGCCACCTCGGATCTTCTCCCAAGCTCTTCAAGCGCGACGTTCTTGCCCCAATCGCCTTCCTGGTTAGTTCACAAATTCGCGGAATTCGAGAACAACCATAACCTAGGCATCGGGCTATCATTAGAGATTGAACGTCAGATCCAGAAACTTCCAACGCTTTCCTTATCAGTTCCTTCTCGGATCTCTCTCGCCCACTCCACCACATCACCGCCCCTCTCGCCTCTCAACGTACACGAGGACGACGACATTGGGACCTCGAGGTCAGATATAACCCGGGTGAACCCTATTCCACTCTCTGCGCGAACGAATTCCCTCCAGTCAAAGGTTTCTTTCGCCACTGCCAACACCGAGTTTTCCTCCACCAACGATCGCACCGCCGGGTTGCAGTAGGCACACCAATCACCATGGACTACACGGGAAAGAGAAACGACGTGATTGACTATGGAGGAGAGTATGACTACTCAAACCAGAATTGGTTTCAAGACGCCCCTCCTCGACCAGAGGTGAGCGATTCACAGCAGTGTATGGCCATGCTGCATGGCGCTAACCCCATGTGCTCTTCTTAGCCTCCTCCACCAGCCCCTTCTGCACCTCCTTATGTACCCTCTCAATCTGTTATCGAACAAAACGAGGCCTTCCTCTTCGCACTTGAAAACGCTCCGAATATTCTCTACGCCCGCTTCAAGCAATACGGTCAGGTGGGTGCCGTCTTTCCGAACCCTCAAGCTATTCACACCACGAGGCAATGGTTTGACGTTTACCCCAACAGCTCGGCGTTCTAGGCTGGTGCTCAGAATTCGGTGAATTGATCGACCACCTCAAAGACCTCGGCTTTGCTGGGAACATGTTCGTATCGACACGAACTCAAGCGCTCAAAGCTTGTGAAGACATCCTCAAGCTAAACCTAGACATCAAGATGCAAATCATCGTTATGTACCTTTCGTATCAAGTTGCACGATTACGCCGGTTCTTGGATGGCGATCGTGTATGGACAGACTATCCCGAGCCCCAGTTTCCTTTGAACCCTACCGCCGGTTGAACACGATTTTTTGAACTTCTATATGCTTTGCCTTGTACTACCCTTTGTACGTTCCGGAACGTTGTTACATCTTGTATAACGCGTCATGTTTTTGTGCTTTCGCTGCCTAGTACCAGTTTCACGTTGCCTACGACCCTCACTCGAGCCATACACACTGTAACATTAGTTAACAATGCGCATCACAGTTGCCATAACCAAAGATAAATCCGCAAACGCCCAGAGAAGAGGAGGAAGGAAGCAAACAACAAAGCTGTATCGTATGAAACGGACAAGCGCGACGAAAGAACTACAATAAGTTACGGATACTAAAGTCAACATGACCATTCAATAGCTGTATAGCCTGTTGCTGAGAAATGTGTACAAATGGCTTTAACACTACAGTCCATTACTGATGTTGCACAAGTAATAATGTTAGCAGAAGAATAAGTAAAAGAGGGTTGTTCCGAAGTAGGTGTAGGGTTGCTCAGTGTGCTGTCGTGATGCTCGTCGTATACTTGGCCCATGTATCCGCAGTCCGACCAGGCTTCAAAGGAGGCAGAGGTGCAGGCTGGTAGGTTGATTCACGCGGGGGTTCGGGTAGAGGATTGTTGAGAAGCGCCGATCGCCGTACTGCAGAATTTCCGAACAGCGCGCTCGGTGGCGATCCGCTAAGAGGACCGTTCAGTTGCGGTGGAGGAGGCGGGAGTGGTGCATGAATACGCGGGTGGCCAATGTTGTTCCGGTCGTAAGGATCGTAAGAAGAGTCTGGTAAGCTGGGTATCGAGGCTGGGGAGCCATAGATGATGGGGGGAGGCTTGCTGGGCATGGAATGGTAAATGCTAGAACCAGGAGGCTGGAATGGCGTTTGCACCATGAACGCAGTGTGGCCAGAACCATATGGTGCTGCTTGGGCAGCAGATGCATCGTCAAAGCTCGTCATACTCTGCGCAGCAACGGCGCCATTGTTCCACTCCGCACCATACATGGAACGAGCTTTCCAAAGGCGTTCCATTTCCCAAGCTTCCGTGGCGCGAAGGGCATTCATATCAGCCGCAGAGGGCAACTCGGATGTTGGCCTTGCGTTGAGGGAAGGTCGACGTTCTACAGGAAGGCCATCGGAAGATGAAGATGAAGATGAAGATGTCCCCTGCAAAGGATGTTGGGCATGATACGACTCCACTCTAGGTGCTTCAGAGCGTCTATGTTCAGACTTCCTCGACTTGCGCTTATCATCCTTGGATTCGTCCCTTTTGCTGCGATGAACACGGGACTCTTCACGCCGCTCCTCCCGCTCGCGTTCACGCCGCTTCTCTTTCTCTTCTTCCCGCTTTCTTCGCTCAAGCTCTTTTTCTCTTTCCTTCTCCTGCGCCAAACGTTCCTCCTCCTTCCTTCGTGCCCGCTCTCTCTCCTTCTCCTCTTCTTGTCTCCTTCTTTCCCGCTCCTTCTCCTGAGCCAGGCGCTCTTCCTCTCGCCTACGCTCCCGCTCTCTTTCCCTCTCTCTCTTCAAACGTTCTTTCTCCAACTCCAGCTCTAACCGCTCCTTTTCCAACCTCAGCCTTTCCTTTTCCAGCCGCTCCTTTTCCAACTTCTCTCGTTCAGCCCTCTCCCACTCCTGTCGCTCTCTCTCTAACCGTTCAAATTCTGCCCGCTGACGCTCCAACTCCAGCTCTCTTTCCCTCTCTATCCTCTCGCGCTCCCTCCTCTCTTCACGTTCTCTTTGGCGTTCCCGCTCGCGCTCGCGCTCGCGTTCCCTCTCCCTTTCACGTTCTCGGCGCCGCCTTTCTCTATCCTTTTCTCGACGCTCCTCCTCATACCGCCTCTCTTCTTCCAACCTGCGCTCCTCCCTCCTCTTCGCGTCCTCGCTGCGCCTATAATCGTCATCGCTCCGGTGTTTGGTATGTCTCCTTCCGTCATCACGATACCTTGACTCGTGATGGGAATCGTGTCTTCTCCGGTCATCGCGATGTCTCGAGGACTCTTCGTCATAACCTGGCGAATGCCTTGGAGAGGACGACAACTTGGGCATCGGGATGGTCGACACCTCCGGTGGCGCCGAAACCTGCTTCGAATGACGACTCTTTGACCTCCGCCTATGATCATCCTCCTCCGCCTTCGGTTGATGCCTACTTTCCCTCTCCTTCTCTTTCTCCTTCCGACTGCTGCTTTCCCGCTCCTTCTTCGCTGATCCTGACCGTCGCCTATTCTTCTGTTCACCAGACCCCACGAGCTCCCATTGCTGGCCAGCAGCTGGGATGGTCTCGTGTGAAGCATATACGTTTCCTGATAGGCTCCTAACAAGCTTGAACGTCTCGGTTTGCCTGGTGGTGTGGGGTGAGGACTCGCCAGAAGATCGTTTCTCCTTGGTTGGCTTCGGTGGAAGCGGCGGGAGCTCTTGTTCAGGTGCCAGAGGTATAGATGAAGTGGCATCGTAGGGAGTAGGAGGGTTGGCGAGGACAGAAGACGCAGAATAAGGTGAATCAGTGTATAGGTATGAGTTAATGCGGTCCTGTGCGGTGAGTTCCTCGGGGGAGAGAGCAAGAGGAGTGTGATACGCGTTGTGACTGGTACCATTGCTCTTGCGAATCTCCAGGGGAGGGAGTTCGGGAACTTTGGGGGGCGGAACAGGCGTCTTGGCACGGGACAAGGCACTTGACCGACTAGCACTATGTCGAAGGGTGATGGCTTCGACCAAGGGTGTCGTTACAGGGATAGGAGGGAGTGAAGGCGAAGCCAAAGAAAATGGTGAAGTAGCCTTTTCCAACTCTGTCGGCGGGGGTGCCTCCGGAGAGAGATTCGACTCACCACCATCCTCAACTACAGCTAAATGTGAGACTGCCGACTTATCCGTCTCCTCATCGACAGCAGGTGGTGGAGGGGGTGGCTCTTCCTTGGCTGGTCTGGCAGTTCCCCCCGTAACTGTAGACGACACTGTCTTCGATCTCGTCGGAACATTCTCTCGCTCTTCCTCTTTGGCATCTTTGACGCTCGCCTCGGATTCAGCGGGCGAAATGTCCTTGCCATTCATGAACGGGGTGTTGGCTGCAGTCGATGGCACCGGAACAGGTAAAGGCTTCTCGTACGCTGCATACGTTCCATGCTGTTCGAAGCTGGCAGGGGATGGCGAAGGTTGCGGGGGGTCTGTGTCGTTTCCTGTCGTAAGGACTGCCGGTGCGCTATCAAAGTGAAGAGGTATTGGCTGCGAGATCGGTAGAGGGGAAGACGGTTGGGCGGGAGTGTCCTTCTCCGATTCAGGAGAGTCGGGGTTGGCAACTGTGAGGTTTCCGAGAAGGAAGGGCGCTTCGATGGAGATGGAAGAAGTGCGCCTTCTGCTGATTGGTGAAGGGGGAGTCTCCTTTTTCGGAGTCTGCGGCGGGGGAGGGTCTTCTACAGGAGGGGGAGGCACTCTCTTGATACCATCCAATGACTTCTCGGGCAAAGATAAGCTATTTTGAGGTTGGAGGCTCTGACGCATTGAGATCCGCGCTTCTTCTGGGTTCACATGGAGCCAACTGTATTCGCGGTTGTTGGATTCATCTGATGAGGACTTGGTGAGGAGGCTGAACTTCTTGGCGATACGGTTCAGCACGCTAGTCCGCTTCTCCTTCTTGGGAGGAAAGTGCGAGGATGATGGGGCGAAGGGGTTGACAGGAGGTGCGACGGACATGCGTTTGGGCAACGATCCTGGATCCGGAGGTGGTGACTCGGATAACTGTATCCGCTCGACGGGCGTGGGTGGGGCAGAAACAGCTTTGCGATCTTCGTCCCTTGTCGGAGGTCGGAATAGTCCCTCTACGCCTGGCTTCCTCTTGCTCAATTTACGAGGCAATTGAATAGTGTGAGCAATACTATTGGTTGGAGGTAATGAGGGCTGCTCTAGTGCATGAAGGTGAACAGCTGATGTTGATTGTGACAATGGAGAGGGGGCGATGGACCTGTGCAAGCTGTTCTGGGCTGCAGTCATACTTGACCGGCGAAGCCGTTTGCTGAGACCCTATTCCGTAGTGTCATTGCACGTTCTTCGGTGAAATACAATCGAACTACTCACATCGCTGTCCACGGCCGTCGAAGTCTGACCAACATCGTAAGGAGACTCGTGGTGCCAATTTGTGCCCCATGGATCTGTTACATCGAGGAGGTCGACATTGTCAGGGGCTGTCTGAGATGTCTTTCGCGATCTGGGCTTAATTCCTTCGCCAACTCGAGTTTGGGAGGACGCTGGTGTTGGCTGAGGGGAATGAGAGGCCGCCCGGCTGTCCTCCGGGTCAAGCAAATGTTCCGGGGCGGTCGACGTGCTGATTGGTGGAAACGACGGCGAGAAGAACGTTGGAGGGCGCAGGTTGGGCTTGCTCAAAGATGGCGGCAGCAAATGGTGATTTTTGTACCACCTTGGGCCGAGCGGGTTGTGAATGTTATAGTGGACAGTGACGGAGGGGATGGGTACCCGGTTCCATGACGCTGGCTCGTCAGAGGTCGGCGCCATTCCTCTGCGGGGGTCGAGGAGCAGAGAGTCTTGAAAACTCAACTGACGTTGGAAGGTGGAATTCGGTGTGGTGAAGAGGCCGTCATTGCCACTTTGTTCGTTGGGAATGGACGTCACATCGACTTGTATTGGCTGCGGAGATACGGGACTTGTGCTGTGAGTTGTATTCGATCGCTTGAGGGACTTGCGCGACCAAAGTGAAAATCCTGAACCCGATTTCTTCGAAGTTCTCCGCTCCAGCGACTGTTTGCGGTCAATCTGGCCGTTCATAGCGATGTCTGGGGTGTCGAGGACATTGTTCTGCGATAAGGTGTGAGCAGAACGGGCGGTGAGAAGGAGCCATACACGTACCTCTCGGTATTTCATTTCACCGGGCCAAAAGGACCCTTGAAACTCAAGTTGTGAACGATGGCAAGAAGACAAACAGCGGCCGTGTACTTGGCGAGCCCCGTTCAGTTGAATCAACTTCAGGAACAGCCACACGTGCATGCCTGCAGGCGAACAATCCATTCTTCTCTTGATTTCTCCACATTCTCTGCTTCGTGGCTGTCAGAACACGTCCTCAAGGCATTTATTTATCTAGTCTTCCCCAGAATACCGACTCCCGCGTTCCAGTCACCTTTCCAACCTCACAAGCACCCCCGCAAACAGCGCGTGCCGGAAACGGAAGTCCCATCACAAATTGATCGAAGCCGATTGCCGTCGAATATGGCCGTCGAGATGATTTTAATCATCATATCCAATGTCGATCCGCATCCTACTCCTCGGAAATGGCGGCAGAGAGCATGCTCTCGCCTGGAAACTCGCAAAGTCGACACAGGTAGACCATATCTGGGTCTGCCCAGGAAATGCTGGCACAAAATCAGAACCAAAAACAACAAATCTCGACCAGATATCCCCCTCTGATTTCCCCAATCTCGTCGACTTTGCCGTCAAAAACAATGTGCGTCACTTGCTGGACAATAAACGTCCTTATTCAGGCTATCTTCTAGGTATCCCTGGTCGTACCAGGTCCAGAGCAGCCCCTGGTAGATGGCGTTGAAAGCCATTTCAGGAAAGGTAGGCTTATAGCCTGTTTTCGTATTCACAGTGCTGATTTCGGCAGTCGGAATTCCTGTCTTTGGTCCGAGTGAAAAAGCTGCTCGAATGGAAGGATCCAAGGCTTTTTCCAAGGACTTTATGGCCCGTCACAACATCCCAACTGCTCAGTTCCGCGTTTTCAAGGCTCCCGAACTCGACGCTGCCATCAACTACATCAACACCTGTGGTCACTCGGTTGTCCTCAAGGCCAGTGGCCTCGCAGCAGGAAAGGGCGTGTTGATCCCAGAGACAAAAGAAGAGGCAATTGCTGGTCTCAAGGAAATCTTGGTGGACGGTGTCTTTGGTGATGCTGGTGTGTCAATCCTTTTCTATTCCCAAGTCCGCTCGTTGACCGTATACTATCTCTCCAGGCAATGAAGTTGTCATCGAGGAACTTTTGACTGGTCCTGAGATCTCAGTCTTGGCCATTTGTGATGGCTATACTATCATCCCCCTTCCCGCTGCACAGGATCACAAGAGGATTGGTGAAGGTGACACTGGTCTTGATACCGGTGGTATGGGTGCATACGCCCCTGCCCCGGTTGCCACTCCTGAGATCATGGAACGTATCATGAATGAAACCCTCAAGCCCACCATCGACGGAATGAGGCGTGAAGGTTAATTGGTTCTGCATCGCCAGGTTTCCTCCACGCTAACGATCTTTTTAGGCTATCCCTTCGTCGGTGTCCTCTTCACTGGCTTTATGCTCACGGATTCAGGTCCCAAGGTCTTGGAGTACAACGTTCGATTTGGTGACCCGGAAACCGAAGCTCTCATGCTCCTTCTCAAAAAAGATGTCGATCTGGCGTCAGTCTTCTTGGTACGTGGATATAACCTTCATTGGTATGATTCTTAGATTGATAATGATCCCAGGCGGCTGCTGAGCGTCGACTCGACTCCGTGCAGGTCGAGTTCCAAGAAGGCGTTGCCGTAACGGTAATCCTTGCATCGCAAGGTTACCCGGGAAGCTATCCCAAGGGAAAGGTAATCGCTATCGGGGACCTTCCTTCAGGTGAGTCATTTAATTGCATCTGAGTTATGATTACTTATTGATTGGCTTGCACTCCCAGATGTTGTCGTCTTCCACGCCGGAACAAAGTACTCGGGCAACGATATCGTAACCTCTGGTGGACGAGTCCTTGCAGTTACGGCATATGGGCATACCATCCAGGAAGCTCTCGCCTCTGCCTACAAGGCTGTCGACAATGTTTCCTTCGACGGAAAGACTTACCGTCGAGATATCGCTCACCGGTAAGCGGTTTAACTCCGCTCATGTTCCCCCGTCCTGACCGTACATTGTGCAGTGCACTCAAAGATCAGCCTGCTTCGACGGGCTTGACGTACGCCCAAGCAGGTGTTTCAGTAGATGCCGGAAACGCCTTGGTCGAAGCCATTAAACCCTTCGTGAAAGCCACCCGCCGCCCGGGTGCAGACGCAGATATTGGTGGATTCGGTGGTGTCTTTGACCTCAAAGCTACTGGCTTCAAGGACCCCGTCCTCGTCAGCGGTACCGATGGTGTCGGTACCAAACTTCGCCTAGCAGTCGATTGTGACATCCATGATACGGTCGGTATCGATCTTGTCGCCATGTCGGTGAACGACCTCCTCGTTCAAGGTGCCGAGCCCTTGTACTTTTTGGACTACTATGGCTGCAGCAAGCTCGATGTCCCCGTTGCAACCCAGGTGGTCAAGGGTATCGCTGAGGGATGCAGGCAAGCTGGTTGTGCATTAATCGGCGGTGAGACCGCGGAAATGCCTGGCATGTACCTCCCCGGTAAGCTTTTACTTTAATCCACGACGTAGCGTGTCTAAGTTGTTGGCAATAGGTGACTATGATCTCGCCGGTTTCGCAGTCGGAGCAGTCGAACGAGACCTCATCCTTCCCACTCCCAACATAGTCCCAGGGGACGTCCTGATTGGACTCACCTCTTCCGGTCTGCACTCTAACGGATTCTCCCTCGTCCGCAAAATCATCCAAGTCTCCGGCCTGACCTATACCTCACCCTGCCCCTGGTCTCCTGACGTCCCTCTCGGTCGCGCCCTCCTCGAGCCTACCAGGATATATATCTCCCAAGTCCTCCCCGTCGCCAAAGCTGGCTTGCTCAAGGGCATGTCTCACATCACAGGCGGCGGCTTCACCGAAAACATCCCCCGAGTCCTTCCCAAAAACACCGGCTGCTACGTTGACGCCTCGACTTGGACTCTTCCTCCCGTTTTCAAGTTTTTAAAGAAGCACGGGAACGTCGCCTCCCCCGAGATGGCTAGGACGTTCAACAACGGTATCGGCCTTGTTCTTATTGCCGCAGCTGAGAACGTGGACAAGGTCCTCGAGCAACTCAAAGGTGGTTCAGCCGAGGTATATCGCATCGGAGAGGTCACTGACAAACCTGGCGTGGAAATGCGCAATCTCTCCGCCTGGGATTAGACGTACTAAAAATGGCGATGGGCCATGGGACTTCGGAACGTGTCTGCGTTATTGTTATCTGTAAAATAGCCATCTCGAAAGGAGCGTACGATTTGAACGACGGTAAATACAGTGCTGTGAATGCAATGGTTTATGATGGAAGGTCTGCATGTAGTCGGACATCAAGCCAACAGAAAAGAGGGGAAAGGAGGAACACCGGCACACGGAGAAAGAACTAGCTGATTATAGCGTATGAACTACTTCTATGGAGTGGAGATTGGATAGTACAAATGTGGTGGCACAGGACAGGTAGAAGAATAGGATACATGGGGTTGTGAGAGGCCAGACACAGAGTCGCGGGTAGAATGAAAAATACTCGCCAGGAGAGGAACTCGCGGTGGAGTTCCGGCAGGGACGACGCCGACAGCAATGAATCTGGGTGGTGTGGTGATGTAACAGGAGGTGGGATGGGATGTGGGCAGGTTTAGTAAATACACAGGATGTTGAATATATGTATGTGTGATGACGATGGAAACGAGCTTGAACAAGTCGACGGGAAAGGGGCGAAGATGATCCACGGGGTCCCAAGATGATGACTATGTCTACCGATCAACAAGGCGTCAAGTGAATAGCTGGAGAGGGAACAAAAGGAGAGAGAGAGAAGAAAAGAGAGGAAAGACCTTCATGTTATGTGCATGCTAGATAATGGTGAAAGATAAGAAACTAAACCGCAAGAGCGAGGAAGAAAGCAGCAAGAGCAGCGGCGGAAGAGACAGGAAACGAGGAACGGAGATAAACAGAGATAAGCCGAGACAATAAAACACAAACGACAGAATCAAAGGGAACGATGTATGTAGAAGGATAAATAGAATAAAGACAGGAAAATACGGAAAGATAAAAATCCAGATAAATGGAACATGCAAAGAGACAGAAAAACCAAAGAAGAAAAGGACAGCATGGAGTCAGGGTCCAATGGTACAGACTGGGAAAATCCAATGTGAACTGGCGGTCGTGAACGCTGTCTGAACAGGTTTCGTAACTTCGTGAAGTTGACATGTACAAAGGAAGGACAGGCTTCCAAAAGAACCCAGAATGGGAATGTTTTAGGCGGAAATAGCAACCCTCGGAGCCGCGTCAGCAGGAGCAGAGGAGGCAGCGGCCGCAGCAGCCGCGAATGAGACAGGCAACTTTTGACCAGCGGCAGGAGCTGGGGCAGCAGGTGCCGGTTGAGTAGCTTGCTGAGGCTGTTCTACTACGGCAGTTGCAGGAGCAGGGGCCACTTTTGCAGGCTCATTAGTTGCCTAAAGCGACAAAAGGAGATCGCCGAAAGATTAGGTCCCGAGATCACAACGAGGCCAATTTTTTTCACTCACCTCTGGGCTACGGGTCCTGACGGCATCTGGCGAAGGTCCGCGAGTCTCAGCAGCACCGTCCTCGCTGGCCGGTTTGCTACGAACAGGTGCGGGGGCTCTCAGAACCTGGGCAGCAGTCGGGCCTGAGTGGTTGTTGCCGTTCACGCGAGGGGGCGTGACAGATCCAGGGAGAACGGGGAAATCGTCAGCACTTGGGACCCTTTGGGGTCTTGGTGCGGGACCCGGTCGCTTGTTGCCATTAGGCAAACCGTTGGGCTGATGTTTGGGACCTTGGGGGAATTTGGGTTTCGAGAGATCGTTGGCACCATTGGGGCGCTGGGCGTCCTATCAGCTACGATTAATGACTCTCTCCCTTATTAACGAACCGAGTCGACATACATCTCGGATGGTCATGTTACCCATCTTGTGTTCGATGGCACCCAAACTGGGTCCACTATGGTGGTGGCCTCTGTGAGGTCGAGGAGCGCCTCCTCTTGGCCCTGGTCCATAATAAGGGGGCGTGACATGATTAGGTCCAGCGTTAGTATCCAACACATGAGGGAACCTGCAATCATCACTGATAACATGTCATGGGAGGGAAAACCGGAGTTAGTAGGTTCGAGGGCAGAGTCTTCGGAGAATTACATACCCATTTTTGCATCTTCCAGCAGGGAAGAAAAGACATGCTGGCTTTTTGCCAACCAAAGAAGCCCTACGACCGAAGCCTCCGCGGCGAGGTCCATTGACATCCCGATGAGTCGGGTGGGAGGGGTATCCTTCTTGCTGTCCGGTGGGTTTGGGAGCATTGTCTTGCTCTGGGTATCCGGCACCTGCAGGAGGTGGTAGATACTGCCCAGATGGGTCAGCACCTGGGTAAGGTGGGATAGGGTGGACGTTGTGATAGATCGTGCCAGGCGACTGAGGACCTGGACCAGGTTGCGGGGGTTGGTGATGCAAGGGCGGAATCGGAGGACCTGACATGGGAACGGGAGGATGGGGATAACCATTTGGTGACATCGGGGTATAAGGTGCGGGCGGTGGAGCACCATTAGGGAAATGTCCTTGCGATGGCGAGACGATTTCCGAGGGTGATCGAGGATGGTGCGCACCCTGAGGCGGGGGAGAAAGTGCACCATTAGGCTGTTGGAACTGAGGTGGCGGGGGAGGAAGAGGAGGATAGTAGCCGTAAGGATTTGGCCCTAGGGCGGGGTCAAATGGAGGATAGCCCGGAGGAGGAGGACCCTGATAATATGGGCCCGTTGGGTGGGCAAACATACACTGTGGACCGTAGCGGCAAGCTGGGAAATATCTGCATGGAATCATGCGAGCGACCTCGGGAGGCGGCAAGTGGCCAATTCCATTGGGTGCAGCGCCATTTTCGCCCGGAGGCGGAGGAGGATAGAAGACGGCCGGGTCTCCCATCGTCGACAATGATGGGTTAATGGTTGGGTAATAAGGGTAAGGCCCGGGAGGCGGGGGAGCAGCAGCAGGATAGTCGCTCGTAGGAGGATTTTGAGGGTAGCCGTTTTCGTTGTAGCCATCCTTGTTGGCCTGTAATTTTGTTTGGGCAGATTTGAGAAGGTCGAGAATTGCAGGATCTGACGTGAATTGCTCAGGCGGGCCTTGGCTGGAGGCATTTGAAGGGTCAGCTCCTGTCCGGGGCACTGTATCAGCACAGATCGTTCGTCGACATGAAATTCAATCAAACTCACCCTTATTTAACAAGGCTCTGACGACCTCGATATGACCATTCTTTACTGCCTCGATGAGTGGGGTAGAACCCGTGTGATCTAAATAAACCACAGGTCTTGCAATCAGCAAAAAAAGTAACAAAAGGTAGGATTTGCAGAAGAAGACGGTGGACGGCGCAGATCCAGACCTTTTATTTCGATGTCGATGGGCGAAGCGTCATTGAGCAAGGCCAAAACTCCGTCGAGGTCGCCCTCCGAGCATGCCTTCCAGAGAGGAGAGACCATTGGGACTTTTTTGAAGGGAAAGAGTGTGGTGGTTCGGGTAAAGGAAGGTGGTCGAAGGAACAGTCACTCGAATTGCAGCCCAGATTTGTTCGAAAAAACCGCCGGGACGTCCGGAGCAGCTTTGGCAAAAAAATGAATTCGCGTGGCATCCAGATCGATCGTCCGCCTGTAATACCGTTTACGTGACACGACATTTCCTTTTTCGTTCCGTCTCTAAACCCAGAAAAAATAGATGTTATAAGGAAATCATTAGACGGCGTCAACTAATAAATCTAAAGACTAGATTGGAATTGTAATGGAGGGGTGACAGCTTCAGGCGTTCCGAGCCCAAGCTTCTTGTTCAACTGTCGCGCAGGACCGCCAATGATAGGAGGGAGCTCGAGTTCTCGCGACGGTGGGAGCTTTAACAGGTCAGACATAGCAGCCCTCGTGTCTTTGCCTAAGTTCCGGAAGACGCGTTACAATCATCAAAACAAGGCACTGCGATCAGGGTCCACATACCATTATACAGAACATCGTACACCTGGCAATATCAGAGTTCTTAAGCAACCATCTCACTTGGGGCCGGCCAAATAACTCACCGAGTTCGCGATAGGGGCGTTCACACCGAGTTCGTCGATAATCTTCTTTGCTCCCTTGGTGGTGGAGACACCTTCGGCAACACTGCCCAAGGTCTTCATAATCACATCCAGGGATTCACCCTTACCCAAACGGTATCCAACCGTATAGTTCCGACTGTTTGATGAACTGCAAGTGAGGAAGAGGTCTCCGACACCTGACAAGCCGAGGAATGTCAGTGGGGATGCGCCATATGCCGTTCCGATGCAAGTCATCTCAGCAAGACCACGCGTTATAATCACTAGAGAATTGATCCTCAGTCCAGTTGCCGTACTAGTGATCAAAGAGAACTCACTGGCTCGCGTGTTATTCTCAAAGCCAAGTCCATCAGACATGCCTGCAGCGATAGCATAGACGTTTTTCAATGCCCCCGAGAGCTCGATACCAATTGGGTCTCCTCCGGTGTAGCTATGCGTTGGCAGGTTAGCGCGTCGTTCAACGAGGGGATTGAGTAGACCGCGTACCATCGGAAATGGGGTTGATGGAATAGGTTGGCCGCTTTATCCGCCTCCTCCTCCGTGAATGACGCAACAGAGACGGATGTGGGTTGTCGCTGTACGACTGAATGCAAAAAAAAGGTCAGGCGCTGCTCACAAATATGACGTTGGTTTGGAGTGCCTACTTTCTTTGGCGAACGAAGGCCCAGACTATAGAGCACCAGGGTTCAGCCAGTGATGTATTCGATGCAATGGAAATAGACGCACAATAAAAGTCGACGCCTTGGCGATCTCAGAGCCACAAGTGTCGGCTATGATTTCAAGCGTCAAAGCATGGGTACCAATTTCGATACCCTTGTTAACAAAGATGAGCAGTGGTAGATTGGCGGTGTCTAGTCGTGGGCGGAGGGCCTCGAGGTTTGCCCTATAGAATACATCAGTATCGGATACCAGAACAAGGGAACGTGTCTTGCCTCAAGAACTGTGTCGGGATAGCGAAAATCAAGACGTCCATCGTTGCGATGAATTCCTTTGTGGGGAGTTCCGGACCAATGGCAGTGATGTTGCGCGGAAACTCGTGGTCCTGCAGGTACACAGGGTTGCGCTTGTGTTCATTGAAATGCTTGACGATGTTTTCTTCCCTGGCCCACATATATACATTGTGCTGAACGTCGCCTAGATGGGATGCTAGACAGGAGCCGAAGTTTCCTGCGCCTAGCACGAGAACAGTCTTTTTCTGAGTGTTTTCTGGCATTGTTGTCTGTTTCCCAGTCTATTAGATTGTTGATCAAGAGAGTGGGGAACTGACCAGGGAGGAAATGAAAGGTGATACTTGGGAGGACGTGCGATGAGGTGAGAAGGTACGAAGAGGACGAAGCTGTGAGCGGTGAAGAAGGAATGAGGCAAAGGGATTGATAGTCCTCGTGGTCCTCGAGGGCAAAAGCCGGGTGAGCCTGTGCATCCAATCCAGACTCCACAAGACAGGGGCTCACCGTCACCCGGAACCCCGTTCTTGGCGCAGTTTCCCTTTTGTGGCGGTACGACTCCGCCGCATCACGTGGGCCACGTCTCAACCCAGCGCTTCGAGCGTCGGAGCACCAGCACTTGAACACCTTCTCCTTGCAAAATCCACACCAATGACCTCCTTCCAGGATAGGACTACCGAATTCAGAACTTGTGTCGAATCCATTCGCAGTCGCTCTGCCCCTGGGGCCCGAGCCGAGGCAAAACAGCGCCTCCTACACCAGCCCAATGGCAAACCAGCGGTCAAGAGCGAATTCTCAAGGATAGCATCGTCTATCGGCAAGGACATCAGCAATACGTCGCTTAAACTGAATAAACTCGCCCAACGTAGGCTTCATTACATTTTGTACCCCAATCCCAGACTCATATGTTTTCTCATTAGTTGCCAAGCGCAAAACACTGTTCGACGATCGACCTGTAGAAATCAGCGTAAGCACTCCTATCGGTCAGCCAGAAGAAAGCGCTAAAGACAATCACAGGAACTCACCTTTATTGTCAAGCAAGATATTGCCAACATTAACAAGCAGATTGCGGCCCTCCAAAACCATGTTAAGCAGGGTCAGGCCTCCACCTCGATAGAGGGGAAGCAAATAGACGAGCACAATCGAAATGTTATCATGCTGCTGCAGAGCAAACTCGCCTCGATAAGTATGACGTTCAAGGATGTGTTGGAAGTACGGACCCAGGTGCGTCATCCCGACAAACCCACACTCGACCCGCGGCTAAACACCCCCGCCATTAGAACATGAAGGAATCCAAAACTCGAACGGAACAGTTTATGTACACAGCTTCTTCAGCTGCAAGCACGCAACCCCCTTCCTGTAAGCGGTCGTATATTCGGTGCCTTCTCGGCTTATTCACACGGCAACATAGTGCTCTATGGTTCCAAAACCAACCCAGATCCCATGGGGGACGGAAGCCCCGCAAAGTTTGATCCCAAAGGCAAAGGGCGGGCTGCGCAAAACGGGGACGTGCTGGCACTGGACCTCGACTCGGCTGAGGAGGGTAGCGCCAACGGTGGAGCTTTCCAACAAATGCAGCTTATAGAGCAACAGGTGTGCTCGGCCGCCATGTCTTGTAACTCAATCAATACCTTACCATGTCTACAGGACTCTTACATCCAGCAGCGCTCGTCTGCAATTGAATCGATAGAAACAACCATCGCAGAACTCGGTCAAATCTTTACGCAGCTCGCACACATGGTGGCCGAACAACGAGAAACCGTGCAGCGAATTGACGCCGATACCCAAGACATTGCGGACAATGTGCGAATGGGCCACAACGAACTATTGAAGTACTGGGGTAGGGTATCTAATGACCGCTGGTTAATGTTGAAGGTGTTCGGGGTTTTGATTGTCTTTGTGAGTCTGAATTACTTCGTTTTGTTTCCCTTCCACTCACAGTCACTCCAGTTCCTGCTATTCATCTTGGTGTCATGATACTATTGCGATGGTCGCAATCAGGTAGATATACTTTTCAGGGACATTATACTTATGCACATAACTATACACACGCTCCTTCATCACGGATACCCCCAATGCACGCTTTCCCACCGACCTAACCAACCGGTATTGCGTTCACTCCTGTTCCTAAGCTCTTCGGTTTCCTGTTGCCTCTCTGTTTCCTTTTACCGCCTCTATTCGTCGTCTCCTCGACAGTGTCGCCCACTGACCAGGTTCTCTTCGTCGTCGGTGCTTGGTCGATTCCAGAGGTCGCCGAATATCGTTGTGGTTTGTCAGGTTGCGAAGGTATTGACCCTTTGGTGCCCTTGTCCACTTTCTTTTGCTAAAAAGACGTCAACGACAAGTCCGGAACGAATAGCACTAAACATACCCTTTGACCAAGTAAAGCCTTGTTTCGTTCCCGTAGCTTGTTCAACCTGGCCTCTGATTTACCCCCACCGCCCGCGGTCAGTTCAACATTGATCATTCGGCTCTCAAGCATGGAATGGTGAAGTTTGAGCGCTTGTTGCAATGGCGCTTTGGTCTCGAACTCGAGGAATGCGCAGCCTTTCGATTTTGGCCTTGCCGCCACGCCAGGCTTTGCTTTGGGAGTAAGCAAGCGGACGGTTGGTGGTGGATCTGCCATGCTGTTAGAGAATATAAAGATAGAAAATCCAGAGTAAAACATACCACAGACGGCAGCAAAATGAGCCTGAATCGCCTCCTTCGTCGTCGTGTATTTTAAATTCCCAACGAACAAAATGAACCTCTGCGTTTTATCACCCTTTGCCTTCTTTTTCGCCCTCTTCTCTCCTTCGCCGTCTACATCCATCCCGTCCTCACCGCCGTCCTTCTCCTCCCCGTCAATATCCCCTTCCTCCCTCTTCCGCTTCTTGCCCTTGCCTGTCGTCGAGGTCTTAGCCACCAGAACAGCGTCCCCAGTCTCCTCTGCTCGAACCGCAACCTTGCCTTTACCCTTCCCCTTGCCATCGCTCGCTCCCTTCTTCCCTCCCTTCTTACTGCCCTTCTCGTCCTCATCTCCCTCAACTTCCATCCTATCGCATTCCAAACCAGCGATATCCTCGTCGTCCATGGCAGGGATTGCATTATCGTCCATTGCCAAGAAGTCGGCATCCTTGGTAGAATTGGTGGTAGAATTGGCGATAGCGGTAGTAGTGTCGGTGGAAGAGGAAGACTTTTTGCCAGACTTGCGGTCCCGGAATGCTAGGCTCTTTTTCTGCTTCTTGGTGAGCTTTTGAGTGGTGGTGTTTACAGTGGACATCGCGCGTTCAGTGGATGTATTCCGCCTGGGGCAAAACGAGGTTCCGGCCTAGCAAGTGTGCGCTGTTCAAACGTGTGTTGGAACCCTTTATTGTTTCAAGGGGTATGAGATAGGGAATGGTGGTATTTAGAGGGTATCACTGACAACTAGCCATGGAGGTTGAAGTGAAGTTCCTACAGCTAGTTTCGCGAGGAAAAATAGGGAACACGTGCGGTTCCCCATTAGGTGCAGAAGTACCCCTAGCGCAGAAATGCAAGAAAGGTCGAAAGGCTAGGCGACATGAAATAGTGAACACAGATGAAGTATCAATGCAACGTATCGTAGCTAGGCAGTACATTTGGTACGTTAGGCAGATAGTTCGGATAGTTCAAGAATCGAGACGAGCAGACACAAGATAGTATACAAAGCGAGCGGCGCTTGCATGAAATCAACACCAAGAAATGAAAAAACGAACTCCAAAAGACAGGCAGGGCTATTCACTCAGTAAGGGTGAGCCCATTGACTGCCTCTCCAGCCCCGGCAACTTCTCTCTCTTCTCCCTCCTGCCTTCGACGAGGTATAGGCCTCAATATTGGACTTGCTAGCAACATGGGCGCAGACCTCATGGTCGGACTCGAAGTGTTGCTAGCCAGCCTAGGGTATTGTGTGTATGAACTCGATGCGATGGTGGGTGATGATGCAGCGGAGCTTGCTGTGGATGAAGGAATAGTGATGGGAATAGAGATGGGATAGGCCCTCGGATTTCCATTGTTGCCTCTCCCCATTGGAGAACTCATGGAAGCCATCATAGGGTCGCGTAGATAGTGCAGGGACGGAGAAACTGCCCTGCGCTTCGAGCTTGTAGGGTATGGATCGAACCTATCTTCCACTAAGAAACACAGTCAGTCAAATAGAGTGAGATATGTAAGGCGAAAAGGGCTGTCGTACGTTTTCGTTTGTTAGAACGGACGGCACTTGACGTTGGTGGCGGGGTATACCTCCAAGAGGTACTTGAAATGGATGGCAGGAGAGGAGACCCAGGAACCTGTACATTGACGATGAGCAACATATTTACATTTCCCAGAATCCATTGTTACTCACCATATCGACATCCATCATATTATTGCCTCCAAAGCTGGAGGAGCTGGTCTCGGAGACGCTCATCAGCATGCTAGCATCGTCTCCGTTGACACTCCCAGCAGCACTTCCAGCAGGCGTCTGTGTCTTTTGTCGTACAATGTTGATAGGCTGGGTGCCAGTGGCGGGCGGAGGAGGTGCGCTGAATGCAAAGGGTTCGTCCAGCTCGAGCTCATCGTCGCTTGGTGTCTCTTCCCGCTGTGTTTCTTCTTCATGTACCGGCGCTTCCTCGGGATATCTCCCTCTGTCGGTAAATGGTCTTGGTGTCCGGGGAGGAATAGGTAGCTCAGAGTTTGAATGGAGCAGGCGCTGGAAAGCGGCTTCTGACTTGACTTCGTCTTCTTCAGGTTTCGGCTCTGAAAGGATCTTTAAAATACGGGGCGGCTTAAGCTGTCGAACGTCAAATAACATTAGCGTGCTGCAGTGTAAAGACGCGAGAATTGGGACGTACAGGGAAAGCGAGTCGTCTGTTAAAAATAGTGGGCATGTCGGAATCCATGCTTGCAGCAGATGACCTCCTTCGGGGTGGAGTAAGTGGAGGCTTCGAAGGCTTTGGTTTGGCCGTGACTGGCTCATCATCGCCGTTTTCAGACCCTTTCAAGGGTGGAGTTGCATTTTCAGAGCTGCTAGGCGAGTCTGTGGACATTCGTTCTTTCTCGCTCTCAGACTCTTCTGCGATGAAGGCAGCTTGACTCTGGCTACGTCGCCGCGCATGATGGAGAGTAAATGACGAGGAGAGCGGGCTATGGATGCGTGATGAGAGGAGGCTAGGGCGTCGAAAACGTTGAAGTAAATAGTTGGGGTCGTCGAGTGTCACAGATGAACCAGAAGCTCCAGGACTGGATATTGGGGGCAGCGCAAAGTCTGAGGACGATGTCGGTAGCGACGGCCTTGAAATATCTTTGGGCATTTCAGATGGTTGCAAAGGTGAGAAGGAAAGTTAAAACGGGCGGGGCAAGTGGTCAGAATCATAAATGGGCCTCGAGCGGTGAGTGTCGGGGGACGCAAGTGTTCAGATCAATCCCACATTCAACATAGGGGACTTCCTTCCGAATCCAGCCAAACGATTGTACCTATGTTTCTCCTCATTACATTACAGGTCGCCCCATGCGTAATATACAGAAGGTTAAGGGCAAGGTATGATAGTTTATGCTCGCTTAAGCCTTGATGTTCTCGAGAACCCAGGTGCCAGCGACGTAGGTGGCAGTCAACAGTGATCCTGAGGGAGTTTCATTAATGACTTGAAAGATCCACTCCAAATGGGGAGAGCTTACCGAGCAGGGAGATTGAACCGAGACCGTAGAGAAGGCCAACGCGCTGAGATGACGAAGAAAATGCGTAAGTCTCGCCTCTGAATTCCATGGTATCCGCTCACGACACGTACCTTCTTGGGGTCACCAGTGATGTAACCGCGGGTGTATGAGATTCGACTCACGACCCAGAGAGCACAAGCAGCCGCAGCAGGAATGGGATAGCGAAGGCCAGTTACAATGGTGCTGTAATGCTTTCTTAAGAAGTGATACAAGGAGTTGGTCATTGTCTCGACTTACGAGATGTACACGGCGGGAAGATTCTCGAGCGTGTTTTGGTGGGCACCTGGGAAGCAATGTGAGCTTGGTCCTCCTCTCGAAACGCCTATTGACATACGTTGAGCGCAGTTGAAGATAAGTGCTTCCTTGGAGGCTTTCTCTTGCGCCTTCTCGGCGTATGCTGTTGGGGTCGCGTAAGAAGAGGGACCACCATACGAGGAAAACCCAGAACCAACCTTGAGGGTAGTCAATGCCAGCCTTCTTTCGTGCAGAGCTCACGGCAAAGCTCTGGCCCAAAAGAAGCCAGACGGTCGACACTAGCGACGCGCCGACATAACCGAAACTGCAGAGGTGTTTAGTTGGAAATTCGCGTTGTGACGAACCTGCCACGTACCCTTGAGGAACCAAAGCGGAAGACATTGCTCAGATTATTGGAAGTCAAGAACGTTGACGGGGATATGTTTGCTGAGGAAGCATGTGGGGAAGGCGTGGGCGTTTATATCATTTTCGAAATCAATTTGATCGACCCAGAACGCGTCACCACATTTGGCCGACGGCTCTCAGTCTGCAGAGCTCTGGAAGATTCGAAACCGCTATGTTGGCAACCAGTGCACCCTTGAGAAAAACTCTTTGTCATCTCTGGAAAACATCGACGTGGAAGTGTGGGGAGCTTACACAGTAGCGGGATTAGTAGAAGCTCCGATGAATCAATGCCGGAACGGTTTTGGTGTGATGGATGGAGGGTGTTAAGCGCCCGTTTGTTCACTACCTGTGCTGTGTTTCCGTTATGCTTAAACGGATAGATTCTAACCGAATTGTCAAGGGCGTGAATGTGTGCATGTACGACATAAATCGAATAGGATGTATTAAAGCCAAGTGGGGCCCTCTACCTGCCAACGGGCCACCAAGTCTGAATCTTCGGCGCTACTCGTCACAACTCAAGGCACCGGCCCCTGCTTGTAAGCTTTGGTCGCGGCAGTCACAAACCAGCCCAACGCGAGATAGCTGGAATATACGAAGGGACCTATGTAAAGGACACGCATCGGTGAGCTCGAGGAATCAAGCTTCTGGCAGTGAGTGCTAACTCACCGAGAATAGATACCCCGCCAATTTTGGCAACGACACTACCAATGCGCTATCTCTCTGTTATTACTCATTGAAGCTGAAGTAGACAAACACTGACCTTGCTAGGGTCACCCGTGACATATCCATTAGTATACGCAACCCTGCCAATGGACCACGAGGTGCAAGCAAGCGCTGCCAGTTTGGGATGATACAATCCAGTAAGGATCGTTCTGACAGATATGTGAGTGGAAAAAAGACCAGTCGAGCCAAGTTATACATACGTCACATAAACCAAAGGGAGGTTCTCCAGTGTATTCTGGTGGGCACCTATTTCAGAGAAGGGGTTCAACACAAAAGCGGAGGAAAAAGGAAATAGTAACCGACGTTGGGCACAATTGAAAATGAGGGCATCTTTGGATTCCTCTTGCTGTTTCCTGTCGGCATACACTGAGGGTGCATACAAGTCAATTGGGCTAGAATTTCGACAGAGGGGTGCGTTCACGAACTCTGCGGGTATTCGATCCCAGCCTTCCGGCGAGTCTTGTTAACAAGTCGGTATTGCATTAGCAGGACCCACAAAGTAGTGACCAGCGAGGCGCCGACGAGCTGAAGCCTGTCATGCAAAACGCCCAAGGTACGAGTGGGTCAGAACGGGGTTGAGAAAGAAGGCTCTCATAGAGTGCACGTACCCATCTGGGTCAGCAATAGTAACAGTCAAAATCATATAGAGTGATAAGTGGGGTATGTAGTCGAGGAGGGAAAGCTCGATAATGATGGTTGGAGCGTATCGGGTCGCTTTAAATAGTCGTTCAAAGAGTTCGCGCTCTGTATCCGCAGGCGATGAGACTCCGAGCAACGTAAAAGCATGGAAAGGTTCTTTCCGACTTCAAATCAGAATGACGAGGAATAGCTGTGTACGCGCAGAGGCCACCGGAGCATTGCTACACCACCGTTATGGAATGATGTATGAATGAGCTCCCCGGGGTGATGTCTGATGGCATCTCCCGAATGTCGCTCAAGCTCTGCGGGATGTCTGGGGATGTCAAATCAGCAGATTGGGCGACATCGTTGACACTGAATGTCAACCAGACATCCAGGCTGAGGTCATTGGGACATCCCGGTCAAGGTCACAGCGGGATGGATGCATTGGCCAGGGAAAGCGCGATATTTTTCATTTTTCATTGGTTGCTCTGGGACCTTAGCTTTGAACGTTTGGTACAGTGACAATTTAATTGTATTCGCGCAAGATAGTTATGTACAGAAGACAGGATGCTAAGTACGTTGAATGCCTACACATTAAACGAAAAGCCGAGGTACCAGTGCCAGCGCATCCACTCCACCCTGAATCACCAGACGATGCGAAAGCTCATGGGAGAAGTCTGCAATTATTTCTTAGTGAAATACTGGAGAGACCGATGGACGACTTACAGTTATTGCCAGACAGCTCAGCGGACCCAGACTACAGATACTCGAGTACTTCAGGCCATCCCCAGTTCCAGCGGATCTCGTCCTGCATGAATGAAGAGAATGTTAGACGTGAGCAGCCAGAATACCAGTTTTATAAACTTACCGCCAGAGGGGGAAGGAGGCTGGGCTTAGAAGGCCATTTCGTCGCTGGCACCGCGCTGAGGATGGTGAGGGAGCGAACGGACTGGCGACGCGCCGCCGCGACCTGAATATGAACCATCGATCACGTGGGCGAGTCCGCTGGCGGCTTTCTCGCGGCTCAGCCTTGCATCCAGTCGCGTCTCCCAAGTCCGACTTCATGTTTTGCAGCGCATGAATCTCGGGCACGCTGGCCCTAATTTCCTTGCTAATTATGAAGCAGACAAAGTACAGTATTGTAAAGTTAAATAAAATTCACCCAATCTTTTAACCGTTCGAACCCAGGTCAGTTTATGATTCTGAGTAGGGAGGGGTCTCGGGGATCTTGCCTATGAGCTCAGCGAGAGCTTCACCACAGGTCGACCAAGATCATCCAAATTGTCGGCGCGAGATCAAGTTCCGGACATCTCACGGAGACTGTGACAAGGTCAATTGACGTTTGGCGGTGAGGTCAACCGACATCAAACCCTGATGTCGCCAACGGCTCTCGCCAAAATGGTGGTGTATGTAAGGATAAGTGGTCGCTGCGAATAAACTAAGTTCCGCCGCAGGCCTTTGCTGCGGGCCCAGCAGCACTCGGACGGCAAGTGCCGGCCCGCGACAGGGGCTGATCACAAGTTTTGCGATTGATTGACTTCGCGCAGATTTTGCTTTTAGCAACTCACATATCTTCACACCAAAAATGTCGAAACGTCCGGCAGATCCTTCGACATCTACCCAAAACGCCGATGGGCAACCCTTTGCAAAAGCGCCATTGAGCGCAAACAGACGTGAGGTCGCAGCTAACGATGAAATGGGGGAATTTGAGGATGCATGGGAGGACGAGGTGGAGAGCGACGAAGAGGTCGTGGATGCCGAGGCTCATGATGAAGACGGTGCGTTTCATTATGATCCCCTGTGCATAAAGCTATAGCTAGGGCACAATAGGCATGGATGTCGATGGCGTTATGCCTGCGATAGAGGAATCCGAAGAACCAGCTCCTCCACCAAAAGTTTTCGTTCCCGGGCTTCACACACTCGGCAAGGACGAGGTTCTTGAGGCCGACGAATCAGTGTACATTATGCGCCATGCTATGCGCGTCAACTGGCCTTGCTTGTCTTTCGACGTCCTCCGCGATAACCTTGGAGATGAGCGACGTCGGTTACCTGCGACCGCCTATATTGTCGCTGGAACCCAGGCAGATGAAATGAAGAAGAATGAAATTGTAATCTACAAGATGAGCTCGCTTCACAGAACGCAGAGGGATGGCGGTGAGTGTCTGGTCACAAGTCCTTAGGAATATTGGACCTCAATGGACTCTTGTGCAGATGGATCTGATGTGGAGGACGACGAAGACGACGAAGACGATCTTGATGAAGACCCCATCATCGAGTTCAGGTCAATACCGCACTTTGGAGGCGTGAATCGAATTCGCGCACAACCCCTGCCGCCTACTACCCCGCTTCCCCCGGTTTCCCAACCGTACTACGTCGCCAGTTGGGCAGAGACGGGAAAGGTCCACATATGGGATGTCCGGCCGCTTATCGAATCCATTGACGTCCCTGGTTACTCGTACGAAAAATCTCGAGTACAAACACCAGCTTTCACAATCAACTCCCATGGACGAGCAGAGGGTTTCGCAATGGATTGGGCAGCGTCTGGCCCATCTTCCCTTCGACTTCTCACTGGTGACATCCATTCCAAGATCTACTTGACCACCGTCACGCCAACAGGCTTCAACGCCCTTTCTCAACCATTCACCTCACACACATCCAGCGTCGAAGATATTCAATGGAGCCCAACTGAGCCCACCGTTTTTGCATCGTGTTCGGCTGATCGTACTGTGCAAATTTGGGATGTTCGAACCAAAGGCCGAAAGAGCGTGGCCGGTATAGACCCAGCACACGAAGCCGATGTGAATGTTATCAGCTGGAACAAGTTGACTTCGTATCTGTTGCTCAGCGGTGGAGATGAAGGTGGAATCAAGGTTTGGGATCTTCGAAACGTGAAACAGAAAGGGTCGGTATTTTCCACTCTCTTATCCTACACTCGCATTAAACGTTTTACAGGTCTACTGGGCCCACACCATCACCAGTGGCCTCTTTCAACTGGCATTCCGCCCCCATCACCTCAATAGAATGGCATCCTTCCGAGGATTCCGTTTTCGCAGCTTCCGGTGCCGATGATCAAGTAACGCTGTGGGACTTGGCTGTCGAGAAGGATGCCGACGAAGCTGGTATGGACGATGTTCCCGAAGGCGGAAAGGACATACCGCCGCAATTGCTTTTCCAACATCTTGGGCAGAAAGACATCAAGGAGTTGCACTGGCACCCTCAAATTCCGGGCACAGTTATCTCAACGGCTTTCGACGGATTCAACATCTTCAAAACGTTCAACATGTAGGGTTCCAATTGAACGAATGCCCACATACTGCCTACGTTCATAACTAGACGGGAAGTGGTCAGAGCTTGCTCTGGATGGAACCATCTGCTGGAATCCGGATCTAAACTGTAGGTAGATTAACAAAGGAATGATACCTGTTGAAAGGCCGAACGGAATCCCCCTTTGGAGACCTGGTATATAGGAGACCTTCCTCGCGTTTCAACACGATGTGTATCATCGAGTTTTCCCCAGGCCAGAGCCAGAACACGAAACCTTTGGCGAGACAAGAGAAGGGCCGAGTCACCAGTCGGCTATCTGGTGAGGATGGCTCACTGGTTGACATGAAGAGTCCAAATGCGTGACGGAAGAGACGACGGGGTATCGGGCGGGATGGTCCCGGCAAAAGTGAACTTTTTTCGGACAATTCGGTTAGTACCCCAAAGCAGAAACTTGAAGGTATGGGGTACCCGCCAACAAGATACTCAGACTCACCACCACCACAAGCCCGCCTGCCAGCTCCGATGCAGTGTAAACCCAAGCCTGAGATGTCATCTTGCTGTCATGCCGAACTCCTGGAGGCCGAGACTTGAAACTTGAATTAGTATAAGTGCTTGGTTGCTGCAAAAACTGTCGGTTGATTCGCGCGGTGCGCCTGAACGTGACCTAGGAACCCATCCACAGTTCGAGCATCCTGAGGCGCTACTGTAGGTTGTACTGTACATGATGTCCCGCTTAGTATAATGCCGCGCGGTTGTTACTCTTAGGAGTTCGGATCTGGATACCGAAACAGATTGAGAATATACTGACAGTAATAAGGAGAGGTCCCTTACCTTGGATATGTTCTTCTGCATCATGTCAGTGATGGATGCATAGACGTTTCTAATATCATATAGGTGCTGGCGAGCGAAGTAGAACTGTTTCTCGTCATGATCCCTCAACGCGAGCTAAACGGGCCGTGAGTCACCGAAAGGAATGCAACTCGATTCACGTACAGCATAGTCCTCGATGTTCGGGTACTTGATCAGTTTAGAGCAGATCTTCGCTCTCGTGAGGTGGTCTTGCCGTGGTAGGTCACGGATTGCAAGCGCCGATTCCTGGGCACGCTGTAGCTCCCCGAGTACCTCTGTTCCAGGGTAAATATACTGAGTGGTTGATAGCTTGACTCGGTTACCCACCCTCTTGGACGTGAACACCTGAACAACTGTTAGATTTCTCCTGCTAAGATTGGGAGACGCGACGCATACCAAAGTTGTCACCACTGAGAGCGAGGTCAGGCGTTATATATGCGACACCATGAAAAGTGTACACTTACTCTTCTATTCTATGGTGAACAGTTAGCTCGCGTGTGTTCTAGGGAAGGGGTCTTGTACTTACTTGGGCAAGGTCAAAGTAACCCATAGGCGCACTTGATCCTATTGGCAATATGGATTCCGTATTCCGCGCAGATATCACCGGAAGTGACGCACCGTGAGATCTGCTAGTTCTTCGCACTCTTTCTTCACGAAATTGTAGATCTTGTTCGTCATGTGGTCGTTTGCCTTCACATGGTCCGGGTATCGCGGGCTGGTACCAGCACCAGCTTGCCCTTGGCCACTTGGGACTTCCGAGTCCTCCAACTTGCGCTTCTTTCCAGACGGTCCATCGTGTCGCAAAGATTCTGAAGGAGGGTAGACGGTAGGATCGGAAGTCTTGAGGGCGTTCGACAAATGGAAAGGTGAGGCAGGGTCGTTCAAAGTCTTGAGAAAATCCGTCAATTCGCTATAGGATCGGTTATTGGAAGCCGCGACGAAGGTTGAAGATGACTTACAGAACCTGGAGTTTGCCAGCCTCAAGACAGGATTTTAGGGCATATGGTCAACACCCACCTTCTGAGGGAACGTCCGAAAGACGATCTCCTCTCCAGTCTTTGCAGCGTCTTTGTGAAATTGCTAGTACGTTAAGTTGATACCGACTCAGTAAAGCAGAGATTCAAAAGGGAATGTATCACCTCAAGCCTTTGGGCCAATTCCTTCTCCATGGAATCCATTGGACAGATAGTAGGTCGGAGAACAGTGCGATATGAGTTAACGCGTCCCAACAGGGCCCGAGCTCGTTGATTCTTTTAGGTAATTATTTTCCACGCTTTCATTGACCAGAGTCAGTGACGATAAACCATGCTCCTTGCACTCGAACGTCCAGCTCGGTGGACTACCCACAACTGTGAGAACCTGCTGTACCAATGGCAACCGAAGACGAAACCATCTCTGCCCTCACTGGATTCTCGTTGAGCCATGTTCTCGAAGGACTTCAACTGCCAACTTCAGATGGTCTTCGAAATCAACTTGGAATAACCGGTATTCCTGAACTCACTTCGAAGCAAATCTACAACGACAAGTGGGATGATGACGAAGCCGTGGGACCTGACCAGGGAGAGGACTGGGAGGCGGAAATAGACAGGGAGATGCAGGAAGAGGAGGAAGAGGAGGAATCGAGAGTAAAAGAAGAGGTCCGGTCACCTCAGCTCAAGAAGAAGGAACGGCGGGTGCGTGTGGTGAAGAGACTCGTGGAGCGACCTCCGACAGTTGAGGAAAGATTCCCGACTTTTGCGAAGGGAAAGGTTCTCGACTTCACCGAACTATTCAAGGGATACACCGTCAAGAAGTCTCGTCTATCGAAACGACCATACCAAGGTGCGTCTGTTTCGAACTACCGTTTTGACTCGTCTTTGTGGCTTATATATATATCAATTCTAGTGGAGACAGTATATCCTCGCAAGCGTGATGTTCCACGGTCGTTTCTGGAGTCGGTAGTGGGCGATGCTCGAAGTAATGCCAACAAACGTGTTGAAGAGGTGGTGGCAGCGGGGAATGTTGAATTGGATCTTCGAAGGGCTTTGGAGGTCAGTGGAACAACTGCATGTGTCGGATCCCTCTAAACTGAATGCAGGAACGCGACAAAACGGACGTCCCAGTATCGTTGCCTCTCGATGATAGAACGTTTGACCTCGTCCTCCTTTCCAATTGGGAAGATGAAATCATGTATGGGCCTGGCGATGTACAGGAACTTCCGACCACGACCGAGCCTGAAAGTACTTTGACTACGCCCGTGAATGCTGCCCTGGAATCCGGAGCCTGGACGCAAAGTATCATCTGGAGTCCGCGCGCACCTTTCCGCGACTTCACTCAGTTGGAGCTTCACGAAGAAGAACTTGTGCCTGAGGACAAACCGAGTAAGCAACACCACGTTAATGTAACTATGGTACACGCTAAAGTACTCTCAGGTGAGACTGTTCGACCAAGGAAACGTTTGCGGACGGATCCCAATGCCAAAGACAAGTACAATCTATCCAACGACCAATACTACGAGGTGTCGAAAGAAGGCGCTCGTCAGCATGTTCGACAAACCTTTGGCCAACTCGTTGTGGAGCATGCATACCCAGCGCAGAAACTGCAATTGCCCTTCGTATGTTTTCCGCTTGGCCACTTTGGGCGTGTTTCCGCTGACGCTCTATTTCAGTACAAGACACGGTTATCGAAGCAAGAAGCTCGTTCATTTCATCGGCCTGCCCTACAGATCCCTGCAAATATCGAAATCCGTTTCCAGAAAGTCCGAACTGCAAAGAAAAAGAAGGACAAGCATGGTCGCCGTCTGGGCAAAGGCGGGAGTGCCGGCGATGCTTTGCGCAAGACAGCGGATCTCAGCTTGCGAGATACAAGCAACTTTGTACTCTGGGAGTATTCTGTACGTGTAAGAGCAGTTGTATGTTTCCAAACACTAACACTGCCATTCAGGAGGAACATCCCCCCATAATCTCCAACTTCGGCATGGGTAGCGCCCTGGTCAATTACTATCGCAAGAAGGACGAGAAAGACGAATATGTTCCCAAGGTACGTGTCTGCCCTCTGCTTGGGAGATTGCTCTAATGATTACCAGGCGGACCTCGGAATTCCCTTTGTGCTAGAACCGCAGGACGAATCTCCTTTCATGAAGTTTGGTTACGTCTATCCGGGACAAACCTTTCCTGTCCTGTATAATAACCTTGTTCGAGCACCGTTGTTTCGTCACAAGCCAGAAAGTACGGATTTCTTGGTGATCAGGTCCGTACGACATTCAGATACGTTCCGCCTTCACTTACTGATCCTTTTCCAGAAACACCGTCAAAGGGGAATCGAAATACTACATCCGCGAAATCAAGAATTTGTTCGTCATCGGACAGACTTACCCTGTGACGGAGGTCCCAGGTCCCCATTCGCGTAAAATCACGAACACCATCAAACATCGACTGCAAATCATTGCCTTCAAACTATTGAAGAAGAGTCAAGGAGAGCGTCTCAAGATTTCCCGGTTAATGAAGTATTTCCCTGATCAGAATGAGCTGCAGATGCGCCAGCGCCTAAAGGCATGTTGCACCATCACTAGTCCTACGTTTACATTCACTAACTTTAACACCAGGAATTCATGGAGTACCACCGCCGAGGCCCACATCAAGGTTTCTGGAGGTTGAAGTCCACCTGGACACTACCATCAGACGCAGAGATGTTGAAAATGGTTGGCCCCGAACAAGTGGTGCTCACGGAAAGTATGCAGGTTGGGCAGCGACATCTCCAAGATGCTGGCTACAGCCAAGCAGAGGTGTCCGATGGAGACGAATCAAAGCTGTCAGTTGAACAACAGCTGGCGCCCTGGATCACGACCAAGAACTTCCTGTATGCCACGCAGGCCAAGGCCATGTTGCGGCTACACGGAGAAGGCGATCCTTCTGGCCGCGGTGAAGCTTTCAGTTTCATCCGAATCTCGATGAAGGACATTTTCGTCAAGGCTGGCGAAGACTACGAACAGAAGCTGGGTAAGCCATCTTCCTATTAATCCGAGTCGTCTCCTTATTCATTTGCCTTCTGAATAGCTGAGGCCGAAAGCCGACCGAAATCTGCACATCGCTATAACGTTGCTGAGCAACAGCAGATATACAAGTCGGAAATAGAACGAATCTGGAAGGCTCAATACGACTCGTTAAGCAGAACCGACAAGCCTGAGCTGACTGAGGAAGATGAAAGGCGGGACAAGCAAATGACCGCTGCCCTTGAAGCAGGACCTTCTGCTCGCCCCTCCCCGGCCTTCAGTCGAGCGTCGTCTATCGACAGAGAACGTGAGGGCAGCGTTGGACCAGACGGAGCCAAGCGTATCCTCCGGATCAAACGCTTGGTGAGTTTCCTACCCATCGGACTCGTCCAGTTGCACACCCAATGCTGACTACGTAACAAAGATTGACGGTGAATGGCGAACGGAAATTATCCGCGACCCCGCCGTCATTCGAGCTTATGTTCGTGGAAGACAAGCGCTCGAAGAGGAAGCTACTCTAGCAGACCATCTCGCTCCAACAGGTGATGCAGACAAGGACAAGAGAGCCAAGAAGAGGTACGATGACATACATTGTTCTGGGTCTTGTCTGGGCGGTACTGATCGGTCTTGGCTTTGCTTATCACGCAGGCTCGAAGAGGAAATCGCCCGAATGAAGAAAAACCAAGAGCGGCGACTACACAGGAAGAATGCCAAGATCGTCAAAGAAGGTGGTGTTCCGATGCAACTCAGCAGGCCCATGAAGCCGGACACCACGGTAAGTGCTTCTCAAGGGTCCCATTGATTCCCTGTTTACTAAGGCTCGGGCCGTTTTTCTCGCAGCGACGATGCGGTCATTGTGGGCAGATGGGTCATATGAGTGAGTGGATTTCATGTCGAGCAAAACGAGTACCATTGTGACACGCGGTTTCACTAGAAACAAATCGCAAATGTCCTCGTTGGGCAGAGTTCAACAGCGGGACGGCACCGCCTCCTCTGACGCCCTCCAGCTCTGCAACAAGTCCACCGCCTGGGAGCGCTCCAATACCAATTCCAGGGACAGCTGGTTTCAACCGAAGCAGTGGGAGCTTCAGTTTCCAGACAGCAGTCCCCTCCCCTCTGGCAACCAGTCCCCCTATGTCCGCCATGGACGACGACTACGCACCTTCAACGCCGTCTGGTTCCGCTCCAAAGTTGAAGCTGACTCTGAAACGAAACTAGATGCTTCCTTACTCTCTATTGCATTCGTTCACTGTACAATAGTTTACATACAACATTTATCTTTAGGGTTCCTTGGGGCATGCTTGCTGATTGAAAAAAGTAATGGTGTCAATCGAGATTTTCTCCAGCGCCGACGTGAATACAGAGGTCGTAAGAAGAAAATGGGAAAATAGCGGGAGGGTGTAGCATAAGATCATATGGTTCATTAACAAGAAGACAAACTAGCGTCAAAGAGGACTACAAAACGGGAAGAGAAAAAGAAAACATCCAGGCCAGTTCGGTCTCGAGTCTATGCTGTGGCCATATGAACATCTCGGGGAGCTTCATTCGCGAGCAAATCGACACCACGAGGAGGAGGAGCCAACTCTGGGTGTCGCTTCCTGAAATCATTGTTAATTGTCACAAGGAGGTTGAGAATCAGATCGGCGTGGCGGGCTCGTTCTTCCTGGGGGATTTCAGCTTTGTTACGGTGTTCCAGTTCGATCCTGCCAATTTCTCTTGACAACTCCTCGCTCTCTCGTCGGTTGCTATTCGAGTTGCTGGAAAGAGTGGGAGAGGCAAGAGAGCGGAGGCTGGGGAGTTGGCCACTTCCGCTACGAACGTGAGGAGAGTCCGATCGAGTCGAGCTGGGTGTCGACTCGCGCGAGCCACCACTTCCTGGTGGGGGAGAGGCGGGACGGTTGTAGATCTGACTCAACGGTGGAAGACGCAGCTCAGCATCTCCGGGCGCGAGCAAGGGATACAAGGATCCTGGTTTCGAGATCTGGGAGAGGTCGGCGGGGAGACCACGATGCGAGGGTGGTGGCAATCGGGGTTCCATGGTTGCACTGTGTTGGTTGGAATGATCAGCGGTTGAACCAGGGACGGACTTGAGTGGGATGATCGGGCGCATGGACTTGGAGCCGTACTCAGGCGCTGCAAGGTGAGCTACAGGAGGGGCGCCGCCGCGGGATCGCATGTTATAGTCGAACTCGCCCGACACAGTGAGGGGAACCTGAGGAGGGGTGGTCGTGACAGGAGTCGAAACAGTGGAATGGGGGGAGCTGCTCTCAAGCGGAGGTGTCGGGTGGTGATAGGTATGGTTGAAACCCGGGTTGGGAACACCGCCATTACTATACTTGCCGTTTGGGTGAGGACGGTGACGATACTCGCCGGGAGGAGAATAATTGTTGCCTTGCTCCCCGACGTTATACATGCCGGCATACTGGCCAGGAATCGAGGAATGACTTGAACGCGAAGGGGGGTAAGCAGCTCCCGGGAACGAGTTGGGGCCGGGCGGGTAGTGGCCATCTTGGTAGGAACCACCATTTATACCTGGCATGCCTGCGAGACCGAGCTGGCTGAGATTGACGTTATCGAAATAATTTTGGTGAGGAAGGCCGTTGTTGTGAGAAGAGTTGGAATGAGAATGGGGAGCAGGATGGTGTCGGATGCTACCAGAGACATCGCGACCGAGTGTAATCAAAAATTCGTTGACTGCCGCGAGTTCCTCAGGAGTGCGGATATCTAAAGAGACGGATCGTGGATTGAAGGTTCCACTGGAAGTGTACGGAGCAGAGCTACCGTGGTGCTGCTGGGGGAAAGCGAGGGTTTCAAGCCGCTCCGCCATGCCTAAGATAAGATAAGTAGGTCAACCGACGTGAGAGACCACAGACTTACGTGTATCATAAGAAGGGTCAAGCTTTCTCTTCTTCATGTCGTTGATGAAATCATCGACAGAGGGGCCTCCTGCAGTATAATCGTGGGAGCGCTTGGATCCGACTTGAGGGCCAGCTTCGGGTCGCAAGACCTCCCAGGAAGGGATTGGCTGGCCTCCGGCCATGAACATTTCGTGCGAGGGGTGATGACCGTGAATGGATTGGTGGATGAGCTCTGGAGATGGCGTAGGGAGGAGGCCGCCGAAACCTATGCGTGAGCCTTGAGTGTGCACGTAACCAAGAAAAGCAGTGATACTTACCGTCTGGCTTTCGCACACCGGGGTACTTCATTCCACTACCCGACGCTTTGTTCTTGTCGGCTGAAGCAGATGAGCCACGAACACGCTGCACATAGGCGGGATCGACGACGGTGATCGCCTTTGAATGCTTGTGTTGCTGGTGGTGCTCCTCAGTGTGAATCTTCTCATGCTTTTTGAGGTCCTGAGGACGCTTGAACGCCTTTTTGCAGATCTGAAAAATCGGTTATGAGACGGTGAAAAAGTGTGGACAAGGCGGGGTGCTCACTTCGCAAGAATGTGGCTTAAGTGGTGTGTGAACTAAATCGCCCAAGTCAATATTGAGAGAATGGGATGCAGAGGACGAAGAACAAGTTACCTCTGAGATGGCTTGTGATATGATCTCGCTTAGCGCAGGTGGTGCCACAGTCCTTCCACTTGCAGGTGAGGCACAGATTATTGGTGCTCTTACGACCGATATGGTCGTTGCAAAGATGGTTGTAGAGACCCTCAGGATCGACGAAAGACTGGGTGCAGTCCTGCCAGAGACATTTGTGGACGACTGGGGGCTCTGAGACGGGCTGGGCAGGCTTCTGCTGCTCAGCGTGGGCTGGTGCTGGCTGGGCTTGGGGTTGCTGCTGCTGCTGCTCAGGCTGGGGCTGAGGCTGAGGCTGGGGCTCGGCGTTTAAGGGAGCGGGCTGTTGTTGCTGGTCTGCAGGCTGTTGCTGCTGGGGCGGCGGGGACGTCTTCTGGTCGTTGTTGGGCTCGATGTTGGGGGGAGAAGCCTCGGGGGAGGGAAGTGGTTGTGTCATCTGGAAGTATAGAGTGGGGATTCCCAGATTATGTTCAAGCAGCGCCAGAGGAATCAAGTCGTTCTCTGCCATGATGTGCCCTTTTGAGAGAAATCGGCACCCAATCCCGCCAAGAGTCACTGTCGTGTGAAAATGTGTACCGTAATGCCGGAAGACGCCAAGACTGCCCAATTCTCCGGAGTGGATCTCACGAGTTACGATCTAAACAACAAGTACCGAACACTGATATCATCATCTCCGGCACAGTTAACGGCATCCTGAGCAACACCAAGCTTCTCCTCACTGTGCTGCAAGTTGACGAGTACACTACTTGGCCCTCCATGAAGAGACCATTCTCGTCCTGCTCGGCCCCCAACAACGGAGGACGTTGCCAAACAAGACACGCAACCCTCCATAAAAGGAAACACATGGTGGGGGATGCAGTTCCCAATTTGGAAACTCTTGGAATGTTGAATTGGGTTGGGCCCTTGGGCCTTGGGCTTGGCAGGCCCCTCTACGATCACAAGGGCTTTGGGGCGAAAATAATCTTGCTAAATAATAGTTATTAGCTAGAGGTTGGTGTTTTCCTCGTCCTCATCATTTATGCGTAAGACTTTGACCCAGTCGCGGTAGTTAAAGTTACCCTGGCGGTCAGTAAAGGGTCCCTTCAGGAACTTGTCAATCTGCATAATGGTCAGACCAGAGTAACTCTTGGGCAACAACCGTTTCCTCTCACCTCCTGCATATCCATGCGCTCCCCAACCTCACTGAGCCATTTCCGCATTTCCTCCACCTTGACCATCCCAGTGTCGTTCTCGTCAAACGATTCGAAAGCCTCGATCAGCTCAGCCTCTGTGTCAAACTCGAACAATCGTTCACTCATCATCGTGAGGAACATCGTAAAGTTAATCCCCCGGTCCCCAGTACTGTCGTCGTATCCCACAGACGATGTTCTGCTGTGCGTTCCTGGGCGCGCATTCAATAGCTCGTCCATCATCCTCTGCGATGGCGTAATGCCTGATTATCGACGTGTAGATAATAAGTGTACGTGCGCCATCCCATCCCTCTCTCACTCACCGAGGCTCGCAAAGATCTGTCGCAAGTCGTTCTCATTAACCCAACCATCCTTGTCGTGGTCAATGAGCTGGAACGCCTCTTTGAACTGTTGGATCTGTGAGGCCTGGAAGAGCGAGAATACGCCAGATGGCTCGCGTCGCGCTCGCGATTTCTGGGCCTTGGATAGTTTCGTTGGAGTGGGATTTGGTGACAAGTAATCCGGATATCGAGACATATCGTATAGAATTATCCGTCAAGAATCCGAGTGAGGGTTTACAGAGACCAAAGCAGGATCTTGAGTGGTAGTATCGAAGAGAAGCCTTCTCGTTTTGGATGCATTCAATCGTGTTACAGCAACGCGTTCGTGGCTGTGCCCATGCCTCGTAATTGAGCTTTGCTTGGCCGTGAAGCTAAGAATGGCTTGAGAATGGCTTGTCGCCTGGGCATATACACAACGCTCTTCTATCTACTACACTCTCGTCATAATCTACGCCTTCTTCGAGTATGTTTTCCACATAAGCCGCAGTACCCACACCCTCGGCAACCACTTTAAGAACGCAAACAGTCCCGCGTTTCCGCCCAAGGAAAAGTAAGTATAGAAAGGCTGGTTCTTTCTAAGCGCCTTTGCCACAACCTTTTTGGCAAAGATCTCGTTGGGCATCGAGCCAGGTCCCTGACTCGCGTTGATACGCCGCATCATGTCAGGAAGGTACTCGCCCCACAGACTGTCTGGCGCAAGGGTGAAAGAACCAGTCGCATTGGCAGCGATGTTCGACTTCACAGCTCCTGGTGCAATGTGAAGGACTTGGATGTTGTACGGCTGCAACTCCATAGCCAAGACCTCCGAGATACTAGCAACTGCTGCTTTGGAAGCGCAATAGAGCCCGTTCCATGGGGTTGCACTACGGTTCCGAAAGTAGACACATCAGTTAGTTGGAAAGGAAAGCCAAGTAGTGGAAAGGAACTTGCATGTCACCGACGATAGAGCCGATATTAACAATCAAGCCTTTGCGCTTCTTGACCATGTGCGGTGTGGCGGCCTTGGAAACACGTAGAATCGAGATTGTATTGGTATCGAGCACCCGCTTAATATGGTCCATGGACTGCTCAAGGATAGGTCCTAAGGAATAATTAGCGAGATATACATCACAGCTATTGCCTTGTACACACCAGGGGCGATGGTTCCCGCATTGTTCACGAGCACATCCAGCCTCCCTTCAGTGTCGACAATGTGTTGGATGGCTTTGGAGACACTGTCGTCATCAGTAACGTCGATAGCGAGTTTCTGGATCTTCGCATCCGCAAAGTCTGCGATGGTCTCCGTTCGGCGAGAGCTCGCATAGACTTTGCACCCCTGTCTCGCGAATTCCTCGCAGCTAGTCTCGCGTTAGCGGGTGTTTTGTGGCGTGTTGGAGGGGGAGACTCACAGAGAATAGCCTATGCCTCCAGTGCTGCAGCCTGTGATGAGGACGACGGACATGGTTGAACTCCAAGAGACGTGTAGATCCCACCCATGTCCAGGAAACGCGGGGGAGAGGAGGCAATGAAACCCGGGTTGCCGGTGTTCCAAACAAGGTAGGTCTCCGGGGAAAAGGGGCCGAAGCCGTCAAAACTGACAACATGAGGGCTGTCCGCAGGCTCGAGTTCCACCATCGCCGCGCACCATCCCTTTATTCTCCATTTAATTGTTTGTTGACGACGCTTGCTACGCATCGAGTTTGCTTTCGCTTTTCTTTTTCTCTTCTTTCCCTCTGACCTTCTTCTCCTCCACTTATTTCGAGCTCTGTCTGGTACAATTTTTCTTGCTCGACGTAACAACCTGGTCCTTGGTCTCCAATTCACTATGAAAGCTGTCAACACCCGAATCATCCTGGGCTTCATCGCGGCTCTAGCAGCCGTCTCAACCACCCCAACCGCCCTAGGATCCACTCTGGGCCCTCGAGATGGGAGTCTCACCCGACGGCAGGCAGTCTGCAACGGCCACGCTGAGCTCTGTGAGCGAGGCTATGGAACCCTTGCCTACGTTGGAACACACAACTCCTACGCTGTGGACGTTAATAACTGTACGTCTCTTTCATTCCTTTGCTCAATTCTCCTTTACAAACTGAGACGTCTTTGTACTCTAGTGGCAGCAAACCAAGATCATGACAGTACGACCGCCCAACCTTTCCACTCGTGTTCCAGGATGCTAAATCGATGCCACATTCACCTACAGTTACTCAGCAACTCAACGATGGTGTGCGGATGCTTCAGATGCAGGCGCACGACGAGAGTGGTGTAATCAAGCTGTGTCATACCGATTGTGTGCGTGCCTCAGTCCTCGGCAACATGTCTCCTTTTATCCTAATGTGGTTATAATTAGCGGCTCTACGATGGTGGAACACTCGAGAACTATCTCAGAACGGGTAAGCCCTAGTGAATCTTCAAAGCCGTGAACTTTCCTTGATAGCATTTGGATCATAGTTAAAACCTGGCTTGACGCCAATCCCAATGAAGGTCAGTCGGCTAGAGGGGTTTAATCGCCTTTGTACTCACTCTCTCCCTTATGCAGTCCTATCGCTCCTTATTGTCAATTCGGATAACGTCCCGGCGGCCCGTTATGCGGAAGTCTATGCCAACACTGGCATGGATGTCGTTTCCTACAGCCCGCCGACCTCACCTCTCCCCGCCCTCGAATGGCCAACTCTTGGCTCACTCATTGGCTCGGGCCAACGAGTCATTACCTTCCTTTCTACTACGGCTAACCCAGAAATCCCCTATCTTATTGACCGTATGTCCATTTGGCTTTGTCCTCGCAGTTTGCGTCCGCTTACACGGTACTAGAATTCCCTAACGTTTGGGAAACCAAGTTCAACGTTGTAGATCAAAGCAACTTTGATTGTCAAGTGGACCGATCTAGAGGAGACCCTTCGACTTCTCTCTTCCTCATTAACCACTATCTCGACAAACTCGTTCTTGGACAACCTGTTCCCGACCTTGACAAACTAGATGCCACGAATGCCGTTTCCGGATTTGGTTCTCTAGGTGCCCATGTAGAAACCTGCCGGGCTGTTCAAGGGCGTCCACCCAACTTCCTCCTTGTCGATGTAAGTCCTTGCCACTATGTTTGCGCTCATGTTTAGTGATTAAATTTCGGATGCCAGTTCTACGAGTACGGCGGTGGCTCGGTTTTTGAAGTCGCAGCTCAGATCAACGGCGTTCCATATAACCCTGCCACTCCTGTCGCCTCCCCTAGACCAACAGCTGTCGGGACCCAAACTGCAGGCCGCGATGCGACTGGAGGAGCCAGCGGTAGCGCACCAGCCCTACTCCAAGGCTCGCACCTCGTTGCTCTCCTGTCTATGGTTGTAGGCACCGTTGTCATCGCACCATTATTGGTGTTTTGATGATTCAAGACCTGGGTATCCTTGACTTGCTCCAATCTATTTCTTGGAGATGTGGATCTCTACAAACTACGTTATCTATGATCGCTGCTAATTGCTTCTGAGTGGTTTCCTGATATCTTGGTTCTCTGTCGCTTCTCTATTCGTGCTCCGTCGTTTCCAAGCTTTAGTCTCTTTTCTCAAGATCATTCCTCAAGGACACACCTATACCATTTTAGTAAGGCCGGCATATCATTCTTGTTACTACAGCATATATCATCTCCATCACCTCGTGTTGTTCCACGGTCTACCATTCCCTTCGCATATCTAGACCAAGGTTGTCGGCGCTTTCAGAACTTTCGTCCCCCGGTCTATTCGGGCACTGACGCAAAACAGCAACTTTGCGCTTCTCATCTTCTGCAATTCTTCCTTCTTCAAGGACTTCAAGGACACTTCTATCTTCAGCCTATTCCTTTGCATCGTTTTCTATGGACTACTAGCATTCAAATCCTTTGCAATCCACGAGTACATTATTCTATTCCATCTCCCAAGCCAATCTGATCCCACCAAGTTTGACATTGACTGAGTGTATGGCGAGCGTCGAGAATCTGGGCACTCTGTCACTCCGCGAGCGATCGTGATTGCCAAGCTTTGATTCTTGCAAACGGGCGCTTAAAGCGGACGTAAGTAATTTGCCAAGTGTTTTGCTTTCTCCAGAGCTCCTTGGTATTCTTGACTTCAGAAACAGGAACCTTTACGGGATTTGGCTATGGTATTCCCATCGGGGGTTATCTTTATGAAGTCGGCTTGTTCGCAGACGCGAAAGTTGTTTTACCAGAACAGCTCTTCGGTTTGATAGCAGGCCGTTGGGCTCCTGATAAGAGAAAAACGGGTGAATAACACGATGCTGTGAATGTCCAGATAACCGTTGTTCTTCTTTTGCTGTCTAAATATTATACATGGTTGACCTTGTCCGTCGCCATGCAGTGTCAGCTTCTGCCGTTCTCCTTGCCACACCACGGAACCGCTCGTTCCTCTCGACTCGACATCCGTGCAGATAAGAGTCTTCCCAAGGATAGCTATCTGCCGTGAACCATGAGGTCCAAACCTCCCAGTTATGACAGCGGCTTGAATCGATGGGGTTCTACATGTATGATGTATCTGTTTGAAAGCCTGTGTTCGAGAGCTTCTTTGCTCTCCTGATTACTCCCTGCCATGTTATACCGCCATCGTTACTCTTAATACCCCGCGTTTACCCCGATGGTGCTACTTAACAGCTATTCACTCACATTCCTCCCACCTTCCGTTGCTTATCAGCGCCCTTTGGTTGGGCGCTTTCACGGTAACAGCTACCAGCGAACCCCGATAGGTTGACCCGGTCAAGACTCATAATACTCGTCGGGCAAGAACGTGCAAACACCTACGACGACAGAATGGCAAGTCATGCATATGACAGAATGAAGGACGACATTATCGATTCGCTGAGGGCCCGCCTGAGGGAGTACGAACAGAGGAATAAGGAGCTGCAGGACACCATCCAGCAGCTGCGCGAAGAGCTGGCCTCGCTTTCCGTGCAGCAAGATATCTGTCGTGCAGGAGGCGGAGGTCGACGACACGCATTTGCGGGATCAGGTTTAGCGGCATTCAACAGCTCTGGAAGCTCCATCTCCCCTCGCTCTTCGCCGCTGCCTTATCCCGGTGGGCGAAACCTCTCTTCGAGTATATCCGTTTCTTCGTCTTCAACCGGAGGTTCGAGCACCGATTCTATCGAGCGGGAAGCCATATCCCTCCTCCAGATGCTCAACAAGAACATCGTCTCCACCGCTACCAAGCTCAGCAAGACCATCGAATACAACGACCACTTCATGACTATCCCTGACCGCCGCAACGTCGACAGCCTCCACCAATCCTTGATCAAGGCAACATGGATGGTCGGAGAGAAGATTGCCAGCGAGCTTGGAGGGAGGCCGTCGCCCAAGGATGCAATGACAGATGACTGTGAGCCACCGAGGTTGTTGGCGCAGATGGTGTTCGAGATTGTGATTGCGAAATGGTGTGCATTTGTACTGGGATGGGAAGATCCCGGTATGGCCAGTCTGGGTGAGCTCCAAGTTGTTGCCAGAATCCACTGCGGCAGTAGTTTGACGTTAAGGGCAGGACCTGAGGCATACCAATGGTACCGCGCAATTTATGATCTCCGTTTCGCCCCTACCAATAGCCAACAATGGGGGGCGTCGGCCATGGCATGTCTCCGAGATGTCGCCAATATCTCAGGCTGGACATTTAAGTAGAACGTTTCCGTCCACGTCTTCCTCCTCTTCCAGGAATGAACCCAATCAATCACTCCCTCCTCTGATCACCACCCTCCACGGAGTCAAGAAGATTCTCGACGAACTTGCCTGCGGATCGAAACCCGTCGATATTTACCTCGTCGCACCAAACGCGCCGTTCATTCCCTCGCCAAGGGTGATGATCGACGCGTTCGCAATAGAAAAGAAGACCCTCTTCATCGTTCGCCGTCGACCATCGAGCAGCGACAGAGTCATCGCTACAACTGGACTGGGCTTGAAGTGCGCGACTGCTGTACCTCCGGAAATGGACCCGCTAGTGCCCCCCCCGGGTTGTTGTGGAGCGCGCATTCTTCGACGCCTTCTCCAAATCGGCAAAGATAGAAGAACCGCAGTCCCGTGTCCGTGTAGGTGGTGGGAGATCGGCCGCAGTGTCGAGGGTGAAGGTGAAATTAGAAGGGTGAACAGGATTCCACCCCTTTATGCTTTGTTTATTCTCGTACGTGTCACGTTGATGTGACCCCGCAGAAGCTGTCGACATTCTTCTATGCGTTCCTTATTTTATATGCACCCATATTCGTGACACCAGAAGCACTTTTCGATGACCCAATATTTCGTTCTCCATATGGCCTTTGGTTTGTTTCTCCGTGAAAATGCGTCCGTAATCTAAATCATATTGATACTCTTAATAAGACTGGGTGATTAATGAGATGGACAACACGGAAGGGAACAAACGGACGAAAATCAAATGGGGACCACACCCTCGACATAGTTAAATGTGCCCGATAGACCGAAGTCTCTCCTTCACCGTTTTCGCTCCAATTTCCATTTGTACACCCTAGGCTTGTAGGTTGCTTCGTCGACAACCTTGCTCTTCTTGAGAGGTCGTCCTCCACGAGCGTCGAGAGCGTCTTCATCGTCCTCGCTGTCGTCGTCCTCTCCGAACTTTTCAACGCCGGCAATCTTCTTTGCGGCACCCTTGCCCATGAGCAACCGCTGCATCTCGAACTCGCGCTGGGTGTACCGTAGCTGACGATCGCGTACTAGTCGAGCGCTGATTTCTTTTAGGAGTCGGGTACGTTTTTCAGTCGAGGATTGAGAACCGGAATCATGCGTCGTAAGGTCATCCTCGTCCTCCCACTCGCCGTCGACGTCCTCCAACTCCTCGATAGTCTGTCGAGTTTTGCGACGCTTCTTCTTGTTATCTCTAGTCTTCCATCCTAGATCCTCAGGGGTAGGCTCTGGTTCCTGCGGCGGAGAGCTGTGATCAGGCTCCGCGGCCGTTTTAGCTTTTTGGCCTAATGTTTGAGCTGGAAATGATGCCAAGGTTGGTGAATAGGAAGGGGAGGGACTAAAAAGGACGGTACCTTCTTCAAGACTCTCTGCAAAAACGAGATGCTTAGATTTGGACCGACCCCGTTTCTTGCCCGAGGGTGGGAGAATCCCAGCTTCCTGAAGCACCTCATATTCGTCCTCCTCGAGGTCTTCTCCACCCAAGCTGGACTTGAAAAGGTCGGCCATTTCTGTCAACTGGCGTTTGAGCCTGTCTATTTTCTGCACAGGTGTTAAATAGGTCAAAGAGACAGGTAGACAAATCGCACCTTGAGATTAGACAATCGCATCGTCCGAACGTAGTTTTCATCCTGGGTCTTGAGAACCTTGACAATGTCGGTTGGGATTGCAGCGTTTCCTCTGTCTTTTATGTGTACTCCTGCCTAGATGCATTTGAACAAAGATACAGAGGGCATCGGTGGAAAGGAACGTACCCTCGTCTTCTCCCTCTTCATAGAAAAATAGAATTCATCCTTATTTCGCTCAGCAGCCTTCTGCTTGAGCCTGTTCAGGCGGTCCTGCTTGGAGTGGTAGTCCCTTGCACGCTTGACATAGTCTTTATGCTTTTCAAGAAAACCTAGTTTTGTCCTATGGGCGAGTTGGGATCGCTCTTTGTGGTTTCTGCGGTGCAGGGAATTTCGAAGGGAGGAGGTCATGGTCAAGCGCTTGAGGCCAAAAAAGGAATTTGGTTGGGGGATAGCACGAGGCACGTGGGAATATCAAAATAGATCAAAATCGTCTCAAAAGCGAGGTGAATTCGAGACGATTTTCTGGTTTTTTGTAGCAGGAAGTTGACCCAATTCGTTCGCACCCAAGAATGGCGTCGTTCCAATTCCGTTTGGGAGATCTGCATTCAATCCAACCAATCCCAACTCACATCCAGGATGCTGCCCCAACTCACACAACTTTTGCTACCAACCCCAATAAAGTCTCTACCACAAAGCAGCCCTATGGCTCAGGCGACTCTGACGATGGCTACACACTCGTCTTCGCCAACCTCGCTGCCTTCCAAGCATGGCGCGAACAGGAAGAGGACAGGAACATGGTCGAATTCGTAAAAGTCAGTCGCCTCTTCTTGCGTCAGGTCCCATGCTTATCGTGCTCCAGGGTGATACCCATGGAAGCAAAGCAATACCACCTCGGTTCAAAGAACACACAAAACTGGTCTGCGCCCGACATTCTCGCAGCGGCAGGAAGAAATATGTAAAGAAACATCCTGAACGGGTCCGCAAAGTCCCCAGTAGAAAGGTCCGCCCGCCTTGTGCCCCCGATTCTCGTCTCAGCTGTTTATCGCCGTCCTTTAGCTCGAGGGCCAGGGCTGTCCTGCGTCAATAAGCTACAAGACGTATTTTGACACTGAAGAAGTTCGCGCTTGTTGTACGTCTGTTGCTGGTGTATCCATGCATCTCCGGGTTCTGATCGGTGTTTGCAGATATCTCGCAGCATTCCCATGAAATTGGACTGGCCAATCTGCCATTTACGCGGAAAGGTCGCAAAGCTGCAGTTGAAAGGGAGAAGGAGAAACGCGCTGCCAAAAATGCTACAAATGTCGCTTCCACGTCCAGTTCACCCAGTGCATCGGCCACGGGTCCTCCTGCTACAAGTGTGCCACCAGATCCCCCAACGTCCCACCTAACGAGTCCGCAACCCATGTCACCCCCAAGTCAACACATGCCTCAACCTCAACAACATATCCAACATGTCCAGCAACAGTCCCAGCAACAGCAACAACAGCAACAACATTCCCAGACGCAACCACAGCAAATCCAACAAGTTCAGCAGCAGGTTTCTCAGGTGCAACAGGTGCAGCAGCAAGTTCAGCCTGTCCAGCAAGTTCAACAGGTCGTGCCATCAGCTAGTACAAGCCAGCAAATGACGTCGTTCTCATCGGCCGTGTCTATGCTCGCTCCTCTACCGAATCAGCCCCAAGTCTATGCCACTACTCAGCAAACGTATACCCAACCTTACGCCATGCAAGGATATGCTCCAATAGCCCAACAACAGCCCATGTCAAATGAACGATGGGACAACATGAACATTCTCTTCTCGACCATCCGAGATCACGCCCGAACATTTGAATACCCTTCAGCAAGCGTTGCTGCTCTTGAAACGGTTCTTATCCGACTTTACCTCGAAAGTCCGATGGGCGTTGGAACGCCGGCGCCGAACCTGGGGACGATGATGACACATGTAATGAGTGGTGCCCGAGGGCCCACGGTGCAACAGCAGCAACAGGGAATGGCTGTCGGTGGCCAGAACCCCGGGAACGATGGTACCATCCAAAATCATAACGACGGAACCTCATAGACCTTCATGTTTTCTCTTCCCCTTTATCGCGGTTCGTTTCGGCTAGGAAACCAAGTATTATGTGTACATTAACTTTTGACGACCCCCATAGACACGACGCCCTCTTGTATTCCTCATGCATTCACGACTGTATCATCGCTCTTTTTGTAGCATTATCGTGTACTATTTAATTGCACTTTTGATTCGAATTCCCTTGTGGATGATGTCACCAAACGGTCCGAGCCTTTTCCTTTCGGATATCATGCACCTATCAGAGTTCTAAGGCCCACTGCCTCCGAGAGTGAATGCCCTTGACCTCTTGCTACGCCCACCCATGTCGTCCTTCAGCTTTAAACAAGCTTTTGGAAGGGAGAAACCCCATGTAGGTCGTCAAATCTGTCTCTCGATCTCCTCGTACTGAGCTGAGCAGTCGTCGATCACTGATTGGGTCGAAATCTTGACTGGACCCAATATCGCAGAAGAGGCATACGACGGGTGAGTTCCATTTTCAGCTCACTAGAACACCGAAGCTAACACAACATCCTATGCTAGAATCCCGGAATTAGTGGAATCGATAAACCTGCAAGCCTCCGGGTAAGTAGACGATTTCTCGGATAACAAGTCACCCCTGTTTATGTCTATATCTGTAGACCTGCAGAAGCCGCCCGTGCACTACGGAAGAAGCTAAAGCATGGGCAACCTCACCAACAGTATCGGGCCCTTGTGGTTCGTATCTCTTCCATTTCACTTTTCTCGGTTCAAGGGAGTCACCCTACCCTATCGATTCTGTTTACCTCGTTTAGCTCCTCAAAGCACTCGTCGAGAACTCTGGCGCCAAGTTCCATAGTACGTTTCCCTTAATCTTCTTTTGAATAATCTACAACCCTTCTATTATTTTCCCGTTACGCCACGAACCATCCACTTGCCAATCGATTCTGGACCGATTCACTGTATACTAATCGACCTTCTCTTCTGTTTTAAATAGGTGCAGTGACTAGTGATGGTCAACTCACCGACACCCTTCGTCTCGTCGCCTCCGATCCTATAGGGGACAAACGAGTCAAGAAGAAACTTGCTCTAGTACTGGGCGCTTGGCGTGAACAGTACCAGGACGATCCTTCCATGGCCTATTTTGCCAACCTGTACAAGCAATGTAGGATCTCCGAGAGATTGAAACAGGCGGACATGTACAGCCTGTTGGGTGCCCCGCCTCTGGAAGAGGATAAAAGGAAGATGGAAAAGGCAAAGTTGAAGGAGGAAAAGAGGGCCGCCAAGGAGAGGGCGAGGGCTGAGGAGGAAGAGAGGGCAAGAGCTGCCCAGAAGCCCAGGACCAGGAGGGTACCCTTTGATTTTGAGAGGGTGAGTTATCGCGATCACTGGAAAGCGCCGTACCTAACGTTTCCATAGGATAAACCCAAGGTCCTGGAGAGTATTGTGGAGGCATCCCAGGCCTCAAGCAACTTAATGAACGCCATTACCGTGAGTGTGACCGACACTCGTATCCACTATCGCACACTCACACTCTCCTTTAGCTGGTAAATCTAGAGAAGGAATCCTTGGAGGAGAATATTCGCGTCCAGGAATGTCTAGCGAAGGCGAAACAGGCACGAAAGACCGTTATGAGGTATACACAGGTAATTTCACCGATTGGCTTCCTTCCACCTGCATGCCTGAAGCGCTTCATAGCTGGTCGAGAATGAAGAGCTCATTGGTACGCTGATCGAGAGCACCGAGCGAGTAAACAATGCCATCGACACTTATGAACAGCTCATCGCAGCTGGGAATGCCGGAGACGCAGAAACAACCGATTCCATCGCCTCGAAGCTTGCAGCCACCAATCTATCCAATGAGGAAGACAGTGACCAGGAACTCCACTTTTCAGCATCGAAGAGCAGGTCAACAGACTACAGCCCACCGCACCAATCGAGACAGGTTCATCCTGATCTCGAGGACTTGCAGTTTGGAGCCCTAGGCTCAGCGTCCAGCCATCTACCGCCCCCTCTCCAACCTTCCAGACCCGGAAACAGGCTCGATGCCAATGACGACGACAATGAATACAACCGCCGTGGCTCTCTCTCGGACTTTAGCGACTACGAATCGTCTGACGAGGAAACACACAAAGCTAGGGCAGGCCCTTCGACATCTCGAAAGGCGTATGTCACCGTCTCGGACGACGATGATATCGTTTCCCGGTTTACACCACCAAGCAGGTCGACCCCGTCGAAAGTAGAGGAGGAGGATCCATTCGCCGATCCCTTCGCAGACGATTTGGCAACAAGGAGATAGCTGGAGGGAAGGTGGCAAAACGCGGTCGAGCTGAGGGAAGGCAGTTCTTGTATTATTAAACTATATTGCTAAGTAGGGGTAAACGTCCATACTGATCCAATGGGCTTTGATTCAGGGAGTCACGCCCGTTCAATATTCTCGAGTTTGCCAGCATATTCTATCCTTCATCATCGGAGGCCAGAACGGTTCCAGGACTGAAGGTAGCTGGAGTTTCTCGACCTTCCCGTCTTCACTAAACCGAGCACCGTTTTCCAATAAAGCTACGATCAAACGTGGGATGGCTGCTCCCGTGCCATTGAGAGTATGTGCGAATGGAAGACGTGAATCTCCCGCGTCCTTGTCCTTGAGTTGGGGTCGGTATCGGATGTGAAGGCGTCTAGACTGGTAGTCCGTGCAATTGGATAGAGAGGTGACTTCTCCCCAGGTTCCTCGGCCGGGCATCCAAGCTTCTATGTCGTACTTTCGATATGCACTTGCTCCGAGTTCTTCTGTCGGCATGTCCAGAACCCTGTAGAGTGTCCCCTTCATACAAGCAGACGGAAAGATGACTGGACGAATCCTTACCGGAACGACAAATTCAAGTCTCTCAAAATTTCGATCTGAATGTCTTTCATCTTTTCCATCATCTCTTCACTTCCTTCAGCATCTGTTACCGCAAACAGCTCGACCTTGGTGAACTGGTGTACGCGGTACAATCCACGCGTATCCGCTGAACGTGCTCCAGCTTCTTGACGGAACGCGTGCCCAATCCCCACGTACTTGAGCGGAAGCTCTGCCTGCTGGTAAACCTTGTTCGCAAACATCCCCGCTAGCGGAATCTCGGCGGTTCCAGAAAGAATAAGCTGAGGAGCCGTCTCGTGGTTCTTCGTGAGGTGGTACATATGAGATGCAGCTTGGTCTCGAGGTTGGAACCCGCACCGGACTGCGACGTCCGAGCGAACGACGTCTGGGGTTGTAACAGGTGTGAAACCGTGTTTAATAGCCACGGCCATGGAGTAGTTGGAAAGTGCCATCTCGAGGAGTGCTGCTTCATTTTTGAGGAAGTACCAGGAAGAGCCGGTCACGGTTGCTCCGCTTTCGAGGTCGAGGAGGTCGAGTTCTTTGGCGATTGCAACATGGTCGCGTTTGGGATCCGCAGGTTCGGTATTGGGTCTGCACACCTCTAGGGTAACAGCAGAGGGTTCAGGACCGACTGGTGATTGAGGATGAGTATCATTGGGGATGTGGAGAGCGTACGCCTGGTACGTTTGCTCAAGTTGCTGCAATGAAGCCTGCAGTTCGTGAACCTGTTGTTTCAGAGCAGCCGCTTCTTGCTTTGCTTTAGCCCTTTCTTCCTCATTCGCAGCTTTACGAATGCGTTCTCCGATTTGGGATTGTTGGTGACGCTGGAAGTTCAGTTGTTTGGAAACTTCCTTCGCCTCGTTGTAGAGCTTGGAGACTGTGCGGATATCTTCTTGAGGGATCGGTGCTGCACGTATCTGAGCATTGTGGATCTTGGCGTCGACATTTTCTGCTATTGACTTGTAGTCTAGCCGTGGCGGTGGAAGTTCGCTGACAAGTTTGCTACTCGATGCGGTTGACTTGGCTCTGCTGGAGATGTGCTTGGCTCACGGAAGAGATTAGAGCAGAATAGGCGCGCTAGGGGAGGCATAGCTTACCAGAGCTCTTCCCACAGCACTTCCCAATCCTTTACGCAGCATTTGGGAGATTCCGGACGACGACGAAGACCAAAAGGTCGTCGCGGGCGACGTGCTGGCCCGTTGGCGGTTGTCCGGGCCGTTAAATCCGAAACGCCGTCGCGTGTTGTGACGCGACGCGTTCCTGTAGCTTTCATCTTCTTCTCCATCCATGTCTGCCTCAACGAGCAAAGGAAAAGCTGCTGACACTGGCTACGAACTACCTTGGTACTCCAATCTATTGTATCTATTGAGCGCTACTGAGAATGCCATTCAGGGTAGAAAAATACCGTCCACAGGTGCTGGACGATATTGTCGGCAACACTGATACCATTGAACGGCTAAAGGTCATTGCACGGGATGGCAATTGCCCTCACTTGATTATCTCGGTAGGCGCTCATCCCCTTAACCGAGAGCTCTTACCCAAACGTGCCATGTTAGGGAATGCCAGGAATTGGCAAAACGACTAGCATTCATTGCTTGGCCCATCAATTACTCGGAGATGCTTACAAGGAAGGCGTCCTCGAACTCAACGCATCAGACGAACGGTGCGACGTTTGGCCTCTTCGCTTTACGATCACAGTCTCAACGCTTCTGTGGACAGCGGCATTGACGTCGTGCGGAACAAAATCAAAGCTTTTGCTCAAAAGAAGGTTACTTTGCCACCAGGCCGACACAAGATCATCATCCTCGATGAAGCCGACAGTATGACACCTGGCGCTCAGCAAGCTCTCCGAAGGACCATGGAAATCTTCTCAAACACCACTCGTTTCTGCTTGGCCTGTAACATGAGCAACAAGATAATCGAACCCATCCAGTCGCGCTGTGCGATCCTTCGATATGCCAAACTGCGGGACCAGGAAGTCCTGAAGCGGTTATTGGAGATTTGCGAAATGGAAAAGGTCTGTTCCGGTTTCTTCTACCGCCTACCCGTGAAAGGACAATACTTATATGAAAGACAGGTGCAATACAATGATGATGGACTGACCGCTTTGATCTTTACGGCGGAAGGCGATATGCGGCAAGCAATTAACAACCTTCAGTCAACGCATTCAGGGTTTGGCTTCGTCTCGGCCGACAATGTGTTCAAAGTCTGCGACCAGCCACACCCTATTGTTGTGCAATCCATGATTCGAGCTTGTCTAAAAGGAGAGATCGACCCTGCACTCGAAAAACTACACGAACTGTGGGATCAGGGGTACAGTGCTGTGGACATTGTCGTTACTCTTTTCAGAGTGGTCAAGACCTTTGACGAGTTGAGTTGTTTCAAGGTTTTCCATTTTCGTCCTAAAGCCGTTAATTAATTATCCTTGCAGCATGCCCGAGTATACGAAACTGGAGTATATCAAGGTCAGTTCCAGCGCCGCTCAAAGATAGTTAATTATGCTGAGTGAGGTTTGGCAGGAAATTGGGTTTACGCACATGCGGATACTGGAAGGCGTAGGGACACTGATACAGCTTGCAGGGCTTGTGGCTCGATTGTGCAAGATGGTAGGTTCTTCCATTCCTCTTTTGTGTCTGGAACCAAGGCTTATTTTCATTACAGCAAATGAAGCCAGAGCTTCTAAAGATATAGGACATAAGAGCCTGTCCCGACCTGTTTACATTTCGGTCCTAATCCGACTATCTGATTACTCATCCTTGGACAATCTTTTGTGCTCTGTAATGAACCTTGCTCTCCTTTACATTTGACATTGAGTTATCACCATCCATGGCCACGCAAGAATCCGCTGTTACGAAACGCCTGGCAACAGTGAAGCATATCATCCTGGTGCTTTCGGGGAAAGGAGGAGTGGGCAAGTCGTCGGTCTCCACGCAATTGGCACTCAGCCTGTATGCCTCGTCTCCGACCGCACGGGTAGGGATCCTGGATGTGGATCTTACAGGTCCCTCGATTCCGCGAATGTTTGGTGTGGACGGGCACGGTGTGCATCAGAGCACTAGTGGGTGGGTGCCGGTGTACGCTGACGGTGCCGCTGCCCGATTGGCGTGCATGAGCGTTGGGTTTCTCCTAAAGAAGAAGGGGGATTCCGTGGTATGGCGAGGGCCGAAGAAGAACGGGATGATTAGGCAATTCCTGAGCGATGTGCGGTGGGGCGAGCTGGACTATCTGGTGATAGATACACCACCTGGTGAGTTTTAAAAAAGGAAACCGATTAAAGGTGTTAATTGAACGGGTTGGTTTTTAGGTACTTCGGATGAACATTTGTCGTTAATGGAGCACCTGGCGGGGGTGCATTCGCGGCTGTCTGCTGTTATCGTGACGACACCACAGGCTGTCGCACTCATGGATGTAATGAAGTGTCTATCGTTCACACGGACGGTGAACCTGCCTGTTCTGGGTCTGATTGAGAACATGAGCGGATATGCCTGTCCCTGTTGTGGAGAGATCTCGAACGTGTTTTCGACCGGCGGAGGAGAGGAGATGGCGAAGAAAGAGGGAATACCGTTTCTGGGGAGTCTACCGGTGGACACCGAACTTGTATCACTGCTGGACGGGGAGGCGCCTGTCGAGGAGACAGAAACCCAGGGATTTGGACTGGTTACACGGTATCAGAAGACTCCAACCGCAAAATTGTTTTCTGGGATTGCGAGTGGTGTGATTGCTGGGCTGTAGAGAAGCAACGTGGAGTCGGGGGTTTTTGAATAAATAGAGCTTTGGTTTGCCTCGTTTTCTGAAAGTTGGTCCGAAATAGGAAGTGGTTCGTTGAATGCTCGAATGTGCGACGATTCCATTCTAACCTTTTGCCTTTTCCCTTGATGTCACTTGAAATACTCTGACTCCTTTCTTAATTTTTTTTCTGACCCATCTCCCCGATGGACGACCACCCATACACGACTCCAGACGAAGACCCTTTTCACGTTCAGCCACCAGCACGACTTGTCTTCCACAAACGCTCCAGCCTCATCGACAAATGGATCCACGACCAACAGCAAGAACTTGAAACCGACACTTCAGAACTCATGCTGCCCCCGCCGAAAATACACGACGAGGAAGAGCCTCGCTGTGGGACGCCAACGCATCCCTTTTTGGCGTACCCCGACATCGGGCGCCTGTCGCTGGACCAACTGGGAAAACGGCAGGACGACGCGTCGACGCTGTACAGCTATGACCTCGTTGATGACGACGACATCCCAGAGGTGAGTTGGACTGGATGGTAGATGGTGCGCTGGGTGTTGACCGGTCGGCGTTCTAGGTTCCTGCGACGCCAATCAACAAAAGTCCCAAGACCCTCCTTACCTCCTCCACCTTCCGTAATCTTAACCTTTCATTTCGCGCTACTGCGAATGCTAACTCCACCGGGACAACATCCACCACCGATGACCATTCCAGCCCTTCTCCAAGGTCACAGGCTCGCATGTCCATCTTTTCTCGCTCTTCTCGCCACACCTCTGCTACAGCACACACCCGCTCAGCCAGCCTCTCCACTGTAAACACAACAATGCTCAACAACTCTCCGACCGTCAAGGGCCAGTCCGCATCCACCTCAAAGTGGCGCCCAAGCGTACTGGGTTACTTTCCTCAATCACCGTCTACCCCAACGATACCCTTTGATCCAACCTATACCCCTCCCCGCCCCAGTCTGTCCTCCGGGGATACCTACACCTCCTCCAATAGCGCTTCTCAGACAGCAACTACCCTCGAAAGCGATCTGCCGACAACCCCGTCCCGGCCCTCCTTTTTCGAGTCGATACGCTCCAAGAACCGCTCCAGTCTGAGCATATTCAGAGCCCAGAGCGGCCATGCATCCTCGAGCTCAATTTGGTCACAACCCTATCGCGCCCCGTTCGACGACCAAGAGGCCCCTCTCGAAATCCCTCCTATCGGCAGTGGTGCGGACTCTTGTCGTGTTTCCACCTCCGAGGACGCCAATTCAACTCTCCCTCGCCGGGTACCCTTTGCGATGAAATCGGTGAATCAATACGATAACCTCCTCGATGACGAGGATGACCTTGCCCATTACGTCCCTCCACCGTCCAAACGCGAATCAACTTCCACTAGGAGTTCAATTAGCTTCACCGCTCCGAACAACACCTTTTCACGCGTCGGATTCGGCTCCCTCAACACGCGTGGAAATCAGAAGAAGAAGAAGAAACTCGTCATTAGTGGAGTTGGCGTCCACGAAACGCGTAAATTCGAGGGTGTAAGGCGGTGGTGCGAGGTAAGATTCCTTGAACTTTGCGCTGCATCCCCGTTTCTAACCCTGCGCCCAGAGCTTTGGAGAAATCCGACAAGTTACTCGGGCACCCAACGGCGACCTCCACATTGAGTTTCGCAAGGCAGATGTCGCTGATACTGTACGTAACTTCGCCAAAGACCGATCTCCGAGTAATAATGGCTCGTTTTTTCATTAGGTTTGTCGCGTGCGAGCGAAGGTCTTTATCGCCGGCGTTGGCAGCGTCTACCTGTCATGGATCACGGGTGACAAACGTTGAGCAGGCTTTCCATTCATCCCTTTTTTAATCTCTTCTTTTTTGGTGAGTTCCGCTGCCACAACCCTTTTGAGGAATTTCCTAATCGTGCCATAGGATTTCTACGACCATTTTCACGATTCTCCAACCGTACTGTTCCATCCTAATACATTTTGGCTTCAATTTTCGACGCCACATTCACGACCTTTGCATATCTCTCCACCCTTCTTTTCTTGCTTATGTTGTCCTAATGTCCATTATGAAACCCCAAAAATATCTGACACCTGTCCGGTAGTTCTCATATGCAGTAAGTGCCCAGCCGCCCACAGACCGGCGTCAACTTGACTAACGCGCCATCCTTCTTCCCAGTCACCAACCTCATCCAGTCCATTCATATATGTCATTCACGCACTCGCCTGTATCAACCCCATCCACCTCCTTCATCATTTCCGCCCCTTTATACCATCTCATTAATAGCCGCATACATACCCCATCTTCTTCTGGTACTTGTTTCAATACCCCTCAGCATACCCTTTCCATCTGTTGGCTTTTTATCTCTGTCTTCTCCTCTTCTCTTGCTCTCCTTTTTTTAATTATTAATTCGTCACGCCCGTCCGTGTATGTAGTTGTACGTTCTGGTCCTCAAGTGCATTGCATGTTCTTCTTCCGGTTTGGAATAGACCTTGACTTTTATAGCTTTGCATTTGTTTCCGCTTTGGAACCTTTCGTCATGAAAACGTGGCGCCACCGCCTGATATTCCTCTTTCTATTTAATTGCAAATTCCTCTAATTGGCAGTTTCCGTTCCTCTGGGCTTGGGAACTTTGGAATTTGCCTCCGCCTCGAAGCTCAAAGACGGATATGTCAATGTCAAGGATAATTGGAACAGAATTCTGATCCTGGCCGGTTTTCCCGATCACCATGGATTCGAACAGGAGGTTGTCTTTGAGAGTGGGCGCAAAGACACGAGGAATGTCACGACATAATAAGACTATGTATACACTGCGAACCGTACACCCCCAAGTTTCTCCTATTCCCCAGGTCATAGAACATGGAGAAGACACCACTAGTGGTGGTGGAAGGATTCCTAGGTGGAGGACTTGGCGCTAACCTCTGGAAGGGGGTCGAAACTCTTATCAACCCATCCCATCTAGACCTAGACGAACACTCAGAAGGCTACAGGCGAATCTTGACCGTCAGGTGCGTTCACCTGCCCCTATTCTCGTATCTCCTCGCCCATCCGTCATTTTCGAACCTTATAGTGTAGGCCCCGTAAGCTCATTGCACGACCGCGCCTGCGAATTGTACTACGCTCTCCGTGGAGGCACAGTCGATTACGGTAGCTCGCACTCCTCAGAACACAACCATGCACGTTATGGGCGGACTCATCCGACCGGAATCTACCCTCGGTGGTCTAAAGAACGCCCATTACACTTCCTTGGACATTCAATTGTACGTGTACTTGTCTTTCAGAGCACCCCTAAGGATTAAATGGTCCCCTACTTTATCCTTATCAACGGCTCTGGGCTCCGGGTTGTGGTGCTGCAGAGGCGCGAGCGTTAACGTAGTACTCACTTCTCGTTTACAATAGGGCGGACCAACGATTATCAAGCTCCAGCACTTGATGAAGGAAGGGCATTTTGGAAAAGATGCAGACCCGGATATGGTTCTATCCGTTACCTCGAGTGAGTGGCATACCACCAGCCCCTGGCCCCGTGGGTGCAATGATGCCTCGTGACTGACCATTACATTCCTTTACGCCAGTTTGTTCACCCTTCAGAGGAACCCAGCTGGTCTACACCCTCGGGGAAAGCACCCATTCCGCACCCTCAGTTCGACCCTTCTCGGTGGGAGCTCTCATCGCAAAAGTGGTTCACCTGCTCGCATACATCGCACCTCCTACTCCTGTCGCCAACGACGAGGCGTCTGTCGATGGACGCAGGTCTAGCTGGCTGGAGTACTTCCAAGTCCTCGACCTCCATCCTGAATCCCGTTCACTTTCTTACCGCGATATTTCGTTCCTTCAATTTCTCCGATATCTCTGGAGAAGTGATTGGGCAGAGAGTAAGGATGCGACGCCTTATGATATGACTTTCGAGGCTGCTGATTTGAGAGAATCGAGCGGGGAGGGACTTCCTTTCCCCAATACCTTTTATCAGAGCCATGTTTTCTCCATGGTCAGTACTCCCTGTTTGGCCTTCCAGCTCGGGACTTACTCGTCCACTAGACAAAACTAATGTCGCCTTCGTCAGGCTCTGGTCAGAACTATCATACTCCCTCTGGTATTTCATGGATAGCCTCAGGCCCCCTCTACCTGATGTCTCGTTCCATCGGCAAATTCGACTTCTCACTCATCCGACCATTGCCCAGTTTCTGTGTTCCACCCAAATCGGGACTGGATCCCCTCGAGGAGTTTGCGAAACTCTCCCCTCTCCCTGCTGTCGACAACAGGGAATCTTCAAGTATACTGGAAGATTGTATGTGTCATTTAGATGAGAATTATTGGGCGAACGACGGAGTCGTTCCTGTGTTCTCTCAGCACCACCCTTTTACTTGCCAGTGAGTTTCCACCGGATGTCCGGATAGACCGAATTCACATGTTTTTTGCCCAGCCCATCTAGGTGTCTTCATGAAGGCGAACACCAAGACACAGGCTCTCATCCACTGTCCCCTGGCCTATGGGTTGTCCGGCCATTGGTAAACAATCGCTCCCATTTCTTCGTCACCCCTCCAATACGACCTAAAGAATCGTCCCAATCGGCATTTTGGGAAAAACTAGGTTGTGACCTTGGGGCAGTCGACGCTCAACATACAAAGCGGCTTCAGTCGCACTAACGTTGGGCCAGAACACCATCAAGTACGTTGGATCGCTCCAAGATGAATTCGTGTCAAGAAATCGGTATCTATCCTACCGAGCGTTTCATTCCAGGCCGTCGACCCAACAAATCCCACCACAACGAGACACCCTTAGCTGGTTCAACCACGATTCATGAAATGATGTTTTCCTTTCCCAGCAAATCCTCCTTCCTGCTGCCCGAAAGCATGGTTTCCACCACCCGCCATGCCTTGTCGGAAATGCTTGTTGCTGTTAAAAGGACGCTGATGATGCCCGCTATTTCGCTGAACGTGGTTGAAGTTGTCACGTCGATTACCCTGGCGCTTGCTGTGATCATGCTGGGAGTGATGATTGGTGTCACGATTCCCCGGTGCGTTGAGGTGGCTCGGGGCAGCATACGCTGGAGGCTGCATTGGCGGACATGGTGTAACCGGTGGAATGATATTGGGGAAGCGAGTAGCATGGTGCTGATTCCAGCCCATAGAAGGGATGTAAGGATTCGCATTGATGGAATGGAGTTGGTGGAAATAGGGATGGCCGTAGGGTGCCCAAGAAGAGCACATAGGCGGTGCTGTTGGTCCTGGAGTGGGGTTGAGGGCCGCCACATTGGTTCCTCCGGAAACGGCAGCGCTGTTGTCAGCATTGTCTGCGCTGCCAGGGCGTCCAGCGTCTTGATTGGGAGCTTCTGCGATCGTTGGTGTCTGACTATTCGGGTCGGGAAGTTGAGGTTGCGCACATGTAGGATGATGGTAATAGGGACCCTATAGAAGAAAGGTTACTCGCAGGCAGCGAAGCAAACATTGGATACGCACTGGGTACATCATTCCTGAACCAGTCCAAGCAGTTACTGGGACTGTACTATCCCCTGAATCACTTTGTTGTGCAGGGTATACCGGATAGTAGGGTACAGGGAAAGACCCTTGGTATACGGGCGTTGGGATCCATGTGGGTGGCCCAGGATAAAACGGCGCATTCTGAAATACATATGGGTATGCCGGCGGCGGCCCCATAGTAGCCGAGGTCGAAGATGTAGTCGAACCGGGCCTGTTTGCGGGATTGGGTGAGGATTCCAAATCATCGTACCACTCCCTGTACTTTTCTGGAGGGGCAGTAGCATTTGTAACTGAACCTGACGCTGACAGTGAAGGCGACGGACTAGAATCGTGGAGCGTCCTGTCATCCGAGGCTGGCGATGCATCGGAGATGAAAGGAGAGGGGGGAGGCTCCTGCGAGGCGCTCGGAGAAGCTGATCGCCTGTCACCGTTGGAAACTACGGTTAACCCTGTGGGGTGTTCATCCGGTCTTTTGGGGATGAACTTGTCGGAGAGCTGGTGATGTCGGTGAGACATGCGATGTTGATTTTGAAGGAACCCCCGCCCTCTCCCACCCCGACTACTCTTCCAGGTGTTTCGAGGAGGGTTGCAGTCTCGCAGCTGAACCCGCAGAATTCGGCCTTCACAGACACGGTTGTGCTGACCATAAAGGTTAACATGGCATTACAGTCCAAGAACGGCCGGCATACCTCTTCGGCGACAGCTCGTGCTGGACTTTCCGTGTTGTTGAACTTGATGAAGGCAAACGCAGTGGTGGCTTCAACTGTTCATATGCGTCGATTCAGGTGCTCATCGAAAACCAGAGGAAGCCTTTACTACTCACAAGGTCGAACAAACTTGACGCTCTCGAGTCCACCATACCGCGAGAAGTACTCCTTTACCCCTTCTTCCGTCCATGGATTCACCCCAAGAACATCCAACCCGCCCACGAAGATGCTGGTCGGGTCGATCGTGCGTTGCGTAGGGACCTCTGCAGGAATCAAAGCCTGCCTTTGCCGTTCTCCCTCGATCCAGGTAACCGGTGTCGAGGGGTAGGTTGAAGTTCGGTTAGCAACTTTGGGTGTCCCATGCAAAGGAGAGGCACTCGCAGCAGCGCCAAGCTGTTGAGGGTGATGGGAATCCTGAAGAAGTGAACCTGGGTGGGTTGGCGGAGGAGCCGTGAATCCGCTCGCCACGCTAAAGTCAAGGTACTTCAGACGTTGATGCGGGTAAAAGAGGACTATAATCGCACCTGACCCCGGGGTTGGAGGTGGCGAGGGACCATTGATAAACATCTCTGGGTAAAGTCAATCCTACATGGCTCGAAGTCGGCGATGGTTTGAACGAGGATGGGAGAGGAAGGACAATCTTCTCCGAGGCAGCCGTTACCATGTTGACTTGCGAGGAAGCATACGCTTGGTGTGGAAAGCCTTGTGGACGGCCGACAACGAGTGTGTCTTTGCCAGAGTTGGTAAGGCTTGTGTTACCGGAGCCTACTTGAGACACAAGGGGTGCAGGTGACGAAAAAGGGAGCGGCGGTAAAAATGGAGAAGGCCGATAAAGACGAGGTGTCTGACCAGTATGGAGGATATGGTTCACCCGCGGAGGGTAGTAGAAATCACTTCCAGATGAATGAGGCTGATGAGCCCAGGTCACGGTGAGATGGGGAATCCTTCGCAGCGCCTGATTGCGAATGAGTAATGGTCTAGGAAACAGTAGTTGAATGCAATACCATCAATGCACCGACGCAATCATCTCGGTAGTCCCATTTGATTTCCCAGCAACGAGGATCCATGCATGGTAAACGGGGTGCAGTATGGGGGCTCGGATAACGTGACTGTTGCGAAGCCAAGTCTGGAGACATGTCATCAATGAATGGCTGCCATTTGGTCGACTTTCCACTCACCATCTTTTGCCTCCTCAAGGTCAACCGTTTCCAGCCTTTCAAGGCTACCGAAATACGCAGCGAGTTTCCGAATAGACTGGCGTTCATGGGGAAGCTGAATATATGCACGGGATGAGATGAAGTCTGGGCATGCGCTTACCGATTCATCGAATGTTAACGGTTGTAGATAAAGGCTAGATTCCGGGGTCGCGCAGTCTTGCTCCGTCTGGCGAGACTCTGCCGCCAAAGCTTCATCATTATATGCTATATGATAGAATCTGGTAGGGAGTCAGCCTAGCGGCAAAGTGGCTAGTACGGGGGCATACTTGGATCCCTGAGGTTTCCAGATCCGCATGGCGGTTGGCAACTCCGACGAATCATGCAGCAGTGGTGTCGCATAACCAGGAAGGATATATGACGGTGCACTAACGTGGTACATTAGCGAAGATATCGCATAGAGAGACGTAGGGCGTTATCGCGCCACTCACCGATAGGAGACGTGCAACGTTCTGAAGGCTCTCGCGGGTTCAAAGCGCAAGATACGACCGAGGAAAGGTTTCGGTGTCACGGTTCGAAGGGTGTGTATCAACGCAGACGCCGCCTGTGCATCCTAGAAGGTAGATTGCGAACGTTAGTTTAACAGTTGCGTTTGCGGCGAATAACCAAAGCTGACCTCGCATTGGACGAAAGCGCAGACGCCGCCCTTTGAGTCACGAATGACCTTGATGCTTTTGACTTGGGTATGTTCGGATAGATGCTCGGTTAACATTCTAGTAAGTTCTATGTGGTCGATGTTCGAGGGCAGACTTGGAATAGTGGTAAACGCGTTGACCTGAACAATGCAAAGCGAGGAGACGAACCTTCCAACGAAAACGCTGGCATCATGAGGCGCTTTCTCGCCACGCACAGGTTCCCCCGACGCTGTCGAAGCTATGTCAGAAGAATCTTGCTCGCCCAATGCGAGCCCCGTCACCGCTCCTCTAGGCGAGGGTGGCGATGGCTGGCCAGGTAGCGGTTCAAACCGCTGGCCCCATGGTTGAGGCTGAACGCCCATGGTGAGCGACATCGCGACGAGGTCGGCGATACAGACAATGAGAAAAGCGACCAGCGACACCGTTGGCTGGTGAAGAGAGAGGGTGTTGTTAGCGGCGGGGAAAGAACAAGTGTGCAACTCGTCCGTCCGCTAATGAACTTCAGATAAAAATAGATCCACATACCTTTGGAATCAGCCGAAGTGCCGATGAAGGAATACAGAAACTATTTTGCTTTTATTTGCGATGCGAAATGCCGGTGTAAACGCACGGAATCTGGTGGCTAGTTACAGGCTCTGTAACGACCGTTGAACGCAGCACGTTCTGTCGCACCGACACTGCGACTCGAACGCCACTTTGGGATTGAACAAGCGACATGGAGAAAGAAAGGATGTGGTTTCTATTCAAAAGGACGATCGAATCAGATGGCCCTGGTTAGCTTGCTGTCATGCCACGAGAAGCACCAACCGTGGTTCGTGCAAAGACGTCAAGCAAAGCATCGCGGGAGTGCACATGGTGGCCTTTTCTATTCACTACTGCTACTGAAGGGACCTTGAATCCTTTCAGCAACGTAGGATATGTTGAAGGACGCTTCGAACACAACATCTCTGAATAGCCGCCCAAGAAAAAAAACTTTCCAGTGGACCAAAGAGGGAGGGAAGATCATAGGTTGAATTCTGCTGACAGTCGTGATCAGAGATTCCTGAGATCTGTTGGCTGCGAGTCGCGCTTTAATAAAACGAGAAGACTACGCTTCTACAGCGACAGGTTGCGCGGAGCCGATGGAGCGCCCTCCTCGCAAGTTAATCACCGAGGAACATTTCGTAGTGCCTCTTTGGTGATGTAAATTTTTCGCTGACGTATACGCGTGTAAGTTTCCGTGTGCTGTGTGCAGTTCGTCGAGCCTGAGAGTTGAGTAGGTTCGTTAACGAGAGGTACCAGGAGGAGAACATGAAAACCTTACGACCAAATATTTTCAAACTCCGCCGCGCTGTGCCGACCATGAGTCGTGGTCATGGATCAAAATGTACTTTCTCCATTGTTCCTCGACCATCCCGTTCCACAGTTTCAACACTTTAAGCAATGTCTGACGACGGATACGATGCAGGGGAGGTCGGAGATGACTACGACTATGGTGGAGGGTACGCTGTCCTCAGAAAAGCGGTTCTAGTGTAATTCAACTAACCAAACTGCCATACTTCAGTTTTGGCGAGGAATTTGCAGTCAGTATTGGTCCCCTTTGTGCCATTCGCGAGCACTTGACTTAGCAGTCAATCATTAGGATGAAACCTACGATCTTCTAGCTGAGCAGCAGGGAGAGGGCCAGACCAACGGCGAGGCAGTACATGGAGATGGGCAGCAAGTGAATGGTGCAAATGAGGGAGATCAGGACCAGGAGATGGCCAATGGGGACGCAGCCCCTGCAGCTGCACCAACACAAGCAGAGCGACAGCCGAACAAAGTTCGAGTAACAACCCCATATCTCACCAAATATGAACGCGCTCGAATACTGGGTACGCGTGCCTTGCAAATAAGGTATTTCAACTGCATCTCCATTTCGTCTCCTCGATCTGGTTAGTTGACCTTGTCATCCTTTAGCATGAACGCCCCAGTCCTCGTGCCGTTGGATGGAGAAACAGACGCCCTTCAAATTGCCATCAAAGAACTCTCGCAACGCAAAATACCCCTTATAATTCGAAGATATCTCCCTGATGGCAGCTTTGAAGATTGGAGCGTCTCTGAACTCATTACTGACTGATGTTCATTTTTGCTTGACGTGTACATATATCATGGTTGCAGCGAGGTTCGCTTTGTTTCTCCAATTCCGCCAACTCGCTGGGTCCTGTTACAACAGAACAGGTTTTGATTGGCTCGCTTTGCTGAAATATCGACTACCCCTGGCCTTGGACAGTCACCCGTTGTCTACTCTAGGTCAGAGCGAGTTCAGAGTCGCCAGCTTAGCATGCCGAAAAGTATGTATTTTATGTAGAATAATGTCATCATCTTGGGCAATTAGTACTTCGGTACAGTTACTCCGATATGTCGAAACCATCGTCACTACGAACAACTAAACGTCAGCCCAACCTCCTTCGTCAAGCTTGTAAGAAGCTTCGCTCTCAGGTCGGTCCGGACTATCAACCAGTTTGGCAACTCGCTCCTCAGCTCGACCTAAATCGAAGAGAGGTCAATCAAGAAGCGCCAATTTTGACAGTGCTGAAGACAAACCTTTTCGAAGGAAGATACGCGTCGCGGATGCATGAGACAGGATGTGGCCTCCAATAGGCTTGAGTGCCCCTCCCGCGACGAAGGTCATGGTTGCTCCAGGATCGGCTTGTGATATAGTTGAGGTTAATCGAATCCACAAGTGGATAAGGATGGGGAAGCGCACATTGGACTTGATTGGTCATGAGAACAGCGATCTAATTTGTCGTGGTGAATCCCGTGAAGAGTCAGTGAGAAGCGACAACAGCGTACATTGAATTCCTCGGAAAGTTTCGTCAGCTTCGAAAGCATTTGGGCCAGCTGTTGGCAAGAGTGAGGAAAAAGTACCAAGAACATGGGGGACTTGCTACCTTCTGCTGACGTTCGCTAAGCTCCCCACGCCCAGAATAATCGACCCTGAATAGCGCCATGATACTGTCGATGATCTTCAAGCGTGTCAGCGACGTTGAGGAAGCCCGCTTCTACGAACACACCAAGAGCCTGAAATCTTTGTCTTCCGCAAACCTGGCCGAACATTCGTTGATGAGTTCCATCTAACAATGCCGTTAAACTTTGACCTCACACGGAGGGAGCACTGGAAAGGGTCGCACCTGATGCTCGCTGTTGAAAGCCCGAGCATATAGAATATTCTCCAAAGCCATGGTCCCATCGACACCGAAGCGATCGGCAATGGCTCGAATTCGGTCGGGTCGGAAGGTTCCTTCAGTGTCAATATAGGCAACCTTGCCAGCAGCTCCGCCATACTCGGGAGGCAACTGAGCGACGACGCTCATCGTGTGAGCAAGCTGTGTCTTTCCCGTGCGGTACTCGCCATAAACTGGAGCGAGGTCACTGGCTGAACAGAGATAATGAGAGGGGTAGCTCGAACCTTCTGTGATGGACTGGGACATAACTCCTCCACCCAGGATCCCATCGACGAGCTTGCTACCAGTGCTGATAACAAGCACTCGCTTGCGTTTATCCTGAATCTCAACACCAGTCGCGAACGACGAGCCCTTGTGTACTGTGTCAGTGAAAGGAACGGGTTCCACAGTACGATAAGCGCATACATGGATCTTCTGAGCTGCCTCTTTGATTTTCTCGACTTTGGCTTCCGACATGCCCTATATATGCGCTCAATTCGACGACTACGGCGCGGAAACAGGTGAAAGTGAACCTTTATCTTCAGCAATTGGCGTCTGGTGGTCATAATCACACCCGAGACGGTGTTGATAGCGGCCGACTAATGGAGCGTCAGAGAACACCACGTCGAGGTGAGTGAAAGGGCTACCTTGAGCTTTGTGATGTCTTGCACATTTATACCGTGCTGCTGGAGTTCGTCTACAGAGTCGAACGCGACCTAAATGAGCGATTAGACGCGCATATATCCGGCTCCAAGAGGCAGCTACCTCGTCTTCATCAAAGGCGGGAGACGCTGCACGCGATGGAGCCTGAGATATCGAAACAGATGGAGCACGGCGAGGAGGCATGTCTGTGTTGTCAGATGAAGCAAATGTAGCAAAGGAACGAGTTCCAGTAAAGACGCGTTTTGACTCTTATTAAGGCGCTCGTTCTGCCAGGCACGTGCACAGCTAGCTGTCAATCGGGTTTCCAATTGGTAAAGAGGTGTCGCTGAGGAATACATATAATATCTATAATACTATAAAAGCCATTAACAGAGGTCGAAAGAACCCAAGGGAAATGCATACCAAGAGAGACAGGAAACAATTAGTCCGCATCCACAACCATCCCACCACGACCACGACGAATCCTGTCCTCCAAGCCTCCAGTACCCCCAAACACGCGCTTCTGCTCAAAGCTGAGATAACTGCTCATGCCCTTGGATTCTTTTCGAGCACGTTCATCAGCCTCAAGCTCAGCCTTCTCCTTCTCCAACAGCATAGCCAGCCGCTCCTTCCGGTCCACAGTCATCGACTGTGCATCGGCTTGCATAGCAGCGAGGCGAGCGGCTCGATCCTCGGCGGCCGTGGATTGGGATGGTCGGTGGTCTTGAGGTGGTCGAGAAGGTGGAGGCGGGCGTTCAGGTCGTTCGAACCGACTGCGTTTGGGGTATGGATCGTCGTAGCGGGGACTCCTACTCCGCGGTCGTTTGCCTTTGCCGTCATATCGAGGCTCGGGACTACTTGACCTATCAGAAGCACGGTCATACGACCGTGGTGGTGGGAGACGTGAAGGTTGTGAATGACGGCGGTAGTCGTCCCTCTCTCTTGAACGTGACCGTCGATCCGAGTCTTCCCTGTAACGGCGTCCATAGTCATCTTCTCTGCGATACTCTCGAGGAGTTGGAGACCTGGATGGGCGGCGGCCATCTGGACTGTGAGAACGGGAGCGCGAGCGTCGTGAACGTCGATGGGAATCGGGAGACCTGGACCGAGAATGTCTATGCCGCCTTCGCTCCTTCTCCTCACGTTTCCGTCTCTTCCTCTCCTCCTTGTCCTTCTTCTTGTCCTTTTTATCTTTTGGAAGCTTAATGCCTGTTCTCTCCTGCAGCTCACGCAAGCGAAGAGGGTTGTTGAGAAGTGCCTGATAGGCGGCTTGTTCTTGCTGCTTGATAGCGAGTAAAGGATCTTCACGGATCTTGGAAGCAATGTCTCGAGCACTGTTGGCATTCTGAACGGCAATGAAGTTCTTGTGGGATGCTCCGAGCTACAAGTGATGTCAGAGGCAAGTCGATGAACATTGGGACTGCAAACATACCTTTTCATTGTCGTCAGCCGTCAGCATCTTGTCCACCCTCTTCTTTCCGAGAAGGTAGTCCTCCAGGTCATTCGGATTCGTACTACTCCCTGTCGCCGGCGTTGCGTACATCCATTCTAATTTCTCTGTCCGCTTTTTGCCCGTCTGCTCCTCTTGCAACCGTTGGAGTTCCTGCAGTTGTCGTTCCTCTTCCTTCTCCTTCCTGAGCTGCTCGAGTTTCTTCTTTTCTTCCAACTAGATACAAAAGTTGTTAGAGGGTGATTATATCTTGTCATGTAAGAAACGACTTACAGCTTTCTTCTCCTCAAGCCACACCCGCTCCTGATTCTTCAACAGCAGCGGATGCCAGGACTTTTTCATGTTCAAGTCTCCGCCACCCATTTTGACCTAGTTTCTTGTTGTTACAGGGATATAGATAGTTCTGGGGTCTAGGAATCTGCGCTTTCAGCGACAGAGGTAAGGCGAAGGTTGGAGGCAAGAGTCATTGGAAGCACTGCGAGGCTGTAACCACACTGTTCGCTGACATAATTTGCCTTTCCTTTCTGGGGACAATCACTTGTTTGTCACCGGCAGTGCCAAGGACTTTGATGGCAGCGTTTACCAGGCGTTGAGGTCCAGGTTGCAAGTTACGACACTGCAGCCATGTCGAATTCGACATCGCTGCCCCATGTATATGAAGCCCTTGACCAAGACCCAGAGAATGGAGGGTTCAACGGCCAACCAAGGTGTGCTTACAGTTGCTATGTCATGGTTCCGGATGGCTAAACTCCTGGTATGTAGACCCACCAGGTCGATCTATGCATTGACGCGCAGCGAAATCCTCAGAGGAGTCGCGAACAGATTCGTACATTCGCGGGCCTACATCCTCTTATACCTGTCTATGGCTGCTCTGTCAATCACAACCGTTATCCTAAGTCTGCAGGACGGATGCCCGGGAGTTGCATTCTTTGTCCTCGAGGTTATCATCAATACGACCCTGATCCTCGAAGTTGGAATCCGGTTTGTTGCATTAGGAAAGGTAAGTGTGTCGCCAGAGTGCTCCCCTAACTCGTACTGAACTCATGCCGCAGCAATTCTGGCAATCACCATTCAACGTTGTTGACCTGATTCTGACCATGTTCTGTGCATTGACCTTGCTCATTCTCGTCTTTGCCAGCTGCGGGGCTGGGAGCAAGGAGGAACAGATTTTTGATACCCTTCTATTGGTCGCGCGGAACATATTGCAGTTCGGCCGGTTGGCCAATGTTATGAGACAGTCCGTGTGTTCATTTGACTGCAACGTGCACATCCCTGACATGTTCATAGGTCTGGACAGTCGATATTCTCTCGCCCCAAGCCGATTGACATCAATGCAGCCCGTCGCGCAGGGTTTGGGATGGAGCTGGATGTGGAAAGTGACGAGGAGGATGAGGTCAATCGCCCGCTGGTCCGGAGCCCGATCCTGTTTGATGCGGAGGGCACGCGACTGGAAGATCGAGCCAACAGCAACGGAGCACGTAACAAGTTTACGGACATGCCCCGGGCTGCGCAGGCAGTTCGGGATCGGGACGCAGAGGACATGTGGGCAGAGCTTGGGTGAGAACGCGTGGGTGCGCGTCTGCTTTGTTTTGGATATTATCATACCACTATACATACTATAGCACAAGTAATGGGTCGAGTAATGCAAGATCAGGAAAAACGTCACAAGGGAGACTGGGGCTGGATTCTGATGGAAGGATAAAGAGTTTTTAGTGGAAAGGTAGTGGGGATATGATAGCGGGAGATTTTGTTTTGGAGGAGTGATGTGATTCTGTGATTTTGGCCGTGTCGGGGCTTTCTAAGCGATTGTGGGCAATTCTCAGGAGTGGATTTGGGATTTGCTGTTGGCATCCTGTTTCCATGCAAATCCGTGTCTGCTTCTACCACTAGTCCGCCACTCTTTGTCTGCCACTCTCTATGTTTCCGCCTTTTAGCCTTCTCGGCGCTTAACCTTCTGCGACCCCTCAATAGCGCTGAGTCCTGACAACCGCCACATCCCACGGCATAATGTCGTCCGTCGCACATTCCGCAGAGCACCCGTCCCGCTCCTGGTGGTCAATGTCCTCCAAGAACCAGACACAGCGATATTCAACAGAAAAGCAGAAACAAAAGTCGCCTCTCAACACTATCGCCTCCGCCTTGGGCCTAAAGGCCAAGAAGAGCCCAACTCTCACTATCGAAGACCCTCCTTTGCCAATCCAACCTCCTCCTCAACCGTCCGTCGCGCCTCTCCCCAAATTCACAAACAGACCGCCCTCTAAATCCGTTTCCTCGACTCTCTCCAGAGCAGACTCTGCCGAGCCCAGGACACCCTCCGACATCAACTACAATCCGTCACGACAATCTCTGCTGACCTTGTCAGACACTGATCCATTTGCCGGCCGGGGCATAGTCACCATCGCAAGCCCGACAGATCCAACACGTCTCTCAGCATACTCAAATGGCTCGGGAAACGACATATTCCACACAAAACAGGTCGACTTTCCCCACAACCGCACATCCTATGCCTCTAGTTCTTCCCAGTCCCAGGGGCACGGTACCGCCAATGACTCGCTCCATCTCAAGCGCACACTCTCTCCCATTTCGCCTTCCGATTCTCTCCCAACAACCAGAATCCACAAAAAGTGCGTATCCGTCGAGTCGTAATTATTCTCAGCTTATATTATCCTTCGCAGGGCGTCGGAGAGCAACATTTCAAGCGCTATCGGCCGCACGAACTCCTATACAGCCGTTGAGAGGGCAACCCGGCCACCTCCACCATTGCATAAATCGGGCTCGTCAAACACACTTGTCGCACCGTCAGAGAAAGGAAAACGCCCCGCCATGCGCCCAAGAGGCTTGACCGATAACGTCACGACACAGAAATCAGGTTTCTTCGTCGAAACCACAGCCTCCAAACCCGCCCCATCTCCCAGAACACCCACAACCAAACCTCCTCCCTCTGCCTCGAAACCTATTTCACCCCGTGTTGTCATCCGCCAAGCGTCTTTGCAGCACCTGAATCCCCCTACCGCACCGCCGAGCCAGAAACTCCCTGCAACCCCCCATTCTCCTGTCGACGACGATTCTTATCTAGTGCCCGGTGTTTCCACGGGTTCTTCTACGATATCTTTTGCGTCCTCAACCTCATCAAGGGACCTATACCCCAACAACCCTGCGATACCCCATGAGCGACCACGACGAATATCGGATCGAAGTTTCTTCTTGACGGGCGGCCCAGAAGCCTCCCAGTCAGAACGCTCAAGTGCCGTTCAACCTCCCCTCTCCCCTCCCGCTCCTCTGAAAAAAGCAGTGTCACATCAGAATTTGCGAAAGAAGGGAAATTCATTCAGCACCGGGTCTCAAGCGCCGTCAGCGTTCCCAGCAGACACAGAGAACCAGCGGACTCCTCAAAAACCCCGTGCTTTTCCTCTGCCTCGAATTCCAATGCCTCCCATGCCTGGGTCCATCCGTCACTCGAGTTCATCCCAATCCGCGCCAGGCGAACCCAACCCATCCAACTCAGAACCCAAGCGCACCAGCTCAAGCTCTGGTGGCAGGAAACGCCTCTTCTCTGGCTCAAGCTTACGGAGACCTTCAACCTCTTACTCAACTTATGGCGACGACGATAGTCAGTCTGTCTTCAGTATGAAATCCGATCAAGACATGTATATCAGCAACGCCTTTTTCAAGCCTTGGATAACCACCCAGTCTACCAACTCTTTCTGGGACGAAGCCACTCCAGACGCTCTACCGAACAGCCCTATGCGTGTTCTCGGGAACGAATTTGGATCCCAGCAAGCGTCACCCGCGTCGACCTTGGGCAAATCTGACCTCAATCCCGCAAGCTCCAGGCAACGCGGAACGTCCGTCCGTTCGGCGGAGACGCTTGCTTCGGAAATGGCGGAATCGGCGAGCGACCACGTACGCCGTTTCCAACGTTCCAACACCATTACGCTCTCGCCTCGCAACAACAGACTCGACGCTGGCCAAAAGACGTCTGCACCGTCGAGACCATCAACAGCACAACCTACCACCAGCACGAACGCGAGTACGACGGCGTCGGATGCAGTTCCCGACCCTATTGAACAGTCTTACCAACCTTCGGTTTCTCCACCACCTATGATTAATAGCTTGCCGCCTCCACCTCGTCGTCAACGAACTCCGGTTGTCTTGCCACCATCGGAGCCCGAACCTCCAGCCAAATCCTTACCACCTCCACCACCCATGCGGTTACCCCAACCACCCCGCATAAAATCGGTGACATCTATAGAGAAAGCCCTTCATCGTCGCTCCATCATGAAGAAACCTTCATTTTTGGAGATCGACGACGACTCTTCAGAGGAGGAGGAAGATGACCAAGTGGTGCCCCCTGTTCCAATATTAAACAGGACTGTTGTTGGAAGCGCCGTCGGAGACAGTTTCCTGGATTTTGCCAGAGAGTCGTTCGATACTGTTCGGAGTACATGATGATATTCGATGCCGACTCATTCGTTTGGTGTACAAGTACATGTATACTTTCTGCTCACATTTATAAAGCATCTGTATCATTGTCTTAGTAGTCCTCGCTTACTCCCTTTTTGCTTTTTATCCTTTAGCCTTTTAACTAGTTGCCATCTGCTTTAGTATTTCTTGCACATCTAGTAGTGTTATTCGTCTCCATTTTTTCTCACTTGCACTCACACTCACTCACTCTCAATCCACTCACTTCCAGTCCCACTCGCTCACTTTCCTCCATCCCAACTGCTTCTACCAGTCCTTACCTTTCCGTTACTTATTGTTATTTAGTACTTTATCAGCGATATCCATTTTATGTGACATTGGGCAAATCCTACCCCTTTGCTTGCATCGTATCATCTCATCTCTCATTGATCCTTGCACCAGGCACCTTTTAGAAACGACATTCGATTATACGAGGCACTATCTTGTAAAAAGAAAATCAAAAAAATCCTAGAAATCCAAGAGCAAAAAGTGTGAAATGATACGTGTGGATGGATGTCCTATTATTCGGTGCAATGAAGGAAGAAAGAAGATATTTTAGTCTGTCTCGTCTGTATGATATCCTGCACGACGCATGGCGCCCAAACGATGTCTTGCGGCACCCAACTCCTTCTCCAACCTGAGAATCTCGACTTGCTGTTCCATCTCGCGTTTCTTGAACTCGAGGACGGCCATGTTCTTGTAGTCGACGTCCTCTTCTTGCACTTCGCGAGCAGAGATGGCCTTGACTTGTCGGACCAAGGCTTTGCAAGCCTCAGTGACCGCCTTGGCAGCAGCCTCCAATCGCTCCTGCGTCTTGGACATCAAGTTGGCCTTGACACGAGAAGCAGCGACCAATTGAGCGGTGGCCGCAGCGACTTCGTTCGAAGCGACGATAAGTTGCTCGAGAGAGTGAGTGCCAGAAAGAACACCATCGGCACTCTCAATGAGGAGGTTGGTGGCAAAGGCGACGGCTTTCGCGGCTGAGATGAGACCCTCTGTCCAGCGATTGTTGCGTTTGTAGAATTGCTGCGATGTGCTGGATCCACGGCCTTGGGCGACGATCTCTTGTTGGGATTCGGTGGCGGCCTTGATGAGACGACCAATGGCGTTGGTGATGGCCATGGCGGAGGACAAGATCGAGTCGTGGACCTGAAGATCAACGGCAGAGAACCTGCTCGAGTCCTTGGGGCGGGCAATGAGTTGCTGGAGACGCTCGGTCGCAGCCTCGATGGCTTTGGCTGCGCTAAGCATCTCTTGCTCGACAATGTCCCCAAGATCGCCATTGGCACGACTGGCTTTGGCTCCCTTGGAAATGAGGCCATCGACCACCTCGGACAATTTGGTCAAAGCCACGCGGGTTTGACTGTTGTTGCGCATCGCGACTTCCTTGCGCTGGGCAGGCTGCAAAAGGTCGAGCTTGTAGGTCTGGAGGTTCTCGAAGAATCGAGTACCAGTATCTCCAGCAGCACGGGCGACGTTGATAAGCTTGTCGACAGCGTCGTCGTCACTGGCCAGTCGAGTGATGCCCTTGGTGTTGATCAGGACGTCTGCGAGTGACTGGGCCAACTCGTTGGCCGACTTGATGACCGAGACATGGTCGCCACCAGCCTCGCCACTGAGATAGAGGTTGTAGATGGTAGCAAACTCGGTAGCATTGTTGGTAGCCTTTTCGATCATCGAGAGAGTGTATTCGGGGGTAGAGTTGAGATTGCCAGCTTGAGCAGGTGACTCGAGCTCGTAGATGGCGTCGTCCACTTTGTGCACCGCAGCTTGAAGGATGGAATCAATGATTTCGTTGAGCTTCTTCCTGTTGTCCAGAATGAGAGTATCGATCTGGGCGTTGGTGGTCTCGTCCAGCAATCCCTGGTTCTGTTGGACTTCGGAAAGCTGTTGGAGGGTGCTGTCCATACCCTCCTGGAGGATAAGAATTTCTTGCTCCTTCTCTTCCTTGATACGCTCCATGTTGGCGGAGGCTTCGTCCAACTTGATCAAAAGCTCGTCGATCTGGTATTGCTTAGACTGAAGGGCGCATTATTATCGGACGCGGAATAACGAACAATAAACACCACTTACTCGAAGGGAATCCTCAAGCTCAGAAATCTGCCTGTTGTACCTGGACAGAACTGACGAAACTTCAGAGCTCTTCGATCGCGTTGCGTCTTCTGCACGTTCGTTGGCAAAGTTGAGTTCGCGGCGAAGACGATCAATCTCCTCCTTGTGCGAGGACTTCTGCCTGTCAACCTCGAATCGGGCACGATCTCGTTCTCTAAGCATGTCCGCCAATTCGAGATTCTTGGCCTTGAGATCCCGCTCCATCCTCTCCATCTTGTCGACGGACTCTTGTGCAGAGTTGGCCTTGAGTTGTAGTTGCTTGAACTTCGACAACATATCCAAGTGCTCCGTTCGAAGTTGGCTGTAGAGCTTGGCGAGTGCTTCGTACTTGTTCCGCCAAAGAGTAACCTGGTCTTGGAGTTGTTTGATCAACTCATCCTTAGCTGCAACTTGGGAGCCGACGTGATTGCCCATTGCGCTGAGCTCAGCTTCGAGAGCTTTGACTCGCTGTAATCATAGTGAGTTACAGAGTTTGGCACGCTTCGTTAAACGACGTACTCGATCGTACTGCTCCAGGAAGATCTGGTCTCGCTCGTACTGTCCTCGCATAGCAAGAAGCTCCCTCTCCAGCTCGCTGGCGTGCTGTTGTGCAGCTTGATTGGTGTACATCATCTGTTGTTGAAGAAGTTGTTCTTGGGCGAGTCTCTGAGCTTCAGCCTGCTCCCTTTGACGTTGTTCGAACTCCCGTTGCTGCTGCGCCTCCATTTCCAACCGCTGTCGCTCCTCAGCTTCGCGCTGGGCCTGAAGGGCTGCCTGTTTCTCTTCGTACTCCCTGAGCATTTTGGCTTGGGCATCGATTTCGGCGGCTGTTGCTTGAGGTTCAGCGGGAGGAGATGGCGACTTGACAGCTGTCTTAGGACGTGCGGGCAGGTCGGGTGCGTCGCCACTGTCGGTGAGGTTAGGTGGTTCCTGTTCAAATCAACTGAATCGGTCGGTGCACAGAGGGCTTGAAGGATCTTCACTTACAGCCCCCAGCTTGGGTACGTTGATCAACCCAGTAAGGTATTTGAGGTTTGAGCATTCGTAGTAGAATTTTCTCAAGTTGTAGTGTTGTTGAACGAATCGTTCGCGAAGGGGCTCGAGAGCCTCAACATCGGTTGCACCTGCAGGTAATGTTGTAGATCAAATGAAATAATTGCTGCCAATGGAACGTACGTCGATGCATAGCGCGCAGCATGCTGATAATGAAGCGGTAAATTCCCCAGCTTTCCTTGACGAGGGGTACCAGGGCAGAGATACGACATTCATTGTTGGTGGAATATCGGAAATGCGAGAAGACCAATTTCTGGAAGGAGTCGATTTGGTCTTGCAAGTTCATCAGGTCACTGATCGTCTCATACCTAGTCCGAGAGATGAATACAACAATCTTCCTTGAGCAGCAAGGTACTCACCCCTCATTAGGATCATCTATTTCCTTCAGAGTAATGTATTCAGCATATTCAAACAATCCATTGAACTCGGGGCGAAGTCGGTGGAATCGTAGCTTGGCGAGGATGAACTGGACGTAAGTCTTGATGAGAGGGCCGTATCCTGGATGGCGATGTCAAGCCGTGGGCCAAAGGTCAATGTCATATAGACGTTACCTCGCGTTCCGTCGGTGATGACGGTTCTGGCACAAGTCTCCAGCCATGCAGTCTGACCCTGAGCTTCCTTCAGAGTCTATTGACACAATATGATCAGCTCGAAGTAGCAAGTCCAATTCAAAAAGGTAAACGTACGTTTCCGTGTCCCTCCTGCAAGACCTTGTGTACCATGATCAAGGCTTTGAACGTCTGAACCTCATCGGATAGGATTGGCTGTACTCGAAGGCCACTCCAGAAAGACATGGAAGAATGGTAATCCCAGGTGTAAACGATGCATTCTGCGCAGACGTGTTCAGCCTCCTGGATTCAATCTCCCAACGAATTGCAAACTTACTCCGGACATGTTTCTGTTTGGGTGCTGTCTCTTCTGGACTAGTTGCCTTCTTGATATGGATTGCAAGTTCTGCTTCTGCCTTGTCCTTGTCGACAGGACGAGTGGGATAGTGCATCTCCTCATCCACGTCGAAGTTACCCCGACTTCGACTCGAGCCGCCGTACCTAGATTATCTGTGAATCGGGCGGTCGAACAGAATCGAGTGACGACTCACATTTTCCACTAATCTGTTATAGGATAAGGACACGAGAATGGTAGGGAATAAAAGGGAATATCAGCTCCCAGCCAGGTGCCGGGTTTGCTGTACAATGACACAAACAGCGGTGATCGCGATTGGCTGCGCAACGAATATGGAAACCGCGAGACGTCGTGCGAACTTGCTCTCCTTGCGCCAATGTTGTCGTCGTCGTTCCGCCTCTTCCAACGAACCTTTCGGACGCCGTCCTTGCCAAAATGCCAGCGCGCCTCATTCTTCTGGAGGGCTAACAAGTCCAGTGTGCCGACCATCTACAAGCCTCGGAAAGAACCATGGATTACACCAACTATGGTTGTCGTGGGCATTGTCCCGTTTTTCACCTTCGCCTTGGGGACTTGGCAGCTCAAACGGCTCAAGTGGAAAATCAATCTCATTGACGAGCTTGAGGAGAAGCTACAGCTACAACCCCTGGCGCTGCCTCCCAAAATCAAGTGAGTTGCCACAATACATCTCCATAAACTATGGCTAAGCCCGCGAAGCCTATCCGTCATCCCAGAATTCGTTTTCCGAAAGGTCCTGCTGAAGGGCAAATGGGACCACGAGCATACGATGCTGCTCTCCCCTCGAGTCCGTGAAGGGGTTCATGGAGTACATGTGGTTACCCCGCTAGTTCGCGAAAACGGCACGACCATATTGGTCGACCGCGGCTTCGTGTCCAACGAGCAATTGGCATCTGCGCCTCTCAATCAGGAGAAGGGGGAGGTTGAGGTCCTTGGGATGATACGCACGTCACAACCCAGAAACCGGTTCACTCCAGATAACGAACCCGACAACGGAAAGTGGTACTGGACGGATGTGGAGGCCATGTCTGAACATGCAGGAGGAGAAAAAGCAGGCGTGCAACCTGTCTTCATTGAGCAGATTTTTGGTATGTCTACCCTGGTATATCTGGTCTATGTGCTAACGCTTCAATTCCAGAGGGACATGCTGGTGAGGCTACTTCGAGGCTGGAGAAGGGGCTGCCCATTGGACGACCGCCGACTGTCGACTTGCGCAATGCCCATTTGTCCTATGTGATTACATGGTACGGTTGTACATCACACCTCACCTTCCTTTACTTATCTTTGTCTAGGTACTCGCTTTCTGCGCTAACCGCCGTGATGTTCGCTCGCCTCTTGATCAGACGGAAACAAAACCCTGGCAAGAAACTACCACGCTTCAAATGAGAGGGCGGGCTATACAGTACATACTGGTATTCATTCGTAATTACATCTAGACCCTTTAGAGTAGACCGACAGGACACTGCTATCGTAGTATGAGTATCCCAAAACACCGCACTTTGGATTCGTGCAGGGTCCGGAGAAGGCCGTCGATCCGTGAAATAGATCCCGTGTGGTCCCCGTATCCCCATTTGCCGTGCCATGCGGCAGCCTAGAATGCCGCCATTGGCGCTGGATGCCTCAACGTTCTCTCAGTCTCTCCACCTTCGCTGTCTCCAGTCATTGCCAGCAGGCCTTCGCAAGTTGAATGTAGGGTCGAATACTGGCCTGCGGCAATGGAGAATACGACCCCGACGACTAAAGAGTCGCAAGATGTATTCACTGAACCGGTGCCAACGAACGTCGCAAGCACCTCGGGGTCTCGCATCCATTACCCGCCTTCCCTTGAGCCCTCTGCTGGACGACTTCCACGACAATACCCCGATTATCTCCAGAAGTCCTATGGCAATCTTGCGCCACCCGTTCGACGCAGCTCACCTCTAAATCCTCAGAAGGGTAACCAGCGACGGTCGGTACAGGGCAATGGGTCGCCCTTGAATTCGCCAACACTTCGACACCGCAGGATACCTAGTCCAGGGATAATGGATATCGGGAATGTGCCTCCAGAGGTAGAGCAGGATGCCCATCTCTTCGCCAACGAGTACGATTTATGTGAGTGGGGTAGCTCCAATCTCACCTTGACGCGATCTGACCGCCTTGCCTTCCAGCCCATGAAGGTCCGTAGTTTAGCGAATTCTCTATCAATATACTCAAAGCCTCCAGATCCCAGAATTTTATTGGACGTTCAAAGGGCAATTAAACTGAAAGCGAGGCGAGAGGCCAGGCTCAAACGGCAGCAGCAATCACCTTCCCTTCCGTCGCAGAACGAAAGCCCAGCGTCTGTGCTTAGCGCCACCTCCTCGACGCGCAGCCCTTCTCAATCTCCCTGGAATCCTCGTAACTTGGCAACTTCCTCGCCACCCCCGTCACCAACTCCACCTCGCAAGACCAGCAACAGCACCACCCAGTCTGACCTCGACTTCAGCCCATCCACTGGCGGTGGCCTTTTCCAAATCCCAATTTATGCCCATCCTGTTCCCACGTCTCTCGACAATGGAAGGACACTGGATTGGACAGGAACTGGCACAGAGGACGATCGAGATCGCAAATGGCACCTTGGGAAGAGGAAAGAGAAGGACAGAATTTTGCCTCTAGGCGTTATGGCTGAACAGCAAGAAGCCATGTACCAAGGTTAGGAGTTTCTTGACGCGTCTACAATATGACCATACTTACAAGTCGACTCCAACAGAGAGGCTGAACAAGATTAAGAGCCATGCGTCACAGCAAACGCATAAGAAAGCCAGTATCACGAAGCAACAACTTTCGCGTCGATACAAGCTCTTGGATGATTCGCAGAAGTCACCCGACGAATACGACCACTTCAACTTCCTCAACGTAGCTCGCTGGTACGGTTCGGTGGGTGATCCCGTCAAACGCAGCATGGAGAAGGCAGAACCTTTCTCGTGGCTCAGGCATTTAGAAGGTCCCTCTCGCAAAACCGAGAGGCCGCCCTGGCATATGACTGCTCTCATCATGGAGGAGTATGTTCAAGCCCAAAAACCCCGGCATGCCCCCACTATGCCTCCAGGAAGCAACTTTTCTGCTGAGACCATTCCAGATGGAAGCACTGGTGCCGTCGGTGATCCAAGTGAAGCCCTGTCCCCAGTCCACGAAACCCTGTCATTTGGCCCTCACCATCGTTCGAATGTCGGTTCGATAGATAGCAGGGTCAGAGGCACCCTAGACTCGACGAGCAGCTTTCGGTTCCCAAACCCATCAGCATCTACCTCTTCATCGCCTTTCCATCCACAGCCCTTTCCCCGGCCGTATCTCCAAAGTAACCCGAGAAGTGACGCATCCTCGAACGGCTCCCTCTCAGACTACTCCGAATCAGGTGTCATCAGACGCCCTCACATATCTAACTCTACAAATCAATCACCTCGACCACCAGGAACGGAAGTGGACATTTCCGTTGTCGGTCGCGACGAACGTGGTGAGTCCATCCCACTCGAGCTCAGGGTATCCACCTCGAGCAAGGGGTCGGATCCCAGCCTCAAGTCGAAGAGTCCTCTCAGCCAGTCGGTCGGCCCGTCGAAGAAGAATCCCTTACCGAGGCGCATATGGACCTCAATACCCAGTAACGAAACCGTCAAACGCCACGCCAACGATGATGAAGCGCGACTTCGCCGTGAATACGAGGTCAAGCTTCGGTTCGTCATTTACATCATTCCTCTCGAGTTACGACGTGCTGACGTTTATTTCTCAGGATCTTGGAAGAGTCTAACAGGCAGAACCATCGTATCAGACAAATGCTCAACCGGATATCTGCCTCTGTCCGCGAGTACGACGCCGTTCAAGCTGCGAGCGCCAAGAAACCAGGAATTCCTCATCACCCGTTGCCTAAGGAGCTCGTGGAAGCCTTCAGCCATGACCCAGCTGCTGTAACTGGACATACGCGCCGCCTCAAGGGATACAAAGCTGTTGAGGATATTCATCAACGAGTTACTCGACAGCGTGAAGTCTTCCGTGCCTTCTTAGCCAACTCTCCTAAACCGCCATCGACGACTGAGAGTATTCTCATGGGTCCGGCAGAAAACCTTATTGACACCCTTGACGTTCTGGAAACCCATCGGGGCAATATCACGGCCATGGCAGCAGAGATAGCTCAATCACTTCAGAACGTGCAAGCGTTACATTGCGAGGTGAAGGAAGAGTACAACCTGACCGTCTCTCGAACATCGGTCCTGTATCCTGAGGTGCGTATCTTTCTTGGCGTGGAATCGAAGGAAATGCTGACCTTGATAACTTAAGCTGTCTCACATTGTTGCACTCGAGGAGAGTTACCGCGACCGATACCAGGGTTTCTACGACTTCGGTATGGACGCACTTACGCTTCTTCTGGACACTGTCACACCCCTATGGCGGTCATATGGCAAGACCATCGGAGAAGACGTTCGAGACTTCCTCATCATCCCCCTCTACCGCAACGAATTCACTGGCGAAGCGAAACGGTATCCTATCCAAGGACTTCCTCAGCGCTCTCTTCGCCATTGGCTCGGTCTCATCATATTCTTCTTCTCTTCGATCGCCGTCAACTACCTCCAACTTCAATCCGCCGTCACTTCGATGTTGAATTACCGGCTGCAGTGGATCCCATACGATGGTGTACGGTGGACTGCTTTACCCTTGTTCTGGATTGCCATCATCATCCAGTGGATTGCGGTCTTGATAGAAATGGTGATTGTGCTCATGCAATTGGGTACGATTGCATGGTGGATAGGATGGTTCGTTAAGATATTCAAGTGAACCCTAACATTAGTCTCCTTCCGACAACACAAACAATCTATAGACTGTATACGTTCATTCGTTTTTCCTGACTGTTATTCCCTTGTTTGTAAATTATGTATCAATTATTGTAGCACTAGCACACTCATTTCCCTCTATTCCCTGTCTTCTCTATCTATAGAAATACCAGTGCAATCAATCTTCCTGCATGTTTCGATTCTCAGCGCTAGGCACATCAACCTGGTCATGGGGAGAGTGGACGAGTGGCTCGCGGGACGAGGCCCTAGAGGATGCGCTTCTTGCAGTACCATCCGTTGATGTGTTCATGGATAGTGTCGGCCGGACGGTCTGGTTGGAATGTCCAGGGTCGTCATGAAGGTTCTGCCGAGTTGTGACCATAGTTGGAGCAATCCCAGGAATACGACCGGAATCCCTACAGGGTCTGCAATATTCTGGCGCGGACACGTTTAGTTCGGTCAACTAGATATGAAGGACGTGGAAAGTGAGCCACTCACTTCCCCCGAGGTAAAGTGGGATATCTGGCTGATGGCATATCGTGCATCGTACTTCAGGCAGCCAAATTTTTGGTTTCTTTGCTGGTGGAGACGCAAGGATTTCTTGCGGCGAAGGACGGCGCACGTGGTTTTCTCCTGGCGTGGCCAAAGGCGTAGGCAATGGGGGTATTTCTTGGGGTAAAGGGGGGACAGATGCTTCCTGTAACTCAGGAGGCGGTGCAGTGGTCTCCTGCAATCCCGGAGAGTGCTGGGTCGAACCGTCGTTTGGTGTTAACTTGCCACTGCTTTTGACGGGTGGACATTTCCGTGGGTCCTCTTTGAGGAGTCTCATTGGGTGCGGTTGCTCTAGCTGAATGCAGAACTTTAATAGTTTGCTTGTGTCTTATACAATTGGGACTTACTGTCTGAAGTTGCTTCAGCAGATCGCCTGGAGTAAGACGGTACCGAAGATACACTCGCTTCGTGCGATTCCTCTGCAATGAGTTAGTCATTAACATTCGGCGTGGATTCAGGGAACGCACCAGGTCTTCAAATATACCTCGATATTCTTCGACCTTTTCCCTGCTCCCCAACCATCGACGAAACGTATCCGCCAGAGTCTCGGGAACAGCTTTTAGGACGAGTTTGGAGCTGACGTATTCTCTGGGATCTTCTACATCGCCCTCATCCTCGCCCAGGCCACTAGATGGCTGGGTTTTGTCCGAACCCGCCCGTTCCTCGTCAAATGGTAACCTCAGTTTTAGATACCCGTCTCCAGAGTCATTAACCTTGAAAAGAGCAGGTCCACGAGGGATCAGCCACAGTTCCGTCGGAGCCTCGCGAAATTCAAGGACAATGTCGAATTCTCTACTTGGGACCGGGGAAGGTTCTGGACCAATAACAGAGGAAGTTGAGAGGTTCAACTCTCTAGCTGATTCTTCCAGTCTCCGAAGGCGGATGGCCAGTTGTTCCAATTGTTGCGTGGTGGCTTTTTCTTTCGAGGCCAACACTACGAGGTTGGCCAATGTCGGGTCCGTAGACATTGCCTTGAAGAGCCGGCACTGAAGCTCATCCGAGATAGTCATCACGTCCAAGTGTGATGAGTCCTGTCGCGAGGAGGAAATTGCCCCGTAGGAAGGTGGTGGTCCCGAATTCGTGGGCGAGTAATACGATGAATATGTCGCCCCGTAAGGCGTCACTGCTGGCCAGGGCGGGTCCGATTGAACTTTCTGCTCGGTGTTAACATGTGCAATGTAAGTGACTTCGTAGAATTTCGTGTCCAAGAAAGTATGAGGGCCAATTTCCACATTACACCTTCCCCTAGGGTGAAGGACATGGGGAGGTGGTTGCACGTGAGTGGTCTTCGTTTGGGACTTGCTCTGAAACTTGGGAAATATATGATATAACCACTTCTCTCTGGCTAGTACACGTTGAGATGTACTCTTCTCTGCCGAAAGTCGACCTACATTGTTTCAGAGACCGTGCAAGAACGCCACTGTCGCTTGAAGTCAGCAACGAATCCCGCCAGAATCAACTATACTTGCCTCTCTGCAACATCTCTCAATGCTTCCGAGTCGCTTTGAGAATCATACTCCGAGTCTTCTTGCACTACATTCTCCCATCCAGGTTCGTGGCCGACAGGTAAATAGACCGTCGGGAGCTGGTTGCTTTTGACCGACATGACCGTGGCAGGATAAGACGCGGGTGTTTTGTTTGCCTGACAAACAAAGGAGGAGTTGCCTTTCTGAGAGAATCTTATCTCGCCGGAGCTCGCTGATCCGAGTCACCGCCGTTTCAGCGAGCGCGTCTTGTCGTTTTTCTCTTTTCTTTTGCCGACGCTCATGTCGAGTAGAGTCCGTGAGTAACGACGTTCCTGACCCGAAAAGCTCTAACTGTCTCTTAGAAAAGGGAAGTGCTGTCTTCAAACCACTAGTCAAGGCCCGCCCAAGGGCAGCTGGCCCTGGCAGCGCCTCGAGACAGTCGTCGGTCGCCCCGACCCCAACCCAGGATGCTACGCCATCTAGATCGGGGCCGCCAATGCCCCCGCCTCCGCCTCCAGTCCCCCAAGCGACGTCGTCAGTCACTGTCGAGGCCAACGTACTGGCAAGTAACTCTACCTCGGCCCCTCCATCCGACCCAGTAGGGCCATCTTCAATACCAAATGGATCCACTCCCCAGATGCCATCGCAGCCATCTCCACTGGCGCCAAAACCGCCGTCTCAGCCAATAACTGTGTCTGTTCCTTCACCTGTCACCCATTCGGGCTCACAAAATGCGAATACCCCAGCGATACCTGTGCCTATACCCTCTCTCTCACGACCACCCACCCTCATTAGTACTCCAGTCGCTCCTTCAAGCACAGCAAGGACACCGATTACAGTACCATCCACGACGTCCAGAAGTCCATTCGCCGTTCCTATAAACATCCCTCGTCCAGGCAGCGTGCTCGCCGTACCAACCAACTATCCTCCGGCCACCGTCCTTCCCATACCCTCCAACCCAGTCGGAAACGCCATAACCGTTCCTTCCAATGCGCAGACAAGCAGTGGTGCGGCACAAGGCTCAGCGGCGTTGGGTAACGACGAACCTTCCACGTCGACCCAACCAGTTGCTTCGACTTCTTCTCAGCCTGCCTTGGAACAAGCCAACGGCCCCGAGGATGGCCATGCAACCAAGGGGAAACGGAAGAGAAAGCGATCTTCTACAACGACTCCCGAAGGAGAGGAGGCACCAAAACCCAAAGGTGGTCGAGGAAGACGTTCGAGGGGGCCTTCCCTGCCACCCTACGATCCCACAGCAGACCCGGGGGAAGACATTGACCCAACGGTCGTTACTATGGCTTCGCTATGCGAAGATACTGGACAAGGAAGGGTTAGCAGTAAGGCAGCCGAAATCCAAAGTAATCACGCGGCTTGGAAGCAGAGGAACAGGGAGAAGAGGGCAAGGATGCGAGCGATCATGGAGGCCAAGAAATACGGTCGCACAGATGAAGAAGCTGAACTCATCGCCGATGGCGAAGTTCCAGCAACACCAGCACCTACGCCCCAAATAAAAACGCCCAGTGGCAGCAGTGCCGACGATGTCACACCGGACTTTGACTACACGCAGGATCTTACCACCAGTCGATATAACGTGCAAGTCAGGATAGGTCCCAACGGGGAGACCATCATCGACGAGGACTCCTTGGTTGTCAATCGAGAAGAGGCGGACGATACGGCCAATTATACCCATGTCACGGAGTCTGATCACACGAAATTCGTCAATTCTGGGACGTATGGAAAGCGATTCCGCGGTTCACGCTGGAGTGCTGAAGAGACTGAGCTCTTCTACGAGGTATGTAACCAGAGCGCCTGTCGTTTATACCAACTGACACTTGCTCAGGCACTTTCCCAATTCGGTGAAAACTACGAGCTCATCGCTTATGTCCTACCTGGACGAGATAGAAAATCTTGCAAAAACAAATTCAAGGTGGAGGACAAGAAAAACCCTGCGCGGATAAACTACTGTCTGAACAATCGAACGGAAGTTGGTGAGTATGATTCTGTCCGCAACTGCTTTTGCCATTCCTGAACGTTCCCTAGATATCGAAACTCTGTCGAGGATGACTGGAAAAGACTTTTCTGGCCCCGTACCTGAAATCCGTGCACCGACGCCTCGACCATCTTTGATACCCAGGCCAGACACCACTACCGCAGAGGTCGAGCCCGCAGAGGAAGCCTCAACGTCTACAAAATCTCAGCCAAAACGACGGCGGGCCAAGTCCAGCGCTACCGATGACGGCGTCGTTATCGTTGGGGACATCGGTAGTGTTGTTCCCAATTTTGACGATGCATAGTAGTGATACACAGACCTCATCCACACTTGCTGCCCTTATTTTAGGGTGCCGTTTTTATTGTATGAATTCTGTATTTTTATCGTTCTTTATTACTGGGCGAATTAAGCCCATTACCAGTTCACTTCGTGCCAAATGGAATACAACTGACGCTACAAAGTTGACGACGACAATCCGGTGAGGGAAGTGCATAATTCCACCCCATGTAGCATTTCCCTTTCACACTCAGAGCTCAACCCTTTCTGCGAATGTCTCCCCGAGTCAGTTCCGATAACTGTAGGCTGACCTCAATTGCACTGCTGATCATAGTCATGGCCATGGAGCTTCTTTGAACAGCTTTCGTAATTGTGTTGGAAATCAGAGACCCGCGAGCGAGATGCGCTGCTTCCTATTACTCTCTTCCTGCTTGTCGAGCTAGTAGTACTCTGGGATGAAAATGGCGTCGAAGAAAATTGTACTTTGTGGAGCAGGGTTCATAGGTACAACAATGCGTTTCACGCTCTCCCAGGACCTGTCTAAATCAGAAACCCAACTAGGCAAGCATATTGCGAAATGTATCGCGTCCAACCCTGTCGTTCCCCGCCGAATACAACTCTCTTCGCGCAATCCCACCGCTCTCCTCGAAACCCTCCAAACTGAAATTCCCTCAGAGATCCTATCCGCTGTCCCGGTCGACATCACAAAACCCGGTACGCTCCAACCCGCGTTCGAGGATGCCCATACGGTCGTTTCGATGGTGGGGCTCTTGCATGGCTCGCTTTCAGACTTCGAGAAAATACAAGTCAAAGGGGCAGAAAACGCTGCCCTGGCTGCTAAGGAGGCTGGAGCGAGGCTGATTCACTTCAGTGCCATCGGCGCAGACGCGACGAGCGACATTGCGTACGCCAAGACGAAGGCGTTGGGAGAGCGAGCTGTGAGAGAGGCTTGCCCGGACGCAACTATCATACGACCTAGCTTGGTTTTCGGACCTGAAGATGATTTCTTTAATGTGAGTTGCCAAGGCAGGCATCTAGTCTGTGTTAACGTGGTTCCCCAGAGATTCGCCAAACTTTCCGCTTTCTTGCCCTTCCTTCCTGTCTTCAACGACGGCACATCCAAGTTCCAGCCTGTTTATGCGGGAGATTTGGGTAAAGGAGTTGAGTTGATGACTAGAGGGGATCCTGCAATCGAGAGGGAAATATCGGGGAAGATTCTCGAAGCTGGTGGTCCCACAGGTCTGTCATTGCCTCCCTCGGCTTGCCGTTAATGCTGACAGCCCTTGAGTACACGACTTCAGGCAGCTGATGGCATTCGTACTGAAGTATATCCCTCGCACTCGTCCAATCATTTCTTTACCACTCTCGGTCGGAATGGTACAAGCCGCCGTCATGGAGAAACTTCCTGTTAACTTATTCACAATAACGAGAGACCAGGTACGCTGTGGTTAGTGTGGTCCTTTTCCGACACCATGTACTAAGAGGGCACATGTTCAGATCAAGCAACTGCAACTCGATAACGTCGTAAACCCGAATCCTGGGCCAGACGCGGTGGACTTCCATGACTTCCTGTGGAAGCACCTGAAACAACCACCGACCTCCCTGCACACTATCCTTCCCAGCTACCTCTCGTAAAGCGGCAACCTTATCTGTTCGCCTTTCCCCCCGGATAGACTGTAGATTCAGTTAACTCTACTTACTATGACACTACCAGCCGCGTTCGTATTGATTTGCAGCTTTCACTTTGACACCGAGTTTCTGGGCTGCGTAGAGCGGCCAGTGGGGATTGCGCATCAACTCTCGAGCCAAGAAGATCACATCTGCCTTTCCCTCTTGCAAATACCCTTCAGCCTGTTCAGGCTGCGTGATGAGACCGACGGCGCTGACGACGAGGTCTGGGACTGCCTTCTTGATCTCGGCTGCGAAAGGCACTTGGTATCCTGGAACGGCTGGGACCTTCTGGTTGGCCCAGAGCCCACCAGAGCTGACGTCTAGCAGGTCGACACCTTCCTCGTGAAGCCTTTGGGCGAGTAGTTTGCTTTGCTCCAGTCCCCAGTATCTCCACTCGCCGTCGTCTCCCTGTTCCGGCCCTTCAGCCCAGTCGGAAGCGCTGACCCTCACGAATAGAGGTTTGTCTGGCCAGGCCTTGCGAGTTGCTTTAACGACCCGAAGCAAGAATCGGATCCGGTTCTCGAAAGAGCCGCCATACTCGTCCGCTCTGTTGTTTGAGAGAGGCGAAAGGAATTCATGGAGCAGGTAACCATGGGCGGCGTGGATCTCGATGAAGTCGACTGGACATGATCCGTTTTATATGAGGACGACGGGGGAGGTAAACGAGACACTTACAGCCTGCCTTTTCAGATCTATGGGTAGCAGCAGTGAAAGCATCAACCAATCCATCTAGTTCCTTTATTGAAAGCTCTCGAGGTTTCGCATACGAGGTTTCGAAAGGAATATTCGACGGCCCGCGAACTGGTAGACGTCAGTTATAGCGGTCCTCGAGGTGAGTTCAGAGGTCTCACCATTGTCAGGCCACCCGCCTTCATCAGCCTGTGCAACATGAGAAGTACCCGACGGTGCCTTGTTTTGCACCCAGGGTGCATGACAAGATGCCTTCCGACCAGCATGGGCAAGTTGGATCCCGATCTTCGTCCCTTGCGCATGAGAGAAGTTGACAACTCGTTTCCAGGGCTTTATTTGTGAATCGGTCCAAAGGCCCTATTGTAACCCCGGGTGAGGCTCATTCACTCTGAGAATACAATACAACTTACTGCGTCTTCTGGAGATATACGTCCTTCTGGTACAACTGCTGTTGCTTCGGCGCATATTGCCCCCACTCCTCGAGTTGCGTAGCCCTAGGTATTTTCAAGATATGTCCGTCTTATCCGTGGTGGGACTTACGCCAAGATGAACAAGATGCCAGTCGGTTACGTGTCCATCCTTTGCACTGTATTGACACATGGGAGACTTCCCAGAGGGTGAACTCTCGAGTTGAACACATTGTAAGATGCGCAACATACGACCCAGATTCTGTTTTTGAATGTCACATTTCTGAGAGTAATCGGGTGGAATAGCTTGGGGTCTGCCTCCTGAGTCTGGTTCAGCCTTGCTCAAACCTTTGGTAACTCAAAGCAGTACATACCTTGACATCCTGTCGCTCCCCAATCTCAGGTTCATTCAACGGGAAGAATTGGTAGGCGCCGGGGACGGGCTTATTGATGTAGGACATCGTTGGATCTTGCCAAATGGACTTGGGGAAATTTCACAAGCAGAAATCCTTTCATAAGCCTCTGCAATGAGTCCAGATGGCGACATTGCGCACCATGAGCGTTGCATGTATGAGTAAAGCTTCCAGCGGCTCTTCATCCGCAACCCGCTCTCGGCAACTCTCCGGCAAGGGTGCAGCAGAATGATATCTGATGGCGAAGAGCCACCGTGTTAATGACATCACCACACGCAAAGAGAGGGGCCAACGAACGACTTGACCATGTACGGCGCTCTCACCTTCGCTCTCAAACAAGAACTGGACAAAATCGACACCGCTAAGGAGTATTCTGGGAACCTTCCCAAGATACAGTCGAAATCTGGGCGATCATATTTTGTCAAGCAAGGATCACCAGCTGAACAAGAGCAGTATGTCGGCGAGGCGGAATCGTTGAAGGCTATCCAAAGGGCAGCACCTGGACTGGCTCCAGAGGTATACGCGTATGGCACACTTCAAGATGGAAAGCCGTACTTCATATCAGAGTACAAGAACATGGGTCATCTAACCACCCCAGCCGCGAAGGAACTTGCCAAAAGGTTGGCCAACGAACTCCACCAACTGAAGAGTTTGCATGGATTTGGATTCCACGTACCGACTCATTGCGGTCCAACTCGCTTCGAGAATGGATGGTATCCAACATGGGAGAAGTGCTATTCTGCAATGTATCAGCATCTGATCAGTGAGATACGGAGGAAAGGAGGGAAGGAGCACTTGTGCAAAGTTGGTGACAAAGTCATTAGCCAGTATGTATGTTCACTCCCTCCCAGGAATGTCGTGTTGATGACGTCCGTCCAGGGTCATTCCTCGACTTTTGGGACATCTTGTCATTCAACCAGTACTCCTACATGGAGATCTTTGGGTAAGTGGCGCCTTCCGTTAGCAAGTAACGGACTTGACAACTTTTTCAGAGCGGGAATGTAGGAGTCGATGAGGCGACTAAGAAACCGGTGATTTATGACCCAGCATCGTTTTATGGGCACAATGAATCCGAGTACGTTGGTTTTTGCCCAGAAGATGGCATATAGGTTGATTGTTCCAAGTCTGGCAATCGCACGCATCTTTGGAGGATTCCCTCAGACGTTCTTCGACACCTATTTCGAAAACAACCCCAAGACTGAGCCGGTGGACGAATTTGATCTGCGTGCAGAACTCTACGAGGCATTCCATTACCTGAACCACACTGTCATTTTCGGGGTGAGCACAATAACAAGACTTGCGTTAAACACAGTATTCACCAAATTCAAGGGACACTATGCACGACATGCGGAGACCAAGTTGACTGGACTTCTTGAAGCGATCGAAAGGCTTGGGCCTGTAAAGCAGGGGAATGGTGAAGATAAGGAACAGGCGGCGTTGTTTGAGGCTCCGGATCCAACCAAAGTAAACTGACTGTTGTAGTCTACTTCATTTGTAACCAGTCGTTGGGTTAAATTGACGAGGACGCGTTTTGTGACTCGCGCGGCGCCAAAGCTGAATGAGTCAAGGCGCTGGACAACAGAGCCAAACATTGCTGACAAATTAGGTTGCACAGGGCCAGGCAAGCGGTCCAAACGCTCTTGTCTTCAATACGCCGCCATTGTGCGATTGGCGTTCAACCCCGACTTCGTTAAATCCCATCCTTTAACACCCAAAGGACGACAGATCGTTGGCAGAAGGAGTTGAACTCATTTTTTCTACATCCAAACCACAGCAAAAGGTCATGAGTCAAGGTAAATATCAGCGCTTCTGCATTTGCAGCTCCTTGAAACGTTTCTCTTGTAGAGTTCTCGCAGGACCACTATGCCTTCGATGACCCCAACTATGGACAGGAAGAATACGATGAGGACTATGCGCCAATTACTCAGGAAGACTGCTGGACGGTGATCTCCAGTTTCTTCGACCAGAAAGGTCTTGTCCGGCAGCAACTCGACTCTTTCGATGAATTCGTGCAAAATACGATGCAGGAGTTGGTAGACGAAAACTCAGACCTCATCTTGGACCAGGCAGACCAGCATACAGGCCAGGCAGGCGACATGACCCGCCGCTACGAGATCAAGTTCGGCCAAATCTATCTGTCGCGTCCAACCGTTACAGAGGCAGACGGTTCCGTCGTACCCGTTTTCCCTCAAGAAGCTCGTCTGCGAAACTTGACATACTCAGCACCGCTGTATATTGAGATGAGAAAGCGCGTTTTGGTTGGTCGGGAAGATCCTGCAGTGCCAGGCGACATTACTTGGGAGGCAGAGCACGAAGACACCGATGGCGACGCTGCGAAAATCTGGATCGGAAAGGTGCGTTTTCTTGCACTCGAGTCTGCCTAGTTTGCTTCAACTCCAAGGCAATTAGGTCCCCATCATGTTGCGCTCGAGTTTCTGCATTCTCCATGAACTGCGTGACCAGGATCTTTACGACCTCAACGAATGTCCCTATGACTCTGGAGGATACTTTATCATCAACGGTTCCGAGAAGGTGCTCATTGCTCAAGAACGGATGGCCACCAACCACGTCTACGTCTTTGCGAAAGCGCAACCTTCCCCCATCAACTTTTTGGCCGAAATTCGTAGCGCAGTAGAGCGGGGTGGCAAGACTATCAGTCAGTTCCAGGTCAAGATGTTCCACAGAAATCAGGAGCGTTCGGTACGTAACAAATCTTAAAATGCAATGGCGTGCGCCAATCCCTGTTCCATAGCTCGGAAACGTCATGAAAGCGACCATCCCCTACATTAAGGTCGATATTCCCATCTGGGTTGTTTTCCGCGCTTTGGGCGTGATCTCCGACCGCGACATTCTCGAACACATTTGCTACGACATGCAGGACGCCCAAATGTTGGAAATGTTGAAGCCCTGTATCGACGATGGTTTCGTTATTCAAGACCGTGAAGTGGCACTCGACTTCATTGGAAATCGTGGTACTACCACCGGCCTTCCTCGCGACCGCCGTATTCGATATGCGCAGGAAATCCTGCAGAAGGAGATGTTGCCCCACATCTCGATGGCTGAAGGCTCCGAGTCCAAGAAGGCCTACTTCTTCGGCTACATGATCCATCGACTGCTTCTTGCCGCTCTTGAACGACGAGAACTCGACGATCGTGATCACTTCGGCAAGAAGCGACTTGACCTTGCTGGCCCCCTTCTCGCCAACCTGTTCCGTATGCTCTTCCGCAAGCTCACCAAAGATGTCTATCGCTACTTGCAGAAGGTGAGTTAATCCAGCTCCATGTCGGGCGCATTCGTATTGACTTGTTGCAGTGCGTCGAAACACACAAGGAGTTTAACCTTTCCCTTGCTGTCAAGCACCAAACGATCACCAACGGTCTCAAATACTCGTTGGCCACAGGAAATTGGGGTGATCAGAAGAAATCCATGTCCTCAAAGGCCGGTGTCTCACAGGTGCTCAACCGATACACGTATGCTTCCACACTCTCCCATCTTCGTCGGTGCAACACTCCACTGGGACGAGAAGGAAAGATTGCCAAACCTCGTCAGTTACACAACACCCATTGGGGCATGGTTTGCCCCGCCGAAACGCCCGAAGGTCAAGCTTGCGGTCTCGTCAAGAACTTGGCCTTAATGGCATGTATTTCCGTCGGTTCCTATTCCGCACCCGTCATCGAGTTCTTGGAGGAGTGGGGATTGGAGTCCTTGGAAGAAAATGCCCATTCGACCACACCTTGCACGAAGGTCTTTGTCAATGGTGTCTGGATGGGCGTTCACAGAGACCCTGCCAACCTCGTCAAGACCATCAAGAAGCTGCGACGGAAGGATGATATCAGTCCCGAAGTCTCAGTGGTTCGCGACATCCGAGAACGAGAACTCCGTTTGTATACTGACGCTGGTCGCGTCTGTCGCCCGCTCTTCATCGTGGAGAATCAGCAACTGGTTCTGCAGAAGAAGCATGTGCGATGGTTGGCTAACTCGGAGAATGACGATGGCGAGGAATGGAAGTGGGAAAACCTCATCAAGTCCGGTATTGTAGAGCTGTTGGATGCCGAAGAAGAGGAGACGGTGATGATCTGTATGACGCCGGAAGATCTCGAAGTCTCTCGACGGCAATCCGAAGGCATGGAGATACAGGACCATGAAGATTACGATCCTGCTGCGCGCTTGAAGGCAGGCACCCATGCCCATACTTGGACCCACTGCGAGATTCATCCCAGTATGATCCTTGGTATCTGTGCCAGTATCATCCCTTTCCCCGATCACAACCAAGTAAGTTCCCTAGGACATTGATGAATCAAGCGGTGTTCTGATTCCTTCTAGTCCCCTCGTAACACCTACCAATCCGCCATGGGTAAACAAGCCATGGGTATCTTCCTCACCAACTTCTTGATTCGTATGGACACCATGGCCAACATCCTCTATTACCCTCAAAAGCCCCTCGCCACTACTCGCTCCATGGAGTACCTCAAATTCCGAGAACTCCCCGCCGGCCAAAACTCCATCGTCGCCATCTTGTGTTACAGCGGTTACAACCAGGAAGACTCCGTCATTGTGAACCAAAGTTCCATTGACCGAGGTCTGTTCCGAAGTATCTACTACCGAAGCTACATGGATCTAGAGAAGAAGAGCGGCATTCAGCAGTTAGAAGAGTTCGAAAAGCCGACGAGGGAGACCACGCTCCGCATGAAGCACGGAACTTACGACAAGATCGAGGACGACGGTTTGATTGCTCCGGGTACCAACGTTACTGGTGAAGACATCATCATTGGCAAAACAGCACCCATCCCTCCAGACAGCGAGGAACTCGGCCAACGTACCCGAACGCACACAAGACGCGATGTCTCGACGCCTTTGAAGAGCACAGAGAATGGTATCGTCGACCAAGTGCTCATCACAACTAACTCGGAGGGTCAGAAGTTCGTCAAAGTTCGTGTTCGGTCAACGCGTATTCCTCAAATCGGAGACAAGTTCGCCTCGCGTCACGGTCAGAAGGGTACTATTGGTATCGCTTACCGGCAAGAGGACATGCCTTTCACGGCGGAAGGTATCGTCCCCGATCTCATCATCAACCCTCACGCCATTCCTTCCCGTATGACAATCGGTCACTTGGTCGAGTGTTTGCTCTCCAAGGTCGCAACTCTCATTGGTAACGAAGGTGATGCCACGCCTTTCACTGACCTCACGGTCGAGGGTGTTTCCACTTTCCTGCGCCAGAGAGGGTACCAATCGCGTGGTCTTGAAGTCATGTACCACGGTCACACTGGTCGCAAACTCCAAGCGCAGGTATACCTTGGACCGACGTACTACCAGCGTCTCAAGCACATGGTGGACGACAAGATTCACTCGCGCGCTCGTGGACCGGTCCAGATCCTTACTAGGCAGCCTGTGGAAGGTCGTAGTCGTGACGGTGGTTTGCGTTTCGGAGAGATGGAGCGCGACTGTATGATTTCCCATGGTATTGCTGGATTCTTGAAGGAACGTTTGTTCGATGCAAGCGACGCTTACCGACTTCATGTTTGTGATATGTATGTCCAGCTTTTGAATTTAGTCCGCTGTTCAGATGCTGACTATTCGCTTACAGTTGCGGTTTGACGGCCATTGCCAACCTCGTACGTCGTTTCTCCGTCCTCTCGCTTCAGGCTCTGACCCTTTTTTGCAGAAAAAGCAAAGCTTCGAGTGTCGTGCATGCAAGAACAAGACGGCTTGCTCGCAGCTGTATATCCCTTATGCGGCCAAGCTTCTCTTCCAAGAATTGCAGAGCATGAACATTGCCGCTCGTTTATATACAGTTTCTTCTGGCCGTATACGGGATTAATGTTTTGTTCGACCAGTGTATTTTATGCCTGTACTGATATAATATTCTACACGTGCACTATATATTAGAGAATGGATAGTATTGTAGTAGAAAGATCAATCGTCCCGGCGCATCAGCCCTTCGCGCTCCTCACGATCCCCACCGCGACCATCGACAGGTTGATAGTCAGGGTTCTCTCCAGAGAGCCGTTGAGCTTTGTGTTTTTTGTGAGCGTCATCGTCATCATCGTCCTCGTCACCGATTTCGAAGACGACATCCCCAGACACGGAATCTCCAGGCCCTCGACGGCCGCCGACCAAGGTTGCAGCATCGTCATCTTCCTCTTCACGATGGCGGCTTCGGTCTTGAATGGCTTGCAAATCATAGTCCTCTGCCTCTTCTTCGTCTTGCGCAATTTCGTCTGACATAGCCAATGTGGCTATCAAACAGAGATCAGCTTAATGGTGCGTCAGAGGGGACGAAGGGTACTCATCTTCTGTTATTTTCGCTTGGGCGCCACAAGAATGCGATGGCACTGAAACAGACGAGATATAAGAGAGCCAACCAGCCATCAAGCAACCACCAGCGGCTTCGCCACGAGTTCGCAGCATAGTCTAAGGTTTCAATGAGTAAGGACCTTCATGGGGGGAGCAGGATCACTTTACCTTCAGCCAAACGTCCGGAGAAAGACATGGAGGAAACCACAAAGAATGCTCCGATCACCACGACCGCGAAAATGAGGATATAATGGAGTCGAGTGAACATCCTAAGCTTGTACCGCTGCTTTCGGGCGCGGAGTTGTTGGATGGTTGCTAAGGGTGAGGTTGAGCACCAGGACTACGCCTTGAAAGTAAGAAAGACACGCGTACCGTTCAAGGAGTACATGATCCAAAGTAGGAACCCACTGAGGGTGAACGCGAGGGGGATGATAAATAGAAGTAAAAGGAGTGCAGAGGTAGACTCCATTTCGAGTTCCACGATACCGATGGCGTAAAGAACTGGAGAATGTTAACTTCTGACCGTACTATGGAACGGGAAGACCTACTTCCGAAGATGAAATGAGCGACTGCTAGCGCTTGGCACTTGCGCATTGTGGATCCCAGAGACTCCCGTACGACACTCAATCCGAGGGATACGACAAGGAGCATAAAGAATGACATAGAATTACGACCAGCGTCCAAGATGGCGACTGATGTTGGTGAGTGAGTAAAATAAATTGTTGAGCTGTTCATGTCACTCACCGACTATAAGGAATGCAGTCGAGGTAGCACCTTTTCCGTGGGCATTAAGGTATCGGTAGTATACTGGGGACAATCGTTAACTGCACGAAACTTGGGATTGTTTTTTTATCACTCACCCCAGTTCGCCAGCATCTCCACCACAAGCAATGCGACCAGACCAGACAGGTAATACTAAAGGCGTGGATTAGAGGCCGGTAGACAGCTAGGACGGTTTTACTTACTTGAATGGGAAGCAATTCTTGCATGTGCCTGTAACACAAAAAGCCCCATAACAAGGCGATCACAGAGTAGGCCAAGAACATGGCGAAATAGAACTACCAAAACGTGTGATTAGCCGCTCAGTCGAAGAGTGGAGGAAGGACTACGTACAGTGACTTTAGGATAATCGGTTGCTGGGAGTTGGCCTTCAAAGACGTTCTTGAAAAGGATGTTGGCTCGGTATGGCGGATGAGTCGCAGTTGCATCTCCAGTTGCTGCAGCTGGAGATTGATTCTCCTCGTTGAGAGGAACGATTGCTAAGAGGATAGTCATCAATGCAGGTTCCGAATGGCCAGTCTGCATCAACTCACCGACGCAGTAATACCCGGTCTTTCGAACAGGGTAGTGGATAGGTTCACTGTACGCGTAGAGACCTTCATGTTCTTCCCCTCGCCTTGTAAGAGAGAGGATATGATCGCCTGCATTTCGGCGCTTCCAGGGAGAGTCCCATTCACTTGCAGGGGGTGTAGGGAAACTTCCGTTCGGCGGGTTATTCCAGAACCCGCTCTCGGAAATCGACGAGGGCTTCAAGGAAGACTGACTCGCTGGAAGCTGAACTCGGGCAGACCAGAAACTTGTGTCGTTAATGGACTTTCCGGTCGGTAGGTTCAGAATGAACCGCCCAAGCTGGGACTCGTTGCAGTAACCTCCAGTTAGCGCGGTTGTCGTGCAAATGTAGATATTCTGAAGATCATGTTGAGCACGACCTCTTCCTGGAACCTAGTGGCATACTCACTGGCAGAGGTTCGTTGAGAGGCCCTTCTCGCCTCTTTCCCAGGTAGTCCTCATCTGTCCATTCGTAAATTACCATCGCGACTTGACCTTGTGATGATTTGTCGAATGTGACTGTGGAAACACATCTTCAGGGCTTCGTCCACTGATAGATACAATTTTCTTCACCATTGATATAGGCCGTCTCGCCTCCCCACATCCCGCTGCATGCTTGACGCGAGTAGTCTGCGGGACGCAATATGTCATTAGTTCAATGTTGCTGGCGGATTCAGACCGCACACGCACCTTTGTCGGTAATCGCGACCTCATAGGCCAATACTAAACGCAAATGAAGACATATTGTTATCCAGAACCAGACAAACGACCGGCGGGCTGGGGATAACCAGTCGAGCGACATGGCGAAGGGATATGAGTGAAGACAAGTGTGTTGACGGTTGTTATCCCACAAAGACCAAGACTGACGTTGATGATGATCCAGTGCCCTTTATGTAAGTCGCTGCGCCTCTCCTGCGGCCAACTTGGCGTTAGACTATGCTCAACGACGACGAAGACGTTTTCGACAGCGTTACCTGGGAATCCCCTTCAGCGACTGGATACGACAACCACGATGAAAACGCTGCCATAGGCCCAGGTTTCAGACAGAGCACAGCCGATGGCAATGACGACCCACTCCAACCCAAATGGGAGGGATACCTCATTACCTCGGTGCGCGACCCAGTCAAGGAACTTGCTGAAACAAAGGATGCATATGTTTCGTACCTAGTGTCGGCCAAGGTAATTATATATAGATATGCCTTGCCTACACAGCTGACGGATCTTCAGACAAACCTTCCCATATTCTCGACCCCGAACCCTTCATCCCGACGTCGGTTCCAAGACTTTGTATTTCTCAAGGAGAATCTATCGCGAGACTTTCCAGCATGCGTCGTCCCAGCGCTCCCCGACAAGCACCGACTTGGTAGGAGACTGCCCTGCCGCCATATCTAATCTGTGCTAAGCCAGTCTTCAGAATACATCACAGGGGACCGGTTCAGTCCCGAGTTCATGGAGCGTCGACGGGTAGAGTGAGTGAGGCCCGCCGTTGCGCGTCCTGTGATTAATATCCCTCTCAGCTTGCACCGTTTCCTCCAACGGATAGCTCGACATCCAATCCTGCAGCGGAGTACCCTCGTGCGCGCCTTCTTCGAGTCGACAGAATGGGTAGGTTATAGTACCTTTCACTGGCTCACCCACAAATCTCATAACTACTGCGACGGATAGCACGTATACATGCACCAGCATATTGCCCACCCCCCGACGCAAGAGCCGGCACCTGGACTCATTGATAATCTCTCGGACACCCTGTTGAATGCCTTCTCTCGTGTGCGCAAACCCGACGAGAGGTTCCTCGTCATGCGGGAGAACGTCGACAAGTTCGAGGAAGGTCTAACTTCGATGGAACGGTTGTACACCCGGCTTCGAAACAGGACGAGTGGTGAGTCCTTAACTTTAGCCTCCCCAATTATGTTTTGTTTTAGTCTGAGGCTAAATGAGATGGGAATCCTGAATCTGGTGAAGATTTGACTGCCGACTACCATGACCTCGCCGTTGCGGTCCAAGGACTAGGATTCTTGGAGTCGGGGATCACAGATCCCTTGAATCACTTCTCGAATACACTCCTAGAGTTCTCAGCACTCTTGCGACACCTGGTATGTGATGTGAAGTCACCCGGATACAAGCCATCTCATTCCTTTCCTCCTTAGACACAAACGACGACTGATCCGCTCCTGGTCCACCTCCATTCACTCTTGACGTACTCACATGCGAACCGAGCCGTGCTTAAGCTCCGAGACCAGAAGCAGCTTGATCTCGAGGAACTAACAGATTACTTGTCTGGCGTAACCGCAGAACGCGATCGCCTTTCTGCGATCATCAGCGGCCATGCTGGAAGTTCGGGATTGGGCATCGGTGCGTATATCAAGGATAGAGTGGATGCTCTGCGTGGTGCAGACGACGATCGGAGTCGGGTTGAGAAGATGAAGAAACTTGATTCGAAGATTAAAGAGGTTAGTGCCCCTCGGCCTCTGGGACCCGATGATACCGAATACTCATATCGTCTTCAGCTGCAAGATGCTGTGACCACCGCCCATGAGACATCAGATGCCTTCAATGACGCAACACTGCGGGAGCAAACTATCTTCCAATATGCGAAGCAAGAAGAATTGAAAGAGACTCTTGGAGAACTTGCGGATGGGCAGATCGAGTTCTACAAGGCGGTACGTATCTGTCAACAAGCATTTCGTTCATAGACTGACTTGGAAATATAGGCGATGGAGGAGTGGGACAGAATTATACCCATCATACAGCGTATTCGTGTGGACGTTTAAGCCTTTCCTTCTGAATTTCGACTAGTATATTGTACATTATTTCATGGCTTGTTCTGCTTTGCATGTGGTATCTCTTTCTCAGTCTGAAGCTCTTGTTCCTTCAGCTTATCTCGCTCCCATTTCAGTTTCTCGGCGGACTCTTGCACAGCCAAGGAGAGCTGTAGGCACCGCGCAAGTCAATTGAATACACTCCTTTAAGTATGACATGGACTTACGTTGATAATGCCTGTGTTTACAGCTCGTATCATGTGTAATTCCGCTTTATCAGACGTTCCTCGCGTCGTATGCTGTGCTTCCGCCGGGATCCAAGGAGGAGGGTCCTAGTGCATGGAATGAGAGAGGACATAAAACGAAACTGAACCGTCTTACCTTGGTTTGCGAAGCCGAAGGTGCGGCCTGATCCTTGAGTTCCAGAAGGATAGCGAACGAAATATCGTCTTGATGATTCTTAAATCAGGAAGCACCCCGCAAGTATCCAGTCAACATACCTCCAAGCTCCATTTGCCCTAACGAGGCCTCGATCATACAGAGCTTGATTAGAAAGGAGCGGAAGTATTGGACGAGGGATTTGGCAGTCATGGCATCCACTACACTGGGTAGGGTGAATCATCACCGCAGATTAAGTGGTAGAGTGGTCTACATACCCAGTGGACTTGTTGAACGACTCGACCTCAATCATATTGTCAATGGAGAATATAAATCGCTCTAACGGCACTTGTTCCTTGTTCTTGATCACGACGACCACCTTCTCCACAGTTCCCTGATACAAACCTCAGAATCACGTCTTGTGACAGAGTCCAAAAGAATACCAACCTGTGCCATTTCATCGCTGACCGCCTTCACAGCACCGGAAATGTACTCATTCAACGCAGGATGCCGAGATTGATAGACAGGTGTCTCGTACTTCTTCCTCCTGACAAACAGATCAGGTGGATATACCTGCCTAACATAAAGAATTGTGTGGATCGCGACTTCGACTGAGGAAAACGGAAGCGTCAGCATAAACAACGCGACTCTTCTAGAACACCTAAACGCGCGACTCACTGAACTCTGTAATCCCCGCTACGATTTCTAGAAGGTAAATTCGTACTTGTTCACACATTGGGTATTAGAGAGGATAGAAGAACAACTTACGATTGAAAGTCAAAGGTTCGTCCGACATTTCTTGCGCGAACGACTCTGCTGACCCCTAGTGATGATGGTTCGTGAGAAGAACGCGACTTTGCCAAGTGAAATCGCGACGCGTTCGATCTCCCAAATTCGGAAATCAATCACCGCGGAGGAACAATTCCGAACTCCGGCCATCAATGGATGTACTTCTGTCACTGTTCTATAAACACAATCCTTGTCGAATAGGCTTCAAAACATACGGAAAGGTGTGAGCATGACCACCCAAGTAACTTTCTGCACCCTACTGAATGATCATAGGTGGTCACCAGATTTTTCAAGGTTCAGACAGTCGGCTAATTCCTGGACTTGGGAATACAAAGGACTGAAGCCCACCCCTCCCGGCTGCTATCGATGTCTATAATTGACGATAGCTTATCGCGTTTCTAGGTCATTCCACATGTGAGGTATGCTAGACTCTTCTGGAAGAAGGATAGTCTCCCAGAAACTTTCCGCGAGACATGCGTTCGGCGCTTCTATCTGATACCCCGGGCTCCAAATTCTAACTGGTCTGAAATAGCACACTCTTGCGAATTAAGCTCGGTCCATCATGTATGGCTCCGATGATATCCTTCCAGGATTCGACACGCCTTCATTTCGGATTTTTGCTTCTAGGCATGTGTAAGATATGCCACCAGATATTACCTAGCGCCTAAACCTCGACGAGCGCTTAACTTCCCCCGCAACGTTGTTGCCAGAATGCGAGGACCAAAGATTGAAAACAAGAGATAATCGATGCAGATTTTGCGCAGATGATGAAATGTACTGGGTTTCTTTCTCATGAAACGGGGACTTAAGTTGAGAGTCTATAGATAGGCTATACAATACAGATGGTGAGAGCAGCGGAGTGAAACCGAAAGCCACTGGTTGTGACTACTGTCTTTGTGATGAACATGTAAACCTGTTCTAAATATTCGGGGTTAACCTGTAAAGCCATGTCAGTCATCCGTCGGGACCGTCCTCACAGAAGAGAGGACCCACCAATCCCGCTGAATTAACGCATCCATATCCACCAATGCGCCAGAAATAAAACTCCTCGCTTCTATCCACACCCACACTTTTAACAACGCCGCAAGATCGCTCGTTGGAAGATCTTTGGCACTAGGCAGTCCCTCCACCTTGGTATCCATCGCCATTTGCCCTCCCAGTTGGCGGAGAATGGGCAACGCACTCGCAAACAAGTCCATCTTGGGATCCAACTGTCTCCCGATACCTTCTAACAACAGAATGGAAATGACGGTGTTAATAAAGTCGGGCTCCATCTTCACCCGATGCTTTCTAACGTTCTTCAACACGTCCGTTAGAAGGTCGGCGATCTTAATCTGTCCCAGGCTAAACGTCTTGCGCTTGATGCTGAGAATTAGGTGCTGCATCTTCAACGCAAACGTCTCCTTGTCCACGGCCAGTTCAGGCGTTCGGCTTCGCTCGATCATGAGCTGACCGGTCTTGTATCCATCGAATTCGGCCACAGCTTTGAAGAGGTCCAGGAAGTTCGTTCTGTTGGTGTCGTTGAGAGTGGTAACGAGTCCGGCATCTATGAAGACGATTTCGGGGACGTATCCTCCCGAGTGGAGTTTGAGTAGCTCCCGGCTCCATTCATCTGGCGAATTGGAGACTTTACGTAGCCTGGCGACAATCTCATCGGATTGGGAGTAATCCGCTGGGATCATTAGTGAGGCCGACGACACATCGGAGGTAGATTGATCGACAGAGCTAGGGAAGAAATGGTTGTACAGATTCTGGAGGAGAATTCGAGTTGTAGGGGGCTTGCTGAACTTGATCATGATATTTCCAGGGTGGAGGTCGGAATGGACGAAATTATCCAGTAACAGCATGGTCTAGAGATGGATCAGAAAGGGAAGGGAATTTCATGGGGGCAAATGCGCACCAAAAACGCGTTCAAACCAACAGTCGCAATCTGATAGTCGTAAGGGCCACCGCCATTTCGTAAAAATGTTTCCAGAGGCAAGGCGTTCTGATATTCCTCGACGAGTATATCTTTACTCGACCAGATCTTTAATGGCCGCGGGAAGGTGACGGGAACCTTCCTCGGGGCGAAATTGGCTTCGAAGGTAATGAGATTGTCGGCTTCGTGCCTCAAATCCAACTGCTGATTCATCATCTCGCCGAAGACCAAAACTTCCTCTGGAAGAGAAAGCCACTTCATGCCAGGGAGCAGGGAGATACATGATGCGAAGAAATGCATGATGGCTAGGTCCCGGGAGATGGTCTTTTCCACTCGAGGGTGAAGAATTTTGATAGCAACCGAGGCGGTCGGCGCAGAAGGGGGAGGGTCCTCCAAAATGATGGGACCAAGTGCACCACCAACCTGGCGGGTGCGCCTGGGGCCATGATATGAAGGAGGAATGAGGTCCCGCTTGAGAGTTGCGCGATAAACTTGGGCAATGGCACCTGATCCAATTGGAGTTTGATCAAATTCCTCGAAGACCTGATCGAATGGGCGCTGGAAGACGGCTTCGACGACTTTCTTTGTGTGAGAGAACGGGTGAGGAGTTCCCTGGGAATGAAGGGCGCCGAGCCGTTCGCACAAGATAGGGGGGAAAAGGTCGACTCTGGATGCAGCCCATTGGGCCAACTGAATTGGAAGAAGGATGAGCTTATTTGAGCTGGGATCAGGGAGAGAACACATACCTTGATGAATGTCGGGCCAGCTGCTTCCATCTGCTGTACAAGGTAACCGTACCACCAAACAGCTCCCCATCTATCTCCTTTGTACTCTTTCATTGGTCGGCCGACGAGAAGCATTGGACTCGAGAGGATCACAGGAAAGAACAGCGCGAATAGGCGCAGAAAACGAACTGCTGTACGTATTGGCTCCCACACATGTTCGCGGAGCAGCTCGAGAATGCTGGACTTGAGAGTAAGATTGTCTTCTGAAGGTGACAGAATCGTGGGGTTGAGTGCAGCCCGACGCGGTATGAGAGCCGGTGAGCTGAGAATGTCGCTATGTTGCAGGGTCTGAGGCTGTCTGGTGATGACGAGGACGCCGCCACCGACGACGAGGGGTGCTGCAAGCCATAGGAAGCGGGGGCTACGAACGAGCCTTGGTATTCTTGCAGCTCTGAGCATGCGAGAACATTGGAAACCTTGGCTGGACGAATAAAACGAATATTATTTTTGACGACGTCATCAATTTGCAAAGCAAATCAAGTTGCCGGGTTATCTGACTCTCACGAAAACCTGTCCTGTTTCGGCAGTCAACTTTCAGCCCCTACCTTCTTCCCCGTTCCTCCTCATCGTCGGTGACTGTGTCGACGGCCAACACAGCAGCGACGTCTGCTCAAGGGCTATGGCCAGCCCGCACGCCTTCGTTACCCTTATTTCTTCCGACGCCTATCTCCCAGGCGCACTCACACAGGTCGCTGCCCTCAATGACCTGCACGACAAACGAGACTATCAGACTGTCTGTCTCGTCACCCCAGAGTCGGTCGATGTCGCAACCATCAAGGCCCTGCGTAAGGCATTTGACGTGGTAGTGGGCGTCGAGATCCTCGAGGACTCGAACGAAAGGGGTCTAAAACTCCTAGGTAAGCTCGCCGTTCCCTTCCTTCCCCCCGACAATATTCCCGCCGCGTATTGGCATCCTCGCCTTTGCCCAAACTTTCTGGGACACCGCCCAAACGCGTGTCTGATCCATATTTACCCATATCCGTTTATGAATGCTCATCACTGCTTGTCAACAGGTCGTCCAGATCTTACCACTGTCCTTACGAAACTACACGTCTTCCGCCTAACGCAGTTTTCCAAGATTATATTCCTGGATGCTGACGTTCTCCCTCTACGGCCTCTATCGCATCTTTTTGACCTTCCCCACGAATTTTCGGCAGTACCAGACGTGGGTTGGCCAGACATCTTCAATTCAGGCGTCTTGGTTCTGTCTCCCGGAGAGGACAAATTTAATGAACTTTGCCAACTCTTGAAGTCAAAGGGCTCTTGGGATGGCGGTGATCAAGGCCTTCTTAACGAATGGCGCGGTGGGGACTGGCACAGGCTGAGCTTTACCTACAACACAACTCCGACTGCTGCATATACGTACGTTGCATAACCGTTATCTCTGACCTATATTCTGATTTTTCCCTTCAGCTATGCCCCAGCGTATGAACGATATGGCTCTTCCATCTCTGCTCTTCACTTTATTGGGAAGAATAAACCTTGGAACTCCATCGCCTACCGCACCCCTTTCACGACAAGGGCATCGACGTCCAAAGACTCGGAACAGGCCTACGACTACGAATCGCTTGTCGATCGCTGGTATGCGGTGTACGACAAGCATTATCGCTCACAGCCGGCATCCCAGCCTCCAAGATTCGAGTTCAAACGATATACGTCCGCTTGGGACGAACCTACTCCTTCCCCCGTCTCCCAGCCCAAAGCGACCGAGACTGGTGTTTTCGGTCTGGACAAACTCAGGCAAATGGCTGTCGATGGCGTTGCAGCAGCGGTGGGCTCTGACAGACGTCCCCATGGCGAGGGTATCTACTACAGCCTTCCTCTCGAGGGTCGAGTAGACCTTATGCGCCCGCGCAAGCCTGAACCAGAGACAGCCGAAGTTGACGGTGCTTCCACTGAAGGGCCAACCACCCTCCCTGGTGATCCTCAGCGACCACCTAACTTGGATTTTGAACTTGAAGATGTACTTCCCTCTACGCCCCAGTTTCGAACCTCCGCTCTGTATGGGGAGGACGAAGCGGGGATCTACCGGTGGCAATCGCACCCTCCAACTCACCCCGACGATGCTTCCCCCAGTCCTCACTTTGATGCAGTTGCATTGCCACCTAGTCTCACACAGCGCGGCTTTGAACCTGTGAAATCAGATTTCTACGCCAGCGAAAGTGAGCAAGAGGAAGTACAGGCAAGGAAGCAGGCGGCTCATGACCATTCTCATTCAACTCCCTCTCGCCCTGGTTCAAGACCTACCTCGCGAAGGCCTTCCCAAAGCCACGGCCGGCCCCTGTCGATCACTCAACCCTCTTCCCAAGGAGCCCCGCCGGGTCAGAACCGACGGACCCATCCCAACCAACTGAACGATCATCCCCATCGCCATGAACACAAAGACCACGTCCACCATCACCTTCATTCACATTCTCAAGCAGCCCCTCGGCGTCCTTTGTCACCCCCGCTCCTTGCTTGGAACCCAGCTTTGGAACCACCACCTAAAGATCCACCTGTCCCTTCTGCTTTTCCATCGGACACTTATTTCCCCAATCTGTGGGACCAGCCTCAACAGCTCAAGCTCCAGGATCCGTCAGGACCTTCTCCTCCGACATCAATCAACTTCTTCCAGCCTCTTCCCCCTCCCGAAATACCCGAGACATTGATCAAGCAGGGCCATTATAGGAACGTGACAGGAGAGGATTCGCTAACTCCAAGCCCAGACCGAACTAAAGTTAAATCGGTGTTTCCTTGGGAAGAACGACCTCGCGTTTTGCCCAATCGTGTCTTTCCAGACACCGACACTCCACCACCCGCTCTCTTCCTCAACCCCAGCAGCCCTAGTCAAACCTCCACCGCCGCCCCCAGCACGCCGGAGCAGTCAAAATCCACTCCCCTGGGAAGGGTACAGCCGCTGTCTCCTCTCATTGGATTCCCTCCCACTTTAACGTATTCGAATGCATGGGACACCGTCCCCAGCATCCAGAAGTACGCCTCGAAACTTGTTCGACCCCTGCTGCCACCCCCGCCCCTCGCCCCGGCGTTCGATGATGAGAGATGGCGCAAGCCTCGTCGAAAGAGTTGGGATGAACGTGTAGAAGCCAGTAGCCGAGATGGGGATGACGAAGATAATGCCGACGATGAAGACGAGGATGACGACTTTGCGGTAGACACGAAGTGGGATGACAGCGACGACGACTCCAAGAGATCCCGCCATGTATCTCGACGAAGGTCACTTGTTCAACCGATGTCCAAGAGTAGCAAAGATTACCGTGATCAAGCTGTTCAAACCGTAGTGTCCTCTTTGCGAAGCCAAGGCATACAGACCGAGAAGACAGTCAAGAAGGCTTCCTCCACCAAACGCCATTCCATTGCCGCTTCCAGTCCCAGCTTCTTAGTCCCTCCTTCGACTCGGGATGCTGCTGCCTCCACTGCGATTGATAATCCAACATCCATCACCGCTCCGATAGCTCAGCGGCCACCGCTTTCTGGCCGTCCCTCGAAGATCAAAAGCGGAAATCCATCTCCAGTGGTGTCTCCGCGGGTAAGGTCTCCCATGAGATCACCCGTACGTGAGTTTATCGTTCCAGCTGCGCCCCAGTCTTCTGCCGGACATCCGTCGCGTCCTCCGATGCCCAGAGTGTCCACCCAAACCCCTCCCATTGGTGGCTCCAATGAGCAGAACGGGCACTGGTCGCCCAGTGTTTCCCGCCAGATGTCAAATGATTCTTCTATCACATCTCCTGCATCGTCATCCGCCAGCGGCTTCCCTGACTACCAGATTGTGGGTGATAAGCCCGTTCGAGTTGGAGGAAGGGTGTTCGACCCCGCGAGGGGGGTTGAAATCTTCAAACGTGGCTCCGAAGAAGTGTTGGCACGTTTCCTGAAGATGGGAAACTGGGAAAGTGAAGCTGCTCGCTGAGCTATCCTCTATGATTATGCGTGTTATGGCGGTATCTTCCTATGCGCACCTTTTCTTCGATTCTTCGTCTTATTCTGTTTTCGCGTGTGGTTACCTGCCTGGAATCCGATGACCCCATTTCCCTTTCGGGCGCACTTTTTCATTGAATTTGCCGCCCTTCTATTCCTTCCTCACTCGTCGATACCCACATTTCCACCGGGAAACCCATGCACTTCGGCTCGACTGCAAAAATTGTGTCAACAAGTGATTTCTATGCCCTCAAGTTGAACCACTTCGGGTTCTTTCGACGTGACATCTTGTATCTGTCTTCGCTCGTCCTTCGAACATGTGTCGTCGCCTCTCCATTTGCCTTCTTTTCCTTTTCTCTCTTGCCGCAAGCTCTGTATCCATTCGTAGTTTTGTCCAGCATTTTGTTTAAATTGTCTGTTTGCATTTTTACTAGCCTTCGACCATCCAATAGACTTCTCCCTTCTTTCTTGTTGTACACATGGACAATAGGATTACTTCATACCTTCTTTCTGTGCATTCTTCTCAGATCTTCCCCTGGGCACCAGTTGATAATATCTGCGTCATGAAGGCATTTGGGTGAGGAACAAGCGCTGGTGAATTGGATGACGTCACTGATCGCAGCGCGCTTATGACGCTAGTGAGGAGCAACAAAATAGTGATCTCAGCGTTGCTGAAACGTATATAATAGTGTGGTGTCAGTCGGAAAGAATAAATCCACAACCTCGAAATCGTCGCAATATGTCTAACATGAAAGCCACCAGTCAACCAGGGAACGTCGTCCCTTCAGAATATATTCAGGCGCACAACACCCAGTTAGTAGGCTGGCAACTGTTCGACTGGTTCCCTATGCTGATGCTGTGTCTTTTCAAAGGGCTTCGCACGACACCACCGCTGCTAGGGCTCAGGCAGAGGCACAGAACATTTCAGAGGCAGCCAACATTAGCCAGAATGCTTCCCGCGAACAACATGCCGCCCAGGAGGCTGCTCGACATGCACAGGTCAGTCACGATTCCCCTACGCTTCGAAGAGTACGCTAGCTAACCACAATGCATTGGCAGGAGCTGGGAACGAAGCTCACGGGTAACCCGGAGGGAGATGCTGACAGCGCCGGCATCAAGAAGTCTTTGAACACCACTTCTGTTTCAATTGGCCAGGTGGGGTCGACCGGACCACTCTTCAGCTTATAAAGGCTGACCATAGTTTACCTCTATTATCAGAACTACTCGAGTCAGCAAAAAGACAGGTCTCAAGCAGTGTCGGGAGACCAGCAGTCCGAGAACACTGGAATCCTTGGCTCCATCCAAAGTACTGCCTCTGCCGCCCTCAACATGCCTGGAGAGATGCTTCAGGGGATCAAGAACACTGTAACGTCTACCGTCGAGACTGCCGAGGGCTACCTCGGAATGGGAACAAAGCCGGGTGAGCCACCCGTCAAGGCACCTGCAGAGTCGGGTATCCCATCGACAGGTGCGCCCCTTGAGACCAAGGAACATGAAATGAAGAATCCTCATTCGGTTACTACGACTATTGCAGGTTCCGGCGGGCCTGAGCGTACCTCAGCGAGAAATTAATTGTCCCCATTAGTTTAATACCCTCTGTGTTTACACCCTCTGTATTATTACCTGCCCATCTGTATTAGTAGATCTCTGAAGTTTCTATTTAATCATTCTTATCATGTCGAGATGGGCGATGGTCATAAGGGCGCGATTGAAGTTCATTGAACCGAGTTACGCAGTGGAGTGGAACGCTGGTAACTGGAATTAGGTTAGCATCAGGCTTGGTATCGTGCCGGACCACATAAAGCAGTGAGAGCATAGCGCTGCCACTATTCCATCTTCCACACCCACCACTATCTCTGCTACCCGAAACGCACTATGGTACAGCACTACTTCACCACCCTTCGAAGGATCCACAGGGCTAATGTGTTGCCCATAGGATAGCTTTATGAACCTCGCAAAGAAAGGCCTGGATGCCTACAATGATTCCCAATGTACGGTGTGCTTTTGATTGCTTCCACCATGGATTCTAACCAAGAGCTCGCACTACAGCCAACGTCAGCAAGACTGGCGGACAGGAACTCAACTCTCCCAGTAACAATGCCTCAAGCGGTTTGAGCACCCCACCCAGTGCGCAGCTCCTCCACTTCGAACCAGTGGGATCCGATTAGCTGATTAGGCCTTCCCATTCGAAACGGTGTAGTCAACCAGCAGCAAGCAGTCGAAAACGCTGCCAAGAACAGCTCTGGCGAGACCTCGCTGTTCGATACGGCGTTGAAGTTCTTGACCGACAACAAGGTGAGTTCTGGCTGCCCAGTCTATCTTATCTATCCTTGACTGATCGCGGACATTCCTCTGACCAACAGAGCTCTCAAAACGAGCCTTTGAACGACGATGAAGTCACCAAGGCCCACGAGAAGGTCTACAAGGAGGGAAAGACTAGCGGCTTGAGCGCCAACTTGTTGGGAAGCGCTGCTGCACTCGAGGTGAGGACCAAATGGCCTGCCCCTGTCCCGCCAATCTGATATGATCTCCTATCCTAAAAGGTCCTCAAGAAATTTACTGGAGGCTCCAGCTCTTCCTCATCCACTTCAACGTCATCGTCAGGCGGCAATACCCAGACCCAACTCATTAGTCTTGCCATGGCCGAAGCCGCCAAACTCTTCGACAAGTCCGACAAGACATCGTCTAACGACAAGCAGGACGCAGTCAACGGTGCTGCGATGACCATCATGAAGCTGCTCGTCCAGAGTAAGTTTGGTGGCGCTCCTACCACTGGTGGAAGTGACTCTGGAGGACTTGGTGGATTGTTGAGCTTAGCTTCCAAGTTGGCAAAGTAGTGGGGATTGGAGGGAACCCATACTCCATACTCAACGATGAATTCCAACTGCTTGTCTACTTGTATCTGTACTACGAGGATTGAAAGGAACCCAAATGCTTGTCTACTTGTATTTGTACTAGGACAGAATGTTGGACATAAGATAAGGTATAAGGATATGTGCGTGCTAGAAATACAATGTTGAGTGTGTGCGATGTAAATAAATTAATGCAATGAAAGCGAGTATAGAATGAATCGAAAGCAATTCGAAAGCAAAGGTATACTTAGTGCATGGATAGCAGCATAGGGGTATAGTTATAGCAGATGTTTATGCTGACGAACGAGGGTTGCACGAAGGGCGCAGACTGTACTCAAGAACGAGCAATTTGTGCGCGGATAGCCTGGACCTTAGCTTCAAGTTCTTCAAGTTCTCGTTTCTTTGCTTCCTTCTCAGCCTCTGTCAAAGGCGTTTCGGGGTCGGTGTCTTCTTGTGGGGTAAAGGCTGGGAGGTCGAATGATGCTGCGGAAATGGGGACTGAGAATAGGTCAAAGAATTGTGGATCAGTTGCGAATGTGTCTGGATCGAAGGAACTTGAAGAAAGCATCGGGGGGATGGTTGCTGAAGAAGGCTGGATGTCTGTCGATGGGGGAAGGTCAAATTGCAGAACAGGATTATAAGTGTTAACGGCTGTGAAAAGAAGCGTGTCAGGGAGTGACCGACGGTCAAGAAGCTTATCCACGTACGCTGAGCGTAAGCGCAGGTCTGCCATTCGAGAACATTTTGCAACGGGACTCCATTGCACGCTGGCGGTGCCGCGCTTAATGGGAAAGAAGGGATAGCTTCGGCCACTGAGTCACCTAGAGCGATTTTAGGATTTGCAACCATAATCAGAAGGGGTGAAAAGGACTCACTGCTTCCTGGCGCTGGCAAATCAGGGACCGGAGGGAAGTTGAATATTTGGATGTCCAATGGGGTATTCGAATCTGGAGCTTCAACCGAAACTGGAGGCGGAATAGTTCCGGGAAGTGTGAGGTCTTCTGACATGTGCTGGAGAAGCCAATCGTCCCATTCCTGCGACGTGACCAAAGGAAAGGGATCGGATACGACCTGAGGACGGACTTGGTGTCGCTTTGCCGTAGGATATTGAAAGCCGTCAGACAAACAGCGTTTGCGTTTGTTGCTCCCAGAAGCGGGGATGGGTTCCAAAGTGGAGTCGTCCAATTGAAGAGTTGGGATCGAAGCTGCTTTAGCTTCTGACAAATCTTCCTGTGCAGAAGTAGCTGGCGAAGGCAGGCATGTTTCAGGGTTCGACTTCGACTGGTCATGGTGAGATGAATCACCCCTAAGAGAAAAATGGTGAGTTGCAGAACCCGCGAGCACTGGGATAAAACCCACCGAGGACGTTTTCGACAAGAATATTCTTCAACGGAGCAACTGGAGGCTCGACGTTTGAGGTTAGGTCGAGAGCATTGGGATTCACCAGTCAAGTCTATGACCGGCACAACAGGAGACAAGGCAGCACCGGATGAGCTGGCTGGAGAGCATTCAGGAGACGGGTAAGGGTTGCGTTTGCGCTTTTTCTTTTGCCTTTCTTCTCGTCTACGTTCATCTGCATCGCGTTTGATCTTTTCCTTCAGTGCCGGAGTCATGTCCTTGACGACAGGGTCCAACTTGTCGGCAAGCTTGCTCTGTGCATAGCGTCCATCGTACCACGCCGAAGCCTGGGAAGTAATAGAGGCAAGATCGTTTTCAATAGTCGGTCCGTACTGTGCAATGCAAGGGAGATCTTCGAGGGATTTCCCTTGGTGGAAGCGAGTGGCAGCTTCGACAATATTCGCGCGCTTGTTGTCGAAACACCTTCGTCGAAGCTCGTTCCAACCGATCCGCTTCCGAGCGTCGATGAACCAAGCATCGATATCCTTGCGAGAGGCGCCAGTCTGCTTGGCGATAGATGAACGGACTTGTGGACTCGGGTAGGGGTTGTACCAGTTGTCTTTGAGCCATCTGCACGATGGTTCGATGTAGGCAGGTTCTGCCGGTTCTTCTACGTTTATGTCAGATGAGACGTAACAGACAGTGGGGGACAACTCACTAGGAGATGCATCGGTTTCAAGGGCCAGGCCATCGAATAAGCCGGCCACATCGTTAGAGAAATCGTCGAGGACAGCGCTGCTTTCTGCCTCTGCTTGACGTATTCCAGAAGGTAGAAATGCGACGAGGCTAGCGTAGGATGATATCAGGTCGCGGGTTCCTTCGCCGAGCTGTTGGCAGGATTGGATGAGGGCGTCGACTTTGGAGATGGCGCTAGCAAGAGTAGACTTGGAGGCAGCATCGCCGCGAAGAGAGGCCAAGAGGTCGTTGGGAAGGCAGTTCAAGGTCTGGTTAAGGGTCGCGTCGACGCTGTCCCCAGCGACACGGGATAGAGGCATAGTGGATACTGTTGAAAGTGGTGAGAGGGCGACTGCGCGCTGCACCCCAAAACGCACAATAGCATTCGTGGGAGCTGGTGTGTTGACACCACAATGCGGAGGCTCAATTCTTTTCAACCCCGACACACCGTCCGACTCGGATTCCTCGAGCTTATTGAAAGGTCTGGTTTCCCTGGGGTTGAATTCACCTGAGATTTCAGCAAGTATTCGTGCGACCACCCGACAAGTACGTCTTCCGCAAAAGTGAGAGTTGTTTGAAATCCATGACTCTTACTGCTGGTTACCCAAGGAGTTCCACGGGAAAGTATGTACAAAGTCGGGCGAGTAAGTGGAGGCCAGCGTGAGCGCGCTGGGACTGTTGAATGCAAACTTGTGACACTAGGGTTTGTTGGAAGACAATGCGGACTTTGAACTTCTCAGGCGCCTAGCACCACTCGCTTCCGCACGACGTGGATTCGAGCCCGAAGCCTCAAGGGTACAACTCCGAGAAACCCTACACATGTTTACAGTGTATTGCAGATGATTCGTGTACCCCAGCACTCAGACGTTCAAACCTATACAGATGGGCTGGTACGGCGATAACACGCAACCATTTGCAGGACGATTATCCATGGGAACTGGGCTGATGGATCCGGGAACCTGTTTGGACCTCCGGCCTTCCTCAATGGGCCAACAATAGGGAACATCAATACCTCGCTCAGCCAGACACGTTTCTCAAGGTTCAAAGGACAGTAATTCCTCGTTCTGCACTCTGGAGGCAGAGAGTGGATTAGCGGAATTGCATACAAACTACGACATGCAAATTCGAATAAGTCAATGCAATTCTAGATAAAAATACAAATGCGGGTGAAGTTGCCTGGATAGATCAACGGAATGCCACACGAGGGAAAAGCGAGAAAGCGAGTGCAAGACATAGCGACGAGAGCAAGAAACTCGAAAGCATAGCTGGTATCATGACAGTGGGTATAGTATAAGGGCATCGATGTGCTTGAGCGAAACGACGGAAAACATCAGGCAGTTGGAATCCCGGCGCGGATAGCCTTCGCTCTCGCCTCCAACTCCTCCAATTCACGCTTAGCTTCGACCTGCTGCTCGAGGTCCGACAAAGCAGCTGTTGACCGGGTCTGCGACGTGGATGCCACGGCCTGAGGGCTGCATCCGAGTCCGGCAGGTGGGTGAACAGATGGTTGACTAAAAAATGTCGAGAAGTCAAGAGAAGGGTGAGAGAAGCAGCCAAAACACGCAAAATACAAACAAACGTCAGTCGAGACTAAGCAAATATTGTTTCAAGTTTGTCGGTCTATCCCCTCCAATACCAGAGTGCCTAATTTCTTGCGCCACAGCAAGCCCTATCCGTCCACTTGCAAACGTCACCACCTACATTCCCTTGAATGGCCCCACAACCCAGCGATAGTCCACAGCCAAGGCTCCGAGTCCTTTCGACACTGAGGAAAGAAGTTCTATTCCTATAGTGAGACTCTGTCTGCCAACTTGAATTTCACAATGTCCCCGAGCGGGCGGTCACCACATCTATGGAGTGCCTGCCCTTTCGAAATTCAGATTGAGACAGAAAGCAGAGCCCAAAGGCTGCACGACCAGCGCGTTTGAAATGTTGAGTTGTAAAGGCGTAGTCTAATCGGAAATAAATGAAAGATAATTATACTGTGACGCACGACGTAGAAATACAATGAAATGGACTAGGGTATCAAATGCAGGGGACGACGAAAACAAGGCAACTAGGAACAACGATAACGGAGTACTGCAGAAGGGATGTGGGCTAGCAAGCCGATAAATGTGAGACCCTTCAGATCGACGGTGTGAGGCAATGAGGAGGAAAGTAGGAGGGAGGATTCGTCCACATGGTGCTATCTCAATCCATGGGCCGAGAAATTCAGTCCCAGGGGTGGATGAGACATAAGACTCCAGTAATCAAAAGAGGCATAGCTGCAGTAATCCTGACCCTTGTTGACTGGGCTGTCAACTGATAAAGGATCATGTATAGATTCCTTTTCAGCAGCAGGGGGAAGAGTTGAGATTGGAGGCATTGGCGGTGAACCATCCGGGGTATCCAGGTCACTGGAGTCGATAGAGGACAAGGAACTGTGGGAGGAGAGTCGAGGAATGACGCGTCGGCGGGAGTTGGGAAAGGATGGTGAAAGGGCTGTCATGGGTGACGTTGACCCTCGACGGCGGTTGGAACGTTGGGGAATGGGGGTAGAAGGTTGTCTTCCCCGACGCGGTGCAGGAGACTTGCTCGATGACCGTGTTGTAGCAAGACGCAGTGTCGGCCTCGATGGGTTTGTCAGAGCAGGATGGGGCGCAGAGATAGGCCCAGTAACCCTACAAGCATACCATGGCCTCGGCTGATCACAGCCTTCATCCATCGCGGGCCCATGAATGCGCATGGAAGCGAGAGTTTCGCATAGTTGTTCAATCGTGTACGTCGGTGCAGAATGAGACTGGGAGGGCCGTCGATCCCACATAGGCGCGGGAATGCAGTCCACACGCGGGAATGAAAAGAGGTCGTCGTGCCGCTGGACTTTGTTGTATTTCGTTGGAAAGGCATGGGGTGGGCTGTAGGTGTGGTCGAGAATTGAATCTCCACGAGATGACACGCCCAAACAGGGTTCGGGTGATGCAGCGCTTCGCTCCGGCTGACGAGAAGAAATTAGAGTCGAGATGCAAGGGAAGTGTTGATACTCACTGGAGGAGTTGGAATACGATGATTCTTGTGACGATGATTTCGAGGCGAGGTTAGCGGTGAAAGCTTGTCTTCCAGGTCTTCCAACGAGAGTTGAACTGGGAGCCGGTCCATGGGAAGCCGTTCAAAATGGATACCTTCTTTCCGAGCGCGTCTCCGGTGATTTTGGAACTGGACAATAGAAATTATCGTTGGGGTTCTGACAGACCTAGAAATGAGTGCTTACCCAAACTTCAATTTGTCGTGTCGTCATCATGGTTTTTCGCGCAAGCCATTCCCGGTCACGAGCTGAAGGATAGGCATGGTACTCAAAATATTTCTCCAAAAGTGGAGTATATTCCTGCAGAAATTGAGCGGTTAGAAAGGGGAATGGATCTCATTGTTACCGGCTCACCGAGTTGAACGGGGTGCGCTTCGCTGACGGAGCATGGAATTGGTGGGAGAGTCTCTCGATTTCCAGTTGCAGTTGGGAAAGTTGCTCATTAAACGATCGCTGGTACGCGTCCCTGGCACCTGAGATGACCAGCGCATCGAAGCGTAAAGAGTGCGTTGCGATTTTCTTCGAGTAGTCCCGGCAAAGATTGGCGTAGCCATTCTCGTGGACTTTCATGATTGTGTCCTTGATCCTGAGTAGTATTTGCCCTCTGGCCTCGGGTGTTAGGGATAAATCGGCAATGAAGTCGTCCGGAATCGTTAGTTGTAAAGGCGGAATGGCGTAGGAAGATGACGACGCTGAAGAAGACGTGATTTGGCTGGGACGCTGTCGAGCACGAAGTGTCCACGATTGACTTGCTCGGGAGAGCTGGAGCCACATGTCCTTTCGCGATTTCTGAACTTCAACCATGGGAGGGAAGCGCAAGCTGTGTAGAGCCAAGATGAAGAAGCTGTTGTCAAGCTGTTGTCCCACCCACTTTACGATGTTTAACTCAGACTGCAATCCTGGCCACGAAGCCAGTTGGGGCCAATTGATTGTTCCGCAACAATACGGAGTTTCAAATTTCGATCTGGGGATGAAATACCTGAATACCGAGCCGTATGCCATACTGGTTCAAAGGGATCCGGACTTAGCGCAGCTAAAGCAAAGCACTGGGAAACAGATACTGTTTGCGAGCTATGGCACCCTCTTTTCACGCTATGGGTGCAAGGTACGGGTGCCATTTGACGACTTCACACGCTACGTTCGCAAGTACTCAAATTGAACAATGACAAAGGTGACAAAGGAATTTGTTAGCGTTTGGCAAACAATGCTCATAGAATTTGAGCTCCGATCGCGTCCCCTGCTAGAGACTAGAGCCTAGGACTGTTGAGCCTTGCACCCACAAACCTATCCAACAGCCGTTTTGTAGCAATGGGTTTCACCCGAGGCACAGCAGGCGCCAACAACCCCAACGACATCGTCAGAAACACCATACAAGCGCTGCGCAAGGACTTTCTCTCTTTGCTTCGAGGAGAGTCGAACACGTTCACTTCCTTTCTGAGCGCTTGCGCCAACTTCGATGCATTTGCCCAATCCTGCCATGAGTCTCTAGACGACGAAACACTGGATCTCTTATACGACTTCTCGACACCCCTTGCCGCCCTATCCTCTACCATGGCCGAACTGAGCTCCAGGAAAAATCAGATCTCTGATGAATTTGCCACGGAGATTAATGGAGTGCTCTCTGACAAGACGTCCTTACTGGTCCTTTCCAGCGAGAACACAGGTGAGAGTCACGCTCTATAACAGTTCTCCAGGCACTGAATCGCTTCTTCAGATGCGTCCCGCACCCCCTCGTATATCGAGCCATGTGCTCGATGGCTAAAAAACAATTGTCATAATCCTTATCCCAGCTCGCAGATGCGAGCGGAGATTGCTGTTGAAACAGGTGCCTCAACCAAGGATATCGACGCATGGTTTATCGACGCCCGCAAACGCATTGGCTGGAACGATCTGCGTCGCAAGCATTTTGGCAACAAGCGAGTAAAGATACTTCAAGCTGCATCTGTGTTTTTCAACATGGAGCTGGTTCCATCGGAATCAGACGTCTTGGACCCCCATATCGAAGGCGAATTCGCGGCCATTCTTGGACGTGCGACCGCGCTATACGACCAAAAGTTCGCTCAGAGTAAACTGGCTGATAAGTTGGACGTGGCTGTCAGGGACATGACACCAACCTTAAAGGAGCAGCTGAAGAACGAGAAGGCCAGGAAAAGAGAAAAAGAAAGGGGCTCTCGCACCAATAGCGAACGTGCTCGTCACGCGTATCCCTCTCCCGAACGTTCGCCTGCCTCCGTTGCCGAGGTATTAGCCTCGCCGCCTGCGACCGTCGTTGAGTTTACTCTCCGTGGGAACTCGCCAACCTTGGGTAGCAAGCGTCGTCGTTCGTTGCAAAGTGACGACGAAATCTCCTCTACCCCGCTTTGCAAGCGACCTCGGTATGTGCTCTATACACTCACAGGAGCTTTCGCTGATTATACTGATAGGTCTCAATCCATTCGTCGCGAACTCAGTCCTGAAAAGGGACTGCCTTCACCAGCCGCTTCCACTCAAGAAGAGCTCTCGGAGTTTTCCGCGGCTCCATCGCCCCAACCATCGTCGCTTCCCCAGTTCACCGCAACGGACACGTCGAGATCCACAGGCAAACGGAAACGACGCCTATCCGATGGCTTCCAGCATCCTGCAGCAAAGCGCCCGCAAATACGTCCACAGACTGTTTCGGACCCTTTCCCCACCGCCAGCGGCGAAGACTGGGACCAATGGTTCCGTGAACATGTTCTCTCTTCTCCTGAACTGACACTCACTGGAGATATCCCCCCACCCGTTACGGTCGACGCTCCGGATTCCAACGCCCCTCTCGATATTCAACTGTTCAATTTCCCTCTCATCCCTGATCTCCCTCCCTCGGCTCCTGCCGCGCCCAGTAAGAAATCTGCTTGTTTATTATGCCCACGCCTCGACTGACCATTACGATTAGCACCAGCAGCTGAGCTCAATGTTATCGAGCCACTTGAAGTACCGGCTGCCACACAGGTCAACGTTGACCCTGAGGCTACCACACTCGATCAAACCTTCTCGTGGATGGCCAATGATTTTCCTCCACCGCTTCGTAAGTCCTGTGATCTGCAGTGCAACACCCTTAACTAATACCACTCACTCAGAACCGACCAATACGTTCCCAAGCTCAACCAGCATTTATGTCCATGCAACTCCGTTGCCCGCATTGGACGTGATATCGCAATCTTTCCCGGACACTCAGAGCTCTGCTTTCCTCCATGACCCATCGCTATGGTCCAACATCTCCGATCCTGATCTCGACTTCTCTGGCTTGTTTGGCCAGTGCTCGACGGGTACTGCCGTGGCCGCGTCGATTCAAGTTCCTTCGCATCCGATGTTGTCGACATCCAAAGCGTTGTCTGAACAGGAACGTGAAGCCAAGCGCAGGGAGCTCGAGGAACTTGAAGCGAGAGCCCAAGCCATTCGCGCCGAAATCTCCGCCCCTTGATCCTTTGCTGGACCCACGCTGCTATATACCCCACGTCGTTGATACCCTCCATGCTTTGCTGTCGCTATGCTTTCGATCTTCGCTTTCGATCTTCATTTTGTCGCACTTGTTTCGCAAACCAAACTCCTCGCAATTGTATTTCTAGCCATCCAGCATACTATCGTCCATTGTCGCTTTGATTTATTCGCTATTTACCCTAGCTGTACCATTAGAAGTTAGTAGTTTAGATTGTCACACTATGTCGAACATACCTATGCATGCAAACTATGATGCTTTTTGTATCTCACTTCGCGCTTTCTGAGAGAACCGGGTCTGGGGGATAGGCCAGTGGAGAAGCGAGACTGGACGACATTGGTCGTTGCTTACTGTTTGGAATTACAGGTCGGAGTACTGGTTTTCGTCGCCAGATTCTTAGACCTCCCTCCATATGCAGTGCGTCAAATTACTAGGCACAGGCATCCTCGAAGCACAGTGGCTCGGGGCCTGGTGCTAAAGAACAATCAGCTAAAGCGTACGTGAGGTACCCAGCAAGTCATCATATTCGACGTCAGGGACTTCGAGAGATGCGCTCCACGTATTGTAAGGCAATCCGAGTGCGAAGCGACGGAGAGGAAGATGACGACTTCAAGGGATAAGTTTAGAGGGTTTCTGGCTCACGGTATTGCTTGTGGCTAGTCACTGCAGCCTTTCTTTCCCAGTCAAACAGGAGTGGCGTCGGAAAGGAAAACGTCGTAGAGAGTGATAACTCGTAACTCGAGGCAAGGGGCACGGGACGTCCACCGGGTGTAGGCAGCCTGACACGGTCTTCAATGAGACGAAGCTGGATTATTCGGACCACAGAACTGGGGGCATAAGAAGGGGAAGGTGTGACATATCGGTAGTTGAAAAATTAGAATGGCCGCATGTCTGGGCCCCCTCTGTCGCTGCAAAAATGCAAGTAGCTGGAGCACCAAGTTGAAGTCTCGATGGTCCTGGAGCGTCGAAGCAATCACGTCGAGACCTCGGGACACCACGGACACCAGGCAATTTGAATGACTGAACTAGATAAAGGAGAAAGGATGCCGGGGTAAGCACAAACCATGCTTCAAGGGGGCGAAATAAGATTGTCTTGATGAGACGGGGCAGTTTTGGAATGAATTCTTCGCGTAGTTAGGTATCCTCCCCCAGTCCACTCACTTTCCGCGCTTCCACCAAGCCTCCACCCGGAGTCGACAAGGATGCTCGTTGCAGCCAGACGAGAAGATGTGTCACTCCTGTGAAGCCGATGTTTTGATGGTGGAGAGGCGGGTGGATTTGAGCCAGCCACCGCGCCGCCGGTTTTCCATTCTCTGCACTCATCATCCTGTCTGTTTTTCCGCATTTTCCTATGGCGGCAACCCCGATTTCTGAAGCACAAATGCACACCATACCTCGACGTTCGCGAGAAGGTCTTGAAGAAGAGGGAGAGGGTTGACTCGGAAACCGATTAAATAAACGGGAATCGACGCACCGAACTGAAGAGATAAAGACCGACGTTGACGGCGCTTTGAAGCATTCAAGGGATATTCCAGGAGAGAATCCAGGGGAAGGATGGCGAGAGGTGGGTGACGGTTTGTCGAGCTCGAAGTCAGTCGGAGAGGTGAGTAACAGCGGTGCCTCCCTTCTCTTGCTGTTGGATGACTCATAAGACGCCGTCCGAAGTGTCAGCCTCTCTGAGCAAGTTTAAGAGGTGGAAAGTCCGCCGAGCCCAACCGGACGTTCACGAATCGAAAGACTACAGTGTCTTTCCAGTTTGCCTTGAACCTGGATGACTCCCAATTCAGGCGCACTGGCCGTGAACCAATAAACGGCTGCCCTGGCTCGTATTGGAGGCCCCACACATCGGCCGTACCTTCTGTCAGCTGGTCGAGGTGTCGCAACCTTGTAGTCTTGGTGAACAGTTTTCTGAGGAACCGCCGAACAGACTCTATCGAGGACGCAACGTGCTCAGCCACTCGAAGAACAGTCCGATTAGACCCCTTTCATCTGGCCTGGGCCTCGTCTGTCGAAAGGTTCAGCAAGAATGACTAGGCCGAGACGAAAGCAGCGACATACCATCCGCTACTACATTCGTCTGTGATACCACTGAGTCTATATAGGTGAGTTTCAGGTCAGTTGAATCCCCTACTGGCGCTTATCGTGTATCGTTTGGTTAGAAGCGCCTCCACAGACTGGATGCTGGAACGCCACATCCGTACTGCCCGAAGCTTTCGAAGTTCGGACCACATAGTCTTCCAGTAGCCCAGCGGCTTCAGCCGCACAAGAAGCCTGCTGCGCAACAGCGGCCTTTAATGCGCAAACGTTGTACCTATGAGTTGCATAGGATAGGTGCGCCTAAGAAGTCCATCTCCGAGTCCAGATGGAAGATGTTGCGTCCTTACCTGTCAAAGAAGCGCCCTGGCCACCATCGAGCGACCGGGTCCGTCTTTCCAGCGCCAGATGCCCACCGACGGTATATCTCCAGTGAGGTCCATGTTCTCCCGGTGAAGTTACGCTTGCTAATTTATACGGTTAGCATGAATAGTTCTTGACGGGAACCCAGGTTCGCACCTGGAGAGGGCGACCGTCTGAACCCCAGTGTCATCCCAAGACACAGGTAGACAAGCGTTAAGCCGAAGCACAAGATGGTACCCCCTTCACCAGGGATTGTTGTGTCCAAGTATCCCAGTGAGGGCAATTCCACGCGTAGGCATGGCTTTGCGATACCGCATCGCGCAGCCTGCCTGTGTCATGCCTATCTCAACTGCAGAAGTATCCGGCCAGCCGAGGGCAGGGAGAGACGATGCTTGGCGTTATTCCATGCTAGTGTCGAGGAATGAGGAAGACAAGGTCGATGGACATTGCGATAACCGTACATCGGTATTGGAGGAACGATGATCACGACCCTCCCAAGCGATGGACAAGGTGGAGGAGGGGTGGTACGCCTCCAGAGGCGCAGACGGACGCTGTCGACGGGGCATGGGCAGGTCGGGCGGTCGCGATTTTTGTGTCTGGGGTAGCGATAGAGAAGAACCTCCGCCGGTTATCTTGCTAGTCTGGCTCTTCGTCGAGGAAGGGCGGGTGTTGGGTGTCGTGAGGACGTGCGAGGTGTTTGTTGACTGGTCGGTGGATCGTGATGCGTATTCTTGGCAAATGGCAAGACGATGACGGCGGTTCATGCGACAGAGGTGTATGCGACGAGGTGTGCCAACGGTGACGGAATGGTGCAAAAGCGAACGGTGACTCAAGTTACATGGATGGTGGAAGGTGAATGAAGGTAGTGGACATGTCGCGGCGATGAAAGGCGGGGTGGTAGGGTGTTGGTCGTCACGGTGGCGGGGGAGCACTGAGGACCTGCCATGGAGAATTCAACCACTTCATGGGCAGTACTGGCGGCAAGTAACTCACCTCCATTGGCAGTTGCTCAACACGGACAACCAGCACGACTCGCTCTCAGCCCTCGCTCCACATCCTTCCTCCACCCGCTGCCCCCTCCCTTTCTTCCTGTTTTGATTACACAGACCACCTGTCAAGCCTGGATGAACTCGATTAGCTTTCATCTACAACGGCGGTCCAGATATTCCAACCCTTCTCCCGAGAAAACGTCCTCTTTTCCATCTATCACCCAACCCAAGCCCATCTCAAACCTGCAATTGGTTAGCACCATTCGGTCTTAACAGGGCAGCCGTGACAAGAAGTTTTTCGAACCCTGCAGTCTTCTCGATTGCGAGAGCTGCAGTATGTCCGTTTTCGACAGTCCATCTCGATCCAAGGCCGCAGGTCACTTCGCCGTTGATGTATCCGCGTCATGTGCGTTGCAAAATCCCACCCTCTCGGTCCAATTTGACTCGAGAAATGCTACTTATGGTGCAGCTTCTTCACACAGAAAAACCTTGTTAGATCGATTGCACCCTCGATGACCATGGTGACTTCCGAGCGCACCAAACCTCATGTCGCCTCTAGCTGAAAAAGGATCCAGCATATCAAATTCCAGTGAAAAACCGTTCTCTGGTGGCCCCAATCAGAGCCGGCGACTTGGCCTCCTCGGCTCGCCCTGAACAAATTAATCATGGCGATTTGGGAATTGTCCCTGGAACGGCGCCGTCGAAAACTATATTTACCTTGGATGAGCCTTTTGGCTTCTTCTCAACCCCCACCACCAACGCCCTCCGCAGCACCAGAGAATTCCGTCGTCTCTGGCCTCTCCCCACCCTCGCCGTCTTTTCTTTCTGCGCTTCTCTACGCTACGCGACAGCTACGTAGTACATACACCCGACCACTCTACTCTACTCGCAACCGCTTCACCGTTAAAAACGCCGTCTATATGAGCCTTTCACAGATCACGGACGGCTGCCATTCGTTCTCGTTCATAATGACCTCAGGCGACGGCACCCAAATCGCCCTCAAAGACCTCCAGCCTGCCAAAAGCCGTAGGATACGGTTCGGAAACCTCCCAAACCCCCGTGCTGGCGCCCCGCAGCCGAGCGACGACGACCCCAAAATGGTACGTAACTCTTCTCTTCCGCCCGTGGTACTCTTTTGATGCCGCGTCGAACAGAGAACGATCGACACCCGCTACGAAGGCGACCTGGTGTATGATGTCGTATACGGTTCTGAATCTCTTGTAGGTCGTTCTCGTCGTCGAGCGTTCATTTTCAGGGCTGACTTTGCCGTAGCGCAGGAAGCGTGAACTTGAGGAAGATGAGCGAAGCGGTGCCGACGAGAAGGATTTTGATTTCGAAGACAGACGTCCGCCGGTGCATGAACGATTCTTCGCGGTATGTCGGTCAAATTGCGAGCGGTTTCCCGTGCCTTGGTGCTGAACTCGTTGACAGGCGTTCTGGGCAATACTGCGAGGCGTCAGGAAAATGTTCTCTTGCACAAAGTAAACACTCGACAGTCACACCTTTGCGGTAACCACAAACACGATCGACCGCTTGCACATAACCTGCACATTATTCAGTCAGAGGATCACCGTCACCACCACCATTCCGCTTTCATCGACGATCAGGCGCGATAGGCGCCATGCACATTAAAAACGGCCACACACCGCTAAACTAGGAAATCGCACAACCGGGAAGTCTTTCATATTAATTTTGTTGCGTCGCGCATCTTGAAGCTCGAGGCTTTGAGGGTTCGACAGGGCCAAATTTCAAGCCTTTCATTTCAAATATTTGTAGATCATATACACTCACTCACTCATATCAGGCTATCTTCGTTTTCAATCTGCACATTATTCGCGTTTCGGGAAAGGTTTTGCTGCACACAGAATATCTTCGTTCCTTGCTCTTGCGTTTCTTCTTGTCCATCTTCTTGTGACTGGGACGGATGTTGAATTGTCGTATCACACAGTTGTACTTGCGGTTTTCTGGACTTGATGTTGATGTATATATCACTCCATTCACGCCTAGTCTTGGGGTTTCTGGGTCTTGAGGTAGTCTTGGTCGTCCAACACTCAACGAAAGCACAACGAAATGAAGAAGAAAAGGTTTTATATTCGTCAGTAAAGTAATGGTAAGCAAACTGGATGTCCGTCTTCGCTTTATGGGGCTTGAAGCAAGGGCCATGCACAACAAGCAACGAAACTTGCCGATGGATCGTCCGCTGACCCGGGATGCCGACGTCTAAATCAAATTGGTCAATGCGACACGATCGGGGAAACGCAGAAACAACGTGTTCATACACTTTGGCAGAGTGAAATTGGGACGGGAACGAGGGAGAATGGGATGGGGACACGAAGTGACAGCGGGATGGCAGAGTGACAGAGGGGAAGAAAGAAGCGAGGGGCCCTTCGTCGGGAACCCCGCCCATTTGAGGCGCGTTACGCGCAGTGTGACCGTGACAGTTTGATGCGGATGTCACGCTAATATGACTCAGACCGACGCGTCGGTGTGAACCATTTCCACATGGTTCCACGCCAAGCCTTTCCCTATGCGCTTTGCTTCCACCCGGAGTGATGGCAATTGTTTTCGTTTCGGATCATTCGGAATCCACGATGGTTTTGGTTCCGCACCGAACTTGGCGAAGTGAGAAAGAAAACGTGTATATAACCAAGGCCGTGTAGAGCCGTGTAGTACATAGCTAACAAGGAAGTAAGACAAAAAACAAAGGTTTCATACCGAAAAGGGTTTAGAAATGCAGTGCGATGTAGCGTGGTAGAAATACAAATGCAGGGGTACGGATACAACAACGACAGGAACCCAACAGTGCTAATAGTAAATCATCTTGACAGGCGGTCATATGCAAATGCCACCCATGCTTAGCTAACCTCTTCAGCTTGATGCTAGCTTGCCAGGGACCAAAGAGACTGGTGAAAGGGCGTAGGCATCGAATGCAGTCGCGAGTACACCCGCAGGCGCTCGGGAGAGGAACTGTGGCGAAGGTGAAGGCTCGTCGTCGCCCTGGATCAAAGGCAAGGTCGGATTCTGCCAGTTTTCTGGTGTCATTGGCCCAGTAAATGAGCTAACTGACGACATGGAACTATTGGACGATGATCGGGATAGTGCCCTTGAGGGCAGAGCGCTGGGGAGATAGTAGGGTGTGAAATCCCGATGTCTTACACTGGTTTTTGGGGCAGATCGACAGTGGGCATGAGTGGTAGTGGCCGATGCCGGCGAGGGCTGCGATGCAGATGGGGCGGGAGTTTGGACAAGGGCTGGGTGAGGGGCAACGATGTGCCCTATACATCTTGACGCATGCCAGGGGCTCTCAGACTCCGTTTCAATGGGCGGTCCCGCAATACGCGTCACCAGCAATGAATCGCAAATGGCAGCCATTGAGCATGTCTTTTTGCGAAGTTTGCTGGTCGGCTTCCCCGTCCTTCCTTCCGCGCAGAGGCCAAAGTCGCTTGGCTTACAAGGAAAGGTCTGGTCTCGATTTTGGGAGGACGGGCAGAATTTCGTCGGGAAGGCATATGAAGGCGGAGACACCGCGTCAAGGACAGTCGTTATGCTGGTGGAAGCAGACATTTGCTCGGGACGAGGGTGGGATGAGTTGATTGGTGGAGTAAGACGGCGATGGACGCTGGGAGATCGCTTGGACTTTGGAGCGAGGAAAGGCGCCATCGTCTCTTCCAGCGAGTCCAGAGATATTTCGACAGGAATTCTATCCATTGGAATTCTTTCGAGGCGCCTTCCTTCATTTCGGGCCCTGCGACGGTGATTTTGGAACTGTAATGGGATGTACAGTGATATAAGATCAAGGGATCTGTAATGAGCGAGGAACTACATACCCAGACTTCGATCTGTCGGGGGGTCATCATCGATTTTCTCGCAAGCCATTCGCGATCCCTTAACGGAGGAAATGCGTTGTATTCAAAGTATTTCTCCAGGAGCGGCGTATACTCCTACGAATACCGTAAACGGTGAGTTGTATAGACAAGACATGACCACCTACAGCATTGAATGGGGTCCTCTTGGGAAGGGATCTTTGCTCGCGCTGGGAAGTCGCGAGGTATTGCCCTTGCATTCGCGAGAGCCGTTGCTGGAATTCAGTCTCATATCTTCGCCGGATTGCATTGAGACGCTGTGTATGAGTTTCGGGCTGGGACTGGAGGGTACGAGTGTTGGCTTGCAGATACTTCCTGCAGACATTATTGTAGTGCTGGCGATAAACACCCTGGAGGTTGACTGCTGCCTTCTGGACTCGAGATGGAGAGTTGGCAACGACACTAAGTGAGAGAGTTATGTCGTCCAGAAAGGGTTGAAGTTCCTCCGGCAGGTCGAAGGTCATCGCGTTAAGAGTTGGCGGGTCTGGGAAGCAATCGGTCTAGGAGCAAGCCCACAAAAACCTCCAAAGAAACGTAAGACAGGCGATGTGCCGTACGTCCTCGGATTCGACGCTGAAGCTTAGTCTGGATGCTTGTGCTTTGTTTAGGTTCATTTGGAGAACAATTGGTAAAAGAGCCTGAGCAATTTGATGCGCATTCTTGGGTATGTAGCGCTTGACAAACTTCAGACATTGGAGGCCATAGGCACTGCGTGTTCTATTTTCTACGAGCATATCCTTCATTTTCTCGAGACTAGTCGAAATGAATTAAAATGCTGGCACATGTTGCCTCGAATGATACGATGAGGGAAGGTAAGGGGAATCAACAACATCAAAAACGTCTCACGACAAAGACAATGCGGGGTTTGAAATGAGGAAGATGGTGCTGTTGAGCAGAACCAACTCATGCTTGTTCCCCATCATCCTCCTCCATCTCTCCAACGATGGTCTCCGCCGGCAACACCCCCTCCTCAGATGAGGACATTCGCCAGCAGCTATCCAAGTTCGAAACAGATTTTTTTGAATCCGTCAACAACGAATCCGATAATGGCCTAGAATCGTTCGCCACTGCTTGGGCCTCTTTCAGCGAAACAATATATTCAATCTCCAGTAAACTCACACAAGACACGCTCGATCTCGTATACAGCTTTGCGACCGTAGTGGAATCATTGTCATCGGGTGTCGTTGACGCTCTCTCACACCCAGCTACAACCGAGCTCAATCAGGTCTTGGAAGAAAGCCTGGTTGCAGTTTCAACTGAGGATGAGAAGTCGGATGGTAAGAAAGTCCCAAAGACCTTGAGAGTTATTCTAATCCCCCTTCTTTATCATCCAGCTTCTCCTGCTTACATCGCGCCCGCCGTCCAATGGCTCTACCAAAACCTCCACAATCCTTATCCCTCCCCCCAAGTTCGAGAATCAATCGCGACTAAGAGTAAATCACCACGAAAGGATGTCGATAATTGGTTCGTCGATGCTCGTCGCCGGATTGGCTGGAATGATGTTCGCAAGCGTTTCTTCGACAACAAGCGCGCCAAGATTGTCGAAGCTGCCCAGCAATTCTTCGACGACAATGATGCAGGACTCTCAGCCGAGCTTCAGTTCGCGTTCGCCCAGGTTACCTCTAATGCTCGAACTCTGTACCAGAAGGTCTCAGAGAGCAGCTTGGCAGTAACGTTGGACAGTGCTGTGAAAGACATGACGCCAGAGCTCAAGCGTCAGCTTCAATCCGAGAAACGCAAAAAGCTTCAAGGAGAACAAGCGGCGGCGGCTTATCCCTCCCCGGAACGGTCGCCTCTATCATTACAGACTCACCTATCACCCTCTGTCTCTGCACCTTCCCTGCCCGAACGGACTTCGCCTACTGGCAAGCGAAGACTCTCCCCTACTATTGATTCCGATGACGAGCGCGCTGAGCGCTCCAAGAAGCGTCCAAGGTATGTTCCGGGCTTGACATTTCACGTTTCTCTTTTGCTGAAGGAGCTTCTAGGCTTGATGCTCCCGCTACAACGCCACCGCCTTCAAAACGGGTGTCGAACTCTCTTCCATCTCCGGCTCTCTCAGAGTGTGCCGCTCTTAATGAAGGTCTGGCTACCGTTGAAGATACCCCCTCCACATCCGCTCCCGTTGAAGTGTCGAAGAAGCGGAAGCGCAGGCTATCAGAGAGTGACGGAACCCCGTGCCGCAAGAGGCCGCAAAACGCAGACAACCGACCCCGCCCAGTGGCTGTTTCTGATCCCTTGCCCCTCCCCACTTCTGATCCCGAGCTCAACGCATGGTTGGCGTCATTCATGGATTCGCCTTCCGCGTCTTTCTCATCTGTTATCCCTCCGCCTGTCTCCATCGTTGAGACTCAGGAAGTGACCGCTCCCCTGGAGATTGAAATCTCCAATTTGCCTTTCGAGCCTCTATCTGACCCATCGTCCTCTTTTACATTCCCCTCGATCGACCTTTCCAACATAGGCGGTGTGAATCTTGATGCTGGCCCATCGGAATGGTTCTCGGATCCTGCCTTGAACTCCATGCAACCTTCAACCTCTACCCTGAAACAAACTTTCCCGGATTTCGACTTCGACTTCGATTCTCATCTCATCACCCCTACATGTCAGCCTGCACTTGCTGAAGTGCAAGGTAATCCTATTGACCACAGTACCTTTTTGTCAACCAACACCACCCAGAGCTTCTGGGGCACTGAAAACGCGTATCCTCCTCCGGTCACCTTTGATTTCCCTACTTCCCAACCATGCCCCAGTCCGACGGCTTTGCGAGCGGCACCCCAAGCACAGCCCGTTGTTCCATCCTTGTCACCATCAGAAAAGGAAGCAAAGCGGCGAGAGTTGGCTGAAGTGCATGCCAAATACGTTGCGCTCTGCGCTGAATTGGCGGCGTCGGCATGATACACATGTATATGCCCATCTCACTTCGGTTTCCATAACTTATCCCTTATCTAACCTAGGAATCCCCTAATCCCCTTCGCTTTCAACATCAAACCATGCATCTTGCTTTGTATTTGCTTTCGACATTCATCGCATCAACCAGGCATACTATCCAACCATATTCAATGTATTTGTATTCAGTCGCATTATCATTAGCTAGTGTATACCATACCACATACGATATACCACATGTACGCAACTCTAACAGTCCCAATGCATTATTAAATCTCCGACAATTTAATGCCTTCCGCCAACGCCAACTTCATCCTCGATCCTCCATCGTCCAACCTCCCTCATGGCTTCTGCATCTCCAGCAGCCAGCTCTGGTGCGTCAAGCAATGTTGCAACCATCTCCCAAGGGTCTCTCGCACCTCCCCACCGTAGTACCTCTCTCTTGTACTTCTCGCCCAATTCCCTATCCAAAGGATCCTTGGAAAAGACCTTGGACCACACTCTGGAGGCAATGGCGCGATCGAACAGGTACGAGTAGTACGTCGCACCGTATCCAAAAAGATGGCCAAACTGAGTCTGGTAGGAAGTGCCAGGCACATACGGGATAAGACCGCGCGTGTTTTGCAGGTTCCCGTATTCCCGTGTAGAATCGAATGAAGGGTCGAGGACGGTGGGTGAGTGGTAAATTTGGTCTACGACCGCGAGCATGATTTGGGAGTAGGTGTCGATGGCGTGGCAAGGGTCGTGATGGTGGTTACCAATTTGACGCAGTGTTGAAGTGCCATCGGCGTCGAAGAGGGAAAGGACGGCGGGGGAGTTGAGGAAGTGCTCCATGAGAATGGAAGGGAGTTCGACAAAGTCGGTGGCACAGCGTGTACCGGAGACATTCTGGTACTCTGTTCTACCAAGCATGGCTAGGGGGCCCTGTCAATTAAGTTGTCTAGTAATTTAATCAAATTCACTCACAGTGCATGGCATGGCCCATTTCGTGGAACAAAGTTTGCACTTCGTGCCATTCGAGAATAGTGCCACCCTTGGATACAGTTGGCCTTGTAAATTCACAGAGCAAGACCACCAAAGGCAGCTGGAAGACACCCTCCTGGTTAGGAAGTCTGTGTCGCTTCACAGCCTCGAATTCCTGCGACTCCAGGATCTGCAGCTCCGCGCCTTCAAACATCCCATCACCTTGCTCGTCATCGTCATCTGTCCGTCTTGAACATCGAACTGTGTAATGAGCTGCTCCACTGGCTTTGCCTCGCCGGGCAAAGAGATCCGCGTAAATCCACCCAATGATACCTTGGTCTTCATCGACCACTTCGAGCTTCTGAACGTCTGTATGCCAGACTTCGCCGGAAGCAGAAGGTACCGGGCGAAGAGAAACACCATAGAGGTGGCGGAACAGCCGGGAGAGGCCCATGAATACAGTTCCAAGAGTCAATGGCGGAAGGGGGATCGGTGGCGCTGGTGGATCCGGAGGGCAATAGAAGTCGCGGTCCCAGGCCTGTATGATAGGTAGTGAAGATAGTCCATGGTGTGCTTGTTTTCTTTGTGCGAGGGTGCGTAGGGCGCTCCTCGCAAAGGGTCGTGTGTGGTCAATTAGTGCGTCGAGGAAGTTAGTAACATTATCTGGGTTGGTTCCGTCAGTTTTCGATTTCTCAGAATTTGTATTTTGGGCATACCTGGGGTTTTGGCCATCTTGTCGTCAAGTGTCATGTGAGCAAAACTTTCCCTTCCAACCAGCTGGGCAAGCTCTGCTCGCTTCTTCAATAGTGCCTCTAGAACTTCTATCTGCTCCTGGGTACTAGAGTTGGCCGCAAGGTACAGCCTTCGCCTCGGTTCCTCGTTAGGCGCAGACCGCATGATCATATGCGCCTGCAGGGAACCAGGATAGATCTGCAGATCCCTGTTCGTAAACTGGGCTTGCAGTTGTAGCCGGACCCCCATCCCCTTGTCCTTCAGTCCAGCCAAATCCGAAGCCTTGATAGACGTCGGAGGTCTTGGGGTGCTCGCATTTTCCAGGAATTGGCGCCCAAGTACGAGAATGTCGGAAGATAGTGAAACGAATTTGTTACGTTGCGCAGGGGGTAGATCTATTGCAGACTTTTCGAAATCACGCCAGAAAATGAGGGCTGTTTGGTAGGCCTCCGGACTGAGTGAGTTCACGAGCGTGGGGTTGGATAGGACTTGTTTGAGGACCTGGAAGGATTGAGTTGTCCGTAGAGCTTTGACTGGAATGAGAACGCACCTCATAGAGACCCGTATGTGTATTTAACACGTTCATGAACTCGCATAGAGTCTCGTAGGCGTGGTTGGCGGCCTCAACCCACAGTCGGTCGGGATGAGCATTTCGAACGAGCTCGGCAAGGTCAATGACCCCACACAGCATGTCGCTGAGACGGTCGAGATTCTTGACGACCTTTGCGAGCTCATGTTCCGACTTTCCCGCTTCCAATATCCGTTGTGTGAGCAACTGGGCTCGAACGAGAGTGGATTCCGCCAATGACACGAGAGCGCGGGGATGGGTTAGGTTCGGATGACCAAAGAGCCCTGTCGTGTTGAAGGGTGAACGCAGCTTCGAGCCATTTGGCTGGTCAAACAGCGCTACCAAAGCCTTGTCATCGAGCGATGCTGGAAGGTGGCGTTGGACGTGGGTGGCCAAAGTACGCTGAACCTGGTGCCGGTGTCGCTGTTGGTGGACGAGACAGCCACGAAACCTGTACAACTGTCTTGCAGAATGTCGTGCAAGAACAGTCCTGGCCGAGCTGGATAGCATCGGGCCAGTGAAAAGGGGGAGAACTCGAGACAAGCTGAGGAAAGGCTCAGCGAAGGATATGTGCTCTGGGCAAGATGGCCAACTTTAACATTTCCGCCCAATTGACCGAACCTCGCCATTTGATTGGCCGATCACTTTCCTTTTCCTTTTACGTTGCTGGTCGACTTGGCCCCGGTCTTCCAAGTCCACAATACTGTATCTCGAATCGTCATTATAAACACTGTCTATTGATTGCTGGAGAGGATGAAGTGCTATATATATCCAGAGATTGTGACTACAGACTACGATATTTTATGATATGTGAGTGAATATGCAACTAAGTTATGTGCAGGTGAAATGGATGATGGTCAAGAAAAACGTATGACTAGGAGAGATGTTAAGTTAAGCGCACGTCGAAAGCAAAGTCCAAAGGATCACGAATCGTCCACGGCCATGGGCGAAAGACTGCCATCCATGCTGGCATCATAGCTCATCTCGCTCTTGCTGCGCCCATTGGATTGAGTCCATTCAGCCTCGTCAACGGCCGTGGTGCTCGCCGAGTTGACTGCACCATTCTTCGAGGCGTGTGTTGACGGGGCATCGTCCCCGCTCATAATCGTATCCACAGGACCACCTGGCGACGAATCTTCACCCTCCCCTGGAATTGGCTCCACGGCATAAACCCAAAATTTGGACCTCTTTTTCCCCGGAATTTGTTCCACAGCCATCTCTGTAGGTTTGAGAGCCGCTGCACCAGAATTCTTGATTTTTAGACCGCTAGATGCAACCCCAGATGTCGAACCCTCGGTGCTGACGGTGCTCTCCTCCGTCTTGGCTCGTTTGGGGGCGCGGTCGTCGTCGAATTGTGACCCTCCCGACCGCGTTGACCGTCTTTCGCCTCTCCAATTCTGCCATGAGTCCGCCGGTGAATGATCCCGATACGAGGACTTCGTTACACGACTGGAACGTCGAGTGGCCGTCGTAGCAGCCTGCCGGCGCCGCCGTGAACCGCCAGAGAAACTGTCCTCCTCCATATCGTCTTGATATCTATATTCGTCGCCTTCGTCCTGATGATTACCAAAGGGATAAATAAACCACGTCACATAATTGAATAGAGCACTTTTACCTCACTGTCGAAGTCGTTGTCATAGGTATACACCGGGCGCTTGGTGCGTGTGCGGGTACGGGTTTCCCGCAGCTCGGCCTGTGCGAGCAGTATCCGTTTCTGCTCCATCTTTCTGCGAACTTTGGCAACGCGCTAAGGTCTCGACGTGAACAATCGATCGGCGAGCTTAACCTTGACAGTAATGCCATACCGTTAGTTCGGCATCAATGGCCTCTATGCGACCTTCTAGGGTCGCAATCAAATTGTTGTGGGACTGCTCCAGTTTCGACAGTTTCAGGCCTTTCTTCGGCACGGGTGGGGCGGCCTTCTTCAACTCTTCAATGAGAGCGAGATAACTGTCCCGGTCTGAGGAGACGGACTGGAATGTGGCAGTCACTTTCCATGGGTTGGTGGAAGCCCATACACGAGGTGAATCTAAAGGGGGACAAAAACACGTTAGTACCAATCCTGATACTGGGGGGATATATTTCCAACGGCAAGGTCCGGTGCGCATTCACCGTGAAAGCGAAGAGATCATGGAACAGAACCGCAAATACACGCAAATACTAATTTCGGCGAGAAAGAGAAAAGAACAAATGTGCACGGACCATCTGCAATCCAGTATCGTTTTCGCGAACTGTCCTGGCCGACAGGTAGAAGTTGGAGGTTTTCCTGGCTTTTGGGGTCTGAGGGTTCTGGCTTAGGTTCTGTGGCTTGGCCCTTCTTGTGCTTGTTATGCACAATTCCCCAAGCGCGATCGATGGTCGCTTTAATGGAAGGAGCGTGTGTGAGCTGCAGCTCGACTAACACGCGGAGGACTTTGAGCTGGGTGAAAGGAGACGGAGGTGTCAGGATCCAAAGTTCGACCAGGCCGAACAGGGCCAGCATAATCCATCGACGCACTTTGAAGTCCCAGTCGGCGGAGAAGAAGCCGCTTTGTCGACCCTCGAAGGGGTCGACGTTGCGGTGGAGATCATTGTCCCAGAACACAGTTCTTTCGTTGGTCTTGAGAAATTCGGACAGCACGCTAGCCACGGTGGTGGATATTTGATCCGCGCTGAGACCGCGAAGACGACATTAAGCATTTGCTAGTCAGATAGACGTCTCTGAACGTGCATTCACCTCAAATTACGCGTCTGAGGTTTGAGATTTAGGACGAAGGTGGTTAGAAGCTGTGTCAAGATTGGGTGAGGCTCTTTAGACATTAGGGCTTCCTCTAGACTGTATGCAACACGTCGCGCTGTCAGCGGCGAAAACATTAAAATGGACGGAACACGCACTCCATAGGTGTCTCCAAACCCTCCTTTCCTCTGAGATTGGTGAATTTACAGAGGAAGGAGTAGATGAAGAGCGACTCCCAACGGTCGCTTGGGTGAACTGCATTAGACGGTGGACATATGTGTGGTTTGGGTTCTGCAGAAGACATTTCAGCGTCGAAAACGACGCGACGGTGGAGTGATGTGGGTGTAAGAGAGCAAAGGGCGTGTGGAGAAAGTTGGGAGATCACAGTTTGATACTGTCACATTTACATCCCTGGAACAAATATTATACTACAATACCTATTTCAGGCACCTTCCGGCCCAATTTAAACTCAGGGAATTTGTCGCGTTATTCGGTAAACCAACGGGACACAGGTCGGTTGCTCGCGAGCGGTGGAGACGGCAGAAGACTGGTATAGAGAATCGATTGAAGAAAGCAAGCACAAAGGTGTATATACACTGAGACCAGGGCAAAGGAATAGGGTAATGGCACGCCTTAGCCAGGTCCGACCTGGTTTCAAGCTACGTTCAGAAAGGTCTTGAAATATAGAGAATGACCACAAACATACTTTGGGGATGTCGTGGTGCTCACTGAGGGACTCCAGATGACTGTTGAACTCGGCGACGCGGTCCTTGTGCGTCTTCTTTGCAAGCTTCGCGACACGTTGAGCCAACTGTAAGATTCTCGGTAAGCTCATGTCCAATGCAGAAGAAGCCCGGACGCACCCTCTGTCGTTGAACCTCTTCGAACCGTTTCTCAGCCTCCGTCTTGCGCGAGGAAGAGCTTTCCGGGTTTACGCTGGGCGAATTTCGGCTGCTACTGCCAGAGGATGTCTGGACAAGATCCTCGGATTGGAGCATTTCCTTGATCTTTTCCCGTTCAATCTTCTTGTCTGCATCATCAGACTTGGATTTCGACTTCTTCTTCTTCCTAACTTATGCATTAGTCTAAGTGTAGCCGCTTTAAAGAGGAGTGTACGCACTTCTTCACAATACCACCATCAACCACACCCTTCAATTTAAGACCCCCGCCTGGCCTAAAGTCGTATTCTGAAGACATGTCGTGGCCCACAGGAACGAAGTGAGGACATGGGCGTTTGAGATCAAGGAGTGTGTGTGCGAACCGCGGGCTCGGCGTGTGCTCAAAGGGGAATGGTTGCACGTGCCTTAGCGGCGACGTTCAAGCGACCCCCGAAAATACTTTATTCCCGCAACGCCTCATCAGTTCGCGGTCGCTGTCCCAGTCGTCCCAGTTGACGACGTCTACGCCTAGGGTTCGACCATGGCCTTACTTTCCTCACCGTTCGCCTTGATTCAGTCGACACCGCCTGTGACCAAGGCATACACGGGCGCGATCATCATCTCCTCGGCGGTTTATGGATGGTGCTGGTGGAGAGGGCTAGCGTCGGATGCAGCCTATTACATGACTATGATACCCGGCTCATGTCTATTCACGCCATGGGTCTTCCTGACGTCTGCCTTGCTAGAGGCGTCAATATTGGGGGTGAGCCTACCTCTCGTCGTGTGCCCAAATAAACAACTCATCGGGACCCTAGTTCATCTTCTCAATCATCTTCATTCCCCCCTCTCTCCGCTACTTGGAACGGCTATGGGGCAGCATCGAAACTCTCAAGTTCATCGTCGTCACGATTGTGTTTTCCAACCTAATAACCTTTGCGGTAAATTGGATTGAGTACCTTTTGTTTGGAAAGCCAGAGCTGTTCCTGTACGTCATCTAGTTCGAGGGCTCTGAGTGACACTCATTATCGCGTCTTTCAGATTCGGAATGAAATACCATGGTCAAATGGCCATGCACATCGGAGTCCTCGTCGCTTTCACACAAATCATACCCGAGTATCACGTCCAGGTCATGGGTGTTCTTCGAGCGCGAGTGAAGGTACTGTGCTATCGATTCCATATCGCTCTCTGTGCTCAACTCCAGCACAGACATTACCCATGGCATATCTTGGACTATCAACGGTCATGTGCATCATTGGCTTCCAATGCCCATGGATAATCATCCAATTTGGATGGTTCGTCAGCTGGATCTACCTTCGCTTCTACAAGAAACACGCAAGTGACATCAGCGGGACGACATACGGAGATCGCAGCGAGACCTTTTCACTTGTGTCTTGGTTCCCTCCATTTGTCCAGTACGCAGACCATATGCACTCGGGACTCCACAACATGCTAACCTTACCCTAGCTATCCCCTCTCAATTCTTGGAGACAAAGTGTACAGCCTCGCGACGCGATTGCGCCTCATCCCCAAATCATATGGTGACATTGAAGCCAATGGTTATACTCAAGTTCCCGGAGGTGCCAGAGCGGAAGCCGAGAGAAGACGGTGTGTTAAAACTTGCTCTCGATGGATTCTGTAGGCTCATCGCATTAACCCCCTAGCGCCCTTGCATTGAAAGCACTGGACCAACGAGTTGCAAACACGTCCTCGCCCGTGGGCTCCAGTTCCACCAACCCCCGATCGTATCAAGCGCCGAATCTCTCAACGTCGGAGAGCGGTTTGTCCCAATCTTCCTCTCAAAACGGCAGTACCAGCAGTCAAGAGGTCGACATTGCCGAATCCAAGTCCAAGTCCAAGGTGTCCAGTTGATAGCTTGGTCGCACCATGGTCACTTATCCCTACATTCGTCTTTCCTCTACTGTAATGATTCACGATGCGTAATGGCTCCTAGCTATGCCGTCCACGTTGTAATAATGGAATGTTTAGAGTTGCCCGACGCTGGTCACCGTCAGTGTGTTGCTCGGTGCTTACTAAGCAGGAATCTTGTCACCAAAGTGGAAAGCACGATAACTTGTTGAGCGTCAACTTGGACGCACCATGTTCCGCTCTCAGTCCAGTGTTGCAGCGTCCAAGCCGGTATCCACGTTCTATGGTTTATCAAGTGCCAGCCAAATACAAAGTTCGCTGTCCAGTTCAAGCGGACAGCCCATTGACACCGACGAGCTCAATCCCGACGCACTCTTCACCAGGCATACGGTCTCCGAGGTCAAGGTCATCCAGCAACGATTACGGTGAATAAGATTGGTTGGCGTCAGCCTCTGAAGCGTGCTTACAATGTGAACAGACACGATGCTGAGGTCAAGCAGGAGGAGCTTCGACTTATGGTCGGGTACGTGGTCATCGTCGAAGTAACCTTCCCCGTTGATTTAACGGCGTTCTCTGAAAGCGTAGAGAACGGTATCGCGACCTGATCCAGGCGTCATCTTCCATTATCTCTATGAGCTCTTCCGCCCAAAGGGTATTGTCCGCGTTTGAAGAGTCCAAGGGCGCCATCTTAGCTCAGCAAGAACCTCCATTATCGAGCCATACGACGGCGTTTGGCGGTGTAAATGGTGCGTAGCGCCATCAGCCTAACATTCGTCCCCGGTTCTGACAAGATCATAGACCGACATCTACATTCCCTGCAGACCTTGTCGGCTCATCTCAAAGTTCTACTGGACGCGCCTGAGCATCTCTGGCGATTCATCGAGAAGAAAAAGTACCTCTCAGCAGCGTGGTTATTCTTGTTCATCCGAGTCGTACACCGAGGTTTAGTCCAACAAGACGACGAGGAAGAGGAATCTTGGACGAAGGTTGGGATTGACGTTCCTGTACGTGTCGATAGCTCATTCATCCACAATGGCCCCTGATGGAAGTAGAGCGAATTTCCTCTGGTGCAACGGCAATGGGACGAAGTGTCCAGCTTCAGATCTCAAATCATACACAAAGCGACGCTATCCCTTCGTGAACTCAACACATCCGCCTCTGTACGTTTGCGGCTAGAAGCTGTCTTTCCTACGATGTCTAACTCCGTGTAGGATATCTGCGCCATCCTAGCCGCCCTCCATCTTCTCGATTCTCGCCCCCTCAGCGAAACCTTCGCCGCTCTCCTCACTCAACGGACGAAAGCCTTAACCCCCCTCATCTCCTGGAGAATCCAACACAAACTTCCTCTTTCTGCTAATGGACATGCAACTTCCGATGATGGCGAAGGAACCCGAGAGTCCTCAGGCATGCGGTTACGCTCAGTCAAAGAGATTCTTCAAGCTAATCAAGACGCTTTGACGACTATAACCGACACTGTATCCGCTGCTCGAAAGATCTTTGAAGCTAGACCTACCCAGAAGACTTCCTTGATTACTTCACTACTCAAAGCGATTGCCAATGAGGGTGATGCCGGTGTTTTGCCCCCAGACCTTATCCTTTCGACCCACACCCTCCTTGTTAACTCGACATCCTCCGCACACTTCCTACTCCTTCCTCCCAACTTGCAAGCCTATCGACCGTACATCGATTTATCCTCTGCGTCCACCAACTACTCACAAATCGATTTCCAACGCGCCTTGGGCGATTGGTTCAGCAAATCTTCAAAGTCTTGGAAAGATGCGGCTGATGCGTGGTTCACTAACCTCGCCAATGTTGCGGAGATTTGGGACGTTCGCGGTGCTCTAAGGAAGAAGATCCAAAATTCAGAGTTGGAGTACTCGGAGAAGGAGGAGATGTGCGGAATTTTGGATACTATATCCCGGTCGAGGGCGTTGGTGGTGTGGAGATCGGCTTTGTCGAACGCGTTGGACTCTTTCAAGAAGGAGGTGTTCGTGTTCTTAGCGAAATCAAGGAAAGAGGTCACATCAGGTACAGTGTGTTGCCGCATCTCACGAAGCCTTTGTGCTCACCGATCTCAGGAGACACGCACTTCAAAGCTCCTCCCCCGCCAGTGACATCCTCACAAGCCTCCAAGGCACTTGACCTTCTCCCCTTCCGCCGGTATCAATCTGCTCTAAAGCAATATCTCCTTGGGCGAACAGCGCAGTTGGATGCCGTGGTGGCGATCCTCGAGCAATGTGCGAGAAACATCCAGAAAGACCTTGCTGTAGTTTTCTCGGATACGACCGATGAAGGGAAGTCTTTTGGCCAGGGCCTCGTTGATGCGTACCAACCAGAAGCAGAGTCCACCGCTGACGTCGTCGCCTTGACTTTGGAGGAAGCGGTGGACAGTGCATTGGGAGGGTCAAACACTGACAATCTTGTTGGTCTGGCAAACATCGCTGATGATTTGGGCTCCTCGTCTATCTTCATTACGCATATTGGATGTCGTCGCGATGTCGTTCAAAGTAAGTGGCGTCCAACGTGCCCCAGTCAACAAATCGCTGACGGTGGCTTGTTTAACAGAGTTCAGAACACGTATAGATTTCGCCCTTGATCGCGTTGTCCAGGAATGGAGAGATAGAATAATAGATGAAGTATTGGAATCTCTGTCGGAATCTCCTCCGCAGACAATTCCTTCATCTGGTGCGTTAATCACTTCGTGGACAGGATGTATGGTTGACCGGCCGCTAGTACTTGGCCCTTCCCCTCGTCTGCTCCAGCGCTGTTGTCGCTTTCTGGAGCGTTACGGGACCTTGGCGTCAGGCAGGAGTATATTCGTCACCAACCTATCGCTCAGCAAACACTGCGCCTATTTGTGGAAAGGTACCTGGAGGATGGTCCCAAACCTCCACATAGCCAAGATCTACTGTTCTTAAAGGCAATCTCACAAACCTATGGTTCTGACTGGCAGGAGGTCATAAAGTCGCTATCAGATAGTCTCGGTGATTCGGTATGTATTTGCGACTGTTCTGCTCCGTGGAATGTCCATTAAACCACTTTCGATAGGCACCCGACTCAGATGAAGCGGACAAAGTTGCAGCCGAACACCTGGCCAGAACACAGACTCTGTTGTCGCTTTTGCTACCGTCAGCGTCTCGGCTCCAGGCTTCGACTGCCGGAGCAGCAGCGGGACAGTTCCTGCTTTTCGACAGTCCATCGTCGAAGCAGGAGTATCAGCCTGCCCTGGAGGTGGCCAAGCCCAGTCCTCGCTTTGGGCTGTTGCTTGTCGGATCCGCCGGGGCACCTTAGGGTTTACAACAGTCTTTCACTACTACATTGCAGTAGACAGACATTCGAGCAATCGAGCGTTGATGCCCGATCTTAAAGCGGATGGAGACCCCGATTTTCGAGGGTGTCAAGGCCAGAGATGATACTTGTGACTTAGTCCAGTACCTGAAATGCATCAAAAGGTAATTTCCACTGTGTTCTTTAGTTGAGCCAACGTCATATATTAACAGGTAAGTTGTAGTCTTTTTGGTTCCATGAATGGAGAGATTAATGATGTTGACCGGTTCACGCTGAGTGTTTCCTGCTTGTGTTTTCTCCTTTAATAGCCTTCTCTCGAGTCTGTATGCAACGCCGGCTTCCCATAGATGTCGATAAATGTGGCCTGAGGTCTAACTTCACCAACCAAGGCAACCGCCACCCAAGCGCCGTCCCAACCTTTGCAACCTTCGCGGTCATTGTCATTATTCACATTCAGGTCCAGACCCACCGACATATACATAGCACCAACCCGTCATCAGAACTTTCCCAGCTAAAGTAGCCTGCATGTCGAATTCAAGTGCGTCAGTTTTTCGCCAAATATGGGCCTCAATTTCGACATACGGGGCTTGTCCGAGAGCTGTCGTCGATGGTTGCCCCGATACATATGCATGTCGCCATAAAACGAGAGGCTCTTTAGACGTTGGTTTAGGTTGCCGCCGCCCGTCCCCACCCGCGATCCAGAGTTCTTCTCCCCTGCCGCCTTCTCTGCCAACTCAAGCGTCCTTGTCGAACAATCTACCGGGAATCGACAGCTGCCTTGCGCCTCACGACGACCCCGGGGAGAAGATTGAAGATTGGAACGTTCCTTGATTGTCCCGCTGAGGTGTTCCCTTCCGGCGAAGAAGTTGCTTGAAAAAGGTTCAAGTAAACTCAAGGCTTCGAATTCCTTCGCTGAATCTCCCTCTCCCTAAACTCCTCTCCCGAGTCGCTTTACGCCCCCTTCCCGATGCCTTCTCTCGGAGAGCAATAATTCTAATCCTAAACCATTTTTTCTTCCTCGCTTGAAGAGTAGCGCGACTTTCTCCTGCAGTGTGCAATGTTGTCGGATTCTGGTGCGTCCTCTCGAGCCCTCGTTTTCTTCGTTCGTGGCCTTGGAATTGATAAAAGTATACAGGATCGAGCTTGTTGGATGCTCGAGGAATCCCTCCCACGCCTGATCTGAGGACCTACTTCCCGGTCTACCTCGCGCTGCACATTGCAGGGGGGCATGTTGGCCTCCCTGTCCTTGTCGCGACATGCCTCTGCTCCAAGTCTGTGCTGCGCCATCCGACACTTGTCAACTTCTTCACCACTTGGATCATACATTCTGTGGCGTCGTGTCTCTTGTCAGGTCCACTCTCCATTCCATTGCAGGCCCGCGCTCATGTTCAGGCTAGGCTGTACTCAACGGGCCTCAAGGCAATAGACCCCAATACTCCCCCAGGACCTCTATGCCTCGCACAATCCGCGCTGCTACATGGCACTCTGCCGATGTAAGGCATCCTCAATCTGTCAATCTAATTTTTGCACCATCGCTAATCTATCAAACCAGGTGTGCTACGGCGACTCTAGTCGTCGTGATACAGGTAAGAACACCGGATTCCTATCAACTCCTCCTCCGGCATCCAACTAATCCACCGCTGTTCCCTACTACTTCCTGTTGCATGTCTGCTATAGGCCTGGTCCACATTCCGCCAGCCAGAACTAGCCAACAAGAACTGGTCTCGGTCTTCTGGTCTCATCGCTGTAAGCAGCAATCATTCATGCACCCTGTCCTGGATCGAACGACGTCTGACCCTTGATGATGAACCTGTCTATTTGGTTGCCTCGCCACCCTTCCTTTTAGAAACTTGTCGTTCCCTATATTGTCTTTTTCGTTTATACCACAGTCACGGCTGTAGTACGTCTCCGTGCCTTCTTTGCATTCTTGAGGTGTTGCTAATTCAGGTCTGTTACAGCTTCAACACTATACCCCGGAATACGTGAACGCTTCCAACGGTCTTTACTGCACCTACTACAAGGATCCATTGTACGTTCATGAGCCCTGTGATCTGCGGTTAGGCTAACTCGACTTGAAGTCGCCGATATGGCGTCACAGTGTACTGTATTGTAACTCTATCATTAATCCTTCTCATCGAGTGTGCGTTTCCCTTCGATTTTATGTCCCTCACTGGCCCACCCATTGACGCGAATTTAACAGTGGCCATCGGCCTTCGCTACTTCTTCATGTGGAAACACATAACAACTGTATTCCCTTTGGCCGATAGAAGCACTTCACCTGCGATTGCGGTGCGCTTGACGCTGTTTAATGTGTACTCCATATTCTCCCTTGCGTGAGTATTCCGTTCCACCGTTCGCTACGCAGGTCGTGTGACTTGCGATCCTGTAGCACGGGAATCACCTTTGTTTCCAACAACCCGCAACCGTGGCCATACATTGTCCAGGCTGGAAGTACGTGTCGCACCGCAGTTTCCCAACACACATACTGAATGAAAGGTCTAGTGCCGCTTGCCGTGGCTCTGGTCTTTGGCTGCCAAAAGGTGAGGACATTCGTCCAGAGATGACAAGGGGTATAGTTGGCTGACATCCATACCAGGATTACTTCCTCGCTTGGTGCTTCTGGAAGAAGAAACGAAAAGACGAGGCGCCAGAGTGCACGTTTAGATGCCGCAAACTAGATTCTGTAGCTGATTTGTTGCGGCGGACACCATCTTCACCTTCAATATTGTTGACACCCTCCTTAGCCACAAAGAGCCAGAATGATATCGAGGTCTCGCCCGTTTAACAGATCGTTGAGTGTTGGTTGGGTCTTGCAGTTCGTCGCCATGTTGCACACACGAGGGTTTTGCCAGGGGCCCGGTGCCCCAAATTAAATGGGATAAATATCCGGCGATAGTACAACAGAGAACGAGAGAGAGATAAGAATACAATCAGGCGCCGCCCCTGTAGGAATACAGTCAACACAGTGGCAAGGTCAAGGAAGAGATGAACATACACAAGGATGTTGTTTCTGAGAGGGAGATGTTAGTCCACGTGGAAGCAACGTCAGAGGGGGCAATACGCACATTGGGATGTGGATAAGCTTGACAAAGTAACCAATGAAGCCCATGACTGCGAAGCCAACAGCGACTGCCTTGCAGATTTGCGTGAACTCTGTTACAGTGACCTTCGTTAAGACAATTCCTCAAACCAGAGGGTAATATAACGAACCCTTCTTTGAAGGTTTTGTGCACCGTGTCAAGAACTATATTGACTTGATTAGTATCTCGAGACTGCGGATGGATTGTACGCGGTACACACCTGCTTTCCATCTTGGAAGAACTCCTGGGGGACCTCGACGAATTCACGAATCTTCTCGGACATGTTGAAGGGTAAAGGAGAGAGGGATTGGTGCAAAGCTCGAGGCGAGTGCGCTGGCGGAAACAGTTAAATCACGGTTCCCACGGCTCGACACGTTGACGATCTCACACCGTGACCTTCGGCGTCAAATTCAGAAATCTCTTCCTCTCGGCCAAGGTATCTACCAGTTTCACAAATCATCATGCTGGTCACTGACAAGTTTATGTTTTCATAGCCCGTGTGACCACGCATGAATGATTGGGAGCAGGCTGCTTCGACCAGTTAGCATCCAATTTGCGCGGTTGAGCTCCCACCACATCCACAAACCAATATGCAGTCAATTTATCCGGAATGCCGCGACTTCCCCCGCCGTTGCTGTCGCAATTCCAGTTAAAGAGATTGTCCAGAAACTTAGGGAAACTCAAAAGATATCCCAAGTCCACACCCTCTACCCAACCCTTCTCAAGGCCTTGAAAACAGATTCCAATGCCTGCCAATATCTGCAGGAAGAGGACATTCGGAATCTTTTCCGGATGTTGGGTTCGTCCGGTCGACCTGAAGACATGCAACGTATACAGGAAATTGCAAAACTCCTTCCCGAGTTGCAGATCAAACCTACAGTCCAGTTGTACAATGCGGTCACGGAAGGTCTCGTCCAACGCGGGAACCCGCTACCGGTTGTCGAATGGCTCACCAGAACGTTACCGACTCTACCAGGAAAGAACGCCCCCCGCGTTGAAGACCTCAACTACTGCTTGCAGAGGCTATCGTTTCCTTCCTACCAGTCGATACAACTCGCCGTGTCCCGGCTTTGCTCCCCAGGAATGTGCCAACCGAATGCAGAGTCACTTCGAATCGCCCTCCGACGCACTTGGGATCTTTGCGAGGACAGTGACCCGACTACAACATTCGCCACCTTTCGCAAGCTCCTCAACGCCTTTCGGTACTATCGGATCGGTTGGGAACAGGAAACATCGTCCCTCTTGTTTCAGCTTTTCGCGAGTGCTGGCGAGGAAAACATAGGCTACCAGGTACAACAAATCTACGACCAAACCCATGCCTCAAACTCGACCCAGTCTCAAACGCTACCAGATTGGTTGGCACAGCTGAAGGAATTCAGAGCAAACCACGACATCCCATCCTCCCTGGATTTCATCCGTTCCCGAAACGATGTCAACTACGGGAATTCCAGAGACGCTGGTTATGTCATCTTGGGGGACACCCGTTCCTTATCCGACCTGAAGCTCGTCGATGAAGTGTTGGGTAGTCGATGGAGGACCTCCCGTTGGTGCAAGGTCGTCCGAAACCACATTTTGAAAGGCGATGTCAAAGGCGCTCTATCCATTTACCACGCTGCTCGCATTTCAGATGTCCCCATCATTGCGGCACTAGTGGATCCCATCCTGCGAGCCTTGTCTTGCGTCACTCACGTGGTACCAGACGAAGAAATCGATATTGCGCTTGACATCTACAACCACTTGGTGGAGGTCCACTCGCGCAACGAACATGACTCCAGCAACCGTGTTCTCGACCAATCCATTGTGAACAGTATCTTTCGGATACTATCCAAGTGTAAGGACCCCGAGAAGTATCAAACCGTCATCGATCGACTTCTGCAAGACATGGGAAACTACAATGTCACCATCTCTTCGGAGATCGCGCAAGCCCTGATCCTCATCCGCATGAAGGGGTCTTCTACAATCGACGAAGCAATGGACGCATACCGTTCTGGAAGAAAGCGCCTCACGACTTCAGCAGATTACACCGCCATCCTCCGACAGTTTGCACAACTTCCATTTGGCCTCAGCTCCATCAGAGAGTATTTTAACATCGTCAAGGATATGCGACGTTCCGGGATGCGCGTCACACAGACCGTTTACTGCATTGTCCTAACCCGTATCGGTTTGGCCGCGACGGACGCAAGATTTAACGGAAAGCTTAACCACGAGCTCCGTGAACTGTTATTGAACGCCACCCGCCGCGTCCATGATAACCTTACCCTCGATCCCAGCATCTCCCCCACGCCGGCAGTGTTTGCACAGCTAATCAATACTTACCAGCGACTAGGTTGCTTGGGTGACGCGTATCGCGTTTGGGAACTCATGTATCTCACCGGGACATACAACGTCCGCTCCATCAGCAACATCCTCGACGGATGTGGATGGGCAGGCGACGAGTTTACCGCCAGGGCTGTCTGGGGCAGGTTGGCGAAAGACCACTACAAGTTTGACCGAAAGCACTGGGAGACATATATCGAATGTCTTTGCAGGTGCAAGCGGATCGCTAATGCAGTCAAGGTACTTCAAGAGATGGAGGCAACAGGGCACGACCAAACCGAAGCTCTCCACATATTGCTGAAGTTCGCTCGGAAGGAGAGCGTCGAAGAGGCCGTTATCAAGACCATTCGCACACAGAATCCTGCATTGTATGATAGATATCAAAGTCGGTACAATTCCACACCGTGATCCAAAGAAAAATCTAGACGAATATACGCGTGCGTCTCCGCAAGGTCTAAAGATACAATATCGATGAAAAACATGTCGCGTGGTTGAGCAGCGAGCGTTCGTAAAAGAGGGCTGGCCAGACCGTCTAGAGGAATAGAAGCCTGATTATAATATTACAGTAGTTCTACGAGGCCAGCATCTAATTGTCGGCGAGTTCCTCCACAGAGGGGCAGTCGCACTGGAGGGTCAAGTCAGTGACGAGGTAGGGGTTCAATGATGCAATAAACTTACGACAAGGTTCATGTCACCATAGGCGTCATCAAGGCGTGACACTGTAGGCCAGAACTTCTTCTCTTTAAGCCATGGCAGAGGATAGGCAGCGGTTTCGCGAGAGTACGGTCGGTTCCATTCGGCTTCGGACAGTGCGATAACGGACATGGGGTGAGGGGCATTCTTGAGGACGTTGTTGTCCTTGGGCTGCTTGCCAGTGATAATATCTTCGGCCTCCTTGCGGATTTGGATCATGGCATCGCAGAATCTATAATTCGGACATCAGGCGACAAAGGAAGAATGGAGGGAAATACAGGCTACTCACCTATCCAGCTCCTCAAGAGTCTCCGACTCTGTGGGTTCGATGAGCATACAGGTAGAAATGGGCCACGAGCAAGTGGGAGGGTGGAATCCGTAATCCTGGAGGCGTTTGGCAAAGTCGGTAACCTTCAGTCCCGCAGCCTTGTCAAACTCGGCCAAGTCGATGAGAAGCTCGTGGGCAACACGACCCTTCCCGTTCTTGTACCTCAGGGTATAGTGGCCAGACAATCGGCTGGCCATGTAATTGGCGTTGAGCAGGGCGAGCTTGGACGAATCGACAAGACCCTTCCCGCCGAGCATCTTAATGTAGGCCCACGAGATCAACAGGATGGAGGCACTGCCGAAGGGTGCTGAAGCGACGGGCTTGATGGCCTTGGAACCCTGACCCTCCATGTAGGGGTGTCCTGGAAGGAAGGGCGCGAGATGTTCGGCGACGCAGATGGGTCTGGATAATAAATTAGCAAGTGAACAAACCATGCTGAACGGATACAACTCACCCAACACCGGGTCCTCCGCCTCCGTGGGGACTATAAACAGGACGTTTAAATAATTGTGGTGGTCCATGATATACCTGACCGACTTACATGGCAAAGGTCTTGTGCAGGTTGAGATGGCAAACGTCACCACCGCATGTCGCAGGGTTGGTAAGACCGACTTGGGCGTTAAGGTTCGCGCCGTCGAGGTAAACTTGACCACCATTCTGATGGATGATTTCGCAAGCGGCTTGAACACCATCTTCGAACACTCCGAAGGTTGACGGGTAGGTGATCTAGTCAAAGCATCAGTACCAATGGAAAGGAAACAAGAGAAGACCCGAATGTACCATGAATGCGGCAAGGTTATCCTTATGCTTCTCAGCCTTGGCTCGAAGATCCTCCAAGTCGAGATTACCATCGTTGTGAACTTTGACAGACACGACCTTGAGACCTGCCAACACAGCGGACTAGAAATCAAATAGATCAGCAGTGCCACAAACGGGGAGAACGTGAGACGTACGGCGGGGTTGGTTCCATGGGCACTGAGAGGAATCAAGCAGATGTCTCGGTGCCCTTCTCCCCGAGACTCGTGATAAGCACGAATGACGGAAAGACCGGCGTACTCTCCAGTAGCACCAGAATTGGGCTGCAAAGATGCTGAATGGAAGCCAGTGATCTTGCAGAGGTAGTCCTCCAATTCCTATGCGGGTGTCAGACATGGTCTACTCCAGAAAAAGAAGGCCAAATACCTTGATGATGACCTCATAACCCTTCACCTGATCAGAGGGCGCGAACGGGTGGACACCACCGAATTCAGGGAAGGTCAGGGGAATCATACTGCTAGTGCTGTTTAGCTTCATCGTGCAGCTACCCAGAGGGATCATAGAGTGCGCCAGGCTGAGGTCCTTGCCCGCGAGGTGATGAATGTATCGCAACATCTCGGTCTCTGAGTGATGCTTGTTAAAGACGGGATGAGGCAAGAACTCAGACCTTCGTTGGAAGCTTTCAGGAATGGAGACCTGCTGAGGTTCGGCGAGATCGGCCAGAGACACGCTCGGTTTCGAGGACGCGGATGCGAAGACATTGATGAGCCTGACCAATTCTTCTGGAGTAACGCTTTCGTCAAAGGTGACGCCCACGCGCCTGCTGTCGATTTGACGGATGTTGATTTTAGCCGCAGCTGCCGCCTTGTGAACAGCATCTGCGCTGGAGGTGGCCCCGGTAACATCCAAAGTCAAGGTGTCGAAGAAGACGGGGTTCTCGGTCTTGTAGCCCATGGCTTCGACCGAGTTTTTGAACACTTGGGTAAAGCCATGGACCTTGCGAGCAATCCTCTTCAAACCTTCGGGACCATGGTAGACGGCATACATTGCCGCCATGTTGGCCAAAAGGGCTTGAGCTGTGCAAATATTGCTGGTAGCCTTTTCGCGACGAATATGTTGTTCGCGAGCTGGTAACATTCGTGAGATAGGTAACACAAATGACAGCCAGGTTAGACTTACTCTGCAAAGCCAGTCTGTAGGCTGGTTTACCTTGAGCATCGCGGCTGAGGCCAATAAGACGGCCCGGCATTTTTCGCTTCAGCTTATCAGTGACGGCGAAGAACGCAGCATGGGGGCCTCCATAACCTGCGGGAACGCCGAAGCGTGCGGAATTGCCAACAACAATGTCCGCTCCCCATTCCCCTGGAGGGGTGATCTGGGTCAGGGCAAGAAGATCCGTTGCGCAAACAACGTAGCCCCCAGCCTTGTGGGTCGTGGCAGCAAGCGAACCCCAATCTTTGATGTTGCCGTCAACATCTGGGTATTGAACGAGCACACCGCAAAGATCCGATTGTATCTTTGGGTCCTCGACCAGCTTCGACGCGTCCCCGACGACGACGTTAATATTGAAGCCCTTTGCACGGCTTTCAACGACAGCCAGAGTTTGAGCGGCGATTCCGGAGTCGACAATGAAGGTCTTCTTCTTCGAGTTGGTGGAGACAAAAGACATGACCATTCCCTCTGCCGCTGCACTTCCTTCGTCGAGGAGGGATGCGTTAGCAATGTCCATCGAGGTCAACGACATGACCATGGTTTGGTAGTTGATAAGCGATTCTAGACGTCCTTGCGCGATTTCAGGCTGGTAAGGGGTGTATTGGGTATACCATGCGGGGTTTTCCATAACCTAGCAAAAAAGGTCAACTAGGAATGACAGTCGTACATTGCACGATATACCCACATTGCGCAAAATGACGGGTGGAACAACAGCGTTGTGATAACCCATTCCAATGAAGCTTTTATAGCCTTTATTCATCGCCCCAAGAGCTTTGGCGGTCGCATGAAGTTCCGATTCGCTCAAAACTGGGATGTTTTCGTTGGTGACGGACGTGTTGGAAATACGAATATGTTTGGGGACGGTGTCAGCAATGAAGGCATCCATGGAGTCGTATCCCAATTGCTTGAGCATTCTGGAGGTCTCGCCGTCATCAGGGCCGATATGCCTCTCCTTGAAAGTGTCCAATGGGGCGAAAAGCGAGGACGGCTGCTTGAGGCTGGCCAGACCTCTAGTCATTGGACGAACCCATGGCCTGAGGGGAATAAAACGAGCAAAACGGTGTACTGGACGTAGAGGAGCGACCATGGTGGAGAGTGGGGAAGGTGGGAGGTGGGGGAGGCCAAGGGAAGGTCCCTGGCTTTTGCTTGGTTTTGGCCATTCACCGAGTCAAGGCTTATCGACGTAATTATAGGCTGATTTCGGAAAATAAAATAAAACCTCACTAGAAGCAGAAATCAAGTCCAAAACGTCCGGGAAAAGGGCAAATAATTCACGAAAGGATTTTTCAGACTTGGGTATGGATTTTGGTGAAGACAAACTGTGGTCAACTCGTCAATTCCAGTTTTCGCTTGCGAACAGCGTCACAAAAACTTTTTCTCCCTCTCGTCTGGCTCGGAGCCACGGAACGCCGCTGCGAAGTTCTGCCGCGTGACGTCACGTCACGAGCTTTGACCCCGGAGCTCGGCAATTAAAGCCAGTCCATCCCCACACGCATGTCGAGCAAAGTCCAATACCTCTTCCGCACGGATTCTAAAGGTCGTAGTTAGAACAGGACCGACTTTCGGTCGTCAAAATAGCCTACTCACGGGGGCTCTAAGTCACCGGAAAACCTCTCATGAGGAATATGCAAACCATTCGACTCCAATTCTTCCATTACGACCTGCATCGCGTCGGACACCTTCCGTGAGGCGCCCTTGCTCGTTATCTTCTCTTTGTAGAATTCGGCCACATTGTAGATGTAGGCGAGTGCTTCGTTCCGACTTGGACTTCGAGAGACCGTCAAATTAGCTAGGATGTCTTGCTGTTTCTCCAGCGTGTCTCCATTGCGCACGAGTTCATACTTGCAAGGGATGAGCAAACCGGGAGCTACTGAAAGCAAAAAGACCTACAATAAGCTCGTAGCTGGCCTGGGGAGAGGGTAAATACACCTCTGAACAAGCGATTGCTGATGCTACAAATGATAGAGTCTGGACGCTTGTTAGCGTTCCTCGCCTTACATGTTTCAACTATTAACTCACATCAAGAACGAGCTGTTCAACCCCACCGGTCGTCACCAAGGCATCGAATTTGACAACCAGAAAGGAAAGAAGACCCAGGACTGAGACCCAAAGCTCTTTCCAGTGATAATCTAGAAACCGCTTCTGTAAGTCTTTAGTCTGTGTCGCGTTGCAAAGACGCACCCAGTCGGATTCGACGGTCTTGTAAGTACCAAACGATACGATGACAGATCCAGATACACTTGCTACGATGTACTGGTGAGTCCATTGAGAATAAACTGCATTGTTTGGTATACCCACAGATGTGACTGCGTCGATAACCGCCGATGTAAGTTATGGCGAAGCCACAGATTACAGCAATCAAGGACCTCGCAGGCAAGCTGTCGCCTAGGCGGGGGTATTGGCAGCTTAGGGAGCCGCTAAGAGTCCCGTTAGCCAGTGGGAATCATTTCCGGCTCAGAATGCACACCTGTCGACAGAGATTTACTCCAGAGGTTATCTTGGAGGTGAACACCTCCACGGCTTGCTCGCTCTCGACCAAAGTCAGGAGTGTGTCTAACGCAAGGTTTGCATACGAGCTCGTCCTTGGGTCAGTCGATGCTGATGATCCATGCGTAAAGAGATGCGATGCGAAACTGAGTAGAGATGCCAAAGGCGAAGAATTATGCGCTTTCGCCGGAGACGTGCTGTCTATTGTCTGCAACAGCGTCTGAACAAAAGCTCGGTTCCCTCGTACAAACTCATAAAAGGGTAGCAAGGAGACAGCAGACACTACAGGTCTGAGTTAGAAATCGTGTCATGGCCTTTAGCACAAGTCTGTTCGTCGTAAGCAAAGGTAGGATGGACTTACTGCGGCTTTCCTGGCTCGCCATTGGCGTTATTGGACCAAGCTGAATTCTGAGCTACAGTCGATATCAACCGGTCAGGTCGCAAGAAAGACATGGCGTTGGTAAAGGTGGAAGCGAGATTTCCGACGGAAACTTCTGTAGTGCATGCATCGGTGTATGCTCTATTCAGAGTCGAGGTCAGAGCATGCACATGCCCGCGAGTACCAGAAGAACCCACTTGGTGGCAACGTTTAATGACTTGCTAACCGTCGAGCACAGGCGTAGCATCACAAGCTCATCCTCGCACTCTTTTATCCGCTTTAAGTACGGATTCAGGCGAGCAGCGTCGGATTTGTGATAATTGGCTAGAATAGCCAAGAAGACAATTGCCTGTAAGGTATACGGCTCTGTCGCCGGTGTCTTGATGAACTAGGGGGGATATTTATTCGATGAGGATCCTATCCGAAACAGGGAGACACTTGCGTTGACAATAGCAGGGAACATATTCCTGCGCAAGAAATACGCGCCCGGGCTCAATTGACTGATACTGCAGACGAATACCAGACCCAATTCCAATGCCTGTTGACGCGTTTCCACTGGATATTTGCACATTTTTAAGTGATAAACAAGGGGAGAATAGGCGTAGAACCCACCTGGGGCATCGTTATCCCCAATGACATCGTTGAGCATGGCAGTAAAGTCCTGAATTGAAACGACATTAGTTCACCCCGTTCACCAATGGTGAGGCACGTCGCATAATACATTGAATGTACGGTCACTGTGCGCGACTGACCCCGCCAGCATCTCCATAATCTCCCATCCGGACAGACTCTGCGATAGGCAGGACTCGCAGACGGCAGTAAGAGTCTCCAATGCGTGAATCTTCTTGACGTCCTGGTAACCAGCTTTCCAGGCAACTCTTGTACAATAGGAGAACAGCAAATTCAATAGCGGCTACTAAGGTGAATACACATTAGAGACCGAATCGCGAGCAGCTTAGGACGTGTCGTACCTTTAACCTCCCAAGGTACACGTCCTTCGAGAGTGGTTTCAATTCAGAAGAAAGGTATTCTCGATCCACACGCAAATCGAGGAGATCGGAAATAAGTTGCTCAGGTTCACCGCTCTGGTGCAGTTGCTGAGGAGGGACGCCCTGAAGCAGTTTGGAGTAAATGGCGATAAATTTTGAGGTTATCGAAGGCGAGCGATAGTGGCCCTGCATGTCTGGACTAGGCAACTGTAGAAGAAGACGAACAAGCGGTGCCGGGCAGTAGTAAGCGCGCGTGATGCACAGCCTCTAATTCGGTCTCAGCGGACCAGACTAAGTACAAGGTACTGCCAACTACAGAAGTGCAAGAATAGCCGTAAAGCGACAAAGACAATCGAAGTTTGTATATATCGTCAATGTCCTGGAGTAACGGCTGCCAGCATCTCAATGACCCAGCCCATCAACGCTTCGTCCTTCACTCGTATATTGCTGATCAAATGACGAACATTCATAAATGCTTTCCTCCCTTTCCTCGATCCTTCGACGTCTGAAGCTAAGGTTTCAGCCTCTGCAGCGCCTGCTTCATCGTCGACAACTCCAGGGAAGCCAAAATGATCTTCGTCTGCTTTGGGAGCGGCCTCCACGTCCGCAAAAGCCGTTCTGAAGAGGATGCGGACGATTAAGAGGGCTGTGAGGCAATGAGAAGGTGGGTCGACGGTTGGGACTTGGAAGGAGATGACGGTGTTAGGCGGCGGCGGCACAGACCGCATCGTTGGCGTACTGTTTGCATAGTATGGGTCGTCGGCAGAAAGCGTGATTGTTTCGCTCTGGGATGGATGTCGCTGGAACGGTTGAGAAGGTGGTATATGCGTGAGGACGTGTGCTCGCAGTTGCTGAATCGAATTGAGAGTCTGGTTGCATGTTGACCAAGCACAGGGGAAGGTGTTCGAACCGGACGGTCCGATAGAGGTAAGGTGTTCAAGTAAGTGCTCTGCGAGCTCAGAGGGAGAAGGGAGGACGCCAGCGCTGCAAGAGCTACGGTCCCATAGGCATTGGTGTTTCTGATTTGGGTTCAGGTATTTCCTTCGGTCGATGCCCCGCACTACGAATCGCTGCACCTGGCCTGGGAGAACCATTGCTTGCGCCGTTGGATACACATGGGTGATATTTTTAATGACCTCGGAAGCACCCAACATTGGATACTTGTCTTGATGAGGGGAGAATGTGTCTTTATACATCGTCCAAATCTCGACTTGAGTCATTTCTCCCTCCGGTCTTGGAGTCAACATCAATCGCATCCTACGCAGTTTTAGGACAGGGCACTTGGAATCAAACGTATAGACGCACCAATCATAACACCGCTGCGGCTCTGGTTTCGGCAGAACCTCCTCCAGCTCCTCCTTCGTCAGCTCGTAATCCCGCGCGGCAAGGGCGTTTGAGGCCACTGTATGAGACGGTCTCGTGATGTCAATATTCACTTTTTCTTCCAGGTGAGCCTGCTCGGCCAATAACAGTGAGCAGAGCACCTTCAGTGTGTTTGGCAGTTGTGGGTCCAACAAGAAAGCCCTTGCGGCAGAGGGGTTGGAGATGTGGATGTAGATGTGCTCCAGCGCTGCCTCCAGCAGCGGTTTATCCACAAAGAGGGGAAGGTAAAGAATGGCTGTCGAAAGCGCACCGGAAGCTTTGGAAAGGTGGAATACATTGGATGGATGAGACAAAACAGCATTGAGGCCCAGGAAAGCGGAAATGACCAAGCTTCGGTTTTGTGATTTGGATACAATCCGGTTCAAGGGAATTATTGGATTTAGAGAGTCGGGGACGGAAGGGATGATGACAAGGTTGGGTGCGAGCACTTGAAAAACGTCGAGGATATGAAGGAGGAATTCTTGGTTTGGGTCCTTTGTAAAGTCGAGATTCTCTAGCGCTTTCAGGATGAGGGGAAGGGAGTGCGAGTGTTGGGCGAGTTCCCGTGCATTATGGTCATTTAAAACTGCGTTGCGCATGATAAACATGGACTCCATGGCATAGCGATATCGGGAGGCATGTTCGGGAGGGGGGGAAAAGAGAAGGTTGTCGTCGGTCGCGTATTTGTATCCTTCAGTCACGTACCACTCCGGCCAGTCGAACAAACCGTCGATGAGACCAGGGTAGGAGTTCAAGGAGAACTGTTCGTTGTAGGCCAAGCGGCATAAGCGCTCCAGAGCCCATGAAACTTCCGAGTGAATTCCGGATCGCAGGGAAAGAGACATTCTGTTTGTCGAGCTTGTTTCTGTATACCATCCTTGGAGAACGTCAGGAAACAACACGGCTGGCGCAAAGAAGGAGACGTACGTTCATAGTCATCCCTTACATTCGCTACAGGCCTCGGAGCAGGTGCTGCGGCCTGAGTTGGTCGATAGTAGTAACTGGCTGCCATTTGTGGCACTGTCCTGTTAATGAACGTGGCCATTGTGGTCTAAAGTTGCTTCCAAGGTTGTCGGTGTTCACGGGCGCATTGGTACGGCTTGAGATGGTAGGAACTTGGCAAACCTGCAACTTGCCTGCAACGGACCCAAAATTCGCGTTCACAAGTCATGCGAAAGGCACGTGCGCCAGTCGTCACGCGTCACGCATTGCACTTCATGAGCACAGTCAGGGGTTGGTCAGGGCCATGACATCTACTATAGTAAGATAGCTAAAGTCAAACAGCATCTGAGCTTCCCAGTTGACCCGAGAGGCGATTCTCCTCTTTCCATTTCCTTGCCCACTCCTGTCCATATGCTATTTCATCGGGATACTCCAAACTCATTTCCGGGGAGGGAACAAAGCGTCCAAATCCCTCTTTACCACGGGGAAACTCCACCTTGCCAAAATATCTAGGGAGATCAGGAATATGGTTCAGTAAGATCTCTCCCAGCTCCGCGTCAAGTGAACGTGGCTTGATGTTCTCCTCTGCAACGTAGTACGCTATATCATTGGGAATCAGGTATCATCAATACAGGAATAAAGGGCCCCACTCACTGTTGAGAAGGCTTCGGGGATTGAGCTCGTTGACGGAGAATACGTGGTAAAACGGTTGACTTCTTCCTCCCGCAAGCGAATCTACGTCCATGTTCTCGATCCATTCCTCTGGTGCTTCACACTTAGGCTAGTTTCAAAGTAAGTCTACTTGCCAACGCGATGGAGACGACCACTCACTGTCCACCCAAATATCACGCCTCTGTAATTGTATTTGAGGTGGTTCATGGCCATACCGACGAAGTACTTTGGCCTGCTTGACGAGGCCCGTCTCTTGGGTGCATCCAACGCTGCGATCTTGCTTTCCTCTTGCTGTATTGCCTTGACACAGTGTTCATTGAAAGCAGCCTGATGTTCGTCATTCAGCTTGGGCAACAGGTTTCGATAGAGAATAAGGCAATCGACGAGGGGCAAATTTGACAGATTTCGATACACAAAAGTATCGTCGGTGAGCACGAGTCCCACGTAGAGAACCGCCATTATTGCAGCCTGCCGATCATGGGAATCGATCGTCGGGTCGACTTGGATAGAGTTTAGAATGTTATAGGATGACCGCTTGAGCATTGGGACTGGATTGGTACACGGTCGCAGTATTGCGTCGTTTGGACCTGGGAATACAGGAAATGGAAATGCAGCATCGCTTTGCCATTCGGGGCGATTATTCATGACTGCATTTTCTGCATTGCCCGTCCAAAGGTTTACGATGAGGGGCGGAGAGTCGCTGCCGGTTGGAACGTATGCGATGATGGTACCGGGGAAGTTGATGGGGTAGGCTTGGATCCCAATCTGTCTGCATAGTGAGACAAAGACATGGATTAATGACATAGCGATAGTAGCCCTATGGGTGGTCAAGTATGCATGCGGAAACTTGTTAAGGAGTTGGTGAAAAGAGCCCTCTGCAAGGTAAGTCCTAGTGTAAGCCGAGCAGGTCCTGTTTTTACAAAGAGAAATTCACCCATCGCAGGAACAAATCCTTGACATCTCATGAAAGTACAGATGTCCACGCAAATTTCCTCGAGATTGTAATTTGGGTCTCCGGCATCCAGCACCCTTCCTTTGCGGAGAAGGTCCTGCCTACAGCCATCGCCGAGTTCTGCCAGCCTATCGCTGATCTAAATAGCGTCGCTCTCCTTGTTAGTAGTGTTATCGACATGGTCTCACAGTATGACCTACATCCTCTTTCGGAATACCAAAGAAGGAAGAGAAATACGATAGGGTGCGCTCGAATCCCATCGCTTCTTCGGGCTTTGGTGAATGTGCCATGCTTAACCAGGCGGAAAGGGCGTCCTGTTTTGTGATGCCTGTGAGAAGGATATCTGCCCAATATCTTTTGGAGAGAGGGTAGGGACCGAGGTGCTGGGAATTGGACTTGTCCAATACGCAGGCCGTGCGTATTTCCTTCAAAATGAAGGAAAACATGTCCCAGACATCCATTCCCAGGCATAGGACCTCCCGAACGGCATCCATTCTCGAGTGTGGGCGTTCGATAACACCTCGCAAAAGGGCAAGGGCCTTCTTGTCCAGACGTCCGCGTGTGGCGTAGAGCTCTTTCCAATCGTCACTGAAGCGCAACTTTCTCTCCCGATCCTTCTCTTCGTCTGAATGGCGATAGCGAACTCGGTAATGCGGCTCCCACAGCGATGAGAGTGACGCTGCTTCACGAAAGAGCTGGTTCGTGGCCAAACAACTGACCAGAGTAGCGACCGATGGACTGTGACAACTTCGCTCTATCGGAAGGGATCGTAGTATGTTGACGATGATGTCTAGGGGAAGGTGTGGAAGACTCATAGCGATGATGGTGGTAGTAGTTGAAGGGAAGCAAGATCGTAGTCTTAGCCATAGCCAGTGACTTCAGCTCCCTCACGTCATTACACGTGACACTTTCAGAGACTGTATTCCAAGTTGGGATCACTGCAGCAACTCTCCGTCAACGCAATGTATTCAGAAAGAAAGAATACTTCGCTATACAACCGGATATACATGCGATCCACCAAGAATTAGTCATCGTCGTCACTTTCTCCCTCCTCGTCCTTGTACAAGACGTATAATTGTCTTCGACTAGAATCGCGGGTCTCGGGCCGACTGGCAACATCGAACAGTGCTCTCCGCAGCTGCTTTCGTAGGTCTTCTCGAGATAGAGGTTTTTCAGAGGACGGATCTCGTAAACACGAGTTTGCTATCACGGCGCTCAAGTCATCGTCGTCGAGACGCGCTCGTTTCCTCGGGCGTCCGTCGTCCTCTTCATCTTGCTCGTCCGACTGGGACGATAGAGAGACAAATAACGGGCGCCAAAGGGACGATTCGACTCGTTTGAAAGTCAATTTTGAAGTTGTCTGCGCCGATAGTGTGAAGAAGGGTTCGAGGATGAGAAGGAGAGGTATGGGGTGTAATTTGTCCGCTTCCGTCGCTTTCCGTTGAACCTTTTCAAGCTCCTCGAGATATATATCCGCAAGGTGGTACGAAAGACTTGTTGGGACCTTGATATCAACCGGGCTAGAAATGTCGTTCGTTTCGTGGTTAGTGCGTTGAACTCATGCGAAGGGACCTTTCAGACGCACCACAAAGGACCGCCAGCCTTGTTCAATATTTCAGTATACTGCTCGATTATACTCTTATCCCATTTCGCCCTCTGCAGTAACCGGAAAGAGGCATTAACGAATCTTCGAACGAGCATGTAGTATTTGTCTATCCTGCTCTCCAAAGTTAGATGCTGTAAGAGAGGACCCACGGGGACATACCTCAGTCTGTCGATTCCATTCCATTCCCTGACAATAGTCTCCCAAAAGCCACGGAGGAAGGCAATGGATTCATTATTTGAAGGAATGGTGAGCAGGAGCTCCGCGAGTTCTGAGGCAAGCCCTTGTTGGACTAGAGGTTTATCTGACATCCAGAAACCTAAAAAACAGGACATCAGAAAGAAATGGATTCGAAAAGACGACCTGACACACAGTAGAATATTCCCTTCCACAGTTTGTCCATGTCGGGCTTGGAGATGGCATTTTCTCCAGACTGAGAGAGAAAGGCTGAAAGGTTCTTGATTGCCTTGTCTCTCGTCTTTTTATCTGGTGAAAGGGATAAAAACGCGTGAAGGAATGCAGAAGACTGGAGTCTTACACACCAGTTGAGGCCAATACCTTCCCTAGAGGAAGGCTTGTCGACGCCGTAGCCATTTTGATGAGTGTTGAGGTCGAAGAAACTCTTCGCTTGGCGCTCAGAAATTCCATGTCCGGATAATCAGTTGCTTGGCACTATGTGCCGTATTGGATACAGTGGTGGCACAGCGTGATCTTCCTCTCCATCTCGACCATGAACAAGTCCCCAATAACCTGCCACAGTAAGAGCTATATAGGTTGAATACTCCTCGGTCTGATGAGTTTCAGTTCTCGACGCATCGCTTGGTAGGCCAGCCGAGGGAGTGGAGATTCGCTTGCAGCGTATCGAAATAGCCGCCGACGGTACGATGGTGGCACACCCACTAGCACAAGGGTATGTGCAGCGCTCTTGCGATATCCGTTACACAGAGAGAGGGCTGAATGGCCTAGCTCTACCAACTCCGATGGTCGCTGCGTCGACCTATTGCCCGTAAAGGGATCACAGGAGGAGCAGGAACGAAATACAGCCCTGCAGGGCGGCCAAACCTACAAGATCGTCTTCAGGACGAAGGAGTACTTTGAGAAAACGGGAAGGACATCCTTCTATCCTTGGGTAGAGGTACGCTTTCCCCGCCTCATGCTGTCACTAGCATTCCCATGTGTTCCAGATTCCTTTCACAATCCAGAAACCAGAAGAGCACTATCACATTCCATTGCTAATCAGCCCGTTCTCATTCACAACGTACCGAGGAAGTTGATAGCCAGGCGCGCAGGCAGGTGTATTAGGAGTGTATATAGGAGACAGCAATGCGTCCATGAAACACGATTATGCTCCAGGCTGTATGATCTATTGTGAATATATCCACAATGAGCAATTGAGAATAGTGAGCGTCAGGCGTGTAAAATGATAATGTCAATAGAAAGCAAACATAGCCAGATAGCGATGGAGGGTGAGGGACCATGAAGAGGGATCATCGGGCGAGGACATTGTCGTACTGGGTGCCCTTGATGTACTGCCCTCTCATCGATGCCTTCACATTGTTGATAAACTGCTCTCGGTTTCGCGTCATTTCCAGTGCAGCATCTGTGGAGAGGGACGTCAGCAAACGGACACATTTTTATGTCAGAAATTACCAACCTTTATTCAGTGGGTCATCTGGGTTCGGTTCCAGGAAGAGGTACTGCAGGCCGACCATTACGGAGTTGAGGTTCAGCACAGGCTTCCAGTCCTCTCGCAAGATGTTCAGGCAAACATTGCCTTCGAGGTCAACGTTCGGGTGGTAGATCTAGAAAAAACAATAAATGAGCGTGCGACGACGCGTCAGGAGGGCGCCACAGCTCACCGTTTGCGTGCACTTGACCTTTGGTGGGTCGTGGGGGTAGTTGGTGTTGATTGCGAAGGAGAAGTTGAAAGCGCCACCCTTGTACATTCCTGTGATAGATAATTGAGCCTGGGCACTTATAATGTAGAGGGGGAGAGTGCCGACCTTCATCGGGGGTAATCGTTAAGGTGAAGTTGAGCAGATCAGCGGGATCGGGGAAATGTGTCTTCATCGTCGACGGTAGGTCGAGTTCAGTCAAATCTATGCATTTGAAAACCCGTTCAGTGTCGTGGAATGACCAAGACAGCATACACTGCGCACCTTTCTGTACTCGAATCTGAGCGGCACTCGTCTTGGGCTTCTTCTTCGCCGCTGCGTCCTCATTCTTCTTCATACTCCAGATCTGTGAAGTCCAAATTTGTGAGCATTAAGGAGAATTATACCAGACATTGAACAGACCTTAATCATTGTGTCCTGAGTGGTAGTGGGTGAAGGCGTGTAAGTCGTGAGTCAGGGTCGAGGTGGTGGTTCGCCAGAAAGCTATAAAGAAGCCCTAGACGGTCTGTCAATCCGACTCACTCGCAGCCGGTGTGGCTGTGCCACCAGGCGCTAATTAGTGCATTGACAAAATTGGTCCGCGCGAAGCCACATGCTCAAACTCAAGAAAGTCAATCGCAGCCATATGGCAAGCCAAGCAGCTGCCAGAAAGACATAAAGGTGTCTTCCGATTAGACCCTTTCTTCCCACTACCACTATGACTGTCTACACTATGGTTACCACTGACCTCCCAGTCATCGACCTCGATGTCTATCGCACACAGCCTCGCGATTCTCAGGCCGTTCTCGACGAATGCAAGAAGGCAAGCTGTCATCAGCCTATTGTACAGACTTAATTTTGATCTGCTTGAACATAGGCTGCAGATGCGCTGATTACCTATGGTGCCCTCGTCCTCCACGATTCTCGGGTTTCTGAGGAAGACAACAACACCTTCCTCGATCTCGTCGAGGACTATTTCAACCAACCCGATGAAGCCCTCAGGAAAGACGAGAGACCAGAACTCAGCTATCAGGTTGGCGTAACCCTCGAGAACACCGAAAAGCCTAAATGTGCAGTGCACGAACCATGCTTGCATGTTATCCAGCGTTTGGATCCTTCCGAGCGTCCTCTCGATATCACCGGCCACTCTCCTGATCCCAAATGTCGCTTCTTCTGGAAAATGAGCGAGAAGCCTCCATACGAGACACAGTTCCCGGGTTTGAATGCCCCGAACGTGGTCCCCGAGGCGGAGTCCCTCAAGCACCGATGGACACCTACCATGGAGAAGTGGGGTAACGCCATGAAGAATGCGTAAGTTCTGTCGGTTTCTGACGTTGGAGCGGGAGAGGGATTAACTTTGTACGCAGCGTTGCAGATCTTACCGAGATGGTCGCACTAGGCCTGGGTCTCCCTGCTCTCACTTTCAGGGACAAGGGCCGATATGGGCCCCACCTCCTCGCCCCCACCGCATCGGATTTGAGGAAGCATGGCAAGAAGGACGCTATCTTGGCAGGGTTCCATACCGACCTCAACTTCCTCACCATCCACGGCCGTTCGCGCTACCCTGGCCTGAACATCTGGGCACGTAACACCGGAAAGAGAATCCCAGTGAGGATTCCGCCAGGCAACAACCTGTTAGTCCAGGCCGGGAAACAGCTCGAACACATTACTGGTGGTTTAATCCGCGCCGGATACCATGAAGTGGTCGTGAACGATCAGACTTTAGCTGTGGGTTCTCTTTCATGAATCTTTGACCTATGGGGAGTGCTCACTGTTCGCCAGGCAATCGAGAAACGAAAGGCGGAACACCCTGATCGTCCTCTCATCCGAATTTCCTCTACTTTCTTCTGGCATCTTTCCTCCGACGAAGACCTTTTCCCAATCCCTGACCTTCTGGAGAAGGCTGCTGCTTTGCGGGACGAACAAGAATTGCCCACTGTCTACGCGCCAATGAAAGTTGGCCAACAAGTGCAAGCGTGCGTTCATCGCCGACTGAGTTACCAAAAGTTTTCATACTGACAACGGACGCAGAGAGTTGAAAGACATTGCCCTCATGGCTGATGCTTAATTGCTAACGTTAAATCTACAAGCCAGTGTATCAACTTTACCTAAAACTTTAACGAGGTCACATCAATAATGTGTATGAACCCGGGTCGTTGAAGATACCAGTCCCAAAAAATCAATAACGGGCATTGTTGAATGCCCCAAACGTCCGTCATAAAGGAGCCTCCGCTTCTCCTCCGTTCACAAAATTGGTGATGTGACAACCAAATGACTTCAGGACGCTCTGAAGCTTAACCTCCATCTCGTCCCATTCTGCATCTGGATCAGACAGGGCAGTGATGGCACCGCCGGCCCCGATCGCCCACTCTTCGGTTTTGTCTTTGGACGAAGATCTATCGTCGTACTTGAAGCAGCTGCGGATGGTCACAGACCAATCGCCCCCGCCTCCGATGTCCCAGTACCCAAAGACACCAGAGTACACTTCACGCTCGGCACCTTCGAGGTGCTGGAGGATTTCGACACTCCGTTTCTTGGGTGCGCCTGTCATACTGCCTAGAGACAAGATGAGCAACCCTGCCACCGATACTAGTGCCAGTCACACGTACCTGGCGGTAGACTGGCCTTGAGAACGTTCCAACCCAGCTCCTCCTCGACAGACACAGACGGGTCTTCCTTGCCCTCAATGACAGAAACAAGTTGCCAGACGGTCTCGTACTCTTCAACGCCACAAAACTTTGAAACAACAACGTTGTCCCCCACCACTCCATGTAGATCATGGCGAATCAAGTCGACGATCATGAGGTTTTCGGCAACCTCTTTGGGACTTCCGGCTAGCAACTGAGTAGCCACTTCCCGAGTGATCCCTGGGCCCTTGCGGACTGTGCCCTTGATAGGTCGTAGCTGGCACACAGAATGAGGTGGACGGGAGTAAGAGAGGAAGCGTTCAGGCGAGGATGACATGAGGGTGGTCGGGTGAAGGCGAATATAGGCGGAATGGGGCGCCGGATTCTTCTCCCGTAGTCGCAGGTATCGCTCCCAAGAAGTCGAGGTGGTTGAACCCTTGCTTTGCTGATGCGGTATCAAAATCTTGGTCTGAGCGGTGAGGCAGAGCTCGTAAGAATCTCCAGAATAGAGGTATTCCTTTGCCTGCTTGATCTTGGAGATGTATTGATCTTGTTCTGGGAGAATGACCTTGGAAACTGGAGGCAACGAGATGCTGGATCGTCGTCTCGGTTGAGGTTGAGCGAGGATGGAAAGGTCCTTAGACATTTGGTCCATCCAATCTTCATCACTGGGGAGCAGAGACTGGATGTGGGCTTTGCCTGTTTCGTTGTCGAACACTATGCTCCTCTCCACGTAGACCAAGTTGACATCTGGGTGGCGCCTGTCCTTGCGGTGTATCAGAGGAACGTGGAGAGTGGGAAGGCCGGATTCATAGCTGAAGTATCCAATGAAGCCACCCCAGAAGGGAATGGCAGGGTCGCCTTTAGGGCCTGACTTTGTCCTGATGTAAGACGCCAGCCATTGCCAAATATCTTGGGAGCCTAATAGCTCGGAAGCGGTCTGAGACCCTCTGGTGAGAGTCACGAATGGATCACCAACATAATGCGTGATGTGCAGTGAATTGGGGAGCAAACAGCCGATGATCGAAAATCGTCCTGGGTTGGAGGCGGAGTCGAGGACGACGAACTTGGATCGTTCATCCAGTACACCTAGGTGCTCACAAACGGCGGGAAGTGAGGTGATGGGCAAATTGACGGCGCGGCTGAGGACTGAGGCGAGGGATGGTGTCGTGCTAGGGCGCTTTACGCTAAAGGAATGGTTGTAGGGCCACAATGCCCCGACTTCGTTTTGAATAGAGGGGTTCCAGGGGGTAGGTGCCCGCCCATTGTTCTTCGACCACTCCTGGCACAGAGTCCAGAAATTACTGAGAACCTTCCATCCGCCTCCTTCGGTACGAACCGATTCGGGGTGGTATTGGACGGCCCAAAAGGGGAGTCGGGTGTGTTTGACAGCCATGACAACATGTCCATTCTCTTCTTCATCAACCCATGCCAGTTCTTCGACGGACCCATCCGAAGGAAGGGCAACATGCAGCGAGTGGTATCGAACGGCATGGATTTCCCCGACATCCTGGAAGATTTCGGACGGAACATGCTCGACTTTGGAAATCTGGCCATGCTTGACGGTGTGGAGCCTTTTCAACTCCCCTCCAAACTCCAAAACCAAGCTCTGGAGCCCGAGACAGACGCCAAAGATGGGGAGGACGTGCTCGCTGTCCAACTTCCAGAGATCACGAACAATCCCAATATCCTCGGGTTTGCTGGGAGATCCTGGGCCTGGCCCAACGATGATTGCTGAAAAATATTGCAGGTTGGGCTTCACTGCTTCCAAAAACAGCTCATCGTTTTTTATGATGTGGACCGAGCAATTGGGAATCGAGCGACGGCACAAAGCTGCAAGACTAGATTAAATGAGCTACTTGTTGAGAAACCATGGATTAAGAACTGACTTGTGCGTGAATGAGTCGTACGAATCGACGAGTAAGATTCGGGGACTGGCAAAAGTCATCTGGCGGAGACTATCGTCGCTGAATGTTGAGTAGAAACAAGCCTCCACATGTAAAAGGTAGGGGCATTATGGCGAATTTAGAGAGAGATCATGAAATTTGTAAAAGTCATGAGGAAGCTCGATTTGGTCGAATGACAAACAAACGAGCTCATCCACCGACCACGATCACGATGGCTACATCATCCGCCATTAACCGCGACTTTCAACGGGTACGCGTTGAAAAGCGTGCATTGCCTTCATCTCATTGACCCAGAATCCTTCAGTTCAAGGCTGTCTGCGTTCCTATCCTTGGATCAGCCAAGTTGACACCCAAGTCAATCCCAACCGTCTCATCGCTGCTCTCAACGCTCCTTCAGTTGCTTCGCGAAACAGACAAGGCCAATCTCAATGAATCGTTCATTGCCTACATTTTCTTCCCCTTGAAGGGCATATTCGAGAGGAACGCATCGGAAGAAATCCCAGATCAAGTCCTCGAAAAGCTGCTCCTCTGTCTCAGCATCCTTTGCGACGTGTGGTGGTGGACGTGTGCCCCAGAGATATGGAAACAATTGTTTATCCTATGTGGATCGGTCATTGGGGGAATGGAGGCCAAGGGGAAGGCAAAGGCAAGGGATGATGAGACCAAAGAAGCGGCGGTCCAGTGCCTCAATTCACTCATTCGCCAAAGGAGTCCACAGGACGCGATGGCCCTCGGAAAGCCGGTCGACGTTGCACAGGACCGCTTTAATGAGCTTCAAGATTTTGCGTCGTCACCCCAGTTCATCCCAATCCTCGGTCAGACACTCGATTACATCCTAGGCGTCACACTCTCCCCTCGACTATCATTGCAGCGCTCGTCCATCGACCTGCTTTACTCCGTCATCGAAAACTACGCGCCTGAAAGGATGATCCCCACTGTACTTCCCGGAGTTGCTAGTGGAATGACAAAGGCGTGTTTGGGTGCGTCCGGGAATAAGGGTTGGATAAATGGTGAAATTGTTGCCGCTGCCCTCAAGGTGCTTCAGGTGGCGATCGTCAAGGCCATTAGCGACGATGTATGTATGAGAGAAGGGGCGCTACCGCGATTCCAAGACCTCGAAGACCTTGTCAACTTCGGAAAGGACAACGCAAGGCCTGTCGACGATACTAAATCTACACCCCTGGTTGCTCGAACGCAGGCCTGGCTTCGGGCAACAGCCTCACAATTACACATCGCCATCAACTCACTCAGCCCTCTCGTCAAGCATCCTACACCATCCGCCATCTATGGCCTCATCGACTTTTCAACGGAAGTTCTGTCATCTACGACTCTAACCCTACCCCAAACGCAGCCCCTACTGTTATCATTCCTTCTCTCAGCAGCCAACTCCGAGTATCCCAAAATAACCACCAAGGCGGTTGACTCGCTGAAGGGCCTCCTGGCTATGGCCAATGCCGGTCCCGCCTTGATGCAGCAGCTCGCGCAAATGACTACCGACAACATGTCCGCCCTTCCCCGCCTCCTTTCGAGCCAATCGGATGCCCGTATCCAACATGTCGCTGAGATGATCACATCCGTCTGCAAACTCGGCGCTTCAGACTCGGAGAATAACATCGTCTCATCCATTTCCAAGGTCGTTGGAAAGCTTCTGGGACCGACAGGAGGAGTTGAGAAGTGGGGTTGGAGTTTGCTGGCCGTCCTCGAACTCGTGAACCCATCGGTCACCGTAACCCACAACTCGTCCGCCCAGCTCATGTTGGAGAACAACCCTGAAACTTCTTGGGTGCCATTCCCCGAGCTGTTTTTCAGGAATGTCGCTTCACACGAGACGAGGCGTTCGTTGGAGACCATGTTACGCGCACTGGGTCAGGTAGGAGGCGACGCATGCCTGTTTTCGGTCGAGTGGTTTATCGACGTCGGTCGCTCGGGCACCACTTCTCGGTCGGTGGCAGCGATGTGGTGTGGTTGTCGAATTCTGGAAGGGATATCCGGACTTGACTTGTCCTCGGAGAACTCCCTTGACAAGCTTGTCCTTCAAAGGAGCAAACGACTGGAGAAGCAAGTCCGAGCGCTCGCACGAAGTATCGCAGAACTGTGGGACAAGTCCGATTTCGAGGAACTGGATCAAGAAGCGAGCCCCCAGCCCAGACCGCCTAATGAACACTTGGAACTCGACGTTCAGCACCAAAAGGGTCTTGTTCCACTCGACGAAACGCTCAAAATATTCCGCAATAAGCCCACTCCAGACACGAGGATAGTAAACCAACCCATGCTCCACCGAAGTCTTTGCCTACAACTAATTGCTATTGCGGCCGGAGTGCTTCAAAGCCGTTTCGACTCGGTTTTTATCTTCATCCTCTACCCTATCCTGCATTCTATCGTTTCCCCGGCCTCGTTCCTGTCGTCCTCTGGATTTGCAGCATTAAACTATGTCACCATCGCCACATCTTACGCCTCTCCCGCTAACCTACTCCTTTCCAATTTTGACTATGCCCTCGACTCGGTCTCGAGACGACTCACAAGACGGTGGTTGGATATTGACGCAACCAAAGTGTTAGTTGTCCTCATTCGCCTCGTCGGCAGGGATGTAGTAGACAAGGCAGGCGACGTGGTGGAGGAATGTTTTGATCGTCTTGACGCCTATCACGGCTACGGTATTATTGTCGATGGGCTCATCGAAGTTTTGGCAGAAGTCCTGAACGTTATCGAAGCAGATGTAAAGGCGAATCCAGCTGCGCAGCCTGCACGCGAAGAAGATACACCGTCAAACCAACACCAGCAGCTGACCTGTCTTGATGAATTGCTCGCCTGGCTACCAGTCCGAAGCATGGTCAACCTGGATGCAGACAATACCGACTACGGTCCGGCTCCTCGCAAGGCTTGGGGCAAGCAAAAGGCCGAGGGTGAAGAAGATTCTGACGACGAACCAGTGGATAGCAAGCAGCCGGAATCCGAGGCGCAACCTGAAACATCAAGCCAGCAGCTCACGAAACAGATTATCTCGCGATCACTCTATTTCCTCACCCATGAATCCCCCGTCATCCGCGCTCGCATCCTAACCCTCCTCAAGCTTTCTGTCCCTGTTCTCCCAGAATCCTCTCTACTTCCTTCCATCCACAACGCGTGGCCATTTATTGTCAACAGGTTGGCTGACCATGAAACCTTTGTGGTCAGCGCCACAGCAAGCCTGGTTGAGGCTCTCGCTGTGCATGTCGGAAGCTTCATGTATCGAAGGATTTGGGACGAGATTTGGCCGCGATTCCAAACACTCCTCAAGCAGCTCAAAGCTGCCGACTCTGTCAACGCTCTCGCTAGGCGGACGAACTCCGCTGTCGGCACCGAATCTGCATATACTCATTCCCATCGACTCTACAAGTCCATCATCAACACTATGACCGCGGTTATGCATGGTGTGCACGTTCGAGATTCCTCGTTTTGGGATGCACTGGTCCTTTTCAGGCGGTTTCTTGGCCGCCACGTCCACGAAGAATTACAGCTGTGTGCAACCAACTTCTATCTTGCGGCTGGAAAGAAGAACGAAGATGCTGTGTGGCTAGTCCTTGAAGCATCCGTTCGGGATATTCCTCCTGTCATGACGTTCATGCGCGACGATCAGTGGCACATTGAAAGCAACGCCAAATGCATCTTGGCCCAGTTGGGGTCTAGATAGCGATGGCGATATTCGTTTCATCGTTGACAGGTGGGAGCCGGAACGTATTGTTGGGGTCATATCGTCGAAGTTCGACACCAGACTCTCGGAAGAGTTCTGCGGACGCGTTGTCCCTGTGGGTTTGAGTGAATCGATGACACCGGTTGAAGTATCGGCGGGGGCGTACATCTTGTAGGCTAGATTATAGACGACGGTTTTCACGCCAGTCTGTATAATCTTGACAGTACACTTCAAACACGGGCAGCTGTATATTTCTTCAGATTCTGAATTGTACGGTAATGGGGAATGGTGAAGAACGTACGTATTACAGTACAACACTGCATTTTGCCCGATTCTCTCTCGTCCGGCCTCGAGGAGTGCATTTTCCTCAGCGTGAAGGCAGACACATTCTACGGCAGATGATTTCGATGGCCCCGCGGCATTGCAATGGCTACAGCCACCTTCATTGCAGTTGTTCAGCCCTCGAGGTGTTCCGTTGTACCTAGAAGCGCTGGTAAACGTAGTGTTGATGGCGAAGGCGCTGGGCACCTCACCCTGTTGCGATGACACGGTTTTCGCGGACCAGGACTGCGCCGACGCGACGTTTCATGCAATTAGATCGGCGAGATGCAAGAGAAGCGAGGGTCTAAAAAAAGATCGCGTCAACAAGTAAAATCCTGCGATAGGGGCTATGGATTACCATAAAATAATCATCCCAGCTTGGTCGCAGATGCTGAGGGTTTGTCAGGTCAAGATCATCCAAGTGGGTGAACAGTCCTTGTATAGAAGAGTATGAATTCGTGATGTGAATGTTAATAGAGTCTCTCAAATCATGTAAGGATGACTCTTTGTGGAAGGAATTGGAACCGCCGAAAACCAGGCGATCGTCCTCGCGGATGAAAGCTTCTAGACCAAAGTTCTGGAAACTGGGTTACCCAGAGTGAGTTTTCACGGGTTTTTAGATATCACCAGGGACGCACTATTGTGATCTTCGAAAACGATCCAGCAGAGGCGCGTCGACAGAAATCAACATGAAGAATGGTCTTCGGATGAAGATGTCCACTAATTCCTTGGTATTCAGATCGCTGGTAACAAAGTTTTCTCTCCAGTTGACCGTAACATAGTCCAGAAGGTCGTTTGGGGATGAGAAGCACAGGGGTTTGGACATTGAATGGTTCATTAACGCGTTGGGAGATGCGGTTGGCGCCGGGGACGGTAAAGGGCTCATGGACAGAAAAGAGTCGTGCCGGTTGGGCGCTGCGCGATGGCCATTAGTTTGAAGGCCCAGCGAATCAAATCGCCTAGAGATGGCGTGTATCTTGTTCCCCGAAGCATAAGCCATTCCCCTGTTGCCTGTGGATTCTACACTTTTTCCCACTTACCGAAATGTTACCCTCGAGCACCGATTCCCCATCGTTAGGTTCTATCAGACGGACTGGTGTGAAGTGTTTGTGGTTGATCAGGTATTCCTCGACGGTCGATTTTCCAGCAAAACGCGTTCCAACGATGGCGATGAACATGGCTGTTTGTTTGAACACAAAAACAAGAAGTGCTCTGCATCAATTCGGCTGTTGTCCAATCCTGCCGCTTGGTGATGGACAAGTGAAATACATGTATACTCCCATACCCACTGGCCAATCTCAAATTTCGATTTTAACGAGAGGTGGAAATTATTTTGTTTTGCATTCCTGGTCTAGTTACGACAATCTACTTTTTGGACTGTGTCCTTTCTTTCTGCCTCTGTTTGGCCGCCATTCTTCCCTGCAGCCTCTTCTCTCTCGCGGCCTTCATATCCTTGGGCGCAGAAGTTTTGACATGCTTGATGTGCGTTGGTATAAGTTGGGTCGGGACAGCCGACGGTGTCAACCAAGAAGCTGTTAAAAGAGGGACCGACTCCAGGCGGGCTGCAAGTTCAGGCAAACCAGGATACTGAGCCTTCGTATTTCATCAGCACAAGCCAAAAGAAAGTGAGCGAGGGAACTAACATCTATGGCAATGATCGACGCGCTCCGGATCCCCAAACTTTCAGCTAGCCTTTGTTCTGAGTCCTTAGGCAGAGGTACCAGTTTGACGAACTGCTTGCCTGTAGCAGAGTTACATGCTGCTACGAGCGGCGGGAGATGGTCGATGAGAATAGACGGGTTCACTTCTGCGCGACAAGCAAATACATAGGCGATAGGCGGTTTCGTCTCTAACGACTGGTCTTCCGGAGGTCGCGCAAGGACAATTCGACGGACTTGACGGGCCTGGTGTTCCAACCGTTTGGTGACCGCATTTATACCGAGCACCATGTGTGCCATAATCGTAGGCTTTGGTGGAAGGGTGACATCTGGCAAGATAACTGCATCTTCCATCTCTTGATCCTTTTGCGATGGTTCCGCCTTGCCAGCGTCTAACGTTCTCTTCTTGTTGGATTGCGCTGCTTTCTCCGCCCGTTTCCTTTTGCGACTCAGTCGACAGTGTTCCCTGTGGCAGCTTGCAACGCCATCCAGGAGAGTGAGAAGGTAGGCAAGCACGGCATTCTGGAGGTTTAATGGGACAGATGGCCTATTCTGTCGCAGTCAGACCCGTTCCGGTACAAGGTGAATTGGAGTTACCAGCGAACGCGGAAAGGGTTGTCGAGAACCGGCTTGAAGACTACTTTTTTCTCTGATGCATTCCTGGGACGTTCTCGATTGCTTTGCTGCGTGTACGTTTTGACGGTTTTCGATGACATTACGCAGAGCAGGCCTGAAGAAGACAAGAGTGATTACTGCGGCAAACAGCGATTCTCTTCGCCTTGGCGTGAGAGTTCTGACCGGCTCCGTTCAAAAGGGAAAGGCGCCGTGTCAAGGTGAGCGCCCGGTGAGCGCCTAGACAGCAGCTCGCAGGACCTGGGCCTGGTGGCACTTCGTTGGCAACTTGAAGATGCGTCTGAGCTCCGCAGTGAAAGAACGTTTTGCTCGTCCGTGATGCACTAGGACGATCCGGCCGTTTCTCTGTCTACGTGCGACGGCGGGCACCTGCACCTTGTCTTGATGTGATCAGTGAGGCTGTCGACGCATCGCTTCCCGCCGACTTCCACGAGGCGCAACAACAGGCATATCATATCCTTCAAAAAACACTCTTGCCGAACTAAGACCCTAGGGTGTCCGTAATGTCCGTGATGGAGACCCTGACTACATTTAATCGCCAGGTTGTGAAAGACCATGAAATGCGATCGCATACTCATAAGTACTTACAGAGGCATAGTTAGCAGAAAGCAAGAACATATGAAAGGAACTAGGGTTTTGAAAGGGAACGGCGATCAGCCACCTAGTAATGCCAAAGCTGCTCTTAATTCCTTCTTCGCCGTTTCCGCGTCTTCATAGTCAAGCGCACTGGCCGCGAATCGACAGTGCTTCTGAGCCTTACTGATAATAGCCGGTGTCAGTTCCACTGGCGCTGGAGGAGGCGTGGGGGCTTGTCGTGACGGCTGGTTCGAATAGCCTGAGTAACCCATAGGGGCTACTGGGGGAGGAGGGGGAGGAATCCAAGATTGACCGGGTGGTCCAGGTGCGGCGTGGTCCAATGGTACAGTTGGAAAGCCGGGAGAGGCCGTGGGGGATCCTGAGGTAGTAGAGCCACCGATGACTGAAGGCGTGAAGTGGACCTTCTTCTCGTTTCCGGGGCTGTTATTCCGACTTCGGGGTGTTGGCGATGGAGGTTTGGAGCCAGACGACCGGGGAGGTGATCTGTGTTTGGATGTGATACCCGGCGGGCTGGGTGTACGCGAGGTTTTGCCCTCGAGCTCTTCGCTGACGGTAGCACTACGTTTGGGGCTACGCCTTCCCGACCTTGAGCTCCCACCACTGTTGGAACGTTTGTGAACACCGGCCGACGGGTCACCCATGGTCAAGCCATTGTCAGTACTTATCGAGGCGCCGAGGTCGGTACCAGGGGTTGCAATCGTACTCCAGTTGCCAGGGTCCTCGCTGGGTGAGTACCGAGGAGCAGAGGGAAGTGATGGGATATCTTGCGGAGGAGAACGTGGCGGAGATCGGGTGGGAGTGACAGTGCGCTCAGTCGTCGCTTTAGGTGGCGAAGGCAAAGCCAACTCTTCAGGGAAGTCCTCCTCCGTGGCGCCTGGGGGACCAGGTGTTGGCTTCCGACCCTCCCGGAATGCTTTCGCAATATCTGCAGCCTTCCATTTTGCATAACGGACCTTCTCTGCGATCTATCATGACGAGCGTTAATGAGCCCTTCATACCTGGTAGATAAGGAAGTACAATACCGAGTCAGAGACATCTGATTTGGGAAAGGTCTTGAGGACCTCGAGGAAGTTGGCTGCTGCTAGGAACTTCTTTGCTGTAGCCCTGAACAGATGGTGAGGAAATGAACGGGAGATTAAAGACTAAAGAACGAACCGAGTGGCACGACCTTCCCGATCCTCATTGTCGGCTAAAGTGAAAATCTTCAAGGCAAAATTCTCGACGTAGGCTGCACCAGCAGCGTCGACATCCACCGCGTCATTGGGTCCGATCTCCGTCTTCATTCGTTCAAGGACCCCCAGAAGCGAAAGCAGAAGGTCCCTTGACGGGGGATCGCGAGCCTTGAGACCTATCCCAAGTTGTGCAGCATAGTAGGCACCTGCAGAGGGACACTATCAGTGAATATTGTTCAGGGAATTTGAAGAGCTCTGAAAAAGTACCAACACCAGTATGCAACAATCGGCTCTTGGGCCTTGATTTCCTCCGCGCGCTGAAGATACGGTGTTATGGTCTTGAGTTCCGCTGTAATTGGTGGGAGGTTGAGGAAACTCTTTGAGGCCATGACTCAGGGATGGTGAAGGGGATTGTCAACAAGCACAGGGGCTTTATATCCGCGCCTGAGTGTGGTTGATCCCGGAGACGCGGAGACGCGACTGAATGACAATCTGAGATCCAACTACAACGTGTTTTGATATGATACACTCGTTTCCCACTATTGTACATTGGAAGACGTTTAATGAAAAACATGCAACGTTGTAACAGTCATTCTACATCTACAGAAAGTGATAACGCAAAGGTAATTAGATTTGGTCAATGACTGGACTCTGGAACGACTGCGAACCTCCTCCCGAAAACGCGTCGAGGCCACCAGAGCTACAGCCGAGCCCCACGTAGGTAGCAGGGGCAAGGGGACGAGGTAGTGTTTCAAGCCCTGCATGGCACGAGGGACACCACCTGTCGGAGTTGCAACGGATACAGAGTTATGGCGGCGCCTATTCTGGATGAAGCTGTAAACTTCCTATTGTTGAAGGGCTGTCAACAACGCGGTTTTGCGCTTGGGGACCGAGCTCGGGAGAATTCACGAGAACAGTAGGAACTGCGGGATTCGACAAAGGACCAGATTGCTGATGCGGTGTCCTACGTTCTAGCCTAGAAAAAGATTGAGGAAGCAAGCTGGGAGACGTTGTAGAAAACGGTGTTTTCGGTGGTGTCCATAGCGTTGGGAAGGGTGGCAGAGATGCATGAGTTAGAGGCGATCTTTCTTCCGCGGCCTGAGGTTCAAAACCGAGGGTAGATTGCGGGCTGGTTTGGGTGGCCCCCATGGAGCTTCGTCTCGATCCAGACATTTCAATTTTAGGCGCTTGAAGGGCATGGAACTCGGTCAGCGCCCTTGAAAGATCATCCAGCTACGCCGCAATCAGCATATGCACGTTTCACCCCCAGAAGTGTGGACCCATACCTTGTTCATGATTTCGCGAATGGAATCCTTCTTCCCTTCAAACTGGTCCGCGAGCTTGGCAAACTCCTCTTCCCGGGCCTTGTTCTGATCAGCTTCCTCGTCACCTACCCCAACACCCTCCTCATCACCGCCTTTGTAGTCTCCGCTTGCCACTGTCGACACACTGCTCACGGTTCTCTTCCTATGCCCATGAAATGTTCTCCTTTCATCCATTGATGATGGAGCCTTGAATCCACCAGGCTTTCGTTTTCCGTCTCCCAAACCTATTCCCTCCATTTCGATGTGCATCTTGGCGATCTGGCCTTGCAGCTCCAGCACCCGCGAAAGATGAGACCACATCTCCTCTCCCGAGTTGCCTGAGGTGTCTGTTATGATCTTCGGATTATGAACGGCTTCGCCCGGTGAGACGACGTCGATTACTTGTGGGACGAGAACGCCCTGAGAGGTACCGTCGTATGGGTCCAGGAGAAGATCGACAGTCTGAGGTTGGACCTGGACGTTGCTCTTGCTCCCTGCATATCGCAGGTTCGCAGTAATTCCGGTGTGAATGCTTGGTGGAGAGCTTATGCCGACATCTATCCTGGAGTGTGAGGCAGAGTCTGGGCTTCCCAACGAGTGGGGATGGCCGCCCGTACCCCAGTCATCATTGAGTAGACCAGACCTTGCATCCAACTTGCTCAGTACGGATGGTTGTGGTTTGGGTGCCGGTTGGAGTTGTGAGATGACGGTGTCATGAGGCGTTGAGTAAGGCAGTTGAGGTTTCTTGCTCGATTTAGAGATGTCAAGAGAAGACCGAGGCGCCAGGGCGTCGTGTGCAGTGGAAATGGAGGTTCCTCCCCGGTTGTATAGATCGGTAGAAAGGCGTGGTTGTTCAATCTGAGCATCATCGTCTCCGGCAGCTTTCCCAAACCACGAGCTCAACATTCTCTTCTAGGTTTCCTGAAGGCAAGGTGGGTTCGTCACTGTGGTAGTATGACTGCAACAGCGCGCGACCCGCTGATGTCGGCCACGAGTATCTAAATAGGGGCGTGAGACTCCCCTGCCCCATTCAATTACCGCCAAGCCAGTCTTGACACTCGCCAACTGCGACAAAGTTCTATTCATCTTCCTGTGTACTACATACAAAGAGCCAGTTAGAGGCATCGGTCTGTTGGAATCCATTGTTCAGTAAATTTACTGTCACAGAAACCGGGAGCACCATACCTGGAACGTTCTGACCAGCTCCGTTCACCCTCGACCTCAACGAGTTGTTAGAACACAACAAGCCTCGAACGAACGCCTGAGCAACGACATTGGCACCAGCAGGTGATGTGTGCACGGGATCGTTGGGGTAGAAGGTGTTTACATAGGACTGACCGAGCCGTTTGTATGCCTGAGCGACGTAGGCGTAATGGTCGATGTAGGTTACACCAGTTCTCTCGGCAACAAGTTTAGCGTATCCAACGAATCGGTTTCCGGGAGAAATGGAACCGTTCGTCCATCCGTTCCTCGGTGTTTGAGATGCGACGATAGGGATGCCGCCCTTTGCTTTGATGGCGTTGACTGCGTTTTGCATGTAGTACGGGAAGCTATGGATGACAATGGATTGTCCACTGACAAAGGAACCATGATCTCGGTTAGTAGGGTGACCTCTTACTAGTTCAGAAACTAGAATGCATACGTCGAGGTGCGAACGGTAGCAGTGGTATCATAACCATCGCCAACTGCACATTGGCGACCATTGTCGACGGCACCCGCGGAGCCGTCGTTGTGGCCGAATGCAATCACGACATAATCTCCTGGCCTGAGCTGATTGACGATTGCGTTAAATCGTCCCTCCTCAGTGAATGATCGCGAGGACCGTCCTCCAAGTGCATGATTGGAAACGGGAACTGTCATAAATTGCTGGAGATATTGACCCCAGCCTGGATCATGACGTTAGAGGTCTCAATGGTGGTTAAAGGAAAGAAAAGCGAACCTTCGGTCACTCCATTTCCTCTGGCCATAGTAGAGTCACCGGCCAAGTAAATAGTCTGCGCATGGCAGAAAGAGAGTAAAGCCAAAAGGACGTATACTGCAAGATTGCGGACCATGGTTCTAGAGGATTTGTTGGAAGGATATGTCGGCACATTTCACTTTATATCGCGTAGAAGTTCGTGTGTCATATGACCTATAGTACTATCGTTGCGAACCATGCTGAGAATGTAAAGAAGATCATAGGGCGATAAATTGTTGGTTATTTCCCCGAAGAATAAAAATGGGGGCTCTTCTTCCAAGAATAAGGAAGCGCGGATTCCCGTATTCATGAGGTGGCGGGCGCCTGATTAACCTTTACGAGCTTCGGCTGGTGAGAAGACAAGAAGCCACCTCCACCATCGAGCATTCGGGCAGGTCATACGACACCGGTGCATTGCCTCCGACAAGGTTACCGTGAAAAAGTGATCAGCGCTTAGTCTTCGGACCCTTCAGATTCGTCGTCGTCTACGATGGAGAGAGCACCAAATCTGCCGATGCCGACGTTTAGCCCTGGTGCTCCGCTTTCTCCTGCATCCTCTTCTTCGTCAGTTTCCCCTTCGTCCTCTGCTGACTCGGCCTCCGATTCTGCGTCTGAAGCAGCGGCCCGGTTATCGTCCTCTTGATCATCGCTTTCCGCTTCGCTCTCCTCCACATCGTGGGGTATCCAGATCCCGAGGTCATCTTCCGGCAACTTGGAACCCGGGGGCCAAAAGGCCCAGTGAATACGTCCCTCTGCAAGTGCTCGAAGTACTGTCATATTCTGTGAGCCAATATCGACAGGTAAAACTTGATTAGAACACCTACTCGCGTTTCCCGCACGATGTACATCGGGCCTGCCAGCCTTGGCAGTCACCCACCCCTTCGCGTTTGCATACGCTGTCAGGATCTCCATCGCAGTCCAGCGCTTCTTCTCTGGCTTGTCGGCGGAAGGGCGCATACCTTCTCTCCAGGTCCTCTTGTCTTCCGCAGCTGGTTCTGACAAGGAGGGATGCTCAAGGCGCAGCACCCTCTCCAGGGGTAAAAGCTGGGCCGCATAATGGATGCAAGCCGGGATGGCGGAGACACGGGAAATGGGGAGAATTCCCGACAATACTTGCATTTCCATGGGCGTATAGTTGGGCATAACTAGCCCAGGACAATCGACTAGACGAACATCTGAAGTCCAGAACATGGTTTGGAAATGTTTCGTCTGTGCGAGGTGATGAGGACAGTATAAACTTGCCAGGGTCAAAATCCTCACCTTTCCGGGTGTCTTGGAGGCTCGAACCTTGCGTGCTCCAAACAAGGCATTCAGCAAAGATGACTTCCCGACGTTTGGTTGTCCTGGCAGACGAATCAGAACAGAGATGCTCGATGGCTTGCACTGGTGTACTTACCGATCAGACCGATAGTGAGGAAATCGGGTTCCTGGCGAGGATGAACATCGGTGGACTGTGAGCCATCGTCAGAGTTGTCTTCGTCAAGACCCGGGCGCTGAGCGTCGGCCTGTGAGCTGCCAACATGAAGTCCGGTCTGCTCCCCTCGAGCTTCAAAGAGGGCCGTCCAATCGATGTTGCTTTTAACTGGTGGTACCCAATTCTTTAGCTTCTCCGGATCGCTTTGCACGCGCTCGGGAGGGGTTAACAGCTCTCCATGGACCTGTCGAATTGCTGCGATGAGGCGCTCCCGGAAGACAGTGGGGATGTGGGGTTCGTATTGTTTTTTGCCTTGGTGGACGGCAGTCGCCTCTTTCTCCACATAAGATTCGACCTCCACGATAGGATGTCCAGGATGCTTTTGGTGGAGATAGCTCTTCCAAGCTTCCACACGTTCCAGTCCAGATATGTCAACTTTGGTGAGGACAAGGACGACTCTCTTCTTCTCCAAGTATGTAGACAATGCAGGGGGATAATGGAGGGTCGGGCAACGGGAGTCGAGTAGAACAAGAAGCAGCTCGGAGATTTCAGTAACTCGCCACCTGACATTTCAAGGTCAGAACAACAACAGTGGGCCGATAGGAGAGGACTCACAGTTGCCGCCACACTTCCAAGTTACGTTCAAAGTGGGTGATGGAGGGAGGCATCGACGGATGATCTGCTCCGGTTGCTTTGCGCTGCTCTTCCAGTTGCAAACGCCATTGCTCGACTCGACTGTCATGCTCTGCGATCCATTTCTTAAAGAGACCTTCTTCGTTGTGCTCGACTTCGTCTTTGGTCATATCGAACCGCCATTTGGGACGCTTGGGACATGTTAAGGGAGGTGTATCGACCCCTTCGTTGTTGGCGTCATCGAAGATAGCTTTCGAAGCGGGGACAGGGCGGGTGAGAGATAGGTTCGAAGCCAACACCTTCGTTTCTTCCAAGAAGGCCGTAGAGACCTTTACGAAGGCAGATTGTAGTCGTCTGGCGCTCTCAATGTTGGCATTTGGGGTCTCCTGAGCTCCGATTCGACTTCCTGTGGGTCCAACTCTGCCTTTGCGTTTACGAGGGGGCTTCTTAGTAGGTTCTGGGGCCGGAACATCGCCTCTCTTGATCGCGCGTCTGAGCTGCTGCTCAGCTTTCTTCTGTTTCGTGGAGATTGGTTTGCGGCGAGGAGGCATATCGTGATGGTGATGGTGATGAAAGAAGAGGCAAAGTCAAATATAATCGATTGTTTCATGTCTTGTCATTGTCGAAAATGTTCTACTGGGTTCGATGAGGGAATGCACAGGACGTGTATGATGAATCAGTGATCCAAGATCCAAGCGCTGGCACTGTCGTCCACGCCTTGACTATCAACCTGATGGGCCTGTTTATGGCCGTCCTTGACGTCTAAAAGCCCTCGGGAAACTTATGACTTTTCGCTCAATCCCCTTCTCCATCGTCATCCACAGTCCTCAGTCGTTTGCTGGTTGAACGTTGAAATCTGAGCCAAATTCCAGAACATGCTGCAACCAAGTTTCCCATCCGCCATTCCATCTCACCCCCCTCACTCGTCCGGCTCATCGTCTTTCGATATAAAGCGCCATACACGAACCAAAGAACTCCAGTTTCTGAGGAAATATGGCCATCGACACCACTCTTATGATAACGAGAAGGCCCCTTATCCACTGTCATACGATAAGCACGTCCTCGAAATGTATGTCCTCTCCCGCCCAGCCTTCAGTGCATGGCTCAACACCATATCCCCAGGGAAGCTCTTGATAACCGACTGACCCAGCACCTACGAGGATCTTCATCATTCGTAAACTTTGACGAGTCTCCGGCTAGAGTTCTGGATCTCGGCTGCGGGGTAGGTGTCGCCCATATGGTACCATGCCCCGAACGCGTCTCACGCAAACCTACAGACGGGAACTTGGGTTGTCGATGCAGCAAAGGAATGGCCCAACGCTGAATTCGTGCGTTCAATGTCGATTTGCTTCCGCCCTGGCAATCTAACACCGTTCACATAGGTCGGGTTCGACCTCGTCAATGTTCAAGTCCCTCTCAAGTTGTTGGACCCTTCGATTGCGAAACGGATAACATGGAGACATGGCAACTTGTATGTCCGCAACCGTGTCTTTGTTGGTGCCAGAAATGATGACGGGATGACGGGGGACCAGTTTAACCACGAAGCTTCCATTCGAGGACGACGAATTCGACTTTGTGCACATACGCTCCATCTCCAAGGGTGTCCCAGAGAGCAAGGTTGGCTCCTCAGAATTTCCTTTCACCTCCATTCTGACCAATTACCTAGTGGGACGTCCTCTTCGAGGTCTGGTCCATTCCTAGTCTTTTCTCAATGTGTTGGCTCAATTCCTCATAGGAAATCAATCGAGTTCTGCTGCCCGGAGGTGCTGTTGAAATCGTTGAAGAAGGTGTGCAAAGGTTTATACAATCCGAATCTAGTGCTAAATCCTGGCATTCCAAGATCTCATCTTTCCTGTACTTCCCCGCTGGTTTACGGGGGCTCTGCGCTCAAGGTCACGACGGCCTTCTACCCCCACGGATATCAACGGGAATCCCGTGGCAGACATACCCCCTCATGATCACGCCCTACTTGAATCTCTCATGAAAGCTGTTTTCGAAAACAGATTCATCAACACGACCCCAACAGGTGAGTAATCTTCCCTCCTCTTTTGATGCTGCCGTTAACCAGAGGACACTGCTAGCCTTACTTCCAAGCTACTTCACGACCTACTTCCGTCAAGTTGTTATCAGCCCAGTCATCACTTTCCCCATGCCTACCCTTCAACCCCTGCTTCCTCTTCCGTCTCAGGTTGTGACGAGCTACGTCATTGAACCGTCCTCCAATTCTCTCGAGAAACGCGTCTCAACCATTTCGCCAGCCATGACAGCAACTGGCCGGCCAATGTCTTTTTCGTTCTCATCTGGCTCAACGACAAGTACGCTGTCCACGTTCTCGCAAGGTCCTGTTACTGTAACTACCAAGCGCCCACGGACGGCATCAGCGTCATTGTCGTCCTCCACATGGAGAAGCACAACCTCAACACTTCCGGTCTCCGAGACCCCACCACCCACACCGCCCTTTAAACCGTTTTTAATCGAAACCCCGACGGAAAGCGATGAATTCCCTGCATCTCTGTTCCCTGCTGACCAACTGAGTGTCCTGAGCGAGCGGTCTCTTGCGATGCATCTTTACCGATCCTATCAGACAGTCCTAGCATGCCAAGAAGCCATGTGGGAAGAGCTCAAAGATCGTATTCGGAATCGGAAAGAGGGGCTGAGGGTGTTTGGTTGGGAAGACGATGAGGAGCTTGAGGAACTGCAAAGTCGGAAACGTTTTGAGAAACTGATCGAACGTTTTAAAAGGTCAGCGTACACCAACCTGTTCATCGCCGTTGGGGTCTAATGACAATCTTTAGTGACATGCATATTCGGATTTCACTCTGGACCTCTTTGACGAATTTTGGATGGAATATACCCACGAGAGAGCCATTGTCGAAAGCAGAGCTGATTGAAGAAGAGCGTATTCGCGAGAGTATGTCGAAGGCATCGCAGTTTGTGACCATGGAGGAAATCCAAGCCCCTTGCCGTTCAGTCCGAGTACTTGTCGGCTATAAATTATGATCTGATGATAGTTTTGCTGCATGACCTTTTGATGAACACGATACGGGTAGTAGCCATTAGTTCCCGATATTTAAACTTGTAATAAGTAGGACGTAGCAGCGAAATGAAGAGCAACTTTAGGGCAGCGGAGGGGTTTGTTTTGGCGTATTATGTTTCTCCCAGAAATGGCAATGTGATCGCAAAGGTTTTCTCGTCTTCCCAAAGCACAGTCAATCTCACATGGCTGTCTTTGCCTCGACTCGCCAAAATCAACCCCATGTCCAACAGAATATTCCTCGAGCAGGATCCAAACCCAAAAAGTCCACGATGATGAACAAGGGGAAGGCAAGGGAAATCCAGGGCGCCCAGGTTTTACCCACTACAAACGCGGATACCAGTCCCTGGAGCGAAGAAACCGACACTACCGACTGGCAATGGAGTTACCTGAACGATTTTTCTACGAGCAAGGTTACGCCGTTGTTCTCAAAGGACGGAAGGTGATTAGGGCTCTGTCCGACTTTCAGAAAATTTGCTGATCTCTGTGAACAGTTACTTCTTCTCCTTCTCAGGTTCATCAGTCAAAATTTTGTCGGTGTCGACTGGCCAGGTCGTGTCTGAACTGAACGCTCCTGCTGGGAAGGACAATGGCCAAACGCCGCCTCGCTTCACTTCTGCCGTTATCAACCCCGACAACGCATTCCAACTCATTACCAGCACCCTCGAGGGCAGGATCATCATTTGGGATTTTCTCAATGCAGTCATTCTCCGAGAAATAGACGTCTGCAAACCGATTCACTACATCTGCGCGCATAGAAACGTGAAGGATTCGATATTCGTCGCTGCTTCCTTGAACAAGAAAAAGACGCAAGGTAAGTCGGCTTTGTCAAGAACTATCGCCGGATGAAAAAAACTTACTCTGTGCAGAAAACGATGCTATTGTCCTGCAAGTATCCCTCAACCACGGTTCTTCGGGCAAGTCCTCGGCGGAGGTGCGCTCTATTGGCAAGACTCGGTCACCTTCGGGTCTTGCCATTTCTCCTAGCGGAGAATGGCTGGTTTCGATTGGTGGACATACCGTATATGTCGCCCGAATCTCAGCACTGGACACCGGCTTCATCAAATACGTTTCTGCCGATCGTTTGTCGTGTTTAGCGATGCACCCATCCGACGAGTATTTTGCTACGGGCGACGAGAAGGGAATCATTCGTTTGTGGTACTGTCTCAACGATGCTGCGGTCAAATCTCGCGGAGTAGAACAGAAGGCGCAGACAACCTCTCTGCACTGGCATGCACACAGCGTAGCGGCTCTTTCCTTTACACCGAACGGCGCATATCTTCTAAGTGGCGGTGAAGAGGCAGTACTTGTGATTTGGCAGCTTCACACTGGCAGAAAGGAATTTGTTCCTCGCGTCGGGTCGCCCATCGTCACCATCTCCGCGTTCCAAGGGCCACTGTCGGAGGAATATCTCTTGGGTCTTCAAGATGGAACATTTTCCTTCGTCAGCCCAAGCTCTCTGCGGATAGTCAGGTCGTTTTCTCAACTCAAAATTGGTGAGTTTGCAGCTTAGCCATTTGTTCTTTGGCTCACCGCTCCTTAGGCCTGGATGTCGCACAGGGCCAAACGCCAACCACATACGCCCCCCTCGCATTCCACCAACCCTCGTCGTCACTCATCCTCCCGTCCTCCCATCAGTCTTCCTTACAAATCTACTCGCCCTTCTCTCAGTCCCTTGTCGGAGAACTTGAAGTTTCTCCTTCAAACCGAGTGTCAAGACGCGACGACAAGCCCTTGGAAGCTGCCAAGGTTCGCCTTGTTGCTTTGGCTTCCTCTGGCCTGTGGATGTCGACGGTAGATGTACGAGAGGAGGAGCCGGGTTACCAGCCAGAGGTGTTCTTGAAGATCTGGTCTTGGGATTCAAAAACCAGCTCTTGGCAACTGCATAGTCGGATCGACCAGCCCCATGGCTTCAAATATCCCATTCAGCTCAAATTCAGCCCCCACAGTCCCACTGCGCCTCTGTTCCTTTCGTCTTGTGGAGAAGATGGCGCTGTCAAAATCTGGAAGTTGAGAACAAAGACCAAAGAAGGTAGCTGTGTCCGTGTATTCTCTGCCTCTTCTCCATCTGACGTGTTTCCTAGACCTCTGGTTACCTCATGCCACATTGACGTTCCCTCCGTCGCATGTGAAGGACCTGGCTTGGTCTCCTGATGGCACAATTATTGCTGTGGTCTCAGTCAATCAAGCGCTTCTCTACGACACTTCTTTCACCGTCATCGATACCTTGTCCACCTTTGAACAGAAGAACACCATCTCCGTCCACTTCATTGGGAACCGGTATCTTTTGGTAGTAGGCCGACGGTGTTTGACAACTTGGGACCTGATCTCCCGCTCCGGTAAGTGATCTTTTGGGAGAGCCAAAGCTATATCTAATTCAATTCAGTCCCATGGACCTTCATCCCGAGATCCGACGTCGATTTCGCCATTGCTCATCACAACAAAGCATCGTTTGCCGTCTTTCTTCAACCAAACGTCACCAACGAATCTACGGAAACCCATGTCTATGCATTCGACGTGGAATCCTCCCGACCTCGTGGCGAGCATTCTCTTCCCCTCCAATTGCGCAATGTCGTCTCGGCCGCCTCTCCGCAAGAACCAAGATACAACTTACTTGGTCTCACTCAAGACTCGAGAATTGTCGTTATTGACGGTGATTCCTCCAAGCTTCACACAGCACACAAACCTTCTTTGTCGTTCGGATCGGCCAAGACCACTGTATTCAGAGACATGTTTAGAGGGGCTTCAATGGACTCGCTCGAGGTGGTTTCGCCGACACCGATCACCTCCACCGCTAGAAACACCGATTCCACTATCGTGGAAGCCTTCAGCCAACCTACACATCTCATGGCCCCTATCGCTCTCGTCTTCGACGAACTAATGTCATCCCTCCTTCAACCTGGCCAATCTGCAGTAGACGCGACGCTATCGGATGATGAAGAAGATTCGGATGACGAAGCCATGGAAGATATCGTTATGACATCAACAACACGGTCACTACCGCCTATCGATACTGCATCTCTACAACCATTGGTATCCTTCTTCCGGCAGTCTTTTGCAAAATGTATGTCCTTGTTTGCTTACGTTGCCCCCCGATGATAACGACTCGCCTACAGCTCGGGACCAAACAGCAAAAGGATTGGAAAACGGCAAGTTAAAAAAGAACCGCCCGAATGGCACCATCTCGAGCATCAGCCCCTCGAAGACGGCCTCTTCAAAAGCCCGTCGTGATTCACTTGCATGAAGACCATTGTATATAGTCGATCCAGATTTCCAATTTATTAATTTGGCCTCTGTTGGACATTACTACCTAGATGAAGAAAAGAAAGATGCGAACACGATGCGAATAGAAATGTCCGGAGAACTCCTTGGACTATGGTATGTACACTACTTGGTAATATAACCACAACCTCAAGCTGAGACCATGAAAGTGAGCGAACGTCAATTCAATCCTGAAGGGCTGCTGCCTCTTCTGGGGACTTGTGTCCAGCGCGAAGCAGGTAGATATCACCTCCAGGCGCAAGAGCACTAGTGAGCGCTTCATGCTGAGTCTGGTCGATTTTGGAAGCCGTGATTTCGCCGATGTACAACTTCTTAATGGGGACGCCCATTTGCTTCCGTCTTGTGAGCCATGCGCCGATGACGTTGGTGTCCATACTCTGCCACTCCAGGATCTCCAGGCGCGGGGAAACGGGTATCTGACTAGGGGGCTGGTTTCCTTTCGCATAGTTCCAATAGCGGAGGAAGATTTCGAAAAAGTTGAGCCTCAGGGTTCCGATGCGAAGATAGGTGATGTGCGGCATCAAGCAGAGCCAACGAACGACCGTATTAATTAGGCGCGGATCGACGGTGTCGGGCCCGTCCATCGAAGGAACCGTGGCGCGGAGTTCTGAGTTGTAGAGGGTGAGAATCCTCACTTCTCTATACTCCCCGGTCATCGCTGAGAAGAAGGGGGTGTAATCCTCCCCCACCAAATTCATCAAGGTCAGGTCGCGGACATAGGGAGCTTTGAATAGGGACAGGAGGAAGGTCCCGTAAGAGGCGCTGAAGTCGACAAGGACGAGAACTCGGAGGTTATTCAGGACAATAGGAGGTGGGTCTTGCTCTCTCCCTGCCAGACTGGGTCCTGCACCGTCGAGGATGAGCTTTCGGAGGAGGGGGGAGCTGGTTAGCATAGCGCGGAACTGTTGAAGGGTGGGGCCTTTGTTCAACGCAATTCTTCGAAGGTCCAGGACAGTGAGGTTGGTGAGGTGAGACCGGTTCCAGTCGATGTGGATGCCGTTGAGAGAGAAGTGTTCCAGGGTGGTGATATGCAGACCGCCGAATACGGGCATTGGCTGACGATACCCATCGGGGAAATAACCCACACCCACCTGGACATATGGAGAGCCTGTGCGATGGAGCTCGAAACGACGCATCATCATGGGTTCGCTCGCCTGCGCCACACTCCGGAGACTGGAAAGGATCATCAAAGCCGGATCCCAGTTATGGACAAGGACGACCAGGATGCGGATGGTCGTCCACTTCTTGCTGACCTGGGCAAGGATCCTCTCCATGCACTGGACCGGAAGTGGCTGCTGCTGTCCGCCGTCGCTGATACGGACGTCTTTGGGGGAATCTCCCGCACGGTCGAACCACACTGACGCTCGCTGAAGGTCCTGCTCGCACCCAGAGTACTTGAACCATACGACGTTCCACAGAGTCGGGTCCTCCAGTGCCACCTTCCGCCATAGTCTGCAGACGCTGGTGATGCGCGCCCTAGCTCGCTGACCCAATGTGGGGTTGGAAGCAGACCATGATACAAGGTGGAATATGTTGCTAATGATCTCGGTGGGTAGTTCATGGAAGCGGAAGACTCTGCCAAACGTAACACGCCACTCCAGTCGGGCCATGAAGAGGGTGGTCTCGAGTTGAGGGTTAATCAAAGGTGCTACCTCGTCCTTCTTTGCTTCGAGGCCCCGGATTACCCTGACCAGATGGCGGGTCTGTTCGATACACTTTTGGCGCTCTTCTTCTGTGAGGACCCTAATCTTCCACGCGTCAAGTATCATTTTGGTACGCTTGTCGGCCATGGCGATGTATTGTTGTATTTGGCTGGCCTTGAGCTTCACAGGTTCAACTAGTTCCGTTTTGGGATTCGCGGTCGGGTTCGGGTTAGTCTCTGGAGCGGTGGTGGGTGTCGCCTGGGGATGTTGGGTTTCTGCCGATTGGGGAGAGCGACTAGTTCCTGAGGGGGTATCAACGTCCATGGGGGCAGCGTCAGGTGGGGTGCCGGTATGTGATTCAGAGGAAGAAGGAATAGCGTTGGAATCTATTCAATGAGGGGGCGGTCGGAGGAAAAATGAGCTCGAGGTCCGGCAGAGATCAAACGACGAGGTTGGCAATGGGCAGAAGAAAATCTTGCGATCTGAAATCGACTATGATCAGCTGCAGGTTGGTGAAGTAGAGAACGCCAAGTACCTACTGCGAGGACGATTTTCTGGGGCTATATGATGATAAAAGGCCTTCAAGCGATGGATGGTGAGGTGGGTTGTGATGGGTTAAATATTCCAGAGAGGTCGAGGGTTATTATGAGAAGAACAATGATCTGTGTCCCAATTCGAAAGTCAAAGCGTCACTGTGCGGCCCAATTAGTTCCGGAACGTCTACAGGGACAATCAAACACCCACAAGAAGCGCGACGACTGGTCGTGTTGACGATCGAGAGGCGGCTTTGGAAGACGTAGGACCGGTGGACACAGCGAGAAGGAGCCTTGAGCTTTTGCCACTGGAAGATGGAGGCAGCCTGCGCCGGGAAAGGCGACCGTAAATATGGGTAAAACGCGAGCTATTGCCAAATTCGGAGGCCCTTCACCAGAATGCAGATGGTGTAATGGTTTTGGACGTCTCGATTAAGCGAGGTCCATCAACTTATCGAGTCACCACGAGAAAAACAAGAACGGGGGAGATGAATCAAGCCATCCCGGTATAAGAAGGGAGGGCCTTCCGAACGGGAAGGGATTAAAAGGCGTTTACTGATCCCTTCAACTTGTCAGTTCCCGGGTAATTGCCGCCTAATCGTAGACAAAGCAATGCTTTCATGGGAAACGACTGATCTGATGGCCTTGTACCCTTGTGGTAGAAAACGGGGTGGTGTACTAGACTGCGACCTCTTCTTGGCCGCCTTGCGTCTCAACTGGTTTGGGGTAACAAAGCAAGGTCGCTGGAACGCCGCTCGACGACAGGTTCAAAGTTCCATGAAAACCGCCATCACCCAAGCAACAGGACGTGCCTGGTCTTGCAAAGACGAAAATAAAAGGCAAAATCACCGAGGAAGAACTGCATAAAATGGTGGACAATTGGGAGGATCGTGAGATTGGCATCGGGGGAAGGCGAGAAAGGCAAGGGGTCGTGTACTGACCTCGACGTGCTGGCGGTTCAGGTCAAAGGGGTCGACGCGTCTCCACGCGTCCAGAAGGGTCCCTGTTTCCCCCTACCTCCCTTTCACGTCCCAAAGTGGAAAGCGAACAACGGCGGGAAGATCACACACGTTTCATGTCGACCAACAGTTGCATTGTCCATTCCTATGTTAAGCGGCTAGGGTGGTAACACTAGGCTGTCATATAGTATCAAGAATTTCACATAAATCGAAGACATAAATTTGGAAGAGAAGTATTGACACCGTTTGTTAAACAGGTAGAAAAAGTGGGGTGCAAATTTGATATTCAACTTTCGCTGGATACACCGAGGTCCTCCAGAAGGAGAGTCACAATGTGACCTTCCTCGTCTTTACTGCCTGATCCGCTTCGGGGCAACCTAGCTCTAAGCTTGACTGGAAGATCAGGGTGCGAAGTCTCGTTGAACCCCATCTACAGGTGACAAAGGTTGGTTACCACCCACACCATTAGCCAGAAGGAAAAGGACTTACATCGGCCAGCTTCCTGACTATGCGGTTGTACGACTGGTTGTAGGGGTCTTCATTAGCCCTCCCTGTGTTGAGAGACCGGTGACGGCGGGGGCTCATGCTAACCATTTCTAGCTGCGGGAACGGTCCTCTGGCGTTACTGACCAGTAACGTAGTAGAGCGCTCCGGTCTCTGCCCCGAGGGAGAACTTTCTGAGTCTTTCGAAGTAGAGGCTCTCATCGGGGGAGGTCTGGGAGGGGCTTCAGACCTAGTAAGAAGTCAGACAATGCACGTCGATTGCACAAAGAGGAATACTCACCCAGAACCTGAGGCTTTGCGTTGCTCATGCTGTCGCTTACGTTCATCCCTTTCCCTTCGATACCTTGCTTTCTCTGCTTTGTACTGCGCTTTCGCAGCCTCGAGAGAGGCCCGTAATTCTTGGGGTGACGGTTTGGATTGAGAATCGTCAGAGGACTGAGATGGTAGATCTTGGATGGGTGGAGGGGGCGGAATCCAATCGGGAAGGATGTTAGGGTTGGTGTCCCGGCTAGTACTCGCGCGCTTGTGGGAACCTAAGCCAAATCTAGGCGGCCCTTTAGGAGGAGCCGGAGGATAGGGGCCATCCCCCGACTCTAATGAAAAAGGCTCGGGAAGAGGTGGCACAGGGGCGACAGGCGGTGCCGGTGGAACGGGTGGTGGTACGACGTTGTTGTGAAGGAAGGGATGGGGCGGGAGAGGCGGGGGAGGTGGAGGTGGCACTGGTGGAGGCGAAGGCGGTCGCACAGGAGGTGTGTGAGATCGACGCGAGATGTTGGACAAAATGTTCCATGCAGGTCCGCTAAAGAATGGTGGCGGACCAGGGGGATTGGGCGGGGACGTTGCAGATGGCCTCATAGTGCCATCACTGTGTTCTTCTGACCTGTTGTCAATGGAAAGGGCACGGAAAAGTCCCCCTAGTGATTCAGATATTCTTCTCGCAGCCTCCGCCTCTGCATTCCGTCGAAACTCGTCCGTAGTCGCGCCGACAGAAGCTGCAAGCTCATTGGCACTGCGAGACAGAGCCTCTCGGTGCGCTTCCCAGTAGGTACCTTGCCTGGCATTACGAATTACCCTTCCCAGGTGTAGAGCTATTTCTGGATGGGAGTTTACCACGTTGTTGAACGCTGAGAGCAATGCTGCGACATCTTGGGTAAGAGACACGGAGGGATGTTGTGCAGCCATGGCTTCGACTTCAGGAAGGGGTGGATCTGATGGGTCCTCTCGATGTGCTGCGTGCGCAGCGACGTTGGGGGAGGCGAGTTCATCTTGGCCGTCGCCATTGGAAGTGTTGCGGTCGAGAACATGGATCTCGTGCTTCTCTGGAAGGTCGTCGTCTACTATGCTTTGGGTAGAAGATCCTCGAGAAGGTGTGGAGGCCCTCTGTTTCCCCTTGCTCAGGGGCTGTTGTACGGTGGAGGCTTGACCTGACGAACGCAGACTTTGAGCGTCAAGGAAATCCTTGCTTTGGTCACTTTCCACCACCTCAACAAAGGCGTGGTCCCCATCCGACCTTTGCGAATTGGACCTTGTCAAGATAACTTCTGGCATTCCCATGTGTAGATGGTGGAGAGGAGGAAAGCGTTGCCATTCGTCATCGAGATCGAAAGGGTTGGTGTGAACAGGCGGGGTGGAAGTAACTCCCGCAGAACGCCCGCGGCGTATGGAAAGGTCAACGACATTGAGCCTGTAGACTTCTCCCTGGCTGCGAGATGCCTGTCGGTAGTAATCCTGCAACTCTTCCTCCGAATTTAGGGTGATTTCATCGTTGTCCGAGTCGACATAGGAGACAGCGACGGCAACTTGAGGTAGATTGTAGATACTCTGGAGTTTCTCGGACAGGGAGGCCCAAGAGGGTATATCTGGGAACGTAATTCTGCGCGTTTCTTGGCCAAATTTGAACTTGAAATTGACTGTCATGGTGGAGGATGGTGGGGAAGGTCGTGAAGTGGTCTGAAATGATGTTGGAGCTCTTATAATCAATTCAGAGTCCGACGCTGCGGTGCTGGGGCTGCGGTGCGCAGGTGAATCGCAGTCAAACCAGTCATCTTTTGATTTGGCTTGAAATGTAAACCGTAACCAGGTCGAAATGAACGAGTTCAGCGCAATACCTACTTGGTGACATTGTCGGCATTGACGCTGGTCGGTGAGTTCATGATCCCGTCGAGCGGGCCGGACCGTGGAGAGTCGGTGAACCTTGACACCGAAACGCGAAGTCGATTCTGACGAAAATGCTATAAAGCCAGGACTCACACCTCTCTGTATGTGTTCTGTATCGACTGGAAACGTTTACTAACGCGAGTCTAGGACATGCGATTTCATATTCTCGGGCTGGGTCCGATTGGGTCCCTGGTAGCCCACAACCTTCGGCGCTACCTTTCCCCAGAACACGGAATAACGCTCATCTTCAAGAACAAGGAACAGGCATTGACTCGTGAACGATGTCTTAGAGTCGAAAACAATGGGGTGGTCACCAAATCCTCCGGTTTCGACATGGAAGTCTTCAACAACTCTCCACTTCCCGTGCGGAAAGGCAGAGCTCCCATCGTTACACCAACTCCTCCAGTGACGTCCCCTGCCATCGCCAACCTGACTCAAACCCCCGAGCCAATCCAGTCCCTCATTATTTCTGCAAAGGCCCACCAAACAGTTCCCGCAATTCGCTTGCTCGAACCACGTCTCAAACCCAGCTCAACCATCGTCCTCCTCCAGAATGGCATGGGTGTTTACGAGGAACTGCTGAACACCGTCTTCCGCAACCCAGAGCAACGGCCTCACATCATCCTGGCTTCCAACACCCATGGAGCCTACTTCTTCGACGGCCAACGAGTCATCCATGCAGGAATTGGCGCCCTTGAGTTTGGTATTGCACCAGACTACAGAGGCCGCAACTTCGAGGCTGCTCTCGAGGCAGCGACTCCCGCAAACCCGTCGCCACCCCTCCTTATCAAAGACATAGCCGTCGAAGGTGATCCAGAGTATCCCCATTACCGGAGTTTGCGAGACACGGTCGCGGCATTGAAGGGACTCGGAGCACTCCACACTTCGTGGAAGCCAATATCCGCCATTCAACTCGCCATGCGCCGCAAAGTAGTCGTCAACTCGGTCATAAACCCTCTCACCGCCCTCATGCGTTGTCGGAATGGGGAAATCTTCAAGTCAGAGGCTGGCCAGAGCATATGCTCCAGCGTAGCTGCAGAAGCGGCTGCTGCGTTCGCTGCCCAAATCAAGGCTGAAACATCCGTGTTCTTGAAGGAAATGGCCAACGAAGGCGTGGATCCCACCACCATCGATACCGGACGGATACCTCCATCCCTCACCCAGGAAAGTCTCGAGAAAGAGATCCTGCGCGTTGCTAGCGTCACAGCCGGGAACCAGTCCTCTATGCTCGTTGATTTGGAACGAGGTCGAGACACCGAGATCGAATACATGAACGGCTACCTTACCCGTCTCGGCCAAAGCTATGGGGTACCGATGCCAGTCACTTCGATGCTCTATAATCTGGTCAAGATGAGGACACAAATCCCATTGGACCAAATGTAACGGTGGATCGATATCGGTATTCGCAGCTGGATCCGCCTTGCGCCTCACGACGCTCGAGGGGGCAATCTGCCCGCGAACATCTAAAACAGCCAAACTTGTCCTACTTCAAAACAGACTTCATCCTTCGAACGATTGCGTCATGGTACATCAGTAAGGAACGGAAAGAATAGGATTGGCAGCTAGTATACAGTCTGTGTAAGTAGAGTACAGCCTAATGGTAATATTGCCAAATAGAGACACCTTTTAGTGAACGAATGTGGCATATAGTGTCGCTTTCATAGCCCTCCATCGAGAGAAGAAAACCAGTAAATGTCCGTGTAGATATTAATGATCGTCGGCACCAACTTTCCCCCACTTCACTGTCCTGACGGATCCATCTTGCCATGACTGCACCCTTCTTCTGGCGAGAATGGACATGGTAGATCGGTCGGTTCCTACGAAGCCCATTCCAGACGACTGGATTCCTGCGTCGATAAGCACTGGGTACCACGTCCCATATCGTTCAACTGTATCAGAATGGTCCACCTCGAGCCACCCTCTAGATCGGACGTCTTTCCACCACGTCTCATCCCGTTCGTCACTCGTCATGATGACATGCTCAACGACGATACCCTTCCTATCAAAGAGCTCCTTCTTCACCTCTTCCACGCGTCTTTCCACTACATCTAGTGGCGCGAAGCATTCGTCTAGAGGTACGTCATTGCACCAGTTTTTGAAGTCTCCATGTCGGATATGGATGGTTATCCACTAGGATCGGCAACGCATTAGGGAGAGGTGTCGAACACGCTATTAATGAAAACTCACTGCCGGAGTCTTCTCGCCCTCGGGTACTCCGATAGTTCGCCTCACGTATTGGTCTATCAAGTCTTGAACCTTTGAAGACCAGTGAAGATGTTGGCCAACGAATCGCCAAGCTGGGCTGAAGTCAAAGTCGTATTCGAACGGCTAAAGAAGTCAATCAGAGGGGTAAGAGCATTAGACTCAAGGTTCAGTCTCACAAAAAGGACTAATCACGGACCTGGTGGGCACAGACGTAATACAGATAGTCATAACAGAGCAATTGCTCGTCTGGCGGTAGCCGAACCTTGTTAATCTCGGATTCTCGTGGATTCCCCAAATTCTCTTTACGATGTTCCGGGAATGCCAGTGCTGCAAGAGACCAGAAGGTGACGTGCAGATCGTGGATGTAATTCGGGATCAGCTTGATCCAGCTTGGGGCGAGCGTGTAGGAGATATCTGTGGAGAGCGATGTCAGAATTGTAGGGCGAGTATAATTAAACGGGGGACGGGACCGGATACCAAGTGAGAGAAGATTAGGGATGGGACTCCTTCGAGGAAATCGTTCCCGTTCTTGAACTGCTTCCCAGGTGTTCCAGCAGCCGAGTTCTTCGAGCTCCGTGCTGTTGGGGTTCTTGACTTCATGCCATTCAAGGATGGGGGTTCGGATCGCGGTTCGAAGTCTTTGGACATCAAAGACCTCACTTAAGACGATTGGCCGGACAGTGTCCAACCCGCCAATGTGTGACGGTGTGAAGGGTGGGATTATAGGTATCCGTTCCGTTATTATGCCGAGATAGATGAGGTTTATCTGAGAGAAGGATAAGTCGATTGCCAAAATATGTAGAGGGTTGGCGACTTACATATGTCATGACATCGTTTGCTACGAGGTAGTTTCAGTAGAGGCAAAGAGACTGAACATAAAGTGTACATACTCCATCCAGCAGATATCCAGGAGGTGATGTACTTTTTGTCAGCCAGCAAGTTATCTTGAGAGTAGTCAGAAGTGAGTGAAAGGGGCGCAAAAGAGGAATATTACCTCTAAACCTTGAGGTTGGAGGCCCCCGGATAAAACGAGAAGGATCAAGTGGGTCAATGGCAACTCCAGGAAGTTGCTCAGAGCTTTCTGGGAGGAAAGATGGTTCGACATCGGAGAGTGGCTTCTGGGAGAGCCCCTGGGACCAGAGCCCGGAGGAGATGATACCAGCGACGGAAAATACGGCCACAGAGATGCAAGCGATAGTAAAGAAGGGATGGAGCACCAAGCCCAGACCCTGGCGTTTTCGGTTAACGTTGTTGGTGGCCCCAGTCAGCAAGTTGTTGGCCTCCGAGTCCGAGTCCATAATTAATTCACCAGCATCAAGGAGTGTAGGGGGAAAAGAAGGGCGAGCGCACGAGTCCCCCACTCTGAACGCGCAGAAGCAGTATATGTGGAATGACAGATCCCGGTTCCGTTTGATGGCACGCAGGTTGATGGGATTAGTTCGCGGAGTCTAATTTGGGTTCCGACAGCCCAAATCTGTTTTGAACCAGCTCGTTTGTTTGTTCCTCGTCAACATTTGTTCGTGCTTGTTTCTCTCCGAGTTCCAGAAGCGAAAGTTCAAGGAACCCAGACATTGTATTGACCAAAACTATCGAAAAGCTTGTCAGCCAATGCTCTTCTTCTTTCCATGTCTTCCCTCGAACTTTAGACTGAAAACCGGGCAACAAATTGCGATTATGCTTTCGGTTCTAGCGCGGCGCATTTTTGAAGTACAAATCAACCTTTTGGTCTCATGAGTCGGCATCCGATTGTTCATCAAGATGCTGTTACGGCAAGCCCATCTGGGAATGATCTTCAATTCAGTCCCCAGGGCCCCCGTCAGATACAGTTTATTATAGCCCCACCGTCCAGGTCACCTTCCCTGTCAGCCACCATCTCCTGTGGTAAAGTCCCTGGCCTCGACCCTTTGTGGGCATCCATTCGTTCGACCTTGCTTCCGTTCCTCCCCCATCCTAATCGCTGGCAGACCTCTGCTTCAACATGGCGGCTCTAGCAATCGATGTCAACCAACTCAAGGTCGCCGCAGTGGTGGCCTTCTACATGTGCTCGGCGCTAATCGTAAGTACTTTGTCATTTGGCTCGATGTCGTGAAGCGTTGACACGGCCTCCCTTAGATGGTCTTCGTGTACGTTTGAGAGGCCTTCTCGGAGTCAGAAGTGCAGCTCACTCACTGGATTCTAGTAACAAGGCCGTGTTGAACAACTCCCCGGACCTCCCCCTTCTCTTCCTTCTCTTCCAGCTACTTATCGCCGTCATTTTGCTCCACGTATCGGCCGCCTTCAGTAGCAAGATCGAGATACCCAAGTTCGACAAAGCTGTTGCAAAAAAGCTCATCCCTGTCGTGACTGTCAACATCGTTGGCCTTGTATTCAATACTTTGTGTCTCCGAGATGTTGAAGCGTCCTTCTTCCAGGTGAGTACGCTTGGGAGGCTCTTATGCCGCTTTACTGATGCTTTCTCGCATAGATTGCAAGGGGACTGGTTCTGCCGCTCACTATTGTTGTCTCCTCTGCCCACACCAGAACAACTCCAGGGAAGAAAGTTGTTTTTGCAGCAGCAGTTGTCACGGTGGGCTTTATGATCGGCGTTGCGCCCTCGAAGGATCTCCCGAAGTCATCCATCCCGTCAACGTTGTCGCTCTTTTACGGGGTCCTCTCCTCCCTCTTCATTGCTTTCCATGCCGTCTTGATTAAGAGCTCGTTACCTCACTGTAACAACTCGACGATCCAGCTCGCTTGGTGGACAAATGTCGGCTCCGCCGTGATGCTGTTCCCATTCGTATGGATTCACGGGGAGCCCTGGAAAGTTTTGGATCTGTATTTCTTGGAGAATTGGGACTGGAGGGTCTTTGCCTGGGGAACTCTTGTCACTGGCGTCTTTGGATTCTTGCTATGCGTTGCAGGTCTCTTGAGTATCAAAGTCACTAGCCCTATCACCCACATGTTCTCTAGCGTGAGTTCTTTATTATTCTCGATTCTTTTCCCACTGTTGACCCCCCATCTAGGCTGCACGTTCCGTGCTACAGACCCTTATCGGTGTTTGGGCGTTTAAAGACATCCTGAATGTGTAAGTGGCGACTCGCTCCATCCATCCTATGTCCCTCGATTGATCCGGGGCCATTCTTCATAGAAACCGCGGCCTTTCCATCTTAATTATCCTAGTCGGAACCATGTGAGTAGCCAATTAACCTCTTTCAATATGTCGTCTCACCCACATCTCATTTGCAGGTACTATACTTGGCTTAAGTCTCAGCCCGCTTCACCGCCTTCCAATCGCCGCGAGAACGACCCCGAAGCTGCCATTCCCCTCACCTCGGGTTCGGAAGATCAAGAGAAGGAGAAGGTCTAAGGCCTCGACTCTCTCCTCTGGTGTTAAGGATATGTCAAAGGACATGATAATGACCTGTTGACTTATGATGGACAGTCCGCGCTGCCTGGATTTACACCTCCTATCATTATGATTGTTGTTGGATACTATAGTAGTTCCCTTCTGCCACTCTTTTGGACACTGACGCTCTTTTCTGTACCATGGACATCTGTAATCTTCTTGTAAGGCTTCGGCTAGTACTTATGTGTATCACTTAGCTAGTTGAATGAATCGGAATGCTGACTCTGTTCCTCGTATAACGTCAGGTGTCCTTCTCAGTTCTAACACTCCAATTGTCGTGACAGTGACTGTACGACTAGAACAAATGATTAACGAATATTGTGACGGATGTTGTGATTTGGGGGTTCTTCCAACGTCGGGCAGCGACTCGATGGCAATTCGGCGCTTCTCGAGATGCTATTAGGCTCTTTCCGTCATGGTCGCAAGAAGTGTGGGGTTTGAGAAAGGGGTTTGAATCTCGCACTCCGGGAGGGCTTGCGGGTCACACCTAAACAAACAAACAACCGATTCCATCGTCGGCCAGCGAGTGAAGCAGGAAAAAAAAGCCATCACACAATGTGGATGATTGGAATTCGCAATTATTTGCTGCGCATGTGTGCCTCTATGTAAAGGGCTATTTTTTATTCCCAGAAGTTTGCCTGCAATGTCGAGTTCTTGTACTTTCCCGAGGGCGACGAGTCCATAACGAATCCCTTCAAGTTCCGTGCAACCGGCTTTGAGATGGGCGCTTAATATTTACGAGACTTCCCCGGAACATGTGGGGCAACTGAGCAGCGCGCAGCCCTCGGGGTAAGATGTCTCTTCTCTCATTAGCTGTTTGCGGGGCTGTGGTAGGATTGCATTTCGCCAAGGACAGTAAGTATGCTTACAGCAGACCAGTAACATCGGACTGCCATAACCCCTTGTCTTCTGATGCATGCTTTGTGATTTGAGGGTGGGTACAAAAAGCCTAGCATAGGTTAAGCCATCTCCTTCTTTCTCATGAACACACCTCCTCCCTATTTCCCACATCCTAATTCCGATCTTGAAGCCCCCAAGACTGCAGCGCAGGAGGGTGAAGTGGTTCTGCAAACCGGTTCATTTCGCAATCAAACCAAAGCGCCCACACCAACTCAGCCGCCAGGGCCGAAAGGGGCTAACACCCGCGCCGTTCTATCGCTCCGCCAACAGATTGTACCTTCTTTGCCTGTTACAAGTACAAAAAAGCAGATTCTGGACATGGCTGACGGCACGATACGACCCCTACAATCTCAGCGAACGACATGCAGCTCGATATCCAGGCGTCAACTTCAGCCGCCTCGTTGAATGGCGATCCTGCAGCTCCGGGTTCCAATGGCGTTCGCAAGATCGAGAACAATGTCACCGCAGGCCCGGACAAGGGGGCGAACGGTACGGCCACAATCTCTGTTGGTCGTCGGTTGGGAGAGACAGAACTGTCCTACTATCTTCCATCGCGAGAGAATGGTGTGAACGACATGTATGTAGGTTCCGCTGCAGCTAGTTGCCTGGAGAAAGAGTTGACATTCCACTTGCAGGTACCTCCACCTGGGGTTCCGGGCTCCTGCGAACCTCGTTGCTCGTTCGCGAGTTAGAATCATCTGGGCTATCATTCGCCAGCGCCACCCTCTGCTGGCCGCTTCGATACGTATGAATGACTACGACGATGTTCGCTTCAAGTGCGTCTCCGCTCGTACTTGATTATCACCAGCGGAGAGCTGAAGTCGCGATTAGGTATCAAGCCATAGCGTCTGTCGACCTCGCCATTTCGTCCGCGGATGCTCACCTAGAATATCGAGAACAGAACAAAGATGGTAAGCGCCTTGTTGTCCACCACCCTGCTTTGGCTAGCGTCAACCCAACTTTTATAGATCTGATTGACTCGTATTTGAATGGTCCACGGACGCTCTCCAACGACCGCCTTTCTTACCTCTACATCTCGTCGCCCGATACGTCCAGCGAATCATCAACAGATGAACTCGAGTTTAACTGGATGATATGCACCACGCACTACATTGGTGATGGGATGGCTCTCCACCAGACTGCCAACGATTTCTTCACACTCCTTGGGAGCAAGAAGAACGAGGCGGAGCTCCAAGCCCTTTTAAATTCCGAGATGACTTCCAACAGGCAGGAAGGAGAGCAGCAACTGCCACTATCCATTGAAGACAGGCTTCCAGAGTCACGCCCTGAACGAATCTATGGCGCAATATCCACTGTCGATCATCTGCTATCGCAGAGGAAGTTGATTGTGAGACCCTCAATTCTTTCTGAATGCCTCATTATGACCTAACTAGCTCCCATCATATCAGGGTGGCCATGCCTTTCCTCGTCGTTCTGGGCAGCCCCGGCGGACAGTGGTACCAACAGTGTCCTTTGACCCCGAGAAGACGAAGCAGATGCTAAAGAAGTGCAAGGAGAACGGAGTATCTATTTCAAGCGTTGTCTTCGCTCTCTGCAACATTGCTTGGGCCAAAACACACACTAGAGACGGGGAATACCCAATGTATGTCATGGTTCACAGGAATCTGAAGGCTCGAACTAACGCTTATCCATAGGATGATGTACTCCGCTTTGAACTTACGACCTTACCTGAGAGCCAACGAGAACCTCAAGAGCTCGTATTGGTTCCTGGCTATCGGTTACTTCAACGTTGTACTTCCATCCTTTCTGCCTCGGGAAGGCCCAGGTGAAGCTGCCATCTTTTGGCATCGAGCACGCTCAGTCAAGCTTCAAACTTCAAAGGCAGCCAAAAGCCCGATGCTAGCCTCTCGAAGCCAAGCCATGGCTAAAGAACGGGGTCTCCGTTCTCGCATCTGGGGAATGCAAGACGATGGTGTTGAGTGCAAACTCTCTATGCCTAACCCAAAGCTTTTCGAGAACGACACGCCCGCACCTTCGAAGGCTCTCATTGGGCTGTCCTTGCTCGGAAACCTTGATGGAACCTACAAACATCAGTCCTTCTCTCCGGTGACTCTACACACCCTTACCACCGGCTCACGGCAAAGGCAGGGAGGGATGTTACTATTTGGCTACACTTTCGTTGGGAAGCTCTGGCTTAGCCTTGGTTACGATGTCAACGGATTCGACGACGAGGTTGTCCAGCGTTTCTGGAAGCACCTTCTATCCAGCGCGGACGAGTTCCTGTGCAATTGATGGCAGGCGGATGTGTGTTTCTAATTGGTTAGGATTGAATATACCCTGGATATAATGGATAAAAATACACCGGTAATAAAACTGCTACTCTAATCGTCAAAACAGTGAAGATAAAGTACATGCAAACAACAGCGAAAACCGAAACGCGGGTGGGTGAATGTCGTACAGTGGAGGGTTGAATGGACAAGGACATTGTTTATGCGTGTGCCAGCTGATGACGCGCACGAGCGAAAGCAGGCTGAGGCTTGATCATGCCACTGGAAGGCATGTGAGTTGCTGCTTCGCGGAAGGTAGGAGAGATGAAGATACTCACGGTACTGGCTTGTAGTATGACCGAACTGCAAGGCCAATGAATAGGGTCTCGAGACCAGCCCAAAGAGCAAGGGTCTGAAAGAACATCCAAGCCAAATTTAATAACAGATAACATTCTCGAGATGGCGGCGCACCTTGTAGCGGGAGAGCCAGAGGTAGTACATGGTGGTGATTGGTGGAGGTTGGAGTTGGCTTGAAACTGGATCGGGGTGTCTAAGAAGACGAAGAGAGTGACCGAGGCAATGGGACCCTTTTGAGTAACTCTAACTCTGGGGATTTGGTGGTTCTGAACCTGGGTTCTTAGAAGACACTCATGTCTGGCTTTTATCTGGATTTAGGCCCTCGCTCAAGACCGGAGAGGTCGATGATCGAATATTCTAGCCACTACAAGAGAACGCAGTGGATCAGTTCGAAAACAATCGATTGCGAAAGGCCGTGAACGGGAAACAAGGCGGGGCAGGGCTGTGATACGCTGACCTCCATTCTAACGGGGTCGAGGACCAGTCGCGTCCTGGTCGCGTCTCCGTTCTACGCGGTCATGGGCCGTGGCGGCGTTTGCCGACTCACTTCCAGAACCTCCAGTCAATCAAACACAAACAGCTTCCGCGGATCCAGGCCCATATCCGTTCCGAATGGCACATCGATGCCCAATAATGTGATTCAGATTGGTACCCTATCCTTCTCCAAGCAACAAAATAGCCCAACAAGTCTATACATCGGGGAGTTCTCGCTGTATCAATCGCGTCCATGTGCTTTCCTTCCACCAATCGTCCATATGATCAATTCTCTCCCAGAGGGTCTCCTCGTCAACACCGTAAATTTCATACTTTCCGCCATCTAGCCGCATCCCTTCACGCTTAGCCACGTCCAATGCCGCCCGGTTCTCTCCCCTACACGACAAATATTAGGCTTTAATGACGAAGATCGTCGGCGGAAGAGACCTACTTGAGCAGTTCCAGAAGCTCCTTTCGATCGGGAAAGAAAAGCCTAGGTTCCATTACTGCGAGCATGCCGAGTGCTGCGCGGTATAGGAAGGAGTCACCTTCAAGCAGAATGACATCCCATATCCTTGCGCAGGCTTCGAAAGGCAGATGATCAAGGAACAGGGGCACTAGCCAGTCGGGTAGGTATGCCGAAGGTGATATTTGGTGCTGCTTAAAGTTGAAGTAGACTTGAGAGAGAGGTTACTCGGCTGGACGCTACTCTATCACTTGATACGACGTACTCTTGGGCATCCCATCAGCGAGAAGGGTATCGAAAATTCTATAGCGGCGACGGTACAGGTTAGGGCTAGAGTCGGTTGATCTGGTTCAATTTGACGACTGAAATCTCACCGATAGTAAGCTTCCACCTATTGACTGACGTCAGAAACAAGGTCAGCGGAGAATAACTGGCAGCTCACATCGTCTTTGGAACGTTCGCCGCCAAAGAAGCTTCGCAGACAATGTCGGTCCAACAGGTTGCGCATGACGATGAATGCATTCTGAATAGGCATGTTAATGAGCAACATCGCTGCTACCCTCGCTGCTCCTGCGGTATACCCAAGACCCTCGTCAGCGCGAGCAACGACCCATGCATATAACATCTCTTTCAGATCCTCATAGAGCGGTCCTGTCTCATGATGGAATATATGGATTGCAGGGAGAGTTGTGCGAACATCTTCCTCTAGAAGGTTGAGAGCCTCTGCAGGGAAGGCTCCTGCATTCAGCGCGCGTTTGGCTCTGGACAAGCAAGTACGGAAGTGATCTGAGATTGGAGTCAGACTAGGTTCTACGGAAGACGAATGTGGACCAGCCTTTGTTGAGAGCAAGTGGGTTACCAACAGCCTTCTCCCACATTGTAGCGCGAAGCTTCGTCGGTATACCCTGCCACCATAGTTTCCGCAAATTGGGATTCCTGAAGACAACCTTCCAATCCGGCACAATCTCTGCTTCCCATCGCGCAAGGTTCTCCTCAATCGCTTTCTCTCGTTGGAGCCGTCGGTCTTGTAGAGCCTTCCGTCGCTTTTCAGCTGAACAGGAGTCAATTAAAGGGTCTTATGAAAGATGGAAGCAACGACGGACCAGCTAATCGACTCTGCTTCATCATATTCTGCCAATCTGAGAGATGCTTGTCATCTTCCTTCCTAGGTTTTGGCGGTAGGAAAGTTGGCCGTGTCTTGCTGCGTACTTTCTCGAACAGGCTGGGCCCCGAGACAGTTGAGCGACTGGATTTATGTCCTTGAGGTTTCTCGTACAGTAGTTTGCCGGGACTGGGATCGGGAAGCGAAGACGTGCTGGCTACATGGTGGCTGGACGATGGCGACGAGGCTACAGTGTGGGGACGAGATGCGGGTGCAGAGTTGCTCGAGGGACCGGGAATAGGTAGAGGAACGACTGTCGGAGAGCTGGCCTCCGTCTTATCTGGGCGCTGTTCATGAACAACTTCCTGTGAACCGTTGGATGCCGAACCATTCGCTGAATGAGGTTGAGGTTCTGAAGTCACAGTTACTCGATGCAAAGGATCCTTGGAAGCATCGATGATTACGGTGGGATACGGGTGCTGTGTAAATTCTGGCAGCCGGGGAGTTTCAGGACGAGGAGGGTCAGACTTCTTCTCTTCTTCCTCCTCTTCAACGTCAGAATGACTTTCGACATGTGCCGATAGCGATAGTGCTGAGAGTTGCGACGACAGTGGAGATTCCAGTGTTGGCGATGTCCATTCTCCAGCATTGCCATAGCGGTGTGCGTGAAAGTCAGAGCTGGAACCAGACAGAGGGCTGGTAAAGAAAGCGCCCGTTGTTGAGCCAGTATGCTCACTGGCCGATTCGCCTTCCTCCCAAAGATCCAAATGTGGCGGTAGGTTCTTCTCGAGCTCTTTGCGGACGGTGTCGCGCGAGAAGACAAATCCCGAATCTACATCGTCGTCTCCGTCGTCAAATGCATCGTCAACGTTAAGAACGGCAGCTGGGGCTTTCGATTCATCGGCGGCGATGATGGCCATAATACAAGTCTGGAATTAATGCGCCAAATGAGAGTGGTGTGGTTGTAGACTGCGGATTGGTGACGGTAGACGGTAGAAAGGAAGTTAATGGCCGTTGTTGTGGCTTGCATGGTCGTCACGAGTATCGCGGCCAACAACGCGCTTAATGGTCTTGCCTGCAACCATCACCATCCCTTGAATGTGCATCGCCTCAAAGCCCTGGTTTCTCGACGACGACGGCAATATATCGATGTGTTTGGGGAATCTCTAATATCAGAATCCACGACGACCACAGACTAGAATCATGATCGCAGAGATTTTACTTATCCTCGCCGGCCATTCGTCGTCCCTATTCCCAACGGATTACACTTTGAACAAGGACATCATTCCCCTCCTACACCCCGGAGAAAGACAATGTCTTGAATCCCTAGGCCTTATTGCGCACAGATACCGGAAAGTTAGGTCGGCGTGCACGAGGCTGTCCCAATCATCGTCCCGGTACATCTGCGCCCTCTGCGCCTCTTTGTCGCAGATCCTGAAGGAGGAGTATGACGCATTGGTGGTAGAGACAGAGGCCAAGGTTCTCAAACGCGATGCCCTCCTTGTAGCAAGCGGCGCATTCGTACCTCTGTCCTCCGTGCGTGCCATCTTTTCCGAATGGGATGCCCCATTAGCCGCGCTCTCGACACTCATGGACGACCTGCAATCAGGGACCGAGTGGAAAGCTGGCCCCCTCATAGATATGTTGCTGTCGAGATCAAAGACGGGAGTGCATCGCGTCGCGGATATCCTATCGCGCCTTTCTGTCGCTGTGCAATGCGTATGGCGCTCACATTTGACTGCTCTCCTTGTCCACGGCTCCCTCTCGGATATCGACCCCCTTGCCAATGCAGACTACTCCCTCATCGATACTTCTATCCCTTCATGCATCACGCCAGCCTCTCGAGAATCCATTGCATACGTTGGTCGAGCGATTGGGACCGTCAAGGCGGTCAAATGGCAGAAACAATTGCCACGAGAGCTTGCGATGGAACATACCAAGATGCTGCAAAGCGTCCTCCCGGAAGACCAGCACGCGTTTGATCGTGTCATATCGCAAATCAGGACCGATGTAGGGGAATGGCTTTGGCACAATGTCCTTACTAGAAAGGATATAGACATTGCAGTGGACTCGCTGTGAGTGTTGCTCCCGTAGTGGTGTACTCATACTAACTCTTCATCCAGCGGGGACTACTTCCTGCTTAGAAATGGAGAGTTTAGCCTCTCATTAATCCGCGAAATTGAACGATTGAAAATCTCGCGTCTGACCAACCGCTCAGCTGCTGCCTCGATGATCCGGGAGCAGGACCTGAACCTTGCCTTGCTACGGGCATCTCTTGGAACCACCGCACAGCACGACCCCGCCCTAACGAAACTGCGATTCCATCTTCCATCTGGTCCTCTACGGCCACTTTTACCCTCGTTGGCAAATGTAGGCAAATCCTTCACAGGTTCGACTTCAATGAATCATTCGGGTCCATTCGACGCGTCTATATTCAATTCACATCTTCTCGGAACGCCGATGTCTCTTTTGTACAGCATCGAATGGCCACTGGACCTTTTCATCAGCAAGGTGGAGATGACAGCTTATGGGGCCGTCTTTTCCTTCTTATCTTCGATGCGAAAAACTCACATTCGAGTTCATGACTGCTGGACATCGCTGTCCAATGCCCAACGTGCGAGGCGGAAATGGACCGGCCTCGACGAGGGTGGAACTGAAGAAGATCTGAACATGCGGAAGAAATTACTCCGGCGTAGTTGGGGGATTGTTAGAGACATGGGGTGGTTCCTTGACACATTACTCGGATATGTCATGATGGACGTGGTCGACCTGGAGTTTCGAAAGCTGAAGGAAATCTTATCAAAGGAGGGTGTATCTGTTGAACCGACAGGTCGAACCGATCCAGCAACCCAGAAGTCAAGCTATCTTGATTTCACCTCCATTCGAACAATCCATTCAGGATATCTGGACCGAGTATTGAATGGATGCCTCCTGACCAATCCATCGCTCACCTCTCTCCTCGAATCGATACTAGTGACATGTGAACAGTTCGTTGCCCAAGTGGAGAGATGGGGAGGTGATGTTCTGCCGGCGCTTTTGTTCGAAGGAAGTCTTCGGCCGGGCGAAGCGGGCGTAGGAGATATGGTGAAGGAGCGGTGGTCGACCGTGGCGGACATCGACAAGGTATGTCGTGCCTAGTCTAAAAGGCTTGTCCATTGCGCTAACATATTGTAGACATTACGCCATCTGTTCGAATCCTTCTACGAACAGTTAAACTCGTCGATTTCGCAGCAGCCACTCACATCTGGGCTAGATACTTCGAGGAGTCTTTTTATTGGTTCCAGCGTGGCAAATCACTCGACTGTCAACTTCTCCAGAACGATGAAGGGTTTAGACAAGCACGTGGGTGATAGCAGGAGACACATCGAGCGATTGCTACTCCGGCTGGATTTCAACGGAGGACTATCGAAGCCCCGCAGCGAAGAGAGTGCAGATATTTTGAAGGACTTGTAGTTTTTTTGGTATATAGATAAGATAAAGCGCTTAGCGGTTGATGAGTCACGGGACGGTTGTCGACGTAGCATTCCGGTTGAATGTGTTTCTGTAACCCTTTGAATTGCCAATGTACCGGACATTATGGAGTAGCAATATCCGGAGAGCCAGTAGCTGGCAGAAACATTTAAAGGTTAGCGTCTCCTTGGAATCGCATTCTCCAATTTTCCCGGGGGATGATGTTATTATCGATGGAATTCTAATCGGCCAGATCTGTTCACAGGTAACCCCGAACCCAAGACTGAAACTTATGGCGTACAGTCCAAATACGGCTCAACGTCTGAACCAACAACTCAGGTTTCTTTCTTCCTCTTCCTCAGACAAAATGGCCTCCCGTAAGTATTAAAATCTTTCCCCTTCCTCGTCGTTCTGAACAACGAGCTCGCAGCCTACACTCCCCGCCTCATCGGTGCCCCCAACACCCTTGGTAAGTCCGTCCTCGTCGTCGGTCGTTGGAGATTCACGTAACTAACGACGTCCTCGTCGCTTTTTTTGTAGAACACCGAGTGTTCATCGAGCAGAACGGCAATGTCATCTCGCCGTTCCACGATATCCCTCTGTTCGCCGACCAGAACAACGGCATCTTCAACATGATCGTCGAAGTGCCCCGCTGGACCAACGCGAAGATGGAGATCTCCAAGGAGGAGCCCTTCAATCCTATCAAGCAGGATGTCAAGAAGGGTCGTCTCCGCTACGTCCGAAACTGCTTCCCCCACCACGGCTACATCTGGAACTACGGTGCCTTCCCTCAGGTAAGTCGCGTCCGATCCCGCCACGCGATGATGAACTCGGAAATCTTATCTATTCATTATCCAGACCTGGGAGGACCCTGCTCAGTCTCATGCTGAGACCAAGGCCAAGGGTGACAACGATCCTCTCGACGTTTGCGAGATCGGTGAGCAAGTTGGCTACGTCGGCCAGGTCAAGCAGGTCAAGGTTCTCGGCATCATGGCTCTGCTCGACGAGGGCGAGACCGACTGGAAGGTTATCGTCGTGGACGTCCAGGACCCCCTCGCTTCCAAGTTGAACGACATCGAGGACGTTGAGCGTCACCTTCCCGGACTCATCCGTGCCACCAACGAGTGGTTCCGGTATGTGGTCTTGTCCCGCCTTGGCTCATCTTCCGCCCGACTAATGCGATCATTACCATAGAATCTACAAGATTCCCGATGGCAAGCCCGAAAACACCTTTGCCTTCTCTGGCGAGGCCAAGAACAAGAAGTATGCCACCGAGATCATCCACGAATGCCATGAGGCCTGGCGCCGTCTCATTACTGGCGAGACTCCTGCTAAGACCGCCAATTACGATCTCTCCATGTATGTGGCTTGATTTTTTGGACAGCACTCTCAGCTAACTCTTCCCAGCCGCAACATCACTATCCAGAACTCCCCTGGCTTCGTCTCCAGGAACGACCCCTCCTACACTAGCCTCCCCGCCGATTCTCGCAGGCCCCCTGCTCCCATCGACCCCTCCGGTAAGAGCATTAAACATCTCGCCTTCTGTCATAGCGTTGACATTGCCATCCAGTCTCCAAGTGGTTCTACATTTCTTCCGCCCAGGTTTAAGCTCACTGGAAGGAAAGAAAAAGGAAGCAGTGTATATAGAAGTCGAAATGACAATCTGAATCATAATCTTGGTTGTGTCACCAAATTTCGTGAACGCACGTCGTGAATCATTAGCGTAAATGGTAAATGTATGTACATGTCTATGTCAGATCTGACTATGGTTGGTTGAGATGGGAGCATCATGGTCGTTGCTTGTCAGTAGGCAATTCTTGTTGCACTGGAGGATACCGACAATATTTGTCGGAAATCGAGGTCACTGTCCAAGTTCCTGCAATAAAAAGATTAGGACCAGGTCATCTTCGCACGAATCGTGTGGACATACCCTCAAGAGCGGAGAAGATCGAATATTCGTGAGTCATGACGCGAGAAACGGTATGCGTCTCCAGCACTCTTCCAGGCTTCCCGCCCTTTCTTGAGCTAGGTTCTGCGCGCTGGTACGTGAATGTGAATGGAGGCTCTCCGATGAGAGTAAACACAATCTCCGCTTGGTCGCCTTCGTGGATGTCCTGGAAGATCTTCTTGCCCTGCCCCACTTTAGCGGAAGGCAAGGGATGGACGTTGAATCTCAGGTCGGTGACGACAGCTTTGCACATCTGTTGTTGGTGGGCAATGGAAGTAATCGTAAATTCGCCAGGCTGCTGTTGAGCAATCGAGAATGGCGAGGTCTTGACTTCCTTCGTATACGACCTGCTGTTGACCCGGTATCTACAACCCGCTGTTAGTAGGTTTTTCGAATGGCACGGGGCGCATTTGTAACGTACCCGATGGTCCAAGGAGGGATGCCCTCGAGTTGGAACTGGGTGATTTCGCCAACGCAAACATCAGGTCTGTTTTCGAAGGGAATGATGGAAGCAGTCTCCGCGACATCCACCCAAATAGAGCTTAGCAAAGGATCTAATTCCGATTGCGCACAGTTGGACGAATCCGAGACAGAGTCGATGGTGACGCGGTGAGGTCCAACCGAAGCGAATTCGTATGTCGGCAAGTCGAGTTTCCAGACATTCGATGGAACTTCAACGAGCAACTTTTGAGTCTGGCTGGCTGCAACGTTCCTGACAGTGAGAGTCAACATGAACGGCGGCTGGCCTTCCAGGACGACAACGCCGTCAGACGAGGATTTATCGAGCGGAACAAAGGTGTCGTGAAGACAGTAAGTCATCCTGTTGCGGTTCTTGAAGTGAGCAGAAGGACGCATTGCGACCTGTTGTTCAAAGATCAGGCCTGGCGGTTGGTCGGCGTTCTTCTCGAGAGGATAGACGGAATCCCCAATCTGTTTAACACCGTACAGCATGCGACCGGGAGTGGATGTAAGCAGCTGGAACCGAGTTCGCGGTTGGATGCTGTTGATCGTTGGTTGCTCGATCATGTCGATTCCTCCTTGTCCGTTCGGTTGTCCGATGTTGTACATAATCTGGAAAGGGGGTCGACCTAGTGTTGCGCGGTGAACAAAAGCATGGGTTATTGGGCTATTGTGAGACACGTACCTGTCAGCTCCAAATCAACATGGTCGCTGACACCCTCGCAAACAGTCCTCAAGGTATAGCGGCCGTTATGTGTATTGAAAGTGGCTGGCGTCTCGGGCGAAAGTTTTGCAGTTGGTCTCGGAATGATGTCGACGCGATAGGTTGAAGCTTCTGACGCGATGGTACCAGGGCATTGAGAATCGTTCACCTGAAAGAAGCGTGGATGAGGGGGGCATATGGACCAACATTTGAGAATGGCAGGACTTACCGACAGCAATTCATATGTACCGGGATGGCGGACAGTGATGTGGTCATTGGGGTTTAATAACCTCGCAGTGATGTTCCTCGAGGGGGTGTCGGTTCTACGGTAAACAACACTCCATGGCTAAACGGAGGAATGAGAAGAGAACCACAAGATATGCAGGATGAACCCACCCCGCTTCCGGTCAATCTCAGAGGTAGCTTCCCTTCGTCGTTTTCTGTAATAGAGACATATCGCTCCTCGTCGGTACCGTAGAACCTAGCAGTTGGCTTTGAAAATGTCAGTAAGCTGCAGTGACAGGAGTCGTCCTGGGACTCACTCTAGTACGCTTGACGTTGACCACGATTCCTGGGGCAGAGAGGGACCTCTTGCACTTGTACGCATCCTCCACACTCACTACAGAAGGCGGTGAATACTTTACCAAGGATAGAAGCCTGCACGAGACTCACGAAGAACGATCTCAAATTGACCCCCATTTCGAACAATAGATTGAGGGACAGGAACTGAGATCGGGGCCCTCGATGTTTGAAGTCCATCAAAGCGGAGAGTCTCAGAGCTCTGTGGACCAATAACCTGCACCTCCAAATTCCAGGGGCCAGTGCCCTTGAGATCAACGGCGACGTCCACGGACTGCCCAGAGCAGCTATTGATGCTTCGTTTGGTTTTGCCCGAGATATGTGAGTCGGCAAAGTCAGCAGAAGCCAATGGGTGAATGATTTGTTCGATGCTGGGTCCACGCAACTCAACCTTGCGATAGTTGGCATCGCTGAGGCTAACGAAGGTGAAGATGTAGTGTCCGCTCCGTTCGGGTTGCAGCGTCAATTCTCCTCGAGAACTTGAGAATGTCTTGGAGTGTTCGCGGGTTGGCTCGTTGTCACGTTGGACCCTGTAGAATACCTGGAATGGTGGCGTGCCTCGTAGAATGAGGTTGGCGGAAACACCGGTGTCGCCAGAGCTGCAGATTTTATTAATCAGTCTAAGGTTAATGTTGCAGCTATGAATTGGAGCCAACCATTCATGAATACGCTTCCATTCGATTTCAGCCGAAGGCCTGGGTCGCTCAACGACTTTGCACACACTGGGGGCGAAAACAGTACCGGAGCAGTACTTGAGGCGGAAACTGTCAGTATTGGTCTCGTTTCAAGAATGAATGCAAACTGTACCTTTCCTTTGATCCCAACGATGGAGTACTCGCCAGGGCTGCCGGCCATAAGTGACGCATCCGGCTTGTCACCTGAAGCCTTGATGATTTTGTTCCAGGGTTTGTGCTTCTTGCTCGTGTCTTCAGGATCGGGCTGATACTTCATGGAAATCTCCCAAGGTCCGTCACGAGCGTCACCAGAAGAAGCTCGGATAGGCAGACTTGTTTCAGAGCCAATCAGCAATGCCTTGGGATTCTCCAAACTGCAATGGGAGAACGAAATAGCTGGTCTGGTCAAGACAACAAAGGATTGCTTCGTCGAGGTCGTCGCGGCAGTGTTGCCGTCATTTCCCATCTTCACGACGTTGCCAACTCCATCCACAATCTCCTCCAACGTATAAACGTATGTACCGGGCGAGTTCAAGGTCACAGTCAAAGGCAATTGAACTCGGTCTGGCTCTGCAACGTGCCTGGTTGATTGAACGATAGACCCGGAAGCTTGTTCAGCACGGTGGGCATGACCGTGCTCCCCTTCAATACCTTCGACCAAGAACTGTTCTTTCTGGCCATTAACGGACTTCGCCCATCGAAGGCTCAACGGTGGTACTCCGTAAACATTGATGGTCAGCTCTCGGCTGTTGTCCTGACCTGCGCATTGAACTTCTGGTTCTTGGTGACGTGATGGTGGGTCGGGGAAGGATACTGTAGGGCATGGAACCACCACAACCTCTCCGGGCGAGATGCGCGCTTCAACGTTGCCCGAACCAATGACGTGCTCCAGCTTGATGATTCCGGGCTTGGATACACGGAGATAGACAAGGTTTTGTGACTTTTCGAGGTTGGATTGAGGGCGTGAGTGTTCGTCCTCGTCGTCGTCGTCATCGTACTCATCATATTCATCTTCCTCTTCTGTTGGGGTAGGCGGCTGAGGTTTGGTCGTTTGAATAAGATCCTGGTACGCCTGGGCGATGGCCTTCAGATCCCTGGCTGAGAGATCGAATCGCTCAATTTTGGGTGGCGCGTCGGAGTGGGATTTCAATGGCGCCTGCGTGTATCTCAAACCAGCGACCTCGGTATTGTTGAGAAGGACAGGGACGAGAACGAATTTTGACGTCGGTGAGAGGCAGAAGTTGTCGCTTTGAGGGTTGAGCTGCGCAGTGCTGATTGGTGACATGCGCACGGTGTGTTGTCCGAGCAGGTGACCATCTCCAGAGGAACCAATGAGACCGAACGAGAGTGGCGCAATGTAGCTGAGGAGGTCGAAGCCCGAGGATGAGTAGATGCTACTCTCTATTTATACGCAATGAGTGTCTGACGTCGGTTCCTGGCACAGTGTAGAGCAACAGACCTGGACGACTTGATGACTTGAATGAGGCGCCACCGGTGGTGATGGTGAGTCCCCCGAACAAGAAGCAATTGATGACAGATATTGTGACGAGCTGAATAATAACGGTAGTATTTCCGTAAGTCAGCCTAGGTATTCGCAGCACTGCAAAGAGCAAGACGAGGACGGTGTCCACGATAAGCCATTTGCAACACAATGAAACACTTTCGGCGTGAGTGAGAGTGAATGACCGAAGAAAGTCTGCTACTTTGATGGTCTATTGGGATAATTAATGATTGTATTCAAAGGTAGACTGGTACTGCATACCTGGCAGAGAAGCCAAAGACTGAGAGAATACAGCCTTTGTGACGGATAGTCCAAGTAGGCTTCTGGTATGAGGGAATCCTGCTTTTTCTCTGTCTTTGACGCCATGTTCGCGTTATAAGCACGCGCAGTGCCTATATTTTAGGAGGTTCCGACAGTCACCGCCGACTGAGGTCCCGGGAGAAAGCAGAGAGGAAGCGAACTGGATGGTGGACGTGACGATGAAAGCGTTGAAAGACCGTTTCAAGCCTTGACTTGGCATCATTGCCTTTTCTGGAGATCCGATCACGTGAGCGAGTGGACCAACAGCGGAGATTCAGAACTCAAGTGTCCTGGCAGTGGCTCTCCCGCAAGCTTCCCATTCGATGACCACGTTTTGATACTTCTGTCAAACACAGGCTCTCATGACTGCCGTAACCACCGAATTACTTCAGAGCTTGTGCTATCTAATCACCATCTCGCCGCAGTGTGGGTGCGCAACCGCAGCATCTTGGGCGCTTAATGACATCGATAAGCTTCGAGATGTACAGCAGCTCCCACGAGCAAGGCTTATAAAGGAAGAGAAGGCCGCGTAGCCTCCTGTCAAGGACTATCCCTTCTTCGTTCCTCATTACCATGCTGACAGAACTCCCCCGTTTGCCTGAAGTCGACCTGGAAATTATCCTGGAAGCTTTCCATGCTACCGCACAGTCTACCGACTTAAACCAACGTCAATGGGGCGATAAGGCTCGTCTCCAAGAGATTGGAGTACAAGTGCTGCATATGGCGCTCACGGCTCATTACTTCTCCGTCAAGCCGAATCTATCTGCAACTGAAATCCAGGTAGGAGGTTCCCTTCCGACACCAATTGCCTTGCATTGTGGTCCCTAACACTACCACTTCTCTCGCTTCTCTCTTGCTTGGAAGAGCAAAGTCAGCGAAGTGCGGCATGGGGGCAGGATCCACGAATGGGTGGGACGTTACGATAACTTGATTAGGTTCGTGATGGACAAAGACAGCCCCGTGAGCCTTCCCTGTGTATCATCTCCTACTCTTGCCGTCTGACCTGAGTGTACACAGGCGGAACGTGGGCAACTATTCGAGGCCTATGTCGGGGCGTTATGGTACAGCAAAGGCATGAAGGCGACCCAGAAGTGGATCAGCGACCTTCTCGGCGACAACGTCTACGTTAAGGACGAACCGGACGACACCGCTCAAGACGTCACCGGAGATTCGTCACAGTCGCCTCCCCAGTATTCACCAACTGCAACAACTACCAGTGGCCCTCCCCATCCGTCCGTGGCGCCTGCCATTCCGTTGGCCCATGTCAATGAGTTAGCTGCGCAGAGAAAGATAAATATGACTTGGGAAGCATCCTTTTCAGGACCGCCTCACATGCCCATTTGGACTGTGCGATGCCTGGGTATGCGTTATTCCATACATCGAGAATGCACTCTGACGTATAGCTTCCAGTCAACGGCCAGTCCTACGGTGAAGGCACCAACGCCAATAAGAAAAAGGCGCAGGCGGAGGCGGCCTCAAACGCATACTGGAACTGTCCTGCGTTCCGTAGCGTACCCAATTAATCGAGACCTCGTTTCTTCCCCTCATCATGCGATCAATACATTTCTATGCATTTGTGAATAAAATCCTTTTCGCGATATAAATTGAAATAGAGAGCCCGGGAGAGCTCTACCACATACAAATCATCCGAGATACCAAAACAAAACGTACAGCCCAATCAGTCCTACCAGAACCTTGACTTGAGGGTCGATACCAGCCAGCCCCGCTGAAGCCGCATTAGCTGCATTGTCAACAGCCCTCTTGGCCTCGCCCTTGACGTCCGTCGGGGCAGGTCCTCCACCGAGCGTGTGCCCTTTCCCAGAGAATGCAGTGGTTCCTCCGGATGAGGTCGAGTGTTTACGAAGAGCGGCCTCGATACCTCTGAACATTGGTTCAGAAATTGTAGCACATAACCAGATAGAAGAGAGAGGGTACGAACCGCGCGTCCGCTCCTCTGACTTGATCGACTTTGGTGTGCCCCTTGAGGAAGATGAAAGTGGGCCTGTAGGAACATACGGTAAATGACGAAAAGAAGTGTAAAGTTGACGACCTACATGGCAGTAACCCTGTATTCTGAAGCAACGTCCCGTGCCTGGTCGACGTCGCACTTCAGGAAGTTCACGTTCTTGTATTCGCGAGCCAGCGCCTCAAACTTGGGCGCAATAGCATGGCACGGTCCACACCTGTCCAATGGCGACGCATGCAGTGTTCGAGTACTGCAGAACAAGGAGGCAACATACCAAGTCGCATGGAAGTCAATCACCTAATTTAACGATCTGGTTTAGACATGTGTTGGTTTTCCAGGATTGAAATTGGATACTGTACAGTGAGCTTGCTCTTGGATTCCCCGAGAATGCCATTGAGTTGAGATAGGGACGAAATGTGCGTAATTGACATTGGAAGTGTTCGAGGTTTGTTCGAGGAAGTGGTGGTCGGTGTCGCGGGCGAACCTGCGGGGTCAACGTGCACATTCCCACTTGTCCGGTCCGTTGTGATCCGTCTTTGATTTAGCAATAAGCGCCGGCGGATAGCTCGCTCTGACAATCGCACCGCAAATAGTTGACATACTCCTGGCACATTTATATGGCAAGTTTTTCTGGTTAGGTTCCATTCATATTACATCTATAGCTCAGGCAATCTGTTTAACCCCTACGGAAGACGCCCTCCTCCGCAACTTCGTACCCCCAGTATGATCACCACGACTGTGCTTCCCTCTATCTCGTCCAGCAGTGTTCATGCCATTCTCCCCGCGCGAGGTAAAGGCAGTATATGTTCCTACTTCCGGTGCTGCATGGCTCTGCACACGTCTGTGGCTTCGGAGATGATCAACAGGCACCAGAGTCCTTGACTCGCCCGCCGTGGTCGTGGTAGATTGCCCCCCAGTTGAATTTGGCGAGAACTTCTCCGCGGTCAGTTTAGACGCCACCCCCTTCTTGAATATATGAACCAAGTTAATTCTCTTCCCTTGAGATGGGTGCAGGAGCCAGGGAGAGCATGTGAATGCCAGCGGTACGAATTTCTTTTCTCCGTCCACGATATTCCCGTAGGTGTCTGCCCTGTCTGCGACTAGGTATTGAAACTCCCACTCCAGTCTTGAATTACGATCGTGTCCAAGTTGACTGAAAACTTGCCAGGTATCTAGGTTGGATAGCGACGAGACTTCGGCTCCGTGAACCGAATACACGCCATTGGACTTGAGCGTAAGTTGCGCCTGCTTGGAGATGTAATCCCGTGTCTCTTCTCCATGAACAGTGACCCGTCGAAGAATCGGCAAGCTGTCGAATGGGTTGTAGTGGAAATAGAAACTCTGCTTTGGGCTAGGACGAAAAATGACCTTGCAGTCGTGGCCGTCGGTATGGTGAGCGCCGTGGTACCTGAACGAGGGAGTGGCCGAACGGAAACCTTCTTGGTCAATCAGGAGGTCGATTGAGACGCCGTGCAGCCAGACAAACTCCACAGGCTTCGGGTTCTGAGATCGATTTCCTTTGACTTTTGGTCGACTGCCACGTCCTGCTCCTTGGCCGTGACTAGACACAACAAGGCCTTCCCGCTCTTGGTGTGTGGTGTTCATCGAGGCGACTGACCGGTCATGATTGGCGTTCCTCTCTTCGACGCGGTCGTCGCCTATCTGTCCTCTTCGGGCAGATCGCTTGACTCGCCCAAAGCCCTCCTGTGGTAGGACCGGCGACGTGCAGGTAGAAGCCTCTTCGGGGATCGCCTCCAACCTCGGACTTGGTGTCGAACGTCCCACAGACAAATCGTGATACGTCGCAGTTTGGAAATTGGGACAGAGATCATCGCCCTGGTAGATGTCCTCGCCAGGTGCAGTAGCTGATGCCTTGGGACCAAACGTACCAAAGCTGACGACAGACGCCAAGGAACCAATCGAGCTTAAGCTAGTCGCGGGGGGTAAATCCACATATTCCCCGGACAAGGGCGTCCAGCACTGCGAATCCGGGTGAAAAGATTCTGGGCGGACGGAGTCCACGAAGAAGATAGGAAGGTCCTCAAAGGCGACAGAAGAAACGCTTGACACTGGAGAAGACGTAGGCGAGGGTGGTTCAAGGGTGGCTAGCGCGAAAAAAGAAGAGGAACATCTCGGGATTCGAAAGTATTGAGACTTATTGCCACTGTCAGTCAGGTCCTGCATCATGAAAGTTGAAGAGCTTCAGGGCGGAGGGATAATAAATCGAGGTAGATTCTCTGAACCACGCAGCCACCCAGGAGGCCAGGCCCGTGGCCAGCGATCACGATCGGGGCTAAAGTACTGAAGCGCGCCTTTACATCTATGGGGGCTAGAGCACCTTTACGGTTGTGCAAGCGCTGAGAGCACAATTATCTTCAGCCATTTATTACTAGAAATACATTCTAGATCAAATTATTGGTGCTTCAAGTGCTGGATTACTCGAAGTTCTTTTGATCGGACGAGGTCCTTGTTCTTGAGGATGCAATAATCACCAAACTCGTTATACATCTGCCACACCTTACCCGGGAACCAGAGAATTCTGGAGAGCTTCATGGAATGTCGAGCATCAAGGAACGGCTCACAGTAAACTCGCTCCCAGACTTCGCTTTGAATAGCGTAGCGGGGTTCGAGCGGCGATGACACGGGGTGCTTGGGGAAGTCCAGGTCAACTAGGTAATCGCACTGCTGAACGTCGACCTATGATATGTGGTGAGGACAGGCAGGCCGGCGAAAGGACGAACATACATAATAAGATGGTTCTTCGATGTTCAAGTCGTTGAGGCCAGCTGGGGCAACATGGGTCTGGGGCCATGGCCATAAACCACCCTTGGCCGAGCTAATAGGGCTGGGAGCAAAGTGTGTCGGTAGAAGACCACTGAACTCGCTTTTGATGAACTCCACGTTGATACCCGTCGGAACTAAGAAATTTCCAGGGAAACGATGCCACTCCTTGCCGTAACAAAGGGTAAGGTTAAATTGGCGAATAGGGCCCAGGTCGATGCGCGGCTGCTCTTCTTCAGAAAGCTGGGAGTATCGTTGGTCATCGAGTAAGCCTGTAACGTTCAGCAGGCGGGGAAGTTCTTGAGTCTGGAAGTTGAAAGCGACGGATATGGGTGCATGGTAGTACTGATACTCCGCACAAATGCGGGAGCCGGAAATGACGACAAAGCCGACCAGGATGGAGAAGGTGAAATTGGAGAAGATCACTGTCTTTGACGCCTGTTCACATATGAGACAGTGATCTTCAGGCAAGACATGTCACGCACCTGGTACTGGGATTTGGTTACTTTGATATAGAGAGTTTCGAGCCACCCGCGGACCAAGTAAATGCAAAGAGCTGCATTGAAGCAGAGGAGAGGGTATGCCGGGAACATGAAGCGCTCTTCCTTGTGGGGCTGCAAAGTAAGGATACCTATCCACAGGTAAAACGGCGCTAGGCGCAATCCGGTGATGGTGAATGGGGAAGTTTCGTCGGGTCTGGGATTTGAATACCCGAGGCGTCTTCTGTCGTAGAGGTAGGTGACACCGAGCGCCGGTAGAGATAGCAAGGCCATTGGGGTCAAGAGATTGAAGTTAAGGACAAGGTTGCTGATATAGTACGTCCACGGCTCTGTACCATACAGTTCAGGACCTCGTTCCGCACCGCCAAATATGTTGTATCGAATGATGTTCCAGGGAACGACGGCAACCTTCCCGTAGGCAATGCTGTCAATGGCCACAACAGGAATCTAATGCTTCATTAGCAATAGTAAAACCAGCGATGGATTAACTCACAAAGATCAGGGCGGCGGCTGAAACAGCAAGGATCATGCGCTTCCATCGAGCCAGGAGCCATGCTTGCTTGGCTTCGGCAGTGACACGGTCGTTTCCGAAGACGAATAGTTCCTCAAACACGAAAGGAAATGCCAAAGCAAGGGCAAACGGCCAGCCGACAATAGCGCCTGTGGCGAAGGCCAGGGTGGCCACGAGGGCTTTTCGGCCGTTTGTGAGGCTGGACGGTTCAATGGCATAAGCGTAGGCAACAGTGGTTGCGTACATGGCGAAGGAGGACGGGAGAAGAGCTAAAACACCATGAGTGCCCGTCGTCGATCGAGGAAAAGATGGTACCGACCAGTAGACGCTTTCCACATCCCGGCACTGAACGCCAGCATCAAGAAAAGATACCGGCCAACCATGACGTGCACCTTCTCGACAACAGCGCGGTAAAAGGCTGCTTCCGCCAATGTGGAGACGGCAGCTAGGAATATGCGGACGGCGAATAAAGAAGCTCGCTAAGATAACGGTCAGGCCCTGGCCGTAAAAGCAACTGTGAGATAGTACCTTGTCACCACCAGCGACAATCAACCCAATACGAGAAGGCAGATAGTGAAGGATCACGTATGCCCAGCTCCTCAGAGCAAAGGCGGGGGAGAGTTCCCATGTTTCAAAACCGTAGCCGTGTGCGAAGAGATGTAATGGCTCCCAAAAGTTGTATACTGTCTCGCAGTTGGTCAAAACCCGTCAAGTGATGGTCCAGGTAAAATTCACCTTCGTCGCAATCGTCGATGTTCGAATACATTGCCCCGGAAACACGGATTAAGAATAGAATCCTAACTGCTAGAGAAAAGCTGGGAGCCCATGGCGCCCGTCGGCCCCTTCGAACTTGGTCATGGAGAAGGGGTTTTTGATCAGGTTTCTTTACTTTCGAATCTGTGGCCTCTGGACGACGCTGCCGCAGCGCCTGGCTCGACATGGTGGACGTCCGGTCTTGGAAGGAAGCGGAAGAGCTTTGGACCAGAGGTGACAGGTCGGACGACGGACCAGGACCTGCTGGCTCTACAACGCGTGCGACGGTCATGTGACCTTCTCGGGCCATCACGCGACAAGACTTTTCTCTGCGAGTCGGATTTCGCCAAGCACCATGATTGGGCAGGTTGGGTCGTGCTAAAGGCCAGTAACCGGCTTTCAAGGCATCGCTTGAAGGAGGTGAGGACGGGCGTGCTATCCCTCGGCCAGGGACCAGGGAAATTGACCGGTGATGGTAGACCGAATCACACAAATGATGCATACTAGAGCTTCCATGGAAGTTGTCGGTCGCAACCACGAGTCGTCCGAGGTTCAATCAAAATAAAGAAGGGGACCTTCCCGAAGAAAATAAACAAAGAGGGTATAGGGTAATGACAGAGGAAGATAATCGCGGATATTTCTACGACTGTGACTGACTCGAGGAGGGATTCTATCACTGAGGCAGCAGTGAAATTGGCACAAGGTGTGGGTGGATACAAGCGTACGAAGCTTCTTTGGGTTTCGATCCTAAGGCGGACGGGCATTTGCTTCTTTTAGAGGGAGCTACATGTCTGTTTGCTCTGACGTGACCCGCTTGAATCAACTTTGAATATCTCGCTTTTCCCGATCCCTGGTTCTTGTTTTCCCCCATCATCTCCACCGCCATCGTCCTCGTCGCCCCTCCAAATGGCCTCCTCGTCGTCGCCCCCAGCGTTGACAGACTCCCTCGAGACCGCGGACTACTTCATCTATGTCACTCAAGTATACTTTTGTGGTACGTGGCTCCAGCCTCATGCTCGTCGTTGTCCACGCTAACCCGAGGATTTTGCAGCGATGTGTAAGGGCGTTGTTCCCCTTTTTTACGCATGTCTTGACGCTGTCTTCCTGGCTCTTTAGATGCCGTGGTACTCTGGGATTGGATTATCAGTTTGCCTAGGGAGTACCGCTTCGTAAATGCGTCTATTTCCTTGAGCTTCCTTGCGCTGATTCTTCTCCCAGGTATGGAGGACACGCTGGACCCCCGTCAAACTGGCTTATCTATTTTGTCGGTAAGTTTCTCGTGCGGCGTCCTTATAGTTGCCGGAGGTGCTCAATATATTCTTGTAGATACTGGGTCATTACTGTCGTCCCATATCTGCTCTACTGCTTTGTCGTTGATCATCCTAGAGCAAAGTGCGAGAAAATATTCAAGGTTCGTGCATTATGCTCCCATCACCTCGATTCACTCGGCTGAGCATGCACAGATCCCAGTCGCATTGGCCATGTGGAACCAAGTTGGATCAGAATGTATGAGCATACTCCCCGCCCATATCGCGTTTGCACCTAACCAACCCCGCTCCAGTCGTGCTGCTCATACGCACCTACGCCTTCTTCAGTCGCAATGTATATGTGCTCTGGTTCTTGTTATCAGCCTTGTCGGGTGTTGTAGCATACCAACTTTACGTGGACACTACCCAGATGCTGTGTGAGCTCCCATTGTTTACGCACTACTCAGAGCGATATACTAACCCTCCTCTAGTGCTTCCCTTCTTTAAGCCTCCTTTCGTAAGTTGATTTAAGCAAGGGATGGGCTCTTCTGATGCCATCCCTGTAGGAAAAGGGACCTTGCTTTCCGATGTCAAAGCCACGCTCTGCTCATCTGCTCGGTACGCACCTTTCTTAATACACGTAGTCGTACCCGCTGATTCAAACTTACTAGGTTTTTTTGTGAGTGCGCACTCTATGCGTCTTCTCCTGTTTATCATCTCATCCTCGCTCAGATCGCACCCCTCTTGTTCGACACCGTCGTCACTTTCATGACGGTTTGGAAAGCCTTCCACATCCGCAGACGAAATGGTGGCCCGAGTAGCAGGCTCATTCAAACCTTCCTTCGCGAAGGTTGTCGCTTCAGTTACTTCCCTTTACTACGAAACTGACCCTATCTTCAGGAGTATTTTACTACATTCTTATTTCAATCGCCAACCTGGTGAGTGTTTTGCTCAAAGCTTACAATGGGGCTGACTACTTAAATTGGGGCAGATCAACGGGATTTTCTATCTGCAGTAAGCCCTCCCAATTTTTGGCTCTTACAGAGGCTGACGTACCACGTTAGACCACGTCAAGTTATCTCGGCGATCAACATCCCTCTGAGCGTAATGTTGGGTCCTGTTCTCGCTTGTCGCTTGGTGAGTGTCACCAACTATACCATTATACTCGGGACTTAAACTTGATACCGACAGATTCTAGACTTGCGCGAGAGAGGCTCTGAAACTGTCTCGCACTCGGAAGGAACGGGAATACCTGCTTTCACAACGAAATCGGTCACGCACCATGGGCCCTATTCTCCCCCAGGCCGTCGGGGTAACAAATCCGGGGGACGGTATCAAAGCCGCGGTACGCTAAGCTCTGGCATCGTGCTTACCACGCTGGGCACCATCCACCAAGACCCGATGGATATCGACGTAGAAAGGGATGTTGCGGACATGGACGACGGTCGTATTGGAGTCGACCTGGAAATACTAAGCACCGCTATCGGCGGAGAAGACGGTGAACCCCTTTCTGATTCGGAAAGCCATGGTGGAACGCCTGCTCCAGCATACAATTCCCTTGATCATGGCTATCGTGATCGAAGGTTCCCCTCCTACGATGAAGACTTGAACCGCGGTCTGCGGATCACCATCGAACAAGCAACTTCCACTGCTTAAATTCCGTTTTGTTCTCCACCTCTTTTCTCTTTTACGCTTCATTCGACGATTCTCTCATAATAAAACACAGGTCACTTTCACTTTCGCGTACATTATTAGTTTACAAGGCTTTCCATGATATCGACTCATACCAGTTGTACTCCATACTGTATTTTGTGCACTATGCGACCGCGGTTTGTGAAAGATAGGGGCTTCATTCCTTGTTCCGGATGCGTGAGCTCATTGCGGTCACTGCGGGACTATTCTTGCCCAAAGTTCGAGTTGCTGCGGCAACACACTCTCTTCTCAACTTTCACGTTCTCTATCATGCACTTTACAGATCTCCCTCCTGAAGTCTTGCTTTACATCCGTGAGTTCAATGTATCTCTTGTCGAGGTGTTCCGAGACTGACTGAGATATGGTGCCAGTGACATTCCTCGACCTCCCTGACCTGGAGGCACTTGCTAGAGCTTTCCCCGCCCTGGTGGACCTGACAACAGACCCTATATTACACAAGTATCGACTCACAGTGGTGGCCCCGTCACGCATCAGCCACCAACTGTTTGGCAAGAGTCCACAGGGGTATTTTCTGCGACCCACCATTGGCGACCTAGTCCACCGCGGCGTCATACGGGGTCTCGGAATAGAAAGGCGGTGGAGGACAGGAAACTACTTCTACTCCGTGAATGTAAGTGCTGTACCCCCAGTCTCTTGGAGTCACGTCAACTAAACCTGGACTGACTGACTCGCACTAGTCCATCAAGCAGTACGAGAGCAGTCAGGCACTGTTCAGACGGCACGTTAGCCATGTCCTGACTGTCCAACTACGCCGAAGAGTGGTAGAGTCTAGGACGACGTCGCTCCGTCACCTCCTATCCTCCCATGTGTTTCCTGACCTCGAGGCCTCGTCTGTACGGATCGACCGGTCGCTGATGCCCATTGTTCGGCAACTCAAATGGTCCTTCCAGCGAGACAAGCTCGCGCAATCACTCAAGAAGAGTATTTATGGTAAAGGCGGGCTATCGTCGTGGCTCGAAGGACCCGGGCGCAGCGTTCTCAAGGATGAGAACGAGAAAGTGCGCCTGGCTATATGTCCCGACATCCGCAGGCGGATCGGGTTTTTCGAACAATCTCGACAGTTGTGAACATGCCTTCCGTCTTGTTAGAGGACTCGAAGAGGTTGTATTTGTCGCACCATTACCTCTGTTGCATTCATGTACACTAAGATTTTGTAGGCCTAAATTGTATTGGTTTATGATCCACCGAAGTGTTCACCGCCTAAAACCCTCGTCAGAACAGCCAACCAAGGAAAGGAAAAGAACGCACTGTTGATGTGGATGACCTGTCCTGTCATGATGTTTGAATCGCTGGAAGCAAGGAAGACATAGCTAGGACCGCACTCTGCCGGCTGTGCGAGAAGAAGTTTAGGAAAAGAGCACGGAAAACCACAATGCAGACTCGTACCTGCCCTGCACGTCCGTGTAGCGGTTCGCCTAGAAACACATCAGCTGAGTGACGAACGTATGTATAGAGGAAGCGATTGACTTACCGACACCAAGGCCTTCCATATTCTCTGCAGGGCGTGACGCAGCCTGAAGTGCGGTTATAATAGGACCAGGTGCGACACCGTTGACACGGATGCCCTTGGGTGCGAGCTGCTGGGCGAGCGAGCGGGTGAAGGTAAGGATGGCGCCCTTCGTGGAGGCATAGTCGACTATTGAAGAGGCACCGAATCAACACGATGTCGACGGATATCTCGAAGAGCAAATGCACCTAGCCCTGCAGAACCCCTGTAAGCGGTTACGGACGTGGTGTTGATGATGGCGGCGCCCCTCTTGAGATGGGGCAGGGCGAACTTGGTCACGGCGAACATTTGAAGGATATTGGATCGGAAAGTACTTTCGACCTTCTTCAAATCGATTTGGGCAAAGTCCTTGCAAATACTAGGGGCTAAGTTAGCTCGTTCTCTTCCTCTTCAAGGAAAAGGCTCACATTTGCTTCGAAGCGTTGTTGACGAGGATGTTCAGCTTTCCGAAAACCTTCATGTGGCTCTGAACGAGTTGTTCACAGGCAGATTCGTCCATCAAATCAGCCTTGAACAGGTTGACTTTGGCGCCGGACTCCTCGACGAGGCGTTGAGCGTCCTTAGCATCGGTCTCTTCTTCTGGAAGATAGGTGATGGTAATGCCAGAGGCGCCCTCCCGGGCGAACATGATTGCGGCTGCTCTACCAATACCGCTGTCACCGCCAGTGATGATGGCAGTCTTGCCCTGAAGCCTGTGGAAGTGTGGATCAGTGGGCTGTCTAGATTCATGATAAACAATTCAAAGACCCTACTGACTTTCCGCTTCCGGCGTACTCTTTCAGGTAAGGCTTGCCATTGTCGTCCCAGTATTCGAGCTTGCTGTATTCCATACCCGCTAAATCATTGGGTCGGTTCTCTGTTCGGTTCGAAGGATAGCGGGACATATTACTGACGCTTGATATGCTTGTCGAGGCCAGGTAGGTTCTGCTGCTGCTTCTAGGGGACTGCGATGCTATACGCAGTAACGATATCTTGAGCGGACATTTTGGGAATCGAAGATATATGGAAGTGCCGGGGATGTGTTGCTTTCGGTCGAGTCAAGCTTGGGGGCTGTGAGTGAGAATTGTGGAGATTGACAGCCTATATAATAGCAGCAGGCCAGGTGGATACCTAATTCGCTGCGTCACTGAGGGGAAAGAGGTCACAGTGGTGAGAGCCGTCGACATGATGTCAGCCTAAATTAAACGTGGCGAACAGGGGCGCAGGGAGCTGTCTTAGACCGTTGGATACATATAGCCTGCAGGGGACCCACGTAAATAATGAACTGAGTCTCCACTCATGGGAAGCGGGTGCTCCCTCGAGTTCAGACTTGCCTGGCAGGCGCGACGAATGAATGACATCACTCATAAAGGGTGATTGGCGATCAGGGTGGCACAAGCAGAGAGTACCGAGCTCTGCCATCCGTCTCGCTGGGACGAGTGCTCGAGTATGAGATTGAGTGAGAATCAGGCCTCTCATGCTGCACCCGGGTTCGTCTAGAGTCCCAAAGAAAGGGTTGATAGATAGGGGCTCTCGAAAGCGGTTTGGCCGTTTTTGGAAGACGCGTCGATCCGTCATTCAAACCACGTGGCCCTGTCACGGTGACCGCACCGCAGAGCTCGTGCCAATTACCAGGAATTCATCTTTCTGGCGCCCCTCCTTTGGACTGTATGTAGTAATTTGAAGAGAGATCAGTTATCGACGTCTCTCTCCCGGGGACTATAAGATAAGTCTACAACCAATTCACCAGGGAGCACACTTTGGGTTTGTGGCCTGTAGAAAGGCCACACGTTTTTGAGTTAAACTGCGGGATATGGCGTCTACCCGACCCATTTCAGTAAAACGCCAAGGTGCTGGCGACTCTAGTCTTCCCTGCATCGATGCAGCGTGCAATCATTGTTTACTCGGCTATCGGTCATTTATTACATGTCAGCTCCATTAAGGGTAGAGTGGCAAGAGTATGGTCTTACATGAAAATGAGTGTCTGAGGTCTCGTTCTCGCGATGCTTAGGGGATGGGCACGGGCGCTTATTTATTGATCGAGGATCAGATATCTGGTCCAGCGCGGCAAAATCCTAAGCTTGTCCGGTTCTTCAGTATCCGAGAAAAGGAGACGGCATAGGTCCCGTCTAGGAGGCAAGTTGTGCGCGATATCGCTTTCTCGAAACCATTCCTACGGACATGAAGTGATTGAAAGGCCCTATGATTGCACTGGAGCACCCCATAATTACAGAGGTTGTTCGATCCCGACAAAGACCAAGTTATTTCTGGGTTCCGAATGGAGATTTGACAAGTGTAATAAAGCTTGTTGGACCGGGGGTCCTGAGGGGCAACACTCTGGATGCTGAAGCCAGCCAGGGCGCCGTCGAAAGCATATCTGAATCGTTTGAGATCAGAAGAATGCAGGGTACTCAGTTAGTGAAAGGAGATGGAATTGTCTCCAAATGTAAGTACTGGAAGAGGCCCTGTTTCAGACATACGGTCGGTGTTCTACCGAACCGTGCAGGGGTCAATGAAAGGTCTTCTTTTTGAGCGGACGGTAGCCCAATGGAAAGAAACCATACGCCCAAAGAGCCAGGAGCTTCAAAGGGAACAGCACGTCCTATGCATGGACTCTCAACTTGAGCTCGCAATCCGTGTACGGGGGCATGTTGGTCACGACTTCGCACACCATGCAAGGGGAGAATTGTGTCGGAAGTGCCTCGAGGCGAACCGCCTGACCAGATATGAATAGTAACCTCGCCGTGGTAAGGCGGGAACCATCGGAGCCACTCCATTGACCTGGGGCGGACTCTAGGATTTTCCATCAACCCTACTCAGTTCGACCTTTCTTCTAGCCTTTTCTATCGGGTTCGATTCACACACTACACCCTTGACGAAAATTTGCCACAAGTAATGACATTAATCATATTTCGTCACAAAACGTATTCCAAACTATTCCCAGTGTAAGAAGTAGAATGACCAATGAACAGGAATCGAAGGCGTCGGAAATGAAAGGGACCTATTATGGATTACAATCAAGTACCATAACAGCGTCCGTTCCCGCTAAGAAGGTCTGCTTGTGGACGAAAGGTGGACCCTCGTTCGAGACAGGGAAAGTATAAGTTACACCTTCTCCGACGAAGACAGGTGCTACGGTGATGATGACGCGGTCGATGATACGCCCGTATTTGAGATGTGCGGTGACAAAGGACTGGATGACTGCGGCCCCTCCTTCTACCATCAGGGATCTAATGCCATTGGTCGAGAGCGAGGCGAGAATGGAGGGTACGTCGTCGGCGCGGGGACCTCCTGATGGCGCATAGATTACGATTCGTGCCCCGGCATCCTCCAATAGGGATTTCCGTTTCAGCCAGTCTGGATCGTCTGAACCTGGGGTCAGGAGCCACGGTTGCACGCCTCTTCCGGAAGCATAGTTTTGGAGCAGCTTGCAGTTTGGACCGAGACGCAAATTTGTGTCGAGGATGATAGGACGGGGATTTTTCTGATCCTCGACAGGCAGCAGACGGGCTAGGCGACAATCAAAAAGCTATCTCCTATTTGAACTGGAAATTTACGTACTATTGAGCTGAGGATTGTCATTTATAGCGGTGTTAGCGCCCACCAAGATTGCATCGTGGAGGGATCTGAGACGGTGTGTCATCTGCATGGATTCTGAGCACGACAGAGCAATCTGGCTGCCATTCTGTCCAGCAATCTTCGCATCGAGCGACTGGGCGAATGTCAGGGTGAGATCTAGTTTGTCGGACGATCGAGAAAGGTGGAGGAAGTCCATTTAGAACAAGGTTAAATACAACTTGAACCCTTCATCCTGACGTCAATCTCCGCGACCCGTATTGTCCCACATCCACTATGATATAACCCCTGTCCTCAACGTCTACGACAGCGACCAAGACAGCCAGCTCGCCGTCCGTCCCGACGACCAAATTGGTTTTAATGATGATCGCCGTCACTTCCGAGGGCGAATTGGCTCGGCACCAAGTACAAGAACACCACCAACAACATTCAGGCACCTTCGTCGGTTCAACCCCTCGTTTCTTCTCTCGCAAGCCCACAAAGCGAAAAACGCGACTTCGTTCGCCCTCGCTGCCCCTCCCGACCATACCGTCAGTACAGGACCTGCGACTTCATGCGGTAGCGACAACGGCCACCACAACCCAATCAGAAGTTGCCATGACAGGCCAGGCACGTTCGAAGGGTTCGAAGTTGCTCCGAAGTTTAAGCTTGCGTAGCGTCGTCAGCGAGGTGAACAACGAGCAGGTCTATGGGTCGAGGAACAGCAGCTACAGCGCGAGTTCGTCGTCGCTGTGGCCTTCGCGATGGAGCTTTACGTCGATCACACGTCGGAATACGCTGAGCATATCACGAAGTGTAAGTGCACGGACGAGCAGGGCGACGCTGGGGACGCTGGATGACGAAAAAGGACTGGACGAACGAGCAGGGGTGGTTGACGATCAGGATGACAAAGGGGAATCACCTCAATTCTGCCGCTTATCAGAGTAGTGTCACCCATAACTCTGGAAGGTGCATTGAAAGACGACGACGATGTATGTTTTTTGCTTTTCGGAGGTTATCCCCGTCTTGTCAGCTAACCGTATGTGTCGGGATCTTTACAGGGAAAAGAACCACAGTCTGAATCCCAATACGCTGCGAATGACGCAAGACAAGGAATTCAACATTCAGCGGACGCCAAAACTGTCGGCCCAGCGTGGAGCAGAACCTTGTCTCTTGATGACTTGCAAGGCCCATCGTCTAGACCCAAACACAAGTTCACACTCGAACCTCCCGCCACAGACGATATCGACGAGGAGTCGGACGTGGACCTTTCCCCTAGTCCCAACCCACAACCCGAATCAAGTCCTTCTATCGACTCCCCAGCATCTTTTGCTTCGTCCCCGCAGCTCCAATTTCACTTTCCCTTGCGTTTCAACCCTCCCACGTCCTCTTCGTCCTACTTTCCTCAACGAATGTCATCCAATGCAGCCCCAGCCCGCCCAGTTCTCACTCGTCGTCCTGCCGCCGTGGGTCCCCAACCAGGAGTGTCGAGGAGGTACACCTTCGCCATGGCCATGAACGATGAAGAAATCACGGACGAAGTTTTGGTGAAAGAGCTCGAAAGGATACGTGCTATCAGAGCCATGAGCACCGACAGCTCAAGTAACAGAACCAGTTCAGCTTGTCTGGATGCAGTTTCTACCGCGGAAGTACCCGATACCCAAGACCTTGACGATGTCTGGGACCTCGACGATGAAGAGCCAGAACTCGACTTGGAGCTCGACCTCAATACTTCAAATGGACAACGTTCTCGCTTTTTCAACGACGCTGGGCCTGCGATGTGCGACAGCCCAATGTCCGAGAGCTGTGGGGAAGGGTGGGGTCCACCATCGTCAACACATTCCCCCGCTCTTCAACCTCTCCCACATCCCTCCAATCGGCCTTCTTCTCCTACGACCTCCCCACCGTCCCCGGTCCCATCCAGGCCCTCTCTCCCACGGCCCCTGTCTGACATCCAACCCTCTACGTCGTCCATGTCTCGGAGTACATTCAAGCGTCTGAGCAAAACCCGTACTACTGGTGGAGACGAATCGACCTCTCGGAAACCTGTCAGCAGCTGGAAAGGCGGCTTTGAAAGTTCCCCTTCACAACCGGCAAAACCATCACCTACCTCGAGTTCCTCTGATTCATCAAGTTCGTCAAGCTCAACATCCTCAACGTCTTCTTCGTCCTCCTCCTCCTCTGCCACTTCCCCTGCATCCTCCATTTCTGGCTGTGCATCATCCCCGACTACCTCTACATTCACTTCCACGACCACCACCCCTTCGGTCAGCAAGTCCACTACCCCGGCCACAGCAAGTCCTCCGACAAGTTTCCCTGGATGTCCAGGTAAAGGTAAAGCTGCCTCCGCCCCCTCATCCCGTTCCCACTCCTTCGCAGGTTCGGTCAACCTTGCACAGTTGTCCAGCATGCACGGCATCCCAATGGCACTCGTGGAACGTTCATCTTCGATGCACTCCTCTCGCAAACCCGCCGTCAGAGATCTTGCCATTCTTCCTACCCAGCGCGTCATGCGATACGTATTGCTCTTCCGAGGTATATACCACACGAGTTACTAAACCATATCCCGTTTATTGAAACCCTTGGCACAGATCTGCTCGCAAGTACGGCATCCAATAGCCAGTATCGCATTATCGTAGAAAGTGCCGCTCAGGCTGCCGACCGCATAGCCAGAAAGTGTGATCGTGCGCAGAACAACGCCGCGTTCATCGTATCGCCGTCCCCGTCTCACTCGAACAAGGATCCCTTGTCAGCCTCAAAATCAACCAAGTTCCAAAAAACGAAGGCGACTGATGGACTCAAACCATCTGTGAGCGCGAGGTTGAGGAAGGAAGGGGAAAAGGAGAAAGAGAAGGAACCAAAGGTCAAGGAGAAGGATAAGCTTCAGACGGTGGCGAGGAAGCTGACGAAGCCCAGGGAGCGGGCAGTATCCCATTCTAGGCGACAGTCTGAGGCTCTCACCTCCGCCGCTGATCCTTCGAATGCCCAGTCTGAAGACCGGGAGGACCAGGAAGAGGACGACACGACACCGCGAAGACGCAGTTGCAGCTATTCGACCACCTCTGAACTGGGGTACCAGCTCCCCAGATCTTCTTCCAGCCAACGACTTTCCGTACTCGGACTGAGCGTCGCCACCATAGGACACCTCCTGGGCCGATCTCAAACTCCCGAACCTAATACTCGGTCAGCCCATCCACCTTCTGCGTTCACCGCGAAGAGTATGGGAGGCAAGATGTCGTCACCGCCGACGGTGGCGACCTTTGCTCAGGGCGCTTCATAGGCCCTCTGAGTTGCGTACGATGCAATCGTTAAAAATACCCTCACCCTTTTTAATCGTCTTATCGTTTATTCAAGGGTCGTCCCGGCATAGGCTACTGTTGTTCAGGTTGCTCGTTATCTTTATTCGTCTTCCAGCCTTTTCATTTCATTTCTTAACGACAGCCTCCACGATGATCTTTATTCATGTCCTTTTTGCCGCTCGAGTCCGTTTAATGCTTTCTTTGCGACACATTGTAATTGTAATCTCTCTGGTTTTCTCTTGTCTAGACCCTTTGCTTTATTATGCTTCCAACTTTTTTTAGTAGCATCATTCGCGTTTTCCCCTAGCATTCGGTTCGGTTCAATTTTCGTCAAACCTAGACAAACTAGTTCCCACATCTTCCTAGCCTTTCGCACAGCCAAAACAATATACTGTATACCATCACTTCTGTCACCCCACCGAATCCACATGGTTTCTGCTGACACAAAATTCGTGTATTGCGCAACTGCGATACCAACTGTATGGATACAAATACAACCCGCGAGAGGGGAAGTGGTGTTACAAAGAAGAAAGGTAATGAGAGAACCGATCAATGCATAATAAACCCATACACGAAGAAAAAAACCATAATGCCTTCCAATCACTTCTTAAAAGTCGCTATCAGAAGAGTCGTCGAACAAAAGGACGTAGTCTGGGTTTGGAGATCGCCTTGCATCCTCATTCTGAGTTTCAGCGGTCTGTGCAGCTGCGGGAGCGTTGCTGGCGCGAGTATCAGCCGTAGCATGAGACCTGGCGTCTTCCCAACCCATGTTGTCTTCGTCATCCGACGAAATGAGGTCGATCAAGGAGACGTCGCTGTCGTTGTCGATATCGGAATTGCCATCCTCAGTTGACGAAGGAATGGTCGCAGTGCTGTCGCCGATGGTAGATTCGGGCTGCCTGACGGACAAGGGAGCACGGGAAGTGTTGGACTCGGAACCGACACGGGGCATCATGATGATGGAAGAAGCGGACAGACTGTTGCTGTCATCGCTCGAGTGGTCGACTTCAGCGACGCTGATCCTATTAATACTTAGCTCATGTCCTCGAAGACAGAGGAAAATGAACACTTACTCAACCCAGATACTGTTACCGAATACACTTCCAGTGTCATCCCTCAATCTCCAGTACCCAACATATCGGCCAGGAACGTCGGGGGCCTTCAACTCCCCGGTCCAAACTTCAACCTCTTCCCCAGCCTTGACGCTTCCGATCTTGACGACCTCGCTCTTGCGGTCAATGACCAGCGATTCACCAGCAACGAAGATCAACTCGGTGTTCTCGGGCCAGTCACGAGTGGAATCGTTGAGGAGACGCCAGCACTTGACGAATTCAGCACCGGGCGGGAAGACCTGGCCATCGGTCACTGTGACATCCGCAATGAATGCGGCCGACAGTGGGGCGACTGCAGCCTGGGATGGCTCGGGAGAGTTGATGGGAACAACTTTGACGTCATCTTCATCTTTGACGAGAGCAAGCAAGGTGGGGGCCTGAGAGACCATGTCAGCCAAAGGCATCTCTGGCTCTGGAGCCGCACTCGTGCCATCCTCCAGGGTCAACGCACTGAGAGCACCTGTAACAGGGACTGGCGACCCTGTAGGAGGCGAAAGGAGCTTGGAAGCGATCTGGGACACAAGATCTTCGACGAAGCTGGGGTTGCTAGTACCACTGTCACGATGGCCCGTGTCAAGGAAGCGGTCGACGAAGGGAGACGCGGTAGAAGCGACTGGTGATTCCACTTCCGCTGGAGATGGTGTGTGAATGCCAATACGATTGGCGGTGACTGTGGCCTCGAAACTGGACGCCAGTGAGGAAATTTCGCCAATAGGTGCAATTACAGGAGGATCTGCGAATGGACTATGGGCATCCACTTCGCGAGAATCCTGGACGATTGGAACCGGCCGAGGCGTTGTTGCGCGCTCCTCCGCGACGACTTCTCCAGGAGATATAACTGGCTTAGGAGTCACAGATCTCATCTCTTCGTGCTGAACAGGCTGTTGTGGAGCCGAGCTGTCCTGCGAGGGGACAGGAATGAACTGAGTGGCCCCCACTCGGTAGACTGTAGGAACTACGGTGTCCACTGTCTTCATCTTCAGCATTGGATGATTGTCGGGATGGACGGGGATAGGCAGAGCCTCGCATCTGTCGCAAAGGTCGTAATCCGGGCACTCGGGGTGCATGCACTTGTAGCGCACACCATGGATACGTTGAGTGCAAGCGTTGCATGTCGCATAGTGGGGCTTGCGACTGTGGGGTCCACGGCGCTGAAATGACGGTGAGTATCTGGTGGACATACGTTTGGCGCAACTTACAATATACATATCATCCGCGGACAGCTTGACAAAGGAATGGCCCGGATGCTGCTCTGGTGTTATTGCGAAGCATGACATACAAGTGTCGTAGTCGGGACAATTGCAGCATTTCTGATGAGAAGAGGCATTAGATAGCACATAGATTAGGCTTGGAAAAGACTTACATATCGGTCTCCAAAGATCATGGATTCGCAGAGGTCGCATCTGGCGCTATGAGCGACAGGCGCAGGCACGGAGGCGGGTTGCTGCTCGGCTGGCGCATCTCTCGCGCTTCTAGAGGCAGACCTACGGTTACCGCGGCCGCCGTCAAAGACGGTGTGGACGATGACACGACCGGGTTCGTTGATCTCAAAAAACTCGTGGAAAGGATTGTGATTCTCCGCCCCTCCAGATTTGATACAAGGAGTGCACAAGTCGTAATCTGGACAGTGATTCAATATCAAGAGCCAATCTTCATAACACAAAGGAACTCACCAGGGCAATCCAAGCACTTGTGGCGAATGCCTACGACGTTCTTGAGACAGGCGTCGCACCAGACGTTGGTATGAACCACGGGGGATGGTTGCTGCTGCTGGGTTGTGGAAGTATTCTGACCATGGTGGTTGTGATTATGTCTCGAAGCACGACGCAGACTGAGATGGGACGATCTGCGGGAAGAAGGGCCCATGGACGGGAAACATCCTTCTTGGAAGAGAGGGGCGAGATCCTCAGCAGAACAAAGGCCACTGGCGTTAGCTGAAGTCACAGTATTCGAACGGGTGGGGCCGGAGGAAACAGTGGCAGTGATGGTGTCCAATGAAGCGAGTGATTTATTTAGGTCCTTCTTGAGACCTTCGATCACAGACCGGATTGACTCCATGGACTCGACAGAAGCTTGGCTGTTGAGGACACCTGTAGCATTAGAGTCGATGTCCATATCTCGGGAGGAAGTTCTGGTGCTTCTGGATGCTGAGCTCAATGAAGCAATGTACTGGAAGGGCATGGACTCGAACATTCCGGCGGGCTTGGGTGGGACGGCTGGGCGCTTATCATCGTCTAGGGCGGTGCTGCTGTTCATAGAGGTGTCCATGATGCTGTTGAGTGGCCCTGAGCGGAACGATGTTCGACTGGGCTGTTTATGAGGTGTGTCGTCAAACACAGAGAACCTCAATAGACCGTTTGTGTAAACGCAGCGCTTGAACTGGAGCAGGGACCGCTCGTAGTCTGCAGCGTTATGGACCTCGACCGCGATAAGGATGCGGCCGGGTGCGGCAGCGTCGGGCGAGAAGAGGAGCTTGGAGAGGTGGTAGTTGTCGTTGAGGGGGAAGACCCGGTAGAGCTGCAGCGACTGTCAGTATGGTGTCTCGACGCCGGTGGCGACGACGACGACGAGGAGAAACAGCTTACCTGTTTGCAGAGTTCAGCGTAGGAGGGAAAAGTGTTTTCGGCGAAGGTAATCTTCCTTGTCTCGCCTCGATAGGTGGCCTTTACTGTGAACATGGAGAAGGTTGAGGTCAAGGCGAGGAGGACCCTCCGCAGCGAATGGCTCCTTAAACCCTTAATGTAAGCTTTCTCACGACCTCCTTTGACGCGGCATCACTCCTCTTCTTGACCGCCATTGACTCAGCGCGCCAAAAATGCAGACGCAGCACGCAGAAGCCGGTTATGATCTGCTCACAACCACGAGGCATGACCCCGCACTGACACGATTTGCCTGGAACAACGACCGCGACGCCCAACCCTCTCCATTTTTCCTGTTACCGTATCATCACGAGCGTCTGGTCGAAGCTGCGGCAAAGCATGGATGGAACGATATCACCTGTCGCTACGAAGATTTCAAATCCGCTGTTCGAGCTGCGATCAATGACCCACAGATGACATTTAGAGTATGCAATTACAAGCCTTGTTGCCACTCCAATCTTATCCTTGTTACCAGGTTCGAATCCTCCTCTCCCATACTGGAAGTTTACAAGTTACCGCTGTTCCTATGGAGCAATCATTTACAGACGACCCTTTCTCTCTGTCCTTGTCGAAGCCCTCGATTGCGGTGCAAAACCCCCTGACCGTGCTTCTTGATAAACAACCTGTGGCACCGTCCATTTTTACCTCGACAAAAACCACAAACAGGAAGGTTTACGACGATGCTAGAGATCGCATGGGCATACCCCCGCTGACAACTCCCGCTGGCCGAACTTGTGATGTACTCCTGTACAATTCTGACCAGATGATCATGGAAACATCCATCTTCAACGTCGCCTTTTTCCGTTCAGGCCAATGGGTCACACCCGCTGCTGCGACGGGTTGCTTACTCGGCGTGGCTCGCCGATGGTTACTCGAACACAACCGAATCACCGAAGATACCGCACATTCTTTGACAATAGGATCCATAGTAGATGGTGAATACGTGTTGCTGTTTAATGGGCTACAGGGATGCCGTATGGGGAGGTGTACTGTTGCGCAGTAAAAAGAAACCCCTAGTAATCAATATCCATGCCGTCATCATCGTCCACCGCACTCTCGAACATCCCGCTGTCCATCTCCCCAAGGATAAAGTCAACGACATAGCTCTCCTGGAGGAGTCGCTCCATCCTCGCCAAGTGGCGCTGCGAATAAGGGATCAATGCCTCGACCACCTCCTTCAGCGCATCGCCAGACGAAGGGAGCGGGGCAACCACCTTCCCGGGCCCGATGGTGAGATTCTTAATCGCAGCCTCGTCCTTGAAGTATTGGATGACTTCGTCTGCTGATCGCTGCTTGACGATCGAGTGCAAGACAGCCTGCGCAACGGCACTTGTCTTCGCAGATGCATTCCAATTCCGGATGAACGCGAGGAGCTTCACAAAGTCGGGTGCTTCGAGCGTTTGCATCACTTGATCAAGCAGCTGGCTTCCCTTATTCGAGCCCTCGTCTTCCCCAGCGGAAGAAAGGACATTGGTGAATAGCGATAGGAGACGGCCGGGTTGCCCGAGTGACAATGCTAGTTGAATCGCTCGTTTGTAGTCACCCAACGATACATAGTTTTGGAACTCTTGATCCCTATCGACCAGTCAGTAATGAAATCAAGAGTCCCCATCCAAACCACTTACTTGAGAACCATCTCAGCTCGCTGTTGCTCTTGTTCCAACTCGGTCTCTTCAGTACAATCCTCCCAGAAAGTAACCATAGAGTCGGCACCACCAGAGACAACAGTCCCCTCATCAGGTGTGATAGCCAAAGCCCATACCTGATCTTTCATCAGTTCCAGTCCCGCTTCCATGAGAAAAATACGCACCTTGTCCTCATGGTTATCCAGAGTAGCAACACACTCCTCATCTTGAATGCCCCACACCTTCACAAGCCCATCCGAGGCAGTGCTCACGAGCTGCATCCCAGCATTGAAGAAATCCACCCTAAGCACCGAATTCGTATGCCCTTCAAACGTCTTGATGCAAGCAAAGTCATCCAGACTCCAAAGCTTGATCGTCTTGTCCCCACTGCCTGTCGCCAAAACCCTATTCGTCCGGCAGAAACGAACAGTCCAGACACCGCGCTTGTGACCTTTGCAGGTTCCCAAAAGGCGGAGCTCGCCGCGGTTTCCGCTAGAAGTGCGTGTAAAGTCGACGGTATAGACTTTGGCGGTACGGTCTTGAGAACCGGATACGAGGAGTTTGTCGTTGGGCGAAACATCGAGCGAGTTGATGTCCTTTTCGTGAGCTTTATGCGTGGTAAGACTCTTGCAGTGGATGATTTCGTCGTTAGAGGGAGTCGCTGTGACCTCTGAGAGGTCCCACATTTTGATGGTGCGATCCTGGCTGCCAGTGAACGCAAACTTCAAGGCAGAGCCAGAACCTTCATTCACCCTAGACATTGCCAGAGCGCCAACGCTCTCTGCGTGTCCCCTGCAAACCGCAACGCACGCGTAGCCCCATGCAGATTCGTCGTTAGGATCTTGCCGTGGTGCCCAGATACGAACCTCCTTGTCCTTGCTAGCGCTAGCAAGGAACGTTCCATCGGCGCTCTTGTCCAGTGCCAGAACGATGTCGGTGTGGCCCTCCAGCAGACGAGCGTCGAGAGTGGCGGGAGAGTAGACGCGGATAAGGGACGAGTTGGTAGCCAATGCAAGAAGGGGAGATGTATCTGTCGGTTTTGAGCGAACAAAGGTAGAGTCAACAATTTCGTCGTTGAATCCAACCAGTTGTTTCTTCAGGCGCTGCTGAGCGAGCGAGTAGATCATGATATTTTGGTCAGCATGGATAGACACCAAGGTCTCCGTCGACTGCGAGTAACTGAGAAATGTATGAGTGGTGGACATTTTGACCAGGCAAGGAGAAGAAACGCACAGGATGTTGACAATTTGTCTCTGTTCTTCCTCCTCTTCCGTGAGAGCTCGTGTCCTCTTTTCCCCCAACACAAACGAGTCCTGCTCATCTTCCACGCCTCGAACAGTGACAACCCCCTTCTGCCCACCAACGTAAAATTGAAGTTCATGCAACTGCTGATGGTACTTCGAACTGTGCTTGATGAATCCAACAGCTTCCACCCGCTCCAAGGCAAGCACAGTCTTGACAAGCTGAGGTGGGGGGCCGGCACTCTTTCCCTTTCCACCCTTCTTCGTCACTTTAGAAGTAGGTTGCTGCGAAGGTTGAAGATCCCAAAGCAAAACAACCGAGTCACGTCCACCACTGATCAACCACTTGCCGTCCAGGGAAACATCAAGTCCTCGAGGAACAGATACGTGTCCATCAAGCACTGCTTCAGGTTTTCCGCCCCCGGAGGATGTCGATGCGCCGTCCGTAAGGTTGAAGATTCGGATATGCGTATCCACAGAGGCTGTTATCAGTCGAATGGGTCCAGTTTGGCCTACGGAGGTTGGATCTTGAGGGAAGTTGAACGTCAAGGCGCTGACCACTCCTCCATGCCCTCTGAATACGTGCGTAACATAGCCGTGAGCGACGTCCCAAACTTTGACAATACCGTCCGCGGAACCTGAGGCTAGGAGAGTCGAAGTCGGATCGGAGGTGCAGACGTGAACCGGGGCATCATGAGCTCGACCAATCGTTCGTATTGGTCTGATCTTTTCGGTGGGGATTTCGGTTTGGGGCAGCTCGTATATTCTGAGGGATAGGGAGGCACTGAAGGCGATCAAGTATTTGCCAGAAGCGGTGATGCAAAGAGAGGTTATAGATTCAGTGTCCTGGAAACATATCTAATCAGCTCATTCGCGGTTTCTGTGACCAGAATTGATTCTCACCCCAGCGAACCGACAAAGCTCCTCCCCAGATTTTACGTCGGTCAAGACGATCTCTTCACCAACACATGTTGCCAACCTCTCCCCGTCTGAAGTTGAAGCAACCGGGCCAGATGTGTACAGCGGCGCGATAGTGCGCGCCTTTTTGAAGCTAAGTTACGGTTGGGGTTCAGCATCCTGGATCGATTCATAAAGATTCTTACGCCTTTTTGAGTTTGGGTCGTGTCGTTGGGATGGCCATCGCTGCTCAAACCTCCATCAAGCTCTTCCAAAATTTTGGATTAAGGGCGGCTTGCCGGGCCGCACCACGTTGCTTGGCAGAAGCTTCAGGGACAAACACCGGCTCACACAAGCGTACCTGAAAACACACCGGGCCCCACATGCGACCACAACCTGGATTTATTTAGGGTGCACAAGCGAGATCATTGAAAGGATAAATGCAAACAGCTTTAATGCAAGCGGGTGTGTTCAGTAGTACATCATGTCGGTAAATAAGGGTTATGGATGGCGATGGGAAGACCTTGGAATAAAGTGTGGATAACGGTGGGTACATGATTGATGAGAGCGTGAAGATCATGAGCTTGTTCCGCGTGACAATTCGCTTTCGTATACCAGTAGTAGCTAGAAAGTCCTTGTGAAGAAGAAGGAAAAAAGCATGCAGTGTGACAAACTACTGTTCGGACGACATCGGTCCTTTAAGGCAGTCGTCCTTTTCCAGGTCGGACTTCTTGCGAACGTCCGAGTCACAGGGTGAGTAAACAATTGGGATCATGCCGTAGTTTACCCACAGCGTCCCCCGACCACTGCGCAGTTGGAGGGAGATCCCGTAAGCTCAGGACGTTTGTCGAATGCGATCTGGTGAGCAAGGAGGTCCTGCCAGGAATTTCTCCACGTTACTGTAACGCCCGCTTTCTTTTGCGGCAAGCTGTTGCTCTAGGTCCTTCCTCCGCAGGGTTTCGCTATGCAGCATATCCTCCAGATCCCTGACAGCTGCCCTTGATCTCGAAACCTCCGCCTGAGCCTGTGACAGCTGTTCAGATAGTCGTAAAGACACAGAAACAGCTTCAGCAGACTGGCGGCGCAGAGTGTCAATTTCATTTTGTAAGCGTTCGACGACGTTATCGGAGGAAGATGACGCTGACTTGTCAAGAGATGTGATGGGGGGAAGTGAAAACATTTGTGCCGATCGTGGAGGAGGGTAGGGCGTGATTCCGAGGGAGTCGCGGCGATCGTAAGGGCCGCCTTGCCCATTCATTGATCCCTCCTCACTGTCATAATCATCGCCCGATTCTGGAGGGGCGTCTCCGTATCGAATGCTCTCATCATCGTCTTCCCCATCATGCGAAGACAATGGCGTAGAACCACGGGCGTTCGACGACTTCCGTAGCCTCCCCGGCCTTTGAGAAGGTTCGCCAAAGCTCTCTGGTTTGACTGCCATAGAGATTGGAGGTGGAGCTGCGCGCAGGAGTGTGGGACTAGGTATGGATGGCACCATTGAGACAGGATGGCCGTTCATGACAATGGGGTGTCTGGAAGGACCTTGGTGTAAAACAGCTGAAGGAGGGCCGTGGATAGGAGTGGAAGCGGGAATAGGAGCAGGGGAGGCAACAGCGGCAGCACCAATCTGGGCAGCGTTATTCTGAGAAGCGTTTGCGTCTTTGTTCCCCCTACCTCTTTTGCGGGGCCGCTTTGTACCGGGAGGAGCAGAAAGGTTTACTGTCCAGTACGACCCAAAGCCAGGATCGGTAACGGGTCGCGGCTGCCGCTCAAATAATCGATTAAGAGAGAGGTGGTGACGGACTGATTGCTGTGCGGTCCTGTCAATAACAAATGTTGAAAGAAATCAGAGTTGACCAACCTTCCATGTAGGACCAGCAGTTTTGTAATAAGAATATTTCTCCTCCATCGCGGCATAAATTTCGCGAATCGTCAATCGTTTCCTGGGACTGCCTAGAATTGCACAGCGAAGAATGACTGGTAATGTGTGCTGAGGTCTTCCATCTGTGTCAGGAAGACAGGCCAGAGTATCAGGGCAATCCGGATGCGGCGCATGGTCGTAGTGTTTCTGAGCATTGGAACGTTGGACTGGCGCGCTTCTCTCCTGGTGTGCGGGAGCGTGAGGGCTGGGATTAGCGAATCCTACTGTCTCCGGAATCGGTACACTGGGGACAAAGGACCGATAAAGCGTGAGATCAAAACCAATATAAAGGCTGATAAAGAATACGAGCTCACACATGCGATCGGTTGCGACTATTCTCTGGATTCAGAATATTTGAGAGGTCGGACATTGGGGAGGATTGACCAGCGGCGCCTTTCGTTGGTCGACGCTGGGATGGAGGGAACAAAAGTTGTGGGTCCAAAATTACCCTTAATCAAATGCGTTACATAACTTAGGGTCTTGTTCAAACAGGCGCACACAAGTCATGCCTTTGCTCGAGAAACAGCTCGAAGAGAGAAAACAAAATGTTACAAGAACGTAGACGAATGTGCTACAAAACTTATTCTTCCCCATCCCTCCCTTGACAAGCTGAAATCTAAATATACAAAGAATATAGCGCCCTTACATTACATTAAAACGTCGAATAAGCCCTAACGAACCCGATCGCGGATAAATACTATACACCATAATGTTGGAAATCGTAAGCGTAGTTGAGGTTCAGACCGTTGACAGGTTGCTGAGCGTTTTGGTTTTGCATCGGTATCCATTGCTCCAGTGGATTGCTGAGCTGAGGATTTTGCACAGGGGCACCCATCGGCAACAACATATTGGGATCATGACTTTGCCCCGAATAGGAAGGCGCGTCGGTTATTGGTGCCACTACTGGCTCGTGGTGGTGCATCGACATTTGGTCAGGTCGTGGCCACCACTCGTATCCAGGGAAGAAAGACGTTGAAGGCTCGACCCCGGGTACATCCAAACCCAACATGGACGCCATCATCCGTGTGCTCATGTCCTGCACACCATTGTTCTTGTTCATCGGAGGTTGCATCCCCGCATGCGAATTAGCCACAAACGCTTCCTGCCGCGGGTAGTCGGAAACCTTGTCCTGACCAAAAGCTGCTTCTGCAGGCCTCTTCGGCCTCGTTTGGAACGCCAGGTCCATGTAGCTCGTGTTTGCCCGGTTAGAAAGGTGTGCACCATTCAAAAGTTCCCAAGCTCGAGCGGCACTTGGCCATGTCAACTGATCACAATCATGGTAAGTTCAGGGCTAGACCTGATACACAGCAAACGGCACGGACCTCCATGTCTTTCAGCGCGGCTTTTAGTTGCTGTAAACCTACGGAAGCTTCCACGTCGTCGGGGCGCAAAGTCACTTGAAGCGTTCAGTAATCAGTACAAGGGATCGGCAACTTCGGTGCGAAACCCGACTCACAAGTCAAGACCTGAACAATGCTATGGAATGAAATGTCATTACGTGTCCCGCATGGTCACGATAAGATGGCTTACCCAGCACTCAGGAGGTAGGACGTAAGGAAAGGCGATGATCGCCTCAGAGTGAAGGTTTCGCGATAGGTTGTTACTGTTCAAGATAAGCGAATGCCACGACACTCGATGGAAACAACACTCACTTATTGAGCTCATTTGACAAGCAGCACTTCGAGCGAGATCGAATGCCCGTGTACCAATTGTTGAGCTACGCGCCACTTCGTCCATGCTATACGGATGTCAGCGGGATAATATCAGCACATACTACCATGACGAACCGTCTCCAGTTGGGAATACTAATACAAGTAACGATTAGTAACAGACCACGGTCTAGTGACTGCTCTACTCACAAGCCACGGTGGAGCAGCAATACAGCACCCCAATACCGAATATGAAGGAAAAGAATCTGTGGTGGAGGAGTGACTTTGCGTGGTCCAGGGTCCAGTCGCAAATGCTCCGGCAGAGTATAGTACCACTGGTCTAGTCGGCTCTCAAGTTCAGCAAGTAACTGTTGTCGAGATTCCTTAAGGGGAGGATTGATGGGATAAACCTTGGTGATGATGGCTCCGACAATCATGGCTAGAAGCAATTCAAGTCACTTCCAAGGCTAAGGCTCGCAAGAGACAGAGAGCTTACACAGCCGGGATACTGCACACAGTGTGCTCAAGATACGTCCAGGAGCAGGTGCGTAGGGAATTTGATTCATCCCTTCAACAGGTTGCCAAGGATCGCGATCCTCAACCTAACTCGGCCGTCAGCGCTTAATTTAGCACTCAGAGCACACTAAACGCGAACGCACAGGATCAATATCAGGCAGAGGCGTGTCGTAGTCCCCGTCCTTGATCATCACAGGCCGGCCTTTTGGGTGGTACGTTCAGTAAACAGTGAAGTGGACATTTCAGAAAAGTATGTACCCATGTAGAGAGACCCATATCTGGAAGGAAGATCCCAATTACCAAAACAGTCACGAAGATCCTTGCCTGCAGCGACTTACCTGTCTACCATGCAGCATGTCCACCAGATCTGCCTTCGCGTTTGAGTTTCTTCTTGCGTGAACAAGGCGTGGCCGTTGATCTTCCATTGTGAGGAATCACAATTTAACCCCAGATCGTACGCCATACGAATACCCATGCCTACACGAGGTCAGTTGACATCCAACGGAGAAGGGGTGGCAAAGAACTTACCAATTAGAAGCCAACCCTGCTCCATCGATCCTGCGACGTGTTAGAGAACGTGGATCGAGAAAACAGCCGATTGATCACTCACCAATACCAAATTCCCTACCACCTAAAAGGATGAGGGCCTGTACCACGGTCGGCCTTGAGTGTCGGACAGCGTCTAGAGATACGGTAAGGTGATGAGACAGTAAGGAATCTAAAGTGACACTTGCTTAGGATCTTCCGGGCATCTTCAGCGTACTTCCATCCAGCCTCCCACATCTTGCCATTTGTGTTGTGCGCTTCTTCATCGTCCAGGAATCGGGCCGAGATGGAAAACATGGATAGTAGAAGTAAAGGTGTGATCTCTTGTGTGGGCTCTGGTTTCGGAGTCGTGTTTGCCCCCGGTGGAGATGCGGCCGAGCTGAAAAACGAGCTAAAGAAGAATTAAGATCAAGGCAAGATGAGTCAAGTGTCAAAAGAACCTACGGATTTTGTTTTCTAAACCCAGCGTGAGTTACCAGACCAACGACAATATGTGATATGACGTCTCACCGATTGTGGTATTCATTAAGGAAGCGCGTTTTGTGAATGATGGGGAAAACCGGATGGACGTAGGTGAAGTAAAGTCTGACAAGTAGATCTTGCTCTTCGATAGGTGGCAGGTGGACTTCTAGGCTTTCTGCAGACACGTCTTGGACAACAAGCTTGGACTGCGGCCACACCCGCGCCATCGGCAGACGCCTTGGACACGAGATCAGCACCTGAGGAATGCTCGAGCACGCACAACGGACTTACCAGACGCCACCCTCAATTCGATCATCTGCTCGAAGGCTTCTCCCCAGCAAATGAAGACCGCTCGATTTCCCATGGAACCGGACCTAGACATATGGATTAGATGAGACTCTGACGACGAGGGCTACAGACGTGAGAACTAACCTCTTGGTTTTCGTCCAAAGACAGTTGGCCAAGTTCGTTGGTTGTCTCGCGGAACTCCTCGTCTTCTGAAAGAGGAAGTCAGGTATCGGGAGTAAACGCGAAAGACTCTGCCACATACCGGTGTTAGGATCAATTGTGTACAGGTTGCTCCAGTCCGGTGTGGCCGATGGTGGCGAAGCGTGTAACCGTCGTTTCTGAGACGCAGGCTGGTGATCCCCGGGAGCAGCAGGGTATCCCCCAGTATTGCTTGAGTAGGAACTACTCGGGGGGAAGGTCCCATTCGAGAGAGCGCACAAGCGCTGCGATAAGTTGTCTTGCCATTGTTTTGTCGGAACAACTGATAGCCCATGGTCTACGAGCGTTATCAGATAAGTTGTTCTTCAAGGAAAGTAGATCACAGAGCATGTACCTTGACTTGAGGATACTATTTCTCGAGACACGCGAGACTGTCGCAAAGCCCTCGAAGGATCCCTACTATGAGACATCTCGTTGCTTTTGAGAACTGAAGCGAAGAAGTCTTCCTTGGTGGTGTCGACGGATTGCAGACGCCGGCCTGAGGGACCCTGTGCACAGGAGTGTTTAGACCGACACACTGTCTTCCAAGGGTGGTGAACGACTCACATAAGGTCCCATATCAACCCGATCCAATATTTCCCTAGCAAGGTCATCCTGCTTCAAGTCTGACATGACGCTCTTCACCCTCGGGTCGGGACATTGTAGTAGAGCGCCCAACAAAGATTCGACTTGATGCCATCGCTGTTCAATAGCGTGAATGTAGCCCTTCGGTGGACCTCGTTTGTAGCTCGGGCCTAATAGCCACGGTCAACGCTTTTGTCCAGAGGACAAGGACTGCGACGAACCTAGGAAGGTGCACGCTGCTCCTGGTATCAATACTACTCCATGAATTGATCATAGTCGAGGACACTCACGAGTACCTGCCAATGTACAACTTTTACATTTTTGATCTTCTCCGAGAGAACGCTCGCATTTGCTTTTGGTTTTTCGACACTGGTCGCAAGCTTGGGAGTAGTTGAGTCTATTTCATATAGCGTTTTAGAGTCGGAAGATGTCATACCTCTGGTACTCCTCTTTCTCGATGAAGTTTGTTGGTCCTCAACTGGTTGCGGCTCTTGGTCTGAGCCTGCTCCGTCAGATTCGTGGTGATCCATGAGTTAAAGGTGAGGGAATATTGAGAATGGTAATGGGAGTTGGAAGGGAAGATATGTAATTTGCCGTCTCAGTCTTTGGTGAGAGGCCTCACGTGTCCGATCCGGGGTGGTGCGACGTAATAGTCTGTACACAGCAAGTTTAGCTGTGACTCTTGTGCGATTTCCGCCGACAGAACACTAGTTGACAAATGCAAGATCCAGGAACATTAGACCCAATAATACAGCTAAATTCCAAAGGATATAATATACACATGCCACACTTCATTTGAGGGGACTGAAGGAAAGCGGGGACATAATGAAAGAGTCCATAGTCTCCGCCAACTTGGAGGTCTGGAACAAGTGAGCGATTCAACAACCGGTAATCCCGACAATCAACGATTGGCTGACCTTGGAGACCGTCTCTGCCCAGCCGTCAATTTGCCAAGCCTTCTGTCTGAGCTCCTTGCGAGTTTGAAGGTCACTGGAGCAGGTCGTTCTGTCAGCGCTGGACAGAACCTTCGTTGAAAAGATCGAGACTCACGGGTATTGCCAAAGATGGTGGGTTTGGTGGAGCCGACCAATCTGAGAAAACCAGGCTCCGACAGGAGCGACAAATTTGCGACGCGCCTCGATGCCTCGTCTCCTTTGATAGGGGTTATATTAATACGAACGCGGTAGAGCGCATGACATACCATGTGGATTCCCATTCAAGAAGAGTACCGGGCTTCAACTGGTAGGTCCTGAGCTCGAACAAACCTCCTTGAGCATGGGGTGGTGCAGTGGGGAAGAAACCGAATTCCTGGTTGAGTTGAGCGTTGCGTGAGACGATAAACGGCAGCATCGCTTTATAGGCTTCAGAGTGTTCCTGCGGGCGGCTTTCAGCATAGCCTCTCCATGGTGGAGTCGAGTATTCTACGTGCCTTGGACCCCTTGATGAGCTTGGTCGTCTTGTCCCATCCAGCATAGTTCTCGTATTCAAGAATGTGGAGGAATGTGTCTTGTTCACCGACGAGTGTTTCCCAGCTTCCTGTAAGCTTCACCCCAAGTTCTGAATCGTCCTTGATACCGACATAGTACCGTTCACTGCAAGGGGTCAAAGGGTTGCCCACTCCCAAGGAGAATCAAGCACATACGCGGCCTTCTTGTAATCGTCAATCAGATGAGGCTTGACGCGGTGAACTGCAGAGAGCGTCAGTTGAGCTCTTTCCTGCGCGAGTAGGACGCACCTTCGAAACCATGGACGTATTTGCCTCTCCCTACTAGTTTCGAATGCTGCAGGTTCTCGAGTTCGCCTTCCTTCCGTGCCTCAGGGGACCCGTGTAACAAGCTCTGTGCCAGGTCAGCGCCTTTCTCATCGTGTGAAAGGCATTGACGGTACCTGGACAGAGATGGACCTCTTGGAGAGGGCTGCGAGTGCGTTGGGGGCTTTGGTTCTGGAGAAGGATCTAGCTGCAGAGGAAAGCATTTGTAGTAGTTGGCGGTTGTAAGATGAACCTTGAAGCGAACCTCGACTTAACATCCCAAGTGACGTAAGCGGGGTCTAAAGCGCCCTTGTCCTCGTCGGCTTTTCTTTATAGCCTCACACCAGAATTTCTATCAGTGAAATAAGAAATGGCATTCGTCTCAAAGAGCAAATTATAGTGTACAGTTCAATCCATCCTGCCCTTCAGCGTACGTGTAATCACCTTGTCCTTCGTGCTGCAGGGCCCTCATCAGAAGGCTGGATCATAAGCAATGGAGCAGATAAAAGACTTACAGAACATGGACAACAGCGCCCCAGCCTGAGAACGCATCTCGGTCGACGGCATTCAGCATCGTCTGTGAGATGGTCTCGAACAAGTCCTCCGGCTCGAGATCAGGCTCCCATAGCCCTTCGGCCACACCATACAGCTTCGCGCTTGCCGTTCCGGCGACCACAAAATCCTTTGCATAATTCAAGCACCCAATCAGGTCCGTCGCTGCAATGAAAGGCTTGATCTTGCCGGTAGGTGTTTTTGAGATGCCAGCCATCACGGGTTCGCAAAAGTAGGGACCGAATCGTCGCTCGTAGAGTGTTGAAGAAACGAGGTGTGCAAAGACCTCTGGCTCGATTTCTCTGCCCTCCTTGATCGTGTACATATTGACTCGGAATCGGAATCGTTCATGGCTGGAGTACGTCAGAAACCGTATTCAGCGACAGAATGGACAGGAGACGTACAGAGTTGCGACATCAGTCGCAAGGCCTGGTAGACCTAGATATATCCGATCGGTCATTGGGAATACCTGTGCTTCAGGTCACATTCGCACACGATATTTGGAAATGTTGCTCCAGAAAACTCACCCTCTGGAAGTCAGAGGCAATTCCAAGTGCTTGATTTCCAAGTCGGAGGTCAGAGGCGATGGCGACACAGTCCTTCCCCAGCATGGCGATAACGGAGCCACCGTTATGATCCATTATTGACTAGAACGCCCATTAGTTATTTTATTTTCATAGTTTGGCGTTGCGCTCACCATGTTTGCAACGAAGAAGGCTGTTGAAGGTGAAGGAATTGAATGAGAGTGATTAACCTTACGCGTTCGCCGTTCGTCGATAACTTACGCGTCGCATTTGGATCACGAGGCGCCACTGAGATAAGCGGGTCACACAGCAAGGTCACACACTGGAACTTAGTTAGATTTCTACCAATTCCCTTATAATAAGTTGGCGCTTTATAATGGATCTCTATTCTTTCTGGATCTCCTCCCTCACCTTCGGACGTCCCTTGAACTCTGACCCCCATGTTGCGTGCGACCACGAGACTGAGGTCGACGCCCACAGGATGGCCTGGCAGTGCCCTCATCCGTGCAAGCAGCAGTCGCGCTCTAGCAAGAGTGCGTTTTGTTTCCGACTCAATTCCGACATTCACTAATGGCCATACCAGCAAAGAATTTCTGAGATTGACGCGACAGACCCCTACTCGTCGTCTCTAGTCGATACATTCAACAGGAAACACGACTACCTCCGGATCTCGTTGACTGAGAGGTGCAACTTGCGATGTATGTCACCCATAGCCCTGGTGCAACGAACTACAACTGAATTAAATGGTCAGGCTTCTACTGTATGCCCAGTGAGGGCGTCGAGCTCTCACCCCCAAGTCATATTTTGACAGACGGCGAGATCATACGTCTCGCCTCCCTTTTCGTTCGGAATGGAGTCACCAAAATCCGACTGACTGGAGGTGAACCGACGATTCGTAAGGGCATTGTTGACTTGACCAGTGCGTTCTTGGGCTTCTTTGCTTCTCTGCCAGGTGGCTCACGAGGTGACCTCTAGGACGTTTGCATGAACTCCAGTCATATGGACTCAAGTCCATTGCAATGACAAGCAACGGGCTGGTCCTCCATCGCCATCTACCCCAATTGATTCAGCATGGTCTGACGCATCTGAACCTCAGGTAAGGGTGCAGTGGAACTTACAATAGCCGCCATTAACTTGACTCCAGTTTAGACACTTTGGACCCCTTCAAATTTGAGTTCATGACGCGCCGACGAGGACATGAAGCAGTGTTGAAGACGCTGAACATGGCTTTGGATATGGACCTCCCTTCTGTTAAAGTGAACGTAGTTGTGATCAAGGGTCTTAATGACTCGGAAGTCCTGGACTTTGTCGAAATGACCAGGGATCAGCCTATCTCGGTCCGTTTCATTGAATTCATGCCATTTACTGGTATGTGTCCTCTATCAGTCGGCCTCCTTTTCTCTAGTCACTTACAGCGAACTTCACAGGGAACAAATGGGACAGAAAAAAGATGGTTCCCTCGTCCAACCTCTTGGAGACGATAAAGAGCAAATATCCCACCGCGACCCGAGCTCTCGCAGAGCCCAACGAAACCGCCAGGTCCTGGCTCATTCCTGGGTTCAAAGGCAGCTTCGGGTTCATCTCCAGTATGTCCGACCACTTTTGTAGCAGCTGCAATCGACTGCGTTTGACTTCGGATGGGCAAATCAAGGTAAATTTTCGTACATCCGGGACTTGGACATTCGGATATAAACCATTCCCCAGGTATGCCTCTTCGACCCACACGAAGTCTCCCTCCGGGATGCTATGCGACAAGGTGCAACGGACGACCAACTACTCGGTATAATACAAGGCGCCGTATCCAACAAGAAAGAGAAACACGCAGGCATGAACGACATCGACGTTACTTCCAACAGGCCAATGATTCTCATAGGTGGATGAGCCTTTTCCATTGGAAAACCATCGGACTCTGTTTTAATGCTTTCTCCGTCCCCTCGCACCCTACCTACCCCTACCTTTTTCTTCCCAGGCAATGCATACCACCCATACCGACCGTCCAAACTCCACCGAAACCAACGGAACTCGAAGCGCGTACCGGTTTCCTCGCACCGACACTATGGCACCTCGACACGGCTCACCCATCTTGATGACTCGGGGCGAGCCAACATGGTCGATGTCGGCGATAAATCTCCAACCAAGCGCAGCGCAACTGCCACCGGCCGCATTTACATTACCCCACTTGCTTACCGGCTCGTGACTCAAGGATACCCACAGGGTAGTGAAGGACCGGCACGTTCTGAACTCGACGTCGAGGAGCACAAGGCCATGTCTAAAGCGAGTCGCAAAGGCGACGTCTTGACAGTCGCTCAATTGGCAGCGATCATGGGCGCGAAACAGACGGCCAACCTGATTCCTTTGTGCCACCCCCTTTCTTTATCCAATGTCAAGGTGGCCTTGACGCCTCGTGTGGTGGAGGAAGAACAAGATGTTGGACGTGATGGTGGTGGAGAGGTGCGCTGCACTCGGAGGCGGTACATGATTGAATGTTCAGCCACTGTCGCTTGTGAAGGGAAAACCGGGGTGGAAATGGAGGCTCTGACGGCGGTTTCGGTGGGGTTATTGACCGTCTGGGATATGTTGAAAGCTGTTGCTGGCAAAGAGATGGAGATCGGGGAAATCAAGGTCACCAGGAAGACAGGAAGTCAGAGCGGAGAATTCGAAAGGCAATGAAGGCAGATGAATGGGCATTTGGTCAACGTTACAAACGTGCACACAACGATATGTATATATTGTCGTCAGGTCGAGAGATTGGAATCAGGATTAGTCTGCCTTTACGAACTCTGCGAGACGGTCGCGGGTTATCTCGCCCTCGACGATACGCTCCCCAGGGTGGCCCTATCATGATACAACAGTGATATTGTTAGAATCCGATTCGATGGCGCCCAACGCCCATGTGTCCACTCACATCCTTTACTTTCACGATGGCGGGTACTCCCGTAACTTTCCAGGGGGCTTGACGGAAGATGTTGGAAGGCGTTTTCCACCTAAAATAGGCACATCCCCTGGTAACTGACTGTCGGGAAAGTAACCAAAAGGGTCTGGCCTTACTGTGTACGATTTCCAACGTAAACTAACAAGGCGCCGGGCTTGTCTTCGCCTGAAAACGCTTCCTGAATGAGGGGATCTACGTCAACGCAGTCCTTCGAAATAGTCAGCTCGCCCCTGTCGATAACAAAGTGGTATTGCCGGTAAGACATACCGGACACCACATTTTTCCATCGACAACCGAAGCATAGAAGATGAGGTACTTCTCCGGAACGGTCTGCAATGAAACTGGATCAATGGACGGGTCAGCAATGTAAATCGGCATGGTGGTGGTGGACGAGCGGAATCAAAGAATGTGTTGGTTGGTTGCCAGCTGAGAATGATCGAGACCGCGCCTGTTACCCAGATCCAGAGAGCATCCCTCACAACCAGTCTCCAGAAGAGATTCCATGTGCATCACCAGGGTTGTCATTGGCGTCATTTCTGCCATCAACAGATGTATAAGCAGGATAGGTGCTGGTGGAAGGGGGAAGAAAGACAAAGAATGTAGGGATGGTGCACTGCAGCAAAGAAAGCTACTACGATGCAAAGTACGAAAGGATTAACTAAAACCAAAAGGCCGGTATAAAGATCCACGGGACCGATGTACCAAAAGCCAACTTGCCACAAATCGACGAGAGCCGAAAGCAAAGAAAAGAGCGCTTCGTCGAAGAAAAACCGCAATTAAGTAAAATCGAAAGTATTTGAGGAAAATCGCAAGTTGCAAGGTATATGTCGTGAATGGGTAGAACAGTCCGTTGTCCGAAAGTTGGTTTGAAAAGGTGAAGGGTTATGGATGAGAAGATCTATGCGTCAAAACTTGCTTCATAAAAGTCCCTCTGTGTCTACTACTAAGTGTCCGTTTTTAGTAAGAGCCATGAGCAGGCGTGTGGGTTACCGCGGGAGCTGCGGTGGCAGAAGCATGCTCAGGGGAAGCATAGGTGTTGTGGGAGTTGCTGTTACCGGCACTCAACCAGTACTTCGACTTGCACTGGCCAAGGCACTCGTAGAGACCAGTGTTCTGGACGACTTCAACTTGAGTGGTAGTAGCAGTGGCAGTCTCAGTGACAGTCGAAAGGACGGTCCTGTCTTCAACCCTGACGGAAGTAAGAGTCTCGACAACAGTTTGGGTCTAAAGAACGTGGTTAGTATCGTTTCCAAACCGAAGCTTGTTTCCTTACATTGTCGATAGTCTTCGTCTCGACCCACACGCTGGTCAAGGTGGTGGGCTGAACGACAGTGGTAACATGAGTGAGCGTCGCAGTGTCGGTCTTGGTCTCTGTCTTGGTGGCAGTAGCAACAGAGGTGACTTGCGAGGTTACGGTAGCAGTCTTGGTCTCCTCAACGGTCTTAGTCTGTGGAAGGGCGGGATCAGTAACAGGTCCCCAGAAAAAAAAATAAGGACGAGGTACGCACGTTGTCGATCACGTTGGTGGTGACCCAAACCTTGGTGAAGGTGGTCGGCTGAACGATGGTGCTCAACTGAACCTGGGTGACGGTGTCGGTCTCGACGAGCTTGACAGTTTCAGTGGCCGTGTTGGTCTGGGTCTGGGTTTGAGTGTGGACGTTGGTCAAGGTCTTGACCTCGGTCGCAGTGAGGGTGTGTTCGATAACCTTGGTCCTGTCGACAACCTCGGTTGAAACCCACACACGGGTGGTGGGAACGACCTGGATAGAGGTGAAGACCTGGGTTTCGGTCACAGAAGCGGTCGCAGTGCTCAGTTGGGTCTCCGTTAGGTGTTGGGTAACGGTAGCGTGCACCGTTTCAGTCACGGTCTGTTGAGGAAACGAGGTAAGGAATGCCCCTTCATGAACGCAAGGAAGCCGGTATACGCACATTGTGAACTGTGTTGGTAACAGTAACAGTGGCTGGGTGAGCTGGAGCACAGGAGCCTTTGTTGATGCTGGAGAACGGACATCAGAACGAGTGAATTTTTGATCAAACGTTGACTACTCACTTGATGATGGTTGTTCCATAGCATCCTTGGTGAGGATTCGAGTACTGCAATCCAAATGCAGTTAGTACAATCCTTCTGTATGATAACGGGCGATGCGTACCCATTCCTCAGGTCTGCAGGTTCCATCAGCATCCTTCTTGTGACCATAACCGCAGGGCAAGTCCTTCCATCCACCCTTCTGGAAGACCTCGTAGGGCATGTGCTCAGGGGCAGCAGTGATCTGGGGAGCATGCTGGACATGTTCTGTTGGGACGGGGATGAAGGAAAGGCCATTCACGACCTGGGCGAGGGCGGCGCCGGCGAGCGAGAATCCGAAAATAATCGACTTCATGGTTGCAAACGAGTGGAATTCCGAGGCAAGAAAGAGCGGTTTTTAATCAAGTGTTTCGAAGCTGCGTTCTACGCCGACGTTCAATACTGTCTTGCAGTAGCGTCGAAAGTGGGGCAAATCAAGCCTTGAACGACGAGCGTTCTGTGGTTTGTGAGTCGAAGAATTCAGCAGAAAACAAGGACCGACGCACCTAAAAAAAACGAAAGAAATAACGAAAAAGAGAAAAAACGACAGCCAAAGAGAACGAAGGTGGGAAGAGGTTGTCAGGAGCGTTGGGGGTATTTGAGTGCAAAATCAATGCCGTGGCCGTTGATCGGCGGTGCATCAGGCCCGTTGCCCTGGAACATCATTCTCATCTCTCATTGGTCAAAATCCTCGCTGTCTTCCTTGGCCATCGCGGAGGAACTTGATCAAGTTATCGCCCGTAACCATGCCTTACCACCCCTCATCAGACACCGTGAAATCCCTTTATTACTATGTTACCTGATCATACTGTATTCAAACCATTTCAAGAGAGTTTCGGGTTCGTCAGCGACAGAGGCTGCTTGAACGAAGTCGCCCGCTTTCCAAAGTCCCCATGAACGTCGAGCAAGATCCTAAGAGCGTTCCTTGCTCGAACCTTCGAGAGGTCATCAGGGCGTGACGTGAGGGCAGTCTCCATCTGCCGAGGCTTCTCTTCCCAAGGGTACTGTAAAATTGGTCAACCAACTGCCACTGTCAATCATGGGAACATCAAACATACCGGGACCTGCATTGCATTTCAAAGTGAATCAACATTGAGTGCTTCAGACATCACCTTCAGGTTTCCATGGAAAACTCACAAATTTCTTTAAAGTTTCATAGCCTTGAAAAGACGGTCAGCGCGGGTTTAGACACGAGGCAAAGTAGACATACCCAAAAGAGTGAAACCGAACTGTGGACTGCTTCGAATGATACGCGCTGGTCCTCCTTTGAACAGCGCCTTGAATCCTTCTTCCCTGTCTAAAAACCGACAGTGTTAGAACATTCCGGCCATCAGCATCTATGTAATCAACCTCACAGATCTTGACGAACGCATCGACCAAACCATTATATCTGGTCTGGCCTTGTCGAGCCTCGACCTGCAAACGGGTCTTTACCACATCTGGGAAGGTGAGGTCAGTGCAAAATGTGCATTACCCGGCGCAAGGTGTCCTACCTGCAGGGGTGGTCAAATACGCCGCAGGCATACCCCTGTACAATGCGTCAAAATCACCATAGGCAAGCAGAGCACCGGAGGTACTCACGCAATTGCGGCGGAGGCCAAGGTTTCAAAGAATGAAAGCTGCTTCCCATTGTACCCCTCTTGGAAGAGATCCGATTTCAGATGCGAATAGGCAGGGAAATAGATCGCAGAGAACGGAATATCGCGCAACAAGCAGGCGGATGCGCCACGATAGAGACCGACGACACCCAATTGACGAATGATATGAACGGCACCTCGAGGAGTTGCACCCTCGAGCTTGGCGGTCTCTCCTTGCACTTGCAATCGGATTTTGCTGCAATGGAACTTAGATTAGAGGTCCCGGCAAAAGAGTACAATACTTACACAATTTCTAAAGGATTGGTGAAAACCTGCATCGAGACAGACGTGATGAACACAGATTCATCTTCGGACATCTATGATGCAAACTTACCACTTGACATCCACCAGCTGCACCACCTGCAAAAAGCTCCCAAGGGAGGGTGATTCGACCGGTATCGGGGTCGGTGGCCCTTCCTCGAACCAAGTCATTGACAGTTAGTTTGATGGCTTTTTCCGGTGCAACGCCCTAACGCCAGATATAAAACCATGTCATCGACGCAGGGGAGGATGGGTCCACTTACAACCAACTGGGGGCCGAGACCGCGATAGAAGCCGAAAAATCCTTCATTGCGAAGGATCTTCTTTGCACAATCGATGCTGTTCTTGTAAAGCATCTGACCAACGACCGTCGACCGCTGATTTTGCATTCTGCAAGAAACATTAGTTAACTCCAGTCCGCGGATACCAGGAGCGGATAGATGCTTACCGCGTCTATAGAAACCAGGTGGTTAGACCTTCAAAACTTGTCACGTCGGACTGGCAGAATTCCATACCTTGACTAGATAGACAGTTAACATCAAAAAATCATATAGAAGAGGAACGACGTACCCATATCAATAGGATAGACAATGGTAGCACCGAATGCACCGGCGATACCTAGAAACAATGGTCAGCGGACGTCTATGCACCAATCTCCAAGCACCCGTACCTCCGAGAACAAAATTGTAGCCAGAATGCAGAACTCTATGAAGGTAGGAGGAAGCCGGAAGGGTAGTGGTGGGTATAGTGGGTTCCTTGAATTCATGAGGTGCTTTCCATCTAGGGTCTAAAAGGTGTGCAAAGTCGACCAGAGCAAGGCGCTGGTTGGGCAGGCCGCGTCCAGCGAAATGGAAGATGATGGAGGCCTCCATAGGAGTGAAGAGTGAGTATCTGGAGTTAGAAGAAGCGTAGTTGAGGAAGTCAGTTTGGTCGATACGCCCGTCCTTGCTTTTGGCGGTCGCTTCACGGATGATCCTGAAAAGATGGTTGTGTGAGCGAGGGATAACCGCTGGAATGGTCTTCATACCTCTCCACCATATCCATTTCTATCCACAACTCGTCAGAGTAATCCATAGCAAAGGCGGGATTCACGTACCTCGAATAACATTATAGAAAGCGTTAACTTCCGAATAGGATATACGTTGTCCGGGGCTGAGCGTGCACAAGGTGGGTAACCGTTCTATGACAGAGTCCGATAGTTTGTGACCAGCAATTTCCTGAGTAAGAGTAAGAGGCAAGTGGTTAGTACTCAGAGTATCAGAAGAAAGGGGAGGGCCGTACTAGGATAATCCTCTTAAATTGGTCGGGGAGGATGAAGCCATCTTGATCATCATCCAGGTATTTGAATGCTTGACGAAGGCGTTCGCCCTGCAAACCCTTCATCAATTGGGTGAATTCATTGTCTGGGTCAAAAGGGTTAAGGCACTGGATCAACGACAAGCGAGGATCAACACTCACAGCCCAAAACGTGTGTGCCGTTCTTCTTTCCAAGATAAAGCTGGACCCAATCGCTGAAGGCGGGATGTGTAAGAATGCCGAACTTTGGTGTGGAGTAGGTGGTAGTTACCAATCAAAATCGAAAGGGATAGATTCTGGACCAATGTTGGCGGCCAAGACAGTTCGGAACTCCTCATAATCGATAAAGCCCGAATGGTCTCTATATGGAAGTGAGCATGCGGGGTATATAATGAATAGACGGCACTCACACATCGAAGTATTGGAATGCCATCCAATAGTCCGCATCTGGCCGCTTCAACAAAGTCTCGAACACCACAAAGTCCTCCCATGAAACTAGGTTCCTTCGTGACGTATCTGCTACGCGAAAGAGAATCGCGAACTGATGACGACCGATTTTTGTCAGATCTTCAAGAGGGGCGATGGCGTTCACGAAACCCTCGGGCTCAAGGAATCTGATATTATTTCAAGAGAATGAGAAGGCTGCATGGGGCATGTGACTCGACAGCAGGCAGTTTACGCACTTCTCTCCGTTAATGACCGTCGCATTGGCATCGAAGGTGCGTCGCCATCTTTTGAGCTCAGATTCTGGGACAGCAACGGCCGTACGGACAGTCTTGAGAGCGGACGCAGTGAGCGACGAGGCGCCGTCAGAATCGTTGTGCACCGTCGGAAGGACTCGGGACTCGGGGGCCATTTATATTCTATTAGGTGGCCGCCGTCGTTTCTAAGGGTATTTGGGGTGTTCTGGGTATCCCGAAGTCGTGGGCGTCGACTGTCGACGATGGGGGAAGGAAGAAAAGCAGAGTTGACCACTGCTGACGGTGAGCTCGAAGTTTTTCGAGTGCGGGGAATGCGGCTTCGGTGTTAGCCCATTCCGTGCTTCAACTTTTAGTGCCGATTCATCCTGTCCGGATCAATTTTCCGACCCCAGACGGCCGACTGCCGGCGACTATATTCGGAACCTATTTACCACCCAGCCAATAGCAGCCAGCTACATCCTCTCCCCGAACGCTACCTCAGGGGGCAGGCGAAAGCTAATACAATACATGTCCTTGTTCGGTGCAACAGATCGCACAAAGTGAAACGACGTTTCCGACGTGAGGGCCCCCCCTAGCTTTTCTTCCACTCTCTGTCCATGGAGTTAGCACCGAATTTATCTGATAACGCGGTGAGGTCCGAACCTTGCGTATATCCCCTTCCGCATTGACACGAGAATCGACCTCTCGTGTAAAGCAATGGCAATGCACCATGGGCATCGTACTGTATTGCTCACGCAGGGCCGGTTCAGCTCCCGAGAGGAGTCCTCGGAACGCATCCAAGAATGAAATAGCAGAATCGGGCAGGTTCATCACGAAATGTGATATTCTCCGTCGACCGTGCTGTTTTTCCGAGGGAGGTATCGGTACGGTCTGACCTTCGGCCTTTAGCCTCTGCAGTCTTCGGCGTTCTTTCTCCTCCTGGACACGACTCTGCTTAGGTCCGGTGTAAGCTGGTAACGGCTCTTCCCATAGCCTCGAAACACTCTTTTGAATGAACTCCCGTCCATCTTCACAGAATGCCTTGACTGTATCATCCACCTGGTAGTCTTTGTATTACAAACACGTCTGGCCAGAGGGAACTGCACGCACCCTGTTGTTTTTAGCGTTGATAGCAAGGTACTTGTAGCTTTCTGGGTTCAGATCGTTGGCCAAGACACCGCATCCTTTCTTGCCAGCAGGAATTGCGAACGGCCCTACTCCGGCAAAGACATCCGCGACCACCTCCTCTGGCTGGAACACCTGGATAAGCCTGTCGTGTTCCGTGTGCAGTCTCGAGTTCCAATACACTTTGGTAAAATCGAACATAAACCGACAGTCCGACTCGTGCTGCAGTTGTCGAATGAGAAAACAACTGCGTGAATCGTTGGAACGAATAACTCACATGTTCAACGACATAGTCCGGCTCCCCTGCGAGCAGCTCCATTTTAAAGAAGCGGAACTGGGTGTCAATGCTATTGATCTTATTGACGACCGTCCTGACGCGGTTGTTTTTCTGAATGTCTGGTCAATCGGGCGAATCACTTCAACGGAGAACCCACCCACCTCAAGAATTAGTTGTCCAATAATATACTTGTAGGGTAGATACTCTTCGTTAAGATTCAGATGGGCTGGATCAAGCAGAGTCTGTGCTTGCCCAAAAGCTAATGAGCGTAAACGCTTACCGATGTGCCCAACCATGGCGAAGCCTGAAGGTGCACCTTCTCTAAGCTCCTCAGGAAGGAATGATTGCAATATTTCATCTGCGCATCCATAACTTGTTAATGCTTTGTATCGACATGGAATCGCGACCCACGCACCTGCCGTCCAATAGTTATAGTCCAGGTTAACATTGAACTCGGTAAGACCATTGGACTCCGTCTTGATGAGCTCAAGGGCCTCGGGTGGGATGTCACCTGGCTTTCCGAGTCTATGAATCGATTCCGGTGTAACCATAGATCTGAACTCTGGTACCTTCGTTTGGCATTCGCAACAACACCAATCGGTTGCCCTCTTCCTTGGGATCTGAAACCACTGTTCGGACTTTGGGGATGTCCAGGAGCGCCCTAGGTTTGATAACTTGATGAGTAACTAACAACTAGGGCATAGTATGTCGTACCTCTTCATGGCATCCCCTTTCAAGAACTTCCCGACCTTCTCAGGGCGTACTCGGACAGCAAGGACAGGAAGTGTTTTGTGAAATGCTGACTTGTCAAGTTCAGTTCTCGATCCAGTGTACGCCGGTGGTGATGTATCGAGATACAAATGTCGTGTTGTCATCGTGAAGAGATCTGTTCTAGTAAACAAGCGGAGTGAGCGCCCAAAAGGACGAAGAAACATTCACGACCACAGACTTTTCGAAAACGAGCGCGTCAACACTTGCGAGTGACGATGACGGAGGTTTCGATAAATATTCCCAAACATAGCAGATAAGATAAACGCGTCCGATCCATACTCATACATGCCCAGCACTTTCCATTATATCCCTCAATGTCGACAGAGAGACTTTTGCCTCCAGACGTCCTCAAACATGTCGTCGACGTACACTGCCATCCGACCGATGCGCCCGAAATACCACCGGAAGCCATGGACGAGCTTGAAATCACGATCTGTGCAATGTCCTCGATGAAATCTGATCAAAAGAAAGTGGCTGAGCTTGCACGGTCTTATCCCAGCAAGGTCGTACCATGCTTCGGTGAGTTGGAGAAGGTGAAGAACTGTATAGGATATCTGATTCAAGGCTGCTCCGCAGGGTACCATCCATGGTTCTCGTACCAAATAGCGGTGGACCCTGCCCTGTCGAAGGAAGACCACTATCGACGCCTCTTCCTTGGGCAAGTGAAAGAAGCGACAGAGGAGCACACCCAGGCTTTCGAGAGGCTCGTGAACTTACTTCCGGAGCCTACTCCCCTTTCTTCAATACTGGATGAAGTCCGGGCACATTTAATCGAATTTCCCGACGCCATGGTTGGCGAAGTGGGGCTCGACAGAGTATTCCGCGTCCCGTACGATTATTTCGCGGAGAAACGCGAGTTGACTCCATTCATCGTCCCACTCGAACATCAACTGACAATTCTAGAGGCTCAGCTTGAGCTGGCAGTAGAGCTTGGGAGGAACGTCAGCATCCATAGCGTCAAATCCCAACTGGCAACACTCGAGTTACTATCCAAGCTAGCTACAAAACACGGGAATCGTTGGTATCGTATCAGTATTGATATGCATAGCTGCGGGCTAAGCCCACAGATGTGGCGTGACACCGAGGTACGTGGTACCATAACTGTAACCAATCCAACCCAAATTCTGAGCCCTTTGCAGAAGAAATTCACCAATATTTTCCTCTCCCTTTCCACAGTAATCAACGGTCGCCACTCTAACTGCAGAAAGCTTCTCCAAGTCTGCTCCGACGATAGAATCCTATCTGAATCCGACTTCAACGACGTCCGCCATGTCACAGACCAGACAGTTGAAATCATCCAGTTGATTGCCGAAGTAAAGGGATGGTCCATCGAGCAGGAATGGGACGAGAATGTGCCTTGGGAAGAGAGGGGGGTTGTCCGCCGCTTGAAGGACAATTGGGAGCGGTTCAAGAAGGGAGGACACCGAGTGCCAGAAAGTAAAAGGCGTCGCGCGAAGAAGTTGTTGGATAGTGGATCTGAGGGCGAAGAGTAGTAGACGGGTTCGACCATTTCATATGCTGACCTGCAACTGGGTTAATGGATTGTATCGCCATCTCAATGCCAAATGTAAGTAAGAAGAATGATAGTGCAGACTCCTATGAGAACTCCCATGATGATAGAGTCTCTGCGGCGTCGGGATTTAATCATGGCTATCAGGTTGTTCACTCCAGGCATGGTGTCTAAGCGCCGGATTAGCAGTCAGACCAAGCGGAGGCATTGGCGCACTCACTAATTACGTGCAGCATTCGAGAATTTATTCCTTGGAGGGACATGCGTTGTCTTGCGAATTCGGAGCGTGTTTCATAGGCTTGACTAATGGGAGCATAAATACAAGAAGAAAAAGAGCTGGAGTAATCAATACGCACTCGAGAAGATCGTCCGTCATCCTATGCGAACTGTCGATTCTGCTTCTTTCCTCCAGCAGAGAGTCGGCGGCCGATGACTTGTACGCGCTGAGAGGAGATACAAGATCAGTTGGCTAGTCCGTGGAGTGGCCGCCTGCTGGGTACTGACTCTATGTCGTTCCGAACCCCAGAGAGGAGGTTTGCTTGGTCAAAGGCTGCCTTTACATTGGCCTGGCAGATAGTCAGCGAAGAAGGGAGAATGAAGAAAGTAATCTGTTATCACCTTCGTTCTCCTCAGCTCACGAACATTATCTTGGTGAAGCTCTCGGTGCCGTTGGATTGTGCGTAGCATCGAAGCAGATAACAACTCTGGCTTCGCAGCGAGTTCCCCGAGTTCGTCATTGATTTCTTGCAACTTCAGGCTGTGGTAAGTGCGTCGCACAATTTAAATAAGCCACAAGGCACGCACTTTGGTGGAAAGGTCATCCAATTCCACTTCCAAGTCCTTGCACCGTTCCGTTGCTCCCCTGGCCTCCACGTCCTGCGGACGTGACAAATTACTTGCGAGTTGTGAATACGAAGTCAGTTTCGCGTCGAACAGATTCTCCAAGGTCCGACATTGTCGATGTAGCTGGTCATAGTTCGACATTATGGGGTATACGATGATGGCGGCAGGAAACGAGATTGGTGAACTCGTGTGCTGCGCCGCCGTGGGATGACGACCAAGCCGCCAAGCCATTCCTCGGCAATTCTCATTCGGCAATCATTCCATCAATCCGTCTAAGCGCCCAGTCTCCAGTCCAACTTGGTGACGTAGAATGACGACCACTCCCGCCTCAGTATGGGGTTGGTGACAGATGACAGCTCCGTACAGAACCAAATATGCTTGTTAAACATCTTCGTTGTAAACAATCTTTCCCTTCATCTCGCTCCTTCGCAATGTCCAGCAAGATGGCGACCTACGCTACCACTCCCCCTTCGAACTCAACCGCCAACACTGAAGACCTTAATTCGGCTGGCTTGACACCAGAAGTGTCCCGGGCATTAAAGGAGAGAGACCTTAAGCCCTATGAGCAGCCCGTAATCAAGTCGATCAGAGAGGTACAGATGTTTTATCATATCTTCTGTGCCATGCACCCTTAGGCTGATATCTGCTCTGTTCAGCTGTATTCCTGCAAACCGACGAATGTCAGTAGCAGGGATTCCCAGAAGTACATTTTCAAAGCTAACGGGCCCTTCAGGAGACATTCGAAATATACGCAAAGAATGCTGTATTCCACGATCCCATTGGTATCGCCACCGGGCTGGATTCCATTCGAAACCAGTTTGTCGGTTTGGCAAAGGTATGAGAGATGCGTTCCACATTGGCGAAGCAGCTCATTGGCCTACTACTACTAGATCTTTCACTTTGCGAGCATCCCAAAGTTTAGAGTTTTGGAAAATCCGCCCACAGTACCCCCGAACATCATCCTAATTGACCAGGACGTCGCATACTACCGAGATGCTAATTCTAACTCGCCCACGAAGACAGTCAACTCTTTATTGACCATAAAGCTGGATGCCGCGACCAACAAGATCGTTAGTCACAGCGAGGATTGGAATCATAAGAAATCATCGACGAAAGAAGACGGTGTCTTCGGATGGATGAATGAACAGAGGAAGAAGATAACGGCTGGTCTTGTGGACACATTCGTTGGCAATGCCAACAAGAATTGAACCTTAGATGTAATCTATATGACGCACACTTGATGGAACAAGGCTTCATGATCGTAGACAGACAAACTTAAGACAGTCCAAAGTTTCTCCGGCGCTTATTCATTCTTTCCTTCGCCTATCTCAACATGACGGCCACGAGGGCACCTAGAAATGAGCCGTGCGAGCTGAATTCTGCAGGTTTAGAGCCAAAAGAAAGCAGGGCTCTCAGTGAGCGGACTGCCTTGGCGCACGAAAAGCCTCTCTTGAAATCCATCCGCGAGGTAGGTCCTGGAATTCAGGTGGAAAGTGTTTTCGCTAAGCTGGCTCAATATTCAGCTTTACTCCTGTAACCCTACGAATGTCAGCTGTGCTTGTACATTAGCGACTCATTATCTGACCACCCACCTGCAGGAAAGCTTCAACATGTACTCTAGCGACGCGACCTTTGAAGACCCCATCGGAACTCTGAAAGGCACGAGCGAGATCCGAAAGCGTTTCGCCCGATTAGCCAAGGTGCGCCGTGGATCACACACCCCCAGCGGCCATGTCCAAATACTTACTGTGTTCCAGTTATACAGCGCTGAAATTTCAAATTTCCGGGTTTTAGACAACCCCTCGAGTGTTCCTTCGACAATCATCCTGATTGACCAGGATGTAACCTACCACGAGAACGGGACCGGGGATGTCAGGAAGTCGTCCTCAAAGACTATCAATTCGCTCCTCGTTTTCAAAGTCGACGGTAGGACCAATCAGGTCACGATGCACTGTGAAGACTGGAATCATCGGAAGTCCTCGACCGGGGAGGACGGGATTTCTGACTGGATGAAGGAACAGAGAAAGGGTTCAAAAGCCGCTGAGACCAGTTCTGCGGTGCGACGGAGCAAAGATTGATACAAAGAGCTCGATCGTACAAGTAGTCGTACACAGCCGGATGTCTTAGAAACCGAACCATGATTTCGCTGTTTGCTGCGCTGCCAGCCTCTTGGCCTATGGATCATAATTCGACGGGATTGTTCACCCACAAGGACAAGAGAGGGCTTACCTGAGCGACCATGTTTCTACTGCCTGTTTCGAGAGAATTGAATCTTTCCTCAAGATCCCCGAGTAATTGGCTTCGTTCACGCTCGATTAGCAGTAATGATCAAGAGTTTGTGGATTCACTCACCCCCGCTCATTCATCGCAGCAGTCAGCTTGCTGTAGATGGTGGCTTGCGCTGCAGCCGCAGACGCCGCGATACTTGTAGCAGCACTGGAAGCTGTTTCGGCAACCGATGGTCCGCTCGCACCTGTCACGGCTTGTTTGACAATAACTGGGCGGTTTGGCCCGCCAACTAATGCGAGAGGTCAGTGCCAGGCTACGGGGATCGAGGAGAAGGTACACACGAAGATCATCTATCTGCCTTCCCGAATACGTTTGGTTGAAGTGTAGCCAAGTTCCTAATAATGACGCAGGTCCTATGGAAACCGGCTGTGGTTGGGAGACGGAAGATGATTTCATCGCGAAGTTAATTTCTGGGTGGAAGCGTGTGCGCCTGGTGTCGAAGAATGTCCCGTACACGAGTTGGTCCACTACACCGCCTTGGTTGGAATCGGAAAATGCAACGAAGTCTCCACTCCTGTCGACTGTCAAAACGCTGAGCAGCATCAATGCATCTTCACGAGGGCCTGAAGACGCAGTATTCGCTTACCTAGTCTCCACGAGGGGCATTTTGAAATCTGTAATATGCTCCAAACTCGGCAACGTGTAGGCGAGACCTATCTGTGCGTCTGTGATAACGACAAGCGCCTTGGATGCTGTAATAGTTCAGCGAGACAGGATACATACGCGGGCCAACGGCGGTGTAATACTCACCCATGCGTTCTACGACTTGAGCTACCACCGCCGTCCCATATTTGCTGCTCCACTCTGCTCTCCCTAGACGTTCCCCGTCAACGTTGGAATACACTCGGGCACCCCTGGATCCTACAGTCACGAATAGCGATGGAACTATCGCGTCGTCGCCTCCTGCCAGCCGTACAGCAGCTGCAAAAAGGCCGCGGCTCGCACCTCTAGGATTTCCTGTCTTGCTGTCCAAAACGAACGAACCTCCAGGTAGAGGATCCGAGACACCCTTCGTTGTAACAGAGTCTTCGGCAATCGTCCAGACAGCTGGATTCCCGTTGAGTAAGAGCGCATAGATCTCAACAGAACCCGCAGCCCTTGACACGAGTAGGCGCACACGGAGCTTGGCATCTGTATAATGTTTTCAGTCTCGCTACCAACATTACTGTCAGATAGCCTCACCTTGGTCAGTTGGCGTTATTGACCAAGTCAGAGCGGTAGCAACGTCGGGTTCACTGCTGAATCGATTGCCAAGAGAAGACACGCGCTTGTGTTTCGAGCGAGCGGCAATCTTGGACAGGATACGAGGTCCTCTCATATCAACTACGACCACCTTTCCGTCCCTGTAGGAAATGGCAAGGAACCCTGTCCCATGCGTCTGAGCAAGAGCTAGATGACAAACAGTGGGTTGCACACCTGTATCGGATAGAGCGCATGTTTGCACCGCAGCGTCTCCCTGCACCACGAAACGAGGTGAGAATACACTAGACGAGACGGCCGAAGGATTTAACATGATGATTTCTTGGTACTCCTCCGCAGGAGGACGATGTTTCGTGGTGGATGGAAGGAATACCACCACCCTTCCATCAGTGAGAGCAATCGCGAGTTCCAAGGCTTCCGGGGCAAAAGAAAAGCACAATACGGACGGCCGGTCTTCCAGCAGCGACGTCATGGCCGTATATGATCCAAGATCGACGCTAAGTCCCAACAATGGATTAGGAAAATGATGTTTAAGAGGCTCCGGAGGGACGTTGGCCAGGAGTTGTGCACTGAAGTCGAAAAACTTGAGTCTCCAGCGGTTGTCGCAGGTAATGAAGATTCGACGGGGAGAGAACTAAGATCGTGAATGTTGAGCGCGCCCTGCAAGGAAAACCACAGCAGAAAACGCTCACCTTCGTTAGCCGGATCTCTTCACCGCGACTTTGGTCGTTGTATGCTTGGCCCCCTTCCAAGTGAAGTCCTTCTCGCACGACCGAACTATTGATATCTACGAGATCATCGTAAGCGCTGACATCCACGGTGAGTAGCTGTCCACTCTCAAGTGATGCAGATCCGTGGACAAGTTGAAAGGGAAGATCCAATTCTTCTCCCTCGTCTTCTGAGTCTTCTTCGTCCATCTGAGGGTCGAGGGATGTCTGATCTGGTGACTCCGACTGGTCTGTCGAAGGTTCAACCTTGGGAGGACGGGCCTTGGGGTATATCCAGCCAGGAGGGGGGAAGCGGTATGCTTCGACCACCCTGCCGTTTTCTGGTGTTGCCTGCAAGCAGATGATGGCGTATGGATCATAATTTCCGCCAAAATGGAGATGTTCTCGCGGGCAGAGGAGGAAATCTTGTATTTCACCTTTGCCTTCGTAAATGTATGCATTCTGAGGCGTCAATGACTTCACCATTTCCTCTCTGAAGAAAGGATGCAAGAGCTTCGGATCCTGTTCACCATCTGTTGTCGGTGGATCGGGAGGCTGAAATGCGGGAAAGAGTAAGACGGTGATAGACCCGCCGTGCTTAGAATCAAGGCCTCCCAAAATCGTCAATGTAGTCTCTCCACCACGAGGGTCCGATGAGTTTGAATATCCGCTCCAAGCCAACTTGAAGATAGGTTCCCGAATGCACACGGTTCCCTTGCCTTCTTGGTTCTTCTCCAGCTCCTTCTCAAGTCTCGAGTTGTCGACCTGATCGACATTCTCGTTGTCTAGTGTTCGAACGAGCAAAGGTTTCGTGTCGTCGTCAACTGCCCAGAATGCAATGCATCCATCGGCATGTCCGACAGCGAAAAGATGTCCCGATGGGTGGATTGACATAGACGTCACTTCAGGCTGCCTGTGGGTTAAGATATCCTGCAAAGGGGATGTCATAAACGACAAGTCAAAGCCCTCACTGGCGTGCACGTACGTCCATCCCATATCCAAACCCTCCCGGAGCGCCAGGAGGCAGGGTCATTTCATACGCACGGATGGTACTTCGTTCCGTCTGAGAATATTTGAATGAGATCGCGAACTTGACATGGACAACGGTGACATGCCAGATTGCTCAGAATTACGCCGCCTAATGGAATGCGTGAGCGAAAGAGGCCTGCTGAAGGAAGGGATGCAGTGTATACCAGAATAGGCCACGAAGATCTGGTTCAAATCTCTAGGGTGCAGTTGTTGATCTACACATAATTGGCTTGTCACAAGAATGGTGAGCTCGGCGGCAAAGTCTGAGAGGAGGGAGGGGACCTACGAGCTGGACTGAGGTACCAGCGAGGGCATACCTCCTACTCTCATGCTTTGTTGGTATAGTTTCCACATGTTCGGTGCGGTGTAGTGCGACTTGCGAAGGCAAGCCAAGTCATAAGTCTTGACCTCTCCAGTCTGAAGACCAACGAAGACCTGCGAGTTCAAATTAAGTATCGCTCTAGAAGGGATAGGTGGCGGACTGACATGGCACAGAGAAGGGGAAGTCGTGAATGCGCTGTAAAATCTTGTTCAGCTGGGAAGGTGGATGGTAGAGGCATGCATCTGACGTTACTTGGTCGAAGCGCGCAGAAATCAGGTATTCAGGATCGCCAAACGTCGTCAAATCCCAAACGTGCATTACATTGTTGTCATCTTGAAGTCGTTGAATTCAGTGGCATTGCACCTAGAAATGGCAGGCGCACCAATGCAAAGGATCTTCTGGGATAGCGAGGCGAAACCAAGGAATTTCACCCCCACAGAACCAGGAGTCAGGAGTTTAACGTCAACAGCTGGACCTCCGTGGATGTAAACCGCTCCATTTGACGTTCCTAACAAGGTTCAGCGGTCAAGTTTTCTCTCCAAGTTGTGTGATCCACCTATGGCCAGTAATTTCGTCGTGGGTTCGACGGCGAAGGATGTGATGGTGTACGGGATATCGAACTGCCTAAGCTGCCCGATTACCCAATCTGCCTCATCGTGAACGTCGGTTGATAGTTCGACATATCGCGTGTTGTGTTTCGAGAGCATGGATGTGGAAGGGAACAAGCACGCGGAACGGGAGAAAGATGGACGAGCCAAGTGATATTAGGACTCGGCGATTACACTAGTACGTGATAATCATACACAGGTGCTAATTTACATCGTGGAAGATACAAATGCGTCATAATCCAGAAAAACTAATAAACGGCAATAAATCTATAGGTCGTGTTATTGGTGTCTCGACATCCCATGGCCATGACCACTCGTCGACGATGACGCTCCCCGAATTTTACCAAGCCAACTTCGTTTTGACTTTGCCGATTGAAGGCCAGAATGGAGAGGCGGAATGACGAGAGGGCTGTTGGTGACGTCCGAGATGAAAGCAGCAGGGACGTTCGCCTGCTTGTCAGGCGATGGCATTGATGCTACGGGTCGAGCACTGCTACGGTTTGGAGTGAACCCGGTTTGGAGGCTGCTTAACACTCTCCGCACCCGAGGCGTTCTATTCTCTGTCTTCTCCCCGGGCAAACTTTCGGCAGTGAATACCTGTGGCGGAACACTTTCGCAGACTTCAAAGTCATCCGGTGCGCGTCGTTTCTTCCCTACAACGGAGGATGGGTCGGGGGCGATGTAGGGTAGCTGTTCAGGCGTCCTGTTCCTAAAGACAGGCATGGGTGCGGGAGGTAGACTCTTTTCGGGAGTTTTGGGTCGTGAACTGAAGGATGTTGCTCGAGGTACAGGCTTTGAGCTCGAAGCAACTGGCGGCGCTGTGAACGTCGGTTGACTAATGCTTGTTGCCAGAGAAGGCGGTCGCTGGAAAGTCGGCTCTGGCTGAGATTCGACTTGGACAGGGGCGGAAGGTGCACTCGGCCTAACATCGCCTTGCCTGCGTTGCTCCTTCAAACTGGCGAGTTTGTTCTGGAGGGACGTCACCTTGCGAGTGAGGTTTTCAACCTTAGCTGTGAGTTTCTTATTTTCTCGAAGCATCCTGTAGCAGAGTCAGTCGCGTTCATCGAAAGATGTAATAACCAAAACAACACACTCGAGCGATTTGTCGTCATTGGCTTCGATCTCTGCACACTTCTGCCTGAGCAAATCGTCCATTTCCTGATTTCGTTCCTGCAACTCTGCGATCACTTGCTCCAAATTAGACTTGGAACGTAGGTTTTGCAACTCTCGTTGCAGGTCCGTCATTTCTCGCTTGTGCTGCGCTGATGTGAGACTCATGTTGAGATTCGCCTTTGCATTTGCTTGCTCGACACGAGCCAGCTCTTCCCGAACTGAGACCAGCTCTTCCTCAAGAGTTTTCATCGCTTGTTCCCTGCGAGACCTCAGCTAAGGCTCGGAATCAAGGCATGTACCACTCACCTTTCTTCAACCTGATCCTGGAGCACTCGTTGCACAGACCGACCCTGTTCTACCTTGGCGAGGAGGTCGGTCGTCTGCTCTTGCAGCTGGGTCTTCTCCTGTTGGGCAGTTGAATAAAGTCGATCTAGGGTCTGAAGTTCATCCTTCAACCGAGCCAGGTCATCCTCCAGCGTTTTGACAGATGTCTCATGGCGCTGAATCATTTCAGCTGAAGACGTAATTGCCAGTCGGTGCTCCTCCTGCTCCCTGGCTCTTAGCTCCTCCGCTTCGCGAACCTGTTGGGATAGGTCCTTGGCCCGCCGCGACAACTCTTCCGCTTCCCGTCCCTGCGCTTCCAGTTTATTTTCCAACTCCTTCAGCTTCTCGCCTCCAGACGCCTCTACCTCCGCCATCTTAGAAGAGGCAGCGTCAAGTTCGGCACGTAACTCCTTATTCTCCCGCTCCAATGTTTCCTTGGCGGCGGAAGACTGGAGAAGCGCGTCAGTTTCCGTCTGCAAGGACGCTCGCAGCTGGCTAACCTCCGAGGCGTGTTGCTCCTCGAGAGAAGTCAGCTGACCCTGGACGCCTTTGAGCGCGGTATCGACGGCGTCTTTGGCATCAACAGCATCTCTGAGTCGGGCTTCCAGTTGTTCGCGTTCTGCCGAGAACCGAGCGTCGTTCTCTGCTAGCCGCCGGGTGAGTTCCAGAACTCGGGCTTGTAGTTCACTGGTATCTTCGTCTTTGCTGCGTTGAGCCGATTCGTGACCTTCCTTTTGCGCTGAGGCAGCGACTTCTGCTTCCTGGAGAAGACTCTGGAGTCGAGCGCTTTCTGAAGCAAGTCTTTCCACTTCAGTATCGTGTGCCCTCTGGAGCTCTTCTTTCGCAAGGCGGAGGTCCTTGATCTCGGTATGGAGCTGCTCCAGTTGCTGCTCCAGCTTTGTTCGGGCCGTCGAATAGAGGGAGATGTCAGCTTCATGTGCGGCGCGGAGGTTGTCCACCTCGTTAAGAAGCTCATCAATGCGCTGCTTGTTGGCCTCGACGTTTTCCTCCAAGCGAACCTTCTCCGTCGTGAGTTCTTCCACTACTTCTAAAGCCCTCCGAAGCGAAGCGTTGGCGGTCTCCTTCCCCGATTCGCGCTGTTCTCTGAGCGCTTGTCTAGCCTTCCCAGCGGTTTCGATGATGACGCTGACCAACGCGCAAATGGTGGCTTCATCCTTGGCATGGCTGGCCTCCAAATTGGCCATCTCCTCTTCCAACTCCTCCACGCGATGCAACGCCACATCCCTCTCCTCCCGGGTGTTGGCACAATCTTCGACCATGGCATCCTTCTGCGCATTGAGCATCTCCATCTCTGCCGTCATCTCCATGAGTCGGTCTTCTTGAAGACGCAAGTTGGTTTCAAGGCGACGGATATCGTGTTGATGGATGCCTAGCTGTTCATTTCTCCGCATGACGCGCGCCTCTAGCTCGTGGATCTGCGTTCGCAATGTTGCGGTGGCTTCGGAAGAGGTCATGCTGTTGAGCTGGTGGAACTGGAGTTCGCTGTAACGGCTCTCCGCCTTCGTAAGATCGCTGCGAGCAGCTTCAAGGTCGCTCTCCAAATTCTTTATCTGGACAGCGAGGGAGTTTCGTTGGGACTCGACCTCCTCGAGTTGGCCGGTGAGCTCGTCGACTTGTTTGCCAAGGTCTTCGATAGTTCGTGAGGCTTGCTGGTGTCCGTGGCGAATGATGTCGACCTCCTCGGCCCACGAAGCTTCTTTGTCACGAAGGGTGTTGACCAAGTCGTCTCGCTGGCTCGTAGTTGCTTCTAGGCACAACACGGTCACATCAAGTTTCTCTTCCACTTCCTTTATTCTCGCCTCATAACCAGCGACAAGGTCGGCGTGATTCTGACCATCCGCGGCAGGGAGCCGTCCAAGTGTTACGCCAAGTGCGAGAATAATGCGGTGAAGGCGGTCGATTTCCTGAGTTTTGGTTCGGATATCGGATTCTGCATGGTCCTTCGTCACAGAAAGTTCCTGATGAAGTGCGTCCATCTCTGCTTTCATTTGTGCCAGAGTTCCAACCGTCTCACCCGTGGACACGGTCGTGGCGATCGATGCGGACAATTTTGCTTCCAAAGCCTCGATGGTAAATCGCGACTCCGACTCCAGAAAGTGCACGTTTCTTTGAAGGTTGTCTCGTTCGTCGCGAAGTCGATCAACTGCCGCCAGGAGCTTGCCGATGTATGCAACTGGGTCAACTTCGCTGGGTCGTACGAGCTCGGAGGTGTCCATATCATCGGATAGGGGAAGATGCGTCGTTGAACTGGCCAATCTGGTCAGCAAAACAAGTTCAGAAGTGCAGGCTAACACTCACTCGTCAGAGGATCCTGATACATGCATAGGGCGTGTGTTCTCGATCTCTCCGTGAGCCACTCGGAGATCTTCCACCAACTTTTCTTTCTCACTCTTCAACTGGGCGTGTAGCTGTGTGATTTGCTGAACTTTGCGACGCTCTTCCAGCAACTGCTGCTCCGTTGAGTGTAACTTGTCTTCCAGCGCCGAGCTATTCCGTAGCATGGATTCCAAAGCAGCAATCTTAGCCTCGTCTTCATCGATCCTATCCATTAACTCCCTTTCCCGATCCCCATTCCCTCCCTCGTCTCTCAGACACTGGATCTCCTCCTCCTTCTCCTCGAGGGTGGCTTCGAGTTCACGGATTTTCTTCGAAAGGCTCCGTTCGAGGGCCAACTTCTCGTTCTCAAAGCGGTTCGCATCAGAAGTTGCTACAGACAGTTTGCCCTTGACAATGTGTAGTTCCTCGTCCCGTTTCTGCAGAGCAGCCTTGGTTTCGCGAAGTTCTTGTTCCAGGGTAGTGACTCTGAAACTTGAGAGTGATGACGAGCGCCTGTGAGTGCGCTTGGCGGGCTCTGTCGACGGCTGTGGCATTTGGGTTTGGAGTTCCTTCACACGTTCCTGTAGAGTATCCCTCTCCTTTTGCAACTGGCGATACCGTTCCTGCTGGGATCGAGAATCGTGTGATATTGAGTCCAGAATGGATTGTAGGTTTCGAATCTCGAGGTCGGATTCCTTGTATTCTTTCGTTGCCGTGGTAAGCGCCGTTTCCAGGTTTTGCCGGGTGAGTTTTTCATTCGTAAGTTCGGAGTCTCGCTGGCGCAGATTGGCTTCAAGATCCAATGCTCGTTTGCTTTCTTCCGACAACTATGACAGGGTTATGTATACTGTCTACTGAGAGCGAATGGTCTACTTGCCTTGTGAATTGCATCTTCGAACGATTTCTTGAGTTCGTCAAACTCTTCAGACTTCTTCATTAGTTGAGTTTGGAAAGCAGCGATTTGGCTCTCTAGAGTCAAGTCGTCAGATCTACAGCCTCATTGTTCCAGAGTTTACGCACCCTTAGAGGCCAATTGGTTCTTCATAGTTATCAGCTCCTCAGGAGGGTCATTCTGACCCAGATTCCAAGGGGACATGGTTGCGTTATGACGGGCAGAGGTAAACGAGGCTCACCCGATCCCGTTGGTTGGTCCACTCGGCCAACCGAGCCGTTTCCCACGGACTAAACGAACGCGTTATGTCACGTGCTCGCGCGACGCGGTTTGCGGCTCGTCCGACTCGGCTTGGACACAGCGTCATAGGTCGGAAAAGGCATTTTCACGTTGCGAGAGCCAAGGACCCGTATCTCTTGACCTGCGTCACTCCATCCACAGTGCGGGTACCTTTATGGCCTATGTTCGCGAAATTCTCGTAAGTGGCTTATCGACCGCATTAATTGGTATCTTAAGTAATCTCTGTGACATGCTGTCTGGGATCGCTCCAAAGATCTTCGCCTGTCACGGCCGTTCCGAAATTCTCAAAAAGATCCCTATTTTTTGGTTTAAAAGGAGACTGGTGGGCCGTTTGAAGACCCCAACTTCCTCTTTCCTTCCTTCTACACCTTTTCTACTACACAACACTACTTCATCCCACAATGGTCGGCGCTACTACTGCCAATGGCTCCGCCGCCGTCGATGGCAACCCCAAGGCCCAGCCTGTTGGTCCTAAGGTCATGCTTCACCTCGGGCATCTCCCCAGCAAGAAGGACATTCGGGCACCATGGCCACGAACGCCCAACAGGGTGGGTACCTGCCTCACCTTCCTCGACGAGCACTGTGGCTGACTTCATTCCATAGATTGACCCCAACAACCCTCCGTGGCCAGCCTACCGAGGCTACCACGAATATTCCTTCGCTCATGCTACCATGCAGTCGCGTCTTCCCACTATCTTGGGGAAGGCCATCGACGATGCGACCCGCACGCTCAACAACCAATCCCGGGAGGACTATGTTGTTGACCTGCTGGAGTGCATCAAGCGTATGGGCGAGCTCATGACCGACCTCAGCGGTAATGCTAAGTTGAGGCCCATTATTGACGACGGCGAGGCGGACGTTGCCCTTTGGAACAAAGAAATCGCCAAGTATTTCCAAGGTATGGCCATTTGTCCACCTTTTCTCGGCGCTATATTAAATTTTCCCCAGGAAAGGACTTTATGAACGCCCCCTGGCTATTTGCTGAGGCGTACAAGTACCGCCGCCTTCACGAATGCTTCAGCATCAGCAAATATTGGCGGGATTACGATGTGTTCTATCGACAAAAGGTTTGGCACATTCCACCACGAACCCTTTACGGTGTGACTGAGATGTTCTTCCTCAGAATGATACCTTCTCCCGGTCCTGCGACGCCGTCTTCGAACTCTCCATGCGTTTCGCCGAGCCATTTAAGCTTCCTCAAAACGCCACTCCCGAAGAAAAGCTAGAAGCGGAGCGCCTGATGTTCTTGGAATTGACTCAAGGTACGTGTTCGAACACGATGCTACTCCACACCCGTTTTAACACCCATCAATTCTAGTTTGCCTTTGGGGAAACTCCACAGATCTTTCCCTTTTGATTAACATGACGGAGGAACAGATCCGTAATCTCCAATCGACCGGAGGGGAGCACCTTGCCTCCACCGAGCAGAATATCTTGGGTAACGACATGAACCGGCTTTGGGAGGTCATGGTGGAAACCCGAGAGAAGACCGGCGGTCGAGTTGATTTCGTCCTCGACAACGCTGGATTTGAATTGTATTGTGACTGTGTATATGGTGAGATCTTCGCTTATGACGTAGTGCCTAGACCCTTCGGAATGCTTACCACACGTGTACCCTTTTTCCTAGCCGACTTTTTGCTGCAGAGCGGGCTCGCAAGCAAGATTCACTTCCACGGAAAGCGATTTGCTTGGTTCGTTTCCGATGTGACCAAAAAAGACTGGGAGTGGCTCCTCAACACCATGGTGTATGGTAACTTGTTCCCGAACGCGTCGGACGCAGAGATGGAGTCGCTGAGGCGACTCGGTCGTCGATGGAAGGTCTGTATCTTCTGCACCCTCATTTGGGATCGACTAATTTGGACTTGTTCTGCCTTTAGCAATACGAGAGGGAAGGGAAATGGGTGTACGAACAGCACCCGTTCTGGTGCACAGGATATACCTTCTGGGATCTCCACAACGAGGCACCTGATCTTTTCCTTCACCTCTCCAAGTCCGACCTTGTTTTCTTCAAAGGTGATCTCAATCACCGGAAGCTGACATATGATTGCGCCGCACCTGCAAGCACTCCATTCGAAGAGGCCATCGGCCCCATGGCAAGCGCCCCCGGCGCTCCGAGAGTGGTGAGCATGAGGACCATCAAAAGTGATGTGGTGGTGGGCTTGGGTCCAAACGGCGACGAGATCGCGAAGAAGCTCGACGAAACGGAGCCTGGCTGGAAGATCAGTGGAAAATATGTGAGTTAATGCGGTTTTCACCACTATACGCGACATTGACCATCTCGGGGTTCTTTCAGGCTGTCGTCCTGCTCTCCGAAGGCCGACCAGGAGAGAAGGTCACATTCGCTTCTCCGAGCAGTTCTTCGTATATGTAAATTCTTCCAGCCGACATACAAATGATACCGCTTGCATCCACATGTATATTAGTTCGCCGCCTTTATCTGAACCGTCTGGAACGAGATCCTTCTTGCAAAGCAACATTTTTCAGAAATATTAGTTCAGCGTATAGGATACATATGATACAGGTCTGTGCTCGTACAGGACTGAGATGTGAGAAGGTCAACATGTGATATACAGGACGCCCAGTGATCATCATCATATAAAGAGAAGACAGATGAACGAACTCAAGCAGCAAGAGTGGAAAGGAAGTTAGTCAAGATCATCTTCCCAACCACCGGGAAGATTGTCGTGACCCCGTCGACGGTTGTCGGGGCCTCGAGGTGATGAATTCATGTCAGAGCTTGTTCGGCGGTGGTGTCGAGGAGACCCGTCAAACGACATGCGAGGAGAGGAGGTCCCCGAGCTTCCAGCACTAGGCGACGAACCCGAAGAAAGAGGGCCCGTGAGATGGCTGAATAGATTTTGGAGGAAACCTCCGCCACCAGGGCGAGGTGATTCCTGGGAAGGTGAAGGCGACGGTGCGTCTCGGGAAGACGGCGATGATTGTGACGAGTTTAGCCCGGGGCTGGAGGATGACCCCGATGCACCTGTGGGAAATGCACTGGGTCGTGGAGAGGTGGGTTGATTTGGTTGGGGCACGAGAGCGTAACTGAAAATAATTTATTATAAGGATGTTACGAAGATTCGACACGACGAACCGGCAAACTGGGCAGGTACCGCTGGACTTAAGCCATGGTATGATACACGGTTGATGGAATGGGTGTTTGCAGGGTAACTTCACGACAATTTGCTCCTCCGGGTCCTCGGTCTCTACCTTGAATTGCTCTTTGCACACTGCACAGTCTTCTGAGAGTAGAGCGGCTGATGCACCCTGTTGAGTTGAAAGTACCCAGAATGGTTCAGAGGGACTTACATCCAAGAATCAATACTTCACGGGGCAGATTATTAATGATTTCTTCGGTAGCAGGCACCGGACGATGGGCATTGGACTGCTCCATGAGTTGGGTAATAATCTCATCCAAAGCTAGAAGGGATCCTGTGAACTACAAGCAACGACAACAGCCCGCAACGATAACATACCTTCTTGGTTGAATACATAGTCACCCATTCTTCCACTTGGGATTCCTGTCATTGGACCCATGATGCCTAACGCAGCCATGGGATCACGGCTTTCGAGTAACGCAAGAAGGTACTGCGCCATCATTTGGGGCGTTATCGTTCGCGGTCCTTCTGTGCGTTCAGTGCCAGGTTGCCCTCTGAGAAAGCTGTCGAGAGCCAATGAATACCTCCACCAGACTGCAGAACCCAAAAGGCTTACCCTGACATGGTGGGAACGGCATTGCCACTCTCCCTTCGTGGCGGGGTTCCCAGTGGTCCTAATGTCGGAGGGCCGCCGATGGAGACTGACGTGGTGCCGTTCCGAGATGCGAACTGGAACGACAAGCGACGGTTCTTCAGAACTATTGAGTGTATTGCTCGGAAAATGCATACGATGCAACGTACGGAAGGTGATCCGTCTGGGCGAGGTCTGGGAGGAGAGCCAGGAGGATTGGGGTTTATTCCACGATCAAGGAGTGATTGGATCGAAACTATTGGGAGTCAGTACGGGACGTGAAGGCTGAGGATACCACGTACAGAGTAGGTCCAGTGCTCCCATTTCGTGATCATGGCCGCCGTGGTCGTGAGGGACGTCGTGCGCAAATTGGCGCGGGTCATCTTCAGGGTTTTCAATCTGGGCAGAGTTAGTACGATTAGAGCCGCTGTGGGTACCAAGCCCACCTTCTCCACAAAGCTTCCACGACACGATGCACAGACTGGGTCTGGGACCTAAGTGCCGTTGAGTTGGGATCAGATTTCTCCACAAGGTGCCAGGTGAAGTACCATGAGCGGTCTCATTTCAGCATTACACTGTAGATAGCAGAACACAGTCAGTAGATGTAACTTGAAGACGATGTGCTAGAACAAACTTCATGACAGTACCACAAAGGCTCTCTAGATGACATGGCGCAGCTACAAGGTGCAGAAGACCGTGGTGGATGTCAAGTCGAAAGCCGCTGTTCACTACTATGTAATGCGGTGTGGGGGACAATGTCATCCAGATTGGGCATCGATCACATGACCAATGATGGCCCTGAACAGACGAGCACCTTCGATTTTTTCCTTTGCTTCCTACCACAACAGCCGCGATGTCGAGCTGAACATTTACAACAAGGTGAGCATCGTGAGCAGTAGAGCAGCCTGATGACCATTATATGTTCCCTATTAGAACGATCTTTTGAAAAGATTATAACCATGCATATTCCTGATCCCCCACCGAAAATCCGTGATTTTTCGTAACAAAACGCTGACTCTTCATCCAACAGATCCAACAGCACCGAACTCGAAGGTGATAGACGACGGGCAAGCTAGTGTATTTAGGTACTCGCAATCGCTTCCTGTACACATCTAGTACTACATATACCGTGACCAAACGTTGCACATCACAATCTCGCTACCTGAAGTTGGACGTGAGAAAGAGTGAGCTCCTCGTTGTCGTTCGCAACGACCATGGACTCTGTCGTGGTCGCCTTGGTGGTGAGTCCCTAACTTTTCAGACGTCCATGAGCGCCCAACATCTCGTGCTCAGGAAAACCTGGCGACGTTCCCATTTTCCAGGTCAGCATCCCTGCGCCTCGCGCCCAGTGGTTTACTCGGTTTTCACCTTCTCGTTACAATTCTCTGTCATGCTGGATGGCCTTTGCCGCTGAAGAATACTTGGAACGCGGTTTCCCTGCCGTTCCGCAACTTTTTGACGCTGGACGACTTGCACGATCCTGTCGATTTGGAGCCCAGAGACACCACCCTTCAGCAGCGCCTGTTAAGCCTCGTATCCTCCATTGAAGCTGCTGTGTGGGCCGGTTGTATTGGCCACGCAATTTACATTTCCAATCCTGAAGCCATTCTGACTTCTACAGCGTATTTGGTTTCCTGGGTACGTCGTTCCTTCACCGAATTTCGTCGATCCACGCTAATACTGTCTAGGTTTATATTGCTGTACTTACTCTGGCGAGACCTCCGCGCACTCCTCCATACCTGTTCATCGCATTTGCGCTTTCGCTTGCTTGTATTTCACTCTTGGATTCCGCATACAGGCCGTTGCATGGAAGAGACAACTTCCGTTCTTTGGCGAGCAACGCCTGCTTCCTCATTCTCCACCTCTGCTTCGTTTGGGTCGCAGGCACACTTCCCATCAAAACATACCGTCCGGGTCTCAACGTAGCGGGAAAACACGATGTTAGTGCAGCATATATTGATGCCTTTCCCATTTGTCTCACTCGATACAGACCCCTTCGTCAGAGTTAACTTGCCCAGAGGACGATGTCACCCTGTGGACTTGGAGTTCATTCTCCTTCGTTGAACCTATCATCAAAGTCGCTTCGAAGCGAACGTTACAAGAATCGGATGTATGGAACCTGTCTCCGTTCTTTTTGCACAAGAACATCTTCGCCAAATGTTTGAAGTATCGTGCGAGGTAGGTTCCCAGTTCCTGTGTGGATTATCCGATATAACCATTCCCAAGACATCCCAATCATTCGCTTTTACGGTTCCTCATTGTCTCAAACTCTCTGGATCTCATCATCGACATTTCGCTGGAGTTGGTCGGCGCTGTAATAGGTTCGTTGCCTCCGTCCACGCTACCTTCGTTGCGCTGAATTTCTCTGGTTATAGGCTTTGTGTCACCGTATGCGCTTCAGCAAATCCTGACAGCACTTGGGCAAAATGATCCACAGACGAGGCAAAAGGCTTTCTTTTGGGTCATGATGACACTGTTCGCCAATCTTGCTCTCGCTTCCATGAAATTGTTCCGAGGATGGCATACAAGACGATGTTACGAGCGCACACGAGGCCAACTTTTCTGTGCCATTCATTACAAAGCGTTGAAGAGGGTCGAAATAAGCGGCCATGTCACAAAGGAAGGAGATGAAGAGAGCAAAGCTGAACTAGGGAAGATCACAAACCTGATGAGGTGCGAGGCTTCACACAAACACTAAGTTGGGATGCTAACTTCGCGGGCCTTATCATGTAGAGGTGATACGTACGCCATTGCGCAACGCTTTTGGGACATTGCCGCTCTCTTCTCCGCACCAGTTCGGTTTGGAATAGCAGTCGTATTCCTTTACAGGTATCGTTTCTTTACAGGCGAGTCAGGTGGTTCAAACTTTGCTAAGCACTTGCACTTGCCCCTAGGGTCCTTGGCTGGAGCTCCTTGATGGCGATTGTTGTGGTAATCATGACCGCCCTATTGAATATTCCTTTGGGAAAATTCGGTATCTCGGTACGTACCAGGGCACGCATCGCTGTTTCCTCATCTTCAACTCCATTCTCTCAGATCCATCGAGCGTCTTACAAAGTCATGGACAAACGAATGAAACTCGTTAACGAATTCCTTCAAAACATCCGGTTTTTAAAATTTTACGGGTGGGGTAAGTGGGGATGTACCTCAGGTATCATTCAGACATCTTACACACCGTCAAGAGTACGACTGGTCGGACAAAACTGAGAAGACACGTGAAGAAGAACTTCGATGGAGGGTCAAGACGAATCTGGTTTCTGTTGTAATGAGCTTCATTTGGTAAGCTAGCGCGGATAGTCCGACATGGGAGATACAAGCTCTGAATGGAGAACGCCAGGACATGGATGCCTTCGGCGACAGCACTAACTTGCTTCCTCTGCTATACTATTGTAGCAGGAGAGAAACTGACAGTAGCAAAAGCCTTCACTTCACTCGCCTTGTTTTCCTCAATCCAGGGTCCCCTTATGTCTATTCCCATGCAAATTTGGGCCATGCTCTATGGTTCGTTGTAGGGCTCTGTGTGAACATGCTTGGCGTACTAACCACCTTGTCGCTCTTGCCCCGTTCAGCACGTGTCTCCATGCAGCGGATCGAAGCCTTTCTCTCGGAAGACGAAGTCCCTGATTGGGCGTCATGCTTTGGCCAGAACGTCCAACCAACCTCAACAAAGGAGATCGGGTTTTCCGACGCCGTTTTTGAATGGGAAAAGAGGAAGGAGAGCGGGATCCAACCTGATGGATCCAATACCTCATCTGCACCCCGTTTCCAATTGGGTCCGCTCAACGTCAGATTCCCAGCCGGAGCGCTAACGATAATCAGTGGAGCTACCGGATCCGGCAAAAGCGCACTCTTGGAAGCTCTTTTGGGAGGTACGCCTCGGTTTTCCGCCCATGTTTTTCCGATATGGTTGGGCGACTCAGTTTCGAGTCCTCCTTCCTTCATTTTAATCTCCGAGACTTACCTGAACGCCATAGAAATGCATTGCATATCGGGAGAGGTTCTGATTGACAAATCTGATCATCAAGTGGCTTATTGTGCTCAGAATCCATGTGGGTGAACGTGACCTTAATTTTACGATTCTCCCGCTTATTTTCCTATTCACCTGAAGGGCTAGAACATGCAACCATAAAGGAGAACATCGTATTCGGTTCGCCTGTACCCTTTGACGAGGAACGATATCATCGGGTTGTTCACGCTTGTGCGTTGGAGCCCGATTTATCCATCCTTTCGGCGGGAGACATGACAGGTGAAGAGAATAAGAGGATTACTTCATGAGCACCCCTAACTTTGCAACAGAAATCGGCGAGAAAGGTATAACCTTGTCAGGCGGGCAAAGGGCTAGAGTTGCGCTCGCGAGAGCCCTCTACTCTCAGGCCAAAGTGAGTGGCGATCCAATCTATCCTTCCAAAGCTAACGGCTTACCTTAAATAGGTCATCCTTCTCGATGATCCGTACGTTCCGTCTTGGACCACCTTGGCTCTTGACCGTTCCTAACCAGATTTCCCCCCTTTCAACAGCCTTGCGGCAGTCGATATGCATACTGCTCGGCACATTGTCGACAACTGCTTCACAGGTGAACTGGCACACGGAAGGACGATGATACTCGTCACGCACCATATCAGCGTCTGTCTCCCCATCGCATCGTACCTCATTGAGCTACAGAAAGGACAGGTTCTGCACCAAGGAACCATTTCAGAGCTTCAGGCGAAGAATGTACTAAAGACCATCGTCCAGGCTGAAGAGGAGCCCTTCCCGGAGGCCGAGTCGAGCGAAGGGAAGGATGCAAATTCGAAAGCCTTCGGGGTATCGAGACTTCATATCCAACGTGGCAAAGGTACCTTGGTGGATGAGGAATTCCGAGCAGAAGGGCAAGTATCACGGAAAACCTACTTGACGTACATTCGCGCCGCTGGGTATCACTGTTGGGCAGCGACAATTTTTTTGACACTGATGATCCATTTCATCAGTGTGGCAAGCCAGGTCAGCACACTTGTTTATGCATCATGGGACTCGCCCAACCTCGTCTCCTCCAGGTTTTCCTTGCTCGCTGGGGAGAAGCATATCAAGACAAGCCTGCGGTCCACTTCCTTTCAATAAAGCTTCCCAAGGTGAAGTACCCCTGGGACGAGTTCCCCCCTCCGGAAGTCGATGTCAAACCTTGGTTATTGGTATACCTCTACATCGGTGCGGCAGGAGCCTTCACTACCGTGTTCTCGATGATAGTCGGCTACTATGCGAGCCTCCAAGCTTCCCGGGCCCTCTTCATTGCTCTTCTTCGCCGGCTGACAAGAGCACCACTGCGGTTCTTCGATACCACGCCAGTGGGAAGAATTCTCAATCGCTTCACAAATGACATGAATACCATAGACGGTGCACTCTACCATTCTGGATCGAGTTTCATCCAAGGCGTGCTTATGTTCCTTGTGTCCTTTGCTACGATCCTTGTGATCATCCCTTCCTTTATCCCTGGTGCTTTGTTTATTGCTTGGTTGTACATGAGGCTCGCACCGGGCTATGTCAAGACGGCGAGGGACCTAAGGCGTTTGGAGACAGTGTCGCTGTCTCCGACGTTTGCTGGCTTTGATGAGCTGCTTAGGGGCATCACCCATATCCGGGCATTTGGCATGGAGGATAGGTATCAGAATAACTTCTACAAGAAGGTTCGCCCAATCTTGCCGGTTTACAATTATTCCTGCTGACAGGCTGTATAGGTCGACAGATTCCAGAGCTATGATCATGTCTATGTACGCCGTCCATCCTCTACTCGAGCCCATTCGAAGCACAGCTGACGTGTTTTAGTGGCTTATCCAAAACTGGCTAAGCTGGCGCTACGAATGTGAACCTAACAGTGGTCTCCCAAAAGATCAATTGCTGATAATCTGCTTACAGGTCTCAGCGCCCTTGTGGTGGCCTCTGCAACCACCTTTGCTCTCCTGCAAGGTGTCAGTAATGGATCCGCTGCCATTGTCATGGTCCAGGCAGGCATATTTGCATCCGCAAATCGTACCCTCGTCAGTGTCATGGCCCAAATGGAACTGGACTTCAACAGCGTCGAGCGCGTCGTAGAGTATCTGGAGGTCCCGCAGGAAGCGCCTGCTATCAACCCAGACTTCAGACCGCCTGCGTATTGGCCGTCTACGAGCGGTGACTTGAGAGTTGAAAATCTGGTCGTGAAGTACGAAGAGCACCTTCCGGCTGTGTTGAAGGAAATCTCGTTTACCATCAATCCTGGAGAGAAGATTGGGGTGGTAAGTGGTGCTGTCGAGAATATCAGGGACATGTTGACCTCTGAGCACGACACAGGTGGGACGAACGGGTTCCGGAAAGTCCACTCTGGTACTGGCGCTCCTTCGCATGTTGGAGCCTACGTCTGGTTCAATCATGTAAGTGCATTGGCCCTACGACTGCGTCGCCTGCCTCACAGAAATCCAGTATCGATGGTATAGACATCTCCAAGCTGGGCTTAGAGGACCTTCGAACGCGACTTGTAAGCACGAGTCTCCTTTCCCTCACGGAGCGGACGCTAACACATCGGCTCCGGCAGACCGTCATCAGCCAAGACGTCTCGCTCTTCTCTGGTACCATCCGCAGCAACCTCGATCCTTTGCAGAAATATACTACGGAGGAATGCCAGACCGTTCTGGATAGATGCCATTTGACCTCACACTTTGCACATACCCCGACCACCGAGGAGTCCAGCTTGCTCGACATGGCTGTTAACCAGAACTCGATGAGCGCAGGAGAGAAGCAGTTGCTTGCGTTAGCCCGGGCCATTCTTCGCGGCACCAACATTATCATCATGGATGAGGCTACATCGCAAATCGACATGGAGCTAGATGACAAGGTACGTGCTTTTTGGCCATGCATATCGATGTACAACTCTGAAAGGGGTTGTGGTCTAGATTCAAAAGACTATTCGAGAGGAAACGGCGGGCGCCATTGTTATCACCATCGCCCACCGGCTCAAGACCGTGATCGACTACGACAGGATTTTGGTGCTCGATGATGGCAAGGTCGTTGAGTTTGATACTCCGCGCGAGTTGTTGAGCAAGTCAGGTGGATTTTTCAGAAATATTTGTCGACGAAGCGCCGATTGGGATTCATTTTCTTCTTTGGCGGGTGATGTTTCCGGTTCTGGGTCGTGCTCTGGTACTGAGTAGTTCCATGTTTGGTTTCGAGTTTCCGTGTATTATTTGGTGGCGAGTGGTCGATCGTAATGTCTATATCCCTTTTGCTTCCTTCGCTCCGGATGACATCAGTCTTTCTTCTCTTCCACGCTGGTCGCTGAGCGACGTGAAAACCACAGAGAAGCGAAGCCCCATGAAGCTCACCAGTGTTGTGGCGATAGTCGCAACAAGCGTCTCGTGTTTTCCGGTGCAGCACGCATTTCGTCGCGATTTATTGGGTATCCTCAACGTAGGGACGGATGCAGCTGTTCTGGCGACATTAGACAGCACGCCCAGTCCCTCCACTTCGGCCAGTCACTCTGGGCTATTGGAATTGTCGGTTCCCTCGTTGGGGACCCACGCGGCGCCGACCTCCTCACTGCCTGAGCCGTCAGAGTCAACCACATCCAGCTCCGCACACCACACGCCAACGACAAGACAGGTCCATTCCACGATAGGCTCCGCGACCAGCGAGACCGACGTCTCTTCCAGCTCCAGCAGTACACCGACGGTGGGGGTCACTTCCGCCATCGAAGAAGCACCTTCCACACCGCCAGGCGAACTAACCCAATGGAAAGTCATCGGTATCTCCATCATCTGCGTCACGTTCATTGCCATCGTAGTCATTCTCATCACGTTCTTCGATAATTGGTGGGGGTTTGTCAAAGATGTATTCTGCGGTTCGCGTTATAAGAACAAGGGCGGAGGCGAGGAGACGTTCGTAAGGAGTCCGGATTGGAAGCGGAGGACGTGGGAGGTCAGGTTGGCAAGTGAGAATGGACACCGGTACCCAAGCTTTGGGAGTTTGGAGTCTGCCATGGGAAAGGGAAGTCATGTTGTAGCGGAGAGGAAAAGTGAGCTTGGTTCAACCGAAATACGAGTTAGGCGCTAATCCTTGTATTCAGCAGCCGAGCCAGCGATGGATTATGTTGCACATGCCCAAATGGCGCTTGGAAGGACTATGAGCGGTCGACAAATCCCAACCAACTCGAGCAGGACTCAGGGTTGGTAGACGCGTTCACGATACCCCGTATTCTTCTGATGAAAGTATGCATATTCTCTACTTTTGACTGGACTTTTCAGGAGGAGGGAGCTTCTTCTCGAGGTAGTCGGAAACCACCAGGCCTATACCACCCACTGCACACATTGCAAGGGCTATTTTCATTCGTGTACGCGGCGGAAGAGCTATGTCATAGCCGTCAGTTATTTAGCCAATGAAAACGTCAGTTGTACGTACTTGCATATGACTGAAGCAAAGTCTTTTCATGAGTGGGAGGAATTTTGTGGTTTGGGGTAGCCATCGTTGTGGAGAACACGTCGAGGTCGTCGTTCGTGACAGTGAGGAGGACGAGGAGGCTCTTTGCTTGGCCATGTTTGGCTCCCTTACTGTGGCCTTGCCGGTCCGAGATAACCGAAGTACCCCTTGAGCGCGAACATGTTCACCGGGCTGGTGCGACCTTTTTATCGTTTAGTTTTCTCCAGCTAATGGTTGCTGATCCAAGATCGAACGTATTGGAAGAGTCTCGTCCATCGTGACAGACTCAGGAGGATGCACCCTGACCATTGCAGAGTCGGCGCCAATTCTCGGGGATTGCAATATCGGTGACTCGATTGCCGTGAACGGCGCTTGCCTCACTGTCGTCGAGTTCAACAAGGAAGAGCAAGGAGGATGGTTTACCGTCTGGTTGGCAAATGAGACCCTTGATAGAACCGATCTCGGTATGTTCGTCCATTCTCAAGGCGCTTGTTGATCTCATATATCTTTTGTTCAGGGGAACTCAAGGTTGGCGACCAGGTCAACCTCGAACGTGCCATGGGTGCCCATGTCCGTTTCGGTGGCCATTTCGTCCAGGTAAGGTCCTTTGCTTTGACTGTGAGGTGATCATAGAGCTCATATCACCCAGGCCCATGTGGACGACACAGCGACCATCGTAGAGCGAGTCCCTGACGGCGAATCACTTCGCCTGACCTTCCAATTGCCTGAGCCTACCCCTGAACGACCCTCGTTGCTTCCCTATATCATCACCAAAGGATACATCGCCATTGACGGCACGTCTCTGACGATAACCGGCGTGGACGATGCCAAACGCCAGTTCAGCGTAATGCTCATCAAACACACCCAGGAAATGATCACGCTGAGCAAGAAGCCGGTTGGCGCCAAGGTCAATATTGAGGTCGATATGGTGGGCAAATATGTGCGCAAGAGCGTTGTCGCAGCCCTCGGCGGTGGGGATAGCGACGATGGTATCCGGGGATTAATTGAAAAAGTAGTGGAGGATGTATTGGCGAAACGCGGTCATTAGTAGAATGGAATAGACAAAATCTAATGACTTGTTTATTCACGGCATTCACCGATCAGACATTGCGACCGACACCCGTCACGACCAAGTCGGTCTTGCTCAACCCGACAAGCTTCCTGAATGTCTTCCTATAATTCACGACCATGAATCCTGCACCAAGAAAGGTCTGTATTCTTTCCACAACCGCGACCATGAATGTCTAAACCAGGTTCTGTAGATAACGGCAAAGGTCAGCAGCACTGCGACCGTTGTCTCTTCACGACCACCATCAAGAACCAACTCGCCACGACCACCGTCGCCCGTGAAATTCTCTCAATCATCTAACGGCTCTTCAGTCGTATCAAGCGCATTTAAGCCAAAGGCAAAGGTCAACAGCAGTGCGAATGTCATCCGCAGGTCACCAAGTGTCGTGTCGAGTGAGAGCCCAATCCATTCTTGTCTGGAGTGACGGGGGACGCGATTCCAACTGTGACCACTTTTAACCAGATACACCGACAGCAACACCGAGAGCTGGCTCTCCCACAAAGTTTACGCGGGCTCAGAATGGGACCCTGTCGCCTACATTCACGCCCAGGGTAGCTGCATCGAATGTATCGAGACCCAATGGACGACCACAGACACCGGTCTCTGCGCCTGGAACGCCTGAAACACGAACTCGCTCATTGGCCGGAGGCTCAGAAGTGGGACGACCAAGCCCTATGCGGCCCCGCGAAGGAAGCGGGTCCCAGCTGCATCATGCAGTGTCTTTCTCGTCACTAAGTGCGTCTCCCTAAATTGGATCCCTGAAACTGAAATTGACCTGTGTTTTAGAGCAAGCTACGACACCCAATACATCACCTACCCAGTCTCTGCGTATACGTTCAAAAGTTTCGAATATTAGCAAGACGGCCGAGAATTCACCTCTATCACCGACAGCAGCACCAGGGCCACCGCTTCGCTTACGATCCCCGTCCTCCGCTTCCAATCTCTCCTCGACGACCAATGCACCACCACAACAGTTCTACCCAATTACAACAGCTGTTCCTGCAGCAAATCCACATCGCTATGGCCAAATGCGACCAAGTCCACCACACCATGCCTATACCCCTCCAGTCTCATCTGCTGCTAGCGACTTGCAGCCCAATACAAGTCCAAAACCCAGTCGACCTAGATTCAATAGCACAGCAAGGGTCGACTTTAATGCAGCAAACGTGATATCGCCTCCGGTCCCCGCTTCCCCTCCTATCTCAGCAGTATCCTTCTCTTCGAGATCGTCCATTTCCGTCGCATCGACCTCGCGCACAGACGACAGAAGAGATAGTGGTGCCACGGAGCTCCCGCCATCTATGGGTACAGGCTCGCCTCAGCATCAACGACATGGATCATCGGCCAGCGTTAACCTATCCGACGATCAGCCTCAGAGTCCGGAAGTCGACGAGCATCATCAGGTTAGGGCAGAGGCTAAATCTAATCGAAAGGTGAGTACCTCTTCGGAAGGGCAAGATGTGATAACTGACCGGACAGAGTAGATTGCAGATCTAGAAATTAGCAACCGTTCGCTTCTCACTATTAATGCATCCCTCGAAGCTACCAAAAATCGCCAGGCCAAGGAGATTAGAGACCTGCGCCGGAAACTACGTGAATCTCGACTGGTCCTTCCGCCTGGAGCCTACCGCATGGCCAAATCATCGTGGTCTGCGGAAGAACAGCAGGAAGAAGAGGATGACTCTGACGATTCGGAGCTGGAAGATGTCACTCAAGGCAACGGAGATGAGATTTACAAGCGGGTCAAGGCTATGATCGAGGGGCTGCTGACATCCGGGAGAGCAGCCCTTGAGAAGAAGGTTGAAGACTTTGCAGAACCGAGTGCAAAGGTGCTGACTGCAGAGGAAGTACAGTCATGGCATAGATCAAACAAGTTGGGGGATGAAACCGACGACCACTCTGACCTCGATTCGGTATCGCAAGGAGACATGTCCTTTACCTCGACCAACTACGACGACGATGATGACCACGATGACGACCCTTCCGATAACGACTCACCGTTCTTCAATACCAACATATTTAACAACTCCAATGCACCACCAATACGGATAAGCGAGGTCGATTAATCCCGACCTAACGCCCACTCATTCAAAACCTCATTCCTATGTAATTCCTTACTTCCCCGGACCTAATTGCATACCCCGCCTTCACCATTTCCTGGAATCACGAGCGACTTCCCCGTCTACAGCACAAGGATACCAACCGTTTGACATTATATTCCGAGGATTTTACATTTAATCCGTATCTAAATTGTTTGTCCGTCCACCATATGTATGTATGGCACATTACTGCAATGAAATGAACTAGAGGGAAGATAAGGGCAAGATGGAGAGAACATCCTGCTGCTTCATCAATCTTCGTCTGCGATGCGCTGGGCACGCTTAGCCAGCTAGAGAGGTTCCAGGTTAGCAGTCGGATTCGGCAGTAAAGGAAGTTAGAAAAACAACTTACTGCTGCAGCAAGGTCGAGTTGGCCAGGACCACCACCTCCCCCACCGAGACGTCCGGCAGCTGCGCCGCCTCCAGATGGAGCTGGCCGGGCAGTGGTAGGCAGAGCAGGCTTGCCGCCAGGTTTGGGCACCCCAGGCTTGGGGGCAACCACGGGCGGCTTCGGCTTCGCTGCTACAGGTGGAGGCACCTTGGCAGCCGCGCTTCCTGGACGCGATGAATTCGGGGTAGAGTCGGTCGTAGCTGCCGATTTCTTCCAAGGGGTGGGACCGCCGTTGCTCGCACCCATTCCTGGGAAAACAGCCACTGGTTTCGCCGATGCATCTGCCGTGGTCGAAGAAAGGGGGGGCTTCGGTACTGTGGATGTAGGACGAGGACGTGCTGGAGGAGGCGGCGGCGCAGGAGCAGCCTTGGGAGCAATACGTTCAAGGTAGTTGTACGGTGCCCAAGCTTCTACTCCGTCCTTCTTCACCAGCCACCATCCGTTTTCGTCCTTCTCGATCAGCTCGACTTCGTCGTCTTTCGTCAGGCTCATCTCGCCCTCTTGGCCCTGGAAATCGAACTTGGCGCGATACATTTCTTTCTCCGGTTCGGCTCGGGCTGGAGGCGGTGGGGGTGGGGGAGGTGGTACTGACCGAGCTGCTGGCGTCACTGCAGGAGCGCGGACGGCAGCAGGAGTGGAGGCGGCGGGTTTCGGTTTAGAGACAACAGCTGCTGCTGCTGGCGTAGACACAACACTTGGTGTAGCAACGGCAGGCTTTGACTGACCCGGAAGTGGTTGTGCTGTGGGTCGTGGCCTCGAATTGTTCGGTTTCTGAAACGGACGTTACATTCGATCATTTAGCAATGGTTTCTACGACATACCGATGGTCCTCCAGCACGAAGGAGTTTCCCTTGGGTGATCGGACGGACAACTCCTGCTTTCCGCTTAGCAGGCGGTCTTGAGACACTATCCGCAGGTTCCCCTGAAGGTACATGGACGGTGTGACTCTTGTAGACGTCATCTTTGGGAATTGTCTCATCCTTGACGAACTTGATCTGTGCCTTCTTCTCCTTCTTCTTGGTGTATTCGATACTAAGCGCCAGTCGGTCAGAAATCAGTCGGTGTGAATCGGAAACCAGCGTACGTCGGTGCGATGTTGAAGTTGATTCCAGCCTGAGTCAACTGCATGAGATGTGTCACGAACTCGGTCTTGAAGTAGCAGCTAAGAACTGGATCGCCCTCTTCAGTGGGTCCAAGGTTCAGTGTCTTGACAAGATTAAGAGTGAACGTTCAGCTGAGGGTTCTGGAATACACTTACAAACCAGTCATCTCGTAGAGTAGACATTTGAATGGACTTTATGGTGACAAGAGCAATCTTGCGCTCCAGACTGAACATTGCTTGGCCATCCTTTGCCGTGACAATGACAATATAAACCGCTTTTGGCGTCTGCGAGAGTATATGAGAATGTGATTTATGAGAATGTCGCAAAACCCTTACCAAAACGATGTACCGAGGACTAGGTTTACTGGACCTTCCGAGCTTGGAAACCAACAGCCGAGCGCTCGCACTGAATTTGACAGGTTCATCTCCTATTCTCTGGTGAGAACATCATCGCCATTCAGAGGACAAAGCGACTTACGGCCAAGGCTACATGCTTCCCCGATCTCCTCGCCGAGGGAGCTCTTTCCGCTGATGTCGAGGTAATCACCCATGAATCGACGATAACTCAAAAGACTGAAGCGCCTCCTTTCCTTGCGGCCGGCAAGGAGTTGATGACCATAGTCCCGAACCTGAGCGTAAACCAATGCCTCCTTGTTGTTCTTCCAGAAGCGCTGAATTCTACGAGCACATTCATGTTTGTACCGCATATAGTTTCTGAATGCTCTCTGGATACGTGCGGCCATGTTGTGCCAATAACGATCCCGCATGGTCTCCAGTGCGAATAACTGCGAATAGTCAGCAACAATCGTTCACTGTCTGAGCAAGTCCACTCACGGTCTCTGGGTTCTTGATAAAGGCCTTCGTGACACCCATTTGCCATTCATCTTTAGCAATTCCAGTGTCCTTCAAGATTTGCTCGCAACCAGACTTGGCATCTCCCGTCCAGATGTATTCACCAGCGTAGGATGTCTTGGGGGAGAGCAGATAGAATCGTTCCACCATTTTCTCGAAGGTATTTCGGTATGCAAAACCAGCACGCCTAACTCGAATGTTCTCCTGTAGACCGAGATATTTGATCTGATGTAGAATGGCCTTGGTATCATATTCAGACGGACTGCGATTTCCGTTGGGCTTGATGGTTCGAATATAGGAGGGTTGCGATTTCATCAGCTTGTCCACCAAGGCCCCTGCAGATTGCTGGAAAGGCGTCGTCAGAATCCATATGTTTGATTGTAAAATGACTGGATCACCTTGATTCTGTCGCTGGCTGTAGGTGGGCGCTTCTTGCTATTGGGGTCAGGACGATCCGGGAACAGGTTTTGGAGGAAGGCGTTGCCGCTAGTGCCAATCAAGTCCAGAAGATCTTTAATGAGCGAGTCCTTGTTCTTATCGGTCATTCCAGCAACGTTGTACATGACATCGCCAGCGTAGTGTCGGACCAAGAACTGAGCTCCACGAGACTCGAAGTGACCATTGGATGAAAGGCCAGCGCTTCGTTGGATAAAGCTGTTGTCGGCAGCGGTGGGATCGGCGTGGGCGGTTGCACAAGCATCATTGAGGGCAGCAAATATTCCTGGTGGACGGCGCTCTTCGATTAGGTCGCAGACAACCTTGTTGTTGAAGAATTTGATTGGTGTCCATTTGATCTGCTCTCGGACATATTCTTCCTGTTCGGTCTTGAGGGTCAACTCAATGAAGATCTGCTGCAGCTTTTCATTGACGTAGTTGATACACAGTTGCTCAAAGGAGTTGTCCTGGAGTCAAGCGGGTTAATGGACAATAAGAGCAAAGAGTAAGCTCCATTACCTCGAAGATTTCGAAACCGAAGATATCCTATCCATTTGTTAGCTTCCCCTTGAACTAGTGACATATATGCCCACTCACCAAGATACCAATGATATGAGAATAAGCCGAACGTGTCTTTAACGAAACGTTGATTTTGGCTACAATCCACTCGAAGAGGTTGTTATAGATAGCCTTGGACAGGGCATCTCGGCCTGAGGTGGCCTGTGATGGATTGAGAGGGACATCGTATACTGATCCACGGCGACCACCTCGGGTTGTCTCCATGACCCTGGTCGTAAGGGCCTTTTGGACAGTCGCCGCATCAACCTCCATGAGGTAGGCCACGAAATCCGTGACTCCAGTGTCCGAGATGACGGAATTGCCTTCCTCATTCTCGTCGAACTGCACGTTGCCTAGCCAAAGGATAGTCGCAAGCATCTTGAAGATTTCGTTTTGTTCCTCAGGTGAAAGGCCGATGATTTGCATGGCGTTCTGCTCAATAAGTACTGGAAGATCCTCCTAGCGAAGGGGATTTCACTCACAATGGTCCCTTCGAAATCCCTGGTATCGTCAATGTCCTGGACATCAAGGCAATTGCTCATGCTAGTGTATGCATACGCATCCGGTCCTTGGAGACCAAAGGCCTCTGAGAACGTCTGTCATTACTTCTGCTCTGTAAATACTGGGAAAAGAGACGCACCTCGTTGCTCGTCGCTCGCAGCTTTAGTGAATTGGTAGAATATGTGGAAGTTTCGCTCGTTCTCGATTTGGCCCACGACACGACCCTTTTCGAGGAGGTAATTGGTGATCTGGGCACCAACGGGTTCTCCGCGATCATTGAACATGATTTCGAGATACTTTCCCTGTACAACGACGTCAACGCTGGAGTTTGCCCGCAAGGTTCTGAACTTACATGTCGACTGGAGTTGTTATTACGCAATGTTTTGGCACAACCGAAACTCTCGAGCAGCGGGTTTGTGGCCAACACCATGTCCTTAATTTCCTGGATCCCACTATCCTGTCCTCCGGAAACTGCAGCGATGTATTGCATTATCTGCTTGGCAGCTTCGGTCTTTCCAGCTCCAGATTCGCCTGAGATGATGACACATTGATTCTCGTGGTACGCGTTCATGTTGTAGTACGCGCTTTCTGCAATACTGAAGACGTGTGGCGGTACTTCCAGCCGATTCTTGCCTCGATATCTTTGCAACACCTCATCCGTGTAAATCCCAAGATCTATGCGGGGATCAGGGCGTCGTTTACTATAGAATGGTTGGATACTCACCTCGGAATGGGTTCACTGAGATTAGCACAGCTCCAATGTAAGTGTATATTTCGCCATTGGTCCATCGCTTCTGCAGATTCTCATTGATACTCTCATTGCTTATAGTCGTCAGCAACGTCATATCCGTAACACCGACTTGCTTCTTCTTGAAACCTTCCTTCCAATCGGCCTGTAAATAATGATAAGCATGTAGAATTCATTGAAATAAACCGTTTCCTTACCTTGGCCACCTTGGATTTCGCATTGTTGCCTGCTGCCTTCTTCGGGGTAACCTTCTTGCCCGCCTTTTTCGACGGTGCCTACCCTCTCCATTCAGTCACTGCGCATTAATGATGTAGATGGGGTTGCTCACCATTGTGTTTAGGCCTCTATATAGTGGTTTCGACTATCCTTTCTCTCGGGTATCCAGAAACCCAGAGTCTGTCGTGGTATAAGATCAAGCTCAATCGCAGCAACGGCCTACCACAATTGATTGCTGTGACGGTACATGCTGTGCCCCATTCGGCGCCATTAGTTAATTGGTCAGCGCCACCGGGATTTGCCGATGAATCAATAGGGGTGATGGGGACGAACTTATTGGCAAGATATGTACATTGTCTATTACTACTACGACTCGGGGTACATCATCTGTACTGCATGCGCAGGGTTTACTTTGACGCCTCTAATACTACCCGTGTAGCCTCTGCCAGCGGTGCAAGGGCCTCACCCAAATCTACAGACTTCGACCGCTTGATCAACTCCACCATCGTATCCCGCAGTTTCGAAAAGTCGACCAGCTTCTTGATAGATTCCAGTTGCGAAGAATCGAGGTGAGAGACGAAGCTCTGAACACATACTGCTGCCCGATGTATTAAGTTCTTGTCTTCTTTGGGATTTGTATTATCTTGGGATATTGGAGACAATAAAGCGATGATGATGGACAGGAATCTCCCCTTCTCCAATTGGAGATCGAAGAGAGCATAGCATACCGGCGGCGAGGAGGCCAGGATAGCGAGGGTCCCTGAAGCCGCCAAGCGTGTCGGGACGTCGTCGACGTCGCAAAGTGCGAGGACGACGTGTATCTTCGACTTCGGAGCTTTGCCTTTCCCGTCACCTGCATACCTCGTAAAGGCGGCTTCTGAACCAGACACGAGATTGCAGATGAGTTCCATCGAGGCTCTGCAGACAAGGGTGTGGTCTTCCAATAGCAACAGTTCCACTTTGTTCAGCAAACCGTCAACACTTGCAATGCGGCTGGCCACATCTGGGCCATGGGAGGCTAGGTTCGTCAAGGCCATCATGCCTTCGAATTGTTGCAACGAGTTGGCAGATTGGTGGAGGACGAGAAGCGATAAAGGCCGGATAGCGTCGCAGATGGCTCCAACGTCAGGTCCGTAGACGTGTATTGGAGGTGATGTGATGGTGAGTTTAGCGAGAGCTTGGATGGGCTCCAGGTCAACTGGGCCTGAAGTCCAGTCCTTGGTTTTATCGACCTCTGGGGCTAGGCGTTTAATGATATGACGCAACGCCTTGGATCCTCCACTCTGTAACACCCTCCCCCGCACCTCCTTCTCTTCCACAATACTCAAAAGAATCTTCCCGACGTTGCGCTGGATGGCCTGACTATCGCTCAAAAGAGCTACTACTGACAGAGCTGGTAAGACATTGGCGTTGATGAGGCGTTGAATTCTTGCTTTAACGTAGTCGTTGGCATCGAGCTTGGAATCTTCGTCAGGCTGCGGTTGAGATCCTTGTGCTGCACTGGCCATCTTCTTGAGTTTCTCAATCTGTCTCTGCTCGTCGCTGAGAATCGGTTGATATCTCGAAAGGTTATGAATGATTGTGACGATCCCATAGAGTAGAGCGGAGTTGACTGGTGAGGGGGAATTGTTCCAGGAAGCCTTTCGTATTGGGATGGTTTCAATGAGACGCTTCAGGAAGGCGGCGTCCTTCGAGAGATACTCCTTGATTGAAGGTTTCGTAGTGAGGTAGGCCAGACCTTCCACAGCCTCAGCGAGGGTCGACTGGTCGGATGAATCGATGACCACGGTCTTGAGTTGGGTTGTCAGTCGGTTGACATCGATGCCCGGGGTCGCCTCTGACACACTGTCGTTGGGACTATCCGAGCTAGCTCCATGCCACAGCTTCACGAGGGCGACGATGGAAGCTGCCGCCAATTCCGAACTTGTTTGTTTCGATGACTGGACGTCCAACCATGTCCTGACACCGGAGGTCAGTGTTGCGCGGGATTTCTTATGCCCGCTGGCTTCGGCAAGGAGCCTGGCGACTGCGAGAGAAAGCTCTACTGAAGGCGAAAGCTCCACGCTGTCCATGATGTTTTCCAGAGTGCCTTCGATGGTGAATATAGCGGAGGCGGCTTCAACATCGACCCGATATAGTGCTGTCAGGAATGTTATCCCTCGAATAAGCGCCTGCTCGCTGGTTTCCGATAAGTAGTCCATAGTAATTTTGTGAAACTTCTCTGTCAGGCTCTCGATAGACGTCGTCCCTTCTCCTTTCCCAGCATTTTGCCAGAGAAGGGAGAGCGTAAGGTACGCTTTGGATTGCTCCTGCTCGGAGGTGAACGCATCGACCACCGTCCTAAGCTCGTCTGGAAGCAGTGACGACCCCTTCTGCACCTTGCCAAGTATTGAATCCAGAGTCTCCGCGTCGTTGGGCATGGCGATCAAAGAAAACGCAGCCGATGAGTGGGTTGTGGCGGGTCGGGGGATATATGATGAGCAAGGATCAGAGCAGAGATCGGGGTCAGGGACTGTGGGACAAATTTGGAGATTTCCTTCTTTCTCGAACTCAGAATGACCGAAACTTCACCACGACCTACGATCCAGCACGGCAACACAATCCTCGTCAGACTACCCAACAACGACCTCAGGAGCGTTAAGGTAGAAAAGAATACGTATGTCCCCCCTCGTAAACCCTGTAAAGGTACTGACCGCACTCTAGTACAGTAACGATCAACAAATTTGGCGCCTTTCATGCCAATGAACTAATAGGCCATCCATATGGATTGAACTATGAGATAATCTCGAAAAAGCTTAAGATTCTACCACCAAAAACTTGGCAGGAAGTTGGTATGTGAAGTTGGCAGGAGATCCAGCCCAAGCGCTGAAGCACTTCCACCAGAGGATACCGATGCAACCAACGAACTCATCAACGACGGAGAGTTCGTCCAACCGCTTACTGTGGAGGAGATAAAAGCGTTAAAACAGTCGGGAGCCCATTCCTCTGTGTGTATTAATCCCTATCCACTGTTTCTCCTCTAATGCCCCGCACAGGACATCATTCAAAAGCAAATCGAAAACCACGCAAACTTCAACCTCAAAACAGAATACAGCAAAGAGAAATATCTCAAGAGGAAAGAAGCAAAGTAAAACCCACGACTTTAGGTATTGTCAACCCGAGTTAATCTCCCTCGATCAGATACTCGAAATGCTTCACCACCGTCGAGCCAACACTGTTCAACGTCTGCGAGTACTGGTTTGAAAAGGACCAGTTCAGGATACGAGATATCCGTATGGATACCTTGTCCCAAATCCTCAACCTGGCTAATGTTAGGCCTGGGGGACGGTACCTTGTGGTCGACGATGCGTCTGGGCTGATTGCTGCTGGTGTCTTGACCAGGCTGGGAGGTGCGTGCCTGTGCTCTGTGCTCCCCTCCACCCAAGTTGACCTCGGACTTTTGGAAACAGGGGAAGGTCGTCTACTGGCTATCTGCGACACTGAATCCCCTCCAGCTTTCCCTGTCTTCACCCAGATGAACTTTGACCAAAATGTGACGAAACCTCTCGCTTCTCTCAATTGGGCGACCTCCCAAAAAGACTATACACCAAGTAGGCCTTCGCTCCACTGGTATCCCGACGTCTTCTTTACATACTTTCCACAGTCGTACCCCCGTCAGAGCTACCGTCCGAAGAGATTCGATCTGAGCGACAGAAGTCGAGACTAAAGAAGCGCAAGGCCATTAATGATCTGTTAAACAACACACGAGAGGACCTTTTCGCAGGCGAATTCAACAGTCTAATCATCGCTTCAGAGTATGACCCGATGGTCATTATCGAACGCCTATATCCATACCTCGCTGGATCAGCGTCCATCGTAGTCCACAGTCCCTATGTCCAGGTTGTAGCTGACCTGCAAGCCAAGCTACGGAATCAACCACAGTACCTATTCCCTAGCGTAACAGAGGGTTGGCTACGACGCTACCAGGTGCGCCTTTCGAGTCCCCACCCCTGCAACTTCTTGCTTAGGTTATCTGAAACAGGTGCTTCCTGGCCGGACGCACCCCACAATGGCAATGTCGGGCTCAGGTGGATTCATCCTTCATGTCATAAAAATGTCAGTCATTCATTCATTTGGTCGTTAATTGGTCATAAGTTCATTAAAATGTTGTACAGTTATGAGTCCGATCCAAGTGTCGTGGTCGTGTCGGGAAATGGTTTGGAAGAAAAGGTCGAAGCGGATGAGGTGCAACCTGTGGTCGAGGAAGCCATGCTCGTCGATGTAAGTGACCACAGTGGTGTCCATGTCACGTAGGTCGAGAGGTTGACTAGTCTGTTAGGCCCAGTGATTACCCCGATGCGCATTCGGGGAACATGGCTTCGAAGACCTGGCGGCAGAGTCAGTGCAGACTCAAAAATGAGTGGACGTTGACCTACCTCGTCAACAATAGTATAGGCAATATGTTGATTGAGACGTCGATTCTGCAGCACGGCGAACATTCGTCGTGCTCCTCGGCGCGCATTAGACCTTCCGATCATATTAGCGGCCAGATCTATGTTAGAATTTATAGTCAACGGCTGCGCAGTAAATCTTCGAAGTATGTTGTACTTACCGGGTACAAGGGCAGATAATTTCCTGTTGGCTTCATCCCTGGTCCTGATCTTTTCCTCTGTCGTTCGGGGAACGCTAGGCCCTCTGAGTTTACCACCGGGCCACATGCTGTCGCGGAAGATATCGAGGTATCTCATGATTCGAGCATCATTGAGAGCATCCTTAACCGTCTCGCGAACCTTCCTCTCGATCGTTCCTCCAAGTAACTGTTGCAAAATGATGACAATGGCCTGTTTGCGAAGCCAATTGTTTTGCTTATTGAGTTCGAAGACCGCCAATACAAGATCACAAATGGGAGCCGAGAAGAGAGAGGTACTGCTTTCCCCTTCGAGTGGCTTGAGGTCGCCAGAGAGTTGGAGTAGCGTGGTTTCTGGGGCGGATTTGCCTGCTGCATTGAGCGCTTGCGCAACTAGTTCTTCATCATTCACGCCTGAACCAACGATGCCAGCAAACTCGGCGGCTTGCCTTGTCAAACGTTGGATCATGACGTCGAGCATGGATGGGCCAAAGAACATGTCGTCGATGCTTTCAGCCACTGAGCGATATACGTTGCGAACGAGGTCGGTTCCCGAAAAGGTGCTGGCAGTCTTGGAGGTGGTGAGGGTGTCGGGTCCTGAGGCGGTAAAGGGAGAATCTCGAGACAGGAAAGCACGCAATTCTGCACTCTCGCAGACTACGGGAATCGCAATGACGCTCTGATCACTACAGTTCAGCACTCGGTCCAGTGGATTGGAAAAGACAACCTGCCTGAAGATACTTCTCGAGCGCTTGTTTCCGATTATCCAGGAAACTGTTGGATAGGTTAGGGACAAGACGCTTGCCAGGGAAATCAAGGCCTTTGACGAGCACATATCGCTCCCGTAGCTTGTTGTGCATATTGAGGAACTCGTTATATCTCCTTGCGACAACCCACCCCGACGAGAAGCTCCCATCCATGGCCAACTGCTGGATTTCAATGAGATACCGAACAACAGACTTGCCATCTTCCTCCGCCACAGTTGAACTCGCAATAGACACCCGTGTGCGCTCCGAGATCAGCTTGTTTGCGGACTCTTGTTGCTCGTATTGTTGCTTCTGGAACTCCAATTCTCGGAGATCCCTGTTCATCGCATTCTTCGACTTCTTCAATAGCATGAGCTCTTGGTTATCGCCCGTCAATTCGGCCTTCTTGATCAAGGTGTCCAACATCTCCTCCTGCGCTTTGAGGTTGGTAATCTTGTCCGCCAAACGAGCAATTTCATACGACAATTGCAAGTCTCCTGGTGCTGCCAGCTGGAAGCGTCGGGATTCGGTGGTTCCTTCCCCTTCCTCCCCTTCGCCGTACTCTGCCTCATCTTCTTCATGGTCCACTGGGACGTCATCAAACATCCTTTCCCTGGTGCGATTCTTCCGAAGGCTGGGAGCTGGAGACGGGTTACCGAACAGAGGCGGTGAATCATTTCGAGGCGTTTCCTTGCGCTCCTGCTCGAGGGCCATAATGTCTGTGAGAGCCGCATGGATCGCCTCCATGCGTTTTTGTTCCTCTCGCTGAGCAGCATCCTCTGGGTCGTTGAAAAGTGGTGTCCGCGAGTCATCAGGAGAGTTGTCAAGGATGGGGGACATGAGGACCTCGATATTGGACTGGGTTGGCAGTGAACGAGAAGAGCCGGTACTAACCTGCCGCTGTACAGGATGTGATATGGTGAGATCATTCTTTGACGCTCGGGGTTGAAGTGGAACTTTGGGAGGCATTCCGGTCACAGAAGCCAGTGAGACGCGACCGTCCGAATCGCCTGAAGCTCCAGAGCTTTCGAAATGGTCTGGTTCCTTATCCTGGCTAGAAAAACCGGCATCGGCTACAGCCCGGAACCAGAGCTCTGACCTTTCGAATTCTTCGAAGTCCTGTTCAACCATGTCCTTTTCCACCTGCCGCTGGGCAAGGAGAACACTTCGGCGAACCTTGCGTTGAGTTACAGGAGAAGGATCGGATTCAAGAATGAAGTTGCGGATGTTGTCAATGTGCTTGCGGGATATCGAAGAGAGCGCCTCGGAGACCGAAGGGCCGGCGAAGTAGAGGTCGTGGATCATTGAAATGTCTTCCTTGACATTTACAAACGTCTCCGGGTCCTGGATGATCTCTTCCTCGTCTCCGGAAGAATCGGATTCCACGGATTCAAGCGGATTCTTGAAACTCTCGACTGTGAGCCAGAATTGGACGGGCAAAGACCGGTTTCGCCGATCCATGAATTCCATGAAATAGGATAAAGAATCGGGATTCCGGAGAATGTCACGGAGGGAAACTCTGGGCTTCGTCGAATCTGGGATCGTGGTCAATTGTCGCTAGGATCAAGTGTCAGCAAAGATAACCCGACGAGTGCCAGACACATACAGAGTGGTCTTTTCCACCGCCACCAAGGACTACGATTCGCTCCTCCACCTTGCGTTTCGCGGTGTACAGGCGGTCCAGAAAAGCAACAACATCCTCTGTTTTCTCTCCATTGATCCAGTCGTCTTTCTCGTGATTCGCTGAGGCAAGGTCAATGCATGGACATGCTATTGAGACAGAAAGCGCACCTAAGGACATCCGTGTTCGACGGATTTCGCCGACAATATCATTCTTCAATCTTCGAGCGTCAAGCAAGGACGAGCACCGGCTGATACTGCGCAGGAAGGACTCAAACTGCCGAGCATCGGTGCGAATGGTTATTCGTTCCGGCATCGAAGTATTGACTGGAGCAGTGGGTTGGACTCGGCTCAACGCTCGCGGAGATTGCGCCTCCAAAACATTTCGAATCTTCGAAATTAATCGCCTGGGGTGTTGTTAGGAAAGGGTCATCGAAGAGAAAGTGACTGCGTACTGTTGGTGGATGGCGGCTCCTGCCTGGTGGTTTCGTCAGCAGAATACGAGTCAAAGTATGGTCTGGCTTACAATTTGGTCTATCGACCGATTCCAGAAGTCGGGATCCGTGATCATATCCATAACTGGAAATAATACGGAACAGGAGACTATCTCTCGAATAACCATTGTGACGGCCCTGCTTTTGCTTGCGCTCTCGGGCAAGAGGTGAGGCAGCGCCTTCTCCACAAGACGTCGCAGATGCATCTCTTCTGTTTGTTTAGTGAAGGTACTGGATAGGTTCTCGATAGCTGGATGTAGCTTGCCGGAGCCTTTGTTCGCGTAGCGCCCGGCGAGAAGTAAGTCGAGTTCTTCTGATTGTGTGAACCGTCGTTCGAGTCCTGCTCCACGTAATGCAACTTCGGATTGACGAAAATGCTCGATGTGAGTTGTGATCTTTGGGATGATGCGGCGTACAATCAGCGCGGGGAGGTCAACGGCCGCTGCTCTGTCCAACAATGCCTCCAGTGCAGAGTGAATAGTCGAATTCACAGCATTCGGGAAAGACTGGGAGTCCGAGATACTGCTGTACCAGGACTGGACAAAGTCGCGAATAATCTTGGAAATGATATCTTCAAGAGCTGCGGATATTTCTGGAGAGTCTCTTAGGAGTGGTGGATATACTTGCTGGGACCTTTGCGACCACTGTGACCTGGTGAGTACCGCTTGCCATGCCGCAGGGGTGGAAAAGGAAAACGGTCTGGCTGCTTGCTGCAGTCGATTCTGTGTCTTCTTCCGTTGGGTATCGAGGATGTAGCCGACGTAGATGTTACAGGCAATGAAGGAGAGAACTAGAAGCAGTAGCAGAATTGGGGAAAAGATAATAAGAGCAATATGCGATGCCAGGACGCGAAATGTGATTGGAAGTACGATGGCAGCGACGGCGACGACCACAATCGTTCGCGTGCTGCTGAGCATTGGGAATGTCGAGGCGGTTGGTGTCGACTACGGCCTGTTCTGGTGAGCACTGCAGCCGGATATCAGTCGGAAAGGCAAAACATGTGGTCGGAGTCGCCAAAGACGTCCTCGACGTCGTGGACGGTGTGGGCAAGGTCGAGACGGCTGCAACGATGACCAGATTGGCCGCTTCGGCGCTCCAGCCAAATGGAGCAATCAACGATCGGAGTCACGTGTACCCCGCAGAGTTGAGGTCGCCGAAATTCCGAAGGATACAAACCTCATTGCCTGCCAGGACTGGGGTTCCGCTAAACTTTCATTGCTTCCATCTTTCTCTCCTTGCAAATGTCCGGAACTTCAAAATCCAGTCAGCCCCGTACTCTATCGACCGCAGAAGGCTTTATTTGTGGCGGTATCGCGGCATGTATCGCGGTATGTGCTTGGAAATACCACTAGTCGCGTTCTTCTCTGATACACTATTGACAGGTCACCGTATCAAATCCAGCAGAGGTCGCAAAGACGAGGTTGCAATTGCAAGGAGAGTTGGCAAAAGGTGGAGGCGTCCGGGTCTACAACAACTCGCTGGACGTGTTAAAAAAGACCTGGAGGAATGAAGGCATTCGAGGTTTGCAGAGAGGCCTTGGTCCTGCAGTAGGTGTGGTTTCTGTCACTTCGTTTCCATCGCTGACAGATTGTCTCTGTAGTATGTTTATCAAGTGAGTTACAGGGACTCGCAATGTGAAATTGGCACTCACGACACCCTGTTTAGATCCTCCTGAACGGGTCTCGACTTGGTGCGGATCTAGCCGTGCCCAGGGCCTATAGCCCGCTGCTAATGAGTTACCCTAGGCTTCTATGAACCGTTTCGACTGGCTGCAAACAGTCTTCTGGGATGGGCTCCTTCAGACCAAGTGGTCATGACATCCGTATTCGCCGGTGCCTCGAGTGGAGCAGTTGGAGGTGCGCTACATCGCCGGTAGACCTCGAAATGCGTTTTCATCATCGCTGCAGCTACGCTCGGAAACCCGCTGTTCTTGGTGAAAGCACGGATGCAGGTACTACTTTAATTGGCTAATTATCTTCGGTACTCACTCTGCATCCCATAGGCTTATTCGCCTTCACTTCCGGTCGGAACCCAACACAAATACAGGAGCTCTCTTCACGCTCTGTCTACGATTTTCAAAGCCGAGGGTCCCCGTGGTCTCGTGAGAGGCGTCGATGCTGCAATTCTGAGAACATCCATGGGTTCTTCTGTAAGGCGACTGTTGTTTCATCAGCTCGTTTGTCTAATGACTCCGTTACTCGTTAGGTACAACTACCCAGCTACAACTTCACTAAGCGAACGCTGGTAAAGAACAACATTCTCCCAGAAAACAGCACATGGACATTCCTTGTCAGCAGCGCGGTTTCCGGTGCATGTGTTGTAAGCATTTTGTTCCACATTCCCGAACGACAATCGGTTCATGATCTTCTCTCTCAGCTTGTGGTCATGCAACCCGCGGACACGGTAAGTTTTGTCGGACTGCTTTGTCATGGTGGATGTGCAATGGGTTAATCTTCCCCCTCCAGGCTTTGACGCGGGTTTACAATCAACCAACCGTGATTGGTCCAGACGGCAGGGTGCGGGGTGCCTTGTACAAAAACCCGTTGGACTGTCTTTGGAAGACATTCAAAACAGAGGGTGTGCGAGGCTGGTATAAAGGCTCAACAGCCCACTTCATGAGAATTGCGCCCCACACGTATGAGTTCATTGTTGTCTTGACGTGCGCAGAAGCTGACTTTGGCCCATGCAGAATTATCACACTAACCGCTAACGACATTATCCTCAATCTCTACAAAAAAGCCAAGTTTGGACACCTAGACCAGGATGCTGATTCGTAAAGGCACAACTCGCACGATTTACTAATTTGATATAGATTATTGTATATGGTAGAACATTATTACTGATGATACCCAACTGACTGGCCTTGCCTTCATCATCCTCCAAGTTCATAGGACACAGTCATTCCCTCCCGCCACACGCTATGATACGTCGCGACGCAGACAAGGAAATTAGAACAGAGAATCAATTCACGGACGTCCCTTTACCAGGACTTTACGTACATTAGAGTATGGTTTAGATATATAGCGTGTAGGGGGTATCTATTCAGATCCTAATCGCAGATATTAGGGTATTGTCGGTCAGTAGGATTCTTAGGAATCCATCCATTCTCTAGACCGGCCTGGTAAGACCAGTCGTCTGCCTGCTCGGCCTTCCACGTCCATTGGATCCAACCCTGACCCTTCTCGTACGTGATAGTCTGTGCCTCCCAGAACTTCCTCAAGAACGTCTTGTAACTTGCGCTGAAGGAGGAAGCATCTCCGGTAAGCCCTTCGCAGCTGCCGACGCGGGTCGATCCAGGGTAGGTACCCTCATAGCGGTTGCCAATGCCTCTTCCATTCAGATATTTGGTGCAATCGGTCCTTGCTGGAGACCATTCGCCGACGACAGTCCACATCCCGGAATCCGTCATGGCGCTGGCACGGTCGCAGATACCGCGGATGTGCTGATCTTCCGACCAAGCAACTTGCTGCTCGAACCGTCAATACTAACGGACTTTTGAAAAGGTCTTCATGGAGCAGGGCTAACTCACATCGTTGTTGAAGACCTGGTAGATATGGGTATCAAGGATGACACCTTCGTACTGAGGATAGGGCATGAAGTCCTTCCAGTTTGCAGTGGGCTCAAAAGCGTCGTGGATGATGACGACGGTGTTGCTCGTCGCGTCGTTGCCGTAAGGGTAACGAATGTTACCGTAGCTGTCGAGCCAGTATTGGCGGGTAACACTCAGAACGTCTGCTCCGAAGAAACCAGCAGGCCTGCCACCAACGTTCATCACTACGCTCAAGATGTCACGAGCTACCGTGGTACGTACTCGTTGAGAGGTGCGATAGCTGGGACAACTCCAGTTCTATCTTTGTACAAGTCTGCAATTCGTTGGATGACAGCATTGGTCCTGTCGACGTTGCTCTGCTTTGTATGCCAGGTACTGTAAAAGCGATTGTCAGATATGCATGCGACGCGATGGCAGGGATCTGAGGTAGACGTACGGGTAGTCCATCTTCTGGCCAGAGTTGTCGAAGCCATTCTGACTGCCAGGCGCGCCTACGCAGGACATAATGTTGGGAACTGGTGGTCAAAGGGTGGAGGCTATGTGACGCACCATGCAGGTCAATGATGACCTTCAAGTTATATTTCTGGGCCCAAGTAATCGCTCGGTCGAGGTATTCAAGTTGACCTTGGATGTACGGCTCATCCGGCGCGACCTCGAACGCCCAGTAGCCGATGGGGAGGCGGACGTGATTCAGCCTGAGAAAGACCGTCAGTAAGATTTTACCATGATAACTCAACGCGCAAGATGGGCTCACCCAGCGGCAGCGATATCTTCGAAATCTTTCTCAGTGATCCAAGTTTCCCAGTGCTGCTTGAGCGCGGTGTACGCCTTGTCCTTATCCTGGTAAAGACCGAAAGTCCATTCGTCGATAATACGTGGGTCACCGGTATTGTCGAAAAGCGAAGGCGTGATCCAGGGCTGGAAAAGGACCCAGTGTCAACGAAAGCCTTGAAACTCAGGAGAGGCATTCTCGAGTTGCGCACCTCAGTGACAAGCCAGCCACCCAGGTTGACGCCCCGGATCTTCTGAGATTCATACGGGAACCCCCAGGTGTAGGCGAACGACGCCATGGGGGCCAGGGAAACGAGAGAAAGAACGGCGGCTAAAAGAGTGACTAATGTTCGACGCATGACGGCAGTCGATAGCTGGTAAAGAGCGTGAAGTGAGGCGAGGGGGGAAAGCAGAGGCCATCCGATCGTTGTTCAGTTTGGTTTAAATACCGAGACAGGGGGCTCTGGTGGCTGACCATGAAATCCTTGGTTCCCCAGATCTGAAAGATTTCATGGTCCACTAGCTCGACAGGCGACAGACCGAATGGTTTGGGAATTGAGCGAGTTTCAGAAGATATTGCGGAGGCGAGCAAGTACTTTAGAGAGCGTCGAGTGATGCCACTTGGTTCATATCTGATGCCAAGAATTTTAACCGCACGTAGCGGCGCTTTCCCACTATCCCCGAGTTTGTGAAAAGCCATGGAATAGTTTCTACTTGCTTATTGAAACCCTGGGTAGTGCGCTTACGATCTACGGTAAGTATATAGGAAAGAGAATTATATCAGAAAATCAGCCTTCAGCCGCAGATGTTGGGGTACATCCTGTCAGTCGGGTTCCTTGGGATCCATCCGTTCCTCAACCCAGCCTGATACGACCACTCGTGAGCCTCCTCCGCCTTCCAGGTCCACTGAATCCAGCCATCACCGCCCCTCTCGAATGCGATGGTCTGAGCCTCCCAGAATTGTCGCAAGAAGTTCTTGTAGCTTTGGCTATATCCGGATGCAGGGCCAGTGAAACTGCGGCAGCTGCCGATGTGGCTTGAGCCAGGGTATGTTCCTTCGAAGCGACTGCCAACGCCACGACCGTTGAGGTACCTGGCACAGTCAGTCCGAGCAGGAGACCATTCGCCAACGGCAATCCAGAGATGAGAAGCGGCCAGTTCTCTTCCCCTGCTGCAGGCCATTTGAATGTGCTGTTCAGGACTCATCCTGTTGAGCTGCAAATACGCGTTAAACCTCGGACGGACATCCTAAGAAGCCATGACACTTTACCTCATCATTGAAGATCTGGTAGTGGTGAGTGTCGATCATAACCCCCTCGAATCCAGGATAAGCCATGAATCCACTCCAATAGCTCAGAGGCTGGAACGCATCGGAGATCATGACGACAGTGTCGCTCTGCCTTGCGCTGCCATAGGGATAGCTAAATCATGGCGGTGTCAATAAACGGGAGAATCGTCGACAAGGACTGACAACTGACCGAATGTTACCGTAGCTGTCGTACCAGAACTGTGATGTACAGGTGAGCCCAGTGTGTCGTGTTAATCCGAGGATTCAGCTTTACCTGACGGGTAACTCGCAGCACGTCATCTCCACGATATCCAGCAGGTCTATTCAAAGGTTAGTTGAGAATATAAAGAATAACAGCATGTATCACCCACTCGTTCAAAGGCGCAATCATGGGGACGACAGCAGTCGAATCCTTGAACATATCTGCGATTCTCTTGATTACGGCATTCGTGCGATCGACATTAGATTGCTTGGTGTGCCAGGTTCTAGAGATACTTCATCAAGGCATGCCCCATCTGAACTTTGCAGTTAACTCACGGGTAGTCCATCTTTTGGCCTGAATTATCGAAGCTTGAGCGACCGTCAGCGAGGGCCTATGCTCAAAAAAGGAAAGAAGGTTACCCATTCTGGCTGCCAGGAGCACCTAAGAAGTTGATGTCAGCCCCGATGTTCGGTCGGTTCAACACGTCATGTAGCTCACCATGGAGATCGATGATGACCTTGAGACCGTACTTCTCCGCCCAGCCAATGGCTCTTTGGAGGTAAGGAAGCTGTCCTGAAATGTATGGCTCTCCTGGGCCAACTTCGAAGGCCCAGTATCCAATGGGGAGACGAACATGATTGAGGCTATGTTCAGACCTCGGCGATGAGTCGACGTGGGAGATATCATGAAGAGAAGAACTAACCCTGCGCCAGCAATCTCAGCAAAGTCGGCTTCGGTGATGAACGTGTCCCAATGGTTGCGAAGAATGGCTTGTGCACGGCCTCGGTCCAGGTATTGACCAAACGTCCACTCGTCGATGACCCTTGGGTCACCGGTGTTATCGAACAGGGACGGGGTGATCCAGGGCTAACAGGTAGGCTCGTCAGCGTTGTGATTCCACTGTGGAATGCGGCGACTAACCTCAGTCACGAGCCAGCCACCAAGGTTAACTCCCCTGAGCTTCTGCTCTCCATAGGGAAACCCCCATCTCTGGGCGCTGACACTGGCCACACCGAAGGAGGTGAGACAGGCTAGGAGGAGTTTCGATAGCGAAGGCCGCATGGTTGAGATGTGGGGGTGGGGAGGCAACGCAAGTTGTATGTAAGCCTTTTAACGAGGACTGGCTTCTCGATCGGCAGCTTCCTTTACACACAAGCTTTATGAGGGCCAAGACAGCCCATGTGAATGAGGTAAAGCGGAATCGGTGCCTTCAATTGGTGTAGGCGCTAGGCGGGGCAGTTATCGTTGAATGTGGTATGCACTGGATCTTGAGCCACGAGGTTCCCAGCACACGTGAAGATGCAGGAAGATTTTCCGAACGGTGAGATCTCCAATTTTGGCGGAGAATTGGTGCGGCAACTCCTGGCGACTCCTGGCAGCTCCAGCAGCAAATCCCATGAATGCGAATGCAACGCGAATAGCTTGGCCGGCATAATAACCTTCCATGCGAAAGAAGCCTTCCTGTGGGAGAAAGCTAGTGTAAAAAAGCAACAAGCCGTTTACCTCCAGTTTATCAAGGCCAAGAGGCGCCAAATGAATAGCCAAGATCATACATCCTTTCGAGTTCGCTGATTACCTTTTGTCAGTCAATATTGGCCTGCCGCCACTAGCAAGTCCAAGCCAGCCCGGCAAGGGAAGAACCCCTTGTGGTGACAGGAGCACCTTGCTTAGACACGGACTTGTCGTCGGCAGCGTCGAACGGCCAAACGCGAGGCAGCGGACAGAAACTTTTCGAGGGTCGTCGTCGTCCCAGCAAGAGAGACTCAACCGTCATGACGGGGGGCGAACGTTGGCGGGACCCTAACCCTACTGATCTCTTGATCATATCATCCCATAAATTACTTGCAGGCGACAGCGAGCACCGTCGTTATCGCTCATCCCGCAACCATGTCCATCGATAAACTCCAGCAACGTTACGAGGAGGCCGGACAGGCCCACCTTTTCAAATTCTGGTCGAAGTTGACCGAACAGGAACGCAGCCAACTCCAAGCCCAGCTCCAGGCACTCGACATCGAACGCGTCAATCGAGTCTTCAAGAAAGCCGTCGCCGCCGAAGCTGAAATCACTGATCCCAGCGTGCAAGCACAATCCATTGGCCCTCTGCCAAAGGAGGCTTCCGAATCTGTCACCAATGCAGAGAAGGCGAGAGAGTGGCGCAAGATCGGTTTGGACGCCATCTCCCGCAATGAGGTCGGCGTGCTCCTCATGGCCGGAGGGCAGGGAACGCGATTGGGAAGCAGCGCCCCTAAAGGGTGCTACGATATCGGCTTGCCATCGCACAAGTCACTATTCCAGTACCAGGCCGAGCGTCTTGCACGCCTCCAGGAGGTTGCCGCACAAGAAAGGGGCAAGCCGACTGGCAGTGTGGTCATCCCGTGGTACATTATGACCAGTGGCCCAACACGCCCAGACACTGAAGAATTCTTCAAGAAGAACAACTACTTTGGATTGGATCCCAAGAATGTCATCTTCTTTGAGCAAGGTGCGTCTTTTTACCTGTCCGTCAATCGATGATGGCCTCGAACTCATTGGACTCTCGTAGGGACCCTTCCTTGCCTGACGATGGAAGGCAAAGTGATCCTTGAGACCCCATCTCGTGTGGCCGTAGCCCCTGATGGTAACGGTGGTCTATACGCCGCTACCCGCTCACCACTCTCATCTCAGGACCCTAATCGCACCGTCCTCTCCGACCTGTCCGATCGCAAGATCCTCTACGTTCACGCTTACTGTGTCGACAACTGTCTCGTTCGAGTAGCAGACCCTGTCTTCCTCGGTTACAGCATCGCCAAACAAGCCGAATGCGCCGCCAAAGTTGTACCCAAGACCTCACCAGCCGAATCCGTGGGCGTCGTTGCCTTGCGCGGAGGCAAGTTCAGCGTTGTGGAATACTCGGAAATCTCAAAGGAACAGGCCGAGAGGCGAGACCCTGAAACCGGTGAGCTTGCTTTCCGTGCCGGCAACATTGCCAACCACTTCTACACCACTGCCTTCTTGAAGCGAGTGCAAGAGTTCGAGGACGAGCTCGCCTTCCACATCGCGCGCAAGAAGATTCCCCACACCAATTTGGAGACCGGCGAGTTCATCAAACCAAGCAAGCCTAACGGCATGAAGCTGGAACTCTTCGTCTTCGACGTCTTCCCGTTCACTGAACGGTTCTCTGTTTTGGAGGTTGACAGACACGAGGAATTCAGCCCTCTCAAGAACGCTCCTGGTACTGGCTCGGACGATCCAGAGACCAGTCGACGTGACCTCTTGGCTCAACACAAGCGCTTCTTGGAGAGCGCCGGTGCGAAGGTGGCAGATGGTGTCGAGATCGAAATCTCCCCTCTTGTCAGCTATGCGGGTGAAGGTCTCGAATCCGTCAAGGGCAAGACCTTTACTAAATCCGGAGCTGTCGAGAGCGTCGAGCAGCTGGACGCATTGGTTTAATGGAGTGCATAAAGGCACGGACACTGGATAATAGAATAAACGGACATCGCTTCACATACCTGTAATACCCCCTAGGACATATTCATCACGCACGCCCATTGATTCGTTTAAAGATGTTTTCATTGTACGACGACTTGAAACATGTAGGAAGACGTTTACTTGGATCTTCACCCGCCGGAAGTGTCATCTGCGCTCTTCTTCGGTTTCGTACCTTTGCGTTCGAGCTCTTCCTTGAGTGATGTGAATAATCGTTGCATCCTTTCGGTGCTAGGCTTGGAAACGAACTGACCAAACGTTTTCCGTCTCATTCGTTTCAGCAAAGATGAGGCGGACGCTCTTACCTCCTTACAGCAGGCTAAGAGCCGCTCCACGAGCACCGCTTGTCCTCCCTTGGATTCATCCAGCTCTCGCCTGAGCATTTGGACCTGAAGATGCAGTTTATATGGTGGTCTACCGAAAAGGAGATGTGCTTACCTCCTCGTTCAACTGATCCGCTCTCTGCTTCTCGCTCTCACACAGCTGCTTTTGTTCCGCTGCTCGTGCCCGCGATAGCAGAACCTCCAGCTCTTTGGACCGGATGACGCATTCGAAATGTCGTTCCCGTAGCTCGTATTGGTGAAGGATTTCTTTCAGACGATCTCGAACCCTGGCGGCAGCATGGGTACCGTGTCATCACGGAAACAAAGTGGTAAACGTACACCCCGTCAAAGATATCTTCTAGCGTCTTTGCGGCTCTGAAACGGAGGTTTCATATACATGAGGAAGGAGAAGGTGATAAAGATGACGCACTCGTCGGGATCCTCAGTCCAGTTCTTCTTCAAGGTCTCCAATCGAGGTTCGACGTGCTCGTCCTTAATGAATTGTATAGCCAGGAAATGACCACATAAGCAAGACCACATACCCATTCGTCCGAGCCACCCTGAGTAAGATCCATCATTTCAACCGCAAGGATTTCGTCTCCCTCCTCCATCCCAAGTTCTTCCGGCGTTTGATCAGGTTCGATTCTTCGCCCACGATGGGAGAACAGAAACATCATCTCGGTCTTGGGTGGGTTATTAGGATCTAGCTTTCCAGACGGCAGTATTCCTTCAATGGGAAGGTTAGGGTCGATTTTACGGCCGCCGTTAATTTCCATTCTCAGCGTCCAAGCTGTGACTAGCCTCGAGAGCTTGGTTTTGCGAGAGATCTTGAAAAAGAGTTCGGCGCGGTAACGACAGACGACTTTGACGACGATGTCTGGAGATTCGCGGTACTTCTGGTCTAGCATACGGGCTCTGTCGGCTCGTTTGGCGAGGTCGTTTTTCATTTGCATGAGCTGTCCGGGGTTGTAGGGGTGATTGTTGTGGATTCGACAAGTCTAACATACCTCTTCCTGTGCATCCTCCACGCACTGAGCCAGTCGTTTTCCGTCTTCCTACAACGCGGTCTTAGTTTTCTGAGGCATTGAGTAGAATGACAATCGTACTCTCAAGCGTTTATTATCCTAGAAACGAATCCCTTTAGCAAGTGGTATAAGAGTGTGGTTCGCAATGTAACATACCTTTTGTAACTCTCGAGCGAGGTTCTCCATCTTGGTCTTGGTCTGGTTGGCCTTAGTTAATTGGCTCTTTGCTTTTCAAAAGTTTTAGCAGTGTAACCCGGAAGGAGTAACGACCATTGCACACCAGCATCCTTGTCCTTGACGAGTTTTTGCTTCTCCTTAGCATGCTCCCGCTCTAGGCGTTTAAGTTCGGCAAACTATAACTCTATCAGACCATGTAACAAAATAGAGAGCATATAGACGCACCAACTCGACATATTTCGCATGAATAGCATTTTCCTCCATGCCTCTGACAGACCGTTGTGCCTCCTCAGCTGGGTGCCAGTTAGCCTCATGGTCATCGCGGACGACGGACTACGTACCAATTCTGCGCTCTTCCTCCTCTTCCAGCTCCTCTTCCTCCTCCAACGCGGCTATCCTGTTCTTCAGGCTCTCATACATCGCGGCCGGGTCAATGGGAGCGTCATTGCGCTTCTTTCCCTTGGCCGATCCCGCCGTGTTCTGGCCATTGGTAGTGTGCTGGTGGTTGTGGTGATGATGGTGATGTGCAGGACCATTCTGACGCCCGTTGTTCATTTGCTGAGGAGGATTCGCGCTGGCATTGGTTGGAGGAACGGGGGGAGCTGTGGCAGGTGCTGGTGGTGCCGGGCCTGGTGGAGGTGGTTTTGCCTGCTTCTGCTGAGTATTTGAGGGTTGTTGCTGTGTCTGGGGAGCACCATTCATTACGAAAAAGCTCCTGTGGTTGCCGGTGTCTGAGAACGGGGAAGACGCCTAGATATCGTAGTTATATTGGAGAAAAGCTTGGTCACAGGTGGTGGTGAAGTCAGAAGTTGCCGAAAAGGAAAACTGAGTCCGCTAACTCTCGATTGGGATTATTAACCCCTGTGCCTTTGCACTCTCCGCCTACAGCACGCTGCCGAGTCTCTCCTTATATTTCTGAAAAGTATATCAGAACCAGAAGATGGGTTCACAGGCGCTAATTAGCAGCGGGCTCTATTGCGAATTGTAATTTATTGCACAGACACGTTGCGAAATGCTACCAATTTTACACAAGCGTGGCCCAGCAGCTCCACGACAGCACTGACATCGTCAAGACCGCATTCCTGGGACTGGAGAGATGTGTATTCGGCGAGATCTCCCAGAGAATGTCAATGAGGAAAGGTGCAGTTCTTCTCGGTCACGTGTTCCACGCGCGCGTATTGTTGACCGCGAGTGAGTACCACTTGCGCTCTCCAATCATGCTGCGCTACGGTCAGTCCGCATCCCTGCCTCTTCATCTTGCCACTGACAACCCCGTTAGATCGCTCGCCGTCGTCGTCGCCGACTCGAAAACGCCAGCGATTGTCATCGCCCACATACGATGACCAAGTTGGGGATCTTTCCGTGGAACACCTTGAAGCTTTCGATTTAATAGAGGCCAGATTGTCCCAGGCCAGCTCGTCTCAACCAACTGCAGATGACACCCTGGTCAACAAGTCAGGTCCTTCTTACGATCTCGGAAGTCCATTCTTCACCAAAGCATCGGCCGTGAAGGTTGACGAGGACAACGATAATCCATTCAACGACAACGACGATGATTCCGCTGAACTGGCCGAAAAGGAGAAGCTCTATGACAGCTTTTTCGACTCGACGATGGTGGAGGAACTCCCCTTATTTCAATCAGCAAAAACGATGCAGATGGAGATGTCGTCCTTTCATAAAGCTTCTCATAGTAGCGTCCTGGAACCTGCGACTACAGAAAACCTACCGTTGTTCCAAACTGCCAAATCCTTGGATAAGACTGCATTACCTGGTTTTCAGAAGGCTTCTAACAAGGAAAACGAAGGGACGTTGATGCCTTCAAAAGAGGCGTTGCTCAAGGCTCAACTAAAGATGAAGCGCTGGGAAGAAGATTGGATCGACCTCGATACACCGGTGGAGGAAACGACCGAACCTCCGCCGCCTCCGTCGTTTGCCACAGCAGCTGCTCTTACTTCCAAACCCAAACTCGCTGATCCACTCCCTCCAACACCTGCGCCCGTTCCTTCACAGGTCGCATACACTCCCACTCCAACGACTCAGTCACGACCGCTCGGGTTTTCTTCTCAGTCAAAACCATTCCGCGTACCAACTTTTAAAAATGTGGGAAAGGCACCATCGTCGACTCCAGGACCTTCTCAGTCACCGTTCAGACCACCTACGTTCACCAACCTATCCACACCACTTAGATCTCATAATCGCCTATCGTTTACTACGCCTGGCCCATCAACCTCAACGCCCCTCGTGTCTTCCAAACTCGCATCCCCCGCCCCATCCCCCAGGTCGATAGGTCTCTCAAGAACGTCTAAATCGACATTCAAGACACCTTTCAAAAAAGACGTTCAATTAAATCCTGTTCAGCAGTTGTTGAAACAGAACATGCTGAACAATTCTCAGATGGCCCCCACTACGCCGTTATCGAGTCGGCGATATCCCCCATCGACATTCAAGGTTCCCGCCAGTCCATTAGCTACATCCAAGCAACCAGTGACTCCCATGCGCCAGCCTCCCAGGCCACTACCTGTGAAGGACCCTTGTCCCTCTAAGCAAACCTTGGATGCTTGTGGCCTCCAGCCTCAAGAATACAGCCTCGAGGAGTTGGAATCGATGGGACTGTACGTTATGCCACTGTCGCTTCATCTATGCATTGCTAATCTTGCTTCCAGTAACACCACTGAGCTCAGTCAAATAACGCCTGTGACTGCTCTCCATTACGGCTTCTATTCCCCCGACGGAGTGCCTTCCCCTACCTCTGGCCTTCCCCGTTTAAACGCAGATGCTGCATACAAGGAGCTTCTCACCAAAGGATGCTCTCTTGCTTCCAAACCTTGGGTCGACAATCATTGGTCGATGATCCTCTGGAAGTTGGCAGGTATGGCAGCCTTTGATCCTGTGACTGAGCAAGATCCTGCGCGTAAACGGTGGTGTTGGGCGGAAGTTATGCGTCAATTGACCTATCGGTATGTCTGCACTTTCTTCGTATATATATCCGTCTCATCCCCTTTAGGTACGAAAAAGAACTAAATGGGGGTCAGAGGCCGGCGTTGAGACGGATTGTGGCAACGGATTCGCCCGCTGGGAACCCAATCGTTCTATGCGTGTCTGGTATCAACTGGATAGAGGGGGAGAAGGGAAGCTTCCCTGAACTTGAAGTTACCGATGGGTGGTATAGACTTCGAGCGCAAATAGACCCGCCCATGGTCAGAGCCATACAAAAGGGCACACTACGAGTTGGAAGAAAGATCGCTGTTGTTGGAGCTAGGGTATATCTCATTCTCCTTACTCCCTTGGGTGGGCTGACGATCTCGCATTATTAGCTACTCTCCGAGAAGAAAGATCCTATGGAGATTCTAGAGGCTTATGACTCGGTAAAGCTTGCTCTCTCCGGCAATTCAACGCATCTGGCACCTTGGCATGCGAAGCTAGGCTTCCAGCGCGACCGATACATCTCAACGCTACGCGCCTTATCCCCCGACGGTGGATTCATCTCTTGTGTTGACGTTGAGATACTGAAAGTATGTGTGTGCTTCGGTGACCACTCCCCCTGTCGCTCATTTATATCCACCAGGTCCATCCCGTTGCCTACCTCGAATTCGTGGAGAAGGATGGTCAAACAATCCGAGAAGGACCTCGTTCCGAGGCCGACGAGAACAAGATCGCGGATCAATGGATGGTAGGATCCCCTTCCGAACTGCATTGCCCATATGGAATTGAGGCTGATCGCATCCTACAGAAACGTCGGGAGAAGGAAGCGTCTAAACTCAGGTATGAATATGAGAGGAGGAACGAACGGTATATGGACTATGTCCAGAGGCTGGAAGATAAAGCACACTCGTATCGCCCAAAGGAAGACGATGGTGCGTTTCGTCCTTGTCCGTCTTACCACAAGATAACTGAACCGTGTCGGGATTCACCAGGTCCTCCGGATTCCGTCGACTCGTGCTATGACGACCTCGAAGATCATCGGACAGCTTTGCAAACCATCAGCCGGCTTACCCCTGCAGAGGCGCATTGGCTGTCCAAGACCATCCGACATAACCTCGAGAGTGAACATGACCGCATGAACTCCGAAGTGGAGAAGGAGTTGGCTGTACGTTTTAGTTTGCAATGGCTTTAGACGATTGCTGAACTTTTCTTCTGCAGGCTCTGTGCCCACCACGGAACGTCCGAAACTTCAGGGTTCTGGTAGTGAAAGACGCTCGCGAGGGGAGGAAACAGTCACACCGGGTAGCGCAGCTTACCGTTTGGGATGTTACTTCTCTGGCATTGTCGGAAGGTGGTAAACCCGGATCTTTCGAAGTCGGCCAACGATACATGGTAGGTTCTATGGCAATGCAATGCTTTAACCTGAGCTAACTTTCACCTCTCCGTTGCTGAAGGTCTCGAACTTGTACCCTGCACAACCGAGTGCTTGGATGAAGAACGAGCCTGGTGCAGAGATTTACATGACTGCTAGAAAGGGGAGCCAGTGGCTTAGGATGCGACATTGATTGACGTGGGCCACATTCTGTTTTCGACTCGTGGACGCAACGTGTGTGCACTCGGAAGAATCCAACGGAAGTAAATGCAGCAACAACTTTTCACTCTAATTGTACGCTATAGCTATGTACTATTAACACTATTCGATCCTGATGATAGAGGCAGAGTGAGGGAGTTACAGGTACCAGGCATGGATCTGGTCATGCACGAGGAAGAGAGGTTAAAAATGGCTTAGAAGTAACATGTTTGGTGTGATGATGTTAGCCATCCCCGATAGTGGGTGAGTTGTGATGCGAATCCAGTATGCTGCGAGGCGGGGTGTTGACACTGTTGAGGACGAAAATGGACCTGGGTTATCGATGTGATACGTGGAGAGTGTGCAGTGTATGGTTGTGATCATAGGGGTGGGTAGGAGTTGATGGCTCGGAACTGGAAACCTAGAAACGAAACACGGGTCTGTCATTACCGTTTAACACGGTAAATGAAGACACGAGGAGAACGAAGAATGGAAGGGGTGGGGAGAAGGAAAAGGAAGCGGGCCCCTTGACCACTCGCGTAACATGGGGAAAGCGAGGTGACAAGGTAGAGGTAATGAACGGTCATAGCAAAGAAAGGTAATGATTTCGTGATAAAGAAATGGGGTTGTAATACTAGTAGTCGTAATTCGTGGCTTGGTATAAAAAGTGGGGGTTATATGTATGTAGTGATAACGAAAGCAAAGGACGATGATAATAAAATGCAGGGGTCATAGCGAGTCGTAAAGGAATAGGGCATATAGTATCGTACAACAAACAGGGGAATAAACGATGCAGATGGACACGATGCAATGCGGATAGACATAAACGAAATAGAACAAAACATGAAAGAGAAGAAGATGGATGTACAGAGTCCAGAGAGAATGCCGTGCGTCAAATAAGGAAGGAAAGGTGATATCGTGAAATGGGGTGAACAGAAGTCTGATTGTAGCGGGAAAGTGTGTGTATGCGTGCTGCGATGGAAGAAAAAAGAGACGAATGCCTAAAGGTGAAGATGCAGAATAACCCAAAATAAGGTGTGTTGACCAGTGCAACTGTCGAAATTTGATCCAGCAAGAATGTCGTGAAAAGGTCGTAAAGTGCGATAAAACGCAATGCAAACATGCGAAGGGGAAAGGGATGGAATAGAGTGGAAGATGGCCAGAGAACGGAACGATTTGGACAATTCACCGATTCGACCTGGGCTTCGTCATCCGTTCAAAGTGCAAGGTCCAGCAACAAGTTGGTGAGATGCCCGGGATCTTGGGGCCAGTGTACGGAGTTAGCCCCTTGAAGATCCTCTCGCCTCTCAGCAAGTCGACTCTACAAATTCCCTTCATCTTGGTCACCGGAGGTAGTTGGGGGCCATCCTCGCATCGCTGGTCAAACGCCCTCTGGCAGCGATCGATGTATTCCGGCCCCCATGCTACAATCTCCGATTGCGACAGAGGAATCGCGTAGGTGTCATAGATCGCCCGGAAGACATCGATGCACCTTATACCGTGAGGGTTCCGCACGTAGATTGGCCACTGAGCGAGCGTTTGGTTGATGATGATCATATCAGTCATAAAGGCGTGAGGGGATACCAATTGCGTCTCCTCATCCCTCGACATGGGCGACAACCTCGTCTCTCCATACCGCATCACCTTGACTTCATATCCCACTAGCCGAGGATCGAAGGCGGCGTCGAAGAAGAGAGCAGGGTATGGCTTGTGGTTGCGCATCTCAAAGTCGACGAGGGGCCAGCTTAGCGCGATGGATTCGTCTTTCATAGGCACTTCCTTGAAGCAAGCCTTGACGTAGTTGGCCTTGTTGATGGGCGGGGTAGTCGAGAAGCTGTGGTTCCGGGCGCGACGAAGGTGTTCGGGCTGAAGTTGGTGATAGCGTGGGTCGGATGGATAGGGAGGCATGGGCTGCTGTTGCATAGGATACGTATGGCTTCGTCGTGCAGATGGCTTCTGATGGTGAGAACGGTACTGTTCCGTGTCTGCGATGGACATGGTGAGTGCCATCAGGCAAACTCTCAATCACATCTCTACCCACCAGAGTAATAAGCGGCAGCTGCCGACTCGTGTCGCTTGAGGTAAGATCCATCCTTGTACGAAGAGGCTGACCATCGCACCAACAATCAGCTAAAGCGGAATGAGACAATCAAGGAGCGAGAAGACTCACCAAAGTCCTGCGACGAGGGCGTTGGCAGACGCGATTTGGGTGGAGAAGCGCCTTTCAAACAGGATTTCAGCGGACCTGCGATAGACAGAAGAGACGCTCTTCTAGCTCGACGCCAAACAAGCTCCCATAGAGGCCACTTACGGGGTTCGGGCTTCGCTTGTGCCTGCGACGCCCGTTCCAACTCCTCCAATCGCTGCCGGGCCTCCCTCTTCTCCTGTTCAATCTCCAGACTCGCCTTAGATGGGACTGATTCCAGACGATGATCAGAGCGATATCGAAGCGATTCAGCGGATACACGCACCGAGAGTTACTGTCGTCTTTGCCATGATGGAACTCGAGCGTGTTATGGTGCGGGGTGGCTTGTAAATGACTGGCGCGCGTGCGCGTCCGGCGTCTCAATACTCGGGCATCCTTATCAAAAGCTATAGCGTTAACGGAACGTACCTTCGTCATCATCGGGTTTCCTGGACATGGATTGGCTCCGCTGTCTGGAATGAACAGCGTCGGAGGAGGGTCGTGCGTTGCTGCGCGACCGGTCTGAGGATCGGAAACGGTTGAAAAAGGACGTAGATGACTTTGTCGGTTTCTGAGGGTATTCGTAGTCGAAAGGCACATGCGTACGGAGTTGAGGACTCAGTGGCAGCTCGACACTAGAGAGTTTGGGAGTCGAGGGCCTGTCTGAGGACTTCCACTTGAACATTTTTGGGGAATGGTAGTGGTGTGTGAGGGAAGAGAAGAAAAGGCGCTGAGAGCTATGGCAGATGGGTTTAAGACTGCCGGAGGAAGTCAGGGCCTCAATGAAGCCACGAGGATTTGGAGGCAGTCGACTACCTGGCTTTGATCACAATGTCTTGTTAGTCCGGTCCTAATGAATATTGGTTTTCGGTTACCTGATGATTGATCGCCTGTCTACAAGTCTGTTGAAGACTCTTTGGCGTCCGCGATATCCTGTGAGCCCCAGGTCCTTGTTGGGGCGAACGGGCAGGAGGCAAGCCAGTTCGTTCTACACGAGGCAGATCCAAGACCAATCAGTCTCTTTCCTCCCCATCACATGGCCTTCGAAATTCTGGCTCCGACATCTGGGGTCCTTATTGCCACTATAGATCGCTCGTGTTCAATCCTCGAGTAATGACGGAATTAGAACGCATTATTAGCTATATGTACTAGCAAAGATGGGATACGGATATCAAAGACAGCTCGCGGACGGTACAACCGGTCCCGTCATCAAAGACCACACGAAACTCTAGATAATCTATGCAGACAAGCCGTAATGTCTGAAGACCTCCGCTGGGTTGGAGACGTCGTCGTGTCCCATGCAAACGACAGTGGGCTTATTACCCGAGTTGATACCAAAGAGTCGCGTCGCGACGCGCTTAACGGCGTCTTGGTCGACCTGGTCGATTTTGGCTGTCATTTCAGTGACAGGGACCTTTCGTCCGTGTACAAGGATCTGCGGACGGGTTACTATTGGTGTCAGAGGAGAAATAGCAACAACATACCTGGCGACCCAAGTCCTCCACCTCCACGACTCTACTCTCCAACGCCATCATCAGACTCGACTTGAGCTGATTCTTCGCCCGTTGAAGTTCCTGCTTGGGTACAGCGGTGTACACAAGCAGACTCAACTGGTTGATCAGGTGAGGAAGAATCTGACTTGAGGTGTTTCCTCCCTGTTGACCATTCGCAGCTGGAACGAACGAAGCGAACAACCCAAACAACGACGAATCGATGTAGATGTGGTGGAACGAAGCGCAATGGTCAACTTGAGGGTAGTGGTTCAGGATGTGAGAGTAGAGCCGCGAGTACATTCCCTTCCCTGGACCACCAGCGGAGAAGCTTCCACCGCCACCGAGCAGGACTTGCAGCGTCGCAAGTGTGTAAATGTCGTCATCGTGAATGCCGACACCCTCGTATGCGATGTAGACGTGGTTGAATTCTGCGTTGGGGTCGTGGATGAACCTGTGTCCTCCGGTGTATGTCGATGTCGGGCTCTTCGGTGATAACGAAGGTATACTCGGGAGAGCGGGGTTGGGGAAGAGGTAAGAAGCAGCACGGGTAAGAGTTTTGCCTATGGACGACCCGCTTGGTGAGAGTAGATGCGGTGGGACGCTTTGTGAAGGCTGGGAACTTGTTCGTGGTGCTGAGGGCTGTGTTGGTGCTTTGAGACCCGAGAAATACTTGTCGGCGAGTTCGACGAGTTCTTCGTGACGCATACCAGCACCTGCGATGACCATTCTGTCTGGCGTGTACCATTTCCGCATCGTATCGCGCAAAAGGACCTCATTCATCGCTGAAATGTGCTCCTCTGGGCATAAAAGAGGGTTGCCCAATCCTCCTTTACCATAAGCGACGTTGTGGAGGATTTCTGGGAGGATCAACTCTGGCTTGGCTGTGAATTCGCGGATTTCGTAGGCCGTTGCGTCTTGCTGAGCGAGGATCTCTTCGGGTGCGAAAGCAGGGTTTTGAATAGTGTCTGCTATCAGCTCGAGAGCCAGCGGCGTTCCTTTGTGGAAGTGGGAGGACTGGTACATCATAGTTTCTCTCGACGACGAGGCCATTATCTGACTGCCAAGCGAAGAGATTGCAGCTGCCATGTCCTCGTCGGACCTGTTCTTGGTACTCTGTATTTGCTGTGAGTGGTCTGTGCGGTACATACAGCAGAAACACGCACTTTGAATGCCATTCTGTCCAAGAAATAACTGGCCCCGGTGGTGTCTGGCGTCTCATAGCGAGCGCCTGCGTCGATGTAGAGGCCGACCGAGGAGAAATGGCCAGGCGTCGTGTCCGTCGCGACACGCAGTTTGTTGGGAAGCGTCGTTATCTGGACATTGGACGACGGTTGGTGCGTCGAATAACGGCGTCTGGACGCTGCTCGTGCAGGACGGAGCAGACAGCTGGCCTTGCGCATCGTTGCTTTGGGTCAACCCGAAGTGCCGTCAGCGAAAACATCAGTCACCGGCCGAGTCATAACGCGGGAACGAATTGCTATCTGATGAAAAGAATATAACGTCTCCATAGCTAAGTGGTATAGCGTGCGATTGCAACTAAATGACTGTTATCGCGAGGTCCCGTGTTCGAACCACGGTGGGGACTTCTTTTGGCCGGTGGTCTATTTTTTCCCTTCGGGGCCACTAAAACGACAATCAGATGCTTTTTACCGCAGGTCATGTTGTCATCGTTGATCCGCGCTTAGTTTGCCCGCGTCATACGGATTAGAAAGGGCTCACTGACATAATTCTCTTTTAGTCGTCGCCTACTCGAGGCATATGCCTGAGCCTTCTTCTTTTTCGCCCACCATTCGCTGCCGCCCATAGTAAACATTTCGACCCTCAACGTCGTCGTTGTCCCCACACAATGTTGCTCAACCTCACCTCGGCAGCCCCATACCTTCAAAAGCAAGGCATCTGGGGCCCAGTAACGGCGACCTTGGACTGGTGCGAAGTATGTCATCTCGCTTTGAAAACTTGCGACGTCGAGGTCTTCATTGACGGCGGTGTGTCCAGGTCAACCACCAGTTTTCGCCCTACATCGCCGAAATGGCTAACACTATCTCGAACCTCTTCACCGTCGCGATTGCCCTGGTCGGCTACCAGCAGGCCATAGCCCAACAACTCCCCCTGCGATACGGCCTGGGTTATCTGGTGTGCTCCGTTTTTGTCCTGGCGACGCCTCGTGCATTTGTACCAACCTTCCGCGTGTGTGCTTCAGGGTGTAGCCCTCGTTGGGATCGGCAGCTTTTTCTTTCATGCGACCCTTCAATACCATGCTCAGCTTGCAGATGAACTCCCAATGATCTATGTCGGCTCGATGTCTTTGTGGATGCTCTTTGATAGCAAGCCTGGCTTTGGTCTGAAGTCGTCCAGAACCAGGTTTTTGCTTGCGGCAGCCTTGCTGCTCGACGTCCTGTTTACCTGGAGCTAGTAGGTCGCCTGTCTTGTCCATACCCGGCGTTCTCGGACTAACACGGCACCCGCTTCAGCATCGTGTATCGAAACCCTATCTATCATCAGTTTGTCTTTGGGACGATGGTCGTATCCACCGCCATTCGAATCACCTACATCTTGCGCTACTCGGACGACGCCCCGCGAATCCCTGCAAAGAAAAAGGAAACCATTGGCACGCTGTTTACCATCGGAGCTGTCCTCTTCGCCACAGGTTTCTTACTATGGAATCTCGACAACGGCTTTTGCCATCGCCTCACTCAATGGAAGCTACGACTTGGGTGGCCTCAGGCCTTTGCTCTCGAAGGCCAGTTGTCCTTATGACCTCTTCATATCACCTTGCTGAGCTTAGATTGCTATCTAGGTCATTCCTGGTGGCACATATTGACGGTTGGTACAGCGACATCATTTCTACTGCCTCATATTGACATCTTGGGCAGGGTGCCGGTACCTACTACATGTTTAGTGGGATTCAATGTACGTGGTTCCATCGCTTGCTCTTTTGACGAGGCTAACCCTTTCCCCTGCAGATGTGTAAGTTTAGCCGGCCCCAGCGTCTTCTACACTGACACCCTTTTCAGGACCCTTTGCACGAAGGACCGTCCGGAGAATTATCAAGTCTTTTTCCGATATGGTCTTCCCCATCTCGGCAGAGTGGATGAGGTAAAGAAGACAGATTAACTGTTCCGTACAGAAATTAGAAAATGTTGTATTATATCCTGGTGTACTGCTAAATACCGATAGAGTGGGGGTTTTTCCGTCTAGGGACTATCTATGATTCTAGTGGTTCTCCAACAGACCATTTAGCAAACTCCAAAACTTCGACCGCACCAGCGTCACCTTCACTGCCTACAATTCCCTGCTGGACAGACCAAGCCTGCAGAGCTTCACCAACTGGTCGACTGTTGAGCTCTCCTGGAAGCATCATGAAAGGCTGGCTGTAGAGGGCCGTCTCTTCGCTGCCCTTTATGGACTGAGTGGGGAATCCGACGATCTGGCGAGCAAGTGCTCGTTCGAGGGATGCCAATTTTTCAGTGGTTTCTTGGGTGAAACCCTTTGGTGAGGGATATTTCAGACCCAACAGTGCCAGGGTTCCGATTCGTCCTTCCGTTGGTTGGTGAATAGTGCCGTGAACGTATTGGCCGAGTCGAAGTGCCTGAGCTGCGTCTGCGGCTGGTGGCTCTGCGGCGACGACGAGTGCTCTCCTGAGGGTGATGTTTTCTCCGACCTTGGCAATGGTGTCGCGAATCGTGGTTGCAACCGTTCCCGAAGGGGCTGAAGTCGGGTCTGACCGCGACACGAGCGGGGCCTCTTGCAAGAACTCTAGCGAAAGGTTCTGGAAGACCGATGCACCTGGCTCTGCAACCACAGCAGCCGTATGGGCGATATCGCCCGCCAACCTCCCGAACAGCTCGTTCCTCCCGACGAAATCCGTCTCGCAGTTGAGCTCAATCATGGCTGCCCGAATTCCACGCTGTAGCCCGGAAGCGGTGAAGTTGGAGAGGATGGAGACACTGACGAGGCCTTCGTTGGTGGTTCTGCCTCCTACTTTAGCGGCCTTTTTGGCGCCGGTGGTTTCGAGGTCTTTTGCCAGCCATTGGAGAGCTGCTTCGATGTCGTTGTTCGACGCGCTGAGTGCTTCTCGGGCTTTGACGATGGAGACTTCGGTGCGCTTCCTGAGCTCAGCGACGAGCTTCAAGGAAGGTTTCTCCGGTGCAGTCGAGTAGAGGCGCAGGCACCGCGAGGGCAGCGTGGGTCGGAGAGTTCGCAACATCGTCCAATGCGAAAAGAGACGCGCGAGACACCGGGACAGTCGCGAACTTTTTTGCGCTCTCTACGTCACACGCTCGGCATCAATTTCAATTTGATGGCGACACTGGGTTTTTTCTTGTCCTCTCTGCTTTTTGACGCTCGTCGACCATGGCCGAATTCAAAGTCCCGCAAACTATCCCTCAAGACCTTCTTTTGATTCAAGAGATTGTTGGACCTGTTGAAAAACCTGCTGTAGTCGAACCACGGAAGGAGGAAGAGTCTTCGAGCAGGGATTCGGATTCAGATGATGATATCTCGAGTTCGGGGGCGTCTTCGTCAGAGGCTGAGGATGGCAATCAGAGCGAGGAAGAAGTTGCGAAAGGATTAGTGGCTGTGGGGGATGATTCTGAACCTGCCAGTGCCAAAGAGTCCGCGTAGGCCCGTTTTATCACTCTTCAGATGGCTTTTGCTAACTGGACTAGGTCAGAACCATCAGACTCCTCCTCCGAGTCCAGTTCCGATTCAGAGTCTGAATCGGACGGAAAAGAAGTCGGGAAAGACTCTAAAGAACCTCTGGAGGATCTAGACGACGAAGACCCCGTCCCAAGTACAGCGACTGGCTCCTACTTTCATACCAAAAACGAAATTGTCGATGCGGATGTTACGGTTCCCGAGATCGACGAAGTAGGGCCGGATGAGAGGTTGGAAAAGGTCGGGGTGGTGATGAGCATTGTCAACCAGATTGCAATTGTACGCGGTCTGCCCTCTGAGCAACTGAACAAAGGTGCTCAGACAGCGCTTGACTCTGAGACGTTGCTCGTTTTTGACGATAGGAAGGTTATGGGTTATGTGCGTGGTTCCTCCCCTCCCTGTAGGCGAACACCTTTCTGAACCAAGATCCCCCGTTTCAGATAGATATACGAAACGTTCGGACCTACATCTCAACCCCTCTATCAAGTCAAGTTCAACAGCAAGTACCCACTAAATCCGGAGCGGGTGAAGGTGGATAGGGAGGTCTTCGCCGTTCCTGACAAGACCAACTTTGTCTTCGTGGAGAAGATTAAAGCTTTCAAGGGAAGTGACGCGAGTAATGTGTACGACGAAGAACCGGCGGACGACGAGCTTGAGTTTTCGGATGATGAAGCCGAAGCTGCGTATCGAAGTCGGTTGAAGCGCAAGTGAGTCTTCATTTCATCCTGAGCCGTAGGGATTACTTATGGACGTGTATTTAGGCGTGCGGAATCACGTTCAAGGTCGATGGTTCCAGGCTCGAGAGAAGGGACGCCGAATCCATCTCATATGCGAGACCATCAATTGGTCGATGGAAATGCTTTCTCTGAGCATGGTCCTTACGACCTCAACTACTCGGAAGCTGGCCCATCTCGCCCTCGTCCAGCAGCTTACGACGACCCGTATGCCAACCCATACGATGCTGAAGGCGCGACGTCGCAATCCCAGCCTTGGAGCCACGCCAACGACGACCTTCGACCTATCCGAGGTCGAGGTAGGGGAAGAGGGAGAGGTCAATCTGGACGCGGGCACGGCCGAGGTGGGCATGGAAGGACACCATCCTTCAACAACCCACAACAGCAACAGTCATGGGAGCAGAATATGGGGCATGCCATGTCGGAACCATATGATCCCCATTCTGGGTTGACTATGCCTCAGCAGCCGCAGCAATTTACCGCACCGAATATGTACCCTTTCAATCCGGGTATGGGACCGCAACAGCATGGTGGTATGAACCCCGCTTGGACTGCTGGTGGAGGAGGGTATCCTCAGCCCAACCCGATGATGCAGCGTGGATTCGGATTTGACGTCTTCCAGCAGCAAGCTGCGATGGGTATGATGCCCTTTGTGCAGCCCCATATCAACCCGAGGTTTGCTGGAAGTTTCGCTGGTGGGTTCCCCGGGGCGTTCCAGCAGCAGCAACAGCAACAACCACCGAATGCGGAACATGGAGGCCAGCAGTATCCTCCACAGAATGGGGATAATACGCAGCAATGGCCTTCCCAGTAGGGCTCGGTGTAAAAAGTCCTGTAATGGGACATACATACTAGAATAGTGTAGATCAATGGGCACAATCTTATCTTGTGGTCGGAACGTCCGAAGCAAGAAACACTGTTACAATACCCAAAAACGATAGACTACTTGAGTTAGTGAGTGGAGGCTACCAATAAAACATCGACATTACAATACCATAGAGAGCTTGAAACTGTAAATAGCAGGCAAAAAAGGGGGAATGAACGAAGATCGAAAGAATATCTTACAGAAAACAAGGATACCCATAAGTACAGAAGATACACACCCAAAGCAGACCGCAACAAATTTCGATTAGTCCTCGTTCCAGTCGCCATCAACCAGTCGAATTCTTCTTCTCGCAAGCCTCCTCTTCCAGTCCCTCATTTCGCCCTGCACACCCGTCTCCACAGCCATAGAAGAGATGCCCTTTCGCAACCACCGGACATCTCTGGCTCTGACCATGACGAGGTTGGGAAGATACGGCAGCATCCTCTCCAACACGGGCCAGAAACTCGCGTTGGGCCGAGGGATGGACAGTATTTGCAGCTCCAGGTGAGGTTCGGAGATCGAGAGTGTTGGCAGAGGCATCTCGAGGGAAAGATGTCTCAAGTTCGGCGCATCGTCGAGGAGGCTTTCTGGGGAAGGTCCGAGGCGCGTGGGCCAAGCCTTGGGCGTGAAGAGCAGAAGCGAGCGCAGGGTTTCTCCGTGAGTTGCAATAAAAGTCGAAACTAGCGAGTTAGGGAAGGGTAAGTCGTCGCAAGGTGTGAGCGTAAGTTTCTTTAGCACGGGTAGGGGCGAGTAGAGCAAGGCGAGCATTAGAGGAGAGGTGTGCATCGAGAGCATAGACAGCACGCGTAACTTGGGGAGATTCAAGGGTTGGAAGTCGTCCATCGGGGGCAATACCACCGGGTGCAGGGGGTAGTCGTTATCCAAGGGTTCGAGACCCTGACCAATGATTTCGACGTGCTCGAGGTTGGGGCAGCATTGGAAGAGTCGGACAAAGGGGTCATTGTGAGGCGTGGGGGATTGAGGTGCCGTATAGGACAGTCCCCCGATGTACCGAAGGTTGGCAGCCCCATCTCGCTCGGCCAGCGAGTAGAGCGCTCTTCGACTGAGAATGAAGGAGGGGTTGATGTAGAGGCTTGAGAGGCAGGGAGTGAGGGGAAATAGGCTCGTTAGGATAGAGTCTAGTTGGAGGGCTTGACTTCGGCTTTCGAAGATTAGGTTGGAAAGGTCAAGCGATTGCACCCATCGACCCGGTGTCGAGTACGGTATCCGTCGAATGGAATCCCATTTCTGATCAGCTGCATGGAGTTTGTCGTAGAATTTCTGAAGTGAAGACAACTCTGCGATACGAACATGCGCGTATATCAGAGGAAGCGCGATTTCCTAAATGACTGGAGTGGTAAATGAGGTGGAAACAGTTGAAGAAAGAGTCTTCGCGCACCCTGAATGTCTTGCATACGAGGAGAAGTGACCATCCCCATGCCTTGAACTCGAATGAGTGTTCTTGAGCGAGACTATGGCCAAGGATTTCAATCCATAGTTCTGCTGGAATGTGCTTTGCTGGTTTTGGAACTGGGAGTAATGGGAGCAGCAGGAGCTCTCCTGGTGTTCTTGCCAAAGGTCGGGGACGCAGAAGGACTGTCTCCAGAGACATTCACAAGGACAGGGAAATGTGGTTGTATACGTTGAATGTTCAGAGACTCGAGGACATTTTGGGGAGAAAGAGGATGTTGTGGGTCCCAAAGAATGCGTCAGAGGCGTGTGACATGATCCCGTCAATTGTGATTGACGTCTTAGCGCTTGCCAAGAGAATGCCCGTCTCTTCCCCAAAGCTGAATCTGGTCATACAGTAAACCTTCCAATCGACTCGAATGCTGCTGAAGAACTGTGCGATCCTGGATACAATCTTCTACAGATCGATATTATAGTTACGACAATGTCGATATAATGTCTCGAATATGAGGGTACGAACATGTGCAAGCTCAGGGAGATGTCGACCAAGCATTGCTGGTGAACGGAAACTCAACAATCCTCAATAGCAGCAGCCATAAGTAGTGTGTCGGTCAACACACATAGTAGTCAACATTGTATACTTTTAACCCCGCTTCTCACAATGGAATGCCGTGAGAGGCTCTCTGTCCGGGAACATTACCATGCCTCCCCCGTCATCAAGTTCGATCCTGCACCTGAACACGCTTCCTGAGCCATTTTTCGTGGTACAGTTAGGCCCTAAAGATGTAATTCCTGTCACGATCCAGGATGCACTCTGCAAACCAAGCGACCGATTCCTGTCTGTAACGAGGACGCCCGAAGAAGTCTCCATCGTTGGAGAAGAGTACGACGGGATGCCAGAACAATTCCGTAGCCACTCAACCTGGACATGCATTAAGATCAAGGGCCCCATGGAACATGGTACGCGCCTGCTTCTGACCAGAACCGGAGTAGATAAATATGGATCTGCGAATATTCTTAGGGTTGGTCGGTGTGATGGCTGCCTTTACTGCACCTCTGAAGGAGGCAAAGGTCCCTGTATTTGCCATTTCTACATGGTACCGATTTTTTCTCCTGCATGAAGGAATAAGGGAATGTTGAAATGCTTGTAGGAACACAGACTTCGTTTTGGTGCCTACTGCACAGGTCACCAGCGCCGTACAGGCCCTCGTTCAGGATGGTTGGGTATTTGAAGCAGAAAATTAGTAGAGAATATCCACAGTAGTCTACATAGGCTCGCGTAAACCAGTTGAACGACATAGACCTGTCATTTGTCTGAGAGACCCGAGGATATTCATCGCAACTTGGACCGAGCGCGCCACTTGCCAATTTTGTTCTTCTCCCTTCCCTCCAAGCCAAACTTTTTGCCGTCAGTCCCCTAGGCTTCCTACCTGCTCACATCGCGTTCAACGAGTCAGTGCTACGCTCTAGACACTGCACAGTCGAAAACGGGAAAAAATCTTGTCGTAGTGATACTTTCTAGTGTCGAGCGCGACCATTTCAATTCGCGACACGACGCTCGAAACCCGCGACAAAGCAATGGACGGACCGTCGTCCTCTTCGGACCTAGCACCTGCGAAACGTCAACTTCCGTCGAGAACGAGGCGTGCGACGGCGGGAGTGGTGGGCTCTGAGGTTGATAAACAGATTCTGGAGGCTTACAAGTACAAGGGTGAGTGCAGACGCGATTCTCGGTGGAGGAATGGATAGTCCGGCTAACCACCGTACCCCCTCACCCATTTGGTTGCAGATTCGGCCCAACTTCTACCCCCCGCGAACCCTTTTCTTCTGAGCACAAACTCTGCTGTGGCCGAGTCATCCAAGGAGGAAGGCCGTCTCGTCAACACAGTCGTCAATGAACAGTACTTTCGCCGGCCAGAGGTCATCAAGGCATACAGAGAACAGTCCCTGATTCAGACACCTGGGGTCGTCAAGCTAGAGGCTCCTGAATCAGGGACGAGGTTGCGAGTCAGAGATTACGACAAGGTAAGTGGACTAGAGGCTCTCTGTGCATGCCCGTCTAATGAGACTGACATTGGTTTCCCTCCAACAGGACAATGTATCCAGCGGAGACGACGCCTACATAAAACGGCACAAGAAGTATGTTGCGTTTGAAAAGCGAATGCGGTTAAGGGAGAAGGAGAAGCTGCAATATGAACACCACAAATTGAAGGAACGGATAGAGCAGCTCCGTTCCATGGATAGCTCCGCCTTCTTGGGTCTTCCGGCACACTACTTTAGCACTCCTCCCAACACGGCAGCACTCAATAACCTCACAAAAGATGGCATTCATGGCAATCCAGCTGCGATTCATGAGGGAGAGCGGCGTCGAGCAGAGTTTATTGAAGCGGCGAATGCACTCGACGAGCGGTACCGGACATTGCTACCCCCAGAGCGGGTGACAAAGAAGAGCGCTCGCCCTCCAGAAGATATTCCGATACCCGAACCACCAGCGGAAGAGCAAACTTCCTCACCAGCTCCGACGGAGCCACTCAAACTCAAACTGCCCAAAGCTGGGTCATCCTCCTCCGCCTCGACGCGTTCTCCATCCTACGTTCAGCCAACTAGTGCCCCTCCGGCTGCCAAGAAGCAAAAGCTCAACAGTGGGGCCAAGGAGCCCAGGGAGTCCAAAGAGCCTTCAGCCCCGCGACAGCGAAAACAATCGAACTTCGTCCCCGGCTTCCAGCCTCCACTGCCTGCTGTTCACCCAAGTCATACGGACGTACCTATCGACCCTGTCATTCAAGAGCCCAAGCATGAGGTTTCCGAGCGTATATCAAATCTCAGAACGCCCTTGCCAGAAGCTCGAATCCTTTCACTTCCGCAGCCAACTGCTCCGACACCGCCCCCACCTCGTCCAACCTCCCCACCACCTCCCGTTCCAGACCAAGAGCAACTGGGAAATATTCATATTCAAACTCAACCAGGGCCTCGACCAATGTCGTATCCGGAATATACAGAAGGGGAGTCAATTTCGACCGCCAGGCCTGTTAAACGGGCCAAAAAGACCAAGGCATCGCGTAATTCGATGTCCCGTGCACCTTCCTTGCCCCGCATAGAAGCCATCGACTCGGAAGGGAACCACGTAGCCCCCAGCGCGGCTGAAACTCAAGAGCCTCCTGTAACCCAACACGAACACGAGCATGGACGTGAACCTCACCGTGACAGCCCTGCCGTGTCCACCTCTGTCCCCGTCTCTGCCCCCAAATCCGCCAGAACACGACCCAAAGCCAAGCAGCGCGACTGTATCCTCGTCCAGACTGCCCGTTTAAAGGTCAGCTTGAGGGAGAAACCTCAACGCAGTGTGATGGCGTTCGGTGCCAAATTGCCTCTTACCTTCAAGGACGACTACGAGTATGCTCTGCCTGGATATGTCTTTGAGAAGAAGTACCCTAGGACGTTTATGGAGCCTGATGGGGAGTCGGCGGATGAGGAGGAGGAAGTGGACCAGTTGGTGGAGAGCAAGCAACCATCGGAAGCAGGTGATGTGGTGCGGATGGTAGGGACTGAGCCGCCAGATTTACGAGTCGTACACGGTAACGAAGGGGGTGAGTATGAGGACATGCAAGAAGAGGTCCATACTTCACGACCGCCTTCACCTCCGGCACCTTCTCCTTCACCCTCCCTTACCGAATTGAAGGACGTCGAGAGTGGATCCGAAGCACACAGGATGGAGCAGTAAGGCCTTAGTTATTAACTTTATCCAAGTATATTAAGCCAAGCCAGTAGTAATATATTCTAAGAGACAGACTCTATTGCTTACGTTGAGAGTTCTCTGCGATACCTCCAAGGAGAGTAGATACGCGACCTTTGTAGGATGGAGGGACGCCTCTGTTGTTTCCGACGACAAGTTGCACCTGGCTGGCAATAGGAAGTTTGTCGAAGGGGGTACTGTAGGCCTTCGGGTCGGCTTGGAGGTAAATGGAGTAATCGCCCTTGCGTCGAATATCCGACTGGATGTCTTGTTGACGAGACCTAAACGGTGGAAGGATCTCGCTCAGGTCCTTGGAAATATCGCTCTCGGGACCAAGGTGAGAGGGTGATTCGACTTCGGTTGGGAGGTGAGACAAGTCCCTGCCTCCCTTGAACTTGTCAAAGATGTCCGCGCCTCTCTGGGAAGATTGCTGTGGACGTTTCTCCGGAGCAGACGATTTTCTGTCACCTTTTCGTCGAGGCTTGCCAGCAGACTTGTCGTCGGATTTTCTGGGTCCCGGCCCCTCGGTGTCGATACTCCGCAATCGAGCACGGACTTGTTGCAGTCGCTCTTCGAGTGAGCGTTGAGGTTGTGCGTCCCCGGTTGTCACAGTAGGCTTTGGTGAGGCCGACGGAGACTTCTTGACTGTCGTTTGGTTTTGCTCGCGGGCTAGACGCTCGGCTCGTCGGCGTGCAACAATTTCTTTGACACGGGCTCGCTGTTCCTCAGGAGTTTGTGTGGAGCTCCCTCCTTCGTTCTTAGAAACAGAGGGTCCATCTCAAGTGCAGAACTGGTTTTCAGTTACGCGAAAGAAGGAAGGGTTTTGAAGTGTAACTCACTGGTTTCAACTTGTTGGGCAGCCGTAGCATAAAAGCGCTGAGGCCAGATGGCCTGTGGTCTCAGGGCACGGCGGCAAAGTGGGTGCATCGTCGACGTCGACAGCACCGGAGGGCGAGCTCGTTGTCCAAATATTCTCGCGCCCCGGTCGCGGAGACGCTGGCAAACCGTGTTTGCTCGTGTTGTTCCGAGTCCGAAAATGGAAGGATGTCCGGAGCGGTCGTCATCAGGGCTTGCCGCTCACCGCGAGTTGGCCTTGAGGTTGTTCTTCGTTTCTGTCCGACGGCGAGCAAGCAAGGATGAACCCTATCCTTGGTCGTATCGCTGTTGGATTTGTGCTATGTCTGATTTCCTTCATCGCGTATACGTCGCAGATATTCGTGATTTGGCCATGGTATGGACGAGAGTGGTCGATTGAGCTTCTGCAATTGCTGGTGCCATTCAAGTGAGTAAGATTATAGCTTAGAGGTTCCCATTTTCTCAACTCTGTTTCTGCAGTATCTTGGTCGCAATATTGTTCTACAACTATTATCTCTGTGTCACGACGGACCCCGGTACTGTTCCTCCTGGATGGGTGAGTCGCATCGCCTCTAGGATTGCAATTGGGGCTGACTATGGTTCAGAAACCAGATACCCACAGCGACGGTTACGAAGTGAAGAAACTCACTGGGGAGCCCAGATACTGTCGGATGTGTCAGTGCTATAAACCACCTAGGACACACCATTGTCGGGACTGCAATCGGTGAGTTCACTGCGATCCTGAACCCAGCTTGGAACTGACATTTCTGCAGTTGCGTTCTTCGAATGGGTGCGCCTCAACGATCCCCTATGCTGCCTTTAAAACTAATTCTCGCTCAGACCACCACTGCCCTTGGATAAACAACTGCGTTGGGCATCATAACTATTCGCACTTCCTCCGGTTCCTCTTCTACGTCGATGTTGCATGCTCCTACCACCTGGCGATGGTCGGCAAGCGGACTCTGGATGCTATGAGCGGTAACTACTTCTGGGCAAGTGTTCATGTACTCACTGGGACGTGATTGAAACTAACCAGTGCACGAATAGATTGAGCCTACAGCAACAGAACTCGTTATCACCATCATGAATTTCGTAGCCTGTGTGCCCGTCCTGCTCGCCGTTGGGGGATTTAGGTGCGATGATTGGGTTTATCTTTCATATCCTGTTGCTGACCCGTCTGTAGTATCTACCACCTCTTCAATTTGCTCGGTAACTCGACTACAATCGAAGGGTTTGAGAAGGATAAAGTTGCCACCATGATTCGCAAGGGTCAGATACAAGAGGTAGGCCCTTAACAACTCTGCCGAGCAGCGACTGACCTCGTCTTTAGGTTAAATTCCCCTATGATCTGGGCCGAATGCGTAATATCAAAGCGGTCTTGGGCGACAACCCACTTTTCTGGTGCTGGCCGCAACGCATGCCAGGAAACGGGTTGAAGTTTGAACTGGCTCATCACGCCGGTAAGTGGGACACGCTGAACGACAGAAGACGAGGAAGAGAAGAAGTATAAACACACCTCCCGTAAGTCATTACTTTGCGCCTCTGAAGCCATTGACTGAATTAAGGCTTTCCCGAAGATCTTTCCCCTTCCTATTTCTTGCTTCGCCTTTCGTTGCTGACGCAAATGTTCACAGACGAACATCAAGTCTGGCCGCCTCGGGATCCAGATTCCGTTGGACGTCCCAAAATCGATCTCTCCGCTTCGCCTTTCACTTACGGAAACGATACCCTCAATCCCGAACTTCAACCTACCAATTTGCGACGCCGTTCTTTCAACGGTCGAGGGCCTCCCGCACACGCACTGCCTCCATACCACCCAGACTATCAGGAAGGATACTTCGTCGGTGAGGATGGAAGTTGGGATGAGAGCGACGAGGTGTGTAGTGAAGGCGATGTCCCGGACGGGAGAGTGCGGGTTCGTCGTGGCTCCGAAGGGTACGAGGTCAAGCCGCAGTCCAGAGAGGATATGCTACGGAGGTACATCGAGGAGCTTGGGGAGGATCCATATCGTTATAATCGCTACGAACCAGAGCCATTCACAGAATCTGAGGAAGAATCGGACGACGATAATATTCCTCTAGCACGGGTTGCTGCTACGGACAAGAATGTATGAACAATTTAGGATACCAGTACAGTAATATTACAGGGCAATAATAGGGTAATAAATGCAATGCGCTATATACATGGTGTCGACAGCAAGTCCAAGAATTGCCAGTGATAGCAGAATCTATGCTTAAAACGAGATTTGCTTTAGGTGCTTGTTGCAATAGGGACAGAAGACGCATAGTTTATGATGGCCTGGGTCTTCTGTGTAATGGGTTCCGTCATCCTGTCCAGTTCCGCCTTAACAAGATCGGTGGTGTCCTTGGTCGAGTCGACGAGTGACTGCAAAATTGGCTTGATCTCATCCGTGATGCGGTCGAGCAAGATTTGTTTGATTTCAGGACCAATGTCCTCGAGGGTGATGGGGCGTACACGGCGACGTTTCGGAGGAGCTGGCTCAGATTCTGCTTCTGGCTGAGGCTCTGGCTCCGGCTTGGGTTCCTGTGCAGCAGCAGCTTTTTCTCGGATTTCTTTTGCCAGTTGGGCGATGAGCCGGGATTTCTCCTCCTGATCAGCTTCTAGCTTTTTTAACCGTTTTTCTTCCTGTTAAGAGTGTGAGCAAATGCCCTCGAGGATTGAATACGAAAAAAGCTTTACCTCCTCGTTAGATTCCTCCAACTCGATCCTCTCCTTCCTAACCTTCTCTAGATGCTGCTCCATAGCATGTATTCGCTCGCACATCGTTTTCGCAACCTGAACTTGGTCTTGCAACTTTGTGTCAAATCGTCCTAGCGTTTCGCTATGCCCGTTAATCGCCACGTTAATTTTACCAAGTTCCTTCTGCTCCCGTTTGGCGATAATCTCCTGTTTGAAGTCTTCGAACTTGGCGTCGAACTCGGCAAAGGAGAAATCGGTGTATACACCCAAGGCGGCATTGTCGTGGAGCTCTTGGAGTTGTCGGTTCAGCCTTTCAATACGGTTCTGCACAGACTCCCATGTTTCTCGAAGATCTTGTTCTTTGGCGATGACACTTTCTGCAGTTACGGGAGCGGTAGGGGCCTCCGCTTTGGTTGTACCGCCGTCTGTGGATTGTGCGACCGGCTGAGAATGCGAAGGCTCCTCTCGCTCTTCAAGAGGAAGTAGTGGCGCAAGTCTCGCAGGTAGATTGAGGGCCCTGATCCAGTTCTTCAACTCCACAGTATACCCAAGGACCTTTTGTTTGTCGGCCTCGATATCGAATACCTTCGCCTTGGTCGGTAAACTCGGGAGGCAGCAGAGTTCCAAGAGGTGCTGGTTTCGCTTCATCCTGTATTTATCACTCCTCTTCTTGGAGTCTTCTAAAGCAGCTTCCACTCTGGTGCGGCCGCTAGGCGCTGTATTCATATAGTAATTCGACTTTGAAGCTGTCCTCCACTGCTGTCGCTGCTTGTGGGCTTGACGATACTGGACGTCGGCGATAACGGCACATTTCATCTGGCTATAAGTTCTCGACGTTAACCGACTTTCGGATGTCGTAGTTGTAATGCCACCTACCGTATAATCTCTCTATAGAGCCATTTCCTTTCGGCAGGAGTCGTGGGTCTCTTGTAGACCTTATTCGGTTTGAAAAGTACAGCCTTAGAAGCGGTGCGCTTTGTAGATAACCTCACGGGCCCTGATGTCGAAGGCTCCTTCCTAGTGGAAGAGGATGGCTGTGTAGTCGGCTTGGGGGTGGGTCGTCGCTCCGAGGCTGATTGCGACATGTTGGCGGAGGCCGTAATAGGTTTAAACAATGTCCTGTCCACTTCCTTTCCTTTAGCCGATGCAGGAACTGGTGGGGGGCCCATCGTGCCCTTTTCTGAAGTCGCCGATGCGAGCGAAGTCTTTCGCGGCTCGATAACAGACGTCTTCGATGTTCGACGAGCAATAGGTAAAGGTGGTGCTTCCCGCGTAGTTGGTGTGCTCGTCGTGGGTGTAGAAGCCATTGGTGTAGCACTTCCTGATGCCGTGAACGAATCCTTACGGGTCGGTGCGCTCCAGGTTGACGTGATTGGCGTAGAAGATGCAGCAGACACTGGTTCTCCCCAGGAATTGCCTGCCTTGCCCGGGCTTCCCCACCCTGAACCTGTTACACCCCAGCCGCTGTCTGCCTTGTCCGCTTTGCCTGATGGGCTTCCCCACCCTGTGCCTGTTCCACCCCAGCCATTGTCTGCCTTGTTGCCCGCTGGGCTTCCCCACCCTGCGCCTGTTCCACCCCAGCCACTGTCTGCCTTGTCCGCTTTACGTGCTGGGCTTCCCCACCCTGTGCCTGATCCACCCCAGCTACTATCCACCTTGCCTGTAGGGCTTCCCCACCCTGAATAGCCACCCCAACCGCTGTTTGTCTTGTCCGCCTTGTCTGAAGGTTCCCCCGACCCTGAACTTTCTCCCCACCCTGGACCACTTCCCCGTCCAGAGCTATCTCCCCATCCAGAACTCTTCTCCCTTTGTCCTGAACTCTTTTCTCCCCACCCCGAGCCCCATCCTGAGCTGGAAGCATCTGTATCTTTGTCTTTCCGTCCTGGGCCTTTGGGCCAACCGGAGTCGACAGGGCCGGGTCTGCGTGGATCTGAAGAAGCACTACTGGTTTGTGCGTTCATCCGAGTCGAGGTAGAGAGAGACGATGATCCCCAAGAAGATGGATCGAACCCATCGTTCTGGTCGACTCGCTGTGATGCTGAGGTTCTTCTTTCGTTAGCTCTCCTTGCAGCGTAAAGGTTTGCAATCTTGTCGTCGTCTTCCGCTACCGGGTATCTCTGTGCTTTTTTAAGGGTCATTCATAGTCTCCAGAAATTGTATATACGCACGGGTTTCCATTGCTTCTTTCTTACTGCTCGATTCCATCTCTCTTCGGTGGGGTGAACAAACCCGCAGTCGTCGTTCAAACAGCCGCCTCCTTTTGGTCCTAAAGGTTGACCATTGTCATCATAGAACTGAAGGGCATTAGATATTTGAACAGAATAATGTGTTTTGGCCGCCTACCATGCACCGGATTAACATTGTGGTGGCGGGAGATGAAGAGCAAAAGTAGCAGACGCGACTAGTGCCTTGTTTGGACTAGCCAGGTTCTAATTATGTATAGAGCTTGGCGCGCCCACACGCCGTTTTGAGCCCTGTTCATATCGCCCATGATGTTCCTCAAAATTCTATGTCGGCCGGACCTGACTTTGTACTGTCACCATGGAGGACGCTCTACCCTCGCTTCTCATCGAGGTCTGCGTTGACTCGGTGGAATCTGCGATAAGGCAAGTCCGTTTCATCGTATAGAATGACGATGAGGCTGAGAGAAACGCAGTGCTGTCAATGGAGGTGCCGACAGGCTCGAGGTTTGCGGAAACCTTGCTGTCGGTGGAGGTGTAACACCCAGCATTGGACTTGTAAAGTCCATCATAAAAGCAGTCAAGGATGTGCCGATAATGGTATGCCCACTATTTGCCTAACTTTGCGCTCGATATTGACGCGACTTCCTCCAGGTCATGATTCGACCCCGCGTCGGCGATTTTAGATACACAAACGATGAAATGGACGTCATGCTTGAAGACATCGCGTCGATGAAGGACCTTGGCGTTCGAGGTTTCGTGGTCGGCGTGCTGACGGACGAAGGTCGCGTCGACATCGAGGCTATGAAGAAGTACGTGTCAAGCCATTTCGTCCCTGAATCCGGCGCGTAATTAATGGCTTGCACAGGCTGGTGGACACTATCCTCCCCTTGGAAGGTGAATATTCTGTTACTGGGAGCATGAACTGTGTGTTGAAATGGATTGAACAGTTTGCTTCCACCGCGCATTCGATATGACCAGGGATCCCGATGAGGGTAAGAAGAAATCCGTTCAGTCAATTCCTCTCGTCTCATTTCGCATTTAGCCTTACGGGATATCATTGATATCGGAGGAATATCTCGCATTCTCACAAGGTGAGCACGACAATATTCTCTCTGGTGGTGATTCTAAAGTCCCTTGCAGTGGACATGCTCCCAAGGCGCCGGACGCCTTGCCAGTACTAGAAAAGCTCTTCGATACTGCAAAGTCGCTATTTGAAGAAGACGTTTGGGGCATCACCGTAATGCCCGGGAGCGGTATCAACCACAAGACGGTCGGCGAAGTTGTCCAACAGCTCCTTCCCAAAGGCCTGCGCGAAATTCATCTCAGTGGCGGTCATTGGGTTGGGAGCACCATGCAGTTCCGGAAAGATGGTATGGGAATGGCGATCTCTCCAGAATACGAATGGTCGATATGGCAAACTCGAGAAAAAGAGATCAAGAAGGTCAGATATGCCGCAGACGTTGCCTGGGATGATTACTGGGATACCATCAGCGCAGCTGCTGAACAGGAAGAAATCGAGTCGGAGACGGTCGATTCCACAACCTGATGTCCATCCATTCTTCCGTATATTCTCCCCATTTTTTCTTTGCGGTGCCTTTCCCCAGCTCGAAAGTTCCCTCCCTCGATCGCTATCCCTCAGGGAGTTCGGTTCCAATACATAATTGTGGATGGATGGTTTGTTTCCCCGCACTAGTATTCCCGGGCTTTTCACTCAGATATAACCTCCCTGTAGTCATTCGGATCACCTGCCATGAATAAACCACTTTCGTTGACTGATTGGACCTACTACGCAAACCGCCCCCGGCTGATGTGTCAACCTAAGAGTATATCGACTCTTTGGGGTGCCAAAATAAATCGACGCAGGGTTCGTTGCGTACATGCCGGACGGAATCACTGTTGCTGCAATACACATAAAAAGAAGACAGCCCCTTCACTTCCTTCACGCTTCCTCGACCCACGTTCATCTCAGCTTCTAGCTTTTTTCATCGTCCTTCCACGAATGACCGCGGTGCAGGCCTCCGGCGCTAAAGCTGTTCGACAAAAGATATGGTGGTCAAACGCTGTATTCTTTGTCGGAGTGCATGTCGCGACTGTTATTGGAGCTTATTATCGCCCACCATGGTTAGTGAAGCCAGCGACTTTGGTTTTCGCTTTTCTGGTCTGGCAACTGGCGGACTTTGGGTACGATACTTCCTTTGCTGATTTCGCGTCGCATCTGACAAGCACTCGTAGAATCACGATAGGATACCATCGTCTATACTCTCATAAAGCCTTTCGTGCCAGCATAGGAGTTCGAATTGTCCTGGCGCTGTTGGGGGCGGTCGCGTTTCAAGGCTCGATCAAAGTAAGCATGAACTACTAGTCTCTTTTGGGGTGTTACCCGCGCTTTGGGGACAAGTATTCAACACAGTTCGCCCACAGTGGTGGTGAGTCGCTCAGCCCATTCGTATAAACGGAGTTCAAACTTGGCGGTGATGTTGGAAGGTGTTTGCGGCACCGGCTGCATCATGTAAGTACAAACACCTCATCAATTGGTGTATATCCCGAACTCATCGCCAATAGAGATACACCGATGACCCTATTCACGACCCGTATGTTTTTTGAAATGACGCCATGACAGGGTTTCTCACTCGCTGACCCTATCGCAAAAGATACGCAGCAACACGCGGATTCTTCTATTCTCACATGGGCTGGATATTCTTCAAGCCTAACTACGAAAGAATGGGACTAATTGAGCGAGATGATCTAGAACGGGACCCAGGTGTGTATTCATTCTACTCCCTTGAATTATTGCTTCCGCTTAGCCGAGTTTGACTATCCAGTTGTGAGGTTCCAACACAAGAATTATGGTCAGTTCCGCGACACGGTCAAATAAGCGCCCAAGTTGATCGGAAGGTTCGGGACAGTTTTGCTCGCGCTTACACTTGGTTTCGGGATGCCACCCTTAATTGGATTCTTTTGGGGTGACGCCTTGGGGGCTTTTGTCTGGGCGGGGCTGGTAGCCAGGCTATTCAGTAAGTTCTTGGTCTCGGAAATCATCGACGGCGCCTCATCGCACTCCGTTCCTAGTCTGGCACTGTACTTTCTTGGTCAATTCGTGAGTATCTTCGTGCCAACGTCGTAGTCAAAATTAACGCATATTAGTTTCGCGCATATGCACGGTCTACAGCCTTATTCCGACGAGGACACGTCTCGAGGAAATCTAGTAAGGGCATCCTCCTCTGGACCGAGGGATAACCAGAGGCTGAAGTGTTCCAAGCTGCTGGCCCTACTCACCGGTGGCGAAGGAAACCACAACTTTGTGAGCACATAGATTGCTCTATGCCATGTCGCCTAATCAATCTTTCTCTGTAGCATCATTCCTTCCCCCATGACTTTCGCTCTGGGCCATCCAATCTCGACTGGGATCCCAGCAAATGGATCATCATCGGTCTACACCATCTCGGCTGGGTGTCTGGCCTTCGGAAAGCAAGGGAAATCGACGTCACCGATTCTCTTGAGCACATGAAGAAGAAAACTCTTCACCCGGGCGTAGCTCTCGAGGAGGAGGACAGCGAGTGGCAAGGGGAAGTGTGGAATGACGCGGAGGTCTTCACATTTCAGGAGAAAAATCCTTCCCGTTGTCTACTGCTTCTCGGCGGTTACGTCGTGGACGTTACTCGCTATCTCGGGGAACATGTAGGTCTATTTCAACTTGGCGCAAAAAAGATGTTAATGACCTCTTCAGCCCGGAGGAGCGGCCCACTTGCGAACTCATTCCATACGAAAGCAAGGTGATATTAATTCTACTGGCGCACAGTGGGCGTTCTATGGAGGTTTCAACAACCATTCGCGAGCCGCCAAGAAAAGGATGAGGGAAATGAGGATCGCGAAATTGATTGAACCTGGGGTAAACAACGCGATATGATGTCATATGTATAGGTCAGTACTTACGTACGACCGTTCCGTACTCGTGAACACCTCAATACGATAGCTAGAGAAGCCCTTTACGACAGTGACGATATTGTCGAAGGGGAGTGAGTGATGTACAAAGTAGCTGTCATCAGAATATGCATAGTAGGACGAAATAGAAAAGATTCTTAGCCAGGCATTGGTCCAATGTCGACGTCGTTCCGGATAGCCCATACACGCTGGAACCGACTGAAGCACGGCTCGTCTGATTCATTCAGCTCTCGAACGGCGTTCTCCTCCAGGGTGATGACCACATCCTCGGGAAACCCTCGCCCGAGTAATAGCGGTCTCCCTGACCGGATAAAAGTCTAGAAAAAAAAAAAAAACAGCATTTCGGTATTAGTTGTGTCACTAATTCAAAGCATCAAGGATGAAAGACGGGAGAAGAGGCTCACCAGGACGTCATCTTTCATGACGCTAAAGATTGGGTCATCGTGGTCATCGTCTGGAGCTGGAATGAGGGGCAGCCAAATGTTCTGGTAGTGGATGGTGTGGAAGGCGCCGTGGTCACGTATCCAATCGCGAAGGTCGCCTGCGACTTCGGTGTTTCCCCCGCCTTGCCGGATGGCTGCGCGGAGGTAGGACATCCATCGTGGCCACCACGGCGCGGCTAACTCGCCCATGGGGGCGTGAACCCGCTGCTTGTTCCCATCGTAAACATAGCAATCAGATTCACCGAATTCCACGAGTCCTCCTGGTCGGACCACTCGCGCAACATCTTCGATTAAACGGTAGTAATCAGAAATCTGTCGCGGTGCTTTAGAAGGGCGGGTTAATTCAATAGACGGGGCAGTAACGTACTCCTGGCGCGATCAATCGGCAGTGAACAACGTCGAATTGACCATAGAAGTGTGATAGCCCAAGGTTTATGTCGTCGATTTCACATCTGAGAAAGGCGATAAGACGCGGTCGCCACGCTCTTGTTCAACGGCCTGGAGCTTACCGTATATTGGGTGGTAGATCAGAAGCACTGTTGAGAAAGTCAAGGCATTGTCAGCACACATACGGTTACATGGATACCATGATTAATGACCACATACTCTCCGATAGGCACGAGATCAACAGCAACGGCGTCGCAATTGGGGAAATCGCGAGCGACACTTATGATCCTGAGAGTTGGTCTTTCATGAGTGCTGAACGACGACAACTGACAGACGGAGGGTACGCACCAGTCGCCATTCCCGCAACCCAAGTCGAGAACTGCCTTTTCACCGGGCGTATTGCTTTGTAGGATGTAAGGCAATGGCGGTGGATATTTGCCCATTATCCTTTCGAGCATGTAGTGTTGCTTGCCTAGGTGAATACAAGTTATCGCCATCATTTCCAGGTGGATAGCGGAAGGACAACATACTGAGTCGGCCAAGCTCCTCCTCGTCCACAGGTAGCCGATACACGTCGGAATAGTTGTTCAGCGACCGGCCAAATTCGTGCTTGTACATCGCTGCATGCATTTCGTGTGTGATCTCTATGACTTCCGGTTCCGAGTCCTCTGAAGCGACACTTGAGGGGTTGTGGGTGAAGGAGGTCGCTGAACTGACACTGCTGCCAGAGAATCGAGTAGGACCCGAAACGACGGAACTCATATCGCTCGTGTCGTCGCTCCTAGTGTACCGACTCGAGCCCGAGATGGACCGAGTCATCGACGCCGTCTCGTCGACCATGCTCACGTCTGTAGATTCGGTTTCCGTGCGTTCGTCCTCGTCGACATAGTCTTGGCTGCCATAGTCCATCGACTCTGATTCTTCATCATCAGAGTCCATGCAAAAGTAATAATAATAGGACATGGCGGTGACAGAAAGTGGGTATGGTCAAAAGGGGGACAGGGTGAGAAGGCATCGGCGGAGAGGACTTGTATTTAAACGGTAAAGACCAAAGTTGATGGCTGGTGGCTTTCGCCTCTGACATATTGGAATGAGGCTTTGATTCCCAGGAACCAACCCAAATGACGCCCACAACGTTCTCTTCACATTTATCCTTTCCTTCCTCGGGTTCTTGAAAATAGCTCGTGCTTCTAGTTTGCCCGCAGGTGAAGCCTATTTTTTGACCCTTGATTCTAATTTGTAAGTTGCCTGCTTTTTCATTTGGTCTTTGGGAGCCTATCTCGCCCTCTATTAACGAGGACCGGAGATATCTTGTCTTCCGACCCAAGGCCACGGGACATGTTAATCACAAACATCGCCTAGCCCCGGGGCTCTCTGTGAAACTCCTGTCGTAATATCATCCTGCAGCGTCATTCTAGGGTGTGCACCGCAAAAAATAATAGTGTATAAAGTCTGTTCCTACGTCTTTGTCCGCTTCTTCTTCCCTGCTCCCTTCTTCGCTCGAACAACTTTGATAGGTTCGGGTGTCGCCGTCCGAATGTCACTGTCAGGTACGTCGTACTGGGGAAACGAGGAGAGGACTGCAGGATATGGCGAATTGGTCCCCGATGTCGTTTGTGGGGTGCCCGGCTTCTGCGGTGGTGTTTGGGACGGCCTCGAACTCGTTGCACCTTTGGGCATTTCCCCATTTCGGTCAATGACAAAAGATTGAGAACCGGAAGAATGAGATGATACTCGTAAGGACACCAAACGTTCATCAGCGGAACCTGGAATTGATTGTAAGCTGCGCACACACAATTCCAAATGCGATGAGTACTTACGAGTGTTCAGAGAAGGCACATCATCTAATCGAACCACCGGAATGGAGTCCACATCATGGGCGGCTATCTTGGGTTTATCATCCAAGATGTAGTATGGGTCGTCCCTCAATTGGGCTAGTCGTTCGGCCTTGCGCTGTACAGATGATTGACAATGAGATAGATTCTATCAGGGCGCAAGCGTGACTCACGCGCTCGCGTTCCTCAATATCTTCTGGAGTCTCATTCTCGTCGTACACTGGTGTGAGAATGTCGCCACTGTTGATGTCCACTTCCTTCCCCTTCTTCTTCTTCTTGTCCGATTTCTTTCCACTGTCCTGTTTCTCCTTCCCTTTCTTCGCCCTCTTCTTCTTCTCGCCCATGGGGCGTTCCTCCATGACAGGTTCTGGTGGTGGTGCGACAAACCATTCATCGAGATCCAAGCCTTCAGGAACCGGGACACACGACTGGGCAGTCTCTGCCACTGGGTTGAGTTCATGCACGGAGATCAAGGGCTGAATGAGATAGAGCGACTTGGGGAACGCGGGAGCGTCGGCGTTAAACCCTTCCACCGTGGATGGACCTGCTTGGGTTTGGGGCTTCCAGCTCTTCAGATCCGCAGAGATAAATGTGAACAGTTCCAACGCATTGGATGCCTAGATGTCATTAGATACCCAGTGAAGTGCAGATAGGGATTACGCTCACCCGTTCCTGCACCTCAACATTTGAATTAGAAACGAGTTCCTCCATTCGCGACTTGATCGCCTGTACAATCTCCTGAAGCTCTGGAAGACGGTCATCGTCCCACTGTTCACCCAATTCGGCTGCCCATGTGCCAAAGACTTTGACTGTAGCTTGGATATAGACAGCCACAATATCGGGGGTCAAGTTGGATACCTCCGGTTGCAGGAGATATGGGATGAGCTTCTGAGGCTCTAGGAGTTCACTATTCATATGAGTTTATCTGCACCCTACGACCGATCGAAAACTCACCTGCAATACTCGCCACATATCCAAGCCGCTGCCCACAAAGCTTCCGAGCAAGAACGCTCGTCATGAGCATTCTGCAACAAAGCATCGTCTGCCAACAGTGTGTATAGCACCTTCACGGCATAAGGACGAACACCCCGCACTCGGCAAGCAATATCCACCAGTTGATCGCGGATTTGAGCGCCGATCTTGACGTTGGACACATGGACAAGGTCAACCATGACCGAGACATACCACTCAAAGTTGGTAACGTTCTCGTACATCGAAGCTGAACACATCTCCAGAATCCTCTCTGCCAGGGTAAGCCGATAGGCGGGTGTGAGAGGAGCCGCGGTTGATGACCTCGGAGCCGACGCTTCAGCCGATTCTTGCAAAGACCGTACAGCGGAGGGCAGCTCAGTGTTGGGTACGAGGTGTGTCAATAGCTGTTGAACAATGCTTTGGAGGTTACTTTGGTCCACCTTGACATGGTTAAGTGTTTGATTGTACGTATAACGAAAGACGGCCTCACCATAGCTGTGACCAAGTCAAGCGCACGCATCCGTATGCTGATATCTTGATCGCTAACGCTCGCCAGGATGGTGTCGCGGTATTCTCCGACTAGATGCGGATGGCTTGGGACAATCTTGGTCATAGCAAGGAGAGCAATGTATTTCACTGGCTGTTGTTCAGGGATGCGCGTGACAGAAGCGAAACATGCACTCACGGTTCTGGTCCGTATCTTCGATAAAGGCGGCCAGTTTAGCGACGCAAGTTTTCGCCAACGAAGCGCCGTTCGATCCTTGCAACATGCCGCCGATGATACAAGTGTGAACACATTCGTACAGAAGCGAAATGGCGGGAGTTGTGGTGATGAGCTCGGTTATGGGGTTGAGCAACTTCTTCACCAAACGAGGTTCGTGAGGGCATAGGGATCCGAACTAAGCAACGCAGTGTCAATTGGCAGATGCGAATGGCAAAAATTAGGCTACGCACCAGTTTGACGATCTTGATTAACATCCAGTTATTTGACGAGGTGGTTAACAGATGGAATAGTTGAGGGGCAAGGGATAGGTAGTCCTGTGGATTCTGCCGAGCGAGCTCGCACAGTACGTTGACACAGGCAGCAACAACGGCTATAGTTCAACAGTTTGTAAGTCATTCAAAGGACAGCGGACCTGAAGACTGACACGGATCGGTGTCCTCGAGGCGTTCCTCGAGACGCGGTCGCGCTTGAGGCGTGACTTCGGGGTATTTTACCATGAGTTTGTAAACAGCGATAATCGCCCGTTTCCGTATGTGTGGTCGCGAGTGGGTGAGCATGGCAATAATCTCTGGGGCCAGGTCTCGGGCCAGGTCTGGAGTGACGATATGAGAGAAACCATTCAATGTAATGGCGACGTCTGTAGGATTAGAGCTGAGGTCCTAGGGTAGGTACACTTTAAATCAATACAACGGTCGTACCAGGATTGAATGACGTACCTTCTTCAGCAGATTGGTGGTCAACATGAGGACGTCGGTGTCCTCATTGAACGATTGGACAGCACCCAAATATCCAACACTCTTGAGATGTGCCTTTGGTGAGGACATAACCTCCACAACATGGAAAGAGGCCCAGCTCATGTCGTAGCCGAGCATGTCAAGCTGCCAGATTTCGTCTGGATCTAAGTATACAATCGTCTGTTACATCGAGCACATACGCACATAGGTTAGCTTGAGAACAGCTCCGGCCTTCAGTTCCATGTCCTCTGACTTGATCTCCTGCCTGATCTCCTCGACAGCCTTTGCGATGAACCTGGCCTCATCCTTCTTGTTGGCCCGGAGCCCCCGGATGAGGTCTTGGAGGGTTCTCTCCCACATCACAGGATAGACAAGACGTGTCCTCTTTCAAATCACCTTTAGTTGTCGTAAAATATCGTAAGACGGTTTAAGAGAGCATAAAGCAGCGAAGACACTTGTCGTCGTGGTCAATAGCAATAAAGTCGCTCATCATCGCGTCGGGGATGTGCATCAACGTTTCAAACTCAGTCACGGGCCAACGGCGGGCACAACTTGACCGCGACAGCCATTGTCCAATCCAATTTCCCCAGTTTACTGCGTTTACTGCGACAACATCATCCGTAACAATTTATCAACTGCGACCTTAGGAAGACGCCAGCGGCAATGACTACGGCCGTTCTGCTCACAGTGGTGTCGTGACTGCGCCCCAGGACCCTGCAAGGGAGTTCTGTACCATGGAAAGAATTTTCCCTGCTATATTGGTGAGCTCGGACAAGGCTGAAGATCTTCTGCTTTCTATAATACCTCTGCCGTACGCATCTCCACAGGACAGCCTGCGACATACACAGTACCAAGGTAACCGAGATGAACATTCCACTGGATCATATCTCTTCTTGGGCCTTGCTGGAAACGCGTTTTTGGAGTCAACGGGCATGACCGACCGCGTATTCCTTTAAATTACACTTTCGGTATACGAATCGCCGCTTCTTCTGCCCCACCATCAACTACCGGCCCACTGACGCCTGCATTGACTGTTCTCCCATTTCTAATTTAGTTGTCGCGGTGTATTTTGGCCTTTGGTTCAGACGATATAGAACACAAGTTTTCTACCGTCTCACAGGTACTTGCTTTGTCCTTCTCTACCCCAGGATGACCCGTCTCATTGATCCACGAGGAGCGTCAGGTACGTGTCTGCCATCTCTGCCTGCCTGCTGCATCTTGACCTCGATCACAGACTCAGCTGCGATGCACCATCCGCTGCAACCAAGGGACAACATCGAGAATATCCCTCGGCAACACCAGGCACCCCAGAAGCCAGCTTCGCGACCCAAGAAACTACAAAAGAATCGCAGAGATGCTTTCACGCCCATCGCCTCTGCCATACCAGTCAGGCGCACAACATCTCTCGACATTGCATCCCTGTCAGATAACTCCCATCGGGCGCTGGTCAATGCTCAAATTACAGTCACTTCTCGATATCAATACCCCTCTTCAAGGCAAAGAAGCGTCCTCAAAAAGCGTCGCGATGGTCACATGCCTAACTATCAACCCGTCCACCCGCCTCCTCCGGAGCTCGCAGACTTTCGGCCTAACGCCCAACGCCTTTCCAGCCAACAACATCCTCATGAGCAGAAGACCGTCCGTTTCAACAACAAACCCCCGTCCGAGATCCCGTATTACCATTTCGATGGCTCAGACGCAGAGCTGCCACCGCCCAATTCAATTCCTGAAGGCCGGTTCAGCGCCGATAAACCTCTGCCTCCGATGCCACAGGACACATCCCAGGACGAGAAGCGTTCTGATTTGGTGGAGAGCTCTTCTCCCGATTCAATCCACCGGCGGTGGACGATAACGTCTTACCACAATCCCCGCGCTGAACCCAATGACATCTTGGTAAACGATATGGGTGAACTCAAGAGGTCCGACCCTTTTACCTCCAATTCTCATCCCCAGCCACGGCCGACTTCAGTTCCACCCACAGCCAACTCAAATTCTCACCTTCCACTCACTCCACAAGCCACCCCTCCTCCAATCGAGAAAGACGTTTCTCAAGTGAAGTTACAACGTCTACTTTCGGAAATGATCTCCACTCAGCACGCATACCTCCACACCCTCCGTAGCACTGTGAACAACCACGACCACGAATCTTGCAGCCCGCCCGTCAACCTCCTCCTTTCACTCCTCTCCATTATCCAAGTGAGCGAAGACTTCCTCCGCAGGATGGAGCAGAACCCTACACCTCAAGGTGTGGCGGACGCGTTCTTGGCAACCTGCGGGACATTAGAATTTCACCTCCTTCAATGGTCGCAAGAAGTAACTGAGTTCGTGAATACGCAATCATTTGAAGCCGGTGCCGGGGTGGGGGCAACTCACTACCACTCTGCTCAAGCCTCGGAGGAGAGGAGACGAAGCCGTCTTAAGAGGTGGAAGAACTTCTTCAGGCGGAAAGGGTCTTCATCCGAGGATGCCTCTGAAGACGGCGAACAGCCGAAAGCTGTATTGCCAGACAGCTTCTGGCGACGGTCTTCTGCAGGACCTGGGCTGTGGGAAATGGTTGTTCTGCCAACACAGCGCACAATGCGGTATGTTTTCTTGTTCAGAGGTGCGTCTCATTCTCCCAACTTGGAATGCGAGCGAGATGCTGACACGGTGATACAGAACTCCTTTTGTTGCTCGATATGTCTCATAGAGACTACCAAATTGTGGAACGCGCTTTCCACGCTGCGAATATTATCGCGAAAAAGATGACTCGTGCTCAACAACGGCCATCTTTGTAGTTCGTTGTTCTGCGTAATATAAGCGCATTAATATCTGCAATTCATTTCTATATCTCTCGCTTTGCTTTGTTTTGTCGATACCTGTATGCACAATTCTCTCGTTCTCATGTCAGCGAGGATCAAACAAGTCTGCCACATTCACGCAGCCATAATCGGCCAAAATAAATATACTGCTCAAAACATTCCCTCCCGAGGGGGAGGTCTCCCCACCGAACTACCAGGCCGATGGACAGACCTCGGCGGAGGTGGGACAGGCGCAGGACTCCCCGTCCCACTGGCACCCGACCTCGGCACAGGACTCGCTCTCAGTGACCTAGGCGGCCTCTCCCTCTCTGGCCTCTCCCTCAAATACGACCCAGAGCCACTAGAATTCGCCTGCCTCATTGGTGTAGGCGACACAGGCCCATCTTTTGGATTCGACGCTGAGGCAGGAGGGTTCTCGTGCGTTGGCGTCTGCGCAGCTGAAACTGGAGTGCGACTTCGATACATCCTCGAAGATCCCAACCCGGATACGTCCTGCGCTGTCTGGATACCGGAATAACTCGAACTTGCCGCGCTGTTAGGTGGTTGCAACGATGCCGAACTCAGTGCTGGTGGGATAGACCCCATGCTGTTCTTCATGCTGATTGGTGGAGGTGCTGGTGATTTACGCCTACCCGGAGGAGCAGGAGCGAGTGTGGGAGGAGCGGGAGTGTTGAGTTGCGACGAGGATTTCTTTGGCCTGAGGTCAGATCGGGAATTCTGCTTCGTGATCTGGGCAATCTGTTTCGATTGGCGGTGTTCATTGACTTTAAATTCGACCGTTGCACTTGAAGGTTGCTTCGGGTTCTCCACGAGAATGCTATTCAAGAGGAACTTGAAATCTAGGCCATATTCTTCCAGTAGCTATATACAAACGTCAGTCATGGTTTGATTGAAGGAGAATAGAGTAACCACCTTCCGGCTCTGGTTAAGCGTGATTTGAACTGATTCTTCCACAATCTGAGGTTCGACGTCCTTGGAGTACACCTGCTTGCGGAAAATCTCTCCATATTTCTCGATTTGTTGCTTTGCCCAGGTGATAAAGGCTGCATTCACATTAGCATCAGTCTCATTTCTAAAGGAGGCAGCGCGAGTAAAGGTTACTTACAGCTCGCCACCTCGTTCTCCTTGAAACTCGCAAGATACCAGTCTGCCGTGTGTTTGATACCGGTAAAGAAAACCACAGCGAGCTCTCCTATGTAGGTGCCCACATGTCCTTCGAAGGGGATCTTGCGCATGAGACTGTGGATGACTTTGCCGCGCATTTCAAGGAAGGTGGTTCGCGCGGCCGATCCGGCTTTGAGTCTGTTCAAGAGGGAGATAAGGTTGACTGTGCTTGATTTCCTATTGGAAGGGAGGGACAGGGATTCGAGAAGAGATTGGGTTAGTTGTTGTGTTAGAGCAGGTAATCGGGCGGCGAGAGGAGGCATTGTTGCTGCGCGAGCTTGGCCTGAAGAAAACCTTTAATTTAGGGAACGTCAGGCGCTGAAGAGAAGGTCTACCTTCTTCCACCAGTTGTACCGCTTTATTCCACTCCTTCAGAGCAATGGCAACAGTGAGGTTGTCCGACCAATCCCCAACCCATCGAGCATCCCGCTCAGCCTTCGCCTTTGCGTCTGCCGCCACATTGGGAATGTCGCCCCCTCTTCTAGCCAGATCAGCCATCCATTCGGGCAAAGGAGGAACAGGGGAATTGCGCTAAATGGTGGGTGAATCTAGTTAAACGCGATGGTCAAAGTAGACTTTTGGAGATGCACGTACTCCGCCAGCTGCATTGCCTTGCCACATGCTCTTCCTCCGCTCATGCTCGCCTTCGCGTTCTTTCCTCCGTTTAGTCTGTAGTTCTTCAGCTACTTGTCGGAAGAGAGTAAGTATGCTCTTCTTCTCTTGGGCGGTTTCGGTTCGGTAAACGTGTGTTTCCTTCCCATTCCGCACCTTGAAGACGTTAGTCATACCTATACCAAGGCCTTCAGTGTCATTAAGAGGGGAATGATAGACAAACGCACTAGATGAATCCTTGGTATCGAGAACGATCATTTCATTTAAAGCCCAACACTTCTCCGCGACTAACTTTCCTTCATTAACTGTTGTCCCCGCCGCGTCTCCTCCTCCAGCATTGCGCCTTCTCCGCCTAGCGACCAAAACGGCATCGTCTAATACTACAAACTTAACCTTGTGGATGATCTTGTAGGTGGCGGCGTTGAGGCTGAGGATATTCTCGAATTCGCCAACGACATGGCGGCCGGGGGTTGTTGGGACGAATTTCGCGGCACCTTCGATGGAGGTGTGTAGCGCGTGCATCTGGTTGGAGTAAAGGACTCGGAGATCGGCTACGGAAGACCGTTTGTAGGTTGAGAGGGTGGAGGAAGTGACAGATGTTGGATCGGGTATATGAAGCATTTGGGGCATCGATTTGTAGTCGGACAGCAGTTCTTTGAGCTCTAACATCTCGTTCTCCAGAACAGAGATCTCTTTAGAAATAAGGACGAATTCGGCGTAGCTGTTTGGTAAGACATCAGAGGCTGAGTTGCTGGGGTACTCGTCAACTTACTTCTTGAACACACTGCGTTGCAAGTCCGACGCAGTATCCTCTTTTGCTTTCTCAAGAGATGATTGTAGGGAGCGAAGTTCAGCCTCTGTAGAGTTGGCGAGCTTCCGCTTCAAGACTATACCCAGTCGGTGAACGGCCCTTGAGAGGTACATGGATAGACCTACATGCATCTGGATCAAAGTCATCTGAGCTTAGGATCCTCTTGTCTTCAGCAGCTATTCTAGCAGCGTCCTGTTGCCTCGTCGCGTCGTCCGGTTCATCGTACAGAACTCCCCCGCTGGGCTGGCCGCCTGGGAGAAACCCCGCAAGACTAGGCATCGCAGGGATGCTCCCAGAGTCTATCGGACTGGATATTTCAGCATATCGCATAGACATGCGCTTCTTGATTTTATCATCGACACGAGTCGTTCTGGGTCGAGGTATTGGGTCGCCGCCGCCCTTGGAGAGTTTGGCGGGAGATTTTCCCTTCCTGGGTGCCTGAGACGGCCGCGAGCGCAGAGAGTCCATTGTAAGCCGCTGTTATTGACGCTTTTAGGCGATTTGGTGGTATTGGAAAGAGAGAGACTAGTTCAGGTCGCGCAGCAGAGCTCCCAGCACGATCAGGAGAGGGGCTCTTGTGTTTGACCTTGCTTGACAAAGGCTTGGGACCGGTGGCCGGCCGGACCGGAGGTTGAGCGGATGAAGAGGAGGCAGGCAGGAAAGGGATGATATGGGCAAGCTCGAATTAAAAGGCAACCAAGGTCATAATCGGCGTCATTAGCTCTGCGACCACAACTTTAGCCCAGAACATTGGCCGCCATAAACTTCTTCCTGGACTCCAGTCGACGCCGTTGACGACGTCGGCCAAGAGATCTTACCGCACTGAACTCGCTTCCCTTCTCACTGTCACCGCCGTCAGCCTCGCCAGCCATCGATGGCCATGTACGCCCCGCAGCAGCAACCAGCGCCACCGGCCTGGGATCCACAGCAACACACTTCTCCTAGACACTCCATTTCGAGGGAATTCATGGCTCAGGGTGGTCAGGGATCGCCAACACCGAGCCAGGGGCAACTTCCGCCAGGCCGACCAGCTCGAGAGCTACCTCCGGGTCCAATGCAGCAGCCTCCACAGCGCGGTCCAACGCCAAGCAGAATGTACGATGCAGAACCCGAATTCTACGACGACAGAACGCCAGAGGGCGAAGACGATAACGACGACTTTTTCAATGGGGCATCATCAACACCAAACGGGCTCCATCCAGGTTACAACCCGGCAATTGGCTCAGAATCTCATTCACCGTATAGAAACGCCAGCTCCATAGCCACTCAGTCCATCCGTGCTCCATCTCCTCCCCCAGGTCCTATCCTCGACCATTCGCATCTGCGACCTGGCAATCAGGCTTCCCTCCTCTCTCATGAACGGACCCTCGAACTTTACAGGGCAAATGCAAAGAAGACCCAAGACCCTGACCTCCAATTTGAGTTCGCCGTATTCATGATCGACGCCTCCAAATCACTCCCAATACCCAAACAAACCCCTGGAAATGTCATGGAGGTCGAGAAGGCATTGGAAAAGCGGGAGGACTTGGTGAAGGAGGCTACCTCCCTGCTGAAACGTCTCGCCGATCGCGGACATGCTCCAAGTCAATACTTCCTGGCAGATTGCTACGCGAACGGCATCGGAACGTACAAGAATAAGCAAGACTTCGACCGTGCATACCCCTTGTTCGTGCTCGCCGCTAAACACGGCCATCCAGACGCCGCGTATCGTGCCGGAACGTGCTGCGAGAATGGGTGGGGGTGTAGAAGGGAATCGGCGAAGGCCCTCGGTTTCTATCGCAAGGCCGGTGCTGCGCTCCACCCCGGTGCGATGTACCGACTCGGTATCGCCGAACTCAACGGGGAGCTGGGATGCTCAAAGAGCCCGAAGGAGGGCGTCAAATGGCTCAAGCGCAGTGCCGAACATGCTACTGCCGAGTTCCCCCACGCCCTTCACGAACTTGCGCTCTTGCACGAACGCGGTGTGGACAACGTCGTCTTTGTGGACTATGAATACTCTGTGGAGCTGTTGGCTCAGGCTGCGGAACTCGGATATGCCCCAAGCGCGTACAAGCTCGGGGAGTGCTACGAGTATGGAAAGCTTGGCTGCCCACAAGACCCTGCGCTCTCCATTCATTACTACGTGCGATATTTGCTTTCACGTCCCTACAATCGCTGACCCCTCTTCTTGCAGAACATCGCTGCACAGCAAAATCACCGGGATGCTTGCTTTGCCCTGACCGCGTGGTACCTCGTCGGGTCACCTGGAGTTCTACCTCAGTCCGATACAGAAGCCTTCCTGTGGGCTCAAAAGGCCGCTGACCTCGGGTTGGTGAAAGCTATGTATGCAGTGGGGTACTTCCTTGAAGTCGGTATTGGCACGAATCCCAACCTCGCAGAGTACGTATCCATTTGGCGTCTCCATGTCCATACGTCATTGCTATCCCGACGAGAAACTAATGTTCGTCTCCTCGTTCTTCAGTGCCGTCGCTTACTACAAGAAAGCCGCCGAGCTGGGCGACAAACGTGCCATCCAGCGATTGAAGAGCTCGCAAAATCAGCCCATGCACCAACCCGGAGGTGCAAACGCCGTCTTACACAGAGGCGAGGGCGACAGCGGCGGTAAGGATAAAGACAAGGATTGTGTGATCATGTAGATAGAGTGGGTCCTATGTCGATGACTATGGGATTCCTGACTTTTGGGACAATGATGCTTAAACTGGATCTCATTTAGGTTTCCGTTTTTACGAGTTCTTTTCCTTTCCATCGCCTTCCCTTCCTTTTTCATCGTTTCTCCGACCTTTATCCTGCCTCCTCACGCTTCCCAATGGGCGACTTATGCGTGCAGAGATCTTCCACTTAATTATCTACCACCGTCCTTGTCCGGTTCTGCCCTCCTCCGACCACCGTTGATCGTAGTAGTAATACTATTATGTACCTCGAGTTAATCATCTGTCTCTCACCATGGACTTTTCATTTCTCTCACTCGTTTTAAATTATTGCTCCTCTCTTTTTCAGTACAGTAACGCAACACCATTCTTTTCATATCATACCTGATCAACGGCTCGCTTTGAACACATTCTTCATATGTATTGTCCAATTCAAGATAAAAATACACCATTACAATACCAGTTCCCAAAGGTTACAGGCTCCCATGCTGAGAAAATATATATGCTCGTAGATGAGTAGTCGTTCCGAATCCAGTTTCCCGGTCAAAACCCAAAGATTTCCCAAAGACCAATGCGTCCTGATTGCCCATACGAGTCCCTACTCATGTTGCTGCCGGATTTGACGCCTTGTTGGACTTGAATTCAAGCGCCTTGGCTTCTCGCCATTCACAGTCGTTTTTATATTCGCAAGTCCTGCCGCACGAACCGTTTTAAAACGACCATCCCTCAACTTCCGCAATGGAGACACTCACTCGCAGCGTCTAGCCAATGAAGCCGGAACACCTTGTGGCTTTCGTTTTCCCTTCCAAAATTCCAGAACGGCATCGAGGTGCCCTTGAAGCAGCTCCTCGTCGTAGTTGACTAGTTTTGTCCCAACAATTTTGAAGCTGTGGATGCTAGTATCAACGAGAGTAACTGCACTTGCTTCTGTTGAGCCTGTTGGGAGCACTGTCGTGTAAGCGTAGGCTGGAGGGAGATAAAGGATCCAACTCACTATCCGACGCTGGAGGCTTGAACGACTGATAAAGCGCCTGTTGAAGTTCCGGGTCCACTCCTTCATCGACGATTACAGTGGGTTCGCCCTTGAGAACGCTCGAGCTGGCCTTGGGGTTCTCCACCTCAACAGTAGCACTGGGAAGGCCCGCATCTGCGAGGCTAGCAGCTATAGCCAGCGCTAGCTCTCTGTCTTCTCGCTCACGTTCTTCGATACTCGATATTAGCGTTGGTGAAGTCGCTAAAGTCGGCACAGGGACCTGCATTCTGCCCTTCCCTTTCCACTTGGCACCTTTGGGCTGCAGCCTGTACACCAGCTCCAACTCCGTTTCGATGCCAATGATCCCACTCTCCTTGATCAGCGATTTCCACTCTTTAACTAACCCGTTCAGGGTCGTCTGTTTGAACCCATCATCGCTGAGCACGAGCCCGGACTGGACAAGGAACCGTGTGGAGAACTGCTCGGTTGGGTCCACCCCTACCTTGTCCCAGAAATAATCAAAGTCGAAGGGGCTGGAGAGAGACATAAGAGAAAGGAGGAGACGGCGGTAGAGCATGACTTGAAGGCGGGATGAATAAATGTCTTCTTCTGGGGGAAGCCGGTCGACTGTCCTGGTCTTCGTATCTACAATGCGAAGTGTGTAGCGACCTTTTGGGCATTGGGAAAGTTCCCTGGCCTTTCCTTTGCCCTTTGATGCCGAGGTTGTGTTTGAATCTGGGCTAGAGGAGGAGCTGCGCGCTGCGTGACCGTTGGCATCGATTTCAGGAGATCTTGAACGCCGGAGCTTCTTGCGAGTCTGTTCCATCGAAGGGGACACAGATGGTCGTCTTTTGGAACATGGTGTCCGTTGCACTTCATCCTGTTTATGATGTAGATTTTAGATTTCTACGCCAACAGCAATGCTAATAATCCAGGAACCACTCACCACAATACCGGTCACTATCTCGTCGTTGACAAGACCGAATACAGGTACTTCGCGCTAAAACCACTGTTCAATGTTGGCTCTGCAAATAACCTGGCTGTCTTACGGTGTAGCCTTCTCTCTGCATGATCTGGAAACACACAATGGCGTTCAAGAGCCTGTGCGAGCATCAGTACGCTGTCAAGCGCCCACGACACAACAACCTACCTCAATGCCCATCGTTCTTCCTCCGAGGTGACATCAACCTTCAACTCCTCCGCCTTGACTTCGCGTTCCAGTTCCTTATGTACCGCCTAACAGGAGTGAGGACCTCGTCATTCCATCCCAAAGGTACGACCCAACTGACTTGGCCCTGTTTCGTCCGGACATCGTTCTTCTCTGCGACTTTGGCTTCGACTTTGATCTCTTTCCCTGTTGCTGACTTGAAGGAAGTTGGTCTATCTTTTATTGGCCGAGATCTCCTCTGACGGAGGCCATAATCGTATTGAACTTCGCACCTGTAATCGGTTTGGGTGAATGGTCCTCGTTCTATTCTGACTGGCGATACTTACCACGTTGGTCCAACCAAGTCGGTCACAGATAAGATGCGCTTTGTGCGGAACAGGTCCATAAGAGATGCATCTTTCCTCTGTTTACCTCGGTAGCGCCAGGTCCGTGGTTTGGATGGTTCATCATGGGAGTTCTTGCTTCTGGCTGTGGTTCGCGCTCGTGAAGGACCAGCCGTGACCACAGCGGGTACCGCGGGGACGACGACTTCTATATCGCCATCTGTCGACGTTTCTTCCGACTGTTGACCAGTCTGTGGTGTGCTGACTTCTGTTGATCCAATTGAAATAGAGGCAGTTGAAGAACTGGTCGCAAGGGCCCTCGAGACGAGTCTATCAATTTCTAAGAACTCTTCCTCAGTAATCTGAGAAAGGTTCACCACATTTTCTTTATCAAATTGGAACGATTCATCTCCTGACTGTCCCCGCGTACCGTCCGGACACTCTCCACGCTCGCTCTCTGAATCATCGTCCTCCAGAATAACAACCGTCTGGGTGAAATGTTGTTGAACTTGGGCATCGATTTGAGCAAAGTCTTCTGGGGTGAATTCGGAAAAGTCGAAAGCACTGTAGCCGTCCGACTCAGAGTCTGACATTGCCGCGTTGGTTCTCTTGTTCTCGAGGTTCAAACTAGAGGTGCACTTTAGGGCGGAGTCGAAAAACGCGTCCCAAATGGGACCAGGCGCGTGGTTCGGGAAGAAACATGTGATGGCCGCCCGCCGCGTTATTTTTTGTTAATCGTGGCCGCAGCAAGTATTTCTCCAAAACCTTGTTCAAAACATGACGAACTTGAAAGCGCTGAACACGACACAATCACCCCCAACTTCCTTCCCTTTCACATTCCAAATCCCTCCTCATACAGACCTTTACCGTAAACCCGCGCTGACCTCCGCGTCTCAACCCACTTTCTACACCCCTATCACACTCAAGAATCTTCGATCGGCCACGGTAAAAATCAAGAAAATCCAGTATGCTCACCTCTACGACCAGGCGGGTATCGTAATTCTCTGGGCTAACCGTCCTGAAATCTGGATCAAAGCTGGAGTCGAGTACTTCGAGGGGAAGTTGAAGCGGTCATCTGTCGCGCCCGGAGTGGGAGGCTGGAGTGATTGGAATATTGCAGAACCTGTCAAAGACGGCGAAGGCATTGTAGTCGAGGCGAAGAGAGATAGACCCCAAGGCACGGCCTTGGTTCTTACAGTTAATGGCCAGATGGTGCGGAAGATTTCGGGGGTCTTCGAGGACGAAGAAGAGCCTGTTTGGGTGGGCATATATGGCGCGCGTCCTGCAGATGTACATGGAGTTTTAGAAGTTGAGGTGGAGGCGTTCGAGATTGAACAAGTCTAATCTCAGGCCACTACTCTAGCTACCACACGCGGATGGTCGGCGTTCGAATGGCAACGATTAACAAAGGTGTATGATACCCCATCGGCTTTTGGGAAAGTAGGGCTGAGTTATACAGAGTAGAATTATTTGGGTCAAACAACACACCCTCGACCCTCAGGTAGCGTCAATCTTGTCGACATCGAATCATGGTGGTCTGAAGGGGAAGGATCGTGTGATGGGATCTCGAGGCAGTTTGAAGCTCCGACGGGCGCTTCTTGGTCAGTGAACGCTCGTCGCATGTGCAATTCACTCTGGATAGTGAAAATACCCGGGTTTCTTGCGAGAAGGCATACCTAAACGCAGCAATATCCACTCATCACGGGGCAGTGAGTATTGCTTCCTGCCTTTCGAAGCCAGGACCATGTGACCCTTGGATTATTATCAGGACCTTCCCCGTTATTCTTGACGGGATCCATATTATAAAAGGGAAAGGGATCAGAGGCATCCGTTACCAGTCCGTCACGATGTCACCCCCAGACCTCAATCCTCTCAACACAACGCAAGCACCACCGAGCACTTTCCCCTTCACCTTTCGCATCCCTCCGCGTACAGATCTATGGCGCAAACCACCGTCTACCTTCTCAGCCAACCAGCCCACATTTTACACCCCAATCACACTCAAATCTCTTCGCTCTGCAACGGTCAAAATCAAGGAGATGCCCTACTCTCAGTTGTACGACCAAGCGGGGGTAGTCTTCATATGGGCCAAACGACCAGACGTCTGGATTAAATTTGGAGTCGAGTTCTATGAAGAGCAGTTGAGGCGATCTACTGTAGCGCCTGGGCTAGGGGGTTGGAGTGACTGGAGCGTGGGCGCCCCTGTCGAGGATAACAAAGATATAGTCGTACATGCGGAGAGGGAGAAGGATGAAGGATCGGCTCTGATTGTCAAGGTCGATGGGATAATTATCAGGGAGATTCAAGGTTTTTTCGTTCCCGAGAACGAGAATGAGACCATTTGGGTGGGCGTGTACGGAGCGAGGCCTGCAGAGGTCGAAGAAGACTTGGATGTGGAAATAGAGGAATTCAAGGTCGAGCAGGCCTAGAATCTGCTGGTCTATCCGAGGGAGAAGAAGTACCGTGAAGCGAGAGATAGGAGAGTTCATAGTTCCCAGCTACCTCTAGGGTACAGTTGATACTGAACGAGAACTACGGCTAGCACGACGTTGAACGATGATCAGTGGCTATATTGGGAGCGCATTGAGTGATCCATAGTCGGACATTGCGCCTATAAAGGCCCTGGACTCCTCAGGGTTGAGTACCTGGCTCCATCGCATCGAGGGGGGATGTCGTCTTTGAAAACCTTAGCGCTCCTCGCCCTTATCGTCGCTACGTCGGTCTTTGCGGCGGAAATTGCTCAGGCGAGCGAGATTGAGGGTCCACTGCCGGTAGAGTCCCAGGTAGCCGCTTCCGACATGAGTGGGATTGACGAGGCTATACGCAGAGGGCACGCGACGACGGGAGACCCCACCATGTTATCAAACGCATCTACATCCCAAGGAGGTCCAAGTTACGAAAAATCAAGGTCGTTGCCGATACGCCCAAAGTCCAGCCTGTCCAACCTCCTGGTGTGCACATCACAGTCGAGGCGCATGTCAAGAGGGACTAAGTGTAACTGGTAAGCAAAGAGGCCGCCGTAGTCAGCGAGGCGAGTTCGCCGTTGTTGACAATCGTTTGCAGGATCGAGCTTTGGGTAAAGGCTTCAATGCATACTGGTATCAGGAGGAGATAACCGCCAGTGTATGCCCACACAGCAGAGGTTTTGCCCCTTATAGATCTAGATGAAAGGACACCAGAGCCCCGTATATATCAATGGTATTGGATCCTACGAGGCTGTCGCATCCATGAGTCGAAGCGGAAACATCGTACCCGGATGTAGCGACAGTGGCAATTGTCAGTAAGCACGAGGTCGAACCGGATGCATGGAGGCCTGCCATGTCTCAGTCTGCGTACTCGCGTAAGCTCGATATCACGGCCTACAGCGTAGGATGAGGAATCCTTTAAATTGAATGGTGCCATTACTCAGTGGCACTCCGCACTTGAAATGGTTAGGCTTACCTGTATCGCAGTTAGCGAAAATCGCAGCCTAGCGATATGCGAAAGCAAGTACAGGAACAAGCCGTTTGAGGGTCATGAGAACGGGACTAGGAGGGTCACGATGTCGATGAGTCAGAGCCGCTCATGCCAGCATGCTTTGCAAGCGGGCTGCAAAGCCTACAACAGGGCAGCTCCCGTCGATTGGAATCACGACACGCACGAGTCCCCCATGCCGGCAGCAAGATGAAGCATACAGGGTTTTGCAGGTGAAAAGCAGTCGATTAGATCGCTTGCGTTCCCGGAATCTGAATCCGAGTCATCGTACGCGCCAGCAAAAATATCGCTCGACTTTTTTTGTGAACTACATTTTCATGGGAAGGAGCTGGCCAGAACGTCGCCACTGAGACATCCAATGATAAATCGTTCATTCTCTGACCAGAAGCGGAGGGAGAAAGGGATGTGAGCGTCATGATCTTACGTTCCAAGTTTAAAACGGGCGCCTCGGTCAATATAAAGAGCCATCATGAAAACAAATCAGGCTGCTTATGTACGATCATTTTAGTAAAAGTGGCCTCACATTCCGGCTTTTGAAAAGTCGTATATCACGCTTCCTCCTCTAAATGAGACCATCATCCTCCTGCCAGTTCTCAGGCGTATATATTCCTTGACAACCTTGTCCGTATATTCTTTTCTCCCCATTCTCGTCCAACCCCGCTGACCCATCCAAGGCCCGGACGAACAGCCAAACTGGCTCCCAGTTTCGGTATACATGCACAAAGGGCCTGGGGGCTGACTTCATAACCACACCCCTGGCACCAAGGACTTCTTTTTCAGAATTCTGAAGAGTTCTTGATATGCCTGTCTGTCAATTCTACTTGACCAAATGCAGTGAATCCCTCCTCGACCTCGGTTGGAAGATTATCATGCCCAAACGGAATCCAGTTAACAGCGCCGACGACTCCAACTCGCCACCCAAGGACAACAGCGATCCCCTGTCCGTATTTCTGATCATCTCTGCGAAGGCGTATAGTTCCATCGGGTTTGGTTTGGTGAGTTGCCTTATTTCATCGTGTGCCTATTTAATTCTGACGTTATGGGAGTGTAGAGTGTTCTGGCAATATGGATGCGCTGGTTCCTGCCGGATTCTGCTGCACCAGGCCAGCCCGTAAAAGCCATCGCGAACATGCCTTCCCCAGGGCCAAAGACCCGTTCATCCTCGAAATTACGCGCCTTGCCGAGATCACCGCGCGTGCCCCCTCCGACCCCTATGCGTAGGCGATCCGCTCCACCGACCACCACCTACAGCCCTGTATCAATTCTCGAACATGGCTCCGCTCCACCTTCCCATTCAAGAGAACCTTCTGGGTCATCTCGACGCGTTTATTTCGCGGATATGCAGGCGCCTGTTTCCAGAAGGAACACAGAGCCCCTCGAGCGCCTCACTTTTGTTCCCGAAGAAGAAACCCAAATGCCCACACCTATCCCTTCCGTCCCTCCATCACCCCTCATTCTCAGTCCGATCTTAATTGAAAGCCCTCTCCTCACCTCTCTACCCGTAACGAACATGGTGACGCCGACACCAATAACGACCGTGGCACAGGATACCCCCTCTACGACCATTAATGACGAAAATTTTACCCAACCGGAAAACGAGAAAACCTCAACTACACCATCCTCTACTCCTCGACAACGCAAGTTAAGATTAAGCTTCACATTGAGGCCCAAACGCAATTCTCTGGACAAATCTCGGGAGGATCCTGTTGTCAGTCAAGGTAGTTGACACATTCATTGTGGCGTTCGACGGTTGCTTATGACCTTGCAGAACCCACCGTCGCAGTTAAATCCCAAAAGAAAACCCATATACCCTTAATCCCGCCATGGTCTACATCTAGGAAATCGTCGGCTTCTTCAGAGGGTTCGTCTGTTGGATCTTCTGATGCTGGATCCTCATCAAACAAACAATCGTCTCCATCCACCTCTCTTTTGTCCCCCTTCCACAAATCCCCATCTCCATCAACTAAATCTTCTAGCTCGACATCATCTGTTGGATCTCTTCAGTCGTTCCTGAACCATAAACGACGGATATCCGCCCCGGTTGCGAGAACAAGTCCTTATGAAGCGCCGTACTTTGCTACACCTCCGCTCGTGGTGGACGACTCATATTCAACGTACTTGAAGCGACTGCCACAGTTTGAAGATGATATGCATGCGAATCCCACGCGGGAACGACGCGGGCGCTCGTCGGATGCGTCTGGGAGGCCTTCATCTTCCGATGGTACCGTGAAGTCACCCCAACGACCAGTGCCCAAACGTAGGTCTGCCAGCCTGAACGTGGAGCCAAGGGTAACAGTGCAGGAGGTCCGGTCATAACTTTCCACAGTCTAATTTGTAAGCTCCGTCTTCCTACTTGGTCGATTATCTTGAACTGACCGAGCAGCAGATTCTACTTTTGGGCTCCTCCATGGTTCTAACTTATCATCGTTGTTTATTTCTCGCATGGACAAGTGGGCAAGTGTAAAATATCGTCAATGCATCTGTTTGTTGTTCGAATGTCCGATAAAAACCCCCCAGAGATATCTACCCTATGTTTTACATTCTAGTTTATTAGAGCTAATATATTGGTGACGTGATTACGTTAGAGGCTATTGGAGCAGATTATCCCGTTTGCTCCTTTCCTTCCAACGACCACAACTAAAATGTCGAATTCCACGCCCTACACACCTGCGACCGAGCCAGTAACCATCGACGGTTCCGAGTTCGTCCCAGCATTGGTCGCAATCGACATGCAGAACGATTTCGTCTCGGGCTCGCTTGCAGTCCCAGGCGCCGAAGCCATCATCCCCATCGTCAATGCGCTCATCGACCACCCGGGCTTCAAATTCAAAGTCGCCACTCGAGACTTTCACCCAGACAACCACGTCTCCTTTGCCCAAACCCACAACAAGCCAGTACTCTCGAAAGCGATCATCTTCCACCCGGAAGATAAAGACAAGTTGATGGGATTGGAACAGGTTTTGTGGCCGGTACATTGCGTGGCCAATACTGAAGGAGCGGAATTCGTCCCTGGCCTGATAAAGGACAAGTTTGACCACATTGTGCACAAGGGAACCCATCCCGATATCGAGTCCTACAGCGCGTTCAAGGACATTTGGGGCAAGCACACTTCGGAACTGCCAGAGATGTTGAAGGAGAAGAAGATCACGGATGTATTCTATGTCGGACTGGCAGGAGATTACTGTGTCAAGTACACGGCGATCGACTCTGTCTCCTTTGGTTTCAGGAGTTGGGTGGTGGTGGATGGTGTGAAGAGTATCAGCTCGGATTGCGTGGCTTGGGACAAGATGGCTACGGAGGGAGTCAAATTTACCACCTCTAAAGACGTATTGACTAGATTGGGACAAGTTAACTAGTTGAAATGTGACCGTTTTGCCTTGATTAGTAGTTGGAGAGGTACGAGGAGGAGCAGGTTTCGGGACCGCGACCTACCGCGACGGGAGTGGCACAGCCACCGGCGAGGGTCAAGCTGACTAAGCAGGACTGTTGGCAATCCCAATGAGCCTACAGCTTTCGAGTTTAAACCAGTTCCACCAAGTCCCTCTATTTTACCCTAACCTCTCTAATGGCCACCGATGACCTCTACAATCTCGAGTTCCTCTCTCTCGTCGCAAAGATTACCCAGGAAATTAACAGCCACCTGGGTATAAACGACAAAACAGTAGCTGAATTCATCATCGACTTGCACGACCAATGTAAAGCCAACCTCACCGAGTTCAAGAAGAAGTTGCACGAGATGGAGGCTGGGTTTACCGACTCCAACATCGAGAACATCGACCGGTTGATCCTGACGATGCACCCAAAGCATAAAAAGGCCAGGAAGTCCAAGAAGGAGGCAAAAGGAGAGAAAGAGGATGGAGATGTGTTGGACGAGCAGGAGAAGACGAGGCGGCTCTTCCCTGGTCTTGCGATTCAGAACAAAGAGCCTCCACCGGCTGTTGACGACGATGTGTTCCTAAAGGAGCTGGGAGATATTGTGTCGGGGAAGAAAACGAGGCAAACCTCGCATTCTGAGGAACCACCCGCGAAACGTCAGCGCAGGAGTCGTTCCCCTTCACCTTATCGAGGTCGGAGTCCTGGACGTGGCGGGTATGATAGGAGAGATAGGGATGATAGATACGATAGAAGACCTGGGAGGGCGCAGTTGGACGAGCGACCGGTGGTGTTCAAGATTTACGAGGGAAAGGTAGCGGGCATCAAGGACTTTGGTGCTTTCGTCCAATTGGAGGGGGTCGCTGGTCGTGTTGAAGGTATGTATCTTTATTTCCTTAAAGTTGGAAGTAAAAACTAATGTCCATATAGGTATGGTTCATGTTTCCAATATTCAGGCTGGTGCAAGAGCCAACTCGGCGGCGGATCTCCTGAGCAGAGGGCAGCGTGTCAAGGTCAAAGTTATGAGTGTTGCCGGCGGACGGATCGGTCTTTCAATGAAGGATGTCGACCAAGTCACTGGACGGGACCTTACACCACACTTGCGTATCAAATCGGAGGCAGAGATGGAGGAGGAGAGGGCTCGAGCAGCTCGTGCTAGTTCAGGTGCCAACGCACTGCCCCTCAATTCAAAGGACGATAAACCTGTACGGTCGACGAAGCGGCTAACTTCCCCCGAACGATGGGAGCTCAAGCAGCTTATCTCCTCTGGTGCTCTGAACCCAGCAGACTACCCAGAGTTGGAGGAAGACCTTCACGACCCTATCGCTCGCGCAGAAGTGGAAGAGGAGCTGGACGTCGAGATCCGAGAAGACGAACCGCCTTTCCTTGCTGGACAAACGAAACGAACACTTGACCTGAGTCCCGTCAAAATTGTCAAAGCACCTGACGGCTCTCTCAATCGCGCTGCCTTGGCTGGTGCGGCTCTGGCAAAAGAACGTAGGGAACTCAGGCAACAAGAGGCTAATGAAGAAGCTGATTCGCAAGCACGCGATTTCAGTCAGCCTTGGTTGGATCCTATGTCAAAGGAGGGGGACAAGCTGTTTGCACAGGACCTGAGGGGCAATCTGCGGAGTCAGAAAGCTAGCGAGGTTCCGTCATGGAAGCAGTCGAGTTTCAACAAGGCGACAACGTTCGGTGAGATCACCACGTTGAGCATCCAGGAGCAGAGGAGGTCGCTTCCTATCTACAAGCTTAGGGACCCGTTGTTGAAGGCCGTAGAAGAGGTATGTTCTCCCTTCCTATCCATCCGATATCCATGCTGACTTTGTTTAGCATCAAGTCCTCATTGTCGTCGGTGACACGGGTTCAGGAAAGACCACACAAATGGTGCAATACCTCGCCGAAGCGGGATACGCAGATAAAGGCCGTATTGGCTGCACCCAACCTCGTCGTGTGGCTGCGATGTCGGTGGCCAAACGTGTGGCAGAAGAGGTGGGTTGTCGCCTCGGCCAAGAAGTCGGATATACCATTCGTTTCGAGGATTGCACAAGTCCAGAAACGAGAATCAAGTACATGACGGACGGTATGCTTCAAAGAGAATGCTTGATCGACCCGCTATGTAGTCAGTACTCGGTGATCATGTTGGACGAGGCCCACGAACGGACGATTGCCACTGACGTTCTGTTCGGTTTGCTTAAGAGTATGTACCCAGGCTGATTCCCCTCTGGTAATTTTACTAACAATCCTCCGCAGAGGCCGTCAAGAAACGACCTGATCTAAAACTCATTGTCACCTCCGCCACTTTGGACGCTGAGAAGTTTTCAAAATACTTCTTTGGATGTCCCATCTTCACCATTCCCGGTCGCACATACCCTGTCGAAATTCTCTACACCAAAGAACCCGAGAGCGATTATCTCGACGCCTCCCTTATCACCGTCATGCAAATCCACCTTTCTGAACCTCCCGGCGATATCCTTCTTTTCCTAACGGGTCAAGAAGAGATTGACACGGCATGCGAGATCCTCTTCGAGCGTATGAAGGCACTCGGCCCCAAAGTACCTGAACTCATCATCCTCCCCATCTACTCCGCGCTCCCTTCGGAAGTCCAATCCCGTGTGTTCGAACCTACACCCCCAGGAGCACGTAAAGTCGTCATTGCCACCAACGTCGCTGAAACCAGTTTGACGATCCCCGGTATCTACTACGTCATCGACCCCGGCTTCTCTAAGCAGAACGCGTACGATCCGAGATTGGGTATGGACTCGCTCGTCGTCATGCCTATCTCCCAAGCGCAGGCTCGACAGCGTGCTGGTCGTGCCGGACGTACGGGCCCTGGAAAGTGCTATCGACTTTACACCGAAGCGGCCTTTAGGAATGAAATGTTGCCCAACTCGATCCCTGATATCCAGAGGACGAACTTGTCGGCAACGATTCTCCAGCTCAAGGCCATGGGTATCAACGATTTGCTCAGCTTCGATTTCATGGACCCGCCACCAGCACAGACCATGTTAACAGCACTGGAAGGGTTGTATGCCTTGTCGGCACTCGACGACGAGGGTCTTCTGACTCGTTTGGGTCGCAAGATGGCGGACTTCCCTATGGAGCCTCCTCTCGCCAAGATGCTTATCGCCTCCGTCGAGTTGGGATGCTCAGAGGAGATTCTCTCTATTGTCGCGATGTTGTCGGTGCAGAGCGTGTTCTACCGGCCGAAGGAGAAGCAGGCTCAGGCAGACTCCAAGAAGGCCAAGTTCCATCAGCCAGAGGGTGACCATCTTACGCTGTTGACGGTGTATAATGGTTGGAAGGCGGCCAACTTCTCTAACCCTTGGTGTTATGAGAACTTCATTCAGGCGAGGAGTATGAGGAGAGCGCAGGACGTCCGGAAGCAGTTGCTTGGTATCATGGACAGGTACGTTTTCTTGCCCGTCCTAGGCTCGGGAGTCTTGTTGCTAACACATTTCCAGGTACAAGCACGATATCCTTTCTGCAGGCCGAGATTACAACAAAGTACGAAAGGCCATTTGCTCAGGTTTCTTCCGAAACGCGGCCAAGAAGGATCCTCAAGAAGGCTACAAGACCCTCGTCGAGGGCACACCAGTCTACATCCACCCTTCCTCTGCACTGTTCAACCGCGCTCCTGAATGGCTCGTCTACCACGAATTGGTCCTCACAACACGAGAGTACTGCCATAACGTAACCGTTGTCGAGCCCAAGTGGTTGGTGGAGGTCGCACCGCAGTTCTTCAAGGTTGCGGATGCGAACAAGATCAGTAAGAGGAAGAAACAGGAGAAGATCGAGCCGCTGTACAACAAGTACGAGAAACCCGACGAATGGCGGTTGTCCAAAATCAAGCGCAGTGCACGATCGGTATGTTCATTTAATTTGATGCTTTGAACTGGGTTACTGACGGTATATGTGCAGAGTCAAACATTCGGTTGAAGCGTTCCCTTGGTTGTTGTCTTGTCTATTTACTGTCGCTTTTGTTCTATAAATACATACAGTGTTGTTCAAAATTATATCCAATGCCAGGCGTGTTTGAACGAGTCATACAGGAAAGCGAAGGACATGGGGGACGTTGAGTCTATTAGAAGGACAGTCAGAAACCTGAGAGTGCAAGAACAATAAGAGGACAAACCTGAATGCCGATTATCCTACGAATCTCAATGCGTCGGCGCCAATGTAGTATTTTGCAACTTCTCCGGGTTTGGATGGCGGGGCATTGGTGTCCGGCACAAGCATAAATGTTTGAGAAAAGACTCGGGGATGACCCTCGATGGTCTTGGCGGGTGTATTGACAGGGTTGCCTCCTGGGCCTTTTCCGTGTGTAACGTTTCCGGAAACCGTTACGAGCAAAGAGGGTGGCTGAGAGCCTACAAAAAAGTCAATGAAATCTCTTCGACAGTGACAACATATACACACCTGGAATAGGATGACAATCAAATGATTGAACTTCATGTTTCGTCGGAGGCATATTCTCAATCAACTGCCTCAACCCATCTGCACCTTGAAACGGCTTCCCATTCCAAGTCAGAGATGAACTAGGACGGTAAAACTGGGGAAGGTCGGCGAGGCGGGTGTCTGAATCGTATGAAGTGTAGTATAAGCGGGTGAAGTTGTCTGCTGCACGGGTAGCGATTTCGATGCTGAATGGGGGAGATTTTTATTTGAGCGGGAGGTCGGAAGGGCAAAGGAGGGAAGACGCGCACTCGCTGGTCGTGAGCGATGTCGAAGGTGCGACTGGGGTGGCCATAGTTGTTGTCGTCGTCGTTGGTGGTGGGTTTGTGTTGTGGTCGGCGTCGCGGTCGTGGTTGTGGTCAATGGACAAGCTGTGACCGTGGTCGACTCGCGTTGATGAGAGCAATGAGACCGCTTCCGAACCGAACAGGGATTCAGAGTTTTGATCTTCTCACGTCAACCAACGTCGTTCCAAGGCGGTCCTCAATAATCCCTCCCTAGTAGTCGAGGCCGCCTCCTTGCCGCCTAGCACAATGTCGGACACCCAGATTCGTGTGTTGAGCCTAAATTGTTGGCGAGTACAGTCCCCCTTGTCTTTATTTCACGCGAATTGAACTTGAATAGGGGCCTCAAGTTCGTCGCCAAAAACCGAGAGGAACGCATTGAGGCCATTGCCCACGAGCTATCGACCTTAAACCACGACATCATTGCTCTTCAAGAGATATGGGTGCATTCCGACTACCAGAAGGTTCAGGAGAGGGTCTCGAAGAGATTGCCCCATGCAAAGTTCTTCTACAGGTGCGCCGGCGCCTCGAGGCCTTAAAGGTCAGGTTCTGACTACTTGTCGCTGGAAGTGGTGCTCTGGGTGCAGGTCTTGCGATATTTACCCGATACCCCATTATCTCAACATCTGTCGTACCCTATTCGCTGAACGGAGCACCTATTGACGTCGCTGCCGGCGATTGGTTCGTCGGGAAAGCTGCAGCCAGCGTCGTCATACTGCATCCCATACTTGGCCAAGTCCAGGTCTTCAATACCCATGTACGTCCCACATGGGTCTATAGGAAGAGCAGTGACCCTAACGAAACGGCAGTTATTCGCGAAAGGTGGTGAGGATGGCCCAGAGTTCCTCCGAGCTCATCGCCTCGTCGGCGCTTGGGAGTTTGCGAAACTAGCGAGACAGGCCGCAGAGGTTGGCCGCTATGTTATCGCTGTAAGTAACTCTATACTCTTCCTTTGCCGACGTTCTAAGCATCGCCCATAGCTCGGTGACTTCAACAGTATCCCTCCCACTCTCCCCATGAGTATCATCCTGAACCACGCCTCCCTGACCGACGCATGGACAGCGACTCACCCGGGTTACGAATCCGGACCCGTCCCCAAGACCGCCTTGGAAGCAGTCGAGCGCCATGGAATCACAGCCGATTCGCCTCTCAACACCTGGTCAGCAGGCAAACGTCCTCACGGCTGGGGCAAACGTCTCGACTACTGTCTCTACCGCCAACCCGTCCGCCATGCCTCTGACAAGCCCGTTCCGAACCTCCGCGCAACAGACTGCAAAGTCGTCTTCACCGAACACGTACCTGGATATACCTTTTCTTTCTCGGACCACTTTGGTTTAGAGGCTACGCTGGAGATCGAGACTAGCATGGCGGATATGCCGAATACCCTCGATATACCCAAGGAACTCTCAAGCGCTCATATCGCTACCGCCATCCAGGCTTGGACGGAATGTTACAGGAATGCAAAGAACAGGTCAAAGAACGAACTGATCGTCTTTGCGCTTTCATTTGCTTCCCTCATCGCGGTTATCATTGGTTCAGCATGGCTCCCTCATGCGTGGATCAATCCCATCTTCCTTGTCTTCACGTTGGTGGTCGCATGGTTGGCCACGACGATGCTATATCACGGCTTCTTGTATGGCAATTGGGAATGCAATGCACTGATGAACGCCATCGAAGACATGGAACACCACCGCCTTGGATTGGAGCTTCTCAAGGGACGTACTCCCCCAAGTCAATACAGTTAATCCGACGCTTCTAAAGGGTTTTGCTTCTACCATACCCCTGCTCGTACCAGCTGCCTTATCTACAATTGTCAGAATACATCTCCCTTGTCATGATTTTACGACCTTTCTTGCCCCATTTTAAATAAATGTTAATAACGCCTTTAATATATTGACTCTAATGCTAACTAAAAATACAGGATGCTGGACTGTACAGTAGGTCATTACACCGTCAATGGCAATGAGTGACATGTGGTATCAAGATGGTTGAAGGGTTCACGGGGAAGTGAGTGTGTAGTGATCTTGCCTGTAAGTATGTAAATGCTAAAAGATGCTGTCATGAAGAAATGGTCGTGGCGCAAGGATCGTCAGTGGTGGTGGTCGATCTAAAAACAGATCTAGGGCATCTCATGTAGTGTTGGCGGGATAAAGATACGTGTGGTTGGCGGGGCCTTCCCTTGACCAGTTGTCTACCAACGAAGCCAGGTCAGGGTGACTGCCGCCCCTTGCGGAGCGTCGGAGGGCGGGTGGTGGTGGAGGGGAATTCTGGACAGTCGACATCGCCAACGCTGCCGACCGCAGGGTATTGTAACTCCTCTGGGGCCTCGCTTTCGGGGATGATGGAGTTGAAGAGCAAGGGTGAAGCAGGGTCTGAGAACGAGGTCGAGTTCGCGCAGGGACTGATTCAGGCCGTGGGGAGGGGGGCGACAACGTCATGTTAGGAATTGGGAGATCGTCTTCTTCCGCAAGTCGATTCAAAACAGGGGAACGTATCCAACTTGGGGACACTTCCTTGTCGTCATCCGTATCGGAAGACTGGTCGGAGGCGGTGGATCCCTGTTCAAAGTCTTCCATTCGCTCCTTGTTCTTGGCCATTTCGGTACCATCTCCACTGACGAGGACGGCGTCCGAGCTCTCGATCTCCTTCTCCAACCCACGCTCTGTAGTGACAGGCAGGGGCTGCGGCGATCCGCTCTGGACCTGCGGAAGGACGTGCTTCACAAAGTGGCGTATGGATCCGAATGCCTGCTTCGAGGCATCGAGGAAAGGGTATGCTTGAAACACATGAATCTGGAAATGACATAAGAACGTTGTACAGGTTTCCACAGGGGTCACGACTTACGCAATCCTCGTAGAGTTCATGGTAGACTTGAACACCTGCGAGGGTCGCCTTATGGGCAAGCAAGGTGATTTCATCTCGAAGGACTTCGGCTTCCCCGGCTTGGATGAGGAGAGGGGGCAGCCCAGTCATGTCTCCGAACAGAGGGGAAGCGTAAGGGTGGGTGAGGTACTTTTCCATATGCTCTCCGAGGTACATAGCGATGGGGTTCATGTAGCAGTCCGCGGAAGGGAATGGTACGACATCATAGGGAGCATTCAGGTCCCAGGATTCGCAGCTAAGGGTGAGGTCTAGAGCCAAAACCTTTCAGATGGACGGTTTGTATACCAATGTAACGTACTTACCGCACCACGGTGACATAAGAATTGCCCCGGACGGCAAAGGATATTCATTGTCGCGAAGATAGAGGAGGAGAGCAAGAGAAAGTCCACCACCAGCGCTATCACCAGCGACAATGATGTTCTCGGGAGGTATTTTGAGATCGTCCACAAGCCGCATGTATGCGCTGACGGCATCGTGCAGGGGACCAGGGAAGCATGTTTCGGGAGCCAGTCGGTAATCGAGCGCTTAATTGGCGTTAATTATAGCTTAACAATGTAATCTCAGTCGGACCTACCGAACACCCGTGCATCTGCCCATTTCGATAAGGGAATGCTGATTATTCGCTGGGCTGCAGCACTGGACAGGTAGTATGCTCCTGCGAACGGTGATATTGAGTCAACATGACAAACGTTCGAGTGGCAAAGCGGTGACATACCTCCATGGATGTACAAGACTACACGCTCTTTCCTCTTCGGACTAGTTCTCGGTGAATCTCCTTCTGCCCGTGGCTTTCCTGATTTCCAATCATGCTGCAGCCTCTGCCACGTCTTCCTTCCCACAACCCATTCGCCATACAACTCGCGCTTGCCCGTCTCCGCCGCATCGAAATCTGCCAGAATACCTCGTAGATTTCGACGTTTGACATGGAATGTAACCGGCGTGACGATAGCATCTGAAGGCAATGGTGCGAAACCAGTCAGGCTCATAACCATCCTCAGCAAGTCCTGGAGGGCAATATTAACTTCGGAGAAATAAAGCGGGCGTACATCACGCGAGCAAGGACACATCACGCGAGCAAGGACTCACAATGTCGACGAGGTCGGCGTGACGTTCCATTTCGCGGATTAGGCTCGTCACGACAGTCATCTCGATGCCCCAGGACTTTCTCCTCGGTCCCCAAATCTTGTGAGAGAGCACCTCAGTGGTAACATGGGTTGCTAAAGGACCTTCGTTCAGCACACGAACAGACATCCCAGATCGGACGCCGGCTCACCTTTGGTAGCAGCAACAGCAGCAAACTTCCAGTACTCCCAAAACCTTGGAGGTCGTCGCGGTGGCACCTTGAGCTTGGGGTCGATTCGCGCCGACGGTGGGGCAATCCCCGGGGTTGAGTAAAAAGACAGAGCGTCTGTGGGGGACCTCTTGATGAGCTGGGAAGTTGGTTCGTTGGGCGCTACCGCACGATGACGGGTGAATACACGGGGCACGATATTGGATAGGGTAGCGAGGGGCATCTGGATTGCATGGGGAGCAGAAGGAAAGAGAAAAGGGGAAGAACGTCTCATAATAAGTTCCCCAGTCTCAGTGTCCGTCACCCCACGTGCTCCATCGGATCTGGTCATACCCCAACGCTTCGGCACCATAATTTTAGCGCCGTTTCACAGCCGTTCGCCCAGAAAAAGCGCAGAGGCGCCAGTATTTATATGATACACGTCCTGAACCAACTACAGTACAGGACTTGAAAGCAGATTGGGTGAATAAAGCCAATCTAGTACTCCGGGTGCCCAACCCCGCATTCGCTCGTATCTGGCTCCGATCAATAATCATCTCCACGCGTCACAATTTCCTTGCACGTCGGGCGCAATAGAATCGTGTGTTCCTATAACAGCGTCTTCAGCGCTCCAAAGAGAACCAATGATAATCATGCGGTATATCACTCACAAACTGTGCAGTCATAGAGCCAGGAATGTCGCAAAGGGGAGGGTAATCCTCTACGATCCCTTGTTGGACCAGGTGGTTCAACTGAGATCATACCATTAGCGTATGTTTCCGTTCCAGAAAGTTCCAACTTACAGCCAAGAGGTACTTGGTTTCCCCCAGACGATCTAGATAACGTCTGCAGAAGGGTAGCGTGCCAAAGTTCTTATTGATCGTGTTCAACAAAGACTTGGCGGTGGTCAGCCTGGATGACAGTGACCGTTGCTCAGCTGACTGCGCTAAAACAAAAAGGAAGGACATACCGGAGGGGCACATGAGGTGCATCCACCCTTTTGGCGTAATGAGAGCATTCTCCCTACGTCAAGTTAGGACGAGAATAATGCTAAGGGGAAAGGGACTTACACTTTCGACAATGCGACCCCGGCCAGTCGATCCGAAAGTCTCAATGGCGAAGTATTCACCCTCCTCCATCTTGGTGTCATCTTCGCTCTTGACCAACAGCACGGATTTACCGCCGTGAATTTGATAGCGATTGATGGAGTGGCCGCTGAGATTGGAGATGGGTTTAACTGGAATTGTAAATCAGTGTGGAGTACGACACAAGTCAAGAAATGAAATCATACCAGGGTACACCTTGTTTCCGACCTCGACTTCATAGGATTCCATGGTCTCTTGGATCAACCCACCCAATTCGCCTAGGCGGACATCGATACCGGCTTCCTGTGCGAAGATTAACTCGAATCCTTAGTGGAACGGAGGATGGACTCACTCGAACACCAGTTTCCGTCGCGGCCTTGACAGCCTCGATGAGTTTGTCGTACGTCGGCTCGAAGTTGAGGGTAAAGGCAGAATCGGCTATGCGACCATTAACTTGAATACCAATATCGACCTTGAGGACATCTTCCGCCTTCAGCACTAAATGACAACCCTAACTTCAGCATCGAGATTAAACGAAAACCGAGGACCAACATACCGATATTATCACCTGCGTTAGGCGTATAATGGGCGGCGCAATGGTTCAAACTGAGTCCTGTAGGGAACCCAATTCCAGCCTCCAATCCGTTCTCCTCTACGACGGCACGAGTTCCATCTTCAATCATGTTCGCGATATCCGTCATAGACATTCCAGGTTTAATCCATTTTTGAGCGTGTTGACGAACAACCCTGTGCGCTTCAGCGGCTTTTCTGATGTTGTTGTAGGTCATCTCCGGATCTTCCATAGCCAACCTTTCTTCATAGCGCTTTTCTTCAGAAGTAATACGATATCGATTACTGGAACAATTGTGTTAAAACCTTTGGACCGTATTGAGGAAGTGGATACGCACTCGTCCTTGTACTCCTGGATCTCTCCAACAGGATAGTTTCCATCGGGGAAGAACTTGGAAAGTCCAACGCGAGGAGGGTCACTCTGCCCAGTTTTTCCAGATTTCTTCTTGGGTTTTTTCTTCTTCTTTTTCTTTTTCGCCGCACCTACCCATGAAAATTTAGTGTCAGCCTTCAAAGGATATCAGCGGATTAGAAAAAACCTAAATCCCACCTTCTACAGGCGCACCGTCCTCAACTTCCTCGTCTCCCTCTTCATTTTCCTCCTGTTGCTCCACAACGGGTTGCTCTCCGTTCTGAATCTTCTTCTCTTCTTCCTCGACCTTGGGGACACTTGCAGCCGACATTTCCCAAAAGATAGCGGTGGTGTTGGTCCTAGAAACGAAGAAACAGACAGAGATTATTTGCGATCACTTTTATTAGACTTTAGTCATGACGCCTATGTCAGGTGATGATATCATTGAACTTTAGACGAAGACAGGGGGTAAAGTAGGATACGATATAATTTACAAGACACCAAACACAGTAGTATAAAACTAGAGAAGAAACAGCTACGACTGGGCGGACAGAAAGAATGAACATCAAACGGTGCCCATACGATCGATATACAGCTTCCACACAAGGCCTCCGCTTTCCCCTACTTCCAAGACGCTCTGGCCAACAGGTAAATGAATGTCCCATTCACCTGTAGTCTCAGGCTGCTCCTTTATTACAAGGTTGTTAACCTTTACCTGTAATTCTCCAGGCTTCGAAGGAGAGTCTTTACTCTTGGCGGATTTCAAGTTCGCCTGCCTTGCAGAAGCGCGAGTAGGAGGTCGCCCCCGCCGTCGCTTCCCCTTCTCCTTCCTAACCTTTCCATTCCTTCCCGGACTATGATCAACGTCCATATCATCATCCCCTTCGTCTTCCTCCTCTTCCTCCTCGCTAGTCCCATCATCATCGTCATGTTGGTTGAGGAACATGACATTATTGAGGATAATCCGCGACTCTCCTGGACCTAATCGAATCGCCCAAGACCGCACTCCGTCCTTGTGATCAAGCCATACAACTCGTCCACGAGGTTGTATTTCCACTTTGGCGCACTTTAACTGATGTTGATTGGAAATCGCTGGCGCTGGACTGGGAGCTGGAGGTGCAGCTGGGACCGCAGCCGGAACTGAAGGAGCCACAGGAATCTCCGCAACAACCGGTGGGGCAGGCGGGGGCGCAACATGTACTGGAGCGGGTGCAGGTGTATGGATGAAAGAAGTGGTTGCGTATGGTGCTGGGGCAGGGAGTGGAGTGGCTTGCTTAACTGGGGTAGCTACTGTACGAGGACTGGGCGCAGGTTTCGGCGTAGCGGTTACCTTCATCACAGGAAGTTTGGGACTCGGTGCCTTAGCGACCGGAGGTGGTGGAGCAGGAGCAGGAGTAGGAGCAACAACAGGTGATCGAGTGGGCTCTGGCCTGGGTGCTGCAGTATTCCTAGCAACTGGAAGGGTGGGCGGGGGAAGAGAAGGCTTGGAAGCTGGTGTTGCAGCAGGCACTCGAAGGGTGAGGGAAGGGGTATGTCCCGACGACGAAGCCTGGGCGGCCGGTGGCTTAATTTTGATTTTCGTCGTCGGCTGTGTGTACTGAGGCACGGCGTATTGGGGTGGGAGGTCAGACATTAACTGACGGAAAGTGTTCTAAAAGCGATAACGTTAGGCGGGTCGCTGCGTTTAGTGGTCGAGGACATACTCTGAGCGTCAAGGCATCCTCCCATATAGGTGTATGGTCCTGGTTGAAGAACATGGCATTGCTGAAGATGAGTTCAACCTCGTTGGCAAACTCTTCACTCGTTGAAAATTCCTTGCGCTTGAGCCGCTTCTATACGGAGTGTTAGCGACGACCTCCTGAGAGAAGAGGAAGGAATTACGAAAATGTTATTGAAACACTGGGGTTTCTTGATCGTTTTGTAGTAATCCGGCCACAGTTTTCGAGACGGGAGCTCCATGAATTCGGTTGATATTGGACGGCCACTAGAGGAATTTGGTCAGGTAGAGGGATGGGTAAAGGGAAAACAGAACTCACGTCTCGTCCTTCTTATCCACCAGTTTCTGCAGTCTGCTTTTTAACATGCGAGTCAAGCTCGGAGGCTTCGACTTTTTCTCGCCATTTTCACTGGGAACAATCTTGCTGTACGTTTTGTTCGTGAGTTTCTGCAAAAAGAAATGGTTACATCGTCGTTTAGGCCTGGAGAAACGAATGCAACGTACCAACAAGTCCTTTGCATCCTTCCAGAGCTGACTCTCCGAGAGATTGTATGTCATGGCATTGTTGAAGCAGAGTTCAAAGTCTTGCCGAACCGCTTCTAGAGTGGGATACACGCCCTTGTCCAGCTTGGACTTGATGTCTTCAAAAGCTATGGGGTGTTGGATAATGACATAGTAGTCGGGATAGTGCCTCTTGGGGACCTTGCGCAAGAACGGAGGAGCCAAGGGACGACCGCTGTGGAAAGTGGTTGTAAGAACATGATGGTTTGGAAACAACCAAGGTCGGATAACAGACGCTGGGAAATGATACTCACTCTTTGCTGACCGCATCCTTTAGTGTCTGCAACAATGTCAACCCATGGATCCTGACCTCCTCGGGCGTCATCGGTGGCCTCGTCGCACGTCCATGCTCACCGCCATCGTCTTCAGCGTCAGTTCCCTCATGATCCGACATGTAGACATCCCCGTCTGAAGTCCCTGCTTCAGTTGCACCGACTCGAGCTCGTTTAGGCCGCGACGGATCTGCCAGGTCTGTTGCGCCATTCGACAGCCTCTTCGACATTTCGCTGCTTCGATACGACTTCCGGCTCTTCTGCAAACTTGTTGATTTTCAGAGATACGGCGTCGAGTATTTCGAGGAGATTTAATAGTCTCTGTGAGGTTTGCGACGCAGAATTAACCCTCTCTGGCCTTGTATGCGGGTCAACCCACGTGACGTGACGCGTTTGATTCATCTTGTTTTGGACTGTTTTAGGTTTCGCTCTGAGCCTCTCCCTTTAAGCGCGTACCTCTCGAGCTGGTGCATCTGCTCTGGCAGAGACACCCTTGGTCGCGAGACGACTACAATGACCACCGACTGTCCCCTTGAATTAAATCCAACCTCCTTCCAGAACCACGGAAGGCGATTATTAGCTTGAATATTGATACAGAGATCGGCTACGGTAACGAAACCTAAAGGTTAAGTAACAAGGGAAACCTGATATACATGCAAGGGGACGAATTGAGCCAACAAGGGAAAGGTGTATGTGAGGACGAACGCAAGGACGAGGGAGTTACTAATGGCGTGAAAGCCGACAGACAGCGAGAAAGGGATAAACAGCGACAGAAAAGGGAGGGTATGGGATGAAGATTGATAGCCAAAGGTTGGATTAGATGGGATGCGAATGCGGAGTGTGTGGATGTGTATTACGTTCAGTCCAAGGTCTGCTTGTCATATGTAGGGGCGCATTAAAGCTTCGTCCAGTCGTGTGGGGTTCATCGATCGTCGTCGACGCGTTCGACCGAGTCGACAATCTCGTTCACCAGTTCGTGTGTAACACCGGGGATAATTCGTTCTGCCTCGGTGAAGGCTCTCTGAAGCGCGCTGAGGGCGACACGCGCCTCCTGCGTCGAGACTCGAGGGAAGAGCTGCACGAAACCTATCAGCGATCTGGTCCTGGCAGAATGCGTATAAATTACATACTGATGCAATGGCAGGAAGCACCACCGAATCGAGCATCGTCGTGTCAGGAACATCATCCTCTATGTGTAGGTCATCGACCTTGTCCTGAAGAGCTGCCATCTTTGCGGGATAGTCCTCGTACTGATCATCATAGTCCTCATAATCGTCTGACGGCTCCCTCTGCACCGCCCTTTTTGCGGAGCTAGGCGCAGGCGCGTGCTGCACTGTCCGCACAGTATCTGGCTCAAAACGTGACGACTTGGCAGATGAAGGGAGCGGTGGAAGTTCGTTCTTTGCTGTGATGGAAGAACTGTACGAATCTTCCGAGTTATTGAGGCTCCGTTTGTAGCGCGACTCGGAATAGTCGTCCATACGATTCCGACCATCGTTCTCCCATGTCAATGGAGGACCTGCTACTCGTACCGAGCCACGTCCGAGGGTGCGACCGGCATGACGGACAGTGCCAAAGTCCCACATGTCGTCAGGGTCTCCGTTAGCTCCACTGAAAAGCAGTCTAGTCGCCATGTTTTATTCGAAGGACTTGGGGAAAACTCACGCGTCCGGGTCACCGCGGGGTCGATCGTCTTCTTCCATGCCCCTATCTCCACCCTCCGCTTTCCACCGCTCGTGTCTCTCAATCAACTCGGTGAGATAGCTTGTCTTTTTCGCCATACGAACGAATTTATGCTTTAACAGTTCCTTTGCGGACGGGCGCTAAGGCGGAAGCGTGAGTCGAGGATAGCAATCTCGGAAATCAGAATACATGCCTCTTTGGGATCTCTCTGAAGGCAGTACGAGACGAACTCTCGGAATGTTTTCGAGAAGTTTCCTTCGAGTGTAGGGGGCGGGTTTTTGGGAATGAGGAAGAGGACCTATGGGATGACCGGTAAGGGAAACATTCAGCCTACGTAAACGGTCAACTCGCCTTCATAGGATGCAGCTCTGCGTATGGAGGCTCTCCCTTAGCCAACTCGATGGCGGTGATTCCTAAACTCCAGATATCCGCCTTATGGTCATAACCACTCTGCTTAATCACCTCCGGTGACATCCAGTAAGGGGTACCAACGAACGTGTTCTTCTTCGCCGATAGAGTCCCCGAAAGCTGTCCAGATACACCAAAGTCGGCCAGTTTGACCTCGCCGTTGGCTGAAAGTAAGATATTCGCAGCTACGGATTTGGTTAGTACAGGCGCCGTGAACAAAACACTCGATGGGCACCTTTGATATCACGATGGAGCTTCCCCTCGGTGTGCAAATATTCCAGTCCCCTTAATAGTTCGCGGATAATGATGGCGATATATTCTTCCCTGAAGACACCGGGTTTCATCTGGACAAGCGTCAATGCGAAGCCATGGACCAACAAGTGCGGTGGACTGACCAAGTCGGAACAAGAGCCGCCTGAGCAGTATCTATGGATACGTTGAGTACGATGAAGAGCGAAAAGGTGGCTTGAGCGTACTCCATAACGATCCAAAGATGCGAGCCTTTGAGATACGACCCATGGTATCTGTTACGAACCCGAACACAGATAAGGGGTGGATAGCACTGCGGAGGTTGGAGGCGACTGACTTGGTAACATGGGGTGAATCCAGCTGGGAGAGGATCTGGATCTCTTGCTGTATATCTTCTATCTCGTCCTCTGCGCTCTCTAAATCGATGATTTTGATAGCGACCGTCTTCTGTGTTCGTTTATCATATCTGGTAGCCCGATGCACACGAGCCTCAGTCACCTCGAGCTGCCAGCAAGTCGAGCAACTACGCACCCTTTATAGACCTCTCCAAACGACCCCTTCCCTGCAAAGAATGGAGCCCCCTGGTCAGACTACCGCTCTCAACCGATGCTAGCCCATCTTACGGACCAATCCTATCCTGCTTCACATAGAACTCCTCTGGATCTTGCTGTCTCGAGTCCTAATCGCAGTACCGGATCTCAGCCGATCGCCCGCAAATAACGAGTAGCTAACGCACCATTTTCCAATCAGTCTGTTAATCTGGATATAGGACCGCGAAAATGGCTACTACGTCGCGTCGACCGAAATGTGGGGCGCCGCTAGTTCAGTTTCCGACTTCCACTGTCAGCCACTTGAGCAGTGGTATCTGTGCATCGCGAAAGACAGTGAGTAAGATAGCCCTCCAGGGTTGGGCAGTGCAGCTTACATTGGGTATGCGGATGAAGAAAAAGGGTGACGGGTAGCAGTGAGCGGGAGCGAGAACGACGGCGAAGAAGGTTTGAATGGGATTCACGCCGCGATTACTAGGATCAAGGGCCCTTGAACCATTGCCGCTTTAGGATAGGGGCTAATCGCACCTTTTCTGCGTCCTCAGTCTCCGTAGCCAATTCTTAGTTCGAAGATTTTATTATGCCGTTGACAACGGCCAGACGTCATTAGAGCCATACAAGACTCTCCCAAAACCAATAGGACCTTGACTGGTCACATTGTGCTTGAGACACTGCACTGATACGCCCAGGACAGGCCCAGGACAAGAACTCGGAGAATACGCGATAACGAGAAGTTCGAGAAGAAAGTGTGTCGTCATTTCAACACACGTACAAGAGCGTCGCGGTTTAACCTTCAAATTCCTACTTTGCAAACAGAGTCGCGGCCCTGCACCATGACGTACCGAGAATGTGTTCGGGTCCAGTCACCTCCAGTCATTTACTTGTCTATGTGCATGAACTGAGTAAGGACCCCCGAAAACCAGCTGAGAGGTCAGTTCTGGGAAATGGATTTGTTAACCGGATTTTATCTCGCAAAACCCCCCAGATTTTAACCGGGTTTTGCAGTGACCTCCGTGCCAAGCCAAAAATCGATACCCGGATTTTGGAACAGACCTCAAAGTCACGAAAACTCGTCTGAATTCTCATATTTCGCTCGTATATCCATGTAACTACGTGCAAACACTATGGTATGATCAACCCTCGTCTTCATCTCCGTTGCTGTCCCCTTTCTTTGGCTGTTTCGCCACCAGTCCCTTCACGGCTTCAGCAGCGGTTGACACGAAGGGAATTGGACTCTTGCGAGTTAAGGACAAGGCGCTCGTATTGACGGTCCTGGGCGTCTTTTGACGGATAGCTGTTACCAGAATGTAGACCCAAGCCTACATATGGCTACAGGCTACAAAAAATGTACTCATTGATTCCAATTCATAGCCCAGTTTGGTGATTTACCGTCGCAAATCGTAGTTGATTGTGAGTCAAGATACTTCTACATGTTTTGAGTAGAAAATGGGCCCAAAATGGCAAGTAAATTCACGGTCGAGACCACCCAGGACCACCCAAGATCATCAGGTCGCGCGAGCCTGCCGTGCACCAATACCCGGATTTTGGAAGTGACCTCCTCAGAGAGTCGATGATACCCGGATTTAGGAACCGACCTCGACCTCGAAACCCCCCACAAAATACCCGGAAAATTTCTGACCTCCACCCCCAGACCCCCCCAATTTTAACCGGATCTGCACTGACCTCTCAGCTGGTTTTCGGGGGTCCTACTGAGTAGTCTCGGTTCCTGGAATGTGTCATTTCTTCGTTCATACAAGGATATCACAACCGCAGCGCTATATGGTCGATATACACTTACGTTTCGTGCTTCTCGAGTTCCTGTGGGGAAGAAATTCATGAGTCCGTGTCAACATGCTGGTTGGAAAAAAGGTTAAGAAAAAAATAAAAATATGCGATCGTCTACCTGGTTCAGCTAGACGATCACATCTCTGACCCCTACCCGGATTGAACGGATGACCTTGAGGAAACTCCAGATCAAGCTGGAATCTCACGCTCTACCACTGAGCTAAGGAGTCGCTATGACCAAACGCCCTTAGTAGTACTCATATACCTCTCTCTGCTCATGAGGCTTTCAAGTCAAGTGCATTTTTAAGCGCCGGACAGGTCCAAGCCCGGCTAGCAACTGCGCCGCTTCACCGCAACAACGAACAGGGTCTCCCTGATTGATGGTCAACAGAACCCCACAACGACGCTGACGTCGGTAACAACATAACATAACGCAACGCTCACCCTTGTCTTTCTTTCCTTGTCTTTTACATTCTCCTGAATACTGTTTCCAAATGCCTGAGTGGGAGGTCCCCCACCTTCACTGGAATCTCAAAGGCGAACATGTCCTCTTTCCTTTCATCGTCCTCCATTCATTCTTAGATTTCCTTCTCGCTTGTCTGTTACTGATCTGCCTCTGCGCAATCGAAAGGTGATTAGACTCGTCATGGTATACAGTGGCTCGAGCTCACCGAAACTGTTTACGTTCCTTCAACGAAACAGACTTGTCAGTCACTACCATGATAAACACCAACTCTCCAATGCGACCTCGTATCGTAATCGCTGGCGAAAGGCCCTCTGGCGATGCCTTCTCTATTGGATAGCAGTGATTTTGCGATTGTGAGTAGTCTCGTGCGGTGGCGGGTGGACTGGAGAATTCATCTGCGACCTCAGATGCTACATGCTGGCGGCTATGACCTTTAACATGGGGTGTGTGACCATCAATCTAAGCTCTTGTTTCCCTCTCACAAAGCTCTACCAGGTTACTGATAGTCATGGTAAATCGCTCTTCCCGAAACTCTACTCAGCAATTAACTTACTCGAGTCCAGGCTACAACCCTTGCAACCACCCAACTCTTCATTGAACTCAAATCTTCCCCGTCTCCTCAATCGCATTCATTTGAGTACGCCTTCTCGATTCTCTATCCTCCTCTTCCACACTAAAAACAACCACATCTAGACCGCTCCCAGTAAGCCTCGAAAACCGACGCGACTCCTCCACCCTCCTCTCGTCCTCCCGCACCAACTCAATTACCTCTGACTTCAGCCACAACACAACGAACGCCATCAAAACCCGTCCCCGTTCTAAATCAAAGCCGGAGGACATATTCATTCACCCTGCCGAATCCAACATCGCCCGCGCAGACGCCATGGTGCACCATCTTGGATTGGAAGAGCGGATGCGTGCCGAGTACGAGGAATCTGGTCAGGACTCGGGCTGGCAAGAAGGCAAGGGGAGAGAGGTCGCTCGTCAATTATTGAGCAACAGTGGAGGAGTAACGTCCAACTCATACAGTTATAAAGTCGGCGAAGCTTCAGATTCTGAAGACGACGATATCGGCGATCCCGCACGACGACGACTCGTCCCCTAAACTGCCATGCCTCTACGCTCTTCCTTTCCCAGTTCCATCTATGGGGCAGGCTTCTCTTTTTTCCATCTCTTCCTAGGCCTTGGGGTATCTTTCGGAGGGAAATGACAGTATACAAATATGTAACCTATCATACAAACTACTAACTACTATCCTTCTCATGTGGCAGATAGATAATTCGACCTGTATCATATTGTATGGGCGGAGTCCTTGATATTTATTAAAAAAGCATTAGCAACGAAAAAAGAGAACATTACTGGACTAAGAAACGAAGAGAAAGAGCAGATAAAAGTTAAAAGAATCGAAAAGACACAACATCACCGAAAGGGACATCCGTTTCCAACCCCTTTTTCCTATCCACGATTGCCTTGAACGAGGCCGGCTCGTTTTATAGGCGGCCTGCCATGGAAGCCCTCGCTCTCTTCGGATTTGCGCTGCCATTGATCAATGAGCTTCCCTACACCTTGATATGGCCTTTCAGGAGATACTGATCGATCATCGCTGTTCGAAGCAGGAGGTGACAGGACATCTTCCGACGGCAACGTCGGTCTGCGCTTCGGGAAAACGACAGCATTCGTGGTTGTGGTAATCGAAGGCAGACCAACGAGGTTCTTCTTGGGTGACCCGGTTGGCTTACGTTCGATAGGTGACACCCGCTGGGGTTTGACCGTCGTGCGAGGGATGTCCAGACTGGCTTTCAGAGGACCAGTCGAGGTTGTGCGTGTTCGAGCCGCCTCCCCGGATATCCAAGCAGGTCTGAATTCGTCCTTCGGTGCAATCGCAGGTACCTTGTCAGGCACAGGTAAGACCTTGATACGCCCAGTTTCGACTTGATTGGGGGGCACAGAGCTCTTATTGAGGTTAAGACTCGGTTTACGAGTAACGGGTGATGGAGCGGCTTGCTGAGGGGCAATCACTTTACCGCCAATGGCCTCATATCGTTGCACCATGTTCGATATCGACGTTTGGCGACGGGCTGGGCGCTGCGTGCCTTCCTCAGGCGGAGGTCCCATCCCCGTAGGTTGAGATGGGCTCGGTAATGCATCGGTGGATTTGGAAGGAAAGATGAACATAGACTGAGGGCGGGATCGACCGGTACCGCTGGAGGGAGACGTGGTAATGGGAGGGGAGTGGAGCGGTGGCGACTTTTCCGGAAGGCTGGGCGACGGCTGCGGTGAAGGAACTCGCTGGATGGGTGATATCCTTGCACCACCACTGACAGATCGCATGCTGAACGAAGGAGTACGCTGAGGCGGCAGTAAGGATGTTGGTCGAGGCTTTGGTCTAGTAACAGGTTTCTCCGCAGATGCCGCCTTCAATGGCGAAGAAGGTTCATCGCGAGGTCTGTCTTTAGCAGGCCCTTTGCCTCCCCACAGATCAACAAGCTCATGTACAGAGCTTTGCCGCCCCTTGTGTCGCGAAGCTCGTAGACTGCCCATCTTCTTGGGCGGGCTGGTCAAACCACCAAGGTCCTCCGGCCCCTCATCATCGTCAGCACTCGAAGCAGACTCTGCGGCTTCGAGTTCCTTTTTGGACGGCCTGCGGGGAAGTTGGGGCGGAGGTTTGCTCGCAACAATTGGGCTCCAATTATCCGTCAACGGCTCGTTCTGGATCAAGAGCTCATTCGCAGACGCAGTGTCAATGGCAGGGAAATTCTTCGTGAACCGTGCGACAGTGGGTGATTCTTCTGGATGAAGGGACTTTTCTGGGCGTATCACTGGCGTTGTATCGTACTGCGCAGTGACAGGTTCTTGGATCTTGAAGTCATTTTTCAAGATGACGGAAGCTCTCTTGGCTGGCGTATCGCGAACAACAGGTCCAGTGGTGGCCTTCTCAATGGTGTTTTCGGTAACATCGCCGTCTCCAGTGAGCCAATCAGGCGCAGGTGCGGTTCGTGAATGCTTCGAGGGAGAGGGTGGTCGGTTCGACGACAATTTGGTAGATTGCGACGTGCCCGAAGATGACTGGGTAGACTTCAATTCCTCCATAGCGAACCTCATTGTCGCCGAACCGCTTGGGAGCTTAGCTGGCGAGGATTCCGTCCTGCTCTCAACCGCACTGCGTGTCGATGGTGATGACTTCCAGTCGTTCCTGACAGAGGTCGCTTCATATTTCTTCTCCAGAGAATCCAAAGTCGGAGGAGCGGACGGCGGAGCGTTGAAACGAGAAGGACGTTCAGGATCTTCCTTGGGCACATTTGCACTCGGGCGAGGGGGTAGCGAAGGCGCAACGGTAGGCGTTGATCGGCTGGCGAATCGGTCGTTAGCCTGCGCAGACGCTGGGTACAATGAAGTGGCCGAGAACTGAGCATCTAGCTCTTCCAATGAAGGGAACCGTGACTCGATTGGCGTCCCGTCCTTGCTGGCATGGGCCGAGCTGGGAGCAGGTGCAGATCCCCGCCAAGGTTCTGGATTTGGAGTGGTGCTCCTAGAAGTCGATTGGAAGTGGCCTGTCGTGGGGCCAAGATACGAAGGGCGAGGCGATGGAGTTGGATGCGTCGACCCCCCGTCCGTAGTAGGTTTGACCGACAACTCAGCAGGCTTGGTACTGCCATACTGATTCGGTTGCGAACTCATGATGGCTAAGCCTGTTCGAAGTTTTCGCGCTTCGGCAAGAGTAGGTGCGGGTTTACCGATGGAAGTGATGAGGCCCAATCCCTCGAATGCGTCCTTACCCCGTCCATTACGCAGCGCGTCGCTTCCTGTATGCGAAAGCGGCTTGATGACAGCGCTTGCCGAGTGGCCATGCGAGGTGGGTTTGGGGCTGACTTTCGCGGGAGATAGGCTCATATTTGGATTGGGGGCACGCCACAACTTGTCCGCAAAGTCGTTCTCGAAACCCGACGATGCTTTAGAATCTGATTCTTTGGTGGCTGTAGCGCTAGACACACGCCATGCTTCGTCAAAGAGCGCATTAGCTCTCTCGCGTGCTTCCGCTTGAGCGTTCGCAGTCTTCAGAGATGCTTCCTCCTTGTCAAGCCAATTTGATTCTTTGACAGCAGGTTTCGCTGGCTGAATTGGCTGGACAGGCAGGACAGGCTTAGGTGGCGCGTGCTTCTGTGGACTAGGCTGCCTGGAAGATGAACCTTCTTTTGGCTGTACCGGTCTGCCTCGGCGCATAGGAGCGATCGCCTCCAACACCTTCTCCCTGGCTTGCACTCCCTGACCTTTTGGCGGGGACCCTGATGTTACGACGGGTGCCGATCGGAGGCCATTCGCAACTTGGCGAGAACCGGTGTGGTGTTGGGGTCCTGGTATAGGCGATGGTGCAGGTTTCGGGGGGATTTGGTGATGTCGCGGAACCACAGGCTGAGGAACAGGTATGTTGTACGTGAATGGTGATTTGGTTCCGCGAAGATGATGTACGTGTCTCAGAAGTTCGAACACGGTCGGTCGCTGGGATCCATGCTCTCGAAGCATCGAGGCTGTCCGAACATAATCGTTTAGTTAGCATTCGTATACAAGGTGCCTACCACTTACCGATAAGCATGTTCATTTGATTTGAATATTGAGGATACGGGGGGATGCGGTACTGCACGTTCAGGATGGCTAATGACCCATGCTCCTCGAAGGGGGTTGTGTAGTAGCAGAGCTTGTACAGCAAGACTCCCAATGCCCACACATCACTCTTCTCGTCGATTGGACGTTTTGAGTACAGGTCGATCATTTCAGGAGCTCTGTATTGCATCGTCGTATGCCTTCCGAGGTCAGCTTCCAGTGCTCTGATTTCCTGCGTATTCGTCGGGGGTCTTTGGACCGTGCTAGCGGAACCGAAATCGCAAAGCTTGTACGAAGTCGGAGAAGACTGGAGGATATTCTCGACTTTTAGATCCCGATGTAATAGCGGTGGCCGGGAGTTGTGCATGAATGCCACGCCTTCACATACGTCGACGAATATTTGCAAAATCTCAGCTTCTGTGAGTCGCTCCCGCAGTCGCCGGTTCATCATGTCGATGATTCCACCACCTAACGCGCGATTGAGCTGGATTGTATAGCATGATGCACTCCACCCCACCTGGACAATATTCCATTAAGATGAAAACCTCAAATGTGCCGTTAGGCAAGCGGTGCCATGCTGCATCGATGAGGTGAACGATGTTGGGATGGCCTTTGAGTACCCGCTACAGGCAAACATTAGCGACAGCAAGGCAAAGGAACGCTCGACGCACCATAACGTCTACTTCCCTCTTGACCTCGCTGAGCATGGCTTCGTTGGCAACGGCGATTCGTTTGAGGACATGGTGAGTCGTGTTGTAGACCGGTGTCGGCGTCCGTACGAGATAAACGTGAGCGAAGCCACCTGCGGTCTGTGTTCATTCACTGATTCTCCCGTACTTGAGCTGGACATACCCTGCGATAAATACCGCTCGACCTGCACAGTATACTTGTTCACGGAGATGGTCTGCCCTGGCACCAGTGTCCCCTTGTTCTGCTGGGCATATACCTGATATGCCTGCTGGGTTGCCATCGGTGGGTATCGTCTAGGAGCTGGGTGTGATTGTAAAGACTCAACAGGCGCAGCAAGCCTGAGTGAGCCTAGTAAAGTATCATGTAAACACTGTCCAGCTAAGATCGGTATTCTGGCAACCTGGCGCGCGAACTGCGCACGTGATCCACTCCGCCCCTATCCCCGACGCAGACCCTTTTTGGAAGTTGACCTTCACCTCAAGCAACAGGAATTTGGTCGGCGATGGCCAAAGCTTACGTTCTTTGTCAACAAATCTGGAACCCAAGCCTGGAGAGTCTGGAAAACAATCTAGCTTTGCTTAATCTTAATCATGTCAGCAACGACGTCAGAGGAGCCCGTTTCACAAGCCTGTGGGAGGAGTACAAATAGGGCCTACTACTGCCTCTGACTTTCCTGTACTTCCAAAGCCCCCATTATGGCCAACGTACTATCTCCCCCAAGCTTGTCCCACTCTGGCTCTCTACCGTTCTCTAGGGCACCAACCCCTTCCATTGCGCAACTCCAGGTTGGCTTCGTCGGTCTAGGCAACATCGGCTATGCTATGGCAAAAAACCTCGCCGTTCATGGCCCAGAGAATATTCGCGGCCTTCCCCCGGTCATGGTCTGGAATAGGACGGCGTCTAAGGCACAGAGTTTGGTCGACCAAGTAGGCCAGAACAAGGCGGCCGTCGCTTCCAGTGTCGAACAGATTGCATTGGAGTGCGATGTCATTATTGTCAATTTGGCAAACGACGATGTTGTCAGAGTCATTTATCGCCAGTTCTGCGAGACGCTCAAGGTATGTCTCCTTCTCTGGCCTGGAAGGAGATACACCTGGTCACGCTTTTTGTAGCAAAACCCTCCTGCAAAACATAAGATCTTTGTCGAGACCAGCACTGTGCGCATTCGACCTTATTGATCGTTCCCGCCACTTATCTCATGTCCAACAGATATACCCATCCCTGGCAGGCGAGCTTGACGTCATGCTCTCTGCTTTCCCTCATACCCATCTCATTACCTGCCCCGTCCTTGGTACTCCTGGTGTCGCCGAAAAGAGCCAACTACTCCTCATCATGAGTGGGGAGTACCGCTCAAAGAAGGCAGTTGCCCACATTCTCGTCCCATCTGTCGGACGCAAGGTCGTGGACCTTGGTGGGGATTTGGAGAAAGGTACTTAATCTCCAATCCCATCTGCGCGATTCGCGTTAATGGCTAACGCGCACATGATTCTGTTCAATAGCATTGACATACAAGCTTATGGCGAATTCCATGATCCTCGGTAGTATCGAAGTCATCGCAGAGGCTCTCACATTCGCTGAGAAGTCAGGTATCGGGTCAGATCGTGTATTCGACCTTGTGAAGGGTGAGTGGGATCTATCTATTTTGAATCTGAGCAGCATTCAAATGGTAACTTGACACCGTTCCCATGGATAGATTACTTCCCTGCGCCGAGGCAAGTTTAAGTTGAGCCTGATACAGAAGTTCGCTATCAAATCTAACAGAATATACAGCATGATAAACTATACTCAGCGAATGATGACTGAGAACTTTGACGGGTCCAACGGGTTTGCTATCGACGGGGGTATCAAGGATGCAACGTTCGTAGCTATTCACTCATTCAATGATAATCCCGTCTGAGTTGATAATTCTAGCCACATACGTCGATTGAGCGCGAAGCACAATTGTCCCATGCCCACAATAGACGTCGCACATCAGCACCTCGTTACGGCGCGCGCTCTGCATCTCAGGCAGAAGAAGGAAGGCAAGGACACCTTTGAAGTTCTGGATTGGAGCGGAATCATCGCGGGTGCTAGGACGGCTGCTGGGCTGAGTGGCTTGGACAGGAGCGATGTATGTGACTTTTTTCATTTCTGGATCGAGCATGCAACTGATGCTTGGGTCTGGTGTAGGATCCGACCCCGCTTCCCGAGGCAATGGAACCCTCCAGTTCGACTTAGATGAATCGTTGTCGAACCCAGCGCTAGGTATAGTTCCACCAATTCTTCTCCTCTGGACTCGTCAACGGAATACCAATGTATGATTATTTCGGCAATGTTAACTTCAAATTCTTTCTTCTACTCTGCAACATCTGCAATGGCCTCGATCTCGACAGCAGCCCCCAACGGAAGCGAGGCAACCCCAACACATGTCCTAGCTGGGAATCTATCCTTCTCCCAGAACTGAAAATAGCATACATCAGTTACCCTGGACCCATGACCCTGAACGCGATGCGCACCTCGGAATAAACCTCGTTCATATCCGAAAACTGAGCAAAGTCAGTGATGTAGATGTTGACCTTGACAACATGTTCCAAGCTAGAGTTGGCAGCTTTCAAGACTTTAGCGAGGTTCTCGAGGGCAGCCCGCTACAAGAACCGATGTCGCGCGTTTCATCAGGTTTGCGACCCCAAACGTCAGACGTCCGCTAGTTCGAGAAGAGATAGTCGAGTGGTTACCCGACTACTCACCGTCTGCGCCTTAATTCCTCCTTCCACCAATTTCCATTCCCTGGTGATTCCGATGTTTCCTGAAGCATAGACGGTGCCTTTGGAGACGATAGCCTGGGCTGGTATAGATGACGAAAGGACCGTTCGATAAACTTCCGATTCAGAGAGTCTTAACGTGGATTCTACGCACAGAACACGGGAAGAGGAGGCAGCGCCTCTTCACTCTTGACGATCTGGGATGGTTGAGGCATATCGATGGGACTTTAACGCAACTGGGAAGGTTATCATCCCGAAGGAGGCATCGACCCCTTATATCATACCAAGCCGTACGGAAGGGTATATTCCGAAGATGACAATCGGATGGCAGCATGCCGAGTCGCACTCAATATGGGTCCTCACCATCGATCGCTCCCTCAAATCACAGAATATCACAGAAACACTCTCTGTCAATGTGGAGTACCAGATGAAGCCTGTACATTCAATAAAACCAATCAGAGCTTCAGGCTCTTGCGATACTTGATGAAATCCACGAGGTTCTCCCTCACAAGGTCACCTCTCCTCCTCAAATCCATACCACCTTCCTTCCTCCTATCGATGGCTTTGACAGCCTTTTTGACTCCATCTACGCTTGCCGCGAGTGTTTGGACAAAGTTGCCCTGTCGGAAGTTAATGTCGTAAGGCAGGGTTTCGTCAGAGTAGATGTCGATGAGAGCGGAGGCGGCCTGGATCATTGGTTCGGTACCTGCGGGTGAAGGCCCTGATGTCGGGAGCATAGAGAGGAGATACTGGGCGATGACCTATCGCCCAGGTTGTTTAGGGACTTAATCTGTGCATAAAAAGAAAAGTACGCACTTTGTTCTGTTCGATTGCAGCAGGGAATTGAGCTAGGCACTCCAAAGTTCCAACGCATTTCACCCTCAGCCTTTCATCTTTCGTCGAGTCGCAGAGTTGCATGAGCAGGGTGATTTGCTCTCCTTGAGGTTCCTGAAACAATGTTGAATTTACATTCTCGAACATGAAATAGCGGATGAGCGACTTACTATCGAGCCCTTCCATACGTTGCCAACTCCCCACAATACTCCGACTGCAATCTCCCAGAATTCTTCTCTCCGTTCTTGACCCAGACCTGTCTGAGTGCCAACTAATTGCAGAGCCGACCAAATATTACTCCAGATCGTCAATCCATTTTGCACGTCCTTCGATACAGCTTCGTTGGATGACACGGATAGGGAAAGGAAGATGTTATTTAGGCACTGGAGAGCACTGATGTGGATAGCACTCAAGGCCGAGGTTGTAGGTGGGTGAGGCGACGCTGAAGAAAGAGGAGGGAAGGAGAGGGCAGTCGGCTGGATTAGAGCAAGAAGAGGGAACACCAGGTTCAGTAGAGACGATGACTTGGGAGCTATCGATGTGGTGCTTTCATCGTCATCCATCTTGTCATCCTCGCCGTCTTTCGAAGGCTCCGCATCACCCGCATCTTAAAAGACTTAGCTTGGGCAAATAGAGTAATTCTGCTGAACAACATACCTTCCTCGTCTTCATCACCGTCCATTTCATCTTCCTCCGGGTCGTTTTCATCCGCATCAGGCCCAGGGTCGGGCAAGGTAGCGCAAATGCCAGTCAAAATTTCCAACGACAACTGGACCGTACGCAATTTTGCTTCCAGGGATTCCAACTGCAACTCGATTTCGGATTTGTGGTCTGAGCGAGGCAGGTTCTTCAATGTCAATTGTTCAATGGCCGGCTCCGTGGCCTGTGATTTCGCTATGAGGGAACGATTGTGAGAGGATGCAAAGGAGTGCTTACCTGTCTTTGAATAAGTTCCTGGACCGTTTTGGAAATCTCCGGCAAGGAAATCGAGGAGATGACAGGTTGAAGGAGAGGCAGTGTAACCTCCTTGTCAATCTCGACAGCTGAGGCGACAGAAGGACCAGGGATGGGTGAGATATTTTGGAGGATACCTGAAGCCAGTCGGCAGTTGATCAATGGACATTGGCATATACTACAGCAGACGTACCGGCAGCAAGAACACTCAAGGTGACGACTCGAGGATCCAATTCCTTCTGCTTCCCGTTGACTGAGAACTCGGCTTTGGCGATGGACAATAGACACGAGATATAGTTGGCGTCCGACCGAAGTTCCACAATAGCAGGCCTATTATCGTCTGTCAAAACGTATAGGCATTGCGCTGGAACGCTAGTCAGGCACCTACACACGCTGAAATGGAGGTTCTACTCACCAGCTGCAGTGACAGGGGCAATATGCAACGAATCCTTGGACGATAGGAAGGACATTAAGAAAGGGACGAGCTTAATCTCGTTGATAGCGTTTAGAGCCTTGTTCGACGTCTCCCTGAATATGTTAATATATACAACAGGAGGGAATGAGAACAGAAGATACTCACGAAAGGCACCACAGAGTAGTGATAACATTGTCAGCGAACTCGTAGACGATCTTTTTGGCATTGTCCGGTGCACTTCCAGGCGAAGTCAGGTATTGCTCCAAAGTAGCCGAAATCTAGGGAACCGCAGTGAGGTCCCGGTCTCCGCAATAGAACGCTAAAGGAATTATACCTTCGGGATGAAAGTTTTAAGCGGTGTGAGGATGCTCTTGTTGTACATTTCGGCACAAATGTCGTATCCGCCATCGATGCACAGGTTCCTATCAGTTTGACACAGATTCAATCCTGAACTTCCAAGGAATTGACAGAACGCACCTCAGGGCACCCATAGCCTCAGCAACCACCTCCTCCTCACTGTCACTAAGCCTTGTAATCAAAGCACCAACCACGTTTTTGCCTTGAAGCAACCGACGGGTTGACGGGTCGTTCTGGATGATATTGGACACGGCTACACAAGCCCATTTTCTTTCGGATGCATCTGGACTTTCCATCTAGCAGCCAATCAATTTATGTGCTCGATTAACACCAATATTCCATACCTTTTGCATAATGGGCAAAACCTGTCCAGTTTTCGAAGACGATTCCGATGCCGCCGCCAATCCTTGAGGAATATGAGAGTCTGGGACTCTCATCGGATTATGCCTCCTCATCGCGCGTTTCTTTTGAGACTTGCCCATCTTGAGAGCTTTTAATGAGGTATCCAAGAACCTCTGTAAACTTAGTAGAGGCAGAAGAAAGAGTTGAAGAAAGGCCAATTAACCCACTTTCCAAAGTCCCGTACTAAGACAGTACCGTACTTCCAAAAAATCGATCGCCGGCACGTGATCGAGATCAAAATCCACAAGCGCCGAAAGCGGAGTTATATTCATGGCTTTTCTCCTCGTACCTCATGCCGCCCAAGAGTAAAGCAAACACAGTGGGCCCAAGAACATCGAAAAATGCAGTATTGACGATAATATACCAACCTAGAGCTCTGCTCTGCGGCTTCTTCCACCTCATTTTTGGAATCGAATGCAACTCACGTTCTCAGCATTGACATCACCCCTTCTCCCAAAGTAGACGGTATAACTTACCATAGATTGGCCTTGAAGGACACTAAACTGCATCGGTGATATCAACCTTCGACGCTGCAACAGAATTAATTAACATCGCCCTACAATCTAATAGAGGACGACTCGACGAATCCCCCCAGCAGTCGTTGTTAGATACCTAACGAAACGGAGAGGAATATCCTTCAAAGAAGTGTTGGGACTGGCTAAATGGCCTGCAACCAGGCTTCGCTCAACTCCGGATTTTTACTGCAACTGAAGGAACTAGAAATCGAGGTTTATGGCGGGGAGTCTACACTGGATGTACACGAGTTGCCTCGACGAGAAGTTGACCGCTTGGCCTTGTTCACACTCCCTAATTCCAACACAGTTGGCTGAATCTCTTTTCCGAAAGCTCAGTTTGAACTACATACCCTTCCTGCCGCAGATGTATTGCGGTACAAAGGCTTGTGAGTTGAGAATCCCATTTGGGAGAGGATCCCCCGGCAACAGCCAAGACCTCTGCCCAGAACGCTTGAGCGCTGAGCGTTCACATAACGGGTTCTCAAGAGCTTCTCTTTGACTTTTTGACCACGTTCAAAGGTCTTATGACGTAGTTGCAGGACGTAACATGGAGGCGTTGAAGGATCGTCGAGCAAGCGACGAACACAGAGCAGCAAAATGTTTATTGGATATGATACAGTGTTTCGAATAATTCCAACTTTGAGAAAGCCCAGAGCAATTACAAGCTACAGTAGAGAATAACAAAATTAATTACTAACAGGCAATATGATGAATGGGTGCACAAATGTTAAGAGATAGCAAGAGTTATGGGCGATAGACCGGCAAAACACCTCGAGATGGATCCTCCGCAGACACTTGCAGAATAGATTCAGTAGCTGACGAGTCGTTTGAGCTACTTTCGCTATCCCTGGATGTAGATGCTTGCGGCGAGGGCTGTTCGTCCTCCTGCCCCTCACCAACGATCGACAATGCCGGCATATCCTCTGCTGGTGGCGCACTGGGTATCGAATCAGAAACGTAGAAGTCATCGTCGTCGATCAATGGTGGTGCTGATGGCAGAAGCATGTTTTCATCGACCATCGGTGCACTCGAAGTGGCTTCGAAGGGCGGGGCAGACGGCCCATACTCGGGTTCCATGCTCGTCATCTCCTCGAACGAATAAGGATAGTCGTAGAAGTTCGGTTCCATAAGTTGCGCCTTTGGTGGTGGGGGAGGGAACGGAGAGGTTGGCGATGTAACTGCTCGGCTGTCTTGGTCGTCCGAAACGAAGTCTTCCAATTCCTCGTCTCGCCATTCTGGAACTGACACCTGGGGCTCCGGTGCGGATTCGTCGGAGGTTGAAGGCGGAGCACTAGCCAACTCCGCAAGGCGGGCTAGGACTGCCTTATCGTCCGTGGCCACATGTGCCGTTGTAAGAGCCGGTGACTGCGATTCTCCAGCATCATCGCCATTGGGCGAAGGCGGAACGAGAGAGGAACCTGAAGGACGTCTTGACTGCCATGGCGATGACGTCGAGGCTGAACAGCTGTGGGTATGAAGTCCGCTCGACGAGCCCTGCTGAGATGAATCGGATTTCTGTTGATATGCTGGAGGGGATGCTGAGGGATCTGGCGCCGATAGTTCTATTGTAGGAATGGTGGGAGCGCTGTCGATAGGTGAAGAAGGGGCGGAGTTGGAACCTTCAGACTTTTGGTGGAAAGAGGGCGTCGAGGACCTGGATGGCGATCTGGAATGGGATGGAGTATGTGACGGCGTGGATTCGTCCGAGGTGGTGGTGGTGTAATACCTCGAATCGTCGTCGTCGAACGATGCAGTCGACTGCCGACCACGTAAGGACGACGATACCCGCTTGCCTCTTCGTAAACGTGCAGAATGTCGTGCATTGGCCCTCCACCGTGCTGTCGCCCTTGCCCAAAGTTTCTGTTTCGCCTTGTTCTCCCTTTCAACCTGAATTTCCCGTGCTTCCTCTGCTCGAAGACTCTCGTCTGCTGCTTCAACCCTTCTTCTCCTCCTTCCCCGAGTTCTCTTCTCCAGATCCTTCTCCTTATACTTCCGACGCATGCTCTTCCTCCAAAATAGACAGCCTATGATGAAGAAGCAGATAAAGAATGCCAGTACCAGTGACATGGCTAATATTAGGGTGGTGTGACCTGACGGGTGTCGGTCCATGGGTTGCCATCCTGGTGGTAGATTATCTGGTGGGTCGTGCTTGGTGATATTGGTATTGGGCATGGTGACGTTCCGGGATATTTGACCGTCGAGTACTGGCGAACAATTCTAAAGAGTCTATAAGCACTTGGGGGAGTAAATGTGGCATAATGGTCGGGAACATACTGGGCAAACACCATATAGCTCGTATTCGACTTTTCTCCAGACGCCGTCCTCCCCCTGTTCGAACTTGTGAGCGATATTGGGGAGGACAGCGCGGGAATGTGTGAAGCGATTTTTGACAGCGCCGGAGGGTACGGATCGTCGCTGTTTCGTTGCAGTGGGTAAGGGGGTCGATTCGATGGATGGACAGAGAAATGTGGGAGGTGCTGGGCTTCCTTCAACAACCGTGGCCGATGCGACGGTGGCGAGGAGCGATAAGAGTGTCGACGATGGGGCCAGGAGTTGGGATTTTGAGCCCGTGGACTTCCGGCGACGTCGAGGCTTTGGTGTTGTCGTTGTTGGATGTGTGGAGCTGGATGGGACAGACGATGAGCAGCCAACACCATCTGTGGACGCGACAGACGTGGGCTTGGCCATGGTGCTGAGGATTTCCGGGTGTGCCAAGCGAGTCTTTGCACCTGAAAGTCCGACACCGAGTCTTGTCCCCACGAGCCAAGGACAGAAACGGCGTCAACGGCTTGGGGATCCTGTCTGGGCAGCGAGCACACCGTGCAATGCGTCGAGGTCGCTGTCGCTGGCGTTGTCCAAGAGCTGAGAGTCGCCGACGAGGCTCAACCTGCCAGGACGAGCTCACCCATCTCAAGAATGCTGACAAAGCACATCAACCCCCAATTTGTCACTCCATCTGACTTTCTTTCTCAAAAATCCTATCCCATATTCCTCCTCTTCTTGTTCATCCCCGAGCCTTGCCTTGTGGCTTCTACCGTCTCACAACTCCATTTACCTCGATAACGGGAAGACGCACAGCCCAATGCACACCATCCCCTCAATATCTCATACCCGAATACATACGACATTTCGCCGATGAGCAAGACACCGCAATTAGTCCTTCCCAAAGTATGTACAACAAAAATAGCACTATTCTACAGACGTAAAAAAAGGTGAAAAGGAACCAATGAAACCCAGAATTTATGGCAAAAGGAATCGACTTCTCTTTCTATCCTCACTGGATGCGCGAGCCCTCTCCCGCAGCATCGCACCTTCCTCGGCATTCCACCTTCTCGAGATAAAGTCCTCGCATCCACTCTCATACACCAGCTTATAAGAGGGCAAGCCTATACGGATTTTCGTTTGGTCGTCCCTTGTCAGCGTCGAGGCGGTGCTTTCTTCGTTCTGCAAGGTTCTATGATTAGGGAGGTCGCATGTCAGTACCTCTCCCCCTCACTTATCCCCGGTTCCAGGGGTATGGAACAGAAGCCACTCACCTCCGCAAAAATATTGGTCCGTTATTACGCTTCGTGGAAGGCACCCACTCTGTCGGATAGCTCATCACATACGTATTGAGGTATTCTCGCCATCGAGTAATAGGGCGCCCATCAGTTGGGATAGTCACATCTTCCTGGCTCAACAGGGAGATTCGGATGCATTTCTTTTCCCGAACCTAAAGCACGAGGTATGAGAACGATGAAAATCAATGGAGCGCTATTTTGGGAACTTACCCATTGAATTCGGAATAGATGGTCGTCGTGTACCGTGCCGATATGTTTCTCAGCGTTCCGCCTGTACCTGATGATGCCCTGTGCCGTCATCTTCTCAGAGGATTGGGCCGTCTGGAGGAGGGTCCAGAGCTCCTGAGATTTGTGGTCGGAGAGGATAGTCTGCACTTGCTTGATGAGGGCGGCTATCACCTTGTCGATTGTGAACAGAAGGTATGCCTTGAGGAGTTTTAGTGGCCTGTAGGTTCGTAATTAGAACCATAGAAACATACCTTGGTTCCGAAGAACCACCGCAAGTGCTCTTCGAAGGTCGGCTGATCCATCTCGTTATCAAACAGCCTCTCGCAGGCGTTGAGAAGATAGGCATATGTCGCGTTGGCTCCCTCGACCGTGCCACGCTCTCCCATGGCTTCGATAGTCTGCTGAAGAATCACAGGCGGACCGTGAGGATCAACCAGCCCCAAGTCCACCGCGATTTGATTAGCCAGGAGAGATGAATGCTTCTCAGCAGCCAATTCAGCTCCAATCTCCTTGCACATCAAGAGACGCGAATATAGTAACTATAGAGTTTACTCTTTAATTGGATCACGGGCATGAAAATAGCTGAAGGTATACGTACCTGCAGCAAGCGCAACAGAGTGTAAAAGGTGGTATTTGCAAAGAAGGGGCGATCTAGCTCTGACTGCTCAGGCAACCCCGAGTCACTGAGATCGGCCTAGGTAAAGGCGTTAATGAAAAGTTAGGACCAATGGCTTAAATTTAAGCTCACCTCACGAATCCAAACGTCAGGGATAACCCGACCCTCGTCATCCAACTGGGCAAATCGACTGTCAGGAAGGGGTGTGGCAGACCTAGAACCCATAACAGAGTCGGCACTTCTGCTGTTGGTGCCACCGGTAGCCACAGTAGCGTTAGCATCATTCTTTGAGCCAGACGCCTTCTCCTGAGCTGTCTTGAGGAGCTTCTTCCTCAAGTCGCTAGCGGGGACACCGCTCGAATGAGCAGAGTGCGGAGTTCCTCCTGACGACCTTCTTCCACTCCGCGGACCCTCTGAGCCCTGGTTGCCCCCATTCAGCATCATTATTTCGTGAACGGCAGCGGCCTCTTCGTCTGTGTTAACTCCGTTGGGTTGATTAGATTGCGCGGCGTTGCTGCTGCCCTCCGAAGCCCCATATGCAGATCCAATTTCTAGGTCAGGGTAGTTGAAGAGACAGGGGATGAATGCGCGAAGGAATTTGTCCACAGCCTTCCTCTCCTGAGCGCTGTACCCCACTTGGGAACGATCCAAGAAAGAGTAGATCAGCTTGAGGGAATCCAGTAGGACGGATGTGTCGTTAAAGGTGTATTCCAGTTGGTGGCCAATGGTGCCAGCCTTGAATAGGCGCCCTTTGTTGGTTTGAGGGTAAGGGGTGGGGGGATCCAAGGCGGCGATCTGCTGCTTCTTGACGGTGTCAATTTCGGTACAGAAGTGTTTGGCGGTGATATTCTTCTTGTCGATGGGCTTGAAGGAGATGCCTTGGTGATCCAGAGACTTGTAAAAGTTCTTCGAGTCAACCTCTCGCCATGTCCTACTCCAGTCACGCTGAGCCCGCTTCCATTCCTCGTCCCTCTGCTTCAACCTCGCTAGCACGACAGGGACAGCAACGCTTGGACAGTCTTGCAAAGCTTGAATGATTTCGAGCCCGTTGTCTCGGCCGTAGATACGCTTGATGGTGCGGTGGTAAATGGTTTTACTCGTCCCGCCGAAATCTGCCTTGAGCTTGAAGGCTGAGCGTTCTTCGGGTGGCATCTCCTCGATACGTGCGCACAGCGGTTCTAGGACAGCGATCGTCCGCGTCAACGCCTCAATATGTACGTGATATTCGTGTCGTTCTTCCTCGCTCTTATGAAGGGCATCCTCGAATTGGTTCTTCTTATGGGCGACGAAGCCAGACTCTTCCGACGCCCATGTAGGATGCGACACCCATTCGTCGTTGAGTACGGATCTGCACAGCTCGTCTCTTCCGGAACAAGCCAAACGTGTTTCCTGGAGCGCATATAGGTCAGTTAAGACATTAGACAAAGAAAATAAGAATAGACACACGGATTCGGGAAGCCTTCGATAACTCGGGCCCTCTCCGTCATCCACCGGCTGGGGCACTTCAGGCGCTGCCGTTCGTATGCTTCCTGGTGGCCCATGTTCAATCAGATCTTCCATTCTCTCGTCCCACCCTATCAGATCCTTGAACTCCGCCATGAGATTCTCGTCTCCCAAAAACACCTTCGCCCGTTCAATCAAAGTCTTCGCGTCAATTATGTCTTTGGAGAAGAGGCTGAGAAGCTTCAAAAATTCTTCGTAGACTTCGCGACTTTCTAAAGATTTCTTCGCGCGGTCAAAGAATAGAAGCTTGTCTGCTGAGGTGCTATTTGTAGGATGCGCGACATGAGAGGGGGGCTGCGGGTGCGGGATTGAGGCTGTGAGGTAGACCGTGGTTTGTGGGTGTACCATGGGAGGTGAGCGGGGGGCGGGATACGGTGAAAACGACGGCGAGCCTGTGTCTGGGTTGTGGGTATGCTTCACCTTCTTCGCCTGCTGTTCAGAAGAGAAAGGGTGATTGAGTAAAAAGACGAAGAAAAAACGCAAAGCGACGCACCCTGGACGAGGTCGTCTTCGCTGGTATCACTGGCACCGGCGTTGGCTCTTTTTCCAACGGACGTTTTTTCCGCTTGCTTGTCGTCGATTGCTTTTTCCCGGGCGGTGGGCTGGGATGTCGCGGGTCTTGTTCTCGTTGACCCCAACCGTCCATCTGCGCTGCACCAGGGTGCCCCATCATCATCCCGCCCTGATCCAACAGGCCACCACCGCCCATCGCCTCGGGTAAGAACGCCTTGAATTCCGCTATGAGATCGGGGGCATCTTTGAATAGCATTTGCACTTGGACATAAACTTGAGACTGGGTTTTAAGAAAGAAGTCGGGATCAGCATTCGGTCGCGATTACAAAGACGGCAAGGATGGGTGTGAATAAAAAAACGGAACGACCAATGGGAGATCAATTCGCATGGCATAAGCGCGCGTCGCGACGTCGAACTATTGGCAGCCCTAAAGTTGAAAGAGAAACTCACGTCGTGCAAATGCCTTTGCTCTTTCTGATATGTTTGCAATATATCCAAGAATTGCTTATATGTGTTGGGGTCGTCGGCGTAGCGGGCCTTGATCTTATTGAGATACTGGATGGCAAGGTTGAAGTCGCCCGCTGTCTTGCTCTCCTGAAGCATACCGGCATTGCTGCTGCTCGGAGCCTTGTTGTTGAGGTTTCCCAGGAAGGATGCTGCAGCTGTGTGGGAGGTTTGCTGTTGGAGACCGGGGGAGTAGATGCCTGGATCGACAAAGGGTGGTACACCGGGAGCGATGTGGTGAAGACCGTGGGCGGGGCCACCAGGGCCAACGCCAGGAGGGTAACCGTGGGGAGTCATGGAACGTGAACCGGGGCCGGCTGGGACTCCACCAGGACCAGAAATGACTGGTCCTGGTGGATAGGGCATCGAGCCTCCCAAGCCTGGTCCTGACAGTGGCAACGACGTTCGACTAATGATGGTGTTGGATCCGGTGCTTTGCGTAGTCGTACCATTGGGGGTTGTAACCGTAATTGTGTTGTCTGACGGATCTGCTGAAATGTCTATCCGGTAGCCGACTGGGAGGAATGTGTTGAAGCCTTGAATGAGCGTCGGGTTGCCGTGGAATAGCCTGGAAACGCGTTGGATGACGCCTGGTGTGTCGATGCTGACCCTAACGTCACGATAATGTACCTAGGACATGTGCCTAATACTCACTTTTGGCTCTTAAAGTCCTTCATTATATCCAAAAATTGATTGTACACCTCCGGCTTCTCATTGAACTGGCTCTTGACGGCATCGAGGTAACTAAGTGCATCTGTGACGTTCAGTGGCCGTGATTCTGTTCCGCGTTGTTGCTGCTGCATTTGGTGGAGATGTTGCTGCTGGGAGAGTGCGGCATCACCGACAGCGTTCATGGCGAGCGCTGGGTTCGGTAGCAGAAGGGGCGACGTGTTCTGCGGGGGCGGTACCAGAGGGTTGACGGAGAGGCCAATGAGGTCGTTGAGGATGGCAGTTGGATACTGGAATTGAGTTGTTGGCGGGGGCTGGATGGGTGCTGGTGGTGGAGGGAGCGGGGGAAGCTGTATTCGCGGCTGGGAAGGGTCCGTGTGTTGTTTGGTGTCATTGCTCGCTGCTTGTTCGGACATGATCCCAAAAAAGATTGGCCTTGATGATGGCGTTTCTCCTGCGCCTGGACCTGAATGCCTTGTTTCTCCGCTGCTCTCGCCGTTTCCAGCTGCAGGCGTCGCGCTTTCTGTCTTTGACGCCATCGTCATGCTTGGGCGTTGCAAGGAAAGAAACGTTTTGCGTCGCCGGGGTCGATGACGGAGGCAAAAGACCGTGAGATTTATTCAAATCGGTTATCTGATAATTTCTGCCCCTATTCTTGGCTACGATCATTGCGGCAATCCAGCGTCGTAACTGGGATTGGAGCCTGCAGAGAATTCAGGCATGCCATTGAACCACTCTGAACAACCGGTAGAAGGCACTGTTTCGTTTCCATCCTGCCGTTTAGCTAGTGAAGCTGAACTGACGCGACCACCAATGTGCTTGACGACTCCATTGGGTTTCTTCAGGTACAATGAACCGTCGTGGTCCAATAACTGGTACCCAGCTGGCAAGATTGCAGAAAGTCCAGCCACAAGAAATTTGTGTGGATGAGCGAGCTCGACGACACGCTCTACTGCTCTGTCGACTTGGGCTGGGCTGTAATGTCTATTAGACCGGATTATCCTTCGACAATCGAGTGCGCGCTCACCTGGATGAACGAAATTCCCTCATCGCGGAAATTACAAGATCGTAGGCTTCGGGTGCTAGTTTGTCTTGCATTGCCTTTAACAGGGGAATGGTCGCGTTCTGAAGGGCAAGGGTGGCAAACTGAGGATGGTCTTGGTTGCCCATAGTAGTGAGACTACTGATAATTGCCTCCGTCAACGATTTATAAAGCTGTTGACACGGCACGGTGCCAATCCTCGTAGCGGGAATCATAAAAGGCCGGGTATCGTAGAGAACATTGATTCAATTACAATTTACAAGATAGTCGTATCATCCTAAAGCCACCAAATCTGTACTATACAATCATTTTACAAGCTGCATTCTTTACATCGAGCTTCAACAACAAGAAAGGTAGAAAGGTTCGAGGGGGCGATGATTAGTTTGATGGAACAATGAGCTTCGTAACACCGTTCGGCGTCTTCATAACGACTGAAGGAAAGTCATTCCCCAGCTTCAACTCGTATCCAGCCGGAAGGAAAGTCGTAAACCCCTGCAAAAGGTCTTCATGGTGAACGAATAAGCGCGCCATCTGCTCGATGACGACATCCTCTTGATCAGGAGTCCTGACAGTGGCGGCGTCAAACCAACTTGAAGAGCCTGGCAATGCAGATGAACCGACCTGGAAGTGTAAAGGCTCTTCATTGCGCCCATGAATTGGCCGTATGCGTCGGCGTCAAGCTTCATCTTGACAGTGGCGACGAAGTTGAAGGCTGGTTGGACATGGGGAGAGCAAGCGCCCATTGGCATTGATGCGCCAGCGAATTGGGAGGTCATAGTAGAGAGTAGGTTCTGTTCTTATCCTTTACGAACCACAGCAATCCTTAAATACCCAGTACCTCGAGACTGGGCTAATTGCTGTGTGAATGCGCCCAATCCTTTTATGGCCGACCGAGTCATTTGTGTGCGTGGGTAAGGCGTGGGCGCTTAAAAAGGAAACGGCGTGAATCTTCCTGGACACCTTCCTTGATGACTCGGGGAAAGGCAGTGACATTTTTACGTCTCACTGCCTAGCCTGTGGCCTTCGGTATTTTACTCGTCCAATTTCCCGGTACAAACCCTTCTTTCCTGGTGCAACATATCTGACTCGAATGATAGCCGCCGCCTTGCTGGATACCCGAAGGTCTGCGCGCCGTCACGCGTCAGCCTCCCGTCGCCTGACCATTCTGGTCTGGATTCGCTCTCTGACTGCGAGGTCGTCGGACCGCCCTGGGGCCAACTCTGCAAATTAGTTTTGTGAGGGCGGTGCCGTTTGCGAGTCAATGTCAGACCTCAACTGAAGGGAGTTGACGACATCCTCGTGGACCGGGGTCTTCAGGAGGTTCCCCGCGAGGGTTATAATTTCTCTCAGTATCATCAGCAATGATTGATATTACAGGTGACTAGTGACTACCGCTCATAGAAAGCGTGGTCGCTTATCTACTTCATTCGTTCTGCTGGTGGGCACCATACAGCCCGCAGCCGTAGCAGACCGTAGTATCACGGTCTACGACCCCGCAGTTACATTGTTCCAACCTTATCCTAGGAACCGAAGATCCGCGCCCCACACCCAAGCAAAACCACCACTGCACCACATGTATCAAAGCAACACTTGCCAACAGAGTCCATAATGAAAAGAAGAAGTGGCTGCGATTCCGAGCCATGAAGGTAAAGATAACAAGTTATGCACGATGGCCGGAATGCCCGAGCGCCTAATCTACTGTACATATACAAAAGGAGGAATACGAAACAAAGATGAAAGTTGATAAAACAGATCTTTTCGTGACTATACCTGTATGCCTACACCACACCCGCCACACTGGCATATATCCACCCCCTTATCCATCTCCTTGAGGGTTCTCAACCCCTCTGAACCTTGTACACGGGAAAACAGAAAGCAAAAGTAAATAGAGTACATTGATCACACATCCCAAGCACATGATCACCGCCAACCCCGCAGAGTACCAATCCCCCAGCCTCACGTCCCAATCCATAGGGTACCTAATTTAATTTACACGAACACTCCGTCCGGCCAAGGGTCGGTGGTCGGTTCATAAACACGCATATTGAAGATTTCCTATACCGTCGTCGATTCATTGAAAACGTGGAAGGGTCCGAACCCATTGCATTGTGTCCGTCGTGCCAAGGTTGCCGTTATTGTATTAAGCCTGTCGCGGTGAACAACCACCTGAGCGAGTGAAATGATCACCCTCGAGGCGGGATATCGCGTCCGAAGCGCCAGTTGTCGTAATCCTCGAGGTAGTCTGGTGGGACGAACATTCGGAAACCTTGAATGAGGTCTAGGTATCCGTCGAACAGTGTGCGAACGCGGCCAATCAGTTCTGGACGCTCGATCCTATATGATATATGGTCGTACAGCCGTAACTCAGTTTGGGGGCGATAAGGAGGGACGGAAGGACGATATACTCACACACGCCTCTGCCATTCCTTCATACTGAGAACAAACTCGTTGTAGACTCTCGGTCTGTCGTGCAGTCTCCGTTTGGCGAGCTTCATGAAGTCGATGGCATCCTGCCTCGTCAGACGAGGTTGCTGGGCGAAGCTGTTGACGGTGGTTGGAGAAAGGGGCTGTAATTCAGTCCCATTCGAATGCACATAGTCGTCCGAAGGGATATGAAGGCCAAGGGCATTGGTAGGGTGAGGCATCGTGAGGTCGATGGATGGGGGCCAGGCGAGCGACGAGAAGATGTGGATACGAAGACGAGAACGCAAGCAAAGGAAGGCGGGAATGGAACGGAACAGAGGGCTGAAAAGCAGGAACGCGTTGGGGGTCCCAGTACGAGAGACCGAGGGGCCTTAAGTAGGGTAAGCCCAGGAGGCAAGGGAGATCTTATCCCAACACCTGCGTGCAGCCGACACAACGCAACAAAAGCAGACAGATGCCTCGCCACGCTGCACGCACCCCCGGATGTATGTATAAATGGGATTCCTCGGCCTAGCCCAAGGTTTTCTTCTTCCCTTACAACGACTTGGGTCACCGAGAGTCATAATACCCAAAACAATCCGTGATCTCATGCACGGAAAACGCGCCAACCTTCTAACACCGAAAACCCTTTCGTCCGACACTCACGAACGAATGACGGGGTTGTATATGTTTCCCTGACTGTGCTACCGCTGCTGAGTTAAGATCTGCATATCAATAAAAAGAGTCCCTTGCAGTTTTTTTAGATAACGGAGCAAACGCACACGAGTTTTCATAGACCATCCAGGTCAGGTCGATGACGTTTATCCATCGGAGTTTCTTCGACGACAGGTTCGCAAAGGCCAATATCACCAGCGCCTGTCCTTTGAACTTGCCTATTTGTCACATATCGACCAATCGACGAATGGCGAAAAAACATCGCGATCGGCGAAGCGAGGGGCATTTCCCCAGTCTTCTTGAAGGAGATTTACCGTTGAAGGAAAGGGAAGCAAGTGCGCTGTTGCCACATTGTACCTTCGACATGAGTTCGATCAAGTATAACCCTCATTGTCCTCCTCCTTTGGCAGACGAGGCCCGCCAAATAGGCTGGAGGTTGCACCAGATGGAAAACGTACCCGAGGCGTGTATGGCCATGGGACCCTTTGGGATTAGGCGTTGCAGGCCCGGCGAGCAGAACGTAGGCCATAGAGCCTTCTGGAAAGAAAGATGAACAGGGCCCTGCTCAATTCAAGGAGATTTCGCGAATGTCGGTGATAGCCAGGCGTGCCTCGTGTATATTTTGGAAAGAATGCCGGTACGACTGGAAGATGGTGTGAACGAACACGAGGCTTTCGCGTGCTCGGTGAATGTCTTGGTGGGAGGAAAGGAGAGCTCAGCGCTCAGGTTGGTAAGTCGCGGTGGTGGAAATGCGTCATCCACAACGTGCATAATCTAATCTTATCGGGAAAAGCCCGAACGATTGCGAAGATGTAATTTATCTGCGGTCGAGTCTGCTTTAATAATAAAAATACAATGGAAGACGATTATGCCACAGGCTTCCCAACAACAGAATCGAATTGCCCAACTGCGACGGATATGCGGATCCGGAAGGAGAATGAAAGCGAATGCGGTGGTAAATGAATGGTGTAGGAGCGAAAAGCACTGATGAAGCCCGATAAAAGATACGGGGATAAATATCCAATAAGATATAACTAGAAAGTGCGAGACGAAACAATGGAAACAAACGTCATGGCGTTATCTGAACCGTCACTCTCGTTAAAGACTGACTCGAGGCATCTTGTCTCAATTCGGGAGAAGATGCCCTTGAAGCTGGAGCAGACCGCGTCTTGTTGCTCTCTCCTGCTTGTGACTTGATGGCACTATCGGGTGTGGGGCAGAAGAACGGTGCTTCGTAGGGTTGCCTTCTAAGTTTTTTCGGCGGCGTTAAACTCGTCATTGAACGCTTGGGTTTGACCTCCCTCGGTTTGGTGCTCGTGTTAAAACTAAACATGAAAGCTTTCTTGGTCGTTTGCTCCAGCTCTACCAGCACTACTTGGTTAGTCGAGAAACGGAAGATGGCAGACTGGGACGTACTATCTGGATTGGGCAGAAGTGGCCCCGGTGCACTTGGCACCCGCCTAAGGAGTTTACCCAACGTCTTCGTCTTCGATTCATCCTTCTGTTTTGGCATTGGAGGTAGACACGGGACCGTCATGCTCAACTTTGTTGGACTGGGTATATCAGCCTCTCCGGTGCTCTTCCGCCTTTGTCGTTGAATGTGGATGGTCTCGGCAGAGCTTGGGGTCAACAGTGACGTTGTCGATGCAGCTTTTTGTTCATAAATATCCACGGGTGTAGCAGGCGGTGTGGATAACTGGGGTGAGGATGAGCATCTTGACAGGCCACGGCGGTGTCCTTGTCTAAACTGGGCAGGTGAGGTTCCCAATGGGGGTAGTGCCAACCTATTGCTCGAACGACTTTTCTGCTCCTTCGCCGGACGGTCAGGGTGGGCAAAGGTTATCGACGGAGTTCGTTCGCGCAGAGAAGAGGAGCTGGTGTCTGATTCGGACGACCCAGAGCTCATGTGGGCACGGGTGCGCGATGGTTCCGGAATTGATCTTGGGGACGGATCACCTTGGTGTAGGTAGATGGTTTGACGAATTTGAACGTGGGGTGTTGGTGACGAAGGGTCGGGGTTCTTTCCCTTGGAGATAGAAGCACGGCTAGACGACGGCTTTCTTGGTGAGGTCGGGGTCGGTGAGAATTGGGATCCATGCTGTTCAGGCGTGTGGACCGTTATGGTTGGAATGGGTGAGCGAGGTCGGATATGAGAAGATGCACGAGGGAATGTTGCTGTGGTGGAGCTTGACCGTGTGGTATTGTACATGGATGAACTGCCATAAGACACGTCGGATTCGGATGAGTTGAGGAGGATCCCAGTGGGGTTCTGGTGTCGACGGTGATGCGAATGATGACGGTGGTGTCGACGTTGGATTTTTCCTTCAGGAGAGGGGCTGAGAGAGCGTCGAGGTAACATGAGCTGGTCATTGTGTGCACGTTTGTGTAGTGAAGCATGGTCTTGCAGTGTAGCAAGGTCGTGGTGGTCGACTGGAGGGCGGCCAGTGAAGAAGTAGAGCAGGTGAGCGACTGCATTGTGCCCCAAGAATGCATCGACTAGCGCCGTGAAGATGCTCTAGAAAGGGATAAGAAAGGCAGACAGCATGTGAAACGCCGAGCAACGTACCAGGGCCAGGCCCACTGATGAGAGCAGAAAGGTGGCGATGTTGACAGCGACACCTCTCGACGGCGTCGACTCCATGGTTGGTATGACGGAAAGGAGGAAGAAATGAAAGGAGAAGGTAAAGAGCGTTAAGAGACAGGCTAAGACCTGCTTTCTAGGATAAAGGAGAATAGGAGCAAAGCATGCGCAAGGTTGTAACTGGGTCCGTTTCGAGCAGCTGCGCAGTATATAGACTGTTACCAATTTGATATCACAGCATTGATGATTGTCGCGAGGGTACTGTTACTGGAGAGGTCAACTTGGGGTCAACGGCAACACCCTACACCGTCGCTGTAGTTTAAATGTCCAGCAAGGCCTGTGAAACAAAGTTTATTGCAGGGCGGAGGCCTCCGTTCCAGGATCATCAAAGGGTCCATGCATCAAGGCACTCTCCGTGCTCGCCCACGCAGAGCTTACATACGTCGGGCGTCGGGGTCTTGAAAGGCTGAAATGTAAGTTTGCATTGCCTTGAAGCGCCTCCCTCCGCAGCGACGGTCCTTGGCTAAAGCGGCCTTGGTTGCGCGCCCTTGTATTTGTGGTTTGAGGTCATTGGGTCAAGGAAAGCGTTCGTAGCCACTATCTAAAGGATTCTCGCAGTCATATGAGGGATTTTGACCGGGAAAGCAGTGTAGAAGAGGATATGGTGAAAGCCAAGAAGAGGAGTTGAGGCGGTGCAGGTGGTCCGCATTCAATTAGATGTGGGACTGACATCTGGGTTGGTTTCTTACTACCGTCATCTGCTTCTCATGGGTTGCATTCGTCCAGCGACGCCTGGGTTCATCGTCACCCTCGTCGCTACAGTCCTCCTTGCTGTCGTTTCTTTCTGCGTTCCGTTCTTTAAATCAGTTTATTTCCTCAGAGCAAGCATCGACGTAGAGGGAATCTCCGGTTCAATAACATTTGGTACCCTTGGCTACTGTCTAGAGTTCGCAGGCCAGGTCAATTGCACAAAGCCATCGATAGGCTATGAACTAGGTGCGTGCTCCTCGGACGGTGCACCCGATGTCGACGAGTTAAACACTGGACAGATATCAACGGCCTGGTGGGCAACAACTTGCCCATCGAAATACCCAACGTCGCAGTCAAATGGATCACTTACGCTCTTTTCACCCATGTCGTGGCCCTCGCCCTCTCAGCGGGTTCTGCAATATTCGGCTTGTTGGCCCACGTCCGTGAAATGTCGATGACTTGCTGCAGCACATGCGTTTCTGGTTTCGCCGCCGCAGTCGCTCTCATCGCCTTCATTTTTGATCTTGTTCTTTTCTTCGTCGCCAAGGCGCGCATCAACGCTGTCGGTTCCGCAACGATGGGCAATGCCATTTGGCTGACATTGGCAGCCTGGGTGTTGCTATTCTTCAGCGGGTGTTTCTACACGTTGGGCCGATGCTGCATTTCCAGGCGTCCCAAAATGGGCGGTTCAGGCTGGGGTGAGGGCTCCGGCAGGGACCCCAGGTACGATGCCCCCAAGAACGACTATACTGAGCAAATGCGTCTCGACGCCGTCAAGGCGGAAGCAGACAGGAAAGCTCGCGAGAGACAGCAGAAGGAAGTCGGGCTTCCTGCATTTGCTGAAACGCAACCGCTCACTGCCCGCGTCGAGGGAGACCATGTGTACCTCGACGACGACTCAAAGGATGCTATCTCGACCGGACCATCTTCACCAACAAGTCTCGCTCGACCGTCGCAGAACAGCCTGAACAGTAACCGACGTCAATACAACGCTGGGGGCTATGCGCAAGGCACACCAGGTAACAGAGCCATCGACGAATACTATAATCCAACAAACACGTCTTCGAGTCCACCCGCCCCCAACACCTACCCACCTCAGCCTCAACCTCAGAGACAGGGTAGCGCCCATGCCTACACTCCCTCGGGCTACAGCAATACTGCTGGATACGGTGCATCACCCCAACGTCAGCCGAGTGGATACACTCCAGCATCTACTGGACCATATGCCCAGACGGGCTATGGTGCCTACCAATCGACATCGCCACCTCCAATGCCTTCCCACTCTCAGGGACTTACAGTACCCGGACAAGCTCCATACTCTGATCCCTATGACCCATACAACCAATCTGGACAACAGTATGGGCACACAGCCGGTGGAAGCTCTTGTAAGTTGGCATCAGTGTTAACATTAATCGAGCAGCTCTGATGTATCTTTCTAGACCATACTGCTTCCTCCCACAACCAACAACCGTCCGCATATTCACAATATGATCCTTACGGACAAACGTCCTCTTCGCCTCCTCCCCAACCAACTTCTTACTACAGCCCACAACCTCATAACCAATACACTGAGCAGCCTGCCTTCCTTACCACCACCTCTCCAGAGCCCTACAGTCGACAGCCCCAAACTTCCGCAACTCCAGGGTTCCCATCAGCGCTAACGCCAGGGTACGGAGCCTCCGCAGCTGCCGGGGCTGCGGCAGCGACTTCCCCACCACCCTCTACATCCATGCACTCCGTTTCTTCTGCCTATCACCAACCACCGCAGCGGCAATATACGCTAGGAGGTGACGGGTATGGCAACAACTCGGTCCCTCCACTACCTGAGCATGATCCATATAGCGGTTATCCACCAGGACTCGATACTACTTCAGGGGCAACCACGGGTGCTTACGCAGGTGCCACTAGCCCTGTGAGAGGACCTCGACCGCAACCTTCAGCGGGAGGTATCCCTGACGAAGCTCCTCCAGGGTATGACCAGGGAGGATCGTCCGTCGTCGGACAATGGGGCAAACACTAGCGCCCCGGTTGAGTATGTTTGATAGTCGAGGTGAAGATCTTCTCCTTGGGATCCATGTAGAACGTTTTGGGGAAAAAGTGGATATTATAAGACACAGACTTTTTAGCACTTTTTTTTGTATCCTCTACATGGTTCCTTGGTCCCTATCCGTTCAATTCCATGTAGTGTACTATATATCGTATATTTAAGTGTTTTTCTTGACTCTACGCTTTTTCTTTACCTGTTACCCTGTGTACACGTTACGACTCTTGCTATGATTGGTATTTCTTGCTGTTTGCACGTCTTTCATACATCGATAGATGACCCCGGTTCGTAAAACCAGAGTGGAACTTGGAGTGGTCGGCTGAGACGATTCATTGGGTTGGACAGAACGTCCGGGGGGCACAATTTGAGCATACGTCTCGCATATTCGGGTGTGAAAGGCGGGACAGTCTTTTGGCGTGAGTGGACATGGACTCGGGAGGTTTGGGTGGCGGTGACGCGGTTAGGGGCATGGGATCAAAGGTGTGGGAAACCTCTAGATAAGCGCCGGGCGGAGTTTGAATACACACATACCCAGGAGCCAGGGCACAGTTGGATCTAGATCTGCGCGCTCAGGGTACAATCGAGGGAATTGAGATTCAGGAGTACAAGCAATGTAGAATACCTGTGAAAGACGGATACTGAATGACGCGTCCAGCATACTAGTGAGCCATGGTCAAGGGTAATGAGGCAGTAAGATTTCAAAGCCGAAGCGCAAGTGTATCTACCGGTATTCCGGTTCTTCGATTGATGACATATATCTAGCTAGGTATTATTATTTAGAGGCACCATTCGAAGTGACTAAAAGTGATAGAAGGTCATGAACAACGGAAGCTGCCGCGATCCCAGTGATCTCAGCTACCGACCAACAGGTCAGACATGCAAACGTTGAAAAAAGCAGAAAGCAGACCTTGATCATAGGCCGGGGAAACCTCCACCAGATCTGCACCACTACGTAGAAACAAGGGTAGTGAGTTGGGAGACGCTTGGGCAACAGATGACAATGTGACCGCAGACTTACATGAAGTTTAGTCCTTTCAGACCTCTGAGAATGCGCTTAAACTCTCGCGTAGTCCAGCCTCCGGCTTCTGGGGTTCCAGCTGGGGGTCAATACGTCAGTTTCGCCTGTTATGGGCTCCAGATTAAGGATGCACGCACTTGCTGGTGCCATTCCAGGGTCAATAACGTCAATGTCCACGCTGTAAGATCGCGTTATCGCTCTGTACCCTGGACGATGCATGTGACTACCTGCCTCAAGTACACGGGGCTATCCCCAACACGAGCCCTCATCTTCCTAACAATTTCAGGGATGCCGAGGCTATCGATGTCGTCGCTAGTGATAACTTGGAACCCAACCACAGAGTCATTGGCAAGATCTTCTGGTCCCTGTTTTCTTCGTGGTCAACGTGCACCAGACGGACTGGGGCCCAGAAAAGCACTCACACTCAAAGGTGTCCTGATGCCACCATGAATACTGTTATTGGCGAGCAACCCTTCCTCGTGTGCGACGTAAAAGAAGGATCCATGTGTGATTCGAGATTGCTCCGTGTCTATACCGCTGAGCTGGAGTGTCGGCCAAGTGTCCTGCCGTGCTGCATGTAAGCCGGGTTTCATCGGCTGCCATGTACGGGCTAGCGTCATACCAGATGAGCGTCGAAGTGGATGACAGTGATAGGTCCGTAGACCTTGTACAGCGAGCGCAAGATGGGAAGGACCTGATTGGCAACAATACGTCACTCGTCGTAGATTCGCAGAATGTAAACAGACATACGATTGTATGGTCACCTCCAAGACTGGAATTCAAGAGATCAAATCAATATTATCCCCCGCCTGCACATCTCATTACTCACCTAACAACCCGAGGATGAACCAACCCATCCTTGCCTTTAAGCGGTCCCGCCAAAGTGTCCTCCCTCGCAATAGGCCTCCGTAGCAAAGTCGAGTACGCAACCTCCATCTGGTCCAGTGCGAGAGTATTGTCGAATGAGTTGACAGGCACCTATGGAGAGGGCCATGAGCCCACAAAGAGCAGAGGAAGAAGAGAGGGACCTTCGTACATCACCGCAATCCAGAATCGAATACCCTTGGGTGTAAGGATTGAACCCCCACGACAACGAATATGCAAGAACGTCACTCTGTCTTCTACTTCCCGAGCGAATGGCGCTAGGTCCAAAGCGAGCCCTTCAAATTCAGGAGTCGTCAGCTTCAATGGCCCTTCCCATTCCTCCACCAATTAAGACGAGTACTCACCCCGGTCGATACGAAACTGCCGTATCAAAAGGCATACCGAGGATCGCAACATCGAAGGTCGCATTCTCCTGTAGACAAAGTCGGTAGGGTAGATGAGCAAAAGAGAGAGGACCCGTGTAGCTCAAGTCAAGCTGAGGTCCATATTTCTCGAACCAAGTCGTAGGCTCTTGGGCTTGCGCACCAACCAGAGTGAAAGTCGACGAGATCAAAGAAAGAAACAGCGTGACCGTTTTCATGTTCCCCATGGTCACGAGTAGTGGCACTGAGTCCAATGTGCTTTGGTTGAGGAGAATGTTCAGACAACACGGGCGCCTTTAAAACGAATAAAAATAGATTAATGCGCAGTCACTGGCAGTGTCCCAAGAACGCTGCTCTTTGTCCGAAGAGACCAAGATTTTACAGCGATGTTTATCACCACACATTCCTCGGACGAGTACGCCATTTTCAAGGCTTTGCGGAGAGCTGCGGCAAATGACAAGAAATTCTAGGTCGTGGTTGTGGTGAGAAGTGAGGATCGTCGGGCGCGACCCGGATCAGCCTGAGCGTCACACGAACACCGATGCCCACCTCCCAAGGTCTCAAAATTCGACGGGCACAAACGTTAGCATGGTGTGTCCATCGTATTATCGTAACTCTACACTGCATCGCCATAATAAGCGACTGCAAAACGACAAAAAGCAACACATACAAATTACGACTAAACTACAGCTTGGGGGAGATGCTAACACATGAAACCTATCGGTCGTGTCGAAATGAAAATATAAAACAGTGATGGTTGTACAACAATGTGCGGGCTAGAAATAAAGGATACCAATGCAGGAGGTGTAATTGTAGGGTTCCGCGTGGCTTGAGAGGACAACAGGGAAAAAGAGATGTATCCAAGAAAGAGATGAGGCCGTACGTGTAGATGCAAGATGGGACTAGAATGACGAAAGGATTGTGGGAACAGAGTAGAGCTGTAGTCGATATTGATGAAATACGTAAATGATGAACGTCCAAAGGTCCTGAAGAAAACACTTGAAGGGATTCCCTTCAAGAAAAGCCGAAAGGAATGTGAACGAAAGAACACCAAGCCACGGGAACGAATAACAATAGGTGCAAAGTAGACGTGATGCGGGAGATGCAGGAACGATGATGCAAGGGAAAACGAAACGACATAAACATATGGGAACCAAGAAACACGTAAAGAAACCCAAGCATCATCGCGAGGCCTTCCTTGGAGAAGACTGGCCCGAGAAAAGCATGTTCATAAAGGTCTTTTCGTCCACTGTTTTCACGGCCTCAAACACCCGAATGGTTCGGATATGCGTGAGCTCTTCTCGTCGATACTGCCCATTGAAGGAATCCAGGCTGTCGGTCCTTGAATGTCCAGATTTACCTCCAGATGACTGGCGGGTCACTCCTCGAGGGAGGCTCTGTGCGACAGGGGATGGAGGTTCCGGGAACCCTTGGTCGGCAAATAGTTCAGGATTGTCGTTGGGCCAATGGAACCGAGATCTGCGGAAACTACAACAACAAGTCAGCAACGAATTAGGAAAACAGGAACGAAAAAGCCACGTACCACTCATATTCCCAAAGTGCCTCTTCAAAATCATCATCAGTTGCCAATTTGACACCACCAAATTCGCCAGTAATGTGTTCCCTAAGCGCATGTCGACAACCGAGAAGCGTCTGCACAAATTTGCATGAATGCATCTCAAGCTCTGTGGGGGTCATGGGAATGTACGTCGAAGGCCAGACGAGGAGGCCTGGGGATTGGACCGGCGCCATCACACCACTGCTTCGACTATGGACTGCGGAAGCTGCAGCAAGGACAGAGTAGGAGATACCCAGGCGACCAGCAGCTTTGGCGCTGATGGAAGGAGGACCGGGGGCGGGGGCGTCGGGAGAAGATGGGTCGCTCAAGCTCAAGCTCGAGCTTTCGGAAGAGGCAGTTCGGGACATTGGGGATGGAGAGGCCTTCAAAGAAGTGTTGGATCGGCTGGGATTGTCGGTGTGACCCAAACTGGTTGACGAGGCAATAGACGAAAGGGATATGCCATAGCCGTGATCGCTGCTCCCTGCAGAGATAGAGCGGGACATAGGCCTCACAGGGATACCAAGGCGGCTTGCAGCCTTCACCGGCACGGCTGGAACGGTAAGTCCACGGCTCGGTGAAGGTCGAGCACTTTCCATATCGGTGCTTCGGCTACTCGAAATGGGCTTGGGCGGGACAGGAGGAGGAATTGAAGGGATGCCCAGACGGTCTGCAGCCTTGTCGGATACAGAAGGCATGACACTAGACAGATACGAGCCCGAATAACTCTCGCCGCTGCTACTGTCGCTGCTTGTTGAGTAGGCAACAGAGACGCGATTGGAAGGCGGCAAAGACGGCACGTTGGGTGTCAGTCCCAGCCGACTCGCAGCCTTTGCAGTGACGAGAGGCATCTGGAACGAGTCATCGAAGCTTGTTTTGGAGACAGTTCTCTGTCTAGCCTGCTGTTTCTCCTGCTTCTTCTCTTTCCGCTCCTTCTCTTTTTTCTCCTTCTTGTCTGATATTTGCCTCCAGTGTCTCTTGAGCTGGTCGGAGCTTGCTCGTGGTCGAAGGTGCTTGTCCACACGCATCGGAGGTTCAACGGTCGGAAGCTGGGGTGCCAAAGCCCCACCTGGGCCTATCGGAGAATCGAATGGCGCCAATTTGATGTGGAAACTCCTAATCTTGCCAGCATTGCCCTTGCCGAATGTCCGTCGCAGATAGTCCTGAACGAACTCTGCTGGGCGTGGATGAATGCCGCATTTGTTGATCACCAGGTACTCGAAAATCTTCTCCATGTCGAGTGAGAGTTCCTTCTTGTGTTTCCAGGCGGTGACGGCCTCCGAGTTGGACTTGGTGCTCGAGGTCGAACCTGTCTTGCGATGTCCCTTTCGGTCGGAAATTGGTTCTTGTGTGAAGGTTGCTGAAGCGGCCAAGGTGCCATTGAGAGCATCGATGTTGTCTTGAGTGATAGTAGGGGAAGGTGAGATGAAGGAAAAGTAGTCCTCTGCTTGCGTTGATAGGGTTTCAGTTGGTATTGGGAGGGGCTTGTCTCGATTGTATGCTGGTGTCGGTGGCTCGAGACCAACGACCGTAACAGCGGGATTGCTTTGGGTAGAACTGCGTTTGGAGGAGGGTAGTTTGTCGAAATCAAACTCGCTGACCAAGGTCGATGCTGTGGATGTCGATGTAGTTTCTTCGAGTGTGTCGTCGTCGCCGCTGTCGCACCCTTCGTCCCAATGGAAGAAGGAATTCTTGTTGGGTGACTCGACTTTTGATGGCTCCTTGGGCTCCTCGCCGTAGGGAAAGAGGATCTGGTCGTCAATGAGTTCCAATCTTCCTCCATTGGTCAAGACTCGGCGGATTTCCGCCAACAGCGGCATCCATCTGTTAAAGGGAATGCACAGCGACAAATTTGACATCCTGACGTATTCGAATGATTTGGCGGGAAAGGGTAGTTTGAATAGGCTAACAACACGTCAGTGAAACCAGCGGATATATGCGTTGAAAGAGATGACTTACAAATTTCCTTTGACAAAAGTGAGGTTCTCTGTCGTTTGGAATGTGGGTAGGGTGATGTCCATGATGTCGAAACCGGTTATTCGAGAGTTTGGCCAGAGAGACGCGGCCCGCAGGGCCCAATGACCCTGGCCGCAGCCCAAGTCGAGGACGGTTAATGGTGGTTTCTTGCCATAGTCGTGAAAACTGGGTGAAGTTGGGCTCAGTCGCTGGAGCAGTAACTCAGAATACCGGTCGCTGGAGGGAAAAAAAATCAGAATAACTTCAACGACTATGCAAGAGAGCTACGCACTTTTCCAGGCATTGGGTATCGTATGCTTGCATATAGGGCGCCTCGCCAAAGTATGGATGCACTTTGGTATTACTCTGGGATAGCCAAACATTGTTGTCCATGAATGTGGTGTCCTTCTTGAGCTTTCCCTTTTGATGGTCGTCGAATTCGACCCTGGACGAACGCTTTGAGCGTGGTGTGGTGGGTGTTTGCGGTAGACGGTCGACGTCCATCTTGGTTGGACGGAAAGAAGACGGGGGCGCCGAAGACTTTGAGCGAGGAATGGAGTCGGACGAGGCCATACTGGGCGAAACATCGGCGGCTGCTGAGAAGAGCGAGGCCATCGATCGCTGCGCTTTTACTTTGTGAAGCGCCGCCGTTCCGCTTGAGCTCGATCGCTCCGACGATGTTGTCTCTCCACCCGCGGTCCTTGGCCGAGACACTCTCTTTGTTGACTCGGCCGTGGGTGAAGGCGTTAGTGGCGACAACGGCGGCGTACCGCTGTGCTCAGACAGCTTTCGAATTCGTAGTTTTGTGAGTTCTTTCGCCCTGTCCTTGTCTGCGCTCCTCTTCATGACGCCGAGCCCCATGGCAATGCTAACGGAAGCGGAACGTTCAAGTGTCGATTGGCGGCGTGCTTTGACGAGGACACTGCTTCTCTGCTGCTGCTGGTAGTGAGAAACAGGCCTTTCATCTAGGTAGAGGGTTGAGTGAGGCCGGTAGTGACTCCGAACAGCTCTGGGTCTTTCTGGCTGCAGAGGGAAGGAACTGTGCTGGTGGGCTTCAAACTGGGACGAGGCTGACAGGCTATCCTGGCGAGGAGGAAATGGACGGAAAACAGTTGCGGCAGCCATCTTTTCACCGTCCAGGAGATGGGATTTGTAACAATGGTCGCCTTAGCCTTTCCCTTTGTCGCCGGGCACGTTCTCCAGGCGCCTTTGTGAGCACTTCCTCCACGGACTCTTTCCTCTCGACTCTTTCCGGCCCTTTTCCAACCCTTTTCACAGATTTCCACACCACAACAGGGCGGGATTTCACAAGACAAAGGAGGCGACGATGGCGACGTGCGGTGTGGTGTGGTTGGAGAGCTGGATACGGCGATAGATTGCAGTCTGGAGCTTGACGGGACAGGGCAGATGATGCTGGTGACCTGGGGTAACGGGATCCGGTCAGAGGAGCATGGCTTGGGGACGGCTGAGCAAGCAGGGCCGATAGCGCTGACTGGATGCAGGAAGAGACAGATAGCTATCGCTTTTGACTTGACTTGGAGTAATCATCGCTCGATAGTAATAACTCGGACGTGGTCATCAATTAGGAACTCTCTTTCTTCCTCCCAAATCTATCCCAACTCGGCTGCAATACCCACCGGCCTTTTTGATGGCGCTGTGTTCCAAGTCTAAAGACATATTCACGAGTAGGAAAGGCTTCAAAACTCGCATTTAGAGGATAATTAAAGAAGATTGATACAGATCATATGTATCGAACCAGGGACATGCACTTATCAAAGAACCGTCTGCCTCCCTGCAGCTTCCTTCCCTGAAAAGGTCGTAATGGACCCAGTAACGCCGGGTCAAGTTAATTTGTAGCGTCGACAGCGAGCGGTCTACAATTTACATCCGCACATTCTTTGACGACCGCGTTGGTATCCTCGTAAACCCCACCGGCTCCTATCAATCGTCTTCCTTGCGAGGAGGAGGACCACAGGGCTGCAACATCCGCTGGAGAAAGCAAGGGGAAACCGCGGTCAGATCCACTCAATAGTGGCAATTAAGGCGCGCGTACCTCTGTCATCTCGAATTTGATCCTTCCAATAGCTTCACCCTCTGCGATAGCAAGGTAAGATGTGAGCGTGGGGTGACCGACGATCGAGGCAAGCGTGTCACGGTGCTGGTGTGTTAACCATTCACTGCATCCAAGATAGTAGGTCAGTTTACATCTCTCTAGCGCCAGAAACTGGAACTACTCACTACTTGGACAAATCCGCGTGTCCTAGCGTAGTTTATGAGGACGATAATTCCATGGTGACTCGGTAATTTAGCACTCACCCGTTCCAGTATACCTAGCATGCACTTTACAGACGTCATTCATTAGCGGGAATCAATACAAAGCCAATTAAGAATCACTCACAATGTTCTAATTGCGTGTTTGCGGTATACCTGAGCTCAGAAGACTGCGATAGGACAAAGAGATTAGCCTACTTTCTTCAATTGAGGGCAGACGACATGACTGACCATGACGAAGAGGCGTTATTGGTGGCTGTTTATTTCGGAAGTTGTTGAGCCCTCTCGCGTCCGGAGCCGCCGCTTGCCGCTCGTCCGGGCAGGCTTGGCGCTGTCCTTGACCTTCTCCTCATCGTACCTCTCGTTTTCCAACGCGAAATGCCCACAGCAGGACCATCTAAGAAGCCAGAAAAGGCCTCCAGCTCTAGAAAATCCTCGCAGAAAGAGGATGCGCCTGCCCCTCGTGCGTACAACCCTTGGCTCAAGATCCAAGTCTGTTCTCTCAGCGCGTCCGTGTGTCTAGGCAGGTCAGAGCTCGACAGAGCTGCCGCAGGACGCTTCATTAAAAGCGCCATAAACGGGATCACGTTTAACAAACCCACTCCCGAGGAATCGAATCCTGCTTCCACCGTCAGGGTCCCCGTCAAGATCACAAGCAAGATGCTTGAACGCCAACGTTACGAGGAGGAAGTGAGGAAAGAGGATGAGGAATACGACAGTGACGAGGACGTTCTCAAGATCTTTGGCGGTGATGAAGACGAGGATGGAAGTGAGAGCGAGAGTGAAGACGAGGATGAAGAAACCCTACAGGTCTTTGGCGATGACGACGATGAACCCAGTCCCAAGAAGCGACCGCGATCAGAAGAAAGTAGTTCATCTTCGGGTATGTTCACGCACATGTCGAGTCCCTTTTGACTGACATTGATCCTTACCGGCTTAGACGACCAAGGCAAGAGTTCAACATCTCCAACAACCGACCCGCCTCCAGCCTCCAAGAATAAGAAACAGCGAACGTCGCCAGTAGGCAACAGCTAGGTTCGGCATTCCACAAAGGTAATCCAACAGTACAAGCACATTTCATTTGACTTCCTCTGGACTTCGACACCGTGATTCTAATAGAAAGTACAGGGACATGAACCTTGGTCCTAAAACAATGTACATCATCATGATACCCAAAAGGTACGTCGTAAAAGAGAAACGAGAGAAAAAGAGGGGGAAGAATACAAGGTACATTCGACGACGGAGATAGCAAATATGGTACAGCAAATTGGTTTCGAGAACGGTGAACCGGAGAGTGAGAAAATTGGCAAGAGATAGAGACTACTATGGTACAACTGGAAGCAGGTCGGAAAGAGATCGCTAATAATACAACAAGGGGTGATTCCTGAAAGATCGTGAAGACGAGTGGAAGATATAAAGGCGAGAAATCATCATGGTTAGATATGCGCGAAAAGGAAAATAGTCAAGTAGATAGAAGCCCAAAGCCTTACAAGTTTACATGGTCCGACAACCCTCGTTCGGAATGTCGGTCATGACCGGTGGAGAGGTTCGTCCAGATCGTCGGCCTCCAGGGGACCACCAACGTGTCCTTCCCCCACTCCCACCTCCTCCATCCTCGTCCTCACGTCCGCTCGACGTGCTCACAGCCCGTCTAGAGTTGGCCTTCCTCCTCTTCTCTCGATTAGCCTTGACAGCATCCACAGTCTGCCACGAGTAGAACGTCTTCACTACCACTCTCCCTTCATCGCACTCGTCCTGCCCAATCTTCAGATCCTCTTCATTCCCATCCCTGCCATCAAGGTAACAAAGCTTCCGTGCAGCATAAGCTCGCCATCCCCGCCTCGGTCGGGTGGATCCTGTCAACTCTTTAACAACGCTCTCTCCAATCCCACGACAATCCACCGCGGCGATCTTAGCGTTTTTGAGCTGACGTTCCTTGCTCAGCCGTACGAATTCGCGGAAGACTGCACTCCCGATACGCGTGTTGTCGACTTCGAGGACGGTGAGTTGGGGACAGTTGCGGATCAGGTTGAGGAGCGCATCATCGCTCAGTTGTGAAGCGTACGAGACTATGAGTTGTTGTAAGACATATCCGGGCTGTGGGTCATCTTCCGTGGGCGTGGAGGTGGGGGAGGTGGATGTGGATGTGGGTTTATCTGGGACCGGGGTTATGGCAGCTAGGAAAGTGTCGGTGAGATCTGAAGCGTCCTCCAAATCCAAACGTTTGATAAACGGCGTCCTTTCCAGCAACCGTATTAAACCCGCCTCCCTCATATCAGATCCTATCCCTGCCAACTCTAGAAACTCGAGCCGTGGAATAGAATGCGAGAGATTGGCACAGGCAGTATCCGTCAGGAGTGGACAGAACGATAAGTTGAGATGTCGGAGTCGTGTTATGCGCCGCCTATATCTCCCCGGGCCCGTGTCGCTGCCCGTGTCCCGTCCGAGGTCTCGAGCCGAAACTACAACCGTGTCGCTTTCCATTTCATCGTCGTCGTCGTCGCAAGCCACAAAGGCCTCCAAAGCCGCATTTCGAAGTTGGCGAGCATAGCTGAGGTCCAGCACCTCCAGGAGGGGCGTCGCACACCCAAGCGCCTGCATCATCGACTCCGTGGTGTACTTAAGACCAGAGAGTCGTAACTCCTTGAGCTGAAGGTGCTGCTGGCGTGCAAGCGCGGATTTGGCCATAAAGCCAATGCCACTGGCGTCCATGTTCGGGCAGCGACTGAGGTTCAGAGACGTCAGTCGCGGGCAATAGGCCGCAAGGATCTCGCATGTCGTATTCGTCACGCATCCCAGGCCCTTCAAAATCAACGTCTCGAGGTTCCGAGATCGAATGAGGAGACGGTGGAGAGACTGGGTTGTCAAATTGGTGCAACCTTGCAGATTAATGGAAGTGAGTTGTGTGTAGGCTGATGAATCGTATGGGACCGTCAGACAGAGGCTGTCTGTGATGTCTATTAGGTGTTCGGGTTCAATGTGGGCATGGCCAGCGAGGTTCAGTCGCTGAATGAACGGGCCTCCTGTCTGAGCGATGCGCTGGGTGACATGTTGAGGTAGCCTGGGAAGACCATGCAGATCTAGATCTATCCACAACTGACCGTCGTATACGGCAGTTCTCCAAGATTTTGAAACCTGAGGGACGTCAATTCATTACTCGAAGTGGTGGAGTAAGAATACGCCTTACCCTGCTTAGCTTGACCAGCTCTCGCACACCCTTGTCCCTTCCTACCCATTGGTTTCTCGATGCTGATGCCCTGTAAACCGACCAGCGCCCGCTTTCCACCGCGCGTCGATGGTCATCAATGTAAATCTCCACAAAGGATCGTAAGATGTGAAGATGGATCTCCCGTGGAAGTATGTCACCGAAATAATTCTTGATGAACAAGGGAAGGGGCTCGAACAAGTCGGTGCAAGAGATCGGGACGTAGTCTAAAACGGAGAATGGAAGAGGTTCCGACTGGGAACGACCCTTGTGCTTCAAGAGTCTGGGGGACGTAGGTCGAGAAGGTGTAACGACCAATGGTAATGGGGGAATAGGTGGAGGGGGTCGAGACACGATTGTGGGACTTTCATCGACCTTCGGCGCCGTGTACCACAGGCCCCTTCCATTCCCTCCCAGGACAATTGTGTCATCGCCTCGAGATTCAGGTGGAGCCACCCCTACTCCCGAAGGCGGCGAAGTCGGACGGCTCGGGGTGGGTGTGCTGTTTCTCCCAAAAGCGAGCTTGCGAGCTAGGTAGCTCTGTGGCCGATGCGGGTGAGAGGGCCTCGCCTGCTCTACTATGAAATCGGAAGCGGCATTCATGTTGCAGCGAAGCGGAGCATGGAAAAGATCTTCGCTGCTAGATGCCGACGAGGCAATGCCGTCCGCAACATTGAAGTTTACGATGGGGGGTGAAGGGCGTACGGATGACGACTCGGCAGCAATGCTACTCCCAACGGGGCTGTTGAATGACGAGGAAGGATTGGGATCTTCAAAGGTCACCCAAGGCGGGTTCCCTTCACCCATCTCGGTAGGGCAAAAGGTGAGTGGAGGGAGAACTGGAGGCATTTCCCTGCCTTTGCCCTTCCCGGAGCGGGTCTCGCCGTCATTGTCAAAGCTCCGTCCTTCTCCAAATAGATCGGATATAGGGGAGGCCAGGCTTGTTTTATAACTAGAGCTGGATGACGATGGGAAAGAGAATGCGAAAGACGACGGGCTGAACGAGGAAAAGTCGGAGGGTGAGAAACTGGACGGCGCCTGGGATGGCGAGGTGTTCGACAGCGACACATCGAAAAGATCGTGAATAATCGTCGAAGTGCGAATTGGCATGGGCATCGATACTCCTTTGCCTTTGTCTGAGTAGTTTGGAGAGTTTGAGCGTTCGGCCTGCTCCCCAGATGTGAAAGGAGCATCATGGGAAGGCATGGCTGCAGCGTTGTTCAGAGAGCTTGCTGCACCGCACGAGGATGGGGCTGAAAGGCCGTATGGACCCTCGCAGGGCTCAAAAACGAAGAGATTGTCATCGTTATCGATGTTGTTCTGCTCGGTGTTCATGGTGGACGTCGATAGCGGTCCAACCGGTATCTGCCTAGGTCCGAAACAAAATCCAGTGAGTACACAGGGTCTCCAGGATGAAATTAAGAAACCGAGTAAGTTGATAGAGAAGAAAGAAAAGGGAACAGGAAGAGAGGACGAGGGCAAAGGGGAATGGAGGGTAGATAAGAGTAGGGTTGAGGACAGGGATCGTTTCAAGGCCAGAGCTCTCCAAACAGCGCTGCTAAGCGGAGCACGGGACCATTATAGATCGCTATGACACAATCACATCATTAGTCTATCCCAATATGATAATCCAGAATGCTGCCCTAGCATTCTGCTTCAGCGACTGCTCTAGTGAATCTCTGCAAGGTAACAATATAAAAATACCTAGCTAAAGCCAACAGAGTGCCTGTTTCGATGAGGTCAAGGCATCAAACGACTTACCAGACCGGTTCACGGTGCGGAAAATTAGGAAACGAACTGACCATATGGACATTCCCCCCGCATTCTCTGGGCCTCCGCCATTCGGTTCCAGTCAAGTGCGCCCAAAGAGCGATCCTTGTGTACGCCGTGATCCAAGTTTGGGTCCCCCGCAAAATCTGCGCCAATGAGTCACACAGGAAGCCTGTTTTCTGAGCGATGGAGTTAGTCGGCTGCGCGCGGTCAAAATGGCGCTCGAACGCAGAGTGCGCGCCTAAAGTTTAATTTGACAGATATCAGCGGCCATCTTCTCGCTCCAGTTTACATGGCTACAAGAATAACAGAGTACTCAAAATATTAACAGGATACTGTAAAACAACAAACAACGATAGCAAGGAACGTTTGAACAAAAATCAAGATGATCACGAAACCCTATGGTGGTATAGTAGAATGTAAGTAATAACGCACTAGAACTAAGATACGTTGAGCAGAAGGGAAAAAGCGGTCGGGGTATCAAGGTTCAATATAAGTAGGGGAATCGCAATATGATCAAGGAGTGAATCCAAGTTGACTGGTGGCAATCCAACAGGCCCGAAGGCAAGGGAGATTAAGACGAGTTCTTGGGATTTTTGGGCGAGTTTTTCCAGTTCTCCGTAGCCTGTTTGAACCTGGATAGCAACACCGAGCGTTGGTACGTAAAACGGAAAAAGCAGGGCAAAAAGCGAACCTGTCCTTATGTGTCATATCAGGTTCAGTTTCCTTCAACCGCGCCATTTCAGTTTTCTGCCACAACGTGTGTCAATCAAAAGACGGGGCTGGTCGATGGGAAAAACAGGCCCAAACCCACCATGAAGAGGTTGAAGGCGGTCAGCTTCTTTTTTCCACCACCTGTGGACCTGGCTACAATTTCGGAATTCTCAGATCGACCATGTTCACGAGGACAGGAGACAAGTAGCGACACGTACCTCTCTTCGCAGGTTTCTCCGCTGAACCCTTGGCCTTCGTGGTGGGGGCCATCGATGGTATCGTATTAGAAGGGTATCTGATTATTTGACGGTGTACGACGCGAGCAAATCCTTCACGTAGCCTCGAACCTGCCAACGCCAATGTCAAATATGAGAAATTACGATTCGGAATTACAAGAATTTCGGCAGACCAAACTCACCAAAGACTGAGGGTATGGGGGAGGCGGGGGATGGGATGAAGGCAAGGGAAAAGGGTCCAGAGGAGCATGTTTAAAGTAGCGGACCTTATACGATGAGGGCATCGAAGACCTGTCATTTGAATGGTATCCGGTCCCCTGGCACTCCGGAGTCCATATCCTTTCCAGCCCGTTCCTGCTTCGCGGCCTTGAACGAATCTCGCATCAAAATCTTGTTCAAAGGCAAAACACCCCACCGCGGCCTCTATCTAGCATCGAAGCATCCTTCTCTGCCATCCAAGATTTCTCTCTACCATGCATTTCTCCTCCAGTTCGTTTTTTCAGTACACAGGAAGTGGTCAACGAACAAATGTCCTTCAACTCTTATCCCAATCGGGAATTCCGTTTGGCTCATTCAAATTACCATCTTTGGTATGGCAGGGGTAACATAACCAGCAAGTTTAGTTACGCGCTGTTCTGCCATGTCAAACGGGTCACCAGGCTTGTTTGGATGCAGGCTGGTCCGATAGAACAGGGCCACCGGTGTAAATGGCCCCAAGATGACAGAACCCGTCCAGTCGTCCCACGCGCGAAATTTCAATCCCCTTCAGAGACGCTGCGAATATTGAGCACTGTTATCGGAGCCACGTTGCTCGAGCGACTGACAGGGGCTACGGCATTCAGCGGATCTCAGTCTGGCCAGACGCGTCGCCAGGGTCGCGTAAACGCATCCACACCATGCAAAAAAAGATCAACGTCGGACGCGTTTGATGCATGACGACGGCATACCTAACTGCGAACTGTGGGAAGAGATGCCCGAATACTGATTCAATTGAATGGATAGACGTGGACGAAGAGTCGAAGAAAGTCGTGGTCGAAAAGAAAAAGCTATTAGGCAGCTCCGACCTTTGGTTCTGTCGTGGGTGCTGTTGCTATGCCTTCGACGAGGCTAGCACCACTAATTATCCCCGTAGTCGCAATTAAGAACCTTCGGCCTACATTGAACGCATGGTTGAGCTCACTTAGTAAATCTCCGGGTTCTGGTGACTACACTTACCCTTGTTTTGACGGCCGACCCATCGAAGAGCAGCGATCTCGGTATACGTACAACCGCCCAAGAAGAAGACCACAGTGGTACTCGTTTGTTCTCTTAATGGTGCTGTCGAGTCAAAAGTCAGTAAAACAGATGAAGAAGTAGAAGAGGATAACATACAGCCCGTAGACATGGGAGAATTTCCAGGCCCAGTGTCCTCAAAAGTTCGTTGGACGGCTTCCACAGTCTGTCCAGGTATGGTTGCGACAATGTCCTCAAATCCCTTCCATCCCACTATGGGATGGGCTTGTACTTTTCCAATCGAGGATTTGCTTTGTTCGTCTGCGGTCTGCTCTTTCTCGGCAGGATTGCTCAAAACCCCGCCCTTCTGTGCCACGCACTGAACCAACCGTATACTGAGAGGTGCCCATCCGGAATAGACAAAACTGATGTCGTTTTCGACCTCCTCAAGAGCCTCTGGGTTGTCGTCAATCAATAATCGGAGCGACTTTCGGAGGGAGGAAAAGGGGTATTTAGGAACAGCAGGGGCTGATGGTGGGAGCGGATTTGGGACGAGCATGGACACGGAGGGCGACGCAAGAGAAAGAAGCATCGGCAGATGTTCATAACCATATGTCTTTGTGATCGTCAGCTCACCCTGATGTGAGTTGGAACAGAGCGGCTCACCTGCAAGATTTCGCGTTTAATATTATCCAATGTCTTTGCTTTGATTCCGCCAATTGTGATGCTTGCCAGACACAGAAGCCTGATCACGATCTGGAGGTCGGCTCCTTGTGCAATAAGCTCTTCGATAGCGGAGATCTGCGCAGTAGTCTCATACGAGGCCAGAAGGTCTAAAATGTGGTCAATTTGTGTACATAATAGAAGTCTCGGTTGTACCTACTTTGTTGAATCTCCAAAGATTTGTTGAATACCTCAGTCCGTGTGAGAGGGAGGATGAGCTCCGATAGGCCAGTATCTAGCAACAAGGCACATCAGAAACAGCGCTGGCTGCCCAGCAGTATACTCACGAAGGCGAAGTGATTGATGCTCTGTCTGTAGTCCTCCTAGTTTACCGACAAAATCGCGCAATTGAGCAACAGATTTCGCCTGAAGGTTGGTCTACAAATGGTGTTAGACAGCACTTGTCTTTGTAATAGCTTGGGATGCATACTTTGTAATCTTCGTCCAATCGGCGAGCAACGGTATTCAGTTTCCTTCCCACCGACGAGAAATTCAGGTCTCGTAATTCCGCATAGAGGGGGTCAGTTGAGGCAGTTAGGTGGTGTTTCTTCTTAGCATCCTTCTTCACGCTGACGATTGGAGCTGCAGAAGTCGATGCTGAGCCAGAAGCGGTATTAGGAGCGTTCGGAGCAGGCGGGTTTACCAAGGAAGCAGGCAGTTCGACATGTGCTAAATCAGTGGCCGTTAGCTGCAGGGTGAGCCGAAAATTAAACGCAGACAACCCACAATTGCGGATCCCGATCAGTTCATCTATGAGGCCTTCGTATGTCAGTTGGGTGAGCAACGGTGTTATCAAGTCAACGCGACGGTCTAAAACGATCAACGAGTCGATATTGGCCGAAGAGGAGAGCACTGGCTCAGTGCTCGAGGACGACAGCCTGCTCTGTCTCGCGAGCAGGGTTGCAAGCCGCTGTCGTGGCGTGAGTATGACAGGGCGTACAGGCAATTCAAAAGGCTTGCCTTGGCGTAATCCCCCTTGCCGACTATCTGCGGGAAAGGTCCGAAAAGCTTTTGCAGAGAAGTGAGGGCCTGTGCGGAGTCGAACACGATTGTTTCGTCACCATCCTAGCAAGATAGCAATTTGATCAGGGTTATTCGTCAGAAGATATAGTCTCTTTGACTTACGACCCAAAGTTCCTTGAATGCATTGTCGTGTTCGAGAGAAATCACATCGTCCGCAAGTGGGATGAACTGCAGGTTGAATGCTGAGATAGTGACTTCTCCCAACACGCCTTCCTCTTCCAGTATACGTGACACCAACGTCGAGACACGGGGAACTAGAAGAAGGGTATATGTATGCTTCCTCGATTCCTTGACGTGCCGCTTAATCTGATCTTGCAATTTGTGAACCAGGGGTATAAGATGTGTGTTTAAGCTTTACATACCTGCAATAATCTTCACATACTTTATCTTTGGACGGCAAAGATAGACGATGTTGGTTGTGTTGGACGTCAGAGGGCCCGGTTCGAGCCAGAACATCTTGTCTACTCCATGTTGCTGGTCTAATTATGAGGCGAGGTCCAATGGCAGGATCATAGTAATGGTCCTTACTTTGAGCAAAGCGACTTCAGTCACTAGTCCGAGAGGTCCTGCAAGCGCAGAGTCCAACGCCAGCGTTTTGGCCCCATTTACCTATTCCTGGACTATCAGCCCGAGAAGTAGGATCCTTTCGAAACGAGACGGACAGAGTTCAGCGCATTGATTAGGTCCTTTTTGGCGATTTCCTTTAGCAACGAGACATCCAGCGACGAATCAGACTTTGACTCTGGTGAAGACATTCACAGCTATATTTCCCGCGAGGATGTATCGTGTAACGATCGGGTTGTTGGTAGGCTGCGATGGTGGAAGAGAACAGTGACCCTGCAGGTTACTGGCTGTGACGCGCACTGTACTGTTCCCGCCATCATTCTCGTCATCGCGGATGTGTCAGCACCATCAAACCCCTGTCGGCCCTCAAGCTCATAATTCACGAGTGAAGAGAAGGATTTATTGGGAAAGAAAGAAAAGAGAATCCTAGAGCTACATGCTTGTATGTATTGCGATGCTAAAGTAATGAATGCTTAATTGTTCGTTGAATGAGAGGGAGGCCACCGCTAGATTCGGATGGAAGGTATGTTTAGATGGAGTTCCGTCGAGCGCTCTTTCCTTTCTTTTTGCCTGGATTGGGTTGGCCTCCATCTACATACGGCGATGGAAGTCTTCCCTCCTCATCAAATCTATCGAGGATAGACAACGCCGCATCATAACCTTTCTTGAGTAGTTCCTCAAATTTGCCGAATTGAAGTGTCCCGTACTAGAGTGGGTGTCAGTGGCAGCACTTGGACGCAAAGGTGCCGCAACATACCTCTTGGACGGGCATTTGGATGTAGAGACAGTCTTTAGCCACCTTGGCTTCCTCCAGCGTGGTGACACTCGAGACGCTGCGGGCACACGGGTTAAAAATAAGCCCTGATCAAGTGGTGGAAACCCCTTACTATGCAAGTCGACTCTGAATTTCCGTAATGGCAGGTATGTGCCGTGCGCTAGAGAAAGGGTTCCATCGGTTGATGAGTAGCCACCAGCCAGAGATCGTATCGCCGTAATTCCTTGGTGAGTTATCGTCGATCTGTTCACAAGTTTAGACCAGATGGAAACGGAGACCACGACCAAAACATACGGCTCCAACATCGCACGCAAAAACAGCGCTCGCGCCCATCGAAAACATAGCAGATACCTGTAGCACATCCACATGTAAACGGGGCTTCAACAAGGCCACATCAAGTCTCATCACATACCGGCAGGTTGTCAACTGGTCAACGATGTCAGAAAACCCTGTTGGTCACGTCGAAGAAATGCCAGCACTTACGGTAGCCTCCATCCACTAGAAGATTTCCATTGTCACACACCGGGGGCAACAAGCCAACGAGCGTCATGGAAGCACCTGTAACAGGGTCAGAAGTTTGGTGTACTGAGCAAGGTCAGGGACGCACGAATGAATCTCCAGGCATAGCCAGTTTGGTGGATTTCCATGCGCGAAGTCATAATGTTCGTGGAGTTGCAGAAATACGGAAGCCACATGTCCTCAATGTGGAGGTCATAGAAGGCCTTTTAGAAGTATGGTGAGGAAACTTTCAGAAGGCTGAAACACAGTCGGCTCACCTTGTACAAAGATCGATTGAACTCATGGCCCTGAAGTAAGACGATAGATGAGGGGGGTGTTGTGATGAAACAAGGGAGCGAGCTTACGGTTGTGTACGCCACGATGGGATAGGTTACGTCTGACAACATCCGCCAGATATTCCCCATCCTACCGCTGAATTGCTTGGCCCGTCCAGTGGAGGAGATCACGTCCGCTTCTCGTGCGTAGAGGCCGCCAATGAAAGCTCCTATACTGGTGCCTGTGCCACATCACATCACATTTAATAATCCCAGTCTTCCAAGTCGAGATACTCTTACTCACCTGCAATATGATCGATAGGAATCCCATATTCTTCAAGTGCCCGGATTAGTCCCTAGGATTCAATGAATTCCAGACTCAACCCTCTCATGAAACCAGGTTCTTACAAGATGGGCAATACCACGAGCACCACCTCCACCCAATACAAGGCCAATAGATTTTCCGCAGATCCTTCTCGCCAGACGTGAGAAATCATTCATGTGAGGTAGCCTCTGCGGCCGTAAGTCTGCTGTTCCACCGCGATATTTTTGAATCTCGTTCTGGACTTTGTCCTTGAGGTTCTTCAGAGCAATGACGGCATCGGGGTCTTTGGGCGGCGGTGACTTCGAGATGGGTAGAACAAGACCCTTTAGATCTGAATTAGCATCTGTGGGCTCGAGGACACTATCTCGAGTGGACTCACTGGTAACTCCACATGGATATGCTGGTGGACCCACGGGCGGTTCTGAAAATGTGCATTAGCTTTTGGCCCAAAGCGTCGAAGTGCAATCATGGAGCCCACCTTGAGCCATTCGCGGGTTGAACCAGGCACGACAGACCTATCCGGGTGCAACAGAATTAACTCCTTCCTGGCTGTGGTCTTCATTGAGAGCAGCAGCCTCTCGTATTCTCCGAGAGACGGATCATCGCCCATACCAAGAACCATAACACAATCGGCCTGCCTGATACAAGTTTGCGTCCAGGAACTGTTCACAGGTGAGTCCGCAACGTAAAGGACAGTGTGATAACGCTGTTCCTGGTCTGCTAACCAGCCAGCGGACTAATCACAACGTCAGGCATCCGAATTACTGGTAAAGTGACAGGTAACCCTACCTTGAGTTTGCCCATCCGCGTGAAAGCATGTTTACCCAGATGCGTAGAGACCGTAGCTTGATTCAAGAAGAGAGTGGTGGCACCGATACCTTCGAGAGCTGCCTGAAGTTTCCGAGCGAATGCAGTCACAGGTACATGTCGAGCGAACGGAAGGATGGCGATTGTCTTCAAGTTAAAGTTATTGTGGCCAAGTTCTGATGTTCTCCCTTGTGACATGGACGACGAATCGACTTCATCCCGAACACGGGAGGCGATCATGCGGAGCAACCTATGAAAAAGTTAATAAATGTCAAGAGCTCGGCTGCACACCCGGACGCACTGAGCAGTCGTTTGAGGATTCCTTTTCAAACAGTTAGCACGATTGTTCCACCTCCGCTGAGACGACGACTGACCTAGCTGATATGGCGTTGAAGAGAGTTTGTGGCATTCGAATGAGCTCTGTATCACGAATGGCATGGACAGTGTTCCTTCTGGGACTGCTCGTAATGACATCGAGTTCGCCGACAGTATCGCCTTGACCATATTCGCCTTCGATTTTGGCCTTTCCTTTCTCTTCAGCGATAGCCCTCAGACGGCCGTTGATAACAATGTAGAAGCTGTCGCTGACGTCATTGGGCCTCCATAGTACTTGGCCAGCGTTCACTTGCATCCAGTCCAGAGAGGCATCAATGTGAAGGACTAGATAACAGTCAGACCCGCTGCGGAGTAGCAATGCGCGGCGACTTACCCAGAGGAGAGAGCAGCGAGATCAAACGCTTAGCCAAGGTCAACAGTACGATAGGGCGTTTTTCGAGGATCCGTTCCAACGACTGGGACGACAGGAAGCCAACGTAGGTGTCGGTCTTGGCCTTGATGTCGACATACGATGCTGTGTTGCAGAGCGAAGCGAGATAACCAGCGATACCACCAGGTTTGACCGTGAACAAGAGCTTTTGTTGCGGCTTCTTCTGATGATTCAGATTAGGCGTCCTCCATGGTTCATCGTCATTGTCCACAACTTCTTCAACCGGAGTGGGAATCTTCATCGCCCTAGGCTTTTCCTTTCCATCCTTTTCAGGCAGCAAGATATCCAAGAAGCCTTCGATGACGTAGAAGAGGCCTAGAGTCACGTACTCAGTGTCGATCCTTAATACAAGGAAGACGGGAAAACGAACCTGTATTCTGTTCGCCCGCCTTCGCGAGAGTCGAACCTGCCGGGAAGAAGAGAATCTCGACTTCATTATCCAAGCCAGTGAGATGGTTCCCTGAAGATCTGATGGACGAGGCGCCAGTAGCCGTAGTACTGGTGATGCTTGAGATGTCGTCTCGCAGGTCAAGTAGAGACAGAGACCCGAACGGTGAATGGAAAGAATCCATCAAAGGCGACCTTGAATCCACTGGGAACATCCGAGGCGAAGGCGAAGGTGAATCGGGACCGCTGAGAGGAGGTTGAAGCAAACCAATCGATTTCGCGATGCACGACATGACCTCTTCCCGCAAGTCGAAATCTTCAGCAGACCAGCGACGATTTCCTGTCGACGACATACGCTGTCCGGGGTTGACATCGTCCGATGATCGAGGAATCTTTGGTGTATTGGTAACGCTGGCTGTTCTCGAAAGAGGCCTGAGGCCGTCATCATTCGACGTCGTTTGAGTTGGCATGAGGAGGTCTCCGGCTTGCACCATGTGTCGGGATTTCGAAGAGGGTAGATCAACCAAGCTGCCTCGGACGGGGAGCGGGGTGTGCGACTTCTTCCCAAGGGACACTCCAGATGGAGCAGGTGTATCCTTCCCAGACGCGAATAGACTGTTCGGCGAATGAGTGAAATTAAAGTAGTCCGAGTCCGAGGGAATGTCCGGTGAGGTGCCGTCGAATCTATGCCGCATATATTGCAGACCGCCGCCTTCATAGAAGGAGGCAGGCAGAGGATGACATGCTATATCGTTGATGGCCTTCTCTGTGCGGAGCACCTCACTGGTTAAGCCCAAATACTTGTGTGCAGCGTTGAAGGTGACGCGGGAGAACCGGGTAAGGATAACTGATGCACAAGTGATCAATACTAATCATCCGAGAGCAGCGTCAGTCTGGTACATACCCTGAACGATGTGGCCCGTCGCCTTTGGGTATTTCTTGGTCAACCGCTTAAATGCTTCGGCCGGGATCACGGCGAGAGTAGTATCAACTGTAGCTCTAGCGACTAGGCCGCGAGGCTGGGGGGACCGAGGATGATTGGAATCCATGGCATGACCGAAAGAAGGCATCCTTGAACCAGCGGTGCTGGTGGCCGAAGGAGAGGATGACCCACGAGCAGACCTAGCATCCGAAGGATGCACGGTAGAGGCTGTAGCCGTCGAAGAGACAGAGGATCGCCTTGGCCTTCCCGGCGTGTCGTGCAGATCCAGAGGGGGAATGTCTAAATCCGGGCCACCCTCGAAGGAGTCTTCCATGTCCAGATGCGGGGCATCATCGTTGGTGGTGTGGTGCGGACAATCATCTTGCCAACTCATTGGGACGTCCTCCGTGAACAGGCTGAGGATGGTAAAGAGACTTGAAAGTGTCCCACCACTCCCGACTTCATTGAGAAGTTGATAACCATTCATGTTCTCATCATCCCAAAGGCTTTGCGGTACTTCTGGCTCATGGCCTGTCTGAGCGTACACCTGAACAGTTCCTTCTACAACACAATAGAAGCTCTTGTCTTGATGAAGGGACAAACTATCTCCCGCAATGAGTCGGCGGGTTTGCAGATGTCTTGCTAGTTCATGAAAGACCGGTTTCTCCAACTAAAGGGGCGAGTGAGGTTGAATCGAGGACCCACACAACTCGTACTTACGAATCCAAACACCCGAACGGCCTGCAAGAAATCATCTAGATAGTTGTGGAACGTCGGAGGGGGGTCTAAGCAAGCCAAGAATTATCAGTGAAAGTTCTAGAAACATTGATTGGGACGCACCGGTATTCACGTCGGGATGAAGCTCATTCACGTCCGGCTTGACCAAAGGCGCCTCCTTCAACTGCATGTAGTCATTGAGGTATCTGAACCTGATCAGGTAGTTGAGAGCAATGGCCGAAGCGATGAATAGAGCGACGAAGCTCCAGAACCCGAGCTGAGCGAGGGGTCAGTGAGGCGATATAGATCAAACAGCGACGAGCTCACAGTTAGGGTCATCGAGTAGGATACGATAGCGTATAGCCATGTCGGTATTGTTAGCGTAGCGAATGCGACAAGAGATTTCGCCCAAGTGAGAAGCCAAACTGCGAAATTTAGTCAAGTCAAAAACGATTTGCGATCGAGACTGAACGTACGGATAACCCAAAACGATGCCGACACAAGCGATACCAGCGGGTGCCGGTCGATTGTGTCGGTCAGCACCTCAGCATCCATGCTGAAAAAGGTCTAGTCAACGTTGGTAGCGACGAGCAGGAAAATACGACGGCGACGAGCTATGGTTGAAGAGAATGGAGGAGGTCCTTGGTGCCCATGTGCAAGGATGCTTATGAGTCTTATGATGTCTCGAGGAACGGCAGCGTCATTGCTTGGTTCAGGTCAGGGTCGGGACCGCCGCGCCGTGTCCTTTGATCGGGTGTACCATATGGGCGGTTTCTTTCTCCATTAGGCTCATAGACCCCTTTTCTTCCCGCTTTAACCTCAGGGATTCCTCACTCTCGTTGTCCAGGAAAGCTTCCTATCACATATCTAGACATTTCATTGGGTGTGTAATACATAAATCAAGCGAAATGTCACATCAGCGGACTATCTACGCATGCAGGTTCAGAACGTGTGTTCTGTCGAATCTTTTCCGACAGCGGATGTGCTCGACGAGCCTGCTGACACGGTCTGGAGAATTCTGTCAATGTAGTTTGCGCCGCTCCTGGAATTCGGATGAGTAACGGGCCATTTGTCGGGAATTAGACCTTACCATCTCTGGTGGGTAAGGACATCGCATCCAATGGCCTTCTCCTTCTTTTGAATGAGTTCGACATAAGCCAACATGCCTTCGTCCTTGAATCGCTTGGCAAGTTCAGCTGTGATAAAAAGCTGTTAACAACTCTGTTTCTGTTTCAATGATGAGATAACTTGCCGGTTGTAACGGCGTTGCTGTGAAGGCCTGCCAAGGAAATCAATTGAAGAACAAATCTGAAATTCAAAAAAATCAATTAGCAAAGGATTATTGCCAAGAATCTGGACTTCCGAGCGTACCCTTCCTTGCCAAGGTCCCAGACAAAGTTCTTCAAGTCGGTGTCTGATGATGGTCAGCGCCTGGTTCAAAAGATGAACCTTCTACGCTTACCTGAGAAACCATGGTGGGACCAGTTGAAGCTGGGGCTGAGGTTGTACACCAACCACCTTCAAAACTGTGAGGACTTGTTTACAGACCGATACAAATTAGCGCTCACTTTCCGGGGTACTGTTCCCTGATCTTTCGAGCGAAACCAGCGGCTTGTTCAACGTTGGGTGATTTGGTCTCGAGCCACAGCAGATCAGCGTAGGGAGCGAATGCAATGCTCCGCTTGATAGCAGCCTAAAGAAAAGCACGGTGAGCCAATCTGAATCAGCGTATTGGATGGCGAGTTTCTAACCTCGATTCCGCCAGTGTAGTGGTAGTAACCTTCCCTAGTGCGTGGCACTGTCGAAGTCAATTAGCCAACGAGGAAGGACAGGAAAATTGATACCCTACAGTCCCAATCCCAGAAGACAGGTTTTCCAAGGATTTCAGCAGCAACCTCGCGTGCTTCGCCATTGGATTTGCCTTCGACGGCACTGACGTAGGTTTCATAGGCGCCCTTCTTGTCCTTGATATCCGATTCCTCAATAGCCTTTTCGACAGCTAGCAGAAACCAGTCAGGCACAATCCTCATTCAAGGCAAGACAAACGAACCTTGGTTGAAAGTGCACAATTTGTGCCTATCCATCCATTGCTTCTCAAGAAGGTCAATTTCAGCACCACTGGCGCCCCGAGCCTCAGCTTCCGACAAAACCTGTGCCAAAGACTGGCTCTCCTTCCTAGTAGTTCCCAAGATGAATTCGTGGTCTGCTGCATCAACCGTTGACGAAATGAGTTTTCCGGATTCAGAGTCAGTCCTGGCGATGAGTAGCATGGTGGACTTCATCAAGTCGGTTTGGAAACGCGCGGCAATGAGACGGGAGATGTGAGTCGAGGTTGGGACGAGAACTTTGCCACCAAGATGGCCGCATTTCTTTCCACCGTGCAATTGATCTTCGAGGTGGATACCGGAAGCACCCTACGCATTTACCAGATGAGAGATGCGAGAAACGCGTAACAATGTTGCACATACAGATTCCACGAAGAGCTTGACCAGCTTCATGACTGCCGAAAGACCACCATGACTGGAACAGCGCGTTAAAGCCAAGGTAAACCAACTGAGACGATAGGTAACTCACCCAGTATCAGCATCTGCAATGATAGGCCTCAAATAGTCTACGTTCTCCATCTTAGCTCGCTGTTCCGGAGTCGCCGACATGCGTTCATCGTAGTTCTTCTTGTCATGCAGCTGTTGGGCACGGAAAATTCGGTGCACTTGGTTGGGAACAGTCGTGTATGGGTAATCACTAATAACGAAGCACGATCAACAAGAGCGACGCTCAGAATAGATGCAGATTAACGAACCCAAGATCCGGACCAACTTCGTTGTTGCCGGTGGTGAGGACACTGGAGGCAGCCCAACCGGAGACATATACGACTTCCTGGTACCTCGCCATTTGGGTCATCTGCACTGGGTCGATAGCACCCATGGTATGGACAGGCCGACCCTCCTTGGCAGCCCGGCGGAGCACGCCAAAGAGCTTGTCTGCGAGCACGGAACCTGGCTGAGGCAATACGGGCATAGACCCTTGCTTGGAGACGATGTTGGCGGCGGTGTAGGGACGTTTGATTCCCTTGAACCTTGGACTCGAGAAGAAGTCCTCCATGTCCCGAACGCGAGCCTCGAACAAGGCGGTTTCATCCTGGAGGGATGGCGTGTCGAGAGGGAGGGGTTGGATGTTGACATTGGTCGTCGTTGCTGCCGACGACATGGCTCTTGCGTTACGAGTCCAAGCTGGGGCTCGCAGTGCCCTTCCCGCGGACAGCATGGTGTGCAGAGGGACAAGGCTAGACGATGCGGAACTATAAAGGTCGTGGGGCAGCTGATTACGAACAGACCCGGGGATGAGATTTCTGGAGCCGCCCGGCAAGCGGAACAATTCTGTGCCCGCCCTTCGCGGCCGCTGGCGCGACGCGACTTGCACCGAGCCCGTCGCCAGTATGCAACCTCATCGTCGTCTTCACGTCGACGGTCCACAATGCCCGTAGATTGTGACACCAGGACGCGTCTAGAATTAATCAAGGGAAGGTCCGACATCCTATTGATCAGGTCACGTACTCCTTCAAACGACAGGCCATCTGCGGGCTTCATTTGAACCCCCTGCCGATGATACTCTATCACAACCTCAATGTCGTCTCCACAAGAGCACACCCCAGACCAGAAGAATGTAGCATTGAGTTATCTAGCTGCAGTTGAGGAGCAATTTAACTGTGCGCCAGAGCACTACCATCGGTTTCTGGAGTACATGACCCAGTACAACAGGAAGGAGTGAGTTCGCGCTTTCCATCACCTTTGGGGTTTTGCTGAGTTGGTCTATGTGTCAGGATTACAGCGTCGAGTTTAGTCACGGAGGTCTCTGCTATCCTTTACAAGTTCGAGCACCTTGTCGATGGCTTCAACGCTTTCCTTCCTGATGGCTGGACAATGAAAACATCCCCTGACGAGAAGGCCCCGAACGCTTGGGTTGTCAACATAAACACACCAGAAGGCGAATTCATCAGGCGGTATTCGGAGGTCGTTCTGGGAGAGGAGGAAGAGGAACAAGAAGAATCTTCGACGAAGGAAGAGTTCAAACAAATGATCCAGCTAGTCAACGACATACAAACGAGATATACGGATGATCCTGCTATCTACAGAGAGTTTCTGAAGGCAATAGATCCGAATAGCAACAGTGGGAGTCGCGAGGTTCGTTGGCACAACGGCTACTACTCTTCAGTGTGGCTGAATCCACATTACAGGAAATCTTTGCGGTTGTGAAGAATCTGTTACACGAATCTCCTGATCTTGTTGGGCGGTTTCAGACTCTTGTTGTTGGTGGTGATTAGGAACTACGCCGAACCCAATACATAGCGCATTATCATGTTTTCGGACAGTGATATCGCTTTTCTCCGCTTCATTTGTGACATGTGTCATGGTTATCTATACGGGATCTACCAATTGACCTCTTCATTGTCTTGAACGACCACCACCCTGTGGTATATATACCTGTGAATGTGCTTCGAGTGAAGAATGTATTTGACTTGGACAAGGTCAGAGGGAACTTTTACACAAGCTGAGTGCATTTGACTCGGATCCTTAGGCCTTCTAGCTGAAGAAAGATGCACATCCCGAGCGAAATATCAGCGCACATTTGTTGCACCCACTTGAAGCCCCGTCAGGTTATTGAAGATTCTGATGATAGGGGCTTTCTCCGGATGGGCAAAACACGACCCAACACGGGTTTGCTGACGCCGTCGCGGCTTGTTATCTGTCTTTGTCTTCTTACCCGCATGCACTATGGCCAGAGCCAAAAGGAATTCATCACCATCGAACTCAATAGAAGCTGGTCCATCGAAAAGACGTCGCCAGAACCCACCGCCCGAACCAACGAACGAAGTTATCGAAATCAGCTCTGACGAAGATGACCCTCCCGCCAGCGTGAAGCCCCCCTTGAAAGGAAAGGAGAAAGGGAAGGCCAAAGCCAAGGTCTACGAATTCTCGGACAGCGAGATAGAGATTATTGAAAAGCCTGCTGCTGTTTCTAAACGCGTTAAATCCAAACCCAAACCCAGATCCAAAGTCAAACCAAAGACTTCAGCAACGGTCTTTGTCCAGGATGACGATGTGGTGTTAAATGACGTCGTTGAAGATGTCGACTGGTATGCCGAAGACGTTATCCTTGACACTGTTGATGCTGGACTCGGGCTGCTACATGAGGTCGGTGGTCTCGTCCCAGAACCTGGTATTGGCGTTACGTCTTCTGCAAACGGTCTACATGACCTTGCCGAGACAAAGGAGGTTGCGCGACGCGCAGGCGATTCCAGTTCCGGCGTGCAGCAGAATACGTTAACTTACAAGGCCAACACAAAATCTGCTGTTAATCTCGAGATTCCTCGCGTCAAACTCCCTAACCCAGAACACGGAGTCGCCGAGTTCAAGGAATTGTTATCCCGAGTCGGGACTTGTTCGAGGTGCAAGGCAGAGCTAGCGTCTCCCTCTGGTCAGGTCTGTATCAAACCTTGCTTGCTTGCTCAATTTATCAACTGAAAAGCCTGCTTGAGTCAGGTTGATATCAGCAGGGACGAATCCTTCCAGCGCACCTTTGGAGAACTTCTCCACGCGACCTGCCCTTCGAAATCGTGCCGAGGGGCGTACTGCCGTGGCTGCTCTAAACCCCTTTCGTGCGCGTCCCAATGTCCAGGGCCGTCTGGGAATCCCAGCTGCTCAGCACTCACTTGCTGTACCGAGGGCCGCGCAGTTGCACTGTTCGAAGTGCTAGCTGGATTCGATGTTCAATATCTCCTCGAGAAGGAAACATCGGATTCACGCACGAAAGAGACACTCAAGAAGTTCAAAAGAATGGGCGCTGGCTCTGTCGGGCCTGGCGGTACAGGGTATGGGACGGGCAACTACCATGCGCAACCTCATTACCATTTTCATGGAACCGGCACTGGCCGTGGACGGGGTCGTGGACGAGGTCGTGGAGGTGCCGCCTCCAGCAGTCGACCAGAGCTAATTCCCCTTCAGCAGAGGACCTCCATTGACTACGCCGCCCGATGGGACCAGACGGTATCCAGAGCATTGACATCCATCCGGGACCTTCTACCTTCCCCATGCTCAGAAACCCCTGAAATCTACGACCTTCTTCCCCACCCTTCCCTCTCTGCGCTCATTCTCATGTCCTACGTCCCGACAGTTTTGGCTCAACTATTACGGAACGACTCAGTCACGGACTGGATAGCCAGAAGCCATGTCTATCACGCTATGCTCTCTTTACTTCGCCGCATGTCTGACTCGGAACTCATCATTCGGGTTCTGGTCGGGAGCCGGTACGAAATCTCTCAAAGCCCGGGGTTGGGAGCTTGGATGAGGGATGAAGGCGAGATCGTTTGGCAACGAGACTCCACAGGCGCCATCGAACTCGCACCGCCGTTACTAGAACATTTCAAAAAGTTGACGAAACAAAGCGAGACATTCCTACAGGCAGCATCGCAACAACTGGGAGACGACGGCGGGGGCGATGAAGAAGGGGGTTTAATTGACGGTTTATCCTTATGTGGAGACATCATTGCTGGAAGGGATGACATCGCCCGCGCGATGGGAATCATAGGTTCCTTTGGATCTTCGGAAGGCGATGAAGATGTCGATGTCGATGTGCCACAAGCCACCAACTCCAATGGTGTCACGACACGAGGACGCGGCAAAGGCAAGGGAAAGGGAAAACAGAAAGCGCCACCAAACACAGAAGCCTTCGATGTCGAGAAGGGATACATCTCTGCATGCGAGAAGTTGGCGTTCGAACATACCGCTTTGGGTACAGATGGACCTGATGGACTGGTCTATGCGAATTACAACTACTTTGGCCAGCTCAAGGCTACTCAGAATCAAACCCGAATTCCAAAGGATAGACTTCACCTCGCGAAGGAATTGGCTGTCATGGCCACAAGTCTTCCCCCTGGCATTTGGGTCAGGGTAGATGAGGTTCGAAACGATGCTATGTAAGTTATGTCTCCATTCCATCTGTCCTTACTCTCACGGCACCTCGCAGCAAGGTCATGATTGCAGGACCTCAAGGTACTCCCTATGCCGGGGGGCTCTTCGAATTCGATGTCTTCATGCCATTGCAGTATCCCAACTCTCCTCCGTTGGTTCATCTCAGAACCACTGGACGTGGAACCGTCAGATTCAACCCCAATCTCTACCAATGTGGAAAGGTTTGTCTGTCCCTTCTTGGGACATGGCCCGGAAGGTGAGTGTCGTCCCGTGATGCAAACGTTACTATCTTAACGCGCGACCCGTTGGTCTACAGCCCAGAAGAACAATGGACGAACAAGTCGACGTTGCTCCAAGTTCTCGTTAGTATTCAAAGCATGATTTTAAACGAAGCTCCTTATTTCAATGAGTACGTTATCATTGGTTCTTGTTCTCAGCTTCCCATGCTTGTTGGTGGGTGGATTTACAACTGCCTTCCCCGAATGTCGATCCAAGCTGCGCTATCAGATATGCTCGTTCCATCCCGTGAAGAATCGAAGGCTGATTTCATTTTATTTGCGTAGACCTGGACATGGGAAAGTTAATCTCAATTCCCAAGCAAGCATCGCGTACAACCGAAACACAGCGGTGCAGACCGTGCGCTGGGCGATGATAGAATGGCTGAAAGAAGAACACCGTCATGGGTTGTGGGGAGTGAGCGCTTCAATTTCCGGCTGAGAGTTTATGACGTCTGATATGATTCGACCCTTTACGAAGGGAGTCATCAAATCACATTTCACCACCCTCGAGGAGAAGATACGCAAGCAGTAAGCCTGTTTTCACTCAATAAAATGGCCATGAGGCTTTAATGAACTTCCAGGATCTTAGAGTGGGCGAACGATATCCCCGCCATACGGAACTATCCGTCTTCAATGAACTCGGGGGCACGATATGATCCTTACTGGGGGATGCCTTCTTTGGCCCCAATACAGAACCCTTTCATACAAGGCTCTAGCGGTGTTAATGGTTCTGGGTACTTATCGGCCATGGCGAGTCTGCCATCGATGCACGCTACTGGGCCAACGAAAGGCGCGACAATCACAGGGCGGAACCCCGAGCCCCCGAAGGCAGGCATGGATCTGGTCCATGAGTTCGAAGAGGGAATGAAGCGAGTGCAGGAATGGGGTTGCAAGGATGATTGAACGGCATTTTGCCGTCGACAGATAAAGATCAAGGGGCAGTGGCTTTTAAGCGATGTATTCACAGCAATGCCAATAGTTTCTGCTGGACGGAATACCTGGTGCTACGAGTAACATGTTGCAAAGGGGGTTGTCATGTCGTAACTAGTGCCAATTACATCTATGTCAAGGCTGAGAAGGGCTACTCTTGTGCTCAACAGGCTATACCGACCTCGCGTTTATCCAGAATTCGAGTCGAGCTGTGAGCTCTCTCATTGTGGGGCGAGGAAACAGGAAGATGATGATATTAGCACGATGATAAGCTTGACTGGCTGGTGCTTGTTTGGGCCTGCGATGTGCGGTCGATTCGCGATCCGTTGCGAATCAGCCTAATAAGCTTGTAGCTGAGGGTTATCTATAGTTCATTGTCGCAGAGACGACAAAAATACATGCAACGTTGAGATAGGGGCCTCGGAGTCTCTGGGAAGCAAATATGATATCGCCGCTCTGCAGACTCGCCCACGATCTGTCGCGAACTCACACCACTGCCAGCCCCCGCATTCTCTTCGGACTCATATTGTACATGACTGCGTGCGGAAGGCCACAAAAGAAACCGGAGAAGTCCTTCTCTTCGAATGGTACGTTCAAACACTGCCGAAAGACTGCCCGTTCCTCCCCCACGGTGGACGCCGTTGATGACTCTACATTTCCAGGTGTGCTCGGGGTGCTGACTGTAGTGAGTTTCTAAGACAGTGCCATTACGCGTTTATCCGCCCTTCATTGCTCTAGAATTTCAAAAACTAGCTTTGAAGAACCACTCTCTCGAAATTCGCCGTCTGAAGGGTTTACAGCGATTCCTAACAGGACTCGCTGGACTCCTCGCTAAGACCATAATGGCTTTAGTAGGTCGGGGTTCGAGGCTGTCAAGCCCTGCTCACCTTCTCCAAGTCTCTCCAAGGCTGCGCTTTCAATGGGGGCAAAGATCAAGATCCAGTCTCTACATTAAAAGGCTTTCGTTACGATAGCCGGACGGGGAACGCTTCCTGTCACGTCAGGTTGAGTGTCCGCGAGGCCTCCAGTCTTGACTCGCAGTGCCAGAAACTCTCTTACAGTCCGTGTCGCCTGGGTGTGTGGTAATTCATCCGAGTCGTCCTCAAGCCAGAGACATCGAGTCGACCAGTTCTCTCGCCCCGGAGGGTGTTTCGGATATCCGAGATTCCGAACTGGTTTGCCAAATGGACCGGTGAATTACAGATCCAACAATAGATCCCTGTGCTTGGACTTCCCTCGAGCTTCCCAAGCTTGACCAGTGAGTGACTATTTAATATCCCATGGTTCTTCCAATTTTCACAATCCGTCTCCGCCATGTCTGTAGCCTTACTCTCCAGGTCGTCGCGCACCATTTTGATGCACGTATCCCTCGCACAACTCTCACCAGAACTGACAACAATTGACACCCTCGTCCATGGCCTCTCACCAAGCGTCCTTCCTGCGGAACTGCTTCTGCTCGTCAGAGGCCATCTCCTTCCCCTCGTGACGGCAGAGCTGATATCCAAGTCAGAACGAATTCTGGCTACCCACGAAGCCACCCTACTATCCCTCCTCTGTCGCGATTGCGCAGCGTACAACCTCGACATCTACGGACCCAGCGTGTTCAAATGGCCCTGGGACCAATTCTCAGGTCCTTGTGCTTGCCGTGGTGATAGCGGCGAGTACGCGACAAGGATTGACACATTTAACAGATGTGTCAATTCACTGAGATCTCCCACCTATCTCGACCATTGTTACCCCAAGCGGAAGGAGGACGGCGACATTCTCATCGATGGGGATAGTCTCCAATTTGGCCCCAGATATTTGGACGCCAATCATGTCCTCGAGTTCCATCTCTCGAGAGAGACTCGGCGACTATCACGGCTGGCCTACAAGGAAGAGCTATCCATCCGCAGGCAACGTCAACGAACATATCTCACTTCACCTCGCCTTCCTACCATCAACCCCGGGTTTGCCACAACTGTGAGTCCAAGGACACGCGGTTTCGTTAGGGCCAAAACCATTTGGGATGTCGTTTCCCTCGTCCTTCATGAACAGTATGGATGCGAGGTCTTCGCTTTGCAGGATGTTCCATTGGCCTCAGGTATCGATGACGACTGGGGTGAGGGCGCCTGCCCAGCAGTTAGCCAGAGCGACTCGATTCTGGAAATACATCGATCGAAGTGTCCTCTCCTTTCCGTGGATCAACTTTCCCAACATCGCACTGAGCACCATGTCCATACCGCCGGCATCGGCCAGTCACCATCCTCCTCCGATCTCCCGGAATTGCACACACCTTCCAGTTTTTGGTCTCTAACATCCCCTCTCAACAAAAAGGACCGTGTCTACATATCACCCTTGAAGCAAGACGAAGCCGTAATTCACGCTCACGGGTTTCGAAATACCTCGGCTCCTTCCTGTGACGGCACCATTGGACCTTTCTCCGAGGACAACTTTATCCTTACTCTATCTTCAGCCCTCTCCAACCATATCGATCCGTGGGTTTCCCGCGCAGTGCTTATGCACACCAGAACGGACCTCGGACTTGATCTCGACTATTCTCTGTACTGTTCAACCCTGAAAGCAAGTACTCCGAGTGAGTAGAGCGGCCCAGCACTCATACCTTTGGGTTTTCAAACTGATTCGGACTTTCGAATAGATACCAGTTCGAATCTGAAAGATGCCCCGTCCGCCGGTTCACTCGAAGATGACAACTCCGGGGTTCAAGTCTGTGCAATGGGAAGCGAAGCTGGAGTCACCGGTGTGGCGGTCGTGAGCGTGGGCAACAGTAGCAGCGGCTGCTCAACTCCTTCGACATCTCGGTGTTCAGCCAATCTCGCAACGGAAGCGACGACTTCGCCATTCGCCGTCCCGACGTCATCGATCTCAGAAGGATCGTCGTCTTCGACATGGACGTGGACTTTGGCACGGTCTGCGATGAGCATGGTAGCTGGTGTGATTCGGAACACCAGTAATTGCTACTACCGCACCTCTTCTTCAACTTCGTCCCTCCACCATCGACACAGGATCAACCTGAATTCTTATTCCTACTCCTACTCTCACTACCACCACCACAACTACAACAGCGGATGTTTCCACCCAACATCGAGTTCCCTCTTCAGCTCCACGTCTGCGGATCCCTCCCCGTCTTCCTCTCCATTGACGCCGTCAACATCGTCGTTCCCGACGTTCTCTTTGAACACCTTGACACCCTCCCGGCTATTAAACTGCATCCTTCGCCTCTTCTTAACCTCCACATCTGTCCTCGGCTATTCACTGTATCTCACCGGCTTTTTGATCACTCTTTGCACCATCTCGATCCCCTTGGCGGTGGCAAAGGTTGCATTGACGGTCGTCTGTTTCTACTCGAGACCGTCTTCGTTCCGACTTTTATGAGATGTTTGATGACTTGTTCCGACGATTTCCTTCAGGTTCTTCATTCCCATAAATATGCATTCCTTCCCTTCTACTTTCGAAACACGGGATTCCTTTGTACAACAACCAGTGATTCTCTTCAATAGATAGTCTTAGAAGACACGAAATAGAAATAGTCCCAGCAAGCTCGCAAGAAGGGTTTGAATTGGGATTGAGTCATGCATTCATTCTTCTTTCTCTCTACTACATCGATGGACTAAGGCCTACACCGAGTCCAAAGCTACTAGGTACACTAATTTTGGTTCCGAACAACTACAAAGAATAACGGGAGATGGAAACGTGGAACATGGAACGAGAAACAAAGGTCGAAGGATCGCAGAGAGAAGAAGGAGGTAACCTGCAGCATAGTACTGGTTATACAAAACGGGATGGTTTACTACATTTCGTGTGTCGACATCGGGTTTTGCAGTAAGCTTCAAAGCACAGTTACAGCAACAGAATTTGAGGACCCAGATATGTTTGTTTTGGAGGCGTATGGGGTGGAAGAGAATGCAGAAAGGGTCCAGAGAATGGTTGGAAGCAAAAGAGAACAGGAGAAAAGAAATCGGGCCGGTCGTTACTGAGTTCGAATAAATATGCAATATGGATAGATGACTGGGGGTTGTAGGGAGACATGATACAATGCATAAGGTTTTTTGAAATCCGGGGACTCCATTAATGATGTGAAGAGTCATAACGAGGGTCACATTGACCCTCGACGTACAGGCAGATTGCTTTTTATTATGCAAGACACCTGCTGCATTACTGTCGGTGGAAGTCGAGGAGAAGGTAGGCATCCTCGATGTTGATTCCGTGTCGTTTCGCTCGCTCCGCGCAGTAGGCCGGATCCTCATTAACATAGTAGGACTGGGAAGCTGGATGATAGGAAGGATCGAAGATGGCTATGCTTGGATTAAAGTGTCGGAAAGCGAGATCGACCGGTCCTTCGACAACAGGGTCCATGAGGTGTTTCCTTGAGAGATCCATCGGTGGCCGAGGGTAGTAGTGGGGGTGCGGAGGGGGAGGAGGCGGGGCATAAGGATGTTGCGAATAGTGGTATGGATAAGTAAGTGGATGGTAGGGTTCCTCCCGCATAGTGTGTGGAGGAGGAAGTTCCCGACCTTCGAATTTGTTGCGAGCCCCGGGCGCCGGGGAAGGCGAATTTCCTGGTTCTGGTGTGATAGCCTCAGAGTAATCTTCGTCGTCGCTTGGCAGGGTGCTTTGAGAAGGGTCTCGCAAGTTTCGTGTACGAACGTCCCGTTCCAAAGAAGACGATGAAGAAGACCGAGTTTCGGACAACGGTGGGGTTCCGTTCCTCGAGGTTGGTCTTGATCCAGAGTTGGGAGACGAGAAATCGTCTTGATCCATATCGGCATCGTCTTCGTCAAGACCAGAGGCACCACCTTCGTGATCTGGATCGTTGAATCGACTGCCCCGCTTCCTGGCCGTTTGCCTCAAGTTACGGAACCAGTTCGTAACTTTACCAACGTCCCTGCGATAAATGACATCAGCAACACAGTCCCATTACACAAGGGATGAACAAATACTCACATCCCTATTTCTTGAGCGAGCGCAGATCGCTCCTCAATGGTGGGCGTGGCAGTCCTCGTGAACAGGACCTTCAAAGCGTCCAGTTGATAGGGCTCCGGCCTCGATCGCCGTGGTCGAGTAGACATTGCGCTGCTATAGGGCGTTGCACTTCGACGAGAGGTTCTCCGAGGGGAGACTTCATCAGAAGGGGGAAGGCTAGGAGAGCGCTGAGATTTCCCTGAGCCATGTGAGTTTGCGGTCAAAGGCAGGGCAGTCGTATTCGAAGAGGACGTGAGACTGGGGTGCATATGATGGGGTGGCGGAGGGGGAAACGCCGAGTACTGCCGCGTGTCATTGTGGGGATAATCGGTTCTTGAGCTCGAAGAACTCTCCACAGGTTCATCGTCCTTCCGACGTTTGGCAAGGCTTCGCTGATTTTGGAACCAATTAGTTATACTTTGATAGCGCCTACAAATCATCAATCAGTCATCATCAATTACAATATAGATAATTTAATAGCAACTTACATTCCAATTCGCTCCGCCAATGCCTGCCTTTCCTCTGCCGTTGGGTGAGGGTTACTGTTATAGAGCTTTTTGAGTTCCTCTGTCTGTTCGTTGGTGGGTCGCATGCGCATCTTCTTGGGCATGTTGGACTCTGGCGACTCGTCGCGTTCCAAGGCGGCCTGAGAATAGTCGGTATGGGCCACGAAGGTGGAGAGACCTGAGGACTGAACGATATCCGAATGAACGGGCTTGGACTGAGCCGAGGCCTGAGTATGCTGAGACGAAGGACGGTATTCGTCGTCGTCGTTGTCGTTTGCGGGGTCGCGATCACCCGAGGTAGTGGGCACAACGGGTGGATTAGCAGCAGCTGGGGCATTTGGATTTGTTGAGTTTAAATGGGAGCCATTAGCCCGATCGCTGGCCACTGTACGGGTTCGCTTCTTTGACGAGGCCCGTTTATTTTGAAACCAAGCGTTGACCGTCTTTGTTTCCCTGAAAGAAGGGCATCAGAAAATTGCCCTATTGAGGATATTCAAAGGAAGAACAAACATTCCCAGTCGCTCGGCCAATGCAGAACGAATGTCGAGCGGGGGATGCTCGTCCTTTTCGAAGAGCTCGTTGAGTGCTGCTAGCTGCTCTGGGGCATGGCGATGTCTGGGCTTCTTCTGGGCACCGTTCGCGGTTGCTGGGTTGGTTGGTGCGACGGTATTGGCCCACTCGTCTGCGAGAACGGTGGCCAGCGACATTTGGGCAGCTTGGGTCGAGGTCGGGGAATGAGAATGAAGACAAAAGCCGGGTCTGGCGATTAAATAAGACGAGCGGAGCACTTGCAAAAATGATTGGAATGGGTGTGTGGGAACAACCCGATTGGCCTTTAACACTCCTCAACTCTCTTTCCAATTCCATTCCCCTCCTTCTCCGCATAGCAGCATGTATATTCTTCCAATTCTCTTCTTTTCCCTCAGAACACTCTTATACACCGGCAGACCTCACCGCAGAACATTCCCCACACATTTAGCACCATGTACTTACATATAGTAGTCAGCCAATTAACCGAACCACTTTCAGCTGCTGATTCTTAACGAGTTGCTATATCGGGCGAACATGGATCGATGATGACGAGACAGATGATGTCTGTGGTTTGGAGTATGAAGAACATCGAATAGAAAGAATATACACTAGCTTGCTTTACAACGAAGGAAAAGGTATCCAGAAATGCGTAATAGAAAAAGACATAAAGATAAAAGAATCCAGGTATGTTATGTCTACACTATTTTTTCACTTGCTTCACGAATCACTCTCGTTTTCATCGGGATCAATATTCCGGATCCAGGCGCCGATTGCCCCTCTATTTTGAGCCCGTCAGTAAATTTCGGCGACCAATAGGATTCCACAAATTCTACTCACAGGAACCCTTCGTGTCGAAGGAACAAAGCTCGCTTGCTGCCTTTACTCCAGAATCGAATAGCATACGACAGTGTGGCTATCGTCGCCGCATGTCCTATATCACCCCATAGAATCAGTCTTCTATCCCAAGCTCCGCCGAGTAACAAATGCTTACCTCGAATAAAGCACCCGCCAAAGTAGATCCTATCCAACCCGTACTTTTCCGCATTCATGTACCTGTCATCATCACAAGACGCCAAGAAGACAAACCCAATGTCAGAGATTGATTACTTCCGAAAGAAGAGAAGGCAGAGAGGAGAGATAAAGCAATAGCGATAGAGACTCACGCAATCTGTCCAATGTTGTTGGACATGGCATACAAAAGACTCTTGCTGATGTCTTCGGGCGAGAACGTCCCTTGCCTACGCCCCTTCTTGAACACCTTGCCAAAAGTACTGGCGATCATCGTCGACTTGAGCCCAAGCTTGCTGTAGTCCTGGCCGTAGATGTCTCCGACGAGCATATCGACGTTCGAGTTGTCCCCTTGCTCAGAGAGCGCCAACATCTCTGCAAGAGGCAGTCAGTCCCCATAATAACGCGGTGTCGAAAGAAGATACACACCATCAAAGGATGTTGCAGGGGTGAGAAGACTCAACAGACCCCACAGCGTACCGCCTCCCAAACTCGTTCCACTCACTCGCTCAAAGGTTCCATCCTCATCGACTTTGATAATCGAAACACCAGAGCCAATGTTGACGAGCAGACAGGGAAGCTGAGGCGTTGGGTTGCTTTCGAACGTGACGCCATAGCGTGGTGGGTCGGGACTTGGTCGTTCCAGGGGTACAGGGGCAGCTGAACCATTGGGAGTGGCAGCAGTCGATGTCGAAGGTGTAGCATTCACCGATTCCGGCAGCGTAGGGGCACCCTTGGATCCAGGATGCGAAATGGACGAAATCAACTCATCCGAGAAGTAATACGCCTCATCCGGAATCTGAGTGATAAACTTCAAGCCCTCAATCAAACACTCCATCTCATCCTCCCGCCTCACTTCCACCTGCAACTCGTGTCGGAACAGCTCGTAGAACTTGTGCGCACCACCGCCCGTAGCCATGATCTTCACGCCCCTCCGCATCTCCTCTATCGACACCCCGTTGATCTCCGCCGACCTCGAGATCAGTTCTTGAATGAACGCGACGCATTCGTCGATGTTGTCGGTTTCGAAGCGTTCAAAGTTGAGGGAGCCGCCGGGGAAGTGGTGGGGCCGTGTATCGGGAAGGTTGCTCTGTCGGAGGAGGTTGTCGTGTAGCGCTGAAAGTCCATGGACGCTATCCGCACGCGAGGACGAGGAAGATGAACAGCAGTCCAAGACCAACGGCGTCAACGCCCCGCCATGTTTACCACTCGCCACAGAGGACGAAGCGGAGACGACTGAGGCATCATCTGTTGTGCAGGGCTCTGATGGTGATAGAGAACGGGGTGTGGAGATGTCACTTGCTGAGCTGGAGCCCCGAGTAGCGGCTATCGAAGGAGACGGTGGTGGATCCGGCGAACGCGTAAAGTAGACCACCTTGGCTAGAGATCCACCAACCTAGAATGAACGAGAACACGAAAAAAAGACAAGATAATCAAACCCTCGGGTTAACCACCATCATGGCATCGGGAGAACACGAAGCGAGTCAACTTACATCGACAGCGATGTGGGAGACGGGTTCGATGTGGTTCGGGAGGTAGATACCCCGACTGTCTCGAGTCTAGAAAAGAGTCTTTCCTTAGCATCCAGAACAATAGACAGATCGAATATCTACCTCGGGTGACTCTTCTGACAAGATGATTGCGCCTCTGGTATCAACGTGGATGACCTTGGCTGAGGGCAGCGACGGGGTGACTGCTGGCGGCATCGTTGTGGTTGAGCTTTGGGCTGTAGCGCGCTGTGTATGGGGGTTTATGGAATGCTGATGCTCCGGTGACGGTATATCAAGGTCCTGAGCGCCTAATCGAATTCGAAATCGCTGCTTCGAGAACAACTACAGGGTCAAAGTCGAGGGCCGGAACGCAAGCAGGGGTTGAAACGTCGAGGTTTGGACTACGCTGGGGGTATAAATATCTGGAGTCGTATGATATAGGCGAAACCGAAAAGATGGAGAGAGGAACCAACGGCGTTGAAGTGATCCGCTCGTATGGAGATGTCGTTTATACGCTTCGCAACTCGTCGCCGTAGGGTATATCGTCCGACACCACAACAAGAGTTTAAGGCCCTGGCCGAACAAAAACTATTAGTCACTATTACCCTGATATAGCCAACGAATGAGGCTCAGAATGAAAAATCTCGAACCAGATACTCTGTACCGATGGTTATGACCTTCCCCGAGGTTGTTGCTTGTCTTGCCTTCACCGAGGGAGTTTAGCCCCACAGAGCCGATTCAGATATCCTGGGGAAGAAAAAATGGGTCCGCTCGGTTTTATGTAGGTCGAGTTCCCGGTGACGAAGCCAAGTGGCGCACAACAAGGTCGGGTGCGGGCCTTGTGGGGGTTGTTATGGGTCGGAACGAGCTCAGGAGCAGGGCGTATAAGAAGGAAAGCGGAAAACAGTTATTTGTTCGGCTATGCATTGTAGAAACCGTTCTTCGGGGCGTCGTGCCACCGGTCGCGGAACCACTGTCCAACCGGTATACCCTCACGCCGTTGCGCGGAAACAACCTGTCCGCTGATCCAGACTCTTAAGGGGCTCTTACCAGGGAACGATCCAATGGAATTTCACAGAAGAAAAATCGAAAAGGCGAGAAATATTACAACACGATACAATACAACGCTATCCCTCTAACCACCAACAGCGGCAATCACGAGATCGCACACTTCTTGCTTCTCTGCCCGCACCGAAAGCTCTAGAGTAACGCCAGCGCCCCTGGAATAGGTCATGCGACAACGGGCCAAAACCTTTCCACCACCTCCTGTCGCCAGTCCAGACAATTGAAGGGTATGCACCGACGTCGACTGTGGCGTTTCCGTGCCTCCCAGAGGCTCCATATTGAGCACTTCGATGATGGAATCGCAAGCGGCTGGTATGCCAGTGTCAGTTCAACACACTATCACTATTCATAAATGCCAACACACCTTTCAGACTCTCCATAGCAGAGAGAGTGAATGTCTCCGTCTGGCTCGGTGCTGACCGCATACGATCCCATTCCGAACCAAATGTAGCATAGCTGGGGATGATATAGTCTCCACCAGCGCTGAGCTCGACCTCCTCCAGCTGGTACTCGTCCTCGTATCCCTCTTCCTCAGGCTCACCGGTTGCAGGATCAACCTCCTTGCTAATGAATTTGAGCGTGCAAGCAAACGATCCGAGGGCATAGGTCTCGGGATCTGTTCGGGTGAAGGAAACATAGATGATGCCTGGAGAATTGGTGGATGAAAGAGATGGCAGGGGAATGATGAAGTCCTCCACCAGCGGAGTCTCGTCCTCGTCGCTCGAAGGTGTCATGATCACAGAGACCTGCTCGAGAACGGTATCGGGAAGAGTGTTGGACACATTGAACTAATTCCAAAAATGTCAAAACAGGAAACAGCGACGCAATACGATGTACAAACCTGGAAGACAACGTGTTCCTTGAAGATGTGCTTGACGCAGGTGACTTGATATTCGGTCTCGCTCTCTGTGAGTTGAGCCGGCGTCGCACTGCTGTTGAGCACGGTGCCATACGATGCAAACTCTGGAACCTCCGCAAGTTGTTGAAGGTACGCTGACTGTGTCTCTGCTGCCGAGGGTGCTTGTGGTGCAGGGGACACCGACTTGGCAACGGGAACACCAATGGTATCGAGGCTGCTGGGTCCTGCAAACACCGGTTAGCAATGTCCATGTGGAGCAGATGATCAAAAGGGTCCTTACGGGCAGCTTCTTGTGCAGCCTGGGCTCGGCTGATCTTGGGCACAGACGAAACATCAAGAGGCTCGGATGCAGCAGAAGGGTCCTTCACGTATGCGACTAACTTGGCTTCCAAGGCGGCCAGAGAGAAGACAGATTCTGAAACGCGCCCATCAATCGGGGAATACAATACTCAAACGCAGATAATATGTTACCTTCTTTAACATACGCGTCAGCCAAGGGTTTGCGATCGAAAATCTTGAGGTAAAGTGCAGCACGATCCCGAACTTCGTCATCAACATCGTCCAGACATCTGGATAGTTTAAAGAGTCAACGATCGTACAAGCGGTAAAGGAAATTGACAGACCTTCTCAACAAGACAGTGATACTGCGCTTCAAGCTTTCCTCTGGAGAGTTCACACCAAACTTGGCCAAGCTGGTCACCGCGGCAGCACGGACAGTCGCGTTCTCCAAAACGACTCGGTTGTAGATGTATCGAATGTACTTGGCGGGTTGAGGAGACTTGGGGCCTTCCACACCAAGCAAGTGCAGGATTCGAACAGAGAGTTTGGTGAATTCGCAGTCCTCAATGAACTCGCAGAGATGCGACAATGCCTGCTCCTTGCTGTCGGTAATGAACTTGATCATATCAAACATGGCCTCAACCACAGCGCGCTTGAAGTCATAACCGCCTTCATCCCGCAAGACGCCGGAAAGGAACGAAAGCATCGACGAGTATTTTGTGGGGAACTTGAGGCAGAGGGATCGGATAGCGTCGACAATGATGACCTTGAATTCATCACTAATCTCGGTCATGAAGCCAGTGATTTGTTTGATGAGGCGGTCAACAGAGGCTTCGTTACCAGTCTGGTAGACGATTAGAAGATGAAATGCGACGGTTAGGGGTTGTGCGTACCTTGAGCAAGGTGGTGATGGCATAGGTGGCCACACTCCTGTTAGGATCGGCGATGAGAGCTTCAAGATCGACGTTGCATGCGGCAACAGCTTGAGGATAGGTGAGGGCAAGGGCAGCAAGTGTTCGAGCCGCAGCAAACTTGAGAACAGGCTTGGGCGATGACAAGAAGAGTTGGAGGACTAAACTGGGGTCAGTACCGTGACGTGCTGTATCAACACGGGAAACCCCACCAGCAATGGGCTTGGTCAACTGCGATGGCTGGACATGCTTCAACTCGACGATGGCACGGGCGGCTTCAAAGTTGACCATATCGCTCTTGTGTCGCAACCAACCCTCCAACATCTCAATCATCTGCCTCTGGACGCTACACAATGCAGTCAGTATTCCAAGCTAATCACAATGAGATTACCACGTACTTGGGATCATCCTCAATAATCCTGGCCGCAAACCTGATGAGCATACACAACGCCATCGGATTCTTCAACGTTGTCCCTGCCCCACTCTTGCCTCCACCAAGCTGTTGAATCATCTTCGTAACCGCCATCCGATCTTGCTGCCTGATCAAATACAGCAGCCCAAGTGCGTGATACTGCGTCGCATAGCTCGTACTCTGGATCGCCTGGTGTCCGCTCGGCTGGCTGCTTCCCCCTCCGAATCCCAAGTACCCGCCACCACCACCGCCAGAACCGAAGAACCCAGAGGAAGATTTGGCATTGACGGCTTCTTGTGCTTCGTTCACCCAGCGTTTGACGACGTCCTTGGCAAAGGGGAAGAGGTGGTAGGCGGAGACGAGCGCGGCGGATGAGATGGACGGGTTGCGATCGACTATGGCAGCTTTGAAGAATCGCTCGACGCCTTGAGCCATGGAGGGCTGTTCATATGATCAACCAAGGCTCCTGTGTGGAGAAACGGGAATACGCACGTCGATAATACGGACAAGGGCGCGGATAGCATTGGGACGATAAATGACCTCCGCATTGGCTTGCATATCCTTCATGATACTGCTCGTTACCATGATCACATCTTCAGCGGTCGTCGCGAGCTCCTTGATGGCCAGATAAACTGCTTGTCTGAGTCCGCTCTGTGTTCATAGATATTAATGAGAAAGCTATATCAATTAGGTATCCTAACGCTCACATCTTTGTTCTGGAAGAGCTTGGTGGTGCCGAAGAAGAGGGTGGTCGCCTCTTGGGTACCAAAGGTCTCTCCGATGTACAAGAGATAGACGATCCGCGTAAGTAGGGCCCTGCATTTTCGAGCACTGACAGGTGTATCGTTGAATACGCGAGCCTCTTGGATAATCGTAGTCTTGTTGTTGTAGTACGAGCTCAGCCCGCTCTCATCCTCCTTTTTCGAGGCAAATGCCATCGCGTCGATGCAGGAAACGAGGACAACAGGAGGAAGCCAGGGGCCGACTTTTGGGTGATTTGGAACACTAACCTCAGCGCCGTCACCCTCGAGGCGACGTGGAGGATTTGTTGGCAGCTGTTTGGCAACACCTTCCAGGATGCAAGGCACTCTCATTCGCGGAACACAAGTGTCTGGTCATATTAACAACATTCGTCACAATAGTCATACATTGAAGGCAACAGTAGACATCGATTCGGAAGGGGGTGAGGGATTCGGAGAGACCGAAAGGGGTGGAAACGAGGGGTGATCATACGACGCATGTCTACTACGAAACTTGTTATTGTCCACACCGACAACTGTTCGTCAACTCTCCTCACGCGAGTCCAGCACTCGACGTAACCTCTCCTTCTACACTCGGCGCCCTCTTCCGTCCCGCTCGCCCTTTCTCATTGGGGAAGAGAAAGGTGGAGGACGGAAGGATAAAGTGAAGACCTAAAACCCATACAGAAACAGAAAGGGGGAAGAAAGGAATGGTGGGGGAAGGGGAAATTCTTGAAGCCAATGAATGTCAATAATACGAGTGATGGGGGATCGTGTACTACCGATGAAAAAAAGGGAAACCAGGTCAAGTGAACGGGAAGGTGTACAAGGGGGAAATGGGCTAACGTTAGGCTGAAAGGGCGCAGGGGGTGAGGATTTGGATTATGATAATAGATAACAAGGGGTTGGGGGTGAGGCGGCCAGCCCTTGTTCCGAAGAACAAGAGACTGACGTGAAAAGAAAAAGCGTCCGTTTCAGATGAAAGAAGCGATGTAAACAGGCAATGAAGCCAGAATAATGTTTAGGGTCGAATACACCTTGGGCATGGGAAGCTTGCGATTGAGTTGAGAGGTTGTCCAGGCTTCTTCTTGAAGGGAATACTTGGTATGATAGGGGTGGAATCGCCGGGCGTCAACTGATGCTGTCCGTGAACCCAGATCTATGCAACAAGTTGGGGGAAACGCCCAAACGAAACCATCCAACAACCCCCGCCAACACTCGCGTAACTTCTACAACCTCCTCCGCGCATCCACATACTCCTGACGATCCCAGGGACGCGTCTCCACCCAACCATACGACGTCCTTGATCATCAGTCACTGCCGAGCGATACCTGCTTCTGCCCTCCACCCCCCATTCGCTCGACACTCTCGGGACGCACTATAGAGAAAACAGGCCAGAAACCAAACTAAGAAGCCCGTTTACCAGACTTCAGCATCACGACCCCGGCCAGCCCTGGCCTGAGGCATTCCGGATCCACCGGCCTGCTGAGCCTGCCTGGTGTGGGAGCGAAGCCTATTCACAATTGTTAGCGCGATCTGGGTGACTGGAGTAAGGGTAAAGTCATGCTTACATTCTGTCGCTTGCACGATGGTCCTCGTCAGCCTCCTGAACGACCTTGCGACGGCCGACTGGAACCTTCGAGCTGGAGGCAGCTTGGTCCTCCTGAGCTCCACGCTGGACACTCCAGTCGAAAACGTAATCGTACTGATAACCTTCGCGAACGAAGAGGTCGCGGAAGAGCTTGCGAAGGTACGAATAGTCGGGCTTGTCATCGAAGCGAAGGGCACGGGTATAGTTCAAGAAAATGCCAAACTCGTTGGGGAATCCACGGCAGAGAAGGTCGGTGGGGGTGGTCATCTTCTTCTCCATGATACGGTCGTACTTCTGCTTCTTGGTAGCAGCCTTGAGGCCTTGCCAGGGCAGAGCGCCGCGGAGGAAGTACATGAGGACATAGGCGAGGGATTCGAGGTCGTCACGACGGGCTTGCTCGACACCCAAGTGGGTGTTGATGGAAGTGTAGCGGGCGGTACCGGTCAAATTCTTGTTCTCTCGGTAAGGAATATGGAGATGTGTCTTTGGGTCGCGGAATTTCTTCGCGAGACCAAAGTCAATGACGTTGACCTGGTTGCCACGTTTGCCGATGCCCATCAAGAAGTTGTCGGGCTTGATGTCACGGTGGATGAAGTTGCGAGAGTGGATGTACTCGATGCGAGAGATCTGCATGCCACATCAGCAAACGGAGCATGAAAAGGATATAGGGGGGAGACCCGGACTCACCAGTTGATCAGCGAGGAGAAGAACGGTCTTGAGGCTGAACTTGCGGTTGCAGAAGTTGAAGAGATCCTCGAGAGAGGGTCCGAGGAGGTCGAGAACCATGGCGTTGTAGTCACACTCGGTTCCAAACCACCTCACAAAGGGGACGCCAACACCGCCGGCGAGGGTCTTGTAGACCTTGGACTCATACTCGAGCTGGGGGTGCTTGGCCTTGACTGATTCGAGCTTGATGGCGACCTCTTCACCAGAGATGATGTTAATACCAAGGTAGATATCGCCTGCATGCAAGTGTGAGTAACATCATTCATGACGCCTGCGGACGGAGACGACGCACCAAATGACCCTGAACCGATCTTTTTCCCAAGTCTGTATTTGCCGCCTACTCTAAGATCCAGTCTGTGCGCAGATTCGGCCATCGATTACTGAGGGAGAGAGCTAGAGACCGGTGTAAGTAAGGGTGAAGAGAGAAAGTGGGGGAAGGAAGGCAAAAAATTGAAGGAGTGCATGATGGGCTTTATATATAACAGGGCTGGGGGCATGTGGATCCCAGACAACAGGCCGGCCTCGTTGCGGTGGCTAACCAGGGGTGACGCCTGTCGTTGTCGCTTGACCGAGTCCTCATTGTTCTGGGAACAAGGACGGGCGGGGCGAGAAAAGGAGGAAGGGTACAATGGCTGAATGGGACAGCTGTGCGGTTGCAGGGCAGGCGCTGTGTGGCACCCGCTGGGCGACGACGACGACGAGGGGACGAAAAGAAAAAGAGGGCTACTCACAGATAAAAGGGATAAAGAGGATAGATAGATGGTTGTTTGGAAGAAAGTGAGAGAAGAGAGAGATTGGATGTGAGGGGAGAGGCAAGTCAGGAGAGGACGACGACCACAGACAAGCAGCACCAAATGCTGTGCTGCGGAGTTTGAATCAAATCGATTCAACCTCAGGTTTCCCGGCGCCTCGACACATCGATTTCCTTCTTCTGATTTTACAGTATACTACTATATACAACAGCAATTGTGCAGCTCCTCGTTCTTCCCAGCGGTGGGACAGGGATGGTTGGCGGGCACAGGGCTTGTTTGAACCTCCGCTCTCAGCGGTTGCCTTTGTGTTCAATCAATTCACACCTTCACGGAGGGAGAGTCAAAAAATATAGGCGAATCGGGAGGAGCTTGAACGGTGTGGTGATTCCGAGAGTCGCGATGGCTCCAGAAGATTTGTACCAAGAGGAACCCAAGAAAATTGAGGGCGATCAGAGGGTGGCGGTCCAAGTGAGCCCGTTGTCACCCAAACAGGGACAGGGAACAATTCCTCGCGCTGTTCCCAAGCTTTCTTCCCAACGCCCACATCGACGGCCTCGTCGCCTCGTCCAGTCTTTCAAATTCCCTCACGAGCGTTGCCAACGCTATTCCATTCTTTTTCACAGCCGGTCTGGTCAACATATCTACCTAATATCCCTACGGACGCCAGCCACGACTCACAAACACAATGGCTTATCGTCCATCCCACAACGATCCTTACTACAATCAACCGAGCTATCCTCCAGCTACCGGTTACGGAGATTCCTCAAATTGGGACGCAAAGTCCACAAAGTCGTACCAAAGTAGTTATGCAGGTTCCCAAGCCCACTTGAATCCATCCAGCTACGAGATGCAACAGGTTAACCAGCACCCAGTTCCTGCAATGCCATACAACGGCGGCTACCCACCACAGCAAACTATGCCTTCCCCAGGCGGCTTTAGGGACAATGGCTCTGTCGCGGGCTGGTCCCTGGCCAGAGACAAGCTTATGAAAAGGCGGTCTATCAAGAAAGTCTTCCTCACACAGGGAAACCTCGTCCTTGATGTACCCGTTCCCTCCCACATCGTCCCTGTTGGCAAGCAGGATCTCGAAGAATTCTCCAAGATGCGCTACACGGCGGCGACCTGCGACCCTGACGACTTCAAAGCTTCTCGCTACACCCTCAGGCCCTACCTCATGGGCCGCGAGACCGAGCTCTTTATTGTCATGACCATGTACAACGAAGACGAAGTCCTATTCGTCCGCACTATGAATGCGTACGTGTTTATTGCCCTCTGTGAGATTCATAATGTATCTCTGACCCATTATACAGCGTCCTCAAGAACGTTGCTCATTTATGCAGCCGTCAAAAGTCAAAAACTTGGGGTCCAGAAGGCTGGAAGAAGGTCGTCGTCTGTGTCGTGTCAGATGGTCGTAACAAGGTCAACAAGCGGACACTGCAAGTATTGAACTTGGTAAGTTTCATCGTTCCCATCAGATATTATCCCGTCCTAACCACCCAACGTTGGCAGATGGGATGCTACCAAGAAGGTATCGCTAAAGATTCCGTGGCGGGCAAGGATGTCACAGCCCACATCTTCGAGTATGTTATCTCCATCTCCCGTCTTTCAGAACACGGGCTCAACTCCCCGTAGGTACACCACCACAGCTATCGTGACAGAGACCGGCGAAGTCAGCCAGAACACATGTCCAGTCCAAGTTCTCTTCTGCTTGAAGGAACAGAACAAGAAGAAGTTGAACAGCCATAGATGGTTCTTCAATGCATTCGGACCTTTGCTGAACCCTAATGGTAAGTGCTATATTTAGCGTACAACGATGGATATCCTTGTTAATCGCATGCCTATAGTCTGTATCCTCCTGGACGTCGGCACAAAGCCCACCGGAACTTCAATCTATGAGCTATGGAAATGTAAGGTCTATCTATATCGTCTGGGAATTTCAACTCAACTCGGCCCACCCAGGCTTCGATAAGCACAAACATGTCGGTGGTGCTTGTGGCGAGTAAGTAACCCCGCCGTATACTCATCGGTCTTGTTCTGATCGTCTTCTCCAGAATCACTGTTGACAGTGGCCGCGGGTGCAGCCTCCTTCTCACAAGTCCTCTCGCAGCCTCCCAGAACTTTGAGGTATAACCACCCTTCCTCTTTCTAGAAGTCCTCGTCGTCAAGTGCGTTAACAACGTGTCCGTGTTTCCTGTTCACAGTACAAAATGTCCAATATCCTTGACAAACCTTTGGAGGTGGGTTGACATGGTTATTTCATTGAGGACCGTGGTTATTGATTCAAATTACGTGGTCTAGAGCGTGTTTGGTTACATTAGCGTGTTGCCTGGTGCATTCAGCGCTTACCGATACAAGGCTCTTTTGAACGGCCCTGATGGAAAGGGCCCGTTGGCATCTTACTTCAAGGGTGAGGCCATGCACGGAGGAGGTAGCGACGCTGGTCTCTTCGGTAAGTGAACATCCTAGAAATCCGATGCGATGGACGTTGGCTGACTCTCTTTTCAGAGGTAATGCCATTATTATCGAGTCGGAGGGATGACGCTGAATGTTCCGTTTCCAGCGTAACATGTACCTCGCCGAAGATCGTATCCTCTGCTTCGAGATTGTCACCAAGAAGAAGGAGGCCTGGACGTAAGTCTCCCACTTCATCTGTATCCTATCCACTTGAAGCTTATTGTGTTCTATTAATAGATTGAAGTATGTCAAGAGCGCAAAGGCATCTACTGACGTCCCCGCGACTGTCCCGGAATTCATCTCTCAACGTCGTCGATGGTTGAACGGTTCCTTATTCGCTTCCATCCATGCAACGGTTTTCTTCTTCAGGATCTGGACGTCTGGTCAGGGCTTCTTCCGCAAGATCGCTCTCCAATTCGAGTTCATCTACAATGCCGTCCAACTTCTCTTCACATGGACATCACTGGCCAACTTTTACCTCGCTTTCTTCTTCGTAAGCTGGTTTTTAGTTCCAACACATGCCAGTCGCTGATCGAGCATTGATTGTAGTTGGTTTCCTCGGCTACGGCAGAGGGCTCTACGGACGCATTCAACTTTCTGAGCACTGGTGCAGGCAAGATCGTGTTCCAAATCTTCCTCAATCTCTACATCGGTCTTCTGTTCGTCGTCTTGGTCTGTTCTCTGGGTAATCGACCTCAAGTATGTACCATCCGCATAATGCGTGTTTCTGGCGATCGTCTTACTGATTTGAATCGTTTAGGGTTCAAAATGGACGTACACAATCGCCATGTTCTTGTTTGGTTTGTGTAATATCATCACCACATGGTGCGCTGCCTACACTGTCTACCTGGCTGTCCCCCACGATATCGAAGGATGGAGAAACTTCCCTGAGTAAGTCTACTTCCTGTTTCAAGATGCAAGACGTCATTGATTCCTTTTCCACAGACTGTTCAAGGAGAACCGCACGCTTCAGGAGATCGTCGTCGCCGTCCTCGCCACCTACGGCATGTACTTCATCAGTTCCTTCATCCACTTTGAACCTTGGCACATGTTCACCTCCTTTGCGCAATACATGTTCCTCCTCCCCTCGTACGTCAACATCCTCATGATGTACGCCATGTGCAACTTGCATGATGTCACTTGGGGAACGAAAGGAGACAACGGCGCAGCGAAGGATTTGGGCGGCGCGAAGAAGGTGAAGGGAGAGGATGGCAAGGAGATGATGGAAGTTGCGGTGCCTACTGCGAGGGAGGACGTGGATCAACTTTGGGCCGCGTCGAGGGCTGCGTTGAAGGTCAAGCCCCCGGAGCAGAAGGAGAGTCGAGATGCCGCTACCAAGCAGGCTGATCATGATCGGAATAGTAGGACGAATGTTGTGTTGGCGTGGGTTGGTTCGAACATGTGAGTGCAGTCGACGGTTCTAGATGCTTCTCGTTGGCGGATGACTGACTGATCTTTTTGCAGGGTGCTTATCATTGTTTTCACTTCCCAAGCCTTCTTGGACTGGGTGAACCAGAACACTTCGCTCGGTGGAAGTGCTTTCAACCCATACCTGCAATTCCTCTTCTTTGCCTTGTACGTCCTCCTCCTTTGACAACCCTATGCCCAGGCTCAGACACCTTTCTTTCTCTAGTGCCGGCCTATCAGCCATCCGCTTCACAGGTTCAGTCGTATACCTGATATTCAGACTATTCGGTCACTAGATTTCAAGAATAATCTCTCCCCCCATCTTGCATACGCTACCATCTACCGCTACCCACGACACATATAATCGCTCACCCATCCTCAGCTGGGTTCACTCTTTTACAAAAAGAAGGATCTACCGCTAATACCTCTAAATCATCCGTTGTACTTTTACTACCCATCCTCTACGATCGATACCCTACATACCCCGCAGGTTGATCCTAGCTCATGTTGTAGGAAATTTCTTTCTATCTTTCTTGTTCTATTTGTTATTTTTCGTCTCGTCCCCCCTTTTTACATGATTGCATTTGTTTCTTTACGTTCTTTTTGTTGGCTGGTGGCTTTCCTTCGAGTCCATCGAAGGAGTCCACTGGTCGATACCTTTTTCGATACGAATTCGATTCGACGTTCCTTCTCGTTCGTTGCATCTGTTTCGTGATGTACTTGGACTTTGACGAATCTGCAACTCCGTTTGCTCTCTCATCTGCCAGAACCTGCTCACACACCCGTAAGCCCTTTGAATCTCGAAACCCGAGGCGACTAGAGCCCGGGCTTGAGATGCTAATATATAATCTTGGTATCCAGCAAAGCTAAACAGGTTGGTGGTGTAAACTACAGCTACTATATAGGATGCAAAAAGGTCAACAAGGATTCAGAAGAGATCACGTAGATGGGCGGGAAATATAAGCGAACTACTAGCGATAGATTAAAAACGACCCTGAGCTTGAATTGCGATCGATGCAAAGGACACAAAAACACAAGAGGAAACAATGGAGAGGAAACAATGCAAATGCAGAGAGTACTTGTAGTGAGAAGTGAAAAGTGGAAGGGGAACGACAGCAAGCAGGGTCAATGAAATGAAACGGACGAGTGTTTTGTGTATGCATGCAAGCAGAGTTCGGGTACGTGCTATGACTCTTGAGAACCGTGGTGATAGCTCGTGGAGGGGTACGGCAATCCAGAGCCCATTCTTGGAGACACAATTTCAAACTGAGAAGAATCAATGCTTCTATCAGAGGTGAAAGAATTTGCAGAGGGTGAGGTTGGGCGGGGATCGAAAGATGGCGCGTACGAGGCCGCTGAGGGCGCTCGAGAGGGACCGCCATTCATATCCATACCCATGCCTCCTGCGGCAAGGTGGTCAGGCAAGAATGGACTCGGTGGAGGCATATCAGACGTAAAATTAGTTACGCTGGCCTTCCTACCCCCATGCGGCCCTCCCGCTGCTGCTGCGCCATTGTAACTTGTCCTATCAAAGCTCGAGCGCGGCTCGTATTCCTGGGAGTGGTGATTGGCCCCAGCCGACGACTTCCATTTGAGAATCGACTTACGGGCCAATTGCTCTTGCTGCTGCTGTTGCTCGGGTATAGATGCCAACTGTCCTTGTTGTTGCTGTTGTTGCATGAAATGTTGCTGTTGTTGCTGGAGTAATTGCTGTTGAGGAGGCGATGGCGTGCGTGGCGCATAGCGTACTGTGCGAATGGGGTTAGGGTACGGTGACTCCTGGTCAAAGTGGAGGCGGTCCAGTGCGCCTCCGGTGCGACTGGGAAGCATCTGCGTGGGGATTATGGGGGAGTTGTTATTACCGCGATTTGCAAAGGGAACAGACAACCCTTGTTGGTTCATCATGGGAGGTGGAAGGGGTGGCATGGATTCTTGAGGCCGCTGGTCCATAGAGGGACGGCGATTCTGCGGAATGCCAGAATAGTCCATTGATGGGCGATTGCTTCCCATCGACGGAGTGCGGCTCATCTCACCAGAAGGGCGTCTCGACGACTCTTGGGATGCCCTAGATGGTGGACGGTTGTTCATCCCAGGTTGAGGGGAGAAACGACCATAATTCGAGCCCGCAGGAAGGGCCGGAACGTCGGGGAGATCAAGGTTCTCCTGCGATGGTCGTTCCGGGCGGAGAGGGACGCCAGGCGACACGCGTCCCGACGATCGTTTGGGAGGCACTCCAGGGGATACCCGACCGGATGCTGATGCGCCATTGGGCACTGGAGGTGGCTGGTTCTTCTCCTTGTCTTTCTCTTTGTCCTTGTCCTTATCACCCTTGTTGCTCTTCCTCCAAAGGTTTTTGATGCTCTTGACCGACATCAAAGTGCCGCGATTAGACTTTGCCGCCGCAGCCGTCGGGGCAGGTTCATCCAAGAGCGAATCGGCAGAAAATCTGCTTATCGTCGTTCCAGATCGAGTACGTCCACCTGGCGGAGGTATCTTATCTTCACCGAGTGACATCGAAGTCCGACCGAGTGTGACAGTGTCCCACTGAGACCCATTCTCCGTGAGGACGGGGACATTTTCCGGAGTGGATGAAGAATATCGCCCGAATGGATCTGGAGATAGCGGGATAACGGGTGATTCGATGGAATTCTTTCGATTCTTCCCATATAAGGCTTGCTCCTCTTCGAGTTCCTTCTTCCTTTGAATCGTCTCCGATGAGACTTCCCCACTGGGATTTCGAACGATGAAGGAACGTGGTGCGGATGTTGTGATGCCGTTGACAGCCAATTGTGGAGGGGAGGGTGGCCTGTTAGGGTTGGATTCCGATTCAGAAGCATTCTTGATTAGGGAAAACGGTATCGCAGGCCAGGATGCACCCCTAAAGTAAAGAGCGTTAGAAATCAGGGTGCAAACACTTGAGGTTCCGCTTCCGGTGAAACACTTACTCGGTCGGTTCATTGGGAGGGTCGGGATGCTGCGGTAATCGAGGTGCTGGGGATAGATCCGAGTTTCGAAGGGGCGAGAGCGTCAACTTGGCGGGCGAATTTGGTGATAGGGTTGCTGAACTGAAACTCTGGTTCACGTCGTCATCCAAATCGGTTTTGAGTATGCGTGGGGACAGCTGCGCCAGTGTCTGTTATTTCGTCATAGCAAAAGAATCAACGACCCGCGCAATGAACACGCCATACCAAAAACATACCCTCTCGATTTCGTCAAGTTGTGCTTTCATCACATATTGACTTCTTCTCCGATCGTTCGGGTCGTTGTCGTCGTACTGAAAACAAGAATAGCGGTCAGTCGAGTAAATGGGACATGCGTATCTGCGATCGATTGCTTACATCTTCAGAGGGATCCAGCCCCAAGTCAAGGTCTTCGAAAAGGGCACCAGAGCGCTTTTCGGACTCCGTTGGGCTCTTCGCCCGATAACCGTAGTCATCATCGTCTTGAAGCTCGGCTGGCGAATCGCCTTCGAGATACGACAGGCTTGCGGTGGGGGCTGGGCTGGGCTCCGTGGAGATTATGTGCTCGGAATTTGGATTCGGAACGATAACAAGAGGCGCTGGAACATGCTTCTTGGAGAGCGTTGGAGATGTTTGCTCCTCGTTCATGAACGGATCGGGGGTTCGGCCACCTTGGGACATTCGGTCAAGCATCTCCCTAACCTCTTCTTCCTCTCGGGTGAAGTGATTATCGTCCGTGATGAATGAGTCGTCGGGCCTAGTAAGTTCTTCTCCCGTCAATGCCAAGTCAACAACATTGGGATTAACTCCTCGTTCAGCCTTCATCTCTGCCCATGTATCTGCATCTGACCCAAAGACATCCTCCAGAGGATCCTTCTTGCCATGAGCGATAGAGAATTACCTTCGCAGTGGAGTCTTCTGCGAACTCGAGATCATCATCCGAATCCGAGTCGGAATCAGTAAGTTGTTCGTAGCCACCTTCATTGAGCGTCGCATCGTCTGTGAGGTCGGTCTTGAGCAGCGCATCCACTCCTCCCTTCTTCTTTTTGCCCATGAGCAATGGGATTGCGGGCTCCTTCGCCTTCGCATTCTCCTCGTCCTTCTCATTCCCACTTTCACCGGACGCATTCTCACCCTTCCCATTCCGACTCCGGTTCCGCTTTGCATGGTTAACTTTCCTACTTCGAAGCCATGGCTTATACCAGGCCGCTTTGCGAGTGTCGATATCAAACTCCACTTTGGCCAAAATGGGAATCAGGGAGGTCGAGCCAAGCCCTGGGAGATCAAGGGAGTTGGCGCGCATAACGGAAGCGCTGTCATGGACATCAACAGACGTGTCGGGGGTGTCTGGCTCAGACTGAGCTGCCGACTCTGATGGCGGGGCGGATTTGGAACTTGAGCGCAAGTCTGATACTGAAGAGGGCGTGGACGGGGAGGCGATCGAAGGATAGGTGGGGCGGGGAGATATGGGGGAAGCTGGAAGGCGTAAGTTGGCGTTGAACTCGGTGACGAGGAATGGAGTTGAACGTGCGGCGGTGGGACTTAGCAGTGGCGTTGGACTTCGTGAAAGGGAAGGAAGCAGTAGCATGTTTCCATCGCGCTGTTCTGCTTGAATCACGCGGTACCAGAGGTGCCGCCAAATCTCTTCGGACAGCCGTGGACCAGGTTCGTCTCCTTCGCTATTGAGCATAGGGTTGACTTCGGAACCGGTGGGGCTCTGCGGTCTGGTTGACGAACCCGACGAAACCAAGTACAGGATGAGGCCAGCTGTACTAGGTAACGCGTATTCCTTGGCAATAGCTCCCAATTGCGCCTGCAGTGTGGAGTGTACAGGCACCAAGGTTCCGCGTCTAAACTGTGTATGATATCCTGAGGCTGTTGGCGGGGGTGGTGTCAAAACGGAGTCGTAAGTGTCGGGGTCATGGGGCAGGTGCATAGGAGGGATAACGTGGAGCAGATATCTTGACGTTGGTGGAGGTTGGACATTGAAACCCGCAGAGCTGGTGACTGATGGAGTCGGGGATCTTCTAAGGCTTTCTGGAGGGCCAGAGAAATCAGAGAATGACCTGGAGAGAAAGGGGGGACCCGAAGGTTTGGAGGTCGGAGGTATTGGAGTCGATACACCGAGCGCATTGGCGAGCTTTGCGAGACGTTCTGGAGCTAGTGGGGACTTTGGTGGACCCCATGTTGGAGAAACGCTGGACGTCGCGGAAGAACGGGACGTTCCATTTATGTTTGCGCTGTCGGCCATGGGGAAGCCCAATTATCCCAACCTGTCGGCGCTTGTCGTGGCAGGAGAAATGAACACTTCTATCTGTATCGTCGTGGAGGTCGTCGATAGCGGTCCAAATCGTGAATAATCCTGACGATAGCTGTCAGTTGTACAGTCTGTCTTGAAGAAACGTCGGACGCACGTAACAACGACAAGCCCGGTTCCCGTCCAGGTAGAACGCGGTTTCGACGATTGTTGGGCTCGTTATGGGCCTGTAAGAGCTCAATTGACGCCTGCTTTGCGAGCCTATAGCCTGGAGACGACGAGCAAAGCGGGTCAGCACTCGGTCATGAAGAAAAGAAGGGCAAGGTCGCTGTCGCCCAAGATTCTCTGCCAAGTTCAACTGGTGCAGGGGTGGGAACCCGCCTCTCGAAAAGGAAACCGCGAAACATTCCAACCAGCCTGTCGGTCGGAAAGATTCGAACGCGTTCATAACGCCCGTCCATGACCTTGTTGTCTGCCAGTTTCTTTTTAAACTAATTGTGCGTTTCTCAATATCCAGCAATACGGTAGTCTATAGAAACTGTAGAACTAGTCGCAAGTGTCATTCGATTTTTGTTATCGCGACTGTAGTGGGGGCGCGTGTAGCAACGGGCAGAGGCTTGTTCGGAGGAAGGAAGAGATTTTAATTGTGTATATAAGAGAATAGAATCGAATGATTGGTGGTTCTTGAATTCTTTGATTCTGCAAGACGGGACGAACCAAACAAGCGGACGAAGACAGTGTCACACAAGCCGGAATTGGAGTGGCGTGCCCATACTCTGTTTGAACTTTCACTTCGAACGACCAAGTTCTCGACGCCGTTTTTTCCTTCCTCCCGCTTTCTTCGCCTTTTCTCTTTTCTTTTCTTTTACGACAACGTTCTGCTTTCTGTCACGACTTGTTCCAGTTTCTAAACCATTGCCAGACACAAGTGCACCAAATCCTCGACGACACCGACAACCGCGACGAACCCCGATGGATCAACAGCAAGGCCAAGGGCACCACAACATGGGAGATGAACATGGGTCAATGCCTGGTGGCTATTTCTACGGTGGACAAGATGAGCAACAGTATAATCTCGCTTACAATCCGGGGATGGCCTACAACCCTGCTGTAGCTCAACACGCCCCCCAAACGCGTGCGTGCTTTCGTCCTCGTTTTCTGCAACTCGTGTTCATCCGATAATCTCTTTTTGTTGTTTATTAGGCTCCTTAGACCTGCATCAGCAGCCAATTCAGCAATATCACAATCATATTCCGTTGCTGCCTGCACATCAATACCAGGCAAACGTGTTTCCAGGATCCTCGCCTCATGGCGCCCTGCCCGTTACCGGCACCCCTCCGCCACCCTCCCCAGACCTTAATATGTATGACCACCCTCTGTCTCCTCCTGTCTCCGGATCAGAAACATCAGCAGACGGTCTATACCACCACTCGAATAGTAGTGGTGCCAACTCTCCCGTTTCTTCACGAGCGAACAGCCTAGTCCATCGTACCGCGCGTTATAACCCCACTCCATCGCCCACAAGCTCGGCAGGTCGCAGGCGCGGTCGATCCCACGATTCAGACGAGGAAGACAACATGGGTGTAGCATTCGTTGAAAACCTTGCTCATTCGCGAAAGGAAGCCACGAGACGACAGAGGATAGAAGCCGAACAGCGTCGCAGAGACGAATTGCGCGACGGCTACGCGAGACTGAAGGAGGTTCTCCCCATCTCCAATCAGAAAAGCAGCAAAGTTTCTTTGCTGGAGCGAGGTTAGTAAAATTTCCTTTCACTGTGTTCCGTTCCGCTCACGTCTTTCTCCTTTAGCCACGAACCATATTATCGCCCTAGAAAAGGCCAACAAGGAATTGGAGGACCGCATAGCCGCATTGGAAGCCGAAATGCAACGGCTTCGTGGTGTCAACGAGAAGATCTCGCTCTCTGCCAACAACACCCCTTCGCCTGCGCATCCCAACACCAGACCCCTTTCTCCTCCACCGGAGGGTCAGCCCGTAGCGGGTCACTCCCTTACCTCTGTCAAAGGCCAGCAACCACCTTCGGAGCACTCGAGTCCATCAGCCTCGGAAAACGGATACTGATTTCTTGACCGCTGTCCTTTCTTCGCGCATTTTGTCCCTTCTCTTGCGTCACCTTTTCGTTTGTTTCTTTCTCATTTCGTTCTTCATTTCATTTGCTTTCACTCCCGCTTTCGAGGTTTTCCATGTCCTATTATTCTTGCTGCGGTATCAACCTCGACATCTCCGCTACTCGACCCATGGTCCTGGCAGCGAGGCCCATGCCTTGCGTTGAGTCCGCGACGTCGGCGCCGTGCGCCTGACTCGCTGTTGCACTCCGCAGGCACTGTGGCTTCCATCGGGAAGAACCAACGGCTTGACGTCGTTGAGGGTCTTGAGTGCCACCACGAGTCCGGCCAGCTGCAGCGTGTTTCGATATCTAGATCACATGGACGCAATAATCCTAGATCGATGATCCGTTCTCCCGCGACGAAACAACCCTTCCCGCGAGCGGTATCTTCGACGAGAAAGGATGAAGCAACCCAAAGCCGACGACGCCATTTCACATCGCTTTCTGATTCGTGACAAGCCAGGGCTCCTGGAGACACCCCGGCTTGACCGTTTCGCGGACACGAAGAATATACGAAACAAGCTGGTCCTTTTTCGCTGGGCAGTCCAAGCGTTTAACCGTTGGTCAGGCCGTATTGCTTCGTCAATATTCTTTGGCCACGTTTTCCGACAAGCCCTATGCTACACCTATAACATTCTCTCGCTCCTAGCCAGCGCATTCACATCACATCCCTATCCATCATCTATCCATCGGTGTCTCCGTCCTGCCAACGCAGTCGATGTCGAGATCCCGCCCCAAAAACCGTTCTTTTTTATCATTTCCCCATTTTCACGACCTCGCATACGCCCTGTGGATGACGCTACGAACCGCAACGACCAACATATCTCACTCTACTTACACAATTGGCAAGTTTGGACATTAGCTTTAACAGTACCTGTATCCCCCCTCATGCATCCAAATATCCCCCATCCTACTACTTATGTCGTGCTCTGTTTGGAGTGCGCTTTTCTCCCGAGCGTTCAGAAGGTTTTCTCTTCACTATTAGCTTTTCCTCGATCCTCTGTTTTGTGACGGGCTTTCCATTCCTTTTTTTCTTTTTCTCTTTACCATTCTTGATGAATATAAACTAATCTCCATCTATCAACCGCGCTTCGCCGTCTCATTTTCCCTGAACCCCAGTATCCCTGTCCGAGTCGCCTTTCGATATTATCAGTTTATTGAACAGGCCGCCTTGTTCTTTGCAAGGTAATGTGACCCGATTTACAAGAGACATGTTAACCATTCTGCTGGGCTTTACCTTCCTCTCCTCCATGATCGGCAATGAGTTAAAAGGCCCATCTTATTTGGTCCGAAGGACTTTGTCTTGCCTGGGTACTGAGGCTCGCGTTGTTGAACGGCCCACGAGGCAGGCCCTCTGAGAGTAGAGTAGCTTTAATTAGAGTTGCACACCCGTCAGAGGATGTCCCTCGTATAAAGTCCCATAAATGTCGTTACCTTTTCCGTCCCGCGTACCCTCTCACTCTAACAAAACGACTCCTACAATTCTAATCTTACCGCTGGTTGTTTCCTCGCATCACTTCACGCTTCCTTTTTGCTTTTACTTCTTGGTCGATCGCATGATGCCAAATCCGTCTCTCGAAATTCGAAGGACATACACCGCGGAGCGTCACTAGCCGATATGCCGCCGGTCGTAGAAGACTTGAACGAAGCATAGTTGACGTTGACGTGCACCTACATGGGATAGCACTTTAAATATTAAATGGCAGTCAGCATTGTCCCAAACCCTCCCACAAGTATACGTTACTCTCGCAGGATTGCTTATCCGCTGGCCATGAGTGTGACTGGGGACGACCTTTGCAACCAGGACCCACGAAGATAGAGTTTGTGCGTTCCCTGGTCCCCGTCAAACCCTGTCAGTGTCTGTAGAGTATAGACCATTCCCAGTTTCGCGCATCCCCCGGAATGAGTTGAAGTCCTCTCCATCACTTCGAAGCGTCGGGCCCCCACTATGCATAGTACAGATTGCCCACTCCCTTTCCCCCCAGATGTTCTATTTTCACACCAAACCTTGTCTATACTGAATAGACGACGTAGAGTAGATCCTAATCCATCGATAGAAGCACGCAGCTCCAGGGCGCCTTTGTCCAAAACTCAGATGAAGAGAGAAAGGGATCTGCTGGAAGAAGTGATGACACTGACATGGGGTCATGGACATTGATTCGAACCTGTGGTATACGAATGTGACACGGTGGCTTTCAATTTAAGAAAGAAATCAGATAAATTGAAGGGTCATACGGGGAGAGTCCAGAGCGAAGGCGAATGCTTGAAATAACTCCTGGTGTTTCTTTGGAAAGAAGGGGGTGGAACATGTCAGACGGAGGATGGAATCCTGAATCCTGAACCTGGAAAGGGGTTGATCAGGGTTACAGTAAGATCCAAGAGAGTGACGATAATCGCCTTCAACTCTTCACGGCGAGATAGTCGAAAATAACGCACCCATACAACCCTTGGCGTCTGTTGACTGAATTGAAGCGGGTTCAGAGTGTCTTAATCGACCAACATGAAACGGTAACGGAGATGTATGTACGGTGCACGGAAAGAAAGCACGCGCTTCGCCCCCTGCAAGGTAAGGACAACGTGTTTCAGACGTCACGAAGATTGTCGAGTTTGGAAAGTGTCATTTTTTGCTGCAGGCTTGCGACTGTCTTCGGTGCCTCAATCTTTGCACCATCCAGCTGTGGCACAAGATGTTTTCGCTCCGCACCGTGAGTTAGTAGGTTAGTTGGAAAACGTGTTCAATGATCGCCCAAACGCGATTTTTGATTCCGGTTCCAGATGGGTCGAACGGATCCTAATCGACGGTGATGGCCACTGCCAATGAGGAGGGAATTAGGGTCCACTTCATGGTTGATGTAATGTAAAAGTGCTCACAAGACAAATTCCTGTGCGCTGAAAGTGATAATGTTCTTCTTAAGTTGGCATCCTGGCACAGTTAATGTGCGCATGTCATAAAGTCGCACCTAGATAACGTCCCTTTGATCAATTATGATAATAATCGGAATTATAGGTCGCTTACGCCAATCTACACATCTATTGGATGGCGATGTAATTCGCGCTAAAGTGAGGAAAGAAAGAAAGAATGGACGTCATCTTCGGCGCGTCACACATTCAGTTCTGCGGTGGCGGCCCACTTTCCCCCACATAATGTGTCAACGCTGGCAATTGGGAGCGAATATGCAGGTTCATTGACATCAGAGCGGAGCAAGAGCCGTAACACCCATACCAGTGGCTAGTGCTAGTCATTTCAAAAGGGCAAGACCCTGAGTCAAGTCCACTTCCAACGGCGAATTACTGGAATCCATCGCCAAAAGAAACGCTGAAACGCGGAAGGCACAGGCCAAGAAGGACACTCGAGAGTCAGATAGGACAGGAAAAGGAATCAGTAGCCTCACGATAGCCTCGTTGCATGGCCGGGGCTTTGTTATTTGACCGGAGGCGGACATTATACGCCCATTCGAATGGATGGATGACGATAGCTCCATCAAGGGCTAACAAGCTTCTTGCGAGACGGTAGACCCGTCAGGCGATGTCATTTGTCCCGCAGCGGACCTCGCCCAATCCAGGGGAGGGAAAGATACGAGGGCGCGGAGTATTCTGGGCGCCATCGAGCAATCGGGAATCATGAGATAGAACAAATGCGCTCTCCTCGGATTAGGGGATCGGGAAGGTGTCGGGAGAGGAGGTAATGCTCAAAGTGTTCGACGGCGATGCTGTAACTGTATTCAGTAGATATTAACGTGAAAACACTTCGAGATGTCAAGAGAGACCACCAAATTTCGGGGAAACCCAGGACAGTGAACAACGGTCCCATCTTCCTGCAGACAAGCTTGTCTTTTCTGGCCGGGTCCCAAGAACTGCGCCGTTGGAGATAATGCCGCCGATAAAACTAGCGCCAAAGGGTCATGAGAGTAACCAGTCCAGTTTTGGTCGGTCAACTACCGCACTTCGAGGCAAGAGAAAATGGAGGATGAGCCGGTGAATGATATTTTACGAAAGGTCGGAAGATCGGTCGGTCAGAAGGGGAGGGAATTGGCCGTTTGACCGTTGGATCGGCAAACGGGAGTGAATCAAGTACCTGAAATTCAGAGGTAAATCTGCGCATTCAGGAGGAGAGTTCCGAATCCATGGGTTTGGGTCATCTTACCAATTTTTGGACTCCCGGACGAAATGAGAGGCGCTGGTTGGGCCCAAATATCGCTGTCAGAGGTATTACATATATGATTCGAAAGATGCACAAGACCAGGCTATCCACACACTCGAGCAAAGGAAAAGGTTAGACCCTCTGTTTTATGAAAGGCTGCCCAGAGCGTATTCCTCCAAAAGGCGTCGGTGGCAGCGACATTCCTGTGAAGGCTGTTATTTTCCCATAGATTCCACTGGGCAAGGCAGAGAAGTGGCGATGGCTTGATGATCCATGAGGGTCTTGTCGTTCCAATCATACGAGAAAGAACCGATGGAAGCCGCTGATAAGCCACAGAAATTGAAGCGAAGTTTGCGAATTTTCATCTTGGAGAGTTGAACCCCAGAACGTGAAAGGTGAATCGTAGGGTTCCAGCCAAGGATCTAGGATTCCGGGAGATTTCAGATTAGAGGAGTTCCAGCGCAAACAAGGAGCCACAGAGTATGTAGTGTGAGTCAAGCGAGAAAGGCGGGTTTTGTGTCGTCTACTATTCCTCCGTAAGGCAGGTAAAGGTCCTTCCTGCCTGAGAGTCTTGATCTGAAACGCCTCTCTGGGGTCGAATGAAGGCATCTCGATGCTCAGAGCATCGGTATACATATGTTCTTCAGACCAGATGTCAACGAGGAGGCCTGCATGCAGGGCAGGCGTTTCAAGTCGCGTCGAATATGTCTAATGACCCCCAGAAAGTCGTAAGATGAGTTTGGGAGAGAGAAAGGAAGATAAGGGGAATTGAAACGTGTCGCCTAGCTCAGAGGTTCTTGAGGATATTGTAGAAAAGATGGTTTGCACGATGCACAGACTCTGTATTGACAGCAGAGCAGAAGTGGACAGCGGGAAGAGAGGAACGCGTTACGTCAATTGAGCTCACCTGACCCAAATCACTGGCGGCGTGGTCTGGATCAGCCCCCTAATCAGGAACCCCAGTGCATCTTGCTCTCACCCGCCATCCAAGGGCGACGCCGTCGACACCAGGTCCCGACGTTCTAGGCGATAAATTATCAGCAACCTCTAGTGATACCCCTCAGAGACTTGTAGAAAGCGTCTAACGCTCACTCAGTTCACTTCTCTGCGATACCTTTTCTTAACTTAACGTTTTAATTACGATGTGGTGAGTACAACGATATCAGTTAGCAACTGGCCGCCTCGTTCCTCAATTCTTATCTCTCTGAACGATACAGGTGTGATAATTGTCTTTTGGTGCTCCCGCTTGTGAGCTTTTTCCAAAGAAATTCGAGTATGAACTTCTCCCTAACCCATTCTCTGCACCCTGTGTGGATTCTCGAATTAGCGAGGTGGAGCTATCGCCTGGGCCGTCCTGGTCGCTGTGAGTGCCATCTTTCCGGCCCCTCGACGCTATCGCAAACTCAACAGATCGGTTCCTTTTCATTTGCCAGGCCTACAGTATTGCCGGTGGTGTCTTTCTCCTCGTAAAGGGAGAATACTTGTTCTTCTTCTTCCCGGAGTGGTGCGTCTGTTTCTCCACACCCTGGATCAAGTAACCCACTACTCTCCGAAACTTCCAGGCAAATCTACGGTGGTATAGGCATTGGAGTAGGTGTGGCGGCTGTGCTGACAATGTTGGCCCTCTCGAATGTGAGCTATACTCTCTTCCCCCTTACATCCGATTCGGACCATCTCCCAACGAGATGATCGTGAAACTGACTTTATTTCGCTCTATTCACGTTAGCGATCGTACATTTGGATTAGGGTGGTTAAGTTCCTGTGGCCGTTTGTGATCGTCCTCTCGGCGATTCGAGCTATCCTTATGATTGTACAGCTCCAACGAGGGTTAGTCGCGATCGTTCTCGTCACCAAACGTTTCCGTTAAGCTCCTGTTCCCGATGTGTTTTAGGAAAGACAAGATTACCTGGGAATGTAACAATGGCGGTCAGTTGTGGACTGAAGAAGCTGCCGCCGCCGCTGCTGCATCTGGAGAAAAGTCTGGTTCTATGCCAGGAGGATTTTGCGCCGCCGGGTTCAACAGTCTTAACACTGCCTTCATCATCTCGCTTCTCGTCGATATCGTTTGCCAGGTAGGCCGTTTGTTCCGATTCAAGTGCCTCCGAAGCCCGGCGAATTGACTAACTTCTGTCACGAAAGGTCTACATGTACTTCCTAGCGTGGCGATATTCCAAGCGCCTGGAACGCTACAATCATATGAATGGGCCATACTATGGGGGTAGGTTCCGTCAGACAATTATCCGGTGTCCTCGATGATGACAGTTTTTGTCTCCAATGACAGGGTACTACAAAGCTTAAGGATCCTCTCAGCTACGTTCATTGTTCTCCTACTTTCATTTACTTTGGACATCAGCCTGTTATTCACGACCATGTTACGACTTACGACCCTTCACGACCTGTATCTTTACGACGACTTTCTGTTTTCTTTTGTATCGATTTTGTTGTCAGTTCTGTTTGGTCACACAGTTGTTGAGCAGAACAGGGTCGTCACTACAGGTAACGACGCTCATATCGGAGGATTTCTAGTGACGGTCGACGAGCGGTTAAAGTCAGGGTTCGCGCTCACGATAAAATTTGAAATCTAAACTGACAGGGCTAGATTTACTCGTTGTAGGATGGAGAAGCATCTCTCAAGAAGGTTAACCTGTGAATATGAAAACAACGTTGCACGAGAATGCGACGATTTGGCCACTTCCAGTGCACAGGCACATAGGTCTCTGTGAGCCTGTGACTATGTGATTCCCACTTGAGGGATTGGACATCTCATACTCCCCGAGTAGCCTCGGAAGCCGGATCTTGATGGCAGATAAAACGGACAAACAAAGACGGCGTTGATACGGGAGTTCGGTACGAGGAGAGGGACCCAAAGCAGAAACCCAAACGGTGGCTCACTCGAAACGGAGGCAAGAATCGCAGGATAGTGATCATGAGTCAGGAGCCGGGTCGGGTGTTATGTACAGTGAGTTAATGAGATGTGAATCGCCGGAGATTTCAAGTATCTAATGTGTGCAGTGGAAGTAGGGCAGCGGGCAACAATATCTGTGTGGCGCAACAGAAATTGGCAGGAAACATTGAGGGAAGGACGAAAAAACAAAGAAGCGATTTTTGACGGAAAGTGGACAACAATGGGGCCAATTGTGTCGAAATGAATGTTTTTGGCGAAAAGAGACTGCCTCGTGTCGATGAGATTGATCTGAGCACTCTGGAATGGGATTGCTCGGATTCCCAGACCCGCTGGACGAAGATTCTATATAACCGAGTGCCCAGCGGCCTCTGATCTTCATCCCCCCCTTCTCTCCTCTCCACTTCCTCTCCCGCCCCGCCCGCATTTATTTCTTTGCAGTTGTCAGTCTTTCCCAGCCTAACAAGCGCCCTTGTACTCACCCCACGCCACTAAATTAGGTCCTTGTTTTCCCCTCTCTTTATTTTGCCCTGTCGCCTTGCGAGCAAGTCGAACAACCACCCCGCACATTTTTAACGATCCTCAGCAACATGTCCTCGCAACTTATCTCCTCCATGGACTTTGAATCCTCCAAGCCCGCCTACATGGAACCCGTCGAGTTCTCATACATGGACTCTGGCCTTGAAGCCTACCTCCAATACCCGCAGTCTCCCAGTTTCGGTGTTGGCATTGGCTGTAAGTCTAATAATTCATGCATTCATAGAAAGGATCAACTCACACCCTTGTACCAGTGCCTGCCACTTCCTCCCCCATTGCGTTCAACTCTTTGAACCTTTCCGGAAGTGCCGGAGCCTACACATACTCGTCTATGGGTCCCTCTTCCCCCGCCCGCCCCTATACTCCTCCTGATGGCGCCAGCATTTCCCCCCACACCCTCACCTACGACCTCAGCGGTGCCGAACTTGCCTCGGACCCCTCGTCGGGTCGCGTAAGCCGTGGCAGCGGTCGCTCGTCACCTGCCCCCAGTGCTGCATCCCCCGGCCCCAACTACTCGACTGTCCCCCGTTCTCATCGATTCAACCCCATCTCTGCTCCCGCTTCGTCCCGGCCAACCCTCAGGCACAAGCGACGAGCCAGCCGAACCGATGACACCGACGATGAGGATGAGGACTTCCAACCCCCCGCCCCCGCTGGCAGCGCCGATTCGTAAGTACCGTTGTTCTTCGCTCCGCACTCCCATCTAATCGGGTCACTCTTCTAGCCGCCGTGAGACTATCCGCAAGCAGCGCATTGAGTCTGAGCAACGACGACGAGATGAGCTCCGCGATGGATATGCCCGCCTTAAGGAGACCCTACCATCTTCCAATCAGAAGTCCAGCAAGGTTTCCTTACTCGAGCGTGGTATGTCTCTAATAACCCATTCATCGCTTTTCAGTTTGAACTGAAATCGTTCTCCAGCTACTGGCCACATTAGGTACCTCGAGACCGTCAAGGATCAGCTTGAGTTGCGTCTCAAGTCTGCTGAGGCCGAGGTTCACCGGCTTCGAAACGTCAACGAGGCATTGATGCTTGGTGCCGCCTCCCAGCGCGCCCAAGCTTCAGGCCTTGTTGCCTCTTTCTGATTGCCACATCCCAGCAATCTACGAAGACCGTCTGTTCACTTCTCAAAAAGCTTTCGTTCTTGGTTGGGCAAATAATTCATCATTTCACGACTACATCAGACGGCATCCGACTCCCTGCCAGGACAGGTCAACTGCATTGATTTATTTTTCGGACATTCCATTATCACGCATCCATCATCATTGTATATTTACGCATCCACTTTCGCATTCCCCCGCCAACCTCCCTGCGTTCGTCGACGGCCTTGCTATAGGCCCAGCGCGCCGCTAGCGACGCGCTCGTCGATTCGGTCCAACTTCCCCTCTCCGACTCCCCTTCTCTTGCAGCCGCGCTGTACGTTTCATCACCACTACGTCACCACGAACCTGAGTCGCTGGCCTGTGGCCACCTCGGTTCATTCCCGGCGACGCGAAACGGAGGCTCGCATCGACATACCTTTCCGATGGACTGCGGATACCGGACGATGCTTTCGATCTCGACACGACACTGACGCAAGACCCTCTGTACCGGTTTGAGGCGCGACATCTCCGGGCTCCCTAGACGGAGTTACCGTTGAGTGCGTGCCTCGCCTGCTGAGCGGCGCTATCTTGCCCTCCTTCTTTAATCCTCGTCGCTTGTCGGACACTGCATCCCTATCCCAATCGATCCATCATCGCGCTTGTAGGCGTACGACCACTTAGGTGTGGTTCCGTGTCTCGCGCGTGCCGAAACACTGGCGGAAAGGTTTCCTTGCTCCTGCCTCGAGATTCGGCAGAGGCTCATCGTTGCCCAATCTCGTTCATCCCCCTGGCCTCCCTGTCAAGCAAGCAGGTAACCCTCGACAAACGCCTCCTCGTTGTATTTTATCCACGGCTCTTGATTCTATTTACGACTCTCTCTCTTCCGCGACATCATCCCCGTCTCGAATCGAGGATGCCTGATCACCATCCCCGACCGCGACATTCCTCTAATCCGACACACCATATCTTGATCTCACGACTCTTTTTATTTCTTCTCCATTCCACGAGTTCTCGCGCTCTCCTTGTTCACTGGGATGAACGCCTCCGCCCTGCACCTTACGCTCACCGCAACAACAATCTCCGGCCCTTGATGGACGTTTCTTACTGTCGCCGTGACCCTCAACCGGTTGAGGGTAGGTATATGAACAGTCCAGTCGAATGGTGCGGCCAGGGCGGATACACCCACACGCTCGTTTGATGACGATTTTTTCACGACCTCCTTCAAGATCCCGAAGCCTGCTTCCGCGTTCGGGCCCTCGAACTTTCCGGCTCTTCACTCGCCCTCGTCTTCTTCCCGGTTCTGGCTTGATGTTCTCGGCTCCTGCTTGGATCTGCTGGTCTCGACATTTCGCTTGCCGCCTTTGTCGTTACCCCTCCCCTCTGCGCGCGCGGAAACCCTTGAGGCTAGACCTCTTGCGAGCATACCCCCCAGACGCGAGCGGTGCGACATTGTGCTGAGTAGGTGACTTGTTTGGACTATCTGGGTCTCGGTTGGTTGCTGTCGATGTTATTCCGGCGCTGGGCGGTTGGTGTGAGCTTGTGGTGTGCTGACAGTACGATGGGTCTGTTCGGTGCAGCCGAGAGATTGCTCGGTCTTTCTCTCCCCTTTATGCGGCAGTGCCTCTGGTCAGAGCTCGGTCTCACGCCGGACTCGCTTGCTCGCAACTGGGTTGGCTGTTGGGAAATCTTGGGGATTTCACGAATATTCCTTAGTGCATCACTAGCTATGCCCACTATTACGATTTACGACTTGTTCATGTAGATACATGGTTATCTTTCTTTACCTACCCGCGACGTTCCGTGGAGATTTTTCTTTCTCGTTGTTGCTGTGCTTTGGGACGTAGGTTTCGAGCACTCTTCCCCTCTTTTTTTGAACATTACTATTGTCCATCACCACCTCTTTCGTTTCATACAGCAGATACTTGTTACTGTGTAGTCTGACTGGGTCCTACAATGGAACGAACCTACTATATGTTCATATCCGCGCATGATCATGAAGTTATTGAGAATATCGGGAGAGGTGATATCGAATCAATAATGACAGCATCGCCCGCTTGATAAGCGGATGATCAAACGGTATAGGTTCGCATCTGGCATGAGGGCCATCTTCGCCTCGAGCCCTTACCAAAATGGATTCTCAAGCTATCAAGAAACAACTGAAGATTAAGACGGGCGTCGTACAACGGTAAAGCCCAGCGTCGATCCCATTCAGAGATTCAAGTAACGACATGACACACTGCAGTCTCGTCAAGGAGAATGGTCTATACAAGAAAGAAGTGGAGCAGAATGTGGCGAAGAGGGACAAATTCATTGCCGATGGTGCTGAAGAATGGGATATAAAGAACGCGGTAGGGTTTCCAGACCCCTGAAACTCGCCATTTCAACTCATCCTAGGATTTGCACGGCAGGGCAAGTTGGTTGAAGAATCCGAAAAGATGGTCCAGGATACTGCAACCCGGCTTGCAGCAGCCGTCGCCGACCTTCGCGTCATCGTGGTACGTTCCACAATGCCCTTTTAAAACCGGTTGGATTTGTGCATAATACACCATGGCTTCCGTTCAGGATGGAGCGAAGACAAGGGAGGATCTTGCGGAGGATGCAGACTTTCTCAAGGCTCAAGAAGCTCTGGAAACGGCGAGCGCATAAACATCGCGATGGGTCGAATCTCGCTGGGATGCGGGTGAAGGCGAGTCGTTACGCGCCGTGACCTCGGATTTCTGGGAATTCAGGCTGGGGTATAGTCGAGAACAGCGGAGATGTGGAGAGCGAAGCTACAAAGATCACCACATGTTCAGCTTCGCGAAATTCAATTTTTGAGCTTACTTGCCTGCCACACATAGTATAACCCAACTGAGAGACAATAGAGAAGACATTATCACTCCTGCATCGCGTCTTCTGAGGACTGTGCTTGTTGTTGACGCTCGGCATCCCGGGCCTCTTTCAGCTGCGTAAGTGCTTCAAGAATCCCGTTCCATGCGTCCCTATCGACCTTCTCTTCTTGTAGTCCTCGAGTCTTGGTCGATGGGTTGCTGAGATCTCCAGGAAGTCCAACGCCAAGTGACGATGGGATGAAATCGGCAGGAGGTGCGTTGATTGCTGAGATGGGGATGCGAGCGTGGCGGATGTGGGCTAAGCCTGAGCGAATTTGCAATTGAATCGTCTTAAGGGTTCAAATGAACAGGTTATGAAAGGTCGATAGATAAGTCGATAAGGAGCATACGTTAAGCCTTTCAAAATACTCGCTGACTTCAATGACGAACTGTTCAGAACGTTCTTCGCCTTGAGGTAGTTTGTCGTCCGGTCCATCGGTCTGAGGCAACGTTAACAATGAGACTGCCGTCGCGGCGTTTTGTAGAAGGCGAGTAATGTCCTTGACCAGTTACCTTCTATTAGTGGGCAATAACTATGAGCAAAGATGTGAATTACCTTTTCAACAAGGTGAAGGTCGAAAAGCTGTCTTGCCGTTCGACTTGCGGTCCACGTTGGATCGATGGCTGGGGCTGCCTGTGGTGCAGCAGAATCATCGGCTGGCATGAGCGGTCCAAGTCGTGAATATCGTTATGTTCTGAATTAAGGACTCGAGTCTCGAGTCTAGACGGTGGAAGTTGAGAGCAGAACTCCGCAATGATTGGCGCCGTTTGGAAGGGTCGACATGGCCTCCCACGATCGGCATTGCCTGCGCAGGCATGCATCAGCCATGTATATGTGCTCGACCTCTCTTTCAATGGCGAGCGTGAAGCAGAAAACTTGTGTATTACAACCTGAGATGTATGCTTCATTGTAATAACGGAAATTGGTTCAAGCGAAGTATAGCAGGGCACGGTACAAGTACATTACTAAGAAGAGTCCTTCAGGGGGGATCACAACAATATTCAGGCAAGATCAGAGAAAGCATTCAGCGGGAAGTGTTGAAATGAAGGGAATCAGTAACGACGACCACCGCCGTACTTGTACTTGCGGCTATCTTCGTCATCGGAGTCGTGAGAGATCCTCATTCTTTCCGCTCCAAAGGTCTCGTTACTGCCGCCATAACTCGGCGCGTACCCACTGCCGTAGGATGGTTGGCCATATGAGGGCTGATACCCTTTCTTCTCCTTGCGATCATCGTCCGAGTCGTCATCCTTGGACTTCCTGCGGTATTTCTTTTTCTTCTTCTCGTCGTCGGAATCATCCTTGTACTTCTTGGGTTTCTCATCGGAGTCGTTGCGTCGATGAGAGCCTCCGTACTTAGGCCTGTCATCGGAGTCGTCGCGGCGGTGGCCACCCTGATTCCCGTACTGTCCTCCATACTTGGGCTTGTCGTCCGAATCGTCGCGCTTGTGCTTAGACTTGCCGCGCCTGTCATCGTCGGAGTCGTCGCGGCGTTGACCGCCATATCCGCCACCACCATAGCCTCCTCCGTACTTGGGCCTGTCGTCATCATCGTCACGACGTTGTCCATAGCCCCCGCCATACTTGGGTTTGTCGTCATCATCCCGGCGCTGGCTGCTGAAACCTCCACCGTACTTGGGCTTGTCATCACCATCTCGTCGTTGACCACCATATCCACCACCACCGTACTTGTGTCTATCCTCCTCGTCGTCCCGACGATGTCCGCCATATCCTCCGCCTCCATACTTGGGCTTGTTGTTGTCGTCGTCGTCGCGGCGTCCACCATATCCGCCACTCCCGTACTTCGGTTTATCGTCATCGTCACGCCTACCCCCGTAGCCTCCGCCATACTTGGGTTTACCATAGTCGTCATCCCTTCTCCTGCCGCCGTAGCCCTCGTCCTTCTGGTATCCACCCGAATATTCCTGCCTTCCGCTATAGCCAGAGGTGTCTTGTCGACCATATCCCCCGCTGTAGGTGCTCTGCACGGTCTCCTGCCTGCCACCATGAGAAGAGCCCTGCCCTTGGCGGCCGCCATAGCCTCCACCGTACCCACCGGCCTCCTGCCTTCCGCCATACGATGACGTCTGGTCCTGTCGCCCATAGCTAGTGTTGTCTTGTCGTCCTCCGTAACTGGTGTCCTGCCTTCCTCCATAGCCGGTGTTATCCTGCCGGCCATACACAGTAGTGTCTTGTCGACCACCGTGGCCAGCGGTTTCCTGTCGTCCATAGCCGGTGTCCTGCCGACCATACCCAGTGGTTTCCTGTCTCCCGTAGCTAGTGTCCTGTCGTCCATAGGTGGTACCCTGCCTGCCACCATATCCGGTATTGTCTTGTCGTCCACCATATCCAGTATTGTCTTGCCTACCATATCCCCCTTCATTCTTCCTCCCACCTGAGCCGGTCGTATCCTGACGCCCTCCGGAATAATAGCTCGCTGCAGCACCGGCTCCAGCCGCAGCGCCGACACCAGTCTTGTAGGAGGGCTTGTTCGTACCTAGTAATCGTACGAATACTCTTCAGTTTCTTCCGGTTCTTCCTCGGCCACATCGTCTTCAGGATTGTACTCACCACCTGAAGAGTAGCCACCGGATGGTTTGTAGGAGTGACTGCAGCCACCATATCCAGGCTCGTCAAAGCTATGACCTTCTGAGCCGAGACGCTTGTTCTTGTGCTCACGCACACTTTCCTGGAGAATACCAATCAGTACACTGTTTAGCCCTAATGTTGTGCCCGTGGCTATATTTACCTTGGTCAGAGCCTCAATAGTCTGTGCCGCCTCGTCAGGGCCCAAGCCACCGATCCACTTTTGCATGTGCTCGAACATTTTGTGCTGAACCTCTGAATTGCCAGTGTTGTAGTAGGGATGATGGAATGCCTCGAGGATGACATTGAGGACACTGTCGGGGTCCTCGTCATTGTACCACGCCTATATCGCGTCAGTAAATACTCCCGGTCATAGTAAAATACCCCTACCTGAACGATATGGTTGACGGTATGTTCGACGATGATCTGAGCAATCTTCCCTGCAGGCTCGTTGAGAATGAGGCCGAAGTGATCCTGCCAAAAGCGTTAATAATCGTGCCATGGAATAGGGAAAGGAGGCTTACTTTGGAAAGCAGACTGTGGGAGGGGTCATGAGCGTCGGGGTTATCGAAAACCTCATATTGGTCTTCGCTATCAATGACTGCCTTGCTGCCTTCGTCCAAGACTGAGGTGGCTTGAGCCAAGATGGGCTAAGGAAATGGTTATGCACCAGCCAAACAATGGGCGAGTTGAAAGCGACTTACAGTGAGGTATGGAGCGAGAACGGTGTAGATATCTACGAAAGCCAGTGTCAGGTGGGCCTAAAGAAATAGAAAAAAATGGAAACGTACAGCCATTCAGGGCGTTGCTGAACTCCTCGAGCAAGTTGTTAAGGCCAGGAACCATGGCCATCTTCTTGGTGACGTTCCTCATCACGTCGTCGTGCCACTTGAGGAGGTCAAGGAGCTTCTGTTGGACCTCGGGGGGTGCAATATTGTCAGGATCGAAGTGGTATCCTTGGGCAGCTTCCTTCATTTCTTCTCCTTGGTTGAGTTTCTCTTCTTCTTCGCTACTGCCTCCCATAATCCGGCTGAGGATGTTCTTCAAGGGGCCGAGGTCGGCACCTCCGCTTTGTTGGGCCTGGGGCGATATTCGGTCATAAGCCCTTGACAGGTTGACAATGATGTACACACTTCGTTCAGCTTTCCAGACAGGTCAGTGACACTGGCCTGGCTCAGTTTGCTGCAAGCCGACAATATCAGAATTGGTTGTTAACCAGATCGAGACAACAGAGGTACTCACTCGCCAGCCTCTCCAAGCAGCGAGTGCAAGAAGTCGGCACCACCAAAGGTACCTGTCACTAAAGGAGGAGCAGGGCCATTGGGCGTGTCGACGAGGACTGGCGACTTGTCAGAAAAAGGGGTTCCAAAGGAAGACCAGGGGATTCATACCATTGTCTCCAACATGGCAAAACACTTCTTCGTAACCCATCTTACGAAGGGCGAGCTCGCACCAGTTGCTGTGGGCCATCAAGTCCTCGAGGGTATGCAGTCCAGTTCCGAGGAGCCTGTAAGCCTCCCACAGGTCCGCGTTCTCTTCGCCATTGGCACGACGGCCGTACTCGATACACTCCCGCAAGGTGCGTCGAATGAATCCCGTGGACGTATCCCAGCCTTGACCTTCAGTGGCCATGTAGTTCTACGATATGATCAGCACATAAAGGCCGAGAATAAAAGAAGGCAATTACCTTCATGCCTGTCTCCGGATCAATCTCAAGTTCACGAGGGTCGACGGGAGGTCGCAGCTTGGGGTGATATTCGCGAGCATCCCCTTCCTTCTCTGCGTAACCCCTGGGAGCGACGTCAGGTGTGAGCGTTCCCTTAGAATGTATGGCTCCTTACTTTGGATTGTCAATGTGTTCCTGAGGCGAACGAGTGAGGATTGGCCGCTACAGTTCATAAAGACGTAGAACCTACCACCGGAAGATAAACCCCGAGACGCTCAGCGGTGACCTCGAATTCTTCAGTCGAAAAGCCAAAGGTCTATTGCAAGGAATAAGCCACAGACTATAAAAAGGCGTTGTAAGGTTCCTACCATGAACCCGAGGACAGAGACGACAAGAACCAAGGTTTCTGCAGAGAGCTTGCTCAAACCCGCAATATCCATACACTGATGAAGTGACGTCAGATCTTATCAAAAGTGCTTGGCTTGTGCGCGCACCTGGGAGTAGTCTCGCAACCAATTTCCCTAGAAACCCGGGGTAAGTCAAGAGTAGCACTTGGAGATAGGCACGATTAACCCACAAAGTAGACTTTCTTGATATCGTTCTTGTTGAATTTGCGAGGGCCGGTGGCAGCAGAAACGACCGATGAAGCGAATGCGAGAAGGTTGCCACCTCCAATTGCCGCACGACCCGCGGTTTTGGCCAGATTTTCCAAAACAGATTCGATGTCTCCATGCCTGAAAGCCTTGTCTACGAGAGAATCAGTTTCAAAGTAGACCAGCCTCGCATAGAATAAAGGTAGACTTACCGTTGAGATACGCAAAGTCTGGAATGTCACCAGCGCCGAAGGCATGGGCCCGGGGCAGCAGAATACAGACTGTCGCGACGATCAGGAACGTTGTAGTTAGACTTGGCGTGAAAGCCATGCTGAGTGCAGTTTCTGGTGAGGAACAGGAAGGGTGATGATGGTGGGTAGAGATAAAGAGTTAATCGATGGGAGGAAACTGTTCTGATATCGTCACCGTTGCCACTGGAACAGTCCAGGCGCCAAGTCTTGCCCAAATCAGTGACACGCCCCTATGTGTATGGACAGTTCGACGAATTGAATCAATAGTAGATGCAGGCTGTAACGAATACAGTCCAAAAATCGCAAAGGTGTGTCTGTGTAGTCTACAGTTTCTTCATTTTGATCCCTGAATGCGCTAATTTCTTCTTCTGGTCTCGGATTTCAGTGTCAAACTGTACTTGCATGGCCTTCTTCTCGACTCGACGGGATTGCTTGGCAGCTTTTGCGGCGGCCTTGCGGGCCTTCTTTTCCTCTTTAGATTCGTTTCGCGGTCGACCGACAGCAGGGCCCCGTGGAGCTAGGAAGCGGTCACCAAAGCAGGAACTTAAGGAAAAGCAGTTACACTCACCAGAGTCCTCATCGTCAGATCCGTCTGTGTCTTCGGAGTTGGAGAAAGTAACTTTGCGGGTCTCTTTCACTCGTTGGTCTTTCACCTTAGGAAGAGTTGGCGCGACTACAGAAGGCATGCCGGTCTTGGTGTCCAGGACGATTTTCGGGACAGGTTTTGAGTCACGGGCTCGAATGAGTCGAGGGTGATTCTCCAAGTTGCTGTAAGTCGCTACAAAGGAATCAGGACTCGTCGTCGCTTCCATACAAACGGTAACGTACTGAGGATGGTCTCACAGTCCCATCTGTCCTTCTTGTCTTCTTCTTCGATAAACAGATCTTCGTCACTATCACTGTTGTCCTGTCCCTCGCGGATTTTCGCTTCACCAACGGCACGACGAAGGGTGTCCAATTTGTCTAATCCCGTTTCGCCTTCAAGTTTTGGCCTCATCTTCCGACCGAGGATCTCGTAATCGTTCAAGAATTCATTTACCATGCTGTCGAAATCGTCTCTTGACGTGATGAGTTCCGGGGCTTCATCAGAATCTTCGTCAGAATCGGACATATGTTCATGGTCCCCTTCATGGTCTTCTTCGTCCTCGTCCTCGTCCTCGCCGTACTGCTTGAGCATCATCTAACAAAAAATGTCAGGGCCAGACCAGGATATGCGAGTTGCGAATGGTGCTGACCTGGTCGAACCTCTCGTCCAGGGTTTGCAGCCCTTCATGCCGATACATCGAGGAGCTACTCATACTATACCCAGAGGCAACACTTGAGCCCTTTCTCCTGCGCTTCTTCCCTCCAATCACAGATATCGTCTGAAGACTGCGAATGGTATCCCCGCCTTCTGAAGCCAGCCCATCATCACTATCCTCCCTTGGTGCCGCACGTTGTTCCTGCTTGAACTTTTTGAATCGGTCTTCCCAAGTCTCCTCAGCAGGCTCCGCCTCCTCCCCCTCCGCCGCTTGGTCTTGGACGCCATCCTCTTCAAACTCGAAATCGAAATCTTCGTCGCTACCACGTTCACCATCGCCTACCAGCTCCTGGAAGAAATCATCTTCCAAACCGTCGTCGACGAAAGCGTCATCCTCCAGAGCCTCCAAGACTTGACGAAGATGGGGGTCCATGTCAGGCTGGAACCCGGCGATGCTCTCTGGGATTGCTTGCTGGGATTCATACGTTCTCGGGAGCTCGTATGTCGGCGGAAGTGTATCCTTGGGAAGTTCCAGGGTCTGCTTCCCTGAGCGTTTGTTTTTCGATGTCGCTGGCGCCTCGATCAAAATACTCTCAACTCCCTCCTCTTGAATACCGACGGGTCGAAGATGTTGCATGTAATCGTATTCGGTATCATCGTAGTAGATTCCATAAAGACTAGCCTCCCCAATATTTTTAGGTATCTGTCCGGAAGAGAGTTCCTCTGACAATAGTTCTTCGAGGTCTGCTCGAGACTTGCCCTGCCAGACAATTTGATCTAGAGCAGATCAAAAAGCTACGATGGAGATGCGCACCTTTTTTACATTTTCTCTCTCGAACGGCTTGAGAATGTGCTGGCTGGCATCGGGGTCATTGATTAGAGGATCCCGTTGCGAACGATGTACAAGCTGGAAGTGCTTAACGCCGGGCTGGCGAAAAATGGATTTTGATTTTGGTGGCATCGGTGGTCGTCGAGGTCAGAAAGGAAGGCTGGAGAACGGTGGCTGTGGTGGGCCCCTTTGTGTGCTACACGTGACGTATTCTCCCACGTTCAGCGTCTCTGTGAGTCTGTCTGCGACTTCCACCATCGAATCGGTCGCAGTCTCTTCACCGCCCAGTTTTCAAGTCTAGTGTCGTCCTTGATCGTTGGTCAACTACAGCGCACAAGTTGTTTTCCCCCTTTTTTGCCCTGCGCGCCATGGACACGCGTAACGCCTTGCAACGCGAGCACCTCCGACGTGGATTCTCCATATGAGTACCATTTACCCCCTTTCTCGAATTCAAGTATTGACAATGGTTTTCCGTATCTACTAGTCACCAAAAGGTCGTACTTGAGATTGACTTCTCAGGGATGCTATGGGTAGGTTTCCTGGTTTTGGTTGAAACGGCGGTGTCTGACTCGTTCCGCAGGGCTACACAGAGATGACGATCGTACCCACGAGCAGCGAGCTCAGAACGTTGCATCTCCACTCAAGGCAATGCAGTATGTATGAATCGACCTGCTTTGAACCGTTACTCAACTTGGCGTAGCAATCCAATCGGTCACAGTCGCAGGGCACCCAGCAGAGTTCACAATCAACGACCCGCTGACGAACATATCGATGGGAGCCACCGCAGAAGCGCAAGATTGCCACAGGCATGCCGAGCTGAAGAGAAAACTGTATTCAGCGATGCAAGAAAGCGACGAAGGAGAGTTATCGATTGCAATTCCGAAGGAGGTGGCTCTCAGGCCCTCAGGACATTCATCACACCCACTGGTTCGAGAAGGTGAGTATCACACCAATTAGGCTATGCGCTCGTAGTAACGTATTTGAAAAGTCTCTACTCCTGAACCGCAGACCCCGGGGCAAGCAACTCAGTCGGATCCAGAGTTTTCGCCCATTGTCGTCAATATCGCCTATTCACTTCGTAATCCTGTGGACGGCTTCGAATTTGTGGTGCCAAATGATGCGTACCCATACGTGAGTGTGATGCTTGGAATTTCGACACGATCTCACAACCTTCTAGCGTGTTCCCCATGCCTTTACATCACCCTCCTCCCCTGACTCTGCACGGTGCTGGGTGCCCTGTGTCGACAATTTATGGGAGAAATGCACGTGGGAGTTCGAATTTGTTGTTCCGAGGTATTTGGAGGAGCGGGTAGACAATGACGACGATGAGGAGCCGGTAGACCTCACCCCAACTATCGTAATTTGTAGCGGGGAGCTTGTCGAGCAGGTTTGGACCAAGCCTCTTTTCTGGCAAAGCGCTTTTTAACCCCGTGTTACAGGTCGCCCACCCCTACAATTCGAACAAAACCATCTTTATCTTTTCACAGGCAATACTTACCTCCGTGCAGCATATTGCGTTCGCGGCTGGGCCGTTCCACTTGTTCCAGATCCCACCTGACAGTACCATAGAAGACTCTGCTGGTTCGTCACAACCCGCCATGTACGCATTCTGCCTCCCTGGGCTCGAATCCCAGCTCGCTACCTCTACGGCATTTCTCCGCTCCGCTATGACTTTCTACACCAGCGAGTACGGGTCGTACCCGTTTGGCTCTTTCAAGTTGGTCTTTGTGGACGAATTGCCGACCCAACGGTTCGACAGTGCGACATTATCCCTGATCACATCAGATCTCCTTCACGGTGACGACGCCATTGACCAGGCACTGGAGACTCGACATACTCTGTCGCATGCTTTAGCGTGCCAGTGGGCGGGAGTCAACATCATCCCGAAGACCTGGTCAGATACATGGCTAATCAATGGACTTTCACTCTACATCAACGGCCTGTTCCTCAGGAAGCTTTTTGGCAACAACGACTATCGCTTCAAGCTAAAAAAGGATATGCAACGGGTTCTGGAGTGGGACGTTGGTGTCATGCCTCCGATCTGCCAACCTCAGATCAATGATCCTCCCGATCCATCCACTCTGCCATTCGTCAATCTCAAATCCCCTCTGGTCCTACACATTCTCGATCGCAAGCTGGGCAAATCCGGAACCGCCCTCGGTCTGAGCCGTGTTCTACCAAAGGTGTTTCTTTCGGCAATTAGTGGGGAGCTGCAGAACAACGCCCTCTCGACACACGCATTTCTCAGGACATGTCGTAAGGTTAGCGGCGTTGACCTGCGCAGCTTTGCGGAGCAGTGGATATACGGAAGTGGTTGTCCGTCATTTGGATTCTCTGCCTCTTTCAACCGAAAGAAGATGGCGGTAGAAATCACCATGCGCCAGGAGGCCCCAGCGTTCAAGGCGTTAGAACATAATGAGATTGGCAAAGCTCTCCTAAAGCCCGTTCCCTTCTTCGAGGTAGGTCTTCTACCAATCTAAGACCGCCATTCGACACCAAACTGTTTTTTCCAGGGACAAATGACGATTCGCATTCACGAGGCAGATGGCACCCCCTACGAGCACGTCTTGGACATCAGAAACCCTTTCAAGCGTTACGAAGTGCCTTTTAACACGAAGTATAAGCGTGTTCGAAGGAACACCAAGCGATACTTGGCGCGTCAGGCTGCCGCCCAAGCTGCTGCTGAAGGAGACGCAGAAGCCGCGGAGGCAATGGGAATGATAGATATGGGATTTGGCCTCGAGATTTGGGAGAAGGAGCAAGAGCGGGAGAATTGGAAGGTTGCGGACTGGACAGAAGAGGACGAAGCGACGATGAGCGGTGCGACATACGAATGGATTCGGATCGACGCCGACTTTGAGTGGATTGCGAATATGAAGTTCGAGCAGCCGGACTTTATGTGGGTTTCGCAGCTTCAGCGCGATCGAGACGTCGTTGCTCAATTAGAGGTATGTATCGCCTGACGTCGGTCGTCCCCAGGATGCAGTTGACGCGATATTTGCAGGCGATATATGCCCTTGCCGAGAAGCCAACAGCGATTGTGTCCAGCACCTTGACGAAGACGGTCCTCGTCAGCAACTACTACTACAGAGTGCGCTGTGAGGCCGCGCTTGCACTGGTATCGGTACGTTGCTGACAACACCGATATTCACTCTCCATTAATCACATTTTCTAGTGTGCCATTCGCCGCCTGGACTTCTTAGGGTTATTCCACCTGTTCAAACTCTTCCTGAGGTATTGCTACGACCCTGAAGATCCTAATCAAGATCTATTCACCCACAAATATGTGCCGAAACCCAACAACTTCTCCGATTTTCCAGAGTACTTCGTCCGAAAGGTCTGATTGGCTCCATCGGCGTTTTGAGAGTGTGCTGATTCTTGTTGCAGACCTTGATCACTGCTATTTCGCAAGTTCGATTTGAAAATGGGAACACTCCATCCGTCGTTCGTCAGTTCTTGATTGACCAGTTGCGTTATAACGACAACACGTCGAACCCTGTACGTATTGGTGCGCTTTCGCCATCCACTTTGTCTGATATTCTGCTTTCAGTATACCGATGGCTATTACATTTGCACTATCATCGCGGCCGCGGCCTGCGCAATCATCTCCATGGCTCCTCCCGAGCGCGGGGAGTTAATGCCTTCGGATACGAGCACTGAGCTTAATGCGGAAGACTTGGAACTCATCAAACAAACTCGAATTGAGGTGGACCGCTATCGTAGCATGGATCGGCTTATCCCCTCGCCCCATAACATCGTCACCATCGCGGCCCTTGAGGTATGCTTCACCCCTACCGTGGTGTTGCCTTTTCTAAACAACATTCCCAGTTCTACATGGCCCTTGGCGTTGCAAACCTAATTCCCAGCCACCCCAAAGTCTTTTTCCCGTTGACACGAGAGGGCAATTACACCCAAGTTCGGATCGCTGCATTTGATGGACTGTTCATGACGAAGTGGTATGCACCACAAATCATGAAGTATGTTTTCGCGGTCATGGCCAACGACTCTTCGCGTGCAGTCAGGAGGCATGTTTCCAAGGCTGCATGTTATAGCCTGGCTTTGTTGGCGCAGATGGGAGAGATGAAGTCAGCCATCAAGGAGTCGGAAAGCCTTCTCATAGAAGAAGATGGCAACGGTCAGGAGAGGATGAAGGAGTCCAAGCGCAGTGAATTGGATGTTATGTTGAAGATTCTCCGCAAAGACAGGGAGTTGGGGAAAAATGAAGTCGTCCGCGAATTCTTGCTGCCTGTGGCACTGTAAGTATGCCCCTTTTCTTCCGTCGTTCCGAGGCTTATAATGTGGCCAGCTTGCCCGAAATCGACCATGAAGTTCGCTGGTGCTTGCTCAAGCTCGCCGACTTGCTCATTCGCCCAGTAGAGGAGACACCGCCGACGGTCAAGATTCATATCCCGAGCACACCCGTCATTGAGACGCCACCTCAAATACCGACCATTAAGCCGCCTAGGATTATCAAGTCGGGTGGCCCCCCTCCGAAACATCCTTTGAACCTTGTCAACGCACCGACCAGGCTGAAGCTCCCTGGGGCTCCAACTGTTGCATTACCCAAAGGTCCCCCTACCGCCCTTGTCCCCGAACCACCCAAGCGGAATGTTGCCTTCGTCCCTCCCCCGACTACACCAGTTGCCACGACGTCGAAGCAGAAGCCCCCGAAACCTGCGAAACCTGTATCCACCAAGCCAGTGTCGGTTCCCAAGGCACAGTCCGCTGGGATGTCTATACAGGACTACAAGGCGTGCAAGAGTGCTTTGAAGAAGTTGAAGGCCAACAAGCATGCCTTACTGTTCCTTCAGCCCGTTGACCCCATCCGCGACCATGCCCCCAAGTGAGTATCATGTGCCGCGGAAAGGTTCTTGGACTGACGGTCCTCTAGTTACTTTGACATCATCAAAGAACCTATGGATCTTAGTACCATGGGTGCTAAACTTGAGGAAGGGTTGTACAAGGACCGGTTCGCTTTCCAGCAGGACTTCCGCTTGATGATTGCCAACGCAAAGCTTTACAACATGGTGGGTAGCTTCGTACACAACGAGGCTATCACATTAGAGACATTTTTCGAGAAGCGTATGTTTGATTTCTCGTATACCGATGCTTACTCACGCCTGGTGCAGAATGGTCAATCATCAACAAAACTTTAGAGGCTGCTGACCGGACCCACAATGCGCCGAAATCCGTCGTCCCTTCCTCGAAGGTCACCCCAAGTGCACTTCCAGCCAAACCCACACCTCGCATTCTACCACCTGTCCCCGCATTCCGCAAATCACCTTCCCCCGCCCGTCCCGAGCCTCCTCAGGTTTCCAAACCACCCCGTCCTGAACCAAAGGAGGCAAAGCCTACACCAGGTCCATCGACAGCGCCGAGACCGACAATTAAGCTCAAAATGGGCTCGCAAAGCAAGGCAGGACCTCCAACCCCGTCTCCCGCGCCCGCGCCTCCTGTTGTTCCTCCAGTGAAGGTCCGGAAGCCTAAACCCATTGAACGTGCACCTTCACCCGTACCCATCGACGGACCCCCACCCCCATATGTTGACGACGGATCACATGACATTCTTCAAGAAGTTCTGGCTATCGAACGGGAGAAGGATGAACAGCGCCGTTCACGAGAGTCCAGGGAAAGGGAGAGAGATAGAGATAGGGATAGAGATAGAGACAGGGAGCGAGATCGCGATCGTGACCGTGACCGCGTGCGCGGGAGTGGTGTTAATGGTGTTTCGATGAAGCGCAAGAAGGACATTGTCGATGAAGACGACCTTCTGGCTTTGGTCACCAAGAAGAAGGAACGGATATCCCCTCCCGGATCCACTTCCGCGGGATCGTCCAAGTCGGAGCCCTTGGCTCCAGCACCGCCCAAGGTGCATCTTCCTGCCCCCAAACCTGTACCCGCTGCAGCAACTCCGGCGCGGTCCTCTGGAACAAATTCTGGGCGGGCAACTCCGGTGGTGCCACCTCCACAGCCGAAACCGAAGAAAGACAAACTTGACTCGGTTCCTCTTCGTATCTCGCTCAACAAGGGCAAGGAGAAAGAGGTCACTCCCGCATTGACTTCACCCGCTCCGTCACAATCCAAAAGCAAGAAGGGATCCGTTATCCAAGCTACCCCTGTCAACGAGAAGAAGGTCAAGGAGCTTCTCAAGACGCTCACCAGGATCCCAGAAGCTGCTATTTTTCTGCGACCCGTCGATCCCGTCCTCGATGGATGTCCTACGTACGTAGCTTTCCCCTTCTCTTTCCACAGGCTTGCTAAGGTGACTCTATAGATACCTGGATGAAATTGCACATCCGATGGACTTTGGGACGATGAACACAAAGCTTCAGCAAGGGCTCTATATGTCAATGGAAGATGTGAAGAAAGACATCGAACTTATCTTTGCCAACTGTCGACAATTCAACCCTGTTGGAACGTTCCCGGTTGATTGTGCAGATATCGTTGAGAGGGCATTCAAGAAGGAATGGCCCAAGGCAATGGAGCGCAAGTTGAGTTGGGCCGAGAAGCGTGGTCTCCAAGCGATCATGTCGACGATCGTCAAAGAACCTGTGTATGTGTTTCTTTCCTATTTTTATTTGCCTCCCCTGACATGCTCCCTTCAGATCTTGGGTGTTCCGTGAGCCTGTGGACCCGGTCCTACTCGGTATTCCCACCTACTTCGACGTCATCCCTCGCAAAGACGCGCGCGACTTGCGGACCATCCGTTCGAAGCTCGACAGCGACAAGTACGACACGGTAGAGGCTTGGGAAGCGGACATTGACCTAATGATTGCCAATGCCATCAAGTTCAATGGTGCGGATTCGGAGGTCGGGATCGTGGCGAAACAGCTTCGTCACCGTGTGAATGAACTCGTTTCCAATTGGAAATCGAGTATGGCGAAGAAGAGGAAGGACGGAGAGCAAAGCAACTCCCAGCCTTCCAAGAAAGTCAAGATTTAATGCCATCGCTACACCATAATGATATTGTCTCACTACTCTTCATCGCTGTCTCGTGCTTTCGAACTTTGGGACATTATTTGTATCCTTTTGTGGCTTGTTTTACTATGATGCCATTCCTCTGTACATTAGGTAGATGTCTTTTTAATTGGATGTTCTCCGCGTTTTTTGAGTTACGAACGGAGTGCGAGTCGTCAGTTTTGATGGGCGGACCCAAATAGGCAGGCGACAGAATTTTCCGTCCACTCCGGCCAGCTGTTCGTGGTCTACGACTGTCACCATCAATGTCCCTCCTCACCACACTCAGGGCCAGGCTGCCCAGCTCGGCATGCTCGACGGTCTCCACAGTCAGAACATACGCTGCTAAAGCCTCAGAACAAGGCGACCCCAAGAAAGACATCATCCGACGTGTCCTCTACCCAGCCAACGTCAAGAATCGACCATCTCCAGTTGGAACATGGCGACCTGACGTGGCTCGCGCCCTGCAGCGCGCCATTCCCTCCGTCCAAGCCCACAACACCATCGAACGCGCGTGGCTCCTGCATAAACGCCAGCTGCGCAAGAAGCGCGACGCCGAGCTGGCGCGCAAGTTTGCCAGAATGAAGGAGGCGATGGACGAGCTTTACCACCTCGACACAAGGCTTTATATGGAGGCTAACAAGGCTGATGATCCCCGAGCGAGGAGTCAGGCGGAGATGGCAATGGCGAAGACGTTGAGCGTCGCGGATTACAAGGTGTTGGATGGGCGGATACGGGGTCTCTTCCCTCGTGAACTCAAAATCCCGACGGATACTCCTTCGCGGGAGGGCTGGAACTACGAGTATACGCCATTCCACAGGCCTCTATAGATTTATGTTGTAAGTTTGCTTTTACATTGCGTTTCACTGCTAGTGCTCAACACGGTTTCATAGGTGCATCCACACAACTCTTGCGTATCTTACCCCAGCACACGCTTTTCTTAATTCTCAACGTAATTTCACGTTCGTCGTTTCGGAAAATTCATTGAATGACTATAGTACAACTTGCGTGTGATTGGATGCAGTGAGTGAGTGGGAGACGAGAGTGTAGGAAAGACAACGACAACGGGATGATGGCACGGGACTACCATCGTTCCTCCCTGAAGCCTTCACCGCCTAACATGCCTGTCGGGTCGCTTCTTGACGTCACTGCGGTTTTCCCGACAACTGCACCATGGACGCCTTCGAGAGCTTCCGTCCACTTAGTGAGGGCAGCGTACCGTTTCTTCTCCAAGCTTTGACTTTGAGAGAGAGGTCAACAAGTGCTTTGACGGCTGAAATATTGAGTGACACTTACTGTCTGTCCAGTTCGAGACGCATGCCTACTTGATCAATCTTCCCCTCGACTTTGCCTTCCAATATGAGTCCGATAAGGAGCTCTTCGACCTCTTGGATGTCGACACCCAATTGCTACAAAATGGGTCAGCCCGAGGGCCCATGCTTGTGGAAAACTACGAGAACCCACCTTGGCCAGGAACGAAAGTTCCAATCGAGTGTATGGCTTGATGAGGTCGATGAGGTACTGCGTTCGCAAGCTACGGAGCAGTTCGCCAATGTACGATCGGATGAACGGGTCATCCATGATAGTTGACCGATTGTCCTTGAGAATCTTCTCCGCAGAATGGACTTCACGCCGCTGGTAAGCATCGACCAAGTCTGTCATTGCCTTGATCTGAGGATCGTTCTTGTACGGCTTGGTCTCTTGACTGTCGAAAGGATTGACTTCGCTTCCCGTGAGCATGTTGGCCAAGACGAGGTATTTGAGGACTTGGATTCGCTGTGGGGAGCCTGCTTCATCGTAGTTGCGGAAAGACTCGAAGAAATCTTCGCTTGCTCGGTTCCATTGACCTGAAGAGGATGTCAGTTCGGTGGAGCTGTGGTTTGAGGCACTATCTTACGTTCACCCATCCACATCTTTCCACCGCATTCCTTGATCACACCCATGATCCTTGGATGTGGGATGGCGGATCGTACATTGTTACTGGCGTTGTAGATTTCCTAAGAATTTCGTTGAGGCGCACATCGAGAAAGTCGGTCACAATGCTCCCCACCTTCAGCTTCTTGTAGTTCTTGGTCTCGTTGTACATTTGAATTTCAAGAGCGTAGATTTCGAGAAGCTGGGTTCCCCGTTGCGATTGATCATCAGCGTCACTGGATGCTGCTGTCGCTGCGTGCAAGTCCCTTATCAACTGTAGAATTCTTGACATCAGTGGGTGCTTGCAAGGGGTCTTCCGGGGCCATACCTTGGACAGCCGGCTGTACTCTTTCCGATCCAACCATAGTTTGGCCAGCTTGAGGTTGGTCTTTGCTGATAGTCGCTAATTTTTGATTGAGCACTGCGTAATCAATGGGAGTTGAATCTCGACTCACGTCGTTCTTGGCCTCCTCCAAAGCCTTCTTCGTCGCTTGATAGAACTTTTCGAGGATCTCAACCTCTATCGGACCACCTTTACCACCGCCAACATAGTCAAGGATACCATTGATCGTCTTCTCGGAGTAGTTTCGCGTCACAGCAGACTTTGTGTATGTAAGGAGTTCTTCATAAGTCTTGAGGGCGTCGTGTGGTCTGCGTAGGGTTAGGAACAGAAGTTTTGTTGACTGTTTGAGAGCTTTGAAACCCCTGATTAGATAGGGTTAATGGCTGAGAAAGAGCGGTGTCCAAAAAAGAAGCCTACCAATCGCCTTTTTCCTCCTCCTGATCCACTATCGCTCTAAACTCTTTCAATGCAAGTTCAGGGTTATCTTCCTTCTTTGCTGTGAACGACCCATATCAGCGCCTCTTCTTGTCGCAAAGGTATACGTTCTTACATTTCGCCACATAGTACATATTCTCGACGTCTGCACTTCCCGACTCGTTTCCATCGTCGTTGTCTGAGTAGTCAAAGTCGTAGTCCTAGAATTACGGTGGTGATGATGAGCGGCGTCGCCACAGGACTTTTGGGGGAAAACGACGAACCTCATCGTCGCTTCCTTGCATATAATCGGCATCATCGTCGTCCATGGTTGCAGCTCAGGTGATTATCAGGAATTGGTATTGAGCTGACTGTTGTGGATCTGAGGAAAGCCGAGGAAGAGAGGGGAGGGGCTAATATAGGGGGGCACGTGGTACGCGTCTAGCCCTAACCCTAACAGACACAAACTGCAGGGCTTGGCCATCCGGGATCAATTAATGGCAGAGTGATCCATTTCGGTCAGTTTGGATTGAAGACTGGACGGTGTTTACTGCTGGACAGTCACCTGCGCCCGCTCCAGAGATGGAATCTCCAAAGCTACAGTCTCCATTGTCCGGCTCGCTCACCACCCTTTCCCAGTCATCCAGGTCGAGGGGCAGCGGCCGACTGGCACGCATAGACGATATCCATGGCCAGAGCCTCACCTCGTTCAACCCGTTTTCAGATGAAGATGAACACGACCAATCCCCCAACAATCTAGTCTCATCCTTTCTCTCCATGATGAAAGGCATATCCGGCCCCCTCTCGTCCGCCGTGGGAGCGTCGTCAACGACCTCAAAGACAACTCCGGCGACTGTCCCTCCGCCGAACCAGTCAGGGGCTCAAGAACCACGCCGCCCATCTCTATCCACTATCCCATCGTCTCCCTCATTGACTGCGAAGAGGAATCCCGATAGACCCCAGTCTCTATTTACTGCACCCAGCTCAGTGGCCCCACCCTTGGTTTCGCTGACGCCTGCTCAGTCCGAAGTCACTGCATTCGCATTGGATTATGACCAACAGCCACAACGGCAAGGGAGACCGTATTCCCCGTTCGAAACTCAGGAAGGGATGTCGTTTGGGACATCGATTCCAGGGTTCCCTATTCCCGATGACACGCGCAGTATCAAGACAGCTACAACCCTTCATCGGTCCCAGTCCGTATCCAAAGTCATGAGGAGGATTCGAGGAGAAGGTGCGTTGCAATCGCGTGTTTCAATGTTCTTCACATTGACATTGATCACATAGGCCTTTCCCGGGATTACTGGATGGATGATGAAAACGCCAAGGAGTGCTATGACTGCAAAAGCGTGTTCACAACCTGGAGGAGGAAGCATCATTGTCGAATTTGCGGTGAGTAGGTTCATTAGGTCCGGATCGTCGTGAAGCTGAAGCAATGAACCAGGTCAGATATTCTGTTCTCGCTGTGCCTCCAATGGCATCAAGGGAGGGAGGTTTGGACTCAACGGCATGATTCGTGTGTGTAACCTATGTCGAGAGAAGCTAGCCACAGTCGACGAGGATGATGATGACGATAGGAGATCGGTCGTTTCTTCCGTCTCATTTCCTGCCCACCAATTTGGGCAATTTACACCCGATGGCTTCCCTCTGGGACGTCACCCACAGCCACCTTTCGCACCTGCACCGATACCATTCGGGCGAGTTGACGAACATTTCAATTTATTCTCCATCTCTGAAACCAAACGCTCCCTCCACAGCTATTATGGCTCTGATGATGGTATATCAAGGTTGATCCTCTCAGATGGAAACGACGGTCAGTGGACCGACAACCCAGCGCCCTTCCGTCGCCCCATGTCTGATGAGGGGGATGAACTTGACGGCCTGGGCAATGCTTTCCTCCAGGAAGACTTCCCGGCGGGTATGACCCCTGATGCAGGTGTCGAGTTCCCCTCAAGGGGACTCAGCGTCGACGTCAGCTCAATACAATTCCCACTGGGCTCCCCGGAAAACGACAGTCCTCGCCCTGAAAGCCGTCTAAGGAACCCTCTCTATGGGGACTATGAGGTCGCTACGCCGTTCATCCGTAGTCGCGTCCACAGTCGCTTAGACTCCATCGTTGCCGGGGAGCCGGGATGGAGAACTCGCAGAGAGAGTACTGCGTAAGCAACTATGTCTTCCTTGGGTAAACAGTGCATTGACAACGAATTAGATATGCAAACGAGCTCAACAGGGCATCTATGGCCCACCTGGATGCCATGCTTCGTCAAATGCTCGTCTTGGAGAAGATCCCCAACATCAACCAATGGCTAGACGTTCTTCGCCCGATCGCTCTCCGGATAGCGAGAGAGACAACCTTCACCACTCTACCCCATCGACAAGGACAAGATATGGACGTTCGCCGATACGTGAAGATCAAGAAGATACCTGGCGGCATGCCAAAGGATTCAGAATATGTCAATGGCGTTGTGATCACCAAGAACGTCGCCCATAAGAAGATGGCCAGGTCGGTGTACAGCCCTCGAATAATGTTGGTCACTTTCCCCATCGAATTCCACCGAGTAGAGGGCCAGTACATGCACTTTGGCCAGATGTTGCGGCAGGAGAAGGAGTACTTGCAGAACCTTACCGCTCGTATGGCCGCCCTTCGCCCTCATGTCGTGCTCGTCGAGAAGTCTGTTTCCAGATTGGCCATAGATCTATTTGCCAAGTTCAACATTGCTGTGGCACGTTCGGTCAAGCCGTCTGCTATTCAAACTGTCGCTCGTATGACACAAGGAGACATAGTTTCTTCGATGGACAAGTTGGCGCTCGAACCTCGCCTTGGACATTGCGCTCGCTACCGTATCCAGACTTTCGACCACCATCTCATCCCAGGCCAACGGAAGAGTTACATGCGGTTCGAAGGCTGTAGCCGGGACATGGGTTGCACGATCATTTTACGGGGAGGGGACCTGGAGACGCTCCGACGCGTCAAAAAGGTCACCCGCTTCTTGACCTTCATTGTACGCAACCTGAAGCTCGAGACCCACTTGTGGAAGGACAGCGTCATCAGTATCGGTCCCGACGCGCTCAAGTTCCCTCAATTGACCCCCTGCAGCCTCGGAAACAACTCCATCGATCGAGTCGGCACCCCTGTCGGCACCCCCTCATCGCCAGGCAACAGCCTAGCTACTCCCACAGTCGAGTCTATGGCACGTATGCCCTCGACTTCATCAGAAACAAACGGATCGGAAAAGGAAGGGAGCATTGTGGATGCTGTGGATGAAGAAGAGGAGCAAAAACGGCTCACCCAGCGTATCGACGAATCCCTTGATCCCTACAACAAGATATTCATTTCCGTGTCTGCAACCTTGCGATTCCCCCCTCCTCATCCTATTCGGCGGATGAAGGAATTAGACGACGAGTTGTTGGCTGCCAAGCGGGAGTGGGAGGACGAGATTGTTAGGAAGGAGGAACAGCTGCAAGCTAAGCAACAGAAAGAAGCCGCAGCGACCCCAGCAACTGCTTCCAATGTCCGCGAGCTGGAACAACAACAGCAGCAAGCTTCGGAGGAGCAGGAGGATATCAGTGCTCAGATTGAAGCATTGGCCCTACCAACACCACTTTCAACCACACCGCCCACCACCGACGGGTTCTTTGGTCCAACGACTTTCCTGTCTCCAGCTTCGGTGGATTCCGAAGGTAGCTCCTACTTCTCTAATATGCCCAACTCTGCCCCGACGGTTATGTCCAACTTTTCGTTGACACCAGCTACTCCGGAGCCTGTTCAGAAAGAAACCCTGAAAACTGAAGGCGACATCCAGCACCAGAGCAAGTACACCTTGATCAAATGGAAGCATGAAGAGCAGCGTCGTGTCTGGGAGTGGTACCTCCGCAAGAACAAGGATGATTTCGTCGTGGAGAAGTACCAGTGCATCAGTCTTCGAGAGTATATCGTTCCCATGACCAGTTCCGAGAACGGTCGGCCGTGCTTCCCTCCGACCATCCAGTATATCACGTTCTATGGCGAGAACGACCTCACCCTCGGCCAATTCATCGAGAAGTCCGTCAACGATGCAGTCAGCCAGTTCCTCGACCCCAAAGCCATCTGCCAGGGCAAGAGCTGTGATCAGCCCGTGGCTCGCCACGGCAAAGTCTACGTCCACAATGAGACTCGGATGTTTGTTGCTGTCGAACAGTGGGACGGTCAAATCAAGGCTCGCACAGGGTACTATCCTTCCGACCTGATCATCACTTGGAGTGTTTGCCAGCAATGCAAGACCGAGACGCCATTCATCCCTGTCTCTGAGGAAATGCAACGGTATTCGTTTGCGAAGTTCCTGGAGGCCTACTTCTATCCGGCAGACGTCAAGCTGGTCCAAGGCGCTGGATGCCAACATAACATCTACCAATACCACACTCGCTACTTTGCCACCAAGGGCGTCACGGTCCGGTTCCAAACCTCCAAGATCGACCTGCACGAACTCGTCTTCCCTCCTTTCCGTATCCGGGTCAGGCCCGAAACCCAGCTGGATATCAAGAATTCCGAGTTCCTGCAACTGCATGACCGGAATAACTTGTGGTATGATGGTTTAGTTCACGACTTGAAACAATACGCCATCGAGGCTGCGACCGGGGACGAGAAGGCGGACACTCAGCTCCTCGTGGACATCAACGGGCTCATCAACAAAGCAGAAATCGAGAGGCGGGATGTTACTCGGCTGATCAACACCATTTACCGCGACTCGCCACCAACAGATACACTCGTTCTTAATCAAGTCCATGCTTATCGACAGGACAGGATTGTGGCTTGGCAGCAGGATTTCGATCGGTTGCAAAAGCTGCGCCCTGCACAACCAACGCAGTCGGACAGGTCGAGCAAGAGGGTTTCGGCGTTTGGGTCTGTGCGAGGCATCTGGGGTCGCAAGTACGAACCCGGTGGCCCCTTCTGGGATGCGCACCAATATTCCGGTGCTTCTGAGGCGGAAGAGGGCCCGATCAAGTCCAAACCGCGCAGGGTCACGGTGGGTTATATACCACCATCCTCCGCGTCGGAGACGTCTGAAACCGAGAGTATGGATGAGAAGTCGGCGGCTAAGGCTGAGGAGAGTGTTCCTGACAGTGCAAGCACGATTGGGGATAGGTCGACGACGGCACTTTCAGAGACGGACGATGCTGCTTCGACTACCGCACCTTCGGAAAGCGATGAAACAGCTCCAGTAACCGATGCCACACCCTCGGCTGACTCCCCTGCCCCTGTCGAGACGCCTTCAACACAACCTCCTGTCGAAGAGGAGCTGCCAAAGGATGATCACGAGCATTCTGAAGCGGGACACGACTCTGACTCTGACCCTGATAGTGATTCGACTATTGGCGCTGCTCGCGATGAGGCCACAGGGGCTCTGAAACCTCGAAAGGTGTGTATCAACGTTCAACTTGCAGACCGAGCGGCCGCTGACTTTTATTCAGAAGAAGAAAATCCCAGATCTCCCCGCTGTGGAAGTACCGGTATCGACGCTGTCGCGAATACCTCGAAGGATGTCAAACCAACCCAGTGTGACTGAATTGATCAAGAAATACTCTGATTACCTGCCAGCTCAAGGCGTACAGGAGTTGAGCAAGACGGCCTTCCCACCTCGTTCGACTATGTCAGAGAGTGAGCAAGAGTATCCAACGATTCTCCAGCGACGGACTATGAGAAGCAGGACGAAGATGGCTCCAGTCAGGAAGCCTTCAATTTCCGACTTCGAGCAAAGTTACGCGGCCAATGTTGCCCCACGCTATCTACAACCCAGACGGCCCTTGAATCGTGGAGCTGGACCTAGTCGAAACCAAGAATCAAGGACATCATCCCGTCGACAATCGCCAGAGAAGCGGCGGCCTAAAGAAGGACTCCGCACGCCCGACTCTCCAACGCCCCACAAGCCCCCGGGTGGCAGTCGATCGTCCAGACTACGAGCCCCCAGTCGCGGTTACACCGACAAGCCTGGAAGCAGAGCACCCTCAGTCGGCCCCTCTACGTCGCGAATTCCGTCTCGTCGAGGGCAGCCGCCGCCCACTTCAGGTGGCAAAGTGTCAAGCATGGCGCGTTACTATGAGCGACTTCAGAAGGATACAGAGCGACCGAAGGGAAAGTATGCAGTTTTGCGTGGCAAGCGAGCGAGGCCCGTTGTCAACGCAAGAGCAGAAGTCAAGGTCATACGACTGGAAGACATCATTTCGGACGAGTCGGACGATTCAGATCCCAACGACGAAGTTGCAGACGATGAACGAGACGGAGATGGTGATGCTGAAGACGAACTGCCTTTCAAACCTGCCCGGAAGAAGCAGCAGACAGTGGACTCTACTGAAGAGACCCAGCCAGCTCCGGAGATCCCAAAGGTCGAGACGACAGCGCCTCCTGCCACCGATGACGCCGCTGCCCCTGACACCACCGAACACGCGACCCAGCCACCGGAATCGCAGGAGATCGTCTCCAGTAAACCCGCCTCGCCCTTGTTGCCGCCTACAGAACCCAAACGTGATGCACCGGTCACCCCTCCAGTTTCCGATATGGAGGGGCCAGACAAGATGCCTTCCTTCCTCAAAGCTGTCTCAACATTCCTCACCCAGAGCCACAACTTCTTTGAACTTGATGATCCGTTTGGCGACCTTGAGCATATCTTCCGTGATTCCGCCATGGTGGTCAGATTGGACGAGCCCACGTCCATCATTGCCTTGGCTCTCAAGTAAGCAGACCATCCTGTATATTGTGCCCATTCGCTCATGATGATTTATAGCTCCCCTCAATATCGTGAGATGCTCGCTAAATCACGCGCTGAAAAGCGAACTGCGCGAGTGGTAGACGCGAAGCTCATGGAAGGTTCTGAGATCTTCATGCCTGACGATCACTCCATCTCGGACTCGACTTCTACATGGGGTGTTGTCAATGTCGATGCAGTAGACTCCATAGATCCAACTGAAGATCTTCGAATGGCTTCATCCAAGCTTCCCTGGGCTATCAGTAAGCTTGACTTTGTAATCAACTCGACGAGTTCTCTAATGGTTTGGTGTAGCATTCGAGAGTGGTGGTTTGTCTATCAGCTGCACTATCCTGTATCCCGAACAATTCGATGCTCTGCGTCGGACCTATGATTGCGAGAAGAGCATGGTGGAATCTTTAGCCAGGTGTATCAACTGGAATGCGAGCGGCGGAAAGTCTGGCTCCGCGTTCTTGAAGACGCAAGGTACGTCTAACATATTCGTTCGTGAATTACAACCATACTCAATATGACGTTGTACAGACGACCGGTTCATTGCGAAGGAGCTTTCCCGTGCTGAACTACAAACCATGGAAACGTTCGCCCCAGCATACTTTGACTACATGTCATCTGCAGTTTCAGCAAACGTATGTATACTCTTTATCCCTTTCGTTCCGTTCTAATAGCAAGTATCACACAGCGTCCTACCCTCCTGGCCAAGGTCTTTGGCTGTTATAAATTGACAGCCAAGAAGATTAGCAAGGAGCGATCTTCCGGGAAGAAATCGACTCAGATGAACTTACTGGTGATGGAGAACCTCTTCTATGATCGTAGATTTTCACGGGTAAGTATTGCTTATTGACTGCTCCTCTACGCTTCGCTGACAATACGTCCAGATCTATGATTTGAAAGGCTCCACACGAAACCGACATGTCCAGTCCACAGGCCAGGAAAATCAGGTGCTGTTAGACGAAAACCTTGTTCAAGGTCCGGCACATATCCACATCGCGCATCGACGATGCTGACCCTATTCCTACAGAATCTCATGTCAACCCTTTCTACCTCCGAGAGCACGCCAAGCGCATATTCCGAGGCGCACTGTACAACGACAGCAAGTTCCTGGCTGATATCAATGTTATGGACTATTCTCTCGTTTGCGGGGTACGTTTTGTGGGCATAACCGTTCGACGATATCTGACTGGTTCACAGGTTGATAGCAAGAACCACGAGTTGGTCGTTGGCATTGTTGGTATGTACCTACCTTGGACTGCTTTGAGGACTTTAATCTCATGAAAACCTTCAGACTACATCCGAACGTACACTTGGGATAAGAAGGTTGAGAGCTGGGTGAAGGAGTCTACCTTCCTTGGAGGTGGAGGCAAAGGAGAACTACCGACGATCGTCACACCAAAGCAGTATCGACAACGTTTCCTCGGAGCAATGGAGCGATACTTCCCCTTGGTCAGTGTCTTTGGCTTTGGTGACTTTATGGATTTAAGCTGACAGACATCTTCGTGTAGGTGCCTGACCGCTGGATGAAGATTCCAGACCAGCCAGAGGAGGATTCATCCGCTGTCCTTTCTGAACTTTGGCCGGACTGGTAGCGGAATGATTGATTGGGATACATGGCTTGTATATTGCTCTAATGAACCTTACGCATTTCCGTCTTTGTATTAGTACTTGTAGTAATTTCTATGCTCTGCACTGGCAAGTTTGAACCCCCATGCTCGGTGCTGGTATGGCCGTTGATCTGTTGATTCCGGCATTTGTTTCGGTCCAGGCCGGCCGACTAATTTAGGCAATAGTTTTCCACATTTACAGTTGGAGGAGAACGTCAGAAAATACTTTCCGACGCTACTTTACGCGCAACCATGCTGGGCCCAGTGTTTCGTCAGTGCCAACGACGTGTGGTAAGAAGTCATTACACAGTGTTAGATTCAAGAAACTGAAAGGGCTTCTTAGGACGCGTTGACCTGGCGCCAATTTTCGACAACACCAGCTGTCCAGCTCCGACGCGACCCCAAGTCCCAAATCCGTATTCCGTCCAAGAAGGCGCTGGCCGCGAAAATCAAGCGTAGGCAAGCGTTGGCAGCCAAGGAAGATGAGAAGGCGGAGAAATTGCCATTGGAAGATGCCATTAATGTCCTGAGGGTGCGTCGTGGTCGATGATTCATAGCCCTTGCTCCGCGTTTTGACTTTACTTCCCTAGGCAGTCGAAGTTGCTTCTCCCAACTCCATCTACGAGTTGACCGTCAGAACCGAAGTTGGAAACGGTCTCGCTGTCCCCAAGGGTCGTGTCAATCTGCCCCGAGAGGCCAAGAAGTCCAAGGAGGAGAAGATTGTCGTGTTCGCTGAAGGCAAGATTGCGGAAGAGGCCAGGAAGGCTGGTGCAGACGTCGTTGGAGGCCCAGAACTTATGGAATCGGTGCGTAACTCCAGTTTTGAGTGGTTCCGGGCTGTAAAGCTGACGTTCGCCATTTGTGACATTGTCCAGATTCTGCAAAACCGAATTCGACCAACGACTGTGCTTTGCACTCCGGCCCTCATCAAGACCATTACACCCAAACTCGGCCGTCACTTGGGTCCCCTTGGTCTCATGCCTTCCGAACGTCGTGGAACCGTTACCGAAGACATGGCCGGATATCTGCAAAAGCTCAAGGGCACGAGCGAATGGAGAGCCGACAAGGCTGGCACCATCCGAGTCCCCATCGCGGTGGTATGTATCTCGCCCGAGTTTTAATGAACCTCCCATCCCCGTGCTAATCTCCTTTGCTTGCTGCGCAGATGAATTTCCCTGTGAGCGACGTCGTCAAAAATATCCGACATTTCATGATTTCAGTCAAGAAGGCCACTGGGAACATGCGCGACGAGAGTGACAGGCAGAGGGTGAAGGGCACGGGTCCTAAGCCTGTTGTACCCATCAAGAAGGTCATCCTAAGCTCTAGACAAGGGCCTGGCATTCGCATAGCAGATATCTAGTAGGGAGTATAGATAGTACTACATATTAGTGATCAGTAACCTAATTCTATAATTCAGAGCCAGTCCGAGTGAGCAGTGGTGAGTGGATGTTGATAAATAGCACAGCACGGGTAAGTGGGGATTAAGAATCGTTAAATATCGTAAATAGGGTTATCGAAAGCAGACGTCAGTCAAGTTAATCGTCTTTGTCCCAGATAACGCTGGACTTGACGTTCCGTTCCCATCTCCGTTTCGCCTTCTTCGCCTCCCGAATCGTGGATGCCAGGTGCTCAGAGTATTTCTTGTCAGCCTTCTTTGCCGGTCTAGTGCTGCTATTTTTGCCAATATGATCCCTCTCCACCGACAAGGCCTTTCCTTCGACATCACGTATGACGACTCGTTCCTGAGGTGGGTTTTTGGGTGGGTGAGGGAATAAATCACCCCATGCAGATTTTCGTGCGTCGTAGTAGGGCTGCTTTCCTTGCGACTTAGGGATGGTCATCCGCACGATTTTCCCTGAAATCCAGTCAATCTGACATGGCTATGTGCCTAAAGAACGGGCTTCTTACCTTCGGAAGTACAGCTGTCGAGAATGACATGGCCACTCTTCTTCATCGGAGGGAACACAAGCCTTGGCCAATGATAAGCTTCTTGTCGCAGCGTCTCGTGAACCTCAGCTTCTGAAGGTTCCTCCGCCGGCACTGCCGACTTGGACGCCAACCCTGGTACCTCTGGTGAAGCTTGGTCAAATAGCTGGAGTTCCTTCACAACCTTCGTGAGCTTGGCTTCTTGTTCCCATCGGCCCACCAAACCGACACGGCCAAGTTGGCTTTCGACTTTGCCGGGGCGCGACCCTCGTTGGATGACAACGTAAGTGTATCCGATGTCTTCATGCCCGATTCCGGAATGCTTGGTCAAACGAACAAAGCTGGGGCGTTGTAGGCGCTGGTTGAATCCGCAAACTAGTCTATTGGATCCAGAATTGAGGAGGGGACATGCACTGTCATGAGGGCACTGGGGCAGGAAATTAGTCAAGTCAAGTGTCAAACAAGAACTAGCGCTTACAGGAGCAACGACATAGGCTCCTTCCAAAGACGAAGGTGATTCAGCCTCGGACTTTTCGACCTCTTTTCGACCTTGGCGAAGGAGATATTCCCGTGCTTGAGCAATCGACTCGAATCCCTCCTTCGTGTTATGGTCCATCAGAACCAACGTGTGTGCACCGCTCTCCCACATTTCCTTCACCAGTGCCTTGCGAGCGAGCGGAGTTGGGAGAGAAGAGAGCGTGAAGGCGGAGAGAGCGACAGTTTTGGTGCCTTCTTCCCGAGGCACATTGTCTTCTTCGGAGAATGTTTTCTTGAATTGAAGAGAGAAGCCCTCGGGAGGAGTAATGTCTGTCGAGTTCATTAGCACAAAGCCATACTGGCCCCTGACAACACATACTGTTCTGTATCCGCTCGGCGAGAGCTACCATGGCTTGTCGCTTGTCGATTCCCAAATAGGATCGCAACGTAGATTGGGAAGCGTCAACGCCTTCGGGTTCGTGACTGGCACCTGCCGATTGGAAGGAGAATAGCGACGCCCTGCATAAGGTGTAAACTTGCATAGCAAAGAAGAAGAGGACGATGGTGCGAACCATAAACCAGTGCCAGCGCCTGCTCCCCAGTCAATAACCCTCTCCACTTCCCAGCTCGAGCCTAGTCGATGCTTGACGTGCTCCAGCACGGCAGCGACAGCAGCGTAGTGTGCAGGCAGGACTACTGCTGCAAAGGCAATTGCGTCGCGGTCAGCGTGCCTCTCTCCTTGCTTCCTTGAACGGTACTTCGTGTCCAGCTGGACCAGCCAGCCGGAATCCACGCCTGGGTTGTGCAGTCCACCGAATAACCGCTTGGCGTCACTGTGCAGAAGGCCCTTGTCCGACTCTGTAGCACAAATAAATTTCACAGTTTTGGTTTCCAAAATGGACAAGGACGTACCGTCTATAAGGGCAACTATGGCGTCTTGCAACTGTTGCGGGACGACCACTTGACCAATCTTCTGGCTTCCAAATAATGCGGCAGGGGACTTTCGGTCAAGAGTGTCTTCTGGTGACTCAAAGGACTCGTAGACCTCCTCCAATGCCTCCTCCGCCTCTGCGACAGGCTCTGCTGTCAACTCCCGGTGTTTGGGCTGCAGCGCCGGGTTGTGGTTTGCGAAAGCCATGTCCACGTCCTTCAGGAGAGCCTGCATACTGGGGTCCAGATGTATTGGGGGGTTGGGTTGGGTTGAGAAACATGGATAAGACCGACCAAGAACCCGTTTGTATACACCTGAAGCCCCCTTTACAGCGCTCAACCGAGCGAGTCGCGACGCATTGCTCAACATTGTGGTGATTGTTGCCAGAAATGCGTCAGGGAGATGGGAGTAGCGACTCGGTTATTGTGGACTTGTCGTGGTACAAGTGCTGCCTGCACTGGGGAATTAAGAAACCAGGGAAAGAGCAACAAATCAAGAAACAGAGATTGGTCGGTGGCCAAGTCATTGAAATTATTCGCGGAGCCAAAACTGGGATTGTGGGCGGTGGCGGTGCTGCGCGTCAAAGTTGGACGGCTTGTGCTGCGACCACCACAGCGAAACTGGGTTTTGCCTTCGACCACCACATCGACAGTCATTGTGGTTCTTTCTCTCTGCAAAGAATCAAACTCTACCTACGACTCCTAGAACAACGGCCGTATCAACCTCTCACCGGAACATTAAGCGCTGCATCCCATCATGGCCGAACCTTCTCCAAAGCGCGCCGACATTCAGAGTCGCGAATCTGGAGAAGGTGACAACGCAGAGAGGCCAGCGAAACGCGCCAGAATGGATCTGGACCAACCCAAAGACTCCAAAGACCGAGCCGATTCGCCGCAGTCCTCCGACGAGGACGACGAAACTCTCGGACAGACCCTGCCCCCGGCCACAGATTTGCGATCCTCCGATCTCTACCTGGACACGGTAGGCGGCATCTACTATGGGGTCTGATCACGGGGTGACTCTTTCCCGCAGATAAACAGACAAGCTCTCGACTTTGACTTCGAGAAGCTCTGCTCAGTGTCACTGTCAAATATCAACATATACGGGTGCCTTGTATGTGGAAAGTACTTCCAGGGCAGGGGACGCAACTCTTATGCTTATGCCCATTCCATCCACGAAGACCACCACGTATTTATCAATCTGGAAACCACCAAAGTAGGTGCCCCATTCTTTCCCGCTCTCAGATAAACGATTTAATTTACAGTTAGGTCTACGTACTCCCGGATGGATACCACGTTTCCGATCCATCATTGGAAGATATATCTTTCGTTCTAGCACCGAAATTCACTCCAGAATCCATCAAGGCAATATCTACCGGCCTCTACTTGACGAAGCCTTCTTATGATCTATCTCACAAGCCATATCTGCAAGGCTTCGTTGGACTGAACAACATCAAGCGGAATGACCACATGAACGTCATCATTCACGCCCTACTACATGTCCCACCGCTGAGGGATAGCTTGTTGCTATCCGATTACAAGGGGAAAGAGCCCGAACTCTTGAAACGGTTCGCGGGTCTTGCGAAGAAGGTTTGGAACCCTCGACTGTTCAAGAGTCAGGTCAGCCCCCACGAATTCCTTCAAGAAGTAAACCGAGCCAGCGGTGGTAAATTCAGGCTGGAGGAGCAGGGTGACCCTGTGGAGTTCCTGGGATGGCTATTGAACCATCTTCACAAAGACCTCGGTGGCACGAAGAAGAAGGGGTCCAGTAAGTATCTCACCCCTCGCCCTTTCTTCTCGCTGATGATCAAATCAATTAACCGCAGGCATTATCTTCAAGACCTTTCAGGGTGAGCTCCGTGTGGAAACTCAACAAGTCGTTGTTCGACCAGACGCTGGGGAAAATGAGAAGCCTCGTTTTGATATCGATCGAGGTAATCGTACCAGTTCCACAGACCGCGATTGGTGAATGCTCAGAGCTGTCACAGATATCAAAACGACCGTTTCGCCGTTCTTGTTCCTGGCAGTGGATCTCCCACCGCCTCCGCTTTTCCAAGATGCAGTCGAAAAGAATATTATCCCTCAAGTCAATATTTACTCGGTTCTTGCGAAGTACGACGGTCGGACAACTCAGGTCTGTGACGTTCTCCTGCCGGTTTGAGCTCGATGCTGACCCTCCTCTAGGAGTCCGCTGGTCACCTGAGGCGGTACAAATGCCAAAAGCTACCTCCTTACATTATCCTTCACTTCAAACGATTCACCAAGAACCTTTTCGTGGAAGAGAAGAACCCCACTATTGTTAACTTCCCCCTCAGGGGCCTCGACTTCAAAGAATGTAAGAGCGTCGGTCGCGTAGACCAAGGACTGGGCTGAAACCAGGAAATAGATATAGATGCACCTCCGAGTAACGAATCCACACTCTACGATCTGATCGCCAATGTTACCCACGAATCGGTCGCAGGAACCACCAGAGACAAAGCAAGCACTGTCTGGAAGGTTCATGTCCGCGCTGGAGGTGCAGGCGGCGACAACGAGAAGTGGTTCCTAATTCAAGATTTGATCGTCGAGGAAACCAGAAAGGAAATGATCTTTTTGGGGGAAACTGTTCTACAGGTACGCCTATCGCTCCATATCCCAGAACCGTGATATCAACCCCGTTCACAGATATGGGAGCGCCGGAGCTCTGGTGCTGTATCTAATGGAGGAAAACCGAATCCTGCATAATGGCTATTCGTGTGTTTGCCGCCGATGACACCACTAATATCTTAACAAAAGGACACTTTTTGAAACGGCTGTGCGGTGCAACTATGCAAATGCCATCATTTACCCTCCTTCCCGGCTTCTTGTTCCTTTTTGGCTTCCTCTGCTACTGTAGGGGTAGGGCTGCTTGGGGCGTTAGTGCTCGTTATACGCCTGTGAGGCCGCCATAGTCAGTGTTGCAGACGGCTGATTGTTGCTAAATTAAGTCAACTCACTCATGCTGCACTTCTTGGTCAATAAAGGGTTTGAAAATATAGTAGCCAGAGGCAACGCCTAGACAGAGTTTATTAGATGATGGGGAACTGAAAATTACATGAGCTGGCAGCCTAACCAGTTGCTGCTGCAAACAGATAGGGGCTAAGCCGTTGCAAAGACATTGAATCAATGACCCGTCACGGTGCAGTGTTCTTGGGCCGGTGTCTGTAGAGCTCAGCGAGTTCTCAGTGGGCCTTGCGGATGGAGAGTTGATAACTTGACAAAATCGAACAAGTTCCTGTTGTCACGTCGCACTTTCAATCGGACTGCGAAAACAACGCACAAAAAATCAAGATGCTGATAAACCTGGTCTGGGGATTGCCAAATTAAGGTGGCATGTCCGTCGATTGATCCATACGGAAGTAAAAGCGGCAGAGCGCCAGAAAACCGAAAAGCATGGGCGCCAAGTGAATAAAATACATGCAATAACGGTGATATTCATCATAGAGGGCCTAATATACATATTCGCACGAGCGGTGATCACTGGGATTCTGACCGAAGCACCTGTGGAAGAGTTTAGCGGCACCGTTCCTGACTCGCTTCTCACTGTAGAGAAATCAACTACTCGCCTGAAGTGCTTCCTGAGCAGCTAATCTTCTGGCCTGTTGCTTGTCTGTTCCTGTGCCTACACCCCTGATGACACCATTAACTGGAAAAGAAGTCCGATAGTCTGGGAATGTCTGATGTGATGGCATTCCAACCTTTGCACTGGATTGTCCATATCTGTTCGTGGCACGGGCCGGAAGGAATTTCAGCGTAGCTGAGGAGGTGAAGCTGCCCTCTATTCTGGAGGACTTCGTGATGCATAATCAGTATCCTCCACGAGGCGATGAACGCTGCTCGCTTACAGTTGTGGAGAGCTGTGACGGGAACTATAGAAGCTCAGCAAGAGGGTAAGCCATATTTCGAACTGGGGACCCACTTTCAGGCATCGCGGTTTGTTAATGCAAAACAGATAAAGGAGGATGGGGAGATGGCTTCAAACGATGCTTTTCGGCGCCCTTTATAGCCTTTCGTCGTCTGACTTTAAACCTAGTATTATGCTCATCAATTTCGCGTTTTGAAAGGTGGACAGTAGTTTCATGTTAGAGCAACCCAGATCTGTTGGTAAACGTCGTCACTCGCATATGGGATAATCTGGTCTGTTCCGACCCGTTGGCAGTGAGCTGAAGGGTTCTCCACCGACTGGTGCGGAGCATAAATGGTTTACTTTGGCAAGGATGAGAAAAACCCTGAAAGGCGCTTGGTGGAGCTCTCATGAAGCTGAATTTCTAATACAGCATGAGGGAATCTAAGGCATCTCAAATCGGTCACTTCGATTATGGGACCAATGGAGACCTGTACCGATATCATTCACCGATGTGTCACCAGAGCCGCTGTCTCAAAGGAGAGACCTCTCGACAAACTAGCCCCATTCCATCAACTGCAAATGGCGCGACAAAATCAAATGACCTGTGAATACCGCTGAGGCTTTCTCTCGCTGCCAATATCTCATCTACTCTACTCACACCGGCGAGCTGTAGGTGTACGCATGATGATTTTTTCTGAAAGAATTCCGCCTCTAATTGAGAAGCCCGTGCTTCCCAAAACATCCGTTCCGAGAAATTAGGTCTCTGGAGAACCAGATATCCAAAGCCCAGATCCCCTGCTGACCACTTTCTTTGGTCACGTCATCAGCAAAGAAGATGCACTTTCTCCCGCAGATAACACAAACCGGTTCATGTATTCACTCGGCATGAATCCAATGGAGCCAGTTGTCCTTGTTTTGGTTTCCCCGTCGAGCGCCAGGATAGTACGTTCTCCTGGACATGAGAGCGTTGATTTTACAAGGGTTCTCACCAGGTCATGGGATTATCCAAATGGCGGACCGATCTTTGCTATCCGATGCGTCAATGCTGCTCATAACCCCTTAGGATCACTGAAGCGAAACGGATCTGAGATTGCCCAACTATCCTCGTCAAGAGGCGGATGTAAGAAATATATTACGGACTAAACACAAGGGTATAATAATTTAAGAGGAAGTCAAGTAACAGGCGCCAATTACAAAGGGTAAGACCTGAGGAAGGAGAATGAAGTCAGCTCAGACGCCCTGGCCTCGTCCGTCGATAAGATAGTGCAGAGCTTGTTCGGCGGCAATGTTTTTGGCGGTGTGTTTATGGGTCGAGGTCCCTTCGCCTCGTGGTTCTCCATCGACTGCTAGATTATCAATGCCGTGTCCCCGAAATTCAATGAAACTAACGGCTCACTCTTGCAAACGCAGGTCCATTTTGAGTCGTGTGGTGGTCCATAATTACACTCTTGCCAGCTGAGAGATGCCGCCTTGCCAATTTTGTTGAGGTCTACACGAATACTGGTAAGTCGACCAAAGCAAGTGGGCTTGAAAGGCATGTATGTACATTGGTTGAGGCGAGAAATCGCGTCTAAGGACAAAGGATTTTGCTTCAGCAACGTTTCTCGTGGATGAAAGAATGAGCGAGAGCGACTTACCGTTAGACATTGTTCAGGGTGCTTGTTGTTGGCCTTCATCGTCGTCGTCCGAGGGCTTAAGTACCAGTTGTCGGCTCGATGCCAAAGGTTTTGAAACGCTGAAAGACACTAGAAGGCGGCCACCGCGTCATTGTACGTCGAGCAGATCGAGTTCATACCATCAAATGAAATCACTGAGCGGGTGGTGGTGCTGAAGGGTCGAAGGACACGGATGGGCCCGCCTTTCGACACCGCGAAGGCGGCGAATGAAATTCCAGTATTTCTTCGTGGAGCATTCTGGCCAAGAATCCCGTCGCTGTAGGCAATGGTGATGGCACAGCTAGGAGGTTGCCGCGCGTTGGTGTTTCTCGATGTGCAGCACTTCATGTATGTGGAATGACATGTATCCGTCGGTCCGGCGGGGATTACCAGGAGTCTATGCGGACTCGAGACCCGCAGGTACTACCGCTTTCTGGGCAAGGAGCTGCGAGCCTGGAGGTCGCAGCCCCAGGCAGGATTGGCAAGGTGAGTGGTGGTCCTGTGTGATCGTGGCCATGAGGCCTCCACGTCGAGGCATAAACTCCTTGGCTCTCCATCTTTCATGAAGATCCACGGTTTCCCGTCAATTAGAGTGCTCGCCCTTCCCGCGAAGCAAGGGATACAAACATTGCGCAGTCCCTGGTCGGAAGAGAAAGTTTGGTCCTACTTTCAACTGGGGCTTTCGTGGGGCGTCGTGGTGAAGGCCATGCTTCCCGGGAAGAAGCATGGGCTATATTTCAGTGCGGTGATACAGAAGTCATTCCACGCCTTTATGGCTTATTCTGGGTAACAACCAACCAATTCGCTTCCCACTCTCTCAACCCGCGCAGTTTAATGGTTATCTGACACCCGTGAAACCACGTTTGTCTGTTGGCGATCATCTGGACAAGAATTTGCGGCAAGATGGACTGCTTGGCCCCCAGTCGGGAAGGGAAAGGGAGCTTATCACTCCTAGCAGAACTCATTGGTGCAATTTCCGCTGTGTGCACACACTGATCAACAAGTGAGAGAGCTCCTCAAAAGGTGAATGTTCATGTTTCAAGAACTGTGCCTTGATTGAGGAAACCTCCAGGTGTTCGGGACACATATTAATTATTCTGTCATAACCAATGGACGTCGCGAAAGAAAACGCGCGTGAGCCAGGATTGTGCACAACCTGCGGGGATCCCGTTGCAAATTGGAAGCCGTGCCAGGCCAACACGTTGGAACCACGGGTTTGGCTTCTTGCCGGTATTGATTCCGCCAATCGCTGGGTATACGAACCTCTGTCAGAATATCCTTTTAAGGTCGTTTTCGAAGTGCTATTGCTCGGTACTTGAATTGTACATTAGTCTATTTGATTCTTGAGAGATTCGGAAACAGTAGCAGGCAAAAGGTCGGCTTCAACTTATGCTGGGAGCTGGACATGAAGAGTCAATGGAAGCGGAGGTGCACAAAGCCACCCACAAACCTACGCCTACTAGGTGCTCTCCGCGATGTGCTGGAATAGTCGACTGCGGTTTAGAAACGAACCAACTTGGTTCTCCGTTCCTTCAAGCATCATTGTAGCATTTTCGTGGTAGAATCAGAAAAATACAACATCATACCGGATATGAAGATTCGCATTCCAAATCGACGGCGACTACAGATGCTGGGAGTGTTGGAGATAACGGGATACATCGCCTAAGACCAGTACCCAGCCAATGTGTATTGATACCGGGTTCACATGGCACCAGGTAATTATCCGTTGACTTTCCATTGAGAAAGTAGGCGCCTGATAATACAGCGAAAGCTTTGTCGAGCACCGACTGTACAGCCTACACCTACAAAGCAGGATAGGGCAACGGAGATACATGTTTCTCGATGAATTCAAGCCTGTTTAAACCCGCGAATGGTAGGGCGGGCGTGTGTCAAAAATATACCTGCTCCAACGTGGTGGTCGACTAGTGCATAAAGCACCTTGGCGGACGGCTGACGCTGTTTAGTCACGTCCCGCAGTCAAAGAGGCGCCCAGAAAATTGTTATGGAAGGAATCTGATTCCACCAGAATGTCAAATTCCTATATTGAGGGGGTTATTCGGAGGACCATGTGCCTGGAGATCGAGGGACCCAGAGGGAGAAAGGTACGCCCGAAGCCCGATTCTAGTCGCACTTCTGAGGGAGGCCGCTGGGCGAGAACAATCAGAGATAGCGGGGCACCGAGGGACAATTGCAGAGAGATAGACGAGTGTATCCATGGGCATCGACTTCTCAACCAGTGCCATGATAATGATATCACATTTGGAATGATGTGCGGACTTGGAACGCACAGACACTCGTGCCCAAAGCGTCTTGTCCACAGAAATGGCAGATTTGACAGGGTGTGGTAACAGTAAGGGGATTAAAGACCAATAAACGCAGCAATGAGGCCATAAGCAAGACAGGAGTTAGCAGGTGGACAGGTGTTGACAATTTGGGGAAGATGGAGGGGGAGAATCAAGAGAGGGGACAAAGGCTGGAGAGGGGGACGGGCCCTGAGCGGAGTGTGATTCGGAATCAAATCAGAATCGCTACTTGCCGGTGAACATCTGGCATCAAGTGACTGACAACAGCAAAAGGTATCCTTCCCACCAACCCGTTTCCCCCCTCGTCGTCGTCGCCAACGTCCCCGAAACAGTTGAGCTCGCTGTCTGACTGCTGACGCCGACTGCTAGTCCAGACAGCTCTCGTCTACCCCCCGTATTCCCACGCGCCTGTTATACTCTTTTTGCTGGTGTCAAACTCAGGGTCTGGGTCGTCTCTCCTCACATTGGTACCAATTTTCCTTTCGTTCCGCCGCTCCCCCTCATCCCTGACTATTTTTCGCTCTTTTACTTCTCAAAAGCGACGAATACACCGCCAACGTCACACCAATAGCCGTTTCATTCCCATCTATACAACATGTCTCAAGGTCAAGGCGATATTCAGGAGCGGATCGCCGCCGCTCGTCGAGAAGCGGAGAGTTTGAAGGAAAAGATCAGGGCAAAGAAGGAGTCGTCGGCGGATACCAGCTGTAAGTCGTCCTATGGTCGCCCCTTTCACGAGTTCTCAACCCCCTTGAACCCCAGTGCGTGCAATGGCTGCCGAGGTTGATGCACTCCCACGAATTGTGATGCGCCCAAGACGAGCTCTACGGGGCCATCTCGCGAAGATTTACGCCATGCACTGGGCTGCCGACCGTCGCCATCTCGTATCTGCATCACAGGACGGCAAACTCATTGTCTGGGACGCTTACACCACGAACAAAGTCCATGCTATTCCCCTCCGGTCAAGTTGGGTCATGACCTGCGCCTATTCGCCGTCCGGCAACTTCGTTGCTTGCGGTGGTTTGGATAACATTTGCTCCATCTATAGTCTCAAGCAAGACGGAACCAACGCCAGGGGCGCCCGCGAATTGAGCGCACATTCAGGCTACCTTAGCTGCTGCCGTTTCATCAACGACCGTCAAATCGTTACCAGCTCTGGTGACATGACTTGCATGCTGTGGGATATCGAAGCCGGCGTCAGGGTGGTCGAATTCAGCGACCATACAGGTGACGTTATGAGGTGTGCATTTTCCTCCTAACTTTCAAGACCCCTCATTAACAGCCCCTCTTTAGTCTGTCTCTCGCCCCCAATATGAACACCTTCGTCTCCGGCGCCTGCGATGCTACCGCCAAACTTTGGGATATTCGAACTGGCAGAGCAACGCAAACTTTCACTGGGCACGAGTCCGATATTAACGCCGTATCGTACGTTGCCCCACTTCACGTGATCTCAGGAGAGAGATTGACGCCTCTATTCTTACAGATTCTTCCCCAACGGCGACGCGTTTGCCACCGGTTCCGACGACGCTTCTTGCCGCCTCTTCGATATCCGAGCCGACCGCGAACTCAATACCTTCACTCACGACAATATTCTTTGCGGAATCACGTCCGTCGCCTTCTCCATCTCCGGTCGCATTCTTTTCGGTGGTTATGATGACTGGACATGCAACGTTTGGGATACCCTCAAGGGCGAGCGCGTTGGTGTTTTGACTGGCCATGAAAATCGTGTCAGCTGCCTTGGCGTCAGCGTTGACGGAATGGCTCTTTGCACTGGAAGTTGGGATAGCACCCTCCGAGTATGTTTCCCATTTTTCTGTAGTGGAATTCTCATGGTTAACCTCTCCATCAGGTCTGGGCATAAAACCCCCCGAGAATTTCCGCATAGGACATTCTCTTTCCTCGTCTACTGTCCCTATCCTTCTCCGGGCGGTGCTTGAAATCTCATTTCCATTTATTGCTACTTACTCGCGAACCTTCTCTGACGCGAATATTCGAAATAACTTCAGTCGGTCGTTACCCCTTGCGATTTTGCATTTTAAACCGTTTGCAGGACTGCGTCGTTTGGTGTTCCATTAGTTGTACCATTTTCTCCACCTATTCAGTTCCTTGCCTTATTGCCATCGATTGATCGTCTCTCTTTGCTTTGATTCTATCCCTCTCGGTTTCATATACACTGCGAAGTTATATTTTTATTCTGGAATACAGCCATGTATATATCCCTCTCTGCCCACCCTGCCTATCCAATCTCATTTATCCTCGCATTGTGACTGATTCCAAGCCTTCCTAACTTCTCACCCAGTTTGAGCCAGAGATGAGAATGTCGACGTGGAATGATTGTATTGCCTAATCTGGTCTGAGCGTTTCTTCCACCTATTACGACCTTGAACCATGTCCGAAGACGATCGTGCAGCCAAAGCAGCCAGGGCGAAGGCTCTGGTCAGTCAATCTAATATCCTTAGAGTCCCTGCGCTAACTGGTTTTGCAGTTGGCGAAGAAACGGCAGCAGAAGAAGGCGGCAGACGCTGGTAGCACAGCACCGACGCAGAGCTCGGCGACCGCGTCCCCAATCGTCCCTGCACGGACACTGACTCCAGCTCCTAGCGAGCGGTCGATTGCTCAAGATACCAGCAGGAAGGACGACATCTCGGCGGTGTACGATTCGAATCTCTGCCCTCAGTACACCGGATGATATTGACGTAGTCCACTATGTAGGTTTGGCCCGGATGCTGGCGACTCGTCGTGGATTTCTTCGTTGCCTCGGGCGAGCACCCCGCCATCTCGTGTAAACTCGTCCTCGCCTCAAGTATCGTCCAAACCACCGACACCGGCGCCCTCGCAACCTGGACCCAACGAGAGGAAGCCTGCTTCACCAAGCACCCGTGAGATCGAGCTTGACGAGAAGCTGCGGTCGCTCGAGTCTATTCTACAAGCAGATGTGAAGCGCTTGCAGGACCTCTTGACTGGTATGCACTGTGCTCGCCGTCACTTCCGAACAATTAATAATGGCTCTCAGCTTCACAGAAGACGGAGGAGGTATTGAAGAAGGAACAGGCTCGCGTCAGGGACTTGGAGAAAGGTGTGCACCTACATATTCCCAAACCACTATTGCTAACGTAGCGGCAAGCTTCCAAACAGTCGGAATCATCGCTCAAAGATGAGCAAGATCGAGTCAAGGATTGGGAGAAACGATACGCAGACCTTGAAGCAGAGAAAGATCGCCAACTCCAAGCCGAACGCCAGACCATTGAATTCCTAGTGTCGGAGAAGGCCTCGCTAACAACAGAGCTGCAGAAACGCGAGGACTTCGAATCCAGTATGTCATTGTGACCACTACTGCATGGGTACAGGTCTAATATGGCGCATAGAGTGGCAAAACGCGGAAGAGGAGCTGCAAGCCGAGCGGACCAAGTCACAGCAACTTGAACAACAGCTTCGGACAGTCCAAGTTGAAGTTGGCGAGACCACACAGCGGATATCAGAATACCAGATCAAGGAGAAGGACTTGCAGGAGAAAACCCGGGAATTAGTACGCATATAGCCTTTCTACGTGTGTGTATTGCTGAACTGACCTCCGATGCTACAGGAGAGACAGCTACAGCGCGTCACGACAGCGGCCAATGAGTCTAGGAAAGAGGCCGAAGAGACAGGTCGTCGTTTGCAAGAGCTTACCGAGCAAGTTCAAAACGACGATCGCGTCGAACGACTGGAGAAATCCCTGAAACACTCTCAGGACCGAGCTGACGAGCTCGAATTCCAATTGTCCAAGATCAAACAGGTAGACGCAGTCTATGTGCATCAAGTTGGACTTCATTTAACTGCCAACTTAGGCGCATGCTACCCTGAAATCCGAGAAAGAGGCTCTCGAGTCTAGAACCCAAGAGCTCTCTCAGCACGAAGACGAATGGAAAGCGAAGATATCGGACTTGGAAGCGAAGCTGCCTGACCTTCAGACGCGCATCGATCAACTATCATCGGAACGGGACACTGCTGCGCAAGACGCTGCCAATCTGCGAGTCCAGCTCGATGATAGCCACAAGACCGTCTCGGATTTGCAAGAGAAGCTTGCTCAGGCCGCATCCTCTGTCACAGCTCAAACGCGACAGATCCAATCATTGCAGAATGAACTCAAAGGTGCCAACCGTCGAGCGGAGGAGTCTGAAAAGGCGACACGCAGCCTCCAACAAGAAGGCACCAACTTGATGCGTTCACTGGATGAAATGCGCCCGAAGATCGTGGAATTGACGGATGCAAAGTTGAATCTGGCGGAACAGGTCGAGGGTCTGCAACGTGCCTTGAAGGAGCGTGATGTGGTCATAGAGAAGCTGGAAGCGTCCGTTGACCAGCTCGAGTCTGACAAAGCGGAGACTGATAAAAAATGGCAAGAAACTCTCGCATCGAAGGAACAGGAATCTGGCTCGGCACAAACCGACTTCGCGGAGTTGCAAAAAGGGTATAACCAACTTCAAGAGGAGTTAGAGGCTGCCTTGGCGAGCATCAAGACGCTTGAGGCTCAGCGGTCGAGTCACCACCAGGACGCGTCTCGCAAACTGGAAGAAATCGATCGACTCAGTTCGTCTGTCCAGGCCCAGTCAGAAGAATTAGCCGACCTGCGACATGAACTGGACGCACGCCGGAAGGCTCAGGTATGTTGTGGAACTTATTTCCATATGAACGGTTTCAAAACTAACACGACGTTAGGATGAGGAGCAGGAAATATTAGAGCGTGCACAGAACGAGTTGGAGAGCCTGCGGACTGAGCTCAGTTCCAAGGATGAAGAGCTTGAACGTCTGCGCGAGGCAGTCCAATCGCCAACGACGGATGGGCCCCGTTCACTCGATGAAGAGATGCTCAGTTCCCTTCGTCAACAACACGCCCTTGAGATCTCGGCTGCCCATTCGCAAATACGTGCACTCGAGGAGAACGTATTCGCAGAGCAAGCAAAGGCCCACGAGCTACAGAAGCAGATCACCGCACTCCAGGACCAAGTCACGCGACTTTCCGGTACTTCGCGACCACAACCACCCAGGTCGTTTTCGCCTATTCCTTCACGGCCGTCAAGTCGTGCAAAGGATCACGATCTGCGTCGTGCTTCGCTTGGGGCCGCAGCAACAGCTCACCGCGGTACAAACGCCCCACCTCCCTCAGCGCTCTCGCGAACTGTGTTCGATCAAACGCTCTCTCCAGAGACACTACACAAGAGGAAGGTCAGCCTGAGCATGCTGAAAGCCCGTATCGATAGCGAGACGGCAGCCAGTGCTGCGTCACACCCTCCTTCCAGAACCCTGTCACCAGTCCATTCTCTTTCTGGAAAAGAGGAACCCCACCACTATGGCCATGCTCACTCGCTCGCCGCTTCACACCGGCCTCAGTTCCTAGATGAATCACACGTGTTCTGGTGTAGCTCTTGCACAGGAGACCTTGTCATTCTGTAGTTTTGTCATTTACGTTTTCCGGATTATGCGAAGAGATTTTATTTAAATACACTGTAGTCCAGTGCGGGATTATAATGTACAAGCAAGGTAGGTGAAGATAACTGAAATGAATGGCGGTGGTTACATATATATTGGTGAAGACAGATATAGGAGAAGTTCGAATTGGAAGGAGTGACAGTGAGGCCAGTGCTCATTAGGGAACGGTGATATTATAATAAAAAGAAAGAAATGTTCGGGAAATCGTTAGTTCAGCCCTTCTCGCTTGACCCTCAGCTCTCGTAGACGTTGAGCCAGATCCTCGAGCTCCTCAGCCTGCAACGTCCCGCGCTTCCTCTCGTGCTCCAATCCGTTCTCCAAGCTATCCAAGACGTCGCTAATCAACTCCCGATAATGCACACCAAAGAACTGCGTAAGTTTCGCAGCTCTGCGCCTGCGCAATTGGAAGTCCGTGATGTCCGGTTTACTGGGAGACGCAGCAACGACGAGGCTGATCTCAGAGTTTAGGGAGGCGTTGGAGGAGCGAGTTGGGAGCGAGCGACGGCGTTCAGTCTTAATCGAGGCGTCAGAGTGTCGGCGGCTACGAATGGAGCGGTTGGAGAGGTCTTCGAGGGGACTGCCGTCGTCCCGCAGACCGTCTGGAGAATCACCCTCCCCGTTGATGTAGTTGTGTAGCTCGAGAAGGGATTCACGATCGTCCTGCCAGGCCACCAGTAAGTATGTGCTAAGGTCCGAGTTTCAAAACATAGACGACGTACCCGATCCAGGATATCATTGAGGGAATGAATAGAGTGTTGATAATGGTTATACACATCGGATCCATGCTGGTTATTGGTATGATACGATCCAGGCCCTAGTAATCCAGGATGGAAGGCGTCCGACGAGCGGGTATGATTGTGGCTGATTTCATCGAATCCGACAGAAGACGACCTGCGTCCTTTGGGTAACAATGCTTTGCTAGATTCCGCAGTTCCAGGGCGGTTGTTCTTCTTGCCTTTGGTTTTCTGGTAGGATGGTTGGTTGGGATTGCGGGTGAAGAGGACAGGCTCCGAAGAGGGTTTGAGCGATGGAAGGTTCAAGCTGGCGATGGCTTTGGGTGTCACGTAGGGAAGTGAGGGTGATGGGGAATGGCGGGTATGGTAGAGTGTTTGTGGGGGTGCAACACCAAAGACCTGATTAGAGAAGAGCGGGTATCAGTGCACATCGATATTTCTGAAGGGTAGAAGCTCACCTTTTCCATCTTCTGGGCTCGGCGGACGTTGAGAGCCTTCTCCTTGGTGTCCAATTCCTCCTTCCTGCGCTCGAGCTCATCCAACCAAGTAGGAGGCAAGGCAGCCGAACTACTCTGACGCCGACGCAGCCAGGCCTTCTTCCCAATGGAATCCTCAGCTTCAGAGGACGATATCTTCATTGACCGTCGCCGCTCTGGAGATGACGCTGGAGGGAGATTGCTTTCAGGATCGTGGACACCGAGAACTAAATTGGCTGGGACGCGCGATCCAAGGTATCGATGCAATTTGGCCAACTTCTCGCGCTTGCGTCTACGTTCCTCTTCGGCCTGCTCCTCGGGCGTCATGTTCTCGGAAAGAATGGATTCAGGCCTGCTCTTGGACTTCTTCGTGATGCTCGATTCACCCAGCACGGATATTTCATCATCATCATCATCATGGTGGTCCTGCTCCTCATCTGAGCCATACAAATCGATAAAAGAGGTTCGAGGCGATGAAGACGCTCCTGTCTCTTTGGTGACCACAATACCAACTGAATTGGCTTGTGACTCGGGTGATTGTGCTGCCGATTCATTGCGGAACTGCGAGGCGACCTGTGACATGCTAGCCTCGTAAAGCGGACTGGAGACATTCAAGAAGGAGATATCATCCGGACTAAGAGGTGCCGAATGCCGTCTGCTTGACAACGAGAAATGTGATTCAGTTGGTGAAGGCCATGCTGATGCGCGTCGACGTCGCAGACCGCTACTAGCGGCATCGAGATCATTGGAGAAAGAGAGGGGGGTCCTTTGATGTCGGTGTTTCCCAGCAAGAATCTGGGCAGTGCGCGAACAGTCCTGGTAGGCCATGACATCGGGGCCAGGTGTGCGACCAAATACGCGGGCAAGTTTGCGCGACTTGCGGATAAGATCTGCACGTTCTTCCTGGGCCAGCCAGTTCGTGGTGGGCGGGAGGTCACCATTGGACGTCTCGTAACCCTCGAAGACGAGACTGGGCGCCACGGGAGACTGTGACGGCGACGATGATTGGGGTGACAGGGCTCTGCGGCTGAAGATTGGTTTTGGGGTTGTCGGCAGCGGCGGCTTTGCCTGAATTGGTTGCTGCTGCTGCTGAGGCGGCTGGGGCACGACACGAGAACCGGAAAGGATAGACATGAGCTGGTAGTTGTCTGGATCTATGACTTGCTCGCTTTGTATCTCCTGGAGAATGTCGTGTCGCTGGTCGTAATAGTCGTCGTCGTCGTTGTCGTTGTCGTCGTAGCTGTCTTCGTCGCGTTCGTTGTGGTGGGAGTGTGGAATGTGGATGTAGGAAGCGTCGTCTGGGTATATTGTTGATGAGATGGATATCCTGTGTTCTGGGGAGAAATCGATAGTTGAGGGAGGATTGTAAGTTGTGTCTGAGTCGCAAGAGCCAGCTGAGGACCTGGACAATGACTTGGTGTGAGTGTGAGAACTGAGCAAGGGTCGCTTGCGCCAAGGCTGAATGTCGGCGCGGAACTCTGCAATTCCCAAATTCAGCAAAAAATCAAATTTAAAAAGAAAATTACTGACCGACGTCCCGGATATCTCGAGCTTTCGTTAGTTTGCTTTTCGCAACTCCTTTGGCCTTGCGCACTATGGAAGGTCCTTTCAACACTGTTTTGTTCTCGACAATGGGTGCGCTGGCCCTGGGCGGCGGCAGCGTCGGGGAGCTGTCGGAGGATGGATAAAACGGGTTGCGGCGCGTTGGTAAAAGTTTTTCGATCTTGGACGGCAATGACGCAAACTTGGGCATGATCGTGGGCGATGCTGGGGCCGAGGATGCAGCAACCACCACAGCCCCAGGAGGCGAGGCCGCAGTCTGGCCATCGTTGCTGAGAGGCTGGATAACCACAGGCGTCGGGGGTGGCGGCGACCTGTCATCGACGGGCAGTCTGCGACGACTAGCATGCTCGGACGACGACTGCGAATGCTCAGAGCGCTCTGTGATCGGTGTCGGGACGGTTGGGATGCTCAACAGCGGCGGGATGTCGACGGTGGGGATTATCCGCGGCCTGTCCAACGAAAATGTCTTCCTCCGCACCACCAACTCCTCAAACGACGGCTCGGTCTTGATCTCGCGGTTGTCGACGGTCAACAACGACGTCGAAGAATCGTCCGCAACACGCGATAGCATCGAAGCACTCTCAGCAGTGCCATCACCTTCCCCAACCCCTTCTGCTGCTTCTTTGCGCGTCTCCGTCGGTGCCGCCGCGGCTTCTCCAGTGCTTCCATTAGGAGGAGTCCCTTCACTCCCAGTGCTTGACTTGGGCGTCGTCGTCGTCGGCGATCCCTCACCCTCCAGTTCGGCAGGGACAGGCGGTGGCCTCTTCCTCCTCACAGCACGTCGCGGCGGAGGTGGAAGACTAATCATCTGACTTTCCTGGTGGTGTGTCTCTTCCGGAATGGGGTCAAACGTCGCAAACGCATCTATAGGACTCGCCTGCGCCGAGTTGCTGGACGAGAAGAAATCAGAGTACCTTGCGCTGTTCAACGCTGGGCTAATACCCCCTCCTCCTCTTGGACTCCCACCGGCACTCCTGGGTGCATTTTCATACTCCAACAACCTTTCGAGCTTGCCCGTTGCCAGTGTCAAATGCCGCGGGATCGTGTCTTCTCTCTGTCGGGTCTCCAGTAGGCTTCCGAAACTTCTTGTCGCCGCTACGCTCTGGGACATCACTTGCACGGTCGGCTTCCTTTGTGGGCTGTGCGTTGGGCAAGTCAAGTTATACTTGGACAGGATACACTAGTCCTCTCTTGACGATATCAACAGGTGGTGTCGGTGGTGTTCGTTGCCGGGCGTGTCGTCTGTATCACTGCCTTAGCTCCTATTCTAGCTAATGATGCTCAAATGGGCAGACAGACTTACAACGTAAACTATAATCGTCTGTCAGTCGTATGAACCCTTGCACGATGCTCGAGTCCACTAGACGAGTGGACTGTAGGAGGACTTGTCAAAGGGCGAAGCAAAGCAGGTAGAGAGGAGAGGAGATGAAGGGTCCTTCGAATAAAACTCGCACACCCCAGGGGGTACTTTACACTTTCTCCCAAGATTTGATTGCCAACTTTTGACCTTTCACACAGGACAACTGGAAAGAGGGGTGGGTGTCACTCTTCAGAAGTTACCTCCGCCCGATGGGGAGAAAACATGGAACATGTGTTGGTGCCGTAACTTTACAAACCCACACTTCTTTCCTTCCTTGCACTTTTTCCTTCGTTTTCTCCATTCTCTCGGCGAGTTAAACGTCGGTGTAATAAAATAACGTGGGTGGTGTGTAATCCTTATGACTCTAATAGCGGTAAAAGTGTAACGTCCATTGGCATGCGAGTGCTTTAGAAAGTCCGATAAATAAACGCCGTTCCCCGTTTGCTCGTTCCATCTCATTATCTTCGACCAGACTACCATCGAGGGAATTACGCATATCTTGTGGATTGGGCTTACTGCACCCACGTACTCTGGTAACCAACTCGAATACTCCGTAGCTCAAGGATCTAACAAGTCTAACCGCCGTCCACAACCCAAGGTAAACGCTGACCCGAGCCACCTTACCTATCTAGAAACCTCCTAAAACCGCGCTCAGAGAGATTATCTATCTTCGGACTCGTATACCATGACAACCGCACACTCAATCTGATCATCTGCCCAACCAAAACGCATAGATATGTCACACTCTTCCTCCAATTGGAATGTATGTCTCTCGATGGTACCGGTGCTTGCACAAACTAGGCTGTATCGTCCAGCCTCGTACCGCCTTGGAACTTGACTTGCTTGTCAAATGACCCTTGTCTCGACCATTGGCGTATTGGTAATTGGCGCTTAAATTGGTCATTAGTGGCGATAGAGAGCGGGGTGGAAGGGGGTTGAATGGGTGGTTCAGACTCTTCCTCGCCCTGGACTCCTCTGGGGCACACTGGTATCTCTCTAGTTAGATAAACGTGCATCAGCTAAAGCCCCCATACCCGCTGATCGTCCACCAGTATCTGCCCTCTGATAAAGTTCAGCGAGAGCTATGGGGTAAGTTTCACCGAGGTAAAGACCAAGCTCTTGATCATGCAAACTGTATAATATGCAGGGATGGTCGTTAAATAATAGTACAAATGCATAGGCGTAGGTGTGGTAAGAAGATGAGCCAAGAAAGCAACAAGATGAGCGAAGGGTGTCAATGTGTATGTGTATGAACGCTGCAAAGAGAAGTGAAAATGAAAGAATTGAAGGTGCAAAAAAGACGTAAGAAAAAAGGTCGTCAAAAGGGGTCAAAATGGAAAGGTGAGATGCACTAAAGTCATAAATAAAGTAATGTATCGAAAACCGTCAAACCAATGAAGGATATGCACAGGCACGTGTAGTCTAAAGGAAGACTAAGCGATAGCAGGAACGGGACGAGGAGGTAGTGGCGGAGGCGTCCGACCATGTTGAGCGTCGCCATCCCCATTCCCACTGGCGCTGCCCATGGTCGACGCCGAGCCCACGCTACTCCTACTCGTGTTTAACGCACCGCGTGTCGGGCCCGCTACATCCCCCGAGGCCATGACCTCGTGCAGCGTCGGCTCCGTCATTGCACTCCCATGGTGAGCATTGGCAACACCCGGCTGAGAATCCCCTTGTTCCTGAGGGGAAACAGAGCGCGCAATCTCGTCCTTGGAAACGGTATTCTTCAGAGCCTCAGATGCGGCGGAAGACGATCCTAGCGCGCCTGCCGGAGGATTCAGGGTAGCCTCTGACGTCGAAGCCAATGTGGGGCCAGCTTGAGTGTTGGTGTGACGAGGGGGTAGTGGCGGTGGACTAGGCCGCTCAACTGCCTCTCCCGGACGGCTGTCTGATCCACTGCCACTACCACCACTCTGAGTAATCTCGGTGTCACCACCACCACCTGTCTGCGACGAGTCAGCACTGTGAGACCCACTCGATCCTTGCGAGGTCGCTTGGCTGGTCACGCTGTTCCCAGCATTCCCGGGACTCTTCCAAAAGCGATAGACAGTCTGGATAGCGGGGTTTTTCAACTTGCTTTCTATGATTGTCGATGGCGTAGGAGCCGTGGAAAGCACAGGCGGAGTGGGCGTTTGCGGGGAAGCGACATGTCCCAGCGATTGAATTTCTCCGCGGTTTTTGGCGTGAATACCTGGAATGGACATCGTTTTCGCTTGCGGTTGGACGTGGATCGGCGTTTCGAGCGAGACGGGGGGTTCAGCGTCGATGTCGGTATTAACCCGGCTGATTGAAGGAGTGGATTTCTTTGTGGCGAGGCGGGGTGTTGACAGGCGTGCCGAAGAGGATACGATTGATGGGTAAATGGGATTGTCAGAAGACGAAGCCTGGTTCTGAGCATGAGCGGATCCATTAGACAACGTGGTTGGAGGGTTCGAATTCGAATTGCCTTCCGTCTCGGCCAACCTCTCTTTCTCCTTCCGCTCAGCAACTGCCGCTCGCACTTCGGCGTAGCTTGCTCGGGGCTTGTGGCCAGAGGGTGGACTGGTGCCTGCATTTAGACGAGACGAAGTTGAGGCGCCGTCATGAGAACTCGAGTCGTCAGTGCTGTCTTTCTTCAGGCCCCAGTTGGCACTCCATTTCCGTATCGTTTCCTTTGCAGTGTTCGTCAGAGCCTGCTTATCTCCAGCCTTAGACTTGAGTGTGGAGAAGAAGGAAGGTGGACTGGGAGAGCGATTCTTCAGAGAAACATCTGATCTTCTTCGTTCTGGCGTGGTTGGACGGCTCCTTAGATAGGAACTGTCTTCGTCGTCATCGCGGTTAGAGAGACGAGAGTGGGATCGATACGATGTACCGGCTTCGGATTGCGAGCCTTGATCCGTTTTGTAGGACTTTTGTGAGCTGACAGAATGTGCACTTCGACGTCGTGAAGAGCGCGAGGGAGAACGCGATGGGCCTTCTTCGTCGGTTGTCGTGCCTGTGTAGCCTTTCCGACCTCGTCTATGTTTCGAACCGTTCTCATCGCCCGAGCCGGAGAAAACATCGCTGAGCAACCCCGAACCATCATCACTTTTGACACTGGAGAACCATGTTTTGCGACGTGTGTTATTCCTAGTCGAGTCTGTCGGATCGCTTAGTGCAGACTTCGAGTCTGACGACGAAGACGAGCTTGAGGATTTGACAGCCAAAAGGTCGTCAGACTGGGAAGTGAGAGTGGCCGGTGGTTCAGTAGAAGAAGAACCGGGGTTGGGTGCAGATTGGGAAGACTGGACATCCTCCTCTCCTTCAGGGGGAGTAACGAACGCGCGCGGATGCATCTGTCGAGACGCATCTGCCCAGATACCACCACGGTGAGCATAGGGCAGACTGTCAAAGAACGCGATGTCGTCCATGTTTGGCATCACAACCGACTCTCGAATCTAAGAATGCGATTAGAACAGCCTTGGTGAATTGGAACAGATAACTCACAATCTCCTTGATCTGGGACTCGATCGTACTCAGGATCATCCCCCAAGTAATCTGCCTATCGCTGACAATAGGCTCAACGGCCAACACCATCCTCGGCGTCTGCGTAAACGCATACCAAATGCGATTACTCGGTGGACGTTTAACTTTGACCAACAAATTCCCCTCCAATTCCTTCAAAACGGCCGCCAAAACGAGTTTCACTGTATACGACTTGAACCTTGCTCCGAGATTAATGACCGCAGTTGCTTCTATCGTTATTCTGATTTCGCCTTTGTATTGGAAATGAACTTCCAACGATGCGTCGCCCTCTTTCGTGAGCTCTTTCAGCATTGGTTTGCTGAACATGGGAGGTCTGGTGCCCACAGAGACTTCGGTCACGGCGATGTCGGTGAGGAACTGGGGACGCTTGACCTTTTCGAGCTTCTTCATTAATCGACCGATAATGTATGCCTCGAGGTGGTGAGTTCGGTAATGGCTGAAGAAGATTCGTCCCAACAGGGCATTCAACCATCGCATTGGGATGACATCGGGCTGGTTGTCCAATGTGTTGACCAAGTGATTCATATCGGTTGGGTCAAATACGCTCCGCAGTGGGAGAAGAGTCGGAGTTTGAGCAGGATGTGAAGAGGCGTGGAGGAGCGAAAAGTACCAGTCTTCCATTTCGAGATTGGAACGAACAAAGATGAACCACGGCGTCTCAGGGTCGAACGCTTCATCCCTGGCTGCGTCGATCTTCTTGTCGGCCTCGAGCAAAGCTTCCCGTTCCCTGGCTTTCTTCTTTGCTGAACTCGGTTTCCTTTCCAGCTGGGACTCCACCTCTTCCTTCCCCAGTTTCATCTCCTTCGTCACGCTGGCCAAGTTGCTGGATGCTGGAGTCTTCCGGCGGAGACAGATGGCATTCCTCTTCGCGTAGAGTTCGCCGTCGGGAAGACCCTCAGGGTAAATGACTACATCATGCCCGCTGAGTTCAATGGCAGCTTCGCATTCGGTCATACCCTCGTCCTCATAAAGGTAAAGGATATTCCTCTTGAGAACCGCATACCACATGTCCTTGGGTCTCGAGCGCTTGGGGTCCTTGGAACGGGAATCCAAGAACGACCTAACGAGCGTCACATAACTCGTGTCATTCTCCTCTTCTTCAAACGTCCGCCGAACAGTGAGCCAGCCTTTCCGGGTCGTGGGTTTGTCGTTGAGTTCGAGTTGTGGATCCGCTGCACTGCCGTTGTCCTTGTCGCCATCCATCACCTCTCCGTCGTTGTCCTTCTCTTCCTCCACACTGTCCGCCTCCATTTGCCCCCTCTTCTTCTTTGCCATATCGGTATCACCGACGGGTACAGAGGTGTACACCGTGATGAAGATGACGACCGCCACCACGAGCGGGATGAAGGTGAGCCCTCCCAAGACATAAGCGTACAGAAGAGCCTTGAACATATTGTGGCGCCCCGCTGTGAAACAACGAACGATGAGAGACAGTGAGAAGACGAAGGAAAGAGAGAGAGAGAGACGCGGGAGAGCGTTTGGACGCTCAGAAGCGTCTGATTGTGTGAAAGGCAGCCAGTACAAGCAAGTTGCAACTGGAGCGGTGTGACTTGTTTCGAGAAGAGACTGTGGCAGAGTCACGGTGACGTTGCGGCACGTGTTGTCCTTGATCCCCCTGATGCGCGTCTATTTGCATTCACGCGCTTTGGTACCGACCCTAATTATCGACAAATTACAAGCTATTGATACAAGTACAGATATGCTAAATGGTACAACACATTGATAGGAGATTTCTAGAGTAATTTTGGAAATTTGAAAGGAATGGAATCGATAATCATGTTCTTGAGGCTTTTCTTCGAGTATTGAGGATCGGTCTTGAACACAGCCCTCTGAGCGTCTGTTCCTCGAGGGAGGGTAACACAGCTTCCCAATGTCCATTTTTCCAGACCCATTTCTCCATTATCGGCATCATAGTATGTGCATGTGTGGGAAGTAGCGGCGGGTGAACTTGGTTAAAGGGAGGATGTGTAGGCACAGTCAAGTACTGGCCAAACCCGCTGTTTTGATACGGCACCCTACAGACGTCTTCTTCGTGCGTCTGTGAACCACAGTGGTTGATGACGATGTAGGGTATTGAGGGGTGAAGGGGTGGTATAATGATAGGATCTTTCGAGTATACCTATCGAGAAGAGTGTGAGGTTAAAACATTAGCGAAGACGTGATAAGAACCTACAGAATGGGCAGACGAGCTGTGTCGCCTCTTTCGTGACATGGAATCGTCTTCTTCGATAACTTTCTCATCCCAATTGACCTAGAAGATACGGCAAAGATATTCCCGTCAGCCTCTTCCCCGATACCATGAGTAATACCACTTACCTCGGGTTCTTCTTCACACACCGACCCTTCCTCATACCGCTCCTCCAACTCCGACAACAGCAACACCGTCCTCTCAATATCACCAACAACCATCCCCTGAATCCCTCTACATATAGGCCCAATAGCATTCTCGTGCAACAACCCCGCGACTTCCGGTAGACCAGGTAACAATCTTCTTACGGCCTGAATATCAATAATCTGTAAGCAACCCATCATGATGCAGGTCAGCAGGGAGAACAGGCAGTCGTAGTCGCTCGTACGACCACCCAAGTCACGTACATAATCTCCTTTCTCCTGCTGCGGTATTGGCAGCCCAGCAGCCTTCAAGTAGTCCGTGGACCACTTGAGCATAGACGGCATTTCTTCCTTGAATACACCGGTTACAAGAGTGCCGAAGTGCAGGGAGAGTACCCGTATGCAGTAATCGTGGGCGACTATCTATTCCTCGCAACCAGCACTGGCGGTATGATGATCAATGAGGAAAGACGACGAATAACCGAGGACATGAGCCCCGACAGCGAAAAGCAATGGGTGAGAAAGAAAGCAGACTTGGGAAAAGATCGAGTTGGACAGAGTCAGTCATCATCGCCTTGGAAGGGGTCATTGTAAACTTTTTGGGGAGGACCTGTCCAAACTGGACTCGCAGTCCAAACGCAACTGATCCCGCGGAAGCGGAGCCAAACGATCCGCTGACTAAGGCGATGCTAAGCTGCGCACTTCGCGTCTTCATAGGGGCTTTCGACGGCTTCTCGCGTTCTGGTCTCTTTTGGAAGGGCTCGAAGCCATTGAGATGTTGTATCTACACTGACACTTAGCACACCGGAATCTCCCAGCTAGTGTCTAGCCCAAGGAAGAGGAGGAGCCCATACTCCAAAGCACCCTATGGGATCCATTCAGTTCGACCATCCATGGTGACTGCATGCTCCGAGCCCGTTGCACTCAAGACGGGACGACGTTTCTACATTTACTGCATAGCCGGAGGCTGTTCAAAAACTTTGGGGATGGAGCCTTCGATCGACGATGCTGTTGGGCATCGGGAGACACTTGAGAGACCGAAGACTTCCAGAACCCCTATCCGTGGCTTCGACGATCTCATTCCTGAAAGACAAATAAACTGAAGGAAATTACTACATACTAACCCATCCACCAAGAAGTTTAATACAAAAAAGAGGCTCTAATCTACGCGATGCAAGCGATTGAGTTGACGTCGTCTATCAAGAAGATGCAAGCAAGGGGAAATGCAAGTAATGTAAGAATAGGGATAAAGAAAACCTAGTTCGAGGTGGCCACCACTGGGAATACCACAGTCCAAGCAGCTAGGCCCTGCCTAGAGCACTTTTGAAAAAGTCTCTGCCAATACCAAGAATTCCAGTGTCTGTCCAGCCCAAGTGGAATCAAGACGTGAACCGAATTCACGCAAATCACCACGTCCTGGTGATCACGGTCTCCGTAAGACCCTCCAACGCCAACTTGGTATCACTATCAGGTAGCCGTTGTAATGTTTCCCGAGCCTTTTCAGCGTACGCATGGGCTAGCAATCGAGTGCGCTCTACGCCCGAAGATTGCTGGACACATTGGATAGCCTACACGAAAAAAGGGTGAAGGTATGATGACGTCAGTAAATCGTCGTGAAGTGACGTAGTCAAATGCAGGGTTCTCGTTCAAGAATGTGACAGTCCCCCCGTTGTCGTCGTCGTGAACGGCGAGAGTGGGCGTAGAAGGGGTGTAGGATGTCAATCGCAATAGACAGAAAGACTTACAGCTTCAATATCACCTGTTCCTGTAAGGTTGCGCGCGATGAGATGCTTCAATTCTGGATGTTCCTCCAAAGCGTACAGCACAGGCGCGGTTGCCAACCCAGGTTGCAGTCCAGGCGAACAAGCGTCATAATCTAACGTGTCCTCGATTAACTATAACCAATGTTAGCGAAAGGAATGATCCAAAGCGCGCGTAAGACGGCATTACCTGATACGCAATGCCCAAACTCCTTCCATAGGCATAGGCAACCTCTTTCCAGACCTCATTCTCCCCACACCCTCCAAGCACAACCGAAGCACGCGCGCCCTTGGCCATCAAACTCGCGGACTTGAGATACGTCTTGCGCAGATAGAGATCCCAAGCTTCTTCACGCGTCCTTGGGCCCTCCATCACACCCAACCCAGGCGTCTGAACCTTGTCCATCCCCAAAAACTCTCCCTCCACCAAATTCGAGATGACACTCGCAATCAACTCGACCACCTCTCCACCTCCAAGATGCGACAACACCGTACTCGCTCGTCCCAGTAAAAAGTCTCCACCAAGGATTGAGAGCTTGTTACCGAATGGGTTTTGAGAGTCGGATGACGGACTCTTGGACGCGTCCGAAATGTTTTGGTGCAACAGCAACGCGACGTGGATCATCTCCACAATTTGCGCGAGGCGCATCTGCGTAGGCAGCAACATCGGCGGGGTGATAAGTGTCGGCAAAGGTGGGGGATGGGGGAAAGGCGGTATTGACGTCGCTTTGACCGCAGACGGCCTGCGCAACTCGAAAGGCTTCGCGAAGGACGCGGTATGGTCGGGCATGTTGGGGTTACAATCGCTCAATGTCTCTGACGAACGTAAAGGCCGATCTAATTCTTCTGCCCTCCCACCGTGCGCCTCCGTACCCGCTTCCCAATGGCGCAGCTGCCAATCCCGTCCCAATCCATTCGTCGCTCGCGCAAACAGCAGAACCAACAGCGAGCGCAGCTGTTTTGAAGGATGCAAAAAGTAGTATTCCGCGATTTCTGCTAAACCTGGATGGGCCGACCCGAGCAGTCCGAGAAGGTTGGAGCGTAGGACATTGAGTTCTGGAGAGACAAGCCGGAATGGGTCTGGTCGGAGTCGTTGTTGAGTTTTAGATGACGGTGATGGTTCGGTAGGAAAGGCCAAAGGGTCTTGTTTTGGACGTGTCCAAGCAGCTGGCTCTGTCGTAGCCGTTTTCTGGGCCAGAACTGAGACTTTCCGTCGTTTGTGCCGCGTGACTGCGCTGCCCCCTGAGGTGCAGGGAATGGAGGATCGAGATATCCGTGTCGACGCCGAAACCCTCAGAGACCGTCCTAGACCTTGCATTTTTTGAAGAGAAGAGCGTCAGCAAGGGCAGGGCGTCGCGCAGAAATTTAGCCTCCAGCGGCAAAGGACGTCGACGATGACGGAGAGGGATTGACACGATTATTCCCGCGGCTCGGAATTTTTGCTTCAAGCGCTGCTGCAGCTGACCGCGAAACGGTGGAAACGGTGTAATACAAAAAACATATGCCTGCGACTATGGTACAAGTGTAAAATAGTTTCTACTCTAAGGATCATTATAATATACGATAGTGTCGTCATGAAAGCATTCAAAAGCAATGAAGAATAAGGATAAAGTCTCTAACTACGAAAAGGCGCTGGAACTCGGTGGAAACGAAAAAGGTCGAAATTGTCTGCTTCCAAATGAATATAATGATCATATTCGAACAGGCGCTGGTGAGAGAGCTGCAGGCGTTGGCGGTGTAGCCTTGACCTTCAAAAAGGGTCTAAACCGACTGAGAGGTTTTGCCAAATGTTTGGCGAACACCGTTCCCTGTATCGGTCTTAGCAAAAGAATCGTGTCGAAAACGAGATAAATAGACCGCACCCTTTCATGAAGCTCGTCAAAGTCCAGAGACTCGTAACCGTTGAGTGCGAGTAGCATCAACGGCTGTCGCTCCACAACCCCATCTTCATCCTCTTCTTCCGCATCCTGCTCCTGCCCTTCCTCATCATCAACGGGGACAACAACAATCCTACCAAACTTCTGACAATATTCAGTATTTCCATCCTTCCATACCAGCCAACAAAGGGGGAGGATAAACTACCCAAAAGATGCTCACCTCGCTATCAACCATCCCATGCCCCTGCTCCTTCGTCTCGTGCCAAATTTCACTAGCTAACCCAGCAATAACCCTGATATCATCCTTCGACCTGGTAGGTTCCGCGGCGTACGACACCAGCTCGCCAGAAACAGTCAACAGCACCGCCGTGTGCAATTCGGGGAAGGCGAGGATTTGGGAGAGAATATTGTGGAGTTTGGAAAGGACGAGCATCGGAATTGGGTATGTTCGATTTTGAATCCGTGGTTTTGTGTACGTTACGGTGGGTGTGGAGTAGTGTGAGGGGTAGGACGACTCGTCTTGCACGCCGACTCGAGTTGGCTTCCTCTCCTATGCTGGCAAACTCGGTCTTCCAGGAGTGTGAAAGTGTCGGAAACTGGTCCGGAGCGGTGGTGCTCGAAGAACTGTCGTTTAGTATGTCGCGAAGGAACGAAAGGAATTCCCTCCGAGCTTGCTATTTCTATTCTATCACACGATGACGATCGCGATCGTGTCCACGTGGGGGGCATCGTTGGCGTTGATGGTCGTCGTCGCGCATCGTAAACGAGTGTGCTGCTACAGTCTGCAGTTATAATCTCTATCATGGGTACTACCAACCAACTATTATTAAAGAGACAGAAGAAAAGAAGCAGTAAATAAAACGAAACGATGACATCAGGAACAGCGTATACAACAACAGATCTCGAGAACTCAGAACAACAGGGACGTCTTGAAACAGAAGAGTAGAAGCGAAACACAGAGACGAATATCGCGCGCAAATCAGGCATCACAGTCTATAGAAACGTAGGTATCGTGCTAATAATGATAACGGCCACAACACAATCGTCTACCAGACGCGCAAGTATTATGGCTTTTGTTGACCCTGCAGGCGGTACGCATGAGAAAAACAGCCCGTGTAGTCTCGATTAACGCTGGGAACCAACCATGTAGGGAGGCATCATGTATTGTCCTGGAGGAGGCGCAGTGCCTGTGGGCGGAGGAGCTCCGTATGGAGCTGGAGCGACGCCAGGTGCACCAGGAGGAGCAGCACCTTGAGCTCGCTGTTGCGACTGCAGAAGCATCATGATATTGGGTGGGAGCGCGCTGAGAGCGGCAGTATTGACAGGAGACCCTGTTGCTGGAGGTGGCGCCGCAGCTTGAGTAGGCGGGGGTGCTCCCGTGTATGTTCCTGCTGGGGGGTACGCCATGGCGCCTGGTGGTGGATAGTACGGATTCGGTGCTGGAGGTGCTTGCATAGCAGGAGCGGCGGGTACTGGTGGTGGAGTCCCGGGCCCATTCTGTGGTTGCTTCAAAGCCGCTAGCAGCTGTTGCACTTTACGTGCTTGGTCTAACCGGTCTTCAGGAGCACCCTGTTAAAAGCATCGGTCAACAAGTGTCAACTACAACTTGTCTGAACTTACAACTGGTGGCGCTGCCTGTGGTGGGGGAGCGGCTGGCATGCCATAAGGCGCTGCAGCAGGCGGTACTGGAGGCATGGGAGGAGCAGGCCCGCCATAGGCAGGCGGTCCAGGTGGAGGCGGGGCAGGTCCGTCATAACCACCTCGGTTATCATACCGGTCGTTGTATCCCCCGCCACCTCGAGGTCCACCACGACCATAGTCATCGTCGTAGCGTCGGTTAGGACCACGTCCATAACCATCATCATGTCGGTCATAGTCATCACCTCCACCGTATCCACCCCGGCCTCCTCGATTGGCTCGACCTCGGTTGCCTCGTCCACGTCCCCCGCCGCCACCTCCCCGGTGGCCACGGTCTTCCCAGTTGCGTTGGCCCCCTCCGTCCCTGGAAGCGTGTCAGAATTGGCAAGACAAGCATGATGAATGCTAGATCATACCTGTTACCGAACTGGGGCTCTGAGTTATCCCAAGCATACACAATATCTAGCACGCCATCTTGAAGAGGGGCTTGGGATAGAGCATTGACTGCTTCGTCACAGGACTAGGGATCTGCATCAGAATACGTCCATGTTCTGAGAGATAGACAAAGCTTACCCTTGTGTCATAGTACTCGACGTAGCGAGAACTGTGGGTGGGGTCAGAGATATCCCTTGCCGAAAAAAGCTTCCACCACATACTCAATGCGCTCATTGACAGGCCGTATAGATTTGATGTCTCCATACTGCTGGAACCGTCTCCGGACTTCGTTGTCATCAATCGCTGCACCCGATGGCGATCCTCGCAGCGTGACCTGCAATGTGCCCTGGAATTGCTGCATGGCCGTTAGTGTTTATCCCTTGTCAAGAACCCACTGCAACACTTGCCTGATTTCTCTGGTTCTCTCCTCCTCGGTCGTCACGTGGAAGTGAATAGTGGACATCGATCTGTCGAACAGTGGCAGAAACAAGAACGGTGTGTTTGATGAGTGGATCGACGTCATAATATGAGAACTTACAGGACGCCCACTGATTTCTGACCCTTGCAGCCTATCCCTTGCTTTCTCTGCTGATCGCAAATCGAACTGACCGTGCGCTCTTAGTTTCCGTGGTGGTGGCTGACGGGATGGCAACTCACATAAGTAACGAAGACCATGCCTCTGGTAGCGATCAGGTCAAAGAACGTCTTGATTTCTCCGTGTTCTTCAAAGAGACGGCGAACCTCTTCACTGGGAGTTTCATACTGCACACGAACGAGTTCAAGAACAGCTTTCGGAATGGCTTCAGAACCTCACTTGCCTTAATGTTACGGATGAATAGGGTACGACAGGGTCTTTCACGTTGAATGCGTTCTTCAATAATGGAGTCATGAACCTTGTCATCTCTTTCCTTTCGCTGGGGACGTCGACGGTGGTATGAGTCGTGACCATCGCCTCCACCGCCATGACCGCCTCCATAGGGCCCTGGACCATCTAACAACGAATGTTGGTGAGTTATCCGGACACGACAAGAAAGATATAAAAGGGGGACGTAGAAGGAAACGTGGTCGGAGCGTGTGCTGCACGCGGATCGGGCAAATGTGCATGATGCAACCAGTCTCAGGATATCGAAGGATTTTCAGCGATGAATCTCCTTAGTCTGAACGAATACCTTTGACCTTAAGAATCACAGCAGGAGCAGCAGCAAAGAATGTCTGAAGAGTCGAGCCAGCAGTGCTGGGGGATAGTAAGGAATCCGACCACTGCACTGCAAGCCGATCCGCCCGGGTAGCACAAAAGCAGACATCTTGCCCACACTCCGCGTGCCTCAAAGAATGTTCAGTTGCTCGCCATCTCGCCGCGTCCCTGCACCCCTGAAAACATGGTTTACAATCTCAAGATAGCGCACCTTCATACTTGTCGTATCCATCATATCCGCCTGTGGCATTGTATGCAGAGGAATGGCCATAGTTGTTTGACTGATAGTAAGAATTGGCTGGTGGCTGGACTTCATAATCGGCGTATGGCTGGGGTTGATTTCCTTGGTCATAGGCACTGCTCATGTTACCACCGTCATATGGGTAGCCTCCTCCATGACCGCCTCCCCCACCGGCATGTCCCCCTCTCCCTCTAAAGCCGCCTCTGCCACGGAAGCCACCCCTGTCGTGCTGACGGTATGAACGGTCGGGCCCTGGGCCACCGGGCGATCCGCCTCTTCGAGGGGCACCACCATCATAACCTCCACCATACGGATGGTGACGATTCATTGTTCAGGCGAAATTCAAGCAAACTTGGAGCTCAGATGATGACGTGGCAGAGTTTAGTGCAAAGACGTGGAGTGTGCTGTTGTTGTTTGCTGCTGATAGCGATGGAGGCGTTGAACGGGAGTAGAGAAGAGACCAGTCGACGGTGCTGATATGTGTGCGCGTGTGTGGTATCCTCACTCAGAACAACTCAGCGAAAATAACGGTTGTAGGCGACGACGAAGACGACGACGACGATAAAGAGCGACTGGCGTTGAGTGGTGAGAGTCAAATTCCAACGTTTGTGTCACCGTCCGCAAATTGCAACAGCGGCGGAGTTTCGGAAAAAGCCGCGGCACGGCCCAATTGTGTCCGGCCAGGCTTGGGCCTAGTGGCCTGGCAAGTCACTGCAGCTCGAAGCAGTGCAACTCCACCACCTCACAACCTCTTTACAATGTCAAAGCAATTTCAATTCAAGCTCGTTCTTTTGGGTGCGTCAAGTCATTACAGTTTATACCTACTCATTACTGACTTGTCTTGCTCTAGGTGAATCTGCTGTGGGCAAGTCGAGGTGCGCTTAGGGCCAGCTAGATACCGCTCCAGGATCCTAATACTCCGCAGTCTGGTACTCCGTTTCGTAAAGGATCAGTTCGACGATTATAGAGAGAGTACAATTGGCGGTATGCATATTGCAGGGTCTTCGTCAAGCCCTGCCCACTGACCCTGGCGCCCTAGCCGCCTTTCTAACACAGACAGTAACACTCGATGATCAGTCCACAGTCAAGTTTGAGATCTGGTACAGTGGTTCCCCTCGTGCCCACTATTATACCCAACATTAACGAAGCCTCTTTGGAACAGGGATACCGCGGGTCAAGAACGTTACAAGGCAAGTCTAACTGTAATCATGCAACCCCACAGTTACTCATCACTAACCCCCGCACTTCACAGTCCCTCGTACGTCTTCAGACCTCGTCGCTATACCTAGCAATCCGCTAAACTTCTCCAGGCCCCAATGTACTACCGAAACGCCAATTGCGCCGTAGTCGTTTATGACATCACCCAGTCCGCATCGTTAGAGAAAGCCAGGACATGGATCCGAGAACTCCAACGCCAGGCTGATCCTTCCATAGTCATCGCTCTCTGTGGCAACAAACTCGATCTTGCCGCCCGACGCCAGGTTTCACAGGAAGAGGCTCAGAAGTATGCCGAGGAAGAGGGTTTGATGTGGGCAGAGACGAGTGCAAAGACAGGGGAGGGCGTTCAGGAAATCTTCACTGCAATCGGCAAGTTTACGCCTGTCCTACCACATCCTATAATTATCTGACGACCATTGCGTTTATAGCCAAGAAGCTACCGTTAACGGCACCACCCTCCGCAAGAGCCGGTGGGGCAGCGCGTACACCCCGAACAGGCGTCGACCTCAACAAGCAGCAGGCGGGCGAAGGCCAGCAAGAACCTTGCAACTGTTGATCGTTTCCATCTTCCAGTAGCCCCTTTGCTTTCTTGATCTCTCGCCGTCCATATGCTACCCCCGCTATTCGTCTCTTTCACCCACTGCGTCTTTCACTTGTTTTGATTGTATCGTATCGTACTATTTCATTGTTATTCCGTTTCGTGATGTGGCCCTTTTGGACTCTCTTTTAGTTCAGACCTTCCTTTCCCCTCTCCACCAAGGTCTTATCGACCTGACAACAGTTTGGTAGCAATATTTATTAATGCAATGACTACAGACAGTGATTGAAACGATTCCATGTTTAACGACGTTGGTGGTTGGATAGTGGATAGAATGAGGGGTAAATGACAGAATAACAACAAGTACCATGGTGCGACAGCAAAATCAAGAGAACACGGGGACTATGTACATAGAATAAGGGAACGACAAGGCATCCTGGATCCGCCACAGAGTAACATTAGTACAACACAACTAGAATTAGAGAATAAGGTAGATGTGCGTGTGTGGAAAGAGGAATGCAAAAAAGTGACAACAAAAAGAATGAAAAGTGAACCATACTTTCAAAAGCCAGCTTGTTCTAAGCCTTTGCGAATATCTGCATGTGCAAGCTCAGCCTGCTGCACTTCCTGGCTCCTAGCCCAAAACCATGGATTATCCTTCGACCCTCCCTCCTGCAGATTCTTTGTCACGAACGTGGTTAGAGGCTCGTCGAAAAGAATAAAATAATTCCGGCGTTGGAACTTCAGCAACGCCGAGATGGTATCGTGCCAACGTTGCCTCTGGGTGAAACAGATCCTTGCAGGAGGCTCGTCGCTGTACTGCTCCCGGATGCGAAGGATGTCGGTTAGATACATCGTGATGAACGGCACGCATGGTGTCTGAGCGTCCACATTGTTGAGGAGAGTTCGGTAGGCGGAGAATCCACCCGTAGGCTCGTTATGCTTGGCCAGCACGTCCAGCTGCGATTTCCGTCCTACGTGTGCCCAAGTCAGGACGAGACGAGTGATAGTCGCACTCGTGAGCGAGCTTAAAATGGCGCTCATTGATGCGAAATTGTGCATTTGCCGGCATTTCTGGGTCAAGTCAGTTGTCCATCAGTATCAAGTATGTAGAACGGGAGGAGAAGGCCGTTGTGGATTACACACCTCTGCTACCTTGATCCAAAAATCAATGGTGGCTGCCCGTTTCGCTATCGCATCATTGTTGAGGATGCTGAGCTTGACCCACCCTGCTAGTTGATCATAGGTAGCACAGAAGGCGTTCAGGTGCATGACTGAATCACCCTTCTGTGTACGAACATAGGCCAAACATTCGCGAGGGGTGATCGTGGAGTAGCGGTTGTATTCGTAGAGCGTTAATTGCTCGGCGATATCGGACGGATCCATGCGGAGCAAGTCATTTCGATGGGCTTTGGACTTGCGCGGTTTGCGTGGTGTTAGTCCGTTGGGCGGTCGGATGGGGTCTGCGAAAGTCTACGGCGGGCGGCAAGATAAGCATTGGGCAGGAATAGATTGAATCTGATGCCTACCAAACGCTCAAACGTCTGCATCAAGGCCTGAGACTCGGGGCGTAAGCGGGGCATTGCAACATGGGTGACGAAATCTGGAAGCCTCTTCGCAATATGACGATCCTCTTCCAGAAGTCTGTGCTCCTCTAGCCAGTAAGTAAACACTGCCAGGACACGGCGTTGAGTGGGAAGCAGGCATCGCTTTTTCCAGTCATCGACTTCAATTTCGTTGAGATTGTCGGGTCGGGTCATGGAAAATCTGTCCAACAACATGTCGAACAGTTGATCAGAAGTGGTGAACGTTCTGAATGTCATGAGGAACACAGAGGCGAAGGATTTCCGACCACCCGTGAAACCATTCGCTGAATCGTCCATTAGCGATGAGAACAGACCCAGAATAGACGCCGCCACTCACATCCAGGCTCAATGAATGCGCTTTCCGAAGTGAGACGTTCAACTAGTGCGACCAAGCTGCCTGCACGGACATTGCCTTCGTTGTCGAATTCGAGTTGGTCGGCATGTGCAGGTAGGATGTACCAAGGTTTCTTGAGGGGTTGGAACTCGGTTGGCATCGTACGCCCCCGGACACTGTTCTCCTTGCGGCGCCCCTGTTCCGACTGGGATCGCTTGGTGAGAGCATGTATTGAACCTGTGATGTCGGGATCTGCGTATCTGTCAATCTCGCGAGAGTTCTTAGTTTCAATGAGGGTGGACAGGCGAGAGAGCGCAGTGTTGTCGTCCAGCAGCAGCGGTCGTCTCCGTAGGCTGCGACTCGATTGTAATGATCCTGAGCGATCTCTTGTGACAGCTTCGTCTGGCAGAGGAGGGACGGGTTTGTTGTAACATGGAGCGGATTGGGGGGGAGGATGAGGCATTGGGCTTGTCGGGGACGGTGGTGGATGTGGTGATTTGTGCGAGCGTTGCGGGGTGACGGGCCTTGTGGGATTACTGGTGACCACATTGTGTGGTCGCCTTTCATATATGCCATCGCGAGACTTGGCTCGAATCAAAGTAGGTGGAGACAACGGTCGGGAGGGCTAAAATAGACATTAGATTTGGTTTGTCCACCACTGACAGGACACACACCTTGGTGCCGCTGTTGTTTCTGGATAGCGATGAAAGAGTGAATTCTGGATCTGAATCAATCAGATTCAATTTGGTAACGGGTGCCTCCGCGTATAACTGTTCTGCGTCGCGCTCGTAGCAGCGTATTTCCTCGCGCATCTTCGCATAACGCCCGGCTTGTTCTGGAGACAGTTGCTCGACGTAGGCCTTGGGTATCCAGCCGATTTCTCGGGTCTGCTTCCTCCTGGCTGCCCACCACCCTGTAGACTCTTGTTTCAGGATCTCCAGAATCTCGCCTTTGCGAAATGAGAGACCATTTTCCTCGGCCGAGTTGTATTCGTGCAGACAGAGAACGGAGAACAGGACGCTGCTGGAGTAGCGCGCCGACGAGGACGACGAGTCTCCAGAGGATCCACTGCCAAAAGACGTCTGTGAGGACTGTGGGTCATCGGTGGAGGAGATGAGGTCCTGATCGTTGAAAACGGCGAGGTCGATGAGGAGGGTGTGAGGCTGTCTAGCGGAATTTGACCTGACCACGGTCATTAGAGGTGAGTAACAGACGAGTGGTCAACACCTTTGTCTGGCCTGCGGTAGCCTCGAGGGCGTCAGCGACGGGTCATAGGGTTCCAAGTCAAGCCAATTTCTGTAACCATCAACAACTCCTTTTCAACCCATCACAAATCCCACAGCCACACACATACCGTCACCCGGGCCGCCGGGCGTTTATTACCACCAACCCTTGGTGCCTCGTGCCTGGATATAAACCAGGTCCTGTTCAAAAACAATGTTTACAGCTATGAAGTGTTCTAGTCGCCGCAGAGGACGATGTCCAAAGTCGACCGAGTGGGTGCACGCTGCCATCACCGGTTAATTGCTGTGCTAAGCGGCGGGGAATCGATGATACTGCGCTCCTTACTCCTTGGGAAAGACGTCGACCATGTCTATGTGGAACTCTGCCAAAGCCAAGGTCAGAAGCTTCTTTCTGCTCAACAACTCGTGCTGATAGTCAAAACAGGTTCAATTGAGGTGCCCTAGATCTATACCCCCCTGATACAAGATCAATGCAAGTCCTTACCGCATTTGCAGATTATCAGTACAGCGCCTCAGGACTCTGCAGCAGAAGAAGGAGGCGCAGGCGAAGGCATCCAGGCGGGACATTGCTACCTTGTTGGAGAGGGGAAAGATCGAAACAGCTCGCGTCAAGGTCGAAACCAGTACGCAGCTCACAGTCAGGAAATGCAAGAGACCGTACAACTGACGCTTGCACATCTAGTTATCAATGAGGACATTCACATTGAATTGTTGGAACTCTTGGAGCTATATTGCGAACTATTGATTGCCCGGTTCGGTCTTCTTGACCAGAGGTGCGCCCCCATTTACCCTTCCTCCACCTATCTCCAATGACCGCCCCCTAGTACACGAGTACCGGACCCCGGTGAGAACGCCGCTTTCCAAGGAACTCTATGGTCACTAACTCCCAATAGGTATCAGTGAAGGCGTCTGCAGTATCATCCATGCCGCCCCGCGAACCGAATTGAAAGGCGAGCAAGAGAAATACCGCCCAAACTTGTTCTGGCTACTAACGAGAGCTCCACTCTTCTCACAGAGCTGCATATCCTCAGGGAACTTCTGATGCACAAATATGGACGCGACTTTTCCGCAGCGGTCATGGAAAACCGGGACAATTGCGTGAGCGAACGAGTCAGTTTCAGTTTCTATCAGACGACTCGAAGCCTAACGCCACTCCCGTCCTAGGTCGTTAAGAAACTGGTCATCGCAACACCATCGTCTCAGCTAGTCGATGCTTATCTTACCGAGATTGCAAAGGCATACGGTGTTTCATGGCGCCCTCCTGGCCAGGAGGATGACCACGAAGGTGGGGATGATGGGGGTGTTAAAGTTGGTGATTCCTATATCGAGAATGCATTGTGCCCCCTAATGAGTATTGTTGCCCAGGTGGAGAAAGATATAAAAGAAGAGACTGATACACCCGAAACGGATACCGCGTCGCTGAAACTGCCATCTGTATCAAATTCCCGACCCAAATCGCAGCCCGCTCCATCGCAAGAGGAGGATGAATATGATGCACTTGCTAAACGCTTTGCCGCCTTGAAAAAACGCTGATTCCCCTTGTAACTACCCAGTCTCTCTTGTTCTTTAAGATACCATGTTTTAACGGAATTGCTATTGGAAATTTCACACAAGTTTTGCGCGTGTATGTGTATTCTTCCTTCATTCAGCGGCGATTTGATTCCTGAGTTCAGCTCCAGGAACCACCATCGCCACACCTTGCTCGCTCAAACCCAATTGGGGCTTGGAATAAATCGACGACTGAATACGTACGGGGTGTACGTGATGGCCGTGAGGAAACCCGACGGGGACTTTCTGTGCCGACATAATCGCTGTGAGAGTCGTATTTCTGTGGGCGGCTTCACGAGCTCGAGCGTCTACATATGTCATTATTGTGCTGTAATCCTCGCTGCCCCTCCCTCCAACATCGTCTTCTTGAGATTGGCACGCTCTCCAGCTTTCTGAACGCTCCCTAGTGTTCGAGTCTAACGGAGATGATTCCATCAGGCACCCGGCACACCACCAAGTTTGTCTTAGGGCAACAAATTATTCGGATTCCGGCGGGCCTCAATCAAACCTCAGATATGTTCGCTTACTTATTGACCTCTCGCTACTATGGACCCGGACCCTGAATGCTGATCTTGGCCAACTGTATCCCTTGCCTTTAAGTTTCGACCCTCTTGCAACGCCGGCAACCGCCACGACACAACGGCCAAGTGCACCACCGCCAACACGACACCCCGACGAGCCGACTGAACTCGAGCACCGATGTCCCTCAAGTACTACCTGAATGACCTTAGTGATAGTGACAGTGAATCTGAATCCGAATGTGCAGAAGGCAGCTCGCCACAGGACGAGCAGAATGGGTTCTACGACTATCGCTCGCCACCCGACAGCGCCGACACGTCGATATTCGAGGATACGGGGCGCTCTTCGAGTGAAAGACCCATGTCGCCGACGGAGGTTTGTTCCACGGATTTTGAAGAGAAGGTGCCATTCTCTTCTGAACTCGTGGTCATCCCGGAGTCGATGTTGAAGAAGAGGGAGGAATACGGGCGGTTTTTCAGTAATTTCAAGAAGGCGATTTACCATCTACCTGCGGATGAAGAGGAGTGGGATCGGCAGGGTATGTTCCCCTTGGTCACCTTTCTACATGTCCACGTTGCTTGACGTGCCTCTAGAGAGACTTCACCAGTCGTTTATCGAGATGTTTGGGCGGAAGTACCCTCCGGAGCTCAGCGAGATCTTGAAAAGCGACGAGTATTATGAGAAGAGGTGCTTGGATTTGGGATGCGGAACTGGTTGCTGGTTGGCTTCGTTTCTCTCTATCCTGGACCTTCGTATGCTGACGTCCCATCTAGGATAAAGGAGGTCGCCCGGGACTTTCCATACTGCGAGGCTGTGGGGGTGGATCTTGTCGTAGTGCCGGAGTGAGTCTAAATTCCCTACCCAGAGACTCGTATCTCATACGATCGTAGTACAAGGGATTTCCCTCCGAACCTGAGGTTGGTTTCCTACCACTGCGGAGCTGGGAGAGGCCTTGACTAGATGAGCATAGATGCGAAATGGATGATGTCAACTTGGGGTTGCAACACTTTTTCGGCCGGTTTGATGTTGTTCATGCTCGCCTTTTATCTTCAGGGGTATGTCCACGCTTCCTACGACTTCTTCACCGCCTATGGAATTGCTTATTGCTGTCACTAGATCAAGGATTACCAGCTGTTAATCGAAAACATCGCCCGGACTCTTCGCCCTGGTGGCCTGGTAGAGCTTCAAGAATACGATTTTCATATTTACGACTGCAATCGCAGGCGATTCGAGCTATCGACAAACGAACTCGCTCCCCCGTGGTGGCCTCGTTGGATGACGTTCTTCAATGAGGCTATCAGGAAGATGCAAGGGGACGTCGACGCCGCCACACATTTGTTGAAATGGGTCAGAACGCATCCAGGTTTCGAGCAAGTCAGATACGAAGAGCGCTGGATTCCAATCATTCCCGGGAATTTGGATCCGCTGGAACCGATGTACGCGAGGTTGCAAGCTGATGTATCGGTATTTCTCGCTCATCGCAGTCTTCATGTCTGATGCTAATCCGTGTCCCTCTTTTTAGGTTTATCTGCGGTCTGGTCGACCGCTCTTGCTCAAGAGCGGGCTTTCAGAAATGGAAGTGGACATTCTGGAAAACAATGCGATTCGAGAATTTTATGAGAGCGAGACTACTCAGTATACGCGACTCCAATGTGTCTGTGCTAGACGAAACAATGCAGTTCTGGATCATCTTCCCCCTTCATATAACTTTCGCTGAAACGTATGAACATACATAATTGTGTTCAGGATTTGCCTTGTTATACGCACATAGACTATTACTATCTCAGGGATGTATCATAGGGATTAGAATCGTACTCACCACGTGTTTTTTTTTTTTTTTTTTTGCTTTGCTTCGAGAATCTTGCTTTCGTTGTCTAGTCATGTTCTTTTTATACCAATACTTATTGTTGTTGTCAATCTATTCCCGCTCTCGCTCGCTGTCCTTGTATTCCAAATACCTCCTTTGAGCCTGCCCTATTTGTGACTCCGAAAGAGCGCCCAAACAAATCAATGCTAATTACTTATATAATTCGGGGAAATCAGAATAAAAGGCGCTAATCACTACAACTTCCATGCCCTCGTCGAGTCTTCCCGAGTTCGTTTTGCCAGAGCTCCACTCATGCCAGCACGTCGTGGACCCATTGGAACGCCGTAACCCAGAGGACATGTCGGAGGACACCCACAGTGGGCCTTTGTGGGACACCGAAAATATTCCCCAGGATATTTCGCGATTATCACCGGCGGGAGGCTGACGGCCAGACATCGCGCTGAATGTGTAAAATCCGGTCCTACCGATCGTGTTCTACGGTTTGGATGCGACTTTCACTGCATGGAAATCTGAATGAGCTGGGTTGTGGGCTTCTGGCATCTAAGAAGACCCCACTGTCACCGGGCTGCCGGCAGGTTCACACTGAACGTGGCCTTCGAGAGGGGAGCCAGTCAGCCCAGAAGCCGAAAAGAGTGAACGCATACGTCAACTGGGGGCGATAAATCTATCGGATCTGAAAAGCTCTTTGACGTTTCTCTGGTCCTGTTGGCTCGCGGAAGGCGATTGGTGCTCTGGAACCCGTCCCCGTCACCAGGAGATTGTGACTATCGCCGTTTCAACAAAGTCCTTGAAAACCGAAAGTTTTGTTTCAAGGCCCTCTTGTCCAATGTTTCGACCATGTTTGTCCTTTTCCAGAGCTCTTTGTTTCCTACTAATTACCGCGTCGACCGCATCTGAATGAGTTGAAGCCGCCTTTCGAGCCAGTTTACGACATTCGACTACTTATGCGTCGAATTTGGGAGGAGACTCACGGCGAGTTCACAGCTCATTTCGAAAGGCTGGTGTTTTCGCATACCTGTCCCACATATCTGGCGTCTCTCTACGATATTCGTCCTATTCACTGACTCAGATGCCAGTCCAATTGCAATGCCATCAGCCCAGGGTCCTACGCGTACAGAGCCCGAGACGAGGTAGTCCTCGAATTTCAAAGTTTCTGGATCCGACGTCAAACGCTTCGAGGAACGCAGGCAGAAAGCGGGTTCATGAGTTGCATACCCGACTATGATATTGGTATAGGAGGTCCCCGTCGTTATATTGTACGAAAATCTCGTGAAAGCGTCCTCAAACATAGGCTCACCACAACCTTGAAAACGATGACTCCTATTCGTCTGGGATTGACTGCTTTCGATCGGCGGTTAAAGGTGCATTTCCGGAACATTTTCTGTAGACACATCTCAATGGAACGTGGAGATCGATAACACCAGTTTATCCGACGCTGTAAATTCCGATTTCGTCGAAAAACATGGTCAAAAGTCGAGGAAGCTGTGGGGGAATGGTAGCATGAACGATGTCCGTGTTTGACCAGGGCCTTTATTGGGAAGGCAACATTGGGATGCGAACTCATATAGCAGGCGTGATTGTCAGGCAGAAAACCAATCAACTTGTTAGTCAAGGCATCGGTGGATCAATGTCAGCTATAAATAGACGCTCGTGCACCCGGTAACGCGTATAAAGAAGCGTTTGGATCAGCGCTGTTTGGCCATAGAAGCCCACCATGTCAAGGTCAAACCAATACGAGAGCGATGTGGACGACTTTGACGACTCGATGTCCATTTCTTCTGTGCCGTCAAGCGTCGCCACCACTGCGCACGACGGGGAGAGCGTGAGTACTCGTTCTATGCGCTCTCCTTCTCCTACCGGCTCGGTGTGGTCAGTGACCAGCTCTATCCGAGCTGCAGCGTACCGCGAAGAACATGGTCGACACCTCAACAACTATTCCGATGTGTACCGTCTTCCAGCCGATCAAGAAGAACTAGAACGCCTAGGTAGATATATTCCCCAATCGCTTCATAGATCCTCTTCGAGACTATATATTGCCACAGACAAACAACATATCATGCTTACCGAGGTTATGGGTGGCTATCCTCCTCCCATGGCTGAGGTGATGGAGAAGGAGTACCCTGAAGACATAAAGGCTTGTGTAGACTTGGGTTGTGGAAGCGGAAGTTGGTGAGATCGATTTTCCGAATCACATCGAACTCGCACATAACTCCTCGAGTTGCAGGATCCTGGACGTCGCAAGAGATTTTCCTCACTGCGAATGTGTTGGCGTTGATCTGGTCCCGATGCAGGTGGAGTGAGTTGCAAATTATGTTCATTTCACCTGACCCTTTCAACACTCACATCAGATCTGAATTCAGAAATATGCCCCCAAATTGCCGGTAAGCCACCTCACCGAGGACAACTGTGGTACCAGTACATAATCCTCGTGTTTGCAGGAGTGAGATAGATGACATTAACCTTGGGCTGGAGCATTTCTACCACCATTTTGATGTTGTTCATGCCCGCCTTATTTCGTCAGGGGTATGTACATCTGCTTCAGAAACTGTCTTGCGCTGAAAGAGGAGTCAGATCAAAGATTACAAGAATATAATTGACGAGATGAATCGCGCTCTGAAACCTAAAGGGTTATTGATTCTCTCAGAATTCGACTTCTTTGTTTACGGTGCCGATTTCCAGAGAATCGAGCTATCCGTGACCGAGTTGGAGCCTCCCTGGTGGCCAAGATGGATGACAGTGGCGAGGGAAGCTGCTCAAACCTTCGGTGGGAGCGTTGACGCTGCTACACACTTGTACGATTGGGTGGCCGGCCATCCAGGATTCGAAGAGGTTGTTTATCGGGATTTCTGGATTCCGTGCTCTCCTTGGTGCAAAGAAAACCCGCTGCAAATGAAGTACGGAGAAGTAATGCGAGAGGATATACTGGTAAGTGGCCCATCTCTCCGTTCAAGTAAAAGGAGGAAATAGGCTCACCAGTCGCCAGGCCTTTATTAAGTCAGGTCGACCGCTGCTCCTCAGTCGAGGCCATCCACATGATACCATCGACTTTTTGTCGCAGAAAGCTTCCGAAGAGTTGATGGAGGCAAAACAACCGGGGTACATTCGAGTTCAGAACGTGTATGCAAGGCGAAAAGTCAACTGGAAGCCTCCCCCAAAACCACGATAACGGCTTCCAAGTCACTGTCACGGGGACGTCGGGTTTTATCTAAAATCCGGGTCGTAGAGGACGTTAATGTATTGGAGCATTTCTCTAAAAATACAAGCTGGCAGCAAACACGACTAGAACAACATCAATGTTGGGCTCGTGGAGCAATAGGGAAGGGACTTACTATCTCGCTTGATTTTGATTTGAGCATCTTCCATCTTCTTGAATAACTCTGCGTCACCAATAACTCTTGCCGCATCGCGAACTTCGCGGCAAGTCTCGTCCAACCTCGTGATAACGCGAACAATGGTGCCCTCTGGTACGTCAGTCAATGCAGTAATTTGCTCGAAAGGCTATGACGATATCCAGTGAATAGGATGCCTTCATTATGAGGGGACTAACTTACCATGCCTTTGGCCCACTCATAGACCACTTCCACCAAACCGAACTTCAGGCTGGACCGGAAGTCTTCGACAGCGACTTTATGCAGCGTCTGCACTCTCTCCACCCGATCGCTGATTGCCATAATAGCATCACGCCCTGCCTCCAGCTTAGGGGGAATAACTGGCTCGATGTCGGTCTTCTCCTGAAAGACAAAGCACGATAACAGGGCCACCACCTCTTCTGGTTCGTAATTGGCGAGAGTGTTTTCCAAAATTAACTCAGTCAGCACCAATTCACTGGCGGAGTTTATCTGCAATGAGTACTATTATGAGTCACCAAAACGAGCGATATCAGTTGATCGACTAACCTCGCAGGCAACTCGACCTTTTAACAGGACGGTGGAGTTCTCGTCGATAAATCGCAGGTCCTTGAGAACCGCGATTCGTTGTTCATAATCTGGGATCAACTCTAGATTCTGCTCCGACATGAACATCCGCAGCTTCGCCAACTCCGCGACGATTGCCTTGCGCTCATGAGTAAGAGCGAACTGCACAGTCCAAATGGGTCAGCCTTGAGATCCTCACTGGACAATGAATCGAAGAGGCTTACATGCTGGGCGAAGTCCCCACAAAGTCTACACCCAAAGGTCTCGAGACGCTTGGCGGAAGAATTCCGAAGGTTCAAGGTTTCCTGGAACTCAAAAGCGCGCAGACGACTCCAGTCAACCTCTGGTACCACCCCAGACGGTACCCACTCCTTGAGAAGCTCTTTCAACGCCGCTATTCCATCTCGCATCTTGGCAATCAGATGAGTGTCGACGATCGCTGTTGTGTCGACCTTCACAGTGCGATCCGTCACGAGCACAATGCTTGTGACAGGTACAGCACGGAGGTCGTACACACCGTCACTGACATCGAGGTCAATCGGATTGATTGGCCAGGTAGGTGGTAGTGACTGGTGATCGACGTCTTTCCGACCGGCCTTGGTCTCAGGATCGACAAGGGCGAGGACGAAGTATGACTTGACATTGTCCAACAAGCCCGCACTTGATGCTGGCACGGGCGCGGCTTTCAGCAAGATGGCTAGGGCACCAGAGGCGAAATGCTGTGGAATATCTGTTAGTTCATATGTCTGACTTGGGTACACCAGTCACGTACCCCATCTCTGACCACAACAACACGACCTGAAGTAAGTAGTTTTGCTCCCTGAGGCTTTGACATTCCAAGAAGCAGAAGGGTCTGGTTCTTCTTGACTACGTCGAAGCAATAGTCGTAATATTCGTCTATGTCAGTGGTACACACGTCGCACTGCAGTGGAGGCAGAGACGCAAGCTTTCGCTCTCCCTGGAAGGACGGGGTCAGACAATACATAGGTGGTGGTAAGGTGGATCAGTCACCTCTATGATCTGCTTCTCATGCGTTGGCAATAGACGCTGAGATGCATTCTCCGAGAAACTTCGCTTGATCATCTCTTCCACTCGCAAGGCTTCAACACGCAACAAGTTGAGAATCATGTTATATGTCAATCTGAATTGAGAGGAGAGTTTTCCAGGAGTGCCGATGATCATTGTCTGCAAGGCGGTTTGCTGCAGAAGGATTTAATCACCCGTACATCGAGAAAAATTCAAGAAACACACACCTCCGGCAAGTTGTCTCCACAAACAATGATAACGGTGCCAGTGGGATCAAGGCCACGCCGACCAGCGCGACCCGCCATTTGGGTATATTCTCCAGGAAGGATGTCGCGGAAACTCTTGCCATCATGTTTCCGCATGCTAGAAAATACGACGCATTTGGCGGGCATGTTGACACCCTAGAGGGAGGCTCAGCATGCAATACAAATCTGCAACGGGTTTCCACCTACCATGGCGAATGTTTCCGTAGCAAATAGGATTTTCACCAGACCGCGTGCAAACAGAATTTCAACCAGCTTCAAAATTGCCTTCAGGAACCTCCGATGAATGGAACGCGGAAAGACTTGCCTCCTTAACCAGTGGTAGAAGCCCACCATGATGGATTCCGATTCCGCGAGAAAGGAGATCCCTCATTCGAGTGATTTGCGGAAGCTTTTTGTCCGAACCTGATTCATGGTTGAAAATCAAGAATAGATGTGGGAGAGATAAACGCGCACCTTTCAGTCTAGACAAGGCCTTTTCTATAGCGACGTGCACCTCACTCTTCTCTACACCCGTGCACAGATCCTGGTTGGTCAAGGTGCTCGCATTCTCTTCACACCGTTTTTTGGAAAGAGTGAAAACGACCACAGGCAGGAGCTGTTTCTTCTTCAGATGGCCAACCAAGTGCACATATAAATTCTTGTCGGCGCCTGTATGCATCATCCGAGGGGCCGATGAAACACTACCGCCACGCCCACGAGGAGGTCCACCTCGTCCTCTCTGAGCATTTGAGGTCGCTGCTTTCGCACCAACCCGCTGCACGGGCGGGAGACCCGCAGCTTGTCTTTCCTTGTCCTGCTTCCGCTTTAGGGATTCACCAGCATCCTTATAGCTGCGAAAAAGCATTAATGAACGTGCCGTCACTGCAAGTTAAGGTAGCAGGATGCCGTACCCTTGCGACAAGAAATTCCGCTTGGCGTCTACGATCTTGAACATGTCTCTGCCAGCGTAAAGGTAATGCTCCAAAGGTACCGGGCGCTGGGGTGTCGATATCACATAAATGTCCTTCTTCTTCGTTCGTCTACAGCGGGGTTGTGGGGCATGTGAGCCATGCAATTCGCTCCATAGAAAAAGTTGAACGTACCCAACCCAATCCGCGAATTCTTTGGCGTTTGGCACTGTTGCCGATAGCAAAATAATATTGACATGCTCTGGAAGCATAATGATAACCTCTTCCCAAACAACACCTCTCTGGGGTTTCGTCAAAATCAGCTCCGAACGAAAGTGGACGTAATACCGCACCTCTGCATCATTGACATAGTGAACTTCATCAAAGATGACAAATTCCACATCTCGGATGAGATCTGCGCCTTTGTAAAGCATACTTCGCAGAATTTCTGTGGTCATGATAAGGCAGCTGGCCTCAGGATTTATCTGGACATCTCCCGTGAGGATTCCTACGGTGGCAGCGGAGAAGGTTTGTTTGAAATCCCGGAACTTTTGATTAGATAGTGCCTTGATTGGAGAGGTGTAGATGGCACTGTGAAACTGATTAGACGACAGGATAGGGAAGAAAACGACGCTCGTGGGCTTACCGCGTCATGTGTTTCTCTGACAATGCGATAGCGTATTCAGCCACGACCGTCTTACCGGCGGAGGTGTGTGCAGCAACGAAAACCGAGTTTCCTTTCTCTAGATGATACACAGCGTGCTTCTGGAACGTATCCAACTCGAACGGGTACTAGTTACCTCGTCATTTGACGGTCACGTTGCATCTGAGACGAAGGCTTACCTTGTGGGCCATATCGGGCACCAATTCATGGAAGTTATTGAACGGAGTGTTAACATTAATGATATGAGCCCAATCGCGTTTTTGGGCAAGTGCCTTCTTCGCTCTCCTCGGCGCGCCTTTTGTAAAAGGTTAGAGCGCTACTCGGGTCAGATAATGCTCTTCTAACTCTACAAGTGAAATTATGTACTCACCGATACAGGTAAAAGGCTGTCGATTTCATTCGTCTGAGAAAATGTGGCATCTTCCACTTCGTCAACATCATCTACTCCACGATCCTGGTCCTGGTCCTAACATAAAAGGTAGGTGGGTGAAGGTGCCAGTTAACTTCACCAGCTCACCTCTGGAATGGTCGATTCTTCATCTTCTAGATTGAGAAGGTCATCTGGGATATCTTCTCCTGGTAGACGGAGGCCGCGACTGACACCGGGAGCGACTGTCCTCAAACCTCGTGTCGAGGGATCGATGGATGCATTCGAGAGGGATTCCAAGGGAAGATCGTCTAAGCCGCCAGGAAGGAATGGCACATAGCCAGACTTTCCTCGAACAAAGTTTTTGCTCGGTGCTGGAGCTCGATCTAGAGAGGTAGATGATAGTCCAGATGTCTTCTTGACAGTGGAAGTCTACAAACAACGGAAATGAAAAGGATGACTGGAAAAAACAAAACAAGGGACACACCTCAGTATACCCAACCACACGTCCTTCGATGCCAGCTCGTACAAGGGACACTGAGGTGGACGGCTCAGAGAGTCTAGGCTTCACGAGCCTCGGTATTGAGATCGGGTTGTCCCAGTGTCTAGAATTTGTAGCTGAGCACAGAGCACCGAGTCTTTAATGAGGCGTATCCCACACTTGGTGTATTGGCAGCCATTGTTCGGGGAAAGAACTGGGCGGCAATAGGTGCTGACGCTCGATATCTTCAAAGACCTTGGCCAGATTTATTGACGGCTTCATTTCGTCCAAAAGACCATCTCGCAATGTGTCGTCTGCATCGCCGGCCACTGCCCCAACTAGTTTAGCAATTGTCTGAGCCTTGTTCATGGTTTTGAAGTGCTCAAGCGCGGGATCCAGGCCCAATGGCGACGATACAATTTGGCGAGCTCGAGATGATGGCAAGGACGAAACCCCTCGATCGTATATTTTGGCGCGATCAGTCAGATTGCACGTGACTGAGACCCCGCGCGTTCTTTGCGCATATTTGTCCCCGTGCTTTCGTCAAAAGTGGAAGACGGTCCTCCTTCAGCTTCCTCCCGACCTTGACCTTGGTTCTAGTTATGCAGTCGCCGTCTACGTCGCTTGAGATGACGACTACGTCCCAGGAATTGAATTTCCCGCAAGGCGGTCGCTCAGTTCGAAAGAAATTGCGCGACGCAGCCACTATTTCGAAGGCCGATGACAATCTGGACGATCACTATGACCTCGGGGATGTCGATGATGGCCGACCCAAAACTCGACGAGTGAATCCACAGAGACTCGCTTTACGCCTTGGACCTGAACTTGTGGCCGAAATGGAGGCGCTTATCGTCCCTGGCGCCAAAATGCCGACTTTCGCTGTTCGCAAGGACTTTCAAGAGCGATACAACGTGGATCGCAGGCATATATACGACTATTTTCATTCCAGAGGTTGGTTGGCCCCTACATACGACTTACGCTTGCTAACGGCATTTCAAGGCTTGCGAGTTGCGAAAGAAGACAAACATACTAACCTGATCAGAGGACGCGCCATGAAGGCCGCAGCGGCTGCTGCAGCTGCAGCTGCGATCACAACGCCTGTAGCTGACGCCGCAAGCACGCCTCAGGTACTTGACCCCGACTTACTCTAGAAGACGTTGACACCCTCTTCACAGGCCATTGGTGACGCTCCCTCTGCTCAAGGACCTCCCCTCCAGCCGGTACAACCTCCGACGACTTCCAGTAGCATGGTTCCTCCGGCATTGAAGACAGCTACCAAACCAAGGGCGAAAGTCCAGAAGACCATCAAAAAGAAACGGACCGAGAAAATACCGCAAAAGAGAATCTTCCTGGCGCCCGCTGACGATGGATCTCTGCATACATCCTCCAGCTCAATCTCGGATGCTTCACCCTTTTCTTCGACCGAGTCTCTGCCCTCCATCTCGCGAAGACAGCCCACAAATAACCCGATCTACACACATGGTGAAAGTCCTGACACCTCCATTGACCCAACACCTGATCCGTCTGCCGTGGTTTCTCAGTCTGATGCTCGAACCTCTGTGTCTCTGGCGACTTCTCTAGGCAGCAGCCCGGCGCTCTTCCAGGACGAGATATCCTCCATTGATACTGAACACTACCTCAACTTCCTCGAATCCCAGCAATACCACTGCCAGGACTCAGATCGCGCTCTTGGCAAGCAAGACAGCTCGGAGCTTTATGCATGCATCCATAATGCCTTGCACTCGACCCTATTGACCACGGAAGCTGCTAACTCATACGACGCGTACACGAGGGACAGAGCGCTCTTCCCCAACCGCTACTCGAGCATGTCCTTCGTAGCTCCATACGGTTTTCAGAGCACAGATCTTGCTATATCACCCTTCCAGGATCATTTTCCCTTTGGCGATTCATCCGATCTTGTTGACCTTCGAATGTGGCTGTCGGACGACCTCACTCAGGGAGAAGATCACCAAAACCATATCATTCCTAATGCCGCCACCAGTTCATTCGCACAGGCTCGCCAACCTTTGGTAGCAAGATATGCGAGTGACGGAACGATCGTTTATTCCAGACTATCATAGGTCTCTTTCATGAAGCGCCAATTAGCATGAACCGTTATGGTGAGTAACAGCATCCAGAACTCTACTGGACGTTGTCTCATGCTTGTCCACGTCAAGAAACTTGTCCCGTCCTTTTTGTTTCCGCTCATGGTCCCGGTTTCATCTTCCAAATCAGCTGTCTGCACTCTTGGTTTTTCAATCCGAATGATTCGACTCGGCGTTTGTCCAATTCCAACCATACTATGCATATCATTCCACCAACATGGCGATACCCTCTCCCCAATATACCGACAACAATGCACTAGTACTACTCGTATCCTATTTGGTTTCTTAGTCTTGATTTGTAGCATAACGAATATCGAATAATGACTGTTGACTGTACTGTACTACGCAAAAACGAATCGAATGTGTTGAGTGGGTCATGGAACACTGATTGTCGTCGACTCCATGCACCCGCAGGAACATGTAATGACCTTCTGCCCTATCTTAGAAACCATTGTTGGGTTCGCCATCGGGTTCAGTGGAAGGTATTGGGCTGGATAAAGTTTCGGTATCGAAGGATGGTCGTGAGGTGCAAGTGGGGCAAACCCATGACAATCGAGTGGCAAGGGCGACAATGCCTGGACTGGTGGATTGGGGTGTGGTGCAAGATGGGCTTTGGAATTCGTCTGTTTCAATACGGCATCACTCGCTGATGCTAACTCTGCTAACGATATGATTGGGATCCTCCGCGAAGGGCGCGGCTGATGAAGCTTGATAGGAACTTGGGGTTGGGCATTTGTTGGAGGCGTTGATGATAATACAGATGTAGATGGCATATGGGTGTTGGTGTTCGAAAGCGAAAGCATTGATGGTGATACAGTATTGTTGAATGCTGAAGAGATAGAAGACGAAGATGCTGATGACGACGCTGCTTGACCAAATTGCTTGTGTTGGGTATCATGTATTGCTGATGGCGTGTACGAAGAATTATGTTGCTGGAAAGAAAGCGATGGTGGTTGTTTTGAAGAGGAAGACGATGACGCTACACCACCGTAATGGTCGCCATGCCCGTGCGGATAGTTGAGGTTCGCCGGCGGGGAGAACTCGGGTTGATAGCGTTGCTTCTCCCAATCAAGTTCGTCAAGCCAGTCTGCTACTGAGGACTCCTGCGGGCAATGTGGCGAAGAACGATGCCTGTCCTCGGGGGAGTAGGATGAGTATGGTTGGTATGCATCGTAGTTTGATAGAGTCCAAGGATCGAAGGACGGGCTGGATTTGCTTGGAGCCATGCTGTGCGGTGAACTTTGGGGCAATGGCGTATCCCAGTCATACAAGGGTGTCGGAATCATGCTGGACGAAGCCGCAGAAGGAGGGGTGGTGGAGTATCCCGTCTCGAAATATAAATCTGGGACATCATTCGCCATTGCGTTAACATATCGGCTCGAGCCAGCCACGACGTCTGTTTGGATGGAGAGTGGTTCTGACACGACGGCGGATGTTGGGGAGTTGTTGATGTCAGGGCTGGTTATGAACGATGAGGGTTCATATACTCGGCCAACGGGGAGCTTGCTGTAAAACATTCTTAGCGTCAGGGCAAGTGAGTAGGTGGCGCGATCGCTTACCGTGAGTCCATGCCCAGCGAGACCTATTATATACCAATTGGAAAGTGGAAAACAGCGCTAGGGGTAATATCGCAGCCGCTGAAACCAATGTCAACCTGTGACAGTTATAACAGGATATCAAGGATGGGGAGACGTAAACGGACAAACTGGGAGTGGGGAGAGGAGTACACAGGAAGCAGGGGACTGCGGCGTTATATATCGGTTGCATAGCGCTCGGGTGTGGTGGAGCCATTATGCTTCCCTTCCTTTGTTGCCCAGCCACCCGAGGCCATGTGTTATGAAACTGGAACGCAGAGCTAATTTCCCTGACATGCGAAAGAACAGAAGATGGAAATCAGGGACACGATGCATTTCATTTGCATCTGATGGTCTCGCTCGAAATTGGGATGATGGTCCACAAAGCCCTTCGGGAATCTACAGTGTCCCGTCCTCTTTGGGCCCGCACAGCACAAAAGCGAGCAACTGTGAAGAAAGAGGAGGACGAAAAAGTGGTAGCTGTGAACCATATCAGGCAGATCAGAATAGAACCTGGAGAAACAGTGGACGAAATCTCGCACCTCCCGGACTGAAAGGCGCCACAGCTCTTCCGCATTGAGAAGGTTCTAAGGACGAACACTGGTGGAACGTGGCAACAAATCCATGCATTTACCAAACCTGTGTGTCAAGGGCCCTGCATCGTGTTGAGAATCTGACCGATTCTTTTCCTTGCCTTCTAGCTCCCGAGTCACCTTACTGTATAAAAAACACGTTTTTGCCGCCGTTTACGCTGCCGACAGACCTGAGTCCTTTGAAAAAACACGTCAATTGTCGAACCACACCGTCCTGGGCACCGCGCAGTTGCAAGTGCCGAGAACCGCCCGGTGGGTTTGTTTCGTGCTACATCATAACAGCACCCCGCCTCAGAGGCGCCCCCTGTGTGCATGCTGATAGGGATTCTCTGGTCGCGACGCAAACACGATGGAAAAGGCTTGTGTGACTGCTGTGAAGCAAGCGAAAGACGCGCCCCACTCGGCAATCCACAAAGAAACGAAACGCAAAAATATTCGCACGGCATCAATGTTCCCTTGAGAATCGAAAGGCGAAAGGCAAGTCGTTCCCAACCTTGAACTCTTTCCTTTCCCTGTCCCTTTCTCTCCAGGTAGCAACGTAAGAAGTCAAAAGAACCTTAGAATTAAGGTCAGAATATCAAGCAGCAAGGGCCGTTTGTGGTTGTTTTACAATCCTAAAGTACAAACGATTATCATGATCGTGGACTAAAACTACAAGCTTTGAGTGCCTACAGGCACCGAGGGAATAGGAGTCTACAGAAACGACGAAAGGAACTGGCTACTGAATGCGTTGCGATAAGTGGCCCAACGTCCCCTCATTCATCGTTATCTTCGTCATACTCGGATCCTTCTTCGTCATCGTCACTGTTGTCATACAATCCTCCAGGCATCATTTGCCGAGACATCCTCTGGACTGCTGCCCGTGCCAAGGGCAGGCCTCTCCTCTCATGCTCTTGGGCTTCCGCCTGTTGCTTCTCCACCCAAGTGTCCAGGCGTCCCCGGAGCTTGGACAAACCTTTCCATTCATGTCGGGCAATGGCCGTCCCCTCTACTCTGTGATCCCATGCAGCACTCATTAAAACAGGTTCCTAATTCGTAACTCAGATGTCAGTGACGGTTGAACGGATAAGGTTGGACAGAGATTGTGGCGAACCTGTGAATGCCAGCTGACATCCCGCACGCAAGTCAAACGGGGGCCATGACGGGGTAACTCTCGAGGTTCGGGTTCCGAAGGCGAGAAAGATGGGGGCAATGTCTTGGAGCGGTCCAAAATTTGAACGACCCTGCCGTCGAGGGACCATATCTGTCGGGCAAGATAGATGGCTTCATGTGTGTTTCTTCAGCTTGGCAGATGAATCGAACTCACATGAACTCTCCCGTCAGAAGAACCTGAGTATATATACTGTTGCCCGGTCGTTTCAGCTGGGCTGAAATGACACCGAATAAGCGTCCGCAACACACTGTGCCCAGTGTAAGTCATCACGCTGCAGTCCATGGGGTGCCGCCCCCTTCGCGATCGAGGGTAGTGAGAGTATCTAGGGTGCAAAACAAGCATTAATGATCGCCACAAAGCCTGACAGCTCTAGAACTCCTACCTATAGTCAAAGCCATGAAGACCGAAATGTGCCCCACCCACAGTGTCCATATCCTTGTTGCTTCTCATTTGACGAAGGTCCCAAAGACGGAGGGTCTGGTCCTTGCCATTGGAGATGACATATCGTCCATCGCCTTTCGCCGAAACGTAGGTGATTCCCTCCGTATGGCCCATGAGAACCCCTGAGGGCTTCTTCGACGACAGTGACCGTCGGTCCCTGGTAGGAATTGTTTGCGTTATCGATGTAAAAGAATGGAGGGAACGGCGAGATGACTTACCAGACTTTTAGATAGGAATCATCAGACGCACTGACTAAAATATTGCCAGAACCCGTATCAGCCCAGCAGCAACTATTGACATCGTCATCGTGGGCATCTATCTTCACTGTCCTTCGATCGGCGAGAAGGTCGTACACTGGATCGAGATTAAAAACGCATGCTTAGCTTAATGGTGAAGACGCGGAGGGAGAAGGCATTTCCAAGACTGACCAAAAATCTTACCGTCGCCTCCTGCGACGACTTCGTTGCCATCTGCGGAGAAGCGACAACTCCAGATGCCAAACCTACTATAGTATGCTGTGTGTCTGTTGTCGCTGAAATTGATTGGGATCTGAGTCGACGAACCCTCCGGAGAGGTACTCGTCATGTAGACCGTGGGGTGCTTTTCAAGGGTCAGGTTCCCAAGAAAAGGGAAAGAAAATGGTGGACGCACGATCGAAGAATATATGATTCTGTTCGGCGTCACATCGTTCAATGCCCTCGTTCTGAGTGGAGCTGAACCCTGGCTTACCTAGAGTTATCCGGGGAGAGATTGGCGTCGGTGATGGTCCATCGACCTTCCTGACCTCTGATTTCCTTTCTCAACGGCATGGTGGACTTCAGACTATTGCCTCTGCTTCCGATGTGACCAAATTTCTGGGGAGGCTTGGTCATATCGAAGATATGGAGGTTAAAGTCTGGCCACGGTATCAGCTTTCTCCGCAAAGAAAGCCATCGGGACAGGACATACCTTGGGAGCAGGTATAGTAGAAGGACGAGTCTACATGGCCAGGTGTCAACACGTCCTCGGAATGGCAGGACTCGCCACATACCGTCCGAGAACTGGGCGGTGTACATATTGGCGCCGTATGTTGCAACGGTCGTTCCATTTGTATTCGGAACCAGGTTCTGAAAGAAACGCTGAGAAAGGAGGCACCTGCGTCGATGCGAGAAACCTACAGCTGTGAGATCTCTTGTCGGAGAGCTATATATAGGTCGAATGGAAGGTTTGAAGAGGGTCTTTGGCGTTACTTTGGTATTTTCGACCCCTTGGTAAGACCGTATGGGACCATACTCGCCGCTCCTTAATAGTTTAACGCCTTCTGGCTGTGGCTCGGTAACTAGTTCATCTTCAGAGTGACGGTCATCCTCGTCTGAAGGGTAGTAATCGTCGTCGTCGTCTTCTTCCTCCCAGTTGTTGCTAAATCGCCCTGACAAGAGAGCAGCGAGTGCCTGAGCCCCGATTCCTGATAAATTATGCGCGCCCTCATTGTCGTTCTCAGCCTCTGCGCGATTCCTCAAATCCATTAGCACTGTGGTGCGGGGTAGAATTAGCGGTAATTAAAGGCGGGTCTGTAGGTATCAATGTCGCACCTCGCAAGAGACGCCCCGCTTCATTTGCCTCATATCGTCTACCAGCCATGAGTAAGTTGTTGGATGGGGCGTTGTTGGATGGGCGGTAACGATAAAGAGGAAGGATACGCCATAGCAGCTGAGTGAGCACCTGCCTTGTGAGATCATTTCGGTCAATGGTCCTGCCCCTAACCCTAGCCCCGGACGCTCGAGGGCTGCTGCAGCCGCTGGAACAAACATAAGTCCGCGCTTGACTTGTCCTCATTCACTCATCGTCCCTCTACACAAGTTCCTCTTTCCTGTGTTTCCCCTTTTCTGGGGCCATTTGGACTATTTAAATGACAGTGGGACCACTACAAATAACCTCAGAAGAGGTCAATTGCCTCATTTATGCATATTTCAAGGATTCAGGTAAGTTGGACTCCATTTTTTCTGACCACAAAGGGCTTGCGCTAAAGCCACACTGATTTTAGGTTTCTCTCACTCGGCGTTCTCTGTGTTACATGAAGCGCAGCTTCATAGGTCACCATACCTCTCAAAGCACATCCCCAGAGGCGAACTCATCCAGTTGTTGGGAAAGGCGCTTCTATACCTCGAAGTCGAATCACATTGGCGGGGAGACTCCATGACGAATGATTGTCAAACAGGCAAATTAAACCTGCAATCTATAGGGAAACCAAATCGATTAATGATATCCAACAGGTTTCTCGCTGCTTGAACCCCATATTTGTTCTTCTATCAGCCCCGATAGCGCGAACATGCACGGCCAGCAGCAGCAATCGGCCACTCATGCCACCCAACCGATTTCGTCAGTTTCAGCGCATTCACAACTGCCACGGCCAACACAGAACACAAATGGCACACCTCTGCCACCACCAGGGCCTTCGACAATAGCCGACGCGAACACGTTGAAAACGGCCCAACCGCATACTTATGCAGTAACCGATTCCAACAATAAGCGCAAAGTTTCGCCAGTCCCTAGTAGCGCCCCTCAAGAGAAACGAGCGCGAAGAGATCCAGATGAAATGGATGTCGATTCTCGCCCAGCTGGTAAGAATGGAACTTTCAATTCTTAGATGCAGGATTAAACCCGAGGTGCCCACGTAGCGCCCGCCGCGTCAACATCAAAGACGACCAATTCGACTCCTACGCCCAGTGTCAGCTCACAAACTCAGTCTAGGAAATCAGGAAACGCCAAACCCCGCCGACCACAGGGTCCTGGTGATGACAAGACTGATCCACGCTCAATTCTGCTGTTACCAGGCCACAAGAGCGAGGTACGTGAACTGAAGGTTTACAGCAGCTCTACTTCATTCCATGCTGAATTATCTAAAGGTGTTTGTTTGTGCTTTCAACCCCGTTCATTACGAAGTGCTCGGTACAGGGTAAGTTGACATTCATGGCTTTACGAGTCATACAAGCGCCCATTCATACCGCGGCTGTCAGATCGAAAGACGCCGTCGTCAATCTCTGGAAGTTGCCCAAACCGCCACAGCGCGTCGATGCCTTTACAACATCAGCACTTCCCCCTGTTTCTCTTCAGAACTTGTCCACTTCGACACAAGCCGATCTTACCGCACTGCATTGGAGCCCCGATGGTAACTTACTAGCGATTGGCTCCTATGACTCCGTATTCCGGATATGTACTCGCAAGGGTACGATGTACTTCACGCACTCTCTCCATGAGGTGAGATTAATCATCTTCGCTGAAACTGCAAGTGGAATTTATTTAATCTTTTCGTTTCTCGAGAAGGGTCCAATCTTTGCGGTCCGATTCTCCAAGAATGGTCGTTGGGTTTTGACAGCAAGTTTAGACGGTACTGCGGCCGTATGGGACGTAAACGAACGAAAGCTACATCGACAGTACAGCGCCCATAAAGGTTAGGTCGGGTCCGCGCTTCTGCTTATCCCCTTACTGATGTTCACATGATTTCGCAGACTGTTGCTTGGACATTGAATGGCTCAGTGATGACACTTTTGCTAGCGCTGGTGCAGACAAACGCATTAACATCATCAAGATCCATCAAGCCGAGCCAATCAAACTTTTGGAGTAAGCCTTTCTGTGCATTGGACAAGATCCCCTCTAACCTCTTGTCAGGGGCCACAAAGACGAGATAAACCAGATCCGCGTCAACCCCTCGAGAACACGGCTAGGGTCATGTTCAGACGATACGACGGCACGCATTTGGCGAGTTGACAACATATCTTCAACCGCGGATGCCATTCCAGGGCTAGCTTCGTCCGATGATGTCGTTGTTCTGCAAGGCCACACGCATTCAGTCAGCACCATCGCCTGGTGTCCAATGACTCCGACAGGTACCCACGAGTTGGTGGCGACAGCTTCGTTCGATAGCACAGCAAGATTGTGGGATTCCGTCACAGGCCAGTGCTTACATGTCTTCACTGATCACACAAAGCCCGTGTATGCGATGGCGTTCAGTCCCAACGGAAACTTCCTGGCAACTGGGGCTGGCGATGGCTGGTTCAACATTTACAGTGTGAAGGTGCGCTTCCTTTCCTTCCCTTCACAACGTGTTTTACTCATCACTTGATTTGTGCAGGCTCCTTATGAGCGGGTGTGGTCTTGGTATGCGGGGTATGAGAAGCCCGGCGTGTTCGAAATTGATTGGCAGACCCACGACGGCGTCAATCGGATAGCCCTCGCTTTGGAAGGGCGACAAGTGGCGGTTATCGATGTCTCGAAATTGGCCGCTCTGGATACCGTTGAGTATCGCAATGGGTTGTTGGCCATACAGTCAACCGCCCCGGGTCTCTTGTCTCAGCCTTAGACTGTTGTATTTAGCCTGGGTCGTTTATATCTTTACCAATTACTGTTAATGTTCTAAAAAATTTTGAAAATTTCCTTCGGAACTTTCTGGAATCTCTGACGCGTCGACTAGTTGCCTTGAGTCAGTGTCGACGCCTCAACATAACCGCTTCTATTCCGACACTTGGGGTTGACGGGAACTTGTTTGTAACGCATAAGCGCTCACCGTTCCCAATTGGTTACCGATTTTTCTACCGTCAGGCGCCGAACGTCGAACGCCGGACTGTATCCAAGCGCCCAATGGCGATGCTGAGCGTGGGAAGCCGGAATGACGTCGCTGTCCCGGCTTTGCGTGGCGATCGGCGGCTACTTAAAGCTTGACGCAATCCGAGGGCGGCAAAGCACAATCTTTAAATTTCCACTCGCCTACAATGCAGCGCCTTCCACTGGCAACGCTCAAAACACTTGCTAGCTCAACGACGAGCAGCAGTCTCCGACCTACTTCTCGAATCTTCACCAACCATTCCCTTGGAACGTCAACGAAAAGTTTCAGTACCTTCCGACCGGGCAATGGAGGAGTTTTGAACGCGTTGAGGGAGCAAAGGGCAAAGTGGGGAGCCGCTACGGGTATTGTGACGAGGGCTGCTAGGAGAGGCTTCCAGACGGATACGCAGCCTATTGTTCAGAAAACAGAGTTTTCATGGCAGAGGTTCGCTGTGACTGCTGTAAGTCATGAATTGGGTTCGGAGTGAAGTGTGGTTGCTGACGCATCCTGGTGTAGGCTGGTGTCGCTGGAACTGCCGTCGTTGTCAACGCAATCTTCAATCGGGAGACGAGAGATGCACTCAGCGCCGGTGAACGGGAATATCTGAACTCCAGTTTCAAGTATACGGGAGCCGGTGTCCTGCTTACCGCTGCTGCTGCTCGTGCTATGTTCCGAGGAGGTTTCACTTTCAGGCTGATGGCTGCTAACCCATGTGCGTCTTTTTTCCTCTTCGTATGAAATGTAACGATTTGACCTGGGGCTGCAGGGGTCGTCCTTGGTGTTAGCTTGGTTGGCAGTATCGGTACCATGATGGGCGTCTACTACACCCCTCCTGAGAAGACGGTTCAAAAACACTTGCTTTGGCTGGCACGTGCATTCATTTCGTCCCATCTCTTCCATTCATCTAACCTGGCCACCAGGCTTTCAACGGATTCCAAGCAGCAACGCTCAGCCCACTGTTTTTCTTCAGCCCTGCCATCCTTTCCCGTGCAGCGCTGTACACAGTGGGTGTCATTGGATCCCTGTCATACATCGGTGCCACAGCCAAGTAAGAATCCGTCGACCCCGAAACCGATTCGACTAGAGACTGACCGGTTGGCTCCCCAGGTCGGATAAATACCTGTACCTCGGTGGACCTCTCCTTGCTGGTGTGACCGTCGTCGCATTGAGCTCTCTTGCCCCTATGGTCTTGCCTCTGGGCCTCCGTGGTCTGGCTATCAGCGAGGCTATCTCCCTTTACGGTGGTTTGGCTGTGTTCGGTGGTTTCGTGCTCTATGAGTAAGTTGACCTCTCCTCATGACTGGATCCCTATGACTGGAAGGGCATTTACTGAGCCCGGTTTTGCCTGCAGCACTCAAAAGATTCTGCATCATGCTCGATTGGTCGAGAGGGGCGCCATGAAGAGTGACCCAATCAAGGAGTCCATCGCTCTCGAATTGGACTTCATTAACATCTTGTGCGTCCTTTCCTCGGTTCGACTCGTATGGATTGTCCCCGCTGACTGCGCGTTCCCAGCATCCGACTTGTCCAAATCCTCGCGATGCAGGGCAACAGGAAGAAGTAATCGCTTTACCTCCATGATTTACCATCCAGCATGCCACTCGACCATCTCAATCTTTAGTGTAGCATAAAAGCATTATATGTATCCATTGCCAAGTCCACCTTTACTACTAATCTATACCGAACCAGATTTGCCCAAGTGTTCCAGGAGTTGGAGGAAAGTTGTTGGGTCGACGATGTCTGTACCTCCGTAAGTGACCCGTCTTCCGGCCTTGGATGCCCATTCTTGGAGGTTGCCGTACTCGACGTAGCCTGCCCCTCCGACAATAAACACCATGCCATCGGTGAACGCCATCCTCCTCCCTCGCCCAACGCCGCTTCCTCCCGCGCCCCCAGGTAATTGAACATGTTTAGGTGCTCGAGGGTCAAGGAATAGGTAATCGTCGGTTTCAGCGAGTGATTGATTCGAGGCAGCAGAGGAGTCCATTAGTGCTTCAGTCAGCCGCGTTACAGGTAGGAGCTTGTTCGTCGGCAAGAGGTTCTTCACCCCTGAGAGCAGGTTATCAAAGCCTCCTTCTTTCAACCTATCCGTCAATCGGTTGCCCAGTGCACTGAAGCCCTTGAACAGTTCCCCTCCCTGTCCAGCCACACCTCCCAGATTCGGTGTTGAGCTACCTCCAGTTCCAACACTGACGGACGAGGTCATCCTCAGGATTTCCCTCGTCTTCCGCACATAGTCAAAGGCAGCTACATCGGCTCCAGCATTCTTCAACTCTTTCTGCAACTCGGTGATGTCCTCTTTCGATAATGCGTTGTCAGGTGTGGACAAGTAGAAGACGATCACAAGACGGAGTTTGTCGAGCGGGGTGAAATCTCCGTCTGGTCTAGGGGTGCGGAGGAGTTCAAGGATGGAAGAGACGGTTTGTTTGGTGATGGCTTCTTCGGTACTGAAGAGTTCATCGAGACCGCGTTTCTTGATGTGCTTGAGAAGGGCAGTGGCCATGTGCATGTGAGTGTCGAGAGTCGCTTTGCGGGCAGTGAGTTCGGGTAGTTGGGTAATGGCGGCCTTGAGGTGGGCTGCGTTGGCTGTTAGGTCACTGGTGAGATGAGCATCTGTCAGTATATTGAGAGGCGATGTAGATGGATTGGAAGCATACAGCTGGGATATATCATTGGCGTCTGCAACACCAGTGCTCCTTGTAATTTCGGCGGCATCCTGCTTGTACTTGTTCAACTCGGCGTCGATCTCCTCAGCCACTTGAGGGAAGGGGTTAGCAGCGTTCCGAGCCCAGAAGAAGTCTTTCGAGTCCAAGTCGAAGTTCCGCTTAGGGTCCTGACCGTCTGGTGGAATTGTGACCCGGTTGAGTTTGAATTCAAGGCAGTCGGAAACGAGCGCTTGGTATGTCCATCCATGCGCCAGAGGGGAGACCAGATCGACGTTGCGGTCCATAATGAGAAGAACTAGAAACGGGTCAGAGGGCGTTGTCGAGGATGAATGGGCAATCTTGACATACGAGGACGCTGAAGATTCGAAAGACCAGTCGAATCCTGTGTGAAGAGGGCAGCGGAAGGGTTGTTGGGTCGCGAGGCTGAGAGGATCGCATCTCGAATCTTGGTTTCAAGACGTTTGGCGATCATTTCAGCTGCGTTTCCTCTTGGTGCTCGGATGTAGGGGACCTGGCCCTGTGTTGCTACGGCAGCGAATAGACCGTTGGCGACGCGCTCCACTTCCTCTTCAATCTGTTGCTCTGTGGACGATGGCGAGTTGAGGATGGTATATGTTGATACGGGCGTCGTAGATTCTGGTGGTGCATTTGCATGAATCGATGGTGGTGGTGGAGGCGGAGGGAGAAGCGAGAAAAGTGAAGGCGCTGGTGAGATAAAGGATAGGTATTGGTCGACGACCTAACCACTATTAGTGACATTGGGTGACTTCAGAACGGACGCGTTACATACCTGTTCAATCAATTCGCCGGTTCCATCTTGGGCGACTGAAGCCGCAAGTTCCTCCAATAACGCTCTGGGTAGTGGATCGACAAAGTTCAAATGGAAAGATTCATAAAGGTTCTTCTTTAGATCCTCTGCTATCCGACGGATGTTCTGAAGGGTTGGCGATACAAAGTAGATGGCGGGTACATCGGGTAAAGCTGGTCGAAGCGAATGTAATTGTCTATTCCTTATAAGCTTGAACCCTGAGCTGTCGAATGAAGCCAGACTCACACGTGCAGTGTTACCCCGGCGTCGCGCAAATCCTGCACTCGCAATATCGTAGCCAACACGTCCTTGGTTTGTTGATCAAGAACCAGGATCTTCCACACAGGAGGTCCAGAAATGGGTGGCGTTTTCAAACCAGAGGATGGTTTCCCTGTTGGCCCTGCTGCCGCTGCCGCTGGGTTTTCTGGCGGTTGGTTCAGGTTGAGAAGAGATAGCAACGCATTGGTCTGTGCCTGCTGGAGCGTCGTCGGTGCTGTTCCCTGAAAGCATCGTCAGACATTGTCAATTCGCCAATATTGGGATGCTCACCGGTTTGGAAATGGTCGACATCGTCGCGTTGTACAACGAGCTCGATGCCAAGACCCCATTAACACGTCAGGGCGGTATACCCTCACGTGACACCGCTGCTGGACCGATAGGGGCTGTGGGTCCGTCCGTCCGAAATGTAAGGTTGTGAGCACTCGGTAGGCTCGAGGGAAAGTATATTACAGTCTCCTTGGACATGTATAACCTATTCAACTCGTGGTTTTGAGAAATCCGGTTTCTAGGGGCACACCGGAAGATAGTTGGTGTTATCCGACGTTCCAAAGCTCGGCCTCAATCAGCCTTCTATTCCGTTTACAATGCAAGACGCCTACTAGACATGTCGATTGCCTCAAGAAATGAAGAAAACTAGTGAGGGGGTCGTTCTAACTGAATCGTTACCGTCGCGGAGTGAGGTTGCTTAGGGTCGCGCGCTTGGCACCCGAATATTTGTTCTTCAAAAAACCAGTTGTTTCCTGGGCGACAAATTCCGAAGAAAAAGATAAGCATAGCTCAAGGAGCGGTCTTGCCTTTCCGACTATTTCTCTGCTCTTTCTCCTCATCGTACCGCCAGTCCGAGCATCCTAGAGGATAACCAGGATCTACAGATAAAGCGGTGTTTGCCTTGGATCATTGCCTCGATCATCTGGTGTATTTCCTTTTTTGGAGATACCGTGTTCGAAGGTTCGAAGTTCGCGCCGGTTCGCAGTTGACTTTTGGCTTCTGATAGCCACGCTGTGCTGTTTGCTCTCTTTCTGCGACCCTTAATAACCGCAAGGGAGGGCGCAGCCATGGCCAACCCGCCACGACATCCACGACCACAGAGACGCGAGGAAGACATGTTCACCAACGTTGTCCATGACAGTGGCCCCACGTCGCCGGCTCCAAGCACTGTTACGACTCCCGATCCATTCCCAACAAACCCTATTGAATCGAACGACAATTCACAACCTTCAACTGTACTACCACCACCAAACAATGACCAGCAGCAGCCTTCACCGATACCCTCCACGTCGTCGAGCATCTTGAACGACAATGACGATGAAGTTCTGCCGACGACTCTCACGACGTTAATACCAGTTACGACAGTGACGCAGCCCGATACGACATTCACGTCTTTTTCTGAATCTGTATACACCTCAATACCCTTTCCATCCGAATTCTCTGCAACGCCGTCAGGCTTTCAACCTAGACCTATCAACACCACCCCGGCATCACAAGACGATCCGAGTGTACTGGTGCAGACTTGCGCTGGTTCCGGACTCGATGCCGCTGCCAACGGCGTCCTTGCGGCACTCATAGTCCCAGGGCTAATTGGTCTCTTACTATGGGTAAGTAGTCGACTGCTCCTTCACCATGACATGCTGTCTAACGGCGCCTAGATAACGTTCGCCATGCTTCGACCACGTTTCCGTCAAGTCTACGCGCTACGAGAGTGGTTCGTTCAAGAAAGGTCAGTTCTCTCTGTCATCGCACTCGTACAGTGAGACTTAGTCGCGTATCCTCTCTCCAGTGTTCGGTCCAAACACCTTGGATCTAGCTTCTTAGCCTGGCTATTCCCACCCGTCCCCCTCGTTCCAGCTGTCCCAGAGGACGTGTCTGATGCCGGACGTTCAGCAGCAACAGACGCCAAGCTCTTCCCTTCCGACGAACAACTCAGCCAACGCGCTTTATTTGTCGCATTACTGATCGCCTTCGGATGGTCTGTACTGGCACTTGGCGGGGCATTGCCACTCTATCTCATTGGTACACCGTGCAACGCGGAAGTGCCATCGCCAGCAAAGCATACTGGAGGATACTCGACTCTTCTAGACTTGAGCCTGCTTCGTCTTCTGCGCCTCATCGACAACCAAGAAGTTTCCATCCTCAGTACCTCGAAGATCGTACCCAGGGCGCTTGAGGACGACGATTTCAAGACAAGGACACGGGTTATAGTCTTGACGGTACTCGCAATTGTGTTGGGAGTCCTTCCCATGCTATGGAAGATCCTCAAGGAATTCAACCGTGTCGCTGCCTATCGAAAGCGGTGGTTGCAAGTCAAGTGCGAGAATCTTGACCTTGGATGGCTACCAGTGTCGAAGGCTCCTGGCTTCGCGCAATGGGGAGAGAACCAGTTCAAGGACTATCTAGTCAACGTCGGCCTGAGCACTCATCTCAACGATGCAGCGAAATCGCGAACACGACGCGACGGGCGATCTCGAAGAAGGGAGGAAGAGCAACCACTGACTGATGAAGACACCGAAATTGACATCCACAGTCTGTTCTCGATCACGTACGTGTCCATTCTCTCCTCCTGAGCCGTACTCACCAATCACTGTGCAGTGACACTGAAAGGCTGGCGGTTATGATTGAAGAACGAGATGAAATCCTCGAAAATCTTGAAATTGCAGAGACCAAGTACATCAGCTCGTTCCGAGTGACTACTCCTGACCCATCCATTCTCGACTTTGTCCCACCGCCTCCCCCTGATCCCAGCCGACCATACATCAGCCGGCCTCTTCCACTTGCGCCTCAACGTCGAAGTCGATACAAACGAGCACCTAATCGCGCATATGGAGCATCCTCTTTCGTTGCACCATCCTCCTTCTACAAGCTTCGCGGCTTGCAAGGAGTCAGTGGAGGCCGCTTTACCGATTCTGGTATGGATCAGACCCTAGCTGAATCCTTCCAATCTCGAGTCATTGGAAGCAGATTCATGGAAGTGAATCGTAATTCGCAAGCTTACGGTCGCCTACCTCTAGGTGTTCACGTCGGACTCGAAAGAGACGGTGAACTTGGTCCCGTCTCCGAAACAGGAAGCTGGTTACCGCCTATCCCTGATCCCAGGTACTACGGGCCCAACTACGCCCCCTTTGAAGAGCAGCTGGTCGATGAACATGGAATGCGCCTTATTCCGGAGGAGCAGAACGGAGTTAACGGGACTGAAGAGGGATGGGTGGACTTGATCAAGGAGACTCCTGACAATGACTGGGGGAGTGACTTCAATGGTACACCGCCTGGTACAAGTGCTCGACGACCCCGCCCTCCTAAGGAATCAGTTCCTTCATCTCGCCGCGAAACCTTCCCTCTCCGCTCACGTGAGCCAACAGCAGACGATCCTCAGCCTGTGCCGCCTCCCCATCTCCGACTTCAACCCACCCAACCCTTCGTCCGTCCTCTTGACGGCGTCAATTTCGATGACCTCGGAGAAGTGTATGCCGCTATCACCAGTTGGCGGTCTCAACTCAAGCAAATTAACAATGACATTGCTGCCATCCAAGCAGAGAATTATGAAAATATCGCCAACGGTCACACTGTCAAGGGATGGCTTATGGTTGGAAAAGGGATTCGCCATATCCCCGGCGTAGAGTTGATTGAAGGAAGAGCAAAGGAAGATATTCGGTGGGACGTTCTCCAAAACCAGCGGAGCTGGATGGATTCCGCCGTTTTGTGGGCTATCATAATCGTGGTTATGGCTTTATTGGCCGCGGGATGTGAGTTCTACCTCTGCTTCTTCGTTACGCGTGTATGACGTTAACCTTGCATATTTTTACAGTGACTGCGGCTGCCGGTCTATCATTGGCTATGGCTCCAGACTTTGCGCATTATTTGCCGTTCCTGGGTAGTCTGTTCAGTACACATCCGATTGTGGCGGGTATTGCGACTGTCTTTGCGCCTGCAGTTGTTGCAACTATATTCATTATCATTGCCCTTCTCTTGATCAACTGTATGTCACCCTTTCTGCTGTTGCGTGTCAAGAGATACTGACAAAATGCGCGATAGGGTCGGCTAAGATCCATGGTTCAGTATCTGTGTCAGGGAACCATCTCCTGGTCTTCAAAATCACGTTCTTTGCCATGACATTCGTTGGAACCGTCTGGCTCGTCGCGATCGGCGCCCTCCTGTACTCCATGGAGTCCCTTAGCACTGAGCAAGACCAGACCAAATCCCTTGCGAACGGGAGCATCTACATGAGCGTTCTCGCCTTGGCCCTTGTTATCAATGTGGCCATCATCTTCCCCGCGTGCCTCCTCCTTCAACCCTTCCGATTATGGCGGGTTGTTCGCTCTGAGCGGGAGTCGATCACGCCCAGGCAACGTTTCCGAGGTACGTGGAACGCAACTGTCGGTGTCCAGATTTTCTAATGAAAATTTTCAGCTACCTTCCCAAGGACTTACAACCCTTCATACGCGATGGGTGCTTGCATTCTTGCAATTGTATTCGCTTCGACCTTTGCTCTTATTTTCCCCTTGATTGCACCGGCTGTTGTCGTCTTCCTATTGCTCACTCTCATTGGTGGGTGCTCCCGTTGATAGAACTTCTTCCAATGTGCTGACCACATGATTCAAGCTCATCGATATCTCGTCGGCTATGTATATGTCCAAACTCATTCACAGACCGGGGGACTCCTCCAACTCTGGCTTCTGAAGCGCTTTGGGACCCTTCTGTCGTTCCAGCCTATCCTTCTTGGTCTCATTTTCCTCAGCAGAGAAATCTGGATCGAGGGAGGCGTTCTTGTTGGCACCGGCGTCTTTGTGATTGTTTTCGTCGAGAGCTACTGTGCCTGGAAGACACGGCTCCCTGGATTCAGATCTCTTAGCCCTGCGACTCGGAATTCGGTGGAGCTGTTTATGGGTGGTGCCGACACCTACCTTATTCCTCATCCACCTATGGAACAAATCCGACAGGCTGCCAGCTCTTCGAACGACGATAGCACAACCATCGACGGTACAAGGCCAGACCATATACGGCCTAACATCAACACTCGAAGGGATGGAATGAGGAACAGGGGCTCGTTCGCGTCCGTGTTGGACATGATGAGCAGAACCCTTGCGGTTGTTCCTTCTTCGTCGGGTTTCCGAGCGGCAGTGCCACTTGGTGAGTCACCCTTCCTCTTTTTCCCCATTCTGTTTAGGTTTTTACGACCCTTGATTCTTTCAGACACGGAAAATCTAAACGATCTAACTGCAACGGAGCGTGCAGCGCGAACGCATCCTGATGCTCCACCTCGTCTCCCACCCCTGCCGTTTACCGAGCATGCAGACGAGGTTGGTGGGATACTTTACGCTCCAGAGCTTGTTGCGCCTCCCCCTATAATCTGGCTACCGAATGATTCTGCTGGTGTTGCTCGGTCAGAAGCCGAGGATTTACAAAAATACCATGACCTGCAGGTCACCCTCGATGTAAGGGCACATGAAGACGTACTTCTCCGAAGATCGACCTCGCTGAGGCGGCGACCCACCTCCTAGCCGTCCGAATGCTTCTTTCTTTTCATTTAGCCTCTATCCGTCTCTTCACACTCTCTATTGGGCATGATCGATCCTATTCTACTCCGGTACTACTAACCATACTATTCCATTCTACTACCTGCAGACAGCGACGCCTAGTTTACACAAGGACATTCCCATTCCTACGAACACTTGTATTCCTTCTCGCTATAGATGTCGATTGCGAAGCACGCCAGAGTCCCTCGTGTCAAAGCCGAAGGTGATCCCGTGGCTGCAAGTGCGTCATGTTCTAGGCCACGAGGTGACGAAATACAAACAAATAAGGAACAATGCATTTCGGGTATAAATGACGTCATTAAGGTTGCGGGGAGACTTTTTTGGCAGCTTCCGTTTGCCTTGGCCCCATGAATCTCAGCGAGCAGGCCCGTTTTTCATCATTCCGCCCAATCGCTGACGCAGGCTCATTTCGGAACTATGGGGTCAATGTTTCTCTACAATTTCGCCGTGATAGAACCACACATTTTGCGACGAATTTCAAGGTGTTGATGCCACATATGAATAGGGCACGTAACGTGCCACATGAATGGGTATGTTGTATGTGACGGGATGGTCACTTTTGTGGAGACCAAGGACGGCTCTCTTGCCAGTGTCCCACGGGCGCAATCCGTCCCAACCTCCTTGTTTTTGTGTAAAAAAAATGGACCGGATTTTGTCAGGACTCACCATTTGAGCGATCCGGGCTACCTCCATTTCCTGTCAAATGTTTTGCATCTCAGGGTGATTGATCTAGAACCAAAGAGCACCATATTTGGGCCGGTACCAACATCCACACCTTTTCCTCATTCCGCGTAAAGCTCATACACGCTCAAAGCTTTTTAGCGGTCTGGTTTCTCAACATACGTTCTCTACTTTCTCTTTCTCTCCCTCATGTCCACCAATTCAACCACTCCTCCACCCGAGATTGACCCCAACGACCCTCTGGCCCTCTATTCACGCGCCCTGCACGAGTACACCCTTCGTCTCTGGGCGGAATCCAGAAGAGCTGCTGAGCAACAGACCTCCCGCGCTCAACCACCCACTACGACTAGTGGTGGCCACCACCACCAACAACCCCAGGGCGAGAGCAAGTCGTCGAGCTCAACAAACACGCAAGGAGAACCCTGACGATTTTCCCGATCGATTGTCCTCGACCACACTGCGCTCAGTTTAGGAGGTCCAAGTGGAGTCGCCTTCGCTCGTCTCACTTCTGGTTTGTGCGCCTCCTTGGGAGATGCATATCTCATAGCGCGACAAAGGGCTTATGTCTTAGTCACTCTTTCTAGGTCGACGACTCTTGAAGCCTCGCGAATCATCCACGGAAAATTCATCCATCTCATAAATCAACGTTACACGTTCTAACATCACACTCTTTCTCAAACTCGATGCAAGGCCAACCACGACATCCTTTTCCCCCTTCCCTGGCGGCTGCCCGCTCTGAATATATGTTTTCTTCTCTCTCATTATAATCCCGTTATCATGTATCTTTGGGTTCACGAGGTGGAAATGGGTTCATCATGTTGTATTATAGATATCGATTGTACCTGACCTCTGTCAACTGCTAGGTCCCTGGTCCCACTCCATGGCACGGGGTACCGTGCCTTTAGTCAGGTACGGGCAACATCACTTCAACCCTATCAAGCTCTTCCATGCACTGACCATTTCGGCTTGTACCTCGAGCCAACATGATTCCCTAATGTTTATTGCCTTACCCACCCAGTTAATTTTAGCTGCATTGCCTTGCAGCTGAAAAGGGCATCTGGGCCCCGATCAAGCGCCCATAAGCGCCTACAGACTTATCCCCAGCCAGACACAGTCTCCGCAATGGCAAGATGGACGCGAAGAATGGGACCATTTTCATTTGTCCATTTTTCAGTTGCACGGTGTGATGTTGAAATGCCTTCGTCTAGGGTGTCGATGCATATCATGACGACTGCGGAATGTGCCATGGAGGATGAACGTTGCATGGCAGGCAATACATTCATCAATGGTGTTCAGGGCCCCCTATAGGATGAGAAAACTCCTTCAATCCGTTTGCAAACGCTATGCATGCGGGAGGCGTGCTAACTGGGTGGAACAATTGGTAGTTCCCGGTGAGAAGAGCCATCTTTCCCGAAGTCATTCGGTAAACAGTTCGCGTCCTTGTCTCTGTATCTCAGAATCTCATACTCCTATAATGGCGCACATCAGGCTCCATCCCTGATGGTTGGCTACCGAAGCTAAACGATCGTCGAGGAGTCGAAGGACCGCTCGGTACGCTCCGAGACGATAGGCCCATTAGATGTCAAAGTAGTTTGCGCCAACCTTCTGCTTCTGGACGGCCTTTGGCACAGCATTCTACCTCCGTTGGACCATGTTCGTGCAACCTGGAGAAGCATACTTCAGCCGCAGGCGTCACCTCCCGTATTGTAAACCTGAAAGGACAGTATCTCCCGCATCGGATAGGAACAAATACACCGAGTAGAATGACTGGTCAGTACCGGTCAGTACAATCAAACACGCTAATTCGTTTCCTTCGTATTAGCCCACCGATATTCTCATGTTACAGCCTCCTGGCAGATACACAGCGGGACTCCCACACACTCTGGTCAAATTAGTACGTTTCTCACAGGTTCTAAATACAAAGTCAACCTTCAGTTTGTATTCTTGCACCGAACTACGTCTTTGAATGACGTTGTCGTACACACGGATTACGCAGGATTGGCCAATCAAGTTCTCCAGATACCTTGAGGGATGTACCATGCCGTTCGCGGCGTGAACGCAGCCGCACCGCCTGGAATAGTACTATGGACGAATCGCTCCATGGCGGTCAACTCTTCGCAGAAATGAATTACGTTCGGGACGGCACCCCGACATTCGTGTCGGGTCGCACCAGAGAAGTCGACAAACATAATAGCCTTGCCATTCCAGTAGAAAGGCGAGGGTGAGCGATCGAGATTCTTATGGCTCACCCCGACTGAGTGGATCTTGCTGGCGGATACCACTGCCTGTCGACTAATAGATACTTGGCGTCAGTTCGTGTACCAATGAATACGGAGGTCGTAAAGAAATACATACATCGCTTCTCTAGGATCTGTGATGGGAACGGAAATGCACGTATCGAGGATCAAACACGCAAATTCAACTCCGCGAATGTCCGCGCTCCAGAGACCATAAAAACGAGGAACTACATCGCCCTGAAGGGGGACCAGCTCGCGTCCGTAGAAGCCAGCCTCGTTTTTCAGGCTTTTCATTTCCTCTGAACTGGAGCGTCGAGCAATCTTGAGTATGACGTCGACTTTCTTTTCAGGCTCCGTGAGATTTTGGATAAGCAGTCCCTTAAATAGGTTGGCCTGTACTCGTTCGGTGATATAAGCGGCCCATTGGGCATTGGCGTAGCTCTCAGACCAGAGAGTGTCGGTGGAACCATCGTCCCAGATGAGATTCAAAGAAGACATAACAAAATCAGCGAAGTATAAGAAGGTATGATAGTGGGCGGTTGGGAGCGCTTTCTAGCAGCTTGTTGGCACCTCTGCGGCGTCCTTCTATTTATATGAGTACCAGCAGACCAATGTGGCATTGATCAAAGCACAAGTACTTGCAATACTTCAGGACACTGCTTCATATTGATTTTGGACAATGCGCAAGGCCGCCATTGCTATTGTCTCCTTTCAGCCGCTTGCCCATTTTACAGCGTTCAATGGACGACAAACGGTGCTTCAGTGTCGAATTGCCAAGTTCCCCGAATCGGGAACAGCGGTTGGCCGGTTGCCATTCGACTGACAGCGTTGTGCTGGAGGGACGGAACGCGCACGGCTACGCGTCGAACGATGCGTGCCACTAAGGCGCGGTGCCCCGTATATTGTCCCCTACACTTCTGCACAAGACAGCGATTTCATTCTACAGGCGGTCTAATAGAAACATTGTCCTTGAGCCAGCACTCGGCCTGCTCCCCGAAGCTTTATCACTCCATCCGTTTGATCCCAGACAATGTGCACCACCCCACCCCTCGGACTCACTTGCCTTGACACAATCCGAGTCCCTGAAGGAATATTTTTCTTGGTGTACCAGTAAGGTGCCAGTACGCATTGCATTGAGCCGCAGACGGGGTCTTCCCCTCCAGGTAACTCCGGACTGAACATCCGACATGTGTATTGCTCGCCAGCGTCGCTGACAGACTTGGCTGCAATCGAGGTAACCGCGTTTATACCGTACCCAGTTTCTGACTGGAAGCCTTAATTTAGTCACACCATCTTGCCTTGACGGGAACCGAGAAACTTGAAGACTCACAAAAACGCCGACATTTACCACAGCTTCAGCCAGGTTCTCGTCCTCTTCTATTTCGATCATGAGAACTGAAATACATCAGTGCCGGTACATGGCCTTTAGGCGCATACAGTGCTTACTGTGAGGATATTTAGCACCTCCATGCCTCACCCCGACTACGTTTAGATCCCTTTTGAAGGCGCGACGCACAATGGCGGTGATTCGTCCTATTTCCTCTCGAGAAACCTCTTCCGGACAAGCCGATGGCAGCTCGAGTTCAAAAAAACCATCATCCAGAACCTTGACAGATATTACACCAGCGGTTCGCGTCCGAAATCGACACTCTTGAATGCCTGCATCGGAGAAGCCGGGTAGCGAGAGAATTGCTTTGGATGCTGCGAGAGTCGCGTGTCCGCAAACAGGGGCTTCTAATCCAGTCGTAGTCACGTATCGAATTTCTGTTGAGACCACTTTCTCCCCTTTTGCCGGTTGTACGGGTGGCTTAACAAAAGTGCCCATGGGCTGGTTGAAGTTTTTCGATAAGCCCCTGAGAATCGATAGGTCGACATCCGTGTCGATGAAAACAATGGCAGCGGGATTGCCGTCGAAGTGCTTCGTCGAGAACGCTGAGGCGAGGATGTAAGGGGCAGAAGTCACCATACTAGTATTGAACTAGATCGAGTGGTTTCGAGACCAAGTCGACATTTAGCGATTTACAACCGCCATCTATATAGCATCCGGAAGATGACTCACAGCCCTACGGTTAAGAGGGATGGATAGCCGGACCAGATCTGTAATCAATGGATTAATACTATAGAACATGGGACATGCGCTCAAGTATAGTACGCGCCCGAGCCGTGGCTGCACAGATTAGTATAGCAACATGCAGAGGCATCGCCCATCAAACTCTAAAACGCTGTTTAACAAGGGGCAGGCGCTGGGTTTCTGTCAAGTATATCATTGTCCAGCCCATGCATCGAACGGTAATGAGAAATAGCACTGGTCGTTCCTGGCCGTAAAGTTAACCAAAAGATCCACATATTCCTCCCTGTATTGCCTTGCATCCTCTTCGTGCAGCAACCAGTCGCATTTGGAATAAATTATCTCTATCAACTCAGCCGGGAGCCGTGAAGGGCAGAGGGTGTCGTACAACGCCTTCTTGATCCACTGCGCCTGTTGAGGCCCAACATTCGCTGTCGAGATAATGGGCTGGATGTCGGGATCCACAAGAAGGAACGTGACAAAAGTGACACGGCCTGGTTGATATGTGTCGGCAAGTCGGAGAGGGGAGATGCGGTGCTGGTAGAGGTTCGGATAACTGACACTGAGGTTTGCACGAAGTGGGACAGCTCCATTATACTGGTGACATGGGTCGCCGTCCATGAAACCCCAGGTACGCAAGGTTGCGCCTTCGTCTCCCGGGATGAACCCGCGAGGATGTGCAACCGCCATCCTGAATTCCATTGACCCTGACGGATCCAAATTCTCCTAAAAAAACTAATTCAGCAAAGGGGATTCCGTATGACTGTGGGCAGGGAAGCGCACATATGTCAAAAAATGGGTTGCACAAGCAACTATTCGCTCATTCCGCATACCCTCAACATGCCATTCGAAACCGGGATGTTCAGGTTCACCGGGATTCTATAAAGGTTATTGTCAATCCACTTCAGTGAAGTACCGCATAGGCCTCGACTTACCAACTGAATCTCCTGCACCCTTGTGACCACTTGCAGTTTCCTACCCCTCAGACTAACCACATGTCGTCGTTGCTGTCTCTCGCCCGAATACCCCGTAACTGGAACATCAGGGAGCTCGATTGGTCGATTCATCACCCAATTCCTCATCGTCGTCTCAAACTCCGACCACCCATCCTCATCGTCTGAATGCTCCGGTGGATCAGGTTCGTCCCAAACCGTATACCTCGATGCTCCTTTGATCCTCTGATGCAGCGGGTTATTTCGATGCAAATCCGTCAGCGTATGCTCGAACAGTGGGATCGACCTGGTCAAGAGCCTTTCCAGTGCGTTGTAGAGCACAGGATTGCTTCCATAATGAAGATTGTTGATGTAGGATAGAAATCTTGCAGTGCCATCGCCCGAGACCTCGACATCAGAGGGTAGCATCGCGAATTTCGGACATATCGTATAGATGTCGGCATTTGGACCTGGTGGAGGGATTGGTCGAGGTGGTCGACTGGGAGAGACAGTAACAAGGGTACGACCATAGATGAGGCTACAAAGCATAGGGTCGACGAGGAAGGTCTCTTTCGGCAATGCACGATTTCCGACGAGTTCTTGTCGCAGTCGATCAAATTGGCCTTCAAGTGTCGCAGAGAGATCGGGGCACAGTAAAGAATAGGATTCCCATATGCGTTCGAAGCATGATACCTGGCTAGTGGGTCATTAGCATCAGTTGGGAATTACAGCTGATTCGACCATCATCTTGTCGAAAGATAAATGACGTGGAGAATCAATGACATACCATTGATTTTGTTCGTCTCTCAGTTCGGCATAGCCCCCCAATTCGTCTAGGACATACTGTATCTAAGGGTCCGTCAGCACCCGAAGTTGGGACGATGGTGAAATGGGGACATACCTGCTTTCTACTAAGGGTGATCTGTGTGGTTGACGATGGGATCTTCACCTCCCATACCCTATCGACAGCCTCTTCAGCCCACACGCTTTGCGTTTCTACGTCGTAGCACCGAGTCCACCATTCCGGTTTCCGACGAAGTTCAGCAGAGAACTGCGACATGGCCAAATCTGCCAGCTGGCAAGACGGGTGCCAGTCATTTCAATAAAACCACGGACAGTCGTTTCAGTGCATGCTCGATGACTGAACAAGGATATCACGGACTGTCAGGGGAATATCTAGTAATGGGTATGGTATGCTTTAGCGCCAGGGATCCCGGGCACAAATACACGCTGTTCGAACTCACCGCCCACTCCTCCGGAAAAGATAAGACCAAAGATGAACGGATGACGGTATCCAGTATGGCATCGCTCCAGCTTGCCAACAGGTACAGCCATTGAAGTAGTATGGCCCCTTCTCAGTTCTTCAAACTTGTTATGATGATGGCGGTCAGTGACGAAGCAGATCGCCTGGTTCACCGGGAATTGATGGTGATCAAATATCAAATAACCGCCCGTTTTGGATGCTACTCAGCTCGTTCAAGCTCTTTCCAGTCGAGAAAACTCCACTGTAGCCCAGTCTGTGACACTGATTTCGATTTGTTGCATATGGTACAGACCTCGCGTTCAGCGCCCATGTCCACCGATCGTTACGTTGCCCCAAGTCGATCTCATCCCCTAGTGGTTTAGATCACCTTCGCGGATTAATTGTAGGTATAGAACCTTGCCAAAGTACAGACAGAAGGGCTAAGTTCAAGCTCTGGAGCGTAACTGGCGTCTAGTCTGAACGTGTTCGAGAAACGAGAGGCCCAGAGGCTGCGAACAGAAAGTGAGCATGGAATTTGGGTTGAACCGCCATGGGCGGTAAAGTATCTCCATGTTGCTGTAAGCGTTCTCTCTAAGCCCTAGTGGTATGTAATGGTCATCCTGGGCAACAACGCCTGAGTACAGCCCTGACGTGGGCGCACTTCGACGAGAACGGGATCTGATTGCATATCAGGGTAGAATATGTATAAAACCACTATGGGGACAGCAAAGCATTGGCAGTTCTGTTTCCACCCATATCATTGTGAGGGTTACCACCCCCTTCTCCACCCAAGTCCTTGCTCACCTACCCTTCTGATATCTAGGTCGCTTTCTTTATCACTTCATCCTCTCTCTTTGAGAGTGAGTACCTTCGGTTCTAGCTAGAAAAATAAGCTGACCTACCGGACACTCAGCATTCGAAAATGCGAATTTCATTATCTTCGGCGCTCGTCGTCGCCGCCCTCCTGGGATCTGTCGCTGCCTACGTGTGTAAATATCGAGAACCCATGCTCTCCACCCAACTTACCTTTCTCCCGGAATGACAGAACTTTGACGACGGCGCAGACGGCCTTGAAGCCCGCGATTTCACGGACTACGACGTTGAAGCCCGTGAACTCGATTTTGATCTCGACCTCGATGCCAGGGATGTTAACGACGGCTTCGGGTTGGAGGCTCGCGATCCTCTACGCTGTGGCACTATGTCCCGCTTGAGGAGAGGTCCGTACGGTAGACGACGCAGGTTCTTCAGCCGCCCTAGTCCTGGAGCAACGGATGCCCCCGCAGCTGAAGCTCGGGATTTCCTCGAGGACCTCGACGTCTTCGAGAGGGACGTCTCCGATGACCTCTTGGAGCGAGGCTTCGAAGACATCAGCGAAATCGTCGAGCGCGAGCTTCTGGAAGGTCTCGCTGAGCTCGAGGTTAGAGACCTAGGCGATGTCCTCTCTGAATTGGAGGCTCGTAACCTCGAGAACCTCGCAGAACTCGTTGAACGCCAGAGTGGTGAAGTCGCCACCACTCCTCCCCGTAGAACAGGACGCAAGCTAGCTATGGGTCGCCGCCGTGGTCGTGGCCGCGGCCGCGGTCTCCGTCGTCACCGCCGCCTCGGTAAGGGCCGTCGTGGTATGCGCCGTCGTCCTCGTGGGGGCGGCCGTCGCCGCAACCGCCGCAGGCCTACTAAGGTTGCTGCTGCTGGAGGTGAGGGCGCTACTTCTGGCGCTGGCGCTGGTGCCGGTGCCGGTGCCGCTGGCCCTAGCCCAGGTGGTGTTGGAGGTGCCGCCAATGTACCTGCTGCTGCCCCCGAAGCCTCTCCTGTGCCTCCTGCGGCCGCCTAAATGGTCTCTTACCTATGTATCTATGTAGTTCCACTGCCTTGCATCCATGTGACTCGAGTATCACAACGGCAATACATATTCGATTGAGACAAATAACTCACAGCAGTTCCGAGAGACATTCAGTCTATAAATATAAGCCCAGTTGCAGCCTCGTCTCTGTCCATAGTTCGAAGGACTCTATGGTCGTTGGTCAAGCTTCAACTTGCTAAAAAGCCCCTAAGTACTAGATTAAGTCACATGACCATCGCGTAGTAACCGAGGCTGATGTCATCATCATTAACAGCCTCCCAATCATCTCCCCGCAAACCTGACGAACCGCCTTTACGACCAGAACCACATCGATCCACACCTACAACATGGTAAGACAATACGATTAACCTTCATGACGCCAAAAACCAAGCGCTAACGCTGAAACCACCCGTTGATCATCAGGCAGACAAATGGGCAGGATGGGAGATTCGCATGTCCAACTCTCGCAGGGTTCCCTACTTCTTCAATTCTGAGACCAAGAAATCGAGCTGGGAACCTCCAGAGGGTATGACAGAAGAAGAAATTAACAACCTTCCCGGCGCGAAGGAACACCTGAAGGGAGAGGGCGTTCAGGGCGGCATTCACGCCGGCCAGGTCAGGGCTAGCCATCTCCTGGTCAAGCACCGAGATAGCAGGAGGCCTTCAAGTTGGAAGGAGGTATGCTATAACCCACCCACCAAGTCGCTTAGGCTAAGAACTGATTGATTCTCGGGAATGATTAGGAAAACATTACGCGTACCAAAGAGGAAGCCATCGAAATCCTCAAGGGATACGAAGCCCAAATCGGCGGTGATCCCGCCAAGTTTGCCGAGTTGGCTCAGGCTCATTCGGATTGTTCGTCCCATTCTCATGGAGGGGATCTGGGGTGGTTTGGACGTGGACAGATGCAGAAGCCGTTTGAAGATGCTACCTTTGCTTTAGAGGTTGGGAAGATGAGCGATGTGATTAGCACTGACAGCGGCGTTCACTTGATCCTTCGGACTGGCTGAACGTTGTATGGAAATGGGCAATAGCATCGGAAATGTATATACAGTACTACATAGTACTGGGAATATGGGAATGGAATAGCTGTACTCGAGGGGTATGCTGGTGTGCCGTCCATAAGTGTCATGGGTATTGGAAGCGGCAGAATCAACTCTCGGCCTTGATAGATCCACAGCTTCGACAGGACCAGAATTGGTGGTCCATCCCAATTTCTCCACATACAAAGCAAGTCCATCCAACCAACTCTTCGACTGGCTTGGGCCGGAATCCGCACGCGTCACACTCCTTCGCAGTACCCTCATTGATGAGCGTGCATTGATCGCAGGCCCAAGAAGACGCGTTGCGTGACGAGCTCGCCTTGGGCTTGGGGGAAATTGCCCTCTGTCTGCCTTTCCCCTGGGGCGCTGGCGGTCTTCCGCTATCCTTCATCTTTGATCCATTGACTGTAGGCGCTCTGTGGACCTCCTCGACGATGATAACCTCGTCGTCGCCATCCTCAGGATCAGAGATCCAGTCTGGCTCCCAAAGATCGTCGTCATCATCCAGGGTCAGGTCGATCACTTCGTTCCGGATCCCTTCCTGTGCAGCCTTGGCCGATTCGCGTTCAGCCAGTTCACGGCCCTGCTGGGAACCGCAAGATTTAGCATCCCTGATTCTGCGTTCCGCAGCCTATATGATAGCAATTTAACAACAGGAAAGAGTAGCTAAAGAGAGAAGTGTCAACGCACACGAGCAGCAAGCTCCCGCGGGGAAAGATTTCGTGTGGAGGGACCGCCCCCAAGTCCACCCAGTGTTCGGGAGCCACTTCCAAGGACCTGAGATACTTGCTTCCTCTTTTGCGCAGCTTCAAGCGCCTTCTGACGCGCAACATGCGGTGGCACATCCCGTGACGAGGAAGAAGACGAGCCACCTAACCTATGTCCTGGAGAATAGAACCCTTCGCCTGCGTACCCGCTCCTCTTCAGAGCATAGTACTCTTCCTGCAGCTTGTTCAAGAGAGTATAGAATTTATCGTCATGCGGTCCATGGACGTTATGCGTAAGCTGTGCAGGTCAGTTGAGTCAGATTGCAGCCCTCGGGCCACGTAAGTGGAACGGCAGGACACATACTTCGTGTAGCATGGTGCCAACGATGTCCTCTAAGTCGTAGAACCATGTCGGAGAGTTGTAAGGTCGAAGGCGAATCAAGATCTTTTGGCCAGCGTTCACATCTGTGCAGCGATGCAACGTCGAGGTCAGCGCCTGTTCTCACTGCGCTGCGCACACCTCAAGCCCTACTCACTCAATCCTACGAATCTGTGATGAGCACACGGCGTGGTCCCAGGCGCGTAATAAGAGACACTTACCAAGTAGGTTAGGATTGTCGGGATAGAACTCGCTCAGCTCTGGCAAAATCCACCCATACTTCCTCATGATAGGTTTTACAAGGGACGCCGTCTTTTTCAGCAATTCCAGCGCATGATCCGCATTCGGTCTGTCTTTCAAGTGTGTTATCGTCTTGACGAAAACATTATTGTGAGCCATATCTTCAGGGTGCGTCAATCGATAAGAGGGTATCGAGGATTAAGATAGAGTTGGCTTTGTCCAAGTTCGGCGGACCATGGTGGTGGAATGGGTGATTAGCGCCCAGGTTGTGACACGAGAAAAGTGTGACACGCCACGCGTAATTAGCTCACGTGACTGTGACTGAGTAACGCCCCAGCGGGAAAACAAAAAATAGACCCTCTCATGCTCGTACCTCTCCAAGGAATTCATTCAAGGATTACGATGCAGAAGGAATAATATACAAGAGACCTACAATCCCCCGGTCCTCGCATTCGATTTTCGTAAAGGATACACGTTCCACGTCCTCCTCTTCCTCGCCCTTTCACTGACCTTCCTCTTGCCCTCGTTCCTATCCACGGCGATCACCCTAACCTGCCTCAACATCTCACCAGAATCATCAACCTCCCCTTCCTCACCCCTTTCTTCGTCAATTATATCCTCCTCGTTAAGTTCAATCCTCCCATCGAACACCTCGTCCGGTTTGGAATGCCGCAATGGCTGTTGTTGCTGCCCGCTAAGAAGTGCAATTGGAGCTAAAAAAGCTGTACTGAGGAATTCAGAGGCGTCATCGATTATCGTACGTGGCTTGCGCATAGGAACCGAAACTAGGAGGTATCGTTTGGTTCGCCATGTTTCCGTTGTCGTTGACGGGCTTTGGGACGGAGCGCCAGTTTGGGCTGGAAAGGCAGGATCGTATTCGAAATGGACTTCGATTTCGCCTGTGGAAGCTGAATAGGTGAAACGAGGGAGAGGATGGGCGTATTTGTTTGGGTACGGATAGGAAATGGGACGGCGGTGGCGGAGGACAAGCTTCCCGCCTGCAACGAGTAGTAATTAGCATACCCCACGTTTCGTGGATAGATCGCTCACCTTCAACGTCAATAGCGTGCCCTGACGATCTCGAGCATAACGCCCCAGAAGCATCGAGGAAGAACACCTTTCAAACGCGGTGACGGTTTCAGTCAACTATGTCAGGTCACCTTGCTTCTAGTCCCAGTGGAGAAAATACCCAACGCACCTGATTATTAGCACCAGAATCGCGGAAGGCTACCGGATACGAGATAAGAATCCAATGCACGTTTACGCTCGTATTCATACTCACTCTCGACCAACGACTTCTCCTTCTCGGGCCACAACACAATCTCAGTCCCATCCTCAATCTCGTCCCCACTCACGTCCAGCAGTCTCTCACAAGCTGCAGAACGGACCACAAAATACCCTGGCGGAAAGCCCGACCTTTCAACAATGTCCGTCATGGTGGTGGTAGATAAGGAAGAACACCAGCGCTTGAGTTTGATCGTGTGCGTCTGCTGGTGAACTTTGCCAAGCTCAAACATAGTACACCCAAAAGTCGATTGCAAGTTCATTTAAACCATGGGTAGTACTTGACGCAACTATAGGCATAGATTTAGGCTGTTTTCTGAATATCCTATACAATTATCGGTTCGAGAGGAAAGAGGACGATCACTACGACTACTACGTGCTCCCTATTATCATATCCTTTTCGGCAACACTAAAAGTATCTGCCAGGGGTGTCAGTCAGTCAATGGAAGACGTGTGCCAACATGGCAAATGTCAATCGAATCGCAGAACTGCGCACGCGTCGAATCGAGTGGAGAACGGTGAAGAGGGGAAGCGGATATACGACTAGGTAGTGAATCAAGGAGAACGAATCCAGAGATGAAACCGGAAAGGAGGTAACGGATGAAGGAGAACAGGTGCAGGTAACGCGGGAGAGGAGAAGTGTTAATCCGGGGAGTGTGATATCAAACAAGAGATTCGCGACAGGTTACACTGGACGAACAACAGGGAAGCGGATGAAGGAGAAAGGGTGATGGTACACTATATGTATATATGGTGCTTTGGAATAATAAGGAGGTAACAGGGGAAAAGGCGTATTACATTGATAAAGGATCCCTGAAGGGATGGAGAGAGAGAGAGAGAGAGAGTAGACAAAAGTAAACGAAAGACATTGGGTGTGATAAACGAGAGGAAACGAGGGTGTTGATGATTAGAAAAAAAAAAAAAACAAGTTGCATAACGAAATGAAAACCCCTGAAAACGCAAAAAAGAGAGCTCCGCGACTCCAGCTCCAGAAGCGCACTAGGCACTTAGGAGTCCGCAACAATGAGAGCACTCATGGCCCTCGGTAGATCCACGCCGCTTTGCCCTGCAGGGCTTGCGTTGCTGCTAGTGTTGTTACTCCCATTCACTCGCCCACCCAATCCAGGGTGTCTGACGCCCAATGCAGCTCCCAGCATCCTCTTTCCAGGGTCTCCAATCCTTGGACCGATTGCGCTCGTGTTCGATTCGCCGCTTGAGGCCGAAACAGACGACTGCAAGCTGGCAGCCAAGATCGCAGGGTCCGAGTGAACCAAGGCGGCCTCCCCGAGTGACGAGCTGATCAACGCATTCAATGTGGGGTGTGAAGGGAGGTTTGGGAGCGTGGGGGACGGCTCCCTTCCACCTGTCGTTGCTGCACTTGTGCCTGGATGTTCCGGGATCGAGACATGGGAGGCGGGACCGTTGCCGTGATTGGTATGGCGGTGGTTGGAAGACCCAGACTGATTGGCACGGCCGCCAGGGATGACTGAGATGGATGCTGCCCGGGCATTATGTGAGCGTGAGGCGTTCGAGTGGTGCTGTGAGCGAGCATTGACTGCTTGGATAACGCTCTGTGCGTCTGGGCCGTCATAGGGTCGGATGCTGGCCCCGTTGAGGATGGGCGGGGGATATGCAATCGTGTGCAAGTAGGCTCTTTTAGCTACAGAAGACAAGGTTAAATACAGTTCCTTGAATATAAAGTGATGACTGACCTATGCTGGGGTCATTGAACACGATGAGGAGGCTGGTGTCGTCCCTCCACTTAATCTTGAAACCACCGTTCAGGTTTTCATAATCGGAGAAGGTGGACTGGATATCCTTCGTCTTGAGTTCCTTTGGGAAGCCTGTGAGGTAGAGAATACGCGTCACAGAGGCGGACAATCCAGAGAGGGCTGCGGCCATTGTGGAGATGTGAGTTGGCAGATGTCGTTGGTCGTGTTCAGGGGCGGCTGGGTGGTTGCTCAAAGAAGAAAATGCGGAAGGACTGCAAAAAGGCTGAAAAGGGGCAAATTAAGTAAATGGATCGTTGGGAGACAAGACAGAACAGTACATCGTCTCTTGCTCCTGCTCAGAGCACCCATCTCCTCCATTTCTAATTTATTCCCACGCCCCTCCCTGCACAAAATCATTTTCGGCTTCTCCAGAGTCACAAAGTATTCTCGCTCGTTTTGGGTGACCAGTAACGCTTTTGATTGATGATGATGACAGAAAAAAGTACAGATGATATACAACAACGTTTCGGTCTATGAAATCCTAGAGAAAAAATGCGATACGATGTACAACTACTTAGAGCTTGTCGTAGTAGGTGTCAAGGGGAGGAATCTCAGGCTTGAGACCCTTGCGAGTACGGATCTTCGTGACGAGTTCCTCCATCTTGCTGCCCTTTTCGAGAGGAGAGCCGTTCATGAGCTCCCAGTGGTCGAACACGGATTGAGGGAAGGCTTGGCCAGCGGTGTGCGAGCGGAGCTCTCCGTTGAAGCCGAAGGACTCGGCGACGGGGAGGTAGGCCTTGACCGTGAACATGGGAGTTCCGGGGCGCTGTTCCTCGCTGAAGACCTGTCCACGTCGCTTGTTGAGACACGAGTAGATACCGCCAATTGCGTTCTCAGGGCACTGGATTTCGACTGCAATGACGTTAGCACATGTCTTCAGATTAAATTCACAGTCGCTTACCAAGGTAGACGGGCTCCTGGAGACCAGGGGTGGCGAGCAAGCAGGCAGCGTAGGTAGCACGCCTCATGGTAGGAATGATCTGTCCACCTCCACGATGGATGGCATCAGTGTGGAGCTAAAGGTGGCCGATGAATAAACGATTCGCATCATTCACAGGTTGAATACTTACAGTAACGTCGAGAACGTTGACACGGACACCACGCATGTTCTCTTCGCAAGTAACACCCTCCTTGGTGGCCCACTGGAAGGCAGCGACGCAAGAATCCTTGATTTCGTTGAGGTACTGAACTCCCTTGGTGACATCGACAAGCAAGTTGGGGCCAGTGGTATCGGGACCGAAGCACCAGATCTTTCTGGCATCGGTGACATCCCATCCATAGTCGTCGGCGAGGATACGGGCCCGGACCTTGTAATCTTCACGGGCGTTGACGGTACCGTTCTCGATGGCTTTGGTGAGTTCTTCATCGATGGGCATGGCCTTGACGAAGATACGGTTGTGCTTGTTCTGCGACTTGGACAAGGCGACGATGCTGGACTCGGCCTTGACGGTCTCACGGTAGGGAACGACGGGGTCGGAGATCTTAAGGGGGACACCAGCGTGGTCCTCTTGGAGATCCTAGGACCAAGGGTCAGTGATCCTGCGACATGAATAGAAAGAGGGAGGACAAACCTTCAAGCAAATTTCCAAGTGAAGCTCACCAGCACCGGCAACAATGTGCTCGCCGGTTTCCGAAATCCAAGCCTGGACACAAGGATCGGACTTGGAGAGACGCTTGAGACCTTCGACGAGCTTGGGGAGATCGGCGGCGTTCTTGACCTCGACAGCGACTTGGACGACAGGGGAGACGGAGAATCGCATGACCCTCATGTTGTGGGCAGTCTCGGAAGTGGTCAAAGTACCGCTCTTGAGCAAGAACTGATCGATACCGACGAGACCGACGATGTTGCCGGCAGGGCAGTCCTCGATGGGCTCGATGTAACGACCCATCATGAGGACGGTTCGCTGAATGGACTTGATGAACAAGTCATCCTTCTTTCCGGGGACATAGTTGGGGCCCTGAATACGAATCTTGGGGCCAGACCTGACGGTGCCGGAGAAGACACGACCGAAGGCATAGAAGCGACCCTTATCGGAGGTGGGCACCATCTTGGAGACATAGAGGACGAGGGGACCGCTGGCGTCGCAGTCACGGATACCAATGGCGCACTCGTCATCCATGGGACCCTCGTAAAGAGTCTCAACACGGTAGCGTTGAGCAGTGGCAGGGGAAGGAAGGTTGATGACAATCATCTCCAAGAGGGAGTCGCCGGCGGGAAGGAATCGTCGCATGACAGTCTTGAGGAGAGCCTTGCCCTCCTGATCACGCTCTTCAGGAGCGAGCTTAACGTCGAGCTTCTCGAGCATGCCCATGACAGTGTCCTTCTTGAAGTTCATGATGGCGTCGAAGATCTTGAAGATGGGGTCGAGGACGAACATGTTGAAGGCACGCTCCAATGACTTGCCGTCGGCGGTGGTGCCGCTGGTGGTCCACTTGCGGGTGGCGGGGTTGAAGTAGTTGTCACCCCAGAGCTTAAGCATCATCTTCTCCTTGTCGACACCGAACTTCTTTGAGTATCGGTTGGCGAATTGGCGGAGAGTGAAGGCCCATCCGTGGAGACCTGAACCAAAGGCAACGGTACCCTTGTCGGGGTAGACCTGGACATCACCAAGGACGGCGTCGTGGTATGTCGAGATGATGACGTTAACGGTCTCGATGGTACGGGAGAAGGATTGGTAGAGGTCTTCCTTGGAAACCTGAAGTTCGAGGAGGGCACGGTCGACCTTGTTGATGATGACAACGGGCTTGATTCGCTCAGTCAAAGCTTGACGAAGGACAGTCTCGGTTTGCACGCAGACACCCTCAACGCAGTCGACGACGACGAGGGCACCATCGGTAACACGGAGGGCAGCAGTAACCTCGGATGAGAAGTCAACGTGTCCAGGCGAGTCGATCAAGTTGATCAAGAACTCGTGTCCTGCAAAGATAACGATGGGATCAGATAATGGCTCGGTTAGATAACACGCATCACGACGTACCCTCGGTCTTTTGCTTGATAAAAGGCAAGTCCTCCTTGTCGAGCTCGAAATACATGGAAATGGCAGTCGATTTGATTGTAATTCCACGCTCTTTCTCATCGTCACGCGTGTCTGTAAACCGCATTTCTCCAGCTTTTGCCTGGGCGATGATACCGGCTTTTGAGACCAAGGAATCGGTGAGGGTGGACTTTCCGTGATCGACTAGATAACGCAGTGAGCAATGGGGTGGGTTGAGACATCGGCGATGTTCGTCACTCACCATGGGCAATAACACTCATGTTACGAATGTTAGTGGCCCTGTCCATAAGGGCACGGATTTGATCTGTTCATCGCAGCGTCAGAACCAACGATCGCCTTCGAGAAAAAAAAATTGCTTGCTGACCTACGGTGAAGTTACTGGGGGCATAATCAGTCGCTGCTCGACGTCGAGGACGATGGGGACTTACACCATGGTTGCTAGTCGTCACTGGGTAGATGATAAAAGGGTTTTGTGGAAATCGGCCTCGACGACGCTTCGAACAGCTCCAGAGGACCCTGCTCTGATAGTGATAGTCGAGGTTAAAGTTGGGTTGACAAATCAAAGTCTTATCGATCTTTTTAACATCAGGGCAGGGCGGCTCCGCGATCACGCGGCACCTTCCACCGGCCCCGTGGTCCTCCATGGTCCAGTCACAAAGACCTCGTTTTCTCCCCTGTCTCTTCCCTGTTTCGGACTGAATTGTACAGAAACCCTTATCATTCATCCAACTACCCAGACATGGTGAAAAAACAGAGGTTTTTCAAATGAAAAAGGAGATTTTGTCGAGTCAATTCGGTGGGTTCGGTATGGCAGTCTCCGGCTCGGCACAGATAATCGCATGGTATTCTCGGAGAAATGCGTCTGGAACTAAAGTTTTGAAGTTCGTTCGTAGAGTCTTGACAACTCTTTGGAAACAGCCTCCTCGATGTTGTAATGCCAAACTGGTTCCCACATCCCCTGCAGGTTGTGCTGCATATCTTTCTTGTTGTAACGGCCTGGCCCGTAGCTCTGGTAGATCTCGCCCATTCGACGCGAACGTTGCATCACCATATTCGCCCGTGGTGGTCGAAGGAAGTCATAGACGGCGAGTATTTTCTGTGGTCCACGTCAGCCGGGTTTATAACGGGCCCAATCATCCTGCATTTTTACCTGGAGATTCGTTCTATTGGTCTGCGGGTGGATCAAGAGACGATATAGAACATAAACGTCTTCGAACCCTTGCCCAACACCAGCGGATAAATGGGGCACCATGGCATGAGCCTATCGCACCTTTAGCACCCATGTGAACCCGACAAGAAACCGACTTACAGCATCGCCCACCAGTGCGACCCGGTCCTTCACGTAGTGCTCCAGCGGCGGGTGGACGACATGCATATGCCATTTGGTCGGGTTCTGGACGTGCTTGATCATAATCTTGATATCATCGCCCCAGTCGGCGAAGGTCTCTTCGAGTTCTTCACGAGTAATCGACTCCACCCATGGTCCATTCACCGGTGGAGATGGGATTCGAGACGTCACTTTGACAAGACCGACGTTCAACTGTCCAATGGCGGTGAGTTCCGCATCGCCTAGAAGGCCTGGCATTGACTCACCAATTCGTTTCCTCTAATTGGATAGGTAACGCAATGCTGTTTACGCCGAAAGTTTAAGCAACGCTGGAGAGGCCTAGATCGAGAAGGCAGACTGACCCTGTCCGAGCCGACCCACAGCAAAGGTCTCGTGAGATCCGTCTTCACCCCATCCTTCTTCAGTGCAGAGATGGAGACTAATGCACGGTAAGTAGCAGTATTGACGGAAGCGAGCTGTTTGTGCTCATGTTGTCCAGCGACATAGGATCGGATGGTGCTCTTGATTCCATCCGATCCAATGACAAGGTCGGCTTCCACTGCCGAACCGTCTTCAAACGAAACGACATGCTTTCCAGAAGGAAGCAGCGCGACTCCAATCGCACGCATATTAAAATGCGTGTATTGAGGGTCGATGGTGGGGATTAGCGCGTCTAAGAATACTGGCCTAGAAGATGAGAGCACCGTCAGGAGCCAACCAATTTCCCAGTTACGCTGCTTCTAACCTATAAATGGAGAGTCCAAGCTCGTCCGCCGACAAGGCATACTAAAAGTCAACTGGTAAGTGTCGATTGACATGACAAGGGAAGGGATTACTGACATCGTAGACGTGCTCGTGTTCCCCAGCGCCAGAAATGAACGTGTATGGTCGCATCGCCAACTTCGGAGGGTCAGCCTTGGAGAGGACATCGTTGAGGATACCCAGGCCCTGCAAGGCGTGGACGGCGTTCGGGCCTTCCTTTTGGTTAGAACCCCTTCCAGCTTGGAAGAAATCTAGAAACATACCAAGTCCGACACCGGCGCCGACCTCTTCGAATTTGGGCTATCCCAAAGGTCCGTCAGATGGGACATAGAACTGCACAGTGGTCCATACCGCTGCCTCATATAAGTGCGCCTTCAAGCCCGCGCGATGCAAAGCCACCGCACTAACACATGCTGTCAGTACCAGAGGACGTGCAATCGAAGGACACCGTCAACACACCAAGCAACCCCGCACATTCCTCCGCCAATGATCACAACTGACAAATCCTTGTTCGCCATGGGTTACCGTCAATGAAGTCCGTATGATAGAGTCGGAGAGCGAGCGACCAATGGCTGATGTTTGCGATGGTGGTTCTATGTACCACGCACGGAGCGCAAGGCCTTCGGTAGGTCGTAATCCGGTGCGTATATATGAGAAATCTACCACGTTCACGGCCCTTGTCTTTCCGGAGGATTCCATAGCAAGAACGACGGCAACAGCGGGGAGAATTGACACACTTGATGGCGAAGTACTTCTCCCTTCGTCGCCACCAAAACCCAATCCCAATACGAGATTTGGCAGAAGAGGCCAAAATGGTATATCCGAGATGAGAGGATGCTGTTGCACTAGCTTCGCAGGATACCCGTAGACATTTGGGTTTTGGAGATTTCAGGAATATAACCGGTTAGATCAACGTTTCATTTGTCCGAGGATTGAGGAGACTTGACTATTGGCGTCGCTAGAGATTCATTCCTCGATACTCAAGCGCTGGTACTTTCAGCCTTCCAGTGATGGGAACTGTTTGGCGACCTTTCGGTCAAATGACGGTTGAGGAAATCTGAAGGACGGATGCCATCTCTGGAGAGCTGGGCTTGACAGTACTGATTATGGGGAAACACCACTTAATAATGGTTAGACTAGAACAAGTCGTAATGGAATTTACAAATACCGACGAACACCGGAGCATACCACGTTTCGAAGAAGCACCCGTCAATCTTGCTATTCAGTAAGCGTGGCGATAAGTCCAGCTTGACCATGCACCGTTATTGGCCACGGTCACTCCGCAAGAACCACGGTTAAATGAGACGCCCACGAAGCATCCGCTCATCACCTCAGATCCTCTCCCCCAGACCCAGAATTCTTGAAAAAGGGAAATTAATGGCGGGCTAGAACACTCGACTGTCAACTCCGGTCCATTCTGACCAGGCGATATATCACAAACCCGGCAATGATGGATCGATTCGAGGTCGGCATGACTGTGACTGAGGCAATGGAGGAAGCCTTGAGATCTGAATGACAGTCATTCGTGACAGACGGCTATGGAATCGATGATAAACGCACGTAAAGTACTGGGTCATGGGGAAAGGGAATGGAGCCTAGATGAGGTCCGAGTCTTTCCACGTCGGGCCGCCCTGGATGGTGAGCTTGGATTGGATGATTTGTAGTTGTGCAATGACGCCGTATCGCACGGAGACGAGGTGAACGAAAGAACTAAGTATAGATTCTATAACTTACGCAGTTCCTGACTCGAATCCCTCCGTACCGCATGGACCTATGTATTCACGATCAACCCGGTTCCAATAGCCCAGCGTCGTTCGAGTCAGTCTACGAACTGATACAAAGTTGGGCCTGCCTGCAGCCAGCGCTTTAAGCAAAGCTTACCTGAAATGCCACGCCCGCCAATCGAACGACACCCCAAGACAGGCGAAGTAATTCTTCGGCTTCGCAAGCATCCCAACCTCATCTTGACACCGCCAAGGGAAACGGATGCTCCCAAGATCACGGAGTATGTTGGAGATGAGAGGATTTGGTCTAACCTTGTCAGCCCTCCGGTGCCATATCATATCGGTAAGGACGAAGACGGACTTGCACCAGTTGAGGAACTGATCTGTCTCTCGTCTGGGTAGGACATGCAAAGGATTGGCTGGCGCGATTGATCCCCGAACGAGGCGAGGTGCTCGCAGAGATAGAAAAGAACATGGATCCGCCACTAAGTGGTTGTCCCCTCCAGTTCATCCGCGAATTGAAAGATGATGGATCCGACGAGTTGATCGGAAGTATCGACCTAACCCCTTGGCCCGAAGGCAGGGATCCTCCCCTTGATGCCCTGAGGGAACCGGGAAGTACAGAAATAATTTGGACCATCGGTGGTGAGTTGGGCTATCTCAAAAACGCAGATACGAGGTCCTTACTGGAAAGGTAGACTGGCTTGCTCCAAGTCACCATGGACGAGGGATCATGACCGACGCAGTGCAGACCATCATCCTCGACTGGGGTGTTGCTCAAATGAACATCTCCAAGGTCATTGCCAGTGCCTTCATTGGCAACCCAGCCAGCGTGAGGGTCTTCGAGAAGTGCGGATTCAAGACATATTCAGTTGTCGAGAAAGCGTTGGAGGTGAGAGGTGAAATGAAGGGGATGCACACTCTCTTGTGGACTCGAGATAAGTAGGGTAGCAGTTGTGTCCGAGAAATATTTTCCAATGTCGATTACTTAGTTAGATTGGGAACAGCGTGCAGGGGATGTCCAGAGATCAACACCGTTTATCCGAACGGTCGGAATGTTCGCTCGAGTCATTTAACCCCCTGTGTTAGAAAGCTTAGATTAACCTTTCAACCTGTGACTTGCCAATGCTCACCTCTATGCCACCCATTGAGCGACACCCAATCACCGGCGAGATGATCCTCCGCCTGCGGAAGCATCCCAACCTTATCCTGACACCCCCAAGGGAAAGCGATGTACCAAAGTTGGCGGAGTACCTGAGCGACCCAAGAATATCCTCTTTTTTGGCAAGCCCACCAATACCATATCGTATTGGTTCGTCGCATCATTGGCTGAGTACCGAACTCCAGAAGCTAATGCTTGAATTCATTTAGAGCACGCACAAGCCTGGCTGGCGCGGGCGATTTCTGAGCGGGGCGCAGTTGTCGAGGAGATAGAGAGCAAAGGAAGCGGTCCATTCACCGGCTGTCCTTTCCAATTCATCCGACAGCTGAAAGGCGATGGATCCGACGAGATGATAGGAGCCATCCATTTGGTCCCGTGGCCCAAAGGCAGGGTGCCGGACGTTGATGACCTGAGGGAGTCAGGGAGCTCTGTCACTGAGGTCATCTGGACCATAGGCAGTTAGTCGTGTCAATTTTTCAAGTAGAAGAAACTACTCACAAATACTTTCCAAGATTGGCTCACACCAGCTCTCCATGGTCAAGGTATTATGACAAACGCTGTCGAGACTATTTTGCATGACTGGGGGGTTCCCTGGATGGACGTCCGGAAGGTCATCGTTGGCGCTTTCATAGAAAACCCGGCGAGTGTGAAGGTGTTCGAGAAAAATGGGTTCAAGACGTGGTCTATCGTGGAAAACGCGCTCGAGGTCAGGGGTGAGATGAAGGGGCTGCACACCCTCCTGTGGACTCGAAATGAACTCAGCTGCAGCTGACACTCATACCATCTCGGTCTTCTTGGGACGTATGCGAGATTTGGACAACATCAGACTAAAGAAGATTTTCAAGATATTGGTATACTGATGACAAGGTAGCCTAAGCTTATTACATGGTAGGGGGTCGAGAAATGGAAGGGAATAAACAACAGGTACTACGACTACAGCAATGATTAGAGCAAAACAATGGAATCAATGGAACCAACTCCGCCTGCAGAAAAGAAAAAGGGAAAAAGGGAAAAGAGCGGAGGGGAGTAGAAATCTATCAATGTTGCGAATGACGTCAACCATGGCCCGCCGCTCTGTCGACAAATTGAAGAGGGTCGATTCAAACGTACTGAAACAAAACGTATTGGTATATACAAGGGCGTAGCTGGTCGTTAAGATAGATTCTGGGCGTTACATTCGGAAATCAAGACTGTCCTGTCACCCTTTTTGGTGCATTAAATAAGTTGCAGATAGTTCGATGGCGCAACTGCGAAAATAGAAGTGAGTTGAGGAAAACAAGAGGAAGGGAACGACTCTAGACATACTTCCAACTGTTCCATCAGATTTCCGTGCCTGCCACCATTTGCCTTGCTTGTCCAGGATGTCGAGAATTTCGCCTTTGGCGAATGAGATTTCATTGGCATCTTCAGGGTTGGCAGAATCTGGGATCGATCACTTAGTTTGTGCGGCAGACAAGAAAAGGGGGTCACTCACAAGCATACAAGGCCTTGGCTTTATAGGGATAGGTGTCTGAAGCACCAGGAGCATCTTGAGGAGACGTCCCACCGGCTCCAACGCCTGCCATGAGCGGCGAACTGGGACCATTGTCGCCGCCATTAATAGATCCGCCGCTTGGAGCGTTGTGAATGCTCCCAGCTCCGGTATTCCCACTGATACTGTGTGCACCGCCGTCCCGCATACTCGGGAAGCTGTTCTGACTGCGCATTCCCGGACCTCCATTGCCATAACCCATCCCTCCCAATTTGGAATCGTACGGGTCCCCAGAGCTGATCCCACCGCCTGCATAACTGCCTGCATATCCGCCGTTGGTGGTCGGCATATTCATAACGGATTGCGTGCGCGTCCTTCGTCGACGATTTGGACCCGAGAGACCACCCGTTCCGAGTGAGTTGAAGACGTGCAGCGTGAGCGAATCCGCTTCCGCGGTGAAGTACAGGACCCAGAGGATGTTGACGATCGTGAGGATGAAGTAGCCCGCACCCATGGCGTTGCGAGCGGCTACTCCACTGTAGATGCCTTCATCGATTCCCTGGACGGTTAAAACGATAGCAATCCCGCCAAACACTGATATTGTTAGGCGGTTGAGGTCTATCGAGTCGGTTGCGAGAGTGTATAGCACCCCTAGAATGAGGGCCAGTTCCAAGAAAATAGCAAACCATAGTCTTCCGACACCTCCATCTATATACGGTGTTAGTTTCCTGGAAATGCAAAGGAAACTGGACACATACTTCTGGCTTCTACGAAGGCTTGGGAGATAAACGCGATGAACCAGCCAAGCTAGTAATGGTTGAACATAAAACTTTACAGATTTGAAGAGATACTTACAACTGCTAAAATTGATGTGAATAGAAACAGATAATGGGTTAGAATTGGAGTGAAATCGAGACTGCCGCTTCCTCTTGGGGGCATCCTGACGTCGGTTTGGGTTGGCTAGAGACAACCCGTGAAGACGGTGACCAACGCGACTGTGGCTCAGTTCCCACGGTAAGCCGTATGGTACGTTTCGTAGTCCAAACAGCTTTATTATTAACTTTCATCATCCTCTAGCTTCCATTCAAGTACATTAACGCTGCGACGTATTCCTCGAACCTCATAGTGGTCTTCCGACGTCCAAAGAAACTTGAACCCGTTCTTCAACAATGTTTTGACGCTGCCATGATTGCCCTGAAACGTGAACACCAACATTCGACGAACACCCATCCTTGGTATTGCCCAGTCGTGCAGCAGTGTATTGACCGCGTCGCTCATGATTCCCTGTCCATGAAATTTCGGCGAAAGGTAGACTGGATGCGCTCGTCAGCACAGATGCGACCCACAGTGATGCGACTCACATCCCAATGACCAAACGATATCAGGATCGCCGACGTCGAGGCTGGAATTGTCCTCTAGGTGTTCGAGTCTGTTCTCCCAATCGACTATAGACGGTCCTGCTGGACTGAGGAACTCCCCTTTCTCGCATCGGGTGATGAAGATACTGCCGATGAGAGTGTCTGTTCCGCTTGGAAGCACCAAACGGAGTGTATCAACTGGGCAAAATCCGACAGTTAGGAACTCCGGACCATCTTGAGCCGCTTGAAGGGTACAGAGCGTCTGATCAGAAGTTGCCTTCCTGGTCTTCAATTCTATCTCTGTCTCCTCTGCATCAAGTCAGATCCTATCCCACTATCCGCTAGAACTCACTTACCCAGTGTCACTGGCAAGCGGGGTATCTCTGACCATTCGAACACGAGCGGGTGATTCGTCATCGAGCACAACTCGCATGCATCGCTCATCCTTGGAGGAGTGATGATGACATTTTTGTGTTTCTTCAGGCGCAGAAACGGTTCCCCGTTTTGGAGGTGCATTTGCAGAGGATAGAATTGACCTGTCGCAGGCACCGACATCTGGTGAGTCCTTCTGGCATGACTCCATAACGATTAGGCTGACTGGCTATAAAGGTTCTTCGAAATGACTCGTGCGCTGTAGCTGAAGGCAAGCAGCCCATGCTGTCACCTTGATGTCTATCCCTCTGTTGACTCAACCGACTCTGTAAGCAGTGATACCGATCTTTCCTTGTTGGTACCGCCAGAGTTATTCATGCACAAATGCTCCCTGTGTGAATTATACTATTACACTCTTGCCAAGTTCTACTAAGGACACATTCACGACGCTGAGAGTACAACTTCAACCAGAACTGCGTGGGTGCAGTAACCGTCCTGCATAAAGTCTGCCCTCAAGCGCATGATATCACCGACGTCTTGCTCCAGAACCTCCACCTCCGAGCACCACCATCCTGGTACCTTTCTTCTTCTTCCCGCCTCCAGTATTGTTCATAGTCCGTTGTTCCAGTTCGTGCCACATCTCCTCAGCATCCCACTCTTCCTGCGTCATCTCCCTCCTTCTGGCTGGGGTACTCGACCGCCCGCCCGAGGAGTGAAGCGCCGATGCAAAACTTCTGTTTCCCCAAGCGCCCGTCGGAATAGGTGGGGCCGGTGAAGTCGACGCATTCGATTGGACTTCATGCGTTGAAGGTGAACCGTTCGGTAAAGGCGGAGAGTCATCCCAATTCTCAGAAATTGGGACGGAAGCGACCCGATTCGATGGCAGGAACCTTGCCAATGCTTCCCTCTCTCTCTCCTTCTCCCTTTCCTCAGCCCTGGCCTTGGCTCTGTCGTCCTTCCTCGCCTTCTCTTTCCTCCTCGTCGACCGCGTTCTCAGCGCTCCTTCAAAGTTCTTCAGCCCTTCCGCACCAACCACGCCCTCAAGGTCGGCTTCGACGAAGATGACGTCGGCGCTTTCAGGGAGATGCGCGAGGTACTTGCAGCGCTTGCGAAGGTCATCGTTGACGGTCCCTTCCGAATATGCCTCGACACGAACGGTGATCTCATCGGGGAAGGAGGAGTAACTGTGGTAGTGGGAGAGAAGGATCTTGATGTCTAGTGGGTGTAGGTAAATAGGCAGGCCGGATGCTGCTTGATAGTAGTAGTAGGTGGATGTGGACGGAGGAGGGGGATTGAGATTGCGCCGTTGACGAGGGGTACCACGGTTCTGATTAGGAGGTCGGGAATCAGGAATGGATGGTGTGCTGGAAGGCGTCGCAATTTGTGACGATCTAGACGCCAGGAGCTCGGTTGGAACTTCGTTAGAGCCATCGGTTTCAATGTTCGGTGCGCCCTGTTGAAGTCTAGTTCTACGCTCATCTAGTTCCGCCTTCTGCTGAATCTCCTTATGATCTCTCCGAGCTTTGTCAATCTGCTCTTGCAGCAGCGAAGACTCAAGAGCAGCCGCCTTCTCCATTTGTTGACGCACCCTTTCCTCGGCTGCGGTGAGGAAGCAGACACTTAGATCATCCTTCATGGCGGACATGATTCGGCGTTCTTCGGCCAAATGTTCGAGTTCCTTGCTGAGATCGCCTACCAGGTACTCTGGGGTGGCAAGCATGAACTTTGCAAAGCTGAAGACGTCGGGTAGAAAGTGGAATGGAGCTTTGTGTGGAGGTAGTAGGTCTGAGGGCCAAGTCTGTGATCGAGGCAGGGCGAGGGTCGTAATCTGGGGTCTCTGTATTAAGCGCATTCGTAACAGATTTCCCGCCCGAGGGGTGATTTCGAAGATAGGATCCTCATTGAATGAGGAAGACCCCTCCGATGAAGTGGCGTCAATGGGTCCCTCATACCACTTGACGCACTTCAGTTGGCGCTCGTTGACCGAATCGAAACAGATGGGGCAGCGTGCCCATTTGTTATCGGAAGTGCTGAGGTAGTGGAGAATGCAAGGTAAACAGAATACCTGAACGAAATGTGATTAGCGCTCCTATCTGACATGTCCGATGATATCATACGCACATGTCCGCACTTTGTCATTCGAGGCGCCGTTGGTGGCGAAAGGCATATCGGACAGGTCGAAAGCCCTGTGACATCGGAATAGCTGGTGTCCCCGGCGAGCCTAGAAGCGCGAGGGACGATAATTTGCAGGATATCTTGCCATTGGAAGTAACTGGGCGAAGACAGTTACTATACATCGTTCACGACGAGGGCAAGACGTACATGTCAGGATCCGCAAAATGAACGGTGTAGTCTCCGTTCGGGTTCATAACGAAGCGATATTGAGCGTTGACAAAGCCTGCGAGTGCAGTGAGACCCAGCAATCTCGGTATCTCCACAAGCCTGAGATCGTACTTACGCTCCTTGTTCCATACCCCATGAACGTTGCCGGTCTTCCTGCTCCTCCTCGGTATGCTATTCAGCGGCCTGGTCTGCCTCGGAGGAAGAGTGAAGTTGAGAAGATGGTTGAGGTTTATCGTCTGGTTCGACGCCATCTTGTTCATTCGCTTCGGCTGGGAGTTTGGCTGCTGGTCAGACGCTGCGTTGCTCGTCATTGGAGAACCGAATGGTCGACGGCGGCAACGACGATGTGCCTTCAGTTGTTGTCGGTTAACCTATTGAGTAGAGAAGAAGAATATGAAAAGAAAAGACGGGGGGACTCCCTGCCAGTGGAAAGACAACCACGGCAGGATGAAGCCTCTGAAGACAGTGAAATCACCGAGTGACTCAAATGAGCTCAGGCACGTGCGCGGAACCGCGCTCCTCATCGCTGTCGTGAACGTTGGCCCACAACAGCCATGGCGAAGAAATCAGCAAACCCAGCAGATGCTTACCGTACGTATTGATATTCAGCATTATCGAGTCTCTGAATCGATTATTATCCTTTAGGGAAGGCACAACGGAAAAAAGAACTGAAAAAGGCAGGACGAGTTACACCGCGTTGGAATTTCCTATAGCTCATACTCGTCAATGCAGTAGAACAAGGCCGAGCGTGCAAAGGCACGAGACTTTGCGCTTGTAAAGAAGGATACCACGGGTAAGTCGCTGTCTTTCACGCAGAAGGAACCAGCCTAACGATACGCGTCCAGAACTCGAGGAAGAGATCGAGAAACTCGAACAGGAAGCTTCGTCGGGCGGTAAACCAGATCCTCGACTCGCAGAACTCAAAGCCGAGCTCGAAAAGATTAACAAGAAGAAGGCTGAATATGTCGAGGAACATCCTGAAGCCCGTAAGCTCGTGTACCGTCAACGCAAACGAGATACTGGAAATGAAGCCGAGGCAAAGCCGTTACCTGCGAAGAGGAACATGTTCAACAAGAAAGGACTACCTCGACATCCAGAAAGAAGTATCTATTATGACCCGATAATGAATCCCTTCGGTGTGCCTCCACCGGGAATGCCTTACATGGAGCGACGTACGCGACTTTCTTGATTTCCAGGCTTTTGCGTAAACTAATGTTCTATAGCGCTGCGTCCGGATGAGGTTGATAGCGATGCTGAAATGGACGGTAGGAGCGCCCTATCCTCTCTCTAGACTACCATTCTTACGACTTCCTCTTATAGACGATGATGATATCCCTCTGCCCCCTGGTCTCCCGCCCGGCTCAGAGGAAGTAGGAAGTGACGAAGACATCCCATTACCTGAAGGTCCTCCGCCTGGGAGACAAATACCACAGCCGCCGCTACCGCCTTTGCCTCCTGGCATCCCTCCTCCACCAGGTATGGCAGGTGCCCCAAACTTCCCTACCCCTCCACCCCCGCCTGGTTTCCCTTCCTCATTCCCGACCGGAGCTCCCCCACCCCCACCAGGAATGCCCGTCGCTGGAGCTCCCGGCGTGCCCCCGCCACCTCCAGGAATGCCAGTTGCAGGAGCTCCCGGTATCCCGCCACCTCCTCCGGGAATGCCTTTCGCAGGTGCGCCTGGCGTCCCACCACCACCTCCTGGCCCTCCGCCGATGGGCATGCCTCCCTTCCAACCACAAGGCTGGCCCGTGGGTGTTCCACCACCACCTCCTGGGATGCCTTCCTTCCCTCCAAATATGGGTCAACTTCCACCGCCCCCACCGGGCTTCTTCCCTCGCAAAGCTCAGTCCGCTTCCTCCATGCAAGACCCGCTCTCGAGTGTCCCGCATCAAACCTTCCAAGCCCACCGCGCAAGCCAACTTGCACCTCCTCACCCTTCTTTACCTGCCAAACCAAGTCCAGTCGCGACGACGATCTCGGCACCAGCAACAACGTCAGCGACCGCGACAGTGGAAGCTGCTCCCCAGCTACGGGATTTCAAGAAGGAAGCTACAGCGTTTGTGCCTTCTTCGTTGAAACGCAAAAAGGGTGCAGGAGGCGGTGGTGCGGGCTCTGGTATCAATACAGCACCGTCGGTGGGCGAGCAAGCTGGAAAGGACATTGGGCCTGCTAAACCCGATCTTGTTGGGACACTGAAGAATCAATTCCCGGCGCCTAAACCAGACGACAAGCCCAAGGACGATTATGCCAAGTTTATGGAGGAGATGGGTGATATCCTGCAGTAAACGGTTACCTTTTGACACACTCCATTCCCTTTATACTACTACTTTACATATCGTCGTCCTATTTGAACCTTGCCAGCCAATGATATCACTGCGGGGTCATTATTCACACCCGGGTCTGCGAAAATCGAATAAAACAAAAAGATAAAGCAAACTGGAAATATAAGATCTTTCAGATAGGTTGTTTCATGATTTTACGATGTTCCTGAACATTACTGTTAGTCTCGAACTGGAACTGTATGTCTTGCTGGCGACTCACTGGCGTGTGACTAGTTTCATGGTCGACATGAACGAAAGCCCGTTCGACGTCGGGCAAAGTTTCAATCTTGTCTTGCAATTGTTGGCTCAAATCGTGTGCTTTCCATAGAGGCGTCTCAGCATCCATCACAATGTCAATTTCGACAAAATAGCTCTGTGACTTGATGAGACTCGGAACTTTGGCCTAGATGCACAATTAAACTTACGGGTCCACTCTACGAAAAAGAAGGGGTTAATCTCCATCCTTCGAGAAACAAGACCGAACGTACATGATATGCTCGTACAGTGTCGATTTGTTTGATGTCGTCACTGAACGTTGCGGCTTGGTAAATAAGGTATTGAATAAACTCATGTGGTGCAGATTTTCCGGCCAAGAGCTCAAATTGGAACCAGATAGTTCGAAGCCATGAGAAAATGATCCCGAGACCAATCTACGAGTCACCTGTCAGAAAGGGTGCAGGCAAGGGTAGAACGGGGCGAAACTTGCAATTAGGGCTCCAATAGGATCGAGGTCTAGTATAACAAGGTCGTCAGAGCAAGGACTGAATACACCGCACAGACTTACACCATCGCAGTTTACTACCGCCAGTAGACATCAGAATACCTTGAAACCGGGACGTAGATGAGCAGAGACTTTCCCGGGGACGGGGAGTCGGGGAAACCCACCGAAGGTATTGACGAAGAGGTCATTTCGGTGGTCTTCCCATAGCACTTGCACCTGGCTAGACTGCTTGCGGATCGAAAAACTGAAGACAAACAAAGCCAGTTTCACAGCTGCAGGTGTGGTTTAACAACGTGGAGTCGAGTAAAGGCGCAAATTAACTTACCCAGGGCAACAGAGACTGCAATGATAGAGGGTAGATGGAATTCCCTCAAATCGTCACCCTCTTTCAGAATCAAGGTCCGGATAGACTCGATGATGACGACTAAGTTGACCGTGGCCATGCTGTTTTCTGAATTGGAGCATGCGCCTCTATAACCTGGAGACCACTCACAGAAATCCTAAGAGTATACTATCAGGTGGAATCTGGTACCATAACAGAAGGTTTCTTACCATAGATCACATTGCCTATGGTCTCGAGACGAGCACCGCCTACCGGCCATTTGCTGAAGTCGAGTCTTCTCGCCTTCCTATGAAGCCACCACAGGAGGACGTTGCTCCCAATATCGAAAACAGAGTCGATTGCAGTGGCCACAAGAGAAAGAGACCCGGAAGAAATTGCGGCATACACTGGAGAAGCCCCTCTGTGAAAGGTTCGGCCGAAAGGTGCGGTGAGGACATACGTTGCAGAACACAGAGGAAAAGGTTTGAGTACAAGCTCCCGTAGACCGCGATTTTGACCTTCAAAGAGTCATTAGGCCCTGAACCGTGGGGTGAAGGAACAGGACTTACAGCTAAACGCGACGACTCTTCCTCCACCTGGGCATCTTCAGTGTGTTGCTCCATTGGTTTGAGGAGCGAGTGGATTAACTAGACCGTGCCAGTGAGCACTAGGGACCGACCAAAATGGTAAACCAGTTGCACCTCGTTTTGACGGGAGTGGAATTTGGCAACATGCTTGCCCTGTTTGCGGTTCCGTAGCCCGGATAGGGTTTCCTCGGATACCAGTTTGTCCCTGAACTGATATGGGTCATGGGGGATGATACTCGTTCCAGAGGACGTGGTTGAGCTCCTCTCGAGGTCATTAGAAGCGTCTAATATGGGTTCAGAGGACTAGAAAACCCTTATCAGATAACGATTAACCTTTCATTAATGAAAGCCTAACTTACAACTGATGCAACGATTCCATTTCTTCCTTCCGTTCCCTGACCACCTTTACCATTTCCAAGTGTCATTGTAAGGCAAACTCGTTCTGCAAAAGAGGTTTCGAGGTACTGGGACCCAAAACAATGGATAGCGCGCGCTGGAAGAGGAAATCAGCGACGGTACCGATCCTCTGGGTTGTGTGGATGCAATTCCAATCCTTTGGTTCGCTGATCATCCCAGGGTAAACTTGGTCAATTTGAAGATTGAACTTCCACAATTGGGTAGACTAACCGTCAAGGATGCACAGGAAACCGAGCCACAGGGCTTCTGGACGACTCAATTGCGAAAGGTAGGACGTGGTCGATGACCCGTGGGGATCCGACGCAATGGGTGATGGTGGACATTCAAGCTCCGACTTTATGCATGCCGGCTTTCTCCGACTGTAGGGTGCCAACTCGACGCGCGCTTGAACTTGCTGCAGGCCGACAACGAACGAGCCTCTGCCTCGAAGGTCGACGACAGAGACCAGATGTCCATCGAAAATGATGACGAACTAAGACAATTGATTTTTATCCTTGTCCTTTTTGCTGTATTACTGTGAGTGTAGACCCTGGCTAAACGCGTTATCTCGACACTGATTGGCATAATATAACAGGACTGCTGCGCTCCTATGGTGCCTGTTGTCCTCCTGCTTAGGGGTCTCTATAACTCGCATCTTCTCTAGTTGGTGGGAGGCAATGACCCTGAGCTCCAGCTCGTCGAGACACTATACGAGGGGAAGGAGAGGGTTTCGCGACGATGGCGAACTATGGGAAATGGAGTACCGAGGTCGAGTTGGTTAGATATCTTTGGCGCGTCCATACTTCGTCCCGAGGCCCACTGTGACTTCGACGCGACGCGACTGACTCCAATCTTGCTCCACCCTATTTCGCAATTGCAACGCGCGACCTGACTCACAAGTGGTTCACAAACACGACTGCAACCAAATCTCTCCTATGGTTGTCTGGCCATCTATATATTCACGGCCTGAACCCTGTCTCGGGTTTAGCTTCTTGTCCAGTCCAACAACCTACCCGTCAATACCCACCCACTAAAAGCCAGGTCGCTTTCAGTGCTCTGTATTATTTCTGAACTTCTATCGTCTATGAAGATCCCCACAAGCTCCTCCATTCTTCTGGCAACCCTTGCCATCTCCTCTTCATCGACATCTCTTGCAGCACCCGCTCCCGTTGGTGAGAGCGGCTTAGTTTCTTCTCAAAGCACCAAGGATGCTCGCGACGCATACCATGGGGACGAGGGAGGAGCAGATGGCTCCATGCTGGCGCGCAGTGAAGGTACGATTCCTTTTCTTGTGTGCGTTGCCTTTCGTTGAACATACGATAGGAGACAACAACCTAGAAGCCCGAGGCAATGGCATGGTCAGCGACATCCTCGCGGGTCTACCCATCGTTGGACCCATTGCCAAGGCACTGTTGGTCAAGGACTGCCCTCCTCCCGGTACAGCCTCTGCCGAATCCGTCTCTGAGGAAGACCTCGCGAATCTACAAAACGCCGTCGACACCGTCAACGGTGCCCTTTCAGGGATTCTTCCCATTTCACCGCCCGTCCCAGTTCCCTCCGATGCCTTGGGAGGGCTTGTCTCCATGATCCCTGCTCCCGCTCCCATGAAGAGTGCTATTGCTGGCCTTTCGGACGACGGAGGAGAACCCGATTCCTCGAACCAACCCTCTGAAGCCGCCTCTAGCGACGTCGTTGGCCCCACTCCCACAGGAGATGTCGGTGCAGCACAGGCGACTGAACCTTCAGGAACCGGCTCGTCCTTCTTGATTTCCCCCACCACTACCATCGCCGCTGAAGGAGCAGACGAAACCCAATCGCCTTCGGAGTCGACCTTTTTGTCAAGCAGCGACGCTGCAAACGTGGCTGAAGCTACCCCGACATCTCCTGGTGTTCCGGCTGGCCCACCGAACACTCCTGCGATGCCCGAAACAACAAGTGACCCAAATGATGATTCAGACGATGTAGACCCCAGCGAGGAAGATCCCGAGGCCAAGTGAGGACTGAACGTTTTGTAACATGTATTAAGCTGGCTTGTACCGTTACTGGAAGGATACGTAGTACATGGCTCAAGAAATAATGTCCGTATTGCTGATAATTGAAATGCAACTTTGAAAAATCACAACTCGATGATCACGGCGGCATGATGAACATGAAATCTGGATGTCGTCTGGATCACACAGTTCTCCTCGCCATCAAAGGCACACAGCGATGCCATGGCATCCACCACTAAGGATTGGACTTTTTTTTAGTCTTAACCACTACCCCTTACAGCCTGTATGCCCCGGCCGTCGCCTTTAAACTTCAGTTCTGCACGATACAATGGCGACAATGAATACAATTCGCTGACGCCGCGCACGCCGCACTCGAGGACAGCCCGGGCGGAAGGGGGGTTTGCCAAGCTCGACATATCTGACGCGAACGACGACTTCGACGATTCTCAGGTCGCCTACGCTCAACACCAATCAGCACCGCTGTTGCATTCATCGACGAGCCCACGGTTCTCAGCCGGGATCCACCATGACGGCCCTAGGTCCAGCAAGACGGAGAAAAGCTCGCAAAGAGAGCCGTTTACACCGCTACAACGCGTTCTGCTCGTTTTCGGCGTCTTCGTTGGAGGAATAATACTGTTCATGCTTGTCCTTTCATGGACCAATTCAGCAGCGCTTCACAGGTACATTGGACTGGATCCCAATGCATTTGTGGATCTGCGGCCAGGAGCAAGACTCTCCGACTCATACAATGCACGCGACCTACCTACACCAAACGATTTCTTGGAGCAATGCAATAAGCTTCATTCAGGCTTCGTCTCGCATGGCGCATATTGGGACACTATGGGCCATGGTGGTCATGACATGAACGAGTCGACCATGCACCATTCCGAACCAGCACCCGAAGGAACCTGCTCCAGTTCCATAACATATATGTTGGACGGAAGAGTGGGACTCGCAGCGGATCTCGCTCTCATGGCGCAGGCAGCGGCGTTGGCACGAGAGGTGAGTTCCTTCTTACCGTGACTGTGCAATAACCAACTGAAATTGGCAGCGTAACCGGACGTTCTTCGTGGACGACACCTACTGGAATAGGGGGAAATGGATTGATCACTTTCAGGACGTTCGTGTAGGTCAACCGGGTCCTGAGCCTGGCTGCAAGCGACCCCCAGCAAAGGGTAGGCCACCAGCATCTTTGGAATGGACGTGACTCTGACCAGTGTTCTCAGAACTTGTTGCATGTCCACGAACATCGAAGTAAGCTACACTTCTGGGCTTTTGACATTCCATCACTGAATTGGATGTATTATAGACATTGGGTAAAGTTACTCAACTCAGACCAGCTGTATTTTAAGGCTGACTTCTTGGCTGAAAGATCATCAACTCCAGGACAGCAAAATTCCACTTTGGCCACGATTACAAGGACCACTATGAAAATGCGTCAGTGGAGACCCTTCGAAGTGACTTCCTCTCGACCTGACGAATTCTTGCCACAGCTTCGGTCACGATCTGAACCGTCAGAAGCCCATTTTCGATTTCGCTCACGAATCCTTCTCGAGGACGATCCGACCGAATGCCAAAATGCGGAAACTTATTAATCTAGCAAAGCAAGAATTGGTCCAAGTGTCTGCACCCCACAGCGACCCACCGATTCGCGACTCTCATACACCTAGGGATAACATCTACCTTGCAGTCCATGTCCGACGCGGCGACAGGTATCCTACTGGGTTCCAATACCACCGAAATCCTATCCCTATTAAGGTCTTCGCAGACGCTATACCAGAGACTTGGGATAGGCTTCACAAGCACGACGATGTGCCCGACCAGCCTCTCGTGTATATCGCGTCGGACTCTCCAGATGCAGTCAACGAATTAGCACTTTCATACTCTGGACCTTCCTTCACCCTTGAGAGAAGCACTCATGCGGAACTCAAGAGCATCGCCAGCGATTATGCCTATCGCCAGAAGGAATTCGATACCCTGCCAGCGGAGAAGCGCATTTCGCTGACCAAGGGAGCCATTGTGGATTTGGCTCTGATCACTGGACTTTGGAGGGGAGAGCGCGACCAGGTTCGGCTAGATGCTACGATTTGTGCAGTAAGGTGCGTGCTTGCCATCTTCGAACATTGCGCTCGACGTGTCGCTGACTGCTCACCTTTAGCTCAAACTTCTGTCGGTTAGCGGCCGTTGGGCTGGGCTGGGAGAGTGCCTTTGGGAAAGTCAATGACCTTGGCGACATCGACAACGTCAATAAGCATTGGGTTGATATCGATGCGAAGGGTGCAATAATTCCTGTATGGGAGCCATACGAGTTGTTCTAGGAGGCTGGATTGCTAGTATACTAATATGTTGACCTTCCAAGGCAGCCAGCTTTTAAGACGTGAAAGCGTTAATTGCGAATGGTAAGTAATGCAATGATATGAACTATGACTACAACCGAAATGCGTGGATATAACTACAATAGGTGGCAACCACTAAGTCTAATCCGACTTGCCCAAATGAGTAGATGAAAGTAATAGATGAGGGAATAGTTTTGTTGGGCACCAGACCCCATACAGGACGTCAAGCATCGTAAAGGACATGCAGAGGAACACAAGGAACTAGTATGCGAATCGGAAGTCGAGGCGCTTGTTACCTACATCCTTCGTGGTCTCGATGTACTCGGCGCGCTGTTTCTCGTCCCATGAGTTCCAGATCTTCTCGCGCCTGTGGTTGAGATATTTGTAGAAGAAGTGGGTAAGGATGTAAAGGGTGATGTTCATGCAGCAAATGGCGATCAGTTGACGGTTTCCTCGTTTGTCTGTTGGAACGACGGTCAGCTGTCATAGATGCGGTGAAATAGAAGGTACACGTACAGAGAGGAGCGTCGTCCTTTCGGTAGATGTTGGCGTAGACGATGGCGCCGGTTTGGACAAACATGTTGTAGAGCGAGGCGGAGACGGTGCTATTGGAAAGCAAGTCAGAGTGCATCTCTCGAGGCAGTGACTATAGACTTACCGAGTCCTGACACTGTACGAGTTGCGTGAAGCCCAAGCCACTTGGATGGGGTGGACGTATGGGAAACCAGTGACCAGTGTGACTACGGCAAAGTAGACCCATTGGGATGTCGATTTGTCAAAGGTGTAAAGGGCAACGAGGAGGGGCAAAGCCCAGACTTGGAGGATGATCGTAGCAGACACTCGGCTGTTGACGACTTCGCTGAAGTAGGCGGTGAAGATGAGCATAGCGGCACCGATGACGACGGATGGGATGGTAAGGAGATTGGTTTCGGTGACGTTGAAGCCGAGGTTACGCAAGGAGAGGGTGAGGTAGATTTGAGGGGGACCGACGGGCACTGAAGTGAAAGACAATTGTTGAATGACAGGGTATGGCAGGGAAAATAGATAACACTTACTCATATGAACGAGGCCAAGTGCGTAGACAGGCCACAGTCGCCAGTCGCAGATGGCTTCCCAGATCATCTTGACGGAAAGACCCTCTCGGTTGTGCATGTCCGACTTGGAGGGATCGTCTCGAAGAACACGGTTGACCATGATGACCTCCTCTCTGATGGAGGATTCAGGACATGAGCAAGGGAAATCGGTGTGAGAAAACAAGACTAACCTTTCGGTGAACCAACCCTTGGGACGGAACCAAGTCTTGGTTTCAGTAGGACCGGGAGGCATGAGGAAGAAGGACGCAACCCCAACAAGAAGAGTCATGATACCCTCCAGCAAGAAGAGGTATCGCCAACCCTCTTTGCCACCAATACCACGCATGCGGAGAATACCAGTGCCGAGGAAAGCACTGATAATGTCAGCAGCATAATTAGAGATCCAGAAGTAGGCCATGCGGATAGGGACTATACAAGAGGAGTTGAAGTCAGTCTTGGAAGAGATAACTGGGAGGGGTGTAACTCACGTTCTCGCTTAGTGTAAAAGTAGGAGAGGTAGAGGACCACATCGGGGATGAAGCCACCTTGCATGAAACCGAGCAAGAATCGGCAAGCCAGGAACGACTTCCTTCCACTCAGCCAAAACTGGGCCAATGACACAGTGCTCCACGCAACCATCTAGAGACGCGCGGTCAGCCATGTCTTGGGGTGTCAATTACGACCGCGAAAATACTAACTTGGCAAGGAATCCATACATCAGGGCCGATACGTTTGGAGATAAGTTGGGAAGGAAGTTCTATAATTAAACGTGAGAAGGAGGAAATGGCAAAAAGATAAGACAGGACTTACCCGCAAGTAAGAAAGACAACCGGAAAAGAGTGTTGCCCAAATTGAAGTCGTTAGTCGTGAGGTTGAGGTCGTCGAGGAAATTATCAGCGTTGGCTTGGGAGATGTTGCTCCGGTCGATGTCGAGGGAGAAGAACATAACACAGGCCCAGATCATAATGCGGAGGTCCACTTTTCGGACAACTTTCTGTAGGGGCAAGGGTCAGATCATGAATGCACTGGAGGTAATATGAATAGGGGCGCTCACATTTTCTTCGCGCCATGTCCACCGGGCGTCGGGGTCGAAACGGTGACTATTTTCGTACTGAGGTGGTGGGCGATAGGCCTCAAGGGTCGTAGGGTCGTCAAAGACAGACGGTTGGGTAGCGATAGCATCGAGTTCCACGCGAGGTGCCTTCCGGAACATGTTCGCGAAAGGGTTACCCTGTCGTTCGGGCAGGGGTGCCCCCAGAGGGGCCACCTTGAAGTCTTTGACAGAGTAAGCATCTGTCTTCGCAGAGAACTTCTCGTCAGTCGACGAGGAGTCGTCCCTGGTGGGCTTGACGTCGCGAAGGAGAGCTGTCGACATAGTAAGAGAGGTGGGAAGGCGACACTGAGGACTTCATGCCTCTAGTGGAGCTATTTATCCAGAAGGTCCCCGTCTATGTTATGAAAATCAAAGTATTCACAGTCAAGTCATGATGGCGAAGCAGACCAGTGACATTACGTTGTGCCTGTACAAGATTGCGCGATTTGCTGACGCGTTGAGCTCACCTTCCTTTTTTGGTCTGGAAGTTGCCATCTCAGGGTTAGTTCGCGCGTTTTTTGGTGGCGAGCACGCACCTCAACAGGTACAGATAACACCCTTTTCTGGCATAGTTTATCAAAAGGGCGGCTCCGACTGGCGGTTCCTTCAGGTTCCCGTTTGAAGCTTCTCTCAAATTCAAAATCAAGAGCGCCAGGTTAATGAATACCCAATCTAGCATTAGAATGATTTACTGAAACTTCTAGTACACTTTGCTTTATCGACGACCCGGCATGCCTCGCCCCCTGCCTCTCAAGGCCCGCTGCGCGGTGCCAGGTGGTGCCTTGGGTCCCGCGTTTGGCTGCAATGAAAGTTTGATAATCAGTGCCAGTATGACGAGTGGAGTTGAATGCACCCACCGCCTCGCTTTGGGGACTTTTGATTGTCTCATCCACGCTCAGGATCAAGCAGGCGGCCTCCGAAGCGCTGCTGATGGCATTGATTTTGACAAGACTTGGTTCCCAAACGAAAGCCTCCATGTTATCCCGAATACCGGACGGGCCATCCACGTCAACACCAAACCACTTGCCATCGGTCGCGTGCTTCATTCTCAATTTATTGAGGATATCAGTCGAATCGAGGCCGGCATTATCACAAATTTGTCGGGGGATGGTCTCCAGTGCCTTTGCAAAAGCGGCTAGGATCAATTGCAACTTGCCGGGGATCGTGAGGGCATGCTTGCGAATGTAAGCCGAAAGTTCCATCTGTCCGGAAATCAGAATCCAATTTCCTCGAAAAGGCAGAGGGCTCGAACTCACTTCAATAGCTCCACCTCCCGCAACTACTTCCCCGTTCTTGATGGCACGCTTCACGACCATGAGTGCATCGTGAAGACTCCTCTCCACTTCCTCAATGAACTGCTCCGCACCACCACGCAAAATCAAAGTGCAGGTCTTCGCTTTGGGGCAGCCCTCGAAAATGTTGTACCTTTCACCTCCGATCTGTCGCTCCTCGAAGACGCCGCAAGTGCCCAGATGCTCTCGGGTGATATCCGAGCAAGTGGATTGAATAGAACCACCAGTCGCCTGAACAACCCTGCGGAGGTCACCTGCCGCGACGCGTCCAGCACAGAAGATATCCCGGTCCGCGAACCATTGGGTAGCAAGATCTCCAATCGGCAATTTGCTGAGGACGACCTTGGCTCCCGTCTTCTCAATTGCTTGCAACTTGCGGTAGATGATCTCCCACTCCGCATCAACGATTGCCTGGTAGTCGGAAACGTGCTCCACTCTGACTTCAGCATTGTCCTTCTCGGCTTTGAGTTCGAGCTCGACGTTCAAGCAAAGGATAAGAGGATCGCGGAAGTACTTGGGTTGCTGTTCGGCACCGGCGTAGGTGAATGTCTTCTTGAAAGAAACACCCTTGATGAGGAGGGAATCCTGCATTCCACCTCCGGGCACCTTTTTTACTCCAATCAACGACTCGTCGAGATCATCAGGATCGAGGCATTCGATAGCCTCGACAACCATGTTGGAGAAGAAAGGTTTTTCTGAGTGGATGAGCTTTGATGACATAGAAGTAGAGGCGCATTTGAGGAGGAGGGATCGGAATTTCCTGTGGGCAGATAAGATACTGAGCCTTGGGACATTTCCGTAAGTACAACGACACGCACTCTGGGTCGGACTTGTCGACAGAGACTTGCAGCTCTTTGATTCTGTCAATCGCCTGGAATAAGGTTAATATTATCGCCTCGTGATCGCAAGAAAATCGCGCATACGAGTTTTGTTGCCTGTCTGAAGCCCTTCATGATAATATGCGGGCTGACGCCATCCTCAATGAAGCCCCGGACCTCCTTCAAGAATTGGGCAGCCAATAAAACGACACTAGTGGTTCCGTCGCCGACTTCAGCGTCTTGTGCGCGAGCGATGTCGACCAGAGTCCGCGCAGCAGGATGTACGATATCGAGAAGTTTCAGGATAGTTGCACCGTCATTGGTAATCTGGGCTTCTCCACGTTCGTTGACAATAAGCTTGTCCATTCCTCTAGGGCCCAGGGTTGTTGCAAGAGTTTGTGCGATCGCAAGACATGCTGAAATGTTGGAGAGCAATTGGGGGTTTCCCTGCGATGTGTCGGTTCCTTCTCGCAGAAGGACCACAGTCGGTTGCTGATGATCACAGGTTAATCAAACGTTCTCTGAACACGACATACAATGACCCACCATTGGCATTCCGCGCTGCATTTTGAAAAAAGGAGATCAGAGAAGAAAAACGAGCGCGAACAGGGAATCTCTCTGTTCAAAATGGCGGTCAAGCTTTCGACTGCGATTGCTTCCTCAGCCGCCGCGGCGTTTCCCACGATTTTACGCAGACGCGTTTTTGGAAGGCGCGTCGATATAGCAGTGACTCAACATCCATCTCGACGCGTCTATTCGTCTGTTTTCACTATCCACGATGAGCTCAAGCGCTATCCCAAACGATCCACCGCCAGGGACGTTCTTTGCGAGCTCCGAAGATGAAGAAGAGGACAAGTCAATGGCCGTGGACGCAAGTGAATCAGAGCCAGCGCCCTCACCGCTACCGTCAACTCCAGGTCCAGAGACATCTTCGAGAGGATCTTCACCCGCGGAGGAGAAATTATTCCTAGACGCCGACGATGATGATGACGACTATCTCATGCAGACGGATGAACCCCCGCCAGTCGACGTGACAGCAGGCTCCAAGCGCCCTGCAGCAGACGCCGATGATGACGCCGAAATACAGTTTATGGGTCACAATCGTTCGTCTCCTCCACCTCAAATCAAAGCCAGTCGAGAACCTTCTGTAATACCTGCTCCCGGACCTTCTCGTCGCTCAACTCCCCCGCCTAACAAGAAACGGAAGGCCTCAGAGTCTGTCCCTCCTGCATCACAATCCACCTCCCATGCCGACTTCAAACCTACATATCTAGGAGAGGTCATCATTCCCAATGCTTGGAGTAACGTCTCTGGAAAAGGATACATCAAAGTCAATGATTCGTTTGCTCTCAAACGCGACGTGGAGCAAGACGAGGACTATAAAACCAACTCGTCCAAGACCAAGTCTTCGGCGGCAAGTAAACCGAAGAAAGGCGATGGCAAGAAACAAATGACGCTTTCCGCTATGATGAAACCACAGCCGCCTAAGAACTTGAAGAGAAAGAAGGCCGATACCATCGTCCGGCTAGTTAACACGAAAGGTTATGGTAAGTTCAGTCACGAGAGACCTTTCCTAGATCTCACTGCTGGCAGAATTCGGTCGCCTTCCAACGGACTGCTCCTGGTGGATATACAAGCTATTGGAGCTAGGTGAGCACAGCTGCATTCAGTAGAAGCATTCATCCTAACACCCGCTAGGCCTCGTTGAGATTCGAGGCGTCATGACCGACTGTCCTGACAGGCTGTCGACTGGAGTTGGTCTCATTATCACCTTGCGATTCTACATCCTTCGTGCGGCATTCACTAGGCCAAGTACTTCCATTGACGATGATACGCCGACGACCATGTTCAATGAAGGACAAGAGACTCAGGAAGAGACGTGTGTTCCTTCATGTCTGTGAACACTCAACCTCCAGACTCAACAAACCTCACAGTGAACTACGAGAGCGCAAGAGCGCGATTGTCCGACTCTTTGAAGTCCTTGGTCTTCGCCCTCAAGCTGGAGCCAACTTCAAAGGGAAACAGTCGAATGAAACTCTTACCCATGAAACTTTGAAAAAGATGGCGTCCCGTCCTGCCAAGAAAGTCAAAGAAATCGTCGGTGACGGTGAAGAAATCGAGGTTGAGGACACAGAAGAGTTGTCCAAGAACGATATCGATGCCATTTACAAGAGGTATGTCCTTGACCGGCACAGCCCACATTCCCTCTCACCGATGATCATTAGGGCCCAGCACCACGACAAGACTATGGGGATGATGGAACCAGCGGAGAGCTTTGCCATGACCCTACGACCTTATCAGAAGCAAGCCCTCCGGTGGATGTATTCTTTGGAAACTGGGGCAATGGACGCTCGAGAGGCGACCTCAATGCATCCGCTGTGGAGTCAGTGAGTGACAATTGTCTACTGGTGCGTCAATCACTTACATGTTATCCAGATACTCTTTCCCGCATGACCCTACAGGGGACGGCGACATCATCGATTTGACGGACGACGACAAGCCTTTCTACTTCAACCCGTACTCGGGAGAGTTGAGCTTGGAATTCCCTAAATCTGAGAGGAGATGTCGCGGGGGTATCCTTGCGTAAGTCCTTTCTTCGTGCCCGTACATAAAGTGCTAACCTTTCTTTCAGAGACGGTAGTACTTCACTAGCTCTTTTTCAGTTGCTGAATTTCTCACACACGTTCCTGTTCCTTGACAGAAAGTCAGTCTGGCCTTTTTTCATGCGACGCTGTACTGACCACTTTATTACAGTGGGAATGGGTAAAACCATCATGTTGTCCTCCCTCATCCAAACCAGCCTCGCAACGGAAGACGATCTCAAGACTTCAGAAACCGCCAGGAGGAATCCCAAACAGCTCAAACTTAACAGCGCGTTCAAGGCCGTCTCCCGTACTGCCCCTTCAAAACCGCCCTCAGCAACGCTCATTGTCGCACCTACGTCTCTTCTTGCGCAGTGGGCGGAAGAGTTGCAGAGGTCTAGTAAACCTGGGACCATGAAAATTGTCGTCTGGCATGGAAATAATCGGTTGGATCTAGATGGTCTTGTGGATGACGATGAAGGCGAGGAGAATAAGCCAATCAGGGTTGTTATCACATCCTACGGCGTGCTGGCGTCGGAGCACGCAAGGTCCGAGAAGTACAAGTCTCCTGTGTTCGAGAGTGGGTGATACTGTCGTGTCTTGCATTCCTATGCTTACTGTCAGGACAGTTGAATGGCTTAGGGTTGTTCTTGATGAAGCCCATGCTTGCAAGTCTAGGACAAGCAAGACCGCGAAAGCGGTCTACGCTCTTCAAGCTCGGAGGAGATGGGCTGTGACGGGAACACCCATCATTAACCGACTGGAAGACTTGTTCTCCCTACTGTGAGTTGTCCATCCTTGTGCTTTAGATGCAGCCGCTTATCCTACGTTTCCCTCAGTAAATTCCTCGACTTCAAGCCTTGGTCCGACTTCGCCTTCTTCCGCTCGTCAGTACAGATGATCTTATTTTGCTTAAAGGAATCGGGACTCATTGAATGATAACAGGTTCATCACCCTTCCATTCCTCGCTCGAGATCCCAAGGCCATAGAAATTGTGCAGGTCATCCTAGAGAGCATCCTCCTACGACGAGAGAAGACCATGCGCGATGCGGATGGAAAGAGAATCGTTGAGCTGCCGCCCAAAGAGGTATGTAGGACGCCCTACCCTTTCATTCCTCCGTTGCTCATGTTATCAAATGATAGGAAACATTCGAAAATCTCGAGTTTTCGCCTTTGGAAAGGAAGATCTATGATTCTATATACACCACTGCCAAACGGAACTTTGAACAGTTGGACGCCAAAGGGCTGATTGGAAAGAACTATACCCATATCCTTGCCATGCTCATGAAGTCAGTACAAACAACCATCGCCTCTGGCGACTACTCATGACATTCATTCTTTTAGGCTTCGCCGAGCGGTGCTTCATCCAAAATTGGTCATCACCCAAGATGTGGAGAGGGCGCTTTCTCCAGACGGGGACGGTGCAGTCGACGTTAATGACCTGCTCAGTCGTTTCGCCGATGCGGGAAGTAGTAGTGGCTCGGCCTCACCCAACACCGCCTTTGCGGAGCAGGTATTAGCGAACCTGTCGAAGGAGGAAGTCACGGAGTGTCCTATTTGCTTTGGTGAGGTCGAATACCCCATGTTCGTGCCGGACTGCATGCATCAATTGTGAGTGGATTGAGACGATGACACGGTACCGAGCTGACGATATTGTATGGCAGCTGTAAGGAATGCATTACTTCACATATTGGGATCTGTGAAGAGAAAGGACAAAGTCCTACATGCCCCTCATGCGGTCAAGGACCCTTGAAGGTAACCCGTCCCTGCCTCCTTTGTCTACAGCCAACTCTGACATTTGAGGATTACAGAGTAGCGACCTCGTTGAGATAGTGCGGAACAAAAAGGACGGGAACCAGCCTCCCAACTCACAGGACCCCGAACCTGAAATAGTCCTTCGTCGGAATGATTTCCAGTCTTCCACCAAGCTCGACGCTTTGGTTCAGAATCTCCGTAGGCTTATGCTTTTATCTGCTCCTTATTCGTGGTTTTACTGAGATCTTTGAAGGGCGCCTTCGTGACCAAGACCCCTGCTTCAGAGCTGTGGTATTTTCCCAATTCACGTCGTTCTTGGATCTCATCCAGGTGGTGTTGACCCGGGAGCGGTTTGAACATTATCGCTTCGACGGGACCATGGATGTCAAGAAACGAGGAGCCGCCATTAGTGACTTCAAAGCTCCCTCCAGAAAGCCGAAGATTTTGGTGGTCAGTTTGAAGGCGGGTGGTGTAGGATTGAATGTGAGTGGGATTCTCTTTCGAAGGGCCTAACCGTATTGACAAGTTTCCCGTAGTTGACTGCGGCTAACCACGTGTTCATGGTAACTTTCTAACGCCCCTTGGTGCTATCCCAATGCTTATCCGAAACACAGATGGATTGTTGGTGGAATGCTGCAACGGAGAACCAAGGTACGAAAGGCTTTTGCCAACGGCTTCAGAGTTGCTGACTTGCTTGCTAGCGATTGATCGTGTCCATAGAATTGGTCAGGAGAAGACTGTCTATGTGAAGCATTTTGTTGTGAGTTACTCACTATTTCCTCGGGGCCTGAGCTGTTTACTAGCCCAACCCAGATCTCGAACACCATTGAGGGCCGGATTCTTCAAATTCAGAAGCGAAAGACTGCCATCGTGAATGAAGCATTCAAAGGAACGCAGGGTGGCAAAGGAAAGGCGGATCCTGAGAGTATACAAAATCTTAAAATCATGTTTGGAACGGATTAATTTGCTATATCTCGCTTATGCTGTATCTACTTGGACTATTCACCTGGGTTTCCTCTCGACGACGCGTCTAAAATTTGAATCCCCTATCCTGCTGTCACACGTGACGTCAGTGCGTGTTTTTGGAAGGAGTGAGCTTGGCACGCAGTGCAAATCCAAGTCAAACTTGGGAATTGGCCTTGTTCACGTTTAATTGTGGTCACAGTGGCCCCCTTATCTGCTCTTCGCCTTTTACGGCGGGTGCCTCGTTTCTACACCCCACCCCGTCAACTTCGACTCCCTGTCCCAATGGCTCCCAAGAGTAAAACCGGTTTCTACGCTGTCAAGTCTGGACGGGTGCCGGGTGTATATTCCACCTGGTGAGTTCATTTGGAATGTGACATCGGCAACAGACTGAGAGGTTCTGATCAGGACAGAATGTGAGAACCAGGTGAAAGGATTCGCTGGGGCTCAGTACAAAAAGTTCAACACGCACGACGAGGCGACCAGTTTCGTAGCTGGAGAGGCCGTATCCGCCCCAGCAGCGACTTCCAGCAAACCACCCTCATCGAGCGGCTCTTCAGGTGACAAGGGAAAGAAGAGGGGAGCCTCGTTGATGCTGACTGGCGTCGAGGACGAGTCGGAATGGCTTGTTGTCTATACCGACGGGGCGAGCAAAGGGAATGGGCAGCCTGGCTCTGTTGCTGGCATTGGAGTCTGGTGGGGTCATGATGATCCTAGGTGCGCTCATTGCTCTCGTTTCCGTCTTCATGGTCTAACGGGATGTTAGGAATATTGCAGAACGATGTCCCGGGGACCAAACTAACAATCGGGCAGAGCTGCTCGTAAGTCTTTTCTTTGTCGAAGGCCACGAGGGTCTAACGCAACGCAATAGGCGATTCTCCGAGTGCTGGAGACGGCACCTATTAGCAAGACACCATTGTTGATCAAGTCGGATTCTCAGTATTCCATGAACTGTGGGCGCCTGTATGCCTCTCTATCAGTGAATGTTGTGTTGACTCTGGGACAGGTTTACAGGTTTGGCTGCCGGGTTGGGTTAAACGAGGCTGGAAGAACGCAAAGGGCGAACCTGTCAAAAACGCGCCTATTATTCGCCTAATATCAGCTCACCTCGACCGCCGTGCTCAGCTTGGGCAAAAGGTTCGCATGGTTTACGTCGAAGGCCATAGCGGGAATGTTGGAAATGACGGTGCCGATGCTCAAGCCAACGCTGGATGTCTTCTTCCGCCTACGGAAGAACGGGATTGGGATGCCGAAGAGAAAGAATTGAGGGCGACGATGGCGTCGCACGTTCCTTCAACTACCGTTGTTGCTGAGGGCAACGTTCTGGAGGTTGCTCCAGACCCATTCACAGCTGCCCCACAGAAACGACCGAGGATTAAGTCGCCTCAACCCGTTTCTGAAGGTTCTTCATCTAGACCTGTCATCCAGGATGTAGCGCCTCCCGAGTCGCCTGCTAAGGCGAATCGTCTGGCTGCCATTAATGATGCCTTGAAGGACCAACATGTCCGCCCGCAGGTTCCTCGATCCCCGTCAAAGGGATATACGAGAGGAGGATCAACGGCTGTCTCGTCGAGCAATACAACCACAGCAGACTCCCCTGAAAAACGGAATCGTATAGCCGCCATTCAAAGCGCTCTCGCCGGCGCGAGCTCCGACACCCCACCTCAAGGATCTTCAGGAGGGGCCAAGTCAGTGGCCGCTCCTGAATCGCCTTCTAAAAGCCGCCTGGCAGCTATCCAAGACGCCTTTGCTTCACCTGTAAGGCCGGCATCGTCACATGTGAGCCCTTCGAAACCTCGCTTCAAGCCACCATCATCAGCAGCCCCCACTAGTCAAAGGTCGTTGAGCACAATCGCTGACGAATCCCAGCCGAGGAGCCCTGCCCCGCCGAATAGTGTCGCATCCCCAACCCCTCGCAATCCCGCAAAGCAGGGGTCTGGTTCAACTCCGTCTATGACAGTATATCCTTCACCTGTTAAGTCTCCTCTGAGGGTACTCTACGTGTCTCCTTTATTGATACCTGGGAAGGATAAACCACCGCCTCAGATCGACTTTGAGGTAAGCAGCGATGTACAGAACAAAACTTGACCGATTTCCTGATCACTGCGCTCCTCAGGACTATGCCGACTGCTTTGACGATGAGTTTGCGAAAGACCTGGACGATTGAAGGCGACGTGCCGAGCGAGCAGCCTGAAAACACTCGCGATAATCACACATCTCAATTCCCTCGTACGTCAAGCCAATTGCACTGAAATACTCTCCTGCACTCTCGCAGGCCTCCTCTCCACGGACTCATCGCGCACCCGGCTTTTCGGTCTACGTACATGGATCTTCCCATCTACATCTATTTATTGGAAAGCAAAACCTCAGTCCCCCGGTTGGACTGGTTGAATCGATTGACTTGGAAATGTAATCTCATTTCAAACAATTGCAAGTGGTCAAGACAAAGGGGCGTAGATAATCAATATATCTAATCCTCCAATTCTACGTTCCGATATTTGACATGGCCCCCTTCACGTAGACACTCTCGTTGGCAAAGCCGCAGGTACTTTTTCTCCTTGGACGGACTCTGTGACAACACTGGTTTGAGCTGCTGAACGATCTTGCTTTTAGAGGCATCAAAGTTGTCGATACTGGAGTGGTAAAAGATATCGATTGTCGTTAGGTGTTTGAGCTTCTTGAGTTCGGTGATCATGCCCTGGTGGTCATGTCGGTTAGATTCGTCGAATTGAAGAGGAATTGGCTATGATGCCTACATCGATATCCGAAGAGTCACGGTTGTAGTAGACTTCCACTGTTCGTAAATTGGGCGCGGCCTTCACCAAACCTGTGAGGAGTAGCGGGAATCAATGAAAAGGAGTAGTACAACGCGAAGTTGAATCACACTTACGTTTCGTGAGGCTAGCATCAAGGCCGAATCCCCTAACCTCCTCGACCTTCGGACAGTCTCGCTTGATCACCGTAATGAGTTTGCTCCCATCGTCTCTGATGCACTGTACAGAGCGGACTTCGGGACAGGTCTTGAGGAGTTCGTGACAGTACCCCGGTATGATCAGAGTACGAATTGTAGGTAAAGAGACGCCCTCGAATCCGGCCTTAATATGGGAAGTCATCTGAGTATGAGCGTGTAGAACGTGGATAGTGTGTACGTTCGGCATGGCCTTCAAACATTTGGTGAAGGTTGGAAGGACCATGTCGGACTTGTAACGCGTCAGAATGACATTTACGTATCTAGAAGGGAAGAATCGGACATGAGGTCCACTGTGGCACCAAGAATGGGCGACTAAGTACTCACCGAACCATGTCCAATAAATCGGGATTCTCGAGGAGCCCGTTGCATTTCCTAGTGAGACTTTCCCCAGCGTGTCTGAAGAACTGCTCCTTACCCCGAGCCTCCACACAAACCTCCAGCCTTTCCCACAGAATAGGCAAGAAGAGCCTTCTGTATGCCACACATGTCTGTGACAGTGCTCGGAGAGTGTCAGGGCGGACGAGGTAGGATACAGGGAGGATGGGTTCCCTGGCCTGGTATCTTGCAGTACCATCCACGGCGGAGGTCAAAGGTCCCACTTCAGGATAGTAAGACAAGACTTCCGAGATGAGCTCGTCTGGTAGTCTGCAGAACCCGGCATTGGCATTTTGCGGACTTTCCTTTCGTCCCCATTTACTCAGAGGGAGAACAGGAAGGTCGTGGGACGGCAGGGGTGGTTGAGTTGGCGGCGGTTTTCCAGTTTTCTGCTTCTTCTTTGGTGGCATGGTGGTGGTCGACAACAGAGAGTCACGAGTGGCGTGCACTTTGTTACCTGGAAACGGGCGCTAAATGCAGTTACGTGCGGCGGTGGCTCGATCGCAGGTGTCCGTGCATTCTCTGTTCATAAGGTCTCCATAGCTAAGTGGTATAGCGTGCGATTGCAATGGTTGCTATTATCGCGAGGTCCCGTGTTCGAACCACGGTGGGGACTTCCTTTTTGACGAATCAACACCCTAATGTGTGTTCATGAAATTCCGTTTGTGGTCCAAGGCCCGAATTCGGTTCGGCTAGAGCCTCGTTCGAGCTGTCGGTTGGTGGCGAAAGGTTTTCCTTTGGATTGCTGATTTCGTCGTTCTTTCTTCCAACTTTTTTTCTTTTTGCAACTTTGGGATTCTTTGCACTGGGAAAAGCAGAAGCACGTGTCAACATCAGCCATGGCCAGAAACGATACGCCCCACATTCCTACCGCCTTCAACACCTATTTCTCGAGACAAATCCACCCAAGTCGCAGCATGGACACCGAGCTCATTCGGACATGGCAGCTCATCAGCGAGCTCAGCGAGCAGCTGACGTACAACCAGAAGATGGCACATAGTCTGCAGTCACAGGCTGGTTTGCTCAAGGTACGGCTGCTCTGCCAAGTCTCGCGAAAGTAGCGCGCTCATACGCAACTCGTCGCAGGAGGAGGCCCACCACACAAGTCAGGGATTTACGTTGCGGAGATACAACACGGACATTTCCAAAGGTACGAGATTGTTTTCTTTCGGAAATAGGCCAATTATTGACCTCGTGTGACAGAGGTCTTTGAGTCTGAACTGGAACGCACGAATGCCCAAATTATCATCGAAAACCAGACGTTACAGCATGAAAACAAGCAGCTGAGCATGCTCTTGAAGGAATATGAAACGACGCTGGAGACTATCATGAACAAATTCAGGACACACGCAGTGCGTTCCCCTTCGACGCTAGTCTTCCACTACCTCTGACCCAGTCCACTTGCAGCTTGCAGCTCAGCAACACGAATTGACCCTAACGCGCCACTATGAAAGCCTACTCCTCGCTCGGGACTCTCATTCACTTTCCACAGACTTGACTTCGTCGACGAGCATAATGCAATCCTTGCAGAGGTTAGCGCACCATCTCCGCGCGCTCCTCCGAACGATGGCAGGAGAGGACCCAGAAGAAGCAGACTTTCACATGATGGATCCAGACTACGACGGCTCAGGGATTGACTTGAAGGAGCTGGAGTCCCTTATCGACGCGCTTGACGAGAGAGGTGCGCCCGGATACGCAGGCATCGAGGGGAGGCAAGATTGGGCACTGGAGCGGGAAGCTGAAATCGCACGACTCGAACAGGAGAACGAGGAACTGCGACGATTACTAGAAATCGACCAGAAGACCATGGAGGAGAAGGGCATCACACTGGATTTGGAGCGATTCGAGAGCGGGAGGACCATCCTCTCTAGGCGGCCACCACCTGAAGACTTCCACCAACGACCACAGTACTGGGAGTCACCAAACCCTCAGCAGCAGTTACAGCATTTACAGCAGCAGCAGCAACAAGGCGGCCAACTCCAGAGGCCGCTTGATTTGCAACAGCAGGGGATGCGCGCCGGTGGGCCCCAAGCTCGCAGGCCAGGAATCTTCGGAGGTGGTCAGCAACCTCCGCCGCGACCACCTTTTAATGGGGCGGGCAGGGGCGTGTCTATGGCTCTTGGCCCACCACCCAACAATGCAGCGCCTATGTGGTCAAACCAGTTGTCCTCTCCAGCACCTCCTCTCGTCGAACGCTCATGGCAGCCGCCGACAGGTTCCAATTTCGAGATGGCTCGCTAGACATATATCCCTAATCCTATACCCTCCTTCGCTTTGCTATCTTGGTTTTGTCCCCGTACATTATTCTGTATTCCTTTATTGCTTGGGCTATCTTGTTGTCACGAATATTCAGTATGGCTTTTGCCGATTACATCACTTTTCCCGGCCCTGTTTGGTTTTCCTGTTTTCGTTCTACCACCATCAGTCCTACACTCACCGCCCCATGTCGTTGCTTGGGCAGCTCCCCGGGGAGCTCTATTCCTCCATTTTCGACTATCTTCCCAAGGAAGTTGTTCAGTGCACAGTGTTATCCTTGACACGAGTATTTCCCAAGGCAGCTATTCCACTTCGATACCTCTACGCTAGCATTCGGGTCAGGAAGCAAGGACAAGAAGTTGCGCTCAATCGACACTTGCGCGAGCTCAAAAGTCGAGAATCAAAGGCGAAGGAGGAAGGGGACACCTCGACCTCAAGCCCTATGGCAATGATTTACGAATTGTCGGTCGAGCTCTGGACTGTGGACGCAGATATACTGGTCAACATCGTTGGGATGCTTCGCACATATCGTCTGAAGTCTTTGACTATCTGGATTGGGCCTAACAACTTTTCTCCAGAACATCTGGAAGAGATGTTTCAGAGGCCGATTGAGAGTCTGGTGTATCTCGGATTGCGGTTTCGACCATAGTAGGTGCCGCCCTTCAATGCCATGTATTGCATACTAATACATATTCAGTGTCAAAAGGGCGACATATTACCAGTTTCTCAAGGTGCGTTTCTTGTGATTTCTTTGGATGGTACAACTTGACCAAATTCAAATTCAGGGTGCCTACTTTGACACGACGATATCAGCACTCGCTCGCTGGCCAGAATCGTCGTTCCCTACGCTTTCCATCGTTCAGGATCCGCTGAAAGCCGACCCAGATATCCCTGTTCCGGGCGGTGGCCAATCATTCGCTCAACCGATTGTCTTCTTCAGACTCGATCCATGCATTTCGGCACTCCTCCAATCCCCGGCCCTTTCAGCATCCTTGAATGCCTTCCGACTCCGCGTTCCCTCTCGCCCTGTTGTTAGGGCCCTTTGCTATCCACCACTGATGAGCGAAAACAGCGACGGAGACCCGGTTTCTACTCCTCACCTCGAGGTCCTTGACCTGTCCACCTCGAACGTTCTGGAAGGAGAAGTGGATCTCATCCTATCTCATTACAAGGACTTGAAGCACCTATTATTGGATGACTGCATCATCCTTCGAGGAGAGCTGGGTGTCGGGGAATGGAGTGCAATGGGAAAGCGATGTGCGATGGCGGGCGCTCGAAGGGCAAAAGAGTGCGAAAAGGCATTGACCGCTTGGTATGAGCGAAGGACAATAGCAGCATTTAGTGGAAGCGATAGCTCGCCGGCTGCTATGCCAGAACAGGCTCGAAGACCGCGCAGAGGCCGCCGCGGATTGGCGACTGCGACGATTTCAATACGCGACGATCCACCAAACCCAGGTCCATCACGCCCTCCGGCAGGGTTGCCCAGAGAAGCCTTACCCAGGTTCAAGATATTACCCCCGATTCCTTCGCTGCGAACCCTCTGTGCGACAACTTCCTCCTCCGTGCATCCCGATGCATACGAGACCATCCGTTCCGAATTTGAAGCTGGGTGGGCGGAGGGCATAGCGCAACTGGCCGTCAGGAGGGCAAGGCTGAGAGAAAGTGCGAAGTTGGGGACAAAAATACTGCGATTCTCAGAGGGAGACACAGTACCGGAGGTGAATGAATGGGAATGGAACGGAATGCTAGCCTATGCAGCTAGTCATGGTTTAGAGTTGGTCGACAAGGCTGATTTAGAGGCATTCGACACATTGGGTTACGGGTCCGGAGATCCCAAAGATATTCCAACTCCTATCCTCTGCCTCGCTGGTGGCGAGGAAAGTGCGCTACACGTCCCAGGCTGCGGGCACTCTGTTGTAGCTGACCTTTGGCCTGTGCAAGGCTGAGCGCCAAATGTTCGATGACGGCATGGTGTCTATGTCTGTTTCTGTAGTGGCTGTGCTATGTTATTCTCTTCCTCTCATTGTCGCGAAGCTCGTGACTGCGCAAGGATGCAGTTCTTCACCTACTCCACAATCAACTGTCGTCTCTTAGATTTTTACTGCCTTGAATCTTAAACCCATCCTACTCAAGTCCTCGTAAACGAGCAATGTCGACGAACGGCTCTGACCCCTCGCAACCCGAGGCGACAAGCTCCAACAATCGATTCCCGATCGCAAAGGCAGCCGCAGTTGGGAGGTTCAAGTCGTTCGCAGGGTCTTTCGTACCAAAGAAGAAGAAAAAGTCGGAGCCATTATTTCCGCCACCCTCATGGAACATTGAAGACTTCAACCCTTCCTCCACGAACTGGACCATACCTTCGCCAGAACCAGCACCACCGCCAGAAATCCAGACAGGGGCTACCACGGATGCCGCTCAACAGGATGCGAACGAGGTGGTAGAGGTCGAGCCAGTCACGTTGGCCAAGAGACTGCGGGCGATGATTGAGTTGCTCCCCATTCCCGGTAGTCTCGTCCCGAGTTCCTCGACGCCTTCGTCGAGCGCAATCACACCCAAGAACGAGTCTCCATCCGAACAGACTGCATCTAACCATGCGGCCACCACTACAACGCCACCCATACCGCCGGATATGGACAAGAACCTTGTTCAGATCCTCTCGGACGAAGAAGTCATGAACGGGGACAACAAAGGCAAAGGCAAAGGTCGACCAGGGGTATGGAATCTGTTGGCAGGACTGCGGAAGAACGACGCGAGCCGACCTGAAGGGGCCGTTTCGCCCATCGAGGAACAGGAGGGTGGTGTCATGATGTACGCTCCCCTGGATCCCAAATCCGATTCTGTGGTGGAACTGGCCCGTACCGAGACCATCAGGTCAACCGATTCATCCACTGTCACAAGTCCCTCTTCCTCCAACCCATCCTTACCTTCACCTGAGCCCGCGGAAATCAAGCTATGGGTTCCGTCGACGACAGAGCTTTCGGTTCTCACAACGTGGTGGGGTTATCGATTGTACCTTCCCCCTCCAGTTATGGCGAAGTTGGGTGCGACGTCTGTGAAGGCTGCTGCCAGGGCTGCTATGATCACGAGTGCTCTGAAGTGGTTGATCGACAAGATACCGATTTTGCTTATTCCTGCGCAGTTCAGGCCTGCGATCAAGATGCTGAAGTCGTTGACTCCATTCGCGGGATATGTTGGGGTGTTCATAGCATGGAGTTGGGATCGGATACGAGCCCTTGATGAAGGTGGGTACCATCGCTTTCTTTGCCTCTGTTCTCGGCCTAACACTTGATGCACAGGTAACGGTGTCGTTTTGACAGCCACCTGGCTGCTACCTGTTGCCCTAATACCGATGGCATGGGACGCTGGTGACATCTTTGGACCCAAACTTCCACCCGAGATCGAAGAAGATATTAAACACGCGGGAGATGATAAAGGAGAGAAAGACGATGGCAAGGATAAGAAGGGTCAAGCGGCGGAGACGAAGCCTTTGAAGAAGTCGCGGTTCGTGTGGTGATCCTTTTTCTCCATATCGCCTTTTGTCACACAGCTGACAACCTTTTGTGATTGCTAGGTTTTAGCTACCTCTTTCCATCTCCACATGCTACGAATTCAGGTCAATATATCGACTTGCCTTTCATGGACCGATTCGGATTGCTATCCGCAGCTGTCTCGAGTATGCCCGTGGTTCTGTCCTCCCTTTCGAAGAGACAAAGGTGACATCAATTCCTTTCAACTGTTTCCTCTCGATTGCGACGTACAGTGCCGCATCTTCTCCCCTTGAAAGCTTTCCCTGGTTCAGGATGCCATTGGCTTCATCTAGATTGCACCTATATAAAGAAGGTACCACACATCACATATCACATCCACCCCCTTCTTTCAATGCAGGCGGAGTAACCATCGTCATGAAAGAGAGGCGAGCGTCATTCCCTTGGGCTGACTCCAACTGCGGCGCTACCAACCATAACGGCTATTCTCTGTGGTTCTCCCAATACTGACGACTGATAGCATAGTCTTCTCATTCTAGCATGAGGCACTGCTAACCCACTTGCATCTTATGGCTCAGAAGCAGCTCACTCTCTGTATGGTTTTGAAGGGTATAGCCTCAGCTTCTAATGTGCCTCGAGGCGAGGCTTGTTGAGCAGCGGAGTACTCTTTCGGGAAAGAAAGTTAGGAACCACGCTGTACACGATAACTAAGTGGGTCCACTGTTGTATCTCAACTGTTATCTAACCTGATGGGCGTCTATTAGCCGTTCTCGTTATCGTCTGCTGTTCGTCTGATATCGTTGGCACGTCTGTGCCACAGTCACGAGGCACGGGCTGCGTGTGTGATGAGCGTAGGAGTAAGCGGTGCATGGCGCTTTGGAGAAGGTTCCATGGTGGAAATAGGCGCTGACCTGTTGGATGTGTGCTGTTTGTTTCAACGCACAATGTAGCGAAAATCCGGGCAACAGACAAAGAATCGATTTCGATTTCGCTATTCACTGCGTTAATTACCGGTGGGCAACCGATTCAGCAAGGAGCCTAAACGGGGCAGTGATCATACTGATATGAGTACTATCTTTGTTAGAACTCCAACAGCTGCTCCTTCGAAAGCTCCTTTGGCAAGACCACATTAGCCACATTAGACAAGATGTAATTCGCATTGATCTAGCGGATCTATGCGCCTTGGAAACGCTGCCTTGCCACAGTTTTCCATGCTGGATCGCGGTGCCCGTGGCATACCTCCGCAAACGACGAGAGCTCATATGGCCGCAGTGGTAACTCTTCGCCAAACGAAGAGAAATTTACTCGAAGGTATAGTTTGAGTTCATTTCACGTTTCTATACGTTTCTATAGAGAGTCTGCCTTAAGACCTGGAGGGTATGTCACGATACTAAATCAGTTCCAACTCCATTTTCTAGGGCGGAAAGCGAGTCACTACTTCAGCATTGCAAGGCCAAAGGAAGCGGTCCCCTTGTCATTGCAGACAGAATTAGAGCTCGCCGCTCGATACTGATTTGCTGGGCCCCTGCGGGGTTGGGAGTTGGTTCTTCTTATATTTTATTCGACAGGCGCAGTTGGGAGCTTGATGTGATAGCTCCAGCTTTCTTTCAAGTTAAACTTGTGGTCTTCCTTCACCCTCGAAAGAGGGTACCAGGACACCGTTTATTGTATTCACCAAACACCTGGGTCTACACCGAGGACACACGAAGATTGGCTCCAGTTCCACGGACTATCGATCATCGTACTGCGGAGAGAATTTCCTCAGGGGACATATATGTCCTATGTCCCCAGAAGCGTGTTTCGGGCAAGGGCACTCGTTTCCATTGCTGAAGCCCCGGTAAAGATAACAGACGAAGATGCCGAACGAAGTCGAAGGAATGTTAATAGCTGTGTTCAAAGCCCGAGCTAATTTCAAATCCACATGGACGAGCGGGATTCGATTCAGTGGCGGCACTTCCAAGTTGTACCATGCTTATGCAATGTACCGCCTGAAGCGCATTCCCTCTTCCGGCTAATGCTAGAGGATTCTGTCCCGGCTTCAACATTCTGTTCACAATTGTCGTTATTATTCCGTAGGAATTTGTATCTCTATCTTTAACCATTTCGGTCCCTTCATGCTCACCTCCACTACTTTGCCCCTATGAGCAGGCGGGGAACATGGACAGCGCCTAATTTTGTCCTGGGCGATCACCGATTCCGAGTCCGATCTCGATCGCACCGAGCAGTCGGGATTGCGGCGGGATCTCCTGCCAAGCGGAATGACGTCGGTCAGAGCGCTGAACGCTCATTCGCGCTTAATCCGCTAATAGTAATCGTCCGACCAAAGGTTCACGGAAAGATGATTTTCTGTCGTACATAGTTCATATTATGAGACCATGGAAAGAGACTCTGCCACTCCGGGCTGAGATCCTTCAGAATCCGAATTATAATTCAGCAATTCGGCCTTTTGTGGGCCAGCGGAACATGGATGACCCTTTCCTCATCCCCTGTAGTAATCTGATGAACGGGACGGGACATTCAGAGATTTGCTGACCTTGGCATAGCACCCCAGTCAGCCCCAGTCTCAATCCGATGTGGGGCGGACATGTTGGAAGAAATATTTAGCGAGTCGCACGCATCTCACTGGGTTCCCAGAAAAAGGCAGAGCATGCACAAATTGGGAAAGGCGGAGGCAACTAGATATAGGTTTGCTTGGCTGGAGTGGTCGACTGACTATGGACCGCGAATGTTTCATGGTCATTATTGATAGTTTAACAAGGGTCTATTCCTGTTACTCTCATTAGTATTTTCAACGGTCCGCTTGCAGGTTTGACGTAGTCCTTGGTTGCTTCATGTCAGTGGCCAAGTGAATTAACCAACGATACTGGATCCTCGAAGGCCCGCTACCTCGCAGGAAGGAGCCTCACCCTACCCACGTTCGTCGACGGATGCCAGCCAAAGAGCTATAATACTCGTTGACACTCGTGTGGTCAAACCCGCTTCCATGTACCGAACACCGCGGTGGTGTTACATTCATATCCCATCCACCTTCATATCGATGACCTGAATGCGTTCAATAATCTCTCGCGAAGTCTTCGCACAGGCTTCAAAGCCACAAGCGCTTACCCACACATAGGGTAACTGCACCTGAGAAGAACAATGCTCGCATCTTTCCGAAGTCGTTCTGCCAAAATAGCGACGAACAGTGACCTAGATATGGTAGCATGGGATTGCGTGGCACCACTCTTTCAAGGTCGCAGGGAGATCTGTGTCAAACAAGATCTAGTTTCTCACCAACTTAAAGTTATTGATGTACCAGTGGTTCACCGTATAGCCGCGTATTGGGTTGGTATAAATAGCAGGTGCACGTAAGGAAAAGGCCTGGAGGGGTACCGTGATGGCCACTCTATCTCTGACCGCTGCCCTTCGTCGCCGTTGCAGCTCCCTGGAGAATTACTCGGGAACCAGCATTGGTAGATGAACGGTCGACCGGAGACCGCGCTACGGGCGTTCGTAGGCCGATAGTGGTAGCCACAAGTACGGCCACAAGTACGGCTAGCTCGCATCCTCATAATCGACATCATGATTCTGATATCTGATTCTTACGTCCCCTATGATTGTATCCCATCCTCAAGAGTCCTTGTGTGCATCCACTGACATGCCTTCATGGGCGCCTGATGTCCGAAAGGAGCATACCAGCTTGTCTTCCCAGTCCTTATCAACCGTGGCTCGATACACCTCCTCAGCCACCAGACAAGTTCGTATGCTGCCGTTGACAAGCGTACGCGTAACTTATGGAAGCGTTAGTAGACTCGGAATGGTCTAAACACTTCTAAAGATTATCAAGGTCTGCGAGGGATGATTGACAACTGTTTGAAGTCAAATATTAAGCTCTGTGGAGTAAGGAACATGGGTAGTGTGGGACCTTTATTGAAAGTGGAAGCGAGCGCTACCAACAAGCGCCGTGGCGTGGCAGTCGTTCCGAAACAGCATTCCCACTCGGAATATTATCAAAAGTCAACTTCCAGAGCAGCCCCAAATCATACGATGTTAATTACACTTCGCAGCTTGCTGAGTATGTATTCCCTCTCCAGCATTTCTCCGGCGTCAAAAGCAATTGCAGGCGATTGCTCGCGCTTCACAAAACTCGGAGTAAATCCGTCGCTCGAACCATTCGGATCCGTGGTTTATTGCAAAGCTCGCTCCAAACGATTCTCCGCCAAGCCGAGTGGCATTTATACTGCACTTCCTCTAGAGTAGTCAACTTACACACACTTGATTATTTCGAGAATGCTCCAGGAATAACCTCGCTGAAATCAAAGCGACATACACGAATTTCCCAGGGCCAGTTTACAAGCCAATCTCTCATCTTCGCGTCAAGCTTCGGAATAAAGCCTCAAGTGGCCCCTTCTCCGTATGCATTGCTTCGTCTGGAAAGGGGCAGTGGCATTTTTCCAGGGCGTGGAAAATGTCGGGAATGGCCGAAGTGAGATGGCTCTGACGAGGTGTGAGTATGGGCCTGTACGTTACCTGTGCTCTTCGCGAAACTCATCCTGGAGCTCGACCATACGAGACCCGTGCAGGCATACTACGGCCTGATGCCCGCTATGGACAGGTATCTAAGGAACGATAGCTGTGATAGTGATGCCGTTGAGCTTCCAGGTGGGCATGCCTGGAATTCAGGATGGGTTGTAAGTAGATGCTAATCCATCTTAGAGTGTGAAAATCACCATAAATATAACGAGCCTTACTCCAAAGTGCGGGCCCAGATTACCCTTCCCTTTTGAGATTAGCTATAGAAGTCGGTCCTTAGTCGTCTTCTACTCCATACGAGAGTGTTTGAAACCTGTAATCGAACGCTAAGTATCAAAAGCTGAGGGAAGGGTTGGGGCCTATGATAGTACATAGAGTGGGACTAGAGGCCCTGAGGAGATGGATAGACACGTACTAGCGAAACCTTAAAGCTAGAACATCCCTGCATCGCATTCTCTTTCTCATTCCGAAGGCGCTCGCTTTACCAGATAACTATATTTAGCCCAATGACTCCGACTTGGTGTAAAGCGCTGTAGCTGAGGTGGGTGCCAGCATTGAAACTGCTTCCTTGCTGCCTTTGTCGTCAGTCAACTGAGCCGGTGAAGCCTACGCCAGAAGTCATTGCAAATACGTACAGTACGGTTAGGCGGGATGGTCAATCAGTCAATCACAGGTATCGCAATATACCACCCACCCTCCACGGATCACCTCTACACATCAACCTTCAAGATCTGTTTACGACCTGACAGACCTGCCATAAGAAGGAACTTTCAACGACCCGTATCTAGTAGGCGCCAGACAACGCCCCACCAGAGGGTGATGTGAACGTGTTATCATGTTGCGCAAATAGGCAGGGGCAAACCGGTGTTGTGTGTCCCTATGGACGTTGGCCAGGGAAACGGCCGTTTCCGACTCACAAAAGGCTCCCTAAACGAGATGCAGAATCCATATCCTGGCCTTCCAAATCTAACGAACCTTCCAAGGACAAGCCTGAGTTTGGGATGAGAAGGTATTGAATTGAAGAAGGAAGCCTGAGGAAGCGTTAGCCTCGAGCTCCCACCCGTGGCTACTTGTAAAACCCATCGAGGTGTGAACGTTGGCGCAGTCCGATAGCGCAGCAGTCGATAGATGGTCTATCCATAGACCCTAACGCGCTAGTCCATTTACGCGCACTTTGGGAATGATAGGTCGGGTGTGGCGACATAATAGGATTCGGAATACTCGCCCGGAAGTCCAGTTCCTGAGCAGAGATATTGTTGTCAATGGCTGCCCAATCTTGAAAATGCTATTATAGTTCCCTCGGTTCGCAACTACGATAAATAGCACTCGAGACAGGAGGTAGCCGGATTCTGAGACGGCTTTTACGTCGAAGTAGAGCTGCCTTTTTGACGTCAGCCTCCGAGGCAAAGCCTTTCCTGCAATGTCAAGTCCCTCTGGGATAGCGCTGCTTTTGTAATCGTACGTGTATTGTTTTGCAGAGTGAGTGAACAAAGACCAACGGTCTATTAGGTACGATGAGAAAACAACAGAAAGGACCCTCCGGTGGCACTTGCCACAGCCTGAGAGTGGAAGGACAGGCCTTTCGATGGAACAGGGGACAAAGGGCGCGAGGGTCCATCGATTGCAGAAACGTTGTTGAGAATGCAGACGAGATAAGCAGCAGGGAAAGGGAGGCGTCGAGAAGAGACCCCAGAACAGTAGGTCAGAGTTTGAATGCGAAACAGAAGCGCCCGAGGCTGGCGAACAGGTATGGATATGCCGGACAAGGAAGGTTGGTCCCCCAGAGTAATGCTGGCTTAGTGAGGAGTAATGTCGGGAGAGGGTTTCAGAGATAAATGGCCGCAAGCATGGTACGTAGCGGCGGACTCGGATTGGCTGATAACACGGAGGGACGGAAGGGGATGTGGCCGGCAACATCCGTGGCTGTGAGATCTGAATCGGGCGGCGATCGGAGATCCATGCCTCGAGGCATTGCAAGTTGTTTGGGCAACACTACATATAACACACGGCTTCACAATCCGTCCCCGTTTCGCCACTGCTTATGCACTTGACAAGAGGCAGGTCGCGCACAGTCGCATATTCCGCCATGGCCGACCCTTGCCATCGACAACCGACCATGCCGCCTATTGCATCCCCGGTCCCTCTCAAACCTCAACTGCTTTCACCGCTCCTCCTCTCTTCCTCAGCCAGCACCTCGCCCCCATCCACAGCCACCTCCGCCTCCATATCGTCTTCATCTTCCCCAGACTACTATGACTCGCCCCCATCTCCACCCCTTTCGCTTGAGGACCAGGTCCATGTCGCATACGCACACGACGATATTCACACCGCCAAGATTCTCTTGCTGAGGCTCAAGGGCATCGAGGTTACCGACGACAACGACCCACGTATCGCCGAGGTCCAAGACGAAGATTTTGACTTTTGCTTTGCTCCCAACGGAGGTCTCATCATGGACGCGCAGGACGAGAAGGCGATCCAGGAACGCCAGCGAATCGAGTTGGAGCGGATGGCTGAGCGAAGACGGCAGGAACACCTTCGTATGTGCGAGATGAAGTGGGAGCGAGAGAAGCGGCGGTTGCGGGAGGAGCGGAAGGAAGTTCTGAGACGTAAAGAGATGAAGCGCCAGGAAGAGGAGCAACGCCGCAGACGACGAGCAGAGCAAGAGCGCGCGCGGCTGGCAGAAGAGGAAGAACGACGAAGGTACCGAGAGGAGGATATCTTCCGACGGAGAACACGGTCGCGTTCCGCGCGGAGAGTCGTCAATTACCACTTGCCGTCGTCGTCCTCGCCGCCGAACTATGGATGGAGTGACGACGATGAGTGCGATGGATCAGGATCGTCGTCGTTTGTATATGACTTTATGACCCTCCCATCCAGGAAGCAACCCTCTACGAGCTCCAATGACGACAACCTCCCTCTGCGAAGTCGCTCTTACAACGACATGCCCTCCACCTCTCGGTATCCCTCTCACCACCGCGATTGCACCTCCTTGGATTTCGATGATTCCCAGTCAATACCATTCACCGACGTCCTGAAGTCAATGCACGGGCAACTCTTCCCAGTCACCAACGAGGAGCGCAGGGCAAGAGCGAGGCGCAAGGCCAGTCCATCACCATCGACGTCTCGGCCTCGAACCCACAGTCAGATCAGGAGAATGCGGGAGGACGAGCTGATCCAAATTCTTTTGGACGGCAAGGAAGACACAGCCTTCTCCAACAAGGGCAAGGCCAAAGCCATTCCGAGGCCAAGGCGCCAGTCTTCTTCCGCAGAGAGCTGCACGGCCTGCAAGCGATCACCTTCATTGTCGTCGATCGATAGCCTATCTCCAACCCCGACCTCTCCGAGTTCGGCTGGCAGCAGGCTTTCATGGTTAACGTTCCGGAGCTCGAGTTCGTTTACTTCGTCGGCCTCATCTCTGGCCACCACCCCTCCGACGTCCCCGCGCTCCAGTGGCTGGTTCAGCTTGGTCGATAAGCCTCGAAGTCGTCGAGCATCATGGGTCAGCACCACTTCGTCGCCAATAGAGGAATACGAACCTTGTAGATGCAGTCAGAAGGCTTTGATATCCATCGATATATCCGAGAGCCCTCTCACCCTTCCTGTCGCTGCTTCCGCATCTCCCGCCTGCTCGCCCCACATCACCACCGTTCACCACCGGCGCCGACAAACAGTCAGCACGTCACTTTCAGGTGCTGGAGCCGCCAAAGACCTGGTACAGGCTATATCGTCAACTGTTTCCAGCAGTGTATTTACCCTCCTGGAGCTGGTACATGGGTTCCAGCAGGCCTGTGTGACGGCCGCGAAGTTCAGTGTTGCGCATAGTGTCGACGGGGCACAGTGGGAAGAACGGAAATTTGTGTTTGAGGAGAAAGAGGGGTGTGTGAGAGTTGTGGAGGGATATGGAGAGAGGCGAGGTGTAGTGTCTAAGCCCAGTTCTCGCTGTATGAAGCCTCACGGATACCGCGTGTCGGCCAAGGACGTGGCAGCCTTCCTGGCGGTTGATGGTGAAGGAGAAAAGGGTGAGCCTGTTCTGAGTTCGTCGCCGTCTCAAGATGTCGAAGCTCCCGCTGTCGCCACGAGGACGCAATCGGGGTCGCCGTTTGTTGATATTCCCCTGTCGTCGCCGTACGGCATCCAGGCCGCACCTGAACCGCCTCGCCACACCGTCCTCCCCAATCCGCTACCGTACAAGCTTTACTTCAAGCCTATTCCTCCGCCAACTCGCAGCCCCTTCCGATTCAACGCGTTTTCGCATTTGCACACCACCTATCCCGATCGACGGTCACATTCGGAAGGCGCTGCGGGAGGGGCGGGTGAATATTGGTCCAATCCTGACGGTGATGTCCAGCTGCCGGCCTGGCGCATCCGGAGCGTTGGGAACCCTGTTCATCTTCGATTGATGGCTTTGCAGAACGTCGTTTGGCAGAAGGGTTTAATTTGGGAAGGTAGAGGTCGCGAGATGGGTCTCGGAGGAGGCAGAGATCGCGTAGTTGGTGTCGCCTATGAAGGCGTTGGATGCAGCCGTCTCGGTCGACGAGTGGCTTAGGATTTATTGTTTATTCTTTCATTTAGGGTTTTGAACTTGGGATCTCTCCGGGATATATCTTCTTTTTTCTTGTCATTTTCTCGTGACTTTTTTCTCTCTTCTTCCTGCACATGTAGCACCACCCCGCATGCATCTAGTTTGGCATCCGATTTTGTTGTACAACAGAACTATGTAGTTTTACCATCCACAGTACAATACCACTACACGTAGACCTGTAGCGAACACTCCTTACTATGTATATGTCTGCTTTTCCTGAACCTTGGATTGGAACCGCACGCTAAGTTTTAGTTTGAAAGAAAACTTCGCTGTTGAATTTAAAATATTGTTTACATATGCTACGGGTCGATGGGCGCGGAGAGTGGGTAAGTACAGAGATCAATCACTTGAATGCGAAGACTGGATAGAGGGCGAGGATCTGAGTGAATGGTCCGGTAATCAAACTGAGGAATTTCAATCCGATACGTATGGACTATGGTATGAAAATGGCCTCCACTACCTTTTCAATTGAGCTGACGACGATAGCAAAATCTTCTATTGAATAGTGTAGGCACCAAAGTGGACTTTCATGCGCACTGGCAATCGAGTATCGGCTTGACGTGGTGTATGAAAGAGATTGAGTGAGAAAGACTTGGCTCTCAAGCGCCCAGCGCTACCGCCGATCAAAATCTTGCGCAAACTCAACTTGCTTATCGTCAAAAGGGTTTCAATGCTGATTGTACCACAGGGATTGGTGTGTTGTTCAACCTACTACGGCCACCCGGCTGGATGTATCGACCGCTCCCTGCCCATGAGAACAGCGATGATGTCTGTCAACAGGAATTGACGTAGTTTTGGAGCCTTCTAGACGAGCGCTTATCATAGAAATGGCGGACGGTACCTGTGCTTGAAAGGTTCCAGGGTACCGCGTGCTTAGTGCAGAGGAACATCGAAGTAATCTTGATTGAATAGCCGTTTGGATTTGTGGCTAGGGTGTCGGAAGGGATAATCTAAGATTCGAAGTTTGACGGTATGGAAAGAAGGAGGGAGGGTTACCTATCATCGAGTCGTCGGCGCACTGTAAGCTTACCTGATACTGAGTACCGCAGCGCGGGATTCAAACTGGACAAATCTCATATTCCTGGCTCAGGGTACAGATAAAGGAACCACTGGCGCCTTCGTTCTGGAGATTCAGATTGGCACTCGGCACCAGCCGAAGGTGTACCCCTAATCTGGTCTCCGGTATACTACTCAGAATATTGTTCATGGTAGAACACGCAGTGTTCGATCGAACAGAATTCCAAGGAAGGCTTGCCCGACACAGAACCGGCACCCGAAGGAATGAGAAGTTTTCTCACTGGGTTCAGGTGCTCCGGAGTCTGCGAAGACCTCAGTGAGACCTTGGCCGCAGAAGACGCGCGCTCGATGACGCCCTTTATACCGTCACAGGGCCCTGGAGGGCTTCGAGAAGGAAGTTCAGTCAGCCAGTCACTTTAGCAGGCAGATCTTCAGAAACCCGATGCGCATATGCAGCGGTGGCACTAGCACGAGTCCTCTCTGTTCCACTCTGTTCCGAGCCTTTTCAGTTTGAATACAGCGTCATAGAATGCGCATTATATCGCATCACACTTCTTTCTATCTAGTTCCGGTGTTATCTCTGCACAACGCCAGACAGCCAAGAGATGCAGTTAGATAACAGACTTGAGAACAGAACGCGGGGAAATAGGATGTTGGTGAAAGTGTGAAGAGGTTGACACGTTTTGTGATGCTGTTTACCCCACACGAGGCATATCTTCATTCGTTAGAAATCTAAGTAAGTCAATATCATTATCGTAATACCTAGATTACTGACGTGCCACACACTGGAATGTTTTGGCATCGAGCTTGTTTTCGTGGAAACTCATTGTGACTCGGAGTGGTAGTTTCTCAGGCAGGCTCGAGACCAACTCGAGAATCACTGGAGTCGCCGATGAACGTTGTCTTCGTAGTCCGTAAACCCGACCAGCCAGTAGCAAAAATGAGCAGGCAATTGTTCAGCAGAAAAGAAGACCTTTCGATGGACCTTGTCATTTTCTGGAAAGACCCGATGGTTCCCACTGAACCTCAGCGTCGCTCAGGGAAACGCCCATAGATCATTTAATCATCCCATAGTAGTACGCAATAAGTATCAGGGAGCGTCTATAAGCCATTCGTAAGGCCAGCTGGGAACTTAAGGTGGCGAAAATGCAAGTAGATCAGACAAGAAAGGAACGGAGAACAAGACTTGAGGGCAAGAAAGAAAGAGAGAACTCGGGTTTATCAGAACAATTCATGAGCGAGAATGAGAAGCTATGGGAATGCCTGACAATCTAGAGCGCCTTTGAACAGCTTTGAACAAACGGAGATGACTGATTTGTCGATAATCAATTGGCCTTTTCTCTCATCCCCAAATCCTTCTTCGTCCCCGTTGAACACCCCCAGGTCTATCAGAAGCCGCCTTAAAGCCCATTAACCATCACGCATACTCAGCGAAGTCGAGGTCATTCTCTTTATTATGTGACGACATCGCAACAAACGACTTCACAAGGAACAAGGTGTGAAAGAATCCAATTTAGATTGATGGGGTATGCGTTTCCCCCTTCACCTGGCAAAAGGAATAATATGCTGTTGTATGGGGAAGTCCTTTGAGTGTAAGTGCTGTTGTGACTGAGAAAGATCAAACCGCCAGACCTCGCAATCGTCGATCTGGTCATGCTGTTGTTCGTGTGACCATTGGGCGCTAAAGTAGCTGGGGGCCAACCGAACCGAGAAGGCGAATGTGACTCGAACGTGACTTCGATCTGCCGGCCTCGTCTGTGGATATAACGATAAGGGCGATGCGTTCGCTGTTCTTGCTATCTGCCAAGTCAACAAGGCGAGCTGGCAGCATATCAAGCCTGAGATTACTGATATAATAGGAACTGTTACATTAGTGCAAGGAACCGACGCCTTTGCTAGTCTTTCAATAGACAAGACACCACAACAGCACAACTTGGCAAGTCAGAATCAGACACCTCAATCGCGTCATATAGCCACACACCTGAACAGCAAGGGAGCCTAGCTACCCTAGGCCTGGTACACACTTGCCCGCCAGTGCCAAAACCAATCCTTACTATCCCAAATCTGAGAGAGGAAAGGTACAATCACAAGGAACGCCCGACCGAGCCCACTATAGTATCGTCATCGTAGAAGAGCCGGAGAGAGGTGGCGTCGAAGAACGTTTGCTGGTCCTGTGACCAAGGGCACCGGGTGGGCAGACCAGGACCGGAGCGGCTACAAACGAGTCATCAAGGAAGGTCAGGGAAGGGAGCTGTTTCGCTGAACTTGAACGTTAGGAGATACGTATTTACCTAGCTAGCTGCCTCGTGGCAGATGGCAAGGGTCGATGCAAAGCAGATAGATACTTGGCATTTGACATCCGTTTAGGCTGGCAGTGCGATGTGCACTTCGGAATAGCAACCGGGGCGAATCAATTGAGGGCAGAGGGTATTTGATCAAGTGGACCCGTAACTTCACGCGAAAGCACCAACACTGCCGGTGGTGGTACATACTTAGTCACTTGTGAATCACTTTGCGGGTGAAATCAATGCGACAGTGCTCTGATACTGTGGTCAAAGGGAGACGGATCTTTGATACAGATATGCTCTCCGACATCGGCTCCCAACGTCGCCCTTCGTACCGAGACACTTCGCTGATTTCCGAGGCAGAAATCGACACTTCCCTCCTATGAAGGGCAAAGGCAGAGACTGGAGCGGGCCGGAACTTCCCTAGAAACAAGTAACCAAGCGAGAGGAACCGTGGAGAGGATATAAGTAACTCACCTATGACCTGAAACGCGCTCAGAGGTGTGTCTGAACAGCTCTCCTTCCCGTCGACCTATTCACGGGTTGCTGTTAAAGTGTTAATATTCGTTCGTTCCTTTGCAGTTCCGTGGATAGAAGTGCGGCGTGGCGTCCTTGGAGTCCTAAAGCGGTTTTCAGCGAGCAGGAGTTTGCTTCCGCTATCCAGAAGGCAATCACCGCGGAATGTGAATCGAAGAGGAACTTGCCAGACTTCCTCATGGAAAGGGGAACGCATCGGAGAAAGGGCGTAAATTAGGTAGAAAACCGAGGATAATCCCGTGCATCGGTTCCTCAGGTCCTGCCCTACCAGGGAACGGGGAAATGGACCATAAGGAGTGTCCTGGATGGAAATTTCGCAGGTCAGTCCTATGTGGCGCGGAGAGCATATCCTTATACCGACGAAATGACTTGCGCCTAAAGGTTACTAGTTCATTCTGGCGCACCACCATCTAGGCAATGGACAACTCACCGGGTATAATGGGACTCGACCCCGCGCTGTGGAGAGCGGATTTATCTCGCGATGTCGCCGTTGAGCAATGTTGCAAACCGTCCCCGGTAATTCGGCGAGTAATTTGTAGAGCTGTGAATGCATAGATAGAAAGAATGGCTCGACATATTGGATGGAGCGGTTCTGAAAACGAGCGTGATGAGGATCGTTTGGTGACTCGTATGTCCAATTCAAGTAACCCATCTTCCGCAGAAAAAGCTCCAATATTTTGAGCACCGTCACGATGTAGGGACGGTGGCCAATATTTCCTGCTGGTGGGCGCCTAGTATGCTGGGTCAGAGGTGTTGATTACGAGCGCGGGAAAGTTGCTCCCAATTTGGGGTGCGGTGGGATTGGAGGATTACGGTCACGGTATGATGTTCTTGTATGTGATACACATAACTGGCGCTCTCCAGCAATAGACTGCGTTGCCCCCAATGCAGTCCGAAGACCCGACAGAACTCTATCTTCCTCAGTCATTCCCTTTTCCCATAAAAATCGTCTCTCTCGATATAAAGCCAACAGAATGGGTCGAACCCCGCACGCGTTTGCTCAGCTATTCCTTCGTTTACCTCCCGAGAACACAGGATGCAAAGCCAGAGACACGCTACGGTACCTGGGATTGCCCCATTGAAGGCACACTCAAGACATGGAATATCAAGGTTGGCGACGTGATTTCCAAGGACAAAGCTCGCGCACAACCAGCCCTGGTCATCCTAGAGCCATGTAAACATAGCACACAGATCCACGGCCTATGCGCCAATTGCGGCAAAGACGTGACAATGTATGTCCTGTTGTTCCTGAAAAACGATCCAAGGTCACTGATACAACCTATTCTAGTGTCGACTACACCGGTTTCTCCCATGCATCCAGAGCTGGTATTCAGATGACGCACTCTGCGTTCGGACCTACCGTTTCCTTCGAGGAAGCGCAACGGATAGAACGCGAGACAGCCGAACACCTCCTCAAGTCCCGTAAACTATCTCTAATTGTCGATCTGGATCAGACCATCGTCCATGCGACAGTCGACCCGACCGTTGGCGAGTGGATTGCGGAAGGCGAGGCTTGGGAGGCACGGCAGGAAAGGAGGAACAAGGTCAAGACAACCACACCAGACAGCGATGACTCGGACAGCTCGGACGACTCTGACGATGATGAAGACGACGAGTGCAATCCCAACTGGGAGGCTTTGAAAGACGTCAAGAAATTCACCCTCGGTCCAGAGTCGTTTAATGCGCCTTCTGTGAAAGGGAGGTCAAAGGGAAAACATAGGATGGTTGAACAAGAGGGATGCATGTACTATATCAAGCCTCGGTAAGCTGCGAGCGGTTCTTGTGACCGTATGATAAGGCTAACTTGGTGCAGGCCTGGCTGGAAAGAGTTCCTCGAGAATGCGGCCAAAAAGTACGAAATGCACGTCTACACGATGGGAACCCGCGCGTACGCGCAGGAAGTCTGCGCGGCTATTGATCCTGATGGCAAGCTTTTCGGAAGCCGTCTCTTGAGTAGAGACGAGAGTGGAAGTAAGCGCTCTCCCGTTTCGTTGACGACATACACCTGACTGATCGTGTCTTCTAGGTTTAACGCAGAAGAGCCTTCAGCGGCTATTCCCTTGCGATACATCTATGGTTGTCATTATAGATGATCGTGCAGATGTATGGGAATGGAGTCCAAACCTACTCAAGGTCATACCTTGTACGTGCCCACTTGATCGACAAATGTCGTTGGAGTTCTGACATCGCCTTTCTAGACGACTTCTTCGTTGGTATCGGCGATATCAACTCGACATTCTTACCGAAACTAGACGCAGCTAGCCTCCCTACCGCTCCGAAAGCCAAAGACAAGGCAACACCTTCACTAGCCTCTAACGGAACGACCGCCAAAGCCGAGACCCCACCCAATCCTGACGACCTACCCGAGTCCAAACCCGGAGAGGAACCCGAACCCGAACCTGCCCCAAAGGACATTTTGGTGACACAGAATAACGCTGCTTTGGATGCTCAATTGGAGGAGCGGCCGTTGGCAAAGAAGGAAAAAGAGCTGCAGGAACACGAGGCGGCTGAGGCTTCATCGTCGTCTTCTGAGAGTTCCGCATCATCTGAATCTCACACAGAGGCCCAACCCCATCCTCATCATCATCGAAAGGCTCTCCTCAAGAACGACGACACAGAGCTACAGCGTATCGGAATGGTACTGGTTTCGAATATTTCTGTTTCTGGCACTCCTGCTGATATAACTCTGGTCCGGTCTGTAGCTCCTTGATGAAGTGCATAGCCGCTTTTACAGAGAATACGACGCTCGCTCCTCGGACAATGACAAACGGAGACCGTCCTTCGGCTCTAAGCATAAACCATACGACGTTACGGTATGCCCTTTTCTCTACTTCTTACCATCCTGTCAAAGCATCCACTGATGTCTGTTCCTCCTCCGCCCAACCCGCAGCGCATCATCCCCCGGATACGAACTGAAACCCTTGAAGGATGTAATATACTCTTTTCCGGCCTCATCCCGCTCGATACCAGACCCGAGACGACAGAAATTTGGAAGTCGGCTACAATGTTTGGCGCACGGTGCTATACGGATTTAAGACCAGAGGTCACACATGTAGTCGCTGCGAAGGTAAGCTCACATCTCTTCTCCCCCTTGTTGATAGATGATCAAGTGGGGTGCGCCAACCTCCGGACGGAGGGGGGTGTTTCGCTTGGACAAGGAAAGAACAATAGCGCTGACTTGATCCCTTTTTTGTTTTTGTGTGCCCGCGTGCGCCTGCGTATGTGCTACGACCACTCCACTGCTCCTACTGCGGACCTACCATTCCCTCCATTCCATTACTGGCCCTATTTCAGCTCGGGACGGTCAAAGTCGACATGGCTCGCAAACGCGGAGGAATCCTAGTTGTCTCACAAGGGTGGTTAGCCGACTCGATCGCGCAGTGGCGACGCATGGACGAGAAACCGTATTTATTAGACGACCCTTCCTTTCCGGTGCTCGATCTACCAGCGACAGAGACAACAACCCACGACACACCGACAGCTGACGACGATATGTTTGGAATCTCGGACACGATGACAACGGGTGCGCCGTTGATCGATCTTTCAGCCTCGGATTGGGCGGATTTGAATGACGAAGTTGAGGCTGCTATGAATGAGAGTGATGATGGGGACGACGATGAGGACGGGATGATGGATGGGTATAGGAGCGAGAATGCGTCTGAGGCGGACGAGTGGGAAGCAGTAGGCGATGATGCTAGTGTTAAGAGGTATGTCGAGAGGTGTGGGTTTTGAATTGTGGCGCTGATTTTGGGTTGGTTTAGTGCGGGGAGCTCGCCGGGAGGGTTGAAGCGGAAACGGCTACGGAGTACAACGCCTTCGGAGACCGGCGGTGCTGACGAAGCAGACCTTCTACGGTCCCCTCTAGCGAAGCGGAAGAAGATTGCGCTGGAGCGCACGGGGCTGTCGCGGCTGAAGGAGGGGATTACGGCTACTGACCTCGATGGGCAGAGTAATGGTGATAGCCCTGGGAGCCCTATGGACGAACAAGGGGAGGGGCTCGAGGAGGAGGACGAAGAGGAGGAGGACGATGAAGAAGAAGGGGAAGACGACGCTTTTGATGACGATGATGATTTCCTTGCTCGGGAACTTGAAAGCGAGTTGAGCTAAGCTTTTGGTTTATCCCCTTCGATCTTTTTCGATCTTTATCCCTTGTTCTAGGGGACTTGCTTCCATCATTGTCTTTCCTCTTCGACTTTCAACAACAGGCTACTTCCCTCTAATCCTCCGGCTACCCTTACACTCAACCTTCCGCGTTGCAATTGCTTTGCCGATGTAGCCTGTTACCCGCCTTTCACCTTTTCTCGTTCGCCCAGGTGTTTTCCAGAGCTGTATCTTATATTCCCTGCCTTTCAAGTCTGCCTGACTCTGGTTTCTTTTTTACGACTGTATTCATACCTTTGTGACGAACTTCGATGTCGTATTTATGTAGGTAGTTTTAACGACTAGTCTATCAATCCATACAATAATCCCCTGTCTCTCTCACTGCGCTGCTAGTATACAACTGGGTATTATTCCTTCAGTTGGATTTGACGATGGGTTCTTGAGGACTGTCGATGACGTCGTATTCGTCTTCATCTTCGTCCTCGCTATTGCCTTCCTTCCCCTCCCCTCCGCCACTGTTCATACTTGCACAATACAACGCCCACAGCTTTCTAACCGGCCTCCCCGTCAACTCTTTAAACATTCTCCTGTGGTACTTTCTATCCTTCATACAATGGTTCAATTCGCGGATGGTTCCTTCCCCGTAGCGTGATTCAATCCATGCCAAGAAGTAGGCAGTCGTGTCGTATCCGGCGTCCCATTCTCTGTTGGTGGTGTGTGGTTTCCAGTGGGGTGGGGCGTAGTCTGCTTTGAGGCGGACAAAGTCTATGGCGCTCGGTTAATTCTTCCGGTATTAGTGCTAGCAGACGATAGCCGACGAGCGCTTACCTGCAATCCCCTCCACCAAACCCCCAGGACACGTCCCTTGTGCATTAAACTGGAAACAATGCACCGCTTCGTGGATTAATACGCCGGTGATTTCGTGTGCGACTCTATCTTTGGGTATACGCTTGATATAATCGAGCGAGAAGTGAATCTGTTTATGCGTTGAGCTGCCCGTTGCGTGGGCTACGCCTGGCATTGCGCGCAGGATCAAATGGAGCTCTTGGATTCTGTACAAAACATTTTTGAGAGGAGTGGTCGGTTTAGCGCTGAGAACGCTCAGCTCATTTGTGGCAACCAGTGAACGCACAGTTGAGGTGGGCATTCCTCCGTATACAACCATTGGTAGCTCGCTAACACCGCTTGACGCAGGACATCTTTAGGTCTCACGGCGTTTAGAAAGACTTCTACTCCTTCGTGGTCGATATCATGGATTGTGAGGTTGAATTTTGGGAGGGGCCATGAAGGGTTGGGATTAGGAGGGATAGGGGCCATGGCGACAGGTGCCTAGACTCTCGGTGTTTAGATCTTCGCAGACCGTGTCCTGTGTTGCGCTTTCGGGGTAGAAACCGAGGCCGTAATACGGGGGTGCGGGACCGACGGTCTCGAAACGGGATAGGATTGGAGGTGGAGGTCGGAGTAAAGCCGCAACTGCGACGGGCGCTTTCTGGGCTGATCCTGCTCGAATCTTCGGACATTCCATGGATCGTTATACGGCACTTTGGTGATTGAGTTTGTCCTTCCCTTTCTGGGCTTTCAGACCATGTCAAAAGGACCAGGACATTATGCCGTTATTTGAGGATGGAATCTGGCTAAGTCTGGCCGGCGGAGGGGGAGCCGCCGGAGGCGCCATGAATTTCCAACGGTTTCCCCCTTCAGGTTTCCGGGGTGCGGGGAAGGAAGGAATTGTGCACCTCTCCAGTCCGGGGAATGGAGCTTGAGCATGGCACGGACGTTTCCCAAAAATGCCTTGAAAATGCCCAGGAAAAACCGAAGGCCCTCGAGCGGAGAACGGAGGTAAATCGTCGGGGCCCGAGAGGGCTTAGAAGCGCGTTGCAAAGAGGACCATGCGCGACGACTGATGTGAGAGGGAGCTCGTCCCTGGACGTCAGCTCCAAGAGTTGCTTGCCATGGAAGTTGGTATAAATTTTCGAGGGGTACCAGGTACATGGAGGTAAGTACGCGTAGCATGGGTAAAAAGACAACAGATGCATGTGGAAGGTTTTTCTAGAGTTCTAGAATTACAGGGGTTACAACATAAGAGAGCGTATACAAAGGGCGTTACTTTTGTCGTTTCTCATACCGTTATTAGACAGGGTGTGCCATGCGTGTCATTAGATCATACTGCGAAAAAAGAATGCAGAACAGACGTTGATGTGAACATATTAGGGCGTCAAGGCATACGATGTGGCGCAAAGGCCTAGGGACGTGGGTGTTTGTAGAATCGAATGGGGTATCTAAAGTCACACAATGATTAGAATGCTGTTACGACGGAAACAGAAGATCAGGGACTTACCATCGAGAGCAAAGGGTATCGAAAAATAGAGGAGGTTTTCCAGCAAAGGAAACCGAAGGACAATGAGGATCGTCATGTCCGATTCTCATGGGCTATGATGCCTGGACGATTCCTGCGGCGGCCTCTACGCGGATGACCTCTTCTCGTAGGGAATCGCGACCCTCTTCGAGCCATTTGCAGTACTCGACAGCGCGGAAGAGGACCCCACTCTTGCCCTTGCTCTGGCCCTTTCCCCGGGAGCCGCTCCCTTTTGGACGACCACGCGTTGGCATCCCAATGCCAGGAGCTGATCCAGCCGGTGCAAGCAATGCGATCAGCTGTGCATAACCATCTCGAATGGCGTTGCGGCGCTTTTGCTCGGACATGATGTGGTTGAGACGTTTTTGAGGAGTCGAGAGGAGTGCCTTGGACGTCCGGGTTACGGACGATGCACGCTGCTGCTGTTGCTGCCCAGATTGCGCCTGTTGTTGAGACGGTTGTTGCGATTGCTGGGTGGGCGTTGCTTCGACTCCAGCAGACGCTGGAGGAGACTGATCAAACGCGAATGGTTGTTGGTCGTGAGGTGGTGGTGGAGAGACGTAGGAACCTCTCGTCGCCCCTCCAGAACGCGTCGAAGGCCTCGGCCGCGTCGAGGTCGATGGGTCTGGTGTTGAGTTTAGATGTGGATTCGAGTAGGGCGCATAGGACTGAGGACTGCATGGAGCCGGCTCTGGTGCGATAAAGTCTGTCGAATTGAGGTCCCAGGAAAGATCACCAAAAGTGTCGAGAAAACCGAGGAGGTCGCTGGTTTCTGTCTGGGAGAAGAGTTCTGCAGACGAGGGTAGAGGTGGTGGATTTGGGAAGAGATTTGAGAGAGTTGGATCGAAGGAGAACTCAAAGTCAGCGAAGGGGACAGGCGGTTGGAGGACTGGAGAAGCCATTTTTGCGTGAAAAGGGATGTGGGGCAGCACAAGAGCGCGGGGCTGCTACTTTAAACTATCGCACTTCCGGATCTCGGCTACTAACAAAGCCGGTATGCGAGACCTGGGCTTGGCGGTTGCTCTCCATTTGGCCAAGAGTCTCACAACCTCGTGACTCGCGGCCCTTGCCGGGATGGCGTGGACGGGGCTGTCCGTGGCTTGACCGAACTCACCTCCGCCGTTCACCTCGAGACCTCCGCTCGCAGCTCCGGTTTCGCTCATAAAAACTGATACAATGTCGGCGATGCCCACTGACGAGCCAGCCGCCCAGGACCAGGCGACGATCGATTCCCAAATTCAGCAGCTGCAACAGCAACATGTTCCTCAGGATGTTCAGCTCGCCCAGGCCCAGCAGCAGCAAATTCCTCAACCACAGCAGCAGTCGGCAACACCCAGCGAGCCAACACGGAAACGCAAGTATTTCCAGACAAAACTACTCCCGAGCACTTTTTGATTCCATGGATCCAATCTAATTAGCAAAGGCGCCGTCGGTTAGAAGGGCTTGTGTAGCATGTCATACAGGAAAAACCAGGTGTAGCGAGGTTCTCCCATGTCAGGTACGTACTATTTAAATTATAACACTTTCTTTACTTACACGCTTGTCTCAATAGAGCTGCCTCAAACGCGGTCTCGGTGCATCTTGCGCTTATCCGGATCCTGATGCCCAGAACCAACAGCAGCAGCAGCAGGATCATCATGCCCACCATACTCCCGGTAAGTCGAACAAAGGGAAAGAAATCCTTTTCAGTTCGCATTGCTCACTGTTTTCCGCCTTGAAGCGCCCGGCACCGTCCAGTTCGCGCCCCCGCCCATGTACGCGAGTCTGCAGGCTCCTCCCAACATGGCGCCCCATCAGCAGTACTATGACTATAGCAATGCCTTTGCTGCTTCAACGTCCACTTTCCGCCCAAACAAGCGCCCGCGCAACCTTACAGAGGAAGAGGCCGCTGCTATCACCCGCAACTTTAGCCGAGGCGATTTCTTTGTAGGGTCAAGCGCGCCAGTTCGTATTGACCCTCGTCTTCCAGTAAGGCTGACATTGGGCGAGGGCGACCATGTTCACTTCACGGTGGGAGAGCCTCTAGTTTGATAATTATCTCGCTCTGTTCCTTTGTATGGTGTACCGTGTATCTTTTGTGTACGTTCGTACGTGTACTTTTAGGTGTATGATCTTCCTTCGCTTTCTAGTTTTATGATCTTGATGACCCCAATTTGTATTGCAGTATGGTTTTCTTGAAGAATATATCTCACCCATAATACACGGATACATTAGGACCAGGGAGTATAACCGTTTGCATCTGCAGCCGGTGGACGTCAAGGTAAGTACTGCTGCCATGCAGGTGAGGGACCAGGGCTCGAGACCTCTTATTCCGATGACTCAAGAAAACCTTTCAGTTCATTACCGATGTACACAGAACTTTCCTTTTTCCGCCGATTGCAGCCCAAGAATAAGGCGGCCTTGTACCCTGTGGCCCAGGGTTCTCGGGCCCACGTAACAACGCGAAGTCCTTCAGCCTCTGCAGGACGTGTTACTCAAGGCTGCGACCACAAGCCAGAATAACCGCAGAGCTCGCCGTATCGCGGGAAGAGAGGCCAGCTGTGGAACGGTCAATATACATTTTCGACCACGAGGCGGATGTTCAAAATAGGCGCTCGTCCCTCGAGGCTCTTCAACACTCGTCCCACAACGCAGCGCAACCGCGATGTGCTATCGAAGTAGACAGTGGCGTAGACTCGAGCATATTTCGCAATTGTGCTCTATATTTTGTATTGATGTGAGCCCTTAGTGTCTGCTTTGCCGTCAGCTGGAAGGTGCGTGTCGAGGGTGCATCAGTGGGTTCGAAGAATACAGCATTAGGGGACGGTGTCGTAACTTGCTTGATTCTTTGGCAGCTTGGACCACCAATCTGGCTATCTGTGAGGGTACATCTGCTTGAAGCAGGACCAGAGAACCTCGAGGATATTCCCTTGATTGTCCACGCCGCGTCATGTCGGCAGAGAGTCCCTATCGTCCTCTGGAAATGCGCTCCCAAACGCCCATCTTTCTCTCTCGGATAGGATATCAATGACCCGCCTCGAATAAAGCAGCCAAAACGATGGAGCAACCTCAAGTGGGCAAACACGTAAATGGTCAAAAGTACAACAAAACGAGGATTTGATGGCGGTGTCAACCGCGCCTCTTGTTCTCGACTTGTCATCATCACCAACAGCTTTTCATCCACGTTTCCACACCGCTCTCAGGCCATAAAGCTCACAAGAAGATGCTCAATGTGCTGGTGCCGACAAAGACTAATATAAAAAGGACTAGTCAAGGTTGCCATGGCTTGACTTAATACAAGTGAACGACTAAACGTCCCTTCCCTTCGCGACGTCTCCCCGACCTGGCACTGCGGCGTTCTGCAAACAAGGCGTTTACCTTTTTCTGGCCTGTCAAGCAACAGCGCTCTCTCTACGAAAGCCGGTGCTATTGTCCCATTGTATAAAACGACCTCGTGCTTGATTGGACTGGTTGCTTTCCACCCCACCTCCCCTCTACCTCCTTCCCTTCTTTACGGCCTCCTCGACGGATCTGCCTGTTCCCGGCTCCTTCGTCACCTTAGACTCCAGCTGTATCTGATCCAACTTTCTCGACTCGATAAACTCTTGCGTTGTTGATCAACGCATCTTGCTCCAGTTTGTTCGAATGAAGGATCTTTTGGCTAGTCTTATGAAAGGGGTGATGGCGAGGCAGGTTGGAATACCTGAATCGCTACAACGTCGCTTCCGCGTGAACAGCGAGGACACTCCATTTCAAAGGATTCCCGTGGATGTTATGCTTGATGACCTGTTCCCATATCTTTACATCGAGGATATCCTGAGTCTCCGCAGGGTACGTTTCACCTTAAACCATCCTCTGTGGAAATTCAACTAACAGCGTCACGCTCTAGGTAAACAAGGCCTTCTATCTCCTAACTCACGAACCGATCATCTGGAAACGCTTTCTCCTCCGTATGAAGATCCCAATCCCACCCCTCCGTCCAACATTCCGCTACTCCCTCACAGTAACCGACTACGAGATTGAGCAACTCGTCACGCAAGCCATCACCGTTGACGACAACTGGCGTCGTCCCAATCCCACCATCTTCTCTCGAAATCATTTCTGGTCCCACCACAAGACTACGAACATGTTCTTGCTGCCTGGTGGGAAGTATTTGATTGCTTCCGCCCAGTCGAGGGATAAGTTGCAGTTTTGGTTGGTGCTTTACCAGGTGGATCATCCGATGGGTCCGAGGGCTCTGGCGAGGATTCCGACATACAGCGAGGCGTATAATGTGGAAGCCAAGTTCATGAGGTTGTTTGAGGGTGAAGAAGGGCTAGTCATTGCCTATACGAGGAGGTTGTATGTGAAGCAGCAACCTGATGGGTTAGTACTCATTTTCCTACAAGGGCGAGACGACGAAATTGACTTCAGGAAATGTAGCATGGTGCCATCAGACTTGAGCACGAAACACCACATCGACATTGACGGAGGGTTCAAATACGAAGTGGTCACTGCATACACGTCACTAGATATTCTCGAGTACCTCTGCAGCCCCGAGCTCGAACAAGGCACGAAAGACTATCTGCAGTCATTAGCCAGCATCCCCGCACCCTTCAAAGAACTCGCCATTGTCAGCAGTCGCAACGAAGTTACCCAAATAAGCCTCATCGAAAGTGAGGGCGCGAAGCTCGTGTCCTTTATTGTCAGCCCTACCGAGCTGCACTTTATGAACCTCCAGAACTTTGATCAGAAAAGTACGATGATCTTCAGAGATCATCCGCAGCACGCTGGAAAGGTTCGTCCTCGCCTCTCATCTTAATCTTCGCCCGTCTAACTCGTTTTGTAGCCCCACCGAATTCGAGCTTTCCGCGTCTACCCCGGCCAAAGCAACATGGTCGTCATCCGTTCGGTCTCCTCCGCTCCAGGCACCGAATCTCATCTAGTCGAATGGCACGACCTCCCCAAATTCCTCGGGCACATCCGGTCAGGCCCTCGCGCTCGCTATACCTTGCACAACAAGCAAGTCGCGCGCTTCGTCATATCCGACTATGGCCTCCCCAACAAAGAAAGATGGCATGAAGATCAGCCCATGCTACGACACACCTGTGGACCCCCACCACCCGTCTCGATCTTCCTCGAACTACGAAATCCGGACGGAGTGGAACACCACGCCGTGTACCCAAGACAAGTGGTTGTACCGGCCACAAAGGACACGCCAGAGCACTTCACGTACACCTACGACCACGATACCTACCAGATGTCGACGCATATCTGTGCACCACACCGTGCATCCGTGCTAGCAGGCTCTCAACGCGCTCTGATTTGCATAACAAACACTTCAGACCGCACGCTCTCCCCTAAACTCCTCAAGTTACGGCGATATTGCCACCCTCGCAACTCGGGTGTGAAGTACAAACCCGATCCTGCTTCTACCAATGTCGATTCCTCGAAGACGAATAATGTTGAGAAGAACGAGGAAGAGGAAATGGGACCTGTCCTGCGGAAAGGCGAACGACTCCCCGTACCGCGATCAGGGATTTACAAGACGATTGATACGGGTGGGATTTTGGATGAGATAAATCAGCAGGGAGGTGTGAGGGCCATCTGTTGGGACGAGTCAACGGGGAGGATATGTGTTGCGCCCGAGGAAGGGAGTCAGATTCTGGTGCTAGAGGCATCGAGGATGGCGGTTAGGCCGAATAAGAGGGTGGAAGAGTGGAATCGTAAGAGGGAGTGGTTGGGGCGGGATGCGTTGAGTGTGGAGATGGATACTGCCTGAACGGACATGCAGCAGACAGAATTTACGCTGCATTACGAACTTTTTACACCCATTGGCTAGTTTTCGCTCATTTTTTTGCTTTCGCATCGGTCTTCTTGAATCTGCTTTCTCGCATTCATTCTTTCATGTAGACTAGAACTCACTATCCCAGACTAATATGTACAACAGACAGAATGCAATGATATTACTCCGATACCATACAACATCTGTGCCGATACGCCGGCGTGCAGTTTGCGAGCTAGTAGTAGTACGAAAACAAGTCCGTATAGAATGTGCAGGTGACATGCTCTTAAGTGCAACAAAGTCCCGTGGGATAAGGAGTCAGTCGGCTGAAACGAGCGGATATCGACGGTCAGGAAAGAAAGAGAAAAAAAGGACGGGTCGATGGGGTGAGAATAGCAGGCAAAATAAATCGCCGTTTGCGAGTGGTACTAAGTACGTATGTATACGATAAGGAAAAGAAAAGAAAGTGGCTACATGAAACATTATCGTCACTAGAGTAAGTACACAGTGCGACAGGGATAGGTGTGGCAGTTGCTAATGAAACAAAGGGGTTCGGTAACGATAAACCAAGAACAGGGAATATAAATATGACGGCGGCGGCGGCGGTGTGTGCGCAGAAGATTAGTTGGTATACTGAACTAACTGTTGAAGTCGAGACGGCATGGGCCTGAGCCAGGTATGTTTTTCTAATACCAAACGAAGGAAAATGATAGGGCGGTCAATGCGCATCCACCATCGGCCACTAGTCACTTCTTGTCTTTACTTCGTCCAAACCCAAGCATCGGCGCCGTCAAGCTAAGCTTTCTCGTCGCTTTCCGAATCCCAGACGTCGACGAGGAATTACTTCCCGAACTCGTATTCGCTCCGACAGAGGAAGCGATAGACGTGGGCGGTAGAGTTGTGCTTCGTTGATGTAGGGCTTCAGGAAAGGATGTAGGCGGGGCAGACTGAGATGTAGCTGAATGTTGACCTCCTTCTTGATGATGATTGTGATGGACGTTGTACTGGTGATAGTGGTGATGATACCCGTTCGACGTGATGGGTTCAGGCTCAGAATAGAATGGTATCAAATGGCCGTTCTCGGTCGAGGAACTGGGATTGAGGTAGGTTGTGGGTGGGGTATGGGGTAATGGAGGGAGCGACCGGTCGAAATCACCAGACTTCTTGGACGACGGGAAGGGCCGCTGTCTGTTATCATTCGAAGGGGAGGAGCTGCGCGAATTTTTGGGTTTGTGCTGGTCGTGGGATGATGAATGCCGGTCTGCGCCATGATGATAGTTGTGTTTCTTGGGAACGGAACCAGAGGAAGATGATGTCGATGGAGGGGCGGAAGCTCGCAGCGAGGAAAAGCCAGGGCTGTTTACAGGGGCGGAATTTAATGAAGAGGAGGTCGATGCCGGTGTCGAGGGGATGTCGTCGTATGGACTCAATCCTCCCCCAGAAGCATGTCCATTTCGTGGTGTTAAGTGCTCGGATTGTGAACCCTCAGGAAGAGTGTCTCTAGATCGCCCATGATCTGAGGTTTGGCTATCTCGCTGGGAAGAACCGAATGGACGAAACCAATTTGAATTAGAAGGTGTGGGTGGAGGTGGGCGTTCTTCGGTAGTTCGGCGATTAGGAGACGGTGGAAGGACGGCCGTCGGGGAGTCAGTGGTGGGCGTTTTGCTGACCGCCTTGAAAGATTTCCGTTTGCCAAACCAGCCTTTACCCTCTTTCTTCGGCTTCTCTTTGTCTTCCCCGTTTGTATGCGGAGTGGGAGGTGCGGTAGTAAGAATGTTTGGCGGTAATGGGGGCACAGGGGGAGGTGGTGTTTGGGAATGATTATCTTCTCCCACAGAAAGCGACGGGGAAGAAGCTGACAACCGAGGGGAGCGATCCGATACAGATCTTCTGCTGTCTGTTGTGCTGGTACTTGTGGTAGCAGAGATGTTAGCCTTGGCGAGGGAAGCGGACGGGGCTCTTCGCAGTGTATTCAGGAAGTTGCCGAAGCGTGTCGTGGATGGTGAAGAAACAGCAGGCTGCGGAGGGGACTGGTCGGCAGTGTCTGGAATAACGGTGACATTGACGGGCGTTAGCTGGGTAGTAGGTTTTTCGGGTATTAGGGACTGTGCAGGTAATGTAGTGGAGGCGTCTTGTGCATCGAGTTCCTCGGAAATGGGTGGATAAGGCTCCAGCCCTGGAGGATGTCCAACGACATGGGTTGCGAGTGTTATTGGGGGTTTCAATCCGGCGGAGATATCGGTTGCAGGCTCCTGAGTGGGCGGCGGTTCTGGAGGCTCTGGTAGTTGCACGCCAAGAGAGACCAGGTCGATGTCGTCGGCTTGGTAGTAGAGAACATACGCAGAACCGGAGTTGGAATCGCCAAAGTATTTGGGTATATCACTTTCCGGTATTGAGTAGACATTATCGTCATCGAACACGAACCAGGTTCCACAGTTCTTGATTATAGAGATATAGTGGCCGTGATGCGGTCCGCTGAAAGTGGATCAGCATGCGCACATGGGATGTGTCCAAAGTGAGAGAAATTACAGGTCAAATGACTTACTTGCCAATATGGACAACGATTGCAAAGAGATGATATAGGCGGTCAGCATCCTCCATGTCGTCCACAGTATTGAATAGTCGAAGATCCATCGGAAACGCGACTCGATATGTCAGCTTGATGTACCGGCCTAGGTCTTCTTGGTACTTGAACCGCTTCAAGTGTAAGGCGAGGACATTGGGGAGTTTCTTAATTTTCATCCTAGTCCAAACATATCAGAACAACTAAAGACGTCGGATACAAATCGAATACCTTTTCTCTGCCTCTTGCAAGTCGCAGCACGCGTCACAGAAAAACTTGTTGCGGTTGCAAAGCATTTCACTGGCGCTAAATTGTCGGAGACATGCTGTAACACTTGAGTTTTGTTCGATATCAATGGACAGGTCCAAGAAGGATTCATCTCGGGAAGATACCTGTCGCCATCTCAGTGCTTGAACAAGAAGATAGCAGAAAGTACACACCGTTTCGCAAGTAAGGCAACGAGTTTCACTGGTCAGAATTCCCTCAAACAGCCGATGAACCAAGGTTGCATCCCGAGCATTGGTCCCAGAAGTCGAGCTTGCGAGAGTTGGCGGCGCTTTGGAACCTAGAGTAGCTATTGATCCGGACACTGGTGAGGCGGCATATTAGCTACTAGCACCATACTACCGCCAACGCAGTGGAACTTACGATCTTCGCCCTGTACCGAACCTCGCGTCTGCTTCCTTTCCACCTCCATCTCCTCCACAATCCTATTCAGCAGATAATTGAGAAACTCGTGTGCATCCTGATGCATGGTGGATCGAAATATGTCGTTCAGTTCTTTGAGTTTATCGATGAAGGCTTTCGGGGCGACAGTGCCCTTGTCTCCCGGCTGGGTTGCTATATGGATAAATAAGGACCGTAGTGCAGAGAAGAGTGTCGGTGGCGAAGGGGGAATGGGCGTAGCAGACGGTTGGGATGCTGAGCCGACCGTTGACTCTGTTGGAATAACCGAGGTCGACTGTTTCCGCTCAGGCTGTCGAGGCCGACTCTGGTGCTTGTTCCCGAGGCCATTTACTGTGGACGCGATCGGGATTGCCGGACAGTCTTGTGGTGCTGAGGAATCGGAGGCCTGGAGCATAAGATCCCTAAAGGGTGTGCAGAAGTATAGGGCCTGTAGAACGGAGTTTGCATAGCTGCGCTCGCAGAAAGGATGAGAGTGACGTCCACAACGAGGATCCCGGGATGTGCGTACCAAGTATTTCCAAACTAAAGCCATAACATATCAGATCTAGACAGATTCAGCCGACAAATAGGTCTCCTTACGTTCTCTAGGCCAAACTTCTTAACCTCCGCTGGTGGTGGAGAAGGCGCAGGCTGGTCTGGCTGCGCGGACTTCTGGGAGTCCTTGTTGAGAGCATGTTGCGCGGCGAATGAGATCCATTTGGACCTGGCCATCGCAGGGCAATATCGTGGTCGCTACGGAGCACAGCGACGAGACGGGTTTGCCAGAACCACTAGAGAACGGCGGTGGAAGATGAACTGGCTGGGTAACGGTATTGGATTAAGCGGTGAGCGTCCGACCACGGCAACAAATCTCAACGCCTTGGCAGATTACACCACGTGATCTACACAGATGCATCCCCGCCTTTACCCCTTTCCACGATTGTCGCGACATTTCCTCATCTCTGGATTGCCATTTCATCTTTGCAGCCTTGTTAATGAAGGCCAGCTGCTTACCCGGGTCATAAAAATTGCTGGAACTCATGTCAGGCTCTGGACTGCTCACTCGATGGCTATCTTTCGACCACATCTGGCGCCATGCGGCGTACCGCAAAGGAGACAAGGCTCGTTCCTGACTATTCCTGTCCTTGTCCATATCTGACAGGCGGCTGGGACTGGAAAGCCTTCTCCGGGCCATATACCGACCCCTTTCAGCGGACATGTGGGCGAGAATGACGCTATTTTTCTCCGAGAAAATTCGTGCCGCTCCCCGAAGCCACTGCCAGCGTCATTACAGCTTCATAAAAAACGTGTGCCTAGTCCGGGCGTTTCATATCAGATTCTACAAGATTCTATCCCCATATCAGCGGTAGAGTCTACATCCCAATCAACTATGGTTCAGGATTTTGGTCTATTCATCACCTCATGTTACCAATGGCTTCGAAACCTTCTTGACAAACACCCAATCGCCGACAGAGACGACCCCGTTCCCACCTGGAACGGCGTTGCAACCTACGCATGGCTTCAGCTTTTGCTTCGGGTCCAAACCAGTCCTGAACTTCATCAAGACTTTGTAAGGGACTGCAGCGTCGCGTTCACCCGTTTCCGGGCTCACGTTGGGTAACTTGAACCGGCGGTTAGTTTCATTAAACTGCACGGTAACCTGAAACAGTTCATCACTTACGAGGCAGCGAGTACATTTCGAGACAAGGGTTATTGTAGGAGCATCCTCGGTTCCGATAGATATTTCTTCCCAATTATCTTCAGCAAAAGGCCCTCCTCCAGAGAAAACGATATTAGGCCTGAATCTAGAAACGGTTATATTAGCCTCGAACATTCATATTCAGGAGCCAGCTCCCTCCCCACTCAACCCAGACGAAGTGCTCTTCTTATGATTGATTGGAGAATACGCTTCTCACCTTTCAATGACCACCGTGTCAGTCTTCCACCGTTCATCAATTCCCTGAGTGCCCACATGATTGCGGATGTGCTGGTCCACGACGGACGTGCTTTCCTCCGACAGGACTAGGAGAGGATACATGTCTTGATACTTCGCAGTTGCCTTAAGGTTCGGGAATTCGACCGTGGGATCGCTGTGCCTGGTACGAGGACCCTTGTACACCAGCTGAACCGGCTTTCCAAAGTAATCGCTCAACACATCCGACGGAGTCCTTCCTTCGAGCGAATTGCAGATATAGCCGTCTACGGGCCCTTGGTTTGGAAAGATTCTGATCTGCGGAAGACTGAGAAGAAGCATCAGAACCATTAGCCTTTCCACCAAAGATAGAAATGAAACTCACACTTCCCAGCCGCGAAGAATATCTTCGCTGGGACGAAGCGGGATGGAAAACGTCTCAGTTCCACTGGCCAATGGAACCGAGACGACGAGACGACCCAAATGTGGCGATGAATCATCCCTTTCTATCTGGGGAGTGATCAACACCATCTATGAGTAGAGTAGTAAGCACATGATCATCTCCCCGTCATTTAGCCCCCTTCAATTTGGGGGAAAGCCAAGCGAACCTTGGGGACTTCACGAGCGGTGATAATTGCCTGCTTTGCAGTATCTATGATCGCCCATAGTCTGTCAAACTAGAGAAGGAACCCTACAATTAGTTTCCCGCTCGCTAGAATAAAAGACGGCTGACTCACCTCCATCCCTTCGGGGGTATAGAGCGCCTTCTGCACAGAGATCCCTCTGCAACTCTAGCCGACACAATGAAAAGCGCAGTTGGTGAGCGAACTGCGCAGATCTTGTCCATTAACAAAGCTTCAACTGCGTACCTTGATGGGATGAATAAGGATACGCGAAACCCGTACTTGCAGGGGTTTAAGAATCTCAGCGCTGGTTCCATTCCCTACAGCCCGCCCACTAGAATATCCAAGGTTCTTCTTTGAATCTAGGATGAAAGAGCAGAGATGAGCGAATTCAGTCAAAGATACAAAGGAGTTGAAGAGGAAAGGGGCGAACCATTTTGCCGGGAGAGACGAAGCCATACGCCAACAGTGAGAACCGTAGCCAGAACAAGCGTCCACGTCGAAAGATTTGTGGTATTCCGAATCTGTGCTAGAGAGGCTTTGAGGTTGGTACTGATATCATATGCGCTGGCAGTGATAGTGGTCGACATCTTCGTATTTCTGCGTCAAAAGCCTTCTGTTCACAGGCGGAGTGAATAAAAGTTTGCTTCCTTAGGGCCCCACTGTCCAGGCTTGGCCGTACGCGTTTCTTCCTTTGTTTTCGTCTGCACCGCTCGGCTCCTTGGGCGGATTAGCGGAGGGAAAGGGATGCTGGAAGCTGTCGAACAGAGACAAGAGTGAAGTGTTCAAGAGGATGACTCAGGGCTGACGTTATGTGAACCTCCATAAGGGTAACCCCAGTTTGATTCAGCGCAACAGCGTGTTCTAATTTTGGGGATACTGGTAGGAGATATCCGGACCATATTCGACGAAGACGCCCGACAGCGAGAGGAAGCAGCCAAAGCAAGTTTTTGACGCGACTAACGACGCGTCGAGAGAAAAGGGGAGAGGAGAAAGTGAATTAGGAAGTCGGGCGGCCAAAGAGTGACCTCGTGTCCCGGTGGAAGATCATATGAGCTGCGATGCGGGGAAAGTATTTTTGGTCCCGGCTGGACCTGGGGCCCTTGATAAGATAAAAAACAAAATCACAATGTCGGTGTTTATTTCTACGATGAAACGAAGCGAAGGATCTTCACATCTTTCAGGTTGGTATCTAGGGCGAGGTGGGGAAGGAAGGAAATATGTTGGTTCTGATACTCTACCGCGTCGACTGTAAAACCGCGTTCTTTGGTGGACAGCGGACTGAGAGACTATTTCATTTGGCGCATGATGAAAGGAACGTACCTATAGCAGAGCTCATAAACTTTGCCATGGTCTCTGGGTTTCGCCGTGTCAAGGCTATTAGCGCGAATGTAGCGCGGGTAGACCGAAGAGCTATCTCTAAGGTAGCGAGTAAAGAACCTATCAACGAAGGATCAAATACCTAGAACGGCTTGGTCATTGGGGAGTCTACATAAGTTCCACTGAAGTACGTACGATGTCCGCTCCAATAATCACATCAGGATCGAGGGTTCGGTGAAGGAGAGACACCATCTCCGGCCGTCTATTCTCATCTAAGGCAGCGTACCAATCTAGTTGCTGTGTCTTGACTCCACCGTGAGTCGACGAGGTGTCTGGGCAAAAATTAACGAACGAAGCTAGCGATAGAACGATGAACGCACTGCATGGAAGGTCTACATTGTCCCGACAGGTCGCAAGCACCGTGTCTTCGACGTCAGTTAACCAGATCTTGTTGGGGTTGGAGGAGTCTTGGCCAGCAAGGACCTGGATTGCGCTCGCCACAATTCCGGTGAACCCAATCCCTGCACCAAGTTCGAGTACGTTTTTACGGACGATAACGTCTGGTCAAGCCATCATTAACATGACATGCGTCTGGAGAAGGTGGTAGCGAACCGGGGTGATCGATCAGGTATTGTGCAAGAACGAAGCTCGCGGTCCACGTCCTCAAGCCTGTCGTCCCGCTCTCGATCATGTTTCGTGATTCCAGGAGGGTTGTTTTGAGGAAACGTTCCGACGAGGTCAAACCAGGAGCTTTCCAGAAGTACGTGACGAAGGATTTGGATGGGGGTCCTTGACCCACGAAGGAGGAAGACCCAGACGAGTCATTATTCCTATGTACTCTGTTGGTGAATATTTTGAAATGAAGACAAGATCGGAACTCACGGATTCAAAAGACCCAAATAGTGATCGTAAATCACTGAAGAGATCTCGAACTCTTCGTCCTGAGGACGCTTGAAGATGGCGATGGTAGAGAAGTAGAAGGAGTCAACCTGCCTCCGGCATAATGCTCGTCCTCTCCAAATGAGCAACAATTTTCTTCCAGAAAGTCCGTTGGTACTGTTGGGAAGGAGGGTATACTTTCAAGTGCTGGTCCTCGAGTAATTCTTTCACCAGAAAGTCTTGGAGGACTGTATTGGAAATGTCTTTCGGCAGAGATATCGCATTCACTGGCGAAAGGCATGCGTATTGTCGTACGACTTCAAAAAGGACGTCGTCCGCCATGTCGTAGTCGCGGTCCAAGGTCAAGCGCTCAGCGCGTAAACGAGTACACCATCATCGGCGCTCTTACTGAATCCGGCAAAACCCGCTTACGGTCACGTGCTTATTTGGGTTTTCTCTAAATTTTCTCGCGTTCCGATTTTGCAAAATGGTCTCTCTCCAGCTGGCACCACTGGTTCGACCAACTCTCCGGTCAGCTCGAGGCTGCTCACAACGACCACTTGCACAACGATGTCTCACCACAACCCACGCCCGTGCCGCGGAAATCTCGTCTGAGGCGGCCACCTCGTCGACTCCCGCCGCTGACCCGTCTGCGCAGGGTTCTCGCGATGCTCCCGCCGCAGAGACCTACAAGCAGTTTTTGGAGAGGATTGCATATAGGTATCGGGAGGCGCAGCCATTGAATTGGTTGTCGGAGACGGTGAGTTACGATCGCTTCGTTTTTTTGTGCTACGTGTAACCGAGCGTTCCAACAGCCTTTCCCCATGAACCCTTCCTTCCGCCCACCACCGCCTATCTCTGATCTGCAACGAGAGACCATGTACAGGGAATATATGTCAGACCCGGTCAAGAACAACGTTCGAATGTTGTCACAGAAGTATGGTTTGAGCATCAAGCGTGTTGACGCGATTCTTAGATTGAAGGGTCATGAGCGCGCTTGGACTAAGGTTAGTACACGGTTTTTATTTCTTCCTTTAACGATGAGTATACAAAATCGATTAGTCTTTAAGACGGCTAAATGCTCATGGTTACATGTTCCTATCATTCTGAATATCGTCATTGCATTCTTTTCGAACTTAACACTGACGTTTCGTTTTCAGGTATGAGAACCCGCGATCACCATTGTGTACATCGCTAACCGTGGTCTGATGTCGCTTTGTTAACTTTGCCAGTCGGTGAGTACGGGTTTCTTCTACCCTTGAATGTGATGAGACTATACATCATTCGCGAAATATAAGACCTCCCCTCTGCCTTACATCAGTCGGGATATGGTTATAACGATTTCAACCCCATCTGAGTCTTCTCAAACATCAGTCTTGTTCTCCATTACTGACTTGCATTCTCCAGGGCAAGCAGCTGCAAACTGGATTCCAAGCCGGCATGGAGTTACTCCTCAGAGCAACAACACACAAAGCCGCCAGCCAAGCTGATCGCCGTTATGATGTCCATGAAGCTGATATTCTCGAACAAGACGAGAATCGTGACGCAATGCGACAGCGATATCAGCGAGCATACTGGGAGTCTGTGCCGGAGGGTAGCTCGGTATGTTTCATCCGTTCTGTTTGCCCTCGAGGCCGTGCTGACCCGTTTTGTCAAGGAACCTATCGTTCCCCGTTCCTTGGAGCACGCACGCGAGAAGGCTAAGGACTGGGCTCGAAAGGCTGAGGAATTCAAGAGCATTCCTCAATTGCTGCAGCGTGTTCCTGATACACCATGGATGAAGCGACCGACTGAGAAGGTGATCCTCCGTGAGCGCGAAGGACGACCTTCACTGCGCTTCATCGACGTTGGTACTAAGTTCATGGACGTCGATCAGCGCGTCAAGCAGCTCGCGAGAGCTGGCCGTGCGGTGACCCGTCGCCGTGCTGCTGCCACTGCTGCTCGCGAACAGTGGAAAGCCGAGCGTGCTAAGGCAACCGCCTAATCCTAGAGTATCGTAGTACATATTATCCCTTCGTATTCGTAACTAATGCTAATGATTTGATACCTCATGTGGTGTTGCTGGTCGCTATCGGTTGTCTGGTTTCCAATCGATCTATTCGGTTTGCACGACTGTTCCTTCTAGCTTGAGATCATAGATGGTTATTCTACCAAAAAAGTCTGAGCTCTCTTCGAAGACCAATTTCAAGGAAGTGATTCCCTTCTCCCATGTCTCCGCATCGTAAGATAAGTCGAAGGTTTGCTGACGATTGACGTTTTCGGGGTATATGGCAGTGAACGGTTGCCAATTCTTTGGGTCATTCGAGGTGGAGGAGACTGCAAGAACCTTGCATGATGTCCCAACGAAGCCACCCTGGAAGGTCAGAGATATCCGCTTGGGAAGAACAGTCTTTTCCGTGAAGTTTATCTGAACGAATTGAGGCAAGCCCTGACAAAAGATGTGTCCATTGAATGAATTCTGCAAGTGGTTATCAAACTCTACTCACTTGTTGAGACGTCCAACATGTTTCTTGGCTACCATCGACAAGGTGTTTCTTCCCTGTCGATTTGTCCAACGTAGAGCTGACCTTCAGGATGGTTCCTGAGTCGATAAGGGAGACGAGACCCTCGTTTACCATAGTTTTGCAGAGCAAAAAGGGCAGAGTGGACTGGATGATCGCGACTGTGAAATAGATGTGAGAAATCACTTCTGGATTTGGACTTCGGATCAACAATGGAAGGTCGGCAGAACGCGATAATGCGCGTCAGGTCCTCGAGATTCTGCGATAGGGCGTCCCAATATCTTTCTTGACTACCGCCATCGCTCACAGTCATGTCCCCAAAGCCATCTCCACCGCAATGGATACGAAATGCGTACAATCCAGCCTACCTTCGCAACGTTCTGGGCACCCTCGCACAACGCGAGAGTCGCCGCGATGCAGCCCGCAGTGCTTCCCGACGTCAGGCAGTAGAAAGCGATAGCAACGGTTCTCCGGGCTCTTCGAAAGCAATAAAGGCTACTCCAGAACAGATAGAGCACTATTCTGTCAAGATTGGAGCGGGCCAAGACAATGAATACCGCAATCGATATCTCCATCTCGAGCCATACGATCGAACGCGAGTCGTTCTGAGCGCCCAACCCAACTGCGGTGATGGCTATCTCAATGCCAGCTGGGTTCTCGAGAAGCACGGAGGCAAATGGTGGATTGCTACCCAAGCCCCGCTCCCTCATACATCGCACTCGTTCCTCAGTGTCCTGTTACAGCCGGTCACGCGTCCTCCCCCTGCGCTTCTCGCACCAACGACATCTGCCACCCCATCTACCTCGCCCCATCCGACAACCCGAGTTAGAACGGTCGTTCAGCTTACCCAGAATGTCGAAAGTGGACGAAGGAAAGCTCACGCTTACTTTCCTAGCAAAGTAGGAAAGTCGATGATCGTACCTGCCGAAGAAGGGTCTGAAGCACTTGGTGTCAAAGCGACCCTCCTTCATCAAGAAACGATTCAAGAAGCTCATTGTTTACGAAGTACCATAGCCGTTGTACCCGTCAAGAACCCACCACCCGTCAACACTTCGACATATGAGAGCGTGGAATTCGACGATGAGGGTGGGAAGGAGGATAAATTTGGAGAGGTGCATGATCAAAGGGTTATCTTTACCCATTTGCTCTACACTTCATGGCCTGATCACGGCGTACCCGAGGAAGAAGACCGGGCTAGCTTGGTCGAATTTATTCGCCTTGCAGACCGTCTAAACCGCGATGTTTCCCTGGCGTCTTACCCACCAACTTCATCGTCGACATCCGCTTCCAATGAAGGCGATCTCGATCCTGATCCCCCTATCATCGTCGGTTGTTCGGCTGGCGTTGGAAGGACAGGCTCTTTCATCGCGCTTTCGTCCCTCATGCGTCACTTGGGTGACCTTCCTCCAGCTAATTCGCCGACTCCTTCGTCAGTTCTCCCTCCCTCTCCCCTTGGCCCGTTACCGGAACAGATGTCAGAGGACTGTGTAGCACAAGAGATCGACGGGCTGAGAGAACAACGTCAGAGGATGGTGGATAGACCAGAACAGGTGGTACTCATCTATGAGGTACTTTTGAAAGACGTGTTTGAGGCATCTTAACCCCATTGTCTGACGTGGACTCTATGCACGACTTGGTCTGTTAGGTAGCTGGGAAGATGATATATCTTATCATGGCATTTCTTTGTTATTGTTGCTTGTATGACTTTTGACAGGTGAGCTCAACCGTTCCGGGATACTGGCGCTAGTTCGACGCTTTCCTTTACTCCAAAGCACATTTCCGGAATATTGAAAGGACGGAACCATAGGATACCCGAATGACAGTACTGGGCATTTCGAAGGGTGTATTTCTGTCGATTGTGAGTAAGCGATCTCGGAACTGGTCGCGCGGGATGGCACGGTTAGGTCGGCAACCCACGAGCTCTCCACTTTCGAGCGATGTCGATATCCTTGCGATATATAAGACGGATCCTTGCCGGTCTGGAAGGCTGCTTCAGTTCACCCACGACTTGGCCGTTGTCAGCATCGTATGCTCAGCCGCCTTAGTCGACTTGCTCGCCACTTTGCTACGAGTTCCACTAGACCAACTATAACGATGACGGTGCCTACCACCACTGAAGCTATCACCATCCCCCATGTAAGTCGCGCCATAGTGTGGTTTCACGCGCCTTAACTTCAGGAATGTAGATTGGAGGCATAGAGGTCATCGAGAAGAACACCATTCCTCTACAGCACAACCCAAGCAACCTCGTTATCAAGGTTGTATTTTAATCACATCCGGAGTCGTTCTTCTCATATTGACTCAAATTAGGTTGATTACGCTGGTGTTAACTTTATCGACACCTACTACCGGTGCGTACGGTACTCCAGTGTACCTATACCTATATCGTGTTGCTGACTTCCAGGTTTCATTCCGACGTAACCGTAGGAGTGGCCTCTATCCCTACCCATCTTTCCCAGCTGTTATCGGGAAAGAAACGGCTGGTACGATTGTCGCACTACCCACGGATCCAAAGGTCTTGGAGGATCCTACCTTCAAGAAGCAGGGGTTCAAAGTCGGGGGCAAAGTCGCTGCTGTAAGTGTTGGTGGTTCCTGCTTAAACAATTTGGTTGTCTCTATCGACTGAATTTGTCTACTAGGATTACCTCGGGACACACGCCAGCTACATTTCCGTCCCTCCGAAATATGCCTATCCAGTTCCCGACTCTGTCTCGACCAAGACTGCTGCTGCTGCCCTCCTCCAGGGTCTAACGACCATTACCTTTGTCGAGGAGGCGTACCCGGTCAAGAAGGGCGATGTGATCCTTGTGCACACCATTGCGGGAGGCCTTGGTTTGCTGTTTGCTCAGCTAATCAAGCGCAAGGGAGCTACGGTTATCGGGACGACGTCCACTGCTGAGAAGGCAGAGCTTGCAAAGGCTCACGGCGCCGATCATGTCATTTTGTATCCTGTTGAGGATACGGTCCAGAGAGTCTTGGAACTCACCAATGGAGAGGGTGTCGATGCTATCTTTGATGGTGTTGGGAAAGACACGTATGTTTCCCCCATCTTCCAATGAGCTGTTTGTGACCTAGAGATTGGGCTATAGGTTCGACAACAATTTCAAGATGATCAAGCGGAAAGGAACTATTGTTTCTCTTGGGAACGCGTCGGGTGCGGTCGAGCCTTTCTCCTTGCTCCGACTGGTGCAGAAGAATGTCAAGATCTTGAGACCGACGTATGTCCTTCCTTGTCGAGATAATGCCAAACTGACGCCCCGGTCCCCGTAAAGAATGACCAACTATGTGTTCACCGCGGAGGAGGCAGAACATTATGGTTCACGACTCTTCAAAGAAGTTGCGAACGGTGACTTGAAGATCAACATCTTCAAAGAGTACCCATTCACGGCCGAGGGTGTAAAGCAAGCACAGAGTGATTTGACGGGGAGAAAGACGACAGGGAAGCTCCTGATCAAAGTCAATCCCGATGCACAGTGATCCTGCAAGTGCCAGTTATCAACATGGGAAAAGCGGAACGGTCTACGCGTTTAGAAAGGGGCTACACTGTAATGTTATTGTACAAAGACCCAGTCATATTTTCTCCGTATTTCTCTCCATTTCCGCCGTCTTTGAAAGCAGGGGACAGCCATTGGCGGTGACCGCAGCCAGATGAACTGCCTTGGATTCCCCTCCCAAGAGATTGCAAGTCAGTTACATAATCGAATGGACCTGAAATGAGTTAGTCCAAACCAGCTTGGAGAGGACCAACACTAAATTGAGCGTACCCGTCGCTCGATATTCGAACTCGAATATCCCTTTGCCACTCGTCTCGACGGCATTGACGCTTTCGACGCCGATTACTGCAATCAGTGTGGTGTTTGGTCAAGACAAGGCCAACAGCAGAGGGCCATCGGATCGATTGTGGTAGAGCTTATTTGAAGACGTTCGTCGGCAGGTCTGTGCGTCGTTGTCGATACGAAAGACGGTCGATTGACGTTCTGAACAGAGTTAATGGAGGGTTCCGATGCACCCAAGGCTCGACGGCCGCTCCCAACGCCCGGGGTTGGGAATGGAACACAGCAGAGACCCAGCACACCCGTCCAAGCAGCGGCCCAACGACCTATATCTCCTTCCCAATTCTACGGCACCAGCAAACCACCGTTACCGACCCGTCCCAAAAATCCTGGTTCCACCCATACCACACAGCAGAGACCCAGCACACCCGTCCAAGCAGCGGCCCAACGACCTATATCTCCTTCCCAATTCTACGGCACCAGCAAACCACCGTTACCGACCCGTCCCAAAAATCCTGGTTCCACCCATACCGCTTACGTCGCCCCAGCAGTCTCGGATCCACCGCGGTATGGCTCGCCATCCTCCGCACCGCCAGGCTATCGAGAGCCCGAGTTGATCGTCGAAGAACCAGAGGTGGAGGACGACACGCTACCAGACCTTATACCCGGCAACGATTATGATTGGAACAAAAGCACAACCAACACTGCAGCTTCGGCTTACGGCAATGGGTGGGGCACTGAACAACCGCCCGGGGAGGCTTGGAGTGAGATCTCGAGTTGGAACCAATCCTGGGACCAGACAGGGAGTGCGACCGGCGGCCTTTATTCCATGGATCAGTTCAACACACGACGCGATAACGAGGTTGCGATTGACGGCCGTAGCGAGCTGGAAGAATCCAGGTGGTGGAATGAGGATGAGCGCGTCAGGAATGGCCGTCCAGGCACTGGCATGTTGGCACCCGTCGTGGCGGAGAACATGCACGACCCTCTCCATTCATTATTCTCCGTTAACATTGCTGCGATCCCACCAGCCCCGGCGACGGCCCCATTGCCTACCAGTTCGTTCCCTGCGTCTACACCCACTCCATCTGAGTCCCCGTCTTCATCACAAGCTGCTGCCAATCACGTCTTTCCGACTGAAGAAGAAGTTCGAGCAGCAGTTCCTCATCCCAACGCTTACTACTGTCCAAAGGATAATGGATGGGTTCTTCTCATTTGGAAATCCTCGAGCGTTGCCCCACCAGTAACGAGCAGTTTCGCGGACAGCCTTCCCAATCAAGACCGCCGCAAACGGATTCAATCCTGCGTTTCCGACGCAGAACAATCCTCGACGTCACCCAACAAAACTCACCACTTCCATCGATATATCAAGGCCGTCGATTCATTGAAACTCACAACTCCTTACCGCGAAGATCCATGGCGGGTCGAAGATGTTATGAAACAGAAGAGGAGAGGCCAAACAGTCGTCGAAGATGTGCACAAACTCAAGGACGGGCTCGACGAAAAGGTCGAGCAGGAGCCCGAAGGCAAACTATTGGATCTCTACGTTTGCTGCCAATGCCAACTCTATTGTGTGGTGTCGGAAGTCATCCCCGGAGTTGTTCCTCGAAAACACTTGGAAGAGTTTGTTCGAGATAAACGCAACAATCCCGCTCCTGGAAAGAGCGGAGAGGTGTCTGTCTCCACAGGCATGGAGACGTTACTGCTGTATGTCTTTACCAGTTTGATCAAGACTTGTCGCTGACAAGGATTACAGTGCCATCGAAAACAAGATTTTCAAAGGCAACCATCGTTTGATCAAGATTCAGAGTACAGGGTTTAAGACGAAGTTGGGCTGGAGCCCCAACATGTGAGTTTCCTCTCTTCCGATATTCGCTCTATATTCATGAAAATACAGCAAACGCATTTTCGAATATCTGGGTTTCGTGGAGAACACCGCCAACAATGATGCTACACTCATGTCGCCGAACACTGAAATCGCTCTCAATCGGAAGAAGCTCTTAAGAGCTTGGATCGAACTCAATGCTTGGTTAGTGGATTACAGAAAACAAAACAGTGAGTTACTCCCTCTCGCGATGTCGTTTGTCATTCATTCTCCTCAAGGTTCTGCCTTCCGCGATCCAATCTACAGTGAAAAGAAGGTTTGGGTCCAGATTGATAATGCGAGGGAGATGTATCAGAGGGGCATTGGTGCCCATCCTGACCAGAGTACGTTCCCTCATGTCCCCTAAGGCGATCCAATACTGACGATACTGGGAAGTTCAACGGGGCGTACTTACTCCGACCGCGTTGACGTCTCTTCGCAACCTCGACGATGCTTGGAGAGGCCTTGGCCTTACTCCTACGACCTTTTCTGCTGGTAGGGACACATATTTTTGAATTTCAATCCGGCAAACTAATCAACCCGTGTAGACCTCCTCGCATTCGCCTACCTCGCACAATGCCGCTGTGACCCCGCCAAGACTCCTCGTTACTTCACTTGGTTCTGTGACATCGTGAAGGCCCTGGAAACTTCCGGAGAAAGCAGCGCTCAGTTACAAGAGCTCATGGCCATGGAGCAATCTCGCAACCGATTCACCGAGATGGACATCCACCTTGCTGCCCAGAACCTTGGGTTTGGACCTGAAGGCCATCTGCGAGTCGATTATGACGACGACGTTGATGAAGATTTCGTGGAAAATGCCTGGAAGGATGCTGTTAAGCGGGCATACAGGGACCCCGTCAATGGTTCTGAAATGCAAAGGACGGCAGACGAGTCTCTGCGAATCTTAGCGGAAGCGAGGGGAAGCAACCGGTTGAGGCAGCTTTGGGAAAACAAGAAGAATAGCATGAGTCCTGAGAGGGCTTATGATACGCTGGAAGTCCCGGCTGACGTGGATGATGCCATGCTCATCATGGTCTTCAATATGCGGGTAAGTGTAGTTCTGGTATAGACTTGGCCTATATTCCTGATGACGATGCCTTGGTATAGTGCGAGGAATCGACGTCGCAAATGGACAAGATGCGGGAAGCGTTGACTGTCATTGCTGAAGTTCGGGATAGCGAACGGTTACGCCAGTTCCTTCTAACCAACCAAGATCGTAAGTCTAATGGACATTATTTGGGGACTATGGACTAATCGAATCCGTCTTAGCGGGTGACATCACTCTACCGACACGTCCGGATTTCCCTCGAGGTCTCAATCAGCTTGGAAATACCTGCTATCTGAACTCCCTACTCCAGGTCGGTGTTATGGCTTTTGCGGGGACGAATGTGCTGACCAATCCATAGTATTTCTACACCATCAAAGAGCTTCGGGATGCTGTTATGCCCATGTCCACGCTTGATATCAAGGCGATTGAAGAGGAGAAGTTTTCCGAAGAGGATATCAACAAGCATCGAGTTGGAGGTCGTCGTGTTAGTCGACGCGAGATTATCCGTTCACGAAAATGTGTGTATGCAGCCTCTCCCTTTCTTACGCCACATTGACGCCATGGTCCAGTCATCCACCAACTTGCCAACCTCTTCTTCTACATGCAATCCTCCTCCGACTCGGCGGTAACCCCAAGCCTGGACCTAGCTAAACTAGCGCTCGTCACGTCTCGAGACGAGGAAGAAGAAGACGAAGCAGAGAAGGGTGGGTCCGACTCCTCTCACGACTCCGATGCGACTCTGGTTGATGGAGAGCCATCTCACGGTGCCCCAGTAAACGCGGACAACAGTGATGTCGCCGAGAAGAACTCAGTGTTGGGCAAGCGGAGTAGGGAGTTGGATGCAAATAGGCAGGGCAGTGTGATGGATGTGGATGCGCAGGATGTGGACGGGTTTGTGATGGTTGCGTCCCCGAGGAAGGGGGGTTCGCCTTCGCCGATGGAACAGGACACACCACCACAGGCGGGTTCGCCGTCGAAGGACAAAGACGGGGATGTTTCTATGAAGCCTGTACCTGCGAGGAAGAGGGCAGACACATATGATGGCGGAATGATGTTTGGTGGGTTTGTTGCCCCTCTGTCGAGACGGCGATACTGATGCATCCGTACAGGCAGACAACACGACGTTGCGGAGTGCATGGATAACTGCATGTTCCAGATCGAGACTGCGCTGTTGAAGTTTGGTTCAAAGACCGAGGCAGATTCGAGTATCATCAAGAGGTTAGTTCCTGTGCGTCCTTCATTCAGGTCCCTTTCTGATATCATTACAGGCTATTCTTTGGCAAGATCCGCCAACGGTTAACCTCTGCCAACTTGACCTCCCGTGCATCACTACACGAAAAGGAAGATCTCTTTTCACATCTTCCCGTTAATGTCACCAACGACGGCGTCGATATCTATGACGGTTTGAGCGGTTACTTTGACGATGTCGTGGAGTATCAGGGTGGAAAGGCCAGGATGGAAGTCTCTTTGGTTGATGTCCCTCTACTTCTCCAGATCCAACTTCAAGTAAGAATGCGCTTTTTTCTTCTTGGAACCAGGCTAACATCATGACCAGCGAGTGCAATTCAACAGGGAAACACTGCAGCCCTACAAGTCCCAGGCATATGTCAAGTTCGGTGAAACGATCTATCTAGACCGATTCATGGATAGTGCCGACCCTCGCAAGAAGCTCAGGTCTAGGACCATTCAACGCGAACTGAATTCCTGTCGGGAGAGGATACAGGTCTTGCTCGAGGGAAAGGTTAGTCGCATCATCATTGAATCCGTTCCTCTCTCTAACGCTATTTTCCAGAACGGATCCTTTGCCTCAGCATTGGACCGAGCCTCTGGCTATCTTGGTTCTCTCCAACAAACCGTCCCTGGAATCGAAGACCACCTCGTCAGTGAATTGCAACGGGAGAAGCGTCATGTCGAGATGGAGATCGACAATCTCCGAGTCCGCGTGGATCAACTGAAAGAGGAGTTGGAGACACTTTGGGGGAACAGCAAAGAGTTCCCATATGAGCTCACGTCCGTCTTCATCCATCGTGGAAGTTCACCGTCATTTGGCCATTACTTCTTCTATTCTCGACATCTCCCTCAAGAACCCGACTCTTGGTTCAAGTACAATGACTCGGACGTTAGTGTTGTTTCCAAGGATGAGGTCCTTCAGGATACTACCGGTTCGACTGCAAACCCGTACCTTGTAAGTTGCATCCATTTAGTTTCTTGGGGCAGCTTACTGATTTGATACGTCTAGCTTGTATTCGCTCGTAAAGGCTCCAACGTTGTTGAAACCGTCAATCGCTTCGATCCTACGCAGCTCCTTTCATGACCCTAGCCGTCACTCTCTTGGTCGTGTCGTTCAGCCATCACATCGCCGTTTCATCAGAAGCTGTCGACGTCTGCTTGCTCGTCTTGCTGTGCATCACAAACCATTACACTTTGTAGCATATTTAGAGTTCCTAGTGCGTTGTGCCGTTCCGTTTGTACTACTTTACATGTATTCTTCTTCCTGACTGCTGCTATTATCACAAGTTCTTCTTGCTGGACTTTATTTCTCTGTTTACTACGCGCTGTTGTTATTATTGTAATGACACTCACACTCTCAAAGACCAAAAGTTGGACTACCGCTCCTTATCCTCCTTGCTCGTTTCCTTCGTATCAGGGGATTTATTCGCTGGGTCCGTTGCCAAATCCAAAGAACCCATAAGCGCATCCAATTTGCCAATGATCAAATCCAGCTTCTCCTCCATTTCATCAGCGAGTTGTTCTGATGTTTTGAGTCCATCGATGAGACCGCTGATACTGCCCAGGTCCTTCTCGGTTGAGCTGGAGAACAGTTTGGAGAGGAGTTGTTCTTCTTGGGTGGTAAGGATGGGCTGCGATGCGTTCTTGGGTTCCGGTGTTGGTTTGGAAGAAGAGTCGGGAGCGCTGTTGGTTATTGAACTGGATGGTTTTGGTTCGTCTTTGGGACGTGTTCCGTCGTCGGAAGGAGTCTCTTCAGTCCTGTCTGGTGTATCTGCGGCCTCGACTGGAGGTCTGGTCTCTGTCAATTCAGCAAGTCCGGGGTTTGAAGCGATATCTGGAAGACACGCAGGTTCGGAGCCTTCAGTATGCACAGCGATGCGTTAGAAGGTGCGCAGCCCACCAGTGGTGTCTATCGAGGTCATGGTTGGAAGGTAAGAAGTGAACGCCGTCTATGCTGCGATCTCCGAGCTTGATCTGGATGTGACGTTTATAGACGCCGAGCCCCGGCATACCGTGCCTCGTCAGAAATCGCTCTGTGCCACACAAGCAGCATGGCGAGCTCTCTCAAGCACAGAAGGGCACAAAACAGATACACAGGTATACAGGACTATTTTACAACGTGGAAATTTACACCTTTGCCTTGGCCTCGTTTTGGGCCTTTTGAACCGCAGCCAAAATCTCCCCGTGGATCGTTTTGGCAGCTGCGATAACTCCATAGTTCTCTCCGAGGGTTCGTCCCAGGCCAAAGTTGAGAGGCTCCCCGCGAGAGTCTGTGACGATACCGCCAGCTTCCGTGACCAAGATTTCACCAGGTGCATGATCCTGTTGGACAATTCTGAGGAATCTGCCGAAGGATGGAGGATATCAAGGCACTCACCCAGATCTTTTCCTTGTACCCAACACCAGTTGGCATACGGAGGTAGGCTCCGCCTTGGCCTCGAGCAAGGCACGCGTATTTGGCTTGGCTGTCCATCCGGGTAGGAGGCTGCTGGACGTTCAAAATGGCGGCAACCCTATCATTGAAGGAATGGGACGAGTGAGCTGCTTCTACACTCTCCAAGAAGCTCAAGTCTTTGAGTTCGAGGGTTTGAGGAATGCTGAGGGAGATGGTTGCTCCATCGGCACCGGGTGATGATGACGAGAACGCGATCTGTCGAGCACCCTTGCCTCGGACGGCTGTGAAGATGCAGCCTACGCCTTTTGAGGGTTCGGCAGGATCGACGGGGAGGTTGGGGCAGCCGATGACGCCAACTTGGACTTTGGCATCGACGATTAGGGAGACGCAGACTGCGTACTGTTCGCCGCGGAGGAAACCTTTGGTGCCATCAATGGGGTCGATGGTCCACATTCCTGGCAGAATCCACACAATGTCATGGAGCGAACATGGATGAAATGAAAGGTGGCGACGTACGTCCAGTGCTTCCGCCGGGATAGTTGCCTCTGTCGATCGCCTCGAGAATCTGGTCTGCGGTACGCTCTTTTCCAGGTCCGACGCCCCATGCAGGGTCTTCGCCTTGAGTGAGGGGTGCGGTCAAGGCTTCATTTGCGAGAGCCACAATTCGGTCCTTCATGGCCTTTCCGCTCTCCACACGGAGATCTGAAGCGTCTTCTTCACCGACGATGGGGTCATTGGGAAATGCATTGTGCAGGATCGTGCTGATCACTGCTTGGGCTGCGAAATCGCCGACTGTTGGACTACGTCAATGGGGGCAGAGGAGAGGCAATTGGGCTTGAGTACGCACCTGTTACTGGGGATTTATCTCCCTTGACGAGGGTCTCGTTCTTGACCAGCTTTTCGAACACCGATGATGTCAAGATGGACGCCCGCTTCACGGCTGCGATGGCCACTTTTTCCTCCTGCGAAAAGTCGGACATGGCTGGTCTAGTCGTGGAGAAGAAATGGAGGCCGAGTCTACTACGCAGGAATGCAGAAGTAGAAGAGAGAGCCTTGAACATAATTCGACGACTGGGAAACTGTTTTCGACCCGGTGACTGACGTCGTGATCGCGCTCGAATGATGAATCGGAATGTTGGCTGGGGATCGCTTTCGCAAGACCGCCCAATTCTGTTTTCGGACTTTCTCCATGTCGTTTTATCTTTGAGAATGTGCTTGTCTGGGGCCTTGGAATCAAATGGTTACTGTGCTAGGCCATTTGCAGTTAAGTTGGTCGTGGCAAACGAGAGACCAGTCCCCCGTGGCGGTCGTCGTGATTGCCGCAGCACGCCATCGCAAACGATGAGTAAGGTACATTCGCCGCAACTCGTGAGCAGCAACAAATCTGCTCTCTTGCAGCAATTCTCCGTGCTGCATCCAATCTGGAATCTCCTTGGAGGGAGGAGATGGTGACAGAAAGCGGCAAACTGGCCCCTATCTCAGTCTCGGCTTGATTATGGGAAAAGGGTGTCGTCATCGTCGTGGACGACGGCGGGCACTCTCTTTTTGCGGACTCAGCCTGGCAGTTCTCGGCGACAGACCCAAGTCCTGATCTGAATTTGATTCTCTTCCAGTTTGCATCCCTATCATGCCTGTCAAGTGAACCTCGGTTCTCTCACCTTTGCCAGTTGTTCCAAGTGGTGTTCTCTACATTTTCTGGCCCCGTTATCGACGCAAAGGCAAACCAAATTGTGGGCGGATTGAGGGGAGGGTATATATTGCAGCAACGAAGGAGCGTCTTCTGGAATCTAGCATTCTCCCTCCCTTGCTACTCATGGTGTTGCTACAACTTGCTTATCTGAGGCGGATAGTGTTCGCTCTCGCTTTCTGGACTTCACTCGCCCTGCTGGTACCGGCTGTGGACGCCCATATCGCGGCATGGCATAAAGGTGAGTCCTGTGTTCTTATAACGGGTCAGACGGCTAAATATTATCAGGCATGTATTGTCTGAATGGTACGGACCCCCACGTCGCCAACCAGAACGCGAATGAGGCCGTCAATCCATTGTACATGGTATGCGCGTGTTCTGTCCTGCGATCGCGAACTTGCCGGTCTGACCACTCCGGACTATCCCTCATTCAGCTTGACCGACGAGATTGGTGGATGCACCACGTTAATAAAGTGCGTATGCAGTGGACTGTCTCTCCCTGCTTTGTCTGTTCTGACTGTGTTCTAATGGGCAGTGCGACGAGTTCCCACCAGCGCCAGGAGACTTCTTGGAACTGTCAGTGATCCTCTCGGCCTTTTGATGCGCAATCCACCAACTCACCTGGACCCCGTTTATGATTATCCAGACCAGCAGGCAAATCCTTCGTCGTAGAACTCGCAGGGAACCGCGCTTTCACATCACTTTCATATAACGGAAGGTACACGGGTGTTTTTGGAGATGGAAAGCCTCGTCCGGGGATGGACGGTGGAAGGAGCAAGGAAGGGTGTATCACCAACCCTAACCGTGAGTCTCTTTTCCTTATCCCTATTCTCAGTTCATTTCCGTCTCCGTTTCATGACACTGACCGCGAACCCCCGCAGTACACACCAAGAGTGAAAAGGAAGCAACAGGAACAGCCTTTGCGATTTCCTACCATTCCAACCTTGCTGATGTGAAGCCGGAGAATCTGGTCGTCTTCTCCGTTCTGTATCAGTTAGTCTTCTTTCTCCCTTCTTAAGTGCGCGTTCTTTGGATCAGTCAAGTCCTGATCTTCGCCTCCCAGTACACCATGGAAGCGGATTGCCAAGTACGAAGTGCCCAACCTCCCGGCCTGTCCGGAAGGAGGGTGTCATTGTGTTGTGGGCTTACATTCCACTAGTCTTTCCGATTATCTTTCTAACTTGTAATCTCGCGTCTTCTAGTGGGGATGGGTACCAGACGGCTGCGGAGAACCCAATATGTACATGCAGCCTCTAAAGTGCAAAGTCGTAGGACACACAGGGAACCGAGCCGTGGCACCCGCTAAACCGCCTGTCTTTTGCGAATTAGACCAGAGCAAATGTGTGAAGGGTGCTAAACAGGTATGCGGCTCCGACTCTTCCTTTCCTCTCTGTCTTTGCTTATCGGCGCTGGGACGACTGTAGATGGTCTTCTGGAACCAGTTGAATGGAAACAACATTGTTACTCCAGGGTCACGGGCGCCAACATATAACCAGCGCTTAGGTTTCGCAAATGGTAAGTCACTATCCTAGATTAGGAACTTTCGTGCATGATTTCTCTCCGCACCTCCTCCTCCTCTCCCTTTGGGGTGTCATGAGTCCCTTTACTCACTCTCTCCATTCAATTTATAGGCCGCCAGACCGATATATTCCTACAAGAAGGCACAGCTCCTACGACCTACATCCCTCCCGGTCCATCAGTAACACCTACGGACCACTCGGACGTGAGAGAGGAAAGTGATGCAGATTCTGCGCCTAGATCTTTGGATGCGCTGGTTCCGTTGAAGACATTGGCCGTGCCTTTGCTTATATTTATTGCGAGTGTGTATTTGGGGGTCTGGAATGCGTGAGAAGGGTGCGGTTTCGTGGGGTGTATTGATACTGGTCTTAGAGCCAGGGTGATGCTGTATACGTTACTGCTTAATCTATAACTGCCCCGTTATTGAGATCAGGTGTTCGTCTGGCGAGAAATGGACCTCATCATGCAGCAGTGCAAATGGCAAGCGGGCGCCTAGCGCGGACACGAATTTCTCTCCGCTGCGGCTGTCGATCATGCCTGTGGTGACACGACATCGATACACTAATAGACACATATATACATGGTGGATTAGTGCTCTAGGCCACGACTGTTTTTATTCAAGGTTCTTGGAACATCGATCAAGTTCCAACTTCCACACAGAAAGGGCGGGCAAGACAAGCGAAGGAGAGTTCGGACTCCTTTCAAGAGCTATTCTCAGGGTCAAACATAAGCTGCAACTATTTCTTCGCCTTTCTGGACCATACATGTTGCGCCTGGAAGGCGTGCTAAATGGGCTACGCCGATTCGGATTGGGATTGAACTCGGCCCGCTCCGAGATTAGATTAGACATATAAATTCGGCGCTGGACTTGCGCTGGACCACCACTCCTGCTCAAGACCACGACACCGACTTTGACTGCCTCGTGTTTTCATCATCTCTTGTCATGAGCAACATCCCGCGTCTTCCCCCAGAAATATGGCTGGACATTATCGATTGGGCAACCGAAGACGAGACGCCCAATGTCGATTATGTCCATTTCGAACGCATCCCTCGCGACGCCAGGTCCTCTGAACTGGTTGGGACCAGGAAGGCCTTATCGCAGGTTTCCAGAGGGCTTAGGAACTTGATAATGCCTCAACTGTACAAAGAGGTCTGGGTAAACCATGGTGCCGATGAACTTCGAACGGTTTTGCAGAAACCGAGGGATCCAACATCGGAACGGCCTCAGTGCTACGGAGACACGGTCAGTGCGACTGATTCTGCTCATTGGAGAGTGCTAATACTCAAACAAACGAATGGGATAGGTTCGCCGACTAGTCCTCCCGTACTCCTCCACTGCTGGAAAGTCGCCGCTTCCATACCTCGACATCCTTCGGACATGTCTACGGCTCGAGGTGCTCGTCCGGCCACAACTCTCACTACCGGAAATCTACCGCCTGAGCTTCGACTTCGAGACAAACATCGTCCAACTACCCTCCCTCAGACGACTGGAATGGTGCCACCACTCAGAGGCAGACCGAGCTGGAGGGATCAACTCACTCAGCGCAGTCCTCCGCAACTCGCCCAGTCTGCGCTACCTCTTCATCGATCGCGTGGTTGAATTGAGCCCCACGGGTATGGACCCTACGCCACTCGAGCTCAAAAGGCTCAAAACACTCCGGTTGGGCGTAGTGAATGGTTTACTCTTGCACCAAATCACGCAACGATGGTCACTTCCTTCGCTAACCCGCCTGGTCCTCGACCGGCCTATGCCAGAACCCCAGTTCGTGTTACTCTGCCAGAGCCTGGGGACCCAGTTGGAGCTTTTAGAGTTTGGAGGGCATCTCCGCTTCTACACGGTCGATTATATCTCCCTCGCTCTCATGTCGTGTCCAACTTTGAAGGAGCTCAACTTTCACATTTTCTTCACCATCCCACCCAGCCAAGAAGACCCAAACATTAATACTCCGAGTCGTCCACACACGTCATTGAAGACCATTGGGATGCATTCTGCAGTGAACGGCATGCTTTCTAATGGGCAGGAATTGTGGGATCGATTGAGGGAGCATTTTACGTTCTTGGCAGGGGAGAGGCTGGAATCTTTGGAGCGGGTGGTTCTTTATGGTGAATGGAAGTTCATTCTTGACCATCCTATGTTCCAGCCCATCAAGCAGAAGCTTCAGGACCGCGGTTTGGAACTCGAACTTTATGAAGGCCGATGAACCTCTGTCGATTTCCAGTACAGTGAACCTCGACCTCACGAACGATCAGACGAGAACCGATCTATCTCGCTTTCCTTTGCGTGCGGATGGACAATGGCTTAGCCGCCTTCGAACAATAACAGTGTATTCCCTTACTTAATTCGTAGTTCGGGATAGGGATAGTCGTAGTATTGACGTATCATGGGCTAACGGTACATACAGGACTACAGGACGAGGAGCAGAGTAAACGATATTGGCAGAGAGATATTGAAAGCAAGATTATGTATATGATCATCAGTCGGCCGTGATATCTGGGTCATAAACGATCTTCGCCGGACTACGTTTCTCGACACCCTGAAAAGTTAAATGTAAGCAACAGTAAGCCAGATCGACCAGAATGAAAAATGCCTTACGTTTTCTTCCCAGCAAATCTGAGCCTTCAACTCCACAGAGCTGAAGAACAGAACGAGGTCGTACCCTAGGTAGTAGTATGTGCCTCGCGCGCCGTTCGCCTTTTGACGGGGCGTTAGAGGTATATGCGACAGGTCCATCTCTATCGTGCAGAGTTTCGTGTACATCTCTGTTCCATCGCAAAGGCCGTCAGTTCAGCCTAGAAGGTGGGGGTGGATGGGATAGCTGACCTGGTTCTACATCTTTCCATTTTGGATTCGGGTTCTTGCCTCGATACGCCCAAACTGTCGATGTGACATGATGGATCTCGGATTTGGTCTCGGCGCGTAGACCAAAACCCTGTCTAAATTCTTGACCCTCTTTCACTTGGGTATTCTAGATAGTCCAAAACGCACATATGAAGTCACTTTCTCAACTTGCTCCAAGATCGAAAAAGTGCACGCACCTTGGTCAAAATGACCGCAAAGAAATCAGGGACAAGCTTCTCTCCAGATGCGCATGTGTACATCTTGGTATAGCGCAGTCGGTGGTCGGGATCGGATGCGTCGTAGAACGCTGTTCGGAATTGGCCATATGTGAACTTTGCAACTCGGGTGGTGACGTGGTGGTCCAAGTAGAAGGAGATTGCTCCGTCAGATACCGCTTTGTTCCTGTGCGAGGACAGGTTTAGTGCCAACATCCGCCGTGTCCTTGAGGAGAAACACGTACACATGGTTTTCGGGTCGAATAACGATGACATCTTGGTATTTGAGTCGGGATTCTATCTGGTTGAACAACCAGTCGTTGGCTGCGAAGCCGCCGACGAGGACAACGTGCTAATAAAAGAATGAAGTTGACTGTTACTCGTGCTAGGTGAGAGAAAGAAGCGTACACCGATAGGTTTATGTGACATTTTCTTCATTTCCAAGATCGCATTGACAATACACTTGATGGAACCTTCGAAGAACGTGGCAACATCCTCGCTATTTCCTCAAGTTCAGCATTCCGTACGTACCCATTTTACAAAGACATCCGCTTACCCGCTCAATTTCAGTTGTCCGAAGCGAATGTTACAACTGGCATCGTTATCTCTTGTCGATCCAAACTTGACGTATTGAGGTTGTTTGTCGCTGCTGAACCGGACTTTGGTAGTCTTGTCGAAACAACGGATTATGTGGTCGAGGTCCTCGATAAAGTCAGATTCGGCGAGGAATTCTGGAGGGAGGTGATGTCAGGAGGTCCCACAACAATCAGAAGTGGGCACGCACCCTCAAGGAACACCCGGGCATGGATACTGACGAAGACCGAGCCCTGGAAGTGACCTAGAACCTAGGGTAAGAATAAGGTTTAGGAGGAAGGACGGGTGCTGACATTGAGGGGGAGCAATCTCCTTGAACGTTTTCGCTTCTTCGCCTCCAACGCCATATCGGCTATAGGCACTCATGTCGATGGTGCCTCCTCCAGCATCCACGATGGCCACGCCTTCTCCTTTCTGTCGCAATTCAATCCATCAGCATGCTACGGAGAGATTTATACGTAAAAGGGGGGTACGCACATCCATAGCCCGGGAAGGCAGGCCGTTCTCGATGGAGAAGTGCAGACTGGCTTCACCCTCGGTCACGAACGACACCCTCGAGTGGCCCTTCTCTGTATCAGGGATCAACCCCGCTTTGACGATAGCTTGCCTCATCTGCGTTTGCTGAAAGCCTTCCCAGCCGTTCGGATGGGAGAGGACATAGTGGATATCGCCCTGCACAGACTCCCAGAGGTCTTTCCCGTTGGCATGGGTATCCTGAATGAACTTGGACGCGCAGCTGAAGAGGTAAGACAGGAAATCGGCCATGACGTCTGTAACAGTCTTGTTAAGAGGCAGAGGTGGAATTGCTGCTGTGAGTTGGCGGGTCGCGTCTGTCTTGGGGCGGATATGGAGCTTGAACCTGCGGAATCGAGTGGTAAGGATCGCTCTTGACGACGAGGGGGATCGGAGAGTACCATTCGCTCTTCACCCATCCTTCGTCCTCTGCCTGCTCGAAGATACCCTCTCTCTGAGCCTCGGCACCGACCGCGCATACGTTTCCAGCCTTATCGTAGTAGATGACGGTTGGGATCTTCGAAGCGCCGCTAATCTGCTCATGAGCGGGGAATCTATAGCCATCGTGGTGAGCCTTTGGCTTCCAATTTGGCGCTATAAGTTGCCCACCGTGTTACACCCTTGATCTCAGGAACGTGGCCTGGATCCAGAATACTACAGACGAATTTCTTCCTTCAATTTCGGGGAATTTGGAAGGGTCCTGGGCGAGAGTACGTTACCTGTAGGATATCCCACTATACGTCGTGCCAACATCGAAAGCCAGAACTAGTTTACGACGGAAGCCATCGTAGGGTCTGCGAGGGGGCATGGTTGGGATTGTGGTGGTATCCAACAAAGAAACTCGGTGGCGACCGAACGAAGCCTCATGCCTTTTGAACGGCACTGCGTTCTTATTAGCGCCCGTGTCATGAGTCGAACAAACAAAGTCGCTTGCGGCGATGCCGCGGATGCGGGGGCCGTCCCGTCCCTTCGTCTAAACAACCACCACAATACCCTCGGAAGCAATTCCTGCTTTCTCGTCTCCTTGCTGGCTCGATGGTTTCTTTACGCCCTCATCTCCAAAAGCTGTTGGAATCGTTGCCTGCACCGCCAGCCGACCAGAAGAAACTAGAGGAACTTGTCAAGCAGACATTGGAGGATGCTAAAGCGCGTGCTTCGTCGGAAAACTGGAAGAGTCAATGGGAGTATTTGTTGAGGGAAGAGATATTTAGACTGGCAGTGCGTATTTATTGGCTCTCTGCACCCTTTGAATCTACAGCAGACTACAGGGAACGGAAGGGCAAGCCCTGAACTCAAACGACGTCGCCTATTACGACGAACTCCGTGACAAACTTGACATTGTCCTCATATTCACCGAACAAGGTGCGTACTCGACCCCAGTTGGACCATTATCACCAACCTAGCACTCGACCAGACGCCTGCGAACAAACCTTCCCTTTCCTCGTCCTCCAAGACCTCCTCGAAACACAAACCATCGCCTCATGTTCCCAGATATTCTCGTGGATAGAGGACCGTGCATCACGCCTCACAGAGGGAATGGTTCCACAGAAGGGCAAAGCACTCATCCTGCTTCGGACACTCAACGAACTGCTACGTCGGTTATCCAAGATGGGGTCTACGACTATTTTTTGTGGTCGGATATTGACGTTCTTGAGCGGTGTGTTCCCGCTTGGAGAGAGGAGTGGTGTTAATCTGCGGGGAGAGTATGGACCCACATGGGAGGGGGTGAAATACTCGGACAAAGAGAAGGTGGTTTCGAGTGAGGACGAGGACGTGGAGATGGCTCCGGCGGACGAGTCCCAGACACAGGATGATAAGATGCAGGTGGATACGAAAGAATCCCAGCCTGCCCCTCAGACTGCTGCAGAGAAGAGGGAAGGTGTGTGGCCCGTTTCTATTGCTTGTTCATTAGTGCTCATAGCTATCAGACTTCTACAACACGTTCTGGTCACTGCAGCTGTACTTTTCCAAGCCGACAGAGTTCGCAAACAAGGGGGCATTGGAAGACTTTAGGGCGTCTATCAACAAAGTCATCCCCGTCATCAAGGAGGCTACTGCGAAGGAGCGGGCGATGATGGGCAGTCGCAACTTGACTGGTCCTGGTGCAGGGCTGAAGCGGAAACGCGAACCTGAAGCCGAGGAATCCAATGTCACCGAATACTTCTTTGCCAAGTTCCTTACCAGTCCAGAGTTACTAGACCTCGAGGTGCGCATTCTGGCTTCAAATTTGTTCTTTGACTGACCTTCGCCTTAGATCGCGGACACGCATTTCCGAAGACAATTCCTGTTCCAAATGCTGATCCTTCTCCACCACCTCCTCACCTTCACCAAGGAAGCAAAGGAAGGATGGGCCACCCTTCGAAACCGATCACTGCAAATGGACTTTACACTCGAGCCAGACGATGCTCGTTGGGTGCAGGAATACATTAACAAGGTCACTGAGGAACTACGGCAAACAACACCCAACGGCCGACAATTCTCGGACACCGTCACAACCATCCTTGACCGCGAGAGGAACTGGGTGAAATGGAAGAATGAGATATGTGTTCCATTCGATAAAGAACCTTGGAGCCAGGAGGTCGATGGGAAGAAGGTGGACATGTTCGAAGCAACGCGCCAGTTCCGCGACGAGTTGCGAACGCAACCCGAACCTTGGAAGTGGGCATATGGAACAGAACCATTAACAGAGATCTGGGAGATGGGCTACAGGTCCCTATACGATCTCGAAAATCCATTCCAGTGAGTTTGGCTCGTTCATAAAATCCAAACGAGAATTAACTCTGTGTTCCAGACCTGGCGATGTGAAGGACTTCGTGAAGCAGCTTAAGCGTTATGACGCCCAGATAGAGATGCGGAAACGGCAGCTGGCCATGGCAGCAGAGCGGGTCGCCAAGGCACAGGCGAGGGCTGCTGCTGCAAAGGCTGCCGCAGCGCCACCAGCTCCCGCCCCCGCCCCGACCCCTTCTGAGAAGCCGGAAGGGAAGCAAGAGCCTGAACTTGCAGCACCCAAACCAGTCCCCGCTGCTGGCAATTCGCCGTTACATCCCTCACTGCCGCCCAAACCTGGCTCTCCTGTCAAGCCTTCCCCATCTCAAGAGGCGCCAAAGGCAGCCACCCCTGCACCGGCTGCACCCACGCCAACACCTTCAGCTCCGGCACCCTCACCGTTCGTTCCGCCGCCGCCAACCACGGACCCCCAGATTAAGAAATTTGAGGAGGTGAGACCACTTCTCGTCGTTGATTGATTCTATTACGAATTAAACTGGTTTGATAGGACAAGCTGCGGCTGACCTGGTTGGGTCTTCGAACGGCACGAGAACAGCACCTGCAACACTTTGGAAAGATAGGCACGGGCGACTTGGAGCTGCTCGTCAACGAGATAGATAATTGCAAGGGTGACAAGGAGCGAAATTTACGGGGCGAATCCGTAGAAGAGGCTGTTGAGGGGGGAGGGGAAGCCAGTCAAAAAGTAAAAGTAGAAATGGAAAGCTAATGGCCAGGATTGTAGTTGATACTTCCGAGAAGAAACTTTGTTTGGCCTGGCGTGATCGGGTGGGTTCAGGTTGAATGCGACGATAAGTCTTTGCAAACCGTTCCACTAAGCCGCGCTTGGTCGATTCCCTCACTCCTGCTCAGTCTCCCTTTGCCTGCGACTCAACGTCTGGATGCCTGTGCAACAATACCCGCTTAAAGTGAGTTTCGTCTCTTTTTTCCGCTCGCCTGAGACTCACGACAGACACAGAATGTGTTGGTGACTGGAGGGGCTGGATACATCGGTTAGCGCATCTGCAATCTAAAAACCGCTTTTTCCGCTCAGTGTACGGGGTACCCCAGGGTCTCATGTCATTTATGCTCTACAGAAAACTCGCCGGTACAAGGTTATTTCAGTCGACAACCACCACAACTCCAAGCGGGAAGCTCTGAAACGCGTCTCACAACTATCGAGAAGCGAACTACCTCCAAACCCAACACAGCAGGAAATCGAGAGCACAGAAATCGACGCCTACAAATGTGACCTCGCCCAGGCAGACCAACTACGAGCTGTTTTCCAGAGATATGGAAAAGGGGGAATTTGGGGTGTCATCCACATCGCAGTGCGTCCGGTGTCTGCTTTTCCCTCTCGCCTCCTCCAGAACCATTTTTTTCAGGCTCGTAAAGCTGTCGGCGAATCTTCCGAGGTCCCTCTGGACTACTACCACAATAATGTCGCTGCTTCAGTAACCCTTCTGAGAGTTATGGACGAGTTTGACTGTCATCGCATTGTCTATTCGTCGTCTGCTACGGTCTACGGAACCCCGCCAACTATTCCTATACCCGAGGGAACACGCTTACAGGCAGACAGCCCTTACGGACGAACCAAAATCATGGTTGAACACATTCTTGAAGATCTCTGCCGGTGTACGTCTTCACTATCGCGTCGATGCTCGGGGACAGGCTAACTAATTCCCTGTCATTAGCTGATCAGAAGTGGCGTGCACTCTCACTCAGATATTTCAAGTGAATCGAACCACCTCTTCTACAAGACTTCTCGAATTTAACGCGTTTTTTCGATAGCCCCGCAGGTGCACACCCATCCGGTCATATTGGCGAGGATCCCCTCGGTCGGCCAGGGAATCTCCTCCCGCTCCTGGCGCAAATGGCCATCGGACGCGTCAAAGACGCCACCCTTAAAGTTTTCGGCAACGATTACCCAACTCCGTGAGTCTTATCCTTAACCTTTTTTCCCTCCTCCGAACTTACCTAGACCAAAAGGGACGGAACGTGCGTCCGGGATTATTTGCACGTCCTAGACTTGGCGGGAGGCCACGTTCTAGCCCTCGACGGCCTCTCCCCCAACTCTACCATCTTCAACCCCAAGTCCGAGGTCTTCTTCAAAAGCTATAACCTCGGTAGAGGCAAAGGTTTCAGCGTTTTGCAGATCGTCGAGGCGATGCGGAAAGCGACCGGTTTTGATTACCGCTGCGAGATTGTCAGTCGAAGGTAGGCGCTTGACATACCCGCCGACATCACCGAGTGGCTGATCCGAGCGTTCCAGACGGGGCGATGTGCCTGACTTGACTGCAGACCCTTCGTTGGCAGAGCGAGAGCTTGGATTTAGGGCACCGCAAGACTTGGAGACTATGTGCCGAGACCTTTGGAATTGGCAAACCAAGAATCCTTATGGCTACGAGGAGTCTCCTACCGTTAACGGATTCAACGGCCATGCCAAGTCATTCACCAACGGGGTTCTCGCTAATACGAACAGCCGTCCATTGACAAACGGTAAATCTGCGTATACCAACGGCACCGGCGCAATCTACACCAATGGTAACGGCGTATACACGAATGTTATGAACGCTGTTCATACCTACTTTAACGGAAGCGGCAATGTTGCCTATATGAATGGCCATGTCTAACACGAGCTCGTGATGATTCTGCAGCCACCTTTTGGACTTGGTCTTTCCATAGACCCTTTTGAAACCCCAGTTTGGACACGACCCCGCATTATATATCCCATCCACGCTGTGTAGTCTTTCTCGCCTTCAGATTCGGCTTTTCCTTTACTACTTACCGTATTATGACCTCTTATTCCACCCTTAATTACCCTTTAGATTAATTCGCGGGATTCATGGGCTCTCCTGGATCCATTGCCCTTTTTATGACTTTATCTACATAGTAGTAGACTGGTAGAGCCCTTTCAGTTTTCGAGGTTTAGATTGCGGTTCTTTTCTTTTCCTCTCGTTGGCGACCGAGTCGTTTAGGTACTTGTCTGAGTAATGACTAATTCAAAAGGACTGTATCTCTTGTTGTCAGAAAATCTACACTACCCACTGGGCGAAGTCATCGGTTCGTTGGCTCTATCCCAATGTGGGTCGAGGCTTAAGGTGCGGTATATAGGCTGGCATAGGCGCCGAACAAGCCGAGTTACAGACTCGGGACGTCGTGTGAAACTCCCGATGCCATATCTCTCCCCTGGCCCCGCTGTACGCTCGTTGTTATGTGTCATGTCTCGCAATTCGCCAAAAACCACACCGTGTAACCCGTAGCGCCCATTTACTTGCACTTCAGAGAGCCCCGCGTCTTAGCAAGCAGTCTTACCAATAGAGGCGCCCATACATTGGCCATCAGATTTGGATTTCTTTCGCCGTTGGATATGTCAGCAACGACGGTTCTCGTGGGGAAGAGAGACAATGTGAGCGCTTGCTTAAAGGGGAAGAACGCTACTCTCGACTGTATTTAAACCACGACGTCAGCGGGGGCTTCGACTCACAATCTTTCTCGAGAATTCCATTGACCCTCTGCTACCGTTCTCATCATGGCACAGTACACCTACGTTGCTACTACCGCTCCAGGTCGCGTCGAGGCGTTGCAAAAGGACATACCCACCGAGATTGGACCAGATCAGGCCCTAATCAAAGTGGAGTATTCCTCGTTGACGCCGTTCGACCTGTATCAAGCAGACAGTGGGTTTTATGTTCAGCAGTACCCTGGGCAGTTTGGATTGAATGCCAGCGGTACTGTCTCAAAGGTTGGAGACGGAGTGAACGACTTGAAGGAAGGAGACCGAGTACGTTTATGAGTATTGTCTTCCGTTTGATGAACCCACTAAATCGGCACTGTAACTGATAGGTTGTGGCATTCTCGTATAACCCGGTGTACAAGGGAATGCACGAGTACACTGTTCAGCCTAGGTCGGTCATCGCAAAGGTGTGTCCCAAAGTGCTTCGCCTCTGGAGACCAACCATCTGATACTTGTCAGGTTCCCGCAAACCTGAGCTTGGAGGAAGCTGTTACCATCCCGGACAACTTGGTCACTTCCTTCTACACCTTGTTCAATCAACTCTCCCTTCCCTGGAGAGAAGATGAGTTCCCGCCCAAGGAAACACCTCCCAACGCGAACCGACCCATCCTCATCTACGGCGCTGGTGCTACCTCTGGCCAATACGCCATTCAACTTCTCAAGTTGGCGAAATACACGAATATCATTGCCGTCGCCTCGTCAAAACACACAGAATATCTCAAGTCAATCGGAGCCGGTCATGTCGTCGACTACCGCAGCCCCTCGCTCGTCGATGACGTCGCCAAAGCTGTTGGCGGGGACGGCAAAGTCGAACTTGTGGTGGACTGTGTATCGCTGGACGAATCGTTCGAAGCGATCGCCAAGGTCATTCGTCCGGGAGGGAAGCTTTCTTTCCTTGGTCCACTCAAGCACAAGGGTGATCTGACTGGAGGCTCGGAGATGTTGTTCGAGGCGCCGCCTGTGCTAGCTAACCAGTTCCCGAAAGATGTCGAGTTTATTGCTGTTAGGACATTCTTGTACCAGCAGGTAGGTTCTACCCATATGGAAGTCCCGTGTGATTGTTCTCACCACTTGACGTCTCCTAGGACGAGCGCCTGGCTAACACCTTGATGCCTGTTATCGTTCCGCGCTTATTGGAACAGGGGCTCATCAAACCCAATGCAATTGCGATGCACGACAAAGGGCGCTTCCTGGAACGTGTGAATGATGCATTTGATCTGTTGCGGGAGAATAAAGTAGGAGGAAGGAAGGTAGTTGTTAAAGTATCTGATTAACGCCGTAAAACTATCGAAGTACCGTAGCAGACCGTAGCATGCCATGTACCCCTATTAGTATCCCTCAATGACGCCAAAAGCATCCGAGCGCCCGCGTCGCGGGTCTTGACGCGCCATCATTCACGTGACCATATCCGCCTGGATAACTTGCAAGCTCCGTCCATGAGAACCTCGCTGCACATTTGTTCTCTCCCAACCACCAGGAATCCCTTCTTCATCGTCGTACACAACGATCACAGTATGCTGTCGAACCAGGGAATTACCAATCCAAAGCATCTTACAGGGGCGCTGAAGTCCCGTATCGCCGTCAATAGCTGCCGAACCCTGGGGTCACTGCCCCGCTCGACATCGCGGGGTATCTCGACGTCGACGACCGTAGCTAAAAGGTCAACCGCAGTCTTCAACGAAAAGCCTAGGGTCTTGCCTTTGTCAATGGGAAGTCGGAACTATGCTACTGAGAGCAGAGGTATGTTCCCGGTTGTGGTAAACTGGAAGGTCGGATGCCAATACCGGGTTACCCCTCAGTCGCCTCTGCTTCAGCATCTCCCCGGAAGCCCCATTTTGACAAGATCCTGATTGCAAACAGGTAAGTAGCTCAAGGCTGTCTACCCTTCCGCGAGTTAACACCTTTCAGAGGTGAAATTGCATGCCGGGTCATTCGAACTGCTCGCAAACTCGGAATCAAAACTGTTGCTGTATACAGCGATGTCGACAAGGATTCGCTTCACGTCAAGCTGGTACTATCCTATAGATTCATTGGCGGTGACAGTGAGCTGACTCTCTGTATTGTCTGTTAGGCGGACGAAGCGTACAACATTGGCCCTGCTCCTTCCGCTGAGAGTTATGTTAGTTGTCCAGACTTCTTTCGCGCGCCCTGGAACAATTACTGAGAAGAGGATAGCTCAGGATGGACAAGATTATTCAGGTCTGTCACCAAAGTGGTGCACAGGTACGTCCACTTCCCATTACTACCCCGAGCTTCTACTCACAGTAGTTCTAGGCAGTCCACCCAGGGTAAAGCCTCTCCACCTTCTACAATCAGTACGGTACTCAAGAGGCGTCAATCACAGCTACGGGTTCCTGAGCGAGAATGCAAAGTTTGCCGAGCAACTGGCAGCAGAAGGGATTGTATTCATTGGCCCACCAGCCAGTGCTATCATCAGCATGGGCTCGAAGAGGTAGAGATCGCTGTGATTTCATCTGTTGTCCACTTTGAGCTGAACCTTTCTGCCAGCGAGTCGAAGAACATCATGTCGAGTAAGGAAGCCGCACTTTGAAGGAAGGCCTCAAGATTGACCTTTCCTTCCTGCCAGGCGCTGGTGTTCCATGTGTCCCCGGCTATCACGGTGACAAGCAAGACCCCGACTTCCTGTTTCAAGAGGCACAGAAAATAGGTATGTATGAGCTGCACTCGTCACGTCATTCACGCTCAGCATCGAACCAGGATTCCCTGTCTTGATCAAGGCCATCCATGGGGGCGGCGGCAAGGGAATGCGAACTGTCCTCGAGCCTACTCGAGAAGCCTTCGAAGAGGGTCTACTTTCTGCCAAGCGAGAGTCCCTCAAGTCTTTCGGCAATGATACCGTTCTTGTGGAGAAATACATTCAACGCCCACGACATGTTGAGGTCCAGGTGTTTGCCGATACGTTGGGCAATGTGGTCAGTCTCTGGGAGCGAGACTGCTCGGTTCAGAGACGAAACCAGAAGATCATTGAGGAAGTAGGTGCTCACACCTTTTACTCCACCATGTGTAGCTGATAGTCCGACTAGGCCCCCGCACCAGGCCTATCTCCAGAGCTTCGCGCGGACTTGAGCGCAAAGGCAATCGCTGCCGCACGAGCTGTCAATTATGTTGGCGCTGGTACTGTCGAGTTCATCTTCGACAACGATACCCAGGACTTCTACTTCATGGAAATGTGGGTTTCTCTACCGCTTTTGGCCTGTGTGGGATAAACTCACGCTTTGCTACAGGAACACCCGGTTGCAGGTCGAACATCCTGTTACTGAAATGATCACTGGGTTAGATCTCGTAGAATGGCAACTTGAGGTACGCAGAAAATTCGTTGTCTCGTATGCACGTTGGCCTTATACATGCACAGGTTGCGGCAGGAAATCCTCTGCCTCTCTCGCAGTCTTCTATTCCCCTCGTTGGACACGCGTTCGAAGCCCGTATCTACGCGGAGAATCCACGAAACAACTTCCTACCAGACTCTGGAAATTTGCTGTATCTATCCACCCCTCCACCCACCCATGTCTTCGCCCCTACGTTCCCTTCGAGGACCGCGGAAGACGGTGCCTCATTGCTTGCCATCCAACCCTCGATCGACCCTTCCCTCAAGCCTGCTTTGCGTATTGAACAAGGGTTCACCCAGGGGGCGCAGATTGGAGTCTTTTACGACCCTATGATTGCCAAAGTTGTAGTTCACGGAAGTGACAGAACCGAAGCATTGCGGATGTTGAGAAAGGCACTGGATGATTATCATGTCGTTGGTGTGTCCACGAACGTGGAGTTCCTTCGAACTTTGGCTGGAAACTCTGCCTTCATCGAGGGCGACGTCGAGACTGGGTTCATTCCTGTAAGCTCTTTACTTGCGAGTCACCAATGGTTTAACTAACGCGGCAGTAGAAACACTTCCAAGAGTTGTTCCCTCCTCTCCCCGAACCTTCACCCGAGGTCCTGGCCCAAGTCGGGCTATTCGTCGCCCTTCGCGATGCTGAAGGGCATCACCTCAGATCTAACCAGACCTCACCCTGGTCAACTCTCGCATCCCGGCGATTCGGCGGAGACAAGTACCGACGAACAATCACCTTGCAAACTGACGATGCAGCAGAGACTCCAATCACCGTTGAAATTTCACCCGTCGAAGGACACAAATTCGACGTCGTTGTCAACGCGCCTTCTGGTAAACACACATTCTCGTCTGTCCCAGCTCAGTTGGTGGACTCGACAACCTTGTCGAGCCAGATCGGTGGTCGATTTGTCAGGCCGACTATCGTTTCGCAGCCACCACCGCCGGGTCTCCCAGCGTCGCAGTCCCACAACAGCATGGAGAGAGTGCATATTTTCAGTGACGGACAAAAGACGTCGTTGGTTATTCCCTCGCCCAAGTGGCTGCAGTCGCTCGGAAGCGATGTGCTCAACGCCCACAAGGGCGGATTGCGAGCACCCATGCCCAGTTTGGTGGTCGAAGTCAGAGTCAAACCAGGAGACCGCGTCGAAAAGGGCCAAGCCGTCGTTGTGTTGGAGAGCATGAAGACCGAGACCGTCTTGAGAAGCGATGTTTCCGGTATTGTGAAAGCTGTTGGATGCAAGAACGGGGAGATGGTGGAGGAGGGACGAGAACTTGTGGATATTGAGCCTGAAGAAGTCGCAGCAGATTAAATTTAACAGTATATTTGATCATGAGTGTGTATATTAACTGGAATCTATACCGATAGCGGAGCAGAAGGGATTGCGCTGGACGGTGTAGGTGTCAGTGCAGGTGGTGGTGGGAAGTTTGACGCGTCCCTTTCAATGTTAGAAGGTAGCAGCGGTGCCCCTGAAGTTGGAGGCTCCGGGTTTTGAGTCGCAGAAGGCGTGACGAACTTCTCAGCCTCTTCTGGTGACAGAGCGAACGACGAGGGCAGCATTCGGCGCTGCCTTGGGCAGTTATTGTTGATAGCGTCAACAATCTCCTTCATCTCCTCTTCGCCTGTCCACTCCTTCACAAAGTCCGTCATGTTGTCGTAGTCCTTGGCTTGCGATAGACGCTGGCGAATATCCGCCGCTTCCGCCTTGGTGACTTCGACCCTGGTCGACCTGAACTGCGCGATGCAGTACTTTGTGAGACCCCAATGATGACCGAGGTACTTGCACAAGCGGAAGTACGAAGGCCACAACGTCCTCTCGACATCCACAAGCGGCTTCTCCGAGAAACAAGAAGGATTCGCCTCCGCGCCTCTCGCGATCATAACCGAATGCGCTCCCGTCACCCTCCTCACTCTCTTCGCATCCTCCCAGTCCAAGCAATCCCCATTCTCAATGACAGCAATCCCCTTCCCCATCTTCTCCACAAACTCCACAATCTCATTTAGCCTCTCAATGACTGCCCGATCCTTCTCCCTCATATTCCTCGTCCGGCAGTGGACCGTCAAGGCACTCACTCCCGTATTGACAATCCGCTCCACAAGCTTCAACGTATCCTCCTGGCTAGGCAGCAATCTAATCTTCGCCGTAACCGTAATCTCAGGTGGCATCGCTTTGCGCAACGCTTCGAGGATCGAGATCAGCAGGTCGGGGTTGGTGAGGAGTGCGGCGCCCATGCCGGCGTGCGTTGAGAAAGGTTTGGGACAACCGCAGTTGAGGTCGATGCCGGAGACGTCTTGCTGGACGGTTTTGGCGGCTTGGACTGCCAGTTCGGGGTCGGCTGAACCGATTTGGTAGATTAGGTAGGGTTTTTCGATGGGATGCGTTGTGAAGATGGCGCGGGAGACGCCGTTGTAGGAGACTACTCCAGTCACAGCTATAAATTTTGGAAATCGAATTAAACGTAAACCAAAGGTGAAAAGCATTCTGTATACGCACGATCTACTTCACGTTTTGCGTGGAGGATTGCTTTGTCCACGATCTCAGGACCCCAAACGAGCGTAGCGCCGTGCTTCAGAGCAAATAGACGCGTTGGCACTGTGTGTCATCTTTAGTCAGTTTCTGCGACTGTATTTCAGTCTTTTAATTCTACTCACAAGCTCCAGAACGAACCATAGGTGCCAAAAAGATTCCATTTTTGAAATCTTCCTTGGTTAGGTGGCCAATCTTTTGGCGTTTGGGTGCTCTTGGGTCGGGAGAAACTGAGCGGGAGCGTCGGTCTGACATCTTGAGGGTATTCAGGATATCCTTTACAGATCGGACAAAGTCCTTCGTCCAGCCGCGCATAAAGACAAGAAGGGACGAGGGGTATGGTCGAAGTTGGAGTCAGAATCTGTGCGTCGGAGCTTTTGTTTGGCTAAAGCTTCCGAGAATAATTTCTGTCCGGATCAAAGCCCAACGTCCCGATGGGACTTCGCCTCCTTCAAGGTCATCACACAGGTGAGTTTGTTTTTGAGTGGATATATTGGCGAGCTTTTGATTATAACTGTAACAACGCTCAAGTCCTCTCCACCCGCGAAGACCCAAGGCGTGTCCAAAGTAAAACAGATGAACTAGCTAAACTACGGACGGTATCAAAAAAGCAAGGCAGAAACCTCGAAGAGAATGTGGACGGCGAACACAGCAGAGCCAGGTATGAATCACTTGGACGATATGAAATGATCGTGGAATGCAATAATAATAGTAACCCCTCTCGTACCCCCTCTCGAAGAACCCCAAAGGAATGCGCATGTGGTGACAGTCGAGTTTGTTTATGACTTGCCAGCAGCAGCGCGCTTCTTGACCTTCTCGTCGTCCTTCTTCTCACCACCGGCAGGAGCAACGGGAGCCTCATCCTTCTTGTCGGCCTTCTTGGGAGTCTGTAGTGGTCGATCAACCCATGTACCACGGTCTAAGGATAGAAAGAGACGAACCTTGGTGATAACGGGCTTGGAGGCGTTGCCAACGAGGCCGAAGAGAGCACCAATCATACCGAAGAGAGTGAAGATAGCACCAATGATGACAGCACCGATCTCAGGCTGGGTCTTGAAGGCACCGAAGGGGTCAGACTTGGCGGCGTCGAGGAAGTCAAGGACATGGGAGCGGATCCATTCAATAGGGTCTTCCTTGAAGGAGATAGGCTCCTCAGCGTCCTCCTCAGCAGCGGGCTCGGGCTTCTTGCTGGCGGCAACCTCGAGGGGCTTCTTGATCTCGAAGGTCTCCTTGGCGAGCTTCTGAGCGTCCTCAATGGAGTGGCCGATGTACAAGTTGTCGAAGAGAATATCCTCAGTCATGGTCCAGAGCTCAATACCGACACCACCGATCTTAGGAAGGCTCTTGACAGGGGTCTCATCGAGGAAGTAGGCGGGGTTGGGAATTCGGCGAGGGAGCCAGACACCCTTGTACTCGGGATTGTCAATGAGGGGAGGGACCCACTTGCCCTTGTAGTCAGGGTTGGGCTTGTAAGGCCTAGAAGGAAAGTGAATTAGGAAGGGCGCGAATACCTAACACGGGAAACGACGTACTTCTTCCATTCACCGCAGCCAGGAGCTTCAGAGCACTTGGGGTTGGGAATAGTGGGGGGAATCCATTCACCGTCTTCCTCATCGTCCCACTCTTCGGGCTTGGTGGCGTCAGGGTCAGGGATAGTCAAAGGCTCGTCATCCAACCAGCCCTTGGGCTTCTCGGCGTCCTCGTCGATGATTTCGTAGGGAGCATCTTCGTCCCAGTCATCAGGCTATGAACGGGGATCAATACATGAATGATGAAGCGGGAACGTGTATGAACACACCTTCTTGGCGTCAGGGTCGGGGATCTTGTCCTGGTCAACCCAGTCGTCGGGTTTCTTGTCTTCAGGATCGTCAATTTCCTTGGGCGGGTTGACGGGGGGATCGAAGTCCTCGAGGAGGCTTCCAGTCTTGCTAGACTCGCCGTTGACGAGAACGTTGTAGGTGTTGTTGGGGCTGCGGGACGCGAGCTTAAGAGCCAATAATAACGTTGAAGTTAACATCGAGGCTTACTGGAGAATGAGAGTGTAGAGGTTGGTGAGCTTCTCAATGGAAGGTTGAGGAGCAGGCTTGAGGTGCTTCTCCTCAACATCACCAGTCTTGGGGCTCTTGTGGCGAACAATGAAGTGCACCTAACAGACGCCCATTCAGTAAACCGCCTTTTACGAATGGAGACAACGCACCTTTGTACCAGGGCAAGTAAGGTCAGGGCCAAACATGATGACCCAAGGAGTGGTATCAGAGAACTCCTTGCCGCTAGTCTGGAAACCGTCCTCCAAGAGCTTGAGGTAACCACCACCGCAGTTGCCTCCCTTTTGGTACTTGACTTCATACTGAACAACGAGGGGCTGCTTCTTGAAGTCGATAGGCTTGGAGAAGGCGGCAGAGATGGCGTGGTGGGCAGCCTTGCTCTTCGCAACGAGACCCTTGTCGCCTTCGATGACAGCGTCGGAAGGCTCCTCAACCTGCCACTTGCCAACGTAGCTGAAGGTCTCGCCGCCTACGGGAGTCTTCTTGGTAGCCTCAGAGGGTGTCCATCGCTTTGACCAGTCATCGGTGAACTGTTCGATGAAAGGCGCCTTGATGTTTGTGGGCTGAAACCGGTGCACCGTTAGTCCATTTGTATTGTTGAATGAACGTCGTCATAGCTTCTTACAGTGAACTGGGGCTTTGCGGCTTCAGAGCTGGCCAATGCGCCAGTGGCGGCGACTGCGAGGACGGTGAGCGATACGCTTCGCATTGTATACGAAGGACCAACAAGTACAACGAGGAGATAATTGAAAGAGGTGATGAACCCCAATTTCATACACACTCAATCCTAAATACCTTGGGCGCGCCAAACTTTGGCATACGTGGCAAGACTCGGGTTAAGGTTACACGTATCCGCGACGTTCGATGATGTTCGCCGCATTGATAGCTCCATTAGGTAGTCATACAACAACATATACGCTCGTTAAACAACACATCTACCCCAGTAAATCAGCATGTCCAGACGCCGACAGGGCCAACTATCACAGCTAAATCAGCTTGGCTCAACCCACAGAAAATAGAGACACTTACCACAAACTCATCGTCCAGATACTTGGACACGGCAATCTGGTCTCCCAGGCCCTTGCGCCTCCGAGTTTTAAGCACCAGGTCCCGTGCCAGAGCCTGACCAGAAGCCGGCTCGAGAGGTCGAAGCTTGATCGTCGTGTCCGTGGGATCACCTACACCAAAGCCACGCGAGTCAATCCCCGCACGAAGTCAAGAAGCATATCTTAATGTTCTCACCTGGGACGATGGACCAATGGTCAAACACCTGCAAGCAGAATGCTTGTCCTTGGGTCGCGGTTCGCAAGTCCGTCTCAAATCCGTTGGCATCAATGACCGGGATGAGGGCTTTCACTGTGTACAGTGGCGAACCCGCTTTGGGGATATCCTGCGTTACGTGTCCACGACGCCGAGCGAGAACGGTGTAGACCGCAGAGATGCAATCCGCAGGCGCTTGCACTTCAACGTAATACACGGGTTCAAGCAACCGGGGGGTAGCCTACACCTTCCACGTAAGTTTCTGTACAAATGTATAGAAAGAATATACTTACCATAAGGAAGGAAGAATAGCACACGCGACGAGCCGTGGGTACGATTTGTCCTCCACCTCGGAAAATGGGTTCTGCAGCGAGAGTGGTGTCGAGAAGCCTGAACTTGACATTGCGCATAGCTGCAGAAACCTAATTAGCGAAAACAGATAAAGATAGGGGAACCTAGTGGAATCTTACGCTCATCACAAAGCGGTCCTTCTCGTGCTCCCCATTGGAATCCCTGCTTGATATGCTCCTTCACCGTACCCAGCAGCTTCTTGTCGACCTACACAGAACGCAAGCAAAGCACAGTTAATGACGACGACGTTGATAGACGCGTCTTAAATTGATGAAGCGCACCTGCGAGGGTAGTGTGTCATCTAGGAGAATATTCGGCCCGCTATCATCAGGACCAAATGCCCATATTGACCGCGAAGCAAGCAAATCCCACTGGTATTTCTCTTCGAAGAACTTCCCGCGCTCCTTAGCCGTCATGCGCATATTGACACGTCCTCGTTCAATGTCCTCGGCAATACCTCGCTCTAAAGGTTCCGCAATCATCGTAATTCGATTCCTGTAAAGAGGAATCGAGATGAGCAACGGTAGAAAGATATAGAAATGCACTCTGGAAACTCACTTCTTGTTGGGCGTGTCGGCATAACATTTCAAGGCGCTGGTCTCGAGAACGGTCTCGCAGAACTTGGTAACGGGGTCCGACACCTTGATCTCGATCTCGGAGAAGAGCTTGCGCAAGTCGTGCATGACGCAATCCAGATAAAGCTCGCCAGTACCAATAAGGACGTGCTCACCACTCTCTTCCACCTTGGTGGACACGAGAGGGTAGGACTTGTTGATACTCCGTAGACCAGCAAGCATTTTGGGCAGTTCGGAGGGTGCAATGGGTTCAATAGCGATCTTCAAGACGGACTGGGTCATATGTTTGATTGGTCGGAAAATGTAAAGGTCGTCTTCAATGTCGACACCGGCTAATGTTGCAGTCTTGGTTATTGAAGCGTCCACGCCGCCAATAAGGACGAGGTTCCCAGCTGGAATCTCCTCTGCAGGAATGAAATATCTGGACCAGGGTGAGCCACGAACTCCATTTGCAATAGGACAATATTTACCTGGATTCGCATATCCAAAGATCCTCCACGGTGGCCTTCATCATGTCCTCCTCGTCCTCCGGCGAATAGCCCTCTCCCAACACCTTGATAGGCTGTCCTTTGCGCAGCGTTCCACTCAAGACACGTCCATACGCGCGGAAAGACTGCGCATCGGTCGTGTGGTAGAGCTTGGCGACTTGCACCATCACAGGGCCTTCCGGATCACAAGCCTTCATCGCGAGCGCCACTTCCGAAGTTTGAGGGCCAGTATAAGTGGATTCCACTTTGTCGGCGGCACCAGCAACAGGAGACGGGACATGCTTCACAATCATATCCACCAAACCGGTGGCAGGACCAAAGAATTGATCAAGTACAACCTTCAACAACGGTCGAACGTCCATCTTGTAAAGCACAGGTTTCAAGGTGATCCCAACGCTTCGCAAAGTCTCCTTCAATTCGTCGGCCTCCTCACTCAGGACATGGCTGTAGATCTTGTACACAGGGTTCAAGATGAATTGCACGAATGTCCGCTCGGCTTCTGGGTCTTCGGCTTTGCGAGTGAAGCGGAGTTTGCCCTTGTCCTTGTAGGAGTAGATGTCACCCCAAAGTCGATCAGCAAATGCTTTGGCGTCGAAGCCACCTATCAAAACTTCTTAGAACATGGACCACCTAGTTAGGGTTGGTACACTCACCGTAGCTGTCGGCATACATTTTAGCGAACGAGTAGAGGGTGAAGCAGTAGGCCATATCCGTGCTGGCGAAGGCGACATTGCCTCGCTCAGGGCTCAGACGCAACTCTGGGTCAGGGTCAATACCACTAGGGGTCTATTAGCTAGGTTAGATACCGCTGAGCAAATACTACCCACCTGATGAATGTGTTGATTTCTTCAATGGTGTGTTTGATCTTGTAGTACGCATCGGTGGGTTTGATTCGGAGTTCGAGGATAAGGCGGTCAATCTTGTTCACGACAAGGGTGATTTTGACGCCTTCTTGGATGGCGTGTCGGAGGATCATTTCTGTGCCGACCATAAGCTAGAGCAAATGTCAACGGAAACATCCTTGTGGTAAACGAATTGTTGCGCGCACCCCTTCAACGACGTCCACAACCAACACGATACCGTCGGCCAAACGAACGGCTGTGGCAACCTCATCGGCAAAGTTGACATGACCAGGAGTGTCGATAAAGTGGATGAGGTGGGATTTTCCTGGTGTGTCGGTGAGGATAAGGGACATGGGTGACGATTTGATGGAGATTTCTCGTTCTCGAGAGAGGACGTGTGTGTCGGTGTATCGCAGCTACCACTTTCCTTTAGTTTAGTACAAAGGGTGTCTTCAGGTTCTACTCACCGGCTTGTCCGCATCCCAGGTCATTTTATGGGTCTCGAAGACCAACATATCCATCAAAGACGTCTTTCCGTGGTGGAGATGACCAACGACAGCGACATTGCGAACCATGTCAGGGAACGCTGTCATGTTCAGCAAGAATCTATTCAACGAGATATCGATTTCAGCTCTAATGATTTACCCGTCTAAAAGGATTACTCACCCCTTGTCGAAACGCGTCTCGGGCATGTCCTTCTCCTCCACATTCCATTTCCGCACCTTCACAGGAGCGACGATGGGCTCGGACAGAGGCTGGGCATCTTCTTCCTGCACTAACGTCTCAACTCCTTCTCCATACACTTCTGAGGCTTTCGGATAGTATTGCTTATCCTCGTGCAATATAACCGCGTTATGCGTTGGAGGTTCTGCATTCAATCATTAGCGAAACCCCAGAGCGCCGAAATAAACATAACCTGCGCACCGTCGACCTCCATAGTCACGTCCTCATCTGCTTCCTGCATTCGCTCATCGTCAAATCCTTCTAATGGCGCAGCACCTCCCGATACTGTCTCCTGCTGCAGAAACTGGTTTTGCGGCTCCTCCTCATCGTCCGAGTCGAGGTCAGCGCCGATGTAGTTTCCGAACTCGTCGTAGTCGTCAAATGAAGCCATTATCGTCGAAGTCTAGTTTTCTCGTCCGAGCGAGGAAAATGGATAGGAAAATGTGGGGAAGCGACCAGCTAGACGCGGTCGAGAAAGTTGAAGCCGAAGGGATGACTTGGATGCGCCTGTTGACGCGCAACAAATTTGAAAGTCCGCAATGCTTTTCGACAAGTCTTGGCGTTGTAGGACTTTGCACCAGGATTTGCGTTTGGGAACGTCGGGAACAGCGACAACGATGCGTTAGGGTACGGTTTTCTTCTTTACAGCCTTTTCTTTCTTTGCCGCGTCTCTATCAAACTTCAATACACTTTTTTCTCTTTCCAAAAGCACCAGAAAACGCCTGGAAATTCGTTATCCGCTACGTTCACCGACTATGCGCAGACGAAAACCCTGCATCTATGGTGTTCCCGATTACGCCCTTGATTTCTAGAAAACGAGGTGCAGAAACGTGGCCAGCACACTGAGTATAAAGAAAACAAACCCGACAATGATGGCACAACTCCAGACCGACTCCTTCTCCGCGACCTCCACCACTGACTCGTTCCATACAGACGTCTACGATGACGAGCCCAGAAGGAAATGAACTCACAGCTGCGATCGAGCAACTCAAACTCGAGGGAAACGAATTGTACAAGAAGAATCAATACGAGAAGGCATCCTTGAAGTACACCGAAGCTATCGAAAAGGATCCTACGAATCACATCTTGCTTGCAAACCGAGCGGCTGCGTATCTTGCAACGAATCAGTATGTACGCTGTTCTAATCCTTTGGCGAGGTTTACAACGTATTCTGCAGATATGTGGACGCTGCTTGGGATTGTCAACAAGTGCGCGTTTGCCTGGCCCTCCAAGTTTTCTTCATGTGAACGAAAATTTCAGGCGATCGCATTGGACCCTTCGTATGCAAAAGCATGGAGTCGCCTTGCAGCAGCAGCTCACGTTCGTACCGTCCAGGCCCCTCCACCTCGAAATGCCGACTTTGATCTCGTATTCAGGCGCTGGAATTATGGGAACACTGCATAGAAGCATGGCAAAAAGCGCTCGAGTGTCTGCCTTCCGATGAATCCGCAATGACGCCCGCAGACAAGGCTGTTAAGGTGCAATTTGAAGAGGGCTTGAAAAAGGCGAAAAGTGCAAGCAGGTCAAAGGGATCAAGTTCTCGGATGGGTGTGGAGAAGACGGCTCGGAAGCTCCCTTGGACTGTTGCTAAGAGCCTGATCGAAACTGGCCAACTGGACAACAGTTCGAGTGTTGGTGAATCCATTGTATCTCCGGGGCTCGATTCTCACTTGGTTTATAGGCATGGGTTATTGGATCGGCTTATCAGGTGGGTTGAACATATGCCTTGTAACTGTTCGACTTACTAACTGGCCTACAGGAATACAAGCAGGGTCTCGACATGATCAACTCTTCCAGATTTGAGAACGGGATGTTCTACGGAAAGCCTGACGCGCTGATGAACCTTTGCAATGGCATCCTATGCGATGAACGCGTGTTCCATCTCGATAACCGCGACTTCCCCGCGAAACTCACAAGTCAATGTTCGTACATGCCGGGATTTCTACCTTGCAAAAGATGACCTACCCTGATAATCACAGGCAGATTTGAGAATGTGGCATGTAAGGGGTGGGCTGAAGAAGGCGGCCCTGACTTGGTCAAGAAAGAAGCGGTGGAACGCCTTGCAAAGGATGGCTGGAATGCAACACGACCAGCCATTGCAGTCACTCTTAGGTACATGCCCATTTAGCCTCATGTCTTCGCTTCGACTAAAGCGCCTCTCTAGGACATGGATCTTCACCGCGTACTTCAGGTCAGAACTGGCTGGACACAGGCACGCTGCCCATGAGCTCTATCTCAACGCTCTCAACGTTTTGCAATGGGGCCGCGAACAGTGGCCGGATGTCCCGAAGAACGAGAGGGGGGCTGTGTTCGAACGAAGCTTCATCCGAGGAGTCAAACGACTGAAGATGCTTAACATGCACAAGACGCTCGTTGGAGGCGTACCAGCGAACCCGCCATACACAGAAGAGGACCTGGCAGAAGTGGCTCGGGACTTGATTCAGGATGTTGACTCTGATCCTGTCCCAACTTGGGCAGAGGACATTCCTGGCCATTTCTCCGCCTCATGGCCCTACACGAAAGCTAGTGCATTGAGGTATGTATCCCACCTTCATACTCGCAGCAACAGCGCGTAATGGTTCCGCAGTATCCTCGGCTGGTACCACATGTTCAAGGCATCCGAATCTGAGGAAGAAAACGAACGAATCGACCACAACCGTCAAGCAGCAGACCATTACCAAGAGGCCGCCGACCTCTACTCCCTCGACGACGAAAACCACCCCTATTTCCTGTGTACAGCCCTCGACTGTCTGAACAAAGTCAACGCGCCCTTGAACGAAATCGTCCCCCTCTGCAAAGACATCAGAGACGCCATTCCGCAGGCGTTGGCGATTTGGCAAGTTTCGAGTGCCGCTGCCGCACTGCCCTTGATCAAGAAAGAGATTACAGAGTTTGAGTTTAAAGTCATCATGGGTCTGGTTAAGGGTGAATTGACGATGGACAGTGTTGTCAAGATGGATCCTATCGCTCCAGCGAAGATGTCTGAGGGTGGAAAGTCGGCTGGTAATTCGAAGGACACAAAAGAAGCCAAATAAACGTACCGTCTCGTTATGCCTGTATTACGACGATACAACCAGTGTTACAATCTGCCGATTAGCGTTTATTTCAACCGCGGAATTTGTGTTGCTTGGCGATGTGGCTTGACGCGGCTCTCCGACTCTTGCGCTGTCATTTGATTATTCGGAACTGGAAGGTAACATAAATCAGGCTAGATAATGTACGCAATTTCTCGGAATTTGCAAGGATTCCAAGGAAACACCACCTCCCTATGTCAAAGTAAGTAGATCTCCCCATTCATTTCTTAGGCGAAGGTGTGTAATGCCGCATACCGGGCTTCTACGACCTAGGGTCTTCTAGCCCATCCTATGGAAACGCCGGAGGCAAAGCAACGACCGATTCCAACGTCTCCTCCCCCGCTTTGATGGCCTTCTCGCGAGCTTCAATGAATCCCTCCATCTCTCTGTCCCATATTTTGATCCTGAAGCCGAATGACCCCATCTCCCAGATCTGTAACACCCCAGGAACAACCTCCCTAAAGCGCTTGCAAAGAGGCAGAATCTCCTTCAGCGGTGCTCCAGCCTCGGGAAGGCATTCCAAGGCGACCCGTAGGCAGTATAAATACTGTTCGTCGTCGACCGGGTGTATCTCCGCTGTCTCCAAGTAGTACTGCCCAGCTCTCCTCAGAGTGCGAATTCTTCTATCTCTCTGTGCTGGGCCCATAGCACGTCCGAATTCCGCGTTGATCCATCCAAGGATACTAAGCGCGCTTCCTTTGGGCCTCAACCAATGTAGTTCGTAATGACCTGATATATCCGTTATGATTTCCTGTGAAGCGGGATCTTTGACCACGTCTTCGATGAGGCTCTCCGCACATCTAGTCACGTTCTGCTGGGAGAAGGACGAACGCTTGCCCCAGTTGGCACTGAATTCCTTCAAAGGTGTTAGTTCGTCCCTCAACCAAAAAGTGCAAACTCACCGTAAACATATTCTCCAGCTTGAGGCGCTTGATGCCACGGATGAAAGACAGCTCAAAGATGGCTCCTCGATCACCTCTCGGAACGTCAGGCCACTGTTGGCGTCCCCAGTCGCACAGATCCAGAGCTCGACCGTAGAAATCATCAGCCAAAAGTCTCTGGTTTGTCGCCGGGTCTGACCGGATGTATGCGGTGAAAATCCAGGCCCTGGTAACATATTTAAGTGAAGGGCTAAATCAATCTAGTCGCGAATTGAGATTACCTCACTGTGGCAGCAATTGCGGGTCTGACAGTGTCCCAGCCTTCCTTGTCCAATCTCTTCAATATCTCTTCCTTCACAGTCTCGTTGTGCGCTACATCATACCAGCCTTTTCTTTCAACACTCTCCAAAGTTACTGAGTTGAATTCGTCAGTTTGCAATGGATTGTCAGAGAAGGATACACACTTTGGTGCTTGGCTCTGCGGAAGAAGGATGTATCTGTGATATGGAAGACTCTCTCATCGCCAACTATTGCATTTGTCAAGCCTTCCATCCCTTGCTGAAAATTTGGGAAGGCCCTCAGAGGCGTAGTGACAAGAGCTGTGAGAGAGACACTCACAACCAATCCTTTCGCAGCGATGTTACCTCCAACCTCCGCGTATATCATGGCATTCAACTTATCCATGCCATTTTTCCAGTTCTGTCGGACGAAACTTAGTTGTGAATAGCTAGGATATATATAGACGAGTGTACTCACCCGATAGGAGTTCATCAGGCCCTTGGCCTAAACTCCTTTGCAAGGCGACCAGGTGTTTCGCAGGGACGATGGAACTTACACTGGAAAGACCACCTCGAGCTCTAATCTGCGGGAATAGAGCAATTGCTCTCATCCACGGCGCCTCTTCAGGCGCAAAAATCCTTCCGCTGCGTGCAATCGGGGCAGTCCTGGCCTCTTTGGCCTTCTTCAGTCCTTCCTCGAATTGAACCTTCATAGCTCTTTCCGTGGGTGTCATCGCAGCATTGGTTTTGGGCAGGCACTCCAAAGCACGGTTCCATGCTTCGATTGAGCGGTCCCACTTGCTTAGATGCTTGCGGAGGTGTGAATCGAGCGAAGCACAGGCAATGCAAGCAAGGTACATACGTGACTTGCCATCGCCAACCTCACCCAGCCTTTAGCATACATCGGGTCAATTTTCACTGCCTGGGTGATATTGTAGAGTTCAAATTTACGACAGATTGTGATTTACACTCACATGTTCAGCATCATTCGTGGCCTCGATGTAGCTAGACAATTCCTCGTGTCAACATCGTTCAAGGAGAGAACCACGTCGCGAACCAGGTCAACGCACTTCTTCTTGGCTATGCAAGCTGCTGTGCGATTGGCATACAAAATGGCATTTTGGGGGTGTTTCTTAATAGCCTCTGTGAAATGGTGGATGGCTGCATCGTGTTCACCCCGAGCAAAGTGTTCGTTTCCCCTGAGCTTCAGTTTCTCTGCTGCCAGCACCAGCTGCTTCTCAGACTCGGAGTCGTCAACCATCGTGCGTTATTCAGGTGTGGATGTCGGTTATTCCAAAGGCAACGCCTAACGGAGGACGGGGTGTGGCGGCGGAGCAACAAGGTGGTGGCGAAGTTCAAAACGGAAGTGGGTCATGGTGGTGTCAGATCCAAGGTCTAAATCCGAGTCGCAGTCAACTTCAAACTTTCGAATGTTCTTTGTACATGTTCTAACGAAACGGCGCTCATTTGTAGATAGATTTTACCTGGGTGTCACGGGTTGTACCGAAACCACCACGACACATCAGGGTCGCGCCAGGGTCTAAATATTAGCACCACACCACGCGTCGACAAACCCGTTCGAACTTGAAACCGTTCTTGCCGCGTGTTTTTACGTGTAAAACGGGGTTGGCATAAAACGAGGGCATCCCACTTCTCAGCCTGAAAGTCCACATCCGACACATCCACCGCCTGGAGACAACTCTTACCATGGCTGAACAGACTGGAGACGATCTTGCCCAAGTCGTAGAGAAGCTCAAGGCTCAGGGAAACGAGCATTACAAGAACGGAAAACATGACGAGGCCATTGACTACTATACAGAAGCTATCGAAAAGCAGCCCAACGCGATCCTTTATGCTAACCGCGCTGCCGCTTACCTTGGTTTGAAGCGGTTCGTCCAGCGCACTATGGCCCTAATTAACCCTGATGTTGGGTTGCAGCTATACCGACGCTGCGTCCGACTGTGAAAAGGTCTACACACTCCCATCGTTCACTCTTTCGGGTTTTGGCTTACCAGAACGATTGATAGGCCGTGAAACTCGATCCGACCTATGCCAAAGCTTGGGGAAGACTGGGAACTGCCGCTCACGTCCGTTAATATTCACTTCACTTCAAACGGGAAAAGTCCAGCTAACGGCTTTCTAGGCGCTATGTGAATGGCCACGTTGCTTGACTGCTTGGAATAAAGCCATCGAATGCTTGCCCAGTGATGCAGCCCTAACACCCGCCCAGAAGGCAATGAAGGTCCAGTTTGAAGACGGCCTGAAGAAGTCTAAAACTGCAAGCGTCACGAAGCCCTCGACTTCGGCGTTCGCTTTGCCTGAGAAAAACGTCGGTGCAACACCATTTGGTCGAGCTCTCGCGCTTCACGAAGAGCTCAAGGCCCGTGGCAAGATGAGCAGTGTAAGGGAATGGATTGCTGTTTATCTATTTCGTTCTGACTTGAAGAAAAATAGGCATTTGCGCTGGTCACTGCTTACGAAGTGAGAGCGGTGCTTTTATACCCTGTTGGAAGGTCGCTCATCGTTCATGGTAGGAATGGGTCGAAGGAATAAAGAAGGTGAACAATTTGCAAAAGGTCACAGTGCCAGGGAAAGGGCCAATGATGCGCGTGGAACATGTACGTCTCGCTCTTCCTCATCCTGTTTCTATTTCTTCAACCATTCTACAGGCCCTCGAGCCATTGACCAACGCATTGCTCAGTGACGTCCGCGCCTTCCATGTTACAGACCCGAACTGGATTCAAAAGTGTGAAGACCAGTGTCAGCATTACATTCCCTGTTTCCTCGGCCAGGATGAACTAAAGACTTGCTTCTGTTAGGCAAAGCCGAAAATTTGAGCAAAGGCGGGTGGGCTCACCGGTCGGACAGTGTCGATCACATCAAAGAAGACATCGTGAAGACTGTGGCCGAGAAAGGGTGGGACCATGCCAGGCACGCGATAGCAATCACGGTCAGGTGCGCTTTATCTATCGGTTGGGAGTTGGCATTCGTTGACCTGGAACTGTACAGGGTCTGGATCTTCCTCGCCTTCCTACGGACCTCGATTGTCCACCAGAGAGAGTTCGCCCACGACTTCTTCACTCGTGCCCTGGAGATCTGCCAATGGGGACGCATCCGATGGCCCAACGTTCCCTCAAAAACTAGAGGAACCGTCTTCGAGCGCACCTTCATCCGAGGCATCAAGCGCCTGAGACTACTGAATATGTTCGAGGTAGGACCTTGCTATTCCTTCCCAATTCTTCCTCGCTAATCGACATGCAAATTAGGAATTCGTCGAGAAGGACGGACCTTTTACTCCAGAGGAACTAAAAAACTGCGCCGAAGACATCCTTGAGGATGTTGACGGGGATCCTCCCTCCGAAGAGTTCAAGTCGCACTCTGCTGCAGCCTTTGCCTCGTTCTGGACCTACCCCAAAGGAACAGCACTAAGGTTCGACCCTGAACTCATTTCGACTTTCTATTCTTTGCTTATTATTTTGCCTTCAAAGCGTCCTCGGATGGATGTGCCGCGAAATGGCTCGAAATGTATCAGACGACAAGCACAGAGACACGTTCAGGGAGCAGGCTTTCGTCTATTACTATACCGCCGCCGGCCACTACGCCGAAGATGACGAACAACACGTCCAATTTCTTCGCGTCTCTCTAGATTGTCTCTTCGAAGTCAAGGCTCCGCTAAAAGCTACCCTTCCGATTGTTGACAAGATTCGAGAGGCCGTTCCTGGAGTGCTCAAGATTTGGGAAATGGGGAGCATCGGCTCACACTTGGCGGCGTGGAACACGGAGCTTGAGGAATTCAGGAGAGCGCAGACCGAGGCTATTGCCGAGGGCAGGGGAACTCTCGATACAGTTGCTACTCTGACCCCCACTCAAATTACGGCCCAGTTTGACGATCCCAGGTTCCGTCCCGTCGAACTCCAAGCCATTTAGTATTACCAGATCCACCTGCAAATAGGCACATGGTGTCGCCCTTTAGTCGGGAACACTGCACACAAAGATATTTTAGAACTTACTTAACTGAAGCGAATATATACTCCTCTTCTATCATCAATTGTCCCCGGTGTACATACACGGATCCAAGGTAACATTGGGCGTCTAATCGGAGTTGAAATAATCTGATGTCGTCAATCCATCAACGTTCCCATCGCCAAGGATTTCGACTGCTCTTCATCATCGACCACCACCATCGAATCTCACCATGTCTTCACTCTCAGACGAGACACTCAGAAAGGTATTCACCTAGACTTTACACCTTGAAGTCAAAGAGGCTCAGCAATCGAACAATCAACTCGTCTAGATCCTGGTGCAAATCCAACAAACCGCAATTCAATCGAAGCGCGCTCTCGATCTGTCGGTGCAGCAAACATCAGCAAAGGAACGTGAACGAAGGATCCTACAGCTTACCATCGATGAAATCAGCCAAATTCCTGGAGACATCAGAACGTACAAAGGCGTTGGAAAGATGTAGGTCGCCCGCCTTGGGATCCTCGTGGAATGAACTCTGATAGTGTGGTTGTGCATTCCCCAGGTTCATGCAGGTCCCCCGTAAAGAGATGGAGCAGGAATTGAAGGGACAGGAGAAGGAATTGACAGACGACATTACCAGTCTCAACAAGAAAGTACGTCGGCGCATTCCTACTCGTCCGTTGCCGTTGCTGATACGCCATCCTAGTCGAAGTACTTAGAGAAGCAGTTCTCCGACGCGCAATCACAGCTACGGGATATCGTGAGTAGACTGAAGTTAGTGGTCTCCGTATATTCCCTGATTCTGTTCTCCAGTTCCACAATGCTCCCAAAAACCAGTAATCGCTCAAGCTTGAGGCAGTGGGGCCTATGGGCATCGCCGTTATCCACGCAAAGGGGTACACACAGTAACATTGGGGAACAAAGGGCGATAAGAGTGAAGATTCCATGGAGTAATATTCAAACGTATGATTCATGCAGTGATTCTAATAATCGTGTATACAGACAATGTTTCCAGATAATCCGGCCAGTCATGTCTTTGCCTTACATCCCACGTGTTCATGGGCCATCGGTGCCAAAGTCTACCTGCCCTCCTCCCTGAAATTCATTATGCCAGTTGCAGTCCTCTTGTCGTGGGTCGGACACTCGGAACCTTCCCCTGAAGCGAATGACACTGGCAACAATTGTTTCAATTCAGATCGCTTGACTATGGCATGCAGCATAAATAGTGTGTGCTATCCGATGGAGTATTATGGGCGATATAGGTAATGGAAAAATGCGACTGTTCTAGCACTATATGATAAATAGATGGTTGAGCATGAGCATCCGGGACAATGGCCGGAAGATGATGGTGAGCAAACAGTCCACAGTCTATGTTCGTATATTCTTCGTTAACGGTCAGTTTACCGCTTCGCGTATCGCAGGAATCGTGAGGCAATGATAGTTCCAATCAAATTGAACACTGCAGGGAACCATTCAGTGTCGTTACAGGCAATGAAGATGTGGACAACATACCGAAGAATGAGAACACGATGAACGCGTCTCTCCAGCGGTTCTCGAATCGAATGTTCAGAGGAACGAAGAACTCGTCTCCAACCTTGTACTGGCAATAGCGACAAGCGATGGTGTCCAAGGGGTTATCGAGGTATCCACCAAATCGATCCACAAACTCTTGAGCCCAGCTTGCGCAAGTCTCGCCCGTTGGAGGGTTGAAGACAGCGAATTCGTCCGGCTTGCACTTGATCGCAAGTCCGCTGTGATGCAACGTTAAGCCTCCTTTCTCTCATCTGAAATCACGGTTTACTCACTGAAGTTCAGTCGAAAGCATCGCGGCAAGGGTACGCGTGTAGGGACTGAGGTGGTAGAGCCACGATCGCCAGAAGGGTTCCAAAGCAGGGTAAGGAATGGTAACGCCGCAGAACGTCGAGAGCACCAATGAAACCGAGGGGATGGTGAGAACTGCAATCTGGACGTCTGGACAGAGGGCAGCGATAAACTGGCCCAGGGAAACACCGAACAGCACGACGAAGAGGATGATGAGGAATTGGAAGCCGGTTCCGTCAAGGCCTGCTTCGCCTTGGCCGAATCCAGTGGGGTACACCTATTAAGGGATTAGATACACCAACGTGGAGAGGATTAGCGCGAACGTACCATCAGGACCCAGTACAAGAGGGCACAGACAACGGAGTAAGGGAACTCGCCCAATAGCTGTCCGATGGCAAAGACGTAAGGGGAGTAAATGCGACTCGAAGCTTCACGAATGAAGATCCCTGTAATCGAAAGGTCAGATACAGAATCCAGGATAAGGCAACAAGTCCCTTACTTCGGTTAGCGATGAACGAGGGGATGGTTTGTGTGAGTAGAATAGCGGGCAACACAGCGGTCCAGAAACTGGAGAGAATAGGTAAGCATCGGCAGCGTCTGCAAGTTTAGAAGCACTGACATTGAGAAGACCCTGTATTGCAGGTCGCGAGAGCTGTTGCCCAATTGAAGGAAAGAGAGCGAGATGAAGAGAGAGATGAAGCTGCAGACGAAGAACCTAGTGAAGATATAATTGGGAGTCCTCCACAAGAGCAAGGTGTTCCTCTTGGCAACCTCTCGCAATTGAACGAAGAACGAGGTGGCATCTGGAAGCGAGGTCAATTACACACTCAGCGCCAGGTGTCAAAAGTGGCTTACATGTCCTGGTATCTGCCTTGGCAGGCTCCGGTCGAGACAATCCTTCAGCCTTGATCTGTTCGATCTCAGCAAGGACTTGCTTGAACTCTGGAGACTCGAGCCAGATGTCCTTCCAATCCTTGTTTCCGATCCTTGGCGCAACACCGGCTCCGATGGCTTCAAGCATGTATTCGGCAGGGTTGACGTTGGCAGGGCAGTGGGCGCCATGTCTCGCGAAGTAGTCACGGATGGTCTTTGAATCCTCGCCGATCTCGCCAAAGTATACGGTCTCTCCACCACGCTCAAGCAACAAGAGACGGTCGAAGCTTTCAAAGAGCAGCGACGAAGGCTGATGGATGGTGCAAAGGATGGCTTGTCCCTGGTCGGCGAGTTTGCGAAGGAAACGAACAAGATTCCAAGCGCTGTGATCCGGGAGTCATTACCACGCTCAATAGATACCATGGAAAGTAAACTGACCTTTGTGCATCCAATCCAGAGGTAGGTTCGTCCAGGAAGAGTAGCAACTCGGGCTTGCTAGCAAGTTCAACGCCAATGGTCAATCGCTTGCGGGACTCGACGCTCAGACTGAATACAAGAGCATCGGCGAGATCCGTGAGTTCCAGGAGCTCGATCATCTCCTCTACATAGGCGTCCTTTTCTTCCTTGGGCACACTGCTTGGTTGACGGAGGTAGGCCGAGAAGCGCATTGCTTCGCGAACGGTCGCGGTTCCCTCGTGGACGTCCATTTGTTCGGCTAGTCATAAGGTAAGCAATGGGAACTCAATCGATAATGCGAAGTCTGTACTAACCATAGGCTGTACCACGTGCGAAGTCGAGAGGAAGGGGGCGTCCGTCAACAAGAATGTCGCCGGACACGACACCGATGTTCTTGCGTTGGGCGAGGACATCCAGACAGGTGGTCTTTCCAGCTCCACTAGCACCCATGAGTGCTGTCAAGGTACCGGGCTTGACATAACCATAGACATCGTGAAGAAGGCGAAGGCTTCCACCCGGAGAGGGGACATGGTAGTTGAGACGCTCCCAAGTAAACGCCCGGCCTTTGTGGACAACCTCCTTGGACCTATCCAAGCTGATTAACCAGGCGTTCGGAAGTCACTTGATTCTAGCACCAACCTCTCCTTAGCCTCAAGAGCCTCCCCTTTCTCCTTCAGCACGTCGCGCTGCTGCTTCCTTTCACGCTGAGCTTGGTTCAAGGCCTTGGTCTCTTCGCTTTCACGAATAAACACGTTGACGGTGGGCGTGTAACCATATTGAGGGTAGAATTCGAGAGCGATGAATTGCGCGAGTTGGAAGAAGATGAAGAAGCCGATCAGAACGGTCAGGTTCAGGCGCCAAAGGTTCGCAACGTCCAAGTCATATCCGACTTTGAGGTAGTTCGTGCCTTCGATGATGTTGTTTCCACTCGTAGCTCCGAAGACAGTGCAGGCCTGATTCGGACCGAGGTTGTCACTGTGAAGGGGTGTCGTGTCAACACGAGGCAAAAAGATTCGGACGAAAAGGAACAAAACCTACGGATACTTGACAATTCCAAGGCCGTTTCGGGGAATGACATAGTTTCCGTCACACGTAAACCTCAGTCGCATAAACTCGTTTTCCATGCATGCTTGCCAGGCTACGGGCGGAGTCAGTAATCAAAACTCGTCAGGGTGATTAGGCGGAATAACTAACCATATGACAAAGGATTCACATAGTACTGGACACGAGTGAGTATTGCAAGGCCGCCCGAAAGAACAGTGGAGCACTTACAATCCAGAAGAGCCATCGTTTCATGTCAAGGACAGGAATGGTGTAGCCACAATATTGGATGCTAAGCAACAATCAGTAACGTGAAGGACAGATAACAATCGCTCGGACTCCACTCACAAGTTCGGGATGAAGAATACGCCCAGCCTGAAGGCGTGGTTGAAATCGAAGCAGATCAAGCCGAAGGTCCTGAAGAAGCTCTGCATGACCAAGAAACCCACATAATTGAAGAGGTGGAAGGTGAAAAAGGCGCCGGCGGAGCGGTGCAGTCCTGCCATGAAGTAGACGATGATGTTGAAGATGAGGATTCGGACAGCAGAGAAGGGGATATCGGCCAGGAGATTTGCAGCAGAAATCGCTGAAGCTCGGTATAGGCTGTACTCCGTCTGATGCAGAATAGAAATTAGCGCCGAGGCCAAAGGTGACGAAGGGGAAATGACATACCTGCTTACGAAGGATGGGTCGGCCCATCATCTGAGTTGGCATTTCATTGAAAGCTTCCAAACATGTGGTTAAGAGAGCTGCGAAGATGACACTGAAGAGATGAGATGATGAGTATCGCGCAAAGCAGTCACGGGAGAGAGACGTACCTTCCACGAGTGAAAGCTCCAGCCGAGGTAGCAGGGAGATTGAAGTAGGCACCGCCAAGGACTAGAGCCAGAGCGATGGCGAGTGAGAAACTGGTGTACAGTTGGAACCTGTCCTGAAGCCGCATCTGGAACTGTCGCTTGGTCAACGCCCAAACCTGACCGGTGTATCCAAGGGTATATGGGCTGTTCTTCGAGACGCCTCGTTTCTTGTCAGCGGCAACAGCTTCGCGGAAAGCCTCTTGGTCTGCCTTCTCCGTAGCCATGTATGCCTTGTAGCGTTCGACTTCCTCCGTGTTCTGCTTTCCGAATTTGGACTGACGAAAAGCGTTCTCGAGGGCCTCTGGAGTTGACGGGGTATCCCTTGCCGATCGTCCAGGGGCGAATTGGCGCTCATTAACATCGGTGCAGCCAGTGAGATAGTCGGCCGTGGTTTGACGAGGGAGAGGATTATAGCCCAGATCCTCGAAATACGCCCGGGCTTCCGACGGAGATCCAAAGAAGACTTGACGACCTTTGTCGATGAGGAGAACCTTGTCGAAAAGTTGATAAATGCTCTCGCTAGCTTGATACCTGTTACAAAGCGACGTCTTGTCAGTAGTATGCCGGAGGGATTGTATGAGCGCAACTGACAAAGAAACAAATGTCGTTTGACCAAGGACGTCCGTCATGACACGGAGACTGCGCACAAAGTCTAGAGCGGTGGACGCGTCCAAACCTCGCGTCGAGTTGTCCCAGCTTTGGACACGAGCACGGGTGGCCATCATTTCAGCAATGCTGACTCGCTTGCGCTCGCCTCCTGAAACCCCTCGAACGAATTCGTTTCCGACCAGCGTGTTTTTGGTGTGCGGGATGTTCAGCATGCGAAGAAGAGTATCTTCGACTTCACGATCGAATTCCTTCCTCGACAGGCCAGGCAGACGACCATTGGGACCCGGAGTTTTACTAATCTCATGTGGTCAGTTCAATATGGTGGTGTGATTTGGAAGGAGGAACTAACGTAGATAGAGCGAACCGAAGGGTCTGCCCTACGGTCAGGGTGGGGATGTGGATGTCATCTACGGGATAACGTTAAGATCGCGATCACTGCTAATGAATGAAAGGGAGCCGACCTTCTTGATTATATACCACCTCTCCCTTATAGTACTTTTGCATTTCCGCGGCATCGATACCAGCGTATAGGACGTTTCCGGAGACCTTGGCGAATTCCTCGCGTTTGTTCGCGATGGCCTTGAGGAATGTCGTGCAACCAGAACCGGGGCACCCCAACACGAGGCACATTTCTCCAGGCTTGAGCACACCTGACGCCCTGGGAGTCACAATGTTTAGAAGGGAACATGATTGTGGCGTTGAAGAAACCTACTTGTGAATGATAGGCCGAGTGTGAACGCCTTTTGCCTTCGCAGGGAGCAGGGGTTTGATTAGTGCCAATATCCAAAAGAGCGGAGCCAGGAAGAAGTCCAGAATAGCGTCTGCGAAAGATGATCAATACTTCTGTCGCCGATGCGTACTCCTGAGATCCACCCACTTCCAAGTGTTGGAACGTAGAGCTGTGGGGTAAGGAAATGTCAGAAACATCGCCATTCGAGCTACAAGCGAATTGGTACCCACCTTGTTCCCCGAGTTTTCCTTTACTTCGACCTGGAGATCCTCCCAAACCACTCCAACGCGCTATTCCTGCTGTCAGAACCGGAGACCGAGATAGATGCATACCACCTTACTTTGTGCTTGATTCCAGCGCGCTGGTTGGCATCGTTGGAAGATGTAAGGTATTCTCGCAAGTCAAAGACTTGGCCGTCGTCCGAGTTGGCGGCCTCGACGTCGGTGGTTTCTGTGCTCAACTTTTTCGAAACGCGTTTTACATCGCGCTGAGAGTGAGATGTGAGTTGTCGGGAAAGAGCGTTGAACTCTTCTTCTGCTTGAGCTACAACATCATCTGTAGGGCGGTGGCGGGTGATCGAGAGGTCGCCAGAAGAAGCGGGGTCGCCGTTGAGGGTAAGGGTATCCGCTGGCGTGTTCGCCATTGGGCAAGGGGGCACTCTCGGTGAACATCTCGTTTCTCAGCCCCGTCCTTTAAGGAAAAATCGTCATTCGGTGTAGCCGGGGGTAATTGACAAGATCTGGTAAGATTCTGTTCAAATCGTTTGTCGAGCTGAATAAGACCCATCAGCGGGACCAATAGCCCCATGATTCCCAAACGCGATGCTCGTATCTCCGACGCCAACCACGCTTGCACAACGCCGTGAGCTGCGCCAAATTGCGAGCACGCAAAGGCAGTCGCTACAAGGTATTTCCTACTTTTTCTAGCCTTGATTCCTACAGCGATGCTAACATATTTAAATCCTCCTCTGTCCTGTTGTCCGTGAATTGTAACAACTATGTTCAAAGCAAGGTCACTAAGATTGGTCAATTATTTTACGATAAGGGTTGAGCTGACTCAACCGCAGGTTCTGTGGAACCGACAAGGTACCGCCGTGCCCGTTGACTCTTTTGAGTGGGTTTGAAAGCAACGTCCAAACACCACGGGGAATTCATTGAAGTTGCCGTGGAATGATGAAGCTATGCCGGTTGGCAATGGTGCCCACTATGTTCAGGGGATGCTCCCTTCCGTTCGTGGCCCATAGGCTACTCTGTATAGTGAAGGTTGATCGTCAGTTATATCATCGAATGGGACCGGTCACCGGTGAAATATTCGAAGGCTTTCCGCCAAGACCCGCCAAGACCTGGCGCGGGACGTCGCCTCCGTGCAGACACGCGCTTCTCACAACTTTAGCGACATGGAAACCACCTCACAGGGGTTAGGAGGCTCCGGAGAACAAGTGCTGGAAAGCGTTGGAATGTGGTCGAATTGAAACTGTTTCCAGACGGTTCGGACTAGGTGAAGCCAAGCCATTTCAATTTTGCGGGACTTCGGATGAGTTCAGATCTAGAATCTGGGTCGCCGTCGACGCGTATACAATTGCCGACAGGAACGAGCCTTTGCGCTGACTCCCCCTTCCAATTGAGTATCGACTGGAGTCACAAATGGGCGCTTGGTCAGATTGCTGTACACCAGAACCGGCGAATGGAACAGAAAACATTTGAATGCAATGCGACTGGAAGGGTGCACCAGAGGAGCAGATCCACATCCCCTGATTGCATTGGATTCTAGTCATTCGAGTTGCCCGTTACGCGAATTTCGGAGGATACTTCATCTGATACGTAGCATCGCGCAATCAATGTATCACTGAAGATGTTACTGTCATTATGCAATGAAACACACTCTCGGCCTCCTCGCTCTTAGAAATCCGCTTCGGGGCCAGCTGCGAGATACACGTTGGGACCAGCATTGTCATCTCGCGCAATGTATGCACCGAAACTTAAAGCTAATATAGTATTGCACGGCAAGTAGAGCTGACGGAAGCATCGAGTCATGTTGTGGTCGTTATCTTTCCAATCGTACCTGAGTGCAATGCTTCACATTACCTCGCCTCGCCGGAAGGAGTTACAAGGCAGAAAGGAGCTCGCCGTGGTCTATACCGCTCGAGCGCCCGCTTTATCAGACATCTTCTGGAATAGATTTCCATCCGGTATTACGACAATGACCATGACGAACTCCTCTCTTTCGTCTGAATCACCGGGGGAAGTGACTCGAAGGAATGCTACCAGCTGGAGTATCGCTAATTATAGGTAGCACGCCATCTGACTTCCCGGGCCTTTCGCATAATATGTCGTATATAAGTGAAAGTAATATCGCCTTTCGAGGCGCATTTAGAATTGAATGGCACTGGCTGCCGCTCGATCCTCGCAACTTGAATGCTTGTCTTAATAGCCCTCTTGACCACTACCCTGGAAAGCTAATGACACAAGTATCATAACACCACGGCTAATCAAGGATGACTACCATATATGTGGTACATTCACTGAAAGAGTGGAAAGTTTAGGGTATGAGGGAAAAAGAGAGCGATGTGCGAGGTGGGATTAAAAGTTCATCCATCAAATCTTTTAGGACTACCTGTAGTAGCTTATTAAAGTTGTTACAGCTCCACCGTTACCGTGAGATCAAAAACAAGGGAGCACCGCAGCGTCACGAGTTTACCTAGATCTATGATCCCAGCTGTAGCAGACATCCTGAAAATTGCGGCACCCATGCGGCAAGCGCTCGTAAGTCTCTAGGCGCCGAAAGGTGAAAGCGTGGGAATGTCGGGTGATCCGAGGCGGCGGCGGGCGCCACTAGTGATCTACCCGGGTCTGCGGGTCTGCCAGCACTCGCTATCTTGTCCACCGTCTCCTTGCCCCAAGCATCTTCCCCTCAATAGACGCCTTGAAGCATCCGTTCTCAATCTATGCCGATCATTGCCACTGATGATACACATTACCTGTGATACAACCTTCACACCTCACATTTGGTGACTAGTTGGTCGCCAAAATCCCACTCATACGAACAGGTTACGAAGATGCTGTTGGTTTTCTCGACGTCTCTATACTTGGAACGCTTTCGAGAAACAAGGGTCCATTCTCTCTGTCCAACAGACAACACTTCGAATCCCGACCCTTCCCGATGTCTTGTAAAGCTGCAGTTAATCCACCATAAGGCTTTAAAACAGATTTGTTTGCGGCCAACACATCGACATATCGTGCACACCGCTCTCAATCATCAGGTAACGCGAATAACCTTTCTCGCTCAGTTTGACTCCACGTCTGCCACCCGCGCGAAGCCCTTTTGCCTTGTTTGCCGTCGGATCTAGAGAGCTCCGTCCTCTCATGAAATGCCATACCACCCCTCAAGCGGAAAAATTTCAAGTGTTCCGTCAGGTCGACAGCTGAGCGTCGAACAAGAGAAGTGACATTTAGGAACAGATCAGTAAGTGCGGTAGTGCGGCCTTCGAGTTGATCGCTCATGCATGGAACACAGAATCATGCTCTTTGCACCCGCCCTGGTGGTGCATCCCCGCCTGGTTGGTACACATCTGGGTGTGGCGGCCAGCCATGGGCCAAACTCGGAAGATCTTCTTCCACAATCGCGCACCCAGCACCTCCCCCGACTCCAACCCCATGCATGTCGAGAATGAAAACGGAAGATACCTTCTGCAATCAGGCTCGACAGAATCCGACATGTTCTTTAATTTACATGGGAAGAAGAAGAAAGGCATGTCGGCTGCCCTATCAAGTCGAAGATGGACAGTTGGCCCTGAGGCTAACATCTCACGGGATGTCAATCTGGACTTCGACGCTTCTTTCGCAAACCGAAACTTTACAGTATCTTTTGTATTTGATTCAACCGCTACAAATACTAATGGATAGACGTTCTTTTGATTCCTTCATCGCCCCCTTCTGGCCTTCCTTTCTAGCCTGCCCGTCATGTTCCCCTCCTCCCCCTCCTTGGCGATCTGGATTCTAGCCCTGTTCACAGCTTCCGCAGTGAACGCGCGACCTGAGAACTGGGGTAAAACCAAGACAGAGCCAGCGTGGACGCGACCACATGAAGTTTCATCGTCGTTGGCCCCCGCGGACCCTTCAGTGCAGCCACCCGTAGAAACTCCCGTGTTGCCACCTAGTGGCTCTTCACCGCTGCCTCCTGCTGAGTCTCCAGTTCAGCCCCCAGCTTCGCCATCTATCCCCGTCTCTGCTGGTTCCTCTTCAAGCTTCGCGCCTCCCCGCCCCACCAACCTCACTCCCGGAGTAAAGAATCCCAAACGAGGTCTGGCGTTCGCTGCTAGCAAGTCCCCTATGGATATCCACAACGCGAACCAAACCGCGTCTCTCATCTCATGGCAGTACAACTGGGCCAACATCCCTCCTGCCTACCTCGCGACTTCCAACATCCCGTTCGTCCCAATGCAATGGGGCAGCGGGGCGATCGATAACTTTGTCGATGCTGTTAGAGCTCAAGGTGCAGAGGTGGTGCTAGTGAGTTTGTTCTGCACATTGACGTCTCCGTCCGTTGATTAATGCAACCTTAGGGCTTTAACGAACCTGACTACGACCGTGAGGCAAATATGGATCCCGAACAGGCCGCTAGTCTCTGGATGTCCTACATCGAACCCCTCAAGCAGCATGGTGTGCGACTTGGTGGGCCAGCCGTTACATCTGCAGGAACAGGTCGCCCCTGGTTGAGGCGGTTCTTCCGAGAGTGCTCCAGACTCCAGTGCACGATCGACTTCCTCCCTGTTCATTGGTAAGTTTAGTAGTGGCTGATGCTATCTATTCCCAAAAGGACTATAACTAACGAAATTATTTATCGGATCAGGTATGGCTTCGGGATCACGGGTTTCTATGATTATCTGTGGTCGATCCATAACGAATTCCCAGAGTACCCCATCTGGGTCACCGAGTACGCAGATATCTCCAGCAACGACGCAGGTAAGCGCCTTTGCCAAATTAATATTTGAGTACGTGGGTTATTGACATCGTATATAGAGGTTTACAATTTCATGAATGCGTCTATACACTACCTCGATGAGTTGGAATGGGTCGAAAGATATGCTTGGTTTGGCTTCTTCGTAAGTGGCCTAATCATTAATCAATCCGTCAATGGCTTCCTTTTCTCATACACTTTTCCATCCCTTCCAGCGTCCTGAGCCTGATGTACACTATAGTGAGTGCAAGGTTACCATTCCCCCGATTCCATCGTGTCTTACTCTATGCATCGTAGACATGCTTCGCGCGGACGGCGGACTCAACGCGTTGGGAGAGTTATACATCGGCGCTGAGACAGTGCACACCCATGTTATCGATCCATTCGCGGGTTACAAAACCTTTGACGGCGCCGACTACGCAGGGCAACCTATCATCACGACTTTCCCTGCACTTTACGGCGCCGCACATTGCAGGCGGGCAGTTTTTGGACAAGGCGGTCTCACCTTACTCGCCGTTCTCGTCACCATCCTGTCTGGGAGCTTAGCAGGCGTCTTTGGGATGCTTTGGTAAAGGACACGTCAAATCGAGGACGGACTCTAACAGGAAGCGGAATTCGGGCTTTTCTATTATTTCTACAGTCATTCTTTCATTAGAACTTCTCTTGCTTAGGGCTATTGGTTGCATCTTGCTATTGGCTTTCGGCCCTGGGCGAAACTTGTCACCTAGCAAACCACACATTCTTTTGGATGTTCCCTGTCACTCCTTACCTATGCTTACACTCGGCAGATTCGTTATCACTTACCCAACTGTATTGTACTAATTCTATAGCCAAAATGCGATGGCTTCCATCTTTGATACGGGATGCGAAGTACTCACAACAAAACCTGTTTGAGTAAACGGGTTCGCAGGGATGCGGTGTGTAACATCGCTCCGAGGGGATTGTCGGGCCATATGGGCATCCGGCATGGAAGAAGGGCCTACTTGACATGAGAATGGATCCAATATGCAGACAGGAACATGCGGAGGAGAAGATAACCATCTGTTCCGGTCGCACGTCCTAACGGAAGCGCCTGCCTTTAATTGTGTGGGTTCTCGGTACAATCCATCGTAAGAGCGTGTAGCTGTAGTAGGCCAACTCCATCAGCCATTAGGCGCTCTACGCGTCAATACATTCTTGGCCTTGTTGACCTTGCTGCCTGTGAGTGTTTTGTCCGAGTCGGTCGCGTCCCAGTGATGTATTTTCAGTTTGCTTTCAATGCTTTGGGGCTAGAAGGAGGGTAAGTCATCATAGACCAGCCAAATTTACATCCTGAAAATTCCCCTCCAGGTTCAAAATGTTCGTTTTGTCGGTGAACAAAGGCGTTCTGGAGAGAGAATGGCGCGTGGCGGAGTCGCTGGGCGCCACGCGCGCCTCCATATTAGCGCGGGAAAACTGACTAATCGCGATCAATACCCCTGCCAACAAGGAGACGACAAGGGACAGCGCCGAGCTCACCACCGTCCCCAGGCTTCTCCCACACAAGTCGAAATGCTGAAGCCCCTGGCCTGGTCATTCCTAGTCTTCTCGAGGCTAGCCCTTGGTCATGGCGGCCATGACCACAGCGGCCCTGCACAGGGAGAAACGATTCAACAGTACGCTCAAAGACACGTAAGTTCACCAAAAGCTCGCTATACGCTCGTACTGAATACGTGGTAGATGTCGAAAGAACATCATATGTATGTTTGAAGCGAAATAAAGACATTGGATAATAAAACTCACCAATACCCCAGCGATACTTTCGACATCCGGAGTTTCTTCCACCTCCACGACCTGAACCGGTGAGTAAAGCGCTCAAGTTAATGTTCGCTTAGAGACGATTGCTTATTGCTGTTCTTTGTCCAGTGACGGGTTCTGGGACAGGGAAGAGATTGAAGCCGTCTACGGTGTCCACCACGTCTACTCTCAGAGAAAGACACCAGTCAGTTTCCTTCCGTATCAATTGGGGACCGACGTTCTCAAATTTATTGTCCTAGGACGAGATCGAGCACCAGAAGAAAGCCGACCATATCGTCAACACCGTTTTGGGCATCTTGGACTTGAACAAGGACGGGAAAGTGTCCCCCAAGGAGCTCGAGAAGGTTGGCCTCGATGGGTTGCCCAATTTCGAGCACATGGGTGCGGAGGGTCACCATTACGATGAGGAGAGTGGTAAGTACTCCGAAGCGCTCGGAACGTTGGTTACAACCTTACCTTTCTTCCCCCAGAATTCTTCTTGCACCACGAAGGTATACTATACGACCCGACATAATCTCCTCAAGAGTCTAATACTGTTTTCCTTTTGCAGAGGAATTCCACTCAACTCCCGAGACCCAAACGGACGAGGCCTACAACCACCCCGAAGACTTGGAACATTTCGCTCACCACGAGAAGATTGAAAAGGCCGAACTAGAGCGTGAAGCCAAGTTCCAGGGTGTTACTGTCGAGGAGCTTGTCAAAGCCCAACTCGCTGCTGAGGAGGCAGCAGAGAGGGCCAAGACCGCAGTGCCAGAGAACGCCGAAGCTACTCCCGCCGCTGGCGACCCAGCTCAACCACCGCAGCCGCCAAGGCCGCAATTCACCCGTGTTCCTCCCCCCGAGAAGCAGGACCCTGCTATCAAGTACAAGAGTGCTAAGGAGGAGGGTGCCCGAGGATCGCAGTGGGGAGAAGGTCCAGAGGGATACAAGGCACCGGTGAAGCCCGCCGAGAAGATGAGGAAAAACCTGCCCTACAAGGTGCGTCCAAAGTTTCTCTTTCTCCCACCGCACAACTATAGACTAACTCAGCCTACTCGCATGCAGTACAAATTCCGCAGGAACTGGGGTGATTTCTGACCTTGATATTTATTGACCCACCATACTTATTATCGCTGTCGCTGGGATCTTGGTTTTTGCACACTGTATTCGATAAGCGCCCGATGGATATACCATTCAAACTGGCGACAGGTCCGTTAAGAGAAAGGCGAGCATTGAAGATGAATGGGGTATCTAGATTTTACAGGGCAAGACGATATGTCACCGACCGTCAAACATATCGTTCATGAGACCGTTCTCCACTGCGTCCCAGTCTACATTGCCTCCACTAGCGTAGACGCTCTCGTACGAGGTTATGCTAACGTTGGAAAAGAATGGAACCAACTCTCGCATACTCTCGATCTGGCGGAGGTTATTGAGTAGAGGTCTGCGCATAGGGGGTTGGTTGGGTGACGTTTCGGTGTGTGTTGCATCTGAATCCAGGTTGGAATCCTAAGAAATAGCCTGAGTATCGTCATCGTATTTAGACAGTTGCACCCTTATACCCACCATGGGAAGGCTTCCAGCAATCTCAGCCAGTTGATCCAACATGGCCTCAGGGAACCACTCTTCTGGGCGGTACACGGCGTCGATTGTATCAGTGACGAAGATCCATTGGTATCTGCAGGAACATTCAGTTCAGCAAAATCTATTGCACAGAAACGTTGAACTTACACTTGGAACTCCTGTGTTTGTAGGACGAGAAGCAAATCGATGGTCTTGCAAGCAGCTAGCACCAACTGCAAATCTTCCGAGCCATCCGGCGGCAAGGTTGTCATCACTTGTTCGAATATCCGGTACTGCAGCGTAGCGTGTTGGTCAGCGCCTTCCTGAGGCAGAAGAAAGTTCCTCACGATTTCGGTCAAGATGACAGGCCAGAAGCTCGTCAAGTTATGCGGAGACAGCCGACACAGCAGAATGCGGATGCACAAGAACACTTCGCTCTGTACGATCGGAGAAGAAATATTCTTGAGCACATCCACCAACTTCTCTTGGATGGTTGGAAGTTGTGCGAGGAAGGTGTTCTTGTCGCCGGTAAATAGGACATAAGATAACCGCCGAACGTTAAGAGACCGTAGGAGCATCTCGTACTCCTTGTTGGTGAAGATGTTGGCCGAGGGTGCGGATGCAACTTTCCCTATCCAGAAGTTAGATTCGTCCACGCGCAAAGGACAGTGAGGATCGCACCAAGTAGTTCAGCAAAAGATGCCTTGTCTGAATCGTACAAGGCTTTGACTATGGGTCTCCATTTGCTCCCGTCGGCAGGATCAGAGTTGAAGACTCTGTTGTCATTCAAGAGGTCGATGACGGGAGTTCGCCACGACTTCAACGCCGTTGGTATATGCGTCATCTCAGAAATGAGGGCAATCACTGTGGGCTCGACGTCCATGGGCCTAGAAGAAGCGGATCGTCAATCCACTGATAGAGCAAGTTTAATGAAAGCAATACCTTGACTTCCCTCGCATGGCGGGGTTCACAATATAATAAACGACATTATTACAAACGGCAATGACCTTGTCGTTTTCAAGCAAGAACCGACGGAGGTTGGGGACACAAGAAGAGGCAATCCAAGAGGTGATTTGACTCAGGACCTCGGTTGTATCGCCTTTACTTTCAGCGATGAAACTTCCGCTGGACTCCCCCTTCTCGTCATGGTCTTTGACATCTGATAAGGTGCCAATTAGTGTGATTGTCGATGGGAAGCATCGACGCGCTTACCTGGACGAGGAGAATTTCTGCCGTTGGCTGCCAGGTTGTCCTTCGTTGTCCGTCTTATCCAAGACCCCTGATCTGACGACCGGCCCACAAACGTCACACAGAAGTCCAATAACTTGCTGTAATTATCCTAAAGAAAGAAGAGACGTCAGCCCACGCAACCACAATGTCCACCGGTGCCGACAGACCTGGAGTTCCTTCCGCACACGCTTGTCGTCCATTGCCGCAGTCTGAGTGACCTTGTCCGCCAAAACCGAGAGACACCTGGGAGTAACAGTCAGTCATTGCGGGGGCCAAAAAAGGGCATGTGCTGACCGGAGAGCAGGGAAGTGATAAGGTTTATACTCCTTGATCCCAGACGAGAGTTCTTTCACCAATTGCAGATATCGTGGCCACACCTGCACAGCAAGAGGCCCTTCCAATCTTGTTAAGTATTGTTCAAGGAATTGGAACAGCACCGCCTCCGTTCTGCAAGATTCCATTGAGTTAACCACTGACACCAAACAAGCACAGACTCACAAGCCAGGGTTACTTGGAGGTTTCCGATTTCCACTCGTCGATATCCGACTGGATATGCTCTCGCACAACATGTGCACCGCGTTCTGTGCCGTTGAGACCAGAACATCGACAAGTTCGAACGCCGCGTCCGGCGATGATTCTTGGAGCTGTTCCCTTTATCCGTCAGTGAACTGCATCTTTCCCTGACCGCAGATAGCGACTCACAGGCAAGTCTTTGCTCCACCAGTCGATGATAGACTCAAAGACCTCTGTCGACTGCACGCGGAAGAGGTGCTCTAGTGCACGTCGACACCGAGCCCGCGACCGGTGGAAGATCCCCGCTAGCGATTCCTCCTTGGCACTCCACACAGAGGGTGGTTTCCAAATGAGAGTCGCCCATATCGAGTACAAAACTTGGATTCCTTCATCCAATGACTTATACCCCTGAGAGCGAGAGTGCTGTAACAATGTCAGCACAACAGGTTTTCAAGGACGAGGAATGCAAGAATCATACCACAGACTGATCAGGAACCGCCGACGAGCTCCCATCCGAACTCGTAAACACAGTCGAGACATACCCGAGCAACCCACCCGACTCAGCCACCTGCTTCTCCTGCATAGACGCATCATCCTCCGCGACCTCTGCTTCAGACGTGAACGCCAACCCAAGCAACACAAGTCGTTCCAACCCATTAATGAGCATAACGAGGTCCAACTCTGTAGGTACCGTTTGCAAGTCCGCGGTATACTGCTCCGAATGGGCGTTGATATTCTTAATTTGTTGAAGGGTGGAACGCAATTGGCGACATATGCATTCGTTAAGAGGGACGATAGCAGGTTGGAGGGCAGGCTGGAATTGGGGAATGGCCATGAGGATAAAGTCGAGCCAGTGTTGGATGACGGAGCGGTTGCTGGGGACGGAGACGCCATCTATCAAGGTCTGCACCAGGAGGGGGTTCAGCGAATATCCAAGAATCTCTTCCGCAGCTTTGTCGTGGAAACCACTGCCATCCAGCGTCTGTGCTTCGCGCAAAGCAATCGCCCTCCTAGCATTCTCGATGTTCGCCATCGAAAGGGAGATAATTGAATGGAGCAGATGGAGGAGTTTGTTCTGGAGATCAAGGCTGCCAGTGTGAATAGAGTAGTACAGCTTCCTGATCACGATGGACTCAATGGCTTCCACCGATACTTGGTCAACGTCACCTCGAGCTACAATCATCTGGAGAAGTTGTATCGAGCTCGATTGCAGGACATGGTTGAGTGGATTCATCGTAGGCGCCCATCTTTCAGTTGGCTCCGACTGGATGAATCTAGCAACACTGTCAATTGCAAGAATTGAAACAAAATCAATCGTACGAACCGTGACAGAATCTCAATGAGAACATCCATGTAGCTTCGATTGGTATCCAGTATTCCAGCTACAAAGGAAGGTCAATTCCACTTCTCATCGCACAGAAGAGAATGAACGAACCTGCTTCAACACGCTGCACAAGCCCAGGATGAAGAGAGCGCTTAATCGAAGACGACACCGCCGCTTTGGAGAATCCCTGGCCTGCAAAGCCCACGATCGACAACAAGGTCTCCACCAAATGGTTGATCAACCTTTGATCGAAAGGTCGCTCATAGAGGAATCCGCCCAGTTCGCGTTTTTGGACTTTGAATGTATGCGGCGTTCGAAGGATCGTTGGGTCGAGGAGGTCGTACAGGATCGGATCCAATAGACTAAGCTAAGGATTCAATATACGTTCGATGGAATAGTAGAGAGAGATGCGCACCGAAGGTAAGATTTCAGACTACACCGCATCCAAGTCTCCCCAACCCGGTACAGGTTAGGATCATTGCTCTTCAACGTTTCCAATACACACATCAGGGGGACCTTGAACCTGAACCCAGGCAGGAAGCTATCGTCTACACCTCCCATCAGACGCCAATGTCATTTAACAAATCAGAAGACCCTCACCGGTCAACCTCCAAAGAATCCCAAACGCCTCATAAGCCTCAGCCACATTCCTCGACTCGGGAGACGTCATCGTCTGCGCAATAATCGATTCCACATGCGAGCCCTTGGTTGAGGTCTCCAACCCACAAATCAAAGTAACCACTCTCGCGTGGTACGAGACCGAGTCCGGTCGAAGATATTTCAACAGCTTCGTCACCATTTTGTGTATCGTAGCGCGACTCTCAATCTTGAGGGGAGGTTGGATATGCTGTGTACGGTGAAGTCCAGTCAGGAGGGTAACCACCCGGTCCACCGTCGTGAAGGTTGCCGCCTTTGAAGAGCTGTCAGTACCAAATATGTTCGGTTAAAGGGGAGGATATATACCTCATAATCGAACGTCTCCAACAACACGCCCATCCACTCCGCTGGAGTCCAGTCAAGCGAAACCGACATCTGCAACCTCGCAAGCAACCTCTCAAACAACGTCAAAGATCTGGAAAATGCCTCCCTCCTCGCCACTACATCCCCACTTCCGGGATCCTGTGTCAGGCATTTCGCCCAGTGCGTGCTGAGGAAGACAAGAGCGTTGAGAGCCGTGGCGAAGGGTATCGTCGTGGTGGTCTGGGTATCAGAAACGTCAAAGCGGTCGTCAATGTCGTAGAAGGCACATGCAAAAGTATACGCTCGGGCAGACTCGCGCGCTTGTTCTTTCGTCGGATTAGGTGGTTTGATGGGTGGCCGTTCGGAAAGGCCGAGGTGGGGTGTATATTTGAGAAGCTCTTCCAATAGGACGAGGCACTTGATGATGGGCTGCGTGGTGGTCCAGTTGGGATGGGCTTGCAGTTGGATCTACACCTTGGTCAGTGGCAAGCCCTTTGAAACACAGGAAGGTAACATACAGAAAGGAAATCCAGGAGGGACGAGATCAGCACCGGGAAGTGGTAGGTCTGAATTTCTTCATCGTGCGTGAAAGTTTTGATAATGAAAAGTGCAAGTTGCAGCGCCTGGACAGACTTATCAGCATCCAATCCCAACATTCCACTACGGTGCTCTCACCTCCGTGCTCCCATTTTCCTCGCTGAGCTCTTTGAAGATGGCACCGAGTAGCGGCTTCCACAGAATCTCGGGCTCGAGAGCCTCATACAGCGTACTGGCTGTCATGACAAGCTAGTCCCAATTAGCCCAAGCCCGTCCCCGCCAAACGTCATAGCATATACTCACATCATCACCCCCGTCTCTCTTGTCCTCCATCAACTTCTTAATCGCCTCGAATGCCTCGTAAATTAGCACATCCGCCAACGGCCCTCCAATCTCCCACTTGTCCAAAAGCGAAATGAATATCTTGAACGGCCTTGACTCTGAATATTCGTCCGACGGTGAAAACATCTCATTCTACGGAAACACATGCCCGTCAGTTACTTCGTCATACCCACAGCAACGAAACGCACCTTGAGAGTCAAATGCAAAAGGTCCAACGCATGCTCCTTATAATACCCCAATGGATCGTCAGGCCTCTCATCCACACCCAACAGCCACGAATACAACCGCCTGTTCAACGAAATATCCCTCCTCAGCACCACGCCAATCGCAGCCTTCATAATAATGGCGCGATCGTCCGCTTGGGCTTTACGAATAGCCAAACTGTCAATCTTCATTGCTTGGAGGAGGAGGTCGAGGGTCCCGCGCCGGACGAGGAGGTTGTCGTCTTCGAGAGCAGCTGCAAAAGCGCGGATCATGAGACCTATATCTTTGCCCACAATTTCGCTGATATCTGGGGGGAGGGATCAGAGGTGAAAGGAGAGAGGGTAGGGGAGAAAACGGTACCTTCATCCGCGTTTAACTTGGGCAGTCGACGCGAGAGGTAGTTCACAGCCGTTCCGCGCGCCGAGGGCGTAGTGAGCATCACCAACCACACATTTTGGAAGAAGAACGATATCGAAACCGCGCCGGAGAGCTTGTCCAATAGACCTATAACCTATTCCGCACATCCGCCATGTCAACCAAACGAACCTAGACTCGAGTTTAAACCCCGGATAGATGCACACCTTGTCGAAGAACTCGCCCGTCTCCTCTTCCAACCCCGGCAAGAGTGCCAGAATGAACGACTTCATGACCGGCCGCAGCGAAGCTTGTAGTGGGATATAATGCGTTTCGTAGATATTCAATAACGTCGGCTAGATGAGATATTCAATTAACCCACCCGTCCTTTACGCAACGCACCACGAAACATACCTTCACCGAGGTTGCCGCATACTCGAAGAAGGGGAACAACCCAGCCGACCAGAGCGCTAAATCTCGCTTCAATCCTTCCAGCTACACCGGGTGTTAGAAAGGCATGTATGAGATAGAGGATAGGGGGATACATACCCCAAGAACCGCTAGGATATGAATGTACACCTCCAACGCGCGCTGGTGCACCCCTGTCGGCAGCGCAGGATTCAAACACTGTGCCAACCTCTTCGCCACAATGAGTTTCTTCGGGATCTCCTTGAACTGCATATACGATTGGAACGTCTACAGTTCCCATTCATCAATACCCATAATCCACTTAGGTTGCAAGTGAACAGACGAAACGAACCTTGAGCAACTGCTTCAAGAACGCAATACAATCCGCCCACTCGTGCACATCTTCAAATGAATTCAAGCATTTGTCCACTTGCTGGACGTATTTCTTGAATTTGGGGTCGGAGGCGTATGTTTGTTGGGCGACTGCGTTTGGCGTTAACGAGGGTCGTCCAAATATACAATTCCATAACCGAGATGTAATTCAATCCAAAGATGGGGAAAGAGGAGTCAAGTAACGTCAGAAAAACAAAGTCTATCCACTTCAGGAGGAAAGGAGAGGAAATGTAAATGGAGCACACAGAACTCACTATTCTTCGCCGAAATCCAAGCAGATCCCTTCCTCACACTCGTGCCCGCACCTTCAACTCCAGATAACAGCGTATTGGACATCTGGCCACAGCGATACTCCAAGTTCACAGAGGGCCTCGATCGCGAGTCGCCGTTGGTGGTCCGTTACTCACGCAGGAAACCTAGGACAACCACACCACTGATGACCGTCCTTTCCTCGGAGATTCAAGTTCCCTCCTTCGAGAACCCAACCAAACGTCGTTGTCGTGGCGTTCGTCGTTGTCGTTCGTGGCGCGTGTGAGTCTATGTGCTCACGAATCAGTAGCGCCGTGTCTTGCGTGAAAAGAAGAGAATTAAGGATTTGGATGCGTGAGGAACTGCGGTCAATGAGCTAGAGGCGAGAGTTGTAGGCTGAGCACTGCTCAGCTGTTGGCCCATTTGATCGTCCCTATGCCAAGAGTTTCGGTGATGGATTGGGAAAGTCTCGCCCCTATTCCTGATGCTGCCACGACGCGCTGCAGGACGTACAGCAGGGATTACGAATTACAACAAGATACAATACGTACAATACATAGCGACAGCAAGATACGACAGATAGATATATATGCAAGCTACGAGAATAAATAGAAAAAAAGCGTCCATGACCGACAGCGCGTAATCTAGATTCGCTCTAGGATTCACGAATCCACCACCACCTCCGGAGGTGCCATATCAGAATCCCCATTCTCCGATGGGGGCAACTGCAGAATCCTCATCTTCGTAGGTGCCCTCACTACCGCACTCGCACTCCCTGCTCCGGCATGCCCATCTCCCGGCATAACGCTCCCCGCCCTGGACGGCACCGCACTCGCACTCTTCGAGCCTCCCCTCCCTCTGCCTCTCCCAACCGGCGCCGACAGAGCGCCAGCCCTCTGATGATGTCCAACTCCACCTCCCACAAATCCTTTACCCAAGAATTCATGAGGACCCAGCCCCGACGAAGCAGCAATCGCATTTGCATACTCCGAATCCTTCTCCCCAACCCACGTCTTCGCGAACCACCGTCCACCAGCAATACCCCTAATCTCCCGATTCGCAACTTTCCAGTGGCGCACTTTCTTGCCTGTACGGTCAAGTGGCATGGGTGGTGCGAAGCCTGAAGTTATTTTGACTGGCGGTTGGACAGGGAAGGGTCTGGTGGGGAGTGGGTATTGCGGCACGGCCACGCCTTCGAGGTTGGGTGTTTCGTCGGGTATGGCGGGGGCGACGGTCGGTGGGGAGGAGGGAGCAATGGGTGTTTCAGTCTCGGGTGTTCCTACATCGTTGTGTCCTTCTGGGAGGTCGACCGGGGCTGTTGCCGGTGACGAAGCTGCTGTTCCAACTACATACATCAGACCTCATCGTACACCGACATGCATAAAGTGGAACCACATACCTTCACTCATAGCAGCGTCCTCTTGAACTTGAACAGCAAGCGCAGGGGGAATTGCACTTCTCTGCCTGTTATATACAAATGAATGAGAAGTAAAGGAACAAGCCACAGTTGCGTCACGCAGTCAGTTATCCGACGTGCAGTCAATCCAGTAAACAACAAGTGACATACTTTGTCGCCTTTCCTCCTCTTCCCCGCGGGGCACCGCCGCGTTCAGCAGCAGATTTGCGCGGAGTAGCCGTTTTCTTCTTCCCCGCAGTTGATAACTTCAATACAATAGGTTCCTCTTGATTAGGAGCATCAGGAGGCCCTATAATCATATGAGCATTCGAGGATGGTGATGTCGGAAACCACGCCATTGCCGGTGCAGTAAGAGGCGCACCATTATTCCCTCCCACCGCTGCCCCCGCCTTCTCCTTGCCCGCCTTCTTCCCAGCCACCGCACCCATCGCAGCAGCGTCCTTCTTCGCCTTCTTCTTAGGCCCAGGCTTCTTCGGTGTCGACTCTGTCGAACGAGCAAGGGTCTGAGACGGCGCCCCAGTATCATCGTCGTCAATAAGCTGGTCCTCCTCTTCATCCGGCTGGTCCTCCCCAAGCTCATCATCCGACGCACCGCCTGCCTTCCTCTTCTCGGCCTGCTTCCACCCCGGAGGCTCCGTGACCTTCAACTTGGGAGCCTTGGGCTTCCTCCCCGCGCCTCCACCAGCCCGCTTGCTCGGCGCAGGTTGGGGCGGCGGACTCTCCTCCTCCCGAAGCGTAGAAATATGCGGTGCATCCATATCGACGTCCATAGCCATATCCATGATCAACGTCGTCCCAGACGGGTTCGGTGGAGGAGGGGGCGGTTGCGGAGCGGCCTGGGACTGAACGCTGGGATCAGGCGTAGGCTGATAAGTTACCCATGGTGAAGCACGAAACGTTGATGACATTTTTCCTTGCAGGCAGTGTATGCGTGAGTCTCGGAGACAAGTCGTCGTCGTCGTTGAAGACGACCAAGGGAGCGTGAAACTGCGCTGCTGGTTGTGGTACGTGGATGTTCTGGAAGGAAAGTAAACTTGGGTTTGTGCCAGCTCTGCGCCTAAGTAACACATGTTTCCATTTCACACTTCCATCAAACAAAAATCCACCGAATTCAATAAATGTATTCATCAGCTATCCAAGTCTCTCAGAGTCGCCCTCATACCCAGCCCACTTGGACAACCCGTCGTTCACGTCCAGCATCCTCGTCTCATAGAAAATGTGCGCACTAGGCTTCACGATATCCCAATTCTTAATCCTTCCGCCCTCTGTCTCTCGATCCAATTGCCCACCCCATATGCTCCGCTTATCGCGCCTCCCATTATGCCCTGCGACGGCCACACCACAATTCTTACATCTGAACCGCGTTTTCCAGGGTTTGGTAGGGACGACGTAGGTCTGGAGGTTGTCCTCTGCAGTGGTCCATTTGAATGAAGACGCAGGAAAGTGAATAGTGTGGATGAATGCCGCGGCTAATGAATGAATGTCAGAATCTGGATCAGGGGGAAAGACGCGAGCATACCATTGAACCGTTGACAGAGCGTGCAGTGGCAATAAGCGCTTAAGACGGGCTTCCCTCGCACCTCGTATCTCGCGCCACCGCAAAAACAGCCTCCAGTAATGACGGGTTCCTGTTCTTGAGTTGACATCGTTTCTAGTCCTCCTTAATCCTTTCACTGGGCTTTATAAGAAACCATTGTATAGATTCGTCACTGTCGCATCATCGGTTAGCTTCCGAAAACAGGGGTCCAGGCGATGGTCGTAGTTGGAATCAGTCACAAGGTGAAGAATAATGAGACCATAGTTTTACAAGTCGAAGAGACGACTTCTGAATCTGGAGCGAGCGCCGAACGAGCTCTGTGAATTCCGGCGGTGGCTTACCTAATCAGTTACCGAAATTCTCCGTGTCAAGCACTGTCCACTGGCACGTCTACCACTTCTCTACTCCCAAAAGGTCAGGTCAGTATTACTCTTCCCCGCGTCTCTATTCTCTGTCTCTAATACCTTTTACTGGAATAGCCCCTTCCTCCAGACGCCAGAGCCCTCCCCGGTCACATACAAAAAGGCTCGCTCCGTCATGGTCTCATCCACAGTCAACGTCCGTCCAACCCTCCATTTACAATCTCTATTCACCGTTACTGACCTGGCACTATTCCCCATCCAGGTTGTCCGGTACAGTGCTCTCCTGTCAGGCGTTGTTTACGGCTGGTACCACCGCCGAACCCTCCAAAGCGAAGCCGACAAGCAGAAGCTCGAACACGCCGCCCAACACCAGGAAAAACTGATTGCAGAGGCCAAGGCTGCTTGGAAGAGGAAACAGGAGGCTGCTTCTGACTCGGATGGTGAGTCGTCTTCTTACTCCGTTGCGCTGGGTTTCGCTGGTGGTTGGCGACTTGACTTTCTTGTTGAATTTGTTTGTGACTTGGTTTACTGACACACTGTTGCAGTTGTCACCGATCCTGAGGACCCAAGATTCGACCTAGAGAAGCTGATCGCAAAATGGGAAAAGAGCTCATAAACCACCACGTTCGTTGAACTTGTACCCCACAGCGGACCAATCCCTTCCCTATAGACAGCTTTGCGCACCTCCTACTCCTCATCTTCTTCCCCCACCGCGAAAGCTCTCCGCAAATCCTCGTCGGATATTCCGTCCTATACCAACTTTACTATGAAGGCATCAATTGGGGAGAGCCAACCTCGATGGAATGAAGAAGCAGCGTAGAGCCTTACATTTTCCTCCTTGTTTGATTGACACTATTGTGCATAAATACTAAGTTAATGCGGACTCTATGAAAGTACCCTACATCCTTCATGCAACACATTCCTTTTTTTCTTGGGGACTTGAGCGGGCGCCAGCAAGCGCAAGGTAGACAGTGCAGACCGTGAGAACCAATCGCGTCGCGTCAAGTTGGTGCCTCACGGCCGAGCGTTCAATTTCTTTCTCTCCACCTTTCACCCCAACCAAACCGACTCTCCCTTACAGTCCCTTTATACATGCCGTCTATGAAACCCCATGTTGAGGACATCGAAGATGATTACGCCGCAGAGGAAGAAAACAAGCTCATCAACGAGGTTTGTGCGCTTTTCTTCAACTTGAGAACGACGCGACTCATAAGTTTCTAGGAGTACAAAACTTGGTAAACACCAATATATCTGATAGTTATGGATGGAACCGCTCAAACGCGTTCTTCTAGGAAAAAGAATGCACCTTATCTCTACGACTTGGTGATCACGCACGCCTTGGACTGGCCTAGCCTGACCTGCCAATGGTTCCCCGACAAAGAACAGTGCGTCTTCCTCCCCTCCCCTCCTTCCTCAACTAAACCAACCCAAATCAACCCAGAAACCCCAACAAACCTTACACAACCCACCGCCTCCTCCTCGGGACACACACCTCCGGCCAAGCGCAAGACTACCTCCAAATCGCCACCGTCCAAATCCCCAAACGCTCCAACCCAGCCACAGGCGCCGACGCCCTCTCCCGCACCGACTACGACGACGAGCGCGGCGAGCTCGGCGGACACACCCTCCCGTCCTCCCCGCGCATCCAGATCGTCCAACGCATCAACCACGATGGCGAGGTCAATCGCGCGCGGTACATGCCCCAGAACCCGGACTTGATTGCGACCAAGGCGGTGACGGGGGAGGTTTTGGTGTTTGATCGTACGAAGCATTCGAGTGAGCCGGAGAGAGGTGGGGTGTGTAAGCCTGATATTAGGTTGGTGGGACAGAGTAGGGAGGGGTATGGTCTTGCGTGGAATCCTAATAAGAAGGGGCATGTGCTTGGTGGGTCGGAAGATATGACGATTTGCCATTGGTGAGTGTGTTTCGAGATTTGCAGAAGACTGAATTTTTGAACGTGGATTTAGGGATATCAACTCGTATACCAAGGCGAAGACGACGATCGAGCCTACTACCATTTTCCGCGGACACACCTCTGTCGTTGGAGTGCGTAACTCTCTCCTACGCGTATGACTACAAAACTAACGATATGCGTAGGACGTCGACTGGCACAGAAGTCAGGAAAACGTATTCGCCAGTGTTGGAGACGACAAACTCCTCATGCTGTATGTACCTTGCTATCATTCATCGGGGCCAAGCTCACATATTTGACCAGCTGGGACACACGATCCTCTTCAAAACCTCAATATGAAGTCCAAGCCCACGACTCTGAAATCCTCGCACTCTCGTTCAGCCCAGCAACTGACCACCTGCTCATCACCGGTGGCGCGGACAAGGTACTTCTACCAGTCCCATTTATGCCCACACATTCCTAACGTGCTCTCTCGAGACTGTGGTCCTTCACGATATTCGAGCCCCGAGCAAGAAACTGCACGTCTTCGAATCACACACGGACGAAATCCTCCATCTCGCCTGGTCCCCTCACAACCCCACCATCTTCGCGTCCGCTTCTGGCGATCGACGAATCAATATCTGGGATTTGGCGCTCATTGGGCAAGAGCAGACACCTGATGATCAGGAGGATGGACCGCCAGAGTTGCTGTTTGTTCACGGAGGTATGTCTAGTACAAATTGACTTTCGATAGGATTGAGGCTCACTTTCGACCCTGATGTACAGGCCACACTTCTCGCCCGACGGACTTTTGCTGGGCCCCAGGCGAAGCGGAGAACTGGACCGCTGCGAGCGTTTCAGAAGATAACGTGGTCATGGTTTGGCAGCCTACTATGCGTGTGTGGGCGGGTGATGAAGTCAAGGTGGATGAGAAAGAATTGGAGGGTGATGCGATGGAGGGTGTTGAGACCACTGTTGGTGCTGGAGGTTCGGGAAGTGGGGGTGCGGCAGCTTAAGCGGGTGTGTAGCTGTAGAGGATGTTGGTGTAGATTGCTTGAATTTACCTTCACTTCGTTTCCCTTCAATGAGTCTCACCCCCTTCGAAAGGTGGAGAATGAGATGATGAAATAAGAGTACAAATGAATAGTTTACTAATGCTACGGATAGGGATACAGAAAACAGAAACAGGACAAGACCTATGCGACCTGATACAACCCAAAGAGACGAAGCTATACAGGTACTTTGAACCGAGTGATAAATACGGGAACCAGGACTCGACTCGACCCTCGTAGAGAAGGGATTCGGAGCAGGAGTTTTTGGCGGGTATTGCGTGTATGCCTGTGTGCATTGTGGTTGGCGGATTTGACCCTTTCTGCGCGGTGGTAGTGGGCGTCTGGGGTAAGGCGGGTGTGGTGATTCCAGTTATGCGAGTTACAGGAATATCAGTCGTAGGAGTTCGAAGACCACTGCAAATGAGGATGAGAGTCAGTAATGAATTCCACAACGCAGTACTTAGAAAGACAAGGAGGAACGATTGGTGCTCGATGTATCCCAGCGTACTCTAGCAGCTTGCTTGGTCCATCACGAATCCCCCAGTTCCCCAAACAGGCGCTGTAACAAAGAACCAGAAACTCACCTCCACCAAAGACAACAAACATGATGATTCCCAATGCCCAAGCACTGACAGGGCTCCTCGCGGCGAGCTTCTCAGCTCGAGAGGCGTGAAGTGCTTTCTTCCCCTCGCGCACGTCCTTGGCGAACTTTTCGTTGCGCTTGCGGAGCTCGAATTCAGTTGGCTATCGGCGTATGGTAGGTAACGCATAGACATGAATCATGGATCCCAGAGGAAGCAACGAGGGATTCCAAGAGGAAAGAGGTCAAAGGCTAATTAGCGCCTGAATCGCATACGAACTCCAGAATCCAAAAGCTCACCATTGTGATTCAAAAGAGTCTAACGAGTGTAAAATCCAAGCTGGGTTGGTTAATGACAAGGAAGTGATGAGCCTTCAAGGTGTTGAGTCTCGAGAACGAGGGTTCCTTGTGGGTTGATTAACGTGGCAGGTACCTCCACGTCGCTCGCGATACCAGGAATTCACAAGCCATTTGTTCCGGTGACGCGCCGATCTGATGGGTTGGGCTTGGCGGTCACCGGTTTAGTTGGAGGATGTTTGGCTGGGGCTTTAGATTTGAGGCTTGGAGGGCAAGGTGAACTTGGAAATATACGACTTCGAAGACCACAAACGACGGCGACAACTCGTTTCATACAACCTGAACACAGATCGGCTAAAACTTTCAAAAGCCTAGAGGAAGGGAGGATCAAAAACCTTGGAGCACAAACGACCACGAGACCAACGATGGGCAAAAAAGGCGGAGGAAAACACTTGAAGTCAGCTCTTCTATCTCAGCAATCCCGTTTGAAGGCTAAGGAGAAGATTTCACATGCAGCTCAGGTCCAGAACCAGAAGGCTAGTCGGAAGGGTGCAGCCTCTAGCCATCCCTCTGCATCTTCTGTACACCAAAATCCTTATGCCAAAGGGCAGAAAGCCAAAGCCTCCTCCTCCTCCTCGCTGTCTTCGTCCTCTGGACACCCAAAACGCCCACCTACGATCCCTTTCCTACCAACAGACCGTATCCTCCTACTAGGCGAAGGAAACTTTTCATTCACCCGGGCGTTGGTTGTCTCCCCTCCCCCTCCTCTCCTCGATAACCCCATTCCTCCAACAAACATCACTGCAACAGCATACGATTCCGAACAAGAGTGCTACGAAAAGTACTCTGATGCACGGGAGATAGTGGGACTGCTAAGGGAGACGGGTGTGAATGTGGTGTTTGGTGTGGATGCGACCAAGTTGGCGAGGTGTGCGGCGTTGAAGGGCAAGGTGTGGGATAAGATTGTTTGGAACTTTCCTCATGCCGGTGAGTCTTGTTTGTTTAGAGATGGAGGGTAGAACTGACTGGATTGTATGTAGGGAAGGGTATTACGGACCAGGATAGGAATATCTTGACGAACCAGCTGTTGTTGTTGGATTTCCTCGCGTCGGCGAGTAAAGTGTTGGCGAAGGGGCCTGTACGGACGTTGGCCTATGGCAAGAAGAAGAAACGGAAACCTGGAGATGAAGACGAAGAAGAGGACGAAGAGAATGACGGGGATGAGATGGAGGATATCGTTCCGACTGACCAGCCAAAATCTCGAGGAACGGTGTTGATTACACTTAGAAACGTCGCGCCGTATACGAGCTGGTAGGCCTTTATCTACTCCACTTGTTCTCTACTTATGTTTTTCAGGGATGTACCTCGACTCGCAAAGAACCCACCACCCCCTCAAATGAAAAGCGCAGCGCCGTATCCCAAATACACGATTTTACGATCATTTCAATTCCACCGACACATCTGGAAAGGCTACGAGCATCGGATGACCAAAGGAGAACGTGCACATGGGACTGGAAAGACTGGCGAGGGCGGTGAGGATCGAACCTGGGAGTTCTACCTGAGCGATGTCCAACTGTAGTCTAGACGAGCGCTTACGGCAATCAAAATATTGTTTGGCATCAGCGTGTATTTCTCACAGCAAACTTGTCCCGTCAGCACGTTAGTTTTGAGTTTTCCTCCGACGCAGGTCATAATCCGCAATGCTGCTCGCTCGCTGTCCGCGTCAATGTCCACCGCGACTGGCCTCGCAATTCCACTCGACGCCGGCGACGAACGCTATCCAGCTCAAGCCTCCCCAACTCAAGGCTGCCAAGCCACGTGTCTTCAAGGATAAAAAGGCTTTCCAGTACAACTGGTACTCGCGAATTCTCGAGAGCAGCAAAGTCTCGCCTCTGCTTATCCTCCACCACAATGACTTCACGGCAGAGCGACTCACAAAACTGCGCTCCGACATCATGCAGGCAGCACAACGCGTAAAGCCGCCCTCGCTCGCCTCGCCTTCTCCCGCTCCCGGCGCATCCGCCGAATACCCCGTCCTCACAAACGTCCGCTCCAGTATCTTCGGTGTCGCATTGAGGAACTTTGACGTCAACCAAGACGCCCTCGTTAAAATGATTGGCGAGCAAGGAGGGAGCTACATGGTCCTCTCAATACCCTCTCTGCACCCTCCACTCATCAACGGCGTCCTCCGCGCAATGGACCGCAGCGTCCCTCCCAAACCACCCAAAACGCCCGAACAAATCAAAGCCGAAGAAGCTGCTAAGAATGCGGACCCCGAGCAACCCGGTCGACGGATGAAGCGAGTGCGACAGGTTAGGATCCCCGAGCTCAAGTTGATGGGGGCCATTATCGAAGGAAGGGTGTTCTTGCCACCTGGGTTGAACGAGGTGGCCAAGTTGCCGACGTTGGATACGTTGAGGGCGCAGATTGTGGGGTTGTTGAGTGCCCCTGCTTCGCAACTTGCGGGTGTGCTTGGTCAGGCGAGTGGTGGGCAATTGGCGAGGACTTTGGAGGGGTTGAAGAAGGGCTTGGAGGATGCGGAGAAGGGAGAGAGTGCTCCTCCGTCGTGATCATCCTTTATAGAGGTTGTCGTACAGCATACCTAATCGTTAATTCACATAATTCTTGCATCCGGAAACTGAGAAAGACTTGAATTTATTTTTGTGAAATTAGACGCCGTCATCGCGGACGACGACGAGCGCGGTTCGAACGCGTGACGGGAAAGCGTGTGAAAGGTTTAGTCACGTCACAAGCATTAGCAGGGACCGCCGCGCTCGTTGTTCAGTCCAGCTCGCCGCTTCAAAACATCCACCAGTAACACGAATTTTTGCCATGATGTCCGTACAATCCTATTACACTCGTGAAATGAATACAAACTTATCAGTTGAATAGGGACGACGATGACGAGTTTTTGTACGGTTCGTCTGCTGCGACGACCACTGCGACGAGTAATACCACAACACCCGCTCCGACTTCTGGTAAGCATGTCTATCTGTTGGTTGACTGTTGGTGGATTGTAGTCCGAGGAGAGGAATGGAGGAAAATTCAATATTCCAACTCATGTCTTTTCTCTACCCTCAAATACCAATTTATTAACTCTCCTTCCTTCATCGTGCTGCGCGTGCCCGTGAATCCATCTAGCGCCCAAACCGTAAGTTTCACCATCCCATCCACAAATGAAGCCATCCCCTAAGTGTTGTTATATGACGTCTAGAATACCACTGGCAACTGCCCCGGCCAACGCTTCCAACGGTCTAGTCTCCCATCTCGAGAACCAAGCTAAAGAAGAAGAGGACGAAGGCATTCCTGGTGTTGGTGGAGGAGGCAGTCGACCTACGTCGAACGAACCTCCGTTCTTTGGTGGTCAGAAGAGTGAGGAACCTCAAGCCCAGGACCAAGGCGAGGGCCAAAGGCAGGATGAAGAAGAGGAAGAAGAGGAAGTCGAAGAGGAGGAGGATAGCGATGATGTGAGTATCGAGTTTCTTCTGGTCTTGAGGAGAATGCCAACTCTATGTGTAGGACATTGAAATCGTAATGGAGGCGCCGTCAAGGACGCTTGACTTACGGTAGGCCTCGGTTCACCAAAGCCGCTTTACCATTCAACTAAGTCACATTGCAATTCAGGCCGAACAGACAAACCCGAGTGCCAAGTGGACCTATCCCTACTGGCCCAAAAGGTATGTCTAGTCCCTGTCTTCATTCACTGCCAATGCTCACAAGATTTGCGGAATAGCTCAACATCTCCAGTCAACACTAACAACCGAGTATACACCAATAGCACGAGGCGCTCCAACACCAAACCAAGCGCAGCACGGTCCACCCGGACTCGGTTCCTTGCCGCAACAACAACAAGCCACGCCTTCTCGTCAAACATCCCCTCTCCAACCACAGTTAACGGGTGCCTCCACCGCTGACCCTCAGTCCCAATCTCAACAAACCCAACAAACTCAAGGGCAAGGGCAGGAAGGTGGTGAAATCCCTGACGACGGCGTCGACACCTCCACGCTCCCGCCGGTCAAAGCACCCCCGTCCCATCCATCCATCGACCCCACCGAAACGGGCGTCTACAATGCCCAGTCCATATTCGAGTTTGACTTAAACGCGTTGGCGGACAAACCCTGGCGTCGACCTGGTTCGGATATTAGTGATTGGTTCAACTACGGGTTCGATGAGATCTCTTGGGAGGCGTATTGCTATCGTAGACGAGATTTGGGCGATTTGGGGTTGGTTTTGAAGACAAGTATTCTGGTGCGTTCCGTTTGAATTTTTTATGACTCGCGTTTCATTGAATGTCGCGTGCTAACATTGTCGAATTATGATAGAACTTCTCCGGAATGCCAGAAGACCAATTCAATGCTCTCCCACCTGACGTTCGAACGATGGTCATGTCCAGCGCGAGCGGGCTTATGAACACCCAAGCACAAGCGTCAGGAATACTACCCGGACCAGGACCGGGGGGTATGATGATGGATATGGCGGGTATGGTTGGACCTATGGGTATGGGGGGTATGAACGTTGGCGCTGAAATGGGTGGTATGGGTGCGGGAGGGATGGGAGGCGGTATGATGGCACCTGGCATGATGCAAGATGGGGGCGCGGCTCAAGGTGGTATGGGCATGATGCAAGTCCAGGGAGGCGGAGGTTCTGACGCTGGAGGTGTCGGTATGATGCCGGACGGGTCGTTCGCTGGTGGTGCTGGTGGTGGCATGATGGGCATGGGCATGAATGAGTATGGAATGCAGGTGAGTGTGCAGGTGAATTTCAATCGTGGAAGTGGAGATGAGACTGAGGATGTTTTGCCTTTTAGCAGGACCAGATGCAGCAGATGTATCCTGGTATGGATGTGCAGCAAGGAGGGACGGGGAGAGGGACGCCTCTTGGGTTCCGCGGTGGTGCGCGTGGTGGCGCTCCAGGAGGACCAGCTGCAGCCGTGGCTCCCCGTGGACGAGGGACTTTCCCCGCTCGGGGACGTACTGGGCGGTACGATGGTGCGTGCTAGCTTTACAGCCCCTAGCGAAATCATTATTCACCTTACCGGCTTGGTTGACCATTGCAGCCCCTCCTCAAGCTCCCGTCCGACCAGCTTCCCCACTCCCGCCCAACGTACCAACGGGTCCGCGAAATGCGAACAAATACAAGGACCGTGATGGAAATGCGCCGGCTGTGGATGGGTTGGATTACGGGGGAGGTAAAGACGGCAGGAGGACCCCTAGTTATGAGCCAGAGGAACGGAGTTCCAGTCGGTAAGTTACCTCCCCACATCCCAGTACTGATACCCGGTCTTACTTTTTCCTCTTCACAGATACGGCCATGACAGGAAACGAAGGAGTTCGCCTGGCTTGGACGATCTTCGCAGTTCCAAGCGACGTTGACTCCTTATTACTCTTATCTATCGTGATGACGGCTTGCCTCCACTACCAAAAATATCTTCCATCGTCATCGCCCATATCACTATCACACCGCGTTCGTGTGCGAGGTTGCCCTGTGCAAACGTATATCCATTATAGTGTACATTATCGTATGTCAATATACAGTTCGTGTGGGGGGATTGTGATAATCGTTATGTATACATGGCGTCCAAGAACAGGAGGTAAGACGAGGTGGTCGATGCCAGAGTATCTGGGTGGACAGTAAAAGGCTCGAGAGATGACAGTAAAGCAGAGAGCCCGAATAAGGTGAAAACAGCAAGCGTACAACAGACCATATGAACAGAAGAAAGAGAATAAAACGTCCTCCATAAAAATCGTAAAACGCGAACCCGATCTAATCTTGCCAGATTGAGTTGGTCTAGGACTTGGCCGACACACGACCACCCGCTCTCCGCTTGCCACCCCGACCAGTCTTTTTGGCTTGACTTCGAAGTTTTCCTTTGCAGTCGTCGCAATACCATTTGCCACTTGGTGGTGTGCTCAGACCAATGCATGGCAGGTGGAACTGTGAACCATTGGTCAGCACCCGAATGATACATGGGAGCAAAAGAATCACTCACCCATTCTCCCGGGCACCCTTCGTTGTCACAACCAATCATGTCTCCGTAGCTGAAGCCATTGCACACGCAATACCTCTTATTATCGTCGATATCTCCATCCCCGTCCGTGCCATCCATGGCCGCGTTGTCGGTGGTCACAGGTGTTGCGGTGCCCGCTGCGCTCGCCACTACCCTCGAGACCGGCATGCCAGGTCCTTCCAACGCCTGTCCGTTCGCAGGATTCCAAGTCTGCATATGCGACATCCCATGCATGTCGTACGTCTGCATGATCTGTTGATGACCGTTGGCCGTCGAGCCATTCGCGTAACCCGAGACGTGGTTTGAGTAGGCTGCAGCCGCATCGCGATGGGAGGAGTTGCCGCTTGTCGAGATACTTCCTGTGTAGTTGCCGTTGGCGTCGTAGTCGTTGGGGTTGTACTCGTTGGCGAGGGGTGTTTGGGTTCGGTTGTTGTTGCGACGCTTGTTGCCGCTTCCTGCTCCGCTTCCTGAAGCGGAACCTGCACCTCGTCCATTTCCTGCTGTTCCCTTCGTTTGCGAGGTTTGTCGATGGAAGTTGTTGACGGATAACACAGATTCCGTAGGAGACCCTGCGCGTTCCGTTGTTCTGAATGTAGAGGTCAGGCGGATGGCCACTAGACAGAGATAATACAGAAACGCACTTTTTGACCCTGTTGTTGACCCTTCCTCTACCAGTGGTTTCGACAGTTGGCTTTCGCGGTGACTTGATTTGCCCAATATCGATATCGTCGTCTCTGTTGTTGACACGCTTCCTCTTGGCCGGGCTCGGATCCGCATTATTTGAGGTCGCGGTCAACAACGAGCCCAGCCCGTTCCTCCTCCTCCTGCCATGCTCAAACGTGCTGACTGGCATAAACGACTGCGCCGATACATGCGGGTACACTGTCTTCCTGTTCAACAACCCAGTGTCAAACCCAGGAATATGCTCCGCTAAACTCCTCAAATGGTTTGAATGGTTCTTGAGGTTGTCTGCAGCCTGGCAAGCCACCCGTATCTTGTCTTCACCACCTAGTTTGAGGCGGGTGGCTTCTTCTGATATTTCTGTGAGGAGCCAGAGGCGGTCTTCTTTGCTGGCGGTGCCCTCTTCGATCATGCGAGTGAGGGTGTGGATTTTGTGTGTGATGGAGGTCATGCTCGACGAGAGGACGGCGTCGAGTTCACGGAGGTCGGCAAAGTTGCGGGAGAGGTCGAGCGGGAGGGAGTCGAGGGTGTGCGTGTATTCTGAGAGGAGGAGCAGCGAGTAGGCTGTCGAGAGAGGGTCTTCCGCCACGACTGGCTGGGCCCCTTGCGTTCTTGAAACCATCGTGCTCGTCGTCGTTGTCGCTGTTGTTGACGATGGCGGCGGGTGAAATTGTTGTGAGGTGGAAGTGGGTTGCGATTCTGTCCGTGCGGGTGTGAGGCCAGACGAGCGCTCAAAGGCAAATGAAGGGGCCGTGCCCTTTCCTGGCTCTTTCCAAAAACAAAACACCCGCTTCCGGCCCGCCAGCGACGCATCAGGTGACTGCGACGCGATCGGAAATGTATAGCCACCGAAGTTCTACCGCGTCCCCCTCTTCCCCTTCTTTAATCTCACAGACTCGACTGGATGCAATGTACAACACGATTTCATTGGGACCCAGAAGGCTACGGGTATTCTGATATGGAGATACATATGGGAATGAGAGAGATATGGCTACACTTGGTTTCGGTTCTATGATAATGCTATGAATAAGATTAAAGAAAAGAGATGATGTAGGGGAATCCAAGGGGTATGATGAGGAGACCGAGAGTTTAATGAGTGAGAGAAAGTTTGGGGGAAAAAAGGATGGGCTTGTAGTAAAACAAAATGGTGAACAAAATGGTGAATGTCCGATCGTCATCGTCATATTGGGCGGCGGATGCAGTCGATATGCATATTCGTTGTCGATTTCTTCAGGTTTTAGTTGGTTGGGGATACCGCAGGGACAAGGGGTGCGGGGACGCGTGTGTTTTATTGGGAGCCGAGGCTCTCAGATGACTTCTTCGAGAAGAGGGTCCTCAGCGACAACTTGGAGTCCTTGGACTTCAGGCTGAGCATGCTCGATCGTTTCGACGAAGGCGCGGTCGAGTTGGGCGATCCAGCAGTGCTCATCATGAGTGACGAGAGCATCGCATGGTTATCGCGTGGGTTTTGACCGAAGAGCGAGAAGGCGTTGGGAGCAGTCGTGGTGGCGGGGAAGAAACCGAAAGTGGGAGACGAAGGAGGCGACATTTTAGACGGCAAGGAGATGGATGTTCTTGGGAACGACTGCGGATAGGTGCCTCGGGTATAACGATTCAACGATGGATCAACGTCTCTGTAACACGACCTGTAACGCGTCGATAATTAGCCCTCGCGTTCTCGTTAACATCGAAGATGTAGAAGAAATCACGTACTGTAGGCGCTCTGAGAAAAAATTCCTCTCGGTGTCGGAAGCGTCGAACAAAGGGATGATGGGGAAACAGCAAGTACTTCATTGTCCTCACTATACATATATACGACCCTCTTCCCTCTAGCGTACCTGTATTCCCAAAATCCGACATAAAACCTCGAAGGAGAGTACAAGGCGACTTCCCAATTTAGGAGTGTGTTTGTCCTGATTAGGCAAGATAGCCTTGGCGGGAGGGTTACCATCAGAATTTGGCCGCCTCGTGGGCCGCTAATCCCCTTCGAGAGTCAAAGGGATGTGCTGATTTGGGGCATTGGGCGTTCCCATGCTGACGCTTGGGATGAGACTGGGAGGGTCACGATGCCCTGTTGAAAACAAGGTTAACCTGAAGTATAAGGGAGCGTTAGCGTACTTCGGCCCTCTAAACCTTCGGACGTCGCGACAGCTCCTATCGCCCCTCCTTATCGATGTCGACGTAGCCACGATGACCGAGAGTACAAGTGCAGGGCCTTGTAAGTCTACCACCATTCTAGCGTGAACCTATACCGTCTCCAGCTCATTCGCCTTGAATTTGACATCCTTCGCGCTTCTGGCGGCTTTACTTCTTCCTGTTCGTCTCTACCATCCGATAACTTCAAGACCAACTCCTTCATCTCATTTCCGTCTCCCTTGTAATGGCTATCCTCATTCAAGACCTGTCTCTGTCCGAATATTTAGCGGGACCCACATGAAAACAGGGACGTTCACGGTGTTCGAGGGGAAATGGGAAGAGACTCGGAGAGCCGTGATCCCCGCTCACTTTGGCCTGCGAGACTAGCTTCTCCATCTGACTGGACGACGTCCTCAGTATTTCCTGCGTCCACAAGAGGTTGGATAATCAGCTATACTGGCAGTCGACGGCTGCCCCTGAAACATGCGATTATCTCCGGCAGCGGCGTCGTCGATCCCATCGCGCAGCGAGTAGTCGCTATCGTCACCTCCCCTACCCGTTCTACCCCAATTGCTGTTTTTCAAACCGATTTACGCATGAACCCCGAATAACCTTGAGCTTGGGATTGATACATACCAACACGATTCACTATTGTCACTGTCAGCAAACAGATGTGCTCATCGACCAGATAGGACGTCCAGCGCAACACATTCTAGGAATCTATGTCAGTATTATTATCTCTACGTACATGTCGATCGAGAGGGTATTTTTCTTATCACCGTGCTAGGGGTATGTCAGTCCCTCGAGGCAAGGATCTGCACAACCGCCCATCCAGCGATATCGCATGGTATAGATCCCATTATAGATCGATGATGTCACCGTCATCATGTTCTTCAATCCTAAAACCTTCTCCTGCCCTCCTTCCTGTCTAAATGACCCATCTTCGTTCAAACAGCAAACGGCGTTGAGTCGGCTGATCGATGACGAGCAATGAGGTCGACAGGACTCGTACAAGACGTACGTTCATCAGAACTTGAAGACCTGCAAGCGTAGATGACGGCGAATGTTAGCTCAACGACGTCATACCAGTGTAAACCATCAATCACGAAGGGTCGGGAAAAGGTAGAGCACGACTCGGATGGCTGTCAGAAGCGCGTCCGCAGCACTAGTTGCCAGGATGGCAAGGTGGCTCCAAGAACTTCCAAGGATCTCAAATTCAATTCCGAGTCCAAGGCAAAGTTAAGGTTTCACGGACAAAACACGAGACACAGCCTCCGGTGATGAGACGCGAGACGCGCTTGTGGAGGTGGAGCCAAAATAGACGCCCTTCGTAAAGCAAAGGAAAAACGCGCTTGTGGAGATTGAGACGTACCTGATCCTCAGTGTAACCGAGTTCCTTGAGGACACCACCCAATTCACCCTGCTTGAAGCCGGCCTTCTTGCCAGCAACTGCGGCAACCTGTCCGGGAGGGCCTATTCACGTCGACGGCATTGAGTCCGTACACTCCCGACGATGAAAGAAAGGACTTACCGCAGACGAAGACCTTGACCTTCTCACCAAGAGAAGCAGGCGCAACGTGTTCCTTGATCAGATCCTTGTTAATGTAACCAGTGGGACCTAAAGCCGTAACCAGCGTAATTCTCAGTCAGCATGTCGCCATTATCACAGCCGGGAAAGACCCCGAGTGTCAAATCCAACCCGAGGTTCGCTGTGGAACTTACCAGTCCATCCTGCAGGAGCATTATCGAGAATATAAACGACCTCGAAGTTCTTGGGGTGCTTCTTCTTGAGGGCCTCGAGCTCTTCGCGGAGGAGAATATCCTGCTCGGTGACGTTAGCGAAGAGCAGCTTGAACTTGGTCTTGTTGTTCTTGTCGGCAAGAGCGTGGTCGACAATTTGATACAACGGGGTACTGTTAAGAATCAAGGGTCGTGAGTGGGGATGAGTGGGAGGGTGGGAGAAAGACGAACATTCCGCTTCCACCGCCGATGAGAGCGACTTCGTCGAATTCGTTCACTGTAATGGGGTTTAATTTTTCACCAGTCGAAGAACTTCGAGTGATCTACTGACCCTTGTAAGGGAACTTGAGGATGGGGCCCTTGATAGCGAGAGTGTCACCCTCCTGTGGACCGAGAGGAAGGTTGGTCAGTACAAGTCACAATGATGCACGGAGGGTCATACCTTGAGACTGTGGATGTACTTGGAGGCATTGCCGTTCTCGTACTTCTTGACGAGAAGAGTAAGAACGCCCTTCTCATCAGGCTGCGAGATGGCAGTGTAAGGACGGATGATGGGCTTGCCATTGGCATCCTTTAAGGCCTCTGGGTCCGAACTCTTTACGACCAAGCAAGAAGCAACGGGAGCCAAGGAAGCCTCATTGTTGGGAAGCTCGAAGACGAACCTACGGGCAATTCAGTTTCAGAATTCAATTCAAATGAAATGGGCGCTTCGTACTTGGAGGTGTTGTGGTTGTAGGGAATAACCTGCTTCAGTTTGAAGTCCTTGAAGTTCTCGGGGTCAAGGGGGCTCTTTTCTTGCTTAGGGGCATCCTTCTCCGAATATTGAAGGTAGGCGTAGATGCCCGCAGAGACAACACCCGCACCGAGGAGGACAGAAGGCAAGGTACCGGACTTTGGCGAGGCAGCTGGGGTAGTGGAATACCTCCTCGCACCGGCAAACTGGCCAAAGTTAATCAGTCCAATTGACTTCTGTGACAAGTGAAGTGACTGCTTACAATAGAACGAGCAGCAACAGCGCCTCTGAAGAAGGACATGACGGCAATTGACAGAAACGAAGGATGAGCAATTCGCCGTTCGAAAACGGAAGGCTCGAATGCCGCGGCCCGTGTGACAGCGCGTGACCTGCCGAGTGCCGAGAAAAACTCAGGCCCTAACATGAAGTCCCCATTGCGTCATACCCTTCCTAATCACCCCTTTGCAGGCCTTTGGGACAAAATACTGGAAAATTGGAATAAATCGTTCAGATATTCTGGACTTGACCCAGAGCCATATAACTTGGCTACGAGGGCTGGAAATTAATGTAGAATACATTTGAACTTCAAGTGGAAATCGGTTTACCCTGAAAGAAGGGAGATTAGTCAAGGAAACGCTGAAGATGTGATGTATTTGGCCTGAGATAAACAGCAGCCGAGCCGAATCCTTCAAAAGCTCACAGGCTTCTTCCTACCACCATCTCCTCCACAATACGCCCAACGTTCTCCCGTTGAGCGCGATCCTCCCTTCTTCTACCAGCCTATACAGAACTCGTCGTCACCCAAGTCCTTCTCCTCCTCAACGTCAACGACGTCGAGTACAATGTCCTTCGTCAAACTCAGCATATTCGGAACATCCTTCGAGGTTAGGATCCATGGACTAGGGCGGCCATTAGGATGCTCATGACCTACGTTTACCGCAGGTTACAACTCGATATGTTGACCTCCAGCCAGTGGGAATGGGTACGTCGCCTGACTGACTGGGGAGCCACCGATGGGTACTGATCTCTCTCCTGTCGATAGGCGCTTTCGGTCTCGTCTGGTCAGTTAGGCCTCCACAGCATCTCGTATGAAAGGCGACATTGACATCGTCTTCAGCTCAGCGAAAGATCAACTAACAGGAGCATCTGTCGCTATCAAGAAGATCATGAAACCTTTCAGCACACCGGTCCTCGCCAAGCGAACGTACCGCGAACTCAAGCTCTTGAAGCACATCCAACACGAAAACGTAGCCCCGACCTTATTCAAGCGTGCTATCCGCTGACCCTTCTTACAGATTATCAGCCTCAGCGACGTCTTCATCTCCCCACTGGAGGATCTGTACGTTTCCCCCTTTGGGTTACTTCCTCAACCCAGCAGTAACGCTCGTATCCAGGTACTTTGTCACAGAGCTCCTCGGAACTGACCTTCACCGCCTGTTAACGTCGAGACCACTCGAAAAGCAGTTCATTCAATACTTCTTGTACCAAATCTTGGTGCGTTATCTTGTCGATATCCGGGATAGACACTGATCTGCTATCCAACAGCGTGGCCTAAAATACGTTCATTCAGCGGGTGTCGTCCATCGTGACCTCGTATGTTCATTCATCGTCTCCCCTTCACACCCAAACTCAACGACGGAGCCGAATAGAAACCGAGCAATATCCTCGTGAACGAAAACTGTGATCTGAAGGTATGGTTCCCCGAGCAATGGAAAGCTTATTGGGCGCTTGGTCTGACCCACAGCCCTGCCGTTCCCTAGATTTGCGATTTCGGATTGGCTCGTATCCAGGATCCGCAAATGACTGGCTACGTCTCGACACGATACTACCGGGCGCCAGAGATCATGCTAACATGGCAGAAGTATGACGTTGCCGTCGACATCTGGAGTACTGGGTGCATATTTGCAGAGATGCTTGAGGGCAAACCGCTCTTCCCAGGGAAAGATCGTACGTCATATCGCGGGCCACAACACATTCCTCTCCCTGACATATGCCCCTCCCTTCACTTTAGACGTTAACCAATTCTCGATCATCACGGAATTATTGGGCACACCTCCTGATGATGTCATTGAAACCATCTGCAGCGAAAACGTAGGCGTTGCTCCATGTCGTTTGACCAGCTGATTGCAGTCCTGACCCTCAAATGTTCGTCCGTTAGACCCTGCGCTTTGTCCAAAGCTTGCCTAAGCGGCAACGTGTTCCTTTCAGCCAGAAACTGCGGACGACAGACCCAGATGGTAAGATTTGTGTGACTCCGGCCTTGGAAACGGCAATGGCTGAACTCTTTGCGTGTAGCACTTGATCTCCTTGAGCGGATGCTCGTGTTCGACCCGCGCAAGCGGATAAACGCGTCTGAGTCACTTGCTCATGCCTACGTCGCACCTTATCATGATCCTACCGACGAGCCGGAAGCGGAAGAGAAATTTGATTGGAGCTTCAATGACGCCGATCTTCCTATCGATACCTGGAAAGTCATGATGTACAGTGAAATCCTCGGTAAGTCCTTTTGCTTCACAAGGCGATGCTTCTGTGTCAATATAGATTAACCGCCTTTTCTTAGACTTCCATCAGGTCGATCAAGGGCAGGGGCTGGGCATCCCAGAAGGAGCGCTGGCTGGTCCAGAGGATGGGGGCTACTCGAATGGCCATGCTTGATCGCTGACATTTTCTCCCTGGATCTCTTCTTTGTCTCGGGTTATGTCTATTTCTTGATTTTTGTGAGTTCCAAGGTTAGGACCCCGCGCCAACAACTTCAACATCCAATCAAGCTCGACGATACGTGTATTCTAATCGCCATTGCCGTCTCTGTCTCTAAGCCACCTCATTTGTATTTTGTGTATATCTCTCCCTTGCCATGTTGTGCGCCTCTAGTACCATGTTTTACCCGGACTTACTTCCTCGTTCATCTGTCTCTGTTGTTTTTACTTCTCTGATACACGGTCGCTTTTCCGGCGGCACATAGCCTTTGCTTGTTCCTTACCTCGGGGTTTCTTACGCCTTGGCTCGCGTACTTGTATATTCTTCACTATTGGATCTGAAAATGTCAATTTAAATGGAACTTCAAAATGAGTGTCTGCATCCCATTATTTGTGAGTAGATGATGAACTGCGAGTTGAATTCGAACTCTCACATTGACCTGCACTCTGGGGATGTCGTTTGATGGTCCGTCAAGATTCCGTGAAGAGTTTGAGACCGTTTACGACCCTTCGTCGTCTGAATCAGTTCCTATCAGGTGCGATTCAAAGACCGAAGAGGATAGCACGAAGGATCAGCGTATAGTAAGCTCCATTCAAGTCCCTTGCGAGTACGAGTGAATTCACTTCTCCATTGGGCTCGCTACTAACTTGTGGGACGAGCAGGCCGCCGGTTCCTCAGAGCAGCGTCGATCCATGAATGTCTCAGTATCGACTCCCGAGGGGCACGAATTGCCTGAGCCGTGGCGTATCACCCAGGAACTAGTAGATCGCATTGGAAGCCACGGCGGTGAAGCAAATTCAGACGCAGATCGAGATTCAGATAGTCGGAAATTAGCCAAGGACTTAAAAGTGAAGAAGTACAGGAAGTCAGAAAGATACAATAAATCCATATCTGAGGAACTGAAAAGGACCAGGGAGATGGTTGTCAGGATGGGTGAAGCGAGGAGAGCGGAGCGACAGGTCGTCGCTCGAAGTTTGGATGAAATTAGGACAGATTTACCGGGCTTGACCCCATATGTTAGAAACAAATAGTATCCTCAGTTATATTGGTCTGCTTCTTTATTTTTCCACCGACGTTCCTGTTCTTTCGCTACGCTTCAGTAGAGCTCTTATCTACGGGCGCTTGTGAGCTTAAGGAGCAGGTCCGTGCGCCTAACCTTCAGTAGAGTTCCCACGACTGATTAGGGACACTCAGGGGCTCATTGCGTTTGTCACCGAACTTGCAACGACGCGACGACGACGGAGTCGTTCTGTACCGTTCGACACGTCCCTCGTCGTTTCAAGTTTCTTGTTCCGCACTGTAAATCACAGCTTAGGAGCACCGACGACTTAGGGCGCAGAAGGCATAATGTCCCGTCGTAACAGACCCAATGCGTTCGAAGTCTCGTTTGGAGAGAAGTTGGACCCGAGTCCGGCTTCCAAGCCGTCAAGCCAGGCGAGCAGTCAGGCTACGTTGGTGGGGAGCAGATCTGGCACTGCTACCCCATTGAAAAGGCCCAGTGAGGGCCCAGAAGATCACAGGGTACGCGGAGGTTTCACGGATTCATCGAATCTTGCACTTAGTCCCTTCACAGCCCGCCAAGCGCAGAGAACTTCCAGCTGGTGGGTTTACTCGATGCTCTCCACCCCAATTTCACTGGGTCTGACTGTTTTGCGTCTTCTCAGTCCGGTACTACAAGAAACCGCGTGGGGTCACCAGTGTTACCTATGAAGATAGGGAATTCATTCTCGAGGGAGAGGACCCTGACTCTCTCGAAGAGGGCGTCGAAGAGAAACCGATCCGAATCTTGGACTGCTTCGCCTTTTTCGATCCTAAACACAGATGCGAAATGTTACCACTGGATGCTATGGAAAAAGAGGACCGGTTCGATCGACAGTTTGAAGCTGCGGGTTTTGTACGAGTCAAGTTGAAGCATGACGACGATGAGGTCGAAGAAGATCCAAACCCGCCATACCTCAGACTGGGTGCTGTTTTACGCTTCTGGGTTGACTTACTCAATGGCATTGAGTGAGTGTTGATCCCGCCCCTGTGTACATGGACCATGCTGACGGCCAGCCTATAGGCCAGTCTGGATCGAGACTGAATGCGCGTGGTATATCCTAGATGAACCGGACGATCAATACCGTGCTTTCTTCCAGCATTTCTATGTCCCCATATCCCTTGCCCAGATGTTGTTCTCAGCTGCTCTGCAACCCAAGTCTAGGATCACCCGGGCACAGTTTGTACGGGAGCTAACGCAATCTACGGACATCTTTGGAAGGACCTGGCAGGAAGAGGACCTTCATACCTATGTAAGTTGATTTGTTGAAGATATATCCCTCCTATCTTATGGCCACTCAGATGTTGGATCTGCAAGAAGCCCTCGAGGATGCCGAGCCCGACCCGAACGACGAAACTGAGGAGGGGAAAATTAACAGGAGAAAGTACCAGGCTCTGCTTTCCAATCCCGCCGTCATAGCCATATGCAAACGGGCGACAGAGAGAGGACCACGACGCCGTATAAGACCACCCCGTTGCAACCAACCCTCTCCGAAGGACAGGTTAATTGGCGACGCGGATGAACACGTCCTGCTTCCCGAGAATCAAAACACCACGCATGTGACGCCCTTCGTTGCCAGCCTTGTCGAAGGGCTTATTCAAGAAGACTTGAAGGTCGTTGGTGCTCCGTTGCCCACCCCCAGCAAGGCGGTCTTGGAAAAGGAGCAGGTGCAACGGACGAGGCTCCTGAGGAAATTGGTCGACCGCGCGAGGCAAAAGAAAGTCAAGACACAATGGCATACAGATGATCAGGTCAAGGAAGGCTCTGTATACATTACCAAGTGCATGATTGACAGGCAAACCTTCAGGGTCATTCACTGTCGATTTTGTGTTTGGTCCTTGCTGATCTGTCTCTTGCGTAGGTTGGCGACGTGATTCTTGTCACGAACGACACCGCCCCATTTTGGACGCATGTTGATCAACTGAGCCAGGAGGAAATCGACGAAGCGACTCACAATAAACGGCTCTCGGATTTCTTTTGGTTGGTGGTCCATTTTTGACACCGGCACATCACTCACCCCGTATAGGTTTGCCATAATACGTTCGATCAACCGCAGTGAATCTTTGGTCCATATCCAGTGGTTAGAACACGGATGTAACCTCCTCCATGAAGAGCAAGCGAACCCTCAGGAGTTATTTTACACCAACTTGTGTTGTAGCCTTCCATGGAACAACGTGCTCGGCAAAGTCACAGTTCACTGGCATCCTCAAGGCATCGTGAAGATTGATCCTCATGAATTTTATTGCAGGTATGTCCTCTAGCTAAGTCAACGTCGTCGCATCTTTCATAGCCAATAGAATGGTGTACGACCAAGAATTCTCCTCGTTTGTATCCATCAACCGCGAGCAGTACTCTCGCTTAGAAGCTGAATCGCCCCCAGAGAATTGTCCAGCTTGCCAGTACAGCGAGATGGTTCAATCCATGAATGAGTGCAGACGGCTGAAGGACGACAATGGGGTGTACAACGGGTTCACATACCGCGGCCACAAGTATCATTTGGATGACTTTGTCTTATATGTGGATTCTTCAAAACCGCCCCCGACTGCACCTGCAAACATTGGCTACATCATCGAAGCAAAACCAATGGAATGCAGCGGAAAGGAACACGTGGGCTACGTCACAGTACGCAAGGTTGGGAGGATTGTCGATTTGATTTCCATATTGCCCAGTAACATTCCACATGACGAGGTATGTGTTCCCTTCTCAGAGTATCCCCTTCTCAATGATTGATTCCCAATTCAGAGGCACTTGTTTTTAACGGATGAGACTCAGAAGGTTAGCATCGAAGATCTTCGTTGTGTGGTTTATGCTCCTTGTCGCAAGTCTCTCGAAGGCCGCTACACGCTAGATGAATGGGTTAAACTCTCCTCGGATCATTTCTATCTCGAGTACAATTTCCCCAGACTTGAGCGCAACTCGTGGCGCGATAGAGTTGAGGTGAAATGCGAGGAGCATCGAGTTTGCACGACGTGTTGGAAAGAAAAGCTGCACAACCTGCGCCTAGAGAAACAGTTCTTGAAGGAGATGGAGAAGAAGCCGCTGAAAACACTGGATGTTTTTGCTGGCGTACTTGGGTATAGCAAGGGTTTATCGGAGGGCAGCGGGTGCATGGAGATTACACATGCAATAGAAATCTCACCGAGTGCAGCACAAACGGCGAAGTATGTTCTTAGCGCGTTCTACCGTTCCCACTGACATTCCGTCTCTAGGCGAAATTCTCCAAAAACAGTTGTGATTAATCAATGTGCCAACGCAGTCTTCCAATACGCCAAGAAATCGCATGAGGGATTCCAAGTCGCACCTCCCGTTCAGTTGTGGGACAGCAAGGAGAAGATTCCTTCGCTCCCTCCACCAGGATCCTTCGACGTCATTGTCATAGGCTTCCCATGGTACGCCCATGTAGCTTCTCTCTTTTAGTCTCCGACTCACCTGTCTCGCAGTCAGGCGCACTCGGCCTTGAACATGTACAAGAAAGCCAGTGATGTAAAGAATAACCTGGTCCTGAACGCCATCTCCTATATTCAGTACATGGGAGCTCGCATAGTCTATCTGGAGAACGTTATGGGCTTTATGAGGACTCCTCTTAATGCCCGGCAAGCTTCACCATATAAAGTTCAGGGCGGGATCGAGATGGGCGCACTCAAGGTCCTCATTCGGGCGCTATTGGATATGGGGTGCGCTCACTGGTCGCCCAACTGTTCTGAGCTGATCCCATACATCATGGCAGGTATCAGCTGCGATTTGCTGCTCTGCAGGCGGGACACTATGGCACCCCTCAGGGTAGAGAACGCTTCATTCTTGTCGCTGCTCTTCCTGGAACCCAGTTGCCAGAGCTTCCACAGCCGACACACGCCTTCCCTTCGACTCAACTGGGACTTAAGCTCCACTACGGAGGTGAGGAGAAGCTCATCAAGCCCATCCGGACAGCGCCAGGGACAGCCCCGCATCACCCTGTGACTACCGAGGATTCCATTGGCGACCTAGCTCCATTCGATTGGTCAGTGCTTGAATGTCCTCTCTGATTACAGGCTCTCATTTCCACTGGAAAATAGGGTGGCTCCAGGAGCTAGGGCACGTCCTAGGATGGATGAGAAGGGCAGGCCCGTTAAGGTCATCGTTTGCGATAACAGGGAGAGCAAAACCTGCGGCGTTGACGAGGACGAACCTTATCACACCAAACCTCGAACTCGATACCAGATGGAAATGAGGCAGGTGCGGGAAAGCACGCGCCCTCTATCAGACCTGCAGCACTTCACGAAAGCCTTTAAACCTGAGGTGGTCCGCAGGTATGGAACTTTTGGGGAGTCGTTAATATCAGGATCTAAATGCCCAATTTACAGGGTTACGAAGATTCCACGTAGGGACGGTGCTTGTGCGCGAGGTAATGACTCGTTTCTCAATGCCCAGCCGATTTACTCACTATGTTTCGAGACCTGGATCCTGCGGACACTGAATGGCAAATCAGTAATCCTAATTCAGCTGTTGGTAAGAGAGGCTACAAGGTCAAGACCTACGCGCGAGTGTCCAGAAAAGGATTCTTCCACACCATTGTCACCAATATCTCACCGACTGCGAAACAGAGTAGTGTTATACATTACATCGTACGTTGAACCCAGTTTACAGGAGCGTCACCTTACCGGAAAATTTCTGTAGGACAACCGAATCCTCAGCATCCGGGAACTTGCAAGGGCTCAGGGATTTCCAGACGATTTTGTGTTTGTAGCAAACAAGGTAGAAACGGTAAGTATGCCCTTTACTTTCCGTCCAAGGTTGATACTCACATTACCCGTCGCGTTAGATACATCGCCTAATCGGTAACGCAGTTCCAATACCCCTGGGCAAGGCGTTGGGACGTGAACTTCGCAAGGCCCAATTCGAACAGTGGAAACGCGAGAGGGAAAATGCCGGAGCAGGTTCGGGAGATGGTGATGGTGACGACGATGATATCTATTCGTGACAGGAATCTAAATTATCAATAGTATTTCAATAAATCAGCTCCTTCCAGTACGCCGTAATGGATTTCCGTTCCCCCCTGTGCAGTACTCTGCTCTAACCGCGTATGGCCGCTTCGATAGCAACCGAGTACCATTGGGGATGAGGGGAACCAGTATGCTTCTGGTATGGATTTCGTCCGTCCTCCGATGGTCTGGACATGTCGGAAGCGCATCGTTCTTCCTAAGGCGCATCGAAAGGTTGATCGTGCCGCCCGGCCTTCTGGGATTGTGGGACTGTCGGTGCAGGTCGACATGGCCCGAGTTTGCGAGGATCATTCTAACCTTCGTCGTCCGAATCCTGCTGAGCCTCATACCCCGCCCAAACGACCTCGGAACAGCTATCACAGCCGATGAGATGTTCATCTCGCTCCATCAGCTCGAGAGTAAGGGTATATCGTCCTCCGCAACGACATGGGTACGTCCATGGGCCTTCATCGCCTTCATCTTCCGATCCATTGGCCGCCAAACTCGTCCACTCCTCCAATGGAATAACTTGGGCAGGGCGTGGTCGGTGAGCATAAGATGCTCGCTTCAGCTCTGCATCGTGTTCCGCCCTTCTGCTGCTGTTCGAAAGGACCTCGAAAGCCTCCTTGATATGTGCAATCTCCACGATACCGATCTCTGCGGACCGTTGGGTAGCCTGTTTGTCCGGGTGGTGCCGCAAGAGAGCTTTGTGATACGCTGCTTTTAGTTCTGCGGCGGATGCATCGGGTTGGACATTGAGGACCTCGTAGTAGTTGATGGACGTGGTCGTCGCCGAGCTCTGCGATTGAGCCAGTTTCGCGGATGTGGGATGAGGTCAAGCTGTAAATTGCCCTGATTGCCAAGAGAAAGTCGCTGATCGATTAGATCGTTTTTGATGGATTTGATGGACCTACTGGGACCCATAAGCTACCGGTAGGCAGAGAAGGGCAAAAGGGCGTGGATTTCAGACGGAAACTCATCATCCGACAGCCTAGACAATATATACTGTACCCGTAGCTTTGCCAAATCCCTCGTCAATTCCCAGTTTTCTTTGCCCGAAATAATCCCTTAAGATGTCCGACTCACGATCGAGACGGAGACAGGCGGGTTCGAAAGGGGGCTGCCCCTTATTCGCACTGAAGTAAAACCAACCTGGAGGTCTTTCTTGTCCAGATAATACACCGCTCCCACTCCCTCCTGTCCTTTCCGATGACAAGTGGCATGAGCATGCATAGTGCTCGCAGAGCCGCATTCCCATTCCCCGTTGGCCACGGCAACCATGGCTCCCTCTTCACCATCGCCGCTCCAGTGATAGCACCTGTATCCTGGTTCATCGCATCTTCTGCGCAGGCGTACGTCCTGGTCACCTCGGCATACTCATCCCCGTCGAATTTTGGGTCTAGTGATGCCATGCTCTTCGCTTTGACGATCTTTGTGTCGCTTCTAGGTGGACTTTGGATGGGATTCGACTTTGCTCCCGCCGGCAGCGTTGCCACTACTAGTGGTGCCACTGCCATCCATTCCATATCCCTGAGACAGGCTCCTATGAATTCGGAGAAGATGCCCCTCCTGGAATCCTTTAAACAGCTCGGTACCGGGGAGAAAGGGGTACTTGTACTCCAAGGCGGTCAGATTCAATTGACGTACGGCGATCCCAATCCATGGACACCGGTGGCGAGGAAAGGCGGAAGCAGGCCAAGATCGCTGTCTCGTGCATACCGCCCTTACTTTATTGCCGGAAATATGTCCTTTGGTGAGCCTTTCTGTCGATTCTTGGGTACGTCTGAATATTCAAATTCTGAGCCCAGTTGCTTGGTCGCTGCTCTGGACCTACAAATTCTACATCGCATCCCAGCTCGTCCTTGTCGCCAACCTCGTTACCCAGAACTATGTCGTCTTCATCGTCCTACATGCTTGGAGGAATACCCGGCCGAAAGTAAACCACACGTCGAACTGGTTCACCCACCTTCTGTCTAAAGGAAACGCCGCCATGACCTTCTTACTCCTTTGGAAGAATTCCGGCATTCTCGAGGTAAGAAGCTTTGCCTGCCTTTCTGTTCGCATCATTTGCTCGAAAAGCTCACCCGAATGATACCCTCCCTAGAAGGCCGCGTCCCCTACTATCTCGGAGATGATAAACAACGCAGTGATATTCATCTTAATGGTAGGTTTTAGTCTCCTTGCATTTGCCCGGCGCTAGCTATCAACGACTGAACCTCCTGGCTTATAGGCTATCGGTGCAGGCCCCGATCCGACCCTTGGGATATACCTTCTATATGATCTAATCGCCCTTTCTTGTGGCACCACCGAGGATAAAGCTGGGTGGCAAACGGCTTTCCAGATGACGGCACTCTGCCTATTGTTCATCATGGCATGGGACTTGTCGGACATTTGGGGTGGTGAGAAGGAGCACGACGATGGAGAGGAAGACGAGGATGGAATGGACGACCAGGTCGTTGGATCACATCTGAGGTTCGTATGAGGGTGTCAAGTACGCGTTGGTGACGCGACGCGACGCGGCGATGCCTTAGATGATGATGTCATTCTCTCATGTCGTAGACATAAATGGTGTGTCTGAGGATAATTTGGATAGGGAGTACGAGAAAAGGCCCCACTATGCGCAATCAGTCCCATTCGAAAGATGACCACCATCACAGTGTCACTGTCTGAGTCCTTGTTCGTCGCCATGATCCTCTCCGTCGCCATCACATATCTCCTCGACATACTCCTGTTTTTCGTGGGATTGTCCGGGCATGTTGTCCGAATCTCTCGCATTGATTTATGGCGACCCGCGATAAAGGGCATAACCTACAGCCGTCATCGTAAAGGTTATCATGCGATGGAGGTCTCAGTAGGTTCTGTGACCTTCCAACCCCACCTACCCCGACCATCTGCCCCCTACTTCGGCACTATAATCATCGACGACGTCTCCGTCAACCAGATTCCCCAGTATTCGGGCAGGATTCAACAAGTCAAGGCAATTTTGTGGCTCCTACCCACCCTTTTCAGATTCACAGCAGGTCCGATAGTCACAGCAGAAGTTCACGACTTTCTCATCGATGTCACCGAGTCAAGGATGGAGCCCAGCTGGTTGCGCGCGATTCGGTTGAATCTGGTGGAAACGATCTTGAGGGGAGAGACACTCCGGGTGAACGAAGTCAAGTCGAAGGTTTGGTTGTGGGAGCCGGCGACAGGGCCGAGAAAGACTAGGATACAGAAGGGAGAGGAGGAGGCGGAGGAGGGACTGAAGGAGGAGGGAGTGGGGGAGGAAAGTGAAGAGGAACCTCCGGACAAAGAAGAGTCTTCTGAGGCAACACCTTCCGACGGCGACGACGAGGAAGATGGGAATGATTTTATCAACGAGAAGGTAGAGTTCAAGGACACCGACGACACGGAAACCCGTGCAAGAATCTCTGCCTTCCAGGCCATGCTGCACAATTTCCGGAATAATCGAATGTACAGTATGGGCCGGATTGACACAGAGATCAAACGTCCATGGGGTGCTCCGCCTTGGCCCGCGTCCTCTGCAGTGGATTTTTATGACGATGAAGACGATGCTTGGACGGGATCGTTGTTGTTGAGGATCGCGGATAGCAACTGGACTAAGATACCACGGGTCGGGGAAACGGTGTCGTCTGGCCCATGGTCCGTAGCCAAGTATGCCTCATCCAATTACATTGGGGAACCACGCTGACTTTTATCGCTTCAGGTCACTCGTTTTTGGTTTCTTGACCTTCCCGATCTTCGTTTCGAAAGCTCTCTGGGATCCACTTCAATACGTCGACCTCGTCTGCACCAACGCGGAGATGAATTATCGACAATTTCGACTGCGCGACGCAGAGCTTTTCGTCGAGGCGGGTAAAGTGGCATACGAGCGTTATTCCAGTCTTCAGGATAATACGAAGCGCATCCTCGAAGACTGGGCTTGGGAACTTTTCGTCGGAGGGCTTTCGTCTGCATTCGGTCTGGATGAGCCTAAAGTCGCCAGTGAGGTGAAGGATAACAAAGACGTGTCGGAGAAGGCCTCGGTAGACAATTCTGTAGAACTCCCCCCACCTATAATCAAGAATTAGGCTACGACGACCATGTAGTTATTCAGAACTCACTCAATGTATTGGGCTTCATGGCGGTCGATGTTCAAAGGGCGTGGTAAGACGCGACGGCATCAATCGCGCCCAACTTGTCTCCGCTTCACCACCATCCAAAGCTGTGAGTTCGTGCTGAATCTCGTAAAACCAAGTCCTTGACAATATTCTGAAGCTATGGACCCGCCAGAACCGGTTGCGAGCACGTCCAAACTTCAGGATGTGTCCCATCTCGCCGATCTGCTCACCTCAGGGCCCGCTGACAAGACCGCAGCGAGTTCCCTCAATCAGCCTGGGTCAAAGGACTACCTATCCCAGCTAACGACATTCTCGATATCAGACTTGTTCGCAGAACCGACGACGCTGCAAACTCAGGCCCACCACTTGACCTCCAGCCTTACCTCCTTAACGCACACATCATATCCCACCTTCCTCTCATTACATCGGACAACCTCAGCGCTCACAAACTCGTTGGAAAGCTTGGCTTCGTCTCTGGACTCTTTGCTCAACAAGAGCCTTCCAGCCTTGGAGGAATCCGCGACGAATTGGAAGCAGCGAACGGAAGAAGTGTTGCGGGAACGGGGACGGGCAAGAGTAGTTCTCGACCAGCACGACAAGATTCGCGACTTGCTGGATATCCCGCTTTTAATAGACGCTTGTGTCAGGAATGGATATTTTGCAGAAGCATTGTCCTTGTCCTCGCATGCAAAGGCTCTGTCGTCGAGTCCGTCCTTCCAGGACAAAACCCCGCCTCTGGTCCTTCAATCAGTGCTATCGGAAGTGCACAACTCGATAACTCAAATGCTTTTGTCCCTTTTGGCCACATTGTACGAACCCAATAGGAAGCTCCCCGCTCTGTGGAAGGCCGTCAACTTTCTTCGAAAGATGGACGCCTTCGGTCCTTCCTCACCTTTCGCTTCCCTGGAGGGCAAATCCAAGACACGAGTCTACCTCTCCTCCGAAGATATCGTCAATCCAGAAGACGAAATTACGAACGAAGAACAGATCGCACTCGCCTTCCTCGTCGGGAGGGAAACTTGCCTCAAGTCCTCCCTGGAAACAGTCGGAAATGACGTTTCGCGGCTTTCGAAAAACGAGGACCTGGATGACAGGGAGAAGGATGATCTGGCGAGGTATCTGAAGAAGTATATCGACGTGTGGAGGGAAGGTGCATACGATGTGATCACGCAGTATACGACAATCTTCCTGGAAAAATCCTCGACATCCGTCCCCGCATCCAATAGAACACCGGTGTCGGCGTCATCGTCCGCGAACCAAGGACAGGAACTACTCCGTCTCCATTCCCTCATCACGACATTCGCCTCGCATACCCTCAACACACACCTCATCCCGATCCTTGCCCCAGCACTCCCATTGCTCTCCCTTTCCCTATTACCATCTCTCCTTACCCAACTCACCTACTGCTCGACGGCATTTGCAAGAGTGGGCTTGGACTTCCGCGGCATCTTATCACTTCTGTTCGCCGATGCCATACTTCAAGTCGTAGGTCGGGATGTCCGAGCAGCCAGTGATCAGTGGCTGAGTCGCCTACGCAAAGCGTCCGGTGCAAACTCGACCAACACAAGGGATCGCAAGCAAGTTTCACCTCCCTCGAAATGGCTCATTGCCACGTCAGCTGTCTCTTCCCCTCCTCTTCCTGCTCCGAATGCAGTCCAAGGTCCCCCACACATCCCACCACAGATTCTGGCATCATATCCTCCCCTGGCAGAGCATACAAACTCCCTTCTAGGGGTATTCAATGCCCTCCGGTTACTTGCTCCTCTCAGCATCGTCTCCGATCTTGTCGAAGTCGTCGACGATGTCTTGGCTGAAGGCGCGAACGCCCTCTTAACCTACCTCAAGGCTTTCACCATCAACCTCGCACAGAGTACAGCTGTAACAGACGACGAACTCGACCGCCGGAAACGCGATAAACGCGTCGCTTTGGCCATTGGGGAGGTGTACCTCACTGTGTTCCTTCCGTTCATCCGGAGAGCTTTGGTTCAAGGTGTTTATAGCAGTCAGGTGGAGGTCAAATCGGAAACAAACGAGACGAAGCTGAAGGAGGTGCAGACGAAATGGGATAAACTCAAAATGGAGTTGGAACAGTCCGGTCCGTAGTTGTCGTGGTTTGGGAATATTGTTTGGAATTTATTCGCAATTTTTTGGAGCTCGTCTCAAGGCTCTCATGTTATCTCACCTCTTCGGACCTCAGCCCACTCGCCTTTTGTTTTCTTTCGTTGCTACACGACCAGGATTTAATCTCGTGCAAGTCGTGCTCGGCTCAAGTCTCAAAGCTTCATGAAGTTATCGAGTTTCGGACCGTTGTTCAGGCTTCCTCTTTTGTATCTAGGCGCTACTAACCTCGTTCCGGCGTTTCAGGTCTGGATACCCACTACATCGATCATCGTGATGACGATTGCACACGTAGTAGATCCACTGCGCCTCGAGCCCTCGATGCCTAACAGCAAACTAAGCCAAAAGTGAAAATCAAGTACACAGTGTCCTGCTATGCCCACAGCTTTGATTCCTGTTCTGGCAACTCAGGAGCGAATCGATAGTCTGTGCATACAAGCGCTGATTCCAAATGAAAGTCAGTAATCACGTAGCGGGTTCTATTTCTTGGGTGTGCTGGGGCCTCAGTTGGCCGTGAAACTATTGTCTGGTGGTGACTATCATATGGGCATTAATTCATCTTTCCCTCGAACATCGGCTACTGATCAATAGTCCGTGGTCGGCATCTTTCAACAGATACTTATGGATGTTAATCAAGTATGATATCACTAGATTGGTTTAGTTGTACGAAGTTGGATGGGGATGGCTGGGTCAGTGAGTATCTTAGTCCGATTGGTACCTGTCCATGGGTAGACCAGTGTACGTTTGGCCCGCTTTACCAGCTCTCAACTTTCAGAATCTGGGGTAGCACTCTCAGTTGGATGTACACAAGCCGTTTGTCACGGTGGATGTAAACGTCGGTGTCAAGGCCATCGAATTCGTAGGCACCCGCACCTCTGCCGCTCTCCTTGCCCGACCTATCAACGAATTGGACAGTAAGATGTGCCCTGAGCCCAAATCAAACTTCTATCCTTTCTCAGAGGTGCGGTCCCGGAGTTGTATTCAGTGGGTCTGTGCCTTGCCGTGATTTGGACCCACTGGCAGTGACCAGTCTACCCGGTGTCCTTGTCTACTGTACGTCGTGAGGCTATTGATCGCTCTTGGTGAGACCGGACCTGGGGGCTGCTAGACGAAGGTTGATACCCTTCCCTGGGTACCTGTGCTCCCAAAGGGGAGACCCCTTCCCCGCATTGGCGCTAATTGTCGACGGGGTCAGCCGCAAAAATAAATGAATGACGACACCCTCATCCTTGTTCTGTTTAAATATCAAGTACTAGGCCTTGTACAACCTCTAATGAACATTAACATGCCTGTGGCGTGTCTGTGCTTACTTACAACTCGTGCGTATATATGGAACACGCGGAGCATGGCCGCCCCCATGCCAGATGAAATTGGTTTCATTCCTTCAGGGCTGGCGTTTCCTCGGAATTACAAGGGTCGCTTGAGTGTGGCGAGACGAGGAGGTGGCAGGTGTGACGATCGAGAGCAGATGACCTTGGTCTGACAAGTGGGAGATGGAGACTTCCGCCTTGCGATCGGCTATGCCCTGAGTGTGGGAAGAAATCTATGGGCGCTTAAGTTCGAGCGATCGAGACTTCGCGCGCTAACTGATAACCTGATTAAAACACTGCTAATGTCGCATGAAACGCTCATGCACTCATCGAGGCACATCGCCTCCCAATATCAGGTGGTAATCTCTGGAAAACTCCACCGATGTTTTATCGGATTACGCCGCTATCCGAACATGTTCACGATTTATCAGTCATTTTTGGTCGAGGAAGCTTAATTCTTGGCCTCGCGTCTGCCCATCCACATTCAAAACTGAGAAAAAAACGTTTAGGGGCCAATATAGGAGAAAACACGCGTGTCTAGGCGAACTTCTTCTGGACCAGAGTTGCCGCGTTGCAGACTCGAGGCTAAGTTGGCGGGAAAAGTTTCAGAGTGGTGAGGGTTTGGGGTTCTCCCTTGAGTTCTCCCCTGAGGGTTCTGGGGTGCTTATTCATGTCTTCTCTGCTGCGTGTAAGGTGACTTCGAAGGAGTTGTGGCTGGGTTTTCTTCTCAGGAATTTGAAGTGGGCTAGGGTCCCTTGTCGGAAACATCCCCGTTCTAAAAAGAACGAAGGATTCGAATTTCGCAAACCTCAAGGCGCCGTCTGGTTCGAACGCCACAAGTCATCTCCGGGGATGGAGAATTTGCTTGGGCATGCGAGTGGAGCGAAGTGCTTATTGTAGTTCGAGTTCTTTGTCTAAGGTTTCAACGAGCCTCGGAAATCGCCTTACAGCCGTTTGCATTAGTCTTTGCGCGAGCGATGTCGCAGAAACCAATTGATGGCGTGTCGGAAAACTCCGTATGGCAGCCCAAGTCACGCTCGACGACCGTCGTTCAGGCTTCGGTATGAGATGTTTGCCTCATCCTCGTACCCTTACCGTCTCTCTTTGTACTTCCAATGGTATGAAACAGCGAAATGTCCCTTTCACACCAACAATTCGTAAAATCGGCCATGTATTCGAGGAAGAACCTGGTTGGAACCTGGCAGGTGGGAACCCCACGGAATTTTCCGACACGCCATCAATTGGTTTCTGCGACATCGCTCGCGCAAAGACTAATGCAAACGGCTGTAATCCGAGTAATCCGATAACGAGCAGATAGCGCTGAGTTTGTTTCTGAGGGAAAGCACGTTGCTTCTGGGCGCTATCGAGTACCACGGCCTTGGGATGGCCGGGCGCGGCATCGCAGGTAATTAATAGCCACTTCCCGGTGCTGGGCATCGCGAAGAAGGAAAGAGGGGGGTAATTTCGCGACGCAGTCAGGAAATCTGAGTCAGGCGCCCGTTGAGCAGTGGGGATATGTCGTCCTTTGTAGTAGAATGGCGATACAGTCACATAATGAATGACGGCTTAGAGTGCCCTCGAGCGGTTTGGTCGGAGCTTTGTAGACCTCTCGGCAGTTAGGATCAGTACGAATTTATGGGAATTTGGGAGGGTTGACGCGGAGAATCAAAATTTGGGCGTTTTGAGTATTGACACACTGGGGTACGTTATTGAAGGGTTAAAATTGGGAATGGAGCTCGCGTGTGCACTCCGACTGGCACTCGGCTCGTTCGCTAGTCTGACACTGAGCACAGGGAGCTCCCAGAGTCCAAGCCGTTAACGTTGCTAGTACATTTTAGAATGATAGGTATCTTCTCAAAGCATGCACTCTCTCACAGTGAACCATGGGACTTGCCGCCACAAACGGGGAGGTGTCTATGTAAATAGATCCTAGACGCGATATCGATGGCTGGGATGGAAAAGGTGATTACAATGGAGGCGTCAGCCCGGATGCCGGGTCTTGAGAGGGGTTTACTTCAATCGGGCAATTGGAGGAGGGTTTGGGATTTTGGCGAGGCAAGCAAGCAATGATATTTGCATGATATATCCAGGGGACAAACCGGAGGTCGGAAGCGCTTGAAGACGGTCCAGGTGTCGAGTATGCGCGCATAACTCGCCCTGTTCAAATCTTTTAAGCAGCGGAGATATCGAGCGCCTGTCAATGCCGGTGAAAGAATACTCCATTTGCCAGCAAAGCACAGGACGAGAGCAGAGCGATGAGGAATCCCAAAGCAATACCACACGCTCAATGTCAGAAGGGGACCATGAGCGAATAAATGACTGTTCGACACGCCATCTTTGACGGCTTGGACAGCTGCTGCACGTATGTCAGGCAAGTGCAAAATAGTGCGCGGTGTACCTCATCCCCCTGTCAAAGACGTAGTAACGTAACAGGACCCTTGGCCGTGGAAACACGGGCATTTTGGTCGGAAGGGGTGAACGGAACATGGAGGTCTATGGGTAATAAGGTAGTGTTTTCCTTGGAATGGCTTAGACTCGAGTCAAATAGATGGGCGATATGCAGTCAGATATGTGGCATTCGATGTTGGTTGTCAGTGAAGAGTCTACTAAGACAGCCCGGGCATTGCCCAACGCAAGTCAGAGAAGGTGTGGATCGCTTGGACAGAGATCCTGAGGTTGAGGATGCTCCAATGTCGTGTTTTTTGTAGGCTACGAGTCATTGTGACGTTACATGTTAGAGCATGTTCGATTGTCGCGCAAGGGAATGTTTTGGGAGCGCGCGGCTAAATGAGGTTCGGACCGAACTCTCAAGGGGTACAATGCAAGGACGGAGGCGGAGTCGGGAGGACCTACCTAGCCCGAATAGCGCCTCGAAACGAGAGTTTAAGCCGTACGAGATCTGGCTTTTTACATGGCGGATATCAGGCCTTAGTATCCTCGGCGATCTGGAATGTTTGTTACTCGTCCTGGAAAGGAAGGCAAGTTAACGGTTAAGGAAGACTGGTTTGGAAGGACGCGGCTCTTTTCTAATGCAGCTAGATCGAAAAGGATAATGTCAATAGGAAGCTAAAGCCGGGATTTGCAGACTTCCAAGGTGCATTTCAGATATTATTCGAGGAGAACAGTCAGGGAAACGCGTTTTGCTGGCAGTAGGTCAGTCGGGGACGAGATTGAAAAATTGCCGCTGTGCTTCTCTCCGGAAAACCCTCTGAGCGGAGGTGCGCTTCAAAGTGCGTACCGCGTACTGGTGTTGTTCTTTCTTCCACGCGACGGCGATCAGTGGGTACCTCCAAAACTTGGGAAATTTACTGAGAGCTGTTTCGACCACCCTGAATCGCGTGATGTCACAGACAATGAAGCCCGGTATAATTGGACCGGCGCTATTGTACGGTGGAGTCAGTTTGCCTATCTCAGTGCTATCCCATGAATATTTGGGTGTGAACTCGGCGAGTCAGGATCCGGAAGGAGAATACCAGAAATGCAGGAGGCCATCGTCATCTTCCAGAGAACAAAAGATGGAAAAGCAGACGTAAGATCCGGAATAGATCTTGGTGGTAAGCTGGTGGATTGAAGCGGCAGTGCTGAATGATAGACTGCGTACAGGGTTGGTTCGTTTACGCCCCGAGATCTGGCGTTCGAATGGGGGTATGGTGGCCAAGGGAATTGGACCGGAAAAGGCAAGTCCCACGAGGGACCCTGTTAGGCGGAGGCTTTGGTTGTTTCACGGAGGCAGCCCAGTCTTGACAATGGCTTTCATATAAAAATATGATAATCGGGGACCTCCAGATTCGACCTGGCTTTCTGGGCCGTTCTTATACGGACTGCTCCTGTCAAAACCTTTGTGGATTTGACTCTTGACGACTCTTGACGTTACCACCAATTCCCTCTCTCATTGGTCACGATATGCACGTCTTCGACTTCTTCGCACAGTTAACCTCGACAGCGTTCCGGCCATGGCTTTTCTCGCCCTTCGCCGCGCCCCACAACCTCAAGCACTTCCCCGTCGCCACAAGGCCAACCGTCCACGACCTTTCCTTCGATCTGGAACTGCCTTGCTCGTCCCCGACGACACCAGCGACATCGCCCACAGCATTGGTTTCCACTACTCGCCGTTCTGCCCCTGTGCACATGCCTTTGGAGTTGATTCTCCAGATAATTGAGGCATCCTATGATCGAGGACACCCAGACATATCGCTGCTCAAGGCCTGCTCTCTCGTCTGCAGAGAATGGTCTGTCGCCGTCCAGAAGCTGCTGTTCAGGAAGGTCGTCCTCCAGACCCTTCCCGCCTTCCAGTCGTTCAGCAGGGCTATTAACCCCTCAACTGAACGCGGCAGCATCCTGGGCAGCGCAGTTCGCGAACTCCGTGTGGTGGTAGATTACAGCCAGCCTTCCTATCTCCACCAACATGCCATGGCTCGTGCCGTCACCATGTGCCCCAACCTGCAAGAGCTGGATCTCTCGCTCTACGGGTTCGCAGAACCTAGCGGTGACCAAGAAGAGGGATCCCAAAACGGCCCCCGTCTCCGTCGTCGGGCCCCCTGCTTCGACGAGCAGACCCTCACTCTCCTTCGCTCCGGTCCCCAAATCACTTCTCTTTCATTCAGCAACTGGTCGGAAAATCACGAATGCATCTTCCAGCTCCTCGATGTCTGGCCATCCCTTCAATCCCTCTCTATGAGTGGTACATCTCCTCACCTCCCGTCGCAATCGTCTCTATCCTATTCAGGAGCCCTGGAGCAATTACGAATGAACTTCCAGACTCCTCCCTCAATGGAGTTCATGAATTGGCTTCTTCATCATTCGACAGACTCCCTTCGAGGTGTGACGCTCGAACGCGATCCGTGTCCAGATTTGGTCGATTTCATCATGGACTCGTTCACTCCCAGCCTTCGATCACTCACCATCCCGAACTGCACTTCGTCTGACATGGCTCGGCGACTCGAAAAATGCGATGGCCTCAGGTTCCTGCGCATGGACCAGCCTCAGGTAAACCCGCTGGTTTACAAGTCACTCCCCGCTTCCATCAATCATCTCGCCTTTGGCGTTGATCGTGATACACCTCTCCAACCAGTCATTGATCTGGTCAAGTCACGAAGTGCGTTGGAGTTGGTTACGATCCGACTTTGGAATGGAGGCGACAACCATCGGCTGCTTCCCGCACTCAAGATAGCCTGTGCATACCGCGGGGTTGATCTTAGGATGACCAACGATACTTTGCAGTATGACTCGATGCTCGTAAGTTGTCCGCAGCAGTTGCCGTTTGTACGTGGAGCTGATGGATTTGCTTTTTAGCTTTGCTGAATCTTTCCTTCCGTGGTCTAAACGTGCACCCCATTTCGAACTGCCACGAACCCACGACTCTCACATCCATTTCCTTGACGCCGGTCCCCGACTCTCTTACCTCGTGTTCCCTTTCATTACTATCCCGATTAATGACGCCCACCCAATGTCTTTCGCATTCTCTTGATCCATTGTTGTTGTCCATCCAGCTTTCATGAGCGCTCTGAACAACGTTGTATTTCCATTTCCATCACTTACGACCTCATCACACTCGCTCATACGTTCATAGCATTTCTGCATTTTGTGTATTCTTACCCATCTCAACGACACGTCCACCGTAGCATATCCAGTACTTTGACTGTTCATGATCCATCATCATCCTCATCCATCCGCTCCATCCACATTACCACAACCCTCACTCGTACCTCATACTCTCTGCCTTTATTCGTATTCTAGCTTTCTTGGCCTTTATTGTGCGAGATTGGTTCGAGACTCTCTTCCTTCGCCTTCTTTCTAGAGCTCTCGGTCGACCATCTCACTTCTTGTCACATATTCTTTTACATACCCCACACGATCAGGCTTTCTGCTTCGTACACCTTTAGATGCGTGCCACCATTCCCACCACCCTCATTCCGGATTTTTTCTAGGACGGTGCAAAAAAGCTCCATATAATAATGCCCCTATTTATTGTGCTTCGTATTCGTAGTCAAGTTCACAATGAACATGGTACATAGATGTTTTTCACGTTGAAATATCTACTCTGCCGTTTCATGTTCACGAGGATCCTGCTGAGCGCGTAAAAGGCGCGTTGTCCAGACTCGGCTCGGCGGCGACTTTGAGTTGCGATCAAAACAGCGCCAAACATTTGGAGAACGCCCACTCTGGTGAACTCAGCACATTGCCAACCACCACCAGCCCCCTTTATAGCCAGCTGGCCCTGCGCCAAGCTCCACAGGCAGCCAAACTACCCACCCATTGTCGACAACGAAGAAATCAGCAGCGACGACGACGACTGCCAAGATGGCATCATCGAGCAATACTCTCTCTTCTGTGGTTTCGAACCTGGTCCGCGCCCAAATGGGTACATCGCTAGCGCCGACGGTGACAGACGAAGACCTCGACCGGCACGTTGCAGAGCTCATCTTGAAGGAGGCTAAAAAGAAAGCTGAGCGTTATGACCAACAAGGAATCCGTGCTTTAATTTCCAATAACATGTAAGTGGCACGTCTCTTTATTGTATTGCCAAAAAGCTTAATGAACAACCCACTCATCCCACCGTCACCGTACACTCCCACTCGCAACTCAATTTAACGCCCAAATTATGGATTCATTCATTCATACATGGATTGAACCGCGGTATTGGTGGTTACTGCGATTACAGTGACTCCAATGCGCCGAGACCGAACAAGCGGTTCCTAACTTCCATCATCAAGAGCACGGATGAGCATAACAAGACGGTGTTGAGGGCACAAGCGTTGGCTGCTGAAGAAGTCAAACGAGAGCGAGCAGAGCAAGAGAAGAGGGAACGCAGACGGAGAGCACAGGAGGCTGTTGAGGCTGAGAAACTCCGTCGGTCTTCCCGGATGGGTGATTCGAGGAGCAGTAGGCGTAGGAGGGGCGATGGGGATGAGAGTTGGGATAGGTGGGACGGCCGAACGGCTGAGCGGAAGCGAAAAGCGAGGGATTGGGCAACGTGGAAGGGGGACGACTACGAGGAAGAAGCGAGATCTGAGGAAGAGGATAGGTCGAGGAAGCGAAGGCGGGATACACCTTCAAGGTCGCCGTCGAGGTCTAGGTCTAGAAGCAGGGATAGAGACAGAGATTCCCGAAAGAGGACTTCGAGGCGAACACGCGATGACGACGAGGACGGGTCTTCCAGTCGCAAACACAGGCGCGAAAGGGATCGAGACCGAAGTCGCTCACCTCGAGGCAAACATGTTTCCGACTCCAGCAGTCGGAAGCGAGAGAGGAGCAGAGATCGAAGACGAAAACGGTCTCGCTCTCGAGGTTATTCACCATCGACGTCTTCTCGTACGGCCCGTTCGGAGAGTCCTAAACGACGCTCTGGACGCGACCGTCCAAGTCGATATGCTCTTGATGACCTCTCAGATGACCTTCCACCGCGTCGAAGTCCTTCCCCCTATCACAAAGAACACGAACGCGACAGGTCACCACCACCAACGAAGAAATCCTCGCACAAATCTAAAGACGAGGATAGCCAATCGTCTTCGTCCTCCCATAAATCATCCAAACGGAGAGCGCGAAGCAAGAGCCGAAGTCGTTCTCGATCACGCACGCCCTCTCCTGTGCGTTCCCGCCAAATGTCCACCTCTCCCTCTCCTTCACCGTCCCGATCATCCACGCCTGGCCCCCTCCCTCCTGCTCAAGTACCCTCCAAGATGGACAAATATTTTGAAGAATCCTACGATCCTCGACTGGACGTGGCGCCTCTTTCTGTACCCACAGTACCAAAGGAAGGCCTTATCAGTGACGCAGAGTATGACGGGTGGGACGCCATGCTCGAACTTATCCGTCTGCGAGAGCAGGACAAGGCGGATAAGAAGGCGTTGGAGAAGCTGGGTTATTCGTCGAAAGAGATAAAGGAGATGAGGAAGAAGCAGAAGTTGTCGGCTGGACCGAGCGGGAGTTCTAGTTCGGCGGAGGTTGCTGCGCGGTGGGGAGGTGAGACGGACAATATTATGAATATAGAATATACGAAGAGGGGGGCGGTGAGGGAGTGGGATCTCGGGAAGGCAGGGTTCTGATCTTTCCTTTCTTACTACTAGTAACGCATAGTACGACACGCTTTATTTCCCCATCCATATCATGTCTCGTTTTCCCTGTTATTGCTTTCGTTCGACGCCATTAGACCAGATGATTATAAGCACATACTACCTGTACAGACGACACCATACATACATACACTGTATTTCTACCAACGCGATCGCGTTCCCCATGCATGAGCAAAGTAACTGAAATGACTATGGTACACGAATGAAGGCTGCACGAAACAAAGTGAAGAGTCCCTAAAGCGTGGCAAGTAGAACGAGAAAACAGACGGGATACGCAAGAGAATCGTTTATGATGCATAAACAAGATGAAAAGGCTAGGTGCAAAGCTAAGTTTTGCATAGTGAAATGAATAATTAAAGATGTGTCTATCATGGAGGCTGAATGGACTGAGAAGGATTGAGAATGCGAGATAGACTGTAGATAGAATGGGGTAGACATAATGATAAGATAGTAGGATGCATGTGTTGAAGACTGAAAAGGGGTGAATCGTTAACCGTGAATGCAGAGTGTAAACATGGGAGACGAAGAGGAGTCGAAACGAGAATGAGAAAATTAGAAGAAACCTGGAACGTTTTGCTCGATCAAGACAGTGAAATTCGAATGCGTCATGAGATCACAAGCCGCATAGTGCTTGAAGTAGTCCCTATCGAGGACAGGATCTTCCAGATTGTGCCTACGAACCCCATGGCAAATTAGATATGACTGAGAGGGGACAAACGAGAAACATACAATTTCGCCAAATGTTCCTTCATACTCGGCCAAGTGCACAACTCTGTCTCCCGAGGCAGATCCCTACAATGCGCACAACACCAAATCTCGGCACGCTCCATCTCATTGGCGTGCTCCTTGTGCTTGATCTTTTCCATGACCGAATCGTTAGGGGATACAGGGATGAGATTGCCAACAGAGAGCGGAGGGGATGGACGGCGAGAAATAGGCGCTGTGAAGAGATCGCGAGGGTCCGGTCGCGGAGTATGAAGATCGAGTTGATGCTTGATCTAAAATGAAGAACGAAGGAGCGCAAGGAGTTGCAATCAGTTGGGGGGACCAGGGACGAAGTGGAGAAGGGAAGCACAAGAAGTGCGAGAAAGGGGATACCAAATGAATGAAGCAATAGTACTTACCGCACGGCGCCAGTTATAGTAACCAACGAGGGGTATGAAGGTGAAATCAGGATCGTCGTCGGAATCACTGGAAGAAGCGGCGGCCTTGGCGCGCTTCATATGGGGCATACACCCTGCGCAGTGGAACCATGGATCCAACCGGTCCATATCGTCGGTGGTCGCGGTCGCAGGATCCAACCCGACACGTTGGATCACGAGAGCAGCTATCTCCGACGCTTTCTTGTCCACCGCCAGATTGCCTACGCACCACCGCGTGCGTACGGTCCCAGGGGAGTTCTCCAGGTACAGTGCGGCATCGTGTTTGACGGAGGGTCCTAGGTAGGGGAAGTAGTACTCGTCGCGGTTTCGAGTCAAACATGGATGGCCTAGGACGTGAGGGTAGAAGAGTAGTCGATCCTGGAAGCCGAAATAGCTGGGATATTCAACGGATTCGCTCCTGCCAATAGGGCAATGGCGGCAAGCGTAGACTGTGTTCGCCAACTTCATCTTTTGCTCCAATCCCGCCATTGAGATGGTGCGCTTCCCTTCTTGAGTGAACGTTTGGGCTAGAGTCTTGGAGTCAGGGCGTTCAGCTGGCCCCTTTGGAAGATCAGCTGACTCCCATTTCACATTGGCGCGGACCTCTTCGGCAAACATCATCTGACGAAGACGGGGGAGGACAACGTCTTTCCTCCAGGTGGCGAACATGCCCTGAATATCCGACAAGTTGGCGGCAAAGGTGGACGCGTCGACGTCGACATCGAGTGGCTTCCTAAGAATATTGGTGACTCCCGGTAAGAGACAGAAATCTGGCGGTTCCGGCAGTAAATTGGAGCAGGGCAGGAGGCTATTCTTGACTTGCTGGAGATATTGGCAAGCACTGGCCTTCCTTGCAACTGCCAGTTCCTCGAGTTCGCGCTGCAAGCGTTTCTCCCGCATTTGATCCATAAACTTGATGGCGGCTGGCTTGATATTATTCCAGACTACGGAGATTATCAGAAGATGAGCTCGGGGAATCAAAATTGATGAGCCGTACTTCTTTCCGTGAGACGCTGTGGTTTGCTGGCGAATGGTTGGCGCTCCAGACTGTCGGGTGGCATGATGCTCTGGAGGTCCTTCTTGTAGCCAAGTTGCTCCAATTTCTTGATGATCCTGTGGGGCGCTGGAGTTCAGCAGTGGGAATGCAGATAGGACCGTGATAGAGGACCTACGCCTGTCTCCTCTCCTGCCTCAGCCTGCTCAGTTCGTCTGAACGATCGTCGGCCTGATTATGGGACCAAGCGGCGCAATTGGTAGCATGCTGGGAAAAATATCAGCACCAGACGAAAACGGGTTTACCAAGAACCCTTACTAAATTGAGCGCTTCTGTCGCTTTCCGCTGCTCATCGATAAAGGCGAGCCGCTCCTCTGGTGTCTGCAGGGCCTTAAACTTGTCCCTAAAGTTTATCAAGTCTTCCAGCATGAAGACTCGCTTGAACCTCTCTGGAACGATTTAAGCCACGGCGCCGCGAGCTAAGAATAGATTAAACTTACTGCCTTCGCGGTTGGGCAAGAGGTATCGGATATCTGGAAGGTTTTGAATCTCAATGTCGAATCCTCCCGGAATAGACCGGTTAAGGTCATCCAGTGATGGCAGAGGATAAGTCTCAATGAGGCTAATAACACCGTCATTAGCATTGGGTTGCTTGATCCCAGGGGGAACAGGGAACTCACTGGTTTGGAGCGCATTTGGCACACATCCTTATTCGAAAACGCCATTCGACATTCCGGACACCTGGCGTTAGACAGATCTGGGAGAATATTGTGAATCGATCAAGGACCGACATGAGAAAAGATGGTTATACTTACATGGCAGTGGGGAGAGAAGCAGAGATTGGCCCAAGCTGGCTCGGGCATCCCAGGTGGACATGGCGGGAGGTTGTGCAGCTCAGAAAAACTGGCGCGCCACGTTGAAATTGAGGATTTATGCATAAGGATGCGGCGAAAATCTTTGGTTGTCCTTGCGAGCTTAAGGAGCTCATAGGGGTGCAAGTGACTGAATATCTAAGATAGGTCGCGGATGAGACACAATATACGGGTTATGGTGACGAGAACAAGCGCACCTCGTGTAGAATGTCGAGGGGGAGGTTTACAAAGGTTGCCAGCTTTCCCCTTCGTTTTTGCCTCTTATTTGAGGGGGACCTTTGGTGTCTCTTTGGGAGACGTTTTGGTCTGTCCTCATCCTCGGAATCAGAGTCGAGGTCGTATCGCGGTTTTTTCCTCTGGCGAAGCAGCCTTGATTGTTGCGTCGAAGGCTGCAATTCCTGGAGCATTGGGAGAGTCGGCGCTGGTGTGGAAGAATGGAACAAGTTGTCGGATGCCTCGTTGACGGCATTTTATAGAGGAGCGCCAAGCCAGACCCTATAAACTGGCGGGATCTTATATAATTGGTCATAGAACGCGTCCGGCTTTTTGATAGCGAGCCAGCCCTTCGCGCCTTTTCTCAAATCCACCATGGACGTTGCCCAGATCGCTCAGGTCCTCACAGCGACACTAAATCCAGACAAGAATACACGTATTTCTGCAGAGCTCAAGCTTGCAGAGCTCTTTGCCACCCCAGGTCAGTCCAATTATCTGGTGCAATTGCTGATTTCGCGATGAAAACCGCGTGCTTCCAGAAACTGGCCTTGCGTTATCGCAGCTCGTGTTGGCCCAGGATGCGGACGTTTCATTGAGACAGATAAGTCTGAATACACTTCTTCCAGCGAACCTATAGGATCTTGACAGAAACGCGGTCATCTCCACTCAGCCTGCATTACTCTCCGCAAGTACATCAAGGAGCGATGGTCCCCATTCTTCCCAGCTTTCAAGGGAAATCCCCCCCAACCCGAGGTAGACGCTATCTTATTTCTGATTTATTGCCTTCTCATTCTTCTTCCCAGCTTAAATCACAAATACGTCAGGCTCTGTTTCAAGGTCTCTCTGATCCAAACCGAAAAATTCGATCCCTCTGTGTGGGTACATTCCACCCCAACTATCACTATTATTCAAACCAATGGCCCGTATAGGCACACTCCCTCTCATCTATCGCTAACTGCGACTGGCCCGATGAATACCCCGACTTGCTACAAAACCTCATCTCCCTCCTGTCCGCCGGCTCTCCAGATCCCGTTCATGGCGCGATGCAGGTGTTCACCGAGTTTGTCCAAACCGACCTGACTGAAGATCAAATCCTCCCCGTTCTTCGCCAACTCCTGCCTGTCCTCCTCTCAATCTTGGGCTCTTCCGAGGTGCGTCCCAACCCGTTTGGTCCACAGATCTGCGCTCAGGACACATCGAACAGCACTCTGCACCCACACGCGCTCGAACCGTCTCCGTCTTCCGCCAATGTGTAACAGCCTTATTCATGGTCAAGGACCAGTATACCGATGCAGTCAACGAAGCCACCACTTCGATCCTCCCTGTGTGGCTCGAAGCATTCAAGGTATTGCTCAACATCGATGATCTGCAAGGCTTGGTTGGCGCCGCGAATTGGGACAGCATTTTGGTCCGCATTGAGATCTTCAAGGTAATTTCGTCAGGATTCGCGCCGTTCATAAAGCTAACGCCAAATCTAGGCCCTTGATACAATCCACATCTCTTTCCCTGCCGCTCTTGCTTCACATCTCTCTGATTTGCTCTCTTATGCTCTCGTCCACCTGCAAAAACTGTACCCTGTTTTCGCCCACTACTACCTAGCGTCATCGGATTCTGTCCCTCGGACCTCTGAAGATGAATCCGTCGAGCTTCCTCAACTCATTTGCCCGATCATGGATTTCATCTCTTCCGCCATGCGAGGCAGAAAGGCTCGTCTCTGGTTCACTGGGGACAACCTTTCTCTGCTCGTTTCCGCAGTATTTAACCTTTCGCAAGTGACCGACGAAGACGTAAGTCAAACTTATCCTTTCCGCCAGAGTTGCGGAACAGATTAACCCTGTCGGTTTAGGAGGAAACCTGGGCCAACAATGCCAACGCGTTTGTCGCTCAAGAAGATGACGAAACTTTCCAGTATGGTGTGCGGGTAGCAGGCTTTGACTTGCTGAGTGTTCGTGAAGCTTGTCCGATCGATTGCACCCTTTGCTGTTATTGATCATGTCATCCCTCCCTATTAGGTTTTGATTGACCGTGAGGCAGTCAACACCACCAAAACCTTCCAAACCGTCCTTCATCAAGTTGTCACAGCTTCCCAACAAGCCAAGGAAACTGGAAACTCGGAATGGTGGAGGCCCCTTGAGGCCGCTTTGGCGGCGGTTGGCTCGCAAGCGGAATCCATCCTTGAGGTTATCGAAGACGAGCAAGACTCTGGTCGGGAGAAGCCTATCGACCTTGATTACCTTCTCGTGAACGTCGTACCTTTCATCCTTACCACTCCTGGTGGGTTTTGTGCTGCCATTCATTACGGACCTCGTTATTGATACGACTCCTGTCACCCGCAGACAAGCCATTCCTTCAAGGCCGTGCTTTCGTATTTGCCAGCCAATTCTCCAAACTCCTTCCCGCTCAATCTGCTGTCCAATATCTTGATGCTGCCGTTCAAGTCATCGAGTCCGAAAACGCCAGCATTCCGGTCAAGGTGTCTGCTGTCAAAGCTGTCCACAAGTAAGTGTTTTGCCACAAACCGACAATTAATTCTAACCAAAACGTTTCTTCCTTGCACCCACGTTCTATTTGATCTCATGATCGACGTACTACAACACAACCCCTCTTTTCATTATCACACTCAGCTTCTGTCAAGGCGGTGAAGAATCGATCCTTGTGCCATACGCACCGAGAATAGCGAAAGATCTTGGTCCCTTCTTGGCAGTCACTTCCGAAGACACGCTTTCCTTGGTTCTTGAAACGCTTTCGGTGGTGCTTGACATCGATGATGGAAAATGGCTTACCCCTGACCTGGCCAGCGCCCTGGTCGTTGCTTCTTTGGAGGTCTGGCACAAAAATAACAGAGGTAAGATTAAATCCGTTCTACTGTGATGTCAAGTATGTTTTGCTGATTGTTATCTTCTTGGGTTATCTTATCGGGCCGCTTGGTTCTCTTCCTCGTTTAATTTCGGCTGAACCTTTCCACTCTACATTCGGAAACTCGACCTCTCGTTTCGCTTTCGTCGTTCCCACTCCTGGCCCGTTACTCGTCATATGGGATGGACTTCACATGAACAGATCCTATCTTTATCTCAATCTTGACCGACATTCTCCAAGCACTCGCTTCCTCTTCTAGTCCGGGCCTCTACGAAACTGTCGTCAAGCAAGCACTTCCTATCTTGGTGGACGCAATCGGCCGATCCAACAATGCTACCCCTGCTGGGTCTGATAGTACCACGGAGGGTTCATGGATTGCTGGGTCTGCGATTGATTTCGTTGCCAGCTTGGTGAGGGGAAGTCCTGAGAGTGGGCTTGGAGATGGATTCTTTGCGCTCCTTGCACCAAATCTCTTTTCTTGTCTGGAAGTCGCGGAGGATAGGGACGTTTTGCAGGTGCCCTTTCCGCTTGTATCTCTCCTTCGGCGGTATACTCACCACGAGCGATTTGACAGAATGGTGTCCAATGCCTCAAGCTTATCGTTCGCAAGGATGTCAACCAACTTGTCGGCTGGCAAGACGGTTCTGGTCGTAACGGCCTCGACCACGTCCTCGCGCTCGTCGCCAAGCTCCTCCAAAACCAAGACGAATCCGGTGGACTGGCTATCGGTGAACTCATCATCCACTTGTTCAGGAAGACTGGCGAGAAAGTGCTACCTGTCCTCCCGCAGTTGCTGGAGGCAATGTTGAAGTCGATGTTGACTGCCAAGACTGCTAGTTTCACTCAGGTTGGTAGATCTCCTTCCTTACTCTCGGCTGTTTTCCTGACGTGACCTTCCCGCATGACAGAGTCTGGTCGTTCCCTTCGCCTTCCTTATCAACAACCAGCGCGATACCGTGTTGGATCTCGTCGAGTCTTTGAATATCGAAGGTCGATCGGGCTTAGACGTCCTCGTTAACACATGGTGCGAGAACGCCGAGACGTTCCAGGGGTACTGGCCCAGTCGTATCAGCACTCTGGGATTGGTGCAACTCTTCCTCTCCGAGAGGCCTAGTGTTAGGAACTTGGTGGTCAAGGGTGATATGATCTTAAAGCCGGAGACTAAGAACGGTGAGTTTTCTTTTCCTCTTCGAGTGGTATGGCTGTAGTGTCAATGTGCGGGTTGTGATGACCTTGTCTTTTTTCATTCCTTCAATCCGCTTTGCGTTTCGCTTTTGTTGATATATGCTGTGTGTTGCGGTGGTGGTGCTTTTTATAGTCATCATGACCCGTTCGCGCACGAAGAATAGTAGGCTGGTTTATTCCTTCGAGTTTGGATTTGCTGACCAATTTGTCTTTTTTGCTTCGGCCGATTTTTTTTGTAGCTCCCCATGAGAGGAGTACGATCCCGTTCCCGGACCAAGTGCTCAGATAATTATTAACTACTTGCACTCTGGTGGAGAGTCTGCTACACTTACCGGTGCTGGAGGAGCGTTTGAATTTGATAGGGAAGATGGGGTGCGTCTAACCCCACCTGGGATAACGAAAATAGACTGACGAATGCATCATTGTCTAGGACGAGGATTGGACGGAGGAAGAGAAACTCCATCAAGGTTTCAAGCAGGATGAGTTTGCGTTCTTGAGTGATATGTTGGGACCGAAAGGCATGGCCTTCGATAATGACGAGGCGTTCGATGGGGGCGACGATGATGAGGATTTGAAGGAGGATCCTGTTTCTACTATGGACATGCAGGTGGGTGCTTCATGTTTTTCGTTAATCCGTCGAAAGAACACTGATGAATATGTCTATAGGCCCATCTACGCGGTTTCATCAAGGAATTCGCGGCTCAGCATCCTGCTGTGTTCAACCCACTCGTGGACCAGCTGAATGCGGAGGAGACTTTGGTCGTTCAGAGGGTTTTGGCGAGCGCTTAGAGGTCATCACCCCTATTCTCCATTCAAGTAGACGAGAAACAATCTGCTCGAAGAATATTCAAGGTGTTTTTTTCTACGTACTTGGTGTTTTTTTCAATCTGGTTTGAATCTTTTCATGCACTTGTCATTGGATATTGGAGGGGGAGTAAACACGGGACTGGACCCCCGAGTGAATCGGAGGTTTCCCCGCGGTGTGGTGGACTGGAGTCGCACGCGACGCGACGCGTCTTCGATGCATCCTCTCTCCGTCTTCGCGTCGCCCATTCGCAATGGCGTTTCGCCGGACTCGGGCTTTGACATTGAGGCCTATGAAGTCTCCGGTATTTGCGAAGGTCCTACTGCGATTGTGTTCCGTGCATGGAGGATCTCGCGCTTCAAGTTTGAGTGGAGGAATGATAGATGGATCTTTGCTAAGATCTTTGACTTGGTGTTTCTTCGCCAGTATGCAAACCCCGGGGACGAAGCGATGATTAACCTACGAACACGTCCTCGATATGCACGAGGTCGTCCGATAACACAACTTCGGTCGTTCGGACACTCTTTGCCGACGTGAATGAATCTGCTCCGCGTTCAGGGTTGTCCAGGTGCCGCTGAGTTTATTTAGAGGCGAGGCGAGGAGCAACGTGCGGGCTCGGGAATCGGGGAAATGGACCTACAAATCGTCGTAAAATGCTGAAAGTGTAGATCTGTTTCGAGAGTCTAGGCTTGCCACATTGCAGTGGATTTCGTAACGAGGCCAAGGTGAAATTTCTTCGGGAGAGGTGTGTGGAATCAGGTCCCACAGTCACTCGAGGTTGGAGAGGTACCAGGAGGAACAGAACCCATGGATTCATAGTTACACCGATGGAATTTCCACCCGTGTTGTCGCCAGGAACGTTCGGGGAATCAAAACGCACCGGTGAACAAACCCAAATGGACCTGTTTTCATTTCGCAAGCAAATTTTGAGCGAGGTGATTGGTTTGTTCCACAGCCGAAGATGGGCTTGGGGTCGGCTTAGGCTATTCTTGGAGAGACGGCCGTCTGATCTGTGTTGGCAAGAGTGAGAGCGGGAGCACAACTCGGGAGGTTTGTGTTTCTCGTCATCTCATTGTCGTCTCTTCAGCTTTGTTCGCTGTCTATTATCCACCTACAACTCTATCCAATATCCACACGCAGCTCGCTCGCTCGCTCTTTTCTTTCTCGGTTCTCTGGTTTCTGGGTTTAAAACCATAGCCATAGCACGTTCGTTCCGATTTCCCGTCCACTTTTTTGTTTCCGTGGAATTGCTTCCCTCGTTTTCGTTTCCTTCCGAAGGGCTCATTCATGGTGCCGCGCTCATAGCGGTGATAGAAGCCTCTACACAACATACAACTACAGACTCCTTTTCTTTCCCGTACCGCACCGTGCGGAACACGGTGATACCACGACGTGTGATCCATACGGTTCACTCTTGTTATATTTTAGGGGAACAAGTCGTTTATTCTTCTTCCTAGCGTTTGGCTAGACGTTGGACGTCAAAGCTTTACGTGGAACTTTGTGTTTCTTACACTACCCCCTTGTCGATTTCGTTTCTAGAAGGGCACAGGATAGGCTAGTATGCTTCAAGATGGCGACGTATACTTGCCTTCGACGCCGAGGAGAACCGAATACGCCGACGCCAACGCCAACGCCAATAACCCTTCGACATCATCGCCGTTCTCATCATCACCAGCTCACAACCATAACCACTACTTGACATCGACATCGACGCCTCCACGATCCTCAAGTGGTCTCCACGTCCCCCCTGCGAGTCCGCATACACCGAATTCACCTAGGAGTATAGGTGGCGGATCGCATCCGACGTTTGTGCACCATGTCCTCCCTGCTACGCCGATCAAGAGCGACGGGTTTGAAGAAGAACCTACCACGAGTCCGACCCCTAGAACGCCCAAGGGACGAGAGCGGATATATGGCCAGAGTTCACCGCCGCAGCATGGGTGTGGGGACAGCGGGAGGATGTCCGGTGAAGGAAAGCACAAGAGTCCCAATCGAATCAGCTCAGCGAGTGCTACCAGCGTTGCAAGTGGCACCTCGACATCGGAAACTGCGCTGTTCTCGATTTATTCGATGTACGGTGTCAGCATTCGTGAAGGGTCAGAGAATGGGGACGCTGTGCCGGAGATGGTAAGTGTCACCGTCTATGCTGTGCTTGTCCCTTTCCTTCAAGGGTGCTCCTCGGAGTAACTATCAATAGTTGTCTCTCTCTTTGCCGTCCGTTACTTGACTGATGGTTTTGCGGTTTTGACAGCCTCCACGTCGTTCATTCGAAGTTGATCCTCTCGACAACAGCTGCAAGAACAGTCCGCCGTCGCTCCAAGTTAACTCTTCCGACGTCGATGGCACTTGGACACCGCCGCGAAGTCATCGTTTAACGAAGGACCAGTTGAATTCTTTTGCCTTTCCACCACCACAAGTCCCAGACTCGTCCTCAAACGCGAATTCAGCGGTAACGGCACCGACGGGCAGTGGAGGCCTCCTAGGTCGCAGCACGACACGTACCAAAGACGTTCGCTTCAGGCTACCCTCCACACACGTCCATTCGACCATCGTAGTCGACGACGGCACTGGGGAACATCGTCCTGGCTCTTTCTCTACCGCTGCGAGTGGGTCGCCGTTAAACATTGAATTCGATATCCCCGAGCCATCCGACTCCTCGACTTTGGCTGTGAATCGCGACTCTGCAGTTCCAGCAACCCAGGGGCACGTCCCAAACCCCTCTACAGCAACTTCAGCGTCGGATTATTCGCATTACTCCCACAATTCGAATTCCAGTATGCCCATTGCTATCAATAGCCAGCACCGCACCGACTATTCTTCCGAGTTGGCATATTTTGATACAGGGGTGACGACCGCTGTCATGCCTTCCCCTAGTAGTTCGCTGTCGGATAAGGAGGGAGAGGGGATGGAAGCTGTGAAGAGGATGAATGGAAACGCGAAACCTCCACCGAGTTCGTTCAGTCAGCCGAACGGTGACGATGGATGGACGACTTCTACTCAAGCACGGCTTTCATTTCAGCTGGGTACGACGCTGAATGTTCCAGAGGATTATGGGCGTAAAGGTGCGTTTCAGTTAGCTATCGATAATGTTGATGGCTAACCTACGTCTTTCCATTCTAGTCAACCCCCCACCGCAGACTTCCCAACCAAGGCTGACACTCGACTTGGGCGACTCGAATGCTAATAGCCATTTTGATCCTGACCGCGCCAACCCTCCGTTATCACAGCAGCAACCGTTAACAGCGGATTCCAATGGCTCCCATTCGGTCTATGCTACTCCATTAACCAGTGTTGAACCTCAACCATCCCCTTGGGCCCGCCCTTCTCCAACTCCTCCGCCACCGCACCAATCCCACCCGTCTTTATCCGCACGAACACCCTCACCTTTATACACCCTCGACGGAGCTGCGAGGGTTCCGAGTGAAGGCAGCCAGGACCGAGGTGATATAGGTGGTACTCGTTTCACCCCTGGCAACCACAGCCTTTCTTCGAATCCGTTGGCCAACGGGGATAAGCATCAACAGAGTCAGGGGCATACATCAGGCTCAACTCCTGCAGGAGTCGAAGGTGCAGCGAGGACTGAGGAAGAGATGATGATACTAGCGCGAGCTTCGTATCTCCATCAGAACAACCAGAACCAGAATCTACATCATTCTCAGTACATGAATGGGTTGCCGTCTACGCCGAGGAAGCAGGGGACGTACCAACCGCCCCACCAAAGGAGGTCGCCGTCGCCTTATTCGAATGGTTCTCAACAGTCGCATCATTCGCAACACCACCAGCAGTCGCCTCACCAGCACCCTCACCAGGGTTATCAGCACCAGGGAGGGGTGTCAGCCGCCAGTGCTCCACCTTCGGCGTTTAACACGCCTCAGCATTCGAGGATGTCGTCTAGAAGTTCGCCGGTTTCTTCGAGGAGCGGGACGCCTGTGCGACCGGGTGCGAATGGATACGTGGCTCCGTCACCGGTTCAGTCCAGGAGTCCGTCGAGGAATGCCAATCCTGGGCATAATGCCCCGGCCATCGACTCGAGAAGTCCCTCGAGGAGCCAGACCCCGTCGTCTACTCTAAACCCGAATATGTTGAGTTCGCCGCCGAGTCGCCCGCCTTCTAGGGTTTCGCTGCGTCAACACGCACCCTCTGGACAGTCTTCGTATCATTCCCAACAACAGCAGAAGACGGCTTCACCTGCTCCTTCACCCATTGGTATTTCCACCAGTCAGAGTACCAGTAACCACTCGAGGGAGGAAAGTGGGAGTACGACCAGTCAGACCCATTCACTCGACATTTCGCAACAGTCGCATCAATACTCGGTTTCGCTTGCGCCTTCGAACCAATCCCATTCTAATGCCTACCAACATTCCAATACCTCCCACCAATACCCGCCTTCGCAGTACTCGAGTACCTCCACCGGTGCTTCTCAGTCTCAATACCAGCCCTCGCTATCGAACGGGTATTACCAAAGTCAAGCCGAGTATGGCGGTAGTACCGCGAGTGGATTCGAACCTCGGCCGAGTTTGTTGAGGGATGGGAGCATTGGGAGTCGTAATGGTGACAAGGAGTTGCCGAGGACTCCCTCGCTGTTGGGTATCGGTGCTAATGGCAGAGCCGGAGCCGGTGGATCACCACCGTCGTCTGACCAGGCCCAGCCCCGCCATAGTGTCGGTAACCGGGCGCTTCAGTTGCATCTGCTAGCTGTAAGCGGTGGGGCTACTGGGGGTGATCGGAGTGTGGGAGGTGATGGTGTCGGGTTGGGGATTAGAGGTAGTGTGACGAGTGGAAGTGGTGCTGGTCCTGATGCATCCCCACCGCCGCCACCCCCACCCCCATCTTCCATGAAACCTGTGTCGTCCCCGCCACGTGCGAGTTCGGCGTCTGCGAGTGCTGCCCAAACATCAACCCCGCGAACGTCGTCTTCTGTTCACCGCCATGGCCATATGTCTTCGCCTCCTGGCCATAGCATCCGAGCGAAACCGTCGACTGTGTCGTTGAACCCTTCGTTGAGGCCGTCACTTGTGCCGTCTGCCGGTGAAGAGCCCGATGCGTTCCATGTACGGAGTACCTACGCTCAACTGGAGGTGTATGGAGTCAAGGGTGACGGGTTTGATGAAGGTGTAGAGAGGACACGAGCTGCTAGAACACGTGTTGGATCTTCGGTCGCCACTCCTTCGCCTAATGCCTCCACCTCCCTCTCACATAGCCCCGACACTTCCGCGACCTCCCCTGATTCCAATGGCCATCAACCTCCGCATCGAACCAAAAGCCAAGTTTTGGCGGACGAAGCGATTGCCGATGAGAATGAGAAGAAACGCGAGCTGGAACCGGAGGAGATTAGGGTGCTGCAGAGTGTGGATCGCTATGGGTTTATGAGCGTTACTTCACATGAGAGGTTGATCCTTTTACCTTCGGTTCCGCTTTTGAAACCCCTATCATCTGGTGCTGGTGCGCCGTCCTCGCCTCCATCGAATTCAACTTCTCCGCCCCCTTTGAAGACGTTACAGTCTATTCCCCCTCCGCAGACGAACCCGAAAGAAAACGATCGGATAGAAAAGTGGAATCGTATGTTGGTTCCTCATCAGCGGGATGAGGGAGGGAATGTGCAAGCGTGGCGAGTCCGACCTTCAAAAACGAGTAAACTGCGACGGAGGGTGTACAAAGGCGTTCCGGATCGTTGGAGAGCGGCGGTTTGGGAGGTCTTGATGTGCGCGTACGTTGCTGGACATGGCGGGGATGTGGAAGGTGGCGGGTATGATGGGAACGGGAACCCGAATCGGCCGTGGCAGGAGGTGGATACGGAGACGATTGTCAGGTTGACTGCCAGTCCTGATGCTGCGAGTGCGGGCGTGAGACAGGTTGAGAGGTCTGCGAGGGAGTACAGGGAGGGTATCGAACGTCCTTCGACGTATGATGTCCAAATCGACTTGGATGTGCCGAGGACGGTTAGTGGGAATATTCTGTTCAAGACGCGGTATGGCGCTGGGTGAGTGGTTTGTCTGTCTCAACTTGTGTGGTTGACTCATTGGTACTCTTTTTGTTCTTCTCTCTCTTCCCGCGCTTCGTTTCTGTTGGGTGGATACAGCCAACGCTCCCTCTTCCACGTCCTCCATGCATTCTCGCTTACCTGCCCCGTGTGCGGCTACGTCCAAGGCATGGGGCCCCTCGCCGCCACCCTGCTCTCCTACCTCCCGCCCTCCCTCTCCTACACCTGTCTTCTCCGCCTCCACACCTCCTACAACATGCACACCATCTTCTCTCCCGGATTCCCCGGTCTATTGGAAGCGATCTACGTCCAGGAACAGCTCACCAAAACCTACATGCCCGCTGTGTACGAGAGTTTCAAGCGGAATACGATTGGCGGCACGAGTTATGCGACCAAGTGGTATATCACGATGTTTGCGAATAGCGTGCCGTTTCAGATGCAATTGAGGCTTTGGGATGTGTTTTGGTTGGAGGGGATGGATGTCTTTGTGGCTGTTGCGGTTGGCGTTTTGTGGGTTTATAAAGGTGCGTTGTCGTCTCTCTTATTCTGTCTCTGGACTAATTTGGTTGCCTCGTTTGATAGACCAAATCACCTCGCCGCATGCCAATTTCGAAACTATCCTTTCCTTGTTGTCTTCGTTCTTTGTGCCGGAGGATGAAGACGTGTTCATGGGCTGGATTGAGAAGATGCTGTGTGATCGGAAAATCAGAGGGAGTATGAATCAGTGGAGGAAGGAGTGGAAGGTGTTGGTTGAGAGTGGGAAGGAGGTCGAGGCGTTACTTTAAGCCTTGACCCTCCATGGTGATGTTTGTTTCCCTTTGCGTAATTTAATCCCCTTTTCTCTCTCCTTGATCACGTTCATGTCCCATCTCTTCTCATCCTCATCACGGTTAACGGCTCTACTTTCATCTCACGCCATCCTCTTCTCCTACTACTCTATCCACGCTTAGGCATAGTATTCATTTTCTTCTTCTCTCCCATCTCCCTCCTGCACGATGAAACGGCAAGACCCCAGTGTATCATTATTACCTAGCATCATCTTTTTTTTACCTGCCATTCGCATTTCTCGTTATGACTCTTGGATCGTTCAAAAACATTGGTATAGCGTAGGGTATATTATATATTATATTCTTTGTCGCTTTTTGAAGTCTGGACAATTGCGTTTGGTTCGCGGGAAAGGCTAATGTGATCCTTGAGGAAATGGTTAATGGGCCCTGGGCGCTCGTGTTGGTCGCCGCCCAGTGCGCATCCCCGAGTCGGATTTCAAAAATGGTTGAGGGCCTCGCGGCTCAATGTTGAACTTGAACCAACGAGCCACTGGACGCACAGCAACTGTAACAGCTGAACGTTCCACATTTTCTATGGCCATTAGACTCTTGGCCGTACTGCACCTGGGTCTGAATGCTCGCTCTCAAAAAAACGTCGACTTTTGGGCTTATTTAATAAATATATTCATGGTGGACTAAACGAGCGGCGAAAGTTGGATACACGAGAGTGGGTGGAGTAACGAGTGTCTGTGGTTCTAACTAAGGAAAGCGTGGGAAGCGATGAAAGTGATAATCGCGATAGCAAAACAACGAAAGCAAGGAGCAACGAAAGCGAGGGATGTTAAATAAGGATCGATGGGTAGGGAGTGCCGAGCGTGGGCAGTCTACAGACCTAGGGGGTTGTAATGTTGTCCAAACTGGTCATCGTGGTACTCAGGCTGATCGTGAGCGTATCCGAGCTGGCCATGGTGTCCGTGTTGGCCTTGGTGGTGCCCGTGCTGGCCTTGGTGGTGTCCGTGATGGTCGTAGTGGTGTCCGTGATGGTCGTAGTGGTGCCCGTGCTGCCCTCCTTGGTGGTGTCCGTGATGGTCGTAGTGGTGCCCGTGCTGGCCTTGGTGGTGTCCGTGATGGTCGTAGTGGTGCCCGTGTTGACCATGGTTGTGTCCCGGATGCAGTGGGGCCTGAGGAGGCTGAGGAGGCTGCAACTCAGGTTGTTGGACTTGAGGCGGTGGGACGTGAGGCGGTGGGACGTGAGGCGGCGGGGCGTGAGGTGGTGGGCCGTGAGGCGGGATGGGAATTCCGGACCGCCAGGGCGCTGGTTCTCCAGGGATGCCATTGTTGTACTGAGCGGCGTCTACAGGCTCGTAGCCATTTGGCAGTGGACGCGGAGGGAAGACGCCCTCCACATATCCGGCCGCAGGCCAAGGGAGAGGATGTGCATCCTGTACGAAAGGCTGCGGATGGTTGGGAGTACGTTCGACGGTTATGTAGGCCCCCACACAGAAGAAACACGGAAGAGAGCAGCGAGCCTGGGCTGATCTTTGCGGCTCAGGCCAGGACTCTACTTGGGGATCATAAGGGCAAGGAAGTCCATGGAGAAATGCGAACTTGCAGGGGGTATTCAAACGGTATTTGTGCTTGGGCCTACTGGCGCAGTCTCTAAATTCCTTGACCTCGGTGGTGCACATCTGAGAATTCGAAAGTGTTGATGGTTAAGATAATATGCGCTCGGATTCGATGTGGACCTGAACACTAACCTGCTGCCGACCAGAATGAAAGAACGAGCAAAATGAAGGGGGTGGGGTATGATCTATGTTGGCTACATTCGTTATCCACCTTGCTTTATACTCGGTAAAGTACCTTGGCAGCCCTTGGTTCCCTGTCATATGGCACCGGTTACCAATCCTTCTGAGATCGAAAGCAGATTCGAGACATCACCTGAACGGGGACCCACAGTACATGCACGGTCCTCGAGGCCTAAGGCCTAAGGGCTGACCCTTTGAAGCCCCAGGTAGAGGTGGAACCCCCAGAAATCGGTGTAAAGCGAATGAAAAATTTCGCAGGAGCAGGGAACCAAGAAATTATCACTTCCCCTTCTCGTGTGCGCTTGCGCTAAGCAGCAACTCCAACACCCTCAAAGATAGATGAATCAAGACACCTTAGTGTGCCATGTGTAGAACATAGATCGTGCACGCCCTCACTGCATCGAGATCGATCAGGCTCGTATTCGAGTATTATCATGTCACTTCCACGAGTTCAACTGGGCTGGCAATAGCATGTCATGCGCAATCGGCAGTCATTATACCAGCGTCAGTACAGGCTAGACACGACAAACGAGTCGCTCGATCCCTCTCATTAAGTACGGGTACTACCAATGCCTTCTAAAGTAATGTGTCACCTGTCGGGGAATTGTCCATAGTGCGGAAGGGTGAAAGGGACCATAGAAAGTAAAAGTTTCCAGCAATTCGTCCCTGATGCGGGGGTGAGTACAATGATAGGTGAAGGAGCAAGGAGTAACTCACATGGTCCTGTCGCCAATGGGCGCGAACGTTGGGTGGGCCCAGGGGCCCGGGAGCTGGAAATGGATCATTTCGCGCAGTCGAGGGTGGCTATCCAAGGCCTCCATGAATCCTTGTGCAAAATACGGGTGCAAATGCCAGACCGTCCAACTGTACACTTTCTTAACTGCAGGGTTCCTCGCGGCACTGAGTACCATACTGTACGATACGTGAGTTGTATAACCTGCCGGTACCCAGATGGTGTGTAAATTGGGCACGCGGGAAATGGCGTCCGCCAGGTCAATCGCCCGTTGCCGGCGTGCGCGAGTTTCAGGTCCCTCTTTCTCGCCTTTCCAATCGCGCTCCTCGTAAGCGTGATCATACGAGGTCTAAGTCGGTTGTTAGCCTTTTGCAGGCATGAGGGATGCGGTGAACTGACCATATTGGACCAAGTAACGGTCATGCATTCGATGAGAACGCTGACAAGTTCTCGTACTTGCTTGTTTGCTTGCACATTTGGATCTCGCAGGGCCACAAACGCTGGATTGATGATCCTGAGTCCTTTGCAAAGACCCTTGACACTGTCCTTGGATGTAATACTAAGTGAAACGCAGATGTGCGTCAGGTTTGGGACAGCTTGCAGTATCTTGAATGCTGCCTGGCCATAACCCCCTTCAAACCGGAGCTTTTTGACACGTTTCCCCAGCGTTTTGTCGTAGTTGAACAATGTTGCTAGTCTGTTGGCCTCGCGTTGCGAGTCGACAAGGGTTGTCTCGAGAAGTATGGGAAGAGCGATGCGGTGCCAGCGCTTGCACACCAACGAGTACCGGATGCCCTCCTTCCGGCGCATTTGAAGGGGCCACAAGGCACGATAGACGAGAGGAGCATAACCTGTGAACAGGCAGTCTCCGATTATCCTGTGAAGGAGCTCTTCAGGAAGGCTGTCCATGCTGGTCGAGTCGATCGAGGCCTAACCTGATGCGCTGTAACTGGTCCGGAAGCTATATATGTCGGACTTTGAATTGTACAGCGCTCGTACGTCCCTCAGTCAACCCTGAATGCTGAGTCTCTGGACTTCTGAGCCTCGTTGGAGAACGCAGCTGGAACATGCGCCCAGACTCGTAAGTACTGCTCAGAGCTCCGCGCTTATCGTCGAAAAGGCTCGTTTCGAAACTCCTTCAAGGCACATCTGCCGGACGGAGCGCCCTGCGTATACACAACCTTACCTGTCTTTGAGCAGTAGCGCTAGGAATGCGCTCAATGTCGCACTTAATGTCACTATCCATTGAGGTCCCGGCCGCCCCAGCTCCTTTCTGATCGATCTAGGATATCGGTCGTTGAAACTCAGCCTCACCAGTCCTAACTGATAGCGGCCGCTTAGTATTGTCAAATGGATCCAATATATGGAGAGCTGTTAGAGTGAGTACGAGATCTGTTACGGACTCGCGGACAATTGCGACCGTGGAGAAGAAGCTATAAATTGAGCTCAGAAGACCCGAATGCTCTTCAGTGGTCTCCAATGCTTCTTCGCGCTTTCTGTTTCCTCTCCCTCCTCTCAACGGCCACAATTGTCTCCTCGCGGCCTCAAAGTACAGATGGGTTGTCTAAAGTGGACGCTGCCGATACCATCGAGTACCATCATGTTGATGTAAACGCGACCTTGTCCGGCCGACCTGGACATAGACCTAAGCCATGCAAGCGATTATCCGTCCGTAGAGAATGGTATGTTTCCCGATTGCACAACTTGAAGTCCTCTTTCTGACCTTCGTTTTCGCAGGCGCGACTTGAGCAGGCAGAACAGGCTCGGCTATCTCAGGGCCGTCAAGTGCCTCTTCACCACCGGGGCCTTCAACCATACTTTACCAGCCAAGTTCAATCGATATGACGAGTTCGTCATCAGTCATGTCAGGGTATCCGATGGTATTCATGGTGTGGCAAGTATCATCTGTCTATTCATGAATCATCGCCCACGGTATTCCTAATCGAATGTTGCCTGCAGGGTCAATTCTTGCCCTGGCATCGCCATTTCAGCTATCTCTATGAACGAGCTCTCCGGGACGAATGTGGATATCGGGGACCTTTTCCGTGAGTTTGCCACTCAGGTTCTGAAGCCAATCACTGACTCGTAAGAACGTGTAGGTACTGGGACTGGACTCGCGACGTCGCGGATCCCAACAAACCCATCTCGGATTCCCCGCTGTTTGATCCCGTCTTTGGCTTTGGTGGGGACGGAGTCCCCGGAACATACACTCCACCGAGCGACGACGATGGTGCTGCCATCCCCATCATAATCGACGCGTTCAAAGGTTGCGTCGGGACTGGACCATTCGCTGATATCACTCTCCATGTCGGGCCAAACGTTCGATTCAGCGACCATTGCTTGAACCGAAACTTCATTGAACAGGACAGGCGACCTCACTTCACCCCAGAGTCAGTTGCGGCTATTCTGGGACAGGCCACCTATGATAACTTTTGGAACTCTCTCGATGGCCTTCCTTTCAAAACGGAATTTAGGCTTCACGACGCCGGCCATGGGTATGTCGGAGGTGACATGTCGAGCTTCTACAGTAGCCCGAACGGTACGTGCGAACCCTGTCCGTTCAAGGTATTCTTGCTGATTATCAGAAAAAAGATCCTCTCTTCTATCCCCACCATACCGGCCTGGATCGTCTCTGGTGGAAATGGCAGAGAGCTGATCTGCCCAGCAGGCTCTATCAGATGGGCGGTCACACCTCCGCATTCCCTCCCCATGGTGAGGCTACTTTGGATCATGAACTCCTTTTCGCCGACTTCGCCCCATCGCTCACTGTCCGTGATGCAATGGATCCAAGAATGGAGCCTTATTGTTATACCTACGCAGACTGAGTACAGTGTGTCTTGCGCGCAGATGCCTTCTGTACCTAAATCATACCTGTATCGCGAATCGAATATTCGGGGTATGTAAAGCAATCGAGCTTTAGTGCACCAAAGCTCTTAGCTGTCCGTAGATCAATAGCCGCAGTCGTACCCCTTGTTAGGTAGCCTGTTATGAGAGAATTTATCTGCGAAGTGTCTAAGGACGGCCATTTCGGGGGGCCGCCCTCCGTGCTTGTGCATGGGCGCTCATTGGCGGCCGGATACGACGAAGCGCGCTGATTGTACGTGTAGCCCGGATGCCTCTGTCTATACGCGTCATTTTTATAGGCCGCGGATAAGGACAGGCTTCTTACCCTGATGTAAGGACTTCGTCCGCGCCCGCAACCCACGGACGCCCTTGGCGCGTTTCTCATAGTGGACAGCAGCTCCCGGAACCACCACCGTAGGTTGTTGCCGCAGGAGGAGAAAAATCAAGTGCATGAAAGCAACACACTCGTGATGCATAGACTTGTCGGCAGTAGCCTAGTATTAGCAAGGAGTCAAGGCAGAGAGATCAAGCGAGTCGTCACTTTAGGGGGATTACCTGCAACCCACTGTCTAGATTGGCCAAAAGAAGCTGGCCATACCCCCAGGGTATTGATTTTGCTCAAAACGACACTGAGTTTGATGTTCTCTCATTTCGATCAGCGGCTGTATTGAGGGTAAATGGCCAACATTTTCGGACATTAAACATTTACACTACCAATTGTTAAAGTGGCGGGCCACTGCGTGAGGGGATGTCCACAAAGCAGAAGGACTAAAGGGTCCATAGAATGTAAACGCTTTTGTCAACGCTTCGCTGATAAAGGGATGAGTGAATGGTAGGAGACAGAGCAGGAGACACTTACATGTTTTTATCGCCAATGGCGCCAAAGGTCATGCGTGTCCACGGACCGGGAACTTGAAGATGTATCAGTTGTCGAAGTCGAGGGTGGCTATCCAAGGCCTCCATGAATCCGCCTGCATAACAAGGGTGCACGTGCCAGACTGTCCAACTGTACAGCTTCTAAACTGCAGGATTCCTCGCGGCGCTGAATACTATGCTGTACGGAACGTGGGTGGTCCACGCTGCTGGTACCCAGACAGTGTGTAAATTCGGTACACGGGAAATGGCATCTGCCAAAGCAATCGCGCGTTGTTTGCGGGCGGGAACTTCGGGACAATCAAATCCGCCTATATCGCGCTCCTCGTAGGCGTGATCATATGAGCGCTAGGACGATCGTCAGAACTTTACAGAAGTGAGAGATGAGATGGACTGACCATGTTGGACCAGGTCACTGTCATGCATTCGATGAGAACGCTGACAAGTTCCCGTACCTGCTTGTTTGCTTTCACATTTGGGTCTCGTAGGGCTACGAATTCCGGATTGATAATCCGAAGTCCTTTGCACAGGCCCTTGACGTTGTCCCTGGATGAAATGCTAAGTGAAACGCAAATATGCGTCAGGTTTGGGATCGCTTGCAGTATCTTGAATGCTGCTTGGCCATAGGCCCCTTCAAACCGGAGCCTTTTAACACATCGTCCTAGCAGTTTGTCGTGGCTGAGCATTGTCGCAAGCCTCTCTGCCTCGTGTTTCGAGTCGACTAGGGTTGTCTCCAGAAGTAACGGAACAGTGATACGGTACCAGCGCTTGCACACCAGTGAGTAACCGATACCCTCCCTCCGGCGCATTCGGAGGGGCCACAAGGCGCGATAGACGAGAGTAGAATAGCCTGTGAACAAGCAGTCTCTGATTATTCCGTGAAGAAGCTCTTCGGGAAGGCTGTCCATGCCGTGGGGTTGGTCGAGTCGATCGAAAGTCAACCTGATGCACTGTAGACTCTTTGAGGAGAGGGAGGAGGGTAGAGGCTGGGTTCTGCATAATTACAACTGTGGCCGCCCTGCAGCCATCCAATTTGCAGACCGTGGGAATCTCGCGGTGCCGATCTGTTGGCGGATGCAAACCGGAGGACTCGGACTGGGTCCCGACTCCTACGCAACTCCCATTCGTCTTATAGGCTACAGAAGCTCCAGATACAACGGAAGACAACGAGTATAGCAGAGAGTTTGGAAATATAGAGTACAGGTATGTCTAAGGGAAGAGATATCGCATCTAGTGAGGAGAGACACCATCGGATCGAAATAAGAGGATGGGTATCACAAAGCCCGGGGGACTGATGAGGGGAAGCAGCAGGCAGGTGGGCAATAAGGACGAGCGGACGAGCGAGGAAAGGCGATAAGTAACCTGCAAGGCGCTCACCATCGCGAATCTCGGACGGGGTACTATCAAAGGATATTGCAGCTTTGGGGGAGCCGCGAGACAATTGCCCAGGGTGGACGGACACCAGAGATGTTAATGGAACGGGTTGCGATAGCGGTGGATCTGGCAGTCTGATATGAGGTTGAGTGAATGGCGGGGGTTGGGTGAACGGATGTTGGTGTGCAGACGCTGCTGTTTGTGCCAATGTGAACGGCAGTTGGTTGAACAGATATTGGCCCATAGACGACGGCATTTGGGTGAAGGGCGATTGGAGGGCAGACGACGGTGCTTGGGTGAATGGCAATTGGTGCACAGACGACGTCATGGCGGCGGCAATGGATTTCTCCAGGTTAAGCTTGGTGGAGGTCGTCGATAGTGCTGCGGGACCGAGGGCTGTCGAGATGTGTGCCACTGTCAGACGATCTGGGCGAGCGACCGTCTACACCTGCCCGACGCTCGACGAGCCCTGGGACGAATGCAGGAGGCGCTACGTAGTGGGAAACTTACGACTTCCTTTCCATAGCTGCAACCCATTCTTACAAGTTACAACTAATCGGACAGCGCTAGATTAGTACAACCAGCAACTCTTACTCCGCGACCTTGACATTTGCAATTCGACTTTGCGTCAGGACACCACCGCCACTCTGTCAAACAGCGCTTGAACTATCTGAACATGATGACGAAGTACTAGCCAACGGAAGCCACCCGCCGTTTGTGCGTGCAGCCCGGATACTTTTTTTCTATGCGCGTACCATGCACTCTTTCCTAAATCACGTCCCAGACAGCATGGCTGAAACTCCCTTTGGAATGAACTCAACGGCCTCTCAATCCAGAGCCATCCGACGTACTATGGACACCAGTGGCGAGCCTTCTTACACCTGCGATGACTAGAGTGCACGAGCGTGACAGGCGCAATTGGGTTGGCAATCCAATTTACATCTAGTGCGCTTCCTTGCGTATTTTGCCGCCGGTCGTTTCCAACTGCAACCCGAAACTTTGAACCGCGTCCTTCAATCCCCTGCTTGATGGGATAGGGCCGGGCTTGCTCCCGTTACGCCCAAGGCGAAGATGTCATGCTTTCCCAATTAAGCAGGGTTGTTACTAAAATCAGCCAGGTCGACGTCAGTCTCAAGTTGTCACGAGTGGGAGGTTACATAACGTGTCCGAGCGTATCTAGTCGTAAGTACATCGAGGGAGGACGTGTGCAAAAGCGAAATGGATCTACCCTAATATCCAATCCGCTGCTGGTACCGAGTAGGGGTGGAAATGATGGGTGAGAGCCCAAAGCCAGAATTAATAGGGGAAATACGAGCACTAAGAGTAATAAAATAGCCATAGGATCCGATCTGGTAGAGTCGTTCACTCAGAGTCAGAGCCAGATCCGCCAGATCCAGGCTCATCGTCGTCATCTATGCAACACCGTGTCAGTATTGGCCCAGAGATGCACCGATTGGAAAGGCGTACCACTGGCAATATCGGCACTCGACACCAAGTTTGTTGCTTTAGATTTACGAATCAAGCCACGGATGACGGTATCGTCTGACGGGATGATATCTAGCACGGTGAACCCATTCCTGTCCTTCAACCTATGACCCGAGGTATAACGGTTAGTCGACGGTTCCGAAGCGCGTTCATAGTACAACCCACGTTGTATCTGCGCCAGCTTCTAGTAGACTTTCAACGACAGCTTTCCTCAACTCCGGATCCTCGATTTGCACTGCGAGGTGGAGTGGCGTTGCTTGATCAATCCGATTTACGGGGTCAACATCACATTCTTCGTGCGACAGAATGTGCTCAAGGACATCGGTAGATCCGTGAAGAACGCTGAGTGGGACGCGTCAGTAACCTGGATCCTCATGAAAGAATGCAAGTGCTCACGTACGCGTTGTGTAGTGCTATTCAGAATAGACCAGGGCCTGCAGTCATCATCAGCCGCTTGCGATCGATCTAGTAGGGACTTACGAGTGTTCCCTACACTATACCGAATATAATGAGTAAGATTATAAGGCGGATCTTGGTGAGAATGGACGTACCCATCCTTGCAGTTGATATCGAAGCCTCCCTCCTCGAAGACTTCCAGCAACAGCTCCTCGTTATCGGCTCGCGCAGCTGCGAGCAATCTCTCATCTGATCACGGTCGCTTGTGGTTCAGCCTCTAGATATGGGTGCACCGATGAGGAAACTGAAAGGCTCACTGTTACTGGCACCCTTGATCGCGTCTTCTGACATTGTCGTCTTGGCTGCAGTGGTGGTAGCTGTTAAGGCAGTGGGTACCTGGTCCACAGCGCTATGCGATGTAGAATTTAATCTAATCTTATCATAATGAACCCGGATCAGATCCCGGCCGATGAGCTCTACTTATCGGAGGTTCACGGCGATGAAACAAGGAGGACGCCCGGAGCCGGCGGGATTGATATAGACGTTTTAGACCTGGCACGTTGCTATTTAGTCTCTTCGACCGTCACAACCAACCCGCTGCGAATGGCGCTCTGCTATTCACAAGTGGCGGGATAGTTCGCCATTTACCTGTTCGACTTCGACAAACGTTTTCTACCACTACAACGGGGAAAGGCTGCCACCATGACCTTAACAAAGGCGGATGTGATGAGGATTCAGGCTACAGTGAGTCGAGTGACCATCTATGACCGATTCTTGCCAGCCGCTGGCGACTAGAACAGGCTGCTAATACAGTCTATATTGTCTCTTTGCCTTGATTTTACGCTCCCGGCGGCCCAACTCGATAACTGACTGGCTTTTTCGCGTCGTTTAGCCTCCATCTCATTACGATAATATCAAAGAAGGCCCAGTTTCATCTGTCGCAAGAGCTTGGTTGTCGATGAAGAATGGGGAACCTCAGTGGATAGTCATCAAGTCGGCCCCTGTGATTCGCAAGTTTTCCAGGGAGCCTCATGACATTCGCAAAGAACTGAGGATCTTGACGGAGCTCTCCCATCGGAATGTGAGTATCTAGCCTCGCGCGCACATGATGCCTTGCTTTTGTGGTCGTATGACCATCGTAATATGGGATCGTCAAGCAAAACCTTGATCGCTAGTCGTGCATAGATTTTCCTAGCACGGCAGCGATGCGGGTGCACGACCAATTTTTGGGCATGCGATTTATGTCTAAGTAGTTCTGACGATGGCTTTCCAGATCATCTCTGTGTTGGGTAGCTTCGATGACGAGGAAACCGACACGCTCAAAGTGTACATGCCCTATATTCCGATCTCCTTGGCCGACCTCCTCTCTTCCCCATACTTCTCCCCGCACCCATTCCCGCCTCAATTGCCACAGGATCTGGTTGCTTTGCGATTCCACGAAGCACAGTTCACCACGATATCCCGCTCAATCATCGTTCAAGTGCTGTGCGCCGTGGCTTATCTCCACGACGAATCTCGTCGAATCGCTCACCGTGACATAAAGCCCGAAAACATCCTCCTCACCAAGGATGGTTGTGTCAAGTTGATTGATTTCGGCGTGTGTTGGAAGGAGAAGGAACCAGGGTATTCGAAGCAATATGACCTCTGGCCAGAATACAGCGGAAAACTTTATTTCGAAGTATGCACTGGGTGAGTCAGACAAAGTTTACGCAGCTCCCCCATATTATTCTTCTCCATTGGAATGCACCACGGGGCTAACTCAAACCATGCGTATTTTCCCTAATTTAGAGCCTACCGTGCTCCCGAGCTTCTGTTCGGAACTCGAGCATACGATGCTATTGCGGTTGATCTATGGAGCTTAGGTGCCACCTTAGCAGAGTTCTTCACCCCCCTCCGGATGTCCAGTGATGACACTGATGATGACGGAGACGACGACGATGGTGGGCACTGCCACGACGACGACGATGACTCTACTGAACCCGGTAACGAGTCAAATGGGGCATCCAGTGACGGAGAATATGGATCATCGACACTCCAGCCCTTCATCGTTCCCCGGTACCTGCGTATAGGTTACCCAGACGCGCAATGGCACCGGGATACCTTGTTCAACGGGGATCGTGGCGAGATTGGTCTCGCGTGGAGCATCTTCAAGATTTACGGTACGCCCACCCTCGACAACTGGCCGGTATGTCTATGCAGTTTCTCTCGCGTGAGGACACTAGCCAAATGATGTCCTTTTCCAGGAATTCGATGACCTTCCAGGAGCGAAGAGCGTCGTCTTCAACGTGGTCCCAGCCGTCCCAGTTGAGCCTCTCCTCCCCAACTTGCCTCCTTCCACACGTTCTTCATCGCCACTTGCCTCCCCTGCTTCTCACTGCAATGGCGTTTTGAGCACGCCCAAGGCCTATCGCCATCCGGCTCTCGATCCCATTCGTAAATCCACGCCTTTTGATTTATTGTCGAGGTTCCTCGTCTACCCATCTGGCTCCCGCCAGACAGCTTCTGAAGCTCTCCGGCATCCTTGGATTACTGCCGACTCGGCGATCCTCTTGCCTAAAGGATACGAGTTCGAAATGGGCGCTGGAGCGGGAGTTGATCGGGACAACGTCGCGCAGTTGAAGAGGATGATGGCTCATGAATGGAAGGGCAAGTCTTTGGGAGAGCTGTTGCATGGAGTGCTGTTGGCTCCTCCTGGTTCGGCGAATCCGCGATGGTAACAATCCCAGCTCGATAGCAGTATAAGCTCTTTAGTGAAACTCTCTCTCTAATTATACTTACCGACCATCGTGTCAGGTTTGGACTGCCTCCCGGTTATGGGATACTGTCTTGACCTTGTTCATTTCTTTCATATTACTTTATGCCGTGTTTTCGATTGTAATTTGAGGAGGGGAAGAAGTTTGAATACCTAATGTAACTTTATCTACGCGATGCTTCATCGCCCCTTCTGTGGCCAGAAGGAGGAACTGACCAAGGTAGTAATCCACCTACCGTTTTGAGTATATCCACATCCACCAAAAGCGAGTGCAAGTGTAAACTGCGCTTGTAGGCCCAAGCAGGAGAGATGAAAGTCCTTGCGTTATTCCAACAAGGTCTGATAGAGAGGGCCGATTAGTTGATACAGGCGTTCATTGACATAGCCAGGACGCCAGTCCGCACTGAGCTGAGACGTATCGTTGAGCGACTAGGAAGTATGAAGGCCTTTGGCGGCGCATCTCGAGCTATTCCTAAGGGCTAAAAATAGGGGAAGATTCACGTTTGACGCGCCAGGCCGAGTCACGTGGAGCGTGACTGGGTCCGATCGCGTTGCATGTCTGGCGTCGGCGACCAAGGCCTGTTCTTCTCCACCACCGTTGGCGACGATGAGCGATCCCAGAAAGCCAGTCGAGCCTCTACCACCGCGATGGAAACCCAACCCAGACCCTAACAGCATCGTCGTGCCTGGACTGGACACCGATGCCTCCGTGACAGATCAAATCGAGCAAATTGAGCAGCTGATCACCATCAAGCTTCAGGTTCGTATTCGTCGCGTTCTAAAGAGCTATCTGGACTGAGAACGCTGATAGAATATCGATGAGAATTTCGCAAATATACATAACGTACTTGCGAATAGGATCTTGCCGTCGATTAAACGGTATTCTGTTGGAACTGAACCCGTTCGTGAGGCGGCCAAGGTGCGTCCTGATCCTCCTCGTCCATTTCGAACAAAATGTCTGAACTATACCATTAGTTTTGGACATCCTTCTATGAACAGGCTGCCCAAATTCGCATTCCAACCTTTGAAGATCACTCCACTGTGAACGAGATTCCGGAACCCGATGAAACCACGACCGACGGAGAAGAGGACCGCACTGCACGTTCACAAGACTCGCATGATGAGCAGGAGGAACAGCGCTCTGTCTTTGAGCCAAGTCTTGCTCAAACGGACGCTTCATTTATGCCCAGTCAGGCCGTATCCTCCACACCTGCTACCGGTCGGGTTGCCAACACAATGCAAAGCTTCGTTAGCGAAGGATCTAGTCAACCTTCCTGGGCAAACACCATGGAATCACCGCTCCTCCGTCTCAAATCCGAGATTGAGAACTTTTCGGCGGATGACAACAGTGCCTTCACGCCTGCCCCTGCTGTTACCTCTTCGACCAGCTTCATCCCCCCAACTCCTGCCGACCGAACCGACGTCACCATCCTACCACCTTCCACCAAAGGAAAGGGCAAAGCCAAAGAACAGGATCCTCTCCTCCGGAACGTGTTGCGGCACAACTTGTATGCTAATCAGTCCGTTGACGAATTCAACAGCAACAAGCCTGTTTCTCCGCTCAAATTCAAAGCAAAACCCAAGACGCCGACTATCCCGAAGACGGCCAATCCTTACCTTCCTCCTGACACCAACCCAAGCCAATGGAGCGGCATTGTCGATCTCAGTGACGCTTCCGCGTTGACACCAAAGACGTACCGTTCAGGAAAGAAACCGTCATCGAACCGAGATGCGAAGACACCACAAGTCGATGATGAAGACTCGGACGAATCATTCGATGGCCTTCCCAAGGGAATGTCTCCCCCAGTCCTTATGTCTCCCGCACGCCCTCCTCGGTCATCTGCAGAGCTTGGCCTACTCAAGCTGGGCCAGAGTCCCTTGAAGCAAGCCGCTGCGCGCCTCAAGCAAGATCTCCTCCGGGACGTGCATACCAACAGTACGTTCAAGGCTAAAGGATACTACAGCAACAACAACCCTGTGGAGTCCAGCATGAGCACTGTTCCCACTCCCCCGTCGCTTTCGCGATACCGGAGCACGGAGGAGAGCGATAGCGTCGCAGACTCGACATTGGAAAGCATGCTTCGACGGGTCGGGCTTGACGGTCCTTCGACTGCTGGCTTGGCATCCACGCCAGGGCTACGTCTCCGTCCCAAGCATGCAGCTGCCGGGGATTCTAACAATGTGCAATCGGCGTACGACAGCTTGGGTGAAGACGACAGTCTACCACCTATCCAGAACCCATTATTCACCCCTGCCTATATGAACGACGACGACTTTGGTCTTGATTCGGACTCAGCGGATTCACTGGACATGGAAGATATCAACAATCCTTCTGCTGCGTTCTTTATGGCCTCGCATGGGGTTGCCGGGGACGATGACTCTTTCGGCTCGTCCAACCACTCCAGCGACTCCCTTGTCGATGATGATGTAGGTGGGATAGTGCCAGTCCATCCGTTCGCAGGTTCTATCGAAGATGATGGCTTTGACGACGATGACGATTCCTTCGATTACGACAACGGAGAAACACAAGAAGAGACTCTCTTTGGTGTTCCCCCAGCGCAAAGAATGCGGGCCGCTGCTGCTGCCGCCGCTCAGCAACAGGGCCAAGGAGGGCTTCGCTTACTTGGTGAAAACCTGCTGGACGACACCATTGGCGCCCAGATTGTGGCAGGACATGGGGGGGTGGCTGAAACGCCGACGCCTGCCTGGGGCAACGCGGCGCCTTTCCGTTAATTTATAACCTTTCTTCTGTATTCTATTGTTCTCTCTGTAAAATAGCCAGTTTTGTCGGAACCTGTCGCTCATTTGCCTGAGCCAACGACAGCCCCTGTTTTATGGGAAGCCGCGGTCATGTGGTTTGATTCGCCAAGCCGAGATCAACGAGTCTATCTGAGAGCCTTTGCTCAATGTGTCCATCATCCACTTTTACCTCTTCCCAGCTCTTCGTCGTCCGTGACGCCCTTGAGCCATGGACACCGAGTCCGCCGCCACGCCCGCAACGACAACGACCGATGCGTCTTCCGAGCAAGCTCCAGCTTCGTCGGATGTCGAAGTAATCGACTTGACCGGGCTCTCAGACTCTTCCTCCGACGATGAAGGCGGAGATGGTTCAGACCAAGAAGAAAATGGGGAGGGCGGCTCGTACGACGATGATGACGACGACGACGACGGGTCTGAAGTTGAGATTCCCCTCAACCAGGAAACCCGAACGCAGCTGTACACTGCCATCTCTACTGTGTCTGAACCGCGTCTTCGACACGTCCTCAAGCGCTTAATTGATACCGACCAGGCGGTGGAGATTGCTCTTACTCGCGAGCTTATAACCTTGAAGCGCGAAACCCAGGCCGTTGTACCGCGATGGCATCGCTGCGTCCATTGCGAAATCGAGTATGATATCAATACTCGCCGGGAGGAAGATGAATGCACTTTTCATCCCGGTCAGTCGAGCTTACTTTATTCCTTTTTGGTGGCATTAATCTCCCAACTACCAGGTGAACTAGAGGAAGATGAAGAAGGCTTTGCGGACTGGGACGAGGATTGCCACGGTCCTAAAGACACACCAGAAAATAGGATCCAATATCCTCACGAATTCAAGTGGACATGTTGCGACGAAGACGGGACAGCTCCGGGCTGTGTTCGAGGACAGCATAAACCTGTTGACATCTCGAAAAAGCGAAAACGGGAGGAGCAGCACTAGTCCAGGTCTTTGGAAGTGAGGTTCTATTTCGGTCACGGAGCTCGGCGTTTTATTGACCGTCGATTTATTTTTCATGCAGCTCTCTTTCTCCTACTTGTGCCCTATGCAATCGTGTCGCTACCAGGCAGGATGAGCGACCATTTTTCACCCTTTAGCCACGCATATGCTCGTCGCGCGCTTTTTCGTGGCCTTTATGTGTACTGCCAGCGCAAAAGAAAATCAGGGACCCACGTCCAGACCCGTCACCAAACATCTAATGCGGCCGCGCCAATCTATCTGCTTAAACCGTCACAAGCCTCTCTCACCCCTCGGTCTTCTGGCCGCTAGTTACTTATTGACCGTCTAGATCGAAAACTACTACATCGACGAACGCCCAGGTCTTCGTTCGACGATTCCTACGTTCATTGTCTTCTTTGTGGCAAGTTGTCCCTCGCTTTAAAAGATACGCATGCGGATGCATTTTGCCAACCGTCCCTGATAATGCCATTCCTTGTTGTCGGAAAACTTGGGGAGAGTCGAATTGAAGAAAGCTCTAGAATACATGCATGGAAGAGGCTTGTGGCAAAACGGGTATTCTATCTTAGGCGACACAACAAGTACTATTATTGGAAGGTTGGCAACAAGCATCTCCATTCTCAGTAGATCCCTTGAAGGCTGCGACGCTCATCGTATCTTTCGCTCCAGGAACGTCCATACTCGGATTAACCTTGAAGAAGGAATTTGGTTTGAAAGTGACGCTGAAATGTTCGACGGGCATTCTATCCATCCAAATTCGGTCAGTTCGGGACTAAGCCAGAAGAAAAGAGGACAAAGGAACTTACACAGGCCAATCCTCAGGTCTAGGAATGTGAGTCGTCCCAACGGTAAGATAAACGAGGATATCTTCATCGACGATCTTCTGCTGACCCAAAACCCACTTGCCAATCGAATCATTGGGTTCTTCCCGCGACTGAGGAACGTATTGACCCGCGGGCCACATCCTCTGACTTCCGCAATCTTCCCCCTCCACGTCCCTACAAACCCACAACGTATTCCTCAAGAATGGGGCGCGTCGAATCGTCCAGCTGTCCGGTTTGGCCATCACGGGCATAGCTGCACCCTTCAGACTGATCGTATAACCGACATCTTTACCTGACGCATAGTGCTTCCTCGAAGGGTTCACAATCTTCCATCGGCGTTCTTTGCTGAGGTCGTATTGTCGTCCAGCTTCATGCTCGAGAATGGTATCCTTGACGTGGAACCCGTTACCAGCGAAGTTGGCGTCGGATCCGGTGGGAGCCTCAAGCGGCAGGACGTCGCTTTCCACAACAGAGTTGTTAAGCCCGTCTATCATAGGGTCGACGCGGATGGAGAAAGCATGTTGGTGGTAAAAGCCGTTGACATTGGGTGCAACTGTCGTCCCAAACGGAGTAGGCTCGCCATCCTTCAACGGGGCGACTAGCAAGATCCCGGTCAGGCGGACTTCGAACTCGATGCTACCATCTTGGTAGAAGAGGAAGTTCCAGATGTACTCTGCGAGGGAAGGTGGTCAGAAGCTGTAGTGGGATGGAAAGGACGTGTGACGAACCGTAGTTGGCCAAGGTGCAGACCATACTCACGACTAGCCTTCGTCGTCGAACGGTATGGCCTCGACCACCTGCCCTGTAGTCGTGGTGCGTCCAGAGAACACCGGCGTCTTCTTCGTGAATGCAGATGGCGTTCTCGATGATACAAGCACTGCCGTTATGGGTGACATAGTTTCCGGGCTGGAACGACATTAGAATGGAAGGGGGAGGGAACAAGGAACGGAGCGCATACCAGATAGTGTATCTGACCAAGGCAATCGCAACCCAAAGACAGTTCTTTGGCCATGGTACCCATACCATACTCCCCACTAACACGCGGGTAAGCCTTTGGACAAGGAATGCGAATGGAAAAAGTTACGTGTCAAAGGCAAACTTGCGAGGATGAGGATGCTCCGGGACCCCGTAAGGTACGACCATCTCCGCCAACGACAGGCGATAGAAGATCGGTCGGACTTCGCCATGGTCATTGTATGTGATCGTGGACAAAGCGATCCCCTCGCGATGGCTAAAGGCTATTCACAGCGCAGGCGTCAGCGACGAAAGCAACCAGTTTATGAACTTAAAATCCATACCAATATGCATCTTCCAGTTTTGCCATTCGAGAACATGGCCATTCATCTTGAAGCTCACCCCTTCAGGCTGAACAATGTGAAGAGGTTTGAGGTCCTTGCGAAGCTCGAAACCCTCTTCAGACTTGGCCATCAGATCTGGCAAGAAGTCGAAGGACCTCATTGGAGGTGGGATTCGCTCTCGGTTTGCAGCCTTAAGAGGGTCGTCGTCAAGAGCTGGAGGTGCAGTAGTCGGAGCTGAAAGTTCATAGCCATTCTCCGTCTTCTTGTAGCTTGGAGGGAAGTCTAAGCGAGACAGGTTAGTACAAGGCTTCGGCTTACAGTAGCATTGAAAGAGCTCACCGATGTGAATCACCTTCTTCAGATTCGAGTCTACAACAGGGACGAAATCCTGTTGTCCCTCTTAAGTATACCGGAACACAGGTGAGGTGGAAGACACGTACCAACGGGTGAGCGTATAGATTCTCGTGGGGAGAAAGTCGTGCAAAGCAAATGGCCTGTCCAATCCTCTGGCTATGAGGGAACCGCTCGTCATAACCGATTGCCCAAGCATCGCAGAAAATCTGATGAGGCTCAATCCCGACCTCCTTCGCAAGAGCCTGGATTGTCTCGTCTTGCTGGACGACAGTCTCACATTCTTCCAGTTCATCAACAGTGACCATAGGGTGGAACTTCTTGTCCAAAGGAACGAACTTCTGGACCTTCCATTCCTCACCGACCAGGGCAACGGTGACGTTGTAGGCACCACTAAAATGCGGGATATCAGTGGAAGATGAGTAGCACAGGCAATGACATACATACCCATTGATCACGTCTACAAGCTAAGCGAGAGTGATTAATGAGTTGAATGATAACAGGAACGCGGCGCGTACCTCGACCTCGGCCCTTCTAACGATTGGCTTTGGAACTTCTGGCTGGCCACCTGGGGTGGTCGGGATGCCGAGGTATGCAAGCACATCCCGCTTTGGTGGGGGAAGTAACGAGCATATGACAAACTTGAGCGCTTTAATTTCAGTTTCCTTCGTGATGTATTGGCGAATGCTGAGAGTGATCGCGTTGGTCTATTTATAGGCATCAGGTATTTGCAGGCGAGTAAAGAAGGAATGACGCACCTCGGCGGGAGTGAGTGGGTCGAGAGGGTGCGTCGAAGGCGAAAACTTGTTATTCACATTCGTGGTGGATTGCTTTGTTGTAGCAGTTGCAGGGACGTTTGAACTGGCGGGAATGGAATCGTGCGCCATGGTAGGTCAGACGTTGGTAATAACTCTCTGGGAATGGGTTTAGAATGGCAGGTCGACGAGGGCATCTACTTGACTCACTTGTAGGAATAAACGGTGTCCTCTGGAGTACAGTGGGGATGTGTTTCAATCGAGAAGCCGTCACCTGACAGATATATAGGCGCGACCCGTGAGAACATACATTGAACAGGGGCATTCAAGCGCCAAGGCCAACAGCGTCCCAACTTTCGCATTTCAGGGTTTTTGGGGATCCTGCGGGTCTCTGGGGTGACATGAACACCATCTGGTGAGGGTGACTGGCTTTCAGACGAAGGTGAAGGGCTCCAAACGGCCAAAGGAACAAATGTTGCCCGAATTTTCGCGTCCAGCTAGGCGAAGAGCCGGCTGACAACCAATCTCCTGGGACTAGATACCCCAGAATAACGTTGAGAAGTGTCCAGGAACATTCTGAGTGACAGTCGGAGTGGCGCTGATAGAAGCGAAGGGCGGAACTAGGCGAGATTGGGCTTGAACCCGTAGGTTTGCTGGGGCTCACCGACATCGGCTGACATTATTGGACTGACAGAACAAAGGACTCTGGTTCTAACTGGGGAGAAAGCCGTTGATCATGTTGCTCGATGCACCAGGATATCCAAGAGATAGTCTAGTCGCCGGTTGTCGTCAACACACACTTGCCCTCGAAGTTCCGTCACGGTTCCCACTGGACATTAATGGTTCTCTCCAAAAAGACGTGAGGATTTCGAAATTGGGACAGATATGCGAACCTTTCGAAAGGTCTATGACCCTCAGATTGAGCATATCGAAGATGAGGGAGTGTACATTGTGGTTGAGGAAAAACCAAAGAACTTGTTTCAATGTTTGGCTCCCTTCGGTCCTGGCGGAGTCTGATGATGATGATGAATCCTTGTTTGCACCTTGTCCTTCAAACGACCACCCTCCTCACCGCGACCTGCAACAATTCGATGTCCTGGGGACTCGGTCCTTCGGGTTGGTCCAAAGAGGCTAAATTGCATTGATGGAATAGTCGAACTTGGCCTTCAGCAAAGTGGCCAACGACTGAGTGCATCAGGCCACGATTATGGAACAAGACGAGGTCTTTGCTCTTCCTGGCGCCCGCTGGAAGCTGAGCGCTATTCCGTGGATCAGGAAGGGCAAAACTTACCATGGATGTGGGTATACAAACTTTTAGGGGAGAGAAAGTGAGTCACAGCCCTCTGGCTCTCGGCTCGTGTTTAGCTCACCTTTGGCGCGATTCCAGGCCGCTGCATTTTGTACAGGACTTCTCGAATTTCATTCAAATCAGTGATATGGCCACCATCAGGATAAACATCTCTCTCGCTGCGTTGGTCGTACGGAATAGCCTCCACGATAATCTCTCGAACCGCCATTGGGTGCACCTGCAGGTGTAATTTCGCGGTGACAGGGTTTTTCCACAACTGCTGGGAGTCAATGATGGGCGATGGGCGACAAACGAGTCACCTACGAACGGATAAACCTTTACTTTCGCCTCTTCCCAGTCACTCAAGTCCTCCAATCCCACCTCCTTCCCTTCGGTCACCAACCCTAAGCCAGTGCTCAGGGTCTTCGCATTCCATATCCATTCAAACGGGCGGGGGGCGTATGTTGCTTTGGCTCGAGCCGCAAAACTTGGCCATTCGGGGGGCAAGGTCTCGAACATTGTTTTTCCCGATACAAAAGCGGTTGTTCCCAAGGGTACTGTTAGATCGTCCCCCGTTCCGTTGCCATATCGGACTACCTGACCTAGGTCCCTCGGGAACTCGGATGGCGTACAAGGCTGTCACTTTAGGAGGGTCGAATTTGAAGAGCGCAGCATCCATATGCCACCTCAGGAACCTTGTTGCCCCACAACGCTCTTCCTCTTCCTTCGGTATTGTGGTTTTGTGGAACATGGAGTCATGGGCGTGCTTTAGCTCTATCCTTTCGAGCCCTTCGTGTCCATCTACTACTCCATGACCGATGACCTGTACCTGAGGAACCCGAGGAATCTTCTTCAGGTACGACAGGATTGAGGATCTCTCGATCTTCCCTCCATGTCCATACGTTTCTGCGGATGCATCAAAAAGCCCTGTGGTGTCAGGATCAGCGATGGAAGCAAACAGGGGCATTCCACCTACCTTCACTAGGCGATATTGCTCTTTGGGACCAAGATCGACATTGCGAAATAGAAGAAGATCGTGCTGCTGCAGCGCTCAGCCTTGTCCCCACTTCGACGCACTTAAATCGAATCAAACCTGATACAACGCTTTCTCCAGTGCTGCGAACGCCTCTGGGTCGCCACAGACGTCCCTTGGGTGAATTCCATGTACTTCCCGTCCTAGTTCTGGACACTCTGGTGCCTCAAATGTGGGAGGGAACTGGATAGGGGTCAAGGATATCGCCATGACGGGGCTTCTTGGACAACGCACGCTGCTCTTGGACTATATACTGTCCACCCAAGATGATGCCAGGTGCTGATTAGCTCGAGGACTTCTGTGACGAGAATAGATGAAACCTCGGACTACGGAGCGGGTATGAAGTATCAATTCTCTTCCCATAACTGGCTAACGATCTAGTCATTAGACGTGGTTCTGCGCTAGCGGCTGCCAATCGTTCTCCCGACATGGTCAGTTGCAGTATCGAAATGGACCTCCAACCACTGTCAACTCACACCGTGTCGCTATTCAGAGATTGGGATCGGCTCCTATGAATGCGAACCTCGAAACTATAAATAATCTACCTTGCTCCCATTTCCGTTAGGCCCTCTTCGTCTTCGTTCACTATGTATTACGACAGCGACAGCTCGGACGAATGCTACGACTGCAGGAAATGCGGCGCCTCCTTCTCGTGCGGATGGGACCTTAACAACCACGATTCCAACCAGCACGCATACTATTGCGATCGCTGTGGTCGTAGCTTCGTCAACCAAGCGGCTCTTCAGCAGCACCTGGAAAACTCTTCCTTCCACTACTACTGCGTTTTTTGCAAGCGAGACTTCGCCGAGCGGGAGTGGTACGGAACGCACATGCTCGAGTATCACGAGCGCTGCCATACATGCCAGATAGATTTCAGACACGTCGACTGGCTTCACCGACACTATGCCGACACGCCGGACAGGCACTCGTTTTGCCTTGAGTGCAAGCGCCATTTCTCGTCTCCGGATAATCTCAAACATCACCTCGCATCCGGCCTCCATCAAGAGCGAACTATCGAATGTGTGGCCCCTCGCTGCCAGCGACGATTCATTTCCCTCCCTGCTCTTCTCGGGCACTACGATTCCGGAGGCTGCTCAGAAATCAGTCGAGATCATATGGATTGCTTTACGAGGAGCGTTGGCGGTCGTGGCTACATCGTTGCAGATGACGACACTCACTTCTATCGTTGTCCCCTTTGTGACAAACGTTTCCTTCTGTTCAGTGGCGTTGCAGCTCATGTGGAAGGAGGGAAGTGTGCCAATGAAGAGGAGAGAGCTAGAGTCGGCGAGAGCATCTGGGACATTCTGGCTCTCTTCCAGCAGTATCATTGAGGTGTGGTATGTCAAATCTTTTCATCATCATTGACCATCTAATCCATGTCTCTGCACATAGGACTCTCGGTTCGGGCAGTGGGAACCCGCGTCTATATAGAAACTGTGTAATCATGTTACAATGAAGGCCCCAGGAAGATGTCATTCAGCAACTGTATAAGTGTATGTGTGTGTGTGTGTGTGTGAGTTGCAAGGTCAGCACAGGCCAAAAACTTGGACGCCAACCCCCGAGTCGTCCCTTAGGACCTCCTAGCCTGGCCGACTCAGCAGGAATTGCCAACAGGCACGCATCGAACAATGGCCCGGCCATCGTCAAGGGATTTGTGAATTTGCTATTCCTAGTTTTCTATGCGGATAATTGGTAGCCGCGCCACCATGGGATCGCACATTTGATTTAGCGCGCCTATTCGATTCATGGTCTAGCCGTTCATGCATATCTTCTCTCTTGACTTGACCCCCTCTTTCCTGTTCTTACACATCTCGAGGACAGTTCGCCATCGGTTTTCACTTTGCCTTTGTTGTAGAATATCGTTCGGACCCATACATTCACGATCACATGACTACGTACACACATTAATTACTCGATAGACGCGCTCACCACAGGGTCAGACTTCTACCACTATCTGACCCTGTGAGTATCTTAGCCTTTCCTCCTTGTACCTAGCTGACACCGTGTAGGACTCTGTCTGGTTCATTCTAGGTACACATAATAGACTTCTACCACTATCTGACCCTGACTCTGTCTGGTTCATTCTAGCCTGCACCGCAACAGGTTATGAGCCCCGGTTTGCTCTAAACCGGCCAAAATCTTACCCGCCTTATCGATCTTCGTTCTCGCCCTGAGCCTTTATCCCCAAAACGACCATGTCTGAGCCTCCCGGTGATCTGGGAGGTAATCCCAATCAAAACGCCCAAGGCGTTCACGAGCATCAGGCTTCTGCCAACAATGATGCCGCTAACCCCGCCACGACGTCTGTGCCTGGTCATCCAACTGTCAACAGCGGGAACGCCCAACAACCGATACAGCAACCGACCGTTCAATCTTCTCGTTCCCTACCATATCTGCCATCTGGTTTCGGCTCTGGTTCTGGATCTGGCAGGGGCCAACCCCAACTCCAAGTCTACCCAACTCCATCCATACCCGGCGCGCCTCTTTTTTCCTATGTACCTCGCTTTAACCAGTCTTTTGACGAATATCAGGCTTCTCTTTCGGCGAACCAGCAGATTCCTTCAATTCCTTCAGCAATTTCTGTTCCTTTAAATTCTCAGGCTTCGCCACAACAACAGGACCGGAACACTACTGTCCGAGGAACTCCTACTGGCAGTGGGACTCCCGCTCAGCAGAATGTCGCTCTCACGAGCGGCCATTCGGCTGAAGTACAGCAGTACCTGGAGGCGTGCCAGCTCCTTGGGAACATGTTAGGATACATCCCACAAGATGTTATCCAACGTGCTCCGCCGGAAGCGATGGCGCTGTTGCAACAACCTGTTGCACAGCCGACAGGTCAACAGGAGCCTGCTCCCGTTGTCCAACAGGCTCAGCAGTCAATGGGCTCGTCCCATTCTGCTCAACAGGCGAACCTTGCTGGGGTTCAATTACACCAGCCGGTTCCGCAACAGTATCACGGTTACCGAATGCCGACCTCTGCCTCAGAGCCGGTCATTCAAACCGTTCATACCGAGTATCAGGGCAACACCTATACTGGTAGGACACGAGTTCCTCATCGAACTGGTGGATCGCCGAAAGGACCTCGTCCTCATCATTCAATTTCTCGCTGGCAACAGCCATTTTCTTACAAGAATTCCCTTCTCGAACTCGCTCGTGATACGACGGCGAAGGATTTCAACATTTTTCGTGTTGCTTTTTCGATGATTCGTAAAGGTTCTTTCGTTTCCTTCTCACACATAACTTCTTTGGAGAAAAAGGCGCAGTGGTTGGATTGGATTGGGGGGATAAAGCACATTCTGATGGGTCAGAATCTGCTTGGTTGGATTTTGGAGGATGACGAAGTACTCGACACCACCCCACCCTGGTCCATGCCAGTCTACCCTATCGACAAACCACGCGAACACATGACGACCGACGACCACGACTTCAACGGCGTCTGGTGGTTGATCGATAGCTACGTCAAGTACTACCTCCTTGGCCCCCTCACCTCTCAAGTCAGGTCCACCCTCGACCACGAAATCTTGCGCCGCAACATCAGACAGCTCACATCTCGCGACGTATACAGCATCCTTCGGTCTGAGTATGGCACCATCGACTACAACCAAGGACGTGCTCTTTGGCTACGAGCTGAAGCGATGGAGTGTGGTTCCAATGTGGCCACCTACGTTCGGAACTACGAGAAGTTGATCGACGAGGTTAGGCGTTCCTCCTTTGACGGCCTCACCCCTCACATCGCTATCAGTAACATGATGCGCCGTCTTCCCGACTCTCTTCGCTACCTTACCGACAACTGGCGTATGAAGACGGTCAAGGGTTGGATTGTCGGCCACAACGACTGGGCCGAATTCCTGCGATGGAAGAAGGACATTTTGTCTGCTTACGAGGGACACGTAGCAGAACAATATGCCTCTCGCGTTTCTGGGGGTGTTCGCTCAGCCCAACGGGCCACTGTTCTGAACCAGCCTCGCCCTGCCACCAACCCCTCTTCCAACCGACCCACTCCTGTCTCGAACCTCGCCAATGCTAAGACCCGACAGGCCGCCGTCATATGCTACAACTGCCAGAAGCCTGGTCATACGAAGGCGAATTGTCCAGAACCTGGGGGTGATCTTTCCGGCAAGCAACAGTCGGCGAAGGGATACCTGGCAGCAGATGGGGGTGATGTCGCGAAGAGCGGACACTAAACCAAACCTAAGACCAGATGTGCGGAGCGGATAAGAGCGCGGAGCGAGATAAGAGCGATGAGCGACTGATGCTGATGAATGCTGAAACGGTGTATTGACGAAGAGGTCAAGCTGAGGAAATACAGAGGGATCTACCTAGCTTATATACCTATTCTACAGTCTACATAGCCGCGATGAGTCAAGATGACGAACGGATGGTGAGATACAAAAGAACAATAAGGAGAGTCACAAGGCTGCGCGAAAGCTGCGCGAAGAACGAAGAAAACAATAACGGAGTGACGAGGCAGTGCAAGAATGGAGAGAACAATAAGATGTAGGGCGAAGGGCATAACGAGGCAGTGTTCCATGGGAGAAAGTGTCCGTGTCGAGAATAAGGGCAAAAATGAGAATAAAGAGAAGGTGATAAGAGCGATGAAAGCGATAAGATAAGATAAGGAAAAATAGGGGCTCGTACTTGCTGTTCACGACAGGTGAGTTGACGGAGGAGGATGAGCAGGTGATTGAGGCCGCAGAGGAGTTGGAGAAGGACAACACTTCAAACGACGTACCACCCACCGATGTAGCTATGTTAGCGGAATTGCTGGACAGCATCCACCTTTCCGACGAACAGAATAACACTGTCGTTGTCGCTTACGTTGGACACCGTGAGATCCATACATCCAGCTACGACCTTGTTGACCATGGTCCTTCTCCTGGCCCATCCAAATCACCTCCATCATTGGCTCTTACTTCTAACCCTCCCTCTCGGACGCGCGCTACTCTCCTCGACTCTGGCTGCTCTCAACACATCATCACCGAACGCGCATACTTCCACACATTTACCGCGGTCAACCAAACCATCGGCACCGCTGGTGCTTCTCCTCTTCGCGCTCTCGGTGTGGGCTTAGCCAAGATCACAGTCCCTCTACGTGATGGTTCTTCCTTCACCATCTCCCTACCGGACTGTCTATATGCGCCCGACTGTCCGTTGAATCTACTCTCCTCGGGTCGCCTTACCGACGTCAGTGGAATCCGGATCCTCTTAGGAGACAAGAAGACTCTGTGCTGGGAACATACGCCTGGTCAGCGTCCCACCCGTTTCTTCTTCCTCCCGCGCCATGGTTACCTCACTGCCTTCACCGGGTCTTTTGTCCCACCAGACCCCTGCCCTTCAGAGGCCCTACTCACACTAATCCCTGAGGACGATTTGCCTTCAATGTTTACTCCTCCCAAGCTGGACATTGAACTTTGGCATCGTCGCACTGGCCATCCTGGCCATGAAACCACGCGTCTTCTGGTTTCGGGACAATGTGTTCGAGGGGTGAAGTTGGTTGGTTCCATCACCAAGTGCCACTGTGTGTCGTGTGTGGTAGCACGATTCGCACAAGCACCTTACCGACCGAGTGTTGAACGCTTCCTTATGCCTGGTGATTTACTTCACATGGACATCTCTGGTCCTTGGCCCACACAAACCCAAGCCGGCGAACGTTACTTTATCATCTTCCTCGACGACGCTACACATTTCGGATGGGCATCTCTACTCAAATCTCGTGATGACGCTTTTACAGCCTACATCCACGTCGAAGCTCGTCTCGAAAATATCACCGGCAAACGAATCGCTCGCACCAGGTCTGACAACGCGAAGGAACTTGTGGCTGGAAAACTTGGACTCCACCTGCGCTCGAAGGGGATCGAGATCCAAGTTGCTGCTCCCTATGCCCATGCGCAGAACGGTCGAGCTGAACGGCACATCCGCCGTGTCCAAGATGTCTCCGCCACCCTCCTCGCCGATTCCGGCCTCCCTCCTATGTTCTGGGGTTACGCGATCCTCACTGCAGTTTACCTCATCAATCGTCAGCCTACCAAGGCCTTGCCCCCGAACACAACACCTTACGAGGCTCTATATGGGACCAAGCCTGACTTATCACATCTCCGTGTATGGGGGTGTCGTTGTTTCCCAATCATCCCACCCGAGCTTCGTAGAAAGGGCGACAACCGACGTATCAAGGATTGTGTCTTCCTTGGTTACGAAGATGGCCGGAAGTCTTACCGCGTAATGACACCTACCGGGAAGATATTCTTTTCAGCTGATGTCGTTTTCGATGAGGGTAACATGGGTCGTTTGGGCTCCCGACGCCCACGCCTGACAGAACTGTCAACTATGGATGACATCGCCGATTCCATCGATACTGTCCGTCAAGTTCGACGCTCGGCGCGCATTGCTGGACTCCCGGGTGCCAATCTCATCTCCGATCGACCATACTCCCCTCAACACGTTCTCGCCTCACTAGGGCTAAGTATCATGAGCGAGGGACCTGTCGAACTCCACCAATCCAGTCGATTCGACGTCCTACCCAGCATATCCTCATACCTCGCCACGGTTGGGATCCATCGCCTATTCATGCAGCCCACCATCAGATTCACCCCACTCGCCATGATGTCGGCCTGTGGATTCTACTGTGATGCCCTCCTCCTTGACGAAGACGCCTTCGACACTTCTGTCTCCCTTGCTGCATTTGACCTGTCAAAGCCTCCCGACACACTTCGCCAGGCTATGATGCGTCCCGACTGGCCCATATGGCTTGCTGCCATGTGTAGGGAGTTCAATGGCTTGAAGGATCGTCCGGCCTGGGTCGTCGTGAAGAAACTTCCGAATGGTAAAACCGCCATCGAAGTCCGCTGGGTATTCGCATTCAAGTACAACCCCGATGGTTCCATCAAGCGTGGCGCTGAGAAGGCTCGGCTCGTGGTGAAAGGGTACCTGCAGCGTCCGGGAGACTATGACGAAACCTTCGCCCCCGTCGTACGACTTCAGGTCGTCTGCATCATCCTTGCGCTTACCGCCAAAAACGACTACGAACTCTTCTCATTCGATATCAAGACCGCCTTCCTGCACTCCAAGCTCGAGGAAGAGGTTTACATCAAACAGATCCCTGGTTTTCCTTTGGAAGACAAAGAGGCTGTTCTTCGTCTGCTTGTCGTCCTTTACGGCCTCAAGCAGGCTGCCTTTGCTTGGTACTGCCATTTCATGGGAGTTCTCGTCAAAATCGGCCTCAAGCGATGTGAATTGGATCATGCCTTCTTCATTGGGGTTTGGCACACTCCTCCTGATCCTTCCATTCCGATGCCTACTGACGGCTCCCCTCTCATTCTTCTTGTTCCCATCCACGTCGATGACGGCCTCGCATCCACCAACTCACCCGAACTCTACGCATGGTTCATTGCTCAACTCAAAGCCCACGGAATTGATGTCGTTGACTTCGGTCCGGTCTCAATGTTCCTTGGTGTTCGGATTATTCGCGACAGGCAGAACCGACGGATTTGGCTGTCTCAATCCTCTACCATTCAAACTCTCCTTGACGATTGGAAGATGGATGGCTGCCGTGGTGTTACCACCCCTATGGATGGTCCTCTGTGCGACCTCCCCGATACCGACAAACCTCCCTTTCCATGGATTACTCCAGAGAACCTCACACGGAGCTATCAATCCCTTGTTGGTTCCATCACCTGGCTCGCCACTTGCACTCGCCCTGATCTCGCCTACGTCGCCATGTGCCTTGGTCGTCACAACGCGAACCCTCAGATGAAACACCTTGCCGCCGCCAAGCACGTTCTCCGATATCTCTTCGCAACCATTCATCTCGTTCTCATGTTTGACCCTCTGAATAACATCAATGCTTCCGTCAACAACTTCATTCGCTCTGCCACGGGTTTCTCGGATGCTGATTGGGCGTCTGACAAGGAGACTAGAGTCAGTATCTCCGGCTTCGCCTTTTTCTATCTAGGCGGACTGGTAGCTTGGAGCGCCTGCAAGCAACGTTGCATTGCGCTATCCTCTACAGAGTCTGAATTCTACGCCATTGTTCATGCCATGCGCGAAGGCCTCTGGATGCGACTCTTCCTCATCATCAATAACTTCCCCGTTCCTCAACCTTTTCCTCTTATCTGCGACAACAAATCCACACTCCACCAAGTCAATTCACCGGCCATTACTTCCAAGTCCAAGCATATTCACATTCGGGAACTCTTCGCCAAACAATACTTCAGCGACGGCACCTTCTCGGCCAATTGGGCTGCCACCAACATCAACGTCGCTGACATTTTCACTAAACCCCTTCGTGCCACTTTGTTTGTTAATCATCGTAAATCTCTCGGTCTTGTACCCTCTCCTCTTTGATCATTTCTTTCCTTTCTTCCTTTCTCTTGCATGGGCTCCTCCGATGGGGGTGTGTTGTAGAATATCGTTCGGACCCATACATTCACGATCACATGACTACGTACACACATTAATTACTCGATAGACGCGCTCACCACAGGGTCAGACTTCTACCACTATCTGACCCTGTGAGTATCTTAGCCTTTCCTCCTTGTACCTAGCTGACACCGTGTAGGACTCTGTCTGGTTCATTCTAGGTACACATAATAGACTTCTACCACTATCTGACCCTGACTCTGTCTGGTTCATTCTAGCCTGCACCGCAACAGCCTTGACTCACGAGGACTATGCGGTATCCCTTCACTTGTGATGTCTGCCCTAGCCGCTTCCGTACCAGGCAAGCACTCAGTCAGCACCGAGCCGACTACCCCACAATCTGTACAGATTGTAAGCGATGCTTCAAGAACGAAACCGCCCTCGGGCAGCACCGCCGAGACGCACCCCGTCATACCTCGTACTGCAAGTTTTGCAATCAATGGTTCCAGCCAACGGGGGGCAACCGTTGAAGGCTCCGCCATACCAGGCTACCCTGGCAGGTCCTGACGCGCGACCCTGACAGGTCACACATTCATCAAAGGTCACACATCTCTGTCACTATACCACATTTAAATATTTATCTATTCACGACCACTACTAACGTTAGACAAAGAAAGTACTGTTACCCAATTTATGACATGTATTTATGTTGATAGTGACCGTTCGAAGATATTAGGCGCCGGTGTGTAGCCACTGCGAGTCGAGGTAGGAAAATGGTCAGCAGTCTCTAGGCACGTTAAGGCAAATTGAGACCCACTCTTTCGCGGTCTCCAGTGACTGCTGTTGGGTGATAATGAATGGTCACCTGCTGTCAGTGATTGCCACGCGCCTTGGTCGGCTTGTGTCGGTTACTGGCCACTGCATGATCGGAAAAGCTTTGGGTACCTGTTGTTGGTAACTGCGATGTGGTATGAAAGACCATCTGCAGTTACTACAGACTGACATCCCACAGGGGACTTCGTGCAGCCAGTGTCCGGTGACTGCCTACTGTAGGAAAATCCATGGCCAATGACTGCAAGGTACATGGGTCCACTGGGACGCAGTCACCAGGTACAGTAAGCTAGTACTCTTGGATGTTATTAGTGACTTCGCAGGGGAGTTGTATTTGGTGCGGGAGTCAGAGGTAACTGTAGAGGATCACCAGGGTACGTGTAATGCATCCCAACGTCCTCCAAGACGTCACCACCGACTGCTGGGAAGCTCCAGGTTACCCCAGCGGTCGCTAGTGACAGCGCATGGGTTCGAATCATTAGGCACCTGTGCCTGGTGACTGCGGGGTACATGAACGAGATGGGTCGCAGTCACCTGGGTCCGTGTGATTGAGCCCTGAGCACACCCCGACGTCACTAGTGACTGCTGGGGGAACCTGGAGTCCCCCCAGCAGTCGGTGGCGACGGTACGTGGTGGCAGATCGTTGAGCGCCCGTTCCTGGTGACTGCGACCCATCGTAATCATGTACCTCGCAGTCACCAGGGTACGCGTAACTTGATCCCGACGTACTCTACGACGTCACTAGTGACTGCTTGGGCAACCTGGAATTCCCCCAGCAGTCGGTGGCGACGGTACGTGGTGTCAGATCGTTGAGCGCCCGTTCCTGGTGACTGCGAGGTACACGGATGTGATAGGTCGCAGTCACCTGGGTCCGTGTGATTGAGCCCTGAGCACACCCCGACGTCACTAGTGACTGCTGGGGGAACCTGGAGTCCCCCCAGCAGTCGGTGGCGACGGTACGTGGTGGCAGATCGTTGAGCGCCCGTTCCTGGTGACTGCGACCCATCGTAATCATGTACCTCGCAGTCACCAGGGTACGTGTAACTTGATCCCGACGTACTCTACGACGTCACTAGTGACTGCTTGGGCAACCTGGAGTTCCCCCAGCAGTCGGTGGCGACGGTACGTGGTGTCAGATCGTTGAGCGCCCGTTCCTGGTGACTGCGACCCCATCGTAATCATGTACCTCGCAGTCACCAGGGTACGCGTAACTTGATCCCGACGTACTCTACGACGTCACCAGTGACTGCTTGGGCAACCTGGAGTTCCCGCAGCAGTCGGTGGCGACGGCACGTGGTGTCAGATCGTTGAGCACCCGTTCCTGGTGACAGTATGTGGTGTCAGATCATTAAGCGCCCGTTCCTCTTGAGTTGCGCTATTTGGCTGGCAGTTGGTGATGACAGTTCCTCGAGTAGAACCATTAGTTGCCCGTTTTGGGCTACTGCGAGGTAGCTCAACTCAATGCCGTTGCTACCAGAGATGGTACGCACAAACGAGAACATTGTAGGCAACTGTAGGCTATATATGAGTGATAGTGTGCAGTCGATGGCTACTGCAGCCAAATGACCTCGATTCCTTCTGTTCACTGTGACTGCAGGGCTGCGAGACGGGTTAATGTTTGGACTTGTCATTTCCTCTTTGAGTTGGTTGCAGTGCCCAGCTACTGCTGGTCAATCAGTTGGTCTCGATCGTAGTCAGAAGACAATTTAGTGATTAAGGCTTCGATACGTGTGGTGCTACTGGCTTACCAATGTCTAAATAGACCTCATTTGAACGCGGAATGACTGTTACAAGCGTGCAGTGGATAGATTGATGATAAAACAAGTACAGAAACAAGTGGAGCGTCATGTACTAATCCAGATCAGCTATCATACGCTTAAACGCCTCCTCGTCGTCGTCGTCGAAGTTGAACATGTCCCTTTCTTTGGAGTCATCGATCTCCCAGTATTGAGGTGCAGAACGAGATGCCTTTCGTTTCTCCTCTTCGGCGACCCTCTGTTCTTCTTGGATGCGAGGTGCAAATGCTGCCTTGATACTGCGAATAATGGCGGAAAGGATATCTTGCTGGGTACGTTTTTTGCCGTTCTCGTCATATGTGTAGAGGTCGTCGACTTTGAGGCCAAAGGAGTTGAAGATGACGTACAGATAGTGGCGCGTGCGCGGGTCCAAGGGCTTCTCGAAAGGTTCTTCAGTTTCTGTACGGGAGCGAGATTGAATGTTAACGAATTTCTTCCAGATGAAAAACCCAAACAGAGCTTCCTCCAGATCGCATCCACAGTGGAGAATCCGACGCCCATTTCGAACACGACAGAGACGGTAGAGATCATCGATGGTGCGGTAAACTGGTCGTGCATCGGTGGAGTCCTCTTCGTCGGAGGAATTGGGATAGTCGGAGCGTCGACGGTCGAGTTTCAGACCTTTAGCAGCGGGTTGTGAGACGGGGTCGAAGAGAGGCTTGGTGATGGACTCAAAAGGGACGCCAGTGACCTTGAACGAGTTCTTAGTCTTTCCCTCGTGAGCGGCAATGTCGTTGACCTTGCACGAGTGGTCGTTGATCTCGTGGTAATGACACCGCATCACCGAATCCCCCTTTTTAACAAAAGCCCACATTGCGAGGAAACGATTGAAGAAACCAAGCTCCGTAAAGAACGTTTGTTCTCGACGAGCCCAAGTGCGAAGGACGGTGGGTGGGAGACGCGAGAACTTGGATCGGAGGAGGTTCTGGACCGCTGCAGTGTACTTCTCTAAGTAAAGGGAGTGTCAGAACAGAAAGAACGGCGTAAAGACAATGAAAGACTAACTCAGTAAGCGACGTCGCTGCTCCGAGGTCAGCTTGTACCAGCGATCAGCCATCCGAGGCTTCTTCACAGTCTCCGTCTCAGAATCGGACTCTGAATCGCTACCACCTGCAGCCGTAGGGGTTAGCTTTGCTCCACGTAAGACTCAGCTGGAATCGTGCACATACCATTGACAGGGGGGTTCGGATTAAGAGACTCCTGTGCGCCCGGCTTTTCCTTATCTTAGATATGGTTAGTTCAAGGAATAAGAAACAAAGATATTGATTTACTCACCCCCAACACGCCGCTTCTTGGCTCCCTCCTCCGCTGGATCGTCTGGAAGAGGACGCTTGCCCTGGCCCTTGTCTATATTCTCCTCCTCCTTCCCAGTATCCACTGCTTCTTTTGCCGCATGTTCCTTCTCCTCCTTCAACCGCTCGACCAAAGCAGTACCCTCAGGAAACTTCACAAGTTGTTTCTTGATGCGACCGAGTTTCATACGATCAACGTTAAGAGTGCGGACTGTGGCGTTAAGATCAGCGCGAAGGCTAGCCTTCGTGCTGGCACCTAAACGTGATAACATCCAGGGCATTAGACTCAAGATCGGAATCAAGACGAGAAACGTACCAGTGTTGGGTGCCTTGATCTTCGCCTCGAGGTCCTCCTTACGGGCGATGGCAGCATCCACGGTGACTTGCAGGTCGAGAAAACTCTTCATCATTGCCTTGTACTCTTCTGAAGGCGCCGATGCACTGGCCGGTTGCTCAGACATGATGACACTAATACGGCAGTCAAGAGAGACGAGAGATGAGTTAGAGGCAGTTGAGGGGAATGCGAGAGCCTGCAGTGCGTAGAAACATGGCATTCTGAGGGTGTTTGTCGCTTGCCTGATTTCGGAGTGCCATACCCATCGGACTTCCGCAGGTGGCTTGACGTCAGAAATTTTATCCCTGACGACAGTTATTACAAACTAGAGATAGATCGATAGATCGGCTCGCGAGTTGCGTGTGTGGACAGCTTCTGGAAAAAGCAATTTGGAATTATGATCGAGACGCTCAGGGAATGTGGTGTCATCCATTTTAGCCACTCTGTGAGACTATCCTCAGAAGTACATACCTGTGTAGTGTAGCAAATAGAATATTTCCTTTCTGCAAACTTGCATTATTTACGCTGTTAGAGATGCTAAAAGAATGAAACCTCCGTCAATATGGCAGAACTCAAAAGCGGGTAATCCACCATCCATATATGGGTGGTCCGATGACTCCGATCAAAGCACGGTTCGATCAATTTCCCAAACAGGTCGAGCTCCGGCGGATATCAAACCAGTGCTTGCCATTTCATTCCAAAGCTCCACAGGACTTCACGCAGGCGGTTGACATTTGAAAGAATATGCTAGAGCAATTAGGGTAGTATATCTAAAACATGAGAACTGGGCCTTCCAATCAATGACCAACCCCAACGGACAATTCGACCACAGCAATCATCCTCCACAACACATCGCATAGGGACCAATATATCAGCCCGGATGAAAGCCCCCTTTTCAAGGGTGTCATCAACACTGGAATCTCCTTCAAGCAACGTTCTGATGGATTCGTTTCCATGCACCCTAAATTCTTCACATGCCTGTCGATATTTGCAAAGAGTCTGCTGATAGAGCGCCAGCATGGATTCTCGGTCCACAGACCGGGGAGGATCTTGAACAATTTTTCAGGCACGCTGATAAGGGATAGAATGGAGACGACACACCAGCACGGAGCCCTGTAACTGTAGAGACAGGTCAGAATCATTTGCTATACTACCACAAAAATATACACACCAGAACTACGGATCCAAAATCGGCCTGACTCAGGATCGGGTTCGAAGTAGCAGGCAGCCCAGTGTTTGACGACATGGACGATTTCTGCATCAGTGGGAACACGATTCAATTCTCGCCTGACTTCTGCGAGGTTGTGCGAATTGATAGGGTCGGAGACGGGATTGGGCGACATAACCACGGTGTCTATGCCCGAAAGGGACGGCCTGCCATGCCTTTTTATGTTTTCTCGGTCTCCTAGGGGTATTTTGTGAGAACCCATCGTAATCACGCAAGAGCAATCCGACTGCGGGCGGAATCGGCCTACCCTTCTCGTAAATAGGTTTATTCAAACACAATGCAAGTTGGGCCGAGTCCACAAAATGAATGATGCGCATTGAGGGGTGAACGCGATGTAGAGAGCATATACGAGATGACCAGAACAGGCTCAGGTGTGAATATTCGATGGAGAAGAGTAGAAGGGAGGAAAGACGTGGTGTAGTTCATATACATATGTTCGATAGAGTCAGAAATACAGCCCCTTATCATCCCATAACCGCCTTGATCCTATCTGCCACCCACAATGCGATCCGGACATCACTATCACCGGTTTCCTCCAGCTCAAAGGGATGTGCAAAGTTGGTGATCTTCCAAGCCCGGTCGAAGCCAACGGGCATACGGGTAGACAAATTATGTTCGAGTCGAAGGTTGAAGGCCTCGGAGAACTGGTCTTCAAATGTGTGACGCGAGGCGAGAATACAGTCGATTTTGGGGAGGATTTTGGCGGTGAAGACCTGTGAAGAGGCATGTACAATGCCTGTGAGACGCACCCACTCCTTCCACAGGTCCTCAGGGGTGTACTTGACCCTCTTATCTATTCAAAGCGGTCAGCTATGGGATCTATATGTGAAGAAGAGAGCGCACCAGGCTTGCCATTGGCTGGGGGAAAGTTGTGGTGAGTCTGTCAGTCCTAAAATGAAACGGGAGACTGAAGCGTACCTTTGTTTATACGGTAGACACCTGAATCGTCCATGAACCATGACCGATACAATAAATGGAGGCACCACTGGTTGAGCTCCATCTGAGGCAGGTTGCGACGAAGTTCATTTCGAAGAGCCTCCTCCTGCGCAATCACTGCGTTAGCAGGAATCGGTAAGGTAGGGGTTTCGATTGAAAGTTGAATCAGACCAGGCGGCATCAAGGGAGAGTCAAGAGAGGTGGCAGGACGCTTGAGGGAGCAGAAAACAGAGTGTGGCGACCCAAACTGTCAGCCGCAAAGTGCCGAAGCATCAGCGCACAGACCAAAGCTCATCCCCCGTTCAAAAATCTCACTTCATAGTGTATCTTCTGAGATAAATATTCCTGGAAATTAATGTAAATTCGTAGAAATAATAGACGCTTCAGATGGTCCAAACCGCTTGACACTAGTCGCCGTGGTCAAAAAGTCAGACAACCGAACCCTAAACGCACACTGAATCTCACACAGGTTTCCCGCCGACCATCACCAACCCCATGTCCCGACCAAAGAAGTACGCAACCAAGGCCGAACGCAAGGCAGCAAATCGCGAAAAGAATAAGCGGTACTATGCGAAGTAAGACTGGTATAAGAAGCCTTCTTCTGGTTGCATGTTAATCTAATATATACAGGAACAAAGACGAAATAAATAAGCGCCGAAAGGAGACGCGCGCCTCGATTAAAGCTCGGTGAGAGGGTACATGGTCCCTGTTGATAAACTTAAAGCTTAACATACTGCTTGATATCTAGGGATCGGCGCCAAAAGGTCTGCAACAAGGCGAAGGCATCTGTTCAACACACCAAGCCAGTAATCACCGAAACCGAGGACTCCAGGTATCGTATCTATTGATTTCCGATGACAGTTGGTCTAACAAGGTACAGAGTCAAAATATCTACAGAAGCAGCTCTAGCGCCCTACCGAGCATTCAAGTGCCTAGTTGGTGATGCGCCCTTTGAGTACCATAACTCATTTTGCAAGTATCTCATTGAGCTGGCGAAGCAAGGCGAAGGTGTACGACACCTTCGATCGTTGGTTCAACTGAGATCCTCACGACTCTCAGATTGGAGAAACGAAATTCTCAGCGCACACCAGACTCTTCTCCAGGTCTGCGGGATAGGGCCAGAGTTCCGGAAGGTCGATGCAATGCTCAAAGACGTTCAGGAGGCGATTGCTAATGTAGAGGATATCGAAGTCCATCTTCTCGGCACTTTCGATGACTTCCTAACCGCGTTCCAGAGCGGCTACCTTTTGTTCCAGAAGTAGTCTACATTGCGCAATACAGTCACAATCGATGTATTCTAATGTTTTGTCGTCTTGTGGGATACACTCATGTTGAAGAACACACTCAAGACGTTCAGTTCAAGTCGTGTCCTATCACACTTCGGCGGTTTAATTCGAACGAAGACTCATATATAACACAAGGTGACGAGTGTATTAAAAAGGAATCGTAGTACAGAAGATACAAGTAACTACGGCTAAGCTGATGACGAACCGGGAACAGTGAACTGAGTAATAACACCAGGGTTGTTAGAGAGGAGGGATGCGAGAAGGCGGTTACGAGCCTCCAAATCAGCCTTCAGGCGCCTATTCTCCTCAGAGACTTGGGTTGCATGCTGAGTGGCCGCATCAGCCCGAGTCTCTGCATCAATCCTACTCGCCTCCAACTGAGTCGCTGACTCGCGGACACCTGCAACGACGGCCTTCATGGTCTTACTGACAACTGAGTGGACCTCCTGGACAAGACCAGGGGCCTCGCGACGAAGCTTGCGCGAGGTAAACCAAGTAAAAGGGGTGCGGGAATTGGGGTTGTGGACGGCGATATATACCCAGCTCCCGGTTCGCGTGGAGATGGACTCGGCCTTCAGGGGGCGTTGAGGACAAAAAGATAGCAGGATAAAAAATGAACTACTTACCCGGGTGAGGAGATCCCGAGTCCACTCATCGAACTTGCGAGTGGCATCGGTCTGGAGTGCAAAGGGTGGTTCGAGCTTACGAACTCGAGCAACACCTACGAAAATAAGGGTTATAAATCTCAAAAAAAAATATAAGCATGGGTCAGCACTTACGAAGACAGGCATTACCACGGCCAGCACCATCAACAAAACCATAAATCGGGTTCTGATTCGAAGGACGGATCCGACGTCCTGACCCAGTGACCGACGCTGAGGATGGAGAAAGAGGAGGGGGTGAGGACGATGGCTGAAGGGGTTGCGGTTGCTGAGCCCGCTGAGCGTCCTCTGCCAACAGAGCGGGGTCTATTGGCACAAAGGCTAGGTCAAGTGGTGGCAGCGCTGCACAAGTATACTGCGTCAGCAAATCAGGTTGACCTTCAATAGCAAAAATAAAAACGCACCGTTGTTACCTGAAGCCACACCCAACGGTCCACCTTGAGGATTGGGCACATTGACGCCTGATGCCTGTGAAGACGTAGAGGGCTAAGAGACTGTCAGGAAAAGTCCAACGGGGCGAGAAAAAAAAAGAAAGAAAAAAAGGAAAACAGGGAAACTCACCGCAGAACGACGACCACGACGACGACAGGGACAACTGGCCAGCAAAGGAGACCCTGGGCACTTACGACAGTGACGGGCAGCACGTTTCTTTGAGGGCGAAGGGGTGGATGACTTCCCCTTAGCACGAGTGGTTGCCATCAGGTCAAGTCGGGGGAAACAAGGACTGGTGCGACGGTCAAGTCCCGCATATATGGGTCGGGATGATAATTTCAGTTTCCGATAACAGACCAGGATAAATAAAAAAATGCTTACACGATAGAAAAAACAAGATTGCAAAGTCTCGACGCCAGCCGATAGGCCCCCGATTCCGAATAGGTGGCGTCGATCCCCATCACCAGGGAGCAATGTGCAGCAGTGCTCGCAGGGATCTTGGCCCATGTGAACAATCCCCACATGGAAATGGCCCTTCCGAAGTGACTTAGGAAAATGGATTGACTTCATTTCCAACAGGAAACACTCTCAGGATGGAGCGACGCCCCAAGAGACTCCTCTCCGCTGTGGACAACGATGACGAAGCACCTATTTCATTCCCGTCAGAGCTATTGAACTCGATAGACGATCCAGAATGGCACTCACCTACGAAAGCTCAACGGACGATGGTGGCACCTGTGAAACCGCGAAGAAGAGGGGCGTTATCTCAGAGTCGAAGCAAAGTCCAAACCAACGACAATGGTGGGGACGATTTGACAGGCTCAACTGCCGAGTGGCATCAGCTTCCCACGAGACCTCGGCACGACGAGGTCTCTGAGGCTATGCTCGAGCTCTTTGTGGACGCCATCCACAGCTACACGGCGGGTTTCTACCACCTCCACGAACGACTCTTCGTAGTACAAGGGTGGGATGTACGGCGTAACCAAGCTCTAGTAAGTTTCATCACCTCGTTAACATCCTATTTACTTACCAATGGAACTGCAGGACAGTTGGTACCACCTCGAATATCTGTTCATTAGCGATGCAATCCATACTGTTTGTACCTGCCCACATGGGATGGAAGATGAGGTTCTGTGCATCCACAGGAGGTTTATTGAGTCCTACGACGCCGGGTCTTTAGTCCAGAAGGGTAATGAGAGTGATACAGGTGCGATGGTTCCTAATTATCTCATGGGATTCAAAGCTTATGGTTAAGCTAGAAATTGCATCAGCCATTCTGTTCCGCCAGCGCGCTATTCCCAACTCCCAGGCAACACACTCGCTTTTCTCTGTCAAGAGTGTTTCCTCAGCATCCCTGAAAGGCCGTGCTATTGTTTCCCATAAGGGGTCGTCTCCTGGAAGCGGCATATGGCGTTGTTCGAAGGATCCAGGGTCCCAAACATGCGCTCATGTAAACATGGCTCTCGCCCAGCTCACGGAACTGTACGGCGAACTTGGAGAGGCTGTAGATGGAGAGCACGGGGTTGAGGTGACGGATGCGCGTCAAATTGAAGATCTCGGTATGTCTGCTCTGTGTATGGTTGAATAATCCCTAATTTTAAACCTCAGCACACTCAAATCTTGTTTCCATTTCACACGAACCCATCCTTCCACCTGCCTGGGCTGTTCTCCCTACCGACAAAAGCCTGTACGAACGACCTTCTCCCTATCGCCTCCCGCCATCCACACCCATCAAGTTGGATTCAAAGTCGTCGTGCCCATGTGCAGGCACCCGAACCTTCTACAACCCCGAACACGACACGATCACACGCACCTGTCGAGTATACACCCTCACCACAGTCTACGTTCACCAGATCCAGCTCCAACGATGCCCCCAGTGTCCCCCTTCGCGTCGACGCTTCATCGGACCTGACCCTCGCCACGAGGGGCTCTTTAACTACAACAATTCAGTCTTAGTCTCGCACGAGCTCCTCGACGAGTACACCAGTGCCTACACCTCTTCGGAAACACCTTTCACGGCATGGGTGGTTCAAATGCAGCGCCGATACGACTTGTCCAACACTGTCTTCATGGGGGAAGACCTTTTCAGGACGGTTTGGTTCGCATATGTGTCGCTCCAGGGCTGGGAGAACGATATGGCATGCAAACGGTGTGGTCCCAGCCCCGAGACTGTGATATGGGATGGCATTACTGTTGCGTTTGGTCGCAAGCACGTCACTTCATCCCTTCGTCCACCCACGGTCACCTCAGAATCGTCCCTCGTCCGGAAGAACGTCAAGTACTTCCCCAAGCAGCAGCTCATCGGTGATCCGCATCTTCGAAAGCTTATCCGTGTTGTTTTGAAGGGTCCGGGCTTGGGCGATGAGAATGACGATGAAAACGACCTGGCTCAACCCCCGACCACCTCTCCTTCCAGTGTCAGTCAGCAAGAGGCTCACAGGCGAGCAACTCTGGCACGCGAATACCTGGATCGAGTCTCAACAGTGGTGGACGGTCTTCGGGGGTCTTGCCCGGCGTTGGCAGACCTTTTTAGGCTCCAGTTCGGAGCTGTTGCTTTGGAGAGTGGACGTCTGGGCTCCAGTGTCTACAAAAACTTCTTCAAGCAGGTGTGTTTCTTGTTTCTTGTGTCTTAATGCTTTTCTGACCTTTCTGAACCATAGATCGCAGCCGAAGAATCTGTCCTCCAACTTGTCAATTACCCATCGCTGTTGGCTCTTCGGGAGTTTCTCACACACCCGGAAACAACAGACCTCACGTCGCTACTATCCGTCCCGGCCGTCTATACCCTCCTCAACCACCACACTACCATGGAGGAGATCATTCCAATCATCCAATGGATTGAACGCGTCGCGCGTGAAACGCTGCGCAACCTGATCGTTGAGGCACCGCTGCCTTCGATTTCTCCGGAAGTGTCAACGAACCCAGGGACTGAAAAAGTTGAAGAAGATTTGGACTGGAAAAAGGTGCGTGTTTTCAAATACATCGGCGTCGTCTTGCTCACGGTTTGTCCTAGACTGGGTGTCTCTATGGCATGCCAAAGATTCGCAATCGCCCAAAGTATCCAGGCTTGCGTGGGGATCAGCAGAAGGACAAGCCAGACAAACGACGAGGAGACCGGTGCGGGAAATACTACTCCCAGTACGGGCAACGGCGCCTCACTGGGGGTATCATGGTTGCTTGGTGCACCCATAGCATTTGCTATGGGTTCCATTGCATTGCGGAGAGTGAAGGCCGTGATGATGTCTTCTCCGCACTTGTTACCCGCTGGCCTATAGCCCCTAAACGGGTGGTATACGATTTTGCTTGCGCGCTGGGACCATACTGCATGCTACGCGAACCGCTCTTTTTCGCTAACACACTGTTTGCTATTGACCATTTTCATAGCACAGGCCATTCGAAATGCAGCCCTGCGTGCTTTCTCTCAGAATACGCCAACGTCGACCCAAGGCTGGTTCCTATCAACTCGAGCGCAGGCGAGTGCGGGAATGGTGTTTTGAAGAGGATTCGAAAGTCAGTTAGTTATATGTCGCAAACGAGGGCCATCATTTACACCAAGGTGTTCCTGTCTGCTTGGAACCGACAGCGTGCTCGATTAGCTATGTAGATTTCGAAATATATGTGCCTTGCAGTTCTTGGAGACTGTACGATCAGCAGGTCTTATTAAGATGAAGTTTCTGTATACTGTAGGGTGTCCTCAAGCAGCCCCTTATATCCGGTCATAGGCCATGGCATTTCACATGACGGGGATCCGAAAATTGTGTGGCGAAGTTATGACATTACCAGGAACTGCTCTCTACACCTCTAGTGGATGTAGTTACTGGGTACTGCTGAGCGCTGCGCGCTGAGCCCACGACGGACGCTCGAGCTGTGAACGAGAGGTTCAATGACGTCATAGGCCGCCAACTGGGAGGCCAATTGGTGACCTATGACGTCGCCGCCACATCAAGTGATGCGCTCCCTGAACGCGCCCCAGGGAGTCGATCACGTGGCGGTATATATTGTCCGGCGGTCGCAGGGTACTGCACTCTGTAAGCTAATATTTCCCCCCAACCCGGATTGGTGTCCTGCAAATATGTCGGTGCAGTTGTCGAGAGCTGCTGGACGGAGGAATTTTGGCAACCCCTGCAGTAGCTGGTTCCCACTCTTTGCCAGCCCAATATGGGTGCGGTTGGTAGCGACTGCATAACCGAAGGAAGGATTGGTAAAGAACAGTCCCATTTAGCAGTTTATCTTGTGCACTCCTTCAGACGTCGCAGGGGACAGCAGGGGAACGCTCAATTAGATATTTAAGGCAATGACTTCTGCGGTTGTTCAGGACTGCAGGTCAAACATGCAGTTATGGGCGCTTGTTGCGCGTGACTTTATGGGTGCGGTTGGTAGCGACTGTATACCGAAAGAGGGATTGGTAATGATCAGTCCCGAATTTAGCGGTTTATCTTGCACACTCCCTCAGACGTCGCAGGGGACAGCAGGGCATCATTCACCAGATGTTTGAACTAAAGACTTCTGCGGTTGTTCAAGACTGCAGGTCAAACGTGCAGTTATGGGCGCTTGTTGCGCGTGACTTTGTCTCTTAATCCTGGCAGGTCACACATGGTATGTGTGACCTGTCAGGGTAACCTAGGATGGTATGGTATTAGGCGGGTATCCGGCCAACGGTCACCAGCACTGTTCCATTTGCATCCTCGACTTCGTGGATCACAATGCCCTCAAGCGGCACTGGGTGGATTCCGACAGACACCACTATTGCGAAGGATGTGACATACATTTCGACGATGGAAACCAGCTCCAAAACCACCTCCGTTCGCGAATTCACCAAGTCCCAGAGTTCGTATGCCCTGCGAGAGGCTGTCCCCGCACATTCATCTCTCGCAGCGCTGCCGTCGGCCATATCGACTCTCAAGGATGTCGGTTCATCAACCGCCAAACATTCAACGACAACATGTGCCAAGCGGACTACTACAACTACATTGTGAAGGAAGGCGTCGTGGCCGGCTCCCTCAGTGATCAAGATATCGAGGACATCACATTGGGATCATATGCGCGGAGGGAAGGCTCTATGCTTGTCTGCATTTGCGGGACACGGCACAGGAATGCACATGCACTGAGGCAGCATCTTCGTTCACCAGCCCACGAACCTGCGCTCTATGAGTGCCCATGTTGTGGCTTCCACAGGCAGACGCTGAGCGCGATTCTCTCACATTTGGAGAGCGGGGCTTGTCCGGGAGATAGGGGTCAACAGGAACTTGCTATAGAAGACATATGGGATATGGCCGTGCGAGCTGCCAGTGGTACGTGGTAGAGACTCGGAACGACAATCGTGAGTTGAATTACTCCCCCACCTATGTGTCTCGTCTCGCTGAATGCTGAACGGTATCCGTGAGCAGGTATTGGTTGGACAGCCTTCGATAAGTTACTTTCAATACATATCTGCAATGTTGATGGGACATAAATATAATGTTACAACGAGGCGACGAATCAAGGCCAAATACAAGATAAAAGTTTCATGACGACGCCGAAGACAGAGACGGCCACAGAATACATGAATAAAGGGTGAAGAGATCGGGCGAGTCCTTTACTGTAAATCGGGACCTCCAAGCGAGTCAACCTGAAACGTGAAGAGAACAGGTAATACTGGGCCAACAAGAAAGACGTCAATAGGTAATGGTTCTCATATTCCTGACAGCTCCATCGACAATTCGCTTCGCCAAAGGATTCGCCCGAAGAACATCACAACTCTCACTCTCGACGTGCTGACAGAACCCACTGAGTGTCGTGAACCGCGCCCCACAGGTACTCCAAGGACAGACGTAAATCTTGCTCTGATGTCGGGGGCTTCCAAGATGCTGGTTCAAGGCGCGCAAAGTCGAGTACTCCTTGTGACAGATGCAACACTCGTACGCCCAGCCGTTCCACGAAGCACCGGTGGCATAGTAGGTCACATCGTCCCCGCGGCCTCCGTTTCCAATCATCCTAGACGGATCCGTAATGACGTTGTTCCTGTCATAGTGGCGGATGATACGGTTGACTTCTGCGCGTGTGATCCCAGACGGGCAGCCGCCTGATTCGAGGTGAAGGGCGAGGGCGGAGGTCGACACGAAGCCCATGCCACATCCACGCCCAGGACACATCACGTTCTTGGGTTGGTGGATGGAAGAACGCAAGTGATTCTTGTATGCATTCTCCGAGGTGAAGAGCCGCCTGCAGGGAGTGCAATATTGGTCGCGATGGTAGGGGGATTGGCGGTAATGCTCGTGCAGACCGAACTCGTTTTTGAAGAAACGATTGCAGTCCTCGCAGCGGACGTGAAAGGCGTCGTTATGGTCCTCGAGATCCCATTCATCGTCAAAATGTTCCACGCAATATTGGCAATAGGCGTGCTCTGGGCTCTGAACATAATGCTCTTTGAGCCCTAACGGGGACGAGAAATCGAGACCATGCGCATGGCAGTAGTTGTGGTTGCTCGAGTTGAGAAGGTGCTGTATGTATCCAAAACGGTTGGAAAAAGACCGCTCGCATTTGCGACAGTACGGCATAGTTTAGAGAGAGATGTATAGCGTTTCTGGGAGGCGATTACAATGTGGACAGGATGAAAGCAACAAAGGCGGTGACTCGACGGCTTCGCCATTATATATTCGCGGAGTCTGAATCAATATTAACGCGAAAGCCCGAGTCGGGAGCCCCTATTTGAGAACAATGGGAGAAGTTCCGGCTAGAACATTCCAGTCGAGAGATCAACTGACTCCTATCTCCAGGCTTTACCCGGTGAAGGAAGCACGAGAGCAGCTAGAGCCATGGAGTACTATAGCGCTCCGGGCAACCTCAATCATACCGGTGGCGGTAAGAGGTGCGCCGGTGCTGCCAATACCCATGCTCAGTTGAGAACAGGCGCTCACAAGGGACGCAGTAGCGATCTTTGTGACGCTCCGACTGACGGTAATGCTCGTGTAGACCTCGACGATTCTTGAAGACCCTATCGCATTCCTCGCAATAGGCGTGGTCTTCCCTGAAATGGTCGTAGAGCTCGTCGTCGTCCTCAAAATGCTCGTCACAGTACTGGCAGTAGCTGTGCTCGGGGCTCTGAACCCAGTGCTCCTTGAGCCCGCGCCACGTTGAGAAGTCGAGATCGCACCAGTCGCAATAGTTATGGCGGCTTGAGTCGCGCATGTGTTGCCGCCTTGCGTCGTCGTTGACGAACCAGCGATCGCACTTCTCGCAGTAGCTGGACATCGTGCTGCGGAAAACGAAGCCTTCTGACTGGGATAAAGTTTTGCGGTGGTGGGTTGAGAAGAGAAAAAACAATTAGAGGGACCGTGTTTATATCTTTTCCGCAGTTGATTTTCAATGGCTCGGCATTGGTCAGCTGGACAATCGGTATCCCGATTCGGTGTCCGCCGTACTGGCGCCCATTCGAATGCAATGCACTCCTGTACGTTATGGTGCGAAACGTAGTCAGAACCACGACATCGAGCGCATTAAAAGTAGCGGGATCAGATCTCCTTCTCTCGGGATGACTCTCTCTAGCAGTCATTAAACGAATCCACTCTGTAGAGCCCTCCCACTTCAAGTAAAAGGCAAATGGTTCGACTCGGGTGAATCAGCAATACACTCGCCCTCATAGTCGCCATAGATAAGACTCGCCGCGTTATAACGTTCATTGATCAACTCACCCTCATCGCGCAAGGGTGGAGCGAAAGAGGCCCAAATCAGCATCGCACCTACTTTATGGACTTGGAAGTCTGATGAATGGACCCTGACACGTTTGCTTCCGCTTCCCTCGGCTGTGGCTGACCGTGCTTCAGGGAATTCGCAAACCCCTATCGCTCTCTGACGCGCGTGCGTGAAGCTTACTCTTGTCAATAAGCCACGTTGGCGATCCCTGGTACCGTCGGACGTCAACAACCCTGTTGACAGGTCTTCGAGGGTATCTATTCTTACATCTCAATCAACTTCTCCAGGCTTCGGATTCCCCAACAAATGAAGAAACATAAGAATCGTGGCGAAGCATCGAACCCTGACTGAGGATGCGAGGACATCCGTTTGTTCCCTTCTTATCTTATCTCCGTTCATGAGCGGGTTTCAAGCATCCTCGTTCGTTGTCCTTCCGAGTTTATCCATCCACGTCGCGTTACTTATCATCCTTCTCTGATATGTAGGCTCGCTGGAAGAGCCTCCTATAAATGAACGTGCTCTTGCTTGTTTCAGAGTGAAGGTGCGATCCACGCAACACTCCTCCCCAGTTCTGACCAACAACAGTGACAACAACTCCTGTGTGCTACCTATAAACGGAAGGACGGGAGTATATAGCGCCGCATACCAGCGCTTATTGAAATCAGGCTTACTCACCCCGCATTACTTATCATCGTTCTCCGTCGCTACAAATACCCGCCCCTTCTGTGCTCAGGCCCTCCTCTCCCGCGCACCATTGGTTTCTCTCGAAACACCTCTCTCGCCGTTACATCCGTTCTCCGCGACCGATCGCCCGTCGTTCTCGAACCATCCGCGATTGTCGTTCTTGTGTTCCGCCCCCGCAGCTCACGTCATAATAAAGGTGTGTACGTCCGCTGGAATGGCGTCATGCTTGGCTGGAAGGAGCGCCCGTCACTGACCGAAATGATGTACAGACGTATAGCCTTAGTGTCATTCCAATAGACCGACACCACCTACTGCTTCAGCTAACATTGGGCTGGCCAGATAGAAGGCTCCGATAAGCCCCAGTAGACGACACGACCCGCGGTAGAGAGATAACGGAGTAGTCGTGACTCACCCCACCTCCGAATTATCCGCTATCGCAACCCTATCTCATTCTTCTCCTCGCCGGACACTGGGTAATACCGCCCAACGCTCAAGATACCGACCATACCCACTTAAGCTTCGCGCTGAACGTGCGTTGAGCCACCCATTTCAAGCCTTTCAACGCAGCTCCATTCTTCCGACAAACGAGCATACATAACATCATCACGACCGAATCCGGAGAGAATCGTCATAACACAAACAAAGCGCTTGTTCCGTCATTGATCCATACCCCGGAGTGCTTAGTACCAGTCCTAAACTGACCGGCACTACTACCACAATAAGCACCTCATTCCACCCGCCAGCGCATTAATAGTTGTCTATACCCGGGACTTGATCTGGTCCTAGCAGTATCGCATCTCGACTACCAACCACCACCAGCAACCCCACCAAACCAGCTTTGCTATAAACCCATCCCTTACCCAACAAGCACCCTTTCATAGCCCATACAACCCCTGAACAACAATGCCAGCATTCAAGCGTCGTCGTCCCGTCCCCGTCCCCGCCTCCATCAACACCCACCCCACCCCAGCTTCTGAGAAGCAAACCCCCGACGTCCAATCCCCACCCCTCTCCCCACTGCTTAACGTCCGAGAGGACAAAGACGCCCTCGCAATTGCTCACGACAGGCAGAAGTACCTCAAGGCCCTAGACAGGGCTCGGAACAAAGCCAGGAAGGCGTTCAGCTCAGTCACCCATGCCAACACACCCGCCACTGGCCGTCGGTCCAACAGCAAGACGAGGGCCGGAGCACAGCAGCAACGTCACCACGGAGCTCGAGAACGGAGTGTTGCCGTTGGTGACGAGGATTGGGTGGCGGCGTCGGAGGAGGGTGTGACACCAGCTGCTGTCAATTGCGTGTCTAGTGCAGAGTATTTTGATGCTCCGAGTGTCGAGGTGAAGCTAGCGGACCTTGTGCAGACGAAGAAGGCGAGGAAGAAGGGCGGGCTTGGAGGGGACTACGAGTTCATCCCGCATATTCGCTCCGTTATCGTGCTTGATGAGACGAATGCGACGGGGAGGAAGACGAGGGATATGGTCGTAGACGATGACGAGAATGATGCTTGGGAATGCATCGACGATGATATGGTGCCAGGCAAGCAGAAGGTTACATATGCGAGCATCGCGGCTACTAGTCCTGCCCTCGCTTCTCATTAAACTAATTCTCTTATGATAAACTAGCAAATAATCAACGGAACAATAGGCAATGTAGAGAGAGAAAAGTTAATCACGTACTTGTACTTTTACTGTAGGGCTTTCTTGTTGTTGGAGTGGTGTTTCGATTTCTGACGGATCTACGTTCGTCTTTTTTGTTAGTACTATACCCCACCATTCGTTTTCACGTCGCTCATTGGCTGCACTCCCTGTACTATAGTTACGCTATATCATTGTGTTAATGTTGGACTTACAGACGTCTAAGGGAGTTCCGGAGAGGTACCTCGAGGCCAGGTTCTCTTCGGGATCCTGGTCCCCGGACCTGGCGTGCCTTGATGCCCTCCAGGTTTGTGAGGACCCTGGTGCTATTTCGCTTACGCATTGGGCGGCTATGAAGCATGGGCCTGTGTGTCCCTGAGCATGGGTTAGCTGAAGGCCAGGCTAAGATGCTAGGAGGTACTCACAATTGCAGCCTCTCGGTGATTTACCGCGCCATGGCGGGCCCAAATCGTTCACATCCTTGACCTTCAGCCCACTGGTCTAAATAAAGAGCTAGCCGCACTGGGTCCACGTGCGTTTTGTGCGAAACGGAGCTGGGCCAAAATCCTGAGTGAGTCCATACCGCGGGCGCCTATAGTACTATCGATTCGGTCAGCTGAGGTCAAGACGAAGCGAATAGCGAAGCACGACACACCACTTTATACAATCCAGGTGTCCTGGGGTTAATATTGCATTCATGTGTCCAAAGCGATCGATTTGGACCCTCCAGGGCCTCCGTCTCTCTGGGAGACTTGAGTTCACCCTGATCGACTTTAGGAACTGCTACTACGCGCGTTAATGACCATTGTTCCTTTGCAATGACGGATGTTTGCTTGGATTATGTCGTTCTTGTTGGGGCACTGAGCCTGGCCAAGGCCAACCTTTTAGTCAATGGTAGATCTGGGCGTGGACTGGAAACAAGCTCACCTCACCTCACCTCACCTCACCTTGTTCGACGCGCTTACCCCTGGCCTTCACACATCCCGCGGTGAACTCGGCATAGAACGAATAAGGCGTTTCAGTTTCAAAGTACCACTCCGTCGCCTGGGTGTAGCGATCAAACGATGATAAGCTCAATGAGATTGCTTTCAGAATCGCAACATATCGTATTCTGTTGGACTGACATTAGCTTCTTCCTGGAGCACGGAGAATAGCTCTGGACACGCACCATTCACCCCTTCCCGACGTTGTCGTCGTTGTTCAAGTTCAAAATTGAGCGGGTGGAATTTTTCATGGCGCGGGATCAAATTGCAGTTAAGGTTCTATTCCATCCGATGTTGGCGGGACCAGAGAAAAAGAAGGGGCCATTTGTCCGGGCACATGTCTCCGCAGTCTTGTGGGGATCAACACGTTTCCCTTGTTCTGTGAGAGCGAGCGCCTATATTCCAATTCTTTGGCATTTTCCATGGAACAGTGAGTTCTTTGGTATTGTTGATGGTTTTGATGACAGCCGCTACAAGTGGGGCGTTGCGCCTCGTTGCGTGCAAATCGGGCCTGAGAGTTGCAGGTTGCTTTCTCGGAAGTTCTGTCTTGTTCTCATTCAGCCATCTCCCAAGCCATCGGCCAAGAGCCCTCCTTCATTCAGCGCCCGTAGCCCTCAATACCCCGCACGCCAGGCGCTAAACCTGAACTAACCTCTCTATTCCTCTTGTACAACTTCTTTTATGCCTTGGGACAACCGCCTTTTGAACCAAACTCTTGTATTCTTTTTTCTATATTGATTCTCAGCGAGATCCCTACTCAACCGGTGGCTACTTATCACCGCTTTCATTACTGTTCTAAATGGCGCCCAAATTCCTCAGCAAGCTGGTCAAGGCCACAACCCCAAGCCCAGCAACAACGACGACCAACGACGACCCAACAACGAACGCATTAACGACCGAGACGAAAACATCTAAACGACATTCCCGGGACCGCTCCGGATCCACGAAATCAGGGAAATCGCGGCAGCCATCAGTCGACACTTCTTCCTCACAGTCACCACGAACCAGCTTCCAGTTTGGTTTCCCGACTCTATCCAGAAATAAGGCGGCCTCCACTCCTTTGGCGCCCAAAGACGAGAACAACACCCACATTCATTCAAATTCTTCTTCAAGTTTACACAAAAAGGGAGACAGCGTTGCGACATCGCCGGCACCACCAGTCCCACCGCTTCCAGAGACCTTGACGGTCGCTGAAGGGTCCAACGCGCCGAGGTCACGAAGGAATTCGATCATTTCTGTCTTTGGTGGAAAGAACAAGGACAAGCCGATCGTGCGACTCCAACACCCATCAACTGACACACCACCGTCCACCGCACACTCCGACCCTTTCCCGACCAACTCGACCAACGGCGACAACGACATCCCAGCCGTTTCAATCGTCGCAAGCCCCAGCAGAGAGAGTCTAGCCACAACCAGCACGACTCTTGGCGTGACGATCATCCCACCGTCACCGCTTCTCTACGCGTCCAGCTTAACCGACACCCACTCTGGTTCCTTCGACCTCGACCAAGACGTGGAAGAGACCCCTGTAGACAAACAGCTACACGACAAGAAAGAACCGCGGGACGATTCACAGCCCAAATCGGCGGAAGACCCAGCTCCAACACCTGTAACCGCCACCGCGATCGTCACCAGCCCCACCACGAGTACAGAAAACACAAGTGCCTCAGTCCTCGTTTCGTTCTTAGGAAGACGGCCACGCACGGCCTCCATCTCATCTGCTATCAGTGGCTACATAACAGGAGCAGTTTCAAAGCCTACAACCCCGCCGGAAGACAAGTCTACACCAACCACTACACCGACTACCGCTACGACTATCAAAGCTAACCCCTTCCAACTCGAGGAAAACAGTGACGACATCCCGCCTGTTCCCTCTGTTCCCGACACCGTCGACAACATGGCACGTTCCAACCATGCCACACTTGCTCCTGAACACGAAGTCCAACGTAAATCGTCGTCCCGTTCCTTAAACAATGTACCGCCTCCTCTGGACCTCAACCAGCCCAATTTCCCGACCAACTTGCTCGGCAAACGTAACGGCCACAGCAACCATGCTCGCGCAGCAACTTCCCCTCCCAATGCCTTCCCACAAGAGGAATCTACGGGCACTATCACCGACTCCATTGTCGAAAGCCCAACCGCGATGAAGATGCCCGAATATCCCACCCCGGTGACTGCGGGCTCGACCAGAGATGGAAAATCTGCCGGTGCGGGTGCAACCACTGCGCAATCCGCAGGTAACAACGGAGGAGGGAGCGGTTTCGCCAGCCTTTTATCACCCCGGAAGGTCGACGACGATGCGGCCTCCATCATCAGTACCTCCTCGAAGATGTCCCCCGACAAGAAACGTTCGTGGAAGAGGAGTATGACGAGAAAGCCGACTGGGTTGGCGGGTGCCATTGCGGCTAGTGGATTGGCGATTGCGAACCCGGGTGTGTCGCCTGTGTATCAGGCACAGGCGAGTCCACCGCTTGTTCAATCCGTGTCCTCGGGATCTGGAAGGCCGAAGAGTCCCAATGCAAGCTCACCCTACCTGAGCAAGAGTCCGTCGAGGAGCGCGACATCGACTGGAGCGAAGAGTAGCAAGAGCGTGACTTCCCCCAAATCATCTAAATCGACGAGTGGGATTAGGAAGTCGAGCGGAAGCAAGAGTCCCAATCCGAGTCGAGCGCATACCATCAATAGCGCAGGAGGCAGTCGAAAACACCATCGGAGACCTTCAGCTTCAGCCTTCTCGGACGGTGCATCTTCGTATGGCGGCAACCTCAGCACCGCTGGCCTGTCGGAATATTACTCGGGGGAGAGCGATGGCGGTGTATCGAGGATTAGCCGAAGGAGAACTCATTCTGCAGCGGGGAGCGGAAACGAGAGTGATACAGAGGATGAGACGGACAGCAGCGATGACGACAGTAGCGAAGATGACGATTTCCTCGACGACCTGAATCTCGAGGACGATGACATGCCCGTGACCGGGTTCGCTGTCGCCAGCAACAAGAGAAACGCCGACTTCCATGAACTCTTCCCCAACATCCCAGAAGGAGACTATCTCATTGAAGGTGAGCCCGCCCTTGTAGAATCGTATTAGTTTCTCATTCTGTTTCAGACTACGGCTGCGCCCTCCAGCGCGAAATTCTCATTCAAGGTCGCCTCTACATCTCCGAAAACCATGTCTGCTTCCACGCCAACATCTTTGGATGGATTACCGATGTACGTTCTCATCTCTTTGAAACTCCCGTGTTGCAATTGTGTGTGCCTCCTCCCCCCTTTCCCGCCCATGTCTCGTGTTTTGATCCCGATTTCATTTTTGACTGATGGTATCTCCCCTATTCCGTTATTGCGTGACCCAAACAGCTGTCAATTCCCATATGCGAAATCATCTCGCTGGAAAAGAAGATGACCGCCTTTGTCATCCCCAACGCCATCCAAATCACCACGCGGCAAGCTAAATACTCGTTTGCTTCCTTCCTCTCGCGCGACACGACTTTCGACGTTATCTATAATATCTGGCGCGTTTCGAGGCCAGACGACGTACAGTCTATACGCAGTGGGCGTGGTTCGCTGGAAGGTGGAAGCGCAAGTTTTATCAGCGGGGCCGGTGGCAGCGCGACTGGTCTAGCTGAAGGCGCTGGCCAGAGTATGAATGGCGGTGTGGTTAATGGTGCTGGCGGGGCGGGCGGCAAGCAGGGTGTGACAAGGAAGGCGACGCAGTGTGGGTGTGGAAGAGAAGGCAGGCATTATACGGAAACGGCACTTGAAGCGGTGTTCCCTGGTTCTCCAGAGAAGATACACAACCTTATATTCGCCAGCGGGTTCATTAAAGAGTTCCTCGTCACTGACCAGAAGGTTCTGGGTGCGTCGTGTACTTCATGTTGCTATGCGTCATTAAAGCTAACCTCGGCATGAACTAGATATCCAAATGTCCGATTGGATGCCAGTGCAACCAGGCTCGAAGCTGCTATCCCGCAACATGTCCTATATCAAACCTCTCAACGCGTCCATGGGTCCCAAACAAACTAAATGCGAGATTAAAGACGAGATAGAGCACATCGACTTTGACCAATACGTGTCAACGATCACTTCGACCAGAACACCGGATGTACCGAGTGGTGGGGTGTTTACGGTTAAGACGCGGACGTGTATCATGTGGGCGAGTCCGATATCCAGTAGGGTGATCGTGACCACGCAGGTGGAGTGGACGGGGAGGAGCTTTATCAAGGGTGCGTCGTCGCGTTTTTTGTTATGCTGTGGAATGAAAAAGGCTGACTGGCGCCACCACGTTTTGTGTGGTCGGTTTCTATTGATAGGGATCATTGAGCGTTCCGCTATTGACGGGCAGAAGGCGTTCCACAGTGACCTGGAGAAGGGCATGAGGGCTTATATCCAGGAACACAAGAGCGAGTTTGTGCCAGAAGGAATGGATGCATCGGTTCTTGACGCTGCGCCCGCCGAGGAGAAACCATCCGAAACCGCACCCGGAGTCGAAGGCGCCAAAACCAAGGAAGCCGATCTCTCGGAGGAAGCGCGTAACAAGCAGCGAGAGCACGAGCGGAATAGACGTGCGTTCCAGTGGGCTTTGGACACGTTTGATGGTGCATTCGAGGTTGCCCAGAGGTCAACGAAGGGTGCTGTCGAGCTCGTCCGGGATGCCTGGGATCAATCGTCGAGCACGACCATCCTGTACTTTGTCATCGTCATTCTGGTGATCAGCAACCTTTATACGTTGGTGAGGATGGGGAAGAAGGAGGAGATTGGGAGGAGGAAGGAGATGATGAAGGCGGAGGAGAGGGAGCGGTGGGTGCAGAGTGTGGTTATGACGCTGTGGGAGGAGTTGGCTTCTGGGAAGAAGGATCCGTTTGCGTTGAGGGATCGGTATCCGAATGCGCCTGTGAGGTTGCAACCTGCGGAGAGTCCAAGGGCGGAGGATACACCCGGTATGGGCTCCTCGTATACGGTACCCCCGACAGTATTGACAGCCTCGCCAGTTGTTGTGGTCGTTGAGCCGACGTCGAGTGAGACAAGTAATCCGTTGTCGTGGAAAGAAGAGTTGGCGCATTTGCAGGAGACGTTGGCGACGGTAGAAGAGAGAGTACGGACTATCAAGGCGAGCATTGCAGAACTTGAGAACTTGAACCTCAATCAGTTAGATTAGGCTTCTTTTCCCTCTTCCTACTCTTCTTCGTCGAGGGAAGGGTACCTCCTTAATCCAGGACATTTATGGCACCCCAGTTCTAATTCTCCTGTTTCCTTGTTGAGGTTTTAGTTTTCAGCTTTTTAAAGGGTTTAGTTGACATTATCGTAGTAGCATATGCTTTCGTACATATACTTAGGTATTATTTTTGGAATGTTACCGCCATTCACGACGTCGGTCAGGCGACTTTGACAGAGCAAGACACCATCCTCATTCGTTGTTACGTGTCTGGCGCCCGTCGAAACCTTCTCTGACTTGGTTGGGGACATTGAGTTGAAGAGAGCTCGAATAAATTAAGGATAGAGGTTTTGGACTGTAATACATGGCCTAACTAGGGTAGAAATACAAAGAGCACGACGTAAGAGAAGCGAGAGACAGGCGAACATCGACGTGTAGTCGTTCCTTGTTCATTAGCTAAAGTTAATGAAAAAGGGCAGGTCGACGGCGTCTGCTGTAAGACTCGTATCTGCTTGAGGACGGGTGGGTATGTACTTGAAAGTATTTATAGGTCCTCGGGTTTTAACAGGGCGAGGAAGTTTGTGATAAACTAGTTCTACAAGGGAAGAGGAAGAAATCTCCTCGGAGCGAAGCTCGACGAGGAAAGGGAAGCATGTCTAACCCACTGGGTTCAGGATTTTTTTCTGTTTTTCAAGACCTTTTTTTCTAACTGTCGGCGAGGAGTACGAGTGGTCGGGAAAGCGGATGGTATGGATATTTGAGATATCGCAAAATAGATGGGCGGGATGTGAGGAGTGGATGCAGGGTGATGGGTGAAAGGGAGAGAGAGAGAGGAATAATTGGTATCGTCTGCAAGGGATATCAATGCTAATGAAGACAGTTCGTTGGGTGAAAGCGAAGTAAAGAAGAATAATAAAAAAAGAGTAGCAAGTCGTGTAGCACAAAAAGTTCATTAGTTCGTCATCGTGGTCGTCAGACGTGGCGAAGGGGGAGGTTGAAGGAGTGAGTGACAACCCCGGGGGAAGGTTAAGCCAGATATTTCAAACCACCCAAGAAAAACCGCCCAACGCAACGTCCAAGTCCAAGCTTCCCGGTCGACCGACAGACTGACCAACCAAGAATTCCTCTCCCCCCGTTTCTAGTGGCACTGAAACTAGACTAGAGTTGGACTAGAAGTTTAGTTTAGATACGGCGGCCACCTAGACCACAGAGGGCTAGTGCGGCTTTCATCATGTCATCGTCGTCGACGCCGTTGGGGTAAGGGAACGATTGCTGTTGTTTCTTGAAGGCGCCCGTCGTCCCGTATGAGCCGTGGTGGTCCCAGCGGTTGTCATCCCGTCCCCAAGTACTCGGCGGGGTAATGGCTTCCTCATCCTCGTCGTCCGTCGTGTCCAAGTCAATGGGCGCGCCCTTGGGCGTTACGTCAGGGTGGTAGTTCGCCTGAGGTTTCTCGCGGTGCACGGTCCTTTTGCCTCCGACGACCATTGATGACGAGTCGCCGCTGGAGGTATGGGAATAGGAGGAATGAGTATGAGAATGGTGGTGATGGTGGTGGTGGGGTTTCTGCGCGGAATGGTGGTAGTGGTGGTGGTCTTTGTCGCTGATGCGTGCCGCAGCGCAGGCCCATTCCAGCGTGCGTTTTGTCGAACGAGAATGCTTAGCAAAATCGAGGTAGTCTGAGGTGGCTGGGCTAGGGGGCACTGTGAGTGGCGAGGAGGGCATGTGGTCCCAGATTGCGCCGGTGGATGTGCTGTCGGAGTGATGAGCGTGGCGTCGCGGTGTTCGGGGGTTGTGGTGGTTGCGCATTTCGGTACGCGTGGCAATGCGGTCAAGGTTCGGACGCTCGCGCAGGGACAAGGTGGACCCAGCACTCTTGGACGAGCTCACTGTGCTGCTGCTGCTGAACGTCGGTGAGACCGTTCTGCTGCTGTTGCTTGGTTCCTTGTTCGCCTGCTGCGACTTGCGCTCTGTTTGGCGCTTATTTTGGAACCAGATCGTCACAGACTTGATTTCCCTGGGCAGTCGGCATTTCCGGTTAGGATCAGGGCCACAAATTGGGTCGAAAAATACGCACATTTGACCAGCCTTTGCCACAGCCTCGCGTTCCTCTCTCGACGGGTGGGAGGTCTGGTGGAATAAATTTTCCAGCATGGTGAGCTGTGTGTTGGTGAAGCGCTTTCGCGTGCGGCGCGAGGCATTGATGGCGCTGGGAGTGATGTCGTCCGACGACGAGAAGCTTGCGTCGGACGACGTGCGGGACAGCGACGGTGGGGGGTTCATTGTTGTGAGGGACGGGAAGCCAATTACGGGGGGAAGAGGGCGAAATGAGGACGCGAGGCTGATCTTTATGTGTCAATCATTGCCATTGATGCCAAAATTAAACAACACACTCGATCGCGTTCATCACGTGCACCGCGAACCGTGTTCTCCCTCGCTTGATTTCGGCCTTTCCGTTCTCCCACTTAGACCTCAGTCTAGTCCTTCTGCGGTTCGAATTTATCGCTAATGACTACTAACCAATAATTACACTGACAAAAGACGCGTCTTCATTAGCGTCCCCAGTCATTTTCTCGACGCGACTCGGAACCAATTTGCCAACTTGCCATCCAACATGTGGATGACCTGTGATTCTTCCCTGTTGTCACAGTGGCTATTGTGCGAACCTTCAGGGATGCTCTGGGCTCTGGGATATGTAAGAAAGTCAAGTCAACCCCCATCCATGTCGTCCCAGAATTTTTCCTGCGAATCGGACGTGAACCTGATGGAAGTCGTTGTTTATTCTCCAACAGGAAAGGGGTCACGTACACATCCGTAGGCTCGGGACGCGCACCATGCCTCAAAGCGGCGGCAAACAGCGAACCCCGACAATGCTTGGAAGTTCGAACCCTCATCAGCACAACCCATTGACGTGTTGGCGCTGGCATAGGATTCTGACCAGTTAAAAACAGCGCAACTCAGTGAGCACATCCTGTCTTCCCATCTCCTTTCCTTGCAGAAAGTCTGATAACGATATTGTATTTTACAATTGGCAGTCTGGATTCATATGTTGGGATCAAAAAACGCCAAAGCCATTTCTCTTCGGTGATCTAATTTTCGTTATCAAACAACGCGCCTCGAGGCTCGCGGCAGGGACGGACGTGTCATGCATCTCATTAGCGCTTCCGGTGTCGTTTATCCGCAGCCCATAACACTGACATTGGTCTGACTCTATCCTCTACTGACGCACAGGTCTTACTAGGTCTTACTTCTGGCTCTTAAGAGACGCCCTGGCCAACAGGCTTCCGGTCAGGCGCACTCATCTCCGGTCGCCAGGGGAAGCCTCATGATTCCCCAAGGCTAACGACAAACTGGTGCACACAGTTGCACCCTACCCTCCGAATGTGGGGCTCATGGACTTGAATGAATAGGCCTCTTTTGGACATTGCGACTTGGGACCCAAGAAACCTCACTCCATCACTCTGACATCCCAACCACCATCGCAGGAACAATAGCCGAGGGGCAACCGTGGTATCCTTTACCTTGAGCGTGGCCTTGACTCAACTCTACGATGGTTTGGAAGCCTCTTCGAAGCCTCAATGTTCATCGTATTCCTGGCTTCATGACACACGCTTGACATCGAGGAGGCGAATATCGCTTAGCCTTTCGAGTCTAAAGTCGCGTTCCAGGTCCGAGCACCCTGTCGCACTTCGCTCACCTCATCCTTGCCACCGTCACACACAAGACCTTCCTCATCTCCGGTGTGTGTACTTTATCTAAATTGCTTACTTCACCCTCTTTATCCTGCCCGTCTATTGCTCTCTACTACTGTAGGTCCCTCCTCCACTGCACTTTCCCTCCTTTTACCTATTCAAACCAAACACCCTCTCCTTCTCCTAGCTGCCCTCGACAGGCGCGCATTCGTTCAAATCGGACGCGTATCGCGAACACGCCCCGCGACCCTTGGCATTACGCGAATAGGGGGATATATGTACATTGATCGGCACTCGCCAGCAGCGCTCCGTTGCAGCCGTTCACCACCCCAAGTCCATTCCTCCGTTCGTTCATTAAAGCGATATTATCATCTGACCCTTCCCCGCTCCCGTGTCACCCTTGTCCCTGTTGTCCTCGCAAGGGTGTTTCAACAGGGACTGCTCGTAACTGGTCACCAGACACGACGGATAGCATGTTTCGGCTTCCCCACATCAGACTCGGGGTCTGGAGTCCTCATATATGTTTTACGGTAAGGGCTAATTAAAGACCCTGCTCAGGGCTGGCGAACTGAAGCGGGCTTCTTCGAGGCGAGTCTGCCCAAACAAAACCTGGTTCTGTTCGCTCTCTCCCTCTCTCTCCCTCCCTCTGGCAGTCGAGCTTCTCACCGCAAGAGAGCACCGCGGCAGAAGGCGACAATAACTCTTCTTTTTTCTGACAGACTCAGTCGAAGTGCCCGAACCCACTCTCGGGTTACCTTTTCTTCGAAATCCTGTCTCCGTCTTTCCCGACGCAAGAAACACTCACTCCGGTCTCCCTAGGCCTATCCTCGAGACTTCCTCCATACATCACCACCCCAAGAGAGTTATAAAAACCTCGGTGGAATGAGAAGCTCCCCTCTTGAACTCTTGACCATTTTCATTGGAGAAATATAGCGCATTTCCGGGACCTCTGTACACGGAACATCCTCCCGGAGAAAGAAGCATACACATTTCCACATACGATCCACGTCGCGTGGTCTTCTCGACCTCGTCAACGTGTTAAGACGGATCGTCCGACGGAGAACACCTTGGCTACAGCACTCTATTCAATTCTTGACATTTCACGCTGGGCAATGGAATAGAAGTTAGAAGTTAGAGCGGCTCCGACGAAAAGATTCTTTTTCAGGGTCGCTCAATAGACAGAAAGTCGTGATCAACGTGGATAGATAAACCGACGTCTAAGCGAGGATAATACATGCAGAAAAAATTCATCAAAAGCGAGACACTAATATACAGACAGCAAGGTCGAAATGCGATGCGACGACAATGATACAGGGAACGTTAAAAACCATGAACTTCGTGTTAATAGGGCATTTTGAGGTCGTTCCAAAAGGGTGGAGAAGGGAAGACCCTGCATCCCTTTCCCTTCAACTTTATCTCCTTGACCAATATCACCATGTTCGCCCATTTAAACTTGATACCTGAACTCGGGGTGCTTATACCCGAGCTGCTTAATCTCCTCTTCGGTCTTGCCCTCCAACCTGTAATCCCTCTCACCACGATCACGCTTAGCGTTTTCACGGTAGATGTAGATAGTCTTGATGATGAGCAGGAAGACAATGGTCGTGACACATCCGAGACAGGCAGAGTTACCGCGTCGGTAGTCGGGAGCGTCGGAGGGTACGTAGGTCCATACGCTGGAATCGACCAAGAATTAAGTCACGTTTGGAAAAGACGAAGGAGAACGAGAGGAGAGAACGCACGAGACGATTGAACCCATAGCTCCAAGACCGGGAATGGCGGCACTGACAACTGCACGCATTGTATCAGGAGCAGCATTATCGGTTCCCCAAATGACAAGCTAAACGAATCATTAGCCTATCCCTTCAAACCTACAGGAACAAAATCCATACCAAAGAGCCTCCGACCGAACCACCAGCAATCATAATGAAGCACGCTGCATATCTAGAAATACCCGCTCAGAATACATCCAGATTGAAGTCGGCGAAACCTACCTTGCACTTCGATTCTGGGTAGAAATGGCAATCGCATAGCCGACCACGACGAGAGAGACTGAAGTGATGATCGGCAGCCATCGTTTCCTGATACGGTAACTGAGATATGTGTTTGACAAGGACCAGATACCGCCGACGAGGAAAGGAGGGACGGTTCGGAGCTGTGCTTCGACGACAGCTAGGAAGAGCTGTCAGATGGGACTTCTAATACACCGCTGCGAAGCAACTGCAACATACTGTAGGTACCCACTATGGGACAAGACGTCAGATCTATTCTTCGAGGAAGCAAGCACCGCACTTACAAGAGTTGACGACGGTAGGCAAGAACAAACCGAGACCTTGGAATGACACGTTCAAGAGGAGGAAGCTGATGGTGCAAATGGTGGTCTAAAGCCAGGTATATCTTAAGAAAAACGTCAGGGCAAAGACGCAGGCACCTACGTTGAAGTTGAACGACCGCAAAACCAGTCTCCATGTCGTCTTCTCCTTGACACCTCCAGTCTTAATAACCTGGTCAGCATCTAACCGTGCAATGGCGAGTTTCCGCTCTTCTTCGTTGAACATCTTGGTGGTGGCGGGGTCATTGGGAAGGATCCAGAAGCAGGCGATACCCCAGGCGGTGGTGACGATTCCTAGATGTGGGGTTAAAGACTGAGTTGCCGATTTTCAAAGGTCGACGTGCCTTCAATCAAGAAGATCTACATGGAAGGTTAGAAACAAAGAACCATCAAAACTATCTGACCAACGACTAACCTTCCGCCATGTTGTAATCATACCGAAATCGTTGATTTTGAGGAGACCTGAAGCCAGAAGCCCACCGACTTCAAGGATTGTTATATCTACCCCTCAGCAATGCAATAGTGACTCTGCTTACAGGCACCAGAAATGTTCGGTGCAATGCCGAAGAAAATGCCGACTCGGAGGACGAATTCATGCCGTCTGTAGTACTATTCAATCCAAGAGTCAGTCTTGCAGCGCTCTCATTCAAGACTGACGGCACTCACCCTTGACATGATATAGACCAGACCGGGCTACAGCGCGGTGGGTATCGCTGAGGACTTGTAGTGAGATATGATACATACCAAAGTACCGCCTTCAGCCAAACCCAGGACTACACGCGTAACGATCAAGCCTTGCTGCGACTGCAGGAACGCAGAAAAGAGGGAGATAAGACCGAAAGCCAAGACCGTGAATGCCAGCCACACTGTCCCAAAGCGTTTGAGAAGGAGGTTTGATGGAATGTCGGCACAGGTGTACTGGGGTTGGAGTGCATTAGCCCAGGAGGTTCATGCTATCAAAAGAACCGAGGGGGAGTCGACTTACAAAGACGTAGAAAATTGTTAAAGCGATGTTAAGATCTAACCCCTCCATTCCCAAATCCTTCTCCAACCCTAGTGGATGTCGTCAATATCGCCATTATACAAAGAGGACATGGCGGAGGTACGAACCAGCGATACGAGCATTGCCTTGACGTTGGCGAACATGTCAGCTTTAGCGGACGAAAAGACAGCCGGCAAGGGGCCCATACCAATGGCAGTCCTAGAAGGAACGAGAAGTCAGAACCAACGCACGGATGAAGGATACATGAACGACATACCTATCGATATAATTGCACACATCTTCCTTTCTGTTAGTGAGAATCTTGACACTCACGGCGACACCACCTACAGGTAATAGTGAACAGAGGGAGCAATGTCCAGTCCAGCTTCTTGATGAGCCGTCTCTCTGCTTCAGGATCAATCTGGTAGGGCTCCTCCACCTCGGCCTTTTCCTCATGCACGACGTCGCTGATCTTGCTGTCCGACATCTTGGACCCTTCTTCGACAAGTGGTGGTAGAGGAAGGGTGGGGAAAGGGCGAGCACAGAGAGAACAGGTCAGACCCTAACGTTACAGCCTGCCTGTTGCTATTATATAACAAGAGAAGAAGCACAACCCTAAATGTCGGTGCGAAAGAAGCTGGCCAAAGAAAGATAGATATCTTTCCGTACCTCAAGGCAGCGAAGTCAGCCGGTGTCACTGCTCCATGCCCGGTGATACTTTGGCAATACTAAGGGACAAGGCTACTTCGATATGAGTGAGATCCATGCGAGCGTTGAAAGCATTCCTCACCTGGTCGTAACCCGAAAAACCCGTAGAATAGGCCTTCTGAGCTTGTAAGTCGAAAGCAGGGGCATTCAGAAGTCACAGTCATGCACCTAATCTACCAACGCCAGTTCCTTCGTCTTCTGACTGCTTCCCCGGAGGACGCGCCGAAACGGTGACATAGTGGACAATTGGCCGTAAAATCTGTTGAACCGCCTTTCCGGCCAAGTCGACAGTCATCCAATCACAAGTGTCGCATGGTATCAATGTGGGGTAATAGCCTGTGGGTGGGTGGGATCCGTGGTAACGAATGAGGTTTAAGTGTGTAGAGCCTCTGTCAAGTCCGAGCCATTTGCGCTGAGCAGCTAGAAGGTGACGCCGTCCTGACATGTTGGTCAGGATGCCATATGAGTAATAAAGCACTCGAGTCGAAGCCTCTGCATGACACGTCGTTAATAATGAGCCATCTCGGGTATTGAGAACGCACCATTTCAATACCCATTCGAGCTTCGAAGTTCTTCCTAAACCTCTTGTTCTCGTTATCGCAGCGGCCCTCTCACGTCTAATCGCCATTACGAGGGCGACTGTAGACAGGCCTCCATTTGCAGTCAACCACCCATCAAGCCTTCCGAGGAGATGCTCTTCTCCTCAAGTCCGAGTCCCAAGTTTCGGATTGATTTCTGCAAAGACGAACAAACCACGCCAGGTGACCCGCCAGCGCAACCGAGATTCAAGCACGTCCATTGTAGAATGAAACCTCGTGGATTTCAACCGTTTTAATTCCCTGTTCAAGCAAAACCCCGGTACAAAGGCCATGTGGGATGTGAATGATGATTCGGTGCACGAAGCAAGGTGGAGGAAGAAGACGAAGCCTGGAAAACAGGAATTGACACCGGCGGGGAAGTCACAATCCGGGCCGCTGATTATGGGAAATGCGGGAAGCGCCGGACCGTCTGTTTATGGCAAGATTTGGCGCCTTTCGAGCGTCTGCTGCCTTTCTCCTTTGTGAACCATGTCTTGTCCCCGTCTGCTTCGACGTTGTCAAAGAATCAAGGCAATAAGAATTCAGGTGCTCTCTTGTTCCTTCTCCAATCCAGACAACATCGCATCCGGCAATCCGAGACCAGGTCGCCAAGAGCAAGGCTATATAAAACGGGAAACCTCCAGAAATTCCACGAGCCCCGACCAGTGACCACCTTTGCACCGTACCACCACCATGCACCTCTGCGATAAATGCAACCTCCTGGTTCCAGGGAGCGACTTCGACTTCGAAGGCCACGTCGGATGGTGCGATGGACCGATGGACCGCCTCTGCAAGCCCCTTGGCACCGTGTACGACTCGGGCCAAAATCCCCTTCAAGGCGACCGAGGCGGCATGGAATGGACATACTTTCGAGTGCTACATCTGCCATAAAGGATTTCCTAAACTCGAAGGACTGAACACGCATCTCACCGCAAGCAACAAACACGGTCACCCTCGAAGGTACTGGAGGAACTGTCCGCATCCTCCTTGCAAACTCCAGTTCGACACCCTGGCAGCATTGTGGTACCACCTCGAATCCGGGACTTGCGGAGCTCCTAAGTTTGTCCCAAATGAGAGAAACCAAGGCATCAGGCGAAGAGGAAGGATGGGAGGCAAGAAGATTGTCGCTACGGCTTCCGCCAACTCGATGGTCCAGCGAACTGCCTTGACGGGAGCGACTGGCAGTCACCACCCATACACTCGTCCCATCGTAGTACTCATAGCTCCGTCACCGTTGCCTTTTAGTAGCAGGCTCAGGTCGCAGCCAGGCCAAGTTGGGTATAATTAAGTTCCTTGAGAGAACCTAACCCAAAGTATACCCCACTGAATAGAGACCTAGAACTACCCCCTCTGACATCTCACGAGTAGCTTCTACCCTCCAATAATATATCACCCCTTCACATAGCCCTCCACTCTCATCGTCATCCTCGTCGTCAGCGGTCATGCCAACTTCATGATCATTCTCGTATACATCCACAACAACAAAGGCATCGATGCAAGCAGATAACGATAGTCTATGATGATTGATTTCACAAAAGTACAAGTGTCCATTTTGGTTGTTGTGTCGACTTCTCACTCTCACTACCTCTTCGATCGCAAACCCACGCTTACTTCTTGAGGAGAGCAGGGGGAGTGGAACCAGCGGACAAGCCCTTGCCCTGGGCGTAGATGGCACCAGAGCCCTGGAGCTGTTCCCTAGAAAGACCAGTGAGCACAAGGGTGGACAAAGAAAGACAGACGTCACATACTCGATACGGAGGAGCTGGTTGTACTTGGCAACACGCTCAGAACGAGCAGGAGCACCAGTCTTGATTTGGCCGACACCGAGGGCGACAGCGAGATCAGCAATGATGGTGTTCTCGGTCTCACCGCTGCGGTGGGAGATCATGACACCCCAGCCGTCGGATTGAGAGAGCTGAGCACTAAGAAAAGAACAACGTTCGTCAGTCAACGTGCATCCCATGATAAATCACAGTGAGAAAGGACATACGCCTGGATCGATTCAGAGATGGTACCGATTTGGTTGACCTTGAGCAAGAGACCGTTGCAGGCCTTCTTCTCAATGGCGGTCTTGATGCGGAGGGGGTTGGTGACAGTCAAGTCGTCACCGACAATCTGGATTCCGCTCTTGGAGGTGAAGTGGGTCCAGGCCTCCCAGTCATCCTGATCGAAGGGGTCCTCGATGGAGACAATGGGGTACTTCTCAACGTAGGAGAGGTAGAGATCGGCGAGTTCCTTGCCAGTGATCCACTTGGTGGGATCGGAGTTGGGGTTCTTGAAGTCGAGGTCGTACTTGCCGTCCTTGTAGAACTCGGACGAGGCAACATCGAGAGCGATCTTGATCTTGCCCTCATAGCCGGCCTTCTTGATGGCCTCAGTGAGGAGTTCGAGAGACTCATCGGCGCCAGAAACGTTGGGAGCGAATCCACCCTCGTCACCAACGTTGACGGCTAGAACGTCACGTTAGAACCCTCCCAGTATCGATTCAACAAAGGAATTCACTCACCATCAATACCGTACTTGGCGGTGATGACCTTCTTGAGGGTGTGGTAGGTCTCTGTACCAATCTTCAAAGCCTCGGTGAAGCTGGAAGCCTCAGTGGGCAAAAGCATGAATTCCTGGAAAGCAAGCTTGTTTCCGGCATGGGATCCACCGTTGATAACGTTGAAGCATGGCAAGGGGAGGACGAAGGGAGGCTTGACACCAGCAAGGTCAGCGAGGTGTTGGTAGAGGGGGACACCCTTCTCGCCAGCACCAGCCTCAGCAACGGCGATGGAGACACCGAGGATAGCGTTGGCGCCGAGCTTGCCCTTGTTGGGGGTGCCGTCGAGCTTGATGAGGAAATCGTCGATTTCCTTTTGTTGGGTGACTTTCAAGCCGGACTTGATAAGCTCGGGAGCGATGATGTCGTTGACGTTGGAGATAGCCTTGCTCACGCCTGCGTAAAATTGTTAACCTTTGGTATTAAAAAAGAGCGATTTGACGCGTACCCTTGCCGACATAGGCGTTCTTGTCGCCGTCACGCAACTCAACGGCTTCGTGGGCACCAGTGGAAGCACCAGAGGGAACAGCAGCGCGGAAGAGGCCTACAGCGCCGTCATCGTTAGTGACGCTTTTAAAAACAAACCAACCTTTCACTCACCCTTGGCGGTGTGGACATCGACCTCAACGGTAGGGTTACCGCGAGAGTCGAAGATCTAGACGCGCAAGATCAGCCAGGGTCCAACGCGTCGCGCATCGTCAGGGTCGACTTACCTGGCGAGCGTGAATCTTTGTGATGGACATGATGAGCAGATGGTTGTAGAACGAAAGAGAAAGGTGAAGCCAACTTGAGCCCCAGTTATCTATCGATCTCGAACTTTCTCACGGGCTTGGAGGCGTAATTATCGAGATTGAATGCGAACGTCAATTTCCTTTTTCTCTCTTTTGGGTTTCTTCGGACGCCCGATCAATTCCCGATAGCCCCCATCTGTCTAAACCCGCGTCCTGAGCTGAACCAGAACCTGCGTAGAGTAGGAAAGACCGGAGGCCTCATGTGAAATGGTCAATGTCTACGACATACCCGCGACCTTGAACAACTTTCGTCATCTTCCAAGGACGGGTCGATTCGGGGGACGAGCGTTCGATGGATGCGCGCGACTCTCCAGAATGTTCCATGAGGGATAACTAGCCCCAAAAGATTTGTATAGCGTACAGATGAAGATATGACGTGAGGTAAACGACAACAGAACCTAAAAAAGTTGGGATCAGACGTTTGCTTCGCCAAAAGGGACAGATTACTTGCCCTGGACACATGAACACCAGCGACCCAAGCTTCGAACAAAATTCCTACAATTCTTATCGGATTTTCGGTCCAACACACGTCTCCAGCCAACCAGAACAGGGCGTTTACTTTCTCGACTTTCGGCCCTCTCTTCTCTTCCCAGCGGGTAATGATCGGAGCAATGCTGCCTTTTGTCGATTTTTGTTCTTGACGTTGGCATTCGTGTAGAAGTTTTCTGCTTTGCGCTGGAAAACACGGAAGTGGCGACCGGTCAGATAACAGATAAAAACACCATCGTAATCCTTTACTGTGACATACCTTGTTCGTCTTCATGCGTGCCTCTTTCTTGACAGGTGCCTCCTCCTCCTCCTCCGATGCTGCGGTGACGAATTGAGTTTGAGGATGAAAATAACTACAATAAACATACCTTCGGATTCGCTATCAGAAGGTTCCGAGGCCTCCTCCTCTGGGGCATTGATTCCAGCAAAGACATCGGTCCACTTCAAGTCATCCTCCTCTTCTTGCTCCTCCTCCTCTTCATCCTCCTCAACGTCATCTTCACCCTCTGCATCCAACTCGGAATCATCACCACCGTCGCTTACAGCAACCTGCTCCTCCTGCTCGTCCTCTTCCTCCTCTTCGATCTTCTTAATATCCTCCGGAATGAATGTATTCTTCTGCGTAATCGTCTTCAAATTCTGCTTCACAGTCAACTCTGGCTGCTGTTGCTCAACAGCCTTGCCCTTGCCCTTCGCATCCGCCAACCTCTTCTTCTTCGCCTCAGCTTCATTGAGCTCTTCCGACCTCTCAGGCGGAGAGACGAAGAACGGAATCTTCCCTCTCACCCAGTCTTGCAGAATGATTTTGGCAACAGAGTTACGGTCAGGTTCGCCACCCTTGAGTAGACGACCTTTCATGCGAGCGAGTTTCTCGAGAAAATCTTCCGGTGACCAGCCTTCGGAAGGATTGGAGGGGTTGGGAAGAGGGAGGTCGTAGGTGCGTGACAGGTAGATGGGCTTGACTCGGGACATGAGGACGGCAATGTGGTCTGAGGGAGTGGGTAGTGCTTCAACTCGGACAACACCCTTAAGGACGATGTCGGTTTCAGAGTCTTTGGCTGAAGCGGGAACAATTCCGGGACAGTCGATGAGGTAAATCCTCCTGGTGAGGGTGATGTATTGCCATACCTAGATCGACTTTATCAGGAAGCAGTTCAAACGGATAATGAAGCCACGCACTTTTGTTTCACCAGGAATGGGTGCGACACGGCAAACCTTGCCGCTTTTGAGGGTATTAATAACGCTGCTCTTTCCGACATTAGGGTATCCAATAAATCCAACTGAGATTTGCTTCTTGTCCGAATGCAGCTGAGCGAACTGCCTGAGCAACTGGATGAGTGTGCCTTTGCCGAACGAATTGTTGGGAGAGGCGTGGAAAGCGATGGTAGGGTACCGGGGCGTCAAGTGTTGGATGTACCGAGCCTATTCCAGGGTTAAGCAACGTAGGAGAGGATAAAGCATCGAACCACGCACGGTCACCCAGTTAGGCACGAGATCACACTTGTTGATAACAAGTACGACCTGCTTGTGCGATTTTTCCTTCTTGATATAATCCAACACAGACTCGCACATGGTTCCCAGCGGATCTCGAGCATCCAAAACATGGAGAACGACATCCGAAGAGTCGATGACCTTGTACAGCTCTCCGTAGATTCGTCTCGAAGTACCCTTGGCGTAGATAGGTTCCTTGTAGTCGGCGTACGCGGGTGCACTGGTGACTGCTGAAGCGAGGGGTTCTGCAACGACGTTTCAGAGAAACATTAACTTCGGGATAAAGGTTAACGTACCGATAACGTCCTTTCCGGACTTGGCAGCAGCCTCCTCAGCCTCCTCTCCCGCAGTCGCAGCCATCTGGCTCAGCTCTTCAAACGTCCCAGCCTCAATCCTCGGCCTCTTGCGCTGTGCTTTCGGTCCAAAGGTCTCGGCGAATGGTTCAGTTTCAACGATGTGTGAGCGCTGGATACGAATCGTCTTCAGTCACAAGATGAATCTGAATTTTAAGGACCAGAGACGCACCTTGCGAGTATGCGGGTTGGCAGCATCGTCAAGCAAAGCCATAGGAAGCTTATTCCTCCTCAACAACACCGAATAAGGATCATCCTTCTTCCCAGCCAAACTCGTCCTAAAGTGGTCCAAAGCAGTCTGCGAGATAACCCTCGTATTTCCTATTCAACACTCAACCTTCAGCACCAAAACTCCCAAACCAACAACCCATCAAATAACGAAAGAACCCACCGAACCACCGACGATCAGGCTGCACTCGTCCAGGCTTAGTCTCATCTTCACCCTTCTGGAACGCAGCAGCTTTAATAATCTTGCCATCTCTATCTCGAACGGCTTTGCCGCCGTTGAGCATCTTCAAACGACTGGCTGCCTTGGCATCGCGGTAAAAGTTCTCGCCCTTGACTTTTTTGAGTGATATTTTGCCGCCTGAGCCTGAGCTCTTTTTGGAGGAGGAAGTTGAGACCATTGTTCCGTTGTAGAGGAGGTCTCAACGGCGATGAAGGGGAAGGTTGAGGGTCGTGCGGAGGTCTGGAGAAAAGCCGTGAGGCGAACGATCAGGCCTTTGCCAAAAAATGCTGATTGCGTTCCCACGCGTCTTCCCTCTTTTCCCAGTCCAATCGCTTCTGGGCGCTAAAATGTTCGAGAGGCTCATTTGGGTGTCGTAATGAAATTTACACTATATAGATAGCGGAGAAAGGAATAATTTATAGGTTTATTTTTCATTTTGTACTGCGAAAGCAGTACGCATAGACCAAGCCAGCGGTAACCCTACAGGACTTCACCCCAACTGTTTCACCTTCTCCTCCCGCTCCTCCTTCGAGAGTGCAAAATGCCTTTCATAAGCTCCAAGAAGCGATCCGTCCCACCTATTAATATCCTCTGTCAGAAACGAAAACACGCCGCCAATCCAGAACGGGACTCACCAGTTCCACTGACTACTCGCTTCGACATAATCAGGATGATAACCCAACAGCTGCATCCTCCTAAACTCAAGCTCCCCTTGCTTCTTCAAATACTTGATAACATCCATAAACAGCGCCTTGTCTCCAAACATATACCGATACTTGAGCAACCTGGATACGAAAAAGTTGCCGGTAGTGTTATTGACTTTGGAATCGCTAGTCAACCGCCAGCTGTTGCAAAGGATGGGGTCAAAGTCCATCTCGACAGACCCAGGGGTGAACTGGCGAGGGGGAGCGTTTATAGGCTTAAGCGGAATGCGGAAAGAATGCTTGTCCATAACCCATCGCGGTTCGTCGATGAAGAAAAGTTTCCTAGTTTTGGCCGCTTGCCATTGGACATTGGTTGTGATCGTCCACCCTCGTTTTTGGTACTTGGCGAGTGCGCGGAGCTCCTTGTCGGTGATCTCGCCCATGGACGCAGCGACGCGCGCGTCGAACGTGGCACCGGGGTACATCGAATATGCACCTTCGTACGTGATAAAGTTCATGACACAGGCTATTATGACAAGGCACGCGTCAGAGCTGCCACTTCCAGCACACAGATCCATAAGAAAAAGCTCACTCGAATGGAAGGAAAGAATCGAATGGAAAGGGCTATGCTTCGACGCGATCAACTGTACGACCTTGTTCCCCTTCCTAAACTCGAATACGCCCGAGATGCCATTGGTCCGGTAATCCTTTCCTTTCACGTAGTCGTCCTGCCCTTCATCCTTTGCCACCTCCTTTGCGCTCTTCACGAAATCAGGTTGCTGAGGCTCCAGTTTATACTTGTACCCATCATTCAAAATCCATCGTCCAACCTCTAACGCATGCTGCCTAGGCGTGTACAGATCCAAATCCGAACCAGGGTACACAATACGATCGATGAACTGCAGCGCAGTGGATCCAGAAATCACAGTCGCGGTGCGCGCCTGGAGGAGCCGGAACGCCTGAGCCTTCGAACGGCTGAAAAAGCGGTTGAGGAGTTTGTCGATGTTATAGCACCGTTCAGAGTAGTTTTCGTGAGCGTTGTACGCGGATAGGCACGTTTTTGACAGGCGAATCGAGTCGGCGGGGCTGAGGCGGGAAAATATGAGGTCGTAGATAGGGGGACTGCGGAAGATTCGGTTGGCGCGTTTATTTCCGTATAAGCGAGCCATCCGGACTCGATAGTCCTCTTCCATTTTTTTTCTTTTTTCAGATGCCTCGCAAGGGCGAGGGCGAAGGCGAAGGCGGGGCCACGTCGTAGTCGAGAGGAGGAACGACACGACGCGGTTTTTCACTAATTTAAATGCAAGGGATTGATCCGCTGATGGCAATTCTCACGAAAGCGATGACCGACGAGACCCCCAAGGCACCGTCCCAGAAACGACACGCTAATCCAAGTCCAAGGGACACACTCTGCGCGTAGATATTGAGGGAGACGTTATCCTACCGACGCTCACCATTTCCTTGCTCACTTGCTTCGGACAAAAGCCATATTTGATCCGTCGCTCCTGGGAACATCCATCAACGGATCAAACCCTCATTAACCCGAAAAATTGGGACCATCGCCTTGTTCCACTTCTCTCTCAAACCACAACAACAAAGCACTAAAACCTCGCCACAATGTCCAGAAGACATAGAGTCCCCTTCTCCATAGGGATTTACCGTGCCCGCGGAGACCCCACAGCCAACGCCATCTTCAGCAGCCCCCCAATCTACGACATCATCTACTCAAGCCTCGACCCAGGGGATGCCATCCGCCTCTCCAAAACCTGCTCAAAGGCCTACACCGCCTACTCAGAATTCCGCAGCAGGGCGTACAACATCGACAAACTCCTCACCCGGTTCTTCTCCCCATCGAAGATTGTAGATTTCAGACACCTCCAAGCGAGGACAGCGACGCTGATTTCGGGGTCGACGGCGGTGCAGTTTATCGACAGAGTCGTGTACCCAGAGTCGGATTTGGATTTGTACACCCCCAGGCAGAACGCGCTGGAGGTGAGGAGGTGGGTGATGAACGACGGGTATACCTATAAACCGACGGAACACCACCCTAATTTCGAGGAGAGCGCAACAGAGGGTGGCCTCCCACGAAGAGGATGACTATGTTAAAGGAGAGGATTATAGGACGTGCGGTGTCTCAGCTGTCTACGAGTTTAGAAAGGGCGAGAAAGTCGTACAGGTCATGGCATCCAAACACAGCCCTTTCCACTCGATTCTTTCGTTCCATTCGAGTGAGTCGTCCTCCCTGTTCCGGTCATTCATGGTCCTGAAACATGGTCTCTACCAGCCTGCGTGATGAACTTTATCACCTACGAAGCCGCTTACTCCATGTACCCCGCCGCAACGTTCAGCGCCCGCATCGCCACTTCCATGGACAGAATCACCGACAAAGAATTGGGCGCACTCGCCAAGTACGAGAGGCGCGGTTGGACCATCACAACCAACGTCCAATGGCAGCCCCAGAGCACCAAGAAACTCTTCCACCTCGACGAACCGCGTTGGGTATTGGACAAGCACTGCCTTCGCATTCCTCTCAAACGACTTAACATCCCCCCTCGAAAATTCACTCCTGGTTCCGTCGAGATGAACTTTGACCCTGCCATCTGTAACAGCTGGACATTGTCGAGTGAGACCGAAGTCAACACCACCACCGGCAACTTTTTCGTTTCGAGCTTGTTCAAGTATCGGTATATTTTTGCCGATAGGGTACTGCTCTCGACTGTTTCCCGCTTCTTGAAGAAGCAGGGAGAACTGGAGTTTAGAAGAATGCACGAGTTGGGTATCGACGCTGAACATGTACAGGAAAGCGACCAATGGCATTGGTGGGTAGTCCATGATATTCGCTGTGTGTGATCTCTCATCTATTCCAGGTGGGATGGTTCCTTGCTGGGAGCCTATGAAAGGCATTTCGCGATTTCGAAAAAGGAGCGGGACAGAATGAATGAACTACTACGTTGATTTCTTCTTCCCCTTTCCGCTGTATTTCCCCGTCTAATCGTACTGGGGTTCCACGTCGACAACCGTATCGTAGAATTCCTTCAACAAACGTTTCTGTGCATCTCTTCCCGACTCGGTCTATAGCTCACATTAGTATCCCGTCCGATGCATTTGATTAAATCCATGACTCTTACCGGAGTATCAGCAATACCACGGATGAGGAGGTACTTGCGCCCGAAGAGGATATCCTCCGTTACATCGCCGAATTGCTCAGCGTTGATCGTGTCAGAGAGGACCTTGTGGGATCCGGTGATAATTCCTCCAGCCTCCTGAACGATAATAATTCCAGCGGACACATCCCAAGGCCAGCACCCGATCTCCCTAAAATCCACCGCGAAATCAGCTCCGCTTCCCTTCCCATAAGGTTCAAAGAGACGCACCAGTACATATCCAACGCCCCCTGCGCAACCATCGCACAATTCAACGCACCACTCCCAAACGACCTCAGCGAATGTGCCATCTTCCCGCCCGGGACGCCTCTCTCGGGGTCTCCAGCGAGCTTGACAAAGGAAGACGATTTGCCTGCCATGCTCTCCGAGCTACGCTCAGAGCCCCATTCAACGCCGATGACGGCGCCATGGAGGGAGGAGAGCGGTTTGGGGGGCGAGGCGAGGGGGAGGCGTTGTGGGGTTCCGTTGTTGCGGGTGAGGTAGGCTCCGTGGGATTTAGCCGCTGTGTACTATGATGGCTTGGGGGTTAGGAAGTAGGAGGAGAGGAGGGGAAGAGCGTACGAGGTGGTCGAGGAAGGGGTTATAGATGACCCCGATGATGGGGCGGCGCTCGTAGATTACGCCGATGGAGACACAGACGAAGGGGATGCCGTGGACAAAGTTGGTTGTTCCATCTGTGTTCAGGGCTTTAGGCGGCTGCGCAGAGGGTGTAGAGGACCGTACTCACCAATTGGATCAACGCAGAACGTAGGGTCGTCGGTCAATGGCTCGCGTTTACCCGCCGAATACGACTCCTCTCCAATACTAAGCAAGTCATTCAGTTTTATCTTTTCATTTCCGTGTTAAATAGAAAGGACATACAATTTAAAATTGGGATACCCATTCTTCAACTCCTTCAGCAACAGCTCCTCGACACGGACATCGTACTCGGTGACAAGATCCACCGAGTTCTTCTTCTCATTTACGCCCGTTTCTTGGGATGAGACGGTCTGAATCGCTGCGGATCCCTCGAGGATGAGAGCACCGGCTTTTCGAGCGACGGTGACGATGAAGTCGAGGATGGGTTTGTACTCGGTGGGGGTGAGTTTCTGATAATCAGACATGGTTAAAGTCGAGAGAGTTGGGTTCAGGTCAAGCGTGTGGTTCTGTTCTTCTACGTGCCCGTCTTATAGGACTCTATGGAGCTGTCTGAGTCAGGACGAAAGAAAAGCTGAGGATCTATGCGAGCGATGGGTCGCGAACGTTGGCAGAGATCTCTTGAATCAAGCGATGATCTCATTGCCAAGACCCTCAATGGTCGATAAGATTAGATGGCGCTAATTGATATTCCCACGAGAGGTATACGCGTCGCAAGCTGATCGAAAGCATTAGCCCGTCGCGCCTCCACTTTATTCAACGACTCTTTCTAATTCGCCATGTTCCTTACGCGTTCAGAATACGGTTAGTGTATGTCTTAAGGTCACGAATCTCAGGATTGATGATAGAAATTGTGTAGACCGTGGTGTCAACACTTTCTCGCCCGAGGGACGGTTATTCCAAGGTCTGCAACCTCTTATCTTTCTCTAATATACCCAATATTGACCCAGTACTGCAGTCGAATATGCCATCGAAGCAATCAAGGTACACCCCACCCCGAGCCCCCATACTTTCCCCAACCTAACACAACCCAACCGCCCCACATAGCTAGGCTCAACAACAGTAGGAATCAAAACCCCCGAAGGCGTCGTCCTCGCCGTCGAAAAGCGAGTCCAATCCCCCCTCCTCGAATCCTCCTCCATCGAAAAAATCATGGAAATCGACACCCACCTCGGCTGCGCCATGTCCGGCCTCACAGCCGACGCACGCACCATGATCGACCACGCCCGCGTCACAGCGCAGAACCACGCCTTCACTTATGATGAGAGGATTAAGGTCGAGAGCGTTACGCAGGCTGTGTGTGATTTGGCGTTGAGGTTTGGTGAGAGTGTGCATGATGAGGAGGCGATGATGAGTAGGCCGTTCGGTGTTGCGCTGCTTATTGCGGGGATTGATGAGTTGGGACCCCAGTTGTGAGTGGACTTTTGGGTTTGCTTTGGTTTGGGTACTGACTGAGTTGATAGGTATCATACGGATCCTTCTGGTACCTTCATTCGGTATGAGGCCAAGGCCATTGGATCAGGATCGGAAGCAGCACAGAGCGAACTGCAGGATAAATGGCACAAGGTTCGTGTATCGCTTATCGACTTCCTGTTCTCGGGCTGACATTCTATGTTTGTAGCAAATGTCACTCAAAGAAGCACAGATCCTCGCTCTTCGAGTACTGAAGCAAGTCATGGAGGAGAAGTTGGATCAACACAATGTTCAATTAGCCCAGGTTCGTACTATCGATGCACCCTAGTCGCGCCTGATATTGACACCAACCCTCCTGCGCCGCCTAGGTGACCCCTGCAAAGGGATTCGAGATCCTCGACGAAGTCAGGCTAAAAGCCATTATCGAGGAGATGTGATTCCCCATTTGATCACAGTCATCTACACTACAACCCATACCCTCTCTGGAGAGTTGTATACTAGCCCAATGAACCCGACCGACGACTAATGAGCATGCATTTCCGGATGAAGCGCGTTCATTTCTGCTGGGATAACTATGGTACGGGTACAACGCGTCTACCCGCAATTGATTTCACGATCCTTTCCAAAGGTTCTACTTACCCCTTCAGGTCTACCTCGTGGCTTGTAAGCCTCGTTCGTAGCTGCTCTAAGCGCCCATTCAGTTCCGGCTATTATGACTTTAAGATCCATTTCTCTTTCTTTACATACAAACGAGCTTTACCATCTACGCCAGACTGCACACAATCGATTTAGTCCACGAAGCGAGATGGGGGATGGAGAGAAAACGCACCTAACGATGGCCTCAACCTCGACGAGAACATCCTTGGGAAGCCTGGCAACTTCCACGGCCGATCTTGCAGGCTTGTGCTCTCCAAAGAACTTGGCATATACACCGTTAACAGTCACAAAGTCGTTCATATCCTTCAAGAAGACCTAAAACATCAAGCAGGTAATCAGAATCCAAGGTACTCCTCAATTACACCGCACAGTCGTGACCGGGTCACCGCGAAACAGAAACTGAAGAACGCACAGTAGTTTTAACAACCTTGCCCAACTCGGCTCCTCCAGCCTCGACGACGGCTTTCAAGTTTTTGAGGGCTTGTTCAGCTTGGGCTTCGACGCCGCCGGGGACGATTTCCATGGAGGTGGGGTCGAGGGGGATGCATCCTGAGCAGAACAGGAGGTTGCCGGCTTTGATGGCTTGCGAGTAGGGCCCGATGGCGGCGGGGGCCTCTGTTGTGTGTACGGTACGGTGGAGGGTGGAGAGTGGCGGGGTGGTAGGTGGGCAGGGTGGATGAGGAAGAGAATGGAGGTCAGTGATCACCGGTTAGAGGGTGGCCGTGAATGGGAAGGAAAGAGGGTTATAGAACCCGATTGCATACGGTGGGTGCGAGTGCGTATCGTCGTAGAGGTGTACGTCCGGATCGTGTATATACGGCGTTTGATTTCGTTATTGAAAGAGTGCAATATGACCAAAAGGAAAGTGGTGAGCGATTCAATCAGTTGCAGAGACGAACATAGGGGACGCACGAGAAGTAGAAACGGGAGTGAGAGATTCGTGAGTCTTGATAGTAGTCGACATCGTTCTTCTACAGCGAATATCGATCCTTCTGTAAGGCGAGTTCTTGTTCGTAGCACTGGGTCTGGTGTTGATCGATGTTGTGAGGGAGCGGCAAGTTAACGAGAACTAGGCAGGCCAGGATATCGAATTCAGGAATCGTCGGCCGACGGCGGTTCGAAGGGTAAGTATGTAATCACGAAACGGGAATTCGCGAAACTTCCGCTCACCGTCGTATGACATGGACTTGGGTGGACGAGGACGCGTCGGACACCCCCTGAAGACGCTCGTGCTAGTACCGAGTTTCCTAGAATCATTGTTCTTGACGCCTGTGCTTGGTTTGGGAAGTGGTGGAGGAGGTAGGTATGTAACGTCTGACGCGAATCGTGAGCCGTGGATATGCTGACGCAATTCTTTGTTGGCTCTTTCGAATAAAGAGTTCGAATGCTATCCGCGGGGTCGCGTTCGTCGATGTCGGCCTTCTGTGGTTCTGAACAGCGAGAACGACGGTGACGTTACAAGTCCAAGCTCCTCCCTGTCCCTGGCACGATTTGGTTGATGACGCTGATCCCGTTTGCGGACCGCCGGGAGTTAGGGGTTCCCAATATCCAGCGCTTACAGGCATTCCTCTAGCTCCAATCTTGATGCTTCATACAGTTCCCAAGCATCGTCCCCTGACACCACAATTGAATGTACTGAAGAAGAAGAAGCGGGACTTACCCCGAGTCAAATATACATCGAGATAAGACAACGACGAGCACCGAGAAGCTAAGGGAACCTCCAAGGTACCTTTACACATCCTCGGTAATCTGTCTCCACCCAGACATACCGCTACAGTCATGGTTACTAACCAACCCACCTACCTACCTCGAGGGAGGTAATAGCAGACCGTCGAGATTACAGCAGCGCTAGCAACACCGAGAGACCAGAACCCATTTCAACGGGTTGAAATTCCCACAGGAATCGCCGAGCGCTTAATTACTCTACTCACTGGAGTACAACATACACTGCAACATGATCACGCAGAGCTGCTTATTTAGTTGGCCTTTCGTAAGTAGTAACTTAGCAGGTAGGGTAAGGGTCGATACGTAGTATTAGTGCATCATGATACAGACCCCGACATACGCTTCGATTCCCTGACTTCTTCAGCCCCACAGAGGCCTGCCTAGGGCCATTACGCGACTTCGACGTAGGTCCATTCTGAGGCTCCTCTAGCCGATAACAAAAGGAGTTGAGAAGAGGGTGCGTATGTACCTAGGGTTGTCTACCCCTCATTTCACATTCCAATATTTAAATTCCCGACCAGACCATAGGGACTTTTAGATCTTCAAGTCCCATTCAAATCCTCTTTACATACACTGGACCCTCCACTTCCGTTCTTCCATATTTACTTACCTCAACCCATCCCGTCCTCAACCGATCTCGTGAAATAATTGAATAAGACGTCCCCCTCGGTGGTATTCCAATTCCATACCCAGTGACGGTAGTAAGTAAGTACTTCTCCCGGTACTAGTACTTCATGAATCCACATATTGACACAACGGAAGTACATATGTGAGTAAGTATATAACGAAACCCTAACGAAATCCACTTTAAACTTAAATGGAAGTTCCTGCACCATCTTATGTACCTACAGCTACACTTAGACGCGTCGACTTACCACCGGCTCCATAGATCATCATACTAGTAGCATCAAAGAGATACGTAGATGACCGGTATGTCATGTCTTTCTTTTCTCCTAGTAGCTAACTCAAAAAAAAAAAACTTCCAATCCTCCGTTTGGACTGTCACTCAGCCAGCAAGGTAGGAACTCTAGTAGAATTTAAAGCCAACTGGGAACCCCACACGCCGGTCCAGAATCTTAGCAATGAGATGCAGTACGTTACTACGTACACCAATTCTCCCATCCTCCACACCTTTTTTGAAGTCTAGACTGACATATATATATATTATTAACTCAGTCATCGTGCACGTTTCCCCCTCTCATAAGTACATAGAGTTTAGAATCGACATTTCCCCGCTTGTACTTACGTATATGTAGAACCCAATTTATTCCCAATAGTCAATCCCCGTCCGCGAAGCCTTATGAACGACCCAGTAATCCTCTGTCATAACTTAGTAATACGTTGCCCAAGCTTCGAACAAGGTTCACCGAAAAATGCGTGTCCGTGGTTAGATGTTCGGAAAACATTACTTACCCCAGGCCGGAGACTTTCAGGTCTATCATCTCGGATCAGGAGGTTTGCAGCAGTAGTACGCGTCAGCCTCTTAACACGGCATACAATCCCCAAGTCCTGGTATTATCAGGACCGGTAGACCAAGATCTCACACAACCCAGCGAAAGGAACAAAGCCATCCATATCCGAAATCCGTATCATGATTAGGCCTATCAAATTTTCCACTTGCTACAGGGCAATTGACACTAAGTAAAAAAAGAGTAAAGTACAAACTAAGGTAAGGTGGGTCACGAATCCAGAGGAGAGCCGTCGAAAGCCGAAAGAGTCGAAGAAAGCGAAGACGAAATCGGACCGAGATCAAAGAGATAGAACGAAGAGACGAGAATGAGCGAGGATGATGACTGGAAGACAGAAAAAGAAGATAAAAGACGGAACGAGAAGAGAGTGTAGACGTAATAGTAAGAAGTAGTAATAGTAAATGAAGAATGGATGTGTGGTTATATAGAACAACAAGGTATGAACGATGCGAGGGTATGTAGGATAGTAGATATATCATAACAGAAATTGAAGGGAAATAGAGGTAAACTTGGGATGTAAAACTAGTTAAGAATCTGGCTCCGAAGGAATAGACAACGGATAACATAAACACAGAAAAGGAAGCACGCAAAGAAAGCCCTTGAGGACAGTTCGATAATGTTTTCATCGAAAGGGAAAGGAGCGACAGGAACGGAGGGAACAGGCGAAGGCGGCAACCAAGGAACCGGGAAGCCAGGCGGATAGTGTAACCTCTGCCAGCTGAAAGCCGTGGGTATACACGAGGGGTAGTCGGTGTATAGGCGGGTGCGAGGGTGGGTACCAAGAGCCTGTGAAATGACAAGTGTCGTGGCCTGCCGTTCGCTGACGCGCTTCGTTGACCGTTCGACGGGGACGGGCCAAATTGACCAGGGGCGGAACCAATACAGGCATGCACACACGCCCCTGTCGTCAATTAGACATCCACGTCCACACGACAAACGGCGGCTTAACCAGAGTTGCCGGCACAGAGAAAACGGACAGAAACGTCCGCACGCATGTCAAGAGCCATCCAAGCGAACACTAAAGAGCGTGAACGCGAAAATTATAGAAGAAACATAGCCAAAAGGTTGACAGTGGGAGAAGGTCGAAATCGTTTTCCAAAGGCTTGCGAAAAACGAGGGCGAGGGTATGGGACAATGAAAGCCAGCTGAATACTGTAAGGAAAAGAGAAGGTGGGGTTTGGGAATGTTCGAGAAGAATGGTGACAGCCGTGACCGATATTCCAGGTTCGATATACTGTTTTCACTCCGGTGAGTCGTGTCGCGATCGGTTTCGTAAAGAGGTGAGTTTGGCGGGGTTCGCATGTGGCTCCAGAGGGGAAAGAGACGCGATCTTGACCAAATACGCCGACAAAAATGCGGGATTAAGGCTTCGCATATCCCCTCTAAACCAGTCGCATGTTCCGCAGATGTCCCTTTATGATTAGATCTTGAACTGTAAACGGTAATCCCAAACAAGTCAGAATCCACTAAAGCGTCCACTGCTAGACAAATAGACAGTGATACGTACCGCCTGAAATTATAAGTGCCGTTCTTCTCGTATCGGTTACTGCGGTGAAGTGGACTGAGCAACGGGGAGCAGTTAGATATCCGGCGGGGAGAAAAACGGTGACCTCGTCACTCACTGTGCAGTTCCCGCTCCTTATTAGGCGTATAGGATTGGTGAAGACCACCAAACTTGTTGCGGAAGTCTGAAGACGCCGAGGCTCGTCAAAATGGAACAACTTAACGGGTGTATCGCGAGTGACGTACACTTGGACACCGAATCGTAGTCGTTCGGTCTATCGCCATAGGAGACCATATGTTGGTTTAGCCTCACACCAGCGTCAAGCTTGGCCTAACCGTGTGTATTCAGTACTTTAGCACCAGGTTGCAGGTGACCATATTTGACATACCTGTAGAAGGTCGCATTTGTTCAAAAATAGAATGATGTTGACGTTGGCGAGGAGCTTGTTGGAAACCACGGACTTCCACAGGAGCAGGGAATCCTCTAATCGGTTTACGCGAGAATCCTAAAGGTATATGAGGGTCGTTGAGTAAAGAGAATGGGTGACAAGTCAGTCCACCGCACCTCTGTCAGGACCTAGAAGAATGGAATTAGCCTTGCCGAGCACACAAGGGACATGCAAGCAGACCCACCTGATCAAAGGCCGAGATAGGCGCAAGGAAGATGATAGCATCCACTAATCGTTCAACGTCATGAGTTAATTCAGAAGTCAGGAGTAAGACGAGCAGAGCGCGTACCGTTTTCGAAATAAGGAGCCCAGGCCTGTCTCTGGTTCCTCGCTCCCCCAACGTCATAAATTCGCCACTCTGACCCCTTGCTCGAACCCAAAGGGACGTGGAAAGTGTGTTCGACTACCCCCATAGTTTTCAGTCGCGCCTTCAGCACATCCGCTGTCGGAGAAACAACGCATTAGACCTTATTGAAAGGCAGGAGCATGCAAAGGGACCAACCGTCGGTCGGGATGTACTTCTTCGCTGTTATCCTCGGTATTTCATCGAGATAACTGTGAGGATGGTTAAATGAGTCCGAAGAGTAATTCAATCGGTGCTTACAATCCACTTGTCTCTTCCAACCGAATCCTCTTCTCGCTGAGGCGTTGTCTGACGTTACGATCTCGCCACAGCTCCATCATGGCAGGTGCGCAGGCGTTGAGAGCATGCACCGGGTCGTCAGGGTCTTCCCACCAACCCTCAATTTCGCCTGAATGAGCACTCTTCGGACTTTTGGAATTGCCACCAAGAGCGAAGGCCTTTTTCCAGTTGTTTCTCGGGTGGACTGCGACTTCCTTGCCGTGAGAGATGGTGCTGGTTATATTGACTTGTACTGAGCCGGTGGTTTGGGTCTTGCTGGGAATGACGATGGTCGGTCGTCCAGATGGCACTCGGCCGTTGACTAGAGGGGGCTGATTCTCGCTGCCGTTGTGTTGCTGTGCGTAATTATTCCAGCCCTGGGGACATGGACCCAAGCGAGTTGCCTCGTCTTCGTCCTGCGAAGAGAGCAAACGAATGAGGCGCTCTTCCAATTCGATCAACGGCTCCAATCGTCTTCGATAACTCTCATAATTAGGAACCCTTGTTCCCAAAATGGCTGAAGGGGGTCGACCGTCGGATGAGATGACAATTAGGGCGGGATCGGTTGACTCTAGCTCTTCGTGATCATCGAGGGTATCTGATTCTGGCGCCAAAGCCTCGAGAATCCTGTGCAGTTGGAATGAAGGAAACAGGAGACGCAATGAGTCCCGGAACCCATGCGAGGTAAGGTACGCATACCTTCTTATTGAGCGCACCAAATTTAGATAGATTACTGTCCTCCATGCGATCCTCTCAGCGTGAAAAGTCGCCGGTGAATGGAGAAGCTGGAATTCTGTCAAACAAGGCGTTGAGCGACATTCAGTGGCAAGGAATCTCGATCCGGGGAATAAGCGCCACCACCCAGCAGACTGTCCTCGTGAACTGGAAACTACAACAGCCTCCCCAGTAGCAGACAAATGAACCACACGATGGCGATAGCCTCCCGAAGTCGAAGGACGGCAACGAGTCGACACCATCGCGATAGAATGATTGCCTTATGGGGGTGCCGCGATAATGACCACAATGTCGGGAGCAACAACTGAATGGATTGAATAGGCTAACGCAGATGGACATAGACTTTCTTGGAGAAAGTTATAGCCGCTGCGCGGAGAGTTGGACGCAAGGGTGGCGGGCGATGAGAAGGAAAGTCAGAGACGATATACTCACGTTTGAGTGTAGTACTCTTGCCCGACTCTGACTGGCCCAGCAGCAGGACGCTCACTCCCGACTTTTTCTTCTCTGCCCGCTCTTGTCGAAGCATCTCGTCGATGTGCTCACTGACTTTGCGAGCATCTGCCTCAGCCTTGATTCTGTTCTCGCGTTCGATGGGGGACTCATTGGGCGGGGGTATGAGGGCGCGGGCGAGGGGGTCTGAAGTTGTGCGGCGGCGTCGATCTGTATTCTGCTTGAGCATTGGGGCAGACGATGAGGGGACAAGGAAAGGAGGGAACAAATGGTTGTTGGCTGAAATTAGCAAAATATAAGGGAACTGGCGCCCCTTGACAGGCTTTGAGCTCAGGGCTCCGAAGAAGCAATCAAGTTCGCGTGGGGATAACTGACGGCGACACGTGAACGGAAGTTTCCTCGCGGACCTTAAATCGCGATCGGCATCCAACCCCGTTTGTTGGCCAGGCAACTGTCTCCTTTTCGTCTCTGATCTCCAGTTGCTTGCGCCAGCCAGCCAGCCTCGACTCAGAACATATCTATGGTTGCAGAACGCCGAGCAAAACTTTCCTCAGTCCTGCTCTCTGCCCACGGTCTTGTCGCTTTAGTGGGTTTGTCCAGAATAGCGGACAAACCAACGTAATATGTCCAAAAGCATCCATGCCAACGTCTCGTCATATTGTCCATTTGTCCGTGCTTTCTGGGCCTTCGGACTCGTTATCTGCTCCATCTTCTGCCGAACACAGTCACAGACTGCGGCGTGACAAGCGCCTTTGCGACATATAAGGCTCGAATCTTAATGAAGGAATGTTCCAAAGCCCTGTCATATCTCGATTCGGGTTTAGGAGTGTCTATCCCACATGTATGGTCATTCTTCCACCTCTCACCCGTCCAGGGAAGCAATTAAGTAAGTATGCGTCCTTAGAGTTAAAAAAAGGTTCTTCTTCATTCCCCCACCTTTTCTCCGTTTCTCATGAGCTCACATCTCTCTCAAGACAAATATCCCAAGAGTCGGTATGTTCTAGCGCCGCCCCGAGCGTGTTGACCGTATTTCCGGAACTCCTGGACATCACCGACCCTTCTGAACACTTCTCCTGGATGGCTGCGGACCGTCTTATAAACCCTCCGCTCTTCAAGGCGACCTGCTTAACGCTGTCAAAAGACGCCCTAAACAAGAGCAAGAAAGGTATCCTCGTTCCTGGGTGGCTCCCGACTCGGACCAGTCGACAACTCATCGGGGAAAACCACCATTCGGAAGTTCAACACGTTGGGTTCCATCCAGACGTTCCATGGCCACGCTTCTTTCCATTTCCCTGACAAACCGGCCAGGCCTCGCTTGGACAAAAAAACATGTCCAAACCTGTGAATTGGCGTGCGTCGATTCGTCCACGATCCACCATTCCCCAATCCTGAACAGAGGCCACCCACAGTTGTCCACATCACATCCCGGCATCTCTCTGTAGATCGCCCAAGATAGCCTTGTTTTCGGAAGCTTTCTGCGACTCCCGTCTTTGAACCCTCCCCTGATACATCGAAATTCCTGGAAAGCAGCTTGAGCTCAGCAGCGCTGACCATCGACGGGCCTCCGTTTCAATTACGGCACCTTTCCATTACCGAAGCACCTTGTCTAGGTCGATTATTCTTAGTCCAGCGAACACTCCATATCACTGGCATCGGTGAGTCACACATATACCTCGTGGGTCTATCCCGTCCCCTTGAGTCCCGCTCCTTCTCACTATTCTTTCCTCCCCTCGAAAACCAGCGGAACAACCTCGTTAATAGGCCTCCCGGCAAGGGCCACGGCTACATGAAGTGCTTGGCTATATTCGACCAATCAGATCATGCAAATAACAACAAGGCCTGTCAGGCGTCAACACGAGTCCCACCGACAAAACATAGCCAGTGACCATCTTCCTGCATCAGTTGTGTTCTGCGTTTCGAAATCAAGAATCAAGATGTCGTCAAGCTACCAGAGGGGACGACAGATGCGACCCACAAGAACTACCCTTCTCTGTCACCAGCGGATTTCGTATATGTATAGCTTCGAGAGTGAGATGACGGGACTTGCACGAAACACTCAAGGTTCAGCGGCTCTCAGCCAGTCAATTGTCCCTCGACGGCTTGTACCCCTTGTTCTCTCGTGAGATTGCTGATATCATTCACCTTGCCGTGACTCGGAGGTGATGGATCACACCCTTTGAGTGTGGCGAAGCGATTAAGGTCAGTCCCCTTCTCACAGCGCCTCCGGTTTGATTCGTTTGCTGATACAAAACCGGTAGATAAAAACACTGGCTGGCCAGAGCGTACCGCTTTTTTGTCTCCCCGCACTTGTCTGTATACCACCCGGTTGTACTACAGCGGTTGAGACTCCCCTTCCACTCTTTTATACCTTTCCTTTCGTTCTCTTTGAAGTGTAATTTATTCACCTCTTCTGGTCTTTTTTCGACCCTTCAGCTTTCGAGATGGCGCCCAATGGTCTTTTATACCTGTCCTGGCGACAACGCACTGCTGCTTCAGAGGACAGCTCTCCTTCGGGTAAGTATTCCCTTATTTTCCTTGGTCTCATTGATCTATTGAAAATTGACTTGGCGCTATTGCTCCCTCGCCCAATTTACACATGGTCAATATGGTTCCGTCGATCCACATGTTTTCCGTTGGAACAGTATTCGGTCGCAAGTTTGCAAGACAAGAACCAGAGGATAGCGAACAGCCGAATAACGAGGCTGAGGCGCCAAAACTCCCGGACGACACACCTCCTCCAAACCCGATCCCTTCGTCGTAAGCATCTTATCACCCTGGTCTTTCTGTCGTCCTTCTGAACACTGACATCGCGGTTCTCTTTTGTTCGGTGCTCGTAACTCGTTGTATTCGTCTTCTGCTGTTCGATCCTTGACTCGACTTCGCCTTGGCTCGATGCAACGCTTGTCAGATCTTTACCCGAGGTGCCATCCACATCCATACCAACACCAACTTCCCAACAAACACCGACTGGTGACCAGGAAGGAAGCGGTGGGGGTGATTCCCCAGATGATAATGTCGAGACGCCACCCGTTACTACTCGCGACAGACAGGAGACATCGACTTCCCGAGATGAGGCCAATACACCACCTTCAAGCTCAGTGGTAGAAGATGTGCCTGAACAGTCAACACGGCCTCCTCGTCCTGGACCTGGACTGGGACTCATACCGAAGGTCCTAGACCCTGTCGTAACTGGGATTGTGCAACCGGTTGCCACTGGGATCGTAGAACCTGTTGTCGAGCCAGTTGCTAGCATTGTTCAGCCTGTCGTTAGCGTCGTGCAACCGGTTGTCGAGCCGATCGTCAGCATTGTCCAGCCGGTTGTGGATCCTGTCGTCTCTGGGATCGTCGAGCCTGTCGTTACTAGGATTGTGGAGCCAGTGGTTGAGCCTATCATAACCGGGATCGTCGCGCCCGTCGTATCTATTGTCGACCCGGTAGTCGAGCCAGTGGTAACCGGCATCGTCCAGCCCATCCTCGACCCAGTCGTGTCGATACTCCCAGTTCCCGACCCTTCTCCCACAATCCCTCGACCTGATTCCCCGCCTCCTGATGAAACAGCGACCCAAACCGTCCGACCAGGCTTTCCGCCTATTTTGCCAGGGATTATTACGCCCATCCTTGGACCCATTGTGACAGGAATTGTTGACCCTATTCTTGCGCCTATCACTTCTCGACTTGAGATACCCGGAACTATACCCTTACCCACCCCCGATCCCGGCGATAACCCATCACCTCCTCCTGCTCCACCTTCTCCTACCACTACGCGGGAACGCCCAGGACTGCCTGGGATCGTAACCCAAATCTTGGAACCGATTGTCACAGGGATAATCGCGCCCATCGTGACACCTATTTTACCGCAAAGACCTCCCCGAACAACTGTAGACATCCCACTTCCAACTCCACCGACCCTAATCCCGATTCCCATCCCAACTCCAAGCAGCCCTAATACCCCAGGACTCCCACCTCCTGATCCACCTCGTCCACCTCCACCCCCGCCTACTTCTCGTCCTTCTCCTCGACCAACCCCACCTCCGCCTCCGGCAACTACACTCCAACCTCCATCCAGACCAGATCCGGTCCCTACAGAGGCTGTTCCGCCCGGTCCAAGTAACACTCCAGGTCCCATCAACAACGGAGGTGCCCAACCCGGTGGTACAACCAGATCACGTATCGGGAACACGACTAATCGACCGTCTCTGCCGACATTGTGAGTACCCAGTCGAATCGATATCAATGATATGTCGGAGGGCTGACGATACTGGATCGAATCTTGTTGCGCCGTTTACTCTATCGTAGGGGTGCGGAAGCACTGAGTGTGTCGTAAGTACTGCTTTGCAACTTGTGAAACCAGTGGTTAGACGCTGACGCCCTATCGATGTGTGCTTTCTCTTCTTTTCTAGATCGGGGGATGTTACCGAGGTTTCGACTACTATTGTTGAGACGCGGACGAGCATCGGGGTGGTGACCACAGTTCGCGAGGGGCGGCCCATAACACTGTCTACGACGAGGATCGAAACAACCTCTAGGACCACTGTCACCACTGTTCCTAAGCCCACAGGCTCGGAGGAGGTCACGCCCATCAGCGGTAGTTCCAAGTGAGTTCCCGTCTCCCTTTCTTTTCCATATCACCTACTATATCTCAAATGGTGGATATCAAACTTGATCATTGGGTGGTGCTGACTGATGATCCTTTCTTGTTTTCAATGACATGTCAAACCCAGACGTGAAGGCCTTATCGGTGGTGTTATCGGCGCTATTATCGTACTCCTCGCCGGTATCCTCCTTGTTCTGTTCTTGCTACGCCGTCGAAAGCGGCGCAATGCAAAATTGGAACGGAACTTGTTCACGGAAACTGCCCTCCCACCGTCCTCCGTGGGCGGCGGTGTCGCGGTTCGGGATGTACGTGAAAAGGATCAAGAATTGCCTTTCCGTGACTCCAACCCGAATCCGAGTCGCGCCTTGTCTGCATTGTCCGGGTTATCAACGTTGCCGCTCCCGACTTTTGCTTCCTCTCCCGAGCCAAAGGCAGAGGAACGGCACACCACCTCCCAGGCTAGTAGCACTGTTGAGGACCCATTCTCAGATGCAAACGGTACTGGGAATGTAGGTGTTCCGGGCGATGCTAGCAGAGCCCTCCCCAACGGCCCACCATCGCATGAACATCTCGCCGCCAGCAGCGGCGGTGTCTCCGGTCATGCAGCAGCAGCGCTCTTTGCGGAAAACACCAAATCCCAACTGGCTCCTACACCCATCGGAAACTCTGTCCCCACCTTCGCTCCGAACTACAGCAATCCATTTGCCGACCCTTCACCTGGTTCTTCCGCCTCGAATTTCAGCACAGAGGGACCCAATCCCTTTGACGATCATACCATTCCAACAAAGTATATCACTTTGCACTTGGAGCCGGAGAACTTTGGGCGGTACTCGTTCTCCAGTCAGGGACATTCTACTTTGAGCCTTGGACATGGATCGATGAGGACCGACGACCCTCGTTCGAGGTCGTCGGAGAGCTTCAATACTTTGGTAAGTTCCCGGCGATAAGGCTCCCTTTGTCCCTGACGCACATGACTGACTGGTTTCTTTTCCAGGGATATGCCCTGTGATTTGACCCAACGGACACGATGATTGCTATACGCTTATACGTACTAAACTAGTACTAACGGACACTATTGCTTTGACGTGCTTTGCTTATGTATTTTGTAAACATGGACCTTGGCGTTTTCATCAAACCTCTTTGCGAGTGGTCCGGACTTATGACCGCTCGAGCCTTCGCTTCCGTTGATTTAGGCTTTGCAGATCCCTTCACCTCACCGACCGCCTGGTTCCCTCGTGCCTGTTGAGTTGTTGCGTTGTATTCGCGCTGAGTGCGGAATGAAAGTGGAATCTCGATGGTGTTGTGCCGGGAGCATTGGGCAATTTAATGAAGGGACAAAGGACTTAATTGCGTGGTGCACGGGACGCCCAAATGCTACCGCTTCTTGGGAGATGAATGCGCTCACAAGGGCTCCAAGCTGGCAAGCTCACGAAGGGTTCAAATGGAGTAGAAGACGAGTCCCAGGACAAAACGGAAAGGTTTACATTGAAGGACGAAAGCAAATCAGGTATTGCCCGCGATGATGGGGAATGGGTGTGCCTAAGAAAAAGAAGGCGAGCCGGGATCAGTAAACACAGCTGAGCGATGAGGATGGTTCTGCACATACCTCTGTATTGAACACGTATTCTAACATTTGCCAACCGTTAATATAAAAATCAGATACATCCAAAGAATTCGACTCACGATCCAAAGGAATCACACTCGAATCAGAGAACAGTAGGTAAAGATACTTCAGGGTTTCGCTCTATTGATACAAAGTACGAGGTCAAGAAACCGAACAGGTGGAGCGGTAATAGATGGTACTCACAAGGAAGAACGTCTCCATCTTGTTCTCCAACTCTGGAGGATTCTGATCTACATTGAGAACGGTCGCATAGCCCCCGGTTTCAACTCGACAGTGCTTCTCGATGGCTTGGAAGATCTGCCAGCCCTGTTCGCGGAATAGACTGTCTCCCGTAAGTCGATAGGCGATAAAGAGCGATTCGACTGTTTCCGGTCTGTGAACGACGTGTGAGATTGGTCAATGTGGACATTGACGACAACCCATATGGGCATCTCACCGAAGCATGTATCGAGCATCGTATGGCGGAGGTACTCCAGGCCTAGCACATCTTTGAGCAACATAAAACAGAAAACAAAGTGCCCGCTTACTGAGCTCCTCGAATATACCAGTCCGGCGGTGCAAATTCGTACGAATCCATCCCATCACTCGGTACCCTGAAATAGACGATCTCTGGAGACAGTCCGCTATAATAACTCTGTCAGATCATCCTCCAACAGAGGTTGTAACAGAGAAAGAACCAACGTTGCTGTTTCATGGGTTCTCATACATGTTCTGATCAACTCAAGACCAGTCTTCCAATCTCTCCATCCTTCTTCGGTGAGCTCTTCTTGACGGGGAGGTCGTGATACTGGTTCCACTCGGGCACGAGCTTTGACAGCGCCTAACATGAGCGAACCGCCTAGGAAGCATACAAGGTGGTCCTGCTTGGGAGTGAGCCTCCATTCGCTGCCATCGAAGTCAGTGATGTCGTCGGCCCTGGTAGTGAAGGGACATACTTTATCTGGCCCTCCGCATCTTCTTCCGGCCAGAGTTCGGAGGTATGGACCAAGTTGTTACCGGGGCTTCGTTGTATAAGGTATTGATCGACACCGTCCATGCTGTCGCGGTACATTTCTTGGTAAATATGCTCGGTATAGTTCTGAAATCTTGTAAGCTAGGAGTATTCGTGGAAGTGCTCCAAAAGAATCCTACAGTTTGAATAAATTGCTTCCTGCGCTTGGTTTAGCAAATGGATTTCGCGAGAATGGATTGGGGCACTTACAAGAGGTATTCGTAGTAAGAGTCCCCTCTGGATCCAAGGCTGATAGTGGAAGGGAGATAACGGCCTTCCTCGTAACTGAATGGACAGAGCAAAGAAACTCAGATGACGCTGTCCTGGCCAGAGGGTTACCACCGCTCACCTTAAGAACACGGAAGCAAGGTTATGAGGAAGTTTCGAAGATTTCAGCCTTTCCATAACTCCCTCTGCCACTCTCCAATAGTCCTGGTTCCCCGTCAAGTGGCTGAGATACTTGAATTCGAGTTGCAAAGTCCCAATTTCTGCCACACTGACGGTTCCAGGATAATCTTTGGTGTGGTAGCCTTGTCTTTCCAAGAGATTGACGTAGGGGAGAGGGAATCCCGAAGGACTGTCTTCAAATGCTGATAAAAGTCGGTCTCCAATGTCTTCAGCCTTTTCGAGGAACAGAGGATCGTTGCCTGAGAGGTGATAAGCTGAGAGAAGACCTCCCAGAACACGAATTGTGGTCTACGATGGCCAGGGACGTAAGCGAAATGTTGCATTCTGTCCCTTTAGGGTACGCTCACCTCAAAGGTGCTGTACGATCCCCGCTTATTGAAATCAAGAGAATTGGCAATCCAGTCTCGCGCCCGCGCGTATTCCTCTTGCAGACCCATAATTTGCAGAGTATCCAGAACGTCGATGATCATGTAGCCAATTCCTCCGTCTGGGCCAAGGTTGCTACCTTCCTTGCTGAGAGGATGGTATTCATCGCTGCCCATGGCGTCGCGTTCTATTCATTCAGACTGAGTAACAGCGACCTATGGACACTGCCAGGACGAACTTACCATATGCACCCCAAGCAAACTTGAAAGCTTTCACTACCGCGTCACGTTTTGGTTCGTCTGCAGGTAGCCAGGATATTGGTTCAGGTTGAGTGTTGGACGAGGTTTGGACGACTCCGTTGTGGTCAGAGAACCCTATCCATGCGTCAAAAAGGGCAACGAAGATATCTGGTTCCTATGGGCAAGTAAGTTAGTTCACGAACATTCCCTTTTGTTTTATAATAGCCAATGTGTACCAAATAGGCCGTCGCCAGCAAGCCAGCTAGAGCAGCGATCCATACAAGTCCTGTAGGGAACGAGGACGCTTCGGACGCTCGTGCATGATGACCATTGGCTTCAGCGCTTTTCTAAACAGGACGCGTCAATTAACATATTCGCTTTCAAGTGCAATCACGCACTACATTCTGAGCTTTAGGTGACTCCTTTCCCTGAGAACCCCTCCCTCCCTTCTGTCCCTTCCGTGTGCGAATGTTACCACTCATCAAGAGGGTCTACTGAGTTCCAAGTCGATCCAGTCGAGATTTCAAGTCTTCAGATAGTTTAAAGCTGATTTAAAGAACGTCAGAAATCGAAAATTGTCCAAGAGAACGTAGAGGTAAAGAAGCAAGATTGGATTTCCCTGTTGCACTGGCGCCGACATGATGGTGGACAGAGAGGATTTCGGGGTAATGATGCCATCACTTCTCCGAAATGCCAAGCCATCAAACGAGAGATCATGTTGGAAGTCGCGAGTTCAATCCTTTGACAATGCGCATTGCAATGAGGCTACATCCTGCCTTGACTAGGCGATACTACTCTACTTCTGGTGCAAGTTCTGGTGACTCTAAAACTACAAAATGATGCACTGGTGCGACGATTTATGCACTCGAGGGCTGCAAGCCAGTCAATCGAAAGCTATGCCTCCAGAAGGTGAAGGAACTAACCTTGGCCTGTGGTGCAGCCGCGCTGATGAGAGACAGGGGACATTCTTCGAATATTGCGATAAACTGTCGAAACCGCGGTTAGTCTCTGCTCGTCAACCCAAACCGATCAACTCTCACCTCGTCTCGACTTTTCAGTCTGCCATGGTCTACAGCTACTCTACTCGACGGACCAGGACAAGCCATCCTCAGAACCGGCTGGATGGTTGACTACACCCCATACGAGGCATGTCAGTTTCCGCAACACCGACCCCTCCGACTCGACCTTCGTACACTACAACTACTACTAAGGTAAGTTCTACCCCCCAGTCTACTCTACCAAGTGGTACGATGGAAACCCAGCAGTCTTCGAAAACGGCTGGAAGGATGACTACAACCACACCCCCTGGGGTTCAGGGAAGGGGTCGCGTCAGTTTCCGCATCACCGTCCCTCCTGCTCAGGCCCGTCAACTACGCTATGTATGATATGGGAAGGACCTGGGCTATCATCAAAACGGCTGGAAGGATGGCTACAACCCCAACCCCCTGGTTCAGGAGTGAGGTCGTGTCAGTTTCCGCATCACCATCTCTCCTGCCGGGGCTTCCTGTTACAAGCGGTGTATTCTACGGGGGTTGCTGTGCACAAGCGAGACGCGTGTGCCTGTGGTCGAGTGTCAATGACGGCCATAGTCATTGCGAAGGGCAGGTGGAAACATACGTATTCCTGCGCTCGGCTCGTTGGCGTTGTGTTCTGGGGCAGCCGTCACAAGGTGTCGAAGGCAGACCAGGTTGTGATCGCTGACTACCACCAAACATGTTGAGTGGCTGACTGTCGAGGTACCGAAGGGCAGACAGGGGACTGCGGTCAAGTCTGTAACACTATCGGAGCCAGACGCTCCCTGTCAGCTTCGCATAAAACACGAGGCGGGGTAGGACGAACCTGCGACAGGGGTTCATGGCACGAGGGATGCTCATGGGAGGGCGAGTGCGATGGTTTCATGATATGTCAAGACACTGCAGGAGAACGTCGTCAGTTCCAGCCGCGAGGACCATAAAGAGGTTAGTCGGAGGAACACACACCTTCACGGCGAGCATCGAGATGGCGAGCGAGAGCGTTAGCCCTGCGAGTATCGAGGAGCCACGCTCCGAAGGACAGGACGATGAGGATGCATAGACGCGAGGATGGTACGATGCGATGAGGGCATAACACAACGACAAAAACGCTGGATCGAAGACGATAGCGCTAAAGTCGAGCTGATGGTAGGCGATGGTAGGCAAAGAGGGAGAAGATGCCCTGAAGCCACTCAGCACACGAAGCATGGTTTATATACCTCCGGTACAACGTGGCTGACACAACTGAGTCAGTCAGGGGAAGACAAACAAGTTTCAGTGGCAAAGGAGAGTGACGACGATGAATCGATGACCACTGTCAGCCCTGCCTAGTGGGCCTAGCCACTGAGTCGTGTCAGCCCTGATCGATGATATTTCTCTCGGCCTGCTACAAAACCCACTTCAGTCTGCCGCAGAATGTCCAAAAAGAGCTCCGCTATAACTATCTACGTACATATACAACCTATCTGATACTTTCTTTGTTTGGTGACTAGGAAGAGTTCAAAGGTAACAAAAACCTAAACTTATAATGTACCACGAAAAAACCTAATAAGGGGGAAGGGAAAGCTACAATGTTGGGTTAACACGAATTAGGAAGCCCAGCCTCTGGCCAGAAATACTTATACAACTGCCGGACAAGGAAAGGGTCAAAGAAATACGCATACGATAGCATAAAATGCAACGTCGAAAGAAGCGAACGAAATATGCGTGTGCATCTGTGTGGTTATGGGGTTTACTAGTGCTACTAGTGTTGACTAACGTTCGTAGGCTCGTCGGTAGTTCAGGCCAAGATAAAACAATACACAAAGGTACTAGGGTCGTGAATGCAATAGTCATAACAACAAATGTAGGTTCGTGTGCGATGGATGGTTGAATGTGGTGTGCGATGGGATGGGATGATTAAATGCAAACAAAAAATGAAGATGTTCAACGAAATGAACAAACGAACGCAAAAGACGCGTCAAAAACAGGTCTCGATAGTCGCAAAGGACTAGAATCCAGACAATCAATATGCAGGCCGCATATAAGGAGAACCATATCCTCCCAATGTCGACGCTGCCCGCGAAGGAGGATGCGATCCTCCCTGACTCCCACCATTGTTCCCTCCCCCGACAACCGCGCTCCCCAACGACATCCACGCAGGGACATATGGAGAGCCAGGCGACATCGTATGATGTGAATGCATGGAATATGTCGAGTATCGCAGCTGCATCGCCGCCGAGGGTGCAGGAGAGGCCATCACACTGCCATGGGGAGTGGCCGTTCCGGGGTGGTGGTTGAACGGCATGCCAAGTGGGATCACAGGCGGTGAATGGTACCCACTCAGATCTTGGCCTGGCGATGGTACAAACCCCATCGACTCCAGTAAAGGTTTCAGCGGTACAACCGGCGAGTCCTTCCAGCCCTCCTCATCATACGAGGCATCGGAGTCAGAATCATTTCCATAATTCGAGCGTTTTTTGATCTTCCGCGCTTGATAATAGGCTGTGGGGGCGACGACGCGCTGAGGTGAAGGGTCGATCCAAGGTGAACTCCTCTCCTTTGTATTCGCCTTGTTCTGACTCCTGGTTGACACTTGCCGTTCCAGTCTGTCCATGAGAACAGGTGATAATGTGACAACAACTGTCAGCATGAATGTCGGCGAAATGAAATAAACGATCGGACGCACCCGTGCCATGAAAGGCCTTTCTCCAATTGTTCGCCCAATAGCACGATCAGGAACTGGTACTTGCTCTCCTCTGGAAGCTTGTCATCTTCCCTACTTGGAGAATGAGGCGGGCTTGAGTCTCGGCTGGAACGAGAAGACTTGCTGGAACGCGTCTCTGTCGAGCGGATGCTGGCGGAGGACTTTAGGATAGGTGTCAAGCCGGATCTAATCGCAGGAATGCGTGAGTTTACTGCTGTAGTAATGAAAGGGTAAACAAAGGTCACTGACGGCTCGGGATCGGATACGCCTGTATTTGGGGTGTTGGTGTCGGGAGGTGTGATTGCTTAGTGCAGAATGCAAGTGTCAGTGAACATGCTAGATGCCACCAAGCCATGGAGACTCACAAATGACTAGGGGTGTCGGCGCCGGGAGTTCGGCGGGTTGCTTGGCTTGTTCGTCGGATGCCTCGGGGGCTGCGATAGGGGAGTCTGAAGACACGTTGGTAAAGCGGCAGAAGGAGCAGCTGACGATCACGACTAACCTAGCTCGGAATAACTAGAGAGGATAATTCAGTCAGTTCACGGAGAGAACGGTGTTCGGAAGCAGAAAGGACCTACATGGAGAGTCTTGGATCAGGATTGGTGACAAGAAGCGGTACTGAAAGGAAAGTGAGATCAATTGTAGCTGAAACAAATCAACGATCACTTACATCGATTCCCTCTTGGAACACCCCGTATGTGTGTTAGGTATGGCAACGATATCACGCTGTCCGTAGCAGATCTAAATGAGCGCGCACGGTTAGTGATCTCCGAAGCATAGGAATAGCATCGTAAGAAGGACCTACGCAGGAGGTTCAGGCAACTTTGGGTCGAGTTCTAATCACACACAATGGCCAAAGTGGTGTGAGTTCGTGTATGGCCAAATGAAATGGGTGGACGCGACGCACCGGGCGTTGGTTCGGCTTCAGGGGTAGGAACGGGGAGCGGTTCTGGACGTGTCTTCTTGGTTGACTGGGGACTGCGGCTACGGTCGCGTTTTCGCGAGTTTCGACGAGATAGGGTGCTGCTGGCAACTGAGCTCGCCGAGCCTGCTCGCCTAAATTGCCGTGTGAGCTGCGAAACAACGACCCATGTGGTATAAACGCACCTGAACGCCTTGTAGTCCTTGTCAATCCTTTTGGCAACCCTTCGGAACTCATCATCGATTTCCTCAATCTCCTTCTCTGTCATAGCACCAGTTGTTAGTGTCGTGCACATATTGAATTACTGTCGGATAATATCAACCTTTTAGTGGGTTGTTCTGTGCGAAGATAGATGAGTTGGACAGTCCTGAGATATAGAAGAACGGAACATACATTCTTCCGCCTCCAAGTCATGTAGTAGTCGACGCATTTGCGATTACGATCCCAGGCAGTGACCGCGAACACGATAGCTCGAGAATCGTCTTCCGTCGTGGGCGCGCCCCGCAAGCCCGCAGCGTCACTATCCTGCTCTCTACAACATGTACCACGGTCAATGTAAGGGGTCACAACAAAGACAACCACGACGCACCCAAGATACTTGACAAAGAACGTCGACGCCTCCACGCCTGTGATAATCCTAACCTGCGCGTCGTCTCGCACGGCGATGCCCTCCAGAAAGTCTGGTGCACACTTTGCGTGGCGCACCCTGTCACCAGCAACTCCACGAAGAGGATCGTCCGGGTTGACGGTAGCGGTGCCTGTCGAAAAGTGGGTCGATCGGCTGAGGATGGAAGCCTTGTCGTCGCTGTCGCATGTTGATCTCCTCGTCTTGGGCGTCGAGGACGTTGGAGAGGGTTTCTGAGACGATTTCTTCTTGTCGCGGTCTGGGGTTCGTGATGGATGCAAACGAGGCGCGGAATGAGGCATAAGAAAATGACCCAAGAAATGTGATTAGGTGGAGAGAAAAGAGACAAGGGTGTTGAGGGTCGTTGGTACTATCGGTTGGCAAAGGGGTGGGAGCAAGGAGGCCTCACGGAGTCCTCAAGGCGATAATATAAGCTGCGGGGTATTGGTTATAGGTTATAGATAAAAAAAGAAGGGAAGAGGAAAGGGGTGGAGTGGCTTTGAGTTGCCAGGGAGAAGTCAGATTATAAGAAACCTGAAACGTTCAAGTCGGTATAATAAATGGCCCGCCCACAATCCCCTTTTCGTCCTAATTATATCCGTGATGATCCTTCCTTTGGCGCCCAAGCTGCCCAGATAATTGTTGCCCTCCACAGCTGCCTTCTTCTATCCCCGGACACCTCACCAAACCCTTCCAAGACGCACAAAGCGCTCGAGCCACGCCCCCGCCACGATGCCCACTCTCCTCACAGCAAAAAGAAATTAGCGAGTCAGGAGAAACCGCCAGCCCCACCAGCACTGTCAGCACAGCAGAAGAACACCGTAGAGGGGTCTAGAGAACCCGAAGTGTCCCAAGGTGTGGAGCTGTGCAAAAACATCAAAAGGGGGTATGCATCATCATTCTGCGAAACTCACTGAGTACGAGCTCGAAGCTCTGGCTGAATTCTCCGAGCTAACGACGCAGGGCTTAGAGAGGGACGACGAAAGAGGATCGTCATCCCAGTGGAGTTCTATTGGGAAGACTATCGGAGTCGAAGAAGACTAACAGAGATAGGCTGTATTATGGTGAGCCTCTTCGGATCCAACTTCCCCCGTAGATCCCCTGGGGTATAGGTATAGACATGAATCAATCGAGAAAGCCTTCATAAAACCTTTCGAGACCTTCCAAGTCGGACTTTTGACGTGAACGGTGCCTTGCCAGTTAGGAGCTCAGCTATACCAGGGCGCATAATCCACATCAAGGTCAAATGAAAGAACTGAATACCATCTTGAGATGTAGTGCAAGGGCAACTTCCGATCCAATAACTATTTTTCCTATAGGTGTGTACGCTGCAGTCCATCGCCGCTTTACTGGAGCACAAAAAATATACGGGAAGGCCTCACGCGCGGTCATTGTTCTCCGGACCCACAATACACCTACAACTCCTTCAATTGAGAACCTCGAGGGTATCCCGGTTGCCATGCTTGGTCGAAAAACAATGACTTCTCCAGGCTCGGAAAATAACCACAATAACCGCTATATCCGGCCTCGAGGGCCAGAACTAGAAGTTCTTTCGACACGAGGCCTACCACGAGGCGAGAAAGCTGTAAACGATCGATTGATTTCATCCTGAGCCTGAATCAAAGTTGCGGTATTGACGAGGCGGTGGGGATATCATCAAGCCTCCCGAACTAACCGAGCAAAACCCTATCATCGATGAAGGTATTTTAGGCGCTTAACAGCCTAAGTTGGGAGATGAAACTCTGGTTTTATTCCTGTGCATGTCAGCCACTCGACCACTCAGATTACTCGTGGTCGGGAACGTGTAGACGTCATCTTTGCAAGTCGATGGGGCATGAAAATTGTGTACGACCGGGCAGACAATGAGCGCTTGAGAATGAAACGACTCGTGCCCAAGTGTAGAATGGAAGCTTGCGTCCAGCCTCGTTGGCCAATGCGATTCATATTTATCTCGGGATAAAATTGTAGCCGGTCTGTGCTTCATAGAGATAATGTCGAATGCTCAAAGGCTATGTCAATCCCTCGGCCTTGCACCTGTCCTCGAGGAGCAGGCAGGCGTCATCCGATGTCAATGATACTTCTAACCTGTGTCACCTGCGGTGCCGAATGTCCACCGTATGCAAAAATACATAGACTAGACCCTTCAGCTATATCAACAGCCAACTCGACAACTATGCAGGCATCCGCCAGCCTAAAAATACCAAACGTCGACCACTCTGGCCCGGGCCAACATGATGGGCGCTTAAACCGTGCTTGGTCCACTTGCGCGAGCGCCTGAGGCTCGGGCCGACGGGCTTTCTAGATTCTTCTAACACACGATCCATTCAGTTTACCAAGGCCTATGTCTTCTGTTAATACAATCGTCTCGGTATTGAGTACAAGGTCACTACAAATCACTTCTAATCGTACAACCAACCCTTCAATAGGCATTCCAAATCGCCCAAGCAAAGCGCAAAGTCACGAATTCTAGCCATAAGTATAGCAGTAAGGCTCCCTTCGAATATCCATAGCATCCCGAAGCGTGACGTCCGGGATGAAATCAGCAAACGGAAGCTGGTAATCAAGCGTAACCATTCCATGAGGAGGGATGAGCGAAACAGGACCATTAATCTGGTACAACCTGTTGGAGAAGTCCGCTTTTTGCCATTCCCACCAGATTCGGTCTACACCAGCATGGTGAGGGAAGAAGATGGGATCTAATAATGTGAGGAAACGTAAATTTGATTTGTTGAAGGAGTGCGAGAAGAGGGATTCGAGCTACTCACCGTTGGGACTACTGTAGAAACTCGACATGTCACCACCAACAGCACCGTGTCCACCGTCATGAAGCCTCCAGTACGGGAAGAACGGCTGACCATCCATATTACTCCGCAAGCCATCATAAGTGGTTTGGCCGAGGAGGAACGCGATATTCGCAGCAGTCATCTGATCGCGTATCTCAGGCTCCGCAAAGTACCCTCTAACCAAACAATGGTCGCTGAAGCGCTTGCCCGGGCCAACGTGCATGATCGTGCCCGCAAAGTGCCCGCTGCCAACGCAGCCTTTGTAGAGCTCCCACATGGGAGGGTAGGTAGAGCCGTCTGAGTCGGTGGGTGGAGTGTAGGTTCCTTCGACGCCGTCACCGCCTAGGCCATAAATGGTGTCAAAGATGGGAGAGTCGTGGATACTGAGAGGGAGGTCGTCAATACCATTGCTATAGCCCTTTTATCAGGGAACGTACGGAGCAGTACCAGTGGTATCCCGGGTCCAGTCCCAGTAGGGGAACGGCCCACGGTATCCGCATACATTGCGAAGCGCTTGCTCATAAAGCCAGCCAAAGTGTCTGTGCCATGGCAAGAATTGACCCTGTGCCAAGAAGACACGACAATCGTCAGTAGCATGTCTCCGAAGATATGTAAATATCGACGTACAACACCGTGAATCTGCTCGGCGACCTGAACATGACTCCAAACGAACTCGTCATACCGAGTGAACTTGGGGTCCATGGTCGCATTAAGCGCTTGGGTGGACTGCAGGCACTTGACCGCGTTGATGTAGCGCAGCTTGTGTCGGTTGCTCAAATCGCGCCTTTGCATCCAATTAATTAGCAATGACGTCGTGAAAAGGGGCAATACGACGACGTACCATTCCTTTCGTACAGCAAGACGTCTGCAGCGTTTGGGGCGAGGGTGGTGATGACCATGACCATGACCTGGACCTGGACCACCTTGGATCTCGACCTCAGGCTCAGGCTCAACCTCGATGAACTCCTCAGCATCTGGGTCCAGAGACTCAACCTGAGGACTCGGAGCAGCAGCCACAAAAACCGCAAAGCAGAGCGCGACGAGGCAGTAAAAAGTGCGGGGAAGCATCTCAGGAGACGAAGAGACTCTCGAATCACCGAAGGCTCTGACCTTCCCCAAGATTCGACTTCCCTCCAGGTTATATCTGCGAAGCCTCAGGCAGTATGCCGTACAAGAGTCAGGGCTATCGATATCATTACGTCCTGTCACGACAAAAGGTCACATAACAATGGGAAAATGGACTATGCATTCCGCGATGGAGGCATATGACTGCGCGAGCCCCGAAATCGGTTCGAAAATGTGTTGCGGGGTGCCCGAGATATCGATTTTGGGCTGCATGAAGCCCACAGAGGACCTACAAATCGAGGCATCTTCGCTGCAGGAAGTGCGACTTGCCTTCAATCGGAATGCGTTGTAGTCGGCCGTGTCGCGGACGGCAGATGGGTGGCGTTGTGGAGGAAGAAAGGAAGGGAGGAAGTCCTTGGTACGAACGAGCATCCATTTTGATGTCAACTGGTGGAACAGCCACCTGTCCTTAATTACCTGTTAGGCGCTACTGAAATTCACATCTACAAATCCTAGTGTTGGGATCTCGCTCAAAGGGATGCATGAAGCGCGAGAATTGCTACAACCCCAGAAACCAAGAAATGCCCCTCGATTCCGACACTCTCGGAACCTGGGGAAGCCCTGCACCCCACGAGGGTACGAAGAGGACCCACACAAGCCACGAGATACGTTATTGAAAAGGACCGGCAGTTGACAAATATGTAACCCGCAAGCAAGGCCACCAGGCAGTTCTGTATCCCTGCATGCATTCAGTGGGAATGTCTCAACGCGCACATGATGCGCGCTTAGTCCGTTCGGAAATAATAAGCGCCCGCCACCACCCCGGCGGTACACCCGGGTTGAGATAGGAGAATCACCTACGCACGCAAAGAAAAGGGGAAACTCTGATACACCCAGACGGGAACTTGGAAATTTAAAAGACCCATTTTTACAGATCTAGACAGGCAGATAGAGGAACGTTCGGCGACTTTGTCTTAGCCAACAAAGCTATAACTACTCGATCATCGATACTAAGATTTAGTCGGTACCAATGAAGAAGACTTTAAGGCCTCATATCAGTGAACTTGGCATGGCAGGCTATACTATACCCTTGTAACTTCCAAATATCCATGAGACTGCAGTCCCTGTGAATTTCCAATGGCGATGTCCGGTACACACCAGCTCTCGCAGAGTCTTTCATGATCGTATCCGGACTCATCGGCAAAGTACTAACCTGCAGTAGCTATTATCACCATGATCTCTCCATTCCAGAACACCGCAACTCACATCCTCAGGCTAGCGCCCATCTCATCCGAAACCTCCAAAAGGTTGGCTTAAGCTTCCAAATAACAAAGACCTCCGGGATTAACCCCAGACAGTCAAGAAAAAATGACGAGCACACCCGGGAGTCGACGTCCAACCATATCGCAAGGCAGACACGAGGCTCGTACAGCAGCCTCTCGAAGAGTCCATGACGCAATCCAGTAAGCCTCTATGTCAGACAAGGATCCCAGCAGCCAAACAACCAGCCAGCCACCCCGGGACCGAGTCACCAGCACCAACGGTAAAGACAAGTCCACAAAACAAAGGTCATTCCATCATCCAAGTTATCGATGAAAGACAAGGCGCTGAAAACTTCATTAGCCAATCGTGCTTGTAGATAACATGGAATGGAAGCCTCGAAAGAGAAAAACGTGTTTGGAGCGTGTTCGAAGGCACTCATGTACAGTACCAAGTATTACTGGCGGCCGATTGTCCTCGGGTTTGGAATCGGACGAGGGGAGCCGGACGTCGAGTTGGATGAATCAGCGCAAGATTGGGGAGCAAGTAGTCGCCGTGGTTTATCGAGAAGGATTCATAACTTCCCCCACCAAGTATGTTCGAGAACACACCGAGACACTGCACGAGTAAGGTAACCCGGAAGTCAAAAGGAACCACACAGAAAGTGCAAATGTCCACGCAGAAAAGCCATCAAACAAAAAGGGGTCATCAGTATCATCGTAATCATCGTATCTAACACAAAAAAGGGTAAACCAGAAAACAAGCCATTAGGAAAAGTGGAACACAACAGCAACGGCGACAACGACAGCGTGAGCGTGAAAGAAGGATATCAGCGAAAGGGAAAGCCTTGAACAAAAGTAGTCAGTAGCCTTTGCCTAGTTGGTGGTTGGGGTATCTGGCAAGGTATAGACCTAGGTCTCCTATCGTCGTTGACAAGGTTTGGTGTACAGTTGGATATAGTTTGGTCTGTGAGTGGTAGGCGCACTCGGGAGGAGTCGGGCGAACACGAACGCGCAGATAGGTAGGCATGAAATAGGGGACAGGGGTTACGCGGGATGACGTAGACGCGTTCGAAGTCAAGTTGGTTAGACCTAAGGATGTCAATTAGGACGAGTGGACAAAATAAAAGGCAAGAGGAGGCGTAGAAGAAACGTACCAAACTAAGCTCCAAAGTCCACACACGTCTTGCCCATAGCTTGGCAGTGATAGCGGGTTTGTCACCAGCCGCCGGCAACTCTACATCCATCCCGTCCCACCAGCACTTTCTCTGTTCACCAGGGTCCAGGTCAGTCAGGTTCATGAGTGTCTCTGGGAGGTAAGGAAGTACGCACAGCAGGTTTCCGCCAGAATAGTAGCAGCTTTTGGGCGGTGGCCATTTGCTGGTAGTCGATCTCAGCGGGCTTCTCGCCGTTGGGGAAATGTTGGATTCCGGTTTTCAAGAGAACGAGGGCTATGGAGGATATGCAGCACCTGGAGGGTTCGAGTGCACGGTAGCCCCATTCGTCGTCCCGGTTGAAGCCACTGTCATCAAACAAGAGTGACCATCAGTATGGCACAGGGGCGGGTCGCTGACACAAACTCACCTCATACACAACATGTCAATAAGATGTTGCTCGGCAACGTTGTTCTCCTTATTCACATTCCTTTGTAGTGCCGTGAAGATATTCTTCCTGTCAATAAGATAATCCCCCGACCGTCTCTTGATGTCCAACAAAAACTCGTTGGCGATGCCGTTCTGGTCAGTCAACGGTTTCCCGTCATTAGGAGGAATAGAGAAGTACTCCAATTCCTCTCGGAGGACAATGATAGCCTGCTTCGAGAGGAGGGGGTTCTGCGAGCTCGTTGGTCCAAAATCTGCGGAAGAGTCTAGGAGGTGTTGTTGAGCGCTCAGCAGGCCGGGGGATTTGGCGTTGCCGTAGAACGTCTCGGACGCGTTGCGGAAGAAGTCGAGCACGAATTGGAAGCAGTCGGGGTCGAACTGGTTGGTTTAAGGTTGAGGAAATAAAATGTGAGAGACGTCCGAAGGAAGAATTAGAACGCGAATTCACGTACGTCAACGCCATAGATTTCCTCCTCGTCCTCGTCGCCTCCGCCATCCGACAGTGCCACACTCTGTCTGCTCAAGACCAGCCCGTTGGGGAAGAGACAGAGGAGGACCGACTCTGGCAAGTTCATAATCGTATCACGGTCGACATCGAATCTTCTGCCACGGAGGTCGAGCAACAGGCGAGTGAGAAGCTGGGGTTGGAGGTTGGTCTGGACTGGGGTCTGGGACACCTGGGTAATCGGTGAATTGTTGATTTGGGCCATCGTCTAGGGACTTGAGGATGGCTTGGGGAAGCGGGGAACGACGTCGAGAAGGGGTTGGAGGATGGCGGTCGCAACGAGGCACGACGAGGGTGGGATCAGCGGCGCAACACAAACCAAACAACGCCATGCAGTCTTTGAATTTGATGCCGCTGTCTTTAGTCCTCTCTATTTCTCTAAAGTCGAGACTTGGAGCAATTCAATTCAGTATACGATCGATCTGAGACCTTTCTCTCATCCACACTGAATGCACCACGGCCGCCTGGCTTCCCTTGAAATGGCTTATATTCTGCTCTCGATGCCCATGAACCCCAGGGTGAACAGTGACTAGCACCAGACGCTGGTCTCGATGTCTACTCGACTGGACTTTGGGTGAGTACAATCCCTTTGCACCCACCAAACCGCACTAATCAGACAATCTCAGCTTCATCCTCGCCGGTTCCTACCTAAACACCGCAGTCTTCACCCTGGAGCTAGTCCTGCTCTGGAATTATGCCAATACTAAAGCCTTTAAACGAGACCCCAAGCTCGTCAGAATACCCGTGTTAGTGACGTTCCTAGTCGACATAGTCGGTATGGTGGGGGTGATTGCATGGGTCATAAAGGTATGTTCGAGTCCTTTCCAAAGTCCGCCCCTGAACTGAGCGTTTACCGCCGCGTAGTACCTCTTCAATCGTGGAAGTAAGCACCTTTCAACTAAAAGAGGGCTCAGCCAATCTGATATATCTCCTAGTTGGCCCCCCAGGGCGTGCAATACCCTGGCCCATCCCTCTCGTAGCAATCACGACAGTGATCAACGCCTTCCTCGTCCAGTGCTTCATGATACGGCGATACTACAAATTGTGCGTCGCTCCTTATCTTCTTTCGAATCTGCTATTGAACGATATATCTCCAATCCAGCTCGCGGTTCAAGGCACTAGCCATCTTGTTGTTCGTGCTGACCATCGCTTCGGTAAGCTCGTCCCTTATTTATAGCTTGCTCATGAAATCTTACACCAATTTTTCCCCCCTTTTAGTTTGCCATCCTCATCGCAGGAGCCGGAATATCCTTCACTCTAACAAAAGACTACGCGAAAAATAAAGAGCGACACAGAATCCCAGTGCTGTAATTCACCCCCTTCTTCCTTCGCCATCCACATCTCTTACACACATCCACAGTGTCGGCCTAGGCTTAACGTCCATAACGGACCTAGCAATCGCAGGCCTTCTAATTGTCAAGCTCTGGAGCTCCAATTTCCACTCACACCGGATGCGTATGTGAGTATCTTTTACATAGGCTCTGCGCTCTGTTTTATTTTCGTGTGCTCACTGAAAAACTCGCAGCCTCGTCAAGCGCTTGACAATCCTCGCAATCCAAACCGGTTGCGCACCTACCATCGTCGTCATAACGTGCCTAGTCGCATTCTGGGTTAAACCAGAATCATCCAGTACGTCGGTTTTCCTCATCCAACCCACTTTACCCAACATTCTGGCTTTCCGGTGTCCACGTCCCTTTTTTCTCCCTGTGCATTAGTAACACTGGTCCTAACCCCGTGCCTCCCTTGCCCAGTTGCACCAGCATTCGCCATGTCCCTCGGCAGCATCTACACCACCACAATGCTCTTCACGCTCAACAGACGCAACTACCTCCGCAGCTCAACCTCAACCATCCACTCCGTGAACGACACCCACATGATCAGGAACATCACATTCGAGGGTACCCGCGTCAGCGCCTCCCCAGATCCACGCTCCCACCTATCCGCATTCACCTCCAAAACATCCGACTCGAGTAAAAGTAAAAGTCGAAGCAGGTCCAGCGTATTCGCGAAACAGAAGAACAACAGGGCTACGCGCGTCCGTTCGAATTCGTTGTCGAAGCGGCTGGGTGGGATACATGTGGAAGTTGCCCGAACGAGGGTGACAAACGATATCTGGACAGCGACGGGGACGCTTTCGTCCTCTGTTTCTGCGCCTTTATCCGACGAGGAAATTGACGATGAGGATGACGACGAAGATGGAGACTCGGATAGCGAGAGAGATTCGGAAGAAGACTACCTGTCCCTGGAGCGACGCCAAAAGATGGACGAGGAGAGTCAGACACGACGGCAGGACGAAGATCAAGACGAGGGGGACAGTTTCGAAGAAATCGAGTTGCAAGATCAGACGAGGAGTCGGAGAGGACCGAGACCTGGGTCGTTGGACGAAGTTGAAGCTACCATTGATATACCGAACGCACCGCAAAGACCGGCGCCTGTTGTTCATCGTAGTACTATTCATCCTAGCACGGCAAGTACTAGCTCTGCAGGCGCTGCGCAGCCTGCTCAATATAACCCTTTCGGACACTAAAGTCAGTTGATGCCCTCATTTCTTCCTCTATCATGTCCATTGAACGTCGCTTTTGCGCCGAGGTACGAGCGCCCTCTGACAACCGGAGGACAGGACTATCTACCCAGAAAGACATGGAATAACGAGTGCTCGAATACTATCTGCACTGAGGGAGACACGACCTGAACAATTACCACCACAAAAGAAATGAAAGGCCGTAGAAGCGGGGTAAACGGTAAGCAAGAAACCAAAACGTCGTTGACCAAAACAAGACCCGAGACCACGACTCCCGACGCAAGAAGAGTTATCAACCGTTGCACGCTGATGATGAGGGCAAAAAAAGCATGTCGTCATTATATACTGTACGAGTGGTTGAATGGATGGGATGGGAGGAAGATCGGGCAAGAAGAAATAAATGTGAACTAAACAAAAAAATAACGAGTGCATCATGGTCAAAAGTCTCTCAAGTCTCAGGTAGGCGGGGGGTAATCGGAGGGGGGTAAGGTAGTAAAGGGGATAGGTAAGGGTATGCTCGCGTGTAGAAGCTAAAGAAAAAACGTCAAACGTAACGTACTTGAGAAAGATACTGCCAACAGTCAAAAAAGGGAAGAAAAGAAAGTGAAGTAAAGATAAATGAGAAAGAAATAACCACAGGAGATCGTACTAGAGAGAGGAAAGAGGAAAACTAGGTCCATGCGAGTGTAATGCTTGACTTAAGATAATAGATACTTGCGTTCCGTAAGAGAGAAAAAGACGTGTGGAATGATTTAATTACCACCAAAATTAGTCTGAGGAGGTGCAGCACCCGGGGGAAGCGTGAAAGCAGTCGAGTTGCGAGAGTACCGGTTCGTTTGTGGTGCTTGCGAGGTCGGCCGTCGACCAGCTGGTCTCGAAACACGTCGGACACCATCAGGACCCGGGACAGGACCGTTATCCGTCAACCCAACACCCCGGCGAGACATTGACATGCGTGGATCGTCTTCAGTGTTTGCGTAGGGTTGGAATTCTTCGTTGCTCGTGGGGGAGGTCGTGTGAGATCGGAATGGGTTGTTGGGATCTGGAGGACTAGATCGTTGAGAGCGGCTGTGCGCGGTTGTCGTGGACGTGGATTCTAGGCTGTCGCTATAATGATCGGGCACCATTGGCGTTGAAATGAGTCTCTGGTTGGAATTGGAGGCAGCATCCGAATAATAGTGGTCCTCGCTCGAACGAGACATGCCCACCGAGGGAGTCGAGGACATGAGCTGGCGGTTGGCAGAAAGGGGTGCAGGGAGCATCAAGAGGGTATTGCTGTCATGTCGTGCTCGCGTTGGAACAGACGAGTAGTTGCTCGAATCAGCCGTGCTGGTACCGTCCATTGGCGGAGGCATCGGGACTTCAGCGTTGGACGTAAGAGAGTACCTGTAGTTCCTACGGTTGATATGAGCATGTAACTAGAGAGAGCATCGAACAAAGACTTACTGTTTCTCGCCGTAATTTGAATCCCTCGACTGCATGGCCTTCCTCCACAACCTCTCCCTCTCGAACTCGGCCCATTTCTTCATGACAATATGGGTAGAGTCAAACTCTCCGAGTTTATCACCATGATCATCACCAGTATCTCCCTGGACTTTACGCGTCTGACCCCAAGAGAAGTCGTCCATATGCCAGAAGGAGTAAGCAGGCAAGACACCGTTCCAAATCGGCAGCGAAACAAAGTAGACCATCATCCATCCAAGGTATGCAATCTTGCGAGAGGTGACCACGATCAGCAGACCGGGCAAACCAAGAACGATGGCAAGAAGGATAAGCGGAATGGTGTTCTGTGATCCGCTCTTGACGATCGAGTCGACGATGAGGTAAATGGTAAACGAGATAGCGGCGGGAAGTACGAGGGTACCTGCCAACTCCATTCCAACAACGAACTGCATCGAGAAGCAGAAAGTACCGCAAAGATCACGGACCAACACCAACTCGGCAAGATTGTGGACAGTGGAGTTGATCCATCGACGGCGTTGGGAGAGAAGCACGCGGAAGGTGTCCGGGACGATGGTCTTGCAGACGGCTTGAGGGCAGAACATGTTCTTGCGCTTGGGGAACGTCTTCAGCATCAGCGTGGTGAGGTATCGATCTTCTCCGAGAAGCAGCAAGTTCTTCTTGTGAAGGGTATCAACCACGTTCTCCGAGTAGTGCTCCACGATGTCGGGATTGGCGAGAATGGGAACCCAATAGCCCTTGTCTCCCTTGGGCGCCTTGATCCGGTACATACTGAAACAACCGGGCAAACAGGTTACACCACCGAACATAGACTCGAAAGCCTTGGTCATATGATGCGAAATGTAGTATTCGAACACTGCAAATGGGTGTCAACAAAAAGGAGAAAAACGATTTTTATAAACGTACCTTGCATCATAGTCACGAAAGTCTCTGCCTTGTTCGCAATCTTTGTCTCTCCACAAAGACCCATAATCTCCTCGTCACACACCATACAACTAACCATACGCGTCAACGAATCCGGGAAGACCTTCGTATCAGCGTCCACACACAGCACCAGTTCATACCGATCCGGGCTGACACCAGTGACCCTCCATATCGAATTGAAGAACTCGTATTCGAAAGTCGTCATCCGTTCATCGAACATGACCTTCTGCAAGAAAGCCATCAAGACGATTTGACTGTCTCGTTTGCCACGGTTACCTGGCTTGGCCTCATTGGCTTCCAACGGGTTTCCAGTCTTGGCAACGAGAACGACGGGGACGCGCTGCTGTTTGCTGGGCTCGACGGTTCGGGGATCGTAGTCGTAGAATCCTGCGTAAACCTTGGCCATGTTGTGTCGCTTGTGGCCGTCGGCGATAGCAACATACGAATGCGCTTCGACTTCCTCCGGCGGGATAACAAACTCCTTCATCATGCTCAGCACGATCTCCGGTGTCAGCATGTCGTTGCCATCACCCTTGACCATACCGTCCGCAATGACGAGAATGAGCTTGTGACTGTTGGGGTAGTCCGTGGTTGCTAGCGAATCGAGTGTGGTGCGAAGACCTTCGACGGATTCGGAATAGGCTGTTACGAGGCAGATGGTGTGTGCAAGAGGGAAGTTGAAGGGTTCGTAGTCGGGTGGTGGTTGAGGAACGACATTGTGGAGGGGGAATGGGCAGGTATTGTCTGTGAATCCGCCGCGGGAGTCGACAAGTGACATGGTGCTCCTTGAATTTCGACTGGGGGAATCTGGAGGTGTTCCTTTGCCGCCCTTTGCAGAGTAGACAGTCGTCCTTCTGGAGTCCAACTTGCCGTAAGCAGTCATGGGTCTAGCCTTGAAGGCACTGTCCGATGGCGTGAAACGCGAGATGTTGGGGAGGAAGGTCTTGCGGCTCGATTTCACTTTCTCTGCGTCGGGTCTCCATCCTCCAGCTGGTGCCGAGTGAATGTTGTCCGACCATTTTTCGATAGCGTTTGACCGGGCCATTCGCTCTTCGTAAGTTTCGCGAGGGAAGTTTCCTAATCTCCACGAGAAGAACCACTGGAAGAGGACGGCCATGACGAAACGGATGGCGACGACACCAATAATGAAGACAAGGGAGAGGTAAAGCACAACCTGGGAGGCGACGCATCCAATACTGTTGGTGTCGATGAAACCAATCGTGACGAGGTCTGTCAGACACTGTGCAACAGCCTTCTGCTTTGTCCGGATGAAGTACATGGTGAGGTCCTTGCCCTGGTATGTGCTGTTCCCCACTTTCAGATCGTCAAAGACGTCAGGATAGTTGACTTGAGCACGGCTCAACCAATTCAGAAGGTTGAGATCAAGGACGTTCCTAGGGAAATGCATCAGAACCCGGGCGAAAGAATGAAAGAAGGCACGTACGATTCGTAAACGGCGAGATTCCGGCGAGTGTTCTTCACATCCTCCCAGGTATAGTACACCTGACCCAACCTCTTCATGCCCGACAACATGTTTTTCGTCTGTGGTGATACATGGCAGTTGGTTGGATTCTCGTAGCCGGTCAAGTTCGCTCCTCCAGAACCAGTTTGAGGATGGATGTTGCATGGGAAATACCAATCCAGGAAGTTGCCCTGTCCAGTGATACTCGAACTCGGTGCTTTCGTCACTATGGAGTAGCACTTGTCGTTGACTTTTTGAAAGAGGAAAGATGCGTCGTTTCCGCCGAGATTCCAGTCGCCTTCAAGAAGAGGGTTGGATGAACCATTGAACACTGTCGGTGTGGGTGGATGCCGGAAGTTGCTAAAGTCGTAGGTGTAACCGTGAATGACAACCGAGCCATTGCTGATGTGATCGTCACCGATAGCACCTCCATGGAACCTAGTCGGAGGGGTGCCACACACACTCTTGGTGAATCCGAAAGTGAGGAAACCGACACCTGCCATAAGGAGCAGGATCAAGCTAACTAGGCCCATCTTCTCCCTCCATGCTCGCTGTGCTTCAGGTGTGCGAATACCTGGTTCCGTGCATCATGCATAAATAGCTAATCACCCAACTCGATTTAAAGACTCACCGCAAACACTGAGCAAAAAGTTGGGCATCCAGAATGTAACAATCAGGCAATAAGTCATCCATGGACCTCCTGGACCCGGTCCCTTCCAGCATCCACGTTTTGGTTTTGGGGCGTCAGGAGGAGGAGCGGCTGCAGCGGCCTTTTTCCGCCGTAGTGTTTGTGCCCGTCTGAAGATATTCAGGCCCGACTCGTTGACGTCGCCTTCCTCTCTGGCAAGTAACGACCTCCCTCGACGTAGCGTGTCGCGCTGTGAATGCTGCTGAGTCTGGTGGTGATGCGGATAGTTGCCCGTTCCTGTTGACAGCGCATTATTCGGGTGTCGTTCAAAGGCATGATTAGGAGAAACTTACTCGAAGGCTGCACGCCGAAGCTGGCGTTCCCCTCCTGCTCTAATTGAGCGACATGATTTCGGTAGTGGAACTGCCGGTGATGAGGATCGATTTTCTCCCTGTCAGGCCGCACCAAGCTCTTCTTCCTGTACATCTTGGATGGATCCTGGTAATCGCCCCCTTCCAAATCGTCGTTGCGGTACGCTGACGGCATGCTCCTCTGGCCTCGTGCCTGGTCTACCGGTGCATGTCTGTCACCAAGCTCCACATTCTGGAAGGATACGTTCGCGTGCGGTAGTTGGTGCTGCCGACTTGCGTACTGTTGTTGCTGATCGAACGGTGTTGCTGGCGAATTGGTAGGCTGGGCAGATTGGCGAGCTGCTGGGTTTGGTCGCGCTGCGCGAGGTGGCCGCTGGTCACCCCTCTGAGACGGATTCATGGGTGTTGCTCTCTGTTGAGAGACTTTGAGCTAGTGTACAAGAGTTACAAAAGAGATGATGGCGGACTGGGTGAAAGGGGCGTGGGTGGACGCCAAAGGGCGTTCTAGTTGGAGGAAAAGAGGCGTCGCCGCTGTTGGAGACGACGGGGGCGGCTCGGAGGGACGACGCTCGTTGCAGGCGACGACGACGGCAAAAGGTGCCTGGACGCTGCTGGAAGTGTTGGGTTGGAGAGGCCAAGCGGCTGAGATTCAACTTGTTTGCCACTTGTGCCAAGCACAAATTCCGATTTGGCCTGTTTCCGGTCAAATTTTATTCCCGCCGTTGGTCGTTTGGTCCTACAGTCGGACCCGTCTTAAGTCATAAGGGGAAAAGTCATAACCTCCCAAAAATCATAGGTTTTGGGATCCACCGACTCGGTACGCGGGGAAAATGGTAAAAAAAGTCATAACCTGTAGAAATTCATAAGTCATAGCAATTTTGGCAGGAAAAAGTCATAATTTTACCATAATTTACCCTCTTTTCGGACATTTTCTTCCGATATTCGATCCTGAATAAGGGTAAATCTCGTTGATGGGACAGGGAATTCGGCCTCTCGTTCACTTTTCCCTCCATCTCGACAGTCCATCTGACTCCATCACTCAGTTTCTAACTTGGGAACCGCCCCCTAACACCTCTACTTCAACTCGGTCAGGTAGAGAACATCCTCAGACATCCACACGATGCTAATAAATGCTCGCAGATGGACTTCTCGTCAACTAACTGCAATTTGAGCAGAGAGGGGACGGATATTAGCATGCCAAGAGACAGAAGCACAGCCACGGAAGAACACGAAAAGTCATAACCTCCCAAAAATCATAGCTCTAGCCCTCCACCGAAGGGTATGATTTATGACGGGTCCGACTGTATCCAGTCCTTGCTCCTCGCTTCGACCAAATTTGAATCCATTTCTTCGTGGCATGATGCACGAGCGACGACCTCGATGTTCTCTGGCGGTCCTGAACAGCGCCGGCGTCGCTGTGGACCCTGGACGGTCTTAGGAATCCCGCCGCCAGCCCGCTCAGCGCTGCTTGGCGCAATAAACAAACTGTACAGCCTCAAACAGGGGTTCTGGAAGCGCGTCTGCACGAAGAGAATCCAACTGACAAGGGAGATCGTCCGTGACAGCGACTTCTATCCCCGCACTGGCACATTCCTCGTGGTTCATGGCCAGGACGATCTTGCTCGGACCTCAGTGCAATAAACGAACGGATCTCTGGAGAGGCAACTCTCCTGCCTGCTTGCACCCTTGTCATCATGCCTCGATACCTTCTGCCAGCCTCTGATGAAAGGAATGGAAACTCTGGGTAATATACTCCGCCATGGAGGTACGCCACAGCTCCCTATCGCAGCCATGCCATTCGATGCTGTGCCAATTCGTTTTTGTGACATATTGCCTAGGAGTTGTGAATTCCAATTGATCTTCAATCCCTTGAAAATGTTTTATCTTCCTCAAGGAACGTTCGCTGGTGTTCAATCAAAATTCGAGATGCCGACATATACCCGAAACACCTTTTCCAATCCCACTCGCTGGCCACGAAAAAATGCACTGCATATTGACTTCTAAGAACAGACCATCTATCGCATCTTCGACAGCCCCGCGAACACTACCACCAAGGTCCGACCAGCTCGAAAATGCTAAGCAGCTCCAACTTCGCCTGCTTCCAAAACATCAGCCTTCCTTGATTCCACCACCATGCCGTAAACTCACCTTTCCAGGCTCACTTCCTCCCAAAAGTATCACTCCAAAATCTGGTCCGAACCCGATGCCTCATGGGTTCCCCTCCACCCATCTATGATGTTGTTGACCACCCCTCGTCGGCAGCAGTCCCCATACAGTGCGTCATCACCGTCATCTATTTCTCGAAACCCTCATTAGAAGGTCCATTTCGTACATATGTATTTCCCAAGCAATTCCTCAGCGCCGTATGTACATGAAGGGCCAATCACGCCGGAATCAAAGTACACTCTCGCAGCAACTGACGTATTGTTTTCATCTCAGGTTCATGACACTGATGTCAAACTGTCAATTTCGGGCGCCGAGGCGCTACATTCACTCTGCGCTCGAAGTTCGACCAAATACTCCGCACTTCCTGGGGAATTCAAGGGCTACTGTTATCCATGTAGGGTCACAACCAAGATGGCATCACCGAGTGACCCAACGCCCATGTGTTCCCCGTGTCTAGAGCAACTGATGCAATCCACTAGGTTACCTACACACTTATGACCCCATGTAGCGAGAAAGTCAGCACTGGGTAGAGTGAAATCAGCACCACGTCCTAGACGCACCAAATCAAGCTGTCCGGGGCCTCCAAACATGCGCGATGTCACAGGACCCTCTGGCGCGCTTCCCCAACCCGCGGTGAGAGGAGCCAGCGACATTCGCCACGGGACCTACATACGGTGGCACCACGCCGCGTGCTCGAACTATGTTGGGGTGCCAGGCAAGTACCAGGCTCGTCATTGTAAGTAGGGAAAACTGCCGCTTTGTTTTCCTTCTTTTCGTCCCAGACGCAATCGACTTTTTAAAGCAAGTAAGTAATAAAACCAATTCCATAACGCCCTTATCGCTGTTGACAGGATGCAGCCACGAGTTTTTGTCTGCCCTGAAAGTGGAGTACAGCGCGCATTGCGCAAGGAATAGAAAAAGGAAACAAGCGCCCTTCCGAAAGCGCTCACGCAGGGTTCCAGGGTGTATAATTATAAGTTGCCCGAGTTGGCCGGTTCAGGTGTCGTTCAACGAAGGGTCCGTCGGGAATAACGGACTTGCCCTGAACCGGTCGATGAATTCAACTGGCAGGAGACAGGGCATCCAAAAGTTCAAATGAGCGCGTTCGAATAACAGAGAGAGGAAAAGAGAGAAAAGATAGCATTCGTATCCGTAATGTAGTCTTCTATCCTATTTACACATCACCACCAACCACACAAAAGAAGGAAACAATAGCTAAGCAAGTCTATGTACTACTAAAACACAGACTGAAAGGTATAAGAAGGAAAGAAGAGGTCGTCCAGCTCGACTGGACCAAGTTAAAGGTGACCAAGGCATGTAAGGCAACCAAGATGTGGAAGAAAAACCGAGGTACGGAAAGGCATCCCAAGGTATAGAAAGAAAAACCAAGGCACGCAAAAGAAAAGTAAGCAAGGAAAGAGGAAAGAAGGCAACGTGAAAACGTAAGTAAAAAAGTTCGTTCATTCATTCAATTCGTTAGTTCGATAGCTGTAGCTGGTATAGTAATAGGTACGTGATCACATCAAATGTCATGTCCTAGGAATAGTCCTTAGGGTGGTGGCAGGTGGGTCGGAATTGAAAAGAAAGCAAGTGCAAGAGACGAGAGAGGAAAGGGGATAGCAAGGGGGTTAGAGGAGAGATAGAAAAACGAGATATCGCAAAACCACATAAAAAGAACACTGTTACAAGAAAGCTTCAGCTTGGAGATTCCAAATCCTGGCATACTCTCCATCCTGTTTCAACAGACTCTCGTGGGTACCAGCTTCGATGATAACTCCATGATTGATATACCTTTGACAATATCAGTAACCCTGTAGAACAAGTAAAGTAGAAAGGAGAGGGGAACATACAAAATCAAATCAGCATTCCTCGTCAACTTGCCGAATCTATGCGACGAGAAAATCATAGTCTTGTTGCCTCTCAATTCGCGTAACCGTTCAAAAAGGTCTGTAACAACACCAATCAGTAACCCCCAACCTCCAACCGAACATTGAATGAAGAAAAAACACGCACCATGCTCAGCAGTAGGATCCAAACTAGCCGAAGGCTCATCAAACAGCAACAACCCAACAGTCGTCTCATTCGCCAACAAACTCCTCATAAACGTCCTCGACAACGCAACCCTCTGCATCTGACCTCCACTCAACGCATTCTTCCCCTCCGATAACCCCCGCCCAGCGCGCTTGCCGCCAAACTTGCGCAGCTTGCTGTGACTCACGGCGCGGCCAAAGAGCTTGGACATACCAATCGGGAGGTTGCTGTAGATGTCGTGCACGGGTCGTTCAAGGTACGAGTTGTACCCGTCGGGGAGCTTTTCGATGAATTCGGAGGCGCCGCCGAGGCGCGCGGCTTCTTTGATGCGGTCGATGTCGGAGGCGTGGATGGGGTCGCCGTAGCCGATGTTTTCGCCGAGCTTTGAGGAATTTGTTAGACATTGTGGGACTGTCAGAGGGGAAAAGAGCACGTACTGTCAATGGGAAGAGAGTATAATCCTGGAACAAGACGGAGGTGGCGCGTCGGAGGTCTTCGAGCTTGATGGTTCGGATATCGAGACCGTTGAGGAGGATTTGGCCTTCGGTAGGATCGTAAAGACGCGACGCAAGTTTCAAGAGCGTGCTCTTTCCAGAGCCGTTGTCACCAACAAGGACCTAAACCGACAAAAAACGCGTCAGTACACCTTCAAACGAAGATACGAATGAACTACATACGCAAAGCTGACCAGCCTCGATCTTGAACGAAACGTTCTCCAAAACGGGTACATCAAGACCGGGATACCTGAAGGACACGTTCCTGAATTCAAGCTCCACACCCTGCGCGATCCTAGCCTGGTCCTCAGGGAACGGAATCTGCCCATCCTTCAACCTATTCGGAACGAGCGCGCTATCATACAACTTGCGCACACTCTGGAGCTTCTCGGCAATCGTCGTGGTTTGCTCAACCAAATCGATAAGCGACGCGCTGAAGGATTGAACGGTGGAGCTGACGAGTTGGTGGGAGGTGAGGGAGATAGGGATGGACGCGGGGTACTGGGCAGCGCGGAGGCAGAAGACGACGCGGGGGAGTTCGCTGAGGGGTGCTTGGATAAAGTTGATGAGAACTTGGACTTGGCGGGTGCGTTGGAAGTATTCATCCCAGAAGTCTGTGACCTTGTCGCCGAGCTTTTCCATACGCTTCTTAAATTCTGGTTGGGACTGTGAGGAATGGCTAGGGTAGCGTAGAGGGAAAGCAACTTACGATACCACAGGTAATCCCTCATGCCTCCGGCAACGAGCTCCTTCCTGTAGAGAGTCGAACTGACAACGCGCTTCAAGCCCTCGCTGGTGATGTAATCCTTGTTCTCGGTGGTGGCAGCCCAGACTGTTCAGAGCCATTAGACAAAAAGGTTCAACATGTGGGCCTCTGAATCACGTACTTCCACGTCTCTCCAACATGCCGCGGTATTTGCCATACCACTCGATGACGAGCTGGGCGCAAGCAAGCATGAGCATCAAATTTCCATCCTGCTGGTCCTCCAAAACCTTGGTGAGGACGTAAACCTCGCTGACGAGCCGGATACCCGCGCTACCGATCTTGAGGAAAGTCGCGACGACGTCCCAAGCGATACTCGAACGTGTCGAATGCGAAACCGATTGCTGCAGTTGTTGTTGAATGAGATCGTCTTCAAACGTAGGCAAATCCAAGCGAGCCATAGCCCAAAAGGTTCGCAGAGAATAGTAGCGCTTGATTCGTAGGTTGAGCGGGATTGCCACGCGACTCTGGACATACTGGAAGAGACGTGTTGCAATAGTCGTAATGCAGCGGCCGATAGCTATCCGAATGAGAAAGTATTTGTCGACTTGTCGTTTCTCTACAGCCAGCTCGACCTAGGGAAAAAAAAATTAGAGTTTTGAACGCGTCGAAAAAAGGCAGACATGGCCACTCACCACTTGGAGAAGCTGACCCGAGTACCAGACGGTCAAGGCAGGGAGGAGAGAGAGACCGAGTTCGAGAGCGAGGTAGAGGGAGAGATAGAACATGCATCCTTTAATGTTTGCAATGTCCTTGAGCATGCGCCAGACGTAGGGCAGCGAGTCTGTGGTCTCCCATAGGGTTTCGAGGTTTGAAACCAGGGGAATGTACATCTTTTTGGTGGCGACATCTTCATAGAGATCCCAGACGCCGACTTTGGAGTGTTCTACACTGGACGAGTCCTCGGGATTGAATGATTTTCGAGACATGAATGCTCATCAAGGTCGTGAAGCGTCGTAAAGTTCAACTTGGAACGCCCAGCACGACACCGTGTTCGTTTCCGTAAAAGGAGATAATCCCAGTTTGGCCCGGTTTTGATGTCATGCCGTTTTGGGACTACGTGTTCAACAGACGCTGGACCTTTTTTCCTCGTCGTATCGACTGGTGGATACCGTGGAGCTTGTTTTTTCAATGCTCCGAGTTACAGAAAATTTATAGACTGGAAAAAGAGAGTCTCCGTGCTGCCTGGCACATTCGAGAATTGCTAAGGCTTGGTCCGAATCGGCTTGGACTCCGGGGACTTGGCCGAAGCAAGGAGCTTCCTGGTCCAACGCGCTCCTCCTGCGTCGTTGCCCTCTGCAACTCCCAAAACCCACCCTAATTTCTTGCGAATGGTCGATGAAACACCTAAACCCGCTGTAAGTCTCGGTGTTATCTCCAGACTCGAGATCCCAGGGGACTCATCTCGGATAACGGGGCCTATGACGACGTTGCTGGACTCATTAGCACACGACGGAACCGGAAGAGACTCATCCTCAGTCGAGTCGAAAGACGGTGGTGAGAAGGAGGAAGAAACCAGTTGGAACTGGGATGTGGGCTTGCGATGTCGATGGGTGCACGAAGCAGTTTGCTCGGGAAGCTGATTTGAAGAGACACAGAAAAACGACTAGAGCTCATTCCATTGCAAGCTTGTAGGTTGTATTTGACTTTGAGAACATTGTAGAGCTCATGGACTCTTCAGTGCATGTCCTCATTGTAATGCTACCTTCACACGGGTATGCACTCCCCTTCTCGTGTGCTCGAAGGTGGACTGATGATCTCGCAGGCAGACGCCCAAAGACGACACCAAAAGTCGAGGTACGTTCCCTTCGGATCTCTATCCCAACATACAGTTCACTGAATTCTCTATAGGCATAGCGACGATCTACCAGCTGAACCGCCTAGCAGTAAAGATCCACCCGCAAAGCCCTCCCCAAAGGCCAAACCACCAGCGATGAGCTGCCCCCCTGAACCTCGCCCTGTAGGCACAGGCAACAACAACTACTACCGTGCTCACACGGCAGAAATAACTCCCAGTACGCTCCATCCTCTCCTTCCCCTCTCATCGAGTCCACTAACCCTCGCTTCAGACCCCGAAGTCACTGAAAGAGCCTTATCCGTCGCCCCAGGCCAATCCTCCTCCTCCAATCCCCATTACACCCCCTCCCCACACTACCGCCAACCCACGACGGAACCTAAACCAGAGACCCGCAAATCCCGGAGGACTCGGTCGTCTGCGAAAGCCTCTGCCCTTGGTTCGGGATCGGGCGCGACCTCCATTTCCACCACCGCCAGAAGGAATGCAGCGAAATCTAAACGGGGCTCGTCCGTACCTGTACCTTCGCTACCACCCCTCAGCGCGACATCTACCACTGTCACTGCTGTATCGGCCTCGGCGTCAACGTCTGGATCTACATCTCTATCGGAGAGTTCACCAAGACCTTCTCCGAGTCCTATCTCCCCTCTCCGGGTCCACCACCCCCAGGAGAACAACTTCAACGGCATACTACACGCATCGAGCTCCAGCTCAAACCAGAACTCGAGCTCGAACTCGAATCTACCCATCATCATCGATCCGAGCGTCACACTACCCATAAACCCGGATCTAGGCTCCATAGAGGAGGAAATCGACCTCCTCGCTCATACCAATATGAATAATGGATCTCTAATAGGCTCCTCAATGCCATTGTCAATGGAGTATTCCTCCAAATACTCACCTTTCCACCATCAACAACGAGGCCACCATCTTCCACCAGGGATGGACGTCATGCTGGTAGACGTGGACTCGATATCAGACGGTCATGATCCAGAGGACGATATGGCGGATCTCAACTCGGACTCCGTCACCCAATGGGGTGAGGTGAAAGGCAAGGAAGGGTTGAACGGGGATGTAAATGGGGCTCGGGACAGGGATAGGAGCGTGATGCCTGGCGGGCCCGGAGATGGCTTGCTACGCGACTATTCGGGCTCCCTGCAACCCGATACCACTATCGACCAACTCTTTGGCCATGATGGAGAATCAATGCTCCATTCAGGTGAGTACATCGTTTATCGCCCGTCGTCCAGCACGTAGGACCATTGCTAATTACAACACGTTAGACTTCCTCTTGGAGAACCCCATATACGATCCGGGGCCAACATAGAGCCTCAACTCCCCACGAATCAAGAAACGAATTGTCAACATTTCATGAAACCGACCATCAATATATCCTATGCTGTCCTAATTCCCTCGCTGCTTTCCACCGCTTTGCTTTCGCTTTCGAATTTATCTTGCACGTAACATATGACATCGCATATCCTATCGCACTATCTCGGGGACGGTGTCCGAGGCTACCTGGATCTATCGGGAGGGCTAGCTTCGGCATCATTACCTTCACAAGCAACATCTCGTCCCAAATGAACAAGACAAGAAACTAGTCGTAACTTCCAAGCCACATCTAATCCCTTCCAACAGCATTATTCACCACCACCCTTTCATCTTTCATATGCATATCTCATTCTCAATTTCACAACATACGTAACATGTACCATCATCGACATCACAACGCATTCTGTACCTCACCCACCCAAACCACAATCACAACATGTAAATCCTCCATTCACCTAAATCAATCTATAACAACAACACCTACTCCTCTAAAGAAAAAAGCAAGAAAAAAGATTCAATTCCAGCCGCATACAAATAACAAGCGCAACATCACAAGGGACACTAAAGGGGGTGAACACAGTAGTAAAGAGTCACTTCCGTCGCAGCCCAAAGTACTTATGATACCATTGGGGAAAAAAAAACTTGTTGAAAGCGGGGCCACGACGCCGATGGTCACCATTATCTGCACGCACCAGCACAACCACGATCGCCTCACACCACGGGAGAGGTTGGTGAGGAAGATGGGTGCACTGGGGGGTTTTCACTGGCTATTCCCCTGTTGAAAGGGGGTAATGGAATCTTTTGCGGTCTTCTCCTTTGAGGGTTTTACAAGATTTGGACCTTGGGCCACTTGTATTGAGGGCCGACCTAGGAGAAGCGTGCCAATCAATATTCCATCCTCCAAAGAATGAGAGACCGGCTCACCTGTTGGACACACATAGAACCCATCTTATGTCCAGCCTCGACAGCCTCATCGAGGGTCTTGCCAGCCACAAGCGCACCAATGAACCCACCCGCAAACGCATCACCAGCACCATTCGTATCCACAATCTCCTCATCGCTCAACTTGGTCACAGGGTACCACTTGGGCTCATCAGGCTTATCAGAGGTGACGACCACAGTCGACTCGGCGCCCTGGGTGAACACGACGATACGGGGGCGCGAGGCGTTGGTCTTGGGTAGGGCGGCGATGGTTTTGGCGACGGCGGCGAGGTCTTTGGGGTTGGATAGGCCGTTGGCGCTGCCCCAGGTCTCGGCCTCGGCTTCGTTACCGATGAGGATGTCGGTGTGGGGGAGGATTTGTTGCAGTTGGGCACCGAAGAATTGAGGGATGAAGGGCGCGGAGAGGTTGAGGATGAAGGTCTATTGTTGGGTCGTTATCCACATGTGGACACCGAGATGGAGAAATCATTCCTTCTTTTAGCGGGTATGGCTGGGATAGGGAGTGGTTGATTACATACCTTGCCTGCGTTGGCGGCCTTGCTGCTCAGCTCGAGTGCAGAAGCGGTTCCATGGGTGAGGAAGTATCCCTCAACGTAGAAGAACTTGGCGGCATCGATCAAAGGAGCGACAGCAGGCGACGAGAGATGGCTCTGGTCGAACTTTTCAGCAGCTCGCAAATCAGTGACGAGCGATCTATTCGACATCGCTTCGTTAGTCCCTCCATTGGCTGGAATGAAAGAAATGAAAAACATACCGGTGGTGTCCGGTGATAACGACAGCGCAAGCGCCAGTCTTCTCGCCAGCCTTGACTTGGTAGACCTCGTCCAAGCCTTCGCGCTTGTTGGCGATTTTGAGCTGCTCAGCGAGATCGTCGTCACCGACGCAGCCGGTGTAGACGACGGATCCGGGAGGGAGGACGTACTATAAATCATACGCACTACCATCAGCATCAAGAACACTTTTCAGATATGTTATACTGGACGTACGGCAGCACCACGAGCAGCGTTCTGGGCAGCACCTCCAGCAACGTAGGTGATATCAGGGTTTTGCTTCACATCATCGTAGCTATCCGCCAACTGTGGTCAGAATTCCACGAACATCATCCTCGTATATCCAGAATACACACATGGAAGCATGCTTAGCCTCAGCAAGGATAGCATCGTTGGCCTTCAACTCGTACTTTTCCAACAAAGCCTCGCCGTTCCTGACTTGCATGTCGAGCAAGGGGTTGCCCATGCAGAAGAGCTGGTACGATGGGGTGGCCATTTTTTTCTCGGATTCTACGATTGAGGAGGTGGGGATTTTTAGATATGCAGGAGGAATGGACACTTGAGTAGGACAACCCTTGTGAAGCGTTTTTAGGTGGAGGATATAATCGGATTTGAGGTTATCTATGACACCACTTGTCATCGATCGATTCAAACTGTAATCTTATCTTATCTCATCTGCCGGGCGCTAGTTGAGGGCTTGGCGCTAATGCCCACCGCATTGCATGCTCGGGAGACAGAGCAACCGCGAATTCAGAATTGCGCGTATGCAAAGGAGAAATGCAGGGAAGCAGGTAATGTACAGAGGATGCTATAGTCTATAAATACACCCCGGGAGCTGTTCAGTGAATGTGCTTCTCAGCCTCTTTGAACATCTCGGGCGTCGGGAACTGCGATTTCTCGAACCGGTCCTTCAATTCGTCGATCGGCGTTTGCAGGAAGGAAGCCACAGAGACGATGGGGTCATTAGGAGTCGCGAATTCAGGGTCAGGTCTATCATAAGAGCCAAACAACGTCAGATTCCCAATACGTTAGTAGACGATTGGAAGTACTTAGACTACTCACAAAGCAGGCGCAAACTTCCTTGTCTGGACGAACTTTTCGGCAGCACGCCTACTCGCGTCCGGACCGAGAGCATCTTCAAGCATGGGAATGTCATTGGACGCCTCCCTATCCATCTGCTTCTCGATCGTGCTCATGATACTGTTGAACTCCCGCTCGTACCGGTCTGTACCGGGTTTCATGCCGTCCAGATTATACAGATGCTTTTTCAGTTCCTGCCCAAATTGGTTCGGAGTTCCTCGGCATGGAAGGGGTCGATGGTACCCACAATAGAGTCCTTTCTGTCCATGTCAGCGAATTTCTTCCCTTGACCTCCCAGGAACTCTTCGAGGAGGGGGTACAAGACTATTTCTTCTCCAACGTTGTACCGGGCGATAGCCCAGGTCAGCTGGTTACCCCAACGTGCCTGCTTATCGTCGTTCCCGACATGCCTACGGAACTCGTCTGCGTATACCAGGATCTAAGGAGGATGGTCTATCCCATTAACGTCCGAGTCTAAACCGACGCAGTAGGAAGACTTACGTCGTCCTGGTCCGACATAATGGCTTCAGCCAAAGAATAGTCCGTCGCAGTCGCGAACTTCCTTCTAGCTGCGTTGACTAAGGAGGGTAAGGAGGTAACGTTGGGTCTGGTGTGGATATCTCGCTTGATGGTTGCAAAGACCCCAGGTTTGGGTGCAGTTCGAACCGCAGTGCGAAAGGCGGGCAGGCTGGCTCGAGGGATGATAATCATGAACGACATGGTGATCGTTGTGCTTGTTGTGAGGACTGAGTGGAATGGGTTGAGAAATAGAAACGACGGCGAGCTTATGACCAGGTTTAAGTCATGTTTCGCCAACTCCACCTGTCGCAGAAGGAAAGCAGCTCCCTGTGCCCCTGTCCCAGTCTAATAATGGGAGGTCCCCTAAACCAAAACCAGTTCATTCCAATGATCATTCGACCATTCACTTGAGATTCACGAACTACAACGGGAACCTCATCGACAAATTCGTAAGAACCCGCATAGGCCCTTCACGATACGTATCCTGCGTAATCTCAATATCGCCAAAATCCGTCGAAGGGAAGGTGTACAGGGCAGGCGAGTCAGCGGTGTATTGAGGCCAATTTGGGCGGTCGTTGTCATCGTCATCATCGCCGTTGAAACTGTCATCGAGGTTGGGGTCGTAGTTGTTCGCGAATTGGATGACGTAGTCGTTCAGGAGGTCTAAATAAAGGTCGGAGGCGTGGAACTGGCACTCGCGAGTTAGGATTTAGAGACAGGGTAAAGGCGAGGGGGACGTACAGAGCCCAGGATGGGGAGGTACTTCAACCTTCTCGACACTGCAGGGAAAATACCGTCAATTCACATCCCGGCGGAACCACCGTGACAGCACTCACGATACGACCAAATGGGCTGCTTCCCAGCTTGCTCTTGCAAGAAATACCTCCTCGGGGCTTGGAAGACCGCGTCTCCCTGAAACGCTGCCATCCTCTTATACTGTGGTGTAATCGCACTAACGAAGGAAGTGTTGAATGGCGACCCGTCTGCTGGGTCTGAGGGGTAGGCGCCCCAGAGTGGCTCCAAATCCTCATCTGAGGCGCCTGGAAGCCAGAGGTCGCTCACGTATGAGCGGAACTCCTCGTCGGTACTGCGTTAATGGATGTTATCATAGGGCATATGACCATTGGAGGGAAATGAACTCAACGTTATGTTCTTAGTCGACTGAGCGAACACTGTTCCTTCGTCATCGACGTCTCCTGAGACCATGGGGATGTGGAGGACTTTGTCCTGTTGGACGAGGTGCTGAGGATGGGCCGTCAGGAACGTGCCATCTGCTCGAGGCGACCAGGCGAGTGCCAATGACTGTCGCCCCGCTGTTGTCAACACAACTAGACCTCATGTGCGAGAGAAAGCTAACCTGATACGCGAAGAGCCCGGGAGATTGGTTGATGGCGTCCGTCAGGTTGGCGAGAGGAGCTGAGCGGAGGCAGGACAGTGTATCGTCCTGTCCGTAGCATCCCGTCCTATTGACCAAGTCGTTGTAATAAATCTGATTCACAAAGTCGAATCAGTCCACAGTGACCATACAGATTGTCGGTGACGTACTTGACCACCCGTTATGTTGCCAACAGGGATGGGAGACCCGGATTGCATGAAAGCAGCGTGGAACAAGTCTTCGTCTCGTCCATCGTAGGCGACCATCTGGAGACTTGCGGAAATGGCGCCAGCAGATTGGCCCCAGAGCGTCACATGAGAGCTGTTGCCTCCGAATGCCCCGATGTACCGCTTGACCCAGCGTAATGCCTCGCGTTCTGAGGGCAATTGAGCTCAGAGTTTCACGGGGAATATAAAGTAAATAATAGACTTACGGTCATGCAATCCAATGTTCCCAACCCCCTCGTTTTGAACTTCTTGACTTGCGATGAAGCCGAATGCATTCATGCTGGGATTCAGCACTGTCAGCCAAGGCTCCTCGCAGATGGGACGAAGAGAGTGTACCGGTAGTTCATTGATACAAGAACGATGGGTTTACCAATCGCAACTGATCGTTGAACGAGGGTGGTAGTGAGGTCGTCATATCTGCATTGTCGATGTGAGCTATTAGAACGTAGGGCACCGAGGCGAAATGACTGACCCAATGGTGGACCCTCCTTCGAATCCACCTCCATAGATCCACTAGTATATGGAACACGTTTAACCACTTTATGAAGCGATATCCGGATATCCAGAAACGTACAACGAGGACTGGATGCGAGCTATTGGTGTCTGCATTGGGCCTGATTACATTCACAGTCAGGCCTGAAACAAATCATCAGAGCGGTCTCCAGCATCCGGCGGAGGTATGCAGCCTTACAGTCTTCAGATTGAGGTGTCGTGGGGTCGTCATCCCCGATGATGTCGCCGGCAATGGAAGCGACCACGCTGACAAGACTCGTGGATGAGGAAGAGTTTTGGTTGATACATGTATAGCCGTAACTGGAGGCGTCGAAGCTCTGGTTGTAAGACGAGATGTTCACAGGCAGTCTAAAGCGGAGGTCCCCGATCCTACAGTGACCGTAACGCTTGAGTTCTCACAGCTTTCGTAAAGGGACTCGAGAACGTACGGCACTTGTGCGTACGGGATACCCAGAAACTTGTCGACAGTGTCATTTCGTACTCCTGTAACATTGATTTGGTCAAGTGTGACGGTTGGAGCCTGGGCCACGGCAAGAGCCAGGAAAGACAAAGAGGTTAGAGAAAACGAGAGTAGGCGCATAGAGATCGAGGTTAGTTCCAAGGCTGAGCTGGACGACGCTGTGGATGGTATGATAGAGCGTCGGGGCGAATGGGGTAAGTATACTCCACAGAAGCAGCCATGTCAGCGCAGCACCAGATGGCTCCTATCCAGAGTCTGAGACCAGAGAAACAGTCAAAGAGAACAGGCAGAATGAAAGTTAGATACGAAGTTCCATGAGTTCAAGTTGCGGAACGCGACCGTCGGAAGTTCGGCTAAGGTCGAAACTTCGGCGTGGTACAGTTGACCTTCCATTTCAATCCGTGACACATTTCGGGCACCAGAGGCCTCATAATGGGCTATTTCAGCAAAAGTGGATAGAAAGGAGAAAGAAACGCGTTTCCGTCGAAGGAGGAGTCGCCGGCATTGATGCCGAAGTGATGTGACTTTCTATATTTGGTGTAAACTGTATAGTTCCCAGCCACCGAAACCGGCGCGAAAGTTTGGAGTCGAGAAAGACGTCGACGACCTCCAAGACCGCCTGCTCACCATGTCCCAAGATCTCCAGTGGCTCCTCCTCCGCGTACGTCGACGTCCACAACGATCCCCATGACCAAAACTAACGTGCCATGTCGTAGAAAAGCAACTCCTTCGTCGTCAAGGGAGTTCCTGGTGGACCTACCTTCTCCAGGGAGCCGGTTAGTCTCGCTCGTGTCCCAGTCGGTCCTTGCGAGCAGGGTTCATGATTAAAATGGTCAACAGGGTAACCTCCGAAACCTCCACTCCTTCAAATACTCTGGTCTCGCTAACGCCAAGGTCGGTTTTATTTGATTCAAAAATTCTGGGATCTAGGGCAGAGTTTGACTTGGGAATGAATTTGTAGACCATCGACGTTTCGGACTCTGGATCGGGCATCGTGATCTCCACCCGCAAGACCAAGGCTTCCCCTCACGCCGTTTCCAAGGCATACGCAAAGACCAACATCCGCCAACGATCAGGAGGCCGTCGCGCACTCGGTGTTGCTGCATCAGTTGTGAAGAAGGGCTACCGACCTGACCTCCGTGCTGTGAGTGTCATTCAGGACACTCTGTTGTGTTTCTTTTGCTCTTTTCTTCGCCAAACCCGTTATTTTTGGAAAAACGCACTCTCGTTAGAACCCACTGGATCCACCTCACGGTGAATGAAGGCTGGGCGTGGACATGTTTGCAAGATGAAGCCAACTCCGTTGCAGGCCGATCAAACCTCTGCGGAGTGTCACCTGTCGCTATCGACCCCCGTTACCTCCATAGCGGAAGGTCGACTCTATGGTGCCGACATTTTTTAAAACCATTCGACTCGTTTCTCCTGGCTTTACTTGCAATTCGAAATGAGCGGTTACTGACCACGATCTCTGATAATAGGCCGCCCTCGCCCGTGTCTCTGCTCTCCTTGCCGCCCAAAAAGAACCCAAGCCCTCACCACCCAAGAAGGTTCGAGGCAAGAAGGCCAAGGCAGCTGAGAACTAACTAAATACTTTCCTCCTTCCGCTATGCACACGACTATGATCATGCTTATGGCTATGAGCAATGATATGTATTTTTGCCACGCATCTTCGAAGAGCTCTAGTTTGAGGCAAACGTGCCCTCGGTGTGTCCATCGATCAAGATTGTCATCATGGATTGTCCAGTCCCACAAAGGCTGCGAGCTACTAATAATACAGATTGGTTACGTTGCGATTGTCGATACCACATGCTTCATCACGACCTAGAGACCGAGTCCCTTGCCGGCGGGTTGACTGATACGTTGGCCAGTGAAGGACTTGAAGTTGTTCATAACATCACGAGTAGGTCGAGTGGACTCGGCCTTTGAGTGTGCATACTCTTTCACCTTCTTATCGTTGTGATCGCGTTTCTTCTTGGGCGCATCGTCCTCATCGGATTCCTCTCGCGCGCCTTCCTCGCCCTCTCCTTTGTTCACAGTGGGTGTCTTGTCTGCGGTGTCCCTGTCGTGATTGCAAGGTTAGACTTGGGTGATAAGGTTCGGGAAAGGGATCGGACATACTCTTTGGGCAGAGCTTTGGGCCTGGCAGCTGCGGAGTGTCTGCGACCTCCGACCTTTACTGCGAACGCGCGATGAGAATATCAGCATCTAGCCCCTGTGGCTATCTGCACGCGAGGGTGAACTCACCAGCGGGAATGTGTTGCGCAAGTGGGTTCTCAACCATGGTGGACTAGGTGGAGGTACTAGAATAAGACACAGATGGGACTAGGGGATGGGGGGCTGGATAGTGAAGACGGTGGGGGTGAATGGATGCTCTGAGAGAACTACCGGAGTCTCAAAGCAGGTGTCCTTCTTAAATAGCCAGTCGAAGACCGGTCACGCTCAGGTGATGGGTTGACCCTGTTGGATCAATAGATAGGGGGTGGCATGTGATGTTTGTCTAAGGAGTCAAGGAGCGCGTAATATTAGCTGAAAGAGGCATATGATGTTCGGTGCCGTTGACGACGCTTTGTACAACTCGGAGTTCTTCGTGCCTTTGAAAGGCTTGGTGAGCTGTTGTTCTCTGCGAGTGCGCCATCGAGTGGAGACGGTGGTGAAACCCGAGCGGCTAGACGCTGTCAATACCTAGACGGTGTCAATAGGTGTACATCCTAGCTTGTGGAAATGACAAGGACTTAGAGGCCGAGCTGTTCTGACAGTGTGAGGGGCGAGGGTGGCACTAGATCCTTCCACATCACACAAATAAACCTACAGAACAAGAAGTTCGTGTAACTTCATAAAGTATAATGTCACGTCCTACACAGCACATTGCACAAGAGACGTACCCACAGTTGTGACCATCGAACGTCAAGAAGCAATGAAGATCCACAAACGAGGTGAAAGAAAGGGGTGGGGTAAGCGGGCAAAACAAAGGAGTATTCGAATTGGAACGTCCAGAACCCGAAGCAACGACACCGTCCTACACGCTCACCTGTTCCTGAGCGTCATTAAACTCAAGACCAAAGTTCTAGCTTCGGGTGCTTCGCAGCCCTGAGACTCGTTTGGAAGAATAGGTCTTTCAGCCTTGGGGAAGCCAACTACGCCTACACAGTCCTGTTTTCCACTTGTTCGCGAAGACCATTGAATTCAGGCCACTCCAACTTTCCATGGTTCGAAGCCCTCACAGCGTTGAGGAACGGGGTTCCCAACGACAGTCCAACATTCGTCCTACCCTGGGTCTTCACCGCCATAGAGAAAGGGTATGTAGACCATTAACCAGGGATATCGCAAGCTGAGGTATCAGTATAGGGTATCAGTACAAGGATAACGTGGTACAGGTGGAAAGCATGTGAGGAGAAAGCAAAATCTGAATAAATAAATCGAGAAACTTGAGAGAAAAATATCCCGCCAGGTATCCTCCTACGCCGAATCCACTCCACCAATCCTCTGTTTGGCACTATTGTATTCAAACAATTCCAACTTGGCATGCTTCGTCGCCTGTACCGTCTGAACGCAAGGTGCCTCAATCGGCAAACCGTCACTCGTATACTGCGGCTTCACCTTTACCCTCAACTGCCTCAACTCCTCGAAATTCCGAAGATAGAACCTCATCGCGTGCGCAACCTGGCGCGAAGCCATCTTCTCTGTATCCGTATTCAAAACGACGAGAATCTGGTGGACGCAGCGGGTGTCGGAAGCAAGGTTCGTAAAGTCGTTGTTCACCGAGGTGGGCGCGAGGAGTTTGTTTGAGATTTCGAGGGTTATGCCTGGGAACTTGTTCGAAAGGGACGATAGGACTCTGCGTACGACGGGGAAGTCGTGGTCACCCGCCTCTCCGGGTTGGCGATTCCAAACCACTGTCAGGTTCTTGAGGCTAGGGATACTGTGGGTGAATACCGCTCCAGTTTCGATGAGCCAGGTGGCGGGCGCGCGGAGGGTGGTGAGCTTTTGAAACCTGGGGAGGGGAGTAGGTTGACGGGTTCCAGGGGTCGATGATTGCGTCCACGGTTCGAAGGAAAGCGATTCGAGGTTGGAAAAGGCGCCAACGAACGAGTGGAAGGTGTCCAGAGTGAATGTTCCGGCGTCACGGAATTCCAGATGCGGAAGGTTGGGAGCTGCTTCTGAGAACAGAGCTTCGACGATGGGCCATGCAAACTTGTTGAATTTGAAGTTGGAGAAAGTGATTCTCTCGATTGGAGAGGTGCTGAGGACCTCATACGTCCACTGGAGTATGGGTGGAAGGAGAAGAGTGGTGCAGGAGACGGCGAGGTGCTTGAGGGCGGTTGCTGCTCGTGCAGCGCTCGAAAGCTCTACGAGATGGTTCTGCGTCCCAGGGGCACGGCGTTGGAACTTCCATTTATTTCCCGATAAAACTGAGTTTCTACCCTTCGCGACTAAGGGTCGTTTGACGGCTCTTCCCAAGGCGGCTATGGCGCTGGTCACCATGCGATCCGACGATAGCTTGAAGCCGTAACTGCTGCACATATAGCGGAGGCCTTTTACGGACAGGGAAATGCACTTTCTCTCGACGATAGCGTTGAGCAGGTTCCCAATACCGTTTGTCCATAAGCGGAGGGTTTCGTCCGATGTGGTGCCTGTATACTTTGCACAGAGGCAATCCTCTGGGTCGAATACGAGCGCGACCGTGGATACCGTCTTCAATTGCCTGATGAATTGTTCCAGGTTGTCAAGGTGTCGAATTTGCTCTAGCATGGACGGCGTGTAGGGAAACGAGCATGATAAGGCATCGACGTTTGTGATGGAGGGTGTGAGACGAAGGGCCTGTAGGACGTGGCTGTGGCGGGGAGGGTCTTCAGACAGATAGGATTTCGACTGCGAATATTGTGGTATCACGATGTTGCATTCTTTCTCTGGGGTCTTAATGCCTGCTCGGTCCAGGTACACGGGAAGGCAGACCTGCTTCATTCGGCGACAGGTGAAGGCTAGTTGGAAGACGTCGTCCGCAGGTAGATCTGGATGGGAGAGAATTTTGTGCAGCAGCTCATTGGGGAGCACTAGCAGCGCAGAGTCGAATGAGAAGAGCTCTACGAGCTCAATGTTGTCTGCATCCTGTTCATAGGCCATCTGGGGTCGTTCTTCGCAGACACCAGCTGGAGCGAGTCGCTTCACAGATGCTGCACTTTCCAAGGTTGAGCCTGTACTCCTGGTCAGTATGCAGGGATGTGCAGCGAGATGAGACTCACTGAGGGTTGAGGTGAGCCTGTGACAAGGTGGCGCGTACCAAAGCTAAGTATATAGTCGAATCCCGTGGCTGAGAGCTGTGGAAAAGGACCGAGCTGAGATGATTGGATTCCGAGCGAACTACGCCCCTTGATTGAGGTCTTTGATACGTCGAGCACAGGGAGTGCCTTGAGTCATTCTCGTCTTCAAGTCATTTTTCGGTTAACGTCGCCCACGGCTCCCAACCATTCGAGATATGGGTAGAAACCAAGTTCAAACTGCAGCGTTCAGCGCCAACCCGGTTGAGGTGGGAATCGATCACTATGTAATAGGGGTGTACACAGCCACCGATCACACAGCCATCTTCATATAGCCGCCGATTGAGTGGACCCAAAACGGATTCCATTGTGGTCTGCCAGTCAGACGTTACGTCGACCTCCACGACGCCCAGCCCCAAAATCTCCTGCATGACCTTTTGATTTCTTGTTTACGACCTTAACTACAGCTTTATGGGGCGTTGGACGCAATATGATGAGGTGAGTGAGCTGGGGGCTGGCCTGAAACCTGACTTTTGGCCGCCCGGGTTGTCATCGGGCAAAGAGGCTGACCCAGGTATCGTTTAGGATGACTACCGTCTGCCTGAGGGCATGAAACGAATTGGTTACGATTCAGACACTGGAAGGTACTTCTTCCGTGACGCCGACGGCTCGATTTGGGCGAGCCCCGAAGGCTCAGAGTATGGGGAGCTCAGCAAAGGTGGGTAACTGCTCCTTACCTGTGGAGGGCTGGTACTAATCTCGGTATCCCAGTCTCTGGACCCCCTTCGTCTTTCGTCGCAGACAACGATGAAGACAACGATGATGTCGAAGCTACCCCCAGAACTCGCCCTGGGGGATACCAGCTTCTGAGTGGTGACCCCGTACGTTGCTCGACCATTACTTCTGCCACCTTGTTCTAAATTTGGAAACCCTATAGACACAACCCATGGCCTACTCAAGGCTTTCAAACTCGAATTCATATCGCTCCTTATTTCCCTTCTTCCTAATCATAGCAGTGATACTGCTTCTCGTCTGGCGGGTGGTTCTCGCACCCAACATCCTCACCGGCAACAAGCGCTGCCCCGAAGACACCTCCCTCTACTACATCCAACCAGGAGACTCCTGTTGGGACGTCGCAAAGACTCACGGTATCGACTTTGAGAAGTTCAAAGCTCTGAACCCAAAGGTCAATTGCGACCCGCTTATGCCAGGGACCTCGGTGTGCCTCCCTCCACTGAAATCCTCGTTCTCTTCGTTCGCGAGGGGAGGAAAGTTTTAATGCACGATCCTTCGCTTTATCTCCATATTTATGACTGATACCATGTTCGCATTTGATATCTTCATCGACGTCCGTTTATCATTTTCTGTATCGCTTTGTCGACTGGTTCTTCATTCAACACAGACTATCCTTTCCTTTCTGCGCGTCTGCCTTATTTGTTAGCAATGTGCTGCGCGTACGGTGTTCGTGCCGCTATACAGGGTGTGCTTCGATTTCATTCGCTTCTGATACTCACGTTGACCTCGCCAGGCTCCATGATTTACTGCTCCACGCCGAACAGTGGACATGACCACGATCACCGTACTCTCCACACGGTCATTTCTGACGGTGTCTCCTAACGACCCATTGTGGTGCCACAGTTGGGCCTCGCCACGGAGGACGCTGGATACGCAGATGAATTGACTGCTGGTCAATGCGAACTAGTCCTCGGACTTGCCGCCGTTGTGCGTGCTTTGCTCCTCCGCAAGGTGTTTCCATCTTGCCGACCTCGAGCAACGGGCGCTACGGATCATATATAGGGACTCCCCTCTCCATTTTGGGTTGACCCATCGTGGTATGGAAGTCATCATGAGGATGATGAAAGCGTCTCTCCATAGTGCCAAACGCAACGCGAGCGAAGCGCCTTCCCATACTAAAACGCGTTCCCCAATCTCCTGAATAAGCGGGTGTGCTTCAAGGGGGACTCGCCACCTCAATCCATGCGCGATGATACTTGCCTGCGTTTCGTCTAGGCTCTCGACTAATGCAATTGGCGTCTCGACTCATCAATCCCTTCGTCTAGATCTCTAGCGCCACGGGGTGCTCGCAAGGGGAGGTCGGGAGATGCACAGGAGAGCACGATGCCTTAAGTTACAAGCTGATGACATTTTGGACCGGCCAGCTTCATCCTCGTTAGGTTTTTGTAAAGTTGGCGAGAGGAGCTCACCTCATGATTGGGCGCCCTCAAGTCAGAATGTATGCCTTTCTCAAGGTCGTCGACAATGCGTCGTCCTTGCCGCGTGCTTAGTCACCAGTGATGGCTCATTTCGAATTAGGCGCCCAAGCGCGTCGAGAAAACGCCTTCCATAAAATGCCCAGGATTCGCGGGGACAAGGTAGGATAATTCGGTTAAGCCGGATCTCATCCAAGTCTAATCAACGCATCTCGCCTCGAGCTCTAGCGCCTGCAAAGACCTCCGTCACGGAGAGGGAACGACCCGTTTAGTCCGCATAGGTGTAGCAGTATGGCTCCATCCTCAGATCCATCGTCTCACCAACACGAACGGTTGGTGCCAAGTCAGCGAAGGACATTTCGTAGTCCAAAGTTGTCTCGCCATGGGGAGGAGACACGGACGCCTGTCCACCCATCTGGCAAAGACGGCTAGGCAGATGGACGTTTTGCCATTTCCACCAGAGTCTATCAAGACCGGCGTGGTGGAGATAGAAGATAGGGTCTGTAGCTCGTTGGTGAGCCTTAAGGCGCTATTAAGATATAGGCGTATAAACGTACCGTTGGGACTGCTGTAAAAATTTGACATATCTCCTCCAATCATGGCGTGCCCAGCGTCATGCAGCCTCCAGTACGGCTTGGCAGGTCGACCATCTAACGAATTCCAAAAGTCGTCGTAGGTAGTTTGACTGGAGATGTTCGCGATCGACTCTGGAGTGAGGTGCTCTCGACGACCTTCCTCTGCAAAATTCCGCGTCAAGCAGTGGTCGCTGAAGCGGACGTTGGGTCCGACGTGGAAGACGATGCCGGCGAATGGTCCTGTCTGAACACACCCTGTGAATGCGGGTGGGGAAATTGGGATCCTAGCACCGTCATTCTCGGTAGGTGGGGTATAGGTCCCTGGAACGCCATTTCCACCAAAACCAAGTACTGGGTCGAAGAGAGGTGATTCGGAGATGTGCTTGTCGGGGTCGGCTGTATCACGAGTCCAGTCCCAGTATCTAAGATTATAGTCAGAGGAGATCGCTGCTGCGCTTGGAACGTCTGAACATACGGGAAGGGACCTCTATACCCACACTCCTCGCGGAGAGCCTTTTCGTAAAGGAACCCGAAATGCCGATGCCATGGCAAGAATTGACCCTGTGGCCCGGAAGAACTCTACTTCAGCGGACAACGGCCAGGCGACATGTCGAAAGACTTACCACACCATGAATGTAGTCAGCGACCATTACATGGCTGAGCACAAATTCATCGTTGCGGTTGAACTTCTCAGGTAGAGTCCGATTATGAGTTTGCGCAGTGAGAAGGCATTTGACTGCGTTGATGTAACTGCGTTTGTGGTGATTGCTCAAATCACGCCTATTCGAAATGTAAGTCAATAAAATATTAGACCGTTCACGGTGCTGTTCACACACCATTCTCTACGAACCGACAGCCGCTTGCATGGCCTCTTAGGTCGACCACGTCCGAATGCACCGACCAACGACTCATTGGCTTCGACGTGGCCATACTCTACAGTATCAGCAGCATCCACGAGAGACGCTCCATCGGTGGCTTGTGGTGCCGATAAAACTACGGCTGCGAATGCAAAGAAGACAAGAAGTCCGAAGGCCCGAACCTGGAGAAACACCATCGTCAATGGGGTCGCTGCTGCAGAATAGACTTCACGTTTTCCTGCTTCCAATTTATACCACCTCTGGGGTACGGTGATATTAATCTCTTTAATTCTCCATAGGCCGCCGGTGCGAACGCTCTCTGCCAACAGTCCTCGTTTTTAAATATCCGTACAAACTCCAAGGTTAGGCCATTGACATGTATCAAGAAGCTGGGTTCTTCTGACAGAATCAAGACTGTCGCATATTGGCTCGCGTTCAACAAGGTGCATTGACTGAGGATATTTACAACTCACTTTCATTAGATACAGTTCCTAAAGCCATACTAGGTATAGATGAAGCTGGTCAGGGAACAACCTCCTTCTCTTCCCAGTTGCCCTTCTCATCTCGCTCGTAGAAGAACCTCCGGTTCGGAATCACTGCCAAGTCCACAAGATCAACGAATACGGGTTCGATAATCACCAGGGCGAAGTTATTCAATGCCACCTGCCAATTCTTCTTGTCTTCGTCACTCGAGTCCGGGGTTGGCTCTTCCAGTCTGACCGGCCATTTTTTGGCCTCCTCCTGGCCTCCTTCCAGTGGTGTTCCAGGAACAGGACGACACCAGCTTGCCTTCATGTGCGCAGACATGGCTTTGAAGGACGAGATGCGCTGTTGTTCCCAGTCGAAGGAGGGGGAGAGGGTAAGAGACTTGAGCCCCAGGTATCCCGTGCTCTGTCCGTCGTTTGCGGCATCCGAACCAGGAGACTGGGCACCCCGAACTACATCCCTCCAGTGGGCAAAAGAACCATTACGAGGATCTCCAGGTGCACCGATGATAACCGCCTTTCCTCGGATCCTAAATTGTTGCTGGCGACCTTCAATCCACCAAGCGACCTCGACCGGTGTATGGGGATTGGAGGTTATTTGGTCCACCTTGGGGGTTCGAATGTCCGTCGTTGTGTGGATTAGAGGGAGGTTGGGTTGAGAGGGTGGCGATAGAAATGACCGAAAGATGTGAGATCGAACACGAGGAGCCACAGTCAAGGAAAACGGAGACGGTTGCGAGTCGAGCGTCGAAAGCTGCAGTACTGTGTTTCTTTCGTCCATTAGCCATTCTTAGCCAACGACGAGAGCCAGCTCACCAGTTTGCTTGGGAAATTCCGCGATTGCGCTCTCAAGAGCGGCTTTCCATTTGGGCGCCAGTGCCGTAGCCATTGGATACTGTCTGTTTAGGTATGCGTTATAGAACTTGGATTCCAGTTGTCGTTGTCGGGGGAAAGGAGTCTCCTTTGTAGATTACTGTTACCCCAGTACAGCCGACGGGAGTATGACGCAATGCAGGGGCTTCAATCTTATCTTATCAAAGGCCTATCAATGCAGGATAGGGGTCAAAGGGAGCTCCAAGCCACGATTCGATTATTCAACGAAGACTTCAGTAAGCACTCAGTATTCAGTTACAACGACTTAAACCAGCTCTCCAACTCGATGTTGACTTCTTCTTCCTTGTCGAACATGAGCCAGTGACCGGAATCAATGACCTTGGTCTTCGAATTGGGGCAAGTATCCTTCGACGGTTTTTGGAAGTTCGGGACGCAGACAGCGTCTTTCTCTGCTCCCAGGAAGAGGACGGGCTTGTTTATAATTGCCTTTTCCTCAGGTATGGCTGAACAATGGAGTCAGATACGTTTTATATTGAACATTACAATGTTGAATTACCTGTGGCATCGGCAGTACCTGCTCCGGTCGTTTGTGCCTTGTAGTACAAGCAGGGCGCCTCATAGCCATGTTTCAAGAAGATCAGCTGGGAATCGCGATATTCCTACAAAAAAGAATTAGATTTAAGTATACGCGTAGACGCTGACAATATATTTACCTCCGCCGACATTGAATCTGCCCTCGGAACCCTGGTATTAGACTCCAGGGAAGATTGAAGCGAACCCGTTCCGCAGAACAGCTCCTTCCAGACAGATGGATCCTTCGCCCAGATGATGTCGTAGAAGGAGTCAATCTGCAGAGGGTCTTTAACATTTTATAATATATGATCTGGCCAGACGAGCTCACATGCTTCCTGATAATGTCCGGTGCTTCTGGGGACGAGAAGAACCACCTATCCAGGAGTGAAGCTTAGCAAGGCACGTCACAATCCGGTCTATAGAGCAGACCTACCAATAGCCAGTGGACTCGTATCCTAGCACCTTCTTAGCCTATGCGTCTGTGAGTGAGAAGTAGCAAGGGTGATTTATGAATTGCATCTCTCACCATCTCTCTTCCCTCCTCGGCGCTCATCTTGACACGAGGGTCCATATAACCAACCGCAAGGAATGCAAACCCGGCAAAGCGATCTTGATACAAATTGGCGAGGCGACTCACAAACACCGATCCCCTTGTATCTCACCCGATTTAGCCTTCCGAGCGAAGGAAAGAACGAAAGAGACCAACCAATCATGCCCGATGGCGATGACCTTCCCAATGCCCTCAGCCTCGACGATATCATACAGATCCTTCGCAATCGCAGTTCCAACATAAGCCTCGTGGTCCAACGGCTTGTCTGTGCCACCGTATCCCAACATATCAGGGATGATGAACCCATATCCTTTGGGCTTGAAGTACGCAACCTGGCGGCGCCAGTCCTGCGCGGTACTCGGGAAGCCGTGGACGAAGAGTAGAGTAGGCTTGCCGTCCACCGGGGGGACAGCATAGTAATTGTACTTGTAGCCCCTGCTAACAGTGACCTGCTTGTAGTGTGACAAATCCATGATGATGGTGGGGGATAGTTGGAGGCCGAGCCTTTCGAAGCCCTTATGTAGTGCGGCGAAAAACAAATGCTGAGTCAACGGCGTCGTTTTCGGGGTTCACGGGGCACCTTACAACTTAAGGCCGTCATCGTTGGAGTTAGAGCTCCCGCTGGGAAGGGATGGAGGAGGCTGACTGTGGTTTCACACTTGAAGAAGGGAAAGCCCAAGTTGGATCAACCGACGTGGCCCAAAACAGGCGCGCATCCCCTGAACGGGCGCTTAATGGAGTTGTACAAAGGAAGATAGATTAAAGCTATTTCTACGGATCATAGAAGCTGTTACAGGCCCTTTATCCATGCTTCCAGCTCCTTATTGACCTCCTTCTCAGCATCGAACATGATCCAGTGGCCGGAATCGAGAATCTTCGAGGTCGCATTGGGCATAACATCCGGAGTAGGTTGATGGAATTCGGGGATGGCAATAGCGTCCTGGCCTGCTCCAAGGAAGAGAACTGGTTTTTGGACGACCCATTGATCTTCGGGTGCACCTGTAGGACAATCTCTCGTCAGAATGCGAATACCGATCCCAACAGGGTTTGCTTACTCTTTACGTCCTCGCCTGCAAGCTTCGACATCAGGTATCTGTAAGCCATTGTGGGTGCCTCGTATCCCGACTTCAAGAAGCGTTCTTGCGAACGACGGTATTCCTGTCAAATTTCAACGGCGAGTCAGCAAATGAGCGTGTGCAATTAGGTGTGGTTCCCTTACCTCTTTGGACTGCGACTTCGACCTAGGTAGCCTCTTGCCAGATTCAAGGAACGACTGCAGGGCGCCGGTGGGGGCGATGTGATATCTCCACGCGGGATATGGGTTTTTCGCCCAGACCACGTCATAGAAAGCGTCGATCTGGTTACAAGGTAAGTATTTCGCAGATCGTAGAATACGAGACTGGGGACGGACATTGTCTCTGATGATGGCCGGTGATTCCGGGGAAGAGAAGAACCACCTTTGAAGCAGATAAGAGAGTAGCTCTTAGACGAGGGCATGTCTACTCACCAATATCCATTAATTTCATAGCCCAATTGCTCCTTGGTCTAGAGAGCTCGCGTCAGTTCAATCCGTAAGTGTAAAGTAGGTGACTAGGTCTTACAGCGTCCCTCGTCAATTCCGCATCAAAGAGGGTCCCGTTTGGGTTATTATAACCGACAGTCATGAACGCAAATCCAGTGAATCGATCTTGGTAACGATTAGCAAGGCTGCTCGTCACCAAAGAGCCCCTGAGATACAATGTGTGAGGGTAAATGAGTCGGCGAGGATGAAAAGGACATACCAATCATGCCCAATGACGGCTACGTCTGTGGCACTCTCCGCCTCGATAATCTCGACCACATCCTTGGCGAGCAAGCTTCCCGCGTAGGACTCTACATTGAGTGGCTTGTCGCTACGGCCGAATCCCAACATATCAGGGATGATGAGCCCGTAACCTTTAGGCTTGAAATACGCGACCTGGCGAAGCCAGTCCTCCGAGGTGCTGGGGAACCCGTGAAGAAAGATCAACGTAGGCTTCCCTTCAGCCGGTGGGACAGTGTAGTAACTGTACGAAAACCCACGCGAAACGTTGAAACGTTTGTAGTGGGAGTCGTGCATGAGGTCTTTACGGTCGCCTGGCTTGCGGCCCCAGTTCCCAGCGAGTACCGGCTGGAGGAGAGATAAGAGAGAGAAAGAGAGCGCGCTGAAAGTAAGAATTCGCATCTTGCTGGCAGATTAGAGGAACTGTTTGAGTTTTTGAGTCCATCGCTCCTAGCTTTTATACCGCTCAGAACGCAACAATGAGCGCTCGCTGTTCGCATAACTTCTGTCAGCAAAACTGTCTGTCAGTGGCTTGGTAAGGATTTTCTGATGTCAGGCAATATACAGAGTCGGGACCCGCTGTTGAGCGCATTTTTCACCTTGGTCAGAAATCCCATACTTCATTACAAAGTAAAGCTGGTTGAGGGTGGTGGTGGTAGTAAAAGCAGGTTTGAAATGAAAAGGACAGGGGCGTATCAAAACGTGTCGGGATCAGTCAGAAAAAGATGACGCGACCAAGACGCGACGAACGCGCCCGCAGGCCAATGAATAGGGTGTTGGAGGCTTGGAGCTTTCAGGGCTGGGCGGTGTTCAAGCCTTGACTTTCTTCGCTTCGTTCTCTCCACGAGGGGAGGCCGTCTCTTCCAGGACCTCGTCGATGGTACGCTTCTTAGCGGTGGTAGGGCTGTCCGGTTCCGAGACGTAATCGTCGTCGTCTTCATCCTCTTCATCTTCGTCGTCTCCGGTATCTTCGTAGTCGTCGTCTTGTTCGACTTCTTCCACTGTCGGGTCGCCCAAGAGAAGCGCAGTGAGGCTACCCTCGTGACCCTGCGGCGTGCGATGTTAGACGGGCGCCCCGTTTTCTGTCTGGGGATACATACCTTTTGCTGGCTGTAATTCTGGTCATTGCCCGACCCTTCGACGTCACCATATTCGTCATCTTCCCCTTCAGGAGCCTGCTGCTCTTCCTGCGAGGACTCGCATGTTAATACCGCAAGCCAGAAGTCAAGCCATTCTTACCTCTACGTCGTAGCCGTCACTATCCTCGCCGTCATCACCTTCGCCATCTTGTTCGCCTTCGTATTCTTCAACGATCGGTTCTTCAGGATGGCAGACCCCGTTCAGCATGGCCTCTTCTTTTGGTTTATCCTCCCCTTTCAGCTTCAGCTCTTTGATAGAGGGGCCATTGTCAGCGGCTTGTGCTACAGTCGCCATTATGGTAAATGCTAGGAAGATGGGTTCAGTGAACGGTCGCGAATCGAGAAAGCAGGAGAGTGACTGACAAATTCGAGAGTAAAACTAGGGCGAAGGACTGTAGCTTGCTTTGGGTCCTTGTTTCGAGCTGGCACAAGTAGTATATCCTTCCGGATGAGTAGACCGAGGGAGGAATTAGATGCAAATTGGTATCAATAAACCAATAGGCGGTTTATGGGCTTGTCTTTCTTCGTTTGCGGTCAAGTAGAATAGGCTACGAGGCCTGGGCGTTTACGTAGACATGTGCAGCTAGTCTCCACAGAAGCTGTCCCAGAGATTCTAAATGGGCACTCAGAGGAGGTTCGGGTTGGGGGATCGAACGAAGACGACGGTAGTAGGCAGAGCGAACTCGTCGTCTATAATGTCAGAAAATGCCAACGACGCACGGTCGTTCTAAGGAATCTCTCACAAGCCAAGAGGGGTGGTGTTGGAGAGCGGTGACTGCATTCTTGACAAGTTGTTACCGCGCACTGGCCCATTGGTGTCACCTTTCTCCACGCCCGCGGACCGGGCGCTGGCCGCGTCTTGGCTCACATCACGTGGGCGTTCCGTCGACGCGATTGTCCCGGTCCGAAATGGCCAGGAAACGAGGAAACAAGAAATAGATTGAGAAGTAGTGCAGTGTCCCAAGCCTAAGTCAAAAGGTAAGGATTATATCAAACTACAGCATCGTTCTCCTTTTCATGACTAGTACTGAAATTGTCAGAAATCTCATTTGCTTTTGCAGAACTGTCAGTTTGGGGAACACTGGACTCATTTTGCGCCCGAGTCGCAGCCTTGAAGTCAAGGTTCGTGCCAACGACGATGGTGACCAGACCATAATAATCCTTCGCGTAGTCGGCCGGTAAGCTTTGGAGCATGGCGCGCCGGTACATGAGCAACCGGACCACGATAAGAATTGTAAGTACGATGTTGGATCCAAGGGAGATGAAGAAGTATGACATTCCATATGCCCTTGGAAGTGCAGAGTAGAGTGAGAGTCCAGGTTGGCTGGGTTGCAGTGTCCACAGCGTGCCCATTACTTCAACTTGAGTCAGACGGCATTCAGATGAGAATAATACAGGCCCACTCACCAAACGATGCAAGGAGCATTAAGCCGGGGAAGGCGATTGCTGTGTATGCAGGACCAGCGCCTGATCCCGCTCGCCAGATGACCCAGCACCGCCAAAGCTGAAAAAACATCGGGTCATCCCTCTTTTCGTCAACGGACCATTGGCGAGCTTACCACCAGCAGGTCAGCCAGAAATGCAGCTAAAAACAGCGTCGCATAGAAGATAACATTGATCGCCTTGTCCTGGGTAGCAAGAAAGTATTGCCACGGTCCTCCCGGATAGTTTCGGTTATCGACATAAATGTCCTGGACCGTTCGCGCCTGTACAGCGACATAGATAGTCTCAACGGTCAAGAGCAAAGACATATACGCGACCAGGAAGATGGACATCCTATTTGCTCGCTTGTTACGCCTTGACGATGACCGGATTTGACTCCAAAGGAATGTTGCACAGCTCGTAAAGAGAACGAGTTGGATGCCTACAAAGTTTTAGCGCGAATTAATTGTGGCTGTAGAGTAGATTTGACCCACCATAACCGATGCCCACAAGAAGATCTCCAGCTACGAATGTGCGCTCAATGAAGATCTCTTTCTCGGAGGCATTTGGTCCATAATATGGCTCCTCAGTCTTTGACATCTCTGTTTCCGTGGTTGGTCTACCGGCCTAGTTGCTTCAGTCTGTTGGGCAAGAGGCGGACTGGATGATACGACGAGGACTGGGTTCTTCCCGGATAAACTACCTTGCAACCCGATGGCTCATATACCGAGGCCACATGAGCAGTCAGATCACACATTGGCTACGACAGCCAAGCTTAGTCCAACTTGATCTTTAGAAGCAGGGGAGATTGGCAGTACAATGCGCGTTCAAAACTTCGATCAAAGGTGGTAAGATGCACCGGGTAACAGCCATTGGAGCGCAGGTGGGACCACAGGCATGCCACAGCTGTTCAGACGAGCTACAAGCAACAGACCTTTACTACTACATTCTGACTCAAGGTTTTCTTGTAGACGATATGCAACTTCGAGCTGGGGGAAATCGAGGAGTGGACCAGGTGCGACGGCCCGTTGGGAATAGCCGTTGCACGTTGGTAGTGGGAGAAGGTCCCACTTACAACGAAACGACGTGCCAAGGACATGGGAGAAGAGACCAATGGAAGATTCTCCTTTCTTCAGCCAATGGAAGTCTGGCTTCAAAAGCGTATGATAATCTCAACTGTCACTCTCTGTCAGAATGACAGATCCTCGAGTTTACCGCGGGATGCCGACGGCTTAGGGACAACATCGACAGTGTGGAGATATGTATTCTAAATTAATGATGAAGGTAAGCCACAGTCCAATGGAGACCAGGCCAGGCCTCAGTACCCTCTTTCGGGCGGTAGCTGAAGCCCTTCTGCCCAAGAGTGATCCTCTCCGACTCGGAAAGGGCATCGTCAATCTCTATCTGCGCCAAGCGTGTGCTTGTCGGCTCCTTCGAATCCAACAAAGTACGATATAAATACCGCGAACCTGTGAGTACAGCAAAAGTCCCAGTGTAAAGCGTGATAAGTAAAGACAATCTACTTCCATCATGATCATTGGCCATAAAACGCCTATCGTATCCAGAGAGCCCGTCGCGCTTCAGGGAAGGAGTGCATTGGGTCCTTTCTTCTCAGTCACCACCACCTCATTCGGTGGGGCAGCAATAGAGTTATGACTGATATGCACCATTGACTCCTGCTGGGTTGCGACGCAAAAGTCGATATTCGTGCCCGTAGCAAACATGCTCGACCTCTGGATGCGAGGAGCCCCGCCACTGGTCGCATTGTGAGCGAGTGTACGTTGTGTCCAGGCTCTCCCTTTGGCGATACGATAGATGATCCAATAGCCTGCAATTTGCTGTGTAAAGAATCGATACGGACCACGGTCAGCTCCAAGCACCATCGGAGGTTAAATCACGAATCACTCACCTGGGCGGAAGAAGCAAAACTCAAACAGACTTGATTGATGGGATGGTCGATCGTGTAAGTGATGAGGAACAAGACCGCAAAGATCGAATACACTGCCGCGCTCTCCACCACCACGGTCACCAGACCATAGTACTCCTTACCATGCCCTTCAGGTAAGCTTTTTAGCGCCGTGCGACGGTACATCATCAGCCGAGAAACAATAAGGATTGTGATGATGATGTTGAACCCGAGAGAGATGAAAAAGTATGATTGGCCGTATGCCTTGGGAAGTGCAGAGTAGAGGGAGAGGCCGGGCTGGCTCGATTGTAGAGTCCATAGTGTACCCATGACTGAGGGAACGAATCAGCGTTAGCGGCGAGGAGATCGGATTCATAACATACCAAAAGAGGCGATTAGCAGCAAGATCGGAACGGCGATAGCAAGGTTGGCAGGGGCGGTGGCTCCTCCTGCTCGCCAGATGACCCAGCACCGCCAGAGCTATAGATAGACCAAGTATCAGCCTCGAGATCCGCGTAAGCCGAAACGAAACCCACCACCAGTAAGTCCGCCAAGAAAGTAACGATGAAAAGTGTAGCGTAGAAGATCACATTGATAGCCTTGTTTTGAGTTGCAAGGAAGTACTTCCAAGGGCCTCCAGGATAGTTGCGATTATCGACATAGATATCCTGGACTGTCCTCGCTTGAACTGCCACATAGATAGTTTCCACTATCAAGAGCAGTGCCATATACGAGAGAAGGAGGACGGGTGTTCTTTTCGAGCTTTTATTGCGAGAGGAGGATCGGATTTGGCCCCAGAGATAGGTGGCACAACTGGTGAAGAGAACAAGCTGGATGCCTGACGAAAGGAAAGAATGAGGGTCTCGATTCAGATCAATGGTGAACAGGAATCTCAATACCATAGCCAATGCCAGTCAGCAGGTCACCAGCCACGAATGTCCGCTCTAGGAGAATGTCTTTTGGCGAGGCGTTGGGGCCATAGTAGGGCTCCTCCGACATTTTGCGTCACAGGGTGGTTTTGACGTGGTGATCACTGGAGTTGGCCGCGTGCCTAAGTTGAATGCGGACCAGGCTGATTGGTGCAAGAGGAGCTCACCGATTGCGGCTTTCACGGTCCACACGTCAAGAAACGCCAGAGTTTGAAGGTAAGCGTCAAGGCCGAAGCGGGATGTAGACGGTTGACAACGAACACGCTTTTATAACCATCTCCCCGTTCTATTCGTGTTATGTGAGTGTACAGACTTTTGAAAGGGCGCCATAACTTGTGTTGAGGTTCCTCATCAGATCTGGAGTCGTAATGCGCCGGACCCAAAGAACTGCCATTAGCCACGGTCACCGATTAGAGGCAGCGCCCAACCAATGCTCGCCGAGACATAATAAGGTTCGAGAAGTGGTAATTTACCACAAAAGGAGAGTACTCACGAAAGCCTGTTCATAGCGGCGAGATGTACGTCTGAGCGCCAAACACAAAATTTCCTGAACCAGCGGGACCGAGATTGGAGCTGTGCAGGGTGAGTGGTTATCGACTAAAAGTGATCGTCAGCGGGGAAACGTTTCAGCGGATATAAGTAGAAGGGGATGAACACGAGGCGATGGGCAGTTAACACCATAGACACGGTTATTAGTGGGTTTAGAGAGAGCCAGGGTGTTTCTATATCTTGAATGGCCAATCGCAGAATTACAAACGAAAATAGATAAACACAGCAGACAAGATGTAGCTTCAAGGATGAACCCACCCACCCACGACAACAGAACAAAGACCATCCAGCGCTAAGCCATACCGGAATCATACCATGACCATGCTATGTAGAAATTGATAATACAGGCGCTTGTTTCAGGCCACAACTTTCGGACTTGGCTTCTTCTCCGACAACGTCAATTCGCTTTCAAACGGTGTCGTTGTCGTATTTCCATGTCGCGTCTCGGAAACTTGAACAGACTCTCCTGCAGTCGTAACACGAAAATTGATGTCAGAAGTGTTGGTCGTAACTTGAGCGAGCGTATGTTTCGTCCACGCCCGCCCCTGGGCAGTCCGATAAATGATCCAATATCCAGCTATTTGCTGTACACATCCGCACCACCATTAGCATACCTGTAACATAACGAGAAGTCACAAACTTACCTGAGAAGAGGATGCCAAGCTCAGACAAACCTGGTTGATAGGATTGTCGACCGAGTAGGTGACGATAAACAAGACCGCAAAGACCGAGTAGACCGCTGCACTCTCGACGACAATTGCTACCAGGCCAGAGTACCGCTTGGTATGCTCTTCAGGGAGATGCTTGAGGATGGTGCGGCGGTACATGAAGAGCCGGAAAACAATTAGCACGGTGAGGACGATGTTGACACCGAGGGAGATGAAGAAGTAGGACATTCCGTAGGCTCTGGGCAGAGCTGAATAGAGTGATAGCCCGGGCTGGCTGGATTGGAGGGTCCAGAGAGTTCCCATCACTGCAAAACCGGTCAGCTGGTGTAAGAAACGAGTCCGAGAGATCATACCAAAGGAAGCTAAGAACATCAGAAAAGGAAGTGCCACGGCCGCATATGCAAGGCGCCTGCTTCCACTAGCTCCCCAGATAACCCAGCATCGCCAAAGCTAGGAATAGTTTCAGATACCGAATCCAAACCCAAGAGACTATGATCTACCACCAGCATATCCGACAACAATGTCACCAAGAACAAGGTCGCATAAAACATGACATTTATGGCTTTATTCTGAGTGGCAAGGAAGTACTCCCAAGGCCCACCAGGGTAATTCCTGTTGTCGATATACATGTCTTGAACAGTCCTGGCTTGGACCGCAACATATATCGTCTCGATGATCATCAACACCACCATATACGCCAGCAAAAAGGCCGATGATTTGCTTGAGGTGTTGCTTCTCTTCGATACCTTGATCTTCTCCCAAAGATATTTCGCGCATGTGGTGAACAGCACGAGTTGAATACCTTGGAAGAAAGCACATCAGTGGTTTCGCTTGGCGACGCCAGAGAAAATCATGCTACCATATCCTGTGCCAGTGACAACATCACCGGCGACGAATGTACGTTCGAGGAATATATCCTTTGCAGAAGCGTCGGGACCATAGTACGGCTGTTCAGTCATTGTAAATCAGTGGCAACGGTGAGTGGCTATCCCTGCAAAGTCGCCCAGCTGTTAGCATGATTGTCGCTCCAGAATAACGGAAACGCGGACTGGACTAACCACGGAGGTACAGGCTCGGATAAGGGTCGAAAAGGAGAATCCTAAGGAAGGTCCTATATCAAGTTAGTCGATCTTCCATCCTTAAATATAAACCACTTCATGGCGCAGAGGACTCGTTGAGAGTTTTGAAAGCTCCCACACCGGCATTGGTGGGTGACAATACCATGGTCCAGGAGTCTGTAAGTCTGCAAATGACTGCCTGTTACGACCCATATGGAAGCCCGGAGGAGACAAAGCTTGATAGAGATTGACAGGGCAGCGCACGAAGCTCCATACCGTCAAGAATAGCCCCAAAAGTCAAGACGTCGACGGCGATTTGAAGAAGCGGTCGGGCGCTTCGGGGTGATACAAGGTTGCACCGGACGGCTATCAAGGGAGAGCTCGCTGGATGGGGTGACTAACGGATTTCCCTGCGAATGGAGCACGATTAAAAGAAAAACAAGTCGCCCTGTAAACGTATGTTGTGAGTACTTTGCCGTTGATGGAAACCGTGACTATACTCACCTTGCGGACGGTAAGGCCAACATGTCATCGACGTGGAACACGTGCATACCCGGATGGAAGATTAACCAAAGATGGGAGTTCACCGAACGCCTAAACGTCAATCTGAAAGTTTTCAAAGAGTCGTGATATATACATCATAAAAAAGGGCTGTTCACAAATTTAAACCCAACAGTAGAGCTTCCAAGAAACAGACATCACCTCCACAGACATGTGGTGGCGACCAAGGGATGGGATCACAGCGACATATTGGCTATCCAATGAGCAAAAGTCATCAAACATCCAACTCGGGAAGAACCACAGCCCCAAGCCACGCAAGGACAACTTCCACCCTCGGGCCATGCAATGGAATGTTGATAGGTGCAGGCTTCTTCTTCCCCCCGGCAGCCTTCTCAGCTGCAGCCTTCTCCGCGCGCTCCTTCTGCTTCTTGACGATCGGATTGAGCAGAATTCTTGCACAGTCCAGCGCATGCTCCGCATCCGGTCGTTGAGTGACATTGGGAGGCGATGAAGTACGACTGATGTTGTCTTCGAGGTAGTCTGCAAATTCGCCAGAACTTGATGGTGTAGCTGTCCCTCCCGCATCGTGTGAAGTGGAGGTGTCACAGGCGGAGAACGCGAAAGACGAGGACCCCGACGATTCAAAACTACTCCCGGTAACAAAAGACCCCTTGCGAGAGATCGAAGCGGACGAGCTTGCCTGTAACGGCGAGTTGAGCGAACTACCCATCGAAGAACTGCGGGAAGGGGTCGCAGGACGGGGGAAAGTGGACGGAGGAGCCTCGATGGCGAGTCGGCTTTTCCCCCTCTGAGTGGATAAGGAATGTTGCTGAATCCCATTTTTCCAACCCCCGGCTAGCCTCTCCAGAATCTCCATAAATTCCGCCTGGCCCATCGATCGAGGTGGAAGAAAAACGGGGTACCCCTCGAGACCGTCAACCACGAGAGCAAAGCGAACAAATTGCGGAAGTAGCGCGGAGAAGTCACCAAGCATAAGAAGGCAGATCAAGACGCTGTACATGGATTCCACGAGAAGGGGATGATAGGTGGTGAAGACAGGTGGGATATCTGGTGGCGGGCGCTTGGTGTCGGACAGCTGAACCGCATATTCAATTCGTGAGGCAATGTCACCTTCGGGATAGGCGTTGGGCGATTCTATGGAATCGAAATGCGCGAGGAACCTCTCGTGATCCCGCATGCTCTTCCGAAGAAGGGAGCTGATATGTTCGCGGAAGGAGGACTCGGCCAGAACCTGGTTATAGGCCTGGACTTTGGGTCCCTGGTTTGAGCCTAAAGGTCCATCAGGATTCCCAATCTCGACGCCGCCATATTTGCCATTGTCGATGTAGCAAAGTCGCAATTCTGCACCGTCAACAGTGGGTCCTTTACGAACCCCTTCAAGCTGCAGAACAGCTGATTCGATGAGGTGGACTGCGTTTTGAAGATAGGCTGCCCCACGGAGGAATAGACATTGTGGTTCAATCGGGTCGGGAGCGTCTGGCAGAACGGAGGGGTGAAGAACGAGACCACCTTCCATTCCTCCATCGCTGGGATCTGCGACGCTGGTACCGTTAGGTGGCGCTTGTCCATTTGAGTTGGTCGTCGTAGAACTCTTCTTTCGCTTCCCGCTCTTGGAAGAACGTGATTCCTTCCTCGAGTTACCGATGTGATGCATCTGTTTAGCTTTCCGGATAGCCCGAGCTTCTTTGAGAGCGTGCGTGAAGTCTTTCGTGGCAAGGCTGAACTCTTCCCGAAAACAGTGAACAATTCCCCGTGTCCGAAAGTACTGCAGCCGTTGCGGGAATTGAGCTATAAGGTCGTCCAATACTTTGGTTGTGGTCGACTCGGCGAGTTGCCTGGATGGAATCTTTTCGTGGAAGAAATGAACGTATCTGGCATCCGCGTCGTGAGGGTCTGCTAAACAGTCAGGAGAAAATAGACTGAGTGTAAGGAAAACATACTTGCCTACTTTGAGGACTCGCTCGGCCAGGTCATCGAATACACTCCCTCCCTGCATAACCATAACGCTTGACGCGATCTCGTCCGTTTTGTAAGCCTCTGCAAGCTTTTGAACGGCCAGTGCTCGCAGTCGGTGTATCCGCATAGCTGACATGGCGACATTCCTTCCGTTTCCATTGCCCATTCCAAGCGGGTTCAGGCCAAGCGACTGAGCAGCGGCCCAAGCACTCCCATTAACAGAGCTGTTCCTCATCGAACTCAACTCGGCAGCCGACAACCCAGAACTCGCCCGCACAGACAATTCCGCCGCTTCGTCAATCAAGTCGCGAATGGTCGTCACAGAACGGAAAACGCCTGGATCTATTGGTGGTGGTGTCGCCTTGCCAGGTTTCGGTGTTGGAAGAGGCGGGGGCGGAATTGGCGGTAGTGCGTTGTGTATCGGGCGTTCTTCACCGTTCGCTCCCAACGGACGATCACCTTTCTTTGAGCCTTGGAGATTCATGTTCAACAGAGGCGGTAGCATTTGGGCCATACGCGATTCGGCTGCAAGCGTTGCGGGGTCCGCGTTCAGGACCAGGAGCGATTCCAAGAGTTCCAGGGGCAGTTGCAGCCATGGTCCCTAATTTCTCGCTGTCAGACTCTGCCAGAACCACAGGGAAAATAAAGAAAAACCGTACATGATAAGAGCTAATGTAGCGCCAATGCTTGTTTCTGCTAATGCATAACAGTGGTGGTCGACATTCCCCGTCGCTGCCGGCCTTGCCAGCACCCTCTTTCGCTTTCGCAGTCGCAGACTTTTTCGGCTTCTTCTTCTTTTTCTTCTTCTGTTGCGCGATACCGCACGGTTCCCTGCTGCGATCAAAACCATGTTCTTCCGTCGGTGAAGTTTGCGCAGATGTGGTGAGAGGTGTAGACAATTCTGAGCCGTATGGGGTCGGACCCTCTGATTCCGGTGACGCTGGCTCTTGGTTCATGGTCGTTTCTGTCGTCTGAACCGTCCCAATTGGAGACCAGAAAGTGGGTTTCAGATACCCTGAGCTGGGTATGGTCGCGGTTGGAGCGCAAGAACGTCGGTCGCAAATTTGGAAACTGCCGCCGTAACAACTCCCACGGTTACCCCTGTTAGCTCCGCTGATTTTGCCGTCACGTCTCGGAGTCAGTTGAATCGAGTTAGAAGGAACTTTGCGCTGTACACTCAGTCTACACTTTAAGTTGGTTCTCGATAGTAAATGTACATGTAGGCGGAATCAGGAAAAATTATGTTCGGTGCATATCAACAAGTCGTGAAGGCAGAACGCACCCCAGACACAGAGTACTAATCTCAGGGGTCAGAAGGTTTTCCTTACAGTGACTGAGGCTCTAACCAGTGTCTCGTGTTTAAGCAATAAAACCATAAACTTTGCGTAGAACAGCATGGGAATAAGGGGTGTGGTCGTAGGCTATTATTATTACACGTAGAATTACTGGAATTCTTCATCGAGAGGCAGTGAGTATTACAAATGAAGTGAGTACTAATAGACTGAACGACGGTGAAGGTAAATACCCACCAATTAGAAATACAACAATGACTGAGCAATGCACGCCAATCAGGCCTGCGAAGAGGACGACGGTCCCCGGCCACCACCACTACCACCGGCTGTTCCACTCCCACTCGCCTCGCCTAAACAGAACCCCAGGAAGTTAGCACTGGACAGGGGTAGTAGGACAAAAGAGATGCATACTCTGCGAAAGAATCGCCAACTCCTCTTCTCCAATTTCGTCAAAGAAGTTATCATAGTCTTCTTCTTCCTCTCCAGCCGGTTCCCCAGCATCTGGCTGGGAAGGCGGGGGTGGCTGAGCAGTATCGACAATCTTCTTAATCTTGGCGAGGTACTCGAGGCCCAGGGCAACCGTCTCGCGGAAGCTACGATCCGTCGGCTTCGCGATGAACTTGTCCAGGGCCATAAAGAAGATATAGTACTGTCATTTACGCGTAAATTAAGTTAGGCGGGGACAAATTGAATCAGAAACATACCTCCGCATTAGTTCTGCTACCGTCAAGGTCATCGACCTTGGAAAGCCAGACCGCGTCCTTGAATTTCTCGTACAACTTCTTCCCATGGAACCGTCCAAACGGAACGACAAATTCCATGTAATGCGTGTCCATATACTCAAGAAGGCCCTTGCGGTACCTCTCGAACGCGTCTCTGTAGCCAGGATAATTCTACGACGCGTCTCTCGCGGTCAACAACGCGCTGCTTATAACGAGCTGAAAACATACTCACCGCTTTGGTACTGCAATAATCCAAATAACCCCATCGAATCGCGTTTATCTTCTGGTTCTGCTTGATACCAGCAGGCATAACATAGCCGCCAGCCTCAAGACCATAGAACCAATAATCGGGGTGGTCCTTGTTCTGAAGAGCGCCGTTGGGGTTTGTAGGATCCGCGTCGTGTTGCAAAAGCGGGGGCCCTTCCGCTAGAGGCGCTGGTGCTTCTTTCCTAGGTCCTTTATCGACAACTGGGGCGGCCGCTTTCTTTGTCGTCGTTTTCTTCGATTTAGTGGTGGACTTGGTCGTCGTGGACTTTCGTCTGCCGTAACCGCCGTAAGGTCGGTACCCCCATCCATACCCACCGTACCCGCCATATCCCCCGCCGTAGTGTCCGCCGTATCCACTGTATCCGAAGCGTCGCATAGCGATCTCTGAAAGGTTAGCAAGAGCCCAAGGTATATGCGCTGGCTACTCAGGGCAGAGGGGGCGCGTCGGCGGTCGCGACCAGAGATCTCGCAGTTTTCCCACCGTTGTCAAAATGGGCGCTTACGTGAGGCGATCAATATAGCGCCCTGTCACTGCCACTGCCAGGGCCTCGAGATTGTCCGGGACATACAAATACAAGATTGAATGAAAGGGGGAGAGGAGCGACAGGTCCGATGGAAGCTGAAAAGCCTCGGAAATAAATAGTAAGGTTCACATGGCCGTACATAGATGCGCATTCAACTGAACAGTTTCTATAGTCAGCGATCTATCTAATCCGGCGAGAAAGGGCGCGACTTACAATCTCCACTGAGGCTTTGGATTTCCAACAGATTGCTTTGGAACCTGCTCTCCCGATCGGCGAGTTCTGCCAGATAGAGTTGGACGCGGTGTCCCTTCTTTGTTCGATTTTGCAGGAGGGTTCGAAATACGAGGCGAACGACGAGGAGTATTGGGAGCCGAGGCTGAAGTGCTAGCAGTTGGCTCCTCGCCGCGCTTCAGAACCCTTCGAATCGGTGGAACGGAAACAATTCCCTGCTGTTCGTTCAGCGGGGGATTCTTTCGCCTTGGAGGCGTCGCTAGAGGATCAGGCTGAGCATTTCGAGGGGGTGGTGTCGCGCGCCGAGCCTCTTCAGCATGATCTGCGGGATTCAGGCGTGCGGCGCGTTCTGTCTCAGTTGCTGTAACGGTATGCGCCTCCGAACCTGAGTCCCTGTCGAGATCGCGCACTTGGATGTTACCCAGGTTGGCGACGAGGGAACTGAGCACGTCGTCGTCCTCGCCACCATCCCTATCACTGCGCGTCGTCGAAGATGGAGGAGGCTGAGCCTCGACCAGTGGGATACCTGAACGCAGCGAGCGCATGATTTCTTGCCTGCTGTACCGGGTCATGGAGTGGATGGATCGAGGTTCGTTTTTGAAACGATCGAATGCCGCCCAGAAGAATCGATACTACCCAAGTTGCGTTTCGAATCAGCAAACAACCACCTGTGCAAAGGAAAGGAAACATACCTTTCCACCAGTAGGGGTACTAACCCAGTTCATCGAGCTACGCTATGTATATAAAGAGACCGATCAGGCGTTGAATGAGGCCAGGGTATCCCTACGTACCTCTCCTCCTTGATGCGTTCTCATCCAGGTTCGCTGTGGGCTTTCCATGTACTGCTCCCAGCCATCCCATCCCGGATGGTTATAGGCCTGGAACAACGTCCTCTCCCGGAACTTCTCGCCGAAAACAATGACGAAATCTTCGTAATGATCAACAACCCATGCCCAGAGGCCCTCTTCGTAGTTCCTAATCGCAACATGCAAACTGCACCTGCACTGTAAGCGCATCAGTAACGTCAATGAGCGATGTGAGAATAGGTCACTTACCGTATCGGCATGCTCCCTGGTAGAATAATCCAGGTAGCCAATACTGACATCGCGAATTCGTTGGCCTCTGTTCTTCCCAAAGGCCAGCACGTAGCCACCGGCGTTGGCTCCGTACCACCAATAGAAAGCATGGTCTCTATCGTGAGTAGCCGAGGCAAGCGAGCTTTCGGGAATATCCTCTTCTTCGATGAGAAGAGGGCCCCTCCTGTCCAATGGACCCGGCGACTCGGGTCGTCCCCAGCTGCTAATCGAGGACTCTTGTGAGGAGGTCCATTGCGACATGATCGAGTTAGGGGCAAAAGGTGGGATGTGATGACTGCTTGGCTGGAGAGGTGGTGGAAATGATAGCTACATATCCTGGTCGCTTTGGGATTTAAGGCATCCTTCGACTCGCCATTTGCCGGTAACTGTCTGTCGCGAACAGTTTGACATAACACCCACAGCCGCTGACAATCCGAATGGAACAGCCCAACTTGAACAGCAGTTATTTTTAACCCTTCGAGAACATGGGTGAGTTTGGGCGATCTAGATTCTGAAGTCCTAGGTAAGTTGCTTAACGATTTCCCCTGGGAGACAAGACTCGATCGGTCGACACCAATAAAGAATGTAGGGGGAAAGTCTTTCTCGAGAGTTCCATACTATCGCTGACCCGCCAAGTCCCCGGTTAACCCACAGTGACTGTGCGAAAGCGTGTTCTTATCAATAGACGTACGGCACGACATGATGAAGGAGAGACTTACCTGAAGCCGTAATGTCGCCACCTTCTCGACCTAGATGCGGTGCTGATACAAGGGCAACCCAATTAGAAAGTGTGAATCCCTTGTCCAGAGATAGCTAACATGCCCCAGCTATTGTGACTGTTTTGGACCGCTTCTTGTTTTCATCCTGTGCCTGTTCACGACAGTTGTTGGCGGTATGAATGGGGCAAGGTAAAGTTCAGAGCCTCCTTGTGATCCGCGTTCATCCAAAGAAGACATGGTTAGTCTCATGAGCATAGAAGTGCCGGGAGAAAACAGCGTCCTTCATCAGATGAAGCGTGTTCTTTTGACTTGTTGGATATTATTCCAGACATGGGACTGATGATGCGGGGTGTAGTGGTGGCAGGCGCAAGTATTCCCGGCATGTGACACAGCAGATAGCAATTTCCAAGGGACAGAGAAGCTATGTCTGGGATAAATCAAGTACCACGAGGAGCCAGAGTCAGACCGACATTTCTTTCGACGAACAAGGGTGAGGAATACGCACCTTCAGAAAGTCCCTCCCAAAGCCGTCGCAAGATAAAGAGTCCGTCGTCCCATTTCCTCATCTGCTGAGCCACACGGAGGTTTCAAGATAGTCTCCTGGACCTTCGAGTTCTTTAAATCAGTCGCTAAAGGGTCAAGTTCTCGTCGTCGTTGCGAGGACAAGGCGGTTATGCAGGCGTTCGTCGTTCAAGACGCGATGGCGGTTCTGTTCGTGCCGCGAGTTGCCGAAGAGACTTCCCACGAGCCACCTGTGATTAAGCGCTCAGAACTCCATGGCACGGGCACTTCATCGAGGTAAAAATTGTCAGTCACGATTACAATTTATGTGCAGGTAAAAAACTAGAGGTTAGATACAGCTACAACGACTCGGACACGAGAAGCAATATCAGACAAGCAAGAAGATCGAAAACGATATACGCGATGTAAACTAAATCACACCAAGACTCTTCACCGAATGAGAGGCTGGAGGGTGGGTACAACTACAATGAAGCAAACAACAAGCAATAGAGACGCAAGAAGATCGAAGCAAAATATACGTACAAAAAAAATAAGAAGCAAATCAAAACACCTCTTCACCAGACGCCTTGCTAAGCGCACGAACAGCACCAGACGAAACATTCTTCGCATCATCAAACTCATGCAACACAGCCGCATAGTTGATATTCCTCGCCTTTGCCTTGATCTGGAGGAGTGTCGAAAACGCAACAGACCACGCAAATTGAGAACCAGCGGTTTTACCCATGCTGTAAGCGCAAGACGCTTTGACTTCCTCCAGGTTCGTGATGATCTCGTTGGAATTAGGGATGGGCTCCCTGAGCTTCCGCGCCGCAGCCAACATGATGTCGTCCTGGTCAGATTTGTTGCTGGCACCACGGGATGCTTTGGCCTTGGAAGGCGAGTCGCTGTATTCCTGGTATTGCGCCTGGGACATCTGCTTGGCAACCTGGGCGCCAAAAAGAACCTCTGCCTCTTCAACATGCCGCCGCACACGTTCAAGTTCTTCTTCGAACAGTTGCCCTGTTAACTTATTCTCGAGCTTGAGTCTTCGAGCAAGATCGGCGACAGTGTTGTAAGGCGCCAGAAGGTCTGAATCCTTCCTCACAGCCTTGTTCTGAGGCCCAACTTGATCATTGAATATTTGGAACATTTCGTCCTTGATGCGCCTTCCAGCTATTTTGAGTTCCTTCAAAACGCCAAAGGCGTCTGGCTTCCGCCCGTAAAGGCGCTGATCCCGATCGAAGGCTGATTGCTTCAGGCGAAGACCCGACTTACTCGCGTCCAAGATGGTGTTGAAGCTAAGGGACGGACAGGGTCAATACGCGGATACATAGCTGAAGGCGTCGCAACTCCTTACATATAGGCGAGCCGGATAGCTTCAGGGTGCGCATAGCCGAGGTTGGCTACCGCATTGTCGTGGAACATAGAGTACAGACCGGTCCGTGACGACTTGAGGTTACCAAGGAGGACACGGAGATACTCCTTTGCAGCTTCCTCCGGCCTCTTCGTCAACATCCTCTTACAGAAGTCGACTACTTTCTCGACCTCGCTTTCAAAGTCATCCATAAGATTGTCCGGCGCAGTGCACAGAGATTTGTTCTCAAAATGTTCAACGAGCGGGGATTCCTTGAATATATGGACAACATCTGGCAGCGCAAATGCACATGTCAGGGAGTATACGTGTCAATTGATCAGAGAACCCACCGCCGTCCATGTCTCCGCCACTCAGCAAGCTCGCAAGACTGTTGGTCTTACCGCGAGCGGAGAATATCACTACATCCGTCCAGCCGGCCAATTCAGGAACATCGACGGCCGTGACCTGTAGTTATCGTGAGCTCGTGAGTTCGAATCAGATACAGCTATTCAGTACCTTTTGCAGGTCTGAAGGCAACCGGAGCGGATATCTTCCTACCTACAATACGAGGGGATTCAGGTCAGTGAAGAAAGGCAACCCCAGCAAACATACATCTACCCACCACCACGGGCCCAGTGATAACCTCGAACGGCAGATCCGTCTCAGGATCCTTCATGGGCTGAGAAGACCTATAATAAATTTCACCCTCCTTGAGGACACCAAGCGGATCGGTCACAGCAGACCCGGCAGGATGTCGCATCGGAGCGACAGCAAACGGGTCCGGAATGACGAATGCAGAAACAGATTCCTTCAAAGGAATCCTATATTTCTCAATGGCGGTGTTAATCGTGGTTTTGATCGCCGTCTTCAAGTTCTCTTGCAGAATCATGCATTCCTGAGGACGGAATCCAGCCTGAAGCATAGCACAGATCTTTTCGTGAAAGACGAGAGGGGCTAGGGCCAGGGGTAAGTACTGCGACATTAATTATTGAGATCGTGGGGGCTTACCGCCGCTATACGGATTCCTCCCAGTATATGTGGCAGGTCCAGAATCCGCAGCATCCTCATCATCGTCGTCTTCCGACGCGTCGACATCTTCATGCTTCCATTGCGCCCTCTGGAACCCAAGCGCCCGACTGGCACTCGCTGCAATCCTCGCATTTCTCGCACCGGTCAAGCCCCCAGCCTTGGCCACCGAGTTCCACAACACAACCATGTTGTTCCAGTCCAACAAGGGCATAACGTCCTCTTTCAAACCGTCCTCAAACAAGCGGATTAGGGTCTCCGCCGTAATCCCATTGTGGTGGAAGTTGAGGACGGTTTGCTGGGAGAGCGCGCTGCCTATATAGGGTCGGGAGGGGCCGAGGAGCTCAAAGATGCGGTGTGCACGGTCGAGGCAGGGGTTTTTGATTTTGTTTTGGGAGGCTCGGATCCAGATGCGAGGAGTAGGAGATTCGTCAGTCGGGTGACGAATCCACATACCCTTCGCGCCATCGATACGACCCTGAATGCCAGTAGGCGGATACTCGTATCCCATGTGCTTGGTGATGATGCGAAGGGCGGCGAGGTTGATGAAACCACAACCATCGGTCATAGTCTTCTCTGCTGGGGCGCCTGGCTTGCCCTTAGGCCAATCGGCAGAATCTGAGTGGAGGTGTCAGGTAGGCGGATCGTTCTAGCAAAACGTGGCTTACAGATATCGTCGATGAAGAAGATCGAATCTGGTTCGAACTCGACGGTTGGCACCGAGTTGGACAAGCCAAGCGCAAAACGAGTTACAAACTTGGAGATGGCCTAGACGGGAGAATCTGCAACTGAACCTCGATGCATGACCAAGAGAAACGTACCTGTCTGAAATTGTAGATCATCGGATTATGCCATTCCATGAATTGAATAAAGGAAAGGCGAAGATGGTCCGCACACCACTTTTGCGGGGTGCGATCGTAGTTCTCGTTCGTTTCTACCATGTAGACACTCTCATCCTTGGTGTGGAAGGGTACAAAGACCCTTCCAAGAAGGACAAACTTCCGAGAAAGGAATTCGATAATTTCTTCCTTCTCCTCGGGTGAGTTGAGAAGCTTGTCGGAGACCTTCAGCTGGAGAATATGTCGTGATCCAACATACCGCGCGAAGCGATGTGATCTCCGGTTCTCCATTGGCTCGAGGGATACTCTATATCCAGCTCGCTTATCCAACTTGACGAGTCTAGCGACCTGTTGCACTTGTCCTCCATGCCAGTTCTCCACGCCTTCCCAACTCCCACCCAAGCCCAAACGACGTTCAGGAGCTTCGCGCGTGGCCTTCTCCTCCCGATCGAGCTCCTTCCTATACGAGCGATAAGCCGGGGCTTGGACAGCGAGAGTGAAGGACCTACCAAAGAGCGATAGAAGTTCCGCTGGAGATGCTCTTCCCCATAATTTGAGGAACGTTGGGCGCGATTTCTGTGTTGGAGCCGACGAGTTTAGGGATTCGTGTCATAACATCTTCCCATGTCCAAAACCCTTTCAAGACACCACGAGCCAGTTCCCACTGCGTACCCCATTCGACTCTGGCTCTGTCGAGCAGCTCCAAGACAGCGGGATTGTACTCGACGATGAAATGCGGCTCCAGTGCTTCACCGAGTGGTAGCGATAAAAATTCCTGGACCGCAGTCACGTCCGAATTGATATCCGTCTCCAAAAGCTTATCGCTGATGGCGAGCTTGGAAAGGGCAACCTCGAGTTCTTCAACTCGAGTCATGGCAGGTGTGACAGTTGCAACAGATGGAACTGCGCGTCGTTTGGCAGGAGAGTTGCTCGATTTCGATTGAATAGGCTTTTGCAAACGCGGGCTACTGTTGGGAATGTTGGGACGCCTCAGAAATGCGGATGCACTTTCAACCGGAAAGAGGGGCATTACAGGGCCCTTGCCTTTGTACGAAGAGCCGATCGAGTGGGAACTCTCACTCGATGACGGAATAGTCGACATCGAAGTCCCTCGAGATGAAAGGGGACTGATATCGGACTCCACGTCAGCTGCGATACCCATGTCAGCTGGTGCTCATATTCCGAGGAGTTTGACTCACTGCTTTCGTATTCAGAATCAGTGTCCCTGATAGTGTAGGATCTCTGTTCCAATTAGCTAAGAAAGAACATTCGACATTATGAGTACTACTCACGGTTGGTCGAGAAGACGACGGAGTCCCAAAAGCAGAACGACTAAGAGGCGGTTGACCTGGTAGAAAGAGTTTCAATACAGGAGCAGCGTCGATGGGCAAACCAACGTACGTGTCTTCTCAGGGCTGCTCAGCAGCTCAAGCGTGGTTGAAATCGAGCTGATCGCGCTCGACGACACGGATGAGGCAGCAACCATAGACAAAAGCTTCGGATATGGCCGTCCTGCACTCTTGCCTAGTCATTGACTTAGATGGATCCATGAAAGACGCGCTCAAAGACATACCCTGCAAGGGTGAGCCAAAAGTTGCATCGTTCGACCTGGTTTGCTTCATGGGTGTTGGGGATTCGGGGGATGAAGCAACAGCTGGTTGCTTTCCCTTCAAAGGCGTCGTAAGAGATTCCTCTGTTTGGCATTAGCCAAGCTCAAAGCGACTCCGACTGCCCACCTACCAGACATCGAGCTGATTTGCTCCCACCATTCTTGGTCTTCGGGGTCGAGATCAGAGTAGGAGTCCGTTGTGTCACCCAGTGACTATAAAACGAGTCAGACAAGAGACCAAGGCAGCAGAAAGGTCCCAGACCTTCTTTCGCATCCCTGTGCCCATTCAATAGTCAGTTATAGCCAAGATTCCGTTCAAGTTGGTATCGTCGTCGTGGGGGTATTCAGGTAACCGGGGTATCGATTAGAGCAGTTCAAATGCGCAGCAGTCCAGAAGAAGATCAAGTAGATAAGCCTAGGGCGGCTAAAGCCATAAATGAAAGGGCCTTCGCCGTCGTCACTGTCACATTCAAAGGACCAAAATGTCCAAAAACCGCGAACCATCACGAACCTTCGCCGCGTCCCCGGGCTCCCGGGCCACGCGCCGTGACAGGCCCGGGCGTGACAGAGTTTCACGTGATCGTGACGGCGCGTTCGGCCTGGGAGGGGCGTGACAATCGCTTGAGTTTGGACCACCGCCGCCAGAACACATTCATGCAGAGAACTTCGCCGGCCATGTACACTTCATCAGCAGTCCAACGAGCGAAACGACGAACACACAAGACTGAGCTCACCGAGGAACAGAAACAGGAGATCAAGGAGGCCTTTGAGCTGTTCGACACCGACAAGGATGGCTGCATAGACTATCACGAGCTCAAGGTCGCAATGCGGGCGCTGGGATTCGATATGAAGAAGGCGGAGGTGCTGAAGATTCTGAGAGACCACGACAAAACCGGTCAGAATCTCATGGATTTTGAAGACTTTGCCAAAGTCAGTGAGTAATTGTTTCCAATTTGATTCATTTTGCGCCCGAGGCTGACTGCTGTGGATAGTGAGCGATAAAATCCAAGCACGCGACCCAATAGAAGAAATTCGACGCGCGTTCCAGCTCTTTGACGACGACCAAACGGGAAAGATCAGTCTCCGCAATCTGCGACGCGTGGCGAAGGACATTGGCGACCGGTTAGAGGATGACGAGCTGTAAGTTTTCGTTGCCTGTCCGCGTAGTTCTGGCTGAATGGTTTGCCACAGACAAGCCATGATCGACGAGTTCGACCTCGATGGCGACGGCGAAATCAACGAACAAGAATTCCTGGCTATCATGACCGACGAAGCCTAGTTCTTTGTTCAGACTGCCCTCCCCGTCCCACTCTATCACCCATCTCCCAACGGACTGTTCTTGTTGTATCCTTGTTTAGTCGCTATCGCTTTTGTTGTTTCATTTCCCCTCGGTGAGTTCGCATGCCTTTGTCTCTCGGGATACCTGAAACTCACCCACCGACAGGCTTGTACATTCTGGGCTCTACGCAACTGCATCCTTATATACAGAACCAAGTAATATTACGCAAATCCCGCTACTTCTTCGCTACACCGTCGACTATGAATTGATCCAACCTCTCGCCCACAGTCTGCTTCACCCAGCCCACCAGTGCTTCCGTCATGAACCCTAGTTCCTCTTGCTCCGTCACGATATGCACGGAACGAAGATTCACCAAGCCTTTCACCCAATTCTGAAACGCTTCGGCCACATAGGTGGATTTAATCCAGCCGCCGTACTCACTCATTAATCCCTTGTCTACAACTATCACGAGGCTCGCAATACGTCCACCCCAGTCCCCCATCGCCTGCTGACATCGCCTCAACCACTGTAACGAAAGCACCGGCGTGTATACCTTCAACGTGATGGGGAATGGCAAGGTGCTCTTGGGAACAAGGAGACCATCCAGTTCACCCCAAAGCGTGTCTTCCGTCGACGACATGCTTCCCTCGTAATGTGGGCGAAGCACAACTGTCAGCCGCTCGAGCTTGGGGAAGTGGTGGGAGTGGCCATGGGTGTAGAAAGTGTGTTTGAACCACAAGTCAGGAACACTGAGTTCGAGGAGGCGGGGGAGTGTCGGACAGGCATGTTTCGTTTCATCCACGTCTTGCAATCGTGGGACCATTAATTGGTGGATAGTCAAGGTGGTCAAATTCTGAAACGAGTTTAACCACCTGGTTAGGTTCTCTAGGTTCCCTCTTGCAGACACCACGCCTAGTTCCAGCTTCTGGAGGTTCTGCGCTGTCGATTGGGCGAGGAGATAGAGTGATGCATCGAACAGGAGATACCATATGTTGAGATTGGCTATCGAGAGGCTTTGGATTGACGACGCCAATAAGGCGGAGTAGGTCCACTGAACGAGTGGAGGGTGGAGCAAACTGGGATGGTTGACGATATGAGAGGTGGTCGAACCCATGGTAAGATGCCGCAGCTTTGTGTTCTTCCGCGCTCCCTCAGATATGAGGGAGAGGGCAACTGGCTTCCGGTTGACTGGCTCGAACTGAAAAAGAGGGGAAGTCTCGCAATTGCTGAGTCTTGGCTTGTACCTGTATCGCCCATACTTGCCGAGCACGCTGGCCATCGAGTCCGGATCGTCCTGTTTCAGCAGCTTGAGATGGCCCAGCGCACTCCGAACGCGAGTTGCCGTAGTCGAGTACAACCAACTGAATGGCGATGAATAGAACGAGGTGAAGTAGGACGCCTCGTTATTCGACGCCTGGACCTCCAGCGACTCGCAACCTCGTTCGAGGATGGCATTCAGCAGTCTACCCCAGCTCTCCGCTTCCCATTGCAGCAGGTAATGATAATCCTCGAGGTCAAGGTCAGAATGCCATGGTACAGGCCACCCGCGATACGTGCACACGATCACAACCTTTCTGACCCTCTCCAATGGCAAGATCGCCGCTGTCAACCTCCCAACCTGGTCCGGCAAGCCGCCTGGGAGCAGGACCAATCTACCTGGTCTCTCTGGTAGACTCGATGGGTACGAATGCAAAGTAAGCGTGCAAACCAGCTCCTCTGTGGAGCGCACGAAGAAGGGAAGTCGGAGTGCTGTTACGGCGTCGTAGATTCTGCCTGTTGGCGCTGTGGGTGGGAAGTGCAGTGCGATCCGTTTCTCGGGTTCTGGAACGCCCATGTTGGAGAGATAGAGGTTGAGGCATATGTGGTAAAGGTATCTGGATGTGTGCGCCAGTCTGAAAAGCATCTCGTTGGAGAGAGACGCCCGGGATACCAGGATATCCCTCCACACTTCAGGCGGGATCCTGGAGAAGGCGCTGGTTCGTTGCTCGGAGACAGTCACTATGTTCTGTATGAGACTTTGCGACCATGTTCATAGTTCACTCGAATCTTACTTGAGTGGTCGAGTTGAAGCTATGCCACGAACGACAGTCGAAGCCTACCGTCAGGAGGCTGTACATCCCGGAGAATTCAGATAAGGTTCTACAGATCCCGTGGACGTGGATGATACTGCCAGATGCACACTGCATGGGATTGCTTCTACACTTGGCGTTATTCTCGTCTGCACATCATGTTGGTCACCTCCCTAACCCTTAATGGTTAGAGCGAGCACTACTCAACCCACCCTACAAACCCAGGTCATGGCTACCAAGTTGGCCCTCCAAGTCGGAGACAACCTCGAGCCACTCCTCGCCGTCCCTCTCCCTTCCAACCGCTAAAAATAAGAATTGAAAGACACCAGAGTTCCATTTGACTATAATTTATAATAAATGCGCGTTGAATCTAGACTTTTGACTTCGTATACCAGTCACAAGATAAGGGTATGTAACGACAGAGATGAGATAAAGCTTGCGAGAATGCACTTTGGACGCAAGGCTGAACGTGATTATAAGTACTTTGTGTTCGTTCGAAGGGACTTCCCCGCTCGCCGAGAGAATGAGGGAACAAGGAGGGAGCTTGAAGCTGAAGAGATGTGCGTCGCGAGATGTATATGCCTTCCATATCATACCGAGAAAACAAATAAAAAAGAAGAAAATTTGAATGCACATTTGAATCGACAAAACATCCAAAACAAGGTAAGGACCAAGGGACCGATCCCCCAATGAAAGCACAAAAAATAACAACAATGGTCTTGCACAGCGAGGTCGAGAAAAATAAACAAAAAGACAGTGAGTGATTAAAAGCGATTAGAGACTAGTAATGAAGAAGAAAGGGGGTGGAAGCAAAATAAGTAGTAGTAAGTGGTAGTAATAGAGAACCAAGAAAAATGCATACGATAGCGACGAAATATATGCCCAAAGGAAGACAACAATCAACAGTTGACATGCATAAGGAAGGGGGAAGCGATATAATGTCAATGTTCAAGTTTCCTCGAGATGATGATTATCGCAGCGGACACGACGTGGAAGAGCAAGAAGGGAATCCCAGAACACCACAACATACGTCAAGCAAGAACCAAACCAGCAGTCCTTACGACGTAGCCGACGCGGGGGGAGGTTTAGGCGAATTCGAAGAAAACAACGAAAACACCTTCTCCGCGTTGTTCTTGTACTTCTTCAACTTCTTGTTCTTGAGCGGCTTCTCCACTTGCTCACCCTCTGCTGGCGGCGACCCAAGCTCAGGACCACCATTCGTCGCGGATGGCGTAGTCGGCGAGATCACGTTCCCAGAGTAATCCGATGACATGCTCTTCGCGTCCATCGAGACTGCCGATTCCTTCGACTTGAGGGAGGGCGAGAACATGGACGTGTTCACGGGGGTCAACAATCCACTTCCAGTAGGCATCGACATCGATTTTGAAGCAGCAGCGGAAAGCGAACTCGAAGCAGTCGCAGAGAACGACCTCGTCGAATTCGTATAACTCGATGGTGGGGCTTTGGGACGGAGGAATTGGCGGGGATGTTTGCGGAAGTTCAAGCCGGTGCCTCGACCACGGCGGCTAGAAGGAGAAGGGGACTCGGCTCCAGTACCACCCTCCGATACCTGAGACGATTTTGACATCCCGGAGACCGAACGCTGCTGACTTGGTGTCGACCCCTTGCGGAACACCGCGAGTTTGTACCGATCCACCACACCACGAGCCCACAAACTCGTTCCCTTGGCGCCGTTCCTGTCTTCCCCATCCCCAGCCTCGACAAAATCCCAGTCCTCATCTTCTTCATCCCGCTCAGGCTCAGTCATCTCAGGCTCATCATCACCACCATCAGACAGATACTTGTCCAATGCCGGAACACCAGATTTCTCGCGTCGTTTGGTACGTCCTTGAGCACGGCTGCCACTTGCTTTGGGAGGTGGTGTGTGTCGTCCATTGACAGGTCGTCCATTCGGATCGGCGATGATGGTAGCTCGCTTGTACGCCTCTTCTTCCTTGGCCTGGTACTCGAGTTGCTCTTCGAGCTCGACAGCGACACTGGCATTGGCCAACAGCTCTTCCTCGGAAGCGCTCGGCAACGAATCCTTGGGGACGACAGGCTCGTGTACCTTTGAAGGTTCGCGTGTTTTGGCGGGCGGAGTTGGTGGCGGTGGACTTTGCTGTGGTGGTTGAGGCTGCGCTGGTTTTGGTGGTGCGGCGTCGTCGACAGGAGGCAAAGCCGAAGGCCTTGCTTCAGGCGTCTTGGGCTCCAACTCTGAAGTAGCACCATCCTCCTCACGTTGTTGCTGACGAACCTCATCCTCATCAATCGTATCGCCCTCCGACTTGGTCTCCCCAGTCATCATCGAAGAGCTGCCATCCTGATCCATACTCTCGTCATCCTCACCCTCTTCACTGTCAACCTCGTCACCGTCCTCGTCGTCATCGTCCATAAGTATCGAGTGTCGACCCTTGAACGAGTACCCATCGAACACGTCCACACTGTCGTCTTCTTCCTCGTTTGCCGTTCGAGAAGCAGGACGGACGGAAGAACTGCGCGATTGAGAAGGCGTGGTGTTGGTATCACCGTCAGTCCGGTCGGTATCGGTCTGAGGCTCGGCATCAGTGTCGGTGGCTTGGCCAGTCTCGTCGACGTATTCGTCCAAAACAGGTTCCATGTCGAGGAAGGTTTCATCGAAGTTTTGGGTGTCGTATGCAACCGTGCGGTCGACAGGAGGGACATATGGAGCTACATTCCATCATTGTCAGATTGGAACGAAAGGAGGTGAAATGAAAGAACTTACGAATGTACCGCTTGTAGTAGACGTGACACCAGTCGCTGTTGGGAAACCATATTCGTCAGTACACATCTTGCTTGGAGGACGCTCAAAACCCACATCATGGAGAAATAGGGGTGTTTCTTGATCCTAGGTTCACGAATTCGGAGGTCGGGATTCTTTTGCAAGAGCTATATGGAGGATAATTTAGAACAAGCCTCGCGCAGAGTCAAGGATCGAGACTTACACCACGAATCAAGCTCTTGGTATCCTGATCCATAACCCTCTCATCCGGGAATGTCAACTCGTCCTGCAACACCCTCACATACATGTCGGAATGGTTGTTGGCATAGAATGGAGTCTGCAGACCCGGGTTATCAGCGCTCGCCCACAAACAGCCACAGGAAAAGGACACTCACCATGCCAGTCAACATCTCATACAACATGGTTCCAAAACTCCACCAATCCACCTCGTACGAATACGGCAAGCCTTGGATAACCTCAGGCGCAAGGTACTCGGCCGTCCCACAGAACGTAGTGGTCACATCCGGATTCCCAATCGGCTGACCTGGCCACCCGTACATCATTTCGCCATTCTTATCAGGCTTCATCCACGGAGGCATCACACTATGTGGGGTCCCGGGCGCACTCGAATAGAAATCGCTCGAACGACTTCCACTCGGAGTCATCGGAGCTGAAGAAGCAGCGGACAAGTGGGGACGGGAGAACTCCTTGGAGAGACCGAAATCAGTGAGAACGATGTGCCCGTCCGCGGCGATGAGGATGTTTTCGGGCTTGAGGTCGCGGTAGATGACACCGGCGGCGTGGAGGCCTTCGACACCTTCGACGATTTCAGCGGCGTAGAAACGGGTTCGGTCCCTGCTGAGTCGGCCCCAACGAGCCAGTTGGGTCGCAAGATCACCTCCGGGGTGGAAGTCCTAAAAAAACATAAATAAACGAGTCAACTGGAGAACATAATGCATACCATAACCAAGAAGAGGTTCTCTTTATCATGGAAACTCCACCACAGCTTGACGACAAAGGGATCTTTCGACTCCGCGGCCATCCGTTTTAGAACAGCCTGTTCCGTCAACGTATGCTGCAGCTCTTGATGCGCCAAAACGTGTCGTTTCGTGATAGCCTTGAGAGCGAACAGGCCCGAGCCAGTCTTGTGTCGAACAAGCAACACTTTACCAGCACAACCCTTCCCAAGCACACGAATCATCTCAAAGTCTTCTATGGTAACTTTCTTTGACGACTTCTTCTTCTTCTTGCGTTTGCGGGTGACGGCTGCGGAGAAGGACGATTCGTCGCCGGTCTCGATCTGTGATGACATCCCACCATCGAGGCCGTCCTGGCTCGGGGTCGTGGACTGTGCGTAGGCCCTAGCCATCTTGTGAGACTTGTCAGGCTCGCACGACTGGGAACGGTGGAGACGGGAAGCTGCAGCAGCTGCAGAAGTGGAAGATGTCGCAGCAGACGAAGAGGAAGGAGCAGCAGCTTGAGTTTGGTCGACATCGGCAGTGTGCCCTTGTGCAGCAGCGGTAGACTCATCTGTTCCGGTGGCGGGTCGGCCCTCTCCATCGACAAGGTGCTTTTGATCATCAGACGAGGTCGCCTGATCACCCTGAACGGGCGCGGCATCTGACGCTCCTGCAGGGTTGTCCGCCTGAGCATCAGCAGGAGTAGCAGTAGCCTCTCGGGCATGGGCTTCTGGAGCATCGTCCCCCTCCTTCTGGTCTTGCCCAGCACCACCCTGATTGCCTCCGGATGGCGCAGCTGAATCCACAGCGTCATCCTCAGGAGTGGGCAGCGAAGCCTCTGCTCGATCAGCGTTTTCTTTGTCATGCTCGGCGTGCACACTCCCAATGAGACTAGCACGGTTATTGGCAAGACCACCGACATGTGCCGCTAGATCAGAGCGAACACGTTTAATGGCCCTTTCAACACGGACACTCTCTAGATCATCCGTCCGGACCCGAACAAAACGCTTCCACACACGATCCTTGCGCAACTCTGGAGCGTTGGAGATGGTGGTGAGATAGGCTGCGATCGCGGTGCTGGTAGCCGAGGGGGAGGCAGCTGATGGGCTTGGCTCGCTGGGGTTCTCGACCTGAGTGAAGGGATCGTTGCTCTCGCTTGCGGGGCTGGTTAGAGGCGGGGTGGGGAGTGTGGACGCGACAACCGCAGTCGCCGTCGTCGCGTTTTCACCTCGACGAGCTGCCGATTTGGCATTCTTGTTCGAGGTCGGGGACGCAAGACGAGAAAGAGTGTTCAAAAAGTTTGACTTGCGTTTGGGAGGGATGGGGAGCGATGCGGCGTCGATGGGCAGGACTGGGATCTTGGAGGCAGGATGGGAGTCGCGGAGTTTTCGGTCCAGCTCAAGAATCTCGATGGCAGTGCGGGTGAGCGTGAGGTTGTGCGTCGGCGCTGTCAGGATAACGTATTAGAATCAGAAAACAAATTCAGAATGGGTTGAAATGACAAAGCACACGCTCGACGATGTATACAGAGTGGGGTGCGGAATAAAGACGACTCACTCTTTATGTAAAGACTGTAGGAGCGGGAATCGTGGGGTGTTTCTGCGACGCTGACGCTCCAGGGGCCATCTTGGCCATCTAGACGGACTGGTTGCCTGCGGTTGGCGGGTATGTTGGTATCTACAACTTGCATATCGTCGTCGTAAGGTTTGGTGGTGGAGTGGGTATTGAGCTGGTCGAAAAGCGCAGACCCAAGGGGTTGATGTGCAGGCGGCTATGTATGGGTTGATGATCCCCAAAGGCAGTCACTGTATTATAGACAGAATCCGGGGGGTCGACTGTGGCATACGCTTGTGGGTTGCCGTACCCGGGGGTTGAGGTCGACGACGACGGCGACGACGACGGGGGAGGGTGGACTCGTCGTGGTCGATGGGCAAAAGAGAAAGGCAGAGACGGGATTCAAAGCTGTTTGGGTGCGATTGTCCAAAGTTTGCGCTGTCCGGAAGCCACGAGTTGTTGTGGAAATCTCTTGGTGTTGTCAGGGCCTCTTCGATTGCCTCGAGGCAGCCGGCCTAAAACTAGTACTGGAATCAGCCGTGACCCTTGCTATGATTCGCGCGCGCGCCCGAAAACGGCCTGGAAAACCCTTGAAAAGTAGAGAGAATAAAGCAGAAAAAAGAGGATTAAGGAGCGTTGGGATGAGGTGTGGTGTAGAGTGATGGTTGACCTGAACAACCCAAACCCCTCTCTCAATAAACTCACGGCCTCAATCCCACAATCCCAAAGTGATCAAAACACTTCCCCCCTTTCGGCACTCACTTTTGTTCTTCAAACACTAAATCTCTCGGTCTCCTTCTTGAACGTGGGCGTTCTTATTTACTCTACCGAATAATCGCTATGCACTTTTATGCCTATCCAGCCTGCATGCCGCGACGTCTCCCCGACCATGAACTAGGGAAATCAGGCCAGCGCATAATCAGTTCTGGATCCAAAGCCTAGTGATGGCCTGCTTTAATTTTGTCTATGGTGGCGTTCCACTGTCTATTATTATGCGGATAAGGCACAGCAGGGGGGTGTTGATGCAAAGCTTGCTGTGACACTAGCTTCCCACAACAAGGCTGCAATGGGAGCCCTTTCCTCCATATTATTTCCAACTTCCCCGTCGCCGATTGGAGTATCTTGGAGTATATGATATGCGCCTACATCATCCCACCGACCCTGCAAATTTCTATGCCGTTGAGCGAACACCAAACGTCATTGATGCGAATTATCTACCTATTACCGTGTTCTCAAGCTCCTTTCGACAAAACTTCACAACCGAAATGACCACCTTATCGCGTCCGTCGCGACTCAATACTAGTCTCTCGGGTCGGAATTCAATCTCATTTCGGTCGGAATTCATACTGTATTGTCTTCAGTCAATTCACGAATTTCACTCTATTGCTTCACTACTAAAACAAGAAACGAACAAAAAGAGAGGGCGACAGAGAGAGAGAGAGACAGAGAGAAAACAATTCCTACAATTTTAAAAAGAAAAAGAATTGAAAGACAGTCCATGATGCTTGGTTGTTCAGTCGGTATATGATGCAAGTAGGCGAATAGTGGGTGGAGGTACCTAGTAAAGAGAAAAAAGTCTCTGAAGAATATAACGGAGCTAACTAAATAGCAAGTGATGTGGATGGTGGTGTGAAGAGAGAGAGAGAAGAAAGAGAGACGTATGGATAAAAGGGAAAGAGTGGATAGGATAGGATATAGTCAAAAAGAGCGGGTGTACTAGAGTACCAAACGTATGGAGATAGCAGGACTCTTGGAAGGCAATACGAGAGAATAAGGAAACAGGAAGGATGGTATAGTAGCAGCATGCAGCAGAGAGAGAGGGACAAAATCATGAAGAAAAGAATTACATTGACGAGTGAATGAAGGGAACAAGACAGAAAAGAGAGAGAGAAAATCCACCCCCAAAAAATAACAAGAAAAGAACCCCGAGACCGTTCTAGTAAGATAGAAAAGCGTCTCCATGGAAAAACAAAACAGCTAGAATCCACTAGCTTTCCAACTCGAAGGCGGCGGAGCCTTCCTCAACGCACCATGTCCAGCCCTCCCAGAACTCAACGCAGGCTGACTCGTCGTCCTCTGCCTCGGACCGGCCTTGGACGATCCAACGATAGACGACCGATCACCTCCACCACTAGGTATAGCCGGCACAGGTGGCACATTCCCATGTCCACCATATATCGAATCCCTCGCCCCAGTCGATACATGCCGGCTCCTACCGCCACCACCCGAGGCAGCCCCAATCTCCCCGTACGAACTCCTCGAGCTACTCCAGTTACCCATCGCAACCGAGCTCCTGCCCCCGCCAGAAGACATCATCCCTCCCCCATACTCACTCCTCGAACTACTCATCCCACCATACATCGACCGCGAACTCGCGCTGGGACCCATAATCGCCGACCCAGTCGACCAATTATTAGGCTGCCCCATACCCATCATACCCATCCCCATACCATACGGCGTAATCATCGACCCAGGCCCAACACTCCCCCCACTCCCCCCTACACCACCATACACACTCCCACCAAACCCGCCCATATTCGAACTGCGCTCCCACTCGTCGGCAGCAGCCGCCATAGCCTGCTGCGCCACCGCCATCTGGTACGCCTGCTTCGCGATCATCATCGCTTGTTGGTGCGCGGCGAGGAAGGCTGGATCGTTGGAGGCTGGTTGCGGGAGCATGAATTGCGCCGGGGAGAGCATGCCTGGGCTGGGCATGGGGCCATGCTGCATCGCCATGTTGAGGTTCATGTTCATGTTCATACCCCATGTCGCTCCGCCTCCAGGTACACCCGGGAACCCAATCTGAGGCTGCATACCCATCATCATAGGATTCATGGTCGACATCCGAGGGTTCATAGGAAGATCGTCGTCGTCGTCCAAGATTGGACCACGGCCATTGACCACTTCGCCGAGCTAGACAAGAAGAAAAAGGAATAAAGAATATTATTAAAACCTTCCACTCCAAGGAAACGACAAGACCTTCTTACCTCAATAGCAGCCTTCGCCTCCTCCCTCCTCCGTTCCTTCCTCCTCTCTTCCATCTCAACCTCCACACTCCTCCGCTCCTTCTCTTTCGCTTTACCCGAATCGCCCCCAGTAAGCTTCGTCAAATCCCTCGACGCTCGACTAGACCTAAACTCCACCAGATCCCTCGGCTCATCATCAAAGCTCACACTCCGCCTCTTCAACTTTTGCTTCGTCTTGGCGGACATACCCAGTCCACTCGCACCCCCGCTGTATTGTTGTACAGAGTCGGTCTTAAGTGCCGAGTCTTTACTCCGAGTGTTGATACCGATATCAGAGCCATCTCGGGGCGTGAGAGGGGCACGGCCGCTACTCGAGTCGCCCGTTGAGCTCGCGGGACTGTCTCGGCGGACGGCAAATGGTCGGCTGGGCATGTGAGGCGGAGGCGTACCACCTTGCGGAGGCGAAAGCATAGGCACCAAAGTCGAACTCCGCTGCCTAGGCTGAGGCTGCATCGCAATCGTCGCACCAACAGCCCGGAGTGCGTTCGTCCTGTCGCTGTTCGGACTGTCCGGTGGAGGTGTGCTCCTCGACGAACTGCCATTCGCAAAGGGTGGACTGGGCGACAAGTAGTTCGACGTTCCACCAGGAGTCGCAAGCGTACTGCTCCTCTTCCTCGCATTGAATGTCGAAGACGAAGATGAAGTGACCGTGGTTGAAGGTAAAGTCATAAGGTTCATGGACGACCTCGTTGACGATCCTCCCACCACACTTCCAGCATTACTCGATCCACTGGTACTGCTGACGGTCGAAAGGGCGTTGCTCTGCTTAGTCGGACTACGCGAGATTGGAGGTCGAGAAGTGACACTAAACGACGGGGCGGGTTGACGCTGCTTGATCGGGATAGGGACAATCTTCTCCTCCTTAGGCTCCTCAACAGCACTCTTCTTCCTCAACGGATCCTTCTTCCCCGACACACTATCATACCCATATCCATCGCTATCACTCTCGCTAGAATCGGAAGTCTCAGACTCCGAATCAGACGGCGAATCTTCACCATTTCGCGAGATCAACTTCATCCCTGCAACTCCAAGGAGATCTGCAAGACTAGGGTCAGGAGGACTGGGTTTGGAGACTGGGCGTGGCCGGATGGTCGCTGCTGATGTCGAGGCAGGAATGTCGAGCGTGTTTGACTTGGTGCGCTTCGCAACAGGGGCTTTGATATTCGAATTCAAATCCTTCGGACTCTCGCTTCGCTGCGGTTCCAAAAAGTTGCGAACAGACGGAGATTCTGGCGGTGGGAGCGGTTTGTTGAGATCACCAACTGGAGTCGTGCTTCGTGAGATTGACAGAAGCGGCGCTGAGTTTGACCGTTCCGGATTGAGCTGAGAAGGCCCAACCGTGCTCTTCACCACCTTGGACAACCTCTCTGACAACGCGTCCCGCTTCCTCTCCCCATCTGGGGTCGACTCGTTGCCTCCCAACGACGAACTCGAAGCCATAGGTAACGGCATTGTCGAGCTTCTCGGAGGGATTCCCATCCTCTTCACTTCCTCCTGACCTGGGGTCGATGGAGGGGAGATAAAGTTGACAGGCGGGATCTTGCTGACCACTGAATGTGTTGGCGAGGGAGGTCGTCGGAGATCCGGTCGAGACGAGGAGTCCATTCCTGATAGGAGCGTCCTTCCAGGTGTAAAACCTTCCATCGACTTCCCAGGCGAACCTGCGGGTCGCGGAAGGCTGGGAGCGGGCTTTGTCGCAACCAGTTCTTTGATGTCGATCAACGGTTTATGCTGTCCACCTGAGCGCGTCGACGCGTTCCCATTAGAATATGACGACATGGCGCTTCCCGGTCGTCGAGGAGGGACGAGTGTTGCAAGAGGAGCATTGTCGGAATCAGAGTCCGAGTCGCTGGACGGGGTTTGTTGGAGAGGGAAATTTCCGTGGCCCAGATTCGTCGATGCCTTCTTGTTCGTCGTCATAGATGGTGGTTCTGGAGGATTGGAATGTATGGAGGAGTCGCGAATGTGTCGGGAAGCACGTTTGTATTGGTTAATGGTATCTGGAAAAATGAATGAAGAGATCAGTCAGATGGAACGTGCTTCCATTCAACAGACGGGAATCACTCACCGGCCTCCGTACCAGCATTTGCTGCAGCTAGGACGCTCGCGCGTTTGGCAGCAGCAGATGGTGTGAGTGCACTCGTGGAAGCACTCGCACGCGGTCTCTGGCCCCCGGCATAATGGCCAAGGCCTGATTCAGATGTAGGCATTGCTTCTTGTGCCGCATAGTTGGATAACAACGCCTGCGAGTTCGGACGTGAATGTGAAGGAGACTCTTGCCGTGAGGACCAATCGTGGCCAACGTGTGATTTGGGTGCGGAACGAGTTGGTGTCCTCCTGTCCAATATTGCACCATGTCCCATATCCGACTTTGCTCGCCCTTTGTGAGTCAAGGGCAGCCTCGACGTTGGCTGCCGTCCCCTTTGGGCTTGGGTATAAGTTCCATCATCGTCCGACTCTTCGTGTTCAGATGAAGAATCAGAATCATCCGTGTCTGATGCAAAGAGAGATGTTGCCGCGAAGGACATTCCAGACTTGCGCTGATTGAGCTGCGTCGAATATGACGTTGATGGCGAGGGCTGAGGGGACGGTCGCGGCGGCCGTGAGCTCGAAGCAATGGGTCCTCGGGGAACATCGGGCGGCAACGATGGGGAATTTGGTAGCGGACTAGGCGAACGGCCAAGTGAAGGAGAGGGTGATCCAGCCAAACTTCGGCGTGCTTGTGCTTCCCTGAATGCTGCGACTGAAATTCGGTGTGACGAGTCTGAGTGCACAGGCTCAGCACGCGGCCGCGGCGCGGGCGTGTGCAGGGAGACGTTTGAGGCGTTTGGGTTTGAGTTGGAATGCGCCGGGCTTGAGGGCCCGACGTGGCGGAAAGACTTGAGGTTGAACGAAGACTCTGGCGACTCGCCGACGTTGTGGGTGTCGATGGGTGCTAGCTTCTTCGGGTCTTTCGGAGGTATAGGGAGCGCCTTGGACGACGAAGATTTCGTCCAGGAAAATAAGGACGGCCGCTTTGTGGGTGGTGGTGGTGGTGCAGATGGTTGCGGTGATTCTGAACGAGTGTGATAGCCTTCATTAGGTAGGGAACGCGTAGAGAGTGCACTGTGGGGGTCGTTGTAGGCAGCGAATATAGCAGACTTGGAGGGTGGAGGTCGCAAACGTCGGGGATCTGCCGTTTCACTGTCGGAGGCTGCGCTGCTGGTACTGATGCGCCCCATGTAGGGCGGTCTGGGTGAAGTACCGAATGCATTGTCGTAGTCATTGTCGTTCGTCGACTCTGGCGGCTTGATTGAGGACTTTTTCCGGCCAAAGATACGCAGCTTGGACGTCGAGGGCATCATCTCCAACGATGGACGGTGGTCGTTCAAGTTCGTGTGAATGTCTCTGGCAGAATCAGGATGCAGGTAACTCTTGCCATTTGGAACAGACGGTACGTGTTTATCCGGAGTGACGTACGAGGCCGTTGGCGAGGAGAGCGTCGAGTCGATGTCTTCGCTGGTGGCGGCGGGGGCGCTGGCGACGCTGGACGCCTGCTGTTCCTTGTTTCTGCCTTTGCTCTTTCTTGAGAACAGCCCACCCAAGAGCGTCATTGGCAAAGACAGTTATAGGCTCTTGACAGGGCCGCAAGCGGTCCTCGGTGCTTTTGTCGCAGGCTTTATATAGAGCTGTGGTAGCGCCGTATGGGCCAGTGTTGTCGGCGACGACGGCAGCGACGTCGATGAGGACGATGAGAAGAAAGTGATGGACGATGAGGAGAAAGAGAAGAAAGTTGTGGATGACCGGTTGCAAAAAGACTGGTCTGCTTGGTGGGCCAAGCGATGCAGTTGACGTCTGGAACTCTGACAGGTTTGTTTACACGTTCCGCTCAGTCAACAACTCCGTTTTTCTTCTTTCCCCCTTGATTACGGTACGCCGGAGTTCCATGGATGGATTTTCCCATCACGCGCGGCAAGCCGGCCCTAAAGCACATTCGGCGCGCACTTATTCACTTCATATCTACTTCATATCTCCAACTCAAACGTCACTTGATTTGTTGTAGAAGGCAGATGGATGGTCGAAGTACAGTAGTTAGCGTACGTATAACTATATATTAAAATTCATCGTGATATAAATCAGAAACCGGGCCAGCCATCCTTGCGAAGACATCCCAGGCCGTCTGAGTAGTGACCTTTGGTGACCCAATATCGTCATAAACCAATCCAGCGATCACGTCGAAGTCTTCGCTAAACCATGAGAGATAATTCTCTCGGGGTCCAACATCCTCTTCCAGGTACCTTCGGCAATCATCAACCAACTCCGAAGGTACATCGATTAGACAGCTCTTGGTCCCCGGAATGTACAAGTCCGGGTGCTCAAGGGCGTCTGCAGGAATGTGCTTTGAGGGTAAGATCTTGTCATCTTGCGGCCTCACTCGTCTGTTGTTAAAATAAGTGCGGAAGCGATCCAGATGCTCCTGGACCAATGGAACAAAGATCCAATAAAAGAGTGGGCTATAAGTGAATGTCAGTGGAGCATCGTGTGTCTTGGGAATTAGCTTACATGTGAGAAGGAATGTTGGGGTTGAATATACCACGGACTTTTCCTTGCAAAATGAGATCCTTGAGGTTCCAGCCTGTCGTCTTCTGAAGCCACCTCCACAACGATTCAATGATCGTGTTGTGGACGCTCTTGATAGCAACAGCAGACGGATCCACTTCTGGATCGATATCTGGCGCAAGAATAGCCCTATATGAGGGTAGAATATCAGATACTCGATGGAAATTAAGTGAGTTAATATATAGCCTACCGTAATGCGTCCTGTATGACCTGTTGGTACCCGATCTCCGACCCTTTGTCTGTAGTAAGCTGCACGGGGATTCCTGTCAGAGTTCTGTGAGATCACAAGTCACAGGCCAGTGGGACGTACTAATACATACCTTTATACTCGTAGATAAGATCTAAGTAGACGTACCCCATGGCAGCTGACTTCCGGATATTTGGTAGGACATCAATCTTGAGCAGGAAGCCAGAGAATTTATCGCGATAGGCGTAAATTGACAAGCCAATCGATCCCATTTGAAGCGCCTGGGCGTTAAGCTTCTCATGGCCGTCTCCAGATACCTCACGGAATGGGCCAATGGAAAGGAGCGCAGTACGTGGGATGAGGCCTTTGCGCTTTCCGGGAAACCGTTTGTCAAATCCTTCCGGCGCAACACGATGCATGATTTCGCGAACTTTACGACTGACGAAATAGAAAAGGAGGGGCAATTCAGTACGAAAGCTATGGCCCAAGCCTGTGAGGTACGCACCGGGACACCATAATTAAGTCATCCTTGAGCATGGACTTAATGGTGGAAGGTCCATTCCCTTGTGCAACGTCGGCCTCCACTGCCTTCAACACCTCTCTATCGAGCTCCTCCTCCGTCCGGAAAGGGCGACGTACAGACGGTATCCGTAAATCGCGCTCTAATTCATTGAGCTTTGATTTTCTGATAAACGAGATCAAGCAAGAACGCCGGTGATCGACAAACTGTAAAACTCACTTAATTACAAGCCCCAAATCTCTTTCTAATCGCACCAACTTTTCTTTTATTGACAGGCCTCGTTGGGCATACATAGTAAGAAATGTCTTCAGCGTTTCTTTTGGAGGGTCTATTCCAAAAATAAGCAAACGAAATCACAAGTTGAAGGTTATTATGTGTTCTACTTACAGTTCTTTTCGCCCCATTGATTCTTTCCAAGTTCGTTTGGCATGGTGGAGAGCAGGCAGGAAGTATCTCCCGTTTGTATTGGCCTCAAGTGCGTGGTCACGTCGATGTTAGACGCACAATGGTTGTCGAGTCTAAGTTAGGTCTCGGAACCTTGTCCACATGAACTTCACGAAAAATCGAGAAAATTCGATAGAAAAATATGACATCACTTCACTCTGCCAGTCTTCGACTTATTCGACGACCTTCTACCCATAGAGCATGAAGGAACCTTTTAGAAATAGAGAAAAAGACGAGAGGAAGGTATAAATACTTGTACAGACTTGGTCCTTCCTTGCTCGCTCACCTGCTCCTCATCATCATCTTGCTTCTCCATGACGCCGACTGTAGAGTGCCCACTCTGTGACCAGGCATTCCAAATGCCCTCTGGCGCTGTCTGTGGACGTTGTAGGAAGCTACAAGGCCACGATCGCAACTCAGATACATACCGTCAGATTATGGTAAGTGTTCTCCCTTAACGTAATGATCGACATTGATTTTACTTCTTGATTCTTCTAGTCCTGGCCTCAGTGTGTCGCTTGCGGGGCATGCTTCCAGAACATGTCGCTCCCTGTCAATGGTGTTCAACTTTGCGGGAAGCCTGGATGCAGAGATGGAGGCGAGCAGACTGGGCAATCCCAGAGCCTGACTCCCATGGGATCAAACCCCATTCCTCCGTCGATCCATATCAACAACTCGCTCTCCAATAATTCCTTGCTTCGTTCTGAGGAATTTAGGAATCGCATCAGGGCGAGATCCCGTCCAGAGGTTATCGTAGCCACTACGCGTCTCAGCTCAGCAGCACTGCACGAGCGGGAGAATGCCTTAAGACAGGAGATTGCTGATGCAGCTTCCGTGTCTAGGGCCCAGATCACCATTGTTTATGCGGTACGTGAAGTGCTAGCTATCTCGTCGATCATTTACTGAATGTGTTTTTTTCTTGTCTTTAGTTTCGGCAAAGTACAAACTGGAAGCAAGAGGATGGGACTCTTGGATCCGGTGAAATACCATTTGACGCTCACAAGACCTTGTCTGGTAAGATCAATCCACTCGTTAATTTCGTTTTTTCGTGACTATGCTAATCGTCGTCTAAGATGTCCACGCATATTTAGTGAAAAGGGTTAACGACGAATGGGGAAAGGAAGGCAATTTCAAGGCTATTTATATGTAAGTCGTCTCTATTCCGTCCTAAGAACCTGTATACTGACTTGGTTCACAAAAATAATATCTGTGCAGGGAAGAAACTGATCTTCGTCGAGTAAAGAACAAGCATATTCCAGACGGCTGGATGAGTGCTACCCTTGAGGCCTATAAGGGCTTCTGTGCGAGTCAGAACTGGCTAGTACCACTCACAGGGCCTACTGCCAGGCGAGCTCGGGTAGGAGGATTGCCGTCTATGGGTGTCCCTTTTGAATTGTTTCTGAAGATGAACATGGTACGTTCAGATATGCTACAGTATCCCAGTACAAAACTAACTGTTCTATTGTGCTTAGTACTATGCTCGCCTCGAGCGCGAAGGGTCAGCAGCCATTTTGGACCAAATTGGCGTTGGTTCAAGCTCGTTGGTTCGCCCATCGGCCAACAAGCGGGCTAGAGCAGGGACGAGCTCCAATGTGAGTCTCATCTCTAAGATTCCGCGCTATTCCTGCGTCCGTAAGTCGCCTTATACCCTTTCTACTTCTAGTCGTAGTTCTAATCAACATTTGCAGCCGTATCCTCTTTCTCTGGCGCCCACACTTCATTCTCTACCAAGAAGCTTGTGACTCGGACGAAAGTTGAGGTACAGAGAATTACCTGCAAGGTCTTAAATAACCAGGGCGATCCAGCGTTTGAGAAGAAAGAGAAGCTCGACCTTTACATCTCAGACGCTTTTTTTGCCTCTGGCACAATGAAAGTTGTATTTGATGTGAGTCCATTCGATTTTGGCTGATCTCAATCGTGTTTTCTCATAGGGATTGCTTTAGGCGTCTATTCCCGACTACGACTCTCCCCTAATCGTTAAAAGGTTCTTTAAGATCGACAATCTGTCCAGCCCCGAGTTGGACAAATCAGGAACTCCACCCAAGGCTGAATTCGACGTTTTGACACACAACTCGCTTATTCGTGCTGAGGGCGTGCGTGCTGGGCTGGGACAGAGGCTTCTAAACTCATTCTATCGGGATGCGGAGCAAGCCGACGTGAATGTCTACAAATGTAAGTGGCGGTTTTCAGGACCCGATCTGTAACTTACTTACATGGTGCACCACTCAGACTTCTTCTTCGAGATCCCTACTTTCTATCAAGAGATTTCGAAGCCTTCGCCAGCATCGGGCGTCGTATCTGACGAGCTCTTTGGTGTCCCTAGTGAGTCTGAAGTCGAAGAAAATCTTATCCTTTGGTGTGGAGAGCGGAAGCACCCTTCTGAAGTGGTGATTCGCTTCAATGGCACGCTCAGCCACCCGTCTACCCGGACTGACATGAAGCATCTCACCATGTACGCGTTCTGTCATTACGTCTATGGAGTAACGAAGGGTACTCTTGTATTTGCCGATATCCAGGGTAAGCTTTCCTTTTCTATGCATGTATGAATAACACATTTTGACGCCAACTCTACAGGTACACCTGCAACTTTAACCCAAGGTAATCAGGACAAGGATGGTTACCTTTTATTCGACGTCATGACCCATACAGAGCATAAGTAAGATAAACGATGACTGTACAAGCGAGTACTTCTCATTTACATTTTCCTTAGGGCCTCGGGAATTGGTGATTTCGGACAGGAGGGTATCAATAGGTTTGTTGAGGAACATGTCTGCCAGGAGGTCTGTCTCTTGCTGGGCTTTGACAAGCAGTTCCCCCTCGCCCCTGTTGCATCTGACGAACAGGAATCCGAGTCCGAAGAGGAGGGAAGCGATCCGACGAACAGAACTTAGAAATCAGTGTCCGACTTCTTCTAGAATCACTCAAAACATCTTGCACAGCAACTAAACACTATCTTATCTCTACCCCAACTCATTAGATAACGAAAACTCATACAAGAATGTACTTGACACTCTCCAAATAATTGAATCTTTATTCCACTTTAACCCCAATGCACGCATACAGGTAGCAAGCTGAGAATGTTTCCTGGATACGGAATGTGCCACTCAATTGTTTACCATCTCCAAGACGAACGAAGCGTTTCCAATTCAAGTTTCTTATATATACGTGGTCTAGAGCTTACCTAAATTGGCCCTTCAAGGTATCATAAAATGTTTGTGACTGTAACTCGAGTTACAGTGTTATTTCTCTCGTCATGGTTGGGCAATGATCCACGCGCGCCTAATTAAAATACTTTAGGGCCGGCTTGCCGCGCGTGGAAATTCTCGCGTGATGGGAAAATCCATCCATGGAACTCCGGCGTACCGTACTTGATTGTCATGGAAGCCATATTCAAATCTCCCCCTGGATCGCCATAGATTAAATTTAAATAAAATATCCCTCCAACTGGTCCTTATTGCACTCCCAGTCAGCCAGCGAACCTCGCGCACAACGCTCGTCTGGACTGGGAAATCTAGCCATTTCAGTCGAGATGATCTCTTGGCCATTCCCGGCGCACCAAAGTTCCGCCGATATCCTTCCTCCTATCTTCATTCCTCAGCCTCATCTTCCCCTTCACGCGTTTTTGTCCAACGGCTATTCGACGTCGTTCTCCTGCCTATCGCCTTGGAGACTTTTTATCTCGACCTTCTGGTGTTTCAGGCTGTGCTTTCTGGGTCATTGTGTCACTTGTGTCCTCCCTCGGACGCCCCCATCAAGCCACTTCTCCAGAATTGAAAATTAAAAATGATACCAACACCACGAGCTTCACAACATCCACACTCCACCTCGCAACGCGTTTGCAAAAAGGGAAAAAAACACAGGAATCTTGTGTTCACAGGATGGGTCCCGGGGAACCGAACGACCAACGCGAAGATCACCCTCCTTCTCCGCATTAGTCGAAAAGGGCTCAAGGGTCTGCAACAAAAGCTTATCGGGTCAACAACAACCTACCAGAGGCTCCATTCTCTTCTACCATCGCAGTACAAGGGCGGCGGCAACAGATTTCGCGCTCACTTCCTATCCCAAGGATATGGCCCGACTTTCGACTTTATCTCTCTATCGCTGGCTGGCAGAAAGTATAAAGCCTACTTGGACGATCTCCAGTCTAGAGATCGTTGTTAAGCTTTACATCCTGCGCTTCCCCCCTTGCATGCCTCCCATCTGCCGACCTGTGAGCTACGAAGGTACTATGAGCAGACCACATGGCTGAGGCTATAACTTTACTCGTCCCAGTCGGCACACGAGGTCGAGCTAGCCTCATTCTTCCTGGCGATACTTTCGTTCCCTTCCTCCCTCCGCGCACTAGTCAAGTTGCATGGAACGGGGGTTGATTAAATGCCCGTACCATCGCCTCGATCCGACATGATGCTAAACACGAGCGGTAAAGAGTCTAGCATCCCCCGCCCCTCTCTTCTGCCCAACCCAAATAATCTTATCTTGTCAAAACGAAGTTGACCACGTCAAAATCCCCGAAGCATCGGCGAACTCGCAGGTTCTAATTTCCAAGCCGACCCCTTTACAAGCTGTCTAAACCTGACCGGTGCCCAAGCAGGGTCTTGCTCTTTGCACTCTGAATCCGACAAAGAACAGCACCCTACCATGTTCCGAGATTTAATTTAGAACTTGAACACCGGTGAAAGCTATGTTCCGCATGTTCTATGTTTGTCTCATGACGCAGCTTTCTTACTTTCTGCGAGCCCTGACTGCCCTTCGAAGTTCAAACCTCTCACGTCTTTCTTGTCCATCCTCCAGTCTGCACCCAGTCTGCACCCACCCCTCTTGCCGAAATACGTCGGACTCACATACTTACTTCGCGAACTTGGCGAATCGGACCCCTCTTTCTCCCCTTTCGCATCCCCGAAAGCTTGATCCTCCGAAGGCACATCGACATACATACATCCGGGGGAACATTTCTTTAATTGAAAAAACAACGTAAACGGGTCGGTGTGACCTCATGGTACGTACATCAGCATGGCTTCCTTACTTCCATTCATCCTTCCCTCCACCTTTTGTACATGTAACACCGGTTTGTAAGTACAAAAGGTATATATCACAGTCAGGTTCCAATTTTCCAGGGTCTGACATATGTACCAACCCTTGGTACATATCACAACTGATAGAGATGATTCATACCGACTCATCCCAGGTCATTATTAAAGCGATGTGTTGTGATTGTTGGAACCATGAGGCAACCGCACGTTTTCACTACTGACGAGCAAAAGGGCCAGGCGTGACCATGGGAGCGTACCTTTATCGGACTGGGTTAGGTTGGTCGTGAAGGCGCCTCGAGGCGCTTCAAAAGTCCAAACAATTACGCGATGGTGGCTGGCGCTTAACTTTTGAGGGTCCCGATCCAAGTTGAGCAACCTAAATACCCCTCTCAAATCGGTCTTCAAAATAAGTACTACATCGCCCAGAATGGTGACTACTGGAATACAACGTGTTTTCTAGGTTAGAACCTAGACTCTTCAAGTTGGATCCAGGAGTTCGAGAATCATCGTTGTCTTTATTCATGAACTGAAGCTGCTATTAATATTTGAGCACATCCGCTGGTCGACTCTCCGACATCGTCTGTGCCACTGGTGTGCACTTCGAGTCGAATTAGACGCACTGTTTGGTCTCTGGCACTAGCGCTGGGAGCGCTGGTGTAGGGGAGTCCTACTAGAAACTTGATAGTTCATGTCAATCGAACACATGTCATTCATTTCGTGGCTCAAAAAATATAGCTGATGCTGACCGGCGATTGGTGCCTATAGGACAACATCCTTGAAGATCATAACGAAATCCTAGTAGGAATAATGGAAAGTACGATTGGAATTCATTGGAAATCGCACTGATACTACTTAAGCGTCCGGACTGCTGTCGGACTAGGTCCGATGACAACTAATCAAAGCAAAAAGAGATAACGATGAAACAGAGAGAGGAGAACGATGCAATGCAGGTGGGTGATGTTACAAATGCAGGATGAGAGAGACATGAAAATGCGTGGTAGGTACTCGTACAAATTCAAGATGAAGCATTGCGTTCGTGAAAAGATAAAAAAAAAAGTCAAGGGATAGAATGCAAGGAGACGAAAACCGACGCGGGCGGAGAACCGGACGACACCAGCAAAGCAAGGCGAAAAGGAACAAAGCCCCCTTAAGCCCAAGCATCCACATCCTCTTCAGAAGGCCCAACAGGCTCGTCCGAGGCAGCCAAATTGCACTGGTGGAACGCTCTAACCTGATCAGGCTTAAACGCCCCAACGACAGTATGCAGCACACCCCTGTTATGGAACAACACAAAGTCGTTCTCCTTCCAGTCGTGAGGGTAGACAAGAGAAGGCGCGATCGCAGGTCGCTGCATCTTGTACAAGATCTTACGGACTTCTTCAAGGTCGGTGATCTTGGCTCCGTTGGGGTACAGGGCGCCTTCTAGGGAGGCACCTGAGGGAAGAGGAGCGATGTGAAGTTCTTGTGCGCCGCAGGGGTGGACCTGGAAGTGGAGGTTGCCCGTCACAGGGTTCTTCCACAGCTGCAGCGACATCCAACGTCAGTTTATGGAATGACGAAGATTCAACGGGATAACTGCGCACCACGGGGAAAAGCTTGATCTTCGCTTCCTCCCAAGGCGGGAGCTCGTCAAGAGGCAACTCCAACCCTTCCGACTCAATCCCCAAACCAGTGGACATGGCCTTGGCAGGAGCCATCCAGACATACGGATGAGGCGCATACTTGACTTTAGTCCTCACGGCCAAACTCTTATACTCCTTGGGCAGAATGTCAAACATCGTCTTGCCCGACACGAACGCGGTCGTGCCAAGCGGAACAGGCAACTCGTCCCCTGTGCCGTCATCATATCTGCACACCTGGGTGGGGCCTTGTGGGACGGTAAGCCCATAGAGGGTCGTTACCCGGGGTGGGTTGAGGTCGTACAGCGCAGCGTCGATATGCCAGCGGTAGAACCGCGTCACACCTTTATCGTTGTCCTCAGGCGAGACGACGGTCTTGTGGAAGGTGGTGTGGGAAGGGTGCTTGAGCTTCGCTTCGGCGAGGCCCCAGTGGTCGTAGACGGTGCCGTTGCCGATAAGCTGGACTTGTGGGACAGAGGGGATCGTCTTGAGGTCGGGATGCAAGATCGACTTCTTGGTTTCGCCAGTCTTGTTGTTGCCGTGACCATAGCTCTCAGACTGAGGATCGAATTTCTATGAGAGTGGGCTGAGCGCTCTTCGAATGGTCCGTGCATGGCGTGATAGTACCTTGGTGAGCAAGTACTGCTGCTCGGGTGTCATATTCGCATTCCTGAAGAGCAAGATACCATGCTGTATGACGACGCTGGTTGGTCCATGGTACCACGACGACGAGAAAGGAGACCACGCACCTTGTACAGCCCATCATGGATCTTCTTAAAGTCGTCGTCCGTCAAGTTGCCAGGATCGACACCCTTGACTTCTCGACCAAAGTCTGCGAACTTGGAAGCGTCTGCTGAAGCGGGCAGGGGGAGGGGGACGAGTTCAATGGCCATGGGAGTCGTTCCTGCGGGAAGATGGGAACGGGAGATAGTCGTAAGAGGATGATAGCAGAGCCTATTTATAGTAGAGCGGCCACTGCACCGAAGCATGTGCCAGTGTACGTGATTGCCCAGCATATTGATTGATCATTGGACACAGACGAAGTAGGCAAGCGAAGACGAATGTCAGAAAGGTTACGAGGCAGGTGTGATGTTGCTTCCGAAGTGGTTATCATAAAGCTGGTGCAGCCAGTGTGTTCCAGTCCAACGTCAGAGTAGATCATGCAGCCCAAGACGGTAAGCGCCCCACTTATCGGACTTTGGCTTGGCGAGATAACAGGCGACACGGTGTGGTTATCGCCAATCAATACACTGACGTTGGCGGCTCACTATCTGCAACGGTGAGATGGACCAGGATGCACATGGCTCTTAGTGCGATAGAGAATTGGGTCACTTTACTTGAGGGGTATTTTCCAATCTTTTCGCATATGATTTCATATTTTTTGGACGGACGACATGAGCATAACATAAATGCGAAAGGGTGTGTTGTGGTACAATGCATAGACGAACGTCCGTCTAGATGGTGGTCTCGTAAGGGACGGGGGTCATTGTTTGAGGAGCGTTGTCCTTGAGGGAGATGACATGGGCTTCCCGGGGGAGGGCAGGGGATCGCTTGAGGTTGATGCGCTCTACCAACAAGTTCAATACCAGCATTGACTCCAGAATAAATTCGCCACTCACCGCCCTTCTCCCGTGCAGCAACGTGAGCATCGTGGTTGGCCTTCACTCGCTCCAAGAACTCCTGTCGGCATTTCGAGTGCTTGACGTGCTCGATACGGATGTTTACCCGCTTTTCAACGTAGCGGTTGCCGACGACCTTGTAAACGATGATGCCGACAGCCGAGGGGGTGACGTTGTAGACGATACCAGTGCGTCTAGATCACACAGAAACCAGTCAGGAAAAGTGGGATCTTTGCGATTAGCGGATTCAAATCGCACCCGTGGTAGAATTTGTGGGGCATGCCCTTTTGCTGGGCAGAGTTGGCCTTGATATCGACAATGTCACCAACTCGGTAGGTGGTCAAGAAGGTGGTGAGTTTGGCAGGGCCATTCTCTACAACGCAGATGCTTTAATCGCTGTTCAGACTCTAAAATCCCCATTAAACGAACCTCTGAAGCCCCGCTTGAACATGTGGCGCGTACGCGCTCTGTAACCGAATGAGTGAGGCATCTTGAAGACTACAGGCGTCGATTAGCACGATTCGTGGAGAGCGTCGGCAATATTTCGACCTACGTTGGCGCTGTCGTTAACGGTGTCGGCGAGCGGACAATCAACACACCCAAAGTTTGGGTGGCTCGGCAATTGCCGGGTGGCTTGATCAACTGCACAGGTCCTGCCGAGCATTTTCGCACGTCCACCAATCGTACCCCGCGACATCAAGGCCGCGACTTCAAGCCCCCCTCCTCAAGACCACCCAAAAAGATGCCCAGGTAAAGTCGTCGTCGTCGTTGACTGCGATGGGGAAATACTGATTGTCGTTGTCTAGGGCCCCGCGGAACCACAGCAAGACGTGAGTTGACATTCCATTTTCAAGAACCACTTAAATGTGGAAGGGTGTGCAATTATCGTTGCTTACGATCCCTTGCCCCCAACTGTATACAGTTACAAGGTCCCTCGTCGACCTTACGAGTCCGCTCGTCTCGATGCCGAGTTGAAAGTACGTTAAATTCAGTTCTGGTTCAGACGTTGTATTGATTTTACTCTTCAATAGCTCGCCGGTGAATACGGTCTCCGCAACAAGCGCGAAATCTGGCGAATTGCCCTCACCCTCTCCAAAATTCGTCGTGCCGCTCGTGAACTCCTCAAGCTCGATGCCAAGGACCCCAAGCGTCTCTTCGAGGGTAACGCCCTTATCCGTCGTCTTGTCCGCATTGGTGTGCTCGATGAGTCCCGTATGCGTCTCGATTACGTGTTGGCCTTGAAGATCGAAGATTTCTTGGAACGAAGGCTGCAGACCCAGGTCTTCAAGATCGGTTTGGCCAAGTCCATCCACCACGCCCGTGTCTTGATTAGGCAAAGGCACATCCGGTGCGTCCTGATTAACCTCGGCCATCGTTCGCGGCTAACTTTAGATCTAGTGTTGGCAAGCAAATTGTCAACGTCCCCTCCTTCGTTGTCCGATTGGACTCTCAAAAGCACATCGACTTTGCCCTTACCTCGCCCTACGGTGGTGGACGCCCTGGCCGTGTTAAGCGCAAGCGTGCTGCTGCCGCTGCCGCCAAGGAGGACGGTGATGAGGAGGATGAGGAGTAAATTTCACATTTCATCGGGGGTCCCACACCGCGTCGCATGCCATCCACATTTTAGCTGTATGACCCAATGCAAATATGCTATGAACCATGCTTCCTGTCTCCGGAAAATGCATCCGCGCGTCGAAGAGGATACTAGGCTTTCCATAGGGATCGCGAATCTCATGAATTGATTATGGAAAGTCTACGATACAAAAAGGAAGGCGTCCTTCCTTGAATAATATATCCAACAGTGGTGTCCGACGACCCCAACATATATGTGAACTCGCCTCGAGTATCATCGCAATGAAGTAGAATACCGTTTCTTCTTCGGTTTAGGCTTCGCAGAGATGAAGTTGAAATTCCTCATCGTCGGTTCAACAAACGGGACGCCGATATGTGTAAAAATGTCCTCTTCTGATTCCGTCTTGACGAGGCTCCAGAAACCACCGTCCCCCAGGCGATCTGGGTTGTTCAGTGCCTCGGAAATCGGAAGCTCGACTACATCTTGCGGCTTCCACTTCCAAAGACCAAACTCGTCGAGATACATGGCGAGCGGCGTTGCTTGATCCCTCAGGTGTTTGTGAAGTCCCTCATCGCCGGTGAAGTAGACCAGAGCAGCCGCCCGCGACTTGGCCGGAACGAGACTATTGCAATGAATATGGGGTCAACATACAAACAACAGGCTAGATTGAGGTGGAAACTTACTGTAAGGTTATTCTCCTGTACTCCCCTGGCTGGACCATAGGTCCAGAAGCGGAACCTGTCGAAGGTATTCGAACCACCCCAGTCCAGTTATGGTGCGTTTCAGCAATCTTCTCTAGGAGGACGCCTCGTTGCTGCAACACGGGGACGACTTCACTATGGAGGCGACTATTCTGGCGATCCTTCTTTGTGAGACTTGCTTTCTTCCTCGGGCGCTTGGTGGCAGGGGTATCACTGGACCGAAGGAAGTCGTCGAAGTCGTCTCCAGAGAAGGGCGGTGGAACATTCGGAAGTGGGACGTGTACGTGGTCGGGATGCAGAACCAGCATCTCAATGGTCGAGCTCTCAGATAGCCCACGCCGACTGCGGAGGAGGTTGTATCAGTTCCAGGTGCATGGTGAGTGCCATAAAGCAAAAACGCACTATTCCCCAACAGGGATTATCTCGTACCGAGACGAAAGATTGGCCTTGCACAGGTTCTGTCGCGGATTAGAGATACGCATACCCATCCGCAAATCTGAGGACACACCAAGACGCTTTCCACCTGGTCGCGTGAGGCCGGCTTCTCCAAATGCTCCATGTATTTGAGTCCAATGATTTGTTGTGCAGAGAGCAAGGAGTGGAACTCCTCTGAAGCTATGAGGGAGGCTAAACCCGTACAGCCCCCTTCAACGAGGGCCTTAGCTTTTACGGCCCTGTCAATGGACTCAGTTCCACCGACTGCTGGAAGATGTGTTGTACGACATACCCAATTCCTGGGACGCGTTGTAGGTCTAGAATTGCTCGCTTTTTCAAAGCGTTTTCCCTCTCCACGGAGTTTTCTATAAGAGTGAGTTAGACGGTGAGGTGGTGATACTCAAGAACCAGTGACCAACCAGACGAAGCCAGACTTTTTTGAATAAAGTAGGTATTGATTCTATTCTTTATTCCGATACCTATCCCTTTCATCTGAGCGTTCGCAACGAAATGTTGTGAGTTGGTATACATACATACATCGAATTCAGCCCGCTCACCTCCAAAACCTGGTCATCCCCCGACTTGATAGGCTGCTGCAGTTGCGAAATGACATTTATGGCGTTACTGAAAGCGAGTATCTTGTAGTTGTTTGCATTTGGAGCGCGTTCTTCCTGGTCTTTCTCTGGTATCTCCGTGTCAGCGAAGCACCTTACCGACACAGGCCGATCGTTCACGACGCACCGCGACGGAGCATTTCCAGGATAGCATCGTTGGGTCCGCGGGCGACTCTCGAGTCATGAAACCGAGCATGTTGTGGGACAAACGAGAGTATTCGAGTTGAACGCTGGTAATGAAGGATGCGGCGGGCGAGCATCCATATGGTCGTCGTCGACGTCGTGGTATTCGGTAGAGTTAGTGGGTGGCTGTGTCCGCCCGCGTTCTCTTTGCCCACTCTTCGGGTGTGCGGACGCCACTCAAGGTGCACACCATGATTCGGGATTCAGGAGGGAGTCTGATCGAAAACAATTGTATTCACGAAGATCTACCTTTCTACGATGGCCAGAAAGAAGCGGCGAAAAGATATCTTACATGAAAACCAAGAAACAAAAACTAACACCACACCGCAATTCATCTAGGGCGAAATGTGAAAAATCCACGTCTAAGTACTTCAAAAACATACGAGGTCGTCAATAGCACTAGTAGTGTCACGTCGAAGAGAAAACAAATCGTATAGTTGAAATATGTCGCAATAGTTTGGTGTACTTGAACTTGAGCTTGAATCACTGAGCGGGAGGGAACTTGCATCCCATCACACGAACTGCGAAGGAATCCGGTCAGACTGTTATCAACAAGACGGGGAAGCCACTTACTGGAGCCGTCAGGTTCGCCGACACCATAGAGCATTTCTGTAGGATGGAAAACGAGAGAGGTAGAACGGGGTATATAAGGGGATGGCATTGGCCGGATGGGGTATGCACTGAGCCCGGTGGGGGCGTTGATAGAAGAGAGGTGAATCGCCTTGTCAATCGTATGTACCGAGACGCGTTGGGCCTTCCATTGCGTAGGTGAGACGGCGGACGAACTATACCACTAGGTTAACGAAGACCATAGACCTATCATGGCAGAGGACGTACGTAGCGAATACGCAGGATGTTGGGTGGACATCGAACGCTGAGAGACCATGGGCCTGGATATCCCATGTCTTGGTCGCCATATCTGCACCACGCAAGTCCCACACTTTGACTTGTCCATCCACACTAAGAATGGCCCCCATCAACATCACTCACGATTGAATCAATCCTTCGAAGGCCAACGTACCTAGCGGAGAGGAATCGGCCACCAAGTCTTGGGTGCCATCGCACGTTCTGCACCCACGAGGTATGATCAACGTACGTCCGTACGATTGCATCCTCGTCTTCAAGTCGGCGATCGAAAATCTTGACGACGCCATCGGCGAAACTGGCGATAAACGTCTGATTGGAAACGTGGTCCGAGCAAATGGCAGTGACAGGACTGTCAGAGTTGGTATCCAAATCCTATCACCAGGTCAGCATGAGGTTCGACGAGGAGGTTGAAGTGGACGTACCATTCCCTGCGTTTCCGTCTGCGCGTCCCAGACTTTGATTACGCGCGAGTCGCCACCCACCAGAAGCGTTCCAGCAGACTGTCGCCAGTCCATGACCATGCCGCTTCCTTGACGCATCTGGATCATCTCGTTCAAACCCCTGAAAGCGCTGACCATCTGCAAAGGCCCCTGATCCACGGTCGGGTCGTAGTTCCTGAAAAGCCTGACAATGCCATCCGCTAAAATCCATTAAATCAGGCATTAATCTTAAGATGCTCCGATAGATGGAAAACGTACACGCTCCAGTAAGAATAATGCCACCAACATCTTGATTGATGACTTCGAGCGAAGTAATGGTCGTGCCTCGAGGGTTCCCGTTGCAGAAATACTTGAGGCGCTTGCGTTGAGACCAGTCCCAGACACTATCATCTTCGTTTAGACACAGCTCTATGAAAGGCATGAGAGGCATACCCAATCATATCATGTTCGTTCGCCACGAAGAGGTGTTGGTCGTATGAATGGAACACCATCGTCAACGGATGGCCAGCGATTTGGAAATGCGCAACTGGTCGATCCCAGCGGCATGTTTCTGAAGAACGGAAATTAGAGAGTGAATGAAAATACCACAAGATCGCAAGCGTACCAGAGACAGCGATCTGTGTGGCTGTTTCCACGAGAACCTGTTCATTCCTCTGTTGCCTCCAAACCTGGTGGTTATACTGAATGCTACCAGGTTCATCCGGCTCCGCTTGCTAACCATCTGATCAGCAACCAGGGCCAATCTACAAATCCAAATGTGACACTAACCCTCATCTGCGGTTCCTTGAAATACTCGCAACACCAATCAAAGTAGGTACTCTTGAGTGGGAGCGTATCGCGGATACTCGCACCAGTTCCCAAACCGAGGATCACGCTGCTGTTGGAATCCGTGGAGAAGGTGCTGTTGCTCGGGCTGGGCATACCACCATGATGGCGCGGTCGGCCGTGATTAGACGCCCGTCTCCTGGCCCTCAGACGCTCCATGTCTTCCTCTGTGAGAGCCTCCATCACGTCCGCCGCGGAAAAGTTGACCTGAGGCTGGAGGTTCTCGTAGGAGTTCTGAAGGCTCACTGGCCTATGGTGGTGAGGGGTACCAGGAGGGGTGGTGGGACGGGAATAAGGAGACGCGTATTGCGCGACGTTGAGATTGGGAGAGGGTGGTCTGGAGTAATCAAGAGGGTCGCGTTTCAACTGGGATGAGGAAGGGATGGAACTTGATGTTCGGCCATCGTCAATGGTGGAGAACGCCAAAGACTTGAGCGCATTGGCGAAGGACGACGTCCGGCGAAGTGTGTTCGTGACACCAGACGAGATCGTGCTAGTCATGGTATCTGTACGGGTCAGGCCCGGCCGATCGCTGCGGATGGGTGAGGCAGGGTGAGGGGAACCCGGCTGGTAAAGCGAGGTACGGGATCGAGCGGCCATTTGAGGTGACCCTCTAGGATCATCGGGTGACCAAGGTGCAGCATGGAGAGTCGAGCTCGGTAACTTGGTGAAAGGAGACTCGAGGAGGAGAGCCATGATGTAGTCGACGATCGTTTGGGCGTTCGTTGCGACCTCTTGATATGGGTCAACCGAGAGGTCGAGCAGAACGACAAAGATGGTGAAGAAAGAAGACAAAAGCACCCGCTTCTCTTCCCGGAGAGATTCGTCGTCGAATCCGTCCAACCATTCCGCGACGGCGTGGCTGGTCAACTCATCGTCCGCAGAGTAAGGCGCACCAGTCGTCCTCCACTTCCTATCCTCCTCCCAATACAACCACGCACAAACCACGAAGCATCCGCGCCACTCCTTGACGAGGGTGCTGATCACGACCAACAATTCCTTTCGACACATAGGGCTTGCATCGTCCTTGATGGCGAGGGTTGCACCTGTAACGACAGCAACCTCCATCCTGAAGTGAACACGCTCCTCGAGTTGATACATCGTTCCCGATCCACCGCCGCCCTGTTTGTTAGGATCCGATGAGCCGCTCGCGCCAAGGAAAGTGCCCAACGCAAATAGCGCTGCGCATCTGACTTCAGCCGAGTCGTCTGACAGCATCGCAATGAGCTTGTCCTGGGTCCCGTTATCCACTCCGTACACCTTGTTCTCGTCGTTCCCATCCCAGATTTGACCGATACACAAGGCAGTCCATTGCCTCAGCAGGAAGTCTGATTCGTCAAGGCGGTCGTAGCAGTTGTCGAAAACGCCGTCCCGAAGGCAGGCTTCTTGACCTGGAGGGAAATCTCTCGAAATGGCGGAGAGGATGAAAGCGCACATTGCCTTATGCTCCGAGCTATTGGGAAGGACATCATCGTTCTTGATGGCGAGGATGTTGGCGAAATATTTGTATCCTCCCGAATTCCACAGGTCGTGTTGGACAGATGGATCGACTGCGAGAATTCGCGCCCAGATAAAGATGAGCACTGGACGGAGATCCTGTCCCGCTGCTTGAAGCAGTTTGGAGATATATGGGAAGATGCCGATAGTAAGGACGAGATGCACTGCCCATGGTCCAAGATCAACGAATTGGGATAGAAGGATAAGCGCCCGCAACCTGTGGGGTTGGGACAGCAGCACTTGAAGGACGATTGGGAGTTGGTCCGGGGGTTTCCTAGGAACGAGGTGACTTGGAACCCCGTCGTACTCGCTCCTTGGGTTGGGTTCCTCCGGATTTCCTGCCCGATCAGTTGCTTGGGGGAGTGAGAGAGGACCCTTCCTCGTCAACGCTGAGCCACCTCGCGAAATCCATACTTCGAATGCAGTGAGTTGGTCGGCGAAGAATCGGCTGGGCTGATAGACGTATGGCTTGTCAGAGCCTCTGGCTGGGATCGCGTTGGGGTCTTGTCGCGAGGTCGAACCAATCTTCCCGGGTCTTGTCCCAACGTTCGCGAGATGGCCGCCAGTCACTCCTCCCTTGAAAAGAAGATCCGGCAATTGACGTAAACATGTGTCGACAGCTAAATCCCATGTCGCCCAAAGAGGGTGGGTATTGGTAGGCGGGAGAGGTGGCCATGTGTGGGGTGTGCAGTGATAGTTTTTCATAATTCGTTCTGCGAGTAGGAAATTGCGGAAGAGGGAGGCGATCAAAAGGTCGGATCGGTAGAGTTTGGTGAAAATCTCCCTCGAAAACGTCGTCCAAGCAATGGTGTCCGTGATGGCTGTAAAGATCCAATTTAGTTCGCCCAGTGGCGTTCGCCTGTCTTTTAGATCTCCGGGGAGTTGGACGACCATGTCGGCGGTGATGTTGTTGGGGAGTTGGTGGGTCATGATAAAATAACGAAGTGCGATGTCGATGGGGGAGGTGAGACATGAGGTGAAGACATCGGCTGGAAGTTCGGGACAAGAGGGGAGTTGTTCATGCGCAGCACAAGCCGCTAGCTGAAGGGAGTTCATGAAGGGCTGGCGACCGTCTGGATAACCGCCGTGCATGATAGCCTCTTGGTCCCGCCTCTCTGCAAACATGTTAAAGTTTTGCAAGAGATGTCCGGCTGCAGAGCAGTCCCAAATGTAAACTCCCGGCGATCCCACCCACGATTGCAGCTCCTGTAGGGACACCGGTATGTATTGAGTGTAGTTTCGGTTGAAACACCAGAGTTCGCCACTCGCTGTAGGCTTGGGGACACCGTGACCGTTATAATAGAATAGCAACGCATCTTGACCCGCTTGACGGCGCAATTGAGTGACAAAACGCTTGAGGTCTTCGAAGGAGGGATCAAGGATAGGTTTGTACTGGATCTTCAGACTGAGGCCCTCGAATTGGTGCTGGAGATTTGAACCAATGTGTTCCAAAGCTTTGTGGGTGGGCATAGTACGGGGATCGACCCAGCATTCTAAAACGGCACAAGGGTTGGTCTTGACAATGTCTGGTGGGTCGACGTCAATATTGAGGCACATCACAAGCGCTGCTGCTGCGGTCTTGAGACGCCCGGGAGTCGATCCTCTCCACTGCACTGGTTTCTGAGACCATGGCGGTCCCGGAGTCGGATTTCCGCAGGTTAAATGTCGTTTTGCGGACCAGTAGGGGATTGGTGGAGCACTGTCCAGGGTTTTCACGGAACCATTTGGGCGACTGTGGGGACTTCGTGTTCTGTGTCGTCCGCGCTCTGGTCGAGATTGGGAGGACGGGTCTGAGCGCGAGTGCGATCTATAGTCTCGTTCTGTATCCGAATCTGAATCTTCGCTTCGTAGTCGTGAGCCTGAGGACTTGTGCCATGGTTCTGGGGAAGATTGCATAAGTCATTTCGGTCAATCCTGAGACAAGTGATTTACCCGTTGTGAATTTACTACCTCCTTTCCTCGGCATGTGTACACCTGAATCCTGCATCGTAGAGGCCTACACACGCAAAGTGGATCCGTCAACCGCAACACCGACCAGCGAAATGTATTTGGTTTCCAGTATCGGTGCTGTGAACGAAGAGCACGATATGTTTGAGTCTGAAGGTCGCAGAAAAAAGGCGCGAGCTTACTTGTCGTACTCTACAGTCTACCCAAAGTGCCTGCGGAAATCAATGGCGTCGTCGTCGAAGAGCCGTCGACTATGTCGAGGACGATCCTGGTGACGGCAGAGGAAGACTGGAGGCTTGGACAGATCAGACGCGTCAACGACAACATATGCAAAGTCAAGTCCGCAACCGACACTTTGCCTAAACCGACGACGACGACGACCACAGTCTCTATGCTTTCCTCATAATATACCCAAATCACTATGGACCCAACGCTTGGTACTATCGTCACTGTACCGCAAGGGCGCGGCGTTGTCAGATTCGTCGGTCCAACATCCTTTCAAATCGGCAAATGGGTTGGCGTCGAGCTCGATGAGCCCAACGGCAAGAATGACGGCTCAGTCCAAGGCGTCCAATATTTCACCTGCAAGCCAGGACACGGTGTATTCCTGCGACAGAGTCAGATCAAAGCAACACATGGCTCTGAACTCGATATACCCCCACCGTCGCCATCAATAGTGAGTCCCAAATCCCTGCACGAATGGGCAGCCAGGCATTGACAGTGCACATAGCAAGGGCCACCGACGCCAAGATTGGCGACAGCACCACGTCCTGGTCACAAAAGGACCGGGTCAGGCATACTGCGGTCAAGTTCGATACGAAGCCAGCCTTCGCGACAGGATTCGCTGTCGAGCAGCAATGTCTCGACGCGCTCTTCGAGTCCAGCCAAACCTTCTGCAATCCAGACGTTGTCATTATCGGCTAGCCGAAGCTTGCGACAGCCTCCACCAGCGTCTCCGACGAAGAGGACGGCGATGGGCCCGCCACCGACACCTCAGCTGCCGTCAGGACCGCGCAAGTCCCTACTCTTCCGCCAGGTCTCCGCAGAAACTCCTGCACCACCGACAAACAGGAGAGTATCCAGCTCTTCTATGCAAGCAGGTTTGGCTCAATCCCAGAAACGGCCATCATCACCTCTGGCCCAGCCTCCCGATGTCCCATCCCCTCTATCAATATCAGCCCAACTCTCCGAACCTTCATCGGCCGCTCCTCAACCACCCACACAACCGTCGTCACCGGTCCAAAGGCCGCAAGATGCGGAAGAGATCCAGGAACTCCGCGCCAAAATCCGCGTGCTAGAAGCTAGACGCGCTGATGACGCCCGACACGTCCGCGAGCTAGAGACTAGACTAAGTGACGCTGAGTCCTTCGTCGCTCTCCGCCCTAAACTTCAAGCTAAACTCAATTCTCAACAAACTGAGCTCATCGCTACCAAACGGGATCTCGCAGATGCGAAGCAACTTGCTGAATTGGCGGAGAACAGGATAGCAGACGCTCACGAGCAGTTGGAAATGGCTATGTTGGATAAGGAGGTCGCGGAGGAGAGGGCGGAGTTGGCAGAAGCCGAGCTGGAGGAGCTGAAGGAGAAATTGGCCGTTTTGGATGTCGAGAACAAGGTGCTTAAAGGGGAGGCTGGTGAGTCCGATACACTTCACCATGGTGGGATCAGTCTAACTGTTCCATTCAGAGGGCTCTGCGGATACGCCTGCTCGAGATTCGCTAGCTTTCATGCAGCTAGAGAAGCAGAACGAGAGGTTGAAGGAGGCTTTGATTCGGTAGGTCGTCCACGGGGATGATTAACTGCCGTTCTGACGACAAAACCACAGGCTTCGAGACGTTTCTCAAGAAACCGATCAGGAGCAACGACGAAGGATCGCCGAGATGGAGAAGGACGTCGCCACCCTAGACGAACTTCAAGGTGCGCTGCCTCCGTTGCACTCATGAATCCGAACCGACCTCTTCCAGGACAATACGAGGAAACACTGATCAAACTGTCCAACGCCGAATCCGAAATTGAGAGCTTGAAGCTTCAGATCGATGACGCCCTTGGTGCCGAAGATCTTCTCGTACAGCTCACCGAGCGCAACCTTGAGCTGGGAGAGGTGCGTGCTATTGCTCAACTTGACCTTGGCATCCACTCAATGACGTCTAGAAAATCGAAGAAATGCGGATCACCATAGAAGACCTCGAAGCTCTCAAGGAGCTTAATGACGAGCTCGAGGAGAATCATATTGAGACCGAGAAGCAACTTCATGAGGACATCGGTCCGTCTTGTTTGTCCTATGATTCCGTTTTGTTGCTCAACATAGATCTGTTCGCCTTTTTCAGAGGCAAGGGACATGCAGCTCCACGAGAGCGCACGCAAGATCGCCGCCTTGGAAGAGTCCTGCCAAGACTATGAAGCGACCATCACCAAATTCAGGGAACTGGTCCTTCAACTGCAGTCTGAACTCGAGCAGCTTCGCGCTCAAACACAGACCGCCCAAAGTGAATCTGCTACGGCAGCCTCTCAAACCGCTGCGATCATGTCTCTCAATCTCAAGCTCCAATCCACTGCTTCCAAGAACCAAGCCAGGAATGTCGAGTTCGAGATCAAGAGCCAGGAGGCGAGAGAGGCTCGGGAATTGCTGAACATTGTTCAGGTAGGCTGCCTCCCACGCCGTCGGGGTGCCTGTTTAATAATGGGTCTCGCCTTTAGCCCTACCTTCCTCAAATCTACGTGGAGAGCGACATGGATGCTACGAACTGCTACCTCTTCTTCCAGCGTCTTGGTTGCAAAGCCGATTTGATCAATAACATCGTCGCTCAAGCGCAGAATCTCCCCGAGGCTCTCAATGGATCGGTGACGGAAGCTCTCGTCGGCGTTTGCGAGGTAAGCCCCACAGGAACTAACTCAATTCCACTTTTAGTAATGGTTCCTACTCTAGATGAGGAGTCGAATCTCTGGCCTATCGACACTATGCAAACGCTTCGCTGCCATCCTTCGCGGAAGCGATGTTGAGACCTTCCTCAACATTGGACGCATCTATCCTGAGATCGCACCCCTGGAGAAGAGGATCGATATGCATATCGACCTTCTTCGCCGTGACGAGTTTAGGGATATGGAATGCGTCAGCGACGTCATGAAGTGAGCCTTGGATTAACCTCTGACCGAAGTGCTTGCTGACGCTTAGAATAGGATTCAAGCGCAGTTTGATCACCTGGCGGAGACGTACTTCAGTGGCTTTGACCACGATCTTGTGGAGAGGGAATTGGGCTATGTCCTTGCCCTTGATCATGACTTGGACATGTGTGCGGCGTCCTTGAGCTTGACCAAGACGTCGATTAGGACTATCATCCAGGACGAAGGTTCGTCCACCTGCTCGTTCATTGCTGAATATATTGATCCGATCTTTTGTAGATTCGGTTTTGGATATGGGTGGCTACGACATTGAGGAAGCCCTGTTCGAGCACTTGCAAAAGTTGCTCGACCAGTTCAAGAGTGCCAAACATATGTCAAAGTAAGCACTGAGTCAGTATTAGCCCATTTGAGCGTCTAACAACATTTGCATAGGAAACTTATCAAGCGCCTGGAGAGCCTGCAGCATGATTCGATGGCCGTCAAGGCTCATCTGCTTCCTCAGATGAAGGGACTTACGGACCACGTTGCCGAGCTAGTCAACTTTGGTATCTCAGTAAGTTCCTGTTCTCGCAGTAATTCTGCTTATACCGACTGGCTCCTCTAGCTCGCACAATCAGTCATGCCACACCTCGGCGACGTCCGCTCTGCCAAAGGACCCTTCCAGCTCAGCACTATCCTCAACCTTGTCAAGCAGACTGCTACTTCCACAGTGGCCAAGGATCTCAAGCCCGGTGCCTCGGTTTGGGAAGCTATCTCTAGCAACATTGGGCAGTTGATGGAGGAGGGTAATAAGCTCCTTCCTTTGATTCTCGAGCAGGAGAACGTTCAGAAAGGTATGTCCCACTTTCCTACTTCCAAAAGGCACTGACTGAATGGTTTCTTAGTCATCAGGACGCCTCCCTGGATCACTCGGGTCACCGAGATCAAGAACGCTCTCGCCGTGAACGTCGAAGCCGAACGGAAGGTCGCGCAACTCAATGAAGAGATGCAAGGTCTCGCTCGTAGTATCAAGACGAAGGACCAAGTGATCCAAGAGTCTGCTGTCAAGATCGAGCTCATGGAACGCCGGATGGAAGCTGCCAAGAAACAGGCGGATGCCATAACGGATTTGGAAAACGAGTTAGCCAAGATCAAGAAGCAGGAGCGCGCGTATGAAGAGGCGATTGAGCAGTTACAGTCGGATTTGGATGTTGCTGAGCAGGAGAATGCAAAGTTGAAGACTGCGTTGGCTGGGCAGGAGAAGCAACGTGAGTGTATTAGCTATCTTGGGAGGCCGATTATTTTTCTAATGGACGACTTGTAGCGAATGGTCCTCAGCCCGCCGATCAACAAGACGCTGTGGCCATCGAGGGCAACTACGAAACCTCTTACTTGTTGGAACAGGTAGGCTCTCGAGTTCAGTCGGACCGAAGTCTTAACGCTGACCCTGTCTTCAGATCGAGGCTCTTCGTGGAACCATTCGTTATCTCCGCAACGAGAACAACTTCCTCAAGGGACAAGACCTGCTCCGCGAAATCGAAGCTCTCACTCCTATCCCTGCACCTGCACCAAGGCCACCAACCCCTCCCCTAGTTCCTTCCGGAAACTCTGACACCGAAGAATCCGATCTCGAGGAACCACCGCGACCTCCCACCCTCAGGTCTCTTGCAACCGAAACCAAACTCCTGTACCGAGACGTCATCAAGTTCTCTTCGTCTCCCCGCGTCGTCGACCTCTCTGAGCTCAATGCGAAGAGGGCAGAAGCCAAGTCGACCAAAGTGTGGTTGCCGAGGAAGAAGAACCCCACGCAGCAATTGTTGGAGAGGAAGATGGAGGCGGAGAGGTTGAGCAGGCGGGTTCATGGACTTGTGGAGCGTGCTAACTTATTGGCTGCTATTTAGGATAGTAGATACCGTATTCTTTGGTTTTAATGTCGTTAGGTTTTGTCGTTTCATGTTCTAGGTTCCGACATTCTCAGTAGATGATCAATACATGCAGTATGAACGTCACGGTCTGCATGGTACCGGGTGACGACGCTTGCTCGCAACTTTACGGTAACTGTCTCGTGTAATGTCAAGACCGTCTGGCGAAATGGCATCGCGTCTGACCGTCGGTCAGAAATCTTTTGTCGTCCATTTTTCCGACAGATTTTTACTTCCGTGAAATTGTCTTGGCCGGCGCTTAACAGTGCCTACTGCATTGCCACTCCGGCCACGAGGCTCGGGAACAGTAAAATATTGCTTCTCCCATTCTTTGTGCCTTGGCTGCTCACTGAGGGTTCAAATCCTTTTTTGCTGTTCAAGTATGCCTTTCAGCCTCTCAGATTCCCTACAGCCGAAGCATAAGAGACCGCAACTTCCGTGATAGCGGCCAGCGCAGCTATAAAGCGTCCGATATCAGACGCTGTGCATCGTTGAAACGTCGACAACTCAATACACTATTTTTGTCACACTGAGTGACCTCGAGGCTTCCTGCCAACAGCGCTCATCGACTACAAAGGCCACACACCAGCCTGCTGTCTTTTGTCTTCTCCCTCCCAGCCTAACCAAGAAGCTAGGCACCACCTGGTACCCAAGCTCGGTTCAGCAACCCTGTCGACGCAACCATGGGCGGTCGCGAGAACAGTATCTCGGACTCGGAAGGGCGTTCCCTGACCCCTGACCTTGAGGATGAAGGCATTCATTCAATGTCGCCAACCTTTGGCGCGTCGCCCACGTTCAGCACCAACGGAAACCACCACGATCACAGCCACGGTCATCTTCATAGTCTCGGACAGGCGCTGTCCTCGAGGAAGTCTATTCACTCGCACAAGTCGCGTTCTCAAAGCCACAAGATTACCAGCGCCAGATCGCCGACCTCGCCATGGCAGAATCTGGCGCCCAAGGACAAGTTCAAGGCGGCTGTGCGCAAGGTGATGGCCATGCGTCGGGGAATGACACTGCTGGGGGCTGGGAAGGCTATTGGAGGCGAGCCAGGCATTGACCCCAGCCGTCCAGAGTCGGACGTGGCGTATGGTCACATTCACGAAGAATGCGCCATTGAGGTTGTGGATTACTCTGCCATTCGACACAGTTCCCACAAGATGTCGAATGCTGAGTTTATTGATCTCATGGATAACGAAGAGACCTGGAAAGCTCCTCGGTGGGCCAAGGTGCGGTGGATCAATATTGGAGGATTGAGCTGGGATGTCATCAAAGCATTGGCCTCGCGATATGGTACGGCGTCCAGCCTTCTCTCCGATAGCCAGCCTTTCTCTAAACCATCGTACATTTAGCGTTACACCCGCTCGCTTTGGAGGATGTCTTCCACGGACATTCTCGCAATCGCTCCAAGGCTGACTACTACACGAAGCACCTCTTCATTCGTGTCCTTTGCCACGAACTGGCTGACGGCGCTCTCGATGAGCCCCCACCATTGCTTAGCGAAGTCATGCCCAGGGCTGAATCCCCGGATTCAATCTCTATCGACGAAGAAAGGGCATCTGACAGGGAGGATGAGAAGGCGCAATACAGTGCGGCCAACTATGCCCGCAGATCGGGCCTTCGAAGGCGGCCCATCTTACCTCGCTCATTGGCCGATCTCCCCAAGATGCATTCGCAATCAAGCACAGGTACATCCCAACTTGCGGCGTTATTGAGGAGGGAAGGGCAGGTAAGCTGTGCACCTTTTCCTCTAAGTGGTTGAAGGCTTAACTCTAGTGGAAGGCTAAGGCCCAGCAAGAGAAAAGAAAGGCAGCGGATGCGTTCTTGGAGAAGCTGAAGGAGTCGGTTTGTCCTCGTTTCATTCCGTCCTCTCCGGTGTCGTGCTGACGTTGACCGTTCCAGGGACAACGAGTGCACGTCAAGGTCACCCCTATGTTCATGTTTCTCTATCGGGACGGTCAGTAAAGCTGCGTAAATGCCCTATGTCCATCTAAGTTTTCTTAGGAACTGTTATCACAATCCACAAAACCCCCGACCTTGAGTTCTCAACGCCCATTTCCGCTCGATTGGGGCAGAGAGACACCGTGCTCAGGAAATCCGTTGATCCTTCCCTACTTGTTCACGCACTCTTGGATATCAGTGAGCCATTCCCTCCAATTCCAGGCATTCTGTGTAGCCATCCTAACTGCCTGGAACAGCCGTCGACAAAGCGATGCAGGTCATCGACGAATACCACAAGAAGATTTCAAAAATGGAGAGGAAGATTCTCATGAAGCCCAACATGAAGACTGTCAGAGCATGTACGTGTCTCCCTAAACCCGTTGCCACAGCCGCTCACATCCCGCATCAGTGCATATCCTCGACGGTGACCTTATCCTCCACAAACGAACTCTCGATCCCATCAAAACGATGATTTTTGGTTTGCGCCGGTATGACCTTGACCGATGTGCAGCCCTTATCGACATGTCGGATCCCGCAAACAAGGACGTGAAAGTCGTAGGCTTTATCAGTCACAAAGCCAAGATCTACCTGGTGCGTTCCCTCATTTCACGTTATATTCAAAGGCCTGACTTGTGGACGAAACACAGGCTGACGTGTACGATCATATGGATTACATCCTAACCAGCCTTGACATGTTTGCGGGCATCGCGGAGAATTTGATTGACTACAGCTTCAACGTAGAGCCCCGTTTTTTTATATTTATTTGTGAACTTGATTGACGAGTACCTCGGGCGTAGGTGGCCTCGTACGAGATGAATGAAGTGATGTGGGTCCTGTCTCCACTGGACTGATGCACCAGACTCACGTAGGATACCAGGCGGCGACTCACCCTTGCAACGATCATCTTCCTACCTCTCAGTCTGCTGACCGGTTATTTCGTGAGTTAACCTTTTCTCCTTTATCGCCGGGATGAATGGTGCTAACACACCACAGGGAATGAACTTCGAACCTTTCCCCGCTGTAAACAAGCATACAGATCTCTAGTACGAAACGACACCCTCTTCACAGCCCGGCCACGCTAACCCCTTTGCTCTAGTTTCTGGATCATTGCACTCCCATGCATGGGAGTTGTGATTCCCCTGTTCCTGTTCAGCGATATTAAGAACATGATTCACTACATCTCAAAACGCATCGCTGGTCGCAAGTCTGCTGGAGGTTCGTTCTGATTGGATTGACTTGCCACCATGATCTGTCCCAATGGAATGCTGACGTACGACACCTTTGATTGAATATAGACGATGACGATTAAAGGGCTTTGGGACGTAGGTTTATACCGCCGCTGATAGAATCCTTTCTGTGCAATTCCTCGCTTCTTTTGGGTTAGACTCGTTGGGCTCGTGTTGTATATTCGCTCCCTAGTACCTTTCTACGCTACTCTCTGCTAAATCAGTCGATGTACTCCACTCGTCTTCATTCTCTTTCCTATTCCGCATTTCATGACATCTGGTGCAGCAGTGATAGGGATTCCTGCCCGAACGAGCAGGAGAGTTTCCCATTATGGGAGTTCATCGGCCATAGAACCTGATGCTGAATCTCGCATCTCGACGGGTTCAATGAGGATAAAGGTGTCAGCACGAAGAGGTGGTGGTACAAACGGAACCAAAGTGAAAGCATATACATATATACATAGTACATACATGTGCTCATTGCAAGAAAAGGACAATCAACAGACCAATAATTGCTTGTCTTGGGGTTGATTGCAGTCCTTTTGGGAAAGGGTGAAGTTGCGGATAACAGTGAGACGGCTTGACAAGCGAGGTAAGAGCTTCTCGATAGATAAGTGTTCCCCTATTATCTGCGCCTTTTGCCTCTTCAACGACTCGGTCCATTCAATCTGACTTCGGTCCGACCACACCTCATCGTCATGGTTCAATTGTTCTTCTTCCCCGGCGAGATTCTCAGACTTCTTAGGACGTTTCTCCACATACAACTCCAACCACAGATTCAGTACCACCCGTACCAGATGAGGGAATCTTTCCCTATCCGACAAGAGCATGTCGATCTTGTCCCACACCCGACGGAGCTGGGGCAAGGAATCGACATGGAGAAACTGAGTGTCCGACCAGTTGTTTGGAAACTCGTCCGTAAAATCGCTGCGAAGGTTGAATTCGACGGAGGAGACCGGAAAAGTGGGGCTGATTCGTGACAGAAGCCGCTTGCAGCTGACCAAGGTCATGGCTCCCGATGGATATGCAATGTTGAGATTTCGGTTTTCGCTGCAGCTATTCCTGGCATGGAGTTGAATCTTTCTCAGGGCGACTAGACGACTGAGGTCGGGGAACCCTGGGCACCCGTCAGCCTGACGAAGACAACAGCTTTGATTCTAGAAGCTTACTCTCGCAACAACCATAAAACCTGACGGTGAGGGTCTGAAGTGTTGCATAGCACACCTGGAGGATTCCGTTGATTGTGTCGAGATTGTGCTGGTGATGATTATGTTGTGAGAGGCGCCGGAGAGGAATGTCCAAAACTTCAAGCTCTGAAAGGATACCAGGATGTTTGTGTAGCAAGGGGTGTGAGGTTGTATCCCAGACGGTGGGGAACTGGTATCGGTATTTCCTCAATCGAGCGCGGACGGTTGCTTCGACTTCATCCCCAGGTCTGTCGTCCGTCCAAGCCCTACCCAATCTCAAACTCTTGAGCGTGGTCGAAGCTGCCAAAAGTAAGAACTGGCTGGCGTCCATCTGGCTTATTTTCAGCTCCTCCAATGCCATGTGAGACTCTGGGGCGAATAATTTCCGACATGTCTCCTGGGGCTTCGGGAGAGGTTGAATTGATGAAGAGAGTGAACGGAGAGCGACTTTAAAGCGGGAAGAATGGAGATGAACTCGGCGAGTAGGTCCCCGCACCGTCTATTGTTGTATGGCGGCTGGTCCCAGCCCACTCGCACACGCCTGGGTTGCGAGAACGAATCCTCGACAATAACCCAACGCTGTGGGAGCTTCAGCTTCTGTATGTAGGAGGCGAATCGTGGGTTGGCCTTCAAGAAATCCACAAACCCGTCCAACCATGGCCAAGTTCTTCTTGTCATGCGAAGGGTTTCGTACAGTGCCCTCTGGGATACCACTGAGGTCATCTGCCGCGATACTATACTGCAGTGATGCAAAGTTTCTCGATCGAGGATCTTCGAGTCACTGGCGGGGTGTATGATATGCTCCAGGAGCTCCTCCAGAAGAGTTGAGAGCATTGTGACGTCCAATTTTTGTTGAACGAGCCATCGTTAGTTTATGCAGACTTGGAGAAGCGATAATGGAGAGTGCTGCCTTACAAGTGATTCTGCTGAAAGCCTTGCAGTGCTTGGGCTTAGTTCAAGTTTTGTCGAACTGATTGTTCACCTTTGTTGACTGATCCAGTTCTCACGCGTGTCCGAAGCTTTGGGTACCATAGAACTCAAGTGGTGAGTGAAACCGAGCGGATGGTTGAGGACAGATCAAGGCTACTATCGCATCGATAATATTGGACCTATCGCTCACGAGTTAGGTCGTGTTGCACTTTGGATGAGCTCGTTATGATTCGTGATTTGATACATCTTAGTACATAATTTAAGCAGTGACCTTCCATCCAATCTGCGATGCCTCTCGACTATCGCATCGTTCCAGCCACGCCTTAACATTTGGGAACTCATCCAAGTTCTCGATCATGGCGTGTTGGTGAATCTTGATCCACGGGTGAGTCTTGATATCTGCGAGGGAGTATTTGCCTCTTCCTGAGCCTGCGAGGTAATCTCTGTCTTTGAGGCGGATTTCGAGGACGCCGTAGAGTCGCTTGGTCTCGTCAATGTAGCCTGAAGCAAGGACGCGTCAATTACTGAGAGATCCCGCTGGGAACGGGAAAAAACATACGTTTCTTTGCATAGGGGATGTCTTCAGGTGCATATTTGTTGAAGTGATGATCTTTGGAAACATGTCAATCGTTTCACTTGTCCTCGAGGAGACAACTTTAATACTCACTCTGGCCTTGCATGGGGCCAATACCACCATGCGCGAAGAAGAGCCATTGGATCATGTCGCTGTAGTCGTTAACCTCCGTCTGGGGGTTGAACCAGAACTTGAAATCCTTATCATAGTTCTGTGCCAGATAAAGGAGGATGGCAGAGGTTTCGAAGACAGGGAAGTTCTCTCTCGCTTGGTCAACGAGAACTGGGATACGACCATTGGGGTTCAGTTTAATAAACCAAGGTTCCTAAAGGTGATTGGTAAGGATCGTCGTTCGTGGATGGGCGCATATCAGCCTAACCTTTTGAACATTGGTAGAGATATCGACTTTAGTCGCGTCGTAGTCGATGTTGGGGTAAACCTTCTTGAGCTCTTCGAGGTAAATAGGGGGAACAACACCGTTAGGTGTGATCATAGTGTAGAGGTGGAAAGGCTTCGACGAGGACGTCATGTTTGCAGTGAAATAAAGACGAGGATTTGTTGGCGAGAGAATACGAGTATGACACTGAAGAGGGAGAAGTGGGTGCTGGGTCCAACGCGACTTCGCCCTGGTCTGACTCTTTATGCCCCGCCTCGTATTCAAAATCACCGATGACGTATTCCCATTTGTACGATACGTCCGTGGCAGTAAGTGCACCCTTGCACCGCTGGGCGCTCGAATTCGTAACATTGGATACTTAGAAGGCTCACCGGAGTTGCGCTGATTCAGCTGTCTGAATCAGCGATAATTTGAAATACGAGTAAGAGCCTAAGAGGGTCAAGGACAGGGTAGGTCAAGGCGCTCATTTCTGGAAGAAGAGATGATTAAGCAACGAATAGAGTCATGAAGGCGTGCTTTTGATGACGAATCAAGCACTGGAGAACCGCATGAGCACACTGCGCAATTCAAGCGTCTGTGCGGAAGACCGGATAGCAACCACTACACGACACTTTCCAGAGGTCAAAAACGAAAAGGAATTGGGTGCCAGACGCCAGTAAATAATAAACTTTAACAGCACATGCCTATTGTAAGTCGGATATGGTGTAACGGCTAACATTGCCGCCTCTCATATTTGAGAGAGTTTCCGCGGCAGCTCGGGGTTCGATTCCCCGTATCCGAATATTTTTGGCGGGAGTGAGCTGCATCTTTTCTTTCGATTTTATTTACAAGTTTTACAAGGAATTTGGACACTTGGACTAAGAGACTTCCTCTCGATCCATGCTAATAATTTGCAGGGGCCCAGCGTTCACGAAACGAGCGAGGAAGAGTGAAAATGCAGCAGGAGGTCCAGCCTCACTCGTTCGGCGTGATGAGATTGTGAAGGTTTGAGACCTGCCCAATCTCAACACCAGATGAGAGATGCAGGCGACCCAATCACCTAAAATCTGGGTGCCCACAGTTACTGTCCAGGCGTAAAACATGCCGACATCGGCGGCAACCCATTCCATCGTGATTGTAAAACGGTTTTGTTCCTTTGCATGGACCACGGCCACTCGTTTGAGTGCGACTACGAAAGGATCGACACTTGTTCCGGAAGAGAGGTGCAGGAGACGGGTGACGATAGTGAGACGCCGAAGATTTGGGAAATCGGCTTCGGTGAAGGCTTTGAAGGTGTTCGCAAACCATGTTCCGTCAACCCTGAGTTCCTCTAGGTTGGGAAGCGCAGGGCAGGATTCGAGGACGGAGAATGCAGGGCGACGAAGCCCGGCGTACCAGGGGAGATCAAGTTTGTCAATAGTGAGGGAGGTTAACTGCTGGAACGAGCTAACCCATTTATTCAGCTCCTCGATGGAAGGATAGTAGAACTCCCCCAATCCCAGGCGCTTTAGATGTGGAGCTGCCTCGGAGAATAGAGAACTGGCAACAAACCAACTGAGGTTTAATTGATCCTCGAGTTGGAAGTTGGCCAATTTCAACTCTTCGACAGGGGAGGTAAGGAGGGTTGAATAAAGCCATTGAAGGAGTGGAGGTGTCCACATGGCGTACGAGTCGATGGTGAGCGTTCGAAGGCAGGTCTTCTCTCGCGCAGATGTGGATAAAGTGATCATGGGGAGTGGCGTCTTTCCTGGGGATACTCTGTACTTCCAGTATCTCCCATCCAGGACAGACTCATTTGAGTCGAAGGCCTGCTTTAGTCCCAGGATCCTCCGGACGGACGAGACCGCTGTAGTGAGAACGGACTTGGATGGAAATACGGGTATGCATTGACATTCATCCGACGTCCAATTCAAGCCATGAATTTCCAATGACTCGCACCCTTTCTCGAGAATGGTGTTGAGGAGCAGGCCGAGCGCCGGATAGACGCTTGAAAGCTGCGATGGGGGAGGGCCGCTGATTCTTCGTCCTTTCCACTTCAGAACCACCCGACGAAAGCGCCGAAGTCTTCCAAGGGTAGACTGCAGTCTGGCGATATGGTGTAAGAACGGGTCATCCATGCTATGCGAAATGAAGACCAGTTCCTCGGTTTCGTCGACGAAGAAGGGGAGACGCAATGCAGTGAGGGCATCAAAGCACCTGTCTGTGGTGCTCGGAGGGGCAAGTGTGATCCTTTCCCGTGGGTGCGGGCAGCCTATTTTCGCGAGATAGAGGCTTAAAGCTGTATGGTAAAAGGATCTTGACGATAGTGCCAGCGTGAACAAGGTGCTGGATGCTAAATCTGCAGCACCCAGGATTTCATGAAGCAACTCGGACGGTAGCAGAGATAAAGCAGGAGTTTTGGCATCCTATCATCCGAAATTAGCTTTCACTCAGAATAAAGGGCAACAACTTACATTTCCTCCGGCCGTAGAAGCCAACATGGAAGTCAGATTGAGAATGGCCCGCGCCCGCGGAGCCCGCAGGCCCTATCGCCATGTGGCAGTGCCTTGATTTCCCATGACACAGCCGCATCACGGGCCTGTCGAAACGAATCCCGACCGCTGCGGAGGCTCCATCCCGTCGCCGTCGATACAACTCGAGCTCGAGCTCATCGCTGGTCACGATGTCCGACTCCTTTGCTGACCTTTGGAACTCAACGGCGCCCACGAAATCTCACAATCTTCCCTTATCCCAACAAAAACGGGCTCCGACAGCACAGTCTAGACCAACTCAGGACGTCTTCGCATTACTTGCCCAGAGCTCATCGCCGTCTTCGACGCCCAATTATGGTGGAGGAGCCAATAGAAGCCAGTTCTCGTCTTCATTACATTCGACCGGATCGTCCCCCAGACCGATAACACCCTCTGTTGGCGGCAACAACGGTATAGCACGACCGACATCGTCACTTTCGCAATCATCCACCACGAAATCGACCTCGAGCAACGATGCGTTCGGGGATCTATTCTCTGGAATGTCCGCCAACAAATCCAATGGGAACGCTGCCAATCTGACCATGGCCGAGCGCGCAGCTTTGGCTCAGAAGCAGAAACTGGCATCACAGTCGCCTGCATCAGGCACAACTGGTTCCACGTCGATAGGTAACCAATGGGCGGGATTGGACGCCCTAAGGGGAGGATCTTTCACCGCGACCCCATCCAAACCAGCAGCGACGACGATCGATGATGATGACTGGGGACTCGGTGATTTTGGCGCGCCCTCCAAGCCTTCAACTCAACCCCAATTTGCACCGCAGCCGAAACCCTCATCCACACAAGATTCGTTACTCGGATTCGACGACGACGTTTCGCCAACTACATCCCAAACAACTACTCAAAAGGCCACTGGATCTCTATGGGATATCGACGACTTTGCTTCGCCTCCGAGCAAGCCTCAAGAACACGTTGACAATCCCGACTTGGACTTCGATTTCGGTAATCGTGAAGACCGAGATTTCTCCTCAACGTCCAACACCGCTGCTCAAGAACACGGGGAGGATGACATCCTTGGCATGCTCAGCAAGCCAGTGGAGGCAGTTAGGGCGAGTCAACAGAAACCCGCCAATGGTGTATGTATCTTCGTACGAAGTGCGAAACGGTTTGGACTTAATCCGTATTCCAGGGCTACTCGCATTCTACTACACCCTCACCTCAGCCTCTGCCATCTCGAAGTAACGCGACAAGATCATCCTCACCTCCACCCCACATTCTCGGCCAAATCGTAGAGATGGGTTTCTCAGTTGCCCAGGCCAAGGCTGCTCTCGCACGAACAGAAACCGGTACAGACGTACAAGCCGCTCTCGACATGCTCCTTGGCGAAGGAAGCAACAATCCCAGTCGATCCGTCACACCAGCTTCAGACCGCAGGCGCCCCGGTGCCGGTGAACGTGGCTACTCTGACGAAGATGTCCAACCCAGGAGAAGGCCCGCTCAACCTCAACGCGAAGGGTCGTCGGGCACTGGAACGCCCAACGCCGAGAAGCTTATTGCTCAGGCAAGCGAAATTGGCTTGAGCGTACTCTCAAAGGCATCTCTGTTTTGGAAAGAAGGAAAGGAGAAGGTGCAGAAGGCATATGTGGAAGCAAGTGGTAGTGTTGCATCTGGTACCCGCGATACCCGACCCAAGTGGATGCAAGACGCCGGCGAGGGATCGAGCCAGCCGCCGCAGCGGTACAACGAAGAGCGTGGAGCAGTGGGTTCAAGCTTCAGAGACGGCGATGACGACTACGAGCCTTCATCCGCATTCGCCGATTCACCTGTCTCAAGCGGGTTCAATCGCAAGCAAGCTCCTCCTCCCCCTCAACAACAACGAGCGCAGCAACCAGAGCCAGACCTCTTCTCTTCTGAACCAGCTGAGCCCAAGATTTACGTATCACCATTCCGTCGCAAAAAGGTTGATCTCTCCGCCCCTTCTGCCCCTGTGGCAGAACCAAGCCGTGCACTACCTCCTCGGGCTGCACCCGCTCCCAAACCCAAACGCCACCTTCCTTCATGCTCTCCATCCAACCTATCCCGCGTCGTCCAACACAAGACCAAAGGAACCGACGCCTTCAAGCTCGGACAATTCAGTGTCGCAGCCGAGGAATACTCCAAAGCCATCACTCTCCTCCCCTCCAATCACCTCCTCCTCGTACCCCTCCACACCAACCGCGCCATCGCGCGCATCAAATGCGGAGAGTGCAAGGCCGCCATCGAAGACGCTAGTGGTGCATTGTCTATCATCGGGTCTCAGAAAGGCTGGGAGAGTTGGCATCCAAGTGACGAAGAGGGCGGATGGGAATTGGAGAATAACGATTCGGAGGCCGATGGAAGAGGCGGGTACACTGTCGCACGATCCAAAGGTGCTGAATGGAGTGATTCTTGGGGCAGAGGCGTCGATCTCAAGGATGGCTGGGTGAAGGCGGTCAAGCGACGCGCTGAAGCATTCGAGGGCCTCGAGAAGTGGAAGGATGCCCGCAAGGATTGGGAGATCCTGGCTGGCGGAGGCGGAGGAGGCTGGGTTGACGCGAATACCCGACAGGAAGCTGTTCGAGGCCTTGGAAGGTGTAAGAAGATGTTGGATGCTGCTACCGCCGGAGACAGTGCAGGCTCGAGTCGCCCTGCTGCTCCTGCAGCACCCAAAGTCAAACCCCGACCTCGCCCCACCCCGCCTGCATCCACCAACACAGCTCCCGGAGTCGCAGTCCAGGCATATCGCGCACAAATCAAGGAAGCCGAAGCTGAGGATGCCCTCAAACATACCCTCAAGGACAGCGTGGAAGCCAAACTCGAAGCGTGGAAGAAGGGTAAAGAAACCAATTTGCGAGCTCTGCTGGCTAGCTTGGACGTGATTCTATGGGACGAGGTCCTGAAGGAGATGGGCAAGAAGCCCGGGATGGCAGACTTGATTAGCAGTGGTGGTGTTAAGAAGTGGTACATGAAGGCTGTCTCTAGGGTACATCCCGACAAGGTGAGCTTTTAACTACTTCGAACTTGTTGGTTTGCGTTGGAGCTCACCCGTTACTGCTAGCTCAACTCGAACAACTCGACTGTAGAACAGAGGATGATCGCTGGAGGCGTGTTCGGGGCGCTCAACGAAGCTTGGCTGGCGTTCAAGCCGTAATCTTCATGATGATACTCTTTGGGCTGGCGGGGAACTGGTTTCTGTGCTATATTTGTATACCTGTTGCGGAACATAGAATGGACATTCTTCTTAACAGATGGAAGGATAGCAAGTTGGTGACGAGTCGCCCAGGCCCAAAGTGTTCACGCCGAAAAACGAAGTTGCGGGAAGAGCAAGAATTTATGCCTGAAGATCGAAATAGGCTTGTGCATTCGATCCTCGAAGTTCCCTCAATAAATGCTGAAAGGAAGTGGAATATCAGCGACGGTAATATTAGACACTCCCACGAGCGACTTACTCTGACGGCTTGTCGGTCTTGCCACCGTCGCTTCAAGTAGATGAAGAACTTCTTGAGCTCGTCAAACATGAAAAGAGGAATCAGGCAAGCCATCATGGGAACCGCGACCTTCCAGAAGCTTTCAAAAGGAACGGATGAGCTTAGTGCTTACAGCAGAGAACGACGGGACTTGACTTGCAATTTATCCGAGTTCTCATCTACGCTCCAGAACGGCTGGAAGTTCATTCCCTGGAGTGGGATGTAAGCTGATGGAACTGAGAGAAGTTCAGGGCTCCACTCACGAAGTAGCCGGTGAGGAGAGTCAGAGGGAGGAAGACGATAGACACCAGAGTCAGGCGGCTCCTGGGAAGACGTGAGATAGGGGAAACGACGAAGCGGCTCGAGTAATGGTAACAGACATCACCGTGTTCATTTCATAAGATGCCATCTAATCGTTTGTGTTAGTGCGTTGAAGGGCATGGTGACTAAAATAGACGTACATTAAAAGCAAAATTGATCAAGTTTTCTGAGATACCAGAAAACATGTCCAGGCTTGTTAATGCGAAATCCATATGGTCGTAAACATCCGCCTTTGTAAGATCGTTAGCCAGAGTGGATGCAAACTAGGGACTGAACATACCAAGTAAACCTTGGCTTTATAGCTGAAATACCCTTGAACCTCGACGTGCGGGATGGCTCCTGGACCCCCCTGCTTCATAAACTCTCGCAAGTGGTCGTCGTCGGTCTTGATATGACCCTCTCTTAGATCACGGTGAAGGTCATGGATATGGCTTGGCTCCAGATTCGCAAATGCCTCTACTTTGGAGCCGGTGGTAGTAAACTGCGTGCTCGCTCCAGGAAGCCATCCGTGCTTCCGTCTCTTATGTCTTCTCTTGGCCTCTAACGCGTCTTGCTGTTGTTTCGCCATGGCCAGATTATCTGCCAAGGCAATACACCTGTCTAAATCGTACTTCCGCAGACCGAAAATCATTGTCTTGATGGGGTCTAATGTTCTTCTGTGCATGATAAGATCGCCAGATAGGATATGCACTATGTTGCGTTAAGCTTTCGCACCAAGGTTCTCAAAGACAGGGACGCTTACAGTATCGAACGGCGTTCATGCTTGGGTTCATGAGTATTTGATGCTCCAAGTCATGAATTTTTGCCTGGTACTCGTCCATCATCTCCAATATACGGTCCACGACTACGCAATTAGCCCGTGTATATGGCACGGGTGATTGAGACTAACCTAGATCGATCAGACTTTGAACGAGAAGAGATGCATCATTGGATTCCCTCAGAACGGAATCTGCTTGGTGTAACCGGTCGACGATGGGTACTGAGTATTCTAGATTGGGAGAGGGATGGATGGAGATAACGGTTCCTACATGAAGAGTCAGCTTATGTCGCGCCGGACGATGAGACAAGGCACGGACCATTTCTGAGAAGGAAAATGAACAGCGGTTGGTGTTTGATATTCACTCTGAAATCCTTTTTTAGCTCACGGATGCGCACAATCAATTCCCGCCTAGCCTGTAGATGGGTGTGAGGAACATGCTACTAACAGACCGTTCAGGGTTCACTCACGGGGCTAGGAAAGCCACTGAGTGCTGTAAACCTCTTCCGAAGTGCATTTCTGGCCCTTGTGACAAGACCTCTACGACGCGACTTCCTTGGTTGTTCAGGAGTCTCCGTATCAGATTCGTCTTTTACACCTGGGTTCGAATCTGGCTCAGAGGCCGGTATAGGATCAGTTTTGGCGAGGGTGTTCAACTCTGAGGCGATCGCTGTACTGGCGCTCCGTAGTCCAAGCCCACTGTCGCTCACAACCGAGAACGTTCGCCGGGGTGGGCCCTCGCCCGATGCAGCTTGTTTCGGTGAGGTCGGCATCTCGACCTCAACTTCGAGAGGAAGAGGTGGAGGTTCCTCGTACGGCTCGAAATCGTCATCATCAGGGTCTGCCAATACATGACACAGAATCCTGATGAAGAGATGTTCGGGGTAGTAATCCGCCTTCGAGTGGTTGTGGCCGCTCTCGTGAAGAATATCTTCGAGAGCCAGGGAGTGCAACTCTATCAGAAGCGACATGAGCACATAATATAAAGATATACGCGTCGTTTTCGTACCATATTTGAGAGCAACAGCTCTGAGAACGTTCCAGTCTATGCCTCCAATGTTAATCCATCGAACGGCGAGTGGTGGGGCAGAGGGATCGCTGTCTGGAGTCGTATTCCCGCTTTTTGGCGACTTCTCCGACATTTGACGAATGAATTGGTCATTCCCCATCCTTGCAAACCGGGCCTCTTCATTGTCGTAGTCGATAATGTCGATAACACAACTCTGTTTAAAATGACCGTATTCCTCGTTGGATGCACCACTTCGTGGATCAACACCTGGCTCAGCACCGGCACAGGCATCATGGTCGCAAGACTGATGGCCAGGGCGATGGTGACTACTCTGAAATCTCGGGGAAAACGTGAGTTTTCTGTGTAAGGTTGAGGGAATATGGATGCCGTTCAGTGGGCGGCGATCTGGTTGTATTGCGCTGAGTATACTGGCCGAATCCATTGAGCTTCGACTACGCAGCCTTGACAAGTGCGGAAGTTTTGGAGTTACGTGCCCGTACTGCATGGTTGGAGACAAAGTCCACGAGGCGGTCTGTCGTCGCTGTCGTCGTCGTCGCCGTTGTGCATCGAGGTGGTCGACATCACCCACAATCTTACCGCGAGAAACAAGGGCGTCATTTGCTTGGCATCGTCCTTCGTGAGAAACACAAAGCCAAACAATTCTGCCGTCCCTCAGCGTGTTCACTGGCTTTCGACTCTGTCGACAGAAGGACAGAGCTCACTGTCAGCTGACGCCGTATGAGCCCTCCACTCTCTCTAGACATGCTGTTTGCTATGTTGCTGGATGACCTTCGTGTAGTGCCAACCGACCTCGTTGTTCCCGCAAGAGCTAGGGTTTCTTCTGCGTGGTTCGGGGCGACAGGGTTCGAGTCACACTGGAACGTGCAAGGAATCTTGACGGACATGACCCTCAGGAAACGCCAACTCGCTTCACTGGCAGACATAGGGTTCTTCACTCATACAATGAGGAACCTCGGTGACTTATTGAAATCCGATACCCTGGCATTGACCATCGATGCAGCCAACTGGCCAAGTGTGGCGTTAGCAATCAGGAACCCCGCACCAGCCCCATCCCACCGCACCCACATCGGGTCTAGCAACGACCACTTGACGATAGGCTCGGATAGGCAACGAGGAAACCTTCAAGTTTCCCGAAACGTTTCTAGTCAGAGACCGGACACTACGGATTGCCGGTACCGACGAAAAGGACCAACCACATCCAGCCACATCCAAAGAGATCTCGTGGATCTCCACGACCAATGTCAAAAGTTGAGGCTGTTGAGCCCACATGAGCACAACCACCGCGACCCTCCGCAGGACCCCTGAAAGCCAGCTGAGAGGTCTTTTCCCAGCCAAAAATCTATATCCGGACTATTTTTTCGTGACCCCCCAGCGAGGGGTATCCGGACCCGGAAAAGACCTCGCGCCAAGCCTCAATCTATATCCGGACTTTGGAAAAGACCTCAAAAATCGCCAAAATCGTCGAAAATCGCCAAAAATAATGTATTTGGATGCTATAAAGCGTTTGGTCAATCATCGTCCTATTATACACTCGCACTATACAACCAAGCCTCAAAAGCTACCATTGCATTGGAGGAAGATGCATAAATATACCTTCTTACTTATCTGTAAAGTCGCCTATAGTCGCACTACTGCCATCTACACATACATCTACATAACTATAGAAAGTCAACGAACGCGATCGCCTACAACGTCATACATCATGGTTGTACATTGAAGAAACGAGGGAGAGTGCGATTAATGGCATCACGCCAGCCCAAATACGCCAAAACCTCTCCAAAAAGTGTTCCGAATGTGAATCGAACGTACCACCTGCATATGGTCTTGAAAGGAGTATATACAGCCTACACTACAGGCCCATCGCTAGGCGTCTTCGCATGGGTCGTAGGTGCCCAGTATCCGGACTTTGGAAAAGACCTCCTCTTGGCGGTGTCGATATCCGGACTTTTGCCAAAGACCTACTTTTCCCCGACCCCCCATCTATATCCGGACAAAAAAACACCTATCGTCTCAAGACCCCCCGCCTATATCCGGACTTTCAAAGACCTCTCAGTTGGTTTTCAGGGGTCCTCCCTCCGCGACCAGCTGACCACGTCGGTCATCAATTTTGGAACCGACCTGGCAATTTAGGGCAATTTGTGGCTTCAGGGTGCCTCGTGTGGGGACCACTCTACCATTGCACCGGGATATGCTGTTAGCCCCACTTGGCGGGCAATTTCCATCGAGGGCACAAACAAACTCTATACTTGTCTATCTTTCCCTTTGAGGGAATGTGCCGAACCTCGCGATTTGGGCGGCGGCGACGCGCACTTCACCATATGTTCTCTATTCCCGGTGGATTTAGACAGGTACATTCGCTTTCTTTTGACGTCCTTACGGGTTGACAGAATCAAGGAAGAAGGAAGACCGATGGAATTCCATAAGCTTGCTGAGTGATTAATTCGATGATTTGGGAGGTAAGTCAACCACTGGCATCCGCCGTCACATGGGTCCTGATGACTTCCTGCTGGTACGCTACCCACGTATTGCCATACAGTGAGCTTAGCTCCGATTCCAGTGGAGAACAACACCCCAAATGTACGAGAAAGAGGTCGGTCCCAGTGCCTGGTCTCGTCTCGAATGAATTCTTTCTGATATCGAACAAAGGCTCTCCACTCGCTTTCCATGCATTAACCTTGTAGTTAAATCGGCCAAGCCGACGTTCGTGGCAAAGGACTGTATGGAAATGTTCGCCGTGGCGTCCAATGAGACATTTCTGCCCATCGCACCAAGCTCCAACAGGATACGTAGCCTGTTCTATCCGCTGAATACACCACGAATGTATGGGCGGCAGGACGGCTTCTGATGCGCCGCGCTGATCAACGTTCAATAGGCACCTTGGCCCACCCGACATTTGATGTCCGAGGATTCCTTTCTCGTCGTACCTATCCCATCGTTCCTCGGGCGACTCTCGTGGACGCGAAGAGCGCTACTCGATGAATTCCCTCTCTTCCCATGGCTATCGCCCGCCGGACTTCTGCCGCCAGCAATTTTCATGCTGTTGTGGCCTCAGATTCTTCAAGTGTCAAGAACGCCACCGAAAATGCACAGAGACAATCGGTCAATCATCAACTTGAGGGACGCATGCATACGGCCGAGTCACGATGACAGCGAAATACGCGAACACGTAGCGACTTGGAATGATACGGGCCAACTCGCAGCGCATTTTGCCTGGCTGGACTCCCATATGGCAATGTTCATTCTCGCCTTTTGAAAATTTGCTGCTCCTTCCGACCTTTGAATCCCTTGTACCCCGGAACAAAAGCATGAAGACCGAGTCTTTCTAGGGCGTAGATCGCAGCAGGGCGACGGCGGACATTGACTGCCGCTGCGCCATGGACCTGGACCGATAGTCCCGAGTTGAACTCGACAGCCATCTGGGGCTAATACGAACTAAGCTTTCACCGCCTACTTAGAGCCTAACGCTCAAAACCTTCTTCAAACCCAGCTTCCATTCCACAGTCATTTCGATGGTAGGGCAATACTAGATATCACCAATCTTGAACGTCAGTCTTCTTTGATAGTAGTAGCTTGAATCTGGACCGAACGGTCTACTTCAAGCTGGTCCTGTGTAGTTGGCGATCTTTGTAATAAACATCTAGAAATCTTCTACCTTGTCTTGCTTCCATTGTCCTGCCAGCATCGAGCTGGGAGCCTGAGCGCCTAACATCGCCCGTTTCGTTATCATTCGATACCTCTTTTCCACCTCCGGCTAAGCCCGGAAACCGCTACGCAGCAGAGTAGGAAGACAGAAACATGCTCGACATGCATGGCACTGTCCAAACACTCGTTAAGAAGGGATTAATTGGCTCTCTGCTGTCCCTTGAGGTCTGCGGACCCAGCATTTCGGCGAAATATCACCGACGAGTACTGAGGACACAGGACATCTGAGAACACTTCGAAAGATAGGCCCGGTTGAACTACTACGGAAACCATGAGGCTCATTAATCTGATAAAAGCACTCTGCGTACTAGTATCCTGATGGATAACGATCGTTCCGCTCACTTCTCGAAACTTCTAGGCAAGGATCATGTTCGACAATTGAACTGTTTGTGGGCGCTACAGAAATAAGCGCCCAACCGGGAGGCAATAGCAAACGCACAAAGCAGTGGGTACACATCTAGTGCCCCCCTTTTCTGATACGGTAAGAATACAGAACACCCTGAGCGCAGTAGCTCGGAAGAGAGGTGCAACTTAATGAACCCCTTCTCAGTGGGCCTGCTACACATGAAATCTGGTATCAGCGCCCACTGAGCAGGCTCATGGGACTAGTAGTGTGACCCCAACATCTCCGCAATCTGCCCTTCGATGTACATCCAATTACGAGTACGACATCGTAGTTGTGTATCTACAGATGAGTACATACGCGATTTAGTGCCCTCCGGTGCTCGTCCACACCCCGCCAATTTCGCGATTTCGTTCTATTCAGAGGTTTAGTGCTTGTTTACACAGAACACCTACTGTATGCCCACGCCAGTTCTTCTGCACGACTTTGCCGATTAAACGTGCACCAGTTCTGTACAATTTCTGCTGTAATTCAGAGTATCTGTGGACATCGCGGGTCGGAGGTCCGTTCGCCCCACCGTGACAGCGGTGCGCCTGCGTGCTGTGTTAACAGTGAGACCACCTGAAACCACCTCCATAGCCACCATCAAGACATATCCCGTCCACGCTGGAACCTGACCACCACCGGCATCGAGTTCAAGCTATCGATTCATCACAGCACGCTGCGACCAGGTGGGCCAGACATCGTCCCGACGTCCTCGACGCCTATGGGTTCCCGGTGTGGACACCTATAACCGCGCCGCCGACGGTTAATCCATACCCTCCACCACTAACCACGTTGTCGAGGACACCCAAGACAACAATGCCATTTGTTTCCGATCCCGCCTTTCAGCTGATCCATTGCACGTTGAAAAGCGGAACCTGGGTTAAATTTAAGCGCCCATGCCAAATAAAGATCCGTTTCCGGCTAGCCCCGATCCCTCCCCTGTATACCTGGACGCCATCGTCTTGGTGTTCCGGGTAATCCTGGGTGTCAATACAGCTGCATTTTCACTTTCCCCCACGATCGCCCCTGACCCAACGATTGAGCTCAAAACCGGACCGCACGAGCTTGAGATAAAAACCAAGGTAAGATATACAAGTAATATTACGGCAAATTACAGCACATAAAGATATAAAGATAGGTAGTTGTAACTTTGATATGGCATGTTTAATAGGTAGATAGCAGTAATCGAAACAGATGATGAGAATGAGAGGCCACATGATACAAGGCAGGCGAGGTCAGAGAAGTCAATGAGATATTTGACAAGTAACAAGCATGTCAGCTACGCGGTAGAACAAGGGTAGAGGCGATGATGATACAACAAGTCCCATAGAGGTCGAATGAGCAACAAAAACGTGATTTGCGGCTTAGATCAAGAGTATAAGCACAAACCAAGAAGATAAGGCGCCGAATTGAGAAAACGAAATTCATAGGTGGCCGTAAAAAAGACGTAAAAGAAGCAAGACGCATGCGAAAGTCCTAGAAGAAACAACCAAAAGCCCAACATAAGAATGAAAACCGAAGAAGTCCAAAATGAGAAGAAACCGGAGATGATGTGTCGTGAAAGTAAGCTGTATGTGTGTTATGTCCATGTCAAGTTGTTAGAAGGTCCAGCGTGTTGTGGATGCATGAGAACCAGGAACGAATGGAAAGGCATGGTGATTAAAAACGAGCAAAGAAAGAAAAAAAGCGGTCAAAGCCATCCGTCGAGATATGGCGACGGGGATCTTCAGGCTTTGGCAGGGTTCGGCGGAGGCACATAGTCTTTGTGCACCCGCATATGCTGGCCAAGGTTGTCGTGCCGGCTAAAGTCCTTGCCACACCCAGGGTAAGGGCATGTATGGGCTGTTCGCATGCGACGATTAGCTCAACTCGTAGAACAAGGGAAGACGCAGACCAACTTACGTTTCTCATTGGTATGAATGCTTCTGACGTGTCTCTTCAGATGCTCACCACGAGCGAAGCACTTGCCACAGCCCTCCACGTCACAAAGATACATCCGCGCACCCTTTGCACCTGCTCCACCACGACCCTTGCGACCTGAAGTAGCGGTGCCTACAGAGGGAAAAAGTCAGAACGAAAACTACAAACCATAAAACAATGAACGTACCCTGAGCGCTCCCAGCCTTCCTCAACTCCTCCAAGCTGCTGACAGTAGGCACTCGTCGACCACGGCTCTTCTTGGTGAGGTTGGGAACAGGGACAGGGACAGGAAGACTCGCAGCAGGTCGGACCTTGCGCGTCTTTCCATCTGGACCAAGCTCGAGATCACCACCAACCGAAGGGGAGACAGACCCATCAGTGCTTCCCTCGAATCCAGGGACGTTCAGGGTCCGGAGACCGGTGCCAGGCGGGGTGGTAGAGGAGCCAGATTCGCCGCTAGGTTGGGAAGCAGCCGCAGCAGCGGTCGCAGCATAGACAGAGTACGGGTTGTATCTGCCATTAGCACTACCCCTGGAGCGAAGGCCTCGAGAACCAGCGGAGCGACGACCACCAGCAGGAGCGGAGGCTGAGTTACCAGAGGCGGCGGCGTTGTTGGAAGTGGCCCTGCGGGAGGCTGACCTTGAACCTCCAGCACCTTTGGACCTGGACCGGGGCACAAACTCGCCATCCTTTTCGTCATCATAATCAAAGCTCTCATCACTGCTCGAAAGCAGATCCTCATCCCCCTCCCCACCAACCTCCTCACCCTCATCCGCCAATCCATCTCCAGCCTGACCGTCGACGTTGCGTTGAGTGAGCGTTTGCGTGCTAGCCTTGCTCCTGGTGGAGCGTGAGGTAATGGTCCTGTTGGAGGCTCGCTGCTTCATCGTCGGCTTCCCACCAGCGCCCACCTTCCTTCCAGCGCCCGCCCCACCCGTGAGACCGTCCACAGCCAATGCTGTACCAGTCTTTCCACGACGTTGTCTACCATCCCTACCCTTTACAGCACCCCCGTCTCCCTCTCCACCATTCCTCCCAACAACCCCCTTGCCCTCGCCGCCCTCAATATCTGACAATAACCCCGTGCCCTCACCATCGGACTCCGACTCGGAAGAGTCGGCACTGTCGTACTCGCCACCCGCCTTCTGCCAATCCTGCACGACGCCGATACCGGAAACGCCAACGAGGGTCGGAGAAGGCGCAGCGTCCAAAGCCGATTCAAAGTCGTACATGTCCTGTGGCTGATCGACCGAGTCGCCTGTCTTGCCAGCGTCATCGAGCATCATCATGCGAGGGGAGATACCTTGGTTGGCAGCATTGTTGTGAGCGTCAGTCAGATCGTTCATGTCCACTGTCACGGGCATAGGCGGGATGTAGATGTTGGACGCTGAAGTCGAAGAAGTGTTTGTCGGTCCGGAAGATTGGAGCCCAGAGTTCGTCATCGACATCTCCATGTTCATCCGCAAGATGTCCATGTCCATGTCAATCCCGACACCCATATCGCCTGCCATACCGTGTCCATGCACAGCACTTTCGACATCCATCAATGACTCCATCCCTCCCATGTCCATATCGAATGTGGGTTGGTGTTGTTGCGCAACCTTCTCGTCGATGTCGAGCTGCATGATGGAAGACATATCCGCGCCCTCGGAGACCACGTTGATTCCCTCTTCGTCATACACCGATCCAGGAATACAAGTCATCGAACCAGAGTTGACCATATCGCTCAACAAGCGAGTGCTTCCATGGTGAGCGGCGGCAGCGGCCGCCAAGGTCGAATGTTGCGAGGGAAGCGACTGGCTGGGGATATGCGCGACGGGAGAGCGCGAGGAAGTCGAAGAAGTGGACGAGGAAGCGGAGAGGGAAGGTGCGAGGGGAACAGATCTCGAAGACGACACTGATGATGGAGAAGTCGACACGCCCGGAGCATAGCCGCCATTATTCGGATTGGCATATCTTTGCTGCTGGTTGTGATGGACTTGATGTACAGCTGGCGCGCTAGGTCGCCTCCCCATCTCGCTAAGGAGGACCGGTGGAGAATATCCACCTTGTGGTTGTGGCTGGGAACGAGCAGGGAACTGAACATCCACGAGTGGTGCCGAATGTCTTCGCTGATCGAGTGACACAGATGGCTGAGGGCCGTCCCGGCCCCGGTCCTGTCGCTTCGACTCCCTTCTTTGCCTCTCCCGATACATCTTCTCATACTGGCCTGCGTACGCGTCGTCCTCCGGAATGTTCCCAGGGTTCATGGAACCTGCCTTCCCAATACCAGATGCGCCATCGTCGAAGAACTCTTGATGGAGTGGCGACCTTCGAGCTTGTTGGATTTGATTAGGATGGAGGGGGGATCTTCCGTGAGTACCTCTTTGCTGGTAACCTTGTGCATAAGGATGGTGATGCTGCCGAGGGGACAATGAACCGGCATTGGGAGAGGTCGAAGGCTGGGCAATACCCATACTCGCCCGTCGCTGAGCGAGCAGCGCCTGAGAGTTGTTCACCCCTGCACCACGCCCAGAAGTGACTGGGTACGAGGAAGGACCAGGAATCACGGGAGATAAGGAGGCCGTTGAGGACATGGGAGTGGGTGGGGGACCACTCATCGCCAATCCAAGCCCATTTCCAGAACCGTTAATGACCATTCCATAGTCTGCACCAAGCCCGTGACCAAACTCATGACCTGGTGTCAAAGGCAAAGACATTTGTCCGGGCGATAGCGATGAAAGGGAAGATGCCGGAGACCCCGTCGGGTGAGCATTAAGGTTGAGATTCAGATGGAGCGACTGGGCGTGGGGATGGGAAGGGGGATGGGATTGTTGAGGGCGGCCGTACGACATCGAAGGCTGGTGGAACATTTGGGGAGGTGACACCGATGCAGAGCCCGCTGACGAGTAGCGCATATGTTGCTGGTTATGCTGTGAGTGGGACTGCGCACCGGGCTTTGGATGCCACTCGTCAACGTCCACGTCAAATAAGAGAGGATGTCCGCCGTTGCTTCCTGTGCTGCCGCTGCTCGAATGCCGCTGATGGTGATTGTGCTGGTATTGGGATTGTGGCGCCATCATGGACTGGGAGTGCGAATATGATGGGTTGGGCTGGCCGCCAGAGACGACTGCCTCGGACCCAGCGTATCGACTCGGGATTGGTGAATGAACGGGTGCGGCCGAAGAGCTGGGTTGGGACGAAGGAATGTATAGTTGGCCAAGCATGCCAGGCTTGGCTGGGCCGCTCGAGGCGTTAGGATTGGACGAAGGATAAAGACCGTTAGAGTTGGATGTCGGGGCGGAGGGAGAGGATTGGCGGACGGTTGTAGAGTTGGAAGCTGGTGCACGAGAGGCGGTGTTACTGGTGGAGGTAGAGGTGGCGTCGGCGATATGTTGGCTTTGTTGTTGCTGCTGCTGAGCCAAAAGCCCAAGTCAAAAGTGTCGTCGTCGTCGGGGTGATGTAATGAAGCAAAGAAGAGAAGATAAGGTGGCGACGTGCGAAGCGACACGAGCGGACGGCGGGGTTGAAAGTTTTGGAGACCAATGGAGGTACCAAGGGGAATTGATGATCGGCAGGGTAAGGTCATCCAAACCGTCAGTGAAAACGATAAGTGAGGAAAAGGCCAGGGACTTACGAGTCTTTGATAAGAGTTGTTGCTATCAGTTATATTCTGGGTGTTGTTCTTGGGCGACCAAGTGATGAAACTGTTACAGTCGTTGGGAGCTGTGGGGCTTGAATAGCTGAGTGAAGGACATGAGTCAGTTGATGTGGATGGACAAACAGATGAAATGGTGAAACAAGGGGGAGCGTCCTGTCACTGCAAGTACAAGTGACCAGTGAAAGACGAAAGGTGTAAAGACATATGATAAGTGTTTACGGGAACTTACTCGGTAGCCATGATGTTGCCATAGGTTGCATTGAGGTCGAGTTCACCAGCCGATGTGTAGACCACTGCCCCCGGATTGCCGGGTGGGTGAGCAGAGGCAAAAGCCGAGTAGTCGGAGCTAGGACCGCCCGGCAGGACGTCGTTCGCGTTGGGGTTATAGAGACACGCTAGGCCACTGTCGACAACGTCTGTGATTGTTGGATCTTGTTCTGAGGATGCAAAGTCGTACAAGGAGTTGGATTGTTGGGTGAAATCGGTGAAATCGGTGTGGCCTGAGCTCTGAAAGGAAGTTGCTGATGTGGATGTGGAGGAAGATGAGAAGGGGGACGGTGAGGGAGCTGAGAAGCCTGAGCCGGTGTCTGAGTAGGTTGGGCTGACGGGTGAAGCAGAGGCAGGCCCCGTTGTCGTCGTCGCTGTCGTCGTCGGTGGCAGCGGCTGGTGGGACATTTTGGGGTGGCTGTTTGGGTGGAAGAAACGGTTGATCGCAGCACGGGCGACCTGGGCAAGATTTGAGGAGGAAGACTGGGAGATGTTCATTTTGAAGGAAGGGAAATAATTATTTAAAAAGAGGGCGTTTATTCGACGGGGTCCGGTGTCTGACCTGGAATGGAATGGATAGCGTGGAGGAGCGGGTATTCGCACAATTGGATATCAAGTGATGCGGCGGCTAAACTGTCCAAATGATGCGGAGAAAGGACCAGAACACAATTTCAATTTCCTTCAAATCGCTCTCTCCACTTGGCGCACCAAGGTCGATCGCTCGTCCAGATATCGTGGCCAGCAGCCCGCGTCCAGGGCCAACTGTGTCGTCGCAGATACGTGTCAGGTCGTCGTGAACCCCCTGCAAGTCGATCCCAGGGCGGTCTTAAGAGAAAAAGATTGGCTGTGGTGGGGAGAAGAATGAGGAATGGAAAAGGAACTGCGAGAGAGAACGGGCTGAGATACTCGACTGTCACGCTTACCCAACGCGGATATTCCCACCTCTTGGCCTAAATCGAGATCTAGATCCCCGATAGAGCCAACATCCCCGTAACCACTGCCCTGGCTCCCCGTGCCTTCCAACAGGTCACAAGAACCGACACACTCAAAAGTCCGACAACTCGGCCGTAATCATGGCCTATCGTCTCTCCCGTATCTCACTTATCTCCACATTCCTCATATCCAACCAATCCTCACACCTCCACACATTTCGCACAATGAATCTACCTAACAACTATCAACTTTTCCCCATTATCAGTTATACTTTCCTCTCTGTTTCAGCCCGAATACCTTCCCTGACGGCCGGTTACGGACTTAGAGGGAGTTTGAACGCTCACCGGACGTTGTAACTTTCGTGCCCAATCTTTCGTCATCCCAAAATTAATGACATTCAAAGCCCTCTTCGACACCCGAGAGGTGACAAAAGTGTACTACTACGCCCTTCGAACTGCGATTGATCGTGACAAGCGTGTAACAAATGGTGGACTAGGTTCAAGCCAACCGTCAGCTGCAGTGAGGTAACCGTGGAACATGAACGCTGGCCATCGCTTCGGCGGCGATACCATCTCACATTAGATAGGCGCCCGAATTTCAGAGTAGATCTGGTATTTCATCTTGGAACCCTCGTAGATTATCTTCCAGTGTATATGGACGCCTCGTATAGCCATTCAATCGCCCACGCACCTTCAAACACGACGACTTCGGTGGACAACTGTGAATAATCAATCGATAAAACACCAATCCACCACCGGCCCCGTGTCCTCTTTGGGTACGTATCCCGTGACAGAAAACCATCACCACCAGTCTTATTATAACCACGTTAAAACTGGACACACATAGAAGGCCCATACACTTCGTTTCCGAAGTCCTTTACAAAATTGAAACCCCTCCACTGGTACTATCTGTCCCATGCTCATGGGACATTACGGTCACTTCGGCTCCTCCCAGTCCTATTCGCCTATCACTCCCAATTCACCAAAAGCAGTAAGTAACATATCGTTCAACAGTCTTCTTATGACTCCCTCCTCTCGGCTTATTCCCTCCGCGCTCTCTTACGCTGATGGCGCAGTACACTTAGCCCACTCCAAGAACAGACAAACAAGTCTTCAGTCCCACTGGAGCAGAAACGCCTTTTGACACTTTCAACGTAATTTCTCTAGTAGGCAGTTTGGTCCCCGGTTACCGGTTTCATTTCAGACGATCTGCCAACTCTGTCTCCGAGTACCCCGTTGAGATGCACACCCAGAATTTAAACGACTTTAAAGTTAAGCGCTCGATACGGTTGAACCAACCAGATTTCTAAGGCTACGTTACGTTGTACCTGGGGGGAAGCACGCCCAATCTGGTTGGGCAAGCGCCCAGCGCGGCCGCGCAGACCAGGGCGCTTATCAGAAGGCATCCTCTAGTCGACATACCTACCTATCAGATCATCATGCTGTGGGATACGATGGGGCTCGCAGAATAACTGCCATAGATGCTCGGCGCTTCCCGCGTATTTGGGCGGTTGATTGATGAGATAAAGATTGCTCTCCCTGCCAGGGGAGTCATGCGAAGCCATGGTGTTCCAGAGGATGCAGCCACTGATCCCTCAAAGAATGATGAGTGTAACTTCCATATAAGCGATGTATCATATAAACGATGTAGCAGTTTCAAACGATACAGTGGCACGCTTCTTGTTAACAAAAGAAGTCAGATTTTACTCGTTTAACAGCATTTTCTGGACAATTTAGTCGATTTCAGGTGGTGGGCGGGCTATCTACATAACATCCTTACCGTAGAGGACCTCAAAAACGCCGAATAATTTCCGGAACAGGATTGAAAAGCTCACGCAACGATTAATCAGTGGACGACTCGAGCAAACCAATTATACCAAAGGGACCCCGTGAAGGTAATTGGAAGCCGAAGTGTTGGCTCGAAGCGTTTCCTGCACAGTCTTTTCAGCGGGCTTTTTCAGTCTGTTGATATCGTGTATCATCAAAGATGATGTGGTAGAAGTAGAGAAGATCCATATACATAGCAGTACGATAAACAAATATTGTCGGAATTTCGTCGAGTGGGCATTGCATTGCATGTGTACACCAATCTGCGTACCATCCGGGAGCCGTCTGACACACCTGTTTCCAGCACGTTCGAGCGCATTGTATACGGTACATCGCACTATCCGGAGACTCGTGTACCTCCACAGACACAGGTATTACATCCAATAATGCCAATACCCCACATCAGAGACATCAGAGCGCTCAGCGCTGCATTGATCTCACGGGCGCCTAACAGATAAGATGATTGAGCGGCTAGTCCTAAATAGCCGGTTTCCGCGAAGAGCAATGTATTCAGCCACCCAACTTAATTTAGATTGTCAAATACAGCGTGTTCAGCCCCGCACTACCCAAGTTGAATTCCTTTACACAAGAAATGGACGCGCTCGGAATACGCGATCCTTCATACAGATGAGGCTAGGCTGAGGTCAAGGGTTGGTTTCGACGAATAGCATACCGAACGCTCGCACTCCCATCATACTCTAAGTACATGAAAGACGCCAAAACAAACCTTAATCCCAGAATCCCAGAATCCTAAACCCACCTGCCTCGTGTTGATAGCATTTTCAACTCACACCCCCGTGGCACTATCACAGACGTCTGAAACCATCAATCCACTTCAGTATCGAACGCAGATCCCTCAACAAAGACCACTATAGCTCAATTCATCACGTTGAAGCTACTGCTACTAGTCCAAGTAGCGGTGGTATCCAATGGTTCTAAGTGGAATCAACCCGGGATGCGCAGCTAAATCGACCGACATAGTAGCAGTACAAACCTGCAGTCGGTTTGAAGTTATTTTTAGATGCATGTCCGGAGTGTTCTAGCAAGGGGTCTTGCAAGGTTGGAAGCGGCTCGACACTGGGATTGGGTTAGAGTATCGATGGATATATGCGGGCAGGTAATCGGGCTCTTGGAATGAACGGCTAAGAACCTTCGTACTTTAGGAAAGGGCGTATATTTCAAATGGGAGGAAGGCTGCGCCTTCGATGCTGGCGTAGTTGAATCACGCCGCTAGGGAGTTCAGACTGGCTTCCCTCACGTGCAACTACATTGCTGCGACATGCACAGACAGATCTTATCTCATTGGCGCTGGTTGGGTGGATAACCGCCTGAATTCATGCCCTGGCCCTCTGGGTTAGAATCTACGTCCACCAGACAGTGTTGATCCCAAAATCAGTTCCAACCTGGAGCCACACCTCACCGAATCTTTTCCATATCGCCCTTCAAAGTGTTTCATTTCGGGCGATGAACGGACGTGCCAAGGTCGGGTATCCTCCAGAACGCGACAGACAGAGCACGGCCACTCCGAGTCGCTGAAAAAAATATTTCTCGATCATGATATTCGTTGTGACTTGGTCTACCATTAACCAATCGGAGCCCCAGTCAACTGTCCATTACAACTGTGTTTCAGAAAAAAACTCGGAGAACTGCTCGAGACCGAGCGCATACAATCGTAAAAAGCAATGCACCGACGTCGCATCGTCAAGGAAGCATCGGGACTCGGAACATAAATCCTCTCCGACGGGACAGCCTCGCTGCTTGCATTCGGCACTCAATCGAGCCTGTGTGCACCTTGTAACTTGGTCGACGTCGGGCTCGTATTGCCTGGAATGGCGATAAGCATTGACAGTGCTATTTTTGGGATATATATATAACGTAGTGGGTCCGGCCGAGCGAAGAGCCAGACTCAATGGCGGAGGTTGGCCAACCAATCGAAGTAGAGGCCGCTGTTACAATCACCAAGGATAGCGCCATCCTCAGGCTATGCTCTATCTATACCGGTCGGGGTCTCGGCGCTCGTCGGTACGGCGGTCTGAGGCCTGGCGATGGATTTCGAACACCTTCCCTTCTACTCCCAACTCCAAGGAAAAGTCCGTATCGTATCGCACTCCAAAGGCTATGTAAAGACAGACGAAGCTTCTCTTTCGAAAGTCCAGAGTAGTATGTCGTTCCCACCGGTTCCCATCTCGAACCTACTGAACATTGGTGGAACCCACGGATGAGCATTGCAATGTCCGAATGTTTTCGAAGTACCGTAGCTTGATGATCTATCTCGGGATTTGCCATGATTGGCCTTATCTCGTGTTTGATGGCCATCGAAGGAATATTTTACCCCGCATTCATTCGAGTACTGTTTTGCCGACGATGAATGCTCGACTGGACCAATCTGGCTCGCCACGTTTGAACATGAAGCTCCAGCTTCCGATCCCGCACCGGCACTGTTGGAAAAGAGAGGGGTGAAATGCATCGAAATGGGAATTACTCCCAAACAGTGCCTTTGGGAATAAACCCCATCTCAATTAAAGCTTGGCATCCAAACACGAAACAGCTCCCAAGAGACCCAAATTTGAAATAATTAGTCGTGGAAGGCACCGATCATACATTTATGGATTGATGCTACTAGGAACTGTCCTGCCTCGTGAGCCACGAGCGTAGCCAATCGAATAGTCTCAGTGCTGCCGCTGGGATCGTGGTCATGGTGGCGTCTTTTTCATCTTACATGGACAGCGACATCGACGGTGGAGTTGTGCAACATTCAACGGTCAGTCGCTGCCCGTCTATCGTGTATGTAGGCCCTCATTCCGAGAAGACAGATAAAGTGCTTCGGGAAGATTCGAGTACAGAATCCAGCGCCCACTTGTTCTGGAGGCACCCAGAAGATCAGAAGTGGCATTTTTTATATTAAATCGAGCTTCGGAGAGGATGAGACCATCTTCGCCTGAAGTTAGATTGAGTGTCTAAGAAATTAGTATGCATGCGATAGTCGAGAAGCACCTTCCAGATCCGATAGTAGTCCGGCAGAACTTCATCGACATCGGTCAGCTCCATGATCACCACCACCACCACTTCATTTCGCTGGTACAACTTCGGTGACGACTGAAATTCGTCAATGACAGCTTCAATCAGACCTTTCGGGACCTACCAACAGGCAGCCAGGCTTCTGTTACCACGGAGCTCTGCTGAAGAGGTCACTATAGATATGATGAGTTGTGTGCTTCTGCGAGCTCACACCAGGAGTCGGTTTCTCACAAAGCACAGAACTCACGGTCCATTCTCTCAAGTATCCGAACGCTTCTCACTTCTCCATCGAAGAAGATATCTTTGGAATGGAATCAATCAGTGAGAGAGATATAAGGATTTTCAGATCGTAAGAACGAGCACCATTCAATTATGATATCTTCATAAGTGACATACTTGAAACGGTAAACCATAAACCAGATCTGGGGTCTTCGACTCGGGAGGCAATAAGCAACGTGTGTGAATTCCAGACGTACCTGATCTACATCTGCTCGCCACTGATGCAGACCCACGGGGTGTGTGAGAGTTGGCAGGTGGCCATCGTGGTTCCTGAGGAACCAGGTACTGAGAGCGATCTCCATGGATGGGCGTAGCCACTGGGAAGAGACCCACAACACCCTACGACTTGAGGGGAAAGCGACGCAGGGACCCGAGAGAAAGAAAGGAAGGATGAGTGAGCAAGGGACTGCAAGGGAGGGCGCCGAATTGAATTGAGTGCCAACTAAGTTGGACTTTGAGTTGCCGCCGCAACGTGGGTAGGCCTTAGCGATGCACGTGAATGCAAACGAAAATACAGTTCACAGCGAGTGGTAGAGGATGTTTGAATTAGTGTTTTGTCGGTCGAAGGGAAGAAGGGTATTGGATTGAAGCCTGTCTGAGTCTGAGCTAAAGGCTCAACTTTGGCTTTCGAACGTAAAGTCAGATCTAATCCATCTTTTGTTGAACCATATGACCACATGAATGGCTTGAGGCAAGCGATTGCCAGACGCGAGGTTGGCTCCGACACAACGGTTAGTGGGCGAACAGACCCTACCAGGACAGGCGGCATGCAACAGGATAAAACAACCGCAGCACGATGAATTCTGCCCACAGCTTTGACCTGGGACTTCCCCCGCAAAGGCCTTTATCATCTCGATCGCCTTGGATAGTCCGTATCCCGAACAGCCGCGAGTTTCAAAGAAATGACGTTTTGTTGGGACCGATGGCCGTCAAGTGTCTGCAAGGATGCTTGTAAGGGGATACGTATCGGGGAAGGACGCGCCATCTGGCTGTCAGAGGGATGTGAAGGGAAAGAGGAATAGGAAGTTAAAAACGCTCGCGATAATCGACATTGTCATGATGCGATCTGCCGGAGTCGTCGTACAAGGTTCGCCACTAGACACGATGTCAATGGACATTGAGACTGACGAAACGCTCACCTTACCATGGATAGCCTACTGGGAGTTGGAGCTCGCATATGTGGCGGTCACCGTCCGAAGCACTTCCGTCAAAAGATCCTAATGTGACTGAGAAATTATGTCAGTCTCGTCAACCTAGAGATAGAATGGCAGCATATTCTCATTCTTACCGATGACCGTCAGGCGTTGACTGGGTCTGACCAAAAGTATAAATAAAGAACACAAGGCTGTATGCCTCTCTAGGCTCAGGTGCTGAGCCATTCGTTATGCAACCCCTTCTAACCAAGGGTGGGTCTGCAGATGACAATTGTTATTCAAACCTACTGCGCTTGAGAGCGAAAGCACACTTACCGAATTCCGCCGATTGACCAATGACCCTTGTAGGATTGTGTTTATTCAGTGTCCACTCGTGACCGCTCGACAGAGATAAAGGGTACCCGGGAACTGGACGAATTGGGGGAAGCATCATAAACAGAAGATACCGCCCGAGAGCGGCATATCTCTGCCGAGGACGCTTTTCTAGATTAAGCCTGCCCAGCCGGTGTACTGGGGGTGAATCGGGTTCCGAAGCATCGCTACCACAGTCTTCGCTCCCTCAGGTTCGCAAGCCAGCTTCGAATAGAAGACGAAGGTGAGATTATAAGCTCAAGCTTCTTCTATACCGAACCACCCCATATCTGCAGGCAGACGGGATTTGTCGATCGTGCAATCGACGGCCTCAATACGAGCTCGTATTGAGTTCCACACCATCTGACAAGCGCGATGTGTCAGTTGTGAAATTGGACGGGAAACCCGAGAAGTCCATACCAGGGATGGAACGTTCAGGTCGTCACACACGAGAACTGGTGCTAAAGGGTTGTTGGCGATAAGCAAGGAACTGAGTTGCGGCACTGTGCGGCAGGCGTGCCTCTTCGAGGCAGAAAGATCGCTAATCCAGGGATACGCCATTCATTCGCAACTTCGGGGCGCTGTCCACGGGCGAGTAGCTTTCTTTCTAGGAAGGTCAGCTAAAAGTCTCCCCAAAATCAAGGTAAGGGTCGGAGAACATGATCGTGACCTTCTTCACCGTTCTGCCTGGATACACACGTCAGTGAGAATCGTTAAACAAAGGCGAGGAACGCATACTAAACATACAGTGCGATACATCCCCGTTGTCCTATACACTGGCTGTTTTCCAGGCGCCGAACCCGCGTGCTGGAATATTCAAGCCTGACTCTCGAGCTCACAAAGCATATGGTTGTGGACGTTTTCAGAAAAAGAGCAGAGTAAAGAAGAAGAATGTTAAGAGAATTGCGACTTCGAGAAATTCTGAAGAACCTTAGTTTCAGTGGTGTCTGTGGTAGAGATCTCGAAATGACAAATCGATGTTCTGCAGGGCGATACCAGGCGATACCGATGTTCGTGAAAACGCAGGACCCGGAGCCTGGAAGGAACGGACGTCGGTGGCTGAGTCAGATGTTCCCACGACCGGAATGCCTATCCGAATACCCTTTTTGGAATGGCTCCTTTACACCTGTGTGGCGCGGTCCACTCCTCAGATACGTGGATTATGACACAATCTGGTCAAGTTCGAAAGTAATTGGGAGAGACGTCGATGAATGACGTCCAACCCTTGCGACCGGGTATTTAATGGCCACAGACTTGGATCCCACTACTACTTAACCTAACGTTCAATCCATCATCCGAGCCTACTACCATGACGGACCAATTCCAGTACAAGTAGGTCCTTTGCGCTTGGATCCGCAGTTCCATCGCCTGATCAGAATACCCATTAGCCGCTCCAGCGAGAAGTCTCGCGATACCGGCGCGCAGAAGCATAAGCATAGCCAGACAGTCACCGATCCACTCGAACCAGCCCGGGCCCACGGCAACGAGCCCTCCCAGGAAGAGCTCAAAAGGAAGGGGAAGATCTAGATGCAGCTATCGACCACATTCGTCTGCATTCTCTGTATTCTAGTCAGCGGGTGGAGTGAAATGGAAATCCGTCGAACCGTTAATATGTTAGGTCTGAGACCTGAGGTCACCGTCATATAAACTAGGGGCAGCCCCACCGTCGAGCCTCAAACTTCCTCTTCTACCGAACCCTGCCAACCTATCTACCACTCGCAGCCCAGCCAACGATGGCACCCAGCAGCTCTAACCGGGTCCATATGAAGTGCGTTTCTACAACTTCCCTGTCTACCCCAACTGACCTGCCGCGGCCTGTACAGTCATCGCGCAAAGCCCAAAAAGGGCCACAAAGAGGCTGAACCAGTCACTGATCCTCTCGCACCTGCACGAGTGCACAACAATGAACCATCGCGCGGAGCGAAGATCGACGCCCAGCTCCAGAAGGAAGAAGAGGAAATGCTTTCGAGAAAGCAGGCGAAGAAGCAGCACCAGCATCATCGCAGGACCTAATCCCTTAACTTCGGATACAACACCAACTTCGCTACTTTCCTTCAGTGTCAAGTGATCTATTGTCCAACAAGCGCTTGTAATTAAACAACATGAGTAGTTTAGTTTGTCTAGTTCCTATCGAAATATTGTAGTTGGTGCTAATCCCAAGAGTCCCATTGTAAGAACGTGTCGTGGTATATAATGTGTCGTGAAAAGAGAAAACAGGTCAGAGACTATGACCTTCACCAAACGTAGGCCAATGCTGAGAACATCGAGGTCAAGAAAATCGAAGTCGAAAGGAGCGAGGGTGTGACAAGATTGGCAGAGGAGATGGTGTCGTCCGTCGGCATGGCAGGCTCGTCGTAGAGTCCGGTCCCAGAAGGCAAACGGGGCCCAAACATAGGACCTCCGCCAGTACCACCTCCGACGTACGGTGTTCCATCAGGCTGTCCATTATCGCCTTCAGTTCCAGATATCCAGGGAAAAGGAATACACTTACGCCAATGTTACGCTCAACGTCAGAGAAGGCGCAGTCGCCCGAGGTGCACGTGCACCGTCCTTCAATTGGGTCCCAGAAGGTAGTTGAGCAGTTCGCGGGAACTGGACAGAATTGATGAGGATTCAAAGATCTACGTATGGGCAGGACCACACTCACCGCGATATCGGACGGGTTGACCGGCAGCTTGAGCGGGGTTGGGGTTCATCGGCGTGGGCAGAGTAGATGGACATCCATACTGGTCCCGTGGAATTGAACAAAGGCTATGACGGGCTGACAATAACACCAGTGACTCACGCAGGTGAAGAAGGGGAACTCGCTGAATCCACATCTAGCCAACAATCCATCTTGATTTCCTGGGATGCCGTTGCAGATTTGCTGCGATCGCTGAGGCCGAACCGGTTCACATTGGAATGAAGGAAGCGATCCAACTTGAGAAGCCGGGACAGGGTTGCGGACCCAATCCAGCAGTTGCTCATTCGACACAATCCATACTGGGCGAAGGAGACAGAACATCAGAATCGACTCGCGGAATTATGACTGTTTACACACCATTATCATGTTCCTCTTGCGCCCAGTCGAGGAACCTGTTGATCATATCAATCGTGCTACGACTGACAGTCACACCGGGGTACGAAAGCTACGGAAGCGTAAGCGAGGTGTCGTCTCATACACACGGGTACGTACTGATACATGGATGGGATGTGTGTACAACCCGATAGGCTGCTTGTTGCCGCTGTAATGATCAGTGAACGTCCGCTGCATGAAACGAAGCGTGGCCGCATCATCTGGGGCGTTGTTTCCATTTGCTCGATCACTGAGTCGCTCTGATTCAGCGCAAGTACACACAGCAGATAACAAGAAACTCACAGCCATGGATCCATCAAGTGGGGACCTCTAACGCCTCGGTCATCGAAAAACGCATACATCGGGATCTCCCACAACCCAGGTAGCTTCGGCTGTCCATTGCATACACCAGGAGTCGTCATACAATTGTTCGCCAGTCCGTTATCGAGGGTGTATGGCCAATATGCATCAGTGTTGGGATCTGTCACAGGTGTGGTCGTGCTTGCGCTCGAATCGTAAAGAAATCCCGAATCTTGCAATATCCTGAGCGTTTCGGGCGTAAAGTCCAGGTAGGGCGCGCGGAATCCTTTGATGGCGCTCAAGGGGACGCCTCCGAGGGCGTTGAGCGTGATGAGATTTCCATTGATCTCTTCAACCGAAGGTGATCCCACATGAGTCATCCTGAAACGTTTAATAGGCATCGGTGAGTTGAAGGCTCGGGGAATCAGAAGGCGCTAGAACGGAAGCGCCAAGGTGACGTCACGTACGTGTGGTCCGCAATCTCATTGCCAGCAGCATACCAGTCTAAAATTAATGAGACGCGCGACGCGTCCCACCCATCAGAACACGCGTTCAAGAAGAAGTGAAGGTGACTCATGATCCTGCTCACCGGTCACTAAAGTATAATTGGTGAAACCGAGCGATGTGAAGTAGGTCATCTTGGGGGCACATCCATTAGGGTTGCGCCGATGGGCGAGGAATTGATTGACTGCATCGAGTGTGTATGATTGAATGGCATCATCAGCCGTGAAGACGATGAACTGAGGTGTTTCGCTCTGAAAAAGAAATCAGTCAGATGGACCTGCCGGGGTAAAACGTTTTGGAAGGATGGTAGAAGACGTAAATCACGAGAACGAGAAGAATGCGGTCAAGGAATATGGGTCCGATGATCGAGCGAATCCAGCTGACCCCGCTACCAATAGTCCTCACAGCGATCAAAGAAGAAGCCGGAGACGGGACAAGACCTACGGGACTCAGACCACCTGGAGGGCTAGTACTTGCGCATTGACACGTCGGTAGTCTGCAAGTTGAGGGGTCGCACGAATAGCCAGGGTCTTGAGCGAGAACCAAGGCGGGTAGAAGTGCAAGGAGTAGGCATATCGACTTCATGGCAGATGGGGAGGCGGGGATCCTATAGGGAGTTTAGTCGGGGTGCTGGACAGGCCAGTGTGGGCTGGGCTTGACACGTCGAGGTGCAGCGAAGGGGGCAAATGAATGACAGAGGTCGGATGATTATATAGGATAATAAGATGCGGGGAAAGAGAGACTTGAGTTAAGGGAAAGAGGATGACCGGGGAGTAAAAAGGAGCGTGGAGGGAGAAATCAGAGAACCGGTGACCTCTGTTTCATGCCTGCGTTAAGAGAAAGAAGCATTGCCAATGCTTGCCGATGACAGGACCAACGCTGGCCATCATCTGCGCCTATACCATATGAGAAAAACATTCGTGTGGAAATAATAGGGAGAAGCGAACCTTATCAATCACTGCTCGCTGGCAGTCTGAATGGAGGACCCTCACCCCGACAAGGTTGGGAGCGGAGGGACAGCTTAACGCAAAGGTTGATAACGGATTCATTATTTGTGCGCAGTGAAACGCTAGCTTTACAAAAGCGCTCCATGAGGTTGAGGCGTGTCATCCACATGAGATATTTTTAGTCTGCTGAGAGTTTAGATGGTTCGTTCTCAGAAGCGCTCGGCGCGGCGTGCACCCACAAACACCCACCGAATCCATTTATATCCCTGATCCCGCCCTCGCATCAGATACAGCAGAAAATTGAAATCAAGGGCGGCCTGAGTGCTAGCTCGGGTCCTGCGCAGGAGGTCAACTAAACTTGAAAATTTTCTGAATAAGCAAAACAGCGACAAGGTAGAGCATAAACGGAAATTTACGAGTAGATTAGTTTAGGAGGATGATTTACTGCTGCTCCTGACAAACTCTGCTTCCTTCCCGTTCACATCCAAGCTCTGGAGATGGAGTTTTTTCGCTTTGACGATCGCAATCAACGATTCGAAGAGGTCCATTCCATCGATAGCGGAATTGTGACCGGAGATTGTGAGGAAACGAACAGCGGGGAACATTGACAACCACTTGGGAAGGACGGTGAGGAGGGGCATGTCCGATTTGGCGAATTCTTCCTCCACCAGCAGCGATATACTGGATACAAGCTCCAAGCACGACTTTTGCGACTGACTGGGCTCGGCGTCGATGTCTTGGAACATCTTCCACGCTGGGCTATCCCCCAACCTAACCTCCAAACACAAGGTTAGCGGTCGAAGTTGGTCTCCTAGCAGAGAGGGGATCGACGGGTTCGGGCATTGCCTCAGCCAGTGCGAGAGCCCATCGTTGCGTAGCCTGTATGTGATGCAAAGGTACTCCAAACACTCCAAGCCACGCTGGTGTGCCGATAGCAGTTTGAACACCCAGCTGGCGGGTGCATGGAGCGAGATGAGTTTCGGAAAGTCCGGGAATGGACCCAAGTTGTATGAATCCACGCTCTCGACCTCGTGGTGGATGGTAAGAGAGGTAAGCTTTGGAAAGCGACCCAAAAATTTGAGCAAATCCCCTGGATCAATTTGACGGAGTTTGGTGAGGCTGAGTTCGAGGAGATCGGGGGCGGCACGTTCGAGGAGGGCGAAGATGGCCGGCCAGCACTTGTAGTTGATGGACAGGCTGCCGAGGGTGAGGTTTTCGAGCTTGCTGTATTGCATGGCTGATATGGTCCATTGCAGAAGAGGCGGCATGAGGAACATCATCGATTGGATTGTGAGCGATCGAAGTTTCGAACCGTCTCGCGCAAGGGGGGATACATCTGTCAGCACCAGCGAAACCCTATGCTGGGCTGCTTGCTTGAATTCCCAATTATCTCCCCGAGTGACCCGTGGCGCTCGCTTGACATCCTCTATCACCTCACCACTTTTAGAGTTCGTGAAGAAGGTTTTAACTGCTTCGATTGGGTTGAGGAATTTGGTTTGCGACGGCCGTGTGCGACGGAAAGCAAATAGATGGCCCAGATACCGGCCTCCCTTCACCACCAATGCATGACACGACCTCTCCAATATCGTATTCATCAACCTCCCCATTGCCGCGGACCAATCGTGCAGTATTCCATCCTCGAGCTTCGGCTTGGAGTTGTTCTTCCCGCAACAACAGCAGGATTCATTGCTGAACACGAGGATGACCTTGCCGATGGACTGCAGGCGAGCCACAAAGTTTGCTGCACGATGAACGCATCGTATCAGCGATGGCAGATCGTCTTCGCACGTCGGAAACTTGCAAACCAGGCGTTCGAGGGTGACCACTTTGAGCGATATGTCAAGTATGGAAAGTGCGTCGACACGATCAGGGTTGGCGGATATGGCGACCTTGGCGTGCTTCTGGGGGTTCTTGAGATTGAACCGGCCATAGCAAATTCCGAGACAGAGTTCGTGTAGTCTCTTGCAGACCTGGGAGAGGGTGTAGAGTGTTTCATTGGTAACGGTTGCGTGGTCGAAGATGTGGAGAATGAGCTCGTCTGGAAGATCCAAGAGGTCTGCCCGTCTAATTCCCTCCGATTGCGACGCCATGGGCTTGTATGGACTGGGTGGCGAATTCAATGAAGGTCAAGGGACGGAAGGAAACATGAAAACAGGCCAAAATCAAAACGCCTCCAGGAAATCATTCAGCGCACCTTTGTATTATTTTCCAAGGGAGGGGTCACCACCGTTTTGTCACACCGATTTTCGGAACGGTGGTTGTAGCTCCCACTGCGCAACCAGGGTTGAAAAATCCCCTTCCAGATCGCCAGCCGCTGTGATACTCGTGTGCGTCAAATATTCCGTCGGAATACCCCGCACCGAGGCCAGAGGAGCAGCCTCAAGACGAAATCCAATACGAGATGTGGATAGCGATGAATGACAAGAGAAAGCTTCCAATGCCCATTTTGTTCGCCCAGGGGAACCACGGAATACAGGCGTGTCGGAACCTGTTCTGAGAGGATAGAGATCGCGTGGGGTGATGAGATCAACAACATGCCAGACCTATCCCCTTTTGCCACCTCAAAGAGCGCGTAGTGGGGGATCTCCTGAGTGACGACACACTTGTGACTGACTTTTCGGTGACGATGAAGATGGAGAGGACAAGGGTTGGTAACGCAATGCAACAATGAGATTGGTAATGAACAATTTACATACGGGGGCTTCCAGTACAGGGAATGATAATGATAGCACAGTAAGGTAGAGAGAGGAAGGCCTTTGAAAGAGTACAGTGTCGTATTATTACTCGCACAATAGGAGAATGATAAGCTATCCAAAAGATAACTGGTTGTATACAGGGATGAAACTTTTGAGGGGAGGGATTAAGACGAGAGATGTAGTAAAGCGATCACATACATGGAGACACAGAGCGCAATGGGAACCACCCTCGGGGTGTGGTCAGGGTACAGATCAGTATCCAGAGACAACCTGATCCTTTGAGGGACCCTAACGTTGCCACGGGTAGGTCGACGGCGGGCGAGCATCAGTAGGCGATTGCGGAATCTCGGTTCGGAGGGATGAAACAGCCATATTGGTGACAAACCGGATTGGTTCCGTAGGGCCTTCGAACGGGCCAGAGTTGACGTAGCCACTATACAGCCCAGGCTGATGATCATATATTGTTCGAGGTCGAGCCGGAGCAGATTCGGATGCTCCTTCGGAGGCAGGAGAATCGAAAGCTTCCCGCTGCTGGGATGTTGAAGGAGGGGTCGAGGGCCGAGAGGTATGCGCACTGGATTTGCCACCGCGGGGTACTTTTGATTCTTTGTGAACCTTGAGATGTTGGAGGAGATTATCATGTCTATTGAAATACTTTTCGCATTCGGGGTAGGTGCATTTGAAGGCTAATGACGAGTTATTAGCGTCGTCCGACGAATAAGAAAAAATTGAACATACGTTTCTCATGGGTGTGAATGGAACGAATGTGGCGCTTCAAATGTTCTCCGCGATGGAAACATTTTCCGCACCCCTCGACCTTGCACACATAGTAACGCTTGTCAGGCTGCCCATTGGGATCGACGGTTTCAGTCGTAGGAACACGTCGCCCCCGACTCTTTTTGGTGAGATTGGGAACTGGAGTCGGGAAAAATGCTCGCGTCCGGGCCATACGACGATCCCCAGGATCTCCAGTCACCGTTGAAACCTCGAGGAAAGTAATCCTCGTCTGTGGTTGTTGTTGCTGCTGCTCCTGCGGTGGGTGGATGAGGACAGGCTCTGGTACGGGGGTAGCATTCGAGGAAGCTATCGGAGTGGGCGGTTCTGAAACCGGAGGTTGTGCAGGAGAAGGAACCTGTTCCGGTGCCTCCTCTTCCGCGGAATTTTGCCTCGACGGACGCTTGGCCTTTTTAGCCGTACTGGTGGCCCGCTTCTTGGGTGCAGGTGCCGCTTCTTCAGCGGCAGGGCGCTTGGGCACACGTCCTGTCTGTGAGCGCGTCATTCGCCGAGAACTTTGGACCTCTGTAGGTGTTTCAGGGGCCGGGACCTCTGGTTCGACGCGTTGGGCCTAATGAAATGACATAGGAGATCCCCTGTCAGCGATGGCGGGTTCGGCCTCTGAGATCTTTGGACATACCTCGGGAGCCTCAGTGGTTTCTTTGGGCGTGTCCGCCTTTTCGGGTGTAGCAACTTCCTTTGTGCTCATTGTGGAATACGCTAGGGGCTTTGGTGGGCAGGTTCCAGATAAAAAGCGTCAACAACGGAAAAACTGGCGGCTGTGATGAGTTCGACGCTGTCAGGACTGCTGGGCCATGAGAAGCTGGCTGCTGAAAGGAAGACTCACTGGATATAAAGTACAAAGACGACCAGCAGTAAAGGAGCTGGTGGTGGTCGAGCGGAGAGAGGCGTCAGGCAGATAGGGGTGACCAAGTTGCTCAGTCGAGCATGAAAAGCCCCTGAACGAAAAGCGGAAGTAATCCAGCCATTTTTCGGTCACGCCACCCTGGGAATTAATTTCTGACTCAGCCTTCGGCATTATCGGCAACCCTTCCCGCGAAGTCGCCTGGCTCAATTCCCTTCCACAGACAGTAACGATTGAATAGAATTGAACTGGAGGAAGCTTGTATTCCGTGCTTTGCTCTTCTGCGTTCTCCAAGTGATGTAGATCATGGTTTCTTTTGACACAATCCTCCGTCTGATTTCCGGAACTCGCCTAAAGCGGATGGGCGCTCTCCACTGCCAACACACCTGAATGCCCTTTTTGCCTGGTACACAAGCCACCTAGCCACATCGCAGTTCGTTTGCCTGTGCATTCCCTCGTTGTCCAATTTTGGGCGAAACATTCCATATTTGCAGATGGGATCGATTGGCTTCTCATGTCGAGAACGTGTCGCTACACGTGAAGGCCCACGTAGTTTTCGACGTCACACACGACGACTGCAGAAGGCCCGGGACTGTCATTTTTCTGAGAAATATTAGGATTGGCTTGGTCTGTCCCGAGTTACCGTTTTAGCTCACGCTTTCGTTACCTGAAGTACGTCCCAGTTAGGGACGTACAAATCGACCAAACACTCATGCCCAACGATATCTGGGAGACTAGATGATAATATCTTCCCATTTTTCGAGCCCTAGATGACTGTAACTCTCACGGACAGCAAGGAACGAGAGAGACTATGTCGACAGTTTCGGTTTTACCAACGTCAACGCTGTGTAGAAGTTCGGATGGAAGGGCAGAGTAAAGCCATCGACTCGAGCAATAATTCAACCCAACGATGCATAACGTGATCCCATAACTGGGGTCTTGGTCCTGCTTAAAATTTAGATACCAAGACAATTTTTAAGTCTAGATGTACGCAATATTGGGTATGGCAGGGACAGTGCAAGTTGCAGAGGTCGCGAAAACAGGCGCGCACTGGATGACTAAGCCGCGCGCTTAACCTATTTACCGCTCAAACGCAGCGTTTCACCGTAAACTGTGGAACCTTGCTCTCGATTGGTATTTACAGAGTGTCTGAGGTAGGATTGTGGTGGTTCAATTTTCCGGATGTGTCCATTCTTTTTTGGCCTTGAATTCGATTCTAATCGTTTTGGAGGCCCTTTTTGGCTTATAAGTTCCTTTTGCCTTAGTTCTTCCCCCTATTACCTCCTATCAAAGAGGGAGTTGAAGAAGGCAGTACGGATAGGCGCCTACACGAGAGCGTAGTTCTTCATTTGCAATTGTAAGGCTTGCCATGCCCTTCTTTCTCCATCAATGTCAAAGGCCTTATACGCTCAAGCCGGACCGTAAACGTCACGCAAGGCAAGTTTCGCTTATCGTAGTACGATGTTTCATTCCTTTCCATTGCCAAGGAAACCAGATATATGCGTGGATGAACTACTACGGGATTTCCGTGCTCAAGGAATTTACTTGCAATGGACCCCGCGTCCAATGTTCATTCCCAGAAATGAAGTCCTTCCTGACAACCTTCCCTCGAAATACCACCTGAGAGCCTCGTTCCACCTTGACGTATACCCCCTCTATCCGACCCTCATAGAACGAGGACGGTCGTTGCACCATCTCCCGCAACTCCCCATCCGTCGGCATCGCGCCCTCGTGAAGAATAGGAACGGAACGAATCGTCGTTGAAGCCAACATAGTTTTCAAAACCTCCGGGCTAGCAAAGGTACCAGTCGTCCTGTCGTAAAAGTCGAAAGCGATAAAATAGTCCGGAAGACGCGAATAGGGAATCGAATGCGTGGCGTAGACCCACTCCCCGAACAAGATGTATCGCTCGGGGAAGTACGGATCCCGATCCAAGAGTTTGGTCAATTCGTCGCGATGCCGTTCGATCCATGCACCGAGCCTGCGAAACTGTGCGTGCGTCGCCGAGTTGACATAGTGAGAACGGTTCTGCACGATGATTTGCTTGTCATGGGAGAGGGAGAACCCCATGTTAGCACCATCCACCTTTTCGGTGATAACGACGTGCCCCGGTATGTTGAGATTGGCCAAGTCCAGTTGGATGTCATCTTCTGTCGCCGCTCCGAGGTTGATAAGGTGAGGTGTACGAGGAAACTTGTAGATTCCAGGCGGAGGTGAGAACAACCCCACCAATTCTCGGGCGGCAGTGAACGAGCGTACGATCAAGACAGCCTTAAACCCCTCCTCTACCGTTGGCCGCTCGAATATCTTGGACATCTGGTCGACTGCATTCCGAACCCGGTTACCGGGGGGTAACGTAGGATGATCAGCGCGAAGTTGAGCTCGAGCAAGGCACAGCTCGCGATCGTAGTCGAACCAAACACAGACTGGATTGGTACACCAGTTCGAAGCTAGGTCAAGCCACGCCTTGCGATCTGCCGCAGACATGTTACAGCGATCCAATAGAACCCTTCCTTTCGGTTTCCTCCCAATCTCCGTTTCGCAGAATGAACGACTGCCACTGTCGTCTTGGGATATGCGCTGCCAACCATTCGGATTGCGAGCCACCAGGCTTTTCGAAACCCATGTTTTCCCCGAACCTGGCAATCCCACCAGCATGACGAGGTCGAAATCCTCCTTCGCATGGAACGACCCCTCAACCACCAGCGGACAGGGAGGAGGCTCGGTGGGTAGGTCCGGAAAAATACACTGTCGCTTCCACAATGTGCTGCACCATTTCGAAATGAATGCTTCTTGGTGCGACGTTTCTATGCTTCCAGGTCTCAGTGACCGCAAAGCGGTCATCGCATCTGCAGCTGACATTTCTGGTTGCGTTTGGTCGTATGAAGGGGCCTTGAACCCGCAAGCGACCATGTAGCAAGCCGCAACCGTCCCTGCACGACCCTTCCCTCCGCCACAATGTACCAGCAACGGTAGCTTATCCTCATCCAGGAACATCCGCATAACAATGTCCATCTGCTCGATCGACGGGGGATGGTAGTTTGGAATCGGAAGGAATGTATTGATAATCGACCGGCCGTCAAACCAATCCTTTTCCAAAGGCTGTTCTTCCGTCAGGGTCAAAACATGGCGGATGCCCAGGGCGGAAGATGCGAGGGCGACGATATCTTCTTCGCGACGAGGGGTGGACATGATGGCGAAGCGGAAAGGAATCAACCACCTGAAGAATCGAGGCAGTTTGTAGAGTTGCGAGATGTCAAATTTCCCTGGTTCCAGGCGTTTCGGGATGTAGAGGGAGTCGCGTGGTTGTAAGCAGAGCGTTGGAGTGATGTTGCTTTCGGCGAGGGCGCTTCGCAAGTCGCTTGACCATGGAGTGATTAAGAGATGTGCCGCTGAAACTGGGATTTGGGCGATTTCCTGTTCTTGAAAAACACATCCCCATTCGGTTTCCTGAGCGCACTGGACGAGCCTTTTGACGCAATATGTTCGAGGCTTGTGGTCTTCCGTACGGTCGTACGCCGCCGCATACGACAGCATAGCAAGTTTGAACTGCTCATTGTTGATTGCTGCATCAGCGAGACGAAGGTAACCTCGATGAGATTCTGGGTGGGAGACCACATGTTTGGTGCTGTACTCCTGTGCTTCATGAAACTGTCCTTTGGCGTGGAAGGTAAAGGCGAGGTGATCGAGAAGTTCTGGTGATGGGGAAGTAGGAAATTGTCCAGGAAGGAGTGAATGTAGGCTTTTATCCATGCTGTGGTCGTCCCTGTCGGAAAGCGTGACATGGAAGTCCTTTGGTGGCAGACCAAGTTGCTTCCGGATCTGCTGTCCAGCCGCCCAAATGACGACCACGAAGAATACTTCACTGCTCTTGTTCCCTCCGAGTCCAACAAAGTGAACATGTCGAGTATCAGGTTTGATTGAGGCAAGGTTTTCGGGTGCTACGAGCTTCAGCTCTTCCTTGGTCAATAAAGTAACATGGTACGCCTTGGAGGGGTCGAACGAAGGCAGGCGAAGTCCAAGCGCGGCAATGGACGTGTGTTGAAGAGTTTGGGCAGCAGCGGCATCCACCTTGTCCCCCACGAGGGCGAGGACTCCTCGCGCCTTTGTAAGTTTGACTTCCTCCATGATGAGAGATTACGTCGATCGCGGCAGGTGAGGCAGTCGGGAAATGTGTCCTTGTATCGTTGGCCCAGCGCTGTCTTTATTGAAGTCCAGAGTGAGTCATGAAGTGTCGTGGTCGGAAGCGGTCACCGAGGTATTTTGGCCGTGAAACCGCATTGAAGGTCTACAACAGTAAGGTGATAGTGAATGAGACTCGTTCCATTATGATTGATAAGGTTTTCCGGATGGGTGGGTAAGGCAAACTTCTAAGGCAAAGAGAGAGACGCGAGGCGGAGTTTCTGTCATGATTCAGAGTGATGGTACGCAATCTAATCTTATCAGATGGAGGTGGCAACCAAATGACGGATCTAGCGAGAAGCCAAGTTGACTTCCAACCACCACCAACATCACCAGAGCACCAACCTTCACGATCATGACATTCATCCTTCTCTCTGCGGGATCAAATGCCCAAGGACAACTAGGGCATTCGGAGAACGAAGATGCCCACACTTTCCATCCCTGCCTTTTCCATGACCAGCCGCCAGGATCCCTGCCTAATGGCCCATCCACACGCGTACTCGAGATAGCTGCAGGAGCTAACCATACGCTTGCCCTCCTTGAGAAAGACGAAAACACAAAAACGGACCTTTCAAAAAGGAGGGAGATATGGGCCTGTGGCGACGGACGCCGAGGACAGCTGGGACCGCAACTGCAAGATTCGTCTCGCCGCCCTCGAACGGACATCTTTCGAAAGCTCGAATTTGATCGGGAAGGGCTGGGGGAATACCATCCCAAAGCCATCGCTGCTGGCTGGGAAACTTCTTATGTGGTCATGTCCTCCCTTGACCCAACCAAGGATGATATTTGTTTCTCCTTTGGCTCGAACGACTTCGGAGACCTTGGAACTGGTGAAGCGGCCACGAGCACCATCAAACGGTCCGGTTCGACTGGAACAAATGTACAACTTGTCTCGTTCAGCCATCTCAGAGTCGATGGTAAGCCACTGTCACAGTTTGGACCCCTCCGAATCGAGTCCCTGGTGGCCAGTCAACATCACGTCGCTGCCATCCTCCGAGCGAACGAGACTAGATTGGTCGTAGGCTGGGGTGCTTCCCGGCATGGGCAAGTCGGACTCGTGGAGGCAGTCGGGCCAAAAGGCAAGGTGAAACCCATAGCTATCATCGACAGGCCACGCATCATATCCGTCGATGATCCCCACGATCCCTTGGTCACTCTGTCTGTTGGGTCGCAGCATACTGTCGTTCTGCACGCTTCAGGAAAAGTGGCCGGCTTTGGGTCGAACCGCAAGGGGCAATTGAACCTTGGCGGGTTCGAAAAGGCGAAAAATATCGGCTGCACTTGGAACGGCACTTTCGGCCTCGTTGTGTCAGACGAGGGCAATTCAATATACGGCGTCGGAAGCGATACTCACGGGCAGCTGGGTCGCGGCGAGGGAGTGCCAGGTGACCAAGGAGCTTCTCAGCCAAGGCCCGCAGATTTCCCCGAGTCAATCGCAGGACATAGGCCGCTGAAGCTGAGCTGCGGGACAGAGCACGTTTTGTCTCTATGGACTGCAGTTGGCAAAGAGGAGACGGAAGTTTGGGGTTGGGGATGGAACGAGCATGGAAACCTTGGATTAGGGAGCACTGATGATATCCACCGGCCAACCAAGATATGGCCGAGAGAAGGTACTGTTGGTACTGTGGTGGATATTTGGACGGGGTCTGGGACAAGCTGGATACTCTGTAAGAAGTAGCAAGTTAAAGGGATAATTGCATACCCGTTACTCAGTCCGCGTCAATCAAGTCATAGTCTTCGTGTATTTGGCGAATTGTTGTTTCCTTGAGTACCGCGAGCTATTTGGCGAATTTGAGCAATGGCGCGAAAAGGTACTAGGCGATGTCGTCGCTCGCTCACCCTTCCAATTAGAATCTGGAGCTAATATGTTAGATGCCAGCTCTCGCCAATGCGTCCCTGCCCACCTGGGTCGCATCCTTTGCTTCGTTGTATCGATGCAGCAGATCGATATGGCGTTTGACGATGGTCTGGGCGTCAACGCCGTCTCTGTGTAAAAATCCAGGATAAGCGAGGAACGTTTTCTACGGCGCATATAGTATGCTCGCCCAAGCTCCTTTTGTAGCAATTCGATTTCCGCTTCCAGAGCGGCAACCTTTTCCTTTTGTTTCTGCGGACAGCGTTCAAGAGGTGAATAAACTAGGGGGCACGACGGGCACACCTTTGCAGAGATCGACGCGTGCATTGTCGAGGAGGTGAAAATGACAGAAGAGAAACAAGAGGCGAGGTCAGTCGAAGAGTAGACTCGATTGTGTTGTTTGGCCCTCTTTGTAAGTCTGTCAGACGACCCGAATAAGGGTTTCTTCCTGCCATCTCAGCGCATTCCGTGCTACCTTGAGTCTGGTTCACGAGACTATGCTGCCTGTGAACTCCAGCGTTCACTCAACCGCAAAGACTCTGGCTGCGGCTCATTGCGCACTGATATAGACTTCAGCGCTGGGTGCCTCAGCCTCCGTCGTCTCGCCAGAGCAGCGCCCAGACTCAACTGACATCGCCTAGTAGCCCTATTTTCTCGCCTGCAACCACCGCTCTGCGCTCTTCATAGACGCCGATTCAACAGCCGCCCTGGCTATTGGAGAAGGCACCATGGACCTAAAGATGTCAGCACAACCCAACCCACCCACCACGGAGTCGCTGGATGTCACCCTTATCGAATTCCTGGAATCGCGTATCGTGGAAGGAGAAACATCGCACTTGGGACGCGAACATCATTGTTGAACGGACATACAGTGGCTTGGCGGCGGAGAAATACCTAATTCGTCAGGCGTCAAGCGTTTTACCCCTTACCTTGGCCATAAATGGGGACAACCGGACCAATGTCGTCAGGCGCCCGCATGCCCAGTCGATACCGTGCCGATTCCGCATGGGCTTAGCCCTCCACGATCGCACAGCAATTCAAGTCTCGTCTTCACACGGTCCTTCTGTTTCTTCTCAAATATAACCTTCGCTCCTTGACGCAATCCTCTTCTCTTCTTCACGTCCCTCCTTATCCATGTCATTGGCTTGACATTTCTATGGCTTCTCTCTTTTGGATCCAGCTTCGTGCTCTTATATGGAAGAATTGGATTGTTCAATGGAAGTCTCCCATCGTGAGTGCATCTCGCCTTTCTCCAGGACTCGCCCTAACCAGCTCGCCCTGCCCCAGTTAAACGTCTTTAGAGCCTTCATTCTTCCTATCGCGTATGGAGCCTTCTTGGCAGCAGCTCAGCTTTTCCTGAGCGAACTTAACAACGTGAGTATCCCCCATTCATCCAGCTAATTTTCTATGCTCATGGAATGCAGTATGGTATTGGCGACCCCGTCCCAATCCATCGGCTTGCAAACGAATACGACGGTTCTCTTACCCTTGTCTGGGCCGATATCACTTCTGGCACAAGCAATCCGACTCCCGTAGACATCGTCAACCGTATCACGACCGGCTTCAACGACAAGCAACTGAAGGGCATCAAACAAGTCGACTCGGCGGCCGCGATACTGGAAGCGTGTCCTCAGAACTTCAACCTCTTCTCACCTTGCTTTGCTGCGGTCGCATTTCACGACATTCCTGACGGCGGAAACTCTCCGATCAATTACACAATCTATGCCGACTCTGGTTTGAGCTACATCAATGTCGTCAAGCATACCAGTGATTTCGAAAAGAGAGTGCTGCCTCTGCAATGGGCTATAGATCAGGTACGCACGTTGCGTACCCAAAAGGCTGCGTCCAAGCTGACAGGAATCCTGGACTTAGGCGATCATAGAGCTGCAAACAGGCGTCGAGGTCCCTACTCCTTTGGAATGGCCATTCACGCAAGAGACAAATGAACAGCAGGAAACCGACGTGCGACTCAGCTACGTTCGAGCGATTACTGACTTGCTCGTCCTAGCCTTGTAAGCCTCGAATTGCCCTCTTACGCTGACCTGTATACTCAAACGCCATTAGGTTCATCACGTTCGTCGGCATTACCTACCAACTTCCTGGCTCATTCGCTGGGGAAAGAGCTAATGGCCTGACCTCCCACATGAAGGCCATGGGGCTTATGGACAAAGCGCGGATAATGTATGCGGCTCCACACGAGTACTCCTCTCCTCGTCACTAACGCGGTCGATACAGCTCCTGGCACCTTAGCATCTCCATCACATACCTTCCGGCGTGGATAATAATTTCGATCCTCTGGCGCTTTCGAATCTGGGCCGAAACCAACGTCGGAATCATCCTTCTGGTCCATGTCCTCTTCGGCCTCTCCCTCGCCAGCTGGTCCTTCTTCGTCGCTGCTCCTTTCGGGAAGAGTCCACAATTGGCGGCTGTGGTAACCACGTTTTTGGCAATCATCCTGGCTGTAATCGCGTTAGTTATGAAATCTGCGACGACTGGCACTGCCTTCATCTTTACACTCATTTTCCCTCCCGCATTCTACGTGTTCGCCACCAGAGCCATCTGTGGATTCGAAGATCAGCTTTTGGGAGCTAATCTTGTCAAGAGGGACCCCGAGTTTGGGCTGTCATTATTACCCTTGGTTATCGCTGCTCTTGTGAGTTTGCTTGGCATTCACTGTCTATTGCGCCATTCTGATCCCTTCTAGATTGACATTTTCCTTTGGCCATATCTCGCTGTACTCTGGGAGCGCCACCTATACGAAGCAAAACTACCAAGCAGTGTCCCTTGGTGGAAGTTCTGGAAGAGGTCTCCAACTACTACCGATGCCGCCTTGCCAAATGATAAGGCCATTTCAGTGCGAAATCTTCAAAAGGTGTATCGCACATCAAGATGGAGTACCAAGGGAGGGGTAACCGCTGTCGAGAATTTGAGTTTCGATGTTCCCAAGACCGGCATCTTCGTCCTTTTGGGATCCAATGGGTACGTTCTTCTTCATTTGCAATGAATATCCAAGTGATTGACCGGCTTCGCTCAGCGCTGGAAAGTCGACTACGATGTCCATTGTTGGTGGCCTCGATGGTCAAACTGGAGGCCAGGTCATCTTTGAAGGTGGACATCTCCGGCCTCCTCGCGGCACCATCGGAATCGTCCCCCAGAAGAACGTTCTGTTCCCCGAGCTCTCGTGCCTGCAAACCCTTCGCGTGTGGAAGGCTGTGAAGTGGTCTCCTACCTCCAATCCCACAGAAGACCTGGAGCAGCTCTTGAAGGACTGCGACTTGGGCAAAAAGATTAATGCGAATGCCAACACGCTTTCCGGAGGTCAGAAGAGGAAGTTGCAGTTGGCGATTGGATTGCTTGGGGGTTCTAAGAGTAAGCATTATCTTTCGGCAGCGTCGAGCAACCCGGGAACTGATTCTCATTTCGCAGTTGTATTGGTTGATGAATGCACTTCCGGCGTCGATCCACTCAGTCGACGTGCCCTTTGGCGAACTTTGACCTCGTTCCGAGACGATCGCGCCATTGTTTTCACTACCCATGTAGGTCCCTTTGCATCTTTCTTTTAACTGCCCTGTTAACTGGGATTCAGTTCCTCGACGAAGCCGATTTGCTCGCCGATGAAATCGCTATCCTCGCCGCTCCTGGAAAGCTCGTCGCATCCGGATCACCGGTGGCCCTCAAACGCGACCTCGGAGAAGGATATTCCATCTTCGTGACCTTCAATCACAACAATTCAGAGAAGGGCGATCCTTCCCAGCACACCGGTCTCCTCGACGCCATTCGCCCCATCGCGCCTGATGTTCATTGCACGTCGCCGTCGCCAAACCAATGCTCGTACCAACTCAAGACGAAAGATTCGGCTGTTGTTCAACGAGTGCTCGAGCTCTTAGAAAACCAAGGTGCACAGTACAACGTCACCTCGTATGACATTCTCGGCACGACCATAGAAGACATTTTCTTGGATCTTATGGCACAAAATGGTATGCCTGTCCTGGGCTCTACCGACGACGCCGAGAAGCGCAAGTCAACTTCGACCAACGCCGCGAGCGATTCGGCCTCCTTCAACCTAGCCGATGGCCGACCTGTTTCGCCTTTCCGTCAAGCCCTCACCATTTTCCACAAGCGTGTTCTCATTGCCAAACGTAGCTGGCTCACCCCTGTCCTTACCATCCTGGCGGCCATCGCCGGCGCGTGTATACCCCTTGTTTTCTTGAGGGGTCAGTCACAATCGTGTACTCGGCCCTTGCGTGAACTCAGGCCATTCCCATTATACGCGCCGTTCCTGTTCCTCGCTCAAGGAAACACATCGACCGTCCTTGCGGAGCCTCCCGGTGTCCTCGACATCCTCGGTCCTCAAGTCGGCCTATTCCTGCCTGTGGCCAACGTCTCCAGCAATGATGCGTTCGTGGCCGAGATCCGTCAAAATTATCGCAACCTCTCCTTTGGTGGTCTTTCAATAAACGATGAAAATCAAGCCCTGTTCGCTTGGGAAGCAAGACCGCCTGGTTTAAATGGACCTGTCCTCCTCAACTTGGTCACCAACGTCTTGTATAACAGGGCGTTGGAATCTACCGATGGTGATGTTCCTAGGCTCATCCGGGCTCAGTATACTGCGTTCCCGGGTATTGCTGCTGGAACTTTGGTTTCGTTGAGATGGATCGTGTTCTTTGGCGCGATCATGGTGAGCATCTTCATCTCGCATATGTCTTTCTCTTTGCTCATATCCGACCTTGCTAGGCTGTATATCCTGCGTTCTATGCCCTCTACGTCTCTAGAGAACGAAGATCGTCAGTCCAAGCCATGCAACTTTCCAACGGTTTAACCGATCCTATTGGACTGTGGCTGGGACACCTATTGTGGGACACGATCAACGTTGTCATCCTCTCGACTATCATTGTTATCGCCTTTGCTGCTGCCTCTCCGGACAACTTCCATGGCCTCGGATTCTTGTGGTTCGTCATGGTGCTATATGGCATCACTGCCGCACTGTTCTCGTACTGTGCGTCGTTGTGGATGTCTTCCCCTCTGGCTGCTTTCGCAGCCGTGGCTGGGTATCAATTTGTCGTCTTCGTTGTAAGTACAGATTCACCTTGGGGCCCACGATCTTCCAACTTACGTTCTCTATTCCAGCTTTACCTCTGTGGTTACCTTCTGGTTCTCACATACGGCGAGACGTCAAGCGCTAGCAAGGTCATCACCATCATCCACTTTACCACTTCCATTGTGGCACCTGTCTGCAGTGTGGTAAGTAGCCCCTCCGTTTTGTGCATTTTCAGATTCCTCATCCACACCTTGATAGACCCGAGCCGCGCTCGTTTCAGTGAACCTTTTCCAACTCCTTTGTGACGGACGAACACCAGTGACAAACTCCTCGATGGGCGACATCATGCGATTCGGCGGGCCTATCCTCTACCTCTTCGTATACATGGCTGTCCTGCTGGGCATCCTCGTCTGGGCCGACTCCGGTTCTCATACAACTCGCCGCCTCAACAACCTCAAAGCTCTTGTTGGCAGCGACGAGAAGCTCAGCGGCAAGGAAGACGTGGTGGTTGCAGCCGAGGAGGCCTCTCGCTCAGATGATTTGCTTCGCGTCCTTGGGATCTCAAAGACGTATGACGGACAAAAGGTTGTCAACAACGTCAACTTTAGTCTCCCACGAGACACTGTCTTTGCCTTGTTGGGTCCTAATGGTGCTGGAAAGACTACCACGTTTAATATGATTCGTACGTGACCATGGTTTGATGTTCTGACGGTGTTCTGACGGCTTTGGTATTAGGCGGGGATGTTATTCCTGACGATGGCGACATTCTTATCAACGGCACTTCGGTTGTACGACACCCTCGTAGCGCTCGTGCCAATCTCGGTGTTTGCCCACAGTTTACCGCCATCGACTCGCAGCTCACCGTACGCGAGCACCTCCTCATTTATGGTCGCCTCAAGGGCCTGGACAAACAAGAGCTCTTGGAGAGCGTCGACACTGTACTGAAAGGTACTGCTCTCATGCAATACGCCGATCGTCTGGCCAGCAAGCTTTCTGGAGGAAATCAGAGGAAGGTCGCCCTCGCCATTGCCCTGATCGGTATGTAAATGCCCTGGCGCTGTTGGGGAGTATCGAGCTGATATTGTCGTGCTTCAGGCAATCCTGCGGTAATCCTCATTGACGAGTTCTCAACTGGTATCGACCCTAAAATGAAGCGTGATATGTGGCATACCCTTCGCAAGGTTGCCGTTGGCAAGGCTGTTATCATCACCACCCATTCCATGGAGGAAGCATCTGCTTTGGCCAACAAGGTCGGAATTCTGGCGAAGAAGCTACTGGGTACGCCCTCTCCATCTTGCGTCTATGGTGATATCCTGACGGTTTCTCTATAGCTGTTGGCACCACGGAAAGCCTTGCCTCCCGCTACGGTTCTTATGAAGTCCACTTCACATGCAGGAACCGCGATGAGGTCGTTCAAGCTCGCAGTCTCATGACCAACATCCCAGGCGCTAAGATGGCTGACGACGTGGCCACTCGATTCGAAGTGCCAATCGACTCTTCGGGAGGCATCACCTTGGCACAATTGTTCCGTATCCTCTCCACACAAGGCAACTTCACCGAGTACACGGTGGAGAAGGCCACCTTGGAGAGCATCTTCTTGAAGGTTATTCGCGAAAACGACGTGTCAGAAGAGGATCCTGATGCGAAACGAAAAAGATGGTGTGGCCTTTTTTAAGAGGGCTTAATGAGGGATCATGACTTTAGTATAGAATTCGTGGACTATTAATTTATACCCTTAATACCAATGGGATTATATTTATACAACGTAGAGATACAACCTAGGATGGGTTTTTTATTCCGTTTTCTCTTCCTTAGGGGGTGGCGGCTGTGTGATGTCTTGTAGGTATTCGTTAACAGTCCGAGCGATGAAGAACCCGACGATAGCAGCTATGACGAGAGCGAAAAGAGTGGGGACAATAGATTCTGGGAGGACGCCAAACAGAAGGGGTTCCAGAGTGAGGATAATCGGGACTGTGGCCAGGTCTGAGACGATAGTTTGGTTGGACCGAAGGATTTCTGGGTTCCATACTGCAGTGCTGATGAGCTGAACACGGGCGTATTTACTCTTGGTTTCCGTTGGAGGAGCTCTATGCCTTGAGCGGCGCGGAGGGCCTGGCCTAGGAAGTTCAGCGAGATCTGAAGGGCCATATATCTTCAGGTATGCGTCGACCGGATGCTAGAGAGCCAAGGTCAGTCCACGGCTTTACTGTGTGGGAGTAGGCTGTTTCTTACCGACGCTGGCCACGATAGGCGAAGAGTAAACTTGGAATACTTTGCCCATTCTGGCGAATCCAGATCGAGGGCAACCCAGAGTTCTTTTAAGCAGTCCGATGGATGTTCAGTGGGCGTCCAGTGGAACACGCTTTGACATGGCTCTTGGTTTACATTGGACTTTGAACTTGTCGGGTTACTGTCCAGATCCCAAAGCAATGACGCGTATTCTGGACTTAGGATAGGCCTGCATATAGTTTAGGATTGGGTTTGGCTGATGAAGTTCCTGGGCCATACCATTCATGTTGGAAATGTAGCTGCGGATCTTGTACAGGGCTCCCCGCAAAGTTTACGATTTCTGTATTGGCGAAGGCGCAGACAGCATTGAGGACCAGAAGGAACGTCCACTTCATGGGCGTTCTGTTGAGAACACGATTCAGCACGATTCGAACCCCGACATCATGATGCTCGTGGGAAGGTTGGGTTTGACCCAGTTTTGCCGCCCCCGTTCCTTTTAAGCGCCGGCAAATTCTCCAACATTGCAGCAGTGTTTCCTCCTATTCAAGCTTATCCTTCACGGCGTTGATAACTAGCGCACCATCCATTTCAGGCCCAGAATTGTTCCACGAACTCAACATGTCTGGGCAAATTGCAAGTCGCGAACCGTTCACAACAAACTCATTCACGAAGGAGAATACCCGTCATTGCCTTAGGCTCCAGCAAACTTTTTGATGCGTCCCACTTGTACAGTTGTGCACGTGTTATGGTCGGTATACACATACAACAAAAGGTCAATTCAGTGGTCGCACTGAGGATCGAACCTGCGACCGCAGGAGGTTATAGCTACTCGTGGGTAAGTGATGACAGCAAATTCTGCACGTCAGCAGCTTGGTCGGATCCGAGGTTGTCCACTTCCCGATGGTTCCCAAACTACTCGGGGCTCTGTGAACCGCTATCCTGAAGGTTCAAGGGACCAGAAAGCTGGGCACGATACCCGAGATAATCTAGAGCGTCCCTCCGCGGAGTTCTATGGGATATTTGGCGACTGGAATATACAGCGGACGCCGGAACAACCGCGCTGTCTGTCATCGACAATTATGAAGAGTCTTTTTCCCAAAGATGGGATACAACTCGGATGGAATCAGTCCGTCGATGTTCCTTCAGGTTCTCTGCGTTTCTGACATATACCTGGTCGTTTTGTATCCTGTCCTTTACCCTGCATTCGCTGCAAACCCTCGCATTGGCTCAGTGAGGCAAACATTGCTCCTCACCTTCACTGGCGGCTACACATTAGCGCCCAAATCGATCTCCCTTTTAGCGCGTGGTTCAAGTCATATGCCACCCGTCATTCTCCGGACCCGTCGTCTGGATTGCTAACATCCTCAGTTTTCTGCCGGTCCTATTCGTAATCAAGATTATTATTAAAGGTGAGCCCCGCTAATGAATACTGTGACGTCCAAGTGCCACTCGATCCGGACTGCTCGATCTCACTCTTTCATCTCTTGCCAGGCCACTTCTACATCTGGTTATCCGTTGGGTACCCCTTGTTTCAGCAATTAACGTGCTGATTTGAAAGACGACCGTCCTATCGTTTGGCAGCCGCTTGACCAGCACCTCATTTTTTTCTTCCCTCCATCCACACAGCCTACCGACATGGCACCGACACGAAAGGTTTTGAGTATGCCTGACCCAGGCACGTCCATTCGCCCTATCTATATGTATACGGAGGAGCAGACCAAGATGATTCAGGCCTTGCGAGAGGTACGGCTTTGTTGTTACACGCGCCTGGTAGTAGTGCTCATAGGAGAATCCCTTGACAGTATACCTCGACAATTTGCCTACCCCCTTCAGATCCCTATCACTACTGGGAGAGCCGTTGGCTATCACGTCCAGACACCCACCCCCGGTATATGAGAGCAGCCAAGTGGAATTACGGCGATGCACAGAAGCGGATAAAAGCGACCCTGGAATGGCGGCGTGAATTCCAACCCGACTTGATCAGCCCTGAAGATGTCAGGATAGAGGGGGAGACGGGGAAAATGTGCGTAGCATCCGCCTCTACCAAACTCGTCTCTCCTCACCCTCTCATTACACAGTATTCTGAACGGGTTTGATGTGGATGGTCGGCCCGTTATCTACATGAGGCCTGGACGGGAAAACACCGAGACGAGTCCAAGGCAGTTGCGACACCTGGTGTGGTGGTTGTGAGTGCTTCTTTCCCCCTATAGTCCCGCAGGGCGTTAAAGAACTGTTCCAGAGAGCGAGCAAAGGACTTCATGCCACCAGGCCAAGAAAGTCTTGTCATCGTCGTTGACTACAAGTCATGTACACTGCGAACGAACCCATCCATCTCTATCGCCCGCAAGGTGCTCACTATTCTCCAGCAACACTATGTCGAAACCCTGGGACGAGCATGCGTGACCAACCTCCCATTCATCCTCAACTTCTTCTACAAGGGCATTGAAAGATTTTTGGATCCCGTTACACGGGACAAGGTTCGTTCATCATTGCTGTACCGCATGGCGATTGTTTATTGACAGAGCCCTGTAGTTGAGGTTCAATCCCAACCTCACCGAGATCATCCCTGAAAGCCAACTGGACGCTGACTTCGGAGGTTCCTACGAATTCGATTTTGAGCCCAAGTGCTACTGGGACCAGATCATCGAGTACGTCCACTTCGCACTAGTGGGCACTTTCTCTTACTTATGGGTACCTCAGAATCTGCGGTATCGCCCCAGATGGCACGCGAACTCGCGACATCTACTCCAACCCGACAGAGCCCTTCAACACGCTCCCCTTGGCAAACAATGTTCCTCGCTCCAGGTCTGACAGCAGCAGTGGAAGTGACAGCGACTACAAAGCGCCTGTAACCCCGAAAACAACAGGAAGCGTCCGTAGCCTCAATATTAACAAGGCGGATGCATCTGTGAACGTCGAGGAAGTATCAGAAAGAAGGCATACAGTGATGGTGGGGTAGTCTCACCATCCCAGGTGACCGCCGGTGTATATTTATGCTCGCCAAAAGGTTAGATGGTATTTATGGATGGAGTGGGGTGGAAACCCTGCGTGTAGATCTTGACGACGAAACGACCGCATCCTTGTAGAATCACTTCACTGTTGTATAGGATATTATTATCGTCAGCGTAGAATCATTCCCTTCGCGATTTCGAAACACTGTCAATAAATATGGATATACAGTAGAAATAAGGTACACGGATTGGAAGTACAATATTGAAGTTGCAGGTATGTATCAAGATTACGCCGCAGCTGTGGATTGCTGAGGAGCCGTCGGCAAGAGTTTGTGATTGTCGATTGAAATACCTTAACAGTGGGTCAACTGACCGTTCCGCTGTAAAGTGAACTCGAGACAACTTACTTCTCGTGGCATTGTTGGTCTTGTAAATACCGATGAGGCGATGGCTGAGTTCGAACATATCGTTCCTAAAAGGCAATATGGTCAAGTCATGCCAGCAGAAAGATCGGCGCAAGGGTCAGTACCTGAGGGAGATGATAATGAATTGGGCATTCTTGGTACGATCCTTGATGTAATTAGCGACGATAGACACGTTTCTGAAGTCGAGTGCAGCATCAATCTCGTCCATGAAGTACAGTGGAGTGGGCTTGTAGACGTGGAGGGCAAAGACTAGAGCCAAAGAGCTGAGTGTCTGCAAAGGATAATCAGTTCCAGTGCCTCGCACGACCTTGCGTATATGTATACCTTTTCACCGCCAGACAAGTTTGAAATGTTCTTCCAGCTCTTCTTCGGGGGCATGACACTGAAGATGATGCCCTCGGAGAATGGATCCATACTGTCAACAAGTTCCAACTCGGCGTTCCCTCCCAACGTGATCATCTAGAAAATGGGGTCAGCTTCCCGCCTGCAAATCTACAGAACTGGTGACCAACCTGGTACATCTCTTTCAGCTTCATCGAAATCAAGTTGAAGCCGGTCATGAACTCCTCCAACCGTTGCTTCCGCAGGCCGTCGTATTCCGCTTTCTTAGCGTCTCGTTGCTGCGTAACCTCTTCAAGTTCCTTAGCACGGTTGTCGAAAAGCGCTTGCTGTTTCTTGTATTCCTTCAAGACAGTAAGGTCGACCTTCGAGTTTTTAATTTTCTCTGCATTGCGGTCAGTAACGAAAACCACGGAAGGTACCCGACGTTCTTACCGTCCAACAACTCGGTGTCAGCCAGGAGGGCATCCTTGCGCATCTTTCTCAATTCATCCTCGCCGTACAATTTCAGCTGCTCGCTCTGCTTCGGCGGTGCGTCAGGATCAGGTTTGATGTTGGGTTCGCCTTCGCCGTCATCGTGCCCTTCGCCATCCCCTTCTCCGTCAGCATGTTCGCCGTCTTCCTCGTCATCACTGTCATCTTCTTCCTCACTAGAGGATCGTCAGCGGGATAGTCGATGGGTAAAGACTTCAACTTACTCGATATCGTGGAGTTTCAACTTGTCGTGCCTATCCGTGCAGTCGTCGATTTGCTCTTGACAGTTGTCGATGATCTTCTTTGTGTCGGTGATCTTGTTCTTAATCTCGAGCTGAAAGGGAAAAAAGGGTAAGGATGAAAATTCAGCCATGAGATATACTAAAGAGCCTCGCCTCTTTCTTTTTGAACTTGGCCAAACCTTCCTCGGCATTCGCCAAGTCCTGTTTGATCTCGTCGAGTTCATCCTTCTGGTTCTCCGTCTTGTTCTGAGCTTCCTCGACGGTCTTTCGCAACGCCGTCAAGAACTCTTCGGCTTCTTCAACCTCCTCATCGAGCTTCGCCAGCTCCTCCTTGACCTCTACCAATGCCTTCTCGTTGGCTTCAACCGAGGCGGTCAGTCGCTTAACATCAGCAGTAGCCTTGTTCCTCTCCGTTTCTGCTTTGGCAATTGCTTCGTTGGCTAGTCCGATATGCGTTCGAAGACCTTCGACCTTGGACTTCTGGAGCATGAGCTGGGCTCCACCAATCTTCAAGATCTCTCTTTCAAGTCCCTGGATAGCTTCGGTGATCTTATCCGCTGACTCCTGAAGCTCCTCGAGACTGGCAGTATGAACTTCAATCTGCTTCTCCAATTCACGGATGCGCGCAGCGTCATTGGCGTTGGGTTTGTTTTGGGCCCTAAAGATATTCAACGGTCAGCATTCGGAGACCGACACTGAAGCAGAACAACGCACTTGAGATCTTCAAAGCGCTTCGCAGCCTCCGCAATCCTAACCTTCCTCGTCTCCAATTCCAAGGTGAGCTTCTGGTATCTCATGTCGAGCTCCGGCCCAGCGCGCTGGAGCTTCTCCAACTCGGAATCGGCCTCTTGCTGTTCCCTGAACGCCTTCTGCAACATTTCCGCAGCCTCCGCACTCGACTTCTCCCATTGCCTCATTTGTTGTGGCGACACGTCCGTAGCGAGCTTCGAGTTCATGGCACCCCTCTGAGGTTGGGCTCCTCCACCGGACATGGCACCAGAAGTCTCGATCAAGGCCCCATCCAGCGTGACGACACGCCACCTCTGGCTACCACCGAAAGCGATTCGGTTGGCTTGAGTAGTGTCTTGCGCGACCAAGGTGTCGCCCAGCGCCTTGTAGAATGCCTTGCGGTAGATGGGATCCTTCGGTTTAACGAGGTCGAAGAGTCGGGGAACATCTTCTGGAGTGTTGATCTTCTTCATCCTTGGCGACTCGGAGAGCTTTTCCAAAATCATGAAGGAGGCACGGCCAAGGTTGTTGGTACGGAGGTATTCGATACATTCCCTTCCTTGCTCGACTTTATCGACGATGAGGTTAGCCAAGCTACCGCCAGCAGCAGTCGAAATAGCGACGTCGTATTTGTCGTCGATGGTACCGAGGTCGCCCAATTTGCCCTGTAGAATAGTCAGAAGACGATCGCAGTCATGACAGGGGAAGATACTGACGTGGAAGCCGTGGATCCGCCCTTGTTCCTTGAGGCTATGAAGAGACTCGAGGAGGGCGCTGCGGGAGCGGTTTGCAGACTGGTTCGCTTTGGCTTCTTCGACGCGGCTCCTTGCCGAATTGGCCTTCGCCCGCCATTCTTCAACGTCCTTTTGCGCTGCCTGAACAGAGTTAAGTTCGGGGATCATACTTGATGGCTGTCTGAACCTACTTGTTTCTTTGCTGTGGCGGCCGCGATCAATTGTTTCAACTTCTCCTTCTCGGTTCGACATTCAGCTTGTTCACGAAGCTAAGAGACTGGGTCAACGTCCAGCGAGGAAATGAGGCAAGGAGACACACCTTTTCTTGCTGTTCTTCCTGGAGATTTTTGTAAGTCTCCTGTGCCTCAGCAACCGCCTGTTTAAGCGCCTCGCCACGCTGAACGAGTGTATCGCGCTCGCTTTGAGCGACGTCAAGCTGGGTCTTCTTTGCGTCGATCTTGTTCGTCCAGGGCTCTAGCTCCTTCTGCTTCTGTTCGATTTGCTTGTGGAACTTGGCGGTTTTGCCTGGAAATCAACACATCAGCACCGGATTCATCCCTCTGACATCGACACGACAAACCTCGCAGGCCATCTTGAATCTTCTCCAGTTCAGCTTCGGCTTCGACTAACTCTTCCCGGTACTGCTCGAGGTTGGCGGTATTCTTGTCCAGGCGTTCACCGCTGTCGGTGATCAAATGCTGAGCGTTCCTCAAAGCAGTTGTATCCTGGGGGCGAATGTTAAGGACTATCAACAGGCATTTCAACTGGGGAACCTACCTCTTGCACAGACTTCTCGAGCTTCTTCCTGCGCGTTTTAGCGTGCTTCTGTCGCTCCTTGACCCCAACGGCAACTTTCTCTGTTTCTTTCAATTCCTTAACGGCCTTCTCCATTTCCTTGCTGACTTCCTGTTAGGCAGTGAGCTCAGGATTCCGAGAGATTGCTGCGTATGACACCAACCTCGTATTGCTTTTCACGGTCGGCATAGTGCTGAGTTAGCTCGGCGACATACTTGATTTCGTCCTCATGCTTGGCGGCTTCATCCTCGAGCTTCTTGTTCAATTTTTCCTAGAGACACGTTTTCTCAGGTTAGCTACATCGTTCACAAGATAAGTTGAATATACATGCCAACTCCGCCTCTTCGGCAGTCTGGGTTTCCATCAATTTCCAGATGAGCCATTGCAAGTACCGTGATTGAGCGCGAATGTGGTCGTTCTTGAGTTTGTAGAAATTAATGGCCTCTCGCCTCGCGTCCTCCAATGCTTGCTTTTCCTTCTCAACAAGACGCAACCGGTTCATCTTGACCTGTCGTTCTTCCTGGAGCTGCTCAACTTCGGCGAAGGCTGTCTCGATTTTTTCCTTGTATTGAGAAGTCCCGATGATGTCTTCAAGGTATTCGAGAAGTCCGTCTTCGTGTTCGGTCTGGGCTTTGGGCTTCATCTGGGCAATGGATTCGACCTCGCCCTGGAAAGGGATGAGTTTCGAGCCTTTCGTCGCCAAAGGAAACGTACCTGAAGGATCAAGAACCTGTTATGGTCGAGGTCGATACCCCGACTTTTCAGGAGGGTCTGTACTTCCTTGTACGACGCCGTCTTCCCATTGATGGTATAGTCACTCTTGTTGTTCTTGTAAGCAGTCCTCGCGACGACAAGCTTAGAGCCGGGGACAACTTCGTAGGCATCGGGACCGGGCTACAATGAACATGAGAAAAGGGAAACGGCATCATGGCAAGGGACTACACACGAGGTCAATAATGTCCCTGAAGTGAATTTCAACGCTGCATTTTTCCAGATTGGGGTATCGCGCAGAGTTGTGAATGAGTTCTGACACCTTGCCTTGACGCATCTTGGATGCACGGTATCCGAATACAAACAACAGGGCGTCGATAGTGTTGGATTTTCCAGAGCCGTTGGGACCGACGATAGCTGAGAAGGACTGCGCTCGGGAGTCAATTGGTGGGTTAGAGAACACCGACCGCGTCACGTACCTTGTGGAAAGGGCCGATTTCTTGTCGCCCCGCATAACTCTTGAAGTTGACAAGGGCCATCTTCGAAATAACAAGGCGGGACTTGGGACCCTGAGGCTCCTCTGGCATGACTTTGGGGAGGGTCGCTGGGTCGGGCATTGGAGGGGGGTCGAGCAACGACTGTTCCTCCTCCTGCTCAGGTTCGGGTTCCTCAGCAACAGGTTTCTTTGGCGTGGCCTTTGAGGGCGATGCCGGAGGAGGCGTGAGGTCGTCGTCGTCTTCGTCCGACGTAACCACAACAACTTTCTCCTGAGCTGCACCCTTGGTTTGACGAGCTGGGGCCTTGCCCTTTCTGCCTTTCTGAGTAGATACCACATCCTCCTCGCGATCGTCGTCGTCTTGCGCCGGTTCTTGAGCCTCTTCATCGGATACAGGCTCTTCCTTTACCACCTTGCGGCCAACACGGCGTTTGGGCTTTGGTTTCTCCTCCTCTTCGTCCTCCCCTTCGTCCTCTTCCGGTACTGACTCTGCGAGCGATGATACACGGGTTTTCCTCGTTGGTCGAGAAGTCGACGCGGCGCTGGGTCGTCTGCTTGGGCCAACACTGGATTGACGACTAGACGTGCGTCGTTTGGGTAAAGGTTCGGGCTCGTCAGTAGCCATCTTCCCGCGCCGCCTGCCCTTCGAAGGAGGCTCAGCTTCCTCGTCCTCATCTTCTTCCTTTACGTCTGCTTCAACAGAGGGTCGCGACTTTTTCTTGGCTGGTGCGACATCCTCCTCCTCGTCACCAGATTCCACCACGTCGGGCAATGAGCTTCGTGTTCTTGCCGATGTACGTGCTTTGCTCGTCGATGCTCGGCTGCCAGCTCTAGATGGGGGTTTCGCAGTCGTCTCTTCTGATTGAGTCGATTGTCCACGCTTTCGTTTTGCTGGTAGCGTTTCTGAGGTCTCTGGCGCGACGCTTGGCGCGCGAGAGGAACGCCGTGGAGGCATCGCGAATTTTCAGTTTAGTGGTAAGAAGGAAGAATCACAACGCGGTCATTTCAACAAAACGACGCGTTAAGGTCACGCCCCGCCGCCTGTCAGCGGCGTTTACCGTCTTGAACAGTGAAGGACAAGCTAATGTCAGTCCGATATGGTGTAACGGCTAACATTACCGCCTTTCACGCGGTAGCTCGGGGTTCGATTCCCCGTGTCGGAATATTTTTGCCTTCTAACATTTTGTCTGCTCCTCCAAAGGTTGTTCTTATTCACCTCGGATTTTCATGTCTAACGTCAACATCGCTCACTCAATGGGCCTATGCACAGGAAATTCGACACCCTTAATGGATCAACCTTTCTGGGGATGGATGTCCTACCAGCATTGACATGAGTGCCGAAAGTTGAAACAGCTGGCGTAGTAAACCTTAAACCTATGAAACAGCATCTGTGGGTACCACGTTGACCTGTAATAGGAAGAGGACTTGTGTTTCCCGAGCTCTCATACCCGGCCTTTGAATACGATTACGTTCTGGGCGTCTATTCACTGCTGAAGATACGTTCGTTGCGGAAGCTCGGAGCTTTTTGTTGAACGATTTGAGGCAACACAGAGAGAAGGCGTACCCATGAGGAAATCCTATCGGATGTTTGTAACTCAGCGTATTCTGAGGAGGATCTCGAATGGGAATAAAGGTGCAGCATTTACAGGCTCCGAGTCGGCGGTTACGCTGTAGCTTCTGTCCATAACGATGAACGGCTGGACGACAACACTTGTGACCGAGTGTCCCGGCTCATCGTGTAGACCGGCGATACAGTATATGCAGTGTGTTGAGCTCATCATCCATAACTCTACCACAGCCTCCCATGGCCCGTCGTGCGGGCAGTCTACACAGAAATTCAAAAGGAGGTTGGACTCTAAGGAAATAACTTAAATTATGGGTCGTGATTTCTCTGTACGCTGTGAAATGAGTTCTCAACGAACGATACACTAATAGCAGTCAAGAATTATGCGAGGGCATATCTAGGCGCTCCGGAATACTCCCTTAGGGTCAGTCCCATAGGATGCTTGTCGTAATCAAATCCTCCTCCTCTTGAAGCGTATAAAGACGAGGCGGAGAGAATATGAATCTCCAGAGCACTCACATACTATCCTCCCATACCCAAGCCTCGCAATGCATCCCCACCTTCGACCTCTCTTGGTCGCGCTTACTAGTAGCTTTGCCTTGCAGAACTTTGCCGCGGCAGCGTTGACCACCCCGAGAGCCATTCACTCAAAGGATACTATGTTCATTTCCAACATTCGAGCTAGCCCTGATGGGTTTGAACGACCGTACGCAAACAATCTATACAGGTAATTAACCGTCTTATGCTTACAGCCTTTCAGTGTCATCGCTGTCAATGGACATCACCCAGCCCTCTTGATCAAGGCGAAGAAGGTATGTATCATGTCGAACGAAATTGCGGTCGCTTGGTGCTTAACTTTACCTCTCAGGGCGACGAGTTTGAGCTTACAGTCGCCAATCACCTAACAGAAGAGACCATGCTTCGTCAAACTAGCATTGTAAGGATCCGTCTTCCCGACTAGCAGGTAGCGCGCTTGCTGAGAACCGGTTTGCATTGTCGGTGTATTAGCACGGCATCTTCCAACATAAATCCTCCTGGGCCGATGGACCAGAAGGCGTCACCCAGTGCCCTGTCGCGCAATTCGGCAACTCATTCACTTACAAGTTCAATGCTGGGAACGAAACCGGCACCTACTGGTACCACTCCCATTTCGGTAATGCTGTGGTCATCTTTGGAAATTCATGCAGCTCCGCTGATCTTGAGCGTGACGGCAGAAACCCAATATTGCGATGGCCTGAGAGGGCCCTTGGTCATATACGACGATAACGACCCGTACAGGAATGATTACGACGGTGGGCATATTCTTATCTGTTCCATTATTTCTGTTCAACCTGTATTCCCCGCAGTCGACAACGAAGACACGATCATCACGCTCGCCGACTGGTAAGTCACTCGCCGATACCATTTCCCAACGTCTACATTATTCCCTCTTCATACAGGTATCACCTTCAGGCACCGTCTATCAACACAACCATTGCCCCACCTGTGAATGCAACTCTGATCAACGGGAAAGGGCGACAGCCTGTCAAGCCCGATAGTCCGCTTGCCATCGTGAACGTGAAGCAAGGCAAGAGGTATAGATTCCGCATCCTCTCCTTGTCCTGCGACCCGAACTACAATTTCTCCATCGACGGACACGACCTCACCGTCATCGAAGCCGACGGGCAGCTTACCAGAAAGCTTGTCGTGCAAAGACTCCAGATTCCGATGACCAGGGGTGAACTACTAACCCTTCTCGTGTTCAGCATCCGTTCCATTTGCGCGGGGTAAAAACTTCTGTTAACGTCCAGAGTGAAAGAAGTCTGACCTCTCATCTCGCAGCACGCGTTCAGCGTTATCCAGAGTGCAGGGAGCCCCAATAAGAACTATATCGACCCTGTTCGTCGCGACGTAGTCAGCATCGGAGATCCAGACAGAAAGGAGAACGTGACCATCCGGTTCGTCACTGATAACCCAGGTCCTTGGTTCTTCCACTGGTACGTGGCGCGTCAAAATTCAATGTTCAACGACACTGACGATTTGTGGCCGGGCTTGCGTTAGCCACATCGAGTTCCATCTGTCCGGGTAAGCCCCTAACGTTTGACGTTCGTACAGGTGACGCTGACGAAGGACATCACTCCAGTGGCCTTGGTGCTGTTTTCGTCGAGGATCAGAAGGACATCAAGTCAAGCGACCGCGCTCCCCCTCGTACGTGCACTTGGTCAGGCCCACAGAGAAAGTACGCACTAATATAATATGGCAGCGAGCTGGTCTGAATTGTGCCCAACTTTCGATGCGCTACCCACGAACGCAACCTTCGTCTCCACGGTCGCTACACCCACTGCGCCTACAGCTCCAACCAACATTCCCTTCTAGCACGCGCGGATCTGTGCAAAGGATTCGGAAGGACAGATTTTTCCTACCGCCTATTTATACATATCAGTAATGGCCCCCGGTTATGTTTTGAATGTGCTCACTGCTTAATAGCGCACCATGACCCCGAAGATACAATATTTCACTGTCTGGAATTGAGTTCGGACTGAGCACGTCCACTGCCCTTGACGCTAGCTTCGAATTGAGAATTTCGATCAGGTGGGGCACGCGATGTTCAAGACCGCAAACAAGAATTCTATTCATCGATGGTCATACAACAGTTGCATTACAACAGGGATAGCATTGGTGGCGGCCGAGGGTGAATGGACAAGACGTGTTGGTAGACGCTAAGACAGCGCTTTTGGATTGAAGTCCGGCGACATAGAATTTCGAAATCTGGGATTCTGGCACACCAGGCCTTCGCCCGTAAGGGATAACTCCAATGTAAAGCCAAAGGAGGGCCGGTCCAACTTGGTGGTTCGTCTCCTTTACATGGGCTTCGCGGGCAATTGTGTGAGCAGTACGCCGTACCGCTTTTTCACTGTTACTCGATGGCGGGAGAACTTGTCATCGGGCGAGAAGCGAGCTGGAAAAGTTCACAGAGTCAGCCTCTTGCACACTTCAGATCCATAATCTTAGCGAAAGCCATACCGGGATGCGCGGATTTCGTGATTCTGCCCTCGTCCGTGACTTTCTAAAACAAGCAGTTGGCTTCCAGGTCGTTCAGGGAGATATTCGATGAACGTACTTTCAGAGTGTACACCCTGTTGCCATCTTTGTCCAACGTATACATCAAATGCATGATGGAGTATCGCTGAGGTCGCTGTTCAAGACGATGAGGGCGAAAAATCCAACGCTGTTTGCTTGTGCTTGCGCCGGCTATGGCACAGCCACATAAGCCCCTATCCACTGACATTCATGCAAGCATGATTATGATGGAATTCGTGCAGTCGTTCACATTGCTCGGGATGATAAAGCAGAGTCACTTCTGTTACATTGGTGACCTTTAAGTCGAATCAGAGGTCGTTATCTATTCCTTAAATATCATCGTAAAGCGTGCGAATTGACTGAGCCGGGGACAGCGGATAGCCCATAGGCTCATCCGATGCACCTGGCAAATCGTCATGGCCGTCGATACTGTAGAATGTCCTAAACTCGGCGTCTCCCCCGTCATCTTCCTGAACAGCGCCTATGTTCTCTGCCCATTCCCATATCTTGAATTGGCCGAGGGCACAGCCAGGTGGCGAGCCTGACGTCGCGGTAATTGAGGAACTGTCCGAAGCTTTGGTGGCTGTAATGAGATTCTAATGCACAGTCCAACGCTCATTAGACCGAAGTTCCAGTTATGGGGACGAAGAATTCACCTCGTATAAATCTCTTAATTCCCTGATGACCCTCCGCACCTCTCTCTTCTTCTGCCTGACCACGTATTTCTGCTTCACCTTGGCGGGCACCCTGAAGCAGCTGATGCATTTGAATTTTTCAATACTCTCGAAGTACTCTTTTGCTTTCTCTTGAGCGCTAGAAGAGAGATACAGGATGACATCAGACGGCGCTCAGTCAAGTTACTCGCAAGAGTAAAGGGTCCTACAGATGTTTCTTCATGATATAAGCTTCGTACTCCTCATCTTGCAGAGAGTCTTGTCTATAGGCCTTCTCAAAGTGATCAACCAGGCGGCTGGTCTGGTCGATGTGAGTGTCGTACGCGTTGTCATGCCGGGCGCTGAAGCCTAGCGAAGAGTTGAGAGCAACTGCCCCGACCGTGGTCAAGGCCCCGATAGCACCAGCCCCGAGTTCTGCCATGTCGTGGTTGGATTGGGAGAGTCGTTGTGAAGGCGGGGAGCCTCTTGTCGTCCTTAATACATGACAGCTTGATATTAATAGTCGTGGTATATATCCACCGGACGTACGAACAGCCTCAGATGCACAGGTCTGATGGCGTGGTCACATTGCGGTCACGATGGTAGATGAGCGGCGAATAGAATTTCCAGGAAACAGTCCGTGGACGGGTAGAGCGCCATGAATAGAAATCTTCCAGTCGATTCTTGTGTCTTCCAGAGAAGTCCTGAATTAAGCGCCCGCAAGTGACCTTGTCAGGAACGGACTTTGTCTGTGTTTGGCGAAGGCTTCTGGACCGTCGAGGCGCGGGCGTGTCGCTGTGACGTTATGTTGTTGGAACCAACCAAACTGCAGAATGCCTTCTCATCGTTCCCGCTCACGTTCTCGAGAACGCAGCAGACGCCACCGCTCCAGGGACAGATCAAGGGAGAGACACAGGTCTAGGGACCGTTCAAGGGAAAGAGAAAGGGACAGGCAGAGGGATAGGTCCAGAGATCGTTCAAGAGACAGGTCGCGAGAGAGAAATAGGTCTAGAGATCGCTCCAGAGACCGCTACCGCTCAAGGTCTCCTGAAAGGCCTGTGGAACTCCCTGAAGATGCAAAGCCTATCACGGAAAGAGACTACTTCCAGAAAAGCGACGAGTTTAGGCTGTGGTTGAAGGAGGAAAAAGGCAAAGTGAGTGGTTGTCCAATTTTACGCGACATGCCAACAATTGACTATTTCCAGTACTTTGACGAACTGTCTGGGGATCGAGCAAGAAGGTACGTGATTGTCACACTCTACAAAGTGGCCACTCATCGTAAAACAGTTACTTTCGAAAGTTTGTGAAGGTGTGCATGGTTCTGCACCAGACTAGTGCCTTGAGCTGATGGACACAGGCATGGAATAGAGCAAAACTTTCCAGTATGTGAATTACTCTTCTCCAAAGAATCCTCTAAAGCTATCGACTTTACTTAGGGAAATATTATCGCGGTATCGAGCCTGGCTCGATGCTTGCAACAACCAATACCTCTTACAAGTGGTCTTTCGCCACGAAGGGCAACCGCGCCGATAACGACGCTCTCCGAGCAACAAGAGAAGAAGTCGGTGCAGCCACATATGGCCGTGCTGCACGCTCTTATGACGACGACGACGGCGATGCTCTAGGTCCGAGTGGTTCAGGCCTCGGTCGTCTACAGGGACCCACTCTCCCATCGGCCTCGGACCTCACCCTTGCTAAGGAAATGAACGCCGAGCAAGAGGCTGAACTCCGAGCTTACAAGCGCAAAAGGGAAAAATTAGAAGCCAAAGAAAGGATTGAGGACATGGTCGGTCCTCGGCCTGTCGGGCGGGAGGCCATGCTCGAGAAGAAGAGGGCCCGCAGGGAGAACGATAAGGCCTTCCGGGAACGAGGGGATGAAGGTCTTGAGGTCGACGAAGATACCCTTCTAGGAGGAGGGGATAGTTTCCAAGCACAGTACGTCGGATTGCTCCCTACGGTTCGCCGGCCCTTCTAATATCTGCTGCAGAATTGCTCGACGGGATGCAGCCAAACGGCGACAAGAGGCCAGACGCTCTGAAGAGATTGCTGCCATGCGAGAGCGCACCACTGCTCTGAGGGAGAAAGACAAGGTACCTCGGGTCATCATCCTCCAAATTCATTCTGATAAACATTCGGTTAGGCCACGATGGAAATGTTCCAACAGCTTGCAAAGCAAAGGTTCGGTTAGCGGCGTTGACGCCATCGTTCGCCATTGCTGGTCTTTTTTCGTTCCCCTTCTCTGTTTTCGATTATGTACATTCGTCTTCGACAACTGGAGTTGCTTTGATAACGACCTCGGCGTCCTTTGGACGTTGTTCGCTGAGATGAGTGTCCTCGGGTGTGGATCCATGCTCCTTGGCGCCCGCTTGGTCAGCGACCATCATGTGATCGCTCACCAAGCAATTCCGCAATCGATCATGGTATAAAACCTTGGGCGTTTGTCGGCACAAACCACCTTAACCACCTTCTTATCGATCCTTCACCAACTCTCTACATCATGGGCGTCACTCCTATCAACTCCCTCGAGGAATTCAAGACCATCGTACGTTGCTTTGAGCCGTTTTCGCGAGTCTAGGGATGACTTAATGTCGCATTAGATTAACGGCGACAAGCCCGTCATTATCGACTTCTGGGCTACTTGGTGTGGACCCTGCCGAATCATCTCTCCCATCTTCGAGAAGTTCTCGGACACCACCGACAAAGTCGGCTTCTACAAGGTCGACGTCGACGCCCAACAAGAAATTTCGCAAGAAGTTGGCGTTCGAGCTGTAAGCCTATCCAAGTTGTTCCATGCATATTGGGTCTCATTTTTGTACAGATGCCCACGTTCACCGTCTTCCAGAATGGCAACAAAGTAGATGAGCTCGTCGGTGCTGTACCCGGGAAGCTCGAGGTACAATCAGTTGACTCCCGCTCCCCGACCCATTCGCTGACTTGCATTCCAGGAGCTCGTCAAGAAGTTCTCTGCTTAAATTAAAGCAAACGCGGAAGGACGTTCACAGTAGTATCAGGATTCCATTGTACCATAGGACAGTCCGACAGCTATGAATCATCAGCAGCACTCGGTCGGCTCAACAGCACTCCACAGTATGACTGTGCCAAGGGATTGCAGTTCATGCGAGCATCACAGCCCGGAAATACTCAAAGGGAAATTGCCGTCAGACTTCCGACGCCATTTTGGCATATCCTATCAGCCCTTTGTGGATCGACAGAGTTTAACTTCACGTTAATGATGGAGGCCATACGATGACGGGCCTGGTGGGAGGTAACGCTGAATACTGAGTTTATGGTCAATAGAGTGCCAATAACACCTGAGACGGATAAAGGCTGAATCGGGGAGCTGTCGACACCCTAGACAGACTACAAGCGCCCGTCCACCTGGTTGCGTCTTTCAGCAAAAGACCGAGAGTCCACATTGAAATCAATCCTCAGGCCTCATGCCGGCCAGCTATAAACTTGAGACAAAGAATGCATTATAGGCATAGTTAGTACAAAATAAAGTACAGATTGCAGTATACTGGATTATCCTAAGGAATTCGAGCCTTTGGAAACACTGCTAAAACAAGGGTAGGGACAGATGTTGAGATCTGAGTCTCTGAAATAAATACTTAGGGATACATAGGGAGCAAGTTCGAATTAATCAAGGAGCGATGAGAGATTGGTCGATTAGGGAGTAGGGGTGGGGACAATGCGGATGCTCGTGGCCGAGGGAGGAAGAGCAGAGAAAGCAGGGCACAGGGCATCCCACGAGGCTGGGTGGAATGGTCAGCATTCATTCGGTACGGTGTCATTCGCAACTTACGAGGAGGGGGGTTGCTGCTGGCGATCTCGTCGGGGGCTTCCATGAAGACAGCAGCCAAACCGCTGTAATAATCCAGGTTAGCAATGGTTGCAATGTCCCAGGAATTGGCACTTACGTGACAAGGTGGAACTCGATGTGGCTGAGAGGAGAACCAGTGAGGAGCAGTCTTTAGCGTTTTGTGATATAAAACTCACCAATGGAAGAACCACGGTCCTGGGTTATCAGCAACGAATCGGATAATAGTGTCTCCCTGTCCAGCTTCAGTACCAACAGCGACCACGTCACGGCGGACTGGGTCGACGAAGTTGGGAGAACCACCGGCGCTCTTGATAACGCTGAAGGCGTGCTAAAGACCCAGGATTCCAGAGTCAGATTCGTTTCACCTGAATCAAATGGGAAGAAAACATACACCGTGGAGATGGAAAGGATGCTACAACAGGGACAGAGTCAGTCGATAAATCAAGAGCAAATTGGCTTGGGAAACTTACAGGTCCAGCGATACCGAAGGGTGGGATGACAACTTCCACAACTTGGCCGCGAGTAATAGTATGGAGGGACTCAGCGGGAACGAGATCCTCGGCAGGAACGCCATTCATGATCTGGACCATGACAGGAGTGTCAGGGTGGACCCAGCTCTCGCCAGGGTTCATGGAGAATGTGCCAGTTGCGAAGTTGAGGCCGAGGTTGAAGGTGAAGGTAATATCAGCAGGACCATCGCCTCCTGGGACACCGGAAGTCAATGCGCGGAGGTTCGACTCTTGCAAGGCGGGTCGGTTGGTAAGCCTTGGTGTATCGGGCTCGACCTCGTCGGCGGTGGCATAGCGCAGGATGGCGGAGTTGACACCACCTCCGCTGGTTCCAACCAGTCCAGTGTCACCGATGTTGGGCTCAGCACGGATCCAGTAGTTGCCGATAGCCTGGTCAGCGTTCACGACGACAGAGTACCTTTGTCCTGTAATTTGCCGTTTGTCGGGCCTTTCCCAACTACGGAGTAATGGGTATCACTTACCAGCGAAGACTCTGATACTCTCGACCTCGAGGGGCTTGGTGTTTTGCCCGTCAGCTTCAATGATGGTCATGGTGTGGTTATCAATCGAGAACGTGTAGTCGGGGTCACAGGAGAGGGAAACGATGCGGAATCGGTACCTCGAGTCCTTCTCGACGTTCACGACGGCGATGTCGCCTTCGGTGTTGCCAGGTCGTCGGCCCTTTCCATTAATGAGGGTCGCCTGAGAGACAGCAGGGCCTTGGATAGAAGGCGCTTGGAGATGGTACCAATCGGCCAAGGTGATAATAGTATTCTCGTCGTCGACTGAGATGATGTGTTAGCTTAGGGTTATGTTATATTACAGAAACATACCATCGTAGAGATCCTGATGAGGATCTTCGGGATCGTAGATGACCAAAGGACCACGGAGGCCATCGCAGTATTGAGTACCTTATTACGGGAGTCAGATGCGAAATCGCCACGAGAACGTAAAAGGGACAGACCGTAATGAGAATGGTACCAGAATGTGCCTGCCTCTTGTCCTGCATTGAATGCATATTCGAACTCTTGGCCTGATTGGGGAATGGGACACTGAGTAACACCATCCGGGCCATCAGCCCAAGCAGACTGGTGCTGGAAGACACCGTGCCAGTGCTAGAACGAGCGTCTTTAAATCCCGATATTTCCGGTGTTGTGTTTAGTGAAAAAACTCACAACACTGGTTTGACGAAGCATAGTGTCATCGTCCAAATTGTTCACGACGTTAATTCGAAAGTCGTCGCCCTTGTTGGCCCTAACGAGGGGAGAAGGGAATTCGCCATTGACCGCGATGACACTATGGAACGGCGATTAGTATATGCCTATGACTCCAAAGCCTCTGGAATGGCTTACGGTCTGGTGAAGCCATCTGGGCCAGCATTAATATTAGAGATGGTCATAGTATCTTGGTTGCCAATGATGCTCTGCGCAAAGGCAGAGCGAGAGGCGATGGCGACTGCCAAAGTCGCCAATGCTTTCCAAGCAAACGACATGGTGTCGAATAGATAAAGACGCTTGAGGGAATTAAATACGAGGAGTCGAAGGAGAGAGGAGAAAGGAATGAGAGGGAATGGAGAGGTGTCGATTCCAGCTCATATCCTGCACCCTTTTAAACCTTTCCAATCCCTTGTATATCGGGAGTAGAGAACCAAAAGGACATGCAGTACGTACGCCCAAGGTGCCCAAGTCATAGCAAAACCAGAACGACCGGACGTACTCTGGCCACTTTCGACCGATCCGACTATTGTTGGTAGGCGGCAGGCGCATGGCACCCCGCCAGTTAACGTTGACCCACAGCCATAGGTCGTCCCATAACGTTTCAGCAAGTCAGAGGTACCTAAACGCTTACAGCATCGTGAGCCCTTTCTGCTGTGACCAGCGCTCTGATACAAACCTCCTACTTACGTTGACGCTGCGCAGACCGACTGATCAGAAATAAATCTTTATCATCCTAGGAGAACAAAAAGGTCGGTCAGCTCATAACTTTCATCGAATTCACTGATAGAATTCATAGCCTCTCATGCCTGATTTACTTGCGCACCACCAAATAAGCGCTGCTCCATCGCCACAGTTTATCTGCCTACCAGCGACTTGAGCGGGGAATGTAAGAGTCTGGTAAGCCTGTGCACATCCGGGGTTGCGAAATGATGTGTGTCCGCTTGGTTTTGATGCGGCGCGTAATTAGGTGGTCATCGAAACGGTTGTGCTCATCCCATTGTTCCTGACCACGCGTGCCGACCGATGGCTAACAGCAATTATGGCCAGGAGTACCCGCAAAACCTTGGGAATGCTGGAGGTATCAAGGATCTGTGGAGCAGGAACTGGTTTTGCGGACAAGGGACCTCAGGCAGCTCCGTTTTCGTGCCGGAGTCAGAGCGCCCGCGTACGTGTCGCAGAGAGATCGTTATCAAATTCAGCTCGAGCTGGCTGCAACCTGTGTCCTGGAGTCGCGTCTGTCTAAATTTACGAATGATGTCCATGTCCTGTGCACTGGCTAGATTTGAGTGTAAGGCGCAACGGATGGATCGTAACCAGCAACGCACTGACCGCGGGGGTATACTTGTCAACATCTAAGCGCCTGCCTATCATTATGGTATCCGAGCCGACGAAGTGAGGTCATTGACCCGTTGAGGCCGATGGCAAAACCGGCGTTCAATGGCTTGGGAAACCATGGTGAGTGACCTTCACCCCCCCCCCCCCCCCCCCCACCACGACATGCCGAAGTTGCCTGTTTCATGCCGTCACAGAGTTTAAAGTGCTTAGCAATGAGATACCGCCCTTCATCCCAGAGCTGGCTTTTGACTCGAAACGCCTGAACACTATCGGAGAGCTCAGTCAGTTGCAATCCGCGGTAAGCGTTTCATAGAATGTGGGCAAATTCACACCTCCGACGGGGACTTTGTAAGAACATGCAACTCCGGAACGAAGCAATAGAGAAGAACTTGATGAAATGGACGTATACTTGTACCTATTACCACACTGACCCGAAAATTTACCGCTTGCGCTAACCAAAGTTAGTTGCCTACTCACGACGACAACGCTGAACACACCAAATGGAGCGCCGGGTTTAGCGCCGAAACACTGATCCGATTGCCTAGCACTTGTAGAGCGCTGTATTCCATGACGGAATGTGACTCTCTGAAAGGGTGGTTAGAAATGAATCGTCTTCAGGAACAGAAGACCGGTCGGGGTAAACAGGAAAACAAGGCAAAAAATTCACATATCCACCAAATAATTTGCGACAGATTAGAAATCCCTCGTAGATAAACCATGAAAGAGTCATAATCATCATCACCTAACCCACCCGATCTTGAAAAGTCTATACGAATGCTCGTCCACCCGCCCAACATTGCCTGCTACCCTTGCAACAGCCTCTCTCTCCAAGATCCCCAATCTCCATCCGCCATCCTCCGAGCGAAGACTGGGTTCTTGATGATCTCCGAAGAGGTCGTCAACAGTCTTGTCTAGCCCTTCGTGTCTCCCGGTGGGCCTGACGGCGATGAACATCCAAAACACTCCTCCGTCTAGCTCCCCGGACCTAGGCAGAGCCAGAAGCCCCTCCACGCAATTCTTTATCCACTTGGCGTGTTCGGGGTGATACACGACATCCGCAGCGAGGATGAGGTCGAACCTCTCGTCAAACGGAGGCGAATAGTCCGGATTCTCCCAGTCCAACGCCCGCACTTGGACGGGCGCCTTCCCCGCCTGCACCTCGTCCAACCCGCACTTGAAGTTGGTGGCGATGTTCTTCTCCAGGTTCTCGAGTACCTCGGGGTGATAATCAGTGGCGATGATCTCTGGAGCCGGCTGGGACCCTCCGAGCAACTTTGCTGCAACAATACTGAGGATACCCGTCCCCGCTCCCAGCTCCAAAATCCGCATCGGTTTGCTAGAGGTATCAGCCCGAGAAGGGCTGGAGAGGTAGGTCGAGGGCGATGCGCACATGCGCTCACTGAAGATAATGGCACTGCCCCAAGTTTGAAGACCAACAGAGGTATGATCGTCATCCTTCATGGAGTCGTTGAGCTGCACTGTGAGCGTTTCACCCTCTTCCGAAGGTGCCCTCTCGAATTTGAGAATGCGGGTAAAGTGCTCTTCCTCTTCTTCGCCTTCCTCGACAGTCGTAAACGCCGAGAGGAGGTCCAGAGCTTCCTCGACAAGCTCACCCCTCAGCTTCCATTCCTCCCCTTCCTCGACCTCTCCGGCCCACTCTTCAGCCCGAGATATAAATCCCGTAAGCCACCGGATCGCAAACCCGTTCTCGAACGGGTCCGCTCTGAGCACCTCCACAGTCTTGCATTCCGCTTCCAAATCCTCCACCACACAGAGAAGATCGCAACACCGAGGCGCGCTCTTCACCACACCCTTCCTGTTCCTGGCTTTGGGGGCTCCGTTTTCATCGTCTATTTCTTCAGCGGAAGCGTAACCCGAATCAATGATCGGTGTGTTGCAGCCCAAAGGGGTTCCGAACTTGCTATGTCGTGATGCGACTGTGGGAGGATTGGAGGTCGAGGTCGTGACTTTGGAAGTGGAACGTGGAAAGTAAAGGGAGCGAAGATTGTCGAGACCCGAGCGGACCTGGTTGCCCGTGTAGGAGTGCAAGCGCCCGAGAGGTGGCAGCGAACTCGTTGGCGCCCGAGGTGCAGGTGACATGGTGAACTTCGTCGGATGGAATGAGCGACAGAGAAAAATTGGAGAAACGGGGCGGCCCTTGAAAAATGAATGTTTCGAAGGATTGGCGTGGTTTTGTGTGCTGGGAGAGGAGTATATTGCCGATGGCGTCTATAGGGGTGTCAAATATCAGTTTGAAAGCAAAGGGTGCGGGTTATTGGTGCAACACAGGCATCGCGCTGGCAGACGGAGGACAAGCGAGCGAAGAAAAATGGGCACGAGTCAAGGTCTGGATGCAACCACCGATAGGACCCCTTGTCCCGGTTCCCGAAATAGATCAAAAAAGGATCATCAAATTCTAAAAAAAATTGCGCACGTGCCCCGCATCCATCCCGGGACTCCCGGATGCTAACACGGTCAAACAACGTCCTCCTTGTACCATGTCCTCATCGTCGAAGATCACGATCAGCTACGAACTCAACCCACCATCCGAAATCCAAGGGGAGGGCCTCGCCAAAAGCAAAACCCAGAGCTTTGAAGTCGGAGCGAATCCGGAAGGAGACCAAAAGGCGTATTATGCCGCACTCCAAGCTGCAGTCGTCAAGGCGAAGAACGCGATTGGCGATGACCTGACCGCTTGGCGGGACCAAGTGGGCAAAGCAGAACTGAACAAGGAGCCAAAACCACGAAACGAAGAATCTGACGAAGAAGAGGAGGAAGAAGATGCCGAGGATGCATAAACAGCTGGTACGCGTCAATAGCAATCAGTGGTGATAGCAGATTAGTATTAAAGTACTCAATATCAGACAAATAATCGTGAACCCGTCTAGCTAGCCCTCTTCTCCTTGCCACGAGGTCGCTCGCGAACAACCATCTTGTTGCTGTTCTTGGGACCCTTGGGACCTGGCTTCCTCGTACGCGTACCCTTTGTACCCCAGCCCCAAATAGAGACAGGATGCTTGTTGGACTTGGATTTACCTCGTCCACCACCATGAGGATGGTCACAGCTGAAGAGGAACCGATATGAGTGAGTATAAACCAGGGAAAAGCAACGACTTACGAGTTCATGGCTACACCACGCACTGCGGGACGACGGCCGAGCCATCGAGCACGACCAGCCTTACCGAGCGAACGGTTCTTCCACAGCGGGTTGCTGATCTTGCCAATGGTGGCGCAGCAGTCACGGAGGACCTTGCGAACTTCTCCACTCTGGAGACGAACTTGGACGTAACGTCCGTTCTCTTCATGGGCGACGACTTGGCCAAAGGTTCCGGCTGACCGAACGAGAAGGGCGGGTCCCTTGGGCTTGAGGGAGATGCAGTTGATGACGGTGCCGGGAGGAATGAGGTGGAGTGGCAGAACATTGCCTGGCTTGAGCGTCATTGAACGCAAAATACCGAGGGCAAGGGATTGCGAGGCGGATTCTGAAGAGTCGCCCTCTTCCTTGGGAACCTCGAATCCCGGAATGAAGTCGTCAGGAATGCCCTGTCGGAAACTCTGGACTTGGTCTCCAGCCCTCATGCCGTCCGTAGCAATAATATAGCTCCATTTCTGCGTTCCGGTAGCGTTCGGGTCGCGGTTCTTGAGGAGCGCAATGTGAGCTGACCGTCCGGGGTCGTATTCGATGCGGACGACGTCGTGAACACCAGGCGTCTTGCGCATAAAGTCGATAGTTCGTATACGCTGCTTGTGTCCACCTCCACGGTGTCGAACGGTGATGTGTCCGTCCGAGTTGCGTCCACCTTTCCTTCTGCGGGCAATGGTCAGGAAGCGAACCGGCCGTCCCTTGTACAAATGTGTGTTCAGCGGTCGCTTCAAGTGTCGTCGGCCGGGGGTGATGGGTTTGTAGGTTTTGAAGATGTTTTGTGTTCTAGAGAGGGCAGCTTCGACCTCGGTGTCGACCTTTTGGTTCTTCCAAATCTCGGTCGCGTATGTTCTGGCGAGCGTCACGGGTGCTGGTGCTGGCGTCCCGAGGACATTGTGACGGAGGCTGGTGGATGCGATGGGCAGCGCTGACCTGGACAACGAGGACAGCGACGCCGCCTTGAGCAGACTGCTGCTGCCTCTGCGGACTGCAGACAGCATGGCGCGGGACTTTGGAGGATGACCGACCGGGTTTGCGTTGGCAGAAAAAGGCACACAACCGCCGGCGAGCGGGAAACGAAATTTTGTTTGGTCCAACACGCTCCGAGCCAAACACAGACGCGTCCGGCGAGTCGATCACCCTTCAACTGTCTACATATCACCAACCATGGTAAGTTGTCTACAATCCATACCATTCGCTGTATTAAATATGGCAGGCAATGCAAATTACAACAGGGACCTCAGAGCTGAGGGATATCACCAAAATGGAGCGAATTGGTGCGAGTCTCGGCAGATATCCAGAATCAAGAGTCTGACCCGTTCCACAGGCGCTCATTCGCATATCCGGGGTCTTGGGCTGGACGACAGATTAGAACCCAGAGAGAATTCTCAAGGCCTTGTTGGACAAGCCAAGGCTCGTAAGGCAGCTGGAATGATTCTCAAGATGGTTCAAGAAGGACGAATTGCTGGTCGAGCCATGCTGTTTGCTGGGCCTCCGTCCACAGGAAAAACCGCCATTGCTATGGGTGCGTTCTAGAATGGTGTATGTGTAACTCTCACTCTGATAACTTTCTCGTCAGGCATGGCCCAGTCCCTTGGTTCAGACGTACCTTTCACCTCGATCACCGCGAGCGAAGTCTTCTCGCTCTCAATGTCTAAAACTGAGGCCCTCACGCAAGCTTTCCGACGAAGTATTGGCGTCCGTATCAAGGAAGAGTCGGAAATTATCGAAGGAGAGGTTGTCGAGATTCAAATTGACCGAAGTCTAACTGGGGTGTGTGTCCCTCCCATAATGCACAAGCTGCACTGCTCACCGAGCATATTACAGGCTACCAAAACCGGAAAACTCACAATCAAAACCACCGACATGGAAACCATCTACGACCTTGGGACCAAGATGATCGACGCGCTTACGAAGGAAAAGGTGCTCGCAGGAGACGTGATCGTCATCGACAAAACCTCTGGCAAGATCACAAAACTCGGACGCTCATTCGCTCGTTCGAGAGACTACGACGCTATGGGTGCAGACGTGCGTTTGATTCCCACTCTCCTTCCTATATCACTCAATTGATGATTGGAACAGACAAAATTCGTCCAATGCCCTGAAGGCGAGATCCAAAAACGGAGAGAAGTCGTGCACACCGTGTCCCTGCATGAAATCGACGTGATTAACAGCCGGACACAAGGCTTCCTCGCGCTCTTCGCAGGTGACACGGGTGAAATCAAACCTGAACTGCGAAACCAGATTGATACCAAGGTTGCTGAGTGGAGGGAGGAGGGTAAAGCTGAGATTGTCCCTGGTGTACGTTTCGCTTGTTACTTTTACATTTATCTGTGTTTGACGCGTTCGAGTAGGTTTTGTTCATTGATGAAGTCCACATGCTCGACATCGAATGCTTCTCGTTCCTTAACCGAGCACTGGAAGGCGCGCTTGCTCCTCTGGTGATTATGGCCTCTAACAGAGGCATGGCACGTATCCGTGGAACCAAGTTCCGCAGCCCACACGGCTTACCCATCGATCTCCTCGATCGTGTCCTCATCGTCAGCACAAAACCATACTCCGAGAGCGAAATCCGTCAGATCATCCAAATTCGGTGTGTTTCTCCCGTTCTTTTATCCTATCCGTACATCCGTGCTCACTATACATAACTCCCGCTAGGTGCCAAGAGGAGGATGTGACCCTCACCCCCGACGCAATAAACGTCCTAACCTCCATGACTGCCCAAACCACCCTCCGCTACTCCCTCAACCTCATCTCCTGCGCCCAAGTGGTTGCACGTAAACGGAAATCCGAGGAAGTGGATGTGGTGGATTTGAGGAGGGCGTATATGTATTTTATGGATGAGAAGAGGAGCGTGGAGTGGCTGAAGTTTACCCAGGGATCGTTAATTTTCGAGGAGATTGAGGGTACGAAGGATGATATTATGGATACCAAGTAGGGAGCGGGGGGTGTTTGGTATTCGAGGGGAGAGATAGAGGTAGATGGTGCGCTTTCGGCTGTTTCTTGTACTCATGGTCTATTTGTTGTAATCTCACATTAGCTTTGTATTCACGACATTTGCATTTCGACTTTGTAACCTCTCTCGACTCTCAATCAGCCGACCAAATTGAAGACGGCTGGCCCGGCGTTTCCACTATCGCATTTACAACTTGGCGTGGAACTTGTCGAGGGGAGGCCTACCCATGACCTTCTACAGGAAGACGCACTGCATTAGTTTCTGTTATCTCTTCCAATATGAGAACCAAGGCTTACCTCGGGTTGAGGCTTGTTCCCCAAAATCTTCTCGATCTTCTCCATAATCTCGGGCGTCAACTTGGGGTAAACCTTGAGTGCTTCGAGGTTATCCAACACTTGCTGAGGGCTCGAGGCACCAAGGATGACAGTGGCGGTGTTGGGGTTGCGGGCGACCCAGGCGAGAGCCAGTGCAGTTGGTGTCGTGTTCAGTTCTAATAACACCAGGCCCCTGTCAGACCGGGAATCAAGAAGACAGGAAGACAATGTAGGTGTACGCACCCTCTTTAGCGAGTTTAGTCAACTCGCGGACTTTGCGAATCTTTTCTTGCCCTTGGGGAGTTTGCAATTCTTTGACGGTCTTGCTCAGGAATCCGTGTGTGGCGAAACGCGAGTTTTCGGGGATGCCTTCGTTGTACTGACGTTCGCGATCAGACTAGGGAGTAAGGAGAGGCGGAGGATAGCTTGAGAGACACACCTTCCCGGTGAGCAGCCCTTGGGCCAGGGCGGAGAAGACGGTCGTTCCGGTACCGTAGTTCCTGTAGATAGGACTATCCAAACGAGCAGGTGTCAGCGTTTTAGGAAAGGATGCCGGAGGACAGACAGGATACCCACTCGTATTCCTTCTCAGGTCGTTCACGGTGGAACATGTTATGCTGACATTGCTCAGCGATAGGACCAATCAAGCCCAACTTGGTCGCAACATCTGGTGTACACCGTTATCCACGTTAGTTTTCGAATTTGGAGGATTACAGGAGAAGTTGGGGACGTACGATGAGCCTCTTCGATGTCCCTCGCGCTCCACTCGGAAGTACCCCAGTAGAAAGCCCAACCTTTCTCGATGACGTAGTTGAAGCCTCGGACGATTTCTTCCATGGGGACTGTGAGGTAGTTCGTTAAGTTGGTCCTGAGCACCTAGGATGGACGATTCACGAACCGGTGGGATCGGGTCTGTGAGCAAAGATGATATCGACGTAGTCCATTTGCAGACGTGCGAGACATTCTTTGGTTCCTTCGATGATGCTGAGGGTAGGATGGGTGGGTTAGAGCGCCGAGTCGAGGGGTACTATGGGCGTCTAGGGAGTGCTAATACTGACTGTTTGCGAGAGAGACCGCTGTCGTTAGGTCCTTGGCGCGGTCCCCAGAAGATCTTGGTGCTGATGATAAGGTCTGTTCGACGGAGTCCTAGCTCTTTAATGACGCGCCCCCTGTTAATTTTGAGTGATAGAATGAGAAGGGCGCTCAACAGGACGAGTGGAGGGACGTACATCTCTTCTTCGGACTTTCCACCCGCGTATACCTCAGCCGTGTCGAACATGTTGATACCATTCTCGAATGCGACTTTGAAGATTTCCTGGTGAGGTTGCTCGTTAGTTCTCCGAACCACGAACCTCCGGGAGGTACATATAGTTAGGGGCGCTTCAGAGCTCCCACTCACCTTGACGGGATCTCCAACGACAGTGCCTCCAATAGTCAGCCCTGTAAACGCGTCACTAGGTCAGTACCCCGAGCCTACCGAGCGCGAGTGAAGTAGAAGTAACTTACACCCTCCCAAAGAGAACAGAGGCACCCGGAGTCCACTGGGTCCCAGTCGACGGAAGGGCATGCCCTTGGCTTTGTACTCCCTCAGAACAGTGTTGGAAGACATTTTCTTTCGGTGCTTAGGTTTGAAGTCGAAAGGATCGAGTAACGGCGGTAACGAGACTAGGACGAGATGCTAGTTCGAGCTAAACCCCGTTCCAGAGTTCAAGTTCATGTTGATCGACCCCAGATTCTCGGCAATGAGTGGGAACCGAGCCGGTTGCAGTGATGGTGCGGGGTAGACGGTGACCGCTTGAAGGTCAGACGCCCTTTCTTGGCTTCAGGACTCGAAGAATGAGCACCCTCGTCGCGGTTATACGTCAGTGCTCGTGTTCGCGATCGCCAGTATTGCCAGGCCGTCGTCATTGTCGAGGAGCGCGTTCAATCAGGTCCCGACGCGTCGGCCTGATGAGCTTCTGCCAAAACAGTGTCAAACACCTTCTTGTCCTCCAACCACGACAACGACGATGGCCGTTTACAGTGTACACCTACGAAATCTAGAGGTCAAAAATGTTTCCAGGTGATAAAGGAGGACGACGTTTCATAATAATACCTATTATATTCAGAGTCTAGGGAGGTAAGTACATTCCAAGCATCCTGGGGAAAGCGTCCTGGAAACTGAACGCGCATTTTGCAGCGCCAACTCTCCATGCCTGCGCAAAACCAAACGGCCGAAAAGCCTCAAAATACATGCGGAGCTCAGCACGATGGGCGATATGAGTCTATGAAACCACATTCCTTGTCTCTTCTCCGCCGGACGAATATGTAGCAAGTTTTCCGATTCGCATCGGCAGACCTCGATGGCGCTCTTGGATTTTCTATCCAGAAAGAAGGGCCATGATGGAATGGTGGGACGAATTCTTCTGGTTCCTTTATCTTTTACTTACCGAGAGCTCAAGGATGCAGAGCTGGTGCCGTAACGCGCCATCGTTCAATTGCAATTAGGAAACCAAACTGTAAGTCATAAAGCCCGTCGACTTTTCATGTATTTTCTATTCGCTCATAAATGCAACCCCAACTCTGACTTTATCTTTCCAATGCTGTATAGTGAACCCCTCGGTCGATCGGGACGAACGTCCAAGACGAAGGCTGACGACATCGTAGAAACCAATGCTTTCAGGTCTGGCTCCCGCCCACCGCCACCGTCAGAAACCATCGCTCACTCTCTGGTGGCACCGCAGAACCTTGCGCACCCGTGTCGATGATCTCACTTCCTTTGTCTCCCCCTTTCAGTTTTCCCCATTGGACCTGTCTTCCTCTTTTCATGTTCTCGCGGCGGACAGGGACCAGGAAGCGGATACAGTTCCTATTCATCTCTGCTCTATTTTGCCTCCGCCATCCACGCAACAGGCCGGTTTATATTGACCAATCCCATTCCAGTGAGTATCACCTACACGTCTGCCCACGCGCCATCCCTTTCTCCATTATCTCCCTTCTCTTTCTCACTTGGAGCTTTACTGTCAGGGTTCCTGGGTCTCGACTGTCACTACCATCCCTGAAGTGGACACAGTTACACAAGACAGTGGCGACTTGTCCAGCTGCTTGTGCTTCTCATCCAGGTTGTTGTCATCCAAAATGACATAGCTAGCCGATCGGAGAGGCACCCTTGATTCTCATCTTCACCCTGAACCATGGGCGTTGGAGCTGTGAAAGGAATCTGTATACAAATGAGGTGAGCCAGGCTATGGAGTGAACTGGCTTGATCATTCGCTGACTTCCTTTGCTTGAATAGATGCCCGTTTCCAGAACTGTCACACTCTTGAACGTAAGTCTTGCCCATGTCCCGATGGTATCCGTTATCTCACTGGGCCGTGTCTTTCTAGGAGCTTGATTAAATGAGGTCTCGTTACACTGATCGGTGAACTTGGGGAAAGGTTATTGTATGCGCCCCAGACTCCAGGTAGTTGTATTCTGTCGCGTACCTCAGCGTTGTTGATCACCCTCTTTCTGCCAGGCCGCCGCTTGACCTTCAGAATCAAATGCTCGATTTCCTACACAGCCGCCAATGTCTGATGCCGATCGGCCACTCTCCGTCGACCAAGGCCTTTTACTGATTGTGGACCCGCGCAGTGTGGTTAACGCATTGTTCTCTTACCCCGACAGACTCTTCAGGCAATTGGTGGGGTCATGACTCCTTTCCATTGAATATCGTTCTGATTGTGTTACCATCGGAATTTTTGGTCTACAACCTAAGGCTCGCGGAGGTGCCGGTCCCGATCTCGGTGTCGTGCACACTGCGCAATGTCTTCACTTCTCCGCGAGTTTATCAACATTCCAAACTTACGCCCTCTCTGATTGCTCTCGGATCCATGTGGAGGCCAGAGTGCGCCGTGTTCCCAAACTTGGTGACGTTATAGGACTCTACGTACCATATGCACATGCACCCGCCCACTGTAACGAGGTGACCATACGGTCGTCGGGGGTCCGAGGCGGAGGTTTGTCCTGGAGACAATGGCTGGTTTCGATTGGTGCAGGCCCTCGAAGTTCGGAGACTGCACCAGAGGGCAGATGTTGCTGCTGCTCACCGGAAGTGCAAACCGGAAGATCACATTACGTCTCCTTCCCAAGGCAGCGTACGTTTTCTATCTGGCGCGTGTCTGCCTCCTGAATATCGCTGTCTCGGATCGGTTCCTCCTCAAAAATCCTAATTGAACGGAACAAGATCTCTCCAGATTCACATTGCGCTGCGACTGGGTTCGCCCTGGACCAATGGCGTCGAGCGACTTCATCTTTCCCTGCTTCTTCACCGTTTCCAGGGCTTTTTTTATCTTTTTCGTTTCATTTCGATCGACACTTTGAATTGTCGTGATTAACTTGAGGGCTGTTTTCGAACTTGCGAAGCGCGATGGAGCTCTGGTTCCGGCTTCGATGCGAGGGCTTTATGGGGATAGTTACCCCTATTGATGGCGGTTTGACGCGCCTGCCTGCAGAGATGCGCAGGGGAAGAAGCGTGGTTTGCGCTGGGATCTGGGGATGATCTAGGTGATGTCGCGTCTCTAATCCTCGTAGGTGTCGACTGTAGTAGATACGTGTGTAAATGAATAAAATATTTGCTGAATTGTGACCCGTGGCGACGCGACAAAACCCCAACGTCCTCGATGTGAAAAGCGCGCACAGAGAGGAAAAACAGGTTTTGGGGAACGGAATCCGCCTGGGCCGCGACAGGAGGAGCCGGTACCGTAGGGATCGTGTGCCTCATCGAAGTCGCTCTTGCTGCGATGCGACTGGCGATGATGGAATGATCCTTCTTTACTGAATTTTTTTACTTCATCACTTGACAGCGACTTGACCCAAAGTATTGCACATCATCTTCTCATAACGAGGAGCTGCGAAGAGCTTTGGAATATACGTTCACGTTAGGGCCCATACTACGCGTCGCCTTTCTCTGCTGCGTAGGGCTTGAGCCCAGTCATAACGCGACTGTACCAGAACATACGGGAGATCGTAGAAATCACGCGTGCTGGGTAAATAAATTTGGTAGGATTGACGTATTAGAGCCGAAAAGCGATGCTTCTGCGGTCCAAAACGTCGAGATCCTGATGAAAATGGTGAGAATCGAATTAATCGCTAGTTTTGGAAAGGAATTGTCTGAAAAGGGAACTGTGATGGCGGGGCATTATAAAAGTTGTTCAGCGCTGGTCGACGACTCTTTAACCTCTTCCACCACATTCATTCGTTTTCCATTTCCTCCATGATCCATTCTGCTGACCCTTCGCCCCAGTTCCTCCCCACAAAGTTCGCCCAGAACGCCCTTCAACAACGCCAACGACAGCCATCGGCGGGTCTCGCTGGCTCAATCTGGGCTCCAGTTCCCCAGCCGTCCGAGGCGACGTGGCCATCGACGCTCGATTCGTTCTCGCGCGTCGTCGACCGTGTCGACAACGAGTACGTTACCAGGACTGATCACGGATACCGACGCACAGCGACCGACATGCCTCTGATCAGCAGGGAGGACGTATTTGGCGTCCAGCAGCCTCCCGGGCCATTGGCACCATCTCGCCCACCCCGCGACGTCGGCGCCATTGGCGATGGCAGAAAAAGGGCTAGTCCCCAGTACACCGAGGATACGGTTCGTTTTTTTGCGCGCATATATGCAGGTTATCTGACTCTACACAGCACGTCGAACAACTGCTGCGCACTCTAAACCTAAACTCCCCCGCTCCTTTTGCTAGCGCTGCTCAAAAACCGTTGGTTAGCTTGGACACGACGCCCAACTCGCCCGACTTCTCGCCCGCCTCGGTCTCTTCAGCTCTGTTGACCCCCACTGACCTTTCGCCTGTTCGTCCATTTGACGCAAAGTTTCCTGGCACCACCGTCTACGAGGCCAACCCGCCTTTGCAGACTTATCACTCACACTCTTCTCTGCTGTTCGACAATGGCGTTTCCGAGAAAAACCATGACGGGTTGGTCAACGCGAACAACCTCGCTGGGTATCATCAGATTTTCCAGAACGCAGCCAACTCCAACTCGACGGCTTCCCTGGCCTATTTCGACAACTACACCGCTTCATCTGCCGCTGCTTTACCTCATTCCCTTTATTCCACTCCTGCCCCTCGTCATATGGACCTTGGAAGGGCCGCTGCTCTTGAATGGCGCTTGGCGAGTCAAATGCAAATGCCCCAGCGACCCCAGTCCAACGGGGCCGGTCTGATCCCCGATTGGAGGGCTCTCGCGGGAAAAGGTTCGCCTGACCATCACCTTGCTACTCAAGATAGCCTTCGCTCTTCCATCAACCTCAATGTCCAAACCACTCCCCAGCAGAATGAGGTATGCGGAGTCCACGACCTATTGTCTTCATCCTTGTACTGAAGTCGCCTTTACGTTTAGCCCATTAATTTCCTGTCGTTGCTCCATCCTTCTTCCAACCCCAACTACCCGCACTTTGTCAATCGCATTATCAAGAACTCGGACCAACAAGCCTCCATCTTCCTCCAGCAAAAGCTCAAGGTTGCCGATGTTGATGAGCGTGCCAAGATTGTCGACGCTATCTGTGCTCGAGGCTTCGAAATGATGGCTCATCGGTAAGTCTGTTTGACATAAGTCCCTCCAAGCCTCTGATGCTAACTTTGTTTTCTTAGCTTTGGTAACTGGGCTGTTCAGCGATGCTTGGAGGCTGCTGCCACTGCGGAGGAGCGCAGGAAGATTGTCTCTTGTATGCGGTATGTGCTGTTCGATTCACCTTTCGGCGACTCGACTTAGTTCACTGTACCAGGGGACGCATCGTCGAGCTTGCTACCAACTGCTATGGTTGCCACGTCCTTCAGAAGGCTTTGGACTGCGAAGAGGACATTCGATTGCTCATCGTCTCGGAACTCCTCCTCGGCGACCCTGCTCAAACTTTGATCAATAAGCATGCCTCCCATGTATGGAGCAAGGTAAGCGATCCTCTTCCTCGAGTTCTCGGAGACAATGTCCTAACCCATCGCCAGATCATGGAACTTTCTTGGACTCCTCCTGCTCCTCCCATCTTTGCCTAGTATGTCTTCTTCCAGCCTTTAAGGACATTGTTTACTCATCGTTGCTCCCCAGCGTCAACAAGTCCCTTAAAGGCAAATGGGCTTCTCTCGCTTGTCATGAGACTGGCTCTTTAGTCGTTCAAGTGAGTTATGCTCTACCTCATTCTCTGACTACTCTGACCCTGGTTTCATTTAGCACGCCTTCGAGAACTTGGAAGCAGAGGCCAAGGACGGTATCGTCGAGGAGCTTCTTAATCAGGGCGCTGCTGTCTTCAAGGAGGTTGCTAAGAATCAGTGGGGCTCGTACTGCATTCAACACAGTAGGTCTTTGTGCATTCGCTGTGATGTTTTCTCTGACCTTTCTCTAGTCCTCGAACATGGCTCGGAAAAGCACAAGCGCATGACCCTTGACCATCTCCTCGAAGGCCTCCTCGAATTTGCCACCAACGAACAAGGTTCCAAATCTGTTACCAAGGCCCTCAAAGAAGGTGGGAAAGAAACTTTGGACCGGGTCGTCAAGCGCATGTGCGAGCCCGCAAAGGGGTAAGTGATTCGCACCTGTTAATCGTACCATACTGACATTGTTCCCATTTCAGTGCTCGAAGGGCCATGATCGTGGACCTCGCTCTCTCTGTCACTGGGAGCCAACTCATTGCGAGCGTCCTGCCCAACGTAAGTCTTCATTCACCCTCTCCACCCGCTTTGTCGCTCACCGGCCCATAGGTGGACAAGGACCAACGAGGCCTTCTTTATGACTGCATTCGCGGACATATCGTTACTTTGCGAGGATGCAAGACCGGCTCCAAAGTCATTTGGCTCTTGTACGTCCTCCCGTTATTACTCCCCTTCGTGGCACTGATTCGAGCTTCCATTCTGCCCAACCTCACAGTGATCGAATGGTGAGCTCTATGTCCCGACTTGACCTCATTCTCCGATACTAATATGTTGTTCCTCAGCGCGCATATTATGGTTACTAGCTTGGAAAATCGCTTTATTTCACGGGACCTACCTTCTTGGAATCTGTTCACCATCAACTGGTCGCTTGAAAAAACCTTCCTCTGCACTCTGACATCTGGCCTCTCAACGTAAAATCATATCGGAATATTCATCGCATCCAACTTCACCATCATAGCATCAACTCTCTCGTCTACATCACATGAAGTTTTAGAACCCATTTTTTCAACGCTACGTGTTCCATATCCTAATTACTTGTCTGCTTGTTGTACTACGTCCTTCCATTTCCTCACATTTCGCCCATTTTGATTCCCTCACTTTTTACCATTTGACCTTCATATCCTCCGTCCGCTATTCGTTATACCGTAGATTCGCCGACGACCCTTGTTCGCTTTGCCTTCGCTTTCGTTGTTAAACCTGTTTTGTTCTCAATCGCAGTGTATGTACATTACTATCTCACAGTCGTTTGTATACAGAATCCCTGGTTCTGAAAAGTATATGTTGTATGTTTACCGTAGTCTTGTTGTAACGTAGTACGGCCTTTCGAGTCGATTGGCCCTAGTTCTCTGTACTTTGTACCCCAAAAGGTTGTGTAACCAAAAAATTACTGTTACTATTATTATATGGCTGTCTTTGCTATGAATCGTCCTTTTGAGGTCTTGGATTGCATCCCTAGCCATCCTATTGTGTATAAGTATCTTCACTGCTAAACTTGCGCCTCACATTTCATAGGCGCGCGCTCGTCCTGGGCGCTAAAGCGGACGATAGCTCCGACGGGCCACATTGTTGGGATGCTCAGAAGAAGCTGCTGGATAGGGCTAAACAATCACGGCGAACTTGATTCCAATCAATATTGACCACCTTCGAACCGGGCTTCCCGACCCGAATTCCAATGGGAACCTGTGAAAGGGCTTTTTGCTGTGTTCACTCTATAGCCCCTCGAGATCCCCGTCGGAACGGTGTGGCCGTGCTGCAACCTGAAATTGTTTAGGAGCTCACTCCAGTGCTGTAACTTTTTGATGTCGAGGGTCCTTGGATCATTTCAATTTTCGTCGACGTCGAGAGGGAGATTGGGAGGCACGGCGAACTTAGAATAGTTGACGGACGCGGTGACAGGTATAATTGGTCATTCTTTGTGAGCTTTTACCTTGCCACATAACTCACGGTGATGGATGATTCTCTAGGGTTGCGATCGAGGTGGTAGGCTCGGACGAGACCGAGTCCGTCCTTGACAATCTAAGAGAGAAATGTTATTTCCGTCTTGTATATATAACCCTGAGTCTGAGCTTCTCGAGCTCCTCTTGAATCCAACTCAGGGCCCAACTAAGTTCTATACAGTGTGCACCCTGGGTTTGAGCTGGCAAACGCCGAAGGCTGCTCTCTCCGCCATGACGAGAGCTATTTGAATATTTTAAGCGAGCCTTGAGCCATCCTCTCGATGATGATCGCCGACCGACCTAATAGCGCCCGTTTCCCTTGTTTTGTTGTTTTGTGAAAGTTTGGGATGAAAGGGATGGGATGGTTCCAGTGGTCGGTGGCCAGCGGTGTCGTCACCTGTTGCAGAAAGAGAGACGAGAGCTCGAGAAAGTCGCGTAATAACGGGTATTCTTCGGTCCCTAACCGCCTCTCTCTGAACATGTACTCCTCTGGCCCGTCATCAACTGCGTACGTGAACCTCGCTATCAGTAGTAAAGATATCGTTCACTGGGACCGCGGTGAGCAGTGTGAATGTGGGTGGAACAATTTCGTCAGGCAGTCCCGTAAAGGCTTCTTATTCTAATTATTTCGTTATCCGAAATGGGATGTTTCTTTTCCCTCCGAGGCAGGTTCGGAGTGGGACTCGGAGTATATTTGTATGATAGATAGAAATAGAAGTGGGAGGGGATGACTGTGGTTATGACGGGTATGTGGGGGGCAAGTGTCGGAAGGAAAGAGGGAGACTCTGGCGGTGGAACTTGGATGCAAGTTGGAGTCTTGGGTTGGAAAGGTGTGCGTTGAGGATTGTCACTAGTCAGGGGGCACGGGCTGGACGGACGGGGGCTGGTCGTGAGCCTGTACCTCTGCGCGACGCCGTAGCCGAGATGACAGGCTTCATCTCTATGGAAGCTGCCGCCGCAGGCCGTGATAATGAACGGACCCAGACGGACCCCGTCGAGTTCACAGCAGCCTAAATCCGTCTGTTCCTGTACATGGAGAAAGACATTATCCCTAGTTCCCAATGTTGTCCGTGCACACATCTCACATCCCGATGGAACTCCAACAAAGCCACGATGCGAACTCCAAAGAGAAAGTTGAGGTTAAAATCGCAATAAGAGAATTGTCAAGCGTGCAACTCTCAAACGGGGAATGACGATCCCGTACAGAATCGAAGGCGTTCTGTATGTCGCTGTATCTTCTATACTTGGGTAGAATAGGGTTTGAGCAAAGTTGGAATTGGCCTGGAAAGGTGAAGAGAAGCGGTTCACCGTTCCCCTGATAGACTACATAAAACTGGAAAAACGCCGTTGCTTCCTTCTTTGAAGGTGCTCCAAGGGGGTAGCACTCCCAGTGGAAATTATGATGTCTATAAATGTGCGTATGCCTAACAATAGGGTAAAACCCTTCTTCCCTCACGAGTCAAAAACTGCAACTCCATGGAGGAACATTATTCAATGGAAGAGAATGATTCGCTCTAAACCCATAGGCGCCAAGGCTCGACAGTTTGAGCGTCAACTCCATCCCCGTCGGACCAATCCCAAATTTTCTACTTCGTCCACTGTAATTCCCAGCGGAGTTTGCTTACGTCCCTTCTGGCAAGTTGCCAATACCTGTCATGCATTAAGCTTTAAGTACTTACAAGTTACATCTACACCACAGCGCAGAGAGCCCGGGCTTGAAAAACACGACTGTAGGCAACGACTGGATGGAGTTGAAGAAGGGATTCAGGTGTTTCCGGTTTTCCGCAATCACCCATCATCATTCATCGGCATCATCATCGACAGCGGCCTCGGCGTCGACTTTGGGGCTCCTTGGAGTTTTTGGAGTCGAGAAGGATGGAAAATGTGATCGGCGATCAGGAGGGTGGATTTGAGGGATCCTCTCTAGGTGCTTTTGGGGTGTTGGAACTTGGCGCCGGCGGCTGGCGTTTTGGGCGCTTATATTTGCGTGAGCGAGTGAGGGTGATGTTTTTGGTAGTGAGCGCTGTGTTCGTTGTTGTTCTTCGTTGGGAAGAGTTAGCTGCACTTATAACTAGGATCATGCAGTATACAGGTATGTCTTCGAAGTTAGGTAAAATGAAGCCTCAGCACGGGGTGACGAAATTCCACTCAGAGCGGAAGTGAGGTGGCTGGTAAATTCGGGACTCGGGAGCGCGATGCGACTCCGAGTAGTTGCGGAGGAGCGGTTAAACCGCCGTTTGGCAGGACTTACATAGCATTAAGGCCAGTATCATATCAATCTGGATAGACCGTTAGACATTGGATCAAAGTATGTCTACTGCCATACTGTACATATCACATTGGAAGTTCAGAATCTACCGTAAGAGATGGAAGGCGATGGAAATTGGCCGGGTTGACAGAGGACGAGACAGGATATGGATTGTTATCAGTTGTTCGCGTTCTTCGTCGCCAAGTTCGCCGATCAGCTGCTGTACGTGCGGGAGATGCCAGGTGACAGGCCAGGAAAATTCCACTTTCGTTCCCGTTAGGTGAGGTGACTTGTTCCTCGTTCCTAGTAGAACACATTGGCAGGAAGATCTTTCGAACTGCGGCGGGATGTCAGCATAGAAGATGGAAGTATGTAGTACGTACTCGAGCCCAGTCTGGTGAGATAGATTCTTATCTGATAAGGAGCCTCCCAGCTGTGCTTCGATACGCTGCACGGCGAGATATAGTAATTGAGGGTGTACGTGAAGGGCGGTCAAGTTAGCAGTGCAGATCAGGGTAGTAGATTGAGAACATGCTCGAACGGGAATGAAGCGTTTTCCGGTGGCGTAGAAGTTGCTAGTGTGCCGTCGTCGCTGCCAGTGTCGCTGTCGTAAATCCTCGACGAGGGTTCAGTCACTCGAGGTAGCACTAGCCCTTCCAGCACCCAGTACTTGAACTCGTGGCAAAGTCGTGTTTCGGGATGCGCTGTGGTGGTAGTACGTGAGCGAAACTCTAGAGTGATCTGTCATTCCAAGGATCCCGAAGTGGTCATTATTCTCTCCTGAGCCTGAATATTGAATCCTGATCGTGAAGCGCAGCCTGAGGCAGCACCACCATAGCATAGCTAGTTATCCTAATCCTAAGATACTTTGTGAAATCAGATTCGAGATTCGGGAAGCCTCAAGTTTCAACGGAGTTTGGAGGTTACTTTAGACTTTGGCTTGAGTATGTTGTTATTCTTGGGGTTCTTCGATGTCCTATAGATACATACATACATTTAAGGACATGTTGAATCTAGATTCTAGACGGACATGGTGATCGATCTAGTTATACCTAGGGACTAGGCACTCACGTTTATTAATACTTTTTGGAAACGTTGGTACTAGTTTACTTGAGACGCGGGTTTACGAGAATAGCGGGAAGTGAGATGTCTGTGGTGGGACTTTTGACTGCGCGAATCGCGTTCCTCGCGTGAATCGAACCTCGAGTTGACTGAAGAGCGAAGTTCTCCACAGGTCGAGGAAGCAAAACTCGCGCGTGCGATCGAGCACTGACTCACAGTCTCATTGTCAATGTTCTCTCGTATCGAATTTCGGATAGAATTAGGGAGAAGGGTCAGGAGGCTGTTACTGAAGGATGAACGGGATTGGCTAGAGGCCTTTCCGAAATGCCTAATTATAACAAGTTAACCTTCTGAAGTGAAGTTACATAGAACTTCTTGGGAAGCAATCCGAGGTTCGTGTTGCGCACCAGGGGTGTGGGTTAGCTTTGTTTTGTGGGCGTAGGGGAATATTTAATTGATTCGATATGTCCTAGTCTCGATACATATAATACAAATGTCCCGAGGTAGGTAGTTATTCTAATCTTGAACAAAGACCCCGGAATTTCGTCCATTAGAAGCGCTTTGAGGGGGTGCACTTACGAACGTTCTTATTTTCCTCGAGGGAGTCTATAACTAGACTATGTAAGCACATAGTCAAACCTCGACTGATCACCAAAGCACAATCGATGAAGCTTGGGAGGCGTGGCACGAGGGCCTGCCATCTGGCATGTCGCGCAACTGTCGTGCTTGTGTCGTGCTGCTGCGCCTCAATGTGAACCTCCGATCTAATCTATTCAAGTTGTCGGGGCAGAGCTGAGTAAGTTACGAGTTTGGTTTAGCGTGTTTTTCGAAGGAGATAAGTATAAGTACTGTAGAGCGATTGTAGGCACTTATGTGTACGATCGAGGAGTCCGGATGCTATTTTGGATTAGTGTGAAGTGTGTTAGAATTTCCCTGGGTATATGAAGGGGTTTAGTGTGTGCTCCTGGTTTTTGGGCTTCTGGTCTACATAAGTTCTGTCTGGGAGGTGTGCGAAACGGAGTGATGCGAGGCGGGCTGCGGGTCGGATGGAAGAATACTACGGAATGTGTGTTTGATGTTGCAATAGTAAGGGCTGTAAGTGCTGGTTAAATCGATGGCAAATAGACTACTACTACTATTGAAATGCAAGTTCTATTTTAGGTTCTATAATCGAGTTGTAGCGACGGGATCGTACATGGTGCCTGTCGAACCTGAATGCGGCTATGTATGAACGTTCAAGTGAATCCAGAAACCCACGGACGATAAGCAAGGTCCATCATCGAGATCAAAACGCACTGCGTCATACCCTCGTTCCTCGAATTCGAAATCCAATACGCTCATCGTTCTAAAGTGTCGGTGCGCACCTTCCTTTCCTCACAGCATTGCGTATCGCCCACGCTCCCGAACAGGATATCGCACATCTCGGCCTTTTTTTGGGAGCAGGCAGGCAGGCAGTGGTGGACTGGCAAGGCGGTCAACTTCTTTGTCGCATGGAGAAATCAGCTGGGTGTTGATCGATCAGTCGACCCCCCTTACCCTCTCGATGAGGTAACAGTTTACTGATTGGGATTCATTTCCGTCCGGGCATTGCCTTGACCATCAACGCCGTCTTTTCGGCATCTCGCGGCCCGTCGGTGAGGTGATCGGAGGATCGGAGTTAGGCGTTGGAAGGACGACTTGGAACGGGGTGTGCGCAAGGTGTGCACTGTGCGTGTGTGTTGTGTGTGTGTATGGTGTGCACACTCTTTTTGAAATTCCCAACGTCGCAGTGAATGGAAAGAGAAGGGACGGGGAGTCGTAGTAAGCTGAGAAGAGGGAAGAATGGAGAGGAAAGAAGGGGCCCATCGAGGAAGCGTCGCGGAGAACGGAAGCGTGGGTGCAGGATCTGGGATATGAGCGAGTTCGCCGCTTTTGATTTGGTTCGCTGGTACTGTCATGGTTTCCTAGTTTGCTCACCGCTGTTCCCTTCTTTCTCTTTAACGGCATTCTGTTGTTGTGTTTGCCCCAAGTCAGCTGGGTCATGATTCATGAATCTCGAGTTGGACGTCGATCTTGACTTGGTGTGTATCATTTTTTTTTTATTATCCTCCGTTGTGGTTAGCGCTGGGCCTCCCTCTTCAAAGGGGGGATATAACGTATACGTTTGACGGCTCACAGAGCCGCTTATAAGCAGGGCTGGGTGGGCGTGCGGCGTTTTCGTGACGGTTGCCCCAAGGCCACGGCTTCGCAGATAACCAGCAGTTTCGCCGTTGTGTCATCGATTCCATCTCTCGCTTTTCTCTCTCTCTGTGTCTCTCGCAACGGGGGTTTTAGTGGGTGTGGTGCCCGTTAATTTCGAGAAGGGCGAGTTGGACGTACATAGGTCAAGACACCTGCGGAGGCCAGGGCCGACCTCGGAGAAGAGGATCAGGATATATATAACAACATCTGTCCAATTTCCTTCCCCACAGATACAAGCATGCCCTGTCATGGCCCCCTCTACCGCCTCCCTCTCCACCTCCTCGACCACATCGCCTTCTACCTCGTCGCTTCGCCGGATACCGACTCTGACTCCGACTTCCTCCCTCTCTGGCCGTCCCTCGCCCGTCTCCCGCCGTTGCTCCTCACTTCCAAAGTTATCTACTCGGCGCTCTCCCCCGGCCACGCTCTCTCCTTCCGAAACGGGCAGCGATACCCCCTGCGCACCGACCTCTACGCACGGCTATGCGACCTCTTTCTGGACACCGGGGCGGCGAAGCGGAGGTGGTGGCGGGGGATGGCAGGTGCAGACGGGGGTGGACCGACGAGTTCAGCGCTTACGGCCCATTTCATCAGAGTCGCGAAGACGGTTGGGTTCTATCGGCGGAGTATGCGCTCCCTCGATGCGACACCACCCGTGGTCGACTTTTATCCCGAGCATTCCCCACAGATAACAGAGCACCTTCTCACCACCTTCCTAATGCTCCTCGAAAACGACTCGAAGAATTCGAAGCAGCTCGATAGCGTCCAGGCTGGCCGGTTTGTCATGTATTTGACCTTGAAGAGGCTGGGGGAGGGGAGGGAGAGTAATGACGAGTGGTTGGTTGAGAACGTGCTCAACACGTTGTCGCTTTGGGTGTGGTGGTTGCTGACGACAAAGGAGGAATTGGAGCAGGAGACGCAGACCAGAAGGAGTTGGATCGTCAGTCTCATTCTTCCCTATGTTCTTTGTCCTTATCGCGTGAGTGTTATCCTTTCTTGCATACTCAAATGCTCATAAAGTCATAGTATGCTTCAGCATTGGCTCCCCCGACGCACTACACACTTCCCATCCCCGACACTGCTCGCAATCCCATCTTCCAAGCACCCGTATCTTCGCAGACAGCACACGGCCCGTTCCCGGTATACTACTCACACCCGTTCGTTGGCGCCAACATCGTCTCGACGCCGGCCCAGCAACAAGCTCAGCCTCAACCTCCACCCGCGCCACAAGAGCGACCAGAAGTCCCGGACATGGACGCAGACGCCATTCTTGCAGCCGCGCGTGCCGAGCAAGAAGAGCGCGAAGCGGCTAGGGCGGAAGAAGCGCCCGCTCCAGTCCAAGAAGCTCCCGCTGCTCCACAGCCAGAACCGAACGTTCCTAGTCCTATTCCACCTCCGTCTCGTCCTCCCCCGACGCAGTCCAACTCGCATGCCCATCCTGCGTTTGGCGTCAAGGCGTGGTGGTATAGTTCGAAAGGGCTGTACTATCGCTCTCTCCCTAGGACGTCGACGTCGATGATCCACTCTGAAGACCTCGACGACGATGATATGCTCGACGACCCGGCACTCTCGGCTTCGGCCTCGCTGTATACCGACTCGCCCTGGGCACCTCTAACGCTCACGCTCCCACCCGTGTCGATGGCCGCCAAACTCATGTTCGTCGCTCGCCGCGAGGTCATCCCTGTGCAGATTCCCCATGTCATTCCGGCTACGAGGGAGGCTGCGAGGAGGATGGTGATGGTTGATGATGCTGGTGTGGCCCAACGGATGTGGAGTGGGCCCACGCAAGAGGATATGAGAGAGGTTGCGGGCTTCAAGGCTGCCAGAGTTAGAGGTTTGGCTGCGTCCACTTCTCCGGCGACACCTGCTACCACATCGACCACGACGACGACCGCCACCACCACCACTCCTGCGACCCCGTCCTACACCCTCCCCGAGCCGACCTCTCGCAACTACGACACCGAGTTCTACAGGATGCTTCAATGCGGGAATATCCTCAACCCTTCTGGCATCGGACTCGTCTCGCCATTAAGTAGGAGCAACACACTGGACTTGAGGTTCGGGTTGGGCAAGGTATACGAGAGGGGGATGTTGAATGGTTTGTGGCAGGGTTTCATCTATGTAAGTTGCCCTATACCTCTTCGATTCCGCATATATGCTGACCGTTTACACCAGATTCCCAACGACGCCTCGCTTAGTTTCATCGCGCGCACCCGCACCTTCCCCAGCAACTTTTCAGAGCAGGCGTTGGGTATAATTTCGAGGCCACTGTTTATGCGTATCCAGGAGCATGGGTATATCGCTACACCCGGTCCACTGGATTGGCAGGAACAGGAGGAGGACGAGGTAGAGAGGAAGTTGGTTGGGTACGAGCACGAGGGGGAGAAGAAGAAGAGCTCGAAGGGCAAGAGACCAGAAGAACCTCGAGAGAAGCCGGTTATGAGGCGCGAGATGGATCGTGGCGGGGGCGAGGGAGGCCCCGTTCCCATTCCTCCGGCTTCGACTCTCACTCGGACGTTTAGGGAAGAAGTCCAAATTCAAGTCGAAGTTTCCGATCCAGAGGACCAAGTTGCTCCTGCGCCATCGACATCCACGAAATCAAAAGCCCGACAACCTCGACGCCGGGTGGAGACGAGGAAGGTTATGGTGCAGAGGGTGAAGGAGGCGTTCTTGGACGAGAACATGAATAATGCGTGGTTGCCTGGTGAAGTTGGGAGTTTGAGGTGGGAGAAGGGTGCGGTTGGTGAGGGAGTGGGGGATGGTGTCTGGCGGGATCCGTATACCGCCCCTACCTCTACGTCAACGTCTTCGTCAGCCACCACTGCTCCGACTTCGACGACATCGACGACAACGCCGACACTCCCGATGTCGACTACGACGTTCATCGTTCCGACTGTTACACCCGAGAGTGGAGTGGGGAGTATGCTCCCTGAAGGTGCCGCGCCTCGACCTGTGGAGACGAAAAGGTATACCTACGAGTTGTTTGAGAAGGGGAAGGAGAGTGTGCATGAACGGCTTGAGAAGGCGAGGGAGGATAGGAAGTACGTGAAAGGTGTTCGGTATCCTTCTTCGTCAACGTCGTCGTTCCCATCGTCATCATCGTCCTCGCACCCCGAAACCTACTTCTACCACCACCCCGGTTGTATGAAATGCCGCCGCCGCGAACGCGTGGTCGAGGCGATCAAGCGGCGTGAGGAGGAGAAGAGGGAGAAGGTTAGGGCGGAGAAGGCGAGGAGGAGGAAGGAGATGGATGAGGCTGCCGAGGCGTATTTTGCTTCGCTTGAGATGGGGTGTGAGTGGTTAGCTGGGAACCGGCCTGGTGCGAGTGGTGGGAGGGATGATGGTGGTGCGAGTGGAAGGGATGATGGTATGGATGGAGACGACGATGAGGAGGAGGAGGAATGGGCGAAGAGGGAGGTAGTGGATTTGAACTTTGGAGAGGAGGGTGTTGGGTTGATCGTCGGTCGTGAGGATGATGAGGAGGATTCGGACGAAGAGGAGGTCGAGTGTGATACCTGTTTCTCCACCGACGTTGAGGATAGCGAGTACGACGACGAGGCCTACTACTCCGACGACGACGACCTCGATAACGACGATCCCACCTCCACCCTCCCCACCCTCGAACGCTGCACCGACGGCATCGAAGACACGATCCTCACCGGCGGGATGGACGCTCGGCACGCCGAAGCCTGGGGCGCGTACGTCTACTACGGGCGTGTACGACCTTGGGACGGGTTAGTTGGGATCCTGCGAATCAGCGTTGAGCTCCCACCGGACGACGTGCCCGTTGACGGTGATACCCCGCGCACGCAGAATTCCAAGTTCTTCTTTTATGGGTATGTGCATGCTGGTCGGACGCTTGTGGGGAATTGGAGGGTTGCGGGTGTGGATGCTGTTGCGCCTACTTTGGAGAGTTGTTTTGTTGTTAGTAAGAGGGAGGAGTGAGTTGTGTGAGGACTGGCGGTGGTGGGGAATGGGGTGGATGTGGTTTGTGGTGGTGGATTCTTTCTTTTCTTTCACTTAGGTGTTGCGGTTGGTGCGCAGCGGCTGGGTTATTTATGTGTCTTATTTCGTTGTTTTCTCTCCTCACGCTACATCCATGCATGCGCCATCTCTCCATTTCAAGATTCGAAAATCGTCGCGAACTATCTATTTCTTTGCGGATTTCTTGGTTTCTTCATCGATTCATCGTTTCATCACGCATCAGCCCTATTCTCCCTCTCTTTCTCTCGTCCAAAAGATCTCTGCACTATGCCATCGTCGATCATCCACTCTTTTCACTCTCAATCTCACTCTCACAATCTCTTCAATCTCTCGATCTCTTTCACCCCTGATATCATTATCCATCTGGTCTTGTTGTACATATAACCACGCCTTGATGATTGTGATGCCAGCGTAATATGTTTACTTACGACATTTCATATCAAACGATATAGATTTTTGCACATTGTTTTTTGTCTGTCCCGTCTGTTTTTCTGTCTGCTACGTATACCCCACCCCGCACTTACCACCACTTAGTACTTTCCATTTGTATGATAAGTCAATCATCATCTGTTTCTTGCGACTCTATGTTTATTTCTTTCTCGTTGGAAAGTCCGACTCTTGACCTCAACGCCTGCCCTAACGTCCGCGCTGCGAGCCAAAGAGCGGGATCATGGTGCGACTCCCCATTCTTTGGCCCTCAATCCGCGTGGCTTGGAAGTTGGCCCGCGCTATGTACGTCACGCGTTTTTGCTTTTTTTAGTCCAAGGGTCTCCCAAATTCTTTCCCCCTTTTGGATAAAAGCCTGCTTTTTCTGGACGTACAGCCCCTCTCTTGTCCTCTTCATGGTCATGGTGTACAGGTCTCATACGCATCGCTCCTCGTATTTACGCGGGTCTTTGCACCATATTGGTTCGGATACGAGTCAAAGCCTAAGGGTATGTAGGCGGTAGGAGGGGTCGGACCATGTGTGCCCATGAATTGTTGTTTGGTTGACGGTTGGCACCTGGCAATTCAAATTTGAAACGCCCGACGTGCCCGTGCTCGACGGATCCAAAGGTTCGTTTGCGGTGGCGGGCGGCTCGTGACTCGTGAGTGAGTTGGTATTTACTAGGGCTCCCAATTGTAAAATACTACTGGTATGGCCTCATAATGGCGATGAGGGGACTGTGCGTTGATCATGAGTGAGTGCTGAGTGGGTATGTCCTGCATAATTCCCTTCTGTTTTTTCTTTAAAATTTCCTTCTCTGGTAAACGACGATCATTGATTTATGTGTACAAGGAAACGAGAGATCAAAGAATTATTTAAAGGGTCGTCAAGTACTGGGGGAGTTAGTCGTAATCAATCTATCACCATGATAGAGAGTCGCGAATATTTGAAGATGACTCGGAGTGGGTGTTGATGTTGGTATGGTATGATGCCGCATAAATTCCTTCTATTTCGTGTCATTTTCTTTGGACTTACCCTCTCTGGCAATGGCGAGGATCATGAATTTCAGTAGCACAGGGGAAGTTGAAACGAGATCAAGGCAGAGTCGCGTGGGCGGCGGCGTGTCGCGTCCTGACCGCGGCGCGTTAGCGCTGTGCCGGGCAATTTATCAATCCTTCGAGGGGGGTTGTGTGTTTCAACCGTTAGTCTGAATGACTCGGATAGTTCCTTTCGGATCTAGCCATGTAAGTCTCAAAGAGCATAGGTGCTGGTGCACACAGGGTGTATACGGGCGGCTTTGAATGTCCGAGCGAGCCGAAGGCCTAGGGGTGCACATTGACCGCCGTCGGTAAGTTCTACGAAGGCAATTATTGACGGAAAAATCGGGCTTTTGCTCTTGGCCGATATTCGGTTGAGATGAAAAAGGAATTGTCCACCTCGAGGGGAGGCTTGTACGTCCATTCGTTCCTTCCAATTGAGTTCAGCCAACCTTGGAGGCTCGGTCACCTGAGAACTTATCTCGATGGCGGTGGCATTGAATCTTGCTGCCATGATTCAATGCATTCAAAGTTCAGTTTCCACCGATCCTCACCCTCGATCCTCGAGTGGAGGTATTAATTCCTTACCACCAGCGCTACTAGTACTTGCTACTACTACTGCCTAGGTATCACCCGGATACTCCAAACGAGGATCGACGGCGCGTTTAGGTTCACGAACGGGCTCTACGGACTTACCTTGGGTCAACTCACCACTTTATCAGATCCAGAAGACCCGTTCAAAGAGTTCGGTAATCAGAGCTTCGACACCCAGAAATAGCCATGGGCTGCGTCGCTGTCACAGCCATGCGAACAGGACAGAGGTGTTTGCACAGGGGAATGTATTGGAGGCGTTGAAGATACTTTTAGACTCTATTTGAGAACCCTATCGGGGACTGCCCTCTGGGAACTTCGTAGCCTGGAACGTGGTGCTGCCAGTGACATGTGGACATGGGTATCAGAAACCATGGCGTCTGAGTTTTCTGCGAGAACGTGGAACTCGAGAGGAGAGGTTCGACGGAAAGGCAGCGCGTTCTTCTCGGGGTTCCTTCAGGCTGGGAGACGAAGGCGTACGTGAGTGACATACGCTCGCAGTTTTCGAGGTCAAATTAGGAAACTTTCTAAGAGAGGATGGTGGACGTTGGCCGTGGATGTATGTATACGTTTACGAACCTTTGTGTTCGGAAAATAAGCCCTGGTGATTAGGGTGACAGCTGGAACGAGGTGAAGGGGACCTCTGAATTGAACCGGACTTTTGTTTGACTATGACTACCGGAGAAATTCACCGGCTCTTGTAGTAAATTCTGTTTTGTAAAGAGCGGGAGGGGCGTAACTCTAAATTGATGGAATCACGGTGAAGATAGGGCCTGGGGTAACTTGATGACGCATATTAATAGGCACTTCTAATCCGTTCCTTTCGAACTGGCTGGCCCCATTGGCTTGCGAAGTAGCGGCCCGTAGATTGATCTCTGTAAGCGCCAGACATACGCCTAGCTTCCTTCCGAGCTTCTTGCTTTTGACGTGGGTATTGGCCATCCAAAACGCGCAGAGGGTGGGGCTCGCAGGTATCCCTTCCCCGAAGAGCGCAACTTGTAGGTGGTGGTGTCGTAAACCTTTTGCTAAGTCGTTGGGTCGTAGGGCGAGCCCAGGCTGATGTCCGGATGGCGAAATCACCGGCTCGTTTGGGTGTCAAGGGCACTCATCTACGAAACCCGTGGGCTGTGTGTGGATGGATTTCGAGGACGACGCGACGAGAGTCTGGTATGTATCCGCCTTTCGGTTCTGGAAATTTTGACTCGTTAGAGCCTGTGAGAGTCCTTTGCCGTTCGATCATTCATCGCTGTGGTCAGCGCATCAGGATGTGGGCTTTGAACGTTCAACTCTCCAGGAAAGAAGACCGTTCAGAATCAAGATGTGCCACCACAGAAGGTTCTGACTCGGTGAGGATATGTATGTGTCTCAGCGGGATGAGAAGACGCAAGCTGCCATGAAGAGACTGAGCCCTTCATTCCCCTTTGAGTCTTGTTCGCTGAAACGCCGTACACGAAGGTTATAACCCATAAATCGTAGTCAGATGCCAGCTCGGACATAGACCTCGCCTCGAATCCTGAACGAGAAATGTCAGCCTTGATTCACAATATCGAGCGCTTGAGCTTATTCACATTCTCGAGGCGTGACACGGACTTGACGGAGTGTTCCTTCTACTTCGTGGTAGGATGCAGATCGTCACCCGTCTCTGGCATGCTAGGGATCACGGCCAGCGCAGAGGCGAGTGAGTGCCTTAAGGGGGCGGTCAATATTGCCCTGATGTATGCCGCTAGGCTTTGAGAGCCCTTAGAGCATCAGGATCACAGACTTCTGGTTGCTGGTCAAATTTAGGATGAATTCCTGTCCTACCGGGTGATTTCGCATGACAATCGACCGCTGAAAAATCAGAGACACAGGGAGGACAGTCTTCCATGATGCACAGTTGAGGGGCTCAGGCCACCCGATCGACGCATCGCGTGCAGCTGTGAATCAGGAATTGAGGAACGGGGGCGAAACCTTTCTCGAACATCAAATGGCTGCCGCGGATGTCTTATCTATAGATTCCGAGTCCCCTTTGGCTCAGAATACCCTGGCTTTTTTGTATTGAACAACAGAGAAGAGAAACATTCGATATTTAACGGCTGTTGGCAAGTTGACGTTTGTGGGTGCATACCAGCCAGTCGAAAGTGCGGCTGGCATTGCGCCCATCCGTCTTGACAAGGTCGAAACCACTCTGACACCTTCTTGGCACCATTCCCAGATGCCTGTATGGGACGCGCTTCTATCGCGTTGCTCGTTTTCCACCATCTAATGGAGGTTCCAGCCAGTTGGCTTCGGGAGAAGACATGATCCCGCTGTCAAAGTGTTCATTTGAGTGCGTCATCCGAGCCAAACGTTAGGCTTCAACAAGGAGAGCCAGGTCGAAGGTGGCAAACTTGTTCGGTCTTCCAGCGAGGTATCTTCTCGTAAGTTGAACGTCTATATAGAAGCTTACCTCACATGTACACCGTTTCCCTCAGTGAGGTTGTAGCACGCGTCGAGGAATGTTGAAGACAGGGGGTTCGGAATGGTAAAAGCGGCAAGCTCATTGTTTTCCCATGAGACCGACAGTCTGGCCAGTGGAAAGTAAATGCCTGCTACATGAGGCCAAGGGTCAAGGAGACTGGGATCTACATCCCTGTGGCGTGTAAGCAATGTACTACAATCCCCCAAGGGACCCCATCTGTATCTGGACCGAGAAATAAGCAGAAAGGTTCAGGTTAACTTGCCTTCTCATAGCGGTGAGATCTCCGAGTAGGATGCTAGCCGTGGACACTCAGGCTCGAAGCCCAGATCGTGGGATCCGGAATATCCTAGCGAGTAAGTTCCCTTCAGTTATGCGCAGCCTAATAAACCAGATTGAACCTCCGGGGAATCCTGGAGCAGGGGTGCAATGGTTCCATGATACCCTTGCATCTCATGTGATCCAACCCACGGGCGATAGTTAATCACGCTTGAGTTGGCCGCTCTGACTTCCACGGGTTAGAACAGAAGTAGGCGGCTATACCTTCCGGACAATTCGCCGATTTAGCCTTTGTTGCGCTCAGCCGTAGAGCTTGCTTCGAGTTACCATTCTCGTCTCTTTGTCGTCGGAAACGTTAACGACTCGCGATCTTTGGTGATTGGCGTTTGCCCTTCGCGTGCGAATTATGTCCCCGTGGTACTTCACAAGTCACCAGAAGCACGATCGAGGAAGGTTTGTAATTGCCCCCTTACACCAGGACTGCAATTCTGACGGTAGCTGTCAGGTGCATAGAACAGCCCGAGCATCCTCGCACCAGATCCCTCCCACTTGCCAGAGCCTATCGCCTTGAGGCATGGGTCGAAGACTCAGACGAACGCCCACTCCCAGATTGGGGTTCTCAGTACCACATCACTCACCATTCAAATTAGAACGCATCTTCCTTTTTGAAAAGGGTCATAACTGGGACCCAGACGGAGACGGCCAGTGGCGTCCTTCATCTTCAAAGAGAACAACGCCGCTGCATCACAGATGAGACCGAAAGGTCGCGTGATAGGTTGGCATTCCCCTACCTGGTACCAGAACGTCCGCCTCAATCGCAATGAGTTGCATGGTGGACTTTTGGTTACACCCCCGGCTGAGTTGGAAAGGATTACTGATCAGTAGTCTTCTAATTAAAAGGAAGCGGATACGAATAAAGAGACTTAACGTGAATAACTAAACAGTTTTACCTAGCCCCTCCCGTTAAAGACCGCCGTGGGTCGGCACGGACCCTCAATGGAATCGCGAATAGTCGACGGCGATCTGTACACACTTAAGGTTAGCAAGGGTATCATGGATTTTGAGAACTCGGGTATACCTAAGTACATTTACACGGGCAAATTCTGATGTTTTCCGCCTTTCCTGATTGATAAAAAAAGATCAGATTGGCTCAGAGTGGGAACATACAACTCTCCTTGCTGAGCGGGACGGGACGGGTTTTCGCAGACAGTGGCGCATCTGATGCGCGTGGGAGGGCCGCTTACAAGAATTGAATTGTCGATAGACTTTTCATGTTAGGTTATGTCAGTGGGTGTAGGCAAGTGACAGTGGTCATGCAGATTGCGACACGATCACGGCGACAGCAGCAACAGAAGCAGCATTGGAGAGTTTACTGCGCCAATGACAGGCGTCGAACAGTCAGGAGAAAGAACACACATTTCGGGCACTACAAACCTACCCAGCTGGATGTTTGCGTTGAAAGGTTCGAATGCGCTTCCCAGATATATGGCCTTCTTATCTTCTGGGACGATCACAAGTCAGCTGGCTGCATACAGAGATGCTAAAGATAGAGAAGAATAGGGTTTGAAGCAGGGTCCTGGGAGTGAGTATGTTCCTCGTGAAGGGAGACAGACATGGGCCCACAGGGGGGCAACGCGTCGAAAATAGACAATGGCACCGGGCTCAGTGTTGAGAGCAGTGGACGTGGAATCCAGAACACCCAAAGGGAAGCAAGGGGCTAGCTTTTCCGTCGTTCCTGTGCGTTATCTCTCTCCAAAGGTTACGAGTAATACGGCACTCTGGGTCTGAGCTCCCGGGGTAGAATGAAGATGTTACCATTCCGTATGGCAGCTTGGAGGAATGTCGTAAAACACCAGCCGACGCTTCCATGCTCTCGTTTTGACCAAGTTTCGAAGACATGGACCAACCCCGAGGGCATCCACGCCCTCTCCCCAACCGAATGCGAAGTTTAACTCGGAGATTTTTGCCTCCCCGTTGGTCGATTAGGGAAACCTATTTCTAACAGGCTTTGCATGTGGCGGATTGACCGGACTGTGGGGCCGACAGTCGTAAGCGTTTGACGCGAAGATGATAGCGTGGTGAGTCAAGTCCTTGTCAAGGAAGGTCGAAAGAATCGAAGACTCGCAGCAAGTAGAACCCACTTATCTTCCAAGAGACATGGCAGTTACAGCGCTCAAACTCGAAAGAGCGCCCGAGCTACAGAATCGGGTGGTGACCCTGAGCCTAGAAGCCGGTTCGCCGCATTCGGCTTCCAGTAGACCTGGGAAAGAGCGTAAGCACTGGGTGTAGAAATTGACATGTTCGGAGGGAACCTTAAGAAAGAGACGCACATGTACACGCTATGTCGTGGGCTTGGGGTATAGCCTGTTGGCCTGATCGATGAGGAACGGTTGTTCAGTGTCCCTGACAGAATGCAATAGATTTCTGGAGGCGTGGGTTTCAAGAAGCAAGGTAGAAAGCTTATTTGTGATGGTCCCCTGGACAGGCTCGGGGATAACGAGGAAACATTCGAGTTCAAAATTGCCATGGTATAGGGGATAACTGAATGCATCGAGGTCGTTACGTTGCCAAATCAGCGACCCGGGTTTGAAGCTTGTTGAGAACAAATACGAAAACAAGAACTTCAGAGAAGTGGGAAGACCTGGGATGACCGGGCTGGAATTAACTCGTCGGGTGAACCAATCTGGAGGCGAGTATTACGACACAGTCCATTAGAGATAGCAGGTTATGATTGAGCGAATCAAGCGACGGGGTCGGGAAATCATAGAGAACAAGTGCAGATCAAGAGGAGGCGACATTTCGAGGCGCGGGCGGAGGATGGAGAATGCAGAATCGTCCTTGCGTTGATTGAAGGATGTGGCCTTATTGTAGGCTTTCCAACTGCAGGTTTACCAGAGTTCGAATGCCTTTTTCACTAGCCAACGGCAACAGAGAATCCGGAAATCGTGGAACGAGACAAACCCAGGTCAAGCTCTGATTCTGAAGCGGACTTGATTATGTGGGTTTGTTTGGCTGGCGGGCCGCCAACTTCAATGGATCCGAGCAAAGCCATCTTTCCCTGAACCGCAACCGTCCCCTTGCCTGGCCATAGTTTTCGCAAAGATAACCGATAGTGCGTGGAAGAACATGGACTGATTCGAAACAAGCTCTGGGGAGAAATGGTTTTGGGCCAGCGGTGCGATGACCCGTTCGACGGCGATCTGGAAGAAAGCTTAAAGAAGCTAAATACTTACGGCAGGCCAGAAGACGTTGTGGATTGTGTGTAAGTTTGCATCTACGATTTCGAATCTCCGTTTTCATGACTAAATTGATCGCGACGTCCTCGAATAGTGTCCCTTTCTAAAACTTGACGACATCCTTTAAAGTTCGGTCGAATCCGCTGCCCTTCGGCGGCATGCCCTTCCCTCCCTCAAGCAATGTCTGTTCCCTTTGCCAAAGGACGTCCAATTCCAGCAGAGGTTCTCGAAAATATTGCTTATGAACTCGTCTCTGCCACGCCCCTGGGGATCCCGAGCCAAATCATACCACTGCTCTTGACCTCAAAGGCTATTCATGGCACTCTATCCATAGCCTCTGGCTCCTCGCTTTACGCTCGAATTTGCCGGCTCAAGTTTGACGTCGGGGCAGTCTCTCGCCGAGCGTTCACTCCCCGCATCAGCGACCTCAGTGACCACCTCGTGCAGATGTGCACCCTCCTCAAAGTTCTGCGGACCGGTGACGTTTACCACGAGGACGTTGAAGAGCAGCTATTAAGTGCATACGTCGCAATGTTGCACAACGATGGAAAGAACAGGGCCCAGCTGGAGCATGCGGGGATTGTGGGGTTTGTGGACAAGTTTGTGCGGAAGCGGCTGCATGAAGGGTCCGAGGACAACGACATGTGGCCCCTCGACAGCATTGGGAATGCTAGTGTGCTATGGTTAATGTGGATGTTTGCGACGCGAGGTGGGTCTCCTTTGCTAAATGGGGCGCTGGTCCGAGCTCACTTTTATTTTTAGACCGACTCTTGAATGAGACTCCACAACAACGTGAAGAGATTATCAAGCTGGTGTTACCCTTCATGGTCTGTCCGTTGCGTGTAAGTGGTTGATAAGACTGCATTTCACAGCTTCTGACATGGCTTGACAGTATGCATCTGCCCTCGTGCCTCCCAACCACTTCACGCTCCCAATCGGGGATTCCAACCCAGCTCAGAATCGCATTCTCACATTCGATACACCCCATGGGCCATACCCCCTTTATCACACCGAGAGAGGTAGTTATTTGGTGTTATACTACTTCCGCTCCAGCGCCTCTTTCGTCGAACCCTTGGTTGCACCTGTCGCTTCTCTCTTGTTCTGGTCCCGACGTGAACTCGACGGCGCCCTTGCCATTCCCACTGCTCTTCCAAGAACCCGTGCTTCTATCGGGGGAAGTCCAGGTTTAACTCAGGAAGACCTCATCGAGTACAACGCTCACAAGTCTGCCAGGTTACCGAACACCGTTATATGGGATTGGGAGCGAGGTTGTCCCATACGTCGGGCAGAGGATGGGACCACTTCCGATTGGCCCGACCAAGACAGTGAGCGCTGGGATATTGACTGGTGGAGGGCAAGACTGTGCGATGGTGTCTTTCTCAAGCAACCCAAGTTCAGGCTCGGCCCGGTGTACATTCGGGGAATACTCACTGGGCTATGGCAAGGTGTCCAATTCGTACGTCATATCCACTGGTCTTCGATTCATCTCTTTGACATGTTCGCAGAACCAATCGCCAATGAGCTTCACGACTATCGCCAGCCAGCGACAACACCCGCTGGATCTCTCCGAACAGAGCCTCCTTTACTCAGGTCGCCCCTTGATGTTCCGTCTGAAGGAACATGGCTTCATCCGCACTCCCGCCTCCACTACCGATGCCGGCCGTACTGAACGCACATGCGTCCCTCAAGCTCCACCGCTTCACACACCCGTTGAGACCTCTATGGCTGGCCGCATTCAACGGACCACCTTCCCTTTTGATGCCAGTCTCTCGAATGCATGGTTCCCGGGACCTGTCGGCAGCCTTCGGTGGGTGGACAATGGTCCACCTTTGGACGATGGAGTCCTTCGAGATCGGTTCAAGGCCAGGGAGTCTTTAGCCAATGGCGAGAAGGCGAAGGACCCGATGCCGTCGGTGCAACTCCTCGTTTCCAACAACTCACCCTTCGATCCCAGGAACTCGAGCTTCATCTCGGAAGGCGGAGGTCCCATCGATGCGGCAACACTGAACGGGCAGCCCGGGAAGGTCTTTGTTTATGAGACCTACGAGAAGGGGAAGGAGAGCGTACATGCGAGGATGCTGGATGCAAGGGAGAGGTATGAGTTGAGCTCGTCGTCAGCAGCGACTTCCCTCTCCACTGCATCAGACACCGCCGCGCCGTCTCTTGGTCCTCAACGTCACCCTGGTTGTCTCAGATGCGCAGAACGGAATGCTTTTTTGAAGAATCGGAAGGCGAAGGACGCATTCGGGAGGCGATGCTTGACTAAAGAGCAGCTCGACGAGGCGTTCTCCGCAGTTGGTATGGGAAGGGTTTCGACGCCATCTGCGGACGATATGGATAGCGGCGATGATACCGACGTTTTCGATCTCGATATCGAGGGTGATGACGACGACGAAACTGATGAGGAGAGCGGCGATGAAGGAGATCCGACTTCAGCTCACCACGACACACCCATTTCCGATCTCGTTCCCGTTTCTTCCTCTTCGCTTCCACCATCCGGAGAATCAACACCTGCGGCATCAACGTCTTCCCATTCGACTTCGGACGCAGAGTTCGCCCCTCGAGATGCAGGGGACGACGGAGATTTCGATTTCGACGCTGAAAAGGGCCAACCAGGGGTTCGCGATTCGAAAGGACGGGTCCATCTGGAGCCCATCCGACGCTCTCATGATCGATACCGCGTTGAGAAGTGCTGCGATGGTATTGAGGACGTCGTCGTGACGGGTGAAATGGACCAGCGCCATCGCCTAGCATGGGGCCACAATGTTTACTATGGGCGTGTCCGGCCTTGGGACGGGATGGTTGCGATATTGAGAATTGGGGTGCGTTTCTCTTCCGCTTACTTTCCTTCCAATACTGACATTCTCGCAGAGAGACATCCTTGGGATGCCCAACACGTTCTTGATCTACTACGGCTACATCTATGGCGGCGACACGTTTGTCGGAAATTGGCGCTACGCAGCGCGTGATCCGCTCTCTCCGAATTACGAGTGCTCATTCATTATGAGCAAGAGGGACGGGTGAGATTTTTACGCCCTTCCTTACTACTTACTACTTCAATTCTTGGACTATCCTATCCCCTTTTCTCTCTCACGTCTTTTCCCAGTCATGACCCATTATAGACTTCCATCATCGCTTTCAAGGTTCACGCAATCCATTTCTAACGTCTCATACCATTTGACTACCCCATTGGCACCATCTATTCCTGTTCTTGTGTATTATTGGATTCGACTTCCGAGTTTTGTATTACCATCCTTCGGCGCGTAGATTTCTTTTCATCCTGACCCTATGCTATTTCCAGCTGGATATGTATCCCCGGGTATCACGATATGCTATGTATAATCTCCCTGTACGATGTTCGTTTCAGCGCTCCCCTACTAGGCGTGTGCTGAGCGGTCCTTAGCTACTACTAAGTAATTGCTGTCAATACACATGTTATTAATCCGCTCTTTTGCCTTGTACTTGAATCATCTGATTAACGAAGAAAGACCCGCGCCAGTCATCAAGACTGCCAAAAGATTCTCTCAAGGGGTGGCTGCTTCAATTCAAATGAGAAGAAACGAGGCAAGCATCCGTGGAGGAAATGAACAGGTGTGTTTGGTCAGTGACGGCAACGGGAACAAGTTAAGGGACTTTCCAAAATTGTCAATGTGTCCCTAAACGCGACCCGATAGTCACCGCGACTGGGAAGAATGGTTGATCTTCTCTGGAAGCACTGGAATAGAGAAGCCTGGTCTTGGACAACGATGTAGCTTTACAATCTCCGGCCAATTGGATCAATTGTTACCTTGAGGCAAGTGGGTTTTACATATCGATCACTCCGCCGAGTGCATCCCCCTTTTCTTCCAATGTTTGCTCGAGTTCGCCGATCAAGGGATGGACGGGCAAATCATCGCTTAAGGGCGGATGCATGAAGGACACCATCAGAGTCAGTGAACGCAGGTGGGAGCTCAGGTTTTGACCACATGGGCACATGTGTAGATACTAAGGTAGTGCCACGGCGGACGGAACTCTGCTGTCTATGGCATGAACTTGCATTTCAATTGAAGAGTCGATTCTTGGAAAAATCGTCGTAATTCTCTACGTATGCGGCGCAGCAGCCTCAAGGTACGGTCGCGCGATATATGAGGACCTCCAAGCACCGCACAAACAGCGCTGGAATTCCATATGTAACCTCCATGAGCACCGGCGAACTCGACACTCTAGCTCGAAAGGGTTTCTTCGCTTTTTTCGCATCAGAGCCGAAAGCGTACAGGTGGTGTTGATACATGTGCATGCTAATTCAAACGACGGGGACCTTTGGGCTTACCCATCTAAGAGCGCGTCCTATGCACGGATTTCTGCGACATTTAGGCGGTATGTGATATCACCTGTTCGCCTGTTCGAGGGTGTGATAACATACCTGAAACTAGTTGCACCGTGAGTCAAACGATTCAGATTATTTGTATTGATACCAGTTGGTGGCGAAGGCGGCCACCATTCGATTGATCGTGGCCGCTGCTGTCAGATCCTGGGCCGATAAAACAATAGTAAAGTTAGAGTAAAGGGTTTATGGGAAGCTTTTGGCGCCTACCGATGGGATGGATCATGGCCAATGAGATCGACACAGCACCATAATGATTTCGATCGAGCCACAACACTGGGGACATACAGACAGTCTGCAAGGTCTGGAAACATTCGTTGCACCATGCAAGGACGGAGGGTGAGGGAATCCGCATTGCAGTCAACCCAGGTCTGGCCGAGGCAAAGAACTCGAAGGTACACCTGTCGGAGCTGGAAAATAAGTCCATCTCGAAACCCGTGCCGGTAGCCATACCAGCCTCAGATAACCAAAAGTTCTCTTTGGTTGTGAATGCTTGAGATAGGCCGCGTCGTCGGCGAGTGCAGATGACTTCACATGAGTAAGACGCCTTATCATTAGATTTGTGGCGGGAGAAACCGAGTTCTTGCCGTGGGCGCTATTCCCTAGGCCGCCGCTTTCCTTGAGAACTTAGCCTTCCCAAGGCCAGTCGTAATTCCATGAGGTCAGCGATTGTAATTACAGCAGAGAGAGGGGGAGATAGAGCCTAATAAATTCAGAGGAACCGGGCTAACTGAATAGCTATGGCTGTCGAAGGCGTTCGAATTCTCACCTACAAAGAGTTGAAAGGGTCTTGACGCAGGAGCCGTATTCGCAATGGCGTCGAGAGATCGCCACAAAGATTTATACATCTTCCGGTCTTTTATGTATTAGGCAGATGTCGCACAGAATCTTTCGGCTCGAAAGCGCTGAAGTAGGAAAAAATATAGTCAAGAGGCATCACATCACAGTTCACAGTCAAGTTCAAGTCGGCGAGTCGGAGTGCCCAGCGAGTATTTGCACATGCTTGGCCTCCTTTATTAGGGGCTTCCGGCTGACCAAAGGCCGCCATCGACAGCTTTCACCAAACCATGTCAAGCAGTGGAGAGATCCCTTTCTTTTTGCTTTTCTTCTCTTGTGCATAGTTGTTCAATCCCGGGGGACTGACACCACACATCTGGGCCTCTGATCAACAGCTTCAATGCTACTTCACAAAGGCTTCATGGGGAAAACAGCTGGTTCCTCGGATCACTGTGATAACTCGCCGGGAGGTGGAATAGGTCGTGGGGGAACGTAGATCAGCATAGAGCCGCCGAACTGCCTTGGTTCCGTCTCGAGGGCTTAACGCGACCTGAACGGGTGGCGGTCTATTCTTGTAGACCGTTTCGGGCTTTCTAGGGATCTCCTCCACAAACAGTACGCTAGCAGGTAACGAGATAAGAAGATTTCAACGAATTTCTTACGGCATGAAGTCTCCCTGTAGGAAACCTTCATATCTCCGATCTGGTCATATACGTTACACTTTCAAACGGGAGACCCACTAGTCCACCTTCCAGCCCAGAAGATTTGCCGTCGAGAACGGCTGCTAAACCCAGCTCGTCTACATACTTCCTTCCCTTGATCTACAACCATGACTATCCGGCTCTGTAATGTGGATGTGCCTCTGGAGGTCATCGAACACATTGCTTTTTCCCTAGTCGCCTCTGAACCACTTGGAAACCCTAGCAGTCTGCTCCCCTTCTTTCTTACTTCACGGAGTATCTCCCTCGCTCTCTCGCTCAAGTCACGCACAACGCTCTATGCTCGTATCTGTCGTCTCAAATTTGACGTGGGCGCAGTCTCACGCAGGGAGTTTTCACCCCATACCAGTGATCTCAATGATCATCTCGTTCAAATGTGCCAACTCCTCCAATTCATCCGTCGCGGTGATATTTGGCACGAGGACGCGATCGACTACTTGATCCCCGCATTCATTGCCATGCTGGATAATGATGGGAAAAACCGGGCGCAGCTGGAGGACGCTGGAATCGAGTCCTTCCTGGACGACTTCGTGATGAAACGACTCCATGAAGGAAAGGAGCTGAATGACATGTGGCCACTGGAGAACCCCGGCAATGCCTGCGCCTTGTGGTTATACTGGATGTTTACAACTCCGGGTATGTCTTTTTCGGTTCCCTTGCACATCAATCTCATAGAATTGCCAGAAAAAGTCGAAAGCGAAACCCAGCCAAAGAGGAAAGAAATCCTGAGGTTGCTTCTTCCATACATCGTATGCCCATATCGCGTAGGTGTTCCCCGTTATCAATTGATCCCTCGTTTCCCCGCTCACCTTGTTGCAGTATGTATCCGCTTACGCACCAGCCACGCATAGCATCCTGCCACTTGGAGACTCCAATCCAATTCAGAAACAAATGGTGACCATTCCCACTGCCCACGGGCTATACCCCATCTATCATACCGAGCGACAAGGAAGCATCGTCCTCCACCATTTCCGTTCCAACACCCCCATCTTACTCCCTCCAATCAGTGCTGCTGCCAAGTTATTGTATTGGTGTCGTCACGAGGTGTCACCTTTCTTCGCCGTTCCTTCCCATCTGCCCCTTTTTCATTCTACAGGGGCTCCGGAAATCACGCAGGAGATTCTTCATGAATTCAATAGGTCCAGAGTTGCGAAGCTTCCAGAGGTCGCACGGTGGGACTGGGATCAGGGTACGCTCACTGTCAATGGCGTCCGTGTGAAGGAGAGCGGACAGACAAGACCTTCCCAGCGATGGGATATGGACTGGTGGAGGATGCGGATGTGTCGTGACGTATTCTACAAGCAACCTCGATGGAGATTGGGACATGTGTATATGAGGGGTTTGCTCAGCGGCGTGTGGCATGGCGTCTATTTCGTAAGTGAAACGTATGGGTCTTGATCAAGTACGAGTATACTAATCTGGTGTCCTCCGTCCAGCTCGTTAATGAACCCTCGATTCAGGAGATGCTGCGGACCTCACGTTGCCCCGCCGACCTCTCTAGCTCCTCGCTCGCTTTCATGCCGCAGCCTATGGTTATGAAGATCCAAGAACACGGGTTCGTCAGAATACCCCCTGTCCAGAGGTCGCCGTCCCCGATCTCTATTGAATCACAATCAAGACCCATCCCATTTGCCGAACCTCAGACCATCACTGCTTGGGAAGATGTGGAGAACCAACCCAAACGCATTGTCGAACCTGTCGATCGCAGCCTCTCTAACGCGTGGTTTCCTGGTGCTATTGGGAATCTGCACTGGGTCAGAGGACCCGATCTCGAAGTTGGCCCCAGAGATCCCATGGCACTGCCAGCAGCTCACGGCGAGCCACGCCTACGTCCGGCCAATGAGTCTACTCGATTCTTCTTACGCGATCCCGGAGTACCTCATCCCGAGCACCACACCTTCGATTCGATCCCTGCCAGCTTGACACAGCATCACGTTTACGAGACGTACGATCCCAAGAGGGAGAGTATGCATGAGCGATTGGTTGATGCCTCGAGGGACCCGAAATTATTCCATCTCGGATGTCTTCGTTGTGCTGACAGAGAGTCGTATCTGGCCGCTCGCCGAGCTCGAGATTGGTCAGAGGCTCGCAGACTCGCCGAAGACACCTTTGCAAGCGTCGGGCTGGGTTTCTTGACCCTCGATACGCTGGAGTCAGAGTCTGACGAAGATGACGAGGGCGGCGGAGTTGTCGACCTACGCCTTGACATGGAGGATTTGGAGGGGGAAACATCTTCGCCTCTCTCAGAGTGCTTTTGTGACGACGGGGATTGCGCATGGTCCAGATGCGAGGAGTCGAGCGAGGAGGTGGACGAGCATGAGGACGCCGAATGTGGACATCCGGGGGTATACAATATCCACGGGAATGTACACTACGGACCTCTACGGCGGTCTCATGATCGCTACAGAGTGGAAGAATGCGATGGGGGTGTAGAGGACACTGTCGTCACCAGCGAGGTATGGTTTTCTCCTGCATCAGTACTTTCCGATCCTGACTGTGTCTCCCTCTAGCCTGATGCTACGCGTGACGCCTCTCTGGGTTATAGCATATACTACGGTCGTGTGCGACGCTGGGATGGTCTTGTCGCCATCTTGAAGGTCAGCCCAACCACACCCCGTGCCATAAGTTCCACACTGACGTGTTGGGTCCAGCAACAAATCCTCGGCGAGCGCATTGCAAGCCTCTTGTTCTATGGGTACATTTGCGGACAAGACAATTTTGTTGGGAACTGGAGATATGCGGGGACTGACCCTTTGCTACCGAGCTTTGAGAGCTGTTTCATCATGAGCAAGAAAAGGGACTGAAACCGATTTCCTCTACCCGAATTTAAGTCACTTTTTATTTTAATTGTCATACTTTTATTTGTATTAGCAACTTAACCCACTCATTCGACATCACGCACATATACAGCGACAGCTAGTCTTCATTTGCTTCTAGTTCTACACGTTTATAATCTACTTCTACACCCCAATACCACCAATCCGGCGGCATTTTAACTTTTAACGCCTTCCATAAGCATCCAAAGCAGGTCGACCATAAGTAGGCCACTCCTCCGGCTTATTATCCAAAATCTTCTCAATCTTCTCCAAAATCTCCGGCGTCAACTTGGGCAACACCTCCAACGCCTTCAAGTTCTCCACCACCTGCTCAGGCGAGGATGCTCCCAGAATAACGGTACCGGTGTTGGGGTTCCTGGCGACCCAAGCCAGAGCGAGGGCAGCAGGCGTCGTTTGGAGCTCTTCTTGAGCGAGTTTGGTGAGCTCGCGGACTTTGCGGATCTTTTCTTTGCCTTCGGGCGTTTCGAGTTCTTTGATGGTGTTCTTGAAAAAGTCGGAGTGGCTGGAGAAGCGGGATTTATCGGGGATGCCTTCGTTGTACTAGAGGGATGGAAGAAGGTGGGTCATTGTGGAGAAGCGAGTGATGGGTGTTGTGTACCTTGCCGGTCAAGAGTCCGCTGGCGAGTGAAGACCAGGTGGTAGTCGAGATACCGTATTTCTCGTACAGGGGCTTGTACTCCTTCTCGGGGCGTTCGCGGTGCAACATGCTACAATGGAGTCAGACCTGAATGTCAAGGATTGGTGTGGTGATCAACGTACTGGTGCTGGCATTGCTCAGCAATGGGCGGGATCAAGTTGAGTTTGCTGGCGACGTCTTGAAAGCTTGTGAGACCCAGCGTCCATTAGAAACAACAAGCTGCACATACGATAAGCCTCTTCGATCCTCTGAGCACTCCATTCAGAAGTTCCCCAGTAGAACGCCCAACCCTTCTCAATGACATAGTTGAAAGCGCGAACGATCTCCTCCATGGGGACTAGACAGATGTCAATCTTGAGAACCATCTTCACAGAGAACGGTAATTATAACCAACTCACCGCTGTCGTCATGTCTGTGGGCGAAGATGACATCGACATAGTCCAACTGCAAGCGCTCGAGGGATTCTTTAGTTCCTTCGATAATACTGCAACGAGTCGGGATCGAACGCTTAGACTTGCGGCCAAATGATGAATAGGGGCCAAAATGACGTACTGCTTCCTCGAGAGACCGCTCTGGTTGGGTCCCTTCCTCACTCCCCAGAAGATCTTGGTAGTGATGATAAGATCGGTACGCCTCAATCCGAGTTCCTTAATAACGCGTCCCCTGTAGTAAGAGTCCAGTTGTTAATCCAAAGGCGAGTGGGTGGGTTGATGGCAGAAGGCGCTCGCGATGACGCAAGCGGGGAGACTGGTAGCGGTATTACCCACATTTCTTCCTCAGATTTGCCATTGGCGTACACCTCTGCGGTATCGAACATATTGATTCCATTCTCGAACGCGGTCTTGATGATATCCTGAACGTTGGTAGATGGGTGAATTTCATTCGTCACAAGGTACGATGTGGAGAACAAACCTTAACGGGGTCGCCGACAACGGTTCCACCAAGGGTCAACCCTACAAACAAGATTCAGATTCCGTTGGACAAGCTGAGGCTCAGAACCATCCAAACTCACATCCACCGAGAGAGAAGAGAGGAACACGCAGGCCACTCGGTCCGAGACGGCGGAAAGGCATGTTCTTGGGATCGAACTCGAGCTTGACATCTGCGCCGCTAGCCATGGTGATTGTTCAATTAGGTGGTTTAGAAGGTCAGAAGGGCGATAGATCGATGAACGATAATCTGTGAGATACGAGGAGAAGAAAGGGGAGATGACTGAGATGTTCGGGATTTTATATCGTCCTGTAGCGGGATGCCGATTGGTTGCGCATAATCAATCGTGATGACAAAGGATCTGGCTGGACAATCCATGGGGACCACATGCAATGTCACATCGTCCTCAGAATGTTCGTTGAGGTTCCACCGTTGGAACCATTCGACTGTTTCTTGGTGCAATTCGAGGGAAAGTTGGGTCATCATGGCCACGAGATGAGGAATTCGGATGTGGCTCCGAACGTTCGTCCAATGGGTTGAATTGATCATGTGGTTAGCTACAGGTACACTGATATAAGGAGTGGACAAGTCAGAACGGAAGGCTCCCGAAGAGGATCTGCAATACCCACTAGGTAATCGTAACGGTCATTAGCAGGGAACTACTATACAAAGCAACACGAAAGCAAGGAAACGGAGAGAGAATCAGTCGAGGGTGGAAGCGTCGGAGACAATGGCCCCGTCAATCATGTACAGATCGCCGTTCGAAGCCTGGAGAGAAGGTAAGCGTGCGTCCGTCTTGGACATTGGACAGCGACACTGACCTCCTTCTTGCTGATGATGTGAATACCGTCTTCCAGAGTTACTTGGGTCCAGTCAGGGTTCTTCGCTTTGGCGATAGGCTTGAACGTGATGGACTTGGAGGTGAGAAGCGTTTGTTGAGATCCGGTGAGGGGAATTGGTGCGCCCTAATGGATGGTTTGTTAGCCTGGGGAAAAGGATCCACCCACGGAATTCTACTCACAGGTACAATGTGTGCAGATACCCAACGCTCTACATTGGCCTTCGAAATTTGGTCGTATTCTTGTTCAGAAATACTGATGTTCTCGTCAGCAAGCTTCGATCCTTGGTGCCTGGAATAATAGGATTAGGTTCGCTCATTTAGCAATCCTGTTACAACAAACGTACGGCTTCCTCGCCAGGTTCATCACAGCCTTGTTCGTCGGTACGAACAGCGTCATCTTCATCTCCTTCTGGGACAGTCCCTGGCTCAACTCCAATTCCCTCGCATAGGCGTAGAATATCGAAGCCTTGTTCTCAATGGTGAGCAGGTCGGCCAAGGTGGGTTTGCTCGAGACTTGGGGCGTGTATTCAGTGTTCGGTTCTGCCATTGGAATTTGTTCACTTTCGAATGCTAGCGCTGAAGGGAGTACAAGTGAAAGAATAAGGGAGGCGTAAGAGATCCGCATTGTGTAATGTGTGGTGGAGATTAACAAGCTCGGAGCAACGGTGGAATGAGCGAGCTGCCTGCCTTGGGCACATGCTTGGCTTTGTTTGATCCCGAAGCCTTCGGACGGCAGGTCGGAGTCTCAAAGTGCGGCCATTGGAAGCGCCCATGGCCAGTCGCCCCCAGTGCGAATTCAAAAAGAAGGACAATCGCTGAGGATAGGTATATAGTACATAGTGGCTGCCATAATTTAGCTTTTTTACAGTTGTAGTCTATAGGAGACCCCGGTAAAAGATATTCAAAAAACTCGTCAGTCCATTGACAGACAGTACCAAGCTAAAAGATCATCATTTCCTCCTGCAGGTTAGAAGGAGCCTCCTTCTCCAAGAGGAGTAACGACGGGGGTAAAGGTAGAGAGGCCCTTCTTTGAGTAGATTGTGACCGTTTGACGGTTTTTGACCTCCATCTTGGCCAGAAAATGTGAATCCTCAGAGATATCTGTCGGGATTTCCACTTTGATCCACTGCCCAATGTTTGAGTACTGAAGTTCGACGTCGTCGGTCTGCGACCATATCTTCCATAGGACCGTTGAAGGTTTCTGTTGAATCAAAGTCCAGCAGGATGATAGAGTAATCTCGAAATGGGGCTGTTTCGTTGGTTTTGATGGGGGACCGTCTCGGTGAAAGAGTTCAATAGAGGCGCGCGGAAGATTTTTCCGCGCCACCTCAATCCCGTACACCCTATGATTCTCGTCGTCAACCTCGTAGGTCCACCAAATCCTGCCAAAGTCTTCCTCCTGTCGGATCGCTGAACGATACAACCGCTGCTCGACAACTCCTGAGGTTTCGTTGATTTTGGTCCCCTCGACGGCAGCACTGAACCCAAGAGGATACTTCATTGCAAGTTTTAGAGCCGCTTGGTGGGCAGACTTCGATCCGTGGGATTGTGTGTAGCATGCGTCGCGGGACAGTGTAGTCGCAGGCGCGACATTGTACATCCGAACCTGCTCGACCATGGTATCAACGTCGACCTTAAGAAGTCTCTGATGATATGGTTGAATGGCCGTTAAGCCCGACTTTGAGCCACATTTCAACCGGGAGAATCGGAAGTGGCATTCGCGTGTTTGGGAATGCGATGAAGACTTAGCGGAATCCGAGTCAGCATCTCCCTAAAGCTGAAGACGAAGCAGTGCGTACTTACATGGAACTCAAAATCAGCCAGTAGCTGTAAAACCTGACATTTCTGTGCTGGAATAGAAGCCTTGGATGAGTACGACTGCTTGTAAAGCGCGCGTGACAGGCGATAAAGTTCGGCCTCTACGTGGATGTGAATCCGACTCCCTCCAGTTTCACCCACTTTCCCCGGGGGGCTGGGTGGCTGTTCGTCAGTCCCCGTGGCTCCATCCAAGGGACCAGCGTTCTCTTGCACGGGGGCGCTCTTGTCGATATATTCATCATCATCGTCAGAGCCTTCCTCGGGAGCTACTTTTGGCTCATGTGGATTGCCATTCAAGCCGCCTCCGTCATCTACTTGTTCAAAATAACCGCCGCCTTCCATTCCGTCGCTCCCCCTGCTTGCTGAGTTCGGTGGAAAAGTTGGCCTGTCGTCCTGGGTATTGGGCCAAAGGTTATCGCCGGGTATTTCCTCAAGTTCGTGTGCTGTGGAAGTGCTCACACGACCGGGCTCAACCGGGAGCCTCGTTGCAATAATATCATCCAAGTGCATACCGGTCGCCGACAAGGTATGGTCATCAAATGTGACCGGTTTCCCGGACGTGTCGAACACAGGGACGTCAATGAAGGCGGTTGGAGTGAAGATAGCTGCGGAGTAAGGGGCGGTGGCTTTACCAAGGGCTTCGAGAGCTAAGCGCCCTGGGGCAACGCTCGTCGAGCTGAATATGTGGACCTGTTGTAGATATCCGATTCCACGTTCGATGAGCGGTTCATGGAAACCAGCCAACATACGGAAGGTATCCTTGCCTCCAAACATGCCTTCGGCAAGTTGAGAGAGGGTGGCGTGGTTTGAAATGATGTGTTGTCGGGCGTCTTGGGCAACAAGGATTAACTGGGAGACATGCGGCCCTGGGACAAGTTGGCGATGTGCGGGCGGCGAGTACGATCTACTTTTGTATCCCCTGGGATATTGCTGGGACTTGCCTCTTGCTCCTTTTCTCTCGTCACTTGGCAGAGTATTCGAGTGGCTGGTGGACTGTACAGTAATGGTAAGGCCACTGTCGTCTAAAACTCGACGAACCATCAGCAGTGTTCACAGCGAATTAGAAACCACAAACATGCTCCAGGCATCGAAGGCCGCCTATCCCGCTCCAGCCTTATCATCGAGTCCTCGCGGGCAGTGAGGAGCACCTGAGCCGCAAAAAGAACCTGGTTCCGTCCTAAGTCCTCCATTCCGGAACAACGAGAATAGGTTGTTGCTCACTGCTACGATGGAGTAGCCCTGCCCCATGGATCCTATAGTCAACGCTTTAGCTGTGCGAGATGTTCGTCCTATGTCGGTGGTACCAGGACAAGCGTTAGACTCGTGGCAACCCGCAACTTGTAACACCTTTAATGGAATTTGTTTGGTTGCTCCAAACACGTTGCTTTCCAGTGTCCACCGTATAAGCGCCCATGATGTTTGCCCCTGCTGTGAGACTCCCATGCACCGCCCGCTGCATCGGAAAGTTGGGACAGATCGAGGGGCATCTCTGAGTAGGCAGTCCAAGTTTATTTTCCATAATGGCACACAGTGGTTAACTTCCAAGTTCCAACCAGCATATAGTTGTAGCGTTTTACATTGGCTCTATGCCATACCGTCGACTTTAACTGTGCGTAATATTCTCGTATTTCACCCTCTGGGAGAAGATCCAACACGCGCTCGTTTCCAACAATTGGAACCATGAGGTTCAACACACCCATCCACCGCAGCCCTATTCCTACGCGAGAATTGGCCGTACCTTGGGTCCACCGCAGGTGATGGAGAATGTGGACAGCAACAATGCTGCGCGGTTCCAAGAGGCGTACGACCTGGAGATCGCCGGAGGTTCTGTATTCGGATTGAGAACCATTCGGTGATACCTTCTCAAAGTGATGGCGCCATGTCTGAGTTCCACCGAGCTTGAGGGGCACCAGATACTCGTTGGACGAGACATTCAGGATATATGGATCGCCATCCCTCAGTGGAACGGCTTCCGGAATACTCGAGGGACAGAGGCAGATAACTCCCCCAATAGTCTTCAGGTGAACAGGCAGCTCGTTGAGATCACGCTTGTCAGCCAGATGTGTAGGCTCGCTACAAGTACAATGTTCCAGTCCGGCTTTGACGAGGAGTTCACGAGCGATGTTCCAGCTGGTCGTCCGGAACGAGAATAGCGACCATCTTGTCAAGGGAGGTGAGCAATGGGGGAAGGGCCTGATTGAATGCCACTCACGATAGTTGTTTGGTTGGCCCCGTATAAGGTCAGAACTTGGTCGCCCCATTGGATATGGGGGATTTCGGCCTGAGTGAATAGTCGCGAGATTGCAGCGCATTGTCCCCAAGGATACGTGTACGACGGCATTGGATATGGCAAGCCGGGCTGAGTCTCCCTCTGGCCCAACAGCAGCTGGTCAGAAGGTGAGCTTTGTCGATCGTCAGTGTACTGAAATTTCCCGACAAGTTCAGGAATCAGGGGACACACTCAACGGAGGATGTTGCACCCATTTCCGGCCGTTGAAGGGACATTGGTGAGACGAGATGGTCGCGTCCGTGGACGAGGCTTCTGCAAAGTCCGATTCAAATTTGGCAGCACTGGCGATTAGGTCGATGGAGACTAGCGCGCGCCTCGCAACATTGCACACACGCGCAAAACGAGAGCCAGTGGGGAGGGGCAACACAGCGAATCGATTTGGCTAGCTGACTAAGTGTACAGCCACCAAAAAAGCGCTTGAATAGGAGCCACGACGTAGTAACGATGACCCTCATCCAACTCCTGAGTGATCTCCACCTAGAGGTCGAGCGAGAAGCAGATCAACCCCTCTACACGTACGACTTTCCCAAGAGCCCCGACTGCGACATTCTCGCTCTCTTGGGTGACATCGGCTGGACGCGCGACGACCGTCTCTTCGACTGGTTAGAAACCCAGCTTTCCCGCTTCAAGCGTGTTTTCTTTGTTTTAGGAAACCATGAACCTTACGTGTCGACGCTGGTAACTGAAATCTTGTACCAGTTAGAGCAACACTGATGGTGGTATTGTTATTGTAGGAAGAAAGTGAAGCCCGTCTTGAAGCATTCGCACAGAAATCCTCTTCAAACCACCAGTCCGACCCTTCTAAAGGAGAATTCATCTTCCTAAACCGAAAGCGCTACGACCTCTCCCCAGATATCACCATCCTCGGATGCACCCTATGGTCTCGCCTCAACCCAGACGACCTCGACATCCTGTCCTGGTCTCTCACGGATTTCAAACGCATCGAGGGGTTCACACCTGAGAAATACCAAGCCGCACATGAACAGGATCGGGAGTGGCTTCGAAATACCATCGAGTCGATCCGGAAGGAGGAAGGTCACAGGAGGATCGTGGTCTTCACCCATCACGCGCCGACTATTGAAGGGACTGGCGACCCCAAGTTCTTGGGTGGCCCGACGAACAGCGCATTCGCGACTGAACTCACGAAAGAAGAGTGGTGGGGTCCTCCAATTTCGCTTTGGGCATTTGGACATACTCATTTTTCCTGTGATTTCGAGAGGGGAGGTGTGAGGGTGGTTAGCAATCAGCGTGGCTACAAAGAGGGCGCGAAGGACTTTGAACAAGTCAAGGTTCTTTCTATCTAGACAAGATCTCGCCACTGTTAGGAATACTTTCAGTCCGTTTGTATAGAGCCCTCAACCAAGCCGAGTTTTTTCAAAATCACATCAGAGCTATTAGCGGTCGCTAAAGGAATATTGATAAGCGCCCAACCTTTTCTTCCTTGAATTCTTTTACGCTGGGAACAAACGGGGACGTGGTTAGACTTCTCTACTGTTGTTCCCCCGAGAAACTAGTGTTCGACACATTTATCGCCTGATGTGCTCTAGAGACGCAGTATGATACTCTTGAGATGACCTCGTATCGAGTTCCGAAACTATCGGGAAAGGTATTTGTTCATGATTGGATCTAAAGGTGTTGGCCTGTGATGAACGGTCGCGGCGTCAGCGATGCTGAATTAACGTGTCCCTTGATTTCTGCCCCGGTTCCGTCTAGTTTCCTCGTTCCAGGATGGCTTCACCGGATGCTACATGTTATACCGTCGTCTATGAAACAGCGTCAGAGACCCCTTCAGCCAGCGAGCTGCGCTCGGCCTTGGAGAAGGGCTCTGACGAGGTCAAAATCGACACGTTGCGCAAGATCATAATCGCTACTATCAATGGCAACCCCCAGGCGCGTTCTCTTCCCATATCTCGAATTCCCTAGCTGATAGTTTCTCAACGAAATGGCGTATCTGGTCTTGATAAATTACAGCCTACACTAATGATGCCTATAATCCAATATGTCCTGCCTTCCAAGAACAAGCAGCTGAAGAAACTCCTACATTTCTATTGGGAAGTTTGCCCAAAGTATGACGAGAACGGCAAGCTGAAGCAAGAGATGATTCTCGTCGTGTAAGTGATCTCTAAACGCGAATTTAATATAATCTAACCGAAGATATCTAGGAACGCCATCCGAAATGACCTCGTACGCATTCCTTAGCGCCATCGTTGACCGTATCCTAACTGTTTCCAGCAACATCCCAACGAATATATTCGCGGCGCAACCCTCCGATTCCTCCAAAAAATCTCCAAAGACGCTGAACTTCTCGAACCCCTCGTCCCAACCTGCCGATCCTGCCTAGAACATCGCCACTCTTATGTTCGCAAGAACGCGGTCTTCGCGCTCTATTCGATATATCGCGAATTCGAGAACCTCGTCCCCGATGCTGCAGAGCTGATGACCACCTTCCTCGCCGCTGAAACCGATTCAGCATGCAAACGCAATGCATTCGTCTTCCTCGCTCACGTTGCAACGGACAAGGCTGTCGAGTACATCTTGAATTTGGGAGATAATGTGGGCGGTTTGGATGAGGCGCTGCAGATGAGCATCATCGAGGTCATTCGACTGGACTGCAAGGGCGAGACTGCACACCGCGTATGTCCAGGATTATTTCAAGGAAAGGAATAGGCTTACCCCTCTCATCTAGGCGCGATATATCCGCATCATCTTCGAACTCCTGAACGCCTCCTCGCATGCAGTGAAATATGAAGCAGCCACAACCCTCACCGCTCTCACCCAGAACCCCGCTGCCGTCAAAGCTGCTGCATCCTGCCTAATCAACCTTGTTATCAAGGAATCCGACAACAACGTCAAGCTGATCGTCCTCGACAGGCTCGAGGCCCTGCGCACCAAGCATGAAAATGTGTTAGATGGGCTCATCATGGATGTATTGCAAGTCCTGTCCCACAGCTCGGATATCGAAGTTCGTCGCAAGGCCGTCAAGATCGTGTTGAGCATGACCTCGAGCCGCAATGTTGAAGAAGTCGTTCTGTTCCTCAAGAAGCAGCTGCAGCGCACTCAGGAGTCGGATACGGAGAAGGTGAACTTAATTACTTTGGTTGTAAAAGCACTGCTAACAACGGCGTATAGTCGCCGGAATACCGCCAACTTCTCATTCAATCTATCCATGTCACCGCCATCAAATTCAGCGAAGTCGCAGCAAGCGTCGTCCACGCTCTTATGGACTTCCTTGGCGACTCGAACAACCCCAGTGCCCTCGATGTCGTTTCCTTCGTCCGCGAAGTCGTCGAGAAATTCCCCCACCTCCGCGCAGCCATCACTTCCAAACTCATCTCCACTCTCACCGAAATCAAGTCCGGCAAGGTTTTCCGTGGCGTTCTGTGGATCATTGGTGAATACACCGAGGGTGTCGACAACATTCAAGAGGCGATGCAGGAGATTAGGAAGGTTCTGGGCGAGATCCCTATTCTCGCATCGGAGCAACGGCTGTTGGATGAGGCTAGCGGAGGTGCAGAGGAAGAGTCGGAGGAAAAGGAGAAGCCAGCGGTGTCGACCAGGCCACGGGTGTTGGCTGATGGAACCTATGCAACTGAAACAGCGTTCTCGACGTCCTCCGCTAATGCCAGGCTGGAAGCCGTCAAGGCTGCTGCTAAGCCCCCCTTGCGAAGTGCGTCCCGTTTCATTCGATTCCAATAGCTGGATCCTAATGACCTACCCAGCTCTCATCCTTGGTGGAGACTTCTTCACTGGATCGGTCCTCTCGTCTGCTCTCACCAAGCTGGTCCTCCGGTTTGCAGACATCTCCAAAGATGCGGCTGCTTCCAACTTGCTGCGCGCTGAGGTCAGTTCTTATCTATGCTCAGCATTTTTGTGTACTCAGTGCGGTGCAGGCAATGCTCATCATGACTTCTATCATCCGAGTTGGCCAATCCAAGTTCGTCACCGTTCAAATCGACGAAGACTCGAACGAGCGTATCATGAACTGCATCCAAACCTTGAGCGAGCTTGATACCGACAAGGATGTCCGCGAGGCCTTCTTGGACGATACCAAGAACGCGTTCACGAAGATGCTTACTGCACAGGAGGTGTGTTCAGCTTCAGTCCACTTGACAACAATTGGCTTGACCTTGATCGTTTCCTGCAGAAACGCGCTGCTGAGAAGAAGGAAGCTGAATCGGAGAAGAAGGTCGCGGTGCAGGTTGATGACCTGCTGTCATTCAGACAGTTCTCGAAGAGGCAGGCGGATGATGTTATTGACGTATGTGCTGCCTATGATATCGAGGCACTGACTGACCTCGGGTTTACAGTATGACGAAGATGTCAGCAAGGCTACTGGTGCCACTGAGGTGCAGGAGGACTTCATGTCGAACCTTAGCAGGATATCCCAGCTCACTGGTAGGTGAATTGGATGGTAATGCGAATTCGCTGATTCACAATGTCCATCAGGTTTCTCCGACCCCATCTATGCCGAAGCCCTCGTCAAGATGCACGGCTTCGACATCCTTCTCGGTAAGCGCAGATCCCCTTCTTCATTCAACCATCTGTGAACCATCGCTCCCACCAGACGTTCTCTTGGTCAACCAAACCCCCAATACCCTGCAAAACCTTTGCATCGACTTTGCTACCCTCGGAGACCTCAAGATCGTCGAACGTCCCTCCGTATTCACTATCGCACCCCACGGCTTCCAAAGCATCAAAGCAACCATCAAAGTTTCCTCTACAGAGACTGGTGTCATCTTCGGTAGCATCCTTTGGGAAGGGCCCAACATGGGTGAATCGTGTGTGATCCTCAACGACATCCATATCGACATCATGGACTACATCAAACCTGCCTATTGCAATGAGGCCCAGGTAAGTCTTGGTCTCTTAGGTGTGGGAGTATGGGATGAGGTTCTGATACTGGTATCTGTTTCAGTTCAGGAGCATGTGGACCGAATTTGAGTGGGAGAATAGGGTCAATGTTAATTCGCCGATCGCGGATCCTCGAGAATACCTCCAGCACGTTATGAAGGTTACCAACATGTCGTGCTTGACGCCCGAAGGGGCTACTTCTGGTGATTGCGATTTCTTGTCTGCGAATATGTATGCTCGCAGTCTCTTCGGTGCGTCTCGTGAACCTGGCGTCTGGAGACTTGTCGCTGATGTACGATTTAGGCGAGGATGCGTTGGCCAACTTAAGTATCGAACGTACGGAGCAGGGTACTGTTACTGGACACGTCCGAATTCGTGCGAAGACGCAGGGTATTGCCCTTTCGTTGGGCGATAGGATTACCATGGGTGTGTATCATTCCTCCTTCCTGCGGCCACCGTGATGCTGACGACTTCCTTCTGGTGTAGCTCAAAAGGAAGCGAAGCCTCTTACTGTGTAATGAGTAGAACGATGTTGTGTTTTTATCTTTTCTGTAATTTGGGATTCTTTTTATTCTTCGTCTGTCCTTGATTCTCTTTCTGGGGATTGGGTTCCGACCAGCCCATTGCGGGTTAGGTGCGATCTGCCCGATGAGGAGATACCAGTCGTGATCCAGGAGAGTCGCAGGTGTACTACCCAAGTTGCCACGGTAGGGTCGCATCTGTTTGCCCGCAAGAACGATAACGCCTACTATCTGTCGTCGCCTATCGGTCTTTGTGCTGCAGCCAGGCGCCTATTAGTGTTTAAAGACCGGACGGGGCCTTTTGGTCGCGTCCAGGAATATAGGAACTCTAATGTCTATGATAATTCCCGTATTCATCGGCCAAACCTAGTTCATTTTCAAAAATTATCCGCCGGTCTGTCAAGTATTCTGAATACCGGCTTGACAACCGTTCGAGCTCGCTGAACTCGAACTATACTGAGATCCCGAATCGAGCCTGCAAGCTCTGGCTATGCCCAATTGAGATCGGACGTTTCTAAAAATAGCATCCGGCGAACCAAATACTGCAAGACAAATTCGGCTTGTGCGCCGCCGCTTGAATGGGACGATCTGGACTGTGTTTCCCCTGTACAATTTGGCCCAAAGGGCGCCCTATCGACAACTTGACTGTGGACCTCGATGTTCTCGGTGCTCTTCTAGACGTCTCTGAGCAGATTGGAGAAAAGGCGGGCGAGAGTATAGAGGCCTAGCAAGCCAATAATACGATGCTCAATTCTGCGCTTCGAGCTCTTAGTTTGTACGTCCTTCCGACACCGGTGAGTCGAGCTGTTCTGATCTTTGTTGTTGAGAACTAATGGATGGATTGATACTGACTGTTGGTTGTGCTGCTGGTCGTTACAGGCTTTTCGGATTACGCCCTCGTTGGACACTGAACCGACGCCTAGTAGTAGCAGACCGGGTTCGACGCGTGTCATGAGCAACCCGGGGACGCCAAAGAGGGGAAGAGGGCGAGACTCGGGAGAATATGGTATGTTCTATCTATCTTTCGTGCGTGGTCGCTATATGGGACTGAGATCGGCTCTGCAACGTCCCCGTCCCAATTAACCGCTGTACTGACCCGAATCTGGTCGTGTGCTACAGATCTAAGCCCGTACTCCCAAAGCGTGTATATGACGCCTCTAGGCCACTCGCCCCTCAGAAACAGTCACACCCCCGACGGATACGACCCGGAGAGAACGGAAATGAGAACTGGAAGTGGCAATGGCAGCGGTAATAATGGACATTACACGACGGTTATCACAACGGACTCTGACAAAAGGCGATCAATCCCAGTTCGATTTGGTGACGGTTGTGGATGTGTTTGTCACCGCCATCACCTGGCTGAGCCAGGATCCGGAGGGATTGGGGTGATTGGTGTGCAAAGCGAGCCGGTGACTCCAGAAAGGGGGTGGGTGGGGGATAGAGGGATCGGTTCGGCCAGTCACCTGTCGGTATGTCTGGAGTTCGTTTCTGTGTATCCTTCCCTGTTGGGCGTCTCTTTCTGTTTTGGGGCTCTGTGAGCTGGCTCAGATTTCCTTCAGGGAGGTTCAAGTTGCGCAAGAGCGTCTGCTGATCATTGAATTTAGGAATCTTGGCAAGAATCACCTTCTCCCGCGTCAAGAACGCGGAACAGACAGTCATATAGCGATAACGTAAGTCATTCGGTCGTAAAGAGAACTTCGTTATTATCGGGCTCACATTGTTTATTGAATTTCGAAGGACGCCGTTACTCTCCCTTCAATTTTGAATGCGGTAGGTTGACAGTGTTTGCTTTGGAGAAGTGTACCGACCAGACGTGCAGAACGCCTACCAATCCATCGGTGCTGAAGTCTTCGCCTTACGAGGCCCGCATGATTATTGCAGCAATACAGACTCAAGTCCCGTCCGAGGTATGATTGACGTGAAACAGGTGAAGAGCCCCCCCTCTTCCAATTCAATCGTCAACTGTCTGACTTCTGACCGATTCAGAAACGATATTCTGCCCCAGCGGGGACTTCAAGCGACCTTCTATCTCCGGACCAGTCCCATGAGGACTGGGAAAAGGTGACAGTGATATTGATAGCACAGCAAGTACCGGAAGGCTAATTAATGGAGAGAAGTCGATGTTACAGATGATGAATCGAGACATCTCTCTGGCACTAGAGCCCTCTCCTCCGCAGGCGCCTGCTCCCCCGAGTCGGAGATCCAAGGTGGGCTGTGCCCCCTGTGTTAACCCCGTTAGATTGAAGTGAACTAAGCTCGATTCGCTCGGTAGGACCCAAGACCCAAATCGTACCCCAATTCGCAGTCCTATTCCTCCAAATTGTTCGAGTTGGAGCTTTCACCGATCTTCGAGGATATTCAGGTGTTTGGCAGCACGAGTCTGTGTGGTCTTGATGATGATGGGGCCGATGAAGCAATTCCGGACCATGAGCATTCGCCGGAGCCTGATTCAGAGGTCCCACGATGGAGACCGACTATCGATGAGGATGGAGAAAGTGTGGATTCTGAACGTGACCGGGGTTCTGAAAGCGATGAGGAAGGATCGGATTCGTCATATGGGCAGTTGGTCGAAGAAAAGGTAAGCTTCCTCGTCCGTTTATCTTCACATCGTGATAGCACTCAGTGTATGCCTCACGTTGTCCTTTGTCGACATACTGTCGCTCCCCACTTGTTCGTTTTCACCACTTGTTCGTTTTGATGGTGATGGGCCATCGTTTTTTCTCTACTCCGCTGCGTAAGAGCCAATGGGGACACGCCTTTCAGTTGATGGCTCCTGATGGATGTGATGGCACTGAATTTTCCTCCTCGTTCGTTTTCACCCATTCCCCTTCGTTTTTCGTGGTTTAAAGTGCATTATCATGCTTAGAATTACTGAAAATGTCGGTATACCAAGTTATAAGGCGAAAGGAGCAGCGGAAACGGAGAAAACGAACATGTGGTGAAAACGAACAAGTGGGGAGCGACAGTACTGTGGCAGCAAATGCTCACTGGGCATTTACTAACTTTCATATCGTTTCATCGATTGATCGGCGCCTTTCCCTTCTGCACAAGCCTGGGACTGAATTGCACTCTACCAGAGATTTGGGTCTGCAGCGTACGACGTGAGCGTTGGCCAGGAAGATAGCGACATCGAAGTAGAAGAGTTTTGGGTGGATACGAAGGAACAATATGAAGAATTCTCCGCTTGTGTGGAAGAGGACTTCAAGGGTGAGTGGAATAGAAACCTGTCGTAAAATCTTCACTGAAACCGGTCATCAAAGGCGATATCATGGAAACTCACCAACTAGTTCCTGCGTTGACGTTCACATCTCCCACACCGGAAGAGAGTAGTTCGAGCGGAATGGGCGATTGCTCTGATGTTCCACAGGAGGGGAAGATGGCATTGGAGGACCCAAGAACGTGCAGGTTCGCGAGTCAGGTGGTGGATGAAACCGTCGAGGAAGTTCGGAGGGTTACTCCGACGCAGTGGACCGACACAATGGAATCCTCTGTGAACACCGTTGATGGGAGGAATGTTGGGGCTTGGAAGCATGTTGATGAGCACGGGCGTCTTGCGCGACCGCCTCCCTTGGTTATCGATCCTCCGACTGCGCGAAGGAGCCTCAAGGAGGCAGAGGGGTCAGAGACGCAAACGAGAAAGCGGTGGTCGATGGCGTCGTATCAAAGCCAGAGCAGCAGGAAGAGCGCAACCTGGAGTATCCGGTCTTCGACATCTTCCATCTGGCGGCGAGTGTCTGGAGCACTGTTTCGCGGCAGCAGAGTTCCAGGAGATGCCATCCTGGAAGGGAGTCATGAATTCGTAGAGTCGTCGAACGCTCACCAACGATCCCCACAAGAAGGTGATGCCACTTCCCTGAATGGCGATTTTCACAGAGAACGAGAACGAAATACTGGTACATCAACCCTAGGCCCGACACGTGCATTGGCAGCAGGGAGAATGGCAAATGACTCAGAAGCGGTCCCTGAGTATAGGTTGCATGGTGTGAAAGGCGTGCGGGAGAGGTTGAGGAACCTTCCGAGGAGGATGGGCGCGTTGAGTGGTCAAGGTGCGAATGCTTCGACCAGGCGAGGAAGGCTAAGTTCGTTGCTTCGATCTGGCGGAAACGAGACCCCGGGTCATCGACGCAGCCTTCCTGCCAGCACAGTATAAACACTTCATCGAACGGTGGTGATATGCGACCCTTTTTTCTTCAAATTTTCGCGTTCCCTTCTTCTGGATACCCCCAATTGCTGCCTCGACGGTAGCCCGTGCGCATCGACGTCGCCCATCAAACTCCTGCTATTTCCTTGGCGACACCTTCTCTTCTGTATTCTTTGCTTTACTTTTCGAACTGTGATTTGAAGTTGGAGGATTCCACGAGTTTCTGGATGGATTTGGAATATGGTGAGTGGGGGAACTGGGAGGAGGCCGTGTTTTTCTTGGCTAACGTCGGATTACGTGATCAAAACAGAATAGCGGTACACTCGAATTTATGACGATTTTTTGTGTTCCTAAGGAGCTCCGCTGCACGCGCCCTCCATAATGAAAGTGTAAGGAAACGATTGGGAGTATTTCATTTTCCGTTGAAAGTCAAGAGGACGAGGAGGAGCGGGCTTAGCCGGGTTCTGAGGATGTTGATCGGAGCGGCTTCATGTGGAAATGAAGGAAAGTGAAAAGCGTACCGTTCAATCGTTTCAGCTAAGACACTCATCCGTTAACTTGGGTTCGTCGTCCTCTCTTCTGGTTCACTACTTATGCTCGACCGCGAGCTTACGCCGCTTTCTTGCTTTCCCCCATGTTAGCTTCCCCCACCTCCCCTCCCTCCTCTGGTGCCCAGCAGGACAATCCCACTCCAGCCAGACCATGGCTTGACAAACTCAAACAGGCGGGGTCGCTGACCATCCACCACGTTAAAAGGCATACCGGCGTCGGTGTCGTCTGCGCTGTAGCCTACTTTGACCCGTACGTTGCCATCCACGCTGGGCGGGGCAGTTGAATGCTCACTTCTCGTTTCTCGTTCGCAGGGGAAATTGGGGTGTAGACTTGCAAGCCGGCTCCCAGTTTGGGTATCGCTTGCTCTTCGTTGTACTGCTCGCCGGTCTCTTTGCGGTGTTCCTGCAGGTGCGCGGTGCTGATTCGAGGCGATAAGGCTGTTGCTGACGATGTGCACTTGTAGGTCCTTGCGAGTCGGTTGGGATGTGTGACGGGACTTGGTACGTGTCTTTATTCCTCGCCATTTGGGGTTTCGCTCCATCTCGCCACCAACCACGCCCTGCTCGTGTACCTCGCCTTTTCTCGCGATTCCGATATCGTCGCTCAGGGTTGGGAAAAGTGCACTAGTCCGCGGATTACGACAGATCCCAGTCTATTATTGTTTTCGAGCAGGGCGGGTTTAATCTCCGTATCCCCCTTTGCTGCAATTCCAATCACTGACAATCTTCGACGGGTAGATCTCGCCGGGCACAGTCGTTTGCTGTTGTACAATCGACCCAAGCATACGCTGCTCTACCGATGGTTGGGCCTCTACCCTCTTTACGTCCTCGCAGAAGTCGCCATCATCGCCACGGATTTGGCGGAGCTCTTGGGATCTGCCATTGCTCTTTGCATGCTCTTCCCGTCCCTCGAACTTTGGCACGGCGTCCTGATCACTGCGTTTGACGTCATTGTTATCTTGGCCTTTGGTGATCCCTTGAGAGGGCGGCCAGTGCGGCTGTTTGAGTTGCTCATCGCCGGAATGGTATGTGCTTGCGCATTTTTCGGCTGTCTGTTTGCTAACTGTTTTGCAGGTCATCGCTGTTCTGGTGTGCATGTGCATCGTCATTTCCAAGGTCGACGTCCATTGGGGCGATGCGTTCCTCGGCTACGTTCCTTCCAAGTACATCTTCCAGTCCGGAGGGCTCTATACCTGTAGGTTTCATTCTTATCTCCAGTCACCTAGACGCTGACCTTTTGATCAGCGGTTGGCATCCTTGGTGCCACTGTCATGCCTCACAGCTTGTTCATTGGATCCGCACTCGCCACTCAAGATCGTATTGAGTTCCGCGAGTTGAAGAAGGAGGATTGGCATTCTATGGATAGTGCCGAGATCCCTCGCTCCCGGTTGGGTTACATCTGGCATTCGATTAAGCACCATGTGCAGCACGCCTTTGCGAAGCCACCTCCGAGTTTCTATGACCAGGCTACGAAACACAGCGAACACGAGAACAATCCGTTTGCTTTTGTCCGTGCCCACCTCTATCATGGAATCTTCGATGTTGCTGCCAGCCTCTTGGGCTTTGCTGTTCTCATCAACTCTTCGTAAGCTATATGTAGCCTATCGTTCCATACTCCTGATTAACCTGTCTTTCCAGGATTCTTATTTTGGCTTCCGCTGTCTTTTACTATGGAGACCAATGGTCAGGCGATGGCGACCCTGCCAGTCTTTTCGACTGTTATGACCTCATCCGTGACATTGTTGGGCAAAGTACGCATGCTCTCGCTTTATTCAAGGTTCGTTGCTGATCCATCTACTCAGGCGCAGCAACCCTCTTCGCTATCGCTCTTTTGGCTTCTGGCCAGGTACGTCACCCCAGCCTTCCGGTTGCCAGTGCATTTGATTCACAACATATATCCAGAGCTCATCCCTGATCGCCACCGTTGCAGGGCAAGCCGTTTGCGAAGGCTTCTTGAGGTGGAGAGTTTCTGTAAGTTACCGCTCGACACTCGGTTCTCTTGATCTTCTTTTCCTGATGCTGATTGTCACTGTAGCCTCTTGTCCGCCGGCTCATTACCCGGTTGTTGGCGATCATCCCTTCTATGACGGTCGCATTGGTGGTTGGGAGGCCGGGCATTGACGCATTGCTCGTCGCATCCCAGGTCGTGCTTTCGGTCGTTCTCCCGTTCATTACATTCCCCCTACTTTGGTGCACGTCTTCCAAGACGATCATGAGCGTGCGCAAGCCCAAGAAGACAGTCGAATCCTTCACGGCTGAGCCCAGTACATCAGACCTCGCGGTCCCCGTTCTCAACCGGGAACCCAGCGGTGCACCTTCGACTAAGGGGGATGCGAAGGTGCCGACTTCCCCGACCATGACCGTCTCCCCTCCTGGTACCCCGGCATCCGACGGCCCAAGCAAGATTCCTGATGCAGGGACAGCTGAAAGCGCAGATGACTACGAAATGGTGGATTACAGCAACAACAAGCTCACTATTGCGGTTGGTGTCGCCATCTGGTTGCTGGTCGTTGCCGCCAATGTCTACGTCCTCATCGACTTGGCCCGCGGTGGTTCGGGTTAAACCTTTGAATCCAAAAAGCCTTCGACTTTCTTTTACTCTCTTATTTTTGCATGATGCCATTTACTTTGTATTTTCTTTTCGACGACCATAGTGGACACCTTCAGTGATTATTGTTGTGATCACTAGCGGCGGACCATTTCTGAGTGTACGAATATAATGAATCGTCATGTCTTAGCCTCGCTGTACTAGTTCGTTGTGTAAATAGATTTCCATCCATATGTATTCACCACAACAGAAGATAGATAGGATTGTTAGGTAGCCTTGTTGAGGGGAGTAATGATGACGCCAGGCTGAAAGCGACATACAATCAGAAAATCGCTGCCTGAAAGACAAGGAACATAATTTACCTTTTTGACCACTCTTGGTAGCGTAGCTCTCTGGAACGCGACTCTCGTGTTCCATTGGGTGCCCAACGGTCTCTCCATCGTCCGCTCGAACTGAGCCTGACTCGTGTAGGGATATGGTAAATCCTTGACGAGGTACTTGGCAGCCTTCTTGTCCCTCTTTTCAGAGATGATGATGTGCTTCTTATTGTAGTCGGCTCGAGTCGTAGGGTCCACACCGGCGATCTTCTTGATTCGCTCAGGTTTGGGAGGCTTTTTGCGCATGCCTGCACCGGCCCATGAACCCCAACCTGGGATGGTAGTGTCCACTTCCTTAGGCGCGTCATCTTCGATTTCTCGCCGTTTGGCCTCTTCGAATTCCTGTTCCAAGAATGGGGCTTCAGCCAGTGTCATCAAAGCGGAAGTAAAGAGATACGAACTCGAACGACGTTGTCGCCCGCAAAGGCAAGCGCGACGAGATCGCGTTGTTGGAAAGCGGTGGGTGCAGCTGCTTTGCCCTTTCCTTTTGCTTTTCGGAGGAGTGCTTGTTCCTGAGCGTCAACCTCGCTGTTGGCATCCGAGTCTTCATCCGAGTCGTCGCCGCCTGTAGTTGTCGAAGTTTTGGCCTTTGGAGCCTTCTTCTGGGATGATGCAGCCGAAGTGGAAGCCTGCCCCTCTTTAGACGGTTCACCCAACTGCAACACATTATCCATCGAAATCTCAAGCGTCGCATCGTCCTTGGCCAGCTCCTTCTCCTCCTGCCGTTTTCTCGCCTCCTTTTTCAGCTTGTTCTTGGATTTTTCAGCGGATTTGCTGTCTTTGCTGACGACCACTTCGTTCTTCTTGCGTGCGATTTTGGCCGAGTCGTCGGTGGCGTGGGCGAGCCAGGGGTTGATCTCGCCGGAGGGTTTTGAGGAGGAGGAGAAGGTCGTTTCGTTCAGAGGTGATTGCGGGACGATGGGTGAGAGGAGGTCGGTTGATTTGAGGGTTACGCTGGATGTGTCGGAGGGAGGGGCGGGGGCTCGAGTTGTTGTTGAGGGTTGGCTTGTAGACTGGAGAAAAGGTCTGAGGGAGCTGATGGAAGACGAAAATGCAAATGAGCTTACCGGTGCTCCTGGCCGGTAGACTACACGTCCGCCAACCCTCTGTACCACGACACCACTCGAGGGATCGTGCTCCTCAGCTGCAACCTCGGCCTCCTCGTCGTCACTGTCCACGTTCATCGCTCCGGAGAGTTCGTTCATAAAGTCGTCAACTTCCCGGTTCGCCACAGCATCCTGCCTTGCCATAGCATCCTTCATGAACTTCATCTCGAACACCGACTTGCCCTTCTTTCCAGCTGTGACTTCGGCGTCGTCCCCGTCCGTCTCCTTCAGCTTCTGCAGTTCGTCGAATGCATCGGCTTTGATTTTCTCGGGGTCCTCCTCGTCCGACATGTCGTCATCACTGTCCTCCTCACTCTCGTCAGAGCCGAGGCCCTCTATCCTCCTCTTCAACTTCTCGCCCTTGTCCAACATCTCCTCAATCTCCTTTCGCTGATCCACATCGAGATGCTTGTGCTTCATTTGTCGCGCCCACTTGCCGGTGTGTTTATGGCGAAGGGTAGCCCTCTCCCTTGCCCTCTCCATCTCCCTCCTCATCTGCGCCTCCTCATCATCACTATCCTCCTCGTCAATCTTCTCCGCCATCCTCTCCCTCTCCTTCCTCTTCAACTTCCTATACGTCTTACTCTTAATCTTCTTCACCCGCTTCGCCTTGACCTCCGCTCGATACATCAGCTCACGCATCTTGCGCAGCTCGGCACGTCGTTGAGCGACTTCTTCGACGGTGAGGTTGTTAGCTTTGAGCATGCTTTCCTCTGTTTCCTGGATTTCGTCTTCTCTGACTTTCGCGGATTTGAGGAGGGAGTCGACTGCGCTTTCGAGTGCTGTGGTTGGTTTGAACTTGGCGGTCAGCTCAAGGTTGGAGACTCGGCCTGCTTTCTCAGCTTGTAGAGGGAAGCTTAGGTGCTCAGCCTATACGAGGGTCTACAGTCAGAGGAGAAGAAGGATAGGGGACAGTAGTGCACTTGCTTCTCGTATCCGTTTCATGGTATTCGACCATTTGTCAACCTCCTCCTTGGTCTGCTCATATGCTGCTTGACGGTCGAGCTTTTCTTGGGCACGTTGGGGGAGTGGTGCGGACAGGGATTTGGTTTTAGATGATGAGCCCAGGACTTTGGTCGTCTTTTTCAGTGACAACAGGGACGAGGATTGGGTCGCCAGAGGCTCCAGAAGGTCATCGAGGTTGAGCTTCGAACCTATATCCCCCATATCTATTAGAATAGTTAAAAAAGGGAATTAGACTATGAACATACCGCTTGCATTCACTCTGAACTCGTCCTCAGCACCTGTCTCCGTCTGTTCCTGGATTAGTCGTCGTTTTCGCTTTTGCTGAGATGCTGATGGGTCCTCGTCGGCTTTGCGTTTTTGAGCGGTGGTATCGAGGGCTTCGACGAAACTTTGGAGGTTGTCCAAGTTGCCCTCATCGGCTTCGTCGTCGGAGGCGGTGATTTGGAATTCTTCTTCACCCTCGTCGCCCTCTTCATCCTCTTCGTCGTCGTCGCCGTCCTCTTCATCTTCATCTTCGTCCTCCTCGTCTTCGCCCTTCTCGCCAACCCCTTCCTCCATGTCAAAATCGTCGTCCATATCCAACTTTGACTGCGATTTCGAAGGCTGAGGTGAAGATTTTGACGCTCCTTCCTCATCGCTGGGCATGTCGATTTCGCCCTTGCCGTCCAGGACATCCAAGAGATCAATAAACTCGTCAGGGTCGCCTTCTTCTTCCTCATCCTCGTCTTCATCCTCATCTTCGTCGCTCTCCTCCTTCTCCTGGGCTGGAGGCTCGTCGTCCTCGTTCAAATCTACTTCAGCAAAGCGTACAGAGCGCTCCTTTTTCTTCGAGGCTGCTTTTTTCTTCTAAAAAGCTAGTTTAAACAACACCACAACCAATAGTCGCAAGAACCGTGCACACCTTGTTAGGGAAGAACTCTGCGAACCGCTCTTCGTCGCTCTCCTCAAAAGCAGCGTCACTGTCAATTTCCTCGTCGTCTTCGCTATCAATCCCCTCGTCATCGTCGTGCTCCCCAATCAACCTAGCCCGCAGGGCCTCCCGCTGACCGTCCTCCAAACCGTCCAAATCTCCAAACTCTTGGGCCTCATCCCTGTCGAGATCCATACGGACCTTTGACCGCCGTGTCTTCTCCTGGACATACTCGTATACATCCCCCACTTCCTGCTCCCGTTTCTTCGCCTTCAGACTTTGGCGATGGGCATAACCGCTTGCAGCATTGGCTTTGCTCTTCAGGAGCGATTGTTTGCCCTTGTTCGGGCCGAATTTCTTCTTTTGGGTGCCGTTTGACTTTGGTTTTGTGTTGTCCATGTCGTTGAGGGTGGTATTGGAGTTACGGCCGGCGTAGGTTTTGTCGTCGTCGCCGTCGACGATATCGAGCCTCGAGCAGTCCTCGCGAAACTTTTTGGAACAACAGACGCCGACGATGTATCGGCGTCTTCCGTGATTGCATCAATAATATTGCACTGCCACATATGCCTTGCTTCAGTTCACCTTTCGCTGCTGACCGTACCAATTGCAACAGATGCTGGCATTCGGGTTACGAAGAGTAAAGCACCTAATTAGATTCTCTTGTACACTAGAATAACCTATAACCGATCCCAAAAATAGAACATAAAGGGAAAACCAGGATGTCCATTATTCCATCTTTAAATAAGCGCCCGTGATTAAACTAAGGATTCCGATTGAGGAATCGGAGAATTTGCTGGCAAGAAGCGCACCGTTACTTGCAGACCGTGCTCTGAGAGCTGGCTTAACCTCTTCAGTACCAAATCTCGCTGGTCATCCCTCCCAAGCGAAACCCCAGCATCCCGCTGTCGAATCGAAACCTCGACAGTCTCCAGCAATGGCAACTTTGTGTTACCCCTCTCCCCCGAGGTGCCTTTTCCACTTGAGAGCGGGATCAAGAATCGACAAAGTTCATCCCACGCACTACACCACTCCCGACGACCCTCGGAGGCAGCTGCTGATGGTTCGTACAACCAGATGACGAGCCGCCTCAGGGACGGGATCTGAAACAGACCAAGGAGATCAAGTACTCCACGTATCATCTTGACAGGACTCGACCATTTCTCCCCGTATCTCGGAGGTAGTTGGTAAAACGCGATGGTGGGTAGCTGGAGTAGATGGCTGAACTTCCAGCGAGTAGCGAGAGGTGTTGGGGACATTGGGTCTAATGGATCTGGAAGCGACAGGGGGAAGATTTGTGGTGTTTATCAGTTGCCTCTGTAGTAAGCGGTGAAACGCACCGATTGTACATCCACCATTGTGCAGGACGAACTCGAGTCTTTCGAGGTGGGAGGCGGCGTTGTTGATCACTGCTGCCGCGCAGGACAGCACGGCTTGCGAGACCCGTCCCTGGACTGACACCCTCAACGCTCTAAGACCGCTCGTCTTGAACGTCCACGGATACTTGCTCCAATGTGTAAGGGGTAGTAAAACGTCAAGGAACAGCGCGCCCTCCATCACCACCCAAGGCGCATTCGTCGTCGTCACAAGCTCCAACGTCTCCAACCTGGCCGGTGGATAATCAACAGGATACGCAGCCGTCGCAGGAGGGGTATGGGGGTACGGAAGAGGAACTCGCGATCTGAAAGGCGAAGCACTGACATCCCGCACACTCCAATGCCGGAGATTCTTCTGCTTTACGAAGAACGACGCCGGAACGGTGAGCGATGCGCCGTATAGCTGCACCGACCGGATCTGCGTCGAGACTACCGAATGAAAGATCATATCGGTGCCCACTTGGAGAGGGATTATGGCGAAATGGCCACAATGGTCGTTGCTTACTCCGACGCATAGCGTTTGGAGTTGGGTAAGTCGGGAGAGGATCGGTAAGACCGAGTCGCAGAGGTGGCCGGGTTTGTATTGGGATGGGCCAAATGTGACGGACGTCTTCCCCGGTGGTGGGTACTTGTTAAACTCGAGGTCAAATGAGATGCCCTTGACAAGTAAGGCCAAGGAAGGGTTGGCGATGAGGACATCCCGTAGCTGCTGAGGTGGCGATTTTCGTGTCGCCCATGTGATAGTCAGCTTTGGATGATAGAACAAGTGCCTTTGCGATTTGTTCTTGAAACGACTTGCTGTCTGCGAAAAGGCGGAGAGCGTGCTGGGGGAGTTGTGGCAAAAGTCGATTACGATTTCAATGATTTCGGTGGGGAGGTCCATGAAATGGGCTGGGGACCACGTCGAACGAAGGAAAGAGTGAAACCGAACGCCCTTTCGACCTCACCCACATCTTTAAGTAACACCACGCGGCGAGCGCTCTCTTGTGCGGTGGCAGAGGGGAGGTCGGTCTCATCTCACTTGAGCACAGCCCGCGTGTCGATCCAAGGGGTCTCCGAAACAGCGGAAGCCCGGGATCCATGCTAAATCCACCTAGGCATTGATAGAGGGAGATCAAGTGTTGACTGAAGGGTTGGGCATTGCCCACTAGTACTTTCGATTTGAGCCTCACCAGGATCCACCGTACCCACTTTGAACAACCTTGTAACCGGCTGAACGGACACACTAACCAACACCCGTGTAAGACGGAGAATACAGGGAATACATCGATATTCGAATCAACTGTCGCGTACAGCAATTCTAGAACGATAGAGCAAACATCAGAGCTAACTAGGTAGGGAAACAAGTAACAGGAAGTATGCTAGTCCAAATGTCGAGGCGTGTATGGTCCAACAAAGGTGAGCCGAGTGAGTACTAAAGACAGATCTTGAGAGGCAGAATGCAAGGAAGGAACAGCGAAAGGTGTGCTGCAATACATGTATGATGTCAACAACAGAAAGTAACAAGGTCCTAACTAGTCCAGTTGATAAGTATCCAAGGGTCATTAGCATAAACGAGGTAAAAAAGGGGTCCAAAATGCGAGAGCAGAGCAGAAAAGATATTCCACTGGTACACATCTCCATCTCGGTACCCAGCAACATACCAGACCTACACCCCACTAACCTTCCTCTCACGCCCAGCTCCCGATCCGCCAGCACCTAAGCTCATAGCTCCAAACTCGTCCGCAAGCGTATAACTCGACCGAGCACGCTCCCTCCCCCCAAGATGCTTAACACCCAACGACTGACTTTGTCCTGTTCCTCCTCCAAACCCATTCCCACTCATATTGGGCATACTCCCATACGGGAACGGCACCCCTCCCCCAAACGAATTCATCGAGGGCGACGGGACCATCAAAGCCGGCACCATCCCATGCGGGGACATAGGCATCCCCATCCCGCCCATCCCAACCGGCACACCACCCATCCCCGGCATCCCTCCCATCCCCATCTGCACAGCCCACCCCGCCCCTCCGACCATCCCCATTCCCATCCCCCTATTATAATGCACCTTCTGCGCCGTCGGCACACGCGTCGTACCAGGCTCCATAAGCTTCTGCAGCGCATAAAGCGTCATAAACGCGTCGTTGCCCGCGTTATGCAGCGTGCATTGCGGGAGGACGATGGGTACTTGCACGGGTAGGGATTCCTTCTCCCGGTCCTTGTCCCGACTCGAACTCGAGCCTGAGCCTTTGCCGTGGCTTTGTTGCCCGTTGGCATTACTATCGCGGCCTTGACCCGAGTTGTCGGAAGAGGTGGGGAGGTTGGGTAGTGTGAACGAGATGAGGAGCTTGTCGAGTGACAAACTCGTCCCATGCGCGCGTAGCTGACCCGTCGAAGGATCCATCATGGGACTCCTCATCCCAGCCGCGTAGAGCGACTTCTCGAGGACCATCGTGTCCAGAATTAGGAGGTTGGCAGGTAAACCTGGTACACGGGATTGAGAAGATCACGGACAGTATGAGTAACAACGACCTTTGGATTACGCGAGAGACGACGATCGGCGGAGAGAGAAGAGAAACTTACGAATCTTCATATCCTCCAACCTCGCAAGGTGCGGTTGCAACCCATGACCAACTAGCACCAGGGTATTCGCCGACGTTTCTGATTCCGGGCTAATGAGACTGCTATTAACATTGAACACCGGTTGTTTTTGGTCGTCGTCGAAGATTGGGTGTGGCAGATGTTAGATTACACCGCCCGTGAACCAGTTCGAGAAGGGTCGCGTTGAGGGACCGACCATGGGGTACGTGATATGTCAAGCAGGGTTTTCGAAGTTTCAGATTCGTAGTGAAAGAAGACAAGGAGCAGGGTCGAGAACATGGTCGAAAGAAAAACAAGTCAGTTCACAGATACTTGAGAAGGAAGAGAATAGAACGGACCTAATAACAGTCTGTATCACCTGGGGCAATTTAGCTTTCGGAATCGTTTGACTGTCACCGAACTGTGAAACCGCAAAAAGAAAGAAATGGAAGAACGAGAGGGAAGGGAGAAGAGTCGTGAAGGGACACGAAGGGGTGTGAAAGCGCAAAAACGAACCAGATCGGAGAAATCAAAAATGGCAAGAAAAAGGTTAATCGAATGAAAAAAACAAGCGAAGGAGACAAAGAAACACCGAATCAGCTCTTCGAATCTCCCGAATAAAGGGGGACGAGATAGCTACCGCGTACTGTGAACGTGAACGAAGCGAGTCAGTCAGACGATCCTTCCTCAGCCTGGTGAAGATTACTCACCAGCCAAGGATACGTAGGTGAATGCTTGTTGACGATCTTGTCCACATGTTCAGCAACGATGTAGTGGCCCTTCCTACACGCACAAACCAACAGTCAACCACCTGACCCCCAACCCCAAAAATAAGACAACGACGAACCGATAATTCGTATCCGGATTTGGTGGCCAGTGGCCCAATCTACCCATCGACATAATACAAGCCCAAGCGAGTCAATTAACTTGTTCATCCATCCATAGGGGAACCAGGCGACTCACGCATCCAAATGCCCACACCGCACAGCAGCATACCCAAACTCCAAAACGGTCTTCTCGTTCCTCTCATTAACCTCAAAGTCGATGGCTAAGAAGGTCTTCTCCCGCTTCTCCCAGAGGTCCTTGACGACCCTGGGTTCGCCAGCCTTTATGCGGGCTTTGAGCGCGGCGAGGATGGCGGCGGGAAGCGTGGCGTGCAGGCGGGTGTAGGTGGCGTAGTCGGAGATGTGTCGGACGCGCCGTTGGGCTGTTTCGAAGGGGGTGATGATGAGGATATTGGGTGCCTGTGGGAGGGTCTCGCCGAATCTGGTGGTGTAATTAATTAATTAAAGAGTCGGGGAATGTAAGTACTTAAGGGAATGAGAAGTAATTAGATGAACAGACTGACCTAGTCTTGATCATCTTTATGAACCCGTGGATCGCGCTCATTTTCGTCACGATGTGCGCCCTCCCAGTGAACGCATCCGTGACTGTGATAACAGGCCACGAAAACCCAAGGAACTCGTCGAAAGAATCGAAGAAATGGCCCCATGATCGTTCGTACCTGTTCGCTGTCGTTAGGACACGATGAAGGATAGCAATCCGGCGAGCCAGGTGGGCATGGGCAGACTCGAGACACACACCAAGGAATATTGTACATCTGAAAGTACCCAATATACGCCGAATACACCTATGTTCCATAACTTCCGTCAGCTCAGAACTACTGCGGAACCCTCCAGATACTCACCGAATGCAGATCACATTCCCAGTTTTTGGGATCTACGAGTACGAAATCTGACATCGTTCCTCCTGCTTCTTCTCGTTCCTCTTCACAAGAACAGTCCCGGTCCTAGTCGAAATAATGGGTCTGACTGAACGTTCCTCGCTGCTCGAGGCCAGGTGGTGGCGAAATGTCTAAAGATAGCTGGCTGATCCTTGTAACGTGCTCACTGTCAGCGCGAGTCGTCGGAATCGCTTGTGGTGCGTTCTCGAACAAATCTGCCGAGTCCTCCTTGGCTCCCCGTCGTTGTCGTTCGTCGTCGAAACTGGATTGATTAAGTCGTAATCGACAACCTAATAGTTTGATTATGCCTCGAACTTGATTGTCGTCGTCTTCGTCGTCGCAGTGAAACCAGGGTCCAGGGATGTCGTCGCACCCACTACCACCGTCTTCCTCGGTCCACGCTTTTCAAGGATTAAAATCTGTGATAGATCCCAATGGAAACCAACGTTGAACGTTGCACGCTTGATAACCGATCCCAGTTCGTCAAACTATCGAAATCCCCAACCTCGTTTCGTTTCGTCTGTCGTTCCAAAATAGTTCTGAATCGTTCAATCCCCAATCTCGACCAACCAACTCGTCGTCAACAAACAACACCGAAAGCGAAAGCCCAAAGAAAAAAAGAGAGAAAAGAAGGGGAGGAAGGAAGGAGGGGTGGGTGAAGAGGTCCAAGTTCAGCCTGGCAAAGGGCTAAAACAAGGAAGGGAAGGATGTGTTGTGCCCCCGGCCATGCCGCATGCGCCCGCCTCTCCCCTGGCCCATCGCATCATCCATCCCATCTCATCGGGACACGATGCCGTGGCCCGCGATCAAGCGAGATGTCTGTCCGTCTGCCACTGTGACTGTGACTGCTGCAGTTGTCCTTATGCCCATGGTTGTTCAAACCCCTAATGTAGAGGGGAACTTGAGGGGAATACAAAGGAGACGACATAGGTAGACGTCCCCCTTAATTTTATAGCGGGAATAGCGAGGAAAAGACACACGGAATGTCAGGAACGAAGATAAACATGTCGATCATCTCACCATCTGGGGAAGCATTCGAAGAGACACGACGAGCGACATCCATGACAGTGGTAGGAACGAAGGAAAGAACGATAAATACATTATTGAGTTCCGTCATCATCACAGTAGTAGGTAGGGTCAGTGGAGCAGCAAGAGCCAAAGAGATGTCATAACCCAAATAAACTCTACATCTCCAATTTCCTTCATCTTCAACGGCCCATTAAACGACAGCGTACTCGTCCACAGTGACGAGTGCATCGACAGAGTGAACGACCTCCTCGCCCTCGCCTTCCCCGACCTTTGTGACGCTGCCAACGCCGATGCCTCCCAAGCTTCCCTTGCCGACGAACCCGACATCGACGGGGAAGAACACGCTGGTGTCGTCTCCATTGACGGTGAAGATCAATGAGCCAGACTTGGTTTCCTCGTTCGAAGGCGAGACGTGGGGGATCGTCCACAACAACGAGTGGGAATCGGCGTCGAGGGACCAAGAGCCGGTATGGGATTCGGATGTGACGGTGGGATAGGAGCCATCTCTGCATCAAACCCCGTTAGCTTCCAATAGTTCGAACATCACAAGAAGGGAACGTACGGCAAAGGAATCAAAATCGAGACATCCCACAACTCTACATCCTCACTCTCGAGTTCGTACTCGATGCTGATCTCACAGGTGCCATTGCCAGGGGTAGGCCAGCAGTTGATGTTGAGCGGCACCAAACTCTCATCCGTACCCGCATACCTCCACTTCAACACACCAACGTTTTGGTTGAGAGGGAAGGCTTTTGAAGGATCCTTGAGAGCGACGACGCGGGGAGCAGAGGGGTTGGCGGGGAACTTGGAGACATTCGGGTGTTGCTTGAATTGGAGGTTGGAAGGAGCGGAAGAGGGTGGTGGTGAGAGGGTTAAGCGGATGTGGGAGAAGGCGGCGTCGGCGATGAGGAGGTTCATGTCACCCTTGAGTTCCATGCTCTGGACACCGCCATCGCGCAGGATCTGGAGGGAGAGCGTCTCCTTGATTGACACATGGACACTTGATCAAAGTCGTCAGTCGGACAGTCTGGTTAACAAGAGGAAAGGACGTACGATTCTTGCTCGACTTCAGGAACGCTACCGCGAATGCTAGCAGCTTGAGGAGCGGGTGCCCTGGGTTGCTGCTCGGTAACAACGGGGGTGCTAGGCGCTGAGGGCTCTGGGGTATAAGCAGCTTCAGGACCGAGCGCGTCCAGTAGATCTGCTTGCTTCTTCTTCGCGCCGAGCTTGAGACCGCTACCCTTGAACGCAGGGGCCTTGGCGGGGGTAGGCGCCGTAGGGGTGATGGGCGTGCGTGAGCTTGAAGATGGGATATCGGGAGCATCGTAACGAGGAACAGGAGAGTATCCAGACACTCCTCCACCGATACCGCCCAAGTATCCGGTACCGCTTCCTCCGCGTCGCTGCTGCTCGCGACGCTGCAACTCGAGTTCCCGAGCTCGTTTCTTGATGAGCTCTTTAGCCTCTGCTTCCTTGTTCTGTATCACCCAATGGCATCAGTTACAATCCACAACACAGCGACGAGTAACCACGCACCCTAGCAATGATCTCCTGAATTTTCTCTTCATGACTCTCCATCTCCAATATACTCTTCACTTGCGTAAGGTTGACATTCTCCCTATACCCCGCACTAACAATCTCATCAAACGCCCCAAGCAACTCGAACGCATTCAAGATGATCTCTCTCTCATCTGCACTCCTACAGATATCCGAGACGACGCGGGCGAAGAGGTGGAGGGTATCGATGTCCTGTAAGATATTCGACGCTTTATTGGTGATGAGGAGGATGTAGAGATCTTCGAGGGGCTGGTAGACGTAGCGCACGTCGGCGGTTTCGACGCTCGTATGCTGCGTGTTGGTGGGGATCAGCTTGGGGAACGACGCCAACAGCGACTCGATACGCGTCCGCGTCATATCGCGGAACTGGCGCGAGATAACAGCTGGATATCAAAACAACCCCCAAGTCCAACCATTAGATTCATGATATTGCACCAGTTGTATAGATTAGACTCACGTTTTCCGCCTTTTGTGCATATCGAAGCTGCTAGGACGACCTTTGTGTGGGGTAGGAAATTATGGTCAGGGGTTTGGTGCTATCGGGAGTTGGACTGACCATCGTTGTGGGCTGGCTGGGCTTTTGGTCGGTGGAATCTAAGCGTGCGCGGGCGTGGTGATGGTACGTGTCCGAGTGCGAGCGTCCCTTTAGGGCAGGCCGCATCACCCGCGGCCCGTTGCAAGTCCGTTTGATAGGGGCGTCGCGGGTTGTCTTCAAACTATTACCATCTCTTTCTTCCACCACCATAGACGGCGTTGAGAACGACGCGTCTGCTGGTAACGAACACAATACAGAGCCCATATTCTAGTATTCTGCTTGATTTTGACAAAGGCGGGGCTGACCTCCTTCGACAACGCGCGACCATGAAGACTTCGAGGTTTTTGTCACATCGACGGAGGAATTGAAGGTAAGCAAAGGCTCTTGACATTGTAGTTGGCGATGACTACAGCGCGTCTTATCACACTTGTAGACTCTGGGAAACCTTCTCAGTCCATCTACTCAGAAGCGAGCAAAGGCGGGGATCCTCGTTGCCTATATTTCTCGATATATACCTTTCCGTGTCCGTTCACCTCGGGACCAAGTACAATCGTGGGTGCACTCACATGACATTGAAACTCTCATTCACAGCTTTTGCTGTGACGCCTACATATATAGAGGTGCACCCCATTTCACTTCTCCACCCTCACCCTTACCCTCTCGTCAAGCGGCTCGAGGGTGCGGCTAGAGCTGCCTTAGCAGTAAATGATCCAGTCTCGGGGCTATGTTCAATCGTGGGTCCACTCACATGACATTGACACTATCATTTACAGCTTTTACTGTGACGCCTACAGATATATAGGTGTGCCCCATTTCACTTTTCCACCCCCATCCTTTCCCTCACCGCTATCAAGCGTCTTGAGTTCTCCGATTGGGACTAGGAATGGGGCAGGGTTTCTCGGGCTGGGTAAGGTTCCAATTTACTGGCGCGATCCCTCCGATCCCTCATATCGTCTCTAGAGGAAGGAGGACGATGTCCCTGCAGAACCTGACCCGAATTTGTGTGCGTCCCGCCTACCTTTCCGCCCTCGTGAGCGGACTTGGGACTTACACACTTCTCCAGACAGTTTTGCATCCGAACAACCGTCTCTGGGGGAAGACCATGATACCTCGCATAATCAGAGTAGGTTGTTGAGAATGACGCTAGCGGTGCATTTTTAATTAGTTTGCAGACAACCCTGGGGAAGACATACCACCGTCCACCCATGGTGGCCCATCGAACGTGACAATCCATGGCGGAATTTTCAACAAGGCGGGCCGAGATTTCCACCAACACCAGCACCAGCATCACCATTACCACGGTTATCCAAACGAGGGGCGGTCTATAGACCGTCCTGCTCTCGACAGAATCCTTTCTCGGCTGGTTCCCAAGGTCAACTTCCGAGCCATCTACCTCGATGTTCAGAAAAAATGTACGCGGGGCACAGGGGAGTGGTTCATCAGGAGTCGCCTGTACCGCGAATGGAAGAACAGCGCATGTGGGATCCTTTGGGGTATGGGAATGCGTTAGTGATCTACTTGACCTTCGTCCAATCGGCTTTGCTGACTGGAATTAACTGCAGCGGGGGCCGGAAAGACTGTCCTATCGTAAGCACTCTCCACCCACACCATTGTCAACAGCTCTTAATTTCATGCCAGGTCCACCGTGATCAAGGACCTCCTACGCCTAGAGCAGGAGTCGGACGACGTGAGCGTCGTCTTCGTATTCTGTCGATACACCGAGCCTCTTTCTGTCAAGGACATCCTGGAAGCCATCATCAAAGAATATCTCGAGCAACATCCCTTCCTGATCAGCGTCGTCGAGCCGCTTTACAGTCGTCACGAGCTGACGAAGACAGAGCCCTCTGAGGATGAACTAGTCACACTGCTGGCAGACATCGAAACCTTCTTCCGAAAGAGTTTCTATGCACTAGATGGCGTCGACGAGGCACGGAACGACGTCCAATTCGATCTTATCAAGCTATTCAATTCGCTTCAGGGAAACATCATCCTTTTCTCCCGCCCTCTAGACGAGCTCGGCGCCTACCTTGACTATGCTGTGCTGTTTTCCGTCTCTGCGCAAGCCGAAGATCTAGAGGTTATGATCGCAGACAAACTTGACCGCCACGTCACCCTCAGGCGAATTCTCTCGAACCCAGAGCACAAACTTGAGGTCGTCAGAAGAATACAGGAGAAATCCGCTGGCATGTGAGTGATCCACGAGTTGCAAACGTGCAGAAGAGCTCAATCTTAGGTCGTGAGCAGGATGTTGCATGCTTCCCTTCAGATTGAAGCTCTTCAGGGTTGCGCCACTATCAAGAGTGTACGCCGACGACTCGAGGAGTTCCCCGCCAAACTTGAAGACATGTATGAAGCGACTATGCAGCGCATTGAGGCCCAGCCACCAGAACTGGCCGACCTGGCCAAGCGTGCGCTTCTGTGGGTTGTGTTTGCGCAAAGGACTTTGGGCATCGAAGAATTGCTGCATTTTTTGTCTTACTGTCCGGAGACGGGAGTTTTCGACCAAGAGCAAGCGGTAGACCAGGCGACTCTGCTCGCAGTCTGCTGTGGCTTGATCGACATCACCCGATATCCCTATGTTGGTGGTGATGTTCGTCTCGTCCGTGAGTCTCTGCAAGCCCGTGCCCTTAAAATCACACACTGATGCTTGCCAGATTTCACTTCGAAAGATGCTTTAGAGGCCATCCTCTGCCGCAAATACCCATACCCGCACGCCCTTCTGCTGAGAACCTGCCTTCAATGGTTGGCGAATTGTGGCATCCCGCACTGGACAGGGGCCAACCTGTACCCCGACAATGTCCTTTTCCGTGACTACGCCTACACTTATTGGGCGAACCACGCTAAGCAGTGCAGCGAAGATCCCCATATGAAGAAAGTCGTTCTGCGTTTCCTTCAGCAATGTACCAATTACCCGTTGCTCCTTGTCCCGCCTGCTTCCGTCGAAGTCGATTTCCTGCGCCCCCTTCACGTGGCAGCTCAGTGCGGTCTCCGCTATATTTTGGAGCCAAAGGCTGCTGATGCCATTCGTGCGTATGGGTGGGACGTCAACGGGCGAACGAGCCTTGGAGCTACAGCACTTGCTCTAGCTTCACCAGAAGTTCTCGATCTCCTCCTAGAAGTCGACGGCATCGATGTCAACGCCAGGGTCCAGGGCGGGAACACTCCGCTTATGTATGCCTGTTTCAGGGGGGACGAGAAATCAGTTTCTCGTCTTCTTGGTGTCAAGGGCGTAGACGTGAACATCCAAGACAGCCGTGGTTATACAGCGTTGATGCTGGCACTCGAGGCTTGTTGGCTGGCTGGCGTTGTTGGTGATGGAAACGTGGATTGCTTGCTCAAGCACGATGGGATCCTGGTCAACACTGCGAGCTCCGGCGGTGTTACTCCCTTGATGTTGGCGTCGCGCTGGTGCAATATCCGCATCGTAGAACAACTACTCGAGTTCGAAGATATCGATGCGAATGCCATGTGCAATGCAGGGCGAACCGCACTGTCAGAGGCAGTGACCTCATGCAATCACCCCCCTCATCTAGCTGGAGAGGCCTGCGGTGAAAGCATTGTTGATCGCTTGCTCCAGTCCATGAGTATCGATGCTATCATCTCCACAGACCATGAGGGCAGGACAGCTTTAATGCAGGCCTGTGCGACCTTCTCCCAGTGTGGTGCAGTTGTCCGACGTTTACTCCATGTCGAAGGCATTCCACTTGACACAGTCGATCGTCAGGGTCGCACCGCATTATCCTTAGCGAGCGACACCATTGTCGATATTCTACTGGAACACGCGAGCCACGGAGATTTCAACGCCTGGACCCAATTTAGACAATTCGGTCTTTCGTCAGCAGCACGATGGGGGCGTGCCAGTACTGTCGAGAAGCTCCTGGAGATTGGAGGGCTTGACGTAAACGAGGTAGACGAACAAGGGCGAACGCCCTTGATGCTTGCATGCGACCTCAGCGTTTGTTTTGTTCCAGATGCCAGTGATCGGCGCTACAGAACTGCAAAAGTCCTTGTGGAACATGAAGACATCGACTTGGATCGACGAGATAGCGAAGGGAAGTCTGCTTTGATGATTGCGGCGGACAACGACATGGACGAACTTGTGGAACTTCTCCTTCAACATGGAGCAAGTCGTGAAGGCTTCGAGTTTATTTACGGGATTCCGGATTGGTTTTTCTACTATGGCTTTGATCTAGGCCTCCCCTTTTTATGAAGGCTCGCGAGTTTTAATAGTTTTACATTTCTCTCTGTTATGTAGAGGACGTGATATGCAATAATGGCTAGGCTAGTAGTGAAGGTGGGATTGTTGCTCTGTGACCGCTGGGTATGCGCTGAGACGTGAGGATTATACCTTTCTGTAAGCTCACCCGCAACCGGGGCCTTTGATGACACCAACCTCCAATAATGTTCCTCAGAATTACTACCTGCAATGCATTTCAAATCGTAGGGGGTTGGCGCAGAGCTGATGCTGCGGCGCTCAATTTGAATTTTGAATAGGCGCTCGTGGAGAGGGGCGTGTGAGTTTATTTGTCAGCGGGTTTCGCTTGAGCCGGCGAATTCATTCGTTTAGTGTCTTCTATCCCCGTCCACATTTTCTATACGAGTTTTTGAGTTTCTTCTTTCAGTTATACCAGCGGTGCAGGATTGTAATTGCAGCGCACTATGCTATGATGCCGCCGGCCGTTGGTGAATCATTGCGATGCACTTTGACCCCGTGTCACGACAGGGTCGGTAGAAAATAACCGAACACGTTTTAGGCCTCAGGAACAGGATCAGATACCGGTTGGCTCAGTGCCTTCTTAAAGACGCTCACTCTACTATTCAGCTGAAATATCGACCTTTTTCTCTCCTCTCATATCCATAGTTTTATTGCCTTGATGTCTGACTGGGCGCAGGTAAGTTGAGCTGCTTTGCTTAAGCTTTGGAACATTGTTCTGATCGATGTATGGGGTGTAGAGCAGCTTTGCAAGTTACTCGCATCTTGAACGTCGACGCTTGCTGATCGTCCTGGATTTCATTGCAGTCCCAGCCACCCCCTCCTGGATATTCTTCGGGATCGGGATACCCAGCACACCTCAGTTATCCAGGTCAACCGCCTCCACCAGGGACAGTCCTCACCGTTGAAGTAGTTGGAAACGCGGCCGATGGTCCATCGAATGAGAAAAGTGCAACAGAGGAATCTCCACATCCACATGCGCCCCCTGCCTACGGCGCTCCAGGTTCCCTCGATTACCCTGGTACACCGGGCAACCCTCTCCCTGTTATAACCTACGCGCAAGGTAGCACAGCCCCTCCACACCATCCCGGTGGGCTATGGTATCTAGGGACCAGGCTCCTCGATCCCACCACTCCAGCACCACTCGGAACGATCAAGGTACCAGGGTACGACCCTGAGCCTGATTTCGAACTTTTGCAGGCTGCGAGGGGGCAAGCAAAAGTAGATTTATACGACCAATACAAGAGGCAGGACGAGAATACTGGTAGGTCAAGCTTTCGTCATTGGTTTAAATTGGAGAGTGTTGTTGTTCACCTTTAGAAATTGGTGTTTCGACAGTGGTTGTCCCGATTGTCAAGTTGACGCTTCAGCAACGGGACGCGCTGAACGATTATTTCGTGGCGAAAACTGGAGCGGATATCCCGACACATATGGACCGAGTTGTGCAGACCTTGGCGATGTACGTCCTCATTCTTCGTGTATATGCGTTTCAAAGACAACTTTGACACCGATTTCCAGGAAAGATATCATTAAAGCACTGATATGGGGCCCGTTACTGTTCGATGCTTACCTCCTGAAGAAGTGTCTTTCTCGGTTATGGCAAGCTTTCTCCCTCCGTCGCCGTGGCTAGAGGGAAAATACTGACGTCGTGTCTCTCCATCTCTGACAGGAGGGACGAAATGATCTTGGCGGAGGTTATCCTCAATCGCGACCACGACGACCTTCGCCTCCTCACTCAAGCCTTCAAGCAACAGCATAACAAAGACCTTATCGAAGCTGTCAAGGATTCGCTATCTAACAAGATCCAGCGAGGTACATGTCGTCCTAGTAATCCATTTTTGAACGACTCATCAATGCGCTTCTCATCCCTGTCCAGTCTTTGTCATGGCTCTCAACTGCCAGCGCACACCCGATAACGTTCCAGTCGACCAAACCCAAGTATTAGCCGATGTCGAAACACTTGCAAACGCGTGCAAGAAGCGGCAAGACCTACCCTTCTTCGAGATCTTCATTAACCGGAGTCGACCTCACCTTACTGCTGTGATCACGGCCTATGACCAAAGTCAACCCAAGACTCTGAGTAAAGCCGTCAAGAGGGCTTGGTAAGTCCCTCGCCTTTACACGCCGTTTCTTCCCAGATCTAACTAAACGTATCTCTCTCTCTCCATGAATGTAGCTCGGGCGATGCCAAAAACGCTCTCCTTTACATCCTGCACGGTCTCAAGCCCAAACGTGGCGTCGAACAAGCGAGCATCTGGCGCGACGCGAAGCTGATTGAGAAGACGATGGCAGGACTTGGAACAAACGAATCCCGCCTTGTCTATCGAATCATCAGGGCACATTGGGATCCGAGCCGGATGGCTGCAATCAAGGAGGTGTATGAGACAAAGTACGGGAGGACGATTGAACATCGAATTTCGAAGGAAACGTTGCCGGACCATTATTCCAAAACATTGTATGAGATTCTCAAACTCTCCGAGTTGGACAGGAAGGAGAAGGTGTAGGCATTGGGACTGTCATGGATGTAACTGTATTATCGTAAACGAGGAGCGTCTACTACCAAGTACTCACTGGCGGAACGATTTCCCCAGCTGCATAGTCCGTTGAGCGCTCGGTAGGATGTGAGATTCAAGTTCACATTCAACCCCACAGTGTCAGTCGGAGCCTCGGAGTCTCGTGGTGCATGCCGCTCGGCATCTTCCGTGGGCGCTTAATCCAGTTTCGATGCGGTTTCAAATTATTCACCGTTCGATATGCCTGGTCAACTGGGGGAAAGTTCTTAGTAGCACGAGACACATTGACCAAGGGATATACATAACCTGAATTTCGACTAAAAAAGAAGCTACGTACAGCACTCTAAAACGCATGGACTAGACATGCATACATATCCACGACGAAGAACTCGAGAAAAAAAGAACAGCTCGTAAAAAATGTCGTACATAGTCATAAAGACCTATCTCTCCAACGAACAGAGGGAGCATACAGGGTACAGTTGGATATGCATAGCATATGGACGTATGAACGATAAGATGAAGAAATAAAGCATCGTAAGACAACCGAAAAAAATGCGAAGCATCGAGCTCTGAATCAAGGAGAAAGGAACATCACTGCTAGGGTACGAGAGTCGAGTCGACAAAACGAAGTGACAAAACAGGCAACGAAAAGCGAGAGGGAGAAAAGAAGAGACGAGGTAAGTACGGATACAGCTAACAGTCTATAGTGAAGGCGAGCGATAGAGAGAGGGAAAAAACTGGTAGAAATACACCTTGCAAAGGGGGGTATGCAATGGTTGCGTTGTCCGTGGGGTATGAATGGAATGACAAAACAAGGTCATGAAAAAAGGATGGATAGGAAATAGGGGAGGTGAAAATAGAGGGCGATGCTGAAGAGAGATGGATGGCAGGATAATGAAAACTGGAGGAGAGGTAAAGGATGACAACGAAGGAATACAATAAACAAAGACAGAGAAAACACGAAAGCGATGCAAAGTAACGGACGACTTGATCAAATGGAGAGATAACGATAGAAAAAAGATAATGCGGTGAATGGAAGCGAAGAGGAGAGTCGGAAAAACGCGAGACGATATGAAAAAGGTAGCAGAACATATGAAAACCTCAGAAAAACGACACCAAGTGCCTCTAATCAGTCAAATCCTCCAAAACAAACCACATAATCCCATCACACAGCCGATTCACCTTCTCCTTCGTACCCCCAAACTTGATCGTACTCGCAAACCGCATAAGCTGGCCTTTTGTGTCGCGATCAAGTCGAAGGACTAGATCCCTAATCGACTCTCCATTCCTAGCGGGTTTGGAATCGGTCGACTTCCCTCCACTCAGGCCACCTTCCACAGACCCCCCACTCAAAACACTCCCACACCCACATTCTACCACCCTCCTCAACACCCCCAAAATCCCCATATACACATCCGAAAACTTGATCCAATCGCTCACATTCTCATTCGACAAGAAGAAATGCATCAACACCGGAAGCGTCGACGTTGAGAAGAGCGTTTGGAGGTGTTGTCGCGTTTGAGTGTTGCGCTCGTCGATCGCGTCTGCGCCGTCGTCGTCGGATGCAGAGGAAGAAGTAGTGGAGGAAGTCTCATCGTCGTCGTCGGAAGCGGAAGAGGCGTCATCATCGTCAGCAGCAGGTACACTAGATCGTGCACCACGACGACCAGGAAAGACGAAATCATAATCATCATCCATCCGGAACTGAATAGTCCTCCCAGAAAAACACGACACCCCATCATCATCAACCCCCTTCCCATTGCCAGACCCAGACCCACCCACCACCAAACTAGACTCCATAAACAAAACCTTCAACACCCCCAACCAACCCTGCAAACACTCGAATGTATCAACCACAAGCGTCTCAAAAGCCTTGGTCGTCCTCTCCCTCCTGGACAACACCAGCTCCAAGAACGAAAGACGTTTGGGGGTGTCGAGGAGCGCTACGAGCTTCTTGGCTGGCCTAGTTCGTGAACTGGAAGACGAAGAAGGGGGGCACATCTCCTCGATCATGGCGGCAAACGACCGGTCGAATACATCGATACATTGGGAGATGGCGATGAGCGCGACGAGTGGACAGCACGACTTGATCGAGCATGTCTTGCCACCTTGACATCCCTTGGGGCATCCCGGTCGATTCCGAGTTGCATCGGGGTTGCTGGTCAAGTTCTCTGAGGATGAATCACAGCAAAGAGGCTTAAAACACCCCCGACAATGCATCGTCGAGCATCGCTGACAGGTGACGTGGAGGGTGCGGAGGAAGGAGGGTGCGAATGGGTCACTTGGGATCTACACACAGCAGCCCATCAGTGGCTATTATTGGACGAGAAACAGAAAAAAACTCACCGAACTCGCGGCCCCAGCCTGGCCCTGCTCACCCGAAACTACACACCCGCAATTGACACACTCCCTCGAAGCACTCAAAAACTCCAACTGAGGCGCGCTCTCCACCTCGTCCTCCAGTGGCACGCTCTTGTCCTTCCCACTGCCACTACCGCTGCTCCTCTGCCGGTCGCCCAACGGAGAGCCCACCAACAAGCCCGAGTTCAAGCTCGACGAGGATAAAGATCCAGACATCAAACCCATCGCCAAATCCCTCGCAGAAGGCGAACTCGAGATACCACTAGGGATGGGCATACCAGACGAGGTCGATGGTCGGCGAGATTCAACTCGGTGGACTGGTGCAGTTGTAGCAGGCTTAGGCACCGTCGGAGGAGAAACAGATGGCGTGACCCGAGAAAGCGCACGAGGCCTCGTTAGCGTAACGACCGGGGAACTTGACAATGCAGACGTAGACGGTGGGATCGTTGGTTTGTTGGAGGCGGGACTAGAGGATAAAATAGTTTTGGAAGTGGCGGGACTAGAGGATAAAGCGCGTTTGGAGGAAGTAGGAGTGGAGGATAAAGCAGATTTGGTAGTAGAAGGCATCGCCGCACCCGGGGCGTTACTCCCCCGCTGAGCAGAGCGGGAAGACTGAGGGGAAGGGATGGCGACTGGCATCGGCTTCGACGATTTAGACGACTGCTGTGACGGTGGCTCCTTTTGCGTGGGGGTAATCGTACTGACAGTACTAACACTGCACACGCTGGCGGTAGATGGCAGGACTACCTCCCCCAACGTCCCGCCCGTTTTGGATGCAGAAGCCGACATCGTACCATTCCCATTGAATTGAGAAGTCGAAGTCGAGGTCGAAGTGGAGGGCGAAGGATTAAAATAAGACAGGGGGATGGGACTCGAAGATGATTGCTGATTATGATAGCGAAGACGATCCTGCGTCAACGCCGAGGCGGTCGTCCTTGACGACGTAGAGGTCGAAGCAGAGGTAGAAGAATGACTTTTGGGTGGCGCCGTGGCGGAATTAGATGCTGTAGAAAAGATTAGGGGTACTTTTGTATTGGTCAACCCCGACGATGTCGACGTGGAAGACGTTTTAGTATGGGCCGACGCATTTTGGTGACGTGCTGCTGAAGCAGAAGAAGATGGCGTCGAAGGCCGGTAGGAGGAGAACGAAGCCCTCGCCGAGCGCGACGCAGAAGCAGAAGCGGAGGCCGAAGCAGAGGTAGACGCCGACACAGTAATCGGCCTCGAAGGGGACGGCGAAGTGGAAGCGGAGGTGGAAGTCGAAGTCGAAGCAGAACTGGTCGAAGGCCTCGAAGTAGAAGTCGAAGAAGTCGAGATCGAACTGGACGCCCTGCTGCCCCAACTCGGCATCATAACCAGCGGAGCAGGGGGCATGGCAGGCGGCGAAGCCGACACCGCACGCGCAGCTTCAATCAGCTGTGGCTGGATCGCTTCCACTCTCCAGCTCCTTGCCAACTCACGAGCTGCCTCCTCGTCCGAGATGAACCGCTTCCCACTGGCAGCAACGCTCGTGTTGAGCCCGTTGGGTGGGCTGGGAGGATCGACCATGGAACTGGCAGAGGTCGACGTCGAACCCGACGATTCAGACGAGTACGAATACGACGAGGAGGAGGAGAATGAGGTGGAAGAATCGATGGAGCTGGTGGACGTGGTCGATCCAGACCTCGTATGCCTCCTCGGCACACCCCCGCCACCGCCCAACTCGCTCGGAGAAACCAAAGCGTACTTGGGCTGAGGGATGGACATGGGCTGCGGCTGAATCCTAGTCGATTGCGAACGGGAATGGGAATGGGAATTGGATTGCTGTTGAGTGGCGCTTCGTCCTCTCCCGGTCGACCCCGCTGTTCCATAGAACGCGGAACTCGACGTCGAGTACGAAGTGGAGTAGGAACTAGCAGTGGTGGCGGTGGAACTGGCTCTAGAAGGCGCGGTTGGTCTCTGCAGCTGTTGCTGGTACTGGTGGGGGCTATATCCCTGTCCGATCTGCATCGCAGTCGTCGCCGCAGCGGGAACGAGCTGGCGTTGACTCTTGACCTGCGCCTCGCGCTCCGACTCTGCCAACGCCCTCGCAAGCGCCGCATCGTCAATCGCCTCAAACGCCGCACGCTGCGCACGAATGAACGCCTCCTCCAAATCCATATCTTCGCAATCCATCGCGTCGAATACAGACGGCGAGTAGAAATCTTGGTTGCCTTGCGCACTGAGGAGCGCGCGGATGTTGATCGATTGTGGTTGGTGCATCGGGTAGGTAGAGGGGTTGTCGTACGATGAGGAAGAGGAGCTAGAAGTCGAACTGGAGCTTCCGCTTCGAGTTGTAATAGCTGGGCTTGCGGCTGCGGAGGACGCGGAAGCGTAGAGGGCCGGTGCAAGGCCGACCATCGACGATCCAGCACTGCTCGACGTCGTGCCAACGATATCAGCACTACCCGCGCTTGTTGACATTTTTAATGGGAGATGTTGTGTGATTTGGGATAGATGTGATAAGAGTGACTTGACTTGCTGTATTGCAGTTGGAAATGATTCCGACACCCGATGTCGTTGTCGTTGTCGACGTCGATGTCTGTCACGCCGTCACTATCGTCCCAGGCGTCGGTGCGTAATCGGGGTGGAGATGGATGGGCGTATGCGGCGCGTACGTGTATTTAGTGGCTCCTATCCGCGGGACCTAATCTTCACCTAGTGCAAACTCGTCTTCGTCGATCTCGAATCTTCTGAATCCAAGGTTTCCTTCTGTGCAAAATTACACTCAGTAACAAGCTACCACAATCAACCAAAGCAAAAGTACAAACGCAAGCTCCTAACTCACCTTTGGAACAGATTTACTCGAAACCCAAGAGTCGTCGATGACGGAAGACGATAAGAAATAAAGCAAGCTAATTACTGGGAGATATTGAGTTTCTGGCTGATTTTTACTGGAATGGGAGGTGCTTCTTGATGTTATGATTTCGGATTCAGATGGCGGGTCTAGATATGAAAAAAGACTTGGGTGGGTGGTGGTCCGTTGGAACGTCGTCCGGCCGAAGATTCCACGATGGGTAGGTGGGTTTTAAGCTTTGTGTTCTGTCGATCCGAAGGTGTACGTTGCGGTGTGGAGACCTGTCCAAGCTCGGGGCTGTTAACGTTGGGCGTCGTCGATTTCGAGGACTAGTGGTTCGCGGGTGTGCAAATCTACACCTTTGCGATTAGCCTCCGCTGCATACAAGGAACCACCAGCAACACCTTTACTCACCAATAATCACAGCGGTGGATAGATACCAAATAAAAGAAGATCCTTCCTTCCTTCAGGGCTTCGAAAAAAGTTCGGTTTTTGTTATCCGTAGTCGCTTTTAGGGTCGTTCTTTATGTATATCGAGCAGCAGCAGCAGCAACAATGGTATCTGAGTAACAGTGGCAGCGGGAGAGTCTCGGAAACAGTGTTGGCAAGGTCAAGGTCATTGTACAGCTTGTGTGTGGGTGAAACGGGCGGTGGCTAGCGATGGCAATTCAATGCTCGATGTGAACTGGATTGCTGAGTGGTGACTGGTCCACGTCAAGATGTAAATGGTTGATTTCGAAAAAACTAGTTGTTGTTCTCGTTCCTGTATCAAAAGGGAACCGTCATCAGTTTTTGTCGAATTTTCCACTTGATATCATGATTGTCTCCTCCTTCCTCGCCTCCAAGAAAACGAGCATCCACTTACGAATAAAATTCAAAGACTCAGCATCCTGATCCAAAAATGTGACAAGAGCAATAACGTGAAGAAAGATGGCCAAGGAAGAGGAAGGAGGAGGAAGGGGAGAGGAACTCCGCCACCTCCCCAGCCCAACCCATATAAGGCGCCCACCCAAACATCACACGGTGACGCTACCCTTACCCTTCGCCCAGTCGCTAAAGTAACAACACCAACTCAAAAAATAAACGTGAAACTCCGAACAGAAAAACGTTGCCATTAGCCATGCATACATATGTCATCCCGAGCAAAAAACGTGTACTAAAGACCGAACAACCACTAGAAATAGAACTTTTTCTCTCGAGACAAGCGTTTCGTGACATGGATCAGAGCGGCGAGAACGCTGAGTGGAAACGGTGAACAACACGTGTATGCCTCGAGGCCGAACTTGATTTTCTTTCGGTGATGACATTCTGGTACATGCTCGCACCACAGAGGTGGGTCGGAACTTGTGAACGCTCTCAGGAAGTTCTAAGTACATCCTATATAGAAGCTATGGAACCGATGAAGGAACGATGGGAAGGGGTGACATGTATTCTCCGAGGTTCCGTTCTCAGAAGCGCGGTTGTCCCGTTCTACCAATACACGAGGCACTCCGAACGTCAAGGATCCGGCCCACCCGCCTAAGTGAGAGTCTGAGATGCAGTGGCATGATCCATCGCTTTTGATCCCGCCCGCCGCGCGGGACGGGCGCTTATCCAATTCCCAAAGAAGTAAGCCAACGCGAGCCAGGGTTCCGCTCTCTCTGACGATGACGTAGGCCCCTTTTTGTTTACCGGACCTACACAACAGAAAGCTCAAGTTGAACTCTTTCATAAAGCCTTACCCGAGAAAACTATATAGGATATAAGGCATACTGCCCACTAGCGGGGGTACCCCCGGGTACCCTCGCTTTTTCGGTGGGGTACCGGTACACAGTAGCATTATACCGTATAATGGGAGCCCTTGGCATGGTTCCCGCTGTCAATCTACCACCCTGATACCCACCGAACACCACCGAAGCGAGAAACGGCTGATCTGATTGATTTAGTAAACAAGCCCCTATCAACCTACAGCCAGAGGTGCGAAAATTCATCTTTACCCTCCTCCAATTCTTCTGCTTCTCTCTCAGAGTCTAATTCAGCTTGATCATGCGTTATCTCAACGTCTTCTGTGCCCCATTCATTTGGTTTCTCGTCCATTGTATGTCTCTTCCCAGTTCAACCCGAAATTCTGGCCAATGGAGCCCTGGGTGGTTGATTATTGCTCCTACACATGGGATGGGAGCCCATTTCTAAGTTAATAGTACAGATAGAATCTATCTGCGTCTTAATCAATCGTGAAATTCATGTACAGACGCACCGAGCGCCATCGAGAGCAAGGGAGAGATGTGAAGTTCAAATGTTCCAATTCAAGCTCCGCATCAAAAACGACCAAAACGGGCACTTCGCTGCCCGAAATGGACGCCGGCATCGCTCGGCGCCAAACCGCCTGCCAAATCCGCTCGAGCTTGGACCTCTGCTCTTCAAAAGACCTCCCACTTCCCAAATCGTCGAAAAGACCGTCGATTTCAGGCGATAGCTGGTCACGTGAGGGTACCGGGTACCGTGACACGGTTTCAATACATATGCATGCTGTTCAATTTTGATAACCGCCCCTCCTCATTTGGATAACGTCGGTCTTCATCGCGGTGTTGCCCAGGATTAGATTTCGTTCCAATCCCACAGAAAAATATATTAAGAAGATACGAATACACATAATCTTTTGTACAACCAGAACACGAAAACCATGGGTATAACCACGTCCACCCCCGTCCTACCTCTCCTCTCTCTCTACGCCGTACTCCTAACAACCATCAAAATCCCCTCCCTATAACTCCCACTCGTCTCACCCTTAATCCTCGCCTCAAGCGTCTTCCCATACCGATTCCTATACGCCTGCTTCACACCCTCAAACCTCTTCTTATCCCAATGTCCCCTCATCGTTCGGTAGATAAGCGTCGAATCCCGCGTGCCCAGACCAGCCATCGTCTTCTCGAGTAATTTGGCGTCACGCCAGATTCCTTGCCCGTCCCGTTTGGATTTGACACCATGTAGGATGTAGAGGAGGGCGGTTTCGAGGTTTCCAGAGCTGCCAGGAGTGCAAACGAGTATGTTAGCGCTGATGGTGTAGACGGTAGAGGAAATGGACGTACAAAGCTTTCTTTACGACTTTACTCAAACTCTTGTGTTTCTGTCCATAAGCAGTGATAACAGCCGCAAGATGGGGTCGACTCCGGTTCACAAAGATCTCGATGAACGTCATCTCGTCTTTGTTCTTGCCAGCTGTGATGAGCCTGTCGACGTCTGCTGAAACTTGCCCGTGGTCGATGGGGACGTTGTCGGGTGTCCGTTGGGTGTTGAGCGCCATTACGAACACTAGAAGATAAAGAATTGGTCAAGAAAGGGGCCTGTGGAATAGGGAAGAGAATGAAAGAGACATACGTCGTTCCAGCTTGCCAGACAGATCGCTCTTGACATCGTCCACGAGGTCCTTGCCATATCGCTGCTTGTAGCCTTGGATGAGCAATCGCAGCTCATCCTGGTTTCGGTTGAGAATGAGTTCGGTCAACAACATCTCGTCCGTCCTACAGTCCACATTAGACGCCTGAACAGAATCCAACTGAATCCACAAATACTCACCCGAACCCAGCAAGCGCCTTCCTCAACAACTCGATGTCGTACTTGAGTGGTCCCAACGATAACGCTCGAACCATAGTCCGTCTGCAAAGACGACGTCAATATCATAAAGAGGCGTGACGAGGATAAACGCAACTCACACTTCACTCGACAACACCGCCGGTTCCAAGAACGTATGAATATCCTGTCCCACTTTAGCCGTAAAATAATCATTCAACGCATCCCTCTGCTGAATCGACAACGGCAACAACATCTTAATCGCTACGCACTCAAAAGTCAGTCCCCGCTTCAAATCCTAATCCGAATGAACCGAGAAAAACGCACTCTCACTATCATCAGCCTGCCCATTCTGCAACTTGCCCTTCAACTTTTGGAACTTTTCGAAATCAGGGGCGGGGTCGTAGCCGGGTAGTTTCATAGCTCCAAGCGGTGCAGCAGGTGTGTTGGGATCAACAATCTGAACGCCCAAATACCAGAGTCCTCCGACTGCTATTGGGGGCGCACCGAATGGCATCGGGGGAGGAGCGCCCCCGGGATAGCCTGGCATCGGAGGGGGCGCGCCGCCGTAGGGAGGGTATGGAGGTCCACCTGGTGGCGGGGGAGCGAAGGGAGTTTGAGGTTGAGGAGCTTGCTGCTGCTGCTGTTGTCCCCCCGCAGGTGTAGGCGCCGATCCATCCTTCCCTTGTTCACCAACTGCAGGAGTCGCTCCCGGTGCCCCAGGAGGCGGGTAGGCACCGTAAGCCGCACCATAGCCCGGATACGCTCCGTAGGGTGGGTAGTGTGGGTAGGGAGGGTAGTGTCCAGCCTGCTGTGGCGGTTGTCCTGGTGCAGCCGGAGGGGTTGGGTAGCCCGGGTATCCACCAGGGGGCGGGTATCCTGGATAAGCTGGGTAGGCGGGGTATCCCTGCGCGGGCGGATATCCTGGGTATCCTTGCGGTGCGCCTGGTGGAGGCGGGTACTGTCCAGGAGGCGCGCCCCCTGGCGGTGGGTACTGGCCCGGTTGTGGCGCAGCTCCAGGAGGCGGGTAAGGCGACGCAGGTGGTTGGCCGGGAGCTGGTGCCGCAGGCTGAGGGTAATACCAAGAGCGATGATCAGCCCACATCCAAGTCGAGTGCTAAGTAAGAGACCAACATACCGCGCCAGGGGCTTGAGGAGTCTATACGATGCATCGATAAAGACCGTCGATCAATACCCAGATGCTTGGCGACGCGAAAGTCAAATCGGATGGTGCTCACCTGGTTCTGGGCTGCTGGGTCAGACATACGGGTCTAGAGAAATGGGTTGGGTAAGTGAGAAAGGAGGATGTGCTAGTCAAAACTCGGAGCGCCTGTCGAGGCTCTTATAAATCTGTAAAGGATGGTTTGCGGAGGTGTGGATACCACACCGCTTTTGGTCATCTGCTCGGTCGAATTTGCGAATAAAATAGGAATGGGTGGATATTTCGTTTCATTCTCCATTGATAGCGGTGCGTATGGAAGTCGAAGCAGTGAGCTGGGCCGGGCGGAAAAGGCTGTGCCCGTATTCGCCGCTTGGATTTCTGGCTGAACTTTGCACACTGATCAGCACTCGCGGCGCGGTATGCGGTGGGTGGCGCTGTAGAGAAGCTGTTAAAATGTTGCATCGCTCCTGGTGTCTATGACCAGGGAGGCAGGGAGAACGCAAATGCACGAGAGCGAAGCGATGCTCAACGTCACCACCACGTCGCCAATAGTAACACCGTTCCCTTATTTCTTCCTTTCATTCCCTTTGACCTGACAGCCTGCTGGGTTTTCATTGTCTTGAGAGCAAGGGTTTGGGGATGTAGACGAAGGTCAGTGACATTCGATATGTAGGAAAAGGTGGACAGTACCTTCAACATCGCGACGCGAACTTGCAATCGTTCCGCTGACAAATTGATTCACACGCCCCTATCCACGGGCGCCTCTTCAAGGGCACTTGGTAACGCGGATGGACAAAGCCCTTGTTGATATTACAGCGCAGGCGTAGACAGGATCAGGTGTATTACATAGCTTTACCCTTTCCCTTCCCCTCCACGTGCTGGGACGCCGCTTGTGAAGTCTTGAGAAACGCAAGCAACGACTCGACAAACCGCCCCGACACCTTTATTGTAGAAACACGCTGTTCAAGGGTTTTTCCATACCTCATCTCGTAGACACTCTTGACAGCCCCCAGCCTCCTCGGATCCCAATGCACCCCGATAACCCTCCAAACCAACCGAAACTCGTTCGTCCCAACCCACGTCATCGTCTTGTCGATCATTTTGGCGTCACGCCAGGGCTTGACACCGTTGACGATGAAGAGGAGCGCCTTTTTCGAGTAGCGCGATGTGAATGGACTGACCAGATGAAACTGTTAGCACGTCATGCACACACGGGTTGGAATGGTTGAAGACGGAAAAGAAATATACTCACAAAACTTTCTTGACGGCTTTACTCAAACTCTTGAGCTGAGTCTGAGCAAAAGTCTCAATCACAGCAGCAAGGTGTGGTCGACTCCGGTTAACGATAACTTCAATGAACGGTATATCGTCCTTGTCCTTAGCCGCCTTCGCAAGCGTTTCGACGTCGGACATGACCTGATTACGGTCAACTGGAAGGTCGTCTGGTGCGCGCTGAAGGCTAAGTGCCATGACAAAGACTTTTCAGACGCAGATGAAAGACGCGTTAGAGGGGAAATGCAAAATAGTCATACATAGGACACCACGTACTTCGCTCCGTCTTTCCAGATAGCGCCGCGTCCTTGATGGCATCGACAAGGCTTTTACCGTGCCGTTGCTTAAAGGCTTGCATGAGCAAGCGGAGATCATCATGATCGCGGTTGAGGATGATTTCCGCCAGCGTCATTTCATCCCTCCTGCCAAGGGCCGAGGAACAAGGTCAGTCGTCGCATAGCTTCACCCACGAGACGAGAGAGAACACTGACATTTCTCGAGAAAGACATGTCTTCAACAGGTAGACGTCAAACATCAGCGGCCCGAATGTTAATGCTTTAAGCATTTCTTTCCTATTGAAACTAGGGTCAGTCCAGCCGACGATAAATCTGTACGACTATGGGAACGCACAGATGAAAGTCCTGAACAATCTCCCCCATATGCGTCTCGAGGTCCGCTCCAGTCTTCGCCACAAAATAATCATTCAACGCGTCGCGTTGTTGGAGTGTCAACCTTGTAAGAGGTACAACCACTATCCAATCAATGTTCATCAGCTCCCTGAATCATCCATACTCACAGAACCCACGTCAGTTAATAAACGCACCTTCATTCTCGTTGTGTATCCTAAACCTACTATCTCCCTCTTTCCTCAGCTTCTCCCTCGCACCCTGCATGTACTCGAAATCAGGATGGGGATCGTACCCCGGTACCTTCATCGTTCCTAGTGGGGCTGGAGGGGCGTTGGGGTCTGGAATCTGAATTCCCCTGTAGAATAGCGCGCCGAGGTAGGACTGAGGGGTGCCGTAGGTTGGAGGGATTTGCGGATCATCATGATATCCAGGTTTCTGTTCCGTTACTTTCGAGCTGTGGTTGAAAGCAGCATCGGCGAGGCCAGGGTCAGATGAGTAACTCGGAGGTGGCGGGTTGTAGGTCTGTTTAGCGGCCGATGGTGCAGGCTCCTGGAGTGCGTAAAAAGTTACTTGAAGGGAACTTAAAGTAACTTATGTCCCTGCCAAAATATGTGGTACGGGCCACCTTGAACTTATTCCCACGGTACGCGAATCTAACTTACGGTGAACTTGTGAACTTGCAACGTGTTGCAACTTACCATGTGTGCCGTACCCGAGGACAACTAGCTTTGGCACTTCAAATGTTACTCTACATGACATAGGTAAAGTGCCTGGAGCGTGAGGTATACAGAAGAGTGGTTGACTGCAATCACGACGCGTCGGCGGTGTCGTCAGTTGCGTCTTCTGAAATAGGGGCGGGGTGCACCGTGCTCACTCTTCCAACACGTCCGTCGCGCTCTAAGAAGATGAGATGATATATTGAGGCTATATTAAGTACGGGAAATGTATTGACACAGGAGAAAATGAATGCCATATCCCTGTATTGACTACTACAAATTGGGACACGATCGTGAAGCTGCCAAACTCCAAATGAGCGATAAATTAATCAAGACGCTATGCCTTTTCTGGACGCGCCATAAGCTCCAATGCGTGATGGTGTTGCTTTTTCTTCTCTACCACCCACTTCACGCTCTCGAAGCAAATCTCAGTGCCACACCATCTGTCCGGGTTTTAGACTCCATACCAGGAGTGTCGTGAACAGCCGGTACAGCCCCTATTTTTCATCTTATCTTATCTAATCTGTTTCGCATCTTATCGTTCCACTTTCCTTTACTCCTTCGCCTCCTTATTCCCTCTATGGACTCTTTCACTCATGGAACACTGCCTCGCATTGCCCTTTGCCCTACTCTATCGTCCTTATTGTTACGCACTGCCTTCTGACACACTCTGACACCTTCTTGTTCCATTATTGTTTCATTCTTGTTCTTCGCGCAGCCTTCGCGCAGCCTCATGACCTTTCTTATTGTTCTTCGATGTTTCACCATTTGTTCGTCATTCTGACTCACTGCGGCTATGTAGACAGTAGAATAGGTATATAAGCTAGGTAGTCTGCTCTGTATTTCCTCAGCTTGACCTCTTCGTCAATACATCGCTTCAGCCTTCATCTGCATTTGTCGCTCATCGCTCTTATCTTACTCGCCGCTCTTATCTGCTCCGCATCACTGGTCTTTGGTTTGGTTTAGTGTTCGCTCTTCGCGACAAGGAGGCCCTGGGCGTGGTGGTGCTGTCACGACTCACGGATGGGTCACTTCTCCCTGAAAAATAAATAGAGAAGGTAAGAGAGGTTCTTATTCTTCTATACACCGAGCTGACACTTGTGGATGACCGAAAAACGTTCTCCATTGACAAGGTTGCTACGTGAATAAATTACGTGAATTCAGTCAACTAACACGAGTTCGGTGTTCGATGTTCGAGGATTCTTGCGTTCAGCTCCTGTTGAGGCTGGGTTGTTCACGGCGTCGCTTTTGCTTGGGTTTAGCGCTGTCGTCAGAGGAAGGCGGCTCGTTACTGTCGGTGTCTTGCTGCGCACTAGGCCTCTCGCGCTTTTGAGCTGCTTCTCTAGGGGGGTTACGTCGATTCATGGTCCCCAAGGGCTTGAAGGGCAATTTTGTTTGGGCGAGTTTTCTGGGTCCGGCTGGGGACGCTGATTCCTTGTCTTCCATGATTCGTCGCAGCCTGGGCTGCAAGGTTGACGTGTCTTGGTTACCACCAGTCAATTCCGTGTTCTGATGCAACGGGAATGGTAGCGGCTCTGTTCGAGCGGGACCGAATGTGGAGGGTTGGGGTGGGTCTTCGAGTTGCATCGAGAGCTGACTGACAGGTGTTGTCGACCCTAAGATGTAGGGCTGTCCGTCCTCTTCGAGAAGACGTATCAGTTCTGAGGGGTGGGGTACCTGGACAGTGTTATCCGTCATGTCCACGTGCCGGCTGAGATGAAGCTTTTGGAAGAGTGCAAGGTGACTTGCACTCTCCTTTGTTGATCCAGCTACCGGTGCGCTTTCCTCTCCTTGTGCTGAACTGGAATCTGCGCAATTGAACGCCTTCTCGTGCTCTGTAAAGTCACGGACAATACGGCCTCGGAAAGCGATGTCGTCGTCCAACGCCAGGTCGTATTCTTTTTGTGTCGGAATGCGACTGAGCTCGTAGATTTCTGCGTCGTGGGCGGGCGTGGCTTTCAGATATTGGCGAATAATGACCAGCTCTAACAGCACCATCAGAGCAACAACTGCAATCTCTCCTTCGTCTCCTGTAGAAATGTGGTTGTGAATGCTTTGGCAGTGCTCCGTAAGCAGGGCGCGATGAGCGGGAAAAACGGGCAGCGAAAAATACTGGCGAAAGAGTGCAATATGCTCCTGGCGTTGGCGGCCCTTTAAAGTTGATGGTATAAGCTTCATATGATAGTTCATGACTTCCTTGATAGGGTGAATCCGTGGTGTTTGAAGAATATGGATGACGGTTGGAAGTGCTGCATCCACTGCCTTAACAATGTCGTGGTGGTCGTTCTTGATGAGGTAGTCGTACTGCTCCTTGCTGAGGTCGTCTGTAACTAGCTCTACTGGCCACTTTATTGCACCAAAGGAGTGCTGATTCCAAAGTCAGACAGTAGCAGTTTGATAGTGAAAAGAATAGTTGCTTACCGTGTCACTCTTGGTATATTGACGGTATCTCGCCTCGGAGCACTCCAGTACAGTAAGGGTAAATGTACGGTCGATCAAGGGTGCTTTAGGTGGCCAAAGATTCGCTTCGTGCCATTCGAGTGTTACTGCAATTCCCTTCCTCGAAATAATCTTGGCAGGGAACCACATTACCGACTTGTCACGTCTGTATCGTACCACGGAGCTCATATCAACGAGGATATAGGTACCCATCCTAGGTGATTAAGTCAGTTAAACACGTAGCAGTTCGAGGCCGGCACGTACATAAGCTCGTCCCAACGTCCACCTTTGATGCACTGAGAGCAACAGAAACGATACCCAAGATTGACCCCAAGGGTGTATTTCGACGGTATGAACTTCTCAACACAAACCAGGTGGCTGGTACCGTTGCAGATGGAGCAAGTAACAACACTCTTTGCGCTAGGACCGGTAAGGCCGCACTTCAAGCACGATTGCGATGTCCACACCCATTTCGAGTCTTTCCATCCCGGAGGCTCGGCACCCTGTTCAACCTCCCGTTTCACGATGCCATTGGGCCAGTCCTGCACGTCCTTTGCTATGCGAGCGTGTGAGTGTTTGACGAGATACTAGACGCCATATCCAGCGAGCCAGCGAGTACTCACCATTCTCTGCCGCGCTTTGCATCTGCTGTCCATGGCCTGACCTTTCCAGCTTCTGGCCCACCGGCCCATGTGATGGTAAGACATCCGAGGTATTTGAGATACTCGGTTGGCCGGTAGTCGCATGAGCAGCTGGGACAGTCGAAGCGGTTGCCTGGGTGCTAGAAACCGGTGGAGGGGCGCCATGAACTGTTCCTGGACCAGTCTGAGGAATACTGAGATGGTTGGCTCCTAGCTGCGGAATCGGGTACGGCGGAGCAGTTCCTGGGGCGCTAGCATTGGTTAGAAATAATCCAAGGCCAGGTACGTCTGTTTTACATCAGTGAAGCTCGACAATAGCACCTGTAGAGCCTGAACAACCGATAATACGCACTTAGGAGCTGATGACCTTGAAGCATCGCATTGCCTCCCAATCCTATCGTATTCGGTGCAATCTGAATCGAGTTTGCTGCGGCCGCATGAGATATCGCATCGTTTGACAACGTAGGACCGCATAGAGCTCCTGAAAGCGCTGGATTCGATCCCAGGAAAACAACTTGAGGCTGGGGGGGGCGGAGGTTGGTCTCCAGATGACGCAGGGTCGGAAAAGAAGGCACTTAATGCCCTTTTAAAGCGCTGCATGTCGATAGTGCGTCTCAGAGGCCAATAGACGTTGGGCGAGTGTACAGAACGTCGACTCCGAGCATTCGATCCCGCCCAAAAATTCCATTTTGCGGTGACCACATGAAAAGGCGGAACCAAATTGACGCTTTCCAAATCCGTGTATTGGGCGGGTAAACACATACAGTCAGACCGAGGTATCGATAATACATATACTAATGACAAGTATTAGCCCCATAATCGCCAAACGAGTAGAGCAGGACTCACCAGACTAAAGAGAAACCCAAACTCTGCACATCCAACCAAAAAGATAAGTAGTTGTCCTCCGCCACCCTCCGTGCCTTGAAAACGCGGTTAGAGGGTACCATCCGAGTTGTCCTTCATTCAGAGTTGGTTCTGCATATAAAAACCGACTTTGTTGTGGAAAGGTTTGACGAACGAGGATGGGCGTTGTGGTGGCAAGCAGCGAGACAACAGGGACGTCAGAATTCGCACGGGAGACTCTAAACCAGCCCAATACGTAAGGTGCTGGTCTATATTGGGCATCAAACAGTAACAACCACCGAGCCCAGGGGCGTGGGCCACATCCTCGGCCCCTGCGCCTTCCCGCGAAAATAAGTCCCAAGTTCAATCCACGCCCAACTTAACTTATGATTCACTTACAGGTACTTTATGTGGGGGACCCGCACTTTAATGAAGTTGAAGCACTTTAAGCTCCCTTAAGGTACTTTTCAGTGGGCAACTTACGGAACTTACGGGAACTTAAAGCGCTTTTGCAGCCACCCAGGCTCCTGGAAATCCAAAACGCGAATGATCACTGTCAGCAAGCAAACATGACGAATAGGTCGATTAAGCTCACGTTCTTCTTAGTTGGCCAGTCAGACATAATCGCGTAGTGAAAGCAGCTGGCTGTGTCGAGAGTCCACAGCGGAAGGTGAGGGAAAAGAACGAGGAACGAGGACCTCGTGCCACAGGAGCAAGACCGCTCTTAAGAACGATAGTGTGGGGCACCGTTGTCGATAAACGAGTCTAAACCAGTCACAACCCTTTCCTTGTCGTCCAACTAACACTCCCTAAACGACTGACAATCATCTCTTGGCCCTCCTGTACGTACTGGAAAGCATTCAAATATCCAGCTTGGCCGATCCATTGGGCGCTGAAATGTGCACAGCCAACAGCAATTTGAACGTCGCCTTGAAAGTTGAGACCCAAATCGGATTAGAAAAAGTTGGCGTCTTTGGTGCGGGCAAAGACGAAGGAGAGCCTGCGATGGAAGGACTCTGCCAGCAAAAAGCACTGACGACCTGTTGATCCGCTGACAAATTTCCTCCCACACACCCCATCGGTGGGCGCTCCGGGTCTGATTGGGCGCTTAGTGAGCGTTGCATCGACTTTCTTGTGCAGTTGATGCCGTCGAGGCAGTGCGTTGGTCACATCACGCGCCCGAAGTAGTAGGGCAAAGAGACTTAGACCAGGCACCACCGAATGCTATCGGTATGGATCTGAATTCTTCAGGTGGTATTCATAGATCTCAATTGAGATAGATTTCAAGGTAACGCCCCAGCTAGTATTTGGGGTAGGGAGAATGGTACCAATACTAGAAGTTGACAATGGACGGCGAGTTACACCGCAAAATAGAGCATGCAAACCGTGACGTCGTTGCTCGATAGGTAAACTTACTGCGCCGCTGCCAAGTCACAACATGGTGATGATGACCGTTGCAGGGTACATCCAATCAGTTTCATCTCACCCCAATTGGGAACTCACCTCGTTTAGATATGTAGCCAGATATGGGATGCCCACAACCCCACCTGAGGCTTTGAGTTGTTTGTGCCAACCTCTGTATTCTTGTCCCCGCTGATTGGCGCGTAGGGCGGCGTTCTCACCGGGTACAAGGGCGCACACAGACTGGGAAAGTTCGAACCAAGTCACCACGCGAGAATTGATCAAATCCACCCCGACTTTACTACACACAGAGAATACAAGGCATTACGAGGGTTTGTTACAGTAGTAGATAGAGCTACACAGACAACTTGAGAGAGAGAAGTCGTACTACAAGAGTGATGTACCCTAGGTTCAATGAACACAACAAGAGAGCTGAAGGGATGCATGGCGTGTATATGGTACTGTCCGTCAATAAGTCCGTTGGAAAGAATTTGGCGCGCGTAGAAGAAACCGTTCAAAGCCAAGAAACCATCTCCCTCTCCTTCCGCAGATGCGACACCGTCATCTCCGTCGAAGCCTCAATAAAATCCGCATCGATATCACCCAGCTCCGTCGAAACAGAGGGCGGACTAAACTTGGACAACGCCCTCTTGGGTTTTGGGGAGTTGGGAGCCAGCCAAACCTTGGCCGAAATCTCGAACACGCGCGTCTCTTTCTTGAGAAAGAGATGAAGCGGGACTGGGATCCAGAACCGCATCACCCAGCCCCGCCCGGGCGCTGCTGTGGAGGGAGGTGTGTAGAAGAAGGTGGGGAGGAGCTTTGATGGGGAGAGGGTCATGGGAATCGTGGGAGGCGTGGATGCAGTCGAGGACGACGAAGAGGAAGCGAAATTACCTTTGCACCCTTTCCCGACCGTAGGCATAGAGTATATCCTATCCCACTTGTACTCGACGGAGATACTGTCGGCCGGGATATTCGCAGGCGTAGATCCTTTCGTGGAGGGCATCTCCGAACCGTCGAACACAACACGCCAATGGTCCTGGTCACGAGAATGTTCGGAGTACCGCGACGAGGTGGCTTTCGTCCGACATTCGATATGCATGAGGGCAACATCGGGGATGGCTAACGGGACGCTATCCCACTGCTGGTAGTCCCGAGTCATAATGTATAGCTCAGCGGGACATGGAGCAACACCGCTGATAAACATTCCATACGCGTCAGTAACGACATCAAACTCGGCGCAAGAATGGACGCGAGATAAGTACGCACTCGTCGGGCATGTCCCAGACTTCGTAATGGGGAGTGTGGGGGAATGAGACGAAGAGCTGGCATCCAGATGCACCGAGGTGGTAGCACCCGTATTCGTCTTTCCTCGGAAGCTGGGTTTGTGACGGAGGTGACATGCTATCTGAATCCATTGGAAATACTTTCTTCGCTCTCTTGAGAGTGCGAGTCAGGGCAGGCGGATCCGGGCCAGAGACGGAAATGGAGGATTTCGCGGGATAAGTGGGAAACAGGAAGGAGTCGCCAGCACGCTTGAAGACTTCGGAAGGCGGTCTAAGATTGGATGTTGTCGCAGTGATCTTTGGTACTTCGTTGGTAACTGCTGAGTCTGCTTCGTCATGGGGTGTTTTCGTGGGGTTGGGGATTGAAGGAAGGGGGTTCACGTCAAGCTTCACGCCCTCAGCATCCTCGAAAAAAGTCGGTGGCTCCTTCCCAGTTGAAGGTTTCGGCAATATAGGCGTCGCTGTTGATGGTGGAGGCGGCTCCAACTTTCTGACAGTGGTGTTTCCCCGTTCGGATTTAGGTTTAATGGGTATCCTTGTCGGGAGCTTTGTAAGGGTGTGTAATGGCTGTTTCAGGGAAGCAATAGCCTTCGAAGTCAAAATGCCACTGGAATAGTCAGATTTATGCGAAGTGTTTGATTCGGCGTCTTGTCGCTGTTGGCCGTTGGCGGGTTGTTCAGAGAGCGGTTTGGGTTTGGATGATGATGGGTGGGCGCGAACGGTTTCGATTGAACTTGTAGACCCCGTGCCCTGGCGCCGTCTCCGGAAATCCCGTTGATCGTTCTCGTTATTGGGCGCGTCGTATACATATGAAGCTGTGAAGTGGCCTCGCTTGCGAGGAGATTTGGGCATGGTATTGGAAGAGACGAGTGGCTAGGCAGAGTAGTGCGCCGGCGCAGCAGTAATATAGTCGAGTTTGACTGTAGAGATCGTCGTCTAGAAACCGGGATTCGAGGTGGTGAAACGAGCGGTCCAATATTATATGTGGTAAGAATCACGTAAACCGAGCGGTGGGAACTTGGGGAGATACTTATGAGCCGGCCTGGGCGATATTGAGAAGACTAGAGCAAGCAAGGTGGGGACGGGAGAGAGAAGGAACTAATGTCTCCAGCCACAGAATCCAGGTTTAAGTTTGCGACGCGTCCAGAAGTGCCACAGATTCCAACAAAGAGGTGATTGTGCGCCTAGCCCATCTCGTTATTGTCGATTCAGATGATATAGTCCCCGGGGAGGCAATGAAATCAAGCCGTTATTGTCCCTGAGGACCGTACAGCGCGCAGCATTTGAAAGAACTGTTTCGATTTCGCTTCTGGATGCTCACTGTGAAAGGAGAAGTCAAAGCCCAAGTTCGATCGAGCTCGTTTGCAGGGCTGCCGAAGGATGACCGGCAAATACCGAGTAAATCAGGATACACTACCAAATAAGCTTTCCGACCTGTTGCCAGTCTGGCTCTTTGTCCTCCTCAACGACGAGTCGGCGACGTCGTCAACAGTGATTCGACGGGAGCAATGGCAGGACGAGGACAGTCAGCCCAATCCCGACCAAGCTGTACTGAAACATTCGGAATTTGCTCTGGACTGTTGGTTTTCTCGAATCTATGTATGCAATCTGTCAGTTGATCAGTCTCGTCATCCTTCTAAGTGGAATGGCTAAACACACGCTTCCTATGATTTAGGATCGACGAACTCCTCTACGTTGGCTGGCCGTTTGTCTGGTCTAGGATGTGCCAGGGGTCTCTTTATCTCGACTGTTTGTCTCCTCTCAGTGGACCCTTTGAATGTGACGCGTTGCGAGCGTAACATTTGCCTCGAGTCCTGCCAGTTCTGCCGCGCGTTTGACACGAGAAGGCATGCGACCTCGACGTGCCTTGAAAAGAAAAAAGAGCAGCCCAGAATGACGCGTGTTTCAAGAAGAACCGTACAGAGCCCTTTTCATTTTCCCATCGTTGCCAATAGGGGGACCAGGTAACCCACTCGTTTTCCTCCCTCGTCACCATCTTGGCATCATGCCCACAAGGATAACCAATAAACCCCGTTTCTCAACCGTTTCTCCATGTTTTATGGAGAGGTCGCCTGCTTTTCTTCTCCTGGAACGACGTAGGATAGGTAGGACTATCTGACTATCCAGGATATTTCCGGCGACGCAACCAGAAGAAATCTCTTGAATCCATTCCCAGCAGGGCGCTTCTTTACCTTGATAAAGTGCGCCCATCGGCCCCTAGACCAAGAACAGCAGAATCTATCATCCTTTTCGTCGCCATCTCAACAGATGTGAACATATCTTCCGTGATCCACTTGTTCCACTCGGAAGGGGTATACAGCGAAAAAAAACTATAAGTATGGCCAGCTCCCGGACGCCGAACGTTTTCTTCATTCGTTTCCTTCCCTTTCCATTTCCCTGGCGGCTTGCTGCATCCTTTCTTTCCTGCCTGGTTTTCGTTTCCTGACCTGGTGTCTTTCCTCCTTCATTTTTTGAGCTGATTTCTCTCGTACTCGTTCACAACCTTTAACTCGTAAACCTTTTCAACCTTAGTTCACTTTCTTCTTCGTCGAAATGGCCCCTGTTACCACTTATTTCTTCGTTATTTTGGGCGCTCTGGGAGCTGCAAGCAACGTTGGTGCTGGTGCGTGTTTCTTCTCTATCTCTTCTATTTTGATGCCAAACTCACGCGTCTCTCAGTGCCCATCGTTCCCGCGAATTTCAACTTCCACAACCTCGGCAAGGGCAACGGCCTCGGTCTTGGTCTTGGGAAGGGTAACGGTCTCGGCAAAGGCAACTCGCTCTCCAATGGAGTCTGCACCTCCGCCCGCAATCAGATCGTCTCGCGCATCCGGCTAACCAACAGAGAAGTTGAGAAGCTTGGTTCAAGTGCCGTAGAGTGAGTATCATCATCGTTGGTCTACACGCAACGCCTGACCTATCTACAGCGATGCCACTCTTGCTGAGGCCGTCGCCATCATTCTCAACGGCTTGCAGGAAACCCAGACCGGTGTCTCTCAGATTTCCGAGTCTTTCCTCCAGGGAGCGCTTCCTTCCCAGACCAGCCGTCAACTCATCATCGACGGATTGACAGCGGCTCGGGATGCCCTCAACGGAATCTCCTCGTATGTCCTCATCACTGGCTATTTTTGCCAATCACCGCTGACTATCACCGCTTCGAACTCAGTGACGCTGCACATGTTAAACGCCAACTCACCCGCGCTAAGCTCAATCTCCGACAGACCATCCAAGTCGGAAACCGCATTCTCACCAAATGCGGTAAAGCTGGCGAGGAGCCGCCTGCCGAAGAGGAACCGGCTGAGGAAGAGCCTGTTGAGCAAGAGGAACCCGTTGAAGAGGAAGTTCCGGAAGAGACTGGCACCATTACCGAGACTATCGCTGAAGAGACCGCAACCGCCACGGAGACTGTCGCTGAAGAGACTGCCACCGAAACCGCGACCGTCAGCGAGACCCTCACCGAAAGCGTCTCCGCCACCGAGACCGCGACCGAAACTGCTGTCGAAACCGAGACTGCCGCTTTGGAGACCTCGACCGAGGCAGAAGTCAGCAGCACCCTCATCACCGAGTTGCCCGTCCCCACTCCCACTGAGACCGCCGTCGAGACTACCTCAGTCGTCACCGAGACCGAGTCCAGCATCGCCATTACCGAGACCGTCACCCCCACCAGCTCCGTCGAAGCTACCGAGACCATCACTGAGACCGCTGAGCCCACCACCACTGCTGGCGCCGAGGCTACCGACACCTGCCCTCCCGCCGTGACTGTCACTGAGGTTAGTGCCCTCATTGAAATTCTTTTATCTGGTACATAAGACGGTCCTGACAATGTTCTCTTGACAGACTCCCCAAGCCGCCACTGCTACCGCCACTGTGACCCGCACTCTCGTTCTCACCAAGGTCGCCAAAGTGACTGTTACCCAGGCCGAGGTGTAAGTCACCGTCTGATTGGGATCTGCATTCCACACCTATTAACCTTTTGTTTCTTCTTTTCCGTGAATGAAGTGCTCCCACCGCTGTTAGAACCGTCACTGTCACCGAGTCCATTCACGTTACTGCAAGCCACGAGACGGAGACTGCTGCTGCTACCGAGACCGCCACTGAGGCTCATCCCACGGAGACTGCTGCTGCTGAGACCACCACCGCCACCGCCGACGCTCACCCCACGGAAACTGCTGCTGCTGAGACCACCACCGCCACCGCCGACGCTCACCCTACGGAGACTGCTGCTGTCGAGACCACCTCCGCTGCTGCTGCCCACCCCACGGTGACTGTGGCTGCCCACTTCCGACCTCACTACCGTCGTGCAGTTCCCAACGTACGTCATCCTATCTTCCCTCTTCTCGAAGCTCCTCATATCTGATTCCATACCCTATTTGTACAGCGCATTTCCTTCAATTGAGCGGATGTGAAGAAGATCCCTCGACAGAAGCACGCCGACATTTGACTTGATTGTTGGTTGTTCTCGAGCAGGAGGGGCCCTCTATCATTTCGACGATTGACAGAAACACTATGGACTTTTGGAAATCCGTTTACGTGCTTCCCCCTTCAAGAGAATTTCTTATCAGCCCATTTTCTGAACACACACACGCCCCTTTTTTCATGGACTGGATTTAGATTGGATGCACTTTAATTTTTTCTTTGCTACATCATTCATTTGTTTTCTATTGTATGTTGTACAAGTAGTCGTTTGGTGTTCTTCGACGTTCACTTTATGTTCGTAGTGGATGAAGAATACACAGGGATTTGGAAACAGACCTACCACCTATCATTCGGCGAGTTTTCACCGCTGTGGAGAAGCTTCCGAGAGCTGACGTCGTGAAGGGGAGGAAATGACTTGATGGTAGTTGTTCGCCCATTCTTGAAGCAAGGCTGTGCTCGTCCACACCGACTGTGCTATTCCAACCAAGTTGTAACTTGTAAGCCTCCTCCGAGCGAATAAAGTAATCGAATTCAAGGCCGTCGTACACTCGCCTCCTCCCAGAGGGATGACGTGCAGGCCTAGATTGGGTGCCGACGGGATCGCTTCAGCTTGTCGATCCATGTGGACCGAGTCGCATAGTTACTTTGTGATCGCACCTGCTACCCTTGCTTCTCGATCCTGGCACACACTGGAACCCCTATGTTGGTTGGCCAATAGTTTGTCAGGGACCGCCTATCGAGGTCTTGCATCATCGAACGGTTCCCAGGTTGTCGTCCGTACCATCGGTCTTTTCAAAGCATCCTGTCGTCGGTAGTCATTCGTATCGAGCGATGAGCGCAAGCGCCACACGAAGGCTGACAACGAACCTGATCGTACCCAACCCAACCTTCCTTGCAGGGTCTTCGATGTCTTGAGCGTAGTTCTTCGAGTGCGCGGGTATCTTTACAGTCTCTGAACTGGATATATTTAGAGCCATAGGCGCCGGTAGTCTAGCAACTAATTATGTTGCGCCTTCTTGACCAGCCACCATCTTTGCGTGCATCGATGGTTATCGTATGGTCCCTGTAACATAAGTGAGCAACAGGTGTATATAACCCAAGGGTGGGTCAGTTCTGTTCTTCAGCCTCCCTTCCCTTTCTCGCTTCCCTTTCTCTCCCCAACTTTCTGGGCCTGGTGTCCTTTTCTTATCGTTTTAGTTCGACTTTTTTGCTTTCACATTCGTCTCTTCGTCTTCAAGTTCGCTGAGCTTCTCTTTCTGTATACACGCCTCTTCATTCTTCATTCTTCGACCTTCACTGCTTTTCGTCTTGCTAGGATGGCCCGTTTCACTTCTTTCATCGTTGGCTTCCTCTTGTTCTTCTGCAATGCTTGGATGACCTTGGCTGGTAAGCAGCATCCGACCTATCCTAAACAGACCTCAGTCAACTAACATGCATCCATACACCAGCTCCCGTCGAAATCGAGGGTAGACAGCTGCTCGGTGGTCTTGGTGGTATCGGCTGCAACCTCGCTCGAATACAAACCGTCACCGGCCTCCGAAGGACCATCCGAGAGGTCGACCAGCTGGCGCAAGCTGCTGGAGCGTGAGTAGCATCCCGAATTTATCTCCTCCCTTCAACAGCGCTGAACCCGATGTCACAGCGACACGGCCACGGCCAATGCAGCTGCCAACGCCCGAACCGCGTTGGACACTGCTCAAGGCGGTATCAACCAGATTGCAGTTGCACTCTTCTCTGGCAATCCACCTCCTCAGGCGGGCCGTGATATCACTGAGCAAGGATTCAACGACGCAAAGGCAGCGTTGAATAGCATCACTTCGTGAGTTCTTCGTTCACTTGGAGGACGACGCTTTGCTGAAGAAATGGGTGGACGATGCAGGACGGATCCTGCGATCACAGCTGCCGTTGCAGAAGCCCAGGCTGATCTTGATAGAACGATCAGTGCTGGCCAGCGAGTCGTTGCCAGATGCTAGTTGGGAGAGGAGACGACGACGGTTCACGAAACGCGACTGACGAGGTGGAGACGATAAGGACAATGGATTGACGGACAATGGCTGCATAAATGGCACTCGAACGGACTTGAATGAATGGAGCAGAGGACATTGTTGTAGGCATCCGGTTGAATTAATTGTGGATAAGATTGTTAAATAAATATTGCAAGATGGTCTACCTGGGAAGAGGCGGACGGTGAGTGAGCCCATGTGTAAACGAAGAGAGCGAACGTACATTGTCCATGAAACGCGACTATCCAATAGAGTCGTAATCCTGCCCACGGGCGGCAGGGTCCTTCGTGTGGGTTTCTCTGATGAGGTGGTACATGAAAACCTTTTCCGCATCGTCTCCTCCGTTGAACGCCTGCACGACATCGGCTACCGCAAGAACACGCTCGTCCATTTTCCTGAGGATCAATACCCCAAGGTTGAGGCTATTGATCTCCGGGTCAATCTCCTTGAGCATCTCGTGCACCTCAGATGCACATGTCCTCATGAGATCGTACAGCTGCTCTGCCTCCGAACCTCCCGATTGAAGAACCTTGTCGACTTCGACGAAGAATTCGTCGATGACGTCCGGCGACGTGTCCACCACGGACCTAATCAAAGCATGGAAGTAGTTTCGTGTTTCGGTGCCATTTGTAAAGTCGGTAGTCGCGTAGGTGATGTCGGTTTTTTGAAGGAAAACTAGGCAGAGTAGGATATAGTTGGCCTGGTTGTATTCGTCTAGAGCATCAATAGCGGACAGGAATGCGATGGCGAATAATGCTGATCCAACTGCATGGACTTTGAGCAAACGAATTCAATTCGGCGGAAGATGCCAGACGTACCAAAGAGAGCCCCTGTCAACTTGGATCTTGGTTGCCCATCCCGTCGATACCAGATTTTGGCACCCAAACCTGGCGGTCGTGGATCGTAGTGGTACTGTGTGGGTTGCGTTGTATGAAGAGGCCTCGATGGCCTAAACTTTACGAGTGCATTTCGTGGGAGGCAGGGGGCAAGACGAAGGTTTAGCGCCCGACGAAGGAGCATGGAAAAGAGGAGGTGAAGCGTCGCGTCACCACGCGGCGAGCGCCAAACCAGCCTTGAACGAAGATCGGCGTTTGCCGATCGTCCAGATGACAAACCAACTCACACGTCCAGCGCCTATTTCTCAATTTCAAACGATATGATAACCTGACAGTGCTGCTGCACGTGAGAGACGTTAGGCAATAAACTATGTCCATGTTCAAGTTGCTTGTTAGCATACCTTGTCATAGCGCAGCTGTCTTATCTTCAGTGCTAGCCCAGCTGTTGTTTCCTATCACATCTAGAAACGGACGCAGATGTAAGAAAGAAAACAATTACAATTCGCCACGGGGTTCAGAAATACTAAGAGGACGATGTGGGTAGCTATAAAGGTATAAATCGTCGTCGAAAAACCAATCCGGAATCCCGTAAATAAACTCGAAGCCTTCACGACTTGCTCCATGTTGAAGGAGATTTTCCACAATCTCGTCCATGTCGTTGTCCGCCGCAATCATCAAGGCAGTCTTCCCGTCCTTATCTCGTCGATCCAAGTCAATGTCTTCATGTTCCACAAGGACTTTTGCAGTTCTGTAGCGCCGATCATCTGGAACAAAACAAACGCTGAGGTCGCATGCAAGCATCAAGGGTGTTCGTCCTTCGGCGTTTACCCCGTTCACGTCGATTCCTCCAATCATAAGAAGTTTCTCGACAGTACTGGTACGCCCCCATCGTGCCGCTGACCAAAGACCTGTTTGCCTAAATTGGGCCCAGGCGTTGAAATCTCCGTGGCTCGCGTGTTCCAGTAGAATATCGACAATGGTGTCGCTCGCTAAGGATAATGCGGTGTGACCCTGACGATCGACTGTGTCAAGTGGAATGCCTTCGACATGGAGTAAACGTCGGACAACTGCACCACACTCGGAGAAGGCCGCACAGGCCTGCATTACAGCTGTCCTTCCCTCATGATCTGTGGAGATGATAGCATCGATGCTCATGGACTGGAGCAAGCGATCAACTATGTTTTCACCGCAGGCGTCTCCAGCTACATGAGGGAGGTGGAGGCATGAGGTCACTGCCTCTGAGAGTGCGGTTTGCCCTGTATTGCATTTGGCATCCACATCGATATCTTCGAACTGGAGCAGTTGATGTACGAGGCGGGTATTGCCGCAATGGCGTGAGGCCAACATCAAGGGAGTAACACCGCCCGAGTTGGCAGTATTGACCAGGATCCCATCGTGCTTGAGCAAGCAATCCACGATTCCATGACCAACGCCAGCCAGCCAACAAGACTCGAGTGCCAGCATCAACGCTGTATAACCATTATCGTCTTGGATGTTAACGTCCACGCCCTTGACACCAAGAAGTCGAGAAACAGAGTTCTCATCCACCCTGAGACAGGCATACATCAGTGGGCTTTGCCCACGCTGGTCTCTGGCGTTGACATCGATGCCGTCGACTTCTAGGAGGAGATCGAGAACTTCTGGTGAAGCCAGAGAGAGAGCCGTAGCTCCCTTCAAGTCTGTTCGCCCATTGACGTCCCAGCCATACGCACGAATGACGTCAGCAGCGCTTGGCTCCAAAATATAGCGGAGACCGCGCTGAGCAACCATGTGAAGGGGGCCTACGAAATCGAGGTCCCCGCGAATGAACATCGGGTAGCTGGCACATCGCTGAAGGAAACGCAGCGGGACGTCCTTGATGTGGGGATCGTCACTGCACGCCTTGGCGTGGTTCGCCCAATGGACGTAGGCGTAGTCAATAACAGGGGCATGGGGTGAGCGCAGCCTGGCCTCTCTCCAGTGCGGGATGCTGCGATCCACCAGGAGTTCAAGACAGGTTCGCAGCAGAAGCGCGTGTGGGGATGGATACTTGCGGCGGAGAATGGCCTCTAAAGCATCTTTCGCAGTGAAATCTGCCAAGTATCAGTGTGTTAGGATTTTAAGGGCACGGGCTTGCAGAGACTCACGGACGAGACGAACATCACCAACATAGGGATATCGGGTGATGTCGATCAAGCCACAGCAGACTGCGAGCAGAGTCGCCTGGTCTACCGCTTGCTCTTGGTCGAAAACTCCCGTCTCCGGACAGTAAGACAAAAAATGCAGCAATTCTTCGATGTCCAAAGTCCTTTGCGCAAACACAAGCCACAGTAGCGCACGCTTGGCCAAGTCGGCCAGTTCTGGTGGCTGGGCCTCAATGCGCTGCATAGTCGCTTCATACATGTCTTCAAGTTTGGCGGGGAACTCCTCGAGTCGTCGGCGTACACTCTTGATAGTGGCGCAACCCTGAAGAGCTTCAATCTGAAGGGAAGCGTGCAGCATCCTGCTCACAACGTAAGATTGAGCTCCTATGCACGTTCGCAACTCGTGGAACACTCACATGCCAGCGGATTTCTCCTGTATGCTTCTGACGACCTCGAGTTTGTGCTCTGGGTTCGAGAGAATTCGCCTGAGGGCGACGTGGCGGTCGAGTTTGTCTGCAATCATAACCTCTAGATCTTCGGCTTGCGCAGAGACGGAAAACAACACAGCATAGTCAAGGTAGGTGCCGAGCTCGTCTAGAGGGCGGGAGAAAAGGATGATGTTTCCCTGAAGCGAATTGAATAGCTTGATAAGATCGAATTGGACGTCGTTCCGTGCCTCGTCGACGCCATCTAGTGCGTAGAAACTCTTTCGGAAGAAGGTTTCGATGTCTGCCAGCAGTGTGACTAGCTCATCCTCAGAGGGCTCTGTCTTCGTCAGCTCGTGACGACTGTAAAGCGGCTCGACGACGCTGATCAGGAAGGGATGTTGCTCGAGATATTCTTTGATGATGGCTTCCAGGATGTCCTTGACAGAAAGAGGCTCGGTGTATCGACAGAATACGAAGACGACGCTCACGTCGTCCGACTCCTGCTCTAGGCGTAGGAGGTCCTTGATCACGGTGGACCTGGCATGAAATTAAGAGCTGTTGACAATGGTGTGGGTGGAGAGTGCTTACGATAGGACAGTCTTTCCGGCCCCCGCTGCAGTTCACTCCAGTCAGCAAAGCCCACCGGACGAAGGTCAGGTAAATTACTTACGCATTCCCATACCCCAAAGGATCCCACATGTGCTATTCTTCCATTCGCGGTACAGGCGACTCCTGATGAACCACTCCCCTGTGCCCCGCGTACATTTTTTCTGAACATCGAGGTAGATGGCTCGGAAGTTGACCTTGGGGACCAGGCGAGAAAGGATTCTGTCGAGAGCAGGACGGTCTATAGACTGCCCTTCGTTTGGATAACCGTGGTAGTGGTGATGGTGGTTAATAACTCGACCCGTCTTGTTGAAAATGCCACCATGGATTGTCACGTTCGACGGGCCCCCATGGGTGGACGGTGGTATGTCCTGCCCAGATTGGTCTGCAAACTCATTAAAAATGCGTCTCCAGCATCATCTCACCAACCTACTCTGATCATGCGAAGTATCCTGGTCTTCTCCCAGAGGCGGTCGCTCGGAAGCGAAATTGTCTGTCGACGGGTATGAGCCCCAGGTCCCGCTCACGAGGGAAGGAAGATAGACAGTACGTACATAAATTCGGGTCAGGTTCTGCAGGGACATCGTCTTCCTTCCTCTGGAGACGATATGAGCGATCGGAGCAATCGCAACGATAAAATGGAACCTTACCCAGCCCGAGAAACCCTGCCCCATCCCTAGTCCCAATCGGAGAACTCAAGACGCCTTGATAACGGTGAGGGAAAGGAGGAGGGTGGAAAAGTGAAATGGGGTGCACCTATACTCTAAGTATATCTGTAGGCGTCACAGCAAAGCTGTGAATGATAGTGTCAATGTCATGTGAGTGGACCCACAATTGAACATAGCCCCGAGACTGGATAGGAAAGGGAATGGGCAACGAAGACCACGCCTTTGCTCGATGCAAATGGGTGGCAAGAGAAAGATTTCCTGGAGTTTATACATATCCTAAAGCCTGAGTCAATGTCAATAAAACCACCAACAAGACCTGCTGCTCACCTCTAATAATGACGACCCCACCGAGGTCAAAATCCACATAAAGATTCGCCTAAAGCCTCCAAGTCCTTGGGTTGACTCGTGGCTCTCTCAACATCGTCATGGGGGCCAAAGAAAGAGATGGTTGTGGTCTAAACCCAATCCTCAACTTCGCCTCTATTCAGTCACCCTGATTTGAACTCCGCTGCTGCCGCGAGCGCTTGGTGCTAACTTCAATGCCTCTTCCTGGGTTGCAGCCCCAGCCAAGCCCCAGCACGTTCCGGATAGCGTACTTGAAATCGACCATCTAGAATCTCGTATGTAAGGGCATTGGGGGTCAAGGTTACATTTTGCCCACCACAAGTTTACCACGCGAAAGATATCGCTAGTGTATTACCCAGGCGAGGCGAATGGACATCGGACTCGGGAGCCTTGAGGTAGATCGAGACCAGACCTTGAAAATAATGTTGAAAACAGTAGAGCCTGTGATTATTTCCGGTTACAATACATTGTCTTCTTGATACAGGATTCTATTCGGTGTGGATTTCAAGCCTAGCGCCGCATGATGGTTCGGAATGAGTGGTGGTGGTGGATGGGCTCGCAACGACTGGTGGTCGGGGGTGTTGTGTGTAGCAGAAGAGGCCCCTTCGAGAGCTATAAACTCTTGGTCCTTGAGGCCTCACCTAAAGGCCTTCGAGAACAGCGCAATGAACCAGGAAAGATGCCCATAGAGCTCCGTTGTTCCGACTTGAAAGGGCGTCACTGGCTGGAGGGCTTGCTACAAGTTAGCGAAACCTTCTCATCAAAATGGAGCAGTCTCACCTTAGTGCTGTCGCCTGGAGTTATATCTCTAGATGCTATGATTTTGGCGCCGTCGAAGGTGGCGTATTTGGAGGTGGCTCTGTCAGAGGATTCTCCTGTCGAGCTTGCTCCAGCAGCTTGTCAAGACCCCGCTCTTTCACAGCTTTCTGCAAGTATCCAAGTAAACTCCAGTTCATCAACCACATTTTCACCCAATCTCCAACCACGTACCTGCACACATTCACGATACTGCTCCCAAACACTTCCACATTTTTTCTGAAACTCCTCCGCCTTCTTCTTCGAATACGCAGCCCGTTCCTTGGGTGTAGCAGCCACAGCAGGCTCCAAGTACCCTTCAAACCACGAATTAAAGCAAGAATCGTACTTGAGTTTGAGCGGTGTGCATTCTGGAGACAGACTTTCGGCCATGGTGGAGGGGATGATGGAAGAGAAAAGAGGTGACGCTGCCAACGAGCCGTCGTCCCGAATTTAACGCCGTGATGATCGGATCAAAAGCTAAACAAGCGCGCCTCCGTGACCGTTTGGGCGCCTTCTCCTCCTCGAACCTGAACCAGCACGGTTTGCAACGTGAATGACGTGCCAGTACGAGAAGTAGGAACCAGGAACTGCGGAGCTTAACAGTTTCCGAGAGGGTACCTGTCACCCACGGGTTTCTGATAGTGCCTATGTGCGTGGACGGGGCTTCTCCGGTGATAATTGAAAGACACCTTTGATGTGTTGGAGGATAATTGAATGCGTGCCGAACCAGAAAGCCCCGACACCCGTTCTTGGAGTAGCTTGGAGTGGTCTCTCAATCAAGGGTCACTTGCACCGTGGAGATTTGGATCGTGGATGGGTATACAAGGGCCCAACTTGGTAGCTCAACCGGTGCAGATAATCGCCGGAGAACCACTTCGGTCACGAATCTGTCACACAATGGGCAAAGGCATAGACAAGGCGCTTGTACGCTTGCGTTAGAGCCCGGGGTTTGAATAGCTTATTAGGAAAGCGCGTTCCGATAGGCAATGAAAAGGACCAAAGTCGGTGGCATCTAGGGCGAAAGTCCAGTGAAGGAACAGACCATGATCACATTCGTCGCACAACCAGATAACATGACACAAACCGAGTCACTACAAGTCATACACATAAAACGCTGTCTTGGCCGAATCAAACGCGACGATCCGGTCCATCGACTCGCTAAAGTAGATCTTGTCATTGAGATTCTCGTCGTGGGGAAGAAGCTCGACCACGGCGACTTCACGGTCTTCTGATTTCTCGTCTGGCCATGGGTAGCCAACCCAATAGTTGGCGTCCTCGTCGGTGATAACGCCCTTGTTGTATCCCAGGCTTTCTGTGGTCAGGATGGATTCGGGGTCTGTGGGTGTCTCCTCAACGAGGGAGACGATTCGGATCTTCAGACGCTCTGATGAGGGGGACAAGGGGATGACGACGCCAAATATCGATTCAGAATGCGCCACAACCATACGGATTGAATCCCGAATGAAGTAGACGGGCATGCAATCGAATAGGTACTTGTCGAACCGCTTCTTCGCGATAGGTCGGATTCGAGGGAAGTCAACATCGCCCTCATTAGTGGTCGACTGCGCGATGACAGCAGTGGTAAGTGGCCGAGTTTTGCTCCAATCCCAAACGCCTATCCCCGACTGGCTCACTGCGAGAAACCGTTTGCTTGGTAAGAGGACGATTTTCTGTCAGGCTCTGGGCTAAGCACATTTCGAGCAGAGAACTGGGGAGGCACCTACCCTGGGATCGAATCCGATGCGAACGTGGATCCGCCTATATGAATCCGCGTCTTGCGAAAACCCAAGGGTCCAATCAAGGACAGTAACCACACCGGTCTTGACGAGAGAGTACGCTAAATGATTCTTGTATAGTGACGGAGAAGAGACATGAGAATCCGGGTAATCCGCGCGGAGAGAAGCCAGCTTTCGAGTTGTGAATCCTTGCACCCGTCCGTCCAGGGCACGACTCTCTGGCGCCACCTCCCAGACTTCGATGAAAGGTCCCTCCCCTCCCGAACGCCAACGCACGAGTGCCATATTGAACCGAGGCGGGAAGTATAGATCGCCAGAAGATCGATCTGTAGCTTCGATATCCTGCGCCCCAAAGCAGTCGAACGCAATCCGCACTTCAGCCTTCGATTCTGCCAGTGCACTAGCGTTGGCCGGGTTCTTGAACGCGCTGGGGATGAACATGCCGCCGTGTTCCGGATGCTCGACGTGACAATAGTAAATCGCTCCATCCACTTTCGAATAATACAGGAGGAACCTGTCCCCAGGTAGGAACCCAAGGTCTTCGAACTCCCTGACGCTGTGAGGAGGCGGGCCGAAGACGAGCTCGCGAGGTTCCCTGAGCTGACCTGGCAAATGGCGACGCCTGGTCCAGAACCCAACGACGATATCTTCCAAATCCTCCGCCGTGCATAGGTCGACCCGTTTGGGGAGGAAGAAAGGCATGGGAATCGTGGCACCGCACCACCGTCTAAAGATGTCGAGCCACAAGGAACGGAGTTTAGAAACCCTGGCGAGGTGTCGAGAGCACTGAGGCTACGTCAGGTGTGACAATGATTGAACAGAGTCTTAGCTTACTTCGCGAAGTACCAGAATGCCCTCCCATCCCACATCCTCCATGATCTTCGTCAATACCTCAGCCGGAAGCGTAGTCAAGCTGGCGGGCGGTTCTTGAAACTTGGTAGTGGCTGGCTTCGGGAAGAGTTTGCGAATACGGTTGAACATGTCACTTGAGAGGGTTCCTGGAATGGCGGGCATTGTGGCTGGTTCCTAGATGGTGGTGGGACGAGAGAGAGTCTCCGAAACATCTGCAGATACGCAATCAGCGCATGTAATCGCGGTTCTAAATGAGACTTCCCACCCATTGGTCATCGTCCCGGCAGACCAATCATATTTTCGAACCACTGTACGACAGCAGCAACTCTCCTAACACACGGGTCACTGTCGCCCAAACGCAGGTCTGGCCGTAGCCTCCCATCTTCGTGGGTGTAAGGGAGAGTTCTGTAACAAATCGTCATCTTGGACTTGAGGTTCGGAGAGGCCGTCAGTGTGGGGGACATCCCTTGTTCGCATGCCATCAGGACATCTGCACGGAATGCCGCTTCAGTCATAAGGCTGGTCAATTGGGGCAGACCTTGTACTCACTCTCGAGGTGGATGATGTCTCCGCGTTTAGTGCCAGGCTCCTCATTTATGCCTCCCCATTCATCTGCAACCTCCCTCCACGCCGTCAGCTTCGCGACATTCCCCAATTCGTCACCCAAAATCATCTTCAAAATCCCCACCTCCTTCCCTGCATCCGGGCCCTTCTTGATTCTAATCTTGTCCGGCCCTTCCACTTCGAGCACTGCCAACAGCGCGTTCACTTTGACAGACCTTGTGCGCGGTGGAATCTTATACGACAAGGGTGTTAACGCTTGGATGTTGAAATGGAATGTCGGAAATCGAGCGATGGAAGAAGAATCAGAATAATTGCCGTAGCTTTGGGTTTCCCCTTGAGTTTCGTAGCGCGTCGAGTCGAGCAAGCCAAAGCCAGTCGTAGAATTGACCTTGGATATCTCCTCCTGGGATGTTAGCAGAAAGGTAAGCCCCTCATTCTTGTCGTTTTGCTCCTGTGGTTCCGTAGGAGGCCAGCTAATGAGCGTCGAGCCCTCTGAATTGACTTGAGCGCATCGCATAGATACAAACGGTATACACGACGCACCTCTGCGAATAGAATCTTCTCGCAAACTCTGGTCTTCATCCTCAACGCTCTGGTCAAAGATGGCATTCTGATAGATCAGTGAAATTCGTCGACTGGCTGCTTCCAAGGTTGCAGGAGGCAGGAAAAACGATTCTGTCCTGCTTATTATCTTTGTCAAGGCTGGCTGGGAAGGCAGAGAACCAGAAGAGAAGGTCTGCCAGTGGTATGTTGCTTCAGAGTTCAATGCAGAAGCAGGTGGTGCGCCCAGAAAAACCCGATACGACTTTTGGCCGTTCAGTGCCATGGCTGTTGGAGGAGAAAGGCAGAGCGTGGACGTGGGACCTTCCAACACAATCAATCGTCTGGGTGACATTCAAACATTGCACAAGGTCAATAAATAAATATGGTTTGCATTAGGCACAATTTAACAGCACGTAAACTATACACCAGATAACTACGGAAAAGAACTCAAAGCCACACTCATACCCAGATTGTCCACAACACTTTTGGGAGGGTCAGTACTTGTGTACGACTTAGTATCGCCTGTCGTCGTAGCGCCTGTCATCACGGTAGCGGTCACGCTCACGGTCCCTGTCATAATCTCTGTGCCTGTAATCATCGCGACGATAGTCATCGTAGCGACGTCTGTCTCGTCGATCATCATAGTCACGGTAGCGACTGTCATAAGGACGAGGGTCATAGGGTCTCTCATCTATTGAAAGGTGAGAAGAGAAGGGATAATTCAAAGCCCAAGATACTTACAATCGTAACGCTTAGGGGGGCCGTAGTATCGACCAGGTGTCGGGGTACGAGCGCGACCACGACGAGCCTAAAGGTCATTTTAGTCACAGAAGTGCATACGAGTCAAGAGAACCCACCTTTTCGATTGTGATGATCTTGCCCATCAACTCGGTACCATTCAAAGAAGAAATGGCAGCCTCTGCTTCCTCAGTAGTTTCCATTGTAACGAAACCAAAGCCACGAGACTCTCTGGTATGAGGGTCATACATAACAGAAGCTTTCTGAACCTATACCAGATGTCAGACGGCTTTCAAGTACAGGGGCAGAACCAGTACGCACCCTACCAATCTTTGCGAAAGCAGTCTCGAGGTCCCTTGAGTCAACTCGGTGGCTCAGACCGGAGACGTGCAAGTTGTTGCCAGGGTTCTGACCGCCATTTTCGCTGCGGCTGAAAGGGGACTTTAGAACACGACCTTGACTTTTAGGACAGAAAAGTACCTGGCACGTTCACGATCCTCGCCACCGCGAGCAGGGCTGCGACTCCTGCTGGACCTCCTAGGAGGGTCACCGTTCCTTTCCCTATCTCTATCCCTTTCACGGTCCCGAGAGTCCCTGGGAGGGGAGCGACGGTCGTTCCCGTTCCAGTTCTGGTCGTCGGCGGGAGCGCCGTTGCTCACATTATCGTGAGCGGGAATGCTGATCCCTCCGGAGGGTGCCATATCTTGCGACTGCCATGCTGGATAAGAATGGAAGGTGTCAGGTCGAAGTCGTTGCTGGTGGAGGAGAAAACTGAGGGGCCACGTGTGGAAAAATCCGAAGAAGAAAAAAAGCGTCGTCGTCGTCCCCTGCGTTGAAACGCAAGCACTGGGTAAAGGTATATTGGCGCGCAGAACGTTTGTCGGCCTTCAGCCAACGTCGAAACGAACGTCGTCATTGTCAAAGGCATGCTGAACACAAGCTGGACACAGTGGCGCTACTGGTACTGGTCGACCCGATGGTGGCCCGAAGAGAACTGAAGATTGTCGTCGCCGTCGCCGACGTTGCACGTACCGTCATCCATTGCTGCCGTCGTCGTCGTCTTCGATGAAGGTGGTGGTGGTGGTGTTGGTCGAGGATGAAGGCGGCACTGCCAGCGATGTTGGGAGAAATGCTTCTAGGAAAAACAGTGCCAAATACGGCAACACAGCCGCCGCCCCATTCAACGCGTCTGATCTTCTTTGACACGTACCTTCATCATGAGCACGCGAGCGCGTGCTCGCGTCTGGCTCTTCCAGTTAAACGCTGGACGAATTAGCCGCCCAACTGTCTCCCTGATCTCCTTAAATGCCTGGCTGGCTGGTAGCCTTGGGACTTATACAGAAAACCTCCGGCATCCAATGTTCTAGTCGATGCTACGTTTCTACTAATTCGAATCGACCTGGCATTTTGCTCTGTCACCGGCTCCCGAATCATTCTTGGCTCAGGCAAGCTAAAGGGCAAGGGCGCTACTCAGTTCAATTCTGCGGATACCCTGTACACGCTGCTATTGCTATCGTTGACCTTAGGGCTCAAAACAGTTTGGAAGGCCTGGACCTCAGCCAAGGAGCTTGCTCCGACCTGACACTTAAACCGGCAATTTGGCCACCATCCTTCTCCGCGGAGGGATCGAAAAGCCTCCTTGATTTTGCTCAGACTTGGCCTCTGTAACCGAGCCTGACGCTGGTACGTAAGGTTTTCGCACCTCTCCGTCGACGAAAACGGTCGGCTACTAAAAAAAAGCGGAACATACTCACTGAGCCAACTATTCGCGCCTCAATCAGTTTCTAACATGCCAACAGTCTCCACCAGGACGCTTCTCCGCTACCTGTCTTCGGTGCGTGCGCTAGAACACATCCTGTCTTCCTCGCTAATGCGCTTCTAGTGACGACAAACACCACTGGCGCACCAGACTTGCGGCTTCTCGCTCTCACTCCGCAGCTTCCAGGCTTCAAGAATGATCGACCCAGGTTGAAACAAATTTAGTAGCCACTTATTCAACACGAGCCATGTCCGCCTAAGTCGGCTCGCTTTGGTTCAATGTCTATTCTCAGCATCGTTCATCCACTAGGGTGGTTCAGGTCGCATCAGAAGATTTGGTGGGGAGACGCCGCTTGTCAGTCTTGGGGCATGTCGAAAACGGAATCTGTGGGTGCACTTTTCAGCTCACAGCTGTAGACGATCCATCTTTCTTTTTCGCTACAATCCTTTACCCGCATATCACTGAAAGCCAGGGGAAAAAACGTCCTTTGCGCGCTCATAGGCCGGACGGACGTTGGGCGCCTATTGATTGCTGTCTACCGCTCATTCCTATCTTCGGCTTCCCTGAAAACCATCGGAACGAACTCTGCGGTGACAGCGATGGGAAATCCTGCGGCATCAGTCAACTGCTCTAGCACAGGCCTATCCTCTCCGCCTTTCGTTCCGATAAACTGTCGCAGCAACGTTCACAACAACTCCGCCATGACGTGGATGTCGTTACTAAAGACACCCTTGTGACCACTCCTGTGACATAGCTTCCCTTTACCGGAGGTAGCCCTTTCGAAACTAGCCTTCCAGCTATCTGTCAAACGGAGTGGACTTCCCTAACGGATTGGCTACTAGTGAGGACTATCATCTCTAGATTTCCTTTCAGTGCCTGGCCCAATGGTAGGTAGTCCGCTGGTCACTGGACACCTTGCTTCTATTAGGATTATGGCAACCAATGACGATCGCTATCTTGGATAGGTTATCGAAGTCCAAGCGAACCGACATGCTCTTTTGTCAAAACGCCATTTTTGTGACAAAGGTTCTGCGGATAATTCCACCGCCGATGGTCACTGTGGGGTCAGCCAGACTGGAGCCTGTCCACGTGTCCCAGGAATGAACATGATTGGCGCTGTGATCGTGCCACAAAGATTTGCTTGCGGAAACCCGCCTTCTACATGCACTTGTGGCAGTTGAACTTTGCTCCTTCTTTCTGCCACGGACTGACAAATGGCAGTCGTGATGATGCCCTTCATCCTCTTTACCTCCTCAGACACACAACCACTGGATATTTGCCAACTATGGCACCGATCTACGATATACTTCCGATGTGAACTGGCTCGAAATCCTTCCTTTGTCAAGGGCCTCCTTTTTCCTTTCCCAAAGGGCCGATTTTCTGGCAGACCCGAGTGGGAAGTTAGCCTAGACCTGCCAGTGAACGGAACCGTTAACTTGAGCGCCTGAGATCGTGATCTTATCGAGTTGGAGATTGTCGGCCACTGTGACAACTTGTTTGACGGATTCCAGGTACACGAACAAGTACATGACTTCACTACTACATCGTTCATCAAAAGTCTATACACAGGTACAAGGTTGGATCTCGTTAACTACACGAACGTATATCTCAATTGGCGCGCGGCATGACGTTAGCAAAGTAGAGGACGGTGACACCCAAAACATCAGAGAAAGGCGGGGTCTGCCCTTCGTTGATCTTGTAGGACACTTTCTCGCACCTCCCCTCGAGCCTCTTCTTGTAATAGTAGACCGTCTTGTAGTCAATCATGATTTGGTAACGGTCAGGGTGGTCGAAGACGGTAATAGAGGGGTCCCTTCGGTCGCCAAAGGTTCCTTCGAGAGGAATTCGTTCCTCAGGGCCCCGGCTTTCGCCGTACGGGATACTGTTGAAGACAAAGGCGTTCTCCCTTCGTCGAATGCCGATGTGGAGAAGAACGTCTCCTTTAGCATTGATCAAGTTGACGTTGGTGTTGTCGATCCCGGTGGGTCCCAAGTTGGGGCTTGGTTCAAGGTCGAGCTTGTCCGATTGGAAGACGATGATGCCGTTATCCTTGAGCGGCTCGCTCAAGTCGACGGTTGATTCGAGTCTGAGGATGTGGAACATCTTTGGTTACGCCTTCGCGTGTACCAAGGTCAGTTAGTCGCCATGATCTACAGCAACGAGGAGAAAGCAACGAACCTAGCACAACTGACAATCGAAGTAGGATTGTTAGTGAGGAGAATAGACGGGAGGTTTGGGCTTTATATGCTGCAGGGAGGGCCCCTGAGCTGCCTCCTATACGCTGAAGGCCCTGTCAGAGTAACTCGAGTTCGACTTCCAAGACTTCTCGTGCATATGGACCGTGACAGACAGGCTCTAATTGACGTCCATAGAAGTGGAAGGCGAGAAAGCAGCGAACATAATGGGACAAGCTAGCAGAGGCAGACAGATACTGACTGGGTATCTCTACCTTCTCCTTTCTGTCTAGTGGTCGGTTCGTTAGAGAGGGAACTAGAGAAATCATTGTGAAGCGCCCGACAAAGCGCCCATGCACGCGGTGATGTAGCTCCAAGGCACATTCATTCATGCGCTATCTCCTATCCTTGTAAAACGTCTGATACGTGCACTTCTACTGTCAAAGTAGGTCTTGTGATACCGCCAAGCATTCTCGTGCAAGAGGGTGAACGACATCATGGAACCTACAAGGGAGATAAAAGGGCGAGACGGTGCAGAGAGTGTGCATACGAGAGCTTCGAGAATGAAAGATCTACATGTGAAATCCACAGACCTCAGGAGATGCGGTCACGAGTGAGGCCCGCCTTTCTCGCATGGGAGCTCGTTCGGAATTCAACGCAAGCGCCTGAACAAGCGCCTATGCAGCACTGTCGCCGTTTGCCCCCGCGCTGTTTTTGCTTCGCAAGCCCCGACACTTGGGCCTGGGAGGTACAATATCTGGCTGGAACACCTAACTTTACTAAGCTCCGGCGTACTTGAACCTCCAGCCAGGTTGACAGCTTGGACAGCTTGAATTGAATCAGCTGTGTGACTTCGTCCCTGACTGAGGAAGGTGAAGGCGCTTTATATCAGTTAGAAGTCGCTGGCGAGCGCTGCGCGAGACAGTGCTTCGGTGCAGAGCGTCATTACTTACTCTCGGCACCCACTTCAGGTGTCTTCCTCTCTCATGTACTATCATCGGATTGCTTGAACCAGCCCCTATCAGAACGCATAACAACTTTGCTACTTCGGGATTCACTTGTAGCGACTCAGACTCCGACTTCGAGCGCTGCCCAACCTCGCAATAAGTAAAGCTGTACCTAATGAATTGGAGATTACTCCATGGATTAACATTGTCGTGCTTCTCTGTAGATATCAGTACAGCATACCGACGGTAATCGGCGCCTTTGGCGGCAAGAATAACGAGGTTGCCGTAGTTCTAGGGTGTCACTCGTTCGGTCTAGTCTTGGCGTGACCATTCAAGGGTATTCATTTCAAGCGTGTACGTAGATGCCTTTCTTCGCGACCGCAGAAGCTCTAATACAGAAAGAATATCACCGGACCATACATCTAGAACCCAACCGCAACTTTCTCTTACCCGTTAGTTCCCAAAAGCCATTCCAACACCACCCGTGTTCCCCTGAGATGACCAGGCTATATTATCAAGAAACATATCTCTGACATGCGTTTTCCTCGGGCACATTTTATTGACCAGACGTGGGCCCAGGGAGCATTATGGCAGACACCCGACTGAACGGGATCAGCCTTTCCATCTTTCCATCAGCTTCTCCCGAGGGTGCGAATCTCCACACAAACAGAGTCCCTGTTGTCTGAGTACATACCCTATCACCGGAGAGAGAGAGCGCGCACACTGAATGCAGAGATGTGATTGAGCAGTACATAGCGCCCACCACTTCGACTTCCTGTGATTGCGCGCATTGTGGGGTTACTAGACCTGTTTCCCCAGAAGAAATGGGGTACTTTAGGTTTTTGGAACCGAATTCCGAGGTGGTGATGCCTCGTGTCAAACATGGCAACTCGGAATGTAGTGTGCTCAGATAAGTGGGCAAAAATAGATACAGCGCACGTCAGAGCAACGTTATCTTCGTTGAGTCTGAGCTGTAGAGGGGTTTCAAGGAGTCTCAATCACTTCCGACTCGGAGGAGTGCCCTTTGAGGAGAGGTGGACCCGCGAATATGGCGACGTTTCGACATCCAACTCCACATTCATGTTATTACGATGCGATTGAGGGCTCTCGCTCTCTGTTGCGCCATCGCAATGTCCATATGCAACAAAGAAACGTGGTCAGTGGCTATTGTTTGCGTCCCGTTGCCCACGAACCACCGACGAACCAGACAAATGTCGGTGTTCGGGAAGAAACGTCGATGACGACCACATCTCGGACAAAACGTTCTGAATATCAAAGCACTTGGACCAGAAAAAACAAACAACTTGCAGCAGAACTCGAACCTCCACTTTTTCGCATCACAACTCCCCGACTTCGGAATCTGTGCCTCCCATTTCCTCCGAGCTCGAGTACCGACTCCTCCTCCGACCTCTTCGCCCATGGCGAAGTAAGCTACCGGGTAGTACAGCATTCGCGGCTTTCCTCAGCCCGAAATCACCTTTGATGATGCGAACGAACACTAGATAACCGGGTGTACTTCTGTCACTTGTATACTTTGAAGAAATGTATACGTTATCGTATATGAACGCCGGTGGCACAGCAGATATGTGAGTCCAAGCTATCAATCAGTCATAGACCTCACCCTCAAGTGCGCCCACCACAAACTGAGAGTGAAATAGCGATGACGACGACGATCTCTTCGGGCGGCCCTTAAAGGAATGTTCAAAGGCGAAGTAAGCGGGGAGTAAACCAAACCAGTTTGTCTGGGATGAAAGAACCCATGAACCTATTTGTGCGGTCGAGAACTGACTGCGAAAAGGATGGAATTGGTTACTTGAATGAATTCGTCCTTTTCTTTTAGTTCGTTTCCTTTGATATATTCATTCACCAATGCGATTGGGTCGGCTGCGCGGTTGAGGAGTAGACCAACCAGCTCACCTTCCTCATCGAGCGAGAAACAAAGCACCAGGAACCGCGCCCACTTCTTTCAAACAATAACATGACCACTTGAAAGGTCCTCAATGCCAACACCACGAGATATCTCTCCTTCCAAATCCAGCGGTGCAAAGTGGAGTGGGTATCGAATGTCACCTCCTTCAATCGACTCCAAGGTCGACATATGTACTTCTCCCAACAGAGCCCGAACTACAAGCTAACCTCGTGTTCCGATAACTGAAAAACTCCTCTTTAGATTCCTTAGCCGTTCGAACCCTCTCGGTAATGACCTGGGTATGACGACTTTCCAAGCCTATTGAGACGTTCTCGACCCTCGGGTAGATTTTCAATACTGTATTCCGAGGTTTACCTCGGGTCCCAAGCCTCAACTCGTCCTCCATCTCTCCACTTCTGTGCTCATCCGAGTCTTGGACGGCAGGAACGACCAAGAACAAAGGTGGGACGGATGCATTTCGAGGGCATGATGACAGGCAAGTTTAAGCTCAGCGATCTTGATTCCTGGCACATGGAAGTACCAAACGAGCGGGTTGGGATCATGTATTGGGATTCTTAGTCTGCAAGCTGCAAAGGAAAAAGTAAAGGCGTGACATGTGAGTAATACCACCTGGTAACCTCCACCTCTGACATCCATGAGCAGAAACTAAGTTTATTGATGCGGGGGATTGGTCAAAGAGACAGGAGGAAAAAGAAAAAAGCAAAAAACACTTACAACCAAATTTATCTCTCCGTCTGGGAGTCGAACCCAGCTTTCGCGCGCACGCTAAGGCATGACAGGCGCGTGTACTAACCGATATACTAACGGAGACTTATTAGGCAAGTAACATAAAGCCACAAGAGGTCAGGCATCCAGAGGGCGATTGGTAACACACTCGTCATGCGTTTGAGGGAGAGCACAAGAACACACCTTGTGTCAATCAATTCATCAACAAAGTGGGTATCAGCGCATATAGTTAAGTACATCGAGGCACTACAATGGTGGTTTCGAAGCCGGAGTAGAAGTCGAGCCTGTTGCACTAGCTCCAGGTGCCGCACCAGATGGATGCTGGGGTGGTCTCTTGAAATCAGACAACTCCTTCGCATCGTCGTCGACCTGGTTGTACTCGTTGTAATCCTGCTCATCCTCATCCTCATCGTCGTCATCGTCATCATCTTCATCGTCGTCGTCATCATCGGCATTCCCAACTTGGAATTCACGGTTGGCGGTAGCTGGGGTTGGTGGTACAGCAGCTTTAGGCGGAACAGCTGGAGGCTGTGGCTGCGGCCCTTGCAGCGGAACAGGCGGCAGTGGCGGAGAAGGAGACTGCGAAACGGTCACAAGTGGTGCTCTATCTCCTGAAGAGTGAGAGGAAGAAGCGGAAAGTGGGGAAGGCGTCTGCGAGAGATGGGGCGAGCGTTGCTGGGAGAGGGATTGAATACGTTGATGTTCGAGCTCGGCGTTTACTTGTGTTTGGTGGGAGACGGGGTTGGTTTCGGGGATGGGGCGTTGTGGTGCACGAGAGAATGCTGCAGAACCTGAGGTGCGGTGGCCTGGTTGGGGGCGGGCGAAGCCTCCTGGTCCTCCTCCACCTCTCGATTCCAGATCTTCGCCTCGGATGTTGATTCCAACAGATGTTTGGTGGCTCACGGGGTTGGTCGCGGTGGTGTTGGGTACTCCGAAGAAGCCACTGGAGCCAGCTGGTCTGGATTGGTAGGCGTAGAAGACGTCTTTGGCCCAGTCGATAGCTTCGCTTGCGTGGTATCTCATGGATTCGAGGGAGAATTGGGGGATCTGGTCGACACCGCGTAGTTGGAGGACGAAGCGGTTGTAGAGAGTACCAAGGACTGTGTAGGTCAACAGGAGGGCAAGGAATCTGGACAAGGCATGAGTCGAGATATCAGAGATATAGGCTGAACTTACATGACGGCCAACGTAACGAATAATGTCCAGACGATGCCACTTTCGCTAATAGGACATGCGTACTTGGGTGGTAACCATGTCAGTATGGTGTAATCAGCTTCCCATTGCTGGAACGTACATGTGTTCGCCATTCAAGAACATACGCGCATCCCTCGTCTTCGTTTCCGGGAGGTAGCTGGGCAATGAGTCGGGGTTGACCAGAGCCAAATGACGATGGGTCGCAGATGAAGTCAATGACCGTTGAAGCCCTGATATTCTGAGGCTGGTTCTTGTCTGATTTGCATCGAGAACCAGATGAAAGAATCATTCTTGGATGATTGTCGAACAGCTCAAAGGTTGTATTGACCTTTCTGATTGACTTGCTAAGCGTCAAGAATAAAGAATAGTAGGTTAATTACGCACCCAATAACAAAGTCTCCGCGACCTCTTCGAACGAATGCGGCAATGTCATTGGCATGGATATCATCCTTGACACCAAAGGTTTCCGTTCGAACTGCCTGACACATATTTATTGCAAATAGTTCCTTTGGATCTAAACCCGCAACCTGGTGGTCTTTGCTACAGAAAACCGTCAGAGATTCAAGCAGTCGCGACGGAGGAGATACGCACTTGGACTTGAGCGGATTCAAATCGTAATACTTTCCCTTGGCATGGAGGGTACAAGGTTTCTGCTCAGCGGCGACAACGCCGACGGAGAGCAGTGCCAAAAACAGAAAATTAGTCTTCATCGTTATCTGCAACGCGAGGTCATTGAGCAAGACAGCAGTCAAGGGCAGGCGGCGTTCAGAATCGCGCCTCGCTCATTGGCTGGAATCAAGGCATCACGTGGTAGAAAAGCGTGACGTGACACCCGCACAACTCCGAAAACGCTCTGCTCGTTGTGCTCCTCGTCGTCGTCGCCGTTCCTCATCGTCAGCTAAATTATTCCTCACCGTTGACAACACTCCAAACGATGTCCTCGGTGCTTCTGCGCTCAATAGCGCGTTCGGCAAGGACGCCGTCTACCGCATCCGCAGCGCGCAGGTCGCTTTCCACCACCGCCGTCCGTGCCCAACAAGAGAAAGTCAGGACTCCCCATGACTATCACACCGTTGAGGCTTTCCAGGGCATGCATGCCAGCGAGATTTTACCTGAGCCTGGCACCAAGGCTGATTCCAAGATGAGGCACTTTACCGGTGCGTGTTTCTGCCAATGACCAAGTGGACTCGAGTATTGATTGACCGTTCGAATTCGTATTAACCAGTCAACTTTGGGTGAGTTTTCAAATGTTCCTTCAATAAAACCGCAGTCTAAACCTTTTGACAGTCCTCAGCATCCTGCTGCTCACGGTGTGCTTCGTATGATCTTGGAGTTGAACGGAGAGGAAATTCTACGCGCTGACCCTGTCCGTCCCTATAATTTTCTTCCGCTTCCCCGCTGACCCCGTACTCCAAACAGCACATCGGTCTTCTCCACAGAGGGACGGAAAAACTCATCGAGTACAAAAACTACACTCAAGCCCTTCCCTATTTCGACCGTCTCGACTACGTCTCCATGAGTTCGTTCAATTCAATTGCAGCTCCAAAGGACGAGGTTAACCTTTGTTTCAGTGACGAACGAACTTTCCTACTCCCTCGCTGTCGAGAAACTCCTCAACGTTCAGGTCCCCGAACGTGCCCAATGGATCCGAACCCTCTTTGGTGAAATCACCCGGATCCTCAACCGTAAGGACCCTCCCTCCCTCACAAGACACCATAAACTCATTGCTTTCCAGACCTCATGGCCGTCCTCACTCACGTCATGGATGTCGGTGGTCTCACTCCTTTCCTCTGGGGTTTCGAAGAACGTGAAAAGCTCATGGAATTCTACGAACGTGTCTCCGGTGCCCGTCTACACGCCGCCTACGTCCGACCCGGTGGTGTCGCCTTTGACCTCCCCCATGGTCTCCTCGAAGATATCTTCAAGTGGGCTACCCAGTTCGGCAGCAGAATAGACGAAATTGAGGAAGTCGTTACCGGCAATCGTATTTGGAAGGAGCGGACGATTGGTATTGGTGTTGTCACTGCCCAGCAGGCGTTGGACTACAGCTTCAGCGGTGTCATGTTGAGAGGAAGTGGCGTCCCTTGGGATATTCGTAAGGTGGCTCCTTATGACAAGTACGCTGAGGTATGTCGTTTGATATGTGTTCGATGGAACGAAGACTGACGTTGGTTCGTTAGGTCGAGTTCGACATCCCTGTTGGCAAGAACGGTGACTGCTACGACCGGTACCTCTGCCGTGTTCAGGAAATGCGAGAGTCCCTCCGTATCATCTCCCAGTGCTTGAACAAGATGCCCACTGGTGTTGTCAAGGTCGACGACCACAAGCTCACTCCTCCACCACGAGCAATGATGAAGGAGAGCATGGAGAGCTTGATCCACCACTTCAAGCTTTTCAGCGAGGGCTACTCCGTTCCTCCTGGCGAGACCTACACCGCCATTGAGGCACCCAAGGGAGAGATGGGTGTCTACCTCGTTTCGTGCGTGCTTTATCGTCCACTGTGCAAGGATTGCTCTTGACAAGGTACTTTCAGTGATGGCACCAACCGCCCCTACAGATGTAGCATCCGTGCACCCGGTTTCGCTCACCTTGCTGGCTCCGACTTCATGATGAGACGTACGTGTTCCTTTCACTTCCAAGAACGAGCTTAGCTGCTGACATGATTTTCTTTTTCCAGATGTATGTGACACCCTTATAGCGATTAGGATGCCAAACCGAAACATGTCTGACCAACTCTCTTTTTCTTTTAGCACATGTTGGCTGACGCCGTTGCCATTATTGGTACCATGGATCTTGTGTTCGGGTGCGTACCCCCTTTCCTCCATCCACGCAATGAAAACCTTCTGACCATTTTCTCTGTTTGCAGTGAGGTCGATCGGTGATTTCCTCCAACCCTTGGGGACTGCTAGAGAGCACGGCATGTGGAGTAGCGTAGTAGACTCTAAGGATAGACGCTTTCAGAATGACAAGTACATCCTTCTCGTTTCTCATTCTTTTATCTGCAAAACGAATCATTTCAAATGGCACTGTTTGCGGTTTGGTTGTTTTCTTGGATTCATTTTTGGCCAAATTTGAGAGTGAGATGAGGTTGATAGAAGGTGTGATGTGTGGCTAACTTTGGACCTGTCTATCAGGTCTCCGTTAGTATATCGGTTAGTACACGCGCCTGTCATGCAATAGCGTGCGCGCGAAAGCTGGGTTCGACTCCCAGACGGAGAGATTCCGGGAGATTTTGGCCCTTCCTTTTTTTTCTCTATTGCAATGAACCTTTCCTGACTGATATCTTTTGTTTTCCTACTCAGTGGTCCCTTGGTGAGCAGTGGGGGCCAGTGTAGTGCCCTGTTAATTGTGGTTGCCTTCACGGAAAATCGGAGACGTTGCATGTAGGTGTACTGCGAGGCTGAAACGTGAAAATGTTATGTCACACTTGCAAAAAACGCACCTGTTCTGTGGGCGCCTATCCCCAAAATTCAGAATTCAACTCTGATGGACTACATCAGTGAGATTTCTCTTCCCCTCGTGGTACCTCTGCACGCCTTGCTAGGCCGCCGTTTTCACTGTTTCAAGTACTCCAAAGGATTAAGTGAAGATTTCCAGGTCTAACTACGTTTGCGGAGACGCATTCTTTCTCCCGCCATTCTGATATGACGGGTGACCTTGGTTGTGCCTTCGGAAGGATTGGAACTTGAGACAGTGGGCCCTTGATTGAAGATTGCGGTATGGGCGAAAGGAAGGAAACATTCACGAGCCCTCGTGTAGGCTTTGTAAAACCTGTACCTGTATCGATAGGTGATCAGATCTTTTTGTCGGTCGTGGTGTTTTCCGGTCTATGCGGGTATTGGGACAACGCTGTCTGAGTGAGCAGACATTAAGCGCCTTTGGAATCGGAACTTCAAGCACCGGAGGGCCGCCTCCGAGCTAAGCGATGCGGTACCTATGTATGTAGTTGCCTTGTATTTTGAATCCAAAACTGCTCATTTTTTCAGGCGAGCCACCGCCAACAACTTGATTCTTGACTTTGGACTCGACCTCGGACTCGGACTGTGTGTACATCCTTCGTTCCAGACTTTTTTCCTCCAATTCAATCCTGTAGATATCAAACCAGGTACCCTTGATGCGCTTTTGTTCTGAAGTTGGGTTTGTTGGAGCGTTCGAGGCAATTTCCGCGTCGTATTCAGTAAAAGAGCATTCCACGTAAAAAATTCTGGACCATCTTTCTCGAGTTTTGTGAGGTGCCCGACAATCGTGCCCATAATTCCAGGGAAATACATTCTACTTCGTGGATACTGAATACCGAAAGGCAAGCGTGAGCCACGGGTTGCTCAGAGAGATGATACCCACACCCGAGCCCGAAAGAAGCTCCTCCGCCACCTCGAGCTCTCTTGTTTGTAAGTAAATTACCGGTACTGCATACCGTGACACAGGTGTGTGGGGTAGAGGAGCTTCTCAAGTACCGGTACAAGAAACTTTCCCTCGCTTTCCCCACACCGTGTGGTCACTGTGGTTCCTGTGGGAGTTGAACGGGAGTGACGGCTTCCCTTGAATTTGAGTTCGCGAACGAGCGAGAGAAAAATGCGCGATCAAATGGGATGGTTGTGAAGTCGGTCGGACTTGGGTGGAATGAACTGGAGGTTCAACTGGTTTGTTTGGGTACATAGTTTGGGCGCTTGTGCGAGCTTCGGAAGGACCGGCGACATGCCCCATGTCCTGACCGCTCCTGTGCGAACGTGTGTGAGAGGAGTTGTACTGTCGGCTCTCTATTCTTCAGCGTCTCGGAATGGGATTTTTTCTTCCACCCAGAAATACAGGATCACGACAACGAGGGAGCTTTGTGCCATATAGAGTAGACTACCTAAGAAGACGGGGCGATGTGTACGGTAAGTTGTATGGGTGATTCCGAGAAAAATTGTAGGACTGTGCGGATAACCATTTGGAAGCCCGAAGGAAAAGACAAGGTTCTTTCGTCATCTTTGATAAGGCGGGCCTGGTCTCCTCGTCCAGTAAGTATGTGCTCATTGTTGAGATTTCCAAACGGCGCTTCGCCCAAGCCATGGGCTAAGGGCATTCCAGCTCGAGTGATTTTGTATGAGGACCAGGAGGTCGGCAATGATCCCGGGCCTCCATTTCCCGTCCTTCGTCAAAGGCTATTTGCACCACATGGTATGCCATAGTCCTTACTACTACCACTGGGCCCATTCCTAGAGAAACGCGTGCTGGATCCATTACTTCAAAATTACGGGAATGTTACAGCAATTCCGGCAAGGGTCAAAAGATAAAGCCCCACGCTTCTTTTTGTCTTTACAGCTCCCCAACCACGTTCTATCCTTCACCTAAGGATCTCGCGAGTTGAAATACGGATTCCACAAAGGAGACAGGTTTAAATTTGGTGAATCTGGCGATGATCCCTGGTTCGCTCCTATTTGGCTCTCGCTGATGGGGAACCGGAATTGATCGCGTTTGATCGAATGACGTGGGGTTCTACTGCAGGCTTTCCTTCGAACCACCATCAACAGCTTCGTCCCTCCACTGTGCTCCTCCGACGAGCCTCAAGGTCCACCGGCGCTTAAGCACCGTAAGCCCAGCAATCACAGTCACCCTGCGCTGGATCCGAACCGGTCAACTGAAAGAAGTTACGACAGTGATAGCTCAACAAAAAGCTTAAAACCAAACCCCCACTGCCCCATAGTACGACAATGTCGAACCCCTTGCTCAAGTCGGTTTGCAGGGCGATGGAACGGATCGCGCCACTTCGGCTTGCTGAGAAATGGGATAATGTCAGACCATGATTGCTTTACTCGTCTTTCCATTTGGACGCGTTTTTCTTTGTATGAAAGGTTTATTGACTTGAGTTTGCGGTCTTTGGTAACAGGTTGGCCTGCTGTTAGGTGTGTTCTCTGTTTCGATCTGCTCGTAGCTTTTCGATTGACAGGTTCTGAACCCTACCTCCAGAGTCACCGGTTCAACGAAGAGGCAGGAACCGCGTCCTTCTCACTATAGAGTGAGGAATCACTTGGTTTATCTTGCGATTTAAGCTAATTGAGCTGATGAACTTGGTCACGTACCTGTCCGGCCCTCTCTAAACACCTACATCCTTCAGCTTGACTACTTCTGTTCTCTCGGAAGCGCTAGCGAAGGAGACCAGCGTGATTGTCGCTTATCACCCCACGATCTTCAAGGGGCTTCAATCACTGACGCTCGCGAACCCTCTGCAACGATCGCTCCTGCAGTGTGCCGCAGAAGGCGTATCGGTGTACAGCCCACACACGGCTCTGGACTCTGTGTGGGGTGGTATCAACGATTGGCTTGCCCGCGGAATGCTGGGGTCGTCATTGTCGTCGTCATCCTCGCCTGAAGAGGGAATAGTCGAGCCTTTGGTAGGCTTGAAGCTTGGCGCAAATGGTGAATCCGAAGGCGCCGAAGGAAGGTTGGTGACGCTTAACCAACCCATCGAAATCGACGAACTCGTGCGGAGGATCAAATCGCACTTGAAGCTTGCAAACGGTGAGTCAAGGGGTTGCAACATACTACCGAAAGCTATGCCCGGTTATTTAATTCTGTGGGATTAACTAACCAAACTTGCCTTGGTGTCATTATTAATTGCTATGCAGTGCAAGTTGGTTACCCTGATGTGGCGGAAGGGAGTCCATCAAAGTTGGTTCAAACGATTGCCATTTGTGCTGGGTCCGGTGGATCCATGCTCGTCGGAAAGCCGGCCGATGTGTATTTTACTGGGGAGATGTCGCATGTCAGTCCAGTTCACTTCTTTATGCTCCAGGCTAGAAAGGAAACTTACTCTCCTTTTCTATTCCAGCACGAAGTTCTGGCGTCAGTCGCAGCTGGCAAGCACGTCATTCTCTGTAAGTGGTATGCAGCATTGTTATTTTCGTCTACTCACTTCCTTTCTTCCGGATTGGCGCAGGTGGTCACACGAACACCGAACGCGGATACCTCCCAATCCTCGCAGAGAAGCTACGAAACGGATTGAGTGAAGACCAAGAGTTTGGAGAAGCTGTCGAGGTGCTGGTCAGTCAAAAGGATCAGCACCCCCTCGCCATAGTGTAAAAAAAGACATAGTCTGGGTGTATTCCTGCCTCCAAAGTATGCTATTTTTTCCCCCTTCATCCCTTCGTCGGGTCTAATGAAATGACCTGAATCAAGGAACATCGACGTTTGTTAATTGTTGTAGGTTAGCCGGGGTTACACATTACGCTATTCCAACATCCGCATCCACAACCACGCGATGTCGACTCGATGTCGTCAATCCAACCAAACCACGGACCGGTGTCGATTGGCTTGAGTGCTTGTCCTCCGAGGGTATTCCATCATTCCTATCGTTCCGAAACCGCCTTGGGCGTTGCTGTTTCCCTTATCATCCCACATCGCCCTCCGCTATCTGATTATCGCCCGAGCTATGAGAAAAAACAAGCGTTGGTTCCATGATCCGTCCCGATGCTTGGCCTCTCAAAGGCATAATTCGCGAAAAAGATGACACAAAAGCTTCCTCGCAAGAGGTGAATGGGGATGAGAAGTCTGAAGGACGATATTGCGCTCAGAACTGACGTTGCGTGGGTACTGGATGTCGCAGAAGCTGGTGAATCGAGCCGGATGATATGTTTTAGACTCAGGCACCGAGAAGAAAGTCTCTTTTCTGGTGGGTTCCAGAGATTCGATTAGGTCGTGGATATCCTCTTTCGATCCAGTTCGTTTTGCAGGATTTATTTTCTTGCCTCGAGGCAGAGGTAAAAAAAGATATGATTGCGGAACTGCATGGTTCGATCAAAGCATATCCGAGGTTTAGCGACAAAGCGAGCTGGGCGAACAAAGGCTGGTGAAGCTCGTGGCTGAGTCGTCGGTCAACCAACTTGCGAGGTACAGGCAGTTGTTCTCGAGTCGCGTTCGGGCATGCGCGAAGGTAGAGTTACCGGTTGTCGGTTGCAGTGGTCATGATCACCGCAGGAACGCTCGGGGATTGCTTGGTGACCGAATGGTACCATCTCTTCGCCCCTTGCGCCAAAAAAAATCAGTTGCTGTTTAAGTGGGCAATGTGTACAACAGAGTTTTGTCCTATGAAACGTCAATATTGTGGTGAGGCTGAGTGTATTCGAATTCGATCGGTTACCTTGTGTATAAATAGACGCAGGAGCCGGAGTAGGCGGCTAGATTACGAGATAGACCAGGTCAAAGACTCGAGGCAGAGTTTGTTCATGTTCAAGGAGTCGGTTACCCGCGACAACGGGAGAGTCGAGTCGTCGGGACACATATCGTGCCGATATTGAGCTGGAGAGTCTCGAAATTGACCTCGTCGTTCACAGATGAGCCGCCCACCCCGAGGTTACAGGTGAGTCGCGAGCCCGCAAGTGGATAATCTTGGCACCAACCTGCTCGCTCCATAAATCACCGAACAGGGAGTTGGGTGGATTCTAGAACTGAAAAGAACCAATTATTCAAGATGTGGGTCGTCATTTGAAGAGACGAATGGAGGGAATCCAGCGTAAGGAGTGACGTGCGTTTTCTCGTAGTAGCAGAATGTGGTGAGCCAAACTGCTGGCTCTTGGGGCACTGGAAGTGGTCAACTGGGTTCCTGGAACGATCGGGCGGGGACGAGCGAGAAGTTTACTTGATCGAGGACGTAGAAAAGGTCAAGTCTATACAATTTTCGAAGGTAACCAAGGCCAGGTTGCATCTGGTGCAAGTCGAGAAAGGGAGTGGGTGGGAGGACTGTGTCGTACCAATACGAGCTAACCGTGATTCCTAGAAGTCAGGACCAATAAATCCGATAAGCCAGAAAGGCTTGATGAGGAAGCATGCGTTGTGGATGAGGTCCCTTGGCACAGGCAATTTCCGAGCGTTCTCGAAATGTTCTGCCCGAACGTGTTTTGGAGTTGGTGCCCCGAAGATAGCGGTGTGGCTGAAGAACCCAAGGGGTGTCAGAGAAGGCAGTCGATAGCAAAAATTTATGAAAAGACCACAAGCAATCCCAGGTAATCGGTGTTTAGTAGCCAGGATCCCAAGAAACATGATTTGCAGCCCAGAAATAGACACGAGGCTACGAAGACTTCCCGGGATCTGCAGGGTGGTAGTTTAGGTGAGGCCATTTGATCCAGCTGCAGGGCTAGTCCAAGGCTGGACGAAGGCGCCACAGACGAGTAGCATCATGGCCAGCATGTTGTACACAGATGCGATTATCTGAAAGATAGGCGGAACCTAGAAAGCGGCGCTACTCCGACATCATGAAATTTGGTCAGAAGACGAGTTCGTGAGCCATGGCCATGGTGCCATGCTTCTTTTCTCCTTAAGGTTTTGCAATGCGACGACGACTTGGTTTGTGAATTCCTTTCCCAAGTCAGAGAATAGAGGCAAACGAGCTGGTCCTGGTGCGGCGTAGATCCCAAGAACTTTCGGCCACGGGTTGGCGCTGTGGTTTGCTTTGTTGACTCGGTCATAGCTGACTTCATTATTTGAGGTTTCTATTTCCTGGACACTGTATTTTCAGGAGACACTCGATCAAATGAAAAAACGACTTACTGGTCAGAGAACATCGTGGACCAGAAATAAGCGAGGGAACTTTGGTTTTGTGGACGCGACCGAGACAAATGGGACTCGATCACGTGAGCATCAAGCGCGGTTGGCGCGCCACTCAACGACGGCGAGTTCAACTTGGTCCACGACCACAACGACGATTGCCAACGTTTCTGGCTACAGCGACGGAGAAGACAACGGAGGAGCCTAATCACCGCCACCCTCAATACCAAGGTGAGTGCCGTGCGGCTGCTCGAGCTTCTCCCGCCTGAAAACTGTGCACAGAAATCCAGGGTCATTCTGGAACGATGTCGCCCTCATTCGATATGGGCGAGGGTCTCAGCCTTAGGCATCTACCTGATGCTTCGAACGCCTCATTCTCGTTTCAAATCCCAACCTCCACTAGGACAGCAGATTACTTGCTCGCTGATGACGGCGAGGACTTCTTTAACGGTGTAGACGACCTCCTGGCAACCCCGGCACCACCCAGACTCGGCGATCGTCCCCTAAGGCTCAGCGACCTGACGCCTAGACCGTCGGGCAGAAACGATTCCAAAGCTCCGTGCCCACCAGAGCATCATGCTGGATCATCAGAACTCCTTGAAGACAACAAACCCTCCCAACGATCCCCAAGAACCAGGAAGAGCCGTGTTAATACGGCAAGACCGAAGCCTAGCGCGATCACCCGACTCACAGGGATGCTCCCAAAGGCAGATGTCTTTCCAGCATCTCCAGCGGGAGAACGCATCGACAATCTGAAGGCTCAAGTTAGCTCCTTGGCAGATGACCGTGAAACCATCCCATTGACCTTTCCATCGAAACCTCCACCTGACTCAGCGCCCCCTCCTGTCTCCAAACACAATCCAGCCCCAAATCAAGAGCCATCAGTACCCCAGAACAAAGCACCTCACCCTGTAAGTCACCGTCCTTCCAATGTTCTTCATCCGCCCAATGGCTGATTGGCACCCACGTAATACTTCACTCAGGTCCAAATCACAGAACCTGTCCCGAAAGCTCGACGGCGGAGAGGGACTATTGTGGCCCCTTCTATGAATGACTGCCGCAGCGGCATGAACGCACCGCGCTTCTCATCAGACGGCCCATCGACGTCCAAGCCACCAGATGGAGTACAGGAAACTCACGCCGACTCCAGCGGAGACTCTGTTGCTCTGGGCGGCATTGCAGCTCGTCTGCTAACGTACAGTGAACAGATCTTAACCACTGCCGAGTATGTCCTTTAATCGCTGGAGCTAACGTCCGAGTAGCAGTGCTAACTCGGATTTTCTCCCTACCGTTAGACATGTCGAAAGTGGCTCTAAACCCACGTCTAAACCCGTTACTGCATACTCACAAGACTCGATGGCAGGCACATCTGCCCCATGCGTACCATCGACTTCGACTGATGACAGCCCTTTGACGTTATCTCAACTCTCTCCTGAAAAGCCCCGTTCGGAAGCGCGAGGAGTTCGTGTGCGGCAAGGTGCTGTCGAGGAAGCACCTCCACCAAAGCCTCTTCTAACCTCATCGAGCAAGAGGCCGGCCGGAAACCCATCTGACGACGGTCCAGCGCGGAAAAGAGCTAAACCTAACGCCCCTTCTGCTCCTGACAAGGGGTCGACATCCAATAAATCAGCGGAGGATGTACCGCCGACTCGGAAGGTTGTTCGACGTCGCTCGTCTGGTTCTAGGTCCAGGTCGACAGTCACGGGCGAGCTACCAAGAACACGACTGAGAACGTCTGGTACCACAAGGGTTACCAGAAGCAGCAGGTCCAGCAGTCTGAACAAATCCGAGTCCGAACGGGAGAAGGCCAACGCCTCGTCGTCAACTGGTGGGACTAGCAGAGCGGTAACTCCACGGCTACGAGATTCGCACCACAAAGAGACGAAGATCAAATCGGCGGACAAGTCTTCACTGTCTCGACCTTCAACCGAACAGGTCGCGAGTGGGTCCACGTCCTCAAAGAGAAGCGTTCGTAATCTTGCTTTTAGTTTGAGCGCCGGAGCGTAGAGCTGATCTGTCATGCAGGTTATTCGCGCGACTATCCCTCACGAATTCAACTTCCATGTCGACGCCCGGTTAGAAGCTCGTAACCGTGAATCACAACAGTCAGACCGTCTTGGTGGATCGTCTAAAGCCAACAAGAAGAAGGGTTCTATACCAGACTTCAAGGCTCGACGTGAAGCCGAGTTACCGCACCGAAAAGAGAACATTCAGCCCGTCGTACCCCAACCCTTCAAGTTCGAATTGGACTCTAGGCTGAAAGAGCGTGCCAAGTTTGAAGAGATGATTCGAGAGAAGGAGCTTCAACGGCATCGAGAACTGGAGCAGAAACGAAGGGAACGGGAAGAAGAGGAGGAACGGGAAATCCGAGAGTTGCGCAGGAAGCTGATTCCAAAGGCGAATGAGGTTCCGGAATGGTACAAAGATGCACCAAAGAAGGTCAAAGGTGGTTAGTCACATTTGCTGTATATTACCGGGATTTATTACGGGGTTTCAATTCAGCTATTCTTCTATCTCGATGCCCGAGGGTCTTGTGAGGTGTTGTGGGTAATCAATTGAGAAGGTCGGTATGTCCAGCAACCAAAGCCTATTTCCGATTCCTTTGGAATTCCCAACTCCTCGCCTCATGTTCTTAATTTCTGAGGGAATCACAGAACCCGAGGACATTTGGATGCCGTGGGCTGTATGGCGAGCGTTACTACCTCCATGGAGGCTATGAGGCGATGAAAGAGATGCGGGCATTGCGGATAGCGTTAAAGCCATTTTGGACTATTGGGATGATGTCAAATTCTCTTTCATCTTTGTGATTTACTGATGGTGCACGGCAGGGCCTTTTCGTGTGAGTGCCAGTGGTGCCTCTCCTTTGATGAAGGGCGCTTACTCCGCTATACGGGAACCTTTTTCATCAACGTGCGTTTCATTTGGGCTCATTCATGATCATGAAGTGCCGCGTTTGCATGTTCCTCGATTGATCTTCCTTCCCCTTTGAAGTGCGCGTCATACTGCACAATTATTTGTGAAGACCGGGAATTTGAAGAGGGCTCGTAGGTCCGCAAAGACCGTGAATGGGTCGCGTGGTCGACTTGCTCACTTCCCGGTATGTGGTCAGTTGTGGGTGACCAGAAACCATCAAGCAAACAGATGAACTGGTCTCTCTCTCTGCGACGTGCACAATTGCCTCGTTCCCGAGCGCCCCGGAGCAGTACCCAGCGCGTCAATTCGCCAAGCAAGGTTCGGCGTCAGAGCGTGTCCTATCTCTTCGTCTTCTGGTGGCCGAGAAGATTCGATCATAGAAAAGGCGCGTCTCTTATCTCTTCGTCGGAGAAGATGCCAGTAGGCCCGGGTTTCGCTTGCCTTTGTATTATGTGTGTCGATTCCGATAGAACTCTGAAGTGAAAACATTTCAACGCGGCGCGTACCTTCCGCCTTACGAATCTCCGTTACATGTTGGCTTATTCTTGTTCCAACTTCCAAGGGAAACGGCTTGAGAAGGAAAAAAGTACGTACCTTGATTCCAACGTTTTTAGACTCCCCGGCCTGTCAAGATTTTAACAGCGATCGCCATTGCCTTGAAGAAAAAAGGGATAACGTTTCTTTTTACAGTGTGATGTTCCCCATGAAGTTTTGGTTTAGACGGAAAAGGTATGATAACGTTTTGTCTTCTCTCACGAGTGCTCATGTTGGGTGTGATGTGGGAAGGACGAGCGAAGAAACCAAGACTCTCCAAGCTGCGCAAGAGGATCCCGGCCTTGGTCGAACGGGCATCGCAATCGTCACTTACGGACACGCTCACCAAAGTGAATACGTCAATTATGTTATGATGCCCGTCTTGAATAGCAGACGTGTTCCCCCCCAAGTTCCCTCTTATGCCTTTGTGGAGGTTTGACATACACACGCGCGCGGGTGAAGTGCCTTACAACACGTCCCTGTCGAGATGTGTCGCGTCCCCCTTTGTATTTTTTGAGTTGGTGTGATGGGGTTGGGCCTTTGGAGGGCTCCGCAATTTCAAAGAGGATATTCTCTTGTGCTTGTCGTATCACACGGCCCAGTCTCTTCGTCCTGCACCCAACGCGAGAAGAAGAAACTCATGGTGTCAACGTGTCTGCTCCTATGACCCAAAACTTTGTAGGATCTTTGACTTCTTCCGCGGCGGGGCCGCAACCCGGGGATTATCGTGAAAGAGAGGAGGGAGAGAGAAGACAGGGTAATTTTTTTCTGGATTCTGAGCCATTTCGTCTAACCACATTTAGCCACGCCCAGAGAGATGCGTTCGCGATGGGGAACGAGCTGAGGAGCTTGTGAGCTGGATCCGAGCCGGTTTGGTTGGGGTGACTCGGTTCGGCTGACTGAATGGGGATTGGTCCTGCTGACGTTCAAATTTAGATGGCACCGCACAACCCAATTTGCACAGGGCAAGATTGTAGACTTGTTTCTTACGATCCAACGCCAGTTTCAAGATGTGAGTTCGTTTGTCATATCAACGGCTCAAACGGAGGCACGGGATGCAGTCCTTTTTTTGGCGCCGTCAAATGCTTCGGACAATCTGGGCAATGCCGGTGCATCTTGAAAATGGATAAAAGGCCCTACCACTTTCGCTGTTATCCCATCCAACAACCTGCCCTCCGTCGTCGTCTCCTCTCTTCTCCTCGAGCCCCTTAGCAATCTCACAACCAACAATGTGCTCGAGAACACCAGTTCCTTTCCCTGACTCGGCTGCCCTCCGCTGCCAGAGCTCAACATCATCATCATCCTCCCACCAACTGCGATACCAACACCAGCACCAGCAACCTTCACCCCAGTCTTCGAGCTCGTGTATCAACCACAGCTCACCACAATGCTGCCATTGCGGATGGAGAGGCAGTCACTCCCCAGAGTGCCCTTTCAAATAATCGCTATGATTGTTTGATACCCTGCATCGGTATGTCTCCTCATGCATTGAAAAAAAAAATGTTCGCGTCTCATGTATTGGTTATAGCTTTCTTCTTGCCAGTTCGATTTTTATACGACCATCAGCTTCCGTCCAGTTCATCATCCATCATCGCTATCTTCGCTTTCCAACGACTCTCGCATGCAAGCCTTGTCTCAGTATTCAACCATCGCAATACCACCACCTCGCAATTGTACGACATACCATACGCACCATACCACGCCTTCTATGGCCTAGTTGACTACCACTAGTCCTATTTATTCGGAGCTCTGTATACCGAATGTAAGAATGGAAAACTTAATGAAGTCATACCATTGTACATGTAGCCTCTTCCTAGCAACGTCGATCATATATCTTGCTTTTCCTCCATTTCTTTGCGCGGAAATCGTCCCGTAAGACCGTTCAACTCCAACTTCCAAGCAGTGACGAGGCCTCGGCGTTCAAGCACGCATCCACTTTGATGAAAGCTTGTGCAGATATCGTGATAAGATATGGAGCGCCTTTGTTATTGTATTTTTTGACCGTTTTTTGACTCCCCTTTTGGAGGTTTGCGTACTACTTCCGCTGCCTTGCTTCATGGTTCCTGGTGATGGATGACGACACTAGCTGTTGAGTTGGGGAAATAGAACGCGTGGTCCAAGTCAACTTTTGACCCTTCCGCTCCCTTTCTCCCCCGCACTATGTTCCGCGAGCGTCTCAACCTCCTTTGCACCTCGGGACTGGGCGCCTCTATCTAGAGCTTCTCGGAGGGAGCACCCTTATCTCCCCCCACCCATCCTACGGCTCTTGTGAAAAGCTCAATGCGACTTTGAACAGCCGTTTGGTCTCCTATGTGCCAACGAGTCGCTCGTAAACAGACCAGGAGGTCAAGGCCGGAAATTCACCGGCAATCAATTGCCGAACCCGGATAGGTATATGGTGACCAGAGGACTGGGGTATAGGAGAGCGCTCGTTGTCCAACTATCCTCCTTCGATCTACTCCAACCACATCGCTGGAGATTGACCAACATGAGCTCTCTCAACCCCCCAAAGACGTCAGAGCAACTCATCGTCTCGTTCCCCGCCGAACATGTCCTGCTTCTCACGTTTAACCGCCCAAGGCAGTTGAACGCTATGACGCCACAAATGGATGAAGACCTGCGAAGAGTGCTGAATTGGTTCGAGGAGGAGCCATCGCTGTGGTGCGTAGTTTGTCTCTTGAGACTCAACTTTAGCCTGATTCGTACGCGGTGCTGTTTAGGGTCGTCATAGTGACTGGAGCAGGTCGACTGTTCTGTGCGGGAGCCGATTTGAAGGCGTAAGTTGCACTCTGCTTGTCCTTGCTTGCACCTGTCGTCGATGGGAAGCCAGAGAAGTCCACCTTGCCGACCATCGAGCGCTCTCTCGCGAAATATCGCTCTCATCTCACTTGGGCCCGCTCTCACTGACATCATCCTATTTATACAGATGGAATAACGACCAACAGAGCGGTACTGTCGACGAGCAGGAACGGGTGTTGAACAACCCCTATGGCTTTGGTTCCATCTCTCGTCGCCAGTCGAAGAAGCCTTTCATTGCCGCGGTGAACGGCGGCGCTTATGGTGGAGGCATGGAGATGATTTTGAACTGCGACTATGTCATTGCCGCTGAGAACGCCAAGTTCGCGCTCCCTGAAGTTAAGCGCGGGGTTATTGCAATCCAAGGAGGTAAGCTTTGCCTTTATCGCTATAGTTTCTTCTCTCGCTGCGTTCTGGAAGATGTGGGACCCTATGACTCCCGTCTTTACGGTAGACGCCTCTTTCACCATGCCGAGGTCCACGAATTCTCGCAATTTGGCTTATTGGAAGGCGGCTACTGTATTCCCAGGCACTCTGTCCCAAGAATAGGCTTATTGGCAACATCCTTTGGAGTTTCAACGGTACTGACCATCTCACTTCACCTGCAGGGATTCCTCGTTTGACCCAAATCGCGGGACACCAGGTACGCCTCTTTGCTTCCGTTTGATTGTTTGACAGGCATACCTGTCGATCGCCCTCCTATGAGCTCATCGCTGACCACCTCTTTTTTGATTCCGCCATGTACCTGCCATTCCGCCCCCCAAATGAATGCCTGGACTCTCAATCCATGACCGACACGCCTTTCCGGATCTTCTCCTCGCCTCCCAAACTCTTCTCCCGCGAATCGTCATACCGCTATACAGCTTGCTTCCGAGTTGCTGTTATTGGGCAAGACGATCAGCGCCCCCGAGGCCCAAGGTCGTTTTGGATTGTAAGTCGTCGTTCGTTTCAGCCTCGCTCCCACTCCACAAGTTCCTGCGCATTTGTATTTTGGGGTGCATTCTTTTTCTGGAATCCTTCCCGAGGCTTTGATCCTCGAGGCTAACGTCGTTTCGCCCCACTTTGATGTTGGCGGGCTCATGGGCTGGTTTCGGCCGTGCCTCGACGTTCGCGATGGACAGCGCCAGGATGCTGCGGTGGGGATATCGCCCACTCTTTCCTCGTGCCTCACTTACAACACTCCATACCATTCCTTTCGTTAGACTTCCCGTGGCGCCCTTTGGTTTCTCTTTGGACGGGGGAGAGATCCAACTCCGATGTTCAAGCGTCTTGCCTAAGGCCATGGGTTGGTGTTTGCACCACCTTTTCCACCTACAATTCAAAATCTAATTTTGTGCTATGGAGTCACTAATCTATCCTTTTTCATTCGCTGTCTTGTAGCGTCAATCAGGTCGTACCAGCGTCAGAGCTCCTGCCAGCGGCTGTAGCCGTTGCTAAACAGATCCTTGAAAACTCGCCGGATGCAGTCCAAGCGACCAAGCGTGCTCTCCTGCTGTCGCAAGAGTTTGGCCATTCAGTCATGCTCCCACACCATGTCTTGGGCCCCGAGAGCAAGGCGACGTATACAGGCCAGAACATCAAGGTACGTTCCTTTTATCGATAGAACTTCGTAGAACCTTGGATGAATGTGTATACTAATCAACTGCGTCACTTCTGATGTATCTTTACAGGAGGGTTTGAAGGCTTTCAGCGAAGTGAGTCCTGTCTTTTCATTCATATTCAGCTAAGACCTTTTTCGGCGCTTGACTCTGGTTTGGGTCTTTGAAGTGTGGATTACGGCAGCGCTGCCCGGTGTCTTGAGCTATCAAAAGTTTTCTCTCGAGAAGACTTACTGAACTTACCAAACTCTTTCGTCTAGAAACGCGCGCCGCAATGGAAGAACCCGGCGAAGCTGTAATGGTGTACATGTCTGGGTGCCGAATGTCAACGGAAGGATGTCGAGAAAGGTTTTTTTTACCAATGCTCGAACGTTCGGGCGCCACTTGGGACTAGGGCCTGGGCTACCATGTCATGCATCATCAACCCTATAACCTTCTTTGCAAATCAAATGTATTGAATCTCGCTCTTGTGCGAGTGCTATCACACTTATCAGTTACTCAGCCACCCATCCCTTGTCAAATGTACAGCACACTTCTACTTGGCCTTGTCGTTCTTGTCGTTATTCCAGGGATCCAAATTCCCGGCTATTGGCTAGAGAGTGGTGGTTCGCCCGTCGCGCTTACGGTCTTTTCCTATACTCGACTTACAATATCTTTGCCGCCCACAGATGTACCATACGGTCAACGATTCGACGACAGTTCACACAGCTCTGCTGTCACCTATCACTTGTTCAGATGTACGAGTATTAGGTACACCTCCTTCGTTGACACATTCCATCAGACAGAACGAGATGTGTGAAAATCAAGCTCATATACAGGCGAGCTTCTCTTGTATCTCGCCGTCGTTCGCCGCCTGCTAAATTACCGTCAGAGCATGACTGCAACGGGGCAACTCTCTGCCCCTGCTGATCGCTTGACATCTCGACAGAAGGGTGCCTACCGCTTCTTTCGAGTTCGTGGTGGTCTTGATATGGCCATCTGGAAGTCACTCGAGTGGTCGGGACGACCTATCCGCTTCGAACCACTCCGAAAATTGAATTTGAAGCGGTTCTGTGAAGAGATCGAACCTCCCATTGCAAAGGTGTTCGGTCTTGTCCTCTGTCGTTTCGTGGTTCTTTTCCTTATCTATGGTGCAACGACGATGATGGGTCTTACGACTCGGGCGTTCGTGGCGTCGTCGAACTTTCGAAAACACGCTGTCGGGTGGATGGATAGATGCATTAGCTGATTCTGAACGGAGGTCATAAGATACAACGCATTCATTGTCATACGGACCGTCCGAAACCTGACCTCCTTCCTCCGATGTCTATCAGAACAACCGCCTCGTCATTTGATTTCATCGAATTAGAGAAGTTTCGAAGTCTTGGTGGAGTGAGGGTTGAGTGCGGGCCTGTGGAACGGGTTCCCAGTGAATATGCTGAGATGTTGCGGAGTTGGTTAGTTGACTTTCCACAAACGAGGTATTTTAGTACCACATCGCCTACCTACGGTCGTACGTTGGAGGTCACGGATTACGGACATCGACGTCGTGACGCCTCCACAAGTCCTCCTCTCCTCCGCCCATTAACAGCAGCTCAATTGGCCTTAAGCGCCAGAGGAGAGATATGAATAGCCCCTAACTCCCTCACTGATCATCGGCATTCAGTTCATCAATGGTATTCAATGCACGGCATAGTCATAGTGCTCACATCGGGTTAAGATGGGCTGCGGAAGTGCGAGATCAGTCGGGATGGATGCCATGCCAGACGTCCCATGGTCGCAACTCACACCACTTCCATGGCTGGTATTACACGACCTCGGAATTCGCTGAAATGTGACGGTGACGATGCGGGGGTGAAAGAAGCCTCGAGGCCCGGCAGCACTTACTTCATAGTGAGTTCTAAGTTCCTTTCGGGAATCATCACATTACCCTCCCAAGGTCACCACTCTACCTTTTTGCAATTAGAATTCCGACGACGCAGTCCCTCGGGACGCGCATACTCTTTTTAAAACGCTTGAAATGACCGTAGTTGGGAGTGTGGCCCTGTGGATCGGTTCAGTTGCGTATTCACATTATACCTATGACGACACTCGCGATGTGATTTCGCAACTTGAAGAAGATTAGTGAGGGGATGAGGGTACCCTGGCGTGATATGCAGTTCAAGTCCCTGCATGGAGGAGATATCTCCTCGCTCCGTAGTTTCATTAAAGACCACAATGAATAGCCGGGATGGAAAATGAGCGCAAATGAACTGCGGCTACTATGCTGCATGTAACGAGCTCTCACGAGTCTACTCAAGCTCGTCAGTCTGGTAGCTTCATGAGAGGGCTTGACAGCCCGCTCGAAGGGTTCCCCGAAATCACATCCGAGAATCAACGAAGCGCCCCACTTTCACAAATCGGCAGTTCGAACGTTTCCACCAAAAAGGGTCATAAGACACCTAGATGAGGTCGCTTGACCACAGAGATTGGGGTCCAGTGAAGAACGTGCTCACGTCGACATCCTCCTAAGCGACGGGTTCGAGTTCGAGTTCAGTTCGCTCCCGCGCTGGGGCACTTGGCGCCAGTTCGAGCTACTTGATCTGCCTACCGTGACACTCATGATCACCCTCCTCGTGTCCCCGGTCTCATGGAACATACACGCCCGAGGACAGGACGAGACACCTCCGAACCCTTCGAAAACAACCCAAATAAAGCACGGCATTCAATTCACAATTTGAGGCATTTCTCCCATCTCACACCCCGGACTACCTAAATTGTTTTCCCTTCGTTTCCTTGTTCTCGTAAAAAATAATGACAATTTATTTGCTTCCGGTTCCGCAAATGGTAGGAATTGACCTGAGAAGGGTCAGAAGAAGTTGAAGAATTCGAAGTTCTGTTGAAGAGCCAGTAGAGGACGAGAAATTACTGTTTTCTGTTCTTTTTCTTCTACTTACACAGGTGATCCTTTCGAGTCTTTTGGCTTAGTGATGTCTCCTTATCCCAGTTTAGGGTTAACCTTTGGGTGCGACACTCGCTCTCGTGTGAAGGAGAACAAAGGAAAGAAGCGTTCCCCGTATCCCACTCTGGAATCTGGGGTATTTCGAATCAGTTTAATTGTTGCGGTAACTGGTTCGGTTGTCTCGTTTGCTTGTGTGAAAAAGGATCACGCGTAGAGGGAGGCCTCTGACGGAGTGAGGAAGAGAGGGAATACATACTCGATAGTAGTAACACCAGAGGCGATAGCTCAAATGCGCATCAGCGTCCTCTCGTAGCTCAGACGGCCAATAGCAAGGGGGTGTACACATGTAGTGTTGAAGCCCTTGGGAAGGATACCTCCCAAAATGTAACGACTCCCAGAATACTGCGGACTTGGAATGTCCGGCACGCCGACGCCAGGTCCGGCTGTTCGGCTGTCCGGCGTTGCCCCAGAGGTGTCCGGCAAGACGGCAGGCTGGGTGTCCGGCGTTGCCACATTGGAAACAGCGCCCACCTTGCCTCTCGACCCCATCGCCCGCCCCACCGTTCACGCTGTTTCGCGTCGTCGTCAACGTTCTGTAGCCGCCTTCTGTAATACAACCAGATGCCGACAATAGAAAAAAAAGTGCTACTACCAGTTTAGGGCAACCACCACCTGTCTGCTGATGAAAGCAGCCCATTGCGCGTTTCCGCGAACTTGCTGAACTCTCGACCACGATTCGGTATGCGAATATTACGAAATCTGAGACCCCAAGCTCGTCGATGGCTACTGGATTTCTCCAACCAATCTTGACCTCATCCCATCTCGACTGCCCTCGCAAAGACAGGTCCTTGGTATGTTTTTCCACATCTTCTGGTAAGTCTTCCCTGCATGTTGCCTCTCGCCATTGCTGAAGCACCCTTTCAGGTTCCTTCTTCTGTTTAACTGCATCCAACATGCTGTAACTCATCACCTAGACACCCAACACCTCGCCCAGCAAGATCTCACCATGGCCGACACTCTCGACATCAATGGGATGCCACGCCCGAACGATATAACTTGCAGGTATTGTTCGCGTGTAGTGCCGTATCATATCTGCACCAGCACAGCGGCGGGCAACAACGGACGCTGGGTTGCAACGGTACGTCTTTCCGGTGGTATTGGATATCAATTGGCCTTAATCTCTTGGGCGTGATAGTGTAACAACGACCATGGACCCAATGGACAACCGTTTGTTCATTTTCCTGCGGGTTCTCGAAAACCCACCTCGCCTCCCTCGACCCCGCCGTTGGCTCAAACCGCAACATTGCCCGACGCTACTGCCCCGCCGCCAATGCGATGCGGCGTTGCTGGCTGCAAGCAGCGCAATCTGCACCCCAAATGCCAGCGTGGCCTGTGCAAGAAGGACTGCATTGCTGCGGGCGGTTGTAGTGTTTTGACACACGGAAATCGAGACGCGTTCTTGAACCCCGCTCCCGCTGCTGTTGCTCCAGCCCAGACGGTGCCACCTCCACCACCCCCAGCCGTCCCAGCGACCACTCAACCACCAGCAACTCGTTACCAACCCCAGATGGCGCCTGTCTTCACTGATGGTGTTGCCCGCCGACAGGAGGCGCTCGAGAAACAGGCCAAGGCGTCGTCAGTATCGCGCCTGAATGAAATGCGATCCAACCACTCTGTCACGGTGTACGTGTGGACTGCAAACGGGGAGCCACCACTCTCGCATACCTTCCAAGAGGGCGACGACGAATCCTTCATCTGGCCTCATATTCCACTCTCACGGGAACTCCTCCTGCCTCTTGGTTTCTTGCCTGCAGACAGCGCCATCCCCGCACCGCCCATCCAGATTCTTTCAGATGGAGATATCCGGCTCTGGACCGGCATCAACCTTGGCTACGTCGCTCGAGTCTCACAGCCAGGGGGGAAGATCTTTCTGAAGCTCGCGACGGTTAGCGAGTGTGCCAATTTTGTTGCCCTCACGGCCCCTCCCCCACCTGTTCCACATCTCCGCCATAACCTCCCTGGCCAGCGTGCTGAGGTCCGCAAGCTAGTTCGTGCAGTGTCAACCCCCGCCACCACATCCTCGAAGCGATCTCGTGCAGCTGCAGGTCTCGACCACTCGCGCTCGCCTTCCCCGACAACCCACGAGCTGCCACCAATCCAACCTGCACCATTCAAGGTCAAAGCAGCAAAGACGTCTATCAAGGTCGAGAAAGTCAAGCTCGAGTCCACGCCCGCTTCTGCTTCAGCCCAACTGCTCGCTGCGATCAAACCTGCACCACACAAGGTCCAGGGCGTGAAGATTGAGCCCACAGCGGCCTCTAGCTCGAAGACCAAGCCTGTCACCACCTCCGCCTTGAAGACTGAGCCTGCGACCACCTCAGCTCTCTCTCAACCACTTGCCGCGATCAAGGCTGCACCGTACAAGGTGCGAGGAGCGCAGTCGACCATCAAGATAGAGGCTCCCGTCATTGTCAAGGCAGGAACCCCATCTGGCCTTGAAATGAAGGTCAAGAACGAGCCCATCACTTCTGTTCGTGTCAAGCAGGAGCGAGTTGTCATCGAGATCTTTGACTCTGACGACGAGCAGGTTCCTGCTCCTGGCGCTGGTTCAAGTGTCAATCCAATCACCCTCGACTCTGACTCGGATGTCCCTGCGTCACCTGTGCTTGCCGCAACACCCTCTGACTCGGACTACAACTCGGACGAGGACGCTGACTCGGACGACGGCGCCGCACCTTCTCCACCCCCTGTCCTTCTTGACGATGGCCCTCAGTGGCCCCGAAGCTTCTATGCCTGCGACATCATTGATTGCCTCAACCGTATGGTTACGAGGCTCCCTGACGGGCGACTTCCAAAGCCCCGCCCCATTTTCGAGGCCTATTTTCCAGGTATGACATACGTACGGCAGACCGTTAGCGACCAGCGCAAGCGTTTCAAGCTTCTTCCACTGGAGAAGCAGCAAGCTGCCGTCAATGCTGGACGCACTGATGCCGGGCTTTGGAGTGAGGTTATGGAAGATGCACCGTCACTGAGGTGGCCGACACGGCTTGGCATGGGTAAGAGCGGCGCAGCTGGGAAGGCTAAGGGGAAGAAGAGGCTCCGTTCGGTGAAGGAGGAGATTGATATCGTCTAGATGAGTCGCTTCTTTCCTTTCCTTTTTTTTTTCCGTTCGCGATACCCATAGCCTTTTTATATTCCATGATGTTGATCTTGTTTTAACTTTTCGCTTCTGTGACCTTTGTGATATCTTCCTTCCCCCATTCGCGATACCAAAAGTAACCTTGATTTGTCCGTACTGTATGTAGCAAGCCTTGTGTAGATTACATTTCTGTGTACGTACTGTAGGGCCCTGCCCCTGACTTCTGCAACTTTTGTAATGTCATAATATTACGCCGTTCAATCATCTCGTCGAGAAAAAATTCATAACGATCAGGAGTCATCTCTCGACAAATGGAATGGTATCCCCCTAACCAAACATTTGTCTGCTCGGCGATAGAAGAATTAAAGTACCAAGCCTTCCCGTTTTCACCTGTGAGCTCGGGATGACTGACGGGATTGCAGTTCTTTTGACAGAATTCGTCTGTGACTGCGTGCTTGCTTTTGAAATGGAAGACGTCGACAGTAAGCTTCACGTCTTTCTTGTCAAACCAAGGAATATTCTTTACTACCTTGGCCAGTGAACAGTTGTTGTCGTAGAAAATATGCTCCGGGAGGGTGCCTTCGATCCGATAGACACGTTGGATCATTTCCTGTACACATAGGATTACTGAATGAAAAATATAGGCAATGAGGGGGAGCCACACATACCGCAACAGCACCAGTGCCCTCCGCATGATAGAAGGTTTCCCGAGCAACTATCATCCCACAAGGAGCAGTAAATACCTGCTCGTTATGGGTGCGATTACGCCCGAACTGAGCCTTGAGCTTCTTCCCAGTTGTCGAAGTGCCTGTTGCATCTTGCGGTTCCATTACTGCACCTCCCTCGGGGGTCAAAACAAATTCCGCTTCGCCTTCCGGAGCTGTGTGGTCTAAGCCTTTCGGCTCAGACGTCTCCGGATTGGCAACAAAGGCGCGCTCGAGCTGCTTTTGGAGCTGGAAGCGGGCTGTGCCCACCTCAACATATGCATCCTCCACAGCTCGGTGTGCTGCATCGTCGCACGTCCGCTTCCGAGGGACACACTGCCTGTTGCACCCTGTGATGCAGCAGATGCTGGCAGAAGCGGAGTGGATTGGGCAGAAACGGTTCTTGTTTGACACGAGAGGTTCCGAGTTATTTTAACTCGGTTATTCATTGTCTTCCCGCTGCGATTGCCCCTTTGATCCCATCATCGCGCCCACGTGATCAGTTGCCATGTGATCGCGGCCCGCTGCGGTCAAGGGTTCGATTTCGGCCGAGGACATTTTCTTTTTTTTTTTTCCGTTAATTTTCGATTAATTCTTCATTGATATTATTTTTTATTTCGCCCTCCTTGAGTTGAAATAACTCGGATCTTGCCACGATGGAATCGCTGGCCCACTTTTCGCTGGTTCCTTACAGTTTGGAATTCGACAACACGGGCGCCCAAGGGTTACTCCATCGATTACGACGACACGGTTGAGTTTACCTGCATTCAAGGATAGCTAGTCAGCGGATGGCAAACAAATTATAGCAATATCCAACCATACCGTTCCACATACGTGAGCACAATTTGCACGCATGCCATACATTGGGATGGTAAAAGCGCCTGACCTCATTCCGGGCCTTAACAGCATCACGAAACCTGTCAAACTCTGACCCAGTATGCGGGACATTGAGATATGTTTTGTTTCGCTCGCAGTCCTCCAAAAGGGACAGAATTGTGAAGGCATCGTACACATGCTCAAACTCCACTGCACCTTTAAACTGCCATCCAATCATATCCGGCAAGTTCTGGCCGTGGTATGGGCCTAGTGCAAGGTTATAGAAACGCGCAATGTTGGACGCAGACGCCCAGGCGACAACCATCAGGGTTATCCAGGCATTTATCAGTTTCACGTCGGCGAACTGATGCTCACCGACTTGTAAAATGTCTGGAATACCTGAATAGTAATGGCGTCGGCCTTGCGCAACCGAAAAGTTGTGATGATAGTTAATTTGACACTCTACATTCAGTAGTCAGTGGATGTATACACAAAAAAAAAGAGAGAGACCAACCTTCACAATAGAAATGTGTTGACCACGCTGGGAGCGTTCCTACGTCGAGAGTGAAGATAACAACTTGTCGTGATTCGGTTTTTGACAAGGCCAACCCTTTAGCCGTTCTACGACATCCCACACTAGGGCAATACTTGTGGGGAGGGTAAAGTGTTCGGTAAGCTACGGAGAGTGTGTATCAGACAACAGAAAAGACTCGAGAGTAGCAGTACTTACAGAAGCCATACTCAGTTCCACATTGAAGAAATGACGAGAGTTGGTTGTCGGAATTCAAGAACTCCAAGTCATTCCAGACAACATCCCGTACGCAATCCCACAGTGGACGGACGGCAGGCTCAGGGATAGAGCAGATGGTCGAAAGAAAGAGCACAATGGCCGACGATAAGTGCTGAGGTGCCTCGGACGTAGACATTTCAGAGGGCTGCACAAGGAGGATGTCGTCCTTGATACGGGACATGACAGTCATAAATTGAATGATCTTGTGAAACTGAACCTGCGCTCGATGAGCGGGGTCCAGCTTCTCCAAGTAGGTAGAGAGTGAGGGAAGAAGATCCATAACGTACTAGTGCCAGTGTGCTGTGTGCAACAGTTCGCCAGTATTTAAGCCCTTCAAATGGCTGGAATAATTGCGCTAGAACCACGCAGTTACCTGGGACTTCACAGCACTTCTCAGCAATACATGTGTGCTATAAGTAGAACGGAGAAGACCATGAATAACATTTTGCCTACAAAAGCACGCATTACAGCTGATGCTTGTCTAGCAAAAAGCGGATGGGGTTTGGCAATCGCGAATGACAGTTCCCATGAACTTCCACATAAGGAGTGTTCAACAGATCGCGTGGGGAGGGGTGAGAAGGGGGAGTAAGCTCTATCCAGCGAGGAGAACCGCACACAAGACGTCCAGAAGGGAGTGTTTCACCGAGAAAGGCTGTTTCTCGGGTAGGTGGCCATTGAGTCGACAAAGCTTTATTGAATCTGGAAGGTAGGAGGTGTAAGAGAAGCAACAGCATGGGCAGAAAACTCACCAGAAACCTCCGAGGCACCACAAAGTTCCGTGCAGCGTGCGAGGTGCAGCGACGCTCGAACGAGTCCTGAGGTGCTGCACTTCGAAATCCGCGAAGGCTCCTAAGCCCTAGATGGTACCTGCACTGCTGTGGCTACCCGGCCGTCGAGCCAGCAACATCAGCAAATGACAGGTACCGGGGTGAGCTTCGTCGCCGTTCCGTAACGAGGCAGTGGATGAGGGGAGATGAGAGGTGCCAGACTCAGCAAATCTGCCAATGCCCTCAACTCGTGATGACTAGCGTGAGCCGAGTCAACAGGGCATTGAGGGCCAATGGGATGCTGGCCTCTTGTGACGAAAGTGGTGGTGCTGGATGGAACAGAGCCAACCGCGGGCGACAGGCTGGACGGAAACTGCCGGACCGCCGGACAAAAAAAAGCCGCCGGACAGCCGTCGTGCCGTCGTGCCGTTATGCCGACCTTTCCAATTTCGCGGTGTTCTCACGACTCCGGTTTCTGCGTGAGGGATACTTTTGTGGCGCACTCGAGGGCTCAGTGCGATAAGCCTCAGTGGGCGCTCGTTCCCACTCACCCATACACATGACGCCACCTACCCACTCCCACCCCAAACTGCTGTGATATCGCTGGGTATCTCTGCCGTTTCATGTCGGTAAGCTCAGATCGGCCCCCGGCGTGTAAAGGTGACCTCGAACAATGGGTAGAAACTCAGCGAGCAAGCCGACTGACAGGACTAGCCGCTACTCCACTATTCCGACTCAGAAGGATGTACGTACGTACACGTTACATGCAAAAGACCAGTTCACTTGCTTGAATCAGCTGAACGGCGATCTTCGCTCATGCGTTAACCGTCGGAGATAGAGCTCGCTGAGTCTGCATGTATGTTTATCGTGAATGTGACTGAGAGAATGAATTCGAACCAGTAATTAGCAAGCAAATCCCAAGAGAAAAGCACTGACGACAAGCACAGAGCGGTCAGTAGACCCAACACAGCCCAATAAGCCAATTCAAAACCAACATAACCACCCTCTTCTCAATTACGACAACATACAACCCGCAGCCCTCACACCCAAGGCATTCGGTGGGCAAGTCACTTCCTATGAAAGAACTGGTGCGTTTGTCGAGGATCACAAGTCCCTTTCCAGGAGAGACAGCTTCCCCTGATTGGTCGCTAGGGACGACAAATGAGTGTGGCACTGGGAGGGGGTTGTATGTAATGAAATTGAATTCCTTGGATGTGTCGTTCCCCACGAAAGGACACATGAGCACCGCGCGTTTACGGTAAATAAAGAACCAACTCTAAATTGTTCACGGAAGGAGGGTCGAGATGGTAATCAGTCAGCCAGTCGATCAGTAGGTCATGCATCATGCTCTGCTATAGAATTGAATTTATTTGGAATGGAACACCTAATAAATGCGGAGACAGTATCTAGAGCGGGAAGAGAGGGTGATACTCACATAAACTCTCTATCCGAGCGCGGAGAGTCTAAGTGCTTCTCAACCGGCGGCCAATTGTTACTCGAATTCACACTACATATTACAGAGCTTCGAAATTCTTCAGCCTGAGTGCCCACAAGGTTTGGTTGACGAACGCCGTTCCCCGCAGCTGCGATATTTCGTCAATTCGTCGCATTGGCCTTTTGATGTCTAAGTTCTGATTCGCTCGCAAGGGTATCACTCACCGGTTTGAGTACTACTTACTATCCTCCCCGAAAAGCACGCTGAAACTTATGAAAAAAAAGGCATCAAGAACTCACATAACAGACAAATAATCCACAGAGAGCCAGTCTGATACGAAGAACGGAATTCAATCCCAATTCGAGCACGGTTGGTAAGTTTGTATGGTATGTCATCGTTCTGTTCCGCTCGCCCAGTGCTGGGAGTAAATGACTAAAGGATCAGTGCATGGGGATGTCGTATTGTGCGGTCAGGTGGTACAAGTCAACACGAGACCAGTCCGTCCAATCTAAAAATCCAAAAATACCAAACAGGGGAAATAGACAAATGGAATGAGAGATCCAGACATGTCAGCGACCAACTCGAGAGATCATCCTCGGTGACTATTAGAAGTCGAGTCGAGTCAGTCAGTCAGCGGGGTTGAATTCGAATAGGGTCATAGGTGGGCGAGAGGGTTTATTTCAAGCACGGAAGTGGGTTGATTCAAGCCTAAAGTGTACGAGTGGGTTTATCAAGGCCTAAAGGGAGGTGCCGGATTGACCTCCTTGTCGCCGAGGGAAGCTCTGGCAGACGGTTCAGGTGCAGATGTTCAACGTTCACTGGGTCGAGTCAGGTTCAGTGTCACGGCAAGGCAAGGGGTGCCGCGGGTACTGGCGACGGGGGTAAGTGCTCGCGGGGTAAAGAGTGCTAGGATCCAAGGGGTTATGTTCCCATGGGCCATGCGTCAAGGCACCATCCATCTCCAGAGGGCGAATGTTTTGCGAGATTAGCGGATACCCGTGCAAAAGGGACTAAGTAAGTACGAGCGTCGGTCTGGGTTTGGAAGTTTCGAAAGAGCGCCATAGCGTCGGGCACACAATCCACCATCCAAGAGAGGATACTGTCAGAAGTTCAAAGGTCGCAGGAGTTCCCACTGGTAGAGACCTGTAAGTAACTTCAAGTTGGAGTTCCAGCACCAGACCTCTGAAGTACGGAATGCTCCAACTCGTATTAGGATGCAATTAAGTAGTAGACGTTGAATGAGGGGGCCAAGAATTGAAAAGTGAGACGGGCGCGGCTCTACGATGACAGCTGTAAGCAAGTACATATTCTTGGACGGACAGAAATATGAATTGGAGGGTGGAAAGTAGTCGTGTGCGTAAAGTCCAGACTCTAGGGTCTACCTGGGAAGATGCAAAGACGAGACAGCAACAGCCAAGAGGAGAAGTAATTAGACCCAAATCCAGAACTAGGCATCGTCGAGAGCCGGGATGCGAGATGGCCGGATGCGCGATGGGCAATTCAGAGGTTCTCGTGTTCGTCGACTTGTAGTAGTGAAACCCAGTCCGACGGCGTTGTCCGTGGTCGAGATGTAACGAACGCACGGCGTCAGAGAACACCGCCTCGGAAGCAGAATGTAGCCGGTGGTCCTATACCATATTCTGAGGCTGGTTGTACGTACGTACGGCATCGTATAACAGGACCAAGTGGGTGGCTCAGCCAGTGAGAACCTTGTTAACGAGAGTAATGGCATCGCCGTTGGCTGGCGGTCGATTGCCGTGGGTAGCCCAAGCGTAGGAAAAGAATTACATTGAAGGCGGCCAGCGGATGGGGAATACCGAGTGAGTAAGTGACAGTGAGAGGGAGAGGGAGCCCGGCCACGGGATGATCGTCAGCACCCTGCGATCCTTTGATCATGAGCTAACGAGAGCTAAACAAGACAAAGTGAGAAGACCGTATGCCACAGAGAAGAAGAGAAGAAGCCCACGAGTTGACTGGCTGACAGGCGGACGTACGACTGACGGAAGGACGGGAATTCAAATAAGCATCGAAATGCGAATTGAGTCTGTGTCTCTTGAGTCTTGACAGAAGACGATGCGATGGGGTGCCTAGATCAGAGTCCAGACAAATGGGCGTGTGTAGATCAACCGAACCGCGGTGCTATAAACAGATTCGAGTCGAGCTGGTGGCCAATTCAATTGCAGCGAATGGTGGTTTGGTGAGCGTTTAGAACGGCTGGAAAGCGTACCGAAAACAGACAGTAGTGCAGGGAGGTAATTTTAAGATTGGCTGACAACGGGCAGCGATTTGGGTGGATTCCCTCGTGGCTTGTGACATGTGTAGACAGTAAAGGGAGGGAGTGTTATGTATAGTGTATCTGATGGCGAGCGATTCGTCAGCATGAGATCGATGAAGGCATGTGAAGTGGGAAGTTCGCGTACGTTAGCATTGACAAAGGAGACGCGTTGTTGGTGCTGCTGCCCGCTGGACCTTGTTCGGGAGAGGCAAGCGCCGGGTCGTTGGGAGAGCAGCGGTGAACTTGGCTGTGAGATAAGTTACATATGTTGAAGGAAAGAGTGGAATCACGAAATACCCTGAACCCTTCTTATTAGTTGTAAGTTTCCGCGATGCGATCGTATGAAAAAAGCGGGATGCTGTGGTAGGTATGCATGTGGTAAGCCAAGTGCAAAGTGAAGATTTTCTATCATTCTTTGGGGGATTGGGGGAAGCGATCCGTCCGCGGGTGCTGGGATCTTCTGTATCCGTAAGGTGGGATGAAGTCGAGTCGGAGGTGTCTGTCTCTTCGAACCCAGCTTCGGCCGAGGGCGAACTTGGTATCATACCATGCAGGCTAAAGAAAGAAAAGATCTGGGCTTGACTCGCCAGGCCCCAGGCCTCGAGACTCGAGCGATGAAATGACATCCCGCCACGAAGGGCGAAGCTAAACCTTATTGGAGCGCCAAGTTCGTTCCATGGGAGGTGTGCGTTCGGTTTTGGAAAAGGACATTCCGAGTTATCTTTTGGAAGATCGACGGGTTTGGGAAATGCCTACGGTGCGTCGGGTTTCACCGTTGGCATCTGGTAGCGTGCAAAGTGTGTGTGTGAAGGATCCAGGAATGGGCAAGAGACGGTGTGCGAGCCGCAAATCCATCGGGTTAGGCTGGCATGCAGCGACACATGGCTCGTGGTCGACAGCTTTTTGCTGTTTTCAAAAGAACGTACCTGGGGTAGCGACTAGGATTGAAAAATGCACTGTTTTCCGAGCCAGACTAGAGCCACGAGGTACGCACTCGGAATTGAAGAACAAGGAGATGGAGGGCGGAGGACAAGCCGCGTTGGCCAATCATCGATCGTCGGGGCACGGGCTCGGAGGCGACCAGACCCGGCTCCGTCCCGGCATTCCAGGCGCCGACTTGTGGGAAACCTTGCACGAGAATGGGCCGCGCCGGCAGCCAGCGAGACGCGAATGGCCAGTTCGTCCTCTTCGTCCAGCTCGTCGGTCGAGGCGCCGTCGTCCTCGAGTTCGCCTCAACCTGCCCACCCCCCGCAAAGCGCCTTTGAACGATGGAGGAGAAAAGCTATGCTCGTCACCGGTCTTGGTGTGACTGAAGAAGAGCGCCTGAGGGATTTGCAGGAAACGCATATTGGGTGGTGCGAGAAAGATAAGGAGTTCATGTTGAATTATAGTGCGTAGCCTTGTTGTTTCTGGCGGTGGATTGGATCGTTTCTGATGGGTATGCTCGTGATACAGGTCCACCGGTAGTCTTCATGATGAAGCAACTTAAACTCGCTGGTTGCGATGTACCACGACAGAATATTCTCTGTGCACCCTGCGACCGGACGCGCTCTGGTGGCTTTGAAAATAAGCGTGGAGTTGTTGTTCTCTGTGCTGGAAACTTTTTCAGTCAGAAGCATATGGAAAACACGCTCGTACACGAGATGATGCACATGTTCGATCAGTGCAGGTTCAAAGTCGACTGGAGTAACCTCCGGCATCATGCCTGCAGTGAGGTGCGTGTTGCTGGCATGTCTTCAGCTTCCTACCAGTGTGCTAATTGTGATTAGATTCGAGCGAACAATCTAAGTGGTGATTGCAGATACACACGGGAGTTACGACGAGGATTCTTCGCATTTTCGAAGCAGCACCAGGTAGTTTGGTCGTTTTTAGAGGAACCACTGACGTTGATCATCATTTTTCTTTTTAGGCGTGTGTTCGCCGTCGAGCTATCGAGTCAGTCAAGGCGAATCCAGCGTGCCCCAACGAGGCGGCGGCCGAGAAAGCGGTGAATGAGGTTTGGGATAGCTGCTTCAATGATACAAGACCCTTTGACGAGGTGAGTTCTCGACCGTAGACAAAGTTCTCGCATGTTCGACGAATTTCTAATGAGGTCATGGATACCTTGTTGATAGATCTATTAACCGGGTCTCACGGAGAAGAATGGAAGGTACACTTGATACAGTTTCGCGGAGGCTGGCTCTCTAGAAAGCACCTAGGACGTAGGGACTGTACTGGGCTTATTTAGATTCCAAAAACTATGGTTAGAGTCTTGGTTTCGATCGAGTTTGAGGTGCACAAGTGGATGGAAGTTTTCAGGGCGAACGGGCATTCGGAAAATAGGGGTCAGCCACTGGTTGATCGGAACTATTTACAATTGTTTGTGGCGATTCTTATAAAATTCGTGGGTCAGGAATCCACACGTCCATCGTTCGCCGTCGTCGTTGTTCTCTTCCCCAACTCAACCTTCGCCCACTTCCTCGTCGTCCCTGAAAATGTTCGCGAAGCTCAGGTTAGTAGTCTTTCTTCTATTGAACTCTGAACGACCCTTATTCAATTCTAATTAGCATCCTCGCCCTCTGCGCTGCTCCTTTGGTCTCCGGCCTCACCCTCCACCCACCCACCGACATTTCGTCCCAGGGTGAAGTCACCATTACTTGGGACACTGCTCCAGGCGACCCGTAAGTCGCGAATTGCCCCGCGAATAAGGACTTTACTGACCCACTCTGTAGTGAGTCTTTCACCCTCGAGCTCAACCACCCCAGCTTCAACGATGCCCTCGCCATTGCCAACAACATTGACCCCGCACGAGGCTCCATCACCCTCACCATCCCCGTCGTTCCTGCTCAGTGAGTAGAACCCCAAGTCGCCTTTGCCCGACCCGTTGAAAGCTGACCTCTTCCGTTTTAGGGGTGGCTATACCCTCGAAGCCGTGAACATTGGCAACATCAACGACGTCTACGCTGTCACCGGCCCCTTCGCCATCGCAGAGCCCACCGCTTCCATCCCCACCACCCCCGTAAGCACTGGCACTGGTACCGCCTCACGTACCGCTACCGGTACTGGAAGCGTAACCACTGGAGCCTCGGCCACGTGAGTCTTTCTTGACATTTCTACCATTTTCGAGTAAACCATTGACCTTTTATGTTACAGCCACTCTGGTAGCGCCTCGGCGTCTGGTTCTGGTGCCAGTGGAAGCGCTTCCCACAGCGGATCGAGCTCTGCTCCTAATGTCACCAACCTTGCTGATAGCCACGACGACTCTTCTGCCACCTCGTCGATCGCTTCCCGCCTTGGCCTCTTGGGTGCCGCCGCTGTTGGTGCCGCTTTGGCTCTCTGATTTTGACGACTTCCTTGGACTTTTTTTCGGTGTTGAGAACGGACATTTGAGTATCTCGACCATTGTTGTATTACCCCACCGACTATATCCTTTATATTACCCGTAATAATTCTTGGACGCTTTTTGGAACTTTTTGCCTTTTTCCTTTATTCTTCTTTGATTTGACGAACTTCTGGGATATATGGCTTTAGGCATTCATTATCGAACACCAGCACCCACCCAGACAGTTGTGTAGACTTTCTTTTTGTTGTTGTCTGCATTGGACAGTATCGTAGCTAGCCCCTGCGTTCCTTTGGTCGCTCTAGTTTTGTATACGGTTTGTTCTACATTCCTTTGCAAGAAACACGCCAGTTTTTGTCGATTTGGTTTATTCTTTGATTGGTTTCTTCGACCCGCACATACGGAGTTTTGACGCGGTTTGAGCGCTTCTTGAGGTGGAGTGCGAACGTCCAGGTGGGGCGTGAAGCCATATGAAGGGGAAGCCCCCGAATAGACGACGTGTTGAGCAATTGCAAGGCAAGCTGAGGATTGCGGATTGTCGAAGACGAATGTCGTCATTCGAGCAGGACGTAATGAGTAAGACCTTCGGGACGTCGTACCGGATAGACATTGAACATTGAATGCAAGCACGCACGTTCAATGTGCTATGGACAATGTCACCTTTACGGGAAGAGGTGTGAGGTGAGGAGCTTTTTATAGCCTCCTTTACGGGGTGTGAGGTGCTTTTTATAGCCCCCTTTTACGGGATCGAGAGGTGAAAAGAGAGGAGCTTTTTATAGCCATGGTATAATTTGTGGTAAGCTTAAAGTAGCCGGAGAGGGAGGTGGAGGTGGGTGTATTTTGTGCAAGTTCGGGATTTTAGAGCTTTGGGCCTCAGGTAAGTAGTGGGAGCTGTTGTGAGACTGTGTTATCGGGCTTCAAGGGCGAGGCGATGAGGACCTTTTATGTAAATACTATTGAGATATGGATGATATTTCGGGGGTTTTTTCTTGACTTTCGGGCGATGATGGGTGAGTGAATTGGAATTGGTGCTGTTAACTACTCCGACTCGTCGTGTCGTCTTGGTGATTCCCCCGCATTCGTACGGTAAAGTAATAATTGAAAGGTTTTCTTCCTGTTGTGTTGGAGTGAGTCAGCGCCCGTGGGTTGGAAGAGTCGAAGCCAGAAGTACTGTGTTGACATTGTTTGATTGAATTCAAATTATTTGCGAGCTGGCAAGAGACGAAGAGATGAAACAAATGTGGTACTTCTATGGTACCTAGATTCTAGGCCTTTTTAATCAATTACTATTACTGTCAGTTCTGCTTGGTTTGATATGCCTGCTTACTACCCCAGGTTTCCGTGCCGAGTGTAGACGAGCGCTGAGGCGGAATCCCAGGATGTCCGGATGGGCTCAAGCCTCTACATATTATGCTTTCTCTTCGAGTCTAGAAATCTAGACGGCCACTCTGGGAATTCGAGCCCCCATATCCGGACAGCGTATCTGAGACAGCGGTATCCACCGTAGATAACAAATGGGCCCGGAGGAGCTTGGGGCCTTGGGCGCTGAGATACTGATGGGGAGCGAAGTTATCAGATAAGCACCGCGGGCGCTCATTTGATCATGGTCAGCTGTGATAGGGGTTTATTCCATCGGTCGTGAGTCGTGACAGCCTTCCCCCCAACTCCAAAAGGGATATTCCCCTCTTGGAAGAAACCTGTACAGCCCTACCATTCGATAATTGAATCCGAGTGGTAACTTGGGATGATGTAAATCCCCACTATCCGGTGCATTGTGAAAAGAATGTGAATAAGATGTCTGTGGGTTAAGTTTTGAATACAAACTATCCTCGATGGAGAATCATTGCATTCACCCCAGGGTTGGCTGCGGTTGTGCTGTTGTGATGGTTCAAAGAGCCCCCCAAAGGGCTCTTTGAACCGACAGCGTCTTCTGTCAAAGTCAAAGGTGGTTTTGGGGCCGACAGAGAGCCTGACGAGGATTAGTAAGTGATTGAGTTTGGACTGAATGAATACAACATACTACGAGTCGTGGTGTAAAAGATTCCGCGAATCTATCTATCCATTCAAAGCTTCTGTTTTTTTGAAGTTTTGCAGCTTTGGCGCGTCCCCTTTGCAGAAGAGCGGTGGTGGTTCAGTAACCAGTTCAGTCTGAGGCGCCGCTACATACTTTATTCGCTGGCAATTAGCGAATGTATTGTAGCGATTTAAACCAACCGTGGACTTTGGTTTGAAACTGATGTTGCATACGCCAGTGGCGCTGGCTAACTCGTCGTTGGGAATGGGGAATCGGGAGTCGTCGACGACCGAAAGAGAGTTTTTGAATTGAATTATCTGCCTCCACGACGAGATGGCCTGGGAAGCGAGTTGCGCCAGGCCTAGTGCAAGATCTGACGTCGTTCTGACGCCCTTCAGCGCAGCTGGAGATCTCTCTTGAATCAAGCCAATCTCTATGAGAAAATCATCCCAAACCGAGTGTGGCGTCGTGTTCGTGACCGAAGGAGAGGTTCAGCCACCATCTCTCGATGAGACGAACAGAAGCTGCCACAGTTGGATTGGCGTTTAAGTCGCCGGTGGAATCGGCTAAGTGCGTCTTCAGTGCACCACAATCCGACAATCGAGTGCACGCCAAGCAGAAGACATGAAGCTCGAACACTTGTCTCCAACTTTCGACTGAATTTGCGAGAAACTTATGTTTCGAATTCGAAGATGAGAAGGGTCAGTCACGCTTGACGCACGAGGATTGTTCGATTGTCGGAATGGAAGAGTGGACGTGGAAAGCAATTTGTATCTGAGACAGAGGGTAGCAAAATAGCCGGTAGTACGACTCTCACCCTGCCCGGGGTTTGAGAAGTTTTGGAGTTGACGATTAGTATCTGCCTGTGGGGTTGTGGAGGTGGAAAAATACTACTAGTAAGCGCGCGCCGACGGGCGCCTTTGGGTGCCATGCGTTCGTGGAGGAAGTTCAAGTTAGGGGCTCGAGGAATCACAGCTCCTTTCTTGATGTGTAGAAGGTGACCCACGTTTCAAATTATGCAGGCCTGACCAGCCTTCTTCTTTAACACTTCCACCGAAGCAGTTTGACGCGTATTGGGAGTCTGGCGGCCCTTATGCCGCCGACTGTTTCGAGTCCATCAAAACACCGACATGCCCCACGGTCCCACCGCTTGGATCGCGCTGTGGGCGTCTGTAGGGGCTTTTGAAAGCGACCATTTACAGTTTCTCCCGGCGTGCCATGACCGACGTACTCGCCATCAAGCTTTCGGCTATCGAGAGACTAGTAGGACAGGATTTTGAATTCGAGGTACTGCTTCGATTGCCCCTGCAGGGTCACGAGCCTTGGAGTATCAGTTTTACTCTCGATCGTGTCGCAAACTAGAACGGAACCAAGTCTTCTGACTTTTACGTCGAAATTTCGATTTTGGGACGTGCGGTCGGTGAAATATTTCAGGGGGAATATATCACGTCGGTATCAAATTTGGGTCTATGTGATGCGCGCATGTCTGTATGTACATCCTTGAAGTCTCCAAGTGTAGATTTTCCGCTTTTGTCGCTCGACTGGTGATTGATGCGACGGCGATTCGAACTGGTTGGGCTTTTTGGATTTGGAAGGTGAACTGGGGCGTATGTTGGACATGGGGTCAGACAGAACCTTGAAGTGAGTTCGGTTCGTTTGAATTTTGTGACCATCAGTATCATGACCATCATACATGGCACTTAAGCGAGTGAGCCAGTGCCCTTCTAACCCGGGGAATTATCTACCCAGAGTCGACCTTCATCGTCAACGTAGCTGTTAGTTCCTCATGCAGTCACCCACCCCGGTAATCAAAGTGACCTCTTTGCCACTTAACGAACGAGTCGTTGAGTACGTATACTGTGACGTTTGCTGTGTCCAGGAGATCACCCTGAGCGCTGGTTGGGTTGCTGCTACGGTTGTTTTTCTGCGGTTGTTGTTCGCCATGATCACTGAGTAGGTAAACACGGTTCAGATGGCCTGTCAGTCAGAGTCTAGTCTGGGGGTTATGGCACAGGCGCTTAGGAGTTCTGGATACAAGGCAGTGAGCTGGACTTTTAATAAATCTACATGCCGGCCGATAGTATCTACCAACAACGATGTTCTCAATAGTAACTAGTTTTAGCGCCCATCGTTTACTAACATTGACCCCTATGTATCGAGCTCCAGACAACCCAAGAGCGCGGATCTACCTGCTGTGCCCAGAGGTGTCTGGTTAAAGACACTTCTACTTGCCAGAAGTTCGGAATACTGGTCCTCGTGCACCCCGTGAATGCGTAGAAGATCGAACTTCGTTCCAGATGTGGTCAGCACAAGTCAGAAAGGCGTGTCTTAATCGGCGAAGATACGCCGCTGCTCTTCCTATAGGTTTCCGCAGCTTCAGATTTACATGCTAGAAAGGTTAAAGGGATGATATTCCTGCAGATGTTGTCTGGAGTCTGATTACATCGTTCGCCTGATTCAAGTTATACAACGTTAGCACCTACGCAGGAACTCTCGTAAACTCTACGGAAATAACGGCCTTCAATGCGTGACTGGATCTGGCATGTAGACTTTAGAAGGTGAATGTAGAACTCACGTTCTCAGTATTGTAGTCCTATTCTGTGTTCCTATTGAATCTACTCTGTTATCCTATTGAATTGCAGCTAAAGAGCCTCATCGTGGGTGACCTCAGGTTGTGACAGTGTCGGGCGCTTGCGAGAAGAACCTACGAGTCGGATGCGATTCGAGCGCGACGTTTGACAGGTTGACGTGAGGGTTAAGTAAGAAGTATGTGGAGGGGGCTAGGTACATTTTCGTAAGGGTGCTATTCCAGCATGCACTTGGGACTCTGTAGCCGCGAAATACGAGACTTTCTATTGGCCAGTGGCTTTCGGTGCATGACTGCATGTACGTTCGTTGACCAACTAATAGATCACGTTTGAATAGAGACACGGGTAGAAGTACCTGGATAGAATATATTCGAATTCGTTCCTCCCTGATTCGAGTTCGAAACACGAGGGGGTACGAAGGTGAAAGGTTCGCGAAGGACGTCCTGGATGGTGGCCATGGTATTCTTGACTGGATCGATCCATCATTCGACGAAGAACCAAGTGGTGATCCCATTGACCCAATGAGTGGTGGATTTGTTAAGACGCACCAGATCCACTGTACTCAATTCATACTTACCAACAAACAGGCTCACCAGGTGGACGTACGTACCACGAAGCAGGCTTTCCCCCGACTCGTTCGCACCTTCTTGTGTGTGCGCATGTGCAGCAAACTAAACGTCGGAGTCGTGTTTCGTGTGTCAGTGTAGATGTGTGGTGTTTTCATGAGAAGATCTTCGACTTCCAATCTGAATGGCACGGAATCTTGGTGGCGTAGGTGAGGGAGGGTACACTTGGAAGGACTGGAAAACGATCAATGAATGAATGAGATCAGAAACCCGGAAAAGAACTCGTTCGAAACGGCGAACGAACTGGAGAGATGGTGAACGATCAAGGGCTTGCCGAGCGAGAGGATACGTAAGGACCCAGAGTTAAAATGAGGGGTAAATTGGATGGAAGACGTTGATGAGCGTTGATGATGTTGCGGTGAAGTACAAGTCCTACTCCATCCGTCGCTCAGCCAATAGAACAGGAACTGAAGGAAAGCATACACAGATCGGCTTGGTGGGAACACGGGATGGGAGGGTTGTGAAAGCCGAGAGAGGACCGTTTGGAAACATGCACGAGCCACTCTTCGTCCGCCAACAACACCAGAGAGGCACAGAAGCTCACGTCAAGCCTCCCAATGACATACATGCTTGAGGAACGAACAGCATCGTGACGTTACATCTGACCGCCTCCAGATTCCAGATTCAACTGTTCCATGAGTTCTGCAGACGGCAGACAGGAGTCATACTTCGATCGGTATTATACGATGAGGCACTAGCTTGGCAAACGTCGGGCATCACCAATCAATTCGGGCTGGGCGAGGTGAGGCGGCGGGGTGGCCTCCGTGCACCGAGAGAATATGAGGGAATATGCGACCCCGTACCGGGCATTTCTAGATGGTAAACCCAAGGTAAGCTTGGGGAGGGTCCCGGGGACGACATTCTCATTAGCAAATCCCGGACACTAATAGCTGGTGGGATATCGTTGTCGCGCTGTTTGGTAGCTCAGTAGAATTGTTCAGACATATTGCGATTGACCTCAGCAACATGTATGGGAGTGCATTGGGAGCTGGAGTCTCGGGGTACAAGATGATGGATTGATGGGGAGCACACCGCCGACGCGCGAGTTGCTCCCGTTGCACTCCACTGAATTCCTGAATCTTCGTAGCATTGAAGTAAAGCACTAACCGAAACTGCAGAAAAGTAAGTCCAAAGGGGACGGCGGGACGCCACTTCCCTAAGAAGATTGGAAGATTGTGTGCTGACACAGCACACCGCCGCTCAAGTCACCATCAGCAAGAGCATCGCGTACAATGTCGATTGGGGGGTCTGGTATACCACTAATTCTCTAATTACCTAGTGATTGCAAGCCTCAAGGGGGACTCGAAGACCCTAGGCGAGCCGACTGCATCAGCGTCGCCGCCGTACAGGCTCCTTTCGGAGGCTGTTCCCAGGATCGTAGAATACCGATCGAACGATACCACCGGCAGACAGGTATGTATGTATTGAAGGGGCACTTCGAAGTTGGAAGGTTCGGAGATTTGACAAATTGACCCAAGCCCATTCGTGCATCTCGAACCGAAGTACCGATTAGGTGATTTTTCCCTTTTTTAATTAGTCGTCATAGCTGGGAGCGAGTTGAGCGAAAGGTAGAATTGAAGCCCGATGGAAGCGTGAGCGGGAAGAGGTATCATTGGACCTTTTGGAGTATTTGCCCAAAGGGATACGAGGACTCGACCGAACAACGACGAACGACGATCCATGAAGCACGACGGCCGTGGGGACCAGTGTTTTCGACGCCGTTAGATGCATGTATGCTCGTACGAGCAGTAATCTGGTTCGATTGATACGAACATCAGAAGTGGGCGGTTCAACCAGAAGGATGTGAGAGCGCTGTGCGCTTGGGTCGGACTCGGAGAGGAAGATTCGACGTGTATATCAACGCGAAAATTTAGTTTTCTAGAAGAGCACTATGGGCGCCCTTAATCCCCGGTCAGAAGAAACAGACACAAAAGAGAGAAAAATCTTCAGCCGTTGCGATATCAGAATTTTGATAGAAGACAGACGAAAAGTTGGGCTGCGGTAGAGTCGGCTTGTTTGAACCAGCCACTAATCGCCACAGATTTGTTGGATGAGCCCGAGCCAGAGTACCGTCGCTGTACTTATGTCGGTTATGACAGAGGCAGAGCCCCACACGCTTTGAAAGGACGAGACCATGGTAGATACTACAGGCCCCCGAAGAACCTGGGTTGCGTCCCGAACTTGAGATTACTCCGACGGATACAAGATGAGAACAGGTAGAATCAGCAACAACAGGAGATTGGTCAAGGCATAGAGTTGTCACGAGGTAGAACGCGAGTTTAGCTTCCAACTTAGTCAGAAATCACAGAACTCTTCAGCGTCTAAACACTGACAGAGCAAGAGGCAAGTCACGGATGCGTGGATGCCAAATCGGGGGCGTGGAGCGGGGACCCGGAGCAGAGGCCGGGGAGATCACATGACCGTTGATCATGACGCCATGCTTACTCGTGAGTTATTATTAACGTGCTTCCACCTGAGAGCCATACATAAAGGCTGAACAGTCTGAATCGCGATGCTTCCACGAATCTACTCGGCGGTCTCTTCTCGTCTACCATCTGCTCTAGGAATTTCCTGGTTTTCATCCTTATCCCAACAAACAAACATGGCCTCGATCTCTGAACTCGTTGACGTAGGTGGTTTAAATGTTGTTTAGTGGAGCTCGATGACCTAATTGATTCTGGTTTTGAATCGTATAGTCTACCATCGAGAAGAACAGGGTTGTGATCTTCTCTAAAAGCTACTGCCCATACTGCCGAAAGGCAAAGAACCTGTTCGCGGAAAAGTTCCCCCAGGTTGAACCCAAAGTTCTCGAGTGAGTTTGTATGAACGCCCTGATCGCTATGAAGATTCTGAAGGGTGAACCCTTGCTCCAACCAGGCTCGACGAGTTGGACAACGGATCTGCCATCCAGGACTACCTCCAACAAAAGACCGGTCAGCGAACTGTTCCCAACGTGTTTGTCGGTACGTTGATTTGCTGTCATGAATACCAAAGTCCTTCCTTACCCCGTGTCCCCTTCTCTCAATAGAATCACAACATATTGGAGGTAAATTGCGCACTAAAACCCGTGACCAAGCCTTGTGCTAACCCTGGGTTTTCCTTCTTCAGGCAGTGACGATACCAAGGCAGCCTTGGAGTCGGGCAAACTTGCCAAACTCCTGACCGCCGCGTAGGGTATGACCTTCGACTACGAGATGACATCCCCTGACCCCGTGTCCCTCAACAACAGCTCCGCCAACCTTTAGTCGCATATTGACAATGCTTGCATTTCCTGAACGAGGAATTGAGGAATCACGTCGGATCTATGGAGGAAACATCACGGTTTAGCTTGCAGTCTTTGCATGTATGAATTAGCGCATCTCTATTCGAAATATTACTACCAACCTTTTCGACGCATATCTGACGCAAGTACATGTTGAGGATTTCTCGAGGCCTGCCTCGACTTTCACTTCACTTGGTCGTTCAGGCATTTACTTATCTTGGACGATCAATCTTATCTATTGCCTTTTTAAGGTGCCACGTTGGAATGCCGTCGCGAAGCGCGATGACGGTGGATGCTCGCCGCCATTGCAACTCAGACTCTTCCACAATCTTGACCGCACCAGCCAGGAGCTGAACGGACCCACAGCGAACAGAACTCGACAACGAAGACGACAAAGAAGACGATTATACAAGGATGGCTCGACTACACCGCGTTGCAACCGTTGCAACAATTGTGACGGTCGCATACTTGCTTTGCTTTTTCCAAATTCTGTCGGTACCCTTCCTGGACGAGAAGATCACGGAGCAGTTAATCCCAGTGGTCAGTGGAAAGTGATTTAATATGTTGCTATATACTGACGTTTTCTACCTTCTATAACCATGGCTTGAACGATTTCTGATTGGGCAACTATCGACTGGTATTCTGCGACTCGGGCTCCGATGACCTACTATCTACATGCCTACAGCTACCTTGGTGGCTACTGGTATCCTTCGGGGCTTACTCTCTGTGGTCTCTTGGCTGGGGCTTGTTCACATTCAGAGACTGCCCAGAAGCATACAACGAACTACTTTCGGTGAGTATTTCTCGTCGTACTTTGTTTGTATCCAAGAGAACAGTGATATCACTACGTGTGATGTTCTCCAATCCCTTTTGGTCTCTTTCGTCGCGTCTATTAGCGTTCATGATCCACATGAGTGCCTCTTTGCAAAGTCCACGGTTTCAGGATCCAGTTTGTGGGTTCTCCAACCTGGACGGTTGCTTACGACTGGCGCACTACTTCCCGTTCGGATGCTGCAACTGCTACATTTCTCATCGTATCCCCACGGCTTGACTCTTACTCTGCGTTTGATCCCGCCGCAACCAAAACTCCAGCTGACCATTTCCTCCCTCAATCCAGGAAATCAACGACGCCAAAAACGAGCTACGCGCAAAAGGAGTAACAGTGGATTGACAGTCTCGCTCCCAGGGCCTTCACCAACATCTCAGTACCGTCGAGCACCTGTGACGTTAATACACCTATTCAATCAGGCTTCCCTGGCCTGCCAACCACGCCGCTACCCCACTCGTCCGATTCGAACCAACGGCAATTGCAGAGATGCATATCTGAACAATACGACAAGGCATGTTCACAACAAATCGTCACGCCACACGTAAATCGCAAGTCGCCTTGTGGACGGACATGATCAGCGGGTCTGTCAGTACTTGTCCCTATGACGGGGGAGGGAAAGGTTTCCGGACGCGCTTGCTCTGGGTTTGGCTCATATTGGCTTTTTTGGTCAGCCGTATTCTCAGCGGACGGTCCCAAGAACAAGCGTTTAGATAGGGCGGCAGATGCGCCTTGTGTTGACCGTCACGTTTTTCACCGGCCTCCCCGACCGCTGATTTCGCCCCGATGTTAGGGTCCTCGAGAATACCACTGCTAAACACTAAAAGGCTTTCTAGCTTTATGGCCGGTTACTGCCTCGGCTTCCACTGAATCGTATGCAGGTCAGAAGACACACGTCGTGATGGTGCTCATAGCCGCCAGGCGACTGCTTGATTCTTCTCTGATGTTCTGGTGTACCAGTTGAGTGACCACGTTTCTTCCTTCTATCACAAGAACTTGACATTTCCTCCATTTTTGCTGTTTAGGGCGTTGCTTCCTTGGGTAATCTAGATAACAGATGATAGTGCGTACGTTGTTCTCTCTTTTCCGGAAAGACCGAATGAAGTGGGTGGGGTCGTAGGTGCTTCTCGAATGGTCCTCTGGGTGGGTAAGATGACCTTTTGGTGTATCTGAGCTGGTTCGAGTGACTGACGATTCACGTAGACAGAACCCGGTTTGTATTGTCGGAAGAGGCTCCCATGTCCAGGTATTAATTTTGACCGTGCTAAAGATTAGCTCAGCTCTCATCCAAGTGCGTTTCAACGTCCATCTCGTTCACATGAAAATTTTCAACCTATCCAACTTTGTCTGAATGGATACTGGTACCCACAGGTCCCGGCCGTTCTCCCCAATCGCGCGGTGTGAAAAGGTCTGAATGCTCATCCTGAGCTCCGCGTGGAACCCACGGGTTACTTTCTCCCATATTCAGTTCTAGTTGAACCACCCACTTGCGACTGCGAACAAACCTTAACGGATCCAAGAACAATATCGACCTCTATTTGGGACTTCCTTTCGTGCACTTGCGGGGCCAATCATGATCAACACGAGTCGGCACGAACCATCCACGTCGTTTTTGCGGGAAACTCGTGACAGCTGTTTGGTCGGTCTCTTCTTTTGTCTGTTCATTGCGAAATGGGACTAACCTTATAGAATCTTCTTTCAGGCTCTGTTCTTCGAAACGTTATGGACAGATGTGTGTCCAAATCTAGGTTCTGGATTCGAAGCGTGCTGTCATATGCAGATGGTAAAGGTGGGGCTCCCCTTTTCGGTCTTTGCTTTCTCTCTCACCGTTTCATTGTACGAGAATTTTTTTCGCGAATTACTTTGCCGCTTCGGAGACGCCCTTCCATGTCGTTATCGTTCTCGTTATACGCCCCAACCCCCCAACGAAACAGCTCGGGAAGCACGATCGAGGCGGGCTTTCAACTCGTCTGAGCAGCTCAGAAGCTCCCTCATTTCTCTGCGGTTCAGTTCTGAGGCTGGTCACAGCGACCCAGGCGCCTAAGCTTACAAGGTCTATCGGCCCTTGGATCTCGTCCTTTTCCTTCTTCATTTCGTCTTGAATACCGGTGGCATGTCGCGAGGCAGCCCATTTTGACCAAATCTGTCTCCCGAGTCTCTGCGTTCCCAGTGAAGACAAAGCCTTGCTTCAAGCCCCACTGCCTCCCCGCGTAGCCGCCTTGGGCCTCGACCGACCTGCTTCAATCAGTAGCCCTTTCGCGCAGACCAAAAGGGCTTGCAGGACGGATCTTTGCTCGTCCCATTCGCCTATTCCAAGTAACAAGCAGCAGCGACGTCGGGGCTGTCTTTTCAAATAGGCTTTCGGCATCCTTCTCCACTGGCATGCGTCGGCGTGTGTGTTTGTCCTTTGCTTCGTCTTCCTTTTTCAATTGACCGCTCTGCTGTCCTTTCTGCGACTCGACTTGAAACTTTTCACGTTGCGGGACGACAAGTCGATCGCTGTCAGGGGCCTTCCATGTCGTTCTGTCGACTCGGAAACGTAGCGCCACCTCCTGAAGCGGGTGCAAGCCTCCATTGAACTGGGACGGGACCAGAAAATGTGGTGCGTGGGTGTAGCCAACACGTGTAGATTCAAGAGTGCTATTTTAACTTCTCTCTTCACACTGGTGCTAGGCACGAGTGTCTTCCTGTCAAGCTCTATTCTTGGGTAAGTACTGACGCAATTTTCGTTGCTTTGAATCCCTGCAGGTGCCCGGTGCTGTCACCAAGAACCTCTCAGCAAGACGCGGTAGCCGATTAAGCCTTTCTTACTGCCTGTGCCAGGGCATGAGCTTGGGTAGTCGAGGCTTTCACCATGGGTCTTGACTCTTGATCTTCTTCCGACGGTGAACGCGTGGACGTGGGTTCTCCCGTGGACTGCTTGCCATCGGGCAAAGAACAAGGCCGCTTCTTCAAGGATTCACCCGACCTAGGCCTTAGCATCTCCTTGGGCATGCGACTACGATTCAAATATCACATCTCTCCTTGTGGTGAGTACTGCTTATCTGTTTGGTCTGTACCACTGCACATCCTGATCAGGCCCGCCAGCACTGCAGTGGAGCACTCAATTGCACATTGAGTTCGGCAACTATTTCAACGGATACAAATGGTAAATTCGATGTTTATCTGCTATAGAACGCGGGACGTCGCCCACTCGTGTCGTCAGTGGCGATAGGGTCTGCGATATGGGAGGCGCCACATGCAATAGCCGAGTTGAAGTGCGGTAGAGGGGGCTGAGGAGTCGATGAATGGGTACGTCAGACAGTTCTGCTCCGTCTGGGTTGGGTGATAACGCGTTTGGTCCGCAGGTGTTCGTTGAACGTATGGTACAAGAGGAGGGTGCTTAAGAGGTTACTCGAAGTCATCAATGGACAAGTCTGGGAACTCCGTGCCGCTGGGTACAAATTCAATATCCAGGTCGATATCCCGTCTGATCTCCGAGTTCAAGAAATTCGAGTAAAGGAAGGCATACGCTAGATCATTCCCGCCCCGAGAGGTTTCACCCGACCGTACAAGCGTGACTCCAACACGCTCGAGCGCAGAAAAGGACGCCCTTCTCGTGTGCAGGAACTCGGTGAAGCTGCTCCACACGCCCCAACCGTCGTTATCTTCGTCCTCTTTAGGCTCTTGCAACCAGAAATTGATCTCTTGCAGGTGGGGAATGTCGAGAACGTCGAGAAGGGACATCGCGCCAAGGACAGTCATCGCGTGATTGGTTGAGGCCGCTCCTGGAACGCCGCTGGGTGGTGCTTGATAGAACGAGAGAGTACGGAGGTTCGAGGAAAGTCGGCAGGGTAAGAGCTCTCGGGTTGAAGCCGTACTCTCTTCTTCTGTTTACAGCGGTTGCGCAAGTGTCAGACAGAGATAGGAGGATCGCATTGGGTTGACAAACCTATATCAAGCCCAGACGAGGGCAGGATGAACTCTAGCCTCTCCAAGCAAGGACCGGCGTTCTTGATGACCTTGCCGGTGTTTTCGAGACACGCTTCACTCGCGTCGAGGGAGAGGCGAAGCGCTCGAAGTCGGTCGGTAGCCAAGTAGAATTGCCCATTAGTATTTCCAGGCTCTTGGAGCACATCGATTGTACGGGCGCATGGAGCGCGCATCCAGTCGGTGTGGTTGACGGGAGGTGACCCCGACGTGCTGCCCCACCTCAGAGTCAGGAGCTCCAAGTATAGTGTAGGAGGGCCACCCGAACCAGGGGAGTGATCGCTGTTTTGAATGAAGTAGCAGTTGTGCGCGTCCCAATGTCGGAGGTTGTGTTGATGGCGGTGGATGAATGATGACGGGAGGAAGTAGAGCAAATCACTGAGGTGTAGCTCTTGGAAATTGGTCGAAACTATCGACCGAAAGAGTTGAGCGGTGTTGAGCATGGGGGTACAGAAGATGTTGTCTGGAAACTTTGAGGCCGTAAACCTCGATGATTCCTTCAAGCACAATGTGCGGAGGTGTCTGGCTTTCAAGAGAATTGGCGACACAAGGGTGTCGAGGATATTCGTCATCCCTAGTTCTTCTGGTTCGACAGTGTTCATGTAAATGCGTGGTGGCCATGGTGTGTCGTGGACGAATCGAAGGTCAAACGTAAGACCTTTTATTAACGGGATCAGCGAATCGTTGGACTGCAGGGAATCCTGAAGCTTTTGTGCGGGTGAGCCTTCAATGGTCCATGTGATGACGAGCTTGGGGTGGGAGAACAGGTGAGACTGGGACCTCGCCCTGAGCTGGCTAGTGACGAGCGAGAACGCTGCAAGGGTGCTAGGATCGTGTCTACAAAGGTCGACGACAGCTTCGACGATTTCGATGGGGACCTTCATTATGAATGGTTGATGGGACTCTTGGGGAAGAGGGGAACGTCCTTTATAGTCATCGGTTGAAGTTCAGAGATGAACTATACAGCTGAGTCTGATAAGCTCATGCACAGTGACCGTCATAACAAGGAAATACAATGAAAGGCAATACATCTGTACACTGTGCGTCCTAATGGAATTTACGTTGATTAGACTCTGCCATCATCTTGCGGTATGAAGCCAAGGAACGGGGAACTACAGTGGCTAGATAGGTAAGAAGTTGATATCAAGTCGTCGGATAGCGGCAATCTCAATAGTATCTACGTAGTATATTCTCCATAATTCTGGACTCGACGGAAATGAAATGGCCGGGCCTGAACAAACTTCCTTTCGAGCGGGAGCCACACACCTGCTGGCGCATTTGAAGCAGATCCAGCTTGAGATCAAGGTCTGTCCTGTTAGGACAAGGTCGATGATAAGCTGCCGGCGGGCAAAGCACCTGAAAAAGAAGCGAGCGCTTTAGCTCCCACTTCTTTCAATTGGAATCGAAAACAAATGAGAGATTGCTCTCGGCCGCACACGGAACCCATCGGGCTGCCTGGATGATTCTAGAGATGATGTACTCCCGCAGCCCGCTGCCCAAAATGCTAGCTTGTGGCCGGAGGGAGAGCTGACTCGATCAGGACGGCTCCGATTGAGGTAATTACTGGCGCGCCTGTCATTGAAATGTGGCCTCACCTACCTTTTGCTTCATAAGCCATGCGCAACGACGGATGCTGGGTCCACGACGTTGTCGATCACCACCAGAGACTCATTCGCGCTCGCCCAGCCTCCGTAGCGGCCTGAAACCCGCAACACCAGGGTGAAGGCTTGATCTAGACGTCAGGATATGCCTCTCCGCTGAGATTTAGCAGGGATATTTGCCAATTGACCCAATGCATGGTGTCCCGGGAAGAACTACAAGCCAGAGTCGGTGCCCGTAGAGAACGCAACAATTGTACAACCGAAAGGGGCAAGAGGTGAGTCTTATTTGGGAAGTTACCCCTGATGAAGTCATCAGCAACAGAAACCGCCTCCCGCCGATGGCGGCGGTAAGGACCACTCACAAGAGAGCAAAGATCAGATGATGGAATGCGGGAGATACCACTGCATGTGGAAACAATTCAAGTATTTACATTGGTTAGATAGAGATGCAACAACGCAAAAAGATGGAGGACCCGAGTTTGTGTTGTCAGACCGCCAACGCCATGTCAGAGCTTCTATTCTGGCCGTGACTCGTTTGGCCCTCGAGAACTTGACTATTGTGACAGAGACGTTGAGACTCCGAGTTAGGTGTCGAAGCTGACACAGGGTAAGGAGACACTCTTTCTTCTTCCTCTGCTGTGCCGGTAAAGGCAATTGGTTGCGAGAGGATGAACTCGACAGAAGCGTCCTGAGGCGTTAACCAGGTTTTACCTAATAAAACCCGGTAGATGATGAACTGTGGGCACAGTGGCTAACCAATATCTTCGATCAGTATGTGCATACCGTGGAATGCCTACAGCCAAGCTCGTGAACTTGGAAGAAAGGGGCTCAACGAAACTATAGTCCAGATCGTAAACATAGACAGACAGGCGGAAATCAACTTTGCTAATTCCTCAGATCCATCCTTGGGCCGCGGCGAGGCCGGTAGCACACATGCGAGAATGCCCGTAATCGCAAGCGGAAGAGCGGACTCTACCAGGATCGCCGCTATAGAAGCATACTGGTGAACATGGGGAGACTGTAGCGAAGCTTTTCGAAGCGTCCGTCGCATGCCCCATAGGCGAGTGAGTATGAGAAAGGTACTAAGGGTGTTGGAGCCCACGAGGCATGCCGGACCTGCCACCATAGCGACACCTAGCATTATTCCTTGTTCTTCTAGGTTCTCTCTGTAGAAGTCCACAAGTCCTAGGACCACGACGACTGCAGTCATAGTGCTGAGGCGTCAGGAATCAATTCGCAGCTGGAATACGTGATGTGCCTACCAAATGAACCAACGAGAAGAAGCCCCGGGAAGAGGAGGACCCAGAGTCGGTGCCTGTAAAGAATAGAGCACCTGTACAGCTTACAGGGCCATCAGTCATGTCTTTGAGGAAATAGCAGTTAAATATGATACCAAAACCGCCTCGCCCATCCAAAACATCGACGCGGTAACGATGGTGCTCACCACGCCCACCACTTCCGAGGGATCATATACCTGCCACCAGGAGGTCTTTGGCAAGCTCATCTCTGTGTCCATGGTAAACTTTTTGTACGAAACGCTGTCAATGGTGGCCATCGTGATGAAGAGGAAGAGAATGGTGAATATGACGATGACGAAAGGGCCCTTGCGTTTACGCTCTGTAACAGGCATCTGTAAATAGGCGTATAGGGCGTGAAAGGAGAGGAAGGTCGATAATCCTGGCAATTCAAAGAACGGGCGTTCAGTTCGGATAATACTTATGATGAAGGTGATTCCTTGCACACCAACTCCAAAGAGCGATAGGTTTACACCGATATACCCATAATCTAGTGCCGCGCGCTGCAGAAATTCGGCGTCATCGAGTGGGGTTTCATCCATGGTTTGGGAGCCCGGGATGGATAGCAGGATTAGGGATGGGTGGGTGGGTGGGGGGGGGGAGGGAGGGAAGGGAAAAAGCCGCCAAAGAGACAGGAGGGGAGGAGCGTCAGCCAATTAATTGGAACTGGTATCCGAGATGCCCCTTCAAGTGGGCCCTATTAAATGAGCGCCCCATTAGTGGGCTTTACATTCAAGAGTACAACCATCCATCGATCGACTGAGAGTTGACTTCGATGCCGCTAGGATCACCGCCCAAGGCGATGCTGCGATGTTATACATGCGCCGTGGCATTTTTTGAGTTCTGGGACCACGGTAGGACACCGGCCTCAGAAACTTGGGATTCGGCAAACGCGCTCCAGCTAGAGCTCAAAGAATAGTACGTCATTCTCGAAGCCATGGCAATTGGGGAGGGCAGACCAGAAGGGCAATCCAACCAATGGTATCTATGTCCGTGACCGCTGCTTTTAAATTATGCAGTAATACCCTAGAGTATACGTAGATCAGTGAACTACGTGACGATGATCTTCAGTTTGTATCCACTTTACGGATGTGTGGCATCAGAGTATATACTAACAAGGCGACTTATCCCAATATTCGCGTAGAGGAAGCCGTCCTTTTCAAGCAACTGTACAACCCGCTCAGACCCGTTCTTCAGCAGCCTTTTCACCAGCAGCTTTTCCAGATTCCCTACTCTCTTCCAGTCCATCTCCAGTAACTCTGAGAAGCCTCCGTTCATTGACAGCCGTACCACCACCACTTGCTTCCTCGTCCGAAGACGCAGACTCACTCCGCCGCGAAACAGCAAACGCAATTGGGTTCGAGAGGTGAAACTCGAGCGACACGTCCTGCGGTGCAACCCAACTTTGACCCGTCAAAACTCTCCAAATAATAAACTGCGGACAGAGTGCCTATGAGTGCGCAGCAACCGCGAAGGACGCCATGGTAGGAGTAGGAAGCGAACACAGAACCAAAAGTCAGTTCACAAAGAATTCAAAATATCAGAAAATACGAAAGGACTCAACTGATAACACAGACCACACCGCATACGGAACACTAGCTGCCGTCTGCATTTCAAGCGGGATACTCCAGCTCGCGAACACACAAGCCACGATGCCCGCCAATGAGAGCGGTAGCGCGGATTCAACGAGAACAGCCGATATCGCTGTGTACTGCCGGGTATACGGCGAACTCAACGAAGCCTTGTGGAACGTCCATCGCATGTACCATAGGCGACCGAGGATCAAGAGTGTGCTGGCGGCGTTGGAGGCGACTGCGAGCGCTGGGAAAAGGATGAAGGTGTATAATGCTTGCTCTGGGAATATACGATGGCCGAAGCGTTCGACTACTTGGAGGATGTAGCAGACTGGATGGGTTGGTTGGTTGGTTGTGAAGTGAGTTAGTGGGTGTTTTGAAGGCTCAAGAAGCAGTAGTAGGGGAAAAGGTACGCACGTAAAGCGCCAAGGTACGAAATTCCAGGAAGCAGCACTACCCAGGGAATGTGCGTGTATAGCGTAAAGCATCGGTAGATCTTGTAATGAAATGTTTGCATATCAGCTCAACACCCCTAAACTCAAACGCGAAGGAGGGAACACACCAAGATCGCCTCGCCCACCAAAGGAATGATACCATCGAAAAAAGTGGTTATCCTGGCTAGTGGACGTAGTTGTTGTAGAACTTCCCAAATGTGCAATTCCAGGAGATCAACGGGGGGCGCGTTGGGTCCCACCATTGCCGTTCCGAGGTAGATACTCTCAGCCACAAGTCCAAAGCATAAGAGGACGAGAATAAGCATAGTCGCGAGGACAAAGGGTAGCTTCCGCTTCCGATCCTCTGGGGGTAGTTTGAAAAAGACGTGGAGGGTGTGGAAGGAGAGGAATATCGAAAGACCTGGAAGACGCGGGTGAGATGGAGCAAATACCGGGAACGACATCCAAAACGGTGCGTACCGAGGCCCACCATGCCAATGTTGGTTGCAGCGTAGGCGGCGGTGAGGAAGATACGACTATAGTGCATAGTGCTCGAAGTCTGCGTCACTCATGATCTGGCGTCTGGTGGAATGGAAATCGGGGGTAGAGGAGTGACAGAGGAAGAGATAAAGAGATAGATCAATAAATAGCGCTACATCCATGTCCGAGACCGCCGTTTTGTGTGGTCGTCCCCCATCCCATTACGTATATGTAGGCGAGAACAGAAAAGCACCCAGGATCGCCTTGAGAACAATACCAACCAAAGCAGAATATTCGTACGAAGGCTCGGAGTGTCTACGTCGCCGTTGTCGTCGGCGTTTAGAGCACTAGGTGTCAAAAAGCACACCGAGAATTTGGGCGATCATCAGAAACAAAGACCGACCGAAATGGTGCTGTAATCGGAAGCCTTCAGTTCACCGACACACGCGGGCGCAGGAAGGAGTGTAATTAGTGCGAACCAAGGACAACCAATTACAAGAGTCACCGCCATAGTCGTTGAGTCAGAATGGACAGCCCATGTTCTTCAAGTTCTATTCCTGTACACACCGCTTGCCAAACACTACGACTCGGACTTCCGACTGTTCATCGCCACCACCCTCGCCGATTCCAAACAGCTCCCTTTATTAAAATCTTTCACCAATCGCCCGCCGTGCACCTACAGAATGTCATTATCAATCAGTATATTCTTTCCCCCATCTCAAGAAGTGGGAGGTGGTATGGGTTCGCCTCGATGGTATCCCATCCATCCGAACTTCCATCATGATTATCCATCCCATCATGCGTTGGTCGCGTTGATCTGACGAACAACGAACAAACCTCCCACCGCCCCCATCCCGTTGACAGCGATTTCCAAAGCGCAGCAAGAAACCCACAGAACCCAAGAAAACGAGAAGAATAAAAAAACCCAAAAAGCTCACCTTAGAATAAACACAAAACGACGTCCGGTCCGAAGTGTTGATCGGGTAATGGCAAAATACCAAATCATCGACGTCCAAATCCTCCGCGTTACTAGATGATGGGTGCTCCAGCGAGTCTACTAACCACCTCTGGCCCTCCTTGCCTCCCTCTTCGGCTTTGTCAAGTCCGTCTTCTTCAGCCCGCCTAAACCCAAGTTGACCTTGCTCTCGTCTCCGAGATCGCCTTATCCTGCGGGAATTGGGTGGCATCGTGGTCATCTCGGATTGAGATAGGTATGAAGGATTGAGTCCCCAACCGACTTTGTCGTGGAGAGGACAGGCAAATGTCGTTTTCGTCGTTGAAGCCGCTTGCATAGTGGAGGAATCGAAGTTGACTTGGTCGAGTGGTAGAGCGAGGGTTAGGGATAGAGTGCCGTACACGCTGAGTAGTAGAGCGAAGAGGGTTTTGGATGGGGCTGGGAGAACCATCGTAGCGTCTATGGGATGTGAGGATAAGACAAGACGATTCGAGACGAGGAAGGGGGAAAACGTACTCCACATCGTCGCCCAGTAAGTGAGGTATATATACCAGACCGCATCCACCGGTGATTCCAAGATACCCTGCATGAAGTCGCCATCTGGCATCACATCACTTCACACTCCATGCATCCGCAAACAGAACCCGCATTTGACAGGTCACCTGCATAATTAGACACGCACCCTCGCAGTGGGCATGCGTCTGCGTTGCGGTTGCGTCGTGACAAGGCTACAAGCTGGCTGCAAGCGTGAGGATCCGCTTCGAGTTAAGCTTGCCGCCAGTCCCCAAGTCGTGATGGAATGCGCAAACGCCACTTGCTTCTGACTTCGGCTCGACAAGAAGGTCAGCGAGACCGTCGACGTCGATGTCGATGTTGGACATCAAAGAAGCTTGAAATCCGGTTCCTCTCTATTTGCGAACACGGAGGTGGATCCGCTAGGATAGGGGTATGACGATATCTGAAGTGGTCGCCCTCAGCTTGTGCGATTTTGAAGGATCCTGTCGTATCGACTAGCTGGTGCGCAATGGACCATGGAGATTAGTTCGTTCTTGTAGTAGGCGTAGACAGTCCGAGGACATAGATTCAGCACAGCAGGCAGTCCAAGGCAAACAAAGAGAGGATAGTCACACCCACCAAGACCGTGAATGTCGACCCTCACCAAGCCTCATTGTACGGCGAAAAATCTGGTCCGATGGAAGCTATAACCATGTTGAGCAAGCCTATTTTGATTGAACGCTCGTAGTCGGTCTGTCCAAGAGGCTATTGCCTAGTAGGTTACATTGGTGTCCTCGTGAGGGTATACATTTGTACCTGATAAGCAGGTTCAGGTCAGTCATTAGACAGAATGAATGCAAGTATCCGGGGCACGTACCTTACTGTGTCTACGGCGGCCAGTGTGAAGGCCTTATCGCACAAAACGTGCCCTCTTCGTTTTGGAAAACTTGAAACCGGATTCCTGGTGTAGGGTCGTAGTAGGTCCCATGGGGTTACGGATGGACGTAAGTCGCCTGGAAGGATATATAACAGAGCCTTCAAGAATGTCGTTAAAAGCTTAGGTCGAGGCCTTTACTGGCCGCAGGTTTCCCTGACGTCGTGCTCTCGGGTTCGATCTTCCACACAGAGGGCTTCGTTCTCCGCTTGACCTTGCCGTCCTCGTCCATCGCGTCAGCATCGTTGGTGTTTTGAGGAGGCGATGCTGAGGGGCTGGATGGTGCGTCGTCTGCCGCATGCAGACGCGGTCGAACGCCCAGTACTGCGCAGAGGAGTTTGTATTTGGACCTGATCTGCCGGAGTAGCTTTAGGAAATCGACTTCTGACGAGGTGGGCGATGGGTTTTTGGTAGGGAATTGGGCGATGAGGTTTAGTAGGGTCGATATGTGGTGTAGCTTTTTTCTAAAGTCCCACTTAGAGTGCAGAGTCCAAGGAAGGCACTGGGAGAACTCACTCATCAGTTTTCCCCTTCCCATCTTTCACCAAAATCGCCCGCCAAGTCATGGCGAAACCTTCATAGAAACCCAGTTCTTCCCACATTTCGAAGCCTTTTTCACGGCCGAGAGCTCGTCCTTCTATGAGCCCATGGATACGACCATGCGCGTAGCCGTCTTTGTACCCTTCGTCGAAGAAGCTGTGGATTCAGAGTTGGGATTGGTTGAGAATGGGGTTTTAGGTCGTCAGTAGAGCAGGTACAGACGTTTGCTCGAGGTTGACGAGAGCACCGATGTCCATGTCAAGGTCGTCCATTGTGTTTTGTTGGTTTGAGAAATTCAATTTAACGATGAGCTGTGGTGGTGGTTGCGATCAAACCTTCGACGACGTTGGCCTTCTTTGCAGCTTAGGGAGAGATAAGATAAGATCTTTTCAATCTCCGCTTATCTCAGCCGCGGCTTTTGCCGATAGCGATTTTCTTTTTCTCGTCGCGTCCACGACTTCTTTGCCTCTTCCTTCCACCACCGTCGACGATGTACAGCCCACAAGCAATAAATACACAGATTTGAAACGCACAAGCTACACGATTTCAAAGGCTCACGATCCTACACCCCATTTTCCTTCTCTTTTTCTTTTTCCTGCCAAACCCACAGACAAAGTCAAGGTTCGAAGTTTTCGCGCGTAAAACCCGCGAAATCCAGTACTTCGAATCTGTTACGTTCGTGGAATATTAATGTTCAGCTCATCGACTTCTGCCTGCTGTCTTCGTCTTGGAGATGGGAGGGTTTCCGGGGGTCCGAGTTGGCGACGTCGCCGTAGAGTTGAGTGCTGTGGCTCTTTATTGAATTTTTGACCCAGTTCTCGTAGTTTGGTGACAGACATGCTTTTCCTTTTAGATCTTGTATTCTTTTGCGTGTATTCTGTACCTCTCGAATTATCGACGCTGTTTTTCGCGATGGGATTGGATTTTGGAAATGATGAAGCTGACCCAGACGTGAGAAATTGGGGACGATCCTTCTTGACCTCGCACGACCATGTCCTCGACGACGATGAACCCAGAAAGCCGTCTAGAAGAACTTCAAATGATACGGTACTCCCTGCTACCTGAAGAAACCCTCGAATTCGTCCACGATCCAGAATTCTGGGACGAAGTCTTGAACGATGCCGACGTGGAGACCGTCTCGCAAAGGGATGCTGAACGGTTCGCTTCAGCAATCTTCACGCTCAAGATCGCTGGCGTCGATAATGTATGGCTGCAGGTTACGTTGCCTGTTGGATCCAGTGGGGCACCGATCGTGTCTGTAAAATCAGATACGCTGCCTCGGACAGAGCTCGAGAGCTGGCAACGTCTGGTGAACGAGAAGGTCGAAGAGGCTCGAGAAACAGAGTAAGCCATCAGCCATACCCCTCGTTTCCAGATCTAAACTATTCTGTGCATAGGTTCGGACTCTACAACATACTTTCCTCGCAACTCCTGCCTCTCCTTCACGAATTCGAACCAGACGAACCCAAACCCTCTGAAAAAGATGCACCCCGCCGCCACCAGCCAGTAGCACAACCCAAGATCTACCACGTCCTGTTCACCTCCCACCACCTCATCTCGCCAAAAAAGCGCCGTTCTCTCCAACAATGGACATCCTCCCTGCGCCTATCCGGATTCGCAAAAGTCGGCTATCCAGGCTTGATCTACGCCCAAGGAGACCAAGAAAACCTAGAGGAGTTCGTCTCCAACGTCAAAGCCATGCAGTGGCTGGCATTGAAGGTTCGATTCGTAGAACCGTTGCCGGAGAGATATCTGGTGGATGGCGAACCCCAATTGGGTGGATGGAGAGAGTTTCAAAGGGTCGGCGAGGTAGTGGAAGAGATGAAGAAGCTGAAGAGAGAAGACTTCATTTTCGATATGGGCATAGGAAGCTCGAATACCGATTGAGGTGAATATCTGCTCCTCCTCGTACCTTCCACCCGGCCCGGAAAGCACCGGTTCCTCACGAGCGTCGGTTCGCCAGTTGGAGCTGCTTTGCTCTCAACTTCCAACGCGTCCAGCATCGTCTGACCACGAAATGTCCACAGGGCTGGGTTTCCGACTGTCAAGGGGTGTGCGGACGACGATCTCACCACCGTGAGTTCGTCTTACTTCCATCGATATACGATTCTTATCATAATCATAATCTTATTTAGGATCCCCCGCGCCTATGAATGGGCCGCCCAATACAAACCCACACCCAACCGTCCCCTCCTCGATATGTCCCAAGGCGTACCAGGCATCCCACCACCGCAATTCCTCCGAGACGCAATCGCCGAAGCCTCTCGATACCCCAACAGTTTCGGCTATACCCGGTGGGACGGAGAACCAACCCTACGCGCCGCATTGGCGGACGAAATGAAGCTTTCGTATGGAAGAGACGCGGATATCACGGTTGACGATGTCGCGCTGACAGCGGGGTGTAACTTAGCCTTTGTTGCGGTTGCGATGACGTTGGCGGATGCCGGTGACGAGGTTATCTTACCTGTTCCCTGGTGTGTTGTGCTTCGATTCCGTGTTATGTGGGGTAATGAGCTAAATTCCGGTGTCTTAGGTATTTCAATCATCAGTGCGTAGATTCCATGGCCAAGACGGCGATTATGGTTGACCCGTGAATAGGATGGATTTGAACCTTCTTGGAATCAAGACGGTCGGATTGCACACGGCACCTGAAGACGGATTCTTGCCTTCAGTCGAGAAATGCGAGGCGCTCATTACACCACGGACTAAAGCTATAGCTCTCGTAACTCCAAACAACCCCGTATGTCAGTTACACTTTCGACTAATACCTACGTTTACCTTCCTTTTCCAGACAGGCGCAATCTACCCACCGTCCCTCCTCTCCGCATTCGCAAACCTCGCGGCAAGCAAAGGCATCGCACTCATCCTCGACGAGACCTACCGCGACTTTGTCCCATCCACCGACCGACCTCCCCACACCCTCTTCTCCAACACCTCCCTACCCTGGCGTAACACCCTAATCCAAGTCTACTCCTTCTCCAAATCCTACTGCTTACCAGGCCACCGCCTCGGAGCCGTCATCGCCTCCCCGCACCTCCTCGCCTCCCTCAAAACCGTCCTAGACTGCCTCCAAATTTGCCCTCCGCGTCCCGTGCAAATTGCGCTGGGCAGCCTCCTACCCTCGGACGAGCTGCGCGAGTTTGTGAAAGGGAATGCGGAGGGAGTTCAAGCGCGGCATAGGGTTTTTAGGGAGCAGTTGCCTGGGGATTGGGAGGTTGGAGCGCAGGGTGGGTATTTTGCGTTTGTGAAGCATCCGTTTGGGGGTGTGAGGAGTGAGGAGGTGTGTCAGGCTTTGGCGAGGGAGGTGGGGGTTGTTACGCTTCCTGCTAGTTTCTTTACGAGGGAAACGGATGAGAACGATGGGCTGGCGGAGCTAGGATTGGGAGAGGAGGAAAAGAGTGGTGAAGGAACGTCTGATGCTAGCGAGTTGGATGAGCGGTGGATTAGGTTCTCGGTGGCGAATGTTGATGATGAGAAGGTGAAGAGGGTTTGTGAGCGTTTGGCGAGTTTTGTGCCGAGGGGTGTAGAGTAATTGGTGAGTCGTTTTGGTTGTTTTGTTTTGCTATCTGGCGCTGACCATCGAAACAGTCTGTAGGCCTTTGGTATACTGACGGTGCAAAAAATCGATTAGTTTATCGCTTTCATCACCACTGTCGGGTTCGTGGCGTTCAAGCAGTTCCAGGATATCTTATCATCTTGTTGCCCCGAGTCCTTCTCCACTATCTCTACAACACTTCGTCTCGTGCGCCAATTTAAACCGGATCTTACGGGCACCGTGGTTAATATGGTGCCAATCCGCATGTCCGCCTTCCTTTTCAGCCCTTTTCAGCCGCTTCTTTTGTTGATCGTTGCGTATCGAAGGCGATCCCTAACAGGGCTGCCAGAGGTAGGAAGGTGGATGCAAGCGGCTTATGACGGGGATCAACTGGCTCGATGGGTATCTTAGTGGTGGAAAGTATGTACTTATAGAGCCTCTTTTCCTGAGCTTTTTCTACGTGCCTCCCATCTTCGCGAGACTTGGACGGCTTCACAGCACAGCACACCGAGCTGAAATGTGACTCCAGGAAAGATAGAAGTGGCGGGTACTCCGTTGTGATCCACCGCTGTGATATCCAAATATGTGGACGATTTGGTGTGAAGGGCCAGAGTATTCGAGATGTCGTGTTGGAATAAAATTAGATTGGCCTCAGTCTACCTCTGGGGGAGTCAGAATTCGGCCAACAGCATCCATCGATGAAGGTTATCGCGTTATTGCAGTTTTCGAGTCGAGGCAATGACAAAATCGACGGAGAGGTGGCATGCGCGGGAACGGAAGCAAATGTTTTGATGGGGATGGCAGTGTGGCCCGGTGGTGCTCTTCCCGGTGGGCCATTCAGAAGCACTGCAACCAGACCTCGCCTTATGATGGCAGCAACACAATTACAGCGCCCATACAACTCGGACCCTGACATTCACCGCTCACTACACTTCTGTTTTCGACCTTGTACCTCCGATGATAACCCAACGCTTGAATGTCATCCACGCAACGAGGGTTTGAAACCTTATTCGATATACACTTGGGGCTGGTGTTATAAAGTACTAGTACAAGAGCCAAAAAGGATCTCCTTGGACGAAACGTGTTTCCACCTTCACAGCAGCGTTCCCCCATGCCGCCCTCGGATAAAGGCAAAGAGCCAAAGATCAGGAAGAAACCCGGCCGTCGGTATGTGTTTCCTGGTTCCATGTTTCCAAGTATAAGAGTATACTGATAATCCGTGGTCATTTATTTGCGTTAAAGACAGACATCATGTGCAGAATGCAGGCGGTTAAAGCTCAAGTGCGATAGAGGTGTAGGTAACCATCTACATTTTTGCTGCGGGCGCCCAGCGCTCGTGGTGCTCTGTTGGCATGCAATGTCAAAGATCCATCTGGCCTTGCCTTTCCCGCCGTCTCCAATCCATTGAGAAGCCCAAGCGCTGACGCTGCCTCTTTCAGGTACCTTGCGAGAAATGCGTGTCGAGGGGATGTGGGGAGATTTGTCCCGAAGGTGTGCAGAGCAGTAAATCTTATATTAATCTTGCAAAACTGACCAGATCTGCGCGACTTTTCGTTGCACCCGCAGGCGTTTTGGCGTCTACAAAAGGAAATAGGATGGTTCTAGCAGGCACCGAGGAACTCCATGAGCGTATCGACTTTCTGGGCGCCCGGATACGCGAGCTAGAAGATGCGCTGAAGATTCTGCAAGAACAAGTTTCCGACCAGCCTCATCCATTACTACGGACAGACGTGTTGCGGCCACCTCCTCCACCTGTGCCCTCTCAGTCGTCGTCCACTGTGCCCATACGACCCCCGCTGTCGCGCCGTCAATCTTATCAAGGATCGACGTCGAATTCCACGACCAGCGGGACGACTTCTGCGTCTTCTTCGGCTAAATCCCCGCCACCTTCGCACAGCGGCGATTCAGAGATGAAGTCTGCAGAGGAGGAGGACGCTGACGTGCAGGTCATCGACGCCTTTGGTATGTGAGCCAGGCTTTCTAAAACCATATATACTTCGACTTACTGGATCGACAGGCACTCTGACGGTATGTCAAAACGGAGTGTCAAGATACATAGGCAAAACAGCTCGGTCTGAGGTCTGTCCAGTCCTTCCCTGCGTTCCCCGTCACCCCGCTCATCACGCTTCACGAATCCAGTTCTTGATTCGCGTACGTGTTTTCGATACAGATCAAAACGGATGGTCGGAAACTCAAGTCGCCTCAGGCTCCAATAAAGCAAAACCCCAACCCTCCACATTATGCATCTCACTTTCCGGATGAAATGATGCATTCCCCTTTCCCTGACTTTGAGCCAAGGGGAAGCATACCAAAAGAGACTGTTTACAGAAGTCTTCCGCCAATGTCGCAAGCTACTCAGCTTTGTGACCGGTATCTTAGCCACAGCAAGTATCTGTGGGTTATCTTCTACCTCGTACTGTATTAGATCTGACTTCTCTGCCTCCAGTTATGCTGCTATACCCCGGACGGAATTATACGATGACATATTGGCAGCCGTTTACCAAGCTCAGTGCGTCTTTCCGTTCGACACGATTTCTCCAGATGACTAATTAAGTTCAGTTCATACGAATCATTCCAAGTTCACCATTCTATGGCTCTTCTGTTCATTATTTTTGCTCTCGCTCTCCATTTCGACTCACAAGGGGGAGATGCGGAATACTACCGCCAGCGGGAGGCAGCAGGATACTATCAACTTGCGAGGACAACTCTAGGGTTTGCCTCCCCGGTTCGCGAGACAACAGTGGCCTCCATTCAGACCCTTGTAAGAACCTGCCTAACCACCCTGCCACCAGTCGCTGATCGCCTCTTCAGATCCACATGGCTCAATACCTCGACTTGTGCGACTGGGAATCGTCAGGGTCCGCTTCGTCGTGGTTGTATGTTGGCCAGGCGGTGAGGCTTGGGCTCAGTGTCAGTGTTCCCCTTTCTCCAAGTCGAAGTTGCATCTGAACTGTACCTTTAGATGGGTTTGAGTACGTGAAATCCCGACACCCACCCATGCATTGGCTTTATACCAATTCCCTGTTCCAGATTTGAACCCCGCCAGATGGAGACTTCCAGAATCCGATACCAACAAACGGAAACGTGTATTCTGGCAACTCTTCGTTTCTGATACATGGACTGTGGGTAGCGATCTATCCTATTATCCATCGCATCTCCTAGCGCTGGTGTAGTTCGGGTTACTGACGTCGGCGCCTGATATGTATACAGAGCTTCTACTTCGGGCGCCCTCCGAGCATATCGCCCAACTACATTGACTGTCCCGTTCCCGACGGAATCGAGCTCGCCAAGCAGGCAGCTGCGTCATCCACAGCAGCGTCCACGAGCACCACTGGATTCGAACACTCAACTGGCTCACACACAGACTGTAAGCGCTCGAGTACACGATTCCCTGATCTGTGACTCTGACTACCTTGTTCCTCTGCTTCCTGATTGTCCACTTGCTTTCTTCCTGTTTCTTCGTCGCGCTGATGAATTCAGTCCAAACATGGATTTATCGATTTACAACCCTCATGCATTTCGTCATGTCGTCGGGTATGGGACCGAAACAACCAGCGTCGTATTCTGCGATATTGGACTTGGATCGCCAGATTCGTGATTTCCCAGTCCCTGCCGTATGGCGCACAGCCGTCGTTGGTAGTCCGGATGAGCGGGAACAACAAGCTATCACGACGGAAACCTACTTCCATCGGTGGGCGGTTCTGGCCAGTCAAGAAACAAGTGCGTATCCTTGTTGGTTATCTCGTCTATCTCGAATTGCCCTTCTCCATCCGTTGTACTTTCCGTTCTCCCGTTTCTCCGTTCTCCCTACAGTACATTCTACCTGGTTTCTTTTACCTTGAATATGAACACCGACTGAATGCTTGTCTTTTTCAGTCCTGTTGAATCTCCATCGAGCCTACTTCGCCCAAGCTTTGTACGAAAACAGTCACGACTTACAAGAGCATCGATACATTCCATCTGTGGTGGCCATCTACCGATCCTCATGGAGAATCGTTACCGGACTACAACTCACCTGGGAACGCGCTTCCGATGTCATACAACGCGTCAACCTGCCCTGGTCTCAAGCTCTCTCTGCGGCGGTGAGTGCTACTACCTACCTCCCCCCCTTCGCATCTCCACTTCGCAAAAAACAAACAAACACCCACATGAAACACCGCGCCCAACTAGCCGCTTATAGGTGATCGCGTTACTAACGAGCTTTTTTCTATTTGGCTATGATAGATCGTGATGTGTCTCCTTATAACGCGAGCGCCTTCATCGCATTTAGTAACGCCCGCACTTGACAAACTCGGTCAACTGGTTGGGTTGTTTCATGCGGCTTCTCCTTCGTGTCGGTTCGCCGAAAACCTCCTAGTATGTGTATATTGTGCCCCCTTTCGCGTTGTACGGACTTTACTGACTGACTGATTTGTGATTAACCTCCGACCCCACTCCATCCCATCTTACCATTCTGCATTTATCATTCATTCCAAACCTCGAAAAACTTTTGAATCTGTTTTCGATTTGGTTTTTGGGTTTTGCTTGGACGCATTCCCCGAATGCCCGCCATGATATCTCATGTCACTGCATGCACACCCCGATCGGAATACTTTGTAGCCGACGATTCAGAGGCTTCATAACAAGGCCTGCGAGTCTGTCAACCCTCCATTACCCCGCTACCAACCCACCGCCCCCGCATACGAGTCGAGCATCACCCAAGCTGAACTGGACCGGCTGAGCGGAAGGACGTACTTGTTCTCCGAAGCTGATAGTTCTGCTCATATAGGCTCCTCTTCGCCAACGACGTCTTCTCCACACTTGACTTCTTCTCCTTCTTCTTCCATCTCTTGTGGTCCTGCACAGATGCAACGTGGTGAAGATAAACCTCGTCGGCCTTCGTCGAGGAGTAGTGGCAAGTCGTCCACGACCGCTGCTTCCACAGGCACACCTTCGTCGAGTCTGAACCTCGACTCTTTGCATCAGGTCTTGGTTGAAGACTTGAAGGACTACGGTCGACGCGCGACTGTGCCTACCGTCCAAACCCTCAACGACGGGGTAGTAGGGTCTGGCAGTCGAGGCACGTCACCTCAGTCCACACCCACCGACGCGGGCGTTCGAAACGGCAGTCCAGGAGGATCTCGCTCGTCGGATTACATGTCCTCCCGAGGCAGCGGCCATCATGCTGGCCACCCCCCAAGTTCTGCTCCACCTTCCATGTCTACTACTAGTAGTACCTCCATGGATCCAATAGTCGGACATCACCTACCTCCTTCTCACCACGGGCATCATCTTGTTCCTGCTAGTCAGTACCAGCAACAGCAACAGCAACAACAACAACCTCCGTACTATTCTTCCGGAGGGCATGTGAGTGCTACGGGACATATGCCCCTCGCTCCTCCACCTCCTCCGCCCATCCATCATCCTCCTCCGGCGTATCTACCTCCGAGTGGTGGACACCAAGGCGTGCCTCACCACAGCATGACGAGGCCACCCTCCATGGACACTGTCCCTCCCTTTCCTGGCACCGATCCCACTTATGGAGTATACAACTCGAACGGTGTCACCCCGCCCGCCAACGGTGACCGCAAGTACGCTACACTCACAAACTGTATGCCCGGCTTCAACCCTACCATTGAGGGATTGGACGCTTCCTGGCAATCGCTCGTCGAACAATTAGGATACTAATCGACAAAGTAATCAATGCGATGAATGTTAACCCTCAACGTCAATTCTTGTATTCTAACATGTGCCTTTGTGCTTCCATCTCTGTTGGTCTTACTCGTTTGTAGTCATCCATCTGTCCAGTATTTGTATGCCAGCCAGTGATCAAGTCGTATTCTATACCCCATGAAATGAACCGTCTTGCACCTCAAATGCTACGCAATGCGCCAGAGATCCTCGAATTATCCAAAAAGGTTATAATTTCAGTATGATACACATTGCAGGTTAGTCACTATGACGGTTTCCAGCTCCAGAACACTATGCGCGATATATCATCAATCACTCCTTCCATCGGAGAGACCTCTCGGAACAAAATCAAAGCCGACATTTGCAATTAAGCGCTGTTGGCGAGTCGGCGAGTGAACTCGACGAGGGCCCTACAAGAATAACAAGGAAGCGGAAGATCAGAAGATGACCATTGAGACGAATCCACAGTCAAACACCCACCTGACAGGTCGCCCAGTCATGCCCTTATCCTGGTAAGGAGAAGGTCGAGTGGCCTACAAACGCAGTGATGAGATCCACATGCAGCCGTGCACAATGAAAGGACTTCGTACCTCCATGGAACCAGCGATATCAAGGTGAGCCCACTTGATGGTAGGCTCTCCTTCCTTGGGCTCCAATCCGTTAACGAAGGGCTTCAAGAACAAGGCGGCGGTAGCGCTTCCGGCAGGTCGTCCACCAGTCTATTCGTAGCAAAGAACAAACCATCAGTCAATCCCTCGCCCAAGTATACAAACGCTCTCCACACATACGTTCTGCAAGTCGGCATTCGAAGAGTGGATCTGAGGTCCAAACTCATCGTCGAGGGGCATTCTCCACATCCTGTCGTGCTCGATTTGGCCGGCTTCGTAGAGTTGTTGCCACAATTCATCGGAGGACTAGAAGCGAGAGGGGGCGGGCCTGTCAACACCGGATGTTCTACGATGAATTTGGGTAAATGACTTACAGCAAAGACGCCGGAGTAGACCTCTCCGAGGGCGATGACCATGGCACTGTAGGTAGACGTTAATCAATGAGGGATTGGCCCTCTGCTCAGACGAGGTTTGGACTCACCCAGTCAAGGTGGCAACGTCGATCAAAGTGTGAGGCTTGTACTCAGTCGAGGTGTAGTAGATGGCATCTGTAGCATTGTAATTAGTTGCCGTATTGTACGCTCCTTCGGAGAACCCGTACCGGAGAGAACGAGGCGACCCTCAGCATCAGTGTTATCGACCTCGACGGACTTGCCGTTCATGGCATAGATGCTACGCAGTTGTAAGTAAACTGTGCTGAACGTTGCAAGGGGAACTACTCACATATCACCGGGCTTGGTAGCGCTGGGGCCTGGCATGTTCTCCGTCAAAGGAGTAGTGACAACCAAGTTGATGCTGAAATGGGGGAGAGGATTAGGTGAAGGACTTGAATCGGGGAAGTGATGACATACGGGAGTTGGAGCTTGGCGATAGCAAGCGCAGCAGAGACGACGGTAGCAGCACCGCCCATGTCTCCCCTCATCAACTTCATGCCAGCGCCGGGCTTCAAGCTGATTCCTCCAGTGTCGAAGGTGATACCCTTGCCAACAAAGGCAAGAGGCTGAGCGTTCTTGTCAGCAGCACCCTTGTAGTGGCTGATCGCAGGTTAGTATACGACTACGACAATGAGCTAGGGGATTCCTCACATTTCCAGAACTTGGCTGGTTCTGAGGTTCCACGGGTGACAGACAAGAAGACGTTCTACAAGGAGCAAGGTGAGCCATTATTCTCAATTTGCTTTATGGACCACTTACCATTCCCTTCTCAGCAGCCCATGCTAAGTTTACAATCAGTACAACGATCTCCCGAAGAGCATAGCAAAAATAGGGAACGAAAGACAAGGCGGTCCTGCGCTATTCCAGACTGCATTTCCGTTACAGCAGAACTATGTCCGCGCCATATGGCATCAAAAAAAGGCATCCGCATGGAACCGCGACTTCGCAGTCGAGGGCAGCAAGATCCGTGAGGCAAACTCGGGAAGCAGGATCGAAGAACCGACATAGCCGGATGACGATGTGACGAGTACCATGCAGGTCAAGGATTCCAAAAACTCACCCTCGTCTCGCACAATGATTTCGACGTTGGGGATGCCAGCAAACTCTTGCTTGACACGTTCGGTGAAGAGCTGCAGGAGTATTAGTGGACGATTCCTGGCTATAAGGAGAATGAAACTGACAGTAGGGGTCATCATGTTGGCGGGGTATTCCATCAACTACAAAACATCAGTTTCGGGTCGAGTGACAAAGGTCGTGACGCACAGTCCTAGCAAGGTTCTGGGACTCGGCGTAGATGACACCGCGGTCCCATTCTTTTGAAGCTTCGATGGGCGAGAACTGGAGCTTGGGTGGGATGGGCTCCTTGAGGTTGGGGTCGAAAGGCGAAGGGGGAGAAGTCTTGAGGGTGAACTTGTACAAGGCCAAGTGAGCAGCGACAGCTACACGTTGGTCTGTCAGAAGCTTGCTCTTATCGATGGAATGTTACGTTACTGCACTCACCAGCAGCATGGGGGTCCAAAGACGCGTCAATGGCAACGTCCTTGACGCCGTCGTAGCCCTTGAGGTCCTTGACAGCGCTACCGACAGCCTTCCTGACGATCTCTCGCTTGACCTCTGCAGGCTTGCTGGCAAAGCCTTCGCCCAAAGAGACGACCGAGGTTGTCTTTGACTCGGGGGTGTTGTAGAAGGTCCTGGCGGTGCCCGCCTTTGGTGGTTTTTCGCCAGAAGGGGTCAGAGCCCAGAGCTTGGCTGGGTCGACGCCAGCAACCGACTTTGCTGAGGCCTGGTGGTCAAAGGGAACGACGATTGCGGACGACATTGGACGGGCGAGAAAACGGGATCGTGATGGTTGGAGTCGAAGAGATAATCGCGACAGCATTTCTGGATCTGGAAAACCGCAATTTAGTCACGGCTCAACCCATTCACGAGTCTTCGATTCCATATGACCAAACCTTAACCTTAGTCATCCACAGCAAAGATAGGGGATCTCTTCCCCTTTCGAGACCTACCGAGAGTCTTCAGGCAAAGCATATTCCGTGAAGCTCCGAGGCAGATAGTTAAGCGAGAAAAGGGAGAAGTCGCTACATAGTTAACATCTCTGCTCAGATGTCGAAGGGCTCGATACTCGCCGGAGTCATTGACAAAGACATGGTCTCTCGCAAGATCACTCACCCATTCACCACACTCTAAGCTTCAAGCTTCAGGATTCAGAATTTTCTGTGGTATTGAGAGGGAGATCGTACCAGGGTATCATCCATTCGTACTACCACATCGGAAGCAGGGAGAGAGCCCGTTATAAATAGGCGCCCGTCGTGGCTGACCTGTTCGAGAGAAGGCTTCGGAACCTGTAATTCCGATTCAGCTCCCATAGGCTTCACGAACTTGGTAGCATCCGCGGTGCTTCGCAACACAATGACCTTTTGACCTCCATCACTCAGTTTTTCTACGATCGCATTTGTCAAACGTGCCGGGCGCTAAAAAATAAGCGACACATCACTATGGGGGCTGGCGGAAATCATTAATATCCTTCAGGCTTCCAATCTCACCTGGCTACCGCGATGACCATGTTATCTGAATCGGTTTCTGTGGCTCTTCCCTGAGACCAATCACCCATGTATACCGTATTCTCTAAGGAAAGAATCGCCTAGGATACCATTCCCTGAACTTAGAACAAATGATGGTCTCTATTTATCCGAATTCCTCCCATTCTATGTACATCTTTCTCGCGTGTTAGGTCCACTACGAAGGTACAGATGTATCAGGATGAATTAAATTTCTCAACATCGAAATCCCAACTTGGTGCAAGGAATTTGCGGATACATACCAGCATATTCCACTGTTAATCGTCTAGTAACTCCAAGTAAACTGACAGGAGAGCTGTTTTTATAACTGAAAAGGACATGATACCCATTAAATATGTACCAAGGCCAAGGTGTATCAGGATCATCCGAAGGTACAGGTGTACCAGGATGAAATAAGTAATCATTCAACCCGGTCAAGGAAGACTCGCAGCGCGCACGACGGCACGGCGGCACGAGCCATGTACTTATTTCACGGATACCCTAAGTAGCGCAGTAGTAGGGTATATATCTCTGGAAATCAAGGGTTAGAGGCCTTGGAGTTGACAACTCTGTCGCTGTCCACGATCTCAAAAACTTGGGGATGAGTACGGCAAAAAGACATGCTACTCGAGCGAGTATTTGAGGAATGTCCGAAGTGACTGGGTCAGGGGGAAATGGCAAGCCCAGACACCCAAGTAATTCGAAGGGGGCGAGTCTTTCGTAGTCTCCCATGACTATTTAAATGCATTAACCACCCATTTTCCCTGCTGACCATTATTATGGCTCTTTCGTCTCCTACACCCTAGTATTCAGCAAGCTACATTGCTTATAGTAGGTGAGAAGCAGAGGAAAAGGGACGTGGGTGGATGCTGAGCTCGAGGGGTCCCTGGATAAACATACTCACTGGGGTGGCACCTATCGGTATATATTATTACATTTACTTTATGTTTTTGATTTAAAACAGTCCTTTCTGGCTACCTACAGTGAGTTACTGAGCGATGGCAGCGGCGTGGGCTATGTAGGGGCGAATTACTTCACCGAGCCCGCGCGGGAGTTCGAAGTTGATGGATGAATCCATCCTGATACATCTGTACCTTCGTAGTCCACTTTTTTAATTGAACTTCGAGCATTTGATCAACTTGAAGACCTTCAACGAGTTAAAAAGAGCTTCTTGACCTCGTAGGCAGTGCGATAGACACGGCGATTCAATTCACTTGACACTGACCTCTTTTCAATCCATATTTGGGTCGTCTCTACTAGATTGATGTGTTTCGAGACCAAAAATCATCCTGATAATCAACGGAGCTGGATAGGGGCAACTGGGTGGTGATAGCGAGGAGAGATTCTTCTATTCTTCCAAGTGCCGACGTTTGGACTTTGGAGTGCTGATCGAGGGTCGAGCCTCGACGAGAGGTTGCCTTGTAAGGTAAGATCGTCACCCTGTTTGACAGGTCTTTGACGTTGAAACGTTGAAGGCGTGGACTTAAACACCTCGAACCTGCCCTTGGGCCATGTGGGATGCTCATTTACAGTTCCACTGACGTTTGGAGCATGAAAGTCGGTATAATCCAGAAGACCTTTGGTACATGGCGACTAAATTGGGAGGATTCAAGGAGGGTTTGTGCGGCCTTATCTCATCTCGATTCGGTCAGCCGCTGTGAGCCGCTGGCTCACACTCATATTCAGAAGGACTGGAATTTCGCACTCGCTACCCCGTTCCATAAGATTAAGAATTGCACTGAGAGACGGGGTAGATGGTTAACCGGGAGCCGGCGCTGAGAAGCACCATTTACATCTAAATTTGCACCACCAGCAATGTTATTTACTAACATCCACGTTCTAACTATGTACCACCCTGTTTCTAATTTCACGCTTGCAACCTTTATTTAGCCAAAGCGGACTCCATTCACCCTACTTTAACTTATGTCGAGAGCCATAATTAAACTGAACAGTCGACATGTCAAGGTCCAGCGGGCCCGTACTTTGACCGTAATTATCGTCGAGACTCGAGCGCTAAGTCCACTCGCTTTATTGCCCATGACAGACCTCTCAGGTACATATTAGCCGTCACTTATTAGGGCTTAATGACCTCAGGGTATAGCGATCAGGGCGCCCCTCGAGCTCACGTCTTGACTACATTGGAGTCATGATGATCGTAATTATAGGCGCTTGGAGAGAGAGGGGAAGGGGAATACCTGAATGGAGAGTCTTACCAGAGCTCAGAGCTCAATGCTTCTAGAATCTATATCTGTCACTGGCTTATTCTCGGAATCATAGAAATGAAATCTGGTTATGCTTATTTGCGTGCGCACGACGGCAACTGGTAAGTATGCCACCGAAGTCCTTTTCCATCGGTTGATTAGGTTTCTCCCGTCGAGTCTTCTTTCTTCGTCTATATATACAGGCACTTATCAACTTGTCCAAGTGAGCTCCTGGCTATGCTTACACAGTAGACGAACTGAGATGGTGCCTAGGGTTCTGTGATCCCCGAAAAGGATATTCCCAGAATAAGGTTCCCAATACACACCCTGAATGAGCATTGAACCCGAATGAACCTCACGGAAATAAGTAAGTACGTCCTCGTCCCTCGAGGGTGCTATAGTATTTACGTACGTGTGGGCATAGAAAGACCGAGTAATTACAATTTATAATTGAACAGGAACATCTTTGGAGATATTTAGGCTACATAGTAAGGATGGAGGATGGCAGGCCTTACGTAGTAAGGTTAATTACCGCTGATTGGACATTGTCAACGTCTGCGGCATAGGTCGGTCGTTACGTCGGCAGGTAAGCGGGTAGACTCCGAAGGACTCCAGTTGGCGCAAAATGGGCTCAACGAGTCTCCGACTCTACCGCCACTTGAAGGACCAGAACTGCCGCACAACACGCGAGGACGGAGGGAAATGGCAACGACGATAAATGGCAGCAATCGGCAACCTGCGCGATCTCAATCTTCGAAATGTCGAGGCTTCTGAAATCCTGATTCCTCAAGTCGGACTCAAGTTCATCATCATGTTTCATGAGTACTACTTAGTGTTCAAAGCCACGCGGTGAAGAACACCGCGAAACTCATGTTTGGGAATAATTTACAAGACCAAGTGCTTCTTTGATTTTATCATATCAGTTGTGACTTATTGTCCTTGGAATCTGGGAAGGTTGCCAGTGTCAGGATATATGGAAGAGATCTAAATCTGGCCATGGTATGAAACTGAAGTATAAAAGGGCTGAGAAGATCTCCGGGATGGGCGTGCTGCTGCAAACAATTTGAAAGCTCTTCACTGTACCTTGACGAGACTCGACTTCGAGACACTACGCGCTCACATCTTACGGATATCGACCACGTACCGGAAAAAGAAAATGACCAGACTCTCAGTCCTCTTCACCCTCTTCTTCGCCATCGTCTTCGTCGCCGCTGCTCCTGCTCCATCAAAGCTTGGAAGTGCGTACCAGTAAAATCTCCAACTCACTATTGAAATTTCAAATTCAACAGTTACTAACGTTTTTTGGCCGTGACAGTTGACGACGTCCTCGAGCGTGAAGACGCTAAATGGCTTCGGGTGGACCTCTCAGACGACGACTACTGAAATACATATATGATCAAGTAAGTAAACAGAGGATGCTGCTGTGTACTTGGTAGTTTTGGTGGTTTGCTGATCATGAGCCTGTAAAGGACCCTTCCTGCCTCCGAATATCATCGAGTGCACCACTAACATCGAGCCTTCTCCTCATCGATCATCCCCCATCCCCCCTAATCCAACACACCCAGCATCTCCCCAGCGACGCCCTAAGACTTGAACATAGATTGTACCCGTATTTATCCATCTGACGACCCTATGAGTTAACGATTAGCATTCGCGCCCGCAGTATTCCGTATGTACAGTATGTACTAAGCCCACCAATGGACGTTCAACCGGCGTTCAACTCCCATCGACCCTTTTCCCGAAGTATTCTCGAGACTCCTCGTGTCTGAGAAAACATTGGCGGGACTTACCGTTTCATTGTTCCATACGCATAGTCCGGTAAGTCGCCGGTTGGAACTTGGGAATTCGAATTTCCTTTAAAGAACTCCCGTCCTTGAAGCTGACCTTGTCGCTGCTGCCTCGATGCTTGAATATTGCTCCTTATTCGCTTTCGCCGTTACATACCGAAGTGTTCCCTGCGCGGTTCACAACACGAGGCTGTGAGAGGATGTGTTAACTGCCCTTCCACTCTCCACCCTGCACGAGGTAAAAACGTGAAACGAGTTATGTATTAGTATCGTTCGTGTTAGTACTAGTATGCAGGGAGCGGGAAGATTGTGAGAAGAACTCCATGAATCGACCTGCACGAGGTAAAGCAAACACATACGTATCCGAGCGTACTGCATGCGAGTAAGTAACCCGGAGGCCTAGATGTTGGTTAGTACTTAAGTAGTAATCAGAAGGAAGAAAACGATCTGAATCAAAGGACCTAGTATACGAGTCTGAAACAAGGAAACGAATAAGAATCGAAGGCCCTTACAAGCGTTTTTCCGTAAGGAACAAAGACCGACTCATGTCTCTGTGCATCTAAGTACAAGATGAAAGGGCTCCGGCACAATTTCGTCTTTGCCTTCACACTGGTATGTCCCGAGGAAGAGAACGAGCAGGCAGGGTGTGTGCACATTTGCGCGTCAGTGGCTGGAACTTGAAGCAGACTCGGAGTGGGACCTTGGATTCAGCCGCAGCCGCAGCCGTAACCTGGTGGGATTGCGCGTTAGTACTACGCAATCTGGAAGATCGGCCGTTAGAACTGCCCCAGAGAATTTTGGATACCACATACCAATAACATGAAAACGAAAAACGAAAAACCAGGAAGAAAATCGGGGTTGTAACTTGTTCCACAGGCGGGCTTCGCAACGACGAGGCTGTGAGAGGAACATACCCCTCCACCCTGCACGAGGTAAACGCGAAATCAAACAGTGAAACGAGTTTCTGCTAGGTCGTGTTAGTAAAGTGTTAGTCAAGTAAGTAACCAGGATTGGGTGATAGTTAGCAGTTACTAGGATCGGGGTGTTAGTAGTAAGCAAGTACGGGAGAGATCGATAACTGCTAAGACAATGCCACAGATCTCGAGCAAGTGGAGCACGAAGCTCGAAACGAGTGGTGCCTGAACAGAAGTTCGAACCTCTGAGTACAGTAACCCATTCGATTTGGTTTCGGCTTGGAACTTGGCCAGTGAACTTCGCAAGCGCTGTGATGCGATATGATGCCTGTCATGGGCCCGGATGACCGGTGAACGTGAACGTTGAACGCGAGCGCTGGGATCATGGACTATAAGACCTTTGAGACTCAGAGAAGCCAAAGCCAGCTGTTGGAACTTGTACTCCTGCTCCCGAGCCCGAATAGAACAACCCAGCTGCTGCGCCAGATTGGCAAGTGGAGTTCCAAGTCGTATGTAGTGCGTGATCATCATTGTATCCTTGTAGGTAAGTGGTACAACAACAGCGGGAAGAGTGTCTCCGTTTCGTAGCGGTTACATACACCCACCTACCCGCCCGGAAACCGGATGGGGTGTCATAAGATAGAAGTCAAGGTCTCGGGCGAGGTAAGCCGTTGGATAGCCTCGTGAACCAGACAGGTAAGGTTCGAGTAGGGTTCCAGGGTGTTGATAGGTGCGTAAAGGATGTAGCTGGCTGGGAGCGAGGCGGGAGGTAGGGTAGTCTCGTGAACCAGACTGCAGTCGGAGTAAGGTAATCGGGAGGGGTGGTGCGCAGTTGAACGGATAGACGGGCGGCCCAGAACGGCTACGGTAAGGATAAACATCGCCTGAACGAAATCCCATTCCACTTGCTCAACCGCCTGGAGTAGGAATACCAAGCGTAGCGCGCTAATACATCAATCCCCACAAAAAGTCAGCGTCAGCTCAATCATTATCTCCCAATCTCAAACGGCACAGACGAACGAAAATGAAAGAAAGGAGAACTCACAATCTGGATATACGTAGATCGTTCCTGCGGCGGTAGGGCATTAATCTGTTCGGGCGTCATCGAGATAACCCGGTAAATGAGCGCTTTCTGGTCGTCGGGGATGGCAGCGAGAGTTTCAGCGAGGCCGGGTGGCATGGATGCAGCGGGTTGAGGCGCGGGGGTTGGTTGAGCATGTTGAGGCGGTGGGTACCCTTGTGCAGGAGGATGAGGAGGAGGATACCCGTGTCCATGACCATGCCCATGGCCATACGGAGCCCCCGGAGGCGGGTACTGTGCCGCCGGTGGTTGTTGTGGCGGAGGAGCACCATACCCATTCGACACCGGATACCCTCCATAAACAGCTTGTGGTGGGGGAGCTCCCATCGCGGGCGTCGGCGCGGGATGGGGCGGTGTGCCGGTTCGGTTGTAGGGGTTCGCGTAGGCGTTCTGCATGTGTGGTGGGACGGCTGAGATGGGTGTTCCCGTGGCGGGTGGTGGGTGGTGCACAGCGTGTGGGTGTGCGTGTGGGGGTATGTGCGGTGCTGTGGCCGGTGGGATTGCGTGCGCCTGCGCTGCAGGAGGTGCAGCGGCGGTCTGGGCGGCAGTTGCTTGGAATCCCGTTAATGTTTTCTGGAGACGTTGTTCAATTCCTGGGTATAGTAGGCCATGATATGAAGACTGACCTGAAAAACGTCGATGTTTATGGCATTCATTTGGACCATTAGACTTATCAACGCGTATGCAATCGCCGGTTGGCCATTCAGAATCGTTCTGGCCGCTGTGGGCGTCGTTTTCTGGTGTTACTGTTGAGGATTCCAACATCCATGGCATGTCCAGCGGATTTTACAGACCTTGAGGGTCAGAAGAAGCTCCAAGAGCTGTTCAGTCGGTAGATTCGATGCATTCGACATTGCGAAAAGAAAAATGTCGATTCGCAGTCGTAGTCGCGGTCCAGCGACTTGCTCGCCTCATCGGGAACAATGAAGGTTCGCCAAACAACACACAACCTGATCGCACCGCCACGCCATCCTGATTGGACGCCGGGTGCAACGACGAGCTAGTGGGATGTAGTCCGTCCGTCCGTCCGCCCGTTCGTAGCGAGATGCCCCCAGCTACCGTCCCACCACCATCTAAGAACGTATTCGACGACGACTTTGACGACGACGATGGTTGGCAAGACATGCCCATCGTCCGGGACGATGATCCCAACTGCGATCTCGACGAGGAGGACAAGCGCAAGTACCACTACCAGCCGTCGTCCAAGGTCAGCACCACCGCGAACGCCACGGGGAACCTCATAGACTTTGACGATGAAGGCAACGAGTGGCGGTCGAAGCTCGACCAGAACGAGCGGGAGTATACGAGGCTCCGTGTGCGCGAGGAGGACGAGGCTGATGAAGTCCATCTGCGCACCAAGTATTTGTTCGATGAGGATAAAGCAATGACGCCGCTCAACCAGATGCAGGCCACGAAGAACCTGCTCACCGAGGCGCAAAGGATCGCGTATGTCGGCCTGTGCTCGCTGACGAGCCGCGAGATGGTGCAGACGCTCAAGGCGACGAATCGCAAGGAGCTCAAATCCGCAGCGCAGCATATGGAATTGTGGATGCTCAAGATTATGGGTCGTCTATACTATCATATGGAACTCGAGACTCAAGGTGCGCAGACTCGGTTGTATTGTTGTTGAGCTAAATATAAATATCATTGGGCAGAACAGAAGATGATAGAGAGTCTGGCGGAACATGGTGTTCTGGCTTCGGACCTGGTCCCTGCGTTGATGACCACCCACACAGTTGCCAATCCAGAATACGACCCCGAAGAGGCTCGACGTCGAGCCGAGGAAGAGAGCAAAGGCGACGACGACGACGATGAATCCATCTCCGACCAGACACTAGTCAACGAACCCACAGCCTCACCCGACGATCCTAAAGACATCCCGCTCCCGACATCCCCGACAACACCCACCGCAACAACAACCGTCGACCCCACAACCGACAACACCCTCTCCCAGCCCGACAAAACCGTCCCCAAAGTCCTCCCACAGGGCTCCCAAACCGCGATGCCCGGCGTCTCCACCACCCTCAGCGCCGCCGACAAAGACGTCACCCTCGACATCCGCTGGACCGTCCTCTGCGATTTGTTCCTCATCCTGATAGCAGACAGCGTCTACGACGCCCGCTCACGCGTCCTCCTCGAGAACGTCGCCACCAAACTCGGATTGGGCTGGCTCGACGTTGTCAAATTCGAGAGCCGCGTTACCGAGGCTCTGGAGATCCAAGAAGACGTGGAGAGCCTCGAGCAACAGGAAATCGTGGATAACGTCCGGAAGGCTGGGAAGAAGAGACGGTATATGATGTTGGGTCTTGCGACGATTGGTGGAGGGTTGGTGATTGGCTTGTCGGCGGGGCTGCTGGCACCGGTTATTGGCGTGGGCCTCGCTGGTGCACTCGGGACTATCGGTGTTACTGGTACTGGCGCCTTCTTGGGCGGCACGGCTGGTGCAGCGGTGATTACGACCGGAGGTGTGCTCACTGGCGGCGGGATCGCAGCCAAGGGCATGGCTCGACGTACTCAGGAACTGCGCACATTCGAGATCCTCCCCCTGCACAACAACAAACGCGTCAACTGTATTCTGACTGTCCCTGGGTGAGCCAATCCCGTTGATCCCTGCGTTTCGAGAGTATGTACTGATGAAGGGGGCAGTTTCATGACGGGTTTGAACGATGACGTGCGGCTGCCGTTCAGCGTGCTTGATCCCATCGTCGGGGACGTGTTCAGCGTCCTTTGGGAACCCGACATGATCAGGGAGACCGGTAGCGCGCTCAAGATCCTCACCGGCGAAGTCCTCTCCCAGATCGGCATGACCGTTTTATCAGCCACAGTCATGACCGGTCTCGTCTCCGCTCTTCAATGGCCAATCAGTACGTCCCAAGTCCCCCTCACACCTCAATCTCCCCACCGTGAGGTATAATCTAACGACGCTACTTCCCAGTCCTTACGAAACTCGGCTACCTGATCGACAACCCCTGGAGCAACGCCCTCGACCGCGCAAAACTAGCAGGCAAAGTCCTCGCCGACACCCTCATCCAACGCCATCTCGGCGTGCGCCCAATATCCCTCATCGGCTTCTCCCTCGGCGCACGCGTGATCTACTACGCCCTCCTCGAACTCTCCCGCCAAAAGCAATACGGAATCGTCCAGGACGTCTTCCTCCTCGGTGCCACAGTGACGATGCCTCTAAGCAGCTGGCTCGAAACGCGTAGTGTTGTCTCGGGGCGATATGTGAACGCGTATGCGAGGAATGATTGGGTGCTTAATTATCTTTTTAGGGCTACGGCTGGGGGAGTGGGGACTGTTGCGGGGTTGAGGCCTGTGGAGGGTGTACCGGGGTTGGAGAATGTGGATGTTACGGATAAGATTGCGGGACATATGAGTTATAGGACTTTTATGCCCCTGATTTTGGATCAGTTGGGTTTCCCGGTTTTTTCGGATTATTTTGATGAGCCTGTGGTATGTATTTGTCTGCCTGGCTGTGTTTTTCTCTATGGCGGCCATTCTGATGGATTGCGTTACAGGAACCCGACTTTGAAGGCGACCGAGTAGTCGTTCACGAAGAAGAGGAGCAGAACAAGAAGAAGGGGTGGTTCTCCCGCAAGACTTCGTCCTCGGATAAACGCAAATCGGTTTCGAGGCCCCCGTCGTCGGCGTCGTGGGCGAACACGAACAACCAAGGTCCTACTGTTCCTGGTGTGAGCAAACCGCCTACGGTGGCTGGTGCGATGCAGCCTGGCGGTGAGGGGGAGGATGAGGACCTTCCTCCGAGGATGGAGAATGCGCATGGAACAACGACGACGTTGACGTCTTCGCCCAAGTCTACCTCTCAACCCCTCACCCAAGCTGCGGAGGCGGAATCTACAACCAGCAAGTCTGCACCAACGCCTCTCGACCTCTCCTCGTCCCATTCCTCATCCCCATCCCAAACCGCTTCCTCCAACACCCAATCCCCCTCGGACTCGACAGACGACTTGTCCCTCCCCAGCAAGCACGCCGGGTTCGATCTGGATGCTATACGCGATGCGGTGGAGGACGTGGTGAAGAGCCCGGATGGGCTGAAGGGTGCTTCCATCGCTGCTGCTGCTGGCGGGTTTGGGTCTTTTGGTGGTTCAGCGGCGTATATGGGTGGTTCGGGCTCTTCGTCGTCGTCGTATTTGGGTGGTTCACTTGGATATGGGCATCCGGCGAGACCGTCCTCTACGCCGCCTACAGCGGAGGGAGCACCGAGCGGGACCGGGAGGAGTGTGAGTTATGCGTATGGTGTGGAGTCTAGTAGCGGGATTGGGGGAAGTGGGAGTGGGATTGGAGTTGGAGGGAGTGGGATTGGGATTGGGGCACTTCGGAGTTCGGCTTCGCAGTTAAATCTCCGTGAGGCGTTTGGGAATCCGTTCGCGTCGTCTTCGTCTTCGTCTTTTGCTTCTTCTTCCACGTTACCGTCTTCCTCGTCAGGGTTGTCGTCGTCAGGATATCCGGGGGAGGATAGTACCTCCCTTCCGACACCCAGGGCGTCGACAAGGCAGTTGCCGGATGTTGGACATGGTGGCGGGTGGGGGACGAGTTCCTTTGGGTCGAGTTCGTTCGCGTCGAGTTCGTTTGGGTCGGGTTCGTTTGGGAGTACAGGGTTTGGAGGTTTCAACGCTGGGAGCAGTCTTAGCGGTAGCGGAATCGGGGGTGGACCTGGAGGTGGGATAGGCAATGGTCTGTCGTTTGGAGGTGCGGATGGGTCGATAAGTGCGGGGAGCGGACTGGGTTTGCCGAGTCGTGCTGCTGATGATGATCCATGGGTTGTTGGATCTAGTTCGAGTTCGAGTTCGAGTTTGGGTTTGGGTGGGTTTGGTGGAGGACTGGGTGGTTTGGGGAATGGTGGAAGTGGGTTTAGCAATGGAGGGTTTGGCACGACACCGAAGAGGAAGCCTACGGCTGATTCGTTGAATGCGAATCCTTGGTCGTAGCTCCTTCCGTGGTCAGGCCGCGTTGTTAGGAGTTGTTGGTGTTCATCATGTTTCTTCTGGTTCTTTGGTTTGCTTTATGGTTCCTCTCGCACCCTACTACATCTCCTCATCTTACATTACAGTAGACTACATGATAGCGTCTTTGTACAGTCCTTTTCCTTCTCCGATCCATCTTGTCTTTCGTTGTCTTTTTATACATTCATTCCGTCGTCGTTTGCATCCTATTTGGCATTTATGGCATATCACTCAAGCTTCAACTTGTACTCCTCTGACGTGCAACATCTAGGAGTTTTTTTCTTAGATGTTTCTTCTTCATTCAGTACATACTTACATCCTATCTATCCGTCCGTCTGTCTTGGCGTGTCTTTGTGTCTAAGGTTAACGTTCGTGATTCGTGATCATGAAATGATTTCACGAGTAAGTGTAGAAGGAAGTCTCGATGTCCCTACTATATTGCAGGTAGCGGTTTGTAAGGTGTCTCATATTCACATATTTTACTCGTTTCAAGTAGCAAGTACCTATAGTACTAGTAGACGAACTTGTACTCCGGCGGCTGATGTGGCTGGCTTGTGCCAAACCGCCGGTACATAACTGCTCAAGTAGACTCCGAATACTTCAAGTTGTTCCTGTGTCCTCGGGGCTTGGTGTTGGACTCAAGCCTCAAGCTATGTACTTGGGTGTTTTGCTCATGCTGTGTGTGATTGATCAAAGCTGGCTTGCGCACTGCGCCCAGCCCGCGAGTCCTAGTTTGTGTACGTGTATCCAGGGAGTTGAAGTCATGGGCGGAGTACTTCGTCTTCGGGGTTCGAACGGGGCCGAGTCGAGGTCAGCTCAACTTCATGTTCTTCTCAACATGCGTTCGTTGTGCAAACAGCTGCAGCTCTCAGGCAATATGGGGAATAGTCGCAACCAATGGAAGACATTGGACGCCTCTTCCGCAGGTCACTTGCCAGAGTGGATGACGGGATCGCTTGTGTAGCGGCCTGGTCCACCGCTAGATTTACCAGAACACGGCCGACCCGGATAGGCGGTGCCGGAGTACCGGGTGTTGCTGGATAGGAATGTGATCAAGTAGCATTGAAGTCTCTACTGGGACGGGTAGTCCAGTTGCAACTTGCCGTGTGCGATTCCGGCGCGTTCCATTTTGGGACGGAGATGCTACAGCTTGCTACTATTGGAATCAAACCAGGCAGATCTAGTAGCGGCTTCGCTCAGCTCACAATGGCCTGTTCCTTTTACTAGGTGAATGAAGAACGACCATTTTCCAAGCAAGTGAGCATCCCATAATCGAGCACGCACCACGCCTTATCCGTATGACTGAGATTTTGAGGGGGGCTCTGGGCGTCTGATCCAAGTTTGACTTGTGTTCTCCACAGATTCTGATTGACGAGACCAAGACGAGACGAGAATACTTATTGTGCGCCTCCAGCGCTCTATTTGTAGACGCAGATCTCGACAAGTATGTAAGTCCTCTGTCACTTACTTATAATTTGGGAAATTAGGAAAGCGCCCATGCAGGGAAAACAGGGCTTTTCGGGGAATGTTTGGCGTACACCCACAAAGTGCCCTTTAATCTCGTTGGTGGGCCCTTCCAAGAGGTGTGCAATTGCTTGCACCACCGTTGTATTAACGTCATTTCGTTTTGTCTCGAGGTCTTGACAGTGAAGTTCCAACGGCGAGCACGGGGGATTCGATTATCCGTCTTCGTTCTTTTGGTAAGTTCTGCACACAAGAGGGTCTACAGGTGAATAACGCCGTCGTCGTTAGAGCTTCTGAAACTGGCGGTTTGGGTATCGAGGAGGACGGACATCGGCCTTGAAATTATGGCACCGCTGGGGCTTGGAAGTTGGAGGCCCTTAAACTGAGGTCGCTTGACCAGGTCCCCTGGGTCGTGTTCGTTGAAATTCATCATTGCCTCGTTACTGACGTGTGGCGCCCTGTCATAACGAGACCAAACTGGTGGTCGAACGGCGGTGGAGGCTCACCAGAGCCACCACACCCGTGACTCGTTGCGCTGCTGATCGACCTCCGCAGCTGGTCCCCGGATCCTTGTTTACCGTCGGGCAGCGCCCATCGATTTCCGAGAAGGCGAGTAGGTTCTTCGATTTCTGTTGGATTTTCTGGATTGTAACACCACTGAGAAAGTTCTCTGGGCTCGCTCCAGGTCTACCCAATTGCGAGCATCATGCAGGCATCAGCTTGATCTTCGCCACAGACCAATCAGCAAGTTCCCCTCGTGCGCGGGCGCTTGCATCATGTTTGGGTTTGCGACACGGAGCCTTTTGGGCTCGTACTATCCAGCATCTACGCCCATACAACGGCGGCGAATCTTCTGAGGGATCCTTGTCCTTTTTGACTAGCATCTGGCTGGGAGCTAACCGAGACCACGTTGAGATAGGCATCTCTTTATTCTCAATGGCAGCGGAGCTGGGCCATACCAACCCTGGTTGAGGCTGTATCTTCACGACTTGAATGAATCGTCTTCGGCTGGCCCCTGACGGCAGTGACCCGAGGTGACAATCCAGGGAGCTTTAGTGTTTTCCGTAAGCCAAGCTTGCGTAGTGGCATGTGACACCGCATTCGCTGTGCGGCATCTCCCTATGGCAACATCTGATGAAAGTATATAACCCTCAAACCCTCATCAACGTCCAGCACCCCACTTTTGGTGTGTCACCACTCGTCTTTCACGACCCCTCCACGATTTCAACGTCGTAAGTGCACTCGTATTCGACGGTGATGACTCTCGTACTGACGACGAGAGACAGTGCTTTGCCTTGCTGGTCAAGACACTGCGACTTCCACTTCAACGAAACAAATCCTACCTAGTTTAATCTCGACATCTCTGGCAGAATGTCCCAATCCATCTTGAGAAGCGGAATGACCTCCCCCCTCCTCGCTGCTGCAAAGCGCCCGTCGACCCCGAGGTCAATCTTGAAGCGCCCAACCTCGTTGGCCCTCTCCCCCGCATTGCCCTTCAATGCGAGCTTCTCGGTCATGGTCTCACCTAGCGCCAAGTCACCCCATGTTCAATTCGTGCAAACCCCTCAACTGGTGGCTACTTTCGTCACTCACTCTTCGGAGGTGTATGATCGAGCGCCCATCAAGGTGTCCCCCAACCCGTTGGCACTCCCCGAGCGCGGTGCTAGGTACTACTCACCCACCATCGACCACTTCAAGCTCTCCGCACCACCCCCGCCCAAGGCGGCTGCGCTAAGCAGGCTCCAGTCGATCCTCAAGGCGTCCCAATGCGCCTCCCCAGCTATCACAGAGTTCGAGGACCCCCGATCTCCCCGGGCGGCCGCTGTGCAAGCACCGCCCGTCCAGCAGATCCGGTTCGCCAGTTTCGCAGCCCCCTCGCGCCAGCCCCAGAGTCTCTCCAAGTCGCTCTCCTCCTACCCTCGCTCTCCGTACCCGTCTGCGCCCCTCTCCCCCGCGGAGCAGATGAGCACCGAGATGGAGAGTCGTGGGCGCCGCATGTCCGATGTGAGCAATCTGTCAAGCAAGCCCACACCCGCCATCAAGCGCCCCGCCCGCCTCCCGATTCCGCCTTCCCCACTCAAGGCCTCATTCAAGAGTCCCTCGCTGCAGCGCTCGCACAAGCCTGCACCGTTGGACCTCGAGCCCCCCCAGAGCGCCACCAGTCTCAGCAACGCGTTCTGGGACTCGATGACCTTGGAGGAAGGTGATACTCCCATGGTGACCGCCCTGGAGTACCCCGAATCGGCCGTCGAGATGGAGGAGGTCGACCTCAAGTCTCCCGCACCTGTCCTCGGCAACATCAAGTCCCCCGCTCCCGCCCTCAAGTCCCCTGGTCCTGCACTGATGTTCGGGACCCAGGACGGCTCGGTGTGGTCACCCAGTATCCCCAAGAAGCCCGCTGCTCGCGAGGCTTTGTTGAGGACTGCGTTGATGAGCCCTGGCAAGGCGGCCTTTCCTAAGCCTCCCGCCGCTGGCAAGGTGAAGCACTCGGTCGTCGCTTCGCCCTCGCCTAACGATCCGTTCGCCTCGTTCCCGTCTTTCGCCGCTGTCCTTACTTTGGACACTGCCTCGCAGGCTTCTGGGCCCCTCGCTTACCCACCCAGGGCTGTCTTGGGAGCGGCGTAAAATGGACTGAGGATCGGATTTTTTGGAAAGGCGGTGGGGGTGGATTCTCATTTGGATGACGGACTAACACAAAACCTTTCTGCTATCTCCTCTTTCAACCGTGGATGTGCGGACTACCTAGAGGTCTGGTTTCTTTGGATTGGAAGGAACAGGCGTCGTTGAAGTACAATTTCTGATGATGTGCGTCAGATACGAATAAAGAATTAATAGCAGGTTCTTGGTTTTGGGTTTATTGGATACTAGTCTTTCCCCTGGGTTTTATGTTGGTGAACAAGGGTTTGGTCTCTTGTCGCTTCTGATATCCATTGCACAGAGATAGATACCCTGAATTTAATGCAAGTCGTTTCATGGAGGTTTTGAATTCCCGGTGTATCGTAAGATTGATATGGTATCAAGCTGGCTATCAGAAAGACAGCCGTTGCGTTGGAATGATGAATGAATGGTTGATACGGGAGTGTCTATCCAAACTCAAAGGCTTCTATAATGCGTTGAAGAAGGATATGTGCGTACGCTCTGCCTGTTCAGTTCTACAACACTGTATACCATTCTAGCTTTGCCAAACGAGGTCAAAACAAGCCTCGTGATCATCATTCATTCTTCGAATTCCTTCTTTACCCACAACCACCAGGGCTTGTTGTCCTCATGTTAGCCTCGAGGCCAGTGCGGTGTACACGGTACGCGCTTGTATGTATCAATCGGATCCAAAACGGCGATACGAGATGTTTCGCAGCGATCTTGAGGTAATATGACCCCAACACAATTGCAAGGCCAACCGAAATGCCCGACGACATACGGCGCATTGGGTGCAGGGATATCCCTAGACTGCAGTCTCGGTGAGCGCGTTGCACCCGTTTACTTTTTCCACCTGCTCTCTTATCGCGTTTTGATAATGCCATGACGGCTCAGCTTGCCAGAAATGGTTCCGCAGATCTCTACATCATATGTAGCTGCTGTGGGATGCTGTTGACCGTCTCCCGAAACATGAACCAAATGTGGCCCCACCGCGCTCACAGGTCTCGTAAAAGTCCTGCGATATGGACCAGTATCCTTACCAACAACAAGACACCGTGAGGCCTCGCTTTGTTGGCCGCTTAGGGCCTCTGTGTCTTGCTTGAACGCCCAGGACGCTTGACGATGTCATGTTCCGACGCGTCTTGGGAGTCATCATGGTTAGTCTTGGGGGGTATTCTGAGCGTTATGATTGGTGGGTTCGTGTGCTTGGCCCAACGAGCGTCCTTGACCCGTCGGACAATGGAGCGGGAGAAGGTTCTAGGCCAAAATGCTCCATTTCAAAAAAACCGCTGAAGCGTGCCGGTAAGCCCTTTGGAATTTGCCTGATTTGTTTTCCGATCTCCCCTATATAATGCAGTGATGCTTTGTTGAGCGGAGCCAATCCTTCCCCCGTTCATTTGGCTGGCTTCACGCCCGTTGCTGGCCACCTTTTCATTGGGTGTTCACTCCATTGCGAGTGCACCTCGGTGTTCAACCGTTCAACTTAGGTATACGAGTGTTCCAGTTTTCCTCCTATCCATTCGTTTTTCGTCGATGGGCTGATCAGATGTAGGACCTGTAGCTTCGAGAGAAATAAACGGCACTACCGTTTTATGGCTTTTTCACGACAATGCCTTTGCGCTCTGCATTGAAAGTCAAGGCTCAGATGGAGCAAGGCGACGCAGACACTGGGACGTCGCCGTTCCCCTTTGCCTCTAGTCGGATACTGGACTCGCCCCGCGTCCACTTCCCGCCGACACCGACCCTCACCACCACTGGGCTCACGCACGCCCCACACGTCTACGACCGGGCTCCCATCCTCGTCCAACCCAATGTCTGTGCACTGCCAGAGCGAGGAGCCAGGATGTACTTCGTGACTGACGGCAGCGAGTCGGTCTCCCCGAGTGCGAAGGAGTGCTACTTTCAACCCCGTCGCTCTGGTCCTATTCACTCCATGCAACAAGCCTGGGCCGACACACCTGGTGCTCAGTCTATTTCACCCTTGACGCTCTCGCCCTTGGCTCGCGGCGACCTGGTGCTCGGCAGCCACTCGTCGGACTCGTCATCGTCGGAGAGCGAGGGCTCCGAGCTGGGGTATGATCACTCCCGCCTTTCAATTCGCTCCTCGCCATACAACGACGACGACGACCATGACACACGCCACGCCCACCACAAATATACCGACCGTTCCCCGTCCTCCTACATGCAGACCGACCTCACCTCATCGCCCACTGAATCCTCCCCGCCATGCAGTTTCTCCCTCTCGTTGCCGTTCCACCCCACCAGGCCCAAGTCGAGTAAAAGCGGTGTGAAGAAGAAGAAGGAGAGGAGTCTGCAGGCAGACTGGCAGGCTCGCCGACGGACGTTGGTTAGTAGTAGTACTGCTTCGGATTATGATGATTTGTGTAATCCAGCGTTGGAAGGGTGCTTGGGCGGGTTCTGACGTCCTTGGGCTCTGTCCGTTTCTCGCGCCAATGTCGATCGAGTGACTTGCTCCCCAACCCCCCTTTGTATTATACTAATCGCCGGCGATCTGCCCTACTTTCATAACGTAGACCTTTTGATTATGGATGTGCCTGTGTGTTGTCGTGGACGAGAGCAAATGCCAGGGATAGGTGAGACACCATAGCCATAATCATCGAAGCCATTCTATTGGTGTTGAGAAACAGAACAAGTCATAGTTATGAAAGGGAGATAGTGAACCGGTGGGATAGTCAGCCGGTACGAGGAGACTAGCCCCTTGCCTGCTCGGCCTTGCGACGCGCCTCCTCCCTCTCCTTAAACTTCTGCTGCGACACCTCCTGCTTCGCAAGCGCCTTGAGCTGCCTCTGGCGTTTCCTCCTCCCATTGCCACGTTTTGGCCCGCTCAAAACGACGGGCTCAGTCATCTTTTTCTTCCTGAGCGCCGCCTGCTCAGCGCGAACCTTTTCCCGCTTTTTGTCGCGTTTTCGGAGGGTCGACATGGACGATTTCAATAGGGAGCCGTAGGCTGAGTAGAATTTAGGTAGTTGGGATGCGTCGACCTGGTGATGTGTGGGTTCAGTTGGGCTGGGGCGGGGTACGACCGGGACAATAGAAACATACTTTGGTGGAGAACTTGGTGTCCTTGCCGTTGGTTACGCGGAGGAGGCAAGGGTATTCCCTGGTATCCTCAGCACCCTCGTCTTCATGTTTCATGGCAGCGTCCTCGCCATCGTGCGTCACTAGAAAGAAATAAACCCAATCGTTCAGTCTCCTGACATGTCCCATCGACCAAACGACGACGCACATCGTTTATGAGTGATCCATATTGATCCCTTCTCTTTGGATGATTCGAAGAGAGCTGCAAGCTGCCTCAGAAACTGTCGATTGATCAAGCCAAGAACATTCAGCGGTGGGTTGTGGTTGGGAAACGGGTAGGAGGGACCAACTTACAGTATCGTGGTCGACGAGCTGCATTTCATCTCTTCAGCGCCATCGCTCATCGGCTGGGGCCAACGTTGATTTCGGGATTTGGGGGGATAAGGGGTTAGCTGGAAAATAATTCATTATTAAATTGTTTCGGCTGCGCGCGTGACTGAGCGGCGATCAGGCCATCATGATGGGTACAACGCGTCGAACGCGCCGTGGTGGATGGCAGGGCGTCGTCCTTTCCTCATCGTTCTTCACAATGTCCAGACTGTAATTTCTCCGTCGCAAGTCGTATAAACGGCCTTTGGGACGGTGAGCACCGATTTCTCATGCACTATTACTCCTGTGTGTCGTCGGGCGGGGAACTATGTACTGTGGTTCGTTGCTCAGGCAATCGACGTTGAAGCCCGAGATTGCTGTATCCAAACTGTGCTGGCAATTGAACCTGCACGACTCAAACTGTGGAGGCACGCCAGCTCTAGGGCTTGAGAATCCTCTTTTATCTTTCCCATGTCCCATCGCCAGAGACGCCCCACGAGGCGGTTGTGTTGTCGGCCATTCATTCCTACATTGCAATTGAGGGCCCTCAACGATCTCAACTTTGGCTTTCGTACTGGCATGATAGTCAGCTCATCGGTTCATTCTTTTCTTGAATCCACGTTTATCATTTGAGATCGATATTACACTTCTCAACTCTTTTCTTCATGTCTAATGCATTGGATGTGTTCCCTGGAATGTCGATTCCCACTTCTGCATGGACTCCAGATGGAACTCTACAGAATATCGGGCTCGTTTTACTGCTTCACTCGTCCTCAAGCTATTCACAAGTAGCCCCCATTCTCAGATTGCTGTCACGTTCCCTCTCTTGTCTCTGCTAAATCACCTCGCTTTTCCTTTTCCAGCACTTTGGGATGATGCATCGAAGTTGGCGTTTTTGTATGGCTGGCTCATCGATGCCCAAGTGATATTAGTGTCGTATGGCGTTCCATACTCTGTTCCTGGTGCTAACCTCGATATATGTATAGGCTCCAGCGTCAATATACACCCAACGATTCGGATTCGTCCTAGCAGCTGCAACGACATTGGTTGGACTAATACATAGAAGATAAGCTTATCAATCGTAAGTTGCTTCTCATTCCTAATACCCCGGGACGCGCTCAAAGATAGCGGAGAAGCCAAAGCTTATCGTCCTCGTCGACAAACCACTGAAGCGCCATTGGCCAAGTTCGGACTTGGAACCCGAGCCGGTGAGCGGAATTGGAGCACGTGACCTTCACACCTGATATCGCGAGCATTTTTAGCGCCAACATTGCTCACGAGCACGACAATCGCCACCGCCGTCCGCTAACGTCTTATCTCTTGTTATAAAGTCCTAGAAAAATGGAACTCTTAGACCTCATTCACCCACCGCTATGCAAGAATTCCCGCTACCAACGCAGGGAGCCTCCCTGATCCTTGCCTTCCGACCGCAGACAACCCTCATCATTGGTGCTGGACCATTAGCAGCAACCAGGGCCTTCTCAGCTCTCGAAACCGGCTCGACCGTAACGATTTTGGTCAATGGAGGTCTCACCTCTGCCTGTGAGGAGCTGAAATGGCGCTTTGAACACGGACAGCTCGACATCGTCGACTGGGACCTGTTGCGGTCCGAATATCAGCCCGAATCCGACATCGAAGCACTACGGCATTTTCTCGACCAATTCTCTACTGTTTCCCTCGCCTGCATCACCGACACTGTCATTGGAAGTGCTGGAAGAAGAACAAGGCACGAATCCGAAGAGCTCTATCGCCTATTCCAGTCCCGAAACATCCCAGTTAACACTACCGACATGCCGGAACTTTGCGACTTCACCTTCACCTCGACACACCGCTTCGTCGACCCCGTCTCGGGTTCTTCTTCACCACTTCAAGTTGGAGTCACGACCAACGGACAGGGATGTCGTCTCGCATCACGGTTACGAAGAGACATTGTCTCTAAATTGCCCGCTGATGTAGGCACGGCTGCTGCCAATGTTGGACATCTTCGAACACTCGCCAAGGCCTCCGCTGAGCCACTAAAGGCCAAGCAGGGCGATCTACCTGAGGAGGAAGTAGGATTCGACGAGATAGAAGAAGACAATGTCGTCACCACCCCTAATCGACCTGTTCCCTCCAGATCTACGACAGAATCAGAAGTCGAAAGCGCCAAGCGTCGTATGAAATGGGTGGCCCAAGTCAGCGAGTATTGGCCGCTATCCAAGCTCTCTGCTCTGACGACACCTGAAATGGACAAATTGCTCGATGGCGAATTCTCCCAGCTCTCCCTCCCGTCCCCCAACACTTCTATTCATTCGCTATCACCGCCAAAGCAAGGAAAAATCTTCCTCGTCGGTTCTGGTCCCGGCCATCCATCACTCCTAACCATCGCAACACATACCGTCCTGACGCGGGTGGCAGATATCGTCCTGTCAGACAAGCTTGTCCCAGACGCTGTTTTGGCGTTGATCCCCAAGCACGTTGAGGTTCGCATCGCCAGGAAATTCCCTGGAAATGCCGAAGCTGCCCAAAATGAAATGATGGAAGCTGCCGTTGAAGCTGCCAGTCGAGGTTTCAATGTCGTCCGAGTGAGTGATCCGCGCTTTTTTGTTGTTTTCCACTCTACATTCGCATGCTGACATGCTGCCTTTTTTCTCAGCTGAAACAGGGAGATCCTGTCGTGTACGGCCGGGCAGGCGAGGAAGTACTCTATTTCCGTTCGCATGGCTTTGAGCCGTTGGTTGTTCCCGGTGTCAGCTCTGCTCTGGCAGGACCTACGTTCGCGGGAATTCCGGTTACCCAGAGGGGTGTGGCGGAATCGTTCATTGTGTGCACTGGCGTGGGGAGGAAGGGGAAGGAGATTCGGCTTCCTGGCTACGAGCGGGGCCGGACACTGCTCATCTTGATGGGTGTAGCTCGATTGGCCCAGGTCGTCCAGTCGCTGACCAGCCCGGAACCAGGTTCTCGTCGGGATGGCTCTGCTTATCCCCTACACACGCCTATCGCAATCATCGAGCGAGCGTCCATGCCGGACCAGCGGGTCGTCAGCTCCACTCTACGTGATATCGTGAAAGCTTTGGAAAGTTCAGGGGAGCAGAGACCTCCTGGGATGATTCTGGTGGGGTGGTCGGTGATTGCGCTGTACGGAAAGGGAGATACTTCTGTTCTTGATGATTGTGGTGAAGAAGAAGATGAGAAGCGAATACAGAGGTGGTTAGGTGGGGACCAGGCTACTGGGTGGCGGGTGCAGACGGGGATCGACGACAAATGGGACCTTTTCTGATGCTTTTTTTTTTCTTTCTCTTGGTTTGGGGTGCAGATGTCGAAATCTAGACACACGACTGTCTTTTTTGTCGCCCACGAAATAGACTCTGGCTATTCTGTTCGTCCTGAAGAACGCGAGTCGGAGTCCCATTGTGTGTGTGTTTAGGTGATGGGAAACCCATGCTTCTTTTTTCGACTCTTATCCATCAAGTTCTGGAGTTTTGAGCGCTCTATCCAAGGTGAGCACACTTCGGAAAAATCCCTTCAAGATAAGCATCTCATAGTATCCCATGGAATGGCAATTAGCCAATGTTGCTACTACGATAGTCAACATGTCTCTGCTGCTAAGGTCCGGCCATCAATCCTTTGCGATACTCCTCCTGGTTCTTCTGGACTTCTCGATAAACTGCCTCCCAATCCTTGCATTCGTACACCCCTCGCTGATTGATCGGGTTCTTGTGCGATGCGTATTGGAACGATTCGAGCTCCAAATCGCCTCTGCAAGTGACCATCTGGCGGATGTAATTCAGACAGTGTCTACCGAGGGCGGTAGGTCCCTCTCCGTTGCTCCGGTCTCGAACCGTCTCCTCTCGGATGATGTCCAGGCATCGGAGCTGATGGAACATGGACACGGTGAAGGGTTGTTTGTGTGGCCCGAGGTGGACGATGCCTCCGTCTTCAGGCACGATTGCCCTCCACTCTGCTATCCCGTCCTCTGCATCAAGGCGGAAGTGCTTTGGATTGTCAAATGTCATTAACACTTTCTTCCTTCGAATTGGCCATGTTTCGGGGTAGTCGGAGCCAACGTAACCTGAGAAAGTGGGTGAAAATTTTCAAGTGAAGGGTGGGTTGGGTGGGTGAGTGGGTAGGATTGGACCGCTTGCAGTATGCGCTACTTACTGTATTCTCTCCGCAGGTGGCCGAAGCGCTTGTGGATCCAGTAGGTGCCTACGCCCTTGATGATGAGCGTTACTGCTAATAAAACTATAGACAGGGATATGAGAGAAAATGAGGGCTTTCGTCGTGAAGACGAGAACATCGTGACGACAGTAGAGTGTAAGACTACGACTAAGGAGCAGAGTACTTATCATACTATGACCTCCGAACCTCCGCACTGACCTGCTTCTTTGATGCTGTTGAATGTTTACTTATAGCATCCCCTCCATCTGACTAAAATCCACTTCAACTCCGCTCCCTGACAAGCATCATCCCAGCTCATGTCGTTCTGAACATACAAACCCTCGCAGAAATCCCGGAAAGCCTTGGAGTTCCCAGCAGAGGGTTTAGACAGGGGCGGTCAGGTGTCCAGATTTGAGGTCGGGAGCTGCTAATCGGTCGCTCTCGTTACGCAACTCTATGACCGTATGTTTCCGCTTTGAGTCCCTTCCCTCGCGATGATAAGTCTGCTTACTTACCCTCGTAGGTTAGAGATCGCAAACAGAGCGAGATCCATGGATCTATGGAGCATGATGGGCACACGGTTCACACTTTAGGTATTATTGGCAGAGTATCTTGATCGACGTCCCCGGGAACGTAACTGACAAAATACGCAAACAGGCAACTCTTCCTTGTCCATGTGTGCACGAGGGTTCTATTCACTGATTTGGTCACTCCGAAGCCAATCTAAAAGGTATAACTAGACGGGAAGAAGACGGGCCTTTGTGTTCTTCCCCACCCCTTGTCACCCACTTTGTGGAGTCACTACCTCGTCTCGAAGAGTGGACAGTAGGTTCGAGTCAAAATGTCAGACGCCGCCCCTCCTGCTGCTCCTCCCGTGGAGAATCCCCTCTACGTATTCGAGCACTCCCTCTATGTCGGCAACTATATGAGTGGCATCCTCTACGGTAAGCATCTGTCATTTACTGCTATACGCAGCGCTTACCTCGAGATCATACCACTTACGAATGTCGTTAACATCTGTCAGGGATCTCTTTGATGATGTATATCGCCACTATGCAGGGGTTGCTGCAGAAGAGCGTCACCCGAACATCTGCAAAGGCCCGACGGTTCTTTGCTATTTATAGCACGATTCTGTTCCTGCTGTTGACGATTGATATCGCGGTGAATGCGATTTGGTCACAGTTGTGCTGGATCGATGGGCGGAACCATCCTGGAGGCGTTTTGGGGTACATTGGCGAGAATATGGCGGTTTGGTATCAGACTATGGGCTCGACCACTGTCGTCGCTATGATCTTCATGGGTGATGCCCTCCTGGTGAGTCTGGTTGCGCGACGCAAAATTGAATGCCTCTGACAACCGAATTCATCCAGCTCTACCGCATGTATGTCATCTGGGGACAGAATATCTACGTTCTCATCCTCCCATGTCTCGCATACCTCTGCGCTTTCGGTGAGTTCATATCAAACAAGCTGCTAGATTTTAGCACCGACATTCTCTCCAGCTTTGGCAATCATTCAATTGGTCACCGCCGCCATGCCAGGCGCCAGCCTTTTCAATGGCAAGTCTATCAACTTCGGTGTCCCTTACTACACAATCACCATCTCCCTCAACGTCGTTATCACCTCCTTGATTTGCTATCGTCTGCGCCGTCTCTCCAAGACCGTCTCTCAAGCACTCGGTAGGGATAACGCAAGGATGTACACCAGCGTTGCCGCGATGCTCGTTGAATCCGCCGCTCCTTACAGCCTCGTCGGCATCATGTTCCTCATTCCCTACGCTCTCGAAAGCCAAACCGCTCTTTCTTTCGGTCAAGTCTGGGCCAAACTTACTGTGGGTTCTTTCCATGTGGCGCCTACTATTCCCGTTACTAACGCATCTTACAGTGCATCTGCCCACAAATGATTGTATTCCGGGTCATCTCCGGCAAAGGCTGGACCAAGGAAACCGTCACCCAGGCCGAAAGCACTGTTGTCTTCAGTGGCAACAGGCCCGGAGCTATGGCCTCGGGTATTGAGCTGCGCTCTCAGCATTACTCTACCCACAACACCACACTCGGGGGAACTGTCAACGAGAAGTGGGACGGTGAGAGGAGCACTAAAAGCTTGAACACCACTGTCTAATTGGGCGGTGGACTGGTTTTCCCCGTCGGTCTGGGTTATGGATTCTTTGTTGGTTTGTTATCGCGTCAGGCGCCTTCACATTGTACTATAGTTTAGTCCTCGTAACATTATTACTAAGTTGCATCGTATCAGTAGGTATCGGCATTGGAATACATCGCTCTCTGCTTCCGAAATCTCAGCCAGTCTCAGCCCCGTGGATATCGACTTTACCTCGGGCCCTCACAGTGGTCTTCGTCCGGAAGCGGACTCCGACTCGGTACCCTGGCAGCACGAGGCACGGACTCGCCTTGAACCTTAAAGGGAGAGCCTGGAGGGAGTCGAGGATACGCTTTCCGTGGATTTCTTCTAACTAAACTCTATTAAAGAGTCCCTGACTTCTCCTCGACCAGAATAACCTTCCTGATAAGGTGGGCAGTGGTAACAGTGATGACGGGAATGGACTCATCCATTCGATTTCTGTCAGGCGTTGGTTCACAATGACATTCAGAATATCTCAAGCTACTCGTGCAGACTTAACGCGCTCGCAAGAGAGCCGTAAGGAATGAGGTTCTGACTTGCACCGTTGCACGGTCTGGAGTCTGGTCACGCCTTTGTGTGAAGGGTTTCGGTGACTCTCAGTGCTTCAACCACGGCAAGTTGTACCAACACTCGTTGACGGGTTGCGAATAACGCGGATTTTAGATGGGAAAGGTAACGGCCCCGCGTTTAACTGCTAGGTCCCATCACCGTCGACTAAACCACGCTTGCAGTGAATTTTCTCGCAGCCGTGGGCAGCGAGGCGCTCGGGTACGATGCTCTTTTGCCATCGTTCGTCTCGTAGCGGCATCTTTGCCATCGGGTCCTTTTCGCAAGGCATTCAGAGCGCATATGTGGGAAGCATCCAGCGTTTCTCTCATCCTATGCAGCGAGGCGAAGCGAGAATGTCGAGTCAGGGACCTTGTATCCACTCATCTCCGACTGCTTTCAGCGATTAATCCACGCATTGGTTGCCGAAAGAAAAGCAATATAAAGGAGTAGGTCAGTGGACGGCATATCAATAGTACTCCTGACAGTATGCACTTCTACGGACGGCTAGCCCTTGGGTTTGTGTTCGCCGTGGCTTTAGCCTCCACCTCTGTGTTCGGGGTTCCAGTCGAGTCGTCGACGACAATTACGCCACCGTCACCCACTCGTACGTTTGTCGACTCCGACATATTCACCATAGCGCTTACAATGATACAATGTCGTGACAGCTACCCAGCGAACGGATAATACTTGGCTCAAAATACCGGAAGGTGAACCGTATGAAGATGGAGAGGATGAACCATAAGAAAATGAGATAGAGATCCCAGAGGAATGTCCTCGCTCAAGGTAAGCAGCCCCATCAGCCCTCCGAATAGACATCCGGATTGATTGAATACTCCCGTTCGTCACAGGGACCCAACGAAGGAGTCCCCTCTCGTTAATCAGAGTGGAACTGATAGTAGCTTTCGATGATGATATGCTCTATATTAGCTGCGCGACTATTTTTATCCACGCCGTGGATATCCCGTCTAATCTTAAAAAAAGCCTTCGCCTTCCCGCATTCAATGCAACCCGTGAACTTGAATCTCGTTTCATGATGCGTGTGACATGAGAAATGGCATACTAGGCTCTGGATGTTGATACCATTCTCACCACTTTTCTCTCTTCAAGGAATGTGAACCTGTTCCGAGCCAACTCACATCGACACGGGAATTCATGCTGGACCAACATCGGCGATCCAGACGCAGACATGCCCAAGTGACGCTGCCGACTATCACACATAAACGGTTGAATGTGACACGACCATGTATCCCACCTCTTGGAATAGTGGGCAATGGGAAAACTGTCAAGCACCCTTCGCTACCGCTGTTTGAACGGGACCTCGGTATCTCCTCTCATTGTCCTTTCAGTATAAAGGGAGGCATGGTGGTGCCAAAGTTGCATCCCACAAAGAGTAATGGTCGCCCTAAGGTTACTGCCCCTGTTCTTCATGAACCAAATTTTCTTTGCCCTAGGGCTGCCGTCCACGATAACCAGTGCTGAACCAACAACCGTTACTACACTTCCTCCGCCTAATATTACCAGTGAGTTAGTGTCTCTGTCAAACGATTAACCAATGTTAACAAATTCTTCTCACAATATTATAGCAACAAGGCGTTATGATGTTAATTGGCTTCGCGTACCAGGTCTTCCAGATGACGGATAGACGCTGACACTTCAAAAGCTGTAACGGTCTTCCAGAGGCGTCGATACTTAAATATTTTATAATCAGTGAAACCGTCCAAACATAGTTTCCGGATTGCAAAGTAGGATCTCGAAGTGGGAGCTTGACTCTCATTGAATCTCGTCTCAAGCGGCGTCGAATTCTTTGGCATGTACGTGTGATATCACAGTCGCTGCGCTTCGAATGCTTCCAGGTAACCAGCGGGCCACGGTGCAGGGCGCTTAACTCACACGAGATTCAACTCTTGAGAAAGGATCAGTGCAAGCAAAGACCTACTTCACAACCCACTTTATGACCGAGAATGTTATTTCAACTCACGGTTATCGATTACTAGTAGCCCAAAGACGCCATTTCCGTGCGTTTTAGAACGCTTTTCATCGCGACACTGGCTAGTGCCCCTCCATGCTGATCATGACGGGCGCCTAAGTATAGTTGACTGCGAGGATCCCAAGTTAGGCGCGCAAACAACCTTCAAGAGAGAACTTAAATATCGTAAGGAGAGAATAGGTCATGCATCCCATGAACCTGTGCCCAGAATTACAGCCCCTTCGTGATTCTGAGAACTAGACCAAGTGCAGATCAATGGCAGTCTCCGAGTCATCGACTCCACCCATTGCAGTGATGTCTCCAGTAAAAATGATCTGATTATATGCTTCGTCTCCGAGAAACACTAGTCGTATGATTCCCCTCTCGAACCGAGGAGACATCGGTAATGGACCTATTTCCCAGTTCAGCCTCCAAGTCACCCCGCGTCGTCCTCCCTTCTCCGTCGAGAACATACGAGGCCGAAAAGGCCATTGGCCGGGAGAGCATCACCTCAACCGAAACGTCTTGATGCGTTACCCATGTTTTGCCCGTCAAAACTCGGTAGACAACGAACTGTGGACAAAGTGCCTAGAAAAAGAGTAGATAAGTCATAAGCATTCCGAATTCTCAAAAGTTCAAACCAATAAATCCCGAACTTGAACGTACAGAAAGAACACTCCACAGTGCATGTGGTGCATATCCCACCGGTTGCAGGGTCTCCGAGACTGTAAAGTTTCCCAATAACGCACAGACCAGGATCCCCGTTATAGAGAGCGGAAGAGCGGATTCGACGAGGACGGCTGAGATAGCAGTGTACTGTCTGCTACAGGGTGACTTCAAGGAGAACTTTCGCAGGGTCCACCGCATGTACCACAAGCGGCCAAGGATCAGGAGGGTGCTCAAGACATTGGAGGCCACGGCCAATGTTACAACTCCAATAATGGAGTTACGTTGGAGAAACCTTTTCTCGAACCCTTCCACCGCGACGGAAAGGACGTAAAAAGCTGAAAGGCTTGTGAGAACGGGGATATAGAGGGTGGTTTGGAGTTTGTCACCTATTGAGCCCACGTAGGGAAACCCAGGAAGCAGCGCAAGCCAGAGTCGGTGCTTGTACACTGGGATGCAGCATCCATAAAGCTAACAGAAATTAATCCAACACGACGGGCCAACATCAGCAGTCACATGTAGGAATCACTCACCAGAAGTCCTTCACCAACGAGTGTGTGCAGACTTTTGAAAACGGGGACTACTTTGTCTGACTTGATGACGCGGTTCTCCCAGGGAACGTGTACCCAATCTCGTCCAGAACTTGCCAGTAAAATTCCGTGATAAACGCTGTCCGCAATGACCGAAACGGAAAGGAGGCAGAGGACAACAAAGATGAAGAAGACGAAAGGCCGCTTGCTTTTACGGTCCGCCTCTGAGAGCTTCAAGTTGCAAGGGGGGCTCGGGTGACAAGTCCAGGTGGCAGAACTTCCTGCGTTTCACAGTGCAGAGAGAACAGTGATTGGGCGGTGAGCGAGCGTCTGGTGGTGTTGAAACCATTGAAAGTTGAAACAGCGATCTAACATTGAAAAAGGTGGGCTCGGGGGTCATAGTTTCATGATTCAATAGGCTCTGGCTCTAACCCACTTCACCCTAGGAACTCCGAGTCGGGTATCTCGCAACGATGGGATCCTGTTGGACCTCTTGGAGAGCTAATTCTCCCTGTGCGTCCGTGTCTACAGCAATCGGGCTGCCACTGCATGCAATGCGAGCCTTGATGGGATCCGTGAAGTCAGGACTGTGTGTACGCAAACGGTGGTGAGCACCCGTTTTCCATCATTATTGCACAACACTTCCAGGGCAAGCGGCGCTCGTGTGCACACAGCGGTCGTCTCGGGCGCCGGTCGAAATCTCTTCGTGTTAAGTATAGCTTGTAAAATACTCTCCGTATCCTCACCATTGTCCTCGTTGTTTGCACCCTTCTCGGTGTATACCCCTGTCAATGATTCAGAGACCCTCCGATCCTGTGAAATCGGATCGAATCTTCATCGCCTCGGCTTATGCTGCGGTGAACATCGAGATGTTTGGGCTTGGTGAGTTTCTGCTTTGTGTGTGTGACCTTGTTTCGTTGTTGAATATTCTGGATTCTAGGCTTGTCTGTATTCCCCTCCTTCCATACGCTGAACGCGTATACGTGTTTTGATCTAAACCACTTGCAAGTTACTCCCATTTACTCCCATTTCCAATCCAATCCAATCCAGCTGTGATAAAAGTATCTGCAACGCGAAGCAGATCAGACACAACCATATTCAAAGCCTTAAACTTGAGGTTGGGGACGTACGCGCATTACGAAACTTACCATCCACTCAAGAACACAGCATATACCATACCGTCTTCTACAAAACACGTACATATAGTACTACGACAGTCCTCCAAATAATACCTATACAGTCGAATGCCAAATGATAAGTAATGCTACTGATGTCAGGTGCAGTACAAAGAAAACAGTCCACAATGATGATGATGATACTGGATACTGAGGATGATGATAATGATAATGACAATGCGAAAGCAATTGCAAGAGAAGCAAACAAAAGAGCCAAAGCCAGTCGACAGTGCAACAACAAGGGGATCTTGAAAGCAGGAGCAAATAATGTAACTTGAAAAAAAGGCGGTCTAAATGCAGATAGAATCTTGGAATAGCGGAAACAGCGAGAGGAAGAAGAAAAACGAGGTGCAGGAACTGGCCGACGTCAAAGGTCCGAACGAGGAAGGGGTCAAAGAAGGTCAAAAGAAAATAACCCAGTAGAGCCACTGGCAGCAAGAAGCCGCTCCCTCTCCCAGCTACTACGGAGGCCCATACACAAAATCATCAATCCCCAGTTTCGAAAACGACTGATCAACAGGAACAGGCACAGGCACAGGCCCAAAAACAGATTTGCGTTGCTCAATCTTCTGAACAGCAATCCTCAGCTTGACATTGAGCATCTCCTGATTTCTCGCAGCCACCTCATCCCCCGCACGTCGTTTCAATTCTACAGTAAAACATAACCGACATAGAGTCAGATGCATGACAAAGTAAGCACAAGAACAAAAAAAAGGCACGCACCTAGCATCCTCTCGCCAATCCACAGCCTCAACGGCGCATTCCCAACACCATCTCCCGTCTTTCCCGGGTTCGACCTTTGTGTGGGCGTACCACCATTCTTCTCCACTGTCGAAGACCGTGGTTGAGCACCAAGCCCAGCTGCAAGTTGCTCAGCAGTAGCAAGCATCGCCTCAGCATGCTCCATCGAAGTCGTCAAATACTGCGAAGCAATCAAAGCAAGAATCAACGCTCGAAGGTGGTTGTCATTGGACGAAGACACAATCTTCAACGCGTCTTTGAGGTGTTGTCTGAAACACGGGTGTCAGCGAAAACAAAATACTTCTCCAGCTTCGAACGATATGACACGAGAATGTAAACGCACTTGGCTTTCAAAAACTCGCTGGTCAAACAAGCTTCGAGGACACAAGAAATAGCACCCAAAGCACCTCCAAGCCCCGCACACGCCCTAATAACATCATCCGCCATATGCCGAAGCGCCACCTCCTGCTGCTTGAAATAAACTTCGCGAGCAGAGTCAACAGCTTCACCATACGCGATGATGGCAGCCATTTCCGATCGAAGCAGCCCAATGCGGACCCACAGCTCACCAGCAGACGCCGCCGCATGAGTCCACTGGTCCTCCACACCCTCATCCTCGTCATTCGCTCTCAACGGCCGGCTAGGATCGCGTTTCCGCGAGAGGTAAGCTGCAACCTGGTAGCACTGGAGCGCACGCTCCGGATGGCCGAGGGCATGCGAGAGTTGAGCCTGAAGCAGCGTGATTCGCGCAGAATAGTAGTTGAACAACTGTTCGTTTCGTGTGTGGGCGATGAGCTCGGACATGGTCTGAGGAACAATTACGGCGCGTCAGGGATGGTTAGTATGCGAAGTGGAATGAAAAGAGGGGCAAAACAAACCTTTTCTGCCTCTCCAAATTCACTTCTCATAATACAGACACCAATGATCTCGCACATGAGGTCGGCTTTCAATTTCTGCAGGCGGCTGCGGTGTTCGTAAAAGTCGGCTTCAGAGGCCCATAACGGGACTACATGAGAAACGGGGTGAGAACAGGAAGAGATCAGCGTAGGCAGAGAGAGGCAACATACACGATGGCTCCTTCTTCAACTCCCTCTCTACCACAACGAGACCCTCGGCCGCAAAGACCTTCCGCTTAGGTTTCCGTCCCACAGGATCGCGCTTCGCAATAGCAGTGACCAGAAACGCCGTAGTGAACAAAATACGCGGGTGCGCCGTTCGCACATACAACGGATGCGAGCCCGGAAACCACACTTCTAATATCCCATGCGGCCCAAACGCACTCAACGCATTCCCATCCAACATCTCGTGCAAAACCTTGGTCCGCGCCTCCGTCGAAGCCGCATCGCCGATATGCGTGTAATACACCGCGCCCATCACCAGCGTGTACACCAAAAATGCCGTCTCGTTCTTCGACCGCGGGGCGTGCGCAAACGTCGCGGCGGCCTCGGTCATCGTCTTGTCGTCCGGGAACGAAAGCAGCTGCTGCGCGTGCCCCAGCGCGTCTTGCACCATATCCATCGAGCCCATTTGGAGGAGCGCGTGGACACGAAGTGCAGCTGCCAGTTTGACTATATCCGCGTGCCCGCGCGAGGTACCGAGGGTATGCAAATCCTGTATAGCGCCTAGGGATTTCGCGGTGGGTAGCAGGACCCCGCCCGCATCCGGCACGCTCAGGCTGGATATGTACCCCAAATGGCTCATATAGACCAGGTGCGGGGCGTCCTGCGGTGACAGAAACGACGTGATCTGCCGCCGCAGGGTGTTTTGTGCAAACTTGAAGTTGAGCTGGTGCTGCGCTAGCCGGGCGGAGAGCAGCGTCAGGTGGACCCTGTAGGGTCGTAAAGCCGGATGCTACTAGAGTTTTCAATACTGATTTTTCTTCTTCACAGGATGAGAGAGAGAGAGGCTGTTAGACGTACATGTTGGGCTATCAGAAGCTATAAGTAGTATAAATAAGAGTCAGAACAGACATAATTCGACCAGGAAGAATAAGCACACACTCACCGCTTTGGTAATTGCTTTCTCGACTTCATGCTCTATACCCTCGACTCCAAGCCCCATCCTAATCCCAGCCTCCGCCAGGCTAGTCCATATCTTGCACTCAACGTCGGCGTCCAGGTTCTGCAGCATCAAGCACCGGTGAAACGCGAGCCTCGACAAGTACAGCGATTTGTGGTAGAACTTGTGATTGGGCGGGTGAAGAAGCAAATTCGGCAGCGACAATAGCAGCACTTGGAGAGGTAACACGGGTTCTGGAGACCTCTGTCGCTTCATAGGTCTCGCTGCGTCGTTGTGGTCCGTAGTAGGTCTTGCACCGTCGTGGTTTGGCACAGGCCGTGCAGCATCGTGGTCGACGTCCATAACATCCGTCGTCGACATGATTCTAACGGTAGGTGCGTCGCGTTATTCGTCGTCCTCGTCGTCCCTGTCTATGTCGTCGTGGTCGGTCCAAGTGTTGCAACAAGAGGAAAAAAGCCCCCGTCCTCCGTCTCCGACGCCAATTTGGCCGCGGTGACACGGGTGTGACGCGAAAAGCGTGACTGGCGTCACGCGGGTTGTCACGCGTCGCGTCCATTTAATTTGACGTTGTCACAGCGCTGAGCGCGCAGTTTTTCATCAAGTAGGAGTTCGAGGTTCGAGTCCCTCCCAGCTGTAAAGCCATATGGCGTACTTACAATACTACGACTACCCGAGATGAGAGATAGCGTACAATTACCAAGCTTCGCTCCCCATACCACACGCCACCCATGAATTTCAAGTTGGTCAGATCAGATGTGTGTCGATATCCCCAAAACCGCAAGCTCTTCCCGATCTAGCTGCCGTAAGAAGTCTTCCATCCCTGTTCCAAAATAAAATTAAAAAAGGGTAAGTTCATCGTGTACATGCGACGAGAAGTGATATCGAATTAACATGTGGTTGGGCAGACTTACCGGGGTCTTCCATGAAAGTCTTCCCTTTCTCGACGGAACCAACAGTACTGTCAGAGCTCCTCGGGTTTCGTATTTCATCAATATACCGCCACAAAAGGTCTTCCAGGCGCGCCTTGACCCTATCATGTAGTTCCTCCATCCTCTTATCCTCTGCATCCCCCGATGCTGTGGTAGGTACAAGAAAGGTCCACCCCGGATAAATTTTGCCATGCGATCCTCGCGTGGAGACCGAATCGAACCCAGCATCGGCGAGATGTTCAAAGTAAACGCTGCACGGGACACATGAGAGTTTCGAAACTCCGATGTAAGGTAGGATGGCGATGCCAGCAGTTTGGACGCGACGCAGGAGGAAGACCTCGCAATGAACGCTCCTGCGCGGATTGAGATACCTATCCCGTTCCTTCTCTAGATCACCTTTCAATCGCTTGACGGTCTTGCGATCCACCGTCGGGTCCTCTCGCGACGAAGAGTCGAACTTGCCTCGGAGGTACGCAACGGTTTCTAGAAGGATCGCGTCATTGCATTCGATTTCCTGCCTCTTGGAGTCGGACCAGTCCTGATGGTACACCTCGATGTCCAAATCCCCGAACAGAACTCCCCGGAAGCGGGCGGACGTGGCCAGTGACAAGAGTTTTCGGGCTGATAAGTGGAAGGAGCATAGCTTGTTGATCCAACGAATGATAGGGATGAAGTTGTCTTTCGCTATTGAACAGACAGCATCGTTGAGTAAGAGACACCAGTGGGATAACATGCTCACTCACATTTCAGGTACACCTCGAAATGATAGTACGTCTGGAACAGGCCGCTAGGCGCCAAATCTCCTTCATGGAGGAGCTCTGTAAACCTATCGATCTCTCGACCGACCGCGGGAACGACTACCCGAGTCCAATCGGACAAGCGGAAAAGGAGGCCTAGGCGCTCCAACCATAAAAGCGTGGCGTCCAGGTGCTCGAGATCCTTCGGCTCACAAGTCCCGGCGTGTTCGACCTTGAACCGGTTGAATAAGAGCATTGCTTGCTTTAAGCGTGGTTCCCTCTTGTTGTAGTAATGCCGAAACCTCTCCCGGCCGTAGGCGTAGAACGAGCGGACGAAAGAACAAGGTTCATGGATGAACTCTGGGGACGAGGACTGAGATTCCATTATGCCATCGGAATACTTTTTCAGATCCTTTATGATCGTCCGTACACGGGTTTCGATCTGCTCCGCGGTCGGTAGTCCAATTCCGGGGTTAAGGGCAATGTACAGAGTGGTGTGGATGCTGGCTGACGACCCAGGGAGGGGGGGTGCCAACGAGGCCGCAACAGCGGACACCTGCTTTGGTTCGGTCAGGATCGCTTTCGCGAGAACATCAAGCACACCATAGAAACGGGTTCGAAAGTGTCGTTTGTCCTCGTCGGTGGCGGGCAACGAGGCAGGGAGTCCGTACGCGAGCGCACTGGGGTTGTCGTTACGTCGTGGATAATCAGTGCTATCCGGCGTTTTGGTCGAAAGGAGGCTGAGAACGAGGTCGAGGGGTGGTCGTTTACTTTCAACCCGCGAAGTCATGGTGGTGAGGACGCAAGATTAGTATCAGATTGCCCTGCCCTGCAAGGTCTCATGAGGTGTGTCACGAATTCGGATCGCGTCTTTTTTATATTTGTAAGATCTATTTTATCTATTTATTATTTTTCATTTTACTTTGCCTGGAGTCTGGACATTATGGAAGGCTTGGCGCGGAGAGACAACATCTTTGACCCTTTCCACGCCAGATGTTTCACAGGTATGACTGTTTCCGGTGCACAAGTGTAAAGACAATGGCTACCGTTGCTCCTCGCAATTCATCTCGGTAGTGACGAGGATCGATGAGCCGGTTGTGAATGTCGTACGCAGGGATGGGATTGACAATGTCTGGTACCCAAAGTGACGTTAATAACGCCTCGGCATGCAGTGCGCGAACCTTGGAATGAGTGCCAGGTTACCGCCGGATACTGTAACCGATTTTTTTTGACAATTTGAGGATCTTTAGAAAACGAGCCTGATTTTCACTATTCAACCAAGTGTGAGTGTTTGACACATAGAGGGGCCTTGAAAACTGGATAGAACTATTCTTCCAACTTTTTTACATACCCGACACTAGCTGTTTTGACAGAATAAGATGGATGACTGGGTGAAACGGTGCGGAGCCATGGCCCCTTGCTGTAAGTATAGGTTAGGGGCGACGGCTGTGCTGAGCGCTGAGCTGTTGGAAGACACTTCTCTAAGCGCCTTAAAGTACTCAGAAAAGTGGATACTAAGCAGGTAGTCTCACAGAGGACAAGGCGTCTCCCAACTTCCAAGGAGGAATGAATGTCATGAAAAATGGATGCGCTCAGGAATGGGGTATCAGAAGAACGGGCGAGGAAGGCAGGACCGAGAAATCGACATCATTTGCATACTGCTATTAGGACAACAAGAAGAGTATAATCTACTAAAAGGACAGAGTCAGTACCAATATTGATGGATGAATGAATGAATGGTAGAAAAAGTTCAGAGACTTGAATGGTTCCCGAAGGAAGACCAGCCCATCGTCGTGAGACGTCGCAAAGTTTGCAGAAGTTTTGCATCACAGGACAAATATGAAGACTGTACTCACCAATTGTACGTCGTTAGCGGCGGCTACAACGACGACGAGCAAACAAAAACTCAAGCTCTGGCGACGAAATGACGATGACGCGCCGAATCACATGATGGTGACTAAGCCTGCCCTAAAGTCAGCCACTTGATGGACTGTATAGTCCAAGGCCTGACATTCCCACACACGGGCAGGACGGAGATCACCATTAGCTCACGGTGAGTAACGCAGTCCACAGCGCCGGCAACGTTGGTCTCAACGTCCTCCAAAAGATGCAGATCTTCGTCAAGACCCTAACAGGGAAGACCATCACCCTCGAGGTCGAGTCTTCCGACACCATTGACAATGTCAAGGCCAAAATCCAGGACAAGGAAGGGTGCGCATTGCTTTTTACCCATTTCTCAATCGCTGGGGACGATGAATGGTGGATGTTGACCAATGGGCTTTTAGAATTCCTCCTGACCAGCAACGACTCATCTTCGCCGGCAAGCAGCTCGAGGATGGTCGCACCTTGAGCGACTACAACATCCAGAAGGAGTCTACCCTCCACTTGGTCCTCCGGTACGTCCCTTTCGCTTCCCATCGCTTATACTCGTGGCGCTGAGCTGCGTGTAGTCTCCGTGGCGGTATTATCGAACCCTCGCTCAAGGTCTTGGCCTCGAAATACAACTGCGACAAGCAGATCTGCCGAAAATGCTACGCCCGCCTCCCACCCCGTGCCACCAACTGCAGGAAGCGATCTTGCGGTCACTCGTCACAACTCCGCCCGTGAGTCCCCCCTTGTTCTCTCTCGCTTACCGACCCGTCCGATTGACTTGTATGTGTTTTGTTTATTCCAGTAAGAAGAAGCTCAAGTAGTGGTTTTCTGTGTTGCGAGTTGTTGTATTGGAGGAGCGATTCGTCGGCATTTCATTGTAACACTATTGTGTCTATCGCTGTACACGCCAACCATTATAACATGCCGTTTTTTTTCTCCGCGAGATTTCATTCACAGCCCTGTTCTGAGTTGTAGACACCCACCGGGCCCTTGTCTTCTCCTTTCTGGTCATTAAATCACTAACCACTGACTGGCAGGACCCACCACCATCAGCAGCAGCAGCATCATCATCCTCGACAAGAACACGCGATTAGGCGTTACGGCAGTACCTTACTCCATACCGTGTCACAGTTGTTTGACCCATTTTTCGAGTCACCGTCAAATAGACATGCTCCGCCCACCGCCCAATCTATTCTTAACTTCTTCCTGTAACCATGCCTTCCAAGAAATCGAAACCCAAGGCGCTCAAGGCCTCCAACCAGGATGCGCACTTTCAGCTCGTGCTCGAGGCGGCGCAGAGGGTCGTTCAGGTCCTCACCTCGCATAATCTGCCGTGTGCCGTGTTTGGGAGTTTGGCCAGTCGGTTGTATGGAGCTTCTAGATGTCCCAAGGTGTGTGTTGTTTCAATTGCTCGCTCCACACCCTAAACTGATTGTACTGTATGTAGGACGTAGACCTCCTCGTTTCCCAACCCGCTTCTTCTTCTTCCGAGGACTCCCAACAGCTCCTAACGCCCCAACAACTCAAAACCCTCATCCTCGACACAGACCCGCAACACTTCTTCCTCACCCTCCCGCGGGACCCCACAGCGCCCTACCGAATCCTCCACTACCGCAAATGGTACATGGGTCCCGAATGCAAAGTGGACATCCTCGTCCCGGGGATCATGCACCTCCCCTCCATACCCCCTTCGTACACCACACTCGTCGAGGGTGTACCCCTTGTCCCGTTTGAGCTGTTGTTGTTGCACAAGTTGCAGGGGTGGGATGATCATAGGCGGATGGTGGACGAGCCGCATAAGATGAGGAAGCAGTATCAGGATGCGGCGGATGTGAGGCGGTTGATGGGGATGCAGGAGGTTATGAGGGGGTTGTTTGTGAAGGGGAAGGGGAGGACGAGGGGGGCGAGCGCCTCCACCTCTACCGCTGCCACCTCCACCGCTGCCACCAAGTCAACCACCGCTGCCACCACCACCCCCGCCGCCCAGGACGACGAAGACCCACCACCCCTCTGGTGGCGCAACCCCGCCCTCTTCTCACCCGAGTTCCAAGAGCTCACGGAGAGACGGGTGCAGGACTACTGCCTCGCCTTCCCTGAGCGCGCGAGAAGGTGGAGGGCGCTCGGGTTCGACGTGCCTGAGCCTGATGCGTTGGCTAAGGTTAGGGAGAAGGCGAAGGCTAAGGGGAAGGGCAAGGGCAAGGGCAAAGCTGGGGACAAGGGTCAAGGCAAAGGCAATGGGGAAGGGGAAGGTGGGGAGCGAAATGGGGGTGGAGGAGGTGAGGACGACGACGACGATGATGACGACGACGACGCGGGAGGCGATGAAAAGCCCCACCTCGACCTCGACGCGGACGACGACGACGACCAACCCCAGGACGACACCTTCCAACCACGCGCTCTGAGAGCTCCGAATCGACACCCGAGTCGACATCGACGCCTGCGCTCAGATCCTATAATCCACAACTCCAATAATTTCGACGACGAGCCCGAACCCACTGCTACTAGCACCACGGGTATCACCAGTAGCGGTAGTAGGACTACTGGCGACTCGGACGGTGTAGGGGAGCTGGACTTGGAGCCTGTAAAGTTTGCGGGGCTGTCTGCGTCGCCGTTGGCTCATGTTCGTGTTGATAATGTGTTTGGCGATGAGTAGGAGCGTGGGGTCTTTTTTTTTCGTCGTAGAGTATTTTTTCGTAGCCTTGGTCATGGGTCGCCATCTCGATGTTCTTTCTATTCTTTATTCACCGAGTTCTTAATTGGTACTAGTAGTACATTCTATGGACATCCTTTCCTTGCTAGACAATAGACAGTTTTTTTCTTCCTCTTCTGCGCTCTCTTGACGAGTCTGCTGCAGATCCACGGAACATGTACAGACCTCGTTAATCGTTCACCACTGATGCCTTGCAACACGCGGATTCCTTCCAACACACTGATTCCTCACAACACACTGATTCCTTCCAACACACCAATCCCTTCCACCACGCCAATCCCTTCCACCACGCCAATTCCGTACCACGGCACCGACCTCCCCGGACGATCATCGATGCATCGAGCAGGTACCACACACGGCGTATACACAGTGTGCACGCCGGGCGACATTCAACTCAGATCTCAGCGCTCAAATCTCAGCATTGGTGGGCTCTTCGAGTTCCAAGTTCGACTTCTGATACTTATGAGTCGATGGCAGTTCACGGGTAACTCGCGGCTCAGGGCTTTAGGGTTCGTGGGGGTCTACACCTTCAAAGGCCTAGGGTTTCGTGGGGCTCTCCTCCCTCACCACCCTCCAAAGGGTTTCTTTCGTGAGTTCTCCTTGGACGTCCCACTCAGCACCGCGCACCGGTAGTGGGCGCTTCAACGTTACTTTGTTTGGCGGTGTGTGGGGTCCAAGCCTTCAAGGGAAGTACTTGTCTGTGTGTGTCTACTTAAAGAATGTATGTATGCGTATGGTGGGGTGTTCGTCCTGCCCCGAGTCGAAGGGATCCACAAGTCCTGGTTGTGTTCTTAACCTTGCGGCAGCTGGAGGCACACGATTTAGAGGCCACGCCATAGAGTAGTACATGTACAATGAAATACGAAGGGAGGGAGTATGAATCCATCAGAGTCTTTGGCGTGACGAATGAACGCCTTTCCTTTCCTTTCCTTTCCTTCGACGCGGAGGGACATCTATCTCTATTTGTCTGGACACGCCTCGCGCCGACCGCCGTCAATGACCGGTGACCATTAACGACAACTCACCTGGACCTGCCCACCCTAGATCTAGAGCTGCTCATAACCATGGCCAGTGACCGGTCACCCTTCAAAAATCGAATAAACCTATGCACCCAACCCCTTCCGTACGTACTCAAGCCTCTCGACCATTCGGACTCCCAAGCGCCCATTATTGACAGGCGAGGCCCAAAACGCACCGCCCTCTTTCCATAAGGGGATATGTCATGCTATCATCATCAAAACCCGACGTTCAACCGACGATGTTCTGCCAGCCTGAGTGAGGTAGTGGAGGCGGCGCAGCCTGAGAGTATCAACTGTGATTCGTGACCGTCGCTCCTCACCGCCCTCAGGCTCTACCGTGGTCCGGTACGTGAGATGGGAGAGAGAGCTGGGATGATCATGAATTTCCATGTGGCCTAGTTGGTGCGTGGGGACCCTTGTATAAGGTAAGTAGAGATCTTCCCCTCCAGGTCGATTCGTACATTACACACGAAGGACAGGAGATCTCCCCTTCTCCCACCTCAGCCACGGTCACTACAGCACGGCAAACTTCGAGACCCAGATGGTAGACGATGCCCCTCAGCCCGTTATGCTTCAACAACACCTGATGCAGACGCGGAGCTGAGATTCGAGTGGAGAGAACGAAAGAAACTGAGAGACACCAAGAAGCAGAAAGAGAAGCAGCGGCAACCCGCACCTACTAGTATGAAGAACATGACGCGGGGTCTGAGTACACAATGGCCGCAATGTCAAACTTGAAGAAAACTTGGAAGTCAAGCGCCCGTCAACCCGAGCCTACTTCTCAGTTCAGAGTTGACAAGTTGACACCGCTTCCCGAGAGCACCGCCCTCTTGCCGAAAGGAGTAAAAAGCCGACGTGAACGTGAGCGACGTTTTCTGTGGGCGCAGTGCCAGTCGGAAGTAGTGATTTTGATGTTGATCGTCGTCGTCGTCGTCGTCGTGTGAGGCACCACTGCCTCGTCCTCTATAAGGTTCTGGCTGCAGAGCTTTGCGGGGAAGATGGACCCGGAGAAGTGGGCTGAGCCTGGGGGGGATGTCAGAAGTCGTAGGCAATATGTATCGCATTCGGTACGGAACCTAGTAGGTGAAAAGGCTCGTGGGCGAGTACCGGCCAGAGGTGTGCTGTGCGGGTCCCAAGCAGTACTGTATGTACTAGCATGGCGGAGAATCGTGTGGTCAGCGCGAATGGTGCAGGTGAGCTGCTGCTGCCGAAGCCAGCCGATCTTCCTCGAGTGATTATCAACACAATATCCTGCTTAACGACGCAGATTCCTGTTAGTGAGAGCAGAGAAACCCAAAGGCCACCATTACATACTACGTCGGCGCGATAAAGGACATCTCCTTCCGCTAGTCACCAGAGCCAACGGAAGACCAGACAAGGAAGGTTGGCATGACCATGACCGCCCAAGCCCTCCAGAAGTTGAAAAGTACCATTCAAAGGAGCTGAGGGCAGTAAAGTCCAGCAAGACTTCCTTCATAATGAAACGCTTCTGGTCACGAGAAAGAGGAAGAGACGCATAGCCAGCCGACACCCGGCGTAAGAAGCTGAAACAGCGTTTGCCCACCCCGTTGTCCTTTCTTCAGGAAAGGGAAAGGAAACGGAAGAGACCCAATCTCGCGATCCAGGCGAGTCACAGCGGATGGCCCTGCTGTACCATTGGGATTTGGCACTGGTACGCTGCCGGGCAATCGAATCTGGAATCGCGATCAGCCACCCACCTCCAGAAGAACTTGTTACCTTCTGGTGTTCCACTGTCAAGGTCTAACCCCTTCGAACATGCACATTCGAACATGCACAGGCCATGGCTGCGTGATAGAACTTCCAAGTTGAAGCACCAGTACGAGATCCAGTCGGCTGACAGCCATGGTGACTGCCCTCAGGCTCCCACAACAGCGCAGCAGTGCATCGCTCATCGGTGTAGTATACCCAACGACGACGTATAAGTACCACCAGATGGAACTTGGACCCAAACGCAGAAAACAAGAACAAAGAACGACGACACCTCCAAGCACAGACGCACACGCGCTCACGCACTGCAACTCGTCAATGACGTAGTGTAGTCCAATGACGCGTTTGTTGATAAGTAGAAGCCCGAGTGATCCCGGACACACGAGCGCCCCCTTGCACCGCCCGCCCAAACAAAGTGGCCACGCCCTCGAGGGGCATTAAACGCCGACGTCGAGGACGGAGGTAAGTCATTGATCGTCGGTGACTCACCGCCCCCCGACACCAAAGGGGCAACTACGCAGGTTAAGGTTAAAGCTTCTGTGTTTAGAAATGTGTACCGCAACACAGCGTTTGAGACCTAGGTAAGGCAATCAGTCCGGAGGAACAGGATGAGGAAGAACATGCATGCGTGAATGGGCATTGGGCGGTCTTTTGTCAGGTGGCTGTTGTGTTGTAGCAGCGATTCAATTTACCGAGGCTGTTATGTCCCACTTTGTCCTGAGGTAAGGACACCATTGGGTCTACCTGCCTTGGTGGGAAGTGCGAGCGGCCGGGATTTTGGTGGTCTCGATCGTGATTAGATATTGGTAGCTGTAGAAGGTTAGTACGAGCACCGACAATGAACGAGAAAAAGCAGCGATAGAGGTCTGGCTGAAAATTGTCGCTGGGAAAGTTCACGTTCTTGACGAAGGAAGGGATACTAATGAAATGTTTGTCAAGACTAGAATAAAGTATAAGGCTCAGCTTGACACATCCACGAGTCGCTCGGTTATATTCACGAGGCCGCAAACGGAAGAACGCCCAGGCCCTCCGGTCCGTGGTGTCGAGGCCCTGACGAAATTCATGTGGAGCAAGTTCACGGTGGGCACCGTGCGCGCAGCGTTGTTGCAACCGCTAGTGGTATTGAATGGCATATCCCGTTGTTTGAATGTTTTGGGTAATGGTGTCTATTAGAACGAGAGACAATTGTACGTTAGGCATTTGAATAGTGTAACGCCTCGAGGCTACCAGGAAGCGTCCTCTCTATTGAATAGGCAATGTCAGTTGCGAATTTACCAACCAGGGTATATATTCGTACCTCAACTATCCAGAGCTTGTCTTTGTAGAAGGGGTTTTATGAAGTGTAGAGTTCCTCCTTGAGGGAAATGCCTGGCAACCAAAATTAGCACTCGCGCCAACGGTATGGCAGAGCAAGCAACTCACCGAGCTCCTCACGGAGAGGCTTCAACTCCTCAACATAAGCCTTGTACTGAGCCTCATTCTCAACCTTCTCCTTGACACCCTCGAAAATGCGGACAGCAGTAGCATAGCAGTTGACGCGTCGGGCAGCCTGGACGGCGGCGGTGATGACCTCGGGTGAGGGGACAAGGTCGTGGGAGAAGCAGTTGTTGAGGCCGCGCTGGACTTCGAACAAGTCCTCAGCGTTTTGGAAGAACTTGACGTATCGGTCGCTGAACTGTTCAAAAGTCTCCTGAGCGTGGCTGCTGGCAGGTCGGACGAGGAGAGGAGCGACGCGGGCCCTGGCGACGATGGAAGGGCGGGCAGCAGCGCGGAAGACGTTGGTGGCGACGCGGGCGTGCATTGTGGATGGCGGGCGACGACGACGACGGAGGGTAAAGGAGCGGTGAGGGACGACGACGGTGAGGACCTTGAAAAGATGGGTTGGGTCGGGCTGATGGCGCGGGAATGGCCGGCACGAGTTTCAACAAGCCGTTGCACAACAAAGCCAAAGTCTAGGCAAATCGAGGCGAATCCGCCATCATTCATCCCTTGCCTTTCGGCTGCTGTCCCTTTTCGTGTTTCATCCCGCCTCCACCCTTTTGCAAATTAAGAACAACGGAAGCTTACTTAGGGTGTTCCTTGAAACACTATCAAGCGTTCAATTCATCAGGCAAATCCTTTCCAGTGCAAAGAAGACGCCCTCCCTAATGTCGCGGCAAGCATCAGATTCTTTCGAATCTGTTTCGCAGAACCATCCATCGTTTTCTGTCTTTTCTTAGATTCGAAGGCATAGGGTATATTCGAAGACTTATGAAGTCATCCCTTGATACCCCCGCCGCTGTTTCAACACCGACTTGGGACGTAGCTTCTAGCGCTTTTTCGCCGATGACAAGGTTGCACAGCCCGAACCAGTGCCATGAGGTTATCCAGCGCCTATTCGGATGGGACAGACGATTACGTCGTTGCAATGCCTCAGCAGTTTCTTGCGAAATCCCACTTGTTTGTTGTTCTACTGAATCGCCCTCTCACTATCTAGATTAGCGATTCAATCTCGAAGAAAGGATCTCATTGTACAGAGGTGCTTTTCTCACCCGTCAGTTTCCCCCATTTTCATTGAGCGAAAAAAAACTTTTTCTCTTCTCGTAGACTGGATTTCTGGAAAATCTCTCCCAGTCATATAATCTCAGAGATGTGCAAAGTGCGCTTGAAGCGGGGTGTCCCAATTGGATTTCCAAGATCTTCGAGCAGCATCGGGGTGAGTGTATTGACCGTCCTCTTCCCGGTATTCATTACTGATCCGGAGGTTCCTTCCAAAGGGCCCGTACCCCATGTCTGTTAATCACCGAGAATCGTATGAAGCGGACCATCCTCATCCCCAACCCTTCGGTTCATGTCGGTGCCTCCTCTCCTCCAGGCTCACCACATTCATAAATCCCAAACCCTGAAGCTGACGATCGCCTCTCCTGCAGTTTAAGGTGCCAGAAGATCCGTTCGTCACAGGCCCAGAATCGCAACGAAACTCTTCCGACCTTGTTCGGTGGCGAGGGTCTTCATGAAACACGCGAAGAGCGTTTCTCATGCTGCCTGCACCGCTTTTTTCGAATGACGATGATTGGCAGAACCACGTTCTCGGTACCTTTAGCGGGCTTCCACCCTGCCTCTCGAGTGCCTGGTCCCAAATTAGTCTTACACCACCCCATGTTGATCAACATCGAGCGACGCTTCCGCTGACCACCTTTCGACGGTTGCGACTTGTTAGAAATCACTCGACATGGGGCTCTGCGGGCGAATGCTGGGCGGGGCGGCGCACTTCCAAAAACGGACTGTTGGGACGCGTGGCGACGGAACAGCCCTGCTGGCACGGGCAAAGGGCAAAGGTTCGTTATGTTCACTTAGTGGGCGAACCTTGAAGGAAACCTCTTGCACACAGAATCGCGATGTGTGGACAAATCGGGGTAGCGACGATTCGTGGACGTCATCTCGGTGGGCAATAGTCCGAGAGGGGCAGCGCAGTGCTGTGCATCCCGCCTCGACACCGCCCCTTCTTTCCCCATTAGGCAGTGACGGGACAGGTTATAAGCCTAAGGACTCATCCGTCGTCACTCCAATATCCCCCACTCACTTCTCGAGTCAGTTAGACAACCGAGAACGATACCGTCTCTCATACATCGCGTCGTCATATACTCCAACGCCACTTTGCCGATCATGCAGAACGACTTCAGCAACAACGTCGCCTATCACCCCCAGTATACCATGAACTACCACCATCATCCTCAGACTCAGCAACAGGCGTACCCTCCAGTGTCTCCTACTACTGCGGAACAGCTCTACAACTACGCCGCGTCGACCTCGTCGAGTCTGGTCCAACGTCGCCGCTCCGGTGGCTCGAGACGCGCTAGCCCAGAGACTCTGATCTCCCTCGATGCTCCTACGCAGCCCCGGCGGTACCTCACTCCCTCAGCAACGTCACGGAAGGACGTGCCCGCCTTCTTCAGCAAGCGCGGAACCTACTCCCGGGTATCGGATGAAGAAGAGGACGAGCTCCACGAGGAGCCCCCCGCTCCAAACGCCACCGACCAGGAGAAGATCGAGTGGAAGAGGCGCCAGAACACCCTCGCTGCGAGGCGGAGTAGGAAGCGCAAGCTCCTCCAGCAGCAGGCCTTGGAGGAGCAGGTGGAGGAGCTGAAGAAGGAGAAGGAGGTGTGGAGGACGAGGGCGTTGACGCTCCGCCAGCTCTTGCTCAGCCATGGTATCCTCTGCCCCGACTTCAAAGACTGAACGACCCCCGTGCTGTCGGTCGTACGCCATCTCGCCCCCTGCTCGATGCCGGCACCACTGGCCCCCCACCGACAGCTTGATTAGTCCGACTTGCTGTTGAGACTCGGGCCGCCCCGCTTGGCTGCCCTCGCCCACATCTCTGTACAATACACCCTCTGCTTCGCATCTTCGATTTCACCCAGTCATTCTGACCGTGAACGACACAACAACAACACCATCATCCCCCTTCTTCCTTTTTCTCCGACGACTTGTACCCCCTCATCCACCCACAAATGGAAACATTGAAACGAAAACAAAAAGACGAATCAAAAAACTTGTCAACGCCTTTTTTCCCCGAGTACCGAAACCGAAACTGCGCGGATGTACCTCCCCCTTCTTGTTCTGTGATATACCGAGTCAGGTGCTCTGCTACAACGTATGTCTTCCCGTTCATTCGTTGGAAGGCGTGTCCAGGGGCTGATGTCGGACATCTATCTCTCCAGTGCTCAGGAAACGCTTGGCCAAGAGATCGACCACAAGCTGCTTCGGCTAGGCTCGCTCGCAACTACCGCTACTCCGATGCAAGCAGATACTAGTTTCTACACCCGGGTAGCCAGCCAGAACATCGATTCCAGGCGCGTTTACTAGGTGCTCCATCGTCCGGGGCTTGGTGGTGCTGCTGTTGTTGTCGTTGTTGTTTTCCTCCTCTGTTTTTCTTTCCTTTTCTCCTTAGTCTCCTCTCGGATCGCCTCATATCGCATTGTAAACAATTGGACTTTTTGGTTACCTGTGCCTTTTTCTGTCTTAGACTGTGATCCATACCTACCCTCCTACCTACCTACCTCCCTACCCCCTTGTCTCGAGACTACCCGCCTACCCTCCCGTACATCATCATCATCCTCTAACCTCCGCTCCCGTCTTCTACCACCAACCACCGACATCTCTCTTCATCCTCTTCCTCTATATAGTTTCCTCGTCTCAACATGTACTTGTACTTCTATGCCTTCTTCTGGGATCTGTTGCGTAGCTCAAGGACTACGAACTGTGTACGAATAGAAAAATGAACTTTTTCCCTTCTCCGATCTCTCTCTTCGTTCTCTGAGACTGTGTCTCTCATCTTTCAGTTTTCTCACTTTAAGTATTATTCTCCTCATTTCCATCCACTCGCACTGTCATCCTGCTACGTACTATATCCAGGTTCTCCTGCGGAATCTTATGGTTGACCCCGTCCTTGGACCTTGATACCCCTTGTTGTCTAATTAGCTACCAGGCCTTTCTCAATGCCAATCGTTGAACGATTCCACTACCACTAGTACGTGTTGAGTGTTGGATTGAACTGGTTCCAGAAATTCCAGAAACTGGCTCAGTAGCACAGCTTTGCGTAGTCCTTCCCAATGACCCAGGCAGCTGCCAGTGAGCGACGAGTAAATCAGCGAGTGAGTCCTAGTAGTCATCCTCGATCACGATGATGGTAGTTTCATCACAATTGTTACTGCCGTCTGGCTAACTGCTGTCTACTGTCACTATCACTGTGCAGTATACTAGATGTGTAGATCTTTCTGTCGTCCGCTGTCCTGTCATGATTCATCTGACACTTGAGTACTGAGTTCTGGAACGTTCAGTGTACGACTCGAAAGCTGCTTCTAAGCCGGGTGCCGCAGGCCCGCAGTGAATTCAGACGGACGGCTCCGAGCTGCCAACATCCTCAGATATCCAGTGCGGTCTCGGGCTGTTGAGTTTCTATGCCATGGATATACGCCGTGTAGACTGGTTTTGACTCTGTTTCAGCATTTGGCTTTAGAAATTCGACGGGTTGACAGACGGAGAACCCGGCTCGGGAATTTCTGAAATGGAGATGTACTCAGCGCCTGTGGTGTGGTGAGGGCCAGTGCTTCCATGTCAGGCCAGAGAGGTTGACTCGAGTTTGAGGCCTGAGGGCTAGCAACACTTGAGCACGGTACTACGGATTAGGAATTCGCCGTAGATACAGTGCACGGGGCGTTGAATCCGGTATGGGGTATTGAGTTTCAACACTGACTACTTGCTGTGCTTCGACCTATCACCATCCTTTCCCTCCTCATTGCTACGTATGATAAACCCAACGGGGAGACATCAGGTACATCGCAGCAGGCGTTCCGACATTACCTGATGGATTTAGCGCCCAAACTGGGAGTTAGCCACGGTCGGGATTCACCCGATTCAGAGGTTACAAGGCATTTTTAGGTTGATGGATCTTTGAAACATCGACGACTGCGTAGTTGTAGTGCATGGACGAGAAGTTGCGACGGAGTGAGTAGGAGCGTCCGTCGGTCGAAACATGGAACCCCCGCGTTAATTCCTTTCTGGGATGTTTGAATTAGCGCCCGGGACTGGCAGCCCGGATGATGGCTGCGCTCCGATGCGGGAGGGTTGAAGTCATAGTAGTCCGGTGTATAGTCTGGTATAGTGATGCAATCGCCCAGCGTCCTAGAGGACTGCATGGGTGTATGGGGCTGAGCGCCGAACGTTCGCGTCTGGACTCCCGCTCTTCGTCCTGGTTTACAGAGTTCCGAGTCCGCGTCGTCCAGTCGGATCTGTCCACCTAGCACTGGCACCCATACTGCAGGAGCCTATGCGAAACTGAATTGGCTTTCAATTAACGCCTGCTGTGGATAGCCGTTAGCGGCGGATTGGATCATCGACTTGGATTGGGTGCCTGAGATATTTTGGGTTTCCCGATGGGTCCGTAGGTGTATTTTGTAGGATTGAAGGCGGTACGGTATCTTAAGCATTATCTATCAGAGCGACAGGGTCGCGCCCCGGCGCTGTTCTCTGTGTAAACTGCAATAGATGCAAAATGCCTTAGGAAGAGAAGTGCCCAAAGGGAATCCAAAGGTCTAGTCAGTCGGAAAGAGCTTGTTTATCCTGTTTTTCCGCGGCATCGTCAACGGAACCAACGGTACTGTCGGACTTCCTTGGGCGACTCAATTCGTCAATGTGGTCCCACAGAAACTCTTCCAGGCGTTCCATAACCTTCGTCTTCAGTGCCGCAAGTCGTTCCGCGTCCTCTGGTTCCGCTGCGTCGGATGGGAATAACCAGCCAGGATAGGTTTTGCCGTCCGAGCCTCTTGTAGAGACTGGGTTGAACCCAGAAGGACCGAGGCAATGGAAGTAGACAGAACATGGGACGCAGGATAGCTTCGAAACCCCGATATAAGGCAGAATAGGAACACCCTCGGTTTGAATGCGGCGAAGGAGGAATATCTCGCAGTGGACGCATGCGTCGGGATTGAGGTATTTCGCTTGATCCACCCCCAGTACGATTCGCAGTTGCTTGAAAATCTCGTAATCCGCTTCGGACACCTCGTACCCCTCCTCTCTTAGGCGCAAAAACGGTTCGAACGTCTGCCTCAGGTGTGCGAGGGCCAAGAAAAGGATAACGTCGTTGCACTGTATCGTCTGCTTTGAGGGACCGGCTTGTCGGTATATCCTGATGTCCAAATCGCCAAATAGGATCCCCCGAAAATGTACAGATTTGCCCAAGGCTTGGAGTCGTCTGGCGTCGAGATGCAAAGAGGACAGTTTGATGATCCAACGAGTAATGGGAATGGGTATAGATTCAGCTGTTAACCAACGTGAGTAGTAGGAACCAGAGGCTTCATTACGAAGAATCACACACCATTGAAGGTATTTCTCGAAATTGGAGTACACCATGGCAAGGTCGCTGGGTAGCGCATTATCCTCCTGGTTGATCACCTCCCGCAATCTGTCGTATTGCTCCGCGAATGCAATCGCGGCGACTTCATGCGTTCACCGAACAACTGTACGATCAACCCGATGGTCTGCAGCCACCCGAGCGTTTTCTCGAGGTGTTCGACAAGACCCTCATCCGCGCGGGACTCTTGTCGGAACTTTCCAAGTCTCCTAAGCGTCCAGCCCTCTTGTTGTATTGGTGTTCAAATCTCTTCCACCCGTAGCGGTAGAAGCCCATTATGAAGGCCTTTGCGTTGCGCGTTTCGTCTTCAGTGAGTTTGTTGAGGGCGGTCAAGATATCTCGTATACGGGCCTTGATCTGGTCGTTGGTAGGCAGGCCCTGGGCGGGATTGAGCGATACATGGAGCGTGGTACGGAGGTTGGTGGAACCAGGAGCAGGGGGACTACCGATGCAGCGACAGCAGCAGCCTGCTTTCGGTCGGTTAAAACTGCGCGCGAGAGGACATCGAGCACTTTAGAAATGCGCGATTGATAACGCTCCAAGTCGCCTTTGGAGACGGACAGCGACACAGGGAGTCGAAGGGGGAGCTTTTGAGCCTCCCTTCGAGGGAAAAGGGTGCGATCTGCAGACTTGGTCGCAAGAAGGCTGATAAGGAGGTCGGAGGGCGCTGCTTTGGCTTTAACTAGCGTCATGGTGAAGAAGAGCCAAGAACGAGCGTCTGTTTGTCAAAGTCTTCCGGAGTTTCAAGAAACTTTCGATCGCAGTGCCGCTAGTCATTCCTTTCTTGGATGACGGAACGGAGCAATTTGGGAGCGGTGGGAAGTGTTTTAATTCCGCCCCTATCCCTCTGCCTAAGACAGCGGGAAGAAGCCTGCCAGTGCTTTCCCAAACAACCTGCTCAGACCCTTACCCCCTCCTCCAGTTCCCCTCAGCATTCCCAGCAGACTTGACCGACGCCACAGACTCAGGGTACACTCAGATCCATCCAGTCCTCTTCCCGCATGGAGTCGATTTTGTAAAGCTGCAGAAGGACAGCCATCCGTTATGGTGGTAAGACCAAAGCATAGGCATCTGTGGTTGGAGTTTCGTGCAGCGTGCCGAGGTACTGCATATCCGCGTCCGAAAGGATATTAGATGCGGTTCCGTCCTCGGGCAGGTCGACAGTCGCATTTCGAGAGCAAAACGTGCCGTTGAATAAAGAAATATCCAGAGAAATTAATGGCCAGAAGAAAAGGCAGTACACAAAGAGCAATATGTGGTGAATAGAACAGAGATGATGGCAGTGGTACCCAACTTCGGTTGAGCGCCGACCGCTGCGGTGGCGGTGCATCGGGGTCTGATCGGAGCGGTAACTCCCGCGGCATACTTAGACAAACCGAATCGTTCCCTGCTTCCGACGACGACAATGTTGGGAACAACGGCAATCTAGGCTGCTTTTCGAGACTAAAACGACAGCGACGACGACGACGACGCTAAAGTAGCGAGCAACGCTGGAGACGATATCAGGTTCAAATTATAACATTCTACTTCTATAACCGTTGTCAACGGATTCAGGACCTTAGAAGGCCTCTCGGAGGACTCTTCAGGAACTTCTACTGGTTGAATCGCATCGACTGACCGGGAGTTAACCGCGTAATCGTTCGTTGTATTCTCGACCATTCTGTCATTCAGCAAACGCTCTGCCGTCGCGGCTGGCCGCTGAATTGTGTGGGTCCGTGGTCACGAGAAGCATTCGGTGGACTCGTGTTCAACTCGTGCTGAACGTCACCCTCCAAGCTGTAGCTGGGGAGCTTCTCTACCAGTACAACCATGTCCTACCAAGCCCTTTTGACCTCTTTCGAGGTCGTTGGAAATTGGGTTCACCGTCTCGTCAATTACGCGACCCGGAGGGTAAATGTCCAATTTCTCACATCTATCTGTGCGATCGTTCTCATAGTTTCATAGGATTCTACGACCCAGAGGCCCAGGAGGCTCACGAGTCTCCCATACGAGCTACTTATCGGCATCAGCATATCCCTTGAATGGAGAGATATCCTCCAACTTCGACAGGTGCGCGTTCTCTGTCCGTTGTCGCAATAGACACTGACACCAGCACCACAGACGTGTCGCCTGTTGAATCAGGTCTCGCGAGAGCGTTCGGTCTGGCTGGCCCTGTTGTATCGCTACTACGAGACCAAGTTCGCCCGACCTTTCTTTTTGCCCAAGCCGCTTCACCTCTGCTCGGCATCCGATCTTGAAAACCGTATCACGCGGTGGTGGAGGGGGTTGGATGGAATAATGGTGTCGCCAGTGACAGTGCACAGGTTCAAGCCCCTGGGCCTTGATTACAGATTCGGCTTACAAGGACCCGTTCCGGGAGGAAGATTCCTTTTCTACGCCTTTGAGGACGGAAGACTTGGCTACATTGACTCGCGGCAACCCAACCCGGAATTCATCGACCTCATACCTTCCCCGAGCGCCTTTTGCGGAAACCCTTGCACAGACATCTCTGTTGCAATCGATGCCTTGTCGCAGCAGCAGTATACTCCGGACCATCGATCAGCCCCTCCTTTGTGTAGCCAGCTATTCCCTTCGACGTTCAATATCGCGGTTCATCGCATGATATGGAAGGTTCTGGTTCATTTCGAAGTCTGGAGGTTGACTGCACAGATTGAAGGGGAGGATGTCGTAGGATATTCTGCCACCCTCTTGACCTCGTTTACCGAGGATCACACCCTCAGGCTTTGGGGCCCATGCGCATTGTACGGCAAGAACCTTGCGTACAATATTAGCTCCTCTCACTCTGACCCACCATACTCCTCGACGGAGGTGATGACGATCGTTGATTGGACTGAGATTCCGCAAGGGGCGGCAGATTTCCCTCGATCCTACATTCCAGTCCGAACAGTGTTTGACGTACGTAAAAACTGAGACTTGTCGATTCAGCTCAGGCTAACTAAGATCTCAAGACAATATATCTTCTTCCAGGAAACATCATACTGGCGGTGGCGGATCACGATTATCAGCCGAAATTCTTCGCTTGGAATTGGGTGGAAGACTCGACACTTCTCTCTGTGCCGCCGTCCAGTCCAGCGGTCGCAGAACTGCCATCCTGCCCGCCAATGGCGGAGTGTTCTCCCGGGATAAGGGGTCTCCTCTCCTTCACAAACCCATACTTTACCCGCAACTCCATCCGACTCGTACTCGCAACGGACAATGGAGCATTCGGAGTCATCCTGCCCATCACGACGTCTGGCAGAAAACAGAGCAAATGTGCTTTCCAGATCGTGAAATTGTTCGACATGGCAGGTCTCAACTGCGCACGTTTCGTGTGGTACGGCTATAACAGTGGATTCAGTCTCCCGTTAAGAGAACCGGAAACCAGCTGGCACTCGTTTCACTACCGTTGGCCAGATGATGATGTCGATGGTCCCTCAATGTCCGTCTGCAATGCCCCTGTACCTTCGTCATCATTCCCCTGCTACTACCACGGGCGATATATTGACGACTCTCAGGCCTCAGTTGTCATTCACGACAGCATGGGATACAATGTTGAAGTATATACTATCATGTCGTAGTCACTTCGTATCCAGCTGTAATTACTAATGAGTCCGTCCATAGTATATGGACTGTTATTTATCTGGATGGTTACTTCTTCTGCACAGCTCTTGCCATTGCATCACGCAGCCTGTTAGGTTTCCCAATTGCCTGGTCGCATACACATGATACAGGTCAGCATTTGGTACCAATGTTAAACACCTGGTTGAAATGCCTTACCCAAATTGCCAGTAGTTTTATGAGTTCTTTATATCTCTCCTCTCGATTGTTTTCGTCCTGTTCCTCAAGACTAAACACCCCCGCAATGGCGTATTTGTAGGTGTATTTTTTTCCCTTCTCTGCCTTTGAAGTTGTCCCGAATATCCATCGATTCCCGTCAGTAAGGATCCATTTCATAGTCGTGAAGATGCGGTTCAATCTAATAACAGTCAACCCCAATTCAAATCAACACCACGGAATCATGTACGAACCGTTCATTTATGCATAGACTGAGTGGAGGACATTGGTTGGAAGGTTGAAGTAGAAATGTGAGTCGGTAAAACCATTCTGGGAAATGCGCATCCAATAGTGTGTACCATGCAATAGCCTGCGTGACGACTTGTGGAATGTGATCTTCAAGCTTTACTCCCAGACGTTTTGCCTCAATTAGAAGATCAAGAGGTAGAGTTTTCTTGTTGATGGGCTCCACAAGTTCTCCGTATACCTCTGCGCGCAGTTTCCGAGACAGTGCTTCTGTAGTTGTGTCGCCCTTGACGATCTGAAGCAGGTTGTCGCATCGACCTCCAAAGTAAGATAGTCTACCCTCGCTAAGAACCCAGACGGGAACCTTTGCTTCTATTTCCTGTATCAAATTAGAATCCATTTGAGAATCCCCTTGGATATGCTTCAAAAGGTTGACAGAAGAAGCCTTTTGGGGGCTCAGGTGCAGTTCCGCGTGCACCTGGAGAATTTTGTTGCAGCCTTTGACGATTTGTATCAACTCTATCAAAAGTCGATCTATTATGGTCCTGGTCCGAGTTTCAGACTAGAATCCAGTCATCAATATATCTTCTTTGGCTTGAAGAAAGCTGATACACTGGTACCTGTTTCGCGAACGATGCATAGACATTTTTCAGATCTTTCATGAAATTTAGCCCAGAAATAGCTATCGCGCTTTGCACTTGCTCCACCTCTGAGGGCGAGTCAAAGGCTTGGATCAGAAGTGTTTGCGTCGCGTTCTTATCCAAATCCATGACTTCTTCCCATGGCCTTTTTACTCCCATACGCTTCAAATCGTGCATAGTTGCGGAAGAGAAAGAGAAATACTATATAATATATATAAAGTTAGTATGTGTTATAGCCAATAAAATCAGTGACTCACTGTTCGCTCAAATTCTGAGTCAAGGTCCTGTTTAAGGGAAAGTGCAGATAAATAGGGAATGACGAGGGGTACCCTCGGGTAAACTGAGAGCTACCCTTACCCCTACCCCTGTAAACCCTTACCCCTCAGTCAGGGGTAGGGGTAGTACCCTTACCCCCCAACCCTGGGAGTTTTGGCCAAGGGTTTTTAGAATTTTGGCACTAATCATTAATTACAGTAGTTTATATGGATATTTTGATGTGTTTTATCACTCATACAGCAGTTATTTGGTAGAAACTATACACAGATGTTGAAATAAGCAGGTTTTGGCTGATTTTTATCAAAACCCTTACCCCTGGCTAGGGGTAGGGGTTTGGCCAAGGGTAGCCAAAGACCTACCCTTACCCCTACCCCCCCTCTACCCCTGGCCTCTACCCTGGGGGTTTTAAAACCCCTTGACCATCCCTACAGATAAATTGGAAGTATGCACCAAGAGATGCTCATTTATGTCGGCACCAAGGAAGTCATCGGCTAGAGTCAAGGCCCCACCAACAGCATCTTGAAATATGCTGCTCAGCACAGCGGAGGGACTCTGTAATACATCTAGTGAATGTTCAACAGCCCTTCCTATCGCAGCCTCCCCTGCCGTCGAGATGGAAGGCGCAGGCTCGTAGGTCTGTCCCACTCCTTCGCCAAATTGTGACATATCTCCCTGTTCATTGGCTTCTCTCTCAGTATTCACATTCTTTTTCGTAGCCCTTGTAACCATTCTTGTTGGTGAGATGGATCGCGGGATACCTTGACGATGCTGTGACATATCGACGGTTGACGTGGTTTAATGTGACGGCGAGGGTAACTCTTCGAAAGCTGAGGCGCAAGGAAGATGAGAGATGATACTGCTTCTGGAAGCTGGTGAAAGACTTCTCCCAGAACCTCCACCTCTTAAGTAGCTTTTTGGAGGAGATATCAAACAGTATCGTCTGTATATTGTTTGAGGCTTTTGGGTGGGCCATTGGTAGGGAGCTGCAGGATCGATATCGAAAGCAAGTGTGTGGCAGCCTGTAGGTGTTAGCACCACCGTGCTTCGTCACGTAATGGAAGCCCCGAGGCTTAAGCAGCAGTGTCTATACCATGAGCGTACCTTGAAGTACTACGAGTTATTGCTTCAGTACTATTTCAATTGCTTGGGAAGAGTTTAAATCTAATCTTCAGTCAGGCCTCATCGAAACGCGGACTCAGTGCCGAGATGTAAGGTTTGGTAAGACCGCCAGTTACTCTTCCACTGGACCACTACATATGTGGCGCTTGGAAAGTCGCGTTAGATCTGCACCACCCACCCCAGCAGCTTACCGTCTTCCATTACTGTATGTCTACGAACAGCCCGTGACGGTTGTTGGACAACCCGGGTATGAGTATTACTTGATTTGGAAGGAGGCGATCATCAATCGGAATGACGGGAAAATCACGTTGAAGCCTGGGGGCACTGGAGACGGTCAGAGGGGCACAAACAGATCAGGTCGTCGAATCGTGACGGTTCTACTCTGGGACGCTCCCTCATGTATTAGACTACCTAACTAATGATGTCGTCCGGTGAACTAATCTAATCTAATCTAGTCGCTGTCCTCTCGTGGTCTTTGAACTCTAGCACCCGTATGATGTACGTATTCTAGAGTAGTACCCAAGGGCACTGGCACTCCACCACGCCGCACATGCTTTTTGACAGGTGCCGAAAACCGACTGCAACACACACTCACACACAATCATCCATCCCCGTCCATATTACTGCCACCTACATCTTCCCAGTATCAAATTCCAATCATAACAGCCTCCACTCGAAAACAACACCAGTAGCACCTGATTCCTGAAGTGTATGAGGTAGGAGTAAACTGTAAGGGTGGAAGAATGAACCGAGACGAACGATCCGAAGGTAATAATGAATTCAGAATGTCCACAAACACGGGAGTGCTACAGAACGTCTTTATGTAAAGTCACTAACCCGACATGTCGTAGCCGGCTCCGCCACACAGAAGAGCCTCGGCGCTTGACTCGGAAGCTCGCAGACAGTACACACCACGCCCTCAAAAAACCAAAATTCAGAAGACTTTTATCCCCGATTCCTAGATCTGAGGAATTTTGAAATGGGAGGGGTGGTTATAAGTGGACTATAAGTTACTTATGGCCAATTTGTGGGGTTCAGTTTGCGACGCGTGCTTGACTTTGGACTCTCGAGAGATCTGTAACCAGTAGAGACGTATGTTTCAGCCCGATATGAATATATGAATCGTACTAGACGTCCAGACACCACAAACCTTTCCAGGATGTCCAAGGGCCAAGATTTTCGTTCCCGCGCACCTGGGATGGGCCGATCGCGAGATTTGTATCACTCAGGCCCCATACCTGGAGCTCACCCAATGATACGCACCTGTATGGGTGTAGCATACCAGAGTTCAAGGCAGTCAGTCATATCAATATCGACGCCAGGCATACGAGTAGGCCCGCTACATTAACCTACTCTAATAGTACCATCTCGCCATTCAAGCCCGCATATACCTCTCCGAGTCTCCGTTCTCAATGTTTACTCGCTCAAGTCCTGTTTCTTTAGTAATCGCTCAAGTCCTATTTCATCTACTCGTTCAAGTCCTATTTCATTTACTCACTCAAACCTCAAAACTCTAAAAAAGCACCGTGCATAGAAATGGGACCCACTCACTACCAGCCACTGTCAGAAGTCGCCGTAATAGAAAAAAAGCTCAACAAGTCGCGAGTCGCAGTATGTAGTATTAGTACAAAAAGAGCAGAGGCACAGCAAGTTGTGACGGGGCCGAAAACGAACTAAGGAAGTACTACTAGACCGAGCAAAGCTTCAACACATCGATATCAACACAACGAGATCAACATCGACGGACGGACAAGTCAGACTGTAACCGAACCTGGGCAGCGGAAATCGTCAAATGGAAGACGAACCACGAACGAAAGACGAACCGTGAACGAAAGACCAACCGCGAACGGAAGACGAAACCGCGAATCAACATTGAACATTGACCGTTGAACAAAGAAAAATAATCGAACAAGTTACAACGAAACGAAATCAAAAAAGGAGAGAAAGAAAAAAAAAAGCAATCACATCTAAGAGAGAAAAAAAAAAAAAAAAAGAAAACAACAAGTTAGAAGGTATACATACATTCGTTAATCTTTTCTACATCGCATCGCCACGTAGGCCTGTCTCTTTTTCCCTCCTACTCCCACCACACCCCACCTCCTCGGTCACAACACCACGCCCCCTCCCCTCCACCAACTCCCCTCCCCCCGCCAACTCCAAAATCAACCGACACGCAACATCCATAAACACAAACGGCGAAACAACCTCATCCTCCCTCCCCCCAATCCCAAAACACCCCTCCTTCTCCTTCACACTCCTCTCACTCTCACTACAACTATCACTCGGTATCTCAAAATGCGCCATATCAAACTTGCCCGCCCCAGGCTCCGTACTCGCCTTGTACGTCTTCTTATGATGAAAATCAACCAAATAGTTGATAGAATCAACCATGTAGAGTTGGAGGTTCATCAGCACGACCACGTCTTGAACCCGGCACCGCGTCTCGACGCAGTAAATCCCAGCTGCAGCTTTCAAATCCACACCACCATCCCCATCGTACTCCCTCGCCCTCTCAATCGATGCCCTCCCCCGCTCATGGTGATGATACTGATGATGATGATGCTGCCTCCGCGCCTTCAACCCCCCAAGCCCGCCCAAATTCTTCTTCTCCTTCCACTCCATACCCAACGTCTTTAGCGTCCTATAAATCTCAAGCATAACCTCCATAGGCGGACTCCGGCTCCGAATCCCAAAATGCCACTTTGTCCGGTGCTGCTTCTTCTCGCCAGACCGCGCTGATCGTTTCGCGGAGACGTACGACGTGAGGTGGTGCTGTTCGGGGAGCTGCTCGGGGAGGGACGAGTTCAGGACGGCAAAGGTCGGGTCCGTCGCGGGTGGGGCCGCGATGAACGAGTCGAGCTCGTCTTCGGAGAGGTATTCTTCTTCTTCTTCGTATTCGGCGTTGAGCTCGGCTTCGAAGGGGTTGGAATCTATTTCGGTGGCGGCGGGTGAGAGCGCGGTGGGGGATAGAAGGCCTGTGAGGGGCTGAAGAGATACGTTAGGAAATGGGGGATCTGGGGGTGCGGGGAAAGGGACGTACGTCTTGGGCAGCGAGTTGGGCATCCCGTTCTGCCTCTGCAAAGACAGCCACTACAAGTAGATATGAGCATCTATTCCTCGCAGACAAAAACCCACTTACAGTCTTTCCCAAGGCGATTCTTATCCCTCAGAAGCATATACGCAACTTTAACCGCATTACCCTGCGCTCCATCGTCCCTCCTCAAACACTCCCAAATGTCATCTTTGCTAACGCCAATCATCCGCGCCGCAAGCTGTTCCACGACATCCTCTTCAATGCGGCCGAGGCCGTCTATGATCTCATAGTCGAGTTGCTTGGGCGGGGCGACGAGGGTGGTGAGCATGCCCAGGACGGGGCCGGGCGGGGGCGGGAGCGGCGTCAGGTAGCGGGGGAGATCTACTTTGAAGAAGGGGTGGTTTATGATATCGGTGATGGTGGCCCGCTTGACGGGGTCGACGACGAGCATCGAGTTGATGAGCGACTGGGCATCCTTGGACAGGTAGGACGGGCAATGGAACTGGCCCTCTGTAGCAACAGTTAGTCTGGATCTCTGCAAGTAAAGAGAAGACATACGGCTAATTTTATGGAAGAGCATCTGGACGTCGTCATCTTCGAAGGGGAGACGACCACACAGCATGACATAGAGAATCACGCCCGAGCTCCACACGTCGATTTCCGGGCCAGCATAAACGCCTCCCCGAATGACCTCGGGGGCAGCATAGTTCGGGCTCCCACAGCTCGTCGTCAGGAAATCGCCGTCGCTGATCTCATTGGAGAGGCCGAAATCTGCGATCTTGACGTTGAGGTCGTCATCGAGCAAGACGTTCTCTGGTTTGAGGTCACGGTGGACGATCTTGAGTCTGTGAGAATACTCGATGCCTGAGATTATCTGCTGGAAGAAGCGGCGGGCCTGGGCCTCGGACATGCGCCCGTTGGCGACGATGTAGTTGAATAGCTCGCCTCCTGCGTATTCGAGCACGAAGATGATGTCGGTGGGTGTTGAGATGACTTCGTAGCTGTGGACGAGGGTGTGAGAACTACACATGCCTACGCCTGCACTGCGGGGAAACTCACAGTTTGATGATGTGCGGGTGCCGCAAGGTTCTGAGATACTCGAATTCGCGGCGTACGCGAGTCTTGGTCTTCTCGCGCTGGATGACGGCTTTGGAGATGTACTTCATCGCGACTTTGTGGCCAGTAACCGTATGGATCGCCACTGTTCTTTGGCGTCAGACATCATCGTCTTTCCGCACCGTAAACAGTGAGAAAGAAACGCACTTTTGACCTTGCCAAAAGTCCCCTCTGCAATATCAGCGATGACGGTGTACTCGCCTAGCTTGGAGGGCGGGAACATCTGTGATTCGTCCATGATGATCGTAGTCGCGGGTGGTGCCTAAGTCGTCGTCGGCGTCGGTGCGTGATGATGGGCAATAATCGGTGGCTTGATTCAAATGGTCGTGGACGTTAACGTGCAGGCTGCGCAGCTTGTGGAACGGAGTCGTCGGCCGTGCGTTGCTTTGGGTTACCCACACCCCGCTCCAAAACGTCGTCGCCTGTCGAAACCAAGCAAAGCAGAAGGATCCGATTTGTAAAGCTTGCCTATAGGAGCGATGATTCTGGAATCTAGTCTCCAGCCTTTGGAAATGAACTTGAATACCCACCGTCTAGGGGAACGTTTGGAATGGCGGAGCTTAGGAGATCGGGGGACGTTGTGGGCGTTCGTCGAGGGCTGAGCGTCGCCAACAACGATGGAGGACGTCGACGGGAGTCCGGGAGCAATGGTGGGAAAGCTTCCGCTATGCCGTGCCTTGCCGTCTGCGTGCCTGAATCGGAGTTCCCTCTCCCCTGTCTTCTCTTGAATCGGAGATTAAATAACGCCAAGCCTCGCGTCGCCAGGGCGCGTACCGCGTTTTCGCCATGTTCCCCTGTGGAACTTCAACTTGAACTTGGTCGTTGTTGTCGACACGATGAGACGCGCCCAGAGCGTTAGACACTACGGCAGACCCTCAATCGCGCTGACGTCTGATGATCTAGGCGTTCTCAAGGAACCGGGAGAGTCGGATGAAGATGTGCTTAGGAGACAGCTGTTGGAGAAGGATAGGCAGGTTGACCAGGTGCGTCCGATCCGTATATACTTATTGGCGTGGATGTCGTGCTGATGATACATATGGGTGCTGGACTACAGTTGACGGCGCAGGTTGATCAGCTGAAACTACAGCTGTCGCAGCGTCCGCCACTGGAGGAGATCCAAGCCCTGACGAAAGAGTACAAGAACTTGGACTTGCTGTTGCAAGGAACACAACGCGAGAACGAGCGGTGCATGGCTGAACTGGAAAAGTGCGCTGCCCACCCTCCTCTTCCTACCACCGTCAGACTCGCCAGTGCTCACCAATGAACTATTCACGTATCAGGGTTAAAGCACGCGAAAAGCTGCTCGAGAAGAAACTCTGCGACCTCGCGGGGGAGAACTGGCAGGTCAGCATCCTCCCATTCATCCTAATACTACTCCTACAACGCCTTAGTGACTTGTACCTCCCATGTAGTCAACACTCGACATCCCCCCAGCAAGCGGCGCAATGGCCATCGGCTCCCGAAGCGGAATCCTAGGACACCAGCGCACAGGCACAGCTCTCTCCGGCTCACCCATCGCCGTATCCACCCTCTCCGGGATGTACTCCCACTCCCGTGCCGGATCTTCGTCCTCGTCGTCCTCGCCGTCCGCCTTCACCCACCCCCACCAACAACACCAACAGCATCAACACCAACAGCAAGACCAGTCCCAGAGCGACGACCACGCCCATGATCACACCGCAGACCTCAGTACCCTCCAACTCCAGCAACAAGAAGCCCTAGCACAGAAACTCGAACAAATCAAACTCCTCGTGTTGGGTATGGATCAGAGGTTGCAGACGCGCGAGGGGGCGCTCGCGAAGAAACTTGAAGTGGCGGAGGGTAATACCAAGAAATTGGAGGCGTTGAAGAGGGAGTTGCCTGTGGCTATTAGTGTTTGAGGTCGAGGTCGAGGTTTGTTGCTGGTAGTGTTTGAGGGTGAGGTTTGGTGCTGGCGGTGTTTGAGGGTTGAGGCTGAGGTTGGCGTGGCTCAAATCGCATTCGATGATGAACATTTGGCGTTCACGTTGGAAGACAAGGGACGTTCAGCGAGGCTCGACGATCACAACTCGCTATTCAACCTTCGAATCTATCATTCGACATTCAACATCCAATGGTGCCCCACTGGTTCATAAATCACCGTCCCTTTTCTGCCATCGGCCACGGTCACTCGGATTGGATTACCTTCACCGTCACTAGGATCGGATTTCTTCACAGTTCAAACCCCCATCGAATATGTACGACTCGAACGATACCCGGACTAAAGCACTTCTCCTCGCGCTGATTACAGACTTACTACTCCCCTCGCAGTTCTCGGTTCCTGATTAGATTCTCGACTCGTTCGCTCATCCCAATTCCTCCCCGTCACCGTTCTCGTCTTAACCCCAACTCCAATCTCATTCTCGTTCCACTCTCATTCTTCTTCTCGTTCTCATTCTCATCCTCATCCTTATCCTCAGCCTCGTTCTCCTTCCCATTCTCGTCCTCAAGGATCCAATATCCACTATCACTATGTATCTGGATTCCAGCATCCACTCATTAACATTCCACGTTTCGGTACCTAGGATTTTTACGGGCCTTCACCTCACACTGGCATTGCCTGATGCCTGACGCCTGGTCTTCTTGATCCAAGGAAACCGTATTTGTACTTTTACAACCCGTAACGACAGTATATATGACGACTTTTTACCACCTCAAATTGGTCTAAGGTTAACGTTCGTCCATTGGCCCCGGGACAGTGAGAGATACTAGGCGCGCATATATGGGGTATACTAAGGAAAAGGATCGGGGCATACTAAGGATACTACTAAGTGCTCTCATGTCTAGGCGCCAAAATTACCCAATCAACCACCAAAACTTGACGAAAGAGGAAGACGAAAGGCGATTTGGAAACCTTTTGTCATGGCCAGAGAAGCTTCAAGCTTCAAGATTACTCGAGTAAATCGGTGGCGATAGAACTTCAACCCGTTGACTCGGAATACAGTAGCACAGAACCCCCGTTGAATACAGTAGCACAGAGCCGCAGGCGATAATTCCCCGGTCTACACGGGCTTCGTATATCGAGCCTGATGATTCAGATAAGACCCAATAATAACAGTGGCCTATTTGCGTGGTAGAACAGCCGGCGAGGCATGAATAGCGAGGACACATGAATAATTAGAGGAGATTGAATGAGACGTGAATAGACGCGCGCGAAGAGAGAAGACACTGAATATAGAAGAGACGTGAATAGCGAGGAGACGTGACACGAATAGCCAGGACCCTGAATTATGACTAACCAGGACCCTGAATTATGAATAGCCAGGACACTGGGATAAGCTCGAAGGGTGTTTGCACGGCTTCAAGCTTCACCGTCGACGACTCGGATAGGCGCTGCGGTTTTGGTCAACCCGCCATGCGACGTGCGAGGGTTTTGGCCAAGAACCCCAACTTTGAAAATAGAGCCGAGTCTCGAAAACCGTTGCAGTGGTTACTTACCACGTCTACCCTGAAAGGATCCGACATTCAATATCCACTATCGCTATGTATCTGTTGTATTCCAACATCCCTCATTACTCGAGTGACACTCGATACCTGGGATGTGGCGATAGAACTTCAACCCACCTGATACTGGTACCGATACCACCGTGACCCCCGCCCAAAAGCGACGTCAATTGACGCTCTCGTCGAAAGAGTCACGTTCCCCGAGTAACTATCACTCACTACAATTCCTTTTCTAATTGTATGGCACCTATGTCTCCGCTTTCATCTATCGCTACCAGATGTCCCGAGGCCTCATCAAACAGAATGCCACTGACGGTATAACAAAGTCATTGAGGCGCCTGATCTTTTTGATGGACTTTCGTGCAGCCTCATCCCTGGCGCCCTCCCATTCGTACCGCAAAAGCCAATGATCCCCGTACTCTCCGTCGAAGAAGATACCGGTATTGTGGCCAAACCACGCATTTCCAGGCCTCCCGACAAAATTCCCCTCTCCGAGTCGGATAACCACCGGGGACGTCGACGTCGGTTCCGCTATACCACCTGATGAAAGTACTAGTGGTATCTTAATTCCCAACAGGCCATCAACACTACGAACGATCATGTGAATGGAAGACCGACACACGAACGGTCCCATGCCATGGTACGTTCTTGCGCCATCCACTGGAGTAGACCAGGAGGGTGCGATGTACGGGAACTGTTGCTGTGAAGGAGAAAGCGCAGATTCTGGACACGTAGATTTCCAGTGCCAGATGGAAATGCGACTCTCATCAATCACAAAAACTCGCTCCTGAGGAAGAAGAAAGAGTCCCTAGACGAAAGCATCTGCTCTCAGCCAAAGGATAGGGAATGAATCGAGGAGGGGAGGTATGTACATACCTGAGGGCGAACACACGGTACATACGTACGCACGAGTCCGGATGCGGCGTCGGTCCAATCAACAATTGCAATGTCATGTCGCCTGGATCTCACAGCATACGCGATATATTTGCCATACAACGAAGTGTGGCGAATCCTCATCCGACCTTCCTCCGAAAAAGACGAGAGCAGTCGACTTGAGTACCCCATGACTGTCCCTTCATTGTCCACTTGAGGGGCTAGTTCCCAGACTTGGAGGACAATGAAACTCTCGTAGGTATCATAATCGAAGCGTTCCCAAACCACGGCCATGTTGAATGCGAGAGGAAACAGTTGGCTGTCAAAGGAGGTCTCCGCATCGACAGACATCGATAGCAAATCCAGAGAGGCGAAAGTGGATATACAGGTGGATCCAGAGAATGGCGAGGGTATGAGGAGCTGTGGTGCGGTGGTAGGGCTTTGAAGCCAAATCCCGCCATCTGTGCTGTGCATGACAAAGAAATGACCAAAGGGAAGGAAGGCCAGGTGTTTAAACTGTGGGTGTGACGGACTCCCAACCATGAACGTATCTGGACCCGAGCTGGGGAGTTCTTGTCTGTCAATTCCCGTCCATCTTCGCATAATCCGTTTCTCGATGTCTAGCGCGGTGCAATTGGCCAGAGGTTTGGACAGGAAGAAAGGTCGGTGGAGGGATGTCTCACGGTATTTCTTCAAAAGGGCGACCCACACGGATCGCTCTTTGGACAAGTCGCATAGGAGACGACAACACTGAATAAAAGTCCAATACCCGTTTTTGAAGATAAATGAACTGACATACCACTCGTAGAGAAAGCACATCTTCCATATCAATATTTTGCATTATCATGACTAAGATTTCCTTGGGAAGTCCCATGAAACCTGCTGGTGGGTCCTGGAGACGAGGTTAGCTGCAGAAGAGGATCGAATTTAACGTCGTTACTGACCTCTGTTGATTCCATGAGGGCTCGTACGGCGCGCCCCAAGAGGCCAGGAACGAGTGCAACCCGGTGTAAGGCGTCGTACATCTTCGATTTTGTTGTTAGATTTAGACAGTGACACCGTCGTCCTCTGGGTCCTCTGTCGTCCTATGCAGTAGGCACGTGACCCGGGAATCACCCGTCCTCTACGAATTGCTCGCAGCTCTACGCTTGGCTCTACGCGCCCATATCTGGACTATACTGCACACTCTAGATCTCATAAGGGCAAAATCACCCCAATCCACTATGTACCAGCCGCATAGGCAAGACGAAAGATGAAGGGCGAAAGATGAAAGACCGAAAGACTATCCGGGCCCTTTACAGTAGAACTTCAACCAGCACACAGAGTCAGAGGATTTTGGCCGACCGTCAAGTCGTTTTCGAAAAGTGAGTTGAGTCTCAAAAACCGTTGGATACGTCGACCATCGAAGAAACTTTCACACAACCTTCGAACTTCTGAATCAGCTTTCAATCGCACAAAGCCCATCCTGGCGCCGACCCTCGTGCGTCGACATCAACGGGCCATCCATCCATCCATCCACTTCTCGAATTCACCGTGGATTGTCGACAAGTCAACAAGTCGGAAGTTTGTACACATGTTCTCTCTCACGTCTTCCGAGTTTGTTATTATGTCTCCGAGTTTTCGACAGCCCGACTATGTAGGTTACCATTCAGCGATTGGATTTTTCCGGAGGGGTGATAAGAGGTTGGGGAACCCTGGGTTCTCAAGATCAACGAACAGTATCACCGCAGGCTTCACCGAGGCCAAGTAATCACCCCGGACAGACTCAGACACCCCTCCAACCCCCAGGCCTAAAATCCAAAACCAAAACCAAGAATCCGAATCGATGCTCGCGAATAAACTCTTCCTCCTCGTCCTCTTGAACTGTCTCCCATTCGTGCTCGGGTGGAGACCAACACCCCCGGTTGAGACGGACGTAACGGCTACGGAGACGACAGCGACTGAAAGTTAGTAGATTCCTGTCGTGTCTATTAGTGCTGGGTGAGAGCTGAGAGCTGGTTGACGTGGATTTAAACGCGTAGCTCGTACGGACTTGCCGTGGCTCCGCGTTGCGCTGCCTGATGACGATTGAACGTCACAGAAATGCGTACCAGGTACGAAGGTTGGTTTATAAATTATCAAGGAAGAGTCCTTCAAGACGAAGAAGCTGATCCAGATTCCAGATACGACGATGGATAGTACATTTTCATTCGGGATTACCAGAAGGGAGAATCGAATTAGAACACAGTCTGATGTTGATACATGAACAATCCTATCAATGTCTCTCATTAGCCTCAATCCACCTTCACGATACAACAACTAAGATAACGACGACTCACCCCACGTCTGATTCTGATTTGACCACACATCCACACCGCACTCCCCCATAATACTACCCTGAGCGCACGAGACTTCATACGCCAAAAACTGCCCCCTCCTACACTCAAACGGTGGCAACTCCACCTGCTCGCCCACACGCGCTTTGAGCGTCCCAACATGATGCATACACCTCGGTTTCGTCGACCACGAGAGCCTATGCTCGTCCAGCGGTCGTTTCTGATCAAGTTGGCATATATCCAGATGGATGGAATCTCTGTCGGAGGGGTCGTTGGACTGGTAAGAGAACGGGTGGGGCAGTTGCTCGTCCCGCGAAGGAAGACGGACGACCATAGAGCACTTCTCCATGCCGTAATCCATGACGTTGAATTGTACGATCGTGCGGACCTGTCAGTCAGAGAGAGAGAGAACATCCTCTTCGTTAGGAAGGTCCCCTTCGAAAGGCTCAAACACATGTAAGGGAATAAGAACTCACCGTACTCGAAACCTGAAGCCTCCGATCAGGCGGCGACAACAGCCCAAAATCACTCAACCACCTATGCGCATCGATCTGCGCCACCTTGTCCTTCTCCACCCTACTCACCTGCGCCGCCACCCTCGGTATATTCAAGAGTTTAGGATACTGCGAGCTCTTGACGGTACCCGTGCGGTAGAGGTCGTCCAGCCCAAAGTAGGGATCCCTAAACTCCATTTCGGTTGTTGTTGAGAGGCCGGGGAGGGGGAGGAGCAGGAGGGCTTTGGCGATGTAGAGGTAGGCGAGGACGTCGATTAGGACGAAGGCGACGAGGGCTATGACCACGCCCCGGGAGACGGCTGGTGGTGGTGTGGGAGGCGGTGCAGCGCGTTTGCTATCTGCATTTCTCGGGTTAGTCACGGTGGTGGACGTGACACAGGCAAAAGAGCGAGCATAACACGCACCGATGAGGCCCTCGTCGTCCTCGTTCGTGCTCAGCAAGTTATAACTTTCCTCAGGATAACGGACCATCCTGTGCTCAAAGCGCTAGCAAGCGGTTAACGGTGACTGTAAGGAACAAAAGCGTCAGGTGAGAACGGGTCCGTAACATATCACAACACAGGTACTTACACACCCTAAAGCTGTACAAATCCGAGTAAGTGCATTTCCCCGATACATAAACAGAAGAACCTTGTTGCTAAATGGAAGAAGAACGGAGTTGAGCGGAGTTGATTTTCGTCTCAAGTCTCGAGTTGTCGATGTCTGTCACGGAAACGGGTGCTGAGGAAAGACGGATTTGATAGATGGGAGGGTGGTGCTTCTCAGGTCTTTCTGACTCTTCCTCCGGCCGAAGTCCGGGTAGACGGGGCCTGTAAGTCGGCGGTGCACCTGGGGTCCGTCAATTGTTTGAGTACTGATGTATTGAACGAGATACGTTCTCGTAAAAATACATGTGAGAAAGGGTTGCGGACAGCCGAGAGAACAGTCTATTTCTGCTCTTCAGTTCGCATTTCGAACAAGTGAATAGGCCATTCCCCGACTGAAGAAGGAATCATTGTCGACGCGATATGTTTGAACCCCAAACTGGTGTATACCGCGATCTAAAGCAAGAAAAACAATCAGCGCTGTAGTAACTGTGCACGGAAGTTGCACTTACATTCACGTCGTCTGTGGTGGTTGTCCCAACGGTTGACCCAGTCGCCTTCGCCTGATATTTGACGCTCAGAACGCGAGGCAATATCTATATAGAACGTGTGTTTACCTTTTCGAGAACGACGTTGAAAAGCGCCCTGAGGACTCCTTGACGTTGCGAGTCCCTCCTTACGAACGCTTGATGTAACCACCATAGGTCCGCCTTCGCCTGTAGCGCGAGGTGTCAGCCGCATCCAAAGGCGCTGAAGTTCGATGCTTACCGTTGGACCGAGATGCTCTTGGACGAAGCCAGGGTATCGAGCCATGTACTGACATGGCACTGTCAGTAAAACAAGACTACGCTCACTTTGGAATAAAGGAAACGAACCGTATTTTGCCAATATTCTTTAGTCTCATCCGAGAGTTTGTTCTGGAACTCGTGCAATCCTAGGTTTCGTTGGGCCTCCCTGTTCTCGGCGGTCAGTTTGTAAAACCAAGCGCCCAACAAATTGAAAGGTCCTACGATTCGAACAACTGCTTTCCCGGGGGCATCCACATGGTATACCCAACGAGTTTTCCAGCCTCGTCAGTGGCGACGTAATATTCGCCCTCCAGTGCACCAGCACGGAGCATCGCCCCTATCATATAGGAGACCAAGGAAAGGTCACCTCCGAGTAGACTCAAGACGCTACGATCTACGAGTGCGTCAGTCAGCTTGAAATTATTGCACCAAGGAAATCGCGTTTTCGAACTCACCTTCTTTCATCAGATCCAGAAACAAATCGGCGGAGGCCCGGATCTGTTCGTCTGGAAACCGGCGTCAGAAGCGGAGCCAGACGAACAGCGAGTCTCCCCTCGTACCGGTGGGATTAAAGACCTGTTCGATTGTAAACTTAACCATGGTTGCAAATAGGATGGTGACACAGAGAGAGTCGCGTGGGCAAAAGACAAGCCTACTTTTGCAAGGGAATCAATTAAAGCGATTTGCCTCCATTGGTAAAGATCACTCACTGCTATTGCAGGCGTCCCGAAATATACCCCGAAACTTGAAAATATGCCAGGCAACGCATGGTCGATGCCGTGCTTTATCCTGTAATGACGAGGATACAGCGGTGGTACAGCCCAAGACAGTGTGGGAGTGAACCAAAGAACCTGATCTCCTCATGCTTCTCCTTCTCCTACGTGATTGGATTCGTGATTGGATTGCGATAGATAAGATTGGAAAACATTCCAAAGTGGCGCGGGTCGAAAGGTTTCCGGTGTTCTAGATCGAGGTTGTAAGTATAGAAGAAGCCTATTAAAAGGCGCCGCTTAGCTGTCGTCGTGATCCTACCAAGTTCCACTGGGCAACTGTATCCGGGAAGTGCCCTGATTGAGGGAAGACAGGCTGTGAGACCGAGGTAAGCTGAAGGAAGCCGTGGATATCTCCCGCTCACCAAACTTTCTCTCTACGTCTTGCAGTTAATTGATACACTCCAGGATGCGCAAGCCGACTGTCGATGTGCTCGCTGTCGGGGCCTTGCTCTGCGTGTCGCTGTATCTGACATGGACGCTGTTCAGCTTCGCCAGAGAGGTGGACCAGCTGTTACTGTTGGAAGCCAACATGCCAGCAGCCCGTTCGCCCAAACCTACTGATTCGTGGTGTGAGCAAAGCGTAATCTTGTTCAAAGGAGCGTACTCACCATTATCCCAGCCTGGATAGGGAACGACCACCCTGTTCGTCTTCCAATAGAAGAACGACCTGTCAAAATGATCGTTCAAGAAAGCACGCATTTCCCCCTATCTGGACCCGAAGCCAAAGACGAATGGCTATGGACCGCCACGGTCGGCGACGGGCACGTCCGCCTGGGCAAAGACATGCGCATGTTCGCTGTCGCCATGTTCCACCAACTCCACTGCCTCCGAGGCGTCCGCAACGCCCTCGAAAAGGGCTGGAAGAACCTCCACCCAGCTCGGAAAGGCCACATCAACCATTGCTTCAACTATCTGCGGCAGTGGGCCCTATGTTCTGCTGATGTTACGCTGGAGCCGGGAGACTTTATGACGAGGAATTTCACGGTTGAACGGGCGGGGGCGACACATACGTGTGTCGACTGGATTCCTGCGTACGATTTCATGCGAGACCAATGGCGAGCATGGGAAAAATTTCGAGATGAGCACAATATTCCTATACACGACGATGTCACGTAGTACTGTTTCATTTACCTGGGGAATCTATTAGGTTCCAGCTAAAGGATTGGATCATGGAGACATACCGTCTAACCTCTACCCGACGGGTCACTATTGCATTATCAGTTCTCCAGCTTCCACTGGGACCAGAATGGCTACGGGTCTGTGAAGAGGCAGAGTCGCCGGTGTCATCTCCAGCGTTGCCTGTTACTGACTGACATCGTCGCCGTCGTTCCCAACATCGTCGATGTCGGAAGCAGGAAAAGATACGGCTTGTTTGTGCCGCCGCGCCTCATCGGGAATTGCCGCCCCGATTAGAGGGGAATAGGCGCTCAGTCCTTTGCAACCAGGCAATTGGGGACCCTATACGGGTACATGGTGAAATAGCCGGAAAACCGTCAAGAAGTAATCATATGGATAATTTCGGAGGGGATTACAGCTGGATACGAACTACGACGGGATAGTGTATACTTCAACATTGAAATTGCTGTCGAGAGTGACAACTTTGGCCTGAGATTCGTCGATATAGGTCTTAAGGAGGAAGGGGAGTGGTGGCTGAGGTGTAAAGGCATTACAGACGGACATTGAGGGGCCATCCTCATGCTCATCTGGCCAGCGGTAGTGAAACAAGTGCCAACCGTCGGTTTCCTGACATCCTCCCGGGCTGTACGGGAAACTGATTCCACTGTTATAACCGTACCGCTCATAACCTTCGCGGGGATACAGACCTGTGTCGAGCAGTTTCACGACCTGGAAAGCACATTCACTCTGTTTTCTGCCAGAGGTCGCGATGGGAAGGATGACTCCAAGTGCTCCGTTGTCCATCGCGAGCACGAGCCGGATGGAGTTGCGGGTAATGTATGGGTTTGTGAAGGAGAGTCGATGTCCTAACCCGGTAGAAGACTCCGCCATTGGCGGGCATGATCGCAGTTCTGCAACCGCTGGATTGGACGGCGGCTCTGAGAGAAGTGTCGAGTCTTCCACCCAATTCCAAGCGAAGAATTTAGTGTAATTATGGCGATCTTCCACCGCCAATAGGATGTTTCCTGGAAGAAGATATATTGTCTTGAGATCGTAGTTAGCCTCAGTTGAATTAACAAGTCACAGTTTTTACGTACCTTAATCCTTCGGGATTCGGAAACTGGAATGTAGGATCGAGCATAATCTTCCGCCCCTTGTGGAATCTCAGTCCAGTCAATGATCGTCACCACCTTTGTCGGGGAGTCAATATTGTATGCGAGGTTCTTGCCGTACAATGCGCACGGGCCCAAAAACCTGAGGGTGTGATCCTCGGTAAACGAGGTCAAGAGGGTGGCAGAATATCCTACAACATCCTCCCCTTCAATCTGTGCAGTCAACCGCCAGATTTCGAAATGAACCAGAACCTCCCATATCATGCGACGAACCGCGATATTGAACGTCGAAGGGAATAGCTGGCTACACAAAGGAGGGGCTGATCCATGGTCCGGAGTATACTGCTGCTGCGACAAGGCATCGATTGCAACAGAGATGTCTGTGCAAGGGTTTCCGCAAAAGGCGCTCGGGGAAGGTATGAGGTCGATGAATTCCGGGTTGGGTTGCCGCGAGTCAATGTAGCCAAGTCTTCCGTCCCCGAAGGCGTAGAAAAGGAATCTTCCTCCCGGAACGGGTCCTTGTAAGCCGAATCTGTAATCAAGGCCCGGGGGCTTGAACCTGTGCACTGTCACTGGCGACACCATTAATCCATCCAACCCCCTCCACCACCGAGTAATACGGTTTTCAAGATCGGATGCCGAGCAGAGGCGAAGCGGCTTGGGCAAAAAGAAAGGTCGGGCGAACTTGGTTTCGTAGTAGCGATACAACAGGGCCAGCCAGACCGAACGCTCTCGCGAGACCTGGTTCAACAGGCGACACGTCTGTGGTGCTGGTGTTAGTGTCTATTGCGACAAAGGATAGAGAAGACGCACCTGTCGGATTCGGAGGATGTCTTTCCATTCAAGGTATGCGAAGATGTCGATAAGTAGCTCGTATGGGAGGCTCGTGAGTCTTCTGGGCCTCTGGGACGTAGATTCCTATGAGAATGTGAGAAAAATCGCACAGACAGAGTGAGAAATTGGACATTTACCCTCCGGGTCGCGTAATTGACGAGACACTGAACCCAATTTCCAACGACCTCGAATGCGGTCGAAAGGACTTGGGAGGACATGGTCGTTCTTGGAGAGTTGCTCCCCAGCTACAACCTGGAGGGTAATGTTCAACACGAGCTGAACACGAGTCCAGCGAATGCTTCTCGTGACCACGGACCCACACACTTCAGCGGCCAGCCCCGTTCAGCGACGGCAGAACTCTTGCTGAGCGACAGCATGATCGATAATACGACGAAAAGTACTGCTCTTAACTCCCAGTCAGTCGGTTCCATTCAACCAGTAGAACTTCGTGAAGAGTACTCGGGCCTTAGTCCTGAGACCGTTGACAGTTATGGAAGTAGAATGTTGTATTTTGAACCTGATATCGTCTCCAGTGTTGCCCGTTACTTTAGCGTCGTCGTCGTCGCCGTCGTTCTAGTCTCGGAAACCAGCCTCCATTACCGTCGTTCCCAACGTCGTCGACGTCGGAAGCAAGAGAAAATTCGGTCTGTTTGTGCCGCCGCTCCTCGTCGGGAATTGCCGCACCGATCAGATCCCGACGCACCGCCGCCGTCGGGCGGTAGGCGCTCAGTCTGTTTTCATGAACAAGTTGGTACCACCATCATCCACCTCAGGCACCGGTGATGGACGGTTCCCACGACCTCTTAGACCCATTATTTGGCAGACGGTTAATTCACCCAATTAAACCGACCGGATGACCCAGGGATGACCTTTGTGAACCGTATGGTCAGCGCCCGGTTCTCGATTAGTACAGGTTACCGACCGTTCATCTCTCGTCCGGTCACGCGTTTGGGTTGTCCATGGACTGGGTGTGCGCGTGATTGGATCTCTGATGTGAAATACTTCGACAGATGACATCGGACAGGGAAGAGAAGCTCCCAAGCTTGTTATGTTTTCGCCCTGTCATCGGGCTTGAATATGTTAAAATTCAATTTTTGCTTGGAGAAACGGTCCGCTCACTTCAAGGTTTATCATACAGGCTATTGCTTCAACCGTGCTTGCTATGCGCAAACAATTACTGTAGAACAACCAGCTTCTGACACTCTATGGGCATGATAAAATATGTACAAAAATCTCGTTTCCCTACTCATGCAATGTACTGTTTGCTCTAGGCCTTGGTATGTGGTTTGTCACAGTGCTCACTTAATGCTCTGGCGAGTATTACGGTGGAATATTAAGCATAGAGTGACCTATTATGGAATCAGGGCATTGGCCAAAACATAACACTTGGAACCGGCTACCACTCTTACCCTTGGCATAGGTGGTATAGTACTCCCTATAAATGTTTTAATTTATAACAGTTACCAGCATACTACCCTTTATGGTAGCAGACCCAAAAACCGCGCAGATACGAGTAAAAAGCTGCCGAACAGCCCTCTGGGTACAGAACCCTCCAAAAACAACAAATGTCAGAATTGAAGGCACTGTGATCAGGATTTATACCAGATACAGATTCTTCGTGGATCTAAGTACTCTACTTAAGTTGACTGATACTCCGGCTGGACGTTTGTCCGGTGGAAAAGGTGGGGATACAACTGTAACAGTGAGTCAGGTAGAGAGATTACTGTAGGAACTTAAAGACCTTTCGTGCATTGGCTGACTTTTCGTCTGACCTACCAGAACCGTGGAGAAAATGGTGGCATCTCAAAGGGACAATATATTTAGGAATTCTGGTGATTTTCTCGTGAATTGTAGGCCATCTGTGAAGGCAGAAACAGCCGATATGTTGGAGGTGAAACCCGAACCTCGACCGGATCACTTTCGGCAAAGTCCGAGAATCGTCGGGATGCCCAATTTGGGGTGGACGCCGTTCAGTGGATGCCCATCGGGCTGCGGGCGCCAAGCGAAAGAGGCTTTTACTTTCCAAAAACAATCCAGCGAATGGATATGTTTCAAGTAAAAGAACCGCGATACTGACACATCCTGCCCTAGCCCTCGATTCGGTGGATGCGCGCCAATATATCTGGATGACAAACTGAAGTCTAGTATCTACCAGACCCTGCCAGTTGGCAGTCCGTAGCCATTGTGAATTTTCAGTGCTATGTTGGGGGAGAGTCCCGTTGTGGGTATGACATTTGTCAAACACATTTCCGCCTACCTCTTTTCACAACCAATGGAATAGAATAACAACCAAAGAATGGTATGCTTTTTTATCATTTGATCATTTATGTAAACTGTGGAAATGGCGGGGAATGGCTCGCCTCCTGACCGACCGACCGACGAAGTGATAAAGGTGTGACCGCCCACCGACCGTCTACCCGTGACCGCTTAAATTCTCGGTCGGTTCCTGTTCCTAATTGGGATTTTTGTGTGTTTGACCGGTTGGTTGGTCGTCATTTAGCTGCATTGTGGCACGCCAAAATAAAGGGCCTAAGGGGTGTAGTTCCCGTGGGAACCGTCGCTCCTGAGCTGCCATCATCTCTGGTCTATTGACTACATTCTGAGTACCTTTTTCTGGTTATCGCTTTCTGTGACTGGATATTGCTTTATCCAACGGCGGTTCTATTTTGAACGTATTCCTTTGCTTTGTAACGCGACTGAAGCCTATTGACTACTGCTTCCTTGACGACAGACTCCTACCTCCTTGACTGAACGGCTGCCCAGTGAATTACTGGCTGACTCACTGACTACCATAGCTGTCTATAAACCGACTGGCGGCTTGTTTTCTCGGACTCGAACCGTGAACAACCAACTGGGCCTAGCTCACCGAACCACCACAAGAAAGATGTACACCGCTGCCAGCGCTCACGAAGCATCACTCCGGAACCGCATCCAAGACCTCGTATGTGACTACTCCCGGACACACTACACGACGGATTATGTGGAGTTTACGACTGAAGTTGTAGCTGATGTGCGTTCCTTTGCTTGTAATCGTGGCTCGGGAGAGAGGGTGTACTGACAAATTGCGTGCATTGACGAACTGCATATACCTATCCTGGCGAACACATCCGCATACCATGGGCGAAACGCGTACTACGAGGGCGACACCGCATATATCGACCCTTCCGACGCGTATACACAGTTCCTCGACACGCTGCACGAAATCCCAACCAACAATCCCAACACTTTGGTCTTACCACCAGAACCGATGGCTGTCCTTCTGCAGTTGTACAAAATTGATTCGCATGCAACAAGGGAAGATGCGCTCACCAAGACTGTTCCGGATGAGGAGTGGATTGTGTACCCCGAGTCTTTGGCGTTGGTCAAATCGGTGCTAGGAATGCAGAAGGGAAGTGGAGGAGGGAGTAGGTCTGAGTGCGTTGTTTGGGAAAGCAGGTCAGGTCAATCCGGGACCTGGATTTCGTCGTTCCGCGATTTGGATGTGAGCTGACAATAGTCCCGTCCTTTTTTGCGTTCTTTCTTTCTCCATCTACAACCCAATCGAGCTGCCTTGTGTCACGGCTCTAACAGCCCACTCGAGGTGCGCAACGCCTAAACTGGGGGAAGGGAAGTTAGTGCGAGGCCGAGGATACCTTTGCGGTCACAGTCGTTCACAACGGGGTCGTCTATTTGATTACAGGCAGAGCTGATTTTCTCTTGCCCCACATCTCAGAGTCGCTCCACAGTTCCATGGCAAAATGTGAGTTCATGTGTGGTATCTTGAAAAGAAGTATATTTTCTCATTAGTATCATGTTTACAGCCAGCGTTCGGATTATGGAGGCCAACAAAGCAGTAGAGACTTACGGGGATCTCATGTCACTGTATCATCTCACTTCGACGAGAGAAAGGAAGCCTGGCCTCCGGACCCCTTTTCTAGTGGAGGCGAAGGCCTCGCGAGCGGCACTTTGGGAACACATTCCACAAGTTGTGGCGCAGAGTATCGCAAGGTAAGCACTGTCTGTTTGCGTGTTTCCCCATTGACCACAGCTAACCTTCCAACGAATGTCAACTACCCAGTATGTGCATGAACAACAGGTTCGTGATTCCTGTCTTTCCTACGCGCCCCCTCGTTAAATACAGCCATCGGGTGCAACTCCTATCTGTTAGGTTGGGTGAAGAAGTCACGGCTATGAACTGGGTCCTTTCCGACGGGATTCGATGGCTGTTTGGGACAACTTCAAAGGCGACAGGGAAATACACTTGCGAATATGCCGTCGCTGGTGAATTTAACCTGAATCTCAGCCAGGATGCATTTAATGTAGACGATACGACATGCAAAGCACTCTTACAACTGCTGGAATTCTGGGTAGGGCATTTCTTCATGGCACTGAAATAATCTACGCGGAATGCTGATACTCATGCAAAACAGGTAATCGGGGATCCTAAAATAGTACATGAGGTAGTATTGACAGGCCTTGCACAACGAGAATCCGGATAAACAGAGTGTAGATTAAGTGGGGTACCATGCTACGGGATAGTATATACTTGATAATTGAATTCATCTCTATCGAAGATAACAAGCTTGGCCCGAGAGTCCTCGATATAAGCCCAGCCATTTTTAAAGGATGGGAGAGGTAGCGTGATGTTCGATATGGACATTGAGGGGCCATCTTCATCGGGCCAATGGTAACGCAACAAGCGATTGGCTGGTGGTTCTATTTCAATAAATATTCCACTGTGGTATCCGTACCAGTGGAAAGCCCCCCATCGCAGGTCGATGTCGAGAAGTGTCACAAGCTGGAAAGCACATTCGCTCTGTTTCTTACCCGAAGCCGCGATGGGGAGTATAAGTCCATAAACTCCTTCATCTGTCATGAGAACGTGTCGGATAGAGTCACGGGTGATGTACGGATCCATTAAGGGAAAGATAAAGCCTTCCCGGACACAATGGGTAGCCATGGGCGGGCGGGGTTGCAGTATTCCCACCTCGGGGCTGGATGGCGGCCTCGAGAGAACCGTAGAGTCTTCCACCCAGCTCCAAGCGGAGATGCGCACTGACGTGTATTGCTCCCAATGAAACGCCAGCAAGATGTTTCCCGGAAGAAGAAGTATTTTCTTGCACTATATGCTGTAGATATTATTCATAATTTGCGATTACATCCACTCGTAGGTTATTCATAAAAAGACCGTTTCCCCCAAGCTGCTTTTTATGCATAATTTACACCCTGATGAGAGGACCACGCTCGATCACGGATGCCTTCCAAACAGGGACAGGAACCCCTGGCCCTGATGGCCGCAGTCCGGCACGCCAGGCCACCCCCGGCAGGGGTCACACCCACACGATGCGATCTGTAGCCCTCCCAAAAAGGCGACTCCTCCGATCACCTGTCAGAATCCAGCACCATGACGCCGGTGACATCACCAAGTGACCTTAAACTGTCGACCCTGGGGAATCGGGCGCTTCTTTTTCGCGAAGCGCCTCAACCCATCAAACTCCCATGTCAAATGATTATCAATTATGAGACCTCCGGAAACAAACACCCAATGTCAGGAAACAACCAAAAACTTGCTCCACCGTACTAGACTGCCTCCACCATGATCCAAGGGTCCCTCCCATCCTCCATAGTCAACAATCGATCGCGGATTGATCCCCATTGCTTCAGAGCGCGCGCCAGCATGGCCTCGCGAATTCCGGCCTGCCTGTGAGCATACGCCACCTTTCCCCGCCGAACCCTCTCCACTGCGGCGACCTCCAACGCGTACACGTCAGGAATAAGGCTGTCCACGAGTCAGCCCTACTCGCGAGTACTTGCAAGTAGACCCGTGGGAATACTTGTGAGTATCCTGACTCGCGGATCCGAGTCACCCGTGCCAAAATACTCATGCGAGTCCGAGTTTGGGATTTTGGCCCATGAGTACTTGTAAAAAGGCCTTAAACAAGGCTTTACGGCCCTCTAGTGCTGTATATCTGCTTTAAGTAGGGTCTATCCATGAAAGGAACACTAAACAAAGGTATATTGATAGAGATATCACAGATTAAAAGCATACAAACCCTTGTGAGTATTTGACTCGTGGATCCGAGTCACTCGTGCCAAGAAACTCATGTGAGTCCGAGTTTGGCTTTTGGTACTGTGAGTACTTGCCTTGCGGCTCCGAGTCAACTCGCGAGTTGACTCGTGGACAGCCTTAGTCAGGATGGGAATTGAACTCCGTTCGAGGAGGGGCCACCAGTGACGCGGGGGACTGATGGAACACTGCGCGCTCTCTCCAGCGTTTCCCCTCCCATCGAAACGTCGCCTCGACTCTTCTAATCTCCTCGGCCAACAGCAGACATTCCTCCTGCCACCGGTGTGCGCGAGCCCGGGTTTTACACCACTCCAAGCGGAGATCTGCGAAGGAACAATGTGACGGTTAGCCTATGGCGGCGAAAAAACACAATAAAATACCATATCAAAACGAGAAAAGGAAGACCCACCTGATGACCCGGCCTGACTCCCACTCTCCACAGAGCCGACTCTCCAAATCCAGGTCAACTTCTTGCTCCCCTCACCCCCCTCGTCATCGTCCAACGTTAACCCTCGAACGTCGCCGTCAGACAAAACGCGCAGTGTGCCTTCCCAATCCCGCTCCCCCGTTACGGAGCTCAGGTTGGACAAACACGCGCGAACGAGCTTGTAGCGCGCGATGTGGTTATCGATTCGAGTGGCGATGGTCCCGATCATTGAATTGGCGCGAGATGTTTGCCGGTACCCCTGGGTATATTTTTTTTTCAGTTGCCACATATGTGATCGAAGAATGAGGAGGGTCCGAATCTGCTGAAGCACCGTTTCTCCTTGGGCGGTGCGGTACCGCTGCTCGTACCTGGCCAAACGTTTGTCGTAGGGAACAGAAGCGGGAACCGCGGAGGGTAGGAACAGGGGGAGAGTACAGGTGTCGTCCGGGCCGTCCGATGCCTCAATCTCCTTCTCCTTCTGGTATGCCGCGACAGCAGGCATGAAGTAGGCCTGGAACTTCCTCCAGGCCCCGATCTTTCTCCGCAGCGCCGTGGAACGCTCAGTGATGAGAGCACGTTGACGACTCGTCGAATGAGCTCCCAACTCCTTTGTGTCCAATCCCAGCCTCGCTCTGAAACACCAACTGAAGTCAGTTACGAGCCCCTGACTGAGGCTAGGACACGTACTGCGCAGACTCCAATTCCAGGCCCATGCGAATGAACACGCTTGGCCCGACGTTCTTGTGAACCATGACGACCTCGCCGCTGGCCACAGCCGCTTTGTCTTCCTCTGCGAGTGCTTCCCGCACCTTGTCGGCAGTGAGAACTAAGAGCCACTAGGTAAGCACCCGTCCCAAAGGCGGACCAAAAAGATCTCACTTTCGGTTTTCGTGAGGAATGGGTTGTCGCACTCGGGGTCCTCCTCCCAATCCAGGACCTCCTGGGTCCACTCGGCCACGGACTCCTCAGGCAACGCTTTAGAGAACTCAAGGAACGCATCAAGCTGCTCCTGGCGTTTCTTGATGGCCTCCTCAGCCCGCTTTAGAAGGTATACCGCTGGGGAAGAGAGTCAGGTACAATCAACGTAATATAGCCCAGTACATACCCATTGCCACTATCTTCAGCCAATTATCGTCGCCCCAGTGGTCATCGATTTTGTCGCGACGCGCCCCAGGACCCATCTGACTTGTACTTGCTGCAAGCTCGTTGCTTCCTCGCCATCCCCGCTCCACCGACTCCGCGTCTGTCCTCCCGCAGCCCTTCGTGAAGTTGAACGAGAACTCCGCCTGGCATTTTGCGACATGGGCGGCAAGGTGGTATTTTGGAACGAGGAAGATCATACTCAGCAATTTATGGAAACCCTTCGAAAGCTTCTTTGGATACTTCTTTGCGCGTTCCCGAAGCTTCAGGGACCACTGGCAGCCGATGTTGTACGACCAGACCACCTCCCCTGGTGTGTGATGTCGTACGGTACTGAGTGAGAAGTAATCCATATAAACAAATCTAGGGAAAAAAAGAAAGAAATCAGAGAGTTTCCAAAGGCGACGACGACCCTGAAACACACCGTTCACCCTTGTGTAGGTCCCCCGCCGACTCCGGTCTACGCATGTCGTGCCGCGCGCACATCGCGATGCCTACGCCCGTGACGGCGACAGGGCACTCAGTAGCTTTCCCACAAGGTACATGTTCTACCTTCCTTCTCAGGAACCCATGCCCCATGTGGTACCGGGCCCAGCTTGACAAGGAAAGTGCCCAAGTAAAATGTCCGAGCTATCTCCATTCGAGATACCAACTCTCCTGTCCCAGCTAGCTCCTGTGTTCCGCGACAGGATCCTTGTTCCGTTTACCATCCGGATGTTGGGCATGTCAAAGCTGGTCACGGGATCTCCGCCATTACCCATAGCCTTCTGCATTCCTCCCGGCTCTTCCTTTTCAATAGCAACCCAGTTCATCTTGCATCCTTTATGTTCTAGCTGCTTGAGTAGCTTCCATTGCTACATTGCTTTATTCTTCCACCGCACATAAATTCTGTTGTTAGAAATAATCTGTCACACATAGACTGACTGCATATCTCTGTATAACTCGGTTTATCTCTATATACACCTCTTTAATAGATGACTATTATCGAAGGGTGTTCGAGCTGCGTAACCAGCTTCGACAGCCAAGCTGTGTGTTCCACAAAATGATTGTGTGACCCATGTTACAGCCTTCTGCCCAGCTCGGATTTCCACTGATTCTTGTTGTGGGTTCCTCAGCCATGCCATGGCCCATAGGTCCCCATGCATGTCCCAGCTTCCTACCCAGCTTCGATACGTCCGGAGTTACTCCGGCTCCTCCTATGCTTGATACATGGCCCTGCCCCCTAGCAAGCTTTAACAAGTGCAGAATTATTTACTTGCAGTGCGCAGAGCTTCGACATGTCCTCAATTATTTTCTGCACAACTAGGTTAGCCCAGCTTGACACCGAGCTGACTCCATCCCCAACCAACATCGCAGGGGTACAGTCAATTAGTTATAAAGTCCTGCCAGGTCAAGGGAGGCAAGTGTTACCCAAGGGCGACGCTTCACCCATTGATGCCTTCTTTCCTTCACGGTAAGCAGTCTCCTTGGACTCCTTCTATCTCCCGCCCCGCGGACCGGAACTGAATCCTTCCGTCTCCACACTCAGTCTCTTTGGTTGTCCTTCCTTCCGGGCCGGATTTGAATCCCCTCTGTCGCCGATGCAACTAGTTGCCCTTGATCCGTCACCTGAACAATGTTCCTTGTCCGACATCAATGTTTCCTTCTCTGCAATCCACACCCCTTCTGTTTTGAAACGTCTTGTTTCCTTCCTTCCTTCAATAGGGCACAGTCAAGTTATGATGGGATCACCTATTTGACGCTAAGTGGGTGATGAGCTCCCAACAAATTGGTGGGAAGGGTTAAATACCATCAAACATGGCCATCCATTGGGTGTGGTGGTCTAGTGGGATTGGCGTCTCCATTCCATGGAACGCTTGGGGTTCGACTCCCCTTCCATGCCAAACTATTGAGATAATTTGGTGTCTGGCGTATTGCACGCCACGCACCAAATTATCTCCATAGTACTTCCTCTTTTTTTTTCGTTTTTTATTCTCTTTTCCTACTCAACCCGAGTGTGCTTTATTCAAGTATATTCATTTACCCTTGTTCTTCTGAGCTAAAACATTGTCTCTAGCTTCTTGATTAATACATTCATCCCTAATCAGCCCTTGTAGGGCACCACCATCCCAATACCCAATCCAAGCCATCTCCTCGACTTAATCACGGGGCGTGTCCACATTTATAAAGGGGCCAAGTTCTCATGATACTTTCCCCTCCCCCGTCATCACTATTCCCACCAATAATGGAAGAGCAAGCTCACCCTATCGAAGCACGAGTCTTTCAAACAATCGAATCTGCAGCTATCAAGCTGATGGAGCTCAGAGGTTGGTTGGAGTCCACTCAGTCACTTTCTTTCCATTCACCAAGTCCTCGTTATTTTGCAGAACTCCAGCTTCAATACGTCGAAAACCGTCACCACGTCCTGGCACTGAGGCAATTCGAAGCAAAGTCCCGCGACACATGGCAACGAGAGTTACAGCGCCTGCGGGAGGAACTGGGACCGGAAATCGACAACATTCCAGTTCATATTCCAGCGATGGACGCTGTGGAGGAGGCCAACGAACAGCATCAACGTCGCAAGGCATCGATCAATACCCTCTGCGACGACTTAATCGAACTCACGAACCGTCTCAAGCGAGAAGTCAGTGGAATTCAGGCGGAGGAAGGAAATGGTTACACCGCAGACCAACCGATTTCCTTGGATTGTGGACCCCAGGTCAAAGGCGGGACTTCAAACGACGACCCTATTGTGATTGAATGACCAAGTATACTGTAAAATATCAATCCTTCGCTTCGACTCCTTGTGATCAAATTTGAGAATACAAATGTTCCTTCCTTCCGTGCACACTCCTTCCATACGGATTCTGCTAGCACCACTGGCAGTCGAATTCCGTGGACATACTGCCTATAATTGAGTTGACATGCCTCACGGACGCGCTCCAGAGGAAAAGACCAGTTACTACGCAAGAAATCCCTCCAATACAAATACCCAGCAACCCTTCACTCCCTCCCCTCTTCCAGCTCGTGCTCCTTGTTGCAGATAGCAGCCTCAATTAAGGCCAAGTCCCGACGGAGGAGGTTTTGCAGGCGGTAGTAGCTATTCTGCCTCTCCTGGAGTTCCACATACATCCATTGAAGTGATCGAGTGTGTTTCTTGATATAGGCACTCGAGACGGTAGCGTCGTCAATGGAACCAGACAGCCCAAATTCCGAAACGGAAGAAACGGAATCTTCCTCCTCATCCGAACTCATATGGTACGACATAGGGGAATGCGACCTTTGCCGTTCTAGCAAAACATCCACTCATTCAGCCTTCCACAAGGCTTACCACTAAAAAAAGGAAACTCACCTGGCGGCTCAGCGTCGATTCCTTCCTTGGTTCCCCCGCCATCATGAGAAACAGTGGCCCCTTCCTCTCCAAGAACGTTCCGGGAAGATTCTATCGGGGGAAATAAGGAACACATTTCAGATAACCGCCAAACTCCAGCTGAGTCCAATCTCACCGGTCGTAGGAGCGCTCATCTCAAGGGAGCTACGGGCAACAGTGGGTCAAAAAACTGGAACTCCAGTCCCGAAAATATCTGATATTTACCTGTCTGTGGGTCAAGGGTCAAGACGCGGGGACAACGTGCGATAGAAGGCAAATCCTGGTGCTCACCTGAATCAGAATCCGTCTCAGAGTCGGAACTCATTCTGTATGATAGTGGTGTTCCCGACCGCACCGATTTATCTGAATTAGAATCCACTTCCATGATTCAGGTTGGTGCCTACGGTAAAGGAGAGAGAGTCGAAAAATGAGTGAACCAATGGAGAAAGTCGCGTAAAGGGGTTATAAGCACCCCAGCTGGACCCCGCGCCCAGATAAGATGACATTCACATTCCCATCAATCTCTTAGCTCTCCTACTCAACTTAAGGAGGATATTTCTCATATCGAACTTGCCCTTGTGATTCCTCTCTTCAACCCTTTCCTCGCTTCTCAAGACAAGAAAAATGCAACCTCAATCCAACACGACCGCGGAACGACCTTCTGACCAGGTCCTCATGGACCGGATTCAGCGTCTTAAGGCCCTCCTCAAGGAGGGAAGTTCCTGGGGGCCTGGAGATGCTGATTTAGACAAGAAGAAACAGCTCTTAAAAGCGTCTGTACGTACTCTCTTCCAACGCTATCGAACTGTGAGCTTAGACCTGAGGACAGGATGCCGTCTATGCTGCTAAACGTGAAAAATGGGTCAAGAAAAAGCAAATGGGTCGCGCCATATCCATCTGGTTCAAGTACCTTTCTTCAGATAACGATGCTCGCGCCGACGCCTCCAAAATCAACTTGGACATTTTGAAGCAGGACGTTTTTACTGACATTCAAGTTGGTGCGTAGCATCTCCCTTTTTCGGATACCTGGCCCTAATTGGGTTCTCGATATCCAGATCGATCAAACCCCGCCCTTGCTCCGGCCCAACCCCCTGCTCCTAGGATCCCTCCTGTTCCAGAAGTAGTGATTACTGCACCACCACCCACTCCTTCGAGATCGATTGCGACCAACAAGGCACCTTCCAGCGCGACATCGCAGATCAAGAGAACGGCAAGTCGGGACGTTGGTGCTGGGAGTGAAGGACAGACTGCAAAGAAACAGAGGGTTGACTCCTCGACAAATGCGGCCGGGGAGCAGAGGAGAAGGGAATCCAATGGAAGCGATCAGGGAGGAAAAGGCGAGGATAGAAGGCGGGATCTCAGCCCCATTGCAGAGGAGGAGGGAGGGGCTCTGGGTAACGACGCCCTCAAGAGGAAGGAAGGGCCGAGTGCGTCGACGGAACGGAAGAGGAAGAAGTCGAAGAAAACCACCACCGCGGAGTTGACCGGGCAACTCGCCGTGGAGGAATCTCCATCCAGTTCCTCTCGTCCTCAGCCAAAAAGGAACCGCAATGACCCACCGCCAGACCACACCCTAGCATCCTCACCATGCAAAAATTGTACCACCAGACAGATTCCTTGCTACACCGGCAAAGCCAACGTCGCTTGTTGGCCCTGCCAGACAGGCCACATGAGTGGTTGTAACTTCTCTCGTTACAAGCGAGGTCAATCGAAGCGATCCAAAAGCCGAGGTGGGTAAAGAACCGTTGTCATTTGTCTGCAAGCTTTATCTAACCTTTATCGTATAGGTCGATCGAAGAGCAGGGATAGGGAATCTCGTCGCGGGGAGGAGGAAGCCGCCAACTCCGGCGATGACGACGATGACAACGGTAAGTGAGCGTTTCATACTAACAGATGAGGCGTTTCACATCACGATCCCTTCTGTAGCCCCTACGTCGAGGAACGAAAGGGCCCCACCAACCACAACCCGCACGAACATTCCTCAATCCGCACGGACAGCAAGCCAGCTTAGCACACCCGATGCCACTCCCGGGTCCCTGATCCTCTCGAACCCACCAACTCCTTCCGTTCCTCTCGACAGTGCCGCAGCTGTGCTTCCCCCGGTAAGGATCCCAAGCTCCATCCCATCCTCTATTGATTCTGAAATCCACTCAAAGCTGCCCCGACGTCCACGACCGACGCCGAGACCCAGGAAGCCATCCTTCACGACATCCGCCGATACTGCATCCCCAAACACTGGACCAGCCATCGTGGAATCAGCAATCAATAATCCGGTAAGCCTCTCCACCAGGGCTATCAACCCCAGGAGCCTTGCTAATCATTAGTAGATCGTCCAAGCATCCGCCAGTACCCAGGAGTCAAACGCTGCGGAGTCTCAGAATGTTCGTCAGAGCGTAAGTCCCTTTTTTTTTGGATTCAGGCAATCGCAAAACTCACGTCCGCCTTTCCTTAGACCCACCGCGTTATAGCCCCGGCGGGAACGACTTCGGAACCTCAGCCATCAGTAAGTCGGTCCGCCATATTCCTTCCGTGTGATTTTTTTGATCAAGGAATAGCAATTGCAGGACAGGGAAGCGGTCGGTACCCCCTTAACGCCTACTCTCGTTTACCCCGCTGACGTTGTCCTAGAATGACGCTGTATCCGATGCCCAAGGGAATGCCACCGGCGCTGACCTCACTTTTACCTCAGCCAACTACTCACAGAAGGTACCCTTTTTCTATTTTTGTCACATTCCACGGCCATTGTTAACCGGTCCACAGTCAGATCCTGTTTCCACTGAAATGGTTTGGCAAATGTTTCAAGATCTATTGACCCAAGGCATCTCGAAGCTTGACGAACGGGTACACGACAACGAATCCAAAGTTCTTGGCATGAAGTCCGCGCTTGGCGTCCTGCTGGAGTCGAATGAGGCGCGTCAGAAGGATGCGGACCGCATTTCGAAGCTTGAAGCAAGGCTGGACGAAACGACCGCACTTGTCCAGACCTACCGCACCGAGCTTGAGCTTGCCAAGGCCAAGGTGGAACAACAGGCGGGCATCATCGGCGAGTATCGGAACCTCTTGGGCCTCAGCGGTCTCTTCCAGCAGTTGCCTTTCCTCTCGGGAGGATCGAACTTGACAGCACCAACACCCCCCGCAAATGGCCAGCCTTCCGGGTCTAACCCCACATCTTTCACCCACGCTCGCTCCGCCACTTCCGCGCCTTCGCATCAGGGACATCCTCGCGCCCAATCCTCAACCACCTCGGGTCCCTCCACTGCCTCCAACCACAGGGATGTCAATCCTAGCACGTCGCTCCCGGGATCGAGCCCACTCCCCGGATTTCTTCCTTCAGGGGGGGGCGATGGGTTTGGTTTTGGCGAAGTCAACCCCTCCATGATGAACGTCGACCCCGACTTTCACAGCACCCCAGTTAAGTCGTCGGAATTTCTCAACCATTCCTCTAGCATGCACATGCCACCACCCACCACCGCAGCCCACGATCAATCCCAGTCATTGCAGTCTTTATCTGAGTCTGCACGATGTAAATCCACTAATGACTGGAACGCCTTCTCCGCCATCAGACCCCCTATTGACGACACTCAGCGAGGAGGAACAAGCGCTGCGGCCCATCCTTCCGATACTCAGCTTGCTATGCGACAGGATTCAAGTGGAGTTGCAGGAGGATTTACTGTTCAAGGATCTGTGGGGGCAATGGGTAGTGGAGCCAGAGAACCACCAGGGGATCACCACGGATTCGACACCGCCTCCCGATTCCAAGAAGGACAGTCGCTTGGGCCATTGAGGGCCATCTACAGTGACAGCCCCCTCTCGTCGATGTCCCACAGCGACTTCTCGTCTGTCTCCCAGATGAGAACCACCTTGGAAGAGCAGTAGGCGACCCCACTACTTACTTAATGCACATTTATTCTCTAGCTTCTTGATAGTTGTTTTTTCTTTTTATTTTGTAATGAACCGGAAATTGAGCGTGTTTTCTTAAGTGTTCGTGCTTGGTCTGCAATATGATCAAGAGGCTTAAGATATAAAATAAACGAGTCAACTACAACAGCATTCATCTACGACGGGAAGAGGAGGTTTTGGATTTCTGACTTTGGCGGGCTGGCAAGGAAGGAACATTCCGTTCTGCAGCTTTCCTTGTTGAGGACCTGGTTCCTCGACTGGGCGTATGAGACTGGGCCCTGGTTATCCGTTTGGAGGGTGTTTGAGGCGGCTTGGCGGACAAACGTCTTCGCTTGGCAGCCCGTTCTGGGAGGTCTCTCTTATTGGAGCCCACAGGAGCTCCAAGACCTTCCTTGCGACGTGCACTCCCGTCGAATTCCGTCCCGGACTCCGAGTCCTCGCCGATGTCCCGAGTCGATGGTTGCGGGATAGGGTTAGAGGGGTTGGTAGAAGGACCAGCCAGTAATTCCGACTCAGACTCTCCGCTCGAATCTGAGGAGGACCAAGTCATGGGCTCCAGTGGCTCTGGATTAAGGCTTTCAGGTCACTCAGCACAAGGTAAAACTGAGTTGTACTTACAAGCAGACTTTCCATTTGTCTTCGATCCACTGACTTCGAATTGCTCACTTTCCCGTCGGTCTTGTTCCTGCCCAGGTGAATCATCCTCCGTACCAGGAAACATCGGCCCAGCACCGTCTGACAAACCATCAGCTCCTGGAGTAACGAGGTGAAGAATCTGCAGGTTACCTTCAGCATGGAAGTTGTCATTGGACTCAGTGTCTGAGGATGATCCTTCGTCGGAACTGTCTCCTTCCGAGCTGGCGCTCATTCCCGATTCCTCAGAGGTTGAAGAATCAGAACTGCGGGCGGAATCCGACCCATCGTCGAGGGGGTCTACAACCCGAGCGAGTCGGGCCTTGGTCTGCCCCTTCTTGTTCTCCTTCCTGGGGCCCTCTTTTTCCTTTCCTTTGCCTTTGCCTTTCCCTTTTCCCTTTGCCTTTCCCCTTGCCTTGCCTTTACCCTTTCGACTTCCAGTTCCACTTCCTTCACTACCCTCATTGCTCCGCTCAGTTCCTGCCTCCCCACTCCCGCTTTCAATCCTTCTACCAGGGTCCACCTGAGAGCTGCGCCTCCCCTCGTCACCCCTTCCCCGGTTTTGAGTCACATCCTTGGCCATGCCTTGGTTACCCCCCTCCATCTCGTCGTCTCCTTCAGTCCCAGGGTCTTCAACCTCCACTCTGGGCTTTCGCTTTTGGATGTCCCCCCAGCGGTCGATATAGGCCTTCATCTCGAACGTCTTATCGTTTCGCCTGGCTTCATCCTTCCGTGCGTCAGATTGGAGCGAGTAGATGTGGTCGAACACCTGGACTCTTTGAGGAACCTTCATTTCCGAGGGCTCATCCAAGATGTCTAGAATGTGTTGCGGGAGGAAGCGCTCGGAGAAGAACTCCCTGGGCTCGCTAAGCACGCGGGTCCAGGGAAAACGAGGCCAACTCTTGGAAGTGATGCGAGCACCAGAGGAAAGAGCTGAAAAGGATTGTGAGCTGAAGATCGAGTTACTAGCTGAAGGAATACGACACCATAATGATAGGTAAAGAAGCTGCGGATTGCCTGGGCATACCAATCTCCCCTGACATCGCTCGGTTTCCGGGAACTAGGGCTCGGCAGTGTCATGAACAGGCGAAATCATGACATAGAATGGTGCTTATATACCACGGTCTGCCTGTCCACCTAAGCTGGACATGGGCGCCTTTTTGGCGCAGTGGTTAGTGTGACCGTCTAATCACGACATTATGTCCAGCTTTAACAGGTCGAGGGTTCAACTCCCGGGATGTACACATTTACTGGCCGGTTTGAGTCATGTGAGCTTAAGGTCATGTGACAATAAGAACCATGTGATAGGCGCAAATGTAATGGATCACCCGGGCACCTTCTGGGCCCTCAATAGACCTGCAGGCATGACAGTTGTCCGCTGCCTGGAAAGGCCGGTATAGGGGATGCATCATTCTCGTCTTACGAGGACGTAAGCCATAGAAGGGGGCTAATGTCATGAACAGGCGAAATCATGACATAGAATGGTGCTTATATACCACGGTCTGCCTGTCCACCTAAGCTGGACATGGGCGCCTTTTTGGCGCAGTGGTTAGTGTGACCGTCTAATCACGACAGGCAGGAAAGGTTCCCCAAAGCTGTTCCTGACCATGGGCATCAAGTCCTTCCTTTGCCCTCGAACGCGTCCGGATTCCTTCTCCCCATCCTGCTGTCCGCTATGTTCGAACATCTCAAACACATAGCTGCGGAACTGCTTGAAGCAGGTATTGAGTAACTTCTCATTTTGGTCCCCGAAGTTCTCTGGTCGTCCCAGCTCTTGGTTGATGTCGAGTTCCACAGCTACAGGAATTCCGTCAGCCCCTCTCCAACCAAGGAGAAGATAGCCAACACAGTCATAGTCCTTCTTCACCGCCTTCAAGAATTCATAGCCTTTCTTAGCGGCGTGCTTGTCACCCATTCTATGGATAGGTCAGATTGTCAGTGTTCGGCCAGTACTTAAACGGAAAAATCGTCAAGTTACTTTGCCTGGATATCGGGGGGAGGACCTTCCGAGTTCCACTTCTCCGCCAGCCGTTCGTACTTTTCCAGCTCCTTCTCCGACAGCTTGCTCATAAGATATGTCCCCGCCTGCTGGTAATGGTTAAAAAACCAGTTGCTTTCCTCACCCTTCTTTCCCTTCGTTTTAGGATCCCTCCCCGACTTCGCTCCTTCTTCCACAACTTTCTCTTCCTCATCAGAGCGGTATTCCTCCAAGAATTTGTCTAAGTCGACTCCGCCCTTGACGATCTGCTCCGCCAGGGCATTCACCTTCCGCGAATGGACCTTCATGTAGGCGAGTCGGGTGTACCAGTTAGTGCCGTAGGTTTTCTTCTCCCGTTTTTTCCTTGTTCCATTGGTCCGGAACCAGCTGCGCAGCCCCTGCAAGGAGAGTAAGATCTCAGGAACTTTTACTGGAACTTTCAACCTACCTTGCCAATGGCAGCCCGTTTGTCCCCGGAGACCTCCTCACCTCCATTCTGATTGGCAATCTCTTTGCAGAGATGGTCCGTCAGTGACCGAAGGAATCGTCTCCTGGCTTTCCCCTGAACGTTATCGTAATCCCCTAACTTCTCGCGCATGTAAGCCAATTGAGAGGGCAGGAAGGAGTATCCATGGCGGCTGTGTTCCTCCAAGGTGGCTGGGTCTTCGTTCGAATGGGTGCTCATTGATGGGTAAGAAAAAAGAAGTGATGGGTGGTGTTGCTCAGAAGTAAGGCAGCTTGGACACTCAGCCTTTATACCCCACCGTCACGACCAAAACAGGCTTGAAAAGCTTTGATATTATCCTAGTGGAGAAAGATTTAGGATCATCGGCTGAAGGTACGGATGACCGTTTCTCGCATTGCCAAGCTTCAAGTATTCATCCTTCGTTCCAACCGAAGATGCGTCGAAGTTTTGGAAAGCGAGTCGATTGTGAACCTGCAGACAGAGTGAAAACGTACAAGGCCAAAGTGAAGAGTACCAGCAGTTCGACCAAGGGAAAGCTGACACTGGTCCCTGCCCATCTCAAGACACCTCGCGCAGAGCGAGACCTATTGCGTCAGAAATCAAGGGAGAGTTCAAGGACCAAACGAATAGAACACCTCCTCAGCACTCGGGACAACGAAGATGGTCATACCAGGACTTTCGACGACGGGTCCTTCCACGATTCGGGCCTGTTTGTCCCCTTTGATTTACCAGAATTGGTTTCCGGACCGACCAATGTAAGTGCCGTTTTTGATGGCCTTCTCAATACTGACAGTGCTGGATTAAGCGCCCGAACGATTATCTTCGGGAGTGGAAGCATAATAAAAAAGCAACATACCTAGAGGAGGTTTTGGCCCGCGCCGCCACTGAACTCGAACGTGGCTGTTCTTCATGTGGACTTGAATGCGACACCGTCTGGCGATGCAAAGATTGCTTCACAAAGCCTGTGTTCTGTACGCGATGTTGCCGGGATGTTCATGTGAAGAATCCCTTCCACAGGGTTGAAGTCTGGAAGGAAACTCACTTTGTATCCTCGTGGCTATGGCGTTCGGGTCTTACTCTCGAGCTATGTCAACAAAATCAATGCCGTAGATCCGGTTCAACTGTCAATGGTGGACCTTCTAACGACCAACAACCTTCCTTCACAAGTCCATGGGCACCTTTCCCCGATGATGATGATGCTTCCTTTGGTGCGAGACCCAACTGGAGGGTCTGGGACGACTGTGATCTGTTGGTGATCGTCCACACCAATGGCGTACATCATCTACCAACTCGATTCTGTTCTTGTGACGATGCTCCGCAGGATGACATCCAGCTTCTACGGCACGACCTATATCCTGCTTCCCACAAGGATGTTCGGACTGTTTTCACGTTTGCCGTCCTTGATGAATACCTTCTGCAAAACTTGGAATGCTACACGTCTGCCTATCATTTCTTCTCGAAGCTACGGAGGATGACAAACGAAGCGTTCCCAAAGAAGGTGCCTGTGAGTATGTTGATTTAAATCTATGTCACAAAAAGCCTGACGTTGTCCTTGGAAGGACCGATATCGCGAACTGCTACGCTGTTCAAGGGAGTGGCGTCGGCTGAAGGATCTCAAGCGATATGGGTTTGGTCATCGGGAAGGGGAACCACAAGAGGGCGAAATGGCATTATTCTGTCCTGCGTGCCCTCAGGCAGGCAAGAACGTTCACAAGGACTGGAGAAACGAACCCGACCAGTGGAGATATTCAATAACTCTTGTCGCGGACGGGAACTTCACTCTGGTTCACCGTAAGCAGAAGGGGAATGACGACGTATGGTTGAAGAGTGGAGATGGGTACCTGGTTGAACGGATCAAGTATGATCAACATCTCAGGGTTTCCACCGAGATGGCCCAGGTAAGCTCTGGAGAGATGGCTTCAAGTTCCAAACACGCTCATTTCCCTACAGAAGTCCAGTTGTCACGAACACCGTGCTGTCGAAGATAGGTCAAAAATTCATAAGGGATGCGACGTAACGGGAGTTGGGGCACTCGCATGCTCTCGTCACGGGTGTTTTGCTCCTAGTAGTGTTGTTGGGTTTCAGAAAGGAGAAAGGTAGACGCCCATAACGTTGGTTTGATTTCCGTGCCTGACATCTGTTAAGACAGATCAACAAGGACTATGGGCTGATGGGCGCAGTGCGCACCACCGGTGCATCCGTTGCCCCTCGCCTTAATCTTTTGTATGATATTAACTGTCAGTACAGCATCCACCTGCGGGAAAGGTTCGCAAACAGTTCGTCGCTCTCCTTGCCCGAAGACCTCCCAATAGTGTTCGGGATAGGAAAGTTCCATGTTTTTGGCCACCAGGAACAATGTTTCGCGAGATACTCACCAGCCTTCATTGACGGTATCGGGGATACCGCAGGAGAGATACTGGAACCACTTTGGTCAAACCTCAATGAGGCATCGAGATCAACACAGACCATGTCCCTAGCTCACTACACGGAGGTCCTCGATGATCATATCGCTGACAGTAACTGGAAGAAGTTGATCCACATTGGTGAGTAAACTCAGTTTATAGTCATTGACCGGAACTGAGTTTTATCATAGTGGGCAAAACTTCCGCGGGCTATGAAAAGGCATGGAACAAGTTTTACGAGGCGGAGGAAGCCTTCAAGCTTCTCGATGCGATAGCTTCAGAGGCTCAGCGTGTTCAGTGGCGACATCAGCTAGACCAGGCATTGAAAAAGAGACTGGAGGGGGATGTTGCCGCCATGGACATCCTTACTGTCCGCATAGACAAGCGTAAGTTCCTCCTTTCTGGGCTCTGTTTCGTGTAATTGTATCAGTATTCTGATTAATATCCTTTTTATCCCAAATTGATTTTAGCGCCCACTCGCGCCAAAGTCCAACATGATCTGATGGTGAAAGAACAAAGGCGAAACAAGCACATTGGAGTGACTTCCTGGCTTTCCCTTGGAATAAAGATTCAAGAGTCACAGTGAGTGGTTTCGGACCCACTTTATGGATGTAGAGAGTGCGCATCACCATTTCCATGCATAGATTAACGTTGAAGGCATTCAAGCGCACCCTACCTCGCCTTGATCTTCGCACAGAACTCCAGAATCTGGAGTTAGTACGGAGACGAGAGCAACTTCGAAACGATATCACTGAGTTCCTTGAGACAGGCGCGGGATTGTTTCCACAGGTTGACTTCGACGAGTATTCCTGGGTGACACCGCCGCAGACTAACCCGGAGATTGAAGGGGATGATGAGGATAGCGACTCAGGGATGGAATTGGACCCGGAAAACCCCTTCCTTGAAGATGACAGGGACCCAGAAGATGCTGATGTCCCTTTACCCTCCTCCTTCTCTCAACTTCCGGTGTCAATGGAGTCAGCAGCGCAAAAAGAAATCCAACTCCGCATTGCTCAAGCAAATGACGCGCTCGAGACGGTCCGTACGGAAATTGGGCACAAATCATTCCTTTACCGATCCAATATCCGCCTCGCCGACGGGAAAAAACAGAAGACTCGCGGTTACGCAGCGGTCAAGTCCGTAAATCAGAACATGCGGCACCATATTCGTCTCTACAATCAAGCTCGGTGGTCTCTCAGGAGATTGGGGGCCAACACGGAAATCCTGGAACGGTACCGAGATCTCAAACCCGAGCATACGAAAGCTATTACAGCCATATATCAACCCAATGCCCCTGGCCAGTCACGAACTACTCTGTCATGGATTTGGACGATAGAGGAGCTCGGAGGGAGTGAAACCACCCCTTATCTCGAAGAATGTAAGTGCTGTTGCTGAAACCGCAAACCAACTGGCTCACTCTCGCGTAGTGTATCGAGTTAACTGGCTGCGAGCACTGTGTCGGATGGACAGGTGGAAGGAAGAAGTGACACTTTTGAAGGAAGAAATGGGGTGGATCTGTAACTTCTTCAAATGGAAGGAAGAGAGCGCAAGAGGGTGGGCTGGACTCAAGCCTAATTTCCCAGGGCACCGGGCATATGCTCACCAACAGGCGGACATGTGGAAACGGCTAGGCGCGGAAGGAAGGGAGTCCTTCCGCAAAGCCCTTGAGTCGGCGGATCAGACAATAACTCGGCGCAATGATCCCGAAGGACCACTATTTTGAAATGGGCGGCTGCAGTTAAATAGTCGATAGGAGATACTGGATGCAACACTTGAATATCTATCTCCCAGATGCCCTGGCCAACACCCGGAAACTCCTCAGCCACTCGAAACCTGTCCGCAGTGGGATGGCAGGGGCTGCTGGATTACTTGTCCAGTCGCCTGCGGGCTGCGGGCCGTGATTATACCATCCAACATCCGAAATTGGCCCAGTCAGAGAGACAACAATTTCTTGAGGCCCTGTTCAGCGAGATCGTGAGCCAATATTCTTTTCTCCCATTCCAGTTACTGACATTCCTACAGAAAATTTCCACATTTGCTCTTGCTACAGCCAACATCAAGTTCCCAAATCGCATCGTCATACCTCGTTGTTTCGGTCAAATCTTTCACCTCTTTTATGAGAGTGAGTTTGCCGCCATTGACCCTCTCCTGATCCACATCGTGGCGGAGGCGGGGGAAGGTGAGCGAGATCCAATCCTCAGCCATTATGTGGGAGCGTGGTGGCTTCCGGGGGAGGAACGCAAGAAATATTCCTTAAGCGACCTGGTGGCGATGTGGCATGACCAGTCTGCCATTATGACGCGCTCTCTTCCAGAACCCCCCGCAACATCCCTTGTGCTTTCAGAGCTAACCCTGGAGTCATTGCGGGAGGCAAGGTCGCTGCTTCTGGCTTCCATAGAAATTGTCGACCAAGAAATCGCTACCAATCGCGTCGCCCGAAAACGCGTCAAAACGACCATGCAGACCTTGAGTCAGGAGGAAGCTATGTGGAAGAGGACTTTGAAAGAGGGTAAATAGGACCACTCTGGCTTAGATACTTCAGTATTGATTTCGATCATGCAGATCCTGGTGAATGCGAGTTTGATGACACCACGGTTTTGCCTCCCCTTCCACGCCCCGTCGACAAGGACGATTGGAAGAAATTCCATTTCTATGTCCTTGACCGGGTGTGTGTAGCTATCAAGAAGGCATCACAGACACCGATCCCAAGGGAGAGGCAGCAGGGTTTTTACAACCGGTTGTACACAGAGTTTGTTCGTTCGCTTTCCTTGACAACCTGATAACGGATTTGCTCATGGGATTTCAAGCTTGTCGGGACTTTGGCGTATGGGATTTCCTTGGCGTACTTCGGGAACCCCTTCCTTCCCCAGGGTTCACTCGGCATCATCCACGAGTGGTTTGAAACGGATCAATTGTCACCCCGATGCCTTTTTGAACGGAAAGTCCCGTCGGAAATGCTGACCATGAACGAGCTTCACCAGCCTTCGTGGCTGGACAAGGATGACATTGCATATGGCGAAGATGTGGACCCAGTCCCCGAGATATATGCCGAATGGCTTCAATCCCTTGACCAACTTCATCCCATCTCCAATTTGTCCTTGGAGGAGCTCCTTCATTTGCGGCAAAAGATTGTTATCCACGCACGGCAGTTGGGTGAACTTCGCTATGACCATTTGGCCCGAGCGCAGGAGCTCAAGGATAGGATCTTCAGATGCTGGGCTATCACTTATCGTTGGGGGAAACCATGGAAAACGGCTGCATTCAAATCCACTTCCTCAGAGGTCTAGTTAAAGTAATAATTAGAGCAATAGAAATTATCCAAAGATTCTAGAGTGGGTAATGCTGGAGGACGATAGAACGGAACCCTTTCTAAAGGACCACTCCTATAGAACTGGGCCAGGCAGTGCCTGTCTCCATCGACGTGTGGAACAGCGTGAGGAAAGAAACCGGCAAGAGTGGCAACCATCGTTCCGGGTGTATACCGACAAAGTAATCCTATTCCTCGTATGTCGATGACCCCGTGTCGATAGCGACCTCCGGTGTAGAGCAAATCGTAGATGTAGGGCGGGCTACAAACATCCCGGTGGAGATCTGTGCGCCGGTTGACAATAACAGATAGCGCGCTGAAGGGTGACGTCCAATATCGGAGAACTTCTTGAAGGACTGTCAAGTCGTCAACCGGGATATACCCGCAGTAAAGGTTGGCAAGAACGTCTAGTCCAGCCTCAAACAGTATCGGGTGGATCACGGCAAGGACGGCGCCCAGTACCGCGGTGCTCTCGGTCAACCTCTTGATGAATTCCAGTCCTCCTTTCTTCTCGTCTTTAAAATTGGTGGAGGGAGAAAAGGGTCCATTCTAGCCAACAATGAGGTTCTGCAGTTGTGGATATGAGGAAACGTACCGGGTGTCCTTGCATGGGCCACGCGGAAGCATACGTTGCAACGCCTGCCCTCGGTCCCTGCCCTGAATTCGAGAAGTACTGCTGGCCGTCCCGGAAGGATCCCCTGGCCCGCATGGAAAGTCCAGCATCTTGGGACGCGAGCCATTGGATGGCCTCGTCAATTTGTCTCTGATGGCATTGGTCAATGGCTTTCCTCCGGCCTCGACGAACATACGGACTTACTTGGCGGTCTTCCGTGATGATGCCCGGGAGGTACCAGGTGAGGATTCTTCCCTTGGAGTCCGTTACTACACAAGGGACCGTACGGAGGTTTGGGTTTCCTTCCTGGTCAATCCCTCCTGAAGGGGGGAACGCGCGCGTTATATAGCTGTCTGGCCAATGCGCGCCGCGTTTGCGGTTCTTTGAGAACCACGTTTGAACACACCAACCGACGCTATCTATGGGAATGATGTTTAGTTTCCAGTGGTACCCCCTCAGAGCCGATACCTCTTACCAGCATTGTTCAGTCCTCGAGAGGCAACCTCTGCAATGTGCTCGCATTCTACTTGCAAACGGAGGGGAATGTCTGGGTCAATCGCGGCACGACCATCCCCTCTCAATTTCCTGCGCATCCTGCGCTGCGCATGCCTACCCAGTCTCTGAAGTATCTGGCCACCAACGGGGAGAGGGGGGCGAGTTGGGTGAATTGTCGAGATGGGTCAGGAGGTGATAGAGCGAGAGAGACATGGATTCCCCAAATGGTCATTTAAGCGCCCCGGTCACGTGTGTTTATTGCCTGGAACGAAATGGACCGTTCCACAAAGGGGCTGACAGGTCTTTCTGAAGCAAAATCCGGCCATAATGGGGGGATTCCTAACTCGATGTAGCGGGCAAGAATGGGAAAGTACTGCGAGGGGCTAACGGAACATTTGGAGAGACATCGCATCGCGATCCAAGGAAGGATTTCACTGCAGGAGATGATATTAAACTATGGTTTGTAACACAAGGAAGATATGAAGGGTACCCACGGGAGGCAGCGAATAGGAATTATGGGCCTCACTTACATAATCCACCTCTCCACCAACCATAAAGCTAGGTCGACGAGTTAAATTGCCCTTAATCCCGAGTATCAAACGAAATAAGTGCCACCAAACCAGTTCCTCTAGGCCATTCCCAAGTCGAAAAGGTGCGTCAAAACTCATGGTGTCACACTCGAAATTCACATTCCCTGCAGAATGCGACGTTCCTCTAGACTCGAACAGAAACAGAAACGTGAGAAGGATGTAAGAAGAATCGTCGAAAGGTTACAGAAAGGTGTGTTATGTTCCTTACCTTTTATGCCTCAACTCAACCCCGTTCAAGCCAATGATCAGGCAGTGGAAAACTATTGTCGGGTTGGCAGACAGGCTGGTAGTATTCGCTACACTTTGGCTGATTGTGTAGCCGAGCTGAACACCCAAGAAGACAAAGATTTATTTGGGGAGATGGGCCACGAGTTCATGATTCTCGAATGCGAGTTGGACAGACTTCGCGATGAGCTCGAGGTAGCCAGGTGGTTGATCGCCCGGCTCCAGAACATGTCTTAGACCTCCATATGGCTGTAGTTTGGAATAAGTACCCGATTGACTTGTCCTTCCCTAAATGACTTTGTTGCTCGCGGCATGTACGGAAGGATTGTACTTTCAGAAGGATAAGCCGAGTTCCGCCCCGTTTAGGTGGGTCCGCAACGGAGGAAGGAATCAATGCATGAACTTTAGCTCTAGTCAGATCATTCGGACGCCTCATTGCTCAGCAGGACCCTTTCCTGCGCAAGATGCTTGAAAGAGTTTCAAACAAGATGGATCCAAGGTGCCAACCACTGCTGGTTGTCGAGAAATTTGAACTGATGTCACTGCTCAGCCGAATCAGCACTTGACGTAGACCTCGTGGCGTCTAAGGACGCTTGCGCTTCGCTAGTGGTGAGGTGGAAGGTCTTGTTACCTTCGTTGCTGAAGGAGCTGGAAGGAAAGGCTCCTTCAGTCGTTGCAATGATAGACCGGTTCATGTCCGAGACGAGGGGGTTGAAGGAATCAATGAACAAGCTTAGGGGATCCGCGAGTACAACCTCGAGCTGGACACCCATGAGCAGGAAGTTAACCGAAGAGCTTGACGGAAAGCTGACTTAGGTCATCGTTGCTAAGTATTGCTGTACTCGATCTTCCACATCCCCATATGTCCCACAGTATTTCGCCAGGTATAAAGATTGGTATCGTCGTTTTCTCCCAAACATCGCCCAATATGTGCCTATGCATCAAAACTCGCGTTGTGGCTCTCGAGGCCCAGTTAGCCATTGTTGCTGGTAGGGATTAAGTCCTCCTTCCAGGATCCCCTGAGAGTGTCTAATTCCTTCCTTCAGGAATCGAGAGGAGAATTGAAGGAATGATGGGATCAGAAGAAGGAGCAACTTCCGCCATCGCATATGGCGGACCGGGAAAGGAAGGAACATGCACCCTTCAGGCTCTGCTGAGAGCAGAGGTAGAAGTTGCATTGAGGTTGGCCAACGAGATTCCGGAGCGTGCTGCGATGCACCTTAGTAAGGGGGTTTTAACTATCTTCTTGGGAACAGAGATTAATGGCAACAGATGTCAGGGAGAGGGATCATGTTGAACTCATTGACCTTGATGATTTGGCGCTCGTTGACCTTACGACGTTCTTTCATTGTAAGTCATTCGGTCTATATTGGGCCCTAAAGTCAGAACTGAAAGGATGTTGCACAGGTCTTTTGGAGGTGTGGACTGGCCTGGATCGATTAATCCAGGATAGCTACATGAGGGTGAGAGGGGAAGGCGGCCGAGGTATCTTACTAAGGATCGAGCGCCATCGAAGGAAGGTCCTCGGAAACGCGATCAAGGGATTGGCAGGCGAGGCCATGCAAGCAGGATGGAAGCTATTGAAGAAGGTAGAGGCACGTGCTGTGGAACTTGGGTTTCCAGAACTCCTTGAGGTAAATGCGTAGCCCCATTAACCGTTGTCGGAGCTTCAATTGGATTGCTATATTTTTCTTCGTGATATATCAAGTCGGTGAATGCCAGGGCGTGGCCATAGGCATCCCATGGAACCTGCCAGACAAGTACTTGAGGTGACCGTACCCCGGCGCTCGCTGGAAAGGGTTTTGGAAGGTATGCCATGTTCTTCAAAGTCTAGTAGACGAATGCTCATATTTCGAAGCCCAACAAGCCGCAGAGGCAGTGTTGACGAAGTTCGAATCAACGCTTCAGGACCTCCAGGAAGCGTATTATTGGTGGCAGCATTCTCTGCCAGAAAACGAAATCAATCTAGCAAGATCTCCTTCCTATAGGAGTCGACATGCCGCCCAAGACGACGAGGTGTGGGACCAGTGGCTTCGCGATAGAGAGGAAGGCAGCAAAACACCACCATCTGAGGGGCTGGGGAGCCAGGAGAAATGGGGAGAGAAGATGGAGAGGGACATGCTCCTACTCGCTCGGCACACCATTGACTTGAAGATTGCGGCGAATTCTCTGCGGACCGCTTCCCTTAGGCTCCAAGGCTCAATTGTAGTAGCGGAAGGATAGAACTCGTGGGTTAATACATGGTTTTTTTTTTGGCGGTGCGAAGTCGGAATGGAATGATGATATGTAAGAAGAAGGCGGATGAGAGGCTGTTAGCAAGGAACTTAAGCTTGAAGGGAGGACTGCGGTAGGGAAGGGGGTGGCAAGGCAAAGGAGAAGGAAGAGAGGAGGGAGGATAAATGTATGAGACCTTCCTTCTAGCTTTAATATTTTCCACGGGAACGGGTTTGCCTCCACAAAGGAAGGAATCCAAGGTGGAAAACCCGAGGAATGAGTAAGGAGGGAAGAGAGCCAAGACAGAAACAAGAGCCATGATTAACGAGGCAGGGACGAGCTCAGGAATTGTGAAGCCTGTTGCGAGTTTTTTTTTTTTTTTCTCGCAGTCCCGTCTGGACAAGTATGGTAGTTCTTAGATTTTTTACACCCCGGTGTGACTATAACTACCCTCGACCTCCCCTTGGCGAAGTGTCCTTTCGTCCACAGCTTCCTGCTCAAGTTCCGTGTCTATCTGGTCTCCTTCCTCGAGTGCAATCTTGAGCATCGCAAGGATGCTTTCCTGAATGACAAGGGCAAGCACCTCGCTTGCAAGTTGGTCGATGAACAGTGGCACATTGGAGGATGGCATGCTTGTGAGGTGAGCCCGTTGCCTCGCTATAACACCAGGAATCTGAGGTTGGTATTTGGCCAGGGCTGAGAGGGCACTTACCTTTCAACTGACGGACAATGCTTGTGAGGTTACAAGTCGCTCTCGCCATATCTGGTTGGGTTTCATTGCGTGGCATATCTGACTGGGGGGGGGGAAAGGATGGGGTAACGGACTTGGTTTCAAGACGGTGCAGTGTAACCGAGCCATATATATATACAAATTTATTGTGATTTCGGATTTACTGCCTTGAACCTACTATATAGCTGATGGCGTGTGCTACGTGAGCCCATCATTCCATATGAAAACGCCTTTTGAAGTTCTGAACAACAGCGCTGGATTCCGTTACAGAAGGTGGCGCATTTGAAGACGCCTCACCCAGTCCGACGTATCCGTGTTTAGTCTGTATCTGGAGCTTGATCAAAGTTGAGAGCTCGAGTATGACCAAAAGTTGGTCGGCTTGTGCTTTCTCGAAATCCCGTACTTGCTTGGCCATTTCTACACGCAAGTCCAGGAATTGCTCAAGAAGATCTCTGTCAGGGCAGACTGCGGATGCCTCGCGGAGACTGGCGAGTTCTGATCGAGATAGAGCAATTCCTTCCGCGGTTCCTGGAGCAAGGTCATGTCAAGCTAAACTGGGAAGGTAGGTAACGTACCTGGGAGAAGAGATGTGACGACCAGGAGACGGTCTAGGTTGCGAATGATGTCAGATGTGATTTGGGCAGCCTGGTCCGTCATGGAGGTTATCTTTTTCCATGGTGAGAAGATTACATTGGTAGCGGCATGCTCCACTTACTGTTGCCTCAAAGATGGGGGATTTGAGATGGGTGTGAGGTGCGAACCTGGTATTTATGCCTTTGCAAGTAGGGGGCGTCATTATGGGGCTTAAAGTGGGACAAATCGTCTTTTTGCATTGGATATAGTACGGAACTGTGTAAGAGAAAAAAAAAAGAATGAGAGGAACTTGGAGTCACTGAAGAAGCGGAACAGGCGGGTAATTTCCGTGGTGGAGCAAGGAAGGATGCAAGAAAGTCCGAGTCGAGAGATTGACAGAAAGAAATGACCGGAAGGGAAATGCGAGACGGAATTTCCCGGTAAAAGGCCCGATGCGACGGAATGGGCTTAAGTCGAAGGAAGGGATAGAGAGTGGGAGAAGGAAGGGAAAGGAGGAAGGGAACAGGAAGGGTGGCTTAGGGGGGGAGGGGCTGGAGCGAGGGAAGGTATTGACGAAGTTGGCGGATGAAGTTTTCGGGAAGGATTTTTGAGGGAGGAAGGTTTGTGAAGGAAATGGGAGAGGATTGTGGAGGAAAGGAGGTGGTCGCTGAAGGAAGGTTGGCAAAGGAAATGTACAAAGGGAAGGACGGCGACGGGACAGCCCGAAGGACCCCTTGGTGGTCAAGGAAGTGAACCGGAAGCAAGGCAAAAACCACCAGAAACCTACTCCCCCCGAATCAGGCGGAGATTCTTGGAGAGCTTGGAGGTGACCGAGTCTGCCTGTAGGGGCACAGAACTACTGGTGCAAACTTCATAAATTTTCTCCATTTCTTGAATGAGGATATTGAGGATGTCTTCTCTGGCTTTTGCGATCGAATGGTGAACAGCGATTCTGGTTGATCTGTCAATTGCTTGGAGGACCCGAATTTGCAGCAACACGAGCTTGGACGATCGACGAACGGCGACGAGAACTTTGCGCCTTGAGTCTTTCTTGTCCTCCAGGGAAAGAGACGAAAGACTAGCGTTAATCCCAGGGACTGGTGTGCCTGGGATTATGCCTTGCGGCGCAAAATCTTGTGTCGTTTGGACAAGGTCGTTATGTACGTCTGGAGGAATTTATTTAGGTGAGGTTGGGAGCATTAATATGGTTCTCACCTTGGAGAGCCTCGAGGTTTTTTATTAGATTCTCGAGGTCTTGGACAAGCTCTGCTGATGAGGGAACACGGAGAGGATCTGCTGACATCTACACTTAACGATTTAACGATAAGTGACCTCCATTTCAATTAAGATATTGTTACGAGTGCATACCTGTGGGGAGCGGTTAAGTTCTTTTTGGCAGAGATGTGATTGTAAGGGGGTGTAAACAGAGTTTGAATTGGAGGTTCTCCCTTATATAGCCGTGGGGGAGGACATTTATACTGGTTACCAAAAGATCTGTTAATTAGGCTGGATATTTGCGGGATCCCAAGGATCAAGTTTGGCATTCCTTATTAGCCCCATTCCCGGACCTGACGCCAGCGGAATCGTTTGCTTCCTAGACTCCCTTCATGGGTCCGAGGAATTGGGGAAAAGAACCCCGGTACAACATGCCTAATTAGGGGCCGCGAGCCAAGGCGCCAGTGGGAAGGGGAATGACCAAGCTAAGGAGAGAGCTGGGATATGGGTACCGAAGGGTCGGTGGATGCAGATGTGGGTCACGCACTGTATTCTTGAGGGTCCGCGAGCCAAGGCGCCAGTGGGAAGGGGAATGACCAAGCTGAAGAGAGAGCTGGGATATGGGTACCGAAGGGTCGGTGGATGCAGATGTACTGAGTGGGTCACGCACTGTATTCTTGAGATGGACACTGCTGGGGAGAATATAAGGTACAAGAAAGCATAGTGAACCGCAGTACTGAGGGCGAGGTACATTATGGACGTCTGTGTTCTCCATGTACTAGCGGGGTGAATAGCTCTATGCCGGTGATGGCTAAGAGATGTGGTCAGCGGGATATAGGTGCCCTTCATATGACATTACCTTAATGTAAAAGCGCTTTGCACGGCTGTGACATGTGGACTGACCTTGTAAAAGGCACCCCAAACAGGTGGGAAACGGATTGAGGAACGGGAATGAAGGGAAAAGGCCTTTCGGCAAAGGTAAAGGAACGAGTTCAAGGGAATGAGGAATAACCAGCTGGCCCATGTGGAGTGGAGATCTCTAAATGATCAGCTGGTGCAAGGATCATTGACTCCTGATAGCGACCAGCTAGGCCCGGTATCACATGGTGGATGGTATTTTATTCATCAAGGTAGAACATGTATTATGTAAGGTAGTCTATGTACAGTTGTGACGGCGATACCCTTTCCTCCCCGGATACTGGCTGACTTGATGGCGTCGTGGTTGCTGCAGGTGCTTTTCTCCTCCAAGTCGTCCGCGTCGAATTCAGCCAGATGACGTCTGAAGTCCTTGTCGTCCACCATGTACGCGTACCCACGGTTCAGGCCAGGGTCGCGGGCGTCCGAGGAAACATCCTTCCGTCGTAAGCGGAAGTTCGCGTCGATTGCCAGGAACAGACGATAGACAAACCTAATCCACATTCAGCCAACACCACCACCAAAGCCACGGAAGGACTACTTACCATTTGTAGTCAGCCACAGAGTTCCACCCACTTGGCAAGTTGATATCGGGGTAGGGACACGCAGGGCACAGCAAAGCACACTCGCCGGGGCTAGTTCCATGCACTCCCGACAGGGAATGCCCGCGCCCCGCGCGTTTCATCATCCTTATGTGTCGCCAGATGTGCACCATACGGAGGAAGCTAGGGTAACGATTCTATCCGGGGTCAGCCGTCATCCAAGTACAAGTCAAAGCCACTCACAGGAACTGGTTCTGTGCCACTGTTGTCGGTTCGCCGTTCCAGCGCTCGCATAAACTCGTACGCGGAAGCTTTCGAGGTGAACGACAGCATCTGAAATGTCTCCATAACGTGAAATGTAGCCGCAGTTTGAGGGTCAGTTGCAGTGGCAGGGAACAGTCGGTGTCTCAGCAATTGAACTACCGGGGAGGCTCCCGAAGAGCATCCACAGAAATCGAGGCCAACGGTGGATACCCCGTCTGCGTGGACGATCACGAAAGAATCATCTCTGGCCCGTTTCGCGACTGGGCAGGTCTCCCCATCCCGGTGACCCAGCTGAATCCGGACCCCCACCGACTTCAGTGAAGCACGTTCAAAGGATTTGCCGTTCCAGCGCTATAATCAATTGTAAGTCAACGAAAATGCGGGATTAGCGGATGCCCTCACCTCAATGTTATGCAAAGGGAGACGGACATGCTCTGACCGAGTGCATTCACGGCAACGAAGCTCCACCGCAAAACAGTTTCTACACCGATAGCCTCCCTCGCCCGTCAGAGATTTAGTGCACAATACACAAACAGATTCATTATCAGGGGCCTCCAGGCGCAGAAACTCGTCCAAAAACATATCTAAATTCTCCATAAAGGCCATCGTTGGAAGATCCGACTGTCAACCAAAAACAAGAATGAGTTCAGAAAGGCTCACAACATTGCCCAGAGACGTACCGGCAACTGGTCCCGCGGGGCCTTGACATTCTCTTCCTCTTTTCCCTGTCCTTCCCTCTCATCCACAGTCCTTTCTTCCTCCGGGTGCGCGTCGAGGCTTGCCAGATCAACGGCGAAATTCTCAGCGAAAAGCGCCTCTATGTCCACCCTCTGGTTGCTGACCCCAGAGGCCTGCTGCGACGACATTCCAGGGGCTGCGGATTTCTTCGTGGGCGAGGGTGGGACCACCAGGTAGGAATCGGAAGCGCGATAACCCCTCCCTGTGGACTCGATTTCCGTATATTTCTCCTGGACATCCTCTGAACCTTGCACGGGGTCGTCGAACTCGTAGAACTCGAAGTGGTCATCGATGCGTCTTTTCTTGGGAGCCATGAGGCGCAGATGGGTGAGGTGCGCACGAGGGAGTGCGGAGCTGGTGTGAAGGACCAACGTACCGGCTTGATCAGATCACAGGTCATGTGACGTGACGCGTCCTCAACACGTCAAGTTGAACAAGTTACTACCGGCTGAATGTATCGGGATGTTGTCACATTCTGACTTGGTCATCTCCCCAGGATCACACTGTTGTGGCCAAAAAAAAGGAAGGTCTATTGGATGGACGCAGATGCAGCGGCACAGATTATGACAACGTTCACACTACAACAAATACGACACAAGAAAGCAAGAAAGCAATAAAAGATGGATGGCGCCCATGTGTGCTCGCGTAACCACTCAAGCCTCTGTGAGCGGCCCGGCAACTGCGCCGATTTCTTCGCCATCAGAGTTATACACAGGTACCCGTTTCGCCGTCCCCAACTCCTCCCCGTCAGAGTCGTAGACTGTGACGGTGACCTGGCAACTTGGGCCTGCGGAGTGTCCGTGCCTAGCTCTGATAGAGGCAGTGTCGGTTTCGGAGTCCGATGAATCGACCACAAGCACAACCCCGTTTGGGGTCGTGTCTCCAACCTTGTATTTTCTCTTCTTGACGATGCGGGTGGCAGCTGAGGAGGGAGGAGGGTATTTGGGTTCGTGATTTTATCTCCCGCCTTCGACAAATCGGAATTCCGACTTGCAACCTTTGCCACAAGACAGGCCACCTCGCTAGCCGTTGCAAAGGAAAAGGTAAACTCCAGGAGTAGTTTAGTTCTAGTGGGGGGGTAATGTTACGAACATATATGCTTACTAACATTATATTACTATACCTACCTCATCTCTACCTTATGTTTTTCATTTCAGCTCATAGTCTTACTCATATTTACTGCGCATTACTGATTGCTGACTGATACTTATTAAAAACTCATTGAAACCTACATACATTCCACGGAATACGCATGTTACCCATGAGGACTACGCCTCATGGCTAACACACGTCTTCTAGTATATAAACTCTCTAGTTCTCTTAGCTAGTTTCTTCACTTCGTTCTTAATTGTTCACAAAGCTATATCAAGTCTCAGTGCAAATACAAATATCTTTAATTATCACTCAAAGTCTAGCTCGAAGTTCACAAAGCTACAGGCGAAGAACTCTTGACGTAGTCACGAGTTGATTCATCGACCACAAAGTCGCTGAGTACTGGACGACACGTGCTTGTATCACGTATAGTCCATAACACCTCGCGGCGGGGAGGACAACACCACGTACCACGGCAGTGTAGCCAGGAGCTCGAGGAGGGCCCGCAGCACCGTGCCTCTTCTCAAGGGCCGTCTGTGTCGTCTGTGTCAGCAGTGCGTATACATCAACCCCTCTGGAACGTTTGATCTCACCAGGTATTTTTCCCACTCGCTGGCATCCAGTTGGAGAGCTTCTTGCCAAGTGATGTCCGGCTCCACACCCCGTCGAGCCCAAGAAGCCCAAACGATGTCCTTGAGAATAAACTACCGCCGGTTGGTCAGGAAAGGAAGGAGCCACACCTAACAGAGCAAAGGGACTCACGTCGGTTTTGATGGCCCTACGTTGGGCCAGGAGGTAGGGAGGGTCACCATCATCCGGCTCAGGGAATTCAGAGTAGAAACGGTCCACGCAAGCGTCGAGGAACTCTTGAACCTGTCCCTTTCGGAGCACGGGCGCATACCAAAAGCTCAACCGTTTGATGAGCTTGTAATGGGCCGCGATGCCGTACATCATGGTGTGTGCTAGTGCGTCCTATCAGTTGTCGCACTACATGTTGGGAGGTCGGGAACACTTACAATGAAGAACTGGACCTCGTATGAGGGGGAGGGGAAGAAAGAAAGGAACGGAGGCCCAACTCGACACATGCGAGTTTTTGAATGCGAATCCCTGGAGAGACGTTCGGTTTGGTTCGTAGGAAGCCCGACTGCTGACCAAACAAAGAGAGGAGAGCTTTTGTGACATTAGGGACGCCTTCAGCGTGGTGTAAGGGGCTATAAAAAGTTGGGAAAATCACCAAAATTTCCGGGAGAAACACAGCTTTCGAAAGATACCCAAATGTTGCCCTAATTCCCGAAAAAAATAAAAATGAGACGAAACCTGGAAATGGCCCTAAAGCCAACAGAGTCCGCACTACAACTCCGCACTCTGACCTTCACCAACCATGGGCCGCCGCCTGCTGTACAAAACCGAGGAGGAGAGGAAGGAGGCCGCGAAGAGGGCCAGCCAAAGATATTACTCCAGGTTCGTCGCTTGGTTTATGTCTTTCCAGCCACAAGAGAAATAACTATGGAGTCATTGTCCACTTCAGACATAAACAAGATATTAACCTTGGGCGCCGAACAAAGTACCGCGAGCTGCATCCCAACCGGTTAGTACCCTCGGCAGCCCCTCTTACGACTCCCCTTCAGTTTACCATCTTCTACAGATTGGAGCAACAGATGGAAGATGTGCGTTTACGCGAAGAACGGGAGGAGTTCAATGCGAGGTGAGGCGCCCACCGTTGACCCCCGGCGGTTCGAACGCTGATCAAAGATACTGCTCGTAGAGACCCCGAAACTTGGTTGAAGCGAGCCCGGGGACTGGCCGCCCGATTCAATGCTCATGTTAATTCGGCCCCTCGCCTCTTTCTTGACAACCTGTGCCAGCAACTGACCGATCCGACGCACACCATGGCTGAACAGTCGCGAGCAATCACATCTCTCCGAACCGCTCAGGAACAATCCTCTCGTTTCCACAAAAGCTCTCTTCGAAACCAGGCCATTGTTTGGGAGGTGGGAGGTGCGTGTCCGCAGTGGAGAGAGGTTGTGGAATTGTCCACCCCAATCACCAACTTCCACCAAAGCATCGAGGAGATCGAGACCTTGCACAGTGCTCTCGGACCCTTACAGCTTAGGCAAGAGTGGTCACAAGGTGCCCTTCACTTCCAGAATGTCTGGCCCGCATCAACGTAGTTTTTGTGTTACTATTTCTTTTCTCCCTTTTTTGGTTCTCCTGTATTTCAGCCTTAATGTCATTATCTGATTCTCGAGGTGGATGGCAGGAATCACGATGTCATTTCAGAGAGCAATGGGACAACTGTAGGGTACACGACGCAATATACAACACAAGTACATGTAGAAAACCCCCGACTCGCGACAAGAAGACTACACGTGGGGGGTGGCAGAGAGGAGGGGTACCTTGGCGGGAATCATCCACGGCGGGTTGATCGCTCGAAGAGGTTGGATTCGATGGCCCCGTTCGCGCGAGCACGGTTCCATGCCGCCAGGGCTTCCTCGTGGGTATCGTATCGCTTGTAACATGCTCCCGGGACACCGGTGACCATAGGCTGAACCGTCAACCTAAAGACCGGAACCATCAGCTGCATGTCGTGGAGTTGGGGCTGTGTGACTCACCAGTCTCGATAGATGCCGACAGAGCGCCCAGCAGTCACGACATACCAGGTCTCCTTGGAATCACGAAGGAGGTTGTACGTGCGGCAGTTTGCACAGACGAACCCTCTGAGGCTGGCGGGGGCATCCGGGTTGAGGTCGCGAGCGTACACAGACCCGCCCGCAGTGGGACCGGTCGACGCGGGAGTGTGCTCGTCGTCGTTGTCGCCGTCGGGGGTGTAGTCGAGACCTGGAGGGCCCGGCTGTGCACGGGCAAGCGCATTGGCGCGCTTCTGACGCTCGCGCTCAAGCTCTGCTTGATCCTCTGCAATGAGCTGCGCGGCGAGCTCCGCCGAAGCAGCCTCCTCTGCTTCCTTGGCCTCCAACGCTGTGACGAGCTCTGCAGCCTCTGGGAGGGTGGTCAGTCTGGGTCACGGCGCGGAGCTGCGGTGGGGTTGCAACTCACCATCCTTGAGATCATATCCGCTGACGGAGAGCGCTTCCAGAATGGTCTTGAGAGTGTTCACGTCGACATCGTCCGGGAGGGCAGGCTTTGGGCTGGCAGGTGGGGCGGCGCGGGTCTTGCCCTTGTCTGGTTGGCCAAGGATGTAATGGTCAGCTCGTCGTTCGACACAACAGCGACAGGTGCTCTGCCCATTACTTACCGGTGCCGTGAGGAGCTGGGGACGCAATGTTGATGCCTAGAGCAGCGCAGGTGGCGACGAGGCTGGAGAGAGAGAGTGTAGAGGAGGGAGCAGTGGTGGACATCCTGGTTGAGGGGTTGAGATTTACGAAAGAAGCTGGGGTGTCAAAGGGAAATGACTGGAACCCTTTATACAGGTTAGCGATATTTGTGGTAATTTGGGCCAACCGAAGACCGAAGTGCTCACCGGATCCTCACTTGGTCGACGTGGCTCAACACTTCGCTCAACAAAATGCCCGCAAAAAAATCAGAGGTTGGTGTCTGCGTCTCGCTCGTGACCTGAGGCTGAGTTAAACTGAATGAAACCAGTATAATTGGGCCCCCACACCTCTGGTCCAGACTCCGTTCTTGGCAAGCAAGGTTGGCGCGTTTATTCGTGCTAAAGCCGAGAAGGAAAGGTTACGGAAAAGAAAACCTGTCACCGATTTTTTCAAGGGGGTCTACACTGAGCTCGACGTTCGCTGGCCCACCTACGAGTCGGAGGAGGAAGCTGAGGCTGCCGAACGGACGCGGCTTCTTGCAGAAAAGGCTGACGCCGCCACCCAAGAGGAAGCCTCAACGGGGGTAGACGGAGATAGCGTTCCAGCAGGGAGCAGTAGCCGAGAGAAGAAGGATAAAGAAGATGTCGACGACGAGGAGCCCGAAGCGCGTGAGGCTCCTCCTGCTGATTGGGACGTGAGGGTATGGCAGGAGGCTCGTCACAAGGTGCGCCTCTTCTTGGCTATCGCGATAAGGTTTGAGATATTGACGGTGGTGCTGCTTCATAGAAAGTTTACCATTGGTTCTACAACAAAGAGGCGAAGTTGAAGAAGGACAACGGGAGGATCGAGGTGGTGGTGGCCTCGGTGCAAAGGAAGGCTCTGTGTGATTGGCAGGTCTTCTCGAAGGATTTCTACACCGAAATGGTCAAACCGCAAGTCGATGAGGAGGTGGCTCGGCTGGTGAAGGCGCGGGAGCCCGTTCCCCTGGTGTCTTTGCGCCAGGGTATGACGATCAAGGCCTGGGAGGCCGCGGATGAGGAGACGAAGGAAAAGGTGTACGCGAGGATGGAAGCGTTAGCTGAGGGAAGGAAAAGAGCAGACGCGGCGATTGGAGACGCGATGACACCTCTCGAGGAGGGAGCTCAACGTACACCAGAGGAATACCATCAGTACGTTGCCTTCCCGATTAAGACAATTGTCGACTTACCTCTCGTTAGGTTCCTTGAGATTCTGCCAGACCTTTTGGACGGATTCTTCAACGTGGTCGCCGCGAAGAGTGGATGGTCATTCACCCTGCTGGCAGGAGGACCAGATCCATCGAAGGAGGGTGGTGGAATCCGCACCATGTCGTACCACCACGGGGTGACCTCCCAGGACCAAACGTTCCGCCAGTTCCTACCGCCTGGTCATTTCGCCGAGATGTTCATGAAGCCTTTTTCGGGATTCCTACACATGCTGTATCGTGAGTTTATCGTCCTGTCACCGCGGCATGAGTCACTTACATCTGAGTTTCAGCCAAAGAAGTTCGCCAAGCCCGTGAACTGGCTGCACACGGATCGAGCGCGACGGATCTTCTTTACGCGTTGAATCCGGGTTTGGTCGACGAGGATTTGTCTGAGGATCAGATCGAGGGCAATATGGTGGCTTCCGGTGGCCGTGGTGGTGCGGCTTGTACAGGGGCACCAGCAAAAGCTGTCGGGGAAGGTGGTGACGACCCCTCTCTGGATTCGACACCGGGCATTACCACGGGAGGTTTAAGCGGGGGTAACGATGGAAGAGTCGCGGTGGAGCCCTCGAAGGAAGACCGGGAGAAGACGAGGAAGACGGGGGGTGCTAAGCGTGCCGCTGCGCGGGGGAAGGGGAAGGCAGCCGTTGTGGGGAATACGCAGCAAGTGGTGGATGAGGGTGGTTCCAAAGATGTGTCGTCCTCGAGTGCCTCGGGGGAGATAGGGAGTGGCGCGCGGCAGATGAATGAAGTAACCGGAGGAGTTGGTTCTTCATCCGCACCTTCGATGGGTGCTGGTGGTTATCCGGGAATGCCTGGCTGCGAAGATGCGCCCAATTGGTTTGGAGATTTTGCTGGGAACCTCTCGCCAGATGGTGCTGTGGATGATGGTGACCCTTTGGGTGTTGGCCGGCTTCTGCCTCCTGCGGACATGGTCTTCGGGGACTCTGCTCCATACCCTGCGGCGATTACATACCCGCACCCTGGAGCACCTTACGACCCTTCTTCTTCCCTTCCTCCACAAGGGTCATTGTCCGCCCTTCTCTACGACTTCGGGGCTATCGACTTGCAGAGCTCCACTGGGGCACATTGCGCATTGGAGGCCGGGCGGTCGGCGGTTGGATCGCCTGGTGTAGCGGCAGTTGCGGGAGCAGCTTCGGGATCGGTGGATGGGGCTGTGCTTGATGGGACGTCGTCGGGATCGGTGGATGGGGCTGTGCTTGCTGGGACGTCGTCGGGATCGGTGGATGGGGCTGTGCTTGCTGGGACGTCTTCGGCCGAAGCGGATTTGCTTGACGTTACAGGCTCGTCCTCGTGGCAAAACAATGCTGGCGATCGAGTTGCCGGCGTGGGGGTCGGATCTGCGTCGACATTGCCAGTGTCGGCCACCTTGGCCACAGGGGCTGCTGCGAACGTTGAGAAGCGTCCTTGGGACGGAGATGAATCCACTCACGAAGGTTCTGGGCGGGAGAAGCGAGTTCGCCGGTTGAACTCAAGGCAAGAGACTCCCCCTTGGGTGACGAGCGGTCAAGCTTATCTCACAATGGAGGATCTTGGGGTTGACTGGCAGGGGCTGGTTCAGGTCTGGGTCACCTTCGAAACGCGAAACGCTATACTGGACACGGGGTCCGTGCGCCTCCCAAAACCGTCGGCTCGGCCCAAGAAGCTTTCCCAATGGTTGACCAAGAAGAAATTCCAGGACGTCCTGGCGAAGGAGGAGGTCGCGGGTTTCGCCAAGCAATGGCTGGTGTGGTGGAACGCCATTCAGCCCGCTTGGAGGAAGAACGAGGAGGAGTGGGGGCTGCCCCATCCGATTGGCGCGGGGGGGAGGGATTTGTCATCGCTGAAGAAGCCGGGTTTTTGTGGTTTGTTTTCCGTACTGGTGGGACTACGATGGTGGTCGGGGGTGGTGGATACACCTGTCCCATGGAAGGACGCTGTGGCGGACGTCAGGCAGTGCCTGGAGGCGCTGGGTGGGCGGTGATTCGGGAAAACGAAAACGTGGGAGCTTTTAGAAGGTCCCGTGACATTTGTTTTGATGGGGCCCCCTGCCCCGCTTGCCGCGGCTTCGCGACGCTCGCAGGTGAATTGACCTGCTTCTATTGATACGAAGTCTGTTATTTCTTGATCGCGAATATCATTCTTCTTGACAGTGCTCTTCTTGAAAACGTGGCGCGATCATGACGTATGCTGGCGTGTGCTGTCGTCCTGGGGGATTCCTGGGGCCCTGGGAGAACTTGAGTTTGCTGCTGTTTGCTGGCTTTGATGATGGATCAAACCTGATTGATGGCCCTGTCAAGGTCTGATGGGACCTATGCCTGCGCCTTCCTGGAAGGGTTGAATAATTTTATACAGCTCGGAAACTGGGAAATTATTCATAACTCCCTGGTGGATGATCCACGTTTTTATGGATAATTCCTACGTATAGCCTTCTTTCTTGAAACCTTGGTTAGCCCCAATTGAATAGACAGTCACGATTTTACTACGTACGCCGATAAAAGAGCTTACTGGAACGTAAGATCGAGGAAGATCCTCCGCCCCCTGCGCGATCCCAGTCTAGTCAACAATTGTCACTACCTTTGCCGGGTAGGTAACGTTGAATGCAAGGTTCTTGCCGTACAGTGCACAGGGGCCAGTGAGACGGACAGTACTATCCTCGAGGAAGGAATTCAAGAGGTCAGCGAAATACCCAACAACCTCTCCCTCTTCAATCCGTGCGGTGATCCTCCAGACTTCGCAGAGAATCGGTGTCTCGCTTGCCCTGCGAAGAAGCGCCAGGTTGAAAGATGAGAGGAATAACTGGTCGCTCAAAGGAGCGACTGATTGAAGGTCTGGAGCGTACTCCTGCTGCGACAACACATCAATTGCGAGGCGGGTGGCGACATAGGAACCTTGACAAAGGTGAGGGATGCTTGGGCAAGGTATAAGCTCGGTGAATTCTGGGTGGGGTTGCTCCGAATCAATGTACCCGACTCGCCCATCTTCCAGGGTATAGAGGAAGTACCGCCCTCCCGGAAGAGGCCCTTCGGTAATTGTGCTGGACTCTTCGTTCTCAAGGCCCACAACCTGGAACTTGCGTATCTCCACCGGCTCCATGAGCCCTTCCACGCCCTTCCACCACCAGGTAATGCGACGTTCGAGATCGGATGCCGAACAGAAATGAAGTGGCTTTGGCAAGAAGAAGGGTCGAGGGAACTTGGTTTCATAATAGCGGTACAGCAACGCCAGCCAGACGGGACGCTCTCGCGAGACCCGGTTCAAGGTACGACACGTCTGCATTGTTGGAGTCAGTGTCTGTGGTGGCAAAGGATTGAGGGGACGTACCTGTCGGATTTGGAGGATATCTTTCCATTCAAGATTTGTGGCAATGTCGATGAGCAGTTCGTATGGGAGGCCCAAGAGTCTGCTATGTTTCGGGTTCCTGGATTCCTAAAAAGATGTAAGAGATTAGACAGTCAGCCTGAGAATGAGATATTTACCCTGTAGCTGGCGAGACTACGTTGAACCAGATTTCCAACGATTTCAAAGGCAGTCAAAAGCACTTGAGAGTACATGGCTGTTTTGGAGTCTGGAGAGCAGCTCCCCGAGGGCCCGACTACAACCTGGAGGTCAGACTGTTTAACGCGAGGTGGGCACGAGTCCACTGGATGTATGAAACCTTGCGGTGATCTTGGACCCACACAAAATCCCTGCTCAAGCAATGTCAGGATTCATTGTTCAAGGAGACGGCTCGAGTTGAGTATGCAGTGAGAGTTGCTGCGGTAAACGCCAGATACATTCCGAGTGACCAAGGTTCTGAAGAGTTCGCCCCTGTCGCATGACGGGGTTGTTTGTTTCCAATAGATATGCCAAACAGCGGCTGGGGGGACTCGGCGCGCCTCGCAGAGGTACATCAGCCTATGCATAATGTGACACAGGGAATACAATTATCTAACAAATGCTACGAGATCGCGGACAGAGAAAAGGACACGCCGTGCTCGAGCCCAAAGCCAAATGCAGCCAAACATCCATGGGCATCGTCATAATAAATTCCAGCGCCTGTGTGAAATTCGCCCTCGAATGAGGGCAAACATGCTCGGGAGAGCTCGACCGTTTCGCCTTGCCCCTCCCAGGAATATTGATAAACAACGTAGGATTCGGAGGGGTTATCGTATTGTATTCCTGCTCGGTAGCCGAACCAATACTGATATTCTTCGGATTGAACTGGACCTTTGGAGAGGTGAATCATTTCGGGTGTTACGCTGGAGCCTGCGTGCAAGGATGATAACGGGATTTTGAATCCAAGGAGACCATCATAGCTAGGTATGACGATGCGGGTGGAATCGTGGACAAAATATGGGAAAAGGTTGCAGTGCCTGACGTGAGGGGCTCTGATGGACGGGGATGCCCACAATAACTTGGCTTCTCTTGATGTCCAACTGCGGTAGGCCTCGGGAACGAGGGGAGTGGGAGCCAAAGACCCCCAGCTCCAAATCTGGACACTCTGACGTGCGCTGACAAACAGACAGTCGTTGGGAAGTAGAATTCCGGCCTAGTGGTGTGAAAATTGTTAGTAAGAACTCCGGGCACCGTAAATCGCAGTAGAGGATACCACTTACCGTACCACCGACCCCGCTGACTACAACGCGAGATACATTCGCAGTGTCGCAAGTTGTCCAATCAAGGATGAAGACAACTTGTACATCGTGAGGTCTGCCTGTGAAGTACGCGATATGGGTTCCGTGCAACGACATTGAGTAGCAGAAGCGTCGCCTGTCGGGCTCAATGAACGAGCCTAACAACCGAGCACTGTATCCCAACACCTCGCCATTGGTGTGTTCCACCTCCACGTCGACTCGCCAGATTTGGATGATGATAGTTCTATCAGTTGGGGGCACGGCAAAGCTGCTAGGCTGAGTAAGGACAGCCATGTTGAATGCCGTTGGAAAGAGAGATTCCTCTCTTGAGTACGCGTCTCCAACGGAACAGTCCGAGAGGAGATCCAGCGAAACACACATATCGAGACCATGATCTGAGGCCAACTTCGCCTCGTCGCAGGCAGAAGGGACCAGAAGCCGTGATGGTCCTCCTGCTCGCTGGTACCAAACGCCTCCATCTCGACCCCAAAACATGAGAAATCCTCCACATGGGAGACCGCCCAGAAACCCGACGCTTGGGACTGGCCCTTCGATGTTGAACAAGCGAGGCTCGGGGAGAGGATCGGTAGCCATAAAGTCCAAACCTCGCCAAAATCGGATGATACGGGTCTCTATGTCATATGTAGTGCAATTCGCAAGGGGCTTGGGCAGGAAGAATGGTCGAGGGAAGGTCGTTTTGCTGTACCGTTGAAGAAGAGTGACCCACAGTGACCGGTCCTTGGACAAAGCGCACAGCGATTGGCAGCACTGGGTCTCGATGAGTTGATTATTTCTTTAATCCAGCATACGGCGAACCTTTCGTAGTGATAGTATATCTTTCCAGTCGAGATGCTTCAGAATCTCTATGGTCGTCTCGTCCGGAAGACTCGTGAACATCGCTTTCCTTGCTTAATAGACCGAAGGAGGTCCGTTAGTCTTTCAATCTAAGTACTTATCTTAAAATCGACCACTCACCACTTCTGACGGAGAATTACAGTTGTCTCGGTGCGTTAACTGGTTGGGATAGTAGAAACGACTAGACGGTCACGTAGTATGGGTGCAGGCTAGCACACTGGTCGAGAATGCACAGGGTAGCATCAGACCCTGTTTGTTTTGTATGGTGGGTGTGCTCTGTATTTGTCTTCGCCGTTCCATCTGGTCCAAGAACTTACCACGTTCCAACTCTTAGATTTACCGCACAGGGTCACACGTTCCATCTATGGTGGGTGACACAGATGTGCAACAGATCTAGGTCTCCGTGAATATTATATGACAGTTATGCTCCATACTTGTGTTCTTTGACATTTGTCTACACCACATGAGGACAGGTGGTTGGCGCACTGGCGTTACCGAAAACAAGTTATGTATGAAAGAACTGAACGTGAGTCTTGCTTCCGTTACAGCTGCTACTAATACTAGGACTGACTGGAGTCGTCAGGGCTACGAGAATAAGTAACTAATCTTGATGGTGAATATGTGACGGCCTCAGCGCCATCTATCGTGCGAGTGCTGTGAAGGAATCGCTTTCTGTGTGCTTCAGACCAAGTCGCCACCCGTAAACTGGAGGGAAAAGGTTCACTGAGGTCGCGCGCCTGTTCATGAACGATGCTAACCTTATCAGTGACATGTGGCAGGCATGCGATATCCACCAAGGACGGAAATTACCTGCTGCGTTTGGTACACGAGCAGCCGAGTCAACGCCCTGTGCACACAGCCGACCATCTCCCCTCCTTCAAGGTGTGCGGGCGCCAATCCTTCTTTCTCCCTTCTTCACGTCCACGTCCACCGCACCCGCCTCTACCCCATGTCGGTTGAATACACACCCAGCCAGGTTTTGAATCCAGCGACGCCTCTCCTGCAACGCAGCTCGCCAATTCGACTCATCAAGCATGACGTGGAGCTTGTGTGGGCGAGGAGGCGGTACCTCCCTGCAATCCTGCTTCCCCGCAACCTAACAGCACCCGGGAGAGAGGTTAACGGAGTCGTGCAAGTCGGCGCCCATGTCGTATGGGCCATCCTGTCGGTGGTTGCCATAATTTTTGGCATCTTCGTCACTCTGACCACACCTGGCGTGGCGGCTGCGCTGTATTGGGTGGCTTTTGCTGCGCTGCTTACCTTTTTACCTGGATGGCTCATGGGCTGGGGCGTTAACGATGACGGGACAGTCCAAAGCGACTACCCCGATGTGGAGGATAAGGATGGCGAGAAGTGGATCTTCGTGAATGGGTACGTCGCGTTTCCTCCATTTGACTTGTTTATTGCCTTTTTTATCCTCACCAACCCTCACCAGGATTTTGACGGGCACGTCTTGGCTGAAAGGCATGTTCTGCGCTCTGAAATACAACTGATGCGCTTTTGGGAAGCTAATGGAACCGTGGCCAGAGAACGTCAACGTCTTGGCTCATACCTTTGGTCGTCCGGTGACCGGGATTCACAATCGCACCTTCGGCTTAATCCTCGACTTGATTGAATGCCTGATTCAACGCAACCTCTTCTACGCAACCGAGGACACTCGAACGACGTACAACTGTCTCAAAAGGACCCTCTGCGACCCTTCCATCAACAAAGTCGTCCTCATCGCCCACTCTCAAGGTACCATCATCATTTCCAACGTCCTCGACATCCTCTTCGCAGAACTCGCGCCAGATGTGTTCGATAAGCTTGAAGTCTATACCTTCGGCTCGGCTGCAAACCACTTCCACAACGCTCTACGGTCCGTCGTGGCTCCAGGGATCGAAGAAGACCGACAAATCAAGGTCATCGAGCACTATGTCAACGAGAATGATTTCGTTGCTCAGATTGGGATACAGCATTTTGCAACCGGTGTTCCTGGCGCTCAGTACTTGGGGAAGATCTTCACGAGGAAGGCTGAGGGAGGCCACATGTTTAATGAACATTATATGTTCAGCATGTTTGGACAGGGTACCGCAACTCCATTTTTGAACACCCATGTCGTGTCGAATGGTGTCAACATGGGCCTGACTGTTCGGGAGCTGAGTCGGCTTTGGAGGTATCTAGGTGGTAACAGCCCGTGACGAGTGCGCTCGGTGGTCCTGCTGCGCTGGTCCTTACCTTACAGTTTCATACGTACAATGTGGTCAGCGTCTTTTCTTGTAGGACATTGTGCTTCAGATACAGTACATTCCTTCGAAAGCTTCGATACGCGAAATTGCTAACTTAACTGCGTCTACTTTCTGATACTCCATCAACATCTAATGGGGGCTCTAGGGAAAAGGAAGAGCAGGACATGCTTGAGTGAGCCCTCGAATCCAAAGGAAGAAATGTCCCTGGGCTCCGTCATGATAAACTCCACCGCCTCGATTACTGAGTCGGTTTCGATTCAGAGGGAGGGCCTATTACGGGATGATCACTCTGAGGAATTGGAAAGGTTGGGAAGATGCCCATCTTCCGATGTTCAAAGTTCAACGTTCAACCGTCCAAGGCTGGTTTATTCCTGTGTCGACTGAACTCATGCTGACAAACTGATATTCGGCAGCAAGCACCCCAACATAAGCAGGTGTTCATGCCATCCGGCTTTTCCGTGCATTTCCAGGGCTCGCGATGTATTTCAGGCTTGGTCTATTGGGCTCTAGAGCGCTGGATAACTCGACTGACCAATTATATTCAGTCGGACAGGAGACATCCAGCTCGATGTTCTGGATGGGACGTCTCGAGCACCGAGTCGGAGGCCAGAACTTCCAAAATTACATCATGAAGCTTTGTCCGCGTCCACGTTCCAAATATTGCCCACCGCCTCTCACCACTGGGCCAATCCATTCGGTCTCGAGCCGGGAGCAAATCTCTACTCTGCATGTATAAAGCAACGGGTCCTTCATCCGTCCAGGATGTAAAAACTTCTTTGTAAGTCCCAAACGGCCCTGGATCGTTCCGCCTGCCAACTGTACCCCCCTTGCCATGTATTAGGGATCATCACATAGCAACGTTGCGCACATATGCCTTATGTCGCTCCTAAAACATCATCTATAGGAATAATCAAAGCCCTTCGCACCGAAGAGCCTCTGGCTTGTGGCGCTGAGGCTACTCTCTCTCCCAACAGGAGGTTCGTTTGCATTCAACGCGTCTATCCTCTGGCTGCATCTTCTCTGACTAGTACGTGTAGACGGCCTTTGCCCCAGAAACAAAGGTCCCTTGACGACATCCCTTTAGCCAGTCCCGGCATGCCCGACAGACCACTGAAGTCAGCTCTCAAAAGTCCATGGTCGCCCTGCGATGTAGACCTTCCTCCACAGTCTGTCTTCTCGCCAGAGTGTCACAGTCGAGGTCGACAGCGGTCTAAATCAGCGCCTAATCGACCAACGCACCTCGGAGGCGACCCCATCCAATCTACAGCAGAGTCCATCACCCCTCCTGCCTCATCCAAGGCCGTCCACTTTCCCTCCCCTGACGAAGAAAACCTTGCATCTGTCCGCTTCTTCAAAAAGAGCGGTCGGCCTGTCTCAATCTCTAGACCTTCCGAAGAGACTGACACGGAGACGGATGGAGAGAGTAGCGCGTCTAGCGTAAATATCAGATACCAGGCAAGCGCTGGATTCATGGGACCTTTCCACCCTGGCCGTCAGTCGCGATTCGTGGCCATAACACGTTCCAATCGGAACCGTACGTTCGACACGGTCTTTCCGACTGAGAAGTCCAACCTATCTGGGCCTCCCATCACCAACGAGTCTGATCCCCCAGAATACGAGTTGGACACCGCGTCTTCTTCTACCGTCCCTTCCGCCCTCTTTGACCCCACCGCCAACATTCACTTGGAATCTGTGCAATGCCGGAACTCTGTGGACGAAAAAGGCATATCTACCGCACTGGTCGGTACAATTTTGGTCCGTAACGTCGCCTACGAGAAGGACGTCAGCGTGCGCTTCACCTTGGACGACTGGGTTACCACTTCGAATGTTTCAGCGACCTACACCGCAAGTTTGCCGGCTCTACCCCTCTCCTTCCTGCGTTCGGTCCACGGTACGGCGACCCCTGGAGACTGCGCCGCTCTCCTCGCCGTCGCCACCAATCGTGACCCCTGGGATCGTTTCACCTTCACTATCGAGCTCGCCCCTTTTGCAACCAATCTTCCGTCACATACCCTTTGGCTGGCAGCCAGATACTCCGCGGGGCATGGAGAATGGTGGGATAACAACGGAGGCGAAAACTACAGATTCGCATTCGTGGTGAAGCAGCCACCCATCAACGTTGCACCTCTAGTCACTGTTCCAGTCGACCGTGAGTTCACTTCCTCACAGAGCACCCTGCAACGTGCGTCCATCCCTCCTCTCAGTATCCGCCACTGCATGATGCTAACCCTTAATCTTTCTCTCGTCTAGTACCTCACCGTCTCGCTACCCGGAAGCAGATCGCCAATTCACCTCTTCCTCCACGGACGCCGCCTTCGTTCACTTCGTACAGCTTTTTAATCACGCAACCGCGGTTCCTACCCTCGCCCACATTGGATGCCACATTTAAAACTTTCTTATCCAAAACTCCGCGAAGTCGAGCTTCACGGTTGGAACGCTCTTCCGTCAAGTTTACCTCTGCGTAGCAAGCTTTCAAAAATCCCGGTTAGCTCTACAGTCTGGTAATGTACATTAGTCTCTGGGACGTATTCCGTGTATTAGTACATATCTTCTCTTCAATTGTTTTTTTGGACGTTTTCGAAGTACACGCTGTCCCATGGGCTCTGACCCCCAAGACTCTCTAATGATCGACCAACCAACGTGATCGACCCTTTCGATCTACAGCCCATTTTCGAATTATGGAGAGAATCCTTTGTCAATTCTTGGCGTAGTCACTGTGCCGTTTTCTGGGGGAACATGGCACAAAACAGGAGCACGTACGAAAAGAAATGGTCCTCCAGATTTTCATTCAGCCACAACTCCCAACGCAGAAATCGCGCTCTCACCCATGACAACTCCAAGAGCTTTCCAGTCGCTTCCTGACCCCAAGAACAGAGATAAGTTTTTATATATAGAGTAGGTGCACATTAGGAACAATCCCTGAGAGAGATCTAGAAAGAAAGGGAAATAGGGAGAGAGCTTCGAAAGGCGGTACCCTATGGTTGTCCTCGTTCTACTGCTTTCCAGAAGAGAGAGCCGGGCCAACTTTAGCTTTTTATTCGCCGACGAAGAACTTGAGGACGTTCGTCGATCGAACACCCGAGGTTTGGGCGCTACTCCTTCACCCCTCTCTGACTTTCAATTGCACCCCTTGAAGAGATCATCCTTCCATACGAACCTGCAAATACTCCACCTCCGCACCCCGACTTTCGCGATAATCAACCAAATACACTGCAGAACTCCACACTCCAACTCCATGCCACCGGTTTCAAATACCGCTATCCAGCGTTCCAGAGAAAGAAACAACACACGGAATTCCGAAAGACAGCCCGAGCACGCTTCACAAATAGCTGATCATGAGGGCCGCCGCCGCAGAAGAAAAGAAATAAGCTTTCCGCATCCCCACGTCCTGTCGAACAGAGCTACCGCATTACCAACAAAAACCAAGAGTTCCTCCAAGAACACACGAGCTACGTAGAGGCATCCGCTGATCTATCTATCTATACACCAATACTTCGCGTGTATTTCGATTCTCGAAGCGCCCGGACTTGTAAATACTCGGGCTTCGTCTTGCACCCTATGTCCATCCTCCACGATTCTGAATTGTCCTCTAAACCCACCGAAGCTCTAATTAAATTGCCGTTGCTGAGGAATAGTATTACCAGGGGGAAAAACCAACGGTCCCTATGATTGTGTATGACAGGACACGGACCCTAACTCCATCGAATACATTCAAACCCATTCAAAAATCTCTCGTCGAGACTCATTGAATTACCCGTCCTCCGAGGACTCCGAGCACAACGCTACAATGTAACACATAGGCGGAGATACACCCACCCCTGAAGGCAACGCGGTTCCTATAACCTATTCAAACATCGAACAAGAACAGACATACGCATCTATCGAATTGACTCTCCGCAGAACCCCACTTGACCTGCCCCTATCCCTATTCACTGGTTCTGACCGGGACCCTCGCGGTTTCCCTGGATTCTGGGGGTGTCAGGCGCACGCACGCACACCATCTTCGTTCTCAATGATGAATTATCAGTTTTGAGCGTTCTCTCTCACCCCCAAATTCGTGACCATGATCAACCAGATTCAGGCCAAAACTCAAAAAACCAATTCAATTCAATCCAAACTTAATTGTAGACGAGGCACGATAAGGTACGCTTGTGCTCAGAGAATGCGGACGAGACATAGTAGAGCGATAAACAAAACGAGATCAAGTTGATTGCAGAGTCTAGAGGTATGTATGTAGTAATGGCAGTACGAACGCGAACATTTCAACAAGAGAGAAACCATTCGGAGAGACGACAGGAAAACAAGAGAGGTGAGATAAAGATAAGCGAGATATCGATACGAAGCACAGAAACCGAGAGATAAGAGAGAAGGAGAAAAGACGAAGGAAGCTAGGAAAAGAAATCTAGTTATTGCAATGGGGGTAATACTTGTACACGTCGCAAGGACAACGACCTAGGCTAGCTCGTCGCTCGATCGCTGTAAAAACGACCAAGCCAAACGAATTTTTGGTATGAAAAAATGATGTATGTGTGTGTTGGTATGGAAGATCGAGAAAAACGAGAAATGTGGTGGTTGTAGTTGTGATTGAGTACTCGAGCAAAAGAGCAGAAAAAAACGAAACGCGATATGATATGATAAAATACGCCAAAAAAAAATCGAAACAGTGTCCATGGGATCAAACATCAGAGAAAAAAAGGAATAAGAAAAGTAGAGGTCGAATACGTAGATCGGTATAAAAACATCGGAAATTGAAGCATCTCCCCTTCATTCCTTCGTGTCAATTGAGATTCATTGCTTGTGATGAGATGGCTGAACGTTGTTGAACTGTATCATGTCGTGCGAGTCAAAAATTGGCGTCGTATCGTAGTACGGTCGGTGATAGCACCGACCAGTCGTAAGTAGTAGCGGCCGGGGTATTCGCGTAAGTTGACGGTGGCCAGGATAGAGATCGTTGATAGTAAATGGTGGCGGCCAGAACAGAGATCGTTGATAGATGGTTGTTAGCGGTGGCCAGACCGAAATGTCGATGGCTGATAGCAACCACGAAATAATCATGGATAGACGATGCAAGTAGACGTTCACAGCACAGCAGCTGCGAACGAACGCGAATCTACGAGCACATCAGTCGTCCACCCTACATGCACCCAAACGAAAAAGAAAACTCACCATAACACCAACACCAACACACCAGCCAGAGGTCGAGAGGTGAGGAGGACGACCCCAAGATCAACACGAAGCATGCAGCAGCGAAGAAAAAAAGCAGTGGTTGAATGGGGGAGGGGGGATAGGATGGTGACGGCGTAAAAAAAGAAATAACCAACATAGAAAAAAACCCAGAAGAGATAGAAAAAAAAAGATCCACATAAGTTAAAAAAAAAAATGAAAAGGTTAGATGTGTCCGTCATCCCAGCAGTGGGAAAGAACCGGAATTTTAGGGCCACTTCGTTGTTCCCCCTTCCAGCCCCCCAAGGAAAAAAAAAATTTCCCTTTAACCCAAACCCCAACCCCCCACCCGGGGTTCAAGGGGGGGGGGGGCCCCCCCCAAGTTCACCCGGAGCCTTGCGGCGGGAAAAAAAAAACCCAGGGTTTAAATGGGGGGGGGGGAATAGAATGGTCCCGGCTTAAAAAAAAAATTCCCCCCCTTGAAAAAACCCCCGGAGGAATTGGAAAAAAAAGGTCCCCCTTAGTTTAAAAAAAAAAATAAAAGGTTTGGTGGTTCCCTTCTCCCAAAATCCACCATTTTGGAGGCGAAAATTAATTGAAAAAAAAACCGTTGAAACCCGAACCCGGGTTCCCCTCCTTCTTCTTTTTGAAAATTCCCTTCCCCCCCCCCCCCCCCCCCCCCCCCAACACATCCTCCTCCAGAAATCAAACCCCCCTCAAAGAACCTTCCTCCTCTCACTCAACCCTCCAAACCCACCACTCTGCGCAGGAGAAGGCCCACTCGCAAAACACCACTGCCTCACAAACGCTTGATAAATCGAATCAGGATCACGGATATCATCCGCATGCCCGTTCTGTCGTCCAGGATAAACGCTGCTTGAAGCGGACGGGCTACCGGGGTAGGTAGGACTCCCGGGGTTGTAAGTAGGACTACCAGGATACGCGCCCCCACCATACCCATCAGGTATATTAGGCGAAGTAGGCGGCGTCGACATACTCCCAAGGGGAGACCCCGCTCCCGACCCACCAGCACCAGCGCCAAACACAAGCCCAAGCCCTCCCTTGCCGGCTCCAGAAGACCTCGCGTGCCTCTTCGACCCATGCTGACGATGTTCATGTTCATGTCGCTGATCGCGTCCTTGCTGGTGTTGAGAAGCAGACAACTTCGAACCACGCCCGACAGATCCAGACGAACCCGAGGACGACTTGGAGGACTTGGACCCTGATCCCGAACCTGATCCCGACCCAGAACCAGAGCCAGAGGACGATTCACTCCCACTTCCACTAGGGCTCACAGTTCCCCTCGGACTCCCAGAAGCACCCACCACACCAACCCTTCCAAGACCCGGAACAGTCGGTTTAGGCGTAGCGATGGTCGTCGTCATCTGTCCATTCGCGGTGGACGAATCCACAGTCGAAGCAGGAGCGAGAGACGGGGAGGAGGAAGAGGAGGTCGACACAGGCAAATCCTTCACACCCGCCTTCCCACCAAACGCAGGCGAACCCGTGCGACTCCCAGCAGGACTCCTAGGCGGACTACTCGTGCTCTTCTGGCGGATATCCTCGAGGATCATCTGGCGCGGTTTAAGTGAAAGCGGGAAGACCAACTCGTACTCCTTCTTCCCTGCCCCGTTGGTGGCGTTTCCAGCAGCGGCAGTGGTCGCGACATCATCCTTCACACCCTCTTCTCTCTCCTCCACACCACCCTCCAATGTCCTCAACCCACCAGACGCAGCACCAGCAGCAGCAGCAGGCCCACGATGATCCCACCCATCACTCAAACTAATCATCGAAAGCGTCCTCCCACCCATCCCAAACCCTCCCCCATTCATCGACACATCCGCCAAACTCGAAAACGGAGGCGAGGTGCCGAGCTCAGGCATCCCACGGACTCCTCCTCCCATACCCATGCCTATCGCAGCACCAGACATGAACGGCTCCAACAACGGAGAGAGCAGTTCACTACCATCTTTCTTCCCGGGTATCTGGATGACCGAAGACGATGGAGTCGACGAGGAAGGTGCAGCGGCGGTGTTGGAGGTGTTGGCAGTCGTGGTGCTGAGAGTCGTCGAAGTCGGCGTCGAAGTTCCAGACCCAGGCGGACTAGCCCGCCTCACAGTGCTGGCAGTCGAGTTACGACTCAACAACGGCTTCAACTTGCCATCCCCACTCCCATCCTCATTCCACTCGCCCCCCTTGTTGGAATCCTCGCCAACGACGACGATATCCACATGGCCCATAGTAGGTGTATGCAATGGGCTGGTCAAGGGCGTCGAGTCGTTGGTGCTCGTTTCGCTCGCAGGACCGGGTGGGCTTGACGACGTCGAACCAGCACCAGCACCAGCAGACGAACCTGCAGCAGCGTTCCCGGGGGCAGAAGCACCAGGAACAGCAACAGCCCCGCTCAATGGCAATGGACTACTCGCCGTCCTCCCAACTGCACCAAACGTGGCGACGGAAGGCGCAGCATAGTTCCGGAGGTTGAGCTTCTTCAACCTCTCCAGCGTCGTCTCCGCCATCGCCTTGTTAGTCTCTGCCCGGCGAGCGGTGTTGATCGAGGGCGTGGCGCCAGTCGCGAATGAACCGGTGGCTGGGCCGAACGACGAGGTGGAGGTGGAAGGTTTCCCGGAATCGAGCGAGGTCGAAGACGAAATCTGAGGCGGGCTCAGACTCGAGTAATAAAGCGACGGCGGGGGCGGCGTCGCGTTCGTAAATGTAGCTACACCACCATCAGTATCGCATTCACCAGCAAGATCGAAAGACTCACGAGGACAACTCAACACATTCTTCCTCCTCTGCTGCAATGCACCCTCAGCCTTGCCATCCTCCACACCAGCCTCACTAACAGGCCTCGAAGTAACAACCTCCTTCTCCCTAAACCCAATCCTGTAATTTCCACTCGCGTTATTGTCCCACCACTCGTTCCCCATACCAGCACCAACACCAACTTGCCGCTTCCGCAACTCCAAATCGACGAGAGCCCGCACCCGCGGAGAGCTCTCACCCAAGCCCCTAACAAGTACGTCCACCATCTCCCGATCGCACCTCGCGAGGAGCTGCGACTCGGTGGAGGACGAGGTGGGTGAAGCGAGGGATGAAGAGGAAGGAGAGGAAAAGATGAAGCCGGGGAGACCGACGGGGACAGGGACTCGGACGTCGGAGGGCACGTTGTAGCGGACAACGAGCCAGAGGGTGCGGTTGGAGAGGCTGCGGGAGCGTGCATAGTCGGAGAGATTGATCGAGAATGAGAAGCGGTCCCACTGAGGGTTGGACCCTGCTACTTGATTACTGGGAGGAATTGCTTCAGGAGGGGGCATTTGTTGGCGATCTAGAGTAGATATCGAAGCACATATATGAGTACATTTTAACGATAAGAATAAAAAAAGGGGCACTAACCGCCGCAGACCCATTTAGCCCATCGCTCGGGCAGGCTGGGCAAGCTCTCCTTGTAAGCCGCCTTGACTTCGCTAGTGGTATGCCAGTCGTCGAGTGTGAATCGGATCGAAACATGCTTCTCGTATGCGACGTTGCGAACGATGAGAGTTCCATGGAGGGTAGCCTGCAGCCTGGGCGAAACGCCAGCAGCAGAATCATCATCGTCGTCCTCCGAAGACGAAGGAGACGACGATGGAGAAGACGAAGCCTTGTCGCAGCTAAGGCTCACAGACTCGAGGAAAACGTTGTCGAAAAGGCAAAGGTCGCGTTTGGGCATCACCGAGGTCGAATCCGTATCGAGTTCATACACAATCCTCTTCTTCTCTTTCCGTTTGGCGGTGGATCCCGTCTTGGTAGCGTTCGTCGCGCTCGTGAGTGTCGTCGGTGCGCCCTTGGTGCCTTGGCCAAGCGGCGACTGTTTGGCAATCGACCCAGCCATCCTGGGGAAGGGGTAGCCGTTAGGCCCTCTCGCCGCCGCACTGTTCTGGTTCTGCCGGGTATACCGGTCCCAGGGGTTGCTATACCCGCTTCCAAAACCCCACGCGTTATGAATGCCATAGTGATACACACCGTTGTTCGCCCCACCCGAGTTGTACCCTTCACCATCCGTCTCCGTCTCCGTCTCCTCCCCTCCACTCATGAGCAACGACACAGGTTTGGCGGTTCGCTTGAAGACGCGGACGGTGGTGAGCCCGCCTTCTTCAGAGGACGGGAAGTGGACGGCCTTGGGGGCGGAGGGGGTGGATGGGACGGTCAGAGAGTAGTCGGGGGTATCCGAGGGCGACGAGCCAGTCGAGTTGGGGTCAAAGTTGGGCAGGTTGGGTGCAGAGGCTGCACGGGTATGTCTCTGGTTCTGCGGAACGGCATTCTGCGATTCCTTTTGCTGCTGAGCCGCGATCTCAGCGTACATCCTCGACGGCACCAGGGACTGAGATGGGAATGGGATGTTGGGCGACGAGCTCGAACTCTTCAGCGACGACTTGAGTGGTTTGCCGTTGGCGAGGAGGATGGCGGAGGACGTGCGCTGGATGTTGGGGCGGGCTGGGTCGCTTCTGGTCGTCGGCGATGGAGACTTGACGCTGGACGACGTCCTGCTTCTCGGTGGGCTCGTCGTCTTGGGGAACGGGAGGGTGTTCGGCGAAGCCGTCCCAGGGATTCTGAGCTTCAAAGGCGGCAGCCCTCTGGCAGCCTGGTCGTCCTCATCGTCGGTCGTCAGATGCGCAGGCTTGCCCGCTGGCGTCACTTTGACATTGGCACCCGCAAACCGCGCCGTCGACGGTGGCTGGAACCTGGACGTCGTCGACGAGATCGGTGCTGGGTCCTTTGGAGGCGAGTTTTCTTCTGATCCAGAGTTGTCGTCGTCGTCGTCGTCGTCGGCCGCGATGTGGAAAGAGGCCGGTTTCCGTCGGGGAAGGGAGCCGAGGGACGCGAACGCGCCTCCAATTCCGGCGTTTCCGGAGGAGGACGAGGTGGAGGCTGGGATGGATGGGTCGGTGGAGGTGTAAGAGAAGGACCGGCGGTGTCCTGGACGGCCTTGAGAGGGTGTCGGCAGCGGGGCGGGGGTCGGTGATGTTGGTACAGAGTAGGGCATCGTCACAAACGACGTCGAAGATGACGTCAACACAGGGTGTGCTCGAATTTTTTGGTTGGAGGGCGCTCTGAGGGTAATCGAGAGGGTGAGTACGATGGAAGGTTGCTCTTATCAGGGCTATCAACCACGCACCAGCTGGATCCTAGCCAGTCACTGTCGCGTCCTAATACCTGCTAGGCAGACAGATAGGCCGGTGTATATAACCCAAAGAGAAAGGATGCAGCTGCCAGGAAAAGAGAGCGGTCGCCTGGCTTATCGCAAGGACAACAGCAAGTGGGCAGCAGCGGGATTCGTCCTATCGACGAAGGGGAGGATGGCTGACTATGTAGCCACAGGGAAGGGGGAAGTGGGAAAGGGTAAGGAAGCCCTCGGACAGAGCGAAACGAGGGTAGAAAAGTAAGGCGATAGAAGATTTTCGATTTGGGAAGGAGGAGCTTGTTGTATATGTAATCCCGTTATGTTATGGTTGAGACATCATGTTTGTTCCCCCTCTCCTAACTAAAAATCGCACAACAACAGCCCCTGTTCCCGCCCCTTCTCGATGGTCACATATCTATACATGTCATTCACAGTTCATGAAAGACTGAATACCTCTCAAGAAGAACCTAACTCCACCCATCGAGAAGTACCACTGACGATTCACAGCGTCTTCGAACAACGCAAGGTCCCTCAACTGCTTGCACCAACCCGGACGCGTGCCAACCGACGAATCAAAACAGGAGAATCCACTCTATCGCCCGATGCATCTATCTCCATCTATACTCATCCGATCCCCTTTGGTCCTCTGTAGATTGCCGAACGAAAAAACTCATCCATCGTTGCCTTTTCGGGGAACCTCGAGGGAGGACCAAATTTCTTTTTGGGCATCCCTGGAATTTCGGTGCGAGGTCCATCGGTCTATCGTCCCTGGGATCGAAGGACCGTCCCTAGTCCCGAATCTTATCCCCCCGAGTCCCCAACTCCCAGTCTCCACCTCCTCTTCGCGAATCATCTTCGCGTCTTCTCCTCTGATCCTATTCCTCCCTCTTACTCATTCGATTCGTTCTTGCCATAGTCCATACCCACCGGCTTATGTCTGTCTTCATAGGTCGGTCTAGATGGTCTTGTTCTACGAATTCTAACTACTGTATAGCCATGGAGGCCCCAGGTGAGGTCTAGAATACCCCACATACCAATCTTTTCCCATCGGACGACGGACAAGCGTATCTCCCGCCCCAACCAATGAATCCTGATCCCACTGGCACTGGAATGGGAATCATCGCCATCGACTGGGACTGGAATCTCTGAATTCTCACTGGCGTCTGGCACGCACTGGAATATTCGCCGCACTGACGCGCACTGGAACTTCTATGCTACCCTCAGCCTTCCTTCTCCATCCTTCTCTTCATGACTCGACCACTCCAACTTTCTGAGTTCCGTCCAACTGAGTTCCTGCTAATTCGAAGCTCCCGCCCTCCACCCGGTGTTCATAGCATTCCTTGGTCTCTCGTCACTCTCCACTTGGCCTCCCCCACCGCCTTCCCGTACTCCACCTTCTCATGACAATACTTTGGCCACTCTTAAACTATACTTACATTGTATGTAACTGATCCTGGATCCCGATACTCAGTACTCTGGATCTCTTGGGCAGGCTGAGCGTTCTTGTACATGAACTTCCCGTTGAACTTGCTCCGTTGAACTTGCTCCGTTGAACTTGCTCCACCAATGACCGTCGGGTGTCGCCCAGGCTAAGCTTCCCAGCCTCAGCAAGTTTCTGGACCTCTTTCAAATCACAGCTTGATTGTGACACCGGCGTCCCCAGCACATCTCCCACAAAAACTCACGAAAAAATTAATTTTACTTGTCTTCGCAATCTGCCGCCCGAAGTCTGACTGATTCTGATATCGCTATCACCCACCCCAATTGAATACGTACGCCCGACTAGGGGCGTACGCATGGTTCCCCTCTTGCTTTCGCACATCACCGACGGGTGTATGGAAAAAATGGACTGGGACTCGGACGGTTAAGTAAGGCGAGTGTGAGTTGAGTAGTGCGAACCCTCGCGCCATACTTCCTAACAATGCACAATGCGCACTTACTCTCTCTCCCGCCGAATCTGACTCATTACGTACGCATCTAGTCTACCTCTCCATTCTACCCTCTGAATCCCCCAAAAACCTCCCCTTCTATTTCTTGGATGTACTGTATTCCTATCCTCAGCCTTCCGCTCGGTGTCGCACCCATCGCTACCCAGCACCCCTCCCTCAACAACAATGACTCGAAATTCGTGAACACCTTCATTCGCATTCGCATTCACCTTCTTCCCACTCGGGCGCCAAAAAATTAATACCAAGTCCCAATCCTCCATTCCGATAAGCGGTGCCTATAAGTACGCTCAGACAGTTTCACACTTGTCCCTCGATGCGCTCCGCTCGTCGTAAGGCACAGCCCACGCAGACTCGCGTAGCCAATCCGGTCTTCGGATCGGATTACATCCAGAGGACAGAGGGCGAGGGCTTACGTTTTTGGCTTGTGAACGGTAGTTTTAGAAAAAAATTGACCAGTGAGAGTTGGATAAAGAGGGAAGGAGGGCGGATAAGTATGGACATGGACGAGAATTGGGAGATACTATTGAGGTCCTTAGGTATGCGGCATGAAGGGGGCCGTCCACGAAGGCCTACTCACTGTACCTCTCCGATAACCCAACGTTTCTCTTGACCTTGGGCAGTACGTACGTACACCATTCCCAACTTCTATTTACTGTCGAATAAACGAACGAACGAGCGTCTTTCTCAAAGTGCAAGGCGCGCATGTGTGTGCCTTGCACTTACCCGATGAATCACAACAAACCACCGCTTAGCCGCCGGCCCACCATGCCTAGCGCTCAGAACTCGGAATCGGGTCTGGGACCCACTGAATGCTGTACTGTACGCACGTTCGATCATTTAGTATCTGCACCGCCTCTCCACTCTCAAGCTTAACCCCTCTCACAAGTTAGCAATCGTTCGCCGACTGCTGACCATGGAACGTTGACACCATTGAACGTTACCCTCCAGATCAAGCACAATAAGAAGGCGGTGGGTACTGTGCGAATGCGCCCGACTCCCGAGTGTCCTCGCGTCGAATTCCCTTGCCCGTCGGCACTCGGACTCGGAATTCGACTCTTCGACGGTGTTATCTATCTACCAGGCTGACTGGGTTCTCGCCCTTTGCTTATCGCACCGGAATAGCTGTTGCTGACTATAGCCATCGTCATTGCACAGTCTTCCGAAGTTTATTGCTGGATAAACATTAATTGACGTCGAGGTTCCACCATCCAACAGAGTCCAACGCGTAGCACCAAGTCCCCTACCATCGTCATCGTTCAACACTCCCAGAAACCCAAGCCCAAAAATTCAGCGAACTCCAATTTTGACTCAGCGAACCAACGCAAAAACCAGAGGAGAGGAATAGGAGCTCCCTAATCTAATCTAAGCATCCTTCCTTCCTTTTTGGTCACTCACCGCTCAAAAGATGTGTCAGATTCCCAAAAATGGGTAAGTATGTTGTATGTACTGCTTATCATGGACAGGATCATTCAGGGACCATTGGCAAGCTGCTCTCAGTCGATGGTCGATGTAAAGTTGTTCCTGGAATGAGTCGATGACGAATTCGACGAGGTTAGTGACTAAACCAAACCTGTATGCTTATTCATGGAACTTCATTAAGTCATAGACAAACCTATCAGGAGTCTAGTGAAGACTAGAACTTGGTCCTTAGTAGTATGTGTGTAGTAGTAAATCGTCACTCATGCATGCATACCTCTATCTTAGTGCTCCTCCAACCACTGGTCTTCTTCCTACCTACTCCTACTTACTAAAGTCATGATCCACCCGATTGATTTACCGGCATAGTACAAAGGCGAACGTAACGATCCACCTCCACTTGGAATCTTCCATACCTCCTGTCTCGGCAACCGCGACCATGGACCTGAGTGTGTGTCTAATAATAATCCATCTGCCAGGGGTTCGTCCACGTTCTTGCGGCTCGGCCGTTGAGACTAGTGGCGATGAGACCCCTTCCAGAAACGGTATTATACCCATCTCAATCATCCATTTATTGAATGTGTAGTTCATTGCGCTTTATTTCGAGCACCTTCTGATCCCCGCTCTCTTAGACTTAAAAGTAGCCACAATGCAATCACCGCTTTCCAGCGCCAATTCTGCCTACTGGGCTCTCGGAATCGCCGCCTTCCAACTTTGACTTTATGTACTTTCCCGAATTACTGTAAGTTCCAACTTTGAGTCCCTCGTCGCCGCTGCAAGGCCACTCGGTCTTCAAGGTTCAACCGTCAAGCTGTTCTGAGTCAACATTTGCCCGAAGCGTCGTATTGACAGATTGCACGCAGCTGGGAACAAGAGCCTGACTCCTGAGAGCGCTCACGGACGTAAACCTCCGTATAACCGAGGGTTCAATGTTCAAAACCAAGTATGCCCTTTCTTTCACTCGCCCTGAGCGCGCATGCAATCGGTTTTCGCGAACTCGAAGGTACCACAAGCAGAGCTTAGACGTGAGACCGCCTAGAAGGAAACGGGTGGCCGAACCGCGATTTAGGCGCGCATATATACCCGAACGGCATACGTATCATGCGGGAATAGAGCAGCCTCGAGGCTGCACTGGGGCCCATGAGCGCCGAGAGCCGAGCGCTGAGTGTCGAGTGAGTCTGATCTGGCTTCCCGGTAAGTACAAAGATAGTAGTGCTAAACAAATCTCCTCGAACTTCCACTTGCTAGTCTCGACTTCGCTTGTCTCGATTCTTGACTCCCATGTAGCACAACTCCACTATTGACATTCGACATGGACTGCCAGGCGGGGGCGCTCCCACGGGAAGTACAACGAACCACGTACTGGATGCGCAGAAGCAAGCGCAGTTTCAAACATCAGATACTTATGTATGGTTCCTTATCGTTATCGCTCCTAATGATAGGCGCGCATATAATTGCAGGTACCCGTCCCCCTTCTGATTTGGGCGCATGCTCGGCGTCCGCTACCGATTGCTCATAAAGGCGATCTGGCTTGAGCTCTGTAATGCCAATCGGAGAAGGGTGAGTCGACAGGAATAACCACTTGGTGGAGTATCACCGCTTCGGAATAGCGAGCTCTCCTCTTGTTCTGATGTGCTGTTATCTATCGCTGTTCTCCTTTTCTACTTTAAACTACGCCGGCTTCCAAGTACCTACTGTATTTACTTGATAGATAGCAAGCAGCGCTTCGAAAGATCAATGAGATTTCGAATTTGCCGTAACATCACGATCCGCTACCGCATGAGCACGTTACATGCATCCTTATTTGAGGTGTGTATGTATCGTATTTATACTTCCAATATCTACCGAGTGGGAACGGTGGTCAGGTTAATGAGTGCTCAGAAGATGGATGAACAAAGCCTGACCCCTCGACGTTAGGTGAGATCAATTCTTGCTCGAGTCATTTCTGGTGATTCTATTGTCCTGACGTCCTCAAAGTGTACTTCGTTATGGAGGTGTTACCTCCAGCCATCTGAAGTCTGTCCAGAAGGGAGCGAAGGCACCCCATAATGCAGTTATCCCTTGTCGTCGTTGCTAGGACGCTTTATTTCCCGCTACTCTTCCGCCATCTAAAGTTGGGTCGATCATTCATCAATCAACGAGGTGCTGTTGTCTTGGCCTTTGGTCTTCACCTTCGTCTGAATTCGAAGAAGTCGAACTCGGAGAACCACTAAGTAAATGTCTTCGAAACCTACCTACCCAGCAAAAACCCCCTTCTTACCCCTGAAACTTGCCTGAACCAATTGGTAACCTTCAGGATTCTTTACACCAAGCATGATCATTCTGTAATCAACAACAACTTCGCAGGGTACTCACTCTATTCGTCGATCGGCGTCCTCAAAACTAATCAATCGTTACCTTGTGCATAAGTCTTAGACTACCTCTCTCTCTCACACACATACTTCTCACGCAGGTTCTACAAGAACGTACGGTTCCGTGTAGCGTGCGGTTAGGGCGACTGGCGACCGGCAAATGGCGAAACGAGGGACACCACACTCCACAACATTGAATTGGTCACTGGGCGGGGTCCTGGCTTTGAGGAAGGACTGCCAGTGCGTACCCAGGAATTTGGGGGTGGTGCTGTCGTTATCAAACTCGTCATGTATGTATCTCAATCTAGAGCCAAGTTAACCCTCTCAATCAGAGCTTCCATGTCTTGTCGTGCCCCGACGCTCGTCCAATTCCCATGAATGACCTTCATGCATTCGATCTTTGAGGTATGTACGTGAACACAGTGCAATTTACCCCTAACTTCGCGACCTCTCCCGCGTACGATGGCGATCCTGGATGCCTTCAAGCTGATCGCGGGAAATCTCCGAATTTCATCTTTAGGCTTCCTCGAAATTTCAAACAGATGCCAACGCCACGAAAATAAAGTCGAAAAATGCCTTTTCTGGGGTGGAGACACCCGCGCTCATCGAACGTCGAGTTCGTCTGTCAGGCATGCAGAGCGCAGCCGTGGGTTCTCCTCAGCGCGAGGATCGTTCATCCGAAGGAGTTGAGGAATGCAACTATGAAATTCCAGAAGTTTTGTCCCCACTTCACACGATTTGGACTAATCCCTGCCAGTCCCGGTGCGCATTCACTTACCACTTACTACCCTTAACTGTCCATACGCACCATGATCAAGGTCCCTCAAATTTGAAAATTGATGTCTTTCCCTCGAAAACGAGGGTTGTTCGGACAAACTGATATGTCAAAGATAAACTGCATCCCTCCCGGGTGCAGTGTGTCAACCCCACCGGTGCCCGCCCTGCACTTGAAGAGTTGACGTGGAGATCAGATCAGTATTGATTTTTTGATCGCGACGGGGCGGGTCAAAGGGCGGATCAGAGGGAGGCGGGAGGCGGGGCGGAAGCAAAATGGTGCCCTGAATGAATGGAACTCGATTGAGTAGAGCGTGATACCATTAGTTCGATCCGTTGAGATTCGTCCCCCTCGTTCGATCGATCGTCTCCGGATAGCTGAACGAGCCCACATTGACGGTCTGTGCAACCGCGATAAGAGAAGTTGCGTACCAGATATTTACAGGGGTGTTTAGACTCAATCAAGTCCGTGCAACGAAGTTGGTGCCGATCGATGGCCTTCAGAGTTGGATGCAGCTCTCTGCCAAGATTGTCTGAGTATTTTAAGCTTCAGCCTTCTTTGAAAGTGCTGCTATGGGGTGGGAAGTGTTTCTTCGCACACCAATCCTGTGCTTCCAAAGGAATCAATGGTGGAGGAGGATAGAACTGAAAAATGAGCTCATTAGGAGTTGACAATCCCCCAAGTCATTTGAATGGGGAAACAACATAGCAGCTTGTTGCGGGGCAGGGTCGATTCGTACAAGTGTTTAAGCTATAAGTTGTCCGTGGCCAACGAGAAGCAGATAGATAGTAAGCAAATATCTCGACATACCGCCCGTTCTTCCTTCGGTATCTTCCGTGCGGAGAATAACTTCTCAGAGTGGTCTGGCCAAAACAAGCTGTCCGTGACCATCTCGACCGACCAAATGATTTGCACAAATCGAAGTTTTGCTTAGATGATCCTTGACGGCTAAAGGACATCTCGTCGAGGTCCTGATAGAAGTGACTCCAGCACCCTCGAAAGCCTGAGCGTCGATTGGGACTTAGAACCTTCATCTGTCTACCGAAGGATCGAGAATCCTGAAAGAAACTTTGTTGGCGCTTTCGTTTCCACGCGTTGATTACTTACGCGTTTCCATTTGCTTGGATAGAGCGGGCATTTAGGCATCTATGACGACGCGCCTCTTATCTGCACCACCAGAAATTGAGAACAGTGGAGTAGAGAGGGCTTTTAGGAGAGGAAAAGGTGCATCTATTACCTTGTACGGCCATAATACCATGCCAGCCGCCGCGACGATGCCTGGTTGCCACTGTTGCGAAGGGGTTGAAGGCAATTGGGAAGTAATCACCAATCGGTGATGCGGTATTACGCGACTCATAAGGGTTGTCGACGTCATTTCGTATCAAAGGTGGGAGGGACACTGAGAGGTTTCGGACGAGAATGGTGGGAGACGCCGCCGCCAACACCAAAGTCGATCCCATCCAGCTTGATTGAATACGTTGGAGAGAGATTGGGAGTCGTTAGCATGGGATTCAAGGGTACGAAGCACCCAAGTCTCCAACAAAAGAGTTATTAGTCCAATGCCGTGAGTTCCCGCCACGTAGCTTGTCGTAGCCTTGGGGGAACTGAGGAGGCGACAGTGTAATGAGATGGAGTCTCACAGCGTAACGAAGGCGCTATGACGCAGGCACCACAGAGCTTGATTTGAAAGAAGCTGACCAGCTCTTCTAGCTCTCATCTCGCATTAAGCGCTCAGGAATTCCCGCGCCGAATGGGCGGTTCCTGTCGTGAGGGCTGTCGGGCGAGTCTAGTAAATCCCGGAGCCGACGTCTGACGGCCGATGGCGAACAGCTAAAGACTAGGGCTCATCTTGTAGGCAGCCGCACGATTCGGAGCGCTTAACAATAATCTAAAGCATCCACTAAGGGCACGAATCTTCATTAATATGATTGTTCCATCAATGAAATCTCGATTGCTGTAAACCTCATGAAGCACGCTCCAGAAGGCAAGTTTTTCATCGAGACCCAAGGGCAGCTTTTTTGGGGGTTGGTAACGCCGCTTAGTGACAGTCGTTGGTCTTTCTAAACTTGAATCCCGAGCTAAAGCAACTGAAAAGTTACAAGGCTTTACTCACCTTTCTTTTCTCATGTTGGCCTGAATTCGATGCATTTTGCGTCTAACAAATTTGATTCATGACTGTGCACGGAAGGTGGATGATTTCACGCTCTAAGATCTGAGTCCCGGACCCCACTGTTTGTCGCGGTGGGGGACCGAGGAGGGTCACGGTCTCTTGGGACTGTGGGGCCAGTCCAAGTCCAAGGTCACCTGACTCCGTGTGTTCGTGGGACCACCATCCCGATTCCCAACGCCAAATCACATCCCACCCTGGCTTCGAGCTTAACTCTCACCCCAAACTCCGTGACCTTTACTATGGCTGGTTTCAATACAGAGTACTTGCTACCCGGGACCTTCTGACCACAGCATTCTTGCTGCTTTGGATCATCGCCAGCCTCATGCCTGACCATCTGATCACCGTCCCACTTTTTATAGATCCAACGGACGTCAGCTTTCGAATGCCGTCGTCTTCTTGTGGCGCTTTTTTTGTCTCTACGCTAATATCTGATGCATCTGCCCACTGTTCGAGGACACCGTCACCTTTCTGGAGCTGCGCCAGTCTTCTGGTGTCGACGGTGACCCGCGAGGCCTGCTCTGGGGAGGGATGACACCTCGCGCACCAGAACCCCGGGACCTCACCGGACTCCGCTTTTTGAATTTCCTCTGCTTGAAAGACACACATATACGTCGTTTGACATGAAACAGCGGGAGAAGACCTGTATTTCTGATGTCGTGTCGTCGAAGGTTGTCTGCGCAGAACTCGCTAGCGCCGCCGGTTGGTGAATTTCGACGTACGCTTTGCTGCTGCGCTTGAGAATTTGGCTCCGGTGTCCTAGAAACTTTGGGGACTTCCACCTCGACCTCTGCTCAGTCCGAACGCCCTGCTTATACCAACTTTCGGCCGAGCTGTTAGGTTCCTCCTTGCGCTGGGTCTTGATTTTCAAGTCTACAGTGCCCATCTAGCAGTCGAAGTTCTATTCTCACCTGTCTACCCCACACTGCGAATGATTCCACCAATGGTACCACTTTAATGAAACGACGATCTCGTCGACCCTGACGACCCTCGCCCCAGCCCCATAATCTCTGGTTTCTGCTGCCATCGAACCGATAAAACGGCAGAGACTGTCTTGGGTGACAATTTCCTCTTTGCTCAGCCGTTCGTTTCATTTCCGAGATCTATCAGCCCCATGTGAAGTAGGTGAGCTCTTCGGCTCCCCTTACCTTTGTGATTGTGATGAAATTTGCTCTAGCGCTCACAAAGCCCTCTGTGTTTGGCGCAGGAGGTATGACGGGGGATTTGTCCTCAGATGACGGTGATGTCACTTTGGTCACCCTGCAGTCTGTGTATTGACGTCCGTGAGCTTACGGTCACAAAGCAGTCGATATGGCTCAAAGTACTCCTTTGTCGGTTACATCTATCGCTGAAGCGTCCAATGGGCAGCTCGTTCTTCCTTTCGGGAATTGATTGACTCGTCCAACTGGTCCCTGGTAGACCTACAGACAAGACTCCATCCACCGAAGACCTTCATGAGTCCACCGCAATGTTCAATTTCCGTAGGTATGATTTCATGACCAATTCTCACTTGGACATCTCGGAAAATCCGTCCCAAAGCACTCCCCGCCACGGAATAGGCGGAACGGAACGGAGGAACGCGACGACTGCAGGTCCGTAGACGACTGATTGTCAAGCCAACTTGATGGGTAAGCCTTACTAGTTTGTTCACTATAACGTTTGATTGGTCTTTGACAGACATGAGAAGTGTTTCCTGGCGAGCTAATCTAGGGCTGAACCTACCAATCCTGGACAGATAGCCGCGCATTTCCTGGCACTTGGGCCAATTCAGTATGTCTTTCTTTCGATTTGATCTCGACATACCCGTGAACTTTCGCGCGAACGAGGGGATGGATTGGTGACTAATCCATAAGCCAGTACTCCCCAGGTGAGTCCGAGAGTGTTGTCTCCGCCACCTGTGTCCATTATCCATTGCTCACCCTTATCGCAACCAACTCGAGAATCAACTGAAGAATTCGACTTTACTTCGAAGAATGGAAGTTATTCCAGGCGCCATTGTACAAGGTGAATACGTGTTTTCCTGAGGGATTATAGCCCATCATTGTAGTAGAAGCCTGACCACCACCATCGCCGAGGACACGCGTCCGATACGAGGACTCCACTGGGAAGGTACAGGTCCTAATTAGGCAGGAAGGAAACATATCATTGGGCGGTGTGGTCCAACCAGGAGTAACTACGGCCTGTCCCGGGGTTATTCGGAATTCGTCCCTCTCGCCGACGCTTCACACTTCTCTTCCGAGTTTCAAGAACCATTAACGATCGGCACACTCTCGGGAGAGAATCGTACCCTTCACTGTGCTTGCAGCGGATTGACGCTTATCTATATTGTGGCTATCGAATACGTATTACGAGTCAGTTCTGAGCGGAAATTAAAGTTACCCATGGCCTATCAGCTCCTCCAGATGAGTGTACCCTCTGCAACCGCACTTGGCGGTTGCTCCCACCAATGGCTCCCAGGTAGCCTGGAGTTGACCTGACGCAATCCTTGGCAATATCTGTCGTCCATTTGACGGAAAGCGGAGGCTTCTGGAGCACGCTCTGACACGTTGCGATTCGGGAATAAAACTTTATTGCTAATCTCACAGTCACGATCGCGCAGACTTATCAGTCCTGAGGCCTGAGGTCCGAGACCATATCGTCATGGGTGGAAGCTGTGGACGGTACCCCTCGTCTCGCCGATCGCATCCTTCCCGATTGAAACGCCACAGAACAGGCGACCGCTGAAGACGACACAGACTTGGATGAAATATTGGGATTGGGTGAGCCTTGCCAAGGACCGCGACATAATGGCACCATCCGCCTCGCGCCTTCTCAAGGTACGTAGTTGCCTTATCAGGACATCTTCTTTCCCTGTTGTCTCCTTCGTTCACGGAAGTAAATTTTCTTTCTTTCTTTAAGGGATTAAAGTAGGACCGAATACAAGAGGGGTGTACATAATATCAGCTGGAGGATTCCGAGCGACTGCCACTGCTTTTTATCCCACATCCGCATTTCGTTTCCCATCACAAAAACATTGCGGATGGAGTGCTGTTCTTCGGGGTCGATCAGGTGACCAGGGCCTGGTGGGCATGGCCTTCAACGTCGCGTGTACGCAATCTGTTCTGACTTGAGAACTAATGATTCGGAGCTTCCGAGGACTCAGACACGAAGGGAATCCGATCGATTTCGAATTCGAACCATGAAATTCTCCAACCAACGATAGCTGAACAAAGGAGGCAGACAATAGAACGAGATAAGTACAATGCAACGAGTGACTTCCCGAAACATGAAAACACGACCACTCGTCACGGATTACCACTATTCAGGGCCTTCCACAGTCAACTCGGCTCCCGCGCACTGTCGCTCTGGAGCGTGTTCACTGAATCTCGCGAGCAGCGTCGGTCCCACGACTGGCTTTCCAGGTCTCAGGGCCCTGCCCAAGCAATCAGATCCCATCGGTATGAAGGGGAATAACGACTTGCCTTCCTGTTATCAAGCCTCTGGTTCTTGATACGACGAGCGAACCATTCACCGGCCGTCTGTCCCCCTGTAACCAGGCCATGTGTTTCTCCGACTGTGTTAACAGCATTAGAGATCATGGAACTTTCGTCCATCAAAGGTTGGAGAAGGACAGAATTTCCTGGCCGCGTGAAGTAGGCCAGAGACCAACGCTGGCTGTTAGCCTGAGAGCCTGGCGGAGGCCTGTGTGACATTGACTATCAGAACTAGAAGGCAGTTTGAACGGAAGGAACTCACAGTACGCGATGAAGGTTGGATCGAAGGATACCACCGCTGAAGATCGTGAGAGCGTCTCCGACGTTGCAAATGGCATGTCCAGCGAGCGGCTTAGACTTGGTTCGATATTGGTCTCTTCGTTTTAGCGAGAAGGCGACCTACCTTGACATACTGCCAATGATCAGACCCGGGAGGGAGTACTTGGAGTCCTCCTAGCCGGTTGAACAATACGGTCTGTCCGCCTTGTCAGCATTAGGTCTCGTATCGAGTCGTGAGGTTGGACGTACCAAGCTTCCAAAGTCAGTGTGGCCACCGATAGCAACACGCTCTGTATCCTTCATCGGAGGAGTACATGTTATTCTTGCCTCGCTACCACTTGGCTCGTCATCGAGATGACGTCTCGCCAATGTTCCTGAGGGAAGCCCGAGTTTCTCCTCGAAAACCCCAAGAAGAACCGCGTTGACCTCCATGCACTTCCGGAAGAACGGGATAATAGTTGAGTCCATGCGATCCGTGGCAGGCTTGGGATAGCTGCGTTTGCCCGGACGGGGCCATGCCAAAACGTCGTCTTTGGAGACGTTCAGAAATTCGACGAGGTCCGGCTCTCCTGTAGCATCTACAGCGTTCGCTCCTGCTGCCTTGTACCTGAATTCGTTCAGTCGCCAATCAGAGACGAGCACTTAGAAGGTATTACCCTGCGGAAGCGCCGTCGTTTCCTTGTTCGTACTTCATCTTCTCGGATAGGGGCAAAGCCATTACATCCGCACCCAGATCAAACATTCTATCGGCCTCTTCTGAGCATCCATGGTTCCTCAAACTACCGAGGGAGAAATTTCAGACAAACCGGGAGATAGGCATAGCTTCTCCGGGACACTCACTACCAGAACCCGAGCTTCGTTGCTGCTTCCCAGAGCTTCTCGATTTCGTCCTGGTCCCTATTCTTGACCTTTTCGTAGTCGACGATAAGCAGTGGGTGGGTAGGTATGTCGTCTGGAAAAGGAGGGAAGTCTCTAGCCATGATAGTTCGAAGTTGAGTACAGCGCCATGAGCCAGCCAAGGTCAGCTTAAATACGCGGCGAGGAGATCGCACTCGAGTAAGGTTGGGTTTCAAGATCCGGCAAGTTATTTTAGGCTGACGACACGTAGTACGGCTCCAAGTACACAGCTGATGCAAGGTGATGCTCTGGTTTGAGAACCTTTTTGTGGGAGAAAGAAGGCGTCTCAGTCGTGCGGTTTACCTCTTAACGAGGTTCTTTGGCGTTCCGTTACCTTGAAGAGAGATTCCAACAGTCAAAAGCAGCAGTAAGAAGCGGGAATAGTTAGAGGAGACGTCGATGGCGAAGAATGCGTTTCCAATGTCTGGTGGAGCACAACTTGGAGCTAGCCTTTTGGGCGCGACCGCCCACAGTACCCCTAGTTCAACAGTTGATCGGCACTTCGGCGTGTCACTTAGACTTCAGATAGCGTTTAAGCGGGGGAAGCTCCTCCAGCGCAGTCATGAAGCAGTCGTCTTCATGCTAACTGGAAGCGTTCGAGGCCTTCCACGAGGGAGAGCAGGATAACCATCGCAGATTGCCAGCTTGGTGTTCCAAGATGTAGACGTGATATTCTGGAAGCTAAGAAGTCGAGGTGAATGATCAACTATCAATAGTTTCAGGAGAGGACGTTACATACCTCTAACCTGTCATGGTTCTCTTCTGACGCTCCAACGTACGAACGCTTAGGAGAACGAGGTAGAAATCAGAGATCAACCCTCTAGACTCGCGACCAGTCGTTACGCCTTGCCCCACTCTGTTTGTGTTATGTTTGTACCGTATTTGGTCGATGCCGGTTGATGGCCAGCACAAACAAGTGGAGCGCAGCGTAACGACTGGGACAACCAAGGCACCTTTAGCAGGGACCCCCCGAGCGTGACATCGACTTAGCGAAATTTCGCTCCTCCCTCCTTCCTCGGTCCTCAAATTCACTCCAAAATTGATATCTTCAGAGCCATTGTCTATAGCATTAGTTCGAGTAAATAAATCGATTGAACACTACTCTAAAAAATACAATTTTCTCAACAATTTCAACTTGGGTTTGCCGGGGGTGTAAACGAGGTAGGGGACGAGGAGGAAGGGACATGTCCGTTTGGAGGTGGCCGGGGATAATAGAAAGGATAGGGATAAGGGTATATCATGTGGGGAGGAGGGGGAGGAACATAGTATATCAGCCAATGGCCTGTGTGCCATCCTTGGACTGGAGGGGGTGGATGGGATGGCCCGGGCTGGAGGTGAGGTTGTGGGTGTGCGAGAGCCCGACTCCCGAGCGTGACCATTCACATTCTGACAGTTACAGTCATTCAGGCGATGGTTCTGATAATTTTCAACTATACGATACTACAGATGGCGAGGAGGAAGGGTGGAGTGAGGAGGAAATTACCGTAGTGTACCATAGGCTAATTAACCGCGCGCGCGTTTTCATCGAGTTTTCGCTAAGTCAGAGTGTGACAAGCGTGACACGCCAAAATGGGCTTGGTGACTCCCAGCCGGTACACGGAGTTGACCCTGATGTGGTCACGTGTGTACCGGCTGGTAGCGAGCCTATCAACCCTCGGCCGGCTGGATTCCGCGGCAGACGTCCAGATTGGAATTCCGTTTTGTTCCCCGGCCTGCGTTTTGATGCGGAGATTGAACTTGTGCATTTCCTCTTCCTCTCCTTCAGACCGCTAGATGCTGCGCACCAGACTTTCAGGCCTATCTTTTGCCCAGACGTCGACTGTATCCCAGTAACTTGCTTGATTACAATGGATCTCGACACAATAATCCACGAGGAGGCCTGTCGTAATGCGCAAGTTCAAGGCGCGAACAACACCCAACGCCGCGCCCAAACTGGCAGTTCTTGGTCTTGGGTGTGGCTTGGGACCCTGTCACCCTGAGGACCTCGGTGGCAACCTTGCGTCTCGACTTGTTGCCTGCATTGAGGCAGGAACGTGGCCCATGCTATATCTCTCTCGTCCTGACCTTCTCCAACATCTCTTGAATCTACTACTCAAGCTCTGACTCTACTGCGCTTGGCGGGATGACGCTGATTGCCAACAATCGCTTCTTTCGTCGGAAATGGGACCTTGACCTGTTCAATTCCACGATCTTGAGTGATGTTTGGCCGGATATTTTGTTCTTTACGGCTTTTTCCACTGGTATGTTCTGCGTTAACATCTCCGTGCAGAGAAATGTCGTGCTGACAGTTGAGTGTTGTGAACAGCGGTTACCCTCGTTCACCAGCTTACCCCGCATAAATTGGGGATAGATACTCAGCTGTTGGTCGTGGCTGGTGTGGTACTCGGTTTGGTGATATCATTTCGTACTTCTTCGGCCTATGAAAGGTGCGTGAACTTCCAGCTTGACATTCGATATCGCTCGCTGTAACTGATATCGACCAGGTACCGAGATGGCGCGAAAATGTGGTCCAATATCAGAACCGGGTCGCGGATACTGGCTCAACTTGTTCGTCGTTCACCCACTCGACTTTAGCGGCAACATGTTGAACTCGTCGTCTTAGATTTGGATCCACGTGCCCGATGAGCGTGAGGCGGACGAGGACGGACACGCACCGTCCCCAATGGAAGTCATAATGGAGAAAAGAACGATGATCAACCTTGTAAGTGAGCTTGTGCAATGATAGGTTTCAATAATGATGACACTGGTACTTTAGATCCACGCCTTCGCAGTATCTGTCAAGGTGATTCGACCCAGCACGTAGTCATTTGGAACCCAACTTGACGATGTCGCCCCAGCACTTACTTCGAGGGGAGCCCGGTGTATTCTACGAAGACCTGTATCCCAGTGTCGCCCATCTGCCAAGATACGCCGCCGACAAGCCTCATCCAAACGATATCCTACCACTCTGGCACATACACGGCGGTCGAAAGATGACACCTGCTGCCGCCAAGTTCGTGTTCCGACCTCTTACTGTGGTATTTGCTAACGACTTTCCAGGCGAAAGGACACACTCATGGCTCAAGTCAGTACTGATATACCCGAGCTTAAACCAGCCCGTATGCCACCCGACACGACGATTTACGACTACTTTGGTATCCTGCGTTTGGGCCGGTTCATTGGAAGGAGGCTGGCGCGTAAAACAGGCTTGAAGCCCGATCCTCCCCCTAAACGGCCGAAGAAACGCATTGCGTACTCGGAAGTCGTCGAGAGTACAGTCCCGTTGGAGTTGCATCTCATCCTCTCCAAGTGAGTTACATGCTTCTCGCATCTCAGCATGCCGAGCTAATGATCCCTTCGGTGAAGTTATACTGCTTGTAGGTCTAGATCGGCCTCTACGAGTCTGAATTGAACTGACGTTGGCCCACGACGCAGTTCTGATGCAGAAGGGTCTACTCAACCCCTCCGTTGCCAATGCGATGACCAACGCGCTTGCTCAACTACACGATGCCCTCGCTCACCTAGACCGAATATGCAACAACCCCATTCCTTTCGCATATCAGGCACATTTGCGAATTTGCTTGTGGTGCGTAGGTCGATCCTTGGAACTGGAAACTTCTCTCACCTTAGTTCTCACTAGGCTATGGCTTTTGATCTTACCCGTGAGTACCATTCTCTAACATTTACTCCGATTATTAACAGAACATGCTAGTTCCAATTGATCAATGCCCTTGGTTATGTTACGATCCCTGCTACAGCGTTCGTCGCCTTCCTCCTCACTGGGTTCCTGGAGATTGGACAAGAAATGTGCGGCTGAACAATGCTCTCTGCCTCGATATTCTGTGCTAATACTGGGCTTGATAGCGAGAATCCTTTCAACTATGGACTAAATGATCTCAGTAAGTCCCTGGGCCAGCAGAAGGAATGATGTCCACAGCTAAGCGCTTGTTAGATTTGGACTGGTATTGCGACACCATCCGACGTAACCTCCACGAGATTACCGCGATACCCAATCAAGACCCCCAAGATTACATCTTCAACGACCGGTACGTTCGTCCTTGAGACTCGGTACAGTGTTTCCCAAAAATCTCTTTTTCTGAGCTTTCGCCGTTACCTTGTGATGCAGAAACCAACCCTTCGCACCACTTGACCGCCGAACCGCAGCTGAGTTGATTAGCACTCCAGATGGGGAGTACAAATCGACGCATTTACCTTCGACGGGTGCCCCCACGTTTGATGGATTGGATGGTGTACGGCAATTGCTGCTGCGCAATTGGAAGGAGGTGGACTGTTTGACGAGGAAGGTTCCCTCTATTTGAAGTGGGACAGCGGGTTAGGATGTTGGATGGATGGATCTTACCGATGTATCAGATTTTGGGTGATTGTGTTTATGCTTCGCGTTGTGTGGGTCCGCCTGGCAGTCGAAATAATCTCGTGTGGTAGACGTCTAAAACAAGTAGCTGACATGGGAAGATGGTTCTTTGCTGCGGTGAGCCACCTGTCCCCCGCACTTGCGCAGCACCTTCCCTCGTGCAGCCGACTCGTCCGGGACTTGAAGATACTTAGGTTTGACCCATATATAATCCAAACTTGGGACGGTCTGAACAGCCCGTTTCGAAGATCAATATCTCTTGAGTTGTCGGTGCTCCTGCAAGCTACAGCCGCCCAGACACCGAACTTTGAAGTGCTTTCGTCAGACGGCAAGTAGCGACCGTGATCATCCTCTTATCCGCAGCGTCGATGAAACACTTTTCGCGCTGGTTAATTCCGGTAGCTCTGTAAGGTTTAAAAATGAGGACTATAAATTGTGGGTGAAGATCTTCGACGAAACGACGCAGCCAGGGACTATTCGTGATCGCAATTGACGTACGGCGGGACATACTTACCGAAAATGCGCCCAACCTTGGTCTCGACCTCCGTCATCTCGCTGGCGATAGCAGCGACGGCTGCGGCTGCTGCATCCACAAATTATCCAACCGCTGTCATCCCCGCCGCTGTCAGCATTAACAGTCCAACCTCGCATTGCGTAGTACCACCGCAGCCAACGCAAATGGAAACCGTTGCAGAAGCAATCGAGAACGCAGAGTCACAGGGGATCAACGTTGCCACTGTTGTAGGGATCGGGATTGGAATGCTCTTCGCCAGTCAAGGACAGGATAGTGGACGACGGGGACAACACTGAACTCTAGATGATTGTGGTCTGGGACGAAAAAGATTGAGAAACGGACAGGCTCAGAATGGACTACTAGTTATACTTGCACACGAGGCAATGGACCGACCCAATGGAAAAGATTCTCTTTTTGGCTTGTATGTTTACCCAACGAGTACGTAAATCTACAAGCTATACGACTTGTTCGGTTAGACGCCCATAGAATGCATGTATGTAAAAACCTCACTTCCCGATGATTCGCGATCGGATTTGTGTTCCGAAGGAGATGTTTACGACAATGAACGGGATGGTTGGCGAGAATGTTTTCGAGGAGTGTATGCTTTACAGAAGAGGAGGGAATCTCTCCATTGCTCTGCTTCCTTTTTAGCAACGAGATGTCCAGCCAGAAAAACTTTCGCTTCAGAATTAGCGCTCGGGACAAGATTATTTGCCAATGTTTGAGACACAAGGCAACGGGTGTGGATTTGATGGCCGAATCTCGGAATCCCACCATCATTTGATGTCAGACGTCGTAACAGCTTCCTGGCGCTTGCCTGGTTTCCAATTTCTTTTCTCGCACTCACCGCCATCCTCTGCATTCCGCTTTGACTTTGGTAAGTCTTTACCTTGAAGTCCTGCACTTAGACGCTGGAATTTAGAGAATCTATGGTAGAAACCTGAAACTGGCTGCGTTATCAGATTAGGCGGCGTTGCGATAACCGCTGAGCATAACGGCTCCCACAGCGACCAACACATGCCACGATGTCCGAGCGAAACACCCCAACGACGACGAAGATGGCAACAGAGCGATTGGAAATAGAAGACGAAGAGGACAGACAAAGGCGTCTACGTGAGTCGCGAGCGTTTCGCTGCAACATTCATCGTCTTGTCCTTACATTCCTCCTGACAACCTTGTCCTTTTTTTTTTCAGAGTCTGTCTTTGAACGCTTGAATACTTTTAACCCCAACTCTGCGCAAAAAGACGTGTCTGGATTGCCCAAGTTTGACTTTGGAGACCGTACAACCTTTGAAATCAAGCCCAATACGGAATGTACGTCGAGTTTTGAATTTGGAGCCAACTAGCGGTTTTCTTATGAACTTGACAGTGCTCTCTCGAATTCAATCCTTTCTCCCACAACTCCAGGCATCGAACGAAGCTCTTTTGAAACGAGCAGAGATGGACCCTGCCAGCGTCGACATCGAGCATATCACAGAGGGAACAGACAAGGTCATTCAGATGGTGCGTCGCCCAATTGCTGTGGATCTCAGTGCTACGGCTAACCTCTTCCGCCTCTAGGATCTTGGTCTTGGTCTTTTCGAGCAAAGGAATGCCAAACGACCCTTTGACCACGACGAAGACACCACTATGTCCGATTCCTCCTCGTCCTCCTCGTCCCTCCATTCAGCATCCTCAAACTCTTCATCTTCCTCTGCATCTTCATCTTCGTCATCCTCCTCCGACTCCACCTCAGATTCCAACATGGAAGACGACGACTACTCTGACGAAGCGGAGCACGCCAAATTCCGAGAACGCTACAACCAAATGCTTCTCGCTCGGGAACAGGAGCAAGAGGCTGATTGGGATTCAGACGCCTCGTCAGAGATCATTACTTGCTTTGTACCAGACCGACCTGTTCGACCACTACCTAAGCGTTTCTTGAAAAAGAGTTGCTCCCCATCCCAATCGAATTCTGCCACACCAACGCCTTCCGCGCCCCGACCCTCCATCGTCGTTTTGGATGAACAAGAGAACGATTCCGGAGAGAAATGAACTGTGTTTTTCCCCTGCAGCATTGGACACCACCGCGTTATCATGACCTTCCTTCCGACGCCACTACATTATCAACTTCGATTCTCCTGTTTTGTTTCTTGTTCCCGTGTTCTCCATCCTACATACCGTATTACGCGACCCCTTCTCGATGTTCCCGTTCATCGCTTTCGCAAACCTCCACTCAGTTACGGTACATCTCTTTAGTTTTAACTATTTTACGCGATTTTTTTCTTCCATTTCCATTGGCAGGTGATCTATTGTCTACCAGTGGAAAGCCTTTTTTCTTGCATTTTTTCGGCGCAGTTCCTCACGTGAAAGCGGATTGAGAAAGTAAGACGTTGATCAGCTGGACTATTTCGGGAGGCGCCCGTCAGACGCGCTCACTCTTTTGGAGGTTGGCGTTCCAGTGCAGTGCGCAGTGCACGGCTGTTGGGATCCCATGCGCTCATGGGTCTCCGTGCTTCGTGATTGACAGTGAGTTGTATTTCGAAACCTTGACTGTCAGTGATTGTCACTGAGAGTATCCCGCCTGGACTAGAGGGAGCGTTTTGACAAAGGGTAATGAGCGCATCATTGCTAGATTGAACCTGAGGAGCACAAATTAAAAAGGGTTTGATATAAACAACCCAGTGTTGCCAATCGCTGAACGCTTTGTCCAGGGACCGGCCTCTGGGTCGCTCTTCTTCAACGGTACTGCGAAACGGCCTTCCCTTGACCATTCTTCCTTCTCAAGTCCCTCGGGAATTGCTCTGAACGCGACTATTCAAATGCACAGGCCCCGCCTCTCGAATTGAGGGTCGGGCTCTGATCATAACTGACGCACACACATGCACACAGAGCCCAACTTCGCTGCGCCCAGCTCTGTACCACGAACGGAATGAATTCCGCCTCACTCTCCCCGTGCTCACATATGACTTGGACGAGCGCCGACTGACCCAAAGATACTCGCTGGCGGGCGCTTAACTCGGCATCAATCGCAGAGCAGTCGGACTCTTAAGGTTAGGTCCTCGCTACCATATACCCTCTCGTGTGAGTGGTCAGTCATGTCCAGTCCTGGATATGAAGACAGTACCAACATCCTTGGAAGAGCGGTCGGGACGTGTACAGCTGGGCTTGGTCGCCATTGATTGATGGGTCATCTTCACCACGAGTCTTTCATTATCTCCCATCCGTAAACATTGGCAGCCTTCCAGCGCCCAAGCGCCTGCAACGGTCAAACATCTGCTATAAATGTCGAAGGTGAGTGATCTGCGGCGCTCTTTCGTGCTTCTTACCCTTCTGATCGGAATCCAAAGTGTATAGGACAAAAGCTAGACGAACACGAGTTGGTCGTAACGCACCCACTTTTGATATCTTAAGGGGGAAACTAACCTGTGTATCTTATCTATATCTCGTCTCTGCCGACATTGGGTGACTACTGGACGTCTTCTAGAAGGCCACTCGTGTCCACCTGATGGTCATTCCACCTCGACTACTGCGCCCATAGTGATTAATTACCCGGGTATATCGCCCTCAGCTCGCCCACAGGAAGTCGATACAAAAGGCGCCTCTAGATTCCGTCCGGTACATCAACACCTCCCTTTGTTACCGACCACTCTCTCTGACACTCTCATTGTTAGCATGCCTCGAAATTACGACGAAGACGAATACAACGAGCAGGAGGAGGAAGAGCAGCAAGAGGAAGAACAGGAAGGAGAAGAGGAAGAAGAAGAGGAACAGCAGGAAGAGGAAGAAAGCTGGCGCCCTTCAGCATGTACAGGCAACAAGAAAGCCGTTCTCGTAAGCTGACACTTCCGCCCTCTATTCCTGTGCACCAACCATTTTCTTAGGTTGGAATCAACTATTTCGGCGAGGAGGGCGAGCTCAGAGGATGCATCAACGATGCCATGAATCTCAAGAACTTCCTTTTGGGTATGCTTATTCACTTTTTAATGACCTGGGTGATTTGCCTAACTGTTCCAAGAGCGAGGCTTCGAGGAAGAGAACATCCGGGTCTTGACCGATGATCAAGAGGACGACGATTCCCGACCTACCAAGGCCAATATAGTAGGTGTATCACGTCTCGTCCCGTTCTCCATCCCTGCTTACGACGCTTTCGAACGTCAGATTGAGAATCTGAAATGGCTCGTTGAAGACCCACAGCCTGACGATTCGCTCTTCTTCTCGTGTAAGTTCATTTGCCTGCGTAGGGACTGACTTGGAGCCCCTTTAATTAACCAACCGTCAAGTTTCTGGTCACGGCGCATCGGTTGAAGACGAAGAAGGTGATGAGCATGACGGAAATGATGAAAGTGAGTAGACTAATGTCCTACTGGTCCAACCTAGTCATTGACGAGCATGACCTTTTAGCTATCTGTCCTGTTCGTACCAGCACTCACTCGCTCAGTCTCTCCTCTCACATTGTATTCTTTTGAAAGTGTGACCACGAGGAGAATGGTTTTATCAAAGACGATGTAGGCCTCTGTCCACGCGATCTGTGCCCATAGCTGACATTGAGTCAAGGAACTCCACGCTCTCCTGGTTCCTCCTCTTCCCATAGGATGCCGTCTGACCGTTATCTTCGATGTAAGTGCAAGGTATTTTGTTTCTCTCGCAAAGAGAGCACTCACCAGAATCGTTAGTGCTGCCATTCTGGCTCCGGAATTGGTGAGCACGCCTCTTCCCTTCTAAACAAAGAGATCTGAACTTGGCCTGCCCATCCTAGACCTTCCCTTCATGGCAAGTCTCATTCCCTCTGATTTATCATAAAATTCTTTATCCTGACTCCTCTGCTGTGTGCAGTACGATGATCACGGGAACATCAAGCAACACAGCAAGGAAGAACATCTCAAGAACATCGCACATCACGTCGAAAAGGAAGACGTCGATGCCCTCCTGAAGGCCGCACAGAGCTTGAAGCTCGCAGAAAGCGGCCTCTCCGAAGAAATTCAGAAGCGTGACATGGAGAAAAAGCAGAGCCCCGCCGATGTTGTGAGTGAATTTACTGTGTCTCAGAATGGGTCCCTCGATTGACGGAACGGCGGTTAGATTTTCCTGAGCGGGTGCCAGGACGAGCAAACCAGCACGGACGACGTTGTCGACGGAAAGGCGACAGGCGCCCTCAGTCATGCCATGATCAAGGTTCTGAGTACGTCCTGGCCCTCGTCATGCTGAATTGCTATTGAGCGCTACGCCGCAGAGGAAAATCCCAACCCGACCTACCAGGAACTCTTGTTGTCGATCCGAGAAATCATGGTGGACGAATATGCTCAGAAGCCCCAGGCAAGTCCTTCGCTCCCTCCCTCCATTGCGATCAGTCGGTAACGTTAATGCGTACATGCAGCTCTCAAGCTCTCACCCAATGGTTCGTCTCGACCCTCACCCATCTGTAGTTGCCTTACTAACTGGAATCTCGCTAGGATATCTCGGCAGAATTCAACATCTAGAGCGCATCAACGAATTGGATTTCTCAAGTGTTCTCGCAAAGATCAAGGCCTCGATTTTCGTACAAGCTCGTATCAGAACCGACTGGATGTATCATCGAAGTTAGTGAGAGAATTGACGTGTATATCATGCCCCACGTGCCGGTTAATTGAGACCCTTGCCTCGAACGGCCTCCCGTACCACAGGCTCCAATGCAAATGTACGATCTTCTGGTCGAACCGAGAATGTCTTTCGCCACAGCGGCTTAAGTTCCTCCGGAAGTTCCCATGCTAGCTCTTCATTTCTAAGCCAAAGGCGAAGCAAGTGTCGTCTGTAACGGATATTCAAGTATTAACACCGGGTCAAAAAACGTAAGTCTCAGGACGTACTTCTGAGTTTCGTCGTCGGTAAATCCATCTCTGGCGTGGAAGACAGCGAGGTTGTTTATGTATTGGATATCACCCTTCTGGAAATTCAGCCCTAGCGAATATTTCTCGCCTAGATAGTGTAAGGCGTCAAGAGCCTCTGCTTGCGCTTCGGTTATCGGAGGGATGTTGGCTGAGCGGGGCAATCCTTGGAAGCCAGTGAAGTAGCGACGGGCGTACTGGAGGATGAGGCGGTTGTTCAAGTAGTAGAGTAGTGGTCGTGAGGTGTAGGGCGGGTTTTGGCCAAACCTGCGAACGAAAGAGTTAGAGGTTGTTACGAGGTAAGACAGGCCTGTCGCTCACTCATCGAGATCCCAAGGCTCGGCCAACGTCTTGACAAGGTCAGGCCGTTTCTCTGCCAGTTCGTTGTAGACCCTCCAGCTGCTACTAATCCTCGACGTGCCACCTTCCTTGGCTGTCTCCAGCGCAAACAGAGCGACCACATCGACGCCCTGGTCTGTATGGAAGACCTGCTTGTCTGTGGTATAGGCTGGGCTGCCGATCTTGCTGTTGTCGAACTGCGTGCTGAGGTCTTTGATGTGGGCCAGGACACCGCCATTCTTATCTTGGACACCCAGGACGGGAGAGATATACGAAGAGATGCCAGCGTATAACAATACCAGGTCGGCGATAGGGTAGGACGAGACAGGAATGGTCCTGAGAACGAAGAAGCCACGTCCATTGTAGAGCTCATTGGCAAGGTCGTGAAGGTTGGGGCCTAACGTTGGAAGGGGGAAGTTTCTCGGCGATGCGAGCCCCGTATGCAGACCGGTAGCTGGCCAAATACAATGAGACGCAGCCTTCAATGTTCCTGGGTAGAGACTGACCTTTGAAGGACTGGACCGCATCGTCCAGCTCCTTCAGCTCCGCCTCAGAGAGCTGGTAGACCCATTGCGACTCGTCAGTCCAGTCCTTCCCCTCCCAGGCAAGTGGCGACCGGAGCTTTGAAGGAAAGCCCTGTGGAAGAGGGGTACTGGGCAACGACGGGTCTTCGGCAAGCCTTCGGGCAGTTCGCGCCTCCCATTTAGAGCGGTCTGGGTGGTAAGCGATATCTGGTTGGCCTGGCGGTCCAGAGGTAGCCATGGCTCCTAGGCAGGATTACAGAAAGCGCCAGGTGCGCTCGATAGCAGCATGGTGGGAGCAATGAAAGGCTTTATCAGCTTCGAATGATGATGCAATCGAGTTTCTTCCTTGCGAAATCCGGGCGGTAGAGTGGATTCCTGCCCCCTGAAAGAACCGCGTCTATGATTACGCATCGTCTTAGGGTCCAACTCAAGCTCGCTAGGTCCCAACAGCGGCGCGCCAATGAGCCTGATGTGTCGCCTTTTGGATAGACCGCGTGAGCTTGTTAAATAATGTCAGACTATGCCATTCAAACGTCCCTGAGCTGCCTGCCCGTGAAATGGCCTACCGCATCTGAGAGGGAACGACGGTATTGACAGGGTCAAGCTGAGGTGAGGACACGGTTCAATTCTGGATCCTGAAATCGCTGGAGGAACGGTTCATGTCTCGTTTCCGATATGGGCGCTTAACACTCTCATTCATGCCTGATTACATATCGAAACCCCGCTGTACTACACTTCTACACCGGCACAGCACGTTCTTTGTTGGCAAACCGATCGACGTTGCTGCCAATTACAGCACAGGCCAAACCATCGTAATGACGAAATACATAGATTTCACAACGGGCCTCATCATAGTGAATGCTCTGTGAATGGAATCTGGCTGATCCAGGGGTGTCGATGGTCCCGAAGGAGGACAAAAAATTGTCATCGTCCGACCACTTGTAGGTGACGTGATGGTAGGTCCTTTTGCGGAAATATACGCCCTTTGAGTAGCCGAAGAATTGGTCTTGCGACTCTCCTCCTTGAAGAGGGAGGTCGGCAAGACGGGTGACAACGACCGATGTCGCGACGTCCGCATCTGTATCATTTGCAATGATATGATCCAGGTGGGCTAGAACAAGGCGAGTGCAGTCCCGAAACACATGTGGTATGGCGAAGGGATGCAGCGACAACGGAGACTGAGGATGCTCCCAATGAGAATCAGCCGATGCCCATAGCGCTGGGTCGTCGAGCGAGCCAAAAACACGTGTGCTTGGCACACACGCGTGCCAAGGTCTCGCGTCGCGTCGACAGGGGACACTAGAATTTCCTGGGATGTACTATGTGCATATGTAGTGATACATTGAGCTTTGCTCAAGACGAATCTTAATCCCTTCATCTTCCCCGTGCGTACTTCCCACAACCATTCCTAACTCGAGCCCAATGGGTGGTAGGTCTTCTAAACGGCCCTCGTGGTTGGATTCTGGAAGCAACATCACAGTTCGCGAATCGCCAGTGATCACGGCGCTAAGAGCCCTGTCCCCGTTCGTTGCGTTTGGTCGCAGTCTTGACGCGCAACTAAGGCTGTCCATGAGTCAGCCCTACTCACGAGTACTTGCAAGTAGACCCGTGGGAATACTTGTGAGTATCCTGACTCGCGGATCCGAGTCACCCGTGCCAAAATACTCATGCGAGTCCGAGTTTGGGATTTTGGCCCATGAGTACTTGTAAAAAGGCCTTAAACAAGGCTTTACAGCCCTCTAGTGCTGTATATCTGCTTTAAGTAGGGTCTATCCATGAAAGGAACACTAAACAAAGGTATATTGATAGAGATACCACAGATTAAAAGCATACAAACCCTTGTGAGTATTTGACTCGTGGATCCGAGTCACTCGTGCCAAGAAACTCATGTGAGTCCGAGTTTGGCTTTTGGTACTGTGAGTACTTGCCTTGCGGCTCCAAGTCAACTCGCAAGTTGACTCGTGGACAGCCTTACGCGCAACGAAGGTGTGGCTCAGGGTGATGATATGAAATCTGAAAGTACCGTCACAGAGAGCGACTAACACGAGCTGTTTGTGAACATGTAGGCAGCAGCAAGGTAACAATGCTGTTACGGCGTGGAGTACGCTTCTGCAAGTCAGATGAATACATTGGAGGGCTGGGTGCTAACTCGACACTTTCTTTCGCTGTCTGTTTCCGTCCTCTATCGTCACTCTATCGCTTCTTTGAATCCATTGCCAATGTCTAACAAATCCACTCATCCCGTTCCCGAACCCACTGACATCGCGGGTCCATTGCCCCGGTCGACTCACCCAATGCTCACCCGTTCTCGGCGGAAGAAACTGGACGAATGCGTTCGGAAAGCCGTCAACCTACTTATAGATCTTGTTAAGGAGGTTGTTATCGAAGACTCAGACAAGCCCGATGACCCTTCAGCTGCGATTGCGGCTGAGGATACAGCGGACGATGAACCAGTCTTCGAAGTTATGGAGGAGTGGGCAGTGAGGGCAGTGAGCCGTTATAAGTATACTCTGGGGGACAAGGTCGGTCTCCAATTGTTCATAGATTGTTTCTTTCTTATACATGTTGGGCAGGTGACCTCGTTCTCCTCTGTAACTCAGGAGACCATAAAGAAACTGGGCGTTGACACAACCTGCATTGGGGAGCTGGACGCAGATTTCATCGACAAGCTTCAAGAAGGGGCCTCCATTGAAGTCGTATCCGTGGAAGACAGTGCCCTCGACTCGGGCCATTCAGAACGTGGCCCCAACAAGCATCCGGTTGAAGCCAATGATGCCAATCCCAATGCGCTCGCCGCTCCGCCAGTCAAGGGCCCAACCCGAAAGCGTCGCCGCACATCTAGTACCGAGGAGGCCGCTCACCTGCAGGCAGCTGAACCTGAGGCTGCACCAGTCCCTTGCAATGGTCATAGGCCAGACGCCAGCCCTGTTCCTTCTGACGAGTCTGGATCATCCTCGGGTCCTCCCCGAGGGTCCTTTCGACGTCGAGTGGGATCGTATGCAAAATATCGTCTGTGGCCACCTCGATTGGATCTCAACCCGTGTAGGCATGAAGGTCCGTGGTCATTCTGGGTACTTCTCCGCTCACTGACCAATGTCAGCTTATAGTCTGAGGCTCAAGCGCGGTCATCGATTGACCATCTACTCTTCCCGGCTGCTCAATTATGCAAACACTTTGGACATGACACTTTTGTCCTCATGGAGCTTGTAGTCGCCACTAAACCTAAGGATCAGAACACCAAGGACGAGCTGAGCCCAGTTGGAATTCAAGGTACTGACGGGAAACATCATTATTTTACGGGTAGGGTTGACTACGTGACTGTTGGAGGGGTTGGTGAGTGTTGCGCTCATTGAATGAAACTGAAGTGCTGACCGTTTCTATGTACGGTGTAGGGGGTGTCAATCAGGAAGATTTGCAGGCGGTATCCACTTTTTCCGCTCTTCAAGGCCTCCTCTTCAAGGAACTGAAACGTGGTGCATGCCGCATGTGTATATTTGAATCCAAACGTCGAAAAGGTGTTAAAGGCCTTCTAAATCACCTACCCCAGGTTAAGGTCGAGACTCTTGCCAGGTATGTATAGCTGCCTCACAGAAATAGCTGACCTCAAGTGCGCTGACACGTTCTCTATGGTCTAGTATGAAAGTCGCAGAGTCAGTCATAAATTATCAATGTGTTCCGGGATTGTGACTGACATACGTGTTTCGGAACGGGGAATCTTTAGGGTTGGGCAAATGCCTTTTGTTTTGTCAGATGGTGATAACTATGTGTGTGGATTGGTTGTTGGAGTTAAGGAGGGCGGATACAAGTGCTATCACACAGCCAGTTATAACATACTAGCCAAGGACACTAACAAAGCCGATCCCGTTCGGGTGAAGACCATTGTCAAGGTGCTCTCACTGTTGGTCAGTACCATGTAGTATTACTTCTGCAATTCTGCGGGAATTGCTAACGGACATTTCAGAATATTGTCGAGCCATATACCCTTGAAAAAGTCTTTGCAACATCGCTGCAGTCACAAAATTAGATCTATCTATGTATCCAATCCCTAATGCAGGCGGCAGGTCGCAGACCCAGAGTCTACCCCGTAATGATAATATATTTGGCGAAATATGGCTGTTACATCACACTTGGGAACCCGTCGACATGCTGCCAATGACGCTACAAGCCAGGCCATCGTAACGACGGAATGTATAGATTAGGCCACGAGCCCCGTCATAGTGAATACACCTTGGATTGAATATGGCTGATCGCCGAACAGTCCCGACGGAGCACACCAAAGGCTCATCGTCCGGCCAATTGTAGGTGAGGTGGTGGTAGGCCCCGCTGTAATGATTATAATAGGCCCCCTTTGAGTAGCCAAAAGAATAGTCTTCCGCAATTGCGCTGCGAAGTGGCGCTTCTGCAAGGCGGGTGGTGGTGACTGATGTTTTGATGTCGGCCTCTGGGTCGTTTGGTATGCTGATCCCAACAATATGATCCCGGCAGGCCAGAACGAAGCGAGTGTAGTCCCGCACAATGTACGGCGTGATAAAAGGGTGAAGGCATCGTGAGCACTGTGGGTGTTCCCATTGAGGGTCGACCCAAAGGCGAAACGCTGGGTCCTCGTGCAAGGTAGTGGAGGAACATGTTCGTCCCCAGTCCCGGATACTCACTGACATGTTGTACATAACGAAAATCCTCTTTGACGGGAGGAGAAATAATTTCTGTTGGGCGGAATATAGGTGATGAGCTTTGTATAGCTAGAGAGGCTAGACCCACCTCAATCGCCGTGCCACGGGGGATGAATGTCCGGGAGAGTGGCTTGTCGTCCTCGACCTTTGTCCAATCGACAATAGCGATGAAGTTGTCGCGTCCATCGATCACATAGGCGACATGCTCTGCAAAGATGGAACAGTGTCGGATGTTAACGTGGGGATGTTCGGTGATGGATTGGAGAAGTGCTGTCGAGTAGCCGGTTAACACCCCCTGCTCGAGCTGGGATGTTATCTCCCAGATCTCAACGACACCGGGATCGTTTCTAGGCTGCCGTGTGACTGCCAGGCGAAAGCTGGTTGGAAAGCTGTTCCTTCTCACGTCTGGATCTCGTGAAAGGTGGAAGTCGAGGGCCACGTATGTGTCTACGTTTGCCTCTCCTGAGAACGGCGAAGGTGCAAGGACGCGCATACCCATTTCTGGTCGACATGGGTCGCCGTACAAGATGGTCCCATCCGGAGCACCATAGAGGTAGTGACCATTGTGAAGGGGAAGAAGATGGTCAATGAGACGAGGGTCGAACGTGCGGTCAAATGCATATGTGGCGACTGTAATTGACTCGCCGGTCGTGTTCCCTAACACAGACCACCAGCTCGTGACATGGTTCTCGAGATCGTCCGAAGAGCAGTGCTCCAATGGCTTTGGGAGGAAGTAGGGTTGGGCAAAAGTGGTTTTGTGGTACTTCAAGAAGAGATTGTACCAGACATGACGTTCTTTTGACAGAGAATACAACGAGCGACAGCACTGTTTACATTAGCCTAGGGAAGTTTGGAACGGAAATCGCTAACGTACCTGACGGAGCGCCAGAACATCGCGCCACTCCAGGTGCTTCAGAATTTCGGTAAGTGTTTCGTTTGGGAGACTTGTGAATTGGGGGCGTTGCCTGCGACTAGGGCTTGCCTGTAACAATACGGCACGATAAGTGTCGAAGTTCACAGTAAAGCAAAGTACTGACCTTTATCCGCAATCCCGAAAATACACCCCTGTATCCACAACTCGCAAGTTGCGGTAGGACTTCACAGGCCAGTACAGCGAGCGCTTCAGTCAAATCAGGCTTCACCGGAAGGGACTTCATGAGGAGACCGGATTTCGAACCACGTAGTTGAGAACCAACCTCCGCCTGAGCAGAATCCCATCAGTGCAATCACCAAAACACGTGTGCTTGGCAAACACGCACGCCAAGCTCTCGCCGCGTCGCGTGGACAGGGGATCTGGAATATTGAGGTATGCCCAAACGTAAGGCTATATACTGCTCAGCTCAAATAAAACTGTGCACAATCCAACTACAGTGGGGTCAGTGCCTCCTCGCTCACGAAAGACGAGGTGGCGCGGTTGAGTTTCGTCATACTAAACTGTTCCCTCTTAACTTCGACCCAACCCTCAAAGAAGGGCCGGATAACGTCGTCATCTGTCCAGTCGTATTCACCCTATTGAGCCTTTCAAGTAGAAGTCCATACGATAGCCAAACAGGGAAATACCCGGCCGCGTTCGAGTGTGACGAACGCTCAGCTGGTCTGAGCGCTTAATGCACTTAAATAAGTCCGAAGGAGCTCAATTGAGTGTTGTTCAGTTCGTGTACAGCTGTTAAGTCCCGCGGACCAGTAAACGTTGTCTACGTATTGACGTACTCGTACAGGAATGGGTCTGTTAGGTACCGGGCTATGCATCCACCTCTAAGCCACATCCTTATGTGCGCCGTGGCCCTCCGGTGTAGGATGGTGGATGTGGTTGTATGCTGGCGGAGGACTAAACATACCATTCATTTATCAGCCTTCCTTCGAATACTTCATGTGAGTCGGACTTACCCTTCGTCCCCAAAGTCATCAAAGGGTCTAGCGACCCTGACTTCGTGCTCGGCCAACAACACCGGATCCCAATCGAACTCATTCACGGACGCCCACCACACACTCACTTCCTCGCCTTTCCGCGTTCTACCAGTTTGGAATTGTTTCTCCAGGAGGCGACGTGTTTTAACGCTATAGAAGAGGAACCAAGCGAAGAAGAGAAAGCCTGGACAAGTTGAGTTTCAACTGGCGCGATATTGGTGGTGAAGAAATACTTACAAAACCACGCGAGGAGTACACTAAGGACTCCAAGGATCGAAACGCCTGACTTTACTGCGCCTGCTTGAGAAGACTTCCAACTCCTCTTGCACAACGAATTGTTGCACGGATCTTTGACAAAGGTGAAGACGGCCGAAGCAATCCAAAACAAAGTGAGTCCTGCAGCCCATGGAAGTTCCACTGCGAGTTTGGTGATGAATGGGGATCGCATCGTCATGTGGAGGGCGAGGCTACAGAAGTAGGGATTCGTTGATTAACTCGAGCTGCGATGTTGAACAGCGTAGGCGATGTCCGCACCTGATAAGCGAGGCCAGCAGTGTCACGATACTCCCTGCGAATGGGACGATGATGTACGCTGGCCATCCTCTGGTACGCGTCATAGCACCTGTGGCTATTATAGTTACACCTGCGACCAAGCTAATTATACCTGGGAGGAAAGATAGAAATCAGCACCTCAAGCAGAGGCGAGGGGATACGAAGCGCCTCACCGAGGCAGGTGACCTTGTCCGTATTCAGGAAGATATTCGGATACGGACTTCGCTGGATGGTTCGTCGTTTACGATTTCTGGAAGGAGCCATCGACGTCGCCGGGGAAGCTTAAAGGTGGGGGTAGGGGGAAGAGTTTGTGGGCGAAGAATAGGGAAGAGCAGGGACCTTAAGCACGCTCTCTTGACAGGAAACCCGGAGGCTGGCGCGGTGTTTCAACTTGCGTGCCTTGATTCCTCTGCTTGTCCTATCCCGGTGGTGTGCGGAACACGACGCGGTCTATTAATAGATATCCTCAGCTTCCTCCGTTTCGACCAAGTTTCGACGGTGGTAGTACCAGGAGGGTGGAGGCGGGCAGGTCTTCACCTATCACATTTTCTGCACGCCGACACATTATTACACTAGACACTGGAGAGCTGGTACCGAGTAGAGGCTGGGTGGCGGTCTCGAAGGCGGAAGGGTTAGAGCGAGAGGAGATAGACGGATGGTGGAATATGTAAATGTGCGGTACAAGTCTGAACAGAAGGCTCGGGAAGCAGCTACAGCGACTGCCGAGCCCATGCTATGAGGGTATATCACCGTGAGTCCGGAGGATAGAGTGCGTATTAGGTCGTATATGAGATGAAAGTGAGGATGAATTATCGGTGGGAAATGATGCTAGCGGAGAACAGGAGCCTTTAGGTGTCGAAACCGTTCTCGAAGAAGATAGTCGCATTGGACCGAGTTCCAGATCGTCCGAGAACCGTATATGGGGTCGAGTAGTCTTCGATGAAGGCGAGGAAGGGGAAAGAGTTGCAGAATTCAATCCGTTGGTATCTTGCAATGATGCATAAGAAAGCAGCCGGCCACACGAAGCGATATTTTGGCTTACCTGGGGGTACAAATGGATCTGGGGGTCTCCCAGCAACATGAGAGAGAAACCATGCTCTCCGCCGTTTCCTTCTCAGAAACAGCAAACGCACGATAACAAAAGCAGCGACGACGAGAACGACAGATGCGAGCGCTCCTGCGACGACAGGGACTTGTTTAGAGGATCCGTGAACCGCAATGTTTCCGGATAGCGTGATGGTAGTTCGAGCGGTACTAGAAGTAGATGTGGGACGTCGAGTTTGAGAAGATAAAGCGTCTGTGAGAGAGCTTGGGTCGACGATTGATGAGAATGACCCTGGAACTGAGGATGGTTCCGATTTGGCTGATGATGGAAGAGGAGTGTCGATGGGCGAAGGCGTCGTTTGGAGGAAAGTGGACGGGATAGAACTTGACAAGGTGGATCAAAGATAAGTATTTGTGATTAACACGATAGGAAGACACGGCTGTAAACGGTGGCTTACCTTTCCATGACCGAGGGCTCTATGGAGATTTGCGCATGTGTTCCGCCAATAATACCAGCGAGGAGAATAGAATGGCTAAGGCGGAAGACCCATCTCTTCCGCGACATGAGCCAAGCCCCTCTCCGGTACATTGATCAGTGGAAGGCAATCAACCACAGGCTGAGGGGGAAGAACCCAGACCGCTGGGAGCGTCAATATTTGACGGAAGTATGCCCTTGACGCTGATCACTATGCCTTCCGGTTTGAGACTACGAACATGAAAAGGATGATTGCTAAAGTTAGCATTCATTTACTATCTGCGTCAAGAAGTTGTAGAAAGGGACCAATGAAGATGGTAACTTCCATTACAATGTGCGTCACTCACCCCCTGTCACAGGACTTGAACTCGTTCGCAAAACTGCCGCCCCCACCACCTGGGTTGGACTTCTTAAGCAGTCTCGCCCTGTAGGCAGGTTCAGTCGATGCTTTCTGTCTGTCCTTCCTGGTACCTGGAGATATGTCGAGGGACTAATGCAGAGGAGACGCGATCGGCGGGTTGCAGTTGCGCCGGTTACCAGACCACGAGGAGCCGATAACGCATTGCCTTGCTTCGCGAGTTATTCTTGTAACCGGAAGAACCTACACACCGTACCGACACCAAAATATGTTTGGAATAATCGTCGTCGGGCGAGGTGAACGCAATGAACGTGAAAGTACGTTCTCCCAGGATCCCTGTTCGGTGATTTCAGAGTACTGCGGTTGAGGAATGTTGGGGAACTCGTACGCTTTCTTTAAAAGGCTTCTCGTATCGCCTTCAACTCTGGATGGATGAAAGAGGGTACAAGCTTAATTGTGACGACAAGGGACCCTTTCAACGAGTGTTGTGTGACGGGCTCCACACCAATGTGACGTCCAATGTCGAAATGCGGATACCCAGACCACCCAAACAGTCTGTACTCTTCTCCGCCGACGAGCGAGCTGAGTGGGCAGCAGCGCAGTGCAACAGGGCGAGGCGGCAAGGCGAGTGAAGGTCGTAGTGACAAGTGGTCGAAGTCGGACAGGCGAGATGGGAGGGGAATGGAAATGTGGAAGGGACACTCGATGGCCCGGGGTCGATAGTACGATTCCTGGTCTATACAAGGACGCCTTCCCTATCGAAGTTGTTGCCTTGATGAACACCACGATTGGTAAATTTAGACAGAGAAGCGAGAGGAGGGTAGGGAGTGCGGCGGGAAGCGTTGGACCCAGACTTCGGAAGCAGCCACCTCCGGGAACGTTGTATCGTCAACGTCACTGTGGGGGTCACTTGCAACAGCTCCGAGTCCCTCCCAAAAAGAGCTGGCCGTCGTGGGTAGGCGGGAAAGAAAGGGAATCGAATCAACGAGTCGTCGTTCCATTGAGCTTTTGATGTGTGACAATCCAGCAGCACATGTGTGTGTAATACATTGAAAGCAATTGGTGCATGCGTGCGCGCGGAGGAGGGTATGCCGGTCCCTCCGCATACCATAATAGCGTGAGGTGATCCTGAGCCTGAAGAGATGTAGCAGCGCTCAGAATAGACCAGTTAAAAATAACATCGCTTTTGGTTCCGCTAACTATTTCGAGGAGGGCTATTTGGGCCTGGAACCTAGACAATGGCCCGGGACTATGTATGGTATGATTCGTGAATCGTCATGCGGCCGAAATGCTGTGGACATGGCGTCAGGGAATAGTGAAGGGTACCCGAAAATAAACCGAAGGGGATAGGGAGCAAGGCAGCAGAAAAAGAGGGTACTTGGAGGGTACTGATCTGTGTGCTGTGCTGACTGAACGCGAGTACTTCTGGGAGTTTCCAGTGCGAGAACGGAATTTGATGTAGATGACCGTCGATCCCAGCGCACCCGGCTTGGCGCCTATCGACTTCTGTGATTCCTTGTTGAAGAAGGGCTTGGAAGGACTTGCATTGCACCATGCCAGAAGTGGTTAGTATTGGTACTAGTGGGTGTATCGTGTGGTATCGTTAAGGTAAGTAGGTGGTAGTCTAGACGTCGAGGGTCATGAAGATCCGTAAGTATATAGGGTTCGTATGTTAGGCTGATCTATCGGGGTCATAGGGTGAATCTACATCGTCTTCGCGACGCTCTTCCAGTTACCATGCTCATCCTTCTTTCGAACAGTGAAGCACGCGATTCCGAGGAAGTTCGTGATATCGTTGATGACGAGCGTGACGAAGCGAGCGTAGGCCAGGAAAGAGATGATAAGCGTGAACCACACCACGTAGGCGGTATTCCGAGGCGATGTCTGCATGATCGGGGGCCTGGGAAAAGAAAAGGTGCGTCAGTCCAGTCGAAACCACGACCCGCAGCGCGATCCAGCAACTCACCTCCCAAGAAGATGCGGCAAGTTGGCATCAACAGCACCAATCGCGCTCCAAATCCAAATCCAATCGAAGACGGGGAAAGGCGCGGATGTGACGTGGGCAAGGATCATCCGTCCGACTTGATGAGCGAATTGCAGCCCCCAGGCCAAGACAAAGGGGACGAAAGCAGAGGATTTGATGATATACGAGTTGTTGTACTCCGGATGTGAGAGCCACGCGATTTGAATGCCGGCACTGGCGACGAAGGGGAGGAGCAAGACCAATGGGTGGTGCTTTGAACCGGCTCTTGGTCGGCCAGAAGCTGACTTGGCTGCCTGAACGACGTTCAGATAGCTACGAGAGGTGAGTGCTCAGTTTGATTTGAGGACCCCGCAGACTCACCTGTGAACGATGTTCATCCCGAGGCCGGCGGCGCCAAAGACCATGAAAGCTTCATTGAGCGGTAAATTGGGGATGTTCGCGAACCAAGGATGATTTTCGAGGTGAAGAACGGTCCAGATCTTATTCTCCCATACCAGGGGTCCTGAAAACGTCGTTCAGACCACGGTTTTGCTTGCACCAGAGGTGACACTCACCATAGAAGCCAGAAATGAAATAGATGACCACAATGATGATGATGCCCTCTACTGGTCCAGAGAAATACCCGAGGAAAAGAACGCCAGTGTGATATTCTTCCCAGGTGGTCAGGTAGAAGTTGGCCAAGGTTGCCAGTTGCGAAGCCACAGTCCACCACGAGCGTCCGAGTCCAAGAGCGCGACATGCGAGGAGAGTTTCGAGCTGGAAGAGGTTTAAAAACTTGCCGCGTTGTTTGAATGTTGTAACGGCGCACCGTAGTGTTCAAAGCGTCACATCCTGTACACTCACTTAGCATTCCGTCAGCAATACAAGTAGGTTTAACGCACCATGATCGAACAGTTCTCCCAATGGCCCTGCCATACCAGTCCGTCTAGCTTGCTTCCTGGCAGATGGTCAATAACAGGCAGCTTTTTGAGCGAATGGCACTAACCCATCTATAGCGTCCAAACTCTGATAAAGGAAGAGACCAACTCCCCACCTGTCCAAAACGTCAGTCCAGATCGCGACTCGTGTCGAACCTATCACATACGTGAAGTAAACCCAATGTGGCGGCCCTTCAAAACCGTCTCTTTCAACGAGGTATAGTGGGTCATAGTAGATCAATGTCGCGAAGTTAAATACGACAATGCTCAGTCCCAACAGCGTAATCTGGATGCTGTCAGTTTCGTGAATGACAGGGTGCTAGCCTGAAGACTCACCGTGTTCGGGGCGACGTTCAAAGGCCACAATGTTACCAGCCAGTTCCAATATTTATTGAGGACATATCTCGAGAATATGGACCTAGAAACTGCGTCAATCATTTTGTACCAGATCTCTTCGAACATAACGAACTTGTCTACGCCCCGATACTTGTACGCGCGTAAGTTTTCCAGCAAATGCTGTGGTATGTACCCCATTTGTACGGCGTTGTCAGGGTCAGTCCCAGCTCGTCGTTCGGTCTAGTTTGAGCTCGTCGTCGTCGTGGACGGGGAAAGAGACGTGTCGGGCGTTGGATTCGGATTCCAAAAATTGCCGGATTGTTTAGGGATCGGCACGTGAGATGATGTCACCGATTTTTAAAGACCGCAGTGCTGCCGTCAGGAACCCAAATGAGCTCCGACCAAAATCTCGGCATGAAATGTCGTCGATCCTTTGATGCAGTTCCGAAGTCTCCCTTGCTCGGTATGTTCCCGAAACGAAACTGCATAACGCTGTCCTGGGTTTACGCTCAAATACCCAAGTCCAACAATTGGGCTCATTGCCGCCCATAAGAGCAATGCACAGCTACGGCCTTGTTTTCCCCGCTTATCCCGCATCTCCGAATTATATCCCCAAAAGGCCCGTGTGATGTTGTGACATCCAGGCTGGCCAGTGGCCACTGGAGGCCATCATTGCTCGTCTTGGATATATCGGCGGCGACATCTCATCCACCGGGGAGTTCAGCTAATTCCAAGCGCCACAAATGTTCCATTCCCTCTGCTTATACAACGCTGTATCCGCCATGCCACGGCCGTGACGACGCTTTCATCTCACAAAAACAAAGAGGTTGCTACAAGAGACAACGAACTCGGAAGAGTCCATCATAGCCACATGTCACCACGAGTCAAGGAAGCCAGTGCACGCAGTGCAGTCTATGCCCACAGAACAAATTAACGCCCAAAGCTGTTGTCACTGCTCTTTCTCCCCGACATCCATCACTGCCGCTTTCTAACGTCGCATTCCACTATCCGTCTATTCGAGCGGTGCATTCCGCTTCCTATACGCTGTTCAAGTCAAAGAAGAAGACGAGGCCGCCCCAGGCGGAGGGGGAAATGGCGAAGAAAGGCAAGCTCGAGCCCCTCCGTGCCCATCCAGACAAGAAGGACACTGCGCTCGAAACCACTGATGTCGTCCTCGGCGGCGTTGCCAATGTCATCGCGCTCACTCCTGTGCCCGGCGTCAAGGAGGCGGCGGAGCTGCTTCTGTCTGTCGTCGAGCTGATGAAGGTCAGTTGATCTTAGGATTGCATGGGATGTATTTCTTCTAATCCTTAACCGTATTACAGACGATCAAAGACAACAAGGAAGCGTTCAAAGATCTTGTCAGCGACGCCTGGCGTTTCCTCGAGGCCATTTTCGAAACGACGGAAAGATTACGAGCGTCTGGAGGGGAAATACCACCCGACCTTCTCGATGATACCGCTGAACTAGTCAGGTATGCTTTCACCTTCAAGTTACCGTCTTCGTAACTCACATTCGTTTAGCCAGCTCCGCACGATTGAAAGTTACTCACAGGACAAGGTCAAGCGGAATCACATAAAGCGCATCATCTACAGAGACCATGATCTGCAAACTCTCCGACAATATAGGGAAAGGCTCGTAGTAGTGAAAGACCGCTTCATCGTCAGTCTAGGTTTTTCTTCTTGTGAATGAAGTGCGAGCCATTGACATGCTACTTACCCCATAGGTTAAGAACACTATGCATATTCGACATGATCTGCATCAGCTAGTCCAGGTGGCTGTCGCTGCGGGCAAGTTCATGAAGGTTGTGGATCAGCAGTCAGGGAATCAGGTCACTCAAGAGGCGACAGAAGTGGTTACAGAGGTCACCACAACGACTTTGACTACTAGTGCAGAAACCGAGACTGCGACAGAGGGGAAACATGCCCGCTCCAAGTCCAACCCTGAACCATCCCGTGCACCACGGAAGACCATTTCGAGGGAGTCATCCATCGAGACCATTTCTTCGGCATCCTCGAAAGCTAGCTCCAGTCTGGCACACAATCCGTCTACAGCTGCCCCTCCTCGTTCCCGCCGACAATCAGCACCTGTGTTGTCTCGCCGCGAGGTTGACTCTGCATTGGACTCGAGACGCGGCGTTCGGAAATCGAAAAATCCATTTGAGGCCCTCGTTGAGCAGGACGAGGCCTCGCGATCCCAGAACTACGTGCGCCAAGACGACGCTCAATATGATGGACAGGACGAATACTATTCATCGTACTCCGACACCCGCGCTGCATCAAAGCCGCCCAGGCGAAACTACCCCGGTTATGCGAGGGCTCGATCTCCAGGGAACCAACACTATGAAGACCACGACGATTACTACGACGATTACGACAACTACGATGATTATGACAGTTACGGACATTACAGTGCTCCTGCAGCTTATCCATCTTCGCATCGGACCTCAACATATCACCAAGCCGCGACATTTCTCAGCGGCGTTGGTAACCAGACCACGACCATCATCTCGAACTCCGGGAATGACTACTCTCGCACATATGTCGCACCGAGGAGGGCAAGGCCAGCTCGACACAGATGGTGAGATGGTTTATATGCGATACGCATACCCTTTGCTTGCCGACTTATGGTCACTTGGATTGACCCTCGTGTTCTCTTGTTTGAACGGGGACGTTGGACCATGTAGATGTAACTTTCTTCTTTCTGGCCTTGCCTATTCTATGTATTGCGCTCATTCCTACGCGCTGCTGTATAATAAACATCTACACACGAAGAATGTCGAAGCCAGGATTCCGGAACAAAAAGTTGCGCCTTGTGTGTCTGTGTGGGTGTCCCACATCACCAAAACCCCAACACGCACACAGAAGGTAGGCCGAGGTTACGCGTGCCATCTTCCTGACCGTCCACCAAGTAGGTCGCAATATGGAGTCTGTCGCTGAGGGTCGACCCGTGAGTGCACTTTCGAATCCCACGAACTATGTAAACTAACGCATTCTTGTACACTTCTTGTACACTCGAAGACCGAGTCGGATGAGCTAACGACCTTGACAAGCCTTCCAGGGGAGCTTATCGTCAAAATCATAGAATGTCTCGATTGGACAGATATTCTAACCCTACGACAGGTCAGTAGCGGTATAAGGTACTAAAGACACCCGCTGACGAACCCACAGTGCTGCCAACTGCTGTCCGTGTTAACCAAAGAGCGATCAGTATGGCTGGCACTATTCCATCGATACTACGAAACCGAGTTCGCCCATCCATTCTTCCTCCCCAAGCCACTCTCTTTCTGCACTGCACAGGACTTGGAATCCCGGATTTTGCGATGGTGGCATGGTCTACGCCGACTATCCGACGCGTCCCTCAAACCCGACGAGTTTTCAGTAGACGATACGTGGTCTCGTGTAAATATCATGCCTGTAGGCGGCCACGACCTCTTTCACTCGGGGGACGGAGGCCTTTGGTACAGGCGTCGTGCAGGCCAGTCGTATCCCCTCACCCCGCCTACTACGGACAGTCGTGATCACATCCGAATATTTTGCTCTTTCGATCTCCTGTCCGTATACGTTGGCGACATCCCCGGGTCTAATTACACGGATATCGAACTTGCAACCTTTCCAATATCCTTCAACATGGTGGTCCTCTCCAAGCGGCAAATAGGCCCGTGGTGGGAGGGTGTGTACCAGACAGACATCCGGGTGTGGCGAATCAAAGTGGAGGTGGATGATAGCTCAGGGGAGGTGTTGGGGTACTCCTCCCAGCTGCTCCGATCGTTCAAGTGTCCCGACAGAAACCTTGAACCTTACGAGTGCTCCATCTATGGCCCTCACGTCGCATTCCGGGCATGGGCCCAATCCGTCTGGATGGCGTGTATTGTTGATTGGACTACAATTGACCCTCAAGACACCAGTTTAAAATCACTCGTTATTGTCGCTCATCTCGGGGTCGAAGCCAAGGTGAGTCACTATGCCTTTCGGGTTTTCATCTTGTCTAATCAGAATGAAACCCCTTCAGAGAATCTCACTCCTTCCCAACAAATCTCTTCTTTACCTCTGTGGACATACCGACGTCAGCCTCTGCAGCTGGGCATCCCTTGCCCCAGTTTCTTCTTCTTTCCGCGATTACTCGCATCTTCCTAACGTACAGCCACTGTGGCGCCATAGTTTGCCGCACGAATCCCTCCTGAACTGGAGAAACTCTATGCCCCGCTTCATCCATCGCTCCATACGCATCGTATTACCCACCATTACGGGCCTGTTCGGCGTCAAGATCCCAATAGGCGCCCTGAAAGACCAGCAAACGGACGAGATCCCGCAAACCGTCATCCTTGCTGGCGGTCACTATGCGAAGCCACTCCAGTACAGCTGGTTTGGATACCACTATTCGCTCCACTTTGACGCTTCTCAAGGGTTTATCCTGGACCGATATTCCTGGGGCGATGAATCCACTCGTGGGCCCCCAAATCAGCAGTCGATCCACGAGTTTCGTCCATTCCGTCCAAAACAGATGCTTCAGGGGGTGTATTACGACGAATCTCTGGGAGAATTATCCGCATTCCATAATCGCTTCAAAAGCTATAGAAGCCTAATCGGTGTGTAGTATTACCAAGTTGCATAGGTGACACGGTATTATGTCGAATCAAATAATAGGCGGCCTTCCTATCAATACAGTAGGTATAGCTCCTCGAAGGAGCATCTCCAAATGCACGCTTACTCCTCCCTTCTAACGAAGGACCTGTTCTGGACAATGAAAGCTATTTTGTTTTGTTATTCCAGTCCGATAATCCAATTACCTTTCTCTTCAATCATGTAGAACTTAGGTCTATGATACTATCTCAACTCGTCGATTCACGTTGTTTACAGATCCTCATTTTCATTTCTCCCTGATCCCTCATTTCAAACCTCGCAAAGTAGTGTGCTGGAGCCTGCCTCATGCAATCGTATTCCCGGGTTAACCACACCTGAAACTGTTGTGACATCGTATTCCCGAACCAATATGTGACATGCATACAAATGTACTTGGTGCTTCCGACCTGGAGCCGTAGCGAAGCGAAGCGAGGCGTGTCTTGCGCACTGTATGCACATGTGGGTGTCCTATTACTATCAGCGGAATACGGCAATGCGCGCAGAGGCGTGGTTCTCGCGTGTCATCTACCCCCTCGACTTCGACCTTCGCCAGGTGGATCGCAGCATGGAGACTGTAAGGGAAGATTTATCCGTGAGTTTTCAACATTCTGCCAATTTACACGTCGCTCACCCTTCTCCAAGGCCGACTCAGATGGGCCAACCACCTTGACAAGCCTTCCAGGGGAGCTTATCGTCAAAATCATAGAATGTCTCGAATGGACAGATATCCTGAGCCTACGACAGGTTAGTAGCGGTATAATCTGCTGAATATACCCGCTGACGGTCCCACAGTGTTGCCAGCCACTCTACTCGTTGACCAAAGAGCGATCAGTGTGGCTGGCTTTGTTCCATCGATACTACGAAACAGAGTTCGCCCGACCTTTCTTCCTTCCCAAGCCACTCTCTTTCTGCACCGCGCAGGATCTGGAGTCCCGGATTCTGCGATGGTGGCTTGGCCTATACCGACTACCCGACACTTCCCTTGAACCCGATGACCATCCCGTCGCCGATGAGTTCTGTTTTCCGCGGGGCCTCATGCCCGTAGGGGGCTACTACCTCTTTCAGTCAGAAGATGGAGGCCTTTGGTACCAGCGTCCCAGCGGCCTGCCTCGCCAGCTGACTCCACCTGCAATTAGCCTTGATGGCCTCAGCGGCAATGTTTATTGCTCCTTTGACCTCCTCTCCGGGCACATTGGCGATACACCGGGGCAGCCGAGCTACACCACGATAGAGGACGCGACGTTTCCGACATCCTTCAACATGGTGACCCTCGGCGTTTACCGGAAGACGTCGACCTCTGGTAGTAGGATCGTATACATGTCCATTATTCGGGTATGGCAAATCACAGTGGAGTATGAGGGAGATGAGGATGAGGTCTCGTATACCTCTCGGTTGTTGAAGACCTTCATTCACCCTGACCCTCGCGGGAAAGCAGTTGAATGCTCACTCTACGGTCGTCATCTTGCTTATCGGGTGGCGTTGCCTCCAGTGGACCCCTTTGGCTGGGAGGACGAGGATCGGGAGCTGGTCTGTGTTCAGGATTGGACCGTTGATTCCGTTGACGAGCCATGGGATAAATTTAGTCCGCGGATTGTCTTCCGTGTTCCCGACCGGACAGAGGTGAGGCGACTACTCATTCTATACACTACTCGAACTCCTTAACCTTGGACTGCTGGCGCTGACGATGCATCTGAATCTTCCAGGGAATATTTCTCCTCCCAAATCAGCATATCCTTGTATATGCCAAGGGGGCGGGGAAAGTACAACTTCTCGATTTCAAGCCACTGCCTCCAACGCATCATCCATTCCCCTCTTACGACAACCTGCCAATTGCGAGCTCAGCTTGGGAGCATTGGATCCATTCTGCACTTACCCATTACGCCATGAGACCCTTCTACATCCGGAACTCCATCCGCTTCGTCATTCCCAACCACGACGCCCTGACTGGCGTCAAGATCCCGTTAGCCGCACTGCAGGGCGAGTCAAACGAAGTCCCTGAAGTTCTGATCTTTAGCAAAGGCCATTGTAAACCGATGCATGAAGATTTGTGGTTCGGTTATCACTTTGGCTTTCACTCTTCTGGATCAAGCTGTATTCTGCAACGCTACTCCTGGGGCGATGAATCCGGCCCCAGGATATTACAACAACAATCTCAAACCCGGTTGAGGTTCGAGTTGATTTCCTTCTTCGGGCGTCGCGATGCTCATTATTTGTTTTATGACGAGTCACAAGGTCATTTATCCGCTTTCCCCACATGTTTTAGTACATACACGATCCTGACAGATGTATAGGAGTGAGATAGGCAGTGTACTTCGATATTTAGTTCTTACTTCGAATGCCTCACTAGGTTAACTGAAGTAAGCTGCTCGCCCACTACAGTAATCTAGAATATCCCTTTGGTAGTAGTGGGAAATCCGAGTTGTGAGGAAGGAAAGGGCAGGGCTGTTTGGTGTCAGAAATCAAACAGTGAAACGGATGAGGATATGTGAGGACGAGAGGTCATCGAGGAGCGTGAAGAGGCGTAAAAGGGACGGAGACTTGCGGACATCGGAGAAGAGCGGGAGCCAGTGGAACAAGCAAGAGCCGACATTGGTATTCTTTATTATTATGAGGGGTCAAATCAACACAGAAAGCCTTGTTCGGAGCAAGGAATAGTAGCCATGCAAAAGACAATCGATAATCCTTGAACTGTCAATTATACCACGCGCACTGCGCTCAGGCGGGCTCAGTTTCTACCTGAATAAAGAATAGACTTGAGGCCAATGTGACCCACAGTATTCTAGAGGCCCGTTGAGCAAACCACGCGTACTTAACAGAAACTGATCTTGATTTTCACTCACCCAGGTCATAAGTTGTGTGACAACCTCGCGAAGCTTGGATTGAGAGATCCCAGAAGCTTGTTGGTTGCTCCCAGATGTGGTCTGTAGAATGCTCTGGATAGGCAGGTGACGTACTTCATAGGTTTTAGTTGCCGATATGAAGAAGGTTCCTCCAAAAATCCAGTATATCCCATTCGTCAGCACCCACGGCGTAGTTTCGATGGAACTAAAGGGAGGCTGCATTGACTGCGTTTCCCAAATTAAACAGCAGAAAGTGCTCACTTACCGGTTGAATGTTGCCATGCTGGACAGTAAATTCTTGCATGTCATTCAAAATCCCCAAGGAAGCGTTGAACTACCCTCTTACCTTGCAATAGACTGGACAATAACCTGAGGCAGATGTGACATCAGGGCCGTTTCACCTTCATACCGCTTTGCTTCTATGATGCAAATTCTGGGGGTTTGCCGAGTGACTTTAGCTTCTGTATCCTTTCCTCCAGTCTTTTTTCTGCCCTTTCCCTTTCCTTCGACAACGCCCGCCTTGGCCTTTCTCTCCCTGGCTGCTCGCAGCTCTACTCTGACATCGTACATCGTGTTTTCTCGGATTATAAGTGCTGAAAGGCACATGGTCAAAAGATTCTCCACCACAGGTTTTCAATGGACGCACGTCTTTCATCTGGTGAAGCATTGACCAAAACATAGTCCATCCTTCCCGAACAGGCAAAGGTGTTGTCCTGGTACTCGATCACAACTGGTGCCGTCGGCCCCTGTGTGCCTTTGCGAGCGATCTCAAACTCGGGAAACATTATTGGGGCGGATTCATAGACCAATGTCATCTTGATAACATTTATGGTAAGCACAAGAATATGGTCAATGACTATCCTTGCGCGTGCTTCATTCTGAGGAGGAACGGTGGTTAGTATGAAGTGTAATTTAGGCAACTGCACTCACCGTGGTTCCTACATAGTCGTTGAACGTAGCGAGGATGGCTTTGGTTCCACAGTCTTCCCAGACTCTGGTTAAAATTACTTCAAGCTGCCGGTTCTTGTCGGTTAATGTGAATTCCTTGTCGGTGTTGCTCACGATTTTCTCGTACGCAAACTTTAACTGTTCTTTTCGTGACAATCGCTCTGTCAGCTCAAACTTGATTTTTCTCATGAGGCGCTCATCAAGCTGACACATCGTCACTTCCAACACTCCCAGTTCTTTCAAATCAGCAGGGCGAGCGTTCGAGAACGAAAGAAACTGTGAATTCCTTGAGATTTGAGTAAAGGGAAAATCCCAGAGCCGTGGTGCACTGACCCGAATTGCAGTATTCGTGGATTTCCTCTTCGCTGTCTCAGCGAAGGAAAGCATATGGGTGGCTATTTCCTTTGCCGTTTTACGGATACCATCTTTCCACAACGAGAACATCCGCGACGCATTAGTGGTGTGACCAGCCGCTCCTGGGTTCCCCAAGCCTGTAAGCGTCAGAAAATTGGTGTAAAGGTCGGCTGCAGGCCCTTCCACCTTCTGTATATCATCAGGAGATGGCTCGATCTGCAACCACTCGACACTTAATTCATCTTCATCTCCCCGTTCGACATTGGATTTGCCGTCATCTCCACCTCTAACGGTAAGGGATCGAAACTGATCCAATAAGCCACCAAGTTCAGCGGGATTATCGGTCGACTTGGCGGTGGAATCAACAGCGGTAGATTTGGCACTGCCAGTGCCATCCGTCTCGGAACCTGCCACGCGCGAGGGCTTGCCAGGGCCCTTGCCAGACGAGCGCTTAGCACCCTCGTTGGATGGAGCTCTGCTACCGGTAAGAGCTGCGGTATTGGTGTTGCCAGACGTGTCTTCATCTCCACCTTCAACATTTAGTGATCTAAACCCGTCCAATAAACCATCGAGTGAGTCAGCAGAGTTATCGGTCGACTCGGAGGTGGAATCAGCAGCAGCAGATTTGGTACTGCCAGTGCCATCCGTCTCGGAAGCTGCCACGCGCGAGGGCTTGCCAGGGCCCTTGCCAGACGAGCGTTTATCACCCTCCTTGGATGGAGCTCTGCTACCGGTGGAAGCTGCGGTATTGGCGTTGCCAGCCGTCCCGGGACCTGTGTTGGTAGGTGCCGCATCATTTGCCTGATTAGCCGATTTCATTCCTCTAGTCTGAACGGGCATTGTTCGTGCTGATGGGTTCAAAGTTGTAAATGTGCTGGGTATGACTCTGCTGGAGGTCGAATGAGTTGAACAGGTGTTCTGAATGAAAGCGACCATTCTCAAGCACTTTAAATAGAGACGAATCGTACCCCCACAAGACTCTGAGACTACCCAACGACCGCCTACAGGATAAAGCAGACGAAATTCTTTTCATAACCAGCACAGTAGACCTCACACATTCATGCCTCCTTCATTAACACGTTTGAATCGTTTTCCGTTCCCGAGTCAAGTTACCGTAGAACAGCTGTAGGCTCTGTCTGCCCATCATGCAACTTCTGTCGAGCCCTCGGTTAGGCGCTTGTAATGGAGCGAGCTTGTAGCATCCACTGGTGGCCAGACATGTAAGTAGGACGTGGAGCCTACATGCTGCCGAAGAATTTATCCATATTTTCAGCGAAGGTTGAATGAACGTGGAGTCTTCGACTCCCTTGAGGTATTCCTACCCATATGGCACACTAGTTCCAGCAAGTGCCTTACACTGGACACCAATTAAGCGCCTTGGGCGATGCACTTGCTAGTACGACCCGAATTACTCGCCTCACAGAAGGCCCACATGCCCCACACCCCTATCTACGAATAGTGTCCACATATCCCTTTAAACGCTAGATATGTCGAAGGAGGAAGAGAAACCGGCGAGACGCTAATCTACAAAATGACACACACCCACACACAAATCACGAAAGGTGTTTCGATGATCGGGGACCCACATTGCGCGCCTCACAGTGGCAGGGTCAATCAGGGTCAATCCTCTACCTTCCATTCCGATTAGGTTCAACAATCCGGTCTCCCGACAGTGAAAGCCTGGGAGCCTTCGAAAGGGAGGCAGAAGCGACAGGAGTGACGTTCGTCAAAGGGAATCCGCTACTTCTCTCAACTTGGGAGCGGAGGATCGATCTATCGTGTTTTGGTCTAGTGAGCATCCCACCGGATGGACTTCGTGGATACACACGCCCGCGTACCGGTATCAAGAGATCATCCTGCCCACCTACATACTGTGCTTTTTCTTTCTCAAACATAACGATTTTTCCACTACTTTCCATCTGTATATCATCCAGGTCCCGCTATAGTAGCAGGTAGTTCGTCGAATGGAAGGATAGTATTAGTACGGAGAAATTTATGGCTCATCCGAGTCGCCACACTTCTTGATCCCCCTGACAAAACACGACGCGTCTTCCACTAGCACTGCAGTCTAGCACTGCTTAACGCGAAAGCTTGGCGCCTTGCGTCGATCAATCGATCACACGTCATCATCATGACGCGCAGATCTGGCCCTCGTCGAACAAGGGGGGCAAAGTCATACGATTGATTCCCCATGCTTCATTTCATTCTAGTTCACGAACGTAGAAATGTAGACATTGAAGGACCAGAAGCGCGAGATGGGACAAGCGAGTTCAGATTTCAAGTTCATGAATTCATTAACACTATTTCATTCCAACGTAGGAAGAACAACAACCACAACTAAGAGGAGCAACTAAGGTAGCAACAAAAAAAAGGGACAGCATGAATCCGAACGGAACGAAAATTTGGTCGGATGAAGGCTTGTAGTACAACAGAAATTAACAACAGGGCTGCAGAATGCAGGCGGGTGAGGGGGTGGTGGGGGTGTCGTGCAGTGGGTTCGAATTGTGGACTTGGATGAGTGAGTCACGGAGCTTTCAAGGTGGTGGAGGTCGTAAGACAAGACTCGGAGCAAGAAGAAAAGCATGGAAGAAGGGTGATGTCATGATATCGTGGATACAAAAGTAAAGACTACCAGAAACGAGACAGGAGGGGGGAATGGAGAGCTGCGTTTATGCCTCGCTGCTGACCAAACCACCGCCGTATCCGTCTCCAGATTTTGCAGCGGCAATGCCTCGGATGATGACCATGATGAGAGTGAAGGTGATCAAGATCCTAAGTGCACGAAGGGGAAAGAAGCAGAGGTCAGCGGCGGATAAGCAAGGCAGTAAAGAGGTGAAACGCACCAGATCAACCACGCGAAACCTTCCACGGCGTTCAACTGACCGCAGTATGCCCAGAAGTTCTGGTGACTACAGGAGAGACCGCCTCCAAGTGAAGAAGTGATCGCAGCAGCCGCAGCGAGCCATAGGATGAACGTCACAAACAAGCTATAGATAGAACATACACCATCAGCCATCCACGAACAAGGACGAAAACAAAAAGAATAGAAAACACACAAGATAAAGTGAGCCGCCACACTAGTCATTATCGAGCCGGCCGCGGTTATCCAGAACATGATGAGGAAGAGGGATCCGACGACTATCGTCCATACGGAGCAGAAGAGGATGTACCGCACTCGGGCGCGGACAGAGCCAAAGGGGTAGTCGTGGCGTGAGTTGTAGCGCGCTGTTAGCCAAGCGGCGATACACATCTCGATGATGGAGAAGAGAACGATGGATCCGAAGAGGACTACGACAGGCGCCCATCGTCAGTAACAGTGACCAGAAACATAAGACAAAGTACGCACTGGGGTGAGCCCTTCGCACTGCAGTATCTGCGCCCATGGCTTCAAAGATTCGAAGAGGTCGTTAAAGAATTGGGTTTCGTTGGCACAAGTCGTTCGTATTTCGTTCGTTCGTCGTTCGTTGGTAAAACAGACGTCTGGATTCCGAGTCAAGTAGTTGTTGAGTTGGTCGTCGTCGTCGTCAAGTTGTGTGTGGGTTCAGAGGAGGAAGTGGAACGAGAACAGGGTTCGATTCTGAAACTGCGGCCTGCCGTCTTATGTCCCAAAAATGAAGGTGATTCACAGAATAGGAGGGAACGAGACTGTGATCAGAGACGGTTCTTATACGAAACAGAACAGAAAAGATGTGACTTACCCCGGGGCAGTGTTTGGGGATGTGCGCCGACCACAGAGGCAGTGTCTCTTATGAGCGGAATCAAAATGTTCAACTTGGGCATGACGTCGAGGCACGTGGAGTGATTATGTCAGCGGGATCTAATCTTATCGCCGTCGTTTTGGGCAGCACCGTCTCGGCGGGAGCCACGCCGTCCACACCGTTTTCTGGGTTTCAAGTCTCCGGTGGTGGAGATTTCTGAGTCGAGGTTTGTGGTACGATGCGAAATTGCTTGGACGTGGCGCTCGAGCCGAACGACCTCACTGTGGGGCCGACGATGTGACGACGAATCCCCACACCAAGTGGGATCAAGCCACTCCATGGACTCCAAATCGTTCAGGTTTGCGTAAAACACACCACCGGGGCGTAACTCTCGACGTCGACACTTTTACCTGTAGATAAACGGCTGTATTATATCGTCGTGTTGACACTAAGCCAATTGCCCACACAAGCTTCGGTTTGGGGGAAATCCAAGGTAGTTCCCGAAGCGCCGGAGGAAGTAACAGCTCAAAAGCGCCCGTCGAAAGAAGGCGCTGGAGCTCGAGGATTCGTCGAAGGAGCGATAGTGATCCAACCCTGCTGCTATGTATCGCATGCTTCTCTCGGAGGCTGATCTACCCAGCTTACCAGGTTTTTTTTTTTTTTTTTTTTTAAAAAGAAAAATGGATTTCTGATCTTTATCCGCCACTGGGTGCTTCCGCTCTGCAGCTGAGGGTCTGCTACAGTCGACTTGGTATGTATGCTATTGGAACCAAAATTGACAAGCAGTTCTAACGAAGAAGAATAAGGATACACGATGCCCGAACGAACGCGATGACAATACAAACACAGCGCATACTAGGACTAGGACTACACTTATCAATGCATACTCTAAAGTCCATAAACTAAATTACAAAATCATAAAATACGGATTATTTCGCAGATTATACAACTCGTTTTTCAAGCAGTCGAGGAGGTTGGGTGGGCGTTTGGGTTTGGCGTTTCCTCCTGCTCTCGTCTCGGGAACATCCTCGTTGATTGAAGAATGAGCCTCTTCATCATCTTCCGCATGGGAATCGTCCAGGTAAGGATGAACCTCCGCACCGCCCCCAACCTCCCTGTACCGCGCACTACACTGAATCTCAAAGATGATTCTCGTCGAGCCCTCCAATACACCGCCTCCCATGAGCCTCCCATCGCCCTTGAGTGTAGCATCGCCCATCTCAGTATCGTCATCCGTACTGCTGCTGGGATGGGCAGTTGAACCACGGGCAGACGAAGGAAACGCCCTCCCAAGCACATCATCCAACTCTCCCCATCCCCTATACGCACGCAAACTCCTCCACGACGTCCGACTCGCTTCACAGCTCCATAAATCGAAGATGACCTTCAATGTTCGTAGAGAGGGAAATTTCGAGTTTATTGGTCTCGGTTGTGGGACTTGGTACGAGGACGGTCGGATATGTGAGAGTGAGGTTGACGATGTGAATGCGGTGGGTATTAGTGATGAAGAAGGAGTGGAAGTGGAAGAAGGGAAGAGGTGTGAGTCGAGGGGATTGGAGAAGAGTTGGATTAATCCCCTAAATGGATCTTCGCTCGTGGCGAAAGCGGGTGTTCCGACGATTAGGGTGTGGAGGTTCTGGAATCCCTGCGAGAGGATATCCGGACTCGAGGCTGAAGCCAACAATCATGATCAGTTACACAGAAGAAGAAACAGCACGAGGAGCGTTACTCACGGGTGTGGAAGTACCGCAACGTCAAAACCTCCAACGTCTCCCTCGCTCGATCCAGCAGACCCCAAATCACATCTCCGTCGTCCTGGTCCCAGACGTACAAATGCACTTGCTTGAGTTTGGAGAGATCCAACACTGAACACTCCGAATCCTCGTCTCTTGCTTCCTCGTTCTCAGACCCATCGCCGACGAAGACAAACGGAGGCTGCAGCTGGTCCATATTCAGAATGAGGGTCTCCAACTGCGGCGGCTTCTTCCTCTTCGAACTCGAGCCTCGTAAAGACAAAGAGCTGCGAGGCCAAGATCGAGTGGAAGAAGGATACCCATACTCGGACGGCGATTCCACCGAAAGGACCTCCAAGCATTTCACGTTCGGGCCTAACAGCGAGATATAGAGGTCGGAATAGGGTATAGCAACGTTCTCCAATGTCACTTTCTTCAAGGTTTCCAACCCGAATAGGTGTTCTAGTCCACGTCCCACCTCGCTATCCATCATCGAGAGAAAGTTGGAGTTTGTGGGATCGAGGAAAGGCTGGCGTTGGAATCCATGATGGTATGACCCTGACCGGCCTTGAACGCCGCCCATACCCCCACCGACGATATGCACCCTCTCGACCCGTTTCATCCGGCTCAGAATCTTCCCGACTAACACATCCTCTCTCCCTCCCCCTCCCCCTCCTCCTATTACCCCACCACCACTACTACCACCGCTCCTCGCACCACTCAACCGGACCCTAACTTCCCCCACATACGCACACAGCACCTCCCCGCCCTCGCCCGCCAAAACCCTCCTCAACGCCCGCTGGCTCTCATACGCATAGGGGTTCTCGCAGTAATCCAGGGATATGGAGCGGTAGAGGAGTTTGCGCGCGAGGTGGAGGAAGAGGTGGGAGCCGGTGAGGGCGAGGGCGGTGAGGGTGTAGGGGTCGGTGCGGTGGTGGTCGAGGATGAGTTCGAGGATGTCGAGGTAGAGTGGGCAGGGGGAGGATGTGAGGGGGTTGGGCGGTGGGTATTGGGATAGGGATAGGGATAGGGGCTTCGTCGTCGTTCCTGTTGTTATTGTTGTTGTAGATGTCGTTGGTGGTGGTGGTGAGACTCGGAGAGGAGAGGGAGTGGGCATCATCGACGTCGTACCACTCGAGCTAGAAGAGCTGATGTGGCGTATATCACCGGCTAGAAACGCTTCGTGATTTCTCGTCGTGATCATTTAGGCTGACAGGTAAGATCTTAAAGAGTCCTTCGGGAATGACGAGCGTCAGCTATATGAATCATCCCTTCGTGATATAAGTACGAGTGAAGAACAAAGAACACACACCGAAATCTGAAACCCAAAGATGAAGAACCCAGTTGGACTCCAAAAGGACGCCACAGACGGGACGAAAAAAGAACGAAAACTCGAGTTTTGAACAGTCGAAATCTGATATGTGATACAACCTTCGAACTCGAACTCTCCAGTGTTCCGGGTTTCGACGGATCTCCTTCTGAAACGCACAGAAGTAGGGAAAGTGGGCCCAAGAGAACAGAGATATGGGTCCAAAGAAGGGAGAAGGAGAGACGAGAAGAGCAGGTAGTCTCCACGTCCAAGGGTCCAAGAGTAAAAAGGTAATTGCAGTCGGATGCGATCGCCGTGTGCTCAGCCAAACGAGGTGTCCCTAATGAAGTGTCCTGCGTTCTAGCGGGTCCTCGCAGACCCGGTATTGACAGACCGTGGGTGGAATGAGAACGAGAATGGGAACGGGAAAAGTGGGAGAGGGAGAGGGAGAATGCGAGCTCGAGGCAAGCACGCGTGTTGAATGTACGTACGTACGTACGCCTGGCCTTGAGGTGAATGGATTCCCAGCCGTGGTTCAATACTACGCGTAAGGATGGTAACACGATCCCAGTTCTGATCGCCGGGTCCAAAGGTTGGTTGGGCAGATGATAAGAAGAGTTTTCGTCGTGTCCGTGGTTCGTGGTGGGTGGCTCGTGGTCCGTGAAGCGTGTCAAGGGGAACCACCGACGATATCGGTGCGTGGCAGAAGGGAAGGAAGGTTGTGAAGATGGGAAGTCAAAGAAGCTTTGTTCGTAGTTCAGATCGAAGTTTGTACTGAGGAGCTTCGATTTGGGGCGAAGGCACAGCGAGGTTGGAGAAGGATGTGTGTTTGTAGGACCGGCTGGAGGAGAAGCTTCGATTCAGCCACGCACACGCAAGCACGGGCCCGTGGATCGCCTAGTTAAGTATGTCGAAAGACCGAGAATGTCAGACGTTGGTCACAAGTATATATCCAAAATTAGAACGCAAAGGCCAATTGGAGAGGGGTTTGGTCGCATTGGTGGATGACGATGATAGGTAGGTATTTATGGCGGAGAAAGCCACGAGGGGAGGGAACTTACGTTTGCGCTGCGGAGTTGCAAGTCTTCGCGGAGTAAGGAAAAAGGTCCACCAATCGCGGTGGGGATGGGGTGATAGTCGAGAGTCGATCCTGAACAACGAGGAGCGATGGGAAGAGGCAAAGCGTGCGGTTGAATCCTTGCTCAACTCCTCCGGAGATGAAGGGGAGGGAGTTAAATGAATACAGAGATGCTAGTCACCGAACCGCGGAGGTGGTTGACAGTTCCACGATGGACGTTGGACGTTTGACTGCCGACCAAGGCCAAACCTCGCCGTAGAAGGGTAGGATGGAATGGACAGCCCTCCTGATGACTAGGATTGGCGCTGGAGTCAGAAATGGATAGTTGGAGGGCACTGGTTTGGGCTTGGATCAGCTGAGGACACTTTTGAGTCTCGACTTGGGTGGGCCTTGCAGGTGACTTGGCTTGGACTGAGATGGAATGGAAGACCCTGGGCTCTGGCTGGCTGTTCTCGAAATAGCCTGAATACGAAAAGGGGTGAGAAAGGTGGGGATTGACGACAGTCAGGAGAAGGATGGGTTGATAACTTGGGACTTACGCTCGGTTAAACGGGCATGTATCTATAACCTACTCTCGGTGACGAAGAGAGAAAGCGGTGCCCCAATGAGCGGGATGCGTATTTATAACACTCCCAAAGAGCGCTGTGTCATGGTCATCAAGGGAACCTGGCGCATCGAATCCGGGGTTAAGTTCTAACTCGTCTCATCAACCTGAAGAATGGACAGTCAAAACTTGCTGATCCTACCGGCGGTCGACTTACAGCGATGTTCACCTCGGCGCTGGACGCCCATGGGTTAGGCGAGGTAACCAAACAGTAGGCTCGATTTCCCGTTCAGGGTTACCTTTAGAGTTGGGTTGTAAAACAAGGTTGTGTGGACCCTGCTAGGGCTCGCACCGCCCATCATGATATCATGAAGGCAACATGAAGGCCTCGTGCTCCCATCGGACACGGAATCAAGATATGGTCATTTCACACCAAGCGCGGCTGACAATGGGTGATTAAAGGACCGTGAGTAGGGATAGTCAGCGGTTGTGAATAAGAGAACAGCGCTGGATGATACACTTTTCAAAGAGGCAGTCGATTGATCTGAATAGATTTGGGCTAGCCTCCGGTACCGGTGGACCAATGTAACTGGAATGAATTGTCATGGACAGTTCGATTGCTTCAGCCTTTAATCGAACCTGACAGCGCGCTCCGGTTGCGAAGTACCAGGTAGTTCTATTAAATTCCAGGGATCATGGTTGTATTCATACTACTAAAGCGCGTAAACTTAGCCAGGAGGCGAGATGACATCTCCCTGACCCAGGGTGTAGATAATGATGCTGCGGGAACGCCGGCGAGTTTCAACTTGGACGCACACGCATAGCCAGTCCAGACCACCATTTACTCAACCTCAACTGAATGATAAGAATGAATTCATTTCCCCCGTCGATAGTTAACCTACTTGGAAGTGAGGTAGATGCCCGTGGTTTATGAGATTAATCCAACGTGCCCGATGTCATTGGAATCCTAGAACGGGCCACGAGGAGAAGTTCAATCAAATTCCTCACCTCAGAACTCAGAGGCCGTCGGAGACGGAGCTTTGGCATTGGGCGCTTCATCCGATGTCCCACTTGCCGCCGGTAATTGCGGAGTCTGTACCACAGCGTCCTGGGACAATTGCACCACCGGCGTCTTGGCAGGGTCGAGCACTAAGCGCCCAAACCCATACCTCCCTAGACGCTCCGAAGAGCTCACATTGGTGCGCGACGTCGCTACTTCAGTGAAGTAGACAGTGGTATCTTCATTCAACTTTTACATATAGCAAACAAATCCCCATCTGTACTTAAGGAATCCATCCCTTCTGCTTGGCGCTAATCCATCCGTTGTACCAAGCAGTCGCCATCTTCTGGTATCCATTAGCATTAGGATGGACACCATCGGCCAAATCGCTGTTAGTCACTGCCGCCATCGAGACGAACACAACATGTTGTCCCTGTGCCGCCTTCTGCTCAACCAATTGCTGGATGCGAGTGTTGTAAGTGTTGACGTTGGCTTGGCCGAAGGAGAGGGGGACGAGGGAGGCGACGAGGACGGTTGCGTTGGGCGAGGCGGTGAGGATCTTGTCGACGAGTGCCATGAGCCTGTTCGGGGCGTTGGCGAGGTCCCGGTTCTGGGCCATGTCGTTCGTTCCGGCTTTGAGGAGGACGACCTGTTGAGTTGAGACGGAATCAGTAACCGCATCTACGAGATGCCCTGCACTCGGGCCTCAGTAGAAAGGTTTAACCACGCACCTGAGGTCTCTGCGCCAATGCGGTGTTTGCGTAACCAGAAATCTGGTCGATAGTAGCGCCGCTGTGGCCTTGGCAATCGTTATCCTCCATGTTGCCAGCCTTGACGGTGCCGATGTAGTCAATCGTGATCCCGTCCTGCAGCAAGCGATCCTTCAAGTACTTGCGGTAGGCGTTGCCATCGTTCGTGCCCATGCCAAAGGTGATACTATCGCCGAGAGGGAGGGTGATGATAGGGCCGGTCTGCACTGGCGGAGGAGGGTTGGTGGGAGTGGTGGGGACTACGACGGGTGGGTTGGACGTCGTTGGTGTGGTTGGGGGGTTGGTTACAGGTGGTGCTGCGCCAGCCTGGCATTGGGAGTACCCTATCGTTGAAAGGATTGAGTAATTTGAATATGAGAAGAAGGGTGAGAGAAATGCGTACAGTCGTTTAACTTGACGCAAGTTGCACCGCTAACGCAGGTCGTTGCGCCAGTCCATCCGTTGCCCTGTCCAGGGAAAACGCGGGTATCCATCAGTTACTTGACATCCTGTCAGGCAGGAACAAAGAACACTTACGCCACACTGTCCGTACAGCGGGACCTGGGCCAAGGCAACGGGTGCCAACAGCGTCGATGCAACGATCGAGAACAAGTAACTCGCTTTCATGACGAAAAAGTCTTTCGAGAGCTCTCCAGACTAGCGATGCCGATGGTCGCGCATAACCCCACAGGTATTTATGCACCCGAGGCGACAGGCGGGTATACCCTGGCTTGTTTTCGGAATGCAGTGGCACAAAAACTTGGTCTGCTCTGTGTCCATATTTAGCCAAAGTCGTTCACATGCAGAAATGTAAACCGAATGGCATGACGAAGGACGTCAGTGGTACTTGAGTTACCTTACAGCGGCTGCGAGCATAGAAGGTAGTCTCGGAGAGAAACCATGGGAAGGGGACCGACGTGGAAGGACCCCGGAATAACAAGTTAATACAGTGGAGAAGAGCACAAGCCTTTATTTCCCCTCGCAAAGTCCCAAAACGGAAGCGGTTAGAACCGGACCGCTGCATGGAAGCCCATCGAAGACGATCAAGAACGATGCGAAGCCTTCTGAGCGACAGGGATTGGCGCTGCATGGAATTCTCGTGGCAAAGAAAACCCGGACATTGATGCGTGTGGAGAGACGACAGGTAAAAGAAGAGGTCTGTATCGCTCACGTTATGTTCGCGTGGTCGAGGTAGCTTTCCATGCTTCCGGATAGGACGATGGAGATTTATCCGCGATGGTACGCCCTGGTTCCCTTACTCTCAGTGATTAGCCTACGTCTCACTGTTCCACCAGCACATACCGGTAAAGCTGGAGAGTGCGGCTTCCCATGTAAAACTTTCTGCTTGGTCGTGTTATACTAAAGTAACGAACGCTTCGGGGCGTGATCATGACACCGTGACAATGACCAGTCCCACCTCCATTTAAGTATCAATTACCACAGAATGTAGTGGCTTGTATCCTAAGTACTAGTATGCAGGTGTGTTTTACCACTGAGGTAATCACCACAGATATGGGTAGCGTGTTAGTCGGAGTCGAGTCCCCTGTCGACGCGAAATCTTGGCCATGGCACGGGGCCGTGCGAATAATCTGGGGCCCACGATCGTCGATGATCTCGCTTTAAGTTTCTCTGAGACCGCGTCGCATTATGAAGTTTCTTCCACCAGCGTCCGACGTGTCAGAGGCTCTCGCTGTACTAGCTTATGACGCCCTCCTTTGCCTTCTGAGTACCGAATATGACCTTATACACTGGAAATTCTGGACGAAGGTCAGTTTTTCACTCGATTTCCTGTCGTTCAAGGTTGATTCGTCAGAATCTGAATAGACAAGGCCTAGTCCAGCACACGGGCTTTGCCTCACGAACCTTCCGGAAGAGATGCTTGTCGAAATCATGAAAAATCTTGAGTGGGACGACATTCTCACTATTCGTCAGGTATGCCTCATAACGTCGAACTGAGAAACTGGGCCAGTCCTCAAAATATCCAGTGTTGTCGCTCCCTGTATCGGCTGTCGAGGGAACGCTCGATCTGGGTTCACATCTTCCAGAGGTACAGCGATACAGTTTTTGCCCAGCCTTTTTTCCTCCCGAAGCCGCTGGAATGTTGTTCATCGGAAGTTCTGGAGAACCGTGTGGTTAGTTGGTGGTCCCGATGGAAGAAGATAACAAAAGGATCGTACGACGTGCCCCGTCATTCCTTCGACGAGAAGGCCATTCCCAACCTCACAGGCCCCTTGTTGCCGCTTCCCAGCGGTCACTACCTGTATGCCAGTCCAGATGGGACCATCTTTCACGGTGACCTATGTCGACCAGGACTGGGTATGCGCATGTTCATCCCCTCGCCATTTGCGGGAGCAGCCTTCAACGTTGAGACACGCGTGTCTATTGATCTTCACAGTGGACGTGACACAGGTGCCTACACGAGCGGTTTCCCAACCATATTTTCTATAGCGGTCACGCGGCAACCCGGTATCCAGCTTCCTGGAGTCGTTGAGATCTGGAAAGTAACATCGGAACTAGCGGTATTGACCGGCTACTCGAGCAGGCTGTGCCAATCCATAACAGAAGATTCCCAGATTCGGATAGGGTCATGCTCAATTCTCGGGGAGCACGTCGCTTACATGGCGAACACGGGCACAAGCAACTTTGTTGCTGTCGTTGATTGGACAGTAGCTCGGGCTGGCGAGCCTCAGGCTCTCCCTCGCAAGTACATCCCACGCATCACAGCTTGCGATGTGAGTCTAATCCTCGCCTCTGCTTTCACGCGCAGTCAACTTACTGTCCTTACGTGCTACCGTCAGAAACTCTTTCTCCTCCCTGCACAGAGGATATTCATCCTTTCCAGTGGCCGCGCTTACATTTGGGACTGGGGACACGCATGTCCTCTCACTACCTCGGTCATTGAAGCAGCGAGCCGGCCATGGGTTTCCCCTCAATGGGAGTCCCCGCAATCTAACATCCTCTCCCCAAACCCCCTTTCGATGCCGTACAGAGTACGGGATTGCACTCGTATCGTCCTGCCTTGCCCAGATCACGTCCTCGGGGTGAGCATACCAAACGATCTAGATGTCGATCTCGCAACGTCAGTGACAACCACGCGTCTCTCAGTAACTTCCCTCGAGGGACGCACACGTAATTTTCTATGGCTCGGCTACACGAAGGCCATATACTACGCCAATGGGACCTTGTGGATTTGCATCACCTACGGATGGCCAGACGACGAAACTCGCACGTATTCATATAGGTCGACACTTACACCGCTATCGGCCAGGTTTGGCAATGATGCAATGATCCACTATGATGAGGCTCGTTGCCAAATCAGTGTATTCCGTCGACCGCATGGCTTGGTGTATGCCGTTTTGGGTAACAACGTAGATAAATAGGTCTACTCAGGCTAAACTGTAAATAGTGCTATGACTGGTTTTTTGGTGGTGACGGCCCCGGCCAGGCAGCTCTCGGTACTAGCCTTGCCTTCCAAGTTCCGAGAATAACAGGACCACGGGCGCTAAAGCCCAAGGGCACCGTGGCCACCCTGGGATCATTGATCATTCTCGTGTGAATTTGACTAACCTGATGCATCCGATCTAAGTTGGCTTTCGACCACGATGGTCGTTTAGAGTCCCCACAGCCCATGGACAATTCCGACGATGTGAGTGAATCCGTCGACGCTGTACCTTGACGCGCCCAAGACCTGATTTGTTCCGCCAGATGCAGAGTCGCACTCAGTCTAGTGCCTGTCGCCTACTTCGCCTTCCCCATGAGATCCTCGTTGAGATCATGAAACGCCTCGAGTGGAGGGACGTCTTGGCCATCCGTCGGGTGAGTTCAAGATACCTGTCACCCTTTTGTATTGGATAAATATCTGACTCTGAGGTGCAGTGCTCCCATTTCTTCCACTCCCTATCGAAAGAACGTGAAGTCTGGGTTGCCATGCTCGAGAATGACCTCGACACGAGGATTCCTAGGCCATTCCACCTCCCCAAACCTTTGGAACATTGCTCTTCGGAAGATTTGGAGAGGAGAGTGGTAGATTGGTGGTCTGGATGGGGAAGATTTGAGAGTGGTAGTGGACGTACGAGCACGCACGGAGTCAACAGCAACTCGAGCTCGGACGAAGCGCGCGACGAACGAGGTACGCGGAGTCCTTCCCTCGACAGTCAACTTGCCATGCCATCCGCTGACAATCAACCTGCCGCAGGCTTCGACACACGAACATATACCTTTGACGAACCAAACATTCCGGGGCTCAGTGGTCCCTTACTACCCCTGCCCAGCAATCAGTACTTCCTCTATGCGGGGTCAGATGGGACCGTTTTCTATGCCGATCCACGCCAGCCAGAGTTGGGCATGCAAGTTCTCCTTCCTTCGCCATTCGCGGAGATAGAGATAGAGGAGAGCGTACTAGTGTGTACCTATGTGTCTGTCGATGTTCTGGGTGCAGGATGCGCAGACGTGGGCGGCTGCGAAAACGGGCTTGGATGGGGTCCAGAAGCGTTGAAGTTGGACGAATGGGAGTCGACGACTCAGACGTTGTTCCCCAGAACTTTTCGTTTAGCGGTGGCGCGTCGGCGGGGAGACATCGACGGTGGGAATGGGATGTCTGGCGTTATCGAAATCTGGGATATAGATTCTCAGATTGCAGATTGTACCGGCGTGTTGACTGGGTACTCTGCTAGGCTATGTATAAGGTTTAGGGAAGATCAGGGAGTTGGAGTCAATTCTTGCTCGATTCTGGGGAGGTATGTCGCGTATGGGGCGTACTCGCCTGTTGGGTGTTTTGTTGCTATCGTCGACTGGACGTCGATACGACCTGACGATGACGGCAATGAAGATGATCCAGGAGGAAGTGATACCGGCCGGTCGTTTACGAGGACATACGTCCCCTCCGTTTTCGTCGACGTGAGTACTCGTCACCCCCAAAATACCATCTCCTTTGGTTCGACAGTTCTTCTGACCCACCTCTCAACAGAATCTCCTCCTTCTTCCCGACAAGAATCTCCTCGTCCAGTCCATTCCCGTTTTATTCATCTGGGATTGGGGTGGCACATGTCCAACCACAACCTCCGCCGACGAAGCCGCAGAGGCGTCGTTCATTTCTCCTCTATGGGCGTGCCCAGAGCTACGCTTTAGACCTCTGCACCCCTTCACCACGCCCTTTGTCGTGCGCGGCTGCACGCGTCTTGTTCTACCCTCTATGGACCGCGTCGTCGGTTTGACCATTCATCCAACGGACGAGTCTGACTCCTCGTTTGTGCCATCGAACTCGGCTGGGGATGGAGATGATCTCGCCGTAGGATGCAGAGTCATCTGCGCGGATCTCGTAGATCCACTCCACAGTGGAATCGCCCAATATCCTTGCTGGTTCGGGTACTGTAAGGGTGTGTCCCACCACAGCGATGGCAGCTATGAGTATATGGCTTACAAGTGGCCACTGGATGGCGATGATGGGTTTCTTCAGCCGTCATCAACCGGGATTACACCATTGCAGGTATTTGGTGATATCAATCCCTGGATCGTCTATCATGATGAGCTTCGGCGGCAGTCTCTAGGGTTCTTCGAATCTGAGGAGGGTGTGCTGGGGTGCGTGGTCATTGATCGTGCAGGTAGTAGCAGTGCATAAGAATCCATGCTGTTTTGTAACGATTTCTTGCGCATGAGAGATAATGAGAATCGGACTCGTCGAGTGGGTAGTAATCTCACAGTATACGAGAATCAAGATTGATAGAGGAAGAAAAGAGCCCGTTTCCATTGTTCTTCGTCAAAAACAATCCTGTGACTAGCATCAGCAATGGGCGCTTATTATTGCTTTCTTACATCATTATAATTATCGTGCGAACTGATGGGTCGCCCGACGTGGCTACGTTGGTTGCTTCGAGGGTTGTTCTCATTCAAGATACCATGATTACCTCCAACGATGTGAGCGATAACACAATAACCCCACTCTGTCTTGTTGCGCCCAAGGATCTGATTCATTTTCCTTGTAGGATCACGCTCTGAACCAGCCTCAGGCTGATATCTGTTTTCTACTCCGCCTTTCTCGCGAGGTGCTCGTCGAGATTTTGAAAAGATTTGAGTGGAAGGACGTTCTCGCTATCCGTCAGGTGAGCTTTGTGCATCCATCCGTCCTAGAGATTATGGATTCTAATAGATCTGTGTAAAGTGCTCCCGTCTCCTCTACTCCGTATCGAAAGAACGTAAAGTCTGGGTTTCGATACTGGAGAACGACCTCGACACGAGGATTCCCAGACCGTTCTACCTTCCGAAGCCACTGGCACACTGCTCCTCTGAGGATTTGGAGAAGAGGGTGGTAGATTGGTACTTGGGATGGGGTAGATTTGGTAGCAGTGCTGGTGGTATGGACTCGAATACGGGGCCGGTCCTCAGCGATCCGACCACAAATGTTGACAGCAATTCCAATACGCACGAGAAAAGCGTTGGGAGTCCTGGTCCCGACAGAAAAGCCACTGCGACCTTGAACACCGGGGCATGCGCCTTCGATTCAGATGAAATTCCTGTGCTATGCGGTCCATTGCTTCCCCTTCCCACCAACCAGTACTTCCTCTACAGCGATCTCGAGGATGGGGCTGTCTATTACGGCGACCCACGCCGACCAGAATCAGGCGTGTCCATGCTCGTGCCCTCACCATTCCCTGATTTATTCCCTGATTTGGATGGGGATGAAGACATAGTGACCAGTGTGTCCATCGATGTTCTGGGAGGAGCAGCGGGTGCGGAGGGCCTCGAAGTCGACAATCGGGAACGGGACCTGGTCTTAAACTTGGACGAATCAACATTCCCGACAACCTTTCGCTTAATGGTGTCCAACTACGTGGAGCTGGACATTGATCACCCTGACGTTCTTTTGGCGGAGGACAATCCAACACCTCTTGTTATCGAAGTTTGGGAAATCAGTTCCCAGGTAGCAGATGATACGGGGGTTGTGACCGGGTACTCCGCCAGGCGCCTCAGGAGGTTGATGGACAATAAAGTCGCTACTCCAGTCAATGGTATTTCGATTCTTGGGAAGTATGTCGCCTACAGCGAGTCCTGGAACCCTGTGATTACTATAGTCGATTGGACTTTGGCCGATGACGATGGTCCAGGAGGGAAGGACGACGACGATATCCCCAAGTTGGGCCGGATGTACGTTCCCGCCAAGCAATACTCCGAGGTGAGTTTCGACTTGTTCAGAGTCGGTCACGGATACCTACCTGTCTGACACGCATGTCAATTACAACAGCATCTCTTCCTTCTCCCCAACAAGAAGATCCTCACCTACTCCACCATGGCTGGCGTCCACGTCTGGGACTGGGAGGGCACATGTGTCACCGCGACCTCGCGCTATGAAGTTGTAGAGTCTGGTGTCCCGTCCATCCCTCTATGGACCTGCCCGGAGAGGATCACGGATCCGCTACACCCCTTCGCCGCGCCCTTCGTCCTGCGTGGCTGCACACGCTTTATCCTACCCTTTGATGACCACGTCATCGGGTTGAGTATTCAACCAGGCTCGGGTGGGGATGGAGAGGAGAACGCCAGAGGATGCAGGATCACCGCCACGAATCTTGTAGACCGCTTCCCCCCTAGCGACCTGGACACTCGTGGCTGCTGGTTTGGGTACAGCAAGGGCATGTCCTATCAAAGCGATGATGGAAGCTATGAGTGTGTGACTTACAAGTGGCCAAGGCTGGGTGACGATGAAGAGGAGGGGGATGAAGAGTCCCACGGTGATGAAGAACTACCTCAGCCGCCGTCAGTCAAGGTTTCACCGAGGCACCATTTTGCAAACTTTGGTATCTCCCATGTGTATTATGATGATCTCCAGCGGCAGTTTCTTGGGCTCTCAGAAACCGAGGATGGGAAGCCTGCGGCGGGTTGTGTGGTGATGTATGGATAGCGTATGAAAATTGATGTGTACATACATACTAGTATGTAGTCATCGAAACCCAATTTGTAACACTTTTTACAGCGGTGTCTTGTGCGCGAGTCTGACCCAAAATACAACACCGCTCGCCTCATGACCTCGAAAACCATGTATATAATGAGTTGTAGTCACTGGTGGGGAACACACACTACTAAGTAGTATCACCAATGGGTCGATTGAATATTGACTGACCAGTGACGCCCCTAAACGCCAATCCTTGGCGCGTCTCTCTATTGGCACAGCCACATCACCTCGACCCCTTCACCTGTGAGTACCCTCTCTCGGATCCAAATCCACAATCCAACATTCGAAAAGCGAACGAAAATATACTTCTAATTCATATACCAACAACCAACGATATACCACATCCTCTTCCTTTTCATACTTCACTCTCCTCTCCTCGACACCGGAAAGAAAAAAACAAGGTCCACCACCTCGTCTACTTCGTCTCTCGTCTACTTGGTCTCTCGTCTACTCCCACCGCCTCGCCTCCCAATCCTTCCACACGTTCGTATTCTTCAAATACGCCACCAACTCGTCCCGGCGGACCTTTGTACCCTTGTCCGCGTCTTCCACTTTGACTTTCTTGCCGTCCCTGTGAGAGTGAGAAGAAAAGTTAAGAAGGTTATCGTGGTCGTGGTTAGCCGGTTGTGGTTCTCGAAACATTGGATTGGAAGTGAAAGAGATGAATTCTCATTCGAGGAGATGAAATGGTTCGAAGAGATGAATCCTCGTTCAAGGAGATGAAATGGCTCAAGAAGATAGCCGTGGGCTCCTTGAGGAACCAGGAGGAGACACACACCCCGAAAGACGAGAGATCGCTCCTCAAGACGCCTCTCCTCTCAAGACGAAAAAAGACAAAAACCAAAAGAAAGAAAACAAATGACTCACCGGAGTTCCCACTTCTGCTCCTTAACAGTAACCAACCCCTCCTTGAGCTCGTCTCCTCCAAGGATAATCGCAAACGGCACATAGTCCTTCTCACCAGCCGCGAACTGGGCTGGGAGTTTAGGTTTCGATTTCGCCAAATAATCGGTCTACGCAAATGAAACAGCCGTTAGTAAATGAAAAAAAAAAAAAAAAAAAAAAAAAAAGGAAAGGATGTCATAAAGAAAAAAAGAGTCTAAAAAATAAAATAAAACAGTCTAAAAAACGCACCTTGATACCACTCTCCCTCAACTCCTTCACCAACCCAATCCTCTCCTCCAAAAGGCCATCACCAGCACTCATAACGTAGACCATAACCTCCTTCGCCCTTGCACCCCTCGCCTCCCATTTCGGCCACACCAAAGCGAAAATCCTGTCCATACCGATACTAATTCCGACACAAGGAACTTGGAGGATCTTCTTCGCCTCTTTCGCTTCCTTCGCGTTGGTGGGGTTGAGAGAGATACCAGCGGAAGCGGCGACGAATGAGGATACGAGGTTGTCGTAGCGGCCTCCAGCAGCGATGGAGCCCACGCCGACTTGGGACTCGTCGATCTCGGGGTCGTCGTCGTTGCCCGTTGAGACTGCGTTGGCCTTCTTCTTGGGTGGTGCTGGTGCTGGCGTCGACGAAGAGGACTCGGCAAAGGCATCGGCGGGGTTGAAACCAGGTGGCGCTGAAGCGGCCACTACGACCTCGTAGATCACGCCCGTGTAGTAATCCAACCCCCTCGCCAATGATAGATCGAACGAGACCCTGGGCAGCACGCCGTACGCCTTCAAGTACCTGAACAACAACTCCACCTCCTCCAACCCCTCCTTCGCACTCTTATTCCCCGTCAACTTCTCGTCCTTCTTCAACCACTCCAGGAGTTCCAGCGAAGTCGTCTCGAGGGTACCCTGCGCCTTATGCTTGACATACTCCCCAATCCTATCAGCAATCGCCTCGTCCAACCCCTTCTCCTCCGTCATCTCGCGCTTGACTTCGGACCAGGGAAGTTTGTCGAGTTTGTCGACGGCGGAGGAGATGGAGCGGATTTTCTCGGGCGGGACGCCGCAGACGGCGAAGAGCCCGTCGAGGATTTTGCGGTGGTTGAGCTTGATGGTGAACTCGCCGACGTCGAGGCGGGTCAGGGCGGTGCTGATCATGCTGAGGATTTCGGCGTCGGGGATCATGGGGTCCCAGACTCCGGTGATATCGAAATCCTATACATGTATCTTCATTAGTTTTTTTTTTCATTTGAGTAGAAAAGGGAATAATACGCACAGCCTGCATAAACTCCCTCATCCGTCCCTTAGACATAACCGGGTTATCCCTGCGGTACACTTTTCCAATCTGCCAGATCTTGCTCTGGGTGTTATTCCCGCCCTGCATGGCGAGGTACCGGGCGAGCGGGACGGTATGGTCGTATCGCAGCGCCAATTCCTCTCCTCCCTGGTCCTTCAAGTCGAAAATGAGCTTCGAGTCTTCACCGTACTTGTCTGTCAAGACGTCTTTGCGCTCGAAAACGGGGGTGTCGAGGCAAGCGCCGCCAAAAGTCGTGAAGCATTCCTTGACGATGCGCTCGATGTGGTCGCGGCAGAACATCTCGGCTGGGTTGTAATCTTTCGTTCCCTATTATCCATGTATACGCACAAGAATAAGAGATATAGTCAAACCATAGAGAATGTGTAACGCACCTTGGCGGTTTTGAGCAGCAACCTCTCCTTCTTCTGCGCCTGGGCACCTCCGGGCGCAGGGGCAGCAGCAGCAGCATTAGGGTCCTTCGGTTTCTTCTCCTTCCCCGCATTCTTAGCCAACGCCAAAGCCTTCTTCAACTCCCCTAACCGTTTCTTGACATCGTCGATTGAAGTGCCCGAGGAAGAGGCTTTGTCGGGGTTGAGCCGGAGGTCGTTGAACGTCGCAGTCAGCGACGTGATTTCAGCTTCGAGAGCTTCAGGCGTAGTCGGAATTTCAGCTGTAGAGCTCATCGTTCTCTTCCCTATTCTATCCGTGGTCCCAAGTATCCCAGTCCTCGTAATCCTGGTACAAGTCGTTGCAAGAGTTCCGTGTAATCTCGTCGGTATCGATGGAGACGTGACACCCAGGACGGATCTATAACGCCGTTTTAGAGAGGAACGAGCAGGGGAAGTGGAAGAAGCAGCAGTGCGGAGAGCACAAAGACCTTTTGGCGATGATAATGATAAGGAGCAACACCCGCTTTTCAGCATTTTTCTGATTCTTTCCTTCGAAGGATTTGGAGGGGAGCGGCGTGACTCGATCGTTTATGTAATGCCCATGTTTAGGACAAACTGCCGCTCGGCCGAGGGTGAGTTTCAAATCCCGATTCTCCGATTCATTGGGACTAAGCGCTCGTTCAACAAGTGAGTGTTCGAGTCTTGTCCATGTCGTTTCTCAGTAACCTCATGGTCATTTGAACGTAGATCCCAGGGCACACATGTCAGAAAAAGGACACGCGTAAGTGGCCGCTGCACAAAGAAAACCTGAATATAAGTACAGTAGTCAAAGTATTCCACTAGCATCACGGAGTCCTACGAGTCTCCGACTGCGAATCTGCCTCTGCCACTCCAACAATGGCATTAACAACACACCCTGGCAAGCCACTATCTAATGCACAAAATCCAAGAAACTGGGACCGAATTTCGTCATAATAAACGATCCACGGAATATAATCAACCAACCGCAAATGTCGTGCAACCGGGATGATAAACGAGTCTGACTGACGACTCGGAGGAAATCTAGCCCCATCATCATCAATCCATCTTTGGTAACTCATGCACTGATAACTGCGATGTCCAGCGTACGATATCCCCTTGGTGTAACCGAACCAGCAGTCATATCGCGGGCTCTCATTGTGGAGGGCGTCCGTTTGGAGAAGCGTTGTGGTGACTCCAGCCGGGTTGGACTCGCACTCGTCGGTTGGACGGATGGTCAACCCAATGACGTGGTCTCCGGAGGGTAGGATGAGCCGCGTACAACCGCGCATGATAAACGGTGTGGTGAAGGGGTGCAAAGGTCGAAAGCGTCGTTGCTGGTAGGCCCATTTCCATTGAGGAGGGATGAAAGATTCTTGTGCGGCTTCGTTGGCGGAGGTTGTGCTGGGGCAGGTGCGGCCCCAGTCCCAGATGGAAAGGATGGGAACGGACTGGATGAGGATCTTCCTGTAGGGGAGGAGGCGGAGGTTCTGTTGAGAAGTACATCAGTGGAGCCTGAGCGAAATCGGAAGCGGGATGCTGTTACACTCACCTCTACGCGAACAGAGGGGATGTATGTGCGAGTAAAGGATCCGGGGCGGTCTGAACCGTTGTGCGTGCGATCGGATACCTCGCTGTCGGTCTCCGGGATAGAAGCCCAATCGACGATAGCAGCAAAGGATCCTGTGGACGAGTACGCCCCGTAGGCGACATACTTGCCCATAATCGAGCAAGATTTGATACCAACCCCATGATCCTCCGTAATCCTTTTGAGCAGCCTGCCCGAGTACCCAGTCAACATACCGGTATCATCTGTGATCTGAGAACATATTTCCCAGATTTCGACAACACCAGCGGGTCCGCCGCCAAGTTCGTCATCATCTTCGGTCAGTTGACGTGCGACGGCTAAACGAAAGGCTCTGGGAAATGTTGATTCGTGCAAGGCTGGATCCCGTTCCACGGCGGCAGGCACAATGTTGTCTCGGCGGTCGTCCACCCCTGCTCCGCCCAGAACGTCGATGGACGCGGAAATAGTTACCCACTCGGCTGTTCCCGCAAATGGCGAGGGGAGGAGTATGTGCATGCCTAGCTCTGGCTGGCGTGGGTCAGCGTAGAGAACCGTCCCGTCCGGCGATGCATAGAGGAAGTGCTGATTGCCGGGGAGTGCTAGAATGGGGCCCCAAAGGCCAGAAATGCCTTTTTCGTTGAAGGCGTAAGTTTGTGTCTCGAGAAAAAGGCCCGTTTCGTTGTCAAAGCGTGAATTCTTTGGGCTGTCGGGGGAAGGACTCGGAACGCCTTGCTCATCGACCGCTGCCTTGGACGAGTTCCTGCCGAATCTTGCCCACCCAGACCACCAATCTACCACTCTCTTCTCCAAATCTTCCGAAGAGCAATGTTCTAAAGGTTTGGGGAGGTAAAATGGCCTAGGAATCCTCGTGTCGAGGTCGCTCTCGAGTATAGAAACCCAGATTTCACGTTCTTTCGAAAAGAAGTTGAAGAAACGGGAGCACTAGTACACACATGGGTTAGAATATTCATTTTAGAGGGATGAAGAGTCGAATTTGGACTTACGCAACGAATAACCAAGACATCCCTCCACTCGAGATGCTTCATGACCTTGATGAGGATCTCATGGGGAAGGCGAAGTAGGCGACAGGCACCTGGCTGAGTGCGACTCTACATCCAGAACGAATCAGGTCTTGGGCGCGTCAAGCTACAGCGTTGACGGATTCACTCACATCGTCGGAATTGTCCATGGGCGGCAGGGACTCTAGACGACCATCGTAGTCGAAAGCAAACTTAGAGGGGCCTGATCGGATGCATTGGCAGGTTAGGCTTTGGCACATTCACACGAGAATGATTATAATATTAGTGATTCCAAGGTGACTACGGTGCCCTTGGGCTTAAGGATTACTACTAGGTTAAATTGGGTAGCCACCGTCCTTCCTCGAAGGGGAAGCATCCTCCCATCTCCTCCTCGTTCCACCGTTGCTTGTAATGAGCAAGAGCCCTGACCCCTGCATCATACCTCTCGTTTGGAATCCACCCATCGGGTGCACAACCTACCTCATCGCACAACTGCGCTACAGTGCGGTCATACCTGGCTCTAGCATCCGTTTCTCTCTTGATAGCTTGCACCTCCTCAGCGGAGAAGTCGATAGGACAGGGGTACCCAGCCGGCTTCCCGGAGTGGCTCACAACATCATCCCATCTCTCCATGATTTCTACTAGAAGTTCACGGAGTTCGCCAGGCCCGTCTGCCACGACGCGTACCACAACACGCTCGAGATTGGCGAGGACATTGGCGAGAGGGAACTGCCAGGCTGCCAACCTGTCCCCACCTATAAGGCATACGAGGTGCTGGTACTGCTGATGACGCGACGCCAATCGGTGGTGCAGTCGGACTTGTTCCTGCATAGCCGGCGACATGCTGTCCATATCCAAGGAAGGAAATTTACAAGGTCCCCCGTAAATTGGATTAAATCCCCGCTGTAGCCTGAGACGAAACCATCGGCCATGGCAGCCTGAGAAGTGTAGGGCCGAACCGCGGCGCCTTGCCAGTCGATTGTGTTCGTGACTCCCTTCATCACATCCTCCGATGACCATACCATGTTGTCCAGGGACAAGGCCGTCGTCAGCGAATGTCCGGAATGAGAGGAGTTCAATGGGAGGGTACGGATATACTCACTGATCTCCTCATTTACGAGCCAACGACCAGTTGTATGTGCGAATAACTCGTTGGCCTTCGCCTCCTGGCTAGAGGAGAACCTTCGGCTCAAGACTCGGAGCGACAAGGTGCTACCAAGTGCCAAGTGGTGGAACTTGGGTTCTCCGCATCTCATGCGCAATAACGCTGGAAATGACATCATCACAACATGCTCTGGTGGTTTTGTGTTGCTGTTGAATGTTCAATGTTCAACGTTGAGATATGCGAAGCAGGGAAGTTACACGGCGCCATGATGCAAGGCTCCGAGAATCAACGACGCGTATTTGGTCGTGTAGGCACGCCTGCTTGTGTGATCGTTAACCCCGGATGGTCACAGTGCCATTTGAGTGCGAGTGAAGCCCAGGCTGTAGCAGCTTGTCTAGGGGAGTGAGCGAGACGTGGCGCAGAAACCCAAGGTAGAGAGCTGAGTGCACAACGAGCACGTCGGATGGCGGGAGGGATCGAGGATGAGTGATGGAATCGGTTTATGTGCAAGCCCATGAGCTTTAGCGCCCGGAACTTTTTTTCTCCCTCCTGAGACCCCGTCAGGTGACCGCGATCAAGTCCGAGTGACCAGGTTCAAACGAGGTTCAAAGCCATATTCTATCAATCCACTGCCTCTTTCCAAATGTGAATACAGAAACGCCCGTGGCCGCGTGCTAAGCACTAGTCGTTCGCTCGTTATCTTCAAGGAAGTTGACCTCTAAATAATTTTGGGCCTCCTCAGAGAATTGGAGTTACAAGTCAATGTATTACATTGTTCTTGGCTCCCGAGCGCCCACATGGTGCACCTTTCTCTGTTTGAGTGAACATCGCGATTCATGATCAGATCGACCCACAGTGCTATTTTCGAACCTTTCTCGATCTACCCTCGATGTTATTAGTGCCTGTTTGTGGATTTTGGATGGACGTCAGGCGACTGCTCTAGTAAAACAGCAAGTTGAAATCGATAGACTCCACTTGTGTCTTTGAATCGCGTTGTCGCGGTTCTGGGTTCTTAGAGCTTCGAAGCTACTGCATCATACTGGCAGAACTGCCACTTCTTCTCAACTTTCAATTCGTCATATTCTCAACTTCAGCGTTGTATGAGGCCATTCTCAGGATTCAGGCCCACTCGTCATGCGAACTTCCCTGATTCCCAAGTGGACATTGATCGCATGCTGCGATACCATGATGGTGGGTTGCCTTGAAGACGGGCTCCATTTCTCCCCTTGGAAACTTCATTGATTCTGGAGGTTCACCTTGCGTATTGCAGACCAAATGGCAGCGACTCTCGACGGCTCCGTGAAAGTCAGTGTCGTTGTCTCTCAATGTTTCATGCTTCGCATATCTGATATGCACTATATTGATACCCGCAACTGGCGCCTGGGTCTTAGGGGTCGCCGAACGGATTCAGGTATTGATAGCGAAAGGTTTCCCTAGGTGAAAATGGCTTTACCATAGCTGCGCTGCCCCCAGCGTCACCGCCAAATCCAACCTTCCCAGACCTCCTTGATTTTCCAACCCAGCCTCTCTATTTGTAAGTACGCTGGGAAACAAGGAAGGTTTGATGGCCATATACTGTATGACCGGCCTTTAACCGGGGTTACAACCCTTTTCGCCCCTTCTCGTCCTCAAAAGGCAGGCATGCTAGCTCCGATTGCCGCTTTGCGCTGGCTTGGAAGGTCTTGGGTGCTGAGGTCACGCTGTACGATCTGTATCATCCCCATCCAAGTTGGAGGATGATGTTAAAGGTTACGAGCTCACAGCGACATGATTCTACCCCATATACAAAACGCGGGAGGTATTTAGGTCTTGCGAATTGATCGTGGATTTTAGGGCCCATGAACATGTCGTAGAGCCCAAGCGATTCGCTCTCCCGTGTCATAACGCCCCTTGTCCGCAACGTCCGACTTCTCCTTCCCCCTCTCTTCTCCTTCCTCTTCTCTCAACTTGCGGGTCTACCTCAACCATTAGATATGGCGGGGGTGCAGGAAGATCTGGCTGGGACGTATGGGGCGCTGCTGTTAGGAGGGTTTCTATCCGCATGGTGCGTCATCATAATTCGTAGTTTCTGGAACCAAGTCCTCACACAGACACGTCTACGCTCTGCAGCCTCACAGGCGTTGTAGGCGTCCAAACCCTCCTCTACTTCAAAATCTTCCCAATGGACAGGCTTCTCCCAAAGCTCCTGGTGCGCACGCAGTTCGAATTCACCCTGGGCGCCTGACTTACTCGTCCCTCTGTTCATCAAGGTCGCCGTTGTCTGGTCAGTCGTTGTCGCCTTAATGTCCGCCGGGGAACGTCAAACTCAAGTTCTCCATCATCATCATTTCAACTAGCCTTCTCGATATGACGCATAGTGCGATGGTCTGGGCAGGCATTTGGGAACACCTCATCGTTCGGCCTAGGACACTGGAACATAGCGATTTCATTCCGGCGTACGTTCCGTCCTTCCTTCCTCGGTTTCATGTCCATCGAGCCAATTTGACTGACAAATCTATTCGCTTGGTTCGACAGTCCTATCTCAGTATGTCCTGATAATTTTACCACTTTCCCGATCATCCCTTGACCGTCCTACCCTCAGTTGAGCATCGTCACTACGGTTGGTATCAAACAACTGTCCTCCCCAGACTGACTGACTGATAAAACGTCGTTTGATTCTTACCATTCCCGTTTCAACAGGGCTTCCTCACGTTCTTGGTGCACCTGTGAGTGTGCCTATTCTAGGGCGTCTCACGCCTTATCTGACTGTCTGACCTTTTCCCCACAGATTTTTCGCAGAGAGGATACACAGATGTATGTTACGCACCCACAACGCGCTCTCACCCGGGGCTTTTTCTAACGGCGATCTCGCAGTGAGTGGAGGGAGATGGATACTTACTGTCACCGTCGTGCGTCCTATTTTTTTCGTCCTCATTGCGCCATACGCTTAAGATTCCCATTGTTTCCCTAGATCCTCATCGCTGGCGCGCGGTTAGGTACGTTACCTCAGCCATGGATAACGAGAACTTGAACGGTGTTGACGCTGGCTGGACGGGTTATCAAGGTTTTGCGTGTGGTGCGTGGTCCCCTGCTAGCTCCATATTCACACACAGACTCACAAACCTTATCCATTCCGCGATTGTAGCAACCGCCGGTCAGATGTACGTACCTCCCTCGATCACGCAGCATCCCAAGCCAACATTCAATAACGTTATTTAGGTTGAGGCTGAAGAGCTTTGCGAAATTCGTGGTCGTTTCCAGCGTATGTTCCTTGATAGGTCTATTCTCGACTGGATGGAAGTATCTCATCGCGACGGCGGGGTTTGATTGGGCTTCTAGTGGACCTTCACGCTCGGATTGGCGCTCTCTTCTGCGGTGGACCTCATCGTAACAGTATCTCTATTCCTACTACTGAGAGATACCGTTGGACCCGATACACTGAGGTCCGTTGCTACGACTCGCATACAGTCCGTTGTTTACTGACGCCGATTCAGACTGGGGAGGATCATTGACTCCCTCGTCATGTATACGATTGAAATAGGCTCCATGACCTTGTGGGTAGCCTGTCCTCTCTTGATCCATGTGTTGCTAATGGCGATTTACAGCATCTTCACGGTCATTTCTATGATCTGTGTACGTGAACATCAAGTGTTTGACCTTTCTCCGATCTTATCATCGTTTTCCCTCACAGTGGTTGGCCATGCGTCACAATCTCGTCTTCCTGGGACTTCATTTCATCATTGGAAAGCGTGAGTACCACCCGTCTGCTTGTGGATCACATTCTCATTCCTCTCCTTTAGTCTACGCCAACTCCCTCCTGGCCACGTACGCCCATCCCATCCTCTACATCCCCCGAGGCAAACCGCAGAACCCTTACGCTACTTCTGGCTTTCCCTTACAGGTTAAACACCCGGCGGACACTTCGTATCTCCCAACGTCGCCTAAATGAAATAGATGCCAGCCGCATCGTTCGCGAAGACCTTCGATTTCACTTCCAGTCACCTCTCTCGACGGTGAATACGGTAAGTTCGTTTCTCATGCCCTTCTTCTCTGTTTTCCGATAAGAACGTTCGATGGAACGAATCCGCTGATGATAGTAAGATAGACGCTCGAAGCTCCTAACATGGCAAGGTCGAGTTCGCAGATCAAGAGTGGATACGTGGAGACGGTGGCCCCTGTCGGCGGCTGATCGTGAAGAACCTGCTTCAAGTTCCTTTCTCTCCCTCCGTCTGACTGAAGGAGACGATTATGGGAAGGCTATACTTTACCCAGCCTGGGAAGGCTGTGTTGGGCAGGGGGAAGATTCGTTGGAAGTAGTCGCCAGCCAAGCTCGAGCATCGAGGGCTAGCACCCCACTCTCGTGGAACATCTCGATATTACTACTTCTACTACTACTTCCGACACAGGCCGTGGTCAACGCCGACTCTACTTCCTCACTTGGATTGCCATTACCCACACCAAAAGTCGACACCGTCTCACCTCGACGCCGCCACGCTGCCTCGGCCCTCCATCTCCAAGCCTCGACACCACCCCCTCCGGCAATCCAAGTCTTTACCGACGCTGCATTATGACACGCGCGTCGTTGTACTTGTACGAATTACTGTGATGAACTTATTTTCTCATTTATTATGGTTATAGATGTACTCACGATTTTAGTTTCGCTTTTCTCATGAATAGTACCTAGTATCGAGGGGTTAGAGGGTGACCTACATAACTGTACCGAAATAATACCGCGGTACCGTGGTACCGAAGCGGCATTGGAGAAGTGTGTTCGGGGTGGTGATAACCGTTCTGACCTCAAGGCTCAAGCGATATCAATTGAACATTCAGGGAAAGTACAGACATACGCAGCCTGGCAATTTACATGTACAAAAGGACCTTGCTTTGGAGCTGGGCGGCGTGGTTTTACAGCCCTCCGTGTCCTTGAGAGTCCCTTTTCAGAACGCATCACCGCTTTACAGCTTTGGTTTGTGGCGGGCCGCGGGAAGAGGTAGACTGAGCAGAATGTCCGAAATCGCTTTCGCGACCCCGTCTGGTTTCTCCTGCACGACCTATGCACGAATTCCCGGATTTGTTTGTGATCATGAGATTCCTGTCAACTCCCAAGGAATAAGTATTGCCTCACCATATGCCCCGCATCTTCAACCAGAGTGACTGATGCCGCCTTCCGACCATCTGAAGGATCGCTCAGGGAATCACGAATGTACTCAGGGCTGTCGTCGAAGAAGGATTTAGTATAGAATACGCATCGCAGTTGGACAAAAGTGGAGTATGGCGTGCTCACATGAACTCGATACGTTCACCCCAGATGATGTGAATGGGAACTGAGCGGGATATCTTCCCCAACTGGGTGTCGCCTTCGAAATGGGGCTTCGTGTCTGGGTATGAAACCGCTTCTTGCTCCTTGGGGCACTTTAGTTGCACCCCTTGGCCGTTAGGGGCATCGCACAATCCATGATCCTATCCAATGGCTCTTCGATCAGTTCATCCTCCAATACTGTAGTCGGGTAAGAAAACCCCAGAAACAAGAATGTGGAAATATATCGGCGGTGAAGGAGAACTTGTGATGAAATGAGAATGAGACAAATACCGTCCACTTACGACGAGCAATTGAATGGACCGATCGTCCCACATACTCCAAGGAAAACGTTTCTTGAAGTAGGCATAGGCTTCTTGTCGCGAAGACCACCTGTCCCGTCGTGCTTTGGTAGCATTGACGACGAGATCCATGTACGACATGCGTTCTTCCAGTTCGCTCTCGAACACGGATTGTTTGACCATAGTAGATTCGACGGGAATCATGGCCACATAGGGAAGATTCTTGTCGTCTGAGAACGACCCTATTGTGGTTAACACCCTGAAAGCACGGATCATAGGTTAGCATTCTGTGAGGAATTTAAACTAGACATCGACGTATGCTCTTACCAAGCCGTCGAACCTGCTGAATGGCCGATAGCGACCATGTGGTGTCCGGCCATATATGGCGACTTCACGAAAGCCGATAGCGCTGCAGACCATTCGTATAGTGCTACAGGGACGTTGGAGATGAGAATGGATGGCATTGACAAATGGCAAGGATAGATGGGCGCTACGCACAGACCCCTTGGGCGTCGAGTTTCTCGCGATTCAGGACGGCTGCGTCCCCATGGTTCTGTCTGTCGAACGACCAAGCCTCACGGATCTGGTAAGCAGGGTCCTGCCCTGCGTTCAGTCGAAACAGAATTTCGATGACAACTTCCCACTCTTCCTTATCTAGAGTAAGAACAGAAGATGTATAGTCAGTTCAAGGTAAGAGGCTAGTTGATGAGAGAAAACACTCACGAGATCCAACGCAGTGCGTAAAGAGTAGCGTCACGCCAGCAGGGTTGGCGGCGGAAGCGCCCATGGTGTAGCGCTTGGCGGTCATCCACAGTTCTCGAGTGTTCGTATCGCCATCGCGGGTGGTAAAGCTTGGTGTACTGAAGGAGTGGCTCTCAGTTCGGAGACCCATGCTGGTACTCGACGTCCCCTAAGAACTCCGGAGATGGAGGTGGGATGAAGACAAGAGGCCGCGAAGCGCGTTCAAGTTGCCGGTGCGGGCGAGAACCTTACGTCATGTTTCAATGCTTAAGATTGGGTCGGGGACATGAGAAATGTGTGAGGTCGAAAACTTTGCATGAAAGGGTTAGTTAGGTAGGGGAGAATGGGAAGGGAGTGGCTTGCTCTGCCCAATATGACATTGTCATTCCCAGTGGTGATTTGAGCGACTCCCACCGAATTCTGGCATTCCTGCTCACAGAAGTTCGCGCATAGTTCAAGTTGGAAGATTCTCATAGGTAACATTGACACAAGCGTTTTAAGACATTCTAATGATTCCACCACAGATTCACGAGCACCTTTACTACTTTCATTATCGTGTGGATTAGAGAACGTAAAAGTCAGAGCTTCTGTGTTCAGAACCAACCGTTAGATTAGATTAGATTAGATCATTGACCAGGGCTGTGGTGGTAACTGGTGACGCGAAGCGTGGCATTGCGACGACTTGAATCTTGACCTGACAGGGATGGCGTTCGTGAGTTCCTGGCCAACCTTGTATTCGTGGCCATGCCCTATATCCTCCATAGAAATGGTTTGGCCACGGAGCATTTTCCGGTGAGCTACGGTTACATGAACGAGTCGGCGTATACTGAAAGCAGCCATCGTTTAGATGGAACGACGAACGAGTCCATTGGAGTCCCTTCCAGACGAGACGTTGACACAGGTTCTCGTGTATCTGGAGTGGCACGAGATTCTCCAAGTCCGTCAGGTAAGCGACCATACATGGTCATTCCACTGCTGCGTCTCTGAAATATGAACAGTGCTGTCGACGCCTCAATCGCCTCTCGAAAGACCGTTCGGTCTGCCTAGCTGTGCTCCTACACTACTATGATACGGTCCTCCCACGACCGTTCCTGCTACCCAAACCCCTCCGGTATTGTGATTCATCCAACCTCGAACGAGTCGTCTGCAATTGGTTCTCAGCGCGTGGATTGGTCGACCCACATCGGGCGCGAAAGCAAGAGTTTAAGCCTCCCGACACGTGGTCCAAGGGATTCAAGTTGGGTCCTCTCCCAGGCGGTCGTTTCTTCATGCATGCGAGCCCCAACGGCAATATCCACTACCACGACATCGAAAACCCGTGCGACCCTCCCTCCCTCTTTATCCCGACCCCATTTCCATGGTGCAAGCCTGGTGTTGCGGTTATGCCTATTCAGACTCTACTGTCGTTGGACATCCTTGCAACCCAGGCGGATGAAATTCCCATTGAAGATCGTCTTTTCCCAATCACGTTCAATTTGGCTGCAATCTGGCAGGCTACCGATCCGGCGAATGACGAGACACTTCACAACTTTGGCGTCTATCAAGTGGAGGTACAACTTGGAGACGACGGTTCAGTTAAGGGGTACGCTGCAAAGCAGCTGATCCTATTCCGCGAGAAGCCCTATCGATACGCCATTCTGAACAGGTGCTCACTGTACGGCAATCATCTGGCATACCACTGCTCAGCTCATCAGTCGCGCTTCATTGCCATCATCGATTGGGGCTCTATCCCACATTCCAACGTCACAAACTTTCCTCGAGTTTACCTTCCCGACCTGTACCGATCGGTAGGCGCTTTTGACCCGCTCGACTATGCCTTTCACTAACTGTTTTTGTACGCCCCAAGCAATTCTCGCTGCTGCCGGGGAGGCACCTTGCTGTATTTCAAGATGACGACATTGTGATATACAACTGGGGTGATGTCCCGTCCAAAACTCGCGCCCCAGATCTGGATCTGCTCTACTGGTTACAACCTGCTTCACCCAAATGGAAGGTAGCTCTATCCTCCTTCGGGGGCTCGTTCCCGCCTTTGAGGCCATATCTCTTCAAGGACTCCATCCGCATCGTCGTTCCAACCTCCGTCGGTCTCAAGGGCATTAACATCCCGCTTCGATTCCTCAACCAGTGGTCAGACTCCGAGGCAATCGCCAGCGCCACCGAGTCCCAACTTCCCACTGTCGTCCCGCTCTTGGACGGGCATTTTGGTAGCGCCCCATGCGAGCTGAGCCTCGGTTATCGCAAAGGCATTTCGGTCACGTCCCAAGGCACCACCGTTTGGCAGTGTAGCTGGCCTGAAGAAAGTCGAATGGAACCGCCGAAGGTGTTCTCCCTCCCGTCGCATCCGTACGACTCACGCATTTCGGCCATATATTTCATTGAGCACTCGAATCGACTCGTCTCTTTGCAACGCCAGTATCGATACCAGATCATAGACTTTTGATGCATTTACTTTGGTGGTTAGGCCGCCCTCTCTCGTCATGCAATGAAAACTCTCTTATATGCGCATCACTCGGGCATCCTGGGACAGTACTGACTGTCGAAAGAGCTGCTTTGGACCTGAAAATCCTCATTCGTGAAGCATGGTAGAATGAGGCGTGTCAACCTTTCAAGGATTTATCGGAACAGGATGAAGAGAACGTAACAGTACAGTAAAATCATAAACAAGGTGTTGAGACAGAACATAAGTACATTCACATCAAGGCGATCTCTGGAAGGATGACCAGAACTAGGCCAAACGCTGTAAAGAACTCAGCGAGGCAGCGTCGCAACGATCATTCTCGTACGGTCTTCGACCTGTAACGCATAGCGGAATTGAGCTCTGAAACTCGGCCACCACTGTGCTATGTACTTACGGGTGCTATGACATGGTTCCTCGTCTCCAATCGTCTGCGGTTGTCCGCCATCTTGTCAAAGGCTTCAGGAGGAACGCTGTCAAGCACATCCTTCGAGTATTCGCTGCCTCGGACGGCTACCGAGTCCCACCCCACTGTCGTCCCCCTCTTGGACGGGGATTTTGGTAGCGCCCCAGATGAGCTGAGCCTCGGTTATCGCAAAGGCATTTCGGTCACGTCCCAAGGCACCACCGTTTGGCAGTGCAACTAGATTAGATTAGATCAAGGATCGGACCTGTGGCTGTGTGGTGACGCGATGGCATTGCGACGACCTGAATCCAACTTGAATCTTCCATAAATCTTCACCTCACAGGGATGGCGTTCGTGAGTGAATTGCTGGCCAACCTTGTATTCGTGGCCATACCCTATATCCTCCATAGAAATGGTTTGGCCACGGAGCATTTTCCGGTGAGCTACGGTTACATGAACGAGTCGGCGTATACTGAAAGCAGCCATCGTTCAGATGGAACGACGAACGAGTCCATTGGAGTCCCTTCCTGACGAGACGTTGACACAGGTTCTCGCATACTTGGAATGGTATGAGATTCTCCAAGTCCGTCAGGTAAGCAAACATCGATGGTCATCCAACTGCCGCGTCACTGAAATCGGAGCAGTGCTGTCGACGCCTTGATCGCGTCTCGAAAGACCGTTCGGTCTGGCTAGCTGTGCTCCTGCGCTACTACGACACCGCTCTCCCCCGACCGTTCCTGCTACCCAAACCGCTCCGCTATTGCAGCTCATCCGACCTCGAACGAATCGTCTGCAATTGGTTCTCAGTGCGTGGACTGGCCGACCCAGATCTGGCGCAAAAGAAAGAGGTTACACCTCCCGATACGTGGCCCAGGGGCTTCGCTTTGGGTCCCCTCCCAGGTGGTCGCGTCTTCATGCATGCGACCCCCGACGGCAACATTCACTGCCACGACATCGAGAACCTCGGCAATCCTGCCTCCCTGTTCATCCCGACCCCATTTCCGTCGTATACGGAGTCTTCCCATGGTATTATCACTCGCATGTCGATGGACATCCTCACAACCCAGGCGGACGGTATTCCCACTGAGGATCGTCTTTTCCCGTCCACGTTCAGTTTAGCTGCCATCTGGGAGGCGCATAATATAGTGAACCTATCCGAAGCCCCGCTGAGAGTGTTCGGCGTCTATCAAGTAGAGGTCCAACTTGGTGAAGATGGCTCGGTTGCAGGATACACTGCCGTGCAACTGGCCTTAATCCGCGAGAGGGCTCCTCAGGACGCCCTACTCGGCGAGTGTTCATTGTACGGAAGCAATCTGGCGTATCACAGCCAGGTTGGATGTAGGAGGGCCATTGTCATCGTTGATTGGACTTCTATCCCTCACCTCACCAGCGCCAAATATCCTCGTGTTTATCTTCCCGACATCCATCCTGCGGTAAGTACTTCTTACCCACTTGACCATGTATCTCGCTAATTGTTTATCTGCGTCAAGGAATTCTCTCTTCTGCCAGGGAAGCACATTTCTGTCTTGCAAGACAGGGCAGTTCTGATCTACAACTGGGGCGCTGTCCATCCCAAAGCTCATCCCCCAGATCCCCGTCTACTCCGTCGGCTGCTGCCTGCTTTGCCCAAGTGGAAGACGACTCTACCCTCCTTCGGGGGCGCATTCCCGCCTTTGAGTCCATACCTCTTTAACGACACCGTCCGCCTTATCGTCCCCACTTCTGTGGGTCTCAAGGGCATTGTCATCCCACTCCGGTTCCTCACCCAGGTGTCGGACTCTGAGGCGATCGTCAGCCCTTCCGAGTCCCACCCCACGACCGTCCTGCTCATAGATAGGGATTTTGGTTGTGCAGATGGACTGAGCTTCGGCTTTCGCAAGGGCATCTCGGCCGACTACCCTGACACCCACGTTTGGCAGTATGGCTGGCCTGACGAAATGCAAACGGGCACGTTGAAGGTGTACTCCCTTCCATCGCATGTGTATGGTGCAGCCACTGCTCTCACCATACATTGCATTGAGCAGAAGAATCGACTAGTCTCTGTCCTTGAGTCACAATGCCAAATTATAGATTTTTGACATACACTGTCCTGATGCTGATCGAGCGTCGCTTTCGGGGAAAGCTGTCGAATTGGGAAGTCTTGCTTACAGATATGACAACCGAGCTAACCAAACGATAAACTAATAATTAACTATCTAACCCGTAAATGCAACGACATGTAATGTTCTGGGATGAAGAGAAATAGATAAGATGTTGGGACGGATTCCATCAGATCTGCCACCGAGCGATTCCTCCTGCAAGATGGGATGTGGTCATAGTAGACAAGAAATTTAAACTTTCCATAAGAGCTATGTCCCCGTCAGCATGCATTCAAATGTAAATAGCACTGAGCAAAGACTTACCCAGTATGCGACGAATTTAAACAAGGCCGTCTTGTCGGACCCTCGATCGCCACCTCGCATTCGGAAGAACTTCCACTGAGTGCGTGAAACCGTCCATATTCTGGGGTACCGACTAACCCATCACATGCGGCAATATGTTCCTGAAGCATTCCGAGTTCAAAGTGGTCGAACCCCATTTCGAACTACATAGCAGTTCCCATAGTAGACCCGGATATGCATGGTGGGTCAGAGTGATATGCTGCCGAGACCATCAAATCGCAGGTCATTTTCGATGGGCAATATGGGCAGCATGCGATCGATCTCGCACAAAACCAGGAAAAGAACTGTCGGAGTGAATCCAATTGGTCGAGCACCTATCCTCCAAAGCCAAGTCCAAAATTCAGCGCTGTGAGGCTGACACAGACATCTCCCCTTAGGCTTAACTTAGGCCGGTGAAGCTGTCTCGGTCATGCACGATGCTGCGTCACACATTGCAGAATTCACCTCAAGCCGAGTCACATCGCAAACGGCTGCTTAGCGGAGCGAATGAGTACGAAACGCCAATGGTTTATTGAATATTGTACAAATACATTATTAAACCCAGGTCACGTTTAATCCCTCTCATCCACCAGCATTTAGCATACGAATGGCAGATCCGTATCCTATACGCAATAAAAGTCAGTACCCATTCTACCCGCACATAATCCAACTGGATGAGAGAATGACTCACAATAGGATGCGAAGCCGAAAGCTATGTGATAAAAGACGAGGAAATCGTTCAGCAACAGAGTAAAAAGCTTCAACAAAAGGCAACACAAACGTACCTGAGGTTTCTGACTATACTTGTTCCTAAGAATCTCGCGGACATTGACGAGGAGTTCCTTGTATGTGAGTTGGGGCTTCTCAGCTGGAAGAAAGCACGGTACGTCAGAAACCCATCACACGTCCACAAAAAGTACGTAGTGAGAAACGCACTGAGAACCGAGATGAACGCCTGCAGACCACATATCCCTCATAAGTACCGACGAATTGTCAACGAAACGAGATCACTTACAAAGCTCATAGCACCAGTAGCCTCCCCTCCCTCAACCGTATCAGCACTAGTCTGCTCATCCTTGCATCCACTCAAGAAGATCTACGCCCAAACAAACCATGGTCAGCCCCTTCCCCGCCTTCCACCATAATATAATGGAAGGGCACGCACCACATCGGCTTCGCTCGTCCTCGTCTCCTTCGTCAACTGATGCGCTTCATCATTCTGCCCAGTGGCCACCGAGAAGAGCGTCTGAGCGGATCGGAAGAGTCCACCCATGTCACCTGCGGCGTAAGATTGAGCGGCAGAGAGGAGGCTCTGGCCAGCGTCCGCGAGGCGGTTGGGTTCTTTAATCTTTCCTTCGGTGCTGTACTGTAGAGGAGGGTTGGGTAGGAAGCAAGGTCATTGAGCGCGGATAGACAGCGAGAAATGGGGAGCGTTGTACCATGTAAGGTAGATCCAGAGCGGAACCGGAGTGGCAGGACTATCGCGGAGGTTAGTAGGGAGCTTCTTGAAAGGGAAGGGTGGGTTCATCATACGTCGAATAGAACGGTCATTCGGCATCCGACGGGGAGGGGCTTGACGAGGAGGTCATGGAGTTGCTATATATTGGAGACGTCAGGTCGACAATTCTCCCTGAAGACGAACATGAACGCACATCATCCACGATCAGGCCAGCACTATCAAAGTCAACCTATGCAGCATAAGTAGGGCTTGTAAGGTCGAGCAGCCAAGCTCCAATGACGGGCTTACAGGGCAGATAGCTAGTTGGAAGAGTGGTCAACTTTCGAATGAAGGAGGGATTAGAAGGCGGGCTTACCTTCATCGCGACCGTCATGCTCGTCTCCATCGTGATCCTTGACATGGGTACCATGGCCAGAGACTACAACAAACGCAGACACCCAGTTCAACCGACAGAAAGGTTCACAGATTTAGGAATGGGCGTACAGTGGAAGAAGAGTGCGTCGTCGGGAGCAGCGTCGGCGACGAGCCAATTGGCCGCTGCAATCTGGGAGCCGGGCGTCAGCTAGGAATTCGCAAGCATGGACAGGGAGGGCGTACAATATTCTCCTTGGTGGGGATCCTTCGAGGATGGTCCTGGTCGTCGGTGAGAGTTACGATGTCTCCCGGGTTGTATCCCCTGCGCGCTACACGACAGCCCGTTCAGTTCCACCACTGGAACAGCAACCAGAGTGGAATGGCATCGACTGACTGGTGAGGAATTCATAGAGGTTCTGCACGTCGTTGATACACCCAGAGAGTTCTCCATCTTGGCCGTAGTAGTTGATTCCGATCTACATTGAATGTATGTCTGTCAGCGATAGGGGCAAGGGCGACGAACAGCTGAACGCACCAAAACAGCCTTCTTCTTCCCGGTACACCTCGAGTACTCCCATCTCGGCTCGTTCTGCTGGTATTGTTGCTGCTGACGCTCTTCATCCCGGTCCTTGAACAGTCCAAACATAATGGCGAGCGGTCAAAAAGGTGGTCAAAGTGGGGCGGAGTGGTTTGGTGAAGAGGAGAGGCTCAGATGATAGAAGAACGCTTCTGAGAGACGGAATCAAGTCCAAGCGCAATCGCGAGTTGGCGACCTCGTGGGGGCGTTATCGATGGTGTGATCAATCTCTTATGTATTAGGCCGGTCCCAAGCTCTTGTGTATCCCAATCGGAAGACAGTCCCGAGTCTAAATGTGGCCGCTTGTCAACGGGGTATAGCCTCGATGTCTGAAAGATTGGCCTGTGGGCTGTAGACTGCGTCTGCTGTAAAGCTGAAGCTGGCAAGAAAAGCTTGGAACACTTGGGTTGACGGCGCGGCGCAGTGACTGTCATGTCGGCATTGTTGGAAGGCGGTCATGGGGTGGGCAGAAGTGGATGGACGATGGTTAATCGCTCGAAATAGTCCATATTGAGTCTAAAGACTGTCAAGTTACTTCTGAGTATAGTGATCATCAAGGCGAGATATGCTTGTCGTACGTACCTGGGTATCTTCCCTTCCCTCTTCGCAACATCCTCACCTGCGGAAATTCTGTAAGCTGTCACTTCTTTGAGCTTCACGATTCTAGGACCATCAAAACGTAGATAACGGGGCTTGAGGAAGGATAAGCATGTACAGCGTTCTAGGAAAGCGCGTTGGATTGTCAGCAGTGGTGGTTCCGGTCCACATCGTTCAACGGCCGATGACAAAAAGCGTCGCGAGTGACGGGAACGACATACCAAATATAGGTGATGGCTACCCCTGAAAGGAAAGTTCCCCAAAAAGGCTCCGCTCCGACGGTCTGCGGAGATAGTTGTTCCGCTGGTACCTGCCCGATGAGTGCTCCTTGGGCGCTCACTTTTGCTCCTCATGACGATTCCATGACGATAATGGCGAGAGACTGGCGGCGGTCCAAGCCCCTATACACACTCAAGACGTTGTCGAGCTTCGAGCATTTCATAGCATAAGGAGATCAAGTAATATCAGAACAGCGTCTGCAGCAGGCAGCACGATAGATAACAAGACAAACAAAATCTTAAAAGTACAGTACAATAGAGACCAATAGAGGTACAGGAAGTCATATAAAGAGGTTTATTAGCAATCGGTCATTGGACGGTGGCATAAACGTCGTGAATGAAGACACAGATGAAGCGTAGAGGAAATGCCAACGGGGACCGTGATTACAACAGCCTGTGTGTGATACAAGGGAAGGGGAAAAGCCGCTTAGGACCTCTCGCCACGGAGACGGCGGGCAAGGGCAAGATCCTTGGGTTGACTGTAGGGGTGTGATTAGTAAGACGTTGCAGGCGAGACGCGGTGAGAGTGGCTTACATGGTGACACCTGGAAAGCAGAGGAATCCAAAAGGAAGAAGAAAGAGGATCGAGTCAGGAATGCACGGTCCATACGAGAACAATAAATGACTCACGCTTAGCGTGGATAGCGGCCAAGTTGGTGTCTTCGAAGAGGGAGACGAGGTAAGCCTCAGCTGCTTCCTGGAGGGCCATGACGGCGGATGACTGGAATCGGAGATCGGTCTACACACACAAAGGAAACGAGGACAGCGCATGTCAGTAACACATCTCCACCAAAGCCTCGAGACGACATACCTTGAAGTCCTGAGCGATCTCACGGACCAACCTCTGGAAGGGAAGCTTCCTGATCAAAAGCTCGGTCGACTTCTGGTACCTTCGGATTTCACGAAGGGCGACAGTTCCAGGGCGGAAACGATGGGGCTTCTTGACACCACCAGTGGCAGTCTATTCATGATAGGTATGCGTCAGTTCCTGATTAGGTATAAGCCTGGAGTTGGCATGTCACCGCCTCCATCATGCGTGCCACACGGCGACAACGACGACGACAGCGACGACAGCCAAAATGTCACTCACCTGGGCAGTCTTGCGAGCAGCCTTGGTAGCGAGTTGCTTACGGGGAGCCTTTCCTAGAGAAAGAGAATTTCAATGAATTTCCGGGAATTAATTGGAATATGTGCGAACCTCCGGTAGATTTGCGGGCGGTTTGCTGGCAACGACGACGACGACGAGCAGATCAACGACGATGAGAGTGAGTGTCCGTAATTATTGGAGGATTATAGGAGGAAAGGACGTACCTTGGTTCGGGCCATTGGTGTCGAGCGAAAGTTGTCGAAAAGTCTTGAGGGTCGGTGTGGTGGTGGTTAACTGGAAAGGAGGGAGGAGGAAAGGAGGGCAAGAATGGGCGAACAAAATGAGGCTCTGTTTCGACGTTTCGCAATGGAAGTTCCCACGCCCAACAAAGAAACGCACGAGCCACCGGATTCTGAGCGTTTTTTGACTCGGAAGATTGCTGAATATATCTTGTCGATTTTTTCCTCCTTCTCTTTCGCGGATGACCCTATGTTATTTTTACATATTCATGTTGGGACTACCAATGCCTCTCTTCTCAATTTTTACTGAAGCGAAAAGGCGCAGAAATGGTCGAGAAAAGTGCAGATTGAAAAGGAGACGATTTGTCCGGTGGAAGGTGTGGGGACTTCGGTCCCGGCATATGCCGCCGCTTGTAAACAAAGACCCTACACCACAACAAACGACCATACCCTAGACCTTGCCACCCTCTTGCCACTGCCTCGCCTTTGCCACTCGTTTTTTCTGCCTCATTGATTTCAGTTTATCTCTGGACCCCACATAAATACACCGCGATCCTTGGGCCAACGACTGCACTCGATATCATGGAAATCTCCTTTTGCATTCTTCTGGCCTGGGTCTGGATCGGGACTGGTTGGCTGTTCTAGCGGCACTCGAATGGGCTATGCGCAGCTGCATTGCTTTTTCTCTTCCCCTCCAGATAGTTGATCCGCATGAACTGAAAGGTATCCGCCGGTTTCTGTGGATACCTTGCTCATGGGCTTCTGTGGCACGCCACCTCTTCACCAATGTCGCCTACGACCTTTGCCCAAATCGTCCTGTCTATCTCGTCGCGCGATTCTCCTCGGACCGGTAGCTTGATTTCTTCCGAACGGAATGCTCAGACCGTCAGCGCGAACCGTTCTCGGCGGCCTTTACGTCCCTCAGGCTGCTGGGGATCTAGCATCCTCGCCCTGTCCGATGATCATTGCCCATTTGGGCGCCTTTCCTCACAGATACCAACGTCCATGCAAGCAGAAGTTTGCCTCTGCTCGATTGAGGGAGCAGTGGCGTGTACATTCACTGCCTTGATTGCGGCAATAAATCTCTGGTTTTCGAATCGTTTAAATCGGCGAGAGGACGCGGCGCTTGACGGTTGTGGTGCTACAGACTAAGGTAGGGGCCAGAACGAAGAGAACGACAAAAATCGCATAGCTGGGGAGAACCTGACAGCGGAGTGTCCACGTAGTTCCAAACATCGTGGGGTACAGGTAACAGGTCGCAGTACATCACGGCTGGGTATGTCAAAAATCTATGATTTGGCATCGATACTGGCTTTGCAAAGAGACAAGTCGATTCGAGTGCTCAATGAAATATGGCGGAAATGTGTGAGTCGTACACATGCGACGGGAGGGAGAACACCTTCGGCGGTTCCATTCGGCCTTCTTCAGGCCAGGTAGACTTCCAAACGGTGGTGGCTGGGTACGTGACCGAGATGCCTTTGCGATAACCGAGACTCAGCTCATCTGGGTTCCCTGATGCCTATGGGGCTCTTTGTCCATCGCGATAAGCGCCCATAAAGAGCCGTGTGAAAACGCCAAGGCCCGTATTTCTGTGGCCTACCTTCTACTTCTCTGGATATGTGGCCATGTTGGGAAGCTGCAGTAGGCCCACGAATGCGACTGTAGAGTATTATCTATTCCGAATTATCGTAATTCTGGAGATTTCAACTAGTCTACCCCGACGTTATCTACTGCACATAGATCAGTCACACACCCTTTTATCTATCACATCGATTGTGACAGCTATTGTTCTGACGAACCACCTTGGGACTCCACGAAGCATGTTCATTATGTCGCGGTTATGATCAGTTCCACGGGCGACCTGGATTAATGACAACTTCTCATAAGAGCACCTCCAGCACCACATTCACATTCACCCAAGTCCCCTTCACTCGCCATGAACTCACCGGCTTCACTCGAAATGGAGCATTTCGACTGTTCTAACTCCCATCTTGAACGGGTTAAGCGAGAGCATCCAACCAAGGACGGCGCAGTAAGCGTTTGGATTAATGTTGTTGTTGAACCCCATCTGAAGTTGGTTCTAAATTAGATTCTGAACATGTCCCAAGCGACGTCTAAGGAAGGCCTCTGACTCAGCTGCCATTGCTGATCTAGAGGCGACCGTCCGCGGAGACAGCTACTCGAAGGATGTGCTTGCCAGCGTTCCTCCTAAAGCCCTTGACGAGATACTGGGCTGCCATTGGACAAAGCGCGACCACATACGATTGGAGATGATTAGGAGCCATGTCGTAGTAAGTACGTGGTACATTGATGACCGGGTTTAATGCTCACTCAGTTCGAACTTCGAATCGGGTCCTATGCGTAGCTCAAAGACTGTACGAGGATGATCGTTTCAATGATATTCCTCTGCCTCGCGGAGTTCTTTACAGCGCTTGACTTATTTTTGGTCATCCTTCCTAAGATTGCTCGAGCTCGATCCAACGCGGTGGACGAGAGCCAGTACCCGGTGGAGGTCGTTTGGGGGGAAACGTACGCCTTCTAACGGCAAACCCCGATTATGGAGTGGGGCTCCTTTCGAAGACAGGCGAGGGTCTCAAACGAAACAGTGTTACTAACTGGAAGCCGACAACGGTGCCTGCCAATCTGACCCTTTTCCGCGGTCTTCAAGTCGGATTGCTATGCGGTTTCGAAATCAAAGGGTCCGACGATCCAGAAAAACCGAACTTTGAACGACAGATACCACAAGCCGTTGCGGAAACTATTGCCTGGTACGTCAGGATTCGCCCCTTGATCTTCCTTCCAAGTTAAATAATTTTCTCTCATTTCTGCAGCATGGAAAAGGCAGAGTAGGTCCCCATTAGTGACTTTCGCCAGATGTCGTCTTTGCTGATTGGGAAATCCAGCGTCAGCACTGGAAAGTGGATACTCACAGATGGCGTTCGATGGGTGTTTGCGACGGTCCACAAGGAGCCCGAGAAGAAACCAACGTATCAGTACCTTTGCCGTTCATATCGCCCTTGGGACACGACAGGTAAGGACACGACGGCCTTGTTTGAATTCATGGCGTACTGGGTAAGTTGTTCTTTGCAATATGCGTTTGAATGGCGTCCTGATTGCATATAGCTCCTATGGAAGTCGGAGTGAATTACCGTCTTGTCCACTGTGGGCGTCTCGTCTCTTAACGTTCTCTTCATATCACGATCATTCGTTGGTCAAATTCTTGAAATCCCTCATGCCACCATTGCTTGCTCGTACCTTGCCTCCTTTTTTTCCTTTTTGAACTTGGTTCACGACGTCGGAGGGCTGTTAAATACTTTGATTATTCAACTAGCTAGACACCCCAGCCGTTTCCTGGTTGTCCCCAGCCACCTGAACTGAATCAAAAATCTATGATTTGGCATCGAGAGCTTTCAACAGAGACCAATCGATTCGACTGCTCAAAGAAATATATGGTGAGAACAGTGGCTGCGTCATATACACGCGATGGGAGGGAGGACACCTTCCACCTCTCCGTCTGACTTTCGTCTGGCCAGCTATAACGCCCAACGTAGGTGTTTGGGTAGCTCAACGAGATGCCTTTGCGAAAGCCGTACCTCTGCTTAGCTTTCGCGGTGGGAAACTTCCCCGCCATGAGTTGGAGGACAATGGGGTGGGACTCGGAGGGGCTGGCGGTTGCTTCGGAGTCTGTCCATCGATTGAGAAATTGCAGTGGAATGACGACACCCTTAAGACCGACAGAAGTGGGGATGACGAGGCGGATAGATTCTTTGAAGAGGTATGGCCTCAAGCGCGGTAACGCGCCCCTGAAGGAGGGCAGAGTTGCCTTCCACTTGGGTGAAGGAGGTTGCAGCGGATAGAGCAGATCCGGATCTGGGGGGTGAGTTTTGGACGGAACATCGCCCCAGTTATAGATCAAAATATCGTCAAACTGAATTAGAGCGATGTGCTTCCCCGGCAGCAACGAGATTTCCTTGACAAAGACGAAAAGAATTAGCGAAATGTATTGCCAAATGGGCGAGAAGCACCTACCGTGTTGTATATGTCGGTAAGATAAACGCGAGGAAATTCGGTGTCGGTAAGGTGAGGGATAGAGGTCCAATCAACGATGGCAATAGCCGTCGACTGTTCAAGTTGGCTGTGGTATGCCAGATGGTTGCCGTACAACGAGCACCGGCCCAGCATGGCGCCCTGAGGAGCTCTCTCGCGGAATAATGCGAGCTCCCTCGCAGTGTATCCGGCAACCGACCCATCGTCTCCAAGTTGGACTTCCACTTGGTAGACGCCGAACACTCGCAGCTGAGCTTGAGTTCTATGCACTAAATGACGGCACTCCCAGATTGCAGCCAGATTGAACGTCATCGGAAAAAGGCGATCTTCAGCGGGGATTTCGTCCGCCTGGGTTGCGAGGATGTCCAAGGACAGCCGAGTGAGAATGGGCAAATCGTCAAAGGCAGGCTTATACCACGGAAACGGGGTTGGGATAAACATGGAGGGAGGGTTGCTGAGGTTCTCGATGTCGTGGCAGTGAATGTTACCATCGGGGGTCGCATGCATGAAGAAGCGACCGCCTGGGAGAGGACCCAAACTGAAGCCCCACGACCACGTATCGGGAGGCATAACCTCTTTCTTTCGCGCCTGATGCGGGTCGGCCAGTCCACGTGTGGAGAACCAATCACATATGACTCGTTCGAGGTCGGTTGAATCGCTGTGCCGGAGGGGTTTGGGTAGCAGGAACGGTCGCGGGAGGGCAGTATCATAGTAGCGTAGGAGCACAGATAGCCAGACCGAACGGTCTTTCGAGACGCGATTGAGGCGTCGACAGCACTGTTCAGATTTCAGCGAACCAGGTGTATGATGGGTATTCGTGGTTCGTTACCTGTCTGACTCGGAGGATTTCGTGCCATTCCAACGTTCCCAAAATTTTCATCCATATTTCTTCGGGAAGTGGTTCTATCACAATCGATCCTCTCGTCCTTTTGAAATTGAATTTTGGAATCGTAACTGCCGACTGAGCTGGAATTCAAACGCACCGCATTTGGGGGGATGATAGGTCCATTTTGTGGAGAAGGTATATGTATTACCCTTTCAACAAAGGGTTCGGTAGAAAGCCAGCTATAGTCCAATGGCTGAAGGCACCATGGATGGCTGTGATGACAGATGGAAAGGACGGTCTGCGTGCACGGCGTGACGCGTCAACATTGATTATTTGGCACTGTTTGAATCTAACGCCAGTGGGTGCCGTTCCAGCTGCCGTCTGGACGCTCAGGGTCGCAACCCTATTGAATGGCTATTTCTTCCATTGGTACGGATACGATGTTCTTTGCATTCATAGACCTTCCCCTGATCGTCCTCCAGACGTCCTGGTTGTGGGGACTCGGGAAGCTTTCAATAGGCGGCAGCAATTGGCCGTACATTTTCAATCGGAGAGCCAACCTGCATCAGAACCTCGCCTGTGCTGGGGCTCTCGGGTTTTTTTCTTCCTTTCCTTCCGCCATGCACATTTCCTTCAGGATTCTTCTGGATGATGGCCCGAAACCCGTCTAGAAGGATGATTTTTACTTCGTCGAGAACTCGCCATTCTGTCGTGACCGGCTCGAAGACTCGTTCCTGCGTCTTCTTTCACCACTGTCGACTTCTTGGACTGGCGCCTCCAGCAATTTTCGCACCTCTCACTGGTATCTGCGATGAGGTACCAAAGGACTCTCACTGAAACGATATAAAGCATAAACAAACCTTGCTTGTCCATCTTTCCACCGGCTGGGCCGTCGGGCATGATGGACCAGCAGCTACCCCGCTCCGGGCTGGTGGTTCGTTCGCAGTCGCCGTGTCCGCCCAGACGGGGGAAGTCTCATAGGAGATTCTGAATGCGTACACTTGGCCTGCACCGGATTATTCAGACGAGGTGATAACGATCAAGCATAATTGCCTCACATTTGCCCTGGATGTTTCGTTGCCAGGGGATCCTGTGCTCCTTGAACCCAGCAAAGCATCAACCCAACCAAAGTACATCAATCTCCCCGAGTGTGTGAGGCATATATGATGTATGGGTGACTTCGAAACCACCAAGAAGCTTTTCAGTTGGTACCGATAAGTCTCCAACTCTATTGGCGCAACTATGATTTTTCCAGGTCTGTCAAAATCCATGAGGAGCATTCGTTCTTCATCTTGTCTTGTGCTCAAAGAAGCGCCAGAAGAGTTTGTGCGATTGTTCGTGTCTTTTGAAATCGGTCATCCTGGGGTGCCTACTGGAACGCCTCTTCCTTGGGTATAAAACCTAGCAATGTCACTGACGACGCTCCTCATCAGACTATCTGATACACTCCATTTCCCGTACTCTTCCTAACGCCATGAAGCTTTCCACTGCTGCGCTCGTAGTCGCTTTCTGCCTTCAGGGTGCGATCGCTGCCCCGGTCATCGCAGAGATCGATACACGAGGCCACCACGCTATTATCAACAGTATGTACCAGGATTCCACAGGCGATGCTCCCGCTAACCCCCTGCAGGTGACGGACAGCTCGACGCAAGAGGCCATCATGCCATTATCAACAGTAAGCTCACTAATCGCACTTACCATGCCCTTTTTAACTCTCCCTTTTGAAGGCGACGGAAAAATTGAAGCTCGAGGCCACCATGCTATCATCAACGGTCTGTTCACCATTTCCACCCACATTCCTCTTCGCTGCTAACTGCCTTTCTGTAGGCGATGGAAAGCTTGATTCACGAAGTCATAACGCCGTCATCAATAGTACGTCCCGTTGAATTAAACCACTGCTTTCTGAGCCCTGATGAATCGTTCTCGAAGACTATGGGAAGCTTGATGCACGGGGACACCACGCCATTATTAACAGTATTTCCACCGTTTCTCCTCCCCGCTCCGGTCCCCTTTAATACTCTCTTCCTTAGGCGATGGAAAACTTGATGCGCGGGGTCACCATGCTATCATCAACAGTAGGTCTACTCGCGCCTTCGCCGCTGCACCAGTTAACCTTCTCGTAGGTGACGGGAAGCTCGATGCGCGAGGTCACCATGTGATTATCAACAGTGCGTCAATTCATCCAAATTGTGATTCACTGTAACTGTCCCTTCTATAGGCGATGGGAAGATCGATGCGCGAGGCCACCATGCCATTATCAACAGTAAGTTTCTTGGTTCAACTTGCAAGACCCCCCCTGCTCACTTGGTCTTCTACAGGCGATGGAAAGCTTGATGCTCGCGGTCACCACGCGATTATCAACGGTACGTCCACCATTTCCAACGGTGTTCTTTTCTGACTCTCTCTCTTCTATAGGTGAAGGAAGGATAGATGCACGAGGCCATCATGCTATCATCAACAGTACGTCCAGTCCAGTCGAACACTCCCGTTGCATCCAGGCTAACTGCTCTCGTACTAGGCGATGGGAAGCTCGATGCGCGGGGACACCACGCCATAATCAACAGTGAGTAAAACCCGTAGTCCAATGCCCATCTTATCTGCTAACTGCACTTGTCACATTCCAGGCGATACCGAGCTTGATGCCTGAAATCACCGGCGCACCCTGATCCATGGCTTACGATTGCTCTCGGAAGCAAATTGTTCCCCCATCCTATGTATCATTAACTCGCTTTCACTCCCTTTATGTATTGGCCATGCCAGGCGCTTTGAAATGACCAACACGTTTCATCTCAGCAGTCACCCTTCGCTAGCGAATGCGTCAAGCTGTATTTCGACGAATGATATAAAGATTAACGACGAGAGCCAGAAACACCCTCCCCTAACGAATCAGTGACCCGCACCGTACTCGTATTCACATTGATTCGTAGTTGCTTCAGTACGAAAGGAGGTGGTCAATTTCCGCGCCCCACATTATTCGAGGGCGGTTACTCACCGAGGTCTTTCCGACTTCTTTTAGCTCGTCATCGTCGTCCTGGAGGTCTGAACCAGATGCGAATTTTCCAGAGTCCCTGATCGGGGATATTCTGAAGCCTTCGCTGAGGTCGATGGGCTGAGCAATATGTCTGATTCTATTGCTTGGATCTGGTCGTCGGGTCCCAGACGCTACGCCTGATGCATCCATTGTCGTCCCATGGTGGCTCTCTTCGGACTGAAGATCACGTCTGGCATTTAGGCTGGTGCGAAATGGGCAGTACGTCACAATGCAAAGCTACCAGGACCAAAGGAGGAAGGCGTACGTCGCGAGCAATGAATTGGCATAGACTGAGTGGATCGAATGAGTATGAAGAGACCGGGAAGACAGGATGGACCGCGTACATTTGATGATGATGAAATGTGCGGCCATGAAGATCAGGTTGGAGCGCATGGAGAGCCAGAAGATAAGTGTCAACAGCGCAGCAAGCCTGGCGCGTCGAAGAATCAATATCAAGGATCTTCGGATGAGGGAATAACGACCCACGTTGTTAAAATCCCATTCTCAAAAGCATATAGAATGAGTGCATCGAGGACTTTGTTTAATCTAGTGTGCAGGTATGAGCGAACGAAGCGGGGAAACTTGACAAGGCAGCTGATCACTCACTTCGAGAATTCTTTCTGGCGACGTTTGAGGAACCAGCACATAAAGACCGTGATTAATACGTCCAGAATTGCAGAGAGGGTTAGTCCAGTGGTGAAGGACCACTGTAACAAAGTCAATGGACCCGGTAATATTTGTTGACGGGGACGAGACTCACCGTATACAGCCGCACAAACACCTCTAAGCTTCGCAGTTCAATCCTAACAGGATGAAGTACTGTTAGTTCCTGTCAAGTATAGGCTAGCTCGTATGGGCATACAGCTTAGCGGTGGTCACTGAAAGCAAGATATGAGCACACGTGAAGGTTGAAAAGAATCCGAGCAAGACTCACGACAGGCAAAACCTGAATTTGGAAGACGGTGGAAGACAGCCCGTTAGAACCCATGGCGAAAAGAAGTTCCGGTAACGTACAGAGACGAGTACACGCTATCAAGGTCTGCCATACAACGTGATGAGGATGCAGGTCGTATAGCAGGAAGGGGATGCAACTCACCAGTGGAACCGAAATAAAGAAATTCCGCCGCGACACTGGAAAGCGTGTTTGATGAGAGGATGCGATCAAATCAGAAGTCGGAGTACATACAGACGAAGATTCTGTAGATGAAGAAGCTGCACGGGTAAGGTTTAGTAACGAATAGAAAGGGATAACAGCAGGTTTACCAGTGGACGCAGAACGTAAGGACGGCCTATGGATTGGCCGGTGTACACGGATATCAAAGATTAGCGCCTGTCATCTAGACCCAGGTTGGTTGCCCTACCGTAACTGCTATCGTGAGCTAAAGTAGTTCGAGAATCATCATCAGGCTGGACTGTGTGTGCAACGTCATGGAGGACTCACGGCCAGGCTCCTGTTTCCACCGAATGTGTCATCGTAAGTACCACTGATGTCGGAAAGGTTGTGAGATACGCACGTCGGGATATAGTCGATGCCAGCAGCGTTCCCAAAGGTGTTGATCAGGTAGTTCCACAGGGAATGTCCAATGAAAATGGTGTGCAGCGAGTCAAGGAACCTGTGATGTAGATACTAAGTTCGAGAAGTAGGATCGGTGTGATCTAAAGGTAACTTTACCAGACTCCAAGGATCTGTCGGCAAAGAGGCCCAGTTAGAGACGTATAGACACGAGAGTCTTCAAAGACGCACCAAGAGCTTCACCAGCAATGGGTCATTGTTATAAAGTCTGAAGAAGATGAACGTTTGGGCTTGCGTGAGGCCTGAGAACCTGAGCAAACGTAGAGTCGAGGTTGGGCGCGTCAAAGCTAAACAGAAAGCATTCGACGCACAGTGTTGCCAGAAGCCCGCCAATCAAGAGAGCTCCAAACGTCTTGGGAATGTCCACTTCAGCCATGCCGCCCTTTCTTCAGTTTCCGTCGTCGCGACTGATAGCCCTCGTGCGCAGTGGTACACCAGGCCTCCAAGTGCCACAGAGTCGAAATCTACCCTGTCGATGGCAGCCTCGATGAATTAAAGCGCGAAAAAAAAGAGTGGGGAGAGAAAGGTGGGGGAGAGAAAAGCAAATTGCGCCGAGCTCTCACCAGCAAGCCACCATATGTACACGAGACCCTACTACTTCCACTTCCGTCAGGGATCTATTTGCGACCTCCAATGCCGACATCAAATCGCGGATTCTCCCCAATGGATATGTGGCTTTGCTAGATTTGATTGTGTTGTGGAGGTGCGCCTGCGATAAGAATAGTATGTAGCGGCGTTAGGCGTTGGCTCCAGCTTCGAAAGCTAGTCAAGTTTACTAAAGAAAACATCAAATTCGAGTTGGCCTTAAGAAACCGGAGATATGTCTGGTAAATAAACCCTAGCCCAATGGGACTTGGGAAGGCTTGGTCGACGCCGAACGATTCTGATCACGATGCCAAATGCATGATTATCTCGAGTTCCCACCTCAAAATGTACAATGCAGACAATTGGAACGTGAGAATCGTCATCCCGACGGTATAATTCGCGTGAAAACACGCTTTATCGCGCTCTCGACGCGTTCTTAACAGCTTCATTGCTGATTTGTTAATTGCCGGAGAGGCTTGGCGTCGGGGTGGCATCTGATGTCGGGTTGCTTAGGATACGAATGTCGAGGGTAAGTTTCCCCGACAGTACTCCTCAATGGTGCTCTGTGGAGCCCAGTGGCCATCTGCTCTCACGTCCTGAAGACGCCGGAATACCTTCTTCAAGCGTGGCCCGCGAAAGTAGAAATTTTGTGGAAACTTATGATCACCTGAAAAGATTCAGATCAACTGGCTTGCGAAGCTGGAGGCCAAATGGGTCATGGGCCGCGTGGACCTCGATTCGATCAATCCGGGGTAGGCTTGGCTTTCTCATAACCTTGGGATAACTTTAATAGTTTAAATAGGGTGTACCAAAGATGAAGCCTATGTACATATGTAGACTTCGAACTGGTCAGTGTCGCAACAAATATACACCCCCTATCCATCGAATATCCTCCTGTCTGTCAACGGAAAACATGCTGGAGTAACCATTGCCGGTCCTTCACTGGCATATAACTTCACCTTTAGACCGGGTTGATTCTTGATTTCCATCTCTCCAGAAAAGCGCGAGTCCTCTGACAAACCAGTAGGGACCCCCATCAAAACCCACTGACCAAAATTCGAGTAGTGAACACCGGTCGTGTCGCCATCTTCCCAGAATCGCCAACTCCGCGATTTTTGCTGGCCAATCAATGACCAGCACGATGAAAACACGATTTCCAAGCACGGCCATTCCGACTCGGGCTCTGACGACGACGAAGAACTGCTGGTTGGGGAGGAGGATAGAGGCATGGGCTGTTTTCCTTTCAAGCGGAAAAACTCTAGAGAAGCGCGGGGAAGACTGCCCTGTGGAACGTCCAAGCCGCACTTCCTCTGGTTCTCATCGTCGACGTCGAAGGTCCACCAGATCCTCCCGAATGATTCCTGCTTCCTGATGGCCGAGCCGTGAACTCGATGCTCAACGACACTGGAGTTTTCCTTTATGTGCGTACCCTCCACTGCCTCACTGAGACCGATAGGAAGCTTGAACCCAAACTTTAGAGCGTTTTGCGACACCGCCTTCGTCCCTTGAGCATGAGTCCAAGCTTGATCGCGGGCCAGAGTGGTACGTGGAGTCGCATTATAAATTCGAGCGCCCTTAACTTTCGTGTCGATATCGACCTTCATGAGTGTTTGATGATACGCTGGAAACGCCCCAGAGGTCAGGTGGGTGGTGCATCTGAGTTCAGAGAACCAGACATGGCACTCATTGGAGGAGCCCGTGGATGAGGTCTGCTTATAAGTGTCAGTTCAATCGCTTTATTCGACGCAGGTTTGCGCACCTGAAACCAGAAATCACTGATTAAGGACAGTTCTTTCCACTTCGTATCAGACTTGTCTTCCCGGCTTGGAGACACCGCGTGCCGAAAGTTGGATTTAGAAGGGTGGTAGAGGGAGGCTCCCACCTGGATGTTGACCCTGTTGGCGCCCCGACCTAATCCGGAACCAGGAGGCGGTGGTGGACGTTCGTCCTTTTGTTTCCCTTTAACGTAATAGGAATTGTTGAGAGCCTGAACTTCATCCTCTTCGGATCCATCGTCCACGTCCATCGAGGAGTTCCAGATACGAAGTCGCTTGTGAAAGTGGGAGGATGCCTCAGGAAGGGTTGCTGGGCGCTTATTCTGCCCTGCACTTTATACGCCCAGCCACGCTGCAAACACAAGGCTATATACACTCACCTGCGGAGGGTTTTGGAAGTCGCATGGCCGTGGAGGGAACCAAATTCCAGGGATTCCGACGACTCGAAAGTCGTGGTTACAGCCGCCACAGCCCTCAAAATGTATTCATTATCATCTTAATCTTTAGCCCACATCACGATCCTACCATAGCTTTCCACCGCCCCGGACCCCACGTTTTCCTCGAAGTGAAGACACGGGCGCTAATTACTACTATGGCTGTACGTAGGAGTACTCTATCTACAGACAAACAGGCAAACAAACAAGGAAGGATTCGGATACACCGACACGCACACCCCAGGAGGACAGACACACAGGACACAAACAGACAACATTTCTACTTTTTACTTTCAATAAGTTAGAAGAAGTGACGAATGAGCGACAACGACGTCAGCAATGAAGGTGACCCACGAACGAAGGGGCGATTAGAATAAGTGGTCCATAGGATAGAAATAAGTTAATAAACGACCAGACCAAAATAGGCCCAAAAGAACGAACTCGGACCAATGGGATTCGATTAGGAGTTCAACAAACATGAGAAAAGCCTTCCAGTTTCCCTTGATGACGAAAGTCGAACGGTGCTCGAGAAAGAAGGGGGAGGAAGAGGAGTGCAAAGAAGCACCAGCGACACTCCTATGTCAAGAAGAACTTCGTGGCCAAGAAATCCGGCCATAACGGATGGAAGAGACCCGCCAATGTCGAGTGGCGCACATACCCCTTCTACATACGCCCAATCCCAAACACTCATCGACCCCTTTGTGGCAATGACGTGAACACCGCCTTGCGAGGGGAGGGTGAGCCAATCACCGAATCAGCCCCTCTGAACCTCACCCTCCTCGGTCCCCCTCCAGAAGAATCGACGTTGCCCATCCGGTAGTGTGCATCCACCGGATCGAGAGGGACGATAGTCTCGGGTTCCAAAGTCGGCATGATGGTCTCCGGGCGGAGGGTGACAGGCATCGACTGGCGCTTCTTGTGCCGTCCTCCTCCAGATCCAGATGGTTGCCCTTGAGCGGGGGTGTAGGAGTATGATGGTTGGCGGAAGTTGCCGAATACGGGTGGGGGTTGGGGCTGGGGTTGGGAGGAGGATGGGTAGTGATGATAATGGTCTTCGGCTCTTGAACTTCCGGAGGAGCGTGAGCTTCCTGGAGGAGGGTGGGGTGGTGGGACGAACTGAGGATGAGAGGAGGTTGATGTCGAAGGACGGTGGTAGGAAGTCACGGGCGGAGGATGAGCTGGACGGTGCGCAGCCGCGTCGCTCGCGTACCGCTTCCTCCTGCCTCCGCCACCGCTATGCTCGTCAACCCATTGGTTCACCCTCTTGTCCACAGCAGGAGCCGGTGTCTGCGTCCTCCTAGGATCGAGGGCACTCCTAGACTGGGCCGACGGCTGATAAGGATATCCACCACCATACGACGGATGCAACAATAGCCCATGGTTATGAATCTGATGAAACTCCGTTCCATGCCTCCCATCAATCCACGGGTCGACCAGATTCCTTGGGTCAACCTGTCGGAGTGGTCGGGGATGGGGTTGCTTGGGCGGTGGTTCGTAATGCCGTGGAGGATTCGGATTCGAGGACGACGACTTGAGCTTGTTAAGCAGGAAGGTCGTAACTTGTAAATCGTATTTCATCCTCTTGAGCGGGTCTTCTCCTTGCAATGTAGCAGTGACGGTGTTAGACCCTGAGGCCGAAGGAGCAGGGATGTTTGATTTCAAAGGCTGGGTAAAGGAGGAACTTGGGGTGGGACCTGAGACTGTTCGACGCCGGAGTTTGTTAGGAGTTGAGGACGTGGCTGACATCGAGACTGGAACTGGGACAGGGACAGGTGCGGGCTCAGGAACGCGCTGCCTTTCGGCAGAAATCTGCTCAACGAGCGCCTGGTGGTCGCCTGACACGTCAGGAGCGTACGAGCGAGCCATGGAGAAGGACGTCGACCGTTCATGACCTGGTCATTACCGGTTAATTAGACCCTTGAATAACGTGTCGAGTCCAATTCACTCACCTAGGCGAGAAGCCGGAGGCGAAGGATTGTTCCAGCGCGCGTAATCCTCGGGCGTTGGGCCGTCGTGAGCTACTGTGTGGCCTTGGTCGTCGTTGGTAACAACACGGCAGCGTTGATGCTAGACAAACTTACTACCGCTGCTACGGCTTTGGCTGTGACTCGCTGCTCGTCCGCGATATGCAGGTCTCATATAACCATCTCGGATTTTGAAATTTCGGTCTTCTTCGAAGCGGTCGTCAAAAGGTTGGCTGAGCGGAGAATCAGAACTTTGAGTTTCATCTAAATTTACCGCAGAATGTAAGGAAAACGGACCTGTTCTCGTCACCCCTTACAGCACCTTTCGAGGTCGACCCGTCTTTGGCCTTGTCTGTGACGAGCGAGATTCAGCCTTTGCCAATCTCGCTGCGCGAGAAAACAGTAGGAAAAACTTACCTTTCTTGTTTTTCTTGACAAACGAGAGGAAAGGAGCCATTCTCTGTGCGAACTGTCGTCGCTACCACCGCACGCTTTTGACTAGCGCCCTTGAATGTTGGTTTTCTCGCCTTGAATGTCTCTTCGGGTCCGTGGGGGGTCCGATAACAGCGATAGCCCTACGCCCAGTGCAAGTTCGGTTTGTCGCCCACCGTGTCCAGCTCAGCGTCCAGCGCCTCCAGTTTCGACCTTTCAGCAGCTTTCAGCGGCCCGCAAAACTTAGAATCCAGCTATAGCGTTGTCAATCTGGCGGGAACGATGGGGAGAAGGTCGGACGACGATGTGGAAGGGAAGAAAGCAGAGTCAGGCACCCAGGCAGACGCCGCTGCTCTGGCTCTTTTGGGCTTGTCATTGATGGCTGATGCCGTTGATGGCGTCGCAACCGTTTGGGCGGCTAACGTCACGTCCAGTTGGGCGCTCGGGCCCACTGGAGTAACTGCTTCGAAATCGGCGCTTGTTTCAAGTTGGTTCGAATGATTGCAGTGTTGGCGTCATAGAGAACCACGCGGGTATATCTATCATTAGACTCAATCTGGGCCATCGAATCATGTCTTTTCTTAGCGTGGACTTGGAATCGACGTGGAAGTGAATCCAGAGTTCATTCAATAGTCAACGAGAAGCAGGACTTGCAAGTTGGTTGGTAAAGTGCATACTGTACTTCGGAATAGCTACATACATCGACGCAATCAGTATACAGTATGAAGTAGAAGCACCTCGTGCAGGGGTGGTATCTGAATGCCTGAATGGCCAGTATCAGAAGCTCAGCCTGAGAACGAGAAAACCCTTTATCAGAATTGCCGCGAAAGGGTACCAATTGGGCACTGAGCAGCACAGTTCGATGAAACAAAAACGCGCTAGGAGGGACGCCGAGTTCGCCAGATCCTCAATTCATGATTGGAATAAGATGCCAGAGAGAGAGCGTGGAGGCTGCGCATCGCACCGCCTGCGCGCGGTTAACGTTGCTGTCCTCGACAATCTCGGTGGGGTAGGCGGTTGGCAACGAGGTTTCTGCAACGATCCCTGAGCTGTTCGGAGGGAATTCACCACTCACCAGTCCATGAAACACAAGCCCTCCGGCGCTCCTCGTTGCGTCACCTCCAACCCACTCTTCCCATGCATAACCCGGTGGCGCCAGACGACTTTGTAGTACCTGCCAGCAGTTTGCTTTCGGGCCTGAGCAGGTGGTGATCGATGATATTCGCGTGTGCGTGGCGGGATCGAGGCGGTGGATTGCAGGGAATCCGAGATATAGAACAGCGAGAGAGGGCAGTTCCCACAGCTCAATTTCATCGAGGAGCTGCGCAACATCGCCTACGCAACGTGGCGAGCCATTAAAGCCAGAACTCACCGGTGACCCGCCATCCAGCATCCAGCAACCAATTTCCACCTGAAAGCGTCTGATCCCACACGAACAGGGGCTGCACCACGTAGAAAATCGGGTACAGGGCATTTCACTTGATTGCTGGTAACAAAGGAGCGGTTGGATAGACATCAAGAAGCCCCTCCAATCGGCGATTGTGTGTCAGGCATTGCCCGATTCCCGCATGGTCTTCGTCGAATACTCGGTGGGTGGCGGCGACGAATTGAATTCTTGGTGCGACTAATTGACGGGAAGCACAATGGGTGACAGAAACTGAGCGCGCTGTCGAGTCGGGGAAGGTGTGTGGGTACCTCCCGACCAGGGGGCGATGGGAAGCGGCGTTGCGAATCGAGACCGGAAAAATGTGGGCCTATTCGGCTAGTCGGATGCGTTGGACGGGTTGCAGGACATGAGTGTTTCGGTGAATCTGTGCATTGAAGCCAGCTTCCATTGGGCGACTTCGTTGAGGGCGACGTTAGAGGGCCCTCTGCAGGAAGGAAAGAGGAATCGCCAAGTAAGGCGGTGCAGCGGTGACCTCAACCCTATTACCCCCGCCTTATTGCCGGTTACCAAAGCTCCCGATTTGTTTGACGCGCTCTGATTTGTCAGTCGCACGTGGAGCGAAGTGGAGTCATCGAATCACACTCTCCTCCTTTCTCGGAGACCATTTGGTCTGTCTGGAGTGGAAGACCGGCAACCACCATGAATCTTCAACACTCCCTGCGCATTTCGTAGGTATTTCAGCCATAGAAAACCAACATTTGAAGAAGCTTGGACACTTCCCCAATATTATATGTCATTTCCCCGCAGCAATGACAGGAGTATCATGCTGGAGATGACCCGGAACCCCGACGAAACCTTCAGCCGATCGCAGATGTAATATGGTCTAGCCCCTCAAGACCCGTGTCGAAGCGCCGCTGGACAAACGCCTGCAGCTTCGAAACCTGAAAAATGAATCAGAAACGAGGGCAACGGAGGATTCACGGAGGACCCTTTCAGACCTTTTCAAGCGGCTTGGTATTTCAACCTTTTTGTTCCCTTACCACCACCACGGAAATTTTTGTGAGTACTCCAGCTCCACTTTTGACTTTGTGAGTCTATTCGCTAATTCTTTTCTGGGCAGTACTGACGTATAAGTTGTTCATAGTACACGATGACCATCGAACGACTTCCCCCTGAATTGCTGGGAGAAATTTTCAAAGAGTGTACTCTCCTCAACCCTGACGCCCCCTATGTCCTCTCGCTCGTCTCTCGCACATTTCATTCCGTCGTTCGCTCGACTCCAGCTGCATGGAAGAAGCTGCAACTACGCGTCTACGAGGGCGAAGACCCGAAGGCCCGACAGAAGGCTGCTCTCTGGTTCTCCATGCTAGGAACGTGTATGGCAGACGTCACTGTCGATATCAATCCATCTTCTACCCCTCTTTCCGATTTCTTCCTCAAAGACGTCGCCCCGCCAAAGTTTGGGGCCACGGATGTTCTAAGAAGATACACCCACCGGATCGAATCGCTGTCCGTCGAAGCGGCTTCGGAATGTGACGCACGGTCGTTCGTCAACGCTGTATACGACGAGTACGAGGCAGTCCAACACACCCGACGACAGAAGCACGCGACATTCGCCCTCACCTCTCTTTCCATTGAAATATCATCCACTGCTCCTCCCACCCAATGGGCCTCGTCGATTCCGGTACCTCACCTCCCAAATCTGCGAAACCTCAAGCTCCTCAACCACTCCATTGCGTTCCTCGCCTCTCGTCGCTTCGACCAACTGCACCACCTATCTATTACACGGCCTATTCGATTCGTACCATTCTCCCTCCTCACCGTCTTCGGTATCCTTCGCTCCGCACCACGACTCCAAACTCTCTCCATCGAGTCTAGGATTCTCGATGACACGGCTAGCGTCAGCGGAGTCGACCACCCCGGAGGCTCACTCTCACTCATCCACCTTCCTTTCCTCACCTCACTGTCGCTGAGAACCAACCTCGTCCCATCTATCCTCTCCCTCCTCCTCCTTCCAAACCTCTCCAAGTTGCACGTCGACGACCTCAACGGACGCCGCGTGGGTCGATCTCGCGAGACGGCCTCAGTTCTCCGTCAAGTCCTCGTCAGGATGGAGCTTCCCAACGAGCACCGCACCAGTACCGGTCTGAAGCAACTGGAACTGGTCGGCGTCGAGGTGTACGCGAAGGACCAGCGAGCGGGCAGCGAGCGCGATGACGCATGGGAGTGGTGCTTCAACAGGATGCGAGCCCTCGAGCGGCTCAGCGTCGCCAAGGTCGACTCAGCTCCCGTCCTCGACATCCTCTCCACTCTCGCCTGTCCCTCCTCGCCCCCACCCGGCTCTATCCCCTTCGCATCCCCCTCGTCCTCATCCAAGCGCCTCGAAGACGACATGCATGACCCGGACTACCCCTGTCCCAACCTCCGCTCGCTCACCCTCAAAGACACCTACGGCACCCCGTGGAACTTTGACTCCTTCCGGAACGCCCGTCCTTCCGTCCAGCTGACCTTTGAAGAACCGGACGTCTCTGCCTTCTCCCCGAGCGGGTCTGTGTTCAACTCGTATGCGCCGTCCAGATCGGGGACGCCGGTTCCCCTGTCGAGGTCGCCTTCGAGGGGCGGGGTGTCGCCTCCGCCTATTGATTTCTTGAGTTTGTATACTGATTTGCAGCATAGTCCTGCGGGGTCGCCGTGGTCGCCCAAGTCGTCGAGGTCCTCGGGGAGCCCGCTTCCTCGCTTTGGACCCTGGCTGGTTCTGGCCCAAAAACCCGAGAATTAGGGGGTTACTTTAATTTGCAGCCCCCCTGTTTGTCGCTCGACCGTTCTGGGTTGGGCGCTCACGACTTCTATGTATGTACCGCATTTCGTTCATCCCTCCATTTGGGTTTTCTCCTCGGGTTTATGTGGTTCACTCGCCCTGTTGTTGTATCCTTTCTGCTATCTGTTGTCTGCGTGTCATATCGCATTTCTTACCACATACTAATGTACTGTACTGGGTACTGGTGCTAACTAATACCAGGGTTACTGGCTTCTCCTCATGTACCCGTTCTTCGTACTTTGAACCACCAATTCTTCCTGGACGGCCAGACCAGTGATTAAGCCCACCTATCGGCGAATCGATACATTACATGTGGTATTATTAGTATGTACAGTTGTGTATACAAACAACATTGATAGCGGAAAAAAGAATCCCATATGAAACCCATGATATAAAGAGCGGTATGTGCGCGTTCCAGACGTATGTAGAAGAGACCGAAGATGCATAGTTCGAAGAGCAAGAGAGCATGTCGAAAGCATCGAAAGTCACGATGATGCAAAACGAATTAACTGAAAACTAAATCAATAGGGATAATCATAATTTCCGTTTCGAGTACGACGAGGATGGGGCCGGTGACGGGGACGGGGATTATACGAGCCACCTAAAAATCCCCGAGTCAGGAGTGGAACTTTGCAGACAACCTCGATGTACTCACCATCATAATAAGAATTATGTGAATAGTCATTATGACTACCATTAAAAGTCTGAATATTCACGTTCCCGGAATTAATAGACACACAGTTCTCCCCATTACCGACGACAGGCCCAGAGCCCAATGAGATTATGGGGGCTTCGACGCGGCTGTTCTTGAGGGAGACGTGCGACTCGGATGTCGAAGGGGAGGTGTGAGCCGAGTTGGGCAAGGTGAGGTATCGACTCTCGGCGAGTTGTCGTTCTCGTTCCTCTTTTTCTTGTTGGCGGAGGCGATAGATCTCCTCAGCGAGAGGTCGATACTGTTCTTGGATCGCCGCCATCGCTAGCTGTTTCACCTTCTTCACGTCCAGTTGGACGTCCTCTTTGGACGCTTTCTTGGAGTCGCGTTTAGGGTTGTGGACGCGGATGTAAATATCGGCTTGCATGAAGAGCTGAAGGGAAGATGGGACCGTCAATGCTGATACGAAGAGGGAGATATGGAAAGGGTAGGCGTACGTTGAATTGAGTGACTGCATGTGCGATGCCATCCCTCTTCCTCTCAAAGGTGAGTTTGTCCGCTCGAGCGAAGACGATTCGCGCGAACCTCCCGCGGTTGAGCATCCTCTTGAGGAAACACTCCGTCGACTGCATGGCTCTATCGAGGAAATAATGTCAGCATTCGGCCCATTCTTAACTTGAACGAAGAAATCGAACGTACTTCCCGAATTCCATCGCTCGTGCCATGAACTCAGGCGGAAAATCCGCACCCTCCTCCTGCTCCTCCTTCACTCTAATAGCAAGCCGGATGACGATCAACGTATAATCCAAGCACTGCTGAACGAGATCCTTGAAAAGATCTTTATTATCCCCCATGAGCTATTCACGACAAGTCAGCCAACTACATCGACAACCAACATCGATCATGAATTTGATTACATACAGCAACAGTCTCGACGATCCAGAGCGCACTGCCCGCTGCCTGGCGTAAACCAGGAGGCGCCACGCCCAAACCGCCAGTCGCTTCCTTCAGCATGGAGAGCGCACCGATGGCGCCGTTGAGGGAGTATGATACCCAGTTGGCGAGCTTGGGTGCAACGGTGGAGGTAGTGCATTTCTTCTGGAGTTTCTTGGGGGATTGGGTGGACTCCTTGGAGGAGGAGGCCGAGGAGGAGTTGGCCGATTCCCACTTGCAGAACTCGCAGGCGCACTTTACCCAGACGTTGTACTCCGTGCTGGAGGACTTTGTGGTGAGGCTGGTGCGACTGTTGGATTGAGGGCCCGGGTCCGTCATGGGTGATGGTGGATGGAGATCGATAAGGAGGGAGGAGAGCGGGGTGGCTCAGCTCTAGCGAGAGCTGAGGGAAGAGGAAAGAGGGTGTTGTGGGCATCCCTGATCGCCTGGCTCGTCTTTTAAGATACCATCTTCCTCCGTGGTGAAGTGCGAAGGCATCTCGAATCTGATTACACAGGTCTAGCTTGTTGTATGTTACATACCGCGATTCGCGAACACGATTCAACTTCGTCCGAGGGCTGTGCCTTACGGAAGGGGGATAATTGCCGTACGTGAAGACATTAGTTCGGAGGACAGTACCATAACATCGTGTAACAGACTTAGATGGTCACATTGCCGTGGTTCTAACATGAGGCCGCATGTTTGCACAGCTTGCGTAAGGTAAGGTGACAGACAGGAGAAATGCAGCTCGAATACCTACACTTCAGCGTATTCATAGCGTCAAGAGGCAGTTTCCTTCTAAGCCGAATCAACGAGGCAATCAGCATGCATGGTTTACAACCTGCGATCTTGTCAGAATCTGGAGTCTGCTATAGCCGTGTTCGTTCAAGCACTTGTATTGTCTTCCTTGTACTGTCTTCATAACGTACTCTGTGCACTCTACGCCAGTTTCCTGGTCCCGAATGGATATTTCCACTTGCATCACGACATGCCAAGAGAAACATGAGGCCCGTGGGTTTTGAGCGCTCAAATCTTTGACGCTCGAAACGGTCGCGACGGGACACCCGCTGGGCCGGAGAGACTGGATGTGCACACACATTATGTCCTAAGGACAACGCCTTTGAGAGAGTCGCCCCTCTACAGACGAGACGGATTATTGGCATATCTGGTCACACAGGAGTTTCTTAGTAGGATCGATAAGTCGCAGGAAGCATCGAACTGTGGGTCCACACCTAGCAAAAGACGAGTGACATGCACAGCAAGGAGAATTGAGAAGGCAGAGGGCAAGGAATATGAAATGGAAGGATATGCATTCGTGCAGAATAGCCGTAGATGAAAAGCAAAGACCGAGGTGTTCGGAAAACATATTCAAGTTTATGCTCTAAGCGCCCATGACCATATCAAGTCACACCTTCCCACGAGTGATCAGCCAGAGGGATCTAGGCTTGGCTTGCCACGGAAGATCTGGGCCCTTTCCCCAGCACCGTCACCCCGCTCGCAGCATTGCCTTGACCATCCAGCCTGATTCTTTCCTCTCGCCTTCGACACGCTCCTCAGCGTTGCCTCTAGTAGCGGAATCATTTTTCTTTTCTTTGACAAACAATCATGACGTCGAACTATGTCGCTCCTCCTGCCTAGTGTCGACATGCACAGCTTGCGTCATCCACCGTGGCCCCAGGAGTCTGCGGGGACTCGATGTCCGGTATAAGCACCGGAACGAAATGCCAATGAATCATCGTCATTAGTGAGTTCGAGTAATCTCAAGCTCCACGAGGCTCTGGATACCGTGGGGAGGGTATATGAGATGTCCTAGGTGCGAGATGCTCCAATCCAACCCTTCTCGAACCCCAACCTCCTTCACAGCTAGTTTACAGACTTCCCTTCGCAGCAACCTGATCGTGCCTCATTTCATTTGCGGTGAGCAGCGCTATACCTCATTTCATGAACTATGCAAAATGCGGAGGCTGACAGCGACTCGTCTGCTTCTAGGTCTTACCCTTCCCGAAGCAAGCGGACGGACCATACTGCCGCAACCGCCAATCCTCAGCCTATAAAGCGGTCCCTCTCTTCTAGTTCTTAGTCTCTCAACCACACGCACTCGTACAACTCAACACACTTTGACCCCGACATGCAACCCGTCACTGGCACGGGAAATTTCTACGGAAACGATCCACCCAATTCTCGCCATGGAGCATACCAGCCCACTGTATACCAACCTTCTCAGCCATACCCGTCCTCGGGTTCCTACCCCGCTTCCGCCGCGACTGAAGACCAAGCCCACCTCTCAAGAGCGGACGCCAACCCCAAGTACAGCAAGATTCGACGATGTTAGTGAGATTCCATTGATTTCGAGTTACAGACCTGACGGTTCCGTGTTAGTTTTCAAGGGACGCCGCGAAGAGCCTACTGGCGCCTACGATCCTTCTTCGACAGCTCCCATCTCGGCCGCCGAACTTTCCAACGTCCTCACCGACACAGAAAGTCTAGGAAGATATCCAGCCATGGGCTATCCACCTAGCTCCAGCGTTGCGACTGGCGGCCACACGATCCCGATCCACGCTCACTCTCACCGCCCTCCACCATCTTCCGACTCTGCAGGCTATCGGCGATTACCTGATCGTCATGATGGTCACGACGATGGACGACCTGACGGAAGGCAAATAGCACACGGTGTGATGAAGAACCCTTCTCGTGCGTATGTCATGCTTGGGCGATGCTAACAATCGTCACGGATTGCTAACATTTCCTTAGGTGACCCTCCGGACAGAGATCCAAGCTCAAGTTCGAGCTCGGATTCGGGTAGGGCCAGGACGCCCGTTGATCCAGCCTATGGTTCGCTAGCTCCCCCCACGAAGCACTCGTCGGACGAATACCGGCAACAGTACGAAGCCATTGCTGGCGAAGTACATCCACCACCCTATGAAGAATTCGCTATTACACCATCACACTCCTCATCCAAATCACATTCGTCTTCAGCCCGCCGAACCACGTATTCTAATCCAACCCAGTATTCACCCTCCACGCGCAACGACCCGAGGCATGCGCGGAGTTCGAGGCGCGTGCTGACTCGACGATCGTCTTCGCAGCCACCCTCACTCGCCCAGACGCAATATGGCTATCCACAATCTCATCAATCGTCCGTTCCCTCTCAGACTCAGCACTACCAATTCCCTGGTTATCAGCAGCAATATCCTCAGCCCACCGCCTACCCGCTCCAGACCTCCCACTCGACGCACAGCGACAACCGACCTCCCTCTCGCTCACTCCTACGAAGTCTGGGATTCGGGATGAGAAGACGGTCCTCGTCTCATCCGCCATCTTTGCACAACCCCCAGCTGACCTTGGTGCCGAATTACCATGTCCAACCTCCGCCATCTTCAACTCGCAGCAGGCGCTCATCACATTCGAGCTATCACGGATACCAACAATCTGTCGCTCACTATCCACCGACCCCTGTGCCTTCGACTCACAGTCATCATCCATCCCACTCGCCGTACCACCCGCCGTCGATTATCAGCATCCACAGCCAGACGCCTTCCGCGGTTCCAAACTATCGGAGCAGAGCGAGCTCACTGTCGACATCGACCGCACATAGCCCCCATGGAACGGAGTTCAGGGATGCGTGGAGGGCGGGAGTGTATGGCGGCCCGCAAGGCCCACCGTCCATTGTCGCCAGCGATAGGAGTCGAAGAAGTCGAGCGAGCGACAGGAGTAGGGCCAGTGACAGAGATAGAGACCGGCGTCGGGACAGGGAGCGGGATCAAGATAGAGAGAGTAGGCGGAGTCGTAGTGAACATCGCTCTTCGAGGAGCGGGAGTGACTATGAAAGGGGCAGAAGTCGACCCCGATCTTCCTCCACGTCCAAAGCATCGATAACCTCACTTGCGCCATCGAGGAAATTGAGTAACGCATCCACCATCGTCGGTTCCACGACTTCAAATGGCTTTAGAGCTCGACACCGCGAGGACGTCGATCCGCCAATCTTGACTTCAGGTCCTATGCCGCAAGCTATCCCGAAGTCAGACCCTCGTCCATCGGATCCGATTCCGATAACGTACTCGAGAAGCGACTCGCACCACCTCCACAGCCAACACGTCCCTCCTTTCAACCCGTTCGCCTCCACCCCCTCGAGCACGAGCAAACTAAAGAAGGAGCGGCCGCGTTCGTGGAACCCTCCCTCCGCCATGGCTTCAGGTCACGCCAAATCTTCTTCAACGACTGAGAAGCACCCCCGATTCAAGCTGCCTAGAGATGACAGCTACATCGGGATCCCCGGGGAGACCTACAAAGGGTACCGGGTCTCGAATGAGGGGAGGTATGGGATTGTTGCACCTGGAGAACCAGTGCATCCTCGACACCGGATTTCCGAGGATGGATCGATCTATTCGAGGCCACCGCCTACGCCTCCCCCGCATCCTAGGCCGTTCGAGCTGAAGCCGTGGAGGTATGGACTCCCGTATGCTGCTACTGCGGGTGGTCAGATGGGAGCCGTATATCCGCCCATCTGACATCGAGTTTACCGTTAATGACTTTGGGACTTTCTTGTATTAATACTGTAACAGTAGCTATGTTATATATGTTTCTAATGGACGACCATGTGCGAGCATTTCCGTGTATTGGCACCTTGGTTCTGTCGACACCGGAATTAATTGTTGCTCCCGCCATCAGTGCGCTGTGTTCGGATCATCGGGGTTCTAAAGCCCCGCCCGCTGGCAGGGCGCTCAGCAGCCATCTGCTTTATTGCACTGATTACACAACACGGGCGAACCCTTCCAATCTACATAATGCTCGGATATATACGCGCCCACAGTTCCGTTGAATCTCCCCTGGTACAAGGTCAGGATCGGTCTCTGTGTTATTAGCGCTCAACTAACCAAGGAATTGGCGGGTATCCCCACCAGATGCCTGGAGCCGTTTGTTGCAGAAATGGCGTTGGCTACAGCCATTCCCAGGCTGCCTTTGTTCCCGGAAAGGCTCAACCTGCTGTCATTGAAGCACCGCGATACAGAATCAACCGTCCGCGGTGAGGCAGCTACGCTGTCACCTGCGCGATAAACGTGGGAGAAGCAAGGCTGTGCTTTCCTTCCCTATCATTAGGCGCCCAATGGTGTCTACAGCTTTCGACAGTCCACCACCCTCTTCGTGTTGACCACCCAGGTTGCTCGACCAACACCTTCTCCAACAGCGAGGTGAAAGCGCAATGTTCAGTCAATGCTCCAATTTCACGGTCGGGCAGATGGATGTGACCAACATTGAGGGGAATTATATCAACGTGGACTGCTCTGTCCATAACAGCAATGCCAAGATCATCGTCAACAACGGCGGCCTGAACGTTGAAGGAGACTACAGTGAGTCTTAACCCTTATCATCGCGGGACTACCACCATCGCGCTTATCCCTCTCCACGCCGACAGGCGACAATTCTACTCATTATCATCGCCCTGTCAACAACATTGGGAAAGCTACAAACGTTAACAGCGGTACGGTCTATGGTAAGTCCCTTCCAGACAAGATGTCTTCACTTCACAGTAGCTATAGCCAGCAATATAGGGAATGTTCATCAACAACAGAGCGCACGCCGCCCTTCTCATCCAAGGCCTCCCTGCGATCGCTCTCACGGATCCCGTGGAACTAGCCCTTCATCACCCCCTCTCCATGAGGACCATCAGTACAGGCCTCCCATCTCTCGTCTCGGGAGGATGAATCCTTATGCGACATCACCATCCAATGACTCGGAATACAGCGACGACGCGCACGATGCTCAACCAAAATCCGACCATTATGATAATACTTGGCCAAGGTCGGCACATGCGCAGGGTCCGCAGAGCTTCGTATCGCCGGGCGCTCACCATCGTCCGGTTTCGAGCTCCGCCGTACCTTCTGTCCATGAACGAACTCGACGGCAACCGAGTCCGTACGGGCACGTGTACAACAGGCCGCCTCGAGGATCTGGTGAAGATCTTAATTCGAGGTTCTATGGCATGGACCTACGCGCCGACGATCCTCCTTCGGATCCTTCAGATCGATTGTCTCCACGTAGCGCCCGTTACCCCAGCTCCCGCTCATCGCATCAGCGAAACCCACCTCGCGAGTTCTCCCGGGAGCCCACCCCCGAACTGGTCGAGGATGACTCCAGCTGGAGGAGGGAGTACGATGCCAGGCGTCCTCGATACTCGCGGAACCCCAGTCCTAACCCAGCTCCCTTCCCTCCTACTCCCCAAACAACGAGGGCCCAGGATACCTTCGACTACCGCCCCGCTCGACCCAAGTGTCACAAGCGGGGTGGGTACAGTGACAAAGAATGGCCGCAATCGAGCGACGACGATTCCGAGTGTTCACCCGAGGACAGATTGAAAAGGGGGTTGGAGAAAGTGCGAAATGCAGAGGATGCGATGGTGGCGGCTCAGGGAGTCCTGAGTGGGATCGCCATGCCTACGCTCAAGCATGCGCAAAGGCGCATGGACCAAGGACGCTGAAGGCTGTGCGCCCTTCGCGCCATGATAATCCTACCCCAGCATACACCTACTACTTACGTCCAGCCACGATCTTTTTCGCCGCCTACTAGTAATCAGCCACCCCTCCCAGTTCGTCACTTCGTCCATGACCTGCGCACTATGACGTCCGCTTTGCTCTCGCCGCTATCGATAACTTGCACTGCTATCCCGGCCTGTGTCCGTATTTGCTTTTCGTTCATGCTATGCTCTCATCGACGCTATCCACAAACTACATCGATTCTATCCTCCGTTCGCTTTCGGATTGACCTTGGTGTATAATACCTTACCACAATGAAGACATTAATTTATCTGGCTCGGGGCTTCTCCATCGCGGTAAGCGCCCAAAATGTGCTGTAATGTCGCGCGAGCCCCTACAGGCTCTGAGCCACAAGCTCAGGGTAGATGTCCAGTATTGGAAGGGATACATATAACGACGTATCCGCTCAAGCATCAGGATCTTATCCTCAGATACGTGCCGTCGATATTCCTCGATATCTACAGTAATTTCACAACAATCCCCCAGCCTACTCGATTGGGATTGATATTCTGGGAGACTACCGGCGGAGGTGAGGCTACCCTCCCTCTGGCGCACAGATAGAAGGAGCCTGAGTGACTCGAAGATGCATGATTCCCACACCGCCATTGGATGAGGGCTCTTCCATCGCGATAAGCGCCCAAACTGAGCTGCAATGTCGCGAGCCCCTATCTATGCGCCACATGCTAGGGTTTATTATACGGTATAAAATAGGATATTTCTCTCGACCTATGCTTCGTACCTGTCAAAATGATACCAGTCATTCGGGAGGGACGTCGAGGGTGTTTGTGCTGTGCGATCAGGACTCCTCGTGTTCACTCCTCGAGGCACAAGTGACCAGTGACAGATGACCTATGATTCGGAAAAGGGAAGGGTAATTATCAGATCTGTCATAGCTGAAGGGCTTCCCTGGATTCTTCCGGCAAAGATACTTGTAGATAACCCCAAAGGCATGGGGCAAACCGCGTACCAGCACCCCCCAAGGCGTGTACCTGCTATAGCGCCTACTACAGCCCATATCTTCAGCTCATTGTGATCATCCCTTCCCCCCCTCTTACCGTTGAAAACCGCTCTCCTGCTTGCCTTCCCATGGCTCCACGCAAAGGAAAGAAGAATAGCAAGAGCAACGTCGAACAGCCTCAGGCTGAGGGTCAGCGGCCAGTCGGGTGTTCGCCAAGGTTCGCTCATGCAGATTCGAAGGCCAAGGACACGGCGAAAACCACACTCGACAGTCTCAAGGAGACGACTAGGGAGATGGTTATCCGTGAACTTGAAGCTAACCCTGCGACCCGGGGCATTGTCAAGGACAAAGAGCGTCTAGACAAGGTCGTTGACGAGTGCCTTCGCGACTCACTGAAGAACTCCGAGAAGAAGATTGCAAACATATCTTACAAGGTGATGGATCGTGCCTGTACCAATGCGGTTGTGAACCCGAGCGCGTGCGAGATTCCAACTTTCCTTCATTGGTTCTGTTAACGCTTAACTGCCATTATGATAGATACACACCCCTTTCTCGGCGGCGGACGACAAAACATTGAAGGAGCTGGACGTCGAGCCATTGTGCATCGGTCCTCTGACAGACAAGCGCATTAAAGCTCTCACCGACCTGGTGTCCAGGAAGAAGAGTTCGGCCACCGTCCCCATCACCAGCGAACCCTGCCTCGTTCCAGATAGCAACAAGGCCCTTGTCGGCGAGGGAGAGAAGCCAAGGCCGGCGGAGGGAGATTCTACACCTCCGCGTCGGAGCAACCGAATAATCGACAAAACTGACACCGAACCTCTGGCCCACGTTGCGGAGAATGTCTGGAAGTCGGAAGGGAAGATACTTACAAGAAACTTTGAATATGTCATGTATCGTGTGGGACAAGCGGTGCGTGTTACTGCTCTTTCATTTAGAATCTTGGTTTGACTGTGTGTTAGTCTGAGGCGAGATCACGCACGTTGATCGACCTTCTCATCATTCACTCTGGCAGAACTTGCGAAGAGCAGTTTCGAAAGCCCACATTCAGCTTCTTGGAGCTAAACGTTGGTGACTCTGCTTTAAAGCATGGCGAAGCTGGAGGGCCGGTTGAAGTTCCGAGTGCCATTCGCGGCGGTCATGTGCTGTCTTTCACAGGGAGACTGGACTATGCAACAGCAGGAACCACTCCCGGTAAGTAACTTGTTATCGTTGTCCTGTCTTGTGGTCTCAGGCTTTTACCTTCTAGGGCTTGCTGGTAACCAACAAGACGTCATCCAGGTGAAAACCCTTGCGGAGCTACGGAAGGTCATTGCGGGTAAACTTCCTGGAGGCGACGGTTTCAAAATATGGATCTTGGAAGCCAAAAGGTTGATGTCGATCGATGAGTTGAACGCTCACCTCCCGCAAATTATTGCACAAACAATCGCCGTGTCAGTTCCCCGTCAACACCTTCCACAGAGGCCATCATTACTAATACATCTTTTTCTCAACAGAATGAAGGCCGCAAAGTGAGTTCCTTACTACAGTAGGTCGAACTTCAGTTTTCAATAAGCGACTCCGCGAATTAGATTGAGAAGTATCCCCTGGGTTTTAACCGACGGCACGAAGTATATATATGGCATTACGATTTACAATGGCCGTCTATACACGTGCTATCATTTCGAGTGCTACACTATCCCAACATCCGAGGCCGGCGTGGATATTGGTTGTTTGAAGAACGCCTGCATGATGCTTTCGTGCTGGGTATGTCGTATGTATCAACTTTCTGGGACCCCTGGTCTTGCACTGACAGTGAACGCCTTTGCTCCATAACCTTTAGACTCTGGCACCACAAGAGCTTGTGAAAACCTTGAGCTCGTGGGCACCGAAGAATGAAAGTGGCAACCAGAAAGGTTGACGCTATGTTATGGTCGAACTGTCGATTATTCGATGATTTGGAAGCCAAGTACTCTAAATCCCAACGCAGTCTATCCGAATAAAGTACATGATGGTGGCGAGATTTGAGGCGAGAAGGCGACGAGGCGTGTATAGTCGCCGTCTGCCACGAAAGAGCTGTCCATATCCCAGAACTCCCCTGGAAGGCTGGTGGACTGGTGGGAGCGAGGGGGGAGGTCGTCGTCCGGCCATTTGTAACAGACCAAGCTATCGCCATCTTGAGCGAGATACGCGCCTTTACGATAGCCGAACCATCGTCTGTTTGCGCCAAAGGGCATCGGGGCTTCCAAAAGGCGGACCGTGGAGACGTCAGAGTGTGTTAGTTTCTCGGTGTCCGTTGGGATAATCACTCCGAGGAGCACGTCGGCCGCGGCGAGGACCAGACGAATGGACCCGCGAGTGTAGAAGGGGCTAGTAAATGAATGGGGCGTGAGGAAGAAGTCGGACGACTGCCAGTCAGGCTTCGACCACGCGTCTGGTGAGTTTGCAGCAGCCAATTTTCTGCCCTGCTCCCAGTCCCAGATGGAAGCATTGTCGTCCATCAACAAAATTCTCCGATTGGGTAGTAGCAGGACATACTAAATAACAGTCAACCCGTGAGTGGAACTGGCTATGGTTTAAACGCGTCTCACCTCAAAGATGCTCGGTGGGCAGATTCTGGTCGTGGGGTCTCGTGGATCGAACGAGGTCCAATCGATGATCCTCACATCATGATCCATTGTGACGTATGCCAGATAGTCCCCGAGCAGCGAGCAAGGGCGAGAGATCCTTGCAGCCTCATCCCAGCATGCCAGGGCATGGCATTTTAGCCGAGTGCTCGAGTATCGAACGTCGCCGTCCTGAATCTCAGCGGTGATATCGTAAACCTCGATGAATCCCGCTTCGTATTGTGTCCGGCACACTGCGAGGCGAAAGGCGAGAGGGAAAAGGCGTGATTCCCAGGTGGCATCGGCCACTGGGATGTCTGGGTCGATGGGAATGCCCTGAGTTGCCAGAACATCCACGCTGATGCAAGCCCCAACGAGTAGTGGTCGTTTGAAGGGTGAAGGGAGGAGGGGAGTGAGAGTGGAGGCCAGGTTTAATGGATCGCCGTAGTACATGGTGCCTTCGTTCGATCCGTAAAGAAAGAAGCGATTGCCGGGTAATGCGGCCAAAGGCCCGCGCAGACCTTCAGGGTAGTCACGTACGGAGAAAATTCGAGTGGTGGGAGTCAAGTGTTCCCAACCGGACCACCATCCAACGATTCGTGCTTCCAGCTCTTCGCGTGTCGAGTATTGTAAAGGTTTTGACAGGAAGAATGGGCACGGGAACGCGGTCTCACAGTATCTCTTGAGAAGTGAGCACCAGACCTCGCGTTCCTTTGACGCTAGGTTGAGCGACCTGCAGCACTAAACTCGGTGTTGGCAGCGTGAAAGGCTGGATTGGAAATGGGATACATTACCTTCCTGAGGTTCAAAACGTCGTCCCACTCCAAATTCTTCATAATCTCGACAAGGATTTCATGAGGAAGTCGCGACAGCTGTAGAGGCTCGCGCTGAGGTCGATGCTATATCACGGATGAGCACCTCTCAGTTAACCGACGTATGGACACACCTTATACCAACGGAATGTTGGACTTCCTCTGACTATTATCAGCCATGGCACGAGAAGTAAAGTGATAAGAAGCAGAGGTCCTGAGAGCTCCAGCTTCAGAAGGACATCCTTCATTTTTGAAGACGTTGGACCTCTTCGACCGTGGTCAACCTGTCAGAATTCAACATAACCCGCTGGCAGGACCCGGGCCGCCGCGTGCGACATCAGCGGCATCCCAAAAACCTTGCCAGACCCCCGGCACAGAGACACCACTTAGGATCACAAGACACGGTACTTTCGCAAAATGTCATTGTAGTTTTGTCTAGTCTAGTAGTCTCAATAGATGCCTTCGACCACAAAGCCGAACTCAGCCCGCAGGGCGCGCCTCTCATTTGCTCTCAGGGTTCAATGGCATAGAGCCCTGAAGCACGCCTCCGCGATGAACCAAGCTTCTGGACTACAAGTTCACTTTGTACTGACAATGAGGGCCTCCTTATCCGTCACAACTTACACTGCGACACCAGAAAAACTTGCTTCAAACGTTACCTCGTGGACACGAGCGGCGAATTAAAGGAAAGTAATCAGAAAGGGTGATATTATATTTCCAGGACTTAGATATACAGTCACTTCCTGTCTGCACATGCCTGAGCCCCGGCGTTCAGGAGCTGGACCCACTGGAACTGATACTGATGCTGTGATCTCACAGAAGCAGTCCACGATTCAGAAACCTATATATCCAACAGTCATTACCCGGCCAGTGGGACAGCAAAATTGGAAACGTGTCGGAGAAATTCTGTGTTGGCCTCTCCGCAAAATAAACTTGATATTAAGATGTAAGATAGGTACAGGTACTAGAGTATGTAGTTAATCAATGGACTTGTGTAGTAAATGGACAGAAATTTGAAAATCAGTGGAAGTGCTTGTTATCGGCCCCATACCTAGCCGGGCCGTGACTGTCACATCAAGTCACAGATTGATGTGTCCTCAAAAGGCAAGGCCTCGTTAATAGTCCTTGACTTCCATTTCGTCGTCATATTCTTCGTTTTCATCCGCATCCTTCTTCTTTTCGAGTTGGACGAGGTGTTTACCGTTCAATGTGAGGTCAATTTCGTGACACATCGTGGAGAGGATGGTTTTTCAGACGTGTCGCGTCTTTCCCCTTTTGGTGTGTGACAGGTGCCATCACTGCTTGACCTCCCCCTCCTCCTCAAGATTAACGATTTCGTGGAATCCTTCTATTCAACTCATGTATATGCGCTAACGTAGTAGATACAAGCTGAAGAAGCACTGATATCCCTTTTTTTCGCTCCCAATGAACATAGATACGAATGAATCTTAAAAATACTGAAAAAATCACTTTTTCGACACCATCTACTGAGTATCGCAAGTGTTTCTTTAGACCGATAGTCTTCAAACTGCTATCCAGGGTGCATTATCTATCTATCTACCCCAAAACAATTTCTCCGATGGAGATTTCATGACACCCAAGTTACAAAAAGCATCCTTCCCACTGGGGGGTCACCGGTCATTTCCCACTGGCCGGGTAATGGCTGTAACTATCCAAACACAGTGCACGATGGTGGTGACTTAAACGAGAACGCGACGAGGCTTCGGTAGTCTCCGTCTACTTGGAAACAGCTGGCCATATCCCCGCACTGTCCGGGGAGTCGGATGGATTGGTGGGAGTGAGGAGGCAGGTCATCATCCGGCCATTTGTAACAGACCAGGCTATCGGAATCCTTAGCAAGATATGCGCCTTTACGATAACCAAACCACCGTGTGGTGTGACCGAGCGATGTCGGGGCTTCCAAAAGGCGGACCAGGGAGACGTCAGAGGGTGCTCGTTTCCCCATATCCGTTGGGATGATCACGCCAAGGATCACATCGTCAGTTCCTACTAGGACCAGTCGAATGGAGCCACGAATGTAAAAAGGGGATGTAAATGGATGCGGTGGATCGAAGAGGTCCGACGACTCCCAGTCAGGCGTCGACCACGCGTCCGGGGAGTTTTCCGCAACCAGTCTTCTACCCTGTTCCCAGTCCCAGATGGAAACGTTGTAGCCCATCAACAGAATTCTGCGATTGGGCAATAGCAAGACATACTAACCGGGAGTTAGTCCATGCATGGAACAGCTCGTGATTAAGTTTGACTGACCTTAAAGATGCTCGGTGGACAGATTCTAGTCGTAGGGTCCCGCGGATCGTACGATGTCCAATTGATAATTCGCACTCCATTCGACATTGTGGCATAGGCAAGATAATTGCCGAGAAGCGAACAGGGACGAGAGACGTTCGCGACCTCATCAAAGGACGTCAGAACATGGGACTTGAGTTGAGTGCTCGAGTATCGAACGTCGCCGTCTTGAATTTGAACCCTGATATCGTAAACTTCGATGAGCCCCGTTTTCGCTTGCCTTCTACACACAGCGAGTCGGAAGGCGAGAGGGAAAAGGCGTGACTCCCAGGTGGCATCGGCCACTGGTCGGATGTCTGGGTCGATGGGAATGCCCTGAGTTGCCAGAACATCCACGCTGACGCAAGCCCCGGCCGGTAGCGGTCCTTTGAAGGGTGAGGGAAGCAGGGGGGTGAGTAGTGTTCACCACGGGTAAACCCCGGGTCTGAAAGCCAGGACCCGGACCCGGACCCTGCCAAAACCCTACCCGCAACCCTGCGGGTTTTCCACAGGGTTTGAGCTTTATTTCGTCCAAAACAGCCTAGAAATGGACGAGCTATGCCTGATTTAAGTAAATTGAGCATAACCCGTCCATTTCTTGGCCGATTTGGACATGTAAGGGCTCGTTTTGAAGATCGCGGGTACGAAAATGCGTACCCGGACCCGGACCCGCCCTTAGCCCTACCCGAAACCCGCAGGGTTTCCCGTACCCCTGCTTTTCACTAGGGGTGAGCGTGGAGGCCAGGTCCAACGGATCGCCGTAGTACACAGTGCCTTCAAACGAGTCGTAAAGGAAGTAATGATTGCCGGGTAATGCGGCCAAAGGTCCGCGAAGACCTTCAGGATGGTCACGCACTGAAAAGCCTCGAATTCTGGGAGTTAAATGCTCCCAACCGGACCACCATCCAACAATTCGAGCCTCCAGCTCTTCGCGTGTCGAGTACTGTAAAGGTTTTGACAGAAAGAATGGGCGCGGAAACGTGGTCTCGCAGTATCTCTTCAGAAGTGAGCACCAGACCTCGCGTTCCTTTGACGCTAGGTTGAGCGACCTGCAGCACTAAACTCGGTGTTGGCAGCGTGAAAGGCTGGATTGGAAATGGGATACATTACCTTCCTGAGGTTCAGAACGTCGTCCCACTCCACATTCTTCATAATCTCAACAAGGATTTCATGAGGAAGCCGCGACAGCTGTAGAGGCTCACGCTGAGGTCGATGCTAAATCACGGATGAGCACCTCTCAGTTAACCGACGTATGGACACACCTTATACCAACGGAATGTTGGACTTCCTCGGACTATTATCAGCCATGGCACGAGAAGTAACGTGATAAGAAGCAGAGGTCCTGAGAGCTCCAGCTTCAGAAGAACATCCTTCATTCTTGAAGACGTTGGACCTCTTCGACCGTGGTCAACCTGTCAGAATTCAACATCGCCCGCTGGGAGGACCCGGGCCGCTGCGTGCGACATCAGCGGCATCCCAAAAACCTTGCCGGACTCCCGGCACTAGAGACACAGGTGCCTAAATGGCATTCCAATCGTCGCCTCTTACTTATTTACTCTCAAAAGCAAGCATTTACCGTACTGATATATTCTCATGTTAGACCTGGGTATCAAGTTTCTAACCCTTCGCCTTCTACTGAGAACAACCATCGCCTTCCTCAACAATTGTTGGAGCATGGCACCAAATAGTCTTGACAAAACTGCCTATCCAAAGATAGTGCATAAAGGTGGAGATCTAAGCGAGAACGTAACGAGGCGTGTGTAGTCACTGTCTGCCTCCATACATCCATGCATATCCCAGAACTGTCCTGGGAGCCTAATCGACTGGTAGGAGGGAGGAGGCAGGTCGTCATCTGGCCATTTGTAACAGACCAGATTGTCGCAATCCTTGGCAAGATATGCACCTTTACGATAGCCAAACCACCGTGTGGTATGCCCGAGAGGTATACGGGCTTCCAAGAGGCGGACCATGGAGACATCATGATCAGAGGGTGCTCGTTTCTCGGTATCCGCAGGGATGATCATCCCAAGCAGCACATCGTCGGCCCCGGCGAGGACCAGACGAATGGAGCCCCGAATGTAAAAAGGAGTTGTGAATGGATGGGGTGTATCGAGGAAGTCAGACGACCTCCATTGAGATTTCGACCACGCGTCCGGTGAGTTCGAAGCAGCCAACATTCTACCCTTTTCCCAATCCCAAATGGAGACATAGTCGTTCATCAACAAAATTCTCCGATTGGGCAGTAGCAAGACATACATACTAAATGAGAGTTAGTCCACAAGTGGAACAGCTCATGATTAAACTTGACTCACATCCTCGGAGGGCATATTCTAGTCGTAGGGTCCTGGGGATCGAACGACGTCCAATCGATGATTCTCACACGGTTTACCTGTGTAACGTATGCGAGATAATTTCCGAGAAGTGAGCAGGGGCGAGAGACTTTGAGAGCCTCATCATAGAATGGGGCATGGGACCTTAGCCGAGTGCTCGAGTATCGAACTTCACCATCTTCAACTTCGGCTGTGATATCGTAGACCTCAATGAAGGTCGATTCGTATTGTGTCCGACACACGGCGAGGCGAAAGGCGAGAGGGAAAAGGCGCGATTCCCAGTCATCATGAAAAAGCCAAGCCCCAGATATGAGACCAGAGACGCAAAAGTGCCCCAGCTTTAGAGAGATATGCGTACCTGGGAGGAGCTATAGATGTGGATCGGAGACCCAGATTTGTGAGTACTTTCAAATCTGTGTCTCTGTCCCACAGCTGATAGGTGGCCATATTTGCCCTATATCTGCTCCATATCTGGAGAGCAGCTGGTGCATATGGTCATGTGCACTCTCCCGGACCACTGTAATGATTTCACGAGGAGGTCCAGCGAATAATAACAGAATATCATTACAAGCAGTCTACTGTACAAAATCATACCCTCGTATAGTTGAGCCACGCTACAAGACAGATGTCAGACCTCAGAGGATGTCCATCGTGCCCGCCGTCGTCCAAAGGGCGTAAGAAGCCCCAGTGGCGCAGGGCGGGCGCGGACGTGCGGCAAAAGCGAGTCGAGCGCCGGCGATTAAGAGACACCATGACGAGGAAGAAGTCCGAGAAGAGGATTGCAAACATATCTTACAAGGTGATGGATCGTGCCTGTACCAATGCGGTTCAAAGGCTCGTTTCTGGAAAAAGTGGTGAACCCGAGCGCGTGAGAGATTCCAACTTTCCTTCATTGGTTCTGTTAACGCTTAACTGCCATTATGATAGACACACACCCCTTTCTCGGCGGCGGACGACAAAACATTGAAGGAGCTGGACGTCAAGACATTTTGCATTGGCCCTTTGAAAGACAAGCACATTTCAGACTTGACCAGCCTCGTGTCAAGGATTACGACACCGGACACCGCGGGCCCTACTCGCAGTGAACCCAGTCGCGTTCCAGACAACAACCGTCCTCTGGATGGCGATGGCGGGGAAAGGGAACCTGAATCAAACCTGGCGGAGGGAAATTCCGGGCATCCTCGTCAGAGTCGGCGACTTTTCGAACAAAACAATACCGAATACCTGACGAAGGTTGTGGATATTGTCTGGAAGCAAGAAGGGGACAGTCTTTCAAAGAACATCGATTATGTCCTGTGTCATTTCGGACAATCGGTGCGCCCTATCGCTCTTTTACTTGTAATCTACTGGGTTAACCGTCAACTTTTAGCCTGAAGCGAGATCACGAATGCTGATCGATATTCTTGTCGTATTTTCTGGCCGAATCTGCAAAGAGGAGTTTGACCGGTCTGCGTTCCACTTCTTGGAGCTGACTGTCGACGATGGTACTTTAAACGATTCAAAACCTGGAGGCCCGGTTGAGGTACCGAGTATCTTCCGTGGTCGCATACTGTCCCTCACAGGGAGACTGGACTATGCTACAGTGGCAGGAGACGGGGTCACGTCGGGTATATCGTCTGTTGTTGACCTGTCTTCCCGTTCTTAATATCTGATGTTCTAGGTCTCATTGCCAGTAGCCAACCAAGCCTCATCAAGGTTAACAACCTGGCAGAACTAAGGGATGCCCTTGCGGAAAAGCTTCCGCGAAACGCAAAAATCAATTTCTGGATCCTGGAAGCTGATGTCTAGCAAAGAGCTAGAAGCTCACCTCCCGCAAGTTATTGCACAGACCGTTGCCGTGTTAGTTCCCCGTCACGTCGCCCACAGTCACCATTGCTAATTTTCTTTCTCTCTTTTTTTTTTTTTTTTTTTTTTTCTTTTCTTTTTTCTCTTTCTCGACAGAATGAAAGCTACGGAGTAAGTTTCGACTTGAGTTTTGCTTTTCAACATTCGCTAAACGAGTCTATCTCCAGGTTGAAAAGAATACCCTGGGTTCTAACCGACGGTCTCAATTATAAATATGGCATTACAGTTGTCGACCAAGGTCGATACAAGTGTTACCATTTTGAGTGTTACAGTATCTCATCCTCGAGCGGGACTGTGGTGGACATTGACCTTTTGAAGCACACCTCCGCGATGCTTTCATGTTGGGTATGTCGAATCAAGTTTCTGGACCATTTCATCTTGTACTGACGAGCGCCCCCTTATTCGTCATAACTTAGACTGCGGCGGCACCAGAGAGACTTGCGATGAACATTACCTCGTGGGCACGAGCAGCAAAGGAAAGTAATCGCCATAACCAGAAAGGGTGACATTTATGGTTGTGATTGAGTAGTAGCAGTATATGGGTCAGAACCCTATGTATCCAATGCTGGCTATCCAAATACAGTGCACGTCAGTGGTGACTTGAACGAGAACGCGACGAGGCGTCGGTAGTCACCGTCTACTTGGAAACAACCATCCATATCCCCGAACTGTCCCGGGAGCCGGATGGATTGGTGGGACTGAGGAGGCAGGTCGTCATCCGGCCATTTGTAACAGACCAGGCCTTCGGAGTCCTTACCAATATATGCACCTTTACGATAACCAAACCACCGTGTGGTATGACCGAGCGATGTCGGGGTTTCCAAAAGGCGGACCGTGGAGACCTCAGAGGTTCCTCGCTTCTCGGTATCCATTGGGATAATCACCCCAAGGAGCACATCGTCAGTTCCTACTAGGACCAGGCGTATGGACCCGCGAATGTAAACAGGGGATGTAAATGGATGCGGTAGATCGAAGAAGTCCGACGACTCCCAGTCAGGCGTCGACCACGCGTCCGGGGAGTTTTCCGCAACCAGTCTTCTACCCTGTTCCCAGTCCCAGATGGAAACGTTGTAGCCCATCAACAGAATTCTGCGATTGGGCAATAGCAAGACATACTAACCGGGAGTTAGTCCATGCATGGAACAGCTCGTGATTAAACTTGACTCACATCGAGAATGCTCGGAGGGCATATTCTAGTCGTAGGGTCCCCCGGATCGTACGATGTCCAATTGATAATTCGCACTCCATTCGACATTGTGCCATAGGCAAGATAATTGCCGAGAAGGGAACAGGGATGAGAGACGTTCGCGACCTCATCATAGGAAGTCAGAACATGGGACTTGAGTTGAGTGCTCGAGTATCGAACGTTGCCGTCTTGAATTTGAACCGTGATATCGTAAACTTCGATGAACCCCATTTTCGATTGCCTTCTACACACAGCGAGTCGGAAGGCGAGAGGGAAAAGGCGTGACTCCCAGGTGGCATCGGCCACTGGGATGTCTGGGTCGATGGGAATGCCCTGAGTTGCCAGAACATCCACGCTGACGCAAGCCCCGGCCGGTAGCGGTCCTTTGAAGGGTGAGGGAAGCAGGGGGGTGAGCGTGGAGGCCAGGTCCAACGGATCGCCGTAGTACACACTGCCTTCAAACGAGTCGTAAAGGAAGTAACGATTGCCGGGTAGTGCGGCCAAAGGTCCGTACAGACCTTCAATGTGGCCGTGCACCGAAAAGGTTTGAGTTGTGGGGGTCAAGTGTTCCCAACCTGACCACCATCCAACGATTCGAGCCTCCAGCTCTTCGCGTGTGGAGTGCTGCAAAGGTTTCGACAGGAAAAACGGACGCGGAAAGGTGGTCTCGCAATATCTCTTGAGAAGCGAGCACCAGACCTCGCGTTCTTTCGACGCTACATTCAGAGACCTGCAGCACTGAACACAGATGGTCAGACTAAGCAACTTCCATTGTGAAATATCGGACACGCGCCTTCCGGAGAACCAAAATGTCGTCCCATTCCACATTCTTCATAATCTCGACAAGGATTTCATGAGGAAGGCATGAGAGCTGTAGAGGCTCAGACAGCGGTCGAAGCGACTTTTGCTGCATCACAAGTGAGTACCTCTCAGTAAATCGACGTTTGGACGCGCTCCGGCTTGAGAAGTACAGCTTTAAGCTTCCTCGCTGAAGACGGTCAAACCAGTCAAAAGTCACGTGGTAGATTCTATCCCACGTTCATTTTCGGACGACGGAATGTCCTTCGTGTATAAAATGCCCTACCACACTGCAGACATCGATTGGACATCGATCAGACTCATGAATGAAAACCTTTGAATTTCGCAATGTCTCGAAAGAGCCACTCAATCAATCTCAGTCCTCGATATTCAGCCTCCCTTTTACCCCTTTCTGGAATGCTATCAGTGGCGACCTCATGGATGTGGACTTCCTGGTGTCAGAAGTTTCGAATAAGTACATATGTAGTTAGCGACATGAAAAGTGTCACTGGGTAAGCCAATTTTTTACCCTATCTGGAACCCCCAATGAAGAATTTCTCCTATTCTAGGTGCTTACTTTGGGCGTTCCCGCCAAGGCTGTTCGAACGTGGACATTTGAACTTCGAAGTGAACAAGTGGGCGCGATCTGGCCTGCCGTTCCTTTCACCCCAACCTGTCGGGTGATGACCAGATAGGCTTTCTGTCGTTTGTGGGAAACTTTCTGCGTTCACTCTGTCACGCTGACCTGATGTCTACCAGACCGCGTTTCCAGATGTTGGAACAAGACTCACGAGGCGAGGTTTCCAGGACTGGGGAGACGCTTTATCGGGTGCGAGCCGTGATGAGTACCTCGACTTCCCCCAACCCTTGCCGGCGCTTGTCAGTGTTTTCTATCTCCCAGTGGACTCCCATCCTCCAGGCTCCCATAGAGGCGCCCAAAATCGTGGGTACGATACAGTCCGCCTCATGTTTGCCTCACCGTTGGAATCTAGATGTGGTCTGGTGAAATGCTGTGCCATTTCTCTCAGTCATTATAAGGCGGTTAGGAAGTTTTTTCTTATTCCCCAACTCCCATCATGCTCAACCACACGACAGGCACCACCATAAAGGGCGGTCAGTTCACCGAGGTTCGCGGTGACTACTCTAGCATCGACGCTTCAGACAAGAGGAGCAGGACTCACGTCGTGCATAACCACGCGATGCATGAGAGATACGCCCACCACGTCGGGGACGTGTATCACGGTTCCGTAGGCAGCGTCCAAAAGGGCATTCACCTCCACAATGCGCCCGTCAGTACGACCAACGACTTTGGAGGGGGGTTTCCGACGTCGCCCTCTACATTCGGGTCCGTCGATCGTACGTTGCCTTTCTATTAACAGCAATTCACGTCTCTCATTAAGCCCATACGTTTCGTCATCGCTTACAGACAACCTCTCGCCTGGTTTGGCTCTACCGCGGCGAGTTGAGAGAGCGCGATCCCCTTCTCGAAGGGACACCGAACCCCCGCAATATCCCAGGTTGCCTGCAGGGGCCCATTTGGAAACACATACCCAGCAACCGACCTTCAACGACGGCCGTCAACAGGAACGTCCGGCGTTCTTCGTCGTAGATTCAGCCACTGGAGGTGAGTCGTATTCGATGCCCATTATGCACACCCTATTTATCGCCAACCCCCGCTCCAGAGCGTGTCTCGCCATCCGTATCTCCCACCACTGCATTCCCGAGTCCTCGACAAAGAGGATATAGCGACAGACCATCGCCCATATCCACAATGCACGACAGACACTACTTTGACAACGTGTATCGCAGCTCCCAGCAGCGAGATTCCAGCAACGTTATCTCGAACACTCCTGGGGGGTGGTACTGCCAGGAGCATAACAGCGTCGGGTCCACTGGACGAGCTTCTACGATGCCAAGCCCATCACATGCACCAGGCGACTCGCACCCGGGCGATTATCACAGGCAGAGAAGTGAGTCACTGCGCTGCAGTAAAATGCCTCTCTGACCCTTTGGTATGACTAGATGGCTATGGGGACAACCAGGTCCCCCCTCTCGAACATTATGGAAGGAGGGACCCTGTTCTTCAAGGGACAGCCGAGTTCTCAGAGGAACCCGCTGATGATTTCTATCTCGACCACCAATCGCGTCCAATGGAGAAGAGGCCCAAGAATAACCCGTTCCTAAACTCGATGACAAAGGGACGGAGTGATTTACATTGATTTTCCATACCCTTTGAGCACCCTGTATAACATATTCTACATACAGACTCTAGCTAGAACTTAAAAGTACCTTCAGCATTCGAACAGGGTTTTAGCTGAGGAAATAGGATGGATCGGACACTCGGTTACATCCGAGCTACCGCGCGAAGCTCTGGGATGGACTACGGACCATTGCCTCGGTGCGATCGCCAGCAGGGGAATGAATGACGGTTCACAGCCTCTATTCTTGTCCTGGCAAAAGGCTGTGGAGAGAGCTGTAAAGTGCTGGAACTGTATTCAAGCACCATGTTCCCGGGTGGCACGTGCAAACGCAGATGAGGTGCATGTGACTGCTGTAAGTACGGATCGAAGAGTTCATTCACAGCAATGGATACTCGTATTGCATTATCACCTTGCTTCTTTGAAGAATACTATCACTCTGCTCCGACTGTATCGTTCCAACCCTCCCATCACCATCCACCGCTATCAACTGTCTAGAGCCTTCACCGAACGAAAGAAGGCAGTGGATAAGTCAAAAGGGAAGCATCACTGCCTTGGTAGGTTTCCGCAGATACTGCTTTTCATCTTACCAGGAGCCAGTGCATCTCAGGGTCTCGAGATTTGAAACGGAAGCCTGTACATATTGATTTCAAACCATAACTTTCGGGGCCGAAAGTCGCTGTCGAGTTTTCCATCCGCCAAGCAAGTGAGGCTGGGAAGCGCTGATGAGACAATTGGAAACTTCGCTGGGATGCCGACGCCCATGACCCCTTGAAAGCTGGGGACAACGACACGAATGGTGTCGAAAGTGAGGAATAGAGTCATCCACTATATGTTCAGGGTAATTCATCGCTAGTTCAAGCTCGGTTGAAAGATCCAAACCGCGAAGGAACGTAACCCGTGAAATCACACCACCCACGCACGTCAAGCGCCCGGAAGAGACAGGCGCCAAGCACCGACTCCAAACTTCAAGGCGACTACTAGCTACGGGGGAAGCTTCTCTGATTTGCTCCGTGCCTTCGTCAGTTCATTTGTGGGATGATTTGATATATTGAGGCAATATCGCACCGGGTTCTTGGGACACGACACCCAATTCGATTGGAAGAGATCACCACGTCTATCACGCATGTTTCAAAACAGCCTTGCGTTAACCTCGTGTGTTCTTTCTTTCTCCTCCAGAATAGGCCCTTTCGTGATTCCGCCGCTTCTATAAATACGAGTCAGCGCAAATGGATCCTTCAATACAGGTTCCATTCGCTCTTCACAAACATGTCGTTCTTCCACAAAGCGCAAGGAACTGTCGTGAACGATTGTCGCTTCTCAGTATCCGGCGACATTCGCACCACTCAGGACGACCGCCAGCATCTGATGCACAGTGTCCACCGGAGATCCTTCAGGGAAGGTGATCGCTTGCATCTTGGCGACCAGTACCATGGCACGGTCGGTTATGTTCAGCGCTCAGGCGAACACTACGCCCAAGACCACGATCCTACATTCGATTCCATTTATAGCACTCGCCGAGAATTCACAGGAGGTACCGATATGCCTCGATTGTGCTCGAGTTGATTCTCATCAGGCTGTCCTCTCAGCGCGTCGTCGTTCTGAGCAAAGGGATCATCGACCACGCCGATCAATTGAAGCTCCGGGCTCATATAGCCATCTACTCAGTGCAGGTACTGTCATTTTATCGGCATTCAGAGCTTTGCGCTTGGACTCAACTTTGTATCTCAACCAGCCGCCACCTCACCAAGCCTGCCACAGCAGGAGCCCTGGCCTCCATCGTCCTTCCCTTCCGCCCACGGGACGCGTACGTTTGAACCTCTGCTTTCTTTTGGATTATGGTTGAAGAAGGCGTAGCTCCTTACTGCCCTCCAGTGGACTCAGACATCTCCAGCGAAGACACGGATGAAGATGACCATCCTCCGGCATTTCGGCTGCTCCCGTTGGTCCATGGTACGAGCCCACCTATGACCCCGCCTGATTACCCCATTCGCGCACCCAATGGCGTACCGTCCGCTCAAGATTCACCCTATCAAGGCTACACCACCGCCCGACCACCCCTTCAGGCTAAACCGGCAATGTCTGGGGGATTTGAGTATCACCAAATCTCTCGGACAATGACTATGCCGGTGCCTGAGCACTATGGTCCACAAGGTGATTTCTCAGTGACATCCATTCTCACCGCCATTGCTTATACTCGTTCAGGCGGCTATCTGGAACCACCTCCTATAATTCAGCGACAGCCCTCGAGTCCTGCATTCTTTATCGCTCCATCCGGAGAAGGATCAGCGTCGGACTGGGATTCGCAGTCCGCGACGGAGGATGAAGTACGGGGGCCAACTCAATACTCGTCGCAACACTACAGTTACAGTCGTAGGCGGTCCCACTATTAAGCGGTAGCCCGAGGAGACAAACCGCTGGTCGTCTCGGTCCCGAAGCTGTGCCTTTCATTTGAAGGGGAGAACGAGCGCTGGTTCCCTCGATGGGGTCACTGAGCGTAGCTCTTTCGTAACGTTTCGTAATCCCTACTTCTTACCATGGACAGCTTACAACGTGCTCAAACTCATGATTCAATACCTATCTCTACAAATACATAGTCGTTGCGTAACAGGACATACGAGTTATTTAATGAATACAAATGCGGTCCTTGACATCAAGACCGTGACCATCGTCGTTGAGACATAAAAACATTCCAGCCTTTCCTGGCTTTCTGCGCCGTGCCACCGTCACCTTCATCGTGGTTAGCGCCGTAACCTATGGAAGTTCCGGAACTTCAAGTTCAGGCGAGACAATCAACCACGCGGAATCCTTTCTCTTCTCCTCCTTCTCCAGCTCCTGGGGCGAAACAATGAGCCATGCGGGGTCTGTGCGGACTTTCTCCGACTCTGGCTCGTCCAACACTTGTGCGTCCACGATGAGCCATGCTGCGTCTTGCCTTGTCTCGGTGGATTTGGTCGCTTTTACGTTGACCGCATGAGAAGGGTCTCTTGGAAGCACTGCGTCTATGCTAGGTGACCGCCGTTGCACGGACCCGGGGTCTCCTATAATGAAAGAATAAAGTTATTACGAACATCTCGGACTCGTCTCGGAGGTGCCTTACCTGAGGTAACCACGGAGACAGGCCTAGAAATAACCTGCGAAAGCGAGGATAGCAGGTACAGCGAGAATATGCTCCTGAGTAGCATTGCAAGTGGTGGTTCAAGATGAAGGAAGGGCTGTCGCCTTTGTTGCGAGGTGAAAAGTCGACTTGGCCGGTTTACCTTTGAGGCTTTGAAATACGAAGAAGCCCGCACCCATGCTTAAATAACACTTTCGGTGAATTCTCGACAACCCGAGCTTCGTTCGCATGGCGAGCCATTGCTTTCTCAAGTCCTCACAACGCTTAGTCGCTTCTTCGAAGCTGATAATCAGCCACCATGAGATACCGGGAACAAATGGCAACACATCAATCGCTTCTTCGAACCTCTTCGACTCCATTCAACGGCTAATAGCGTGGCAGGAACCTAGCAAGACGCCATACATATTTCCGAGATTTAAACTTGACCTCGACTCTGCCTTTGTTGAGCTTATCGGCCTCCAGGCTCAACATAAAAGTCGACTTCAGTGGAGGCACACGATCGACGACGGGCGGGATTTCCCCCTTTTGGGATGCCCGTGATCGACCCCGACAATTGTGGCCGTTTCCCGAGTGTCCCGCCCGAGGTGGACTTGACCGTCACCCGCCAAGGCCCTCCAACTAGCTCGGCCACTGGCATGGACGCTGAGCATATCACGAGGAAAATCCACCGAAAGGGAGCGACTCGAGAGGCAAGTCCAATCAAATCATAGACCGGCGATTAGTATCACTCATGGATTTAATTGAATAGGGGAAAAACCCGACAGGCTTTCAATTCTCGAGGTCGAGGATTTTCCACGTCACACTGTCTAACTCCACCACCTCTTCCAGCCCCTCGAGAGCTCACTATCTCCCTACGCAATCGACCCTCGAGGGGTCCTGCATCACCTCCCAAACTCCAAATTTACCTCGCATTACCCGCATACCTCCCAATTGATTCTCATGGAACACCATCCAGGCACTTTTTGGACAGATGGAGATTATCCTTTTTGGGCCTCATGATCCCATACACGCCTTATCCTGGTTACTGAGGAAAGGAATCATTCAGGAGGGGGACATAACTGATACGCACATCATCACATCCCCATCCCTCTGCCCAGCGGTGCATGCCTTACTTACTTATGTCATGGGATATATCTACCGAGCGACCAATACAAACCAGGGTTCCCCTTTTCCGACAACACCGACACCTTCTTCACCTTCTATCAAGGTCCCACTGGAGTCCCAGGGCGCCGTGCTTCTTTTCCCTTGCTGTTCGCCCCTTTCTGAGCGGTCGTTCCCTTTCGCGATCGCCGGTGCGAGCTTCAGTGCGCTATGAATAGCCCGCCTTTGGTCGTAGCAGTGGAGTCGACCATCGACATTGGCAAGACGTATGGCGCGCTGCTGCTGGGTGCCGCTGGATCGTTCGGGTGCGTTGTTCATTATCATTCGCGTGCGGAGGGAAGGCGCGTTTTTCTCAAGGTTGGTCTCGTGGACGGATGGATGTAGGTTGAGCGGGGTTGTTTCGACCCAGTGTGTGGTATTCTACAAGCGGTATCCCAAGGACTCGCTGAGGACGAAGTTGATGGTGTGTGCATTCTCGTTTGTTTTTTATCAGGTCGTGTGCTACATGAGCGGCTAACCGTGATTGCAGGTTGGAGCGTCGTGGTGGGTAGCGTTATGGATTCAGCAACCTCCTACCGAGCCTTATAGATCATCGAAGGATACTGGATATCGCACACACTTCGTTCGTCTTGGTGGCAATCTACGACTATTTCGTGAAAAACTACGGTAACGCTGCAAATGTGGACAGTATTCCTTGGTACGTGATTTCCTTCCCCTCATCCATGACCTCGGTCTCATCTGACTTCATCTCAGGTCTCTCGCAGTAAGCTTTACCATCTAATGAACCTACTCATACTGATCCTGTGTAGCTCTCCATCGTAGTCACTGTAGGCTCTCCCTTTCTCCCGTTCCACAACTCTGGGAATTTACATCTCCAAAGGCACTGCAAACACTGCTCGTCCATTGGTGAGTATCCATTCTCATCGTCCCACTGAGCCATGTCTGACTCTCCGCCCCCAGTTTCTTCGCAGAAAAGATTCTACGCTGTGCGTTTACCTACCTTTCATCTCCATCTACACGGGGTAAATTGACTACCATTCCCCACAGCGAGCCGGAATAACTGGTTTATTACCGCGCCTATTGTGCGTCCAGAATTCCTTCCCTTTCCTTGCACTTTCCTCGAAATTTAATTTTTGAATCGCATCTCGGAATATAGCTCATACTCGCCGTGCTCAGGCTAGGTGAGCAGTTAATCCTTCGTGGCCGCAGTAGGCAACCTGACCGATCGTCACGTTTTGGGACTTGATTAGTATCTGCCACCAGTAGGTTTCCCTGATTACTCTACTCCCACACCAACCTATCACTCAGCTTACCCGGTGTCCAGTCACGACTGCCAACATGTAAGCCTCCCATCCTTCATTCAATTCGAAGTCCGGGGTTTGATGTGGCTGGTATGACGCGTTGCCATTAGGATCCGGCTAGGCCGATTCTCGTCATTCATGGTCGTCTTTCCTCGGGTGAGTACACAAGCCGGAAATCGCATGATTTGAAATGATATGTACTCACCTCACCTCGTCCTCGCCTCCTCCTCCAATTAAATTCTGGATGTAGACGATGTTCACGACAGGCCTCACACTCTCCGCTGCCATCGACATCCTTATCACCGGATGGCTCTGCTACTTTCTCAGAGAGATTCGTACACGGATCGGGCCTCATGCTACAGTGTAAGTGTATGGACTCTCCGCGATTCGCACACTCGACTGAAGGCTCACATCCGTCTTTGAATTCACTACCATAGGATGATCCGGATGGTGGACACCCTCACACTTTACACACTCGAGAACGGGGCTTTGACTTGGTACGTCCGTAGGAGGACCCACGGATTCGCACCGTTTTACTGATCGTTATTATCCTTTTGTTTTGGTGGGATGATAGCTTCGCTGCGATTGCTTCCCTGGTCTGTGTGAGTACATGGTCTGTTCTAGACGGTTCCCACTCTCCAGAGCCGTCCATCGCTTTTCCTCTACCTTCCCACCAATCAAATTCAATCCTCTTCGGGAGTCGAATCAATTGACTGACGAATGGCATACGTATCTCTTGTTTGCAGTGGCTAACAATGCCGCACAACCTCATCTTCATGGGTCTACATTTCGTCATTTCCAAACGTGAGTCCGTCCATGCACATCCAATATCCTTTCGAAGTTGGAGACACTAACATACTTAACGGCACTTCATCGTAATAATTCTGATGTACGAACGAACGAACGAATACAGTATACGCCAACTCCCTTCTGGCTTCTCTCAACATGCGGAACGACCTTAAGCAAATCCAAGGGCGGTTAAGGATTAACATTACAGGCCAGACGACGGATTATGGGAAGGACGATGGGAGTCCTGAGTCGGCCCTTCGGGTGGGTGCTTCCTTGAAAATTTCTCTCGTTCATTCGTTCTGTTTCATCCCCTTCGTATTCTTAAATTTTTATGACTCGCGGCCTTGTGCATTTGCGTGCAAGTAGTGGATGGACGAGTGCGGCACTAGAGCGCTCATCACCGCCGCCGGCGCTTATTGGTGCTATCATGTACCGAACTTTGCTTTACCTTGGTCCTGTGCTTCTCTGTCGATCTTCAGGGTGACCACATGGTTGTCTCTGATTTAATAATGATTTATCATTTTTGTTTTTCGAGCTTCTTTTCTACATCTTCTTCCACACCGCTATTTCGGGATCACTTCGGGCGTCTGTTCAGCTCCCATTTTGCACTCTCCTATTCAACCTATTTCTGTGATGTATAGTGTACTAGGGCTGACACCTGTTATAGATTCAAAACAGCAAATCAATAGCGAGTACCAACTCGACGCATTACGACTACAATTACTATGGTCAACGAGATGGTTTGTCGAAGTCGAACCAGTACACGCTCTCTGATCTAGGCAACGCCGGTAGAGGTAGGAATCCCACTACTCGATACATATCCAACGACGCAGGAGCAAGAGCAGCAGAAGGGGCAGAGAGAGAAGGTAGACCGCGGATACGAAGACGAATCCCACAAGAACCGACGACGATTATCCAGTTCAGGCCTGCTTCGTCGTATTATTGGAATGTGGTTGCGCACCGGGTGCAGGGTGGGGGGTTGGCGTCGGGTGGGCAGCGAAGTGGTGGACTCGGAGGTAGAGGAAGAGGGGGAGGAGGAGGAGGAGGAGGAGGAGGAGGAGGAGGAGGAGGAGGAGGAGGAAGTGGGGTGTTGCTGGAGGAGGGACAGGCGAGGGGACACGGACAAGCGGAGGGAGAGGAAGACGCCGAGGTGCAGAGTCAGAGTCAAAGAGGGAGAGAGGGTAAGGATAAGGATGTGGAGGAGGGGATGGGTAGAGAGCGAGAGGGAGTGGAAGAAGGAGAGGGGGGAGAAGAGGTAGAAGGGAACTTGAAGCGTCCGCCTACCCGACATGGCCCGCCTCCACCGCCGCCTTCGAGTACTTGGAGAACGTCGTATCCCCCGAGACCATCGCATTCTGTGAGCTCACTGTCTCATCCTCCAAGTCGACCTTCGACTTCTGCCTTGACTTCACCATCGGCCCCGCCTTTGACTTTGCCCTCAACTTCACCCCAAGCACCGTCTTAGACTTGAAGGGCAACGTCGATTCCTCCAGCTACAACTTCTCGACCTCCTTTGTCGAGCCAAGCCGTCAAAAGGAACTCGAGATCTTGAATATCGCGGTCTCCGCTTCTCGAAGATCCTTCGTGAAGGCTGATTAACCTAGCTGGTTTCGAGGGCGTGCTTAGGTGGATTCGAGGACGGATCCGAGTTACTGGGAGTAGTGTAATGCTTACGGACTGATGGACCTGGGTGCTGGAGATCTTTGGGTGTTGACGACGACATTTAACGACAGAACAAGACTATCCCGCATGAAGTTGTAGTTGTATCTAGTCATTATCATGGACACGGACATTCGTGCCGTTACTGTTTTGTTTTCGTGCTTTCCACCGATTTCATCAATAATGCTATCATGTTTTCACATTTCGGAAGGCATGTATTCTGGTGGGACCAAAAACGTCTGAGCTGCAATGTCCATACATTGAAGGAAGGCACCTTTCGAGACGTATCCACACGTCCAATACAAATACACGTTCAGGTCACAGTCCAATGTCCAAAGGTCAGCCATCGCATTTACTTCACACCCCCAAACCCCCCCTGCCTCCTAATCGCATCCGCAATCTGCTTATCCTTCATCTGCTCAAACGCAGACTCGTTATCCTGCGGTCCCTGACCTAGGAACTTTTCCTGGACAAAGTCGACACCTGTAGGTAGGTGGGTGTTAGTAGGTCTGCGTCTTTCAGAATCGGCGACGAAGAATGCCAGAATCGGTGACCAAGAGTGGTAAAACTGGCGATGAAGAAATTGAAATGCTCAAAAGGCCACGTTACACGAAAGATGGCAAAGGCACTGAAAAAAACGCTGAAGAACGAGAAGGACTGGGGAGGTATAAAACATAAAAGAAAGAAAGAGAAAGGGCAATTCAGAGTGTTTGAGAGGCTACGAATGCGGTACCTCATATCCACTCCTCAACATCATACTGCGGCGCAACGGGAAGAAACAACAATCCAGATCTTCGTGAAGAATGACGCGAACCTTTGTCGACGAAATCTACACCAGAAAATCCATCAGTGTAAATCCTTCACCGATACCAATGCAGGAGACTCTTACCCTCGTTCTGTTCAGCCTTGCGTCCTCCACCCGCAGCTTCGTTCACGCGACTCATGAATCCACCACTAGATTGTTGCGCGCTGGGTTGGGCCTTGTTCGACCCGCCACTGGCGAGGTTGCTCTTCAAGAAATCCATTGGTGAAAGTGTTGAGTGGATTAGTGATAAATTGGACGATTGGGTCAGTGGTTAGAGAGTGGACGTTGCTGGATAGAATGTAGACCAGGCAACCACCATCTTATAGAAACCCGAAGCGCAGCTTCCGCACCAAAGACTGACGACAATGTTCCACCCATGACACATGTTCCACACCAACTCCACAAAGAAGCAAACCCACCCACCCAAAAATAGCAGCACTCAACGATTCACTCCAGCATCTGTGCGAGTCATCATCAGAATTACATTTTGTGTCATGGACTTCGTGAACTACATTGCAGCATGGAACGAAGAAGAACGGAATCGGCAGTAGGATAAGCACCAGGATAGAAACAGGAGACCGCATCAGCTCCCAATCAGTCCCCTCCTCATGGGACTGTTGGTCCAAGCGTGCGGGGCTTCATGTTATGCATTACGGCCCCCTGACACCACAGCACCATCCCATCACCGTCCACTCCTCCACCTCCACCATACGCCCAACAATAGCCGTCGTCGAAAATATCGAGATGTGATGCGATTAGTAGAGGCGGATGGGCTTGCCCATGGTGGACTTGATGTGGAGGGACTTGACGTTCTGCCAGTTCTTCTTGAGCAGGGAGACCAAGAAGTTGATGCCTGAAAAAGGGTTCAGTGTCGAGAAAAAGGATGGAAAGTGGGGTGGGGACGCACTAAGCATGACGTTGGTGAGGACCTGGTCGTCGTTCATGTTGACGTGGCCGACGGCAACACCCAAGCAGAGGACCTTCTTGAGCTGGAACTTGATGGTCGAGCGGACCTCGGCGACCTTGTTGGTAAGGTCCTCAGCGTGCGACACGGGGGTGGGGAACTTGCCAGCTGCGGGACTGTAAGCTGGGAGTTGAATCTGCAGATAAGATGGAAACGTACCCTTGGAGAGACCGGGACCAAGGAGACGAGGGATCTGACGGATGAGGGCTTCAGAAGCAAGGAAAGCATCGTACTTCTTGGCCAACTTCTTGACCAACTTCTTGTTCTTGTTGAGCCTAGCGAGGATATGTCAGAATCTCTCCCAATAATACAACAGAAAAAAAGGACGCACTTCTTCAAATCATCGACGGACATGTACTCGAGCTCAATCTGCTTGGCACGATCGATATCGTTGGCATCGGCGAGAATGCAGATGGACATGCGGGGACGGGGGATGTTAGGGAGCTGGACGGTTCCAGAGAAACGCTTGTCACGCTGGGGGTCGTAGTTCTTGAGACCAATCTGCAACTCGATGGTCTCGACAAAGTTTCGCTTCTTCTCGGCGGATTCAGCGAGAAGCTCTTTAATAGAGCCCCGCACGCTTGACACTGAGAGCTTGCTTCCACTGTAGGCGGTGGTGATCAGCACTTGAGGACATCGTGCACGACGGTGCGGGAGCGTACCTCATGCTTTTAGATGGCCTTGACGACGGCGGAGACGGTGAGGAGGATGTTTTTGATCGCTTACTCTGCGGTGCTGTGTTGTGTTGATTCCTGCCGCGATCGGTGGCTGGGTACTGTATAGTCCGGCATCTCGGCTTGATCCGACTGCCTCTGTGCTTTGTCCGCCGACTCTAGACCCAGCCTTTCAACTTGACTCCCATCGCACTCTATTCGACATCGGTATACCGATCTTGCCGGTCTGCCAGTCCTCGTGTAACAGCACACCTGTCTTGTTATCTTTACACAACTCGCACAATGCTGGGAAATCTGCGCAGGACTGGTGCAAAGGCTCTCCGCGTTGTCTGCTGTAACCTCGGATCGGAAGCCTCCTCGGGAAAAACGCTATTCTCATATGTTCTAATTCTATTCTTCAATCTGTCTTCAGCCTGTCCTGAATCTGTCTTGAACCTGTCCTGAATCTGTCTTGAATCTGCCCTGATCTACTCTACATCTGTCGAAGACTCATAATCTCTCTTGAATCCTCGTGGAAGACTCAGAACCACGATCCAGACCCTTCTGCCATAATTAACTCGTACCGACAAAGTTCCAATTCGAGGGTATCCTTTCCCAACCCAGGGTAAACCATCACATAAGCATCAAGGACGGGCGACGCACGCTTTTTTGATTTTTTTTGATGCTTCGAGCTTCGATGCTTAACACTTGTCAAAAAACTGTGTGGACCGGAGGTCCTCGCGTTCTTTTAGCTTTTCACTGTTTCCACTTGGTGCTTGTGGAACGGCTGGTGTAGTGCGCTCGGAGCGCGGCGTAAACATGTCCTTTTTGTTCCTGGAACACGGATCTCTCTTGAAAGCCTTCTCGTGATCCCGCAGTCCTTAATCCCCGCTCTACATGATCCTGTTTTTGTTCTTTCTGACTTGACAAGCCTTTTTTTGACTTGACAAGGCGGCGAGGCTTGCTTCGATGCCTCTTAATTGACGGATTTCTGATTCGGCTTCGAGGGATATTAGTCGTTCTAGATGAACGTGCCGTTCATCCTATTGGCTGGCTAAACTCTGCTCTTGTACAGTGTCCGCCTCGAGTCAACACGAACGGTTCTTGTTCTTCAAATGGAGACTTTATCCTGGCTTTCTCGCTCCAGGACCCTTCGATTTAGTACCAGTCAGCCACTATGCTCCACACGGACGAAGACTCTCACGACGGCCCACGACTCCACTATTCACCGACGAAGCCTTTGGTGATGAGAACGAGGTACAATAACATGGTACTTACGGCGTGGATATCAGAACAGTCAATCAGTCCCTTGTCTTGTTTCGACGTCGGGCCCTTGCTTCTCTGTCTATTTGACATCCACCATACACCTTCCGTCTACCCTGTCTAGCCTGTCCTTGTCCTGAACCTTGCCGGACGTGTCGAATCTGTCCAGGCCTGTCCAACTCACCTATTGTAATCTGTCCAACCCACCGAATCTGCCCAACTCAACAATTGTAATCCGTCCAACCCACCGAACCCATCCAACTTTACGGCGCGCCTGTCCAACTTTACGGCTTTGCCTTGTCTTGTCTTGCCTTGTTCGATTATCTGTCGAAGACACGCACGTCGATTCTTTGATCCCCTCATTTTCATTGTGCACAACTGCAAACGCCGCTGGATCAGCGTCCTTACCGGGAAATCTTTTCAGTTTACGGTGGGATTACCCATCATTTCCTCCCTGTTTACGGGGAGATTACCCAATCCACACCCTGTCTAGGGCCGTATTACCCAAGGGGGATTCCCATCGTCCCTCCGAAGCATCATCGTCCCTTCCCCTTCTCCATGCCGTACAGCATCTTACCTTCTCCGTGCCGTACATCACCCGCTCATCTTCCTTCCGAGGCATCTGCCCACCCCGAATTCATTTCAAATTCTGATTTTGATTATCTGAATCTGAACATCACGCGCAGACCCGGGGTCGGTGGTATATAAAGGCTTTGTTCGAGTCCAGGAGAACTTCAGCTTCGGCTATCCTATTCATTCCTTCTCCAACCAACTGGTGACCCCTCAGCGGTTTGTTACTGGACTAGACGGATTACAGAGTACACGATGCTTTCCAAGTCGTTCATCGCCCTCGCTGCACTCGTACGTCCCACCCTTACCCACCACGACTAGTGTTGCTAACTGAACGCGTCTTTTTCCTCCTTTTCGCTCGTCGCGTCATATTCCATGACTCGTATCCCGTTCTCGCCCACGTCTTCCTCTCGTCCCTGCCCTCTCTCGCATCACGTCGCGTCGTGTACGATCCGCGTACCCCACACCAGATCGCCTCCACCAGCGCCCTCCCGCGCAAACGCCAGGTCGATAATGGGCCCACCGAGGGCTGGGAGGACGTCGGTTGCTACACGTAAGTCACTTCCCATTCACCAGTCTTCTTTGGAGTCGAATAGCTGCTGACTATGCGTCCTGCGATCTTATTGTTAATTGCGCCACTATGACTTTTGGTTTTATTTGCTTCTCTTCGACGACGACGACGGCTACTGCGATTATGGCTACGATGCGTCCATGCACATCACCCCCATACACCCATCGCACCCCTCCGCCCCGTTTGTGACCAATAAAACAGCGACTCAGCAGTCCCCCGCACCCTCATCGACGCGTCCTTCGCGGACGCAGAGATGACACCCGCGTTGTGTACCGCTTTTTGTGAGGCGGGCGGGTACGGGTTTGCGGGTGTCGAGTATGGTTTGGTGCGTCCCTTTCCCACCCCTACTTGCTCCTTTGCTTACTCGTTCCTTCTCACTTACGCTTGCGTTCAACCCCTTCCTCCCTGACCTCGACTCTCACTCGACTTGGCTTATCGCAAATAGGAATGCTGTACGTCCTCTCCTCCCCCATTGACTCAGAGAATCCAACAACTAACCTCCCTTATTATGCAGACTGCGGCTACGTAATCCAACCCACGGGCGCACTCACCACCGCCGCCGAATGCAGCGTCCCCTGCGGTGGCGACCCGACGCTTACCTGCGGCGCCGGGAACAGGATGTACATCTACACCAACGGGCAGGCGCCGCCTAGTGCGCCTGCTACGGTGGGTGAGTGGGAGTACCAGGGGTGCTATACGTGAGTGTGTTCTCCTCTTTTCTTTCGTGGTGATTTCATTTCGGCTGTGTTTTCATCCTACTCGTGTTTTCATCCTACTCGTGTTTTCATCCTACTCGTATATCCAAACTCGAACGAATGCTGACGTGCATATATAGGGACTTTGAAAACCAAACCCGCACTCTCCTCCGCGTGATCGAGTTGTCAGGTCCGGCGACGATCGAGACGTGTACCGCGGGATGTAAATCCGAGGGACATCGGTTCGCCGGGTTGGAATATGGTGGTGAATGCTGTACGTCTTTTCTGCCCTCTCCTCCCTACCCGACCCCTCGCCACCCAAAGTCACTAACACTTTTACCTTCGAACTCACTAACACCTTCATTAACACAGGGTGCGGCGACGAACTCCTCTCAGGCGGTCCCACCGCCGAATCCGAGTGCGCCATGACCTGCGCCGGTGACCGCACCCAGATCTGCGGTGGGCCGTTCAGGTTGACGCTCTATCTCGATACGGAGGCGCCTGTGCCGGAGCCGGAGGAACCTGAGGAGCCTACGCCTGAGGAACCAGAGCCTGAGGAACCTACCCCAGAGGAACCAGAGCCTGAGGAGCCTACCCCAGAGGAGCCTGAAGAACCAGAGCCGACTCCTGAAGAACCAGAAGAGCCGACCCCGGAGGAGCCCGAGGAACCTGAAGAGCCCGCTCCTGAGGAACCCGAGCCGACCCCAGAGGAACCCGAGGAACCCGCCCCAGAGGAGCCAGAGGAGCCCGCCCCAGAGGACCCGGAGCCCGTCCCTGAGGAACCCGAGGAGCCAGTTCCCGAGGACCCTTTCCCTGAGGAGCCACTCCCCACCGCTTAAACGAACTCATCCATCGCTCGAGATGTTTTGAGCTATTTTCCTTGCTGGGTTAGGGATTCTTTGCCTCTTTCACTCGCTCCTCCCTTTCTCCTCTTTTCGATTTCTGATAATGCGTGATCCCTAAGGCCTGGTTGAAGGTACAGTCTGCTATATATTGGTTTCGATTATTGGTGTAATTTTTGGATTTTAATCTGTTGTAGATTGTGAATGTTGGAATGGTGATTGATTGATATTCCCTCTACGATGACCCTATAAGATCGATAGCAGGAAACTGGGGTTGGTATTTGACAGGAGGAAAAGGCGAAAACAGGCAAAGCACGAGGAGGAAAACGTTGTCCGCGAAAGCGTTGTCCTTGAAAACACAGCAAAAGTCCCCAGAAATTCCAGAAAAGAAAAAAGAAGAAAAGAAAAGGAATCGTCAAAGTCTGTATGTATCCTTGGGCCCCACGCCTCGATGGTACTACAGTATCCGCAGGAGATCCAGAAAAGAACAAAGAAGGCAAGAAAAGAATCGTGAAAGTCAGTGTCCATCCATGTCCGTCGGTATCAACTACATCCAAATCCATTCCCATCGAAAATGTTGTCCTCGAAATCAACTCCCTTTTCAACCCCCATAACTCAACGTACCAAGGGTCGGAAAACTGGAATAAACACTCGGAAAACTCAGTGATGGTGGCTGTCTGAGGAATGCGTATACGAAGCGCTCAGCGCTCAGCGATACTCCCTCGATCCTCGTCGTCCATACCCCACCTCAGCTGGCTGAGCCCAAGTCTGGCTATGACGAGGGCGCTCGCTGTATTGGGATCGTATTTCTTCATCGAAGTCTGTTTCTAAAGGCGGCCATAGATGTTAGCATTATCCTTTCAATAATCGGATGTAAAGCCACGAGGAGATACATATGGAATTTGCAAAGAACGCACCTTCGGGGCTCTCGTAGATGTCATTGCTGGACTTCCTTCGCGTCACCACTCGGCGCTTCGGCTTCTGTCTCTGCGAGGTGACGCTGCGACTACTGCCACCCGCTGAGCGGCCTTGACTTGTCGCACTAGTGTACCCGTTCTGCTGTCGGACTTGTAGTTGCCTGGAGGAGGCGTAGACCTCAGCAGATTCTACCAAAGCGTGTATACGTGAGTTCAATGGAGCTCCGCTAAGGGGAACACCGTGATGGTGGTGACGGCTTACCGTGATCATCGTCGTATGTACCTCGAGCATCCCGTCTAGCGGAGCGCTGCGCAGTGGACCTAGTATCGGAGTATTCCCTCTCTGACTCATGTGTCTTTTCAAGCACTGAGTGCCTTCCAGAGCGTGGCCTTGTAGAGGGGCTTGCCGAGGGGCGATTGTGCGAGCCACGGTGGCGCCTTGGGTCCTCATGTCCATCTTCGTCTGCATAATCCAAAAGAAATATCAGCTCTGCACTGAAGGGTAGGTACGGGAAGCGCAGACCTTCCGAGCCAGTGCTGTCCGAGTCAGAGTCATCACCGCGCCGAGCATGTCTGGGGTATAGAAGCTCTTCGTCGATACCTAAGTTGTGAATCAAAACCATGTCCGTTTAGAGTTGCTGTTGGAGGTCATGGTTTCCTAGTAGACAGGCTTACGTTCAGGAATATCGTCACTTGACCTCCTTCTGTAGCTACGTCGACTGTCATGGCTGAAGAAGCCTCGTGGTGGATCTGCCGTAGAGAAAGATTGATTTTGGGTTAGCTTTAGAGACTGATGTGAGACAAAGAGGATTTCCTACCGTCGTAACGGATCGCCGACGATCGACGGTTCTGCTCCCTTGGAGAGCGTTCTGGGTAGTTATTACTGTGGCTGCGATTGGAGTGGTCGTCGTTCACGTTTCCATTAGGTGCTGCACACAGTATTAATACCAACCGACCACTTAGAGGGAAAGGACCTACGTACCAAAGATATTACTGTTGTGGCGGGACTTGTTGTGTCCAAAGTTCGAGCCCGAGTCTGAATGGACAGTTCAAAAATCTGTGCTGTTGCATTTTTGGAGAATGTGAACGTACAGTCATAGCTCTTCTTGGTTACACGAGCTTTGTCTCCATAGGATGACCGGTCCACTGGTTAACCATAATACCGTCAGCTCCATTCAGTGAGGAAGGCAGGGTGGAACACGTACCATGCACCCTATCATTTCTAACCCTGGAATTATTGAACGAGTCCACCGTGTAAGTGCTGTTGACGTTCCCCGAGTTTCTAATGTCGTTATTGTTCCCATTCCCAATAGAATTGTTTACCACCTGGTCCACCCATGAGCGACGCCGATCCTGTGAAGGAACAGGTCTGGGAGGCGGCCGCCTCGCCCTCTCTTTCTCTGCCTCTGCTGCGGCTTCTGCGGCTTTAGCAGCCGCTTCAGCCTCCGCGCGTGCCCTGATTCGCGCTTCTCGATCTTCCTCCGCGTACCGATCTGCTTGTGTGCGAGCTTTGTCGTCGTCGATCCGGATCATACGCTTCCTGCCAACCATGGTGTAAATGTCCATAGTCATTAGCATCTGATTCAATAGAAGTAGGGTCATTACGACGGATCAGAGTTTGAGGTTGTATCAATGAGAGAAAGGGCAGCGTACGTGGAAGTCGGTGACGGCGTCCGAGATCTTGGCTTGGTGTCGCGCAATGGTAATCTTATCCGCCCTGGCGAGGATGAAGCGCCAGATGAAACGACGCCCAAGGATTTCTCTAAGTGTCTTCTCGGTCTTCTCCAACGCTCTATGATGTTAAATGCCAATACGACCATTAGTGCATTCAATTATGGAACGAGCAAGGTGACTCTTATGCGCAGAACGCCTGGACTTTATGCTGCAGCTCTTCAGGGATAGCGATGCTGTCAGGGATTTCGCTTCCATTTTCCGCGGCTTCCTCCCTGAGGCGCTGTTCCTGACGCCTCATGTTGTGGATGATGATCAGCGTCAGGTGCATGCACCGCTGAGCGAGGCCGTTGAACAAGGTCTTGTTGTCGTCCATCATCTAAGCAATAGGTCAGCCACATATCGTACGGATGACAAGAGGTTAAGTAAGGGGAAAAAGAGGGTGGGATAAGGATGGATGGATGGAAAGATGGGAGAATTCGGATGGACACGCACAGCAATTGTCTCGACTATCCACAGGCTACATCCAGCAGCCTGTCGTAGCCCAGGAACGGCCACCCCAGCTCCGCTCGCTGCTTCCTTGAACACGGTGAGCGCAGAGATGGTAGTGTTGAGTGCGAGTCCAGTCTTGGTGTGGAGTTTCTTGGCCGCGATGAGAGTCTTGCATTCCTGGCCAGCCTTGCAGGGATCACAATCCCCACAACACGTGAAAGGATCTTGGCCAGACGTAGTGGATATCTGACGAGGTGAGTACTGTGCGTCGTTGCTGGGCATCTAAAGAACAATAAAGCGAGTGAGAACGGTGGAGACTAGACAGTTCGAGTGGATCGATGAGGGGAATTCAATCAAGGGAGTGCAGTATTTAACCCTTCTCGTGAAAATCATGATGGTTAAGGTTGTGTTGTTCAGTGTCTATTTCAGGACCATGGGGCGATATGGTAAGTGGGAAAGACAGGTTATCTATGTGGCCAATGTATGTACTGGTAAGGTTTCACTCGATCTTGCCTGGCCCCCACACCTGACAAGCATGGGTGCAGTGACGATGATTGGCGCCGGCCTGTTGCACGAGCCAAGAACATGGGTCCACCTATAACTTTAAAGACCACGTTACATATGGACTAAATGAGGCCACGACGTGTCTGGAAAATGATACCGGGAGCACAGCCAAAGTACCAACGACAAAGGCGTCGAAAAGGGAAAGGCACAGTCTTCGGACCGAAATAATAAGCTGTGGTATTCTCGAACTGTTGGCAGTGTACTAAAGCGTCAACGCGGTGAGTACACTCAGCGAGTCGAACGGCGCTTCAAAGCAGTGTTTATCCTGAATCAAGAACGCTCTTGGGGCATTGGGGGAGTTGACGACCAGGGTGGAGATTCCACAGAAGGATCATCGGAACCCCCCAGTTGTGAACTGAGCTTGTCCACCGATCGAGAAAAAAGGGATAGGGCGTGGGAAAGAATTCCGATCCCTCCTGTGGGCCGAAGGGCGTAGCATGCCTATGGCTAAACAAAAAAGGTGTATGAAGCAGCAAGGGAGGAAACTGGGAGAAGTATGACAAAAGCGGTGCAACTACTAGTAGGAGACAAGGACTTAATCGGTCTTGTGCCAAAACTAGCGTTCGAGGTTATTAAAATATTTGACGAAGTCCCGATGTATGTACCGCAAAGAGAACAATAGCGAGCATATCAACTACGAGCGCCCAAAAAAACCGCGCAGGTTTCCTAGGATGGACAACCGACTGTCAACGCCTGTTGGCAGGACGGGCAGTCGCCTTAAGAACCCCGTGGGACCTGGGGCGGTGGGGGGGGGGGGGGGGGGGGCAAATCCCTGGGGGTTCGACAGCCAGGATCTGGCACCATCGAACCTGAACCTTACCTTACCTTACCTTACCTTGTATAATCCGATGTCTATCTGCCTGAGGAAGGGGAGCGATCAGAGCAAGAGCTGCGGGAGAGCGATGAAGAAAGAACATTCCTTCACAGCTTTGGACAGCCTTCTACGCACAAGAGCTGCCTGCAGGTGGCGAAGGCAATGTCACTCTTCTTTCTGTACCCTAGATTCGAAGGTCGGCAATGTACCGGAATATGTAGGTGAGAAGTAACATGGGTTTCCGCCGTGTTGCCCATTCACAAAAACAGGAAGACGGACAATAAGTAACCCTGCGCGATCTGGACTGCCTCGCGATCATTAGAACATCCACTGGTGGAGAAGGGCAGGGTGAAGGGGATGTGGGATTGGCTGTGCGCAACGTGTCAATCAACCACCTTTCGACTACGTCTGGTCGACCTTGAAACATAGGCTGTGTTGTGATAGTGGACATCCTCACGGGTTGCGACACGATTTGGGCGTCAATCGAAGGCCGTGCTGTCAGCACCTGACTATATTCGTCAAAATATGGGGTCTCTAACACTACAAATGGGATTTGTGGCCCACGTGTCCACGCCAGAAATCCACTTACAATCTATCCAGATCGCTCTTACTGCCTGTCTGCAGCTAAACGCTTCCTCTCCTTCTCTTCTCTGACGAAATGTTGTCGCTTCTCCAAATCTGACAAATGATTTTGTTAGGCTAGCCGGGCAACCCCGTTTATCTAGACGTACCGAAAGCCCACATCGCAGCGCCAACTCGATTCGAAATCGTGAACACGAGACCAATGATGGGGAGACCTTCGAGGAGGGCAGCGGTAAATCCGAACGCTAAAGACGGAGCGTGAACGTGGTTAGACTGAATTCTCAACTACGAAGAACACCGATGACGTACCACGATAATCCCATTTTCTCTCCTCCATGAATACCGCAATTTCGTAGTCGGTCATCTTCTTCGCCTTAAAGTAACGTCGATGGAGATATTCTGCTGTTCCAAGGGCTCTGAACCAAGCTGAAACCAGAGGTCCGAGGAGGGGATAAAGGCTGGCGGGGATGAGGAGGACTGTTGCGGACACGGAAGAACGGGGTGAACGTAGTGAGAGAGGGCGCTATGGGTGAGCGAAAGGTCGAATGGGAAGCAGAGAACGTACGTACTTCGTTTGAGGATATTCAACCCAATCTTTCCCCCAACTTTCTTGCTCAATCTCTCCATGAAGCTTCCACCGACATCGACGACTGGAGGGTTGTCCCATTCCTCCACATAAGGTTGCCAGAAGTCGTCGCCTGATGCGAGATAGTCAGAGACAGGCTCGGGACGGCCAAACGAAAGACACGGCACCTTTGTTTCGAGATGCAATCGTGTAGTCCCAAGCCCTGTCCCTAGCAATACGCATATTCTTGGAAATGAAGAACGAGAGGATCCATGTGAGTTGGTCGGCGGCGTAGAGGAGTGCCGCGTCTACACCCAGTTAGATTAAGTATCCAGGACGGTCGACCCAGCGGGGCGAGGGGATAACGCACAGGTGTGCAGGCTAAACGGCACCTTCCAGCCAAATACCGTGTCGTTCGAGAGGCCTGTGATCCTCGGAGAGCTGGGATGTATCAAGACCTCCAATCAGCACCTGAGCGTGTGGATAGGGTACTGAAAGACGTACTTGCTCAAAAACACCTCGATGAACTTCTTTTGAATACCCCATGTCAGGAACACCCAAACCAACCCGACAATCAATCCCCTCCTAGTTCCATTCCTACACTTCTCCCATGCGGGCTTCCAGAGCGACTTGTCGGTAAAGAGTCTGTAAACGCCCACGAGGGCATAGGATGGCGGGAATTCCATCCGAAGGTGAGCACGGTGGAGAGTTGGCGGTAGGGATGCCAGTGGGTCTTCGGATGGAGAGAATGGCGTGACATTTCCGGTTTTCGAGCTTGAAGACGCTACTAATCGTTGCTGGAGCTCGAACGGGTCCGCTGTTGCTGAGGTCGCCATAATTTCGACCGCTCAAAGAACACAAGACGGGGAGGGCAACGACGACGACCGTCAGTCTCCGGAACGTGTTATCGCGCCCGTGCGAACGGAAATATTGATGGCCCGAAACATAAGGCACGCCAAGTCTTCCGTCATCGTTCCCGGTTTGGATTTGCCCTTCTGGGAGTTGGAATCCCACCGTCACCACTGTTTCAATGGGCGATGGGAGCCCTAGCTTTCTCTCCTTCTACCACCACACCACCTGCGCCCCGTATATAACAACTCGGAATCTCGGATAGCGACAGCATGGCGGAATCTTCGACACCTACAGAGAGCCAAAACCAGGCGCAATTCGATGCGAAATCACTGCCTACCGATTCTGCGATCTCCTCAGCCGCGTCGCTTTCGATATTCGACAAGGAGGGAAACAAAGTTAATTTTGGAAGTCTGTTCGAGAAGAAGGCGGCTGTGGTTATCTTCATTCGGCATTTCTTCTGCGGGGTGGGTCTTCATTATCGCCCATAGTTCGTGTTCGCATTGCGACCCCGAGCCCAGTCCTGCCAGATGTACGTCGAACACGTCGCCAAAGTCCCCGCTTCGAACTTAGAACAAGCGGGGGTCCAAATCGTCGTCGTTGGATGTGGGGACTGGAAAGCTATTCCCATGTATCACGGTTGGTTGCTCCTCTCCTCGACTACTGTACAAGCCTCGGTTAACCGGCGCTGTTTTGCCTACAGAAACGACAGGCTTTACTGGACCTATTTACGCCGACCCCAATCGCGACTTGTACTTCGCCCTTGGCATGACCCTCCAGAACCTCGAGATGACCCCCAAGGGTCAGCCGCGCCCTTCCTATCTGGCCAACGTGCCAGTCGTTCAAAATGTTCTGCAGAGTACTTGGGTTCGTATCCTCTCTTGGTCTCGTGCTCTATCTGACCTTTCGTCGACAGAGGGCATTAAAGCATGTTGGACTCGTTGGCAAGCAAGGAAATATATCTCAACTCGGAGGGGAGTTCGTGTTCGGGCCTGGACAGAAATGCGATTTTGCGAGTAGGATGCGGCACACCGAGGACCGTGGGTTGAATTCCTCTCCTTCCTTTGACACAGACTGATATTTTGTCATCATCCGTGCTAGATGTCTCCGTCGTGGAGTTGATGAAGCACGCTGGTGTCGAGTACACGGAGAATTCGCAGTCGACGTAGCCTTCCCATGTGAGTAGTTGACTTGCCATCGCGCATGCCATTCCAATCTGATAATAAAACAGTGAATAGTTTAAAATTTGGCAACTGTAATGACTCCGGGCGCTGAAACCCTTCGGCCAGCACCCTCTATAGGCCTCTTACAATGGAAAAAAAAAAAAAAAAAAAAAAAAAAAAAAAAAAAAAAAAAAAAATGTTCCACAGTTTGAAGGCTTCATCTTGCGAGCTGAGACCGAGGACTCGTCATACCGCGAACATAGGGGCTGTGCCTTCCCAGAATGTCTCTATCCCCATTCCCTGAATCCGGGGAAATAGCTGGAAATAGACATTCGGAAGTTTTGGCGGCCGCGGAAAACCTTGGCGGTTACGCGATTTTCTGCAAATCTCCGTCGGATTCCATCTCGTTATCCTTCTTCTCGCGTCTTCATTATGATACCTCCTCCGACTCGACTACACGCGCAGCGTCTAAATCCACTCGCCCAGCCGACTGCTCCGACGTATCGACCCCTTCCCACTCCTCAGACTCCCTCGGCGATTCCAGCAACGCGCCCCGTAATCGCGCCGTCGTCGAGCGATACACCAACGCGTACGGCACCGTCATTACCAGCTGCCGCGACTTTGACATCCCGTCTACCGAATGTGGACCGCTCGAGCGTCACGCTCAGACCGGCACAGGCAGCGCCAGTGCAGCAGTCAGTCCCGACGCCCGTCCAACCTGCCCAGCCCAACCAACCCGTGCAACCCGTCCACCCCTTGCAACCCGCCCAACCCATGCAACCCGCCCACCCCATCATGCAACCCGCCCAACCCATGCGACCTATGCAACCCGTCCAATCCGTCCAACCACCGACACCGTCCACTCCCATCGACATAAAACGCGCAGAAGTACAATGTTCGTACAATGCATTAGCGCAAGCCAGTCAGGAAGTCCAAAACGGCTGGAAAGCGTATATCGCGGTTTTTCAGCAGGCAAACCAAGGCATGGAGGCACTATTAGGGAGCGGGACTGGGTTCAAGTCCAAGACCCAAGCCCTCTTTTTGCGACAACAAGATTTTTTCGCACGGGAACGGGAACTCTTCGTGTTGCAGCGTGAGGAGCATCAGAAGAGGATGAAGGAGCTCGAGGAAAAGATAAGTAGGGAATATGAGGAGAGGGACAAGAAGATCAAGGAGGAGGCGGAGAAAAAGGAGAAGGAGCAGAAGGAGCGACAGGAGCGGTTGCAAAAGAGGTACTTGGAGGAGGATCGGAGGCTGGACAACGAAGAGGAGCAGTTTGAAAGGAACTTGGAGGCTAAAAGAACCGAAAGGAGGAGGCGGATGGACAAGAGAATGAAGGAAGAGGAGGAGAAGTGGGCGAAGGATGAGGAGCGACGTTGGAGGGAATGGAAGGAGAAGCGGGAGGCGTTGGAGAAGGAGGAGATGAAAAAGTGGGAAGCGGGCTGGGATAAGTGGCAGCAGAAGAAAGCGGACAGAGCGGCGATGAAGCACGAGTACTACCAGCACAAGTCGACAGGGGAGAAGAGGAAGAGGTCGGCCGAGTCGGATTCTGAAGGGGGTTCTCGTACGCATACGGGGGTCGCTCAGGCTCGTAAGAACGGTAGTGGTGACGACAACGGTCGTGGTGGATCATCGGCCAGCTCGCTTTCTCGTAAGCCGATTAAACGAGGCTCGAGCGACGCTCCAACGACCGGTACCAACCATCGCCCTCCAGCTTCAGCCTCCACCTCGACCTCGAACGACCACCCGAAACGCAAGCCCCTGGAGAAAAACTTCAAACCATCGAAATGGCCATGCGGGGCTTGCCTTCGCGAAGGGGTAGTCTGCCGGCGGGAGAAAGAGCCCACAGTCGACGATCGTGGGGTTGTGCTTAAAAAAGGTGGCGCCCCTGTAAAGAAAATGCCTCCCAATACGCGATGTTGGATGTGTATTCATGACAATCCTCAAGGTGGTTGTGGGGTGGCCGATACCAGTGCTTCACGAGAGCCGAAGGCGAGTTTGGACGAAGGAGAGGATGAAGGCGAGGATGGAGGGCTCGAGTACACGGATGATGGTGAAGGAGGGGAATCTGAATCGTCTGGTTCCGCCGCCGGGGAGGAGTCAGGTTCGGAAGAGATGAGCAATCATGGTGTCGATGAAAACCGAAGGGTCAGAGATCTGGAGAGGGCGGTATTTGGAGATACTGACTATGAAGATGAAAAACCTCTGCCTAGGAAAAGGCGGACATAGCCCAGTCGTGAAGTAGACTACTACTGACTTGCGAGTGCGAAATGACCCGGTATATTGAACAGTACTAATGTAACTAGTCGAAGACGGTCATTGGTAGAGTCACGCCATGTCTCATATTCCAAACGATATCGAATACATAAACAAGAAAGTACTTGCTATGATTATCCAGGCGTAACGGTCATCTGAGGGTGAAATGGTAGGAACAGGGGAATTTAACAGCTCATCCACTTGGTACCGTCCTGGCATCTCATCGTCCTCTACTATATCGTCCTCTACTATACAGTCTTCTGATGTGAAGTCGTACTCTTCGAGTTCGACTTTCCCTACTGAATTGCACAGAATTCGTATCAGAATGGACAACCGGGCGGGATGTTAATAGCATGCTCACCGACATGGACGATGCGTGAGTTGTTGTTGAATGACCCTTGGATGGAGGTTGTCGTCGTGTTCATCGAGTTCACAATCGAGATATGCTGGGTGATTGAAGGCTGTAGCTGGAATAGCTCACAGAATTTTTGATGTTCTTCCGAAACGTAACTGTAGCTCTCGTTTCCTGGGGCGGAACCCGAACCTTCCGGATGGTCTTGCAGCGATATAGTCGAAGAACTTGGATTTGCCGAAGTCGAGTTGATTCCCCCGTCAGTATCCAATTCAAAGAAATGGTCAAAGGCTTTCTCGTCAGGGACAAAGCAAAGTACCCCGTCGACCTGGACCGTTTGGCGATCTGCAGTTGCTTGTACGCGGCAATCATCGTTGGACCCGGACCCAGAAGACGGGATCCCTTCCAAGCCGCTGATCGGTGTTGCGTCTGGAACTTTCTCTCTGCGTTCCACCTCGCCTTTGATCTCCTCAGAGTCGGAATTTGGGTATACAATCGTCTCGACGACCTGTATAACAGGTGGAACAGGGCGTGGCGCTGGAGGAGGCAGGCTTGGGATTGATGGTGGCGAGCCCTCGACGGACCGTGACAGGCGAGTTGCGCTTTCGCCATCGCCGTGCGAGGGGTTGGGAGAGCTTCTTTGGGAAGACAAGGATACCGCTCTCCCTCTTTGCGCGTCCTGGGTGCTACCAACATCCCCTACACTACGCACGCTGTCCAGACTGGGAGGATCTGCGTCGACCTCGTTTTCTTGTACTTCAGATTGAGAGCCTGTTCGCTGTCTTGAACTTGAAGAGGGCTGTGTCGAGTTGACCATGAGCCGATCCTGATGAATGATCAAGAACTCGAGAATTTGTTGGTTAATTCGATGCTCCGTTTCGTCAATTGCTAGTGGCTGATTCGTTCTGTGCGATAGAAGCACATGCGCGAAGACAGCGGCTAGATCTGCAAGGCAAACGAAAATAAGATGCAACAGAGAATTTGCAATCATCGAACACTCACTGGCACAAGACATCAAATTCTTATCACTGTGTCGGGCGATTACAGATAGAAGGTCGAGGACGTAGAGCAGTTGTTGAATTTCGGTAAAGTCTCGTAGGACTATTCGTCCTATTTCGTCTTCCTTATTGTTCGTCCATCCTTGTATCTTCGGGAGGACTTATATCGTCTTCATATCGTCTAGAATTCGGGTAATTCTTAGGCTACAACCTCGGGTATTCATAGGTGACTTGAATTGTATTTAAGCTGGGTATTTACATCGGAATACATCATCGTTCTACTCGATAACTCGTCTACTTTCTCAACAGGTTATGAGCCCCGCATAGCTCTGACCTACGGAACGATTACTGTCAACAAAACTCTGCTTTACTCTTAACTCTCGAACTTTTCTCTCTTTTCTTTTCGTGATATCGATATCAACGCCGCCACCATGTCTGATCAACATTCTGGCACTGCTACCTATCGTCTCGAGCCTCTGAACGCGACGAACTGGATGCCTTGGAAGCGCCGCATGCTAGCTGTGCTTCGGGAGCACGACTTGGACAAGTATGTCACCGGCTCCGCCAAAACCAAGCCTACCCTCACTCCGGAGGGTGTCTCACCTGCTGTTACCGCCGCCGACATCGAGAAATGGACGACTGGCGAAGCAAAAGCACGAACTCGTCTCGAGCTCGCTATTGGCGATAGCGAGATGGTCCACATCCTCGGAGCTGAGACTGCTGGGGACATCTGGGACCGTTTGTCACAGATCAAGGAGACGAAAGGCCGACTCGGAGTTCTAGCGACTCGGCGAGCACTGTATCGAGCCCAAGCTGTCGATGGCTTCGACATGGTCGAGCACATTTCGAAGCTTCGAGGCTACCAATCGGAACTGGCCCTCATGGAGAACATCGTCTCGGATGAAGACTTCGCCATGATCATCATCACCTCACTGCCCGAAAGCTGGGACGGATTTACGACCTCATACCTTGGATCCCAGAGCAATGCAGCGACTCTGAGCGCTGCCAGCATTATCCCACTCCTCATAGACGAAGATCGACGACGTCGCACTCGTGATGGCGGATCCTCGAACGCATTGCAGGCTAGATTTGGTGGGAAGGAGTCGGGAGGATCAGGAGGGAGGGGTGGTGGATCAAAGGCGACGAAGGAGTGTTTTAACTGCAAGAAGAAGGGGCATTTTAAGAAGGACTGCTGGGCGAAGGGTGGTGGAATGGAGGGGAAGGGACCACAGGGTAGAGGGAGGAATAGGGCGCACCAGGCAACGGATTCCAACGTCGACATCAACCAGGCGGTATCTGTAGCCTACATGGCTCGTCTCAGCGATGCACCAGCGCCCTCCAAGCTCGTTTGGTACCTCGACTCTGGAACAACCTCCCACATCTGCACACAACGCGATGCTTTCACCCACTACACACCTCTCCACAACTCTACCATCCAGGGCATTGGCCCAACTGCTGCTATCGTCGCTGGCATGGGTACTGTCCGTCTCAAGTTCGTTCTCGATGGAAAGACCTCTATCCACGAGATTCGAGACGTTCTGCATGTCCCAGATGCACCCAACTGCCTCCTATCACTCAGCCGCTTCGACGACGCAGGAGGATCGGTCAACTTTGCGAATGGCATGTGCAACTTGTTGGACAAGGATGGGAGATTGGTTGGGAAGGGAAGGAAGACAGATCGGTTGTACCAGTTGGATGCTAGAGCCGAGTTGAAGCAGAACCGTACCTTTGCGGCAACTCGTCGGGCTCGCACCTGGGACTACTGGCACCGCGCTTTTGGGCATGTGGGCATGTCTACCCTCGAGAAGATGCACTCTTCGGGCGCTGTAACCGGTTTCGAAGTTGACGAATCGTCTGTTCCTTCCCCCACTTGCGTACCCTGCGTTGAGGCCAAGTTCTCGCACCTCCCACACCCTCACAAGGCTTCTGGACGATCCGACACGGCTGGCGAGGGTTATCACTGCGACGTCTGGGGTCCAATCAAAACCGAATCGATTTGGCACAACAAGTACTACATTTCCTTCACAGACGACGCCACCCGCTACGTCGACGTCAAGTTCATGAAGTCCAAGGATGCAGCCTTCGATTTAATCGCCAAACACGTCGCCAGCGTCGAAACTCGGTTTGGGAAGCCTCCCAAGTGGTTCCGCTTCGATAATGGGAAGGAACTCGTCAATGAACGCACCAAGGAGCTCTGTGCATTGAAGGGAATCGAGATCCACACCACGGCCCCCTACTCCCCTGCCCAAAACGGTGTTGCTGAACGGCTCAACCGCACTTTGTTGGAGTTGGTGCGGGCAAACCTGATTGCCAAGTCAGTCCCTGCCTTCCTTTGGGACGAGGCTGTCTCGCATGCTGTCTACATCCGAAACCGTGTCCTGGTCAGCGCACTCCCCGATAAAACCCCTTACGAGGCATACCACAGCAAGAAACCCGATGTTCGCCACCTTCGGGAGTTTGGGAGTGACGTTTGGGTCTTAGACGAGTCACCTGGGCGTTCGAAGCTTGATCCCAAGGCCAACCGCATGGTCTTTGTCGGATTTATTGACGGATCTCGGTCAATCCGTTATTATGACGCGGCCAGGAGGAGTGTGAAGGTCTCAAGGAACTTCTCCTTCAACGACAACCTCGATGACGCCTGGATGGAGTCTCTCGGATCTGGTCTCGAGGAGGAGACACTTATCGACACCCCCGTTACCCCCGTATCCAAATCTGTCGAAGTCGATACCAGATCCGGTAACTCCGAAACCACGGATCAGGAGGCAATTCTCCGGTACACACCCACCCCAGCTCCCCAATCTCCGCGTTCTACTTCGAATTCTCCGGGAAAGAAGTCCGTTCCACCTGTTGTCGACGATAATATCACTCCAGTACCCACACCTGGCTACGAAGGGCGAACACTGCGTCAACGTAACACGGATATCGACTACAAGCTTGCCAACAACCCTGATGCTCGAAAGCCGGCCGATAGGAATTGGAAACAACGCACCAAGGCCCTGAAGACCGCTCGCAGTACGAAGGACACGAACTCTTCACTCGAGGCATCCGATTCGGACGAGTATGCCTTCCTAGCACGACGAGTGACCATTGAAGAGGTTGAAGACGTCGATGCACCTCGAAGCTCTATCCCTATTCCCTTCACTTCCTTACCACCCACTCCCCAGTCCCCTCCTGGTCTTAAATCGTCGCCTTCACCCCTTGCGCGCAACATACCTATTCCTTCGAACGTTCACGAAGCTCTCAGTGGCGCATATGCGAAGGAGTGGGAGGAGGCGATCAAGGAGGAGTTGTCTTCATTGCAGAAGATGGGTACATGGGATCTGGTCGACTTACCTGCTGGGAGGAACGCTATTGGCAACAAATGGGTGTTTGCCTTGAAGGAGGACGACCATGGCCGTGTAGTTCGGTGGAAGGCTCGACTAGTCGCCCAGGGCTTCTCCCAGAAGCCTGGAATCGATTTCAACGTCCATGAAACCTTCGCAGGCGTAATGCGACTCGACACCTTCCGAACCAACACTGCTATGGCTGCCGTTAACGGATGGAGGATGTTCCAACTCGATGTCAAAAGCGCCTACCTCAACGGACGACTCGACGAGGAGCTTTACATGGCGCAGCCTCCTGGGTTTGAAGACGGTTCAGGCCGAGTCTGTCGCCTCAATCGAGCGCTTTACGGGCTGAAACAAGCCGGCAACGTCTGGAATCGCGAATTCACCTCCACCATGTCCGAACTCGGTTTCACCCAGCTCAGGAGCGACTCCTGCTGCTTCATACGGTCTTCTAACGGCGCTACAACGATTCTATTGGTCTGGGTCGACGACATCATCGGTTACACGGACTCTGACGAAGAGGAGGAGCGCCTGGTGAAGGAACTCTCTGCAAAATTCGAGATTACGCACGTCGGACGACCACAGATCCTTCTTGGGATGAAGATCGCCCAAGACGACACCTCTGGCGCCATAACCCTCTCCCAATCGCACTACATCGACTCCATGCTCGCTCGTTTCGGTCTTACCAACGCCAACACCGTCTCCACCCCACTCGACCCCAATATCAACCTCGACTACGACCAGGGGCCGCCTCCTGCTGCTGATAGGCGTGGTAGCAGCCTCTATGCGACCGCCATCGGTTCCCTGCTGTATGCAGCGATGGGAACACGTCCAGACATCACCTATGCCGTCCATCGACTCGCCCAGTTCACCAGTCACCCCGAACCGAAGCATTGGACGGCCGTCAAGCGAGTTTTTCGTTACCTTAAGGGTACCAAAGACTTTGCACTCACCTACGGCGGACTCGACTTCGATCTAACCCCCGACATCGACATCTTCTGTGATGCAGACTGGGCCTCTAATGCTGACCGCAAGTCTATCAGCGGCTACGTCTGCAACATTGCAGGAGGAGCCGTCGCTTGGAGCTCGAAGAAGCAAACCACCGTTGCTCTTTCGACTGCCGAAGCCGAGTACGTCGCAGCTACTCATGCTGCGAGGCAGGTCCTCTGGTTCCGATCTCTCTTTTCAGAGCTCGGATTTCCCCTTCCGTCGACTTCTACGATCTTCACCGACAACCAAGCCGCCATCGCGATCGCTCACCATCCCGAATTCCATGCACGCACCAAACATATCGACATCTCCCTCCAATTCCTTCGCGATCACGTCAAAACCGGCACCCTCGACACTGTCTATATCAATACTCACGACAATCTCGCTGATATCTTCACCAAAGCCTTACCTCGCCCTGCTCATGAAGAATTCGTCTATCGTATTGGTCTCTTACCCCTTGGATGAACGAACAAGGAGGAGTGTTGAATTTCGGTAAAGTCTCGTAGGACTATTCGTCCTATTTCGTCTTCCTTATTGTTCGTCCATCCTTGTATCTTCGGGAGGACTTATATCGTCTTCATATCGTCTAGAATTCGGGTAATTCTTAGGCTACAACCTCGGGTATTCATAGGTGACTTGAATTGTATTTAAGCTGGGTATTTACATCGGAATACATCATCGTTCTACTCGATAACTCGTCTACTTTCTCAACAGCAGTAAATGACGATTTGCTCGTGGAAGCTCTTGAATGAGGGTCCGGCACGTTCTAACCTTTCCATCCGTGGTCGCATATTCCGACACTTCCACAAAAAAAAAAAAAAAAAAAAAAAAACCGCGAGTTAGCAGCCGCTATTGGGGTTATAGGAACTTGAACATACTTATCGCATCTCGAAGCTACAGGGACGAAAGGGGCTCTGTTAGTTGGTCTCATAACCACAGTCCCCGGGCCTTACCTTGCCATTGTTCGGTTGCTGGACAACAGGTTCCTGTTTGGGATGAGCTACCATTAATTGTGTAAACGCGCGGAGCTAATAGAACGACGAACAGGTAACTGGTTGAGGTAACGCCGAAACAGGGTCGCGATGTCGTGAACTGTGTAGCTGCTATCTCTAAGCGAGAGATCTTTTCCGTACTTTAGGAAAGCATCGCTCATCAATATCCTACTCAGAGCCAGAGATATGCTAAGTCACACCTTTGGAGGACTCTCAAAAGCTGCTTGAAGCTCTCGCACTCGAGCGATCGATCCGCTGAGGCGAAACACCCCAGGTTTTTCCGTTCCTGTGGTAAGGTGGTGAGTTGATGTTGCATAAGTTGTGATATAGTCATCGCACCATGTTCCTTGAGAAATAACCCGCTAAAAAGAGAGTCAACATCACGCCTAAAGCAGAGCTGAAAGACTTGCCATTTGGCAATGACGACCGGGATATAACCCCACGCAACCAGCTTTCCCTGTCCATCTTCGGTTGAAATTTGGATGGATGCGAGCTTCAGCGACTCTCTAAGTGGCTTTGCAAAGACAGCGCTCGTAGTCGGCGTATCGCTTTCCGAAATGTCAGCTTTCTCTGCCCTTCTCCATGCTATTTGGTTCGACCGGCGCTTCTTGGTCTTGGATCGTCCAATAGTATTACCCAGCCCGAACAAAGGACCTCCGTTGAAATTAGGAAGTAGTGAATTCATATCGTTGCTTGACGCTCTTGAGGTGTTTACTCCACTGTCGGGGGTTAGTGAGCGTGGTGGTCGAAGGGAGAGATGTATTGCTCTCACATTGAAGGCCAGGGCCATGCCGCCTGTCATGACGTCTTCACACAGCCATGAAGGTCGAAACGGTCACGAGGCTTGCACTGCCTATGGCTGGACACAATTGGTCGCTTCCTGAAGATAAGCGCCCGTCCACCCCGTGCCGGGAGATGCCGACGAAGATTCCCAGCCGACGGACTGACGGGCCGACAGGACTGCGGTTCGTTTGCCTTTCAACGACGCAACTCACGAGTTCTCATTCTTAGTCTATACGAGCCACAACGGAAAGACGTACGTGTGCACTCTTCAAAATGAGGCCGCAAAAAACAACGAGTCAAAAAGGAATCACTGACATCGAGTACCCAATATTATATAATAGTTGATACCACATTGCTTGTCGTCGCCAGCGAGGCAACGGTCTGCTATCGGCGTTAATGTTGGCTTTTTCCTACGAGATCCAAAACCTCCAACACAATGGAAACAGTGCTTCGAAAGCTCAATTACACGGGATCTCTGGCCCTAATAGCTTTATTACTCGTGCCTTGGCTGGTAGCTGTCAAAGGAGTTCCACTTCTCCGCTGGCTCAAGGTACGTCTATTCATAGATTTTCTGAGGCTTAGAGCTCATCGTGATATACAAGGAAAGGTCGCGTCGACCGCAGCCTCAGCGCTCAGCCTCTACAGCTGTCACCACTTCCTCGTGAAATGCTTGTCGAGATTATGAAGAATGTGGAATGGGACGATGTTTTGATTCTCAGAAAGGTGTGTGTCCGATTCCCATTCCACTTTTCACGTCGATAACACCGACTCTAGTGCTGCAGGTCTCTCAACCTAGCGTCGAAAGAACGCGAGGTCTGGTGCTCACTTTTGAAGAGATACTGCGAGACCACATTTCCGCGCCCATTCTTCCTGTCAAAACCTTTACAACACTCGACACGCGAAGAGCTGGAGGCTTGAATCGTTGGATGGTGGTCCGGCTGGGAGCACCTGACTCCCAGGACTCAACGCTTCGCTGTGCGTGACTATCCCGAAGGTCTATACGGACCTTTGGCGGTGTTACCCGGCAATCACTTCTTTCTTTACGGGTCGAACGAAGGCACCGTGCACTACGGCGATCCATTACACCTCGCCTCCACTCTCTCCCCCCTTCTCCCCTCACCATTCGAAGGACCACTACCCGTTGGGACTTGCATCAGCTTGGATATTCTGGCCACTCAGGGCATTCCCATCGACCCAGACATCCCTGTGGTCGATGCCACCTGGGAATCGCGCCTTTTCCCTCCCACTTTTCGCCTTGCCGTCTGCCTGACACAATACGAAGCAGCCTTCATTGAGGTTTACGATATCACAGCTGAAGTTCAAGATGGCGACGTTCGATACTCGAGCACTCGACTAAAGTCCCATGCCCTCACATCCCGGAAAGAGACTGTGAAGACGTCTAAACCCTGCTCACTGCTTGGAAATCATCTTGCGTACGTTGCAAGGACGAATGCTGTGAGAATCATCGACTGGACCTCGTTCGATCCACAGGACCCCATGGCTAGAATCTGTCCCCCAAACTTTGTCTCGGTGAGTCAAGTTTAATTCATAAATCGTTCCACCCGTGGACTGACTGTCGTTTAGTATCTCCTTTTACTCCCCAATCGCAGAATTTTGATGATGAGAGGTACCGTCATCATCTGCGACTGGGAGAAAGGTAGAAGGTTGACTACTGCCAACTCACCGGACGCGTGGTCGGAGCCTGAGTGGGAGTCTTCAGACTTCTTCGTCACACCCCATCCATTTACAAGCCCCTTCTACATTCGTAGGTCCATACGTCTGGTCCTGGCAGGGGGAGACAATGTCCTCCTTGGCCTGACCATTCCAGTGGATGTCGAGAAACGACTCGCACCCTCTGGTAACGGTGTCGCCACTGTCCGCCTTTTGGAAGCCCCGATACCCTACGGATCTTACAGAAGATGGTTCGGCTATCGTAAAGGCGCATATCTTGATCAAGACGACGATAATCTTGTCTGTTACAGATGGCCTGATGACGACCTCCCCCCTCGCTCCCACCAGTCGGCCAGACTTCCAGGACACTTCTGGGATTTTGCATGGCTGTTTTGAAACAGACGGTGACTACAAACGCCTCGTCGCGTTCTCGCTTACATCGCCACCATCATGTACTGTCTTTGGATAGACTGCATGATAGTATGTTCATATACTGCCGAATCATCTACTGCTCTCCCACCGCCAGCCCTGGACCTGGCTTCTCTTCCTCGCCGTCAAGAATCGTGTTGCTATCTGGAACACCACTGGGCTTGGTGAGAGTAGGAACGGTGGATCTGCCTCTCTTTCTGGATGGAAGGTCGGTGACAGCTTTAATGCACTGACTTGTCAGAGGTTGGTAGGAACATCCACCCGGATCTTGTGGTGCAGAGATAGGGGCTTGCGACATTACAGCTCATTTTGGGCGCTTATCGCGATGGAAGAGCCCCGAACCGAGACTTTCGAGTCTTTGGTGAGATTAAAGGTGACTAATGTCTCCATGGTGGTAGGGTATTATACACCAATGTCAGTCCGAAAGCGAACGTAGCATAGAATCAATGTGGATAGCCATGAGAGCGTAGCATGAATGGAAAGCGAATATGAATACGGGATAGCAGTGCAAGTTATCGATAGCGGTGATAGCAAAGCGGACGTCATAGCAGGTCATGGACGAGGTGATGGACTTGAGGCGGTAAAAGAGATCGGGGCTGGATGTACATAAGTGGTAGGTAGTATGACCTGATGATTCAAAGGACACGTCGTCACAGAACCTATGGCATAATATCCATATCTGCCAGCCTGAGTGATACCAAACGGATTTAACGAAAGACAGCTTGAACCATATGTTCTACTATGTCCCCTTCGCGACAAAAGTCCCATAGTTCGTCAAATGGTAAGTAGGAAGCAAGCGAAGAGTAAAAGTAGAAGCCATATTACAACCTCTGGTCCCCGATCTCCTCTACCCGCTTGGAACACAGCGTCGGGGTAATGGCCCGGTAAGGATGTGAGCAGAGTATCCTCGAGCTCAGTCGAGAGCTCGGAGGTAATAGCTATAGCAGTGGGCCTCCGTCAGAATACCTTCAAAGCTCGAGCATATAGAGTTCACGACCTACTGGTGGTGACATTATATGAATGGTCATTGAACGAACCCTGAATCGTCGTAGTTGTCGTGTTCCCCGAGTTGACGATATTGATTGTAGCCTGCTCTGGCTTGACACCAAAGAACTCGCAAAAGTGTTTCTCTTCGTCTGAGAGCCCGTGATTGACTGTCTCTACCGGCGGAACTCGATCGTGAGAGGGAGGGGGTGGACAGTCAAATATGATGTATCCTTCAATGGGACGATCCGAGGTGCTGCTTCGAACGAGTTCCTCTGGGACCAGGCAGAGTGGAACGTCTTCCACTGGAGTAGGGTCCTCTTCTGTCCTATATGTACGAAGAACGACGCTTGATTAAGCGGAAGCCTGTGAGGTTGCCGATACATGACGCACCGGGTGGCATGCACGGACTCTAAGTGCACTGTCTCGCTCTGGACCTGGACGTGCCCGCTCCGTGATCTTCGTAACCTCTCGATCTCCTCTTTCATATCCAGCATCTCTTGATCCCGCTTCACCAACAGTGTCTGCAATCTCCTCACCTCTTGAAGAAGGCCACTGCCGACTTCCAAAGCGAACTCTGTGGCATGACCATCAAAAAAGTAAGCTTCGGGTTCGGCGCTGTGTACTTGTCCTTTTCCTAGAGTCAAAATGCGCCTTGGGCTCACCTACATCGTCTGCTCGTTTCTCTCTGCTTTGGGTGGCCGGACCCCATGATGTTTGTGGACGGTCTGACATGGTGCACTTGCGCGGAATCGAGCGTTGGACCGTGACCGTTGCTCCAGCCTTCAAGTGATGGTGCAGGGTGCTAGGATATCAATCGGTGGAAGGAAAGGCAGAAAGAGATTGAAAAGGGAGTGGAAGAAAAGGGACGGTGGGCACACCTCCGCATTTGGGCCGCAAGGCATTGGTTGACAGTTCTACTTTGGCCGAACCAGGTACCGGGACCAATGCACCGCCACTCTCTTGCGTTCAAGTACCTCACGAAATCGCCTCACTTGAACTTCGTTGAACGTCTGCTCCTCCAACGGCGATGAACGTCCAGTCTATGCGCTCATCCTTGTATAAACTAACTATAGTGTAGGTAAATTACCACAATCGCTCATGGGATTGGAACCTGATGGATAAGATAAGAACTCCATCAGACCGGCGATACCTTGGGCGCTTATTCATTGGGGTCGCACAATGCAGAACAAAAAATGAGTCAGCTTCGAAAGACCAATGAGATGAAGATGGGGTGGCTGCGGCACAAGCAGCGGTCTCTTCGGACACGTCGTCATAAGGTCTTCGAGGGGTATCGAGGATCGTACGATGGCATCCTTCGCATAGCATCTGTCAACGGGGATATGACCTCCCTCCAACAACAACTGGTTCGGGAACCGGTCGTCCTCCCCTTCCTTTGGAGCCTTGTTCTGTCCATGAACGACACAGTCGCAGATACCTTTGAGCCTCTTCTCTATCTCAAGGGACCGGCCCTCAAGTCTCTCACCCTTGAGCGCCCCGTTCAGCGGCAGACTATTCCTTTTGAGATGCAATGCGAGGCGTTACTGGGTGCGCTGACGATCTTTCACAGGCTGAACCCCGGATGCCGGATCCAAACCTTTTCGAATCACCAGCAATGGTGGGCGGAAGACGTGGGACACCAGCAAATCCTTTCACACCCCATCTTCAAGGACCTTCGGTCATTCAAGACTGAGGATGTCGTCGGCGAAGAGACCCTGGAATGGATGACATGGGACAGGAACTCCAACGATCCACCAATACTACCCAAACTTAGCACATTCTCGGTGCTCCCTGACGCGAAGGACGGGCTTGTGTCGAAGATAGTGGCATCGCACGTTGTGGATGTTCCGGATCCTGTTCTGAGAACGGTTCGCGTCATCTTCTCTCAGTGTCTGAAAGAAGTGCGTCGCAAGGAAGACAATAAAGGGAGAGCTGGGCTTACTCCCTTACTGGAGCGGTTGGGGTACTTTCTTCGCAGTCATGAAGAATGTACACGTTGCGGTATGACCGGAGATGAAATAATTTCAAGTTGCAATTAGTCCTGTTCTTGGTTTTACTTTCCCTGTATCATATCTCTATGCCTCCTTCTCCTGGCCCCTGCGCCATGCTTAGCTGTTGTTTGGTGTTTGCCTTCTCCTTGTTTGCGTATGCCTTCCCATTGTTTACTTATACCTTCTCGTTGTTTACCTATGCCTTCCATGACCCCTGTCCTTCATCTCTATCTCTCCCCCTTCTCCTCGTCGTACTTACTGTACAGCAGATAGATTATAGAAACGTACTTAAAGGGCTCAACCCTTCTGTACGCAAGTATCTTTTAAATAGCATAGCTTACGCCTCTCGAGCCAAGTGACCAACCGCGGTCAGCCTGAGTCTAAGGTTGTGAGAAATGACGTCAATCGACCTAGAGCTTAAACAGCGAGTACAGAGTGAATTTGAATGCCGAGGCTCTTCTTTTTATCGCTACGTTAGAATCCTAATGAAACAAAGCTTCCAGCTCTAGATGGTAAGTACAACAAATGTGAATATGCCTCTTCACTAATTCAACGTTTGAGATAGACGTACCGCTCAGCTGAAAGGTCCAAATACAAAATGAGACGAGAATCCGATCCAACGGACTGTACTTAGCCTACATGGGACTGGAGTGCTTTGAGCGACGTGTGGCAAATTGAAAGGTGTTACATGCCATTGCGCCGGTACGCGCTTACCGGTCACCTTCGGTTCCTGTCTCGAAGTAGTCGCTTGATTCCAGGCCATTTCCCTCTACTCCCTTTCGTCTCCTCTCCTCCAATATCCTCCTCTCCTCCAGTATCCTCGTCCTCTCCTCCTCTTCCATTTCTTTTACAAGCATCCGCGTCTGTTCGCCATCTTGCTCGCCAACTGCAGGTTTTGATGGTGAGCAGTGGACGTGCCCGGTACTGGATGATCGCGTGGACGCGATGAACTGGTCCAGGGATGCTTTGACCATTAATTGGTACTTTGATCGATAGTGGTAAGTATAGCGACTGTACGATCCGAACCGGTTGCCAGGACATCATGAGGGCCAATGCACAGTTCTGGTTGCCAGACCGTGCAGAGTGGTCAAAGCGAGTTGTCGCCTCTTTTTCACTATAAAACAGTCCTCGAGTATTGCTCTTGAATCTCCCAACGACATACCGCCTCACCCCCCTTCGACAGCATATCGATATCGATTTGAAACCGAAAGTAGCGCTAACAATGTCTCCTTCGACTTCAACTGGACGCCGTGGCATTAACTCTCTCCCTGCCGAAGTCTTGCTTGATATCTTTGAGCAGTATCTGAAGCCAGGACCTGTGCTGGATCTTCAGGGTGCAGAACGCACGTTGCCAGCCCTGACCCCGAAGGACATCGAATACATTCCAGGCCGTGGCGAAAACTCCCCCTTCGTTATCGACCAAGTGTGCGGGACATGGCGCCAACTCGCCCGAGGTTACTCTGGTCTTTACACCGACATTCACGTCGTCAATCCCACACCGCAGGACGTTGCTCGGGTGCGCACTATGCTGGAGTTATCAAAGGACAGACCACTGCGCGTCTTTCTGGAAGTCAACGAATTTCCGCGGATCCAATTGTTCACTCACCGAGGAGGACTCCAAGCTGAGGCGATGATGGCGAACGCATCGGCGGACGGAGATTGTCTGTTCCCGTGGCACCAGATCGTGAAGCTGGTATTTGCGAATGCCCATCGAGTGGAGAAGCTTTATCTGCAGGTTCCCGTAGGGCCTAAATGGAAAGGCTGGGACTATACCTTTCCTCTTGGGAGGGACACCGATTGGGATGCTCTCGCCTTCCCTCTGCTGACCACCCTCCACCTCCAAGACAAGGTGTCCGCCTTTCATGCATCGGAAGACACATTCTTCAAACCACTCGTCACCCGCGCATGTGCAACATCACCAAGGCTCGCCGATATGCGCCTCGACAAAATGTTCGCCCTCGTCAACATCATAGGCCAAGATTCGCTGAATGGGTTGGGACCCTGCGCTTCGATGATCCCCTGGAAGAATCTCACTTCGCTCACGATATCCATTCAGTCTGTGAAGGAAATGTTGCCGATATTGCGACTATGCCCGTCACTCCAGGAGTTGTACCTCGAACCGGATATGTGCTGGAGTTCATCCACAGAGGAGGCGGTTGGGGAACCGGTTTTGCTCCCCAACCTCTGGTGCCTAGTTCTTTCCGTGAACGGCGAGTCCAACGACAATACTTTCCTTCCTCTTTCGTATCTCAGGGTACCGGCCCTCAAGTCTCTCTCCCTCCACACCCCTGGAAAGCGGGTCCTCTCAGGTCTCGATGATACTAGTAACCCCCCGAGGAAGAGCGTTCATCTGTTAGGTGCTCTGACGGCCTTCCACAGGCTCAATCCCGACTGCCGAATCCAGACCTTCTCAAGTTTCCAGAACTGGGACCCGAGGGATCAGGAGGGATACCGCCAAATCCTCTCACTCCCCATCTTTGGAGACCTTATATCATTCAAGAATCAAGACTCGTGATACGATCGCCGACGAGACCCTCAACTAGATGAACCCTCTCTGTAATATTTATTGATCGTCAGCTGGCACCCCTCTGAGGGTCCGGACTCTCGTAGGATTTACTGCTTCTCAAGTGTTCTTATATTCTCTGTTATACACTGGGCCCTTACCGCTACTCATTTCTGTACAGACTTTATATTATTTTCCCAACCGAACACTATGTCGCTAAGTACTCGGTCTATAATAAATTCCAATGGTACATTCATGCTCCCATGCCGGTGTGTCCGTGGATCCATATTACTGGCGACTCGGCGAACACCACACTCGTTGAACAATGACAAAGCGAGTTGGGACTTTGCGATGAGATAAGCCGAAGAGGCATAGTGAACGAGATAAATACTTATCCGTCAAGTACTGTACAGCAGACACGAGGTCTTCTTTCTTCCGAGTCCAACTCCCGAGGTCAAACGATAAGCAACACGGGCGCTGTGCATGTTTTCTCCCCCCTCAGGCTCCGTCGATTCGGCCACCTTTGCGTTGACGAGTGGAAGGGTCACTCGGAAGCGTACTGCGTCTATGCTGTTGCGGACCCGTGACTATGTGTATGTCCAGCGACGATCGACGAGCACGCTACTTACTAGGGAAGGTCAGCCAAGACTGATATCAAGGACCATAAACACGCCTCCTCTGAGTCCATCTGCCAGCCTGAGGACTACGGGATGGACATCTCAACCATCCATGACAGACACGATAGTGTGAGCAGCAGAGTTCTCTCCGTAGAACCCCTACTCTCTTTCCATCACACCACTGCCACAGTCCCACAGTCCATCCCACCTTGCACCATGCACCATCCACAGAATCCACCCATAACCTCGATCAGCATGCGCAAACGACGTACCAGGGACGCTGAGGGTCATGGTCATGACGCGGGCACGACGATGAAGCCAATCCGAGTAAATAAGTCCAATCCGAGAAAAAATAAGATCTATGCAATTAGTACCACACACCCACAGCTGGATAGATACAAGACGAAACCCCCCATTCGAGGACGACGAAAGGATATAGTCAACCACGGAACCAATGGCGGGTCCTTCTCTAAACCACGATGCTGACCTCGAAACCACAACGCTAACCTTGAAACCATGGTGCTGACTTCGAAACCACGAACGTCCGCCACATAACCAACCCTCGCAACCGACCCTCTAAATCCAAACCACAACATCTCAAGCCAAACAAAGCAAACCCTCTACAACCACAGACGATCCCAGTCTTCAACCGAGACCAGCATCGCACCCTGGCCAATCTTCAAGCACTCCTACCCATCGCCCATCACCCAACCCTCACGCAGGCGCCTTCACAACCTCAATAACCTTCACAACCTCCCCATCCGACAACGCCCTCCTTCTCTTGACGGGTGCCGCGCCTTCCGTCTGTACGTGAGGAGGCGGCGAGGGCGATGGAGAAGTTTCGGCGATCGTGCGTTTTGCTGGTGTCATAGTAGGCATCGCGGGCGCTGTAGTAGGGAGAGGTCGGGGTGATTCGAGTGCGGGAGGAGGTTCCACGTTCTGCTCTTCGACCACGGTGGCTGTGGTCTTCTCCACCTCCATCGGTACCACCTTGTCCTCTTGCAACGTCTGTTCCTCAGCTACAACGACCACCTTCCCAGTCTCCTGCTCCATCTCCCCCACCTTCTCCACTACTGTCACCTCCTCTACCTCCACCTTCTCCTTTGCCGCCCCACCCCTCTTCTTCTTCCTTTTCGCCTTCTCCTGGGGCGGCTGCGGCACGGGCAGTGGTCGGAAGTAGGGCTGCGCAACCCAATGCGGCATAAGCCTCAACCCCGTCTTCGGACACGTCGTCACGAGGTCTTCGAGGGGTATAGTACCATCCTTCGTCGCTTCTTTCGCATCGCGCTGTATACGGGTGAACGTCAGCAACCGCATCCCGACGTCACTTCCTCAACCCCAAACTGAAATCAAAACCAGAAAAAACCACTCACCTCCATCCTAACCCTCATCTCCTCCACAATAGCCACACACTCCCTCAACCACTTATCCCCCTTCTTCCCTTCACTATCCGCATCACCGCCTTTACCCGGTTTCAACCCCGTCCGTCCCAACCGTTCTCTAAGATCCAATTCCCTGGTTAGGGCGGGCCGCATGAGTTTGAAGAGGTGCCCTTTGACGGCGCTGACGGGCGTTTTGGTTTTGAGCGAGAGGACGATGGAGAGGTATTGGGAGGCGAGGGTGGTGTGCATTGGGTAGAGGTCGGTGGTCGGGGGTTTTGGGGAGGAGGAAGGGGCGTCTGGAAGAGAGGAAGGAAGCAGGGTGAGTGGTGGGGATGGTGAGATGGGAGGAGAGGAGTACGCACCGAGTCCGTAGAATAGTGCGGGGTTGTAGAGGATGCCTTCGGCGCTCATCACGCCGTCACACCCTGTCTCCTCCAAACACCGCGCGATGTCGTCTTGGAAGAGAATGTTCCCATTCGCGAAAACGGGTACTTTGACTGCTTCCTTCACGGCGCGGATTTTCGACCAATCTGCTAGACCCTGTGATACAGAGATATAATTCAGAATGGTGAATGGATGGGGTTAATGAATGAGGGAACGCACGGTATTTTGACCCCGCTGTTCTCGTATCCGTCCGTGGCATGTGAGGATCTGAGCTCCAGCTCGTTCGAGCATTTTTGCGTATTCAACCGTCTTTTCGACGTCGGGGAATACACGGAATTTGGCCGTGACGGGTATAGAGAGGTTGACGTGGAGGGTATTGACTGTCCACCAAGACCACCACCATCAGCGCTCCGCCTTCCCCCTCGAAGAGATTGAACACTCACTCATGCTGTAAATCAGAGGCCAGTCGTCCTGCAAAAACGATCCATATCTCCCCCGTTTTGCGATATCCTGCGGGCACCCTAGGTTGATATCCACCGCATCACAGTACTTTTCTACCACTTTGGCGCTCTGGAGGAGCTGGTCAGGATCGTTGGCGCAGAACTGGACGATCAAAGGTCGGTCAGACGCCATATCGCCTTCTTCGCCAGAGGCAATATCGAATGCTGAAGCTCGATAGCTCTTGTTAACGGGGTCCGTGAACATCTACAGGCGGTGTTAAGCTCTACATTCTTGATTGGTGAAGGAAAAAGGTTTTGTGTAGACGCACTTTGGCGTTGATCATGGGTGTATAGATAAGTTGAGCACCATATTGTCGACATAGCCTTCTGAAAGCCTGTCAATAGATGAGCATGATGAGGAAACGAGTATGGATCGTGCTCACCAGCTCGCTCTGGTCCACCATAGGCGCTACGATATACTTCGGGCTCCCCAGTTTGCGATAAAAGTCGTACCCTCCCAGCTTTTCGATTTTGGGTGTCGACGTGCATGCCGACGTCGATGCTTCAGGTTGCCCTTGAGCCATTGTCGCTATAGTTCGAGGAGTAAAAGCCGTGTTCGTCGTCCTAGCCGTTCGAGAGGATAACACCAGCCGCGACCTGGCAAATTCTACTAAAAATACAGTGCGCGAGGCACGACAGAGTCGGAGGGCTGCTGGAATGGCTAAGACTGTTCGCTCAGAGGCGGTGAGATCGAACTATTGTTGACGATGACCAGGGCTTCGTGGTCGTCGTCGACGACGACGTTGAGGAAGGGTGTAAAGGACGATGGCCAACCTGGCCCGAAATTTCCGGTTTGTTTGGCTGTGCTGATTGGGAGGGATCAGCCGGCCGCTGATGGCATCAATGCCCCATGCAGCCTCTGGTCTCCTCTGGTGCGCGGCACAGTGCTTGGAATAGATGGTAAAGACTAGGACACCACATCCACCTCAAGCCTTCCCGGTATATTAGTCGTATGCTGCTAGCGTGCCTCATTTTCCGAGCAACTATGCCTTATCCTTGTCCGATCCGAACGGCTTGACGCATAGATAAGTGACCGTATGAGCAATATAATAGAAGGCTGTTACTTAACAGCTCTCAGGTTCACCAGGTCCACATCGCCTCCTCTTCCACCAACCTCATACATATCTCGCAGCGGCGTTCAGTCTAAGGACTCCCACTAATGATGTTCTCCCCTCCCCTGCGCTGCGACCGTCCGGCGTCGCTTCCACCTATTTGGGCGAAGATCCACGCACAAGGAGAAATCTGAACTCACCTGGGCTCCCCACCCTGATCTCAAAGAGCCCCCTCTCGACCACTTGTATGCAGAAACCCCGCCGACACCAACGTTCAAGACCTCGCCCTTGCCACCCTTGCAGATCTTTATTACGACAGAGATTATCACGGAGCCCCCTACCGCTGTACATGTAGACGAGGAGGAAGATCCACTGGCAGATGTTCCATACGGAGATCATAACATAGTCCATTCGTACGCAAAGGCCCATCTCTCACCCTCACATCCTCTTGATCCCAGAGAAGATGCCTATTGTGACTTTTCCGACACTGACGAAGAGCGGGCGAGTTCTGAGGTGGAGTCGGAAGGAGATTCTGCGCAGTGACTCCTACTGTTGTAGCACAGTAGCTGTAGCTGAGGCGGCGAAGCAGAGAAGGCGAGTTCATTCGTATGCGAAGGCTCATCTCGAAACCTCGCATCCTCTTCATCCAGATGAAGGCTACCTTTCGGACGTCGATGACGAAAGGCTGTTTTGGGAGTTCTTTGGAATGGTTCCCGAGAGGGAACAGGAAGGGAAAGCCGGCGCTACCGATCTCCATATTGAATATCCTCTTACTGCTGAAGATGAGGGGGATGACAGACAGTCGACGAAAGAAGCCTGAAGGCAAGTCCATTTATATGTGAATGCACGTCTAGATCTCTAACTTGACACATCCTCTCCATCCAGGACAAAGTGTTTACTGCTACGTTCCGACCCTCGATGAAGAAAGAAGGTTTTGCGAGTTTTTCGGGATGACTCATGAACTACCGGCACAGCCAGATCCACATACTGCAATTATCTCCATTGTAAACTCGGGAAATGTGACAACAACGTCAATCGTAGGGTCTTTCAATGATAACTCCCACCACATGCACAGTAAGCATTCGGAATTCATTTTGGTTTCATTGTATGAGGCGCCTCTGACCATCTCCAACAGATGAAAGGGGGGATACAACGAGTGATGCACAATTGGAGGAAACCTTCCCTGTCCATCACCCAGAATCTCCCGGAAATTGGGAAGGGACTGCGTACAGTCCTGGAATTACCATCTTTTTGTTCCATTATCTTTCTGTTCTGTTTGGGGGCCTAACATTACTCCTTGTGTATTCGTTCTACTACCATTACATAACAGAATAAAACCAATCGTAAGGAAGAAAACTCTGGATGGCTGACTACCGCGGGCAAACTGAATTAGGCGCTCACGGGCCGTCGGTTCCGGTCGGAACTGTGGGAGCGGGGTGTTGCGGAGTCCGCGACCGTCCGCCCGCAGTCCACAGTCCGCAGTGGGCATGTTTCCTCCTTTCCGCCACCTTTCTTTCAGCCTGCCATCCCCATTCCAGACGTCCTCTCACACTCAAGCAGTTACGAATCGAAGTGGGTATCGTTAACCATCCGACTCAGTGTGTCTAGCGACTCCAGCCTAGGTTCTTCGAGCATGAAGAGTCCATTCCATTATTCCGCACACCATTCCGCTACTGCCGCAGTCTCCGATGCGATTTGAAGGGCACACACTCTAACTAGAAATATTTAAAACCCCCTTGACCTCTTGTAGGGGGGCTCGATGTCGACGCGGGTATCACTGAACGACGACTCATCTGGATCGACATACTCTAAACCCTCATCTTCGTCTTCATCTTCACTCGCGCTCACCGCCTGCCCGCCATTCACAGATACCCCGCACTTGATCCCCTTCTTCATGCACCTGAAACACCTCTTCCCCGGCGACATGCGATTAAGCGGTCTAGCATCTTCTCCCAGCATTTGACCACTCGCGCTGACCCTTGGTTCGATCCTTCGCAAGCACTCGGCGTCAACATCATTACATCCTGGACATGGGTATCGCGATGGGAGGTAACTGTCGGTCCAAGTCCCCGTTGGTTCTGGAGAAAAGGTCCGCTTCGATGGTGCTTTGTTTGGGGCTGGGTCGATCTGAAGGAGTTGTTTCAAGTAGTCCAGCTTCTTTCCATCTTCCTCTTTTTTCACCCCCGCCGATGTGTACTTCCAACGCCTATCATCCACGCCTCGTCTTGACAAGTGTTGGAAGGGCCTATGGCTTCTGCTCGATCCTTCCTCTATAGCCGTCGGTTCGTCGTAATTCAGTCCTTGAATCGTCGCCCTTGCGTTTCTGAGGGCATTCGCCAGTCCCCTGAAACCCACAGCCTAGCCTTCTCTTCGGCCCTCTTGGCCTCGTCCAGTTCTCTCTGGACTCTTTTCATCCTCTCTTTCTCCTTCATCTCTTTCTCCTCCCTTTCCCGCCTCTGCCGCTCTCTTCGCTCTGCCTCTTGCTTCTCTAGTTCCTCCCTCTCTCGCACCAGCTGCTCACGTTCCACCCTCTCGTTCTCCTCCATCTCTCTTTTCTTTTCCTCCATTTCAGCCTTCTTCGCGCCCAATTTCGTCTTCGCCGACACAGCTTCAGCTTTCAGCTTCCGAAACGTCTCGTCCACCTTCGCCCTCTCTTCCTCGATGCTCTGAAGCACCTGACGTGCAGTCTCGACCCTCTCTTGGATGAGCTTAACCACACTCTTCCTTGTCTTCACTCATCTCTGCGGTTTGGCATTCCTCTTGAAGCTCCTTGATCTCGCGGTCGTATCGCTCGGCGAGCTCCGACCATCTTTGACTCCCGGAGAGGCTAGGGCTCGAGAGGATTGTGCTCATTCTGGTGGCAACATCGTTGCGTTGCTTGGTGGTCATGCCGAATCTGTGTCGAGTGGAAGAGAAAATCGAAGGGACAGGGCTGTCCTTTGCGTTGCTGGCATTGGCCATGGTGATTCGTGGAGGCGACTCGTTCCACACGGGGGAATCGAGCAAAATTTATACCATGACAGCGACCTTTTTGAACCCGCTTTATCACCGCCGTTCAACTCCATCAGAACTTTCCCCACCCTCATCACGGATTGTTTGCTTCGAATACTGTTCGAAATCGACTCGACTGGTCACCGGTTGGAATACCATGTGGGTCACCCTGCGCACATCATATCCCTTTGATCCTTTGTGGCTTTTCGCAGTCGGTTCTCTGTCCCTGCAAGTTTACCCTGGGTTCCTCTTGATCACACACAACCTTTCAAGTCGCTCAAATGTTTCGCAATGCCACAGGAACGGTAGATATCGATTACGCTACTCCTCCCAATCAGACGAAAAACTGACATAGTGGGTCATCTTGGTTCACCCTCTATGGGATGTCGGAATTTCCAGTTCAGAGTCTTCACTTTCATCGTCTGCCCTCGCCGAAGGCGCTGCCTCTTCGCTCCTCCGTTCTAGCTGGTATAGCGTAGGTCCACGACCGGTATCGCCGTCTTCGCACTTGACGCGCTTTGGCTTTCTGTCCTCGTCCGACTCGCTGTGCTCCTCTGACGCAGGTGAGCTGTCGCCCTCCTTGGCGAGAGGGTCCTTTGGGATTCGGGTAACACCACAGCGAATGCCCCTGACCCTGTACCGGAAGCACCGGGTACCACTGGCACTTGCGCTGTCCCAACCGACCAGGACACCCTTCTTGAACCTCGGTTCCAGCTTTCGCTGGCAGGGAGTGGGATGGCCGACACATCCCTGGCAAGGAAATTGAGAGATGATGGTGTATTCGGACTCGTCGAGAGGTGACTCTTTGTCTTCTTGCGTGGGCTCGGTGTTGCGGAGGAATCGCGTTTTCGTTTCTCTGAGGCAGGTTTACGCACGTCTTCGGATCCTGTGTCGCAGTCGTCGCTTAACCCTCTCTCTCTCTCATTGCAGTAGTGTTTCCTCCCGTACTTAATATCCCAATATGTCACAAGCATCCAATAGAGATTCAAGTTTGGTATTGTGTCGAAAAAATCTCGAGATTGAAGGGGAAACGGTGAATGGGATTGAGAGTGCTGAAGGGACAGGACTTCTCTGCTGCAGTGATTGAGACATAAACGTGATAGCGAGACTTCAAAATACGATTGAGATAATATTCTGTGTCACTCTAAGATTGGTCTACATAAGGCTATCATTAGGTCGACTTCACCTTCTTTTTAGGTTGCTCTTCTCCACCACTCTCCACCATCTCCACAGGATCAACGTACTCCAACCAGTCCTCCTCATTGTACTCTTCTCCCTTTTGGGGAGCCGCAGGGGCAACAGCGGGATCGGGATCAGGAGGAGGCAGCGTGCATCCTCCTTTGGGACTCTTGCGAGTGCAATTGAAGCATCGCGTGTTGCGCTGGGTCCGCATGGTCGGTGCTCCGCCAACGTCAACAAGAATACCTTGCTCGTTGACGGTTACTTCCTCCTTTCGTTTACAGACGAGTTTGTGGGTCGTGCACCAACGACAGGGATACTTAGACTCAACTGCGAAATCCTTCTCGCATGGTTTGGACTTGCTGCACTAATAGCGAAGCTCAGCAAAAGGGTCAGTTTTGAAGTCCAGGATTGACACACCTTGGTACTCATGGTCGAAATCGACTGCGGGTCGTTGGCATCGGACTCGTCGGTGGAGGACATATGGAATGAGAGATGACGGATGTCGGGGTTGAGCTGGAACGAGCTGCGACCAACCGTGCTGTATCTCATCCTGGGCCAGACTGATCCGTCAACTAACGATGATCCATCTATATCCCTCTCGCGTTTGATCCCTACGGACGTGCTCTCTCTTCGTTCATGTAACTCCCGAGCCTTCCTCTCCTGCTCTTCTCTTCGTCGCCTCTCTTGCGTTCTCCTCCTCTCCTCGCATCTATCCCAATCCACCAACTCCGCCTCTAGATTTGCCATCTTGCTGGCTCGAATGACCTTCCTCTCCTGGTGCTGAACCTCTTCGTTGTGGACCCGCCGAAGTGCCTGCTTAACCCGTCTTATCCTCTCCTCTAGTTCCCCGCACTGGTTCTCCAGATCCACGCGTTGCTTATTCCTCGCCTCGCTCTCTTCATCACAGGCTCGTTCTTTTTTCTGGAGGCTTCGTAGCTCGCGACGGGCGGTTTGAATGTGTGGAGGGTCGGTGGGGCGGATGGTGGTCAACGACATCGCCTCAAGTGTCTATAAGCTGAAGCCAGGATTAAATGAATGCCCACTTTATAGGAAATATAAACAGAAGGGGACGAACCTCTCCAGAGCACAGCGGCTAAGGTCGAATCTCGAAATGAGGGGAAGGAAGAGAGCAGAACACGGAAGTAAATCGAAATTGGCTCCCATTTTATACCGCCATGAACCACAGCTTGCGCAAAATTATCACACGCTTCCCATCCCCTTTTTCCAATTTGGACGATTCTGCGGACGAGAGCTCCCCCGTATAACATAGTCTCAGCCGAGATTTGACGCAGACGCATGAGCCTGCGATCCTCGGCGTTGAATCGAGCTTGGAACATAGTCTCAGCTGAGACGCGTCTCGGAATCAAGCTTGACATTGGATGGAAATACGGAAATTTGGAAATGCAGACACCCTGGTTGGGGTGATGAAATCGGGTCCTCGTTGAAGACGTCCCAACCGGGGTTTCCGCCAATTGGTACATCATAGCTATGGTCGCGGCCGCGACATCCCCATTGGGCGTCCAATGTAGATTGCCCGGCCGCGGTGTCGAGTCCCGAATCCCGATGTCCATGTCCTGGACTCCTACGTAGGATTTCCAGATCTTTTTTCACGTCGAGATTGGCCATCGACGGTGAGGTGTGCTGATGATGGCCTAGGTAGGACCTCTCTTCCGAGCTCGGTTGAGAATCTTGGGTCAGGTCGAGCTCGGTCAAGCTTGTCCATCAACGATGAGGCGCGTCGATGATATCCGTACCGTGCATACTTCCGAGCTCGAAATCAATTCCCAGCTGGGCTCTGGGTTTTCGTGAGTCGGTTAATACATGGGAAACCGTAATAATTGAAGAGGAAGTCGACGCTGAGCTGTATTTATTCGTAAACCGGATGGGCGTACTACATTGTCCACATCTGGAGCGCCCGGAGGTGCTCAGACACAGGCTGAGCGCTGAGGGCTGAGGCCTGAGGCCTGAGGCTTGACACGCTCAAGTAATGTCGCTCTCCCTGACAGACGATGGTTCGGCTATCGCAAAGGTGCATATCTCCATCGTCAGGATGGTGATAATCTCGTCTGTTACCAATGGTCGGGATGACGACCTCCCCCCTCGCTCCCACCAGTCGGCCAGACTTTGACCACAGCAGGCTTTGACCACTGGGCACGACCTGGCAACCAAAGCTATGCGTTGGCCATGTTGAGGTGGTATACACCCTCACGATGTCCTGGCACCCTCGGATACAGTCGCTAGTATACCACCACCGATCAAAGCACCAAATGGCGGTCAAAACATCCCTGACCCGCTCATTAGGCCTTCGTTGCATCTCCCTTTTCCATTCGCAGGTCTATATGTCTGGTCCTCGGCGTGATCATTCCAACCATAATAGTACTAGAACTCGGCTAATACTAATCTGGTTACGGCTCGCAAAACAGGCAACCTATGCTTGCGGCAGAGTTAATCTTGCAACTAAGACATTCTGTAGACACCAACTATTACCCTGGTCCGACCACATCGCCTTGTTGAGCCCACGAGTCTGAGACATATATATAGAGGTGTTTTTCCTGTCATCTCGTTAGGCCTTTGGCTGTTCTTCCGCATCCGACGGCGATGGCACGAAAACCTGTAAGCCTCAGTTGAGTCATGATTGGCCGAACTAATGCTCTTTATCCAAGGTCTCCACTGACAACAAAGCCCTCAATTTGCCGCATCTACCGGCGGAACTGTGGGAATCCATCCTAGATCACCTCATCTCAGATGCCAGGTTCGCCATTTTGTCGAGACAGGACGCGACACAGACACATTTCGATGGCGTCCCGCGATGCGCGTTCCGCGACATTCTCCAGGTATCCAAAGAGTCGGGGACTGGTATCCTTTCACTCTCGACATTCTCTATGTTCCGCGCGGCATTGCTCCCTGTCATATTCAACCAAGTCGTTCTCCACTCGTCTCGTCGCGTAAAAACCCTTCACGAAATCATTAAAGAAAACAAAGATATTCTGAGACATGTCAAGTCCCTGGTCCTTCAACTTTCAAGTAGGCAAACTGCAGGATCATGGGCCTCGGAACCATCAAACCTCGGCGCCGTCATTTCACTGCTGAAGGAAAACGTCGAAGAACTCCACATCCAAAGCGACGCCGGGCATCTGCAGTGGGACGAACTTTCGGTCACAATCAGGGGGGCCATCGAGAACCTCATGCGCCACGGGCACTTATGCACCCTCCAGTTAACACGCATGCGATTCTCTCGAGGTTCCTTCGACTCTCTGAACTGGACGTGGCTCAAGGAGCTTTCATTGTGCTGGGTCTCAGTAATCCTTTGCGAAGGGGAGAGTCCCAGCTCGGAGAACAGCGAGCCAGTCTCCCTCACGACACTGAAGGTACACCACTCAGACCTGTGGCAGTTGGCTGACCGATCGCGCTACCCTCACCTTCGTACACTTATGATGGATGAATGGACTTGGCATCGCGCAAGTGACTCTATCGAAGATATCATTCATTCTTCCAACAATCTGGATTCTTTCGATCTCGTTAGTGGAACGAGTGAGTGACCTTTACACGTCGAAAGGTGGGGGACGTTAGAGACTAACCCCGATCTGTAGATCCTCGAGGCAAAATGCGACGTGCATTCCCCTTCCCAAATGTGCGATTACATTTACCAGCCATTGGAATGGATGGTAGTTCAGTATGGACTCTGCTTGACGAAGCCGCCCAGATAGTCAGTCGAAACACGGCGGAAGACAAGTCGAAACTACGCCATCTCACCGTCGCTTTCTATCACCTCAATCCGGACTCTAGAAGAGACGTCGACTGCAAGCTCGGGGACCAACAAGAATGTATAACTTCCTTTCTTCAGGTTCTGGGTCAAGAACCCTTTCGTGCGCTTCAAATTCTCCACTTGGACTTTCGAACCCTGGGATTGGGCGAGCTAGAGGCGGACTCTGTCAGGAAGATGGTTGAACTTAGCGCAGGGCGTCATAAACCTCCTTACAAGATTGTCTACATGTTTTCTTAATCGGATATCCTCTGTATTGCATCCTTCTGTAACATACGGTTACTTTCCATCTCCACTTGCTAAGTATTGGCTGTCGGCATCTTATTTCGCAGCAATTTCCCCGCGTTTTCGAGGAGCAATGAGATCCAAATGATCGGAATTGGTTCTCAACGGAACCATCAAATCAGGCACGCAGCATCATTCTGATCATCAAACCCATCCAGTCGCCCTCCGGGCTCGTTCCTTCACTGGTACTTACCAGCACCAAAGCTCTCTGCCATATTCCGCCGTCGGTATTCGAGATTCCGACCAATGAGAGAAGCGCTTACATTGAAATTCCCCGAACCCAGTCCTCCTATCTAGCTTTACCCAATTCTGAATCGCCGAGATCTACCCAAGGGCAAGTTTAGAAAGTTCCCAAGATTCCAGCCCCCGTGAGATCGAGCCTCACTCAGCAGCGGCCAACCGAGCGGCGAGGGAACCCAGCGATCGAGTCGGGGTGCAAGCAACTGTACGACATTGTGGAAGCGGATTGGGATGATGACATCTGGCGCATGGCCTGAACTGAGAATTCTTATAACTTCTACTCCAGGCGACCTAGACTTATGGACGGCGTAGTGTGAGTAGTGAGACGAGGAATTGAAACGCCCTCAACAGCTATCCGACTGCATAACAGAACCTAAGGATTGTGGCGTCGATGGGAATCGAGTTTCATTCGTGGGTTTCCGCCGGTTGCGTCCCTCACGACCATGCGTTCTCCATCGTCTCGTTTGGCCCCCCACAGCCCGCAAGTCACGAGTGTTCACTGTCTTTTTTGTTACCGGTGCTGTGATACTCGATATTGCAGCCCCTGAAGGTGAGAATGTTCAAGGCATGGGCGACCCACGGTGAGGTTCTGTGTCCGAATAGACTCAATGTGAATAGGTCAATCTGAGCTAATCTTTCGCAGTGAATTATTGGACGACGTATAAATCCACTGCAAGAGGCCCTTCACCAAATTCCAGCTCGAAGAGCGTTGAGGATTGGCTGATCATCATATGGGGTAACCATCCGTGATCATTGGCCAGCGCGCCCCTCCCAAGAAAAGCCAAGCTTGCGGCTGTCTCCACACCGGTTTTCAAAAGCAAGGCTGCCGACGTGAATCGTTATGAGAGGGGCGGAAAGGTGTTTATATATGTAGACTTGGAGGGGAATACTTTCGACTTTTCGTTCCTTTTCCTCCTGGGGCCATTCGGTATCTTCATCCTCGTCGACCTTTCATCGGCTTTCGCTTTCTTCAGGTGGTCGGCGCTGGTTTTTGCAACAGCCCTTGGTCCTGTGCTTTTCGACTCTTCGGTAGCAAGATGGTGGACGTTCCGATGACGTTTGGAGCCCTGCTCATTGGTGGCATCCTAGCCGTAATGTGAGTGAATTTCTTTCGACCAGCCTTATTGGGACCAATATGGTTTTTGCCTTGCCTGTTGTGACGCGAGCGTTTCGAACGTTTCGGAATTTGGTGCTGAGCGTTCATGACAACAGGTTCTCGGGACTGACGATAGCCCAATCTGTCGTCTTCCTGAAAATGTACCCGAAGGACAAGATTCTTGTCAAGCTTTTGGTTTTTGGTGTATGGTGCGTGATCAGCGTATTACTTCACGAGGGGGACTTAGAGTCTGAATTGCATCATTCTCTTGGGACGTCAAGGCTGCTCGATATGCTTCATTCGTTTTTCGTTTCGCAAACTCTATGGAACTATCTAATCGTGAACTTTGGAAACCCTGAAGGAATCGATGTTATTCCAACGTGAGTTTCTACGTTTGGTTCTATTATCTAGGGAATCTAATTAGCGACATTCATTTACAGGAGTCTCGCGGTATGATGGAGTCTTCATGCCGCCCTGGTCGATCGAGTTAACTTACTCGATCTGTAGCTTACCATCGTCGTGACTGCTATCCTTACTTTCGGTGTTCATTGGTATGTACACTCTCGCTGTGTGGGTAAATCTAGGCTCGACCAGATGACTGACCCTCGAGATTCGATTGACAGTTTCTTCATCTATCGCATTTTTGTCTGTGGGTTGCACCTGCTGTTCTCTCTGTTTTGGCTCTGATCACCTGGACTTCCTTAATCAGTGGCCAAAAATAACTACTTCATTGCTGTTCCGATCGTACGTCGCTCGCTGTTTTTTCGTGGGGACTCACTGACCTCCTCCAAGCTTCTTACCGCAGCCGCCCGTCTATGTGAGTCTCTCTTGTCTACAGCCCTCCGAGTCGTAGATCACTAACGAACGGATTTCGTTATCTCTAGGTTTCGCGTGCTGTGAGTGACTCTGTTTCAAACTGGGCTGGCGTCCTGTGCTTAACACTCTTTGCCTCCGTTAGTGACGACCTCGAAGTTGATCGAATTGAGGAGTCTCGAAGTCTTTGTCAAGTTGTACACGGTCAGTATTAGCCGACTTCTGTTTCTGAACACGGTGATTAAGCTCCCGACAGTGGTCGTTTACTACTGGCTTGACGCTTTCGGCCGTCGTGGATGTCTTCATCACAGGGTTCATGTGCTACCTTCTCCGCACCAGGCGAAACCAGTATTCTAGGTAGGCTTTGCTTTGCCTCCCGACCTGCGTAGTACTGATCTGTGATCATTAGTATGAACAAGGTTCTCGACACTTTGATCCTGTATGCGTTCGAGAACGGAGTTCTTACAACGTGAGTCCTCGTTCAATCCAATGAATCCATGGATTTCTGACTCTGTCGCACAGGTTGGCTGCTCTCCTCTCTTTGATCACGGTACCGTATCTCAAGCTCCGGCAAAGCCATCGCCATTCTAATCCGATTCTCTCCAGTGGTTGACGATGAAGCATAACCTGATCTTCCTAGCGACGCACTTCATCATCATCAAGTGTAAGTTTCCATTGCCCATTTATGTGAGGAATGGCCTGCTGACGACTGAGCTATAGTTTACGCAAACTCTCTCCTGGCGACGTAAGTTCTCTTGCAGACAAACACCGACATGTACTCACCCAGAGTGTTGTAGCCTGAATGCTCGAAAGCAGCTCCAGCCCGGTGGAATCACCATGCATGCCACCAACCTTCGATCGAATTCAGTGAGCGGCGGGGTCTCCGAGCCCATCGTACTCGGGTCCGATCCTTTCAGCAGGAAAGCTCGGAGTAACAATTTCCATGACTCTGTTGGCGTTGTCGAGGAAGAGGAGATGAAAGACACGCAGGTACGCGCTATCGCCCCACTTTGAAGATCGCGACACATCGTGGACTGGTCGAACACCTATTTAGCTTCGCATTACCGTTAATACCACTCACATGCGCATCACTGATTCGAGGGAGAACCTTAGTACTCCTGCGTCAGGACGGGGTCAGAGTAGCGCTGTATAGGAAGGGTTTGGGTTCCAAGGACGTCTTGCGATTTTATTCAAGTTTTGTTCGCTCTTTCCCATCTTCCACTCTTTCTATGGTTTGGGCCCGATCCCCTTGTTCATGTGCTTGTAAGATAGGTCTATACCCTGTAACATTACCGTCCTTATAAAAACAAATTGACATTTAAGTGAACTGTCCTTGGTACGATACATACTCCCCATAAGTATATTACTCGTACATTATCACGGTACATCCCAGCAGCGTCAATAGAAACAACAAGGGTATTAGTAGAAGTGGCAACAGCGTCGAGGTGGTAAGGAAGGAAGTAGGGTCGAACAACACGAAGGAAGCGTCAGTGTGATGGTGCGATTAAAATGAATGTGGTATTGTCGTTGAAGGGGTATAGTCATGTAGGAATGGAGGGTCGGTCATTGTCGCGATCAACGAGGACTTGAGTTGTAGGCCGTCGAGAGGCTCATGGTCGAGCGTGACTTCTCAAGGACTTTATTCGCGACTTCAGGGCCGTACTGTTCTGCGAGTTGACTAAGAGGAAGGAGGTCAGAGACGTACACGAAAGAGGAGAGAGGACGAACGCAGCGTATTGATCCATGATGACCGCCATGGAATCCGGGTTCAAGCGGTATGCCTCCGGCATCATGCCTTTTCCAAATCGATAAGTGACGTGGTTCGAGCACAGCAGAGCCGCAATCATGACGAGGAGGTGCGCAGGTACGATGGAGAATGCAATCTTCCAGAAAACCCCAAGGATGTGACGTTGGTAATCCAAGTACGGCTTCTTGCAACCTGGAAGAACGCTCCTGGAGTAGCAGGTTTGGGTGACGGTTGCTTCGACATACGGGCTGAAGTAGCCGCAACAGTGGAGTTGAGATTGGATGCGCATGCGAGCCACTGGACCGAGACGACGTGACCACTGCTCGTTAACCTTGCCTTCGAGAGAGTAATTTTGTTTGCGGAAGGTGAGATAGCCGGGCGCGACAATGAAGATGAAGGTAATCCAGGTGAGAAGGCAGTAGACGGCGAGGAAGGCACGATTGTTGAGGAGGATGCCGGCCCATCCAATAAGGGAGGTAACAAGGCCGAGGACTGCGGCTGTCGTGCTCAATGCGAGCTCGGTGTGGTTGCCAAACCGGATAATTTCCGATTTCTCGAAGACATTGAACCAGGTGAGGAGAATGATGATCATGGCACCGAGAGAGTATAGTGTTAACTGCGATGGGACCAAGGATGTAAGGTGGCTGGCATTGGGCGCGTAACGAATGATCATGACGTACCAGGAGATTAGAAAAGAACAGTACCCATTTGAATTTCGTCCACCTCAAATCCTTCCCACCGATCCTGTTTTCGTTGCTCTTGAACGCAGCCAGTCCACCTCCTTGCTTCGGCACCGCAGGTCCTTGCCCAGCGCCATTCCTGTACGCCTTGCGACTTGAGAGGGTACTTCCAAATTTGGACGGGATGTAGTTGACCATCAGCGACAGGCCAGTAGCTGACCCTACTGGCGAAAGGGGAGTCGACGGTGTTGACGGACCAGGACTGGCGCCATTGTAGCGAGGGACGTCGAGGAAGGAGGCCGAGTTACGATCTGGGTTGTAGTCGGCGAGCATGTGTCGTGTCGAGCCTGCTGCTGAGTAGGCTGACCCTGCAACGGAAGCTCTGCGAGAAGAGCGTCTGAGGTCAGTTAGTCGGCGTCGTCAAGGGTGGAGGTGACCAATGAGATTCGATTGGTCAGAGATGAGCGACAGATGGAGACAGACAGGAATAATCTGTCACCCGCACACAATGAGATATCAACTCACGGAGAATCCTGAATGGAGAAAGGAGAGGGCGCCATCGTTCAAGTTGCGACGAAACGCAGTCGGGATGCGTTGAAGGGTGGAACGAATCCGACAGCGTTGCGTGAGGGCCGTGAAAATGAAGGAGAGGAAGGTCGTGCAGCCACGACAGCGACAGCGAACAATGAGGTAACCGTTTGGGAACCAAGCAAGAATCGAAAATTGGAGCAATGTGTGACAAGAAAAATGTAAGCAAGATGATGTGATGGCTTGGGAGATGACTTACAGATACCGGATCCGGACGTTCACTCTGGCATGAACTATTGCTGTCGAGGTAGAGAGACCATACCCGTTGCATGGACCCTGAAAGCTCGAATATAATACAGCTAAAAATACAACACAAGGCGGAAGAAAAAAGCTGGTGAGAGAACGAGAAAGAAAGATAAAAAAGGCCGTTGGAAGCTGGATCCCGTGCCAAGTATAGGTTGTCTTTTTCTAGACATCCCTTCGGGGGTAATGTCGATATGTCCACTTCGACTGCCGGCGGGGTCATAGGTGTTTAAAACCACTTCGCGTACCTTTCATGTCGCCTCGGGACTTCGCTTGACGCTGCAAGGGTCGGCAAGTAACATCAGAGAGACGCATACCTCAGGGAATTATTCCTCCTGGGACCCATTCCTCCTGAAGCCCAGTCCTCACCACCAAGCCGCTCGACTCTAAGGCTTTCCCACGCCAAGTCACTGCACCTGATGTCAGATGGGCGCTTATGTACTTACCGAAATCTTCCAAAAACAATTTAAGGAGCGTAACGTAGGCTCACGACCATAATAGAGTACATAAAGATCGAAGTAAAAGTAAAAGAGATCCAGATTTCCACATCCAACATAAGGCTCCGCTGCGGTGCTTCACAGTGCCCTCCGCTTCTCCATAATCGGAAATGGGGTTGGGTATAGTCTGCGAGCGCCGCTACGAGTCGCGACCCATGGAATCACATATCATTTTTAAGGGTCGGTTGGAACTATACACGAGGACTCTCCCAAAGGTAAGAGTATGCATTTGGTAATTGGGATTGACGCCAAACCACCATCTCGGATCTCTGGGTGGACTGAAACACAGACATCAAACTGTAAAATTGAGATCCATCTTTCAGAAGTAAAGCACAGCAGACTAGGCGTACAATGTCCAATGAAGTGATCAAGACCCATAGCTTTCGGCGCGAAGAACCCATTGGGATTGCCCGCAGTTAGTAGTGGTTGATGATAGGCGCCGTGAGGCGCTTAATCATTTCAACAACCCTTTCTCCACGGCAGAGCTCACCTGCCATGGTTTTTACACCCGAGGTCAGAGGGGAATCAAACTCAATGCCCTGGTTCCTATATATTCTATTGGGAGACTGCCTGCATGACGCGTCTATTCAAGTTGATGTTCTATTTGTACACAATAAGAATTTGGGAACGAAACCGGTAGTGTTGATCGTCCACTCCAGATGACCATCCTTTAAATAAAACATAAATATAAGCAAGTACCAGGTGCCGCCTTAATTGCGGGTCAGGTTACAACTGGTGGAGATCGCGGTTGTGATCTGCCCAGTTCTCTGAAATTCTTGAGATACGACAGAAACAAAATGTGCCCACTGGCGCCACCTCTCGGTTTGCCGATAGCCAAAGTTAGGAAACTCGTCCTCTGCAAGCGTATCATCGGAGTACTGGGATATGGTGCCGAAGAGTGTCTCAGAGCCTTCTGAGTTGGACTGAAGATCCTCTATGGCTTCGGATTCGGAAGAGTCGTCGTCATCGAAAGTGTAGTGGATAAGAGCTTTGGTCGAGAAGGCATCAAAGTCAGGTTCGCTTTCGTAGCCAGAGTCGCCAGTAGCGTCCGTCAAAGTTTCCTGATACTCGGAAGAGCTATCGGAGAACGAGCCTTCGTACAAGTAACCTCCAGTATCGTGATATTGGCCACAGAGACCGCATTGGTCATAAAGCTGCGAAGATGAGGTCGACTTGGGGCTAAATTCGGACGAGATGAACATCTCTAGGGGTTTAGGATGGCGCTTGGAGAAGCGGGATAGAAAGATAGAACTGAAAAAGGATTTAACTTTGGCGAATTTCATTTCCGGTGGAGATTGTCAATGAGGTTAGTCTGGCTTGAGAGGTGCTCGAGTGCGGTCAGAGAAAGATCCGACTGAGGAACGATGATAGAAATGGTGGGTCTTATGTACTAGGAACCTGGGTAACGCCAGGATAAGTGTTGTGTCAGCGCCGTGTCCAAGCGCTAAACTGGCCTATCCAAGCGCTAAATGACGGCGGTCCAAGCACTAGCCATGGTTTCTACTTCTTCTGCTTAAAGGTCAGCGGTCCAAGCCTCGCAACGCGTTGACTGTACGAGGTGTTACGTCAATTGACCTATAGCTTCAACAGGGAACACAATGAAATTGGAAAAGGAACGACGGAGTTTAAGATACAGGAACAAAGTCGCCAGGACATCGTGCGTGATTCGAAATGCAACCCCTACACACTGGACAAGTCTCCCCACTTGACTTGCTTACACGACACCATTGCCATGAGAGTTATAAACGGTCCCGTTTGGAGAATTGCCATTGTAAGCTCCGTTACCACCCTGAGCTGAATGAACGTTGTTGACAGCAGCGGCCTTAGCAGCGTGGTTGGCACCACCAAGTAAAGCCCCGTTCCAATCGAACGTCTCGACGGAAGAGAACCACACCGTTGACGTCCCAGTGCTGTGTTGAGCTTTGAAGACATAGAGGGCGAGGATAAATGCGTAGGACATGACTATTACACCATGCAAAGGTGAGAAAGAGGTTAGATGATTCTGACGCGAACCTCACACTGAAGATAAGTAACGCACAGAGTAACCAGTTCAAAAAGCTGAACGCCATCATGGCGCGACCTTCGTGGCATGTCGTGGGCCCCTGGTCGATGCTATCGAAGCCAAAGTCGCGGCTTGAAGAAGAGCAGCCCGTCAAGCGGAAGACTGGCTCAAATTGGGCTGTTTGGCCTGCGCTCGCAATCCAAAGGATCCAGATGATACCTTAGGTTTTACCATCGAGTTAGCACGTGGGAGGGGAACCGCGAGAACATGGTCAATAGTACGCACAAATAGAAGGTAGTTCGACGAAAATCTGAGCTTTGAAGGTGGCGTGTTTCTGGCGCCCAAACCAGTAGCTATGGTGTCAATGATCAGACGAGGACTGGTGTAGAATGAGAATATGCAGATACTCACAGAAGGGGTACAGAAATGAGAGTGATAACGCTCGTGGCTAAAACGAGGTGGGCGAAGGATCCCACATTAAAGCTGGAGGAACCACCAAGAAACCCAAGGGCTTTAGCACCCTTGTCGACAAAGGCGATGAAGGCCGCCGATGTTCCCAGTGCGATGAGTGTGAACAGTAGACTGATGCCTGGTCAATTGGTTAACACGTACAGGTTAGTCGATTTGGCGTTACGTTGCAGATCGGAGAGCGCACCAAAGATGATCGTCCTGATCCTGACGATGAGGTGAGGAGACCGGGTCGAGTCCATTGTCAACACTGGATGCTTGAAGGTCGAGAAGTCTAGCTATAGCTGGAGCACTAGGCTAAAAAGAGCGAGTGGCTGATAGAAAGAACGTGGAATGGTACGCCGGCTGGCAGTGTGTGCGTGGTGAGTCCAAAGGGGAAGGAATATCTATGGGGGACCAGCCTTACGCGGCCCGTCAGCGGTTTAAATACCCTGGAAACACGCCCATACCCTTATCTTCGCCGTTACACACTCCAGGAGGGAAAAGAAATCTTCTTAACTACACCTTTTTGATGCTTCCTATAGACGCTGAGAAAGACGTAGCGAAGGTGGAGATTACAGTCACTTTCCAGTTCAAACTTTCAATATCTGGTTCTATTTGCCTTGTGAATGCTTCAGGATGCTTCCCTGATGTGAACGGATGGATAACGGTGACACCCACTGGGATCTAGTTATGAGCGGTCGTATGCTTATCATTATTACTCAGGTGGATGGAGTCGATCTCTAGGACGCCCAGCAAGATTGTTGTCACTCATATCTGGAGTGAGGGCGGATATCAAATGGGTCAGAAGCCTTTCGCGGGACGCAATCGATGATGTCTCTGATGGACTGACCCTACCTGCGACGAGTCCTGGCCTTCTTAACTCTGTTAAGCGCCCATGAGAAACATGATAAAGATACAGTAGCGACCATCAATCATATCCATCATCCCGTGTAGTATGTACTGGCAGGCATGTCGCATACCAAGGTCGGAGAACGGCCTACTGGTCGTATCATTCCTTCCCAACACTGCCCACAGCTGCTTCGCCTGGCTGACGAGACCGGATATGTATCCTGGTGGGTAATAATCTCATTTGGAGATCAATCCACCGCTAATCACCAAGTTAAGTTTCCTTCCTCTTCTGATCAGAACGTGAAGGCGTGAGCACATTTGGTCGTTGGACGGGCGCTGCCAAAGAGCTTTACGAGGGGTACTAAACTCAAACTGTGGTCGCATCGTAAAGGGTTATTGTCTCGAAACGACATCCAGTGACGAGCGCTGTGTTCCAATCGTCTCTTTGACGGCTGTTTGGGTCTCGGATGAACACAATGCTTATTCCCGAGCAGACACAGTACCCCCAGTCATCTTCAACAGTACACCACTCAGCCATAATGCCCGCACAGATTGAAACCTCCGTCAGCGTGGAGAATGTCACGCTTCGCCAACATATCAGCTCACTCCCTGACGATGTCATCCTCGGGGTGTTCGAGCAGTATATGAAGCCGGGACCTATGCTTCCACGGCACTTTCTCGCTTCAACAAGACTGATTGAGTACTTCCCAGGGCGACAAAATACCTCTCCCTCCAGTGGATCGTCCATCCCTACGAGGCAATATAGCAATGTCACAGTTAGTGTATGGACCAGGAGACTGCGCCGTGCGGAATTGAGGAGAGGGAGGGCGGGTCAGGAATGGATCAAAGGTTGAAGTACGTCCGTACCGTAGTTGGGACCCGGATCCGATACGTTGACGTTGACTACGTGGATGATGTATGTGACGGGCGCGTATCCAGTCTAAGTGCCAGCTTGGACAGGTCCAGGGGGCCACCGTGTTCAGCGGTACCTGTACATATAAGGTGAAGGATGTGTGTAAATCAGTACTAAGGACGCAAACGCTGGTGGCCCAGGATGGCGACTCCTTGCTCATCCGTCTTGCCCGGGAGAGAGCCTACAGCCTACACCGACCTTGGAACCAGAGGGGTGCTCCATTGCCATTGAGGGGCATCTGGTACATTCTGGCAGGCAGGTGGGACATGTCACATCAGGAATGATGTCAGCTGGAGAAGGTCGAGACAAATCCATCCCTCCAAGCTTCAGCTTCAATATTCCAATGACTGAACCAGGAGACAGAGCAACACGTTGTACACTGCGCTTTCCAGGAAGTGAGCCGACTCCGACGATGATCGATGGTGCCGGACATACAGTATACTCCTCCAAAGGCAAAGTTGGTCCATGCGGGGTGGGAGATGCGAATCGAAGATCTCATCACCAATGGTCATGAGGGTCAGGTGTGTTCGGCGCCGGGCGGAAGATAGAGAATCAAGAACAGTACGCCGTGCATCGATAGCGGCATTACTTGAGCAGGTACTTGGAGAGCCTAAGTAAGGTCTTCCTTCCGGCCTTTTCGTGTCGAGCCTCAGCGCTCAGCCTGAGCGTCTCCAGAAGGTTCCCACAGTCCACCTGACCAAAAGATGACATAATCACATCAAAGGGAAATCGAATCGCGATTTGTGATTTGGGTTTACTGCGACCTGCGACGCGTCTTCTTGCTTGCTGTGTTCCCTCATCGTCCGTCCACTACGACCACACTCTACCGACGATGGCGCAGACTCCTGTCTTTGTTATGAGTGCGTATCCTCTTACCTTTGCTTATTGGAGGAGGATTACTGACGATCCTCTCCCTTGTTTCCCTCACCTCAATAATGATATGCAAAACTCGACTCTCAAAAACGAAAACCGAATGTCGATTCCAATTTTCGATTTTTTCATGGATCTTTTGTGGGATGGGTTGGTGCAGATACGGCGCCTGAGCGCCAATCAGGGCGTAAAGCTCAGGTTTCAAACATCACCGCTGCAAAGGTTCGTCCCTCTCCCACCTTTGGAACGATCCGTTCGCTGACGAAAAGAGGTTGGAGCAGACTGTCGCCGATGTCATCCGGACATGTTTGGGTCCCAAAGCGATGTTGAAGATGATCTTGGATCCTATGGGTGGTATCTTGTGGGTATTACTGGGTACCGAGGCAGGGAACGAGGCTGATTATGGGGACACAGGTTGACGAACGACGGCAATGCGATCCTGCGCGAAATCGACGTTGCGCATCCCGCTGCGAAGAACATGATCGAGTTGAGCAGGACACAGGACGAGGAGTGCGGAGATGGAACGACGAGCGTTATCATCCTCGGTGCGTCACCCTCCTCTTCTTCCTCCTCCTTCATCGCCATACTGAATACTGAACACCCCCTCAGCCGGTGAAATCCTAGCCCAATCTCTAGCCCAACTCGAACGGGACATCCACCCAGTGGTGATCATCTCCGCATTCAACAAAGCACTCACCACCGCCCTCCAAATCGTGAACCAAATCTCCAAACCGATCGATACGACCAACGACGAGGAGATGCTGGCGCTGATCAAGACCTCCATCGGCACGAAATTCGTCGTGCGCTGGAGCGACCTCATGTGCCGCCTCGCCCTGCAAGCCGTGCGCACCGTCGCCACCTCCGAGTCCGGGCACACCATCGTCGACATCAAACGCTACGCCCGCGTCGAGAAGGTGCCCGGTGGCGAGATCGAGCAGAGCGAAGTTTTGCGGGGGGTGATGATCAACAAGGATATCACGCATCCGCAGATGAGGAGGCTCATCAAGAACCCGAGGGTGATTCTGTTGGATTGTCCGTTGGAGTATAAGAAGGGGGAGAGTCAGACGAATATGGAGTTTAGTAAGGAGGAGGATTGGAAGAGGGCGCAGGAGATTGAGGAGGAGCAGGTTAAGAGGATGTGTGACCAGTTGGTCGAGTTGAAGCCGGATGTCGTTATCACTGAGAAGGGTATCTCTGGTGCGTGGTTTCGTTGGTTTGGTCGTTTGGGAGGGAAAGGCTGATACAGTCTGGTATGGTAGATCTGGCTCAGCACGTACTCCTCAAAGCGAACATCTCGTGCATCCGTCGGGTCCGCAAGACTGATAACAACCGTATCGCTTTGGCTGTTGGTGCCACGATCGTCAACCGCGTCGAGGATATCCGCGAGAGCGATGTTGGAACTGGATGTGGTTTGTTCAAGGTCGAGAAGATCGGTGACGAGTGCGTTTCCTCCTCCTCCCTCTTCCTCCCTCCTCCTCCCCTCGCCCCTCCCTTCCCTCCCTCTTGAAACCCGCTAACCCCTTCCTTACAGATACTTCACATTCCTAACCGAATGCGCCTCCCCAAAGGCCTGCACCATCCTCCTCCGCGGCCCCTCCAAAGACATCCTCAACGAGATCGACCGGAACCTCGCCGATGCCATGTCTGTTGCCCGCAATGTGGTGTTTAACCCCCAGTTGGTGCCTGGAGGAGGGGCGGTGGAGATGGCTGTTAGTGTTGGGTTGAGTGAGTCCTTTGTTCGTTTTTACTCCGCGCTCGATCCTCCTTTGGGTTGCGCATTCGTCGTGTCGTGTCGTGTGGATTGTTATGCAGCGTCGTTCCTTGATCCTCCCTTTCGCTCATGCTACGCCCTCCCCATCCCCATTCCGGTTCCGATTCCCACCCCCATTCCTTCTTCCTTCTTTCCTTTTTCCCTCTCTTCTCTCTCCCCTAGTCCGAATTAAATCCTGACCCCTAACCCCTTCTCCCCTCCAGACGAAAAAGCCAAAACCGTCAAAGGCGTCGAGAACGGACCCTTCCGCGCCGTTGCGGATGCGATGGAGGTTATCCCGCGTACGCTTGTTCAGAATTGTGGTGGGAATGCTATGAGGGTTTTGACTGAGTTGAGGGTGCGTAACCTTTTTTTTTCTTCGTTGCTTCGTTTGGTTGGTCGAGTTGGGGTCCTGGTTGGACTCGGCCGAGGTGGTGTCCTCGTTGGTTGGTCTGGTTGGTGGTCTGGTTGGCTGGGGTTGTGGTCGGCTAGGACTCGTGGTTGACTGGGACTTTAGTCGATCGAGGCTCTGACTGGCCAGGCGGTTTTTGTCGTTTGGGTGTTCAGGATCGTGATCATGGTGTACTGACGATATCTCCTTCTTTTTCTTTTTGGTTACGCCAACCCCCTTCGTGCTCGCGTCTCGAAACACCCCGACCCCTCGTCTCAACTGTGGTTTTTTGGTTACCCGCGGATCGTTCGTTCGACTGCGGTGTGCCATTGGACTATCCCCACCTCCCTCGATTGCACATCCTTTTGATCGTCCGCGCCGTCGCTGGTGTGCGATATGCGAACCGTCGCTCGTGCTTGCTATGCCTCGACCCTCGCTTTGCGACATTTTTACATTTCTCGTCTCGACCGTGACGAATTGCGATCTTCAACCCTCGCGATACATAATTTTCACGATCCTCCGGTCACAATCCTCCTCAATGCGGATATTCGTAATCCTCCCTTCCCGACGAACGTCGAACGATGAACGATCTTCAACCCTCCCTCCTTACCGAATGCACGACGCACGACGAACGATGAACGATTAACGCATGACGACGATCGATCGATGGACAAACAGGCCAAACATGCCAACGGCGAGTCGTCGTGGGGTGTGGATGGCAACTCGGGCAAGATTGTGGATATGAACGAGTATGGGCTTTGGGAGAGTGCTAGTGTCAAGGTGAGCTTTCGGGTTATGATTGATGTCTTTGTCTTTCCTTCTTTTGTTTTTATAAATCCTTTCGTTTTTGTTTTTTTGTTTTTGTTCTGGATTGTGGGTTGTTCGTTCTTTTGGGCGTGGTGGGACTTTCTTTGGATTCGGACCTTTCCTTCCTTCCTCTGTTTCTTTTGGCTTGGGGCGAGATGCGTTCTGCTCTCTGGGTCTTAATATTTCTTTCTGCGTTTGTGGTTCGAGTTCGATTGGTCTCTGGGATTTGGGACGACCCAAGTGGATGGGGAGGTTCTTCGGTGGGACGAGGGAGGGTGTATTTCGTTAGTTCGGTGACGATGGCTTTTGGGCTATTCCCTTTTTGGGGCTCTCGGATCAAGGCTTGGGCTCGGTGAATCAAGCCGGTGGCTGTATGATTCTTGAGACCCCGGACGCGATTTTGGATGTGGGGATCGGGGTGTGGGGATCTGTGTCTGTGCTTTGTGCGATTTGGGGTTTTGTGGGTGGGATCGTCGGTTTTGTGGGGTTTTTTGGGTTATGTGGGATCTTGGATTTGGTGGATCTGCGTACAGGGTCGACTGCGTTTGGCGTTGATCGATGAGGTTAAGGAGTGGTGTGTCGGGGGGATGGGACGCTTGGTGGGATCAGCTCTTTAACGTGGTTTGTTCCTGGTTAGCTGGGCAGTTAATCAAGAGCGAGGGAGTGATACCCTTTTTTCTTGTTTTTTGCTTCTTTCTCTTTCTCTTTGTCGGGGGACGTTGCTTTCCTTGTTTGTTGACTACGGAGAGGATCGACCTTTCCTCTTCTTTCTCTTCGGGCCTGGTTTTTCTTTTTTGGTTTGGGAGGCTGAGGTTTTGGGGGATGGAGGATGGAGATGGAGTTGGGGATATGAAGTCGATCTTGGGATGGACGATTTAGCATTTTGATTTCGTCTTTTTATCGCTCTTCTTTCTTTGCTTTTACGCCCGAACTCGAGCCATCCTCGTCTTTTCTCCTTCTCCGCAACCCAACCGTTCCTTCCCTCTTCTCGCTTCTCCTTTCTCCCCCTGGTCCCAACTCGTACCGCCTTTTGCGTTCACATTGTCTACTGCTCCATCTCGTTGAACGTTCTACTAACCCCCGTCTTTTTTTCTTTTTCTTTTGTAGATCCAAACCTTCAAAACGGCCATCGAAGCAGCGCGTATGCTTCTCCGCGTCGACGATGTTGTACAGGCTATTCGGAAAGATCGGGAGGGTGGTGGTGGTGCGCAGCCTGTTCCTGAGGAGATGCAGGGAGAGTAAGGAGGGGATTGCGAGCTGTAGACAAAAAGTAAAAGTAGAAGTAAGGACTGAATTTTGAATTTCTGCGATTCTCTGACCGGGGAAGGAGTGAGCTTGGATTTGAGTTTTTCTGAATTGGAGGCGGTTTAGGAGAAGTGCTGAGGACGTGTGCTTGGGTGGAGAAGACAGGTCTGTTGGTGGACGTGGACCATCTCTTCTACTTACTGTGGACCATTTCTGCCTGCCACACTCGACCTCGGGCTTGGGGGACGCGTATGTACGATGTTCGAGATTCATTTGTGGTTCGCTGGGTGTCAGAATAAGGTTGTATTGAAACTAACTAGTTCTTTCATCACTCAACTGCATATGATACATGTATTTGATTTCTCGCGACTGTACATAGCGTGAAAGCAGCCCACTGAGAGGGCGGGAAGTACATAGCGTGAAAGCAGTCCACTGAGAGGGCGTAAAAATAAATCCACTTTGGAGACGGCGGGAAGCTTTGGGGAAACAATCGCGAACTACGAGCTACATTGGAGTCTAGCAGGGGCCCGATTGAAGGGGGAGATTCGGGTGATAAGTAGGATGCAGTATGTGCGTGACAGAGGGTGCGAATGGAGGGAGGAAGAAAGATGCGAAGAGTGCGCCAAAGGATAAGACCCTGGTAGGGGCCGGCGAAGTCTGTGATACGTTAGGAGGTATTTACGAAGCGGATGTCCAACCAAATGCATTGCGCCAAAAGGTACGACCCGATCTCAGGCGCGTAGTACAAAGCCCATCTGTTTGAAACCGAGACTCGTGACGAAAGAGACTGCACCGTACACAGCGTAGCGCTCCATGCGTCGAGAGAGGAGCCAGGAGTTTAGAATGTGAATCAAAGTTCACAATCTCGTAGAGGGACCTCGTCGGGACTGCGGTTTGTCTGCCTTTCAACTTATGACCCATTTCACGAGGTGGGCATCGTTATAAATCTTAGAGGTATGTGTACATCAATCCCATTCACCATTTCCCCTTCAATCTCGAGTTTTTTTATCAGAATACCAACCTTGCAGCTCTATTCGAAGCTTATGACAGACTACCATTTAATTAATTAAGTATGGGACGGACATCTTCGAATGTACTCGAGGGATACCATCGAGGGGCGAAGCCGATTCGCCCATTCGCGATCCTCCTTGAGATCGGTATATTTGGAACACTTGTCAAGCACGGCGCGAACCCGTGTCAAAACGGGCTGCGGGGCATCCAGCACCCGAGAAGCAACCATCCTCGACAAAACCCCGTCGTTCGCCTTAACGTGGGCCGAAAAGGTGTGGAGCTTGGGTAAAACTGGTGGATCATTGGAAGTTTTGTCCCATGTCATCCACTTGAGTGTCTTCTCGCCAACCACATCATTAGTCTTGAATGACCTGAGGTCCTCGAAGACGGGATGCGAGAGGATTTGGAGGTATCCCAGATCCCGCGGTCCCCATCTCTGGAAACTCGAGAAGGTATGGATCCGGCATTCAGGATTGAGCCTGTGGAAGGCGGTGAGAGCAGCTAAGAACTCCTTGCTCTGACTCGGGACATTAACATAGTGGGGAAAGATGCATCTCCCTGTCGGGTGCTGGAGGGAAAGAGATTTGAGGGCCGGTGCCTTGAGATACAAAAGAGGCTGGAAATAATTTGTTATGCATTCATCCCCCTCAATGACTAGACTCCAAAGGGAGGGGAGAGAAACTGGTTCCCAAACTCGATCCTCTGAATCCAAGATTCGCGATTGCATGTACAACTCCTGGAGCAACGGGCATTGGCGCAATACCGCCATCATCTCCTTCCAAGTGTCAACGCTGATCGTTAGCGAAGTGAGGTTCTTCCAGGGGATCATCGAAGCACCGGGGCTCAGCCCGTCATCCGGGCCCCATGGGCTGATGTGGCAAATGGTGAACGTTGGGTCGAGGCGGATATCGGTGAGCCTTGTTGATGTCGCGCATGCGCGGGTGAGGAGGTCTTTGTAGAACGACATTTCCGGCATATAAAATGGATGCACTTCATCGTGGAAATGGAGAGTAGTAAGCGCGGGAAAGGCGAGAGCATCCCAATTGATGTTCACCCGAAGGGCATCAGCATACATTCGGGTTTGCGGACGACCGACCAATGGAATCTGTAGGTAAAGCTGCTCCACTCGATGCGCATTGTCGAATACCAGCTTCATAATCCGGTGCCACGCGACGGGATGGTTTGTTTTGACAAATCCGCGCGGGGTCACCTCCATTTCATGAATCCAATCCTGGTGAACTTCCAAAAAGACACGCAGAGGCCTGTCCTTGGATAACCGCAGCATAGTGCGCACCCGACTGACGTCCTTCGGTGTCGGATTGACCACGTGAATGTCAGTGTAAAGGCGCGAGTCGCCTCGGGCGAGTTGCCGCCATGTCCCGCACACTTGGTCAATAACGAAGGGGGAGTTTTCGCCACGGCCTGGAATGTATTCGATGTCCTTTGGGGTCAGGGCTGGCAACGTGCATTCTGAACCTTGAAGATGAAGCACAGGACCTGGCTTCAGATATTCCTGAAAAATATCAAGCAAGACTTCGGCAGGGAGAGAGCTAATCTGTCCAGTTGAAGTCGAAGGAGACATTGTTAGCGGTACTTTCGGTTCCAAATTGATATGGCTGTTGAAGGGGGCGAGGCGATATGTCGTTGGGATTCAAGAGAAACCCTCGCGGACCGTTTTATAGTGAAAAAGAGGCGGCAACTCGCTTTGACCACTCTGCACGGTCTGGCAACCAGAACTGTGCATTGGCCATGCCGTGCTATACACCAGGCTCCTAACAACCAGTTCGGACCGAACTACGAATACAGTCGCTATACCACTATCGATCAAAGCACTGATTAATGGTCAAAGCATCCCTGGACCAGCTCATCGCGTCTCTCTCTGCGGCACTCGACCTCAGGCTTGGGGGACGCGTATGTACGATGATCGAGATTCATTTGTGATTCACTGGAGAGCTAGACAGCGCAAAGACAAACTTGATGAGATTGAGTACTTAGTGACATAGTGTTCAGTTGGGTGGATATGAAGACTGTAAGAAATGAGTGGCTGTAGGGGAGTGGATGACAGAAAACATAAGAACTCATGTAGTAAGAATCAGTAAATGCGTCTAGAGCGGCAGAGGGGTCAGGAAGGACGATGATCAATAAGTAATATTACATAGGGGGTGTGAAGTACCGAGTACCCAGAATTTCACGTGTACTCTGTCATCGAACAGAGTACCCAATCCACTCCATCGAAGGACGAAGCCGTGTCTCCCATTCGCTCTCCCGCTTGGGACCCTGAATGAAAACGGCACGAACCTTTCTCAAAACAGGGGTCGGCACATCCAACACACGAGAGGCGACCATCCTCGACACTACCCCATCTTTCGCGTGAACATGCGCCGAAAATGTTTGGAGCTTGGGTAAAACCTGTGGATCGTCGGAGGTCCTGTCCCATGTCATCCACTCCAGGATCTCGTCGCCGATCGTATCATGAGTCTTGAACGATATAAGGTCGTCAAAGATGGGGAGCGAGAGGATTTGGCGGTATCCATGATCCCTCAGGTCCCATTTTTGGAAACTTGAGAAGGTCTGAATTCGGCATTCAGGATTGAGCCTGTGAAAGACCGTCAGGGCACCAAACAAATGACTGCTCTTCCGGGGGGCGTTAAGATCGGGGAAGAGGTCTCTCTCTATCGGGGTCTGAAGGGAAAGAGACTTGAGGGCCGGGACCTTGAGATACAAAAGAGGCGCGAAAGTGTTCCTGTTGGAGCCATCCACGAAAAGGACTAGACACCAAAGGGAGGGGAGAAAAACCGGTTCCCCAACCGGCTCCTCTCTGGTTGAAGACCAGCATATATCCGATTTGAGGTACAACTCCTGGAGTAACGGGCATTGTCGCAATATCGGCAACATCTCCTTCACATGGTGAATGGCTATGGTGAGCGAAGTGAGGTACTTCCAGGGGATTATCGAAGCACAGGGTCTCAGCCTATTCAGTGGATCTACGCCTATGATGTGGACAAAGGCGAACGTTGGGTCGAGGCGCATGTCAGTGAGCCTTGTTGATGTTGCACATGCGCGGGTGACGAGTGGTTTGAAGAACGAGTCTTCCGACATATACAATGACACTTCATCATGGAAATGGAGAGTGGTAAGCAAAGGAAAGGCGAGACCGTCCCAATCTATGTGCCGCCGAAGAGTAAGCGTATAGTCCCAGCCTTCCTCTTTAGGCCCTATGGGAATTTGCAGGTAAAGCTTCTCCACTCGATGGGCATTCGCAAATACCAGCTTCAAAATCCGATGCCACGGGAAGAGACAATCTGTGTTCGCTGATTCGTCCGCAGTCGCAGCTTGTCGTCGTCGGCGAAAGATGTAATGCAAAATTCGTTGACTTCCAGAAAGACACGCAATGGTCTGTCCTTTGATAACTCCAGCATAGTGCGCACCCGAGCAACGTCCTGCTGTGTGGGATTGACGACGTGAATGTCGCTGTAAAGACGAGAGTTGCCACGACAGAGCTGACGCCATGCCTTGCACACTTGGTCAATGGTCAAGGGGGAGTTTTCGTTACGGCCTGGAAGGTACTCAATATCGTTCGGGGTCGCTGCTTTCCATGCCCATTCTACATACTGAAAATTCAGTACAGGTCCCGGTTTCACATACTGCTCAAAAATATCGAGCAGGACATCGGGAGGGAGTGAATTTATGTGCCCGACTGAAGGTTCGTCGCGGTTCTGAACTTCAGTTAGATTTGGAGGAGACATTCCTTTGGAATCGAGATACTGTCACTGATGCTGGCGCTGAGTCTAAGTGCGGTGTAGTTGGGTCCAGTGTTGAACCTTCACAGACTCTTTATATACTGAAAAGGCGTGAGAGCGCATTGACAGCGACTCGGGAATATATGCCACCGCCGCCCGCGTTACAATGGGTAACCCTAGCCACCATACCCATTACATTGTCCATCGTAATGTCGGTCTTAATGTCGCGACAATGGTCGTACACCGGACCAATGACACATACCACAATTCAAAGTGCCCAACGTCGGTCAAAGCACCCAATCGCATGAAGGTTCCATCAGTTGGAATCGGATCCTGGTCTCATTTTTGAATCCTATGGACTATGTATGTATAATTGACTCGCTATGTTTATGTCGGCGTGGAGTCTAGGTCTGTCGATGGGGTACTAGTGGTTTTCTCTTCATCCTGAACCCCTCCTCCATCATTCGGACTCCGGAGTTGTTCATGGGTTGTAGTCTCCATGGGCGCGAATAAAAGACCCCGTCCCGCAGAGGAGGACCGATTACTGTAGACCATATCCCTTCGCCACGCTCGGCCTTGAAGAACCCGTATAATAATCAATTGCGGTGCAAGTGCCTGTAGAAAGAGTGATAGAGGTAAAGTCGCCCATCGCCACTAAGCCAATATATGTACACATACCGTGAAAGCAATCCACAGAACTCTGGGCGAGAAATTGATGTTTATATACGCTCCAACCTTTCCTACCTTCGGAAACACAGCGGCCAACACACCAAAAACCGCAGAAGGTAAAGCCGATTCGACGAGGATAGCCGATATTCCGAGGTAGGGATCCTTGGGCACGTCACCTACGAGCTGGAGTTGCCTAACTTTTCTTCTAGCCAGCATGATCCGCGTAACGATCGCCACCGTGACGAACAGGTTGACAGCAACGGATGTGGCGATGACGACGGCAGGGGAGTGCCAGGCGAGGAAGCGGTACCCACCCGTCTGGGGAAAGTTGGCTTCGAACCATGGGTCTGTGTTTCGACCCAAAGAGGCCAGCTTGGCGAGGGCGATGATACCCATTATCGGACCGGCTTATAGAGGTTGGTAAGAGGAGTTTCGTACTGAAGTGATGCGAGACGTACAGAGAGATAAGAGGAAGAGAACACCTGCGGTCGCGTATACCCAGGCAAGATCGGCGAAGCCCACGTAGCATCGATAGACCTGGATGAACGCCATGGTCAGTCACTCAGTAGCTCAGGTCTTGGCAAGAGATTGATATGAAAAGGTGGAAACACGTACCAGGATAACATCCGCCAAAAGAATCAGCATTTCAACCAGGGTCGCAAAGGTAACTTCCAGAGCTTTGTAATGGAGCAAGTTATGTTCCAGCTTAAACATCGTACAAAACCTCGCCCCTTCCGATCCATCCAGTAAGAGGGCACCAGGTATACAAATCATCTTGACTCCCTCGTGTTCCGGATTTGCGCGGAACCAGTCCAGAGTCTGCTCCTCTGTGAGGTTATACCCCCGTAAAGTCGTAACGGAGGTATAGCGTTGGATATAGACTACCCAGTAGATGACGGTGCTGACGATGTAGAGGATGGCGATTAAGACGCTCGTCGCATGCCACCAGTTGACTCGGTTAAACCGACTATTATGGTTGTGCGGCTGAGAGGCGGATGACCGTATAATCTTCGGAGCTGTGTATGCACATGCCATGACTTGCACCACTGTCAGACAGGGTAACATCATCTTTATTAAACACGAGTAAGATTAAGCATTGTGTACAACACACCTGCGAACACCGTCGCTATGATCATGGCGGCGGTGTAATCGACGAGCCATACAGGTCTAGTGAGGAGTTGCACAGGATAGTCGATTGCTTCGGGGAACCAAAGGTCCATACGAAAGAGAGACATAGTCGGAATTTCGCCCGGGACTGCGATGGGAAGGGCAAGGACACTGCGAAGTGGTGGTACGTACTTATGCGCGCCTTTATACATGGGGCGTGGCTAAGCAGTGCTGTTATCAGGAAGGTCAGAATCCCAATTGGACTGAGATCAGCGCCCAGCAAAGTTCATGATGATCAAGGGGTAATTTTGTCTCCATCATCCCGAACCATTTTCACTGAATCGTTGGAAGTCGACATTCCCATCTTCTTATCAAGATGTTCCCTGGTTTGTTATGCTGTCTTTCGTCTTCACTGACACGAGATGTCTAGTCGAAGGAATTAATAGCAAGTCGCAGGGCAGGCTCTATAAATAGTGATATCTACTAACAACAATTGATGTATCTAAACAGACATAAAACCGAACTCGAGAAACTCCAGCGAGGGCTTGAGACGAAGCATCTCTTCTTTATTCCGCCTGATATTGTCCTTGTCACCCATGATATCGGCGTAAACCCACCTCAAGACAGGGCGAGAAGTACCCAGCACCCGAGAGGCGATCGTCTCGGACAGAATTCCATCCTGTGCATCAACGGGCGCTAAGAACGGATTACTATGAAGCTTGGGAAGCATGTGTGATTCACTCTCCGAGTCGTTTCAGGTGAAGAGAGTTTAGCGACGGAACTCTAAGGTATAGAAGAGGTTCGAAGGTATCCGCCACGGTGTCATGCATGCTCAGAGTTAGGCTCCGCAGGGAAGGAAGGACAATGGGTTCTCGAACACGTCGTTCCGGAAGAGCGGCGGGATATCGGTGCGAGTGGGACCTGATAAGAGATTGCGGGAACATCATCATGTCTGGGCAAGGTTGCCAGTAACGTATCCATTTGAAGTCGCCTGAGACGTTTAGAGTTCCCAACCAGACAAGGGTCTGCAAAAGGCGCTGGATCAGAGGCGGAATAGGGTAGCGAATGAAGTATGCTCACCCACGTACGATGGCTATGCGCTTCGATTTCCGATATGCGAGACCTTGCATACTGAAAAGCCCAACGTCACTGTTACAGTGTAGCTAAATAGCGCATCCAGCTTGCTTTCGATGATGAAGATAGACAGGTGTTGTAATTCGTGCCAAGACTGGACTCGCTAGGCTGTCCGTTGATACCCGTACCAGCAACCTTGATAATACGGGGGGTTACGGTGCCCGCGAGGCTGCTGGACCTTGGAAACACACACACACACACTGGGTGAAGAAAGCTCTTGACATTGCTGGAAAATCAGGGAGCGTAATTTACAAAGGATGAGAGTTAGGGTGTTCTCAACGTACCCCCAGTCTCTTGGCTTTGAACCAAGTCGTCGTGTGAAGCTTGGTAGGCTGGGGGTGGATCGTTGGAAATGACAGGAGCATTCGTTCGGTCGTGGTATGCGTCTTTCTCAGAAGATCCAGAGACACTGACATCCTGAAGAGCAACGGACGTCGGATGCGAAGGCGGACTCGGGCCAGCGTTGGTGGCAGGACTCTCAGATCCTCCCAGAGGTTGGCTCTCGACGCTCGCTGGTACGACTGTCTTCGCTGATGGTGGCGGGATTGCCTCAAGTTGGGAGGGAGATATCTGGAACGGGTTGACTCCGCCTTCTCTAGGGCTTGTTGATGACGCTTTGAAGGGCGTTAAGGACAGCGATAGAGGAATACGGGAGATGTGGGGACTTACAATCTGGCCCAGGTATCCCCATGGTCGCCTCCTTCCTTCGTCTCCTACTTCTTCGAACGAACAGGACTATACCGATTCCCAGCAGTAAGAGAAAGGAGATAATTCCAACAACGACACCAACGACGACCCCTACTGGAACCCCCTTCGAACCTAACTCAATTACATGAGTTTGCGTAACCACGACTCCGTCTGAACCGGTCACGGTGGAGACTCTCCGGGTGACATCCGAACTCGAGGGCTCAGAAAGGGAGGGTGTGGGTTCAGACGCCTGTCCACTTTGAGGACTACACGTCCCGTCAGCGCTCGTAAACACGATCTGAGGTTGGTGAGAAGGCTCACTATATGGGATCAGGGAAAACATCCGTTTCAGGGGGGAGGAACTCGAACTTGTCGAGATGGAGAGGAAGCTGGCCGCCTGCGTTGGAAACGACGATGGTGTGGATAGGGTCCGGCTCGAGGTCATCTCTTCTGAAGAGCCAGTCGTCGTATTCGTCACGAGCGCGTCCTGGGCGTTCGATGATAGTCGGAGAGCCGCCATCGATGGTTATCGACCATTGTTGGGCACCTGAGCCGGCGGGAATGGTTCCTACAACAGCGATGCCTGTTCCTGTCGACCACGGCGCCATGCACCGTCTGTGAGAGGTGTTGTTGAGCGTTCGGGATGTTGGATTTACTTACCCTTGAACATTAGCGTTGCGCTGGCACCCTCCTCAGATGTAGCATGAACAGCTCCTCCCCACTGCCGACTCGAGCCTTCGAGGACGTCCCAGTCACCCGAGTAGGCTATTTGGCGGTCGTGATCGTCGACGACTATCCAATTGGGAGGCATGGCGGCGAGTCGGCGACGGTGGATAAACGAGCGGTCGTTGATTACAAGAGAAAGTCAGACCGGTTGTATGCGATGGGAGTAGGCCCTAAGCCAGAGTGTACCGCCCGAGTGGAACCTGCGAGTGTGAAGAGGAGTGCGAAGAGAGCATGGGAAGGGAAAAGGGAAGGTAAGAGCTCCCGGGCGGCGTCGAGGTGAAGTACTGATGACGGATACTGCCAAGAAGCCTACTGAGACGTAGACGTAAGGCTAATGTACCTTGGTGACAGATATGTAAGTATGGGTGGGCTTGAGTTCCCGACTAATTGTTTTTCGGACATTGAGTTTTCACGTCTTTCCCTCTTTCCACCCCCAGCACGGTGATTTTGATCATTCACATCAATCCATGATACGACGGGCGCTGTATCACCACTGTCGCCCTGACCGTGATGAACCGAGAAGCGCGAAATACTTGGTTTGGGTAGTACGAGGACCTGGTGAAAACGATAGATAGTGCACGACAAAGTTCCATAAAGCACTTGCTACAATGGGTACCTCATGATCCATGTACAGGGTTAGGGTAAATGATACATACAGAAGGTGCGCCTCAGCTAAAACGTTCTCAACGTGCTCTCTGTCATCGTCGTGGAGCGAACCAACTGGACTTGGGAAACTTGATACGCAGGTGGCGGATCGTTGGACTCAGGAGCGCCCGTTAGCTCGGGATAGCCGCCTTTCTCGTCCGAGGATGCAGGCGAGTTTGCATACGGAGAGGCAGCGGATAAACCGAATGGAGAGTTAGACCTGTTGGCACTCTCAGATACTCCTTCATGTTCGCTTGCGTCGCGGTCCTGCAAGGCCGTTTTGCCGAAAGATACCGGTATCGTGCTGAATTGAGAAATTCGGAAGGGATTGACCTGATCTTCCCTTGGAGCTGACGAAAAGTCAGTACGGACGGAAAAAGAATATGCCAGACGAATAAGCTTACGATTAGCGAATGCCCTCGAAGTGACCTCTTTCCGTCTCCGTCTCCTTCGTCGAACGAGGAGGACAATACATAGGGTCAAAAGTGTCATCAAGAAGACAATTCCTAGTACGACGCCAACAACCACGCCGACTGGAATCCCCTTCGACAACGCAGCTGCATGAGTTTGCGTCGTCACGACCCCATGCGAGTCAGTTACAGTAACGACGATCTCCGAGGCGGTCGATCTCGAAACTCGAGAGACAGAGAGTGAAGCCATGGTATCAGCGGTTGCTCTCTCTGGACCAGCATTGCGTGTCTCGCTCACTGAGCGGGTATTTGACCTCGTTGAAGATGACAACGAGGGAGACCGGGTGTCTGTAGCGAGGGATGTGGTGTCAGGTGAAGGGGCAGGCGCGTCATCATCTGCCGAGTTACCTGAGTCATCATCGTCGTCTGTTTCAACGTCGTCCGTATCCGGGTCATCGTCGTCTGGGTTCGGTGATGGGCGGGGAAGTGGAGGTGTAGGCTGGGGAGCTGGGTTTGGGTTGACCCTAGGGGTCGAAGGAGTTGGGTTAGGGGCCCTGGGAGTAGGGGTAGGGGTAGGGGTCGGAGGTGGAGTAGGAGCGGGTGCCTGGGGAGTTTGTGGGCTATTTACAGGTATGCGTCCATCAGTGCTTTGAAGGAGATAGGTTGACAAGAGGACTCACTATATCGGTGCAGGGCTAGTATCCGTTTCGGGGGGAAGAAACTCGAATTTGTCCAAGTGAAGGGGAAGCTGGCCTCCAGCGTTCGATACGATGACGGTGTGGATTGGATTTGGATTGAGCCCTTCCCTTCGGAAGAACCAGTCATCGTATACATCCTGAGGGCCCCCTTGACGTTCTATGATCGTAGGAGATCCGCCATCGATGGATATAGACCATCTCTGTGCGCCTGAGCCGGCGGGGATGGTTCCAACGACAATGATGCCGGTTCCTGGCACCAATTTCAGTGTTAAGAAATGGCTGAACCCAAGACGTCGAATAATTACCCACCTTTGAACATCAAAGTCGCCGTGGAGCCCTGCTGGGATGTAACATGGACGGCTTCCGCCCATTGCCGACTCGAGCCGCGGAGGACACTCCAACCACTAGAGTACCCCACTTGACGGTCGTTGTCATCGACCACTATCCAATTAGGCATGACTGTGATAAATAAAAAAGAGTTTTGTTATTAACAAGAAACAGAAAGGACAGGCTGTTGTGGGGTGACGTCAGGGTATAGTGGTGAGGTAGGGCGGTCGCACTCGAGCCGGAGTGTGGGACTGAGGCGAACGCGCTTATACGAATGCTGGAGAGTGAGGTGAGGGGGAGAGGGAAAAGAAAGGGATGGGAAAGAAAGAGCCCCCGAGTGGCGCCTACTTCAATTGCTGACTGCGATTGATGACCGAGACCGCCAAGAAGCCAACAGAGACGGGAACACGGCGCCACACATATGTGGCTGAGACAGTCCGCCGCCAACACGAAAGAGAGCGACTCGGATTGTGTGGTCTCCTCTCTAGCGAGATATGGTAACCTCGATGATGATCATCAGGGGGGGCCCTTTGGGCGCTGTATCACCACCGCGGGTACTTTGCCGCTTTAGTTGTTAGCAATGGAATAGAGGTACAGGTTCTGGCGAGCCGCACTACTCCTAAGTTACTTCACGCCTTCACTCGACGGGAATCCCATGTTTGCGGAAAGACCTCAGGCTGAGCCGGTGTATCAAGGAGGTCAACAGCGAGCGATATCATAGTGATTCAAGGCACACCTGAGCGAGAGTAGCTGTTCTGTCTTGGTAGAACAATCGCGAACAGCAAGGATCATGCGACGTAAGCGCTTGGTCCGAAGATACAGACCGCTTCCGTTATGGCAGACGGCCGAGGGACCAAGTTTATGGGCGCTAGACTGCAAGCTCACAATGAATTTTGGCATACCAGCCGAGACGAGACCTCCTAGAAGCGGAATGGTGGTGAAAGTTGAAACGCTGGGCGGCAATTATACCGAGGTGCCCGTCGCCGCCGACGTTCCGCGTTCTGCTGGCGCCTTCACCGGCGTTGGAGAAGGTTTTGTCTGCTAGACCGTTGTTGAAATCCAGAGTAGTGGCATGAGCCCGTGCGTACAAGGTAGCGAAGAACAGCCTGGGTGGGCGGCGGGCGCCTGGGAGGTCCAACCAAGAAAGGGATCAACCCAACGTAAACATGGAAATTTCTGATTGCATCTATTTGCCTACGTCATCCGAATGCCACGGACAAACAAAGTCGAAATACAGAGAGTACTTATGAGCACAGATCGCAACACAGCGCGTTCAATTACTCCATGCTTCCTTAATGATATCGGCAGATCTCTCAGCGAGGACATACACTGGAACTTGGGGATGACCTGAAGGCACGTAGGGCTGCGGGGGCATCGGTACAGTGAGACATCGGTGAAGAACGGTTGTGGAATAACTCACGATAACTCCGGCATCAACAACTCTCAGACCTTGCAGACCTTTGACCCTGAGGTCAGGATCAACCACCCCTTGCTCCAGGGGACTATCCAAAGCTGACATCGCCGTTGTACCAACAGGATGAGCAAAGGTCGCCGAATTGGCCTTGACGCTTGTTTCAAAATCCTCTTTCGGAAGGCTGTCAGGATCAGGGCCAAGAAATTCCGTGATGAACCCCTCCCAAGCCTTTCCTTCGAAGAAGCGCTTCGCTACACGAATACCCTCAGTCATGGCAGCGATGTCGAACGGGTGGGTGAAGATCCCAGTGTCGATTAATGGATTGTCGAATGGGTTGGATGAGCGAAGTCGGACAGACCCTCCTAATGTTGGATCAACACAAAATTCACTGTGCCATGGGCGCTTGTAATCATGAATGACTTACGTGAATGTGGTGTAAGGAGAACGAGGAATCCCGGCATCTCGGGACCTGGGTTGGACAAAGGCATGGCCTATGCCGTCGAAGAGCATCAAAAGGTCAGTCTCATCCGACATGGAGCCCAAGTCAGCATCTTGACGTACCGAAATCGGTAGTTCAAAGTGAGCAGAGCGGGGACCTGGAGCGGGATCAGGGTGGTTGCTGAAAACTGGAGAGTCATCGGGAAGTCTAAAGTATAGGTACAGATGGTCAGTGCCTTTCGCAAGCGGGCCTGTTCGATTCAACTGCCATCGTAGAAGGGCTTCCGCTTCGTCCACCCTGGACAGAACTGAAGTCAGCGAACAGACGCAGAAGGGAAGAACAGCTGCCTTACGGTGTCGCTGTGACATTCGTATTCCACAAAAGGGTAGTTCTGTGGTGGTCGCTCAAATGTTTCCCAACGTCAGGCAGATGGTACACCGGCTCGACTCCAACATCCGCGAGCTCGTCTTTGTCACCGATCCCCGAGTTGAGCAGAATGTGCGGCGAGTCGATAGATCCTGCTGAAAGAATAATCTCCTTTTTAGCCGTAAAGGTTCGCATGGCACCTGGTCAAAGAAATTAGAAGATGTTAAACGATAAGTGAAGCGGGCGACGAACTTGTATTTCCTCCAACTCGTGGCGCCAGCTCGACAGTCCGCATATCAGGTTTGCCGCAATTTATTCGCTGAGGATTCGTCGCCAAAATCCTCGTGGCGTACGTATTGACCAATATAGTCAGGTTCGGGCGTTCCCGAACTTCCTCGCTCAAGTATGCTGTCACTGCGCTGCTCCTCTCTCCATTCCCAATACTGGCTTGATGCCAGCCTAAGCAGAGAAGATCGTCAGTTTCATGGTATATGAGTGACTAAGAAACGTACCGAGTCCTCTTGGTTCCCCCGAGTTGACGTCCAAGTTGAATCTGAAGTCGTGATCGGTGATAGGCCTCTGTTCGAGCCTTGCAAAGGAGCGCCTGTCGCTTTCGTTCGGACCATCCCAGGCCAAGGAGACTTTAACCTTTCCACCTTCAGTATTGTGATACTGAGGGTCGAACTCCCCGGTAGGATTCCGTCCTCCTACAGGTAAAGTCCACTGTTCATTCTGATCTTGCCGTGAGCTTAGCAGTGACATATCAAGGGGCGGTGATACGTACCCGCATAATATACGGCCATAATGCATCCCAACTCCATCTCTTGTCCTTTGTCACCTGACCCCACAGATCATAGTCGTCTTTGGACCCGCGCGTGTAGGCCATGGCATCTTAAATGAACGTTCGTTACTGGAAACGCTCGTCTGTGGGCAGTCGATACGCACTGATAGAGCTGCTCCCACCAAGGACGTGGCCCCTGGGAAGTCCGAAAGTCCGGTTATCAAGGCCAACCTGGGGCACGACAGTGTAGTTCCAGTCGTAAGGCCCACCAAGAAGCCGTGTCCAATACGCAGGAATCTGTAGATCTTGTACACCGAGGTTGCTGTACCGGTACCATCAGCAGGCTGAAGCGCGGTTAGAAGTGTGACAAGAATTGTACGCACTCTGGGCCAGCTTCGACGAGGAGAACGTTCCACTTTGGGTTCTCCGAGAGGCGAGAGGCAAGTACAGAACCTGCTGTACCTCCTCCAACGATGATGAAATCATAGTGTGCAGACGCTGAGCTGCTCGCATCGAGAGGGACATCGGAAAGGGAATGCAAGACCGCTGCACGCAGGATGGGGAGAGACGCTAAAGCGAGGACGAATGAAGAGATTAACATGGCAGTTCGTATACCAATGAGGGGTAAACCAAAGTCGAATGATCTCGTTGAGCGGCTTATAAAAGACGAGTTGCTCCCCTACCGATAGCTCGGATCGCGACCTCAGTCTTCTTTGAGCTGAGAGCTCAAGTAAGTGCCGCTCGGGACGTTGTCGGGCAGGATACTTTGTTTCATGTCTGCGCCTATTAGTAGGAGAATATTGCGTGAAAGATCCACGCTCCCAAAGGGCATAGTTTACTTCCCAACCCGATAGCAATTGATGGGACGCAGCCCTGCGTGTTTGTTTCTATTTGCTATCATCTTCGGAGTCGATCGGGGCATGCAAAATCCTCGTTGCATTCAACAGACCACGGCTTCTCGTACTTACTCCTCCCACGACTCTCGAACGAGATCGGCTGCTCTCTCAGCCAAGACATACACAGGGACCTGAGTGTGACCAGACGTCACATACGGCTATCCGCCCCACCACGATTAGCAAGCTATCCCAAACCACCCAGACACGAAAAGGAACTCACAATCACACCAGCATCAACAATTCTCAACCCCTTCACGCCCTTGACTCTCAACTCTGGATCGACAACACCCTTGCCCAACGGATCGTCTACCGCTGACATGGATGCCGTCCCAATAGGGTGAGAGAGCGTCTCCGTGTTCTCCTTGACGCTCTGCTCAAAGTCTTCCTCCGTGAGTGTGTCTGGATCGGGTCCTATGAAGTGCGTGATGAAGCCCTCCCAAGCTTCGCCTTCGTAGAACTGCTTGGCAATGCGGATACCTTCCCTCGCGGCGTCAAAGTCGAATGGGTGAGTGAAGTACCCGACGTCGATTAGAGGTGGATCGAAGGGGTTGGAGGAGCGAAGTTTCACGGACCCGCCTTCAACAAGGGTGTCCATTCAGTCTGTCAAGTTTTCGGGAGAGGGAAGCTTAGACGTACGGGAATACGGTGTCAGGAGGATGAGATCGCCAGGTAAGACGGGTCCAGGTTCCTCCATGGGCATTGCCTAGTTAGTTGGACATATCGGTCAGACTCTCGACTCTACATCTTGCAAAGAACCTACCCAGAGAGGCAACTCGAAATGGACAGCCGTCGGCCCTGGGGAAGGATCGTCATAACCCTCAAAGACTACAGAGTCGTTCGGTAACCTGTAATATAGATACAAGTGGTCCGTAGGCTTTGCCAGCGGCCCAGTACGATTCGTTTGCCACTGAAGTAGAGCTGCAGCCTCGTCCAAGCTAAATGAGGGATGATCAGTCAATCCTGTGCTCAGTGAGAACCAACTAGGAGTAAAATGAACGCACGGCTGTGGAGTAAACGTTGTCCCCCATCTGAGTCTCACACTTGGATGATCGCTCATCCCTTTACCGACGGCGGGGAGATGATGGATTGGCGTCACTCCAACCACTCGCAGCTCGTTCTCGTCGCCGATCCCGGAGTTCATGAGGATGTGTGGGGTGTTAAACGCTCCAGCTGAGAGCATCAGTTCTTTCTTTGCTGTCATCGTCCGAGTGGCGTTTGAATTCGATATGTCAGAGCCTGGTGAAAGGACCGAAGGTGAAAGGGCTAAATGACAGGAAGAGAACGTACTTGGATTCCCAGGACCGCCTCGAATTGTCATTTCCACTGTTCGAATGTCCAACTCGCTACCTTCGGTGGTGGGTAAAACCCTCGTCGCGTATGTATCGACTAATATTCTCAAATTAGCACGCTCTCTTACTTCTCTTGACAGGTAAGCGGTCGCAGCACTGCTCCTCTCGCCATTTCCGACAGAATCTTGATTCCAACCTGCCATTCCGGCGTCAATCCATGCTTGTCCACATAGAGGGTACAGCTAGAATACGCACTGAGACCTGCTGGACTCCCCGAATTAACATCCAAATTAAACCGGAAATCGCGATGTTGATGAGAATCGAGTTCGATCTTCCTGAGCGCTCGCCTGTCATATTCCGTCTCCTCATCTTGAGGTAGCGAAACCACCGTTTTACCCCTCTCTGTATTGTGGTATTGAGGGTCGAATTGGCCTGTTGGGTCACGTCCTCCTAGGGGCGGTGTCCATTGTTCGTTCTAGAACCACGGAAGACGGTGGTTAGGAAGACAGCAAAGGGGGAAGGAGGGAGGAGGGAGGGAGAGGAGGGCGCACTCGAAGCATGTAGGGCCATAAGGCGTCCCAGCCCCATCTCTCGTCTTTCGTGACTCGCCCCCAAAGATCGTAGTCGTCCTTCGCTCCTCGAGTGTACGACATCGCATCTATGCATGTCCAAATCAGCTTCCCACATTCCTCCATAGTACGTCGTGAGAAACTTAGCGATACCCACTTATCGAACTACTCCCACCAAGCACCCTTCCTCTCGGAAACTCAATCGACCGATTACCCAGCCCAACCTGAGGTGTATTAACGTAATTCCAATTGTAAGTGCTGTTGATTCGTAGCCAGTAATAGGGTATCTGAAGGTCTTGAACGCCGTCATTGCTTCATGAAGGGATAGCAGTCGGGTTGTCAGCTAGCGAAACTCGAATGCCTCTGAAGACGCACTCTGGTCCGGCTTCCACCAGTAGAACCTTCCAATCCGCATTCTCAGAGAGACGAGAAGCGAGAACAGATCCCCCCGTTCCACCTCCTACAATGATGAAGTCGTAGTCTTCATCGACGATGTCACCATGGACCTCGAATACGTTTTGTGCAACTTGCCCAGTGACGAGCGTGACAACGAATGGTAGTAGGGTAGCGAGAACAAACGCGAAAGGTTGCCTGACCATGGCGGTGCATAGATAAGGAAATCCAGGGGGTTGAGGAACAAGTCAAACGTCAATAAGCATTGCGCTTATAAAGGAACAGGGATGTCGTAAAACCCTATTTTTGGACGGGCTCTCGTAACTCGAATTCAGGGCTCCAACTCTCATAGTTGAAGGGATAGATAATGACATTTCGTATGCGACCTTTTGGGTGATTAGGCGAACGCAGTCAGGGGATGGACATGGACGAAAACTAGAGATGGAACCGGGCGCGATATACTTCTGTCCCCTTACATCCACGTCTCTCTGATGAAATCGACTGCTCTTTCGGCTACGATATAGACTGGCGCTTGAGTATGCCCAGACGGAACGTACGGCTACACGTGTGATATCAGTCACGTACAAGCTCTCGTACAGTCGAAAGCACTCACGATAACGCCAGCATCGACAACTCTCGACCCCTTCACACCTCTCACCCTGAACTCCGGATCAACCACTCGCCCTCCCACTCCCTTCGCACCATCGCCATCATTGTCGTCGTCCACACCCCAAGGTCCCATAGCAGTAGTCCCAACAGCATGCAAAAACGACCCCATCGTCTTCTTAATCTCCCTCTCAAATTCCTCTTTACTGAGTTTATCTGGATCTGGACCAATGAACTCCATGATGTAGTTATCCCGTTTGAACGAGGGAGAGGAGTAAAAGGCGTTGGCGGTACGGATTCCTTCGGTTATAGCCGCCAGGTCGAATGGGTGGGAGAGGAAGTTCGGGTCGATGAGCGGTGGGTCGTAGGGATTTGAGGAGGAGAGTGTTACTGTGCCGCCTGTTTTTTGCGGGTTATCGAACGTAATTCATGATGAACATGGATGTGACGTACGTGAGTAAGGCGTCAAGAAGGCCATGTACCCCGGTATCTCAGGTGCGGATTTCTAGCCACATCATTAATTACTCCTCGTCTCAAGGAGAAAAGCATATCTTCAGACGCACCTCCAAGGGTAACTCGAAATGTGCTGACCCGCGCCCAGGACTCGGATCCTTCCACGTCTCAAACACACTTGAGTTATCCGGAAGACGGAAGTAGAGGTACAGATGATCCGTAGCTTTAGAGAAGGGTCCAGTCCGGTTCGTTCGCCATTGGAGGAGGGCTTGGTCTTCATCGATCCTGAAGAAAAAAGTGCAGGGAAGCTCAGTTCTGCTTTGCTCGCATAACGGGACAAACGGGAACAACGAGAGTCCAGAACAACAACCAATGTTGAAGGAAAAGAAAAGAAACAACTCACACCTCCGCACTAACATTCGCCCTCCACCTAACAACCACATTAACATGATCGCTCATCCCCTTCCCAACACCCGGTAAGTCATGCACAACGTCCACACCCACCTCCTCCAACTCCGTGCGGTTCCCGATTCCAGAGAGAAGGAGGATGTGCGGGGAGTTGATCGCGCCGGCGGAGAGGATGAGTTCCTTGGAAGCTGTTACGGTGCGGGTCGAGTTTGGCGTAACTACGGCGGAGGAAAGGTCGGATGCTAGAGCCTGGAGAGCAGGAGAAAGCGTACCACTTGACGAACGACCACCTGACCTCGCGATCATCGGCGCTAACTCCACACTCCTCACATCCAACTGCCCACCCTCCCCCTCCCGACTGGGTAGAACACGCAGTACTAAAGTATTCAACAAAATAGTCAAATTCGGTCGTTCCCGGACGTGCGTGGGGAGGTAGGCTGTAGCTGCTGAACTGCGCTCTCCGCCTCCAGCTGTGAATTGGTTCCATCCTGTTTGTTTTTACGTTAGTAGTTATCAGTACAGAGTTAGTCATGGCAAAGTTAGAGGTACTGAGCCAAGGGAACGAGAGAGATGAAGAGAGAAAGACGAAGAGAGGAAGATAAAGGGAGAAGATAGAGTGAAATGGACGCACCTACACCTCTCGGACTCCCATCGTTCATATCAAGATTAAACCTAAAATCCTCATTCACTTTCATCTCCTTGGAGGTAGCAGCTTCGAGCGCCCGTAGGTCATGCGCATTCGGCCCATCCCACGCCAACGCAACGCGTACATTCCCCTTCGTATCGTGGTACCGCGGATCAAATTGCCCTGCGGGGTCGCGTCCGCCGATTGGGAGTGTCCAGTTCTCGTTCTGAAGAGTTGGCATATACAGTACGTCGGGTCCCAAGAGAAAATTGGGTGTACGTTAAGTGAGGGACAAAGAAGAGCGATTCAAGAGGGTAGGACGTACTCGAAGCAAGTAAGGCCACATCGCCTCCCAGCTCCACCTCTTATCCTTCGTGATCCTAGCCCAGAGGTCGTAGTCATCTTTGGCACCACGGGTGTACCCACACGCATCTATGCGAGGTGCGCTCGTCTGTTAGTACTGCAACCAACACTGGTGTTTCAACCAACGCTGGTATACTGATATAACCGTCCCATCACTGGAAGTATGAGCAACTCACTAATACTACTACTCCCACCTACAACCCACCCCCTCCTATACTCCACACTCCGCCCATCCAACCCTGCTTGCGGCGTCGTACTGTAGTTCCAATCATACCTCTTGTCGAGGCGGTTCCAAAAGGCTGGAATTTGGAGGTTTTCGATGCCCTCATTGCTGGATGGGGAAAGTGGAGGGGTGTTGTTAGCGCTCATGGAAATGGTGTCAAGCGCTCATAGAAAAAGTCCCAAAACGCTCGTAGAAAAATCCCAAACGCTCTGTAAGGCGACAAGCCGACAAGGTGGGGTGTGTGTGTAATTTCAAAGTTGTAAAATCGCGATACGCACTCAGGGCCAGCTTCAACCACCAACACCCTCCACTCCCTATTCTCCGAAAGCCGAGAAGCAAGAACCGACCCAGCCGTCCCGGCTGTCGTGATTAGACGGTCACACTAACCACTGCACCAAAAAGGCGCCCATGTCCAGCTTAGGTGGACAGGCAGACCGTGGTATATAAGCACCATTCTATGTCATGATTTCGCCTGTTCATGACATTAGCCCCCTTCTATGGCTTACGTCCTCGTAAGACGAGAATGATGCATCCCCTATACCGGCCTTTCCAGGCAGCGGACAACTGTCATGCCTGCAGGTCTATTGAGGGCCCAGAAGGTGCCCGGGTGATCCATTACATTTGCGCCTATCACATGGTTCTTATTGTCACATGACCTTAAGCTCACATGACTCAAACCGGCCAGTAAATGTGTACATCCCGGGAGTTGAACCCTCGACCTGTTGAAGCTGGACATAATGTCGTGATTAGACGGTCACACTAACCACTGCACCAAAAAGGCGCCCATGTCCAGCTTAGGTGGACAGGCAGACCGTGGTATATAAGCACCATTCTATGTCATGATTTCGCCTGTTCATGACACCGGCTCCCACTACGATAAAATCACACCCCCGTCCAACGGCACTTGAGCCTTGCTGGTTTCCACTTGAGCCCTGTTCAAGGGCTTCAAGCTCGAATTCTTCAAGACTATGATAAACCACCGCCCAAACAGACGACGAGACCAGAGCGAGAAAGAGGAAGAAGGGGACAAGAAGCCTGCAGCACATCTTCGCGAAAAAAACGCAGTTCAGAAGTCCGTTCATTTGGGCTTTATTTATACAACTTCACGAGGGAACGTATATGTAACGTGCACCACCCACCCATCCTTCGAAAGAACCACCAGAACCACCATCCATCCCATGACAAGCTTATCCCTTCCCCATGACCCCACTTGCCTCACATACATACCACTCGCTTCTTCCCTCACATACCACCAGCTTCTCTCCCCACTTGCCTCACCTTCTCTCCCACTACTGTGAGTAAGTGTATGGTAGCAAAATAACGCGTAACGCTGGACATTTTGCTAACTTTTGGGCATGAAAAATAATCGATTTTCCAGCTATTTACGGTCATTTTAGCGCCCAAGGCATCTACAGACTACATTCTAAGAGACTTGTTACGAATTCCGCCCCTATCTTTTCTCTTCGCGTCTTTTCTCTATCACATGACTCACTTTCTTGTTCACATGATCTCTTTCTTTATCTCGTGACTGTTTTATCAGTTAATTCTTCTTACTGCTGCGGCGCAGCCTGTCTTTGACTCTTTATGACTCCTTCTTGCTGCGGCGCAGCCACCCTCTATTGTTCTCTAATTTATCTCTGCTGCGCTCCGCAGTAACCTGTGCTCGCGCAGCCTTCTTCTCTGACTTCTTTTGACTCATATTCACGTAGCTAGACAGGTATATAAGCTCTGTAGATACCTCTCTTGTTCCTTAGCTAGTTCTCGTGAATCATACCCACTTCTCCTCTTCTCTCGAACTCGCTCTAGTCGTCTTAAGACAATACCTCTTGTGAGGCACTCTTAGACGCCTATACCCTCGAACTCGCCTCGGAACCACGACTCTACGGTCGACGTGCATGCTCACTTGAGTTCGCGTCCCTTGACCGTAACAGAAGAACTAGCTCCAACACATCGTCACTCGTACTTACGGGTGACGACCCCATCGACCACACAGAATTCCCACATACTCGGCATCTGATCCCCCGGAACGACTCCCTACACCACCGCCATTTGTCGACCCAGTAGCCACCCTAATTGCCTCAACACCCGGATCCCAGTCAACCACACCCAGAGGACGTCTCCGAGGGCTTACCCCAAGCTCAACCAGACCATCAACACCATCTTTACTAGCGGTTAACCAATCGCTCCCTGAAGAAGAAACCGAAGAAGAACAAGAAGACTCGGAAGACAAGACCGACAACACCGACTGCAGCAACTTCGTACACCAGTTTAACTGTGAACACTACGACACCAACGAAGAAGACTGGTTTAACTGCGCCCAACAACCTTGCCCCAACTACCCGGAAGACCCAAGACATCGACCAAGCAAACAAGAACCCTCAGAAGTTTCTTTTGAAGAAGAGCCTTCTGCAGAATTCCAAGACGCCCAAGAAGAACCCAGCACCGAGCCACAGCATCAAGAGGAAAGACCCTTGATTCCAGAACGTGAAGAGGAAGAACCCTTTACGCCAATCACCCTTGAACAACCAGTCACCATGGTCAGCCCAGCCAACCCAGACAACGGAACCCGAGACGTCGTAATGAGCGACGAAACCAGCCAGAAGATCCCGAAAAGACGAATCAATCCGCCATCCCCTTTCACCGGCAAAAAGGAAGACCTCAACACCTTCCTCAAAGACGTGAAACTTTACTTGAAGGTCAACAAGCACATCTACACCGATGACGACAGCAAAATCACCTATCTCCTTTCGTTCCTCAAAGGAGACGAAGCCTCTGCTTGGAAAGAAGCATGGCTACGATCCAAGGAGACCGATTCCGATATCGAATTGGGCACCTGGAAAGACTTTGTCGCCATCTTCAAACAGGCATTCACCCCAATCAACGAACAAGAAGACGCCTTACAACGTTTGAAGACAATGACCCAAGGAAAGAAGACGGCCGAAGAACATGTGGCCGACTTCAAGATTGTCCTATCGAAAACCAATCTCCTCTCCAAGGACCACGCCAACAAGACCGAAGACCAAAGAGTTGCAGACGCTGGAGACACTGTAGCCAGAGACTACTTCCAAGCCAGTCTGAACGATCCGCTTCGAAAGAAGCTCTTCGACCTTGAGAAACCCCCTCGAACCTTCAAGGAGTGGACAGAGAAAGCCATCGAAAAGGACAACAACTACCGTCGCTACTTTGCCCTCACCAACAAAGCCCCAGCCAAAACTTCGACCTCAACCAGGCAGTGGAACTTCAGTCGCCCAGCTCCTGCCAAAGATCCTATGGCCATGGATATCGACGCCATCATCTCCAAGGTCAAGGGCTTAGACCAGTCTGCAGGGACCGCTTTAGAGCAACACATCAGGGCAATCGGCCTTGGAAAGCTCTCTCCCCAAGAGAGAGCCGACCTGATCAAGAGAGGAGGATGCTTCCGTTGCCGAAAAGACGGACATCGCTCCTGGGAATGCCCCAATAACTCCACCAACAATCGCTCTGCAGGGACCAGCAACCAGAACACCAGTAACCGTCAAAACTGGTCTTTCCGCCCAAAGAATGGCAAGGATCTCTACACCAACATCCGAGCCGCGATCCAAGAAGCAGGAGAGGAAGTCGTTGAAGAATTTTACAAGGAACTCGAAACCAACCAGGGTTTTTAGAATGGAGACCTGCATCGACGTCAGTGTCTCCCTATTTATCGATTCATTCTGCCTTAGTAGCCCGAAAGAACAATAAATGCTTATTTATTCCAATGCATCTTGAGGGCGAAACGGAGAGTGGAAAGATAATCGTCGACACCGAAGGAATGATAGATTCTGGAGCTGGAGGGAAATTCATCGACCAAAACTTTGCCCGAAACAAGAAACTCCCACTCCAACTCCTTCCAACCCCTCTGAAAGTCTACAACGTAGATGGAACCCTGAACAAACAAGGAACCATCCGATACTCAACCACCATAAACGTCACTATCCACGGACACACACGACCCATTACCTTCTACATCACCGGCCTTGGAAAACAGAAAGTCATCATGGGTTTTCCCTGGCTTGAGGAAGCCAACCCCATCATCAACTGGAGGAAGGGTACCCTTGAGTGGCGACAGAACCCTTCGTCAACACCACCGATCAGACCCACCAAGCCTTACACCCAGATCTTCAAGACCACCATCGAAGAAATCCCGGATACTGAACCTCAGAACCTCGACCCACTACCTGATTGGTACCCGACCACCTCTCCTATGATACCCAAGGATCACTTCAACACCTTCGAAACCTACGTCAACAAGCTTATGGAAGGGAACTTCCATTGGGATAATGACGAGGGATCTCTCTTGACTGACGACCTGGTGATCTCATTCATCAATGGAGAACTTTCCGACGAAACGGAGGACATCTGGATCAACACCACCCTCACTCACTCACAGGCCTTCGAGCTCAAGTACAACCAGCGAGAAGAAAATCAAGGACATCAGGCAACATGTACCGCCGGAATATCACGAATACCTCTCTGTCTTCGATGAGAAAGCGGCCTCCCGATTCCCCGAGTCTCGACCTTGGGACCACAGGATAGATCTGAAACCAGGATTCGAACCGAGGTCGTCCAAGGTATTACCCGCTCACACCAGAAGAAGAGAAACTCGTCAAGGAATTCATCGATGACAATCTGGCCAAAGGATACATTCGACCGTCAGACTCCCCACAAGCATCCGGATTCTTCTTCGTCCCCAAGAAAGACGGAAAGAAACGCCCATGTCAAGACTATCGCTACCTGAACGAATGGACCGTCAAGAATGCTTATCCCCTTCCCCTGGTTACGGACCTCATGGACAAACTGAAAGGAGCCAAATACTTCACCAAGCTCGACGTCTTGAAGGGTTACAACAATATCCGTATACGCGACGGAGACCAGTGGAAAGCGGCATTCAAAACAAAATTCGGCTTACACGAACCTACGGTCATGTTCTTCGGCATGTGCAACTCCCCAGCAACCTTTCAAGCAATGATGGACCACATATTCTCCTTGCAGATCGAAGGGAACTTTGTCATCATCTACATGGACGACATCCTCATCTTCTCCAAGACTAAGGAAGAACACGAGCGACACACCAAGGAAGTCCTTCGGATCCTTCGCGATAACGATCTCTACGTCAAACCCGAGAAGTGCGAATTCACCAAGGAAAAGATTGCTTACCTCGGGTTCATCATTGAACAAGACCGAATCTCCATGGACCCAGCAAAGGTTAAAGGGCTCCAAGACTGGCCCGCACCACAAACCATCAAACAAGTCAGATCTTTCCTTGGCTTTGGAAACTTCTACAGGAAGTTCATACGGAAATACTCCGACATTGCTCGACCCCTCAACGAACTCCTCAAGAAGAACCAAGCATTCAAATGGACCGAGGAATGTCAAGAGGCCTTTGACACCCTGAAGAAACGCTTCTGTGAAGAACCTGTTCTCATGATGCCCGACATGTCCAGACCATTCCAGATCGAATCCGATGCCTCCAAATACGCCTCCGGAGCAGTCTTGACACAGATGGACTCCAATGGTAACCGCCACCCAGTCGCCTTCTTGTCTAAGTCCTTCTCCCCCGCTGAACGGAATTACGAGATCTACGACAGAGAACTCCTTGGAATTATTCGAGCACTTGACGAGTGGCGCCACTACATCCAAGGAAGCCCCCACGAAACTCTGGTCTATTCCGATCACCTCAACCTCACGTACTTCCGATCTCCACAAAAGCTCAAACCCCGACAAGCACGTTGGCAATTGAAACTGACAGAGAGCGCCATCAAGTTGTCGCATTTACCTGGACACAAGATGATCCTATCGGATGCCTTGTCCCGACGCCCCGACCTGTGCCCCGAAGAAGACCACGATAACGAAGATATCACTCTACTACCGGAAGAACTGTTTGTCAACCTTGTCGACTTGAAAACCCTCACCGTAGGACTCATCGACATTGCTCTACAAGAAGAGATCGCCAAATGCCAGGATTTCGACACGGAAGCCACTGAAGCCCTGAAGATCATTCTAACCGATGGACCAAAGACCATGAAGGACGACTTACAAGATTGGACAGTAGAAGAACGAGACGGATTCCGACTCCTATTCTACAAAGGGAGAAACTATATTCCTCAGGACCTAGACCTTCGACGCAAGATCCTACTTCGATACCACGATTCCCTAACGGCAGGACACCCCGGAGAACTGGAAACCTTCAATAACGTCAGCCAACACTATTGGTGGCCAGGAATCAGAACATTCGTTAAGAACTACGTCAAAGGATGTGGTGTATGTCAGCGAATTCAAGATCAACCGTAACCCATCAAAACCCGCTCTCATGCCCATCCCACCGGCCAAATCACTCCGACCATTCTCCCAGATCTCAGCCGACTTCATTACCGACCTCCCTGAATCTAACGGATACAACTCTATCTTGTCCGTGGTGGACCACGGGTTTACAAAGGGGGTAATTTTGATCCCATGCACCAAAGAGATCACGGCAGAGCAGACCGCACAACTCCTTGTCGACAACCTCTTCAAACGCTTTGGTCTCCCAGAGAAGATGATCTCCGACCGCGGCCCCCAGTTTGCTGCTCAGGTTTTCCGACACTTCCTCCAACTTCTCGAGATCGAATCTGCACTGTCCACCGCTCACCATCCCCAAACTGATGGCACCACGGAACGTTTCAATCAAGAAATCGAGACCTGGTTGTCAATCTATTGTCTCGCCTTCCCACAAGACTGGTCCGAACACCTTGGCATCCTAGAATTTACCCACAACAATCGAAGACACTCCGATCGGCCATATACCCCATTTGAACTCATGATGGGAATAGCACCCAAAGCGATCCCAACCTCCTTCGAATACACTCAATTCCCATCTGCAGAACAACGCATCAAAGCTCTCGACCGAATCAGACATGAAGCCCTTGCCGCACACACATTGGCCCAGCAAAGGATGGCTCAAAGGATCAAGTCCACCTTCAAACCCTTCAAGAAAGGCGAAAAGGTGTGGTTAGAATCCAAAAACCTCAACCTGGGATACCACAAGAAGATCAAAGCCAAACGAGAAGGACCCTTCGAGATCTTAGATGTGTTAGGACCGACCACCTATCGGCTCAATATCCCCGATCACTGGAAACGAGTCCAAGTTCACGACGTGTTCCACGCCACCCTCCTCACGCCATACGTCGAGAACGAAGTCCACGGTCCTAACTTTCCCAGACCACCTCCGGGAAGTGGACGACATTTACGAAATCGAGCGCATTCTGAAACACCGCAAAACCCGAAGCGGACTAGAATACCTTGTGCTTTGGAAAGGTTACTCCGAAGAAGAAGCAACGTGGGAAGATGAAGACAACCTCATGACCGGAGCAAGCAAGATCCTGACACAATACAAGACGACTCATCTGAAAGAAAAACCAAAGAACCGCACAACAACTTCGGAAATAAAAGGTCCAACCAGTCAGACTCACTTCCCCAGCAAACCACCCATCTGCTACTTCACCCCACAAATCCATTTGCCCCCCGTTACGCTACTCTCACACCTTCTCCCCTTCCGAAATGACCAACATGATCATCGACTCTGGTGCCGCCTTCACCTTCGAATTCCCTGTCCCCTCCACCAAATCAGTCACTGAAACCACCGCTGTCGAAACATCTACCACTGAAAACACCCCTGCCAACGAACCCACTGACCCCAACAAAGGGGGTAATTCCACCTTTATGACCTGCGCTGCCGAACTCATCCACCTGCTCGCCGATCCCCGCGACTGGACTAACCTCAAGAGATGTGCAGGATATGCGCATCACATCGTCCTAGACCGCCTCCGAAATCTCGACCGCCACATGGTCGAGATTCACAGAGCCATTCTTCGCATTCCCCCTCAAGACCGGCGCGTAGGTTCCCAAACCCGAGTCACCCTCATCAACCTCCGCCTTTTCCTTTGGGAAGAGTTCCAAGAGAAATGCGAGGGATTTGTCTACAAAGCCCTTCACAAAGCCATCGTCCCCGCCCTCATCGACCTTCGTGATCTCTCGGCGCGCAACGACTGGACAGGCCAGAGAAGAATACGCCTGGATCACCTACACTCCCCCTTACGAGAATTCCCCCTACCACTCTCCTGCCAGCCGCCTCAAGACCTGTTACAACTGCAAGCGTGACGGGCACGTCATCCGCGAGTGCGGGTTTGAGAAGGAACGACGAAGGGCCCATCATCGCAATCGCTACCAACGATCGAAAGCCGCCCACGATTATGCAAGGACGACTCAAGAAGCCATCTCTAGGAGGTCCGCCGGGATCAAGATTCCCCTCAAGTTCCGACAAGCCAGATCGAGGAAAGAAGGTCTGCTTTGACGAAACCCCCGCAGGAAACAACAGTTGGGATGACAGTCTGATCCCCGATTGGTCTACCCCTGGCCCCAACGCTAGTAGTTGGGATTGAAGGGGACTTCAATCATACAAAGGGGGTAATGTTACGAATTCCGCCCCTATCTTTTCTCTTCGCGTCCTTTCTCTATCACATGACTCACTTTCTTGTTCACATGATCCCTTTCTTTATCTCGTGACTGTTTTATCAGTTAATTCTTCTTACTGCTGCGGCGCAGCCTTCTTTGACTCTTTATGACTCCTTCTTGCTGCGGCGCAGCCACTCTCTATTGTTCTCTAATTTATCTCTGCTGCGCTCCGCAGTAACCTGTGCTCGCACAGCCTTCTTCTCTGACTTCTTTTGACTCATATTCACGTAGCTAGACAGGTATATAAGCTCTGTAGATACCTCTCTTGTTCCTTAGCTAGTTCTCGTGAATCATACCCACTTCTCCTCTTCTCTCGAACTCGCTCTAGTCGTCTTAAGACAATACCTCTTGTGAGGCACTCTTAGACGCCTATACCCTCGAACTCGCCTCGGAACCACGACTCTACGGTCGACGTGCATGCTCACTTGAGTTCGCGTCCCTTGACCGTAACAAGACTCGGCCTCACGGACGCAAAACCTATTCAGTCCATCGAAAGTGCCATGGTCCAGCCCTGTTACATCGTGGATAAGACTCCCGGGCCCCCTGATTTTGCTCGGTCATTTTGCTTATGGGTAGCAAAGTAACGCCTAACGGAGTATAATTCTATTGAGAAACCCGGTATGAGGGGTTTCTCGATAAGAAACCCGGTATGAGGGGTTTCTCGATAAGAACCCCGGTATGCGAGGGTTAGTGAAGGACATGGGTTGGGCTGACCCTGTGGGTTGGTGGGTATGGAAGAGGACGAACGTGTAAAAAAAACTTTCCAACTTCCCCATTCCTCAACGCGTCAACCCCCATCGTACGTAGATCCCCAAATCTTAGCGCTTAGCAGATCCTAAATTTTAGCGCCCATGGTAGATCCCACATCTCAGGACTCGTCGCAGATCCGACAACTCAAGCGCTGTCCTCGGATCTCAAGAGCCCATCACCGAAGTGGTCGATTGATGGGCTTGAAGCGGAGACTACGGATTTTGAGCCATGTTGAAGAACAGAAGGGTTGTACCCTTGATAGACCTCTCTATTCGAATATGTGATCTATGGTGTATATGTGGTTTTACAGTACATGAGAAGGCGTAGGTTCCAAGCAACGGGAAGGGATAAGCAAACAAAGGAGAGATGAGGACAGACGACGGCTAACGAGGGGCATAGAGATAAGATGTAAGTACATTCTAGGGAAAGTGAAAGGTTAAATCCGAGAGGGGCATCAAAATCATAAATGCCTACTATGTAAGTACTACTTACGTATTGGCAAAAAAACTAAGTACCTCCGCAAAGCGAACATTCGCTGTGTTTAGAAATACCGTACGCCAGCCACTCGAGTAAGGGAGCGAGCTGGTGACTGCCTTTGCGATCCTTCTGTCTACATACTTTTTTCAGACACTGTGTGAATTGGGCATAGACTACTCTCAATATAGGATGTGGAACATCCACGACGCGCGACGCCACCATCTGGGACATAAGACCATCCTTTGCGTCGGTGCGCACGGAGAGTGTGCGAAGCTTGGGTAGAACTGGTAGATCGCGGGCGTTGTTGGAGGTTGAGGTTCTGTCCCACGTTAGCCATTCCAGGGTCTCTTCGCCGACCACATCGTCGACCTTGAGCCATAGAATGCCCTGGAAGATGGGGTGTGAGAGGATTTGCTGGTACCCCACATCTCCAGCGCACCATTGCTGCATATTCGTAAAGGTTTGGATCCGGCATCTCGGGTTCCGTTTGTGAATACGGTTAGGGCACCCAGCAACGCGTCGCGTTGCATCTCAAAGGGGATAACGCCAGTCTGTCGCTGTTCGGTGCGCTGAAGGGTGAGACACTTGAGGGCCGGTGCCTTGAGATAGAGAAGAGGCTCGAACGTATCCGCGACTGTGTCACCCATCGACAGGAAAAGGCTCCACAGGAAAGGGAGGTTTACGGGTTCCCGAACGAGGTTCTGTTCCTGCTGGAGAGAGGTCATGTCACCGTTGGCGGATGCTATCAGAGTGTCTGGGAACATTGTGTTTCTAATCCCGTAGAGTTCGACGGTTTGGAGCAAGGGGCATTGACCCAATATCGTCAAGGCCTTGCCCAAGTATCGAACGCACATGCTGAGGGAAGTGAGGTTTCGCCAGGGAATCATTTTGGCGGTGGGTCTCAGCTCGTTCGGTCCAACCTCGTCACCGCCGGTGAGGTGAAACAAGGAAAATATGGAATCGAAGCGCACGTCCGTGAGCCTTGGTGACGTCGCGCACGTGCGGGAGACGAGGTCTCTGACGAAAATGTTTTCGGCCATGTTCTGCTTGAAGCCCATGCTGACGTACAGAGTGGTGAGAAGTGGGAAGGTGATATGGTCCCAATTGGTTTCTCTCATTTCCCACGTGTTTCTCCAGCATTGAGAGGAAGCCTCGTGGGTGATCGTCAGGTATAGCTTTTCGATTCTGGGCGTTGAGAGTACCGATTGAAGGATCCGATTCCACGAGACGAGGTGGTCCGAGCGTTGCTCCGATTGGTCCCTTCTAGCAGTGCCTTGCCCTGCGGTCACGCTGACTTGGGTCGCCGGATGTGTGCATTGTCTGTCCTGTAAGAAGACACGTAGAGGCCGGTCTTTGGACAACTTGAGCATTGTCTTGACTCTCACCACGTCCTGCGGCTTGGGATCGACGATGTGAATGTCGCTGTAGAGACCCGAGTTGCTACGACAGAGCTGGCGCCATGTTTGGCAGACTTGGTCGATGATGAAGGGTGAGTTTTTGCCACGATCGTGGAGGTATTCGATAGCCCTTGCGCTGGGAGGTTCGCCCATCCAGCATGCAGCCTCTGGGTATATCGGTCCCGGCCTCACATATTGCTCAAAGATGTCGAGCAGGACATCAGCAGGGAGCGAATTTATGTGTCCGACTGAAGGTTGGTCGCGGTTCTGGAAGGCGAGAACTTCATTTACGGTCGTAGGAGACATTCTGTCGAGATAACTTTCTTTGCAGTCGAGATAATGACTTGTGTGCTGGATACTGAGTGTGGTGTTAATATTATATGGTGGGGTATGTGGTGTCCAGGGTGAACGCTTCACAGGCCCTATTTATACTGAAAGAGGCGGGGCTGCGCTTTGACTGACAACTGTGCCAGACGGCGACGCCATGGTCCATGGGCATTGGGCAGTACAATGACTAACCGATTTATCCCATTAGCCACCTGACCTGACCCAGTCTCCATTGTAACGCCCTTTATTGTGGTATTGAAGGTCGCAGAATACCCGATTTATCGGGGTCCGCCGGTCCAAGGCCGCGGGCTGGGCTGCGCGACGAAGAACATCGCTTTTGCTCGTCTTCCGCAAGGGTGTAGCCGTTAGAAAAGCAAGGTCTGGACTCTCGAGTCACATTACACAGATATGTAGGTTTTTTGGGGCTTAACTGTATGTAAATAAAGAAATAAAGAGGTTCAGAGCGGACGAACCTGAGGTTGCCATCAGGGCGTCTGATCCTAACACGAACAAACACGATCGAACGCCTTAGGCCTAAGCCCCAGTGTACCGACGTTCTCCCTTGCATCTTCCCTGACCTTGTAGTCATCGTTCTCAATCTATACACACCAAAATATCCTTATATCTAGTGTGTTCTTGGAGACTGATCTCGTCTTTGAATATGCCTACAGACCTAGCAAGACAGTGTCTGTCGTGCGACTTGCAGCGTGCTTGTGGAGGGAGGTTTGACATTACCTATCCTTGTCCCGAAGCGAGAAAGCCTAGTATAGACCTACAGATTCATCGTACTCATCTTTGGCCTAAGCAGTACTCGTGCAGTACATCAGACCCCAGATAGATTGGGTTCACAGGTGTGCGATGACTCTCGCGGCCCTGCCCACAGCCCGCGGACCAGGTCCGGCGGTCCCGGACCCCAATGGATCGGGTGTCCTCGAAGGTCGCTACTGTATTATGGTATTGAAGGTCGATCCCACTACGATAATAATAAAAAAAAGGAAAAGAAAAAAAAAAAAGGAATACCACCCGTCCAACAGCATTCGAGTTTCAACGTTAACATTGCTGGGTTTCCACTTGGACTTTGACATTTATTCAAAGGGCTTCAAGCTCGAATCCTTCAAGAGTATCCCTCCAAGTCCCCAAGACTACTTACCACACATCCGTCCCATGTCAAATCGAAGAAACCCCCCAGCAGCAAGTTCTGCCAAAACCATCTCAGTAGGTACGTGCCACAAGACTTGAAGCATCTCAAAACTCTTAAAGCTTAAGCTTAAGCTTGAAGCGTTGCGTTTGAAAAAACTCTTAAATAATATACTATACCTACATGATGCCGCAAATGATGCGGTCCAAAAATATATATATATATATATAAATACACAGTCTCCCATCTTCATATGCCTCGACGAGCTGGCATCATCCATCAAAACGCTCGTCGGAGGAGCCACTCGTCAAAAACGCTCGTCGGAGGAGCCACTCGTCAAAAACGCTCGTCGGAGATCCACTCGTCAAAAAACGCTCGTCATCGTCATCGTCCGTCGGAGAGAACCATCCATCAAAAAAAACCCTCGTCGTCGTCGAACACAACTCGTCAAAAAGGCGCTCTATCGCTCGTCCACGGCTCGACGCTCGAATCGAAGGACGTCTACCAAAAAAAAACTCACCAATTCCCTCAACAACAACAACAGATCCCCCGCAATCACCACAGCCCTCGTCCCTGCAAATCCGGTAACCCACATAGTCAAATCCGGTAACCCGCATAGTCATATCCGGTAATCCACATAGTCAAATCCGGTAACCCACATATGTCGTCCCCCGGATAAGTACACCACGTGCTCGTCCCCGCAAATCCCCTTACCCCCACATGGGTCGTCCCCCACAAACCATACCACCACCACCGCTCGCTTCAGAAATTTAAAACTCATCTTCCTCAACTAAATCCCACTCATCTCTATCACTCTTCCTTCCCTGCTTCGGACTCGTATGTCCTCCCCCTCCACCCCAGGGTTCAGTCTCTACTACATCAAACTCTTCCTCCTCTTCCTCTATCCCATCCCTTACCCCTCCTCCTCTCCCTGCCCCACTCGTCCCTCCAAGTCCCCCTAATTCCTTCCCAACTCCACTACTCGTCCCAACTCCACTACTCGTCCCTCCCACCCCTCCTCCTCCACTCGTTCCTCCCACCCCTCCTCCCCCACTCGCCGCCTTCCCCCTCGAAGAAGTAGAATCATCTCTAAAACTACTCCTCCCCTTCCGTCCACTAACAACTCTCACTCCCTTATTCCGTTCCCTATGCGCTGTACTTATAACCTGCAGAACTTGTCCAAACTCGGTGGTGAAAGAGGGAGGAGTGGGCGGGGGGAGGCGGTGGAGAGTTGCTGTCGTCGTCGCTGCCGTCGTGCTGGAGGTGGCCGTCGTAGTGGGCGTCGTAGTCGGTGTGGTGGGTTCTCCAGTAGCCAATCCTACTCCTCCTGTCCCCAATGCCGTTCCCAATCCCATACCGATTCCCGAGTACACCCCAGAATACCCAGAATACACCCCAGAATAATACCCAGAATACCCCCCAGTCTCATGACTCCACCTCCCCCCCTCCCCCGCACAACACACCCGCCACAAATTACTCAAAACCTCCCCACACGCATGCAGCGGTATCTCTAAACCCTGCGTATGGCCCAGATAGAGAACATTGTAGATGAGCATCGCGAGGGCGGTCGTGAATGAGGGTGTTGGGGATGTCGTTGAAGTCGAAGTCGTCGATGTTGGGGTGGAACTGGAAGTTGGAGTTGCTGATGTGGCGGTTGTGGGAGTAGCAGTGGAGGACGTCGGAGTCGACGGCGTTGGATGAGAAGTAGTAGTCGAATGACGAGTAGGCGTAGCAGGCTGCCCCGATCCCCTCGCCCCACCCACCGCAGCAACCGCAGTATTCACACTCAAACTCGCTCTCCTACCCACGACAGGGCTAGGACCAGGCAAAGGCATAGCAGCAATGATACTCTCCTCCATCGCGCGCCTGCTCTCCTCGTCTTCCTCATCCTCCTCCTCCCCTTGCCCTGACCTCCCGTCTCCCATCGCGTCGCCGTGTGTGTTGTCGCTTGGTCGTAAAGGCGACGACGCATACCCTGCCGAAACACCCCTCGAACTCGCGGAAGACCCAGAAACAGTCCTCACCCGCCCACCAGTCGCAAACCCCACAACACCAGCAGCCAAACCCATCAAACTCGTCCTCCTCGTACTCTTCTCACCCGCCGTCGGCGTCGATTTTGAACTCGAACTCGAGGAGGGCGACTGGAGAGGTTGAGCTTGCGGTCTCTTCGTTCTCGATGGCGCCGACGAGTCGGTATGCGGAGATGAAGGAGCATGGGAATTGGATGAGGAATGTGGGGTGGATAATGAGGAAGGGGAGGAAAGCCCGGGCGAGGCGGTGGATGGCGAATTGGATAAATGAAGAGGGTGTTTAGTGTACCACCTACCACAACTCCTATCAGCCCACAAAAATATAACGAAGAAAGTGAGAGGAAACGCACCTAGCCCACGACGCCGACCCGCCCCCCTCGCCATTCACAGGCCCACCCTTGATCGCACCAATCCACGGCACACCTAATCCAACCTTCCCACCACTCCATACGACTTCGAAAGGTAACTTGACGCCTAGGTAGAAAGAGAGCAGGTTGACGAAATGGAGTGTGAGTGTTAGGACGGCGTTGATGTGGTCTGGCGGGTATCCTGTATCGCAAAAGGATCGTAAGTAAACCCAGTCTGTCTCTTGATTCGCCATTCGCGAAAGAAGAAAAGCGAGCACAAGAGCCAAATAATCAAAGAACCAAGACTAAGGAAGCAGCACGCACGTCTAATATCCCCTGGAACAGGCAACACCAACCCAGGCCCAATCGTCCACTCCCCCCTCGTCCCCTGGCGTCCTCCAATATTCGGCCGCCCACCAACCTCGACGATATTAAACACCTCCACCAACTCCTGTATCAGCCCCACCCTTGCCCTAACGAGCGTCTGCGAGAGAGATTGGAAGGCGGGTGAAGGGGGTATGGGCGTAGATAGGAGGGAGAGGGCGGCGTGGGAGTGGTAGTGGGAATGGTAGTGCGAGTGCGGTGAGGCGGGGTAGTGTGGTGAGGCGGGGTGGTGGTGGTGGTGGTGGAAGGGATATGGATGCTGCTGCTGCAAGTGCGCGATGGTGGGCGAAGCGGGTGCGCCGAGGTCGGGCGAGCCGGGCGGTGGTGGGTAGGTCGGCGTGGAGAGGAAGGGGTTCGTCGTCCCCGACGTCAGCGGCGTCACCAGCCCCGTCGCGTACGCCAGGAGCGGCGAGAAGACGTTGTTGCTACCGCCGGTGTTGGTGTTGGATTCGGTGGTTGGAGCCTGCGTCGGAGTCGGGGTGTTCGATGTTGAAGTCGATGTAGGCGGACGCAAGATCATCCGCGCTGCGCCTAGCGTTCTTCGTCTCTGAGCGAGATCTTCGCGTAGTTTCCTAATTCTATCCCTCTCTACACCCAATCAATAATCAGCCTCAGCCTCACATCCCTCATTCCTCAAAAATAAAACCAGAAACACTCACTCCGTTCACAATCCCTCCTAACACCACTCAACCCACCCACCAACTCCTCCACCCTCCCCTGTATATCAGCAACCCTTGCCCGCGCCATCCTCGCAGGTTCGACTACATTAGCTAAAGAGTTGGACGCCCCGGCGATGACGGCTTTCAAGTCGTTTTGGTAGTGCGTGTGTTGGGAGTGGAAGTCGCGGAGGTGGGTTTTGATGCATGTCGTGCAGTAGAATTGGCGTTGGCGGACGGTGCAGTTGTGGCATTCCATCGTGCTCAGTTGTCGTTGTAGTGGTTGTCGTTCAGGTCAAGGTTAAACGTTAACTCGTTGTCGTGAAGGTTGTCGTTAAGGTTGTCGTCGGTCGCTGCATGGATTGACGATGGAGTGAGATGAGATGAAAGGAAAAGACGACGAGTCATTGGCACGAGCTCATTGTGAATCTGATCATCGTCCCAGCCGAGCCGCGGATTGAGGGCTGAGCGGAGAAGGTCAGCTGTATGACATAATCGGCTTCCCCTTCCCACGCCAATCAATCTCCGCCTTAAATCATCGGACTGATCGTCGATCTGTTGGTTGTTCTCGCGCTGTAAGCCTTTTACCTTTCCCTCCCATGTCCTCCACGATTGCTCTGGCCCATGTGCAACGTCTGAGTCTCCTCGTTCTGAAACTCTGCGTCCGAATGGTCTCGAACTCTGTCGCACTGCCACTGCGGCGCTGCGGCTTCCAAATTTACTGCAACCCAACTGCTCTGGAGAACCACTGCATAGCGAAACCCGCCTTCTCTGCCTCAATA